AAGCTTTTAAAAGGACTAAGACCACTTTCTAGACCGCGCTAATACTTATATACTTCGACGCTACGTTAAAAACTATAATAGAAACGGACGTATTAGAAGCCGCTATCTACGTAATTATATTATAACTCCGTAAAGATAGATACTAATACCCTATCGCCTTCTACTCCCGGAAGATACTAATAATAGAGAGAAATTACTAGATTAGCGACTAGGAAATACTAATAATCTTTATAGGGTTTAAAGAATAGCGCTACTTCCTTAAAAGAAATAAGTACCTAATCGTAGTAATAATAGACTATACTAATCTCGTCTAGTTTATAATAACTAAGGAGCTTATAAGACGCTAGGTACGCTAGGTAGAATACCTCGTAGGTTTCGACTTCGTTATTATATTCCGCCCGGGGAAAACGAACCCTATAGACGCTCCTAGTAGATAACCTAACTATATAGTAGACGAGCTACCGGACGCTACGAGTTATAATATCTTTATATAAAGACTCGGGGAGACTATTAATAAAGGCGCTATCTACTAAAGGGATCTATAAGATACGATATATCTAGGCGCTATAATAATAATAGTACGTATAGAGATCCCTATTAAGCCCGCGACGAATAGACTACTAAGTTAAAAGGAGGTATATAAAGTAGCGAAAGGAGAAACTATATATACCTATAAGCCGTTAGAAACTATAGTAGAACTTATACTTAAGATATAGGCGAAGAATAAGTTCTATAGGAATAGGCTTAAAAAGGTATAGGAAACCGGCGACTTTGAATAACCCCCGAAGATATAGTAAAGTATAAGGAGCTAGGATAGACTACTAAGATATAATAACTATATCTATATTCCCGAAGGCGAACCTATAATCTACTAAGAAATTATAAGGATCTACTATAACGATCCGTAGGTAGGCTATTATACGAGGAAAAGGACACTATAGGCTATTAGACGTAAATACTAGTAGAAAAGCCTTATTAAGGATATATAGGACTACGTTCTTATATACTAGGTATATTAGTCTAATACTATTAAACACTATAAGCTATATAGACTACTCGAACTACTACTAGTACTAGAGAGACTAAGCTAGTAGATAAGCGTAGACTTTATTATAGGCCTACTACCCTTAAAATAGGAGGGGAAGGCCTATAACGTAATTATAGTCGTAGTCGATCTATTCTTAAAATATTCCCTCTATATTTCCTACACTAAGGACGTAGACTCGCTAGAATTTATAACCTTATTTTATAAAAAGGTTATACTCCTATAGGGAATATTAGAAAACCTTATTAGTAATAGAGGTACTATTTTTATATTAAAATTCTAGAGCTATTTCTACTACCTCCTCGCTATAAGACGTAGACTATTAATAGCCTATTATCTATAAACCGATAGGTAGATAGAGAGATAAAACTAGAGTATTAAGTATTACCTACGTAATATAGTAAGCTAGTACTAAGACGACTAGATAAGATAGATCCCCCTTATATAGATCGTCTATAATACTACTATCTATAGCGTACTAAAAATATCCCCGGCCGAAGTATTATTAGGATTCTAACCGGAACTAAGAACGTTAGTACTAGATAGGAAGATAGAAACCTACGACGATACCGAAAACCGCGTAAAGGAAATACTAAAGATACGAGAAACACTAAGAAAGCGCCTAGAAGAGTCGAAAACTATAATAAAGCGAGCCTATAATAGGAAATATATAGAGAAGTCTTTCGTAATCGGATAATAGATTATACTAAGAAATAAGTATATTAACTTAGGACGACTATATAAAAAGCTAGATAACCGCTATATAGGACCCTTCGCGATAGTAGGTACGGTAGGATAATAAGTATACTAACTAATCCTTACGCCGAGATACTATAAGATCTACCCTATATAATATACTTTAATACTAGAGCTATACTATAGAGACCCGCTAAAAGCTTAAGAGCGGCCCGATCCTATACTAGTAGATAACTAACCTAAATAGGAGATTAAGGAGATCTTTACCGATAACCGTAGGGGCGCCGAATACCTTATTAAATAGAGAGGATATAGATACAAGGAAAATACTTAGGAGCTAAGAGAAAATATAGAAGATATACTAATATTCGAGAGCTACTATAATAAGAAGAAAGAACGGCTAGAGCGTACGATACGCTAAAGAAGATCCGTAAAGAAGAAGTTAATATAATCTAGGATCTACTACTAGATACGTTCCGGGAAGGTTAAAGGGACCGGAGTAGGCTTAAGAACGCTAAACCTAATAGCTAACTACCGAACGGACCCTTAGAAAATAACTAGCTACGCTAGTATATACTATAGATAGGTTAGGGGAGGATTTAGAATACTAGTAAAGATAAGGAGCGGACGAAAAATATCCTAAAGAGACTATAGACGTATAATAAGGATACGTAGGAGTTTATCGCTAAAAAATAGGATAAAAAGTAATATAGCTAACACTCTCTAAGAGTATAATATAATAACTACCTATACTAGACGAATAACCCTTAAGATACGCCTATATCTTTACCGCTAAATACGTAACCTAGCCTAAGAAGGCGCCTAAAGCTAACCTATAACCTAACTTATTAATAAAACCTACGTTAAAAGAGGCAGAGGAGGTAGAGAAGGTAGAGGGGGCGTAGCGCGAGGAGGACTAAAAGGTATAACTATACCTATATAGATATCTCGAGTTAAAGTATTCCGCGTACCTCGAAACCCTTATATAATCGTAAGGAACGATATATTCTACGCGGGGGTAGTATAGGGCGCTAAGATATAAGTATTAGCTTAGGCGTCGAGCCTAGAATCGACCTAAGGAACGTTAATAACCGCTAATATAAGCGGAGGTCCGTACTTACTATTATATAAAACTACCGCTTCCTTATATAATAGTTATACTAGGGAGTATTAATATTAATCCCGCTAGGCGGAGGGATATATATATACCCCGGGTTATATCTAAGACGGTCTATATAACGCCGATACTACGCACTCGTAGGGTTAGTAGGGGAGATAACGGCCGGAGGGGCGTAATTGTTAATAGAGGTGTATATCGCACTCGCGACCGGAGGAAAAGGAGCTACTATAATAAGTCGAAATAACCTATAGTAAGAAAAGCGAGACGACAAAAAGCTATAAGAAGAAAAGCGAAGCGACAAAAAGCTATAAGTAGAAAAGCGAAAGGACGAGGAAGTGTAGAAAGAAGAAAGCTATAACTTGAAGAGAGATAAGTGAAAAATGTATAAAGAACTTAGATTATACGCGACGAAGAGAGATAACGCTTAAAGCTCCGAGTCTATCTATATCTTCCACTATAAAGACAAATTACCCTCTTTTAGACAGCTAGACATATATACTATTTTCGAACCCTCCCTATCTCGACTATAAGAGACCCTCGACCCCCGACCCTTAGCTACGAGGACGTAGCTCTTTAAGGAGGGGGAAAATGTTACGACCCTCTATTAGGAGAGTGCCTTATAGGCTAGATCCCGCCTAGTCCTATAACCTAGAACCCGTGACCTAGTAGGGGTAGTATGACCCCCCGCTAGAGACCGCACTAGGGAGACTAAGTCCTATTAGGTTAGGTGACCTAGTCCCGTGACCCGCTAAAGGTTATCTATATAGAGACTACTAGGGGAACTTAGCTCTTTAGCGATTAGTTTACGAATATACTAGCACCCTGCTATTCCTTCACTCTAGTTCTATATTACCTACTAGGACCCGCTAGTACGCCGGTCCTAATAAGCTCGCTAGGGGACTAATCTTATAGACCTCGAAAAAGTAAGCCTACGTTACCCTTTCTAGCACTAAAAGTGAGTATATTATAGAAGCTCTTACGGTTTAAGAAGCAATCTAGCTATTATAGCTTTTAACGGAACTAGGTATTAAGGGTCTTATTAAAAAGCCTATTCCTATATACGTAGATAATAATAGTATAATTACACTAGCTAGTAACCCGGAATTCTATACTAATACTAAGTATATCGGGGTAAGATATTATAAGCTCCGTAAGGAAGTTAATATAGGAAGAATTAATTTTAAGAAGATTCCTATAGCAAAGATAGCTATAGATAGTATAACGAAGCCTCTTACAAAGGTCATATTTTAACGCTAGATCAGTTAGCTAGGCTTAGCTAATAGGAAAAAGCTATTTACATAAGCTGACCTAGGAGGTTCTTCATTACTACGTTTAAAAAGAAAAAGACTAGTTTTGATCCTAAGAGTTTATAGGGGGTTTCTTAGCTTATAGGGGGTTTTTTGGCTTCTTCGCATGGCTCATGGGGGGTGTTTGGAGTCAGGTGACTCCTCCTTCCTCGCCGTGCTATAAGAAGCTCCTTCTTCTAGATAGTTTCCTTCCCTTCTTCTCTTCCGCAGACGAATACAGGATTTTCAGTCTCTCTCTCTTCGTAGCGTAGAGTCTGGTCCTGTCTATCAGCTTTGTCTGATTTTCCAATTGCAGAATGTCCAGATGGTGTTACCCTTTTGTACGAAACTTCGGGATAACCAAAGTTCTATATAATCCCAAGCTGTCTCTCTTTTATACTAGTGCCCCCATCCCCAATTGCACGATATAGTCCGACATCCCTTATAATCTTTCAACTGTTTCTCAGTTTACGGTCTCAATTTACTAAACAAAGACCGCGAAACCTTACACACTTGATATAATAGCAGAAGAGTGAAGCTCCAGATACGGAATCTGGTGCAATATCAGTGTATCTAGGTCTTTGAATGCAAAGGAAAGTGCAAGCACCACCCCTCGTATCGACAAAATTGGAACTAGCACACTGGCCTTGATGTACTGCTGTAGCTGTCTTCGCCGAACAAAAACATAAAAACATGTGGAAGGAAATCATCGTGGCCAAATCAGGGTGCCCGGGCACACGTGACCTAGATGAAAAGAAGACCGATTCTTTTCTTTAGGGATTTACACAAGTCCAAACGACATAAAACTCTTTCATCCATCTTATTGAGCCCTGAAGCTCTGATTGTCAGCAGAATGGATTCAGATTTCGGGGATTCCTTTGAGCAGTTCGCTATTCTCACGCCTCGATTTATCCTGGTTCCCACCACCACAGCAGTATCTTTCAGTTCATACCGAGCACTTTATTCTGAGCTGCATGCAAGTGTGGAGTTCTGCCAAATGGGCTTCGGCCATCACTTTCCGGCCAGAAAATGGAGCGATGAGGAGACGCGCAAATGGATTGAGACGCGTGATATTGGCCGTTGTTGGCGAAAACGCGGTCTAGGTGATTTTGCTGTGGGGTTACGCGAGGCATCGACATTCGAACCTAGCAAAAACAACACGCAAAATGAGGCCGAGTGCACCGTAATCAGAGGTGATGAATATGCGCAGATCGCGGGCTGTGAAAATACCCATCTTGCGGCCTTGGAATGGGTGGGCTATGCAGGTGTCCGCGATGCTACGACGACCTCGATGCCGCCACGAGAGCCTGGAGATCCAGCGTTTCCACCATGGAACGAAATGATTGAGGTGCGCTACGGTGTCTCGCCAAAATTTTGGGGCCGAGGAATTGCCCAGGAAGCGGCCAAAGGGGTCATGCAGTGGTCTGTCGTTGAAAGGGGGGTGAAAAGATTCGTCGCCGAGACGGAGAAAGAAAATACTCGAAGTGCGAGAGTATTGCAGAAAATTGGATTTACATCCAGCGATACGAACTATTGGAAAGAACCCGGTGAGTTGGAATGGGAGTGTGTTGCGAAATAAGACACGAGATTCATCGAAGTCTTGCAACCTCGACCACAGCTTCCTCTGTGTGAAATGCAAGCCATGAAGATTTTCTTTCCCCAAGGTACCAATCCTTTCAGACTTGGGTATCCAGTTCCACAGCTTTGAATCGACGGTCATCTCAAAAGGTGCCGATTCAACCCGGACGACTGGATTGAAGATGTGATCACCCTGATCCCATATTGCGTCAATCCCAGGCTAAATAGCTCTTGCGGCATAACTCCAATGAAAATCAACCTTTCAAATGAATCAATCAATCATGACGGATAACGCCGTCAGCTGCAATTCCGACAAAATGGAGTAATTTGACATCATCGCTGACTCTTGTCAACACCACTACTTGAACGTGTTGAATAATATGATAGCAGCGCCCAACTTAAAAGCGACTCATATCCAGTTGATAGACCGTTATCGGGGAGTATTATTATTTCTCCATGCATCAATTTCTAGGGCACTCGCCAAGATCAAGTTTTGTCATGTCGGCCCGGTTTCAAAGTGTCGCTGTAATTGGTGCTGGCCCATCAGGTATTTCGGCGGTCAAGGCCTTGCAGGAGGAGAATATTTTTCAGACCATACGGCTCTTTGAACGACGTGGTGATGTTGGAGGCACCTGGCAATACGATGAAATCCCCGATCGATTTCCATCTCCCGGGACTTTCACTCAACCCAACGAAATCCCAACTCGCCTTCCCTCGCTAGCACCGCCTTCTCCTGAAGATGTAACTTCTCGTACTGCCATATATGAGGGCCTTGATAGCAATGTGGGTGCTAAAGCCATGGCCTTCTCGCACACTCCATTTCCAGACAGAAACTCGGCATCATCTAGTAGGAACTTCGGGCGTTCCAACCCCACTCGGCCATTTCGGGTTGTGAAAAAGTATTTGGAAGATGTTTTCCAAGACTATCTTCAATTCGCCTCTTTCAATACCACAGTTGAAAGGCTCGAGAAACGGGGTCAAAAATGGAACTTGACACTTCGGCAGTTCGGGCACTCGGATGGTACAGAGTCAAAAGACTATTGGTGGGAGGAACGGTACGATGCTGTGATTGTGGCATCGGGGCATTACAGTGTGCCGTTTGTGCCTCATATTCCAGGGCTAGATGCTGCCATCGCAAGTTATCCGACTGTCTTCGAGCACTCGAAGCAATTCCGTCGAGCGGACGATTATGTGAATAAGCGTGTGGTGGTGGTTGGAGGCAGTATCTCTTCCGCAGACCTTGTAGCAGATCTGCACTCGATTGTGAAAGGGCCTCTCGAACTCTCTCAGAGAGGAAAGAACGAGGCACTTCAATCCGCCTGGGACCTACCCAATGTCAATGTCAGGCCGACCATCACGGAAATCCAGGCCACGAGTGAGGGGATAAACGTCAAGTTCTCCGATAAATCCCTCCTAGAGGGGGTCGACAAGATTATCTTCGCCACTGGATACAAATTATCATATCCATTCATTGTTCCCGACCCTGTGACCCCCAACAACAGAATTGCAGGATTCTACCAGCATATCTTCAAGATCGGTGACCCATCTCTGGCTCTCGTCGGCCAGGTTCGCGCTGGGATCAGCTTCCGAGTATATGAATACCAGGCAGTGGCCGTGGCCAGATATTTTGCCGGGAGAAATGCAGTGGCCTTACCAACACCACAACAGCAGGATCTATGGGAGGTTCAAAGACTTCAATATAAAGGTCATACAGCACTTTTTCACGAGATCAAGCCTGATTTCAAGGATTACTTTGATTTCTTGACAGGTCTAGCTGGTCCCCCTGCAGCAGGAACAGACGGTTACTTACTCCCTGCTTGGGATGATACCTGGGCAGAACAGGCATTTGAGGTTCTCCAGCTCAAAGATAATTACTGGCGGTCACTCAAGAGGATCGCGAGTCAATCGGGTGCGGTGGCCGCCAAATTGTGAAGTCAATTCTGCATTCCCCATGTAAAGAGTTGAACATATGTCATGGCCTCTGGATATGAGGGTGTCACAATACTCAACCGGCATCCAGGGATAGATCTAGACACAGATCATCGAGCGTAGCAGCTTGGCGCAACTTGCGAATAGCATCTTGTTTCTTAGTTGAAGAACAACATCTGAAACCGATCATTTAAGGCACTAACACCTACCTCCTTGCTCCACGGGTTTATCGGAATCATCAATGCTTTTGCTGTGTATTTTCCCTTCAGGTCAAAACAAGAGTAAATAACGGTTGCCATGTACATTAAGAGTACACTCCGTGGATTATACGTACAATTGAGGCTACACAAAATCCCTGAATATCCGCCAAGTTTAACTAGTATTGCGTCTTTACGAAGAGGGTGAATCCCAATATATCTACGCCTAGCTTCAAAGTTCGACCCGCCGCCCATTTCCTAGTGTGAGATTTGCGACATTATCCTGTCCCAGCGACTCATGAATTGAATCTCGACCTTAATTAAAACTTGACTCTCCGTTCCAATATCAGGGATGGCTACAATGGTGTTGAGGCTGCCCAGCAGCATCGGTCAGTCTTTTGCCTACCCTTATTGGGTTGCTAAAACGGAGGCATAACGGTTCAAATGGTCTTTTCATAACAGAAAGTGCTACGACGTACGGCGCAGCACATCAAACATTCCAATCTGAACACAAGCCAGGCCAATTGCGGTACGTCTGTTAACATAGTAAGCATATGCTATACATTCAAGTTGTCTCTTCAATACTCCCTTCAATGAATCCAATCGGTTAAGCCCACATTCTAGTCCCTTACCGTGGAATCCTGTGTTGGCGGTACCCGCCAATGCCCGTCCACTGGGACTTTCTGTGACCCGTCGGGGACATGTGTATATTGCACCTTCTAACATCGATATGAGGGATCGAAGCTGATATCCGGATAGCGTCCGTCCACCTCTAAGTCCACGACCGCTGGGTCTGCAGTTGGCTATTGCTCAAATGCACGTATTTGCCCGTCACTGTTGGATCTAATGGGTGCTCCTATATGTGCAAGTCTGAGGGCCGTTGTCGCAGATTCAGTGCAAATAGCTAATCCTTGAGTGCGAACACACCTTGCCTTCTGGGGTCATGCCTTCTTTAGACAACCTATACCGTAGCACGTAGGGAGATGTGGTGTCAAGATAGTGAAAATTTCAAGCACCATAGTGACCCTTGTAATGCCACACATTATGCCAGTCTCTCTCAGATATGATCCCATTGTCGCCTGATATGTCTGAATGCGTGTCATGAAGCGGGACCAGAGTAGGACGTGTGAACATATCTACGACGCGTAGAATAATGCCATTCGTTGGTCTTTTGGAGCCTCGGAGATCGCTGACGTGGATGTGAAAATTACCCCGGGGCTATATTAGTGTGGCTGTCGCGATGAAATTAGAGCGTGCGTGACTTCCCAAACGTGCAAGTAGTCCCATATTTCTCTTGACTCTTTCTGACTTCTCGTCTCTCCTTCCTTTCTTCCTCATCTCTTCTTCCTCTCCATCTCGTCTCTCCTTCCTTTCTCCCCTGTCTTCATATCTCCCAGACCTAGGCTATCACGAATCAGACCGTGAATAGTCTGCTTCCAATACCGGACCGACGCGATGGCTGGGTAAGTCTACGCCCCGTATACCAATAATGCGAGAGAGGTAATATCTGACTGAGCCAACCCAGCTCTAATCCCAGCGAGTCCAGTTCCGATCTGGCAGTTCCTGCCACTGGAGATAATCAGTCTCCTACCACAGTGACTGAGCCTGGAATCACGACTACTGTGCCCATTATCAGCCAGACGTGAGAAAGCCATTACCGAAGTCACAATTTCTCACAAACTAATATCGGTCTTTCCGTTTTAGTGATGCTCAAGATCGTATTGAGCTTCCCGTTCCTACCCCTGATATTCCTACAAATACCGACATCATCCCTCCTCCCTCCTCTCCCGGAGTATGGACCCAGTACGTGAAGACCAAGTGACGAGCGATAATCCAAAGCCGACACACCAACCCCACATTGTCACCCCAGCTAACCAATATTCCTAGTCGTCCCGACCTAACTCCCACCGAGAACATCTCTAACGCATGGAGATCGGTAATGTCATGGGAGAATGACGAGCTTCCAATCTCCGGCGTACGAGACATGCGGCTCGCGACCGCTGGGCAGTTTGCCCAGTGCCAGGCGATCATCCAACAACTGTCAGACTGGCAGGTGCGCCTACGTGAACTTCGCACCGTCTTCGATGAAAGGCTGCAACAGGCCGAGCGAGAACTGGCCGAAGCACAGCAGATCTTCCAGGATTTTATTTATCCTCCTGGGTCGATGACCGAAGACAGCATGACTCAAAGTGACGAGTTCATGCAGGTTGTGATATGCCACACGGCACATGATAATGCCCGGGACGACAGGAGGGCAGTCGATGACTTCGAAAACGTAATCGCGGAGCATCTAGCTGACTTTACGGCTCTGAGCGCGGACTATCTTGCTCGCCACTGAATGCGGTTCTTTGTGACGTGACGACCTCCGGCTAGCGCAGGTGTCCTTAGGGCCTCGACGCAGAGTGGGGTGCATGTTATTCTGGCGACCAGTTGTCGGCTATCTTCTTTGTTCTCTGCTTGCGGCTTCCTCCTGGATTTTTGTTTGCTCGTTTCTTTGCTTGAATTAATACCACTAAGCCTAGTTGGGATGTGCAAGTCTGATTGGATTGCAGATAGGGCAGGGTATAAACCCTTCCCTCATCTAGCTTCCTCTCTTTCTCCTTTCCCCATCTTTGCTTTTCTTGTTTTGCGCTATGGTTCCCCTATAGATTGAACTGGCCCTTGAAAGTCCCTTTTATTTGTAGAGTAGAGCAGACTAGTGCAGGGATTTCTTCGGCGGAAAAGAGGTATGGGGCTTGCGTGGCTTGCATGGTTTGCAGACCTACCCCACAAAAGGGCTTATCTGTAGGTCCTCTTTTTCTCCTTTCTTCTATTCCCGATACTTAGAATCCTCGCTGGATACACTCTTTATTTCAATCATGATTGGCCGTTAACATACATAGCATACTACAAATCCTAACCAGCGGCTGAGCTTCTCTGGATGGATGGCTGGCTCATGCTACGGCTTTGTGAGGGGCCAGTTCGAATCTACAAGAGAAAGAGTGCAAAAGGGGGAAAAGGAAATATTGGGGAAGAAAAGAGAGAAGGACGCAACTGGGAGATCCGGAGGATATCCATGGCACGCTACCCTATAAGCGAACCTATCAACATCCACGTCCCAACTAGACCCAGTAGTAGGGGAAATAGCGAAATATCAAACTGGCAGGGGGCCAAGCAATTTATTCTGTAGAAGGAGACAAACAACACAAAGCAGAAAGCTGATAGCTGATCGTCGCAAGGTTAATTCCCCCGCGAATATCGAGGTCTACCACTGATTGAGAGCGAATGAGATGAAACCCGGAGTCCAAGAAGAATTTTCCACTAGCCAGCTTGCATTCAAGGAGCGTTGAGTTGTTTCAAACGGGTACAGCTAGTGGCGATCGAGCTTTTTTTCCGACCCGCTCATCCTTTATACTCTCGAAATAGCGCCTCCGTAGCTAGTGCAGGCTAGTAGTGTGTAAACGCTGAGCTGTGAGCATACTACTCAAAGACGGCGATCAAAATCGATATCAGCCCTGTCGCATAACGGGCTGAGCATCAGCTAGAATGAAGACACGGCGTAATAGACGCAACACAATAGACAGTCTCGTTGTTTGGATGGTCAGATGACCATCCTCTGGTTGTCTCCCTGATCTCCTCCTAGTCTTCCCCCTTCTTCCATAGCATCCTCCAGAGACTGTGTTTTCCAAGATCTGCCTTCCTTCTTTGATCTAGAAAAACGCCATCATTGAGCTTGACATCCTTGTCACAGACCACCTGGCTGCCTTTGTCGACATCAGTGCTGAGTATCTCGCCAACCATCAGATGTTGCCTGGAATATCTCCCTGAATTGCCAGTGGTCGTGAGCATCTACAGGCCCATTTTTACCTTGTTTGCATGATCTCCATGATCAGCATTGTTTGTGCTGTCTGCATCTTTCCCCAGTTTGCCAGTTTGCCAGTGTTTATTCTTTAGTTTTGTACCTACTACGCCTAGGTTAGTTGATTGGCCAGGTAGTTTGCACAATGGGATAGCCTGCGCTACGTTTCACACCTAGGATTTATAATTTTCTTTCTCTTCCTTTCCTCGCCTTGACTTTTCTGGTCATGAAGTCTGCTTTTTTATCACTGGATCTTGGTAGATCTGACTTGTCACAATAGGAACGATTGACGAGGGATGTGTTCACGATGTCCTGTCAAGGTTTATTGACTATGTCAATGATGATTTCTATCTGTCAAGAAGAGTTCCAGGCATGTCTTATGATATCCCGCGAGCCTTATGCCCACCGGGTGGGGCGAAAGTGAACAGTTCCAAGAGAGGCAATTGACAGCCTACCAAAGCAGAATGGAAAATGCATATATAATCCGACGTGGTACACTCCAGTGCATGTGAACAGAACAAAGCAGAAAAAAGAAAAAGAAACCTGTCCGGTAGGATGGTGAGAGTGAAGACTTTATGCTTATGCTGGCCCTGGGCTTTGCAGTATTCAATGTGTTGCCTGTTGCAGTTGAAGTTGATCCATCGGATTATCACACTGTGCATCAATCGAAAGCCGTTGGCATATCTGGAGGGGATTTAGAAAAGGCACTCGCCCTGTGGAAAGAACATTGCCGGTTGCTAAGAGGACATAAAATAAGAGGTCCTTCGTTTCTGGTCAATAACGGCGACACTGGTCCATTCTGAATAGCGAAGGTGCCAGATCGCCAGCCCCAAGGCTTTATCAAGCTTCGTTACCGATTCCCCGCCCATTTCTAACTATCAAAATAGCACCAGTGGAGCTGTTCGAGGGCATGGGAGTGTGAAACCTGAGCTATCACAGTCTTAATTCAAGGTGGAGATCAAGATTTCAGGAGATCAATCCTGTCACCTAACCGGGCTGTACCTCGGCCAGAATCCAGGACACAATAGACATCATCTTCCCTGCATTGGGTTTGCCACGAGCACCCAAACCCTCTGATGTGAAAAAGGCAATCCTATTCTCCTCTCTCCGTCATTCCTTCTTCCTTATCTCTTCTTCCCTTCCTCCTTCGCGTTACATCTTTCAGCTTCAGGTGACCACCGTGCCGAGAATAGCTAGCTACATATAATTACACCGACGTAATGGCCAGGTAAGTCCACGCCCTATATATCAATAGTGCAAGGGATCTAACTTCTGAGATGAATTCACCTAGCTCCGATACGGACCAGCTCCCTTCAATCTGGCAACTCCTGCCATTAGGGACTCTTGGTCTCCTGTAGCAAATGAACCGGGGACTACTCCCGCCAGCCCCATGGTCAACTAGACGTGAGAAACTCCTGACGGAAGTCACAATTTTGACTATCAAGGGCTGATAACAGGGGTTATATTTTTAGTAATTCTCAAGAGCGCATTAAGCTTCCCGATACTCTGTGCTGCGGATAGTATTCCGATGAATACCGATATCCCACCACTATCGGAGTCTGGATCCAGCATGCGAAGACCAAGTAATGAGCGATGATCAAAAGCCGATATATCTATTACGCAAATCAACTAATATCTCTAGCCAGGCAGACCTGAGTCCGATGGTCAATAAATATAACGCGTGGAGATCCGTTATGTCCTGGGATCACCACGATGTTCCCATCTCCGATATAAGCGAGATGCGGCTCATGACAGCTGGGCAGCTTGCCCAGTGTCAGGCCGCAATCCGATAACTCTCGGGATGGAGGGGCTGCTTCAACGAAATCCGCACGATCTGCGGTCAATAGCTAAGAGACGCCGAGTGGGAATTCACGGAGGCTTAAGAGAACTTCGATTCTCTCATATATCCTCCTAGATCTATGACCGAGGATACCATGACTCAGAGTCACGAGTTCCAGGAGCTCTTTCTCTGCCACAACGTGCTGAAAATTGTGCAGAACCACATACTGGCTCTTGACAAGTTCGAAAACCTCATCGCAGAGCATATGGCCGCTGCTGCAGACATAAGGATCGATATCTTGCGAGCTTGTGTGTACTACCATTGAATATCTCCGCGAGCAGCCAGAGGGAACGATCGATTAGGAACACGTCGATGGATATCGAGCAGGAGGAATTTTGATCGCCCCTTATGATGCCCCTTGTTCGGATGGAGCTGTTTGAATGGAGCTGAGGGAACAGTTCCTAGAGAGACAGTTGACAGCCCGACAAAACAGAATGAAAAAGATATATATTATCCAAAAATGACATACCTTAGCCCATTCGAAAAGCGGAAAACATAAACAAAACGGAAACCCTTCGGGTGGAATGATGAGGATGAAGACTTTATGATGAAGCTTGCCCAGGCGTTGCAGTATCCAGTCCGTTGTCGATTTTCATTTGAAGTTGATCCACCGGATTATCACCCTGTATATCGACCTAAACCATCTTGTGCATGAGTTAGGCTGAGGCACCACCCATCTCAGCAGCTCCATCGAAAGGGCCCTACTCGGCCATGGCCCATGGCCTAGACTTCCACATCAGGTAAAAGGTATTATTAGCTGCAAAAGCACCATTCTGCAGCATCGTCTCGATATTCATTGATTCCCTCCCATTTACCCCATAGGGCTTAGGGCGGGCGACTCGCCACCGAATCACATTACCAGGCGGGACCATGGCCTGCCGATCGCGTCGATGTTTGGCTTCGGGGTTTCAGTCCCCAGGACCCCGATGTCTACCCAGCCCACCGTCTGTCCAGATATAAATTTCTCTTCGCATCGAGAAGTCTCAGTGAATAGAACAGAAATCGTCCATCTTGACTATTTTCATCTTGCAATAGACTGACGTCATGCGTGGGTTTTCGCTGTACGGTATCCTAGCCGTTGTTGGTCTCTCAATGGCGGCATCCCCGACTGTCTACCTGATTCGCCATGGAGAGAAACCCGATGATGGCGGGACGGGGCTGAATACACAAGGGCTTGCGCGGGCGCAGTGTCTTCGGTCCGTGTTCGGCAAGGGGTCTGAGTATAACATCGGACATGTCATGGCGCAAACGCCGAAGAGCAGTATGACTATACCCCGTTGCCCTTGACATGTTTTTACTTGTGAATATCACCGGATAAGTGGAATGCTAATCCAGATGGTACAGATGGGAAACGAGCTCGTCCCCGCGATACCGTTCAGCCCCTGGCGACAGACCTCGGTCTCAGTGTTGATATTTCGTGCGATCGGGATGATCCGGATTGTGTCAAGGAGGCGGTTCAGGGATACGACGGTGAAGGGAATATACTCATCTGCTGGCAACACGGTGCACTCACAGATATTGTGGAGACACTGGGTGATGAGGATGCGCCTTCGTACCCGGATGATGAGTGAGTCTTGCCCCTTGTTAAAACCCAAGATTGACTTCCAGCGCTAACTATGATATACTTAAGCTACGATATTATCTGGACCTTGCCCTCACCGTACTCTAATATCACCGCACAGACGAGCGAGAATTGTCCCGGCTTGGATATTTAAAGGGCAAGATATGCATGGGAAGGGTATGACGTTATTCGTGACTCGGGCGGAGTCAGACAGATAGTTTAATCCTGTGTTAGAGCGGGTTGAATGGTAGATTCAACTGGCGGGGATGTATTGGATGGGAACTATGGAATGATAGTAAGGTCATGTATAACCTCGAAGGGGTAATTCATTCTTTTCCCCTCGACCTATGTTGCAGCGCCAGAACAGTGGGGATTGATCATGAATAAGCTATTATAGAAGACAAAACCAGGTGACAGACGCCCAGACGTCAAAATTCATCTTGATAGGCTTGGCTGTGTGCTCGGTCGCGTTCTGGCGTGCGCCACGTTACTTTCTCAGCGCCCCGTGGGGGCGACGCTCGGGTTGGGATGCTGAGAATGAGCTATTACAGTGCGGGGAAAGACCAGAAAAAACCAAGTTACAAGACGTTTGCTCGTGTCAAGAACTTGTTGGCTATATAAGATTACGTTTTATAAACCCTCCCCCATGCATGGACTGGTCCCTTCCAAGGCTTGATACATATATGGCTGTTAGCCACGTACGCCTGAGCATCTAAAAATGTAACCTAGATATGTCTAGTCGATATTTACGCGAGAAAGAAATACTTGATCATGCACAGAGATGAAAGAGGGTTAAAATCCCATTGGCATTTCAAGGTTGTATGAAAAGCCACAATTATGAAGCTCTGCGGGTAATAGCCCAACGGCTTGGGGTAAAACACATAGCCAACTGATCATACCGGTAAAGCCGGGATCAAGGTAGATATGAAAGATTGCTTGTAAACTACAGGATATCAGGATATCAGCTTCATTTCCGGAACCATAGACTCGTGAAGGGTGCATCGGTTTCTGAACGCCTGGTGCCTATTCAACCTGAGAAGTGTTTGTCTCCTTATCTCTAGACTTCGGAACAACCTCTCCCTCCTCGGCACGAACATCCGCCAGTTTCTCAGACTGGAGAGCTCCCCGCTCCATCCTGCGAACATGTTGATATTGTACTGTTGTCTTCCAGGGTACGAGACCAGGGGTCGTGAACATGGTCTCCACCTCTTCCAGGGTCTTGCCGGCGGTTTCGGGGAAGGCGAAGAAGACATGGACGGTCATTGCGAAGCAGAATACTCCAAAGACCAAGTACACCTTCCATTTGATGTTCTCAAACGCGGGTGGGACGAAGTACGACAGGGCGAAGTTGAAGATCCAGTTGGATGAGGTCGATAGGGCGACAGCCTTACCACGAAGGCGCAGTGGGTAGAGCTCAGGCGGATAGATCCAGCTAACAGGACCCCATGTGGGTGCGTAACTGGCGACGAAGAGATAGGTGCAAGCGATGACTCCCTTAGCAGCTGCAGGAGCGTCGGAGAGATCCCATGACTGTTCGGCGACTCCATCAAGGCCGCCCTCTGGAGCTGGCCTGCCATAGGATGCCATGATTCCAGCGTTGGCGAACATGAAGGTCATCATGAGAGTGGAACCGACCAAGAGGGGAGTGCGACGACCCCAACGATCAATGAAGAGCAAGGCAAGAATGGTCATAACCACGTTGATGACGTATTGAATCGAGGATGCGACGAGATTGGAGTTTCCACTGAGGCCAGCCATACCGAAGACATAGGTGATGTACAACATCATAACGTTCATTCCGGTAAGTTGAGACCAAACTTGGGTGAACATACCGAGGTGGGTCCGGTAGATCATGTTGCCCTTGAAGAGATCGAGATAGGATGCATCCTTATTGTCACGCTCAAACTCAACCATCTCGCGGATTTCTTGCAACTCAGTTTGGACGAAGGGAGCATTGCGATCGCCTTTGGCATGGACCGAAGCCAAAACTTCATGAGCCTCCTCCCAGCGATCCTTCTTGGCCAACCAACGTGGACTCTCTGGAAGCAAGAAGACCAAACCGAAAAGCAGGCCGGCAGGAACCATCTGCAAGCCCCATGGGGTACGCCATGCGGCGTTGCCCGAGACGAAGCTACAGCCATATGAGACGTAAAACATGATCAGGATACCCCATGTGATGGCCCACTGCTGTGCTCCAACGACTTGGCCACGCTTGCTGGGCTGGGCTAACTCGGCGACGTAGACAGGGACCTGGGCGCTGAGGATTCCGACGGAGAGTCCGTTGATGAAACGGCCCACAACGAGTTGGGCAATTGAGAAGGATGAACACACAATAGCACTACCAATGCACCAAATGACTGAGCCAGACTGAATGGCACCACGACGTCCCAAGTAGTCAGTCACGAAACCGGAAACCAGGGCGCCGACCCAAGAGCCACCAGGCATGGCAGCTGAGATACCACCTTGGTTGGCAGAGGTAGGGCCACCACACTTGCCATCTGCGTTAACACCGGTTTGGTTGTAGAAGCATTTGTATTGTTGGGTGCCAAGACTGTGAGACAAAGTCAGTGATCATCCTTCCCCGCGGGGATCTTACTTGACTTACATGGCGGACATGGAAGCGATATCGAAACCGAATAGTGCACCGCCAATGACGGCCACCGCGGTGATGACATAGATATTAGTGATCTTGTAAGCCATGGTGAAGTCTCCAAGGCAGATCAGGGATGAGAGGAAGAGGAAAAAGAAAAGAGGAAAAGAGGAAAAGAGCAAGGGGGTGAGGTTTTAAAGGATACGAAGTTGAAAGGAAACGACAATCCATAAATCCAGTGAAATTCCCAAACGGGAAAACGAAAAGCAAACGCCAAAAAAAAAGAAAAACGCCGAGACGACAAATGCGGGGAGCAAAAGAGCATTGGTTCCCCAGGATTACCACAGTAGCTACGTTTGGACGACACCAGACGGAGGGCGCCGTACGGAGTACAAGTGTAGTACTCCGCAAGACTATTCGACGCTGATCCCTCGACTACAGCACCCCAGTCAACCCAGTTTTCCCAGTTCAATCTACCGGATCTTGTCAAGTTCACCACCCTCACCAATCAGCAGCTGGAACCCCAATTAGTCCGTGGTCAGATGCTGATCAGCGCTCTAGCGTATGCAACTTCAAGTGTCGTGTCAAGCCACATGGTATCATTGAATGTCGGACATTTGCCTATTTGGAGGATCTCGTTGGAAAAGACACCAGTACCTGGTCGACTGGGGTTGTCCTATCCTAGGTTCCCCCTCCTTTGTCTCCTGCGCAAGTGAAAAAAGGCAAAAAGGCAAAACCGACTTTCCTCCAAAGAGGACCAAGCATTACTCTGCACACGTGAGATCCGAAATCCACTCCGCAGCGTCGAAAATAGATTCATTCTCGTCGCAAGATAGCATCAAAGTCAGTTTCATCGCAAGTGACTTGGGGCGTCAACCGCTAGACGGGTGGCTTCTTGGCAACACGCCTCTGTCAGCTTGATCTAGCAATACGGCACGTACAGCACTTACGGCACTTCCATGAGACAATACTGTCAGAGCCTGGTTTACCCGGTAAGTACTGCTCGTGGTACGACCCGACTTGCAGGGAACACCTTGGATGCGCATTGCAATGCTGACGGTCTACCGTACGACGCCCCTGGGGCCTCTCTCCCTAGATACTCGGGGCTGAACATCAGATCCCCCGGGGAGGAGCACTGATGCCACACCCCCACGCCCTTACCACTCTACTATTACCGATTCACAAGCGCCTTGGCAGCCACCTAAAATGTCAAATTGCGGTTGGGGCTGAAAGATCGAGTGTACAGCCGAGGGAGGCGTAAATTAGGTTGCTGGGTAAGCGGTCAAGGCCATGAAACGGCGCCAAGGTGGAAATCTACTTTTCTCGCCGACGAGGTTCACTGAAGACAAAGGGGGCCATTTTGTTTCCAACCTCGGTGTATACCGCTGACCAATAATATCCCGTCCTTTCGAGTGAGATCCCCCCATCCCAGAAGATGAGCATTACACCGTGCCACGAAAGATCGATGGTCTACGATGTACGGAGTATACAACATAAACAGAGAACATACGGCTTCCCGGGTCATATGGCCCCAGTTCACATTACCGGGGCCGGGTATTCTCCGTACTGTCCAGGATTGAAGTCCTGTCTGCCTGTCCCTTCCCATTTCCATATGCAGTGTGTTGTTCGGTTTGTCATCAGGCCGAAGATATACTCCAGCAGCGAGCTGACGCCACTAGCTTGTGGCACTCGATAGTCTCGTCTTCTCCAATGCTTATTTCTTTCGGCTACGGAGGATTCCGTGCTTGTATACTCCGTACATAATCCGGCAAATGGTCGTGCGCGCTAGGAATCGGTGATACCATGCATACTAATGAACACTAGGCGCAATTATCTAACCCAGTTTGATCAGTTCTAAATGCAGAAAACTTGATCCGAATGACCACCTCAGCCACAGTGCGTGGACCTTCCATTGATAAAATCAACTCTGGTCGGTATATCTTTACTGATGTTAATCATAATATTCCACTCATCGGCCTGGATGTTCCACAAAGCATAAATGAATACGGATGAGCCTTCCTTTCACATGGTTGTCGAACAAGATAGACGACACAACGACTGATCGTGCTATGGTCAGCCCACGCTAGTTTCGGGGCAGCTGGTCTAATATGGGCATTGTATTCATCCGGCCGATCATATGGGCATTCATGAGATAAATCGAACTCCCGGATACTACGCTAACATGAGATCGGTTCCAATCTATCGATGTTGCCTCCTATGTGTCGTTGAGGGATCTTGTGGCCAGACATACTCGCATGGGCGTGATTATGCAGAATCTGCTCTCTATCGATTTGTGGCTCAAGTGTGAAGAATCAAGTTCCAGGCACTGGTTAGAGATTTCGAAGCCGAACAGCCCTGCTCATTTATCCTGGTAATGAACTTGTGTGGGATCAGCGTGGCGGATGGCAATTTGTATCAAATGCCTTAATTACTTGCTCAAGAGTCCTATCTGGTCCACTCCTGCAAAATGTTCGATGTAACCCCCTAGATCAGAAATACCGCCCGCTTACGGCGTAGTCTGACGTTATTCATGTAGATTCCCGGGAAATCGTGCATCCTTCCGGAGGCAAATATTGCCAAATATTGTTACTATGGTCTGGGCGTCCGAGATATGAATAATGATTACTGTAGCCTTTTATATCATGCGGTCTGTTTCAGTTGCAGCGTCGCATTGAACCTTTCACACATACATCGTCCCCGTGAAATGCTCTCCTGGCGAGCTCTTCTACATGCCTATACTTTGGGGTAACATATGTCCTATGCACAAAGGTTTATGAGCGTCAATTTTCCATCTGACAACTTACTATATGGAAAATCAAAAGGCCCGAGCTTCATCTTTACTCCGAATGTATTGCAACTAGGTAGGACATTTCGAGAAAGATACGCTGACCCTGTTGGAGACATTGACTCGTGGGCTGTTTTCTGTGGCCAAATTCCCCGTGTATGGACCATCGCGAAAGCTAATAGAACCGCAACTTTGCACTCCAAACACAGAGCTCAAGACATGCAACGCATCGAGTCAAGACCGTCCGGGTAGCACCACCCCAGATGGGCCAATTTCGGTATCCGCTAGGCGCCGGCGGTGGAGGTTTTCGTTTCTCGCACTTCTGTTATCTGCATTTCCCCGTAGACACCAGATCAAAGGAACAATCGGAAGCTCGCCACGATAATGACAAATGAAGCACCGAGTCATCCCCTGAGGACAATACGAGATGGTCTGACACGTGTGGCGTCGGGCGCGCCCGTTGGAATGTGGGGGCCATGTCCCCCAGTTGGCGATTCTTACTCCGACCTCTGCGACCCTTCCCTACAGGTTATTCGCGAGTAGCATCATGGGCGAAGCGAGCGATTTACCATCTTACAATAGGAATCTTCTTGATCCACCTGGACTGGATGAGGATGTCCTACCACCGCCATATACCGAACGAGACCCCAGGGCTGCGGAGTCCCAGTCGCGGGCACCGTATAGGCAGCCAACCAAGCCCGCAACAACCAAGTTCCCGCCTACAATGAACGCATACTTCTCGTGGAAAATGACCAGCACCTTCCACCTCGGATCAAGCGTGAAGAAACAGCTGTTCGCGGCGTCAACACACGCGCCTGTGGTGACTAATAGACCCTCGGTCATCCTGCGTGACGGTCCAACCGATAAGCACCCAATCATGGCAACGGTCCATGCCGACAAGTGGGGGAGAATCAAACCCATGAGAATCACCATCCCTCATCGGCCTGGGTCGACTAGAACACTGGAGACACAGGCCGTCCCTGCTGGGACATTCTATAGTACCACACCGGCCTACACATTTGAGGTACCCGTGGGTCGGCAGACCACCACTCGCGAACGATTTGAATGGCGCCCGAGCCATGGCAAGGAGATCAAAGAGCTCAGTAAGGGTCTTTCCTCTGGATGGAATTTGGTGTGGTTGGACGGACCGGTGGCCACCGCAGTCGGGAACAGAACGGGACGCGACCGGGGGTATACAAGCGATGGGCGGGAGATTGTTGCTTTCATTGCATATAATGGTTCTTCGGATTGGGATAAAACGGTTCGGTTTGCTTTCATGGGCACTGGGCTAGAGGGTACTATGGGCGAGAAGTGGGAGATTGTCGTGGTCGTTACGGCTATCCAAATGTGGTTCATGGATCAGACCTCGTAGGCGGCTGTCCGTTAGATATACGGATGATATCTCGCTGGATTGTACAGCTAGTGCGTGTATGACTCCCCAAATCACTTGTCTTATATTAACATAGTTGATCTGGGCGTGGATAAGTGAAGATACTGCCGGCTTCATCGAAGGTTGCGAGATCAAAATATGTTTTGGCTCTGTCTCCTGTTGATACTCGCGACGCCTTTCTCCATCCTTTCCGACTAATTTCGGGCGATTGGACCAATCCGATGAACTGTCTCTGAATCTGGAAAAGATCTAAGATTCGTCATTAGTCTCCCGTCTTTGGGGCTGGGGCTGGTTAACGAAGGCGGCCCTGAGATTAGCATATAAGTAAGCGTTATTCCGCTCTAGGGATTGTCCCGCTGGATTCCCCATATCTATCTCTAATTACAACGTCTGATAGGCTGTACCTGCCAAGGCCAAAGCGCTTAGTGTGGCGAGTAGCTGGCGGCATGCGCGCGAGCAACGGGTAGATCGTCCCTTGTAGCTCGGAAGATAGGGCAATTGATCAACCAAGCTGTTCGGGTTGCAATTCTATCAGAGTCGCATATGCATTTTGGTAATAGTGAGACTCTGCCTGTGCTGGCAATATGCACATATTGGGCTCCATCTAACAGTGCATTGGAGTCCAACGTCTGAGGTCGATCCCCACGCTCCGCAGCTGCTTCCAACTCCACTCTCACCTCCCCAGAGTCCACTCCTCACTGCTCCACCTCCGTCATGGCGGGGTGTGTATTGACAGTCAGCTTTGGAGTATGCAGCATATATGTGATATCTACTGCATTTCACCGTGAATTGCAGCCTTCACCCATGCTGCACTGGTACTTTTACACTATGTATGATGGCATCATGGGGCGGCTTGCGGAGAACATTCCCAGAACCCTTGTGATAAACACATCTTCATGCATGCAAATGGCTCTTTGACTGTCAATCTCTGCCCCTCAGACCCCAAATCCCCACTCATCCACGCGAAGACCGGGAACTTCCGCAGAGGGTTTCAAGAAATTGTCTTCAGAGGCGCCATCTCGGTACGCATCATGAACAGCCTCTTTCTAAGGCGATCGGGATTGGATGCCGAAAAAGGATTCCGAAATCCCGACAAACGGAACCGTCCTTTTAAGATTTTTCGTCTGAATTTGCTTTTTGAAGGTGGGAACCGAGAACAATCCACGGCCTCTCAGGGTCTGCGCTCATCGATCCACCGGCCTCATGGCGTCCCAGTATTGGCCGGACGGCCGGTGGATCGACCATCAAAATTTGATCTTCCAGAATTCCCCGGTGGCCAAGGCTGCGATAATAGGAATTGCTTTTAAATACTGCTTGGATCGGAATGGTTTTCTGGTTCTCTCCTCCACTATTCCCCGGCTATTTTTACTCATCGCGCTGGTCGTTTCGTTTCGAAACTTGAATTTGTTCTACTTCGGATGTTCCATCATGCAGTTGGCGCTCCCCAATGACGTACTTCTGCTAATAGGAGAGCAGCTGGAACGGAAGACAGATCGCTGGAACCTCATTCTTGTCTCTCATCAATTTCATGATCTGTTCCTTTCGCTGGTTTATCGAAAGGTGTCTCTTCACGACTGGCAAGATGCCGATTCGTTTTTGCATGCTATCCTGAAACGACCAGCACTGGCGCGTACTGTTCGGGAGCTAGACGTAACTGAATGGCGGGCAAAAGGTTTATCGGATAATGACTGCCGGTATATCCAAACGTCACCGGCCCTGGTCAAATGGTTGGATTCGGTGGCACATTCAAAGCCTGAGAGCAATCGATGGAGTGGAGATCTAAAACACGGCCTGGTTGATGCCTGGGTTGCTCTCATTCTCCCACTACTGAGTCAACTTAGAAAGCTTCAACTTGCTTATGGGACAAGCTCCCCTTATTTAGAACGGATTATGGAACGGGTCGTGAACTGTGAAAAGCCATTTTCCATCCAACCAGCTTTCCGGTATCTACGAAATGTTTCATTGTATCACCGAGAGGACCTCGATCACAGCGAGAACCGAGAGAACGTGGAAGATGGAGCCAAGTCCTCTTCAACACTCCTCTTACCATTCTTCCAATTGCCGTCCGTCCGTTCGATCACAGCCAACTCTGTGGTGGATTTCAACTCCACCGCCATTACTACAACGTCAGAGGGGACGGAGGAAGATAAAGATCAATACCTTGGCTTCTCCTCCATCACCGAAATTGATCTGCATGCAAGTAGTGGCAACCACGGCATGGAGATGCTGGTGGCCTCATGTGCAGATCTGAAGTCATTCAAATACCAGCACTCAGATTCGAACGTTCTGTCGCATGGCTACCAACCATCAGCCTTCTATCGCTCTCTGTGCCACAGCAAACACAGTCTCCAAACATTGTGGCTGGACCACTATGGTAGCCACCACCCATTCACCGCTGCTGGCTTGAATCAAACCCACGATGAGTGGTTTGGCTCCCTGATAGATTTCACTGCGTTGCGAGAACTGCGCATACGACTGCCAAATCTTCTGGACATTCGATACCAAAATGAACCGACTACTCCTCTCACAGAATGTCTTCCGTCATCCCTTGAGACTCTCTATATCGAGGGGTGTGAGGCGCGACATCTGGGCATGTTGGTCTCCCAATTACAGACCGTCATCAAGAATCGTCGCGTGCGTTTCCCTAAACTTGAGCGTATAGATATTGAAGGTGCATTCCGGAACGCGACCTCGGATGATGATGATGATCTCAGTGCCAGCTCTGGATCTGAAATTCACGAAGCAGGGATCAAAGATAAGGTCTACCAGGTAGCGGAGCCTTTGCACATGGACTGTCTCCATGCTGGGATGGGATTGCATCTTCACGACCGTGCGCTTTCACGGATTTGATCTTTTTCTCCACGCATTCGCAACCTTCGGGTTTTCATTTCAGCTTTTGATTCGACGATACCATCTGGACTTTTTGCATTCTATAGACCTGCGTTTGACAACCCACACTTTTGCCAATATAAGATTTAGAGATTCAAGTATATATTCTACTCATATAGTCGCCGATCTGCCTTAGGTCATGGTGAGGATTTGAGTGAATCAAATACAGACTGCGAGGGCGTAGATGTAATAGATAGTATAGATAGTGATTGCTATTCGATCCTGTGTATCTCTTCAAAGAACCACCAATGTTTCACAGCAAAAGTGGCAGGATCTAATACCTCATTTCTAGGAGAGCTCATCATGTTTGATTTTGGGTATTCTATGCATTGCGGATCTAAAGCGAAGCAAGAACAGCATCGGCCCCAGATTTCTATACACAACCTCATTAATGACCAAAGTAATTTAAACCACGAGAGGAAATTACATACCTTGAGAGAACCCCGCTCAGTCTCAATCTGCGCATAGCTGATCTTACCGTGATCAATGACGATCGCATAGCGAGCAGTACGTCCAGAAGCGGCATCAGCCCAGCCAATGCTCTTCGAGAACTTGGCATCGGGGTCGGTCAGGAAAAGCTATTCATCGACGTTAAACAAAGGCCAGCAAAATATTTGAGTGGGGCTCTACTCACGATATCATTTCCTCGGACCTGGTTCGCCTTACCCCAGGCACTCATCACGAAGGGATCATTGAAAGCAACGACGGCGACAATATCCACTCCCTTCTCGCGGAGACCGGGGAGGTTCTTGATATATCCCGGCACGTGGCTGACCGAGCAAGTGGGGGTGAAAGCACCTTGAATTTGATTAGCATCTTCCTCGGGAATTGCGGTGGGGAACATTGACTCACCGGGAACGGAGAACAGGACGACCTTCTTGTCGGCCCATTCCTGTGAGGCTTTGTAGGGGATGGGGATGCCGCAGGAGGTGATTTCGCCGCTCTCCTGGCTCCAGGGAATGTATCTGGTGGGATTAGTGTCAATTCGTTGCCGGTGCGGGGATGGCGGCTCACTGGAAGACAACGTCGCTGGGGAACGTGTCGCCGGACTTGAGGGTGGTCATATTGGAGAGACTGGGGATGTTGTTGAGGAGAGATGAAGAGAAGAATTGAAATCCTGGGAATGGCGGGGTTGAGATGTGTTGATGTACTCCATACGCCAGGCTGATTAATATGAGGTGATCGCCCGCGCCGGAGCACGCCGACCTCGGGCTTCGGAGCTCTCTCCACTTCTTGCTTCTGATTTGATTGGAGCTATTTAGGGAGATTCCAGTTCTTCACTTCATAGGGCAATACAATTGTTTCGCTCAGTGCGGCATTCCCAGCCTATTTGCGTGTGAGAAGTCACGCCCTGGCACTTTTCCCACAGCGCGACCCCGCGTACGTCACCAAAACACGGCAGCTTGCCCGAGGTCGCGCCTTCGAATCCCAAATGCTACCATTTTTTTTACTTGCATTGGATACTATACCTATATCATCAAGGGCGTATTGCAAGCAACGAGAGATGCCGCCTTTGGCTTTGATCGCGTTGACTGATGTATGTGAAAGGTATGGGATCGCTAAGGCAGAACCAACATATTGGCTTCTCTTCAGGACTGGGGGCAATGATAATTGTGAAAGCAACTACTAGCTCCATCTTGATCCCCTCTTGATCCTCCCCCTCAGCTTTCACAAGAATCAATAGCCTCCCATCTCCCCATCTCCGAGTTCGGTCGGCGAATTTGGGTTAACAAGGTCTGATGCCCGATATCTTCGCTGACTCCAGAGTCGGGCGCAAGAAGGGTTTGTGTTAAGGCCCGGTAGCGATGCGCCTTATGCTAATACTACACTAAGCAGTAACCTCAATTCACTCCTTGGTTACATGGTATTTCTAATGACGAAGTCGAGACCTCAACCCAGACCGTTGCGTGTAGCTGGGGGCGATTTATGTAGCCTAAGTTAGCTGCAATTGTCTATTTTCCCAATATGCAGCAATGACTACTCATTTTACAACTCATGGCTTTCTTATGCTCCCCTTCAAAAGCACGTACCTGGGTTTTTGATACATTGCCCACGAACCAGAACGGGAACTCGGAGGTGTGTTTTTCATTAGGTGTTTTGATCCTGGGTCAATGCATACGAAAGACCCTCTTCATTTGGACCTAGCTGCTACAAATAGGAGCGATGGCTTTTGATATATCTCTAATCATGTCGTTATGTTGATGTTCTACTGACTTTCTTTTATACACCCGGTCCGCCCCCGTCTCCTACCCACACGAACTCCCCGCCTGGACAAGACACACCTCAAACAATTTTTGGACTTTGGAATCCGCGTGCCAAGATCCTATTGTGCAACCAAAACGCCACGATAACGCATTTTACCTTCTTCTAACGTCTTCAGGCTTTCCTTGATGCCATCCACAGTCATCGGGAAGGTCATCTTAACGGGCTTGATGTTGTGGAATGCGGCAAATTCAAGCATATCACGATGAACCTGTCTTGAAGATACAATCCCTCCTTGTATCCGAAGACCATTGAGAAGCAGCGGCATGTATGGAATTTTGAGCTCGCCTGCATCCACGGACAGAGGCGAAATGACACCATTGGGAGCCATGATATTCAAATACAGTTGCCAATCTGGCTGACTGCTGGTCGTCACAATGAGGTTGTCGATGGGGGCTTTGACCTTCAACTCCTTCGCACCCTTGGTCGCATAGAACTCTCCGGCTCCCAGCTTCGTTGCTTCTTCCTTCTTGCTGTCTGTGCCGGAGAACACCACAACTTGGCAACCCATCTTGGCAGCGAACTGGATAGCCAGATGTCCCAAACCTCCAACTCCAACGATGCCCACGCGAGCAGTCGGCCGAACCTGCGCAACATGGAGCGCATTGAAAACGGTCGATCCGCCACACATCAAGGGCCCCGCATCCTCGTTACTTATGTTATCAGGGACCTTGAACAGGAAGGCTTCACGCCATACAGCATGGCTGCCGAAAGATCCCTGATCTGTGTCGGCAAAGGCATACATCTTTCGCTCGCTGCATAGTGTCTCCCAGCCCGACAAACATTGTCGACAATGACCGCAGCAATCGTGTTGATATCCCCAACCCACACGATCGCCTTTCTTCAGAATGTTTGCTTCAGGGCCGGTTGCCTCCACCACACCTGTTCCTTCGTGGCCCAGAGCCATATCGGCAGTCTGATAATGGGCGTCTGTACCGCAGACTCCTGAGTGGGTAATTCGTACGAGCACGTCGTCTCGCTTGAGGTCTCCCCGCTGGGTCTCTGCCTGGATGATTCCATCCTTCGAGCCCTTATATACAGTGAAGCTGATCGCCATTGTGGAAAGTTTGTGTACAAAAGACGGCTTGGGTGTCAAATCTGTTGTTGAACAGAGAGGAATTCATCAAAACTCCGACCGCCATCCCCATGACTCCGCTTTATATGCCCCCCTCACCCTTGCATGTCTCCCTTCCCCGCTGTGGGCACCGGATTCGGAGATAATCATATGAGATCGGCACGTTGGAACTTGACAGAAGGTTCCAATCGGCAACAAGCTACTCCGTAATCTGTGATGCAACGTAGTGGGCCGCTGATCGATGCTAGTGGGCAGGGTCCACTGATATCAGTCGAACTGCACCTGGCATTCGATGAAACCATTTTTTATATGGAGACTCTTGACAAGCTTTCAGGTATCAATGCTTTCGTGACCGGTTATTTCATGCATAGCCTTGCGATGTACATGAGCTTGACCAATGCCTGTTGGAAACTCCAAAGTGATGACATCATGTCCAGCTTGCCATCTTGTGCTCGGCAGCTACGGAGTATACTGTGAAATGGCGGTCATACTCACCACTAGCAGTCGAGCCGCATTCAACGGACAAGATTTCTGTCGTTCAGCCATAACCGTGGCACAGTTATGACCTCCTAGCTGAGTCACTGACTTAAAGGACAAAGGAACGAAGGAGGTAGATTATCTGGATCAGCATGTCCCGGTGCTATCTCCATATCACCGAGGATGATTGTATCTATATTGAGATGACCTGGGCAGGCCCTGTGGATGCAGAGAACAATGCATTTGACCTGGAGTATTGTCGGACGATAAGGCGCAAATGATTTATCTGGAGTCTGGACCCCGGTAGACGTCGGTCAGAATTGTGTGTCAGGTCCGCATGGGCCACCGTAGAGCAACGTGGACAAAACAGCGCAGCTGGCATCTCCAAGCCGCCCTACTTCGCAGTCGGTACCTCCTCCAGGGTATGTAGACGAGATAACTAGATCTATACATTTACATTTGTATGTGTTGGTCAAAAGCCATCGGAGAGCAGTTGATCCATCTATCGAGGGAAATCTCTAGGGAATCTACAGGGAGCTCTTGAACACACCCTGTTCGCTATAAAGGATAAGTAAGAACAAGATCTCTGCTATCAGATTCCACACCGATAACCTATTCTGGCTTCTGGGGGCCGTTTTTACTTGATAATAAGCCTAAGGATGATCACCACCCTGGCCAGTCATGAAGTGAAGCCTTCGCGCGAAGACCCCTGCTCCTGGGATTTTGCCATTCAAAGGCGGTATGCCACGCGATATCGGACATCCCAAAAGGGAAATTACGAAGTTTAAACCGCAAATTTTCTTTTGCGTCCCAAATTACAACGCGTCTGTGATCCAAAGAAGGGGCTACTGCTTCATTCTTTGGTCTCTGTAACGTTCCAAGTAGCTACCGCTGTGAAAAAAATGGTCCAGATCCATGGCATCACTAGCGCTAGTGAGTCGCCCCATGTCTCTTCCGAAAAGGATGCAGCGTTGGCGGTGGTGAGCGACGTGGCCCAAGAAATCGACCCAGTAGTAGAAAAGAGAGTTCTGCGAAAGATTGATTTGTATTTGATGCCTGCAATGCTTATAGGTCAGTTACATGCCATATATCTTTAACTTAGCAATTGTTGACTCATTCCAACACAGGCTATGGTATGGTCTATTATGATAAGGTACGATAGGCTTATTCCCTATAATGATACTCATATTGGTCAATAGAGCTAATATATCTTCAGGCTATCCTAGGTAGTGCCTCACTCTTCGGCATGACAACCGACTTGGGTTTGCAAGTGAAAGACTATTCTACTTCTCCTCCATCCGTTAATACCTCACGACTCAGCTGGGCAACGTCAATCTTCTACTTTGGGATGCTTGCCGGCCTTTATCCTATGACATTTGTCTTGCAGAGGTTTAATACCCGCACTGTCCTCGGTCCAGTCGTCCTAATCTGGGCTATTGTCTGTGCCGCTACAGCCGGTGTCACGACCTGGCAAGGGCTTTTCGTACAGCGCTTCTTCCTTGGTATGTCTTTATTAAAGTTCTTTTCGCTTTTCCTATGTCTAATCAGATGTAGGCTTCATCGAAAGTGTCATTCCTACGGGCTTCATGACTATAGTCAGCAGTTACTACACCCAAGAAGAGCAGACTCTACGACAGGCATGGTGGTTTTCTGGCACTGGTTGGTTCACTATCATTGGTAGTGCTCTGAACTATGGATTTGGTCAGATTACATCTGGAGCCTTGAAACGATGGCAGTATATCTACATTTTGGCTGGCGCCTTGACCTTTTTGTTTGGCCTTTGGTGTTGCACTATGCCTAATTCCCCGGTCTCTGCCTGGTTCTTGACCCCAGAAGAGCGAATTGTTGCGGTGGAGAGACTGCGCAAAGGACAGACGGGTGTCAGGTGTCAGAAGATCAAAATTGACCAAATCAAAGAGTGTCTAACAGACATCAAGATCTATCTGGTAGCTATCATGATGGCGGCAGCGTGAGTTTTTCTTCTTCTAGATGGTCTATAAGATTGGATGCCATGCGGAATTCGTAGCTAACGTTTCCAGGTACACTATCAACGGTGCTATCTCAGGCTTTGGACCTCTGATTGTGTCCACCTTCGGCTACGGCACCCTTGATTCGATCCTATTTCAGTTTCCAGTCGGTGGCATTTGTGTCATTTTCATTCCCCTTTGTGGTTATATTCCGACTGTTGTTCCTAACACCCGGATACCTTTGCTCATTACTTGCTGTCTGCCCGTTATTGCTGGCTGTGTAATGATATGGAAATCCGACTGGGGATATCATCCCGCTACTCCAGTCGTTGGCTATGCCCTGACTGGCTTCTTTGGACCAGTGGTCAGCTTGATTATCACTATTGGAGCTATTAATGTTGCCGGCGCAACGAAGAAATCTGTCATGGCGGCAACTGTGTTTGTGGCTTACACTGTTGGTAACATCATCGGGCCGCAGCTCGTGAAAAGTAACACCAAATCGGAGCATTATCCAGAACTGTGGACTGGCATGATTATTTGGTAAGTCTGTATCTGGTGTTTCATGTGACAGGTCTAACAAAGTATAGCTACTGTATCACAATTGCTGCTGCTGTTGTGTTATATGTCGTGCTGCAACGAGAGAACCGAATTCGTGAATCATTGGAATTGGATGAGGTGCAAAGAGACAAGATTGCATTTGATGATCTCACTGACAAGCAGAATCCATTTTTCCGATACGTATTATAGCGAAAGAAGCGGTGATCTCCTTCTGTTTACGCGATCGAGATTCATCAAGGCTGAACCTTTAGTGGGCATCCAAATATATATACCACCTCCCTTAAAGGTGAAAGGATATCAGAATTCCAAAAATCATTTTAAACCCCTCGAACAAATTCGTTTAAACCATTTTCTAGACAGTAGATTTATTTTTCGGGGAATCCTCTTCGGTGTATAGGTATATAATCAAAGGCAAAGCCAATTAAGTTGTCAATGAAATTCAAAAGCCATCAAGTGTGGCAAGGAGCCAGCTTGCTCGGAGTCAGTCTCAGTATCGCCGCAGCGGCAGCAGGGAAGACTACGCCGCCATCCCAGAAGCATCATTCTGAGGCTCAGCCAACTTGCCAGCGCCCTACAAGCGCTATAATCTGGAATATCAGCCTCCACAGAGCACACTCGCAGCCTGTCGGGCTTCGTGCGCGAGCCACACCATTTAGTGACCAACTCCCCGAGCCCTGGAGGGTGGTAAGCCCTTCTCGACGGCGGCAGTATCGCATCACAGATGCCGGACTCGCGTGCAGTCTTGCAATCAAACTCCTATCCAACGTGGGAAATCGAACAACACGGCCTCAGCCACGTCGACGCTAACGAATTGTTCAAGCGAAGCCATCAAGCCCCGCTGCCAGATTATCTAGCAGTTTTATACATACTTATCCGTCTGGACGACGAACTGGGTTTGCCAGCCGCCATTATCTCTGACCGGGACCCCAAGTTTGTGCAGGGTTTCTGGGAGCAGCTGTTCACCATGCTCAAGGTAGATTCGCTCTACTCCGTCGCCTACCATCTCCAGACCGATGGCGAGTCGGTACGTACCAACCTGCTAACCGAGATCACGCTCCGCCATTCGGGGTAAAGCATACCTAGATAGAGCGCTAGACAATTATGGTATAGCTAATCGTAGAGAACTCATTGTTTCCATCCCAGTCTAGAAGTGAAGAATGCGTCAAATTCAAGGGTCCGTAACTTCAAATGTTCTACGCTGTAGTGCAGTGAGTCCTATAGATATCTCAGATGAATCCTTTCGAGGGCTCACGAGGCCAACTAGCCTTCTAGCTCAATTTCAGTCCCATATAGAGCTTTTTCTCTCATACATCTCATATATCCCTTCGCCATATGCTTCCGCTTCTTCGGTCATCTAAATCGCTGAGCTAGAACGGGGTTGCGTAGAGGAACAGCAAATTTGGTAAAAGAATGGGCTTCTCGGAGGTTCGTATCAAATGTTTTCCCGGATTAGATTTCTTTAAAACCAGCCCCATGGCCCTGTCTTTTGTCTGGTAGAGAGCCGATCGTGAGAGTGGCTGAAACAATCCTTGCAGATATTTCCCAGTTGACCTCACATGCCAACTCAGGGTAAGATATGGCAAAATCCTCAGGGTGAAGGAGTGGAAAGTTGCATGAGCTCGATTGGAAACAGATTCTCGTCAAAGTATTCAGCAAACAGGATTTGTCCCTTGTATCAATCGTGATTCCGCTCGGAGTCTGCGAATATTGAGACCTGTCGCGGATACTGGATTATCTTTTCATATACATAGTTGCTTTTAAAACCTAGCCTTCAATCCCCGAACTAGAAGCCAAGTTGTCATAAGTCGTTCATTATAAAATATCTTCGGTATCTGAGTGATTACTCAATAAATCCGAGCCATTCATAGTGCAAGGAAAGTAAACAAAAGCCAAGCCAAGAAGGGGTATAGAAGTGTATGCGACAAAAGAAAGCCAGACGAGAGATGTTCCAGCGCTCAAACAAACAACGCCAAAAGAGTGAAAGAAATGAACTGGGTCTATATACATTTTCTTGAATTAAGGAAATTCGTATCATGGCCGAGGGGACTTCTCGGCGCTGTGAATAATTGTTTCATGGATAACTTTTATTACACCTTGACTACCCTGGCTGTGGGTGTCCCAGTCAGCATCACCAGCTGTGCAGGTAGCCGGTTGTTGTCGCGAGGTCGGCAAGATCATTTGCTCGTCGCTGATCGTGTTCCATTGAGTGTCACCGGGGATCGATAGTGGATGACGGAACTTCTTTCGTCTGGAATCCCCACCGCCACCGGTATCACCCTCTGATAATTGATACCCCGCGTAGTTTTCGGTGCTGCTTTTTGTGGAAATGTATAGGCCAGCACGTCGTGTGACGCGACGGACTAGTGGGTAGATCATGGGAATGTTGCCAATGACGACGGCGACAAAAGTCTCGCGGCAGGCCCAGCTACCCGCTTGTTGTGCCCCATTCGCACCGGCCTGATGAATCGTTAGATTTGGTTGCTTCTCTATGGAATATCTCGATTGACTGACCGTTAAGATGAGAACGCAGCGGAGAATGCCAGCCATCATAACGAACAGTCCGCCACTAAACAGAATTAGGAGTTCGAGCTTCTCCCGCCATTTGAGTCGGGCTCTAACAAGCATCTTGATGTGTTGTTAGCTTTATTACCCATAGAAAGGTCTTAGAAACAACCTTACCGGTGCTGGGATGCTGATGAGATAGAGATCGGTCGCGACGTTGAGAACGACAGTCACATAGATGTCAATCTTGGACACAGCGGGCTGACAGTAATCTGGTAAACAATCAGAGGTATATCCATTTCATGACAAGTCGTTGGTAACATACTCCCAGGATTGGGATTAATCTGCCAATTCTTTTCGAAGGGATGACACCCCAACAGAATTGAACATATCGTCGCAATATAAGTTACGGCGATTAAAACGTAGGCGACATGGATTCGGACACGCATATTCACTAAGCCCGCGCTGTATAGGAGGATATTCAGTACCCAAGCGCAGAAGGAATGTATGTGGTGGGATCAAACCAACGTCAATCGAGAGTAGAAAATAGCCATGCATGTTTTCAACACCCATAGCAAAAGAGTGTATAATGACCATCCAGCCACTTGGATCTTGGAGCCACCCACACGCAGACGGTATTCTTCTGAATGAGGTGACAAATTTATTCTCTGCTCATCCGTCATTGCATTGTTGGCAAGTCCCATAAACCACGCGCCGACCATGTATGCTGCGCCCGTTTCTAATCCGTACACGACCTATATTGATGATCCTATTCATCAGCGAGGAGAAAGCAAGAGGTCCCAGAGAGCTAGGGATTGACTTACACATGCCACCAACATCAGATAGTCATCAGCCTGGAAGCCTCTGGGGCCGACCATAATCCACCTTGCAACTGTTCGTAGGCCGATGACGAAAATAGCCACCCCCAACAAGGTGAAGGCCTCGGTGTTGAAATCGCCCATGATTGACGAGTTGCACGAGCTCTTGTTCCTCTATCCCATTAAGAATGGCAGTTATCGTTATTCAACATAGGGCGCAATTCAAGGTAAAAAGAGAGGAAGTCAATTGTGCCGGGGGAAGCAAGCGACAAAGGGCCGTATCTCAATAATCTCCCCTGGTGTGAGTCGTTGCTATTGGAACTAGGCCGGACAAAGGAGCAAGCCCGTACTCTGGTCGATTTATCAATGCGAACGAATGGTAAACGGAAGGAAAAAAAATATCCAACGCAAGAACATATCTTAAATCTTCAATGACGGGCCTATTTACTCAAGGTGGCTTCTGTCAAACTACACAAACCTCCAGTGCCGTCCATGATGAAGAGCCCACCACGTGCTAAGAATCTGTGACAGGCCCGGACTCTTCATGCACGGGTGGCAGTTTCAGCGCGACATTCATTATGTCGGGGGAACACGGGCTATCTCTTGCAAGGTTTAGGGGTGGACTGACTATGGGTCCTTCAACGCTCCGGGAGGACTTTAAGCTTGATATTACACTCAAATTTCCCCGATAACTGGTTCCTGGGAAATAAACCAGCCAGAAAGATACCCACGTATGCCCGGTGTCGAATCATGAATTGCCCTGTCAAATGAAGGACCGACATTGAATGGGCGAAGACTGATTCTTTGCCCTGAGAGTATGTATTTACTCCGTGTCCAACCTGCGATACAAATCGGTTACACGCGAGCGTGAATCTCAGACATAATATCAACTGGACCGATTTGGATAATCGGCAATGAACCGCAATGGCAGCGGAATCTCTTCGTCCCTGGAATCTATGAGACACAAACGGGCCAGGTCTGAGACGGAGAGTGTGATCCGTACGGAGTACAGCATAGCGGAGTCGCAGAAAGCTTGCACGGCACAGCCAATGGTATGCTTCTGATCCAAGGGGCTAACGGCCATAGTAAGGGCAGGTCCCAATGTCTCGACGCCACATTCTGTTTTTGGTCGGTCTGATTGATGATCAGTCCGGAGATTGCTCCGAGAGCAGCGAATTTGCGAATAGCTGTCGACTTTCAATTTAATATGTAAGTACGGAGTAGCAGTAGCCGATATATACTTTCCCTTTCCTCAGCAGCGACACGCGTCAAATATATCCAAAGCACTCCGTACAAAATGGTCAACAATGGTTTCTGCTTCGCCCGGATCAGGGGCTGGGGCATTATTTGTTCCGCAACGTGGCATTAATTATGAATGATCCCCAGTTAAACCTATTCAAGGTTTTAGATCCGAAGCTAGGACCTAGTTTCTGACAGCGGCCACTTCCCATTGATGGCAAATTGGTGGGTCAAAAAGCGGGTCATATACGGATAGCAAGTGATTCCTTTTCCTTCGGCGTTGGAGATCTGGAGCTGTAGTGCCTTTAATTCTCAATGTCAGATCAATAATTCCAATTTTGCATGGAATGAATCGCTTCCATTGGCTGCATCTGAGGGCACTGGACCCTCGGATTGGAAAGCTAACCGAGGGATGGCAGGCTGCATATTGTGGCCCTTTCCGATTGTATTTTCTTTTTTTTTTGGGGTTGCCAACGGTAAGTGCAAACGCCAATCTGCTAGGGATCGGCTTGACTGTTTGTTCCCACAATGAAAACTTCTAAAATTACTCCATATCAGTGGAGCGTTGTTGGCTTCTCCTGATCCGCCCGTTTACCTTTCGAAGGTCTGGCGATCCCCGTGGAGGGCCCAGCCACGCTTTGAACACAAGGCTAAATTGGCTCAAACGACGGCGTGAAGCTAGAATCCTTCCGGCGCTTTTGATTCCCTCGAAAACCTCGATGACACGGGAGAATCTAGGTTGGATCAGTACATGCCAAGCTCCGTGTGGAATACACAGACGGATCAAGGGGCCTGGCAATAGTCCGTGGTCCATCATAATCCCATTATTGGATTATTGGAAGCATGGTTCTGATCTCTTCCATGCTCTTTGTATCACAAAAATCAGGCGATATCCGAGTTGGCGTGGACCGGTCTCACCGTGCGTAGTTTCATATGATAGTCCCACCATTCCATGCTCCCGGGTATCCTTTCCGCAACAGTAAGGGCAGGAATTACAAAAAGGAAAAGAATTAAACATTCCGAAAATAAGTACTCGACCATAGTCCCTTGAAACGTCGCTCCTTCCTCGTTTTCGATCTTCTGGTGGTTGCTTCTGTTTGTTCGTTTGTGCATAAATATATCGATCCTCGTCCCAAAGGTCGACTCCTCTCCGTCCGAGCGAGAACAGAACAAACACGGGACTCTTCAAATCATGGAGAACGTGGATCTCGTCGTAGTAGGCGCAGGTAAGCTGGGTCTCCACCGTCGCAGTCTAACTATCGCGCTGACAAGCCTGTCTATCAATAGGTTGGGCCGGGCTCTCCGCCGTCAAGACCTATCGCGAGGTCAACCCTGAGCATAATGTGCTCTTATTAGAAGCTGCCGACTCCATCGGTGGAGTATGGGCCAAACAACGGTTGTACAAAGGTCTCAAGTCGAATAATATGCTGGGCACATATGAATACAGCGACTTCCCAATGGATGAAGCGACATTTGGCGTCAAGCCTGGAGAACATATTCCCGGTCATGTAATTCACCAGTACCTGACGGCGTATGCGCAGCACTTTGGCTTCACCGAATGCATTCGATTGGATCACCGCGTGGAGAGCGCACGTCACAATCCGAATGGGACTTGGCAATTGAGTGTGTCACACGGAGGGGACACAAAGACCATTGGTAGCAAGAAGATGATCGTAGCCACCGGTACTACATCACAAGCATATTTGCCGACATTCGAAGGCCAGGAATCTTTCGGTGCGCCGCTTTTCCACTGTCGCGATTTGTTACAGTATCAAGATGCAGTGTTGCAACCCGGGGAGCGCGCCACTGTGTTCGGCGGCACCAAGTCGGGCTGGGATGCAGCCTATGCTTGCGGAGCGGCTGGTATGAAAGTAGACTGGATCATTCGAGAATCCGGTCACGGTCCTGCTTGGATGGCACCTCCATATGTGACCCCGCTAAAGAAATGGTTGGAAAAGCTGGTCACTACACGTTTTTTGACCTGGTTCAGTGCGTGTATCTGGGGGCCAGCTGATGGATATTCTGGAATCCGCGGGCTTTTGCATGGTACCTGGCTGGGTCGTAAAATTGTGGACGCGTTCTGGGCACTTCTGGCCAATGATGTTATTCAGCTCAATGCCTACGACAAACATCCAGAGACGAAGAAATTAAAGCCATGGGTGAACCCATTTTGGATCGCTTCGTCGCTTAGTATCCTGAACTATCCGACTGATTTCTTCGATCTAGTCAAGGATGGCACCATCAAGGTGTATATCGCTGATCTAGAACGTCTCTCAGACCACGCTGTGCATCTTTCGTCGGGCGAGAAACTGCCATCTTCAGCGTTGATCTGCTCGACAGGCTGGCGTTGTATTCCAAACCTCAAATTTCTGCCAGAAGGCATTGATCGCGAGTTAGGATTACCTTGGAGTGCAGACCCAATCAATGAGAAAACGGTGAAGGCTGCTGATGAAGAAATCCTGCGCCGATTCCCCCGACTTCGCGATCAACCATGTCCGAACCCTCGCTTTCAGCCCTTGAGTGCCCAGTCTGAGGCAGCTGTACTGCACCCCTTCCGACTGGCGAAGTTTATGGTCCCACTTTCGCTAGTCCATGAGCGATCTCTGGCATTCGTAGGCATTACCATGTCCATCAGCACGACTTTGATCGCCCAGACCCAAGCCCTGTGGATCTCGGCTTATTTCGGCGGTGCTTTGACGCCTAGTACGCGCGAAATCTGTCCACCCGCTGTGCATGCCGCAATGGATCTCAAGATAGAAGATACATCACAGGTTGACCTTACCTGGGAGACAGCTCTTTATACTGAATTTGGCAAATATCGCTATCCGGCTGGATTCGGACGACGAAATCCCGATTTCGTGTTTGATGCAATCCCGTACGTTGATCTGATGTTGCGAGAATTAGGTCTATCGCCCGAGCGCAAGCAGGGCTTCTTTGCTCGATGCTTCCAGCCATATGGTGTGGAGGACTATCGGGGATTGGTCGATGAGTGGAAAATCAAGCAACGTGCTCACTACGGGTGAATGTTTCTTGTGTTTCTCCTTGATGGGAGACATCACTGCGGAAAAGGGGAAGAACCATGCATTGCTAGTTGCGAGGATGAGAAAAGAAGAGAAGATTCGGCCCTGGAGGGAGCAAGCAGGTTATTTAATCTGAGGCACCACCCTCGACATTTCGTTTCGGTTTGTTTGATATCATTGTCTTCCATCTCCTTTCGCATGTTATGCGATATACCCCGGGAGATTCCCTCTTTTTGTTTGACAAGTCAGGTTTTTTTTAATTTTAGGTCAATCACATAAATTTCTTCTTATCATTGCGTATATAAGTGGTTTATACGAACATATCACGGTTTCTCGATGGGATGGTTCGTATTCAGCATCATCTATTCCACCATCACAAATTGCTCCAAAACTCCGACACCCGCAAGATCTGATGTTAAAAGAGTCTCTGTCTTGCGCTTTTGTCTCATATGTCTTTTGGAGCCAACAGCATGCAGATCCTGTGGTTGCTGGCCCCCGCCCTCGACTATCTCCCCGACCATGTCTGCTGTCCATCGCATATAACTTTCTTTGTCACCTGCGACGACTGTCTTCATCGAAACATTGACCGCAAGTCGACCGTGCACCTCTCCCAGATCAAATTCCAACCGAAATGCTTCCGGTATATCCCCAACCCGCGGCGGATATCGCCCACCAGTAGTCCCAGTCCTCCCAACCGGCCTCACTGTGAGAAGAGAAGGATCACAAGCCGACACAAGCACCTTTCCATCTTTGGCAACGTAACTGCTCACATAGGTAGTATTGGTCGGATCATTAAGAGCGAAATAACTGAACCAAACAATCGAATACGGACCCAGACGACCATGTCCCCAGTACCAGCTCTGAACAGAGTCCATGAAGGGTCGATCCGACCAATTCTATTCCCCCGTCAGATATCATTTTCACGGAGTTGTGCCAATCTGCGCAGGTATCAACTTACTTTATCATGGTACCCAGCCCCATGGAACTTCAACCTCGACCCATGGATGCTTATATCAACCTCGCCCACGGCGTCGGGTACGAGATTCACCCATCCAATATGAGGCGCGACTTCGAGCGTGCTCCTCCCAGCTTGCACACCACAAGGTAGATGATATGGGACTCGCTTGTAGGAAGTTAGCAGGCTACATACCTCCCGTGTTTAACCCGCCACTTACAGAAGTCAAAGTCAATTTCCCCTTCACCTGCATCTTCTCCGATGCAACAACCACTTCATACTTCGACAGGTCATCTGCAGGAGCATTCCAACCAAACCCCGTCGACGACCACTCCCCAGAACTATTCACACCGTATCCACCACTCACAGTCGCCACGGTTGCGGGGACATAATTCCCGAAAACAGTGCCGTTGGCAAATGAAGCCCACAGCCAGACGGTCACCACTGATGATTCGTTCTTTCGCAGATAGGGGAATGCAGCGAATGATGAAGTGAAGAATGTGACCACGAGGGAATCGTTTGAGTTTGTTTCCGAGACGGCGTCGAAGTACCACCAGTCGAAGACGGAGCCGTTCAAGGGATTTACCTGCGGTGCGTCCAGGTTCCAGAGGGCTTGTTTATTGAGATATCTTCCCAACGTGGGGATATCGAATTGGACTTTGCTGGGTTTGTTCTGGATGGTGTTGGGGATCTGGTAGATACTATGGTCGGGGTTTTTGTTGATATGCGGGTGTGAGAGGGGAGTCTTGGCTATTAGGTTCTGTCCGAGGGAGGCTAGGGCCTGGTGTGCTATTAGAGCACATGTTAAATATAAGGAATGCATTTTGATGAGTTGGAATATTGTTTTACGAGTGTTCTATGAATCAGGAGAGGGCGAGTTAGATATAGGACGCCGTACGATCTCACTGAGAATTGAATGAAAGAGAGAGAGAGAAAATCTAGTTTCGAGGATCAAAGCAAGAGGACGATCCTCTACGTGTAGGGAATGGCTTTATTTTCTTGGCTTCGTGATGGGGGCCGACAACAATGATACCTAGTTGGGACTACAATGGGTTCTGAGAATCAGGGCTGGATCCGCTGTCTCCGGGGATGCAAAAATAGGGATCGGTAAGTTTTGCTCTCGACATGCCATTTCTTTGAACTGCTTTTTTTTACTTTCAAAGGCTATTTCTCTCAAGAGCTGAATAGGTTTCAATATGGTTCCCTCGCGATACACGTAGTCTAATTAGAATAAAACCGCCATGTGGCCCCCCAGGTAGGGTGGCTGAGATGGCGGTTCACCTAAAACAGCCATAACCTTGGACTAAAGAGCTCCATTATTCCAGGGTACGGGGCAAACGGGGCAGCCAATGGTGATCCTGGAAGCTCAATGTGGCTTGAGATAGCTTTTTTTTTTTTACTCCGTACACATTTCACAATCGGTATTTAGGGCACTCTGATGCGTTCCTCGGGATATCTTCAATTGATGCAGGGGTTGTTTATATACCGACATTGCCCATCCCATTAACAAATCGCTTAATCGCTGTAAATCACAGAGCAGGAAATAGGTACACACGTCACACATGAGTCCGATAAGCACATATAGTAAACATAAAAGAAAATCCGGATAAATAAAAAAAAAAAAGATTCAAGAGATCAGACCTTTCCCATGCCCCCAAATCACCCTTCGCCGAAGCTCAAAAAGAATAAACGTAATAAAAAGAAAATCCCGGCTGGCACCCCGACTCCCAATGCCTTTGTAAATACATGTCTTTCAACATCCATCCCGGTGTGGATGGATGTTGTGGGAGAGTCTTAGCTTCCTGTTAAGACGAAGGTGGGTATAGGCGGGGAAGATCACATGATGGTCAAACTCGTCCGTTGAGGACGGGGCTGCCGTCTTCACTCCGCCCTTCGCCTTTGATATCGGTTCCCATTTGAGTGCTGTGTGCGTCTGAGTCGCCATCCTTTCCGCAGCCTTTCACGAGGATATGTCGCTGGGCAAATGTTAGCAATGTGAAATCGGGTTGGTGCGATCTTTGTAGATACATACCTTGAGAGCATCCTTGCGCGAAAAGCTCTTGTCACAGTGTGCGCAGGGGAAAGGCTTCACGGCCAGGTGAATGCGCTTGTGGCGCTTGAGATCGTGATTCCGGTTGAAACTCTGGGGACACTGGTCGCATTTGAAGGGACGATCGGCGGCGGGGGCGGACATGCCGTGTGGTGGGGGATGGCCTCCATATAAATGTTGGGAGCTGGCGATATGCCCACTGTTGAAGCCGGGTAGGAGACCGGGTTGCATGCTTCCCATCATCGACATGGGACCCCCGGGGCTGTGCACGTTGCTCATGACGGGACCATTCATTGCGGGGAGAGAATAGGATGGCCATGGCTGACGGGGATATCCTAACGGCGGCTGTCCAGCTGATGGGCTATGCACAGGCATTCGTGATGGAGGGTGAATGCCAAGGCCAGCGGGGCCATACATAGGAGAGAATCCAGCTTGGTGGGGGCTCTGCATGGAAGGGGATGCGGCGTACATATGCTGTTTAGATGCATAGGGATCGTTGGATGGAAGTGGGGCGGGAGAAGTAGCGGGTCCCCCATGGTACATGGTCATGGCAGGTTGTGAGGCGGAGGGGGGCAGGGTTGACGGGGCGGGTAAAGCTTGGTAAGATAGTGTCGGAGCTTCAAATGGATGCGGCAACCCATCCGTTGTCGGCGGCGACGTTACCGTGGAGCGTACCTGCATACCGGAGGAAGGTGAGAATGAACTTCGAGCTGAGTATTGATTGACTCCCGAACCCCAAGACTGTCCGTACGGATTGGCCCCGGGCCAAAATGTCGGCGGCAGATCCGATGCGCCTGTTGACGGCGCCAATGGCTGGGGTGTGGCGTGCTCCCCCGGTTGAATCGTGGCGGGTGGCGTCAACAGGTTCCCCACGCTCACGTTGACAGGTGGATGCGAGATTGGGGGAGGAGCAGGCTGTCCGACAAACTTGTTTGGAGCTGGCGCACTCGGGCCGAGCGTGAAAGGTGGCGGTGGAAGCTCAAAGCTGGGTAATGTCGGAGCCGCTGGGCGACGGACGTTCAACGGCGGGGCTGACAGCGCGTCCAACACCGTCCCCATGCCCGCTGGCACTGCAAGAGTCGCCAGGTTGGCGTTTGGATCCCTCACCCCTACGTAAAATTCAGAGTCGTTCGTGGCGAGCTGGCCGAAGGAAGATCCGCTCAGGGCCCAGTCGCGATCACCAGGCAGGCCCCCGGCAGGGCTGGTAGAATCCAGGAGGGGCGATCGTCGATCGCTGGGGCTCGCGATCGGAATATAAAGGAGGAACTCAGGTTCTCCCGAGAAATAGGGGAATTTCTGGAAGGACTCGAGAACTCGCAACAGTTAAAACAGAAGGAACACGTTATCCGGGAAAAGGATACAGGAAGTGAGATTATCACGGTCGACGAAGGCGCGAGTAGTACATGGTCTCGGGGAGAGATGAGAGTTGAGACCCAGAAGACAAGCTGAGCAAAGAGATGATGTGGGGGGGCAAAAAGACCGTGGCGTTGGAGGCGATAGCAAGCGCGGGGGAGATTGTTATAAGAGAGTCAGGAGTATAATCTGAACAAGAGAGTCAGAAAGCAAAAGTAAATAAGATTGATTTTTCCTTCGGGGAATGGAGTCGACGGGGGTCTGGGCCAGGTGGCCACCGTGGGGAAAAGGAATGATACAAATAGAAAAACCGAATAAACCGAATAAAATACCTATATTAAACAGAAAGTCGAATAAATAATAATAATGAAAAAGGGACGGAAAAAGGTGGAAATAATAATAAAAAAAAAGGCGAGCACACAGGGTGTCAGCAGAACGTGGTTGACAGCTAAAAACTGAGTCTCCGGTTGGCCGTTCCGAATGGTAGGTTTGGGGTTTAGTTTCTATTCTATCTCTTATATCTTCCGTTGATAAATATTAGACTTCTATATAAGTCTATAGACCGATCCTAGAAGAACGGAGTACGGAGTACATCTGTGAAAGAACCTCTTCCTCGAGGGGAATCCCTTGCGTCCGGATTGATCGCGTGAAAAAAAAGGCGCTAGTGTAGGGACTCCGGAGAGAATCTGTGCTAGTAGGAATGGGACCCGGCTATTATTGAGAAAAAAGAGCGAAACAAAAAAGGCCAACGGAAAAAAAAAAAGACAAAAAGAAATTATAGGTAAAATGGATCCATACTTTTCTACTATCGCGGTGAGATTCCTGCCCAATAAGGGGGGAAGCAGACCACGCACGGACAAGACCGGAATGGCTAGAATACGAGAATCCGTAGAGAAGGCAGAGGGAAGCGAGCTCCCTCGGCGGTCATTCGTTACGGAAACCGCACTTCAGTTAGTCTGTTAGTCGTTTTTAATCTCTTTTTTTACCCTCGGCTTGAGTTCACAGACTCAGACCGTACGATATATACAGAGAAACAGAGAGAAACAGAAGATTAAAATGAGATTACCTACTCCGTACTCCGTAGGTATGGTGTCGGAGTGTTGGCCTCCCAGATAGGTACAACATAAGGTCATCTGCCCTCTTTGGATTTTGGGATTTTCTGTTCTTTTGGCCCCCAATAGCCGAAGAGCAGTCTGCGTCTGATTGGTCCCCGGGTTTGTCGGCCATGGTTCCTTCACTGCTATCCTCTCATTTTCCCTTTGGGTGTGTGCTGTTTCGGGCCCTCAACGTTCCTGGTACCCGTTATGCTCTCGCCACTCCCCGAAAGCCAATCGCCTCCATCATCCGCTCCCTCGGGTTGTGCTCGTCTAAAGCATTTCCGTACGTACGGAGTACAGAGTACAGAGTTATGTCCTCCGGGGACCGTAGTGTGGCGGACCCTCCACGCGAGAAATTCGCTTCACTCCTGGTGTCAGGCCCAATCAGCCGGTGGAGACTTCCTTTCATGACCTTTGGCACGGACGTGGCAGATGCTTATGTAGAAAAAGGGGGAAGGACATGCCCTGTCGATCGGCTATCGCAGTAAAAAAGAACAGAAAACTTGACACATTTGATCTGCCGCAAACTAAGAATAACATCGCAAATATCTCCCGAATATGTCCTCCGTAAAGGCTGGTGGCTCCATGTACTCCGTACAATGGTGCAGCTAGCTGGAGCTTCTTGGCGCCGCTTAGACATATCCACTGGTGCATAGAATTTAATATTACGATCCGGACTGCATCACCTACTCCCCCGTGTTATTTGGCAGTTCGACTTTGAACATGCAGTCTACCCAAAAAAGAAGAAAAAGGAGAGGGGGAAAAGAGTGAGAAAAAATAGGGGGGAGGCAAGTCTTCAGCATGCGAGAGGCAGCCGAGTCACATTCTTGGAAACTGCATACCTCCACCCTAGCTGTGTCTAGTAACAGACACAGCATTTCTCCAATATTCTACATGCTATACATTCTATGCAGTATACTGACATCCGTTAGATACCCCAACTCACCTGCAATTCCAAAAATAAAGTCGACATTCGATAGCGTTCCTCTCTCCACGACGCGTCTGTAGCCGCACGTCGTCCCGAAAAAGGCTCATATCAGCGACGATCAATTGATTCCCAACCATCGATGGCCCCCCTTATGCTAGTTCCCGGCCGATCGATCTCCTACAGGCTTCCTCGATTGTCGTGATCCCTGAACCACACCAGGTTGTGGTTCACAGCCGATTAGTTGCTGTTTTCATGCAAGGCGGCTCCTACAGTCCAGATGTGACAGCGCGCAAGGATCCACCTGGCTGATCGTGAACGCCTTGGTGTCGCCTGCGTCGGGTCGTGCCGATGTGGCTTCGGGGAGGCTCGCGGTTGGCGTTCACGATCGTCGCCGGGAATGGCGTTCAAGGTTGACGGCCTTTCTCCGGGAGATCTGCAGCCATGAGTTTTCCCTGCAGGGTGGATGGGCATGCTCGGCTGTGGGTTTCAGAGCCCACATTTGCTGCTTTCAATATGGAGTATGTCCGGCCTATGTTGTATATTCTGCACATCGTATATTGACGGAGAATAATTTGCTGTGTCGGTCTTCAGTCCAAGAAAAGCAAAAGAGCTATTGCAGCACGGATCGTTCCTGTTGGACCATAATCACTTTAGTTGTCTCGGCTTCCGCGTCACCGGGCAAGGCTGTCGCTGTCTATGTCTCGGCTTTTATTTTTTATTTGTTTTAATTGCTACGGAGTATTATTTTTTTAAGCGTTTTTGCCTTTCTTTTATTTCCGGCTCCCAATTCGCAGCCCCACGAGTGTCTTTCGCTGCATGATCGTCTCCCTTGCGGCCAGTGCCGACAGTGGAGCTGTTTGCATTGGCCTTGCACATAAGATCATGGGTCCTTGCTCTTGCAATGTTGATAACCCCCTCGATCCCCTCTAGTTCTCGCCCTTTGGGTCCTTAATCCCACAAGGCCAGGTATCTGATACGACAGCCTCGGTGAAACCTTCGAATACATGAAAGAAGTGGTCCCATCGAGAGCTGGTGATGTTTGTGAGACTTCCCCTTCAATTCACTATAGGAAATATCCACTATCACTCGTCCTTCGCTGGGTTCCAGTATGTCATCATCTCAAACAAATCACTCAGGCAAAGCATGTAACACATATCCTATCTTGAACGGTGTGCGTCGCTGTCTATGCGTGTAGGTACCACATAGAACCCTCAGGGGTACCTGGTTAGTCCATATGATATACGCGTATAGACCCTTCGCCCGATCGCATTAACGAGTCACTCGGACCAGTTCGGAAATCCGAACATGACAGTTTCAGAGATAATCGAGTCGAAAACCATCGAAATAGCCGACTCAAGTTCCTAAAGCCGAGTCGCACCAGGTTGCATCTTTGTGAATTGCCGAGTGTTGCTCCGATGACGTCGGCCGGCGGGGTACAAATGCTTCTTCCCCTGCGACTCGATTTCCTTTCTTTTGTTTTCCCCAACTTCTCCTTCAATCAAGGACTCAATTGTATCTTGTATGTTCTCTTGGTGATACTGATTACTCCTTATGCAATACAAGCCATTTCTGACCTCTTTCAGAAGGCCGTTGCTTGCAACCAAACTATACCACGTTCACACACGACCCCTCCATTGTTCCTCTGCAATCATGCCTGGAATCAGCAAAGTCTGTTGCTCGTTCGTATCCCTTAATCAATCCGCATTCGCTGCGATGTCGGTGAAGCGTTGCTGACCTCCATCGCCCACAGAATCCCTCCTGTTGTCTCTAAGGGCTATCAGGCCAAGGGCGAATACAAAACAATCAATGGCCTGAAGACCTGTGGGTTTTGTTTATTTGCCGGAGCATCATGTCTTTAGCTAATAGGATACCCTTTAGACGTCACCGGTCCGGAGTCGGCCTCTAAGGCTATCTTGGTTGTATACGGTCAGTCATTCCCTTCCCCTCATGGGAAACCCAACCCGATCACCGGACTCATCCAATTGTATGATCCACAGATATCTTCGGTTTCTTCGACCAGACCATTCAAGGCGCCGATATCCTCGCAACCTCGACCGACCAAAAATACCGCGTGTTCATGCCCGACTTCTTTGAGGGTAGCCCTGCCGACATCTCGTGGTACCCTCCCACCACCGACGAGCACAAGAAGAAGCTAGGCGACTTCTTCTCGACCAAGGCTGCCCCGCCCAACACCCTCTCCAAGATCCTTAACGTCGTGGCCGAAGCTAACAAGCTGGCCCCTGGCGGCAATTTCCAGTCCTGGTCGATCCTGGGTTTCTGCTGGGGCGGCAAGATCGCTGCCCTGTCCTCTGGTGCGGACAACAAGCTCTTCAAGGCGGCTGCGCAGTGCCACCCGGCGATGGTCGATGCCAATGATGCCAAGGTCGTGAATATCCCCATGGCGATGCTCGCCTCGGGAGACGAGCCTGTTCAAGACGTCAAGGACTTTGAGGCAAACTTGAAGGTCCCCAAGCATGTCGAGACCTTCTCCACCCAGATTCACGGCTGGATGGCTGCGCGATCGGATCTGGAGAATCCCGAGGTGCGCAAGGAGTATGAGCGTGGTTATAAGACCGTTCTTGAATTCTTCCACCAGCACTCGTAAAGGAATATCGCAATGCTGGGTGGCCATTCGTGTGGAGATTTGATGATACTATGAGAACTAGATCCCTTAATCAGAAGATGATAATTAGTCCTTAATGATCACGCGCGAATCTTGCCTTCGACCATGCAGGTATAATCTATAAGACAAACCTCTAGGCCTTGGAACTACCTCCGTGGTTTGAAAGGCATGCCAGTATATGACCTCGGGACAATTTGGATAGGTATGTTCCATATTGCTGATATATCGATGTTTCTAGGAAAATTCAAGTGAGCAATAATCCTTAATTTGAAATGTTCATGGTATCTGCTTGTTTGTGTTCTTCTGTTGTACATCGATGTACGGTGTACATGTACAACCTTCACAGGACAACTCCCATTATTTTATTTTGACGCGCATTGTTTCCTCGCTATTCTCCTGCAGCTTTCTCGGATCACTCGTTGGATAAGTATGAATCTGGGTTAGAAAAGCCAAGTCATATGTGGAGTGGATATATATGCTGGACGAGACCCGTTCTCGTCAAAAAACGTCATCACTTTCCTGGAAATCGACGCACCACAACCTACCCATCTTTTCAATCTTGCCATCTAATACTCAGATCTATAGACTCATTCCAATCCTGGTCATCTCCCTGCATATTTAGCACGGTCGGGAAAAACTCGGCTCACCCATTTGCCGCATTTCCGTTTCCGCTTTCGGGGTCACGTCACAAATCGAGGGGCCGAGATCAGCGCTCCGCATATAGTGCTTAATTCTCATTCTCGATCCCTCAATTTCTCGATCCTGTATCGATTTCTCAATTGGGTTTCTTGTGCCGGTCCAAGGCTATTGCGCTCAGCCCCAAAATGCAATAAATGCATGCTGAAGACTTCCAATGTCTTTTTTATTCGGCCGACGTCGCTCCTCAGATGCAGCCCCTGCTGCTCCTGAGGATCCGGGGGCACTCCGACGGTCACATTCGCATCGCCAGGCTCCCTCTGACGACCATAAAGACGAGCATCCCGATAACGGGCGATTTCGAGATCTTTTTCGGAGGCGTAGTGCGAGTTTAGATACATCTCCCGCTAAAACACATGTAAGAATGTCTGTTTTGTCTCCAGAATAACAAGCTCATCGCGAAACAAGGAAAATGAGAGGCCATCTCCAATTGAGATAAACCCACCGCCCAAGTCACGAAAGGAGAGTGGTGCCCGCCGCCATGAGAGCAAAGATGGCTCTAGTGGCTCCCCTCGGCGCACTTCACCCATAGCAGGGGAGCGTTCCGAGCCAGCACAACCTTCAAATATCCAAGATCTTCTTGAATACAGGTTAGACATGATGAGCAAAAAGAAGCATATTTCGCCTGATGGCGATGCCGATTCGTCAAATGAACCAAGTCTCACCAAGAAAGAAACCAAGGCATTGCTATCTGGCGCCCCTCATTTCCTTCTGGAAAAGGGCAAGCATGGCCGGTGGTACCCCCAGGTGATATTTCCCTGGGACGAGCAAAACCCAATCATCCAGCATATGTGGGATCGCAAGCCATTGCCCCATGCATCCTTTACTCTAAGCACCCTCCACGCTCATCTACCAATCCCAGATGACTGGGTTTGCAAAGGCGGCGTTCCGATCCAACTGCCCGATTGGCGCCGAACAGGCGCTATAAACAGAGCGACTTTTGACGTCGGCGTCTTCGAAGTACCAAACATGCTATCCAACAACGGGAAGGAACCCGGCACTATCGGTTTCCGGCATTTCCTTGAACTCGCCGTGGCTGATGCGGTCAAATACACGGGTCCTGAAAAGCCCAGGCAGGCTCCATATATGCAACAAGTGTCTACCATGGGAGCAACGGAGGCGTATGACTTGATGGAAGGATATAACAAACCATATTCTCAATGCCAAAGTGGTGCCGTTTTTGATCGGCATAGACTGATATGTGAAGGGCCTGAGGCTTGGAAACGCATTGGCGTACGGGATATCAACCTTCAATCCCTTGTACAACGATTAGAACATCTACGCCGACTCCGCCACGAAATGCTTACTGAGGGATCAACCAGAACGATTGTGGATCATGAGAATCCGCGCGAATTACATGATAATCTCCACAGTCGATTCCTTCACCCTCACCCGCCAGTTGACGACATCATAGAAGGTCATGCGGAAAGCATCAAATCGCAAATCAAGACACTGGCAATTGTGCTGGCAACGCCAGGCGCGTGGATCAATTTCAGTCTCCCTGAATGGCGTTTCCGAGCAGGACAGATTCTTTGGGAGGCATCGCTGCATGGTGATGGAGACTGTCTGGACCCCAGATCCGGTAATGAGAAAATGCCACGGGATGTTGTGATCAAGTCCGGGATGGAGCGCAAGTGGTTTTTGATTCAGCTGCTTCTCTCTGCCGAGCTGCTTCTCCGCTTGGATGCGTTCATTCGAATTGGCATGCTGCATGATCCGCATGGTGGACATATCACAATTCAAGAACTTCATCAATTCGATAAATTGCGAGAAGGGAAGTTGAATTGGGATTTAATTGTTGTCCGAAGATTCCTTAACAGTCTCAATATAACCTGTCCATCACCTCAGCCAGGACTATCGCCCGTCAACTCACGGTCGAAATCTTCGGGCAGCAAAACGCCCGAGAAACCTCATCGGTTTGCTTTGCTCGATAGTCTCACTCGGCGAAACTCGCCGCCTGCTGCAGATTTACAGTCTGCCTGGGATTGTCAGTTGAGCTCTACGCATGTCAGACAGCAGCTGGAGGGACTTTATGTCTTCGCAGAGAACATTGGATGGCCCAAATTGGCTGCATTGAAAGAAACTATGAGGCTCAAGCTCGAGGACCCTGGCAATCCCGTTCTGCCAGCTTTGGTTGTCGATGATAGGTGGGGAAAGGAGAAGATATCTAAGGAATTGTCGTTGGCCAAAGAGGATATGTACACAAGAGACCCTTGTCGCCGCTGCGTCAAGCTTTGTGCTGGTCACCCACGGTCTAAAAGCCTAGGTTGGATCTCACGCTCCTGGTTGTCTGGATTCGTGATCCCGGGTGAGGGAACTAGTCACCTCCTCATGGCGACGCTGTTGGAGAATGATCCAGATGCACTGGAACGACTGGGTTCGATCGCCAACCTCTATGGAGGGTTCGTTTATGAGGGACGCAGTTGGTGGAGCAAAGCATGTGTCGTTGGACGCGTGTTGTCTAGCGCAACGGGAGCTAAGACATGCATGGGGTGGATCAGCAGCGACATGATACCACGGGACGCGACTACACGGGAGACGTTCGAGCGTGGTTGGCTCGAACTCCCAGTTGAAGAGGTTGCCCAGACCTCGAGCAGGCCTCGAATCAGGCAGGGACCTAAGGTTTCGATGGAATCGACACCGCTAGGTATGGGAGATATCACGGCGGAGGTATTTACGCTTCCAACGGAGGATCCAGAGCCCAGTGCGACCAGGGTAAAAGCTAAAGACCTGACTCTGTCTGTCGATGACTACGCGCCTAAGGGGAAGAACATTACACCTGCGCAGGCCTCCTTGTCGTTCTCCGTCGAAGATGCCGCAGTGGCTGGAGGTTCAACTACGGTCTGTTTCCCTCTCAAGTATAACGTCCGCTTTATCTCCGGCCATGAGTGTTGTCCGCCGCTGGGCGTCGTCTCCCACAAGGACTCCGACCGCAAAAAAGATGCAACGCAACCTACGAGGCCAGTGTCGAAGTATACACGTCTACCAGGCCATCTCCTGCACACCTCTTTCCGATATAAATATGTCGCATTGAATTCCCTTTCCAGTACTCCAGCGCCGCAACCAACGTCATCGCAAGGACCAGAGGCTCAAGCTCCAGAGGTCATCGTCATCGACGCTCGGGGTAACCGAGACAGGGAAACATTTGCTCGAGCGTGGTGTGCTTCAGTTGGGTGCCATGCGATCATAAGTCGATCCGGGGGCACTCGTGTGGCCTGTTGTGTCGCATGCTCAATCAGGCAAGCCAGAGCAATCGGTATAATAGTTGTGATACGTGTCAGCGAATAAGGTAGCATTTGCAAAATAATATTTTCTCGCGCATTGCTGCTACTTCTGGAAGGCGAGTTTTCCGGGGACCTCATCAAAGCCCGAAACCGAGGGAAAAAAAAAAGACAATAATCGCGCAAACCGGGGCTTTGTCTCCACGATAGAGTAAGTCGAATACCCCCTTTTTTTTCCCAAAATTTTCTTTGGGAAACTCGAAGAGGCGTTCGTGGCTTCAACGGCTTTTCTCCGGAGAAGCCGTAGGAAAAAAATAAATAAAAGGTGCGAACGGAAAAAACTTGAGCCCTGGGCCCTGCGCCATTGGAGAAATGAGAAAATGTTCATACCACCTTCCTCTTCTCCAAGCGAAACCCAAAAATAAATCATTAAAAGCACCGCAAATCATGATAGGGGCAAAATGGAGAGATGGGGATTTTTTTCTTGGGAGGACGCGTAAGGCAGGTTGCAGGTTAGAAAGGCCCTTTTCCCCTTGAACGCCAAATGGAGTCAAGGGCCCGGAGATGGTGAAACAGCCGGACTCAAGTTGGAAGACCAGTCAGGGCCCTGCCTTGTTGGCCCACAGGGAGATCTCCGATCGCAAGTCATTTGTGCTTCTGTTCGAGGAAGTATACTTCCGGCATAAACCCTAATTACACTGGACTGGTACTCTGTACGGAGTATACAGCCTTGCATCGCTATTTGACGCGCTGCATACCGCGACTCTTGTCAGGCCGATGTTATATCACATTCTTCATTGGCCTCCCCGCATATCAGATCATATCGTATCTAATATGCATGGTGCCCATGCTAGGCAAAACGACTCCGTACAAGCCTTGCGACCGACCTCCTGATGAAGGATGCAAAGCGGAGCAGACATTCCAAACTAGCACTAAATCCGATAGGATGCTACCTCGATAGATGATCCTTGTACGGAGTACGAAATACTCCGTAGGCAGTGTTCCTTTTTAGACGCATGCTGCTCTGTAGAGTACTGTGCAGCACGCCTGATGCCTCATAGGTTATACCTCCACGCCACTGCGGAGCTCGGCAGTTGGGATTTGGCAGGGCGAAAGATGGCTGGCTGCTAATCCCAGAGAGGGATAGGTGGGGTGCCCAGGACGTACTCGGTACTCCGCACAATACGGAGTACACCCGAATGAAATCAAACATATCAGAAGAGGCTATGTACGGAGGACTCTCTGTACACGCAGTGTCTGATCGAGGTGGTTGCATCGGATTTGCACTTCGGAACCTAGGTAGACTAGACATGGTCAAGTGACTACGGAGTATTCTCGAAGCAATTACACCAGGTACCTGTTTCTCCACCCACATGGGTACATATTGGAAGAGATCAGTAACCGAGATCTCAGCCCTGGACCCTTGTTTCAGGTTAAACCCTTGGCCGATCAACGACGCGACGCCCGTTGAGAAGCGTTACCTAATCCTTCCAGACGCGATGGTCTTACGGTGGAACATCGTATATTGGTCGTATGGCGGAGTCGCTTGTCTCGCGCTACTTGCCTCGCGCTACTGCGAGATCTATCGTAGTTGATATTCGCCGCGTCACGATACATGCGTTGAGTCTTTGGCTGCAGACGCACCCCAACTTCAGGAAGTCTTTATCCTGATGTCCAATCGGATACGCCTGTGAGGATTCCAGACGATTCGTGCTTGTCGATCTTCCAGAATCCGCTGTGGCGGAGCTGATGCGAAGGTTCCTCGTAAAAAGGCGGTCGAGGTTGAAGCACTCTGTACGGGATACCCAGCACAGGATGAAGCATCCTCCGTACAGTGAGAGATGATATATCCTCGGTACTCCGTGCATGGTCGTATGTCGTAAAGTGCCTTTGGGGCAGCACGAGAAGAGCACGGTGATCGGTGGCGTTTATTGGCACTGAGGGGGTTTTGTTGACGTGATACCACCATGAAGATCAATTGTCCACTCCCCTTGCCCAAAGCAGTACAACATTGTTATTCCAAGCCACTCCGGATGTTGACACGTTTTCCTCTTGATTGTGAGCCAGTAGGAGTCGATAATTACCAACGCCCCCTTTATTTTACGGTACTTCCCCTCTTTCCACATGTTCGGCCAGGCACGCGATAGAAGCCTGTTTTTCCATTGTTGATCTCTCTACTCCGTATTACGCAGGGGATCTCGTCGAATGTTTCCATGGCCAAGCTGATGGGGAAAAAAAACCCACGCGAGCGCCAAGAACAAGCTGTAACACACTACAGTTGAGACGATCCTTAATCAAACCTTCGCCTGCCCCACTCGGCGTTACAGAGCTCGCTTGCACATGGATAATATATGTATTATATTGTGTACTCCGTATGTTGTCTTCCGTATGGAGTTCTCCGTGCTTCATAGCCTTACCAGACCCTCGGACGGACATCCTACTCGGGCGTAGTCCAGGGCTGTGTAGGTGCAGATTTAGGTCTTCGATTGTCTGGACTGTACCGATTGGCTCCTTTTATCCTCAACCGGAGTAGAACAGATCAACCTGTTCCGCATCCGAAAGTCAAGACCACGTACTTGATCCTGGAAATCAGATAAGAATAAATACACTAGATGAACTCATAAGAAATTTAAGATTGCCCGAATTGACTCCCTATAGCGTTCTCAACCAAGGGAGTCCATGGTGATTGCGTCACGGAGCAGTGGTCGCGATCATTGATTGGCTCACCATGTCCATGGGTTTTGCGTCTGATTCGGTTCGGATGAAGGAGGCAGAACCCAAATTATTGATACCAATTGGGAATTAAGCTACGATTCGGAAAAGGAAAAGGGGCACACCCTGAACGTAAACGCACGCTATATTAACTTATACTTGCAACTGAGAGGGGACAGAAAGAAAAAAAGACCAAAAGGTAGGATCGTGTACAATACCCAATGACTTGATATCATTCACCCGTGGACCCTGATTCTGTTTTTAGTACAAACCTGTGGTTCGTTTCAGTGAGATGGGTACAACTGTGGAAATATTAGATTGCACCGAAAGGAAAAAAAAAAAAAAAGAAAAAGAAAAAGAAAAAGAAGAGACCAAAATTTAGTCTTCCAGAAGGCCATGTGGTCAACAGTCCTTAGATCAAACTGCACAGGTCCCCTTCGAGAAGCCTTCGGGGTTATACCTCTTAACATAAGGATCAACCTGTGAAATGACCGGAGCAAGAAGGTTATTCTTGGGACATGGACCCCCATCTCACTGAGGTGATTGGTTATGGGGGTTGACCTAAGCTTACGTCGCCAATCATTTAGTCCAGACTTGATGGGAGCTATCCCCCAGTTCATCGATGATTGACAGGTATCCCTATTGGCCCTAAGCCTAACTGGTTTTTGTCCATTTTGAACCAACATCCACACCTCCCCACTGTTGTCATGGCTCCCAGACCATGGTTCCTCGTGTCTGCTTCATTTGAAGAACCGGGTCTATCCTCCGGAGGAAGTACGCAATCAGGGGCATTGGTCATTTACCTAATCAAGGGAGGACTGGGCCAATTTGACGGTAATAATCGAACATGAAAGCAGCGTACAAAGTACCAAAAAAACCCCGTTCTTAAAACAACCTTTTGGGAGAAACAGGAAATACCTCCAACTTGAATCTACTTATGTACTCCGTTGGGAGTACTCAAGTACGGTTAAACCCCTAACATCGAAGGGGAGTTGCCCGTAGACCCCTGAACTGGTGATTGACAATGGCCTACTCCGTACAGTTCATTTAGGTCAAGTCGATACATCCGGGTTAGTCTTAGCTTGTATGAGAGCCACCTTGTTCCACCATACGGGGTGATATACATCCTCGTCAAAATTAAATTAAAAAAAAAAAAACATAGGAAAAACAGAAATAAAAATTAAAATAAAATAAAACACAAATGCCCTTTTGGGGACGTTTCACCCCGCGATTAGCTTCTTTCTGTTGGACTATACCTATGTACCATCTTCGATCTGCTCTTCTCCCCTTCACACCGTCCACTTCATATTCACTCCTTTGATATCCCTGTTTTTTTGGCCTTTTTTTCCATTTCACTTTTGACTTTTCTTACTAATCTCTTTATGGTTATCATCGTTGGACTTGTTCCCTAGTGTGGTCTTTCCCCCGATCTCAAACTGGGCCACAATAAACTTCTAGACCCTAACCCCGTCTAAACACTCCCCCCGGCATTCCACGAACGATCTAATCACCCTAATTATCACTGATTAATTGGCAATTACTACAGTCGGACCTTTGGGACTCCGAACTTGGGAATCTAATCTATCTTCAACCAATCTGTTGCAACATCACCTCTCTGCCTTTGAGACACACGGCGGGCCCTAACACGCTCCCAGCATCCTCTGAAACGCGCAATATCAGACCTGGCCCAGTGTGGCGCATGTGGAGCAGACACGGCGAATTTGAACGGCGTCATCCTTTGGACACCCCTCGGTCATCTTCTTTCTGCAGTGGCTGTATGGCCGCGCGGTATTACTATTGCAGTCGCCTCTAATTTCGCCTCAAGATACTCTCAATCGGCCCTTATTTCGCAAAGCACCCCTTTCGCTTCGCTGGCAACTTTGATGCGCTTTCAACCAATACAACAAGAGAACCGTGCTCGTGGGAGCTATGCCCGCAGCTGTTGACGAGATGGCAACTACAAGTTCACAGAGCGCCATGGATGCAAACGATAAAAAGCGCAATAAATTGGGATATCATCGAACCTCTGTCGCATGCGGTCAGTAACACATCTCCACCCGCTGCCCTTTCCATTGTCGTCTTTTTTTTATTTCCGGCATTTCGCCGGTGCGCCAGGAATGAAAAAAAAAAGAGCTAGAAACCCCTATCGGGAGTGGGATATTCGCATGTGATCATATTGCTTATACCTTTTTGCAGTGCACTGTCGGCGACGAAAGATCAGATGCCTTGTAGCGCCAGATGATACGGAAGGACGATGCGAGAACTGCATTCGATTGCGAAAGGACTGTCAGTTTTTTCCAGTGGATCAACAACCACCGATTGAAAAGAAATCACGACCAAGCTCGAGGCTGGAAACACCTTCAACTGAGCGCTCGAACACTACGCCAATTGCTTCCTCTCCGACCAACTTGATGCCCGATCCTGCCGAGACTTTTTATCCGTACCAGACTATGCCAATGAGTGCCTCAACCGGGCAGGACATGTCAACGTACAACGTCGGAATGGTTCAAACGAGCATGAGTCTAACGCCAGGTAGGTTGACGTCATTCAAATCTATCATCTTGCGCATTGCAATTCAGACGCATTGATTGACTGAATAATCCAAATTAGACCGACCCATGGGACCAGGAGACTTTGCCGGGCATCACCCGATGGAGACTGGAGTCGCGTGGGACGAATTTACGACAATAGCGGACCCGCAACTGTTGAATACGATGGCAACTGGAAAGGGCCAGATGATGAATATGCCGCCCCAAATGTGGAATCCCGGGAGCATGCCCCCAGGACTACCTTCAGGCCTGCCCCCGCCCTCGCCGATATCCGCAGCGTCTTCGATGGGAGGCCAGGCGCAACCTATGGGCCCAACACCAGCATATGCTATGCAGCCAGACGGAACAGTCTGGCAAGTACCGCCGCCGCCGCCACGGACAATGAGCTACCCTGGACAAGACATGGAACCCTCATACCCTAATCAATTCCAACCACATATGCCCCCGGAGCTCAAACGGCGAATGACTACACCCGCCCAATCTCTGTCTGCCACAAGTGCAATGGGCTCTCCAGTAACACCGGAGATGCAGACCCCCGGATCAGTCTCATACTCACCGGGCATGAACTACACGCAATGGCAGGATATGAGTGCCATGTCTGGAATGGGCGTGGTACAATATCCCATGTACGCTGGCGACGCAATCCCACAACATCCTTATCCTACCAACCCTTCTCCGATGGGACACCCCGGGACCTCAGCGCGGTCACCAAACCATTAAAACGTTTTCCTCTTTTCCCTCTATATCACATTTTACAACATATCTGCCACGCTTAACCTGTTCAACCCCTTTTTTTTCCGGGGGGTCTGGATTTTATCACGTTGCACATCACATTCCTAGACGGCCTGTTTCATTTCTAATACCCCGTGGGACATGCACATACTTATTAACCACCCTCCGCTCAATTGGCATTTCATCTATGTTTTTACCTCATCCTCATATACCGTGGCAGGTCTGCTTTGCAGCTAATCATCAGCGGGCGCAAGGGTCTTCGGGTGGCATTTTTCCGTCATTGTCTTTTATTTTTCTATGACATGCTCTCCATCTCTTCGTTTTTCCTGCCATCTCGAGGGGTTTCAAACCCACGGATCTGCCTTCTTATAATCTCTTTTTATTGTATTTGGTGGCATACGGCATATCTATTCCCCGGGTTATGGGACTCTGTTTTGTCGGCGGTTGTTTGGATCAGAGCGTCATTTTATCCCATACATGTTGGTGGTCCTTTTGGAGGGGCCATTCATATAGACTTTATTTTCCTTTTCTTCGTTGCCCTACATTATCATACCCAATCGATACATTATGTATGTTCTTGTGGATACGTGTTCTCTTCTCTGTTGTTACCGTGGGATTTAGACAATGATGTTCTTGAATACAAGGATGTAGACCATACTGTTTATTTAGATAGTATAACAATTGGAGGTCTGTTCTTTCTTGTTGCAACTTATGTTGGACTCATTTGCATTGCTTATTCTATTTGTCCGTTGTAGGTCTATGATGTAGATTGATAGACTGGGTCTCTTGTGCGACTTCTCCCGTCCAACAGCCAAGTTCCTCCTACACTGCACCTAAATGATACGTATCACACAATGGCTACATTACATATCCTTACGTTGTCTTGATCTTTCTGCCCCGTACTCCGTAGTCCATACGTTTAACTTTCTGGATTTAATCCTGTCTATTCACAATGATCCTTGAGGAACTACGGAGTATTCTGTAGCCCATCTGTAGATGTGATATGCGAGTTCCCTACTCAGAATGTGCATATAGGCGGTCCACCCTTGCTTCATCAAAGACTTACCATAGGCCAGGCAGTATGTAAGAGAACAGATGAACATATTGATTAGTTGGGGCAACATATGGCTGAATTAGACAAATTAGACATGAGGCATGCATAGCTCACATGCAAAGAAGTGGGCAACAGGCCAGGACTCTGGTTCGTTCGCCAAGTTTTATTGGCCAACAGCTCCTCCGGTCTTAGAGCCTGGGAATCTGCAGGAAAGTTCAGCCAGCCATAAGAGTCTACGAAGAGAAGCCAATCAGATGCTCGATGTCTGCGAATTGCGTTGTGCTCCTGAGAGCGGATTTCGAACTCATCTTCCTGGGCACACGTTTAATAACAATGCACTCTAGGCCCGAATTTAGTCCAGGATTTGATGATAAACTTCAGAGGTCCTTTTGCTAGATAGAAAGATAGGTAATGAGCAGATAGAGAACCCAGACATCGGAAGCATCGATAGGCTGATAGCCACATGTAGATAGGCCCAAAAGTGATTTGTACATCGATGACCTGATGGCTGCGACTTGATAGGGTACTTACCTTGCATGAAGTTAGGATATGGAAGAGATTAGCCAGATAGACAACGCATTTGGAGTTTTCTGGGGGTAATTGCATCTTTCGCTGTTCCCTTGCGTGCTGTGCTGATGGCGTCACCAGTTTGATATCTGAGATATGTGTCAATAACCCGACTATTCCCGTATCTTTTCGAGATACATTCGGACTCGAAGACCAGTCACATCGGGAGAATGTACTCCGTGCATTGCTATCTTGACGTTGTAAGTCATGAGCAAGGAGATAACGTTCATTGTTCATTGATCTGGCGAATACGGAGTAGACGCCACTGGATCCGCTTTGGAGGATCCCCCGGAGAGCCGGTGGCAATGAAAACTGGGGTTGGAATCTGGAGATAGCAGAGTCACAATGCGATGGCGGTGTAAGTGATAGATCCAATGATAATGGTGCGTTGTTCTTCCAAGGTCTGTGACAGGGGTTCTTATCTCTGCGCTTTGAGATGTCTTGGGCCAAGATACCCAGCATTCTCCCTGTTGGTTGTCGTATCAGCCCAGCACACTGTCTGGCCCTTTAGGTAGCGTCACTGCTTATCAAGACAGGTTTTGGCGGATAACCACACGGGAAGGTGTCAATATTTTGGGTTGAATACTGCGTATATATAGTACACGTTGTCCCTGAGGTTCTTTTTTCTCTGTGTCTTCAGTCTCACTTGTCACCTCGGTTTGCTCAGATGGGAACCTCTGGGTTGGTTTGGTTACAGATGCGCAGTGTCGGTCTCTCGTTCTCCACGCTGTTTACCCCTGGGTAACGCTCCTTCATATGGAATCAGTCCATCAGTCCATCCGTCAAATGACTCGACCTAAAAGATTTCTCCGTTAACCGCAAGTACCGCATAAGAAAAAAAGGATCTTCCCCCAACCCCTCCGCTCAAGGAAGATGACCGAGACCAAAGTACCAGTCAGATTGGGCTGAATGTGCACACGCCACGGTCCACTATAGCATTACGGAGTCCTTAACGTTGTTCCCCGCGACCGATTCGGGTTGATCCGGGTGCCTGGGACATTCCACTTCACATATCATATCCCCAGATCCAAAATGGATTTGCCAATATGATTAGAAATGACTATGTACCTGGTACTTGAGTGTATTACTGAGATAAGGTCGAGTTCCACCGATCTGCAGTCTCTATCATGACCACGGCTCATGACATCTTATCAGCTTTCTTATCTCCCAGCTGGTGGGCCCAGGGGCCAAAAAAATAAACCAAATGACATTCGATACATTGAAGTTGATTACTTGCACGGCGTCGTTATTGGAACATCAGCCCTCGGAGCTTCGTGAAATGCCTATTTCCGTATCGTGTGCCTCTTCGCCCTGTCCCAAGCTTGCCCCCACACACGGATGAATGGACCAGACTACCGGGAATCAATTGATATCAGTCCAAATGATCGGCTCTGCACCTACGACGAAAGGACCGGAGGTGTGTCCAGACCCCGCCCTAGTGTCGTGGCAGTGGCAAACTTAGAAGGAAGGGGGGAAGCAGGGATATTAACCGGGACGGAAATGCATCTCAAGATGCCCCGCGAGGGCGCATTTACCCAGATGCCAACGGTGGACGTTCATTTGCGAAAGTGGCCAGTTGCCTATTTCCTGGGTACTTTACTTGCTTTGGGGGTGAACCTCGGGGAAATTCCGTGACGGTCTACCCGGTATCTCGACCGCATACATGACCGGTACGCTCTTCGGGTAAGATAGGGATCTTATTCTCAGCTTCTCGGTGAGTCTTCACTCCGTTGCTTAGCTTCGTGGCATTCATGCTGGCTCATCTCCGGAACTTTTCGTTGAATGTTACGATGATATACGAATGTATGTGATTGAATACATCTGTGCGGAGTATACTTCCAACAAATCTGGTACAGTAGTACTCTTAGGATGCTTTCTCCTTCTCTTGCTCTTCACAAAAAAGAAAAAGAAAAAGAAGACCCGTAGAACGTTCCTTATCTCTGCGGATCCGGTCATTGCTTGGATTTAATTAATCCAGTCCGCCCCGCCGACGCCAAGTGCATGGACTATAAATTTCGATATCGACAAATCTGATCGGACCTTTCTCCCCATACTTGCCGATTCTTCATGGCTCAACTCATGAAGAATCCCTCCCACTCTCTGGAAATATCTCAGAGCATGCGGAGTAGTAATTTGGGAGATTGACACGAGAGGATGTCTGTCTCAGCTTCCGTCTACATATCCCATAAGATCTTTCGACTGGGCTGCGAATTGCACTCCACTAATAACGAACAGTACCCACTTAGCCTGCATCTGGACGTGCTCCGGGGGGACGCCAAGAAACATGATGTCTTTGACCATGTGCTGAGACGGACATTTGCCTAGGTTGATGTCTGATTGACGCCAACGAGGGGAAGTGATAGTACCTGCGTTTAGACCGTTCCCGATTACAGACACAGGATCGGGCAGGGTACATTAGTTTCAGTTTTAGTACGGAGCTTGCGAGTCCTCGGGCCGATGATTGTGGTCGAGATGCCGGTCTCAACTGGACTCGAAAACAATACCACTGTCGAACAAGATCAATGCTTTCACAAACAAGATGGGGGCCGTGCGACTGCTATCGCATAGCGGGTACCTACTTTGTATTCAGAGAATAGAAACTCCCAGACTCGAGGATATCGATCTCAACACGAGCTGATGGTGACGGGAGAACAGAGACCAACCATGTAGAGTATAAAAGCCACCATCGAAGGGTAATTGGCGGAGTACTCCGTACAGAGGATGGGAATGGCACATGAATCATGGACAGTCGAGCGAAGCGCCGTAAATCGGTCTTTTTCCCGTGACGCGAGTATTACCGGTACGTTTTTGGTACATATAGATTACATAGATTACAGGCGCTCGTTGTTCGGCGTCACTCAGTGCCTCTTTTAGACATCATATTATGTCGTGTTTCCTCTCTTTTATTTTCAGTTTTGTTCCTCTGATTCTTTGATTTTGATATCTACAACTGACAAACGTACACCTTTGATTCTAACCTATACCTTTTGGTTATTGTCATCGGGTCGGCAGTAAACCACTGCCCTCCGTTTCCGTCACTTCCCACACAATTCCCGTTCCTCCTCCTCTCCATCTTCATCTCTCATCGCTGCCACTTGATTCTCGTCTTTGTGTTTGTCATTCCCGGGAGGATTCTCTTCTTCCATCAAAAGATTTCTTCAATCGGGGCATGAGCGTTTGGAGGGTCTAGCCCCCCCTCCACGACTCATCAGGAAATCCCAAGAGGCGTCGAGGCTGGGTGGTGGCCCCCCAGATCGTGCGTTCCTCTAATCCCAGTCGTCAGCTTAATTATCTTATTACCATATATTATTATTATAAGATCTCTTCCGTGCTAATAGGTGTTGGAAGCTGACAGACCCTGGTCGTTGGCTGAATTCTGCCAATCGTCTCTCGCTTGGCTGCATTCGATCATCATCTTCCGGCAAGGGTCTCGTTTACGGCGGGTACGGGGGAATTTCAATCCAACCCACCTTTTTTTGCCGTCTATCCCCTCCCCGCGGTCGTCTCCGTTCGAATCTCTTTGCTTTTATCGTCGAATCTCTCTCCGTCGGAGATTATGGAGGGGATACATTCTGGAGGGCCTGGGGGAACCGGACCATCCCAGTCTATGGCCTTCCCCGGGTTCGACGCCGATCCCCATATGATGTCCGACGACTTTTCCTTCGATTCGCCCTTTAGTCCCTCCGGCTCCTCCAACGCCAATGACGGTGTCCTCGGCAACTCCATCTTTCCAGAATGGACGAACGGTGCCCCTCGTGGCGACAGCCCCGATGAGATGCAAAGAAAGGATCCGTTAGCTGCTCAAATATGGAAGCTCTATACCAGAACAAAATCCCAGTTACCCAATCAAGAGCGCATGGAGAATCTAACATGGCGGATGATGGCCATGAATTTGAAGCGCAAGGAGCGGGAGCAGCAGGCTCGGTAAGCAACCCTTCCTACAGACCTGGAAGCATATGGCTGATTTCTCGTGTCCGAGCAGTGCCTCCGAAATTATGAGTCCGACACCGAGTGGCATCGCGCAAATGCGCTTGTCCGATCAAATCCCACCCACTGGGCATGATCTTTCGAACGATATGAACCTTGATGCTACTCCAGATCCGATGAATCTGGATGATTTTATCATTTCCTTTGATTCGCCCGCTGATCAATCTTCACATCCACCCGCCGATCGAAACTTTACAGCAACGCCGACGGGATCAATTCCCATTAAATCGCGCAAGGAACATGGGATGATGGATCCGCCGGTCGCAGCCTCATTCACCCATCCACCCGTGGATCAGCGAACTAACTCGGAGTTTGGATACGTTGCTCGACGGGTCCGCAAAACGAGCGTTGATGAGCGGCAGTTTTTCGCCGGTCTCTCTGCCCCAACCCGCAAGAGGCCCGCCGAGGCCTCGCCTCAGGTCCCTCCGGTATCCAACGCCATGATGGCGCAGCACTCAGAGCTGTCCGCTGCATTGCCAGATTACTCCCTCGATCATCCGTCTTCTGCCTTTGCTCTGCCAGGCAATGGCACAGTAGGCCCTCGCAGGCCTCTGCATCATCACACGCACTCTGGCATTCCCTACGGGTTAGATACGTATAATATTGGCGATGACCACGGGATTCACTCAGCCGGCCCTTATCAACAAAACTTCCATTTCTCACCTTCGGATTCTCCAATGGCGACTGGAAATCCTTTTTCGAATCTTTATTCCCAGACGCCGCTCGCCTCCTCACTTAACTCAACTGAGTTCTTTTCACCCCCGCCTTCCGGTTATCAGTCCACTGTGTCGACCCCGCAACCAATCTATGAAGGAGAACAGTCTATGTTCTTTTCCGATGCACCCTCCGTTGAGGCCCATATTCAGCGCCGTATTCCTAGCTATATCCAACAGCGTCAGTCTAACTTGTCTGCGTCGCTACAGCCACGTTATATGTATAATTTGCCGAACGGTGATTCTCAACCGGGAAGCGCAGTTACGGGACCGCCAACAACTCATGTGTCTGGATTTTCGGTGCCGCAACCGCAGCATGTTAATCCGTCGCAAGTGCTTCGACCCGGCGAGTTTTCCACAACTGCGCCTGCCGGCAGTATGTTTACTTTCGGTGGAGATTCGGACAACGAAGATGATGATGGCAACTTTGGTGAACGCGGAGGCATGACCATGCCAAATGATTATGTCTCCATGGATGAATCCGGTGACACAAGTGCTGGTCTTCATTGGGATGGAGGCTTCCCAGGATCTGTACAGTCTCTACCCGGCTTCAGTGCTCAACACCGCAAGCATGTCACTATCGGATCTACCGACATGATGGATGGTCCATCTGAATGGAACTATGGAAGCAGTCTTGGTCGTGCGCACGGGTCCGCTGCTTCGGTGAGCGAAGTTCGCAACCGCGAGCAGGATCCTCGTCGGTACGGGAAAGTCCCACGCACAGCATCGACCCCCAATGCTGCTGCATTGCTTCGCCAGAGCTTGAATGGCACGGTTAGTGGGCCTCCGACGAACCATCCGTCCCCCAGCACTCCACCTGAGTCCGGCCTCAGCAGCGCGGTTCCGTCCCGCCCAGGTAGTCCTGGTGGATCGAAAAATGGTGATCCGAACGCGGGACCGACCACTTGCACCAACTGTTTCACTCAGACCACTCCTCTTTGGAGACGCAACCCAGAGGGTCAGCCTCTGTGTAATGCTTGTGGCCTGTTCTTGAAACTCCACGGTGTTGTCCGCCCCTTGTCCCTCAAGACTGATGTTATCAAAAAGCGAAACCGCAGCAGTGCCAACACCCTTGCCGTTGGTGCTTCTCGGTCGAACAAAAAATCTTCCCGCAAAAACTCGATCCAGCATGCCCCATCCACATCGATTTCATCCCGAATCAATACATCCGAATCGCCACCCGCGATCAACGGATCCAGCACGATGGGGAAACCCGGTGTTATAGCAATCGCTGCTGCTCCACCCAAGTCGGGTCCCCCAGCTGGTGTTGCTCAGGCTCGTGCCGGTGTGCAAGTGGCCCCCAGACGGCAGCGCCGACTCGAAAAAGCACCAACTGGATCCGAACTAGATGCAGACGACAGCCTCAAGTCAGCCGCTCCTATGAGCCGGTCCAAGGTCGTGCCTTTGGCTCCAGCAATGGCACCGCCCGCTGCCGCAAATCCAGCAAATCACAGCATCGCTGGTGGGCAAGGGGCAAGCCAGGAATGGGAGTGGCTGACGATGAGTCTGTAGTTGGTATCTACCACACGACTTCTTTTTTTATGCTGAACTTTGCCAATGTGTGACGGGCCAAACCACCACTATAATCTTACGTTTTGCACGATTAACGTCCCCGGAGGTCGTGGCTCCTTTATTACTCTCTCATGCCTTCCCTGATTATTTTACGTCACGTGTGCTTTTTTTTGTTGATTTGATTGATACAACCGCGTCTGTCCGGGACCCGAGCTGCCTATATTTATGTTTGCATCCTTTATGTTTGATTTTTGTTTCTTTTGTTGTCTTGCAGCTCGGAGCCGGACAGAAGTGCGCATCTCTCTCCTGTGTATGTTTTTTTGATCTTATTTTATCTATTCTTGGATTTTCTTGCGCTGCTGAGCAGGCTTTGATTAATGGGTTTTTTGATGCGTGATTACTTTTAGACCTGGACTTCAATACGATCATGATTTTCTCCTAACTACTCTTTACTTGCTGTTGAATTTACCCGTGAGCTAGCCCTAAGTGCCACAGGTGAGGGAAGGGTGACATCACAGCCATCTTCATTCCCCGGACATTAAGCCGGGGAGGGCAATCCACGTCATGTCGACGAATAGCCGGCTTTGCTGATATTATTGTGAGGCACTACTCCGGCCACTTAAAGCCAAATCGGTTCTATGCTACATTCATCAGTACCAGATTGAAGTATATCGAACCAGCAAAAGTACTACCATCAAGATGAGTGGAATGGCAGTATGGCATCTCCTATTCCAGAACATTGACATGGCCGCGCTAATTTGTTTTGCAACAGGGTGACTACTCAACCACAGATGGTAACTCACACTCTCGTGGATTTCCATCGTACACAATCTAACCAACACATAGCGGAAGCCAACGAACGGTTCACTACCAAAACAAATACCACAGACACAGTGACCGGCCGCGTCCGGGAATCTGCTAGTCATGCCCGCGAGAAACTTGCCGAGGAGTTCCAGCCAGGTATGTACCTATATGTATCTTCCTCGTTGATAGCGCGGGGACTGGCTGCAACATACCCTCCATCCAAACGTGGTGACATAGCTGAATATATCTTTGCAGGAGATACAAAAGCCACCACCCGTCGTCTGTCGGATACACCTGGTAATGTGTGGGCATTCGGACAAGATCGTACAAGAGAAGAGCCGGATTATGGCTTGGAGAGGAATAAGTCTATGTTGCAGTCGGCGCAGGAGACGGTTGCTAAGGCTCTTGGGGGAGGATCTCGTGGTGAGTTGCTGTGGATTATGGGATGTATTTTGGACTAATTGAATCTGAAGGTGCTGGTTGAATATCTTGGGTTTAGGGATTAGATGGTAAAAGTTTGTATGGAGAATTGGATCTCAGGTGGGATGTATATTATTTAAGGTCTATATCTCCATAAAATTCATTTTGATGTCTTAATCCTGAAGTTTTTGTTTCCACTTCAATGACCATAAAAGTTGCAAATATCCATTCTGGATAATATCGAATGTGGATTAGTTTCGAATCTGCTAGATCTTCTGGCTTATAGGTGCAGGACAATTAGTGTGGTGATCTTGCATGATTGGGACGGATATATTCGAGGATGCCAACAACAATTTTCGAAGTTTGTATTGAAATCCTTTCAAAGAAAAGACCTAATATGAGCTCACTATGGAAATGAATTTTTTAACAGGAATATTAGGACATAAGTAGAATAATCGTGCAGGGGAAATATCTTTCCAAAAGTCACAATATACTTCCCTTTTGGGTCAGTTCATTCCTCAGGCACCAACTGATAAATCACGTGTGATAATCAGCGCAAAAAAAGAATCACCGACAGCCATCAACCTCCAACATTCAATTGACTTTGCAGCCATGGGTTCCAGTTCTAAAAAGAAGAAGGAGAAGTCCAAGGACTTCCAGGTTAGTACCCCGGCAACCACATCCTTTGGTCAACCCACTGACGCTTGCAGAAACCTAAACTCAGAGTTGGCAAAACCAAGGCGAAGCCCGACAACTACACCGATACCAGTTTCAAATCGAAGTGTATGTGCATTGCTTTAGCTCCCGAGCATATCAACTTACTTACAATTACTAGCGATTGTCCTGACACAACAATCTCTCCACCTTGCCGCCCCAACTTCAAATGCCACATTCACACACAACCTATCTCTCCTCAACGTCAAGTCCGACAGCCAACGACGCGACTCGCTTGCTTATCTGACGACAACGATATCCTCTCGGCCAGTGAACTCGCCATTACCGCAACCAGTGAGCATCATTTTGCCGTATTTGTTACCTCTCATCCTCGATGGAGCCACCAACGTACGGACCCAGCTCCTCAAGCTCTTGCGGGCCCTGCCACAGGGCGATGTGCAGGACCATGTCGCACAGCTCCTTCCATACGTTCGTGCAGGAATGACCCATCTTGCAGCGGACATCCGCAGTTCCTCCGTGGAGATCCTGTCATGGATGGTCGAGGCAGCAGGAGACGCAACAGTTTCCAGTGCGGGAGGATGGATCAAAACACTCAACTGCTTTTTGTCTGTGCTGGGCTGGCACACCGAAGAGTCCTCGCAATGGTCCTCGTCCCGCGCTTCCTTCGGCAAGGCTGGTAGCCAGGGTAAGCCCATGGTGAAGACGCTGGGAGTCCTGGCGGAGTTTTTGGATGCGGGAATTGGAAAACCCTCTAGTGGGGGCGACGGCGAGATGTCTGTTGATGAAGATGAGAGCTCTGACTGGCCTTTCCCTCTTTGCCAGACTGCTCAGCACATGGTCTCAGAGTCATCTACTCCGTTCGCGTATTTGAATCTTTCTGCAAAGCCGCGCGACGAAGAAGGAGAGATGTACGAAACTCGCGAAGATCGGTATCGCGTGTTTGCGGATCGGTTCCAAAAGGCCATGGAGCGTGGTCTGAAGGGCGCCAGAGAAGAAGGTGGCGAGCTGGGTCGTGCATCATCCAGCGTGACCAAGGTGTTGAAAGAAGCAATTGCTTATGGACCGGGGCCCTGAATTGCTCTTTCTGGATTTATGAGCAAAACCAAATCCATCCGTTAGGATGGTAATCCTGGTCTATGCTGCGACCTGGGCCCTTGAGCTTTCCGTGGGCTTTGTCTCGAAAGGCACCAGCAGACCTTGCATCCGATTCAAATCAGCTCGGGAATCAATACCGCGGTATCTGTCTTCACGCAGCTGGTCTCGCCCTGCAAAACTCGCAACCAGCGTTCCAACGGACCCGTCAGCACACCTTCCTACTAGGATGGGCGTGGGCGCTGCGCCGTTGCAGCAGGGTCACGACAAGATATGTACAACAAGAAGGGTCAGTCGGTCGCTCATGCGGCCGCTATGCCTGATGACGTATGAATCCAATAACCCCAAGATTCAATTGGCTCGATAGATGATATCCATTATTGTCAATAATATACCCTTTTTTGATGTCTTTTCCTCCCTCGGTAGAAGAGAGACAATAATGGGCAGATGAGTATGTGGACCATGGTGTTTCAGTCCATCTCCTATCTCAGTCCATCTCCCTCGTAACATAGATAATTAGTACAAGTCTTCTTGGAGCCCAGGTAATAGGCCAGGAAGAAGGGCTAGTAAGCATTAATATAAATGCTTGGTCGATGCCTCATCCGCGCAGCTTTGTTCGCTTCTTCACCAATATACTTCTCTTCCTTCCCTCCTTAACCTAACAGTGTAGTCCCCAAGGGAAGGCCAATACACACTCAGATTTGTTTCTCGAAAAGAAGCATGTATCCGAAGCAGCTTTTCTATAAGTTATCACGTTTGAAAATAGAGACATTCAAACATGAACATCCAGCTGACTTGTTGAGATAAACGCCGACGGGCCCTTCTACGAGCGAGCCATGAATGCGAGGAAGACATTATTGGATTGAAGGCTCTGGAATACATTTTTTTATGATAATACACTTGTTCAATTTCAAGGTAAGAAATTGACTAGATTCAGTGGGAAGGCTAGGTCAACGTGAATAAATCTTGGATACAACTGGGGCTCGATAGGATGAGTGCGCGGGTTCTAACGTCAGTCTGGAACAATCACAATTATGATATTGTGCCATATTCGATTTCGCACATGAATAGTTTGTATTACATAAAGAGTTGTTAACCTCTCAAATATCCAATTTTTTGTTATTATTGTGGAGTTTGTTTTCATCCTTTCGTGGTTAGCATGTTAAGATGACACAGGCAAGTAAAAAGCAGGCGTGTTGGGTAGATAGTAAAAATAACCTTCATACTCAACCCTGGAACTCTCCGAGTCAAAAACTTAAATGAAACCTCATGCATATACAGAAAGTACTTGATGACTTGATATTCACATATAACATCAGTACAGAACAGACGGTTAAAGCCAATGCCAGAGTTAGTCTAGGCATTCTTCTCCACATCATGTTTCTCCAGTGTATAAGAAACCGCATCCTTCCTATCCAAACTATCTGCTTCCAGTCCTTCCACGACCGTGCTTCTCTCGTTATATATCTCTTCGCAATAAACCGCGCGTGGGATCTGAGTTTCCCGCGCAGGAACTAGCCATGACAACAGCACATAAACAATCGATGTTGCAACAAAGCCCAGCAGCCACCCAAACTCAAACGGATGGACACCAGCACCGATATCAATATTGGGGTTCACGGCATTGACCAATCCAGGAAGATTGGGTGCAACACCCACGAGGAAAGCAGCCACTGCGCGCCAGTTCGTGCCATACATGGTTTTGCCGGACATACCCGGGAGCCGGAACTCATAGCGATATATCGGGTTCTTCGGTTGGTACAGAGCCAGGCTATCGTACCGACGATGATTGACAAGCCAGAAGTCCCACATCATGATTGCTGCAATGGGAGCAAGGAAGATAGCATAGGCGGACATGAATGTGAGGAAGTTTCCTGCGGACTCGAGGATTTTCCAGGGGACAAGACACCATGATAGGAACGCGCATAGGAGTTGGCCTCGGCGGATATTGATATATTGCGGTAGGAGTGCGGTGAAATCATTAGCCGCTGAAAGAGAATTGGCTGAGATGTTGACACCCAGGGAGGCTAGTGCGAATGAAAATGCGCCGAAAAAGCGACATGCGCGATTGGGCCAGTAGCTGATGAGGACCATTGGATCCCATGGGATGGACGAGAGGTTGTAGTGGGCTTGGCCTGCGGACGAGCAGGCGACGCCAATGAACGAAAAGAATGTGAAGATGATAGGTAGCATTGGGATATAAAGAAGCTGCCAGCGAGGACTGATGCGGGAATAACGAGAGAAGTCTGATTGGTTGACACTCAAGGTGGCGTAGTTTCCCAGCACAGAGGTCATATTGGCAAGGAATAACCAGCTGTACTTCGATCCTGAGACGGTTGGGGCCTGTTGGGCGAATACGCCACCCCCGCCTTTCACGGAGACAAATGCCCATATCAGCATAGCAATCCAGGCAATGGGAACAATTATTGATTTGACAGTAAATAGCCAGCGAAGACGATTGGGATGCATGCAAAGGAATGGCACTTGGATCAACCAGAAGAGGAAGAACGCGACCATACCGTTGGTTGTGATACCCTGCGATTCGGGTATATGATTCGGAAGGTTCAAGTAGCTTGGCCAAATTGCTCCAATCATAACACGGATAGCATTTCCTCCATTGACGTTTTGGATAGCGAACCAGAAAACGGCAAGGATCACTCTAGAGATGATCGCGATATAGGATCCCCAGAAGCCCCAACTAGCACGAGCAATAACGGGAAATGGAACATGGTATATAGCACCCACGGCACCGTTTGCGGCAATGACCAAGGATATGATGAAGAAGGAGAGGGCGACGATGCCCATGGCTTCGCGATATGTGAGTCCGACAGCAATCATACCGCTGGCGAATTGCCATGTCGATGCGTGTAAGGCATCGGAGATCCAGTAGGCTAATGACCCATTGTGTTAGTATCAAACTTGGTGGACTTTTGTGAGAGTAAGCTGAAGTACCTATGATACTCTTAACGCCCCATTTGCGGTTATCTTTGGGGATAGGGTCGAGATCATGGTTTGTCCAGCGTGCATTGCCAGCTGCGAAAGCAGACTCGCCCTGCGAGACTCGTAGGTGAGGCAATGGGATGCGTAGCTTCATGGCTAAAGATGTAATACTTCAGTTGTTCTCGGGTGAGATTAGGGCTGAAGGATCGATCCCTCGGGGTCGTTCGGGCTTCTTTTGACTCGGCACCGTAATACCACAACACAATGGGTAGAACAGCCCAAGAATGTCGAGCATGAGACAATACGAGAAAAAGCAAAAAGCAGGTTCACCAGCTTCTTATTCCCCAGATTCCCCCCGAGCTGCTGTCCGTGCACACGGACAGGGGACGATGATAAGGTGATAAGCCTGCAGCTTGACGCAGCTGATAAGCACAAGGGGGACGAATGAGAAGGGAGAAGGCTGAAGGACTTCGTAAAACTCGTTTAGTGTATCATGATATAGAGATATGCTTATTTGCTATCCATGCTGCGTGGGCCGGTTGCAAAGACTAGACATGATCGTCACCCTAGCCAATCGCTATGAAAGTACGAAAGTACTCGCTTTACTCCTTCTCCCCCGGCAAACGAACGTCAAGCCATCCTCGGCCATCCCCAACGCCCTCTACACTGCCATGTGGTCGGATCCCTTGCCACTCCGTGAGATTGAGCCACCCAATCTGCTGAACGTCGCCAAACCCGCCAATCCAGTAAGCATGGGTCACCACCAGCCGAGCCCAGAAGCTCGCATGGGGCGAATAAGAAGCACCTGGTAGCCAGACCTTTGCATCAGGATGGGGTTCAAGGAAACACTCTTCGAGGGCAGCTGCTGCATCCTCGGGAAGTGGGGACGGCAGGTTATCTAGATATCCGAAAAGGGTGACCCGAGGCAGAGCAGCTGGGCTCAGAGGCAAGCCGGGATAGACTGGACCCGCCTCATTAAGATGGTCCCACCAGTCTAGCTGGAGACTGAGGTTCGACCCGGCAGCGATGTTCTTGAAAGTGGTTCCAATGCGAAGGCCGAGAATCGTTGGATCGCCGTTATCACCATGGGACAGATCCGATGGCAGCGAACCATCACAGTCGGCGATGTACTCGCGGAGTGCGATAGAGAGACCGGCAACATCAGAAGGGGCATGTGCAGAGGGTGGAAGGGACTTCGGGAAGTTGGTTGAGATGACTCCAGAAGGGGACAAAGCCAGGAGACGGCGGGCCATCAAAGTCGATGTGAACCAAGATGGGCGGTTGAAAGCCGCTTCATCTTCAAAAGGAATAGAGTCCACGATCGGGTCCGAGTTACCTGGTTGTCCGAGGAAAGCCTGGAGATTGTCTGCAAGTGATACAACAAAGCCATAGGCCGTGAGGGGTGAAAGTAGGGCGAGAACGCCGGCGAGAATGGAGGCCGAACGAGAAACCATCATGACGGCTAATCAGATAGACAAGTTGGCATCGAAATAAAGTCTGGATGTTTCAGCTATTCAAATATAAACAAGAGGGGGAGAATGGGGGGAGAGGGGTGCGGAGAGACGCGGCGAGTGATCAGCTGATAGCGATCTTATCTGATTAGGCTACGTGCCGGCAGCCTGAATTATAAGGCGACCGACGTGCTTCAGGTGTCTTCTGAAGTTGATGTCACAAATATATTAGTAGAAGGCGATGCCTTTGATTCCCGGATCATCTATTAGAAACAACATTCAACCAGTCAAATAGAACCAAGAATATCTGTAGTCATATCATGGCGTGAGCATTCCTACACCCGGATGAGCATTGACACCGATGTCACCCGATGGTTCGGCTTCTTTGTCGTCAAATGCTATGTCATATGTTATGTAGATACCCTTTTTGACATCGGGTCATTCCCTCTCTGGATGAATCTATCGAATAGCGGGGCTACAGTATTGCCGTCATCTTCGAAACCCTTGAGAGCTTTGCCATAATTGCCCCTGTAACAACGAGTGCACTATATCGTTTCCTTTCAAAACGATATGTTCGATCGCTTTCTACTCCTAGATAGAGATTGAGCGTGTTTGTTCTTATGTGACTTCTCCCGAATATGGAACAATCAAGTTAGCGGTAAATCAAGCGGTGGGCTTGGCAGGGTTAAACGAATCGCAGGTAGATAGAGCTTCTCTCCACACTCAGAGACCAAGTAGAAAGTATTCTACTGCGGAGTACATATGCACAGATCGCTTTTAAAGAGCCCAGACTATGAAGGATACGATGTATCTATGCCGTGCATGAGCCATGACCCCCGGGCTATACATAGGAGCCAAGGATGGCACTGATAACACAGCCACACCCGAGGTCCACAGCCACAGCCACAGCCACAGCCGGCTGACGCCTGAATGACTCACCGCTGAACCATGGATTGTTGCACGGTCAGACATCATGTGCACAGTTGCCTGGCGTTTAGGGATACGAGGAGGCCGATATCGCTGTGAAGCTGTATTTGGATTGTCCTATCCGAGGGTAAACCTCCGTGGATGGCAAATATACCATTCCATAGATGGGAAAGCTAATACAGGTATAATCAGGGCAGACGCCCGCTTCCACCCCCCCAAGGTACCAGAGTAAAAAAAGAACAAACCATAACCGTCCCATACCGACCACACTCCGTTTGCAACCACAAAAGTAGATAAAAGAAAGGGTAAAAAGTGAGAGAACAGATGCACGATGCAAGTAGAAGACACGCCCGTCATCACAACATCGTACATTTCGTGGGAATCCAACGCCCAAGTCCCAGTGCGACCGAGTGCCCGAGGAAATAAGGGTATATACATGAATACTTCGGGATCGGTTCGCCGTAGGAGAAAGAAACAAAAAGACGGACTTTTTCTTTTTTTTTGCCTCGCACAAAGGAAAGAAGAAGATAAGAAGATCCGCTAATAAATCGCAAATCAATTCAAGTACTCCGCAACACGAAGACTTGGGTTCATAGCGACCTTGCGTGCTTCGCTGCCACAGCATGCGCGTTTCATGCCTGCTGGTCCGGAGACTGGGCCACCTCGCACGGGGGCAATGAAGCTCTCGTGTTGAGTCATAAAGGAGCGTGGGAGCTGTCCATCAGGCAACACCGAGTGGTCTCCAGAAGCCCCGAGGTTGATCAGGTGACGCACATGGTTTTGAAGCAAGAGATCGTCGGATCCCGTACGCCCACGTTTTCGGCACTTGCGTCGTTCAGGCGTAGCGCCGGAAAGTTCGCAGAGGCTCTGAGCAGCTTCGCTCAGGCTGGCATCCAGCGAAAAGTGGGACAGATCGGGGACCGAAGAACCCATGGAACTGGGATATTCAGGAGAGCTGTAGACACCGACCAAAGAACTCTCGTCAATAGGAGAGGCAATAGCCAGAGGTTTCCGGGACTCCTTGATAGAATTACTAGTGCAGCGCAAAGTGGCCTTGACAGCCAAACGAGCAGGAGCTGAGCCATTAGTACCTGAGGCAGTGGACGAGACTGATGACGACCGTGACGAACGGGACGACAGAGTAGACACGTCTGATACCATCGAGTCAGGCGAAGATGCCGATGAGGTTGAGCGAGCCAAAGATGACCGACGAGCCGCAGCCGGGTAAACATCGTAAGACTGACCCCGAGCGCAGAATGACATAGGCGGGCGCTGATCGAGGGTCGATCGCGCCATGCACACATTCTGCACCTGAGACATAGCATTACAGATGGATGGGCGATGGGGATTATAAGCAGCCACACTCGCAGCAGGAGTAGAGGCAACCTGAGATTGGGGGGTCATCTGAGGGGTGGGAAGCATCGTAGGGCGTTGAATACCAGACATGGCAAAGTTGGAAAATTCCATACGCGGAGTGGGCTCCAGGGGGCGCGGCATACTCCGACCATAGGTGGGAGTTTGTTCAAGCGACAAAGAGCGGACTGACTCATTACTCGGCAAGCTACGCGGAGACAGAGATTCGGCCAGACCGAGGTCCATCCCACTCATGGTCGAGACTGGGGTCATAGGCTCTGACTCTGCAGAGTCCAGTTCAGGAGTAAGTCTGGGTAGGACAGTCTGCCAGCACTGACCTTCAGCAACCGGGGGTCCACCGGCACCGGGGGTCAACTTCAAGACCAAATCGGTCCAACGCTGAAACGTCGCTTCGTCGATGTGCAGGCGCCATCCGACAGCCTTGAGGAACATAAGCTCATTTTGGTTGATCTCAAGAGTGTTGAGGCCAGAAATTTTGCTCCAGGCACGAGCGGAGTAGTTGCGATCCTGCAAATACTTTGAAGCTAGAATTAGCGCCGCCAGGAACATCCGGCGCCCACACTGCATCGCCCGGAGAAGCGACTGATCCCGAGGCTGCTCCTTGGTGAAATCATGAGTGGGCACGTGGGGTTTGATCTTAATCAAATAATACAAAGCCACCTGCAGGGTACTATAGCTAGTACGCGAGCGGCGGAGTGTTTCCTGGATGAAAGTACGGAGAGGAAGAACTCCTTTTGATCCGGTCGCGGCATCGCTACGGGATGCTGCGGCGGAAAGAGGCCAGATAGTCTCAACAATCTGTGAAGCGGTGTCTTGAAGTGAGGGGAAAGGATTTAGCCAGGCGAACAAGACGTATTTCGAGGAGTCTTTGCTCAAGACTTACCGACGAGGTTATCGACAAAGTTTACCTTCCGCTCTGACTGCCGAAGCAGACATGGCGGAGGGCGCGCATTGGGAGCGCTAGAAGAATAATTGTTAGTGCGCCGAGGATGCATGCGCAGCTCGGATGGCACTACACCGTCCACCTTGGAAGCAGGACCCTTGGCATAAGCCCGGGGGCATGCTCCGTTCGGATTTCTTCCCGCCGATTGGCTATTACCCTCATTCTCCCAAATCACGTCAACTGGGTTGGTCGATGTCGAGGATACCGAACTCTGCGATGAGACGCCATCGAGGGAGAATACGGAGGAGGAAGAGGAGGAAGCGGAGGAGGAGATCGAAGATGCGTAGGGGTGAGCGTGGTGAGACGCTGGCAATTGAGAGCTTGGGTTTGAGAGGTTCATCCCCAAGACGTCCATCCCTGACATATCCGGAGGTGCTGCGGAGTTCATATAGACTCGTTTGTGTGAACCAAGTTCAGATGTAGACAGCCGGATAGAGCGAGATGGTCCGATTTTTGAACCGTAGTGTCAAGATACCGTTAAGCAGGGAACCGGGAACGAGAGCCGAGGAGACAGAAGCCGTCTTTGCGACGTAGGCGACGGCAGACCTTTAAGTGAAGAATGCCAGGTTGATAACCAGACGTTTAGAGGGAAAAAAAAATAAGCGGGATCGCTTGGAGTAGCGGAGAAAAGAGACCAAAGGGGAAGTAATCAACTATAAAGACAAGAAGAGGAAAACGTATTCACGATCCGATCAACCAAGTGCTTCTGATATAAAAACCAAAGCAGGGGCACGTGGCAGAATGACTCTTTTTCGATGTGTATTTAGATGGAGCCGGAGACGGTGACGATGCGGAGGTCGGTAACAGCAGCACAGGCGATCGGAACGGAGGAAACAATAGGGTACATTTTGAAACAAGTCGTGTGATAGAAAGAGTTATATCCAGGCACTCAACGGGCCATGAACAGGCAGAACCAGGCTGGTGGCTGCTTGAACAAGGCAGGCGTTGAAGTGGGCTAGGCAGAGAAGAGAGAAGAGTCCGGGGGGCAGGGTGAGGCTGAGGGGGAGGCGAGAGAGAGTGGATGTTAGCAAGGGAATCGGAGAAAGGCCACTTTATTTAGAGCACATACCTATGACTCTTCTCAAAATCCGGGTTGACTAAGAGAGGGGGGCAAAAAAGAGAAGTCTGAAGGGGAAAGAAGAAAGTCACACTGTGGCGAGAAATGGGTGGCGGGTTAGGAAGATGCCGGGAGGCGCAAGGACCACAGGTATAGGAATAGAATATAGTGAAATATTCTATTCTCTTTTACTTGGCTCTATAATCAGGAGATAGTAAACTTCTCTCTTGATCGCAGAGATGGTGAGAGGGGAAAATCCGGATGCGGCGAAGAGACTCCGAGATAGGAGTCCACGGTGGCACGACGGTGACTCACGGTCACTTTGGCTATACTCTGTAGTTCTGTTCTATATAACCCCGTCTATTATTATATCATCTATCTTCGATATCTGGTATCCGGTATCTGATATCTGATATCGGACTCCTACTAATCTGGATTTTCTATCCGATTGCTATACACCATAACAAAAGACCCGGCATGACACGACCATATGTAGTGGCACCCAATGGTAGGAACTGTATAGCCACTCCTAGTGTGCTCTAGAAGAAAAAAATTACAACGTTAACAAATCAGCAGGGACAGTGTTCATAATTCGCAACAATAACAATATTTCATTCAATCCGAAGACTCTGTCGGAGTTCCACTGAGTCATAAAGCCGCTTGCCACGCTGTCGTCGCGCCGTGGCCAATCCACGCGCGGCTGTTAGGCTGCGACCCACTATCATTTCCATTATTCCATGATTATCTCTATGCTGATTGGCTGGCATCGTGATCGGCGTTGCTGGTTGGGGCTGCCTGCAGCCCTTTCCAGATGGGCTGGGGAACCTCGGGAGTACCTAAGTCCCCTATTTTGAACTCATATGACCTCACTGTGGAAGAGCTTAGGCTGAAAACAAAGAGCAACACCATTAGGCTTCAAAGTGGAGTAAGGAGTATGGAATCTGAGTTTCTCGAATCTTCAAGTAGGTGTGAGTCGCCAAGACATCGCTCCAGGGCAGCAAAGGGGCATTAAGGTACGTACATTCAACATCGTCCAAAGTACCATAAGCAGAACAGCAAACTTTAGAAGTCTACTTGGCATATAACAATTATTGAAACATCAAGGAGGGATACATGGATAGCTACAGGTTTATGCTGTACATGTACGGAGTAAGCTACCGACATTCATGTATAAGGATGCAAGCACCGCTTGGAGCACCTTGACCAGCCCCTGTCCCTCGGCCTACATTCTGAGTATCGCCGAATTCAATCGAGAATACCCACTCACCGGTATTATAATGCAGATATTTGACCCGCACACTCCCCATCCTCCGCATCCTTTAGCCCACACACGTCGGGCGAGTAGCCGGTGGCTGTACAAATGACCACAGAACCCAAAGGGCCGATCGACACTCAACCTCCACAAGGCGCTTGCTGCCCACTCCTAATACCACCAAGGTAAAAACAATACCCGGAATCCAGAGCTCTTTGCTGGCCGAAGGTTCACCGATAACGGCGGTACGGCTCTCCGAAGCTAAAATCCCAAGTAGAGCTGTTGCAGCGGTTCCTCACTCCCGGCCATCCGGGTCCAGGTCCGCTAGTTTTCGAGCCAAAGTACTCCACAACCTGGGGAATACTCTGCGTAGACTCTCCGTAGACTGATAATTAACCCGAGTTGCGGTTGAGCTTCGAGTGTAGCGGATCCATGAGCTCAAATCATTAGCCCAGTGACTGAATCTGGTCGTGGACGCGTGACGAGGCATATGATTGCGCCATAGGTGGCCCGTACACTTTGGACCAGAATGTCCAGTGTGGGGAGATCAGCCATGAATCTGTCAAGCACAGGTTTGGGTTGCAATTTACGACATACCTGATGTACCGGATGATGGCTGGCACTCCAACACTCGCCCATTCTACTCCGTAATGGATACTCCGTAGTGCTCACCTCTTTCCGCCTTTTGACCAGCGGGTAAAATTGAGCACGCTAAAGTACTGGGTGCCTAAATAGCCGCCCTCTACGGAGTAGGGCTGACTGGGTCACTGATCCTTCCATCCTTCCATGCTCAACCCCATCACGTGGAATGGGTAAGCCCTAAACATCACCTGATCATCATTTGACGGAACCCCGACTTTGCTCATGTCAGGTGAGCATGACTGGAGCGTACCCAAGTTGTCGATGGATGTTGTTGGTAGAGATGAGCGACCTGGGTAAGCTACAACAATTAAGTACAGCACGCTAGCTTCATCAGACACCTCGAGATCGATATTCGTCCCATCATCGTCAGCATGACCGTTTCCTAGTGATTCCGGTGTAGATGACAGGGACACAGTAGCGCTATTCAATCGATCATCAGTTTTCGGTCTGGCCTATGCCCCTGGTAATAACCTAGAGACAAGATTTGGACTACTAGGAAGATGATAATTACATATATATCATTAGGGATCTAGAACTATTTCCGATATCAAGATCCGCCAGAGGAATTGATATCCAGGACTCGGCGCTTCTCGAATCGAGAAGCTTACAAGCCAAAGACAAACCATTAACAGTAAAAGCCCCATGAGCTTCTAGGCCCCCATTAGCTTGTATTGCCAGAATGTTAACGGCATCGGCCCGAATGGCCAGTTTTCACTTTGCCAACATACCAAGACATTACCATGCGTCAGCTGCTGGTTCATGCGTCCATCTACTCCGTAGTCCGTATTGTATTTCCTAATAATACCAAAGAGGGTAAACCGGCCAAGACATGTGGCGGGGATGGCAAGGGCTCGACGTGGCTTCCCGCCCGCATTTAACATGCCTAGAGCAGGACTCCAAACCGATGCACTTCGTGTTTCTTGTCACAATAGTTCTCAGGTTCTTTTTCTCTCATATAGTGGTATCCAATCTGCGTATCCATCGGGCTGTTAGCGGCAAAAGTACCAACATCTACGTAGTCTGGGCGGTTGCTTGGTGTGCATTAGTCTGTCTGAGGTAGTAAACGCTGCTCTAGCCCCACGATCCACCAAGGAAAGATATTTAGTGGGTTCCACGTTAGGGTCTTAAAATATCCCATCGGCGGGAACTGTAAGATATATCCCCGGATATTAGACTATCTGCTTTCCACGAATCCGAGCTTCATCTTGGATTGAATAGACCTTCTGCAATACGCAGGTATGTAAGATGGGAACAGCCAAGGCTGACATTTCATTTCTGCGAAAGCCAAAGAAGAACTCACGTAATTCGGCCCCATGATTAAACGCCTGGGCAAACCTTTAGACAAAGAAAAAGGAGACGGCTAGTTTCCGTAATTTCTCGCCGTTCGTCATTAGTACCATTACTTAGTACTGTTAGAGATACTTTGTACAGAGTACTCCGTACAGGATCCAACGATCGAGGAAGGAGGAAGAGTTGTAAGATAGGGACGTTTCCGATTCTCTTTTGCATACCATGCCCTCCCAACCATCGCATCATATAGGAGTCATTGTGAATCGATCTGTTCGCCGTGCTGCCTGCGACCAGTGCCATACTCAGAAGCTGCGCTGCACAAAACTAGAAAACTATGATGTGTGTGTTCGATGCGAGCGATTGAACCGCCAATGTAACTGGAGTGTTCCATCGCGGAGTGGCCGCCCAGCAAAATCGACCGCAGAGGGCAAGCTGGCTAGGCGTGACAGCCTGCAGAATGTGGGAGAAAAGCGTCGCAAACGCTCTTTCAGTGCTCTAGAATTGACACCGGAGAACAGTCATCTCGAAACTCCACGAGAGCATGTTTGTACCGGCCAGGCTAGCGCTCTCGCTCGAGATCAAAACCAGCCTCAACCCAGCCCTTTGCCTCTGGAGATGGCTGAGGCGCCGCCATCGTTGCCATCCATTGTAGATTGGAACATGTCGGATTTCTTGGGACTGTCAAGCCCACGTTATGGCGCAGGGAAACCCCCCTTTGTCCCTTCGTGGATATACCCGGATAGCCCATCTCAGATGCATAATTTCACCGACTGTTTGCAACTCCCCAACAATGGGGTAGGATATCCAGGGACTCAAGCCACAGAGAACCGAAACGCGAGCGGAAACAACCACGCAGTTTCCCCATCCCCTGGAGTAAACTCTTTGCAGGATATCACACGAGAGATTTCCAACATCAATTTGTCGCTCTTTGACCTAGAGCAGTCTCTTAATGCCGAACCATGGGGTCCAATGTTTGCGACCCCAGCTGCTGCTGTGACTAAACTGAGTACCTGTAGCGATGACCAAGCGGACGACTGGATGACCCAGGGGTATCCATTGGTCGACATATTTAACAAGACACAACGATTTATCGAAGTTGCAAAGCAGACGAGCATTTATTTTGCCTCCCGCCATGCTCCAAATGCATCAACGCCAACCTCATCCTCTACCTCTCACCCGGGACAACCACCATCAAAGCACCCATTAAGTGCCGCTTATGCAGACAGCGACACCCCCAGCCAAGCATCGTCCCATTCATCTATCCCAGTAGACATATCTATCCAGCCCGACCTGCCTCCCCAGCACTCTGCACCCTCTTCAAATTCAACGCAAAGCGACCGACCCAGCCGCACCGCAAGCCATGTACCAACCGCCCTTCTCTTCGCAACGGGCTACGCACGGATTCTCGATATTTACACAACCCTCTCAACGCAGATATCAAATTTCGTCCACGCGCTCTCGGTGCAGTCCCTCGCCGGGGAACCGGACAATAGGCAACGCATGCATCCCGCTATCCCGCCGCTGCAATGGGGTGCGTTCCAGCCCGCTAACTATGGCGGGCTGCAGATACTAATGGCAACGCAGGTGTTGACCTATCTGCTTAAGGAAGTGGAGCGGGCAGTGGGTTTCTACGGGTGGGAACGCGAGATGACTCGGGAGCGATCACGATCTGAAGAGGGGGAAACAGGTCGCTTTGCTTCGAGGCATGGGGATTCTCGTCGACGTAGAAGGGATTCTGGAGTTAGGGATGCGGATCATGGTGGAGGTGGTCAGGGATTGCTCAGTTCTGCAATGATTGAAATTGTGGTCCAGGCGGATGGATCAGGGAATTGGCTGGGAAAAGTCGGGGTGTTGCGGAGTAAACTCCGAATGTTGAAGGAAGAGCTTGAGAAGAGTATGCATAGTTAGACCATGCACCTACTTTTGTATAGTATTTCCCTGGGGGATTGATGGATGTTTTGTCGAATCGGCTCTATTAAGCCTTGTATTCTCAAGTAAAAGAAGAAACTCTCAAGCCCAAGCGATACAAAGCGATACATCTATATATGCAGAATTAGATGCCACACTCTAGTCCTGATTTCCCAAATCAGACACCTTCCACTCCAAACCAGCTTCTTGTAGCCGTTCCACATACCGAAACCCTAACGACGCTGGGGTCAGAATTCCCCCCTCCCATTTTCTCGACAATTGAGTCCTGTCCCTTTCCTCCCAAAATGTCCAACAGGGTTAGAGCAGCTTCACTAACCAAGATTGCACAGACAGTATACACATCCGTATTGAAGCGCATAACACCCAATGCATTAGGCTCGTTTACTTCGTCCCCATCCGCCGCGACTGTAGCCGTCCATTCCACGAAATGAGCCTCTCCGGGCTTCACCCGCGGCCCAGTTCCCGGCTCTGGAGAGAGCCATCGCAGCAGCCATCGGAATGGCGGGAAGCATAACACACAGAAAACAGCGACTGAAATACCGAGAAACCCGGTCCATCCTTTCAGCATGGTAGGCGTAGTGGTATAGCCATGGAAGCTGAATCGTTCGCCATATCGCTCGGATCGGTCTGCGTATCGCTGTAGCAGTGACCAGGTACGCATGACGACAGCTTCGTCAGCCATCGCAGAGGGGTTGAATGTGAGATTACCCAGAAAACGATCCCGTCGAACGGGGAGAACAGGACCGGAATAAGGCCGATGAGCTCCAGCATCTGGGATACAGCTCGCGCGAGCTGCACCGGCAGCCATCATCTGTCGAAGGGAGTATGTTTCCAGGCTGGCGAGGATGCTTGCAATGGTACCACCGCTATAGCCAGTCCAGGTATGTTGAATTGCGAAGAACATGGGTCCGAGAGGACGGCGCAGCCTACGCGCAAGAAGGAGCGTCATCAGATCCGGGGGACTTGATTCCACGGCACATTGTGGAATGATCTGTGTCATTAGCATGATCTCATCTAGACCTCCGGGTGAGAGCTTACAATTGCCTTGTTGACCATGGCCTTTTCGTGCAGCTGCGCTGCTAGACGTTGCGTCCAAATGTGTTCGCCTGTGGAATCCACGTAGGCAGTGGAGTGTTCTATACAGGCTTCTACAACGGATGTTCCATATTTACAAAAAGGCTATACTGTCAGTTCGTCGGATTGGATCGTGGTAGACGGCGTGGGACTTACTCCGACCAGGTTGAGCACAAGACGTGTCTGAGATGCCATGCGCCGAAGATCATCGCCGCTGAGGGTGACCACCATGACATGGGGCAACTTCCGATCAGGTTGAGCTGGGCCCAAAGAGTCCATCAAGGTGATCAACCTCTTCTCACTCCGGCCAGCAATAGCCCATCGGAGGGCTTGCGGACCTTTGGCCCATAGGTACGGCACCACCAGAGACCCCACGTATCCGGTAGCGCCATACACGATCAAACCAAACGGTTTGTCCATTCTCTGTGAAGGGTTCATTCAAATCTTAATGGAAAAGGAGAGAAGTAGAATTGGCCGAACTCATAATGAACTTCTTTGCTCTACCCAGCTAATCCTGGCCTGATCGCTTTCGGTAAAACCCACCGAATGTCTTTTGGTCCATCGCGCAATTGATCAGCACGAAGTATAAGAGACTTTGCAAGGCATTATAACACAAAGAGTGTTTGAAGAGAAGAGCACTCATCTTCCTAGCTCCACCACCTCGTCTTAGTCTACTTCAACAACCACCGAAGATCTCTACATCAAGCCCTATTTGGAATTCTCGCCGCGCACCAGTATTTCAGCCTTCGTCTCGTATTTTCTCAGCTCGACCGGAACTAAACACAGATCAGGGAGTACAAAGGCTGTCCGTCAATAATCTAAGGACTCTTAGTTGAAATGTGCCGGCCTTTAGATGTTTCCTGGCCAAATTGCTTATTTCGGAAAGTGCATATTTGCCTTAAATCTTGCCAGGGAAATAATGACAATGTATCTAGGTTGCTAATAAAGAGTACACATGAGTGTCACTTTCATTTGTATCGGTTCTATTATTGTACTTCGTTGTTGATTTTTGCAATACGTCCGGCGTGTTTTACCCGAATTGGGAGTCAATGAAGCCGAACGCAAGGTATACAAACCGACTCTGATCAAACCGCCGAAGCTGAAATAGAGGTTTCGGATTATTGTAAAACAAGCTTATACTTTTTTTTAAATTCCATTTAGTCAATCCCATTCAACGGTTTCACTTGATCAAAATGCACATTACATGCTCTGTTCGGAGTCTGTGAGGGTGAAAAGTGGACTTGAGTTGTTGACGGACAGTCCGAACAACCCAAAGCTGACGAAGACACACAGAATTCTACGTATAACGCTTGTGTATCGACCTATCAGTGTGCTATTCCATCCCCATACACCGATGTCCATATAATCCGTGTTAACACATAGTACCCAGGTAAGCTGCATAGCACTCCGTGTAACAGAACAGTTTCATCCAGCCTCGAGGAGATGCATAGACCACACCTGCAATCTCCCAACCACGACCGATAATCCCAGTAACATTGGAAACACAAGCGCATACCACGATTCCAGTTTCACCGGGAAAAGCAGGGATCTCCCACTCCGTTAATCGCCAAAATAAGCTCTTTGGGTCGGCAAAAGCTCACCAATATACGGTCAAGCCCAACCACTCTGCAATCCGAACCTAAGGAGCTGTGGTTACCCTTTTTGGGTGTTGGATAGGAGTGTCCGGCACCGGAGTTCGTCACCAGGTTGGAATATGCACATGCAAAGCCTCTGGGAGTTGAAATGACGATCATGATGTGTTTCTCATTGCGTGCATTAATCCCTCAGCTCAGGCAGCTCTTGTTGTTTATGCTTCTTGGGCAATCTTTCGCTTGCATTGTATTGCAGATGACTCACGCGGTGATGAATAGATGCTTTTGTGCATATGCGTATGCATGAATCCTAGAGAAACGGGAGGAATAGATCCAAACTGGGAGTTCGTGTTCGAGAGGTAAGAATAGATATTCTCATCATGTTGGTACATAGTAAAGCTGGAATTCGAAACTCATGTCTCGGACTCTATACACCTGTCACATACACTTCTTCTCCGTCGCAGTGTGGAGACGCGAAAGTGAGCTGTTGATACGGGGTACATTGAGACATACTGAAGATGATCGGATTGTCTAGGTAATAGAGGTAGATGGATATATCCGCTTTGACTTCGGAATTGATACGAAGGATGTTTGACCTTTTCACATTGTCGGCGGTATAGCAGGTTTGCTACGGTCTTCGGTTACGATTAATACTCAACCCCCTGAGTTGGGCGATACGTCCACCAGAGCTTCCAAATCACACTCGTAGACTCTCTGAGCAGTGAGTAGACCGAGTAGTTCGCTTCACCAGACGGAGAGCACAATCCGCTTCGCCCACACCATCCCTCCAGAACCAGTACATTGCTGGCTGTCCACTGTAGGCACCTTTCCCTCTTCCTCGCACCCATCCAAAGACAATCCTACAACCACAACACAAAATAAACAAGAAGATTTTGCTTCCATCGGGTATATGCACAAAATCCAACCCCCACCAACCCCCATAATCAGCTCCCAGGAATCAAACCATTACCTCGCCCGCGCCGCAGCTCCAGACCCTCCAGGAGAAGCATCATGCACAACGCACAACAGATATTTCCGATCCGGCACGACAACAATCTCATGTTTCTTCGTCCGCATCCTCAACAACTTCACCTCCCCATCCTCTTCCCGATCGACGTCATCGCCATCTGCCTCGCGCGTGCTAGTCTCGTGTCCGTAGTCGTAATGCGCATCCCCGTGCCCGTCGCTGGGCCGTTGCACGGTCGGTTTAGGCCGTGATAGAGAGACCCCCAACGCCTCGGCGCTCGAGACGTATGCGAAAATGTGCGCCGCTAGGGTCTCGGCTTGGGAGGGTTGGTAGGGCTGGGGGCTGGCGGGTGAGGTAGGGGATGGGTCTGATTGGGGGGTGGAGTCGGTAGGGGGGATTTGGGTGCGAGGGGTGGCGGTCTCTTCGGGCTTTTGGGCTAGTTGTCCGGTGCTTTGGATGATGGAGCCGTCTTTGCGGGAGAGGATTAGGGTGCTTTGCACGCCGGGGCGGGAGGTGAGGTGGGAGAGGAGGGCGGTGACGTGTTGGGGGACTTGTTGGGTGCGCTGTGGAGAGTGTTAGTTTGTTTGAGGGCTTGGAGAGGGGAAGGGGAGGACTTACCTGTGTTGAGGTCGCCATGGTTGGGTAGTCCGCGGGGAATGTGAGGAGGGTTGGTATGCGGTGTGAGGGATTGTGGCTTGGGGGTGGATTAGACGAGCACCGAGCTTCTTGTGATTTTGCAATTGACGTTTCTGCTAGTTATGTATTTTCTTCAAGCAGGATTATTGGAGTACATGGAAGTTCAAGAGCTCGAATGCACTTGGGCGTCTCCAAAACAAATGACTAAGCATTCGATGGGCACAAAAATGCATGTGGCCATCCAGTACGGAGTAATGATCTTGATTTAGATAATAGGGGATCTTGAGACCCCATTTGAAAGGTCTGTGCCTATGTCATAGCCCCTGGCAAATTACACTCGAGGGCTGCTGAACAGTCTTGTTTCTATGTGAGACCTTGATCGGCAGTGCATGAAGCTTGACTCGGACCCTGTAGACATGTAGACAAAATGTTGCATAAAAGGATATATCGCGTAAATTTCAATAACATCATACAAACTTCAAAACATAAAGTGGATAACAGAATGGTATCATGGGCGACATGGGCAAATGGAGTGTAGAAAGTAAAGCCAAAAATCGAAGATCATTTCAAATCAAAGAAAACAAAGGGCAGATAACATCATACAGACAGAATCAATGAGGACATGAAGAGACTAGGAAGAGAGAAGAGATAGATTATAGTCTATCTCTTGCGGGGCAATCGAACCCGACTGATACTGGACTTTTCTGACAGCCATTCAGACTCAATATCTTGGATCATGTTGTCCAGCTGTTTGACATTTGCTCGTCCGTCTCGGTATGAGCTTGATGTCTCAAACCCGCTATACTCACTGCTGCGAGAGGAGCTGACCCAGCTATCTGGACGTGATCCATGGTGGCTGGAATATTGATGCGCATACGGCGCGTGTGGGAAGGCAGGGGATGCGGTCTGGCCGAGATGACTGAGACCCTCGAGAGGATTCTTGACTCCGGCATTGAGCGCCGCCATAAGAGCAGCTTGGAGAAGCTGGTTCTGCCGCTCCAGATTTGCGACACGGTCTTCGAGATAGTGATCCATTTGAGGAGCACGAGCGTGTTGGCTGTTTTGAGATTCCCTGGATCGATGGGTCGATTGGGAATATTGGGACTGAGGTGACGAGGGAATCTCGAGACTATGCATGCTGCGACTTTGGGGCGTCATTGGGCGCGTTTGTTGAGGATATCGAAGTCGAGGGTTGGATATCTGGCGTTGATTCATTTTCTCATCGCGTCGCCGTGTTGGCTGAGAGTACTGTTTATCAGTCTTGCGATTCGTGACTCTCAATTTTGGTCCTGGACCAAAGACCTCATCATCTGATGATGGAAGCGGAGTCTCAGGACGGGATTGGTGGTGGAATTGTTGGTATGTTTCAGGGAAACTCTCGTTTCTGAGGCTGCTTCCTGAGCTGTCGCTTCGGGAGATGGTCGAATTCCGGTATGACCCATAGCCAGCAAGTGCATCCATGCTTCTCATCGATGAAAGCATAGCCATATTAGAGGTAGTAAAACTGCGTTGGCCGAGCTTCGGTGCCGGAGGTGCGGGAAGGGGTTGCTGAGGAGGAGCTGATGGGAGGGATGCAGTGAGTGGAGGTGTTGGCAGGCCAAATTGCAGGTTTTTTCGGCTGGCTTTGGAATTGATTTGCAGTCCCTTCGGGGTAGCACGTTTGCCAAAGGGTTGTGCGAGAGCAGCGTGTCCTAAGACCGGGGAGTCGGCTAGAGGTTGATCCTTTTCACCTCCCTGAGCTGAAGGGCTTTCTGGAAGGTCTTGCATTTTTGGAATGCGCACGCTGGAAACTCGTGCCCTGGGAAGGCACTGTCTTGAGGGTTGCTTCGAGTATTCTGAAAGCGAGGGGGTGAACAAACTTTCCTCATCATCGGCCATTGACCCTCCAGCATCCATGCTACCAAGACCAGTTTCTGGGCGCAGTTCGGGTGTGCAAGGGCCGTCAGCAACAGACTCGATTTCTCGCTCCTCGAGCAAGGCCGATGAAGAAGATCGCAAATTGGAAGACCCTGACCCCAAACGGAAATATCGAACAGAGCGAGCATTAGTCCCTGGAGGCGCACTGGGCGATCTTTCAGCTTCGGGCAATGATGGCAGAGGCCTTGTAGGTGCAGGGAGAGGGAATGATTTCAGTGCGCCCAGAGACGGCGAGGGTCTCCGAGGGTCGGCCTGATCTTGCGAGACAGACTCCTTGGGGATTGTTTGCGCCGGTGTTTGGACTGCAGAAGAAGCCTCGCTGGTTGCAAGCGCACCGGAGCATTTGGGTTCAGCCTCGCTGATTGGAGTATCTGTGAAAACGTCTGTTGATTTCCGCGACCCATTGGGAGGTTCGGGTGATCTTTCGGGAGGACCAGATCGTGAACTAGATGCCGGCGAGGATGCAACATTTTCAATGACTTGGTATCGAGGAACTAGTGAAGTCCTTCGTGCTGCCTTGCTCGAATTGCGAGGGGGTGCAACATCAGGGAAGAGCTTCAAAGCCGGCTGCGATGGAGTCACACTGCGAAGAGAAGATTGATCGGGTTGATCGCGCTTTTGGCTATCAATGGATGGACAGGGCAGTGACTGTGTGCCATTCGAACTCGCAGGCGCAGTGCTGGTGACTTTGGAAACGGAATCGGTATTCTGCGGGGACCCACGTAGATTGGATCCCCCAGAGATAGATGATCGCTGGATTGGCTCGTCGACAGATTCCTCTCTCTGGGAATGGCTGGTAGAAGCCAACGAGGAAGCTGGTGTGACAATATCCTGTGGAAAGGGATCTGGTAGCGAGTTCGACGGCGACACAGCTGGTGATGGCTGGGAGGAGTTATCGGTGGGCTGATATGGCGGCGGTACTGAATCGTCAAAATCCGAGGCGAGTGAGACGGCGACATCGACCATTGACCTAAAGTTATCAAGGTCTAGGGAGTCCAAGCGCCGTCTTGCCTCCGGTGAGCGCTTCCTCTCATCGGCTTTGGCTTGTAGCCATGGCTGTCCAATGTGTTCAACATCTCTCTTCGACTTGGAAAGGCTTCGAGAGAGAGACAAGGTCGGACTTTCTTTTGATCGCTTTGCCTCGTTCTGTCCCTTTGACTCCTTCAGCGGAGGTGCTGGAATGAGATACCCCGCTCTAGTGAGTGCTTCAATCTGGCGCCGCTGGTCCTCCTCTTTGGATCTAGGCGTCGATTCCTTCTTCTGGCGCTGTGCAAACTGCAAGAGCCGACGATGGAACGGCTTGAGGTCCTGTTTGGGTTCCGGTTTCAATTCCTTTGGCGAAAGGGCAACTGGAAGTGCTGTAGTTGTATCTGGCGGACTCGAAGGTTGTGGTTGGGAGTGAGCTCGAGAGTGCGATTGAGGTTCGGGGTTAGGTGGAGGTTGAGGAGCAGGAGTGGCACTCGGAGTCTGGAAGAATCGAACCATATCTACTAGACTTTCGTTTCTCCCAGGCCTCTCGGCTGTTCCTGCTGAGCGGGCCTGAGGTCGTGGGGCACTACCGCCTCCAGGTCTGAGAGCAAGCGGCTCAGACGTTGGCGTGAACGTCTTGGAAGATGTCATGTTGGGCATTCTGCGTTTTGATGAAGGGTTCGGCCGATAAGTCCGAACAATTGGGCTTGGTGCGACGGCGCAGTCATGCGATAAATCCCAGTGATGCATAGGGAGGCGGAGCATCAATTGCTAGCTGGTTTTGCAATCCGACGAGCTCCGTGTGTCGACATTCAAATCCAGGGTTCCTCAGCGAACCACGACACAATGCTAGGCCTCCAAATTAGACCGACGAACCATGATGCTGTCTCGAGAGCAAAGTGTGCTCACCTCTTGCAGGAGCCCGACGAGATAGGGGGTGATGAAGTTATATGCAGTGAGAGGGATGTGATACGTCGCTGATTGCCCGGCAGTATATACAGGAATTCCCGATATGTACAAAATCGACGGTGGCAAAGTGGCGTCAGCATGGAAGAATAGAGAAGCGAACAAAGATCCAAAAATTCCGACAAGGCAACCGGAAAGAGGGAGAGTTTAATAGTAGTCGAGGTGAGCTGTCGTATCCCTACTTGGAGGGGATCCTCGAAGTACGCAGGAGTTGTCCGGGGCCCCCCTCCCTCGGAGCCTGGAAAGGTACAGAATGGACAGCATATCCGTAGCTAAGACGGACGAATCCGAGGAACACGTCCTGCAGATAATAAAAACGGGTTCGTCCAAAGGGATTGGCCCAAGTAAGGCCGTGTGGAGCAGATCGCACTTTGGACGACTCTAGCCATCAAACACGCTATGGCATCTGCGATGTGTAGTTTGGGACCGGGGGAGGCAATATGACACAGCGCTTGTATGGCTCCGGCGTGCCTCTGCTCTCTAACGGCAGAATGCCATCCATTGTGTCTATTGTCGCAGGGACAATACCGGGCACCGGCCAATCGTCAATTCAACTGCTCTTCGATTGCCCGTTTCTCCTTTATTTTCCCCTGCGATAAGAACGCAAGGGGATGGGGGGAGGTGGCGGGGATGCAGAGTGGAAACGTCAGACTCTGTACTCCGCACCGGATGTGAGGTATCAGCTTCACACACACTCGGCGCTATGATCTTCCCACACAAAACAAGAGCTCAGATCGGAGTGCAGATCTCAAGTTACAGGGATCTTCCAGACGGGTAGAAGCAGTCGATCAAACAAAAGTACGGAGTAGATCGGGGGGGGATGAGATGCAGGGGTGATAGCTTACACGCGATCTTCGTATGTACTACCTATTGGGAATAGCCGTGCTTGTCAATATTGATACAGTATTGGATTGGATGGATCTCCGATTGCAGCGGAGAATATGAGGGACATGACAGATTCATCGCATTTCCCGATTCGAAAAAGAAAGCTAAGAGTGGCTGTCTGGACGTGTCGCTGAAACCCTGCCAGGCCCAAATCCGATTTCCCCAACGGATTCATAACCCTTGCCTTCACATAGTCCCATCCTTCTGGTTAACGTATATTTAAACCCTTTAATCTCCGGATAACGCTTTTCTTCATCTGAATTCCCCGGAAAGGTGGCAAGTGAAATGTGCGACAAGACACCGTTCCTCGTTTTGCACAATATCCACTCGGATCGTCGACGCAGCAAATAGTCGCAGATCAAACATGTCCATTCTGGCGGTTGGGCCTTTGGCCCGGAATCAATCCGGTCTCAGTGCAGGGATTCATGTACAACATCCAACTCGAAGCACCCCACTGTCTCCACCGGCAAAAAAAAATACATGTAGGCGTTTTGGCCGATGTACGGAGTACGGAGTACAAATATCTGCATACAACATCGATAGGGATGTGCTAAATAGATTCTACAATACATCGAGAACATGGAGACGGGAAATGGATTATGGCTCATGGCTATTCCCTACCCAAAAGCAATTGGGTCCGACGCCATGTCAAATGTGAAATCCCGACAAGACCGGGGCTGTACCTGCGTTCGGGCTAAAACACATGCATGTGGTGTACATAGTAAAAACAAAGGGGTTCGCTGACGCCTCTTATGCTGAAACGGATTTTTCTTTTTTGCAATCGACTCGGATCCGTCCCGAGTCGAGGTTCTGCCTGGAAAACCTCCAGGGCGTAAATGGGTATTTCCCGCGAATCGTGCTTTCAAAGTAATGGGAAGTGTGGAAATGATTCAAAGACCCGAATGTGGGTCGGAGATTGAGTTCGGTGTAGCGACGCTTACTTGCGCTTCGTCTTGGGCCGGATGAATGGGTCGATTTCCTTCTTTTTGCGCATCATCGGGGGTCGGGGCTTGGGAGGACCTGGGTTGGGAGCCTAGATGCGTATTAGTATATAAGGGAACGGAAAGTCAAGATCGCTTACAGTAGCTTCTGGTCTCGGCTGGGCCATGGTCGGGTCATTCTCGGTCGGATATGCCGGGCCACTGCGAGAAGGCGTGATGAGTCCCTGGGATTTTGTTAGCTTATATGTTAGTTACTAATTTGGTGAGCGCAAGAGACTTACGCCTGGTGGATCGTTAGGTGGCTGGCCCTTGGGGCCCTTGGGAGCATTGGCGGGTGGGTTGGCTCGAGGGGGTCCAGAGAGACCGGGATGACCAGATAGGCCAGGGTGACCAGAGAGACCGGGATGACCAGAGAGACCGGGGTGGCCGCTGACCCGTGAAGCAGTCGAACCACGAGCAGCTGGGCCACCTCGTGGGCCCTTTGGAACATGGATGGAGGGATGATGCTGTCCAGTACGCGGACGTTGAGCATTAGGCGCATCAGAGGCAGACTCTTCTCGTTTTCTCTTCGTGGTATTATCAGCAGGCTTCACCGACGGGTCTGCTTTTGTGGCTTGAACAACTGGGACTTTGGGATTGTGACCACCGATTTGACGCTCTCGCTGGCGCTCAGCGAATGCATCCTGACGTTGCTTGAGATTGTGTTCATCTCTCTGAAGGCGATTTTTCTCCATCTTCGAGAGAACTTTCGAGGACGTGCAGTTGCCGGATACATGTCCACATTCGCCGCATTCACTGCATCGTTCGGCACGACACGCAGCCTTGGTGTGACCAGGCTGGCCACAGCGGAAACAGGTTCCTCGGGCGATTTCCTTTGCATCGTCATTGTCGCAGTTGTGGGTGAAATGGTCGGCGCTGCCACAGATGCCACACGATTTGGTCTGGTCCATGAGATTGGATCCTCCAGAAGGACCATCAGGTCGTGAGACTGGTGGTGTACTACGGTCCGAGGCGGACACGGAGACCGTGCGAGAAGGAACGCCAGTAGAGGCCGGCGGTGGTCGTGAAGTTGGGCGTGTCAAAGGTTCCTTGTCGGAGGTATCAGGGGTATCTTCTGTAATGTCGATCATTTCAACCTCTGTGTAGCCAGTGAACTGGGGCGCTTCTAGGAGTTTCACGATATTGCCTTCTGTGTAGACATTTCGCTCCCGGGCATTCTTGATAAGCCCGTTCCAGAACTGACCTTGTTCCAGGGAGCGCGAGTTACCCAGAACCCAGAGCGATGACTTGGCACGGGTGAGACCGACGTTCATACGACGGATATCAGCCAAGAAACCAATGCCTTTGTTGGATGCTCGCACACAAGAGAAGATAATGACTTCACTCTCTCTACCCTGAAAAGCATCGGTGGTGTTGAAATCAACCTTCTTCAGAATGTCTTCGCCGTATCGGTGGGCGAATTGGATCTTGAGTTCTCTCAGTTGACCCTTGTAAGGCGTGATGATACCAATCTTGCCTGCAAAATCGTAACCTTTGACATCTGTAATCAAACGATCATACAGTTGCATGGCAACTTGCAACTCCGCATAATTGATCAAGGAATGACCCTTGGTCGCAGCTGAGTGCATGCCCTGAACATCGAAGAATCGGTAAGGGCTGAGAAGTTCGCTGTGATGCCAGGGACGTTGGCGAAGCTTGGCCATGTCCGGTCCATCCTGCAACTTGCTGTCGTAGAACGTAACACTGGGGAATTGACTGATGGCTGGATGCATACGATACTGGATATCAAGCAAGTGGACATCCTTGGGGTGATTCCTCTGCATACGAACGAACAAACTCTGCTCGTACTGGAATTTGGAGGCCATCTTCGACAGGACAGTTGGAGGCAATTGTTTGGGATCACCGACAAGAACACACTTCGAACAGCCGTATTTGAGCGGGATAAGAGCGCTGAGTTCGATACACTGCGCAGCCTCATCGATGATGACGGTCTCAAACTCAACATTCATTCCTTGGAATATTTCATGTCCAGAACCACTGAGGGTAGTGCAAATAACATGGGACTCGTTGATGATTTGTTCTTGGACTCGTCGCTTTTGCATATCGGCGTTGCGCGCTAACATATGGTTTTGATCACGGGCCTTATCAATAGATGTGCTCAGCTGGGACCGTTTCTTTTTCATGAGCTCGAATTCACGCTCCAGTTCTTCTGGAGGAGGCAGTCCCTTAGCTCGTGCCTCGTCGAGGCGTCCACGAAGTTCTTTGAATGTGGTATCGGTCGTCTTATGCTCTTCGTAGAGTTTTTGCAGATCTACACCATTTTCTTTGTTGGCATCCTGGCTCAGACGGGCATTGACCATCTCATCGAGGGTAACGTCCAACACCTTGGTGTTGATGGCATCACTTCTGCCCAGACGAAGGACAGACACTTTTTCGAGCCGTCCATGAGCGGTTTTCACACCCTCCTTCAATCGCATGACTAACTCGTCGACAGCGGCATTGCTAGGCGCACACAGCAGCAGCTTCTTAGAAAGAGCGTTTCTCGTAGGAACGCCGTTGATTTTGATCGCCTGTTTCCCCAGAACATCACTCAACAGACTTCCGACAAGTGCGATGATGGTTTTGGTCTTTCCGGAACCGGGAGGACCTTGGATAAGAGTAAATGCGTCGTTGTCAACAGCCGACTTGATAGCTCTCGCCTGGGCACGGTTGATGGTGTAGTTGTCCATGATGGGCTGGAGTCTTGCATCCGAATAAGTGAGAAGGGGCGAGGGTTTAGCCAAGACGATCTCTTCACAGAGGTCGTAGTATTGCAAAGCCATCAGGGCACCGTATTCACGTTCTACCGGAGTCAAGGAAGTAATCTTTGCGGCCCATGCGTCAGTTCCAGGACCAAAAGTCGAGAGGTATTTGTTGCTTCCAGGATTGACCCGATATGTGACTTCCATCTTTTTATTCTTCCGGTTGACACCACAGACACGGGCAAGAATATGGGGCGCAGTGGGATCGCTTGTGAGCTTCTGCGAGTTGGAGAACAAAACCAGGTCTCCTTCGCCTAAGCTGAAGTCCTTGGGAGGGAGTCCGAGCGGCTGGGTACTGAATTCAATCCAGGAGTCAACAGCCAATCGGGTCATGACTTTGACTTCGAAGAGTCGGAAAGAGCCTTCCTCCTTGGCTTGTTGGAAACCTTGCCACGCCTCCAGGATCAATAGGGGTTCGAATGTACTCTGGTAGTCACCAGGGGTGCGGAAAGTATTGGAAACCAGGGAATAATCGGTTCGGTCCGATGTAGGGGGAAGGTCGCCAGTGGCAAAAAAGTCCCAGGAAAGAATGGAGTGGTGAAGGGATCCTAGGTCTGGAGCCAGACGAGCTCGCATGTCTCTGATGGAACGTTGTCTCTTGATCTTCTTGACGGGCTGCTGCTGAAGGGATTTCTTTTTGCTCAATTCGTAAGCTGCGACAGCATCGGGCTTCTTGGGTTTGGCGCCAAAGAGTTCCTTGTCTAATTCATCTTCACTCTCAGAATCTGATTCAGAACCAGAGGAAACCATCATGCTGTCTGCGGGGGTTGTATGATCTTTACCCTTAATACCAATACCTTTCAGGCCTGAGCCTTGTTCAGCAGTCTGCTCTCCAACACCATACGCGGGACCACTCTTCTTGAGTCTGGCCAGCTCAGCCATGTCACGCTTCTTCTTAGCCTCTTTCTCACGTTCACGCTTCTCACGGAAAGAGAGGACATTGCTGGTGGAATCGGCGGGACGTTGGGGAGGAATTGCCCTGGAAAGGACGTTTGAACGAGACTTGATAAGAGTGGAAGAAGAAGGCATCCTTGCGGCTTTTTCGGCAGCTCGTTTGGCTTCGGTTGCGCGGCGTGCCTTGTTGAACTCGACAGAAGAAGACAATTCAAGAAGGGTTTGGTCGGTCAGGTCGTCATCAAATTCATCGTCACTTGCGACGCGAGAAGAGGGGCTCGAGATATCAGAAGGTTTGGCAAAAGAAGTGATGGAGGACTGCTTTTTAAGAGAAGCAGTAGAAGCGGTCACCACAGGTTTCTTGTAATAAGCCTCCAATGAGCGAACCAATTCAGCTTTCTCGCGTTGAGTGAGTATTGTTTTGATTGTCCCATTGACAGCAACTCCCTCAATAAAGCTCAATGCATCCGGTTTCACATTGGTCACATTCATCCCTCCCAGCCTCCGTAGAAGCTTTGCAACCAATCCTACGAGAGTTGTTGCCAGGAACTCATCCTTCAGTCTCAACCATTTTACCATAGCACTCATTGTACTGGTTGGTGACTTAAGGAAGTTTTCGGAGGATGCCTGCGCCGGATCCGCGTTCCCTACGGCTCCCAAGAAGACACCATACTGATCGAAGAGTAAGTCGGCGAATTGTATCGTGTTACGACAAAACTCAAGCATGACAGATTTATCGTTACCACGAATATGCCACGCCTCGGTCTCATCGAAGATCGTGGTCAATGCCAGCCACAAATACTCCCAGAGCTTCTGTAGCGACATGACCTCACGTCGATCAGCGAGATTACGAGTTCGGAGCATACCGGTCTGACTGTCACACAAGATCTCTACGATGTCCGTACCAGTGTATACCATTCTTGGAGCCGGCGCAAAGGTCTTCATGGTAGAGATCCGACGGAATGACCAGCTGAGACCGTAGATCGTCGTCGTGAACGACGATTGTAGCAGATGAGAGATGGCATCTCGTCGAGCTGACTGGCCACTATAGGCCTTGATCAAGTCAACCGCAGCCGTGTAGGTATCATAGTCTGCGGCAAACAGAGCAGAAATCAAAGCACTACTAGTATCCTGGCTTTTAAACAACGTCTCGAGATGCTCAGGTGGAAAGTCTGCGAGACGTTCTATGATGCGACGCGAGAGGTTGGTGAGATGGCCATAAATCATGTTAAAGTGGGTTTTCTCCTGGTTCCCTTCTCCTTTCGTGGGGAACATCTCCAACCCAACCAGGGGGAGAATTCCTAGGAGGGCCGCATTTGACAGCGGGAGGTTATCCCGATTGAGGTTTTTGATAACAGCATCCCAGATGGGCGCAGAGTAGGTAGATACTCCATGTGAAAGAGTACCGTGCTTGAGAATGACCTCATAGTCGGTCTTCAATGATTGGCACTCTAATGCCAAGGTATGGCGCACGACATCCATGCACAACCTGAGAATTTCTTGCTGTCGACTTTGCTCGACATGAAAGGTTGGGGGGTTGATGATTACATCGATGGTATCACTAACCACACCCATTGTCTCGGCTAGCACGATCCGCGTAACTGTACCCCGGGAAGACTCATTGTCTGTAAACCGGCGTAGAGTCTGAAGAAGGCTGGCCAAGCCGGTGTTGAAAGCGTGGTAACGAGAGAGATTGGGATATTGGTTATCCTGCAGTCGGCCCAATAATTGCAATGTCAAGAACCGACAGGCAGATGGCTGGTGGGCGCCCTTTAGTGAGCTGAGGAAGGGATGGACCCACGATAGCATGTCCTTCAATGCGGACTTCTCAAAAGGCTCACCCTCAGTGTTCTCCATGAGGAAAGCATTGAATTGTGTGTTGTAAAATGTATGTTCCATAATTGCTTGGGGAGAGATAGCTTGCATAGCATCCCAGAAGTCGGCCGGTGCTTTCTCAAGGAAGAGTTTAATGGTATTGAGAAGGAAGCGTAAGCTCGGTGAAGGTATGGCAAGATGATCCACAGAGAGGCGACAAGGGTCTATTTCCAACCCTCGAAGCTGATGCGTGATCTGTTCTTTATCCAGTCTCCGGACGATCAGCTGCATACCTCGCCACAGCCTTTGAATGAGTGCGAATTGCGGTGGCTGTTGTGATGCAGCTTGTAGAGCCACCCTAAGACCGTCTCGAACTGCCCACTCGAATTCTTGGGTAGTAGGAGGGCGCGCGTATCGTGACCAAGCTTGAATGGCCCAGAAACTGCGAAATGAGCTGGAATCGAAGAGAAAGCGAGTGACCGCAGGAATGTAATCTGAGACCTTCAAGCTTCGCTTCGTTTGGATAAGTTTGAAGGGCTCATCAAAATATTCCTGCAGGAGGCTCTCGTTGCGCAGCATTGCCTCACAACTCAAGGACTCGAAGATTGACAGCAATGCAGCCCTGTCTAAAACCTCCAGGCTAATCTTCTGCAACGGAACTTGCTTCAACTGCGTTGCCGCAGTTGTCAAGTTGCGTGTGATTCTTCGAATATCCAACTCGTCGATTCTCTGGGCAAATGCGTCGATGTCATCTTCTTGATAGTTCTCCTCCTTCAGCAGATCCATGAGCCAGATCTTGCCGATGTAATAATGCTTGATACATAAATCACATTTCTCCAGCGACTCATCTAGTTTGCTCAGAACCCAATTCTGATGATCTTCCACGCCATCCTTGTGGTATGCCAGTATGCGCATGCTTGAGAGGAAACTCTCTCTTCGAGCCGTCGCTTCGGCCACAAGATCCTTGATCGTCTTCCCCGCCTCGTCCACTTGCTCCATATCCTCATAGCGTCCGTAGTCATCATCGCTTGTGCGGGGACAGAGGAGGTGGATGCCCTCTGGAAGGGCCTGAAGCTCTCTGTATGAAACACAACCTGTTTAGTTCCAGTTCATTTGCATTGAATGGGGAGGACCAACCGAATCGCAGCTAGAAATTCCATAGCGGCTATGGTCTCAAATCGTAGAAATCCCTGGATCTAAATGAGAGACCGCGGTGCATTTCCTTCATTCCATAGGCAGAACAGCTAGAACATCATTTGCTGAGAGAAAACGCTGGTCTAAATGGATAATGGCCCGTCAATCGTGAATCAAAAACCAAAGGAAGCGGCGGATGTGTGCTAAAGCGAATGACAAAGTAATGTAAAGAGTAGCGAGGAGTGGCTTCGCAACCGAATGCCGCCTTACGTCGTGATATGCCGGTACGTTGGCAATGAGACAGATCAGTCGTTGATAGAAGGGATAAAAAAATTACAGGAACCACTTCAACCTCAAGGAATGACTAGGTATTCAGCAAAGCAACTGACAAGGTGAGGATGGCAAGCAAAAATGTCCAGACCAAACGCGGGATGCCGAAGCGTAATTGGCAAATGGTCTAGGCGGTGAGCTGGCTTACAACGCGTAGACGCGCTCTATTTTACCCAACTAGGAAACTATGTAGAAGTCAAGATACTGATAGGAGTATAGGAGGTTTTGCTCAAAAGTTACTGATTGAAAACTAAAATTATGCACTAAGAATTTAAAATAACCGCATTAAGTACTTTCCTCGCTGAGGGCATTGAATAGAATACATGAATATCACCCCCTTGGCCAGTTTGTCCTCCTCGGTATAGGGGACAAACACAACACATGAATAAAAAGCAAAAACCAAGAGATCATCCAACAAGATATAAGATCCAGATGAAAAGCAGACAACGGGAGACCTTCAAATGCGGGTGTCGCCTGGTATGCACTTTTGCAGGGACAAAAACGCTTTTGTACAAGAAAAACATAGACCAAACAGGCTTAGTATGGAAAATGCATCGGAACAAGAAGAGCCACGTCGGAGCTAGTGAATAATAAGGGAATGGTTGGAAGGGAGGCAAGAAAAGTAGAGGGGAAAAGAATCGTGCTAAGCCTCCGGCCAGGTAAAGGAGTAAACCAAAACGCCTGCTTTCTATCAGGGAATATAAAAGGCCTTCAAAAGAAAAACACTCCAGCATATTGCTCATCGAAATAGGAATGGCAAGGGAAAAAAAAAATCAGAAAGTCTGATGGGGATCAAGTCATCAGTGACAGGTCGTCAACGTCAATGCAACGCAAGATGCGCTCCTCTATGTCATATATGTACAGGAGGATCATCAGGAGTCCGGAACGGGTTTTCGTGTTGACGATTTTGCGACGACTCCACTCGGGAAAGCATGGCAGCAGAAGTGAAGTCGTTGCTCTGCTCAAAGGAGTGCCGTGTCCGATCATGAGATCGCCGAACATAGTCGACAGACTGTGGTCGCGGATACTGGTCAAGGCTAGCAGTATAGTTGGTGCCATTGCTGCCGTTTTGGCTGCGGGGGTTGTGGGTGTTCGAAGTCGCGGCCATAGAAGCAGCATAGAAAGGCCGCTCTTCATCAAGAACAGCGGTGTCCTGCTTCATGACGGGCTGTATTGGCTTCACAATTTCCGAAGAAGTTGCAGACACAGTACTAGGCTCTGCGGTCTTCGGAGCACCATCCTTTGGGGGCATCGGGGGATCTTCTATGTCATCCAGATGTTTGAACTTGCCCTGAGTCACTTGTTCGCGGATGATATCGACATCAAGCGGGAAGAACACCTTTTGAATGGAGTTATACGTGAAACGCGGGAGCAAGCAAATCAGGACAGTTAACAGAAGAACCACCCAGTAACTCAAGGATCCGTAAACTTCAGCCGCAGCATGGTAGAATTGGCCGGAAGAAGTGAAGGAGGTGTAAATACCGGTCCACACGAAAATCAGGATACTACTGATAGCGTTGATCAGGCAAGTGAACCAGTCCCACCGGTAAGTATTCATCATAATGTAGAGGTTGCTGGCAATCACGGCACAGGTTGCAACAAGCACACCCATACGCGCACGGTCGTTAACATTTCGGCCACTCTCGTTGACGAAGTTCGCTGGCGAATATAGGAGGTATGGCATGAAGAAACAGACAACTGACTGGTACCCGCCATCGGCCATGTATAACCTGTTCTTGGGTTAGTATATAATACATCACGCGAGTAGGGCAGGGATCAAGTACCAGAACTTAGTTTGCGACCATTCCTTGCGCTCGATGCCTCTCATGTATAATTGAGGCACAGCAAGGGACACTTTATCCTCCACATCCTGATCGAAGATACCCATGAAGATCACGGGCAACGAGGTGAACGCAAGGTTGACCAACACAATGTAGGTGTAATCGAATAGATAGGAGCAATCAAAGTCATTGTAGATACAGTACCAGAACAGGGCGAACGTCCACACAAGATTCTAGGAAAAGTCAGTGAGGATACAAAATTACCTTCAACACCAACGCCACATACCTTGTAGAAGAAGTTGGCCGTGCATTCTCCAAGACGACGGTAGGACCATCTGCCATGAACCAAAAGAAGACGCTGGAGGTATCGGAACTGGCCAATGGCATAATCGGAAGACATGACAGCTTGTCTACCTTCCTCACCAGCAATACCAACGCCCACATCGGCCTCTTGGATCATAGCCACATCATTTGCACCATCGCCGACAGAAAGAGCCATGATGTTGAGGCCGGTCTTGACCATGCGGACGACAGCAGCCTTCTGTGCAGGACTTACACGGCAGCAAAGAACTGCTTTGCATTGCTTGCACAGCAAGAGGAATTTTTGTTTCAACTCGTCGGACAACATCAATTTGAGCGTCTCGCCGTCAACAACCACGGCATGTGTAGCATCAGGTGGTGAATGGTCTTCGCGGGCAGCAAGAAGTTCCTCATCAGAACCAGTCAATCCAAAAGTTTTCAAATGCTTGTCGAGTTCATCAGAGGCTTGCTGGTGCTCGGTTTCAGGAATGTTCAATACAATAAGCTCCATGGTGTTATTCAGGAGATTGCACGAGAAACCGATATTGATGGCAGTCTCAACCTTGTCACCGGTAAGAACCCAGAGTTTGATACCAGCATCCGCAAGGAGTTGAATGGTATCGGGGACGCCATCCTGGAGTCTGTCCTCAATGGCGGTTCCACCAATGAGCATCAGTTCCTGTTCGATCTCGCTGGAAACCTTTTCAAGCTTCTCCTCGCGGTCCGTGACGGCAGCAGCGGCAATGTCATGTTCCCTGGCCCACGACTGGTATTCTTCCTCACTGAGCAGTCGGTCGGCAATACACAGGGTCCGCAGTCCTTCCCTGGCGAATTCCTCCAAATGCTCTGCGGTTTGGCGACGAAGCTCTTGTTGTTTGCCACGGGCCAGGCGAGAGTAAATGATACTGTCGGCACCCTTACAGAACAGACGAATAGTGCCATCGGGCATTCGGATGATGGCGCTCATTCGTTTTCTGGACGAGTTGAATTCAAGGGTGTTCAAAACCGTGTATGTGCGTTCCTGGCCCATCACATTCAGGAGAAGATCATCACCTGCTCTACCCAGAACAGTGAATCCACAGTCTCGAGCGGTGCTTACCAACGCAGCCTCGTCAGGAGACTGGGCCTTGAACTCGATCTGAGGAGGATCGCCAGGCGTGTGCTCAGTAATGACGGTGTGACATAGGGCTAGAGCCAGCATGAAGTCCTCTGCGCAGTGTTGCTGTAGCTCTCCGGATTGTCCACCTAGGTCGGCGACAAAGGGAGAAGCAATGAATGTCAGCTGGTCATCGTGCAAGTAGGGATTGTCGTGAATATCACGCAGCATGCGCAGCATTAGCTGTCCATCAGCAGCAATTTGTTGCCGAGCGACTGCAGCTTCCGCGTCAGCGTCGGCTCCCTCGCGACGTCTCATTCCGATTTGAGCTTCTGTGTAAGCTTCTCCATATGAGACGCCATTGACCGTGCACTTCTTAAATTCCATGACATTCTGGGTCAATGTACCAGTCTTGTCAGAAAAGATATATTCGACTTGACCGACATCGTCTGAAATGTTCCAGGATTTGGGGACACAATAGAGCCCCAATCTCTCGTAGTACATATACAAATCGCTGTGGATGAAAACCGCTTGGATAGTCCGAACAATTTCAAGAGAAATGTACAGCGAAATGGGAACCAAATTCTGGAACAAAATGAGGGCTGTCCAGAAAGTGACAATACCAGTCACAGGCGGTGTGTCTCCATAGGACTCGAGGTCGAAGTAATTTAGAGATTTGTCTGATGCGGCCCATGCGACTCCGTTTACGATACCCGCGATGAGACACATAATGAACAGGATGAAGAAGTTGTAAATGACGTTCCAGTTCAAATCCTTGGCCATGCGAGGTCGTTTAGCCGGAGTGGCACCGGAGTTGAGCATGATCTTGCTCTCTCCGCCGGTGAAAAGAACAACACCCAACACCCATTCGGTACTCTTCAGGTTGCAACCACGGAGCAAAATATTGTTGATAGAGATGGGTTCAACCATCTCCTTCCGCGGAGCTTCGGGGAAACGTGGGTCACGCTGGTCCCAACGCATCGCACCGTTGTAGGTGTACAGGTTGGCATGCGGTGCCTCGCTCTCAATCACAAACTCGGCCTTTTCGCAGTCTCTAGCGTGGCGAACTTGGCGGCCACAGTGGAGAGCTTGGCGAACCTTCAAGTTGGTCTCTCCATCCAGGCCCTTGGTTTCGATATAACAAGCGCCATCCGGGTCCGAGGTGGAAAGAATCACAATATCGGCTGGAATCGGATCTTCGTTGTACAAACGCACAAAGTCGCCAACTTGCAGACTTTTCCATGTCTCGCGCTTGAATCGGGCCTTGCCGGGTGTCTGCTTGGACGTATCCAAGACAGTGCCATATTTCTTCTCCGGTGTCGACTCCATGACGCTCTCTCGAGCGGCACTGTTTGGGGACAAGAACTTGTTTTCTTGTTTGTTCATCATCGGCCAATCTTCGCGGGCTTCAGGTTGGGGCGATGGAACATCGGTCATGGGAATTGCAGTATCTTCTGGAGCGATAGAGTTACGCTGCGTATAGATCGATGCCCGGGGATCCGCTGTACTCATGAATGACTCGCGTCTTTGCGCTTTGTCACCATTTGCATCTTCCTCCTTTTTCTTGAACTGCGAAGCCATCCATCTGTATGTTACAATGGAGCCCCGGGTACAAGCCTTTTTGACACGACGCCATAGACTAATGTTCTCTTCTGTCGAATTGACATTGTTCCATTCCACTAGCCTGTAGACCGGAGCGTTGTTCACTTGATTATCAGACACCGTTCGGCCCCAATCCTCAATAGCATCTTTGATTGCAGTCACGACGATAATGACAATTAGAGGAACGGCATTCAGACCGGGATTATTGGCACCGAAAATCGGGAAGCACTAGAGTCTCATTAGCACATGCTCAATGTATTTCGGGCTAATGGGAAACAATTTGTCGATGCATACGTTGAGAATGATAACGAACAAGAAATAGATGTTCGCAATGTTGTGGAATTGCAGCCAAATGTTGTAGGGCACAAATGTGAGCGCGGTATATTTGGAGGTGCGAATTTTGTTTCTCGGATAGGTCGCTCGCAAATGACCATCCTCGTCTCGTTCGGATTCCGGGATCGGAATACTGAAATAGATTCTCCGATTGGGTCCTGCTGAGGGTTCATGTCCGTCATTTGATCCATTATTAGTCGAAGCGGTTGTATTCGTAGATTTGCGCTTTTCATCTCTCCCATCTCGCTTGTGGAAGCGATCAACTATAGAGACGCGTTTTTTGACACCTCCAGCTCCGGGGGCTCGTGTGGTCGCCCATCTTTGTCGTTTCGTGGGCTTGGAGACATGACTGTTCACCTCCCGGATATCGCCACCTGCGCTTGGATCGTCATTATCCTCCCCATTGTTCACAGACAAGTGCACGGAAGCCATCTAGGCTATTTGTGCGCCCCAAAAGAGCATAAAACTCGATAGAAACTTTAATTATTGAGAGCGGAGGAGCATCCGGTTGGCAGGGCTGGACTCCGACAGCGCCGGGCGCAGAGGAAGATCGGCGATCTGGATGTGTTCACGAATTTCGAGAGCGAAGAGATCGCGGTTTCATTTGCGACGCACAGCTCAAGCGGATCAATGGTTTTAAAAGCGCGTTGAAGGTATTCTCGTAAGTCTCGGGGAAAGGTCGTCCAGGGCAATGCACAACAGAGGCCGATCGTGATGGACTGTTACAACGCAAGAGGCGAGGCGTTAGAGGGCGCACCCACACGGGGCCATTCAACAGACTTAAGTAGAAAAAAGGTAGAAACTGGACCACCAGGGTGGTTACTATTTTTCCTTCGAGGGGTGAGAAAGAGACAAAGTAGGGCCACTTGAGCTTACCCTCTCATGTATGGATCTCAGTACGGGAGGGTATGTAATGCCGTTACCGCACGTCCCGATGGGGCCGGATACCAGGTCACTGTTTTGTCCCCCGGCAGGTAGAAATCCCCGTGGACATTGAGACGCGACAGTTGGATTCAGTATAATTTGGTCATAATTTAGTATAATTCTGGGATAATTTGTGGTTGTATTTTACACTGCCTCCTTTGCGTACTCCGTACTCGAGGCCTCTTTCGGCATCTTCGCATCTTTACTGTAGGTACCTAGGTACCAGGCTTATCTAGGGCTGATGGGCTTAACAGCTCGCAATCTCGGAGTCCAGGGTCAATACGTGTAAAGTCCGGTAATTATAACGTCCAGCCCCGTTCCGGCCTCCCCTCCCCCGTCAGATAAAAATCTTCCAGTGGCAACCGGGGAACTCGGCACTTGAACACTGGGAATATCTGGATTGATCTTGGGATAAATGATATCGACAGGACCTACGGAGTACGGAGTACAGAGTATGGATTATGTGTTTCTTTCAACCTCCTTTTGCTAGGCACGCATAAGCAGCACTGCCACCAGAAGATGCATGATGGTTTGCTTGGCTAAACGGGGTGCTCCCCAGTTCTTCACTTAAAAAGTGCCTCTTTTTGATCCATACTCCGTTATTGGCCCACATCTGTCGTTTTGGAGACTCCACACGGACTATTTATTTTACAACGTCCAAAGTACACCTGGCCTGTTCTCGCTGTCTCTCGTAAGCCTAGGGCGATCTACGGAGTATAGTTAACCACGATACGGAGTACTCCGTAAAGAGAGGGGTGTTATCTACCTAGAGTAATCTAAGTCAAAAGACACGATCCAACCACTATATCGCACACAAACTGGATTTTTTTCCACATCCGGGGGGCCCCTTTTATAATGATATCAGACCCAGCAGTTGGGGTCGGAGCATAGATCCTGAAACCACCGACGCGGCACGAGCTTGCCGGCCCACCTGAGTCAGCTTGTGCTCTCCATAGGTACATACGGAATACGGAGTATTGAGGTACCTAGGTAGTACTCCGTATCGGACTCGGTGTTGGAGGTTGCATATTAGAGGTGCAACTGTGTATCTGATGACTTCATGAGATTGATTTTTTTTTTTTTTCCTTTCTTGGCCTCATGGTATATACCATTTTATGCGACTCATGTATCCCCTTGTTTCTTGGCGGGAAAAAAAAAAAGGAAATTGGAAATTCTTGGCCTTTCAGGAGCATTACTCCGTATGTTGTACTCCTGAGCGGAGTCGATGATCACCGTACCTATAGCACTCGCGGCTTACTCGGGACTTATGTTCCCCCTTTTGATGATCTGCATAGTAGCCCTACAAATCACTCGTGTCTCACGGGGAGGTTACTCTAAAAGCTTGGTTCCGGATCTCGAGGCAAGGACCTGCAGTAGGTGCTGTATAAAATATACTGGCCAACCTCCGGATGTGGTACTACGATACTCCGTACGGGGGACGGAGGACGGAGGACGGATACACTTTGGATAGGTGCAATATATATGACGGGGTGTCGTCAGCCCGATCACCATGAACTATACCTAGTGGACCCGATGTGCAGCGTATCATCTCTATTGAACCTAATTGGACGGTGGTTGCCCCTGATACTATGTTGTACACCGACACAGAAAAAACCCCCAGAGAGAATTGACCTGTTTCATCGTGGGTTTGGTGATTCAACAAGATTGTATTCTCTACTTTTCGATCCTGTCAGGTCACTTTTCTAGTAGTAAATAGTATTACCTTCAAGGTCAGATCAGCCGTAGATCGACGCCACCAGAAATGTGGCTGTCAGATCTACAAGATACAACATACAATTTAGATAAGTTGCACAATATACTCCGCACATTGTGGTAGCTGAAATGAGTAATGTGACCAGCAATATCAAACGGATGTCAGTTAAATTCCATCATCTGGCTTCGAAATGATGTTCTTGGCCTCAAAGAAAGGGACATCAACCTTCCTGGAACCTTCGAAATATGGCTGAGTCAGCCGTGCTCATGTGACATCGCGCTGAATCGGCGCGTGCGACGACGCGATATGTCTTGCGTTCTAAAAAGAAGCTTCAATATACCACAGCATGCGGAAGCTCAAGGACTTTTGGCCTAACAAGCCAGCATTTTCACGCGCCAACTTAATCAGATCCCCCGAGCAAGAAACTGCTGAGCCCGCAACCCAATCATCACCCCTCACCGACCCCCCTCATCCTTTGTGTTCGATAACATATCACCAGAATCTGAAGAAGTTGCCGAAGCTCAGTTGGCAGCCGCCTTATATCTATCAGCACAAGAAACCCAGAACCAATCATCTGCCTTACACCAAAGTTTCCAAAGCATCGAGTCGGCCACTGGATTGTCATCTCTGAACACGAGCATTAACGGATCTCAGCGCATCATCAGAGATGGCAAAGAAATCGTCATCAGCTCGGACGGAGAAGATACGGACTCGATCTGCTCATTGGAAGACCCAGGCAGCCTGTTTGCTCCAAAGTCTAAGAAGACGGAAGCGTCCGCACCGGTCACATTCGCCCCGAGAATATCATCGCCAAAGAAATATCGGCATAATATTGACTCTCTTGTGGACGACGCAGTTGATGATAGCAAGGTCGAAGCCAATGTCGCTCGAGCAAAATTAAGTTATGCACAAGAACCGACTGGCGACGAGCCTGGGCACAGCCCATTGGGCGACGGATATACCCCGAATGAAAGCATGTTGATCTCAGCGCTTGACGGGGATGAAGATGGCGTCGGAGGTCAACGTTTGATCGGCGCTATTAGGAGAACTAATGCTCTTGATAGCGGTCGGGCCTGGCGATTTTTCGATTGCACACGAACACTGCCGCCAGCACCTGAGTTTCCACGGGATTTGTTTACGCCTGGGACGAGTTTGGGGATATTAAGGAGTGCGTTTAAATGATTTGGTACTCTTTTTTTTCCCTTTTTATGTATGCTGACTAGCCTGCAGACACGGACGCTCGTGAGCGCCAGTTTATGTCCGGTGAAATCATTCAGATGGCTTTGGCCAAAAATGTTTTGCCAGACGAGGTTCTGTTATGGGCGTTTCGTTCCAGTTCGTTGCTCCCAAATCTTGATCATGCATACGAAACTAATACTCCGTTCTTTGAAAAGTTCCCTATGAACGTCGGGAGGAATTGAGCAACGCTTATTACCGGATGATCAAGGTATGTCCGTATCTTCATACTAAAATCCTTGACATTGACTAACTTGATGTATAAGGGTATGGATATGGAACGTTTAAGGTTACTCATCCGTCCGAACGATATCGACGACTTGTTTTCCCGACTGGGAGCTCGAACCCACGCTTTGGATCTCTCCAAGGATATCACCCCAGTCCCTGCCCAATGTATGACTTGGTCTTTCTGTTCTTGGGCCTTTGGGTTTTGCTAACAGAATATTCTAGTCACTACTGCAGGTTCTGGGCTTAAAGATCATGTCACATTTCTGTCGGTCTTGAGGTTACTTAGAGAAACGGCTGGATTGTAAGTTGCCACTCGTCGAGATCTTGATAATGTGAGACTTACATATTGGTAGATTCTCAGAAGACACCCAAGAACGAGTGATGCTCTTGCTTCTACGTCTCACCCTTGATAACTCATTAACAGCAGATTACATGCTATCTTCGGAACTTCAATGGACCATTAACGCTGTGTTGGATCCTGAGAATTTCATTGGAATCAATGCCGAAAATTTGGTAAGGCGTTTAACGCTCACTTTCACCGCGATCAAAACTAACGATCTCAGTTGCATCGAGTATGTTCCACTTGCTACAATACAATACATGATGTCTGTATCCAGAGTCAAATTGTACACCATATATTACCGACGTCCCCTTGGTTTGCGTTGTTAAGATGTCGCCTGGCCGTCGCATTCTTACTTCGGAGCCCCGAACCTCTCACCGAGCCTCCTGAAAAACTGCTTGATCTCAAACGTATCACGGTTTTACTTCTTCGCGATGAGCGTTTTGATGTCAAACGGTTCCAGGGCACAGCTGATTACGACTGGAGAGAATTGAGTGCTTTGACTGCTCTTCTTAACATTGCGGTCGATTCTTCTGTGTTCGAGTTAAATTACCGAATTGCGCAAACCGAACAAGATTATAACGCTGCCATCGACAGATTAGCAGCTCAGATCAAGATGGTTTTCTGCTCAATACAAGACTCGGGTGCCTCCCATGTGACACGGACAGTGGCAAAAAGCGAACTCGAGTCTTTGCATTACAGAATCGTCTATTCTGTTCGATCGAAGCCGCCGCCAAAAACGACCATCTTCGAGTCGCACGCAAAGGATAGGGATATTCGGGGCTTTTTTGGCAAGCATGCCCTCATTGCTGCTGAGGATCATATTCCCATCCGTGCGCATGATGAAGGCTGAAACTTTATCACCAATCTCATGTCTCTGTAAACAGAAATTATGTGCGGATGTGTTAAAATATCTGGATACCCTTCTTTCTGCATCGCTCCCTTGCTATGACTTACGATCCTCATGATCATGCTGTCGAGAGCGTCATTGTTTTTCCCAAGCACGTTATTACAAAATACCAATGTCATTATCAATGATACGGGAGGAAGCGATCGCTAAAAGAGTTCGATCATATTCCAGACGAGATCTGAACTGTGCAAAGAAATCCCCTCTGTCTATGAAGATGGCCAAGAGGAGCATAGGAGTACCCGAACTATAAAAACACGAAATACAGCAGTCGCAAATGTGAAACCCAAGACAGCACAAGTACGACACTCTTAATCGTAAAATTTCCGGTTCTGGTTCTTGCCAAAGAGCGTCTCTCGGACTGCGGGGAGAGCATCAATTTCCAGTAGTCGCAGACGCTCCTCGAAAGTGTTATTGATTTCAATCTTGCCCTTTCCGCCGACAATAACCACACCGCCGGCACTGCATCCTAGTTAGTTTTCCCGTTATAGAATAGAAGGAAGAATAGAATCAACTCACGATCCCTCCGGCAAAGGCTCCGACTCGTCCACGGTCACAGTCACGTCCGATCCAACATTGTCCTTAAATTCCTTGGCCGCTTCCTCGATAGCTTTCTTCGTAATATCGAAGTCCTTCTTCCGTGAGCGAATCGCGACGTTATCCTCGTTCAGGAAATACAGGCCCTCGAGGACCAGCCCCTTGAGCATAGCCTGGTACTTCGTGTCGTCATCGGCAGCCACCTTGGAGACCTTCTCACGGGCAACCTGGAAAAGATCATCGAGCAGCTCTTGACGACCACCAAGCACGCGGAGTCGGGTCTTGTTGGCGAGTGTAGACCGGGTGATCTGCTGGGCCATAGCAGCGTGCTTGAACTTCTTCTCGTAGAGGGTGTCGATAGCAGCGGTTTCCTGGCGCACCAGCTTGGATTTTTCGATCGCAAACTCTTCGTCGGCCTTCAACTGGATCTCGCGGGCCTTCTCGAGCGCTTCTTGCTTGATGAAGGCGGTCATCTTGCGGAGCTCGCCCGCGACCTGGATTCGACCACCATTAGTCTAACTGGAGCTTCCCCGGGCCCAAAGTCGATGGCGAACATACCTGGTCATCTGAAAGAGCATGGCTTTGTGACATGTTGGCGGTTGACTGCTGTACAGTGCGTTGGAGTGGAATGACGTGGGGAAGAGGGAAAGGATGTTGTGTCCAACTAAGCTCGGAGTGCGTTGCCTTGGCGTTCCGCATCCATGTCCTCCGCACTCTCCTCGACAACTTATCTCCCCTGTCAGCCCGATTTTGTTATTTCTTATAGTTTTATCTGGGTCATGTCTTCTTTACTCCGGTAGTTTTTCGATTTGATGCGCCCCTCCTTACTACCCTGCTACCCGACCAATGCACCAGACGCACCATGGGCAATCTAGGTGACTTGTCGCCGGAAGGAAGTGTTGCGGTAAGCACAAGAGAAATCCGAAGCGGGCTGCAAGAACAAGATCAAAAGCTAATGCAGAATGTCAGGTCGGTGTAATCGTTGGGCTGATCTCAACCAGTCTTCAAGCCATCGGGCTGACGCTCCAGCGCAAGTCGCATTTGCTCGAAGATGAAAAGCATCCCTACGATGTGCGCAGACCCCCTTACAAGCGCCGACGATGGCAGCTAGGAATGGGAATGTTTGTGATTTCGAATATAGTGGGAAGCACCATCCAGATCACTACACTTCCACTACCGGTCCTCTCAACGCTCCAAGCTGTTAGTGATTCCCCTCCATGCACGGTGGAGATCATTTACTGACAGGAATGCCGAATAGTCCGGACTAGTGTTCAATACGATATTCGCAACCCTCATCCTCGGTGAACCGTTTACCCGATATTCCCTTGCGGGTACCGTCCTTGTTTGTATCGGCGCGCTGCTGATTGCGACATTCGGCGCCATTGGGGAACCTGCACATACCCTAGACCAACTCCTAGACCTCCTCCAGCGAAAACCTTTCATTCTATGGATGAGTGCCACAACCTCGTTGGTTGTTGTGATACTTGTAGCCATCAAAGTGCTCAAATACTTCTTGCCATCGTCCCGCGCGAAACCTTCAGCCTCGGGTCATTTCGCTCCACATCTGCTGCGCTTGCAAAGCCGAATGAAATTGATCCGGGGCATGAGCTATGGATTTGTCAGTGGTATATTGTCGGCTCATTCGCTTTTGCTGGCAAAGTCGGCAGTGGAACTCCTCGTGCGTACGGTGGTAGACGGTGTGAATCAGTTCAACCGTTGGCAATCATGGGCGATCCTGCTGGGCATGATCTTCCTAGCACTTACACAGCTCTTCTATCTCCATCGTGGGCTGAAGCTGTGTAGTACGAGCGTGCTATACCCTTTTGTTTTCTGTATCTACAACATCATCGCCATCATGGATGGCCTGATCTACTTCCGCCAAGTGTCTCAACTGGCAGGCTTCCACGCAGGTCTGATCGCTCTAGGAACAATAGTCCTCCTAGGCGGTGTCTTGTGTCTATCATGGCGACTTGAGGATATCGATGCCCATGCCGCTGTGACCACAGTGGGATCCACGCAGACTGGACTTGGGCCGGGTATGGCCGCCGTGGAAGAGCACTCTCCAACATCGCCTGTGTTCCTGGACGGTCAGGATGAAGAATCACTGGTTGGAGAACGTGAGCCGCTTCTCAATCCGAAAACGAACACCCGGCATCTTTCATATCAGCGAGCAGGAGCCCCAAGCTTACCGCTCAATTTGCACCTCGATCGCGATTCCGTCGATCTAAATGCTGCATCCATTTGGGCCGAGCTCTATGACTCAGACTATAGCTCGGACGATGGACATATGCGGTCCTCGACAGATCGTCCACGCAGTGGCAGTGGCAGTGGCAGCACAACTCTACACGGCCCATCACGAGGGTTAGCTCGACATTCGACAATCGGTGCTATCCCACATGAGCATGAAAGAGGGTCTCGCCGGCTACTAGGGAAAATGCGTGGGAACCAAAGGCGTCGCACCACATCCTCATCCCAAGGTGGGTTATCACCAGCCCATCGTACCCGCCGTGGCGTTAGGGGTCCGTTTGCTCTGTCATCAAACCAGGCAGTCGGAGGATACGGGACCATCCAAGAGGATGGCGATGAAGTCCACGAACACGATGATACATTCGCTCCTCATTCGCCTCGCGCCGAGTCTGGTCTCCTTGCTGGCTCAAGGAAGGCTCTGACGGGTGCATGGAGGTCTGGAAGACAATACCTGTCTCGATGGAGCAGCCCGCAGGCGGGCAGCGAAGCCGAGGTTGCTCCCGAAGACGGATCTTCCTCGTCTTTACTCCCGCACTCTGGCGTCCAACCTCCCCGGACACGTTATACACAAGGAAACTCTGGTGCCTCCGACGACCTTCAATGATCGTCAACACGCTGACGCACGCCATATACACTTTTCACGAATACCTATACATTCTCCACCTTCTCTCGTCGATATCGACACTTGTCTTCAGGAACTTACCTCCCCATTTTCTTTCTTTGCTTCTCCCCCCTTTCACCCCCATGTACAGTAGCGCTTGTTGAACATACCGCGCACAACCCCTGATTTCGCTTTACCTTGCTTTACTTCGCTTCGCTTCCCTTCCTATCTCTCTGTCGAGAAAAAGGCCTCTCTCGATGTCTCTTTTGTATTCTGCCATCCACTTGTCCAGATACTATGATACCAACCCTGAATTATATAGCTCATAAATGAATAAATCCACAGTGATACAACGCACATGACCACACTCTATCTAACACGAAGCACGAGTCTAGCTAGCACGGCCGTGATCCCCTGTCACAGCGAGATACACAGATCTACCAAAGACGATACATGACGTCCCTAAAAAAGAAAAGCTTCTTGACCGTGGCATTGGCCTCTGATATGCAGGATACGAACTTTCTCCCCCGTTCATCATGCACGCCAAGGTATATATAGTTGTATTTCCTACGATCTACAGACCTAGTCATGCCCGATAACGACAGATTCTACTCACGTCGGTTGATATTGGGGATATATTGCCTGTAGTCCAACATACATGTATCTAGGGCAAGTCAGCCTCTTAGCGAACATACCAAACATACCAAGTACATATATAATGCCCCTTCCAGATGATGATATATGCCAGAGACTAACATCCATGACTACCAAAACGAGCATCTACGTCTACACATGTACCAGGGTCAACCATGTGTCGTCCACTCAGGACCCCACACACTATACGCAGTGGGGACCTATATCAAGTCTAATATAGCTACGAGACCCAGAATAGCCCCAAAGGAACAGAATCCGATTGCTCCATACCATACATAATGTAACCCCGAGGCATACAGACCAAACCGAATGGCATCATAATCAGTCGAGTCATATTCAAAGACCCGGCGTTCGAATCAAATAACAATTAACAGCTCAAGATTAGACAATGAGGGGAAAAAAGTAACATAGTGACCAAGGAAAATAGCTGGAAAGAACAAGAGCAAATAAAGAAGAAACGAAGGAAAAGCCACTTCGCCGACGAGATTCAATGCACCACGAACACCACCATCCTCCGCCATTTGTCTAGGGAGAGGGGGGAAAACATAAAAAGCCAAATTAGCGATGAAGCCCAGATTTGCGTGCTTGCGCTCTCTTTCTCTCTTTCTTGAAATTGGTTTCTTTTTGGATAAGATTTTTTTTGGTTTTGGTTTGAAAAGGAGGGGGGGGGGGGGGGAGTTATTGGAAAAGCGCATGTTTCTCAGCAAATTGGTTTTCTCAGTGGAAAAACAACATCAAAAGGAAAACCAGATCCAGTATCATCAAAGAAGGACTGGAAGGGCGATTTCCAGCGCGGTGCTTGACAATTTACAAAGAGTCTCACGAGGATGCCCCTGGAGAATGGCGCATGCAGATACAGCGCGACCATGTCCGAGGGAAAGAGTGGGAATGATGGATCGGCATAGAGGGAGACGGGTATCAAATGAACGCGAGATCGAGGCGCAGGGAGGAAAAGAACACAGAGAAAAAGACGCAGCAACGGGGGAACCTTGAGCAAGGAAGACCCAGATCAAATCATAAGTTTAAGCATTTACGCAGTGGGTTGGTGCTGGGGTGGCATGCGACCGCCGACCGGCATGGGGTACTGGCCACCAGCCTGCTGTTGCTGCTGCTGGAGGTTCTGGTAGTAGGCCATCTGCTGCTGTTGCTCGTTGGTCATGTAGCCAGGGTGCATACCCGGACGCATATTTCCCTGGGGAGCATTGACATTGTTGTGCGCGACATCCTCGGGGGCCTCCGGGGCGACATCGGGGGCATCGACGCCGTTCTCACTGGCGGCAGGGTCGGGGGCGTTCAAGCATGCCTGGGGAAGAGTTAGTGGCTGGATGGACGAGTGCCATTGAAGCAGATCGTAGCTTACCTGGATCAGGTTCTTGCCCTCGGCCTTGGTGACCAGCGGCTGGAGCTTGGGAGTAGTAAAGGTATAGACAAGACCAGTTTCGGAGACGACCAGAAGAAGCACTTGAGTGCCAGTCAGGACGGAAAGTTCGTAGGCCTGTAGAGTCCCGTGATGGTTAATGGGTCATCCCGATAGAAGGAGCTTCGACCGGGGAGCCGAGGCGGAGTGTCTCGCACGCGACGCACCTTCTTCATGATACCGGCCTTCCGCTTGGAGAAAGTAATGTGCCGACGCGACTTATCCTGAATAAACTTGATTTCGATCTTGCGACGCTCACGACCGGGCTTGTCATCATCATCATCTTCATCGTCGGCGCTCATGCGGTTGCGCTTGGTGCCACGGCCATCAGCGCCATTGCCGGGAAGATCATCATGACCAGGAGAAAGCTTTTCGTCGACAACCGCAGACATATTGGCAATAAAGAACAACAAAAGAGACTTAATATGGGGTGGGGGGAGGTTGATTTGAAGGGGGATGCCGAAAGGGGAAGGCCAGCAAGATGACCCAATCGAGTAACGCGTTTTATGGGATGTGAGAGAAAGGGAATGGGGGAATCGATGGGGGGGGGGGGGAGAGCGAAGAAGGCAAAGTGCGAATTGCGATGGGCAGGCGGTCTGTCACGTGTGTCACGTGGGTGGCTGGTAATAATACCGCCGGTCAGGTCAGATAAGTTGGGGTACTTTGCAGAGCAGGAAGGGTTGTACGAGAGACAAGTATCCCTACTCTTAATCATGGTATTGGCTTGTATTTAGGATGTATTCGGCTCCGCTCGACTGGGGCAAGGGTCTTGGCTCTGGCACTTCATTGGTCCACACTCCCTTCGGGCCCCCGTTTGCCCTTTTTTTGCCCTTTTCCCCTCCGGTCTGGGCTTTCCCTCTCTTTGTTGCTGATGTCTATACGGAGTACAGTGCAATATCTCACTCAAGCTGGGATCCTGACAAATTACCCCCTCTTTTCTCATTACTCGAGGCTCTCGAAAAAAAACCCGAGTCCCAGAATCCCTTTCTATACTTAGCAAAACCCATTCCATTCACATGCCTCGAGGGGGGGCAGAATTCCGAGATCCGCTACACGATGATTGGCTGCCATTAAACATGGATCTATGAGGATCATTTTCTTCTTTCTGATAATTAAATCGATTATATCAAAGGGCAGCCATCTAAGAACATCCCTTTCGAAGGTTACATTCTCTTACCTACATATCTGTACATATATAGGGGAAGATAAACAAAAAAGAAATAAAACTCCCCCGGTCACACCAGTCGCGGGTCGCACCTGCCTTGTGGCACGGAATGGTGTATACTCGCATGGCCGCATTCAGAGTCAATAGCCCGGCATCCCCCGTTGCTCCTTTCTTCTGCCACTCATTCCTTTCTGATCTAGGCCACCGGCACCAACCTCATCTCACATTCATCACTTCGTATAGAAAGCACGGAGTAGACTGGAAAAACTCCCAGGGTCTCGACCTATCTACACATAATAATCCCCAGCTCTCATTTCTGTCCCCTTGCACACACATGCCTTGCGTGATACTCCATAGAGCCCCTGGAGAGATTTAATGTCTCACAGATGTACGGGGTACGGAGGACTTGCTTTAGAAAGGTTCACGTGAGCCAGGGAGGTGACTTGGTCAGTAGGCCTGCGACAAAAAGCTCAGGGAATTCCAGCGACCTTGACGTCTGGTTCCTTGCCTTTTTTCTACTCCCCTACTACCAATTCTACTGATACTCCTGCTTCTACAAGACTTTTCTTGTGTTGGGATTCCTCAAACTCAGTTGATATGGCTTGATATTGCACGGAGCATGAAGTCGTAACATGTATTGCCCTTATGCCTCCCTGTGCCTGCCTGGCTGCGCAGCCACACGCCGTGAGACAGCCGCAACAGTGGTTTGATCACCTTTGGGAGCCTCCAATAGCCAAGACGGACCATTATCCGTGAACGGGAAAACCTATCCTACCGAATCCACATGTCGACAGCAATAAGCAACAAAAGCCGATCAAAACGCGGCCCGATCCGAGGGAGCCTAGACCCGATGCAGCACAGTCCAGGTCGGCTGTATCAAGAGTCCTTCGCACATACCAGAGAATATCCTGCACACCACTGAAATGACGAAAACTGATCATATTCTTCACATAACGAACAAAAGTTCAACGCTAATCACCAACGGAAACCCCAAAACAGGTCGGTAGTCAAGTCTATTTTTTACAGAAAGATGCAGGGCATAGGGCACGGAGGGTTTCTCCCCGAAGCGCATTTGAGACCGGAAGACATGGAGAAGATAAGGAAATAAGGAAAAGACAGTTAAGAGCAAGGCCAAACCGATTAAGTAAGGCAAGTCTCAGCCCAAGGTCCTCGTAGGTCGAGGGAGAGAGGACAGAAGAAGAAAAGAAAAAAAAAAGCCACTGAACGTTTCAGAAATGGTGTACACCGTCAGGATATAGGGAGCACGCAAAGCCACCGGGTTCCTGCACCGTACTGGACTCCGCCAATGCAACGCCGGATAAATGAAACAGAAACTGGAGGACGCGGAGGGCAGGTCACGATCACGAGTCTCATCCGGGAAAGAAAAGGGGTGTTGGGTTGGTCGATTTTGCAATCATATTGGGCCGTCGTGAAGTCGGAGAAATAGGCAGAGGAAAGATGTGTAATATTTTAGAACATAAAATGAAGGAGCCGAATCATGTGCAACGAAGTAAAGAGGTAAGACCAACAGTCCCAAGGACCAGCCTCAAGTGGTAGCGGTGCAATTTTATTGCTGGAAAGTGCCTTGAAGGTAATGGTCAGTTACACCGCCGCCACCGCCGCCCTTAGGACCGAGCCAGACGATCTCAATCACGCTGTGGCCCTCATCTTCCTCGCGAACGTAGAATTGGTGCACGTTGTCACCAACCACAAACGCGTCACGGAGCAACCATCGGTCCTTAGCAACGCCGTCTTCCTCTGCGGGACGCAGGGGACCTAGGCGGTTTTCATAGCCGCGAGGGTCTTCCGGCCAAGTCTTTTCAGTGGCATCGAAATTGATAGCATCGTCCGGCACATTCTCTCCGTATGTGTATTTGACCAGCGAATAGCCGTTGGTCATGACCCAGAAGTGACGGAGAGTCTCGCCAGTAGCGGGATTCACACTCTCCTCCTGATCAAACACCCAGCGGCGCAGGACAGACTTGCGGCCCGCTGCAGCAGCAACGGTGGTCATCTTAACCACGTCCTTGGTGTACCAGCTGTTCCAGTGGTGCATGGACTCGATCTTGCGACCGGATTCATAGACACCATCAACGGGATCTGCCATGTCCATTTGGTAGAGGGAGGGCCAGAGAGTCAGAGGGGTTTCGCCAAAGCGCTGAATGCACTGGCCAAGCTTCTGATCACCGGGCTGCTCACCCCACGACTGACATTCATCGTAGTTGTCCATCAAGACATCCAGGAGAGGCTTCGAGACAAATACACCGGCACCGCCGAAGGCAATGTGACCGAAAGTATCGACCTGCCAGCTGGCCTCAGACAAAGATCCAATATAGTGCTTCCTGGTCTCATCGAAAAGCTTCAGTTCCTCGGCAATAGTGGGAAGAGACAAGAAGAACGTATCATCGTCACTAAATCCAACCCATTTGGTGTTCGGGCGGTGCTTGCGAATGTGCTCACTGAATGCCTCGACCATACCGAAGTAACGAGCAGTGAACTCAAGCGGAGACGCCTTGAGGGTCAAGTCCAAACCGCGGTTGCGGAAGTAAGTCTCTTGTTTCTCCAAGTCATCATCTGATTCAGGAACCAGAACAAGCAGGCCGGCCTTGGTGTTTCCGTATGAGTAAAGCAGAGAGGGAAGCAGGCGGTCCAGACGATCGACGGTAGTGGCAAGGCCAAACAGAAGCTTCGAGGTCTCCTCAACATCGTCATCAGCGGCCACATCAACATCGATGATCTCGGGGCAGACAAAGCTCTCCGGCTTGTTCTCGGGAGAAACGACCATACCACGCTCCATGATAACCATGGGCGGGATCACTGGCTTCTCAATTTCCTCCAAAGTGTGGAATTCGGTACGAGGATTCACATGGCGAGGACGGAAGTAGGCACGGGTGTAGTTCTTGCGCGGGAGCCATTCAGGGAAGGGCAGAGGAGCGGCCAGTTTCGGGTCAACTTCGCATGTAGCGCTGGCCGGCTGTTGCGAATCAGATTGTGGGGGCGTTTGTACTTGAGGTGGCCTATTCCCACCACCGGGGGCCCTATCAGTGGGACGTTTGAATCGCAGGAAGGCTGATCGGTCGTAGCGTTCCATGCAAAAGAAGAAGATTCCGATGGTCACCAGAGCAAGCAACGGGAACACCGTCTTCAACCGAAATAGAGGCATTCTGGCTGTTCCAGTACTGTGTGACGACTTTTCAAACATGTAAATAGCAAAAGGCGAGGTGAAACCGGGGTTAATGAACCCTGGCGAAATTAAAAGTTATGGGTTCGGCGGGCGAGGGGTCGTATCCCGGATATATCGTGCAGTGAAGCTGGTAGCAGGAGACAATTCCCAATTGCGGGAAGAGTCAAATAAACGAGTGTTCCAATTGTGGATTGAATGAGTGGCAGGCAAGTCAAGTGCCGAGTAGTTCAACGAGAGGCTGGTAGCGTCGGGACCTGCGACACGGTCCAAGGGGAAGAGCGTTCGGAAAGGGGAAGGCAGGGGAACTGAGAGAGAAGAGAAAAAGCAAGACTAACGCGGCTGGACGATGTGCCCAGTCCGAGTAAGAAGTCGACGAGAGCTTAGGGGATTGTGTCGTGAAGGTGTTGTAGAAGGAAAGAAAAAGGGAGGGCCGCCGAAGCAATTAACGGGACAGGGTTGGCATTGTATTTGTATTACAGTAATGTATTATTCAGCTGTTTTCTTTTTTACTTCGTTTGCTGTCTGCGCTTGTTCTTATTTTAACGCCGTTTTCCCACTAGGTGGACTGTTTTCAGCGATCTAAAATATCTAGGGGACTACCTATCTCGGTGTCTAATTGTAGCCTTCGAGTTTGGCATCTTGGTTTCCCCCTTGCCCTGTTGATGTCGACAATGGAACAGGTAGGAAGCCCTTCGACATTTGGGCCACCTCAAATTGATCCGCGAGATTCCCTGTTCCCTTTAGCTTCGTTCATTGTACCTGATGTGTCCAAGTGTCGATCATGACGGAAATAGGAATGCTGGTTGGCTGGGAGTCCCCCTCCCCTCTCAGGTTCAAGTGGAATACTCTATACGCTAGGATACCGCTGATCGGCATTGGAAGTAATGAGGGTTCTCCCTTGGACACCGCAACGTTCTTGTCTAACCCAGGATGTGGGTATGGTTGTTCAAGTCAGGAATGATCATATGGCTCTGGGTCTCTCTGGGCAAGTATGTCGCAATTACCTGAGGTCGAAAGAGCTGTTTGCGGCGACACAAGTTCGCATGCAGGCCCGCGTGAAGATGTCGATCCATTGTTCGCATCGGAGCATTTGCATCTATCAAAAATGCATTCCGTAAATAAACACATGATAGGCCAGAACCTCACGTTGATGATTGTTCTACAAGGTTATATCAAATCCAATTGCTCGGATGTGCATCTTCCATGGTATCTTGTACGGAGTACGGAGTACGGAGTGCTCCGAACCTCGATAGGTACATGTATGTATACAACATAAATACGCCATTCGACGCCAAGTATTCGAATCGTCGGCACATTGCACCTACATCTGTGGCTTCGCGTATCTGAGACTCAGAACAACACCAGACAATATAAGCGACCACGGTTGTCGTCCCGCGATCCCATCATGATGATGCGAATATCCCACCTCGAACTACTAGAGCTGTACTCTGTAGTCCGTATATCACGTCACAGTTATCAAGACGCTTGGACCAGAACATTCAAGTCCCAAATTAGTTAATTAGTTTAGAATTATGCATGCTATCAGAAGTCAAGCATCCCACTGTAAGGGCAAAGAACGTAAAGGCCAGGTATACAACACCAGCAGAGGCAAAGAAAAGACGGAAATGATCAGAGGGACGATCGCCCTGGCGCCCAGCCGCGTCAGCCAATCAGCACCGGCCAGAGGGGCAAATGAGACCAACGCCTCCATGGACACGCGTCCTCTCACGTTCGACCTTAAGGCTGGTTCAGATACTCTCGGGATTTCAGCCTTCCAGGTAATCTATCCTTTGCGACATGCTCTTGCTTTCTCGCTTACAATATCACTATGCGGAGTTGGGGAATACATATAGGCAGTGCTCCGTGCGGAGTACGGCCTTTCAGAGTCCCTATGTTGTAGGTATATCCATCACGTGCATCAGGGGAATACCCTCAAAAGGAGTGCTTATCGGGTGGACTCCGTACAAAATTCAGTGGCAATGGCCTCTCACCCATGGCTTCCTCGTAGCAAGTGGGCCGAGATCGACAAGGGAAATCTCTGAGTGACGCTGCAGGTTTTTTGGTTTGGTTCTCCAGGGCCGTGTGTTTCGATTCGTAATGTGCGTCATCATCGTTCTATATATATTGACCTGACACAGATACTGTGTATTTTCCGGGGATTGTATGCGGTTTCAGCTGTCTGTAACTTGCGATGGCAGCACCTGAACTGTGGAGAATCATCCACTTCTGTCTAGGCCCGAAGGGTACGGCGGTATCAAACGAGCTGAGATGGATTTAATCTTAATTTGCCGCTATCTCGTACTAAGATTGTCTTGGGCGTTGAATAAGATACTTTGTGGGATGTTGTAGAGACAATTACGAAATACAGCAACTCATCCTTCTGACATGTACATATGTCCTGGTGTATCACATTAAAAACGCCGAGTCAGCACTTACGAATCCTTTTGTGACTCGACAACGTGCCATCCCTGTGAAAGCACGAGACAGCCAATACCTTCCCACAGAGATGCCGGTATTGCAATGGCAGTTTAAGCTTGAATGGTCGTCTTGGCGGGGCTGTCACTGAAAAAAAAAAGGGAGAGTCTTTGATCCTGGCTCTTGCTGTACTGTAAAACCGTATGACTTGTTACAGACCCTGAAATCTCCAATTTCTAGAAATCGACGGAGTGGGACCGAACCCCTGATGCTTGGCCCCTGGTTCGATGGTGATTCTCCAGTTTTGATACTGAGATTGTTGCCCTAAGTTGTGCGATATGCATTGATGTACTTCGTACTTGTCAAACTAAGACCTCCGATGAATACTATCTACGGAGTACAATGTGTGGAGTACGGAGTACGGAGTATGGATATCTCCTATGCGTGTATAAAAAAATCCAGAAGTACCAAATGCAGGCGGTGCCCGTGCGTGTTCGATAGGGGTCCTCCGAAAAGGGGCTATCCACATAAACCCCAGTGACGCAGTCTGGCACCATCCTGTAATACGGAGTAGTATATTTCTAACCTAAGCTGGGATAGGAATCCTTCGAGGCGGCCTCTAACCATCTTGGGGGTTTGGTTGAGACTTAATTTTGATTGAGTTCAAAGGCGTTTGTTTGGTCCAAGTTGCCCTATCTGCGCCGTTGTGCCGAGTTCTCAGTATCGAGGGGAGGGGGGTGGCAATGGCATTATCGGACAGATGTGACTCGGTACGGAGTATATTTTGATCAATACTCCATACTCCGTAGAGCAAGCCTTTATGCGTATGATTTATATTTGGAACCGCGTTGTTGCGCAAGCGTGAGTGGCTGAACACGGTCTCATTCTGGAATGTGATATATGTCTTGAATGGTCTGTTCTACACCCTTCGTACTCCAACACTTTCACTGGGTTGTCATATTGTCCTACATTGTCTCGGACTAGATCTGTGTTCCCCGCAGTGTGAGATACACGGGATGAGTCCCAGTTCATTCACTCTGTATGGTGTAGGGAGTACTCCGTACTTCGAGCCCGGGCTTTTTACTCTAAATGCTATGGGTATCAACAAATACAACATTGGTTCTAAGTCAAGAAGCTCTAAGATAACTAATATGTGGCATACCCATAGGTAATGAGATTTCCTAAGAACCATAATATATAACCCCAAAAGCCAAAGTATAACTAAGAGCTGGATATGGCAATTCGGGTTCGGGTAAGATATATCAATGTACACCTTCATCCTCATTCTCTGTTTCAATTAATTTCATCAACTCCCGATGAATCACTGGCCATGCCTCAGATCGAGTCTGAAATAAAAGGTGCCAATCACCCGCTGCATCTTTCCCAATGATTCTAACAATGTTACGGGTCGGGTATCCACGACAATACTCAATATCGTTGATATAAGATGGTCTACCCAGGCCATGCGGCCTTTCACTCAAGGGCACACCGGGAGAAACAACAGCCGTCGACCAGTCGGTTTCGAAGTATCCAGCCTTTTGTTGATTAGTCGCGGCCATGAACAGCAAGTTCGAATCCCCGACCACAGGCGCGACTCTCCGGTAGTTCTTTCTCTGGATGGCAGTCATGGCTTGGACTTGTTGTTTGGTTCTGTGCTCGACTAGGGCCTGACGGTTCGTGGACGCCACATACATCAAGTTGGCATCTTGAAGAATCTTGTTTGCAACAAGAATGGTGTATGAATAGAAGAAAGAATTGCCAATGAGACCCGCTGCACCGTCGGGGAACCATTCAGGGAAAAGATTCCACACATTGAAGACGTTCATCACCATGATGGTGCGATTCGGTGCAGGTTTCAACGCTTTGATCATTGTTCTTACCCACCAGGCAACTATAACATCGCCCTCGCTCACAAAGGGCTTTCTTGCACCCCCCAGAGCAGTTGACGCCAGTTCCTGGAGCACAGTTTCCCTCATGCGTTTCACACACCGTCCTGGTAGGCGGATTGGGTGTTCTTCCAGCTTTCTGAACCACAATAGCTCAAACATGTAGCGAAGCCCAAAGATCACAAGACTGAACCCACTCAATACTAGTTCGAGATTGCTATAGCTCTGTCTGGGGGCTTCTTTGCCCAATGTGTTTAGAGGGTCATGGCCATAAGGAACAAAGGCCGGCACCTCTTCTTCCCGACCCCGCAGAACTGCTATCCAGGCTTTGAAAAAGTTAGTCCGTGAGATAGCGTCGGAGAATGTATGCAGGTAGTTGATTGTGAGAAGAGTGGTATCCTCGAAGAGAGCGACATGAATATGGAGCTGTGGACGGTCTGTGTAGATCCAGTCGGCCAGTTCTCGAGGACTGTCTGGGTGACAGACAATCGGAGCGAAGAAATCAGAAGAAGGCGACAGGAAAGATTGATCCTGGCCTGCTTTAGGCAGTTGCGAGCCCACTGGGTGATCATCGATGCCCATGCCATATGCGGTAGTTGTGAAAATGAATGCCGGGCGTTTCTCATCGTAGTGTTCTGGTATATGATATTCGAGTCTGTCTTGAGCCTGGAACAGTTTGTTACAACCTGTTTGCATCGCTACATGCATTGGAGACAAATACTATACATTCAAGCGTAGCCGAGCACCCATTTGACCCCAGTCTCCAATTTCCATTAGTCTGCCGAGTGCTGCTTCAAGTTTGGATGCATCTAGCACGTCGTCGAATCGCATTGTGAAGGCATGGCAAAGAGAACGGAGGTAATCCAGATCATCCCAGTATCGCAAAGTGATGATCCTGTCTGTGGGCACTGTTACTGGCCGTGTGCGCCCGAACATCGTGAGCAGGCCCATCTCTGGTTATTGTAGAAAACCGAAAAGTAAGTGATGAAGTTGGAAATCAACCGAGGCAGACTCGTCTTTTTCGATCGTTGTTCCTGGGTGACATAATGAGTAATGTAGTCTGCGTCGTTCTTTGATTTAGCTTGAGACAAGCGGTGGTATCAATATTCCGGCCTTCTACCGGGGTTGACTTGCTTCGCTCGCTTTGACACGTAGTGCTAACTAGTTCTATGCAGATGTACTATTCACTTGCTTTTTTCTCTCTTCCCCTCGAGGCATAGCCTGTAGTATGTAAGTGGGATACAGGGTGATGGTTATTGCATATGAGAATCTTAGCGCCAATGCAAGTATCTTCACACCTGTGATGATGCTAGAAACATGCCTATGTGACTTGGATATGGGTGATGGAATTTCCTCCAGCTACTAGTCCAGAGTCGTTCAGTCAGTCTATATATGCAGGTTGAGTCTGAAATCAGACTGCATCTCACTGCAGGACTCCCTCATGAGACTTGTGATGGGATTTTTCGGGATTTGATCTCAGAAAAGTAAAGTAGCGAAGATCTGCAATTTCAATATGCATTCCAAGATTAGATACATAACTCCCCACCACTTCATTGGACCCGATACTATTTCTCCATAGATAGATAGGTAACCTACGGAGTACATGGGGACACATGTCAGGAAACGCCGGACTTCAAATCCCTTCGGCTGTGACGAGTGCCTTGCAAATACCGCCCAAGGGCCATCATAGGGAAATAGTGACGATAGTAGTCATAGTCCAAATAGAAGTGGTTTGGAAACCCAGTTCCAGTCCACGCCGATGGCCATGATGACCCAATTTCTTTCGCTGGTCTTTGAGATGATACCAGGTACCGGATTCCACACGCAATAGCGTCATCTGTGACTGGGAGATGGGCGAGTAGCCCCATTAGTGCCCATGCAGTCTGTGATGGCGTGGACGCATGCTGGTATTGCTCAGGCGATTGATACGATTGGAAAGGCTCGCCCCAACCGCCATCCTCATTTTGTCTTGACTTCAACCATTGCAGAGCCGGCTTGACCATCGCCTGAACCTGGCTTTGCTGGACGAAATAGGCAAGACCACACAGCGCATTACTCGTGCCGTAGATGTAATTGCATCCCCATCTTCCGTACCACGACCCATTGGGGTCCTGTGTAGAAGCAAGGTAATGCAAGCCGCGCGCGCACGCTGCATCCAGTGCAGGCAATAGTTTGTCGGCACTAGTTTTTTCAGAAGAGCCCCACATCATCAGCCCGAAGGCTTCGAGTATCCGCCCAGTGATGTCAGCGCAGGATGCATCACACAGGCTACCCATGTCGCTGAAGGGGATTTTGTTGAGGAACATCTTATCGTTCTCTACATCGAAGGCAGCCCACCCTCCATCGGCATTCTGCATGCCGAGAATCCAGGTAGCTGCTGAAATCACAGAATCGGAACCAATGGATCGAACATCGTGCTTCACCTGGGCGAGGATGATTGCCGCTGTATCATCCACATCGGGATACCAACTGTTCTCATATTCGAAGCTGAAGCCGCCAGGGGCCAGGTGTGGTCGGTATATGCGCCAATCTCCGCGAGGCTCAAGCAGCTGACGTGCTCGGATCCATGTCAAAGCATCGTCCATGGTCTGTTTGTTCGGTGACATGGCATCGCAAAGGCCAATAGTCATCAGGGCTGTGTCCCAGACAGGCGAGACACTGGGTTGCATTCTCCTTCCATTTTCGTCTTCCCAGATAAATCTCTCCAATGCCTGGATTCCAAGGCGGACTGGGTCATCGTCTAGGTTGTAGCCTTCCAGCAATAATGCAAATATGCCGCCATGCATGGAAGGGAAGATTCCGCCCCAGTCACCGGTATTTTCCTGGTGTTCCAGGATCCATTTCATACATTGTCTTCGGGCGTACGGCCGGATCAGAGGGAAGGAACGCAGTCCATTGAGCTGATAGAGTATTTTGTCCAAAATTCCAAATGCCAGCCCTGTGATCTCTTTCTGAGACATCATATCCCAGAGAGACGAACCATAGGGTACACATTTGTTCGTGGCATTCAGCCAAAGCTCGTCCAAATAGTTGTTTTCAGGCGACCTCCCATTTGGCAGCGGATACACTTGTTGGTGATGGCAGATGATTAACAATGGAGCAATAGTGCTGCGAGCCCAAGATGCAAAATTGTAGATGTTGATTGGACATATGGATGGTAGCAGCATAAGCTCCACAGGAAGTTGCGGTACTGCATCCCATGGGAAGAGACCAAAGGTGGCCAAGAAAATGCGTGTGAAAACACGCACCCGGGCAATTCCGCCTGCTTTGAGCACAGATTGTCGGGCCCTCTTCATGGCTGGGATGTGCGGACTCGTTCCCAAGATCTTCAATGTAAGATAGGCTTCGGTCGAGGTCGATACATCACCTGGGTACCCAGGCGCTAGACCCCAAGACCCATCGTTGTTTTGTTGAGAGAGAAGATGACGGCAGTAAGCTGCGGCATCAGCTGTGAGATCTAGTCCCAGTGCCTGTCGAAGGAAAACATATTCCGCCGTGGGGGGTGATATTGCACCTGATTTCGCCGTACCAATGGCCATCTGGCTGTACCAAGCCAAGAGCATGGTCAATTGACAGCTGCAACGCTCGTTCTACTTGAGAAGCAAGGGAGGAACCATCATCGAAGACTTTTCCCGGGGCCATAGTGCCACTGAAAACCTTTCAATTGTAATGAATGTATTGACGCATTGATGTGCAATGAGTAGGAAGGGAACTCTGGATATGTGGATTTATATCCATGTGAACGGAGTACTGCTTCGCCAATCCCCTGTCAAAGAACTGAACCGGAAAGGGTGGAACCCATAAGACTTTGATTCGCTCGTCAGCCATAGTATTCAAAAATAGAGAGGTCAAAGATGAAAAAGCAAGGGAAAACAAAACTAGTCCGGTGATGTAGAACATGCACAGCGCGGTCAGCTCCACAATGCCCTCGACAGAATGGTGTTATCAGTTGCATGACCTATACATCGATTCTCAAATTATATTAGACCAGTTAAATCCCGTTTTCACGAAAGTCCGATGGACCTGAAAGCCAGTCAATTCGAACTATGTTTCAACGTCTGTTGATACCCTGTGCTGTGTCCAAGGCCCAATGGAATACCTCAAACCCGAAATTTCAGCCATCGCCAGGAGCTATCGGACAAGATACTCTGCTAGGGATCATTGTTTCAGCTATTGTTGGAGTCCCACTTCTTTTCCTGGCAAGCAGAGTCTACCAGATCCGAAAGCTGCGAGCACTTGAACAGCGGTACGGATGCGAGAAACTTCCAGATGAACGCGATGTTTTTCGATACGATCTCTTCGGCATCGCGAAAGCAATAGAGCTGGCCTTTCATTTCCGGCAGCGAACGTCGCTTTCGTACACAAATTCACTGTTTCAGAGATATGGCGAAACGTATGCCTCTAATGTCATCGGCTCCCGCATGATTCTCACTTGCAGTGCAGCCAACATAAAGCATATGTTATCCACTGGATTTGCCGATTTTGATAGTTCAGCGCTGCGAAAACCCTTGTTTGAGCCAATTACTCCACATGGCATTTTCACCCTCGACGGTGCAGACTGGAAGAAAAGCCGGGAGAAGATGCGGAATCGGCTGTCTAACCTCCGCAAGATCATTGACTTGGACCTGTGTGAACAGCACTTCCGGGTTTTCCTTCAGCATGTCCCGCCAAATGGCCAGATCTTTGATGTTCAAATTTGTACTTCTGCTCTCTCTTTGGACATGCAGACCATGTTTGCTCTTGGGGAGTCTGTTGATGCTCTCAGCTTTACCCAATCGCAAAAGAAGAAGCAATTTGTTGACGATCTTGAAGTTGTCAAAGAACGAATCGTCCAAGACGGGTTTCGGGGTCCTCTCCGTCACCTAGTGCCCAGGAGAGGCTTTTATAAGTCTTGCCGGAGAGCACGGGAATATGTTATGGCTCATGCCACGCGGGAAATCGAGGAACGAGAAAGCAAGAGTGAAATGAGTAAAGATGGATATCTTTGTGATTCCAACGCCAGTCCGGAAGAGCTTTCGCAGTTTGCCGATCAGGCAATGAGTATTCTGCTTGCAAATGACAGCATGAGCACTACTCTCTCGGGTCTCTTCTACTGCTTATCCCAGGATGAGCGTGTCGTCAGCAAACTCCGAGCAAGCATCATTGATACCATTGGACTTACGCCGCCAACGTGGAATCAGCTTGGAACATTGCATTATGTCCGCTGGGTACTTTGTGAAGGTGAGAAGATCCATTCAAACCGTCAGGATTTAGCACTAACGCTGAATGTTTCAAAGTGATGAGAATCTTTCCCGCAGCAGTATTTAACGCCAGGCTAGCAAACAAAGATTGTACCATGCCAAACGGCGGAGGAGCTGATGGCCAGTCGCCGGTTCTAGTAAGAAAAGGCGATATGGTGGTTTTTTCCACCTGGGCTCGGCATCATCTAGGAAAAGACTTTGGAGAAAATCCAGAGGAATTCTATCCCGAGCGATGGGAACACCTAACTGCCGATATGCCTGGCTTTATCCCATTTAATAAGGGTCCTAGGATTTGTCCCGGTCGTAAGATTTTCGCCCTAGCTACAGTGATCAAGACACCGACTGACAGCCATGCAGAACAGTATGCTATGACTGTGCTCACGTACATCGTAGCTCGGATATTCCAAACATTCTCAAACGTGTACAACTATAATACTAAACAATGGACAGAAAGAATTAGCATGACATTCGAGAACGAGAATGGGGTTCTGATCGGACTGAGCTGAACATTGTGTTTCGAGCCTCCTTGCAAAACTGATCAATATCAAACCGGGAATAGCGTTATTTTCAATTTGGTGAGCATAGCCAATGAATAAAAAATCAAGACTGAGGGGACACTCTCCTGGTAAACAATGAACTCAAACTTTCTATGACCGAGTCAGTGGCCTAATAGATAGCATCAATCTCACTAACGAACCTTTTCAAGAGGCTTCCTAGTCTCCAAAAACACATCCTCATATTTTCTGATCTCATACGGCGCTGTCCTCAGAAGCGCTTCCTTCCGCTTTCTAGTCCAGCCCTTGATGCTCCTCGAGTGTGGCAGATACTGGACAACACCAAGCATCGGATGCAAAACTTGACTGACGTCCCTATTTGCAGGACTGACGGAAAGCGGGTTGCGAGTGGTATCCCCTTCCAGCCTATACTCTTCCTGTAGCGCGAGATGCTCCTGATCCGGTGCCGTTTTGGACGGGTCATATGGAGATTTGTGACGTCCGACTTCGTCATCTGTACCTGATTGGCAGGTTTCTGCTCGCTCTGGGTTAAGGATGCATCTTTCGAGGATGGTTTCTTGGACCTGGGCTGCCTGGTCTGCTTGGAGGTAACAAGTAGTGCGAAGGGGATGTGAGTGTATGGGGTGAGTAGTGGTGGTGACTGCCTGGAAGGCTCGGTTGAGAGGTCTGTAATTCTTCATGGCTCTTGGATTATGAGTGGTATTAATGAGAGATATGTTACTTGTGAAGATTTGGATTTCAGAAAACAAAAGGCAACGTTTCGAGGTCTCTGGGTTTACCCCGGACTTGCTCTATATACCACAACTGGGAATGACATCATCATTCTGGGGGGCGTTGAAGTTTGGGAACACAGTACTTTGGATTTCATTAAGTCACCTACCTACCTAGATACCTATTCGCTGGCCTCCGAGAATATCATGAAGCAATTTCTATTCCCTGGTTGTGTGATACCATTCAAGATATCAGGGTTTGCCATCAACGACCTGTCGCAGTTCGATGGCTAAAGAAATTTACCTAGCTATATGTGATGCGAGATGACTGAGTTATAAGATGATCGTTATCAATGATGGGGGATCTACTAGATCTCGCTAAATACATATATAGTTCATAGATGTTTGCTCTTTCCTCAAGAGCCTGTGGATGCATTCCCTAAGACTGTAGGCACGTAATCCATATTTAAATTTAGTTTATGTGCATAATATGATTAATGTGTACCTATGCGAGGGGCATGACCTCGGGATCATCACTGTATAGCCATATGCTATGGATATCTACAAGTATCTATGAATGGACACCAAGCTAAAAAAAAAGAAAAAGAAAAAGAAAACCCCGAAATAATGGTAGATTGGATGCTCCCAGCAAGATCATGTGGTATACAGGAACCTGGGGTTCCGATCACCCATTTCTTGGATATCCTGCTCCGACAGAGAGGATATCTTCTCGTCTTCCAGACCCTGGGCCCTGCGTTTGTTGATGATACGGTAGCTAAGCCACATGAGGCCATACACAATACTCGCAAAACCAACCAAGCCCAGAGTAACAGCATTGCCACGGACGAAGCGCGGGCCTTCAGAATTGGGATACAAAAATGGCGACATGACACCGCTGATGTTTCCGAAGGTAAGCTGCAAGCCGGTTGCATAGGTGCGTTTTGCATATCGTGGCAAGTTGGTAGGCAGCCAGGCAAGAGGTAACCCAACGACAACATACAGTCCCAATGCGACCATCAAGGCACCGAAGTAATGAACACCCGAGGGCGAGTCCGAAATCAAGATGCCATAGCCAACACACGAGAAAACGCCGAAGAGACAGATAAAGAGAGCGCGATGTTGAGTGCGATCGCTTAACCAGGCAACTCCCAGATAAACAAGTGCACCAAGTGCATAGCATGGAATCGTCAACGCCTGGACCTCGGCAATGGACCATTTGCCCATGCCTTTGATGATAGTAGGGAGGAAGGTACTATATCCATAGAGCATGGTATCGACCCCAAATTGGCCAATGGAGAATGCCCAGATCTTCCAATCCAAAACTCCCTCTTTGACATCCGCCCAGTGGAACTTCTGTGCGGATTCTGTCTGGCCGATATACCGACTACGGCGGCGAACAACAAGCGCCCGCTCCTCCTTGTTGAGATAGTAAGCCGTGTCTGGGTCATCGGCTAGAGCAAACCAAGTTATCACACCCAGAAGAACAGTCGGGATGCCCTCGATGATCATGATCCAGCGCCAGCCTCGTAGTCCACAGATGCCATCCATGAACCCGATGCCGTACGCCAGTAATCCACCGAAGGCTCCCGCGATGGCTGCACTGCTGAACAGGTAACTTGTGCGCAGAGCAAGTTCCTGTTTACTATAGAATAGAGTGAGGTAAGTTATAAAGCCCGGGAAGAGGCCCGCTTCTACGACTCCGAGTAGGACTCGACAGGCGACCAGCCCGCCATAACTCTGAGTGATACCTGTGAGGGTTGCAATGATACCCCACAAGACCGAGATCGTGGCAATATAACGAGACGGCCTTAATTTCTTGAGTACGAGATTCGATGGAACCTCGAAGAACTGCAACATTGGGGTTAGCCCTGGAGCATCCGTGCGGGGGTGACTGGATTGCGTGAGATGCATACACAATAGGTCACAAAAAGAATGGACACGGCCACTTGGTACTGGTTGCCCACGAGACCCAGATCCTCTTCCAGGCCATACAAGCGTGCATTTCCAATGTTGACTGCATGTTTCGAGTCAGTCAATGCGGTATTGCCGGCACAGGCCGGTTGCAATCTGAAGGATGAGTCAGGCACCCCACCCCCCACGTACCTCGATCTAGGAAGCTGAAGAGATATACCAACACCACTAATGGCAGAATATGCAGATCAATCTTTCGGATGAGAGATCTTTCCATCCGTTCCTCGTCGAGAGTTGGCCCTGCACTGACTTCATCGGGCATCTCTTGGTCACGGAGTGGACCCGGGCCGGACTCGGTATGTCCCATTGCGAAGACCCAAAGATCAGAAAAAGGTAGAAATGCAACGGAAACGCATGGAAGAGGCCCAGGGACCCTGTTTCAAACCTTGACAAGAGTCGGGTCAAAGGGGAAAATTCTCTTCTCGGAAAAGGCAGAGCCAGAAAGAGCCGGGAAGAATTAAAGTTGCCAAGTGCCAAGAGGTTGGATTCAAACGCTTCCAATTGATAAGGCACGTCTCGGTTGGTAGTTGAAGGGCGGTTTCACGTATTGGATCTGAAAGAATACATGACTTGTGGCTGTAGAAGATCCCAAGTCACATCCGGGATGTTCCTCGGTACATTGTAGCTCGGGATCAATTTGCAGGACGTGAAAAAAGTCGGTGCCTGAGGCCACGCTGCATGGGCCAATACGAGCAAGGGTCGGATCAGGAAATGCCCCCCCTTTTCGGAAAGTGTCCAGGGCTTCAATCTCTACATGTCTTTGTGGATATCGGTAGAGGCATGGGGCAAGACACACGCAGGTTGCTATAGCAAAGGGTCATATAGAAGCGAACGTTAGATCGCAAAACAGCGCAGGTCAGCAGATCGGAGATCGACGGGCCTAGCCAGCTTACCTAATCGCCAATCCCGCTGTCATTTTTGCCTATTTGTGCCTATTATTTGCTACGAGAAAGACCACAAAAGTCAGGAACTATCACTTTCTGACCCTGTCTGCACCATAGTTAATTAGGATACACTGTTCTCTGCGATGAACGGGACTTTTTCCCCTGACTGTCCTATTCACCCCGCAATGCGCTGCTGACGCACACCTAACTTTCACAACGGTCTCTCTCTCACTATGAGAAATCCTCCACGCCTTTCACAGAGCTTTGCAAACGACCTCTGAATTGGCGATTCTTTTGAAGCTTTCGTCCTTTTCTTTCCACCTAGGATCTGGAACATCTGTATCTGCTTTTTTTTTGACTTTCGTGCTGCTGAGTCTCGCACCAAAAAAGAAGAGAAAATTCTATCAAAATCACCCAGCACAAAAATGCCGCTTCAGCCAATGACAGACCTCATCGCCCCTTCCTCCGGGACATTAGTTGAAGCTCAAACCCTCGATGGCCACACTGGCTGGATCTGGGATGTGGCTCTGTCCAGCAATCGGGAAATTCTCGCCTCGGTCTCCAATGACATGATGATCCGTATCTGGAACGCCAAAACCGGCCTCCAGCGCGGCCCCGCAAAAGACAACGGCCATTCCAGCTGGGTGCGTGCGGTGAGATTCTCTCCAATGGGCCGCCTTCTGGCCACCGCTTCTGATGATATGACCATCCGCATCAGCGACGCCAATACCGGCTTTACCTACCGTAGGCTGCACGGTCACACCGGCAACGTGCGCGCAGTGGAATTTTCCCCCGATGGGAGAACCCTCGCCTCGGCCTCTGACGATTCTACCGTGCGGCTGTGGAATGCGAATGACGGCTCGCTGATTAGAGTTTTGAACGGGCATTCGGCTTGGGTACGGGCCGTGGCCTTTTCGCCCGATGGGCAGAATCTCGCTTCAGCCTCGGACGATAACACAATTCGCCTTTGGGATACCACCACCGGCAACGAGCTCCACCGATTGAATGGACATGAGTCCTCAATACGGGCGGTCCGCTTCTCCCCCGGTGGGGAGCTGCTGGCATCGGGCTCGCAGGATAAGAACCTGCGTATCTGGGACACGGCTTCTGGGGCTGAGCTCAACGTTCTCCCTGGACATTCTGGACCTCTGCGTGTGGTCGCATTTTCTGATGATGGGAACTTGGTGGCAACGGCAGCCGATGACTTGACGATCCGTGTGTGGGCTGTGTCATTGGGGTTTGCCTGCGTTCAGATTGTGACGGGCTACTCGGGATGGGTCCGAGCCATTACCCTGTCGCACGACGGACGCATGGTAGTCTATACATCTGACGACATGACCATCAAGATTTGGAAGTCGGTATGAACGGTTTCTTGGGGGTTGTCCAGGAAACGTCTCTGGAAATGTTCAAAAGGGAAGGTCCTACTCGTTGATGCGCTGCGTTTGTTTTATTGTTCTTTTCTTTTTGTTTGAGATACCCACCAGTGTAATGTTTATTGTTCTTCTTGCTTCAATTGATCTGTGCTTTTGGGTCATTGGCCATCAGCATCTTTTAATCCAAATAGCTGGACTTGAACCTTGTCATGGGTTTGAAGAGTTGGAGATTAGCAGGGCCGGCTTAGCTCCTAACTAGTCGATCTTTTCATGAACGTCCCGTCAAGTTCCAACTTAGAAGCTTTCATGTACACAGAAGCCAGGGGATATGCTGAATATGAGAAGCAACAATTTTTACTGAGGTGACTCACCTGGGGTTAGTTTGAATCCCTAGTGTATCGACCAATAGGACATGCACACACCCCCCTGTCAAGACTCTCAATCAGTGACGTTTATTGCACCTAATATTTCGATCCAAACAGGCAAGGATAGACACGGTGGTTTTGGAATTCTACGATCTGATTCCGTCGAATGTTATTTTCGACATAGTTGTCTCGATGTAAGGCCTCTCTTTGCTTGGACTGAAGTCGTGAATCGACTACTACACCAACCCAAGAACTTTTAGTCCTTGACTCCCAGCAGCTACATCAAGAAAATAGACCGTCACACTTGCCCACTGTCTCGGTTCTCTACTACTAGACTCGTTGAGCAAGATATTCGAAAGAGTGACAATGTTATCCTTCGGGGATTCGTTCTATCTCATCTTCAATCTTGATGTGCGAGATGGCTCGGAGTAGGGATGAACTATATTGGCAAACCAGGGTTCAAAGTCGTTTCCCTCAATCCTTGCCCCGGTCAGTCTGCTGTGGTACGGATAGGCGCAGACCTTTAGGCACTAGGTCGTGTTTGGTCGTGGAATCTCGTTGTTTTCCGCTGGGATGGTACTTTGCTGTATGTCGCTGTCGTGATGAGCTTCCCAGGTAGTGCTTTAGAGATATGGCGAGCAGACCATAGCTTGGAGTGATGCTATATAAAGCAAGCAATATTCTACAGTCGTATCCTAGTTTCGAAGGAAGTTAAGAGATTCTCGAAGGTCAATGACTTCATAGAACAGGAAGTCGAGCAACAAGAAATCAAGATCGCCGCTGAGTTGTGGAGCCTCGGTTCATCTGATCTCCGCACTTGAAATGGGGAAGCTATCCCCCAGCTGGAGATTCAGTTTCTTGAATCCCAACTATCTAGACAATCTGCAACGCTGAACAATATGTCTGATAACTACGGCAACTACCAAACGGAAATCTACGGCAAGGGCGCCTTGATGGACGTCCTGCCTGGCGTAACCACCGACCCCCGCTTACTAGAGGAGCAAGCTCGAAAGTCCCTAGGCATTCGGGCATTCAATTATGTCGCCGGTGGAGCAGGCGAGAGGGCCACAATGGATAGCAACCGGCTCGCGTTCCGGCAGTGGAAGCTGTAGGTTTTCCTCGTTGGCTGTTCACCGAAACACTTAGAGACTAATGGCTCCGCTAGAATCCCACGCATGATGCGAAATGTGAGTGGAAATCATCTACTGTTTACAATGGTCTACAGTTTCGCTGACCGAACATGCATTTAGACACCCGAGCAAGACGTATCGATCGAGCTCTTCGGCCAGAAATACGATAATCCCTTGATCGTAGCGCCGGTCGGTGTCCAGGGTATCTTCCACGATGACAAGGAGACCGGGCTTGCAGAGGTATGTGCCGAGGTTGGGGTACCGTATACGTTGAGCACCGCGAGTACGAGCTCGATCGAAGATGTTGCGACCGCCAACGGGGACGGGAAGCGATGGTATCAACTGTATTGGCCGAAGGACAATGACATCACGCTGTCGCTACTCAAGCGCGCGAAAGAGAATGGGTTCTCGGTTCTGGTTGTTACCTTGGACACCTGGTCACTGGCGTGGCGACCGGCTGATTTGGACAATGCCTATGTTCCCTTTATCAAGGGGGTAGGGAACCAGGTCGGGTTTAGCGATCCCGTATTCCGTGCGAAGTACGAGAAGGAGAGTGGCTCGAAGATTGAGGAGGATATCGTTGGTGCATCGCGTGCGTGGGTCGGTGGCATCTTTGCTGGAAGTCCTCATTCGTGGGAGGATTTGGCTTTCTTGCGAGAGAATTGGGACGGGCCGATTGTGTTGAAGGGCATTCAGCATGTGGAGGATGCGAGACTGGCATTGAAGGCTGGGTGTGACGGAATTGTGGTATCAAATCATGGTGGTAAGTGATTTTGCGACAGGGTGCGACTTTCGCGGTTTCCTAATTCTCGTCCAGGTCGCCAAGTGGATGGTGCCATTGGCTCTCTGGATGTTCTCCCGGAGATCGTTGACGCAGTCGGCGACAAGATGACGGTGCTTTTCGATTCTGGGATTCGGACAGGATCGGATGTTATCAAGGCCCTGTGTTTGGGAGCTAAAGCAGTTATGGTTGGTCGGCCTGTGATTTACGGGTTGAGCATCCAGGGCCGAGACGGAGCCAGACAGGTGCTCAGGGGACTTTTGGCCGATCTGTGGCAGAATATGGGCCTATCGGGGATTCGTAGGGTGGAGGATTGTAATCGGAGTCAGATTCGCAAGGTACAGTATGGAGGCGACGTGAAAGCGATGATGTAGACTGGTGAATCAGAATGTCGACGGGAATCTTGGAACTGAGGATCACATGTGAACGGCCGATCTTCTTCATAGTTGGGTGATAGGCCAACTGCTCCCCGTCTGCATATACAACATAGAGATCGATATTGTAAATACAAACCGACTCCATGGCTTGAACATCCAAAGACCTCTTCCACATGTTTGCAAAATTCAAGAATGACCGGGCAGAACCCGAAGAAGCTAATAACGTTGCGATGAAGCTGGACTATGCGCATGCTCACGTACCGGCCTCAGGATCAACTCTACTCCCACGACCAGTCGCGTCGTTGATATCTTTGATTACCCAGTCGACATCGCTATCATTGCGACTGGGCACATTCTTCGGCGGGGCTGCCCTGGATGGTGCGCGAGCCACGACTCTGACCAGCTTGGAACTCAGCCGGGCTTTGGTCGAGGGGATCTTGACGAGGGCGGGACGAGATATCGCTATTCGCAGTGGAGATGAACATGGCAGGACAGAGGCGGAGTCTCTGCTTGAACGAAGTGTAGGTTCCTAACCCCTGGTCGCAACTTGCGCCTAACACCCCTAAGTTGGCGACACTCCACACGACGGTGACCTCGGCATCTTTTTTTGCTGCAGCGACATTTCATTTTTCGTCGACTACGTTGTCTTCAATCTCGAACCTCTCGCAGGCACTTTTATCTACTTTGGATGCCATTCTTGGGTCTACCGAGTCTTCAAGAGCCATTGCAGCTATTATCACGCTCATTCGGCGCGAGTTTAGATCCCTGGAACCCGGTGCAAATGCTGAGAATATTGGTGTTGGAGATCTGCTCATTGGCTCTCTAGGATTTGCGCTATTGCAGCGTTGGGGTAGAAAGAATACAGAAAGACATCTGCACCTGAATGGCGGAGATGAGATTGTTTGGGACGTTGTCATCCTAGACAATGGTGCAAGAGCAGACGTCGTCGGATCCCATCAACTGCAATTCACTGATCGTGGTAATGATGAAGTTGTGGAGCCTGGCAGTGCTTCCTTTGTGGTATCAGGGAATGGCGAGGAATCGTTTGATGCGGTCCGACGGTCAAGTATCAATGATTCATTGGGACGTCGCTTGTCTATTCCGTTGGATGGTCAGCAGCAAGTTTCGGATGAGGATATCCGTGCTTATATCATGAGTCAACTCCCTCAGGGCTGCCATGCATCCATTAGATCAGAAGCACTGACGGCGCGAACGATCACGGTCGATATCTACGATGACGATACGGCAGAGATTGCCCCGCCGCCTGGAACGAAGATGATTGAGGAGAGATTCCACCATGATCATGATGACGATGATACAAGTATGGTCGATGGCCATCGACGGTTTCCGAAACATACCATGGTGTTTAGAACAGCCTTCAACAAATCTCAGAGCACTCAGCTGCGACCCCATGACGGTTCTGGAATCGTCACCCAGCCTGAACCTGATCATCCTAAACGCAAATTACTAGACAGTCCGTTGTTTAATAGTCCTGTGAAAGCTCATCATGATAGACCGCACTCACACACTGATACTACACATGACAACTCTTCCAAGCGCCATGGAACAACTACTGGCTCGCCAAATGAGCATACCAAGTCTGCACTTACTAAAGGCGCATTCACGAAACTTGCACAGAAGGTAAAGCCTGCGGCTCTGGAAAGAAATGAAGCGAAACAGCCACCACCACAAAAGCCATCTATAAATTCACCTGGATCATCAGGGATTTCTGTTCCCCGTCTTCCTCTGAGACCTACGAAAGGAACAGCTTCTGTGAAGGAAGCTACCGTGAGAGAGGCCTTCAGCAGACCTGATTTTAAGAAGAGACAAACCGAGCCAGTGAACTACCGACCAACAACTCCTGTACCAAACCGAGGCTTGCGGAGGTCACCTTTCCCAAACTCACCCCAAGGACCCTCGCCAAAATCGCAAGTCAAACACGCCCCATCTCTTGAATTATATGGCTCAAGGAGTCCACGAGGTGGCCATTTTGCGGTGCGAGAGAAGAGCCAAGAGTCGCTTCTCACCCAAACCGACACATTCCTCTCACGCCGTGGTGCTAGCACACGCCCTGGATCTCCTACGGCGGTCCGGACCCGTGTTCGAAGCAGCAGCTCCATGTCTGTAACAAGATCGGAAACAGATGGCGCAATGTCTGCAAATGATATTGATAACCGCCCCGGCTCGTCAGGCCTGCATTGCAGATCTCAGTCATATACCCCCAGCATGTATTCGCTGGCAACTGCAGGCTCAGAGACATCGCTACTACTTGCACACCGGCCTCGTAAAAGCGCATATGAAGACATGGAAACCATTCAAGCGCTCAATCGCGATGGTTTTGTGCCGGGTATCTTTCCCGAAAGACACTTTGTGCAAAATATCCGTCGATTCTGTCGATTTTCCTCTGCTTCATATGGTTCGAATGCGCTCAAATTCATGGGTGTACCCAGAGACTCAAAGAGTCTACCAAGTACGAAGTCAGATGGACATGAGCACAGTGCCTTCTCAGAGAACGCCGGTCTCCCACCCTCGACAATCCTTCTCTCCTCCTTTGTTGACCCGGCTGGTGGCTCAAACTCAGCCGGCGAGACAGCGACAGGCTTCCCCCTAGTCCACTATCTTTCCATCGACCATGACTCCAAAGCCGTAGTCCTAACTCTACGAGGAACCTGGGGCTTCGAAGACATCCTCACCGACATGACCTGCGATTACGATGAGCTCGAATGGCAAGGCAAAAACTGGAAAGTGCACAAAGGCATGCACGCCTCCGCCAAACGACTCCTAGAAGGCGGCGGCGGCCGAGTCATGATCACCCTCCGCGCCACCTTAGAAGAGTTCCCAGACTACGGGATAGTCCTATGCGGACACTCCCTCGGCGGAGGCGTCGCCGCTCTCCTAGCAACAATGATCTCAGAACCCAGCCCATCACCAACAGGCACATCATTCGTAACAGCCTCATACCAACCCGCCACCCGTCCCCGTCTGTTGACCACAAAGCCCAGCTCCAGCACCCCAACCTCAATCCCACAAACCTACACAATCCCCGCAAATCGCCCAATCCACGTCTACGCCTACGGGCCCCCAGCCGTGATGTCCCCCTTCCTCCGCCTCGCAACCAGAGGCCTGATCACAACCATCGTCAACGGCTCCGACATCGTCCCCAGTCTATCCCTAGGCATCCTCCACGACATGCACACAGCTTCCCTATCATTCAAAGAAGACGCCACAGGCGCCAAAACACACATCCGCCAACGCCTCCGCGACTCGCTCCGCCAAAGCATCATCCACAAATTCTACGTCAACCAGCCCCCGCTAGTCGTCAACGCGGGCGACGGCGTCGGCGAAGACGCCTGGGCCTGGAAGACGCTGCTATTGCTCCGGGAGGAGATGCGCGCGCCGAAGCTCATGCCGCCCGGCGAGGTGTTTGTCGTTGAGACGATGCGGGTGCTGCAGCGGGATGCGTTCACGGCGCCGGATTTGGGCGCTGATGGGTATCCGCGTCTTGGGAGGCCAGCGACTCGTGTGCAGATTCGGTTTATTCGGGATGTTGATGGTTGGTTTGGGGAGTTGCGGTTTGCGGGGGGATGTTGAGTGATCATAATCCTGCGCGGTATGAGACTAGTCTTGCTGCTTTGGCGAGGGGGGTTTTGGATGAGTAGATCTTTGGTATTTTGGGTGATTTCATTGGGATTGGTTTGGGGATTTACTTCGGAGTTGGATTTTGCTCACATATGGATTTTGGCTGATCTTTTTTTGGTTATTTGGAGGGTGTCTATGTTTATCATGGTTTGATGATACATTCAGTGTATAGATAGACAAGAAGCACTGGGCTTAGCTACTCATTGAGTCTTTGGTCTAGTTTGGTCGATGCAGATTTCCTGATATATGCAATCTGAATGACAAGCAGTCAGGGAGAATTGGCTCGACAGATACCAACATCAATGGCCCAGAGTTTCTGGCTCTTCGAGGGACTATCCATCTAAGTGTCAAATGGATCAAAGAAGCAGAGAGCCAGAAACTGAATTGGTTGTGTGACTGGCGACTATGACCATCAATAAGACCTCTCCTTACACTCCAAGTCAAGAAGCCTTCACGAATATACACATAACACTACTGATATACAATCGACAGACTACAAGACAAGAGAACAAAACAGAGAGTAAAGTGATCATAAAATATACATTGAGAATCGTAGTTTTAAATACATAAGTAGTGTATGAATCCGACCCATCTAAACCAAATGGGAATCCGATAAAAAGAATCAAAACCAAGATCCAGGGTATCATGACGGCATCACATACGCCAAAACAAAAGAAACCTCCTCTGACAAAAGAAATAACACCTCAAATAAAAAAAAAGACATGACAAGAATCAGAAAGGTACGTCGACATCCGATGCAATGCTCATACGACAAGCGCAGTAGCAGCAGGAGGAGCCGGACGACCAGAGTGGCATCCACGCTCATGGCGCTTCATGTTGCTGCGCACAGAGAAAGCTTTTCCGCAGCCGGCATGTGTGCAGCGGAAGGGCTTCTCGCCGGTGTGCGAGTGGGAGTGGATGCGCAGCGAGGAAGGGCGCGAGAAGGCCTTGTGGCAGGTACGGCAGATATAGCGATCATGGTTCTGCTGGTATGGGGCCGAGGTGGAGGGTGGGAAGTAGTGGTGGTGTTGCCAGGCCGGGGTCACCGGGGAGATGAGAGCCGAGGTGTGAGACTGGGGCTGCGGCTGGTGGGCCTGGACCTGGACGGTGGGCATCTGGGGAGCTGGGGCCGGTGTTGAGGGCCGGAAGGAAGATGCAGTTGGTGGGCGGGGATAGTACATTGGCTGTTGGGGAGCGTCGATTGGGGATGTGTAGGAAGAGACGCTGGGTGCTGGCGAGGCATATGGCGTGGTGCGGGCAATGTGGATAGAGCCGTTGCTGGAGATGGAGGAGCGGTGGAGATGGTGGGCTTCCTTGTGAAGCGACTCTACGGGTGATGCGCGGCTGTGCGCGTGGCCGGAGCCAGAGCCGGGGCGCAGAGGTGGTGTTGGGGGCATCTCATAGGGCTGGACCCGGATGTGACGCTCACCGAGAGATGGTGAGAGACGTTGGCGCTCTGGGTGGTATGAGGTTAGCGATGATGTTTTTTTTAGGTTGGGGTATATAGTGGATATACTCACTAGCTGCTTGCTGAGCACCATCGGCACCTTCGAAGAGAGATGAGATAGAAGGCAATGAGACCTTGGGCTCCTCCGCTGGCGGCGACAGAGGCGCTGAGCGCTTATAGTAGCTGGACTCGACGGGAGTATAGATGGGCTTGACAGCCGAGTGAGAAAGAAGACTGGCGAGATCCATGGTGAGGAAGTGTAGTTTGAGATGATCCAGATTTGTTTCAAGTTCAGCTTTGTTCAATGAGTGGGGGATGCCACGAGGTTTATACCTACAAAGCAGGCGGGCGGCTTTAGATGATCGCCAGCGGGCGATGCCGACTCAGGCAAAATTACGATTTACGTTACGGCATTTTCTTTTCTTTTTTCTTTTCTTTTTCTTTTTTCTTTTTCGAATTTAATTTTATGGAATTTAATTATTTTGATGAGACAGAGTCCGCGCCAAAGCTTAATTTAATTGGTTTTTCCTCTTTGGATTTTCCCAAAAATTCTAATTTAAATTAATGAACCAAATAAATAACCTGGAAACCCATTCTTTTCGGAGATTAACGTGGGGAATGACGATTTACCCACGCGAAAAATGAGAGGCCCTAACCTTCCAGCCTTGTGGGATGTGCAGCCCCCTAAACCCAAATTGGGAGGCCGTAAAGACCCCGTTGGACGATTGCACCTCGGCTACGGCTAGTGCAGATCCTGCTCGACCTGTCACAAAAAATCCCAAGTCCCCATAAACGGTTGATCGATCAAGGATCTATTGATCTGCGACTGGAAGCGATGAGTATGAAGACTTTCGATTCCCCTATCATCCCCGGTGTTTGGTTCGCATTTTCGGTTCTTTCTTTGGAACTACAGGAATCATACTATCTTAGAATCATCAGTTCAAAACCCGGGGATGACACGGTTCAGGAGATCATTTTTGTCGCGTGGCTATGGGGGAAAACGGCGCTGGAAGCGAAAAGGGAAGGTCACAAAAGGATGCGCTAGTCCATTTTAGGCTACAGCTCCGAATCATATTTACGCCTCGCTGCTTACACGCTGGTTTAGGGTATGTATGGAGTACATCCTCCGTACATGTACCTTGTATCCATGCATTGATGATGTATTTAATTTAGCTATTAATTGCCCTTTTCGGACTACTCGATCCCGGACTTATCACTAACCAAGGGCGGCTCTAAGCGCTGGGGGCGAGACCAAGAGAAGTGCCCTGAAACATCCATTTTAACCCATGGCCCCGGGCTCGCTTACACGAACCTTGCAGGGACGGTGAAAGGATCGTTGTACGATGTACATGGGGGAAAACTTGTTTTTCCCACTCGAGGTGGTAGAAGAGTTGCCGATCGTGAATCATTGGAGAATGGAGCAAAGATCGCGGCAGTTGGAGCACCCATACTGTGTTAAGAAGGTGAACAAAGGCCTAGAAACCGATCTAAGACCCTGCTCCTGAAGATCATTCCTCGAAGCCGTGGAACTGAACTGTGGCTATAAGCCAAAACGGGTTATTGAAACGATCGGCGTTCTGGAACATTGCCTCCTTTTATTACCATTACCTGTTCGCGGTTCCGACCGTGCACGATTTCTGCACAGGAGCGACTGGGGATTGGCCGTTAGGGGTGGATTCGTCCCGGCCTCGTGGAAGCGAGCTCCACTATTTAGCCCTTTACGAGAGATCGTCGGTGACGGAAGTATTATTATAGAACGGACTGCACAAGATCGCGAGGGGGACGAGATGCAGAGTATATGTTCGTTTTGATTTGTCTGGATCTCTATAACAGATATCACATCTCACCATCCCTCCCGATAATAATAAAATTCTCGATATTATTCATTCTTATAGTCGTGGCTCGAGCGTCAGGATCGCCCCGGTCTTGCGGATGATCAACCCCCCTTGTCGGCACTTGGTACGGATCGCCTATTCTCAATTGGGTCTAATCTCGGTCAAAGTACGGAAGAATCCGCACGCACTGATTGGGCCTTCTTCGGTTCTGATCAGGGTACGGAGCACTCCGTACTCCGTAAATGGTTACATACTGGGGCTTCGTTCTCAACTCACTTTGACGGATCACAGCGGAATCATTGACGAAGTCATGTAAGTCATAGACATGAGACGGTGTCATACAGGGAATACACTTTCAAAAAATCTCCATTGTGCGAAGCTTTGAGCTTCGGAATCCTATTTTTCCTTTTGGGTGATGAAACCGGGAAAAATGTGATCCGCTCAGGTCCCATGGAAGCGAGTTTGCATTTACATGGTACATTTACTTTTTTTTTCTTCATTTGAAGGGCAATCGAAATGCTGGTTTTCTTTTTCTTGTATTCTTTTTTCTTTTTCTTTGTTTTTTTCTTTGGTTTCTTCTATTCCACTCTATATTGCTAGGCCACGTGTGCGTTCTATTTTTCTAATCCACAAGCAATAGTCTGGTCCATCTGAACCAAGGCACAACATATTAACGGTGATGGAGCTATCCTCTTTCGGCCATAGACCCGGGTAGGCAACGGATTCAGCCGTGATCGCTGATCGCTTTTTGATCCCGGGGCACTGGGCCTCTGCCACGCGACTGTCTCACCCCTTTTTTTCCCAGGCTTGCCCAGGACAAGTCAATGGTCGCAAATCAGTGGGGCTGAGCATGGCTCCCAGCCACGCGAGGAACTTAGATCTTCACAGATGTGATGTCCGTAACTCCGTCCTTCGCACGGCGTACGGAGTACTCCGTACACGTCCTATACTCCGTATGTCTCAATACGATATCCACCTGGTTGCCTTGTGAAGGGGGGTTGACAAACACATGGCACTTGCATATTCATGCGACCGAGCTCTGTTGTATCACATAGTGTCAGCGTTTCATCAGCCAATTTCCCAAAGTATAATTGAAATTAAAGACACAATGCAGCCCCCAGGCGTCATGAGGAAGACGACACCTTCCAAAGTCAAAAAATGGGTGGTTGAAGGTATTTCCGCGAGAGCGTCAATCACATCCGCATCTGGATCAAGGTAAATTTTAAAACTCCCAAGCTTGTTACACGCCGATCGGGGATTGGTAGATCCGATCTGACGCTTGTACAACTTGGGAAGGTGCGTTTATTGGATGGACAACCTTGTGCCATGCATATTAAGCACTTAATTTAAATTGGATTTTCCCATTTCACGTGGCAACGAGCCCTAATCTGGCATTTCATCCGATGCACCTGTGTGTCCCAGGATATCCGCATGGGATCTTCCCGCTACCAACTGCAGTAGTGTACGGAGTACGGAGTACATATTACCTAGGTACCTATGCTATTGCAGATAGGGACTATTGGATATTGCATGATACGAACGTGTCCAATGACTCTATCATTTCTCGCATCCGAAAGTGGATGGACCCTACAATGACGTAGGGCGGTTGATTCTGCAGACTTGCCCAGGACTGGATTTCCCTCTTTGGGATACTCAAGTGGGCGACGAGATAGATACAAAGAAACACTCATTCTTGCTCCTATCCGGCCTCCTTTTCAGAAGTGATTGATCAACGAAAATCTCAAGTTTAGGGAAGTTTAGGGGATAACCGCTGGCCATAGCTTCGACTGACTCAGCCCATGATCGCCCATCGCTAAGCGAAGGTCGTTTAGGGAATGTCTCCGATGCAGCTCTCCACGTAATGCACGAAGATTTCATACGCGTGTTTTGGCCCCTCGCAAAATGTAGCCTAGTTGTATAATCTTATCAATTTCTGGATACTTCGTCCTGTAGATTTACTCCGTACTCCATAGATTAGATGGCCCTTCAATCGATATTGCTTTTTGGCCCCCATAGATTCCACTAATAATGTAATGCCGACTCCATATCAGAAATTATTAGATTCCTTCAGGATCTAGGTAATATCCCCAATGCTGCCTAATCCTTCCTGCCTAACAGAAAAAATGAAGAACATCGCTACACCGATTATCAGCGTATTCATCGTCTACCTGTAATCCGTACCCGAACCCGAGCTGCGAAAATCAGGGGGCAGGGAACTAAAAAGTAATAATAGAACGTCAACATCAGAAGCGAGGCCAAAAAAAAACAAAACAAAACAAAGACCGTTAATCACCTGCCATCAGAATGTCAAGGATCGACAACGATCACCGAACAATTTTTGGTCGTTAAAGAGGCAGATCTGACAGGGGCTGGTCCACGGAGCTGGACCCGACCTTTCAGACCCCAAAACGGAGCACGGAGAATAATCTTCGAATCTACAACATACGGAGTACGGAGTACAACATAGTGACAGAGCACCAAAGCAGCCTAGTCCCAGTATAGCCAAGGTGGACGGTTAGAACTCGGCACGCCTTGACTCGGGTGAAACAACCTGTTCGTCAATCACAGAGGGGCCGGGAACTTACCGACAAGTAACATTGCCCGCTTGGGTATAACCCCCGTGCGATCGCCTGTCCTATAACTCCCTAGTCAGAACGGACCATGTATGGGTTCCATATTTTTACCTCTGAAAGAGAGACAGAAACATGGGCCCCATGCGCTGGCTATTTTAGGGAGGTGATATGGACAAGAGTTGAGATCAAATGGTATGTTATTGCCCCCCTGCTCATAGATCCATACGCTAATTAGCCTGTCGCCGGCTACTCCGTACTACGGTCGTATCTGGATATCAGCGATCGGCACGCTCCACTGGAGCTATGAAACACCCGAGAAACAAAGCACGGAACCCTTTGATATCCGGATGAAGCTATACAGCCGGGCATAGTCTTCGGAGGAAGGTTGATAGTCCTAGATAGTCGGTTTCACTATTTCCCTATTTCCCTATTTCACTATTTCACTACTCCGTAACTGATGTTGATATACTCCGTACATCGCGCATCTATGAACCTCGGCACATGCTAGCACTTTGTATACCACATATGTTATAGAGAGTAAGAGAATAAACTTTCATTGATTCTACTTTGATTACGGTCCTGCCTATTCGGGCGCCATACTTCACACCCATTTCCCTTTCATTTTCCCTTCGGCTTCGGCTTCCGGTTCTGCTTTCAAAGGATTCATTTTCAAACATGGATCCTCCCCTGATTGCCTCAGGTAACTCGGGATGGTGTGATTCTCCAGAGTCCAGAGTCCAGAGTACGGAGTACTCCGTCCAGAGGATACCCCATATCTATATACTTTGCACCATGCATGTTTGACTGCACTACTCCCCGAGCACTTTTATTTTATGCACTCACCTAGACCAATCCATATATGCGGGTGGCTCTATACACCTCAGCCGCTCTATCCTCGCATAAGCGAACCCAGCGTGGGCTGTTCATGCCGATAACGTAGGCACCTGCGACAGGGATGGGTGGCCAGGTCACTCCCCGAGCCTCTCTCCACATGCAAATAGTTCGAAGTATCCGTGCATCAGAGATGAAATGCATTGATCGCTTCCCCAATCTCCGATTCCTCCGCCCAATTCTGGATACTGTTTGCATCCAATATACATCCAATATACGGAGTACTCCGTGTGGTTTGCTCCGTTGCGTACAAGGCAAAAAAGGGCCAGGCAAATTTCCCCAACCGGAACGCCACGCTAACGGTCGATCCTGGGTGATCGACGCGTGATTTTTGTTGTTTCATGCCGGTAATTGATTCTTCCAGCGTGCGGGGATTGGGTAGGCACCGAGGCGTGCCAGCTCAGTGTGGAAGTGGGAGGGGCTAGAAGGGTAGATCATCACACCGTTGCATTCCAGGCCTTTACTTTCTTGGGCTACGTGGCATGTGTTCTTACCCGGTGGCTTGGGAATGAGTATCTCCTGTTCATGAGACTGGGATATAATGTAGAGTCATACCAGGCCCGATCTGAATGGGCCGGGGCCGAGATTGTGTGATGGGGGATCTGAGCCTGTTTGGAATGGCCTTTGGGTGCCCCTTGAGCCACGGGGAAAGATCCATGCGTGGGTTTGGGGGCCGTGCTGGTTCCCAAGCGCCGTGACTGAAAGGTGATGTGTCGTCTAACTGGATCCTCTCGATTATGGAGCCCAGGGTCCAAGACATGACCTCATATGTATTATGTACGGAGTATTAGAAGCCAATTTCGGGGCACTTGGAAAGGTCGAGCATAAGGGGACAAGAGCCACTATTACGGAGAGACCATCGTAAATGAGACAGAACAAAGGTTTAGAGTTGGTCTTAGCGAGAAGGATGCCCAAAGGCGACGGGCGATTGGCGAGCAATCCTCCGATGGGGTGATCTGCGACGGAAACGCCCGTCGATCGGAGCTGGCGTTTTTTCCTTTTTTCTGGTTTGTTTTTTGTATATGATCTATTCCTTGATTTGTCGAATCGTCCGAAGCATGAAGGTCAATCCTACTGGTTGAGGCCGGCTCCGGCCGAGAATTAAATGAGCGCCTCCACTGTCCACGTCTCTGTGATCGACAGATCTCTTCAACTTGTCTAACTGGGACTTACAGTACATTACGGAGTACTCTCAGCGATCATAGTGACCCACGTCCCAGTCGGGCAGGTCGTTGTGTTGGGTGATCTTCAGATCTGCTTCTGATCCTCTATACAACATGTACAACATATACATACATAAATCAAGATCTTCTAGTTCATGCTTAATATGGAGCTCCCCTGAAAAAAAAAAAAAAAAAAGCAAAGACCATGAAAGGGGTAGATTGTTCCGTCCGAGATGCGGCCGGAAGAGCTGAAAATGGGGTATCGCAGAGAATAGAAACAAGAAACAAGATCTTCATTAAGCATACAACTCCACTTGACCCTGGCCGTGCGTGGCTTCGGATGGGACGCCATTTGCTTTAGCCGCCGCGACCGCCTTCATGTTTTCAATCGCCTTTTTGAAGTCAAGCTTCCGATAATCCTCGGGCATGTGTTCTCCACTGTAGATGCAAAGCACACGCATCCCTGGCTTGTAAGAGAGTCCGTTGAGCAGCTTCGGCGTAATGAGGAAGTACTGGCCGCCTCCACCCCCACCGATGGGGTCTCCATTCTCGTCGGTTTCGTCGCTCTCGCTCGACGCACAGGCAATGTCGACCAGGCGACCGTGGACCATGCGCTCGTTGCGGGGGTCCATTCCCTGGTTGATCTCATCGACCACGCGGAACGGCGAGGCGGAGAGTGACTGGAGCGCCATGAGATAGAAGATCGTACTCACGGCTCGTTCACCACCCGACTGTCGATGGGAATCTAACACTGATAGCCCTGCGCCTTCGCGGAACTGGACGTGGATCACAATCGACCATTCCCCGAATTCGCTAGCACCGGGCTCGCCATTGGGACCCGGTTCGGCTTGTGCCTTGCCCAAGGTGACTTGGCCAGCACATCCGATGCGACGGAAAGAATCTGAGAAGGCGTCGCTGATCTTCTCGATGAGCGCCTCTAGTCGGGGCTCCCAGTTCTTGCGAATTTCGGCGATGCTGTTGCCAATCTGTGCAAGCTCGCCTAGGAATTTGGCAAGCTTGGAGCGCAACTTCTCAATGGCCTTTTCACGGTCTTCGAACTCCTTGATCATATGGCTACTGCCACCATGGGTGAGTTCCAGCCGTGCCTTTTCGGAATCAATGTCGGCTTCGAGCTTGTCCATGTCGTGATCTCCGAGTTGCTCGAGGATTCCCTCCGCGTCGGGCTGGCCCTGCAGTTCTCGGCTGATCCGTTGGGCTTTTTGCATGACTGCTCTAGCCCTGACTCTGGACTCTCTCAACTTGACTGTGGCTTCCTGTGCCTCTCGTCTCTTTGCATCTAATAACCTCGCACTATCAATGTTGCGGTGTCGAAGAGTCTGGAGATCGGAAGTCGCCTCTAGGAGAAGAACCTCGACTTTCATGAGCTCCTCGTAAGCTTGGCGGAATAATTCGACAGCGTCCTGTTTTACATCAGAGGAAATTAAGCCACGCATGCGGGTAATAGACTTACCGCATATTCAACGGTGGCCTCGGCCTTTTGAACTGAAAACTCGTCTTGCTGGTTGCGACAGTCACGAACCTTGTGCCGCACGTCTTCGAACATTGAAGTAATGGATTGAAATTTGGCTTCTTGTTGAGCTGCAAGTTATTAGACAAGTAGTCAGGAGGCAAAGGAATAGAACGACATAATAACATACAGATTTTCTCTGGGATCGCGCGGTACTGGGTATGCGCCGTCTGTTTCGCGCTCTTTTCATTCTCAAGATCATCCTGTAGGCTAAGTTAGCAAGCGTTCGAAAGGAATCACATCTAAGCAACATACAATTTCCCGCGAGATCTGCTCGTATGCTTCTTTGATATTCGACACAGCGGCTTTTTCGGACTCGAGTTTGTTCTGGATTTCTTGGAGTTGGCTCTTCCATTCCGCGATGTCGTTCTGATATTTTTGTTTCAAAGAAATATCAACAGGCTGCGATGTCCATACTGTAGCAGGCTTGAGCTGCCGAACCCGAGTTGATGTCGCGCCAGGTCCATATTCTCTCCGTCGATTCACTTGATAACTGTTCTTTGCAGCTACCCAGGAGTTCAACAGACCATTTTGCAATTGTCTGAAGACTTCCTCTGGAATATCGTTTATCGCAACAGGAGTGGCATGGAGGTTTTTCTCACTGCAAAGCATTGCAATGACAGGATTGGGCCCGACTAAGAAATCCTTGGCCCAGCCATCGAACCTGAGACGGCCGAGTTCATCACTCGCCATTGGGGCCTTCATTGATTCCAATGACTGCGAACAGGTCCGGATGCTGACATCATGAAGTCTTAGGGTCCCATTAAGCGCATTTTGCAAGGTGCGGAAATCATTCCTGTTCTGCGTGGTGAACGATGTAAAATCTGTCCTCTGAAATAAAGACTCGACGGCATCGGCGTATTTCGGGTCGGTGATTGAGCATGTAATGATTGGAGGACCAAAGACCTCTTGTTCAAACTTGTCTTGGTTCTCAAGAAGCCATTTATAGCCTTTCAGCGTGTCGTAGGATAGTCTTTGCAACTTGAGTTCTTGCTGGCCAGAGACTGAGTCTAAGTTGCTTAATTGACGTTCAGCTTGTTGAATATCTCTCTGCACTTTGTTTCCCTGATCCCTGATCGGCTGCCTCCGGTCTTGGATGTCCTGGGCCTCAACCTCGAGTTCTCGCTTCTTGCGTCGTTTTTCTCTCTAAGATTGTGATAAGCAGGCTGGTTGAAAGACCAGAGCATACAGGGATTCTTACCAAAGTTTCATTGTAGAATTCAGGATCAAATTCCACAGCTTCTTCTTCTTGTTGGCGTCGAAGTCGATTGATAGCCTGCTGAGCCATTGCTGCTTCGGATTTGTGCTTTTGGCCGCTCTTTCTTTGGGCCTCAATCATACCCTCAAGTCCTTTGATTTCGTCCGTGTATTTGTCGATTTTATCACCGCATTTAGTCGCGGCCTCGGATGCTTTATCAACAGAATCTTTGCGACTGTTTTTCACGACGTTCAATTGTGCGATGTAGGCTTCTTTGGCATTGACAGCACGTAATGTAGGCTCGATTTCTGCTTGAATATGTCGGTATTCTCGGTCAAGTTTCTCCTTGGTAACCTTCAGGGTCTCAACGATATTGTGATGTTCCTTGTACTCCACAATTGGACGGCATAGCTCAAGGATCTCAATTTTTCGTTGGATCACGGCTCTCTGGCGCATTCTTTCAACGTCTGCGCGCTGCATCTCTTGACGGTTTTCCATATTTGCGAGCAATTCCTTATCACCACTGTTGTCCATCTCGAGCTTTTTCTGTTCAGCTCTCAACGTTTTCAAAGCATCATGCCACTCGATCATTTCTGGGCCAGCCGCTGCTCGTTGCGTGGAATGAAGAAGCTCAATCGGTGTAAGTGCAGCAAACTCAGCGACTTTATCTTGAGGAAGGAACTGGCACAGATTGTCCACTTGGATAGCGAATGACTGAGCCAGTTTCAGCACATCGACCTTGGAAGCGGAACGGCCATTGAGTGTAAAAGAGCTTTTGTTCCCATCGCGCTTGATGATTCGCTGAATGACAGGATTGCGACCAATCTTGGGCGGTCCGCATAGTTCAATTTCAATCATAGCCTCTCGAGCGCCATGTTTCACAAATTCGCCCAGATCTTTGGCACGCCCCAGATGCTAGAAATAGGTTCAAGTCAGTATGAATGGCTGCACAGTTTTACACTCCGGGTCATACCTGAGGTCCCCATCCCAAGCCTAAGCAGATGGCACAGACCAGGGTGCTTTTGCCCGTTCCGTTTGGGCCAATGACCATGTTCAGCTTCGGCCCAGGAAAGAACTCTGCCGATGTATATGTCACAAAGTTCGTCACCTTGATCCGCACAATCGCGCCAGGCTTGTAACCACCGGGACCAAGGCCGTTGTGAGCTACTGCTCGTGGGGCTTGAGAGATTGCTTTGGGTATACCAGAACCGGTGCTATCCCCGTCGCTGTCCTCATCGCTATGCCCATCAATCTCCTCCTCGATTTCCTCTTCCGCTTCGGAGCCATTGTCGATTTCGGTGGGGTTCAAGCGGGGTCGTTTAGGACTCGATGGTTGAGATGACGGAGAAGGTGTAGGCTCTTCGCTATCTTCATCCTCGCTATGAGGTCGACGTCGAGATATATTGGACGACTCCATCATGGATGAAACCCGCAAGTAGATGCGAAGGGAACCTCATGAACTGTCGAGGGAATTCGCTGTGTCGAGTCTTTCTTTGTTCAGGCCAAACGCGAGGGAACGCGTTCGCGAAGTCCACTTTAGGTAGGCGGTGAGGGGTTGCATATGGCAAATTGATTGAGATGAAGTAGCTTGGACTTGTATAGCACTCACCATGCCTCCTCCAAACGTCAAGCGGTTAGTTTTAACTGCTGCAGTAGTTTCTATCACTATCACGGGAACTCTTTACGGAGCTGGCCTGAAGACAAATCAAGAAATCGCCGAGGTAAGAGCGAAGCTATTCAGGCCGCCGGTATCCTGCAATCATGTCATTGAACCACATATCTAATGAACTATTTGATTCAGACAACAAAACAGCGACAGGAGTCAACTTTCGATGAGCAACTTAAGGCTCTCCATGGTATGCGCTCAAACTTGAACGCTCGCAGAGGCATACTCGAAGACCAGATACGAGACTTGGAAGCCAGGATGTTGGAGAAGCAACAAAAAGGCATCGGTGGTGACGATAAAACCCAGCCAAATGGAGGACGATGAGAATCACGAGACTTGTGCTCAAAGAAAGGCAGTGCTTCCACGATTATAGCCAAATGCGAATCAATGGCAAATTCACCCCACGACGCAATCGGCCTGGCTTTGAACCTCCAAATGACAACCACCTTGAACCCAACGCAAGGCCGTGAGTGGCTGTCTGCCAACTTACCACATTGTCCCAAGGTCTATCAACCGTGCAACGTGGTCACTTGATACCCGTTGCATCCACGGGTGACTTGACTTGATCTTCGGATCCGACGTCTGCGCACACCAAATATGGCCTGCGAAGATCGGAAAACATTCCAAGGTTGGACTTGTTTCCATCTATCTTCTGAGCCATTGAGATTTGACTGTTTGCTACTAACGCAACTCTAATCAGGCCATTCATGTACATAAACCAGCCATCTGTATATTTGTCTTTCTATCATAGTTTATCCATATAAATGATTTGGATAATATGTCTAATGCCGAACATGCATGAACACTCTTGGTCAGAAAGTTCGACGCCAGTGACAAAAGCCACAGGTGTCTAAGCCTCAAGATTAAGTCTCTCCAACAGATCGTCCAGCTTCTCAAGCAAGATCTCATAGTTCATCGCATCTTCTGAGAACTCGTCCTCAACAACCACGCCATCCAGAGTGCGGATCTCCGGGACATGTACTTCTGGCTGCTGGTCTTGGCCCGGGGGCCGTCCTTGGAAACATCAAGGGTCTCGAAGCCTTCTGTAATTTTTGTGACCTCTTCGGGCCGTTCATCTTCATCGCTATCCTCCGGGGATATCTCTTCTTCCATCATCTCCTCGAGGCCAGCCTCGTCGAACCTCAATCTGAAGCGTTCTCCAAGATAGAACCGGATATCATCCAGAATTTCAATCGAATCCGTCTCCTGTCTGGCTTTGATACGAGATGCTGATTCTTGGATTAACTCCGCAAATTCTGGAGTATCTATATGCGCCTCCAGTCGATATGCCAGATATCGAGCAGCAAATTCTTCCAATCGCTGCACGCGCGTCAACCATGCAGCCCGTATAATCGAATAAATGTCAATGTCTTCCTCGTTTATCATTCCCCGGGTTTTCGCGGCCTCAGTCTGCGATATTCCAGCACTGCCCAGGGTGCTGATGACCACGGCAGCTTTTGTCTTCAGCTTCTCAATGAAAAGCATATCGGCGGCGAATAGCACATCGACCGCGATATCCAAAGAGAAATCAGCTCTTTCAGTGTACAAGAATGTAAGGATAATCTCCAACACCTCAGGCGAGCAGTCAATGTTGATTATCGTCAGATGCTCATGCAGGTAAGCTTCCCGGAAGGCGGATGTGAACATCCTTTGGAAAAACTCCGACCGCAGAAGCATTGCACGATGACAGGGAAAGAGTATTGATTTCGGTGCATCGAAAGGCTTTTCATTCGCGGTGACAGTAGGGCCAATAGGAATCGAACTGGATGTGCCATTGGTGACCTCTGATGGATCAATGTCATCCCCTTCGTCGGGGAGTTCATCTGCCCTTAGAATAACATCGGCAAAGATTGCATTGTTTCGATCCCATTTCACTTCTTTCGCTTTTGAAGTCTCGACTTCAAGCCTGTTCCCCAGGATATTCTTCTGGAACCATTGTTCCATCTGGTCTCGGCCCTTGGCGAGCTCATCCGCTCTCCTTTGTCTGGCACGCCTCCTATCTCCACTATCAAGGATACTGTCTAGAAGATTGTGGATCTCCAAGTACTTTGAGATCCTATCTACCCCCGCGAAAGTCTCGGACTCGGTGAACCCCGTTCCTGGTCCACTCCGCAAGTCCCGAGGAGCTTCACCAAGGTAGAGATATTTGACGGCAGCCCCGAATGCCTCCGGTGGGATGGTATTCGGGAGTTTCCATGTTGCAGATTCTGGGGCGGCTGCAAGTTTGGCATGGAAATATGGAGAGCGTGCCGCGAGTATGAACTTGTGAAGGTGGAGGGATTGGTCGCATGCGGTCACGACAATATCTGTTGTTACCGGAGATTCGCGAGTAAGAAGTGAAGTTATATGTGCAGCCAGTGGCTGCAAGGGATCGGTGGACTTGGAGAAATCATATTCGAGGAGGAGGTTTCGTATCCGATCATTTAGGGCGTTATAGAGACATCTATAACATCACGATCGTTAACTTCAATCACTATGAGGAATGGAAGCAATTGCTATATACCTTTCACCTTGAAAAGTATCTCGCTCACACAGCGCACCAGACTCCAGAAGAAGTCTTACAACTTCATAGTGGCCACATAGACTGGCCTTTAGAGTTCATAGGTTATTATATGTTGTAGCCGGGCTTGACAGAGCCGCGTTATAAGCTTATTATACTCACTAAGATCAATGGCGTGTAATCATAGGGATCACGCGCATTAACATTGACACCCTCGGTGATTTTCTCCTGACAGACTTTCAAATCTCCCTGACGACATGCATTGCATAGTTGACGAAACGGCTCACTGAGATCCAGCGGGTTATCATCTTTGATGGTACCCTCTTTGATTAGTTTCTGTTCATTGACCAGACTGATCTCCAATTGATCTTTCCGCAGCACAGTCGGCTCAGCCATCATGCAGGTTACCGGCAATAGTGTAATATGTAGCTCGAAGTGGGATGAGCCAAACGGCAAACGGCGGGGGCGGAAAGGTGCTTATCGATAAGCCACACACGTGACCATACAGATGGGAACTGGGGGTACGGAGTACAGGGTGTCGACGTGGGATTAATGTGGGAGGATTTTGGGTAGTTGAATTAAAGTATGCAAATCGCTCGAGATATATATTTCCATAATTATTTTTAAGTCCAACAACAAACCTGCTTCCCCACAGAATTGTAAATGAACGTCATTCGGGGTTCTGCCTTTCTCAACCCGTTTGATCGTCGACCCCCACCGCCTGCTCAGTCCGGGAAGGCGCAATAATACCCGTTGCATAGCAACGGCAACCAAACACCCACCTTCAAAGCTCCAGTTCATATTGCCTTGTCTCTCCCCAAATCTTCAATTTTGCGATTCGCCTCAATTCTTTACTAACACAGGGTTTTGTCTTACTCCGTTCATGCCTCATTGACTCTTATCCTTTTCTGTTTCGTCTTTACCTGATTGTTCTGAACTCTACAGCAATCTACAGCCATGGCGATTGCTTTGGCTGAGGCCGATAAGTATGAGATCTTGGACAAAATTGGTATGTTCAACCTTGCAAACACTTGATATTCTTCTCTCTTCCGAACTAATCTCTTCTTCATTCAGGTTGCGGCTCCTTCGGGATCATCCGCAAGGTGAAGCGGAGGTCAGATGGATTCGTAAGTGCTGTGCATTGGTGTCATGTTGGAACCCGGAGCTAATCGCAATCTTCCTCTATAGATTCTATGCCGCAAAGAAATCAACTACATCAAGATGTCCCAGAAAGAACGCGAACAGCTCACCGCAGAATTTAACATCTTGAGTTCTCTTCGTCACCCAAACATCGTCGCATATTACCACCGAGAACATCTCAAGGCCAGTCAAGATCTGTACCTCTACATGGAGTACTGTGGTGGCGGAGATCTTGGAATGGTGATCAAGAACTTGAAGAAAGCCAACAAGTACGCCGAGGAGGAATTCGTGTGGCGCATTCTTTCTCAACTTATCACTGCTTTGTTCCGGTGTCATTACGGCTCGGATCCTGCCGAAGTCGGATCGAACATTTTGGGCCCCCCTCCCAAGCCATCTGGACTCAAGGGGAAACAAGGACAAGTTACTATCCTGCATCGCGATTTGAAACCCGAAAACATTTTCCTCGGTAGCGACAACACCGTCAAACTCGGCGATTTTGGCTTATCCAAGCAAATGCAATCGCATGACTTCGCATCAACATATGTCGGCACGCCTTTCTACATGTCCCCAGAGATCTGTGCAGCCGAGAAGTATACTCTACGCTCCGACATTTGGGCAGTCGGCTGTATCATGTACGAGCTCTGCCAAAAAGAGCCCCCCTTTCAATGCTCGCACCCACATTCAACTAGTCCAGAAAATCCGCGAGGGCAAAGTCGCTCCCTTGCCTGATTATTATTCGCCAGAACTCAAAAATGTTATTGGAAGCTGTCTGCGGGTCAACCCTGATCACCGCCCTGACACTTCCGCTTTGATCAATCTCCCTATCATTCGCCTAATGCGCAAGGAGAAAGAGGTCGTTGATCTTGGCAAAACTTTGCGCCGACGCGAGGAGCTTGCTGTTCACAAAGTTCGCGAAATGGAACAGAATCTCGCCAAAAGAGAATCGGAAAAGCAGCAAATTAAGGCCGAAATTGAAAATACCGTTCGGAGAGAGTGGGAGGTTAAGGCACGGTTGGAGATTGATCGCCAGGTACAAAGCGAGCTCGATCGGCTGCGCAAGCGCTTCGAGTCTGAGGTCCAAGAACGAGTTGCCATAGAGGTCAAAAAATACAAACAGAACGCCTCCAACAACACATCTCGTGATGATGTATTCCGTACCAGCACTCACGGATCCGGGTCTTCTCGGTCCAGCAATCAAGGCTGGAGGTCTTCGCGGTCTTCTGCCACTATGACAGACGAGAATGATACCACGCAGTCATCAAGTGGTGATATGAGCCAGCTATCTCTTGGTTCTCCTCCGTCAAACGCCCGGAAGCAGCCCAAAAAGGAGACTCGAACTCCATTGTGCCGATCCAAGACTGTTGTTGATTCCCCAGTGGATATTCAAATGGCCGAGCCATCGCCAATTTCAATCGCCTCGCTTTCCCTATCCCCTCGACGTACTTCTGGCCAAGGAGGCGCTCGCAACATCTTTGCAGAGGCTGAGCGGAATAAGGCCAAGTGGGAACCCACTTTAGCCTACTCTGATGACGAAGATGATACACCTGACTTGCCTTCACCAACTCGGCCCAAAGTAAAGCCCGACCCCTTGAAGGCTCCTCGCCGACCTCTACTTCGCCAAAACACAGCGGCTTTCATGCAGAAACTCAGCGCCCAACCTTCACTCTTCCCCTCGAACGGTACTCGTCTTCCGCAATCCATAAGTACATCGGCTCCCCAGTCTGAAGAACGCAGCGCAAGTGAGAACAGGACCAGATCTCCCCACCGTCGTCTGACCAAAGTTCCATCATCTGCCAACCTCGCTGCTGATGCTGGAGGCTCACCAACCCGCAAGAGTGCTTCGAAGCAACCAGCTCCTCCCAAGAATGGAGGCGGTGGTGAAGAGATGTTCAAGGCTGTTATGCAGCGCAACATGGGTGGCCGCACTTTGGTTGAACTTGCGCAGGCCAGAGCTGGAGGCCGTCCAATAGATGAGGTCAAGCGTTCTACGAGTGATTCCCGTGCCAACGGCTCAATTATGAGCATGAAGTGTTCTGAGCGAGATGTTCCTGCTATCTGGAATCCCGAGCTAGATGAGATGCCCAGTCCCTTCCTTGCTCGCGGAAAGAAAGTCATCCGCAACCTGCGGTAGATGCTTGCTCGCATTTCGTTATCATTTACTACGTTCCTTCGGTTTCGTATCGGTCTTGGTTTTCTTTATGGAGTTTCGATGTGATAGGAGTTCTTTTCCTGGATTGGATGGTTTTTTTTCTCACTTTGTTTTGTCTTGGATTCGGATTCGGATTCGGTTGATTCGGTTCCTTTGAAAATCCTCAATTCCCCTTGTTGTCCATCATTTTCGGTTTCTGCACATCGCTTCTTGTGCATACCTTCTTACTACGTCACGGAGTTGACTTCTAATACTTTGGGTGCATTCTTGCCACACGCAAGACACGGAGTTTGGATACACATGCCTATGGCTCGTCCATGGCATCTTTGCCTTCGTTGGCCACACTTTTGCCCTCCCGGCTCGTCTCTTTCCTACTTTTTCCTTTGTCCCTTATGCCGTCACGCCGCTTTCCTTCATAGAAGGAGATGATTGAATTCTCTTGTACATTTACTTGCATAAACCATGCATTGACTGTTGATTTTTTTTGTATTTTCATCTTGCGTTTCTCTGGATGTCTAATTGACTGTTAATCATACACTCGTCCATCGCAAATATGACTTTTCGTGGTAATTTGGACCATGTCATTTTCGTAGCGTAGCGCCTTTATTATAGGATTGCTTCTTCCTGCCTCTCTCTCTTCGATGATCTACCTCCTGGGCTATTCCAACAGTACCAAGCTTCGCTGTTAGATGTTCCCATTTGATCTCCTTAGAAAAGCAGCATTTCTCCTTCCGTTTCGGACTTGTAGTTGGTCTTCGGAAGTTTATATCAATTTCATCTATTTGCAATCTATACCAATTTAGATTCATCTGCAGATACCACTGTGCCGTATTTATATTATTGCATGCTCAGCGAGCCAATATTCATGTCATTCAAATCTGTGAGGTTGTACAAGCATCGCATCTAATCAAACATTTTCTCCAAAGAGACCAGACCTTCAAGCCTATGCATCCTCGTCCTCGACCTCTTCCATTTGAACCGTCCGACGCTCCTGGTTGAATCGCCGCTCCTCTTCCTCTAATGACAATAGCCCGTCTATCTCTGACGAATCGCCAGCCTGTACTTGTGGAGCGGGACCGGCGTTATACCCGGCCTTCTCAAGCCTGTCCATTTCCTCCGGTTCCAAGAGCTTCCCTTGTCCCTTAATTGCCTGCTGCTTCATCCTGACCGCAGCTGGAACAAATTTACTCGCCTCCTGCCGCAAGTCCCGAATCTGAGGCTTTGCCTCGTAAACAGTCTTGGCCACCGGAGCCGCCGTCGGACGAGCTGGCAGCGGATGAGGACCACTATGCTCAGCAATCTGTTCTGACGGGACATTTCCATCCCGTCTGCGCTGGTTCTGGCGCGGGATTGGTGGCGGAGTATCTCGCGGCATGGGTATCCCTCGCACGTCCTCGTCCGTATCACTACTGTCACTATCGCGAGGCATCCGTGTTTCATCTGAGCCTCGCCTCCGCTTCCCGAGCACTCCGTCGCCACCGCCCCGTCTCGCGCCCTCGCCCTGGCGCCCCCCTCTGCCACCCTGCTCGAACCGGGGTGCCTTGTCGCCAAGAGCTTCACGCGCCTTCAGGACACTTCGCAGATCCTTTTCCAACGCTTCGAGGAGCTCCTTATCGCGCGGCCGTAACTGTTGTCCTGATTCCTGTGCTTCTTTGAACCCGTTGATCTGGCGCTGGATCCGATCTGGGTTGCGCCGGGCAAGTTTCTCATTCCGGCGCGCTAATGCCTCAGCTTTGCCTTTCCTCAATTCTTTCTGTTTATCCTGCTTCCGCTGCGCGGCGGCAGGGTTCACCGAGCGCTCTTTGTCTTTGGCCATGACGATGTGTGTATTGGGTGGTGTGGTTTGTAATTATCGGTATCGCGGAAACTAGATGCGAAATCCGGTAATGAATGCTTCAGACTCTTGTCGAATCAATTTTCCCGATGGCAAGTTGGGTAGCAAGTACAAAGGTCTGGGCTCTGTGGGTAGCTCCGCACGTGAAGGGTTCGAGGAGATGCAGCGCGCAGACTGGAAGATAAAAATGCGCAATCAAAATTGCGTGTCGTAACTGGCTCGCGCGATTTCAGTGGACCAATGCTTTAGGTCGCCTCGACTGGATCACGTTAAGTCGGGCCGTCAGGTCGAGGCTGCAAGTGTCCGGGACTAGGATTGGGTGATGGTCACGAGTTGCAAGAATGTATGTGGAGTAGCGGTGTGTCAGGTTGAATCCACAGTTCAGCCTCACAGTTTAGGCGGACAAGGTAGGTGTAGGAGTATGTTGTAGTGACTGGGTCGAGAAGCCGAAGTCGAAGGTGGAATTTGGTGAAGGGAGATACGGAGGTCTGCAGCGACCATGGGAGACTTAATCCCTGGGGATTCTTTGCCGGCAGAAAACTGCTCGAAGGATCACATGTGGTGAAGGGCGGGGGGCTAGGCGGTATGCTCAATTCCCAATTGAAGAGACGGCCATTTTGGTCGCTAACCCGGCCCGTAGCAAAGCTAAAGCGGAGTGGAGAGGAGAGCTATCCATGGTTCGGAGGGGGAACTATCAGCGGTATGGTCTTGGGATCTACTTCTATATTCCTCCTTATACCCATCATCAAGCCTTTGGCTATTTGAAAAAGCGCATTGTTTCACCTCAATTCGTTTGTAGATATACCGCAGAGCCTCTTAATTTCCCTCAACTCCTCATCGAGAGACATGCAGAGCCCGGCATGTAGCCTACGCAGTATGCAATATAACCAAAACTATCGAAGGAGTAAAGACGCGATAGAAAGGAGCACCCAGCCTACGAGGGCAAGAGATGTATAATATACTAAATATTACTTTTTCCTGATTTTGGTTCCATCTCCAAGCCCCTCTTTATGAGGAGGTCCGAGGTATCATATTTCCACCTGAGCCTGTGCTTCAGAACATATAAAAGAGAAATCTCACTAGCCTCTTTTTCGGGGGGGTGCAACTGACTTTCCTCGAGCCGCGCGCTGTCTAGTTGCCGCCAAACCCTCAGCGGCTCACGCCTGCTCTCGCCGCCACTTTTTTTCCCTTTTGGATTCCTCATGACCGAAAAACGAAGCTTCTCTCCCCCTCTAACTGTCAATAGTCGCATCCCCCGATCCGACTACGCACGGTCTCTTATATCCTCTCCTCCCAGAACCTCCTATCCTCCATCATGACCTGTGGTCCGTTCGGTCTCATCTCGAGTTTGATCGGCGCCTCGTAGACTGTCGCGGTCGGAGTATGTCTCTGCCGGGACCAAATGTCCGTCTCAGCCTCGATTCCCGACACTTCGCTTGGCCTTACCTCCTCCGAGATCCAGATGCTCCGACAACAGCAGCAGCTTGCCTTACAGGGTGGCCATGCCGGTAATGGGATGGCCAGGGGCAGAGGCACGGGGAGAACCAGCAACTCCAGCTCACGCGCTACCAGCGCCGCCAGCAGCCAGGGCCGTCTGCTGCTGGACCCTATGAGCCTCCGCGCACTATCGCACCAGTTGGACAGTTTGGAGTCTCAAATACGTCATCAGATCGAATATGTATGTGTTCTCCCCCTGCGCTTGTTGACCGCGCACGCCCATCGCCGGGATATTACAGTTCAGCGTGTTAACATGATCATTAGCTCGAGGATCAAATGCAGCGATCTATCCAAAGAACCTACGACCGTGCGGGCAACGTGATTCGCAATGCCGATGCTGAAATTGCCCGCACCCGTGATATATTGGCCTCCATCGACGAGTTGGACAATGATTTGGCGAAGATCGGTCATATCCGTGACATTGTCAAGTCATTCCGAGGCCGAATCGAGACTCTCGACCATCGCATTGACCAGAGCTCTCGGCGGCGACGATGATCCTTTTACCTATAACTACCTTACTTCCTTCCATATACTTCCTCCAAACACATACCTCTCTTGAACCGCCCCGAAAAACCATGCACGGATAGGCGTTCTTCCCGATTTTACTCGACCACTGGATGGTCTGACCGATACAACTCTTATAACTACACACGAAACCCCACCTAGGACATATCAACCCGACAGAACAAAAATCAACAAAAAAACTATATATCGAATGTGTCCTCGCGGACTATTTTCTCAAATGCGGATCAGCCACCGATTCACAAATGGCACATTTCATTTGTATCTGTGTTTATGAAGTAATTACCCGAACAAGCTGCATGCATCGCGGCACTATCGAGGCGCGACTCCATTGATGGACACACGAACTTGGTAGGGACTGCATATGTAGATGCGTGAATGAGCTGGGTTGACAAACACCCAGGCTTTTGTTTTCCACCCGGTGTTGGAAATATATGAGATTTGATGACCATTATGAAGGATGTTGAATGTGATTTTGAGCGCATAAACACGGCTTGTCTTTGTGTGTTCTTTTTTGAATTGAAACTTATGCTATTTTTCCATGCTGTTTCGATTCCCCTCTTTGCATGTTGCGTGTACATTGCTCTGAGTTTTTTCTCTTTTGCCTTGACGTTAGCCCATGTTCGTAGCTAGGATGATCATAGCTAGGCTTATGGTGTTCTGCAATATCATTCGGAACAGTTCCTCCAACACGATTGGGTTGCGCGTTGCAATGCTTTGAATGCCTAAGGTCGGTGTGATGTTTGGGAATGCCGAGGGCTGGAATTGAACATCAAGTAGATTTCTGACGTCGTTGCTGGAAGTATCTTGGATGGCAATTGGGAGGTCCAAGACATAATGCTCACGTTGTCGATGAACTAAATTCCAGTGCACTGGCTTCCAATGTGCCCACTCCGGAAAGTGCCATCAGAAACAGTTGGTATAGTGCGGAATATGGGATGATGCACGGCATGTAGGACTGAACGTAGATTTCCATTAGGAAAGTTCTCTGCACGGCACAGCCGCACCTGACGACTAATCAAGTAGCCGCGGGCATGTCCGTAACATCCAACATTGGTGTATTCTCGTCACACGGGTCGACTTCCTCTTGTTGCGATACCCTTGTGGTATCCACTTGTGGCGCACTCTCGTGGCGGTCATCACGTAGTAAGGTCAATTCCTTCTCCTTACGGCGCTGAGCAAGCTTTTTCACACGCTTTTCTGTCTGTGGGAATCGCTTTTCGGTTCCACACTGGAAGCAGCGAACAACGAGCACATCAGCCCATGGTTTCTTGCCACCGCGACTTGCGTTTGTGATCTCATGCGAGCAGGTGACTCCCGGCGTCAGAATGGTCTCGCATCGCTTGCATACTGATCGCTTCAGCGTGGTCGGTAGCCGGATTTGTGTCTTCAGTGCCACGGCACGAAGATGTGATATGCATACTCTAGAGAGGTTTCCCAATGGCTTATCAGTCCTTTTTTGGCTCGCAGGATGAGCTTGCTGATTGGATTCTAACACATGGCTAGTCTCTGATACGCTAAGCTGTCCGCCGACAAAGCTCTCTTCATTGCTTTGGACAATGTGGATGCTCTGGGGATTCTGCAGTGTGGATGTGCCCTGAAAATAAAGAGCGGCTTGATGGAGGTAATCCAAGCGGGCGCGAATATGACTCTGAGAGTTTTTGGCATTCTTTGCCTCCTTCTTTCCTTTGGCCATTTCGCAACTTCGACAAGTCACCAGGTGGATCTAGAATTGAATTGGTTGCTGCAATCTGCAACCTGCAATTCGAGAAAAGCTTCCCCCGATGACGCTAGACCCGAAGCAGTGAGGCTGAACACACACGTGATGTGCCCTTGGAAGGTCTCGTCCTACCGCTCTGCGACTTCTTCCCCTGCACCTTTGTCTATCGAGACCTGCCACATCCCCACGGTCCAGTCTTCTCATCTCCTACCTTTGTTTTCCTTCGAATTCACATCTCACGCCATCTTTTCCTTACTTTAATCTTACCGTTTCCCCTCAAAAACCGACAAATAACGCCGCTATGTCTCACGAGGAAGATCTCATCGATTACTCCGACGAGGAGCTTCAGACCACAACAGCCCCCGCCACCACTGCTGCGCCTGCCGCTACCAATGGCGATGCCGACAAGGAGGGCGACTTGACTGTTTCTGGCGGGCGCCCCGACAAGAAAGGCAGCTACGTCGGTATTCACTCTACCGGTTTCCGCGACTTCCTGCTGAAGGGTGAACTTTTGCGCGCCATCACCGACTGCGGCTTCGAACATCCATCGGAGGGTTAGTCTAACTCATTATTCCCACAAGCGTTCCTCCATTTCTCCAAGCTCCAACGTCCGTCCATCCTCGCGGGAAGATTCTTTTGTCGGTATTGGAAATCAGTTGTGGTTCGAATCTGCAGACGACATGAGGATTATTGCTCCTGAACACGGACATTATCTTACTACAATATATTTACACTTGGTGCTGTAGCGCGCTCGCGCCAAGCCCAAGCTTTGGTCCTCAACATCCACAAACCTTGTGGTGATTGGCGCAATCGGTGGAAGACTGTGATCTTTATCCCCCTTGTGTCATTGATAGGCGCCCCTCATGTTGTCTGCAGAGAAGGATGTCTACCAAAAAAGCGTGATACTTTGAATACAACATCGATTCATGGTGGTTACACGAAGCGATGGAAGATGACCGCCCTAGTATCAATTTGATGCTATTGCTGGATGGACGGACATTGCGAGACGAATCATTTTTTGCTTCTTCTTTCGTCGAAATCACTCTAACATCGCTTCGCCTCTCAACAGTCCAGCAAGTTTGCATTCCCACATCCATCTTGAACGTCGATGTTCTTTGCCAGGCCAAGTCCGGTCTCGGTAAGACCGCCGTCTTCGTTCTCACCACCCTTCACCAACTGGAGCCCGTTGCTGGCGAGTGCCAAATCCTGGTTATGTGCCACACCCGTGAGCTCGCCTATCAGATCAAGAACGAATACGCCCGTTTCTCCAAGTACTTGCCCGATGTCAAGACCGCAGTCTTCTACGGTGGTACCCCCATCCAGAAGGATGTCGAGATTCTGTCCAACAAGGAGACCCACCCCAACATTGTTGTCGCCACTCCTGGTCGTCTGAATGCCCTGGTCCGTGACAAGAAGTTGAACCTGCGCAACGTTAAGGCCTTTGTTCTTGACGAATGTGACAAGATGCTCGATCAGATTGGTACGTATATACTGGATATTGGAGCTAGAAATGCAATCCCACTAACGACCTCCTTCAGATATGCGCCGCGATGTCCAGGAAATCTTCCGTGCTACTCCCGCCGATAAGCAGGTGATGATGTTCAGTGCCACTCTCTCCCAGGAGATTCGCCCCATCTGCAAGAAGTTCATGCGCAACCCGCTGGAGGTCTACGTCGATGATGATACCAAGCTCACTCTCCACGGCTTGCAGCAGTACTACATTAAGCTTGATGAGAAGGAGAAGAACCGCAAGTTGAACGAGCTTTTGGACAACCTTGAGTTTAACCAGGTCATCATCTTCGTTAAGAGCACCCAGCGTGCCAACGAGCTGGACAAGCTGCTGCGCGAGTGTAACTTCCCCAGTATCGCTGTCCACTCCGGCGTCAGCCAAGAGGAGCGGTAAGTTCATTCGAGACTGACATTTCCCAATTGCAATTTGCTGACCTCCATCTAGTATCAAGCGTTACAAGGAGTTCAAGGAATTCAACAAGCGTATCTGTGTTGCCACTGATGTCTTCGGTCGTGGTATCGATATCGAGCGTATCAACCTCGCCATCAACTACGATCTTCCCGCCGACGCTGACTCCTACCTCCACCGTGTTGGTCGTGCCGGCCGCTTCGGTACCAAGGGTCTTTCTATCTCCTTCGTCAGCAACGAGGATGATGAGAAGGTTCTCAAGGAGATTGAGAAGCGCTTCGAGGTTGCTCTTCCGTAAGTGTTCTTCGGCCCCCATCCACCCTCTTAACCAGCGACTAACCATGTTCCCAGTGAGTACCCCGAGGCTGGTGTTGACTCCACCACCTACATGGCTTAGACATGGGTCGGTGAAAACTTCGTTGATTTCCAATTTCTTCTTTTTACAATTGTTATGGCGCAATAGCTCGGGTTTTGATATGTTTTTCTCCGCCGTTGGGCGCTGCCTCTGCCCTCTTGTGGCTTTGACGTGAGGCATGACCCTTCCATGTATTCGAAAACAACAATGAAATCAAGAATGGGTTAGCTTTGCAGAACTGTTTATTCTTACTATCTTGCGATCACGATCTGGAGTTGCGCAATGCGTGAAAATCCGCGTGTGAAAATAATCCGATAGGAGAAATAGGCATCGCCCTACAGCTGTAGTTACAACTAGCTGACTTCCAACTCCTGTCAAGTATCCGAATAATTAACGCAGTATTTAATCTCCGATCATCTGTCCATCCATGTTCCTACCGTTGTCTATCTGCCGGAGCCGGTTGGTCTTGGCCTCGACCACGAACTCTGTATCTAGGATGTAGTCGTGGTTTCAAAGCACCTAGGTAATTTAGGGAAGCTTTCTAGTGTTGAGTTCGTCGTTTACGCGCATTCAAACCCTGCGGATCATCAGTTTATGTGATTTGACTGGTTTAGGATAAAGATATTGTGTATAACCTCGTTCAATGTCCCAGAATATCTGCCCATTCGAAGAGAATATAATTAGCCCGTGTATTTAGGCACAGCTATTTCCTTCGCAAGAATGTCAGCATCCAAGCCAATATGCGAGAGGAAAAGCTTCCCCTGCAGCATGCAGGGAATGACAGCTGTCAAGCGCACACGGCAAGGACACTGTGATGGTCCGGGGCGTGTCGCAAAGAGATAAATTGGACGATCCTGTTCTAATAAACCAGTTTTGGGTTCTGTGAGTCATGGCCTAAATAATTGGCTATAGAGGGTCGGAGTATTAAAGGAATTATTAGACCACGCACTCCGAAGCACATCGATATATATGGTTGACCCCATCATTCAGACCCAAGGCGTAAAAGTACAGAATGAAAATCGCACAAATCAAAATCGAAAATTAAGAAATTTTCAATTGCCTTGAAGGTCTCAGTTAGCCCAAGGACTACGGTGTACTCCGTAAAAAGTGAAAAGACGGTTGGGTAGCGTATCCAGAAAACAGGGCAGAAAGAGGCTAAAGACCAAGCCCTGTCTCGGGCTTTCCAGTAATCGGGCTTTTCGCTTGAGCGTTTTTTTGTTTTTTTTTTTTGTTTTTTGATTTTATTTTCTGGATGAGCTAAGTGGATCTCGCGAGTACGAGTATTGCAGAGTCGCGTTCGCTTGATCTGAAGTTTTCTCTGTAGCCAAGCAGCGATTCAAGCTACGCGGTGTACAACATACAACGTACGATTTACGGAGTAAACATAAACTTGGCCTTCCCTTAATCAACCCGAGAAATGGGGATGGGGCCCAAATGATTATAGGCCAATGGCTGCGCCCTGATATGACCAGATGTATTTTCTCTACTCCGTACTCCGTACTCCGTACAAGGGTCACAAGGGTCATACTTCCTATCCCCTTTTCTGTTTTCACATCCGCGAGGTTCCGGGAGAACTTCGACCCTTTGGAGGGTGCACACGGGCGCTGGGCTTAGATTATTGACACTTGGCCACTCGAGCCACCCCTGTGAGACTGACCTGGTTTCAGCGGGACATGACCCTTCGATATTATGAATTAATCTATCGGAACGCGATGGTATTAGTGTGTTCAATTGTCCAATCATCTAGGTACGATGTACCGATGTTGGGCTCTGGTATAGTCATGACATCTGTGGCTTCCCCCTAAACGCGCCCTAACACGCCATAGCATCAAACCATGCCTAACTAGCCCCGAACGATCGTGGCTGAGAGGGCAAGACTACGGACTACGGAGTAGACGATGCTTTGATATTGGCGATCTATTGTTTTCGGGTCTCCGCAAACGTGGCTCACGCGTATCCCTGCCACTTGTTGGCATGGCCACGTACCAAAAGTTGGGCGTGTACGGAGTAGAGAGGTACAAGTGCTCACGCTGCCTGATTCAGGTCTTGTTTACTTTCTCGTCTTTGCGAGACGAGAGAAATCCTGTACACTTCTGCAGTCCAAACATACTTACCACCCGAGTATATTGTATATTGCATGTAATGCGGTTCCACCATTATATACCATCTGTTTCACAATGAATGGCTTCTTCGTACAGATAGGCGTCTCCACCGGTCATGCCAAGTCTGATTATGTACGATGTACCGGTTCTCCAGAGGTCTGGACTGGTTCCAGGGGATAGAGCTCCCCCAACCTACAGGAGGTAGAGCAGATGTGATTGATCCATGTTCTAGGCCTTGTACGCCGCACTGGAATACCGAGATGCATACTCGGAGTACGGACATAGCATCTTCGTAACTTCACATGCCCTAGAATACCACAACTAAAAATTTGACTTCATTATCAGATGGAAGGAGCTCTGGCAAGGAAAATAAATCCCCGACTATCACCCCGATTCGGGGGTGATCCCTTGATACAGACAACCTGCAAACATCATTGCTTCGGCACGCGCGTCGATCACTTCACTGGCATGCTGGGATTATTAACACCGCCTCCCCCTTCCAAGGCATGTGGACTGTCGATCACGAACATCCCTTGTCCCCAGCACAGACAGGATCCATCCGCTACCGACACCTGGGTAGTCGGGTACTTCGAACGAGTCTAAATCGAATATCCCAGATGGTTCCTCTCCTCTCGGGAGGTATGGAGATATCGACTGTGCAAAGGCATACCCGAGGTATCTTCCAACGGCGTATCACTACTACTCCGTATGGAGTACTCCGTACAATCTTTCCAAAAGAGAAAAAAAGACATATCCAAGGAACACGGGAATGTCGCAGTGGGGGAAAGAGGGGGGATATGTTCGACCCCTCTTATTCAGTCGTACAGCGTAGACTGCACTCCGTACAGCGATATTTTACCTGCACATCGTACATCGTACATCGTACATCAGCCAGGTTGATAATTCGATGTCGATCAGGGATACAAAGTTGATGCGTTCGGTTGTGTGAGCCACAGGTACCGTGTACATGCACGTCGGGGCGCCCTGTTCGCGATTTACAGCACCGGGCATCCGAGTCCCTTGGGAAGTGGTTTGAAGAATGTGCCCAAGACGGGGCTTGTCTTGATATCTCTCGGGCATTGAAGGAACCCTGGAAGTGGACCTCGAATCGTATACCGCGATTGCCCCCGCGGAAGAAACACCCGCGCTGCACGTTCTTATTCTTTTTTTTTTTGACTTTCAGGAACAAAGTACCGTCGGTCCAGTCGACTCCATATTTGCGATGAGTTTGTTGACTCGGGTGGGGTTGGGTTTGCTAATAGTTGAGCATGAGTTATGGCTTGGTTTATGGAGGCTGAAGGACGAGACTGAGGAGATGGTCATAGGCGTCGTTGGAGAACCCATGAAGTCTACGGAGTACGGAGTATATAAAGCGAAGAGAGGCTATGGGCTTCCAGCCGAAAATTCCTAATACGTTGAAAGCAAACCGAAGCCCAGAAGGCGAAGCTTGCAGATCGGAGAGAACGTTCCTGGGCCAAGGGTAGCCAAGTCCATTTGTGATACATTGTTTTTTTAATTGCATACAGTATTTGGGTGTATCGAAGGTGTATAAGGCCCGTACACCCTAGGTAGTGTATATTTGGGTCTCTGTATCAAAAAAAAAAAAGAAAGTCTCAAGTTAAATATAGTATCATGATATTGGCATCCACCCTCTACTATGTACTCCGTACATGCCAACTCTCAATTGTGCTTCACAATTATAACCGCGTGATATCCATACTCTACGGAGTATAGAGGTAGAATATAGATCTTACGCAAGTTAGTGCCTGCATTTGAGATATTTTATTATCGAGCAGAATAGGCACTAGGTTCAATTCGTTCTATTCTCCTAATTGAGGGCGTAGAGGACCGAATAACTGATGTGGAGGCTATGCCTATAGAATGAATATGACTCCGACTCTGTCGAGTCTCCTATAGTGAACCCCCAGAATAGAAAGAGGGAGAGGGAGAAAGAAGCCGATCAAGAATATCTGCATCCATCCCATTTCCGCCAGAGAAAATCTTCTTATCGCTCCTTGGTTCCGTTTCCGGTTTGAGGCGGGGGAAGCACAACCAGCAAGCCTTTAGGAAGAAAAAAAATAAGTAAAAGAGACAGACGGTGTTTACGACCGCATCCAGTCTCTCTTTTCGTCTTTCCTAAAGCGTGAAGGTAGGGGAAGAAAAACGAAGATAACGGCAAAAAAAAAAGCACTTGAACGTGGACAACCCTGTGCCCCCCCCCCCCGTCCAAACTTCCGTTCGAAACCCATCCTTCCTGGTTACAACTCTCCTTCCTTTTTTTTTTTTTGTCCCCATCCCTCCTCCCTCCTTCATTCTACCCCTCGCTCTTTTCCTTCTCTCGTTTACCTGGGGGATCTTTGATATAGGTCTCCTGGACCTTTCGACCTGGGACCTTCCCGCCCAGTTCCTTCCAGATTAGAGACCATGGCTCCTCCTCCACGTCTGCGCATTCTGTCCAGTGAGTTCAACTTGATCCTTTTGACATCTCAAAATATTGCGACGAAAGATGGGTCGGCGTCTAATCAAAGTCTGTGCAGTCGGTGGCAATGCGATCTCAGCTTTTCTCTCATGGCGACTTCAGGCAACAGCGTCTTGCGACGTTACCCTGGTCTGGAAATCCGGATTTGAAGCTGTGTCTCAATACGGTGTTTCGTTCAAGTATGTACTCGGGTCTTGTGTTACGATTCGATGGCTAATTCCCTTCCCAGATCAAAAGCATTCGGCAACGAGCGATTCAAACCCCGTCATGGTGAGATTCGAATCTCAATATTCAGCCCAAACCCCGACTGACTGGTTTTGGAATTCTAGTTGTTCGTGCCCCGGAAGAGGCATCATCCCGCGAAAATGCCTACGACTATGTCATCCTTTGCGTGAAAGCCCTGCCGGATGTCTACGATCTTGCCTCCGTGATTGAATCCGTGGTCACCCCCCAACATACCTGTATTCTGGTGAACACCACAAATACTCTCGGCATTGAATCCCATCTCGAGCAAAGATACCCAACGAACGTCATTCTCTCTCTGATTTCCAATGTCGAAATCTCCCAAACGGGCCCCAGCGAGTTTGAGCATCTGAGCTCGAGTGAGATTTACGTGGGCGCAACCAATAAATCGTCGTCTATCCCAACTTCCATTCAAAACGACATGGCGGCAGCATTGTCCCTGACTTTGAACTCCGGCCAAGTTGACTGCAAGGTTTCCAGTAATATCAGACAGGCGCAATTCGACCGTATGATTGGGTGAGTTGAAGTTTTCCCTTCGGATTTGCCTGGCTCGAACTTATCATGCTAATCATCTCACAGCCCGATCGCGTTCCATCCCGCAAGCGTCATGTTCGATACCCCCAATCATACACAACTGCTCGAGAAGATCGGTGTTCGTTCATTGGTAACGGGCGTGATTGATGAGCTGATGGAACTCGCATCTACATACAATTGCTCATTCCCCAGCGACTTCCGGGACAAGACGATCGAAAAAATGACTGCCTCGGACACTCCATCCACGATGTATTCGGATTTCCAGGCCCGACGCCCCATGGAGATTGAGACTTTCCTCGGGTCGCCACTCAAGTTGGCGATCGAATCGAACGTTCGCGTGCCCCGGGTTGAAACAATGTACGCAATCCTGCATCACACCAATATCGCAAACCAGAACAAGCCCCGGCAGGAGTCTCCACCTGCATCAGTTATGAACCAGCCACCTCCTCGAATGTCTTCCGTGCCCCCGCAACAGCGACCCATGATGAATGGCGGCCCTCCATCTATGCGTGGAGGCCGAGCACCCTCGGGCATGGGTATGCCCCCGCCACAAAGACGGGGCCCACCGCCGGGTATGATGCCGAGAGGTCCACCTGGACCTATGCCAATGCCACCCCCAACCGAATCCCGCGCGACCCGTCCTTGGAGGGACTCGAGGAATTCAGCCATTTAGTTGTATACGATGGAGAGGGCGAACCGAGCATACCACAGCAGAATGGCAATGGGTACCCCGAGCCAGCACCTGGTCCTGCTGTACCTGGCCCTGCTGCATCTGATCTGACATTACGGGAGCGGGAGTTGGCTCTTCGTCAACGTGAATTGCAGTTACGCGAACAGGAAATGAGCATGCGCCGAGGCCCTCCTGGCCCTCCTGGTCCTCCTGGTCCAGGACGTCGGGGACCGCCTCCCCGTCCCTCTACGGCATTTGATGAAGAGGATGAAGACTATTTCGACCCAATGAACACTATGGGTATTCCTCATATCGATCCCGACAGTGTCGACATGATGAGCATGACTTCTCGTCGAGCACGCAAAGGCCCGAGTCACAGCCAACTGCGCAAAAATCCCGAATTAGCAGCAAACGGCCCTGGAGGCACTCGCTCTTCGTCATCGGCTTTCGGCCGTGCCTTTGGCAAGAAACGCACAAGCGACGTCGCAATGCAACAAATTCCAGGTCTCCACGATTCACTCATGGGTCACACTCTGATGGGCTACTCCTCCAACAGATATGGAGCTGTTGACCGTGGCCAAATGCATGCAGATTCTCGGGCCAATTCTTTAACAGCTAGCCACATGGGTGATTACCCACCTCGATCCTTCCCACAGAGCCGGCGAAATAGCCAAACTCCCGCACCTCCATTTGGTGGACCCCCGGGGCCTTATGGACCTGGCCCAGGAGCGTCCCGATTGGGCCGACCTGTAACTGCGCATGATCAAAGTCATGGCCCCCCTGGTGGACCTCACAATGGCCAGCCGTCGCCGCCTGGTAACATGCGTACGCCGGTACCGCGGTATCCTCCAGGACAAGGAAACGCGGTAGCGCCGCAGCAAGTTGAGCAACACTATGGGGTGAGCAATACTTTCCCAGGCAATGGTCCTCCTAAAAATTTAAATCTAACCGGCAGTGCGAGCGCTAGCGCGGGGAGTGGTGATAGTGGAGCTAGTGCAAATCTTGACTCAGAACCCTCATCTCACAGCAGCCAGGTCAGCCTCGGTGGCCAAGGAGTTGCAGCACCCGTTCGTTAAGAACTCTTGCTTTGTCTGCTTCTCCCATTGACTGACTGACTGGCTGGATTCCCTTCGCAGCCTTGCATCCTTCCCTAACCCGGACGATCATCGCTCGCCGAAACCCGGTCACGTTTGAACCTTTTTGCATCATGGTGTCATTGCGCGAGGACATTATACTTCGGTCTCGTGCTCTCAAGACGCCGGTTAATACACAGCTGCTTGCTTCTTTACATATACATGAGGGACATAGGGGTCTTGCTTGTTTTTCTGTTTTGTGTTCCGGAGTGTGGTTGGGAATCACGGGTGTGCGTTTCCTGTTCTTTTTGTGATTTCCTCTGCATCGATACTCATCTTGTTTCGCGGCATTATCGATTTCTAATGAGGCCACTGTGCGAGCCTAGACCAGGGCAGGGCCTATCATCGTCCTGGCTCTTTCTCTCTCTCTGCTACCACCTTTTCCTATTATTTTTGTTTTACAGCATGCCGATATAGCGTCGTCGGCACCTCACCTGCCCACTTTTCCATCTCTCTGCATGACTGTATACTACCTCAGCCGGCGCATTCATTTCACCTTCCATCTGGACTCGTATACGCCTTTTGTGTTCGTCTTGTCTGTGTTATCATCACTCATTCCTGGTCAATTCCCTTTGCTTTTTTTTAATTGTCTCATTTGGCTGGATTCATTCAAACAGCCTCATCTTTGCTTTTATGGTCTGGTCTGGTCTCTGGCGCATTCCAAAAGAGCGGGGGTTCAATTTATTCGGTTCATTGAGTTGTTTTGATCTGCTTGCTGGGTTTGCGCTTTGCTGGAAATTAATGAAGGATGCAGTGTTCCGGTGTTTCACTGTGTCGTCTGAAACAACATCTTATCCTCCTAAGGAGCACACGAATTGACAGACCTTCCCGTTATATTGATGAGGTCACTATAGCTTACTGCCTAGTATATTTAGTTTAGTAGACAAAAGAAATTCAAAGACATTTTCTGTTCTGAGGATAGTTATTGGTAGATCTACGGAGTACAACATACCTACATGTAGTGCTTGGATCTTTATCGCCACGTGACTGCTTATCATAAATAATCCCCGCGGGCAAATGTCAACAATCAACAACCTCTAACTTGCATGCAAGCAACGCCCTGTCCAGAACGAGATCCCCCAATCAAAGCTAGTTCCACCAAACTCAACAATTTCAATAATGCCACCCCTTTCAAATCACCGCCGCCAGGAGTCAAATACCACCTACTCCCGCGCCTCAATCCTGCCGGGAAACAGCAACTACAACACCACAGCGACCCACACTTTCAACCCCAATACCACTTACACTCCTAGCTACAACAATGCCTCCACCCCTTCAATGTCTGCTGCCAAAACACGGCAGTATGCTCACCTCCACTCCCAGCTCGCACAGCTAAATGCCAATCTTGCCGACACAGAAAATCTACTTCGTATGACTGCTGTGCAGGCCGGAGACATGCGGTTCCTGGGTGGCTACGTTGGAGCTCTGTTTATGGGATCTGCAAAGATCCTGGGCGAAGAAGGAGTTAAAGGCAATGCGGATAAAATCAAGAAGATTGACGGGGAAGAGGAAGAGGTGAAGAGGGAGGAGAGCGAGGAAGATTGAATTACCAACGATCGAGGATACATTTTGATATGGTGAGTATGAATAGTGATGGTTCTGGAATGGTTTGGTGTGCTAACATATGCGTTCGATATTTAACAGTGGATATATGGCTGTTGTAGTCTATGTGCCCGCTATCAAACCGACATCTGCTCCATTACTCCACCACAAATTGTCCACCGAGAATGATCGCTGGTTCATCGATGTTATGGTGTTCATAGCTGTTCTCCCGGTTAGCTGTGTCGTTTCTTTTATCATGGCAACTGGAGGAATGGCTGTCTGTTCTCCCAAAGCCCGAGTCTTACCTGAGTGTGCCTATTCCACCAGCTTCGAGAATCAGCGATGTCTCTGTCAATGACTTCCCAACCCAGCGCATGGCAAAGGCACGCAGAATATGGCCGTGTCCAACAACAAGGACATCGCTCTTGGGATCTTCTGGGTTCTCGAAGCAAGGGCGTTGATATTTGTTCTTGATCTCGTCAATCAGAGCATCGAGACGGCGGACAATATCCTCGGGGGATCTGGCAGAGAGAATGGAGGTTAGTATTGCAAGGCAAGATATCACAGCATTATTTGCACACCCAGCTGGAAACAGGAACTAGAATCAGAAGACAAAGGCGGTAAAAATGAAACCACTTACTCTCCACCGGGACACCCATCCGTCCAAATATTCCACGGCCCTTCGCCCCGCTCGGCGCGCTGTTTGCGAATCTGCGCGCTCGTCAATCCCTCATAGTCCCCATAATCCCACTCCCTGATAGCCTCCGTAACCTCGACCTTGGCCTCGGTCCGGATCGCTTCCTCGTGCTCTGGCTTGCGCTGTTCGTTCCAGGGCAGTCGCTCCCGGCAGCCAATCTCGAGGAGCTCTAGGGTGCGCTGGGCGCGGGCGCGGGGCGAGACGAAGCTTGATTGGATGTTAGTTGTCTCGAAATTTGTGTAGCGATCAGGGATATTAGTTGTATCTCCTTACACATGAACGAGTTTATTGGGAACGATCAATCGGTCGTTTCCGACGAGTGCTTTGCCCGTTGCTCGGATTCGTTTCTCGCCGTTGGCTGTCAGCGGTAGATCGGTGAGACCCGTGTGTCGGCCATTGAGTGACCATTCGGTTTCACCATGGCGGATTATGAAGCAGCGGGGAGCCATTTTAGTGAGTGTGTTGAATTGAATACGAAGAGAAGAAAAAGAAGGTTGAAAAACCGCCGGTTCAGGTTCAGGGCTGTCTTTTGCGTCATTGTGGAGACCCGCGGACACCGATAAGGCTTATCGCGTTTTTTTACATGTGGTTTACCTTGTAGATCTTCAGCAATCCAGCTCAATTCAACACGAAAAACAGTTCCTTTCCTTTTAGTCTATCTCTTCTAGTCATTACCGCAATACAAAATTCCACGGGATATTGATGTATCACCGACAAGATACCTGGAAACTGTGGACCGCATTCTTCCGCGAAACAGCCTTGCACTTATTGCTAGTCCCAGTCTTGATTTCCTCGACCTTCGCCCTTCGCGAACATTTCTTGTCTTTGAACAATAGTACCTTGCAGGTTGGGTCAACGTTGACGTTGATGAATGCCTCCGCACCGCTGCTCTCGAGATTCGCGTGGCAGTTTGATGATCCCTGCCCCGTGTAGCTGACTGTAGTGCCGGCGCAGTGCTTGTTGTGGAATAAGTCGAATTTCCAGCTATGTTTGGGGCCTTGGATGGCTTTGGCTGGGGGTTCGGTGGGATGGTCGCCTGCTCCAGTGGGGTGGCCAGCTATGGTTGCTGAGAGGAGAGGGAGGGCGAGGAGGATTTGAAGGATTAGTTTCATTTTTGGGGATGGGATTGGGTATGCTTCAACGGGTATGGCAATTGGAATTGGATAGAATGGACGGTTGGTCTTTGATGCTTTGCTTTGGGGATTGGGGTGTTTATAGCGTCCTTTTTAGGGTTGCGTAGTGATGACTGCTGTAGGCGTTACGGTGGGTTGACGCGTACATTGGGGTGTTTAAGCCAATGGACCAGTGTTAAAGTATATTTTTTGATTTCTCTGACGAGGAATGATATCTTGCATTGTGAGCTTCGATGTTGGCAGGTTGCAGGCTAGAAGCTTATGTTGGTCCAGTCATCTACTTTCATGGGTCTTTGTACTCAACGACTTGGCTAGATTTGGTGATAATCGATTATAAAGCTATGTCAGCAACACTGAGGGATTCTCTGAGGGCTATCTAGATGGTTTATAACACTTCAACGTACTTGGTGACATCCTCTCTTCTGCTCAGGAGTCGGATGCTTTATAGATCTGGTAGTATACCGCTCTTGTCTCCGCCCTGTTTGTCCCTTTTGCACCACAATCAAGGCAAAGGTATCAAATATTCTGCCGGACAAATGCTTCATGCCACCATGTTTTGCTTGCATTCAATTTCCTCGATACAGCATCAGTCAGACTCCGCATAGTCAGTCCCTTGGCTAGAACAACCCATAAGGGACCATACTTAGCATCCAAGAGGGCAGTTCGCCGCGACTGTCTATCTTAAACATCAATATGGAACGCCGCCGCACATCTAGAAATGTGACACTGGATTGGATTGAGCGAGATAGCGAACATGCAAATGAGATCTCAGTAGATCTCATTCAAAACACATATGCCCGTCTCAAACTCCAATACGCAGAAATCCTGCGCCAGAATTGGGTCGAAGAGCTCGAATCGCCCGACCAAATCTTTGACCAACTGTCTCTCGCTGCATGTCTAATTGAACTATGGAGGAGCATGTACGGCACCATACCAGCAACAGAACAAAACCCCAACGAAGACAAAAACACAGCACAATTCCCAGGCTTCGTGGACATAGCCTGTGGCAACGGGATCATCGTCTACGTACTCCTCATGGAAGGATACAAAGGCTCAGGGTTCGACGCCCTCCGTCGAAAGTCTTGGGCGACATACCCAGCCGAAGTACAGAAATATCTGGAGGAACGGGTTATCATTCCTCGGCCTTTTCTGGATGTACTCCAACCGCAGGAACTCGGCATGGAGATCCATGCGGGCGATTTTCCGGAGAATACATTCATCATATCTGACCATGCGGATGAACTCACCGTCTGGACTCCTTTAATAGCCGCATTGGCGAATCCGACGTCGCCGCTACCGTTCTTTGTTGTTCCCTGCTGTTCTCGCTCGCTCGCTGGCTCCTCGTATCGCTATCCACCGCCAAACGGCGATGTTGCTACTACAAGGAGCGATACCTTAAAGCAGAATGCACAGCCTGCTTCTGGTGATTTGAGGGCGCTTCGGGCGATTAAGATGAAGGAGAAGACTGAGAGCGGGTTTTTGGAGTCGATGATTGGCTCGCTTGCTGCGAAAACGATGAGTGTTGCTGAGGAGATTGGGATTGGTGTTGAGAAGACGTGGCTACGTACCCCGGGTGCGATTAACATGGCGTTAATTGGAGGACGGCGGCAGGTTACAAGGGAGTGGATAAAGCAGTCTGATACCAGAGATTTTTCAATGGAAGAGGATCAACGGGATGCCCTTTTGAAGAAGGTTATGGGAGTGGTTGAGAGAGAATGTGCCCAGGATGGCGGTATTCAAGCAGCTGCTAAGCTTTGGGTTGGAGCTTTTGGCAGGGATAAGACAGTGCATTGAACTAATTAACGAAATTCCATGGTTTGGAGGTCACTTACTGCTAGTATGCACTTGTGCGGACGTAAATGATGGGTTTGGGTGGGATATGAGCAGTGGGAGGAAAGATGACGCCTAACTTTAACAGAGATACTTTCAAGTCGAGCGCTGTTGAATTGGAACATTGAACAAGGAGAGCCCCTTATATACTTCTGGAGGTATCTTGGCTAGTATTGTAGCCCACACAGGAAGACCTCGTCCACGGGGGGTTCGGACGAGACGGGGGATTGTTTTGACCAGCTTCGAATAGATCATGGCGTGGATTGTACATCGCAATATAGTATATGACGATCATGGGCAAGGCAATACCAGCAATTGCAATGTACTTGATAATCACTTCAATCTTGCCAATGTCATTGTCGGGGGATAGACTTCGTGGGGAAGGTGCGGAGCAGTCATAACTACAGGATGAAGAAAAATTGATCAAGTGAAGGAGAAGTTGAGGAGCATGTTTTTCTGCAGTTGTAAATACTAATTTATCGGGATCATAGCATTTAATATCAGCAATGCAGGGCTTCACTGCCCAAGAAGGGGACAAAGATGATGATAATAGACGTTGTGATCTTGACCCAACTTCCCGATTGGGAAGTATGTGTTTGCCCTGGTTGCCTTAAGTAAAAGGACAACACCTTCCCTATTGGCGGATCCAACTAGTGCCTGTGTGAGTGTCCCGGCTTGAACGTCCTACCCTTCCTTAAAAAGGCATGTCTTAAAAGGGATTGTCCACTAGAACGGACTGGGACCAGGTTCAATTCCCGCAGTCTTCTACCGAGTAAGGACTGTCAGGAGCCTACCGTTTCTCCCTTTCCTTTTTCTATTATTAATAATTTTTTTTGAATATCCTATAGCCATGTCTGCTCTTTTTATTATCTAGATTATGCCTGGTACATACTGTGTTGATAGGCTTTAAGTTGGGACTATAGAAGACGAACGATCACATGTGCTATATGAAGACCCAACCAGAGAATAGAGAAGGAGTTATTGATAGTATTGGTATGTCATCAGATATACTCTAAATCTATCCACACTTAAACAAACATGAATCATGGAGTGGGGGGAATAGAGGAAAGAGTGTAGAAATGTACAATAATGTTACAGACCTCTTCAACTCCATTGCTTAGTTGAAGATTCAAACCCGGACGCCAGAGCTTCCAAAGAAAAGCTAAGAAAAAAAAGACAGCGAAACCACCAGACATGCTTCGATGACTGTGTATCATGCATCAAGCCTGCCGCCAAAGGCTTCACACAGCCCCATCAGGACGAACATCAGTCTCTTTTTCAGGACCTTTGCCGCTTTCCGCAGGAGCCTTGCTAGAAGCCGCAGCTGATGCCTGCATAGCAGCTTGGGAGCTAGCATGGGCCGATTTGAGATTTCTCGACGCAGCTTGGGCCGCAGCCTGGGCTGCATTTTCTTTCAGGCGTCGGATACGCTCGGGTCGGTTTTCACCTGGGAGACTGCCCCAAACAGGCTCGATGGAATCGGCGCGCCAGTTATTGCGGTTTCCGCCGAGTAGGCCGCGTTTTGGAGAGAGGGGAGCGAATGAGGAACCCCCCCACACCAGATTCACCCCACATACGGACTCGCTGCAGCTTGCGCAGTTTGGCCAGACCGTACACGCAGACGAGACCGGTGAGAGCAAAGCAGATCACGGAAACACCGCCGAAACCGAAGTCTGATTCTTCAATGAAGTTCTTCAAGTTCATTCCGTAAAGAGCAGAGAACAATGTTCCTGTCGCGAGACCGAGGGTGCCAATGCTGAATTTAAGGTCCATGAGCATGAGCGAGTTGCGATTGGCGTCGAGAATAGCCTTGACTCTAGGTTTTGTTAGTACGGTTTCCCGCAGAAAATCAACAGGGGGAAACTTACACTTCCTCTGTATTGCGAATGTTCGTCACCAAGTTACCACTGGCCTGAACGATTTCATCGCAAACTTTGTGATATGACTCCAGAAGCATTTCCACTTCTTGGTGATCATCCTCTTCTCGCTCTTTGCCAATCGCTCTCTCAGATAAGTACATCGCTGCCAAATCGTCATCTGCCTCAAGCAGATCATCGATAGCATCTCGTACCAAGCGAGCTTTCTGCTCGAATGTACCCAGTTTCTTAGAGTAGATCAAAAGATGGCGGAGCTTATCTCGATCAATGTCTTCCTCCAGCGCCCGGAGGACCCGCACGACAGGGTCTCTCACTCCATTAAACTCTTCCTCCAGGCCACTCGTGACGCTAATGAGAACGGCTTCCAGCGCGCGAAACTCATATGGCAGCGATTGACTAGGCTGAGCGGCACCCTGGACATGTCTCTGGCGAAGCTTCCCTTCCAGATCGTAGATGAACAGCGATTGCATGTATGAGTCTGTCGATCCGTACGCATCGAACACGAGTACTCGATCCGCTTTAATAAGAACTCGCAGATGCAAGAGATTGATGAGAATAGCGCTAGGTCGCACCAGGATATGGGGAAGAGTCGACGAATCGATCTTGCGGAGATCTCGAGGAAGAAGGCCATACTGTATCGCAAATTACCTGTTAGTGATTATTGTGACTATTGAGAGAACTCAAAGCCTCTCTACGAACCTTGGCAATTAGCTCCTGCTTTCGGAACTCTCCGTTCACTAGTGTGACGTCTCCATTGATATCGAATTCTGTGCATCGAATTCGCAGCTCATTTGAAGCCTTGGCTGATATGCTGCGGCCGATATTAAACATCCCCTCCGTCCCTTCATCCATAAGCCCAGGGACGGTTGGAGGAGGTTGCTTCTTGTGATCGGGGGCTTTATTCCGTTTCAGATCGAAGATCCGTCGGAGGAAGGGTCGGCTTTTGGTTGACGCATGGCGCGAGGATTGCACCTGTGCTGGTACCGATGATGGCGACACTGATGCTCTAGTGAGCATCGGTCTTCCATTTTGAGTATTTTGCAATGTGGTATCAAGTGTTGAAGAGCCAAGAGGATCATCAACGCGCGTCCAGCTCGAAAGTTTCGGGGACCCTGTCGAGAAGGCTTTATCGCGGTTGGCGAGACGCTTCGGATAAGCGCATCTTGATGGGGCGCCGGGGAGCCCAGACTGAGATCGTAAGAAGCGCAGTAGAGAGGCAGAAGGAGCAGACAACCTCGGAGACAGCATGTCTCTGGATTATTGACCAAGCCGTACGCAGGTTCTCCCGATGAGATCAGATACGCTTTTTTCCGAGTTGCCCGGAACAATATTGACCCGGGTATCAGCCCCGGACTGCTGAACTACATCGATGTATACATGTAAGAAGACGTGGTGATTCTCAAAATGTACTCTAGAATTTTCAATCTCGTCTGAGTGAGAAGGGCTCAAGTTAGGGCACGTCCATCTCGGTTTAGTGCCCAGTCAACTAAAGCATCACCCTTGTCCCGCTCAAACATCTCCCTTTGGCAGTTGATCATCCAAATGAAGTGTTCCTCAATCACATCATAGTTGTTTTCCCACAACGCATCCCAGGCATTTTCGCGCAAGGCTCCTAACTCTTCGGCCCCTAAGTCTTTCTTCACCGCAATCCATTCACAAAAGCGCAATCTCAGCCTTGGGAGGTCAGCGAGGGGAATATCGAAAAGGCGGTCCTTCTCAACTCTTTCAACAAAATCCCGGATGCTTGAGACGACTTTTGCAATTCCGATATTGGCACCCAACTTCTTATCATGTTTAATTTGTCTGAGAAGCCTCCCCCAGCCACCTATAAGCAGATACCCTAGCTCCAGTCGATGCCCAGTCAAGCTGCTGTCCAACCAATCGAGGAGAATCTTGCGAAGCTTTTCACGCCCACAATCTTTGGCAAAACAGTGGTTACAGGATAAGCCATCAATGAAAGATCCAGTGATCTCAGTTCCGTCCCAATTACGATAACGATCAGCGGCAGAGATATGCGGTGCCCAATGGGGGAAAGTAGGACCAACACGAAATGCACGTAATTCCTGCCAATGTGAACAGCGTGGGCATCGAACCATATACATAGTCCAAAGACAGTCAGAAGCGTTTTCGCGATGGATCCGTTGAACAGGCGCATTGGTTGTCGGTCTCACACTGCTCATTATGGCGGAAATACCCGGGAAACTTCGATCGAAGGCAGTAGCAAATGGCACATGACGGCTCACCACTATGGGGACCTTCGTTGTGCCTCGATATATGGATTCTCCAACTCTGTTGGCCACACAAGAGATGCTGCCACTCTGGAAATAGCATTCGTTGCACTTGCGCAAGTGGCGCTTGAATCCGCAACGCTCTCGCTCAATGAGGCGCGCTTCATGGTTTAGAAGAGCCTGTTCTTCTTCTGCTGTGATGCACACGTATTCATCCACAGTGAAGCCTTGGAATGTAATCATTCCGCTGTCCTGAAATCCGGCGAGTCTTTCGCGCATGTCGCGAGTCCCGTGCAATGGCATCCTGTTGGACTTGGATGAGAGGTCATATCGACGTCGTATCTTCCGATCCTTCTCCTTGAACACTTGGAGCTGTTTGTGGAGATCATACCGATTGTGAAGTTTCCTATATCCTGTTGACTCCCAGCTCGTGTAAGAGTTCGCTGCCGAAGAGCCTGGTATTGGTTTGCGGTACTGCAGTCGCAGTAAATAATGATTATTAAAGGCTTGATGTGGAAGCATCCGGAGACAAACGCTACAAGTCCAGCGCATAGAATCCCATTCTTTGTCTGTGAACTCAGGGACGATGCAGTTGTCCATCGAACGGAAGAGGGGTGTAACCCCTCCAAATTCTTCCATACATTCCAGTTCGAGTAACCTCTCGAGTAGATGAGTCCGATTTGGCTGAATGACTGCTCGGAACTTGGAGTTAGTCTGGCTGATGGATATGAGGCCAATAGGGTCCAGAAGACGAAAGATTGAGCACAAAATCTCCACAGGTAGAGATCCAAGAGACACAGGATCAGGCTTCATTGCGGATATAATGTATTGATTTCAAAGCCAAGCTGATACGGATAAGTATACGGAGGAGAGTTGGAAGACACAAAAATGGTGTTAGGATCTCTCCCAGCGCTTGATTGCGCAGATTCTCTTTGTGCACACTGAGCCCTTTGATAGTTGTTTGCTGGCTTGGAGGGCTATAAAGCGCCCAGCTTTCTCAGAGATGGAGAATAAGAACTTTTTTCTCTCTGTTTTCCCCAGTAACCTCAAGGAGCGGAGACAGGCTTTAATTTAGATTTTGATAGTCCCTTGATCTCTTCATAAGGTAATGGAGCGGGGATGGAGGTTGGTTATATTGATGTCTGCTATGTGCTTTGACCAACTGCATGTGAGCGGTGAGTTAGAGCCTCATAAGTAATTATCCATTCGTCACGGAGCATTGCTAGATTTGAATAAAGCGATATACGCATCTCTAGATTGTAAAGAACATCTGCATCTTTCAAATACCAGATCACTCACACACATCCACTGCATCTACCATTGAAACCTATATACAAAGTACCGTGTCTCTTTTGCTAAAAAGCGCTAGAAGCCAAACTTTTAGGCACACCGCTGGACCAAGAAACATAATGCTCAATGCTCGCAAGAAATGCGCAAAAGCCATTGGTATCTGGAAATTCGCAAAAAAAAAAATAAGTCTCACCAAAAACCGCTCACCAATCGTCGTCGTTGTCTTTCTCGTCATCTATTGAGATTGTCAGTATGTGCTTTGCGAATTAGGAGTTTGAATATACATACCACTTCCGCTGACCCTCTGTTTTCGCTTGTTAAGAGCATCTTGCAATGCGCCAGCCAATCCACCTTGCGGAGCACCTCCTGAGCCAGATGGGGCAGCTGAGGTCTCGTTGGCTCCGCCAGGTACCAGAGCTGCACTCCGATCTTTCTTGTCGGTGTCCTTAACCTTGCGCAAGCCTCCACCTCCAGAGCCACCAGAGGCTCGGATAGAGGCCAGTAGACTGTCGTGACCTCCAGCAGGCTTTGGCAATGGTGGTCCAGCACCTCCAGGTGGAGGAGGCGGGGGAGGAGCAGCACCTCCAGGGGGCGGAGGCGGGGGAGGAGCACCACCTCCAGGGGGTGGAGGCGGCGGCGGCGGTCCTCCAGGTGCTCCAAAACCAGGCGCTGGAGGAGGGGGAGGTGGAGGCATTGAGGGGCCACCACGCCCGGGAGGTGGAGGAGGGGGCGGAAGGCCACCAGGTGCAGCAGATGCAGGTGGCGGAGGCGGGGGGAGGGGGAGGCAGGCCTGGAGAAGGTGTAGGCGGGACAGGGGGAGGCGAGATAGGTCCTCTAGGTGGTGGCGGAGGAGCAGCTGCAGGGGAAGATGGTGCGGCTGGCACCGGTCGAGGTGGTGGAGGAACAGCTGCAGGGGAAGATGGTGCAGCTGGCACCGGTCGAGGTGGTGGAGGAACAGCTGCAAGAGAAGACGGTGCAGCTGGCACCGGGCGAGGTGCTGGCGGGGGTGGAAGTGGGAGTGAACCGGGGCCTCTGGCAGGTGGAGGAGGAGGTCCAGATGGTGCGGTCATGGGCGGAAGCTTAGGGGGCAATTGGGGTGGTGCTGCTGGGCTTGCTGTGCGAGGCGGCGGAGGGGGAGGCCCGCCCGGTATAGGGCTACGGCTGGGGGGTGCCGGTGGTGCGGACACTTTCCGATCACCAGAGAAAGGCGGCGGTACCCCAAATCGAGATCCACTTGGCTGGCTATAGTGATTATCGTCCATCGGTGTTTTCGGCGGTCGCGGGGGCGGCGGGGGCCCGGGATTCGCGCTCGAAATTGCGCGTGGGCGGCGTGGAGGCACAGGGCCGACGGGCTCAGCAAATTTGCCAGCATCTGCAAGTGGAGGCGGCGCATTGAATCTTCGAACAGGTGGAGTTGGTTCACGGGGAGGGGCGGGAATTGATTCTTCTGGTGCTTCAGAGCGTGTTTTCCGTGACGGAGGCGGGGGCGGCGGGCCTCGTTTGCTTGTCGAGCTGGACCCTGTGTCCTGAGGACTGATCGAGGCCAATTTCGGAGTAGGAGGTGCAGATGGCGGCGGAGGTGGTGCAGCCTTTGGCTTGGCTTGATCTTCAGCAGACTCAGCTGCTGCCGCCTGCTTCTGGTCAATCCAAGCTTTAATGAATTCGGAATTCTCGGCGATTTGGTCTTCGGTGATTCCCATCCCCTTGAGCTCATCCAGCAATGGTTTCCAAGACGGGTCACTTGTATCAAATGGTAGATCTTGTTTAGCTGGAGGTGCGGCTGGGGCCATCATCGGAGGTGGAGGCGCAACCTGTATTGAAGGCGCAGGTGCTATTGGCGCCGGTGCACTTGGAGCTGGGCTCGAACGGTGCAACAAGCTGCCAAACAACGATCGGCCTGGTTTTCCATTGGCAACAGGAGCAGGTCCCTGGCCTCGAGTAGAAGCGAAAGGAGTCTTGGTGGTCTCTTTGCTTGCATGTTTCTCGCGCTCTTGCATCTTCTTCATGAAAGTCTTGGCCTCCTTCTCGTCGACAAAGGATAGACCGGCGGGGCAGTCTTCAAGCTCGAATGTGTGGAAAAAGGTTCGATCCTGGTTGTATGCAAAGTTGTCATAGATCTCCTGATCCCAAATTACGCCCCTGCCAGCAGGCTGCATAAAACACCGCATCGTCAGCACCTCAATTGTTATTTCCAGCACTAGTGCGGACCACCTACCGAGACATCGACAATTTTGAGCCAAAAGGTCCTTCCTACAAGATCATTGCAGAGAACCGCAGCGCCCTGGATTCCAGTATATGTCCATTTCTGCCCATCGGGGTAGGCAACGTAGAGTCGCGCGACAGCTACGGCAAGGATCTTGTTGGCAGGTTTAGGGACATTCCGCTTGACAGTCTCCTTGTCGGCATCACTGAGGATAGAAGGCATGGTGAATCGAGGTGGGCCCCACTAAACGGAGAGGGGATAGGTGGTATTTCAAAGGGTTGTTACGTGAGTAGAGCACACATTGCAGCCGGGCGGGTTATCTTCGAAGGATGGAATCGCCCTCAACACACTGACTGGTAGAGTAGCAGTGGTATAGGGATCTTCTCGGAGTGACCAAGTGAAGAAGGCTTTGGCTATAGATCTGAGGAGATAATTGGAGAGGAGCCGACCGGCGGTTGCCTTGGGAGTTGGAGAGGATGAACCGGAGGTGAGAAGGTGCAGGCGGGGCCACTACATTGGCGTGACTTAGGCTTGCCGCAGCACCGCCATACGGGCACGTGGTACTCTTGATGTACTATTTAAAGGGTCATTATTGCAAGATCCTTTATCATCGAGATTTGGATCTTTTTATTTCAAATTGAACATTAGCAACAATCTTCGACGTGTCGACTCTTTAAATTTGTGTTGACGTGCCTCCTACGAGACACAGCGATATATTCGAAATACATCTTAAGAGTCCACCCATGGACAGGTGCCGTATGGGTGGAAACATACTATATGCGATCTCCCCCTACAACCATTCGGAGACAAGCTCTTCTCATTTCCAACCTGTGGACTTGTTCAGAAGGTGAGATAGACTAAGGCCAAATGCATCGAGAAGAATGGTCTTACCTACACGGTATACTGAGCTTGACATTTCTTGCCAAGTTCACATTGGCAATCCACCCCATTTCTTCTGACAAGAAAAAAAGGGGATTTCTCTTCCGAACTTGGGATCATCACTTGCTATTTAATTGAATCCTCACCCTTGTCATCTTTATGTCTGATGGCCAAAGCAAATATAGCTCTTGACCATGACAGACATACTACTGAGCCATGCCCTGGACTCGTATGTTGTATCCCATGCACCGACTCAAAAACACAAAGCAAAGCTCCCTTGATACGATTAAACTTAGTATTAGGTACATGCAGATGCAGGTAGTTACTAGCCTCTTTATAGTGTGGATGGCTGAACATGTCTGCAGAGGCAATGTCCTTTTTGCAAATCGACCACCGACGTCATCGCCTTTGGGCATCTATAAAACAACCATTCAACTGACTTCCAATGCCTGTTTCCTCAACATACCAGCACTCAAGCAATAATCTTCCTGAATATTTCTATCAGCTCACAAAGTCTGTCCCAGCTACCGATAGCTCAACCAAGAAATCTTTTACAAATTTCCAGAATGCCGGTCATCCCCGAGTCGTCAGACTTCCCATCTGCGCCCCAAAAGGGGGGCAGTGAAACCGGGAATAAATCAGGCGAGCAGTCCCAGAAGGCTAGTGCGACGGACTTCTTGTCAAAAGGACCTCAAATCCCAGACAGTAAGTGGCCTACCAGTATTACACAGGCTGCAACTGACACTCTGTAGACATGCCTCCCAAGGCTTCGAAGGAGGAGCTACAGGCACGCATGGAAGAACTGAACAAGCCCTCCAATTGAGAGAGCACTCCTTAACGATATTTAGTCATCTGTACCTTACTTCATTCAATATCATGCCTTGCCAATGAGTTCCACGCAATTTGGGTTGTTAAGCATATCCATAGCGAGTTGTCACCCGGACTAGATTAAACACCAACAGATAAGAAACGGTCTGTCTAGCAATAAGAATAACCCACGTAACCTGGAGAAGCCAATTTCGCATGCTCCAGCACCTCTTTTTCTTCAGCAAGCTCTATGTATGCTAGGTAAAGCCCTTCATTTTTCATCATGTTGTTACGTCATACATCATAGCACACGTGATCTCGCGACATCTTCGATGACCAGACCCCTCACTCCTTAACGCGTTAGGTAGTGCTCCCAATGCCTCCAGAACGGACTAATGTACCGGTGAAGCTGTCCCTGCCATTGGTATGTATATTCTCAGTCCATGAGTGATGACCTAGACCTGCAGCTAACACCTATATAGCAATTTCAGCAGGAACTCTTCACTGAACTACGCGCCGAAGATGAGCTAGTCATCCTTGCCCGCGGTCTAGGGCTTTTACACTTGGTAACGAACCTTCTTCATTTCTACGATGCGGCAGGAAACAACCTAGTCCTGGTAGTCGGTGCAGATGAACGCGAGAATGAATGGATTGGAGAGGGTACGTGGATTGAATTATATCCTAAGGGGAAAGCTGGAGTGGGAAGCTGATAGATTGTGAAATCAGCATTGGTGGAGCATTGTGCTACCAGCAAGTCTCCTCTTGGCAGGGGATTGAAAGTGATCAATACCGAGAAGGCTACTGTGTCGATGCGGTGGGTGTTTTAGATCTGCCATATCGATTGCGACTGTACTGACAATTTTCCAGAGAGAGGATATATGCCGAAGGGGGTATTCTGAGTGTAACATCCAGAATACTGGTTGTGGACTTGCTATCGAGTATGTACGCCAAGTATGATCGCTGAGACGTTTGCTGATCTTCCTAGAACTTCTTGATCCTGAGAAGGTCACCGGCATGGTCATTTTGCATGCCGATAAGGTTTTGGCGACATCCCTCGAGGCGTTCATTGTCCGGGTTTATCGTCAGTCAAACAGGAACGGCTTCTTGAAAGCATTCTCGGATTCCCCGGAGCCATTCACAACCGGCTTTGCCCCGTTGGCCAATATGCTGCGGAATCTTTTCCTACGTAAAGCATCGCTGTGGCCTCGATTCCATGTCTCTGTCAACGAGTCGGTAGAGGGTGATCGCAAGGCTGAAGTGATTGAATTGGAAGTTCCCATGAGTGACAAAATGAGGGAAATCCAGAATGCTGTTCTTGAGTGTGTAGAGATCAGTATCACTGAGCTCAGGAAGAGTAACACCGGACTTGATATGGAAGAATGGACGTTGGACAGTGCTCTGCACAAGAACTTTGATATGATTATCAGACGTCAACTAGACCCAATCTGGCATCGTGTGAGCTTTAGGACAAGACAAATCGTCAGCGACTTGACAGACCTACGAGCAGTTCTTCAGTGTGTCCGTCTGCGCCCTTATCCTTACTTTTTGCTAACAGATTTTCAGTGCTTTACTTAGCTACGATGCTGTATCTTTCGTGAAGTACCTCGACACTATTGTGTCTGCGCATGCCCCGCCTCCGGGCTCAAACAAATATAATTATTCTCCGTGGCTTTTCCTTGACGCCGCTCACGTCCTTTTCCAGACAGCAAAATCGCGGGTCTACGAGGGCAAACTGAACAATGAACTGACCCGCCTTTCGTCCTCAACTACGTTCTCTTCTGAACTGAACCCGGCCCTGGAGGAACTTCCGAAGTGGAATGTCCTAGCAGAGGTTCTTGCAGAAATAGAACATGACGCTTATCTCCATCCGGCTCGTATGGATCAGTCAAATAGTACCATATTGATTATGTGCAGCGATCAACGGATATGCCGCCAGCTCCGCGAGTACATTAGCACTATGCATACCAAAATTGCCCAAGGGCCCGGATCCGAAGATGAGGACGGTAAAAGGGAGGAAGAACCTTCTGCGGAACTCATGATGCGTCGTCGGCTGCGAGAGTATCTCAATTGGAAAAGGTCGCTTTCAAATGTCAACAAAAATCTTTCCCAGTCAGGAGAGGATAATAGAACTGGAAAGCCTTCCGAATCATCGGCGGCCCAGAGTTCGCATCAAGGACGGCCTCCTCCAAATAAGCGTCGTCGAGTACGTGGTGGTGGTGCAGTCACCTCAGCCGCAGGGCGTGTCCCAAATAGCAGTGTCCAAACTGAAACCGAATTGCCTGCTCAAGTCGTCAGTCTGCTAAGCGAGATAAAGCCCACCGAAATGGAAGAAACACAGAAAGAAGAGATAATCATCGATGAAATGGAGGATATGGAAGAGTTCTACGAATTGTACGATATGAACGACCTAGTCATGATACATCCCTACGACGGTGACATGGATGAGCATATCCTCGAGGAGGCACGCCCACGCTACATCATCATGTACGAACCCGATCCCGCATTCATTCGAAGGGTAGAGGTATATCGCAGCTCCCATTCTGGGCGGAACGTGAAGGTTTATTTCATGTATTACGGTGGCTCTGTCGAGGAACAGCGGTATTTGAGTGCTGTCCGTCGAGAGAAAGACTCATTCACAAAGCTGATCAAAGAGAAAGGAGTGAGTTACTCATATTGGCAATTTGAATTCCTCGCTAATCTTGATTTCAGAACATGGCAGTTACTTTAACGCATGACAAAAAGGCTGAAGATCCGCAAGAGCAATTCCTTCGAACAGTCAATACCCGTATTGCCGGCGGAGGACGATTAGCAGCCACAGCATCCCCTCCTCGGGTTGTGGTCGATGTGCGCGAATTCCGAAGTGCACTTCCATCTCTGTTACATGGCAACAACATGATCGTGATTCCCTGTCAACTCACCGTGGGCGATTACATTCTCACGCCAGACATATGTGTTGAAAGGAAATCGATCCGTGATCTCATCAGCTCTCTCAAGAACGGCCGCCTCTACAATCAAGCTGAGACAATGCTCCAGTATTACAAGACTCCCTTGTTGTTGATTGAGTTCGATCAGAACAAATCGTTCACGTTTGATGCGTTTGCCTCTGTTCCGACAGGGCCTACGTTTATGACTGACTACGGGTTTTCATCCTCTGGTACTGCAACTAGTACTAGCAGCAGCTCGCTCGCCAACCCTTCCAATCCCAAATCCGCTCAGCATCTACTTGTGCTCCTAACTCTCGCCTTTCCACGCCTCAAGATCGTCTGGTCCTCTTCCCCCTATCAGACAGCCGAGATTTTTGCAGAGCTCAAAAAGAACGCCCAGGAGCCAGATCCTCTCCGCGCAGTTCAGCTAGGACTTGATATTGATATCACTAATTCGTCTGGCTCGGCCGACGTCATGGCTGCCGCTGGGATTGAACACCGTACCTTCAATCTTCTTCCACAAGATATGTTACGAGCTGTAACGGGTGTCACCCCACAAGCCCTAGAGCGGCTGATCATTGAAACGGACAATATTAGCGACATCGCCAACATGAATGTTGAGCAGCTGGATCCGTTGGTTGGTAAGGAAGCTGCGCGAAAGATAGTTGCATTCTTCCAGAAGAGCGTATTCGATTGATAGATCATGAAGCACTGTCATTTCCAGTCCTTGGTTGAACCATGGCATGACAAACAAACATCTGATGAATCGGCAAAAGAGCTGCGTACGTCACTAAATGATGCACTGTGAAACAACATGGATGAATCGAATCTCACCACAATCTCATGTTTTGTGTAAATCAGCCTCCCAAAAGCAAGGAAAAGAAGTAAATAGCCGAGACATCCGAATTCTAGACTTTTAATTTGGACGTGGGCTGCGTTGTACGTCGACGTTCGAAGTCCAGAAGCCTCTTTTCTCGTCTTGGCGTTGATCATGCAGATCAGCTAAAAACAGAACAACCACGTCGGATCCCAAGCAAGGGCCCCTGAGAAAGAGTGGGGATGTCAATGGGCCCTTTTGGAGTTAAAATAATATGGCAGGCCCCTGACACTTTCCATCAATCACAAAGATGCATATCAAAACTGTGTTGACACCGGTCGCGTTGGCGGCCGTTGTTGGAGCTGCCCGGAATGTCCGCGATGTCGAGCCGTGTGCCCGAGTTAGCAGTTTGGTGGCGGATGCCAATGCAAATCAGGGTTCGTTGCTCGGAATCATGAATCGTTCGAGAATTAACGGTCGCAGCAAGTGCCATTGTGCCTCATGATCTGGCACATCAGTGTTTGGTATCTATGCCCTTCGACTCGGATCGTGCCGTGAAATTCCTGGATCAGGTCCGCAAGATCCTCGAGTTCCAGTCGACGATCGATATTCTCAAGAGTAAGATATGCTAGCTAAACTAGGGATTTGTATATTTGGCTGACTTGGATTGCTAGATCCTCCCTCGGGGTATACCATGCCCTCCACGGATATCCTGAGAGACATTGAGACAATTTTGGATAAGGCCAAAAGCAACAGCTATAAGAGTCAATTCGAGATGGATTTGGAATTGAATCATCTGATCAAATCGGCCCATGATGGTCACTTGGCCTTCCAGCTATGCTCGCAGTCAATCTTTACATATCAGGTCGATATGCCTCTGGTGTCAATCTCAACAGATGGGCTGGCCCTTCCTGAAGTGTATGCTTTAGGTATGTTCGGCTTCATCCCATTTTCTATGCTTAAAACTAACCTATTAGGTGATGCCAAACTGCAAAAGTCCGGCTCAAAGGCCGTCTCGCCTCTGGTTTCTATCAACGGCACTGATGTGGCTAAATACCTTGAACTATATGCCGATGGCCAAACTCTTCAGGATCGCGATGCACAGTAAGTACTCCTATATATTGGCTGCATTAAACTATAGATACTAAATTCGCAGATACAACCGAGTATTCCCCGCGCCAGCCCGCAGTGTAACCAATACTCCCATCGGCGTGAATGGAATCTGGGCTTCTATTGGAGACTGGACTGATGGTGCCCAGCTGTCCCTCAAGTTTGGCAATGGCACCGAAAAGACAGTCCAGAGAACAGCCACACCGAGCGAGAAGTTCTTTTCTTATAAGACCGGCCAACGTCTCTTCGAAGTACAGTGCCTTCCTCGAGACTTTGCCGCGGCTTCAAGTAGCCCATCCGGCGCCGAGGAGGCCTCCTCCGAGATAATAGGATTACCCAAGACTACCTGGCGCAACTCGGCCAATTCAATTGCCGGATATTTCTCCAAATTCCCAGAGCTCGAAGACACAGCAATCATCTTCCTTCCTACGTTCTCATCCAGCGCATCAGAGGTCGCCGAAATTGCCGTTGAATTCTTGCAAAATGCCACCGAGGCCGGCAAGAAGAACGTCTTGATCGACCTCTCGTCTAACCCCGGTGGATACATGTCCATTGGCATCGATATGTCCCGTATCTTCTTCCCGCAATCCGAGCCATATACAGCGACACGATACCGCGCACACGATGCAGCCAAGTATATCACCAAAGCATACTCGCGCGACAACAAGACAGACTCGAGCAACGTCTTCGCATACCGACAGATGGTTCGTCCAGACCAGAAAACCGACTTCAGCTCGTGGGAAGATCTCTACGGGCCGCATGAGATTCTGGGAAGCTCCGCTTCCAGCCTGCTAGCCAACTTCAACTATACCTCCACGTCTTCGAAAGTCTTCCCCATCAACGGCTACGGACCCGTTCCGTTGAACCCGAGCAAGTCATACTTCTCAGCGGAAAACATTGCCCTTGTAAGCGATTCCCTTGTGGATCAAAAGGATCTAAACTAACGCAATCCCCAACAGATCACAGACGGCGACTGCGTCTCGACATGCGCTTTCTTCGTTAAGCTGATGAAGCGCCAGGGCGTCCGCACGATCACTTTCGGCGGCCGTCCGCGGAATGAACCCATGCAGGGTGTTGGTGGCGTCAAGGGCGGCCAGTCACTCGGTATTAACTACATCAATGGGTATATCCAGCAAGCGAACGAACTGATCAGAGACGCGGCTGATAGTGAATCGCCACTTCTGACGGCTGATGAATGGAAGGCATTTAACGAGTCCAGCCCGAGTACGACTGCGTCGCTTCAGTGGAGTGGCAACCTGAATTTGCGGAATGAGTATGATCCGGAGGATGGCGAGACACCGCTGCAGTTTGTTTACGAGGCTGCTGAGTGCAGGCTGTTTTATACGCTGGATAATTATTTGGAGCGGGAGACGGTTTGGCAGGCAGCGGCAAAGGCTATGTTTGGGGGTGGACAGTGTGTGGAAGGATCAACTAAGGGGAAGGGGAGCTTGGATTCTTGAGATTGTTGATATTTGGACAAGGACATAGATTGAACAGGAATTACATAGACATTGCACCTACATGATTGACATATTCAAGGTACATCAAATCTATGCACAAGGTAGAAGCTTCGGTGTGCGGAAATTATACATGGATTACAATAAACTGGATGGCAAATTGTCTGCCCAGAAGATTTAGTCTACAGATAAAGCAGGTCTTATGGTAGTCTCATCTCTAAGAATAATATTTTCAATTCTCGTGGCCCGTTTCATGAGTCTATCATAAAAGAACGAAAGAAAAGCAAGTCGAGGCTGAGCAGAGCGAACACACCGCATGCAATGCAATGCAGGAAAACAGGCACACAGGTTCATGATGTGTGCATAGCAATCATTTTTTTGTCTCTGTCATTATCCCGAGATATTTGCAAAAAGGACGAGAATGGAATCGAGGATTGATCCACCTTGAGAAATCACAAGATCGCCAATAGACAAACACCGAGGGTCCTCTGTTCGATGGCTTCAAGCCCTGGGGAGTTGTCGCAGTAGCGCCAGAATTGGTAGAGGGTGTCCCTATTCTCATGCAAGCCGATGTGAGGAGCAGCGCCGTAGGCTGAGGAATCGATTGATGCTCTGGTCCGTTCAAACGAATGTAGAGGGAATCGGAAGTCGAAAAATGCCTCGCGTGGCGAATAGTCAAAGGCGGTTTTCGGAGCAGATGAGTCACGGCACTGGGCCACCAGCGGCGAGGAGGATAGAGATTTGGCGAACATGGAGAATACCGAGGAGGGTTGTATCCGGGATATTCTTGCAGGGCAGAGCATCGAACTCTGGGAGTAGCAGGGGGTGAGCTTAGAGCTCGTCGACATCGATCTCCTTCTCGTCCTCGCTCTCGCGGTCCTCGTCGAACTCGACGTTGTCGTCCAAGCCTTCTCCACCGTAGGTATCGGTCTCGTTGATCTTGGCGTGCTCGGGCAGCTCGCCGTAAGCCTTCAGAGAACGGGCCTCGTCGGCGGTGTACTTCATGATAACATCACCCTTCTCGTCCTGGTAGTCACGGAGCGAGAGGAGAATAATGTCACCCTGGTTGATCCAGACCTTCTTGCGGAGCTTGCCACGAATGTGGGCCAGACGCTTCTCGCCATCAAAGCAAAGTGCCTCCAAGCGACCGTTGCCGAGCATCTTCACGACCTGGGCGTACTCTTGGCCCTCCTCCTTGAAGACGAGCTCACGCTTCTCGTTGTCGTTCTCGTTCTTTCCGCGACGACGGTTCTTACCGCCCTATAGTTTACTGTCAGCATGTGTCACATTAAGTAAAATCGCTGCTTTCAAAGAAGAAACGCATTCACTAGTCCAGGCTCGACGGATAGGTGGTTATCCTCAAGCAAAAGACCGTGGACGTGGCGAAAAAAAGGAAATTATCACCAAGAAGGAGGGGCTGGATGATTTGCGCTCTTACCTTTCCCTTGTTCTTAGGCATGACGGTTGTGTGCGACCTTCACCTGGGTCGAGTCTCTCTGAAGGATGTTTTTTTTCTTAGATCAACGAAGATCTAAAGAGTCCTAATCGCGGTTGATTAGGGAAGGGAGAGTTGAAGGAAGAAGAAGGTGGGGGGTTCTGTGCACTGTATTCAAATCTTCGCATTACGTAATCAGGCACTGCTGCCCAGTGGCGTCAGCGAATTTGCCCGCTTACTGTGGATCTGATGCCTTGATGCCTGAATTCTGACCGGGGGTTGACCGCCTGGCAGAAAAAGACGCGGCGAGATGGACGAGATCAAACATGATTTGGAAGGACTCTGTGAGATTTAACGGTACTGTGTGCCGGTAGATCTGCTGGAGGGCTCAGTCTTGTCTCAATCACAGTTGATTTTACCTTCGTGCGCAGCCCAAGTGTGGACGGTCCGACAAGTAAGCACGAGACTGCTTCAATCCAGTCTCCGAAGACTGGGCGCCTCACGAATACACCCAGAATACGTCTATGATGCTTGGTGATTCGATAACATCTCCTTGAATATACCCCCTGATTCTCTCGCTTCTCCTCAAAGAATATATGAGCCGCCGGCCACTTTCTTTCTTGAGCTTTATTGTGTTCAATTCGATATGATATCAATCTACTGCGATTTTTCTTATCCTTTACAATCCGAACCCACCCACCCTTACAACTCTCGATAGACCTGTTCGATCATGGCATCAAAATTTGTCGAGACCACGGGCAATTTTGTGGTGCGATATTGGCCCAAATGCAACACTCCTCCCGTCGCCGCACGCTATCTGAACGCCTCTAGCCACCCCATCCGGCCCAAGATCATTCATCTCTGCGGGCATCGTGATAAGGAAACATTATGGTGGCGTGTATCGGTGACACAACTCCAACAGAGCAAGCGAGTGATTCGCTCTTGGGCCGCACGCAGGGTGCGAATCGCTTTTGAGCAGGCGTTGAAGCAGCAAGGGTTGGATAAACTGGGGAAAGCCCTCGTTTCCGATCCACCTTTGCAGCAAAATGATCTGAAAGGAACCATGGAAGTCTACATTCAAAAACCGTGTATCGCACAGGACTTCGAGGCCATTCAAAAGGATGCAAGTCATTCAATATCCTCTCTTTTGGCTCACCTATCCACACCAAAACCAGCTCCTAGCAAAAAGCCACCATCGAAAACTGAACATCGCGGAAAGCTTCGCGAAAATCTTGAGAATCCTTGAGATTCAGTGTATACTTATGACCATCTTGTATCATACTAGCTGTTGTACATCACCATCGGGGCATTGCGATTTGGCGTTTTGGGGAATTAGTCTGCATCTGAGATTCAAAACATCATCTCGATTCATCTCTACTTTTGTATACTTCCTTCAATGTAAAATTGGGGTTTGGAATGAATCCTTGTCGCCTCCCAGGTACAGAAGTAAATATAGAGGCGCGAGTATCTTAGCTCCCGTACCTCTCGCTAAATGCCGATCTGGCGGAATCAGCGACCCGGGGGCCTGGACTGAGACTTGACAACTACCACTCACCTAACTTAAACCTCCTTCTTCGAATTCCAAAATGTTGGTCTCTTTGACGGTCGGCAAGGTAGACGCTGGCGTCGCAGTGCTCCTCACTCAAGACAACCGACTCGTAAGCTCACCCCTGGTCGCTAGTTCCCCAAACATCGACGACTTGCACCTGATGAAACATCACCAGCAAATAATCATTGGCTAACAAATATTCGCGCAGATTGAATTCCCCTCAGTTCTTCTTCCGAGCAACATCAGTTCGGGCAGCATTGTCGATATCACCGTATCGCGCAACCAAGCCGCTGAAGCAGCGAGCGCATCTGCCTTCCAATCCCTCCAGAAGCGAATCCTGAATACCTACGGTGTCAAGGCTCCGTCGCCACCCGTTCTGCGTCTGCGGAATGCGACACAAACCTCGCTCGTTCTTGAGTGGGATCCAATCGATCTAGCCACCGCATCCCTGAAATCGCTCTCCCTCTACCGCAATGGCTCCAAGGCCGGCTCGATACCCCGCCCACTGGAGACGCGCAGCACAAAAATCAGTGGTCTCGCCATTCATTCCGAATACTCCTTCTACCTGGTCCTGCGGACCACCGCCGGAACCTACCAATCGGAGATCCTGACGTGTCGGACACACAAAATGACCGACTTGTCTGGTATCACTGTCACAACGGGTGTCCTGGATCCTCAACAAAAGGAAGCTCTTGGTGCCGCGTTGGATCGCATTGGAGGCAAGATGGTCGATTCAGTCCGTATTGACACCACTCACTTTGTCTGTACGGAGGGACGGGGCCCTCTTTGGGAGAAGGCCGTGTCGATGAATATCCCCGTCGTGGTGCCGGAGTGGGTAGATGCGTGCGAGACAGAGGGAACCATTGCTGGTGTGCGTGGCTACTATCTCAACGCAGACCCCAAGGCCCGTCAACTTGGCATGATTCACGGCTCGTCTCACCAGCGTACTACATCTACTATGTCGACTTTGACAAACCAGGGACGACCCAGCATTCAACCCCAACGGAGTCCATTACATGAGCAGGTGCCCGAGGAACCCCCTGTGACTCCCTTCCCTGGGGGTGAGCCGAGTAGTCAACTCCAAGCACAGACGCAAGAGGTTGGATCACAAGATGAGGAAGATGATGTTCCAGCTCCTACGCCCCCACCTAAAGATGATTCCGAAGATGCAGATAAGCTTGTCCAGAATGGTGAAACAAAGGTGACACCTGCTCCCGAGGCAAAGGAGGAGGAAGCTAAAGCCGAATCCGATGAGGAGAGCAACCAAGAAACAGACAAAGAGCATACCCTTCCACAGCACAGACCCGATGATGAATCGGAGTCAACCAACCTCGAAAACGCAAAGGGCAAAGGTAAAGAGAGCGACGGGGACTTCAATGAAGTGCCTCTCTAGATACCCATCTCATGATTCATTCTGCTCTATCCTTGCTTCGCAGTCAATCTCTTGACGTCCCTACCCTACTTCTGTCCTCCTCGTCAATCAGCGTCCATGGCCTTAACTAGTACAGTTTTATCTTATTGTGGCTAGTGGCGTCTCTCTATACCAAGCAGACGAACTTGGCTTTCTTACGAATGTGTACCGACTTTGATTCCTGCCTTCTCCCCCTTCTTGTCTTTCGCGTTTACTCTTTCATGTACAGTAGGTAGTTTTCCTAATGCAGCCTTAGTTCATTGACTCAAATGTTCTGGTCGATCGAGCAGAGAGAATTGGAAACTACATGAGCGTAGGAAGATTAAAAAATACCGATATTGGCTATGGTTCTCTAAATTGGAAATTCTATCATAAGATGTCGTAAATCAGATGGGCCCGCCAGATGCAAAATCAGTACATGTAGGCTGCAAAGAAACTCAGCCCTTTTTAGAGAACAAAAATGCGTCCTGACGCAGCGTAATCAAAATCAGAACCAAAAAAAAATCCATTCCAGACTCGTTTCAAATTTAGTTCTCATTGCGAACAACGTCGTCAATAGCCTGTGCAACATAGGCAACATTCTTCTCGCTCACTGTGCACAATGTCAGCTCATGTTCATGGATATTCGGGGCTGGGGTTCCTTACGGCCGCTGATGGATGCTCGGCCTGAAACGAGCAGGTAGATGTGGTACTTCTCCTTCAGAGCGTTGACTTGCTTGGGGGTAAGGCCGGTGTAGGAGAACATGCCGTTCTAATAAAAGCATCAGTACAAGACACGGTTACACATACGATAGAATACAGATAGCTTACCTGCTGGATGATGTGCTCCCAAGTGCCGGGGGTTTGCAGACGGACCAGCTCGTTGTACAGAGCCTGGCGCATGCTCTTGATGCGCGAACTCATGACCTGCAAATCCTGGTGCCAGTCGGCAGTAAGCTCTTCGCTAGTAAGAACCTTCTTAACGATACTGCAGCCAACACGGGGACCCATGGAGAACTCGCCACGGATCAAGTGGCAGAGATTGTTCACAACAACATCGCGGATGCTAGTGGACGCACGGTTGGTACAGTAGTGGAAAGCACCAACTCGCTGGCCGTACAGGCCGAAGTTCTTGGAGAAACTCTGTGCCACACACATCTCCATATCCGGCTTGTTGTTGAAGAAATAGCGGACAGCCCAGGCATCCTCCTCAACGGAGCCCGAGGCGAAGCCCTGATAGGCCGAGTCGAAGAAGGGGAAGAGCTTCTTGCGCTCAAAGAGGTCAGCAAGGGCAATCCACTGCTCCTTATTGGGATCCAGACCGGTAGGGTTGTGCGCGCAAGCGTGCAGCAGCACAGCATCACCTTCCTGCGCCTCGGACTCGAGGGTGGACATCATACCCTCGAAATCGAAGGACCGGGTTGCCGCATGGTAGTACGGGTATGACTTGCGGGGAACGCCGGCCAGCTCCCAGATGGTCTGGTGGTTGGCCCAGGACGGATCGGACAGCCAGACGTTGGTGGGCTTCATGTGGTGAGCGAGGAACAGAGCACCAAGGTGATTGGCGCCGGTACCGGCAACAGTCTGTACGGAAGCAATGCGTGCCTTGGCCTCTTCTTCGCCCTGTTTACCCTCGAATCCAAACATTAGATCCCGCGCGATTCCAAGGAATGGCACATCGCCCTCGATCGCGGTGTATTCGTGGCGGAAGAGGTCGTCGTCTACCACCAGCTCCTTCTCGGCCTTTTGCACGACGGGAAGCGGCCATGGCTTTCCATCGTCTGTCCGGTAAACACCAACGCCCAAGCTAACTTTCTTTGGGTGAGGATCAACTGCGTAGGCGCCGTTCAGGGCGAAGATCTCATCCGGAGGGACCGGGGCCACGTTGAGGCGGGTATCGACTTTGACCATTGTGATATATGTGCGCTGCGATTGGGTTTCTCGGTATCAATTCTTTTGGGTAAAATGTGGCGAGGCTGTGGAAGAACGAGTATATAACTAAGTTAAGATCAAAATCGCCCGCTGAGTCAACCCGATATCGCGGTCTTTCCAATTTGCCCCGCGGGAAGACCCGCTTAGTAGCGGATTCTGGGGTGTAAGGGACACAACTTGCAATGCCCTCATCTTCTTCTAGTTCGAAGGAAGAGATAGCCGCTGATAGCCTTCTATTTTCGGCCAATTTGCTGGTCAATAACCGCCTCTGGGAGACGTTAGTGTCCTTGAGACTAAACTCTAATGATCAGCATGGAACCTCATCTGAGGTCTGCTGACACTAACTCCAAACCTATCGTGTTCTTTAAAGGGTAGGCAGGAGAGTTGGAGGGGTTTCTTATATAATTAATTAGCCCAAGGGGTGGTTGATGATGGGTTGTGGTGTGTTGTTGGAAGAGGTGCCCGCGCGGAAGTATATAGCGGAGATATAAATTCCAACTATATCTACGGCCAACGCCAAATTATTTATTTCTATAGCAGTATTTATAAAAATTTGTTCCATTGCCTACTAGTACTTATTACAAGTCCTCCTATTAGTTTAAAACTATCATTTATGGAAGCTTTGCAGTGACGGCTGATGCTTTCTTGCGTTTTGTGCTTCATCTGACCTTGACTATATCAAGATGAAAGACCAACAGCTGGGAGATGCTTTTGGAAAGGGCAAAACAGAAGACGCTGAAATTTAACGATCGTGGAGATCATGTCCGGTTTCCTAAAGAATATCATTGGAGATTCTCATTGGGTTCGTCTTTCGACACATGCTGATTCGCATCTGGTGATAGTAAATACGCTTGATGTTGCCATTTTTCTATAAAACCCCTCAGCTTCAGTCGTAACGTTGGAGGACCTTCCCGACAACTACCTGCTATGCGTAAACTACAAACATTTACATCGGTGGTCATAACCACCTAATGCCTGTCTAAAAAACTGGGATTCCCGAGGTCGAAATGATACCCCGCGCGAGACATCTGTACTGCGCGAAGTTGATACATATGTAGCCACGGGCTACATCCTTTTTTCCCTCCCCAAACCAGATACGATCAGAGAATCCGTTAAATAGATCAAACTGTGCGCATTTCTCATGAAAATGGCCCAACGAACCCTAATAACTTCCGCCCCAAATCTGCATGAGTTTCGGGTTCCAACTATCACTCAACCATTACACAATAGCATCCCCCCGGAATTGATCTGTCGGTACGATCCGGTCTACGTCGCATATTATAACGCATTCAACGCAGGGCGGCTGCATACCCATGAGGTTCCAATAGAAGACTTCCGCATGAATCCTGCCAAGTACACCATTTCCTATGGCCGAGCTCCCGGCCCCGACATCTTCCGCATCACAGAGCAAAAATGTCCTGTCGATGGCGGTGAAATCATAGTTCGAATCTTTGAGCCAGCGCCCAAGCTTGATGACCGGGGCCAGCCGACGAAAAGGGCCGCCTATATCAACTTCCATGGCGGTGGCTGGGTGTTTGGTGGACTAGCCTATGATCACGATTTCTGCAAGCGAATCGTGCATCATCTGGACGGAGAACTGGTGGCATTTGATGTCGATTACCGACTGGCGCCGGAGCATAAGTACCCTGTTCCTGTGAATGATTGTTGGACGGCTTTCAATTGGGTAGATATCCCAAGTTCAATGTTCAATATAAAATAGCCGCTGATGAACGTACCAACGTTTAGATTTATTCTCAGAAAGCGACTGAGTTCAATCTTGACCCGAATAGATTTGCAGTGGGCGGCGTATCAGCTGGCGGTCACCTTGCGGCCGTCATCAGCCATCTCTGTCGTGATGCGAACATCCCCTTGCGCCTGCAGGTGTTGACTGTGCCTGTTACCGACTTACACCGTGTCTTCACTCCTGAAGGTGAATTTGACCGTGAAGGTTGCCCCTACGAATCATACCGGGAGATGGAGTTTGCGCCAGCTTTACCAGCAGCGCGTATGGCATACTTTCACCGGCACTTCCTGGGAGTGCCTCGTCCGGCAGCGTCTAACGAGGTAAATTCAGACATTGAAATAAATGCAATTGTGATACTGATTATACTAGGATTGGAAAATATCACCAATTCTCGCGCCCGACTTCCAAGATCTGGCACCTGCGTTGGTGACGACGGCGGAATTGGATCCGCTGCGGGATGAAGGAGAGGCGTATGCAGCGAAGCTCAAAGCTGCCGGGGGGTTTGTAGAAGTAGGCCGAATTTCGGGTGCTCCACATTTGGTTCCTGGACTCGATGGAATCTTAGAGGGAGGTCGGCAATACAACGAGAAGGTGATCGCGACGATGAAGCGGTGGCTGAAGGGATGAGTGTTTAAGCCGGAAATAAATTACCAGATACACTCTGTGACTGAAAATTACCGCCCATTACCAGAGCCAATGCCGAACAACCCGTGTCCCTTCGGTCCTACCGATACCGGGAAGTTTCGGCTGGGGACTCGGAGTGAGCTGTACCTTCAAATTTGTTCTTCTTCTCTAAAGGAAACCAATTCTCGATTCCACTTTCCCTAGGAGCTTGAGAAGCTTGGTGTGACCCTCTATATACCTTCTCTGGTACAATCACAAGCCAATTGCCATAATGAATCCTTCTTCCTCCCGAGCCGCGGTGCGCTCCATGGCCACTCTAACACATGCGGCCAGAGCCACCCCCGCAGCTCGCGCGCTGTTCTCGCCCTTGACCACCCGATCTCTGAGCTCTACTAGTCGTCAGGCCACTCAGTTCCCCCGTCTCAAGTCCTTGAACACCATCTCCAACCAGCGCGCCTTTGGAACTACCGTTAGAATGGTATGCTGTTTTGGAGGTACAATGGAGACGAAGACAAGCTGATGTGTATGATCTAGTCTGTTGACGCTCGTACTGAGAGCGATGCCTTTGGCGAAATCCAGGTGAGTGACATTGGCGCATACAATTCGTGTTTCACAGAGCTAATGCATTTCTCTAGGTCCCCGGCGACAAGTACTGGGGTGCGCAGACCCAGCGGTAAGACGACCCGTCGAAACGAAACGTGAAGGAAATAGAGAGAACAGGATCGCTGATGAATGCAGCTCCCTGGGCAACTTCGACATCAACCAGCCCCAGGATCGCATGCCCGCCCCCGTTGTCAAGGCTTTCGGTATCCTGAAGGGTGCTGCCGCCGAAGTGAACATGAGATACGGTCTTGGTATGTGAAGCTCTCGTGCAAAATAAACATGGTCAAGTTGTTGACTTGTGGAAGATCCCAAGATTGGTGAGGCTATCAAGCAGGCCGCCGCTGAGGTCGCCGAGGGTAAGTTGCTGGACCACTTCCCTCTGGTCGTCTGGCAGACTGGCTCTGGCACTCAGTCCAACATGAACTCCAACGAGGTCATCTCCAACCGTGCCATTGAGATCCTTGGTGGCACCATGGGTTCCAAGAAGCCCGTCCACCCTAACGATCACGTGAACATGTCCGCCTCCTCCAACGACTCCTTCCCTACCGTTATGCACATCGCAGCTGTTGTCGAGCTCGAGCAGAGCCTGCTGCCTTCCCTTAAGGCCCTCCGTGACGCCCTCCAGATCAAGGTTGAGAAGTTCGACCACATTATCAAGATTGGCCGTACTCACTTGCAGGATGCCACCCCTCTTACTCTTGGCCAGGAGTTCTCTGGCTACGTCGCCCAGCTCGATCGCAACATCGAGCGCGTCGAGGCTTGTCTCCCCCACCTGCGCTTCTTGGCTCAGGGTGGTACCGCCGTGGGCACTGGTCTTAACACCTTCAAGGGCTTCGATGAGGCTGTCGCTGCCGAGATCAGCAAGCTGACCGGCACCGAGTTCAAGACCGCCCCCAACAAGTTCGAAGTCCTGGCCGCTCACGACTCCATTGTCGAGGCTTCTGGTTCCCTCAACACCCTGGCTGGTTCTCTCTTCAAGATCGCTCAGGATGTTCGCTATCTCGGCTCCGGCCCTCGCTGCGGCCTTGGTGAGCTGAGCCTCCCCGAGAACGAGCCCGGCTCCTCTATCATGCCCGGCAAGGTCAACCCCACCCAGTGCGAGTCCCTCACCATGGTCTGCGCCCAGGTTATGGGTAACCACGTTGCTGCCACTATCGGTGGCATGAACGGCCAGTTCGAGCTTAACGTCTTCAAGCCTCTGATGATCGCCAACCTGCTCCACAGCGTGCGCATCCTCTCTGACGGCATGAACAGCTTCCGTACCCACTTGGTTGATGGTCTGCAGGCTAACGAGTCCCGCATCAACGCCCTTCTCCACGAGAGGTATGCACTTAACCCCACCCCCTTGCTTTTGGTGGCAAATTCTAACTGTATGATAGTCTGATGCTTGTGACTTGCCTGAACCCCGTTATTGGCTACGACATGGCTTCCAAGGTTGCCAAGAACGCTCACAAGAAGGGACTTACCCTGAAGGAGAGTGCTATGGAGCTCAAGGCTCTCAGCTCCGAGCAGTTCGACGAGTATGTCCGCCCCGAGCTGATGCTGGCTCCTAAGGAGTTGAAGTAGACGAACAGCAAAGCTGTCCTGTGATATTATTAGACCATTCTATGATGTATACTTTGAAAAAGAATCTCATGTTTAATCAAGTTTGTGATTTCACCCTGTTGTAGATCCTAACTATTTTAGGGTTATAAATAGCATCCACGCAAAGCCGATCAAGAGCACTAGTACAATATAGATCGGAGGGGCCAAAATCAATCTACTCCGTACATTGTAATAAGTTTCAATAATCTTGAAACCGTTCAATTCTGGGACCGCAGACTAAAATAATAAAGTAAAATATAGCGAGAGGCAAAAAAGAATCCACTAGTTGTTCCTTGGTATGGAGGGTATTAATAGAAAACCCCCCTGGGGCAGTGTCTCACCTGCGTTGTGCCTGAACCCTTCCAAGTACTTATTTCTTCACGTCTGAGTACCCTCTTTTTTTCCCATCCCACCATCCGTATCCCCTCAATTATATAATTCCAGTCCATCAGAAAATTACATACTCCAATCCAACTTTGTCGATCTCCCTTGCGAATCCCCCGCCCCTGATAAACAACCCGCTCCCAATCTCTTCACTCTCTCACTCTCACAACCACTCATTACCAAAATGACCGCTCATTTCCTTCCAACCCCCCCAGTTCAGCAAGTCACCAAGCCAACTATGGAGACAACTGTCACTCCCGTTGAGGTCGAGGCCGAGGTTGAGACCGACGGCCCTCTCTTCCCCTCCAACCTCATTTCTCCCGAAGTGATCTCCCTCCTGCCCACAGACTACACCATCCGCCCGATGCGCCGCTCAGACTACAACCGCGGCTACCTGGATGTGCTGCGTGTTCTCACCACCGTCGGTGACATCAGCGAGGAGGCGTGGAACTCGCGCTACGATTGGATCACCTCGCGCAATGACGAGTACTACATGCTCGTAGTCTGCGACGGTGCGGACCGGGTCGTGGGAACCGGCAGTCTGATTGTTGAGCGCAAATTCATTCACTCGCTCGGTATGGTTGGACACATTGAGGATATCGCCGTTGAGAAGAACCAGCAAGGCAAGAAGCTTGGATTGAGAATCATTCAGGCTTTGGATTACGTTGCTGCCCATGTTGGCTGCTACAAGGTATGTCGCTCTTCCTTTCGTGGCAATTTTGTGTTCAATGCTAATTTGTGTCTATAGAGCATTCTGGATTGCTCGGAGGTTAACGAGGGTTTCTACCTCAAGTGTGGCTTCAAGCGCGCTGGCCTTGAGATGGCCCACTACTACTAGAGAACATTGTTATTTTTGGTCTTTTTTTAATTCCTGTCATTTGTCTTCCCGGTTCATGCCGGTTTTCGGTCTGGCGTTTGGGGGGAATTTGGTTCGATCAGTCCGGCAGGGCTTCGACAGGGCGCGGTTATATACGGACGACTTGCGGAAAGCATGCGATGATGGCATTTTAGAGAAAACGAGGCTATATCTGGCCCTCATTCGTTTGTGATTACATCGGGCTGGAGAAGAAGCGATTGGTGCTTCTGTAGAATTTTGCATTCACTTCCACCTTTGGCAATCCGATTGCATAGTACGAGGGATTAGGACGAAACATTGCTTGACTCGGCAAGCATGGTCATTTGTGACTTTTGTGATTCTGTCGTTTTGAATCTTGCGTCCTTCCCAGCTTGGCCTGTATTACTACCCATTTTGTTCGTCTCATCGCTGCTTGCTTGAGAGTTCAAAATCGACGCATTGTGGGGGAGGATGGTTTGGGTATAGATGTGCATAGAGTATGACCGTCCTTCCACTACAGTATAAATGATTATTATTATGATCCAATTCCTGAAGACTGGGGATCAAGGGGTGTCTACATACAGTAATACGCTATACAACGTTGTAGAAATTGCTAGGTAGACGTTAAAAGACACCCTAAACTGTACCGAGGTCATCAGGAAGCTTGGACAGATGTTAAAAAGAGCCTCCAAATTAACAATTCTTTGTGGGTATAATGGACACAACAAATTAAAACAAAGCAAAGCATAATATTCAATTACATATCGGACAGCCGAGCCTAGACTACTTCGTCGGAACCATCCTATAAGAGATACATATCCATTCCACGCATAAGGAGGCCTGGTGAATATGATCCCCAGTGAAACAAGCAAGAAACGCTTCATTATTGGAGACTGGACAGGAGGGTTCTTTTAATACTCGCATGGGGATTCGTATTTTTGATTCCTTTGTTCCCATTTTTCTGCATGAAATTGTATTGCATAAAGTATTTCCAGAAACAAGGTCAAGGCCCAAGGCCAGTCCTCACAGACAGTACTCCAGCTCCAGTGCCCGTAAGTTCCATCATATCGCAACCGTCACAGCGCTGCTCCTTTCCGAACACCTCCATTCCCAACCACTTTCATTTAGAAATTTAGCGGGACTTGGCGGCGACCTTGGGAGCGGAACCCTTAGCACCCTGCTTGCTCTGGATGCGCTGGGCACCACCCTTGGTGGCAGCGAGCTTGGCCTTCTCGGCCTTCTTGGCGCTGGCGGAAGCAGCCTTCTTCTCCTTGGCGTCCTTGATGGCCTGCTTGCGGGCGGCCTCACGGGCCTCGGGGCGCTGGGAGCGGCGCTCCTTGATCACATCGAGGGAAGCACCAACGATGGCACGCTGGTTCTTGACAACACGGCGGGTACGCTTCTTGGCGACCTCCTATAGATCCAAAATATAACCCGGTCAGTAATCTGTATATGGCGTTTTCCAGCACTTGAACTGGTTGGTTGGTGGTGGTGACGTGGTAGATCCTGCTCTTGCTCCGTTTCATGATTCCCGTAACCATTCGAATCGGCCTTTCGTCCCACCACACAATTCAACAAAAATCCAAAGGGAGGGGCGACCGACCTCAGAGATACCCTTGCGGTGCTGGCGACGGAAGAGAACAGTCCATGCGATGCGGCGGGGGTTCTTGCGCTGGAGGAAGAGGGACTCGGACTTTCCACTGTGGAAGCGGAAGATCTTGCTGTCGCCACGGACGAACAGCTTGCCCTGTAACATTGAACATCAAATATTAGCCTCTAGTAGCAAAAACGAGAGGGCGGAATTCATGTGCGGCGATTCGGTTATAGCGGAGAGCGACAATTGGGACCGTATTGAGATATTGAAGGTTGAATGTCGAATCCGCGATGCCGTTGTTCCCTCGCACACAAATTCCTCCCAAAATTGACGACGGGATTGACAACGCACCTTGCCAGGGTAGATCTTCTGGCCGCTGAAGGAGTCGTCGTAAGTACGCATCTTGACGGATGGAGATGCGCTGACGGGGGTCGGTTGGCGTTGAGTGGTTGTCGTAAATCGTGGATCGCGGTGATGCTGCTGACCCAATTGTGGTGCGGGTGCTCGCTAAAGTGTGGCACGTGACTGCCTCTGCCCTTTCCGGTTTGACTTATCGATAAAGGTCACATGATATGTCTCTCATCTTCAATACTCCGATTGTTCGAACTTTTGATCAAAATAGTCGCAGAACTGGGGCTCGGTCGTATATTCGTTGGTTTATTCACACGATGTTATGATTTCGACTGATACCACAGCAGAAATGACTTGGTATCTCATCTTCCACTAGCAAATCCACGAGATAACGAGAAACACATACAATATCCGTTGACCTCGAGAGAAACTCCTCATAGCCCTCTTGATTCTTGATGGAATCTTCCTTTAAATTTGGACCGCAGATGCCGCTGGAACATTTTCGCGGTATACCCGCTCAATTCCCACCCCACCTTCCCATATCTCAGGTGATTATATACTCCTTACCCAATAGCTCACATGCATCACATGCTGTTGGATTTTATCCTGCAGCTTAGATGGCGGATGTGCCGTTAAGAATGGCTGTTTAAACACACCTGATGGTGTTGATTCTATGCAACGCCTTCTATAAAGAAAGCCATAATAACTAACACAAGATGTCGGAGTAGAGGATGAATTCCTACTCAAGACTTCGAGCTTGCCCAATAAGAAACGCTTGGCATCAATGCCTACTATCGCAAATAGAAAGGTCTGTCCTGCACTTCGTGGTCACATAACAACAACGGACTTAGGTCATAGCGTGTGTCCGAGTCCACTCCCTTGCCGTCTGGATCGCAGCAGGCTCATCGTCCTTCCATCTCTGAGCCACGTCATTGGCGAGCGGGTCATCGGGGTTGGGGGCTCCAAGCAGTGCCTGGATCGAGAGCAGGATCGTGCGGATCTGGAGAGCTGGAGACCAGTTATCTGAATGAAACTGTTAGATATGCGCAATATTCATACTAGCGATGTGGTCACGTACTCTTCAAAACATCCAAACAGATGCGACCTAGACGATCGATGTTGGGGTGGTAGATCTTGGTCAGGAAGCGGATTTTGGGTGGGGTCATAGGATAGTCGTCTGGCAGGAAGAGCTCAAGTCGGAAGATACCACCTGAAGATGAATTGTTAGTACTTCAATTGACCCGAGTAAATTGTTTATTGCTTGCTTACCCTCATATGGAGATTGCGAGGGTCCGTGAATTGAGACGTCAAAATAGCGCAGGTTATCTTCATGAGGCACAGCATTAATACCTGGAACACTGTTTTTCAATAATAGCATGTTAGACAATATACAAGTGATCTCTTGAGAAAGCCGAAGTTCTTACGGCTCGGCCATCAGGCGCTCCGTCTCCTTAATGATTCTCTTCGGCAAAGCCATGGCGAACCGGCTTATCGACACCCGTGTAAACTTGGTTTGGTATTTTCAGAAGATGAGACTGATTCTAAAGAAAATCAGAAAGTTGCGCGCTTTCGATGGGTTTGAGGACCACAAAAATGTAAGCGCGAACGTTAACAGAGAAAATTAAAGAGTCAAGTCAACAAAAAACCAGATCCAGCTCTCGACGTAACCGGCCGAGGGGCTCCTCCTGCATGGCGGGGTTTTTTCGCGTCCCGTATACGAGATCATGTGATGTCATAATTCCACCGCCACATCGTCAGCCACGCACTTTTGCTTATCGCTTTATCGCGACCTGGCACTCCACAGTCTCCGCGACAAGTCGAGGGTGCAGCGGTCGTATCCTACCATACAAGGATAGGGGATGCCATTGTCAAACATGGGAACAGGCGCTCCATTTACAACTACATATGGTATTGCATGATATGTATGGATAGAATTTTGACTCCCCGGTTCCTGCAAGATCGCGGTCCGACGAACACTGGAGGTTAAGCAGAACGATCATCACTGTCACCATGTCGAGCTCAATGGAACCGAGGCCTCTCACATCGGCTATGGAGAGCCCAACATTTGATGAGAATAGCTCCTTCCATGTAGAACAACCGGTGGGAGCCATGTCAATATCTCCCTGTGGGCGGGATGTTGTTCTAGCATCCAAGGAAGGTCTCCATGTCATTGACCTGGATTCACCATATTCTCCGCCACGGTATCTCCCTCATCACACGCCATGGGAGGTGGCCGATGTACAATGGTCACCATTTGCTGCACGCGATCAATGGGTTGTCAGCACATCCAATCAGAAAGCACTGGTCTGGAACTTGGCTATGAAGACATGGCAGAATTCCATTGAAATTGTACTTCACGCCCATTCGCGAGCAATCACGGACATCAACTTTTCGGCGTTTCATCCAGATATTCTTGCTACCTGCTCAGTGGACAGCTTTGTGCACTGCTGGGATTTGCGTGCTCCGTCACGGCCAGCCGTCTCATTCTCGGATTGGTTCACTGGTGCGACCCAAGTGAAATGGAACCGACAAGATCCTCACGTAATCGCAAGCTCTCACGACCGATTCCTACGGATCTGGGATGATCGTATGGGTGCATACCCGATCAAATCGATCGAAGCACATAGCACCAAAATCTATGGTGTTGACTGGAATCGTGTTCGACGCGGTGCGCTAGTCACATGTTCTTTAGACAAAACCGTCAAGTTCTGGGACTATACCACTGATTCAGCAGAAATCCCGGAGAAGCAGATTCACACACCATTTCCAGTGTGGCGGGCACGCAACACGCCATTTGGATGGGGTGTGCTTGCAATGCCACAGAGAGGCAACAATGATCTTCATCTCTACAGCCGGCGAATGGCAGACGGATCAAACCCCGAGGATGACTTACCATTGGTACATAGTTTCCCGGGACATAAGGGAGAAGTCAAAGAGTTCCTGTGGAGACCACGCGGAGGCGTAGCAGATGGGATAGATCACCGCGAATACCAACTTGTGACGTGGGGGACAGACAGGGAACTTCGTCTGCACAAAGTTGACCCTGAGATCTTAGAGCGCGTCGGGTACGAAAAGGGAAAGTCCTTTATTTCCACGCGAACTGTGACGCGGCTTGGTGCTGTGTATCGCAGTTTCCGTGACGTGAACTCGGATTTTGATCTCGATGATATTGACGTGGCCTCCTCGGTTGGGAATCAGAACCAAAATACCTCGGGAGGTACTGGGATGAATGCAATTACTGTCCCACACGCTCGTGGTTGGATAAAAGGAGGCCATGTTGATCGAGTGGGCATGCAACCAAGGTCAAATCTAAGAGCTGACACGAATCCAATTGCTTGGATGCGGGGTGTGAAGATCTCAGGCTGGGATATTGAGACACTAGGAGACGAAATCAGCCACGTCGGTGAAAAGTTCACAAAGGTGGCATTTGAATCAGTTGATGTTCGGCAAAGAAGAATCTCCATTTCTCTCAATGGGCCCTGGGGTGCTGATGGTGCCTCATTGTTCTTGAAAGTGGATATCAAATTTCCAACAAGCTATCCTAAGACTGCCATCCCAACATTCACATTTCAGAAGACAGCAGCTGTCACCGATGAGTGGGCTGCAAAGACTACCGCTGAATTGCGAACAATTGCTGAGACCTATATGTCACGAAATCGAGGGTGCCTAGAAGGTGCTGTGCGTTATCTTCTAGGCGAATGCAGCCTGGAGGAAAGCATCGCGTGGATCTTGGATGAAACGAGCGACAACCTCAAGTCCCCCATCAGCGGTGAATTGGGAGCTGAATCTAGTGACGAGGATGAAGTTGGCATGACCCAGAGTCAAGAACTGGGGATGAGCTCTGAGCTACTTCGCACTGTCAATGCCAATGTCATGGTGCCTGTGGCCAAAGTGTGCGGAGCACTTTGGGCTAATGATGGCCGCCTCATATGCTTCTTCCCACCGAAACCCAAGAAAGATAAATCGGCCGAACTTTTTGAAAACATGGGTTTCAAAGAAATGACTCGATGGTCTAGAGGAGACAAAGTTTTTGAAGGTTTCGGTCGACTAAATACCAGCTCACCTGGCCCACGCGGGATAGGGACGATAACTAGCACAGATGACGGTGCCTCCAGTGATTCAGATGAATCATACTCAAGCACCTCAAGTTCTTCGGGCTCATCTGACGTTCTTTCTGGGCTACCGACACGTTTCCCAGCACCACAAACATGGCGCAGCGTCGGGAGTTATGGCATTCACCGGCCGCGATCGGCCGATAACTCTCAACGGTCAACAGGAGGTGGAGCCACAGTCAAATCAGAGGCACCCCAAAATATCGTATCTATTCATAATCTGAGTGATATGCTACCCGTCAAACGTGAGTTGGCTAGTCAATATCGCATCTGCGGTAAAGGAACAGATGTGTGCGCACATAATGCGGCTGTTGCTCTTGACGCTGGCTGCTACGAATTGGCCCAAATTTGGGGTCTGATAAAGTTGATATTGCATGTTCGAAAACATCCTGGTACTTTGCCGGATTCAGGGTTGCTGCAAAGGCGTGTGCACAAGAAAGGAGGCGTGACTGATGGTCTGGGACATGATGGTCTGTATAGAGACTTAACGGGTAGTATTATTCGCTGGGGAGATCATCCCCTTGGTAGTCATTGGCTTGTACCCGCTCTATTTGAACATTTCGAGCGCATTGGCGATGTGCAAATGGTCGCAATGCTCTCATGCGTGCTTCTGGAAGCCCATCAAGATGGAGCCTCGGAGAACCAGCAAGCCAAGAACAAGTTCGGACAACAAGACTTCTCGTTGGACTTCAACTCAATTTCATCGACGGTTCGACCCAAGCTACCCGTTGTGACACCGGCTTCATCTGTCCCTAAAGAGATCCAGTCATTATCTGGTCCTCAGACTTCAACCCGTTCGTCTGGTGAAATGTTACGTCTCGATTCTACGCCTCCATATTCCACAGGCACCACACCTCCATTTATGACCCGCCCACGAGGCATCACTGCTGATCGAAAGACTCTGAGCCACACTGTCTCCATAGCTGCATCGCCCGATCAGCAATCGCAGCCACGGAGTGGATCCGGGTTTGGATCGGTGTTGGCATCTTCATTGTCTCGTTCATTCACCTTTGGACCATCATCTGCGTCACCACCAACAACCAGGATGTCCAGGAAAAAGGCGATATCCCAGGATAGTACGGTTGCAGGAACTAGCCAAGTGGTAAATCATTCCAATCCTAAATCCAGGTGCGCTCCAAGCTTGATTTGTCTGATCTCAATCTCTCTCTAGTCACAGGCTCAATCAGATACTGAAAGCGACCAAGCACCCAAACCTACACCACCACCCGCAAGATTCAGGGTCACATATAAGAACCAAGCTGCATTTGAAAGTGAAGGACCCGCGCAAGACTCATTCCTTGACCGAGACAAGGAGTTGTTATATCGGTCGTACCGCGCCGCTTATGCCAATCTTTTGTCGATATGGGATCTCCCCGTTCAACAAAGTGAGGTAATGAAGATTGGAGCAGTGACGGATCGAATGGACGACTTGAATACAAGTCAATACTGGAACAGCGCCAGCTCCAAAGAAAATCCCTTGAAAGACCCGCAGCCGGAACCAAATCTTCAAGCTCTTGACTTCCAGCGCCATTGTGCTAGCTGTGGTCATGCATTGCAGCTCTCCATCTTCAATAAACAACCTACTGTTCCTGATACCCCCTCCAAGCGCCACCTGCGCAAGCCATCGGGTCGCCGATGCTCTAATTGCAAGCCTCGACAACCACTACCAACCAAACTGCCCTGCGTCATCTGCGGCGAGGTAGTCGACGGCATGCTGATCCCCTGTCTGAGCTGCGGACACGTGAGCTGTTTCGACTGCCACCGACGCTGGTTCCTCCGACCAAGCGACAAATTCGACAGTCCATTCGACTTCCCAGACCAGACTAAGTCCCTCCCAACCTGTCCTACAGGATGCGGTTGCCAATGCTCTGAGCATATCACCGTCGATGTCCCCATGCCTCCAAGGGAACCTCTCTCCCCCGGCACCAAAGAGCATGCACCCATCGCGCATCCCAACCTTGTACAGACGAAACACTCCCATCGTCGACAATCTGAGCCAGTTGTCTTGAACCCAACCTCAAAGGAGGTACAACATCCCAAGGAAGCTGGCCCGCTTGAACACGACTTGGATGTGTGGCAGGATTCATCTCCGTTTGCCTCTTTGGCGCGGGGTCTCGGCGGCGGACTGAGTCGTGGTTTGCGGCCTAAGGAGGATAGGAAGAAGAATAAGACTGTTGTCATTGCATCGAATGCAAAGAACTCTTGATTTCCTGAGGTCGGCGTTGAACGGGTGCTTACTTCTTCTCGCGTATATATCCACTGAGTTCTGGGAAGGAGTTTCGACATCAAATGAGTTAATTGACAATATATATACCAAGACATGATCCATCTCTTCTGCGAGTGCTGGGACAAGTATGAAATCTCCGTATTGGATTCATCTTCCATCGTGGAAGTGCCCTGTAGACCAAAGACCCCCCCTCCTTTTGGATTGTCGTCCCCGCAGTATCACTGCTAAACTAGACTACAATTGTCAGTTTCAACTTGTAGCCCTGGAATTAGTCTGATGTAGGACTTAGCACGAAATTGTTCCCATCCAAAATGTGTGTAACGATTCCACAATTACATGCCTTCGGACCAAATCGCAGATAGAACAACCCTGGAAAAGGGATATGATCTAGATTCCCCTTTCGACGTTGAGCACAGACAGCCGTCGCACTGACCCTGAGCACTAGCCAAGCATTGAAGCAGCGCACCAATCACAGCGACGAGCTATACTATGAACAATCTACAACATACAACCACCATACTCAATTACCAGGGAAGAAGAATGACAAGACAGAATGAACTCATGGCTTCATTAAAGGGATCTCAGGCAGCAGATCAAGCAACAGGGCGATCTAAGTCTAAAAACCGCTAGAAAGCAAGACGGGAGACACTGGATATTCGCAGTAACGGATATCGAGTCATGACCCCGCCATCACCCACGAAACAATACGCCGACCCGTTTACCCAAATCTATTTTTTTGTTCCGGGACGGATTCACAGCTGCTTGAGGACAGCGTCGGCGCTGGAGAGCTCAAGAGTGTTCTTGGCAGCCTCCTTGGCGGCGTAGACGACCTTGCCGTGGTCGATGATGATCACGTAGCGGTAGGTGCGGCCCTCTTCGTCAGCCCAGCCGATGCTCTTGGAGAACTTGGCCTCGGGGTCGGAGAGGAAGAGCTAGAAAAGAAAAAGAGTCAGTCAATTGAGTCCGGGGGTGAGGTGGCGTAGATAAGGGAATGGGTGGTTTTGGGAGGAATTGAACACATACAATATCATCTCCGGTGACACCGTTGGCCTTGCCCCAGGCGCTCATGACGTAGGCATCGTTGTAAGCGAGGACGGCGACCTGGTCGACACCCTTGGCGCGGAGCTCGGGGAGCTTCTGGATGTACTCGGGGACGTGGTTGGCAGAGCAGACGGGAGTGAAGGCACCTAGAGAGCGGGTGGCGGTCAGCGTGAGAACCTTGCAGGTGAGATGATGCAGCTATGCAAAGCTGGAGAGAAGGGGAAGAAGGTGGGATGAATTTGAAAAATTTCGAAAGAGCGGTCACATACCGGGAAGAGCGAAAAGGATGACCTTCTTGTTGGCCCACTCCTTGGAGGCGTAGTAGTTGATGGGGATACCGCAAGAGGTGATCTCGCCAGCCTCCTCAGACCAGGGGATGTAGCTGTGGTCTGTTAGCTGGAGTGGGGGAGGGTTATGGAGGGGTCACTCACGAGAACACGACGTCCTGGGGGAAGGCGTCACCAGCGTTGAAACCCTTAGACATTTTGAAGGAATTGAAGGAAACGAAGTTATTGGAAGAAGTTTAGATTGTGGATACAAGAGAAGATGGAGGGGAAAGAAGGAGAGAAGAAGGTATTTAAGATTACGGCTTACACATATCGGCCCATCGGGATCAACAAATGACGAAGTGGGGGGTCTGGAGTGAGGTGATCCGATCCAGAAAGATACCGAACCGTATGGATTATCAAGAAAGACCGCCGAGAACCGCTGATTAAACGTTATCTTTTTCACTTCCCTGGAGCAGAGCGAATCGGATGTCAGATCGGCATCTCCAGTACATGACTCAGATTCGCCCAGACTCGCATTGGGCTGAAGAGGTGCGAGTTCACGAGGCCATTGGCTCAAAACGAGGGACAATGGTGTTATTGGAGGCCTGCTGGATCAGGCCGAAGGCGTGAGATCATGTGACCGACAGGCTGTGGGTTTGCAGGATTTGCATCTCCCTCGTGCCTCAGGCAGCAATGAGCCATTGCTGCCTCCATTTCAAGGTTTCTGCCTTATAAGTTATGTAGCTTAGCAATCACTCAAGAGCACTGTCCAGGTGCCTCCTGAGTACTCCATACAAACATTCAGCTTACCTGGTGTCAAGCATTTATATCCCCTTCCCATCTGCGACTAATTATCTCACCTCTGAATTCAGCACTACTATTGGCTGGTCATCTTCAAATAGGCAAAATGTTTGGGTTTCTCGCCGGTAAAACCGATCTCAACACCCTAGATGACAAGACGCCCCTCGAAACTAGTGAGGAGACTATGACCGAGGAAAAGAAACTTGAAACCAAGATATTCGCCCTATACCGCTTAGCCTTCTTGGGCATCTATCGAGTCAATGACAACGCCGGCCCAAGTCATCTGAATCGCCTGAGCGAGCTTTTTATCGGCGCAGGAATGTCTACATTCATTCATAAACTTACTGAGAACTCTCAACTCCATGAGAACCACCACAGAACCAAACTGGGCATGGTTCGCGTGCTCTTGCCCCTGGAGATAGCGTTGAATGATTTTGGACTAGGGAAGTTGAAGCTGTTTGACGGAATCTCAGTTGCTTCGTTGGAAGCTGTGATTGAGATCCTCGAGGCCTATGTGAAAGAGATTGCTAGTGTGGATGCTCTCTACCAGATACTCCGTGGGCTCCAGGTGGGATTGAGGATGCCAACAGAGGATGACGAAAGGGCTGTCATGGACCAATTTGTCCCTGCGGCGGATCAATTTGCGAGACGCATCTTACATCTGGATGCAAGATTAGATGTCCTTGTCTCCCTATTGGAGGACGAGTTTTGGAATCAGTATGGTGCAGTTGATGGGCGGCAAGGATGGCCTGTGCAGGACCTACTTTATCCACCGGGTCGGGGTCGGTCCCGTAAGGGATTTAGCAGTTTCTCATAGGTATAAGTACGGAGTATGTCGTGGCCTAGCTGGAATTCTGAAACGTGTGAGGGAGTACTATTTGAGCATGAGCTTGTATAGGGTTAATATAAGCCACCGAAGCCCGTGGAGCTGAAACTAAGCGGTATCAGATGGAAACAAGCAGAGAGGAACGGTGAATGTGTGTTGATTTCGATATAGTTGGCACTATTTGGTACTCGTCCTGGGAGTGACGGTCAATATTTAGATTTTTTGATACACCGTTTGCTTTCTATGCCAACCCAATCCGCCTGGGCAGCTATCAGGTCAGAATCTCTGTTGGGTGCTTCCACGAGGCCTTTCAGGTGAATATCATTCCATGAGCTGCGACTGTATGGAGATTAGATTGCTCCGGTGCCCGTGGACGGACTTAACCCCAGCCACGTCATAAGTCTCAAGCGGCCTAAGCAACTCGAAGAATACGAAAAAGAGCGACCAAGCCCCAAGAATAGCATTCTAGAGGGCAGCCTTTCGTGTCCGGGGATTACGGCGTTAGGAGTCGGCCTCGGGTGAACCCAACTGTCATGCTGACCTCCGCCAAGTCTTCATTGACAACACCTAAAAGCCGGCCCAACGCCGTTGAAGTCGCTCATCAACTAAATGAAAATGGTGTCTCTCGAAGCAGTTCAAAAGAGCAACTCTGTATTGAAGGAGTACGGCCCCAACCTGGTGGCAGTCTTCGGTAGGTCCCCGAGTCTCATCCCTGGAGCTCGGACGGTACTAACATCTCTCTAGTCGGTGGCACCAGTGGCATTGGCGAATCCACCGCCCGTGCTTTTGTGGGATCTACTGTGTCTCCGCGTGTTTATCTCGTTGGACGCAGTGAGAGTCGAGCCTCTCAGATCATCAAGGATCTCCGTGCCCTAAACCCAGATGGACAGATCAATTTCATCAAGGGAGATGTGTCGAGTCTGAAGGAGGTCGATCAGGCTTGTAAGACCATTCAGGCAAAGGAGGACAAGATCAATTTACTGGTCCTGAGTGCTGGAATCTTGACTATGAAAGGGCGTGATGGTACGTGTTCTTTTTCTCTCCCTCGTTGTGCTGAATCTTCCACTAATACAAAACCAACAGAAACTGATGAAGGGCTGGACAACAAACTCAGTCTTCATTATTATTCTCGCATGCGGTTCTTACATAACCTGCTACCTCAACTAACAAACGCTGCCAACGCCGGAGGCACATCTCCTGGTACGGGCAGCAATTTATCGCGAGTGCTTTCGATACTCGATGGTCGCGGCAATGCACCCTTGATTCTGAATGACTTGTCATTGAAGAATAACTATTCCTTGCGCAACTGCGCCAATCATGCCATTACCATGACATCGGTGTCTATGGAAGAGCTTGCCTCCTCGCATCCGTTGACATCCTTTGTTCACACATACCCAGGCATTGTGAAGACGAGCCTGATGCGCGATAATGGGATTTTGACTAGGACTGCGATGAGCGCTTTGATGGTCTTGTTCTCGCCGATGACTGTTCCATTGCAGGAAAGTGGAAAGAGGCATCTTTATGCTGGGACCAGCCCGGTTTTTGCACCAAAGGGTGTGGAGGCTGGTAGTGATACTGCAATTGGCTCGGATGGGGTCCGAGGTTCTGGGGCTTACTTGGTTGATTCGGACTCGGCGACTGTTGCTAATCAGGGGGTCTTGCAGGGATATCGTGAGGATGGGACTAGGGGATTGGTCTGGAAACATACTTTGGATGTTTTCAAGGGAATTTGCGGTGATGCTTAGGTTTGATGAGTTTATGACGGTAAATTGTATATATTCCCTTTATTAGGTTGTAATGTTTAATATATGCATGATCTTGTTTGGTGTACTGGGGGTTTCCAATGATACAAATAGATACCCCGACATCCGCTATACAGTATACTCATGTTATCCAACAGTCTAATGTCTCGTGTCATTGACATGAGTCGTCGTCTCCATCAAACGAGCCACAGTAACAGCTTCCCTCAAAGCCCGTCCCACATGGCCACGCACACCAGCCTCTTCCATCACCATCAACCCGCCAATCGTGCACCCCTCAGGGGACGTTCCTTGGTCCTTTAAAAGGGCAGGGTGAATGCCACTCTGCAGCATCGTCGCCGTCCCTTGCATCGACTGAAAAATCATAGTATGAGCCATCTCCCGCGGAAGCCCAACCGCCACCGCAGCATCAATCATAGCATCACAAATCACCGCAAAGAAAGCCGGCGTCGAGCCTCCAACAGCAGTAGTAGCATTCATTAATTTCGGATCCACATGGACCGCCTTGCCAATCTGTTCGAAGATCGACGTCGTGATCTGCAGATACGCCTCCGGCAATCCTAGGTCAGGCTTTTCAATAGCTGTAAGAGACTGGGAGACCTGGGCTGCGATATTCGGCAACGTGCGCACCACCCAGGCTCGACCGGCTGCGTTCTCAGCGGTGGTGACACTGCCGTAGAGTGTGGTTTCGAGCTTCTGTCTTGTCCACCCGGCTGCAATGCTGATGAGAAGCTTATCGACCAAGGTCTCGTGGATTCCGGGCTGTGTCAGGACGTTCTCAATATCGGCTGGGTCGGTGCCGAGGATGATTACATCTGCGGCTTTTAAGGCGCGTAGATTTGCGTTGCGCGAAATGGTTAGTTCGCCCATGGAGTTGGCGAATCGCTCGGTGAGTCTCTTTTCTGAGCTTTCACTGCGCACGCATGCGACGTATCGGTTGAATGGTAGTTCTTTGGCTTTCTCGGCTGGTGCATTGATCAAGCCGTCTAGGATGGCGATGCCCAGGTTTCCTGTGTCGTTAGTTGGTGTTCTTTGGCTTCTGAGTTTGCGCACTTACCACACCCCAGGATGCAGAGAGTTCTGTTTTCATATTCAGCCATGGTGTAATTAGGAGAACAGACTCAAAAGAATGTAGTTAATTATGTAGAAAATGGAAGCAAAGGCAGATTCAAGAGAAGTTGCACTGGATTTTGATGCCCATCGGGAGGGCTTCCGAGTGTGGGGAATCGGGTACCCCGCTTACTCTTCATAGTGAATAGGTACATCAGGGACATCTATGAGTGTATGAATGCAAATATAGAGGTCATGGGTAGTCATAGTAATATCGACACATATATATCCATGTTCGTGAGTATCTGAAGTTATGAGGGTGTGTTTATAAATCAAATATTGGCCAGTGATCGAGACATACCATAGCACTATATGTGTCTGCCACGTCTATTATGACATACAATGATATTTTGTAGGAGTGTGATCCCACAGCTCTATTCTACTACCTGATCTAACACTGCTTAAACCCCAGGGCTGTTTATATATCAAAACCGTCGAATTGGAGAACCAGCCCACCTCATCGGGGGTTGTTCCCGATGATCGGCGCTAATAACAATTTCCCCTCACGGTCTCCTCACGAGCTGGTGCTTCTGCCAGCGAGAATGGCCCAAAGCATGCTAGCTTGTCCTATTTCCAGATGCCCTCATCGTGTCTCCAACTCCGCAAAACATGACGGCTTTCGGATGCAAGCCTGCGGGGAGGATACTATATCACCCCAGCAGCCCACAAATACAATGGAAGCAAAATCTTTCATTCTTCTGTCATGATGGGTGTTTCCGTATCTGATCCGATTATTATTGTCGGCACCAGTGCTTTTGGCCTCTCGACAGCACTCCATCTCTCTCAACGAGGCTACACTAATGTGTCGGTATTCGACAAAAAGGTTACTGGAGACTTGACTGTAGTGTACCCCCTAAAATCCACTTTTTTTAGAACAAAGAAAAAAAAAGGGACCGCAAAGAAACAAACATAATTGCTAACTAATGTTTGAATATAGGTCTACCATGCCACACAAGATGCAGGCGTACAATTCTTCCTGGGCCAGCCAGTCGACGAGATAGCCTACGTGAGCACATTGACCGGCAGAAAAGCCGTTGGGATTCGCACAAGGGATCGATTCTATCCCTCGTCGCTGGTGATTCTGGACCTCGGGGCTAGGGATAGGGATGCACGGTCTGGAATTGGCCACACTGACTCCTTGGCTACCCCCCTTTCTTGGTATTCCAACCCGAATTCTCTCGCCGAGTATGTGCCCTATGAGTCTGCCTCGGTGATACTCCTGGAGGGGGATTCAAAACGCGATTCGAAAAAGGCTGCTTTGGTGGGGTCTCTCGTTCTAGATCTCATGGCCACCAGCGATCAGAGAATTGCAATGGAAGTGTCGGAGATTGTGCCTCAAATTTTGTCCAGGTTGTGAAGGGGCTTGATCAAGGGGGTTCGAACAAAAGAATGGATATTTGTACGGTGTACTCCGTACATAATCGGATAATCTACAGACGGCCAATATGACTTGCATTACTTACTGGATGTCGACCGACGACAATCTGTCAGTATATTATCGTATGCTGTAGTATGGACTTGAGCTGAGGCTGCAACTCTTCAACTCTACCCTCAAGTTATGTTGCGTACCCAAGAGTAAGCCAATCAGCTTTTCATTTTGCGGCGGTGTCAATCATTAAAGATGCGACTCATAAGATCATTAAGCAATCCACTATTAGTAGGGAGGAGGGTCGTCAACCCGCTCGGGGTGAGCCAATTCAGGAGCACCTGGGATCAACACAGGCCAGCCAAGACAGGGGCGACAACGACCCATCGCAAAAGCCTCGGTGATACGAAGGACTGGGCGTGGATTGGGGCAAGGCTCTCGTCGCTCGCGGGCCCGGGCTAGCTTACAGCGCTCAATCCAGACTGCTTCGGTGTGTCCACAGCCACTGATCCCGCAGTGGCCGCGGTACCATTTATAACGGACCCGGCACATTGTCGGTGGTTGAAACTAGACGACCTGAAGCTTTCAGGGGAATGGTTAGACTCAAGGGATAATGATACTGGGATTAGAATCCACGGTGCTGGGGTTGATGAGACGTGAAGGACAACCTAGATATTTGTAGACTTTTGCAAAGCCACAGAACCCACGGCATGAAGAACATTGGAATCTGATTTCTTTCATACTAGAGCCCTTGTCTAAGTCAAAGAGGCTATGTTTAGTGCCGCGATGAACATAATGCATTGGTGGATATCTTTGTTCTACCTATAGACAATGACACTCTCTTTCAGTTTTGCTTCTATCATGTGCCATACAATACCCTTTATAAACACCTTGTAGTTTGAAATGCTCATTTTTATATACTGATATAGGGTAAGCCCTCTTCAGATCATATTTCAAAGCAAGTTCTGATACACCAACATCAATGACTTTCGGTGCGATGGTGACATCGAAATCAGCCATGTCAAACAGCTTAGTCTGTTCGTAAGAATGCTATAATTTCTACTCTGTATTATGAATAGCACTAAATATCTACTATCGAATTCATACTAGTGGCTTAACATCAACCAAGAAGGAAATCCAAGTTTCTGGGGATTGACGTGTGCGGAAGCAACTAGAATCCTCGTTGTAATCAAAAATAAGAACCGATTGCTTAGGCACCGGTGACCCAAATTAGCTTAGTTGTTTCTTCCCAAACTTACGAGTATTTCCCTTGGATCTATGAATTGCATCCTGGTGCATGCTAGTTGATCCTAGTCTGTAATAAAACCCCAGGGCGTGGCTGGCCACGAGTCGTAGAGATCAGCAAACTATGGAGTCAATCTCGGTTTTTTCCAGACACGGGATCGGGCAAGGCTGTCAGGTCCATAGCCCAGTGATTGGCCAGGTCATATAAAAAGTTGGCGGTGGATCTGGCCCCCTTCAAATGGACTCGGTTGCTTCGGCGTAAGCACTAGCTACCTCCGGGGCCGTTTCAGGGTGGGTTTTTGTAGGTCGGATAGGTTCTAGCGGGTCGAAAACAGTGTAGAAAAATAGTTAATTGGACATTGTATCTGTGGATTGCACTGAGCTAGCTAAATATATACAACAATTAATTACTGTCGACGCGCTTTAGGCGACAGGGAATGTGGGGGACTCAATGTTAGCGTTTCTATTCCGTACAGCGTACTTATGTAGTATTTCATACGAAGTACACCGTATGAAGACAGGGTATTTCACAACTGAAAAACTGACCGGAACATAAGATGAGAAAATGACGGGTATTATCATGTTTAGACCATGTCAATTGAGAGAAAAAAAAAATATGCCCTAGCAATAGGTAGATGGTTGATCTGATCTTGTTCCCGGGGCTTGGCGCTCCTGGACTTGAAAATATGGATGCTATTAGAACTACAACATGTGTACCTAATGAGAGATATAGATGGCATAATAAGTGTTCCCAGTAGCTTTGAATGAATCCTATGTGTTTGGAAGATAAACAGTACTTTTTGCTGAGTTTTCTGTCGATTTGTGCGCCAAATGGTGGTGGACTCGTGAACGAGAGCGGTTATATATCAGGTACCCTGTCAGCCCTAAATGCTTAACATTAACTTAGTTTTCCTTGGGATCAATTTGAACTGATTTATAACCATTGATTTATTTACCAAATAGCCTCATGTTAGAATTAAAGAGCCAATGAAATAATACAAATCAAGATAAAAGTCTTGTGTAGTACTCCGTATGCAATACACCTAAACATGTGCTATATTGTTCCAGATCTGTCTACCAAAATTTTGGTACGAACTAGTGGTATTTCCAGTAGTCGACATAACCTTGCCGCCTATTGCATGACCTTACGTGGAAATGACTCACAATCTCTAAAGCACCCTGCTTTTTAAGCATCTCAATCTCGCGATCCGACTCGAAGACCAATCTGAACCTCTATCCCCGAAATTCTCACCATGGCAGACCTTAAACCACCCTTTAACGAGGAGACTGCGAAGAAAAAGGTCAAAGCCGCCCAGGATATGTGGAACACGCAGTGAGTTTCGAGTTTATTATCGTCAGGATCCCCGAAGGCCCTCATCCCTTGCATTCCTGCAACCTTCTGTTTGTCCGTGCGGGAGCACCCTGGCAAGCATACCTACGAGAAGGATTAATTTCTCGATTTCGACAAGGCTTATCGTTCTTTGGATTACGCCAAACACAATGACGTAGTGATGCCATCGTTCTTACCATGTGCGTTGGCAGGGATCCTGCCCGAGTCGCTCGGGGTTACACACCAACCTGTATCTGGCGTGTTCGAGACTCCTTTTTTGCAGGGACAGAGTCTATCGTTGCATTCCTGACAGCAAAATGGAATCGTGAGCGCAATTATCGACTTCGTAAGGAACTCTTTGCGTTCGGGGATGATCGCATCGCTGTGCAGTTTTGGTACGAGTTTCAGGATGCGGAGGATGGGATGCGCTGGAAGCGATGCTACGGGCTGGAAGATTGGACTTTTGATCTTGAGACGGGGAAGATGCGCAAGCGTATGATGAGTGGGAATGATGTACTGATCGGACCGGAGGGAAATGGCGAGGGACGGTGGTTTACAGATGGGGTTGATGTGAACGATGTACCTATTAGTGAGGAACATTGGTGATAGTACATGTATGGAGATAGTTGAGGCCAGAATGAACCTTTTGGGATCTTCTCGGCCGATATTAGGGCGATATAGTGTAGTTGCAAGATCTATATAGATCTTCTGCACCAAAAGTGACAGGGGGGCATCTTCATGCGCTGGAGAGCATGCACATGCAAGCTGTGCAGCAGGTTTATTCAGACGCTTAATCTGATTTAGATTGGATATCAGAGCCCGAACTATTTAGGGGGGGTGGAATGCTTGACAGAAACCCCTAGAAAAAATAAACGGTAGGGCCATCTGGGAACCCTAACCCTGCAGTGGGGTTGTTGTTATCCCCCTTCCTGGGGGGAATGCCTGTCTCTGTCGTCGATCGTAATTGGTGGGAAATGTCAGCGACAGAACTTCAGGAATCAGACTATTGTCAAACCATGGACATGTCCCGTTAAAATCAGTGTCTCAAACGGGAATGAGGTAGAAGGGAAGAAATAAACGAGACCATCTAGGCGCCAGTGCCTAGATATGAAGCGCAGACGGGATGTGAATAGAGTCATGCACCGCCAAGCGTGAAGCGTGACGGTGATAGGTCAAGCTCCCAGAGCAAGACGGTAAACAGAATCGACATGAACGCAGTAAACAGAAGAAAGTAGTAAATCGTAAATAGTAAATAGTAAATAGCAACCCTCAGGGTAAACAGGCGGTGGGGGAGGGGGGACATTCTTCATGGGAAGGAAGGAAGCTCATTCCTGTCTAACCGAAGCATGCCAGCCAACTTCTTGTCTTCTCATGAGTACTAACAGTTCTTCTTTCTCGTCTTCTCCGTTTCGAATTCAGAACCTGGGGTTGCGTCGCTCGAGATTCCCTTTTCACTGCATCGCCGTCGATGATGTGGTGTTGACCAGTCCTTGTCACTCATTAATTTTGCGACGTTTCCTTTGCCAGAATAGTCTGGATCCGATCTTTACAGCACGATTCTTTTCGTCGACACTCTGCAGGAGCGTCATCTCTTTTTTTAATCGTTTGACCTAATTTATTGTAGGTTGAAGAACCAGATCTTTGTTGACGTTGAGGGCCGAGCTAATGGAGTGTAGATTGGCGACTAATCCCCCACCAAATAACAACAGACGTCCAGGAAAACATCAACATACGCCAACATGGATCACATAATGTCCGATGCCAGTGACACTCAACGGCGACGCCAACCGTTGGGAGATGTGTCAAGCCGCATGAACAACTCTAGGTCATCAAATGTTGAGACACCGCACCGGAGGGTCGAAGAGTCCGAGAAATTGAAGAGTCCTGACCAAATGTCCTTGTTTCTGACCCCGACTCCAACGAGAAATAAAGAGAATGAGCATCTCTCCCCGGGAAACGAGCTGCAGTACGACTCCGCTCGCAACTCGATCATGTCTGCGACATCCCGTCTGTCTAGCAAAGGAAAGAGAAAGACACATGTGGGACCATGGCAGCTCGGAAGAACACTGGGAAAGGGTGCAACGGGACGGGTTAGATTGGCCAAACATGCCGTCACTGGAGGCACGGCCGCGATCAAGATCGTCTCGAAGAAGTCAGCCGCGATGGTTCAGAGTGAAAGTATTGCTGCAATGGATCGCAATGCGGCGAATTTTGCTAGCAACCCAACCACCCGACAAATGCCATGTGGTATTGAACGGGAAGTAGTCATCATGAAGCTGATTGAGCATCCGAATGTGATCAGTTTGTATGACGTTTGGGAAAACCGTGGAGAATTGTTCGTGTGCACCCACTTCCTAATCGAGAGTCTTCACTAACAATAGCAGGTATCTCGTGCTTGAATACGTCGAAGGAGGAGAGTTATTCGAGTATGTGCACAACAATGGACCGCTTCCTGAAGAAGAAGCCGTGCGATTGTTTCGACAGATCATTGCCGCTCTTGGATATTGCCATCGTTTCAATATCTGCCACCGTGATTTGAAGCCAGAAAACATCTTGCTTGACTCCCAGCATAATATCAAGTTGGCTGATTTTGGCATGGCCGCCCTCCAACCCGCGGGTCATTGGTTGAACACATCGTGTGGTAGCCCTCATTACGCGGCACCAGAGATCATTTACGGCAGAAAGTACCGTGGAGATAGAGCTGATATGTGGAGCTGTGGTATCATTCTTTATGCTTTATTGACTGGTTACCTGCCCTTCGACGGTGGAGACCTTGGAAGTACCTTGCGCCTTGTCAAGAAGGGCCAGTACATGATTCCTTCAGAGCTGAGTGCCGAGGCCGCTGATCTGATCCAGCGTATACTCCAAAAACGCCCAGAAGACCGGATCTCCATGAAGAACATTTGGGTGCACCCACTGTTTACCAAGTACGAAAAGCTTCACGATGCGATGCTCGACCACTACGTCGGACCCCCTCCACCTTTGTCAGTGAAGGATTGTGGACAAGCACTGTCTTGTACACAGGAAATTGATATGGATATTCTGCGTAATTTGCAAACGTTGTGGCATGATGTGAGGCCAGAAGACCTGGTTCACAGGCTACTATCCCTCGAGTAAGTACAAACTGCCTCCTGTACAAACAATCTCCATACTAACAGAGAGCGAAGGCCCACGCATGAGCGAATGTTCTACAATTCCTTGGCCAAGTTCCGAGATGAACAACTTGAGAACTATCAAGGACAGCCTCTTGAGTACTCCGCTAGTGATTACCACCACATCTCCCGGCCCGGTGGCAGAGTCCGTCGGGGCCGCAGTCAGACAGGACAAGGCAGCTCTAAGAGTCGCGCTCAATGTCCTCATGTGAGGCAGTTCCCTCCCCGCGTGAGTTCTATGAGGGAACCAATGTCATGTGGCACCATGGAAAGCTATGATCCGTACCGGTCTCCCAAGCACCACGGCGCAAACCCGGAACCACAATACGCCCAGATAACAGTCCACCGAGAACCCCTCGAGGAAGCTACGGCTATTTTGTCCTCACCAAGAGTCAAGCCACCCCCTTCGATCCTGGAGGAAGAAGAGCCAGAAGAATCGGATGGCATGGAAAACTCTCCATACACCGTCCTCCAAAAACGCAAGCACGGGCCCAGCTCTATGAAATCTTTCCAGTCCTCCAAGGTGCTACCATCTAGCTCTCGCGCTCGTGGATTGTCAACACATTCCATGAGCTACCGTCGCAATGTTTCTTTCCGACATGCACGAAATCGCTCCCATGGATCAACGACTGCTAAGCCCAAGAAGAGAAAGATTACTGCTCCGACCCTGCAAACGGATCTAAAGCGGTCCCCTAGCACCTGCAGCTTGCAAATAATGGCGGGGCGCATGGATATTCCTGATATGCCTAGTAGCCCCCCGCTTCCAGCTCAACCGACAGTAGTTCGAGCCAGTGGCCCAAAGGTCAAGAGCTTGCATCAAGTCAGGAAACTCCGTGAATCGGATTACACCTGGAGGGAAGACGCTCGGCAGGTCTCCCATGAGCTCAGTCAGATTTGCGAGGAGGCTTTCAATGGAAGTTCTGTCACAACGATCCGCACCACCAGTGCTGCCTCTGGCTATGAAACACCGCCAACTCCGGTATCCATGGCAAGCCCTGAGAAATTTACACCTACAGCGACAATCTCAGTAATGGAACCATCAAAAGACTCAAAGAATGCCCCTAGTATTGCGGAACTTATTGAGACACGGCGCAGGCTCGTTGAGCACAGCCATGGCCGAACGGATAATATTCCCGCCCACCTCTCGGGTGTCATCACCCATCTCGACCGCTTGATCCAAGAAGATCAAGCCCGGAGTGCAGGGAGAACCTTGGATATAGGGTCTCTTCAAGATCCCTTCGTCAATTCTTCAGACCAGATCCCGCGCCCTGCTATCAATCCGAACTTTGCCAGCGCTGTCCATGCGCCATGTGATGTCAGTCCAAAGCACTCCCAGAAGCAACACATCTCCGTCGCAACATCCCAAGGGGGCGATGCAAAGGGAACGATTAGAATGGTTCCAAACAGCTCCCTACGGTCCCTAGAGGAAGTCAAGCCCCTGACCATTCGGAAAAAGAACACTGCCAAGTCCACACTTTCTGATGTTCACGACTTCTCCATGGGTGACGTGTTGGGTAGTGACCTGAACTTCGCCAGTGGATCCCGACACGTGGGCCAGCCCGGTAACCTGACACCAATTCAAGAAATCCCTCTATCCCCGAGGAAAAGCGTCACCGGTCGGGGTCCGGAGGGTAAGAAATGGTCATGGTTCAAGCATCGCCCTCAAAGCTCTGATGCCACTCCTACACATGAGCCCAAGCCCCAGATCATAATTCCTAGTGGCGATACCACGGTACATAAGCCAATTACCCTTGAGCCAGCGGCCCCTTCGGCACCACAACAGTCGCAGCGGGCCACAACCCGCAAGACGTCGATGGATCGATTTGGCGGAGGATTCTTGAAGAAGCTCATGACTAAAAAGTCCACCAAGCACACCCAAGAGCCTACCACTGGTGAGCGCAAACATGGAACCTCCCGGAGCATTGCTAACCAGTCGATAGACGTAAGCCTAGACCATGAAACTACACCGACAAAGGATGATCATCACCCCTCCCTGATGTGCAAGGGCATTGCAGACACAGACAGTTCAATTGAGGGTGATGATCAGCAACTCCCTTTCCGCAATAAGCGCCGCTCAATTGCCAACCACAACTGGTTTGCCCGTGTTTTCCAAATCAAACCTGCTACGCAAGTCATTGCATTGAGCACCTCCAGAGCCAAGGGACGCAAGGAGCTATACAAGCTTCTTCGGGAGTGGCAGGACTTTGGCATGGAGGATGTGTACCTGGACAAGACCAACAGCATCGTCCATGGCCGTGTGGGCGAAGCAAACTGTAAGTCATTCATCTTCTAGATCCATTGACCAATCTAACCAGCATCCAGTCCTCCAACTCCGAGAAGTTGAGTTCACCGCTGAGTTCTACACTGTCCAGAAACATGGCCGTCCAGCCAACCTGAGCTTGGTCCGCTTCAAACAGAAGCGTGGTGCGGCGTCATCATTCAACAAGGTCGTTGAGACCGTCCAGAACTCACTTGTGCGTCGTGGCATGGTTGTCGAGGACCCAGCTCAGGCCATGGAGATGTCTCGCATTCTCGACTCCGTCCCTAACAGATAATCTCGACCATGCATTTTCTCAATACCTCATATTTCACTCATCTTCGACGCATACCAACCAACTATTGTCCCTCACTCCTACAAATTACGTTCTCCACACTCTTCACCAGCATGTTGCGTTCCAGCCCTGCAAAAACATCTTGCATTTCCTTTTGTCCTACCATACTTCCATCCGATGATTCCCTACACTCGTTTTCGTCTCATCACAAGATTCAACCTAGCCTAGTCTCGACAGACACTTCCATACCTTTTTTTTCCTATTTTTTTCCACCCATATTTCCCTGCCACCCACATTGTCCATTTGTTAATTACACAATCATTTACCCAGTGCGCTGTTTCATAGTCACAAATTCTCCAGTCCTAGCACAGCTACACATGCATTCATTTCTTTTTTCCATTTTCACAACCTCCTGTTTTGCCATCAACACCTCCCCCTAATGCTTAATTTCGGCGACTTGGATACCTGCCCGCAGGTGTTCCATATTCTTCTTCACAAGCAATAGGATAGCAGTCCATGTACTTGAATAATGCAATTGAATTCATATAGCCATCCATTCCCACCGTGTTCTTTTCACTACTATGAAAACTTCCCCGTCCAAGTTAGGGCAAGTCACGTGTCCTCTACGCATCCCGCCTAGTCGGTCTACACGGTCTAGCCAGGATACTGGATAGGCACTAAGTGGGACGATGCAGATGCATAATGTAGCCTGAAAGAATGCAATACTCGAGCCCCGTTATGCAGCCAAGCTTTCCCTGCCGGTGCCGAAGCCATACAGCCAATAGTCCGTACGTAGTCTAAACGGAGTCCCATCCGACTCCTTCACTCCACTCTTGATCTGAAAAGAGCATAAGCGCGAAGCAAGGGAAGGGGAGGAGGGCACTGAAAGAAAGAAAATAACAAGGAAGCTAGACGCAACCCTGGAACGGGGATCTGCAAGGCCGGAGATGCAGGGAATACTTCGGTATAAGGTAGTTATTTCAGAAAGCGCTCAGAGATACATAGATCCTAATGGAAGGTTGAGGGGGAAAAAACCAGCATGCAGCAATAATTTGAAATAGCAGAAAGAGTGATCAGACAGCCTCCGGATATAAAGTATAAGCAGAACCGATAAAATGAAAAGACAGGCAACGGAGTAAGAAGATCGGAAACAGCGTCCGATGATCAAACTAAGAAAGATAAAAAAAAAGAAATCACATAGCCGACCCTCCGTTCTTTTTGATCGCATTGGCGCGAGAAACAGCCACATATACATCCTTGGATGTAAGTAGGCAAAGAGACGAATGCCTTCCCGGAAAATGTAAAATGGATAAACACAAATTTCAGGGCAAAAAAAACAAGCCGATATTGCATAAACGGAAACATTGCAGGTAAAAAAAAAACAGATAGCCACCCGAGATTCAAATAACAATGCGGATAATGTCTGCAGGTCTGTGGCTGCAAATGCCACGGAGAAAACAGCCGGAGAGAATGATTTGATAGTGAGGCCAGGTTTCCATTATGTTCCAGACTCATGGTATGCAGGTCAAACCAATGCCAGAAGGTGAATCGAAGACTGGAAACTATTTCATATCACTCTCTCCGAGCAAACCAGATTCGTAGATTTGCCATTAATCAAAATACCGAAGTCGATAAAGATCGCGAAAAAGGAAAATAAAGGAAAATAGATATGGAAATAAAATTCGTACGCCGATACAACCAGAGTGCTCCATTGGGTCTCTGGACGTGTCGGTATAAAGCTCAAGTTCAAGTTCGTGCTCATGAAGCTCGTAGGTTCGCGTTTTGTGGCCTCGTAACAGATCGGAGTGATGCTCTTGTCGTTCATCGTCCAAGTTGGATGCTCGACATCTGGAATGTGATTTCGAGACTTCCCCTTGCAGCGCAACCTGGACGATTTAATGTTCATCGATTCGAAAATTCTTTGGAGAGTCGGCACAACGGTCCGACGAAACAGCGAATCTTCTTTTTTCTTTAAAAAAAAAATTCCAGTACAACACATGGCTCTCGGACCGTGCGGCCAGCACACGGCTCATTCCGAAATGATTCTCTCCCTCACCAATCCCCCCCATATTGCATTCTTCGCATTCCTAGTGGAATACTAGGATTGCAAGATGCTAACAAATAAATTGCTATTGCGGGCCGCGGCGGTTCAGCGCATTGAGCATATCGCTATCAGTGCTGGACCGGCCTTGGGAATCGCCCGGGTTCAGCATGTCGCGCACATTCAATCCTCCGCGCTGCGAACCCCCAGGAGTGGAAGTCGGGGGAGGTGTCACACCCCCTGGTTGAGGAGTACCACTTGGCTTGGGTTGTGTGGTGCCAGGTTGAACTGAAACTGGGGGCACACTGCCCTGGTGAGGAGTCATAGGCGCCTGATGGGACTGCATGGGCGGGAAGGGCGACCCGTGAGGCGAGGAGGAGGGGCGTGCATCGTAACTATAAGCCGATGGCGGCGAGGTGCGTCGATCGTGGGCGGGTGGAGGGGGTATGAGTAAGGGCTCGGCGTGGTATGAGTCTGGTATCCCGGGGCAGAGCCAGCGGGGGTCACGGGAGCCAGATTGGTCGGATCTGGGTACTCAAATCCCGAGTTCGAGCCGCGGCGATGTCTCTGCGCAGGAATATTAGCTCAGGCTCCCTCTTTCCCTTTGTCTCTTGCCGAAGGGGTAATGGCGTCCTTACCGGATCGGGCATGGTTGATGCAAGGGGTGGCGGGGCACCGTCCATGGGGGGTCGGCCGTTCTGATAGTACATCCCTTGAGGCGGAGGCAGGGTGGTCTCGGGACCCTGTGGCTGCTGTTGAGGGGGTAGAGGCTGTCCGTGAGCGCCGTACAGCACTGGAGGTCCACCGCGACCTGGTCCTGGGCCATTCTGTCCAGGGCGTAGATGGGGGTAGGCGGTGTGTGCAGGCACAAAGGCTTGGGTTTGCGAAGAGACTGGGGTGAACATGCAGTCTTGGTTGAATCTCACGCAGTTGCTGCATCTTCCATCTGCGGACGTCTCAAATCCTGAGCAACGAATCTATAGAATCTAAATCAGCGCATGATCACTCGGAGATGTGGGGATGGACTCCTCCCGTACCTTCCGGCGACGGCAGTATCGGCAGGCGATGGCCGTTCGCTGTCGTGGAGCTGCTGCTTGGTAAGGCCCTTGGGCTGCCTGAGGTCCATATGCATCGGTGCGATAAGGTCCTGGTGGAGGAGGCAGGCGGTAGGGGTCTTGCGCTCCGTGAATGGCATTCATGGCTGGTGGGTGCGAGTATCTTGGGTCCGGATACTGCGCCGGGGGATATTGTGATGGAGGATACTGAGGAGGAGGGGGATACTGCGATGGCGCGTACTGTGCGGGAGGGGGATATTGATAGCCGCGGTCCTGATCCGGTGGAGGATAGGAAGTAGGTGGATACTATGAAGCTATCAGCAACCGAAGGCACCGCAATTTCATAGCGCTCCCAACTGGCTTATAGACAGCACATACTGGGTAGGGGGCCTGATCATCCGGAGTATTCCACTGGGGCCCTCTGGTGTCTCGAGGATCCTGGCGATTTGGATCACCCTGACGGCTAGGGTCGTGATCGTTGGGATTGCCCGACATTTGTGTTGTTGGGGGAGAGTAAGACGAGATGAGTCAAGAATACAGGGATGTGACGTCGAGTTATTGAAAAGGGGAGATTGAATCACACGGACAAAGTGAGCATAGCGCGGTCACGCAGGGGAAGGGGAAGAAGGGCAGATGCAGGAAGATCCTAAGCACGAGCGACAGAAAAAGGAAATAGAAAATATAGGGAACCAGAAAGGAAAAAAAAAGGATAGAAAAAAAATAGAAAATAGAAAAAAAAAAAAAAAATAGAAAAATAGAGAGCCTCGGGGAGCGATTATGACGTGAGCAAGTATAAGGACGTGAAAAACCCCACGACAGATAAGCAGAGAAGAGAAGAAGAAAAAGAAGCTCAGATCGGAACGAACAGAGAAATAAAGGAAATAAAAGGAACGCAATTATTTGATTGGAAAAGCTCAAGAATTTTTAGAGAACGGGGTGGAGCCCGGGCAGCGCGGGCTAAAGCGGCGCCAGTGACCCATAGACATGGAGGGGGATTTACTGTACTCCGTACAGCGTTTTACGAAGGTATTGAACGGAGATTTTTGCTAGACGGGATCATATTGCTGGTATCCATGGATACCTCGGGGAGGATGACCTTACCTTACACACTCACCTCATCAGTGAAACACGGAAGACAAGTCCTTGAACCATGGGTTGGAATTTCAAGTACCAAATTTCGGTTGTTGCAAAGCCGAGAACGGCGACCGCTTTTCCTTTTCCTTTTCTTTTTCTTTTCTCTTTTTCCTTTCTCACTAGCAGTAGCGCCCGAGAGTAACTTTCTGTACTCCGTATATTTTGCCACTCTAGGGCATACCTGAAAATAACCTCTTGAATAAGAACCACTCTAACTGGGAGAGTTAGTAGCATAATTATTTAGACTGTGAAGTTGACATCATCAATAATATGGCAGGTGACCTCTCCATTTGCATGGGTCAACCCATGCACGTATGTTGGATCGACAGCAATTCCTCCGAGTGACCCTTGCTGCGTAACCGTCCATGGACGAACGACCGCCTCGGACCGTAGTCGCACAACCGCAACCGGCCCCGCGGAACCAGGATCATTTTCCATGGCGATGGGCTCGGGTCGGGGCGACACATTCCCATGCATTGTCGGGGGGATGCCCAGCTTGATTGTATTTTATCAATCTATTCATGAAATTTACCCTGTCATACTTTTGATTTTAATGAATGAAATGAATCTCATTATTATTATGTACATTCATATCGTCTCCGGAAAGTTTCAGTTTCTCACCAGGGCTACCTAGTCCATCAAAGTACATGAAACTACTGCATGTATTCTGAAAGAAAAATTCAAGCGGTGAAAGTGTGGCGATCAGACTTCAGCTGAAGAAGTGGGGTTCAGCTGGAACACTCGCCACACTCCAAGAACAGGTTGAAGCATCTAGTTGGAGGACTCGTGGTCGAAAATGGAAGTCCGGCGCGAAATCTGGAACAAAAGCTGAGGTGTGGTGAAAGCGGATCGCCTCTTTTTGCTGACCGAACTGAACCAAAGTCTGGAGGAAAGGAAGAGAAACGAGAAGCAAAACGAAGGGGGGTGGAGTGCCCTAAGTTCCCAGTGCTATAGCACTGGATCCGGAAAGCCCATCATGAGCCAAGGTAACCTGCATTAGCGCTGCGCTGACAGGGCGGGTTCCTTGTCCAAGAGCCACAACCACGTTGTACGGGAGGGGGCTATTTAGCGTACGCCCGTCACCGCCAATCCCTGGCGATGTTTTCAGCCTACAATATAGCAAGAATGTGGGTTTCGGCCTATAATATGAATAATAGGTTCTGGTCATGGTGAGAAAAAAAAGTGTCCACACGCCGAAAGTCGCAACCATGGATTGCAAAATATAATCAGTGTACGTGGTAACAATACGAGTACTATTGCGCAGGATTTTAATCAATCAAGTTTCGGGGTACTTGTCCCACGGGCCGCTCCGGCCTTCCCGCCGATCTATGCATGTGTGCCATCTGGCAAAAATACCTCGGACTGTATAGTACGGTATTTCATGGGTCTGCAGTAGGTATTGTCGTTTTGAATCAGCTTAGGTGGGAAACCGGTTTTGGTTGTCTGTTTCAGAGATCCAGTATGGCAGAAGAAAGATACCAATTGGGGTTCTCCAGAGGTCTGCGGTATGGGGTGTGAGTTTCCGTTTTCGTCAAGGTATGCACCATCGGTAATACGGAGTAAAATGGAGTACAATTTAGTACAATCCTCTCAGGCCACGTTTTTCGAACCCAATCGACTGCATTGCCGTCCGCGTCTTTCCGTTCCCCACTTCCAGGCGTGGCCTGGTCAGCCTTTGTCTCTCTTTAGTGTACTCCGTACACCGATGTACTCCGTTCTCTCCAAAGTCTCTTCCAAGATCCACTTGATCCAAGAACGCTGGCCACTCGATGCTGTTTGTCCTGGGGACGCGCTAGTTGTCCTCAAAACTAGTCCTTTCGACAGGGACTGAGCGCTCGTTGAAACTGCCCAACGCTAGGGGACCCAGTGCGACCGGGCCTTTTTGCAGCCCCGGAGGCTGTGACGTTCTATGGTGTTTGGGATTTTTATTATATTTATATTTATCTCGGGGTTTGATTTTCTCATTCGCGGGCTTCATTTTTTTTTTTTAACCTTGCTCACAGATCTTGCATTCACCTTCTTTTTTTTACCTTAGCCAAGTTTCCCACACAAAACCCCTCCTATTACCCACACGGGAGCGCGTCTATCAGCACGGATGAAGATGGGTCGGGCACTAATAGGCGCAGCCCGCAGGAGTTAACAGTCACGGGAACACCAGATGCACCAATGTGGTCGAGGATCGAAATTAACTAAGCTAAGGTCTATGCGAGGGATCTGACGTGGCGAGAGATTTCTGCACCGAGCCGGAATGAGGCAGTGCTTTCAGAGTCGGTGTACACGAACTCGTGCAGGTCGTGTGATGAGAGATGCCTGATGACTACCTGATCCTGGGAAAAAGTATATGCAATGAAAGAACGATCGGCAGGTCTTTATTAGTCGAGTCTTTGAACTTTGCGCGTTTCTTTGGTGATGCTCGAGTCGGGTGTGATTGGTGTTTCCCCAGTCATTTCGACCTTCGTCACACGGGACACAGGTCAGACATAGGCTACGGCCATGCTACCTATGAGCCAGTCCCAATGCGATTATAGGTACGCCGTACGGAGTACAACAAAGCAAGGCGATCTCACCTTGCTTTTTCTGGATGCTGCTCGCCAAGTGGTTGCCCGGGATCGTGCGTGGAGCTAGTGACTTTGACAGATTTAATATAATCTGCGGCTTAATAGATCTGTGTTTTGCTTCTGTCGAGTACCTTTGGCTTCTTTAGGCTTGCTTTTTGACTTTCCTCATTTAAAACCGACCCGTTGCGTCTCGCTTACAGCAGATTGTGTGTGTGCTGATCTGCATACAGATGCACCTAGCGCATCGATATCACCAACTTTACTCCGTACTCCGGACTGGCTGCAGGTGCCGCATACATCGACTAGCGCTCTCAACGTTTGAAATGATCCCCGCACGCTCAGGCATCTGTCGTGATCCCCGCATTTTGAGCTGATTGGCTGTTCCAAGTCAACAAACATGCTAAGTATACTGTAGGGCATGGTCAGGGCTGAACAAACAAATCAAATCACAACATGTGATCGCTTTTGCCCTTAATGTCATCTCGAGCATGCATGCTGTCGAACGTTGAGCAGTTGGTTCACTATGAGCAAGTAGGGTTGGGGGTTTGAATTCTGAACTGCTCGGTCATGTTCGTAAGAGATCAAAGGGGACTGGGCCGTGGGAAACCATCTGCACTGTGAGCAGAAGATAGAGGATCAGACATATCCCAGATCTACAACGTATAATGGTTTATACATCCTGAGAGATAGCCTATGATATTATATTATATTACTACTTTATCTCCCTTGCTGTTTTGTGCTCACGGTGTATCTAATACTTTAGCTCGGGCTACCGTATCTATGCCGTTCACTTAAACCGCTTGCAAATCCTTCTACATCAACCCCTTAAGTGAGTGAAATGGTAAGTTTTATGAGATGATCTTATGATACCATGTTGTAAGCAGAACTAGATATAAATCGTACGATGGTGGATTATTTCAAAGTGGACCAATATCCCAACCTCTCGCACAAGAATTAATATGTACCCATATTGATCAACGCAGTAGAATACAGAACACCACGAAGAGGGTTTCTAGAACGATCTTGTAAGTAACACCTTACCAATGTATCCCAGGGTCCTCGGGCCGCACTTCCCAGGAGTGGGAATCTTGATTGATACGCATGAAGATCCATAGCGGTATATCTCAAGCCCGTTTTTAGATATCATCGGCAGTCAACTCCCCAGATCTGAAGAAAATCTTGTACACCATACGTGGCCAGGCAGAACAATGCCCAGCATGATAAATGGCAAGGCTCCTATGTAAGAGCATACATGTACCGAACATGTAGGTATGTAGCATGTAGAAAACAGGACAATACCGCCCAGTCAAATAAACGGAGTCCATTCCAGACCAGGAAGGTGCTCACCAAAACAAGCTGGGTGGAGTAAACTTCCCGGACAGTCCACATAGCCTGCAGTCCCAAGGTTAGTCTAGCGGGCATGCCCGACAACGGGCCGAATGCGGGCGCTTGCGGCGGCGATATCATGCGCGTCAAGTACATACTTCAGTTACTTCTAATTCATATTTCGGTTGTATGTTGTAGATGTTGCTTCGATTTGGGGTCGGGAAGTGACGGATTGCAAAAAGGGTAAATTGCATATCATTGCCTGTGAGGGGGGTTTCCCAGCCATTGGGTGCTAAACCCGGGAAACAGAGCTCCGCGGAACAGTCTAGAATCATATTCGTGTCCTTTTGAGTAGTTCCAAAATAGTCTTGTCTCCATTGGGGGAATCGTCCGTGGACTCCGTAAATGCAGTAATGCAGTAATGCCGCAGTGCAGCTAGATGTGATGTGAGTTGCAGGGCGAAGTGTCACTTTTGTCATCCGGCGTTAGGTCGATTGCAATCCATGGAACGCGGCGGGGACTGACGAAAAAAGCCATGTGCATGAGGCGTTCGAGGTGGGGGAGTTCGGTTTCAAGTCGAAAGTTTCAAGGGCCAAAAGACCCGACGATGTTTGGAAATAAAATAGATAATTCACCAGAAACAAATACCACACATCAAAAGTACAAGATGAGAAGCGTGAATTTAGAAAACAGATCTTCCCTCTCTTCCGTCTTTCCTCAATTGCCAATAACCGCGGGCGGCTTTCCCCAATCATCTCACTGATCGGGCATCACTACACTGTTGAGATACGTCACCTGTTTGAGGGGAAAAAAAGGGAAGCGGTCAGTGATCAACAATACACGAAGGGAGTGCATAATAAGAAGCTTGTTGTACGTCGAAGCAACGAAAAAAACAAGGAAAAAAAAAAAAACCCAAAGCACAGTGTGACATGTAGGCACCCAAGCGCTGAATTGGCGGTGGGTAAAAGGGACAAGGCCAAAGTGGCTAGCTCATCAGAGAAAACAGGCTAGTCCAGAGGGGACGAAATCGGGTGGGAAATCGGGAATAGATTGAAGAAAGGGCTTACGAAAGGCTCCATGATCCCAACCAAAGCAGCAATCTTCTCCTGTGCATTCTCGCCAGTGAGTTCCTCGTCTGCAATAGGCTTGCCAATGGTGAAACTGCGTAGTCGAAGCAATTTGATGTTCTTGTTGTCTGCCTCGTAACCCTAGGTGTGTCAGCGGTAAAATCCCATGGAACAGACGTGGAGCCTGGCGCCCTTGTGAACCATGGAACCAAAGTCGACGGCGTGAGAATAAATTTGTTTCCAGCAAATGTGATGCCGCCATTGAGACCACATGGCCCTTTAGTTTTCTGGGTTCCATGGGTTGCCTCCGGGAGTGAAAACTGGCCCAAAACACGGGTTGGCCTTTCCCGTAACCCCGTGCGCGTGGTCTTCCGCCATCTCTCTTTCCAGATGAGTGTGAGGCATTGAAGCACTTCACACACTGGGATTCTCTTGGTCTATCATGTCCCAGATCTTCTTCATCTCTGGCTGAGGCCTGGAGGTTTTCGTCTTGGGTGCGCTCCAGCAACCCGACCAAGGCACCTGCTTGGTCAACCGGTCGATTCTGATCTTCATCATCGGAAATCGTTGGGCAATTACCCGTCAAGCCTTGGAATTGATACTTGTTGGTGAAGATAGGAGCGGTTCTGGTTCCCAAGGCCAGATCCGGTCGGACGATGGATACGAACCCGATGACGACCCTTGTGCCCCTGTCACCAAGACTTTCACAGCCCAGCCCATAAGTAGCTGACAATGCAACTCAAGCACACCTGGCCTGATAAGAGGGAGGAGTAGAATATGGGTCGATGGCCAGCATACCCTACAGCTGGACAAGGGGGAGGAGGAATAGAAAACAGAAAGATTCATACCTTGGGCTTCGTCTTCAGAGCAGACTCTCTGTTGTGATGCGTAAAAGCATTCACAACTGCATCGTCATCGTCGGACGCTCCTTTCAGAAATTCGCGGCGCATCTCTGGTGCTCGAAGCACCTCCTTCAAGCCGGCCGAATTCTCGTCGATGTCCTCTCGCAGCAATGCAAGCGGCTGCGCCTCAGGGTTCCAGAGCCCAGAGCCTATACACAGCACCATGTTAGCCAAGGTGGATGAGCATCACAAAGGGAAGCCAGCCAGGGGACAACATACCAACAAAACAAGACCCTGGTTGAAAGTGGACATAGTATGCTGCATATGGTCCCTTCTTACCAGTTCGGGACCTACCATGTTTAGTTACTTGTCTCTTCAAGACATCAAACAATTGATACATACCAGGCGGCGGAGAAATGTGTCTACACATTCATGTTAGCACATGCATCGCTAATGAGCACTACAGTACCACAGACACATCCGCCACAAAAGCGAACATGCGACAGAGGGATCAAAATGCGGGTGCGGGAGGAAGCAAGCATACCTTGTATGGAAGTGGGTTTTTGCTGAAGCGGACATCCCTATGGATGCGAAATACCTGGGAGGGAAATGTTCATGAGCGCGGGACCCAAATGAAGAGACGGGACCCGCAAACCTACCAGGTCTTTCACAGGAAGTTCGGGGACAGTAGCATCGACCTCTGCAATCTTCGGCGTGAGGGACTCAACGAAGGTCTCGAAATCCTTCTTTGCCGCGCGGTAATCCGGATCATGCGCTACGCAGGTCAGCCAGCCACCTCATGGCCGCGGTCTGTGTAAGGTGCTTACCTTTGAGCCATTGGCGGTCATTGTTACCAGCCAGATCGATCAGGAAAAGCTTGGTATTGGGATGAAGTGTTTCGTCTTCGTACGGGGTCTTCCCCGCGTCTCGCGCCTTAGGCTTCGCGATGATAACTTCTTGTCCAGGCCCGAGGCCTGTTCTGACACCCTCGCGCCAAAGCTCCTTGCCTTTCAGATCGTTGCTTCCACCCCCTGTGCTTTGTCGTTGCTTCCCCCTGCGCTATGTGTCTTCTTAGCATCCTCGTCGCTGTCGGAGGGTTCTTCCGGCTCCACTTCCTCGGCGGAAGATTCCTCTTTCGTCTCCTCGTACACGGAGCCAGAGGAGTCCTCCTCAGAGGCATCGGACTCTGAAACAGGCTCTTCGGAGTCTTCCGGCTCAAAGTATTTGCTCTTGCTGGTTGTGGATCTCCCCTGGGGGAGAGACAAGTCAGCGTTGGACTTGACCCGTTTGACCTCTGATTCGGCGGCAGACAGCCTTGCTGAAGCGCGTCGCTTTGACGCCACAGGCGCTCCAGGCGACGTCTGATCAGGTTGAGTAGATCGGCGAGGCATATTTAGTTGAATTGCAAATGAATGAAGTCTGCAGTCTCCTTTCCTTTGTTTTTGCTTCTATGTAATGGGAGACCGTATCTAAAATAAATTTCCGATGAGTCGATCGCCGAATGCGACTTGAAATCGGCAGGAAAAAAACAGAAAACAAGCAGAATAATGTAGATTTCAAGATCGAAGTGGCCGAATAAATGCAATCCAACGAACTCAAGGGGCCCGCATGCCTTTAAAAACCGGCTTCCGTAATAAACGGCTCCGCTTGTTACGTGGTGCTCCGTACCGGCATCCTTGCGTTTTTTTCACTTCAACTTGCTTTTTTTTTTTCACCGTCAGATCAGATCGATCTTGTGGAGCCCTGTTCAGTTCGTGAATGTGAGTTGTTGATCGGAAAAAGATGAGACGAAAAAGCTTGAAGTTGGCTTTCAGACACCAGACAGCCCCTTTGCCCAAAAACAGGGTATAGAAGTACTGACCGGCAGCTGCAGAACTTGGTATACGCGTCAACATAGGACTGTATGTGCAATATCAGCAGTTTGTTCGGGCTGACCATCATTAGTAGCTGTAATCAAGATCGGGCTGCCCATATTGTAAGGTTGTCGACTTCCCAGAGAGCCTTCGAGCACAGTTATATGCTGTCCCCTAAGCTAAAAGGCGCTCGTGTATCTTATGTCTTGACGTAGATCTGTTGGGAATGCACTTTGGAATAGTCCGCAGAAATAGCAGTCAACTGAGGCAGAATAAGTTCATGCACGGCAATTGACAATCTCGAAGTCCTTTTTGAGGAACCCAAGACATCTGCAAGAGAGAGGTATCCGCGGCGTTTGTTTTCACTCGTTCCTGAATACTTATGCTTAGCATAGCTTTTCGAATGTCACCTTTAGATATCTAAATAACGATTTCTAAGTCCGTTTGCCTTGTCAGTAGCGAAAGACTCTAACCACTATAGAGACAACGTTACTTATTTGACCTCTTCTAATATTCGAACGCTAACTGCCGTGAAACCGAGAAGTATGCTAAGGATAGTGTTAAAATATACTCTCTCGTCGCTTAGCCCCTTATGTGTGTCTTGAATTGTTCGTCGCCGCAAGAATAGATAGGTGGGTCGGTTGTAATGAGTGGCCGCACCGTTGTCCGATCGCGTTGTGATTCCTATATCAAGGCAAAGAGTTAGAAGTAAAGAAAGAAGCATAGTCAGAAAGAAGGTATAACACTATCTCCTACAGGAAGTCGACTTTGTAACCTGTAGACCAACTCCAGCATTTGCTGTAGATGAAAGAAATTCCGGAAAGGGAAGCTAGAAGTCAACCTTTAACCTTATGTGAATGTCCTACGTTCTATACGCGTTGCCGCATAATTACTCCAACATATGTAGTCTACATACTGATAAACCCAACGCCCGCTGAAAGGAAATACAAAAAGCAAATCCAAACGAGAACACAAAAAAGCAAAGCTAGCTTGTTAGATAAGAGCAAATTGATGCAAAAGCTAGCAAAAACTGAAAAACAACTGACCTCCCAGCGAGATCTCCCAACCCAGCCAAGCTACACTCCCTAAGGCAAGCAGCCGGAATTGGTCAACCTCACTGGGGCAAAAAAAGCAAAGAACGTAAGCACCGTGGAGACAAGGGTTTGTTGAAATAAGCTGGTGGACATCTCCATATATCCACGCAGAAAAGACCAGGGGAAGACCGGGAAGAAAAGACCAGTGCGAGAAGCGGGACAAGAAAGAAACCTAGAGACCATTACCGTGCTTTGACAGAGTGCCAAGCTCATCCCCTTACTTCTTGAAGAATTGGGAATGGCCAGCAGATCGCACGGAGTCCGACACCTGGCGATCGCGGCTTGTCATCTGACGGGTGGCATCAGAGCGAGAGCGTTGGCTAGCCGGGAACACCGAGGGGCCTGGACCGAAAGGGTCAGAGGACGACCGGACATTGTGGGAGGTCGAATGCGGTGCGTGGTAGGCCGAACGACCCTCGTGAGGCATACGCCAGTTATCAACCTGCTCAACGGACACACGAGAGTGAGGTGGACGGTAAGGCGGAACCGAGGGACGATGCTGGAAGGTTGGTAGCCCCGACATAGGATATTGGTGGGTAACCATTCCGAAAAAATCACGGTGAACGTCAACCGAAACATTTCTACCGTGGCCAACTGGGTGAGCCCCGCCAGTGAGATAGCCTGCGGCCGGAAGAGTTGAGATATGATCAGGGGCAGGGCTGGGGTTCACTGAGTCGCTGTTGATTGCCGAGATTGTCCGCTCACTATCCAAGGATCTGACGCTACCATCCGGGGAGTCAGGAGCGGTACCAATGGTTGAGATACTAGACTGCCTGCGACGAAGATTCTGAAACCCAGTGATAATGAACTGGCGCAGAACATTTTTTTCGTAGGAGATTGCAGCATCCCATTTCATTTCATAGGCAACCGAGTCGGTCCACTCGAACCAGGCTGCGCCAAAGATTCGCTCAATCTGAGGATGAGTATGTTTGTTGGGCAAACCGTTCATCTCGGTGCGCAAAACGGAGCCTTTGGACATGAGATAGGCGTAGTACTAAAATCCAAGGACACATTAGTTACCATTCAAAAGTGTCCAATTCACAGCCATGTATCATACCTGAATAGTTGAAGCATCGTGGTCAGGGGCGTAGGTCAGGGTGTCAAATGGGAAATATAGACACCAATCATGATCCATGGTCTGGATCGCTCTCGAGTTTTGCGACCACCAAGCAAAGCAATACTTCATGCGAGGATTAAAAGCCGGGCAGCTGAAGCCAGCCTGAACTAGTTCAGTCAGGAGGCGCGAATCGAGACCGATTGTGTTTTGCTTCTGGATACGCTCAACCAGAAGCCTGATCATGGCACCAAGAGTCTTGAAAAGCGCATTGCGATGATGAACAGTGTAAAGATGAGGGGCGTGCCATGGAAACTATGGTATCATCAAAAGCGTGTAAGTACGATATGTACAGACAAGCAGATAGAGAAGCAAGTCATCTACTTACCTTCCAGATGGTGGTGATCATTGATTCATAGCAGCGCTGAGGAACTTTGTTGGCAAATGCACTCTGTAGTGCGTCAGTCATGAATGAATATAATAGAAGGGAAGGTCAAAACGAAAGGAGAGATTGAACGTACCCTGTGAGGTTGCTCAGCATGACGAGCGAGACAGAAGAGTTCTTCATCTGTGAGGAAGCCATTAAAACCGGTGGACCATTCATCCTTGTTCTCCTGCTTAACGGGATTGCCATCAACCCATTCGATGCATTTAGCCAGAGGAAAGATAGCCTCGAGTAGCTTGGCTTGGCTGCTTATCTCAATGTCAATATGCCGGTTGCCCATGCGTGGGGTGCTGCCAGGATCATAGGAGCGGTTGAGTCGGTTGACAGCATCCTGAGCTTCCTTTTCAGTTGGAAACTCAACAAAACAGTCCATCGTTTTGCCGGTGGAACGTTCCATGATAATATGGATAGGGGAACCATGGGTGGGGGACTGGATCTGTTTGGCAGAGTGTCCAAGGAACGAAGTCACCTCTTGCCGGGTCAGAGTGTAAGGGATCTGCGTGGTATAGAGATCAGTACCGGAATATCACAAACGTGAGCAGTCAAGTGGGATCCGACAGTCGAAAAGACTTACGTTGGAGATCTTCAAGACCCCAGTGCGAGGAGGCAGAGGGTCTTCAACGATGCTAGCAAAAGGAATAGAGCGTGGTTGCAAGAGTTCCTCGACCGAGGATTTCTCAAATCTCGCAAATTCTCCCTCGCTGGGGAGAGCACCTCCGTTAAATGGCCAGCTCATTTTGAAGCTATCGCTAAGATCATCAAGAGATGGAAAAGATGAAGTGATGTTCGTTGAAGCAAGGCTTGCTGGGATGGGGTCACTAACAGGGGATTGATTGCGGTGAGAATGTTCCTGAGGTGCCTCAGAAAGAGAAGAACGAGGGGACAGAAGAACAAAAGACTCTGTGGAGGGAACCGAATTTGGGGCCGTAGGACCTGGAGCTCCAAGACTCGACTCGGAGGATGAAGTGACTGAGAAAGGTGGAAGTTCAAGATCGAAAGGCCTGGGAAGAAGAGAGGTTAGAGAAGGAAGAACAATCAATGAGGGGAGTCAATAAGGAAAGAAGCCCTAGAGCGGGAGCCTTGGGAAGTCACGTACGAGCTCACAGTCGTTGCAGAAGAAGGAGCGTTCCTAAAGAGGAAGTCACCCTCAACTTGGGCAGTTACAGTCGTCAGCTCGGCAGGTACCGGGGCTGTCCCTTGACTGTCGTCGATTGGATCAAAATCCATGGCGAAGACCGCGTCAGGCAGATAAACAGGAAAGCCTTTGGCCATATTCATCTCTTAATGTAAAGAGTATGTATATGGGACTGAAGAGCAGAAAGTGCGTGGAGAGAAGATGGGGCTATTTAAACCCGTGGAGATAGGCCGATTGGTCGAGGAAAAGTGCGTGGTGAGAAGGTGCGTCGTGGTGAGGGTGCGTCGCATTAGAGCATTGTTTTGGGTTGACTTCCCCTAGCAGGCACATAACTCCAAAATCCTTCATGATTTGTTATCCAAAACTAGAGCAACCTTCAAACTCGATATCTTTACAGCTAGAAAGAGCCCCGAGGCGTCATCTGCTATGCCTTGATCATACAAATGCCATGTCCTGGTGTGTGCTGCCACAATCACCAGGTATGGAGAGCGACGCAAGAAGTGTGACAGGCCAAAATATCGAAGTGCAACGAGTCTCTCAGGCCAAAAGGTAGGCAAATCCATGATGACCCACTACGACAGATGTACCTAGGTATACATACAGGGCTGGATCGTGTCGGATAGCCAGGAAACTGGGGAAACTAGAAGGCACATATAATTCACCAGCAGGTTTCCAGGATCCTAACACCCTGCACCAAACGAATCGATGTGACAGCAGATAGATCGGCCCAAAGGCGGCTTCAACTTCTGGGATATCCAACCCCCAGTATTGATACGATTTCGCGGGAGTTCGCAGGCAGTGTTTGGTCGCTCATATAAGCGAGCACCCGTGACGCGAATGTCCACTGACGATGGTTGAACATGCACATAGCCCTATTCCGATGGGATTAGACGATAAAAAAAGTAATATGAGGGTTGGGAATCAAGCTCGGTTGCGATCCATCGACATTAGGTTCCAATCTAACGGTCTGAAGGGTTGCTTTGTGTTGCTTCTAGGTTCACCGAGCGTGGAAGTACATTTTGGGAGGCTAATATTGACTCTTATCTGAGTTCTCCTCATAATGGGCCATCGGAATATGCTCCCTTTGGGGATTGGAGGGGTTTTTGGCCTCGATGGGTTCAAGGGTGACTTCGCTCGTCGTGGATATGGTACCAGATCTCTCGCTGATATCAAGGTCATTCCCAATATAGCAGGAAGCCCACTGCGATAATCTTGCTCCCAGTCATTCAGATTCCTAGACCTCGGGGTGGAGATTTGGCCCTTGGGAAGCTATGCAAGATAATCAAATGGCAACGAATTTTCCCCTAGAAAGGTCTGCAACATGCAAAAATATATGCCGAAGATTTTAACAAATTGTATCGGTGCTTTTGCATTATGAAATCTTACAGAGATGCTCCGGGGCTAACGAGTGAGGGAGTACCTGTCTATCAGCCCTTGAAGTTGTGTCCATTTTGGGGGAGAGGCAGAGATACCTATGCTTGGCCACGAATTTCTACATATATTTTACGTCGATAATGTATCTAAATGTAGGGAGACTTAGCCAACTGGTCAATTTCATAGATTTTGTTGGAGCTTTCAGGGGTTAAATTGAGTGTGCATCCCTAGGAGCTCCGTACCATGATCGAGTTGTCTACACTCAGTCTTGAATCACGAGTTTATCGAATCCCAAGTAAGACTTTGACCTACTTTCAGATCTATCCTTCTGGAGAGGCTTTACTACGCTACTAAACAGAGGTAGTCGTATTATGTAGTTGAAAGAATTCATTGGTTGACGGACATCGGTATAAGATTCTCTCTTAGTCAATGCAGGCCTATGCTATCTGTACAGGAGTAGAAGGTGGGGAACACAGGGCCATTCATTATTCAGAATCAACAAGGAAACGCTAGGCAATTTAATCGAACTAGATTACCGTTAGCGATTCAGTCGACGATAGAGGGGCCCAACGGAAACATACCGGTGTGAGGAAAGACTCGGCAACGAAGCGAGCGCGAGCGTTCAACTGGTCATTCATTAGCATAGTGCGACAAGGGTGGGACATGGACACACATACGAAGAGCTTCATCTCCGAAATCTCCTTGTCCACCTCTTCCATGAACTCAATCACGAAATCAATGAGCTTATGAGTAAGCATTTTTTCTGTGTGGAAGTTTGTAATGAGGAAACTGATGTCATATCCCTCCACTGGCTTCCGGCGCAGAATGAAGAACGACTCCGCGCGCTGTGTAAGGAACCGGGTGAATTTGTGGACAAGGATGTGTTCAATCTCATCGGCTTGCTTGATTCTGATACTTATGCGCACAGAGTTGTAGCTTGGCTCAATCTTAACCTTTTCATTCTCATTCCTGCTGATGTGAAGCCTTCAAGAATATCAATAAGTTTGTCAAATGCGATATAGAGAGGAATGGCCATTAGACGTACGGGTTGAGCAGGATCTCGGGTGAGGAATTCGCCTCAACCTCTGGGCAGTTGCTAGTTAAAAACAAGTATATTAGCACCATTTATAGTGCACGATTAGCAGTGCGGACGACTTACTGCCGTTCAGATGTCTGAGAAGCGAAGTTGGAGATCGTCAGAGCCGCGGTCAGGGAGGACCGAACACTGGTAAAGCGTAAGCATATTTACCCCGGATGATTGAACAAGGGTTAAACTCACGCCTGGAGATATGGCCGGAGAGATTGACTCTAATGTCATTTAGTAAAGGACGAATTGATCGGTTGGAGCTATACCCACCATGATGAGGGGTGTTTATCGTGGCAAAGGGGATGCGATGGTCACGAAGTGGTAAGGTTGGAGCTTGGTTGCGGAGCGATATGTATGACCCCGCTCTGAGAAGCCTTCAACCACAAAGCAGTGAACACAAAATGTAGTTCTCTAGATAACAGGTTGTCATAGGCAGAAGAGGAGTTGACATCGGGGTGGGCGGTGATCATAGTGGGCGGTGAGAAGCCTCCCCACGCTTCCTCATCGCAGGCTGTTTACCATTTGCCTCAGCATTCATAAGCTCTTACAAGCTCTTTATCCTCATCACATCATCCATCGCCAGGTCTCATCGAAAATGGCGGCCATACCGAGTATGTGGGCATGGATTGACGATTTGCTTGGACGCCTACTAACAAATACACAGTTATCGTCAAGCACGCCGGCAAGCGCCACGAAATCGAGCTCGATCCTACCTCGAACGGCGAAACACTCAAATACCAACTCTTTTCCTTGACGGGCGTGGAACCCGATCGCCAGAAGGTTTTGGTGAAAGGCGGCCAGCTCAAAGATGATACCCTTCTTTCGACACTCAATGCCAAACCCGGACAGACGTTTATGATGATGGGCACACCGTCCGGAGGCCAAGGTTCCGCTGACCTTGGTCGGCCGAAGGAGACAGTCAAATTCCTGGAAGATATGACCGAGGCCGAGGTAGCCCAACAGGAGGGGGCCACCCCTGCTGGTTTGCAGAACCTGGGGAACTCATGCTATCTCAACTCTACCCTACAAACTTTGCGGAGTGTTCCAGAGCTTCAAGAAGAGCTCTTTAAATATCGCCCAACTGGCGGAGCTGGACAACCCACTCTGTCCGATCTCAGCAGCTTCGGTATTGGTGGACTTGGAGGCTCTCGGGATTTGGCCGCTTCTCTACGAGACCTCTTCAAGCAAATGTCTGCGACTCAGGAGGGCATTCCTCCTCTGATGTTCCTTAACTCCCTCCGATCCGTTTTTCCTCAATTTGCCCAACGTGATCGCAATGGGCAAGGATACGCTCAACAGGATGCCGAAGAAGCTTTCTCTCAGATTATCAACCAGTTGCGGGCCAAGTTGACTATCACCGATGGCGAGGGGGAGTCTGCTACAACTACCTCATTTGTGGACAAATACCTCGCAGGCCAATTTGAGTCAGTCACTGAATGCGACGATCCCGCCGCCAAGGAACTCGGCGAGGAGCCGACTCAAAGTTCCGATGTTTTCTACAAGCTGGATTGCCATATCGGAAAAGAAACCAACCACCTGCAAGATGGAATTCTGGCTGGCCTGGAAGAGCAGATTGAGAAAAATTCCCCTCTTTTGGGGCACAATTCTGTGTACAAAAAGCGGTCACGCATCGCACGGCTCCCTAAGTATCTAACGGTGCATTTTGTTCGATTCTTCTGGAAGCGTGAGACCCAAAAGAAGGCTAAGATCATGCGCAAAGTTACATTCCCTGCCGAGTTGGATGTTGTGGAGTTCTGTACCGAGGATCTGCGGAAGCAGCTTATCCCTATTCGTGACAAGGTTCGCGAGATTCGCAAGGAGGAAGTGGACGTTGAGCGTGCTCAAAAACGCCAAAGAGTTGCTGAAGAGCGCGCGGAGCGCCAGCAGAAAGAGGCTGGCCTGAGCGAAAGCGTGGAGCCGATGCAGAAGAAGAAGGCTACTGAGGAAAACAAGGGTAAAGCTCAAGATAAGGACGGGGATAGCCAGATGGAGGAAACTTTCAAGACCGATGCGGAATACGAAGCAGAGAAAGCGGAATCGATCCGCGTTGCTAAGAAGGAGCTCCAAGAGCTCCTCCGCCAACGGGGTGCTGGAGACAACGGAACCAACCAGTCTGGTTTGTATGAGCTTCGCGCTGTGATTACGCACCAGGGTGCTAGTGCCGACAGCGGTCACTACACGGCATATGTGAAGAAACAGGAGCGCGATGAGCCCCAAACAGGTAGCAAGCGTCGCGAGGCGGATGACAAGTGGTGGTGGTTCAACGACGACACCGTGACTGAGGTAGAGGCACAGAAGATCGAGACCCTTTCGGGAGGTGGTAAGTCATCTGGATTCTATATGATACTCCAAAACACGTGCTAATGACATTTTAGGTGAATCGCACTCTGCCCTTATTTGCCTCTACCGCGCGATTGACCTACCTAAGGCCGAGTAAATGGGCTAGCTTCCAAGATCGTATGGTTAATATGGTTGAAAGCTTCCGTTCACATGAGAAAAAGTCTGCAAATGTTGCCTCTAGATGAATAGAAACGCCGAACATGAGTGATGCTACTTTCCAGGCTCTTCTTCGGTTACCCATTGCTTGTGCAATGTCTAGCATTCTTACATGTAGAATGGCCTTCATAGTTCCCCTCTTTAGATTTCTGCCGGTGACGACATACATCAATGACCAATGATAGGAAGCACGTGACCTGTCTGAGCCTCGGCTCAATTATCGAGGCCCCGATCAATTCAAGGCTCAGTCCCAGGGGATTGGCAATATAACAACCACAACCATGATACACTCTCGCAGAATTCTCCAGTCGGCCCTGCGCCAGTCCCCCATACAGACACAAAAGGTTTGGCGACCTACAGTCCGGAACGTCAGCACCACGGCACAACCAAAGGCCTCGAGTCAACCATCACGATGGACACGCCGCTTGATCTATGCGGGAATTTTTGGAACACTTGGCGTCGGTGCAGGAAAATGGCTAGACAAAAAGGTCTCGGCGCCACCAGCTCCTGGAACGCTTGAAGACCAAATCGAGCTTCAGCAAATCCAACGCGTGTTTGACGTAGGACTCCCCATTGTCCAAGAGTTACGCCGAGACCCCGACTACGTGGAAAAGGAGGTCTACGAGAACTTTGCAGATGACCGCAAAAAGCATCGGCTGACATCAGGCCCCTTGGCTGGCAGTAGGGGCTTGGGATTGCAGGTTAGTTTCGCTTTGTTTTCTCTCATTGGCGTTGTCCGAGGCGCGTTTGTATTGCATGAATGCCGAACTTCTGAACTGCCGACTGCTTAACTGCCGAACCTCGGATTCCCGTTTCGTCTAACTCTCGTATTTGGCAGAGAGTATTCTGGAATGACAAGGAAAAGAAGATCGTTAGCGTGGTCTTCTTGGGACCAGGCCTCGAAGGCTGGCCAACTATGGTCCATGGGGGCGCGCTCGGCACTGTGATCGATGAGAACCTGGGACGCATAGCTATTCGGCACTTCCCTTCAAGAACCGGTGTCACTGCTAATCTCAATCTCAACTACCGAGCTCCGGTCTACTCGGACAATTTCTACACTCTGCATACAGCTCTAGATCAGGAACGGAGCACGGACACGAAGGCATACGCCAAGTGTGAGATTCGCGACATGGCAGGCCGACTTTGTGTTGAGGCAACGGGTCTCTTTGTGGTTCCCAAGACAATCAAGTTGGGCAAAGTCGGTGAACATTTCTGAACTGTGAAATCTTATTCGCTCGGTAGTTTAACCTCGGATTCTCCACGAATACGGGAGTTCCTTTCGATTAAGTGACTTCTGCGACAAACACTCATCTTTCTGGCAATCTCACGGGAGGCCCGTGACCTGAAAGCAGTCGAATGGGCTAAGAAGACAAATATTCATACTTCATATATGAACCATTCCTGTATAAACTGCCTTATTTTATGACTGCTCGCCAGTATTAACGGAGTTTTTCTATTGTACGAAGTACATAAGTAGAGGTTGTACACCCAACGCAATTCTCACTTTTTAAGCACAGACTGCACTCCTTTTAGTTTCGGGGCTGATACTCCTTGGGGTCTGGGCCTGCGGAGGGATCGAATCACAGCCCAAGTGTGTGATGCCTCCACCTTCCCCACGTTTTCTCCCCGCATTTGAGACAAGGCCACTTTTGTTCCAAGCAATCCAGCACAAGAATTGCCAAGATGCCTCGGTATCTCTGCATTTTGAGCATTCTTGTGCCATTCACTTAGGGGACCTAAAGTCATGGCGCATTAGCTCCTCTTGCCACCATGACAAGCTCATTCTTCCTTCTATGATTCGTTACATCTCGAGGCGGATATTTCCGACATGGCACATGGATGGGACACTTCTGGTCCCAATGAAGAGGATGTGCCAGACCCCAAGAGCAGATATATTCTCCCAAGATCCCGTCTTCCAGGCTCGATTTGTCAATCGCATTTCCCAGGACATCGCTCGCATTTCGATCGGTCAGAGTTCCAATCCGTTCGACTTTGCGAAGGTTCGGTGTGATCAGCATCCTTTTTTGGATATCTGATTATTGTCTTTCTGCATCTTTTCTGTGCTCTATTACTCAATCGTGCTGGCTTTGGTTGACGGCAATCATGGCGGACTTGAACGAACAACCGATCCAGTCGGTCAAGGAGAAGGCCGTGATGCAATGTCATGAAAATAGTGGCTCTTCAGAACATAGTCACCGGGAAATTACTGGTCCTGGGGCAGAGGAAGCTATGCATGAGTCGGAGAAGAATATTCCGGTAGGACTTGATTGTGTGGCTTAAGGTTGGGATGATGCTAACTGTCAAAAGATGACCTTTCGTCGATTCATGAGCTTCACTGCTATGGCTTTCCTGTGGACTGGAAGTCAGATCCCAGTCTATCTTTTCGGTGTGTCGATCAGAACAATAACCAAGTCTATGAACATAGGGCTAACGCATTTACCAACAGGTGGCATCCCTCCCTATATTTATGGAGACATTGGTGGATCGGACCGATGGGTTTGGTTTGTAGGTGGATAACTCCTCTGCGTATGAGGTGACCGACTAATGAATCACCGTTCAGGTTCTTGCAAATTTGCTCGGCCTTGCCGGGGTATGCCCTTTTGTTGGGTCTTTATCGGATATAATTGGACGCCGCACTGTTGCCATTATCGGGGCAGCGCTGGTCGTTATTGGGATGATCATCTGCAGCACAGTGCACACAATGAACAACTTCATTGGTTTGTGTTAATCCTTGAATCCGGGTTGATCACTCGCTGACACGAGCTTTATACAGCGGGTATGGCCATTGCTGGCGCCGGTGCCGGAGTTAATGAACTGACCGCACTCGCTGCAACCTCGGAAATGGCTCCAACTCGAAAGAGAGGAGTCTATGTGGCTGTTCTAATCTTCACCATCGTCCCATTCTGCCCATCTGTGCTGTGGGCTCAGCTTATCGCATACCACAGCCATTGGCGCTATGTTGGCGCGTTCTGTGCCGCGTGGAATGCTTTTGGCTTGTTGATCACTGCTCTGTTTTACTTCCCTCCACCACGAGTCAACACAGCTGGATTGAGTCGGAAGGAGATTGTTGGGCGGATTGACTTCGTTGGAGGATTCCTCAGCATCACTGGTCTTATCGTCTTCACGGCCGGCTTGCAATGGGGTGGATACATGGTAAGTTTGGTGATGCTCTACTGCGGATTGCAGTTCTCGCTGACATCATGTCCAGTATGCATGGACCTCCGCCCATGTTCTGGTACCATTGATCCTCGGCTTCTTCCTGCTTGTCGCCTTTGCCTTCTGGGAAATATATGGAGCTAAATTCCCCATCTTCCCATCTCGCATTAAGCAGGAGCCTCGGATTCTAGGCCTTACCCTCGTTATTACTTTCATTTCCGGTGCCAACTTCTTCTCCGTGATTATGTTCTGGCCCACAGAGTCGTTCAATGTCTATGGCCATGACCCAGTTGATGTGGGCATTCGGAGTATTCCTATTGGCTTCGGAATAATGGCAGGAGCATGCATAGTGCTTGCACTGTTAACCATTCTTCGCGGCCATAACAAGGAGCTTTTGATCGTCAGCAGCGTTATGATGACTGCAGGTAAGTCTTCTTGCTGGTGATAGAAATCACCTGCAACTAACTTGGTTTCCTCAACATAGGATGTGGTGCTATGGCTATCGGCCGCGTTGATAACTTATATCAGCTCTGGGGTCTTCTCATCCTTGCTAGTCTTGGGATTGGCGGTATTGTGGTCCCCGCCTCCATTATTACCACAATCATTTGCCCAGATGTAAGCGTTTTTGCTGCAAAGAAACATGCAGGTTCACTAACATCGGCTCTTCCAGGATCTCATTGCCACTATCTCTGCGCTCACGCTCTCTATCCGCGTGGTAGGCGGTAGCATTGGCTACACAATCTACTACAATGTCTTCCACACCAAGTTTGTTCCGGCAGCAACGCACTACATTGGTGGTGTGATGATGACACAACTCAACATAACCGATGTGAAACTAATTCGCGAAGCGATTGAGCTGACAGGTGCTTCGTTGCTAGAGGAGCTACGCACCATCCCTGGTATTGCTGGCAACGAGACTGCCTATCAAATGGTCGTACAAGCTGGTCAGGTGGCGTATTCAGAGGGATATAAATGGGTGTACTATGTCAGTATTGCATTTGGGGCTGTCTCCATTATTGCGGCCTGTTTCTTGGGCGACATCCAGGAGTATATGACAGACCATGTCGCCGTTGTAATCTGAGGGCATATCCACATTGAGGTTTATAGTCTAGGTAGTCCGTTTGTCCCCTTGATGAGTGTGTTCGATCGCGGAAAATAGTGAATGAAGAAGATTGCATGAACTATCATCCATAAGAAAAGCCCTGTAAAGACCAAAAGAGATGTAGTAGATAAGATTCATCGTGGGGCCGCCGATCATGACGCGCCAAGCCCGGCAACTTTTTTGCTCGCAAACGTCCAGACACACAACTTCAATCAGCCATGGCCTCCCACGCTCCCGCCAAGCGGAAACCCTACGCTCCTTCAGGCCCCCATGGCGCCTCCGGGGCATCTCGAAAGCGCGCCAAAACATTCGATGCGCGCACCTTGGCTGTGCAGTCGGCCGACGCTGCCCTCTCCGCAACGGGTGAGCTCGATGTCGCCGCCTACTCTGCAGCTCGAGCATTCGAGATCCAGGCTCTAGAGGAGGGCATGCAGCGGTCGAAAAATGCGCTTACGACGCGAGCCTTTCAAAAAGTCCCCCGCTCGTTGCGGCGACGAACGGCGAGTCATAATGTGAAGCGTGTACCGCGGAGGTTGAGGGCACGAGCCAAGCGAGAGGTATTGCATTGATAGCCATCTATATACTTGGGAATAGCCCTTGGCTGACCAATTATTTCTTCAATCGTCTTAGATGGCCGAGGACAACACACCTACCGTTACGGCGCGCAGACGCAAACCATCCCAAATGATGCGCATTCGACTCGATACAGCTCGGCGACTGCAGGCTCTTAACTCGAAGACCAAAGCCCGACGGGCGGCTGCTAAGGAAAAGCGGGATCAAGAGAATAAAACTTCTTTGGAAAAAGAGGGAAGTCATGCATTCGATATTGCGCCGCGAGTTCCCAAGATCAAGAAGAACAAGCTGTCGAGACCCACGCCGGCGGAGCCCAAGTATCGCAAGCGCCAGAAATGCAAGACCTGGTTGCCTACTCACTTGTATCATGCCAAGCGAGCCCATATGGCGACGACCAAAGACCCGATCTGGCGCTTTGCAATTCCTTTGTCTCCCACCGAGAAAAGTTATCGACCTACCCACCGGGCTCGAGGCGCTAGAGGTGCCGTAGCATGGGATATGAGTTATATGTCTACTATTCAGTTGGAAGGCACAGAATCAGCCATTCAGGCTGTCCTGACGGCAGTGGGTGTCGACGGGGACGATGCATGGGGCACGAAGGGAAAGAAATGGAGAGCTGGGACTCGGTCTCTCAAGGCCTGGACTTTTGAGAAAGATCATCGTGATCTTCCAACCGCACCAGTCACGCTGATATGGTGCGCTAAGCAAGAAGATGTGGAGATGGTCGATGCCGATGAACCTCAACCTAAGTCTTCAAAGAAAGATCACCGAAAACTCTGGATCAGAGTGCACCCTTCTGCTTTCCTTCAACTATGGACGGATATCCTTGAGTTATCCAAGAAACAAAATCCCCCTGTCATGGTTGAGGACTTGCGGTTCGAAATTGGCAGTATTGAAATCACAGGGCCAGGGTCTACCGAGACCTTGTTAGCGGCATTGAAACCAATTCTTGGGCCAGATGGCAACGCCCCAACAGCACAGAGTCCGGAGGCTGTATGGCCATCTCTTCTGGGAGTGTCGAATCCATCATCCCTACCGCAGAATGCTCTGCTCTCTTTTGCTGTCTCTGATCCTCGCCTGCATTTCCCGCCACGCACACTTCACGTCCCCAATAACGAATCCCACATGACTGATCTTGCCATTGCACTTTCTACATGGCACCCAGACAAAACCCAAGGTCCCTCAAAGCTGTTTGACCGATCCACTCGGTTGACAGCAGCTCGACAGCTCCCGAGCCAGAAGGCCATCAACAGGCGCCGCACTCTTGCTGGCCCTGGTAAATACCCGCCTGCCCAGCCGTCCGACCCTGAAATTCCAATCATGATACTCGCAAACAAACCACAGGCTCGGGCTAAACGCAGTAATGCCCCAGGATCGTGGACCGTGTTATTACCATGGAAATGTGTTGTCCCGGTCTGGTATTCTCTCATGTTCTACCCATTGTCTAGCGGAGGAAACCCACTGCTTGGCGGTTTGAAGCAGCAGCAGCAGCTTGCCTTTGAAGCGGGCGAGCCTTGGTTCCCGGGAGACTTCCCAGGAACACGCGCTGGCTGGGAATGGGGCCAGCGCGAGACCGCAAAATCCCGGCGAGAATGGGAACGACGTCCCAAGGGACGGCGTCCCGAGTTCGACAAAATCTTGTTGGGGGATGGTCATCCAAAGGGCGAGATTGGCCATGGCTGGGCTTGTGATTGGGAAAGGCTTCTTCGCGGGTCGGAGCAGGACAATGCTGAGAGTAAAGACAGCTCAGATAAAAAGACGACTGAGCCCAAGGAGGCTGACGAAACCGATACCTCCGGTCCCATCGTTCCGCCCCTCAATATTCGCAGTGCTCGGTTCCCTCAGGCCGATACCCATAAAACCCTGGATAAGCTTGACAGAGCCTCCATCGATGCTTCTACACTTGCTACGGTCTATCTTTCTCTCGCATCACGAGGTACTCCCACCCCTCGCGCACGAATTTATAGACTTCCCACGGACCCGGTCTTACGCCAGAAATGGCTTGATCTTGGCTCAGCAAGTACCAGCAAGCCTGCTCGATCGAAGAACTCCAAGGCGGGCAGCCTTGCATCCGAATCTGAAGAGGCTCGACGTATCCTTGCCAACTCTCTCATCTCATCTCTTGACGGGGAATCTGATTCCGAGCCTTTGGACGTGCCCACTGAAGATGATCTGATTGGCTTCGTCACTACAGGAAATTATAATCTCTCTGAGGGTAGAGGAACAGGCATTGGGTCTATTCAGCTTTCTAAGGTCTTGGCTCCTAATGTCAAGACCTCCGAGCGAAGAATGTGTATCATTCGGGCCGCTGGTGAGAGGAGTGGGCGCTTAGGGATGTGGGAGTTTGTATGATTCGCAAGTTCGGTGAATCTTGGCCACGAAAATACCACAAATGCTACGCAGTCTATGTTCCAGTCACTTGATACTCAGTAGCTCTTCCTACCAGCAAATGAACACAACCCTGCGGGCGAACGACTAAGATCCACTCTCATCCATGGATTGACTCTATCCTATTCAGATGAAAAACAAATGGAACAAAGAAAAATGCACGTTCTATACATACAGTACAGTAGCTCCAAGTCCCAAAAAGAAAACCAGGAACCCAAAAAGACAAACGTTGAGACTTCATATCAAGCCACTGTAATTCCCGTAACCCACCAATCTAACCCACAATGCGATCCACGAAAGAAGCCTCCAGGCGCGCAACCTCACGCTTGAAAGCATCAACCTCCTCCCAGCAGTTCAACGGCCGTCGGTCATTCAACTGCAGACAGCTAGTGACATCGGCGCGGGCCTTGGCAACGCCATCATCCAGCTCGGTAAGCTTCCTCCGTCCATCAAGCTTGGTGCGCAGCTGCTCGATCTCCGCAGCCACGGCGTCACGCGAGATATCGCGCTTGGTGACGGGCTGTTCGATAGTGGGCTCCGGGGCGGCAACTGTGGGCACGGGGTCGTGGTGGCGGCCGGCGAAGGGGATCCGCGGGGCGTCGAGGTTCAGAGACCCGGCTGGGTAGCCCGAGGTGGAGGGGGCGAGGGGCGCGGTCGCTGCGGTGATGGGCAGAGAGATGGTGTCTTTGGACTCGGCGATGCGCTTCTCGATCTCGACGAGGGTCTGATGCTCGCGTTCGCGGATGCGTTGCAGTTCCTGCGCGACGCGGTTTTGGATCTCCAACTCAAGGGCTTTGGTGCGGGTGGAGTCGGACTGGTTGGGTGGTGGGTTTATCAGTTTTTGGTCTAGATTGGGGAGGAATGTTTCTGGTGTTAATGCTCACCTCTGAGTTCGATTGGAGGGCCTCAACTAGGTTGGAGGAGAATTGGACGGGAGAGTTGCTGTGAATGGTCAAGTTAGCGTCGGCTTTAGGATGTCCTGGATGAGCTCCGCAGGGGCGCAAATGGCAATGGCCTCTTGGGGGCTCTTTTGAATCCGAGGGATGTTACTGCCCTTGCCAATTGGGGCCAATTGGAAGGTCGTTCTTATTCCCTCGGTCATCAAGCACCAAATGCCGCGGAAGCTAAAATCGAGGTCGGAGAGTAGATACCTGGAGAACACATGTTGTGAGCCAGCCGAAGCCTCAGGCTTAGAGTTTCCAGCACCCATTTTTCGGCAAAAAGGACAAGTCCTGTGAAGATTGAATGGCAGTGGTGATTCGAGATGCCCGCTCACATCCCGATCAGTTCGGACGATGTTGGAGGTCACGTGCATATGGTATTAGTCATCTGTGGCCCCCGCCCGGACCTCACCTCGGGGTGTGCCAGTTGTCTAGTAGACCACGGACAAGCACTCGATCACCTCTTCAATGCTGAGATTTGGCATGGCGATTTGAATAAGCAACAACAGAGAAAGTTAGAGGGTCAAAGGTTCAGCTCTAACCACACTCCACGCAGCAAATATTTTTGTGAATATCAGAGTACAAGGCAACCTATACAGCAATCCCGTTGGCTTTCAAGTGATTCTAGCCTACAATATCAGTCTGCTCAAGTTCATGATGGCCGAACTAACACGTCCCTTCAGCATAAGTACTGTATATTGCTTGAATGAATACAACAGGTAATCTAGCAGCTTTATCAGGATATTTATATATTCCTCTGGGCTGCTGGTCTGGGGATATGCCATGAAAAGGATCATAAAAGTCCAACTCAACGCTATATGGCAGTTGAATGAACACCATTACCTGAACTTTGCCATGTCTACTCCATTGATTTAATACTCATTTGAAAAAGATCACATTGACTGCTGTTTTACTCTTGGTTATATGCATTGTAAAGGTACCGAGATCTATTCGGCATAAATGTGAGGTCTATATGTATCCTATGCTATATACAACACAAGAACACCCCATCCCAAAGTCCGATATTCTCATATTCTCACCTTGTGGATATGACCAAGGAACCAAAACACAGCTACAACATATATAGAATAGGTGGAAATTAGGACCAAACCCCAATGAAAAGTGTCTGAAACAGGCGGTCCTCTGGGTAGTAATAAAGGGCTAGAAATAAGTAGGAATAAGAGGAAAGCCACGAGTTGCCTCGCCTCCACGGGGTCCTAGACATCCACACTCGGGATTTCGTTCGGGCCATTTGACCCTTTGGTGCATTCTGGAGCCGAATTGCTAGTGTATGCCGTGCTGGGGCCGATCTATCCCGAGCATATCTATGTTTTATGCGCGTGCTTATTAGAGCATATTATACTCCATAATATGCTACACATGTACTCCGTACCCACTACAACATACACACAAAGTCCTCTACGTAAGTGCAACAGGCAAAATCAGCAGATGCAAGCATCCTAATTCGGATTTCGCTCCTCTCTGTCTTAAATGAATGTCCCGTGCGCCACAATGTCCGTTGCATTTGCATATTCCCGTCCCCTGCCCCCGGTCCTAACCAGTGTCGCTCACCGGTGAAGTCGGGGGAAAATATGCAGTTCAACACGATTGACCAGTGAGAGGGCCTCCCCACAGTGCTAAAATCTGCTAAAATTTCATTTTTCTCTCATGGCGTCATGGGAAAATCGACTGTCGAACGTCTGTTGTGAGGAATGCAGGGGAACAGCTGCGGTGGCACCTAATAGATCAACGATCAACCTCCAGGAACCAGTCTGAATAACCTCACAATATCATTGTCGATTCTCCAAGGAATCGGTCAATTAGGCCAATTGAAATAAGTAATCTCCGCTCCGGTGAACCCGGCAATTTATCAGTACCTCAGGAGTACCTTGCAAACAGTGGTCGCCGTAACGGCAGGTGAGGTACTGCCAAGGTACCGGACTGACCTCATGGAACCCCTCCGTCATCCCACCTTTGTTTCGTATGTTTCCTGTCTCTTCCTTCCGGATTTTTTTAACTTATCATCCCACCCTCTCTCCTCTCTTTTCTCTCTAAGCCGGCACACTTTGAAATCTTCATCCGGCGATTTTTATCTCTTGTCCCACCATGTCTTCCTCGCTCTTGGACCAGGCCACGCGCATTGCACGCGACTTTGATTACCCCGCTGAGCAGGTGCAGCGCGGGGTTGCCGAGTACATCAAGCAGTCCAAAGAGGGCTTGGGAAAGGAGGGCACCACCTTGAGCCAAATCCCTACCTTCGTGACTGCAGTTCCAAATGGCACAGAGAAGGTATGATGGTAGACTGTTTACAACCCGGAGTTGCGCGCTGATGATTCCCCGTTCTAGGGTCTCTACCTGGCCGTCGATCTCGGTGGCACCAATTTCCGTGTGTGCTCGGTCCTCCTGCACGGTGATACGACATTTTCCCTCACCCAATCCAAGATCCTAATTCCCCGCGAGTTGATGGCCTCCGGTACCTCCAAGGATCTCTTCCTCTTCTTGGCCCGTCAGATCGAGTCCTTCCTGCGCATTCACCATAACGAGCACTTTGAAGCCCACCAGCTCCGCCGACGGGAGAATAGCGCCGAGGAGGACCTCTTTGATCTCGGCTTCACCTTCAGTTTCCCCGTGCGCCAGTGCGGTATCAACCGCGGAACACTGATCCGCTGGACCAAGGGCTTCAACATCCCCGATGCGGTGGGCCACGATGTCTGTGCGCTGCTGCAGTCTGCTATTGACGAGTTGAACCTGCCAGTGCGCGTGGCCGCACTGGTGAACGATACCGTTGGTACTCTGATGGCTCGCTCATACACCTCTCCCGGCAAGACGGGCACTTTCCTCGGTGCTATTTTCGGAACCGGAACCAATGGCGCTTATGTCGAGAAAGTCAAGAACATTACCAAGCTTCAGCACATGGAGGACGCTCACATTGATGACTCTACGGGTGAGATGATTGTCAATGCCGAGTGGGGTAGCTTTGATAACCACATGAGCGTGCTCCCTACCACCGTGTTCGACGATGAGCTCGATGCCGATAGCAATAACCCCGGTGTGCAGATGTTCGAGAAGCGTGTGTCGGGCATGTTCTTGGGCGAAATCCTGCGCCGTGCGCTTTTGTCTCTACACCACGATGCCAATCTAGGATTATTCAAGCCTAATGAGAACTCTAAGGTCGTCCTTTCCGAGAAGTCTATGATCTTCCGTCAATGGGGTCTTGATACCAGTCTGCTGAGCACAGTCGAGGCTGATAGCACCAAGGAATTGGTGGACGTGAAGACCGCTTTGAAGGACCACCTTGAGATTGAAAACCCCAGCCTCGAAGAGTGCCAGGCTGTTAAGATTTTGGTCCACGCTATTGGCAAGCGTGCCGCCCGTCTGAGCGCCGTTCCATTGGCTGCCATTCTCGTGCACACCAACAAGCTTGAGACCGATGATATCGTTGACATTGGTGTCGATGGCAGTCTCGTTGAGTTCTATCCCAACTTTGAGGGTCATTTGCGTGATGCTTTGCGCGAGGTTCCCCAAGTTGGTGTCGCAGGCGACAAGAAGGTCCGCATTGGCATTTCCAAGGATGGCAGCGGTGTCGGTGCAGCTTTGATTGCGCTCGTCGCTAGCAAGGACGAGAGCCTCGAGGTTCCCCACGAGAAATAATATACATGACCGTTGATATGTCTGCCTTCATTCTTCCCATCTCACAGAATGACGGCTTGGTCTCTTACTTCCGCTGCCTGAGCCTCCTCCTTTCCCGTGAAACTTCCCACTGTTATCCTCGTTCCCAGTGAAGTCGGCAGCTGGCTTGGTCTACCTACCTGAAGTTATCCACATCTCTAACCTGCTACGATCGACCAGCTCTCCCCCAACAACAAATACCCAACCCAGATTTCCTCATCTTTCGCCCATCCTTATCCATTGGTAGCAATATCAGCTGAGACCAAGATTTGAATATTGATGGTCAAGTCGCCAATACAGGGCTTCTTACCTGCGGCTACCCGCGATTCTTATGCCCCATTCCTATTTGCCCCCATAGCATGTCACAATATATTGGGGTTTAGATATTTTCTTTTCTCATGGAGTTGCACAAATATCTTGCTACTAGTCTTACCCGGCGTGGAACGACATTCGACGAAGCACATTGCATTGACCTAGCTTTAAACGTCTACACTCAATTATGGTTTCATTTCTTGTCCAGTATTCATTTTGCAATTCCAATCCTGGTAATAATATGTTGCAGTAAATATACACCAACGTTGACATAAGAAAACTATCGATACTAGTCCGGCCAACGCTGTTCCCTTGAGATACTACTAAGGCTCATACCCAATAGCCCGAGGTGCCTGCACAAAATCGAAATGACCAGACGGGCCCAGCAGCAAAGACGTCTTGCCACCATTGGTCTTCGGATCAACCCCAATGAAGTTGGTAGGGAAGCCAATATCAAAGCCGTTAGCCGCCTCCAAGAACTCGATCTGCTTCTGCGTAAGCTGAATCGACAAAGCCTGGATATTATCATGCAGATGCTCAATCTTGCGACCACCAACAAGCGGGAAGACATTCGGCGCCTTGCAAAGCACATAAGCCAATGCAATAGCAGTAACAGACTCAATCCCATGCTCAGCCGCAACGACCGCCAACGCCTCAGACATCCGCCTCTCCTCTTCAGTCTGCTCAGAGCTCATCACCTTGCGCAGGCCCTCCCCGGCCTCCTTCCGCGCCTCGAGCTGCTTCGCCGTCTGGAAATGCCCGCCACCGAGCACATCCCACGGCGCAAGCGCCATCCCGAAGTGCCGCGCCATGGGCAAAATATCGCGCTCAAAGTCCCGCAGCATCACATTCCACCGTCCCTGGTAGATGGAGAAGGGTGTCTTGCCGTGTGCGCGTGCATAGGTGTTCGCCGCGGAAACCACCCACGCAGGTGAGTCTGAGATGCCCAGATACATGACCTTGCCCTGCTCGACCAGGATGTGCAGGGAGTCCATGATCTCCTCGATGGAGGTGGTGTAATCCCACCAGTGCAAGTAGAGGATGTCCACAAAGTCGGTCTGCAATTTGCGGAGCGAGTCGCGCAGGCTGAGCGTCATGCTGCGCTTGTGGTTGCCGCAGGTGTTGGGGGTTTTTCCTTTGCCGAGTGCGTGGCCGCGGTAGTCGGTGGTGAACTTGGTGGCTATGACGATCTGGTCGCGGTTGCCGCGCGACTCCATCCATTCGCCGATCCAGGTCTCGGACTGTTCGAGTTGGTAGTTGTTTGCTGTGTCGATGAAGTTTCCGCCGGCGGCGAAGAAGGCATCCAGGAGGGCGAAGGATTGCTCTTTGTTCATGCTGCCCATGAAGCTGTTCCAGGCGTCGCCGATGGACATTGCCCCGAGTTGGAGGGGGATACCCGCACTCCGGCTGTGGAGGATAGCACTCGGTATCGGCCCAGAGGGGTGGTTGGCTCGGGGGCGGGTTGGAAGAGTTCTTCCATTGTGAGGTTGGTGTGGTAGAGGCTTGATTGTTATGTGTGTTGGTAGTTGATGAATGAAGATCTTTTTGGTCTCTCAATGGACCGTTTTATATCTGACTTCATTCTTCATATCTCGGAGTTAACGACTCCGTGGACACGAGTGGAGCTGTATGTGGCCGGTAATGTCAACATGGGTATAATGGAATTAAGGTTATGCTGGTGCTGAACGGTAGCCTGTTTGGAGGCTCCTCAATGGAGATTGATTATCTCCGGTCATTATTGTTTGGTTGTGCTAAGGTTGGGTTCACAAAGTGCAATGTGGGACTCTGAAGACTTGCTCTTGCCAGAGGAAAAACTTGAGCGCCTGAAGAGTTCGATGCTGTATCTCTTCTTCTATAGGAATATATGAAAATATGAAGCAAAGTCCACATACATTTATGAAGTGTGCAGTAAATTGGAGTAACACAAGGAACAAGCTTAACTCCGATCTCCGTCTTGATTCCATGGTTGTAACCTGCACTAATCCCTATCCCGTTAGCGCCCTATCACCTCCTTTCAGCTGCCGATCCAGAGACCCCGAAGCCCTCAGGCGCCCTGTAAACTTGGTGAGAATCAGCGAAAATCCTTGATTGCTCTGAGGATAATCCTATCTTCATCTATAGTTGCATCCCTTATATTTCTCCCAGAGTTGCTCGGTCGCAGCCTATATTTAGGTTTTTCTTATTACATCAACAGCGGCAGGCGATCCATTGCAAGAACAATGTTTTTATGTTGGGTACTCCCAGCAAGGGGCGATTTACTATTCACATCCCCCTGATCGCTGATTGGCGAGCAATCATAACCCCAATCTGCACAAAAGCACCTGCAGCAGTCAAATAATAGATCACTGTGATCCTTGCATGCTCCTGACTGCAACCTTCCCGCCTGGGGCAAACTGAACTGGACAACTTCGCCGCGTTCAAGCGTGTTTTTGACTCAGATCCTATTGAATGACAGCAGACCCCTACTTCTTTCTGGCCTCTCATGGTGTGTGAGACTAATGCGACCAACTCTAGTTGCATAACCGCAGTCCCCATGTTTGCAAACTAGTAGGATCTTCCGCGAACTAGACCCTCGCGAACGAGATCCCCGCTGCCTGATGACAAAAAAATAGAAACAAACCAAGGTCTGCAGTATATGCAGCGTAGAGGATCCCACGTACCACATGGGCTGTTGTAATACGGCTGCAGGGCTATGTGCAACCTAGATTGGCCCTTCGCTCCTTCCCCAAGGCACAGGCAAGGTCCCTGATTAGACGTGTACGAAGTGGTTGTGTTTCCAATAGCAACGTCCATAGGCGGATTGGTCTTTTTTTCTTTTTAAACTCTGTAGCCTCCCAGTTGGTTGTTTCATCCCAACTCTCGTTAAATCTCAAGGGTCTTTTGTTTGTTTTCGTTTTGCTGGCCTGTCGTTTTTCTTTTCCATTATGGGCTTCTTCAATGCCTTCAAACCTAAATCTCCCAAGGAGGCCGACGGGTCAGAGGTACAAATCGAGCCGAAGACTGAGGACAAACTCGACAAGAACGATATTTCTTACAATAATACCTATTCCCAATCTGGCGGTCAGATCTCAACGCTTTCCAGTATAGAAGAGACTTCCTTCGTCGATGAGCCCCCAGGGAGTCCGACTTCCAAAAATGATACCGAGAAAGAGCCTGCGAGCCGTGATTCCCCGACACCTGTCCAGAACGAAGAAGTAAACGAAGACTCCGAGGATGTTGTCCCAAGCGCAGCATTGGACACGGAGCCAACACAAGAAGAGAAGGAAGAAGACAGTGATACCGAAACGCCAAAAGATGAAGAAGAATACCCGAATGCGTGGAGATTGACTTTGATCACCATTGCCCTTTGTCTCTGCGTGTTCTGTGTAGCGTTGGTATGGACTTCGCACCCGCTATACCTAATTCAACTAACACAGAACCATTAGGATAACACAATTATTGCGACGGCGATCCCCAAGATCACAGATCAATTCGGCTCAATCAACGACGTTGGTTGGTACGGCAGTTCTTATCTCCTAACGACATGTGCCGTGTCCCTGATGTTCGGCAAGCTCTACACCTTCTACTCAATCAAGTGGATCTACCTCATTGCACTCTTCATCTTCGAGATCGGTTCGCTCATCTGCGCTGTCACTCCCACCTCGGTCGGGCTCATCTGCGGTCGTGCCATTGCCGGACTAGGAGCCGCTGGTCTGTTCTCGGGCTCTATCCTCATCATCAGCAAAAGTGTGCCCTTAGTCCAGCGACCTATGTATACGGGCCTCGTTGGATCCATGTTTGGAATTGCTAATGTTGCCGGTCCACTGTATGTCATCCTGGTTTCTCTAATGCATTGAGTTGCGCTAAATTATAACAGCATGGGAGGCGCTTTTACCGATCACCTCACTTGGCGGTGGTGTTTCTATATCAACCTCCCCATTGGAGCGGTGACTTTCCTCTTCGTGCTGTTCTTCTACCAAAACCCCAAAGCCATCTTGAAGAAGAACTCCATAATGGAACAGATCAAGGAACTCGACCTGATCGGTTCCTTTTTCTTCCTACCGGCTATCATCAGTCTCCTGCTCGCATTGCAGTGGGGTGGCACCAAATACGAGTGGAGCAACGGACGCATCATCGGCCTGTTCGTGGTGTTTGGCGTCCTCGGCCTGGTATTCATTGGCGTTCAGATCTGGGCTGGAGACCGTGCAACCGTTCCGCCGCGTTTGATCAAGAACCGAAGTGTTTGGGGCTCGGCTTGGTATGCTCTTGCTCTTGGTGGTGCTTTCTTTGTTATGACATACTATGTAAACGTTTCCCCCTACCTCCCCCTGGTAAAATGCCCTAACATTCCCAGCTCCCCATCTGGTTCCAGTCAATCAAGGGCGCAACCGCTTTGAAATCCGGTATCATGAACCTACCCACTATCATCGCAGTTGTAGTCGTCTCCATCCTAGCCGGCGGTCTTGTCACTGCTTGTGGGTACTATACCCCCTTCATGATCGCTTCGTCGATTATCATGACCATCGGCGCGGGTCTTTTGACCACTCTGGAGACAGACTCCAATCACTCTAAGTGGATCGGATACCAGGCTCTGTTCGGTATTGGTCTGGGTTTGGGTATGCAGCAGCCAATGATCGTTATTCAGACTGCCCTTAAGGTAGAAGATATCCCCAGCGGCACGGCTATTGTCATGTTTGCCCAGACTCTGGGCGGTGCCATCTTTGTCTCGGTTGGACAGAACGTGTTCCAGAACCAGCTCTTCCAGAACTTCGCCAAGTATGCGCCGGAGGTGGATGCCGTAAAGCTCATCTCGGATGGTGCTACCAAGCTCCGCACTGCTGTTAGTGGTGACTCCCTACAACATGTTCTGGTTGCCTATAATGCTGCAATCGTACAGACCTTCTATGTTGCTGTGGCTATGGGCGCATTGTCGCTCGTTGGGCCTATCTTCGTGGAGTGGATCTCTGTCAAGGGCAAGAAGGTCGAGATAACCCCTGTTTAATACCCAAACCCCGGGTTCAACCCAAGGACGTCCTTTTCTTGCATATTATTTCTTTTCTCTTCTTTCTTTCGGGATGATCTATGACCTATCATCCCCGATGAACAATGTACTAGGGCATGTACCGATATCTTTCTCGTGTTCATGATACTTCACGCTCATATTAATGTCAGGCAAAATACTCAATCTCGTTGCAGTGTGCAGTGGAATTTTTGTTCGGATTTCATGGTTTCTTTCTCTCTATGTAGCTATACACCAAGCCCACCTGTCTTTTACTGGAAGTACAGAGACCAAACAAATCGATCACCACGCGGCATTGCCTCAATCTGAACCTAGAACGCTGCACAATGAATGCAAGACATAGTCAAGCATTTTGCTCTGCATACAATTGGTGCCTGAGTATGCAAACATCTCTGACTGAGCCGGCATAATATTTGCTATCTGATGAGCATATAAGTATCCCTGTTCCTTCAGCGATAGAGAATCAGTACATTTTCCCCCTCCCTCCCTCTCTCCTTGAGCGTAATTATCAAGTATAAATACTCATCAATGTCTTCATCGATGTGCTCATCATCCCTCGAGCTTAGTTCTTCTCAGTCATTACTTGGAGGAGCTCTAGGCTCGATGACCATTATCATGGCCCAATAAATCTCCTACCAGCCCCCGCAAATCAATTGAATGGGAACAGCAAAAGTGAAGATCGACGTTCCCATTCATTCAAAACAATCGCGGAAATGGCAGCTATGTGGCTGGACAGGTCGTCAAAAGGCCAAAACGAGCTTATAGCAGGTACAACATGCACGATATGGCTGTCTTGTGCCCTATTGCTATATCATTGTACCGGCCTCCTGGAAATCGGAGCTTTGGAATCCAGGGTTTGACACTCTACAAGGTCACGTCTTCGTTGGGAAAGAAGAGGACATGGCTATATATACTGTTTCCGAAGTGGTTGAAGTGCTAGAATGATACAATCTATACACCCGATTCATCGAGCGATTCCTCGCTGGTGGGGGATTGTCCTGATAACGATGAATGGAGATTTTTCTTCAGGGGTTGGCTTTCTGCTAGCTTTTCACATAGGATAACTTCTGGCTGCTCTGTGAGTTGAGTTCGGTCCTCGCTTTGTGATTCTGCTAATGATTTCTGGGTGTCTTCTCTAGGAGGCTTGCCGTGCCCAAGATGGCTGCAGAATCATCCGTATGCTGTTGATATTCCTGGAGACGGTCCTGGAATATTTGCCCGGATCTTATTGACTAAGATTAAGTCTGTTGATGTGTGGTATGGTGCAGTTATCTTCCCCCTCAGCGCAGTCCAGGAGATTTGTGGAAATCGGGAGGAAGTGAACGGAGCTTCAAACAGGGCATTGGCGAATTACTAAGCACCAGAAATCGATTTTTAACTATTGAGGATAGAATGAATAACGTTGAGCAGAAATATAGTCTCGATTAACAATAATGAACTCTGGTTAAAGTGCGAAATAAGGTGGCAATTTCGCCACTCTTGTCAGCCCGTTGCAAATATATATAAGGAACAAAATACTAATTATGATTTTAGTGTTACTACTTTGGATGTTTGACATACCAGCAACCTTCCAAAGATACCATTTTGACTAAATATCCGAAGAAACGGTCTTAAGAATGACCGTTGGGATTTTATATGTTATGGCACAGAAGGTTATACCTAGCTACTATAGATGACTGTAGCTACGAAGAGATATTAGACGGCTACATCAGGTTTTGCAGCATTTGGAAGACTAATCTAGCAGCTCATCATCAGTAAGTCCACCAAAGGAATTCTGTTGGCTATCTCTGCTTACTTGTGTCTGTGGATGAACCCCAACCCTATATACATAGAAAACACCAAACTGTAGTTGTACTACGATGTATGCAACGTACAGTAGACTAAACGGCTAATGGTACTAACGGTACAGTAACATCGTCCCAAAGGGCAACTAAAATCTCACTATTCCTCGCACCAGCATCCATGCAGCCGAAGACCAGTATCTCAACAGATGAATTGAGTTCAATGCATCTGACCCGAGGGGATAGGAGTTCCATTCCACATCCAGGGCTGCCAATCCAGTGTCACAGGCGCGGAGAAAAGAAGGATGCTCGGCTGATTATGTTGACGGAAGAGAAGGTCCCAAATCTCATTCTCCGTGGCTACATACGGTCCCACCCCGAACTGCGTTAGCTGGATTAGGTATATCAACCGCTGTCAATTTATATATCCACGTGTAAGGAGGGTTTAATATGTCCGGATGTTTACTCCGCAATTACTTGGTAATGTGCTTCATGCCGTCTTTCCCGGTCATCTTGAGATGACACACACTCTGGATGCACAGAATTTGGAATGAACGGTGATTGGAGATACCATAAGCCGCTAAAACACCCGGGTAATACTGCATAGAGGTTGTGCTCCCAGCAGAGGATTCTTGTATAATCGTACATGCAGCCCGACAGATCCCCGAGTGATGCCGAGTGATGCCAAGTGATGCCACGCGATGGGACCACGACAGGACCGAAGTAAGGGGCAAAAAGAAAGAAAAAGAAAAAGCAATATGCATCCTATTTGGGCAAGTCCAGCTGCCGACCACCATGCTGCAGATGGTACACGTGGGTTACTATCGGACCAATCCAGCATATCGAGATCGTCCAGGTATCCACGCCAAGTAAGCACCGAGCTAATTGTAGCCCCTGAACAAGAAAAGTCAAACGCAAGTTCCAAACTCTGTGCCATATCAGGCAGTACGTCACAAGGCACACCTCGAGTGGATAGCTAGGATTATACCTATCTAGGTAGGTGCTCCGGAGTTAACTTTCTGGATATACAAGCCTGTATCCTTAAGCATCCGGAGCGATGTGAATGTCTGAGACATCAAATTACGAGACGATGCTTCATTTCTGACAATTCACCATGCGCAATATGAGCACGTGCATCACACCATCTCGCCCAGCCTTAAAGGACCAAGCATTGTAGAAGCTCCCTTGGCGCCGCCTCGCCAGGACGCATCTTGCCTCTTGGCTTTGGAATTGACTTTGGCAGGGTCCCGAGCAGCCGCAGCAAGCTTTAGCCAAGGGTCTAGAAATGCTTGACGTAGATATGGTCGCAGGAACTGATTGTAGATGTGTTTTGGGTGTGATCGGGTCCCTTGTACATCATTTTTGGGTGCCAATTGAAGCCGATTTCGCCAGGAAAGTCGCCTTGACAAAGAGCCCACCCGTTCCAGTTATCCAGTATACTGAATAGCCCTGGATAAGTCGAAATAAAGGTCAACATCGATGCACCAGGCGATATCACGTGCTGGAGTGAGGTTCAGATCGTGAAGGGACGGTGCGGAGGAACGAGTTGCACATGGCGAAATGCCGGACGCTGAGTGGCCAGAGATCATGCATGGAAGGTGTCGGGGATGTGAACTAGCGTGGACATCACTCAGCTACTACGTCAATAAGGCCCCGATGCGGCCCGTTTTTGGCCGGTGTCCATAACGCAGTGGGATTCTATCCAATTTCCCCCAGGCCTATTATAGACACTGGTCACATCCACTGCCGCGGAGGGTCTGCACGTGTGTCCAAGCGCAAACGAGAGAGTCCAAGATGATCCCCGGGTCTGAAATGAGGACTCCATAGGTATGACCCAGGTGTCTAGGTTACCGCATAGAAGAACGGTTGCCACTTTGCCTGAGGGTGTCTCATTGGTACCTGGAGCAGGGCAATTGACGCGTTGAAGGATACACAACAGCCCTGGAGGGTACACCGATTCGTAATTACTGCATAATAGCCAGCTCACAGGCAAATGATCAGCCGATAGGGCCATTCAACCAAACGACCTCGGGAACTTAACGGCAAAAGTGTTTCCCCCGCGAAACTCTGGGAGGATCTGCCACGAACCGCAGGCGGTGGCGATCTGCATTCAGATTCTGCCTCCACGTGCAGAGTTGATTGGCTGCCGGCAGCTCCAGGCAAGCCCCACCAAACCCCACCGGGCTCCACTTTAAAGTAGAAAAACTGCTTTCGGAGCCAAAATCAGCAAGAGCGAGATCCGCACCGAGAAAAGACCCAGGACCTGCCCCAGTCCACTAGACTCCCCCAACGCGAAGATGGGCAGAGGGTCGTTCCTTCCGTTTTTTTCCAACTTTTTCTGGGTGTGGGACCCGCCACTGTCGCATGTGCCCTTCGCTTGCTACTTTTTTCTTTATAAAATCTCCCATCGCCACTTCCTTTAGATCTTCATCTTCGTGGTCACCTTAACTTTCCCTCTTTTCCCCGGAATTGAACCTGTTTTCAGGCGAAATCCTTGCTCACGCGACACTCACGGAGCTCTTTGAGGGAACCCCTCAACACACATTATGGCCGATTTTGGACCTCGTGCCCCCCATGGGCCCGATATGTCCGGAGATCACAACCCGCTCGAGGATATGGATGTCCACGAGAGAGGTGCTTTCGATACCCTGATCCGGCCTGATGACAGCTATACCCCCGACGGTACCTACTGGGCTGATCTACCGCTCTTCAAGAAGATCGGCTTCGTCACATCCTACGACAATAAGGAAGCTAAACGAGAGCTTGGCGACATCTGGGCAATGATGAAGGAAGATCCCCTCTCACCGATATCCTACTACTTCCGCAACATGGTCCTTCCCGGTGCTGGTCTCGGTCTGGAGGGTTACGTGCTCTTCTCCATCGGTAACATTAAGCCTCTTTTCGAAAAAGCCTTCCCCGACTGCTGGGATACTGCGACAACTTGTAGCCAACAGTGGATCTACGCCATTGACTACCTCGAGATCATTGGTATCATCGTGGGTCAGATACTGGTGGGAATCTTGGGTGACTGGTAAGCTGCAATTCCCAAAAAAAAAAAAAAAAGGCTATGGGAGCATATATTGACAAGGAATCAGGGTTGGCCGTCGCTGGGGTTTGATTCAAGATGCTGCAATCATGCTTCTCGGTCTGATTATGTTGACTGCCGCCTGGGGTGTGACCCAGAACGGCTGGGTTATCTGCTATGCCTGGTGTCTCTTCATCTACGGTATTGGTGTTGGTGGCGAATACCCCATGACCGCCACCAGCGGTATGGAAAACGCCGTCGGCTCTGGAAAGATCTCCACCAAGGAGGATCGTCTGCACCGTGGCCGCAAGGTTACCAGTGCCTTCCTGATGCAGGGTTGGGGTCAATTCTTCAATCAAGTTGTGCTCATCATTCTCCTGCTCTGCTTCCACCATGGCAGTGGCAATAACCCTTACTCCGCCGTTGCTGTCCAGTGGACATACCGTGTTTCCTTCGCCATTCCCGCTGTCGGTACTCTGTGGCTTGTGTACTACCGTGCCTACCACATGAAGGCCGCCAGCAAGCAACTGACCGCTGCCAAGAAGAAGGCCTCCGTTACCGGCTATGACGCCAAGTCTCTGAAGTTGACCTTCAAGTACTTCGGATTCCGCATTTTCGCAACTGCTGGCGGCTGGTTCGCCAATGATGTTTTCTTCTACGGCAACAAGCTCTTCCAGAGCGAGTTCATCAAGGTCATCAGCCCTCAGTCCGATTCTGTCATGCCCACCTGGTTGTGGAACTTGGTCAACGTCGGTGTCTCGCTGTGCGGATACTACCTGGCCTCCTTCCTGATCGATAACAAGCTTTACGGCCGTAAATGGATGCAAATTGTTGGCTTCATGCTCTGCTTCATTCTGTTTATCGTCCCTGCATTCCACTTCGAATACTACCGCCGCCCCGAGAACATCAAATCCTTCCAGACCATGTACTTCCTCAGCTCTTTCTTCAACCAGTTCGGACCTAACTCGGTCTCCTTCCTGGTTGCTGCTGAGGTCTTCCCTACTCCTATCCGTGCCTCCGCTCACGGTATGTCCGCTGCCTGTGGTAAGGCCGGTGCCCTTTTGGCTGCCGTCCTGTACAACTATATCGACACTCAGACCAAGTTCTATGTTGTGCCCTGGTTTGGTCTGGCCGGTGCCATTATCACCGCGATCTTCCTTCCTGATACCACTGGTCTTGACCTGAAGGAACAGGAGCGTCGCTGGCAATTCCTTCGCGATGGTCGCGAGGAGGAATACCATGGTCCTGCCGTGCACCCCAAGCACCTGTCTTGGTACGAGCGCTATGTCCTCCGCAAGTGCCGCTTTTACGATGCCGAGCTTGACTACCAACGCAAGGTCGAGGAGTACCGCGCCCAGTGGGAGGACGCCATGGCATCCAAGGCCGCTGAGAAGGAGAACGAAAACGATATGACCTGTGACACCGATGACTCTCTCCTCGAGGGCCATGTCCACACCTACTTCCACCGTACCAGCCCTATGTTCAAGGGTATGGAGAAGAAGGTCACCAAGCAGGACAACTTCCTCTTGCCTCCGCCCGCCGAGAGCGAGTCTGAGGACAACCACTCAAATGAGAAGCAATAACGAACTTGCTTAGTATATAAATAATTTTTCCTTTGCTCTTCTTTTTTTCTGGCCAAAACTTATGCTGCATATATACCGAGTCGCTTTTTTTGACACCTGCATTGATTTATGAACGGGATGCATGGATTTTGCTTGATGCATGGAGCGGGCTGTCGCTTGATTGTAATGAAATGTTGATACCACATACTGCGCTGGTCCCGAATGGATATTTTTACTACAAGTACCATCTTTCCAATTTGAAACATATACACACCTTTAATATTGAAACTCCTGTCGAAAAAAAAAACCACAGGATCTTGCATCGCAGGTAGCCTGAGGCAGAAAGGATGACTAACCCATCTATTTTTCAGGCGTGCAGGTGGGCATCAAAGTATAGACACGCACAATCCCTCCACCTACGTTATCCCAAACATAAACCAAAAAAAAAAAAAGCCAATAAACACAAAATCAAGCATGAGACTCTTTGCTTTTGGCTCCAATGGATCAGGCCAACTAGCCATCGGCCACGAAGACGACGTCTCCACACCAACCCAATGTCTCTTCGAGCAACAACCAACCACCACTCTCAACAATGAATCTATTACCACCATCGCAGCAGGCGGGAACCACACCCTCCTGCTAACAACCAGCGGCGCCATCTACGCCACAGGTTGCAACACAGATGGCCGATGCGGCCCCAGCCCAAAAGCAAACATCACCCGCTTCCGTCGACTACGCCTCCCGGGTACTACAGTCTCCAGCTTCAAACATGTCTCCGCTACATGGGAGGGGACGATTACCGTCGCGTCAGAAGAAAACGAAGACAGAGTCTATGTCTTCGGTTCCTCGCCTAAAGGCGAACTAGGTCTTGGAAGCACTACGTCGGCTGTGGGTGTATGTATCCCTGATTTCCCGCCGGGAGGTGCGAAGATCACCGCGTTGGCGAGTGGCATGGCGCATTCCGTTGCTGTGCTTTCTAATGGGGAGGTCTATGGATGGGGTGCGGCGAGGAAGGGGCAGCTTGGGGATGGGAATCGCGGGGTTAGGATTGCTTATTCGCCTGTGCGAGTTGGGGTGGGGTTTTTTGCGGAGCGGGTTGTTTGTGGGAGGGAGTTTACGGTTGTTTCGGGCTGTGGGCGGTTTGTTGTGCTTGGTGATATGGGGAATCGGTGGGGGGTTTTGAATGTGCCTGGGTCTTTGGGTTTGGGGGTGGAGGGGAGTGGGGATGGAGTGGATGGGAGTGGGTGTGGAGGTTTTATTCGTCGAGATACTAGTATTGGGGCTAGTTGGCATGGGGTTTATGTACATGCGGCGCATGGGGTGGGGGAGGAGGATGAGGATGTAGGCACTGGTGCTCGAGCAGATGGTCGGACGGGTTCTGATCCTGGTGCATTGCTTGTTGCTTGGGGGCGGAATGACCGTGGTCAACTTCCTCCGCCGGATCTTCCGACTCCTGTCAAAATCGCTGTCGGCAGTGAGCATGTTCTTGCACTCCTGGGGGATGGTCGAGTTGCGGCGTTTGGATGGGGCGAGCATGGGAATTGTGGGCCGGATACGGATTCCCAAGGGAACGTGTCGGGTAAATATAATGTGATTTCGCTCCCGGAGACTGTGGGTGCGGATGAGGCGGTTGTCGGGGTGGGAGCAGGATGTGCGACTAGCTGGATGGTTGTTACATGATTCCTTTGACTCTGGTAGCATCGAGGGTCTGTCAAGTACAATTCCCTTGATAAGACGGAGTCTCTCAGTCGAAAAGACCATAGTGGCGGACCTACAACTGTCAGCACACGCCTTATCATACTCTCGCAAACGCCATAATCTACATACCTGAGACAATCGCTGTGTCGGCGGAAGACCCATCTCATCATCTGGCTCTTCTGCGCCATCCTGCTTCAGGACCACAGGCTCCGCATCGCGGAGAGATGCTCCCAATGCGTCCTAACCATTTTATCAGCCACCATACACACCCAATCCCACCTGAAAATGCAACATACCTGTGTTCCCGACGCATCCCACCCAAGAATATCCTGCGGCTCCTCTTCTTCATTCATCTCATCCCACTGCCGGTCATCATCAGCGGGGACGAAAAGGCTATCAAATTCCATCGAAAGCCCAGACGCCACCGGCCGATCCGTACTAGCCTTCTGGCTCAGGTTCTCCTGCGTTGATGTTCCATTCAAAGGACGAATAGATCTGCTCCGCGGTGGCGGCGGAGGCATCTGTATACTTGGTGTCACAGGTGCCTGAGACCTGTTGGATATTATGACAGGCGCAGGCGTCTGTCGTGGTGTCTCCCGTGGGATTGTCGCTCGTGTTGAACTAGGTGCATCATCGCTATCCGCCTGGCCGCGAGTCATGACCGTGAACTCAGCATTGATACCCTCGAATTGGTATTGCAGTTGCAGAGGCTTGCAGGGTCGAGTGTATCGTGCTGTCACAGTGGCGTTTGCTGTTTCGGCGTGCGCAACTACAGCTTTGAAGTCTTTTAGATTGATTGCGACGTGCATGTTGTCTTCGACTACATAAGTTTGGAAGTCGCGCTTGTCTGCTGCCACGGATGTGTGGACCGGGTGTTTGAGTACTTCTGATAAAATTGTAAGTATAGAATCTGGGACTTGGAGGTGCATCCAACATACCCTTTCCCTCGGTGATTTTAGTTGTGAAGCTCGTAAACACCGCTCTGCCGGAATCAGAGTACATGTCTAGTTGCTCGGCAGATAAGCTGAAGTGCTCAATGAGTTGTTTGAGGAATTTTGGATCTGCAGTCCACATGCTGGTAGCTTTTGATTTATCAAAAACAGCATGCTGGATCGCCGCTGGCTCGTAAGTAAGCTTGTATGATTTGATCACGCCTAGATATAGTGTCAGAGAGCCACAAATAAAGTTAGAGTATCTGTATGGAAGGGCATCCTACCTAGCCCACATATCATCTTCACAGTGAGTCTACATTCAGTCTGCTGCAGATCTTCATGCAATTCCATATCACAACGTTCAACAGCCGTATCCTTATTTCTGTCAATTCGCCCACGGAAAATAGACAAAAGTGCCTAGATGCAGTATCAGCGCAGACCAAATCAACGAAACTCTCCTAAACATGCATAAGAACAATAGCCTCAACTGGGTCCCTCTACTTACTTTGATCAGGATCTGGCAGTAGAACCTGTCCATCGAAACACTCCCACTTCGACCATCACCTTTAGACTGGAAAGAATACGCCTCGAAGAAAACCTCCTTCTCGAACGCGAAGGACGCAAACCCCGTTTTAGTTAGATTAAGAGCACTGAGACGAAGCTGGGAGATAGTTAGCCAACGCAAGCTCATTTGCGAACTTCCTCGCGTTCAAATCAAACTGCTCCTTCCCAGGGCAACAAGACATACAATACCTGGCTCTGCTTCGATGGCGACGGTTTCGCTGAATTTGGACAGGCATATCAGGGCGTCGTGTAGCCGCACTAAGGCTGGTGGGCCGAGGGACAATGAAAGCGATGTCATGGCTTGGTTGGAGCTGTATAGTCTATTGGCGGGTCTTGAATCAGTTTGGGACTAGGCTGTTTCTCTAGAGCTTGAGCTTTTTATCAAATTGAGCATATGGCGCGCTGTTGGCTGTTCCAGATTCGATTGAAGGAGAAGACGCGGACCAATACAGTGATTACGTAAGCCATATATTGGCTCGAAGCAGAGGCAAAAACGTTCGCTTTTATATCTACATACCTTAAGCTTCTATTTGGATGTTTTTGGATTCTCTGGATCTATTTGGCTCTTTTGCGGTTGCTAGAGAGTTGAGATTCCTTCGTCTCAAGTGCGTTGCATGCCTCTGGACGGTCCTAGAGGGGCAGACTTATCAGTGTAAACTTCTATAGAGTATGTAGATGTCAGGCTAAATCCTAGTAGATATTCTAGCTTGACTTGTACATTAACTTAGTACTGGCATCCCTTCCTATGTATATGTCCTGTCTCAATTGGCCCCTTGGGGGTAGAGCTTACTTCAAACCTACATTCAGAAAGGCATTCCTGTTGTCCTGTGTCCAAGCAATCTGATATATTCGAAATGAATGATACTCAAATTTACAAAACCTGAAGCTGGGTAAGGATACCTATATTTCGAGCGTCAATCAATATTAGTATGTACAACAATCTTGAAATGAATGTGCTAGCTGAAGATGAATGGAAACAAGAGCACAGAATATCGTATAGCTTCGTTAAAGGTCGGGTATATTGCTTGTGAGATGGCAAATGATGGAGATATGAGTACCAGCTGGGGGTAACTTTCGGGGATTGGAAATGCGTCGAGGGTTCACTATCCAACCCCAGGAATATCTTCTGTAACAGGGGGTTCCTCTGCATCATTTCGTGCATTCTCCTCTATGGGATTTGTATTGGCCTCGGGCTCTCGATTCAACCCACGGTCTGTCTCCTGATCGCGTTGAGGTAAAGGCTGGGGAAACTGCATTTCCAAAAGTCGTCGCCTGCGTCGTCCAGTTCGGACAGCGTGGAGGAAGTTGATACCCACCTGAGCAAGGAAGATCGCCAAAAAGGCTAGAATCACAAATCCTTGGGGAACGTTTGTTCCATCGTTCTGCTCTTCTGGGTCTATATCATGGGTCTGATCATCTCGAGTGGGGATTTGCGAGCTACTGGCGGGGAAAGAAATCCCGGATCCACCGAACGAGAGAGAGATCGAGAGAGAGAATGGCGTCACTGACGTGAAGATATTCGGCGACCTCGAGGTATAGAGTCTTGTTAGGGGCGTCAATAGTTGAGGCATGACGCAGAATATGATGAGAGGAACGGATAGTCATAAGACAGAATAGAGTGGTGAACGAGCAGACCTGTTCAAGTATGTTAGAATAGCAGCTTCCGGGTAAGACAATGTTAAACTTACGACTCCCGAGCCTCGAGTTGTCTCGCCCATTTTGCTGAGATTTTCAGTCTCTCTCGGACACTTGTAGCGGCGAGGATGGGATATTTGTCCTCTTCGGAGATGGGCAAAATGCTTGCAAACCACCATGGAAAACGAGCTTCATCCGTTGGTATCGGCCCATATGCCAGCATAACACGGGGATGCAACCAAGGAGCACCCGATATGCGCTGGTTGCTGAGAAACTCCCTTGATGAGAGGAGTAACTGTTGAGTTGACATCGAGTCCAATGGAAGATCAGATGCATTTTCTTCCGAAGAAACATTTCCACCGCCGGCTGAGGTCTCCATAGACTCGATTCGCTCCTCCTCTGCCAACGAAATGTCATCCACCCGCTCTGTTTTGGCAACATAGTAGCCATCTAGGATTCTCGAGTGCAAAATTTTGAAGCGCGACACGCCTGTGGCTACCACGAGACTGCGGCCATCTGGGAGTGCTTCAAATCGCTCGATCATCAAGAGTGTTCCATATTGCATAAACGGTACCTCCGCTTGACCTGGCCGTGCTCTGCTTCGCCGATTAAACATAGCCATGCCGAACTTTCCACTTCCACTTGCGACAACTCGTCGAATCATCAGTCGATACCTCGGCTCAAAGACATGGAGAAAAGTCGGCATTGTCGGAAACGCCAATGTACACACAAAGAGCGGTACGTCCTTCTCGTTATTATCTGGAGCGACCTCATCTTGAGCGCTGGTCTCCCGTCTGTCTGCGATTTGATCGGGGAAGAAGCGATCGACCATCCGCGCCACAGTTTTATTTATGGGCTCTGATTGTAGTGTTTTCGGCATGCCTAGCTTCCGGCGACAAATAGGACACAAATCGGTATGGTCCAAGACCCGCGCGACACACTTTTGGCAGAAGGTGTGACCACAAGGCGTGGTCATCGGGTCAAGGATGAGGGAGTAGCAAACTTGGCAATCCAACTCGGAGCGAAGGCTATCACGTAATTTTTGGAAGTGAATAAGATCCTGCTCTTGTATACTTCCAGCTGAAGGCGTAGAACCATATGTCACTTCGGATGCATCATACGGGAACCGTCCCTCTAGCGCCAGGTTATAAATCTCTTCTAGCCATCCACGTCGCAGCAGATATGCGCTTTCGGTCTGGGGTGCTGCATCGTTTTCCCATTGCATTAATGGACTGTCATTGTTGCGAAGGGGATCGTTTGGCTCGGACCCCAGGACTTCCCCAAACAAACCCACCAGTTTCCCAAGCAGGACATCGGTACCACAATCTCCAATACAATGGTTGCCAACACACGCGTCGGTTCCTTGCCAAAAGCAAGTAAACTCCTGGTCCCTCCCCTTAGCCACGGGGTAAGTGATACCCGTCCGCGGCCGAGAGGGGGCCAGACATTCCCGGCATATTGTATTCCCGCAAGGTAGCCGGAGCGGGGTTCGCAAAGGGCGCGAGCATTGTCGGCACTGAATCAATCGAACGATGAGGTGAGGTTGATCTGCTGTATCGCTAGGCGCATGCTCTTGGGAGCTTGAGACGTCGTAGCTCTCCATTGCGGTCGGGGTGGGGTCGGCCTCGGTTGGGGGTGTTATCGGAGACGAGGAGTGGGGTGCATATTCCATGGCACTGCAGTAGAGATGATCGGGAAAGATCAAGCAAGATTCTAAAGATCAAATACACGGTCAACGAAGGAAGCTCGTTGGGGATCCGCTCGATGCGGGTCAACTTTAGATAATCGGATCAGATCAGCCCGAGGTGTCATACGGCGGGACATCTGACGTATACGAGGAATTCAGATCTCGACATCTCGTCCAATGTAGTCTACTTGAGGTATACTGGAATCAAAAACATGAAATACGCGAAGACATGCGATGAAGCGAGTCATATCTCATTTCTAAGGTACCTAGATCTTATGCTATGTGGAGATGCGCAGAACACCGGATATAGTTGAATCTCATCAATCAGACGAGGCATCCAGGGAGGTTGGAAGTCATAGGTAGATTGAACATGCATAAATCGTCGCTCAGAATACAAACAGCCAAACACCCAATCAACCGACTTGCAGGGTATATTGGGAGGACAGAAAAGTGGAAACAGAAGGAAAATGGCCGAGGAATCTAATAGGATTGAGAAGTAGCTGATGAGTCGGATTCCGAATCGGTATCTTCGTCAAAAACGATTCGTCGCATGACACTTTTGTCGAATAAGTCCAAGGCGAAACGTCGAGCCGGGAGTCTGTAGTGGTGGCTTTCCAAGATGCAAAGAGTTTTGCGGAAGAGATGAGCTTGGTGAAATCGCTCGGGTTGTTTGGATTTAAGGCTGTGATAGAGAGATGTGAGCAGGGTCTCCAAAGTCGCAGAATCAGAATTCAGAACGTACACATGAAGATCAGACGCAGCTCGTTTGGAGAGGACGGTATTGCCCATATCAACGATGAGTTTTAAGATCCGTTGGTTCCCAGAATCCGCGTCTGTGGTAGCCTCTTTGAGTTTCTCCTTTGGAGTACGCTTTAGATTCTGATTGAACCCAGGGAAAGAGATCTAGAGAGGTTAGCGAAACGGGACTCAAACCAAGTGGATGGATGATACCCACCGAAAACAACTTTCGGAAATCAGTAGGAAGACAAAGACCGAGTGAATCTCCTTTCTGATCTACACCGGAATCCCAACCCAGACCCCGTAGGACTTGGAGTCCGTGTCGACTGCGAGAGATCAAACCCAAAACGAAGAAAGCAGTACCTCGCATGGTAAGAACTCCAGCACTGGTTGCGATTTGCACGATCCGTTGGATGATGTCGGCATCTAGGAATGGTGCACCGAGCTCCATTGAGCCAACATTACCCACGGCCCAGAGACAGCCTTTAGCCTTGAGGAGCATTTCGTTGTCTTCTTCATCTAGCCTGAAATCACGAATTGTCCAGGCAAACTCATTGAAGTGGCCCGATTGTTCCAGCAGTTTACAACCCTCGGCAGTTCGTGCAAGTTCTCGGTAGAAATGTGGCGGTACTAACCCAATGTCCTGGAGGTCAACCAGATCCTCAGGAACGAGACTATTGCGTCGCGGTTGCTCGACGTACGCTCGGGAAAGAGCAGCTTCAACGAGAGCAACATAGCTATCGTTGCGACCAAGGAACCAGTCATCCATCTCTTGAGTGATGTAATCGAGACCATCGAGGTAATGGTAACCCACCGAAGTCGAGAGGAACCGAAGAAGTAGTGGTGCGCCAATCTCACCTAGGTGATCAAGGGATGGTCGACATTTGACCACGAACTCGAGATAATCCCGTTGATTGCAAGCTTCTTCCAGGATCTTCACGGCAACCTGGCAGACTGTGACCTCGGGATCGTACAATTGAGTGACGAGAAGTTTGACCACCCATTCTGCATTTGCGATCGCCACATGAGGCGAAAGAGATACGTCTCCAACAGCATATTTGCGGAGGAGTCTCGTTGCAAAGATACGGATTTCCTTGGAACCGATTGTCAAGGCCTTGGAGAGCATGACCCGGAGATGACTTTCACGGCTGTAGTCCATGTTTCCTAACAAAGTCTGGATAAGATCATTCCGATCTTGAAGCTCAATAATGTGATAGAACATGTTAAGCATATGCCACCTCTCCATCATGAGTAGCCCGTTCACATCGCCACTTAATGCTCCCAGCATCGCAAAGTAGCCCCCACTTAAAGTACTGGCCATCTGCTCTCGGGAGAAAAGCGGAGATGCAGATGTCAGGCCACTCATACGGTCGAGCTGGGCCAGACACTCCGCAACCTGGCGGAGGAATTTGTTTTCAGCCAAATACTTGGTGCCTTCGGGAGTCGCGACGAGAGTGCGCATGAGGACACAGCCTGTTCGGACATAGCGTTGATTTGCTTTTGAGTTGGAGGCCATGGAAAATCGATACTTGAAAGGCCGATAGAATCCAATGAGCCGTTTCATGAACTTCGACCCCTTGATTGCCTCGTCCATTCTCTTTGGATTTGTGAGAGGTCCTTCCACTAATCGGTGAATGATGTCCCATTTCCATTTGGTGTAATTGACAGTGTTCAGGACATGAGTCTCTAAAATGGCGTTGCGGAATTGAGTTTCGTCCATAGAAGGGCTCATCTTGTCTTTTCCTTGTTCAACGGGAAGTAAAGAAGCTGAGAGATCAGTCTCCATGTTGTATCGGCCCTGGCCACTAGGATATCCGCCAGAGCGCGCCAATGTCCGATTGATACTATCAATTTGGAAAATAGTTGCAGTTGAAAGGTCGTGATTCTCTGTTTCAAAATCGACTGCGGGCGGAATTAGGTGTGGAAGTACTTGAAGGTTTGCGCTGACGGCTTGGGGTAAAGAATGATGGGCGAGCTTAAGCACCTCTGTTAAGAGTAGAGTCGCTTTGCGTCTTAAGGACAAATCCGTTTCATCATCAATGACATCGGAAAGAGCCTGTAGTTGATCAGTTCTGCCCTTGCGCTGGTATAAAACAACATAATACATACCTTTGGGAGCCCTGCCTCTACCAAGCCCGCCAATATGAGGGTAGAGAAATGAGCCGTCAGATCAAATTTGTTGCTACCGGCATCCTGGAAAGAGCGGGCAAGCCTTAATGATTCGGCATCAGAGCGCAGGTTTGAGACTCTGCCATATGTGGTGAGTCGCCTTCCCGCAAGGAAAGATGACGACCACGAGGGAGGCTTTATCCGCAACGCGTCGAACAATAGCTCCATAATGAGGTCTCGCGCTATAGGATCATTATAATGGAGTGAATCAAGGAGAGATCGCAGCGGCTGTGAGTCATGTCTCGCAAGGATAACCAGGCCAGGCCAGGTCTTGAGCATCGCAGAAATCGCCCGTGCTGCAGACTTTAGTCGGCCGTTGCGTAGCGTATCGGATAATGAATCCGTAAAAGGGGTGAGGACAGCTTCCAGCTCAGATCCTTGAAGATACTTTCTGCTACGAGGGGTGTCAACAACATGCAAGAAACTTGATATCAGAGACTCGGAAGCCCCGAATGTCCCTTCTGCAAGTGCATCATGCAGAGCAGCAAATCCACCCGCCGAGGCAACCAGTTGTGGATCTTTGACCAACATCTCAGCCACGGTCATAATTGAAATGTTCCGAAGACGATCTTCATGATGCTCAGCAACAGCAACTATGGTCCGAACAACGGCGCGTGATATCTCTCGGACGCCGTCTTTGACATCCAGGAAGGCTCTCACGAACTTCAACGCCTGCTCCCTTTCAATGCTTGCCTTTGTTTCTTTTACCAAAGACAATATCACGAGTTCATCAGTGTGTAGTGTTCGGATTGTTTGCAGGGATTGGCGATCAGCAATTGCATAGCGTGTGAGTCGGTAACCTGCAGCTACGACCTCTTTACTGTCACTTAGAAGCATGACCTGAACTCGAAGGCCAAAAACAGGCCATGCGAGATCATACTTCAATGTTGGATGTCGTTTGAACAACTCAACCAAACTATTGGCGCGCTCAACATAGAAATCAGGAGACATTCCCTCGATCTCTAACGCCTGCAGCGTTTCGGAGAGCACATATGTCGGAGACTCCATATCTCCATCGCCATATTCTTCCCCATCACCGTTGATCGATCCAATGCCATCCCTGCTTCGGGAAGGTGAGCGCATAGGGCTGGCTCGGAAAAGGCTCGAAAGGCGACTGCTGCGTGGGGGAGTTGAGGCCGGCGCCTGCGCACGTAATATCTCTTCTTCCAGCTCATGTTGCAATTCGACCAGTTTGCGGTTGGATGAGTTCAATTCCGACTCCACCTTGAGACGCTGCTCTTTAGTTTGTTTGGGTGGCTTTGCGAGCAGCGCCTCCAGCATGTTCTCGGTTCCACTCTTGATCTTCATTTCCTTCGCGATCCTGTCTCGAAGGAAGGCCTGACGTTCCTCGGTTGTCTGGAAATCCTCCTCGCCGATCGATCTGCTGGCACGTCTGTTGTATGGGCCATCCGGTCGGGGGGTGACACTGCGGGAAGTCATGCTTTTGAGCTCCGAGCTGAAGCTCCCTGGTCCACCAATGGACGGTGTTAATGAGGGGGTTAATGAGGGCACCAAAGAGCCCCCACGCCCACCCATGTTGCTACTACCTCCAGACTCTGATCGCCCATTCCTCCCAATCCGTGAGACACCATCCTGCCAGCTCCCATCGGCGGAGCCACTATCCTGACTGAACGAGGAGCGTCCATCACCCAGTGCACGATGCTGGGTCGATGCGGAGTATGCTGGGTTGTGCCCGGAAGCCATAGAGCTCCATCTAGCCGTGTCGGCTTCGCTATCAGCTATCGCAAGTGTTCTGACTATCGGATGGCTGCATTGAGGTCGCTTGTTTAGCGGGAGGGTCGAGCGGTGCGGAGCAAGGGCAGTATGGGGAAGCGTAAGGGAGGGGCGCAGTCACAGGTCGCTTGATGATCAGAGGAGGATCGTGGCCATGTCCACCTGTTTAAACGGGTCGGGTGTGATCAAATGTCAACCTGAATCAACACAGCAGTGATCGTGAGAGTGCTTTTGTTGTCCCACTACGAGGTACTCGGTTCAACCAGATCTCTTGGCTGGCGAAACAAACCGCTGACTAAGGCATCTTATCGGCAGCCCAGGAATTGGATATCAATTTACTGACATTTCTCTTCTCTTTTTGTTTACCCCTTATGCGTCCACGTTATTGTTATTCAAGTAGTCTTCATTTATTCAATTTATCCGAAATGCCCCATAGCATAAATGTCCAACGAAATCACTGGCTAATGAGTGTGATCCCACCATTTCTCCTCACAAGCTCTTATTGATAGGAATGTACCTGCATGAATATGATATACCGTTAACAGTTCATTAGTTACCGGAGGTAGTCTTCTCCAGGATGGTCTTCATCATCTCATTACCAAGCGTGGCAGCTTCGGGGAAACGCGGCGAGAAGTACTCTGCGGTGTGCTCAAACCGGTGACGGTAAGACTCAAAGTCGCCAAAGGAAACACAGTCAGACCATGCCTAATAGAGGTTCAAATACTATGTTAGCAACCATTGTGTACGGCCCGGACAGGCGCTCGGGGTTTCTCCACAACATACCCGTGCAGCAAATGTGAATTCCAAATCATCAGAGCGGAACGTATTATCATCAATTGCAGTATCCAAGGCCTCCTCAAGGAGCTCTTGGTTCCGGAACAAGTATTCGGTCACACCCAACCAGAGACGGAAGAGCTGCAAGCTATTAGTAAGACTCCAACCTGAGGACTCTCATCGTCCTAGCGGATTACATACCGGTGTGGAACAGATCATATGATCATATGGCACAATGCCGAGCTTCGACCAACAGTCAACGATAGCAAGGAGACTAAGATGGCTGTTTGGCGGCGCATTCTCACGCGGCAGGTTGGACAGAGAAAACCGATCTAGGACCTCATCTTTCAACAACAGATCTTGTTCAAAGCCACCTTTGAAAACCGAAGCGCCTGCAGCCTTAACCCGCCTCTTAAGTTCTTCTCTGTGTCCCCCAATCATGAGTTTGTACAAGTCGGTGACGGACTCGGCGTACTGGCGAATCTGCTGCTTCGCTGCCGGGTTGAGGATGGCGAGTCCGGCATAAACGTGCCATTTATTCGAGTAGATGCGCAGGGTAATGTTAATCTTAACGTTCTCAATACCGCCCACCCATCGTCCATGTTCCCAAGGGAATTGGTTGTTGGCCTGCCATGCCGTTCCCATGCTCAGGAAGGCAGCGTGTGTGACGGCCTGTGTATCTGCGGTGATGCGGTCATGCATCTCGCCGGTGAGATAGACATGCTCGGATCCAAATGAAGAGAGGATGGAGTCGACAAATTTGAGGCTTTCGTCCGATGCTCTGTGTTGAATGAGAACCTATATCACAGCGTTACTAATGCTTGTCCAGGATGCATTGGTAAAGGGTCTAACAATGGGGTGAGCCATACCAGGGGTTGGCCCTTCGGATTCACTTTTGGGCCATGCAGTGAATGGCACGATACAATCTCTACATCTTCGGGGAGGTGTTTCTCAAATGCAGCAAGTTCCGGGGCCTTGCAAGACGTTTGACCGCCGACGATGGCACCGACCTTGGTTGCTTCAAAATGAGGTTAGATTGTACTGGAGTTAGGAGACCAACGACTTCAGCTCGAGACATACAGGAGGCATACTGTTCGACGACCTTGTCGATAATTCCAGCCTCTACACTGTACAGAATGTAATCGCTAAGTCTTGAGACGAGATGTCCATTGGGAAATATGGTGACTCCTTGCTATATACAATGAGCTTCTCAAGCTTTTTGAGTGGCATAACCCCAGCCGGGGGACGTACTTGAGAAGCGAACTCTTGTTTTAAAGATTCAAAATTCTCAGGTCTATCACACGCGTTTATCCTTGATATCAGATGGCAAGTTAGTGAAATCGTGTCTGGAGAAGATTAGTGGTATGAGGCCCAATGCATATCTGTAGAATCTTTTCACTTGTTAGCTTGGATTCTCAGAAGAACAGCAAAGTGAAGGTATAGCAAGTGAGGTTGAATAGGATCAGACAAAAAAAAAAATAAGGTAGCGAGGGTGTTACATCACCGACGACCGCCCGGTTAGCTATCAGCCAGAATGGTATGATAGCGCCGAACGAGACGTACTCGAGCCAAATGCACTCATGTCATCATTCGAGAGGGGTTGGGCAGAAAAAAAGAGGGGAAGGGTAGAAACTTACCAGACAAGCATGTTGGGCCCCGTGTTGTTGAAAAAACGGGGGGATGTTGATTTACCTCCATCCCGCATCACTCAGACGCTGGGTATACATTTTGCCCATATCGCCCATACCGATGATGCCGATCGAGGCATCTGCCTTGGTGCGACCCATTCTGGCAGACGTCTGTCACTGATATTGCTGTCAAGCGCGTAACACTGATAACCACTGCAGGTTATTGAGGAACGTCTTGTGTGCGTCAAACTCAAACCCGAAGCTGTGCTACTGAAGTTTGGGAAGATCGATTGCAATGATGAAGTTACTTGGGTTGGGCGAAAGAAAAGTTTAAATACTGACTGGAGCTAGTAGCTTCACCGCCTAACGGGCCGACTTCAGTCCCGGTATCACTGCAGCTAACTGAGGCCTGAGGCATCAACTCGCTTGGGATTCTAGGCCAATCAGAACGTGCCATTCTCTCTAGGGCACACACCCACTTTTTCTCAACACCCAGGTGGGATCGGATCCGACTTTTTCTTCCTTTCTGTATTCCATCCACACTAACCACCAACAACAGTCGCAATGGCCCCCAAGACCAAGGCTCCCGCCGCCGCTAAGGAGAACGTCTCCCTCGGCCCCCTCGCCGGTGATGGTATGTTGCCAGAAAAAAAAATCGATTCGAGAAGTTGCGGAACATGAGTACTGACTATCTATACAGGCAAGCTCGTTTTCGGCGTTGCCCGCATCTTCGCCTCCTTCAACGATACCTTCGTCCACGTTACCGATCTTTCGTGAGTCGCCCTCAAACGCCAAATCGCTCGCATTCGAACCAATCAATTGGAGCTGGAATCGAGCGCATGGAAGAACTACAATACAAAGAATCATTGCTGACTGATGTTTGCTTACAGCGGTCGCGAAACCATCTGCCGTGTTACCGGTGGTATGAAGGTCAAGGCTGATCGTGATGAGTCCTCCCCCTACGCCGCCATGTTGGCTGCTCAGGACGTCGCTGTCCGCTGCAAGGAGCTCGGCATCAACGCCCTCCACATCAAGATCCGTGCCACTGGTGGTAACGGTACCAAGACCCCCGGTCCCGGTGCCCAGTCTGCCCTCCGTGCTCTTGCCCGTTCCGGCATGCGCATTGGCCGTATTGAGGACGTGACCCCCACTCCCTCCGACTCTACCCGTCGCAAGGGTGGTCGCCGTGGTCGTCGTCTCTGAGCGCTCGGCTTGGTCTTTTCCCTTCCCCTTGCAAGTTATTGCATGGCTGGATTGGAGGCTATTTGCGGGCTTCTCCTGCATCTGTGGATGGAATAAACGCGAGGAACGGCATTGATCGCCTGGTCTTCAATTTTTTTCATACGCTGAAAATCACACTCTCGGGTTTTGTTGTTGGATTAGGTAGTGCTAAATCAATGACTTGATCTATATATCGTTTATCATAGTAGGCTCTTGATTGGCTCAATTGTAGACTGGAAGTAGTATGAACTTGTGGCTCATCCACAGGTAATTCCGAAGCAAGTCCGGCGGGGACCTCTAGCGGGGATCGATAAAAGATAGAACCTCCAGACCCTCGGCCTTAAGTTCCAGCTTCAATCAAATCACGCCTCACGAAATTCTGTTGTGTTGTGAATCCAAAGTCGCTAGTCAAACCCAGCCATCTACTGGAGAACTCGGATCAAAATCTGCACTGCGGATCGCTTCCATCTGTGCACGATTCTCAAGTCGATTTGCGCGCAATTCCAACAAGCACCACCCAATCTTCCACCAGATATCCAAGGACTCTGAACCAGGTACAATGTCCACTCACCAGCCAACGCCAACAATCCTCCTCCCAGACCTCCCTCCAAAAACCCTCGTGGGCATCGACCTAATCACCTTCACATCAACCGCCAACTTCCACGGAATCCGCGACCTCTCCCCGGGATGGCACTTTCTTTATACCGGAACAACAGAAACCCTCTCTCTACGCAGCGGCGCATGGTTCTACATCGGTGACATCAGCAACGCAGGAAAGGGACATAACGATACAGCGCTCGTCGCGCGCAACAAATCCCAACCCCAAAATGCCCCAGCACCCGAAATTTACATATGGAAATGGAGCGCAGATACAGAGACTCTGGTCGCGCTGCATGGGGAGAGCGACTCCGCCCGACAGGAGACCATGCGCCACAAAGCGAATCTGGGTTCTGTCTGGCAGAGTGGCGGGCTGTTCAAGTATCGGAGTCGCATTGCGCCTTCGATGCTTGTCAAGCCCGAGAAATCAGAATCTGAGAAGATCGAAGAAGAAGATCAAGAACAGCCCCAGATCCAAGCTCGCATCCAGACTGAAGATGATGGACGGACGGAGGAGAGTGGACGGAGGGATTGGTCTGGGCTGACGGATCGGATTTCACCGAACCTTTTGTCGCGGATTATTGGAGATCCAGAGGTTGATGTTGATGGTCATCCAAGATGGGTGCTGTCGTCTGCTTCCACGGCTAACCGTGATGCGGACCATATCCCGGGCGTTGACTCGCCAGTTGAAGGATCGAATGAGCCAGGGGCGGGCGATTCAGAACGCGAATTCGGCTTTATTCCTGTCGATTTGAAGCGAACGTGGCGGGAAGGCGCAGTGGGTCGTGAAAGGACAGAGGCTGCTCAGGATCGGTCTTGGGCTCTGGGTGACTTGATCGATCGCTACGCTGGGGAAGCTTCTGGGGGGAATGAATTGCTTGGAGAGCTGCAGTTCACGTTCCTCATGGTGCTGACTATGATGAACTACTCGTGTCTTCAGCAATGGAAGCGGCTTCTTGAACTGGTGCTTACATCTCGGAGGGCAATCATCGATAGAGAGGCGTTTATGAGCGAAGTGCTTCGGATCCTTGCGTTGCAGTTGCAGCGGTGCGATGATGTTGAAGGCGGACTTTTCGAGATTGATGGCGATCAAGGCGGTACTTTCCTCCGTAGTTTGCTCATGAAGCTGCGTCAATCGGTTGATGACCTTGTTGGTGACTCCGAATCCAACGTCAAGTCGGAGCTTGATGAGCTCGAGGAGTGGGTGAAAGCAGAATACGACTGGGAGCTGCGTCGGGGAGCTGTGGTCCGCCAAGGTATTCTTCAATTAGAGGACGGTGAGCAGGTTGAAATGGACTGGGACGGGAATGATGAAGACGATGAGACTGGAGAATATGCTCCGCTGGTGGTTGACATGTGAGATGATCAGGACATCTACTTAACAACTGCAACTCACTTTCACGCGCTCATGAATCATGTAAAATAGTTGATCATTCCATATTGATATCCACTTTGTAGGTACATGTACTGAAATTCTTTCTACCATGGCAAGTTTATACATATGCAGATGAGAAAAGTGAACACGCTGGTCTTCGTCTATGAATGCAATCCAAAATCTATGTACAACCGAATATCAAATCATCAATCCCGACCGCGGTACCAAGATTCGTAAAACCGCCTGTAAATCTAGCAAAATCCAAAATCTATGAATATTTTATCCGTCTATTTCTCCTCCTCGATGGTGTAAGTCCAGTCGTGTTCTTCCTTGCCGAACATGATAGCCTCGAGCCACGACTTGATCTGCGCGGCGTATCCAGCAGGCTCGCCGTTGGCGCCCATGGTGGAGATATCAGTGTTCTCACTGCGGATCATGGAAACGGGGGTAATGAAGTACTAAGAGGCAATGTCAGCATATCTTGAATAATACAACCAACGACGAGGGGACGGGCTCTTCAACTTACAGCAGTGCCAGAAACAAAGGACTCAACAATACGGCCCTCCTTGGAGGCCTTCTCGATATCACCAATGGTCAAGGTACGCTCGACAGCATTGAGGGGCGCAAGCTTGCCAACAAAGTTCTTGGACAAACGCTCGCGCACGAGCTCCAGAACACTGCGTCGAGTAACACCGGGCAGAATGAGCTGGTTGTCGAGAGGGGCGGTAACAAGCTCCAGCTGGCCCTCGGTGTTGTGCCAGATAATGAAGAAGTTACTGGCGCCAGCCTCGGTGACCTGGCGGTCCTCTCCGAACAGCCAGAGAATCTGGTCGAAGCCAAGAGCCTGGGCCTTGCCGTGAGCCTGCAGGGAAGGACCGTAGTTGGCACCCAGCTTGGCATAGCCGAAGCCACCGGGCCAGGCGCGGATGGTATCCGGGGTAGAGGCGTAGAGCTTCAGGCCCTTGGGGGGCTCGGCGTTGGGGTCCTTCTTCATCTTGGTGAAGTCGGGCCAGGGAACGGCAATGATGAACAGGAGAGCTTCCTTGGGCACCTGGACGCCCAGGTGGGGGCCGCTACCGATAACGGTGGGACGGAGGTAGAGGAAAGAGCCGGGGTTAGGGAGCCAGCCTAAGGAGGATGGTTAGTAAGTAATCCAGGTATATCTTGAGCAGGTTTAGCCCATGATGCTTTGTGGGGGACGTACGAGGGCCATCAATCTGCAGCAACTTGGCGACGAGCTTCTTCACCTCGTCGGCTTTGAATCCGGGAAGCGAGGATCGCTGTGAGCTGTTGTTCAAGCGTTCGCCGTTGCAGTCGGGGCGGAACAGACGCAGCTTGCCATCATATCCGCGGTACACCTTCATGCCCTCAAAGCACTCGGTAGCATAGTGCAGGACAGAGGCTGTGGGTGGGATGCTGAGGTTCTGGTAGGGCTTCACCTCGGGGGTCTCCCAGCCCTTGGCTTCGGTCCATCTCACAGTGACCATGTGGTCAGTGCAGTAAGAGTGGCTCAGCTCCTCCGGGGAGCCAGGCAGAGGCAAATCGCGCAGTTCGGTAGAGCGAGTGACATTGAACTTGGAGGCATCAAGCTCAGCGACGTGAGGAGCGACGGAACCCATGATGGAAGAGTGAGTTGTATGATCAATTGGATGCAAAGGCAATTCGTTGGTATATCAAGGTTCCAAGTACAACGCGATGAGTCACTAAACGTAGGAGTCAGTCCAACGATCTCGCTCACGATTAAGCAATGAAACAAAGAAACACTGGACAGCAAAAGTACAATCCACTAACCTTCCTTTTCTCAAAGATACACAGAGTAATTGAATGTTACAACCAAGACCAAGGAGGACTCTTATAAAGGCGGTTTGCCCCGGGAATGCCCCTCGCGGGTCATCGGCCCCAAAAAAAAGTTTTCAAAGCCGAGCGGCCTCCGGGGAAGTCGCCTCCCCCAATTTTTACTTGCCACTCGGCATGGACTTGGTGTTTAAACCGGATGGGACTTTTTTACCGCATTCGATTCGGCGTTCCCAACTCTTGCATTTCCTCCAAGGACCAGTCTGCTTAACGTGTCTCAGGATCTAGGAGAGGAGGGGTTAGACACTGATCATGGCTATGGATCTACAGGCCCACTCGACGATGGTGACATCTCCGAGGCTAGCCGTGCACGATAGACCAGCCGATGTTCTATACTTCAGAGGCCTTGGGGAACAGAGATCTGATCTTTTTTGGCCTCGGTGGGCGAAGTGGCGCGGTATTAGGGTTTCCACTTGAGTGCTGTTCTTTAGCCTAACGCCAATTGACGCACACAACATGGTAAGTGCAATGAAAGCGGTTCCGACTATTTCTGAATGAACCATTGACCGCAATTGACCCTATCATGCTGTATCTCGTACTCTTGACTCTTATGAAACTGCTCTTTTCGGTAGTACACCAGGGCTATATCCTGGAATACTTCTACATATAGTATAGAGTTCTGCAAATGCATGCATGATAAGCTTAATTACTGTTGTTTCACCCTATGGAGATGATCCTAGGCATCTATTTTCCACTCCAATCATCTCAGCGGGGTTGATGTTTCCGCCTCCATGACGAACATAAACCGCCACTAAATTATTGAGTCAAGCTTTCAAAAACAGCAGTAACAGCTTGAAAATCTAGCGAGAAAGAACTTAATCCACATGGGAATATCTGAAACAAATCACAATATACATAGAGTCTGCTAGTTTGGAGGTGCGGTTATCGGCCTCGGTAGTCGAATAAGAACGTCATCCGCAGACACTAGTATCCCCGGTTGGACGAGCATATGAACAAGCTTATAGGACCATGGATGTTGTAATTATATCATTGAAAGTGTCTGAAGAGTGATTCAATACGCTCAAGGCTTGCAAGTCGGAGATATGCAAAAGTACCATTGACACTGACCATCGCTATTACCAGGTGCTGATTCTGAAGACGAGATGCGTGATGATATATAGCTAGAGTTACCAAAATAGCACGGTCAAATGATAAAGAGAAAATGGAGGGCGAAAAGTCATCGATTGGCGTCTGGTAGATTCACGTGTTGCAGGGTCCATTAGGGGTTGGGGTACGTCCACATAGGGCGAAGTCGGCACTACTTACTTTCTACCATATTGGGAAACGGTAATCTAAGCCGTTCGAAAGTGCAAAGGGATTGGAGATTTGCTCCGCTCATGTCCCGAATAAAAAATAGGAATTGTAAACAGATGGTTGACATCCAACAATCTCAGACCTGCCTAATGGAACTCCACTGAACGCAATTGAGATTGTGGATTTCTACATCTCTATTAACTGCAATATATCGATCTCAGGGATTGGATCCCTTTCAGATGCTGTAGATTCTTGAATCATTGTACGAGAAATTTTCAATAGAACTTCCACTTCTGTCATCTAACCGTCTCCTTGGCTTCAAATTTTAAGCAGCGGGGTGTCTAAGTCCTTATAAGAAGCAACTCATCCACAATGTCGGATGAATATGTTTGTACATATATTACGCTCCACATGTCTCTTGTATTATGAAGGGAGCCCCTTTTTATTCTGTATACTCCGTATGTCGATATTATAAATCGGTGGTTATGGACGATGTTAGTTTCAGATCTTGGGCTAACTTTGTATTTCTCTACTCCATACTCTGGATTGGGTAGAGAGCTTACGATGCACGTATACATCCGGGGTCATGATACAACGTACGGAGTACGGAGTACGGAGTACAATGATGTATATTCGCTGACGTATTTAACAGGGATTTAGTAAGATACATAGAGACCGCTATTTTGCTGATTGGCCGGAAAATATATATCATTTCTCATAAAATTTCAGTATGAGCTCATAGCAATGTGATCTACAGTACATAGCTCCATGTCAAGGAAGTGGACTTGATCTTTGACCATCTAGAACCAATAATGCATGCGGGTTAGCTACATATACGTCAAGATTGCCTGTTGGTACCCGACAATTGGATAATTAACCGACTGGGTCAGAATCCAGGGCGTTGCCATTCCTGTATAACACTGTACCCCGTGATCTGTCACAATCAAGTACAGCGACGATCAGCCCCAAAAAGCATGACATTTACCTGGTCGATCGATTTATCCAGGTTGTTTGACCCCGGCGCATGGACCAGTGCAATCTTACATCACTGTGTATACGCTCCCAAAGAGGCAAACCGTCCGTAAATATGAGAAATCGATATGTGTGCACCAGGTACTCCGTATACGGAGAAAATTGGCTTTATCCAAAGTTTTGTAAAGCAATCCCAAAGAGAAAAATCACATCGAACTACTCCGTATTGAAGTTGGAATTAAGTACGGCATACTCCGCTGATACGGCTGCAATGCAATGACGGCCCGGAGTCGTTCTCTGAAGGTAAAAACAGGGCACCATAAAAGTATATAGATCTTCGGAGTAATCCGTACTCCGTAGTGGGAGAAATTTGGGTTTAGAGGTGTGAAAGTATGATGTAAATAGATCTCTTTCAAAGACCAGAATCAAGTATTTGGCGATGACTATGTTGTATGTTGTATGGAGTACGGAGTACTCCGTAGCAAGCCAAGGAAAAAAGTCCCAGCCTATGTCAAAGAAGAACACGAAAGTCGCCAAATGCGGTGTAGAATAGGTGACCGTACGGGGTAGATGGCGAACTCATCCATCCAATGAAAAAATGCGTGGCTATCGGGGAGGGAGTACGGACCACTGATGAGGCGTGATGTGTGTCCGGAAAGCCAATTCTAGCTATTAAGTTCAGTCCGCAATTTCGAGATCTGCGAGTCAGTTCGGCAAGAGGATATTGGCGTGGATAATAGCGTTCCCTCCTTTCACGCTAGTTCTCCTTCCGGCAGGAGTGGTCCCCCCTGGCACGATGAAGGAGTCACACATGCAGGTGCGGATTCGTACGGAGTACTCCGTAACTCTCGTTACGTTGCAGGCAACCTTTCACTGCATACTCCATACTAGGTATGTGCATGGATTTCTGGACTTGTTGCCCAAGACACGGGAAGAAAGAGGGGGATCTCAGTCGCATAACGTACCGGTTCCGGATCTCGGCATAGACCTTGGCGGCATTCCCATCTTCGTTGGCATCATTGTGCGGGGACGAGATATTAGGAACCTATCTCCATACCAACAGAACTGGTTGAGCGAGTGAGTGGAGCCCGAGAGAATCTGGTTCCATGAGTACTCCTTATGTTGTAGTCTCCCAAAATTTTAGTATCAAGTATGGCGGGCGCATAAGCGAGAGTATGTGAGACTAGCATACTCCGTACGTCAGTAAATCAAAAATCCCGAGTTTGCTTCATGGGTCTGGTTGCTCGCTGTCTCTTGGCTAGGAAAGGAATATTTAGCCGAGCAGTCTCCGCGGAGATGATATGACGAGGCTACGGAATATGTACATACTCGAAACGGCGTCGGATGCATGAGCCCAGAAATAGTATCGGATTAATGGCACTAGGGAAAATTGGCTCTAAGGCTCCCTAGATCGGATGCTCTCGAAATGTGGCCTCGGAATGTGGGGTTCTACACCATATCAGTCGTGAGTATAATACCCAGATACTCCAACGTGTTTTTGAGTCCGACAGCATCCGATTAGTGTTGCCCGCAAAAAGATACGCCGTGCAATTGCTGGATGATCGGGGCAATCGACAGAACGCCAAGGAAGGTGTCAGCCCTGAAGGGAAGCATTTGATCTGATGTTTCCGATTGGCTGCGTTTTCAACCGCCAATCAAAATCCCTGGAAGAGGTATTCTTTCGTGGAGGAGTGACCCGTGTCTCGAGTGACTAAGAGCCCGACGAATGAAACGGACTGGATCATTCTACTTCGCAGGATTCAAAAGTATCGGTAGATCCGACTTTGAGTACGGAGTAGTTCGAGATGTGTCTTTCAATCGCCCCTGCGAGCCCCGATTTTCGATCCACCGCGAAAAAGACCTTGAGACGGGACAAGGTTCCATGATCCTTCCCAGGGCCACTTTGCGATGTATGTACTTCGTCCATCGTACCTATGTTGGAGGTACGTACGGAGTACGGAGCAGATCAAAACGACTCTTGTATCACACCGTGTAGCAACACATCTCGTGGTCATCCCATCAACCAACGTGGTGGAATTGTCACCCCTTTGTTTTTCCCGAGTCCTGAACTTTGGATCATTTTTCCTGGCACCGTCTAGGTTAAAATCTGTTTGGAAGGTCAGATGACAATCCTCTGTTTGTCTCCCTGATCTCTTCCTAGTCTTCCTCCTTCTTCCATAGCATCATCCAGAGAGACTGTGTTTTCCTAGATCTGCCCTCCTGCGTAGATCTCTGACAAAATCAAGATTCAATCCCGAGATATGAATGCTGCGCGTGACTGGCTAGTCAAGTGGGTGATGTTCATGATCGATGCTTACCACGGTATAATATTGACATAGGGAATGTTCCTTGTAAGTAAAGAAAGTATAAGTAAAATCATGTCGTCACAATTTAGGACATGATAAGAGCGTGTGCTTGTGGAGGTCAAGTACGGAGTATGTGGCATAATGTACAAAATGGTACATCGTATTCTGTACTTTGGTCAATCTGTCCGTTCCAGTATTCCATATCAGGGTCAAAGTGGACTTCTGTGGATGACCAACCAGACCTCAGTTCTCCGGAAGGCAAACAATGGCGCTAGATCAAAGGATGGATCAGATAGCAATGATACGAAGTGCAATCAGGGCCATCAAAGATTCGGTCCACAGGTCGCGCCATTAGGCTCCCGAAATGGAGTCCGTCCAAGAAGTATCAACCAAAATTGGTACGCTCGGATCAAGTCCCCTTTTCGTACTGACACATACATCGTTCTGGGTGGGGATCATTTTGTATTTTTCTTTTTCCCCCTCTTGATTTTTGGTTCGATATCTCGTGCTTTGACAGGTTTGGATTGGCGCCGGGTTTCCAGATTCGGTTGTCCTTGATCTCCGAATCTCAGATTTTAACCATATTTCAGGCTAGTTTCTCGATGGCCCCCCCCTTTTTTTTTGCCGTACTGTCAGTTTATATTAGCAAATTGATGAATTGTTAGCTTAAAAATCACTGCTGCATTCGAGCTTGGCCTACCAGGTTACCCCGGTTGTGTGACGGGCATCGACTCTCCCTTTCTGTTTGCTACCGCGGCCCCCTCGCTTTTGAAGTCTTATCACCTGCAGGTGGACTTTGATCACTTCAACTGGTTCCAGAATAGTTTCTTTTCGTTGTGTCCCACCTTTCGTTGCGAAAATAACGCACCACACTGTGACCCTGTATCGTTACGGCATGACACTTGCCCCCTTTTGACATCAAGTTGGTGAGACGCTGAAGATTGCGATTTCAATGGCGCATAAGAAGAAGCGTTAGGGCATGATCCAGTGTCGTGTAGAAAATCGTTTGCTGCAGTGCGTTATTAGTGGAAGAAGTGACCCGCAAGTACTGTCTCGCCAACATAGTTGCATTGCCCCTGTATTTCGGTCCGAACACTCGAGGCACGGCTTTTCTTTTTCGAAACCATACTCCACGGGACTGCTTCTTCGACTATGAAGATGGAATATCACGACAAAACAAAACAATTTCTGGCCTTGGCTCCGGGGCCGCCGCGTATGTTCGCTCCGCAGACTTCGACGGCTGTCAGTAGGCCAAAAAAGAACTCCACGGCGTGTCTAGCATGCAAAGCAGCAAAGAGAAAGGTGAGCCGATCTCGATAAATTCCTTGAAACACATTCTCCAAAATGAAGACCCAGGCTGATTGTCGCTTCCTGCATGATACAGTGTTCAGGACCAGATGCGCCATGTAAGGCTTGTCGAGCGACCAACACTGATTGCCACTTTGATCCAACTCGAGACCTCAGACGCAAGGTAGCCGTCAAGCGGACGATTCAGGAGCTCACAAACCACAAAGATCTACTAGAATCTTTGTTAAAAACCCTCAGGTCGGCTGATCGACATGAGTTTGAGCATCTGATGCGCTTGATACGTGATAAGGCTCCATTGCAGGATATTGCCCGTGCTGTTGGTAGCCTCGCCACGATCTTTGGAGATCCCCAGGAGCTATCCAATGCCACCAAGTTAGCAATCGCAGAGTATGGGGATGGCATCTTGGATACTTCGAGCACTGGTGTCAGACGACCGTCGGACCCTAGCAACGCAGGAAGCTCACCAGAAGATGCCCAACCCATCAAAACTTCTCAATGGCCAAAAGTTAGCCCATATGCCCGTGTCACACTTGAGAGCCTTTGCGACATACCCCCGTTTGAGGTGCCGGCAAAGCCGTGGACGGCGATAACAAATGATGATTACCTGGTCTCACATCTGGTCTCGCTATATTTCACCTGGGACCACCCGTGTTCGCAATTCCTTGACCAAGGTATCTTCCTTGAGCATATGAAGCTTGGGGATCGAAGATCGAAGTTCTGCACTCCGCTTCTCGTCAATAGCCTCCTGTCAATGGCTAGTGTATGAATCCGGCAAATTCCCCCTTGTGATTCCCAGAAACTAACCTTGACAGGCCCATTCTGATAGCCCAGATGTTCTCTCGATCTCCAGAGATTCACTCTCACGGGGGCAGAGCTTTTTTAACGAGGCACAAAGATTGTGGGAAGCCGACTGTGATGATGATGGCGATGATGATCGTGAAATTCCTAAAATCCAGGCTCTTCTCCTGATGTGCTGCGTGTATGTACCCACTAGTCCGTAACAAACTCGCCATGTTCTCAAGATTGATCGATTTTGCAGATTCAAATACCAGGGGCGAGCCAAGAAAGGCTGGATGATGTTGACTCAGGCTATTCAGTTGGGTCGGGATATAGGGCTGGTTGATGCCCCAGCAGATTCGCAAAACAAGACGTCGCCCGAGGTAGAACGTGTTCGCACGATCACTGCCTGGGGAATTTTCAACCTGAGCTTGTAAGCACTGCAAGTCACCCCATAAACGAACAATGCCTAACCATTCGTGCAGACAAATGTCAATTGAGCTACAAAGGCCCGCCCCCCTGGCGTATCCCACACCCGGTGTCAAGCTGTGTGGTAGCGAAGATTTCGATTGGACCCCATATCCTCGTTTAAACAAAATCACTTACAACAAGAAGCCAGCCCGTCTACCCGAAATTAGAGAAGGACTGGCCGAAATCACCATAATTTTAGTCGATGTACAGAAACTCGTTTCCGATAAACGTCGGCACATCAGTCTTGATGAGTTATGGAGGAAAGCTGAAGATCCATTTGATCGGTTGGCTGCGTGGTTGCAACGTTGGCCGAGCGTCCACGGAATACAACAAAGCACAGTCCCTCAAGTTCTTCTCCTGCGGTAAGCATGGATGCACTTTTTTTTTTTGAATTATATACTGACCCCACATAAAGAATAAAATGCCTCCAGGCTATCATCCAGTTGTGTGAGATTCTCAATGACCCTCATCAACCACAATTTGGCCGACAAGCCAAGTACTATCAGCTTAAATCGGCTGTGGAAACGGCGCAATGTCTTAAAATCCACCGTCAGTTGTATGGTCTCAAGCATATACCCAGCGAGATGGTCAATGCCACACAGGCAGGCCTTCGGATTTTGCTATACCAACTAGAAGACGGCGACGATGCCAAACAGGCATTTGTTGAGTTCTGTCGGTTTGGAAGGGCTCTTGGTCACAGGTTCAAGCAAACAACCGACGTAATTCATGAGATCAGGAAGACTGTGCTGCACCGAAGCCTTCGATTGCCGTCGGAGGCTATTGCAATACTCGATGATCGGGAACCATGGAGGGTACTCGAGCCGTGAGGATTGAACCTGGAAAATGTGTTCGTAGCTGGGTCTGTGCGTCTCATGAATCGATGCTAATACAACACGACAGCGATGGATCAAGTTCTGCAGATTTGAGCGAGAAGATGGAAACATCCGGGGGGCACGAGGAAGACGCTGGAGGTTACCCACTCGTTCCTGCAGAACCCGTGACTGCAGAGTAAATTACAACACCGTCCTAGCGAGATCTTGGTCGGTGCGATCTCTGCCTTCCCTGACACTCGTGTCAGAGACGACGATATATAATGTTGCCATTTCTATGGTTTGTAATTCAAAGCAGGGAATGGGGAAGCAGCAGCTAACGTTGACTGAGGGGAAGAAGAAGGTTGTCACGGGTATGGGGACTTGTGCGTGACTTTAGGGATGCTTTCAAGTTTAACCGATGGGAATGGCCACTTGTTAGCTTCTGAGCCACCGGAAATTGTTTCCATGTCCCTCTGATCACAGGCATAATAACACTAGTTACATATTATGAAACCACCTCAATTCGAGCTGTGATCTATGTGTTTCTTTGGCGCTGATCGTCTCAGTTTTCCCCTATAAGAGACCAAAATTAATTCAAAGACAAAGAAAAAGAAAAAAGAAATAGAGGAAGAGGAAGAGGAAGAAGGGGAAAAAACCCTTGGTGGTCTGTTTAAGCCAACTGCCTTCTGCCTGTCGTTACACCATCAGGTGCAGGTGCTTTTTACACTGTGTACATATCTGTTAAGGAATCTTGTATCCGGCTCTATAAACTGATCTGAACTTGAAGTATTTCTCCCTTCAGCCAGGATTGAGGAATATAGATAGACAGAATGAGCATACAAAGCATTAACAGACTTGGTTGCTTTACGAAACATTGTTTTCAAATAGAGAGAACAATGCGGCTTTATCATTCACGATGGTTATGAAGGGAAAGAGGAACTCGAGTCCACTGTGCTTATGTGTTAAGAGACTCCTTTGCTCCTCAAACTAGCGTGTTATATGCTGTGTGTTGCTGTATTATATCGTAGATGTCCAATTTAGCTGTACTGTGCTTGATAGTTGTAAGGCTAATAGCATGTACCCATGTAGGTAACATTGGAGGTATATACATGTAGATAAAGCGGACCTGGTAGAAGTAGAGAGTACAAAAGATTGAAGATCAAAATAGCTGACGAGGCGAGTACCCGGTACTTCCATTGTTATTCAGTGGTCCAGGTGGACAGTGCACAAACCTTGGAAGGCCGCACAGCTGAGTCATCCCGCTGCTTATGCGCAGATAAGATAAGCACAAACACCCAAGCGAAAACCCTCAAAATTCGACTTCTTTGGCAAATCGCACACGCCGACGCTATCCTCCACCCCCCACCTTGCCCCTTCCGCTCTCTCTCTGCCGTTTCATCCCGGCATCTTGCTGCAATTTTAAATCGCTTCTTTCTCCCCTCCCACTCAACATGTCCTACGAAGACCGCGCCAATGCGCGCCCCAACTTGAACGATGAGTCTGATAATGAGGAGGAGGCTATGGTCAACGACTATCGCGAGCAGGTCAACTTCGACGAAGGAATGAGCGATCTGGACCGGACCACATCCCACGGTGCTTCTCAAACCCAAGACCTCCAGGCTCAGCTCGCCGCCGCCGCTACCCCGCTGGAGTACCAGGCTACTCTTGAGACCAAATTCGCCAGCTACGACAACTACTGCAGTCTCTTCCACTACATTCTGAACTCCGATGGCCCCGTGGACTTGGAGGTTCCTTCCGTATGTGCTCCATCCTGCCGACCCAATGTTGAAGGGCATGAATGAAAAGGAAAAAGCTTGGCATTCATGGCATCAACAAGTCGATTCAACCTTCAAAACACATAGATAACTAATGCTGTTCCTTCTAATCAGTACTACTGGGCTTGGGAAGTTATTGACGAGTTCATCTACCAATTCGAATCCTTCTGCCGCTACCGCAACCGCGTTGCTTCCACCGGATCCAACGAGGAGGAGGCTCAGCTCCTTCGCGAGAACCCTAACACATGGGGCTGCTACTCAGTGCTGAACGTGCTTTACTCTCTCATCCAGCGCTCCCAGATCAGCGAGCAATTGAACGCCACCAAGCGAGGAGAGGACCCCTTGGCCGTTGCTGGCGAGTACGGCTCACGCCCCCTTTACAAGATGCTCGGATACTTCTCGATCATCGGACTGCTGCGCGTGCACTGCCTGCTCGGTGACTTCAGCCTTGCCCTGAAGATCCTCGACGATGTCGAGATGAACAAGAAGGCCATGTTCGCCCGCGTTATGGCCGCCCACTTCACCACCTACTACTACGTGGGCTTCTCCTACATGATGATGCGCCGCTACGGCGATGCCATCCGCATGTTCAGCCACATCCTCGTGTATGTGTCTCGGACAAAGAACTTCCAGAAGGGTGGCAACAACTACGATGCCATCGCCAAGAAGAACGACCAGATGTACGCCCTGATCGCCATCTGCGTTGCTCTCCACCCCACCCGTCTGGATGACACCATCCACTCGGCCGTCCGTGAGAAGTACGGCGAGCAGTTCTACCGCATGCAGAAGGGTGGCCCCGAGGCCCTGCCCGTCTTCGAGGAGCTCTTCCGCTCTTCCTGCCCCAAGTTCATCAACCCCACTCCTCCCGACTTCGACAACCCCGCCTCCAACGTCGACCCCGTCGACCACCACACCGCCATCTTCATGGATGAGGTCAAGAACACCCTGTTCAACCCTACCATCCGCTCTTACCTCAAGCTCTACACCACCATGGATCTCCAGAAACTCGCTGGATTCCTCGATGTGTCCCCCGAGCAGCTCCGCTCGTGGCTGCTCGTTAACAAGCAGCGCAGCCGCCAGATCCGCTGGGTCGACGGTGGCCTGCTGGATGGCGAGCCTTCTATCGCCAACGATCTCGACTACGCTCTTGAGGACGACCTGATCCACGTCAGCGAGACCAAGGCCGGCCGTCGTCTGGTCGACTGGTACCTGCGTAACCTCGCCCGTGTTTACTAAACGGGGCCCGTGTCTCATAAGTGTGCCGAGAGTTGAAAAAGAAAAAAGCGAAGAATGGAGAGAGCCTTCTGCTTACAAGAGGAACGGACATGACTTGAGATGAATTTTCTTTCTTTTTCTCTGCCTACTTTGTTTTTATTTTCCATATTATACTCATTGCTCTCCTCCTTCCTCCCCCCTTCATGTGTCTTGTTCCTGGTTTTCCCTTTTTTTTTCCCCGTTTTATTTTTTTGTCCGACTGTTCCGGTCCATGGACCATGGAAGTTCAAGGCTTTCTGGTCCGTTCAAAATCGAGTTGGATTATCGCGTTTTCTTTGGTGGGCGTCCGCTGTTTCATGTGTTGTCCTGGTCATGGTCTGCTGTCGCTGCTTCTTTGAAGGCAGATGGTTTACACAGCATGGAGAGTATTTGTGTCAGGTAGAGAAGAAAAGCAGTTACTTGATGAAAGCAATAGATCAACGACTCTACATATTTCAATTATCTTCTATGGGCGCGGTATCTAAGTAGAATCTGGCGCGTAACCACACTATGGGATGGTGAAATCTAATATAGCGGATTGGATCAAAAGGTCTATAGGACTTCAAGTCCGGAGAATGAAAAATATATTGTAATTAGTAGGACCATAGAATCAACGATTTCTATCTACATATACAATTACACCCCTCTCTGATCTCAATCACAACAATAATAGCTCACCTGTGGCAGCTCCACCGGCCAGTTGGGGTTGGTACGCCGCCTGTTGATTTTGAGTCACGACATACTGTGTTTGGGGCGCGCCTCCGCCACCAGTACCATGAAGGTCCAGCGAAGCCATTTGCTGGGATCCAATGCCACTGAAGTAAGCATCTGCGGCATCAGCGGCCTCGTTCATGTTGCTGGGACCTGTGGCTACGGGGTGGCCTCCCGGGCCAATAGGCAGAGATGAAGGAGGCGCGGCATTGATTGGAGTAACGGGATTACCCGTGGTGATGATTGTGGCTAAACCACTATTACTGGTTGATGCAGATGCCATGTTTGCAGTAGGAGGATTGTACTCAAGCATATTGCCTGTAGCGTCCTCGATGCGGGGCCGTTGCAAGGCCGGACTGGGCAACAGTCGACGAGGGCGGGCAGCACGGAAAACCTGGTGGATGGGCTTGAGGTAAACGGTGGCCAAAGTGCCAACGTTCAGACAGAGCTCCTCGAGAGTGCGTGGGTCCAGCTTTTCGCTCTCGGCTGTGATCGGGGGCTTTTGACCCATGACGACCTTCTTGGCAGTTGCAGGGTCTGTCGACAGCAAGCGCCAGTACATGTAGCCACGATCACGAAGATCTGGGTCATCTGTTTCCTCAGTACACCATTTCAGCACCTGTGGTACAAGCTTTTGGCCCTTAGTGGGGCGTTGGATGAAAAGTTTGACGGTAGCCGTGAGCAGGGCCAGCTGCACTTCGACCGTTTCGTCATGGAATGTAGCCAAGTAATCCTGAAGGAGACCATCTGAATTATCAATGCGATCCGCATACTGTCCAATGATCCAAATGACAGCTGCCTTAGCCTCGGGCTCATCCAAATCGTCGATGTTTCGGATAACATGACTGATTATACTCTCGTACTGGTTGGGGTATTTTCGGAAAATGTTGCGGATCACAACTGTTGCCTCTTGGACAATATAGGGGATTTTGGCATCGACCAACTCCAAAAGTGTATCAATGCACTGCTTTGCAGCAGACTCAATCTTAATTGCCAATTTGCCAATGGCTCGAACCGCCTTGCGTACAAAGTGAACGTCGATTTCGGTGGCATATCTGCGAGGTATGTTAGTATGCATGTCATACAGTTCGGCCAATGAGTTCTTACTCTCGGAGCTCTGCCAAAACAACACCAATGTTCTCTTTTGTGGTCAGCATGAACATTAATTCTAGCTTGGTCACTTTGACGTAGATTGGGTCATTGTAATTGCAGAAAAACACTCGGATGTCATTTCGCAACACTTCTGGTCTCTTTTGGAGAATTAAGATAGCATTTCGCAGCGCCAAGTATTGGACCTCTGGCGGCTTGGAGAGCAATGTGACGAGAGGTGGCGATAACTTCTTGCATAAGGAAGTGATGTGCTTTTCGCCCGATATGTAGTTCATGAGATAAAGAATGACACGGCAGGATGTAAGGACGACAGAGGAATTTGAATGTGAAAGTCGCGGGGCAATTCTCTCTGCCAGAAGAAGTGCCTCGGCAGTATCTTGGGGCACGTATGCCATGAGTGCCTCGAGGATATAACTTTGGCCCCATCTGTTTAGATTATTAGCATAAGATCGTTTGTAACCGGACCAAATATTCTTACTCAGAGCAGTCTGGCAGAATGGAAACCAATTTCGAAGCACTGACGTAGTCGATAGTGAGTGAGATGGATTCACTGCGGCCCCAAATATCGACTAGCGAAGCCAAAACGCTGGCAACAACAGTTGGGTTCTCATCCTTCAACATGCGATTAAGCCTGTCGATCAGATCTGAGTTCTCCACCATCTTTTTATCGTGCTCATAGAGCTTTGCGACACAGAAAGCAGCGGTCTTGCGGACGTATGGGTCGTTGTCTTGCATAAGGCGCTTGACAGGTTGGAAGCTCGCTTCGACAAATTCGCGAACATGTACATATGAAATAGTTCGCAGCGCAAGTGCACGCACAAGTGGGTTGTTATCTCCCATGTCCTGTAGGCCAACTCAGTCAGACCATCTCAAGCTTTCTATCTGACATCGGGGTCATACCTCAACCAAGATAGGCAGCGCCTTCATCGCGACCTCTGGTTTCATTCTCGAGTAATTTACCAAAAACAAGAAGCACCTATACAATATATCAGCCAAGAAGCTCTGTTCTGCAGCAAAGGGTCAGAGCATACATCTTCTTGATCTCCAAGCTTGGCAGATTCATACAACCAATGACGTCTGGAAACAGCGCAACCATGTCGTTGTTGCTCATGGTCATATTGGCGACAATCTTCTTCAGTGCGATCTTTTTGGCGGAATAGTTCTTGTCTTTCTTGCCACCGCTATTGAGCTCCTGCCGTAGCTCCGCGACTTTCCCCTGTGCAGTCCGCAAGCGTGAGCCGTGTGATGGAGCATAAGGAGTGATGCCAATGAACATGAGGGCAGATATAATGTGGTAGTTCGAATGATGTAGGAATAGAACAAGCAGCCTATGCCAAATGCAAGGGAAGCAAGTTGCAAGCAAAAGGCCCGAGTACAGACCTCATCAAAGCGAGGGGAAGTGAATATATGGAAGTAGAATGCGGGGAAGGCGCGAGGTGGACTATCATGCGATCAAAGAATAAGCTGGACAAGCTAACTTACCCTAGCGAACAACTTCGCATCTCCTCCAGAACTCATGGCTGCGGTATGGACGAATAGCGAATGGCCAGGGCTGGGCGTAATTTGTTGTAGCGCAGACTTGGGCTGCTTTGGGTTCGGATCTGACGGCCGTGCGATCAATCACAAGCGAGATTGGCTAGAGGATCGCCAAAAAACAAGGGAAGTAAAAGAGACGCGAAATCGAGTTCGAAGGGCCCGGGGGGGAGTTAAAGAGAGGAAAAGGGTGAGACCGAAGGCGTGTTCACTGCACCACTGTGGCGCATTCGGGAGACTCGGAAACAAATCAGCTCAGCGATTAGACATTGTTCTTCTCGAACGATCCCAAGAATAAAATTCGAAGACCAATGACTGTGAGTGGGAAAGGAAGAGAAAGGAGAATTGATTGAAGGCGGAGTACAAAGTAGGTGCGGAGGAACCTCCCTACTCGCAACTTTCTCCCCCGTCTCTGCTTCGATCATCTCCCCACACCCACATCCACAGCCTCTTCATCATGTCACAAGCTGGTCTTCCACCCCCACCTCCTCCGCAATGGGTTGTTGCGCTGAACTCCCCGATGCCGCGCCCCTCAAAGGCCGCATCCAGCATCCCGGACCCGCCAGGCTTCTCGAGCAAATCGGGCGGCAAGCAGGTGAGTCCTACTGCCAACCACATCGTTTTAACATTTTGCTAATATAGTATTTTTCAGCGCCAGCAACAGCAGCAGCAATCCGCCACGAAGAAGCCCGACGAGACAGATGCGCTTAAGATGAAGAAAGCGTGGGAGATCGCCATCGGCCCGTCCAAGCAGATCCCAATGAATGCGATTATGATGTACATGTCCGGCAACAGTCTTCAGATTTTCAGCATTATGATGGTCCTCATGTTGTTCAAGGGTCCTATTCAGGGCTTGATCAATACCAATGCGGTGTTCGCCAAATACGACACCCCATCGACACATTCGCGTCTACTTGGAGTGAAGGTGGTCTATATGTTGATGCAGCTGGTTTTATTGGGATTGGGTATCTGGAAGGTTAATGCGATGGGTTTACTGCCGTAAGTCTTGCTTTCTGCTCATTAAAATGCTTATCGCTAACATCTGTTCAGAACTACGAGATCGGATTGGCTAGCATGGGAGTCGGAACGGCAGCCTTTGGAACGCGCTCACTTTGCTTTCAGGTGATACGATGCACCCGTAACATGGCCTAATTTATTAAAACCAGGCAGCTGGGAATGCATCCGTGGACGGTGCTCTAGTTGAGAACATGACATCGGGGCTGTCATCACGTTGATGTTCTTTGCCTTCTTGTATTATTGATTGAAAAATTCCCATAATAATGCATGTTTCGAGCGCAAATTTCTCAAAACGGTATCAGAAGAAAAGGAAGGAACATAGTTCATGATGGTCATCGAGCTGTGGAGGTCCATATCAAGGAGTCCCTCGTCACTTCTGGCTGGCCTGGATATTACTGGCACCAACACGCTTGGCTTCCTCCCTCAAACGACGCTCCTCGCGCCAATCCGGACCCCTCTGAATCACGATCAAGAGCAACGGCGTCGTAGCCATCATCACTAACGCGATGAATGTGAAACACCAACCTCGACCCATGGCAGAAAGCATAGGATCGATGAGCGCTGTCGCCCCCGCCCCCAGTAAGCAACGGCCGAAATTGTTCGCAGCAGTAGCCTTGGCCGCCTGTGTTGGGTATAGGTCCACCAGGAGCGTGCTGATAGTATTGAATGCGCCAGTCAATGTCAGTCCCAGAAGGAACAGAATACAAGTCGGCGCGGCAAGATGAATCCCATAGTTCAAGAACCAGCCAAACACAAGAACACAGATGCCTCCTAGTACGAGAAGGGGAAACGCAATCTGAAGACGAGCTTTTTCAATAGGAAAGTTGCGTAAATCAGTGTGCCGGTTCTTAGTTAGTGGGAAATTCAATTGCTTTGCGAGTCGGCGGTAGTTGTAGTCCAGGAATTTGCCATTGACAACAGAGGCAATAGTTGCACCCAGACCAAATGGAATATAGCAGAGACCGACTTGGAGATCATCCAGCCCGTAGAGCTCGTTGTAAATAGCCGGAATGCTTGCGCTCACGTCGTAGAACCCAGCAAAAAGTATAGCATTACAGAAGAGAATGAGGCTAGTGTCCTTCTGGAAAACAATGGCAAGTGTCTCGAAAGGGTTGGGAAACTTGAGCTTCTGCTTGGATACAATGGCTGGAGATGCGACGCCTTCCTCGTGAGCCTTCCGGGACTTCAGGTAGCTGATCAGGGACATATTCCATTTTTGGGGAGGCAATGATCCATCGCCAACAATACCACGAGCGGTCTCCGGGAAGAAGACCAAAAAGGGAACCATGAAAGCCCCTGCAAAGATGGTTAGGAACCAGAAGATAGCCCGCCAGCCCAGGTATTGGGATAGTAGGCCTCCAATAACGGGCCCGACTGAAGGGCCCATGAGAGACCCTGCCATGACGAATCCCATGTAGGACCCTCGCTGTGCTGCAGTGGCTACATCAGAGACCACCCCAGATGAAAGGGCGATAGTCGTGCTACTTCCTGCGCTTTGCAGGCATCGGAGAACAAATAGAGCTGCATAATTGTCTTGCAGCGCAAGTCCAATATTGGCTGCGATATAGATAGTAAAACACACGATGTATGCTGGGCGTCGTCCAGCCTTGTCCGCAAAGTCACCAATAAACATGGGCGACAGCCCCTGGAAGATCTGTGATCCTGTTAGTCGATCTAGTAAACCTAAATATAGACTATTTATAGAGATAGAAAGCTGTACCATATAACTTGTCAAGGTCAAATTGATCAACGAATTCGACACATGCAGATCTTTTGCTAGAGTGTTCAGAGCGGGAAAGTAGATCTGAGAAGAGACAGGCGAGAAGAACCCCGCCCAAGAGGCCATGAAGACGATATATCTGCGCTGACTGACTGTGAAGACTGAATAGTCAACGTCTGCGAGATCTCCGCTTTCCGTCCCCGCATTTGCATTTTGAGTCGATTGGGTGTGGCAAGTAGGCGGTTCGCTTGCTTCCTTTTCCATCTTGGCTGTGGAGGTGGCAGCCCGCCAGGTGAGTAAAAGTGCATGGAGAAATGCCCTGCAAATCCTTTCTCACTAGCCCGTAAACGGGAAGGGTCCATATTGCGAGATGCTCACTCATTTGCGGAGATAAATTGGGGTCGGTGCCGAGAAGCCGAAGTTGTTATAAGACTCGGTACTATTCCCGGACTATAAAAGGTTTATATACAGCACTAAACGCATGTAGAGAGCAGAAAATGGTAGAATATTAAGTGACATTGCTTTTTCGCGAACATAGACGACGGATACAACTAAAAGACTTTTGACAATAATACACAAGAAAACAGCGGTCAGCGCGCTTTGACAGCCTCTTTACATGCTTTCAGGAAGACTTGACAGAACTCCCACACTTCTGTATAGGTGTTGTACAATGGCGCAGGGGCGACCCGAATCACGTCTGGTTTCCTCTCGTCAATAACAATACCATTCTCCTCCAAGCAATGCAGAACATAATCAAGTAACCCTGGCTGGAGACGAAGACTGAGCTGAGCACCTCTCTCAGCTGGATTTGATGGCGTGATGAGGGTAAATGGTTTATCTTCTGGAGTTGCATCCAGAGGATACTTCATCAGAAGATGTTCTAGATATCCTGTAAGATGGAGGGACTTCTGTCGGATCTCTTTCATTGTCGCTCGATTGAATATTTCGAGAGATGCGACAACTGCGGTGATATCCAGGACAGAAGGGTTCGATAGTTGGAACCCAGCCGCGCCGGGTTGGGGCAGGAATTCTGTAAATATCAGCTTTGATAATATATACACCAATCAAAGTACATACTGTTCTCCATGTTGAAGCGCGTCTTGATATCTCCACCCCACCAGCCCGAGAGTCGAGGCCGGAATGTCTCGTCGCCCTCGGGCTGTTTCTCATCGATGGAGCCGTGGCGCTCATGGACAAATAGTCCTGCTATTCCACCCGGACCGCTGTTGAGATACTTGTAATTGCACCAGGCGGCAAAATCCACATTCCAATCGTGAAGACGCAAATCCACATTGCCGGCGGCATGGGCACAGTCCCAACCGATCAAAATGCCTTGGGAGTGGGCGTGGGCGGTGATCCGTTCAATATCAAAGTACTGCCCTGTGTAGAATTGAATAGCTGAGAGCAGGATTAGCGCAGTACTCGAAGCATTATCATCGATTACTTTGATGATTTGTTCTGTGCTCAGGGTAGGTTGATCTAAGTCCTTCGGCTCAATCAACACCATGCCCTCCTTCGGATCGAAGTTATGGTGGCGAAGCTGAGACTCAACCGCATACTGAATTGCGCTTGCGTCAGTAAAATAAATATATCTACGATTATTATCCATAGAATTTGGCTGGAATGACATACATGATCACTAGGAAAGGCCTTGCCTTCCAGGATAATCTTGTACTTCTCTTTTGTTGGGCGATAGAAGCTTGCCATTAGCAAGTGCAAGTTGGCAGTCAAGGTTCCCATAACAGCTACTTCGCTCTGAGAGGCACCAACCACCGGGGCCATGAGTTTAGAGCCTGCGGTATCGACGTCGACAAATGGTGGTAGCAATTGATCGTCATGAGGTACGAAATGCCCGGTCACGCCTTTCGTTGCCCAAGTTCTCAGGTACTGCTGAATATATTTCTGGGTACTGCAAGGCTGGACTCCCAGTGAATTGCCGCAAAAGTAAATGCATCTCGAGTCAGATGCTTCGTTACCTAGTGAAAAGACCGAAAATTAGAATGAAAGCCGAATTATACACTTGACCTTCACACGCACCCTCATCCACCGCCAGAGTCTTCCGCTGCAAATCCTTCTTGGACGGAATAATAAACTCATCCCGGAAGGACCGAAGAGGGTCTTGAGCATCCAGAGCTTCGGCATACTCTTTCTTGTAAGCCCTGATATCATCTCCATAGGGAAGCGGGGAACTGCTTCTATAGTCCCGAACATGTTGTCGGGACCCCATTGTGACAGAACTAGAATCAAAGAGCTCTTGAGATGCAATTACACGCCTCAGTTGCCTCAATATTCCAGCAGATGACGGCTTCAGCAGAGAATACCGAGGTCATCTAAGATTGATACCTTCGTGTGTCCCCCACCATCCGACGATCACTTCCCAACTGGGCAGTTATTCTGCCGACATCCCCCGACTGGATCCGACCAATGGCGTCACTACCAAACTGACTAACCCGATAGTAATCGCGAATGGAATGATTTGATATCAAACAGATTTGCTTGCTCATCTTTCTCCAAAGAACTTGCCCTTTTCACACATCTGCCATGTCACGCCACTTGCTCTCATCAACAATCGCCCGGCGGTTATCCCAATCTCAGGGTTGCCGCCTCTTCTCAACTTCCCGACCGGCTTTGCGCATCTCCGGCCTCTCCGCATTCTCCGACGGCGAAGTCGTTTCTCGCCGTCCAGGCACTGTCGCATGTGCTCCTCTCAACCGCTCAGCCCCTCAATTCTCAACTTCTCGCTATATTCGCCAAAATCGTGCGTGTTTTTCCTCCTCGTCTGTCCGCCCGGCCACCAAGGTGACGCAAAATCCGAGAACCGGAGATGATGGAGAGTCCCTCATGATGGCTATTTCGCCACGGGCTATCGAGGTGAGTTGATAATGGCTTTCTTTGTCGTGGATTCACCTGCATCCGTTTTACTATTTTCTATGGCTTGTGCTGGGACAGATGGGAAGCTCTGCCGGCTGCATGTGCATGATTAAGTGCCGGGGTCCAATCCAAAATGTCGGCTTGCCTTCAGCCGGCAGGGGACTAGCCCATAGTCGCATCATGGTCCCTTCAGGTGCCTGTTCAAGTACATGCGACCATAGGGTGTGGAAAACAGGGCTTCCCGTCCGCTCAGCCGTACTTAAGCCACACGCCGGTGAGTTAGTAGTTGGGTGGGTGACCACCAGCGAATCCTCACTGTTGCATGTTTTTTTTTGCCCTATTTTTGTTGGCTTTTTGCCTCTGGAGCATCTTTGGTTGTGGAATCAAGCTAATCCAGCGCAGCGTCTCCGTGAGATCACAGACCCATCTTCCTCCCCCTCTACCATGAAAGAAGAGAACCCCTACCACCACCTCCGGATCACAGTCACCAGCGGTGGATGCCATGGTTTCCAATATATGATGTCCCTAGAAGGTGCTTCCAAAATCGACCCGGAAGAGGATACCATCTTTGAAGGTGAACCAGAGGCATCGGAGGCTGCGTCGGAATCAGCAGGCGAGGCCTTGATTGTTATGGACGAACCTTCACTTGAATTGCTGCACGGCAGCACCGTGGATTACACTACGGAGTTGATCGGAAGCCAGTTCAAGATCGTGGACAATCCTCGCGCAACAAGCAATTGCGGTTGCGGGACGAGTTTCGATGTCAGCGACTGATTGGACACATTGTCTCTCGAGATAGGAGAGATGCTACTTTCTTCTTCTGCTATACTTATGTACATCATACTGCATTCTGCACACCGGAAAGACAAATAATTGCATGCTATACCCCTCTTCTCTCCCTTATACCAGGTTAAACCTGCAGTTTGAGTATGGCCAACCCTGCGATTTCAATGGATGATATTTAATGATGTCCGCCTGGAAGACCTTTCGTATGCTTGACTTGATAGTGAAGATCTAGATGTTGATTGGCGCAGACTACCGGTATGCCAAGTACTACGTAGTCACATATTGCGCTAAGCCGTTAGCACGAATCTGGCGTGTGAGATGGCAATGGGTAGTCTGTTTTGGTGATATACATGTTTCGATCAAATGGCATGACAATCACCAGGAAAACCTGTGACTTCCTACGATCTATTGTCTATATTGTGACAATACCGGTCAATCTATGGACTTGATCCAATACGGACACTTCCAGGGTGAAAGACTTGAACAATGGATATCAACGACTATCAAAGCCTCTGCTAACGCTAAAGAGAACAAGACATGATGAAAAGAAGACTATCATCGACGAATGCAGCCTGCGCAAGGTAATGATAAAAAAAAGCCTGGTCTCACGTACACAGTAAAGAGAAAGTTATCAATCCTCCTCCATCTTGGCCAGTCCACCACGACTACGGCGAATGCGTTCATCGAGAGTATCCTCCTGTACTCGCTTGTTGACATCAGACATGAACCTGCCTCGGTCTGAACGTTGCCGATCATCAGCCTCCCGTTGCTCTTCCTCTTTAGCGGAAATGTCCGTGATGCGCTGGCGCCGCTCGGTTTCCATATCGGTGGCATTGCATTGCATTTCTGCCAGTTTGCGCCGGCGCTCTTCTTCCAGTTCCTTAGGATCAGGTTTGGTTGCTGGGGCACGAGCCGAGGGTGGCCCTTGGTCCCGGCCAGAGTCACGCCGATTGTTGTATTCGCGTCGAGGGAAATCACGGCGGCGCTCTTCGTCCGCAGCAGGACGTTCTTTGCGATCACTGGATGGGCGGGGAGATCGGGAAGTCCGACGCGGTGAGCGATTTCGGTCACGTCTATCTTCGCGATCTTGGTGTCGGCTGGAGTGAGGGTCTCTCTTGTCTCTATAGTCCCGACGATCTCGATCCCTGTCTCTGTCATCTCGGCGAGGTCTGTACTCATCACCCCTTCGATCACGGTTGTCTGAACGGTGTTCATCATCGCGATGTTCACGGTCACTGCGGTGTCTGCGAGAGGATCGATCGGGCGAACCAGGCGATCTAGACCGGTGTCGACGAGGTGACGATCTTCGGTGGTGGCGGTCATGGCGGTCACGACGATCATCGCTTGCATCGTCGCTGTACCGTCTGCGCTTCGAGTCATGGGTACGATGGTGGCGATCACGGTCACCCCGGTCACCGTGGTCACGATCCTTTCCTCGATCGCGATCCGCGCGTTTCATCTCTCGTTCCTTGCGCCTAACTGCCTCCTTCACCATCGCTTCATATGCCGCCTGTTCCCTCTTCTTCACTTCGAGTAGCGGGTCCGCCATAACCTTCGACATGGTATCGCGCGCTGAGACAGCAGATGGGCCGGCTGGGGTACCGTTGCCTACCACCTCCGAACCCTTCTCTAACTTCTTGGTGTCTGGGTCGTTCTTCAGGAGAACTCCATCGATGCGGCGTTTTCCCAGAAGGTATCCCTCCATCTCCTCCGAGTAGTGTCCGGTCGCGCTCGAGGGTGCCTGGTACATCCAGTCGACTCGACTGTGTTGCTTTGACTTTCCGGAGGCTTCTTGTAGGCGCTGGATTTCTTCCATTTGGCGCTCCTCCTCTCTTTCACGCTGAAGTTGCGCGATCTTTTTGCGCTCTTCCAGAGCGCGCTTTTCTTCCAGCCATACGCGCTCCTGATTCTTCATCAACCCCGGATGCCATGACCTAGTTGGACAATCAGTATTCTGCTTCGTGTTTCTCTTGAAACAGAAGTAAAACTGGGGATGTTACTCACTTCTTGAGGTTCAGATCTCCACCCATGATGTTTGAAAGACAGAAAGAGTTAAGAAAAAAAAAGGTGATACGGGGAAGTTGCAATGTCCGAACCAAAGCTTCTTATCTTCGGGGCCCAAAGCTCAATTGGCCACCGATCACGTGCTGCCTCTCAATATAGTAGACCGGTTAGAACCAACTTCACGTTCTAGTATTCGAGGCGGAGTGATTGTATATCCACATGTATATATTTATGTTGGAAGAACAGAACTGATATTTCTTTTCTTTAGTTGCGAATATAGTTGGGGAATAAGCATCACGCACCAGTCGAGAATTCGCATACACCTGGGCACCTTCAGTCTCCTACTGAGGGCAGCAACATTAAACTTGAATCAAAGGAATTAGATGCATAGGAGGCTCGAGAAGGTAAAAAAGGAGAAGAAAAGCGACAAATGATGAAACTCTAAGTACAGGGTGAGGAATCGAAACCAAAACGCAATCATATCATATCATCGTCCACGCCACGGAACTCCAGGAGCAAAGCTAGATCACCAGAAACTACACCATCCAATCCAGTGCTGACAGATATTCTCGACATTGGTTGCCTGCGCAATAAGCTTGTCCACCTGGTCGCTGACACCCAGCTCTTCGTTATTTCTGAAGTCTCGTCCAGTGAGCTTCTCCTTGACACGGGCGAGAACTTGTAGAGCACGAGCATTCTGTGCCTCGCGGGCTTCTTGTGGAACGCCTTCCGGAGCATCGAGAATGCCACCTTCAAGAATGGACGGGCGGCGGCGCCGGGCGAAATCGGGCTGGGTGCCGGGTTCGAAGTTACCGTCCATGATGGATTGACGACGATCCGCGGGCATAGATACTCGGTCAGGGGACTCTTGTGTGCCCAGGCGCCAGTTGATAAGGGGGTCATGGATGAACTAGAAGATAAAGAATCAGCGGACATGATTGTACAAAAATGAGAAATTAGGACACTTACAGCTTCGAGGACCGCCATCAAGGAATCCTTGTGCTCTCGTAGAACACGCATGACAGCCTCGCAAGTGATGCGGTAACTACCCTCAATATTGCTGACTTCCATTGCAAAGGTCAGCATGCGAGTGAGTCGGAATGGTACTCGCTCCGGGTATTTTTCTCGGTGCATTGCGATCTCGAAACAATCACCGAAATCGATATGGACCACACGGCCATTTCCACGATCCAGCAACAAATTCGACGGATGTCGGTCTCCCAGGCCAAGGATGTAGCCAACCATCGACATAACACCGAGAGATCGAGTGTAATTGGTACGGCGCTCGAGCCATGCCTCAGAGCTCTTGCTCTTGAGCCATAGCACCCGGTACAAATCTTTGCCGGTCGTGTTGTCCATGGCGTAACCAAAGACTTCGACTTTCTGCATGAGAGTGAGGCTATCATAGTCGGGAGCCATTTGAAGCATGATGCGATGCTCGATGTTGAGTAGAATACGGCGGCTCTCGCGGTACTCCTTGATCAGGGCGTGCAAAGTATCACTGTTAGACACCCATCCGAGCAGGCCAGAGCTCTGGGACAATGGAATAGCAGGGAAGCGCTGAACTGACAAGTGTCGCTTGAAGCTCTCGCCATCATTGTCTAGCAAGGTATTGCATAGACCGAAAAGTTGCATGACGCGCTCATCTTGTCGGATATCTTCGTGACCTTTGACAAGATACATGTAAGAACTTCCGTTGCTGCCCTTAAGTGTCATACGACGCGGCCGTTTCTTAGTCTGCAAGACATGCAAAATCGGGTCAAAGCTCATAATTCGAATGACCGGCTTTCCACTCTGGTATGTTCCCGGAACAGCAAGGCCAAGATCTGAGCAATCCTTGAGTCGAGGAGACACATACTTGAGGTCGAGGGTCGATAGTTGTGGTAACTGCCGGCTGATCTTACGGAACACTGTATAATACAAGTCCCAAGCTTGGTTCAAATCGCCGATTTCCTCTGATTCACGATACATCATGCAGTAGTGCTTGGCCTCGGCCAGATCACGTCCGAAAGCCTGAGCGAAGGACACCTCACGAAGGGTCTCGGCTCCTTTGTCGAGCATGTCATGGAAAGGAGCAAGTGTCGAGAACATGCCTTCCACATTGTGATCGCCGAAATAGAGACGAGAGGCTTCTTCCAGACCCTCGTGCCAGAGCTCATGCCACAAGACCGCGACTCGAATAAGCTCGTGACTGACAAGATCTGCTTGCTCAACAAGCTTTGCACTATGTTGCCGCATACTTTCCATGATGTTGCTGGCAGATTGAGAGCGTCGAGTCACGTTCGATTTCATCGCTACCGTCAATGGATAGACAAGAGCTTGAGGATGTGCCTTACCGACCTCTGCAAGCAACCTATGGACAGCGCCCCGGACCCTGATATTCGGTTGATTGATTCGAGCAATCAGTTGAGGAGTAACAGCAAGCCAAGTGTCAATATTGACGGCTGTGAAACCCTCCGTGACCACGGTATTCACCTCATGATCCCCTCCATGATTGAACCATAATGTTAGTAGTCGAAGGGTGTCTTGTAATGAAGATGTCAAGGACAAAGCGATGGATCGAATGAATCCACGAATGGCAGGGATCACATGCTCTGTGACGATATGAGCGGGAACAGGCGCAGGCGTTCCCTCCCGATTAGCCTGGTTGGAAATTGTTGTGACGACTTCGAAATTTGCAAGTGCCCAGGAGTGCCATGCCTTGTATGAATCACGGTTGTACTGAGTTGCCGCTGAGTACGCGTCGAGTACCTCGCGAACGTGTTCCGCCCTCCAGTCACCTCCCTGTAGGGTTGTCTGCCACTCTCCTTGCCTAAGATAACTCTTCGACAGAAGTTTTCTGAATTTGTTTACATCACCGATTCGTTCATTCAATCTGATTGCATCTGGATGGTTTTGATCGATGATCCCGTTGACTCCATTAACGCCGTGGTGGTCAGCATTTGATATCATGAGAGTGTTGTATCTGGAGAAATCATCGGTCAGACCAGAGGTGAAGACCTTCATCATTTCAAGGGATCCTTGTTGATGCCCATTCGCCCAACTGAATTTTAGCCTAGCGTATGTGACTTCCGGGGGCACGATAGTACGCATGCCATTAGCATCAGACACCACTGTCTCAAGCGACGCAAGCGACCGCTCTGCAAGACCCATGCGGTTGGATTTGCGGCAAAGGTTGGCGAATTTGATCGACATATCAAGATTTTCACGTGGAGCAGTAACAAGAGCTCTGACCTTGAGCATACGTTGCCACACCTCCACATTTTGCTGACATCCAAGTAGTCTTTGGTTCCAAGTTTTACGCATGGCATCTTGCTTCTCGGGGTCTCCGATGTTTTGCTTGTATGTAATGATCTCTTCCAGCTCGGCGAGCATCTGGACACGTACAACAACATTGTAGGCACGGTTGTATGACTCTCCGAGGAGCGCAGACAGCTCGGTATCAAGCCCGTTGCGTGCCTTTTCGATGTACATGTTGGCCTCCTCAAATTGGTTGCGATGGATTGCCAAAATGGCACCGAAGAACGAGCGGTCGGGGGATTGCTCCTTCATGACGCCGAGATAAGAGTCCATCAACTCCCACTGACCCCGGCCCCAAGCAGCGGCGGCGGCAAGAGGTGCGATAGCGCGGCGATGCTCTAGTGATGCTTGATTCCACTTTTCCTGGGCCAGGTCTGAGAGAACCTTCCACTCGCCAAGAGCGTGAAGACAGCGCATCTTACCCATCGTGATACCGAAGGAATCTGGGTCCGTTTTTTCACGTCGTTTGTAAGCAGCAAGGGCTTCATCCCACCGTTGGAGCTTCTCGAACCATGTTTCTTTAAGCTCCACATCACGATAGGCCTGCGCTTTACGAAGGATACCGATGGCAGCATCCGATTGTTGAAGCTGATTGTTGATCGTAATCAAGGCTTCGACCGCACCTGAGTTCTGATCTTGCTCGAACTCAAGTTCTTTGTAGTGAAGAGCTTTAGCGAAAGCATGGCATTTTGCAGCATACTTTCCAAGGGTACGAATATCGATGGGAAGAGCCTTGTCGTCGTGTTCCATGAATTCAGCAAGATTGAGAAGAACTTGTAGGATCTCCGGGGAAATATTAGGAGAGGTGAGAGCCTTCTCAATTGAACGGACCAGCTCTTCTTGGTACTGGTCATATAATTCAGTCCAGCATGAGACGAAGGCAGCATTGAAAAGATCTCTCGAGAGTGGCTGATAGATTCCAGCCAAGCTGGCACATGCCCGTAATGCCGGGGATGGGGACTCCTTCAATAGCTCAATGCTGAAGCGGCGTATCCATTCCTGCCAGTCTTCACGAGTGGACTTTTGCGATGCATCCCAAGCGTTCTTGAGATGTTGTTGGTTCACTACGATCTTTTTCTGGCCAATTTCAGAAAAGTTGGTGTCATCGGTGGGGTAAGTATAGGCCTCTTCTGGGTTGAGGTCCTGCGGGAGTGGGTCGCCCTTTTGAAGCTTCGTCACCAGAATTTGATAGTTGACATGCGTAATCTGGTGTGTTTTTAGGACCTTGTTCAGAAGATGGATGTAATGTGTGAAGTCCTGCCCGAGTTGGAAAATGAGTGCACAAATGCAATCCAATGCAGCCTGGCGCAATACACGATCACCGCTAGCCACAACCCGGGATAGCGAATGGACCATTAAAGATGCAAAGTCAGAAACATTGACTTGTCGGGACAGCTTTGTTAGGCTATCGATAGCAGACTTGCGGATGCTTTGAGGATTTTGCGGTCGATCGAATAGACGCACAATGGAAGGGATGATAAGATGCATGTATTCCTCCCCACTTGTGCCAAAAATCATGAGAGCATGGAGAATCTTCTCGGAAGATTGACGCCGAGGCGAGGTATCTTTATCCAGTGCATCGAGCATCAACGGAATCAGACCAGCAAGATACTTCCTAAACTCTCCTTCCAAAGACCGAGCAATTGCCTCAACCAGCGATAGGATCGTACCCTGAATTTGTGGTGAACTATCCCAGAATTCTCTGATGACTTCGATAATCTCTGGAAGGAAAGTGCGAATATGCTGTCGCACGATGTTCACCAGGATTGCCATCTGATTGAAATAGGATTCAAGCCGGCTAGCAGGAGAGCTTCTGATAACCAAGATGAATCCTGGAATGATTTGTCCAAGGAATGGTACACACTTCAAGCCCAGAGTCTTGAAGATTGTTACGATGGCATCAATGACAGCCGAGTGATATTGCGCCAGGGAGTTTTCTCGCAAAATGTTCTGCATCAGAGTATGGATGACCACTGTAGGATAGTATTCCTCATTGGATGGGGTGAGACCCTGCATGATGAGGGCGACATCAGAGACATTCTGGATTTCGTTGATATGGTGTACATCGGGTTCAATCTCGCTGATCTGTTGGTATTTATAAGGATCAAGGGCTCCGAGGACTCCAAGAAGCTTGATGGTCTCCTTTCGCAGAGAGCCTGTCTGTTCCGTTTTGATGATATTGATGAGCACCGCAAGAAGATGAGGGTATTCCATGTAAGGCTCAATCACGTAGCCTGAATTACTGGCCAACTGCCCTAATGTCCGAAGAGCAGCTTCACGTTTGGCATGCGACGAAAGGTCTTGGAGTGAGTCCAAAATAATTGGCATAATCTGCGGCAGATATTGTCGCATTTCATGGCCGCCTACATTGGCAACTTCACCGACGGCCTTCAGAGTTGTGGCAGCCACACCAGGGTTGATATCTGTTGATTTGGGCAACAATGCTGTCACCATAGGATCCACGTATGATCTGATTAATTTCGTCGCGTTGGAGACGAACAAACTGATGAGTTGAGCTGTTTCCTCCTTCTGACGAGCGGTATTCGCGAATCCCAGGCCTGTAAGGAGATTAACCAGCAATTTTCGTAGTGGTGGGAAGACGTAAGCAGGGTTCACGCTGGAAAGTCGACCGATGATACAGATCGCGGCTTCTTTCACATCGAAAACCTCATCATTTACTGCCAAGAACAAGCATCGGATATTCTCTGGCCGGGCTAAGTGACGATCGAATTTGCGGTCCAATGACCACAGAACCGTGCGTCGGATTTCAGGATCAGGATCTCCGATACCCACAGTCAAAAGCTTGTCAATAACCTCGCTGACAACTTGAATGGAATGTCCGCTAGTCTGATTGATGATCGGATCGTGAACGAACAACTGACAGCATGTCAGGGCTGACGCTTTTCGAATTTCAGGATTATCATTTTCCACGTAGTTGATAGCAACATCACGGACGAACTCATTCAGGATATGCCCAGAAAAGTCAAAGCTGCCTAGCGTGTGGAGTGCTAACGCAATATCGGAATCAGAGTGAAGTTCATGAGGTGCAAAATCTTTCGCAAATGATGGCATGGGAGGTAGTCGGTTCTCAGGACACCCGAGGGGCCGGAAAGGTGTCCCACAAAGGATGATACTCAACATATCAAGCAGCTTTTCCTGGATCATAGGTTTTATGGGCGGAATGTAATGCGCCATATCAACCAGAGCTTGGGTCAATGATTTACTCAAGCCGCAGGCAAAAATGGGATCCAGCAGGGCCTCCATGTACTTGCTGAGGGCCTGTCCCACTGCGAGTGACAGCATACTGATGCACTCAAACATTGGTGCCTCATTGATCCCGGGTCGGTTCCTCGCTTTCATTGCGAGTCCCTCTCGAATGTAGATTATGATACCATCAAGATATTGGCCGATGGCGGGGCCTACTGCATTCGCAATCTTTCCAATGGCAATGAAGGCAGAATTCCTTTCTTTGTCTCTCTTGAGTTGCGCTTGAAGGTATATCATGAATCGATGTAGATAGATCTCAATGAAATCCGTAGGGGCATATGAGGCAAGAATAGGGATGGTGAGGACGACTTCGGTACGAATCTTCGGGTCGCGATGGTCCTTGAGACGGAGAATAATCTCACAAGCGTTCCGATAATGCTCTTTCATAAACATTGTGCCCTTGAGGATTAACTCCTTTATGATCAGAATCGATCCATGGATCCAATCAATGTTGTGAGACTTCAAGCCGAGAAGTGCCTCATCATGAATACGTGCAAACCATGACTGGCGGACTTGAGAGTCACGAGCCACGATGATCTCGAAGCATTCACCTACAGCTTCCGCAGCAGTTTCTCGTATGAGGACCTTCGGGTCCCGAAGGGCAACCCAAACAAGCTCAAAGACCTGCGGAACGAAACCGTAAAGGAGTGTTGGTGATCCCTTGGCAAGTTCCCGGATCACAAGCACTGCTGCAAACCGACGGCTCTCCTGGCGCTCCGATTGTAACCATTCTAATGCAGATTGTATTTCACTTTCCACAAGTTCTGCGGTGAGAGCGCCCCCGGGCTTCGCCAGGCGGCCCAGCGATCGGGCCGCATACACCAAGACCACGTTATCATTGCTGCGTAGAGCGCTGCGCAAGTAACTGGCAAATCTCGTCGTTTTCTGGGCGGCATCAACACCGTCAAAATCAATTAGCCGATCTAGTGCTAACAGGCCACCGATTCTTTCGTTTGCATCGCTGCCATTAACCACGAGTTGGGCGATACGTTGGCTAACGGCGTTGTAAAATTCCACGAACTTTTCGGCGGGCCAATCTGCAGAGGAGGATATGTCAGCTCAGTTGTAGAGGTCTCAAATTCCGGTGTCACTGCAATACCTCTGGAGACAGAGACAACGTTATCGTAGAGCTCGTAGGCAGCTCGAGCCCTGGCCTCCTCATTCTTCGACTTAAGCTCCACGAACAACCTTTGCGTCACGTCTGTGATTGCACCTGCTTGGGCCATATTTGCAAATCACACCCCAGGGTGGACATTTGAAAACAAGGTCTAGGCCATAAAATAAGACGCAGAGCGCATAAGGTTGGATGGTAGAGGGAGGGTCATGTGTGAGGCTTGGAGAAGGTCGAGGGGTGCACGGGCCAGGTTGGAGTTCCCGACTTGGCCGTCAGCCCTGGAGGTATAACCCCTCTATGATCCATGCGCTTACGATGTATACTATCATGGCATGTACCTAGGTCCAGATCTTGAATGTTTAATATGTCAATGGGGTCTGATCTCCAAACTGCATCTGATTATATCATCGACAATCAAGTCACCCTATCCTCGGCACCAAGTACGTCACTCAAGGGATCCGTTTGCTTGACAAGTCATGCATAGATCATATCAATCATGTTGATTCTCTGTTGATTATCTACCTAAGGCTGGAATAAATATACAGACCCACACAACTCAGCATAAGGCTTAACTTGACATTTGCCAGAACAAACACAAGCATTATCCGCTCGGACGGATGAAAGCCGGGAGATGAGAATCACCATCAGTATATTGAGGCGTAAATCAGTACTGACTGTTACCCGTGAGTTTTCTGATCTGGCCTGCAATTATGGGCTCAGAAATGCGGTTCACGGATGAAGGCAATGAGCTAGGTGTTTTTGATTGCCTTTAAAAGACCCTTGTTAGACACCCATTATTGCCTATATATGTATAGACGCATGCATCTACATGTATCTTCTGACTGGCTATTGAGCACAATATCCCTCATTAGAGAAACCGGTAACTAAAATGGGGTTTGCAAGCATACTAGTTGAATCCTCCAAACATTGCTTGTGAATGGAGTCGCCTCCGAGGCTGAGCTGGCAGACGGTTTTCGGCACCATCACAACGACACAGAAATCCGGGCAACTGGCTTGATCACTATCTCATTCTAAGGAATCCATATCAGTCTAATATGGCAGACCGGATACATAACAACACACACCAAAAATAGGATGTTAAAGATGCTGGAAGAGGTTACTTGTTATATTCTATACGAGTAGTTTGCCCATATACAATAAAGTATGTAGCCCCCTTCAATCATTACTTGGTAGTACCTAAACTTGGTACCAGGGGTAGATGCCCTGCCATATCGGAATGATTATGATTGTCATAGTTCTAAAATAGCCTGGTTGTACGTAAAACTTACTGGAACCAAGTAAGTTGTTACCGGTGTTAGGAACGAGCACTTAGTATAATTGCTATGTCACCATATACAATCCACATCTCTAAAGCTCCACTTCAATCAATCCTTCCTAATTTTCTCTAGGAAAAAGGGCTCCATACTTGAATTTCTGCGCTTGAGATTCATTCTCTATAGCCATTGCTTTTCTTTGGGCAACTTGATTGTATTATACTCAAATAGCCAAGATTAGAACTCATAGCATAGATATTCCTAAGTTCTAACCTCCTGCAAGTCCATAGACGTGCTTGTACAAGGTGACAAGGGCTTTGTTCTCTGTCTTTTCCTGGGAGATGCACTCTCCTACTAGACTGTGCTCTGAATATCTAATCGCTACCTAATGAGTCAACACTAGTCAAAGATAGCCCCTTTTGTGTTATTTCTAAAAGAAACTTTATGTATGGCGAAATTAATAGCCACAGGCTCCAGCAGCTAACATAGGACATCCCGAGAAAGACATTTAGTATGCTGGCCAGAGGATAGACCATATGTCAATTTCTTCTACTTTGTAAGACACTGTGTATTGATTCTTATGAAGAAATATATAGGGCTACACCAGTATGTAGAGAGCATGCTGAAACGATCAATATCAAGGGGCATATAAGGGATCTAAGGGCCTAGACGTCGATAACCCTTCCTCCCCGGCCTAATAGGAATACATCTCTAAAATACCTGCGGAGTACATTTCGGTAGTAGCCCCAGCATCCATTAAATTGGGAAGAATGCCCTGCCTGGGCAAGCGTTATTGTATTTGTAATCCGACTGCTAACCTGGAGGTCCCGGTAGTGGGCCATTGGCGGGGAGCGATGACGGGATCGAGGGGTTGGAGAACCATAAAAGCTAGCGTCCAGGTCGTCTCTCACGTATCACAATCTATTCATTGATTCTTGGACATCTCACACATCTTTTACTCTAGCAGGTTATAATAACTAATACAATGGTCAAAGTTCTTTTGACTGGTAGGTAATTGTAACTTGTCTCTGAACTACTTCCGCTAACATCTGTTCTAGGAGGCAGTGGCTTCATCGCTGCGCACATTGTCGACATCCTACTACAGCATGGGTATGTAGTGGCACATAACAACAAACGCCATCGGTAGTATTGACAATAGTCTAGTTTTGACACAGTTGTTACTGTCCGATCGGAGGAGAAGGGCAAACGGATCCTCGACGCCCATCCCAATGCCTCGCAAAAACTGTCTTATGTGATCGTCAAAGATGTAGCCCAGAATGGTGCATTTGATGAAGTTGGTACAAGGTCTTTCCCCTAAAAGATTCACAACTAATGCAAATAACAAGGCCGTTGTATCAAACCCTCCATTCGACTATGTTCTTCACACCGCATCTCCTTTCCATTTCAATGTTCAGGATCCAGTGAAGGATTTCCTCGATCCTGCCATCAAGGGAACCACTGGTATTCTGAAAGCGGTTAAAGCATATGCACCCACCGTGAAGCGAGTGGTGATCACGTCATCTTTTGCTGCTATCGTGAATAGCAAGCAACATCCCAAGGTGTACAGCGAGAAGGTATGGAACCCAGTGACATGGGAGGAGGCCATGGACCACTCGCTGGTCTATCGTGCTAGCAAGGTAAGCCATCTTCCGGAATCATTTCGGTAAATGCAAAAGCTGACAGGCGGTCCGTTATCAGACCTTTGCGGAGAAAGCAGCTTGGGACTTCATCGAAAAAGAGAAGCCAAACTTTGACGTTGCTACTATCAACCCACCACTGGTACTTGGCCCGATCGTTAATTACTTGAATTCCCTTGAGGCTATCAACACCTCAAACCAGCGCGTGAGGGACATCATTCAAGGTCAAATGAAGGAGAAAATTGCACCCACAGGTACTTTCCTGTGGGTTGATGTTCGTGATGTTGCACTTGCACATGTCAAAGCTATTGAAGTTCCCGAGGCAGGAGGCGAGAGATTCTTTGTTACTGCTGGCTTCTTCTCGAACAAAGAAATTGCAGACATTGCTCGCGAGACCCACCCCCAGCTGGAGTCTAAACTGCCCCCCGCAAATTCTCCTAGCGACTTCCCGGCAAACATCTTTGAAATTGACAACAGCAAGTCGCAAAAGATTCTCGGCATCAACTATCGCCCATTGAAGCAGTCAGTCTCCGATACTATCGACTCCATCTTAAGCGTTGATGTTTGAGCCGCTAAAGTCGAAGTTGCTCTGCTCTTTCATTCCATACACCGAGATCGAATTGATAGTTATATGATATATGAAAAGCCAATTAAAGATTATTTCTCAGAGATTACTTCATGGAAGGGTTCCGTAATAGAGATACGGGCATCTAATCACAAAGATAAACGTTAGGAGTGCTCATAACTATAGGTGGAGGGCTTGTGCAGAATTGCGGATTTGGTCGTTGCACCTGGCCGTACCGCTTTGGCCCGTGTCTCCGGTCAACTTTTCTCGCGCCAGCTAACCAAGATCACATAGTCAATCCATTGAACAAGATGGCGTCTGCCAGGATGTCGCCGACGGCGAACTTACTGCGCAAGTCGCGTTTATTTGCACTGCCTCAAACTCTCAAAGCCCCCAGTGATCCACTCACGTCTAGAGCTGCTTTCGAATCCAAGACCGCAACCCTGCCTCACCCCATTCGAGCCTCCATCGTTACACCGCAATCATCACTAGCTCGAGGCGATTGGGGTCTGAAGCGACCTCTCCCGGCTAAGTCGACATCGGAGAAATCATCCAGACCTGTCGTCAGGGTGCACGCCCTCGATACATATGAACATGTCACCGACTTCGAATCCGCCGCAGATCACACCATGACACTCGAGAAGTTCCAGGAGATGCACATCCCGATGTCTCTTCCTTTCAAAGTCAATTACGCAACAAGTGTTGTGCCAAGGCATCAAAGTCCGTTCGAAACGCACCTCGATAATACCGAGAACAGCCAGGGTCTTCAGGAACCTGGTGCCAAACAATTCAGACACACCGGCCCTTGGCTTGCTGGGCAGACGGAGGCAGAATTCAAGGCGTATTTGAAGCAAGTGACTAGCAACAAGCCGGAGCTCATGGAGAAGCTTCGTGAACAGTTTGCTGCCAAGCGGTCTGCCGAGATCCGGAAAGTGGCACAGGATAATGGAGAGGATTTGGAAGCCCTTCCTACAACTGTTACAGATGCAGAGTTCAATTACTACGTCAAGACTTTGCGTAACGACCCCTTCGCTCTAGGTTCAGTGATCTTCGAGCTGCTAGACCTTGCATCTCCCCCTGCGGTTCCCAGCGAGCGGATCGGACGCAAGTACTACCAACCCTCTGGAACGAAGTTGTCCTCGGCCGAATATGCCGTCTCAGGACCCCCGAAGACACACCCTTCTGCTGGTCTCTCTTACATGCGATCACACGCTCTGATCAAGAACCACCCCAAGTATGGCCCACAAGCCTACCAGCGCCCCGTGGAGGCCCGCGTCTTGCGCCCTAAGGGTCGCTTCAAGGGACGCATGGCCCGAGCCCTGGCAGGTATCGGTGGTATTGCCGTCGAAGACTTGAACTCCATGACCTTTGTTGAGCAGGGTACACCTCCGGGTCTGACATTCTTCGATGCGTCCATCCCCGGTGGAGGCAAATACTGGGTCACTCCCATCCGGGCCGCCGTTGATTCCAACGGCCGTATTGGCCTCTCATCTTATCGCGCGAGTGCGACTGCCAAGGCTCCTTACGCAATCGAAGATCACACCAAGCCGAGTACCCTGACTATCTCCGACGTTGCGACCTCCCCATCCCAGATTGTCCCAAGATTGGACAGACAGCCATTTGGCCAGCCTCGGTTCCAGGCTTCCAAAGAAAGCCGAACCCCGAGACGCCCCACCAGGGGTACAGAGGACGTTGCACGCAGCCTTCTCGACAACCTCAACTCTAGGTCATAGAGACGAGTGAAATATGGGTGTGCAAAGGATTGTACCATGTATGATAGATTTGGTGCTTGTGTAAAGCTACTTTCATTTTCTTTTTTTTGGCTATATCATATAAATCAGGTGCATGAATAGCACGTTATTTTCTCAGCGATCATTGCAATGCCCCAATCCCAGCTGAAAGGAGATACCAAGTTGAGCGCTGGAATACTTCGTAGTTGTACCCAGTACATCGTACATGTAGACTTCAAATGTTCCTGGAGGTTGTTTGAACCTTCCAAAAGCGGTAAGCGCCGTGTCAAATGACATAACCTAGTGGAGTGCCACGTGACCACAGACTGATTAGGGCATAGGGCAAGGACCCGCACAGAGCAAGCGAAAGACGGCCGGGACCTCAAACTCATCCAAATCGGCACGACTCTCGATCCTTCGAACATTCATTCCGCCAGCCAACAACCGCCAAAATGGGTCGCGTCCGTACCAAGACAGTCAAGCGCTCTGCTAAGGTCATCATCGAGCGTTACTACCCCAAGTTGACCCTCGACTTCGAGACCAACAAGCGCATCTGCGATGAGATCGCCATCATTGCCTCCAAGCGTCTTCGCAACAAGGTGAGATTCTAGATTTCCATCAAACTCGAATGCTCAAATACTGATTCGAAATTTCCTTCAGATCGCTGGTTACACCACTCACCTGATGAAGCGCATCCAGCGTGGTCCCGTCCGCGGTATCTCCTTCAAGCTTCAGGAGGAGGAGCGTGAGCGCAAGGATCAGTACGTTCCTGAGGTCTCCGCTCTCGATGTCTCCCAGACCGAGTCCGGCCAACTCGATGTTGATGCCGACACCAAGGACCTCCTCAAGTCCCTCGGCGTAAGTTTCCAATTCACCCTACAATCTGTTGGATCGATGTTTTCTAACATGGTTATTTTCAGTTCGACAACCTCAAGGTCAACGTTGTTGCCGTCAGCCAGCAGCAGCAGCAGGAGCGCCCCCGTCGTTTCGGTCCCCGCTAAATCCAGCGCCCGGAATAACGAAAAAAAGTTCATGCCTTGCCTTCGGTCGACCCTTGGCGTTATACCCGACAGAGTCTGTTCTGGCTGGCTCTTTGCTCGGCTAGCATGGTTTAGGAATGAATAAACATGATTCTCTATGAGAAAGGTGTCGCTGATTCTCCGAAAGGAGATGACGCTTGATTGCCAATTTTTTTCCCTCTCGTGTCTGCCTGTGAGAGTCTACTCTTCGGGTTCGACTACGTAGGAGTTCTTGTCCTGGAGGTTCACCTCTGTTCGAGAGACTCGAGACCTTGGGTGGTCTGAGTCATGCTTGATTTCATACCTGCCCTTAGCTTATGGGTAGATATGAATCTTGCTAGCCAGACCGCAGCCCACCTTATGGTCTTTGTAGATTGCTCATCATTCGTCTGTCAATGTCGAAATTGATTGGGTATATACTTGTAGAACGCCGAAACTCCCAAAACATGCCAAAGCAATCTTGCTTTATCCTCAGATCTGATCGAGCAGATCTATGTCTCCATCTTGATCTACGGAATGATTGCGTCGTTGCTCCATGGGCACGTATCCTTCAATGGAGCCACCATTTGCGTACTCCGGGCGCATTTGCGGAGCACCAGCAACCTGCTGAGAACCGTGCACATGCTCCCTGATATGAACGTCAACGCGTCCATCTGGGCGAACCGAGCTGGTATCACCACGTTCCATTGCAAGCTCCCGGGACCGATCGGTATTGCCAAGTCCCATATTCTGCAAATCATCCACGACAGAGGTGACTGTGCTTGTAGCTGCTGGTGCCTTTAGACGCTTGGCACGTGCTTCCTCCAGCAGTAGAATGCTGGCTCCCCGCGTATCACCCGCCCGACGTTCCCATACAGGTTTCTCGGACAGCTGCACGCGGATCCACAGAGCACGCTCTGCACATGCATCTGAGCACCATTTTTCAATCTGATCTTGGGGCACGATCTCCACACTGCGCCCGCGCCCGCCCGGGCCGCTTCCCTTGAGACCATATTTAAACTGAAACCCGCCTCCTGGGCCGTTCTTTTGCTTGCGATGCTTCCGAGGACAGAGGGCATACCCGCAGGAGTCTTCGAAGTTTCGTTCCAAAATCAGATTATCGTAGTCGCTGGGACGGAATGGTGCTAGTGATATTTTGAATTTCACGGTATCTTCTTGGGATGGGTTGGCAGGGTCCGCTGTCGAGGAGGAGGGGAGCTCGAGAAGATCGAGGATGCGGTTTAGGATGGTATCTTCGGCATCTTTCTGACTCTGAATCTGCTGCGCATGTTGAAGTGCGATCTCCAGGTGCTGTTGAGTTGCGCCGGGCCGACCTTGTAGGTATTTGTCTTGCTCCTCTTCCGAAGGGTGTAAATATGAAGGTGGGGGTTGCTGGGCATTGATGGCAGCGTATGTCGTGGGAAGTGAGGTTTTGAGAGCCTGAGCTGATCCGTCTTGTGTCGCCATGATTTATAACCGGGCTTTTGGAGAGCAATATAAGCAAACCACAATTGAGTGTGAGTGGGATGAGAAGTCACAAAAAAGCAGCAGAATTCGGATTGAAAGCGGAAAGAGGCGAAAACCCCGGACCCCCAATAAGATGAGGGACACCTCAGTGCTGACGTATTTGGGCATATTCCCTGGGCTCGGAGGCAGGTCATTGACAGACTTTCTAGGATCGCATATCTTGTATCTATCCAATTCTCGATTTACATCCTGTACGAAAATCAATTTGGTCTAATAATCCCATCTCACTGCCCCGTCTAAGTTTGACATCCACAGCTGTCACACTGCCAAGCTCCACGATATACTACGGAGTACGTAAGTCAAGAGATCTACCAGAAGAGCACACCTGGATATAGGAGATTAAACCAGTCTGATTCCCTATAAGGCCTTGAGATTGAATACATTTCCCATGTGCGTGTTCCCTGGTTGCTGTTAGCCGCCGATCGCCCAGTGGAGCCCATTTCGCTCATCCCGCCAAGTGACGACCACCTCACTACATCCTCCTCCCTCCTAAGTTTTTTCCCCCTCTTCGGATCGTGTTCTTTTCTTCTTGCATCAAATTGTTTTGCTGGCCCTGGATAGGGTGTTCGATTCTCTACATACGCCGTGAGTGCTTCCGTACTCGCCCCTCCCCCTCATCTCCTAGTCGTAGGCACCACCCATTGACGTCCGTTTCATCTAAGCTGACACGGTTGCGTACCACAAAGGAATTGGTTTATTTCGCCTCGTAACTCGCTACATGTTAGAGGCATCGAATCCGGCAATTCGTTCTGTACAGATATTCTAGCGTCATTACAGACCCGTCCAGCACTCCTGTCAACACCGATTGTCCTCAAGTTTAAACCTCGGTCTCGACCTCCTAGATGTCCAACCCGCCCTTCACAGTCCGCTCGGTCTTCGAGTATGCTTCGGGCCATGACGACGACCTTAGCTTCCCGATCGGTCAAATCGTGACCGTCACGGCCCTGGAGGATGACGATTGGTACTACGGTGAATATTCCGACGCCCATGGGACTAAGCGAGAGGGGATATTCCCGCAAAACTTCGTTGAGAGGTATGAGCCTCCGGCTCCCCCGAGACCATCTCGTCCCAGGCCGAAGAAGGAGCCTGAACCGGCACCAGTGGAGTCCCCTGTGGTTGAAAGCAAGCAGCCCGAACCCGAGCCCGAGTTCGTGCCAGAGGTGCAGCCTGCGGAGGAAGAACATGATATTGCGCCCCCGCAGCCCCCTATGCCTCAGTCACCCCCTCTACCTGCCAGCGTCCCTGTAGCAGAAGCTGTGCATTCGCCCCCACAGCCGGTAAAGGCGCCCGCTCCCGCCCCTGCCTCTCCCGTGGCCTCAACTGAACCCGCAGCCAAGACACTTTCAAAACCAGCTCCTCCGGCTGTGGCAGAAAAGCCATCGGGGTCATCATTTAGGGATCGCATTGCTGCTTTCAATAAACCTGCCGCAGCACCAGTCACACCATTTAAACCGGGTGGTTCCCAGCCTTCGTTCATCAAGAAGCCTTTCGTTGCGCCGCCTCCCAGCCGGGATGCCTATAAACCTCCGCCCAGGGAACCTGCGCCCAAGGTCTACAAAAGAGAGGAGGATCCAGATGTGAAGGAACAGATTGCCCGTGAGCCTCCGGTTTCCGAGAGCCGGCCGGCTCCTAGAGAGGGAGGTGAAGAGGATGCAGATGAACAGCCTAAGCCAACTAGTCTGAAAGAGCGAATCGCTTTGCTCCAGAAGCAGCAATTGGAACAGGCTCAACGTCATGCAGAGGCAGCCCAAAAGAAAGAAAAGCCTGCCCGTCCACCCCCTAAGAAGGCTACGGAGGAAACCGTAGCTCCCGCAGCTCTCGAAGAGGAACAAGAAGTCTCCCCCTCTGTCGAAGGACCCGGGACTGCTCGGGATCCTAGTGTTGATACACTGAGAACTGCGGTTGCTCCCCCACAACCCTCTGTCCCGTTCTCGCCTACCCAAGAAATTGCGAGTGATGCCAATGACGCGGACTATTCCGCTGCTGCAGACTCCGAGGATACAGGTGAAACATCTACTAGCAAAGATGATGAGGATGAACAGTCTCAGTCTCGCCCGGCTTCCCGGCGTCAGCCATCAACTCGCACAGTTGAGCAAACTGCTGAGCCAGATGTCAAAGACGAGAGCGATGCAGAGGAAGAGGAGGAAATGGACCCTGAAACGAAGCGCAGAATGGAGTTGCGTGAGCGAATGGCCAAGATGAGCGGCGGTATGGGCATGATGGGTCTTTTCGGTCCACCTGGTGGAGGTATGCCAGGCATGCCTGGTGCTGGTACTCGTAAGCCTCCGGCGAAGACTCAGGCCGAGTCGGAGAAGAGGCTTGGAGAGCTCGAGGCTGAGGCGAATGTGGTTGCCAATGCGCCCCCTGTCCCACTCCCTGGAATGAACATGGCTAGCAAGCCAGTGCCTCCTCCCCACGAGGTGGAAAAGGAAGAGGAGGAACGGCCAGCGACTCCCCTCACTGAACAACATTCTGCACGTGAGGTTCCAGATGTCGAGGAGGTCGTTCACGAAGGCGCAATGCCTCGTTCCTCTTTTGATCGCCCGGTTACGGCTTCCCAACCTCAAGGTAGGTTACCCCCGGCATTCTAATGCATGGTTTCATTTGCTGACTGTTGCAGAATTCTCGGCGCCTCCTCCGCCTTCTCGAGAGTCCAGACCTGCTCCCCCTGTTCTAGGCTCGCCGCCGGCTTCACCTCTGCCAGTTCGAGATGGTAAGTAACGAGTTTCTGAAGCATATCACTGGGCGTGGGTATTGACAAAATGACATACAGACCGATCATTCCATCATCCATCAAGGCCCACAACTGCCACGACCGCCGACAGAGGTGACGAGTCTGATGATGAATTGTCAGTGTACACATCCAGCCTGTCGTTGAACAATCCCGTCGTTCCACCTGTCGTGCCTGCACCTGCGATTCCAGATCAAGTTGACTCTCGCCGTTCCTCGACATATGACCCTGTCTCATCTACAGCTTCCACTCCTGCGGCCGAAAAGAGGACAAGTCGTCTACCACCTCCTATCCCGACCAATCCACCCATGCCGCCTCCGTCGCAGGGCCGCGCTCCTCCTCCACCGCCTCCAGATCAACTCCGTCGCCGGTCTACCGTTGATAGTCGCATTATTGCGTTACCTCACCCCCGTCAGGCTGGAGAAGAAGCAGAGGGAGAAGTCACCGAATACGATGGTGATTACGATACAGATATCGCGTCGGGGGTAAAACATAAAGATGCTCTCAGATCCCACGAACGTGATTCAAGCTTTGACGAAGGTACTACCACCGACGATTATTCTATTCAGTCTCCCCGCAGTCCCCAGGGAGCCCGGCATCCCCCGCCCCCACCTCCTACGGCTCCCAGAGCAGTGCCGCCCCCTCCCCCAAGTCAGCCTCCACGAAATGCCCGTGCATCCATTGACACACCCAGGGGACCGCCTCCCCCTCCACCAAATAGAGAGCCGGCCGGTGGCGATGACGAGGATGATGAGTACGATCCGTTCAATTATTCCGCCCCCCATCACGGTCTCCCAACATCTCCAACCTTCCCGCCTGGTCGCCCAGAGGCTCCTCCCCCATTCCCACCGCAAAAAGCGGTCGATGAGTACGATGATCTATATGATGCCCCGCCAGTGCGCACTCCTGTAACTGAAAGACCTCCTGCCTTCCATGAGAGGCGTCCCTCATTGGCGCCTCCAGTTCCCCAAAGTCACGCCCCGAGTCTGCCGTCCCCGTCCGTGGGTCGGAGTCAGCGCGCATCCATGGATCTTTTGAGGAGCCAGCCCAACGTTCGTCGGTCTATGGATGTTTCTCGCCCGTCTATTGATCAAGGCTTCATTGCCACTGATATTGATTTCGCCGAACATACTCTATGGTGGACTAAACCCAACACCCCGCCTCCAGTCTTCCAGAACCGCTCGGATCTTCTGTTCGAAGTTGAGGAGACTAAATCCACAAAGCGAGGTGGCAAGACAACGGTCTCAAAGGATGTCTATGTCATGTTTATCGATTACTCTCAGACAGTATTGAACGTTCAATTCGACCCCAAGAATCCTGTGGACGCTTCCTTCGAGCAGCGCCATGAGCCTCCACCACTCCAGCCTCGCCAGGACCAGCTTGAGCAGGCTCATATTCAGCTTGGAACCCGAATCTCGGAAGCCGTCAACTCAGTCCAAAACTCTACTGTTGGAGATGGCACTCCATTCGGGCTGGTTCAATATTTGCTCAATCCTCTTTCGCAAGCGCTGCTTCCAGTTGGAACTCGCGGCTACGGTGCGTCAGTTTACTCCAATCTGGCCAATGCCTCAGTGTCCCAGAACGACGAAATTCGGGCTGGTGACATTGTCAGCTTCCGCAATGCCCGTTTCCAAGGCCATCGTGGCACGATGCACCAGAAATACAGCGCCGAGGTTGGTAAGCCTGACCACGTTGGTATCGTGGTCGACTGGGATGGCACCAAGAAGAAGATTCGAGCCTGGGAGCAAGGCCGCGAGAGCAAGAAGGTCAAGATGGAGAGCTTCAAGCTCAATGACCTCCGCAGTGGTGAATGCAAGGTCTGGCGAGTGATGCCCCGTAGCTGGGTGGGCTGGGAAGCCAGCAAATAGCTGAGAGGATTCTGAAAGAATCCGACGTTTTCTTTTTTTTTTTTCCTTTCCCGTTTGCAGTTATTGCACCATGAGCAGATGACCTTTTTTGTGTTTTTGCTTGCCCCTTTCTAGATTGGGTGAGATCCGTGTATGAATGAAAAGGAGCCTCTTTTCTCCCCTGTCCACTTATATTTCTTGTTGCCCTTTTTCCTTTTTTTCCCTTTTGTCCTGCCTGACTCCTCTCGCGAATCATCTGGACTTTGGTGTGGTAATGTGAGATGGAGCATGGCGGTCCTTGGTTGATGGAGAGTTGAGCGAGCGTGCAGTCTTTTGTTCTTTGCCTATGGTAAATCTTGCATGGTTCTATCCTCCCCGGAGCAGATTCTTAGATCCTATTTTCTGAATCATTTTTCATTCTACTCCGTACTTTGGTATAAATTATCATTTTAGCATTGATCTATTGCATGTTGTCATAGCAGGGGATAGTTGCAATCTACAACCCTAGAATGCACTTGACATGCATGAATGCTTCTCCGGTCAATAGTTTAGCCACGCTGCGAGGCGTAGGAAAGAACCGGAAGATATCCTCACATCCCTGCAACCACAAGAGACATTTAATATACTGTCGCCTACGGAGGACTTGGGAGGACTATAGACCAATATAGACATATGGCCTGGATACTAGATCCAGCCCCCTTTTCCATGGCCCCCAGAGAGCCCAATGACACCCCCCCCCCAGCATATTCTACAGAGTATAAGTTTCACGGTTAGGGCTTAATCCGTCGAAAAGCGAGCATATATGCTCATCGCCACACTTGGCAGGCTAGGGTTAAGCCAATGGGTCTATGTTGTAGTTTCTCAAACTGCGTTCTAGAACACAACACCTTGCCTGAGATAGATTAACCCCCAAACCTCACTAAGCCAACAAAAACCCCCCTGCTCTAATTAACGGATCGAACAGATTCAACGAAGACCCAAAGCTAGCCGCTGACCCCCACCCTCATGACCATGGTAATGGGTTTTACGGAGTACAATCGAGTCCAACCGTGACATATCAAAGTGTCCAGGCCAGCCTCCACAATTCAGGCCCTCACCTGAATCTAGCATCCCTTCAGATCCGGGACCCACGACGTATCCTGGCCAATTTTATCCACGAACACTGGTATTGAGACCAGGGCCCTGTCTCAGCAACCCCTCATCTTCTCGGCAGGGGAGGAGGGCTCCAATGAGGATGATGGGATTTGTGGGCTTTTGAAGTCTACCAATTTTTTTTCTCTTTGCATGACCTGAATCTTCGGCATTGTAGCACCGGATATTCACGACCGGGTGCTGGATTCCGTGCTGATAGTTAGTCTCTACTATCAGGCTTTTATTGGTTTGGATGTCATTTTTTATCAGTGTAGATCAATGCAAGGTATGCAATACCGTTGACGTGAAGATCGATTCCCGAGTACTTTCTGAGGAAGTGATAGGTCCAAAAGTCGGAGATTTCGTTTCAAAAAAACCCCCCAAAACCAAAAAAAATCTGAAATTTCTGGCCACGAGGATTGGGGGGCCCGTTATGCCCCGTTGCCGGTTCTGCAGGACTCGGGTTTGGGGCCCTTTTTCCCGTCGCTATAACAACGTCCTTTGGGATGTTCGTGAAGATTACCTCGACGGTTTCCCACTGTTTATGACATCTATTCAATCTCTTCCGATCTCTCCCAAATCGAACGAAATGGGAAGAGGACCTAATTGGGCTGAAATTAACTATCCACATCGGGACTAGTCAGGGGCAAGTCCCGGGCTAGACTCAACTGGGACTACTGCTGACCTCCCCTTTTGAGAAATCGATTGATGGCCTGGGACGACTCCGGACGGAGGACTAATTGCTTCTAATCCTTTCTACCTCGGAAAGGAAAGCTTGTAGGCGGGGCCTTTGCCCCCCAACGGCTGTCAAGCCTCACCGGGCCAAAAGACTGGCGCTAAAGAACTCCCGTCTTGCCGTTCGAGGCTTTTTGGGTTATATCTTCCGCCAGTCATGATCTCATAGGTCCCACTACAATCCCCGATGTAGGCATGGAAACATACTATGTTCACCATTTCACAGAGCATTGCGTCCATTGTAGAAGATTAGAATGGTGGGACACGAGACGGTCTCGATCGCAGATATCTCAGTACCATGGTTCAATGCTGGGTCCAAGATATCGTCGAGTGCGTATGTTATGTATGTTGTATGTTGTAGGTGCCCCATACTTCGTACGGAGTACGGAGGACTCCGTATTGTGCTGCACGCTGCAGGAGGTGCTGCAAGTCGGAGCATTCATTGCATTATGCCTATTCTTGGCTAATATTGCAGGCCTGCAGAAGTAATGGATTCGTGCGCCATGGATTGTGGCTGTCCTGCAAACAATCGGGTTCTCAACCCAGCCCGTATTTTTAATATATTGCTCGCCCCCCTTCCCTTGGACAGCGTTTGGGAGCGTGTGATGGAGGCGCATATCGCACCCTTCCGCCATATGAATGCAAATTGCAGCGTTACAATGCCTCAGCCTATACCCCAGGGTCCGAAGCAGTGCATTGTCCTTGCAGCGGGAGTCCCGCGAAGCAAGGAGGTTGGTACGGAATAAACCGTGAATATTGGTTGTGACTGATTCTAACTTCTGATATGAAAATGAGATACAACATCGAAAACCTGAATCACGGCCAGATCCAAAGCCGGCTTCGATCTTTGGGAATGAAGTAATGGGACGACGATCTTGGTGGTTTTCCCGTGTCCAGGCCCCCGGGAACCATCTGTCCCTGTTCATTACCCGGTTTCACGCCAGGGTAAAACGGCATATACACTCCGTACTCCCGTATTCACGATGGAAGTGACCGAGAGGCTGTCAATGTCCAGGATGACCTCCATCCTTGGAATGGCGTTCAGCCCCAGGTTCCACCTGCCGGAAGCGAGAAAAAAGAGAATCCCCGATTGTGATCCTTGGACTTTTTATTTTACGCAAGGGACATGGTTACGGTATTTTTGGTCGACTGCCGCTGCCACAGGGGGATCTGGGCCCAGGGAGGCGTATTGTACCGTATGCGCGGTCCATGGATGCAGTCTCGGGAAGCCCCTTGGTGCCTCAGGAAATCCCTGGGAAGCAGACCTGGACGGAGCACTCCGTACTCCGTACATCGAACAGGGGATGCTCAAGGTCTTCTATATATCGTAGAGCTCCGGCAAAATTACTTGGGGGCTAATATTGATCGACTGTGGACACCAATTTGGGACGATCATCTAGATCTTTTTTTCTTTTTTTTTTCTACCTTTTTTTTTGACTTTTTTTTCCCGTAATATGGTAGGGTGCCGCTAAGAAAGAGAGTACAAGCTCTGGATCCATTCCAAATCTCCTACATTCTTCGTTTCCCCAGTCACTCTTTCTTGTTTTTACGCTCAACCGGCTGTGCAGCCCGTTGCCTTCTCCTATCTTTATACTGTGACCTGTCAATCCCCCGTTAAAATACTTACTTTGATTGGCCCTAGGCCTGGATCGACCGACCATTGATACGCGATCCACGCCCTGAACTTGGCGCTTCCGAACGCCTCTTCCCCCTCAGGAGATATTCTGATCTCAATTTGCACCCACCTTTGCACTTGGAGGTCATGCCGCTCTTTCCGTCATCTGGATAAGGACATCCAGTGAGTCATTTCGGGCATTGGATCGAGACCGAGCACTGATCATTCGGCAAGCTACTCCAAATTATTCGCCAAGTTTATCGACATTCGTTCAATTCAACCCCAAAACAAATTGCATTCACTCCTTTTTCAAGCACGAGGTGGCTACCAAGCGCCTTGCGCCCACCATCCATGATGAATCGATTCCGCAAGCATAAGAAGGCCAAGGAGGGCGAGGATGTAGAAGGGGCATCGCCGTTTAGTTTGAAGCCATCGAAGAAGAAGGATGCACCGGAGCCAATACCGGATTTCGATTTATCAGCCGCACTGCCCCCAACTGACAATTTCCGGACCAGTTTGTTGATGCCCAAGTTGTCCGCTCGGTTTAGCATGCTCAAGGAACAGGATGATCCCCTTTCAATGCTAGGAAAGGCCAGTGACGACAGTGTCTTGTTTCCTAAGCGCGCATCGCGACTTAATCTATTCGGTCATAATCCTGCCATGCTGGCAGACATTGACGAAGTTTCCTCCAACGATGGTAGCCGACCTTCCATCGCACTCGGCCGCACCGGTTCTTTCGCTTCCGGCGGTGATGGGTACGGCACGGATGATGACCGATCCCAGGCGGGCAGTATGATGAGCAGAGCCCGTAGAGCCGAGGGAAATAATCTATTCGGAGGTCGACAAAAGATTTATAAGATTCCGGCCCGATCACCAGGGGGAACAACGGCCGATGTGCCGGACGCTGGTTTCCGGGGCATGGGAAAGCCGGTCTATGAGCATGACATGAACTTATCTGCTTTCCAGCGTTTGCGTCTCAAGGAGAAGGAAGAAAAAGCAGCAGCGGAGGCTGCGCGCGAGGCAACTGCCCGAGACTCCATGGCCTCATCTACCAGTCGCGCCACTTACTCCTCTACCGCATCTGGGCCTCCTTCAAGTGTTCCTACAACTGCGGCAACCTCAACCGACGAGTCACCATTGAATAAATCCCAGTCTCCGTCGACTGGTTATCCGTTCCCGGAGACCCTTGCCGAAGGACCTGGACCTGCCATGTCCACTCCGCGAAATGGTTCACTTCGTAACCGCCGTCTCTACGGACAAGGTCTAACCCAGGCGGCTCAAACCCAGCAGAGCTCAACATTGAATCGATTGGAGAGTTTGAGTCGCCAGCGTGCTGGTACTCCTGATCTCCCCACCTTGAACCGTAACTACTCTAAGAGTGCTCATAACTTGCGGGATCGCCTTCAAAAGCTGGCCATCGTCGAGCCAGTTCCAACCGTTCGTCCGACTAGCCCTCCTTCATCCGCAACCTCACCGAAGACTCGCATCTCTGGAGAAGCTGTACTTAGAGACCGCCTCTCGCCTACCTCAGCAGCATTTGGAATCCCTCCTCTGAGCCCTCCCACTAGCGAAAATGATGAGGTTTCCTCCCTGCTAGCCGCATCAATCCATCCAGAAGATCATGGGAAGGCTACAGCAATGGGACTGTTTGATCGTCCTAGCGCTGGTTTTGACGAGCAGGCATTTTCCCGCCGTCAACTCCAGATGCATCAAGGACGAGATACTCCGCCGCCACCCATTGCTTCACCCCCACGCCGACCTATCCCCGCCGAACCCACGAGTCGTCCTCGGGGGCAATCGAAGTCCAGCCATCGTTCCCGAGCAGAGTCCGCTTCATCCCATTACAGTAGTGATGCGCACCGCGGTATGGACAATTCTTATATGTCCAGCGTGGAGGCCTCTCCCTACAGACCGGGAGTGAAGACTTTCTATGCCAATTCGGAGGCCAGCGGGTCTGGTGATGAAGGCGAGGGCCGCACGCGTGGACCTTCATCTGCGGCTTCACATGTCAATGGGTACGGATCTTCCCTTCAGCACTCGAGTGTATCCCCGAACAAGCCACAAACTCCTAGTAAGGAGCATCTCGCAACGCTCCCCGAAGTGCGATATTCCGACCTGCGTGATCTCAGACCTATCACCGAGAGCGATCTTGGCTTTGGAGCTTCCTCTTATGATACTAGCCATGATATGCCCGAGAGACCTGATTCGCCAACCATCCTGCCAGACCACGGTTTTGGTGGAATGATTCGCTCCCACCTACGACAGGAAAGTGATCGATCTGCTATCTTCCCTCCGCCCCCGCCTCGTCAGAATGAAGGGCGCTTTGGCAAGGCGGGAACTCAGGATTTGAACTCCCGCCAACCAACTACTCTACCCACAGTGTTTCAACGTGAAGGGGAGGCTCGGCCATCATCGTCAGTCCGACCAGGAACATCGGGCTCGCAAACTCCTTCTAGACTCTCTGCAGCAGGCTCGGGCTCTCGAAACAGTCAAGAGTCATCCGCGTCTGGAACCATCGCCGATACAGCTTCTGTATCGAATGGCTCATCATGGAGAGAGGAACTTGAAATTCATCATTGCCGTCAAGGGAGCACCGCGACTCAACGCGAGCGCGAGGAGTTTGCCATCGAGCTAGCAGAGAGGCGCAGAAAAGTGCAGGAAAAGCTGCGAAGTGTTGCTGAGAGCGAAAGCCGGTCCAGTAGTCCAACTCCTGGCCGATCAACTCCAGATTTGCCTCGCACTGGAAACGCATTTGCTCTCCTCAAGCAAAAGTCTAGCAGACAGGCTAACGGAAAGGTGGACCAGAAGAAGCTTTTTGGTTATAGCGGGGGCAACGCGTCCGTCCCCGCTCTACCTTCTGATGACTCGTGGCGCGAAGAGGAGCGACCCTCTTTCAGCTTTGGTCTGCATGCCAACTCCAGCTCTCCCCATATTGGATCAGACCGCTCTCTCAGATCTCGAATGCCAACTCTCAGCCGCAACAACAGCCACGAAGAATCGCGCGAGTCCAGCCGCAGCCGTGGTCACTCGCCGTTCCGAAGTCCAAGAGATCGAGCGGGTTCGGATGAATCAGGCCGATCTAAGAGCCGAACCAGACTCCGTGAACGGGATGACCTTGCAACTGTGGACGAGGGTACAGTCATTGCGCATGACAATTTTGTTCCTCCTGAAGGATTTGAACCTCCTGCGGTTGCCTCGCTACCCCCATCGAATCGGCCATCAACCGAAATGTCAGAATCTTCCGGTTTTGATCGCACTCCCTCCGGCGCTTCAAGCAGACACCGCAGCTCCAGCCGATCCGGTACCCCCAGCTACCAATATGAACGGCCATTCCAATTCTCGCAGTCCAATACGTCCTCGATGATCGGCGCCTCGCCTCGGGCTCCACCCGCTGCTCCAGCCTACTCTGCTAATGCCACTCCTCCGCTGAACGAGATTTCCGCGGATAGTTCGTCTACATCGCTCGCTTCTTCTAGCAGCTCGCAAACGGGTTCTCAGCGCGGTCTGGGAGTCGCCTCCCTTATGAAGCGCCCTGTGAACAAAAGGCTCATTTCCGAGCCCACCTTCGTCTCATCCACATCCAATGTCCCCCTGGTCGGTCTCCCACCCGGATCACTGCCTCCACCCAACAGCGCACCTCCAGTGCCACCCATGAACCCTCGCCGTCGCCGCGGAACCGCCACCCAAACCATCCTGGGAGCCTTCAAGAGCGACAGGCAAGATACCTCGCGGGTCGGATCACCCACTCCAAGTTACGGAGAAGAACAGAGCTCCTTCCCCGACGACGAAAAACGTCCCCGTTCCCGCAGTCGTCTCCGCAAATCCTCCAGCGAGGGTGGTAACCTGCACGCGCGGGCGCGCCAGGCATCCATGTCCGGCGCACCGCCAGCTGTCCCTCAATATCCTCCTCCCGCCATCCCCGTCGATGGAGGCATGTTCTAAACATCTCCACCCTCTTTATTCCTCGTACTCTTCACACTCTTTGCAAATCATTACTTCGACCCCAGCCCTTCTTTCTCCCTCTCATTATCTATACCTACTTCACTCTCCCTGACATTCCGTGACATTCTACGTCCAACCCCCCTTTTCCGGGCTTTTTCCTTTCTTGTCTGTCCTATCTATCATTTCTTTTTGGACTCTGATATCATCTTTCTGCTGTTGACGACTAGATACCACTCGGTGCATTTGAGCGTCTCCTGTCATTCAATCATTTCTCTCCCCTTTTTCCTTTTCTTTCAGATAACAACCTGGATTTTCTTCCAATCATGTACTCTATTCTTGGATTTGTAATGGATACATACCTATACTGTTTGTTTAGAGTAGATTGGCTGTTTTTGGTCAACCCAATTCAATCATTTATACATTGTTCTCGTTGTTAGTAGCTCTGGGTTGAAGAATATATATTGGGTGTTGGTACAGCAACTCCCCCCCTTTGGGTCCTCGCACCCCCCCAAGGTCGTGCCCACGCTTCTTCTTGATCTTCTTCTTTAATAACCACCAACATCACATTCTCCCGTCGGCTTACGGGAAGTAACTCTGTAGTAACTCTTTAATGAACACTATCAAGCCGTTCGTTCCTCGTTTCTCCGCCTTGCTTCGCAAGAAACCGTTTCCCATGCCTTCTCCCGGGCCACCTTTACCGCCCGGCATACTCGTTGATGAAGAGATCTCGCCAGTATACAATTCCAAGAACTTCTACCCAGCGAAGCCTGGGGAGGTACTCGCCAATCGTTACCAAACCTTGGTCAAAGTTGGCTGGGGCGTGTCTTCAACAGTATGGCTCGCGCGTGATCTGCAAGAGTAGCCCTCAATCATTTCTGTCCATTTCGAAGCTCTCCCTGTCTCTAACCAACATACAGGCATATCAAAGACCCAGAGAGCGTCGTGGCACTAAAAATTGTCAATAATAATGCGAGTTCCGCTAGTCACGAGCGCGAAGTAGAAGAGCATATTTCCACGGCAGACCCATCACATCGCGGTCGGTCACTTATCCGAACATTACTAGACTCTTTTGAAGTTAAAGGACCAGACGGTTCCTATCCATGCCTTGTGTATCCGCCTATGAGGGAGTCCTTGTCGACGCATCAGCGGCGCTTTGACGACAGAAAGATGCCACTGCCCCTCATTAAAGCATACATTCGTGCTCTTCTTACGGGGCTCGACTATCTGCATAAAGTGTGCAGAACAGTTCATACAGGTAGGTTCATCTTCGGCTTTTACTCTCGTCGATAATACTGAGCCCAAGTGGCTGCCTAGATCTAAAGCTCGAGAACATCATGGTCTCATTCGAGGATCCGACCGTGCTTGCTGATTTCATGGATTCTCAGCTTACAAAACCGATGGCTTTCAAAATTGACTCGGCGGGACGGCCAGTGTATCAATCTCATAATGACTTCGGGCCGCTCAAAAGCCTGAGAAGTATACCACAGCTTGTCGACTTTGGCTTGACAACCAGACTCGAGGAAGACGACGACTGGGGCGTTTGGCCTATTCAGCCAGACCACTATCGGGCACCAGAGGTGATACTGGGTAATGGATGGCAAATGCCTGCGGATATTTGGAATCTTGGCGTTTTGGTGTGTTCCGTTGTTCTACTGAGTTATTGCATCCACTAATGCCCGACCAGTTGTGGGATATGATCGAAGGCAGAGAGCTATTCCAGCATATTCATGATCACGAAGGTCGGTACGATGCTAAACTACACATCGCCGAAATGATAGCCTTAATCGGTCCACCTCCTCCAGAGGTCATACAAAGGTATCAATATATGCGAGAGTACTCGTGGCCGAAACCTGTCAGACGAGAAGACGGCAAAGTATGCGAGACCGCGGAGGAGTACTTCTGTGGGCCATTCTTTGACGAAAAAGGTATTGCGGGATTTCCTATCTCGATCGAATTGTTCTCAAACTCACGAAACATCTTAGGTCGCTTCCTCTACGAAGATCTGATCCCCGATCGCAAACTAGGCGACACAGCTTCATTCCTCGAGGGAGAGGAGAAGGAAGCGTTTTTGGACCTCGCCAAGGCAATGCTTCTCTGGCACCCGGATGCAAGAAAAATGGCGGGCGAACTGGTCGGGCACCCTTTTCTTCAACCAAAGCAAATAAGCGCCTAATTTCTGCGAGCGTTTGCTGAAGAATGAGGAACTCAAGGTAAATCAGCCATTCAAGGATAAACAATTTTTATGCCAAAGAAAGGCGAAGAATGATGGCTGTGAAGAACCCGATAATCTTCACGGGAAGAACGTTTTCACCGAATTTACTTAGTAGAAGTAGCTAATAAGCTGAAGGATCCAGCTTAGTTAGACTAGTACTAAGAAAGCTAATAAGATCACGCTACTAATAATTAGTTATATAATGATCCAGTCTATCTTTATTAACCAATTGAGTTGAGTGAGAACGGTCTTAGCTAGGAAAAAGGACGAGTTGACCTTGGGACTTCTAGTCATATGGTGGGTTTACGTGAAGAATGGAACCAGCGCGCTCACGGTGACAATGGGACACTAGCAAGTTGACCATAAAATAATAAGAGACTGCGTTAAGCGTTGTATATTGCTGAGAAATATGTTCAGTGGTATAATTACTTGATCTAATCCAAATATCATGTGGTTTCATTGTAATTATATATGGGCTAGGTAGTTTTGCCGTTTCGGCGTTGGGAAGGGTACATCATTAAGCTCACTGAGCATGTAAAGATACAACAAAGCAAGCTGGTAAACTAACAATCCTCTGCATAAATCCCTGTAGCATGATCCTCACAGTCAGACTCGCAGTCCGTCTCACAGCCTACAGCATGGCGCCGCAGAGAAAGCAACCCCCGTGCATCTAGATGGTCTAGCCAGCTAGCGTACCAATCCAAGAATTCCGGAATAGAATCAAAGCGGGCCTTCCGGCCGTACAGAACACTAGGACCGACAACCTCGGCCTTGAAAACAACCACCCGCCACCCCCAGTGCCGGATGTTGGCAGCATCCTGGATGTCTTCATCCTGCTCGCCATCGTCATCTGTCAACAGTCGGCAGTACACATACGCAGTATACCACTCCGGGCATTCGTGCAGCCGGTTATATCCAACGCCAGTGATAAACCCAGCCCTGACATCCAGGTCCTCGTCAGTAGACGCCTCCAGCCATGCATTCGACACTTCATCCTCCAACTCCCGCTGCAAGCCCTCCTGCCCGCGCCTCAGTAGCTCCGGATCAGCCAACTTGACGCGTCTCTGTCCCTCGTCAAGCCCCTCCAGTTCCTCCTCCTTGACCCCAATCGACCAAGCCGGCGTGAACGGCGCAATGCCCAGGAGCCGGAAATCAACATCCACCACCCCCTGCGCATACTGCAGGAACAGGGCGAGCTCGTCACAGCGCGGGATGGACATCGGCCTGTGGTCTTTGTGCGAGTTGCACGCTTCCCCGTCTGAGGCAACGATCGCGTCCGCCTGCCGCTGGCACACTCGCTGAACTGTGTCGACATACATCTGCCGCCACTGCTCGGTCCGCAGCAGCGGCGGGAGTACACCGTCAGCTGGTTCGTGGGACGGCAGCGCGTTGAGAATAGCTGGGATGTCGAGGGCGCTGACTGATGTCTGCTGGGGGATCTGGATCCTGTCATGTCTGTGCGTCTCGGGCTCTTCGTCGTCCCATGCGAGATGGTCCATCCAGAGGTACTGGCGGAGCTGGCAGCGCTTCTCCTCTTCGGTTGCTAGACCTTTTGCTTCGATTTCATTGATGCGGTCTTGGAGGAATTTTTGGTTTGCGGCGGCCATTTTGTTGCGGAAGCGGGTGATGGCGAGACGCATGGTTTCATTTGCGTCTGTGTCTGTGCCTGAGGCTGAATCTGCCATTGGCGTTGAGGACAGCTTGCTCTTTGAGTCTGTCATTATTGGTCTTTTTTTGGGTTGATGTTTTAGTTATTTTCTTTGTAAAGGAGAGGGAAAAGTGGGAGTGAGAAAGTAGGAGACTAGGGTTACCCGTAGGCTATAAATGCCTAAACACTACGGCGTTTTGGGGTGGTGCAACTTGCAATGAAAAACAGATATTTCTATTGGTGAAAACCCACCCATTCGACTAGTTATACGCCACCAATATAGGTGGGACCCTGCTAGTTCTTCATTGGTGGTGCAAAGAGAGGAATGATACGGATTGTAGACCAGAAATCAGGATGGACTGGACAGATGATGGGAAGTGAGGAAGTGAGGATCATACGGATTGGGGAACAAATAGTCCCCGAACACACCGCCTAGAGACCCTGCAAGCCCCCGAAGCTTAACTACACCCCTTTGGCTCCCACTCTGGAAACTACAGTACTCGCATTGGATGTGGTTTGATTTACATAAGCTGGTTCAGATACCTTGAGCTAGCTCATGTGCCGCTTTTCAAGATCCAAAATTAACACCCATACACCCGACATGATCCACGAAATCAACGACGGTGATCCATGCCACACCTACGGCAAAGTGGCTATCCCAGACTTCATTCCCTCGCTGCAGAGTGCCAACCATGTAGTACACCAGATAGCAAAGCTGTAGTAACAGCATCGAGCCACTTCGGTATGTGGCAGGTTTGCGAACGCCAGGTGCCCGGAGACGCCGGGCATACATCGCTTTTCCAAGATGTAGGAGAACGCTGCCTGCTATAATGGTATGAAAGACACGACTCCAGTGCGTCGGATAGGGGATGCCGACGTGCAGCTTTGCTTGGTCCGATGCCATGTCTTGCAACCGTGCATAGTGCTCGCGGGACAAATACAGCATCCACATTGCGCGAAGGAGGTCGATCGTATTGGACCCGCGTGCCCGAAGCTGCGACTCATACATGGCCAGTTGCCCAGTCGACGGCGGAAGCCATGTCGACGGCGCAGGGGGCTTTCTGACGCCTGTAATAGAGTGAGTGTTAGCCGGGGAACAAACAAACGGAAAACAAACAAAAGGACGGGGCTGGATGGCATGGTCTCTCTCTCTCTCATTTTAGACTTGGCTTGGACGCACGGATCACTCACCATCCACGGCGTAGAAGGTAGAGGCAGCATGCGAGGCCGGATAAGTGCAGCACGCTTCCAACTCTAGATGCAAGGTCTCGAGGATTGTATCGTTTGATTCGCGGCCATGCATGTTGGGATAGGTGCGATAGCTCGTGGCCAGAAAGCAGTTGGCTGCTTCGTTCCACAGGCGGAATCCGTGATCATGGTGCGCATCATAGATCACTTGCCATTTTGAAGTGGGTGATTCATGTTCGTCCGCGCTTATCGAGGGAATCAGCGTCAGTAAAACGGCCTTGCTCTTATAACATGGTTTTGAGATTCGATTGACGGAGATGGACTTACGTGATATGCAGACGGCGTACTTCACCATCAAGCACGTTGTCGTACATGTCACTGATGGTGATTCCATCTATACTGGGAGTGACGAACTCGCCTGTCTCCACCTGACGCAGGTACACCGCTTGACCTGGCCAGACCCGGGCAGCAAGGACAGGGTCGGCCGGGTCATCCTCATCAGAGAGGACATGTTGAAAGAACCAAGGGCCTGAGGTGTTCAGTCAGCTCACATTGGCTCTGCTGTTCTTTCTGAGTAAAGGGGATGCTTATTACGAACCAACTGTATTAAAACTGTCTGAAAAAATGACCCTTGATTGATTGTTGTTCAGATGGTCGATTTGGTCCTCCAGTGCATCTGCAGTGCTTGGTTGTTTTGGAAATGCCCGGATCTCGTCCTTCCATTGAAAACTATGCCGATTAGTATCCCAGGTAAGCGAGTCACTCCAGAGAAATCCCGCAAAGGGAATGTAGAGGCTGATTGGCGCATCGGGAATCAGTGAGTATGCAGGAAAAGGCCGGCCGGCCACCTCTGCGACCCCTGGCGAATATGGGCCGATTTGAGGGCGCATCTCTCGTCGAAACAAAGCTGGCAGATAGTGCAGATTATAGTTTCCACCTAAAGAGGTCTCACTCCGAGGGAAAGTGACCGCTAAGATGGCCATGAAGGTCGTCGTTAGCACCACTCCCTGCCTCACTAATCCGCCGATAACGCTGGCGGCTATGGCAAACTTCAAGCAGGATATTCGGATTAGTGTCTTGCCACGTTCGTGCTCATTGAGAAAGGACTTGCCAGATGCCTCTGTCGGTCTGCGAGCGCCGACCATTGCCATGAAAGTCTGCGTGTGCAGAGGACTGCAAGACAGTATACACCAGCGGAGAACGAAAGGCCTAGGCACATACAGATCACAACCAAAGAGTCATATATGCCTGTCACATCGAGGCTTTGAAGCGGACCCGTTCTAGTCCGAGCTCCGACCAGAATGCACAAGGCTAGTGTCTCCCCCAAAGCCAGACTTGCAGCAACCGCATTGGTCTGTCCGGCAGAGTAGCCTCCGCAAAGCTGGAAGTAGAACCCTGCAACTAGAACGGCACAGCTCAACGAGAGAATGAAGCCCCTTGCACGAAAACGACGAAAACGACTCGAATAGAGCAGTGTCCACACGAACACCACGTGCGCTGCTGCAAGGGCCGATTGCAGGGGCCCCGAGTAGTTCACTAGCCGGTGCGGGGTTTGTAGATTAGTACGAAGTACTATGTTGCAGAAATTGCGGAAATTGCCGAAAGACTCAATCTCCGGGTTTAGCTCTTACCGGACAAGAGAAAATAGGAAAGCGGCGGAAATGTCTCGACAAATAGCTGCCCTCGGCTGCGAAATGTCTCCAGCTCGCGATGCACGCGAGCACTCTCGGGCGTGTAGCGAACCACCGCGGGGACCAGGGAACCCAAGATTACTATCGTTGCGATTCCTGTCCAGAAGGTGGACAGTATTACGCTTCGTTGGTCTTTTGCCATCTGTGTTGAGGCAGAGGAAAGTGGCGCTTCTATGGGCGTTCTGCTTACGTTTCAGATAATACCGCTGGGATGGGTCATTCGGATTCTATATAGCTCCTCCGCTTCGAATTTCTCTTTCTGCTCGTCGATGAAGCCCCTGAGGACATATGCAGCATATCCTGCTTCGCGTTAATCTTAGTTTCTGCACCGTCGATGGTCTCATTGGTGTTGACCCACCACGTCACAACCCAAGCGGAGACATTGTGGTTTTGACCCTCCACCGTAATAATCCGATCCTTGAAGCCATCGATTTTTTCGGACTTGAAGGATGGTATGTTGCAGGTTGTATGTATCATTTCCCAATTGCTTCTCCGGACCCAACCATGCTCACGTGTATCACACGTGCATCACACGTGCGATGGTGATAGCAGGTCGCAGTCTCATCTACGACTTATGCGGATATTACCTATGAACAATCCAAGTGGATAAAAGTGTGGAAATAGACGAGGTCTATGGAGTACTGTTGCATCGTGGATGAGCCCACCAAGTGGAAGTTGGGGGCTGTCAAAATTCATCCTGCAGACAGACGAACTAGAACGGAGGCGTGTTAGTGCTATCCCGATGACTTGGCACTATACCAAGCCTTTTTTCGGTATATTCCACGATGCATTAGCACACAGCACCGATGGATCTCATGGAGTCTTTTCGCCCCTTTCTATATTTGGGGTTGCAGAGGTTCCTACACGAAGCCTTGTCAAGGGAAGAGATGGCGGATATCGGCAAACGCCGGCCGGGTTTAAAAAGCCACAGGGCTCCGGCGAGGTCTGCCCTGGTAAAAAGAAAGATATTCAGAGATCGAGTGATCTAAGCAGCCCAACATGAAAGCCCCCTGCTGTGGGCGGTCCTATCTCTTTGGATAGGCGCCTGCCGCGTCCAGGCTGCCGCAGTCTTTGCGCATTTCATGGTCAGTCAAGCATCAGAGCATTTCGCAACTGGTAGTTGTTTTCCCTCTCTTACTGACAGATCCCTAGATCACCAACACGGATAACTTCACTACCAATGACTGGGAAACCAACATGAAGCTTGCACAGCAAGCACATATCGATGCCTTTGTGCTGAATATGGCCTACGGCGACCCGACAAATGAACCATCCCTCGTCCAAGCCTTCGAGGTCGCTAACACCGTGGGCTTCCAAATGTTCTTCTCGTTCGACTATGCTGGCAACGGTGCCTGGCCCAAGAGTACTGTCATCAACTATCTCACCAAATACGGATCCAATTCTGCCTACTATCAGTACCAGGGAAAGCCGTTTGTGTCTACATTCGAGGGCCCCCGCAAACGCTGCAGATTGGGTCGATATCAAGGCAAAAACCGGCTGCTACTTTGTCCCAGATTGGTCCTCGCTAGGAGCCAAGGCGGCGCTTGCGGCTTCTCCAGGAGTGCCCGATGGTCTTTTCTCCTGGGCCGCATGGCCGTGGGGACCCAATGACATGGACACCTACGTGGATGCATCTTATGCGCAGTATCTGGAAGGAAAGCCGTATATGATGCCGGTCTCGCCTTGGTTCTACACCAACCTTCCCGGGTACAAGAAGAACTGGGTCTGGAACGGCGACCATCTGTGGTTCGATCGCTGGCAGCAAGTGCTGTATCTGCAGCCGGAGTGGGTGCAAATCATCTCCTGGAATGACTACGGCGAGTCCCATTACATCGGCCCCTTGCACGATGAAGCCATGGCTGCCTTCGAGATCGGTAAAGCCCCGTATAACTACGTCACAGGCTATGCGCATGATGCTTGGCGAGACTTCCTGCCTTATGTGATTGATCTCTACAAGAAAGGGACCGCCACCATCACAAAGGAAGCCGTCCAGGTCTGGTTCCGCAGGGCCCCTGGGGCAGCCTGCAGCAATGATGGAACCAGCGGGAACACAGCCAGCCAGTTCCAGGTCGAATTCCCGCCAACCGAGGTGCTCAAGGATGAGGTCTTCTTTTCCGCGCTCTTGGGCTCACCCGCTGATGTGTCTGTCAGTATCGGAGGCGTGGTGCAAGAAGCGACCTGGTCTGACTCGCCAGACGACGGAGTGGGCATTTACCACGGCAGTGTGCCATTCAACGGCAGAACAGGCACGGTGACCGTGACCATTTCGCGGAATGGTGCGGTGATCGCAGCGTCCGGAGGATCTATATCAACAGAGTCTTGCTTGGACGGCACCCAGAATTGGAATGCCTGGGTGTCGTCCGACTGGGCGGCGAACAGCATCTCGGCAACACCGACGCTGGACATCAGCGAGCAGGTCTGCGTCAATGGAACCGGGCCGAACAATTTTGCCGGCCTCTGCGAGTTCGCCTGCTCCTATGGATACTGTCCCCTTGGCGCCTGTATCTGCACGGCTATGGGCAAGCAGCGGACCTTGCCCGTGGCCAAAGGGATCAAGGGTTATCCTTTGGCAGGGGAGAGCGCGAGCTACAGCGGGCTCTGTGACTTTAACTGCAACTACGGTCCCTGTGATTCTGGAGCATGCGGTACCACGGAGGTGGAACTCACTGTCCCGACGGTGTCGGAGTTTGCGCCGCTAGCCTGCGTCAGCGGATCTGGTGAAGGAAACCTAGGTGGTCTCTGCAGCTTCAGCTGTGGCTACGGCTTCTGTCCCATCAATGCTTGCACATGCACGGCTAAGGGAGCCTTGGTCCTGCCTCCAGCGAGCCAGAAGATCACTGGCTCCGCGGCTTCCGGGGTGGATTCTACCGTCTATGGTCCGTTGTGCGAGTTCACCTGCAGTCACGGATATTGTCCTGAGGGTGCCTGTGTGGGCAAATCGTCCGACACTAGCGATGCAGCCACGCCGGAAAATGTGGGCATCAAATCGCTGTCGTGTGCCCCTGATCTGAGCCCCACGGCCACCTTCACCCTGTCGGCGGCTTGCACAGATGCCATCCTGAACCTGCCACGCAGTGGACCAGATGCTTCCACCAACAATGTACCCGCAGGATCCCCAGCGGTCTGTAACGAGGTCTGTAGCTTCTTCCGCCTTCTGACTGGGACCTGCTGCGGACAGGGTGGGAGCACGAGCAACACCATCGTGATTCCCGGCACAGTGGTGATCCCGCTGGATATTCCGCTGGCCGCTGGATTTATACCCAATATCCCCATTGTCATCCCTATTCCTGGCCTGTATGATCCCGATGTGGTATTTGGCAATTCCGATCCCACCACCAACCGCGAGACATGCCGAACCATCGACGCTGACATTCCCACGACGACCTTTGCGGCTGGCAGTCCATTGCCCTCATCAATCACTCTGCCGGCTGGTCTCTGCTTGGACGATGCACCCAATGATGATGATGATGATGATGATGATGATGACGACGATGTCTTCCTCATAATCCCGCCCATTCTGCTGCCCAACACAGATCCTCCGTGTTATACCACAATGTGCTCTCCTTGCCAGGCAGGTGCCTGTGGAGGTGCCAAATCATCTGGCAGCAGTTCGAGCAGCCCCGAGGACCCAACTGAATGTACTTCCAGCGGTAATCTGCCAAACAGCAGTCAAGGTACCTGCGGCAATGGGAACTTTCCGTTGTGGGATTCAAGCACGGGGCAGATCACCTGCGATCTGCCTGCTGACGAGGCCGAAGACGGCATGTCTTACTGTCAGGAGAAGGCGATGGAAGACCTCGACGAGACCCTTGATGCCATTGACTGTTACGACAGCAGTTGTGGCGTTGGCCTAGCCAAACGTGCTAACTGTAACCCGCCCGCGTCCTTCAAGAACAGTCCCGACCCAAACGTCTGCGATGCCGTTTTTGTGTGCGATGTTGACAAGTGGCCGAACGTCTGCAACAATGCTCGCTCGGCAATGGACAAAAAGGGGGCACCCTCCGTCTTGACCTACCAGGGATCGGGCATCCACGACACGGGAAGATGGCTGAAGTACCATGGATACGATCAGAACGGAAAAGGCAACGAACGCAATGAGAAAGCCCGCCGAAAGAATCCAGGCAATTTTCCCAAGAGAACCGGTTGGGGGTTGATAGGTAAGAGACAATGGAACACCACCCAAGCCAGCGCCGGGCTGATCCTGACAAACATACGATAGGCTGCGAGGTCGAAGAGTATCCTTTCGGGAATAGCCAGAGCAGCGCCATTGGCAGGGCCGATTACAACGACCGCCCGACCTTGCGCTTGATCCCCGAGGAGGAGAATAGCAATCACGGGGTCGAAATGGGATTGTTCACCAAAGCGCTGCGGGCAATCACGAACAAAGCCAATCCAACCTATTGTATGTTTCGTTTCCTTTCATCGCCGCTCATTGCTAATTCAGTCCATCCAGGCGTCGAAGTCACCAGCTCCTCTGGAGCCCCCATGAAGGCCGACTACTACATCTCCGAGTTCGAGGACTGCAACAACAAATGCGCTGCAGCTTATGGCCCAGGCTTCATTTTGGTCAACCAGCTTAGCACTGCGGATAAGCAGGCCGCCAAAAAGGCAGGAATTCAGAACACCCAGCAGTGGGATCTCTGGTTCGACGAGCCTGCCCATCCGAACCGCAAATGGGCGCACACTGTACGTTGGGATATCTCGGGCTTGAAACAAAACCCGCCGGTCTACAAAGCCGTCACGTCGACGATGCCACCACAGTTCCCCCCGGCATACGTCCTGAGAAAAGTCTCACCTTCCGGCCCCGGGCAGAAGATCTACGTGGGCGATTTCCCCAATGGCTCGTGGGAGCTCTCCTTCGTTGATAATGGCAACACTTACACGGTTGGGGAGCCGAAGGCCGTGGTTTCCAAGACCGATGGCAGCCATCTCATCTATGACAGTCCTCCCAGTAACGGGCTCTTCCCGTATATCCGGAAACGCGACCTAGACGGCTCGGAAAGCCCAGTGGACGAGGACTGCGCACCCCATGCGGCTGAGGACCTGCACGAACCCGCACTCAACGCTACAATGGACCTCGACTTCTCACTGCCAATCACCAAGCCAAACGGACTCAGGCGCCGCGCCGCATCTTCGTTGACCAGCTTCCTCGACTCACGGGTCTACACCGATGTGTTGGCCTGTCCATTGGACGGAGAGCTCAGTGGCTGCTCCGACTGTGATCCCGAGGACGAAGACAGCGAGAGGGACATTCCGGCACCCAACTCCAACGGCGTCGCCGCGACATATCAGATCTACATGCACCCAGTGCCCGCTGGGCTGGGACTAACCGGGTTCACTAAAGAATGGATCGGATTCCAAAGCTACGGCTCCACTGCGTACAGTGCTGGGGGAGGGGTGTGCGACGGGGAGCCAGACTGGTACGAGTTTTCTGTTACTCCCAATACTAGCCTGAACCCTATTCTGCCATCTGCCCTATACAATATCAATGTGTGGGGGGACCTTTGCATGTTCGAGGCTACGCAAGATTGGGAGTCGGTTGGGACTTCGGCTGAGGCTGGCAAGCTGCTCTGCAATAACTGGAAGGAGGCGACCTGTATCAGGGCGCCTGAGCAAAAGTTTTTGTGCGGGAAGGAATATGCCTTTTACATGGTGGCGTGTTCGTGATAGCAGATTGCTTAGCTTGGCTTACCTTCATAGTTTAGTTGGTGTGAGCAGGTAATAAAGAGTAAACCTGATAGATAGCCACGTCTATATTCAACTCCTTGGAGAAGGTTTATCATTTCATACTTACCCCCTGGGTCTGTAGAATCCACGGGCTTATTCCCCAAGAGACGGAAGTATTCACATGGCGACGCCAATATTTCATTGTATGACCTAAAATAGCTTCCTTTGCGACATTTGAAACATAAAACGTCCAGTCAAATCAATTTGTATCAAACGCCTAATCCGCTGGGAGTAGGTATTCGGCGTAGGTCTTCTTTTGGTTGGATGTAGAACCTAACATTTCCCATTATCTTTCAAGCAGAATCATCGAGGACCAAACAAGACCAACTTTCGCTAGTAACCTTCAATAACTGCAATGCCTTCTAATACGTTCGGCTTGAAACTGGGAGGGAGCCATCCCAAACTTCGAAAGTGTTCCAGGCGAGAGGGCATTAAGAGGAGGAATGAGAAGCATCTTATAAGAACGCGACTGGGCCAGGCGAAGGGGGGATGTCATTTTCGGCGTGGAATTCATCTCTATATTCTAGTTCTAATCGGTTCAAGCCTTCTCCGCCGCGGTCTTGAGATATCCCAAAACCCTCTCAACAAGCCACTTCCTTGGCTCCGCCTGATCATCATTACTCAACGCATGAGAAGCGTTAGGAATGACACCCGTGTGCTTCGTATCCCAGATCTGATATTTGCCATCATGATCAGTCGCCTTCTGCCACCTAGCCAGCATCTTATCCTTATCCACCCAATCCGGAATCGACTGATCCTTCCCAGAAATCAACACCATCAACTTATGATTCAACAATCCCTGCTGCTGAATCATTCCAAATGTAGTCCCAAAGTGCTCATCACTCAGATCCGAACTAAACATATCATCCTCCTGCGGCGCCTGTGGACTCTCAGGGCTAACAAGACTCAAAAACCGCCGACAACTGATCGGGGTATTCGCCGGATAGATCATCGAAGTCAACGACAAGGGCAACAGAGTATCATGAGGCTTCCCCTCCGCAACAGCCTCCCTCGCCAACGCCTCCATCTCATCATAGACAGCCCGCGCCTTCTCCGGCGTCGTATCCCCAATCCCCCACTTCAAAACCCAAAAGATCGCCTCGCGATCCGAAACCGGTGCTTGCATGATCGCACCGTCCAGCGCGGGCCGGCTGACGTGCTCAAGCCCGGGATCGAAGGCGGGCACCTTTGTGTGCGGGTTTGATTGAGAGAGGTAGTGCAGGACGCACTGGCTTCCCGTGGAATGGCCCATCATGGCGATCTTGCCGCCGCCGAATTTCTCGGCTTTGTATTCTTTGATGTAGTTCAGACATTGGGCGATCTCGCTGGTGTCGCGGTCGAGGTGGCCGACACCCCAGGATTGGTAGGAGGATGTGAGGTTCAGTGTGAAGAGGGACCATTCGGAGTTTTGGAGGGCGCGCGCCAGATCGGCCATGTAGGAGGTTGTTGCGAGGCCATCGCCGAGTCCGCCGACAAACAGCAGACTGTGGGGTTGGCGGACTGTGCTGGAGGCATATTCGAATGTGACGAGGGTTTCAGTCTGTTATTGTTAGCTGGTGCTCGTGGCGCGGAATATTATGACCGTACGTAGTGGTGCAGAATGCCAGGAAGGCCTCCTTTGGGCCAGAACTTAGACATGTTGGTGTGTGTGTGTGTGGTTTAGAGGGGGATGAGTGTATGGAGGTGTGTAAGTGTGTCAATTGAGCAGGGAAAGTGTCTCTAGCTAGGAAGCCCTCTCTAAGGTGGGTTTTCTGCAATCGAGTGCTTTACCGAGATCGGCTTTTTGTCGTTCCGGATGACGGAATGTGGACAGTCGTTGTCGGTTAGCTGGAACCGAGGCGTCCGAATCCACCAAGTCGACCGTTTTAGTTCATCTTATCAATCTGATTACACCGTGCCCAGCCGAGATCTTAGGTAACAAGTCTCGAATACTTCGGTGCCAAGGGACAACCTGGGAAATTTTGCTTGAACATCCATGGATGGGCGTCGGGTGAGTGAAACAGGGTATTTCAATGTACAGGTCGAGGTACATGCATGTATTGTAAATACCTGTATGACGTCGAATACGCGTAACCGACATGCAGGTATTAGCGGTAAATACAGCCGCTGTCTCGCCTAGTATGGGTAACGTTTCCACAAGCTCGGATGGGAAATAAGGATAGGCCAATGAAACCCCACCGTTAAGCCTAAAGGTGTGGTACATATGCACGCTAGCTGAGGCTAACCCAGATAGGTAAGATTATCGGATCTGATTAGATTGATTGGCCGAAGACAATAGAATCTGATTAGATTGCCCCTCTTTGAAAACTCTACACAATGCACAGTGAATTCGTCAACACCTGCATCTCAAGACAAGACTTTGCTGCAATGCTTAGGAAGTCTTGATTTACTCAATGTCAGCCCTACCCAGCTTTCATGCGAAAGATCGCTTCCTAAGATGTCGTGCTCTGCATCTGGTATTGGATATAGAGGCAACCGGCGGCACCCCGAAGACGAAAAGTAGGTGTGCACGCCAGGTTGTAGTTTTCGGCAGACCGGAGGATCAATCTAGGTGAGTGGAGATGGCCTCGGTGGCGTTTGAAACACTCCATCCGAACCTTCCTACAAGCGAGCCAAGAAATCAACCCAGCAACACGCGTGATGTACGGAGTACTCCGCATGAAACGAGGCTTTTATCGACAGATTTATTATTACACGCTTGTTGCGCCAGGGCCATAGCGCACATCTTTCAGGCTTACGATAATTCCCCGAACAATTCTGGGGACACATGCATGGTCTCAGAGGGTGGGTCTCGGGATGACAGAGTACATACGGAGTATGGAGTATGTATCGCTAAGACCGTCCTCTGCTCGCTTCGTAAATCGGAATTTCCCGCCTGAGACGCACAATCGTGGGTCTCCCGAGGCCTCCGAGACTTCGGGAAAGAAACCCTTTGCTGCTTGATGCCAACCCTGATGGGTTTCACAATGGGTCGATCGTATTAACACCCCCTCTATCACAGCCCAAATCAAGGAGATGAGCAATAATCTAACTAAACAGAGCACCGCTGTAAATTGAAATCCCCTTGGCGTAGCAATTCCCAGTTGTCGTTTTTCTCGGCTTGAATATTCGATCCGGGTCGACTGTGGAGCCTGTGGATACTCATTGTACCATACAGTATCGTATGCGGCGTTGAGATCGGTATGAACATACACGTATGGATCTAAATCGCTCAGGCACGAGGGCATGATGAAACGGCCACACGCTCCGGCATGGTATCACACTGCCTTCCAGAACGGGGGTGTGTCGATACACCCACAGCACCCCGCAATAGCCGATCTCGGTGATGATATGCAAAATACCTGCAGGGAACAAGACTGGATATGCTTCGGAGCTTGGAGGGTGGAGCATGATGCGACAGAACCGTGGCTGGTTCACTATATAGTGTCGGTCATACCACTTCCGTCGCCCGCGCAAAGCTCCGGATTTAATAGACAGTCGAGCTCTCTAACTCCTTCCTCACATCAACTCGAGGGAATTAGGACCAGCTGCGCTGGTCAGTCGTCATCATGGGCTTCATTCCTCTCGAAGAGGCCACTTTCTGCCATGAGCCCACAAACGAAGTTGAAAAAGTGCCGACAGATGCGAACGGTACTGGCTTTAGCTCTTTCCAGATTGCGGAGCTTGCTTCTGAAAAGATCGCTTCTCCGACTGGCATGAAAGAAGAGATCCTGTTATTGTCTTGGCTCATGGTGCTTCTGCGCAGCCGGGAAGATAGCCAAGTATCTTACGACTGGTCTTACAACGACCGCCAAAATGGCGCTGAGCCGGAATCAGTGAACAAATTATCGATGAACGAAGTAATGAATGGATTGCAAAGTAATGTCGCCGAAGTTGCGACTGCAATCTCTCGAAATATCCCCACAGGGCCGACGAGTCCTGCATCGCTCTTCTTGAGCACCAGTTCTCTTTCGCGAACATCGGAAGAAGCTAAGGAAGAGGTAAGTTTTCCATTGAAACACTGGGTATTTGGTCGTATCTAACCGTGAGGGAAAAGGGTATACTTCATCTGGAAGTTCGTTTTAACAATGCCAACCTCGAAATCCGCCCAGTGTGGCACACCGAGAACATGTTGCCGTATACAGTGAACCACCACGTTGAGGCGTTGGCCGATACTTTCAGCGTGTGCCTCACAAGTTTCGATGCGACTATTGAACAATGCCTTCGGCCGACCGCAAGTGATCTGAACGATATATGGGGATGGAATCATGAATTACCCCCCACCTACAACTTTTGCATGCAAGAAATGGTCGCCGATAGAGCTCGCGAGTACCCAGAGAAAGTCGCCATTGACTCATGGGACGGCAGCCTGACATATAGCCAAATCGACCAATGGTCGACTTCCGTGGCGCTCTCGCTCCGGGAAAAGGGAGTCGAACTACACGATGTGATCCCCGTGTGTTTCGAGAAGTCCAGATGGACGATTGTCGCCGTGCTTGGAGTGATGAAAGCGGGCGCAACCCTTGCCCTCATGGATCCAACTCTTCCTCTTGCCCGTCTTCAAAATATGGCCGTACAAGTCGGCGCAAAGGCCATGGTTTCGTCTCGCAAACAGTATGAGTTGTCGATGACGATCATGCCGACTGGAGAGCACTTCGTCGTTGAAGAAGAAGCTTTCGCAAACCTATCCGACATTCCATCAATCTCCGACTTGCCCGCCGTTCCATCCTCCGCCCTTATGTACATCATCTTCACCTCCGGCAGCACAGGCACTCCCAAAGGAGTGAAGATCTCTCACGAAACCTATACAAGCAGTGCTATCCCTCGAGCAAAAGCAGTTGGATACACACCCGAATCCAGAGTTCTCGACTTTGCATCCTACGCGTTCGACGTCAGCATTGACAGTATGCTTTTGACACTCGGAAACGGCGGCTGCCTTTGCATTCCCTCTGATGAGGATCGACTGAACGACATCAACGAAGTTATCCGAAAAATGCGGATTAACTATGCAGGTCTGACTCCATCTGTGGGCCGCATCTTGGATGCGGATGTTATTGCATCTCTCAGCGGTCTTGGTCTCGGAGGAGAGGCAGTCTCGGCAAGAGACGCTAACCACTGGGGCAAAGAAACCAGGATTATCATTGGTTATGGCCCCTGTGAATGCACAATTGGATGCACAGTCAATTCTAGCGCTGCTACTGGCCGGGATTACCTCTCCATTGGTCCAGGCAACGGAGCTGCTATGTGGATTGCCAACCCAAATGATCATAATGAGCTTGTTCCCGTCGGCGCTGTCGGTGAGCTGCTCGTCGAGGGCCCAATTGTCGGACAGGGCTATCTGAATGACCCCGAGAAGACTGCTGCTTCTTTCATTAATGACCCACCCTGGTTGCTCGCAGGCCACAAAAACTACGCTGGTCGTCAGGGCCGTCTTTACAAGACTGGAGATCTTGGAAGATACGACCCTGACGGCCTTGGAGGTATCGTTTTCGTCGGACGAAAGGATACCCAAGTCAAACTGCGTGGACAGCGTGTCGAATTGGGTGAAATTGAAAGTCAGCTCAAGGCTGTCCTGCCTTCAGAAGCCAACGTCATTGCTGAAGTGATCAAGCCCAAGGACTATGGAGGTCAACCGATGCTCGTCGCTTTCGTGGCTTTCCAGCCCAAGGCTCATGGACAGGTTGAGCTTGCATTAGATGAGCTTTCAAGTGAGCTCAGTGACACATTGACCAATGCCAATGCGGAGGTGTCCAAAACCCTACCGCGATACATGGTGCCGACCACATACATCCCGGTCAATGTTGTTCCAGTGTTGATCTCAGGCAAGACCGATCGCAAACAACTCCGAGCATTTGGAGCGGAAATTGATTTGCGCCAGTTGGACCAAGCTGCCGCGAGCACCGCTTCTCGGGAACTCACCGAGGTTGAACAACGTCTGCGACAAGCTTGGGCTGAGACACTCAAGCTTGAAGCAGAGGCCATTCGCCCCGATGACAACTTCTTTGCGCTCGGTGGTGACTCGTTGGCAGCGATGAGACTCGTGTCTGTCTGCAGAACGCAAGACCTTGATCTTTCTGTGATTGCTACATTCGGAAACCCTACCCTCTCGGCGATGGCCACCATTGTCAAGCCTTGCAGCTCCGAAGCACAGGAGGAGATCGCACCCTTTTCTCTGATCTCTCAATCCGCCGATAGTGCCCGTCTTGAAGCAGCACAAGCTTGTGGACTGGAACAAGCAGATGTGGAAGATATCTACCTTTGCACGCCCACTCAAGAGTCATTGTTCACCTTCTCGCTCAAATCAACTAAGGCGTACATTGCCCAGCGAGTTGCGTGTATTCCCGCACATATCAGCCTCGATGCATGGAGGAAGGCATGGGAAGATGTTGTTGCAGCAAGCCCTATCCTTCGCTCTCGCTTGGCACCGCTCCAAGACCCTGGTCTTCAGCAAATTGTGCTGAAGGAAGGTATCTCTTGGAGATACTCTACCAATCTGGAAAAGTATCTTGAGAACGACCGAAATGAGCGGATGAACCTTGGTCAAAGCCTCGCTCGCTACGGTCTTGTCAGCAACCCGAATGATGACAAGCGATACATGATCTGGACCGTCCACCACGTTCTCTACGACGGATGGTCAGAGCCAATCGTTCTCAAGCAAGTCAGCGATGCCTTGCAAAACCAATCTATTGAGATCCAAACACAGATGCGGAACTTTGTCAAATACGTTCGTGATACAGACGAGACTGCCATGCACGATTTCTGGAGACGGGAGTTAAAGGGCGCCGTTGGGCCTCAGTTCCCCCGTTTGCCTTCTCGCGACTTCATGCCAACTCCTAATGCCCTGATTGAGCATCAAATTTCCCTCGAGGCAGGTGCCGGATCACCTTTCACGATGGCGACATTGGTCCGAGGTGCCTGGGCTCTCGTCGCTTCCCAATACACCGGAAGCGACGATGTTGTCTTTGGTGAGACACTCACCGGTCGTGACATTCCCCTGCCAGGCGTTGAGAGTATTGTCGGACCATTGATCGCAACAATCCCCATCCGCATTCAAGTCCGCCGATCCAGCTCAGTCGAAGACTATCTTCAGACGGTACAGCAAGCCATCTTGGCGCGCACACCCTACCAGCACATGGGAATGCAGAACATTAGAAAGGTCAGCCAGGACGCCCAGTACGCATGCGAAGCCGGCACTGGTCTAGTCATCCAGCCAGATCCCGAGTACGTGGGCAGCGAGCTTGGATTCGAACTCGGCGACGTTGTCCGTGAAGCGCTTCACTTCAACCCCTACCCGCTCATGGTGGCCTTTGGAATCCGCAAGGGTGGCCTCCGGGTCTGCGCCAGTTTCGACAGCAGCCTGATCGAGGGTTCACAGATGCAACGAATTCTCGCGCAGTTGGAAACCGCTTGCATGCAGTTATCCAAGGGTCTTGATAAGCGCATTGATGAGATTTCTTGTCTTCCTGCGGCTGAAATAGACCAAATCTGGCAGTGGAACCAACCTCCTCCTCTTTCTGTGGAAGAGTTGACTGGTAACCTTCGAGCCCATGCGAGCACCAAACAGGGATCTGTCTATCCTCGCACTGTGATTCCCTGGGTGTGTAATCCTCGCAACCCGAGTCTGTTGTCGCCGATTGGCAGTGTTGGTGAGCTCTGGCTTGAAGGAGCTTGCCTTTCTGGGGAGATTGTTGAGTCTCCTGCTTGGCTCGTGGCCGGAAGCTCTGGATGTGCTGGCCGATCAGGAAAGGTTCAACCAACGGGTGACATGGTTCAGCTCCAGGATGATGGCAGTCTGATATTTGTTGGCCGAAAGGAAAACGTCGTGCCACTTCAAGGACATGCAGTGGATATTGCAGATCTTGAGTCGCACTTCGAGAAACACCTTCCGTCAACAATCCGTGCCGCAGCATCTGTGTTCCAGCCATCCAGAGAAGGTAGCCAGAAAGTTACAGAGCAAGAGCTGGCTGTCTTCATTGAGAACCAGCCTTCTGAGGAAGACAGTATCAGAGTTATGCCTGCGAAATACGAGATGGCTGACCACGATAGCACCATCTGTGACACTATCTCTGTCACCCTGGCTGTCGCGTTGAAGAAGCTGGACAAATACATCCGAGACTCACTGCCATCATACATGGCGCCCTCTGCATATGTTGTGGTCGACAAGTTGCCTGCTGGTCTGGAGGAACTTGATCACTCCTCGCTCAACCAGTTGGCCTCGAATATTCCTTACAGTGTTCTCGAACAACTTCGTGGAGGTTTCAAGGAGGCATGGACAAAGGGATTGGCACAGACAGATCTATCTCCAGCAGAGAAGATTCTACAAGCTGCTTGGGCGAACATCCTCCGACTGGCCCCTGAGGAGATCGATGTTGATGACAACTTCTTCCGCCTCGGAGGCGACTCTGTCCTGGCAATGAAACTAGTGTCGGGTCTCCGCACCCAGGGACATAGCCTGTCAGTGGCTGATATCTTCCAACACATGCGTCTTGGTGATGCAGCCAAGGTGCTGAAGGTGGACCAAGCAAAGGAAACCGTCCAGCCCTACAAGCCTTTCTCATCGCTCAGCAACCTAGATATCAAGATGTTCTTGACCTCGACTGTGCGGCCCAAACTCGCCAACCCAGGTTGGCCCATCCAGGACGTGTCTCCGATCACAGATTCCCAGGCCCTTGATATCAGAGCAACCATCGGAGCCCCACGCACTTCTGTTCAATATACCATGATGTACTTCGACCAGAGCATCGATCGCGAGCAACTGCTACGTGCATGCAGTGACCTAGTCAAGACTCACGATATTCTGCGCACTGTGTTCATCGAGAATGAATCATCCTTCCTCCAGGTTGTTCTCGAGAACGCCCAAGTTCCCGTGGCCATGCACCAGGCTGACAAGGAAATTGAGCAATACGTCACCGAGCTCTGCACAGCAGAAATCGAGTCAAACTTCGAACTTGGCTCGCCATTCTTCAAGATCTTCCATGTTCAACACGAGGATGGAAAGCACTGCCTTGTGCTTGGTCTTTCGCACGCCCAGTATGACGGCGTTTCCCTCCCTAGACTTCTCCAGGACTTGGAGACCTTGTACGCTGGAGGCAAGGTTGTCGACTTTGAGCCCTTCGCCACTTACATAGCACGGGTTTCTGATGGACGTCTTCAAACCCAGGCAGTCAACTACTGGAACAACCTGCTCAAGGGCTCAGCACTATCCGTCCTTGACGGAGCCACAGTCCAACACACAGACAAAGCCATCTTCCACGAAAAGGCCGTCGAAGACTTCCAGACCGTTCAGGAAATCACCACTGCAAATGTGCTCACCGCAGCCTGGGCACTGGTCCTCGCCCGTCGTCTTGGTAAGCCCGACGTGACATTCGGCACAGTGACTTCAGGCCGATCCCTCGACCTCGCAAACGTGGAGAACGTCATGGGTCCATGCTACCAACTCACTCCCGTCAGAGTTAAGTTCGAGTCCCAATGGACAGCCATGGATCTACTACGTTTCGTGCAGAAGCAGAGTGCCGAATCTGCCGCCCACGATTTCCTCGGATTCGAGAAGATCTCCAAGCAGTGTGCCCAGTGGGTACCAGAGGCTCGATCCTTTGACTCGATCGTCCACCACCAGGACTGGGACGATTTCGATGATATGCCGTTTGCCGGGTCATCTTGCAAGGTTGATATCTCGAATCCCCATGGTGATGCTGCTTATCCTATGAAGGCTGTTTCGTTTGTGCGTGGTGGAAAGATGCACGTTGGATTTGTTGGAAGTGAGAGGGATGCGACGTTTGTGGATGCCACTCTTGATGAATTGGCTGCTGCTGTGAAGGAGTTGTCGGTTTGTGGAGCTGAGCCATTGGTGCTTAATGAATGATTATGATATTTTTATAGAGCAGATAGATTGGATATGAATTTGATTCCCAGTTATGTTAATTATTTCATTATTCCGTGGAGACACCCCCAACAGGAATATGATATCCTACACGACTGAAGAGATGGAGAGTCTGCCAAGGGTATTTAGTTACTCTGTTATACATATTCTGAACTACTCTCATGTTTTTCGTTTCATACTTTTGAGTGCAAACAATTCTAGATGTCTTCCATTGGATTGGGCTGCTTCCGCACAAAATGAATTCAAATCACATAAAACCAAACACTTTTTGTGGTATATACAAAATTGGTATCTCTATTAAACAAGGACTAGAAAATTATATCGAAATCTATAAATCTGAAAAGGATCAAGTCGCCACAGTCTGGTGCATGACATTTGCCCGGTAACTGTCCGAGCGCTCGAGCAATTCCTCATGAGAACCAGAATCAGTGCACACACCACCATCAATCAGGAAGATGACATCGGCTTTTCTGATGGTGTGAAGACGGTGAGCAATAGCAATGACAGTGATTCCCTGCGCGGCCTTCTCCAAACCATCCTGCAAGAGCTTCTCAGACTCAGCGTCCAAAGCGCTGGTCGATTCATCAAGAATCAGAAGCTTGGGTTTGCGGACAAGGGCACGAGCAATGGACAATCTCTGCTTCTGACCACCAGAGAACTGGTTACCACTGGGTCCGCAGAGGGTCTGGTATCCCTCTGGCAGCGAAGTGATGACATCGTGGATGTTTGCGAGCTTGCAAGCCTCCTGGATCTCTTCAATGGACACGTTGTGGCCGGGTCGGGCACCGAGACCAACGTTGAACTCAATGCTTCCCTCGAAGAGAACGCTTTCTTGGGGCACCAGGGAGATCCAGTCGCGGAAGGAGACATCCGAGGTCTTGGTCACATCGACACCGTCGATGATGATAGATCCGGATTCAGGTGTGTAGAGGCGTTCGACCAGAGAGATGATGGTCGACTTACCTGCACCACTGGGTCCAACCAGGGCGCAGAACTTGCCGGGGCTAATATCAATATTCAAGCCCTTCAGCACCTTCATGTCGGGGCGGGCAGGGTAGCAGAAGTGAACATCACGGAGCTGCACACTGGAGGATGAGCTGCCAGAGTCGTATGTGGGCTTCTCTTCGATTGCCTCGAGATCCTTATTCTTGGGGACGTCAACGTGTGCACTCATGTTGTCCTTGCCGATCTCAATCAGTCCAAGGATTCTGGACATTGCGGAGCGGGCGGCGGAAAGCTCGGGCGCGAGCGCAAACATCTGACTCCAGAGCAGAGCGCTGACCAGAAGAGAGAAGACGACAATCAGGAATTGGGTTTGGGTGTAGTTGCCGTTGATGATCTGCTTGGAACCCCACCAGTATGCGAGTGCGTTCACCATGTTGCCGAGGAAGTAGGTCATTGCTTGCCAGAAGCTTGCCTGCAGAGTGACGACAAACGTCTCCTTGCGAGGTCCCTTAAGGGAGCGTCGATAGGTTTGCAGGGTGTTTTCCTCAAGAGAAAGGGAAGCAATTGTCTTGATGGAGGTAACAGCTTCCACGCCAATATCAACGGACTTGGTGTAAGCAGTTTCATGGCGTTCCTCGAATTTTCCGAGGACCATCAGCTCCATCAAACCAGCTCCGAGCAGAAGAGGTACAAGAGCGAGACAGACGAGGGCAATTCTCCAGGCAATGATGTGGGTCAAAATGATGGCAGCGATGAGGTTGACGGTGATAGAGAACAGGGTGCCAATGACAGATCCGCTCAGACCAGCAAGCGCATTACCATCTCTGGTGATATAAGAAAGCAGCAAGGCGGGCGAGCGACCGTTGGATTGATGCCACTGGAGATCTTGTTCAAACAAAGACCGGAATGACAAGACACGCACTTTGTACACTATCTTCTCGGAGACAAGGCCAAATCCTCCCCAGCTGACAATGTTTGCAAAGAATTCGATGAGCGCAAGAACGAAGAACATCAGACCGTAGAAATTACCCCGATTGCTAATACTGTCGGCACTGTGGCAAGGGTTCAAACTTCCAACAGTGTTTCCAAAAATGACAGCTTCACCGGAGAAGGCTCCACCGACCATGCTGGCACCGAAAAGTGCAGCGAAAATGACAAGCAGATAAGGCCTGAGAGCTGGTGCATAACCCTTGCAAAGAGCCCACAGGGTCTTGGGGGGAGTCTGAGGCTCTTCGTCTTCCGCAGCTTCGCTGGCTGGCGCTTCAGTAGTCGACACACGGCCTTCTTTCGGAAGCTCAGGGTCGGTCGAGAGACTGCCCTTCTCGTTTTCGACTTCAATGACACAAGTATCATCAGACTTTTCGATGCTTGTAACGCTGGCCGAGGAATCAGTCTTGTTAGATGCGGATGCAGCTCCAAGAGTTTGCAATTTGACCAATTCGGAGTAAGGTCCGTTGGCTGCCATTAACTCGGAGTGAGTTCCCTCCTCCAAGATATCTCCCTTGTGCATACACACGATCTTGTCCGCGTTGGTAATCGTAGACAGACGGTGAGCAATTGTGATGACGGTTCGGCCGGTTGAAATGTTATTGATAGCACGCTGGATACGTTGTTCACTACGGGAATCCAAAGCAGCAGTGGCTTCATCCAGAATGAGAACAGCGGGATCCTTGACAAGGGCACGAGCAAGAGAGACTCGTTGCTTTTGGCCACCACTGATCAATCGACCACTGGATCCAACCATTGTAGCGTATCCGTATTGCAATGCTTCGATGAAGTCAGCCGCATCGGCAAGGCCGGCGGCCTTTCGGACCAATTGAACGATTTCGACAACTTCGGGGCCCCTTTTCTCTGCTGCTGTGACAAGGTTCTGACCATCCCGAACTTCCTTGGCTAGATCGGTGAGATCGGTTCCAAGAAGAGTGGCTTTCAGGTGTGCGTGGGCGGGCTTGCTAGAGTTCATCAGGCCGTGTGCAATGTTCTCCAAAAGAGAGCGGTCAAGAAGAGAAGGCTCCTGCTGCACGAGACTGAGGAACCCTCTCAGATCACGGGTGTTGAGATCGCGAATGTTCTGGCCATCGAAAGTGATAGTACCTTCAGTGGCATCATACAAACGAGTGACCAGACCAGCGATTGTGGACTTTCCACTTCCGGAAAGGCCAACAAGGGCAGTGTGCTTCAGAGGGGCAATGGAGAGATTGATACTGTTAAGAACAGTGATCTCTGGCCGAGAGGGGTAAATGAAAGAGACATCCTTGAACTCGAATCCGCCCTCCGCCTGGGAGATACGGAGGCCAGCATCGGAAGACCCATCAATCAGGGAAGTACGCTCAATATCATCACGCAGCTTGTGATAGCAAGCAACTGCCTGTGTGAACAAGTGGATGAAGGGTGCAACTTGACTCAGAAGCAGGGTAGCTACCATTCGTGTTAGTGAATTTTCTCTAGTAAGATTTCAACCAAGCTTACCTTCGACCAAAACAAAAATGACAGTGAAAACAGCTCCGACGGTGGCACCGGCTGAGTTTGAGCGCACTGCGTCGGCAATCTGCTTACTTCCTTGCCAGAAGGCAAGACCGTTGGCGCCATATGCAACGAAATACAAGACACCGGCTTGAATACCAGTGGCAGTAGCCTTTTTCAATCCTTCAGTTTCCGAATCCTTCAGAGCCTTGGAGAACTTCTCCTCCAGACGCGCGTTCGCGCCAAAGGCATGCACGACAACAATGTTATTAAGCGCTTCTGAGGCAATTGACGCAGCGGAAGCAGCGAAGTCCGACATGCGCCCGGTGTACTTCTCGATATAGTAACTTCCAACAAAGGACATGATGAAGTATGCGGGGATCAAGGAAAGCAACATCGCGGCAAGAATAGAGTCTTTGATGAATGCCACGATGTATGCGGTGACGAAGAAGGAGAAACTTGAGATACAAATTCCGACCTTCTCAGCTGTTCCGGAGCGAATTGTTTGAATATCGGTATTAAGACGGGAGGCAACTTCTCCGGCGGGCAGGTTGTCAAAGAAGGAGGGTTCTTGTCGGAGGAGGTTCTGGAGATATTTTTCGCGGAGTCGCTGCGCCAGGCGCGCACCGGTCATCGTCCAGCATAGTAGGTGAATGTAGATCAAGACGAATTGCGCAATTCCCAGATACACGATCAGCAGAATCTTGCTGTTAATATCTGATTGCTCGCTTGAGTCATCTCCGGAGGAGTTGGAGGTTTGTTCGCAGGTCACTGAGTTGAAATCATCGATCAATTGGCCGAAGATGATACCGATGATTGGAAAGGGGACACCGGACGCAATTGAAGACGCCAGGCCAGCAAAAAGGGTGACCAGCTCGAGTCTTGAGGGGTTGGCAGCTACAAGTAGCTTGGGATAGCCAGTCAGGTTCCCGAAACCCATGGTGACTCGAAGATGGCGTTCAACACTGGGATTGTCGATTGAGTGTTGCAGAAGCTAGGTTCTCGCAAGCGATCAATTTATCAGTTTGACTAGCTGAACAGTGGCGTCACCATAAAAATTGCACCCACTCGTTAGCGTAAATCCATCCGGTGAAGTGACTGGAGCTGTGTGGGTTACGATGAGGACCCAAAGAAAGATGTATGCCAAGTGGGATGGAATCTCCAGGGGGTTTCCGGATGTTTAACATGCCGAATTCAATTTTTCAATCATCCGACATCGGTTTTTGACAGCTGGATCCCAAGATGCAACCCACCTTGGGCATTTCAAGAAATTTCCGTTCGGGGTTTATCAGATCAAAGTGGAGCACGTGTACCGTGGTTCGACACTAGCGTATATACGGTATGTTTGGGTGGATCCCCGTATCGGTGGCTGTATGGTGTATTTTATTTCCTTGAACATACGGTGTACAGCAAGCGAGTTGTGGACATTTTGGGCTTCTTGCTTTCCAAGGTTGTGATGGTGGAGAAGAATACATCATTAAGAGATTCCAAGGTTTCTTGTTTTGAACTCTCGCAAGATTAGAGATTTTAAAGTTGTGAGTATAATCTGAGTATGATCTAGGTATTCACACTTTGCCTCTGCATTGTAAGATGTATAGAACATCCATGGATATACTCAGGTAACATATTCAACAGTGGGAAGAAATCTCCATTCAAACATCACGCCATGTGGGATTACATACAAAATGCAGAAGTGGATCCTCCCAAAACGTGCAGTTCCGAAGGGAAAAAAAAAACTTCCGAAAGATTATCTGATTGAAGAAAAGCGGAGTAGACAACGCGTGGAACAGCCCCGACTAGGAAGCTCGACGTGGAACACGAGCTACCCCACTTATCCCATGGCAATTGAAAAAAGATGTCATGAATTTTTTGTACATTATCCCGTGCGCCAATTCCCGTGAAGCAACCTCTAACCAAACTATAGCTTGGCGTTCCACGCAGCGCGATCGGCAGATTCCAATGGCCGCTCACGTCCATCCCAGAATATCGGGCATAGTTGGAACCATTTTTCACGGCTGCAAATTGAGTGCACCGAGCGCTTGTGTCCGAGGTCGACGTACTTGCCAATAGTGAGTCCCTGGGCGTTCTCGTAGGACAAAATGGTGGCGCCGGTAGCCTTGGGCTCACCGACGGCATTGGCGGTTCGGGGATCGTCCAAGAAGACATAGTGAATGCAGCTCGAGTACCAAGCATTCACGCGATGAGCACCCCGGAAGCTGGCATCGCCGACAAGAGAGTGGCGGCCGCGATCGTAGTGCCCGGCATCGTAGTGGGCGCCGTAGTGATCCTCCTGTAGATAAAAGTGTTAATATCGATATCAAGAATGCGAACGAGGAATGTTACCTTTGACCAGTACAATTCATAGTAAGAGAAGCGGGTATCATCGAAACGTCCAAACAAGCACAGCACATGGGGATCGAAATGCAGCTTGCGCAAATACTCGGTGTGCTGTTCGATAGTTCCGGTCTCGTTCCAGCCTGCAGCGACACGGGGGTCGTTCTGCCACTTGTTGAACAACTGGACATGCTCCAAATTTTGCCAGTCAACCACTTCCAGTGAGAAGTGCTCATTGACCTCTGGGATGTAACGACTGTAGGCAATGGATCCTGGGTGCGGTTTGGGACGGCGGATCGGGTGACGAGTATATACCGGTTCTTCAGGGAACTTGTTTGTGACTTCGTAGTTCTCGGGCATGATGGGATATTGAGACAAAGGCGCCCGGAGAGGGCCATCTGTGCCATCTCCCACTACCCAAATGGGACGAGGGCCCATGGGGGAGGCAGCACCCTGCCAGAAAGCGCTTCGAAGGATCAGCAAATCATCGAATTGCAAAGCCTTGTTTTCTCTGTCGCGAAGGTTTCTCGGGTGCTTGATCGCCAATCCAGTGATGAGGAGTTCATCGTGAACGGTTTCCTGGCCTGCGCCGGAGAGAGTAAGTCTGAAGTATTCAATTGTTGGGTGGGCGAGATAGATGGCGTGGACCACATTCCAAATTTGGCCCAGAGAAGGAGCGCTGTTTCCTGTCCATTGGAAGACGGTCTGAGGACTGCGACGCGCGCGACCCCAGGGAGTGTTATCTGAGATAGGTGGCTGCTCGGCTTTGGGAATGAAGGTCAAGTCAAGCCATGAGAGCGAGTCTGAGTGTAGTGGTTCGGACAAAGCCTGTCCCTTCGCAGGTTGCTCCGCAAGTCTCAAGTTACGCTGGGCCGGTGTCGATCCAGCAACAGTGTCCACGCGATAGGCGGTCAGATAAGGGTGTGGTAGCTTGACCGGGGGATATTGGTGTGATTTCGAGGCCATGGTCAAAGATTTTGACCGAGAGAATGATCAAGAGCTTCGCGACAATCGGGGTTTGCGCCGAGTGGAAGTCAAAAATTAATAGAAAACTCCCCGTTCTGCGTAGAGAGATTATATGTGCGGAGTACGGAGTAGGTGACCTTGCAAAAAGGACGATCAGGCTAGGATATAGTACGGAGTAACCGAGTCTGAATCCCCCGCTCATCAGATCCTGAAGCAGAAAATACAAAATTCCGTTGAGATAAGCGAAGCCAAATGGATCGTCATATGGGGCTCTGGTATTTTCCAATTCCAGTCTGTAACGTCTTTGGGACCATCTCAGCTTCCGAGGTTCCGTTGGAAGGCTCTTGCGACCGCGGGACGCCAAATACCCGCTCCTGAGCCTAGGTACTACATAACCTCTTTACATCCGAACTCGCCAAATATAAAGTACATAGGTAACTCTAGACTGTCTACGATTCACACTTCCATCATGTCTTTACGTACTGGCCCCTTGAACCATGAGAACTTCTATATCTCCTTCCCCCATGAGCGGGTTCTGCTGGTCACAATCAACCGACCAAACAAGCTAAACTGCATCGACACCAAATTAAGCCGAGAAATTGCTAGGATCTGGGCGCGATTTGATGAAGATGAAAGTTTATGGGTTGCCATCATCACTGGCGTTGGGCGAGCTTTTTGTACAGGGGCTGACCTCGGAGGTGATTGTTTCCTTACCGTAATCGAGATTGAACGCAAAAATTGACTGAAATAACCAGAATGGAACGCGATGAACAAGGCTGGGGTCGTCAATGATATGTCCGCACCGGGGCTGGCCGGACTACCTCGTCGGACCGGCAAGAAACCGATCATTGCCGCCGTGAACGGCATCTGCATGGGCGGAGGCTTCGAAATGGTGGCAAATTGCGACCTTATCTTGGCTTCATCCTCCGCGGTTTTCTCCCTTCCGGAGGTGAAACGAGGAATCGTGCCCGTTGCTGGCTGTTTGCCGCGGTTAAGCCGTACCATCGGCCTCCAACGCACAATGGATCTCGCCCTTACCGGCAGAAACGTGAGCGCCACAACGCTACATGACTGGGGTCTGGTTAGTCAGGTGGTCGATTCATCGGCCGATGTCGTCCGTGCAGCGGTCGACGTTGCCGAGATCATGTGCAAAAACAGTCCCGACGCTCTTATTGTCGCCCGCCTGGGTGTTCGCATGAGCTGGGATGCTGGCAGCGTGGAGGATACAGTCACCGAATTAGCGGATCAATGGTATCCTCGGTTGATCGCTGGTCCTAACTTTGCCGAAGGCATTCAGGCTTTTGTGGAAAAACGGTCCCCGAGCTGGAAGAACTCGAAGTTGTGAGATTCGGAAGTAGTCCTAATCAGATTAAATGACGCGATTTGTCCCCGGGAGTGGGGTCTGAACTTATCTGATTAACTGTAACTCGGCGTATTCAACGTGTATTTTTCTGGTAACTAGCGTATGGTGGAGATACCTAATCTGGAAGAGAAAAAGAAAAAGAAAAGAAAACCCAGAAGAAAAAAAAAAAGGAAAAAGAAAAGTTCTACATACGTAGATATGAATTGTTCATCCGGCAACAATGCCAATGGTAACATGTGTCTCTCTCATTGTGCTATAAGTCTACATATGATATACCGATTACCCCAGTATAAACATCCTGAGTCCGGAGTACTCCGTACCTGGATCAACCTCATCAGAGTGCTCGATCCAAATCGGTCTAATGCAGTACCTTTGGAGCATTACTTACCGCTAGTAACAGATGCCTCCCGACGGAACCCGCACGGATCTCGACCTAGCGTGTAGGACCAGTTTAGTGGCCCCCAAAGGCCTAAACACTCTCATTTGCTTTTCTTTTGATTTCTTTTCCGGTTGTCGCGGCGCCAGTAGGGATGCCAAGCTCTGCCAAACTCGACCCACACATTAATTTCCATAACAGGCAACCTATACGCAAATTTGAAGCTTGGAGTGGTTCTGTCCATCGTTGCCACTGCCTTGGTTAAACCCTTCCGGGCTGGAAACCGCCATCCGTACAATCTGATTAGATTCTGTATCCGGAATGCCCGAATCTGGCCGACCTTTGAAGTGGGCAGACCACACATGGTCTGGGCGCGAACTGAGAGCCCTAAGAAGGATGGGGAGAAAAAGCTCGGTTACTTGATTACCCGGCGAATCAACGATGAGACATCGCCAAGACCCTGTCTACTGGTTTATTTATCACGGCGTGGCGTGCGTGAACCTTGCAACAGTCTACTCCGTCCCAAGCTTCCGAGTTCGGTGATTGTTTTGGACACTAGGTCTGGAGCGCTACCAAGAGAGGTATTTGCTATAAGGGCAAAGGTTCCCCTTGGGGTCTGTGGTTTTATTTTGAGTCTCTCCAGCCTATCTTCTTCCCACCAATTTCACAACATGGGCATTGCCAGATTCCGATCTGCCTTTCGGCGGTCAGCATCGGCGGAGTCTGATATTCCCGTCGATGTGACCACCGATGGCGAACGCAAGAGCGAATTGCCCTCAGCGGTTGTCGCTCCAGCTGACGAGGAAAACCCCGATTTGCCCACCGAAGATTCCCAGCAAGGTGTCAAAGCTGTTGAGGCGGTGACTTTGAGTTGGACGAAGGGCATGCTAATTGCAGTCTTTGCAAAGTAAGCTCTTATCTCTCTGCATTCATTTGTGACCGGTGTGTGCGATATAAGTTGTTTGCTAACTGAAGTCTTCAATAGCATCTGGTTCTTGTATTTTGTCAACGCTATGCAGTCTTCGATCAACTACAGTTTGCTCGGCTATGTCACTAGTGACTTCGAGAGCCACTCCCTACTAAATGTCATTTACATTGTCGCAGACGCCATGACAGCTGCAGTATACATCCCCACTGCCAAAGTCATGGACGTTTTTGGCCGTGCTGAAGGTTATTTGATGATGGCCTCGTTCGCCACTCTCGGTCTGGTCTTGATGGCTGTGTGCCACAACCTTCCCACCTTTTGCGCTGCCTACGTCTTCTACAGCATTGGATTTGGAGGTATGACATACTGCGTGGATGTCATCACCGCCGATATCTCTAAGCTCAAGAATCGAGCTTTGGCGTACGCTTTCACCTCCTCCCCGTATATCATCACGGCGTTCGCTGGCCCCAAGGCTGCCGAGGGCTTCTACGAGGATATCAGCTGGCGCTGGGCTTTCGGTGCATTCTCCATCATTTTCCCCATTGTTGCCTCTCCTCTTTTCTTCATCTTGAAAGCCAATCTCAAGAAGGCCGAGAAGAATGGACTTCTCGTGAAAGAGCCTAGCGGCCGGACCCTTTTCCAAAGCCTTTGGCACTATATCAAGGAGTTTGATTGTGAGTGGTCATTTTCTTCAAAGGGTTAGGCCTGGCGAAATACTAATCTTGTATAGTGCTCGGTGTCATCGTATTTTCCGTTGGCCTTACAGTCTTCCTCCTTCCCTTTAGTATTGCTTCGTTCGCCCCCAATGGCTGGGCATCAGACTATATCATTGCTATGATCGTGGTCGGATTCGTTATGCTTGGAATATTCATTGCTTGGGAACTTCTTCTTGCTCCCACCCCAATGTTTAACTTCAGTCTACTGACTGATCGAACTATCATCGGCGCGTGTTTGCTTGACGCAACATACCAGCTCTCCTACTACTGCTGGAACAACTACTACACCTCCTTTTTGCAGGTAGTAAACGATCTTACCATTGCCGAGGCTGGATACGTTAGCAATACCTTCGATGTTGTTTCCGGCATTCTTCTCCTCGGAACAGGTTTCGTTATCCGCAAGACCGGACGCTTCAAGTGGACTCTCTACATTGCGGTTCCCCTGTATATCTTTGCTCAGGGATTGATGATCTACTTCCGCCGTCCCAATCAATCTGTCGGTTATCTTGTCATGTGCCAGATTTTCATCTCTATTGGTGGATCCGTCTTCATTCTTGTTGAGCAGCTTGCTATCCTTGCTGCTGCTGACCACCAGCACGTCGCCACTGTCCTTGCTCTGTTGAACGTTGTGGGAACTGTCGGTAACGCTGCCGGTTCTACCATTTGCGCCGCCATCTGGACCAACACATTCCGCAAATCCCTTCTACGCTATCTTCCCGAGTCTGCCATAGGAGATGTCGATTTGATCTATGAGGATCTTGCTCAGCAGGTATCATATCCCATCCACTCTCCCGAGCGTCTGGGAATTCAGCAAGCATATGCCTACTCCCAGACGAGAATGCTTGCTGTTGGAACGGGTCTCATGGGTCTCTGCATTATCTGGACCATCATGATCCGCGACATTGATCTGAAGAAGGTTGCCCAGGTCAAGGGTACCGTCTTCTAATATGTTTTCTCTTCTCTTTGGGAGTCATCTTTGCCCACGACACTGTTCATGATCCACTCCCCCTTATATCCAACCCCTGACTAGCTGCATCACGTCAGTTATTCAAGCTTGCTTTCAGTACTCTACTGCCTAATCTATACCACATAATGATCTAAATACAGAACGTTATGAATTTCCAAATCAATTCTCCGGTCCTGATAATCCATAAAATCTTGACAATTAGCTTTGAGACATCAATATGATCAAACCTACGGAGACATCCACATGTTCAAATGTCCAAGAATGTAACTTTTAGACATCTCACTTCCAAGAAAATGGAATGATAGTCGCGGGACGTTGCACGCCAAGCGTCGTTAGAGCCCACGCCGAGTTTTCAGCGACCAGCTCGCATACGTTTTGTTTCCCGTTGGCCGGGCGTATTGTAAACCGGTAATTTTGGGCGAACGTAATTTTGAGCAAAGTTACCCATACATACCGCTAGTAAGTTAGGTAATATATCCGACTCCACAGTCCACACCACCTCCTCCGAGTAAATACTGGGATATGAATCACCGTTTGTACATGAGACAACGGGATCCGAGCAGATACTTGCCTACCGAGAACATATCCCGGTCCCATTTGCCCAGATCCACGTCTGGCCAGAGATTCCCCACCTCGCAGAACCAGGGGTCAAAACGATCTGATAACGTTTTGGTCTGGTGTGCTTCTGTTGTCTCGCGCGATATCCGAGAAAAATCCTTTTCTATCGGCCCAAACCACCCAGGTCACACATGGCTGGTTATATCGGCCCACAGAGAATCGCAACTGGGGAGGCAATAGGCAAGTACTCCGTACTCGGACTCCGATTGTGCTCGCCCAGGAAGATACCTTCTGTGGAAAAGTCGACCGAGCCTCCACTTCATTTCGGGGTGGGTATGGCCGCTTGCTCAGGGGCGGCTATGTTCGTTGGGATCCATTTTCTCTGGAAAGATTCCGAATGGGATCGAATCTGATAATTTCCTGATCATCTGATTAGATGGACTCATTGTCCTGGGTCCTTCTAGTGTTGTGGCGCTTTTATCTGATCCGAATGCCCCTGGTGGGTAGGGAGAGATGACACACGGTAACACATCCCGCGTGGGTTTCGGGGTCTGGGTGGGCTTTTTTTTTTCAAGAGAGCTCGGAGACCTTTGCACGCTAGGTAGCTATTACGTACTTCGAAAGTAGCATCTAGGCAATGTTGTAGCGTCTACTCCGTACACCGGTGTACTTTAGCTAGCGGAAATGATAGATCCTTCCTGGGTTACACTATTGCCGAGTCTCATCACTCGAACCTATGCCTTTTCTCGCGTAAATCTCTACTAGAACGTAGTGTGAGTCATTCTACGCCATGTGAATCGTATGGATCATTTGATACAGACCCGAAAAGAATAGAATGGAGATATGGCAGCCGAGTTATTGACATCCTCATCCTATCGAATCACATATTTGACTTCCTATCAACGCTGCTATTGATGGCCCTGTACTTTGGTCTCCTCTGAATAGCTGTAGTCATTAGCTTCGAACTCTTCGGCTCCCTTCCTCAGTTCATAGCTTCACCACTAAAGCCATCTTGTACACTCAAAAATCTTCATACGCATACTAGAGGTCCCAAATATGTTATCTCAGTATTGTATCATTCGTAGGGAGGTCTTTCTCTCCAGACTTGTCCATTGTATTGCACAAATAAGTATCATAACATGTTTCGCCCGTTGACAAGATTTCATTTTGCACCTTGGGTGCCAACTGTTAGGGTCTACTGCTGATAGAGACGTCGAAATGCATCATGAAGATGGTTGATGAAGCTAAGAAGACTAAGCCAAAAGGCTATGGACTAGGAGAGAAGTCGGACAACAACATTGCAAACTATAGTTCTCTACCATATTCATCGACCTACGTATAATTTGTGAATTTCTAGATTGTTTGAACTTCGCTGTTTTACGCAAGCACCCACTTTCTCCCTTCTTGCTATCCTCATCGCCGTCAGCGCAACTTCCAAATCCAGTTAACGGATACAGATAGCTTTATGCTGGGTAACAGTTTCGCAGCCTACTACCATCGTAGCGCTCTATGTTGAGTCCCTGGCTGTAGATTCCATCACTGCCTTGTATCATAGATCCATGGAGCTAGTTGGTGATATATATGGAGCCGCCCTGGCATAAAATCCATGCCCTGTGAGGATATAAGATCGAATGCGCAGATGACAAAACTTCTCTATAACTACCATTGTTATAGAGAAGTATACAGAAGCCTGTTATACAAGCGAGATACTCATTAGGGGGCGTATGATATTCGTTATGGCGATGATGAACGTCTGTGCCTCTAATAAGAACGCATAACAACCCACATGATAGTTCCTCGATTATAATTAGGTGTGCTTCTATCAACATCCTGTTCTTCTTTCTTATTTATTTTGCTTTTTGTTTCTTTTGATGGTTGATACAAACTGCATATCTTGCTGACTTCATCGTAACCTAGTGGATCAATGCCATAAAACTTCCTTGTTGACAATTCAATCAAACCAAGCCCAGTGGTTACTGTTAGGTTGAATGTTATTACTCTTTACCTTTTCTTGCCTAGGAAATTGTCTGCCAATGGTATTTGGAGTAATGCAAGTCATGGGAATCACAATCCTCCGCAGACCTAGGCTTGTGCACCTATTGAAGGTTCAGCTCTAATGGAGTTAATGATTCCTCTGCATTTCCCAGGCTCGCAATAAATAGCGAGTTTCATACCCTTCGATCAATTTTACTGATCCTGTACTGCTCTTAGCTCTAGGTCTGAGTGTGAGTCCCGGTCCGGTTTTGTTTCTTTTCGCTTCACTAACCTCAGACCTTTCGCAGTTCTCAGTCAATCCGCCGGTGCTGGATAATCTCCAGACTCTACCTATGCACCGCTCGGAATCTAAGACACCGAGACAAGAAGGCTGCCAATGATGTTCCCCCAAAAGAGAGGGAAGGGGGAAGACAGCCTACCACGGTATATTGAGGTCATTCTTGATACCTCCTGGGCTGACTTGGGCTCTATTCAAGTTTCTGGAGTCATTGTTGAAATCTTCAATCTGCTTTCAGAATTAGAAGTCATACTTGGTTGAGATGAATGCCAGAGTTTGCGAAAACCTTAGTTCTTAATGTCGAATTTAGATCAAGAAGATAGGATAGTGCAAGGTAGAACTGTAGCTAAACAGATTGATAGGAGCCCTATTTAAGAAGTTAACTGGATCATCTGAGCACATAGATGAAGTCCGAAAGCTATATTGGGTATACAAAGCAAACCGGTCCTTGTAATGAGTGTAGATAACACCACGTTTTGCAGTTCAATTATCTGACTTCGCTATTCATGGACTCATAAACTCCCACTTCGATATATGTCCTTGCAAACAGAACCCAATGCTCTAAATGCACTCGTCTATCAAAGTTGAAGTATGTATAGAACTTACTGCTTATCAGGGAAGCCGAAGTTGACGCCGAATGGAGGATAAACAAAGCGTTGGAGCTTACCCTCAGCCTGTAAGCTGTCACTGTACTTGCGAAGGGTGGCCATGTCCTCATCATCCAGCTTGATCAAGTCGGCACGGTTGGCCTCAATGCGGGCAGGAGTCACAGACTTGGCGAGAACCGAAGAGCCACGGGCGACTGCGAAGAAAAGGATCGGTCAATATGGTCAAGTCAGCCTGAGAGGAAAAATTGAGAAATACTTACTGTGCCAGCTGAGCAGGATAGTAGCAGGAGTAACCCCACGCCTAGTCGCAACGGCCACGATAGGCTCAGCAGTGAACAGCGGGCTGCCGGTGCTGCCCAAAGGACTGTAAGCTGTGATGTGGATGCCAGCCTTATTACAGAAGTCAACGATCTCTTGCTGGGGGAGCAGAGGGTGGTTTTCGATCTGATTGGCGGCGGGAACAATGGTGGCCTGGGGTAGAAGCTCCTCGAGGAACTTCACACTATAGTTCGAAACACCAATTGCCTTGACCTTGCCGGTGCCGACAAGCTTCTCCAAACTCTTCCATGTGGTGACGTGGGAGTGGCTGTGGACAATATCTCGCGAACCATCAGCGAGCTTGGGGAAGAGGTTATGGTTACCTGCGGGGGAATTTGTCAGTATCTAGAATTCGTATATCCGAAGCAGATTTAAGATACCCTTGGGGTTCATTGCCAGGGGCCAATGCATCAGGTAAAGGTCAACATAGTCGAGTCCGAGATCTTTCAGGCTCTGCTCGATGCCCTCCTCGACCCGAGAGTGGTAGGAGCACCACAGCTTGGTAGTCACGAAGAGATCCTCGCGCTTGACGATACCGGCATCGATAGCCTCTTTAATGCCCTGGCCGACCTCACTTTCATTGCCGTAGCAAAGAGCGGCATCGATGTGACGGTAGCCGACCTTGATGGCGTGAGAGACAGCGCACGCGACCTCACCGGGCTGGGATTGCCATGTTCCCAGACCGAGGGCGGGAATCTCAGCGCCAGTGTTGAGCTTGAAACGGGTATCGCAGGCAGCCATTATGAATTGAGAACTAAACTAGTATTTACTGATCAAATTGAACGCGCAGTGGTCTATTTACACCAGAAAGGCGGGGGAAGCCTTCGGTCGAAACAATGCCCCGAGCTTCCCCCCGCCCATCGGGGGTCTTCCACCCGACAACTCGGGCTTTTTCCATCAATCACGACGCTGAAACGGCTTTCTGGAAATGTCCTCTAGAATGTTCTCTTACAGGGGTATTCAAACCATCATTTGGATGAAAAGAATAGCACAAGTATCCCCGCATATTAACCGTCACCAACATTCCAAGGGCCGAGGACATTGGCAGTTGCAGCAGCCCCCTGCGTAGGGCTTAGGGCCACAACGGAAACCATCTTCCATGTTTTCCTTTTCGAGGAATCATTTTCTGCCTGACATCAGAACCCCACCATACATGGCTCGAGGACACCATAGGGCCCCTGCGACTGCCAATCATCGTCATTCTTCTGCAGAGCAGCTCAGATCTTCGTCGGCCCGGAAGCCAGTATCCGTGATGTTTCACAGCGACGATTCCTGTCCCATAACGATGGCAAATCATGGACGGTCTGGAGACAGGTTTCAGCGCACAGCAGCTGAGGTCGGAAATCTGGATGCGATACTGCCTCTCGATCCTATATATACGCCAAATATCCAAGAACTGATCCCTCTTCCGACGAAAGGCTCTACTCATTGATAATTACTAGGCGCATTCAAAGATTTACCCTCCATATTGTATCCTGCAAGAAAAGAAGTACACTCCTTCCCATAGGTTTTCAAAATGGCACCAGTCGCCCTCTATCCACAAGCCTCCCCTGTCTTCAAAAAGCGGGATGGCCAGGCACTCGAGGACCTCTCCGATGCTATCGACGAGGTCAACGTCCTGAAAGACATGAAGAAGCGCGAAGCCCAGAAGAAAGCGATCCAAGAAAGAGGTCTCTACGAAGAGTCTGAGTTCGACAAGGAGAAGGACAAGTCCAATTTCCGCCAATACGAAGACGCCTGCGACCGAGTCAAGAACTTCTACCAAGAGCAGCACACAAAGCAGACCGTCGCGTACAATCTCAAAGCCCGCCATGACTTCCACAGCAAGATCCGCGCTGAAATGACCGTGTGGGAAGCCATGGAGAAACTCAACACCCTAATCGACGAGTCAGACCCAGACACCAGCCTCTCCCAGATCGAGCATCTACTTCAGTCTGCCGAGGCCATCCGTCGCGATGGCAAGCCTCGCTGGATGCAGCTCACCGGACTGATCCACGACCTGGGCAAACTCCTCTTCTTCTTCGACGCCGAAGGTCAATGGGATGTAGTCGGCGATACCTTCCCGGTCGGCTGTGCGTATGACGAGAGAATCGTCTATGGCCGCGATTCGTTCCGCAATAACGAGGACTTCGAACATCCAATCTACGATACCAAATTTGGTATCTACAGCCCCGGCTGTGGTCTCGATAAAGTCATGCTCTCCTGGGGCCATGATGAATATCTCTATCATCTCGCTAAGGAGCAATCGACCCTTCCCGACGAGGCGCTCGCTATGATTCGTTATCACTCTTTCTACCCGTGGCACAGCGCTGGCGCATATCATGAGTTTATGAACGACCACGACCGTGATATGCTGCGTGCTGTCAAGGCTTTCAATCCTTACGACTTGTACAGCAAGAGCGATGATATTCCCAGTATTGAGGAGTTGAAGGTATGTCTTGTTTTCCCCTGGTTTCTCAACTCAACGCTAATTTTTTGCAGCCATATTACCTCGAGCTCATCGACGAGTACTTCCCCACTAAAGTGCTCAAGTGGTAGGGGTTTACAACGTCCTCTTGAAGCCGCTTTATTTTGCACATTATGTTTGATGATTCCCCTCTTTTTGGCTATTCAGTTCCATGTGAATATCGACGATACATGCCATAATGATCGAATTAGCGTTTAATGATACACACTATTGTGTTACTATTTTGTCCATCAAATCCAGAAAGTAAGTTGACAGAGATGGAAAGAATCTTGAATATCTTCCTCTACATACTATTTTTATCCAAAACTCTTCCTCTCTCTGCTTCACTTTTAATGATCCTTTTGATTGTGTGCTTTGTTGATATTGCTCTTATACCACCCATCACAAAAAAGAAGTAGTCTGAGAGCTCGCTGTCCCAAAGAAAGGGACCAAAAAAAAGCGAGAAAAGCCCTATATAGAAGTCATTGAGCATATCATTTCCAACATAAACTCCGCACCAAACAAACTACAAATGAGCCACCTCCACCCTCTCCCCATTCTCATCAAAAAATATCTTCTTCTGCGTAATCAGCGCCTCCTGCAACGCCGCCCCAATCCTAACTGCCTCAACCGCATCTCCCAACTCAATCGGCAACGCCGTACCATCTAAACAAGCCGCGGAGAACTCATTCGCCTCCGTAACAAACGCCCCCTCAAACCGATCATAGTAGGTCTGTGGAATCTCCCTCCTCACGCCCGACGCATCAAAAATACTCAAATGATTCAATGCCGGCTGCGTATTAACCGCCAACTTCCCCATCGTCCCAATAATCTCCGTAACATCCTCCTGGCCCGCCGCCATCATACGAGATGCATAGAAAAACGCCATCCGGCCATCGTAGAACTCAACCAGACCGACGGCGTTGTCTCGGTCGTTGTGCTTGCGCAGATCGGGCTCGACGGCGGTGATACCCACTGCCGAGACGGACTTTACTTTGCAGTCGCCGAAGAACCAGAGCGTGAGGTCGATGTCGTGGATGGAGCAGTCGACGAAGATGCCGCCGGAGAACTCGGCGTAGGCGACGAAGAAGCCGGTTGGGTCGAGCTTGTCGCAGGTTTGGCTGCGGAGGACGGAGGGGGTGCCGATGGCGCCGGAGAGCATTTTTTGGTGTGCGTCTCGGTAGGATTTGTCGAAGCGGCGGGAGAATCCGCACATTACTTTTAAATGTGGCTTTTTGGCTGCGGCGTCGATGACGGATTGGGACTGTATGGGGGAGTGGGATGTTAGCTTGGGGGAGCTTTGGGGGGTTGGTGTTGTGTGTTTGTATAGAGTATACTCAGTCGGGGTTGGCTGGGCTTACTATTTCGACGCTGGTGGAGATGGGTTTCTCGCAGAGGACATGTTTGTCGGCGTTGATGGCCTTGATTGCCTGCTCGGCATGCACTGCAGTTGCTGATGCGACTACCACGGCAACTAGACCTTCATGCTTGAGCATGTCATCGTAGTTCTGATATAGACGCACGCCGAAGGGCTCGAGGTGAGTCTTAGCCCATTCATGCTCGACAGGATCAGGTGAACTTGCGGCTACAAGCTCGGCTCGAGGAGTACGCTCCAGGAAGTTTAGGGCATGGCGCTTGCCCATTCGGCCCAGGCCGGCACAGCCGATCTTCAATCTGTGGGCAGCCATTGTATGGAATGTCAACGAGATGGAAAAAAAGAATCAATTGATAATAAAGAGTGAAGCTATACAGTTGGAACTAAGTTGTTATAAAGTTGGATCGGGACTAGATTCGGAGGCCAGTCTCCGAAGCTCTTCGCTGCAAAAATGGAGCCGGAAAGTGAATTCCACACCGATGCCGAGCTCCCTTGGTATCATCCACTGAAAAAAAGAAGAAAAAAAGAAGAAAAAAAGGCTAATCGACTCGCTCATTTCCGTCGGTCTTCTTCGATTCTCGACGCTGCTTGCGCTTCGCAGTCTCCACCGGATCCGCAAATCCGTCACCTCTCAGCCAGGCCAAGCCTTTGCGCAGTCCACCTCCCTGCACGGCCTCAGGGTTGGTCTCAAGGATTGATCCCATCAGAGCCCAGGATAAGACGATCAGCAAGAGTTCACCGCTCTTTCGGCCCTTCCAGAGTCCACGCTTGACCCCGGTCTTGTAGGCAGAGTCAACAGCGGCCCGGAAGACCCAGGTAAATGTGCTGCGGCTATTGCCCAGGAACAAGAATGGCAGACCGCCCAGTGCTCCGCTGAGGAAGAAACGCTTGGTGGGAAGCGTTGAACGGGGTAAATACTGGTTGAAGAGACAAACACTGCCCCAGGCTGAGCCAGTTGCAGTTGAGAGAATAGCTGTCATAGTGATGATACGCTTCGACATTGTGTTCAACGATGACAGAGGCTGAAGCAGGATGCTCTTGAGTTTGGGAATCGAGAGTGCTAGAGTCACGGCTGTCAGGAACCGAGCAAGCAGCGGCACGGAGAGGAGGATATGGTGCAAGAACGCCGTGCTACAGTTCGGCAGGTTTGGATGCAAAAGAGCGCATGATAGACTCGAAATTGCAGGGTGTGCTGGTCCAGTGATTGGGGAGATGGAAGACACTGCTGATGGCAAGGTATTGAGGTTGCCAGGGTGTAGGATCGGCGAAACAAATGCGCTGTGTGTTATTAGCATAATTTCCACTCATTGTCAGGATGAATATTAAGCTTACGGCCATCGGAGATCAGCAATAGAGGCAAGGGAGTTCACAATCTCTTCCTGCTCGGGCCAAGCGATGTTGGCCGGGAGCGCCTCCGGCCGGCCTTGAATGTAGCTCGGCGAGAGCTTGAGAATGACTTTTCCGAACCACTATACCATTACATTAGCCACCGTAACTTTACACACAAAAAAGGGAATTCGGTCACGAACACCGGGCGTAGTCTCGCGATCGAACACGAAAGCATGGAAGAGCTGCGCAAACGAGATGGGCATCAGCAGCCAGCTGCCAAACCACCATGGGCGCCTATCCAACCAGCCTTTGGAGTCCAAAACATTGAACAAGAACTCCAAGCTCCTGGTGCCTGTGTAAATCGCCGCAGTCAAGCGGAGTTGGTCTTGAGGGCAGATGCCGAGGGCGAAGCCTGCCAGACTTGCGCCGATCGCAGGCGCATAGCGTGAAGTCAGCGCCTGCGAAATGCGCGGGTTGCGCTCTCTGAACGGCTGTGCATCGTCGGTACGGAGATTGGCTCGCAGTCGGACAAGAAAGCGGTACAGGAGACGATGGATGAGAAGGAGGAGGGATAGGGAGATCGAGAGACGGAATTTAGGTGACCGGAGCAGAGGGGTGCGAGTTTTCTTCCTGTTGTTGAAATTCCGTTAGTCTATGTTGTGAAGGAGTCTCTTAAATTAAGTTGATCTTACTGTGGAGCGCCGCCTTGGAATCGAGTAATCAGCAGATCGGCCAACTTCAACGCGATTCCGGAGCCGACAAAAACCCGCAACGAGGAGCGAACAGCAGCATCGCTATGTCGATTCTTCGAGCGAGCGATGACATCGTAACGAGATGGAGTTGGAAGCTTGTTCTGGACGGCAGGGGCACGCTTGAGTACCGATTCGTGGAGGTAACGGTATTCTTTGGCACTAAGACACACGCGAAGGACATCGCGTACGGCGGAAGGTGGTAGATTCAACGCGTCCCCTGTTGGAGCGCTGTCCGCGGTGGACATGTTGAAATATTCTGATGCGACCCAAGTTGGGAGAGCATAAAGTCCGGGGATGAGAAGGGGGTCGAGAGGCTCCACGTTGCGGAGAAGCCCGACCTCGGTAATTCGCACATGGCCTTGAAGCCTGATAATTACTGGTAATCTCGTCCCCCAATACTTGTCAGGCCATTTTACGAAGTAGAAACGGCTCAAATACTGACAAGAAGCAAGTCCAGATTCTTATAGAACCTATCTACATCGTGAAGCAACTGCAGGGCTCTGGATTAAACCTATCTGTATAAGAATACTGTATGTATACATATGTTTTTTTTTAGCTTCCCTTGCAATTGTTCCGGAGAAAGAACGTAATATGGTATACGGAGTAGATGAGGTACCTAGTCTAGTACCCCTACTACTCACTGCTAGGCTCGCTATCCCCGGCATCCCCGGCACCTCGGCATCTATGTTGTATTGTATACACCTATATCCGAGAGCTCTAGGGAAGACCATCTTCTTTCGAGCTTACCGTTAACTCTGCTGTATCTGTTAACCACCGTTTTCAATTTTAGGCACGAACTTTTTATCTATACCTTTACAATCCCAGCCTTTATGAGGTACATGTAGCCATAAGACCTATGAAGTGGTCGTGTGAAAGGAGACCGGCATGTAAACAAGCACCAGTACTTACGTATAGCAGTCACCTCGCTCTATTTATGGGGTTTTAACTAGTTCTCTGGGCTTCTTGATCCCCTTGATTCCATCATTTTGTGCCCTTTCCAGGTGGTTCGATCAAGCATATCAATCCTAGCAGGTGAAAAGTTGTCTTTGGGGTAGTAAGTAACTCAAAATCCTGCTTTATCTGATAATGATGTCTAATAGCAGTTTGAACAAAATCGCTTAGGGGTTGACAGCACTGGTTGAGGGTTGGCTTTCATATTCCGGTCGAACTAAATAGTAATAAACAGGCAAGTAAATCGTGGCGGGGAAGACTGCAGTGCCAGATTCGACGAAAACTGTCCCATCGAGTCACCACTATTTTCCTCTTCCTCCTACTCCATTAAGTTATTAAACAGATTCTCGAGTTAATGCCTGTCTCTGCTTCAAAATATACATCAGTCTCGTGCAGCGTAATGACATACCTACATGTAGTTAAGTCCGCTGGGGGCGTAGGGGTAGACGGAAGCCCCGCAACTCGCGCACCGCTCTGTTTATTTCCCGCGCGAATTCTGTACTTAGAGATTTCTGGTCGGATTCGTCGATTGCGGTTAGTTTGCGTTTGCGATTCGGTGAAATCAGTGTCAAGATCGGGCGTGTGTTGATAATCTCAGCCCTTTCAAAGTCAAAAATCACCACCTTTTTGCTTTCTGGATTGTACAACCAATTGCGCGGGGCCGGGTCTTTATGAATGACGTTTTGGTTATGAATCGCCGATAGGGACTCTTTCAACTTGGAGATCAGACTACTCTGATCCAAGCCCCTAAATGCTACCTCGAGAGGAACTCCGCCTGGGCTCAATAGCATCATATGCTCGAGATAGGCGATTCCATCGTAACTGTAGGGGTGGACCAGATCGATGCTTCCAAGGTACAGAGGAACGTATATCCCCTGGATCGGACGAAGGCTATTGTATACAGCTGCTTCATGGCGAAGGTAGTCGCGGAACTCTGGGACCGTGCATTTTGCGGGCACGGTGTACCCGTGTGATGAGAGCGTCACTTTCAGAAGAGCACCTCGGGAACCGTGGATACCAAGCATCTCACAGTCTGCATTGACGGTCTCGGATAATTGACGTTGCAACTGCTTGAGGAAGGATTGTAAGGTCAAAACATGTTTCGTTTTTCCATGATCAATGACATTGGGGCAAGCCCGGTCTAACTCCCGGCCCAACACTCCTCGCTTTACTAGACCGCGTAGGCATTTCAATGTGCAGTAGCGCCGATGGTTGTCCTCGCGAAATGAGCTCGCCTTAGCTGGGTCACGCTGTTGTCCGCTTGCTTCTCGTTGCCTTCTTTCGACGCCCCGAGGGATGTGTGAGCCCCGGCTTGGTGTATTGGGGTCATCCCCTCCGTCCTCAGAGCTACTATGCATGCTCGAGGGTCGACAACCATCCGTGTTCAATTGGCGTCTCCTACGACGCAGCTGGACTGGAGATCGCACGAAGGAGTTGCTCATATTTGGTGGACGATAGTCGGAAGATGGAACGTCATCTTCTGAAATATCGCCCAAAATATCCGCAAGTATAATTTCCCACTTTGGCAAGATATCGATTGCTTGTAACCCCCAGGCCTGATTTCGGGGCCGCAAGCAAAGTGCTTGGAGAGTAAAGGCGAGAGATTGACCCACAGCAGTCAAGTGTAAGCGATTGGGACAATCCGAGTGAGAGTCCCATCCTGTCTCCTCTCCAACATCTCCTTTTGGCACGGAAAGGTGGTAGAAAAGGGTTGAAGGGTCATCGCCAATTCGCAGATAGATATCGGCCTCGCCAGTGCTGAAGACTCCTACCTGCGTACCAGCACGTACCATATAGTCAAAAGGCTGCGAGAGGAGTCCAACAAGTGCTCGTTGAAAGCGAGCTTTCAAAGGCTCGCCATCCTTCTGCTGTATCACTTCATCCACGTCTATATCTCCCAATCCCTCGTATATATGGCCCAAAGTCACTTTGTGTGGAGATTTATATTCTTTGATGTAGGCAGCAACGCGATGTGTTGATTCAGAGGATTCGTTTGGAATATTATAGACGCAAAATTGGTCAGCTCGAGGCCGTTTGATTATTGGCCGCGGAGTTTTAGGCTCACTTGTAGCCACACTGGATGGTGTCTTTTCTCGGGCAGCTAAACGTGGTGAGCGCCGCCGCCCGGACCGACCGCGAATATCCATGCTCTTCAACCCTTCTTCCAGTTCTTGTTCTGGGCTCAGTGTATTGGAATGGTTTTCGAAACGGATTGACCCTCTCAGACCGAAAGTGCGTCGAAGTTTTCGATCCTTGTAGAGCTCTTCAATGATTCTCGAAACATGGTCCTCCACGGTCTGACGAAGAAAGTGATTCAGGTCGAGTTCCGAACCGATACGCTGCCGGCGAATGTTTTCACCCATCTCTTCCAAAGTACGCAGGGAAGTAAATAATTTGTCTTCCATAAGCGAACAATCCATCAGCAATTGCCAGATTTTTTCTTGCTCGCTGGCAAAAGAGCTCCAAGCTCTAAGCTTGCGGGGGCGAAGCTTGTTGGCCGCATTTGCAGGATCACCACGCGTTGACTGTGTCTTGTCCGGCTGGACTCCAAGGTTGAGGAAAAGATGCTTGTGGAGTCCATCGAGAAACGTAGGGAGGTTGGTTTTGGAGGATTGCTGTTGAGAAGCAGAGAGTTGCTGTTGAGAAGTAGCGAGTTGCTGTTCAGCATCTGCTAGGAGGCGCCGTAGTCTTTCGATTTCAGACGACATCTCGACTCCCTGTTTTTGAACGCGTTGTGAGGGTGACGTTCCTGTGCGGGGGTTTTGTTTACATCCGATCATCCAACACGTGATGACACGGGACTCCAGCTGGCCTCCTTGACCAGGACCCCAATTCTCGGTCGGCAGACAGCTATGGAAGACATAAAGAAGCCCCCAAGATGGGCTCCATGTCAAATCGACTTCAGTGTCAAAATAATCGATCGGCCGGTGGATTCCGTGGTGGGGCATCCGCCTTCACCGACGACTACCTAGGTACTTTGGCTGGCAATTCGACTGGAGCGACGAAGGGAACTTGGCCAAAATTAGGCTCGAGTGCTTTACTGCACCTGAAATTGACCTCATCTACATGACCCGGAAGAGAAAAGAACCAAGTCAGGGCCAGCTGTCATGAATAGCAATGCCATCAAGCTATCTACGACCGCCAAGCTCTCGGGGCCCGTCAGGATTGCTTCGACGAAGTGGAAAATCATTGGCATCAATCGGATTTCCTCTTTGTAACTTTGTTTTCTCCAGACATCAATCAAAAGGAATCGAAACACAAGTGGGTACACATTGCTTCCAACGTAATTCGCCTACTATGTCTACTGAGTTTCCTCAATAGAACGTTCCGTTCTGATGAACAGACATGAAACACAAGCTCAATGGAGCTCCACATGGCGTTTCGCGTGTGGATTTCGATCTGCAGGCGCTCTCACTTTCGGGCTTCGTCTGAGACAGGCCCAAATTAACTCCACCGGAGTCAGTTTACCCGATGATATGCCGATGGCTAGAACGTTGAGTAGGAAGACGACGATATTTTGCCGTGGCCGTTTCAGGACTCTAGGCTGTGGGTAATGTTTTGGAGAAATGTCATTTCAAGGTAAACCCTAAAGAGATTAGACCGGTGGAGTATTCAAAAGATATCAGGGATTTCGGGACCTATTTTCACTCCAATGGTATCCTGACTACGAATCGTGACTATGAACAGGGGTCAGCATCATTGTATACGGTGATAGTCCCGTTTTGTAGTGATTCTAGCGCAGCCACTAACAATATCATGGCTTTGCACCTTGAAGACCAAGGATTTAAGTATCAAGGCCAAGACCATGGAAGAGCTTGTTCAAGCCGCTCCCTTCTTTCTTTTTCTCTTACTTTCGTATTATAATCAGTTGGGCTAGTCCCAAAGCCGTACACTCTTTACTTTTCTGTTGATCGGACATTCCCTACAAAGTGCGTTCATCTTTCATTGCCATACTGGCCCTTGCCGCTGCGGTGTCCGCTGCCCCAGCTCCTTCTCGTGCCTCAGAGCTAGTTGGGCGTGCCTCGACATGTACTTTCACCTCAGCCGCCAGCGCCAAAGCCAGCAAGAAATCCTGCTCCACCATTGTGTTGGACAACATCGAGGTTCCCGCCGGCGAGACCCTCGATCTTTCCGGTCTGAAGGATGGCACCAAGGTAGAGATGCCCATTGTTCACTTGCCAAGATCTAGAGATCTGACATCCACTATGTAGGTCATCTTCAAGGGCGAGACTACCTTCGGATATGAAGAGTGGAAGGGTCCTCTCATCCGCTTCTCTGGTTCAAATATTGAAGTCACTGGCGAAAAAGGCCATGTCATCAATGGCGGTGGAGCCAGCTGGTGGGACACCAAGGGTACTAATGGCGGAAAGACCAAGCCCAAATTCTTCTACGCCCATTCTCTGGACGACTCGACCATCACTGGCCTGAACGTGAAGAACACCCCCGTTCAGGCCTTCAGCGTGCAGGCCGACAACCTCGTTCTCGATAGCATCACTATCGACAACTCAGACGGAGATGACAACGGCGGCCACAACACCGACGCCTTCGATGTTGGCGAAAGTACCTACATCACCATCAGCAACGCCAACGTGAAGAACCAGGACGACTGTCTAGCCGTCAACTCAGGCGAGGTAAGCCCTATTATCATTCCTATACCCTGAGCAATATTCATCAACTAACATACCTTCAGAACATCGTCTTCACCGGCGGCTACTGTTCCGGCGGCCACGGCCTCTCCATCGGCTCCGTCGGTGGTCGCGATAACAATGTCGTGAGAAACGTGACCATCACCGACTCGACCGTGACCAACTCCGCCAACGGCGTTCGTATCAAGACCATCTACAAGGCCACTGGTGAAGTATCAGACGTGACTTTCTCCAACATCGAGCTTTCCAATATTTCCTCCTACGGTATCGTTATTGAGCAGGACTATGAGAATGGCAGCCCCACTGGTACCCCGACCACTGGTGTGCCTATCACCGGTCTGACGGTCGAGAAGGTCACTGGTACTGTTAAGAGCGGTCCTACTGACGTGTACATTCTCTGTGGTGACGGTAGCTGCTCTGACTGGACTTGGACTGGGAACGATGTTACTGGTGGTAAGACTAGCAGCAAGTGCACGAATGTGCCTTCTGGGGCTTCTTGCTAGATTGACCATCAATTGGTGATGGCTGAACAATATGAGATCGAACCAGCAGCAGGCAGACTTTCTCCGGGGCTCATACACCTAGATGGCATGGAGATGGCGGGCCAAAGTATGTTGCTAGTCGTAATAGTTGCTTGGATGTGAATCTTTTGACTATAGAATATCAGCCAGCTTTGAATGCGTTGGTATGGATTGCTTGTCAACATTAACCATATAAACCGGCAATCATGAAACACAAAACTAGCACCATTGCAGCTCATATCAAGATTTGCTGTCAATCTCAGTCCATTGAAACCCCATGAGCTCGATGTATTTGACAATTAGAAATCAACGCCAAGCTATCCGATGACGCAACATCAATCACTCTATGCAACAACATAAATCCCAACTTCTGGGCATCTTATTCTCCTAAATTACATCCAAAAGCATCAAAATGCACGTCCTTCTACTCGGCGGCCACGGCAAAGTCGCCCTCCATCTAACACCGCTCCTCCTCAACCGAGCCTGGAACGTCACCAGCGTGATTCGCAACCCGGAACACGAAAACGAGATCCTAGAGCTAGGCAAAGGTCTCCGGGGCAACTTGAACGTGCTAGTCTCAAGTCTCGACGAAGTAAAGAGTGTCTCCGACGCCGAAAAAATCCTCCACGCCGTTTCACCAGACTATGTCGTCTGGTCGGCCGGTAAGTTATTTTGCCCCTCACCCCGCACCCAGGGAACGAACACCCCAACACGTCATATCCAAAACCGAAATCAAAAACAAAACAACATGTCCAAATTGGGCTCTAACAACACAGACTTCAACTGTAACTAACACCCCACAGGCGCCGGCGGCAAAGGCGGTCCAGCCCGCACAATCGCCATCGACCAAGAAGCCGCAAAGCACTTCATAACCGCATCCTTCGCCGCACCAGGTGTGAGCAAATTCCTCATGGTATCCTACCTTGGCAGCCGGAAGAAGCAGCCGAGCTGGATGCCTGATGATCAGTGGGCTGGGGTGGTCAAGACGAACACGGAGATACTGCCAACGTACGCGCAAGCCAAGCAGGAAGCCGACGAGTATATGACGGCGCTTGCGGCGAAGCGCAAGCTTGATGGAGGTCGTCCGTTCCAGGCTATTAACCTGCGGCCTGGGATTTTGACTGAGCAGCCTGCGACGCGGAAGGTGGAGTTGGGGATTACGGGTAAGGGTCGGGGCAGTGTGACGAGGGAGGACGTGGCTATTGTGGCGGATAAGTTACTTGCTCGGGCTGATACGGAAGGATGGATTGATCTTGTTAATGGGGAGGAGGGGGTCGAGGAGGCTGTTGAGCGGGTTGCGAGGGAGAAGGTTGATGCTGTTGTTGGGGAGGATGTTGAGGGGATGGTGAAGAGGTTCTTTCCTTGAAGATTCGTTGATTGCAGGACCGAAGCTATAGGCTCTGGAATTTTATTGTGGATAAGACTCGATCTAGGATACATGTACATTTTAGATCAAGCAGAGTATATCGTCTGCAATGAAAGCGAAAGTGAATATGAATCCATGTAGGAATGGTTCTAAAGTTTATATTGCTTGTTTATCCGAGAATGATCTATAGCTTGGCTTTGGGGGCCTCGGCCGCTCCCTTGAACTTCTGCTTCAGCAGGCGACGCAAAATCTTCCCACTGGGGTTCTTGGGGATCGCATCAACGAACTGGACACCACCACGCAGACGCTTGTGGCTGGCCACCTTGCTATCCAGCCACTTGATGATGTTTGCTGCCTCCTCTTTCTCACTGACACCCGAAGACTTGCTCTTTGCACTGCGGACGACGCAAGCCATAGGAACTTCTGAGCCGTGTGTTTCACTCTCAATACCAACAACAGCAACATCATCGATAGCAGCGTTGTCAACCAAGTATCCTTCCAATTCGGCAGGAGGCACTTGGAAGCCCTTGTACTTGATAAGCTCCTTCACACGATCGGTAATGAAGAAATTTCCCTTGGCATCCTGGTAACCAACGTCACCAGTCTGGAACCAGCCGTCCTCAGACAAACACTCCTTGGTAGCCTCTGGGTTCTGGTGGTAACCCAGGAAAATATTGGGTCCTTTCATATACAATTCTCCGACCTCGCCAACAGCAACCTCTTTAGGTTGTGATCCATCCTCCGGCATGGTCATATACTTGGCTTCCATGTTAGGCATCAAGCGACCAACAGAGCCAATGGCCTCGCGCCAGTCCTCCCATCGCTGAGTGTGGGTAGTTGGGCTGGTCTCGCTAAGTCCATAGCCCTGCTTGATGCCAACCTTGATGCGCGAGTAGACTGCCTCGACCAACTCCTGAGTGAGCGGTGCGGCACCGGAGTTCATCATACGCAGACTTGAAAGATCGTACTTGTCGACCACGGGGTGTTTGCTCAGCAAGAGCACCACAGGAGGGACGATGTAACTGAATGTGCAACGGTAGTGTTGTACATGCGAGCACCATTTTTCAATGTCGAACTTCGACATGACGATCAAGTGATAGCCCTTATAGGTGGCCTGGGTAATTAAACAGGTCAGACCTAATAGCAACATGGTTAGTATCCTGTTTATCTCATTTCCTAGGCTTTGACTCATACCATAGATGTGATAGAACGGCAAAAACGCCAGGACTCGATCACCCTTGCCATCGTGACCACTATTCCAACTCAACATACCACCTTCACCAGTGACTTGTTGCATAATATTGGCAACGATATTCCGATGCGAGAGCATAACACCCTTCGGCACACCCGTCGTCCCAGACGAATAAACCAAAAAGGCCAAGTCTTTCGCCGGGTTGATCTTCTGCTTGCGGTAGCGGGTAGCGCCAGAAATATTGCGGATAGAAGTGAAGTGCTTGATTCGCGCGTCAGGGTCGCGCTCATCCCCAATCAAAATGATTCGGTCTTCGTCGATGCCGACCTTCTTCGCAGCTTCTTTCGCAACAGATAGCGCTGAGACTTGCGTTACAATTCCCTTAGCACCGGAGTTCTTGAGCTGGAAGGCTAGCTCTTCAGCTGTGTAACCAGGGTTGGCAGGCGAGACAATTCCGCCAGCCCAGAGAGTACCCCACATCACCACAGGAGTGTCAATGCTGTTCGGTGTGAAGAGGGCCAGTACATCGCCCTTCCGCCAATCCCAGAGGGCTTTCAGGCCCTTGCCAAAATCCAACGAGGCATCTCGCAGTGCTTTGTATGTGTAATGGCGCTGGGTATCAGCATCTTGGTAAAGGACTGGGTGGAGTTAGCAGGAATCAAATCGCAGGGCAATTCGCAATTACTGCGGTTCTCATTGGATAATACTTACTCTTGTCATCTGGGTAAGCCCTGTCCGTGCGTTCAAACAGAAAGGTCCAAAGGTCCACTTCTGGAATGGGGGCATCGGGGTAGTTGGATGCGACGGGCATAATTGTGGGGAAAGAAAGCTCGACGATCTGGGGACTGCAATGGAGGCTCAAAAAGAATGAGTTTTCGGCTGGGAGATACCGAATACCCGTTCACTGTCAGATGAAAGAGAAAGGAGAAGTTTCACGAATAACCGAGTACTTAAACAGTTACCTTTCTCCGCAGTTTCGGTTCACGGTTTGCCTCGGCGCACTCGGCTCATTGCTATAGGGCCCAATACCCGAAGGCCCACTCCGCCAATTTGATACGAGCTCCTTATGTCTTGGCCCGCACTTAAAGCTGGGGTACCTGGTTCCTGTATGAAACCCCATCGCAACAAGTCTCGGTTTTTTGTGCCATCGCCGGGTTCTCATGCAACAAACCTGTTGATTTTGACGTCTGGAGATTCTGGGGATTCTATGACACTCTGGATGGTGAGGATCCCAAGTATCACTGGTTGGTTTGGGCCTATGGAAAGGAGATACGTCGATTCGGAGTTAAGAACTGCAGTGTCGGGTGATATCTTTTATCCAATCCTCCGATCCCCTGCTAGGTGATGGCGGGAGTACATAGTTCCTTGCACCACACCTCGAGGTCAGGATTCGGCCCCATACACCGTTGAACGGTGGGAGGCCGGTAAGCAATTGCTCACCTAGAATGTCTCAAAACATCAAGTGCCCAGACTTCAGGGCCGCTTTAGAACGCAAAGTTGATGAGATGGGGTGAAGTGTCAAAGATCCAGTAAATCGCTGCAGTATTGCGGAGCAACAGCTGCGAAATGAAGTTAATCATACAACATGGCCTGGGGTTATATCTAACTTCACGACTCGAGAGTTAAGCAATCGCTTGGTATAAACCAAAAGCTCCAGTAGTAGGACAATTCATGGAATTTATGTATGCTCTACGGGCAAATCTTCATAATCCCAACCCTATGACCAGCAGAAAGAGATTGATCGTCATTGGACACTTAACAGGCACTTTGCTGGTATTAAGTTTTATCGTGGTCTACAAAAAGGCAAAGTAGCAGCGATTTATAGTCTATGTATATTCTTCGCTGGTTTGGGACCTGGAAGGTTCGGGGTATTAAAGACTGGTTGAAGGCAGATATATCTACGGAGTACTCCGTACAATGACCGACTTATGCTCGAAGTATATATAAGTGCACTCTAACCGCGCACACAGAGTTGAAACACATACCAAAGCATCGATTCGTTGGAGGGATTGAAATATATATCAGCTATATTGCAGACTTGACATTCAGCCACTCGAAAATCTTGGAACTGGGCACAATTTTAATTACGAGGCGACTTTCTAGTTTGATGTCATATCTAAACACAAGACACAAACCAGCCAATAGATTGGACAGCAATTCCACTTCCCCAGAGTACAGGAAGCGGAGTTTAGTCTGTGGAGCAGTTCAGAGCCATACGAGAAGGTAAAGGCTGAGCTAGAGTAGAAGGATGGGACATCCAGCTTCTAGAAAGCAGCTCATGGTGTTACTGGCTACAACGTATCTGAAATGAAGTTTGTAATGTCGTTAGATTAGACTCCTTCCCTGGTAACACATAGCTATACCAGGGAGCGAGTATCTTTTTTACCTCGCCAGATTCGACGAGGGACTGAATTTAGATCCCAAGATGATTTCATGCCGACAAGATCTTAAATTGAGTTGGAAACAGCTGACCCGCACTGGAAATACATGCTGAAAAAAAGAGCCCAGTTGTAAGTGTTGCTGAATTCCATTTTTGCTTTCCCAGCACCATTTCCTCCACACGCCACTCCGAGGGGAATCGTTTGAAATCGTTTACTTGAGGGGAATGAAACGGGAAGAGTGGGTGGCACCGATACCGGGACGACCGTGCTTGACGGGCTTGCTGGGAGGTTGTTAGTGCTCTGATGTTAAAAACCATGGACCTGGAGATACGTACTAAGAGATAGAGAACTCAGCCAGGTAGTGGCCAACCATCTCGGGCTTGATCTCAACCTGGTTGAACTCCTTACCGGAGTAGATACCGACGACGGAACCGATCATCTCGGGGACGACGATCATGTCACGGAGGTGGGTCTTGACGAGGTCGGGCTTCTCGTTGGGCTTGGCCTCCTGCTTGGCCTTGCGGAGCTTCTTGATGAGACCCATGGGCTTGCGCTTCAGACCGCGGTTGAAGCGTCTGCGGGCACGGGCGTGAACAACATCACGGAGCTGCTCGGAGGAAAGGTCGAGGAGCCTGTTAAAAAGTTTCAGTCAGACTAACGTCCCTCGAAAATTGTGTTCCTGGGTTTCCATTCGCAGCGCAGCACCCAAAAGACAGAAACCATAATGCGCCACGCAACATATATGCTGGTCGTTTTCGTGGGCCTCTCTCGTTTCCGTCTCAAAAGGCACTGGTTGCGAATGGATTTCCAAGCGTTCGATGGTTGGCAGTGAAAACGTACTGGTCGAGGTCAATACCGCGGTAAGAAAACTTGCGGAACTGTCTTCTCTTCTTGATCTCTATTCGTCGAAGGTTCAGTCAGCGTCTGCGATCTCGTTGTAGTGCGTGTCCTCCTGCTTCAAGGCCGATGTCGTTCCTCCCCCAACGTATATCTCTTCCGTCTCCCTCGTCGCAAAGTCGATCAAAATCCTCGTCCTCTCCATTCGTTCGGTTCTCTTATTCATGGGCGATGGGTGGGGATAGGATTGGTTGAAAACGTACCGGCAGCCTCCTCGGCGTTCTAAATAGGAAGTCCATGTTAGTGTATTGCACGGGTTAGGCTGAGGAGCAAAAAAAAAAACTCACGTATTCGATGTCAGCCATTTTTGCAGATATTCCTGTAAGCCGCCTTTCGAACGTGTCTCGAAAAGCGAGGAAGATGGGTTGTCGGAAATTGTCGTGTCGCTCAGCGGTCGGGCTACTAGCACACAGCCTTTGGAGGTGGGCAGCGCTCGTTAAGCGACGGGTAGGTTCCAAGCCCTAGACACTAGTCCGCTTTGGGCAACATGTAATCTATTTTGAACCCTTCGTTTTTGATTTGTAATAACGTTCTCGGTAATCTAGATTCACTCGAACTTGTATGGGGGAGCCTTGAAAGGAGCTTGGACAGGAACTGAAATTCGAGTGTATTACAATTACCAATACCTATATGCGACTTGTATCAGAATCGGAGGTTATTGACAGCCCTGAAGCCCTTATCTCGATATCAAGGAGAATTTGGCTCTACGCTATTGTATTGTTTGAGCGCGGAGCGGGTCCCGGCGATCTTCAGGTTCATATGTATACTACAGGTGTTTATAGATCGTACGTATAGAGAAAAATTGCGATAAAGGCCAGATGAATTGTATTGGCTATGAGCTTTTTCCAGCTCACATGCGAGGTCGCCACTGTATCAAAACAGTCTTAACAAAACACATTTGAGAAGCCAACCGGCGCAGATCTTGCCCGGATTGACGAACCAACCAAACATCTGTTCCCCAGAACCATAATTTTTAGGCATTGGAGAAATGCGCTTAATCGAAGAGACCGAAGCCCATATCCTCATCGGACTCCTCCTCCTTCTCCTCAACCTTCTCCTCAGCGGGAGCAGCGGCACCACCAGCGGCGGCACCACCAGCGGCAGGGGCAGCGGCACCAGCACCGCCGGAGGGAACGGAAGCGAGCTTGGTAGAGCCCTCAGCGATCAGCTGTACGAAGAGTTAGCATACAATTCAGGTCAAATATGTCCATATGCGGGCATTACTAACCTCCTGGAGGTCCTTGCCCTGGAGCTCAGCGATGACCTTCTCGAGACGGTCACCCTCAGCGTCGATACCGACGGAGGAGAGGACGGCCTTGATGTCGGCGGCGGAGGGGGCCTCGTTGCCGGCAAGGGCGAGGAGGAGGTAGGCAGCGAGATACTTCATTTTGAAAGGACTGGACAAAAAATCTTCGTTAGTATCGCAAATTAAAGATTGAATGCGATTGCACTTTTCAAGGTGTAGAATCGACTGGGAGACACGAAAAACAAGGCGCACATACCGTTGGTGATTATTATCTGAACAAGAGAAACAATCGATTTAACCGCGAATTGGGCGGAGACTGCAACGTCGAGTTCTGGTGGAAGAGGTTGGTTGACGAAGGATTAACCGAGCGTCCAAAATCTTAAGAAAAAAGGTGGTGCGAGTGGGTGTGGCTGGTGTCGGCGGGGCTTCTAAGCGAGTGCCTGTGGCGCAAGGTGCTTGCTGACACGTGACCTGATGGTCATCTCCGACTTTGAAGATTGAATGCTGGCCCAGAACCCGTGTCTTCATCCCGCCTATCACTCATTTAGAAAGTACCTAGGCCAAGGCAGGCGTGTCCTCTCCTTGCGCCAGTTCTGTTATATTGGAATAACAGAAAATTCGGAGCGAGCCAAGCCAGAGATCTATTCTCATGGTATTGGGCTCGGAGTCATGAAGTTACTTAGTCGTACCAAATATCGACGGTGAGCGACTTCTTCTTTGTACCACTTCTCAACATTATAATATCCGGGACATTCCTCCTAAAAGTTCAATATGAGCGTACGATCACCTGTTCCCCTCTTCTTTCCAGCTCATTTTAAACTAACATCGAATAGTTTCTTGATTCCGTTCTCTCGTCACTTCAGACGGGAAAGCCTTCCCAACCCCCACTCTCCCAGGCGCCCGCTCCATCTGTGCCCGCGCCAGCTCCTAAAAAAGAGGAACGAAAACCCATCGCTGTGCGGCAGGCGCCCCCAGCCAGTGGGAATGCGGGCGGAGGGATCAAGCGCAAGGCCGAGGACCAGCTGCCTCGGCCACCAAAACCTGAAAGCAAAGTGGCAAACAACTCTGCTGGGATGAAGTCTATATCTGCCACAAAGCCAATGGTCTCATCTGCAGCACCAAGGGCCGTGCCAAAGCCAGCCCCTACCACCAGCTCCAGGCCAGCACTATCCAAGCCCATCCCCAAATCTACCCTGTCTACGGCCACAAAAGTAGCACCTGCACCAAAGGCGCCTATCAAGTCTACCACGCCAGTCGCATCTACGCCCTCCAAGCCGCCACCAAAGGGCTCGTTCGCTGAGATCATGGCGCAGGCAAAGGCCAAGCAAGAAATGGCGCCTGTTGGGGTAGGTATGCTACGACACCAGCCTGTGCCCAAAGAAAGACTCACCAAAGTCGAGCGCAAACGACGCATGATGGAAATGCAGGCCAAAGAAAAAGAAGGGCGTTTGGGAAGGAAGGCTGGAGCTACTGTTGCAGCCAAAAACAAGCCTGCTGCCAGACAGCGCGATTCAGAGGGACCCTCCTACAAAGGGACAGCAAAGCCAACACAGACCTCCGAAACACCTGCCTACCGTGGAACTGCGGGCCTGCCATCCAGCCGCGGTCAAAATGACCGCCGACACCAGTCTCGCAATTCTCGACAGAACGAATATCTCGGAACTGACGAGGAGGATGAGGGTGACTATGGTGCAGGCTACGATGATTACTATTCTGATGCATCGTCCGACATGGAGGCTGGAATGGACGACATGGACCGCGAAGAGGCGGCCGCGTTAAAATTTGCAAAGCAAGAAGACGAAGAAGAGCTGCGACAGGAAATGGCGGCCAAGAAGGAGAAGTTGGAGCGTCAGCGGAAATTGGCTGCTCTTGCGTCCAGGAACAAGCGTTGAAATTACTTTGGACTCTTTGTTCTATCGTCTTTCTTCTTTCTTTTTGCCTCTCTTACAATCCCTCAACCACTTTTCATTGTGATTTCTTTTGTTTTGGGCAGGTTTATTTACTCCGCATTATGAGCGTTCGGGGGTGTCCATAGACAGGGGTGCCTTCATTAAAGCATTGAAGCACCATCCATAGCGGGCGCCATTCCAATACCAACTTGCTTTTTTTTTTTTTCTAAAAGATTCTTTCTGTGTACCTAGGGACTCCGTACATTGATGTACAACATGAAGTGTAGTCCCCTTTTCATCCTGAAGTCATCGGTTGGAATGCATCCTTGTTATGCGGCCCCACTTGGCAGGTGACATCACCCGGCGTTCTCTAAATACTCCAACGTCCAGACAAGAACTCTTCCTTTCAAATTCTACCTACGGAAAGGGTCATCATGGAATCCGTTCATCATGTATCAGTCTCGTCCAAGATGCTCCTCAGCAAGGTGCGCAAAATTGTACCTCCGATGCTGGAAAAGTTCCACAAAGGTTTGTTGATCAGGTTGATTTTGAGTTATCGGCGATACTATGATTTGCAGCCAGGGGGACACCAGCACTAACTAGGTAATGATCTAGGGCAGCTTGGTCGTGTAGCTGTCATTGGGGGCTGCGCTGAGTAGGTTCGCCGTCTACGGAGTTAATGATAACGGATTTCTGCTAAACTGCGTCAGTTACACTGGAGCTCCATACTTCTCAGCCATGGCCTCTGCAAGACTTGGTATGTTTCCCGAGCAGTCCTATCTCTCTTTTACCCGAGTATTGACTTATGAATCACAGGCTGTGATATGGTATGTACGAAAATTGACATGTCTTATTCAAATCGCTAATAATCACCAGAGCCATGTTCTCTGCGAACGATCCGCCGCAACGGTGAGTTTTACCGCACAGCATGGACGAACCGAGTCTAATTATAGGGTTTGCACAGGTCATTAAAGGCTACTCTCCTAATTTGATGGTACATCCATTGCTTCCAAGTAGCGACAGTGTCAGGGATCCCAACTCAATTGATGCGCCGTCACTCGCGGGTCCGATCATCGGGATGCTATCTCGGCTACATGTACTTGTTATTGGGCCTGGCCTCGGCCGCGATGGAGTGACGCTGAAGGTTGTCGCGGAAGTCATTAAAGAAGCTCGATCACAATCGATCCCATTCGTATTGGATGCAGATGGATTGCTGATCGTGGCGGAGAACCCGAGTCTGGTCAAAGGCTACAAGGACTGCATTCTCACACCCAATGTGGTGGAGTTTGGCCGTCTAGCCAAGGCGTTAGGTATCAAGGTAGCCAGCCAGGCGGAGATTGCAGGAAGTGGAACTGGCGACTCAACTAGCAAAGAATCCGATGCCTGCCAGCAGCTATCTCACGCTCTTGGTGGTGTGACAATTCTACAAAAGGGTCCTCATGACGTTATATCAAATGGGGTCACTAGTATCATTGCTGATACCAAAGGTGGCTTGAAACGCAGCGGTGGTCAAGGAGACACTCTGACCGGATCATTGGGGACGTTCCTTGCTTGGCGCGCTGCTTACCATGACAAGCTGTGGGACTCCGGAGAGAAGGAGAATGAGAAGGAGGCACAGAGTAGAGAGGAAGTCCAGGCAGAGCTCAACTCTGAGAACAAGCGCATGTCTCCAGCGACCACTCTGCTGCTGGCCGCTTGGGCAGGAAGTACCATCACACGGGAGTGCTCGCGTCGGGCTTTTGAGGCCAAGGGCCGGAGCATGCAGGCTAGCGATCTGACTGATGAAGTTCATGGAGCATTTTTGAGGCTGATCGGGGAGCCAGATGGATCTAAAACGCATCTCTAATTTCCTCCTTTGAAATGCTATTGGCCGCGAGCCTAAAGATATACGAGCAAAACAGTGCATATATTGAATGCACCGGAGCAATATGTATCCCCGCGAATTTAAGCCTGCAGCTTAATATAAGCTCATATTAATGAAACATGTCGTATCCGGTTCTGTGATACTTCTCATAAGCGGTGTCCACAGCCAACAAAGGAAGAAGGTCTCGAACCCTGCATATACTAGATCTGTACTCCGTACGGAGTATGGAGTATTCGGGAATCGTGATCTAATATTGTAATTCCAACCGCGCTGGTGTGGGCCTATACGGGTGCGCAAAGCATGTTTTGCTCAATCCCAGGGAAAGACATAGTTCATGATAATGACCTCTAATATCAGTAATTAGTTCACAGACATGGTTAAACCCAGTCTGTCAGTCGTAATGCTTGAATATTGGGGCTTACATGGGTCCCGTTTGCCGATTATCAGGATAATATGAGTGCATAGTACCAAGGTATATATCGAGACTCGAGGCTTTATGGAGTAGGGAATGAGCATTTCACACCCCTACTCTTGATGACATACAGAGCGAGAAGAAACGAGAGCAGTAACACAGCCTCTGCCTTAATCCTGAGCAAAAAAAGATTAATCTTCTCATTTTCTCGCTTGTTGTTGCCTGTCTTTAGCCAGGTTCCAAATCATGCATACCGAAGAAGTCATTTGCATAAGCCTCACCACATCAAAGGATATCCAGCTCACACCCATGAAGCTTCAAGCGGTGTGAGACATGAACCTTGGCAAGTCAATTTCTCCGCATTTCTATACATAGACACTGGAGATGTTGGCATCGACATCTAGATGCGGTTAGGGCAACGGTCTAGCTGAGACATGGACGCCTTAGCCTTCAATCAATGCTTCCACGCATCAACAGACCTAGCTTTCCAAAGGTGTGTCTCAAAGAACTGGTATGAGCTCAGAGGTCATCGAAGTTACCTGGGCCGACAGGGATTGGTGGTGTTTTGAAGCCTCTTTCCGGATCTCGTATTCACGACTCGTCCAAGCCCGACCTAGCTTGGTTCATCCTATCCCATCATACGACATACTTGGGAGAGTTTATCGACATGATTGATAGGAGGCAACCTATCAATATTCCCAATGGTACCGTATATGATATGCTTAGCCTTGCAGAAACATTGCTTCTATACTAGGCAACCCAAGCTGAAAATCACCTCGTGATACATTGCCGACGGGCTCCGCAGGGAACAGGCGTGCAGCAGAGCCCACATGAGAGGAAAATAGCCCGAGCATCTAAACACGCATAAGACTCTAGCCTTGGAGACGGGTATATAAGATGGCGAATCTCCCAGCACAGGATAACGCCATCACAAACCAATCCACGGTCTCAAGCCACAAGATCTACTTCAAGTCAATACTCAATTTCAACTTTCCCTCAAGATGCGTTACTCTATCATCGCCTTGGTTGTTGCCGCCGCTTCCCTGGTGGCCGCCAACCCAGCACCACCTCCCAAGTGCGGCACTTGCAACCCTATCTCAGGCCAGAACAGCTGTGATGTCACAACCTCGTGCATCAACACGGGCAAGACCTTCCACTGCGCCTGCCGTGCTGGCTACAAGGCGTCCTACCGCAACGGGGACATTAAAAGCCAGTTCCGCCTGCCGATGCCGAACTATGAGTTCCTCGTTTTCGTTCCTGAGAACACTGTCTGCAACACTCTCTGTGACAATCCTTATTCTGCCCCTGCCGACCTTTGCAAGGAGGTCAAGCTCCAAAGCAAGTGCACCGTCTAGGATACAAAGGCGGGATCGAATCTGCTTTCCTAGGAGAGAGAAGAGGAAGAGAAGCTTCACAACAAGAGATTTCACAACAACATGAGCATGGAGACAGTGCGATATGTTGGAGGAGACGAAGATGACAGTATTGATGCGGGTTATTGTGAGAAATTATGTACGTAGCTATGTCACTCCTTAATCAGAATTGCATTAATTAAATCTTGAATGATAAAAACGTAAATGAAGATTAAGGAAGTAGATTGAGAAGATCTTTTGAGTGACCCTACGAAATCATGAGAACCGGCTCCATATCCCCAAGAATACACCCAAACACCCATCGCCATAAACCCAACCCGTTGAGCATGCACATTCAAGGCACATGAAAGGACTTGTCGACATTCAAAGAACAAACAAAACACAAGTCTTTCGCAATTACATGTCCATATCACCGTCGACTTCAGTAAAGAGCAGACGGGTACCGTTGCCAGTGACTTGCCAGAGCTATAGAGAGTATTGTTAGCAAGAAGGTATGATGGTCCGCCAATGGTATTAAAACTTACGTTCATATCGGCATATTCATCAATGGTCATAGTGAGGTTGTCCTCGGTGAAGCCTCGGGCGAGCACACGCTCACGAATACGTCTCATGCTCATCTCGCCCTCTTCGCCATCTCCGATGGCAGCGGCACCACTCTCCTTCATGCTGCGGATCAAGTTGTAGATCTTGCTGGATGGGGTGTTGTCGGCACCCTGCTCGCCCTCATTGTATAGAGAAGCCTTACTGATTTCAATGAGACGCAATGCCTCATCGACATCTTCGCGCACAACCTCTTCACTGAAGCGAAGACGAGCGAGAGCTTGGGATAGACGAATGATACCGAGCAGAGTACGGGGGGTGACGTGGGAGAACTGTCTCTTCTTGGACTCGTCGACCTTTTGTCTCTTGCGCATAGCCACGTAAGCACCAACCATGTAGTCGGAAACGCTAGCAGGCACGATCGGACGGAATGTTCGTGCCTTGGCAACGTACTGACGGACTTCGTGAGGAGTGAACATCACACCGGCATCCTCGGTCTCTGGGTGCTTATTGTGCATGTGAACATAGGTGACGTGGCTGGCCAATTCCTCGTCACCTTCGCGGGACGGAGTGTCGAGAAGCAGGAACATAACGTCGAAACGAGAGAGCAAAGCGGCGGGAAGGTTAATATTCTCCACCGGTGAGATCCGGGGGTTGTACCGACCGTACAGCGGATTGGCCGCTGCCAGAATGGATGTACGGGCGTTGAGGGTAGTTGTAATACCAGCCTTGGAGATGGAGATTGTCTGCTGTTCCATCACTTCGTGGATGGCTGTCCGATCCGAGTCTTCCATCTTATCAAACTCATCAATACAGCAGATACCGTTATCTGCGAGAACAAGAGCACCTCCTTCCAACACCATCTCGTCTGTGACTGGATCTCTCATAACAGCAGCAGTGAGACCAACACCACTGCTTCCTCGTCCGGTGGTGTAAACACCACGAGGGGCAACCTTAGTAATGTATCGAAGCAGTTGGGACTTGGCCACACCAGGATCACCCATCAAGCAGATGTTGATGTCGCCACGAATATGCATGCCGTCACCCATTTCTTTCGTAACACCACCAATCAGGAGCAATAGCAGTGCCTTCTTGACATCAAGATGTCCGTAGATTTCGGGCGCAATAGACCGTGAAAGGTACTCGTACATATTGCCAGAGCGCTGGTGCTGCTCAATTTTGCGAAGAGTAACTTTGTCCATCCCCATATCGTTGTATGATTTTTTGTGCTGAGTGATGTGTTGAGCCTCCAAGTATGTGTCAGTCAGCAGGCCGGCACGAATAGCCCGGAACCCAGTGTAGGGTGTGGGCAAAAAGATACCAGCCACGTCGATAACATCACCAGGGTTCAATTGACGGGTAAGGGCACCATGGCAGTGGATGGTCAAAGTGCGAGGGATATGGCCCACGGGGACTTGATCGGCCATCTCCTGGATCTTCACTTCCTGGAAAGGAGAAAACTTTGATGCACGAGTCGACAAGAACAGATTGCCCTTTGTGTTATTCTTCTTGCAATCTTCCGACAGACATTCGGTCAAGGGGAGGTATTGTTTGGTAGTGATGGGCTGGAATACCTCGCAACCACAGCGATCACAAGTATAAGCGTTGATTTGGACAGCTGGCTTCACATCCGAGACACGAGTTGTGATACCGCGGACTGTAATCAAGCTACCCAAGTGCTCACCACGCACATTTCGGACAGCGAGGGCTTTAGACCCACGCTCACTGCTGGAACCCGAAGGTGTGATAGGCTTGAAGTTGATGGTATATCTCCGGGTGAGCTCTGGAGGGAACATGGATGCAGCATTAGCAGCAGCTTCCATATCAGCCTCCATTGCAGTCTCCATGGTTTCATTGCGCCTCTCGCGCTGAGCCATGATCACATCAAGCACATCATCTTTGAAGCTGTACAATAGTCGGTTTAGCAGTCTGTACTTTCAGGTAGGGGCATGTTTTGACGTACGTGATATCTTTTGTCTCTTTAGGCATAACATCATCAACCGCTTGAGAAATGACATCGATATAGCGTTTTGTGTTTTTTTCGATAGAGTCGACGAGCTTCAAGTCTTCTCCTTCGGGCATGGATTTTTCGAACTGTTACCACACCTGTAAGCTAGTGTTCGACTAGGGAGTGTGGATCGGATCATTACAATTGCAAGATCATCCAATTCAATCAGAATATGAGACTGATCTCGGTTTGCGACATCCTGCAGAATTTGCATGTACTTGAGCTTAGGCTCCCGGTGCCTCCTTGCTCCGCGAGTGTTTGCCCCCTCCGTCTCATCGGCATCGTCCATGAAATCGTATTCATCACTAGTCTGGCCGTCGTTGATATTCAGGTCCTCCAAAGCTTCGGTCGCAGCAGCTTCCGAGGATGATTGGAAGGTCTTGAACCCCTTCAAGAAATCCTTGAAGCCATTCAGTTGCGCGGAATAATCCACGGGCGGGGGGTATTGAAGTAGAGACATGGCGAATGAAAAGTGCGCTCAATCGCAAGTTAGCGCAGGGAAGTGATAGTGGGATCGGGAGAGAAACAGAGCAGAGGGTCCAGCTATCCGAGCCCCTACCAAAATCGGAGGTAAAACGCGAACGCGACTCCAACGCGGTCAGAATGCCACTAACCCGATTAGGAAAGGTATCAATTCTGCCGGATGTTAGTTGATCCGTGATCGAGGTACCAGTCACATGACTCTTCATCGGGCCGAGGCGAAAGAGAGGTAATGTGGAGTCCGGGGTCGTGGCTCTCTCGAGTTCACGTTTCCCCCTCGTCCTTGTTCTTTTGGCGTGCACAACAGTTCAGCGCTTGAAAATGGCGCCCAAGAAGCCTGCTGCCACGGCCGAAGTTGCCCTCATTCCTCTCAAGAACTGTCTCGTCAATCTACCGCCGTCGCTGGTCGCTTTGCTGGTCAATGCAAACACAGTCAGTATACTAGCTGCTACATCTCTATGACAAACTCAAGGCTGACATTTGGCTATAACAGGCTGCGCAAAATGTTATCATTGAATTACAATATAATTCAACCTCTGGAAAGGCCAATGGAGCTTCCCCGCAGCAATCATGCTTCCTCGGTTGGACGGGTATGCCGAGCAAGCGCAGGCTTGCGCCCGTCGTCGGAAGAGATGGCATCAACAGTGGATTCTCCAGAGAGCAGGAAATCTCCACTGTTGAGCTTGATACTACTTTTGGGCGGCTCCTTGGTCTCGCTGAAGGCCAGAAGGTGCGTTCATTTGCCCGTGCGTCATTGCCCACGTGGGGCGCTAACTCTTGCAGGTTGGACTCTTCATCCACCTCGATCCACCCGTTGCGCATACGATAAACATTGAGCCATTGACTCCAGAAGATTGGGAGAGTACGTTCAAAATATGTTGTATTCCAATTGCTCCATCATTAACTCAACAACGATATAGTCATCGAACTCCACGCCACATTCTTGGAACTCAATCTCCTGTCACAAATTCGCGCCCTTCCTAATCCTACATACAATGCAGCGCAATCACAACATATGCATCCACTGGCACTGCATCTATCACCCACATCTACTGCCAATATTGTCGTCACTTATCTTACACCCGCCCCTTCAGACACATCTCCATTCGCCAAGATTGCGCCGGATGCAGAAGTAATAGTGGCTCCCAAAGTTCGATCCAAGACAAGCAAGAGTACCCGAGCTGACAGCCGCAGTGCGGCTGGTAACAGCAGGAAGAGTGCTGGAGGCAGGAGTAGTTCGGGCACTGTGCGCCAGAAGAGTAGCCGGTCCGACACTCGTGGGTCTCTCTATTTGAGAGGCGTGGACCGGTCAGCGACAACTCAATATTTCGATGAAGAGATAGAGGATGACGCGAACGAGGGTCTTCGTGTCTGGGTTGATCCAGATCTGCTAGCAAGCCATGAGTTGCGCGGAGCAGCTTGGGCATGCGTGTCCGTTGTTCAGCCGTCCGGTCTCAAACCCCCTCCAGATCCTCAACAGCAACTAGCTCAAGCTGAACAGCAAAAGTCCAGTGATGCTGGTGCCCCTACAACCAAGCTCGTAGCTAAATTGCTTCCTTGGGAAGAGGCCCCAGACAACCAGCATGCGGTGATGTCCACTTTGTTGTGCACAGCGCTTGGCGCAGATAACATGGTTGGAGGAATTCTCCGAGTTGAAGCAGCTCCCCCGCAGCTGCATCGCTCGGCGGTCAAGACTCTCAAGGTCTATCCATTTATTGGCGATGCTTCGAAAAAGAAGGATGGGCTGAAGTTCGGTGCTGACACGGCAGCAGCACGAGATGCCCTGGCCGAGCGCCTCAAAGTCATCTACGGTAGTACAGGATCTGATGTAGGGCTTTTCTCAGGACCCTTGACCGATGGAATGACCCTACCTAAAACTGAGTATCATCCTTCGGTCTCTTCATTCGACGGTGCTATTCTCCGGTTTGATCCTCCTTTGAAGGGTGGCTCGGATGAATCAAAGTCAATGTTTGGGTGGCTGCTCGGCTCAGAAGCTAAACTTAATCTTGAAGTCCAGGCTGAAATCCCCAAGCCAATCGACTCCAGTCTATCGATACTACCTTTAGAGGACCCTCTTCCCGAGACTGCTCCTCACTTGGTAGGAATTGATTCGATCATTGCACAATCATTGAGCAACTTGACAAAGTCATCGTCTATCTTACTCACTGGTGGTCTCGGTGCTGGTAAAACAGCTCTCACTCATCTCCTGGCTCATCGACTAAAACGAGATCATCTTTTCAACGTCAAGTATTTCTCTTGCCGCAAGCTCGTTACTGATGAAACACGAATCTCTAACATCAAGGAGACCCTAAACCGCTTGTTCATGTCCGCATCATGGTGTGCACGTCTTGGTGGCCAATCACTCGTGATCCTTGATGATCTAGACAAGCTTTGTCCTATGGAAACTGAGTTGCAAGTGGGAGGGGACAATGGCCGCAGTCGCCAGAACAGCGAGGTTATTTGCGCTATGGTTCGAGAATATTGCGCCCTGAATTCTTCCGTCGTATTACTAGCCACTGCCCAGGCCAAGGAATCACTTAATAATGTCATTATTGGGGGCCATGTCGTCCGTGAGATCATTAACATGAGAGCTCCCGACAAGGAGGGCCGCCGGAGGGTTTTGGAAAAGCTTACCAGTGAAGACAAACCCACGGAGAGCTCGAATGGACATGTGAGGGCCGCAAGTTCCTCAACACAGGACTCATGGTTAGACCCATCAAATCCCGGGAGCCGCCCAAGCTCTTCTGCGGGCGATGGTTTTGTGATTGGACGGGATGTCGAATATCTAGAACTAGCAGGCAAGACCGATGGGTATATGCCCGGTGATCTTGTGCTGCTTGTCGCCCGTGCACGCAATGAGGCCCTTATTCGCTCTGTCTCGGATCTGACATCGACTTCAAAGATGATCACTTTGGGGTTAGAGGACTTTGAAAGTGCCTTGAAGGACTTCACTCCAGCGTCTCTGCGCAATGTTACACTCACCTCATCAACAACGACATTCTCCTCTGTTGGTGGTTTATTCGAAACCCGCAAAATGCTGTTGGAAACTCTGCAGTATCCTACAAAATATGCCCCGATCTTCGCACAGTGCCCATTGCGACTGCGCTCTGGCTTACTTCTCTATGGATTCCCTGGTTGTGGTAAGACAATGTTAGCCAGTGCAGTGGCCGGCGAGTGCGGATTGAACTTCATCAGCGTCAAGGGTCCTGAGATTTTGAACAAATACATTGGAGCCAGTGAAAAGAGTGTTCGTGACTTATTCGAGCGAGCCCAGGCCGCACGTCCTTGCGTCCTTTTCTTCGATGAGTTCGACAGTATTGCACCCAAGCGTGGACACGACTCCACCGGTGTCACGGACCGCGTGGTCAACCAGCTGTTGACCCAAATGGACGGTGCAGAAGGTCTCTCGGGTGTTTATGTGCTAGCAGCAACCTCTAGACCTGACCTGATCGATCCTGCTCTCCTTCGTCCCGGTCGTCTCGATAAGTCCTTGCTTTGCGGCATGCCAAACCACGCAGATCGCGTTGATATCATCCGCTCCGTTAGCGACAAACTGAAGATGAGCGACGAAGTCGCGTCTCGCCTGGACGACATTGCCGCTCAGACCCAAGGCTTCTCTGGAGCAGATCTACAGGCCGTTGTATACAATGCCCATCTTGAGGCAGTCCATGACGCCCTGGGTGACCGCTCTACCGATACAGCCAAGCCCGGCGCCAAGTCCAACGCCAAAGGCTCCACTAATGCTTCTTCCAAGTCCTTCATCCAGTTCCTCTACTCCTCTTCGGAGGAAGCATCTGGATCTGTCTCTATGCCACCCCCCGCAGTGATCTCCGCCAAACTAGATGCAATCAAGAACTCGCGTCGCCGCCAGCGCCAGCTCGAGCAGGGGTCCTCAGGTGCAAACGCCGCCGCCCCCGTGACCAACGGCACCGAGCCAGCTGCCGACGAGCTACGTGAGGATATCATTGTCCGCTGGGAACATGTTGAACGCTCATTGAATACCACGCGTGGATCACTCAGCCCAGCAGAGCGGAGACGTCTCGAGGGAATCTATCGCGAGTTCGTGGCCGGTCGGAACGGCGAAATGCCTAATGGTGAGGCTGCCAATGAGATTGGAGGTCGGACAAGTTTAATGTGATTCATTTTTCACGCTGTGATTTGGGCTTTTTGTATTGTATATATGGGCATTCTTGTATGCTTTGATTATCTATTTTCTATATCTGTACTTATCAATACCTAGGTATCGATGCATGGACATGGTGCCCTTGCATCTCATATCTGGTTTCGGTCATCCAATTTGTTACAATAAATGATCACATCCAATTTGCGTGATCATGCGCTATACATAATGTTTCGCATCTCATGTCCAGTTTCCTACAAAAGTGCACCAAGTGCAACTTACATCTACGTCTCAGTTTTATAAAGTCCATTCGCTTAAGAGGTATCGGTCAAACGGTAATTTCTTCATCTTAGAATGAAGCGGTTGACTGTGTTGTCATATTTAATCTGTAGGACATGCCCGAGTTCGCTGCCGACGTCGATAATGCCTTGGGTATTTTATACTGTCCATCAAGTGCATAGGTATGTCAACAACAAATACACAGGGTTAAACTTGAAATCCCACCGAAATGTTCTTGTTTTCCCAGTTGAGCTCGGACGGAGTTGTCTTTATAGACCGATTAGCTCGGAGCTCGTGGACAGCAAGGCAATAGAGTAAACTCACGCTTTTTGTTTTCATGAAGCATGCGTTATCTGGTTGGGAACTTGTGTGGCAGGCATTCACCTTCGATCGAGTAGCCTAGCCGGCCAGGACACACTCGAACACGAGTTATCCAAGATCATTCTCATGCATAAGTGGGTTCATTAGACCAAAACCCGGGTACAGCATAAAATGTGAGTGACTGCACACAGCAGTGAATCGACGGGGCCGCACAGATTGACTAGCCCCAGACAAATAATCTCCTGTACTAGCCGAAAGCCGACCAGGCTCTTATGATCGAGGGTGTCAGCGAAGATGATATTGTGCATCCGCTAGGTGGACTCTATAGTTGACTATCCCATCAGAGCACGAAGAACAAATAAGAGGGACCAGACTTACCAACCAACCTGCGCTTTTCCTTCGGCGGTCAACACCAGGGAGAGATAAAATATTTGCGCACCCTCAGCTTTGCTATGTACGAAAATGAATCAGCGTCTAGGATCGAGGCATCGATGAGAGAGAAACTTACTACTTGACGAAGCTCGTACCCGGCGGTCAAACCCGGGGGGCAAAAGCTTGAAGCATCAGTGCCTGTGGATCATAAGTATGAGTATTCAAACTCAAGAAACAAGTTACGTAGAAGTGAGTCTCACCAATTGGCACAATCAAACCATCCATCACCGTCCCTACTAACTAAAGAAACCCCACTTTCCATCTTCGCTGAAAGCACCACAGCACAAAGCTCCCCTAGATAGAATCCGGGTTCACTGGTTGACAAGCTGCTAGGCTCTAGCTCCGGAAAGGGCTTTCAGGATTAGCGGCACCCAGGGACACTATCAAGATCAACAGTCAGCTGAGTCCAATCCGAACAAGATAGATCTTTCATTTCAAAGTGAACATGTCGAGCAAGGAAAAAGTAATAAGACACCAAAGACAAGATGAATGCAAGATGAGACCCGGGCTAAAAGAAGATTGAACTGGGACTGACTTACCATCGCCATTACAGCCGCAGGAAAAGACACGGCACGTCAAGAAGCAGAACTGGGGCGGGGGTAAGCCTACCCCGGCGCTCCGCAATCGAGCCCATGCGTGCGCGAGCTTCCTGTCGCTGACGATGTGTTTCGTACCCTGGGATCTGCTGATAGCCGGGGGGAATCACCGGAGTCCTAAGTTCGGCAAACCGGGGGGACGCAACCCGACGATTGGCCCCGTAGTGAGAGGAGGTGCGATAGCCAGTGGCAGGGTCGAACGACTCGCTGCCCGGGGTTGTGACCCAGCCAGAGTCAGTGGCGTTGTCCGCCGGGGAAAAGATAACGAAGAAGATGTCCTCGACATCCATTGTTGAACGTTTGCTTTTTGGGATTGCCTTTGTGGGCTTTGGATAAAAAGGAAAGCGATGAGGAACTTGAGAAGAAGAAGGAAAAAGAGGAGAGACAGGCTCCCGGGAGGCTTTTATTTATAGTGTCTCTAGATATCCCGAAGAGGAAGGCTCGACTGGCTTCGAAAAGCACGTGGTCGGCTATAAAACTGGCATCGACGACAGATCGTTCCTGCTATATTGGATAGTAGGCTATGCCCTAAGCACTGCTATAGGTGGTTTCCATATTGTATGGGTGCTTGTGATATCCAGGATTGTCCTTGTGGCACTTCGATCATGTTTTGAGTGTCGTGTAGTCCAATCATACACTGATATACCAAATCACTCTTTCTCCAGAGCCTTATTCACAAGACGTTCAAGCTTGTTCCACTCGGCAGAGAGAACAGCTCTGGACTTGCTCGGATCCAGGCCGTTAGCCTTGAACTCATTGTGAACCTGTACAAACTGGTTGCTAACAAGCTTCTTAAAGCTGGGCACGGTGCAACTCTCTGCCTGAGTGCTAGTGAGCTCGGCGAGAATGTACCAAATCAAGTAATGGAAGTTCAGTTTGAAGTCGTGGATCTGGACAGGGTCTTTCGGGCTGGGTTGAAAGCCTTCCTGGGACAGGAAGACCATCAGTCTGACCAAGCTCCAAGCATGCATGTGACGGATGGGATGAGCCTTGTCGTAAACAACGGGGTCAATCCGCAGGTATCGGATGGCAGCGTGGATGAAGGCCCGAGTGAAGTTGCCAGCGGTAAGCAGAGAAATAATCAACTTATCACGGAGAGAAGCATATGGCTGGCGAGTGAGGGGCCAGGCACCAGTCTCATGGAGCTTGTGCATAGCAGCTTCTAACTTCTCAATTGCATCTGCTGGCTCTATGTCAGATGCGGTGGCTGTCTGCATGAGCTGTAAGGCTTCTCGCTCTGCTGTCTCCAAAGGTGCCATGTCTTCAGGGGTAGACAGGAACCGGTCTTCCAGGGTGTCTGTCCCTTTGGCGCATTTTGCGCACTGGCAGTCGAAGAAGTAGCGCTCCTTCAGTTCATTACGACGAATGTCGTATGGTGTTGTTGTGTCGATGTAGGATATGAAGATTTGCTCATCCTTTTTGATAGAACGGATAGCCTTGACATAGAGCTCTTCCCCGTCAAATCCAACGGTGGAATTGTAATCGCAGCTATGGTTGATCAAACCAGCATACGGATGCATGTAAAGGCCAATTCGGTCATACATTGAGGTAGTGAGATTGAAAGAGTTCAAATCCAGCTGAATATTATGATTAGACACGGGTCCAGTGATTTACAGAGTCATAGGTGTAGCGATAATACCTTGGCAGCATAGGAAGAAACAGTCCCTTCTTCAATGTCCGTTCCGGAGTAATTCTTGACAGCCCTCGCAGTCAGAGTGATCCGATCAAGCAGACCCTGACTCTCTGAGATCTCGTTGATATGAGTCTCTAGTCCATCAAAGACCTTAAACTCTTCAGAGTCATACTTATTACGTGCATTACGCAACACTACACGTAGAAGAGCACGGGCATTGTTAGGAAGCACCATGGGCTTGACATTTTTGAAGATAGGGCATTCAAGGGAATGGGCAAACTTCCAATCTTTGGATTGACACGCCTATCAATCAAGCATTAGAAAATTAAATCAAAAATATAATTTTGGTCGGAGAAGGACCAAATAACAAACGATCTATCGCCATAGGAACTCACCCTATCGCAATATTTCACGACACGACAGCCTGTGCAAGCCTTGAGTTCGTTTCCGGTTTCCATCTGCCTTTTTCCGAAGCAGCCAGCACATGTATCTTCCAAACGCGGTGAATCAAGAACCGCCACAAACGGCGTCTTGATGTGCAAAACATCTTCACCCGGGTTGATGTCGGTTGTCGCAAACAGACCGTTGCCCAGGCCATTAGGGGCAGGCTGTGGAACGGTCTTGGTCGTGACTGCGGGTAAGGCAGTTCTTGATGTCATTTTCTGCGATTTTGATTTAGAAAAATAGAAAGATTAATTATTTCAGGATATAGCGATGATAGACGTCTCGCCGGGCGGTGAATGTTAGCCACTGTAGATATTTCTTGGCATTTATAGACACACCAGACACACCTTCATATATAGAGCGCAGAACCAGGGAGAGGAACAAAATTCTATAGAGACCAGGGAGTATCTCCCTGTATATATAAACTAAAGATAGGATCTAAATACAGGCAAATAAATAACAGATAGTTGTTGAAGATGATCCTCACAATATCGAGAGTAATTTGAACTCACTCTTCTTTTACTTTATCAAAAGCCCTAGGGAGCTTGAATGGCATTCTGATAGGATCTCTTTAGTTTTTCCTGGTTGATATTTGTTCATCATAGTAGTATACCCATCAAACCAAGTGAAAATATGCAGCGATAGTCTGGCGCAAAAGAAATTCTCTCCATTAGAATCATTCGCGCACGATTATAGAGATCATGAGTTGATATTTAGAGAAGGCCCTGGCCCTAATGCTCAGCGCATAGCAAATTGCGGTTTGATTTTGGTGAAGTTTTCTTGCCGTTGGCCGATGCAGTTGTTAGCGATAGAGCGTCGAATGCGGTGGAAACCAATTTTCCATTCGTGCTTCTCTTCCTACTAGCCTCGGGAGAGTAAGAAGGGTTGGAATGAGGAGTTTGGGGAACTTGCAGATTGCAAATGTCAGTATTGCATCGTGTCAAAGTCAATTATTTTGGGACACTGACCGATAGCCCCCAAATCCTTAGAAATCTCGGAGAAAGGCTCAGGATGGGATGAGGCATTACCCGTATCAACAGCCTGCGGCAATGTCGATCGAAGGAACAGTGGAAGATACAAGGAAAAGGGAGAGAGCGGGTAAGGATCCAGACACGCAAGATCGAGTCTGTTGGAGGGCATGTGAAAGCGAAACTGCCGAGGAATCAGTTGATTATAAAACAAGCGACTGAGATGAGAATCAAACTATTGTCAAATGAAACTGAGGGTATTGGCGTTAGATCCGAAGTAAAGTACCTCCGGAACTCATCAAGTAGTTTCATACAACTCATCTGCAAATGTCACTTAACATTATAGTAGTAAGAGTGACCTTGGATGCTACAGCTATGTCCCGATCCTTGCCTCATCAGATAAGAAGATTTAATAGGAATACCTACATATCTAGACGTCCAGATTGATAGAATCATAGACAAAAATAAGACAACGCTAGACACGCTAAGCGCATATATTATACTTCATAGAGATGACATGGCTCATGCAGCATACAAATAGACATCGAGACTCCCAGTAACATAACCAGACATGGAAACAAACAAGTCGAAGATCTAGAGGATAGCAACCAAAGCAGCAACAGCAGCACCCAGCGGCGCAGCCGTGATCAAAGGCTTAATGGCACCAGCAGCACCACCAGCCGAAGCAGTAGGAGTGATCGTCTCCGGGGTAGCCGAAGCGGTGGCATTAGCGGTGAGAGCATAGGCACCATCGGTGACTTTGAGAGGCTGATAGGTGATCGACTCAGAAGGAATAGTCATAGTGCCAGAGGTGCGCGTGGAGTCAGTAACAGCGCCCTGGGAGGCGGTATAACCAAGGCTCCACGTGCAAGAGACGGATTCAGAGAAGCGAGTGAAAGAGCATTCCTCGACCGCAGTTGCTTTGGCAGTAACACCTTCGCCGCTCAAGGTCATTTGCATAGAGATGCTGAAAGTGTTCGGGCCCTGGATGAGAGTTGCCGGAACGTGAAACGCGCATTCCTTTGCATCTGGCAGGCAGCCGATCTCGTAGGTTGTGGCATGCTTGTCAATGCCAATGATTCGGGCAGCGGTGCTGGTGTATTGACTAATGTCGGCGCCGCCTTCATTCTCGGTGCCGAGATAGCTGACTGTTGTGGTGCCAGCTTCGGCGGCGACCAGGGCCGCTAGAGTAGAGGCGAGGAACCAAGTTGCGCGCATGTTTGCAACAAATAAAGATTATGGTATGGAAGGGTATAGAGATGGAGATATTTGGTACGGAGCTGAGAAAGAAAAATTCAGGACACAATGAGCAGGGATCTCTGCCTCTTTAAAGACCTTGTACTAGCGTGCCCTGCAGCCTTGGTACCTGAATAAGAGTCATGGAGCCCCGGGGCGCTGTTCGTATACTAGCGCTATACTAAAAGATGCTACGGCCTCAAGCTTAACGCTTTTTGGAACAGTTTCGGGTAAGAGTCGGGTTGAAGCGATGGCGGTTGCATAGAAGACCCTGAGTTCATGACCTTAATCGGTAAGAATTAACATGATATTCCAGCCCAAAAAAAGACAGCATTGGATATCCATGGAAGACAATAATAATGAAGAAGAAGATGATGAAGAAGAAGAAAATCCATGGGGGCCAAATTACGAAGCCCAAGTCAGCAAGATATTTAGTCCAGACAATCCGAATGACAGGCTCTTATTGGCCAAGAGAATCGGCTAAAATTGCTCTCCGTGAACAGGGCACTGGACCCTTCGCCCCCCGAGTGAAACAAAAAAGATTAGGATGGTCCTCTAATTGGCCCCCACAGGGAGGCGTTCCTCTAGCTCCGCCCTGAGGTTACGGTGAAGAGCCTCTAGAGAGATATAAAAAAAGGAGTCATAAGACGGTTACATCCGGACTCCGATAGGGAGTATGTTGCAGGGTTCAATTTGCTATAGACTCAGAAACATTTGAAAACACGGCCAAATTTGTCTTATAAAAGGATCAGCGGGCATGTGCCTAGGCAATACGCCACTGTCTCCAACCTTGATTCACCATAAGAGTAGAGATGAACAAATAAATCAACAAGTTAACAGTGTAAGAAATCATTCCAATCCGAGAGTACAATAATTAAAAGGGGCCGAAAAGAAAATGCACGCCATCTATCAACAAAATTGCCCTACCCACTACACCAGACAGAACACTTGAGGTCCGGTCTTATATTGGAAATCCATGACGGGAGGACCTGGAGAGGTCATGGGGGATATCGAGGGGAAAGAGAAAGGTGTTGACTCCCGTCTCTCTTGATTTCGACACGGCGGGGCTTTTTTTCTGCTTCTTTTGTCACTTCGTGCAAGTAGACATTTACAGAGCCTTGCCGCCGACGAAATCGGACCAGGTGCGGACCTCGGAGGGGATGCCATCGGTACGGGGCAGCTTCTCGCTCATGCACTGAGCGAAGAGCTGGGCAGTCTATAGTAAAAACAATGAGTTAGCAATATGAATCATGGCAGATGTCAGTAAGTCAAACATACCTTGGGCTCCATGAAGAGAGGAACGCTGAAGTCGACAGCATTGCGACGCATAACGTAGTCCTCATCAAGCTGGGTCTTACCGCGGGTCTTGGCAAGGTTGAAGCAGCCGCGGATGTCGTACTTCTGGAAGACCTCACGGAGAGCACGCTTGTCCTTCTTGGGGAACTCAATCAGCTGCACGGAGACAGTGCCATTGGCAGCGGACTCGAGGTGAGCCTTGACCTCGGGGTTGACAGCGAAGAACTTGTAGCCAAGAGGGTTCAGGTACTCGACAATCTTGGACAGGTAGGGCTGGGTGATGTCACCACCGAGCAAGATACCCTCACCAGCCTCCGGCATGCGGAAGTTCATGGTGGACTGGAGGGAAGCCCAGTAGGCCTCAACCAGATCCTTACCGAAGCAAGCAATCTCACCAGTGGAGGACATCTCGACACCCAGGAAGGGATCGGCACCAGCCAGACGGGTCCAGGAGAACTGGGGAACCTTGGTGGCGAGGTAGTCACGCTTGACCTCCATGAGGTCAACGGGCTCGGGAACATCACGGCCAACGAGCGCCTTGGTGGCGACGTCGATGAAGTTGGTACCCAAAACCTTGCTGACGAAGGGGAAGGAGCGGGAGGCGCGCAGGTTGCACTCAATGACCTTGAGGGCGGGCTCGGCACCCTCCTGATCGGCCTTGATGATCTGCATGTTGAAGGGACCGGTGATGTTCCAGGCCTTGGCGACCTTCTCGGCGATCTCCTTGACGCGGCCCATGATAGCCTTATCGAGGTTGGCGGGGGGAGGACGAGAGTGGCATCACCAGAGTGGACACCAGCGGGCTCGACGTGCTCGGAAACGGCGTGGACAATCAGCTTACCGTTGGAAGCGACGGCATCCACATCGATCTCCTCGGCACCCTCAATGAACTTGGTGATAACGACGGGGTGGTCGGGGGACACGGCAGCGGCGTTGAGGAGCTTCTCCTTGAGCTCATCGACACTGTAGATGACGTTCATGGCAGCGCCGGACAGAACGTAACTGGGACGAACCAGGACGGGGTAACCAACAGTCTCGGCGAAGTTCTCGGCATCAGAGACGGAGGTCAATTCCTTCCAGGCGGGCTGATCGACACCAATGCTGTCGAGGATAGAGGAGAACTTGTGACGGTCCTCGGCCTTGTCAATGTCCAGAGGGTTAGTACCAAGGATAGTAGCACCACCACTCTCCTGGAGACGGAGGGCAATGTTCTGAGGCAGCTGGCCACCGACAGAGACAACGACACCGCTAGCGGACTCGAGCTCGTAGATATCCATGACACGCTCGTAGCTGAGCTCCTCGAAGTACAGCTTGTCGGCGGTATCGAAGTCAGTGGAGTAGGTCTCGGGGTTGTAGTTAATCATAACGGTCTTCTTGCCCATCTGGCGAAGGGAGAGAGTGGCGTTAACAGCGCACCAATCGAACTCGACGGAGCTACCAATACGGTAGACACCGCTACCCAGAATGATGGTTCCGTGGTCATCGAAGGTCACGTCGTGCGAGGTGGCGTTGTAGGTGGTGTAGAGGTAGTTGGTGTCGGCAGGGAACTCGGCAGCCAGGGTATCAATCTTCTTCACCCAAGGAGTGATGCCGAAGGACTTACGGCGGGCGCGGACATCATCCTCGGTAGATCCAACAAGCAGAGAGATCTGCTTATCGGAGAAACCGAGCTTCTTGGCCTTCATCAGGATCTCCTGCTTAAGACCGAAGAGGCTGCCGATCTCCTTGAGCTCATTGTTGCAGTCAACAATGTTCTGGATCTTGTACAAGAACCACTTATCGATCTTGGTCAACTCGTGAACCTTCTCAACAGAGTAGTTCTCGTGGAGCATAGCCTGACCAACTGCCAACCAGCGGCGGTCAGTAGGGTTACGCAGAGTCTCATCAAGGTCGTCGAACTTGTCACCCTGAAGACCAAGGTATCGAGGGTCGACCTGACGGATAGCCTTCTGCAGAGACTCCTCCCAGGTACGACCAATGGCCATAACTTCACCAACCGACTTCATGGCGGAGCCAATGTCGCGGTTGACGTGCTGGAACTTGCTCAAATCCCAGCGGGGAATCTTGGTGACGACGTAATCCAGACTGGGCTCGAAGTTGGCGGTGGTAGTCTTGGTGACGGCGTTAGGGAGCTCGGGAAGAGTGTGTCCCAAACCAATCTTAGCCGCAGTGTACGCAAGAGGGTAACCGGTAGCCTTGGAAGCCAGAGCGGACGAACGCGACAGACGGGCGTTGACCTCAATGACACGGTAGTCAAGTCCATCGGGCTGCAGAGCGTACTGGACATTGCACTCGCCAACGACGCCCAAGTGGCGGACAATCTTAATGGCAGCAGTGCGGAGCATGTGGTACTCCTCATCAGACAGAGTCTGACTAGGGGCAACGACGATACTGTCACCGGTGTGGATTCCGAGAGGATCGAAGTTCTCCATGTTGCAAACAGTGATACAGTTGTTAGCAGCGTCACGGACGACCTCGTACTCAACCTCCTTCCAGCCCTTGAGGGACTTCTCGACGAGAATCTGGGGGAGAGAGAAAGAGAGCGGGAGGACAAGTCACGGAGCTCCTCGGGGTTGGCAGCGAAGCCAGAGCCGAGACCACCAAGGGCGTAGGCAGAACGGACGATAATGGGGTAGCCAACCTGCTCAGCAGCCTTGAGAGCATCCTCGACAGTCTCGACGGCGGTCGATTCAGCGATAGGGATGTTAATCTCGTTCAAGGCCTGGGCGAAGAGGTCACGATCCTCACTAGTCTCGAGAGTCTTGATGCTGGTACCGAGGACCTTGACACCGTAGCGTTCGAAGATACCCATGCGGTTCATCTGCACACCCAGGTTCAGACCGGTCTGACCACCGAAGGTAAGGAGAATTCCATCGGGACGCTCGCGCTCAATGACGTGAGTAACGTATTCGGGTGTGACGGGAAGGTAGTAGACTTCATCCGCAAGCTTGTGGTCAGTCTGGATGGTCGCGATATTAGGGTTGATCAGGACCGAGTGGACACCGGCCTCCTTAAGAGCCTTAAGAGCCTGGGAGCCTATTTGGGCGAACAGTTAGAGATTAGCGACTGTCGTTATTCGAATTGCTTCTCGGGGAAATTTTTGAGCTCCCTGTGATACCCGCAGAAAAGTCTCAACCCCATGGGGAGATTGAAAGCACGGGGCCAAGGAATTGCAGCGCAAATTTCGTTCTGAAGAAAAAAATTTTTCCACTTACCAGAGTAATCGAACTCTCCAGCCTGTCCAATGCTAAGACCACCACTGCCAATGACAAGGACCTTCTTGACATCGACAAGGTTGCTACCGGACTTCACAGCACCGCTAGCGAGGTAAGACTCGGCAGCAGGGGGTTGCTGGGCGTTCAGGCGGTTCAATGTGCTGGAGAAAGAACGGAGCTGCTGGGAGCGAGCCGTAGGCAACTTCTGCAGGCGCAGAGTTGAGGCCGTCGAGCGGACGGACTGGGAGGAGAATGCGCGCACGGAGAGTGCTGAGCGAGTTTCAGCAAGGCAGCGCTGGCGCAGCAGGGCCGCAGCCTGCCCACATCGAGCAGCAAAAACCATTGCGCACTGCACCGAGCGAAAGATATGTTCAATTGCTTGGTGAGAGATGTGTAGAGGATGAGTCTACGCTCTCCCGGGAATCTTTTTTTTCCGCCACGGGATTGCTGATTGGTTCGTTCCTTTCACCGTATACGGCTCCACTGTCGGCGAAAAAGCACAGCAGAAAGTCGGGGAGAAGTTGGGGTTACAGGAATGGGTATAGGTGAGTGCAATTAAGAATAATAATAAGGAAAATAAGAGATCAAAAAGAAAGTAAACCAAAAAACCAGGTGGCTGAGTATGTCCCTTTTTATGTGGTCTTTTTTTTTTTCTGAAGATGAGTCAAGACGGGGGTGGAGACGGGGTTCCCTCGGAATCTTGGTGGAAGATGACGATGTGTTCTACGCATCGAGATCTAGGGTTACTTAGGTCCCTAGGTATGGACTCCGTACGGAGGACTTGAATTTCAGAAACCTTGGAAGTTCTCAACAAAGCCAAGTTGGTCGTAGGCGCCTGAGGGCACCTCGGACCTTCAGGTTCGAATCATGATATCTAACGTACTTCACTACCAGCATTGAGCCTACAAATACCATGGAGTTGATTTCACTACATGATGTATGTATCTACGCACTTATGAGCTGTATGTAGACAAACGGCTGAGGCCGAACCGCCTAGTTATATCTGTGCGATCTGAAAAGGTCCCATCTGATCGAGACCCAAACACAAATAAATTAAACCATGTGGATATGAATCACTTTGATATACCAAGCTTTAGAGTTATATCATATCATAATAGCCGAGTGCCTGAGTCAGTATCAATATCAAGCTGTTCCTCCCATCGAAATTGAATATATATCCCCTGAGTCTTCGGGCCTGGTGACCCTAGAGGAATTGGGTGGTCAACTGTGACGAAATGAAATTCAACATTTCAACGTTGAGGATCCACACAACGAAATACCAAATACTAGCTGGACCAAGCAGATACAGGCCGAAAAGGGTATATTATACGCAGAGCACTCATCAAGGACGTAGTATAACCACATTATTCTGCCACTCCCACCTTCCCATTCAATCCCAACCAAGGACCACTCGGCTGCTTCTCAACCCGAGACCCACCCCTCAACATCCCTGTGGAACGAGCATCTGAGACATCCCGCTTTTGCCGATCGTCTAGCACAACCTCGTCGAATGTTTGGTTGAGCGTCCCGTATACATCGGTCAGAGTCTCCCGGGCGTCCAGCGCAACTTCAGTACCCAGCGCAATCTTTTCTTGAACAAATTCTCGTGCATTGGTAGCCGCGGCATCAGAGGCAAATGTCCATGCTTCGGCAAGACTAACCACTTCATCGGAGGTCTGATCCAAGGGTTGCGTCTGATTTCGTGGATTGAGGGCGGAGTGCTTGAAGCGCGGCTGATGGGCGAGATTGGGGTATTCGGGAAGGAGGTGGGATTCTTCACTCAGACGATGGAGGGCGCGTAGTGTCGTAGACTTCTCCTTCGACAGTAACCCGGACAAGTAGGATTTCTGCAGAGCTAACGACTTTTGGGTCTTATATAGTGGGATTAGATTTTCGTTTGTGTATGAAAGAACATCGACTGGGTTCGGCGGCGGCGCTGCTGCAATGACTTCACTTTTGTTGGTTGGTCGTGACGGTGGTTTGGGGGCCACATTGACTGGTTGACAAGCTCTGGAGACAGCGTCAAGAAGCTCTCGTCGGGCTTGCAAATATGCGACATATTGCTGCTCAATTTGTACCCTGCGATCCTCTAGCTCTCGCCGGGCTTCCTCGATCTCCTCTGGAGGAAGCTCCTGCAGTAGACCCTCCTCCGGATCTCCCTGGCCGACCAACCGCTCCTCCACCCATTGTACAAGCTCATCCCGGGTCCGTTGTAATGCTTGCGCTTTGACATCTGGTGAAACTTCAATCTCACCCCGGGCATCATGCTGTGCCTTGGCTTTTTCGAACAATTGCTTTTGATGATCCAATTGAGTTCTCGCGCGGACCACAGCTCTTTCGAGATTATGCACCAAATCGTCCAAATCTGTTTCACTGCCAGTGCCACTGCGTCCTGCCTCCGTATCTATCTCTGGCAACGATATGTGCTCTCCTTCATCGCCAACCTTCTCCAAACCGCCCGCTTCTCGCCCTTTGATTTCTTCGAGATAATTCCGAAATACCTGTAGCTTGGCATGGCGGCGTCGATCGCGTAGGAGGGCAAGATATTCACGAAGTTCGGTGCCGGGCTCTTGCAAATCGGCATCGTCAGAAGGGCGGGCTGGGGCTGACCTCTCGCGCCTCAACGAAGCGACATTCTCAGTCGCCGAGTCGAACTCTTTGCGAGCTGCCACATTGGCCGCTAATGCCTTCAGGTAATCCTTTCTCAGCCCGGGAAGATCGGCAGGGATGCGTTTGACGCCTGCAACGGCATCGGTCGGCGTGCACAGGGAGAGGTGGGATCGAGCAAGATTGGTCGATTGGTCATCGTCGAATTCGATAAACGATCGTAGATAGGACGTCAGAGCCTGGCGGATTTGCAATGTTTCCTGGCGGGATTTGATGTAAGGAGCGAGTGGTTCCACGACGGTGGGAATGTGGGTGTCGGGAGAGCTGCTGGGTCGGGCCATTGTTTCATTGGGCGGGGGTGGAGAGCTATTCCAGCCAAGGTCGGTAACTGGGTAACTAGATATCTGGAGAGACCAACTGAGACCCCAGGTCTTGGAGGTTTCACACAATCCACTGTGATATCGCGAGATCGTCGTTCTGCTCCAATGTTTTTTTTGGAGAAGGCTTATGTAACCTTCAGACAAGTCTACTTGGGCACCTGGGCACCGAGACCAGACGTGAAGACGTCGAGCTTATTGTGGTGCTGTGAGCGTACTCCGTATACTCCGTATACGATGCCCTTAATAGGGCCTAGGAATTTACAGGGGTTACCAAAGGCCGATACATCTCAATTGTGAGTTGATGTTCATCGACAGACAGCTCCAATAATTGAGACATCCAATATGCCTCCAGAGGGGCCTGAGCACCATGTCTACAACCTCGGTCAATGATTGTGCTCATTGATAAGGCGTTCAACGGAGATTCCTGACCCATGTCCTAAGCTGGTTCCTACTGCCAGATTGTCTGTCTGTGTATATGGTCCCCTGGCTTTTCCTAACGAAGCCTCGACGGGATACGAGGTACGGGGTGGAATGCCAGGTACAAGATGTCTACGATGTACTGCGTAGATCAATGTCGATACCAAGATGCAGATTATGTGCACGGCCCAATCAAACAAAGAATAAACGTCTCAAGCCCAACTTCTCAGTCCAAATCCCTCTTTCCTTTGGCGAGTTTTTATGCCTTCTCTCCCCTTCGAGCTGTGGTGTACACTGCGTCATCCCCAACCCCTCAATACATAACTGGTATGTTTCAAGATACTCCCTGGAATTTGCATCAAGGGGTGTTGTGATTCATAATTCCGGAGTCGATCTGATGATTATGGTTACGACATTGTTGATCCCAGACTGAGAAGTTTATAGTTCGATCCTATCCACTCGCATGCCTCGGACTGACACAAAGCAAACTTATCATTAACGAGGATCACCATCCTCTCTGAGATACCTGATGGCCTTCGCTCCTGACTTGAGTGCTGTTTCCAATTCCACCATGCCACGACCTCGTGCGGCAACAACGGGCCTACCCATTATGGCGTCGCAGACCCCAACACCTCGACAGCCAGTACATGGGCCCCATGTTTCGGTAGCTCTCCAGTCTCCAGGAAGTCCACCGCTCGGGACGGGAGACTACGGCATCACAAGTACAGCCCAGGGTATGTCCCCAGTGAGAGGAGTCATTTCATTAAGCTCCTCGACTAATAAAAAAAAGGGCCATTGCGTCACCCCCAACCGCTGACGCCTTCGGATCTCCATCTCGTGCTTGAGAAGGAGCAGGAAGCAATGGTAAGTGTTAATGAGGAGCTGGAGTATACCCCGCAGGAGGCTAATGTATTATGACTTCCCGCAGGTGAACCGGTTGACCCGCGAACTATCCCTTCTGCGCCAACAGACAACATCGGTGGCCTCTACCGCATCCTCCACCTCCACATTCAATGAGACGGATAGCGCACAACCCTCGCCCAACCTCAGCAGCTCGACCCGGCCTCAATCCGCCCGACGGAACCGGTCCAACTCGAGCCTCAGCTCGCATACTTCCGCAAATCAGGGTGCACAGACCTCAAGTGTCACAGGAATTGCCCCTTCAAGAGATATGAGCATGCCGTCTCGTTCGATAGATTATACTCGGAATGTCCGCAGCCGCGAGCCATCCCTCACATCTCGCCGACCCTCCATCGGGTCGCTCTCCTCATTCTCTCACAGCAATAACAGCGTATACCCTCCCCGACATTCGAGCTCGCAGACCCAGCTAGGATATTCACCGGGAGCCTCGCTGTCCCGCTTTGAGGAGGTAACACATCACAGATCGGAGCTGGAGTATATGAAGCGAGAGAATGAACAGCTCCGGAGACGGGTGCGGGATCTGGAGCAGACTTTGAAGAGACAAAAAGAGGCCACCACTTTGGACTTGGCGAGCGACACTTCTGTGACACATGACACAGTTATCAGTGCCTGATTTTCTATTTCAATCCATCTCATTCTTTAGCATTGCCAGTGTGGAGGCAGTGCCCAACATTTTCATCTCGGGCAGGAGGTTTGCAGGCAAACACATTCAAAGAAATGGACTCCTATTTTTGACAGCTGCATATCATTTTTTTTTTCAGGCAGCTCTATTGATAGCTCCGTCCAATCAAATACAGTAAAATAAGAGTAAGATCAACTCAAGGGGGACGAAAAGAGAACAAGAAATGAACTACGTGAGGCGGTGCAAAGCCCCACCATACGTCACCTGTGGCGCAGGGGAGGTGGTCAGATAAATACGTCGCATTTCACCACGCAAATGGTGTGACTCTAGGATTTCTTTGCTCCAAGATTCTTCTTTTCTCACTCACCTTCATATCTCAATCATGTCTCACACCACTGTTCACGTTTCTGGCATCGCGCCCGCAACCTCCGACAAGGAGGTTCGCGACTTCTTCAGCTTCTGGTAAGTAGATTGTCGCAATTATTTATTCCGACATATACTAATGAGAGAAACAGTGGAAAGATTGTGAATCTCTCTATTACTCCAGTCTCTGGAGAGGCCGACGCTCAAAAGTCCGCCACTGTGACATTTGAGAAGGAGGCGTAAGCTACCCCGCACCCCGTTTCAACTTCAGTTCCCGCAGCCAAGTCCCAATTGAAAACTAACAAAAGATATAGCGCCGCCAAAACCGCCCTCCTCCTCGATCAAACCCAACTCGGCACCTCCTCCGTGCACGTCGAATCAGCTCACACCTTCGAAGATATCGCCGGAGCTCAAGTGACCGACGCAGCCGCCGAAAACAAGGGGGAAGAGCACGACATCGCACAAGAAGATAAGCCCCGCTCTCGCATTTTCGCCGAGTACCTGGCACACGGATACGTGGTGAGCGACCATGCCATCGTGAAGGCGATCGCATTGGACCAGAAGCACGGTGTCTCGAACAAGTTCACCTCAGCACTCACCAACTTCGACAAGAAGTTCAATGCCACTGAGCGCGCCCGAGGCCTCGACACCAACTACCAGATCTCTACCAAGGCGGCTTCAGGCTGGCGCGGTCTGAGCTCGTACTTCGAGAAGGCTCTTGAGCACCCCTCCGGCCAGAAGCTGCGTGACTTTTACGTCCAGACCGATAAGCAGGTGCGCGATATCCACAATGAGGCTCGTCGTCTGGCCGATCTGAAGCAGGGCAAGACCGGCGAGACGGAGGGTGCGTCAGCTCCTGCTCTTGGGGCTGCTGCCCCCGCTGCCGTTCCTTCCCAGCCTGAGGCTGCTGCGGCTCCTGTTGAGCCCAAGGCATAGAGGATCTGGAAATAAGATCTAACCTTCCAATGGAGATGAATACTTGCGCTGGACGTGTCTTTGTTTCCGCTGCTTCATCCTTTTTCCCTTCTCATGATGCCATGCCATGTCCATAGTTGAACCCTACTTTTGCCCTTTTACAAGCTCTTTCTGGGGGCCTTTGCTACAAGCGAGCTTTTGATAACCATCGGTGTCCTAATAAGCAAAATCAATGGATATAGGAAATGTTTATACTCCACAACACTAGTGTATTGTTTAACTACAAAGATCTTGTTCAAAGGAATAGTTAAAGTTGGTTCTTCATGATATCATTGTCCAAAATTCAAAACGAGAAGCCGTCAAGTACATGCAAATCACCCCATTTAGTCTCGCCCCTTGGCGTATTTCTCCGCCTCGATCTTCTCTAGTGACGAAGGCTCGGGGTTACTCCCAAGCTCATGCTCCTTGAACTGACGCGATGATTTCTGCGAGTAGTCAGGCTCTGGGTGCTTTCCGACATTGGTCTTGCCGCTGCCGGGGGGTCTTGCTGCTGGATACCGGATTGGCGCTCGGGAGGGGGAGATTGGCGGCCAGGGTATGGAGCAGACATTGTGGCTGTAGGAGTAGAGTTATGTGCTAAATAGACAACGACGTGTGAGTCTTTCTTGTTGATTCGAAGAAATAGTGGTGGTGATAAGGCAGTTTGCTACCACTTACCTTCGATTGATATAGACGCTTTTCTGGATGATGATGTGGAATCTTCTGGTTGGAATAATTTGTCGAGTTCTAGACGGAAATAAGAAGAACAGGTGCTCTTTTATTTGATTCTGGAAACCAACTGACGTTACCAGCACCGCTTGAATCGGTCATTGTGGTTCATCATGATGACGTTGCGGGGTGGCCAAGGCATGTTTTCAATTCAACTTGCAAGAATAACAACTTTTGTAATGAATTTCCTTAATAGATCATCAATTCCATGCGAGCTCTGGGACTTGTCAGTAGGAAGGATCTTGTTTTTCGATTTGACGTGATAATGCACATGCGTCGTTGATTAGTTCCCTTAGTTTAGTGTACGGTCACTATCTCTTCAACTAGTGCTTTCATCCTATAGCTAATCTAGCTGTTTATATGCTGGGTTTTAATTATTGTCCTTCTTATTGTTGCAATTATTATGGATAAAGATACCTAACGGATCTAGAGACATATCTATAGATCTATAAAAACCATCACAAATACGCTAGTAGGAGGTCATTATCGAAATAAGAATTTAGCAATTCTGAGTCTTAGCAACTAGATGACAATATGTGGTATGATCTTCTTATTTGCTCACTGTTAGGATAGTATATTAGTGCCTACCGTACATACAGGGATTGGGTTGAATAGCATTTTGAGGCTTTTGGTTAAACGGGACAGATGACATCACCGAATCCTTGTTTTGACTTCATATCTTCTACCTTCCTCTAACGCCGTGTTTATTAGAGTGTATCATCTTCCTGGAAATTTTATTTCTAAGCTGGGTAAATTTTAGCTCGAGATTAACATTGAACCAAAGATAAGATCTACTGTCCCTAGGCGCATTAGGTAGGTAGACAGTTTGCTCCATAGACCAACATGATGCAAGAGGACATATTGAGTACATAGGAAACGAGTGAACAGAAAATGATCTTCTAGGGGCCTTATATCAAGCATAGCAGCTTATTGCAGTCGATAGCATTGCCTTAGGATCCTGGTGATAGCACGATGATATGGCAGCCTTGTGGAACAGGGCCGAGCGGGTTTCAGGGCATGCACCCAGGTATGGCAGCGAGAGGGCGAAGGGACAAACTCAGCATATAGGAAACATGCTGCATTTGCGAAGGGTTAACCCCCACCGATTCATACATCCATTCGATATAGATATATCGAGAGTATCGTTTTCAGCTCTTCACCCAATGAGTATTTCCCGAGCTAGTATCCCAATATTACACGGATTTTCTTCATACTCCCATAAAGTGTGCCGGTATCTACGAAGCTACGTCTTCCAGTATTGGATGCAACATTTGTAGCATGGCTGATGTACTATATCATGAGGGAACAAGGGTGTGTCTTCTGGGGAATCTGTGCATCGAAGAGGATTAGAGAGGGAGGGGGTTAGGGGCATACCCTCGAGAACAATGTCCACGGGTAGGACTTTTAAGTGTACATCAGCGAGAGCATGGCAGGGAAAACACATGACAAAGTAACACGGAGGGGCAAAGCAGATAGGACATGATCTAAAGAAGAGAGAAAGACATGAAATGGGCATATGGTCTCGTGAGGAAAAGGTGGAAGGGGGAAAAAATAGAAACTAGACGTCTGAGACATTTGAAGTTCGAAGCTTTTGTGTTTTTCTCACTCCATATCGGTTATAGTCTCTTAGTTGCCGTTGGCCTGCATACCCGCAGCGGCGGCGGCTTCTGCGTTGGCAGCGGCGACCATAGCCTTGGCATCTGCTTCGTGGAAGACACCTTGGATGATCTGCTGTTCTTCGGGGCCGAGAACCTTGGTCAGGCTCTCATAGAGCTGGGGCTGTTCTTGTTGAAGGCCTGGAATTGAAGTTAGCGGGGAATATAATAATGGGATACTTGATGAGGATCACATACTCAGCAGAACGTGCTTGAACATGCCATATGGCTCCACCTTATCCAGAGGGGTCTCCAGAAGGCTTTCCTCGTCCATGTCATCATCGTCATCATCGGCGAATGAGCCGAACTTTTGAGCCTCCTGGTTGAGGAAGTCGAGGTAAGCGGCACTCTCGTCGGGGACGTCGTCGTCAAGAGCTGCCTCGACTTCGTTTTCGTCCCATTCGACATCTCCATCCCAGTCATTGTCCTCGTCATCCTCATCGTCTTCGTCATCGAGAGTGAAGTCGGATTCTCTAGTAGCATCCTCGCGTTCTGTATAAATCGTTAGCCGATGGAAAAATGATAACAGAGTCTGGGCAGGGAAACATACGCTTGAGAGCAGCAGGCAGAGTTTGGAAGAGTCTGGTCACACCCTGCAACAGTCTCGGCCATCCCTGCTGGACACTGACAGGAACGTCAGTGGCCTTGAGGGTAAGCAGTGAGCTGATTGCGGCAATTGACAGCTTCTTATCGTGCACACGTCTGAAGTTGTCAATGTTAGCAAACCAAGTGCTGAAGAACTTGTTGGTCCAGCCCTTGGCCTCCATGACCTGGAGACTGAGAGCTGAGTTGTAGTAGATGGCGTTGATGACCATCTCCATCAAGTGAATACGGTACGACTTGGTGCGTGCCTCGCCGGCATCAATGACCTGCATAGCCATCTCAATGAACATGGGGATATACTGGTCAATGTGACCCCGGAGGTTGAGCATCAGAGTCTCGGCAAGCTTGCAACCGCAGATGCGGTCAACGCCACCGACCTTGTCATCAGAAAAGATGTCCTGGACCATACCGACCATGGCGCCGAGGTAAGCCGGGTTTTGAACCAGCATCTCAGAGCCGTAGGCAACATAGTTGTCAAGAGCTGGGAGCATATCTAAACAATATAAAGTCAATAAGAATGCTCAATGCAATGGAGTATAGCTGAGCTTCATACCTTCGAGATACAACTCAGCACCAGCCTTGAAGGTCTTGTGGATCAGCTCAAAGGCCTGCCACATGGATGGAGAAATAGTCTTGGATGCGAAAGTGCAGCTGTCGATGATCTCGAAAATTTCGTTATAGAGATCTAAGATAAACAGTCAGAGCCAGACCAATCATTGTTAGAAAACAACAGACTTACCGTAAAGCTTGTTCTCCAGCGTGATGCTGATGACAGGCATCAAAATGGTCTCGAGGTGCAGGAGCACGTCGGGAGTGCTCTCGAGGGTGAGAATAAGAGTACCAATGGTCTGCAACACGCCCAAAGCGGTGATGCTCTTATCGTCCAAGAAATCGCCATAGCCATCATCATCACCACCCTTGGTAGCATTCCGCTCCAAAAGCTCACCAACAATACGCATATAAGTATCGCGGAGCTGCTCGCTGAGCGCCACGGCAAAGGGCGTAAGCTCAGCAGAGAAGACCTCAACAAAGTCCTCCATGACATTGGCCAGGGCATCCACATCGACCTCATTGGCCAACTTAAGAAGTTGCTGCATGATCTGGGGAATGTTCTGCTGCATCGAGGTACGAATGACATCGTGACGAATGAGGGGCTGCAGAGCAAGAGCGGCCTCAACTCGCACGGGAAGTTCGGAGTCGGTCATCGACTCGAGGATGTTTCGGTAGATAACCATGAGGTTGTTGGGGTCCTTGAAATCGAGCTGCTCGAACTTCTCCAGGGTGTCGCATGCACGGGCACGGAGGAAGCCGTGGGGACTGCGGAATTCGGGGAAAACGTGACGGACGAAGAAGTATTCGACCTGGTCAGCAATTGGGCTCTTCTTGCCCAGGATGACCGAGGCGAGTGAGCCAATCATGCGCAAAGCGCCCTCCTTCTCCCTGGGCTGCTTCTGTTCTTCCGGCTCAGACTCGTACTTGCTAACAACACTGTTGACGAAAGTGAGGATAGAGAAAGTCTGCTTCTTGCGGTTCTTGGTAAGAGAAACCAGGAAGTTTGTGGCGGCAACATCAGGGGCTGATACTTCCTCATAGAAGTTCAGCTTGCGGTGGAGATACTCAGATGGGTCGTCCTCGAAGAGCTCAATATCCTCGTCAGATTGGCACAAGATAGGGAACACGAAGTGGGCGATCAAGTTGTCCATATGGGGCTTGAGGTGCTCCCACATGACCTTGGGCTTGACACACTCCTCCATAAAGACCAATGTATATGAAAGTGCGGAGTTGCTGAGCCATTGGGTCTTGGAAACCCACTTATCGATTTCTGTCAGGTATCCCTTGAGAATTTCGGGCGCGAATGTGCTGATGAAGGTCTTCGCGTAAGGTGTGTAGTCGGGGGAAGAGGATTTCGTGATCGTGGTTGGGTTGCCGTATCTGATAAATAGACGGTTCAGGTTGGCGTATGACCACTTCTTGCACTTCCACCAGTGGTTCATCTCCCGGTCCTCCTTCGAATCTCCCATGGAGCTTGCAGGGGGTGTCTTTGAGATAATGCGCAGGAACAGTGTGCACCAGTCCACAGTTGCCTGGTGGGTCTGTAGACACGGAGAAAGCTCAAACTAAATTCGCAAAGAGTCAGTATAAATGGCTTGGTCGCCCGCGTGCTGAAATCAGGGTAACCAACGTAGATCGCATGTTTGAAAGCCTTCACCACGAGTCGGAGCATCTCCGCAGCCTCCAAACTTTCCTCATCAACGAGCTTTGACCCGATGCTGAGCAGCTGGGGGAACGAGTGCTCCACGATTTTATCAAACTCCTCTCTCTTCTCGCCCGCCTTAAACCTGTACACCCGGCAGATTGCCAATAGACACTGCAAACCCGCATAGACCGTACTGGCGTCATTGGTGCCAAGGAGCTGCAGAGTGAGATCCAAAAATCCGGGCCACTGTTCAGGGAAATCGTTTTGGAGAATCTTCTGGAGGAGAGGAACCAGCTGATTGCGGACGTTGGGCGGTGTCGAGGCCAGGGCAGGAATAAGTCTCTCTCTGAAAGCGGGCTTCTCGGCTTCAGGAATAGGCGTACGCTGCGGGCTATCTTCGACGGGGGCCCATCCACGAGTAATACGGTTCTTCAAGTAAACACCAGCTGCAAGGAGAAGAAGCGGGGTCAGCGAAGAGAACTTTTTGACCGTCCAATCTAGACGTCCAAAAACTTACCAGAGAGCTGAACTGCGTTGTTCTGCTCGCCCTGCAGGATGTCCAAAAGTCCATTGATAAATCCGGGTTGTGTCTCAGCCTAGATGTAGAACCACGTGTGAGCCTAACGTCGCCCCGCCAGTTGATCCAGAACCCATCACATACATATTTCAAATCAAGCTCTGCTTGCCGGCGAATATCCGCATTCGCGTCTAGAGTAGACTGAATGCGGTCTCGAAGGGCTGTGACATCCATCGCGTAGCAATCCCCCAACACCTGAAAGACAAAAAAATCTCCAAATAAAATGAGAAGCTCGGAGGAGGCTCGGACCGGCGCCGATGAGGGAAGAGAAGGCCGGAGGGAAAAAGTAAATAACTAAATAGCTGGAAGGACGTGAATGCCCTAGAGAGATCGTGTGGATCTTGGAGAGAAGAGGAAGAAGGTGCTCTTCAAGAGGAGGGGGGATTTTTTTCGATTTTCCCGACTTTCGGGAGGCGGTCGCCCCGCAGCTAATCAGAGGCCGCACACACGCATTTTCTGATGGGCTCTTGTTTGCTCTATGACTATATTTATATACTGAATGCACTTTCATGGTCTTGGATCTTTCATGGCTTCGTTCTTAATTTACATATTTGCTGGGTACCTAGGTAGTTCTCAATGTGCGTGGAAGTTCATGTCGGCCCAATAACGGTACGGTACCATTTCCTGAGGATAGGGCATCCTCACATGTAAAGAGAAGCAGCGAAGATGACATCGCGCTTGATCAAATCCTGGGCTTGCTGCATCTTGGTGTAGAGGGTTGGGTCGCCAACCAGTTTAGCCGCGTTCTTCACTTCGCGACAAGTCTCGTCCAGTCGAGTGATCACCCGGACAATAGTACCTTCCATCACGTCGGTGAGGTCCGTGATGCGATTGAAAGACATACCCTTGGCCCACTCATAGACAACTTCAGCAAGCCCAAAGCGTGGCTTGCTAGCAAAGTCGTTGGAATCTTCACTGGACTGGATAACCTGGTGCAGGATTTGGAAATCATTCACCTTCTCGGCGATACGGATGATCTCTTTCTGGCCCTTCTCTAGGCGGGGGGTGAGAGTGGGGATACTCTCTGTCTTCTCCTGGAAGACAAATGCAGAGAGGAGTGCAACAATCTCCTCCGGTTCGTATTCGGCAAGGACGTTTTCGAGGACCAATTCGGTCAACACCAGCTCATCGGCGGAGTGGATCTCGCACGCCACCTTGCCCTTTAATTGCACACGAGATTGTTCGTCAACAAAACCGAGCTCTCTCAGCACTTGAATACGCTGCTCATAGTCCGGAAGTAGTTGAAGATTTTGGTCGGACATAAGTTGCTTCAGTTCCGAGATGTTTTCCTTAACTTGCCACTCGTCGTGTTGCATCTCGAACTAGCAGATATTAGCATGTGGTCTATATGAATATGAAGAAATACGCACGTGTTTCACGAAGTCAGGGCATTCCAGACAGTGGGATGTTTGGACAATCTGTGCCTGAGCTCGTCGCTTGTCGAGGACATCGCGAACCTCCATCTCTTTGATACGTTGCCAGTCAATCTCGTCCCACGCAGTATCAATCCAAGAGTTGGTGTACTGATGCAGTTCCTTTTCTGCCCAATAAACAGCCTCTGTTTTTGGAGTTAGTCCTCTTTGCTGCCATATACGGGTAAAATAAAATCATAGCTGCTCGTACCTCTTTTGATGTTCAAGTACCATAGAGGTTTGCCGGACTTAACCTGGGTGTTCGTCACACATTCGACATCGGATAGTGGGACTTTGACTACTCGGAGGCTCATTTCATCAACGCGATTTGGAAGAGATTGGAGGTATGGTCGGAGATTAGGCAAGAAAGGAAGAATGTCAGTGGGATGCCGCTTGCTGCTCAAAGTTCCGATCTCGAGTACTTGAAGGCATGGTGCGGCTCCAACCACTCCGGCAGAAACACCGTCGCGGACAATAACACCAGCAGTACGGAGTCCATCCTGTATCTCATGTTAGCACCTTAGCTCACATGAATCATTGGAGCAAAGCATGTGAACCCACCTTCCGGTAAACAACTACTCTCCTCATCGTGAGAAGACGTTTGCCGACAGGTGATGCCAGCAATTCGTTATGGAACTGAGCTGTGAGCTTTTGATATTCCATTGCGGCGTCGTGGCAGGCCTTCAAATCCCGGTCACAGGTTTCACATGGTTCCCGTTTGATTTTCGCAAGACTGGCCTCGGATATTTGAACTTGCTTCTCGTGTTCCGGTAAGAGAGCCTGTGTTGCATTTTCGCTGAAACTCCGCTTGATCATTTCTTCAATCTTCAAGGCTTCCACTCGCAGCAGGTTCAAGATCATATTGTACGTGAGTCGGAATTGGGACCTCAGCTTTGTCGGGTCGCCAAGAATCATCTGCTTCAACGCAGCAGCCGGCGGAGCCTCTTCCTTGCCACTGTTTGTCACAATAACGTACCCCACCGTGTCAAGACCTCTACGCCCAGCACGCCCCGCCATTTGCGTATATTCACCAGGTAAGAGATCACGGAAGCTTTTGCCATCGTGTTTGCGGAAACCAGAGAACACTACGGTTCGGGTGGGAAGGTTCAAACCCATTGCGAATGTTTCCGTGGCGAACAAAACCTTAACTAGAGACCTAGCGAAGAGAATCTCAACAACCTCCTTCATGATTGGCAGGAGACCGCCGTGGTGTACAGCGATACCCCTGCTTAACAGCTCACGAAGACGAAGAACCTGTGGGAGCGTGCGATCCTCGGGTTTCAGACGAGTCAGTGATTTCTCGATGAACATGTGAGTCAAGCTTTTCTCGCTAGCATTATTGAAATCTTGGTTTGACAGTGAATCTGCGTTCTCTTCACATCGCTTTTTAGAAAAGACGAAGACACATCCTGGCAACAAGTCTTCTTGGCGAAGATGCGAAACAAGATGGACCCAGGTGTTTCTGTCCTGAGCCGCGCTTGTGCGACCACCTCCACGACCTGTACGAGCGATGTTACCTGTTCCCCTATTGGATGGCTGTCCACGGCCCTGTCCTCGACCTCGTGAGGGAGCTCCTCCGCGCGGTGCGCCGCCACGACCGCCACCGCGACCACCACCACCTCGGGTATTCACTGGCTGACCTCGTCCGCGAGCTTGAGGACCTGAAGGAGCTTTAGCTTGCGCTGACTGCGCCAGCGCTTCGGCCTCCTTTTTAGCCTTGGCCTTATCTTTTCCGGAAAGAATATCGTCCGCTTCCTTCCAGCCACTTTCGAGGAATCTTTTATTGGAGTCGACAATCTTATGCTTGCTCTTTCCGGCCCAGAGATAGTGCTCCAGCGGAACAGGTCGCTTATGGGTCGAAATAACGTAGATGTCCTTCTTCTTCGTACGACCCACCCAGGATGCGAACTCACGGGTATTGGGCACAGTTGCAGAGAGAAGAATCAATGTAACATGCTCTGGGAGCATGATGATGACTTCTTCCCACACAACTCCTCGCTCAAGATCGTTCACATAATGCACTTCGTCGAAAATGACGAACTCGACGTCTCGGATGAGATCAGCACCTCGATACAGCATACTCCGCAGGATCTCAGTAGTCATAATGAGGCAGCTGGCTTCCGGGTTGATTTGAACATCACCGGTCAAAATACCGACGTCGTCAAACTCAGTTCTGAAATCACGGTACTTCTGGTTGCTCAGCGCTTTGATGGGAGACGTGTAAATCGCTTTCGTCATGTGTTTAGCAGCCAATGCAATTGCATACTCGGCCACAACGGTCTTGCCTGCCGATGTATGAGCCGCAACAAACACGGAATCGCCATTCTCAAGATGATAGACGGCCTCTTTTTGGAAAGTATCAAGCTCGAATGGCCACTCCCTGGCCATATCTGGAACTAGTTCATGGAAGTTCGGAATATCCTTATTAATGTCGACAACATGAGCCCATTCTCTGCCCTTTTGCTTGTGAACGCCGGCGAGCAACGGATTACGTGGTTCCAATGCTGGGAACTCGACCGGTAACAAAGCGTCAATGTCTTCTTCGTCTTCGTCGTCGCTGGCATCACGAGCTTCAGCGTCTATTCCCGTATCTATGTCCGCGGTCTCGGGTTGGTCCACTTTCAAGTTGCTTTCTTCTTGAAGAAGGGCGGATTCGACTTCTTGGGCAACCTCGGTGGCGTCTTTAGACTTGGGTTCATCGAACTCGATACCGCAATCAAAACCAGGTGGTGTTGTCAGAAGACCGCCCTCGGTGCCGAAGTTGATGATACGGTCAAGCCCAGATTGCTTCCCATTGCTCGACTGCTCAACGTCATGCGCATCGGCCTCCATTGCTGCCAGTGCCTCGATACCCTCCAAGCCCCCGGGGGCGAAAGGAAAGAAACCTGCAGCTCCTCTGACAAAGTCGGCACGGCCAGCAGGTCGGCGGAGGAGTGATGTGGAATTTTTGGCGGTTGCGCTTGCAGCAGGAACCGTGACTTCATGATAACCAGTAACGCGTCCTTCTAATCCTTCTCGCTTGAATCGAGTCACAGTGCGCGACTGGGTTGGGGCGTGTTCGAAAAGGTCCGTATAGTCTGTCGAAACATCCCATCGTCTGCCAAAGCTGTTAGAAGCTGCCCCGCACTCGAAACCGAGACACTCACTTTTGAAGAGAATTCAGCCATTTCGTGTTAAATTGGTCTGATGGGGTTAGAAACTCGGTTTCAAGCTCCGCCAGCAACTCTTCGGAGGTCTGACGAGCTCGCGTCCTAGTCTGTGAATTCTCGATCTTGCCATCCTCTTCGTCTGCTAGGCGCTGATCGAAAGCTGTTAAGCTGGATGGTTTGGCATCCAAGTCTAGCTTCTCCATTGGTGATTGAAGCGAGTCCGCCATGTTGTCGACCAGATCTGTGAGATTCAACCAGTGAATGAGATTGTGTCAATGTTTGACTCGGCAATAGCCGAACCCCACACCGATATGTGAATCGATTCAAGTCCTGGCCGAAATTTGGCAGCAATTGTTCTTTGCTGTGAGAGGCAGAGGTTCAGAGGATGGAATCAAGATTAACGATAAGGTCAAAAAGAGGCTCTAAATGGATTTAAGGGAAGAGCATTACAGATTGTAAACCTCGCTGAAAGAACATTGGAGGCGGTATGATCTGGCAATAAATGACGTCGATAAGAGTGCCGCAAACACGGCTCGGATTAGCATATACCCGAGGCCGACGGAGTTATATGCTTTAGTCCAACAACATCAAGGTCCAGGTTGAACGAATTCTTTCCCGAATCCCGCTGGATGTTACTCCCAATACATGCCAAAGGTTTAAGCTCATAGGTCATAACTTGCAGATTGAATAAGAGCACTAGAAAATGTGCTGAACAAAAATGAGTGATACTTACACACACATCTACGTATGTAACTACATGTATGTAGGTAAACTACCTAGAATTTAGTATCTCTCGATGATCAAGAGACATAATCAGCAAAAATAAGGAAAATATGTAGTTAAACTTTTTGTACTTCAATCAATCATACAAGAAAGGTGGCTGTGACATAGAAAGGAAAATTGAACAGGATATGTGATGATGTACGCCCCAAAGCGCCAGAATAGTATGCAGCGTGAAGAACAATTTGGCAACGAGGAAAATTCCGACTATTAGCACGAAAAGAACCGGTCTCAACTAGCGAGCCCCGGCAGTGCTTCTTTTTGCAAATTCTGAGCAGTAGACCAGCTTGTTCCGGAGTAGGTTCGCCGGCGCATCCTTGTTCGCAGGGGTTTCGGGTATTTGTAATACTTGCACGATCAGAAAGAGAATATCGAAAAGAGTAATTGGAGATGGAAAGTGGAACCTCATGAAATGAAAATAAAGAGAAAGCCCTGTAACGCCAGGCACGGGACTTCAACGGCAGGAGAAAATAGGGAATGTTTTGCGATCATGAATGTTGAGTTGGAATTCAAAAATCCCCTCCAATGTGGCAATGTACCTATAAACGTTAGTGCGGAGTTCCGTGCAGTGGCTAGTTTGTACACCCACAGTGTGCGTCCATCGGCGCCCCAGCCGACTCCAGCAGTGGAATCTGGCTCTTCGGCGCCTGGGCCATGCATTCCATTTCGCTCAGGCAAATCATTAATTATATTCCTGATCCAGCGGGGAGAGTGTGTCTGTTCAAAACCGAGAAGCTGTTGGCGATGTCGTTGTTCCCTTTCAAAAGAGCGGTTGTGTACCTCATTGGCAATCTGCCGTTGGCGCCGAAGCCGATCCGCCGCGACATTCGCACGAATTTCATATGTTGTGAGGCGTGAAGTGTCATATCTTCTTTCAGCCCCAGTTTGTGGCCGTTCGATGCGTCGAGGAATAGAGCTTGATCGCTGAGATCTGTGACTCAAGCTTTGAGCATCTATACTTGGATTAGAGGACCTCGTAGATTCCGTTGGAACGCCAGTTTCGTTGTTGACCGCCTCTGGATCGGCACCAGCCCGAGAGATGATTTCTGACACGAGAGATGGGAACTCTGAAGGCGAGGTAGAATAATTGAGGACGTTCGATTGGCGATCATTGGGAGAGGACCCCGCTTCTGAAGGTCGACTTCCTTGGGATAACACTACTGAGCTCTGACGTCTTGGATTGGATCCAGCGCGGCCCGAATGATTATCCCGAGGGACCTCAGAGGGATCATAGGAATGCAGGGGTGAAGTAGGACGATGAGCGCGAGTGGCACCATCTGTGGAACCAGGGTGCCGTGGACGAACCGCTGGTTGCGAGTGAATGTTTGCTCTAACCGGGCGTTCTGGCCGTTCAGAGAGCCCTTCTTCCAGCCGCGACGTCCAGCGTGCTGTGTTCAAAAATTCCATGATCAATCTTTCCCTCTCGGTAAGATCTTGGATTAAAGACTCTCGCAGAGACGAACGCTCCGCTTCTTCTCCATTTCGCTCATCCGGTAGGTCTTCCTGGTCAGGTCTTAATCGTGGTGCCGCGTCCAGAAGATCATCATCCAGGACTTGTCGTTCGAGATTCTCTGGCGAGAATTCCGTGTATACTTCCTGCAGTTTTGGATCATTGGAGTCCAAGTGAACAATCTGCCTGCGCATGAATTGTTGGCGAACGTCTGCAACACCGGCTCTACCGTGACCCTCCAACCACACCAGCAGGTCCCATGGCTCGGGAGAAAAGGCCATGCAACGGACAGCACCACCCTCGGCGCATGATCTCGAAGCCGGAAATTGACAAAGAATAGGGGAGTTGTCTTCGGAGTCGCCAAAGCTCTTCTTGATGGACTCGACATCGATTATCGTAATGACTCCGGATTGCGATCCTATGGCACACAGGCGGCTGGATGGTGAGAAAGCAATAGTAAAGCAGCACGCATCATCCGCGCGCAGACCAATTTTCATCTCCAGGCGATTTACTAGCTCCCATTCCCATCCAGTAAGCTTTTCTCCAGATTCAATTGTACCAGCGGATTCCAAATCACGGGATATCTCATAAAAGTAGGCGTGGTTCTCATCACCTACTGCAGTGAGAAGTTTGGAGTCCGGAGAGATTGTCGCATAGTTCATGCAAGTCGAGTGATGGAGAACTTTGAGAACTTTCGCACGAGTCAGCGAATACACAGTGACAGTTCGATCATTGTTGCTAGTGATAGTGGTTAGCATAGTCAGCACAGGTCTATACTCCGACTAGCGCCAACCTCAAAACCGCGATGTCTTCATCCGCAAGATCCTCGCTACCCCCATAGAAACGATGAATCGCCACTGAATTGACTATGCTACCACCAAACCTGTGGAGCTCTACTTCAGGGGATGATATGCTGCTGCGATAGCGTGTTGACTCAGTCTCACTATTGAAATCGCCTCGTGAAGTCATCAGCGAGGGTGGGTCGAGATCAAGCGGGAGAGCACTATCCACATCGTTCTGGAACGAGGACATATCGCTATGAGCTTGCATTCCGCGGTCACCAATCTGAATAAAAGCGCATTCGCCATTTTCCGGGCCCCCGACTGCGATCCAACCATATCCAGCGGCTAGACAGCGCGGCTCAAATGGGATCACCGCTATGCTCTCGCGCTTTTGCGCTGATATGTGAATTGCATACACAATTCTCTCGACCACGACATAAATGCGATCGTTATCAGCAGTGCTGATATAGTTGCGAAGCTGTGTGTGGCTAGAATGAAACTTGGTTAGGCCGCGTTCCAAAGATAAAGATAGTGGGTTGATCAACGCACAAGTTGGGGATCTTGAACGGGAAGAAACGTCGCTTGGTTGGGAGGATGAGAGCCTCGGTCGGGCGATGTCTAAAGTAGCAATTCACGTTAGAGATCCAGCGCAGTTGATAGTAGAAATACACTTACAGCAAAGTTGAATCCGAGGTCATGGTTGGGAGAGCTAGGCCAGAGATGACATTGTTCGAGCGGGGAAGTTTGAGTCAGGAGAAACGGGCCCCATCCAGTATGACCGTCAACTAGCAGTGTTAATGCAAAGACCGAGATCACTGTTGAATCAACTGCAATGAGATTCCACTGAAGAACAGTCTGTGCTTTGCAGTTCAAAGTCGAATGGCGCTTTCAGAGCGGATGACGTAAGACTTGGGACTGGGACAAAAAGCCGGGGAACTGTGAGTTCCAACGAATGCGGTTTGCCTGTGACCCCGGAACCGGCCAATCTTAAGATTCATGATGATGCATTACACTGGGATTGTTGATCGATGCAATCTTGGTTGCATATTGATCTTTATTTCCGCTATGTCTATTTTGATGATTATCGGGGTGGTATGCTTTGTGGCAGTTGACGATATATCATCCCGTTGGTACTCAACCTCCCCCAGGTTCAACGATCTGGAGCAGGCGCAGCACCCCACTGGAACACATGAGTTGTCATTGCCCATCTAGATCTAGGCGGATTCTGGCTCTGTTCCCAATTGTGTCTCAGGTGCAGCTAAATCACAGGCAAAGGGGGAGTTTGCCGACCAGGTCACACGACATGTTCAGAGTATGACTGGTTCACCCACGGAAGATACAGACTTGTCGCAATTACTACGAGAAGCGATACTTATTGCGACAGATGCTACAGTATTGGATCGTAGTCATCAGAAGAGTCAGAATTCAATATAAGAGAACGCTCGGCGGTTAGCGCCTAAACCTGGAGCTAGTGACGTGTGTTATGGCGGAATGATATGCCATTGAGCTTCCATCCGGATATAGGAACCAAGCCACAGTCAAGCATAGCGCTCGCAATATTGCATGAGACATGAGCCTTCTTTCTACCTTATCTGGACTATGTACCAATGTGCCGCTCGACCTAGACTCGCCTTGTATACCGCCGTAAACAACCGCATGTACGGCACCGAGAAGGCGGTGAGCTCGGTTACCAGGGAGGCGTCGACGACAACCGCCTCGCTGATTGGCCAGATCCCGTGATTCTACCAAGTTCGACGGGCCGAAGCTCTCCGTGCAATTTCTAATTCCCTTTCCCCTTCTTTTTGATTCCATCTCTCCATCTCCATCTCTTCCTCCCTTCTTCTACCCTTTATTACTCTACGATTGAGTCGTTGGAGTCTTCCTTTTTCTCTTTCTCTTATTAATTAATATCCCTTCACAATGCTTCCTCGCACAATTACCCGCGCAGTAAGCTTGCCCTTTCCCCGAGGAAGATACTATGCGTCGCACGACACTGACTCTGTACATCATAGCTTCCGCGCAATGCTTTCGCTCGCACCCCTGCCTCCAGACTCCCTGCCTCATTCCGGAGATGGAACTCGACAGAGGGTGGTGAGGAGAAGGTGAAGGGCCAGGTCATCGGTATTGATCTTGGTAAGTTTTGGCGCGATCGAAATCAATTGTCACAAACGAGGTTTTAATCGAATTATAGGTACCACCAACTCCGCCGTCGCTGTCATGGAGGGCAAGTCCCCCAAGATCATTGAGAACGCCGAAGGTACGTGGCAAAAAAAAATCAACTTTTGCGGCCAAGTGGTCAGAGCTTCGGGCCTTGAATCCATCCGCCCATCAACCAAGCGCCCATTCGAATCAAGAAAACTAATCCAATTTTGCAATAGGTGCTCGCACTACTCCCTCCGTTGTTGGTTTCGCCCAGGATGGCGAGCGCTTGGTCGGTGTTGCCGCTAAGCGTCAGGCCGTTGTCAACCCCGAGAACACTCTGTTCGCTACCAAGCGTCTGATTGGTCGCAAGTACACCGATATCGAGGTCCAGCGTGACATCAAGGAGGTTCCCTACAAGATTGTCCAGCACACCAACGGTGACGCCTGGGTTGAGGCCCGCGGCCAAAAGTACTCCCCTTCGCAGGTTGGTGGCTTCGTCCTCACCAAGATGAAGGAGACCGCCGAGGCATACCTCAGCAAGCCCGTTAAGAACGCCGTCGTTACTGTCCCCGCGTACTTCAACGACTCTCAGCGTCAGGCTACCAAGGATGCTGGTCAGATTGCCGGCCTGAACGTCCTGCGTGTCGTCAACGAGCCTACCGCTGCCGCCCTTGCCTACGGTATGGAGAAGGAGGCCGACCGTGTCGTCGCCGTCTACGATCTCGGTGGTGGTACCTTCGATATCTCCGTTCTGGAGATCCAGAAGGGGTGTGTTCGAGGTCAAGTCCACCAACGGTGATACTCACCTTGGTGGTGAGGATTTCGATATCCACCTTGTCCGCAACATTGTTGGCGAGTTCAAGAAGGAGACCGGTGTTGACCTCACCGGTGACCGCATGGCCATCCAGCGTATCCGTGAGGCCGCCGAGAAGGCCAAGATCGAGCTGTCCTCTTCCCTCCAGACTGAGATCAGGTAAGAATTGACCAACGAAAGCATCTTTCATGATAATTACTAATCACTCGTCCGTACAGCCTTCCCTTCATCACTGCTGGCGCCAGCGGAGCTCTTCACATCACCCAGAAGATGACCCGTGCTCAGCTCGAGGCCCTCGTTGACCCCCTCATCAGCCGCACCGTTGAGCCCGTCCGCAAGGCCCTGAAGGATGCCAACCTCCAGTCCGGCGACATCCAGGACATCATCCTGGTTGGTGGTATGACCCGTATGCCCAAGGTCACCGAGTCCGTTAAGGGCATCTTCGGCCGTGAGCCCTCCAAGTCCGTCAACCCCGATGAGGCCGTCGCCATCGGTGCCGCCATCCAGGGTGCCGTCCTCGCCGGTGAGGTCACTGACGTTCTGCTCCTCGATGTCACTCCCCTTTCCCTCGGTATCGAGACCCTCGGCGGTGTCTTCACCCGTTTGATCAACCGCAACACCACCATCCCCACCAAGAAGTCCCAGACTTTCTCCACCGCTGCTGACATGCAGACCGCTGTCGAGATCAAGGTCTACCAGGGTGAGCGTGAGCTCGTCCGTGACAACAAGATGCTGGGTAACTTCCAGCTTGTTGGCATCCCCCTGCCCACCGTGGTGTTCCCCAGATTGAGGTCACCTTCGACATTGACGCTGACTCCATTGTCCACGTCAACGCCAAGGATAAGTCCACCAACAAGGACCAGTCCATCACCATTGCCTCCGGCTCCGGTCTTTCCGATGCTGAGATCCAGTCCATGGTTGAGGATTCCGAGAAGTACGCTGAGGCTGATAAGGAGCGCAAGGCCGCCATCGAGGCTGCCAACCGCGCTGACAGCGTCCTGAACGATACCGAGAAGGCCCTCAAGGACTTCGAGGACCGTCTCGACAAGGCCGAGGCCGAGACCATCAAGGAGAAGATCGCCACTCTCCGTGAGTTCGTTGTCAAGAGCCAGTCTGGCGAGAGCGCCACCACTGCCGAGGAGCTCAAGGAGAAGACCGATGAGCTCCAGACTGCCAGCTTGACCCTCTTCGATAAGATGCACAAGGCCAACAACGAGCAGCAGCAGCAGCAGCAGCAGCAGGGTGGTGAGCAGCAGGGTGAGAACAAGCAGTAAATGCTTTTCCCCTAACTGCCACACCTGAACCATCACTGGTTCCTGTATTTTTCTATCTATTCCCTTTTCCCCTGTGTCAAGAGATTCTGATTTGAGCATCTCTTATGTCTTTTTTACGCATTTACCTGTACACATATCTCCAATGGCTTTTTTTTTTCCTTTTGCGTTTTTCGGTGTATCGGTGTTTGACTACCACCCATGTATGATCTATTATTTTCTCTTTTGCCCTTGTGCCACTGTTCAGGTCAATCGCCTGTCAGTTGTCATGCCGGGATTGTCTGCAATTGTATCTAATGACATTACGGCAGGGGGGCCACAAAAAAAGGATGTGGTAGGCTTTGGCTTTTGTGAGCATGTGACAATAGAAATCGGACAATTCTCCTCTCGCTTCATCATTTTCCCAAATTCTCGTTGTAATACCCAACTGTAGGAACGTCAGCACAATCTCAGCCAACGCGCATGTGTACATGTACATCTCACCTGGCACGAGCAATTGGGAACATTTGCTGTCTCCCGGATGCAGCTCTTATCCCTTCCGGCCTATCAGCTGCACACTCCGACGACAGGCCAACCCAGACCCCTGAGCACACACCCAGGCCAACAACACATTGCTCGAAGCTCATTGCAATATGATATGCTTTTCGTACTCTGCATGTAAGCCATTTCCACAGACTCTGCATCTTCCATGGCGATGATAAATCGCCACCGGCAACCAATGACAGCAACACTAAACAGGCGGACTTGGGATCACATCCCGGGAGGCAGTGATGGTCAGCGGGTATTGTCTAGACTTTTTGAAACGCCATTGACATCAATCATGCTATTGGACTGAGAGCATTATGCCCACCGTAAAGTCAAAAGATCTGGAGCGATGACAACGATGATAGGCCAGAAGCCCCCATGGCGCACGGATTCTTATTCTTAGTTCCGCCAGAGCACACGTTGAGCCAGTCAGCTGAAACCGTCGAGCTTTCAATTGCAATCGAATTAATTTAATTCTGGCGTCTGCGCCTCCACTTGGCTACCCTCGAACAAGGGTTTTACTGCAGTTGAGTTGGACCAATCGTCTCTATAGTCTCGATATCCTTGCAGCACTAGATGCCAGTCCGGCTAGATCATTCCCGCTAGCAATTGATAGGCTTTCGGTCGAGAGGGGCTGGAATTATAGAAAGGTATGTACGGAGTATATGGGAAGGGGATGAAGAAGCTAGGTACGCCGTAAGAAAGTTTCTTTTTTTTCTTATTTCCTATTAGTCCCCTGTGGCTAACTTCCACAATGCTTCATCTTTGCTATTCATACAACATGGGTTGCATCCTTCATATGAAGGGGTGGGGGGGAATCCAGATTCGGCCCTACATTGAAACAAGGCGAGAAAAGCAACGTCTCTTACGTTGTAGGCCAATCTGGACTCGAGGCGCTGAGTGACAGAACGAAGCAATCGCGCAGGCTTCCCTGCAGCGGTGCGGTCAAGCAGCAAATCATCGTTGTACACACCAGTCGGGCTGCCACAGTGGGTCTGTTGCAATGACGATGTTGGTGAATAATGATTTTCTAACATCACGACCAAGGGTTTGGAGGGGCTCAATGCAAAACATCCGAACTAGACAGGGGTGCTAGGGCCGCTATGCTCCAACCAAGTGTATATGCTCTAGATTGTACCGCTACCTTCGCATCGATCAACGTCTGAAAGTGCAAGATGACTCTTAAATTAAATCCCGGTCCAACTAAGAAAATTTTCCAACGCCCACATAGCTTCTCCCTCGCCCATTCGTCGATCACTTCTTGTGTGAGACCATCCGCCTTAGCGTGCCCCTAGTACGTATGATTATTTCCATTTCCCCACTTTGTGGACATGGTCCTTGTTTTTTTCCCTTCTTTTTGCCTTGGTGCTTGTTGACAATGCCCTGGCTGTTGCTACAGACCCATCTCACAGAGTCAATACGGAGTATGGCAGTCACTTGAGCAGAAAAACTGGAGCCCCCGAGCGCCTGGCCCGATGTACGGAGTATAGTTCAATGTAACTAAAATTGTGGACTGTCCTGTTTCCTGCTTTGGAATCCCAGCGCGTTGGGAACTCCATACATAGCTAGAACGTACTTACGGAGTCCAACCTACTCCGTACACGGTAGCTGTTTGTACGGAGGATTTGTCCTCTTGTACGGAGTACAACTCCACTGTCCGGACCTGCTGAGAGACACTGGAAACCCTAATACCCTAATCCGAGCTCCAAGTCCAGACAGGGGGAAGATACATAAGAAAAAACAAATAAATGGCTGCCACCAGACAATAATGTGCGGAGAGCCGACGTTGTACTCCGTTGAATGGGATTGTACTCCGTAGGTACCCCGTAGTGGGAACCGATGCAGTGCGATTCTTCCCGCTTCTACGACGACCATGGAACTTCTCAGGAACAAGTCTGCGTTACATAATTGATCTCCATGAGCGCAGTCAGGGCTTGGCAATAATGGGGGTAGATCTATTGCTTGTCATTGGACCGTTCATCCCGGAATTCAGTACCTAGGTAGCTTCAAGCTTGGAAGATTCCATCGAAGCTCTGATTCGAGGCTTGGACTAGGGACGTTTTCATTTGATTCTCATGAATTGATCCCGATTCATCAAATCAGACCTCCTTCTCCGGGGAAGCTTATAGGCATATTCCTTTTTTGGTTCCAATTCTAGTCAGCTCGGGCCAATGACGCTCATGGGTGACTGCAGTCCGGCTTTTTAGACTCGTCATGTTTCCCCCCTGAAGGATGTCAAGTGACTTGGGTCCAATTTTGTTGTTGCCGATCATTGGTCCGGTAGATTGGGCTCCATTCTGATCCAAGGGAAATGGATTCAAACGGAAACAAACCCTCGGGGCCGGGGATTCTGATTCGATCCCGACGCTAGCGCCGAGCCAATTCCATGGATGAGGTGTTGTCTGTCCACTGGGCAGTTAGAGCCACTTTAGGAAATTAAAAAACAGTCTACAATGGATCTTGGGAGGTACGGAGTACTCCGTACTATGTATGTACTACATTGTTTATTTATGCCCTTGGAACTTACTATGAAACATCTATTCAATATCCGGGTCAATAATCGCTACACCGTACTCCGGACCATCTATCGAGATTCAGTCCACGATCAATCACAATCGAGATCCCCTGAGACGATCCCCTTACGCCGTTACGGGAATTTTCAAGATAACGGGGGTGCAGAAGGGTCACGCTAGTGGAAGTCGGTTCTTCTTTTCTATTATTATATTTAATTCGATTTATTTGATGGTTCTTTTGGGTTAGAATTTTTTATTCATTTTCATCTTTTTTTTTTTTTCCCACTGGATTTCATTTTTTGGGTTTTATTATAGAATTATAGAATATAGTTAGCTCTGTGAATGTCAATCCTTTCCAGACCGTCGACCCATAGATCGGAGATGGGTCTGCCCTTTCGATCCTGGTCTCGTCCGGTTTTCTTTTTTTGTTCCTTTTTTGACTTCTTCCTCTCTCGTCTTCAGCTTTGGGTGCAGCATTCCAAACTGTATCACTACCACTTCAATCCATAATGACAACTGCACCACCGGTGCATCACCCTGTCCCCGACAGTGGTATACCCGGCCATCTTGTTAATCATATTCCTCGTTATCACCCCATTGCCATGAATCCCAATCCGCCTCACCAAATGCCACCCCCAGAGCAGATGGTGCAAAGCCACCATTTCCGTCACTTTGCACCGCCTATGCATGAGCATCACCCCCCACCTGGAGTACCGTCTGTACACAATGCGGCTGCCGCTACTCTGGAACATATTGAAGCCCGTCTCCGGCATCTAGAGCATGAGGAAATGTCCCGGAATGCTACTCGCAGTCGGATCCTGGCAATGCGCAAACATGAAGATGAGGAGTTTCGGTCAATGACAGAGCGGGCTGAGGCAGAGGAAGAGGTAAATCGAATAGACATCGATCGTGAAAAGGGAGGGGAATGCTAAACTTATTCTGACAGGATCTCCGAAGGCAACGCAAGAAGTTAAAGAGAGAATCCATGGGGTTAGGGCTGAATGCTGCGGCCGACTCGCCGCCTCTGCGGCCTACACCACCTCGTCGTTTATCAGAGACCAGTGCAGCGACAACATTGGCTTTCTTCAAACAGCAAAGCCCCCCGAGCCTCGCCAAGCTCCCCTTCCACCTTCATCTCAGGCACCGCCGCCCTCCATGCCACCACCACCGCATATGCTCGCTCAACCTCATCATCAAGCTCCCCCTCCCCCGCCATCTCAGCACCAGCACCAAATGCTCCCCCATGAGTCATTACACAGTGCAGGTTCCATCCGCCGCAAGCAAAAATACACCATCAAAAATGTAGAGGCATGGGGCGAGCGCCACGGCCGGCCAGCAGCTCATGACCCGTCAGGACGGGCGTTGTGGAAGCGACCCTCCGACGCAAGTTTAGTATATCTGACTTGTCCCATCCACGGCTGCGGGAAATCCGACTTTGTCACCCTCCACGGCTTCATGTGCCACCTCACCAAGAAACACAAAGACCGCACTCTGGGCAGCCAGTCCCGCGCCCTCGAAGTCTGCGGTGTAGTCTACGACCCAAATGCCCCCCTCCCACCAGTCATGAACAACCACCGCGCCTCAACAGAAGGAAGCCCCCCGGACTCGATCCCCCTGGACAATGAAGACCCAAATGACGAGGACATGGACTCCGACTCCGAAGGCGAGGTCGAGCGCGAAAATGCCTATCGAGTCAAAACCGAGACCTTAGATCGGTTCATGCCCGATGCCGAGAGCACACCCTCTGAGACCGCCATGGCAACACCCCCCAAGCCCACCAATAAATCAACCAAGCAATCTATCTCCTCCATCATCGACCGCACGCCAGAAACCGAACCCAGAGAGGCGCTGGCACCCCTACCACCCTCCGAACCTGCTTCCCAGGGACCGTCGCCCACACCCACAGAGTCGTCAGTGCCATCAAAACGCAAGTACGAGTTCTCGCCAGCAGCAGCGGAAAAAGAAAACGCACAGCCTTGAAAAGGTGTCCCATGCGGATTAATGTTTATTATCGTTTTAACTGTCGATCTCCGCCGGCACTACATATACATACACCCACATAATTCCTTCTTTCTTGAGCGTCTACGGCTGTCAAAGTTCTTCGATATGATAATCAATTGCATCATGTTACTCCATTCTTTCCTTTGCTGTATCTGGGTTTTGGCATGCTGTGTCCTCTTCTAGATACCCATTATCCCTTTTTCTTACCTGGGTGGTCCTGGTGTCTTCCTCTTCATTCGATCCTTGCGGCTAGATGCTGCACTTTATTGTTATAAAACAGAATGCCTTGTCCATAGCTAACTGCATATTGAGAATACCGGAACAGTAACATCATAGGTGTTTATAGCGAATGCATCTTTATATTGATTCTAATATCGCATGTCCACTCTCAACCTCGCTATGTACAGTAACCGAATGGTATGTCCGTGGAATTCCTCTTGGAATTCCAGCTGTCTATATGAATCCACCCACAACCCATCCTCCATACCTGTCTATCACCAACTGTATGTTCTATTCCCCTTTCACCAGTAACAAATGCACCAAATATCCAGAACCGCTTCCCAGTCCCTCCCCCAGCACTTCATCACTCACCCTCCAAACCCGAAACTCCCGCATCGTATCCCTCAACCAAGTCTCAAACACATCCGGCGACCGCTGTTGCTGCGCAATGATACATACCGTCGGTCTACGGCTCGAACAAAACCCCTCAGAATCAGACGTATAAACGGGCCGCAACCGAGAAATCTCAGCACAAGTCCGCACGAACGGCGCCACGAGTGCTTCATTGTAGATACAGTCGCAGGATAGAAGGAGGTCGAAGCCTTTATCTTCTTCTTCTTCTGCGTCTGCCTGACCACGAGTCCCAGCCTCGTCATCCACACACTCCTTCAGGGAAGCGGCTTGGTCGGTCTCCCAGTCCAGAGTTGTGAAGGAGATATTATCCCCGGTCTTGGGAATGGCCGTTGGCTTTGATTTAGATTTTGATCCCTTGCCTTTGGCTTTTGATTTGCTGCTAGAGTTTGCAGAGGAGGCATTGGCGTCAAGGTTCGTTCGGAATAGCTTGCGCACGTATTCTTGGTCTGTGGCTATGTAGTTGCGCACAGAGGGCGCCAGGACCAGCGCGACTAGCGCTGAAATCCCTGTGCCGAGCTCTACGACTGAGGAGGTCTGGTCAAGGAGGCTGTGTGTCCAGAGAGGGTTTGCTGGGTTGGTTATCCATCCTGCAAAGAGGGGGGTGATTTTCCACAGAACTAAGTTTGTTGAGTTAGTACGAGGGTCCTTGTGAATAGGTACTCGTGATGCGATATAGCGAGGGATGGGCAGTTGATAATAACGCGAGTGATAGTTAGTGCTTATGGGGGTGGAGAGTCCGGGGAGAGGGAAGGCAGAGCCAAGCTATCCTCGGTATGGATACATATGAAATAGCCAAGAGATAGGAGAACAGGTGATGGGTGGAAACTCGTATTTGGGGAAAAGTATCAGAGAGCAAAAGGACAAACACAACAAGAAAAGACGGGAACAATGCAAGGATTCCGTCCAAATGAGAGACATTTGCCCCGACAGCCGAGGCACGAATTGAGGACTGTTCGACGCTTCGTCCCTCGGGCGTGGTCTGGGCGCTTCGGGGTCGGATAAAAAGCTACATGCGGGGCAAAGTCCGTGCTTGGGTTTCTGGGAATTCCGAACGGGCAAATCACAGAGGAACTGGAACTGTGTAGATCATGCGAGCTCTCGTCCCTGGTGCATGATATACGTACCGGCGCCTGTTGTCCCCCCAGCTCGATGGGAGGAAAGTAATGATGGGGATTGATGGATGGTGTATTCGTGGCCATTGACTGGGATCTCTACGGATGGTGCACGAGGATTGATCATTCCTAGATTGTTGGTTGGGATGTCTTGGGCAAACAGCAGAAAGGACTCTATATCGAGTCAGTGGCGATACTTTGACATCGTGTTCGGGTCTCGTACCCTCATCCACGTCGGTGACTTCTTCGCCAATGGTAGCGAGGAACTCGGTGATCTGGTTCATGACTTCGTAACAGGCCGTTCCCATTGGATCTCTGGTGGACTTGGGGATCGTTGGGGACAGGCGGCGTTTTTTTTCTTTCTGATCTACGGGATCACGGGACCACTGTAAAAAGAACAGATAGTGTTTTCTACCTACTTAGGTAGCATGGCATATAGGACGGTATCATATGGCTCTGAATATGCTCTCCTCCGTATATCTCTGGTGATTTGATCCAGCGCATCAGTCGCCTAGCACAACTGTTGGGACCCAACAGAACGGAAAACGGGAAACTGATCAGCTCCGGGTAAACAGCTAGCTTGCGAGCAGTGCATTTCATACAGAGCACGAGTACCCCGGGACTATCGGTGATTGCAGTCAAGAAGCAGGTCAAGGCTTTTTAATTAAACCGACTCAGAAAATTAAATTAAGAGCCAAGGCCGTAATTTGTACGCAGTACGGAGTAGAAGAGTCGAGCGCAAAAACCCCCAACCTTGGACAAAGGGCTTCCCCCTTCCAGGTGCGTCATCTGCCGAACCCCAGCCACATCTCCGACTCCAGCTCCTTCTCCTCTTTTCTCCTCTGCGTGGATCAGATCGTATACAATCCCCCATTAATTCACTCGACAGGTAAGCTTGTCCTGTCGCAGATCTTTTGCTATTCCTGCACTAGCTAACCTCCCCTCGAGCAGAGGAACTTTTCTTCGACTACGGAGTACCCGTCCGAAGAGTCTCTCCGTCGATCCCCGACACCTTCTGTATTTCATTTGAGCGAGTCATACCGTCAAAATGTCCGTACAGAAAATCAACCTCCAGCCGCGCATGTCCAAGAAGGGTCCCTTCACGGTCGAGGTGCCTGGCTATGAACCCGTCCCTGGTGAGACAATCCCCCGCCGGCACCCCCTGGCCAAGAACGGCCTTGTTACGCGCATCTCCGACGATGTCTCTACCACCTACGAGAACTTCCGCCGATCCGCTCGTCTTTTTGGCAACGGCAAAGCTGTCGGCAGTCGCCGGCTGATCAAGACCCATGTGGAGACCAAGAAGGTTAAGAAGATTGTGGATGGTGTCGAGAAGGAGGTTGACAAGCAGTGGACCTACTTTGAAATGAGTGGGTATACCTACAAGACCTTCCTCGAGTACGAGAAGCTCTGCCTGGAGCTTGGTTGCGGTCTCCGCAAGCTTGGCTTCGAGAAGAACGGCAAAATCCACCTCTATGGCGCAACGAGGTAGGTGACACACTGCGCCTTTGAGTAAAGGCAAAATAAGCTAATTGACTTGATTCACTGGAATAGCGCACACTGGCTGTCAATGTCGCACGGTTCGTACACCCTGATTTCCTAAATTGGCTGCCAGCGCGCTCGCTAACCAACTACTACAGCTGCCTCCTCTCAGTCCGTGACCATCGTGACCGCATACGATACTCTGGGCGAGGATGGTCTCCAGCACTCCCTTGTCCAAACTGGCAGCACTGCTATCTTCCTCGATCCCGGCCTGTTGAAGTCGCTGATCAACATTCTCCGGAACGTACCCTCACTGAAGCATATCATTTACAACACCGATACGGAGGTTGACCAGAAGCTTCTTGATCAGTTGCACAGCGAGTTTATCCACATCAACGTGATGAGCATCGAGGACTTGCGCAAGCAGGGCGAGGAGAACCCCGTGGAGCCTGTTCCCCCCAAGCCAGAGGACCTGTGCTGCATCATGTACACCTCGGGCTCAACAGGCACACCGAAGGGTGTGCCGTTGACTCACGCCAACGTTATCGCTGCTAGTAAGTCGAGAAAGAACATCTGGAGTTGCAGCCAATCAAGCTAATCTCTCACCATAGCCGCTGGTGTCAACACTGTCATCGGTCCCTGTATCAACCACACGGACTCCCTCCTGACCTACCTTCCTCAATCCCACATTCTGGAATTCATGTTTGAGAACATGTGTCTATTCTGGGGTGGCACCATGGGATACGGTAATCCTCGCACATTGTCCGATGCTTCGATGCGGAACTGCCTGGGCGATATCAAGGAGTTCAAGCCTACCATTCTGGTGGGCGTTCCGGCCGTATGGGAGTCGGTGAAGAAGGGTGTTTTGGCCAACCTGAACAAGAACAGTTTCCTGATCAAGGGCATGTTCTGGGGTGCCCTGTCGGCTAAGAATTTCCTGATGAGCACTGGAATTCCTGGCTCAAACCTGGGCACCTGGGTTTTGGACAACGTTGTCTTCAAAAAGCTGAAGGAGGCCACGGGAGGCAGACTCCGTATCTCCTTGAATGGCGGTGGTCCGATCTCCAAGGATACCCAAAAGTTCCTGTCGATGGCTATTTGCCCTATGATTGGTGGCTATGGTTTGACCGAGACCTCTGCTATGGGTGCTCTGAACGATCCATTGGCCTGGAACCCTAATGCTCTGGGTGACATCCCTGGCTGTATCGAGGTCAAGCTTGTTGACTTCGCCGACGCTGGATACCTGACCACAAACAAGCCTCCTCAGGGCGAGATTCTCATCCGCGGTGGTAGTGTAACCACAGGCTACTGGGATAACGAGGAGGAGACCAAGGCTTCCATTACCGAGGATGGCTGGTTTAAGACTGGTGATATCGGCGAGTTCGATCGCAACGGCCACTTGAGCATCATTGACCGCAAGAAGAACTTGGTCAAGACCCTGAACGGTGAATACATTGCCCTGGAGAAGCTTGAGTCTATCTATCGCTCGTCTCCCGTGGTTGGCAACATCTGTGTCTACGCCGCCCAGGACCAGGACAAGCCCATCGCTGTCATTGTCCCCGTCGAGGCGGCGTTGAAGAAGGTTGCTAGCGAAAATGGCATCCAGGGCGATACTCTCGGAACACTCGTTCACAATGACAAGCTCAACAGGATTATCTTGCAGCAACTGCAGACCGCTGGCCGTGCTGGTGGCTTGAGGGGCATTGAGATTATTAACGGTGTTGTACTGTCCGATGAGGAGTGGACCCCGCAAAACGTAAGTGGTTTCCCAGCTATTCGAAGTATGAGCTTTGCTAACAAAATATTAGGGTTTCATGACCGCTGCACAGAAGCTCCAGCGCAAGAAGATCCTCAATCACTATGAGACCGAGATCAACAAGGCCTACGGCAAGAAATAAAAGAAGTGCATTAAGCTCTTCCGTTAAACTTAATAGCTTATTTTTTTGCTTCTTTGCCGCCTCCATTATATCTGCTTGCGCTTTGAGACCCTCTCTGTTTTAGTTCTGATTCCATATTCTTTGCTCAATTTACGTTTACATTTTCCTCTCGGCTTTCGCTATGTGATATTATTTGATTCGAATGACATGTCTTCTACGTTTTGCCTCTTGCCTCTTGCCTCTTGCCTCTTGCCAGGATGTAGACGAGATTGTAATGAAGGTGGACATGGACTGAGCGACATTGCAAGTGATTTTGTTTTCTCTGTTCGATAATATTGCAAGACTATACCTAATTGAACCAAAGCTTCTCAATTATCACCCCTCTCTTTGTGCCAACCAAAGAGCTTTTCGATTCAAGAGGAGTGGTTGATATCTTTCCCTATTTGCGATGCGAAAGATGTCAAGATGGACACTGCCTTGCCTAGACATAGTTTTCTCAACCCTACTAATCCTATCTAGATGAAGAGAGTTCTTGCTAACTACTTTCCATAGTTCTGGAGTAAACCTGCTATATACACTGAAGTACTTGGCTAGCGCCTCTCCCCAAAGTACCTTGGTACCTCACTTATAAGCCACAGTTACACCATCCCCCAGCAATCCACAGGTACCGGGATTGTACATGTACCTGACAGGACCTAACGGCAGACAAAAAGACACCCGCTCGAACCCGTCGTACTTGTACAAACCGAAGTATATAGAGTTTGCTAGCCTCGGGTACCCAGTAATCCCGTGACCTCATTGAAGTAGATATATCCACGTGACATTCCCCATCCAACCGTGCCAGTCAAACACGACCTGTTGTACTTTCCCTGCAAGACCAGTACTCATTCATTTCCCAGTCCCAATGTCTCTCTGGAGGTACGTGACACAAACCCAGGCCGACCCAGCCCTGCACACACAACCCCCAGACCCCAATTGAGAAAAGTATGGAACGGAAGGAACTAACAAACTGCGCAGCTCCTACCGCGGCCTCACCCCCAAAACCCGGGCCCTGTTCGGCATCGGCGTCATGGCCTGGGCAGCCATCGGACTCTGGACCCAACCCCAGGTGGAGAACGCATTGGGCATGCAGCCCTCGAAGGAAGAGCAGGAAGCGCTGGATCGGAAGTTGGCGGTGCGCGTGTCGCGCGTTGGGGAGGAACCGGACAACCGGGCGAAATGAGCATTCAACAATCACAGACACGGGCTACTTCTGGGGCACCATGTGACCCCATGAGCCGATGGCCCTGGCTGGGGGTGCATGTTGCTTGTGTTTTCTTTTCTCGGATTGAGGTGATCTATGAAGTGGATGCAGTCCCTCACGGAATGTTGGGCTTGAATGCGACTGGTCAGGATATCGGAGAGAAAGAGAAAGAAAAAAAAAAGAAGGAGGGGGTCAGTCCCCGTTGAAGTTTACCGGGCTGGTATGGAAGGAAATCTTTCCCTGGACTTGAGTCTACCTCTGGCCACCTCCCCCAATCATTATTTTGCAAATATTGCGATTGCAATGCAATGCTGCAATGATCTGCGCCCCGTGCTCATCGTCTAAACATCCGTCCACATACAACCTGTCTATCCAACCGCAATGAATCGGGACCCCGGGGTTCAAAAGCGGACCCGGTTCGTCGGAGACTACTGAGAACTTGCTGTGTACATACACCGGAAAGCGGCCATAGCGACAACAACAAGTGTTTGTCTCGTCATCGGATTCCCGCCCAGAAAATAACAAACAAACAAGCAGTGGTCAGTGGCCAGTGGCTGAAACCCGTTTCTAAATTTCCGAGTGCTTGCCTGCGTGTGCACGTCCCCATCGGGAAGATCACCGGGTATGGCCTGATCGTTGTCTTCTCACCCTGTCGTTTCCCAGGCGTATGCCCACGCCTGTCTGTTTGGGCTGCAACGACCCCGGCTCCAACTGCCCTGTTCGCAGCGCAGGGAAGGAATGGCGTACCGCAGTCAACGGGCATATTCCCTGTCTAGTTTTTTCCCCTCCTCGCGCGGACGTTTTTCTTATTGTCTGGGGTTTGCCTGGCATTCCTGTGGCTCGGAAGAATTTCTGCGGCTGAGAGGGTTGATCTTTGCTTAGCCTAGCCCAGATCGCGACAAGCTAGTTCTTGTGCCGAGAAGCCAATTAAACCATGAGTTTAATTTCCGGCCTTTGGTCTTTTTCTCCGATTCGGAACGTGATGCGAGGGGCAGTCAGTCTGGTTACGGTTGGGTTCCGATTCTCTGTTTGGGATGTTGGGATATCCTCTGCCGATGGGTTTTGTGATCATGGGTTCTTTGCAATCTGTGGTTATGATGCCTCCTACTGTAGTCATCGCGAACGATTTTAATAAACTCTTGAAGAGTACATTTCCTGTAATGCGGAGCAATATATACCCTTAATCACGTCGCCGAAATAGTACATGGACCGCCTTGCGGAACTGGTACATTCTTAAAGATATCAAATCCGAAATGGGCCATAGCGACCTCATTGACAATTACTTGCCGGTCAATCAAGACGCCAATACTCCATGTACCTAGCTACATGTGGCTATAGTTTCGTCACTGTTTATCATGGCCTCTCTATTGTAGCACAAGAGACCCTTTACCCTTGATAGTTGAGAGTTGTGTCTCCAGGAGATCAATCTTGATCAATTGAACAATCGGGGAGACAAGGTAGAACTTTGGCCAGGCTGGCTCTTGACGTAGGGCATGGACTCTGTGACTACTATCTCTGGCTGATATTGAGGCGAATTCAGCTGCTACGAAGACAAAGCGTGCATCACAAAACCTACAAGGTGAATTGTGTAGATTACACTTGAGCAGGATAACATTAATTATATTTCTCTTTAGGCTTGAACTTAAGACACTTAGAAAGAAGTACTCTCGGTCTTATAAATATCGTTTTCGATGCTGCACAGGCACATTCAAGATCTTGGAGGCCATTAGGCAGGGCCAATCTTACTAGATGGTAATGGCTAATAAGATTTTAACATCTGGAATATATCTGAAATATGAATCAACGCTCAATCCCCAATGTCAAACATACCTAAATATGCCAGACATGGTTAACCATACAATGGGGTTAGGCACCTAGCTCACACAGCATTTAAAGACATGATTATAAAAGCCCCGAGAGTATTGTAGTTGAGCAGGCGCAGCTTGTCCTAGGATCATCGAAACCGGTGGTCAAAGCTAGATTCTGATGATGATAGCAGACATCAATTCCCCTCATTCTTACATGTAGGCAACAGGGAAAGACACAGCTGGACTAATCGGGCTAGATATCAAGATGTAAGAACACAGATTGTCTTCTGGGCGTCTTGGCCTGATGACGCAGAGATATGATCATTGTCGCACTGACAACCCTCGGCCCCGTTACTGGAGGCTTGTGCCTTGATAGTATATGACATAGGTCCCTTGTTAATCAGGCTTGGAGTTCAGCTTGTAACTACGCTTACCTCCGGGGAAGGGGTTACGTCATGAGTCATTCCCATCTGCCTTAGGTTGATCATGCTAGGCATGCTATTTACTCAGATTATCTAATTGTAAGATAAAATGGGGCTACAGGTTAGTTGGGAATGCGTAATTTATGCAACATTATGTAGGTAAGAGATAGTCCAAGATACAAGTAACCCCAAATTTAGACTTTCTAAGTTCATGATAGATGCATTGGGCATAGCTCCGGTACATTGAAAGGGTTTCCATTTCTAAATCGTCTATATTATCCTTTGGCTTTTGGGCATTATGTTCTAAGCGTTTACAGCTTCGATGATATGGGAAGGGAGGAGATCCAGAACAGCGGTCACAGAAACGTTCGTTGTCAGGACTAAACGGATAACTACGGTTATTTGGGGAGCTCTAGATCACATAGGAATAATCACCGACAGGATAGCGTGGCCATAGCTCTAAAAATGTGGCAGTTTTAGCTGCATAGCATGTATAGAAGTCGGGTCTAATATATTGCTGGTTTGCACTAATGATATTTACGGTACGTGTATGTACACGAAATCTACAATTTCGAAGTTCGAATTTCAGACCTTTTTTTCCCCTCAAAATGAAATAACGTTCTTCATTTCGTCATGTAGTCTCAGTGTTTCTTTATGGCTTGGCGGTCATAAGGGCTTGTCGGGCGTAAATCTAGGGCCGTGCGAACCCTCATGGGACTGTTCGCCAAGGTAGGGATGGTGGCAGTGTTCAATAATTACTGAGAGGGCTAGTATCAACCTACTATAGGACTGTAACTCTCGGAAGATTCTTCCAAGGCCTTGAGAGGCCAATGACCAGTCATCGTATAAACAGTGGGGAAAAGAGGCCAAGAGATCAAGTAAGACACGATCACAAGATAAGACAAAGGTGTCGATGGCAAAGTAAAAACCAAAGACAGATATAAAAAAGTTAGCGGGGAGCAGAAATACCGAAGGCGCCTAGGATTGTGCTTTTGCCTGACTTCCCTTGTACGACGTGCAGAAGTACCCAACCGGTTATAAGCAAATGAAACAGCCAATGAGCTTGGACCTTGCCCAAGAAATATTGGAGAGTCTTTCTTACCCTCGGAAAAAATCCAAAAAGATCTATGATATTTTTTAGTGCCATTCGTAGAACTGGCTGTTCGGTAGCAGGCTTGGGGATATATATCTCCGTAGAAACTTAACACGAGTTGAATTGCATCCAATAAATGAAGAAAGTGTTTCAGATGTTTCAGATGAAAGTCAAAAATAGTCTGGTCCTCACAATTTAACTCTCATCAGGACATATATCTCTCAACCTCTTGCCGGATACGGATTCTACTCCGGTCCCCCACAGGGGATGTTCTCGACAAGGATCAGAGTGTTCCAGACATCGGAATACGCCGAGATGCAGAAAGGCTTGGACAACACGAGGATCATTTCCTTATTTGCACTAACACATGAGCAGAGTAAATGGATCGGAGCTTGAGTCATAGATCTGTATAGAATGATATTCTAGTACCTTCCACACTGGAGATCGAGTCACCGATCACCCCAGAGACTGTTTTGTTTCACTCGATATAGGCAGATCGAAATCGATCGTGTGTCCTTGGTATATTCAAACAGGGCTAAGCTGATATGCAATGAAGCATCACCTGCACATGTGCCGTCGATCAGGATCTGCATAGAACGAATTCTTAATACACGAAATACCTCCAATCCATGTACGGTCTCCGTACTCCATACTTCCTCGACAATCTTCTTGTATCTTGAGGAAAAATCATCCATAGCAATCTCTGCTGCCTGGCCAGAAAGCCAAAAAAAAACAAGAATCACCAAAAATCTAGCCCCCAACTCTGCAAACAGACTGCTGCTGGACTCGCTGATTGGCTCTGACCTTCTCCAGCCTGCATCTTGCCGTATCTCTCGCAAAGGACAGTGCTCCGTTACTCACCTTGCGTCGTTTGGGTTTAAGACCGCGGAGCCTCCCTAAAAAAGCAAAAGCAGAACGTAAGAAAAAAAAAAAAAGCAATTCGAAAAAGTATACTCCGTAAAGGAAATGAGAATCCAAAGGTAAATCACGCCACACTAAGCCCTTTAATCTTGCATGGCCTTGAATGTACCAAATCCAATCATCGCCTCCACGTAACCCATGCTGACTTTGGAGGCATCAGTGGGCATAGTCATCAGATACGAAGAGTTAACTGCCCCGGAGAGACATCTGTCGTAAGTATCAGTATGTATCGGATGCAATTGGATCATTGCAGTAACAGGAAAAGAAAAACAGACAAACAAAAGATCGTCCTCAGGAGAATCACAAGGCAAAGAGGCAAAGGGAGGCAAGACCGCATAAACCCACCTCCATTGCCAACGGGACTGGGAGTCCTGCAAGAGATGGCGACCAGGACTAGGACCGCAGCAAATAACGGTTCCTGGCTATCGAACAGAGCAAATCGGGGAATTAGAATGTAAAACTGGACATGGGTGGATCGGGAGAGATTTTAATGTCAATATGATACAGCTCAGAATGTTTTGCTTCTCTATGACCTGTAAGGCTGGAGGTGGGAGGTAGCATAGTGTATCTTACAGAGTAAAATGTGGCTTCTAAGGTGAATTGACTATAACTACATGTATCTAATGAGCATGACGGCGTGCCTATAGACTATAACAATGACAATTTCACTATAGACATCGAGACTACTTTGATCTAGTTAAGCCCAGATCTTAATTCCCCAATAGGTTTCAAGCAATGAATAGGAGCACTTGTCATTTGCTCGTAAAGGCAGTCTTCAATGGCATTCTGTAGGTGTGCTTATCTTTCAAAGCCAGACACACATAATAGGAACGAGAAGGAAATCTCGAGAAATTGGAAAATAAATAGAATCACAATGAAATCAACCAAGGCCAAAAGGCCACTGGTCATAAAAAAAAAATAAGGAGAAAAGAATAACACAGCGAAGAAGAATGGTCTCATAATCCCCGCCCCTCCATCCCACGCCGTCCGGCACCAGTGCATAAATCCGTTCCATTGGGTCGTTTCAAGCAAAATAAAAGATAAAACACAAGAAGAAAAGGAGAAAAATCCAAGAAACCAGGGGGCAAATCACGAGCACAGTCTAAGTGCAAAGACTATGCGAACTCTGGATGGGATCGTAACGGCTATAATTTGTTGAGTAAACAGGGTCATATCCACCAGTACTAGCCTGGCGGTGTTGATGACCAGGAACCCCTGTGTAAAGCGTATCCTGATAATCTGATTTGAGGTAAGAATCACTCTTGATTGTATCCATGGGGTCCATAGTGTCAATCATGGAATATTCAAGACCGGAAGAGGAGGAAGAGGAAATGAGAGGGCTATCGCTGAGTGGGGAATGGTCGACGGTCATTTTCCGATGATCGGGTCTGCCGTAGGAAAGACTGCTTCGATGAGGCGTGTCGTACATGAGCATGTTTGAGCGGCCTGTTTGGCCTAATCCATGTGAGAGCACACCACAATTGCTATCGCCCCCTGCGCCATCCGGGCCCATGCTGCCGGTACTGCCACGGCGTCCGTCCTTGTAGTGGCCGGGTGAACGTCCGCGAACGACCAGGGGGTGGGAATGGCGACGGGCGATCTGAACCCACTGGGTTTCACCTGGAACCGAGCTAGCAATCTCAGCGTAGAGCTCAACGACCAGATTGTAATATTGTTGCTGGGCGCGGCGTTTGCCATTGTTGGCAGTCGCCTTCTGGAATTGGATGCGCTCGAAAACGTGGGACGTTGGTGGCTGGCAGGGCTGTGGTGTACCCGCAAAGGAGGAATTGTAATCCATGGATTGGGAGCCAAGAGAAAAACCTGAGATGTTTCCATTGACCGTCGAGTTTGTTGTGAATGACGGTGGGGGGGGAGGGCTGAAGAACGACACGACCTGGCTTACGCTCGGATTGCTTGTCTCGCTTTGGGGTGTGCTGGACAAGCTCTCGAGTCTCTCCGTATTGGGCATTCACGATGGCCGAAATGGCCATTGAAAACCCACGGATTGGCTCGAGGGTCTGATCAGGGTAGCGGATGTATAAAGGGGAAGTGGGAGGCCAAGGTTGAAGCCCAAAGCCGCAAGTCACTGCAAAGTAGTTGCGTCGATAGCAAGTCCATTTGCCTTCAGCTGGGAAGGGCCCTCGACCCATCTTTGCTTGAACTTCAGGCTTCACTGTCTGATATTGGCCACCAAACTCTGCAACAATCGTTTGAAGAATAGTCGTGTCGTCGAAAGGTGGAGCCTCAACCTGTGGCTGTGAGCGTTGTGAGGACTCCACTATTGGTTGCTGATACAAGTTATTTGGAGATCGATCCAGCCCGCTATCTAAAGCGCGAGGCGTGCCCGAATATCCATGGTTACGAGACATATCGCTCATTCCCCCCATGGGGAGTCCGAGATTTCCGATTCCGCGCTGTAATGCGTATGAACCATAGGCATTATTGCGTCCCATGAGAGCTGGAATGGAGTTCAAACCATGACCTGAGCTTTGCATGCCGGTTGGAATACCAGTTGGTGGCTGACTAGATGATTGAACAAAGATTAGCATCCAAGATTTTGTTCGCATTATAGCAGAGCAAAGCTTACAGTGCAGGCACTCGTTGATAGTCTGCCATTCTATCAAAGGAATGCTGAATCCGAGACATATGAGGGTAGAGCGGACCAGATGTGGATGAAAAGGAGTCTTTTACACCACAATGATCAGTCAAAGCTAGTCTCTTGAGGAGGAATGAGTATAAGAAAGAAGGCTTACCAGGACAAGAGTCAGGTGGAGTCATTGCAAGAGCATTCGAACCGGAATATCTAAAGCAAGGAAAGGCTCAGCAAAAGCAAATCACCATGAAATATCCACGTGCGATCGACTGGAATTAAAACGGCCCAGAAGATATCATATGAGTCCGGGCACAGCACGGAAACCATGATGCGTGAAAAGACAATCGAAACGGGCGCAAAAGAGGCAAGGACCTCAAGGCACGGCACGAGCTCAGATAAAAAGGATAAAACATCGGAAGAAAGACATGCAGGCAGCAGATCGGTATGGAAGGTAGAGAAACAGGCTGGACTGAAGTTCAAGCTGCCCGGACCCGGAGGAAGCGCAGCGACAAGGGGGTCGAGAGGCTGACCGAGTGGAGCGCAAGGGCAAGTCCAGATTGAAAGAGTAGAAATAACTTACTGTAAATCTTGCATCAGAGGCTGCTGTACGTGGTACCTCACGCCGTTGGTGTCAGGTATGGAGGCGAGACCTCCGACTCGCTGGCTGTTGTCGTCTTCGTCCGTTGCAAACCCTGTCACATGGGAGATATAGTCACCATCCGAAGTAACTGGATCACTCAATGAGAATGCTTCCGAGAGAAGTGCTAGGGGGTTCATAGGTTAGCAGACCGGGGAGATATAGGGAAATGAAAAAGAAAACCACGGAGCCCGATAATAGGGAAAAAAGGAAATCACGTCGAACCAACCGCATGATGGGAAGAACAGGGTATGGAAAAGAGAGAAGCTTACAGGGATTCATCCTGAGCGTGCTGATGCCAGGTGCCTCGAGGACCCTGAAGTTTGGTTAACTGAGGTAACACCGGCGAGACGCCCAAGCCGTCCGCTGGCTCTTGAGGTCTTAAGTGGCAAGAGATTCGATGTCTAGAACAGCAGAGTCAGGTAACCAGCTCGGAAGACGCTGCATTGTCAAATTCCCTCACAGTACTTGATTGATACCTCTGACGTGCGGATCCCTCAGAGATGCTAAGCTTATCACACAGGTTGGATATGATGGATATGACGGATATGACAGAACGTGCTTCACAGTGATTTTTGGATAGAAAATCTAGAAACAGAAAACAGAAAGTATTCCGGCGAAAAGCAGTTTGGAAAAAGGAAGGTAAACGGGTAAACGATATGGAATGGAGTGAATGGGGTGGAGTAGACGAGTGTGGGAGATCAAAAAGAGGAGAGTATCAACGGAGATAGAAGGAGTTTGCAGGTTATAAAGATGAGCATGAGGGTAATAGTACGTTCGAGCGAACGTCCTTTTGGAGAAGACGTTAGCAGGAGGAAGTAGATAGTGAAGACCCGGCCAAAGGGGTGCGTCACCGGTTAATTGACATGATTTCCTAATTGGGGGATTTCACGTTGCCTTCAGTATGTACAATACAGGGAAGAGCTGGGAATAGATCGGCCCAGAATCTATAACCTTGCAACTTAGGAGATCTCTTGAGGAGGGTATGAAGAAAGAGAATTGGGGCAAAGAAAGAGGACCTAAAACGATTAAAAAAAATTAATCAAATAACAATAATAGCAATCACAGCTAACGGAGGGGCGAAATTAAAAAAGGAAAAAGAGCCAAATTCCAAAATTCGCACCAAAAATACCCAAAAATACCAAAAAACAAATGAGCGCCAGAAGGGGAAAGGGAAAAGACTGATGTAATCTGGTGCGACTACGTGAACAAATAAGAAGCTCAAGTTCCGGCATCAATAGCTATCTTGCAGGTATTGGGGCCTCTCACTCTGCAACCCTAATTTTGGCGTTTGGAGAACCTGAGAACTGCCGAAGCCATATCAGACCAGGTATCATTCATTTGCTTTCTCTTGACAAGTTACAGGAAGTAGTATCTGGCCGTGGAAGAACAAGCAATAGTCCTGGGGTGATGGGAAATGGGGAGGTGCGCTCACCAACAGATCTAGTGCGTATATGTAGGCAATTGATCTTCACCCTCCCATCGTCCTCACAGAAAAAAAAGGCAAGTTGTTGGTATGCAATCGAACTCTGCTACTGAATGAAGATCACCATGATCTTGCGTTAAAGCTGTTTCGGCATTGTGCCCTGCTCCCTGCCTGGACATTCCACCCGGGTAAAGTTTCCACAGGGCTCACCAGTCATGATCTAGCCGAGAGAGGACCATGGCCATGAGTTGGGAACTGCCAGGGACAGCAAAAATACGCATCTCACCACACTGGCAATAGGTAGCAGTGGATTTGTGTAGGGGCCCAAGGTCCAACCATAATCGGCAAAGGAATTCCGGTGATTCTGGACGATCTGGACGAAATTATTAGAAATTACTTTTTCCTTGGGTTTTTGTTTTTTAATTTGACTCCCCTTGTCCTGGTCGTAAATGGTCTGGGTGCGTGGCTAATAGGAGGATATCAAATCATCGGCTCTGGCGCCAGAGGGTTTGATTGTTCAAGGAGCATGGCATTGGCCGGACCTCCCCCCCCCCCCCCCCCCCCAAATGTTGCGTGCTGGGAGCACCCGACGTCGGCTGCACAGACCGTGATGTTAAGTGGGTAACGGTACGCCGTACAGATGTAGTTCCCATTATCCCATTACTGATTCATGAAATTGGATATTATAGTGCGCATACCCGACAGGCGGGTTGCTGCAGGAGAGCGAAATAAGATGAAACTTGTAAGGATACAGAGTGGGGAGTAGAGAACAGGATCTACCCCTATACCCGTGCAGACCCTAGCCCCATGACAGTGGTGATGTATCGAACTTTGGGGCCCGTAGACGAATGACAAAATCGAGAAAGGGAAAAAAAGAAAACCTGACCGAGTGATGGGGACTCACCAGACCGGGAAGAGATGATCTTGATGAATTTCTACCATTTTCTTTTCTTGGGAAGCCTGTCGGAGTTGTCCCAGGCCTATTCATTTTGCTAGTTGGGTCCAGGAGGCTCGAGGCACCACTGGTTCAGTGCATGAAGAAACAAGACGGTCATGAGATCGGCAATTTTCATCGAGTACGTGCATTGTCCATGTTGGCGGTGTTCTCACCGACAAACCCGGGCAACTGTATTCGCACGTTCAAACCGATGCGCCAGCAATTTCCACCCCACCCCGAATGAAAGCCGGAAACCCTTGGTAGTTGGTAATTGGTAATTGGAAATAGAAAATGTAATGCTGCCCTAATCTGTGGATGTGGTCTCCACCAGAGAGACTAGAGGGTAAAGCATCTGCAGTGGTATGTGGAGTGGTAATGCGGACCGCACCCGGGGGCCTTTTCCATGAGCGGCATCAGGTCCACCGTTCCGCTAGTACGGATTAAATGGTAAGGGATATGCTCTGAAGTCATGATCCCCACTAACCGCGGAGTATGTACGGAGTATCCTGGCCGTGTCGACAGAACTGCATCAGTGGCTGGAAGATCGGCAATCCCGCAGCAGGCTGGGCGAGATAATAAGTTGCAGTTAAAAAGCAACCGCAAGCTTATGATTGGCTAGATGGCGCATCGAATCGATTTCCTCAGGTGGTAATGGAGGGTATGTTGTGCAGCTACTCACCCCCACTGGCCACATACAATGACCGTGCCTGTACATCTGGAGTACCGAAATCAGCACTAGGTGCAGGGTTCCTTAGCCCTATTCAGTTAGAAGGATATCGATCACTAAAACCCTGAGTCATATAGTCAATTCCGGGGGGTGGAAAGATGGACTTAGCTCTCCGACACTCGGGAGATCTCCGGTGACGGTCATGGGATAGACACGTGCAGGGCGGTGAAAGTGAGGAACACAAAATCAATGTCTCAGAAGAGAGAGCTGACGTATTCAGCAGATCTCCCTGTCTGGGTGGGTAGGGTCAATGGGCTCTGGAATTCCTCTGCTTCGCTTCATTTCATGTTAATCAATCCAAACTATTCAACCCATTCCAAATCATGCTCACTAACGCACCCCAAAAAGACACTATCCGATCGATCCACTTAGTTACCCGCCAACTCTCCCGAGGTCCACAGGTCACTTTCCGATATATCAAATAACGCTGACATGGAGTACATGCCACTGCAACGTTGTATATGAGATACAGAAGAGAGACGACTGCTCAGAAAATGTCCGATACGTGGGTACCCCGTACGGAGTACATCATACAAGGACTGCAGGTACCTGCTAAGGTGGAAGTCAATGCCAATAATCAGACTTGGTTAGAAGAAATGCATGAACTCACCGAATTAACCGTGGGTGGTATGAACATGGATCAGCCCCAGAATCCTAGCAGCTGGGAAACTCTAGTTTCGAGGTTGCAACCGTCTCATCCAATCTGTTGAGGGAGTTTTGGAGACCCTGTCTCTGTCTTGGGCACGTGCCATCCCATACTGAGTCTGCCCCCTAGTGATCATTGACATCTTGACGCGAAGAATATCTTCTTGTGCAACCAGTATGGGCTGCAGATCAATGGATGGATTCCATAGTGCAATGCCACACCCTTCTTTTCTTGGTTACATTCGGGTGTTCGACCTTGAACAGGGGTCGGAAAGCTACAACTCGGCCTACAAATCACCAGGCAACGGTGGAGCTTGAACTATACCTAGATCCCGGAGTCGGGACTGCTGACTATACCGTCTTCTTTCAGAAACTAGGATATTCAGAGAAACAACAGAAAACGGAATGGGAAAGAACATAGCTAAAAAAACAGTCATTGGCTGATGACAACCCAACCTGGGCGCAGATCCAGAAGAGCGGCACCCGGGTGTCATTCTAGACTGTTATTCCCTTGCCTTTTTGCCCCAGTGCCGTATGCTTGTCGACCCAGGATCTTGAATGCGACACGCCCAGTGGACCCATATACTCATAGTGGATATGCCAATCATGGCCGATTGGGTCTAGAGTCCCAGTCCGCCCATCTCGGGGAGATATTTCTGGATAATGACTACTCCATGGGAGAAGATTCGCTCGGACTACACTCTCAGATCCTTGCCTCAGAAAATACCATGAGGCTTTTCTGCTTTGTCGCGGCGGATTAAAGTTTTACTTTACAACGGCCGAGACCTTCCATCCCGAGACATCCACCGGCCTTGACCGGGCAACAAAATTGATCTACCTAATTGACCCAAGTATTTAGTACCGTTTCAAGACTCATGCTATTTTCAGCTAGCAAACGTGTCTATTTACGGCTATGGTATGATCTTGGAACGCATTTTCCCCGAAGTCTCACTGTCAGCCTTTTAGTCCGCAGATCACTGGAGATTAAGCAGCTCAAGCTCTGTGGCTCCACAATTCCTGGCATCGGGTTGTCTGAACACAAGGTTCTGTGATGGGTTACCTGTGTATTACTTCTTCCGAGATTAGTGGCTACTTTCTGTGGGAGCAGACCTGAGTGTTGGTAGCCCGTTGGTAATGGGCTAGATGCTTTGCTATGAAGAACCGCAAGAGCTCGCATTTGGCCGCCGCCCCTGTCTCGATTTCCTTGTCCTCCGAGATGGCAATATTCTGTCCGAGCATGGGGTGCTCATGGGCAGTTTCACACCTCCTGTCATCCAAACCTTGATCGCCCTGGATCTACAGCCCACTATCATCGATCGTATCACAACAACGAAGCTCCCGACAAAAAGGCCCCACTCAGGTCTGAAGTATTCGGCCCTGTCGGCATGGATGGAAAGACAAGGCATCAATCAGACAAGGGTTCCAAGGGAAGTTGCTTATCTCATTGGCTTGCCGCCCTCCAAATTCTGGATATGAGGTTTGTCAGGTGGGAAATATGCTTTCGATGGCGTTGGATGCAGACCAGTTCAATATTCCACTCATCATCCAGTAGCTCATCCGATATGCGTCTTTTGCCTCCCCATGGCAATTCTCACCAGCCTCTGTCAGTCATCCTTGACGTCGCTCAGCCAACCCTAAGCCGTGCCGGCGTAGCACGGGGGAACAGCCAAGAGAAAAAACTTGCTCGCGGCCGAAACGCCCCCAGTGAAGAACTGCCTTTCTGGTCAAACTTCCTGGACCAATAGCAGGCAGATCATGTTGTTTGGGGCCGGTGCTCCTTGCAATGTCACTGGGACTTCAGAGAGAGACTAACCCCTTTCACATGTGTCTGCTTGTCATACTAGATGCCGGCGTGGCGGAGGAGTGAGTTTGGAAAATACGGTGGCCTAGCAGGGGATTCGGAAAGCTAAGGCCAAAGCTACAGAGAACATTTCGGGTCTCTCCGCCACTGTCCACGTACATCTGATGTTTAGCAGGGAGACATTCGGCGAAAGGCCATATCCCGTAGGTAAGCTTTTTCCGCCGATTCGAGTCTCTTTCCTAAAAGAATCACCGATGCTACGTTATGCAACCCAATCCAATCCCGTTACCGGGAAATTTAGAAACGACAACTTTTGCTGGCGAGGCTAGGTCTGGGTTTGAACTGGTGAGATCTAATATCGATCTGTACGAATGTACTTTGGTGATTGACCCTGGGATCTGGCACCCGGATACGTCTCTAATACACAGTGTTCTGCAGCTAGAGACACGGTAGGAAAAAGTCCAGGTTGTCTGAGCTTCATTTCCTTCCGATGTCATCTCTACTGTCAGGCGAAGATGCAGAAAATTGATGTCTCAACGCAATCCCTGAAGCCTTCAAACAATCGAACATTCGAGGCCTTCGACATTTCCCTCCCCAGACGACAGATCTGCCGTCAACGGCTTTCAGGATTGTTGTCAGCCGAGTCCGGCACTTGCGTGATAGATCTACGTTGGCTAGGGGGAGGGTGGGGAGATATGGAAGTTTGTCAAGCCCGAGATCGGCGGCGAAGAAGCTCGGAAAGAGAGAGATAGAGCTAGTTCTGGTGCCCACGAGACCAGGAGTTAACATAGATTTCCATATTGGATCAGTGAGGGAGTTTGCTCGTAATCATGCTCCATGCGTGCTGGAATGAAGTCCATGCTTTCCAACGACGATCTTTCTCCCCTACGCTGAACTATACATCAAGAAAACGCCAACATACTAAGTTTGAGCTACAAATTGCCCGTGGGTGTTGGTTCTATGGAGGGCGTCGTCCAATAACCACGTGGGTGATGTGCCATGGGCTCTTGAGCTGTTCCATGGTAGCTGCCAATTAATTATAGAACAAATGCTTTCGAGGGCGAAAAGGATTACGAACACAATACATCACTGCTACTGCAAATCCAAGTATGAAACGTGAAATAACCAAGGAAACTGTGAAGTTCAAAATTTCTCTAACCCATTGCTTTTGTATAGACTGACGAATGCAAGTAAATGACACGGAGGATGTCTTTTTGGGAATCATCATTATCAACCAGATCCTACAGTACAAGGAAAAGAGCTTCGGCCCAAAGGTAGGCCCACCTGAGAAGAAGGAAAAGTTCCATTCAAAAAGTCGTAAGAGAAAACCGAAAAAGAAATTTAAGTAGAACGCTTGGCGAACTCGACGCGGAGAATGAGGTGGCGGTAACCGACTAGAAGAAAAACATGTTAGTTCTCGAAATCGTGGAAATGAGAGCACAAAAGAGGGAATTGAAGACATACAGCCATCCACCTTCTCGCAAGCAAGTGCTGCATCGCCACGATCCGCATAACTGATGAAAGCGAAGCCCTTGGCCCTCTGGGTTTCCCGATCCCGTGCAAGGAAGACTCTGGTAACACGACCGAAACGCTCGAAGAGATCCCGCAACTCGTTCTCCTCTGCCAACTCGCTGACCTGTTTGCAACGAAAAAGTCAGTACCGAACCAAAATAGACCATCACGATGCTCGTAAAGCGCGTAGGAGATATAGCGATAGCAAAACGTACGTTTGTAACTCTCAGAGTCGCCAAATCGTCCTTCTCGAAGCGACCACCCATCTTCTCGCCGCCAGCAGCACCACCCTTCCGCATGTGAGGAGGAACGTAGCTGGACTTTCCAGCACCAAGACCACCGACATCCTCCTCTGCCTCGACGCCACCGGCAGCAGCGGTGCCCTCCTCGACAGGGGCCATGGTGTCCTTGAAGGGACAGCGAGCTGTGAAGTGCTCTCCACTGCAAATACGACACTTGACCTTCTTGTCCTTGAGCTGGTCCTTCATGCTGCCCTTCTCGCCACCCTCCTTCTCAGCCTCCTTGGCGTTAGCCTTCCAGTTAACGCTGGGGCGGAAGACGATGTTCTCGCCGACGGAGGTAGTATCGAACGAGGGACCGGCGGCGTGGCCCTTCTCAAGGCCGAACTTGTCCCATTTGCGGCGTTCGGCGACTTGGGGGTTGACGTGTTCGCGGACAACGGTGGTCTTAATTCGGCGGGTGACCTTCACTTTCTTGTTGTCATCGTTGTAGCGGTAGGAGATAACGGTCTTGGTGCCGTCCTTGTTCGCGATCACTTCTTGCGGCGGGAGAACGGAGGGGTCATCGAAATCTTCGTCGTCGGCCCAGTCGGCGCGGCTGCAAATCAAAGATTTTTGTTAGATCGGTATTTTTTCAAGAGGTTGACACAGAATATACTCACTTCCCGGTTGGAGACATGGTGTAAGTGGTGGTGTGATTACGGCTGCTGAATTTCTGGATTTCTTTCAAAGGCGAATCCGTTGTGGATTTAATAATTTACAGTGGCGCGGCTGTGGCTGGTGAGTGAAATCACGTGTGTGATAGCCCCCATCTGGAATGTCCTCTCTAACCTCACTTCCACACGAGTTGGAGGAACATTTAAATTTATAAACTAGCATAGTTTGAGAAAGAGCATATACTACTGGAACAAAGTGACCTTGAGCTTCATGAATCTTCGGTGGGTTTCTTGCATGTCGCGAAGGTACGTGTAGGATATAGAACTGTGGCTGTTAGGAAGCTCTCTGGAATATGGTAATGGAGCTTTATTATAAAATCTACACATCAAATGAATGTGAGCTTCTAAAGCTTTACCTATTGTGATCAGTACATTAGTCCTGGTTTCCCAATGGGAAAAGTTGATATCACCGACGTTGATTATCATCCCATGTGAATAGAGGCGGTTCAGCATACAAGTTTCAGCATACAACTCGCGATGGAAAAGTATGAACGATGAAGAAATGCGCCTTTTAGGCATATAGACAACTTCTAGTAATAATACTGCCACCAAACTTCCAGAAAAACACACGACTCATATCTTAACTGAAACGCACCCAGAGCCCGCGCATATAGAGCAAGTTCGAAAACTCGCAATTTACATAGCACCACTGTGGTTCTCAAATGGCTAATTTTTGCCTCAGCGCTAGTCTGTTAAAGTTCATTCTGGCATGTAAGGAGAGGGTCAACCCCATTGCAGGTGATAGCACAACATGAAGCTCTACACCTTCGTTGGGGCATATTTCGAGTGAAAGGATTTTTTGGTCAGCATGGTATTGATCCAAAATATTGCGACTGTTGATCCATATGCATTTACGGCCTTGCGGCCGCGAGGGTAGAGGCAAGGTTGTCCGACAGACGTGGCTGAAATATCAAATTACGGCTAGATCATTTGACGAGAAAAATGCAAGATAGTTGGAATTGAATCATAAATTGAATCCTAGGAGTGAAAACTTTTGCTCGGAATTCTAGTACGTGGTTTGGCCTCTTGGAAATGCGAGAATCCCGCAACTAGAAGCCAACATCAATTTTCCTAATTAGGAAAAACGTCACTGAAGTCTCCGCATCTCGTACATATAGCCAGTGAGATTCAAGGGGTTCGAGCTCTCTATTGCTTGACCATTTAGGGCTGCGAATCTGGCGATCTTGTATTTATACCCGCTCGTCCCTCTGGCAAATAAGCTTGATGTGACGTCAAAGCACAGGCTGGCTCTATAGCTAACCGATTGGATTCCTGAGAGACCAAGTGTGGAGATCACACCAGGTTGGTTGAGCCCTGGCTAGTATCGATGAGAGCTGGATTGTGCGTCCCTTGCAAAGTGGCAGCATGATCAATATTGATTTACTCGCCACAACCGGAGGGTATTAGAAATTCTTGTATAAATGCTCTTTAATTTATTGTTAAACTATGCTAATGCGCCTACAATGTAGGCATGAATATGCGATGCAATGAAACCGATGCAATCACACAAAATCTATCAACCCGATCCAAATAAAAAGAAACCCAGCCCAGTATGTACATCGCGAACTATATATACGAAATATGAAAATCAACGACCAATGTAACGAATCTCGATCGGTCGTAAGACGAGATACATCGCAGCGGCGAAGGCAAAGCCCAGCTCGAAGCCGATATCACCACCAATTGCGGGGTCACCAGCATGTCTGGAGATAGGACCCTTCCACCACGATTGGCTCATGCCAACAACAACGCCGGCAATGCCAAAGGCGAACGCAATAGATGCGGCGATGCCCATGGGCAACTTGTCGGGTTTGTCATAGTCCTCTGGACGATAGCCGGAGAAGCCACGGCGAAAGACGAAGTGGTCCATAAGCGAAATGCCAGAGTAAATGGCCAGCCAGTAAGCGATGAGACTCATGAAGTTCTGCAGAATGGTTTCAAAGTGCGAGTAGCCAGGAATACCGATCGCAAGAGAGACGCATGAGGCGAGGAAAGTCCAGATGAATCGCGGCACGCGTTGTGTAGCCCGGCCCATGACCTGGAGGGTTAAAGCGACGGAGTAAATGTTCGGACAATTGTTAGCGATGATGGATAACGCTAGGATGACGAGGCAGAATTTGCCAAAGCCGCCCAGAGGCTCTAGAACGGCTGCAATAAGACCGCCGTTGACAGAGGCTCGGTAGCCTATGGCATATTTGTTGCTAAACCCGTCCCCGATAGCTGTCGCGGACATGATGGCGATACCGAGGAATTGAGTGAACAGCAGCGGAATGATCAGACCAATCCAAGCGGAGAAGAAGACTAGGCGGCGGCTTTGAGTCTTAGGCTGATAGACGGTGTAGTCGGCAGCGTAGCTGGTCCAACCAGTTGCAAAGCCATAAACTGTGGACCCAAAGGACAGACAGGAACCCAGTTCCGACATTCCGACTCCCATTGGGATGTTGACGAAATCGCCTGAATGAGCAAACATACCAAGCATGATGAAAAACACGATGCAGGTAGGAATCCAGCTCCAAAATTCATACATATGAACAAACTTGTAGCCACAGAAGGTGATGAAGAATGTGCAGAATGTGATGATGAGAATACCGGCAAATCCGGGAACATCGGTGTTCACTGCGTTGAGGAGCTGGGCGCCAACGATGGCGTTGGCAGCAGACCAACCGATACAGGCGATAACGTTAAGAGCGGCAACTGAAATAAAACTGATTAGCGCCGCCATTTCCGAGCAAATAACTCAAGTGACATCCAGAGCCAACTTACTGAATTTCACAACCCACCACCCAAACCAGAATCGCGAGAGCACCATCTGACGCAATCCAAAGGCAGGACCAAAGCATGAGAAGAAGCATACGGTCATCACTCCAAGGAGGTTGAAAAAGAGGCAGACCAGAATGGCATCGACGAAGCCGAGTTTGAAAGCAGACTTTCCGAGAACACCAATGGCGAAGGAGCTGACGACCATGTTTGCGGCCAACCACTAGGTTTAGTTAGTGGAAAAGGCCTCCAGGCCATGGCAATCACGCCAGGTAGTTGTTGTAGGAACACACCATGCTGCCGATATTGAGGTACGACGTATCATTTCGCTCCGAGTCCGGGACCCGTTCGACACCGCGCTGCTCGATGTTGAGCTTACCAGCGAGGCGCTGGATCTTGGCAAATATCGAATTGCCATATTCAAAGCTCTCACCGGGCACGGCGCCATCGCTGGAGTTATCGAATGGCTCGTTGTTGTTTGTTTCGGAGGAATTGTTGATTTGAGGGGCTTTTTCCAGGTCCTCATCCGACCCGCGGAACGCTTTGGCAAACCTGGGAAGCATCTTTTCGTATGTAAGATCCTCACCAATGAAGGAGAAGAATGGACGAGGATATAGATGGGATTATTCGAAGAGCTGGGTAGGCTCAGCGAGACCCAGGGAGATCAGGTTGGAGAGATCGAACGGAGATAGTGTGCCATTTTTCTTTCTTTCTTTTTCTCCATAGAAGGGGAGGAGCTGTTAATATAGTGTCGCGAGAATTCTTTGCGCGTCGGCCCCACCGCGATCCTCATATTGTGGCAAAGATATCCCTCTCGCGTGGGCTCGAAAAAAACCCCATAAATTCCAGAAGACGAGACAAATGAAAATCCTTGAACCTTGAACCCCACTTAACGGGTCCTTCGAACCAATGATAGTGCACCTAACAGCCCTAGCTCAGGTCGGATGCCGCAGATTCTGCACTTGCTAGGTTCGGTCACGTCTCGGACCGGCTGTAGAGTGATCATTGGCCGTAGTTGAAAATGTGTGAGCCTGGAAAGTGGAACTCCTATGGGAACAGGCGGATAGCAAATTCCGAGTGCCGATATCTCGTTGATAGTGACTGTACACTGAGGTACTCCCGTACTCCGACCCTCTTTTCCGCTTGGAGCTGTTCTAAAAAGTGATCAAATCCAGATTCCGTACCTTGTGGCAATCATGATTTTTGCTTATCGCGATGCCAAGTGGTCTTATCATCTGGTAGGATGGTCCCCGCCTTCCAAGCGGCTAAATCCTGAATCAAGGTACTAACATCCCTGCACTGTCTGCGCCCAGTCAAAGCCTTGTCTTTAATGTCAATCAAGCTTCCTGCTCCTTTATCGAACGGGAGACGGCGATGTGCGTAGTGCCTAACATTTGTTTAGCAGCTGTGTTTCCCAACACGTCGTCATGCTCGTCGAGTCCCTTCTGCGGGGAAATTAGGTATTCATGTGATCGGGACGCTTCGGTACCCCGGGTATATAGTACCTTGGTAAACCTAATCTCAAAACCTTAGGGTTCTTAGGGTTTTTAAACATTTATTGCCTTGGAAATATGGCAACTGACCGCAAGACGCAGCCAAATTCGGGCAGTGAATCTTTGATAGGGAAGGTTAACCTGATCGACCACTTTTATGCATATTATCAAGACATCTTAAAGATAGATGACATTTTTACCTACCTTGGCTCTGTCTATCTCCCCAACTCCTTTTAGGCAGCGGATAGGCTATGATAAGTCCCTCAAATGGGCGAGATGATCGTAATTGTTGCCCTACGTCCATGAGTTGTATGGGGTCAACCACATTGGTGTACAGAGTAATCGGAGCGGATCAAATGTGTTGACAGATATATCAGATCATGTAGACCTGAGGGCTTTCGGCAAACTATGCTTGATTCTGTCTAGCGCATCCACCGGCTTAACGCCAATCAAGATCTCCCACTCTATTCACTTCCAGTGGCTGATAGTCTCGGTTGATCCGCCCAGCATCATGCCTTACAATCAATATGACAGTATAACCCTAAAGGGCTGTACATTATTTTGTTGAACAACTGTACCCAGGAAGTACCTACGGCTGGCAGCGAGGAGATTTTCGAAAAATAGGCGTGCTTGAGCAACAAGGGCTTCGATCAGATTAAAGCCACAATGCCAATTAAATTCTCTGTGCCTACGATCTTGCAAACACACATCTTTCCAGATACAAACATAAGTAAGACCTTTCGTTTCTGTAAAGGTCCATGTTTAGTTTGATAATCCCTTTGGCCGACCTCTCTTTGTCTTTTATGTCCTTTATCAATCGGATCTGACTTAGATTGGCGAAGACCTTTTCTCTATTCAGAAGATTTGTCTTGTGAACAGAAGATCATACTTCTGTCTATTTGCGCTTCTTGAAGCTCACGGTATCGTTGAAGTTCTTCAAGCTAGAATATCGAGCTATGAACATTAATATGGCTATAGAAGAGCAGAGTAGCCAGCTACCTATGGTGACATGTAGGCTGTCTGGTGATATCTCACTTGGTCGCGCCTTCGATTTTCGTCAATTGTATCCTCGATTTTCATCAGTCGCTCCTTCGATTTTTGGAACCTTTGTAGGCAATTAAGGATTCTTTTTCATTATGTTATGTTTCTCTTTCACGTCCTCACGTCCTCGCGTCCTCGTGTCATTTGTCTTCCAGTCTCCTTTCTGTGCGTTGAAGGGGTTATATATGCTTCCTTGAACAATCAAATTGCTTTTGTATCTTGTTATCTCAACCCATACCCAACAAATTCGGAACAAAATGATTCCCCGCAAACGGGCCGACGCAGGCACCGCGCGTCACCGTCTATTCTCGCTGTCATCAATGTTTCGTTCTCAGACACGAACTAGAGTCAGGTAACCACAAAGGACTCTGAAGGCTAAAGGAGATGATCCACTGACCAAAGTAGTTGCATACCCGAGACGGTGCAGGAAGAACCAACCTGCCGGGAAAAGATTCATTATCCCATATTCAACCCGCAAGATCCTCGTCATAACCCAGAGATTGCACACCTTCCGCAGCGTCCTCCTGAATCAAGCAGCTCGTCATCAAGATCACCTACTCCAATTTCATGGATGCAAACCATATCGCGACGATCTTTCCATAGAGCAAGGTCCGGACTGTTGGCACTGAGAGCAGAGTTCAATCATCGTTTTAGTGAAGAAGAAACCCCTCATCAAAGCTTTGTCAACCCTGTTGCTCTTAGGCGCGAACGAGAACAACATGACAAGGTATCTGTGGCATTTACTGCAAGTACACAAGAAGATCCAAGTTTTGGCACAGAGATCTTCCGCACAAGTGCTGTGCCAACTCGCCCAACGGAAAACAGCGAGATTGGGTCTCCTTATGATATATCATCCGAGTATTCTGTGTCGGAGCCATTCACAGCAATTACAACATTTGAACCCAAGCGCAAACTCCGACCTCGTGGTGATGCTGTAAGTAATGGGATAAAACCGACCTATATGATAGCCCGCGACCGTGATCTGGACTTCCAGTTTTCTGGTCCTGGAGAGTTTGAGGCAGATGTACAGTTTGACAATCGTGCTGCTCACACCAATCCATCGACAGATAACCATTTAACACATTCACCGTGGGGTGTTGCATTCTCTACTAATCAGGAGAATGAAGTGTTGCCCGATGAAATGGCTAATCCTTGGCCAGTTTGGGCTGAACACCAGACAAGAATCATTCAACATCCAAACCTAAGTCCTGCAAGTTCAGACACGCAAATCATTGAAGACCCCCCAAGTCCAATTCCCTTATCAAGACAATGTTCCGCTGAGGTTGGATTCGCATTCCCTGGAATCTACCACGAGATGATGGAGCAATGTGCCCGAGAACATGATAATCCCTGCCCCAACGATGAGGATTCCCACCCTAGTCAGCATTGTCCCAGTCCCAGTGGTCAAGAACAAACCCCTATTGCCTCTCACCTAATTCCTCAAGATGGTACCGACGATGCAGCTTCATATCACGAAGACGACGAAAGTCTCATTCCTCCAATGCCATCACAGGCCCAAATACCCCAGTTTGAAGAGATCCAACCCTTGCATCGTCCCAATCCATTTGACTCTATGCCCAGCTGGCGTTTTGATGAAAGCTGGTCATCGAATTCTGGAAGGCCTACAACCCAATGGTCAAGTCTGGAAGAATATTCAAGTCGATACACAACTGATAATACAGCATCGCATGATATTGCCTCAACTGAAATGACATCGATGGCCTCTATGTCAAATGATACATGGTCCCCAATTGAATCTGAAGTTCTCTTTCCAAGCCCGGTGGAAGATGGAAATGAGTATTTTCTTGTGGACGGCAAGACAAGTGGCCAACGTCCCGACAGAGGCAACCAGGCAATAAAGTCGTCACAGCATCCTAGCAATAACTACAGCATCCCAATCAGAGCCCAAGAATCAGCCGAGTTGATCCCTCCAAGGACATTTTCCCTGAAGCTTGAGCCTGGTGACATTCCCGTTGGAGGATTGGACTTCTTGGAAGAAGATACAGACGATGAGTTCTATCCTGGAATTGAGTAACGGGGAGCGGTGTTTACTGGAATGGAGTTGGTGAGATTGTACGTTGATACTTTGCATATTGTGAATGGGCAAAAAAGTCCACTGTATTTTTACAATGTACGTATGTACCATAGCAGAGATAATATTGAGTTCTTTAAGCAGCAATTCGTTCTCTCTTCTGGTGCTTTCTGTGATTCATCCGCATGCCCAGGCTATATCCTTCTTGATGCTTGTTTTTGGAGGCTTGGTATTCGGTCTTTTCATTTTATACTCAAATTGTATTGCATGAATGTCGGGAGAATGATGCCGAGGAAGCCAAGGATATTGAGGTTAGATAGATCTCCCGTGTTGTAGCAATTGAAGGTAAATTCGTCCTCAGTAATTCATAATCACATATACACGCTATGGTATCACATATCCAGGGACTACGTATATCACTAGCTATTGGATTTCGTTTCATGTTCAAAATCTGGCATCGCCATCAATAGCCTTCAACACCACTCACTGCTGAAAGGCCGATCACCATTCAAGCCATACCCTGAATGACCTGTTCCTGTCTTTCCTGCCATACGTTCTTACCTGAGCAAGAGCAAACCATCTTATCATTATCCCACACACCCGCACTACGAGCAATAACGCCGACAAGAGTGTTCTCGTCCTCGCGCTGGAACGGACCCTCCGTGTTTTTCGAAACAACCATACTCCGACCAATAAGCTCCCAGATTGCCACAGGCCGATCCAAGAATACACTGCCGCGTCCCTTGCTGTCAACATCCACAGTGCCGAAGATACCCCGGGATTCCTTGGCCGGGGTGGCCGCGGCATCAGCGCCAAGCACCTTTGCCTTCAGTGCATCCCAGATCCCACCAGTGGACTCGGCACCACGGGAGATATCACCCGCTTCTCGCACAGTAGCCCAGTATTTACCCGGTGATAGGCCGTTTATTGTCAAGTCGACAAGGGTCATGTTTGGGGAGACCTGGACCATGCGCGCCAGCCCGCGGATCTTGTTTGAGACGGTCGTTGAGTGAGTTTCAAGGATACAGACAGCGGAACCTATTCGATGATATACATCAGTTGTCATTGTTCATGTGTGGCGCATTGAACGGTAATCGGGAACCGGGATATTCCGTACTGTTGGTAGTGCCGCTGCCACGGAGGATGGCATCGCGGCCGGTATTTTCGATCGCAGTTACGATGGAGCTGGGAGGAGCGGTGCCTTCGACAAAGACCAACTGATCTTTGAGGTTGGCTTCAACCTTGCTGATTCCTGCCGCGGGGTAAGTTTAGTTCATGGCGGGCTTGAGACGTGAGATGGCTACCTTCCAGACTGTGTAGAGAGTTGGAAATGGACTTCACACAGCCCTCACAGGTCATCGGGACCGAGAAGGTCGTCTGGATGTGACAATCGCATTAGTATTGGGATTTTGTGAGTCATGGTGCTTGGACAGGCTGACCTGGAATGGTTCGATCATGGCGGGGAAGAAGGAATATATCCGATGCCGAGAGGGTGGCAATTAGAGGAGGGATATGTGCACGACAAAAGGAAGACGAAGTGAAAGAGAGAATCGAGAATACTATCCAAGGATCAGATTAAAGATGCGATGCGCTATATTGCAATTTAAACAAGCGGGGCGCCATTCGGATTTCAAATCGAAGGAACTCGGCCCTTTTCTCATCGCCAAAACGTCATTCCCGAACTTCTCTCCCCTTGCAATTTCCCCCCGAAAATGTCCGCCACATCCAGATGGGCAACCGACGACCCAGAGACCGAAGCAATTATTGCGCAGCAAAAACGCGAAAAGGAGCAAAAGCGACGCGCTAAAGCGGACAAGCAACGCCAGCTTGAAGCCAGCAAAGCCCAACAACAAGCTCAACAGAACGCCAACTCAGAAGCCCCCAATGGCGAATCCGGTCCTCCGACAAAGCGACGCAGACTTTCGAATGATCCTGGTGCTCCCCCAAACGATACCCAGATAGCAAAGATCGATGCGGAGCATAAAAAGCAGTCGACTTTGTTGCGCTTTCCGGTTGGAGAATGGGGGCCCTGCAGACATGTGGATAACTATGAAAAATTGAACCACATCGAGGAGGGCTCCTACGGATGGGTATCGCGGGCGAAAGATATCTCAACTGGGGAGATTGTCGCGCTGAAGAAATTGAAACTGGAGAACTCGCCGGACGGGTTCCCGGTCACTGGCCTACGCGAGATCCAAACACTCATGGCAGCGCGTCATCAAAATGTTGTGTACCTCCGGGAGGTGGTAATGGGGAATAAAATGGACGAGTAAGTTTTGTGCGGTAGCTTCCGTTTTGTTAATATGTACTAATTAACTGGCTCGATAGTGTATTCCTGGTGATGGACTTCCATGAACATGACCTCAAAGCTCTCCTCGACGAGATGCGCGAACCCTTCCTTCCCTCGGAGATCAAGACCGTCTTGCTACAGGTAGTAGGAGGACTTGAATTCCTACATTCTCAATGGATCATGCATCGAGATCTCAAGACCTCCAATCTATTAATGAACAACCGTGGCGAGCTCAAAATCGCCGACTTTGGCATGGCTCGGTACTACGGCGATCCACCTCCTAAGCTCACACAGCTCGTTGTGACACTCTGGTATCGATCGCCGGAGTTGCTCCTCGGCGCTGAAAAGTACGGCACGGAAATCGACATGTGGAGCATTGGTTGCATTTTTGGCGAACTTCTCACCAAAGAGCCTCTCTTGCAGGGCAAGAACGAGGTTGACCAGGTCTCCAAGATCTTTGCGTTGACTGGGCCGCCAAACTCCCAGACCTGGCCGGGCTTCCGTTTATTGCCTAATGCAAAGTCCTTGCGGCTGCCGTCGACAACGGCACCTTCTTCGGCTGGAAACCCGCCTCTGCTGCCTCGGTCCCGATTTCCCTACTTAACCAATGCAGGCTTGGGCCTCATGTCGGGATTGCTGGCGTTGAACCCCGCGTCGCGTCCTACAGCCAGACAATGTCTAGATCACCAATATTTCAAAGAAGATCCACGCCCAAAGCCACGAGAGATGTTCCCTACATTCCCATCCAAGGCCGGAATGGAGAAACGGAGACGTCATCGCACGCCCGAGGCCCCCAAACGCGGCCAAGAAGCACCCGAGCTGGACTTTGCGGGTGTCTTCGGCGGTGCTCCGGGTGGAGATACCGGTGAGGTAGGGGCGGGATTCAGCCTCAGGTTGGGATGACTCCGTGCCTTAGCATACTAGCTTTTTTCTACCATATAAGTACATAATGGCATCTTGTTTCACTACCTAATTCCCATCCGTGTGGATCTATTGTTGTAGTCTAGCTCGGAGATCACCTCCGCGGAAACACTTGGCCTTTTTGTTCTGTTTGGTTTGCTCATATGCATGTTTGAAAACCAGGGAGAGATCAAAGCGCCACCAACAATCAACAGCCCCTGGGAATATTTCAAATCTGTAAGCTGGAATATCATTAGCTCAAGTAGACGTATAAAAGCGGTTTCGAAGCTGTCAAGGTGGATCGGCAATAGATATAATCCGCGCCAGATGTACCATGGCTCAATAGATCGGCCCTCTTATCTTCCCGAGCTTCTTTTTCTTTCCCCTTCCTGCGTCGCAACTTTCCCATTTGCAGTTTCACTTATCGTGGTCCTTCGGCGATCGTCAATTCTATTTAGCAATTTAATTCATTCCTTTCGCCATGGCGAACAAAGCGCCTGTCTCGTTCGACGAGATCATCCAAGCTGGTAAGCACTCGGCGCTCTAACACGTCCCGCCAACCTATTAACATCTTTTTCTCCACAGACCGTCTGAAGAAGAAGCACGAGCAGCTGGCGAACCAACTCCTTGGAAAGAACCGCCGCTCGAGTACGCCAGGCTCAGGCAGTGGCAATAAGGCGCAGAACAAAACACAGAATGCGAAGCCCGGAAGCCTAGCAAGCAGGGTTGGGGTGGCCAAGGTATGAATACTCACACTATGCGATCGCAAATGTGATTGAATGAAAGACAAATATCTGACAACCTCTTGCGCCAACAGCCACAGCGTTCCGCATCTGCGACCGTCCACTCGACCAAGAACAAGCCAGCACCCACTGCCAACAACGCCCGCGCACGTGGTAACGCTGGAAAGAAAGATCGCCTGAACGTGGATCAGGTCCGCGCAGCATTCAAATCCGATAATAGGCAGCTGAATGTCCAGTCCGGTAATACTTTGCAGAACGGCCGTCGGTCCGGTGGCAAGAACATGATCATCAAGGGCGCTTCGGGCCCATTCATTGTCGAGGGAAGAAACTTTGCGCCTGGAACAACGGCAGCCGACATTCAGTCCGCCTTTGAGCCAATCACGGGGCCAATGCTCAGCTGTCGAGTAGTGGCAAGCCAGCCAAATGTTGTCGCAGAATTTGAGTATGCAGAGAAGATGGCTGCAGAGCTTGTGGTTGCCAATTTCCACAATCAGATGGTAAGTGCCAGTTCTGATTTGCTGTACTGCAAGATTGATGCTGACTCGCGCTCTCTCTAGGCTGATGGAAGACAACTTCTCATGACCCTCAAATCGGCCAAGACCACAACGACCCCCAACACGCAAGATCCTTTCACTGCCCTCCGAGCACAAGCTGACCAGGAGCGAATCCGAGCCCGTCGCGGTCCAAAGCAACAGAAGGACCTGCTTGCTCCGACCCAAGAAAACTCGCAGTCCAGCCTTTATAGCGATGTAATGATGGTTGATGCGCCGGTGCAGAACACCCAGAAGAAACCGAACCAACGGAAATGGCGTCGTTAAAAAGCGATGATTGAGCATGACAACTGTGGTTAGCTAGCGAACTCTTGGCGCAAGGAACGTCTACCGCGCAGAATGGTCGAGGTGACCGTGTTTTTTCCCCTTGCACTTTCATGAAATGTATGATATTGTTACAGCAGATTGTGGACATTGTTTAGCATACCATTCGGAGCACTCTTGTTTTTTTCAGCAGATAGCGGCGATTCGGACAAAATAGACAAATTATTGATGGAAAGAAACGGTCAGGAGGTTTCCAAGATTGTATTCTTCACGTAGCGCAAGGTCCTGACTACGAGCGCGACGATGAGGTCGTGGGTTTCAGGCACTCAGCGCCCAAACGTAACGTTGCGTTGGCGGACCTCTGACGTTGCCTCAGGTGGACATGATCAATATGATATTGCATTTTTGATTCATTCAAGTTTACCAGAGGTAGGCATAATAGAGCCTAATTAGGGCCATCTCAGCCATAGCTTCCATGCTCCTCGGAGTCTTTTTTCTGCACGTTATGCAAAGAACTGTGGTGTCGAACAACTTCACAATTAAGTCTTTAAGACTCAGGATGAGATGGATTGACTTCGATCTTCAATATTATTTGGTGAGCTCAAATGAATGCGTCTGATTCGGAAATTTACGAATCTAAAGAAATACTACGGCAGGCAAGCGCCCAAAGCGACCTGTTCTTCTGGCGTTCTCGAATTATGACTGCTTATTTGTACATACGAACCTCATGCACTTAGTAACAGATTGAGGACAGCTGTATCCGAGTGTTTGTCTCATAGAATAGGAAGCGAGACCATACAACGATAAGACTTTCTGAATGGATCTATATTATGCACGCGCAACGGAAGATATTCCTGAACAATATCAACAGTAGAGAATGCCAATAGTCGTATGTTGAAGGTGAAAGATATGTACAGGTTTAATGAGCACCTTCTAGCTGTCCAGCAGCACGGGCACTTTCTCAACTAAATATTCAACAATGGCATCGGGACCACGCTCGACCTGCAAACCTTCGGGGATGGCATGAAGTTTGATATCAGGTCGAATAGAACGAGCAATACCGTGGATCTTCTGGGCCTCCTCGGCAGTCCACATAGAGGCGCTGAACTATTCAGTCAGTTAGCGTAAACTTCGAACGCTTAGCATTCCCGATCTTATACTTACCAGAACTTCAGGGTTGTGCTCCTTCACTTTGGCCTCAACCTCGTCGATTTCTGAAGGGCGGTTAGTTGCAATTTCACTTCTCAATGGATTTATCTTTCTTACTTTCACAATTATCGACATGGATGATGGTATACCGATCACTCAGAGCCTCGGCGACACGGCCGATGAGGCGCTTGGCGCGCTCCGGTGCGGTGTTGACAGTAACCAGGTGAAAGGGACCCTTGGGAGCAGACATGATGGTGATATGGAAATGAGAAATCTGGAATATAGAAAATACGACCATCGCGGGGTTTTATTCTCCGAACAGCAACAGCAGACATCCCCCACGCTTGTTACTTCCCCACATTGTGGGAGGCTGCCCCTCCGGCTTATCCAGCACCGGGGTAGTAATACTCCGCTATCGGCCCCCATAGCGTTGTTTATATACGGGGTTTCTGCTTCGACTGTCACTGCTTATTCTATTCTCTATAACTAATACAATCATGTCCAAGATCGCATCTACATTCTCGCGTAAGTATTCTCAGTTTGATGAACTTCGTGTTCGAGCCTAACAGAGAATAGGCCTGGTGCGCTTTGCCCCCAAGTCGAATCCCTCCAAGATCCTCATCGGGGAGCCGGTCGATCCTAAGATAGACGTTGGATTGGCTCTTTACCAAGGCAAAGAGGTTGCGGTGCGTCCTTTCTCGGGCACTTCGGTTCTGACCCCCGGTCAAGTGACCGACGGGACAGAGACTATCGAGCGCATTCTGTCCCCCCTAGCGCAGAGTGAGGTCGGAACGATTCGTTGCATTGGCTTGAACGTGAGTGCTTGAGCAAGAGTACTTGAAGAACATTGAATGCTAATTTCCACCACAGTATGCTTCCCACGCCAAGGAGATGTCTCTCCCAATCCCTGAAGTCCCAACATTGTTTATGAAGCCGGCCAGTTCTCTGGCAGATCCCTGGCCTGCGCCAACTGTTCTACCCAAGATTACACAAAAGGACAAAACCGGTGACTATGAATCCGAGATGGTCATTGTCATTGGCCGCGATGCTAAGGACGTGCCTGAGTCCGAGGCCCTCGACTATGTGCTTGGTTACACAGCTGCCAATGATGTTTCAAGTCGTACTTCCCAAATGAACCAGAGCCAGTGGTCTTTCTCCAAGGGATTTGACGGCGCTTGTCCAATTGGTGCGTTCCCGGGGATTGTACGTGTTCCAGTTGAATTACATATTGACTCGCCATACCTTATTTAGGCCCTGTTCTAGTTTCAGCTGCCCTCATTCCCGACGCCAGCAAGCTCCATATTCGTGGTCTTAAGGGCGACCGCATGATGCAGGATTGTTCTCTGACGTATGTTCCATCCATAATGTAACATTTCAAGAGTCTAGGAGGGTGACTGACATCGGATTTCCCAGTGACCTGATCTTCAGCGTCCCCCAGCTGATCAGCTTCCTTTCCCAGGGCACCACGCTGCCGGCCGGCACAATCATCCTGACCGGCACCCCACCTGGCGTTGGTGCTGCTAAGAGCCCCAAGGAATTCATTAAGGCTGGCGACGAGTTTGCCGTTGAGCTGCTTCCTCACGTTGGAACGCTCATTAACAAGATTGAGCACCAGTAAAGTATTCAGTTTATGTCATATTACATGAAGTGCTGTTATGCAACAGCGCTCTGCTTATGTATACCCAACTTTGAATATAAGCTGCCAAAGCTCAAATGTACAAGAGATCTGAATGCGCACTTCTCTATGCATGTACATACGTTGTACGGGGTAGATGGAATCTTGCTATATGAAACACGCATTCTGCACATTCATGTATGCAAATACTTCTCTTAGCCAAACGAGAACGTGATCTATCAAGAGATCTATCACGGTGATTGGACCTGAGTATCAAACCTTCCACTTGGAAATACAGAACTGTGTCATTGAAGACGAGCCACCTGAATAGTATGGAGCACTGCATAGAACTTTGACCAATGACTGAGCTCTAAGGGATATAGTATCTTCCCCACGTGGAGTTAATCTGTTCCGCCATGTCCCTGGAGATCATTGGCTTCGCATCTCAAGCCGTTTGGTTGTACGGAGTACTCCGTACTCCGTAAAGAAGAGCATAAAGACTTTGGAATAGTGCAGAAGTTTGTCACTGAAGAGATAAAATCAATGGGATTCAGAAATGTAGCCTAAGGAGAGCTTTGGGGTCTATATTACCTCTAAAAAAAAGCAGATATGAATATCTAGCCTGAGATCTATGAACCAGGGGATAGCTTCCCAACCATGCATAATGCTGGGATAGTGCGATGATGACTGGAGATGTTCATCCAAACTTATGCCGAGATGATCAACCGGTATCCAATTGACATGAGTTTTCCTTGGCTTGTTTAATCCGAGATGGTGTGATTTCAGTGCGATGGGGAACTAACGGGCCGGGGTACCCAGCTCTCCCGTCTGGGGTAGTTCTCTTAAAACACAGGCAGCCTCTTTCTTTTTCTTTTACTAGATCGAATTTTGGAAAGCTTCTACTGCTTTTTTTTTTTTTGTTCCCTTCTTATGGATGTTGTGGTCCTAGGGCTATTATGCCCCTATACACATCAACTCTACGGACAATTGAATAGGTGGGTATTTGTTTCTCTTCCTTTGGAAGAATGCAATTGATTGTGTCGCCACATCGATCTCGCTGCCTAAACCATGAAATTGCTTTCTATCATCAGTCGTGAAAGCTGCGCCGCGTAAGATGCATGTAACTTTCACCCATGCGTTGAGCTATGGATTTGCTCTCCTGCACCACCGATGTGGAATGCCGATGCCGAACCTACTTTCACTGTGAACCCGAAACCGATCAGTCCGTCTTAGCAACAAATGCTGCGAGACCACAAAGCGCGAAAGATCTCAATGCAAGACACAAGGCATAGAAAGCCGCAGTCCACCTCCAGCGCCATGCCTCTACTCCTCACTACGCCAAACTTTGCCTCGCCAGTGCAGGAAAATAGTGGGAATAACACTGACAGCGACGACGAGTGCTGAACCAACCCCCGCGCTGGGTGCGATACCGACATTCTCGAACATGGCAGAGAACCTGAGCTGTTGTTAACACTGATCTCGGACAAGATATTGGAAGGAAGAGGCATACCAGAATGGACCAAGGAAGCCCCAGATCTGTCGCACAAAAGTGATAAACACACCAATGCTAGCAGCCTCTTGCGGGAAGCAATCGATAGCATAGGTGATCATCACCGTGGTGACAAGCTGATTTCCGACAGCACCGATTGCCGTGCCAATAATGGGCGAGACACTCCAGTGCCCACTGGGTGATTCCTGCGTGCAGACTAGAAAGACGATCATACCGATGATAGTGAGCGCGAAGCCAAAATAGCTGAGCCATAGACGGAATTCGGGTTCGGCTTGACGGTCGATGCGTCGGCTGCGTCGGCTCATCCAGAAGTCTGACAGCACGCCGCCCATTTGCTCGCCGATTACAGAGCCGATGATTGCGCCGAGAAACTGCAGGCCTAGCTGTTCGGCATTGAGCGCGAACTTCTCTTGTAGGAGTTGTGGTATTTCGACGGTGGCGAGGATGTTGCCGAAGAGGAAGACCATGGCGTATGCGCATGCTGGGATGAGGATTGACGGGTGCCGAGCCAGTGTGAGCGGGCGAATGAACTCGTACCATGAGAATGGTGTAGGGTCGATTCGGCGGAAGGACATGTACTCGGTCTTCATCACTGATTCATGGCTGTCGGTGCCGCCGCCTAGATGGCGAGTCTCTGGACCGAGGAACAGGTACAAGATGAACTGGACGCCGTTGATCTGTGGATTTATCAGCCAATGAACAGGGACCTGATATTTAGATGGGTGAAAGCTTACTATTGCCAGGATCCAATAGATCCAGTGATGCCCAACGCGGTAAGTGACAAAGCCGAAAATGAATGGGCCTATAGGGACACCTAGGGTAATCATCAAGGTCCAAACGCCCATGTAACGGGCGCGATCTTTCTTAAACGTCGTTTCCATCACAACTGCGCTGCCGATCGCCGAGGCAGGTGAGATGAAAAAATGCTACGAGGGCTCGGCAAGCAGCGACAGAGGCATATGTAGTGCTTTTGGCACAGCCAATGTTGCACACCAGGCTGCAGATGAGTGAAATTAGGAAGATGGGCCGACGACCATAGCGATTAGAAAGCGGCTTCCAAAAAAGAGGCGCGCCACCAAGAATGGCAATCTGCAGGGAGGTCAGGTAACTTGTGTCCTGCATGCTGATGCCAAGCTCTTTGGAGATGTCTAGATAGGCAGGGATAATACCAGCGGCAGTAAATGTGCCCATGCAAGCGTGGAAAGCCACAAGGATGAGGTTCGTCATTTTCTGTGTTCATACATCAGTGCTCTGTTCGAAAGGGGAACTAGCTCTTGTCTTTGCTTGAGGCTCATATGTGATGATGGTCTTATCCAAAGGGAATAATGGGCCCACCTTCCACTCAGGCCAGTTGTAAGGGTCAGCTGGACTCATCCCGGGGATTGGATCGAGTTCCAACGTTCCATGCCGCTCCATCAAATAGTCACGATGGGCTTTAGAAAGACGCGCAGCCATTGACTCGGCGTGTGTGGTTCCTCTTTCGTGCCCTTCCCTCTCGACAAGATCGATATCTGCATTCCGGCCTGGCATCTTCTCAACCTCATCTTGTCCAGACGAGCTGGGCTGCAACTCGAGAGACGCCATATTGATCACGTCTTCCGACGAGGAATTTGAAATCAGACGAGTGGTAGAAGAATCTCAATGCCCCGTTCTGATGCGACAAGCTTGTAAATGAGTATTTCTGATGGTTGTAGAGATAGTCAAAGAAGATGTGGGAGAGAGTTGACTGCAAGGGTTGCCGACAATTGTCTCAGAGTATGAGCTAGTTGAGGGGGCAAGACCAATGATGATGGATCGGGGAACATTTCGCATTGGCCCTACCGGGCAGGCCAAACGCGAGCTACTGCTGAAAAATCCTACGGTGAGTGGACATAGTCAAAACCCCAATCCCATGGCGCTTATCCAATCGGACACGAGCTACACCTGGGGTAGGTATTCCCCGGGGCTTTTGGCCCCGTGGGGGGTCTCTTTGGAGAGAAAATGGAGAGAAATGCGGAGGAGCTCCACTGGTCCTGACTGGCACACGTTGGCATCAGTAAGTCACGATGCCGCTAAAACAATGACTATGATGGAGCATTGTAACAAGCGTGGCCAAGGCAGCTGGGCACGGCTAGCCGATGAAGCTTATTACGGTGCATTACGGCTTCTGTCCCGAGCCAAGTACCGAAAGCCTCGGGATTTTGGCGCCTTGGCGCATTTTGCTGGACGCGAATGGCTATGTCCCTCGGGCTACGCGTTGGGACGGCTTTTCTGGTGCTGCCTGCAAGCCGGGTGATTGGAAATCTGCTCGTAGCTGAATGCTAAAAGACGATCTTGATCGCCGCCTTCCCTCGGCTGTCACCATTGCCAACTTGTTCTAGCCCATAAACATACGCTTGAACGCTTGAAGGCCTGAACGCTTAGACAGTTAATTTTGGCGCCCTCGGATACGGTATACCATACTTGCTCTCGGTTTTCTTCACACAAACAGACACTTTTGTGGCATATCTCGTGTATATCTCAATTTTCAATTTGAAATGGCAAATGTCTATAATTCCCCAAAACTTGACGTAGTGGACTGGGAGAGTGCAAAATGCCCAGGTCCAGTGGACGCGGGCGTCACCCGGGGATTGCATAAGCAGTCCCACACCCACACCCCACAATTGCCTTCCGATGTCCCCACAACTTGCCCTCCCTCTATCTTCTCTTACTGACATGGCATCAGTTGAAACAATGGCAGTACTAGCTGCACCAGCAGGGGTCAAGAAGCTGGTGTGCCGGGTATGCCAAAAGGCTTTCTCCAAGGCTGAACATTTGCGGGTGAGTAAATTGATTCGGATCTAGCTTCAGAAGAGGGGCCGCCAAGTGATGGGCTACCTAACTGACCTGACGGGGCTTTTATAGAGACATGAGCGCTGCCGTATGTTTTGATTTTATCAGACAACTCTATTTATTTGAGATCCTTGCTCGGAATTCAAGAGGGAATATCCACACGACTAACCAGAAGCAATAGATACGGGGTCTAAACCATTCGTTTGTAAAGAATGCCGGAGGCCCTTTGCCCGACAAGACGCTCTTACTCGCCATGAAAAGCTGCACTCTCGTGTCGGGCATGGAAAAGATGGCTCAACAGAGGTCCGCGCGCTGTCAAAGCCTGCCTCTGTAGATCTTCTCCCGTCGTGGGACACAAGCAGTGCTCCTACTGTTGATCCAGAGACGACCGCTGTGACGAGTCATTCATGTGATGGGCCACGCTTGCAGAATCATGCTAGTATGCATCATATTTCCTCGGAGCTGGACTTTGCATTGGTTTGGCCGGATTCAGAAAACCTGTTCCACAGCTTGATGTCTTCGGATACGACAGATCAATGGCAAATGCCGCTTGGCGCGTTACCTTTTCCGCCCGTCGTGCAGGATATGAATGGCCTGGGATTTGGCTCTCCGAATTCATTCGACGACCGTCGCTCTTCTATCGGGGCAATACCGTCTGGTGGTGGACACCAGGCAGTGCGAGATGTTACTGAGATGGTGACGAGTTCGGTGAGTTGTAACCGCTGTGTTTGTCGGATGATTGCGAAAATGGGCCAATTAAGGCTTCTATCAAGATTCTGATGGAAATGAAAAATCTTAAAACTAACATCACCCATTCTCAGTCATCAAGTGTTACGGCTGCCGTCAAGGCCATGTCAATCACATCAATATTCCTTGACGAGTGTCTCCACATGTTCTTCGGCCGTTTCATCCCTACATTTCCAATATTGCATCGTGCTACATTTGTCTTCCGGGAATGTACCCAAGCGCTTCTACTCAATGCCATTGCCATAGGCTCTTTATATCTAGGTCCCAAGGACTCGGTCTCAAAGGGCGAAGCACTATGGCGTCTCGCACATACAGCCGTTGCAACCTCATGGCAGTCGATGATTACACATAATGGGCCATATGATGCACGCAAGGGTGTGCAGTTGATGCTAACCGCCTTATTGGGTCAGGTTTACGGAGCTCTATCCAAAAATAGAGCAATTCGAACAACTAGCCAAGTCTTCCGTCCATTGGGTTTCTTCTGGGCGAGACAATGTGGCATGTATGATAGCGAGCCTTATTCGATGGACAACCTGCCCTCTATTAATGCTCCTCCTGCAGAGAAAGAGCACCAATGGCGTACTTGGTCGGCGCGGGAGATACAACAACGCGCTCTCTTAGCATACTATGTCTTGGATGGTCTGGTGGCTCAAATGTCAGGCGATGGCCCCTCTGCTCGCCATGTGGAAAACTCACTCAACCTACCGAGTAGCGAAGAAGCCTTTGATGCCAACACTGCTGATGAATGGCTGGCTCACATGCATACTCGCAAGCCGGATCAGTCCTCATTCAGAGTGATCTTCCGCTCCCTGTTCCCACCGACAGGGAGCTTTCGCGCTTTGGGCTACGAGTTTTCTGCTTTCGCGCTGCGTGTGGTGCTTGAAGGGCTTCAGTCGCTGGTATCTGACTGCGATGATAATGAACTCGCCGTGGGTGTACCTAATCAATCAGATGTCCGGCGAGCTCTGACTCAAGTCTATGAGACAATTTCCATGAGCATTCACTTTACCGCAGCAGAGAGACTTGAGATCCTTTTGCGCTGGCACACAATCTGCTTAGATACCATGATCAACTCGACTATTCTCGCCCGTCACGTCTGCTCGCGCTACAACATCCCACAACATGTCTCGGGCGGATGTAGAACCGCACGATCAGGCTTTGACTCGGTCCAATGGGCGAATTCGGAAGAAGCCAGGCGGGCCGTACTCCACGCAGTGGCAATCCAAGATATTGTCGAGCAACTACCACGAGGCCGCGCGCATGTTGTGCACATGCCCAACTCACTATTTGCAGCTGCCACAATATACGTGGTTCTGTCGCTTGCAGGATCAGCGACTCTGAATCTTCCTCGACATATTGTTTGGCAAGATGCCTTACTGTCCCACTCGGACCTTAACCTCAGCGACGAGGATATCCGATCTCTGTCTGCCTCGGAGACGAGACGTTTCGTCGAAAACGGGAATGAAATCTCGTCTCTTCCGCTTCCGACTGGTGGTAGTGTCCGAAATCTGTTTTATGAGCTCAATTCTATGCAAAAGCTTTTCCGATGTTTGTCCTCGCAGTGGGGTATTGCACATGACATGGAGGAGATTGTTGCACAGTGGATTCAACTATGCCATTAGTTGGGACAGCCTGACGTGATCATGACATAAAGTTCTCGTATGATCGACCTTTGTCCTAGGCATTGGGGGTAGCGTGGGGGCGAGTATTTAACGATTGGCGTGGAATTTTCTACATAATCATTGAGAAAACTTATCAAAAGATCAGCTCAAAATGGGAGAATACTATTTCGAGTCAGGTTTCCTCGAGTGTATCAAGGATATGTATGTTTTGGTTTTACTTGTACATGGCTTTCGGGATAAGCTTTGGATAGTACAAATTGCTTCGTGGGCATTGAATACTGCTCTGTTGAACACCAAACAGAATTTGCATAACTAATGAGTTCGCTTTTGACAAGCTTAGCCACATTCAAATACGAAAAGCACAAGATATATATCCATCATTGTCTCTGATTGACGAATTATTTAGGTGAAAATACGCGCATGAGGGTGTCTTCATGTTTTGGATTAAGAACTAGCACCCATGTTAGATCAAAATGTGCCCAAAGCATATCCTCTTGACTTTAAAAAACCAAATATCCATGGATGTCATCTGTGACTGTAGGATCTTCCCCTAGAACCAAATGCATTGCGGTTGATTTAGGGTTGTAAACCACGTGGCTCACGTGCGCTTTCTTTCATGCACAGTTGCCCTATTGCAGCTGTTGTGCCCTAGTTCTAAGTTATTTGAGCATAACTTGCAAGTACTAGTTTCTTATTTGAATGAGACCAAAAGTATCCAAAGGAAATCCTTGTATGTATTGTTTGGTTTGTGAACAGTGACCAGTCGCCATTGATCGTCACTCAACAAAGTGGTGCGCAAAAGACAGTCTAAATTGCGACCAGACATTATAGCAGCTCTGGTAAATTAAATCGAGAACTTCAATTAGAGATATGATCCCAACCGAGATAAAAAGACCAGTCATGGAGTACTCCGTACCTCTTGATTCTATCAGATCGATAATTGGATCTATGATCATCACGTGCTCGAGCTGAAAACGCGGGATAGACGCGACGACGCGACGCGCCTTCCATTTTTCCGATCCACTAACACTGTAACCCCCGCTGGTTTTGACTAAAAACTGGCCATTGAGATCTTGAATTTGCCCGGTCTGTGGGTCCGATCGTGATCTATCCATTTTAAGCTCAAGATCTCCAAAGGGATTCGACCCGGCATCAACGTGGTGTCCCCGTGGCACGCAAGGCCTAATGATCGTCAATCAAACCTCAACCCCCGTGACCTGACGTCAGCAGCGGCCATGCTGTCAATGGATCTCGCATCAGCTCGTGGGACTAAGGTCCGTGACATTGTAATCGACCGTCGGCCTAGCACAGGCCGCGGCAAGAAACTCACTCTTGCGCAAGAAAACGTCTTACGAGAGCTCTATGAGCAGGAATTACCTTTTTTACCGGAGGGCGAGCACCCAGTGAAAAGATTCTGGGTCAATTTGGCATCACGGTTTCGCGAACACACCGGCCGCGAGTACTCTTGGTTGTCTGTCAAACGGCGGGCTGAGACTTGGCGTCAGAAGTCTCCCCGAGATGATGGACGGTTGCATACACCTAGCGCAGACTTGCTCAATGGTGGAGACTCAACCGCAAAAACTAGTCACGAACCTCTTGCTCATCACCCCCTCGGACTACAGGCTCCATGCGACAGTCCGCGGCCGGCTCAGTTACAAGACCGGGATTCCTCACAACTGCAGCACCCCATCAATCCGGGTCTCTCGGATATTGATAAAAATCACGGCGTGAGCGACTGGCTGCAGCGCAGCTGGTCTGTAGGTGTCACCAACCCAACTCAAGATACCCGGAGCAATCGCAGATCTTCTCGTACATCTCAAACCCGCGCCCGATCAAGGTCACCCCAGCGTGTATCACAGCCTAGATACAGGACTCGATCTCCTTCACGAACGAGAAGCACGGAGGTTGTACCCCGCCGATTACGCCATCAACTAGCCTTTGCCTCCAATGGACCTGTTGTGTCGCACCCCAGCTATTCTTCCGAATTTGGCTCTAGGATGGGACGGAACTCTTCCAGACTCTATCCTGTCTGTGAATCACAGGAAAAAGAATCTACAGATTACGAAATAAGTGATCCACCGAAATCAAAGCACAAAGATGGAAGAGTTGACCATCCTCTGCCTGGGTCCCCGCAGCTTTCTGAGCCAGATGACTTACCGTTGGCACCAGCCCGTATCCTGAGAAGGCGTGCTGTTGCAAAAGCAAACGAAAACCATGGTATAGGATAAGGTGAGAGTCATATGAATACAGTCTCACATGAATCTGATGCACGCATATGTACACTGTGTGGTGAATCCCAGAGTGAGGGGAATATGAAAGGAGTGAATGAGGCTGAACTAAAGATGGAAAAGGTCCCAGTGAGGTGAGATCTGAAGGCCCATGGGATCCTGGGAAGATCTTAAGACTGTGACTGTAATCGATTACTTAGATACCCCCACAGCGTTTATACAATTTATTGCGATGCAAGATGCCGTTATATACCCTCATGGTGTTGGTGCTGGTCAGCGAGCATTGCTCCTGTTGCTGCGCCATCTTTCCAGGTTCCGGAGCTTCCTAATCTGACCTCCTTTGACGCCGTCGAATACTCTCATGGTGTCTATGCCGGCCAGCCAGATGCTTCTGCGGCTGCGCCAACTTTTCAGGTTCCGGAGCTTCCTGATCTGACCTCCTTTGACGCCGTCGAATACTCTCATGGTGTCTATGCCGGCCAGCAAGATGCTTCTGCGGCTGCGCCAACTTTTCAGGTTCCGGGGCTTCCTGATCTGACCTCCTTTGACGCCGTCGAATACTCTCATGGTGTCTTTGCCGGCCAGCAAGATGCTTCTGCGGCTGCGCTATCTTTCTAGGTTCCGGAGCTTCCTGATCTGACCTCCTTTGACGCCGTCGAATACTCTCATGGTGTCTATGCCGGCCAGCAAGATGCTTCTGCGGCTGCGCCATCTTTCCAGATTCCGGATATCCCTAATCTGAGCTCGTTTGATGCCGTTGGATACCCTCATGGTGTTAGTGCTGGTCAGCGAGATGCCTCTCCAGTTGCTGCTGCGCCATCTTTCCAGGTTGACTTTTTAATTCATTTTTAAAATTTCAATTCACAAAGAAACCTGAAACCTTAGAAGATACCCAGCTCGTACCAAACATTTTTGACTATCATAGCGCCGTATTAATGGATAGTACCTAACCGTCTTCACGAGCCAGCCCTACCCCTTTAGGGCCTTGGCAGTCATAAACTACCTAGCTGCTCAGCAGAATTATAACATGAATACCATGTTCACTTACATGTAGTTTGTAACCTAATTTGGGGCTCAGACTGGGTCATGCTAAAGCCTATCTAAGAGTAGCATAAATAAAGTATGTAGTGTAGGTAAGGCGAGAGTGAAGGTAATTTGATAACATGAAAGCACCTAGGTATGTAATAATCGTGTAAGGATACGTGGAGATGTCAATGAGGTCTGCATTGAGGTACATAAGGTACTACCTATCGTCTCATTGCAAACCATCGCAAACCATCGCAACCCTACCTAAATAGGTAAGTGCGGAGAATGCAACGGAAGGAATCAGCGGAAACCTTGACGTCGTGAACGCGAAGTCATGGTCCCATTGATCATTGTCATCCTCATCGTCGCCGTCCCCCGTCGCCCCTCCTCACGATCGTCGCCGTCACCCTCGTCATCATCGCCCACCCTCCCCCTCCTCATCATCCTACAACTTGCAAGCTTTGGCGACGACGGATCCCTCTCCATCCCCTAAGGTTCTCACTTCCTCCGAAGGAGGACTTTTACTTCCGAAGGCTGTATTAGTCATGCACAACGTCTTCGGAGGAAGTGAGAAGAAACGGGTCGATGTTGAAGGGCGTGAACTCCAAAGAAGCCATCTCAAGGCACTCCGCTCGTAGCGCATCTGTGTGGCTACTGAAATAAGGAGCAGCCAAGTCATCAACCTCGGGGTAAGTATAGGTTGATACTGATGTTGGAAGACTGGGGGGTTTCCGCTGGTGAGACCTTGGTGAGAAGTGATGGCGTCAAAGGAGGTCAGATCCGGAAGCTCCGGAACCTGAAAGGTTGAGGCAGCCGCAGAAGCATCTTGCTGGTCGGCATCGACACCATGGGAGTATTCGACGGCATCCAAGGAGGTCAGATTAGGGACGTCCGGGATTTGGAAAGATGTTCCAGCGGCAGAAGTATCTCGCCGAGCAGTACCAACACCATAGTGGTATCCTACGGCATCAAGAGAGCCCAGAACATGAGTAGTCGGAACTTGCAAGGATGAAGCAGCAACATTCGGCGCAGCAGCTGCGACAGGAGTATGAGCAGGTCGACGAGCACGCACAGCTCGATCAACATCACCAAGCGACTGTCCCTGGATAACAGAAGAAGAGTGGCTTACCATGACAAACGATGTGGATGCAGAAGCAGCGGAGAGAGCGGAAGGCTGATTCTCCATGGCAGCGGAGCGTTGTTCAGTTTTCTCAGCAGACGACTGTTTCAGACCCCAAGCAAGTCCAGTTCCAGAGCTCTGCGCGGGCTGTCTACCTTTCACAGGTCGTCCAGTTGCAAGGGAATGGGTAGGAGCTTGAGCAGAGGTCGAGGTTGGCTCAGGCACCCTGACTCCAGCTTGACGAAGAGTCTGGTTCCTATACCTCTCTGCTTGCTCATCAAGGAATCCTTTGATTTCCTTGTACACAGTGTCGTTACTCTCAATCATCTCGCGGCTTTGTCTTTTGGCACTGCGCAGTGAATGCTCAACAGCGCTGACAGACTTGTCTCCGAGCATTTGCGCGATATGTCCGTGTCTGAGCTATAATGGGATGGTTAGCAACGCCTCATCCTGTGCAATGATCGACACTGATGAACGGAGATGGAAGTGCTTACAGTCAGCTCAGGATGCGCAGCAATCACAGCTCCGAGCAGCCTCTCTGGGTCCACTGCGGGGCTCATTGTGAATACGAGTTGCAAGATTCTTTGTGATTATGAGAAGAGATGATTTGGAACAAAGCAATGATGGATATCAAAACGATGGGATCGAGATGGGAGTCAAGTGAACGCACAATACGAGAAGATGCTTGAACGGGAGAAGATGCAGGAATGGGAGAAGAAGGAAAAGCAAAGCAAGATAGGGCGGTCGAACTCTCGAAGGTAGGATGTCGAAGCTCTCAAACGCACCTGCTTTTCCTGTACAGGCGGTTTACCATTGTGCTTCGCTTAATTCAGGCAATACTGATGTTTGACACCACCGCCGCCTCATTTTACTGCCATAGATGATACCCAGGTGTCAGCAAAAGCCTCTGACTACTGCAAAGGGCCCCAGGACTCTTGAGGGCTATCAACCTCTCACTATCAGCTTTTGAGATGGCATTATAGTATAGGAAACTTATGATTGCCAAACTGACTATGACACAACAAAGCGCAAGTACAAGACCCAGTATATCAAGCAGCAGAATGGAGTCAAACCTGAAGCTCAATGACTCAAATGACAATTCACCACCCCTGTCACCAGGAGGAGGACCACCGTCACCAGGCAAATTGTGCTAGCAGACCATGAATTCCCACGATGATTGAGTTCCAGGTTTCTTATCGGATTTCATATGTATTCCATGCTGAATCCGATTTGGAGATGCTTCATTCCCGTTCAATCATCCTAATCAGAGACTTCATATGTTTGAGCTACTTCAAATCCTTCCATACATGTTGACACTTTGTCCAGCCCAACTTTTATTCTAAGGTTCCTTCTCCAGATATTGCCATGTTATCACTGTAGATCTTCCAGTCTCTAGAACGACATGACAGTATTGGAGTCCAGCACAATTAGTAAGATTTGTATCGTGCAGTGCCACTTCCCATCCATACCCAAACATATCTCGCATGTCAAGAAACTGCATTTCAGTATCATTGATGGAGTGTATTCTAATTGACAAACTGTTCCAGACTGGTAAACATTACTATTCCTTCGCCCGTAATACTTTCAAGTCATTTGTAATGCCACAGCACAGTGGACTCAAACATGTGTACCAGGTAACCCGGTGTCATGTAGAAATTGCCTAATCGGGCTTAGTGTGAGGGCTGGTGACGTCAACGCACCCAGGAGGAGGGACTACATGGGAAATACAAATAAATACAATGAGTATAACTACAGCACTGTCAATTTGCAGTGATAATGCAGAGCCATGACCTTGGAAATTCTTACGATAAGTCAGTTTGAATAAAGCTTGGCCATCTTACACGCAAGAAGTCCACCTACACCATGACCTGTAGGTAATTGCGTGTCGTCTCTTTGCATTCTTTCTATGTAGATTGTATGGCCACAAGAAAAGTGCACTGTCCACCACCAACATGTTTTTTTGGGTTCTTCTTTTTCTTTTTTTTTGGGTTTCCCAAGTTTTCCACATCTGTATGTCCTGGGCTCACGCAGTATCATCTTCTTTATGCAAAGGATGCCCCAGGTGTATCGACGACGTCGTCACCTGCCCGCGTGACCCGACAAATAGAACAAAAAGCACAAAGCACAGAAAAGCACAAGAGAGATCTGTATGTCGAGCTTATCTTTGGAGATTCGTGTCACTGAAACATTCAAGCGACAGATATGAATCTTCCCTGTACAGGGCAGTTTAGATACTGCAACAGCTAGTCCAGGCGCTCCGAGGTAGAATCAGCAAGGAGATCGTCCTCCTGCTCCGGAGACCAGTCTGCATCCTTGCCATGATCATCAGCGTCTCCGGTTTCGGCATCGGCAGTCTCAGCGTCAGCATGCGAGTGTAGTAGAGGGTCAATGTCAGCCAGATCAGCCTCCTGCTTGATAGCAACATCATCCGTGTTGACCGTCTCGTCGTCATCGGCAGCGGTCTTGGTCACACGCTTGCGCTTGCGGACAGGACTGTCCAGAGTAGTGGTGTCGGCGTTCTTCTTGCGAGGGGTTCTTTTCTTGGGGGTGACGGGAGAGGAACCACCAGCGGCGGCAGCATTCGCCTTGCCCAACTCCTTGATCTTGAAGATGCGCTCCCGAATGGCACGAGGGGTCGGCTTAGCCTCATCATCCTTGGCAGCTAGAGGAGATGTTAGCATTACCTCTTGAGGGATGTTAGATCTGTTGATAGGCTTCACGAATCACTCACGCCATGCATCCGCAATCTTCACAAAATCAATGCTCAGCTCATGCGTTTGAAGGAGGATAGCGACAAGCTAGACAAAGAGGCGTGTTAGTGACGGATAACTCAAGGATAAGTCAGACGCAGGTGCAGGGCTGGCAGTGCCTGACCGGACGCCGCACCATATGTGACGAGTAAGAGGATTGGGGCCAGTTGATGGTGGTAGTAGGGATGGCAAAAAGAAATCGTGCCCAGTAGACGGCGAGTAAATGACGAAGAAGTGAGACAGGAGCAACGTACGATTTTGTCGGCCACGGAGTCCCACTTAATCTTGCCCATCGTGTCGGTCAGCGGGGCAAACGGTTCGTGATTTGGGGTGCAATAGGTAGATGCAATAGAGACCTTAAGGTGGACGTGGTGGAAAAGGTTGAGTGACGATCAATAATGTCAAACGGGAAGAAGTCTAAGCGGTGCTTTGGGGAAAATACGGAAGAAGGAGGGAAATTGGTGGGAGCAAACGTTTTAAACCCCGGGGACGAGAGATCAGATTGTTTGGGCACAGGTCCGGACAACTGATAGATGCGATGACTTCTCTTCTTCGGAGGGTCAAACAGTTGCGGATACCATAGTGCTATATAGAAAGGGTGGTGGTGCAGAGCTCCCCTCCCCCTCCCTCCTCCCCCCCCCTAAATTTTCAGGGTTTGCCATATGAATCCCCAGTCTCATCTATTCCGCTACCGCTAATGGGTACGCATATGGGAGTGGTAAAGGGAAAGAGAGGGTAACGATTATATAGTGGAAGTTTCAACACCTAGATTCTAGAAGAAGGGAGTTCCAGGATTTATATGAGTACGAATAGCGTCACAATTAATGCCTATTTGCTAGGGCATTAACATTGTCGACTTTAGGAAATATGAAACCTTAGAAGAATACAAGTACCTTACTTACTAAGGGCTCTGTTATAGTAATTCAGGTAGTTATATTCTCTGCTAGTAAATATTCAGGCAACTAAAGGCATATTTAGGCATTAATATTTCAAATATTAGTTTCCGACCCCTGGCCGCTATACAACTACACAGATATGATATTTAGGACGGTAGAAAACATGATTTTATGGTGTCATATGGCAAACCCTGAAGATTCAGGTAAAGGGGGAGGGGCTCTGCACCATCAACCTATAGAGAAGCCATGATCCGTGGACACACCGACGCACTACGGATGACCTGGTTGCCTTTAGTGATTGATGCCTTTGGTACATCTTGATTCTCCGTAGTCTCTATTCCCTTATTCTGTAAATGTTGATACACCCATGGATGCCTGGTCATTAGGATTTCTCTTCATTCTCACCATCTTTACACTTTTCATCAATAAGTATAAGCAGAATGCAGGGGAAACTAGAGCCTGACATCTGTGCATGAAAATCTCAAGCCAAAGTGCGAGCAAAGTGCGAGCAAAGTGCGACTACACTGCCCATGACTACACTGTGACTAACTGTGACTAACTACATAGGGTTGTTATAGTTGTATTAATTTAACGTCCGTTGAGGCACGGGCTACGCCCGTGCCTCTGCTACCTCCTATGGGGTATTGAGACGTGCTAAGCTATGAAGTTATGTACATGATTGTTTGCCCATAGGAAACAACTCCTTCTAATTGATAGGCTGATTAGGCCCCAGTTTGTTGCCCGTCCTTCCCCGGCCTGTGGGATCGATGCCATGTTTCTTTGATGGAGGGGACCTGCCGGGTTGATCTTGACTAACTGGTTGCTGGGGTGGCAAACCTACCTGTGGTAGGTCTTTCCATTAGCGAATCCTGTCCGTGAGCATGAGCCAAAATGCTAGTCGGGGCATTGTTTCTACTCTAAGATTTACAATAAGACGAAGGGGAACAGTGCATCTATTAGTGTTGGGAACCTCCCTGGAGTCCTACCTGGACGATCCTTCCTTTTCCCGACCCAGCTGACGCGAGAGCCGCCTCTCCCATTCTCCCTATGCTCGTCGGTGTTGTCTACCATTGTCCCCTCAAACATCCGCATCCGGATTCCTCCTAACCTTATACATGCACATACACGCACCCGATCTTGATCCGTGTGCGTAGGCCGTGACGATAGCACGAGGACTATAGACATGTGTAGCTTTTGCAAAGAATTAATTCCTAGGCCTCCTCTCTATTGTTTGGGAGAGGAGGGCCCTCTCGCAGGTGACATATAGTAGATTCACCGTGATTGGCATACTCGTTCATGAGGTGATTCTTCGTGTCTTATTCTCTTGGTATATTTGCTACGTAGGCATCTATCAAACAAAAGGATTGGTGTTCTGAATATGGTCTCACCGGTCACGTTTTGGAATCGGGAAAAGGACAGAAACAAAAACACAAGGGGAAAACTTGTTTATGCTTGATTTTCTCCTTTACACCTCCGTTCCTGTCTCAGCTCCTCTCATTCCACGCGTTCATCCTCAACTCATCCGGTATCATCAAGATGCGTAACTCAACTAAATGGGATCATGACATGGACAAGCAGGTAAGTCCCTGACAATTCCAGGCGTACTGTGGTTTGACACCGTCGCGGTTGTCTGGCCGTGATATCTGTCGCCCAATCATCTTAAGCCAACTCACCATTTCATCGTTCCATTGGCTAACTAGTAATGTCTTCATAGCTGATTGTAGCCATCCTGGCTACCATCGAACGAGTCGACTATGGTGCAATCGCCGAACAGTTTGGAACTGGTAAGTTAAATCCCTAGTGATGTTATTCACCCTTAACAACCCAGTACTTCCACATCGCCTTGTTGTTCCTTCTCTTTGCCCACTTCCAATCATACTCCATAGCCCTGGCTGAAAAGTTACAGGTATCAAGGCCGAAGGTATCAGGTCTCATCTCCGCACCCTGAAAGCCCAGCATGAGGCCAAGGCTTCTTCGTCCCCTACCCGCGATGGAAAGGCCGGAAGCACCCCTCGCAAACGCAAGCCTGCCGCATCTAGCAAGGCTGGGAAAGATACCATCATCGATGAACACGAGGAGGGAATGGAGCCAAGCCCTGCAAAGCAGCACAAGATGGTCACTGCGACTTCCGAACAGAAATAGTGTGGATTGATATGCAGCATTTTCACTGAACCGTTTTCACGCTTTCAGTGAAGATCTATGAAAGAGCATATCGGAGCTGGGTTGTGGTTCTTCGGGGCATTGTGTGACGGGGCATGTGGGCCCCAGGCTTGAGATCCAGCAAATAGTTATCTAATTTTCCATTATGGCCAAGTTCTGAGGCTTTCTTCCGGTTCTCTCGTCTTCATCGTGTGGAAAGTCTATGAATTATCGCAGATCCACTGCCAAGGCATGTCATAAGTCTCATGATACCTGCGAAGTATGCCAACTACAAGACCAATGGAACTCAATGGTACCAAAACGTACTAAACCCCATCGTTAGCATAGACAGCCTTCGTACTAGCACTTAGGATCTTCACGCCCGTAGCGAGCTTTTTCATGTGACCGTTCAGCCACCGAGATCTATGCTAGCGGGTCCGAATTTCGCTGGATACAAAACTAGATTTAAATAACTCAAGCTCAACCCGGGAATCTATACTGAAACGCAAACATCATACGGGAAAACAAATGTTCGTAGAAGCCGCTCAAAAAGGAAATCATGCCCTATGGTTGCGTTGATCAAGCCCATGACCATGAAATAACACCTTAAGCCCTACCGCTGCGCAGCAGATGGCTGGGCTGAGGTCCATGGTCCACTAACAAACTGTGACTCCAAAGGTCTCCTTGGTTCGCCTGGTGGATGTTCGGGATACTGGTTCGGTTGATGGTAAGGAACTTGATGAACGTGTGCCGACTCGGGAAATCCGGCTGGCCCGCCACCAGAAGAAAGCTGATGCTGCGTAAAGTATTGAGTGACACCACCTTGTGCCAACGGGTTATAATATTGTTGGCTGTCTTGCGTGAGAGATATGTCCGAATGTGCCCGTATCATGTGCTGCTGTTGATATTGACCCTGTACATGTTGCAGCGGTGAGAATCCCTGCAACGCAGGATCTTTCGGAGGGTTGTGTGAGTGGGAACGTGAGAGAGAATAGCCTTGGCCGATTCTACCCTGATCGACTGCAGAGTGTGGTGGATTTTCTGTGGGGTTTCCCAGGGACGACTGGTAGGGCTGCAGCTCGTGAATAAGAGCGCTATTCGAAGAACGGCGACCAAATTCTACCGAAGATGATTCTTCATTCTGGTGGGATGGGTATGACCCAAATCGTGGCCGGGGTGGGTTGGATGGATGCACATTCATACGGCCCTCCTCGTTAGAGCGGTCAAAATGACCTTGCTGCGACTGCAGTTGCCATTGGGGCTGGGGAGGAGATACTTCAGCCGTTTCCCTCGCCATTTGACTTTGTAGGTTGCTGCTTACTGCCCACGATGCCGGCGGCTGATGATTATGCAGTGGACCTGCAGGGAATCCCTGGAAAGACTGTGGATTCTGACCCACGCTGTAACCACTTGGATGACCTTGGTAGATACCTGGATTATTACCCCACGCTGCTGGGGGTATATTGTGGCCCACATGGTGAAGACCAGCGATTTGGTAACTCGGGTGGGTCTGACTCGCATATAATGCCGACTGTGGGCCATTCATCTCTCCACCAGGGCCGTGTTGTAATGGATTCTACTGACGAATCAGTATCATGCCAATAAGGCCCGTGGAACTCGAGGATTCGAGCATACCAGACCATATCCCGGTGTGTTTGCCGGAAGGTGTTGCCCATATCCGCCGGGCAAATGTTGTCCGGTATGGTTCAAATACCAACCTGGTACCCCGGAAGATCCAAGCATTGGATTTTGGGACTGCCCATGTATCTGGGGGTGAAGGGAATTCTATCCCACTATCAGTGCCATTCTTGCAACGCTTATGCAGACATAATGAGCGCGATTCCCTACGGAAATTCTCGCACTGTCCGCCGCCGAATAGCTCCCGCCCGTCATTGTGTCCCCTGACTCTGCTGCCCGATTACTGTCGCTTGTCAGGTGTGGCGTTGGCGTTAGCGATGGTCCTGTCCCGATCGGAATTGGCGTTGTCGACGGGGTCAGGACGACTGGTTCGGTGGGGATCTCCCATTGCGATTTCCCGGTCGTGCGCTGCACGTAATACCACTTTCGTTGAACACCTTCCCATTGAGGAAGCCTATGAGTACTGGTCGTTAGAGGACGGCAGATCGTAATCTGAGAATCACTCACCAGCCTTCTGGAAGTTGAGGCGGTGGGGATGACGGGCCTGCCGTGTCCGCAGGGGCCTCGGGCGCCATATCAGGCCTAACGGGGTCCGGGCGAAGTCAGAATAACAAAGGGACGACTACAAGACATCCAAATTATGGATATGAACGATAGAATGTAGATAAATAGAGGGCAAAGCTGTGGGACAAACAGATGTGAAGTCGAGCGAGACTCTCGGATAAGGCGATCCTGTGGGGCTTGGCCTCTGATCGTGCACAGACCGAGTCAACACCACTGAATCTTGGGGTTTTTACAATCGCGGTTATTGATCACTGAGGAGTAAGTATGTGTGAGATAATATAGTAGTTTCTGATTATCTCCATTCAAGTCTCTCATCTGAATAGGCCACCGCGGCGCCAGAACTTGAAAAATATTGAAATTAAAGAGTTAAAGAAAGCAAGACTCTCATCCACCGCAACAGAGCCTTCAGAAAAGATGCGGTCATAAAATATGGGGGAAGATTATCGCCGGGACTTCGGATCATATCCTATTAGTGCATATTTCCCTTTTGGCTAAAAGTCATCACCAGCCCAGTCCTCATCCCCACTGAGTTCATCGTCAAGGAAATCGTTTTCGTTGTACTGCAATTCGGATGGTCGTTGGTTATCAATTCGAATGTTCACAATATCGCACATTCCCTGTGTCTTATCGTCTTCGGGCTGTGAAGTTCCCGCTAACGAGGTACTGCTAGCAGTATCATCGAGTTCGCTACATTTTTGATGTGCTAGACGACTGCTCTGGCGTTTGGAAGCAGTGGATCTTCCACTACCGGCTTCGACTGGCCTTGAATCATCGACTTGAGCTTCAGGTTGATTGGATCTATTCGTCGTGGTGAATGTGTTGGATTCGAGGGGGCGCTTGTGAAGGGAGCGGAGATTGGGATCTGGAGGCTGGCTTCGACGCAAGAAAACTTTCTCAAGCCGGTTGATCCATCGCTCACGAAATGTAGCCCGGTCACGCCAGCCGATTTTCAAGATTGCACTGATGGCCAATCGTCTTAGGTCGCGAAGTGTGGGCGCTGCCTTGACAAGCGAGGTGAAAAAGACCTCTGCTGTAGCATCATCCCATTTGCGTAATTGGGTAAGTTCAATTTCTTGAAGTTTCACTGGCCACGTAGGAACTTCAGTCTGAACAAGTAAGTCTTCAAAATGCGGTTCGACATCGTGGTAACTGGACCCGTCATGCATAGAAAGGTCCATTTTGAAGATTTCAAGATTGTCACAAGATTCGGCCAGAGTCTGAATAAAAGACATGTTAAGATGACGGTTGTGGCTCAGACTAAGTTCTCGGAGATTCGTCCCGTGCGAAGCTAAGTAAGCTGTGAGATCTGATGACCACAGTCGATCACAATTATTGAGGGTGAGCGAGCGAAGGCCATTTGGCAAATTGATCAAGATCTCCCCATTCACCAAGGAGCTTTCAATGAATTCCAAGTGTTGAAGGTCTGGAAGCATATCAAGCGCTTCAAGAAGGCCGGCTTCTTTGATAGCCGATGTTTCTTGATCCGGATCATCAAGATGGAGCAACTTTAGCTCCTTCAGATTCTGAAATGCCCGCTGCGAATGTGTTTTCACCATCATCCCAATAAGCTCATCCGTTTCTAGAAAGCGACTATTCCAATCCCAGCTGCGAAGGATGATCCCACGGTTCTCTATGGCAGAAATAACATGGCTTGGATATGTCCACTTTGACTGAACAATCTGCCATGGAGGAATCCCGACTGTGTAATCGTCTTTGTGATAGAGTCGTAAGGTGTGTACCTGAGGGGTCTTCCCGATTAATTGAGAAAGGTCAAAGTAACCAAGAGTGGGTCCACTTTTGTAGATGAGCACCGGTTCAACCTCGACATGGAGTTCTTTGATTTTACTGGAATAGTTCATCGACAGTGACTCTTCCGGTTGTGTTAATAAATGAAGGAGGGCATGGCTCTTGTAGGCAGGCAGAAGTGGAGGGCAGTGATAGAGTGCGGCCAGTGCGGGTTCATGAAAACTCCGGCACAGCAAAGCAACATTTAGTAACCATTTGACAGAATCGTTGCGTGCCGAGCGGCTTTGGTCGAGTAACGGATGCGATGCGCGCAAGAAAATGTCAAGAAGGACATAATAGGGTAGTGATTGCCATGGAGGGATGACTCCTGATCCGATAAATATCGGGGTAGTTGCATCTGTCTTGATACGCTTGTGAAACCCTCTTCCAACCTGATTGCTGGTTTTCAATGATTGTCTAGTCCGCTTGGGCTTCTGGGTAGTTGCGGCGCGCCGAGAAGGTCGAGATCTAGCAGGGCGCGGAGTCGGTGCGGATTCAGTATCCGGAATTTGCGCCTCGCTTGGTGCAACTACGAATGATTCCGACTCCGGCTCTTCCAGGGATCCTTCCGTGGATTCATCAAAACTAGCATCAGTCGATTCTTCACGATAGGATTTCGGCACGCGAGTTGCACTGCGTGAGCGGAGCGATAGCGACGCACGCCTTGCGTTGCGAAAATCTGTTGATTCCTCTTGCGAAGAACTGTCTTCCTGGTAAGTCTGTACCTTGGTGCGGCTAGATCGCATAGGGCGAGTGGACCTTGATTGCGAACTTGAAGGCGCCATGACGGATAAGATTGCGCTAGGATAACGGAGTGGGTAACAAAGACCCGAGCCACATCGTTCGCACGACGCTGCGTGCTCAACGAAATGGGCACAGATCAACTGTTACTGACAAGGAAGCAATGAAATTGTGAATATTGTCGATCAAATTCGATCCTCGCGAGGGTCCGGGTGAGTCCGGTGTCATTAACGGATGAAGTCGAGGCCAAGAATGCCAAGAGTATCCCCTTATCGATAACGCCTCGATAGTGCGAAATGCCACTAACCGCTTTGGGAGCCACTTGCACGTGATAGCCCGAGAGGAACCCCGCCCTCAGGCCGTGACGCTAGTCCTAATTGGGGAGCACTAGATGGCCCCAAAATAGATTCTCAGCTTGAGCTTTAAGGATGGGCGCTTCCAGCCACCTCGAGGGGAAACCTCCTGGAACTCTACACCGTCGGCGCATTGCTATCCCAATTTGATATTCTTCGCTTTCACTTTATATTCCATCCAGTATAATGTGTTGAAGATAACATATATGCTACGGCTTCTGATTTGATGATAATGACGGCTTGTCTATGCGAACGGGATCTCTCGTGACTGCTTGTCTGCACCACCTATCTATTTGGACTCTACCTCAACAATTAGACATTAAAACCTTGCATTCTGAACGACCAATTCTCCGATGGAATCTTCATTCCCTGTTATGATGGAGTCCACCGATCGCTCGAGCCGTGGGGAGCTCGGCGGGCCGCAAATGGTCATCCAACAATATGCGCGATATCCCCCGACCTTGGAATCGACTTTACGGAGCGCTTCCTCTTTAGGAAGTGCTCGTAGCCAGGTAGATACCAACAAGTCGCCTCCTCTACAACGAAGAGAAACCCCCAGAAGCTTACAATCTTCTCCGAGGGGCATACGTTCCGGCCTGCCCCCATCATCAGCCAATCGCTCTGGTACATCTATGTCCCCACCAGCTTTTGAACCTCATCGTCACCAGCCGATGAAGGATTCCACGGACCAAGCAGATTCTCGTGTCCTTCCGTCACGGGACATCACTGATGAGACAATTGATGATGCCTATGTGTCTTTCATCTTGTACTGCAATCCTAATGTTCCATCCTCGGTTGACACATCAGAACTTCGAAAAACATTCCGATGCTTGCCACGTAGCGATGGGAAGAGTTTTAATATCTTTACTTTATATGGGCTCATCCGAAGGCGACTTCAGAATGAAGAGTTGAAGACATGGATTCAACTAGCAATTGAGTTAGGCGTGGAACCACCTTGTCTTGAGAAGAAACAAAGCACTCAAAAAGTTCAACAGTACACTGTTCGACTGAAAGTGTGTCTACCCTCAATTCCTCTTGTGCTTTCCTTGCTAATTTCGCCTAGCGTTGGATGCGTGCTATGCACATAGATGCTTTTTTTGAATATTGTATGGGCTTGCCCCATGTTTATTATACCCAGCTTCCGCCATCTGGTCCTTTCGTCAGTGAATCTCGCGATGGTGTGGCATTGGAAGAGGATCTCGCACTGCGGGCACTTGTGCCACAATGGAAGCCAAAACGCGGACGGAAAAGGGTTGAAGATAGGTATGCCGAGGAAGACAAAATAGTCAAACGACCCCAGTTGGATACGTCCGTTGGCGCCCTACAACAGGGCAGCTTTCAGCCTCATTCCGTGACATTCCCACAGAGTGCGATTCCATTCAGTGCATTCCCTGATGACATGGAGTCAAATGATCCCTGGATGGCGGCCACTTCCTCCTTTCCAAATGGATCTGGGTCCGAGCAACAAGGTCAAGATCTCCGCTGGAGGCTTCCTGAACGGGATACCTCTCCGTCTAGTTATCCTCAGTCTGCCATTGTTCCACGCAACAGTCTACCATCAGATGTCCTCATGTCTGCCGAACCCCGATCGGCTGTTACTCCGTCAACTGGTGAAAAGAGCCGCTCAAGGAGGAGACATGGACCTGCAGTTTCATCTGCTTGGCCAAACAGCAACGGATTGTCCACTGGGAAGGGTCGAGGAAGACCACCGAACAAAGGGTCATCATCGGGATCCTTTTCCACATTCCAGATCAATCCCAGCCGGGAATCATCACAGGCCCCTCACACTGATACACAGCCTCTTGCACATTCTCTTGACACGAATACCTCTCAACCTTTTCAGACTCCGCCTTACAATCAAACCCCGACACCCATCGCGCAAGGGCGACCTAATAAACTTCAGTTGCAGGTTCCTCAACATTCGGGGGCCCCAGTCCGACTCGCAACGCCACCAAGACTTGTAGTAAACGGTATCAATGGCGCCGTGGTTGCTGGATCGGAAGGCTCCATAAGCTCCCGCCAGCATCCCACAACGGATACTTCGAACAACAGCATCCCTAGCCAAACATCTTCCAGTGGCCCCAACAATGCCAAGACTGTCCCAAATCCTTCCATCGACGAGATTGTTCAGGCACTTTCTGCAGAGCTTCTTCGTGCGAGACTCACGGGGCGTGCGGCAGCCCTCAGTCCCGATGAGGCTAGCTCTTTGGCTTCGGCAATCGTGATCAACCTCTCTTCACTATATTCACAGTTCCAAATTGGTACTCCTTCTCTGCTTCTCGCCTTTCATCTAGGTATTGGTCATCATTTTGGATTTACGGGGACCAATCCAAGTTCACTGGCTATCAATGTTGAGCGTGTCATGCCAAGCAACGATGGAAGTAGAGATCCCCCTGGCTCTCATGGGTCGTTTGGTGGGGCTTATTATACCATCTCCCATGAGTACAAAACATCGGGCCAATTTTCAATGCAAATAATGCTCGCAAATGTCAATCCTAATATAGGGGGGACCGGGGGCTCTAATCATCCTAGCGTGACCATGGTCCCGAGTCATAAAAGTATTGACCACAACAAGCTAGTGGAACTGGATTCGGATGACGATGATCCCAGTCAACCTATCTCCGAGGCGACATGGAAACTGCGTTACACCAGGCTTCGGGCTCAGATGCAGAAAAAGGATCAAGCTTTGTCACAGTACAAGCGAAAGATTGTGGAATCTGTCATGGCGGACATATAACGCCTGTCAACCAATTTTATTTACTTGTATTAAGCTTGGATATCTTGGTTATGCTCTCTTTTTTCTATATAACTCGCCATCCTTTTGCGTATTTGTTTGACAGGATACCCCTTTGCTACATCGAATCCTACTGTATGCTTTCGTTTTATGAATGGAAACAATATTATTTTTGGCTATCTTATTCTTTTTTGACGAAAGCTTCGCAATGATACCTCATGAGCATTCCAAGCAGAACCAAGACGTATGTATCGAAGTTTCAACTCCTCCAGTTTGATACTCTGATTTGTGCTTCTCTTTACCCACCGGGGCACCTAAGGGGTCAGTTACAAGTTTCGAATGCTACGTAAATACCTAGGTAGGCGCTTGATATGAAGCGCCACTAGAGCATCTGTCACAGGAGTCGTTTAGACTGTGCCTTCCACTCCGTGGTGTGGTCTTTTAAATCGATCACTATCTTGTATTTAATTGTTTCCAAACCATCGACTCATGTGACAACACGGCCCCCATTACAAGATAATTAAAGACAGACATATTTGGTAAATAATGCTATTCGAAGCGAGTGTTGGTTCAAAGGCCATGGGATTCACCTACTCACTTCTGCCAATGAGCCCTTGGATTCCAAATAGCTCTGGACCTTAAGCTTCAAAAGACGTATCTCGAAGGGGGAAAAGCTTATAATCGTTACTCTCATAGGTGCTGTCTAGGTATTTTGACGGCCTCATGTTTTCTCGGGTCATTTCTAGCTCCTGGCACGCTACCCCAAAATTGGTGAGAAAGGAAGAGCCGTTAGGCCTGCTTCCTACGTTACAACTTGTTGGAAGACGGAAGAAACTTGTACATTATGACATTATGTCTGACCTACAAAATCAGGGAACAACTGGAATAGATAGCATATGTGATGTAAAGCAACAGACTGACAAATGGACATATGAACCTCAGGATGTAGTCCTCATAGTCTCCAACACAATGGCTCAGTCTTGAAGCGTTTCAACTTTGACAGCGACACCCCGACCTTCCTGAACTTGAGCTTGTGGACCTTGAGCTTTTGGGCCCTGAGCTTGTTGGCCTTGACCCTGCTGAGCCCGCTCTTGCTGGAATGGGTCTTGCCGACTTTGAACTTTCTGACTTTGAGCTTGCTGACTTTGGGCTTGCTGACTTTGGGCCTGCTGACTTTGGGCTTGCTGAACCCGATCTTGCTGGAATGGATCTTGCTGAACTTGCTGGAGTAGGTCTTGATGACTTTGAGCTTGCTGGCCTTGAGCTTGCTGACCTTGAGCTTGCTGACCTTGGGCTTGCTGACCTTGGGCTTGCTGAACCCAATCTTGCTGGAATGGTTCTTGCTGACCTTGCTGGAGTAGGTCTTGATGACTTTGAGCTTGCTGGCCTTGAGCTTGCTGACCTTGGGCTTGCTGACCTTGGGCTTGCTGACCTTGGGCTTGCTGAACCCAATCTTGCTGGAATGGTTCTTGCTGACTTTGAGCTTGCTGACCGTGAACTTGCTGGCCTTGAACTTGCTGACCTTGAACTTGTTGGCCTTGAGCCTGCTGAGCCCGCTCTTGCTGGAATGGGTCTTGCTGAACTTGCTGGAATGGGTCTTGCCGACTTTGAACTTTCTGACCTTGAGCTTGCTGACTTTGGGCTTGCTGACTTTGGGCTTGCTGACTTTGGGCTTGCTGAACCCGATCTCTCTGGAATGGATCTTGCTGAATTTGCTGGAATAGGTCTTGCTGACTTTGAGCTTGTTGGCCTTGAGCTTGCTGACCCTGAGCTTGCTGAATTTGAGCTTGCTGGCCCTGAGCTTGCTGGCCCTGAGCTTGCTGAATTTGAGCTTGCTGAATTTGAGCTTGCTGAATTTGAGCTTGCTGGCCTTGGGCTTGCTGAACCCGATATTGCTGAGCCCAGTCTTGCTGAAAGTGATCTTGCCAACCTTGAAGTTGCTGACCCTCGATGCTCGGTATTTCCCCATAGTCCTGCTGCTCTTCTTCGATTTTCACAATCGGGCCTCCTTCCTGTCGCGACGGAGAGCGTGGCTCCCAAGTGATGGTGGGTTCAACATTCATGGCAGCAAAGGGAATTTCAAATTCACGCATGTCAAGGTCTGATTGGATGCTGGACGATGTATAAGGGTAACTGGTTGCCATGGTCGGAGCTTGATAAGGATTCATGAAAGATGATGTTGCAGGAGTATGCGATGGTAGCCCAGATGGCATATTTGACGCCAGCTGAAACTCTGTCGAGGCAAACTCCTGAGGTAAGTAGTACTGTGCCTGCATAGCAGTCTCTGGCATGGACTGTAGAGAGTATTGCACGACACTCTGCAAATTTGGGTTTCCTTGAGTGCCCGGCTCACACTTCACGAAGGGATTGCTCTGGAGTGATGAGTCCATTGGTTCCATGGGCATGACGAGAGTTGGACCCATTGGAAAGGTGCCTTGCATGTGGGGAGGAGGCTCTACGTTCTTCTCTTTCTTGGATTTGCGTTTTGTTCTTGCTGCCCCTGTAGTTCCTTCCATCTGTTGTCGGAAGCGCGAATACCGCATACGAGCGGCATGGCCATTTGAGACATCAAGATCGGAGGCCACACGATTCCAATCAATCTAGCATATTCAATCGAGATTAGATGAATCATCAGCTCGTAATCAAGTAATGTACTAACCGATTTCAGGTCTAATTGCTTGATAATTGTGTAAAGGAACTTTGCAGTGGGACTGTCTGTCTCTAGCACTTTGTTTCGCTGTCTCATGGTGGAAAAGAGAGGCTTATCGACAGGGGTAGTAAATGGCGTTGGTTGTGAGGGAATCAGAAGATCCATGAACAGAATGATTGAATATATAACCGGCAAAGGATCACTAAATCATTAGGGACTATAACCTGCTTGTAGGCTACATCAATGATCGCTTTGTTGTTTGTAAATATGAGAAACAATGATATACACAATTATGCGGTTGCATTGCTTCCGGTATGGGTCCATCAACTTGGTTTGCTTTGCTCAGAAGCAATTGCATTCTGCGATAACCCATCTAGTCCTTTATCTGCATTACACGAGATGGGACAATCCAGTTTGGTAGGTATGATCTGGCAATGGTCCATACTAGATCAAAGAATTTTTCCACGGTCTTTGGGAAGCATCATTCAAGATGAGAGATATAAACAGACGTTGTTGTGTTAGAGTGCCTATAAGACACGTGATATATATACTGGTACATACATGATCTAATTGTACAAAAACACCATATCCATGAATCAGTCTTCTCAGTATCCAGTATAGATGTTTCATTTACGATATATCTAGGACAGTCATCGCGCAATATTCAAAGCCTCTGGTACAGGATGATTCCTTGCCAAGACAAACAACAGAATCCAGATGTACAACAGGGCACATACCACAAAGCCAATACAAAGCCAATGCAAGACTCGGAAAATAATCAGACAAACATAGCGCCTGTTTTTAGCAAACATCTCACTTGAAAACGTAACCGAAGGTTAAACCTCTACTTCAGCCTCCAATCTTGCTGGTCATCAACGTTCCGAGGTCGGGACCTCCAGACGCCAAACCATATGATGACTAACCAAGCATTAGGCCCGGCCCGGGGCCCTGACCCCGGGGCCCCCGCGGGCGGCGAGTGAGGCAGAGCCAAATGCGTCCAACAACATTGATTGACCGAATGATCAATCCGCACAAATACTAACCTCCTCATACCCTCTTGGTTTTCGCAGGGATACACGCTACTTGGAACCATCATCATGACCCTAGTTGCTGTAGGGGCATGTTACCTTGACACAATTTTAGCGTGAGTTTGAGTTCTGCCTATTTTGAATTTACTCGCATATCTGGAATTCAGTATTTACATTATTTGATTAGAACTCCTTATTACCCAAGTGAAGATGAGAAACTTCGTGCATCCAAGGTCAGTCGCCGGCGCGGCGGAAACTGCCCAAACACTCTTGAAGTACTGGGCCAACTGCTGCAACATGGGCCTTCGAGGGACAAGTATTCACTGAATCTTCTGAGTGTTCTTCCCTCAAGGTCATCGGTAGCATTTCAGCAGATCAAATTAAGTCTAGGAAACAATGTCCGGCTAGATGACTGCATTTACCGAGAACAATTCAGTGAACCAGCCTCTAGTTACATTATTGCGAGCCAAGCCACCAGTAGCAGGACGATTGTCAATTATAATGAGCTACCCGAAATGACTCAAGGGGAATTTGCGATTGCCGTTGAGCCCCTACGTACTACGAATGATCGACTCTGGTTCCATTTTGAAGTGTGTTGAATACCGGCTAAGTGATATCTAGTCCTTAGCTGGCCACAGAATATGCTGACTTTGATCTAGGGTCGCTCACCAGATGTGACATTCGATTGTATTGATTATATTCGTTTGCATTTCCCAGGGGCTAAGGTCAGCGTCGAGGTAGAAAAGCCAGGCAGAGCAGGCTTGCAGGAGCTTGCAAATTTAGCAGACGTTGTTATGTACTCGAAAGGCTGGGCTCAGGTGGGAGACTTTCTTTTCTTTTTTGCTTCTTTTGGGTTCTCTGCAAGCACGTCTAATAACTGGACAGAGCAGTGGATATGGATCCGCGGAAGATTGTTTGCGAGATCAATCGCCGAAGACAAGCCAAGCGTAAGCCTGGACCGCAGGTGTCTTAAACAACCTGATCTGACCTACTTTATCTTGCATGTAGGTCCTTGTTATGCTGTACATGGGGCCATGAAGGGGCCGCGGCTCTTGAACCACGGACTGGCAACTTTGCTCATGTCCCGGCGCACGTTGAAGGGCCAGGGGCCATCGAGTGAGTCTTGGGCTTTCTAATCTTCTCAACAGTTTGATCAGACAATACTGATCTATTACAGCACCATCGGTGCGGGAGACACCTTTAATGCCGGTCTACTTTACGGTCTCATCTATCGATCCCAGGACTGGGATTTCCACAAGAGATTGGACTTTGCCATTCTTATTGCCGGCTTGAAAGTCACCCAAGAAGGATTTTCGAATTTACACAGAGCGCTGGATGTTTTCTCATACTGATCCCGACTATTCCTTTCACCGTGGTGAAATGAATGTCGGGCCAACGTCGAGCCCTTCGAGGGGATAGACTTGCCTACTACGGTTCTTTTTTTGAGCCTGAGAAGACTTTGGTTGAACCTCTTGGCACAATTTCACATTTCCGGACAACAAATTATCAGGCTTATTGTAACATAACGCTCTAGCTTATGAGATCCCTCTATCATATCCTGAGTTGAGATATTATGAGTGAAAAGGATGTATTTGCTTTGGGAGAGTATAAAGCAATGCGTCAGGCTGTTATAACTCAATGCTTGGTTATAATGTGCTTTTTGACGCTATTACCACCGTAGTATATTGTATGTGTGAGAAAAGCAGTGGAAAATGGTGGAAATCATCAACATAAGACTTGACTGAATCAAATTTATTGTTCAAAAGGATGTTTGGCAGGAAAGTGGGGCGGTAACCCACGGCAGATAAAGGGCGAACCCACTCCGGCACGTGACATAGCAAGATTCAGGGCGGTAGGAAACAAAAAATATTCTGCCATCAACTTTTTGATCTCAGATTGCTCTTGCACGATCAATTCCAAATTCAATTTGACACAATCAGACGTCACCATGGCATCAGTTTACAAGAGCGTCTCAAAGAAGGCGGCTAGACAGCCCACTGAGGATATGTCCGACGAGGATATTGAGATGGAGGAGCTCCTCGATGGTGAAGACGACACCACTGATAGCGAAGAAGAGTCCGACGACGGCGAGGCAGCTGAGGTTGTGAAGAAGCAGCTTGCTTCTGGATTCATGCCCAAGACCCGAGTACTTATTTTGACCTCCAGAGGCGCATCTCACCGGTATGAACATTGCGCCTTGAGAAATACTAAGCAAATTTACTGATCTGTGCCATTTTGCTTTTTTCTAGCCACCGACACCTGATGTCTGATATTTGCGGTCTTCTCCCCCATGCCCACAAAGAGACCAAGCTTGACACAAAAAAGAAGGCCGCCGGCTACAACCTCCTTCTGAACTCCCTCGCCGACCTTCACTCGTGTAACGTTATCTTCTTCCTCGAGGCCAAGAAGAATGGCCAGGATCTTTACCTTTGGCTTTCACGCCCTCCCAATGGACCCACAATTAAATTCCACCTCAATAACTTGCACACAATGGGCGAGCTCGGCGCAGGATTTGCAGGAAATTGCCTGAAGGGTGGTCGCGGCCTGGTCGTGTTCGATCGCTCTTTCGATGAGCAAGGTCCGGATATGGGTGCTCCTGGTAGTGAATACCGCGCACTTGTTCGGGAGATGTTGCGCGGAGTTTTCTGTGTGCCCAAGCGTGGCGTCAGAGGTATGAAGCCATTCGTCGACCGCATCATCGGTATCTTTGGAGTGGACGGCAAGATCTGGATCCGCGTCTACGAGATTCGCGAGTCTGAGGCTGGCAGCAAGAAGAAGGAGGGCGAGGAGGAGGTTAAGCCTACACTGAAGGGCAAGGACGGCCAGCCAGAGGTTTCTCTGGTCGAAATTGGCCCCCGCTTCGTTCTTACCCCCATTGTCATCCTCGAAGGCAGCTTCGGTGGACCCGTCATTTACGAGAACAAGGAATATGTCAGCCCCAACCAGGTCCGTAGCGATATCCGACAAGGCAAGGCTGGCCGCTACTCCCAGCGCCGAGACACCCAGACCGATCGGGTGGCCAAGCGCTCCGATCTGGGACTGTCAGAAAACTCTGTGCGCAAGGTGGATGCTTTGGACACAAGGAAGCTGTTTGCATAGGGGGTTTACGTTTTTGTTTGGTGGTGCTATTTCTAGACTTGATATCCCTCGGGATGATGTTTCGACTACATGTGTATATTTGATGCGACGCTTTCATCATGGTCTGTTAAGGCGTCGGGGCAAAGTCTCATCCTGGTTAATTTCAAAAAGTTGTTTATTCCATTTTGTTCCCTCGTATATTGTTTTTGGTTATCTGAGGCTCAAGAGCTTCCCGGTCTTCAGAATCACTCCGAAGAACCGAACCTTCCAATAAAGACCTCATTGGACGCAAGGGGCAAAATTAGCTAAGCGTCATATAAAACGACGCCATCATGCCAAACTCGGTCATTTTTATCCTTCGACCTCTATCATGGCATTGCTTTTGATTGCGAGCCCTCTACGGCCACAGGAAAGTTATTTTACCAACATGTTCACTCTTTACACTACAGTGTCTGTTGCCTCTATCGGCCCCAAAGGCGGGGTGAATTTCCAATAAGCCCATCGTACGCGCGACAAGTGTTGATTGCTTCAATTCGCGACGGCACTGTCCACTTGTATCTTGGAAGATTGGTCGTGGCTCGTGTTTCCATTTTCCTACCCTGGTACAAATAACACTGTCTCACCTAGTAAGCCATCACCATGGTGTTATCAATGAGTCATTCTAATAATGTGCCCGTACTTCCCAGTAACAAAATAAACATTGTCATCATGTCAATTGATCATCTTGCAACCGAGCTTTTGCTCCACATATTTCGCTCCTGCGATTCTATCTTCGACATTCTGAATCTAGCAGCGAGTTGCCGTCGGCTTCACCGCGTCTTCAACTCGACAAGCAAACTGCATATCTTAGCCAGCACTGCGGAGATCGAGTTCGGCCCTCTTAAAGATGCGATTCAAGTGGTGACTCATAATGAGAGTCAGCCCGCTCATCTCATTCGCCATGCGCCTATGTCTGATTCCTTGCTAAAACAAGTCATCCAACTCGGCCTGGTGGCGCGGAAATGGGAAATGATTTACCCATTCAAAAAGTGGAAGATAGACTTTGAGAATCGCCGCTCCCTTACCGACGAGGAGCGACTACGATTGCGCCGTGCAGTCTACCGCCTATGGCTATATCATAGTGCATTTCACTCCGATGCTTATGATCGACATTCTCGCAGTCTTCGCCATGTGGTATTGGAACGTGCTCAGCTGCTTCACAATTGGTCCACGCAAGAGCTGGCCGAAATAGAAGATTTGCGCCTCGTCATGAGTGATATTGTACAGAACCATATATGTCCCAGTAATGGGACCATTCAACGCAAATTCCGCAAGCGCTACCCTGACCAGCAAATTTCGTTCAACATTCACCTCAATTATCCTCCGTCTTCAAGTGTTCTGTCTTCACATGATCACTCTTCGTTTCACAGAATCCCTGGTGCCTCGGTACAGAAATACTTTCATACAGCTCACCCGAACAATTATGCTGAATCGCCTGCCAAGTACCGGTCTCGGTTTCGCAATGATCTCTCCCATGACCCGGGGTATGAAGGATGGGGTGATGAGATCCCACATTATTATATTGTACAGGATATGCTGAAGCTCGATCCTGGCCAGATTATATGGTTGCGTGACCATGCTCTGTTGAAGGAGCAGGTGGAGGAATACATATGGTCCCTGGGGGAATGGTTCCGTGACAATGGCGAGACGTTCGGTGATACCTTGGAATATGTTATGAATGAACGTGGTATCGAAGTTTTAGAATTTCGCTCTGCAGTGACTAATCGTGACATGGGCATTGTGCTAAACTAGATCGGTGGCTCTTCTTGGTTTGATTCATCGAGTGAAAAATGGACCTGGACTTCCTTATATAGGTTGGTCCACTTGTGATTTCTATCTGCTAGAGAATAAATGGCTCACAAATGCCTACATATACGTCATAGGATCAGGTAGGTGTAATTCTTAGACGAATGATAGAGGATATGCCTACCTAGATAGTTTTCTATACATATATATCCGTGCCCAATCCATCCCTTTCGGGGAATAAATAAGGGTCTACTGTTTCGTAAATGTCGTCTCTCCCAAGTGGTGCCCACGCCAGACGCTAATTTTTAATCTCGCTCTATGAAAGGCTGGCCCGAAGAATTAAATTGCATTGTGGAGCAGGTGGGCCCTGCTCCTCGACAAGACATTCCAATGGCATAGGTAGCCTCTCTGAGGTTAATCGCATTATACAACTACAATTCGCTCAAGTGTGGAATGAATATGCATTTTCAGAGATTTCATACAAAAGCCACGCAGCCGCAATGTTAGACGCCCAACCAAATTCATTGCACCAGCAAGTGTGTTCATCACCGTAGAGACATATCACACACACCAGTTGAGCGAACAGAAAAAAAAAGGGGATCAATTTCGTTGAGGACCATGAGAAAAATGAATTAAAAAAGGACAAAAGAAGGGGGAATCCGACGGTAACATGACCGCAGACTCCTATTTTCCCGTGTGGTCTCTCTAGGTAACAGATCCCGCCTGTGTATCATCTTTGTAGCCGTCAAATTTCAGACTCCAACACAGATCAAGACCATCTCAATATCACATCGCAAAAAGAATAGTCGTGGCGGTCGGAGCGTCATCCTAGCAAAGGGGTAATCTAGCAGCAGCCCTGCTTCTGCTCGCTGTCTTGCTTGCTAGGGTCGATAACAGGACGGCGGTCGAGAACCTGCTGGCCACCCTCCCCAGAGTCCAGAGCCTTGCTGGAGACAATGCGGTAAATTTCTATCTGGTTAGTAGAGGAAGACAAAATGCCAAGGGACCAATTACTAACCCGTGAGAATGTTTTGGAAGGCCAACTCAACATTGCTGGCGTCCAGGGCGGATGTTTCGATGAATGAAAGGTTGTTCTCGCCTGCAGAACGTTAGCGCCACACAACGCAACTCGAACGATCGGGCAACGTACTGGCAAACTGCTTGGCCTCCTCTGTGGGAACCGCACGCAGGTGGCGCAAATCGCTCTTGTTACCAACAAGCATGATGACAATGTTTGAATCGGCGTGGTCCCGCAGCTCCTTCAACCACCTGTTGACATTCTCGTAGGTCTGGTGCTTGCTAATATCGTAAACGAGGAGCGCACCGACAGCGCCACGGTAGTAGGCAGAGGTGATTGCGCGGTAGCGCTCCTGGCCAGCAGTATCCCAAATCTGTGCCTTGATTGTCTTCGAGTCGACTTGAATGGACCGGGTCGCAAACTCCACACCGATCGTTGACTTGGAGTCCAGGTTGAACTCATTGCGGGTGAATCGACTCAAGAGGTTAGATTTACCGACACCAGAGTCTCCGATCAGAACCACTGTTTATCCTCACAAAACCTCCGAAGTCAGACATGGGTACTTTCGAGGGGCACAAGGGGGTGGGGGATAAGACAAGGGCGGGCATCAGCATGTGGTGGCGACGTTACCTTTGAAGAGAAACTGAGGGGCAGATCATCAGCATCATATTCTGAGACATAGAACAGTCCGGTGTTATGAATAAACTCACGTCATATTCGTCGTTGGCCATTTTGAATGTAAACGAGCCAGTCAAGCTCGAACGGTGGTATCAAAGTACAGGTAAACGTGGCGGATAAGTGAAGATTGAGGGCGTGTACTTGAGAAACTGAGAGGGCAAAGTCGAGCTATGTTAGTTTTGAGCTCACGGCAGGCAGAGAGGAAACCAGGGGAGTACACACACGGGACGTAATAGACAATCAGCAGGGGATAGTTAGTGATGCCTGGGTCGAGTGTCTCTCCTTAATCGTGCCGAGCCCATTATGGCTTAGCGTGGGGGTCACGTGTGCTGGCGTTTGATGCGCGGGCGGTATCTTTTATCCTTTTATCGGCGGGCAGTATCCACTAGATAACTTTTTGTTCTTGCTTGGCTTGTTGCTGCCATTGCGACATATCCACGCACTTTGTTATTTCGTCTTCAATATCTCCAATGAATATGCACCACGGTATGCACTGTTCCTAATTTCGCTATCTCTGAAGCCCCGCATTTCAAAGTTTCAATTCAAGCCCCATACTATCCACTGTCTTGCTTGTGTATTGGATGTGAGCTACTGGACATCACGCAATGATACAGTTGTTGACTTGAACCACCAGACTCCTAGAATGGCGTCAGATTATGAGATGAATGATGCTTTTGGACAAGATGGGGATGCAGATATTGACTCTTTGGCATCTACGGCCGAAAGTGAAGAGGAAGCCGAGTATGTTGTGAATGCTATTCATGCGGAACGGAAGTTCTACGTAGAGCCAGACTCTGAAGAAGATGAAGGTGTCTTTGTTCCTCAATACTTGGTTGAATGGGCTGGGTATAACATTGACAGGTGCAGTTGGGAGCCAAAGGAATCCTTTACTTCCGAAGAGACTTTGCGTGATTGGGAAGCGAAAAAAAGCAGATTGCGGCAGGCAAAGTCAAACCATTCGACATCAAGTCGTGGGAAAAGCATACCAAAACGGTGCAGAAAAATACGGAAAAGCGAAAAGAAGAGCGGAGGCGCAAACGAGAGCAAAGGGCACGACAGAGGAGCATGCCCCAGGCTGAACAATCTCGACCGGCCTTTCTTGATATCACGGATGCTCATGGATCCAAAACAACTCCTGTGGCTGCCAGGGCTCCTAGGGCTCCCCGGCAATCCCTAGTCTCCCGTCGCGATTCTTCGGTTCTATTTGTTCCAGCCGAAACTCCGCCGCCATCCAGAAAGCCAGCGTCTCGCGAATACCCAGAGCAGATAGGTTCTTCAAGACCAGCTGCCTCAATTCCCCAACTGTCTTTGAATAAATCTCTAATTCCACCCCCTTCTCGATTCGCAAAAGACAGCGGTGTCAAGCAGACACATTCGGTGCGCCCAAAAAGCCCCCCTCAAACAGCAAAACCCACACTATTTGGGTCTGGAACGGGGCCAGGAAACAAGCGCGTATACCGTGACAAAAATTGGGTTGATCGAGCACCGGATCTGTCACAGGTAGAAATGATGAAGCCTTCAGAATTCTCGGCAAGGACAAACATGGGCCTTAGAAGTCTGTGCCCATCTGAAAAGACTCCTATCTCCCCCGAGGCCCAAAATCAATCTACCTCTGAGAATCCAGTCAGCTCAACTGGTCTACCAAATCCTCCTGCTTGTCGAACAGACTCTAGACCTGCATGGCAGCCAGATAGAAGTATTGTTCCTGCGTGCTCAGCCGTGGCGCCTCCAGTACCACGCTCTTCAAACTTAGTGTCTACTGCGTCGCCTTCCTCATTAGCAGTACTGGCTGGGCCCAATGTACCGTCGAACCCACAGAGGCCTGCTGATCCCGTAGTTTCTACTACCTCTACTTCTTGGCCAATTGTTCATTCCAACCGCCCCGCAGAGCCTCCTTTAGTGGATCCTCCTGGAGCCCCAAAGTCATATGTTCTTACCACCTCACTCTTGCCAGCCGCTCAATCTCCGCTCATACCACAAGCCAAGCTAACCGGGATTTCCGATGCTGCGGCGTCCAATGGATCTGAACTCCCTTCTGGTGTACCTACAGGCCCCCGTGCGGACAGTACTTCAACGAAGTCTGCTGGGCCTTCTGGTTCAAGCAAAATGCCTCTTTCGCTAACCATTCCCACCATTCCCCGCGCTATGGGCAATTTGAAACGACCTTCTGGACCTCGGAGACCACAGGACGACCGAGAATCAGGACACCGTTCTGATTCCTACGGGTCAGACTCTCCACAACAGCCCCACAGCTCAATCAAGGCCGATAGCTATCGACCATCAGAGCTCTCTCGACGGCCATCACCTCCTCGAAGATCCTCCCCCCTCGGTGGTCTTCGGAGCTCTCGCGCCGCCCATCGCCGTCTCGACGGCCATCTCCCGTTCGACGTCCATCGGAGTATTCGCGTCGTCCATCGCCATCTCGACGGCCATCCCCCGTTCGACAGCCATTGGAGCTCTTTCCTCAGTCGCCGCCCTCTCGAAGGTCATCGGAGTACTCGCGTCGGCCATCGCCATCTCGACGGCCATCCCCCGTTCGACGGCCATCGGACTATTCGCGTCGTCCATCACCATCTCGACGGCCATCCCCCGTTCGACAGCCATTGGAGCTCTTTCCTCAGTCGCCGCCCTCTCGTCAGTCATCACCTTCTCGTCAACTGCTCCGTGAGATAGGCGATTATCATCCATCTCATATCCAATCACCTGATCATGCTCAGCCTTTGTCAAGATCTTCAAACTCTATAGGGCATAATAGAAAACTACCAACCAATCTAGATGTATCCACATCTGCCGAATCCAGAACTGGAGAATCAGTCACATCTAATCTTTCGATCGAGGCGCAAATTGCAAAAATGCCTTTCCGTGAACCAGGACGTGGTTGCGTTCGGGAAGACATTTATTGGTGGGACCAATCCCTAGGAGAGGTTCTGATACATGTGTTTGTTGGGCCCGATAAGGAACATCTTGGTGCTTTCAGGCTCTGCGGCATCTCTCGAGCTACGAAAGTTGCGTTGGTCAAAGGCAAGAATTTCAAAACAAACCAGGTTGAGGTGTGGTTTAAGCATATGTGCACAGTTAGAGAATATGAACAATTGTGCGAATCCAGTGTCAGTATTACATTTGTTGCTTCGAGTTTTACATACTGCTAACACTGACAATAGTCGTCCAATTCAGCAGTGACTTCCGGGTGGATTGAGGGATTTAGCGACACCAACAAAAACTTGTTTCAGCTAGCAGAGGATCTGCGCAAGGACGACCTCATCGCAATTCACTACCCCATGGGCCGCAGGAAGAACAACCCGGAACATGCATGGGTTGCTTGGTCACGCGGGTCCCCAGCATCCAATTTTCCACGTCCTCACCATGATATGCCACTCGGTGTTCCCTTACTTGTTGCCGCTCACACTAGGCTCGCACCTATCGAGAAGCTGGCGCTCAGAGGATATGACCGACCCACTGGACGACTACAAAGTCTTCCACCAGACGCATCGCTTTCACACCACATCGGGCTCCCTAGTAGACGTGAAGGCATAGAGTCTGGCAGTAACCCAATCCTCTCGGGCTCCCATGATATAAGGATGAGCTTGCAATCGCAAGAAGCACCGGCCCTAGCGCAGGCGCATACCTCCCCGACAACTAGTGAAACCAAGGAGGATACAATTCGAAAAAGTGTGGACGGGTTTATGGAAAACCTGAAGATCAACGTGGAGGAACTTGCAACCATCGGAGAAACGGGGAAATCATCAAAAGCAGACATTTTCTATTTGCATTTTCCCTCGGGGGATCAAGAAACAAAGCAGGGATTGCAGATTCTGGAGACATATTTGAAATGTCATGATAAGATCGTTCTCACGAGCAACAGCCCCGAGGATTGGGCAAGATTTATCAACAACAGCAAACTGGGCGTGGTCATTGTATGTGTTGATACTCCCGGCCAATACCAGCAAAAGCTAACCAAGAGCAGTTTCATGAATCTTTTACCGGATACGATACTTTACAGCCACCGCTCAGTTCCGTGCTTGAGAACTTGTTCAATTTTTGGGTTGTCCGCATTCACAGACCCCTGGAATTTGGTAATCCGCGACTCTGTCCATCAAGCCATCATAGTCTACGTGTTTTTCCACATGGTCGTGGTGTTATTCTTCTCACCCAAGACATGTTGATGAATCTAGAGGGGGTAGCTGTCACTCTTCAGTGGCTTCGATTTATAAACCAACGCAAGTCTTGGACTTTGATGCTTCCTCCGAGGATACTTGAGTGGATCGAAAGCAGACTTGATGATGAGCAATACTCACAGGACCACGCACTGTATGTCATAACTCTCCCGTTTTGATTTCAATCTTCTCTTCTGACCCTAAATCCAGCCTGTTGCTCATCCACTCTTTGATCATCAAGAACAACGTCATCAACCCCCGTGTGGCTTTGTTTGATAAAAGCAGTCTAGATCCCGATTCGAAAAGCCATGTGATCGCACCTTCCCTGGATGAATATGGCACTCGCACAGAGCATCACAGCCTCAAAATTAAGGACAAGATTGAGCGTGACGCAGATCATCTGATAGAATTCTTCGCGGGTTGGTCGCTTATCAACATATCACGTTTCCGGAATTTCGTCGTTGTCACATCTCTCGAGGCCCCCGCAGGAGCACGATGGGACCAATGGGGCCATATAAAGCTCTTACGGGGAGGATTTCCCCATTTCTTCGCATCTCACAAGGTGGATGCGGAGCGCACCATGGCCTACTTTTCAGGAGATACCAAGACCAAAGATACTACTGCTAGCCAGGCATCTACTCCTGTGGTGGCAACCATATCCCGGACGTCCAAGGCTCTTAATGTGGCGTCCCACAATTCTAACGGCTCTCTCCAGTCTGCTTTCCCGGACACATAACTGGCTAGGGCAACGACAAGTGATCCTTGCAAAGTCTGGAGCAACAACCTATGCCGCTCATTTGATTTCCTCGATGTTTCTCATCCTCTCTTGTTCAATATTTTGTGATACCCAATTGTTTGTTTATTGTAGATAACGTTCCCTTCAATCTACAAGCTTAGGAAGTGAACACACATCTTGATCATCTGGAAACTATACGTAGATGTAAGCCTCGCTTGCTGTTGCTGGTTTTGTACAATTGTTTGTAATATCAAGCAAGATACAAAGCTATAGCAGTAATGCATAGATACATGTATGCTATAAACGGTCAGAATTGGCAAACATTGAAAGTATAGCTTTGCTAAACTGGACGCTCATTGCCACCAACCCAACAAGGAATTGAAAAACGCCTAGAAACAATGGAAACACCATCTGGGTAATTTATTCACGCTTAACCAATTGCTTGGTTCCGATACTCTTGGAAGTTCGACGCATTGGAGCCATCCGCACCATCCTGGTCTTTCGTCTTCTTATCATGTTCTTTCTTTTCTCCGTTATTCTTCTCATCCCACTGGCTTTCCTCAGAAGCAATCATAGCGTGGAATCGACCACCCTGTCCACGAGCAAGATATATAGGCTTTTCCTTGCGCTCGGCCACAGCCTGTGTGACGAGCACGAACTTTACACTCGAGCCGGGGGCTTCGAACATGGGCTCACTCAGAATCATCTCGAGTTCACTTCGAAGAGCACGTGCACCAGTGCCCATTTTAAAGGCATTTGCGGCGACTTTGTGAAGTGCGGGGGTTGTGAAGCGCAATTCGATGCCCGAGAGAGAGAATAACATTGCGTATTGGGCAAGAAGAGAGTTGCGCGGCTCAGTGAGGATGCGCATAAGTAAGGATTGAGATAATGTGGAGAGAGCGGCGGTGACGGGAATCCTGCCGATTAGCTCTGGAATGAAGCCATAGCTTTGCAGATCTGAAGGTGTCAAAAGATCTAAAGCGTTAAAATAGGTAGGCTCAGCGCCAGAACCAGCTGGGGCGGCAGAGCTGAAGAAGGGAAGGTGCTTCTTGTATAGTGCTTCTTCCTCGGATCCAGGGAGGATAGGAAGCGGCTGGGTGGGAGAAATATTTGGAGAACCAGGGAAATCGTTGGTGTTTGAAGAAGTGCGAACTGGCTGGCCAAATCCAATAGATCCGCGGGAGATTCTGTCCATGATGGTTTTGTGTAGTCCACCAAAGGCGCCAGAGAACACGAACAAGATATTGTCCGTGCGCACATTGTACACCTCTCCCTTCGCTGCTGGGCTGGGATTGTTAGGTTGGAATGGCCCATTGCCTAACGGACTGTTAGACGGATAGCCGTTGGAAGGACTGGTTGCGCGAGGATTCTTCTCTGGCTTGGCTTGGAATTGCACGGTTGTGCCTTCGATAAGCTTGAGGAGCGCCTGCTGAACTCCTTCACCGCCGACATCCTTGCCATGGCTAACCTTTGCTGCTGCAATTTTGTCCACCTCGTCAAGGACAATGATTCCTCGCTCTGCTTGCTCCACGTTGTAATCTGCGGCTGCTAAAAGTCGATGAACACACACTTCGGCGTCCTCTCCAATGTAACCGGCTTGGGTAAACACAGTGCAGTCGGATATACTGAAAGGCACAGAGAGTACACGAGCAAGGGTCTTGGCCATAAGTGTCTTTCCTACACCAGATGGACCGAGTAACAAGATATTGGACTTTTCTAGGTGTAGCGGCGAGCTATCGGCAGCTGGTTGCTCTAAAGGAGTGATCTGGCGGGGTTTGGGAGCTTGCGGTATACCGACAGTCTTGTGCGGAGTTGGAAAATTATCTGTTGCATTAAAAGAATCAGTTAGGAAATGAGCGACAGCATGGAAATCCGAAAATATGATATACCGTCTAAGGGATGACTCTCGAGTGCTTCCCTCCGCTGACGCTTCGCGAAAGCTTCGGCTGCTTCTTCTTCCCGACGTACTAGCTCCTGAACACGCTGATAATGATTGTACACTGCAACACTAAGCACTTTTTTTGCGCGATCCTGGCCGACAACATATTGGTCGAGATACTGTTTCAACACTTTTGGTGTGATGCGCGGGGCGCCAAACGCCGGGGTTGACCCCAATGGCCCGGGAGTAGGACCCCCAGTCTCATAACTGCCAGTAAAGGGCTGGCTCGTAAATTCTGACCGGTTGAATTGAGACAATGTGGGAAATGTAGTTGAGGAGCTAGACAAGTGACGTCTTGACCAAGTGTATGATTGAGGAAGCCGGCATCGCACAATTTCGCGACTGGCAAAGACAGCCGGGAGGCGATACTGTAGAGGCCGCCACAGCATTGCTGGGCGCCAGGTAATTACAAAGAGTTATGGGAGGGTGGACTAGAGGCAGTAAAGGGAGAATTGGAGAGCGATGGATTAGATAGTGCTTTCCCCGCAGGCCCCGACATGGATGCGGCCCCGGGGCTGGGGCCATCTTATCTGATGACTCATCGGGCCGATGACCGGGCCGGTTATTTGCGGATAAATAGTTGAATACAAGCTACATATATGTACTCTATAACTTGTGTATATTTACTTCGCCCAATCATTTCGCTATGCTTGTAAACAAAGAATAGAGAGTATTTTCAATCATAAAGTCTATTGTCTCAAAGCATTGCAGGTCACTCTAGAGGGAGGCATCGAATTATCCGATCCCGACAAAGCTGTTGGGAAATGAGCAGAACCAGGTTGCGGATATCAGTTCTGATTCTTATATATGTACAAAATAGTAAATACAGATTCAAGTATTCCATGGCAAGAATGGGTATTGGGATCATTGATCTCTGTGGCCAAAAGCTGTTCAATGGCGCTTGAGGTCGTTGAGCACTGAATTTTGGGCAAATAAGAGATATTGGACCGTACGGCCTTATTGAGATCAAGTGTTTTGAGGTTCTGCATTCAAATCTGCCGCGGGTAAGTGCGTCGTATTTGAGATAAGCGCAGTATACTCCAGTATCATGTGCCTATACTCAACTTCGAGAATCACAAGACCCCATGTATGCATTCCTTGTTTTAGGTTGTTACCAGAGTCAATGTGCTGGGCAGATATCCAAGGCTAGCGGCATCCCCCGTTGTGACTTGCCCACTGAGCTAGTGATTCGTTTTTCATTCCGATCTCTTTCATTTGTTCGCCTTGAAAACAGGCTGCTGTTCCATCGTTTGCGAGATGAAATTACGGAGCGCTGACCATCGACCGGCCGTCGGGTTCGCCTCCGTGTTTGCCTCGCCACTGGTGGTAGCTGGGGTTGATGTGATGGTGGACATTTCAGTCATGTTCTTGTTAAAGCGATCCCGTTCCAATCTCTCGAGCTTTTCTCGGCGCTTCATGGCACCCGGCTTGTGTCTCAGGGTCTTCTGCTTGATCACATTCACTTGACTGGCGGCATCGTTGGACTCCTCAGCCTCTGGGAGGGCATCGGCCAATGACTCGAGGTTTGCAACAAGTTTCTTGGATGCTCGTCGACGCTTAGGGGTCTTCTGAGAGTTTTTCTCGATCTTAGATACGAGGGCCGCATGCTTGATTTGACGCTTGTCCCTCTTGCTTGTGCGAAACTCGTCACCAAAGATATTGGGTTTGGCTATCGCACCTCTGCCCGAGGCAGTTTTCGCCATCGTTGACTTGCGAATGGGAGCCTGTGAACAGAGAACGATAATTAACCGGTTGAAAGTGGAACAAGATAAGTAATGCTGCAACTTACCATGTTGGCATGTGAGATCTACAGCGAGCAGCACAAGACGAAATTGCGACGGGAAAAGCGAAAGCCCGTCGACCCCAATTTGCTCACCGCCCGCATCCACCCTCCCCACCCTTTTTTCTAGGAACTCAACGTTGTTTGGCTCTCGATTTGGCTCCCCAACTAGTGTGTTAAGACTACGGAGAAGCAGAAAACAAAAGTCCAACCGCTGTGACGTTATCGGGATTTCATGTGTTAATTGCCTCTCCAAATTTGCGTGATCCACTCGACTTTCGAGGCTTTTGCGGTGACATCAGACGCACTTATCAGGACCTCGGGAGGCGATCCGCTGAAATCATTGGGGCCCCAGCACGATCACTTTTATGGATATTTGTCTCAACCTGCGTCGGCTTTGCATTCCTCACTTCTCTACCACAGCTGTGCAACCTCGGTCACTATCCATCCCGTTCCAGACCCGATTTCGTTTCTCACCCCCTTTGCCCCCGCTGGTTTCTCGACCATTTAAACCCATCTTCCCCGGGCCTCTTTCCCGCAAATCATTTGTTTCTTCTTCACACATCATGGGTTCTGTCGATACTTTTCAGCGCAAGCACAAGATTACGGTGGTGGGCTCCGGTAACTGGTAGGTGATCAATCTCCAGTATCTCTGCGAAGAATAAATGCTGAACCGGTTCTCGATAGGGGCTGCGCCATCGCCAAGATTGTTGCCGAAAATGCGGCCAGCAATCCTGATCTTTTCGAGGAGAATGTAGAGATGTGGGTTTTTGAGGAGAATGTCGAAATCCCGGAGACTTCGAAGAACTACAATGCCTCGAACGCTGGCCCTCAGAAATTGACTGAGGTGATTAACAATACCCACGAGAACGTCAAGTACCTCCCAGGAATCCAATTGCCCGCCAACCTGCACGCCAACCCATCCCTGGAGGATGCGGTGAAGGACAGCACACTCCTCATCTTCAACCTGCCTCATCAGTTCATCATCAAGACTTGCGAACAACTAAAGGGGAAGATCCTACCCTACGCCCGTGGTATCTCATGCATTAAGGGTGTGGATGTCAACAGCACCGGTATCCACCTCTTCTCTGAGACCATTGGCAGGATCCTTGGCATCTACTGCGGTGCTCTATCCGGTGCCAACATTGCCAATGAGGTTGCTCAAGAAAAGTGGTCTGAGACCAGCGTTGCCTACGACCCACCACACCTGGACTCCAAGGCCACCACTCCTCAACGGTCGCCCTCCTCTTCCACAACCGACTTGGTCGAGTTCCAGCACAAAGATACCTCGGGTCAAGTGTCGGAGGTTAAGCTGCAGGCCCTGCCTTCGGCCTATCCTCCTGTCGACCATGCTGTGCTAAAATCCCTCTTTCATCGTCCGTACTTCCACGTGCGTGTTGTCAATGATGTTGCCGGTGTGTCTATCAGCGGCGCTCTCAAGAACATCGTCGCTGTGGCCGCCGGCTGGGTCGTTGGCATGGGATGGGGTGATAATGCCAAGGCTGCCATAATGCGTGTTGGTCTGATGGAGATGGTCAAGTTTGGTGATACTTTCTTCAGCGCTACGATCGACAACCGCACCTTCACCGATGAGAGTGCCGGTGTTGCAGATCTGATCACTAGTTGTAGTAGCGGCCGCAACTTCCGATGTGCCATGTACAGCGTCCAGCGTAATTTGCCCATCGAAGAGATCGAGAGGGCGGAGCTCAATGGTCAGAAGTTGCAAGGTACCCTAACGGCTGTGGAAGTCAACAGCTTCCTGAAGAATCAGGGCATGGAGGATGAGTTCCCTCTGTTTACTGCTGTTTTCCGTAAGTCTTTTCTTTTCAAATGTCTCCTATGACTCAAGCTAACATGGCACAGGTGTCTTACAAGGGACCATGAACGTGGAGGATATTCCTTCGTACATCGAGCGGTAAAAAAATCCCTTCTGCTGGCTATGTTTCCTCTATGTTTGTGTTACTTATCAAAAAAAATGTTTTTCTCATAGGCCACCCCAGGCCCCATCCCCGACTTCTGCATCCCAAAACCCCAATGTGGAGAGTCAAGGCGCTCGGTTTATTGCTGCACGATTATAATTAGGGCCGGGATTAGGTATCGGACATTGCGTATATAGACTTTCATGACCTGTATTTATGAGGTGCCTGTGGATTGTATTCTAGACAATTGAATTTCTGATTGGTCCATCTGTGCACCAACAAGATCAACAAGAGGGAAAGCCCCCATGTATCCATTGGTAGGTAGGCATAGGCATGTATCGCACGGTTGAAGACACGCCAAGGAATCTGCATGATGTCATTCCCCGCGCGGTCTGGGCTCTCTCCAGGAACATATGAGGGGGTCGCTAGGTCCTCCTGTGTGCCCAACTTTTTCTTCTCTGACTTCCGTCTCTTTCTTTCTCTCATTTTCAAAATTCTGGAGGGTAAATCGTTCCAAATTCTCACCCTCACGATCAGGTAGCTTAGACCTGGTCCAATCGTTATCGACCCATCGCAATGGGCTCTTTGCGTCAGGTCTACTTGCTTCCATTGAAGGATGATGGATCGCCAGACGTGCCTGGGGGATACATTCACTTGGCCCCTCCTCCAGAAGCTGGATATGTGCTTCGATTTATTATCGAGGGAACGAGTTCCATCTGCCGACAGGGTAGTCTCTGGGTGAATATCCCCGAAGCAGGCAAGCCTTTCGAGCGTCACTCCTTCAGGGAGTTCGGGTAGATTCCCCAGTTCTTTCCCATCTTCCTTTTACATTGAGAGTCATGGTTGCTGAATAGTAGTAGATTACAGCCTAATTTCAATGAAAACATTCACATTGACATCCCCGTGACATCTGCAGGGGCCTTTGCTTTCTACACAACCTTCTCTCCGCTGCCAGCGTTCTCGGTCGAGGATGTGTCTGCCCCAAAGCCCACCCAGACCCCCGTGCACTACATTGATGTATCACCCAATCTCACCCTCCAGGGGAAGCATTTGCCGCTGAATGCGCTCTCAATCTTCTCTGTGATTTCGAAATTCATGGGCCAATATCCCATGGATTGGGACAAACATCTTCGTGGAATTGGTCTACGGAACTATAACATGGTTCATTTCACACCCCTCATGGAACGTGGCTCGTCAAACTCCCCATACAGTATTGTTGATCAGTTGGCGTTCGACAGCACATTCTTCCCCAATGGAGAGGATGATATCGCTTCATTGGTCGCAAAGATGGAGAAAGATTATGGTCTTCTGACATTGACTGATGTGGTGTGGAATCACACAGCTAATAATAGCAAATGGCTGCAGGAGCATCCTGAGTCCGGATATAGCGTGGAAACCGCTCCATGGCTGCAGGCAGCTCTGGAGCTGGATTCAGCACTCTTGGAGTTCGGTGATAGTCTTGTAGACCTCGGTCTTCCCACAGTGTTCGAGACTGTAGAAGATTTAGTGGCGGTCATGCACATGGCTCGCAAGCACGTCATTGATGGGATTCGCCTATGGGAATTTTACGTCCTTGATGTGAAGAGTGATGTTCAGAAAATTATGCACGAATGGATTGATGCGAAGGTTGATCCTGCACTCGTCAAACGAGATGACATGCAGCAATACAAGAAATGGACCCTCGCACAACAAGCCAAAGTGCTCCGCGAAGTTGGAATTCCATCCTTCAAGCGAATTCTCGGACGCTTTGGTCGTGTCGTGGACCCAAAATTTGGTGCAATTGCTTTAACTGTGCTGTTTGGTGACTATGATGAAGCACAAACCAATCTCAGCGAGGTTGAAGACTCATTGTCCAAGCTCCTTGACGAGGCCAATCTGCCATTCTACAAGGAGTATGATGCTGATGTCAACGCTATCATGGACCAATTGTTCAACCGCATCAAGTATCTCAGAATCGACGATCACGGTCCCAAGATGGGTCCTATTACCCAGGAAAGCCCTTTGATTGAGACTTACTTCACACGCCTTCCTCTCAACGATGTTACGAAGAAACACGACCCTAAGGCGTTGGCCTTGATTAATAATGGTTGGATTTGGAATGCCGATGCGATGAAAGATAATGCCGGGCCCGATTCCAAAGCCTACCTACGCCGCGAAGTCATTGTGTGGGGTGATTGCGTGAAGCTTCGATATGGGTCCTCCCCCGAAGATAGTCCGTTCCTCTGGGAGTACATGACCCGTTATACACATCTCATGGCCAAGTACTTTTCTGGCTTCCGAATTGATAATTGCCATTCGACGCCTCTCGTGGTTGCTGAATATTTGCTTGATGAAGCTCGCAAAGTTCGACCCAATTTAACTGTCTTTGCAGAACTTTTCACGGGTTCCGAGGAGGCCGACTATGTCTTCGTCAAACGCTTAGGCATCAACGCTCTGATTCGCGAGGCCATGCAGGCTTGGAGTACAGAAGAGCTGAGTCGCCTCGTTCACCGTCATGGTGGTCAGCCAATCGGTAGCTTCGAGATCAATCTGCCTTTTGCTGAAAGTCGACATGCAATTGCATCTGCCAGTTCTGGCGATAGTGCTGAGAAGATCCATCATATCCATCCCTGTCCGGTTCCGGCACTATTCATGGACTGCACCCATGACAATGAGGTCCCTGCTCAGAAGCGCGATGCCAGAGACACTTTACCAAATGCCGCTCTTGTGGCAATGTGTGCCTCCGCAACAGGAAGTGTAATGGGCTACGACGAGGTGTATCCCAAACTCATAGAGCTCGTCCATGAGACTCGAACATACACATCTCAATCCTCGGAGTCGGAAAGTCTAGTCGTTGGGTCTGGAGATGGTGGGATTGGTGGTGTTAAGAAGCTCCTGAACGAACTCCACACCATGATGGGAGTTGAAGGCTATGATGAAACTCACATCCATCACGATGGTGAATTTATCACTGTTCACAGAGTTCACCCCAAGACCCGAAAAGGTATCTTTTTGATTGCACACACCGCTTTCCCCGGCCATGAGAGTGGTACAATACTAGATCCCACACATATTGCTGGAACTAGTGCCAAGCACATTGGATCGTGGAAGTTGGAAGTTGATGCCAGTGATCAAACAAGGGCGAAGGTTTTGGCCGACGACAAATACTTGAAAGGTCTCCCCAGTCATACTCGCGACATCGAAGGCACGAAGATCGAACAAAGCGACAAGGGGGTCAACATCTCAGTACTAGACACTCTGCTTCCTGGGTCTATTGCTCTTTTTGAAACATGGATCCCAGGTGCAGATCAAGCTGATGGATTCAAACATAGCCTTGCCCATGGTGCAGATGATGCATTCTCTGAGCTCAGCTTGGTTGATCTGAACTTCGTGCTTTACCGGTGTGAAGCCGAGGAAAGAGACACTAGTGATGGCCAGGACGGTGTCTATAACATTCCAAAACATGGTCCGCTGGTTTATGCTGGTCTTCAGGGCTGGTGGAGTGTGCTTGAGGATATCATCAAGTACAATCAACTTGGTCACCCGCTCTGCGACCACTTGCGAGAGGGCCAGTGGGCTTTTGATTATATCATTAATCGCATGAAGAAAGCAGCTGCTAAGGAAGGATATACTGCCTTGAATAGACCTGCGGCATGGCTTGAGGAAAAGTTTGACGCGGTTCGCGACCTGCCCAATTTCCTCTTCCCAAGATATTTCGCAATCATTTTACAGGCTGCATATAATGCTGCATGGAATAGAGGTATTCATCTCCTTGGAGCGAATGTCCGGCACGGCCAGGACTTTATTCATCAATTAGCTATGGTCAGCGTTCAACAGACTGGCTATGTGAAGTCTGCATCTTTATGGCCCACCAAGATGGTTCCCAGTCTTGCAGCAGGGCTGCCTCATTTCGCAGTTGACTGGACAAGATGCTGGGGTAGAGATATCTTTATCTCTATCCGTGGTCTATTCCTTTGCACGCAACGTTTTGATGATGCGAAAGAGCACATCATCGCTTTCGCGAGCGTGCTTAAGCATGGCATGATTCCCAATCTTTTGAGCAGTGGAAAATTGCCCAGATACAATTCCCGCGACTCCGTCTGGTTCTTTATGCAGAGTATCCAAGACTTCATTGCAATGGCACCTAACGGTATCGATATCTTGCAAGAGAAGGTGCCCAGACGATTCTTGCCTTATGACGATACATGGTTCCCCTTCGACGATCCTCGTGCATACTCTCAGTCCCCGACTCTTCTCGAGTGTGTCCAAGAGGTGTTCCAAAGACACGCTTCAGGCATGTCATTTAGAGAATACAATGCTGGTCCAGACCTTGACTGCCAGATGAAACCTGAAGGCTTCCAGATCGATGTCAAGGTTGACTGGGAAACAGGTCTCATTTTTGGTGGCAACCAGGATAACTGTGGTACCTGGCAAGATAAAATGGGAGAAAGCTCCAAGGCTGGAAACAAGGGTGTCCCTGGAACACCACGTGATGGTGCTGCCATTGAGATTACCGGTCTCGCGTACAGTGCTCTGGCGTGGGCGGCCCGCCTTCACGAATCCAAGGTCTATCCCCATGAAGGCGTCCAAATTGGCGATGGTAAGACGATTACTTTCGCCGAATGGGCCGGCAAGATCAAAGACAACTTTGAGCGATGTTACTTTGTCCCCCTCGATCCCAGCGAAGATGGCCAATACGATGTCGACGCAAAGATCATCAACCGCCGAGGAATCTACAAGGACTTGTACAAGTCCGGCAAGCCCTATGAAGACTACCAGCTCCGTGCCAACTTCCCCATCGCAATGTCAGTTGCCCCGGAGTTATTTACGCCTGCGAAAGCTCTTGTCGCTCTGTCGATTGCCGACTCCGCTATCGTGGGTCCTGTCGGCATGTCAACACTGGACCCCTCCGATCTAAACTATCGTCCAAACTATGTTAATTCCGATGACTCTGATGACTTTGCGACTGCCAAGGGCCGCAATTATCATCAGGGTCCGGAATGGGTCTGGCAACGAGGCTATTTCCTACGTGCACTGTTACACTTTGATATCCTGCGCCGAAAGACGCCTGAAGCACGGACTGAATGCTTCCAGCAAATCACCCGGCGACTTGATGGTTGCAAGAAAGCACTCCGAGCGAGTCCCTGGAAAGGACTGACAGAATTGTCAAACAAGGGTGGAGAGCACTGTAATGACTCGGTAAGTGATTTTCTTTCTGATGTATATCTCACTTCTTATGGGCTACTGACAACCAATTATAGTCACCGACCCAATCCTGGTCTGCTGCCTGTCTGCTTGATCTTTATTACGACGCATCTAAGCATCCGTAGATTTCCTTTCTGTTTTATTTATTTTGGCATTTGGTACACATTGATTGGATAGTTACCTGAACACATCGCATACTAGATACAATGCATTGAGACTTTGCCAGCGCTTCAACATGATCTATGGTTGTATAGTATCTTGTTTATTAACATGTACATATTGCAGTTCGGACTCGGCGCAAATCATTGACGCTAAAATTGGTGGCGATCGTTTCGAAAATCGCGAGATGCTCGAACATGCGGACTGCCCATAGACTAACGATCAGGCTAAATCAACAATGACTTCCACATTTTCCTTAGTTCAGGTGGCTTCAATAGTGTGGATATGGGCGGTTGTCGTAGGATGATTCTGAGGTTATGGTCATATGGGGTACCCCAGATGGCCCATCGATTATCCCCCGGGATTTTATTCTCAACGTCAAAAGGGCCTAGATCTTAATCCTATGACCATGTCCGCTTGCCAGATGTCTCTCTCGTTCTGCTTCCATGGCGATCATACAGACTCTGGCTTCTAGACCAGGTGTCGGGCTTGGTTGGCTGCGCCGACAGCCTTGGCTACCCGCCAACGCCGTCCGAGCCATTGAGTGGCAATCTCCGAAGTTGTAGGGAAATGGTTCGGCCAGCTCACCGATGTTTCTCCTGATAAATTAACAACGCCTGCTACGCGTGATTAGTCTCAGCTCCGAGTTAACGCCGTCGTCCCTGATCCGAACATTTCTCGGCCATCGCTCCAAGACCTTCTACGGGCTTTCACTAGTGTATGATCCATGGGGCAAGCGTTAGAACTATGAGCATCATGCGAGCAGCTTTCTAAAAATGCAAAACCCTTTCCCCATGTTTCGCAGACATCGCATCTATGTCGGGCTAGAGCAGGTCTGTTCTCAGGTGACTTGCCACGATTGAAGCATGTCTCGTTCCAATGGCAGGTTGAGTCATTGTGTATGCAGGCTAAAGGAGTCGGCAAAAACATCACGAAAAATAAGAAAGGCAAAGAAAGGAGGCCAGACAATTTCGCGGGGACATGCCCGTTCTTCTTTAGCACCATTTTGCCAAGTGGACTAGCCTGGTTCGTGTCCTCCGTTACTCCGTACTCCGTACTCCACGCGGAGTACGGAATAGAGGGTCTTACGATTCCGATTGTGCAAGCTCCTCGAACTGCAGTCTGTACTATCGCAATTGTCGATCCCTATTGGTGGCTCTTCCAAATTTTATAACCGGCGTTGGGTCTTGGAACGGTTATTCTAGATGGGATTTCGAATCCGAATCATGAACATCAAAAGAGTTAAGTTCGGACGGCATACTTAGTCGCCCGTAAACATCTCACCATGAGAATACGAAGTTGCATCAACAGCGCAAATATCCCCTAGGACAATTTCGGCGAAATGTGGCAGTTTTGCCAACTCCATACAGAATCATGAGCGTTCTGAACGTCTGCAATGTTCCTGGATGGAGCTTAAATAAGAGGAATCATCTGGGGTAAGCTTATTGTGTCCCAGAGCGAGGGCCCCATGTTCATTCGTTCACCACCCCGGTAAAGCTCCGTGTTTCATGTGGAAATTTCGCTTCGCCGCTTCCCACGCGGACTAGAAGTGTACTCGGGTTCTCCATTGGGGGAAACTCCGCCAAAATCCATGCCGTTTGGGTTTTTGAGCATAGGCCGCCTGAGATATGTGACTGGGCGTCCAATGAAACGGTCCGCTCGGGTACATTTGCCTTAGTTTTGCAAGCTTCGACTCGCCTCCAGGAGCCCCCATGGCGTTTTGGTGGCCTTAGCTCTAGGGGGATGTTGCATTACTACCGTGATCTTTTCTGAAATCTCTCGTGAAAACCGTCGGCAGTTAGATCGGGGCTTTCCATTTCTATTAAACTGTCAGCCTAGCCATGTTTTCCGCCGTTTCATATCGTTTTCACAACGCTCTTCAACTCATGTGCTGATTCCTCTCGGGAATTGGGCACTGCCTTCAGTGACACCAATCGTCATGCCCGATTCGGATCGCCCAGATGGAATTGTGGGTGCATATACTGCGGATGATCTTACCGTGAAGATCACATTCACCACATTTTTGGCACTCGCCCTCTACAATTCTCTGGAATTGGCAGTGCTGATCTTCGCTACCTTCAAACGCTATGAGGGGCTTTATTTCTGGAGCTTGCTGCTAGCCGGCCTGCTGGGAGTAGTTCCCCAATCGGTCAGCTTCATTCTCAAGTACTTCGACTTCGCACCCCTTTGGTTCACCCTCACGTTATCAACTATCGGATGGTATTTCATGGTAACAGGCCAGGCCCTGGTACTGTTTTCTCGTCTTAATCTCGTTGTACAAAACCGCAATGTTCAACGATTCGTACTGGGTATGATCATCTGTGATGCTATTGCGTTACATATCCCAACAACCGTTCTTACTTATGGCTCAAATTTCATCGGGTCCTCGATGTGGGTGCATGCCTACACAATCATGGAACGCATCGAACTCACTGGATTCTGTCTCCAAGAAACCATCATCTCGGGTCTCTATATCTTTCACTCAGTTAAGATACTGCGGCTCTTGCCTCCGATGGGGAACAACACAGACCCTGGCCGTGCCATCCTGTACCAAACACTTGCCATCAACTTTCTGATCATTCTACTGGACGTTTCGTTAATGACCATGGGATTCCTCGATTATTTTGTGATTCAGACAACATTCAAATCATTTGTGTACAGCCTGAAACTCAAGCTTGAATTCGGGGTTCTGGGCCGTCTGCTATCTTTGATGCGATCACGGCGACATCAAGTGGACGGGCATCAATCGCACAGTGCATCGAGGAAAGGAAATTCCGGTGCCGAATATTCAGTGTCTGTCTCGAGCAAAGCTCAAGATAATTTCCCGCTAAGACCTCTACCAGGGTCATGGCAGCGAATTGAGGGTGACACTTAGGCATGATCATAATGACGAACTTAATGTTATATATATAATTAAATGGAGGGAAGCCCCCGCCATGGAGATACCCCATGTACGGAGTATATATTATAAACGGTGTAACTATGAAAGAAGGCCTCCAGTCTCCCGTGCATGGTATATGCCAATTGTTGAATATGTTCTATACATAGTAACACTTTGGGTGTTTGATTACGCATAGGGCTGGAAGAACCACTCATATAGCTGAATGCCATAGAACTATATCTGGAAAGTTAGGCTGCAATTCTTGTGATATATGAGATACACGTTGTCATTGCCACATAGTTCATGCAGTTGGGCATTAAAGTTATGCACATAGATGCTGACTCATCTTTATGTAGGGCCCGGGGCCCCGGGGCCGAAGTCGTCATTGAAGGTTTAAGGGAAAGCCGAAAAACAAAGGGGGCAACTCATCGATTGCGCACGATCTCCCCTTGGTATTCAGACGAAACGATAGGAATCAAGATAGCGACCTAATCTACCAAGCGACTTGCTCCCAGTCGACCATTCCATCCTCTGACATCAGTCGTTTCGGTGATCATCGGATTTTTGCCGTATGCCCTTAACGCACCATTAGTTCCGACAGCCCCTCGCTCGTCGAAACCACCCCAGAAATCAAGCGCGCGACGCCCACTTTAGAACAAGCCCATGTCTTTTACAACATCAGCGGTGTCCGCTGTGTTGACCCACCTTGCCGACAAGCCCGATGGCGGAAGTGAGAGGCGGTGGGAGGATCAGTTGAAAGAGCAGCGCGATCTGTACACGCAATTTGTGATAAGTTCGGCGCTAGGTCTGAGTGCTTTTTTAACATTCTGTGTATGTTCCTATGTTGCGATCTATGGGGCCCCCACTTTCCGCTAACTGCTTTTCTTTTAGATCTTGCGGCCAAAATGGACCGAGCTGTACGCTGCACGACGACGGCAACGAAACGCCGCTTCGCGGCTACCTGAGCTTCCAGATACCCTTTTCGGTTGGATTCCCGTACTCCATCGGATCACCGAAGAGGAAGTACTGCAGTCTGCGGGGCTGGATGCATACGTGGTAAGTCCCGATTGTTTGGGCGCTCTAGCTAGACTGTGGATCATCTCTGACTCGACCCTGTGGGTAGTTCTTGTCTTTCTTCAAGTTCGCCATCCGATTCCTTCTAGCCGTCTTTATTTTCGCCGTCGCGATCATCCTTCCTTTTCACTACAAATACACTGGTAAATATGGAGTCCCCGGCTGGGACAATGTCCCCGGCAATGGAACGGCAAGTCCAATTGGCGAGGTCGAAAAAGAAAAGCCAATCACAGATCCTACATATCTGTGGATTTATGTTTTGTTCGCATATGTTTTCAGCGGATTAGCGATCTATATGCTTCTTCAAGAGACAAACGTAATTATTCGCACTCGGCAAACTTATCTCGGGAACCAGACCAGCACCACGGATCGCACCATTCGCTTGTCTGGCATTCCAAATGACTTGGGAACCGAAGAGAAAATCAAAGAGTTTGTGGAAGGCCTGCGAGTTGGCAAGGTCGAGAGTATCACCGTGTGCCGGAAGTGGCGCGAGCTGGATGAATTGATCGACGAGAGAATGAAAGTCATCCGCAAACTTGAGAGTGCATGGACAAAACATCTGGGATACAAGCGCCCAAAAAGCGATGGAAACACGTTGCCTCTGACCTATCAGCAGCCCCGAGATGGAGGCGATGAACAGTCCGGGCTGCTTACTGACATCGAAGACAACCATGTCTCCGGTTACGCCAACGAAAGACCCAAGATTCGGATTTGGTACGGTCCGTGTAAGCTTCGCTTCCGAATGATCGATGCTATCGATTACTACGAGGAGAAGCTACGGAAGCTCGATGAATATATTCAAAACGCTCGAGAGAAGGAATACCCTTCTACTGAGATTGCTTTTGTGACTATGGAGTCAATTGCTGCATCTCAAATGCTCGTTCAGGCAATCCTTGATCCCCACCCAATGCAAATGTTCGCTCGACTTGCACCAGCGCCGGCTGATGTTATCTGGAAAAATACCTATTTGTCTCGCCCCCGACGAATGGTTCAGTCCTGGTCCATCACCACCGTTATTGGATTTCTCACTGTGTTCTGGTCTGTGCTCTTGGTCCCTATCGCCTCTCTGCTGGATTTGAAGACCCTTCATAAGTTTCTCCCTCAGGTGGCGGAGTTCCTGCAGGAGCATCCGATCATCAAGTCTTTGGTCCAGACAGGTCTACCTACACTTGCTTTCTCGCTGTTGACCGTTGCCGTGCCTTATGTTTATGAATGTGAGTTTTGTGTTGGAGATCACTCGTGTACATGCTGAACTTGCTAACAATCTTTACAGGGCTATCGAACAACCAGGGAATGGTGTCTCGCGGAGATGTAGAGCTGTCTATTATCTCCAAGAACTTCTTTTTCTCGTTCTTCAATCTGTTCCTTCTCTTCACTGTGTTTGGAACAGCGAGTGGTTTCTATTCATTCTGGGAAAATCTTCGGGATGCTTTCAAAGATTCTACCGCGATTGCCTTCTCGTTAGCAAAGTCCCTTGAAAATCTGGCTCCATTCTACATTAACCTGTTGATCCTTCAAGGACTGGGCCTTTTCCCCTTCCGACTGCTCGAGTTCGGAAGTGTCGCATTATACCCATTCCATTTCCTATCGGCGCGCACACCACGCGAGTATGCGGAGCTTGCAACTCCTCCCAAGTTCAGCTACGGATTTTCCATCCCTCAAACGATCCTGATCTTGGTCATCTGCGTTGTTTACAGTGTGTTCCCGAGCTCGTGGTTGATCTGTCTATTCGGCCTGATCTACTTCACGGTCGGCAAATTCATCTACAAATATCAACTCCTCTATGCCATGGACCACCAGCAACATTCCACCGGCCGCGCATGGCCGATGATATGCAGCCGCGTATTTGTCGGACTAATGGTTCATCAGCTGGCCATGATCGGTGTCCTAGCTCTGCGCCAAGCCATCACTCGCTCGCTGCTTTTAGTGCCACTTCTAGGCTTCACCGTTTGGTTTTCCTACTGGTTTGCGCGCACGTACGAACCCTTGATGAAATTCATTGCTCTCAAGAGCATCAACCGCGAGCAGCCAGGTGGTGGCGACATCTCCCCGTCGCCTTCATCAACTCTCTCGCCACCATCAGGTTTGGACCGTGACAGGCTGCCGATCCGCATTGGAGGGCATGATCTCGAGTTGCGGCTGAAGAAGTACGTTAACCCGAGCTTGATTATTCCGCTGCATGCTGCCTGGCTTCCCCGCCGCATCCCTGCTCAAGGCAATGGCAATGGTGGGTCCGCCTTCGAGGCTCATCAGACGCCGAATGTTTGACATTGCAGGCTGTAAGCTTGTCAGCTTCACATGACCCAACCCGTGTGTCATTCGCCATTGCCCTCGGGGGTATTTCTTTGCTTTTTTTCCATTTTTGCATGTTTCCGCCTCATTCATCATGATATACGACCTTGATACCTCGTTCGCATCTCACTGGATTGTCCTAATATTTTTCCCCCACGCTCATGATATCCCCGGGTGGCACCTTTGCTGTCGTTTTGTCAGGCTCGTCTCGCGTGTCCCTCGTTCCTACCCAATTACGCATAGTTAATGCTCGTTATTTGAGTTTCATAGTCTTGTATTTGGAAGTTGTTTATGTCCCTGTTGAATATAGAGTTTGTACAGAGCGCAATACTGGCCCTCGGTTTTCATTGCCCTCATATGCGATGCGATGTATATATGCGTCGGGCGTGCCATGACATACAATGCAGGCTTCAACCGAGGCATATCTGATTTCCAGGATTTCTCGCTCCAAAAGTAGACTTCGCTAGTACTTACTCTTTTCTCGCATTCCTCCGTTTCTAAAATAAGTTGGCGGCAAACGTGGCAATGTCGGAGCACGGAGTTAATCCATGAGTCTAAGCGAAGAATTAGCAGGCGCAAAAAGCCCAGACTTTAGCTCCGTTTCGTAAAGCGAATGTAAAGATGTTCGGATTTACGGGACATCACGTATTACATCTCAAACCCATGAATGACTCGGAAACTGAACTCCTTCGACGATGCCTCAGGCATCCATGCTAGGGATTATGAAGAACTGTAAGATGCACACCTGTACCTCGGTGGTCTCTCTCTCCATGTAGATATCAGCATGAAAACAATACCATTAGCCCACTCACCCTTCTTTGCATCCGATTCAGCCCGCACATTGACCCCCCAGCGCGAACATACCTCGAAGCGACACACGGAAGCAACTTCTGGAATCCCTTCGGGTCCACATGGGTCGGGGGCGCATTCCTCAGCAGTGGGGGGCCCAATTGTCTTTTCTTGCGGTGAGGAGCTGAAACAGTAAAGACAAAAACACAAGTGTTGTTGGGGGATTGTGGAATGTGGGATGTGTCGAACTAAATACTGTTCTTTGAGTATATGAGTCTGTATTGTCTTAGATGGGAGTATCAGAGCCGGGGGTGTCAGCGGTGAGGAGTCGCCAAGCCATCTGCATCCGGGACGCATTCCTTCTTTGCCGAAGATGTGGAATGTTGCACACATGTCGGGTCGTTGACTCGGGTCTGGAGGGTCGGGGAGGGTCTGGAGGACAGTACTACGGTGCCCTTAGCAAGTGGATGTGGGAAAAGTGGCCCCGTAGCCAACTGGACCGAGTCAAGCTTGGTGAGTGATCCAAAGATCTCGTTTGCCTCCAACTGTCCATTTCCCTCGGAATGATAGCTGCATGTACTTGTGCGGACGGAGTACTGTATTCGCTGAATAGGCGAGTGCTCCCTCTGACGTGCTCCACTCGCGGATTTCCGCGTGGTGCCTCTGTCCAGGTATGCCCTCTCGGTACTTTTTTTTTTTTCTTACAGTGTCGACGTCAGACTGAGAATTGAATTTTCTTGTAGATGGCAAACTCTAGTGGAAATGGTGAGATGCAGTATTTAATTAAACGTCGCCCTTGCCTCTCCCTCCTCTCGTCCCATTATCGAATATCAGATTTCCGCTCCGCTTTCAGACAAACCACACACATACTTGCTTCAAATCCCGGGGTAGCGTTGGACTTCCTTTTTTAACAGAGGTGCGCTTTTCTCTTGATCGTTTCTTCAACATCCTTTCTTGAACAACCGTTCAAGTAGTTTGGACTCAATCAGGGATTGCAGATCAGTGGACTTACTCGTGTTCTGGACGATCTATCCTCTTATCTGAGATTGGGGCTGTATAAACTCAAGTCGCTGCATCACACTTTTGGAATAGCGCATTGCGTTGCCTTGGGGATCTCTGCAAAAGGAAATCTAGGTCTAGAGGACCCACCAAGTGAACAATCGCCAGCTTTATACTCATCGACTCCTATCTCGCTCTCCAAGCAATGTTCTAAACCTCACCAACAAGCACATATAGTGATTGGCGAACATTGACTCACTATGCCTGCTTTGCTATCTCCGACTCTCGACTATGCCGGTCATACGTCCAAGAGCGACTCTTTCTCGCACATAAAGCGAAGCCCAGCATTGCCCATATCTCCAATTTTGACAAAAGATGTGGCAGAGCGACCTTTGCCGGCTCAAGGTGGCTCAATCCTCAAATCAAGGAGCACGTCTTCGCCCCCTGCCGCAAATCTTGCCCCAGCGGAAATCTTATTAGATATATTCTCCATGTTGGCCCCCAGAGACTTTGACAACGCCCGGCGCACATGCTCGCAATGGATGCGAGTTAGCTTAGACAAGAAGCTACTCGAGACCACGTTGAAAAGAGCAGGATGGTGGGATGCATGGTTGCAAGACTGCAAGATACGCACTTCTACCCGATCTGATGAGAGCGAAGTCTGGAGAATGAGCCGCCGCTTTTCAACGGAATGTGTGCTTTCAGGGCGAGATTCGAATGTTGAGAAGCTGGGCTTCTCGACTACCGCGGTGGTAGACTTCACAAGTCTTTCCGATACGACAAAAAAGTCCCGCGGCAGTCATCTTCAACCTGTTTTGCAATTCGGCGAAGACAAAGAGCGGGCAAGGTCGACTTTCAGTATTAGCAGTTGCAGCAACTACCTCCTCGTGACGACAGGCTGCATGATCTACGTGTATTGCCTTTTGGGTCGAAAGGCCCGGTCGACGTCTGGAACAGACCTCAGTGACGTTGACCTGGCGCCGATATCACGCATATCGTGTCCATTTGGTGTTATTTCGGCCACCATCGACACCAGCAAGCCCCAATTTACCATTGCGGCATTGCTATGCAACCGGGTTGGCATGATTTGCAACTTGGATACGACTTTGGTCAAAGATTCAACGCCAAATCTCTCTTCTATGCCCACGATCGCTCCGACATCTCGTCATTTCTTCTATAACATCTGTACAGTTGACAACCCACCACGGACGGTCGCAGTTTGTCCAGGCCAACGCCTCGTTGCCTTTGGCTGTGCCTCGGGCATCGAAATTCACAGCGTGGATGAAACAAAACGCAATGAGCAACGCAAACACTTCACCCTCCCTCAACCCTCAGAAATCGTCCACTTCCTCCCCAGCAGTCCAGAGACACCCACTGAGCTTCGTCTCATCTCTTCACTGTCCGGACCAGGCTTCCACGAATGCAAATGCCCTCCTTCGCCATCCCCTTCGACTTCATTCTCCTCCCCATCCGCCTCACCAAAACTCGACCTCAAGAACAATCAATTCCACTTTCTTGCCGATGTCCAATCATTCAGTCGACGTCGCATTCCCCACACTCCATCCCGCAGCTTCGTCCGCGCGACGCACTGTCATCACTACAGCGCAGTCCCCATAAACGACGGCCTGCACATCATGTTCATTGAACCACGCACAAGCCTACTATGCATAGGCACTGACGCTCCAATCGGCGGGCCAACGAGTCTCACCCGCGCATTCGTCTGTGTTCCACCGACCTTCAAAAACACGAGAGAAGAATTTATCAAACCCTTGCGTCAACTATCATCCCCATCTCCTCCTTCAAACGAACAAACCTCGTCAACAAATCCTCCAATCCCAACAGCATTCGCCTCAGGCTCGGACCTCCGCTGGGGTCTCCGCGTCGTAGCAGCTTATGGTGACCGCCTCGTGCTGTACTCGATTCCCTTGGATGTGTACAATGTGATCCGCAAGGAACGAGAACAACAAGCTGAAGGTGTGATGGGTGATAGCGACCTTGCCCGCGACTGGTACCTTGACTCAGATCAGCCCCGAAAGCGCTGCGAGAGCTTGGTGCAGAACCAGAATGGCGATTGGGAGTTTCTTTTGTCTGTCTCTTATCGACCTACTGCCATGATGTGGCCGTTCAAGATCTATGGGAAGGAGATAGGAACTGTCAAGGGAACTGTTGAGCTTGCTTTGCAGTCCTCCCAGGGTGGGGCCAGGGTCTGGGCTTTTGGAGATGATGGGAGAGCGACTGTTTTGGATATTGATATTGGTGATGCTCCCACTCGATCTCTTGGTGTCGGTTCTGATGGGGCGTTGGAGGATCGTGGTGTCCTTCGGAGCTTAGGTTCGAGTCCTGCACTGCAGGCTTCAAGCAAACGGAGGTTCGAGGAGGCGCATGGTGGGTTCTCGGGTAGATATGGTGCTGGTCGCCATTCGGTTGATGGGATGGATGGAATCAAGCCTTGTGCTGCTGGTGTTCATGGGGTGCATCAGGATCCATCGGTTCGGCGTTCATCCTTTGCGGCTTGCATTATAGATTTCAAGATTCCCGAGTTGGGGTGATGAGGTCCATCGTTTGTGGGCGTTTGATACTGTACATAGTGTCCAGGCAGCTAGCTGTCTTTTGAATATAATTCTCTCCACGTGAATTGTTCTCATCTCTCCGGGTCGCGATTGCCTAAATACGCACCTTCCTCGTTCGTCTTCCGTCCAGCGCGACTGCTTTTTTTCGCGTTCTTTCTTTTTCTTCCTCCTCCTTTTTCTCTCACTTTCGTCACCTCCCTCTTTTCATCGAACGCGTCAGTTTCTTCGGCTTGTTTATCTCTTTCTATCATCGCGTATCTGAGAGGCTCTGTTTCAGGCAGTCTTCAGGTTTGATCGTATGTTCCCGCATCATATCGACCTAGAGTTTTGCTGACCACTTCCATCACCTGTGGATATAGTGCCCACTTACGTTTTAGTCACTGACCATCATCGTCATCTACGTTCTCTGCTTTGCTCATCTCATCTTTGTTGGTATTCCTTACATTCATTTTTCATTCTTCCTCATATTGGGGTGGTAGCATGTTGACGCTTTATCATGTTGACGTCCATTTGTCCTAACCTTTTCAGTCCAAGATTTTCATGCAGTATTGCCACTAGCCATTCACAATGGTTTTCACCCCTTTGACCGAATTACCTCGCGATTGCTGGCTTCAGATACTGGAGTATCTGCCACAGCGAGACTTGAATACTGTGTCACGAATTTCTCGTGATCTTCATGTCTCGGCTGAGCCTTTTCTGTATCGCTCAATGCATTGGGATTGGAAATTTCCCCCTCTTGAAAAGATTCTATTGCTCCTGCGGAGTATTTCGGAACGACCAGAGCTCGCGGATTATATCTGGCACGTCAGCATGGTATGGTGGGATGCTGATTCTGCTGGGGATGAAATTTGCGTCCCTAAAGCCAGGGTTGACTGGACTAAGGCAAGCCTTAGATTTAGACCTACTGCGAGATGGGCCCGCAAGCTTGTTCGAGACGCAAGTTTTTCCACTGAACTTCAGGATACATGGTTCAAGCGACTATCTGTTGGAGACGTCTATGCATACGCCACACTTCTGATCTCACAACTTCACAATCTTCGTAGCCTTCGGCTAGACTTTTCTTTTGTGATGGAACAGGGTCTTCCTGGGACAATGTTGCTTCATTCTCTCTTCGGCAATCCACCCCCGGTGCATTGACCAGCTTCTCAAAACTGGAGATGGTCGACTATGGAAGCAATTTGCCTCTCATGGCATTAGACGAGACTGTTGACTTCGGAGACAATCATCAATTCGTGCCCTGGTTCCACCTTCCTGCTTTGAAGGTTCTCGAGATATGGCTCCAGAGTGTCGAGGGGGTTTGTGTTTTCCCTGAGCAAGAGGCTGAGATGTCCTTGAATTTGTCGAATCTTCGGAGCCTCGTACTTGCCAGATCCTCCGTTCTGCCTGAGCATCTCGCCATGCTACTGTCTCAGGTGCCGCTCCTGGAGTCTTTACATGTGGGCACGGCCTTCAAATGCTTGGCAACAACTAATTTGCTCGTGGAGCCAGAGCTACTTCTTCGCTCCCTCGAAACTTCATGCCGTACACTGAAACATCTTTCTATCAGCCTGGAGCTTCTCCCTTGTTGCTGGGAAAACTTCCATCTGCGTGTTGAGGATGGAGTAAACAATGCACCATTCTATGGGATTCTGAGGAAGTTTGAAAAACTTCAAACGCTATCGTTGCCAATCAACTTCATCATCGGCTGGCATACAATGACATACGACCTTCAAGATGTGCTACCACCAACACTTGAAGCCCTTGATCTACGGACTGATCTCTGGCCATCGTCAGATCTCGCTGAATTTGAATTCGCCACACTCAAGGCTCTGGAAACACTCATGAGACTGAGAGAGATTGGATATTACCCATCTCTCACAACTTTCTCATACCAGGGCCTCGATGAATATTTTGACGATGAGATGAATGAAGTGGGACTCCATCCTAGCTTCGACTTGGTGGTGAAGAGGGAAGCACTGCTGCTGTATTGTCAGAGGAAAGGATTCGAGATGTATTCTCGATACTCTGATTGGACGCCTGCTTTCATGACTAGGAAGGTGGAGTGGGTCAACAATGTCGTTGCACGGTTCCCTTGGCCGTTTGTTCAAATCGATGGACTTCCCGCACGCATGCCCCAATGGCTCAAGTTCAAACCCCGGGAGCTCAAATGATGCGAGTCCATTCGATGCGCAATCAAGCAATGGGGGCTTCCCTGTTGCGAGTTGAACAGATCTCACGTCAAATGACCGATCTCTAATGGATCATCGACCTATGATCTACTCTAGTGATACCCATGTTTTTGTAATATCTTCAGAGCGAATATGATCTATTCTTATTGATTCTATTCTGTAATAGGTAGATTCCTTGTGCGTTGCAAGTAGGAATTCCTAGCCTGTAGACTAAATCTGAAGGAGCAACCTAGAAGGTAGGTCCCAAGGTTGCTCATGTCCATCGCTCAGTAACTTTTAGGCCCATACCAGTGAAGCCTTGAAAATCTCTATAAATGGGTGCAACACTATCTTACGTACACAATGCTTGTCTGGTAACAAAACTAACAAGCTAAAAAGCTCTGCCCACCGATGTAGGCCTCGGAATTATGCAATGATATGCGAGGCCCCCTGATTTTCCCGAAGTCGGCACCCGTGGACCCTTGTGACGGCATAGGCCTACATAAGTTCAGCCCCATATATCCACTATAAATGGGGCCCAAGAGGATACTAAAGCCGAGATTTGGCCTTGGCTGGATCTCGAGGTCCAGGGCTGTCTTTGCCGAATCAGTCAAGGGTTTCTGCCCAATGAGTCACAGACGCACTACAATTTGCAATTTACCTCGAATATAGGGAATACCACATGGGGGCTTCTCTTTCTGTGAATTGGTACTTTCACATTTTCAAAGATTAAGTAATACCGCTGATCTGCAAGCAAAGTCTCGTGAGAACCTTATTTAATAGTAAAGAAACCTTGAGAAACACGTTCTATTCTCATAAATTGAACTCCTAGGCTAAAGGAACTATCCGAACATTTCTTTCATTATGACAGGCTTGAAAAATGCCCTTCTCGTGACCCAACTTATAAGTCTTGCAATTTAGTTCGCTTGCGATTTCTCGCGGCGTGCACGAACACCTTGGGCCAAGGTCTCCAATACTGACTCGGTATCTTCCCAGTTGATGCAAGCATCTGTAATACTGACACCGTACTTGAGACCGGCCTTGCCCTCTGCGGGGACCTTCTGGTTGCCTAGAGGAAGTCAGTATACGCAACTTTCTGTAGATACCGGGATCTCGGAAAGACTTACCCTCGTTGATGTTGCTCTCGATCATAACACCCATGATAGCATCCTCACCGGCAGCGAGCTGCTCAGCAATCACAGCAGCGACCTTGGGCTGGTTCTTGTGGTTCTTCTCGGAGTTACCGTGGCTGCAGTCGACCATAAGACGGGGACGCATGCCCTTAGCACTAAGCTTAGACTTGGCATCAGCGATGCTAGCAGCATCGTAGTTAGGACCGCGCTTGCCACCGCGCAGGATAACGAAGCAGTCAGGGTTACCGACAGTGCCGACAATGGAGACAACGCCGGGCTTCGTAACGGACAGGAAGTGGTGGGGGTGCTTAACGGAGCCAATGGCATCAACTGCGACATCGAGCGCGCCATCGGTGCCGTTCTTGAATCCAACGGGGAAGGAGAGACCGGACGAAAGTTCCCGGTGGACTTGGGACTCGGTGGTGCGGGCGCCGACGGCGCCGACGGACAAACAATCAGCCAGGAACTGGGGGGAGATGGTGTCCAGCATCTCGCTGGCAATGGGCATGCCCTTGTTGGTCAGGTCAACGAAGAGCTGGCGCGAGATGCGCAGGCCCTTGTTGATCTGGAAGCTGTTGTCGATATCGGGGTCGTTGATCAGACCCTTCCAGCCGACTGTTGTGCGGGGCTTCTCGAGGTAGGAACGCATCACGATGAACAGGTCGTCGACGTACTTCTCCTTCATCTTCAATAGGCGATCGCAGTATTCGAGGGCCATTTCGGGGTCGTGGATGGAGCAGGGTCCGATCACGACCATCAGACGTTGACGCTGGGTATCAGTGCCGTGAACAATCTCGACGGCCTCACTGCGGCCGTTGAGGACGGTTTCCCGCGACTTGTCGGTCATTGCGATCTCATGCTGGAGGAGGTTGGGTGGGATGAGAGGGTTGTATCCGAGAACTATAGCTGGTTAGAGAAGAACTAGGAGTTAAAGACTCATAACTTACCGCGAGAATCCTCCAGGTGGCTGTGGTTGCCCACATTAGGGTTATCGATGAAGAACTGTGAAATTGGCGACGTCAGTGACTGTGGAATTGAAATCAATGAGGGGTTGACTCACCGACATGGGGAAGAGAAGAGAGAAGGCAGAGAGAAGGGCCCAAGGGAATTGACTCGAAGGAACTCAATCAATTGGAAATATGAATAGGAAGAGAAAGGGAAGGCCAAACTCCTTTTATAAAGACTAGCCCTGTAGAATAATCGAATGAGTCAAACCTCTTATTCAAACTATAACGATTTACACGTGATCCACACTGCCCAAATTCCAATCACGGCGATCGCATTTATAAAATGTAAGCTAAGCATATAGTATAAAACCCTAAGAATCCCTCACTCGTGTACCATATCGTCCAGCCTTGTGCGACCCATGTATCACCTCAGACCTGAATAGTAGGTCATACGTGATCTCATCACATACCCCCTTGTTGCACCCGACGATCGAGCTCCTGCAGCCCACGAACTAAGTCATGACATATGTCTGCATGCTGTTCCTTCACAGCCTGCATTTGCTGATGATATAGCTGCATGCGTGCTTCTTGGGCCTCGAACAGATCGTCGAGGATCCGACCGCAGCCTTCTCGATAGATCTCCAGGACTCGACTGATGGTGGCCTTTTCCGCCGCCAGCTGAGTTGAGAGATGCTATATCTCGATTAATACAGTTGCATGGACTGAAGAATATCAGGCTTACCGAATTTGTTTGTTTGAGCAGATTGTGTGCATCCATTTGCGCCACTTGCAACGTGCATATCCATTCCATTGGGCTAAGATCGCCTGTTGTGGACGGGACATGCGATTTACCACCTGACTCTGTCGAACCCGGTATCTCAGTGCGGAGGGATTGGTCAAGGTTTTCATAATCCTTTGAAGGTGCGTCACCTAGGCCTCTCTCGTCGATCGTTTGCTGGGAAGAACTTGGTTCACTCGTCGATGCTTTCTCGGAGATGGCGCCGTCAGCAGTATCCTCTTGAGAAAATGATGGCCGGTGTCTTGGATGCGGCGGCCACGGTTGGGATCTTCGCAGTTTCTCCGTTTCGATCCCATATTCCAAGAATATGTCTCTTTGGAATTTGGTCCACGGGAGCCCCTCGTCGGTACTCTCGGTAGAATCATCAGACGAGCCTCGATCGTATTCACTAGCACTAGTGTCGGTGACATTGGTAGGTCCTTCGTCTCCTTTTACGCCATCCAGGGCAAGGTGAGGAGCTGTCGTGGTCTTTGCTGATTGAGGCACGAGTCGAGGACTACCGTTCTTGTCGACAATGCTGGTCTTTGGAATTGATTTTGGAGGCTGAGGTGACTGAGAATTGAGTTTCATCGAGACCTCATTAGTAAGAAGAGGCTTTTGAGAATCTGGAGTTTGGCTGAATCCCTGTCCTTGAATCTGTGCTGTTGTGAGATCATCGACCCTTTCTAGATTTGAGGTCTCCGACGGGGTGTTCGCCTGGCTGTCGCAGATATTAGTGATATGTGACGATGTGTCCAGTCCAGATCTCGTCGGTTGCAAGGCTGCAAATCCGGGAATGTGTTCCATGTCCATGTGATAATCGAGAATTGAAGGGCCGTCATTCATTAGATCCCTGCCGGCATTTAATCCTAAAGAGCTCGGTCCTGAGGATATCTTTATTGGGCTTGGAGATTTCCAGAAGGGTGGGCCGTATGTCATTTCCATCTGCTCTGTCTTCTGTGGATGCGTCTTTTCAATTAGTGCCGGATTGACCGTTTTAAGCTCAGGCTGGGGGTGTGAAGCCTCAACTGGAATTGCTCGGTCTGTTATACATTCGCCTTGCTCATATGCCGATGCGGGTTTTGTCGGTATCTGACCAGACTGTTGCTTTTTGGGAGAGTCCTGGGGCTGCACTGGATCAGATGAGATGATGAGCGGCTCTGTAGCCGCATAGACTGGTTTCTGGTGAGAAAAATTGTCTGCTCTATGAAGTGCAAGCATCAATTTGCTGCCAACTCTCTCTGCTCTGCCATGAGGTTGCAGATGGCTCGTTTCATGAACAGCCTTGGTCTTGCTTTCTTGTCTCTTGGGAAATGCCCTTGACTCCATAATGGTGACCATCGAGTTAGTCGGGCGAGATGGTCCTTCGAGATCGGCGTTGGGACTCGAGGATAATTCAAGCATTACATGAGCAGCTTTGCCATTATTTGCCTGTCTGCTGGATTGTGCTCTGTGCTCCAAGATGTTGACTTTTGAGGTACGGTATAGTCCTTTGTCATATTCCTCAAGATCCGATGATGAGTCAGTTGTCACCGATGTGCAGCTTTTTGTTCTGACGAAAACCGTTGGATTGTGCTCCTTTCTCTGATTGCCATCCTTGTTTTCACTGTCGATTAATGGGGTAGCTTGGTTAGAAGCCTCAGCCTCCGACACATGCTCTTTGGTCTTCGTGGCATGATCTCTGCTTTGCCCGCCCAGGGGACTAGAGGCCAAAGGTCTATTGCCATGGATAGAAGCTGCAGCGACAGTGCTTGCATTCAGCGTGATCAATGGCAATTGTGGCCCTTTGCTGCTGACCTCTTTGGCAGTGGTACTTTTCCTTGTGTTCGATTTCCTACGTTTAACCGAGCTTTTTTGTGGCTTTGATGACATTGCTCGCTTTCGTCCTGTCTCCTTGTCAACTATCTTCGGTCGGTTCGGGTCCGTATTGGCAACAGATGTTCCTCCATGGGTTCCTTTGTTCTCGAGTATCTCATTGGGCGTAGGGCGAAGATCTTCATCCCAGTCCACTTCTTCGGGATTAGGTCTGGGGTGTCTTGGTTTCGTGAACTTCAATCGAACAATTTTCGAATCCGAAGGCTGAGGTGGAGGGCCTTGTGGTTTCTGACGACCTGAACCTCCCGCGCCATCTTGCTTGCCTCCCGGCTTAAGGGATGCAGATGACACTCGGACTGGCTTTGTCGTTGCAATCATCATCCATTCATAAATAAGATGTAAATGTTGATCACGAAGAGAGGGAGCCTGGAGATCAGCCACGGGTACTTGGGTTGAAGGTGCGAAACTAAGTCCAGTTCCACCTGCCCAGATGGGCAGCACCTCATACACCTACGGATCACATGATACCTCAACTAGAAATTCCTTTGGTCTGCCCAGGTGCTATCAGTCAATCCTGAGTATATCTCGTGGATACTGCAAGGTTGGTCACAGGTATATCCGTACCCAAGGCTCATTGCCTGGGAAAAAAACACGCTCATGCTTGAGCTAGTTGGGCTTACATTTGCGTGGCTGGGGACATGTATAGGAGTCCTATTTCCCAGTGTATGAGTATATCAATCATGGTCTATGTGAATTTTCCAGATCTTTATAACAAGATGGTGAGCTTGATGATGATCTGCATCCTGGGGAAATGCAGCAGGTTTCTATTTATATCTTCAGGACGTGCTTGTCGCATATTTGACACCATCAAACCACCCATCTCCTTGTCTTCAACCTAAAACCAAAGTTATCATCAGCTTCTTCCCTCCTACCACCTCAATGTAGCACATATCTAGGTAAATCTACAGAAATGATGCTTCGTCAATCTAGATCCGATCGGCTTTTACAACCTCCCGACTCCGCGATTAATAATCTCCACCTTTCCAAGGAATCCGCATCAATTCGTCCGGCTTGCGGCTAAAGAGAGGCCTTTATAAGCCATGCAGGTCTATGCGCGACTAATTCCTTGACTAACCCGCAGGCCTTGCAGTCATACGCCCAATATTGCGTTTTAGCTCTGGATAATGACACAACAGACACCTCAACCCGAAGAGGCGCCAGGCCCTAGATGCCGACTAAACGCAACCCAACCTCTAGAGCGGCTTCGAGGCCTTCTTCCCACCCCTCTTGCGAAGCCTGCGAATGTCGAATTCGATACCACCCCTATCCCCAAAACCAAAGTCGAACGCCGTCGAGCGTCGAGCTTCAGCACTTCCCTCGACCAAGATGCGACTCTCCCTGGGAAGATCTCCGCACAGCAGGAACACGGGATTTCCGTATCGGAATCTGCTCTCCGGGAGGAAACGGTGCTGTATCTCGCATACGGATCCAATCTAGCGTCCCAGACTTTCCGTGGCATGCGTGGTATCAAACCACTCTCGCAGATCTGTGTTTTCGTCCCGGAACTCCAACTCACCTTCGATCTTCCGGGATTCCCGTACATGGAGCCGTGCTTCGCGGGTACAAATTACAGAAATATATCTTCTTCGGCAAACGACGAGTGCGAACCTGAAGATGACCAAACGGATGGGTTGGAAGGCGAATACTTGTCAGAGAAAGCAGCGCTGATGGGTCGGACCCGGCACGCAAAGGTCGTCTCGGGTGACCACAAGCCCGGATGGCATAAACCTCTCGTTGGAGTTGTCTACGAGGTAACATTAGCTGACTACGCGAAGATAATCGCTACTGAGGGCGGTGGTCGTGGATATCGCGACGGTGTCATCGACTGTTACCCTTTCCCGGAAACCTACGACCCCTCCGATCCGGTCCCCGATCACCCCGACACACCAGTCTTCAAAGCACACACATTGCTTTCACCGGCTGCAGACAACGCCCGCTTAAAATCGCAATCCCAGAAGAATGGGGAGGTGCTTTCCGGTGGTCCTAAGCTGTCATGGTGGCACACCATCTGCTTGCATCTTCGCCCTGATCCCGAACACGCTCAGCCCTCTGCTCGTTACGTTGGGTTGATCAAGGCCGGTGCTGCGGAACATAATCTGCCCTTCTCGTATCAAGAATATCTTGCACAAGTCCAGACTTACCATATTACGACTACGCGGCAAAAGATCGGGAAGGGGATGTTCATAGCTCTATGGCTCCCAGGGATTCTTTCGACAATGATCTTATCGAGGCTATTTGCGGGCCCGGATGGTCGCAGTCCACCATGGCTGGTGGCCCTGGCAAATACCGTGGGTTTGGCAATGTGGAATAGCTACGATGGTTTCTTTGCGATGGTGTTTGGGGATGGCGAGCGGACTATGGATGATACCCCGGCCTGATGTTCCTCCTGGGCTTTTTCCGGTAGGTTTGATAGCCATGTATATATGTAGACACTTGCATACGTATACAAAAATCCGGAAGATTGTCACTGTGTACCACTCGTCTCATTGCGAAGGAGCATAGTCTGCCATATCATGTTTCCATGATAGATAGACTGTAACTCTAGAGAGTTATATAGCACAGCTCTCCTGTCATAATCACAAAGGAAATTAAATTCAGATGACTCCTCGAAGCACACAGTTTTCGAAAGGAAATGAAAAAAAGAATATATCTAGGATACAGATACAGGTGTTCGGGGAGCGTTCTAACAAAACACAGACACAGCGACCAATAGATAGACACATAACAAATGACGAAAAAATAGAAGCCTCTCCTGATATACCTGTATCAAAACCGGGGATGTGGTATGGGTTCCCCAAGTTGTACCGGCACCATCAGCCTCACATTTTCGCACTCAAAAAAGGCCTTGCTGTAACATTTAACGACGGGGGCCGATGGGAGGGCTGTACACGATCTTGCGGGTCTTGAGAGGGGCCCACTTGTAGCGCTTGACCCAAACGGAGATGGCGAACAGACCGGTCAGGAGAGCAACGGCCTTGACACCCATCTTCTTGCGGTCATCCATCTCGGGCTCGGCGGACCAGTTCAGGAACTCGACAACATCCTTGGCCATCTGGGAGGTGGTGGCAGGGGTACCATCCTCGTACTCGACGACACCGTCGAACAGGACACGGCCCATAGCAATACCTATCAACCAGTCAGCAATGCTAAATTGAAAGGAAAAAAAAGTAAATATGCGAGCCAGTTGTTACATACCGGTACCGGGGAAGTAAGGGTTGAAGTTCATGCCCTCGGCGACGGCAGCACCAGCAGGAGGCTCATCGGGGTAACCGGTGAGCAGGTTGAAGACGTAGTTGCAGCCACCGTGACGGCCCTTGGTGATCAAGCTGAGATCGGGAGGAAGAGCACCACCGTTGGCGGCACGGGCGGCCTCCTCGTTGGGGTAGGGAGCGGGGATGTAATCGGAAAGCTTGCCGGGGCGCTTCTCGATGTTGCCCTCGTTGTTGGGCTCGGTGTCGTACTCGTGCTCCTCGGCGAAAGCCTTCATCTCGTCGACGGTGTGCATGGTGCCGACGAATGAGCGCCATGGGACACGGGTGAGGGAGTGGCAGGAAGCGCAAACTTCACGGTAGACCTGGAAACCACGGCGGAGACTAGGATGGGGTTAGTACAATGTGTGCCGGTGGGAGTAAAAATGTGACTCGGGGAGATGTCACTCACGCGGCGTGATCGAAGGTCTTGTTGAAACGCTCGTGAACCCAAGGGTACTGAGTGGCGTGGAGTCTGGATGAAATTGACCGTTAGCTTCAACCATTCTTCTCAAGACTTGATCGCACAATCCTCGGCTGCGTACGCCGGAGTCTCGATAATGGCGATCATCCTGGGGAATTTCACTCACCCCTCCTCAGCAGGTGTCATGGCGAAGGCCTCCTGGCCATAGAGGTGGTAGTACCATGCGGTAGAGCCGGCAGCGGCGGCAGTTGCGAGCGCAGCAGTGAGTGTGAGGTAGAAGGGGGAGCTGGCGGCCTCGGCGCCGGCGGCGGTGGAAGAGGCACGCTGATGAATATTAGCAATGGAACCTTTTCGTAGTCCAGTGCAGGCTTGTAGGAGTTGATTCTCCTCTTCCGTGAAGGTCAATGGGGTGAGGGCGTACCGTGGACTTCCCGAGGGACTGGCGGGCAATGGCCCGGTTGGACGCGCGCAAAATCGAACGTCCCAGCATGACGAATTTTAACCCTCCAAAGAATTGAAAATGGACGGGAATGGGTGCTGTATCGCCAAAGCGAGAGAGGGGTGGGTGGGGAGAGGAGAGGGGATGGTACAGGAGAGAGGTGCTGGAGGTTGAGGTCGAAGTCGAAGAAACTTGACATTGATGATTACCCCCTTGCTCTGATTGGCTCCCGGGCACGCTAGAAAACCGACTCTCGGAACACCACCATTCTACGAGCTTACAATGGACGATCTATGTATAAATCTACTAATTTAAATTGCAATGGATATCAGGATATGCTTTCTCTATCTTTCTGTTCTTCTCCGAGTCCTTTGGTCTTGTTTTTTTCGCCGGTTGTGCGCATCCCGGGATTCACCGAGAAAAACACGCATCACCGGAACAACAGTATTCTCGTGTACATCAGTATGGGAGATCTTAAGATCATTCCACTCCGATATACGAGCTATGTTTGACTATGTCTTTTCTTCTTCTGTCTTTTTTATATTCTTTAACTGTTGTGGAGTCGGGATCTTCCCTGCGTGAACACACAATTTAGGTATACCTATACCTAGGTACATGCGTAGTACATACATAGCTATCACTCCGGCGAGGGTAAGCTATGTATATCTCCAAGGTTGTATGGCTAAAAAAATCGAGTGTGTTTTCAACTGTAAATCTTCTACGGGCGTGAAATGGCTCGAATTGGAGAATCCTATTTCTATTCGACTGGCATCTCACATCCAAATGTATATATTTAGTAGCTCTTTTAGTTTCGGACGTCTTCAATACCACTGGTAATCCATTCTTCTTCTAGTGGCCCAACACGATACTTCAGGACATTGGCAGTAACAAATATCAGTCTTTACCTAGTGAGCCCTCCAATTTCCTCCCAATTGAAGCAAGCTCGACTTGTCTACACCTCCAAACACAATCAGTGCCTAGGAGAGCGGTGTATGTTCTGCCCGCTGGGGGAGGCGGCGGCGCTGGACCCTGTCCGTGCGCGGTGATCGTGCAGCTTTGGAATGTGGTTCCTGGCTTGCAAAAAGCAAAGAAGTGATTGGATGTCGAAGATGTTTGCATGAGATTCTAATACCAAATTTACGCCGAAGACGCCAAGTCTGCTCGATATCGAGACTAGACCACTCTCTTGAACCCCGCAGGACAACTTGGAGAACGCCCAAAGTGGCCTCCAATCTTGGGCTCCCCACAAGCGCTCTTTTTTTCGATGAATAGTCCAAGAACATAAGATGCCAGGTGCAAAGAAAGGGCCTACGCCCACAGCTCGGCCACGCAGAGATGTGTTGGCATCACTGCGCATGGCATCAATGGAAGACATCTCGAGAGCTGCTCTTCCGGCAGGTATGTGAGATGAAGCCGGGACGTGTTAAGAGGGCCATATCCTGACAAGAGGTTGTACAGAAATCGTGTCTTCCATTCTCGATTACGTCGGCCCCGTTGATCTAATCCGAGCAGCACGGTCCTGCAAGCTTATGCACGAGATGGCGTATGACGATACTCGATGGGTACACAAGTTGAAACGAATCGGATGTTGGGATGAAGCGGACGCTAGAAAGCATGCCGAGCTTATATTTGGGACTGTTGCCAATATGGAAGCCGTCGCGCAACAAGAGGAAGCTGAGACTGGCGATGGAACAGTACCTGCCATCACTGTCAACAATAGTCCTTCCGACGAGCTGAAAGAGATATCTGATGGATTCGACAAAATCGAACTAGTAAATACAGCATCGCAGGCTGATATGTCTCGGGATCTCCTGGACGAACCCGCTCTGGTGGTTTTAAAACAGGTCAGGTCAATCCGTGGCGAGGCGCGTCAAGAATACGGCAAGATACATGCTGCGCTGGCGCCATTCTATGAGGATATCGCACGCTCTGGGCCATCCTCGGAAAATCTGGTATTCACAAAATATAAGGATCCCCAGGCTCAAGCACAAATACTGGCACAGTTGTTGTCATTCTCCAAGTCTGATATGATGGAAGGATGGGATGAGCGACTAGACAATTTAGAGCGCACGGTCTCGATGTTCGAGACTGCTGCACTAAATGAATTTCGCCAGGGATATGAAACGGACGACATCGATGGAACTATGCGGAAATACGCCCACATTTTATGGACACTCAATGGCGGACAAGCTGCTGTGGAGTTGTTTATCCATCACAATCACCTCATGACTCGGAAGTCTGAGTTAGGGAGCGTCGCTGACTGCATTGATGGATCAACCGGCCGAATCAACATGGAACAGACACAGGCTTTCTTTACACGTTTCAGTGTCGCGTTCAACGATGAAATTTCCATCATGAACCGCGTCTTTCCCCCGGACTTGGACGTCACATCAAGCTTTATGGCAAAGGTGGGCCAAGATGTGCTGTATCCTTTCCTCACAGCAATATTTGACGAGTTGCATCGCGTCAGCATCGAGTCATATCTCACTGCAATATCGGCAACCTTTGTGCAATGCATGAACCTCTCAGAGGCTTTGCTTCCCGTGAGAAGCTCAGACGCCAAATTCGATGAATACCTTGATAATGTCGTGATCAAGATCTACGAACCGCACATTGATCTTTATCTGGCGGAAGAACTGGATCATTTTAAGAAAGCCTGCGAAGCTACAGTGGCTGAGTGGGACCGACAGCTTTCTGAACAAGCGGCCTCGACAGAATCATTCTTGATGTCAAATATCAATCGTCAAGCCGATAAACGAGACTTCCTCACTTCCTTCAAGAAAGTGATTATGATGCCCGTAAATATCCTACCGAGCTTTTCAAGCGCCAAACAGAACGAAACGTCCAAATCCGGCATTGAGACAAGCAATGACAATTCGTCCCAATTTCCCAAGAGCCCGAATAGGTTTTCGACAATATCGTCACCTGCTCCGGTGCCTGTCGAAGAGGTCCCAACCACGGAGCTGGCGGCAAAAGCAGCTATCATGAAATCCAAGATGGAGGGTATCCGCTCACTGTTCAGTATCGAGATTGCACTTGGTTTAGTCCATTCTGCAAAGGCTAGTTTAGAAAGAGCCGCTCAATTTGTTCGACTTGGCGGCGAATTTGGGATCGCGGCAAAGCAGCAATGCGAGGCAATTTTCGTGTCACTGCTACGCATATTGGGACACCAACATGTTATCGTTGGATTCGACAAAGCTGTTAGCCATCTATCCAATTATCGACCTCGTGAACAAGGAGAACGTGACCAATCTGGGGTCGAGCCCCTTGTCACCTTTTTGGAACTGGTCAATGTCGGCGATCTCATTCTGCAGATGATGGATGTGTTCTACGAGCAGGAGTTGATTGGGTCGAGGCTGACTGATCGAAATGACTTCCTGGATCCTGCCAATAAAGAGAAGAAAAAATTCGAGCAGATGCTCGATGAACGTGTCGCAGCTGGTCTGAACAAGGGCATCGACGTTCTCATGGAAGAAGTGGACTACATTCTGGCAACGCGCCAACAAGCAACCGATTTCAACCCAGGTGTATCGACGGATCCTCATCGACAGACTATGGACGTTGGCGTTAGCGAAGTCGCCGCTGCCGTCGTCGATGTGGTCTCATCCCACACGCAGATGCTGGTGGGGAGCACTGACAAGAGCACGCTAGATGTGTTCAATCAAGAAGTCGGGCTCCGCCTGTTCACAGCTTTATGCAAACATATCAAGCGACAGCGTATCAGTGTGGAGGGATCGCTCAAGCTGATCAGGTAAGTACCGAGATCCTCCTATTACGAGATTCGACTTTCATACTGATTTGATCACCTAGCGATATGAATCACTATTTCAAGTATATTCAAACACTGCGAAATAATGAGCTTCTCCTTTACTTTACGGCGTTCCGGGAACTTGTGCAAATATACCTGATTGACCCTGGCCACGCCAAGGAGCTGGCGACTGTCATTGCTGATGCAGATCGGTTCCATGGGATCTGGCGTGTGGAGGAGGTCTATGAATTTGCGGAGCGTCGAGCTGATTGGTACCAAGTCAAGCGAGACGTGGAACGAGCTATGTATGGCATTGGCTGCAATGTGATGTAAATAGATGCCGGTCTAAATACCCCTGGGGATTGTATAGCGAGTGGTGTATATATTGATGCAGACATGCACGTGCGGAATGTTCTACTAGGTTGGGTAAATTCGCATGAATATATCTGCACTGGTTGGCATTTTATTTTATCCATGTATGTGTATGTTCTCAGATAAATATTTATAGAAGACAACAGTCAACATCAGAACCCTAGAGGTCTCAAATCTGCCAAGTTCAGTTGGAGGGCGCGGAAACAAAAGGAAGAGAAACGAGACTAAACCAGGCACTCCAAGCCTATAAATACAGAGAAAATACTTTGAAAAAGATTAGAGAGGACCTGACTGTTAGCTACGGGATAAATCATCGCCAAATAGTTGAATCATCGAAAGGCCACGATGTAGTATACTACAGCCCTAAGTAACCATCTGACGTCAACGCCGGCGGCTGCTGGAACGCCAACGCTGCGCCTGAAACGGACATCCTGACTTTCCGATCCAACTATCGCCCAGTCCGGTTGCATTCTCAAACATTTGGAATTAGAATTTGGAAATGGCCTTGATTTTTGGCTTGATTACTAGTTCTTCAGGAACTCTCTTCACTGTCGATCTTTTCGCTGTTGAGTAAGTCTCTCGAGCTTTGTATTATCTCTCTGGTCTCTAATTTTTTTTCTAGATATATGCATCATGCCATTGGGGTTCTATTGAGAGCACAATCTATCCACAACAATAGATGACTATGGTTGCCTAAGACAAGACAAGACAAGACTGGACCATTGCATCACCAGACTCCCAATCCAAGGGACATCGTTAGAGCTTGAGACACCGCGTCCCGAATGGAATCGGGGCCTGGTGCTTCTAGTACTGATTCATCAAAATCAATACGAAACCTGCTCTGATCACCAAATAACAAACTACAACTACGATCACCATCTTTCTACAGCCTCTCACCCAGGATGAACAAGTCGAACACCTCAAAAATGAGCCGAAACATCCGCTTTAGCATGACAAGATGGCTGGCCATCTTTCTACTCATCACTATACAAATCCTCAGCGCAAGGGCTGCAGAAGAAACTGTTTGGGTCACGGTGAAAGTGCCGGCGCCAACACCCACAGTCCCCTTATCACCATCCTATACCTCCCTGCACCAGTTCAAGGATGACATGATGAAAGTCACCAATGAATACCGCGCAAACCACCACGCCGAGTCTCTCAAATGGAACGATACACTGGCTGAGTACTCGCGCAAATGGGCAGAAGCCTGTATCTGGAAACACTCAGTGCGTATTGATCTTAACCATGTATATGTAGGAAACGGTGCTAACATCACTGCAGAAAAGTAGCTATGGCGAGAACCTTGCATATGGATTTGCGAATGCTTCTGCCGCTGTGATGGCCTGGGGTGATGAAGGTGATATGTACGACTACGAATTGCCGACTGGGTTCACTGAAGAGACGGGACATTTCACTCAGCTGGTCTGGAAGGCGACTACCCAGGTTGGATGTGCTGCTGTCAACTGTGGATACTCAAAAGATGAGTCAAAAGACGACAAGAATAAACGAGACAATGTGGATGGGACTCGAGGAGATCCTCTGGGAGGAAAGTTGATGCCGCCTCGCTTGACAAAGGATAACGAGGACGAAGGAAGTAACGACTTCCAAGGCATGAAAAGAGACGAACCGCGGGCTCAGGGGTGGTATGTCGTTTGCGAGTATACACCTCCAGGGAACGTTGTGGGCCAACATGATTCCTATTTCAAGAAGAATGTAGTGCCAAAGAACGCTGTCTCCGATGGGGCCGGGTCTTCGTCTTCGTCCACAACTTCTTCGCAGCCTTCTACCACATCATCGAATAGCGCAACATCCACTACCAGGGGCAGTCAGAGTGAGCCTACGGGAGGAGCTATGAGGTTTGAGCTGGCCTCAACATTGGGGATGATGATGGTAGCATTGGGAACTGTGGGCGTGGGAATGGGGCTTTACGCTTGATCTTTGTTTTGTTTTTTCTTTTTTTCCTTGTTACTTTTAAATGTTTTAAATAAAGAGATACAAGATTGAACGTTGCTAGGAACTGGTTTCGTAGCCATCTCTCATGCTTATCCACATTGCACATTTCGTCGGGAGGCGCACCGCTCGATCTATTGAATTTTGGAATGTCCCGATCCTTACTGGGCTCGGCCAGGGACCTAAAAGAAACACAAGGGGACAGAAGGCTGGGTTCAGGCACAAGCGCGAAACGCCAGCAGAGAAACAGGGGGGAAAAGAGGAACAAAAGGAAACACATTATTTGCGAAAATAGAACAGACAGATTCATCAGCCAATGACCTCCTCGGTCTCTTCGACAATTTCTTCGACAATCTCCTCGACCACGGAATCTCCCTGGTCTTCGACAACTGGGCGCGCATCGGTGGCGGCCTTGGGTGAATCGGCATCCTCGGGGAGGTTGAAGGCATCCTTCTCTTCGGACAGAAGCTCCTTCTCGCGACGGAGCCAGGCGGTCCACTCGCTGAGCACGCGCTTGCGGGTCTCGACAACGGCGGTGTTGGCGATATCGACGGCGTACTTGTCCTCCTCGTCGAACTCCTTTGAGTACTCGCGGAGGTTCTTGCGCACTTGCTTCTGCTCTTCCTTGCTGAGGAGAGTGGCGGGGCGCGGGCGCCAGAGGAACTGCTTGAACTTTTCGGTGGGGTTCTCGGAGAGGGTAGTACCGGAGAAAGTGTGCATGTTCCAGCCGTTTTCCATCTATAGGAAAGTTAGAATCATGAATCGAGATTGAAGTTAGAACCAATTTGAAACCTACCGAGTGAGTCCACACACTGGCGCTGCTGACAACGTAGCGACCAGTGGAGTCCCAGTCGACATCAGTAACACCGTAGTGCTCCACAGTCTTCATCAACTGGAGGTTGGCTGCGAGATCCTTCTCAGCCTCGACCTTCTCTCCCTCGAAATCCATATCCCAGAAGTCCATATCGAAGTTGGTCTGGGAGTGAACAGTGGCGACAACGACGAATCGGCCCTTGGGGGACCAGTAAATGCCGTTGCTAGTCTTCTTCTCAATAGTGCGCACCAGCTTGAAGTTACCGGCGGCATAGCCCTTCTTCTCAGGGGCGAAGAATGAGACGGAGGTCTTAGGGAGGACAGCGGCGCCAGTTGGTGCCTCGCCGTTGGCAATGACGACGAATCGGGATCCATTGGGCTCCCAAGCAAAGTTAATCACAGTATCCTTGAGGCTGTCAACAACCTCAACAGGCACACCCTTCTCGCGAACGCGGAAGATCTCCAAGTTAGTGGCCATAGACTTCTTAGACTTGGAGTGACGGTCGACCTTGACGCAGACATAAGCACCCTGTGATTGCCAGTGCAGCTTGACATCTGAAACGTTGAACAGATTACGGGTACGAACAACCTCCTTGGAGGGTACGCTCATCATACCCACACGGGCGGGGTTGCTGCCGATTTCGGGAGTCCAGAAGCAGAGCAATTGCTCGTACTGCTTGACACCCTCGCGAGTGACGGTGGCGGGGGACCACTCGAAGTCCATAGCACCCTCAATCTTCACAGAAGTACGGCCAAGGAGATTCATGTTGGGGAGTTCGTAGATAGAGATAGACTGGCCCTGGAGCATGCGAGCAACGTATTTCTCGTCTGCGGACCACTTGAAAGCAGGCCACTGGACCTTCTTCTTGGGAGCGACATCGCCCTCAATGTCGGCAGGGGCAGCCAAATCGTGCGACACAAACGAACGGAGAGGCTTGCCGGTCTCAATATCCCAGACAATGATGTTCTTGCCGTCCTCCTCGTAGGTCAGAATGGGCTGGCCTTCCTCGACCTGGATAGGGCGTGCTGACCACGTTGTCAAGTAGCCCTCAAGAGGAGAGAACTCGATAAGCTGGACGAAGGGGTGGGGGAACTGCTTTTGCTTGGAGAAAGAGGCGCCTCCCCAAAGTTGGACACCCTGCGGGTGGACGGATGCAAGGAAGGTACCCTTGGGGGACCATTGAACGAAAAGTTGTGTCCAGTGAGCGCGATCAACGACATTCTCTGGGGGTTGGTCTTGTTGTTCCAGAAGACGCCGACTTTGTCGTTACGGTAGAGGGCGAACTGATCCCGGGCGTTGGCATCGCCCATCCATGAGCGCAGGTGCTCCTTCTCCTTGAATGGCTCTGCGACGGGTGCCTTGTATTCTTCATCGATCCGACCTTCACGACCATAACGCTCGATATCCATCAACTTGTTCACAGCCATAATGTGCTTCTTATCGAGAGCAACGCCGTGCAGCTGCTTGACAGCGGCAATTGCCTGCTCGGGGGTTTCGTATTCCACAAAGGCGAACCTATATCCCCCAACAAAAGTCAGAGATTGTCCCAAGAATCCTCCGTAATGCTTTTAATATCCAATACGCACCCTTCGGTCATGTTCTTGTCGTTAACGGGCATGAAAACCGCATCTTCGGAGGTGCTGCCGACGGCGTTGAGTTTTCTCAATAAGAACTTCACGAGTTTTTGTCGGCTATCTGCGGGCACAACGGGGAGGCCATCAATGACGATAAATGTGTCCAGACCCTCCTCGACCTTCACTTCATATTGCTCCTTGAGATCTGTGAATTAAGATGTTAGGGAGAGGGGCACACAGACCATGAGAAATCTTGCACTCACCGGAGAAATCAATTTCCTCCTCCTCTTCCTCGTGGAAGTCCTGCTCGGACAGGGTATCGAAACTGGGCGCCATGATGGGTCTATCGAAGGCGTCTAGAGGCTTCGGAGCAAAGATAGATCGGTGCAATCCGCTGATGGATTTTCGGGCAGAAACAAATCGCGGCCGCCAAGCGGGTTCTTTGTGCGGACTGACTCAGCACTGAGTCAGCACCGATTTGCCCAGGGGACGGGCACCTGAGTTGATCACATGACGTTTATATAATCAACATGCCGGGCCAAGTGAGGCTCCAAGGTTAGCCTCAGAGACTATGTATCGTAGATGGACTCCATATGTTTTTCAAATTTGCTCACCCAAGCCTCATCGAGCTATCTGCCTAGCACATCTGAGAGCTGATCATTTCTTGCTTCTATATCACAAATTAGCAATCGTCGCCTCTGACCCTTGTTATGCTCCCCGGCTGGGATAAGACATACGGTGTACGACTTGCCAGTTTTCAAAGTGATTTTGACAGTGATATGTGACTATCTAAATCAACAGTTTCCATCTCATCTGCCGCAAAAACGTTTTTGATCCGTCCTTGACCGGGGATCTTTTGGCCTGGAGTATTATTTGGGCTTGAGTAGAACCCTGGAGATGAGATGGCCTGCGGGGACTCAGGCTGGCACTACATCCATGGATACTATGCCTACTATCATGCTATTACGCTCAACTGATCATTGTAGAAGAGAGGAAGTTGATTGAGGAATGGGGTCACTTTAGAAGTGTATAAGTTCTATAGAGGGCCTCTCAGGTCTAAACATTTACTCAGACGGAAGACAAACAGATGGATCATTTCAATCTACAAATATACCAGATACCCCGGCAATGTGCATGTGTCTGGCACTTGAATCTTTTCCTTTTCTGCTTTAGTGCTCATCTATTGCTGTCTTTAGATCACTCGATGCAACTAAACGCGGTTACTTCCGAGATTGACACCCCAGGTGTCCAACTCCATGTCAGGTGACACCGATGATTAGTCATGTTTTCCCCAGCTTGAGGACGGACCCGTCAATCATCATAGACGCTTCTAGAGGTCCCCAATTGGATTCACATTTCTTTTAGATTGCATATCTTGCTTCGATCTCTTGATTTGGTCAGACTTTTGTCTATTATTCCCCTTCATCGCTCCCCCTTTTCTCCAATCAGTTTACCTGCCTCTTCTGTCTTCAATGCCCCGCCGGTCTTAAGCGCCAGTGCGACTTGAGTATAGCCCACCTGACAACTCCGAGCTCTCCCTCGGCCACCATAATCCTCTACCGGCTCCACGACACTCTCAATTGCATACCGCAAATCTTGACTCAGCTTACATCTGTTCATATAAGCAGCCTATTTCCACGATCTACCAGCAACAAGATGTCGTGTAAGCTACCTCGGTGTTGCCCCGGTGCCAACTGCCGGACCCCCAAAATGTCTTCTAACTGATCGCTCATTTGGCGCATTAGTGACCTCTGACATACGCGACAAGTATGTCGACATTATCGACGACATTTTGTCCAAAAGCGATCTCACCACAATTTCCGAGAAGCGGATTCGCAAAGGTCTCCAGGATGTCATCGGCTATGACCTCACTTCGCAGAAAGTCAGTCTATCGCGATTGATCGCCTAGATCATGTCAAAGTGATTCATCATTGGCGAAGAATTGTGGCTGACGTCTGGAAAGACTTTAATCAAGCAGCTGATCATGGAACGTTTCGATCGTTATGCCGACCAGAGTGGCATGGGCGGATCCCCCGAGGAAGCTGCCACAAGCAATGGTCAGCACAATGGCGATGCGGCCTCAGTTGCAGTTCCATCATCGCCTCCATCGTCGTCTCCCGTGAAGCGCCATGCTTCTAGCGATGTTACTTCCGAACCCGCCAGCGCGTCGCCGCCGCCTACCAAAAAACACAAGCCTGATATTGATACCGATGCGGATGCGGCATTTGCGGCCAAGCTGCAGGCCGAGGAGAATTTGCGCGCGCGACCCACTCGAGGGGGTCACAGTCGACGTGCAGCTCCCACCAAGAAGAAGAGCAAGGCCAAGACCTCAAAGAGGGTCAAGGCAGAAGATGATTCAGATATTGGCTCAGGTGAGGAGACAAAGAAAGAGGTCAACCGAAATACTGGTTTCCACGTATGTTGTTCTACAAACCAATTTTCAAGCTTGTCGTTCTGACCTGCCTACAGAAACCTTATAACCTCTCCGAGCCTCTGTCCGCCCTTTTGGGAGAAGCCACAGTGAGCTTACTTCCCATCAATGCTATTAGCATTTCCGCTAACTTCCGCACAGCTTTCGCGACCTCAGACTGTCAAAAAGGTATGGCAATACATCCGTGAGAACGACCTCCAAGACCCCAGCGACCGCCGCCAAATCCGATGTGACGATGCCATGCGTGCGGTCCTTAAGCAAGATCGCGTCCACATGTTTACTATGACAAAAATTCTCAATCAGCATCTGTACAGCCCCGATGAATAGTTCGGATGACAAACTGGCTTCGATCCTCATGGAAGAACAGGCTCCAACCCAAGTCCTGTTTCTTAACGATTCTCCTTGGTTTTTCATGGTTCTTTTTTTGCGATGCATGGGGATGCTGGCGCGACTTTTGAGCACTTTCCATTGGTCATGTTTTTTTCCCTCTCTGAATTTGACTTGCTTATGCTCTCCAGCGGGAGTTGGGAGCCCTCCACAGGTGATTTTACAGTCTCAAAGGTCTTTTAAAGGCCCTTCAATCTACTACTACTTTCAAGGTCTATGTGCATATCCTTTTTAGTAGATTCGAAACCCACGAAGTGCTGCTAGGCCAAGGCATTGGACCCTGCATAGACATAAGCTTGGAGACGTTTGCTCTCTGCGCATATTTGACTGCCCCTTTGATTTTTATGCCTCGCAGGCCCAGTAGATCATTGGTGACATCTCTATATTAGATGGGTTATATTTGGTGTATCATTTTGTTCATCATATCTTGGCTAAATGAAGCAAGCTAATGCAACACCAACAAGCCGACGGATTGGGCTCGGCCAGTATATCTTTACCAGTATAGTGCTTGCAAAATGAGAACCATGGAATTAATAGAATGTAGCAAGCTTGTCTCTGTCACCCAACTGATATCTGTGGTAAATAAAGGAACAAATATTGTGATCAGTTGAAGGCCTCATACTTCACAAGGTTCGTCGCATGCGGGATCAGTCAGCGACGTCTCACTTTTTTCTCAGAATCTCTCCCCACCACAATCTACAAACTCCAGAGCTCTGCAGCTCCAGCATACTTGCCATTGACGCCGATCCGCAGTTTGCACCGTGACATCCTTCCCCATATCCGCTATGGCCGACAACCAGGCCCCTCCCCCAGAGTCATCCAGCCAGGGTCGTGGCGGGCGTCGCCGCGGCCGCGGAGGGGCAGCTCCCTCCGGCCGTGGGGACTCCCAACAAAATAATGGCGATGGAGCACGACGCCCCAAGCCTCGGACCCGTGGTGGTGGTCGTGGTGCTGGCGATGCCGGGCGACAAACTCGCGATACCGATCAGGCCAACAATCACGATGCGCAGCCCTCGAAAGTCGCTGCGGCACCAGCAACCAAGAAACCGGTCGAAGCGGCTACAGACGATGCAGATGATGGAGAAGTCTGTTTCATCTGTGCCTCTGCAGTCGAACATACCTCTGTCTCACCATGTAACCATAGAACGTGTCACATTTGTGCGCTTCGGTTGCGAGCACTGTATAAAAATAAGGCTTGCGCTCATTGCAGAGTATGATCACCTTGAAACTATTTGGCGATGAGTAGAATCGCTTTTGCCGGAATATGTTTCAAATGCTGACTTCCATATCAGACTGAATCGAACTTCGTGATTTTCACAGATGACCCAGTGCGGCGGTACGAGGACTTCCACAAGAAGGACTTTGCTCGGACAGACGATAATCTTGGCATCGAATATGAGAGCGATGTGATCTTCGAAGACACCCTGTTGTTGCTGCGATACAACTGTCCAGACGAGGACTGCGACGTGGCCTGTCTGGGGTGGCCAGACTTGCACCGCCATGTAAAGAGCAAGCATGGAAAAGTCATGTGGTATGTTGGGATCACAACTCGAACAAGTATTGAAACACCGGCTAATGTGTTCTTCGAACAGTGATCTTTGTACTCGTAACAAGAAGGTCTTCACCCATGAGCATGAACTGTTCACGATGGCGGAATTGCGTAAACATGAAAAGTCCGGCGATGACAAGCCGGGAGCCATAGATCAGAGTGGTTTCAAGGGACACCCTGAGTGTGGGTTCTGTCGTCAGCGATTCTATGGCGACGATGAGCTGTACACCCACTGCCGCGATAGACACGAACGTTGCCACATTTGTGATCGACGCTCTTCCCACCGTCAACAACAATATTATATTGACTACAACGCACTTGAAAAACATTTCCATAAAGATCATTTCGTCTGTCTGGACAAAGAGTGTCTGGAAAAAAAGTTTGTCGTCTTCGAATCGCAAATGGACTTGAAAGGTCACCAAATCGAAGCACACCCCGAAGGACTTTCCAAGGACATTCGGCGAGACGCGAGAATGGTTGATCTGGCAGAGTTCGACAACATGCGCACGCCTTATCAACAGCAACGGCAACGCCGGGGTGCCGGTCGAGGCCGTGACCCCAATGCCGAGCCACTCCCAATCTCCAGTGCACAGCCAATGACCCGTGCCGAAGTTGCATATCAACGACAGATGGCTATCCAAAGTTCCCAATCTGTCTCGACTCGAAATTTTGGCGGCCAGCTCACCCGGGACGACGTCCAACCCGTGCGTGCTCCCGAGCGATCTGCCGCTGCCACTCCGGTGCAGTCTACTCCCGCATCACGCTCTCAACCTCTCCCCACTGCGGCCTTTGAAAACCTCAACATCGCTGCCAACAGCGCATCCGCTTCACCACAAGACCAAGCTCGTCGAATGCGCCATGAGGCCGTAATCTCACGTGCTTCAAACCTTCTTCGCAACGATGCCACCAAACTGGCTGAGTTCCGTAGTAGGGTATCAAGCTACCGCAGCTCTTCCATCTCAGCGACTGAGCTTATCGATGCCTTTTTCTCATTATTTGACACATCTAGCACCGAATTGGGCAAGCTCATTAAGGAGCTCGCTGAGATTTACGAAGACGAGTCCAAGCGCTCCGGTCTCCTGCGATCCTGGAATGATTGGCGAGCTATCAATGAGGATTACCCAGCCCTTCCAGGACCCGGTGGCCTCCTACCTGGCATGTCACCCGGCACCGTCAACACTGGCGGCAGTCGTGTTCTGCGCCTCAAGTCATCAACCGCTCAATCCTCCCGCTCCGCTGTGGGCCGAAGCGGTTCCCTCCCAACTGCCTCCTCCAACTCCTTCCCTCCTCTTTCCTCCGCTGCTGGCCCCTCTCGCCGTGGCAAAGTCTCCGCTACCCCTTGGGCAGCAGCCGCCCCGTCGCCGTCTTTCTCCCGCCCTACCATCCCAAGCCCTGTGAGCCGTCCATCATCTACCGCACCGTCCTCCAGCCGCACACCCGCACCCGCCCCCAAGAGTGCAAATGCTTTCCCTGCTCTCCCTGCAGCGGCAAAGCCCAATGTGCTGATGGCTGGCAAAACTCGTGGTACTGTCCGCTGGAATGATAACCGCGGCCCTGCCCCGAATGCATGGGGCTCAAATCCGGGTTCCAGCACTGACTCTGCAACTGAATCGAACACCGAAAACAACTCGGGTAATGGTAAGAAAGGTAAGAAGAACAAGGGAAAGCAAACACTGTTCCATTTCGGATAATTGAAAATTTCCATGTGAATGGTTATCTCTTCGATTTTACTTACATTTGATTGACTCTCACCTGACGGGGAGCGCGTTCAAACATACACATATCTTGTGTTGGGATAGATTTTTTGTTTAATTTTTTTTTTGTTGCAACTAGCGAGTGACGATACGATGTATTGTACAGAGTCAATCCATATTTTTTTTTGCTTCCTGTAACTGATATCCTGGGTATATGAATGTAAATCTCGCCAACCGCATCGACCATCATAAAAGTACACACATAAAATACACAAGTATGATCTACAAGACTGGGAATACTATTGAGAAGGCATCACTTCACTTACCATCCTCAATTAGTCAAGACTTTCAGGCCAGCACCACACTGTCATCCTCGGAAACATCTTCAGATTCAGACTCTGGACCAGATTCAATCACGATGGGCTCGGATGCACACGTGCCGTGGATTCTCTCACCCGCCACGCCCGAACCTGACGCTTGGGCTTTAGATGTACGAACTGATAGTTCGGAAACAGCTTCTGCATGAACCGCGGGCTCACTTTCATCAGTAGGGTGTAGGTCCATTTCTCTATTAATAGAAGTCATGCGCAGCACGAATTCATCCTGCAATTTGATCAACAAAGTGCGAAGATTCTCGTTGTCCATAGTGCCATTGCGAATAAGGAATAGTTGTTCCCGCAAAGATAGAAGCAACTTTCGCTTTTGAGCAATAGCAACAGCACGCGACGAGCTGTTTCTGCGCTTGGCAAGCTTGTCCATCGCCTCTGAGACGGATTGTGCTTTATCCAAGACGGAAGATGGAAGATCGGCAAGTTTGGCGAGAACAAGACCATAACGCTGCTCTGGAACTGTGCCCTCTGCGATGCGGTACTGCATGGTCATTTTGGACGCGTCGGGGGCGATTTCTGCTGCTAAATGGAGGTTGATCACACCGCTGCGCTCTGCGAGAATCTGCGCCAAGTCGTGGAAGTGCGTGACGAACCAGACCAGAGCATTACTGGAGATAAGGGCTTCTGCTAGCGCGACGGCGATGGCCAAGCCGTCGGTTGTGCTGGTGCCACGACCTAGCTCATCAATGATGACCATGCTGCGGGGCTGGATGTTACGAAGAATAAATGCCATCTCGCGCATCTCCGCTGCAAAGGTCGAGACGTTGGCGTCTAGATCATCTGAAGTGGCGACACGGGCGAAGAGCTGGTGGGAAATTGGGAATGATGCGTAATGGGCTGGAATGAAGCAGCCTATTTGCGCCATGACAGTTACCAGGGCCAGCGAGCGGATATATGTCGATTTGCCGCTCATGTTGCAGCCTGTGATGATCTGGAACCTTGTTTGTGGTGTTGCATATGCGTCGTTGGGGATGAACTTGCTAGAATGAATCTGCTCGCGGATCGGATGACGTCCCGCTTTGATGGCGAGAGTGTCGGTTAGTTCGGGTCTGATGTACTCGTAGTTGGTTGCTAGCTGAGCGAATGCCCCAAGCATGTCTAGCATTGCAATCGCTTCACTGACTCGGAAGAGCCCAGATATTTCGGTACACACGTCTCGAATAAGGTCCTGAATTGTCCGGTCGCTCATATTGATTACCTCACTGTGAGCATCGGTGATCTTTTGGTTAAGTTTGACCAGATCGAGGGTCTGGCATTCAATGCGATTTCGCTTGCGGTACACATTGATGAAGATATTTGGCAGTGGACCCGGCTCTGTACGGGGGATACAGATGTAGTATTGCCTGGCTGTGTCAAATTTCAAATCCAATACCATGTCACAAGTTTCTGTGGCATGTCAGAATAATCCACGGCACATAAAAACCTCTAGCTTGCCTGATAACTTCTCAATTAGCTCGGTGGCATCCGCATTTGCTTCTTTGTAGGTCTGTCTAGCAACATCGAGCAGACTGTTGACGCCAGTCTGGTAGCAGTTAGTAGGTAATATGTTGGCAACCCAAATATATACGAGTTCTAACCTTGACACAATATATGCGCTGGTTCCTTAGATCAAGAGGCTTTGACTGGTATGCCACATGCTCATTCAAAGTCGCGGCAATCAACTCTTCGATCGAACGATGCCCCTCGGGAGCGCAGAGCTAAAGAGTATTGGTCTAAATGAAATATTTCGAAAAGGATATAGTGCTTACCTCGCGTATGGTAAGTAGCAGATCGCTCTCTGCCGTTCCAAGAGCCTGGAAGACTTTCTTGATCGCAGACACATACGTCTTAAGCATGATGACGTTGTTGACGGACTGTTCAACATATTGGATTGTCCGCTTAGTGGGAACCAAGATGATCTTGATGATTAGTTAGTAGAAGTATTCAATACTATGCTCGGATACTCTACCGCGGTCAACACTTTATCTGCATCAATGAAGCCCTTCAGCGCCTGCCTCACAGACACAAACATGTCTTCCTTGGTGGTCAGGTCTTCTACTGCATTGTATCTGGCTGTCAACTTGACTCGTTCTGTTGAAGGCTGTAATATACTGGCTCGAAGCAGCCTGGCCCCCATAGGTGTCAATGTCTGGTTCAAAAGTCCAAACAGGCTGTCTTTAGATTTCGCATTCTGCAGATTCTGGATAAGTTCGAGGGAAACAATAGTTGCCAAGTCAATTGTCATGGAACCCTGGGATGGCTCGAACCGAATCCGAAGAGAGTGCGAGGTAAATGTTCGTTGGAGTTCAGCTTCGACATACTTGAGAACCTAAGTCCTATGTAAGTGATTTCTTTCGGCATGATACTTCATGTGCATACTGCGGCAAAGCAACATGCTGCGAAATAATTCCCACCCAGAGTCACCTTCAGTGAGTCAACTTCTCCTGGAAAAGCCAATCGATCCACATATTCGTGACCCGCCTTCTCAGACCACCATCTCCGGTCTAAGAAAGTGAAAGTAGGATCTGGCAGATTCTCTTGGATGATATAACGAAGCTTCGATTCTTTGACGCTGTTCATGAACAGGATTTCACTGGGTTCGAAAACACCAATTTTGATTATTGTCTTCACGTAGGTCTGGCTATCACATATCTGACAGAGCACTGATTCGGCCGTCGCAAGATTGACAAATGCGAGACCAACCGTGGAGGAGACGCCCCGCGATTCACTCACGGCGCAGATAATATCCTGTGATGCGACACTGGTGGCCGTTGTGGTCAGCTTTGCCGTGGGAAGCCTACTTGTGCTTCTAGAAGCCACTGGAGTAAAAGAATTGAGTGAATTCAACGAATAAACCGACATGGTGATGCCCAATTCTCATGGTTGAGATGTTTGTAGATGGAGGAACCGATATGGCCGATAAGATAAGCGTCGAGATATTTTTGCCGTCGAAATTTCTCCTCTTTCTCCATCGACCTCAAAATCAATAACCATGGCCACCCTTTATCCTCCCCCCAGTAAGCGCCAAAAGCTTGTCCAGGCTGAGAAGGCTCGCGAGCAGCAGGAGATTGAAAGTATTCCGTCCGATTTGGGCAGTGTCCGAGTCCAATTCTTCGATCAAGCAACCGGCCAGCCCACCGGGCCTGCGGTCTCGGTCCCAGTCGCTGATGCCAATGTGAAGAATCTTGAGACTTTACTTAACACATTACAAGGAAATGTAAGATTGAGAACTCGTGGCTGTCCCATGCTTGGATTGTTGTTCTGACGGTGATTTGCAGGAGGATGATGAGCGAGTACCGTACCGATTTGCCTACCATTCCGAAAAAGAAGAACAAACGATCGATATTCTCCGCGATGTGTACCACTCGCTGCTCCAGCCCGGAGTCAAGACTACCGAAGATACAGTATCTCTCTTCTACACACCGCAGGCGGTCTTCCGAGTGAAGGCCGTTTCACGATGCGCGGCCTCCATTGCCGGACACGGCGAAGCAATTCTAGCAACATCCTTCTCTCCAGTATCATCTTCTACCATGGTCTCTGGAAGCGGAGACTCAACTGCTCGTATCTGGGATTGCGACACTGGAACCCCTCAACATACGCTCAAGGGCCACACTAGCTGGGTGTTGGCTGTCGCATACTCTCCCAACGGTGCTATGATCGCGACCGGTAGCATGGACAACACCGTACGATTCTGGGATGCCAAGAAGGGTGCCGCGCTGGGTGGGCCGCTCAAGGGTCACGCAAAGTGGATTACCAATTTGGCCTGGGAGCCATACCATGTGCAGGAGTCCGGACGACCGCGTGTGGCATCTGCCTCCAAGGACTCGACAGTGCGCGTTTGGGATGTGGTATCACGAGTAACTGACCATGTGCTCACCGGTCACAAGTCTTCCGTTACTTGTGTGCGCTGGGGTGGCACTGGCAAGATCTATACTGCGTCTCACGACAAGACCATTAAGATCTGGAACCCGAAGGATGGCACTCTTCTGCAGACCCTGGCGGCGCATGCTCACCGTGTCAACCACCTCGCACTGTCTACAGACTTTGCTCTTCGCACCTCCTACCACAACCACACTGGCAAGGTCCCCACGACCGAAGCTGAGAAGGTAGCCGCCGCCCGGAAGAAGTTCGAGGAGGCAGCCACAGTGAACAACACTATTGTTGAGCGTTTGGTATCAGCCAGTGACGATTTCACAATGTATCTGTGGGAGCCATCCACTTCCAGCAAGCCTGTTGCACGAATGCTGGGTCACCAGAAGGAGGTGAACCATGTTACTTTCTCGCCAGATATGGCCTACATTGCCTCCGCTGGATTTGACAACCACGTCAAGTTGTGGAACGGCCGTGATGGAAAGTGAGTATATCCTGTCCTTGGCCCTTGTGATTCATATCTAACATTATTCCAGGTTCATCACCACCTTCCGCGGTCACGTAGGCGCGGTTTACCAGTGCTGCTTCTCCGCAGACTCTCGTATGTTGGTGTCTTCGTCCAAGGATACTACTCTCAAGATTTGGGACTTGCGAACCGGCAAGCTCAAGATGGATCTTCCAGGACACAAGGACGAGGTCTTTGCTGTCGACTGGAGTCCTGATGGACAGAAGATCGGCAGTGGAGGCAAAGACAAGGCGATTAAGATCTGGCGGAACTAGATCTAGTTGCACTTGGTATTAGCATGCTCAAAAAAAACATGCCCTTGACAAACATCTAGCCCGGGCACGGTCTTTCTCGTCCGGCATTGCATCTAAGACGAGTACAATACCCAAAGTTCACAACACAAGGTTGTGTATCGTCAAATTTGGAGGAGTCATGGGTGCTTCGACACCCGAAACCATCCCCAGTGGATTTTATCCACGGCACAAGCTGTACGCATGTCTGCTCCGTGAAAGAGACCTGCCCTGCTTCATCCAAGGATAATGACCTCAAAGAAAAGAAGCGAATCGCAGGACGCTCGAGAGATGTTTCTCTTTTGAACTAGATTTCATGAATATCGATGTATAGAAGTTAGATGGTAAGTAAAGTGTGTGGATTGATTGATGAACCCTGTTCTGCCTATGCCTGGGGCATAGGATGCAGAAAGACGCTTTTTATGTATCTGGTTGCATTTCACGAATATCATTTTTGCATTTTGACAATTCTCAAGTTCGGACCTTCTTGCTCACTCAACCCTGGGGCTTTCTCGTACGGGGTATTTATGTAGCTGCTCGTAGCTAAAATTGTTGCCAAGTATTTGGGTGCCATATACAATATCGCCCATGATCTATTCAGCCATAATGCATTTCGAATCGATCTAAACTCGAGTGCACTACGTTCCTGAACATTCTATGAGTCGAGGAGGTTCATCAATCAAGTCTCTAGAACACTCGAGAATAAAATGAAAATTCTTTGAATTCATAGAACGTAAAAAAGATAAAAAAGCATAGTATATCAAATGCAAAAAAAAGCCTGCTATCAACAAATCATTAAGGAAAGTGTCAAGGTATCCGCCAAATCATCAAACAAGTATCACAGTAGCACAGTAGCGCACAATCTAAATATACTGCCAAGCAGGAGCCTCTCCAGTGTAAGTCAAAGCCACAGCCGAGAATCCAAGACACTCATCCACATTGCCGTGGGGGACAGTGGCATTGTCCAAGGCAGCAAACACCTGCCAGCGGTTATCATCGGCAGGGCAAGCCATGAAGCCACTGGCGCCCCAGCCAGCGAACGAGTAGTGGGCCCAAGGCTCGTCGGCGCTGTACTTGAAGGGACCAAGCGATGAGCCCTGGGGGATGTTGGCGGAGTGGGCCTGCGTGAAGCTAAGCGCTCCGTTGGGGTCAACGTAGACCTGCTGGCCACCGGGGACCACGACGTCCTGGGTATTGTTAGAGACTTGGGTCTTGCAGAGTGTGCCCGTAGGGCGATAGTTGTGTATGTTACTTACTAGAGAGGTACCTCCGGGAGCGAAGACGGTCTGATTACCGGGTGGGCAGTTGGGGACCTGGCTGGGGCAGTAGGAGGCGGTTTCGCCGCCGAGCCAGAACTTCTGTCCTGCGGCATTCAGAGATGCGTAGTGGATGGGTGAGCCGGAACGGATGGCCATCACACTGAAGGGGGGTTGGCCTTGGGCTCGCTGGTGGGAGCGGCGGCGGCCAGGAGGGGCAGAGCTAGGGAAGCAGCGATGAACTTCATTTTGAATTTGGAAGGTAGAGATAATAGTATGAGGCTGTTTGAGTTGTTGGTTATTTGTGTAGTTGAGAAGATGTAGATCTGATTTGAACTGAAGAGAGAATGGTCGGTCGTTGGAGTCCTTTATATAGATCGATCAGGAGAATCATAAATATAGGTACATATTAGCTGCTGATTTCCGACCTTGCATTCCATAGAACGATTGATTGTTCGCCAGGGAAACACAAGTCGAATCATTGTCCTTCGTCATCGACTATCGGGGTTGTCCGGCCGTGGAGCCGGTGGCGACGGTCCCATTGGGCAAACATGTGGACAACCATGTTTGAGACATGCTTTAGTGCCAATGTGTTCCCTCTGAAGATAATCACCTTCCATATGCATCTGTGGAGGTTGAATTCCTAGGGCCCTGTTTTTCGCCCCCAACCAGTGCGATGTGAGACATGGTGGGTTTGGTCGGCCAAGACGCGGAGGAAAGCTTTGCGCCGAGCCAATTGGCTGTCGCATCGAGTAGATTGGAGTTGAAGTGGATCGATGGTTGAAGAGGGGCCATCGCGTTTGGCGTGAAGATCTTATTTTTGTCTCACTGGGCTATAATTGGGACTTCACCGATTGTTTCGGTGATTTTCGGCTCAACCCCGTCAACATCCACGGTTTTCGAGAACTAAGCAGGAAGCTCGTGATATTGGCCTCGTGATTTTGAGGAATACTAGCCCCTACGCTTATTGTCCTTGTTTCGGACTTCGGGTTCCCCCTTCAATCCGCTGACAGCTGGATGCATGACGCTATTGAATATGATACTTTGGGACGACTGGGCAGTTTCGAAGCGCTCAGGTCCTTTGCTGGTCCCCATTTTTACTCGAGCTAGGGAGAAAGACACAAAAGAGACTAGCACAGACCCTGGAAAATAGACCGGTGAAGGGCCAGTTGAAATGCCATGCTTCTTAGCCTTGAATCCATCTATACATCATGATCCCCGCCGGTTAACTTCAATCAATGGACTGTGGCTTCTTACTAGGTTGTATATCATCAATGATACCAATTCTAGGACGATTCATTCTGGAGGCTCAAAGCTACAATGCCCTGATGGCCCCTAGATAATGTATATGCATGTATTATGTACATATTGCCGCCAGTATCATATGCAATAGTAGCACAGCTAACGCCACTGACACCATCTACCCTCCTCGATCGGCCCCTGCAGCCTGCTGAACGGCCCGGCTCGTCGCATGGCAATGCCGACGGTCTCGGGTGTGTCCGAGGGAGTATGTTGTAGTGGAAAGCTTCAAACTGATGATAACTCATCACATATCACTCGCTTACCCACGTCATCGTCTTCATGTGTATATCACAGATGCAGCTCATCTCCTGCGCGCCTGCAGTTTTCTATGTCGAAGAGGGCGCCACGCGGTTTGAGAATGGGGTGAAGATGGGTAGATTGGATCAGTAGCTGGCTGCCACATATAAGATGCTTGGTTATTTTGGGTTGGCTATTGGGTGATTGAACTCAGGAGAGAATGAGATCACTCGTTGCACGTTTGTCGCACATTGTCCAACATGAAGACAGCACCGAGGCCGTGTTGCCTGAAACGAGGACTTTGAACAACCGGCCTTGTCGGCTTACTGCCAGGAACGGTGTGACGTAGCCTGTGGAATGAATTACGTGACGAATGGTGATATCTTGACCGTTATTGAGATCCCATGCGTTTTGTTAGACTGGATGTGAGATTTTCCTTCGCCGGCGTTACGTAGCAGGGGATTTGTACGGAGTACTGTGCCGAAATTTGCTAGACCCTGATGAAAGGTATGATCTGCCGCAGAAAGGCTATGCCGGTTGTTTCCGAAGTTGGAGAACCGGGGCTTCTAACAGTGATGTGTGATGTGGCTGGCTTCATAGTCTGACAGGTGAGACACAGGTGACAGCAGCGTATTGTGGCTGGGCTGCAGGTAATAGCGCTATTGAGCCATTGAAGAATTAAAGAAGGGGAGTATCGTTTCTTTTTTCTGAATGTGTAAAGTGATATGGGAGTCAGATCCAACTTACAAAAATATAGTCGCCTTTTAGTCGCCTTTTGTTTGCTGATATACAAGGCGAAAAGCAAGGCCTTGCATGTGAGCTCGAAGACGACCGCACTTCGGTTTTTCCAATATAGCCGTAGGCTGTTAAGACATCCCTATCGGAGCAAGCACACCTAGACGATCTTTATCCCAATGTGATCGAGCTAATCGTTGATAAAGTGGCACCGGGCATATCCCGAGATGAATGCGCCAAGGACTCCGTACATCCGCCCTGAATATTGCAGGATGAGACAAGTGGAGACAACTATGGGGTATTTTGAGACCATCGCGCCAAATAGGGTTTCTTCTGTGTAGAGAGTGACGGATTCCTGCAAATTGGTCAAATTTCGAGGTTATGGAGTACGGAAGAATATAACTTGTTTAGGTTCACTTTGCCTACGTCAAGGTATAGTTTTGCGCATCTAGTGGTATTTTGACTAGAATGTCCTTTCAGGATTAGAAAGAGGCACTCATACTGATAAACAATACTATCCCCCACTCTAGACATCGAGCTAGCCCTAGGGCTGGAAGTTTAAGACACTGATACTACATAGCGTAGGTAGTTACCATGCGCTGACACCGAGGTAATGATACCTTGATGTCAGTGCGCAAGCCTAAACCTGTATAGTCGGCCGTCTTCCTTTGAGTGGCCTTTAAGTAGTCATTTTACAGATATCTGTACAGTTCGATACATTATATAAATAAGTAAAGCGAGTCTCTTCTTTTATGAGAGGAGTATGAAGAAATTACTAGTATCAAGAAGCATAAATAGCGTCTGATATCCAGAGATTATAGAGATCTTTAGACGCAATTCATATCATCCCCCCTTCCTTTACTTTATCATATCCATATTTTAGGTAATATCAGACCACCTGCGTAGATGTTGAGTCCAAGCGTTCCAAGACTGTCTAAATCTAGAGTTTCGAAGACTCACTCAAAGACCGATGTCCAAATACCGCCTGAGCGGGCAATTCAACGCCCCAAGCAATTCTACAATCCCATTTCGTATGCTCCTCTGTGCCAGCAGCCGAATCAAACGCTTGATAAGGCCTAACAATATCTCGATAGACAAACTCACCCACACCACCTTCACCCAACAGGATCCACCTGCGAGCAATTTCCATCGCCACACCATCCCCATCACGCTCCGCATCCACCGTCATCAGAGCCCCAGCAAGTATCCAAGCAAAGGTGAACATAATCCTCCGCGCATCCGCAAGCAACGCAGCCTGTGAATGAGTAGGCGCCACACGAGCAAGGAAAGAAGCCTGAGCCTGCTTCAAAGCACCCACCAGCGACGGAGTGCGAATCAGAGAAATAACACGATCCAGCCACCCTGACAAAATGCGCAGGTTATCTCCTTTCATCAGGAAGCGGACGAGTTCACTAGCCAGCACATTTGTGGTGCCCTCCCAGATCGGATAAACGGCTGCACTGCGGAGGAGACGCGAGATGTTGAATTCGGGCTCGTCGGGTTCATCGATATATCCGACTCCACCCATGGCTTCCTGGCATTCCTGCACGCCAACCATTGACATCTTGCTAACAACGCCTTTACATGTGGCGGTTAGGACCCGGAAGACGACTTTTGCTTCGGAAGGAGTGTTGGGCATATGTGCATGGCGTGCCGAGCTAGATGGGGTTTCAATCAAGCCCATTACTGCAATTGTAAAAAATGCAAGGTTTATAGCGCCGCGGTGCTTGACTTCTAGATCAGCGAGGAGACGTAGGTGCATTGGAATCAGCCATAATGGCTCGCCAACAGTGCGTCGTGACTTGGCGAAATTCTTCGTGATGCTGATAGCACGGCGCCAGGTTGATAATGTTCCAAGAAGTGTTTGGATGCGGGTGGTGTTTAGTAGTGGTGCGATGGTGACGATGCCTTGATCGAGCTCGCCGACGAGGTGAGCTCTCATGCCCTTCAACTCCAATTCGGCTGTGGGTAGCTCCTTGGTACCGAGTTTGTTCTTCAGGCGATGGATGCGCACGCCATTGGAGACTTCTTCTGGTCTTCCATCTGCGCCGATGATATTTCTTCTTAATGGTGCGATAAAGGTACTCAGTTTCCCGGACTCGGTTTTGGCTAGAAGGAAGGCGACATTGGCGTCTGTCGCCGAGGAGAAGAATTTGAACCCGTTGATCAAATAATCCCCCTCGGAGAGGACGTCGGAGGTCTTTGATTCCTCGGGTAAAGGTGCGTAGGTAGCCCAGGTTTCTGTATTCTGAACGTCGCTCCCACCTGCTCTCTCGGTCATCCATTGGCCAGATGTCCAGTAGTCATCTCCTCTGGAGGTGAGTCTCCTGAATACAGTGTGCAGAATATGATCACTGGGAAGATCCTTGAGACGCTGTGACAGGACAAATGCCGCTCCATCGGACATGCTCATTGGGCATCTGTACATGGCTGACGAGGGAGCAAATAGATACACTCTTTGAGTTTGATAGTTAGTATCCAGGCTTCTTGGACAACAGAAACTGCAACTTACGCAGCATATTGAACAGTACGTCTATGGACTCCGTATGTGTGGTCATATCCCAATGAGACCACACTGGAGCATTTGCAAATTGTATCAGTTCATGCATAGCAAGAAATAAACGAAGGACTGACCCGTGCCTAGCCCCCCACTTCCCTAACTGCTTCCACCCCTCAGTCGTAATCAGCTTGTCATACCCATATCGCTGGCCCCAGACATTGTATTTCTTAACATATGGCAGGTTAGTTTCTGCATCGGCATTCCACGCAGAGATTTGGGGTGAAACAGCCTCCTCGCCGAGTTGGGCGAGCTGGGGTTCAGCGGAGCTCAAAATCTCCACTGGAAGATACCCTATCATCTTCATATTAGATATAACAAAGTTATGATATTTGAAGCAAACTTACATCCCAACATTCGTCGCAGACTGGTATCAGAAGTGTAGCTATTTGGCAATGCTTCAAGCCGGGTAAAGATACCGGACTCTGCAGTTGCAGGAACTCGAGACTGGGGACTCATGATAATGAAGACAGTAAATGTAATAGTTGGTTGTGAGGTTCTGTTAGCTCCAGGGAACAATAGACTTCTATAACTACATGTATTCATTATCAACCGCGGTCTTTGATCGAATAGCCGAGACTACACTGGCTGTTCCCGATCATAGCTCTTGATTGGAGCCCGCAAAGTCATTCAGCAGTAAGATTGATCGTCGTCGATGACTAAATTCCGTGAAATCACCGAGAAGAGCAGTTTCTAGTGGAAAGTCTCCACGTTTTGCTGTCTTTCATGACATCCGTAGACATCTTCGTGCGGGGAAGGTGCCTGCTGTTGACCACGGTCCTTCTGGATTGCCGAGACTGGGCAGTTGCTACCTATCGTCGGGAAATTATAAACACCGTGAAGTTTCTGTTATGCACATGCAAAGAAGATCAGTGACCATATGTCTGAGGCTACGAGAAACCCTTGGCAGCACAAAATCTACCCTAAATCGGGTTCGATCGAAGTAGATGCCAAATATCCTGACTCTTCTTTTCTTACGTTACCTATCCAGGTATATATTCCGTATCTATATACCTTATTTGATCTCCTTCAATTCTTAATTGGATATTGTATAGACTAAGCGGATCCCAATACCTATTCGCCTAAATGCTTCTTTCCTGCTACCTAGATAGATAGTTCCTTTGCTTCTCCCTCTTTGCGACATCGTCGTCATCATCTAGTTACTAGTTCCGTTCTGTGGTGCCTGTTTAACAAATAGCCATAGGCTGTCAAAGAGATCGAAGAAAAAATATGCAAATGGTGTCACAGTAGCAAGAATATATAATGATCCTTCTGACGTCTTTGTTAGTACAATATTTAGCCTGTTCCGGGATAACATGCTCAAATCCGAGTCTATCAGTATAGCCAGTCATAAGGACAACGCTAATATATAGACTGACCTCTCAGAGACGCCGTGAGCTGTGGCCGAATAGGAAGTCGTTTAAGACAGAGCTACGATCTGCAAATAGACCCACTCGATAGCTCTAGATATCCCGAGACGAACGTTTATACCACCGCATTACAATAGAAGGATTCTAGAACTGAACAAGAATCGCATGGTTGGATATCAAACTTTTGTCTATGCCAGGTAAACAGACCCAACATCCAGCAATTCAAAACCGAGAGGACATTCGATTCGCCCGAAAAAAAAAGGTATATGTACGCGCGCGGACAGTGGGCCGCGGGGATATGAATAAACATGGCCAGAGGCCAACAAAAGAAAAAAAAAGGAATAAAAAGGAGTAGGAAACAAATATAGAAAGTCATGAAAAGAAAGCGAATAGAAAATCCCCACCAAAGCACCGGTCGTTGTAGCAATTGAAACCTGTAAGCCTTAGGCTCCCCCAGAACACCGTAAGCCACGCGCCCTTTTCCACCCACGTCCTGGGTTATTGATCCGAGAAAGACAAACAAAGACAGATAAGAAAATATAAGAAAGGCCGATCCAGATGCCTCATCCACATATAGCGGATTGAACAACGGATCAAATTATCGTTCTTTAATAGTCACCTTCATCGTCGTCGTCCACGTCTCCACCTCGACGGGGTCCCTTCACACCGTCCTTGCGAATGGGGATCTTGATACCCTGGAGCGCAAAGCACTTGCTGAGCTGAGTACTTTCAATAACACCCGGGAACTTCTTAGCAGAGAAGACCTGGAAAGGCTCGGAGAAGACCGAAGCCAAAACGGGTGCAGTGCCGTGGTTGATAACCGGAGCGCCGTTGCTGGATTCGGTGGAATGTGTGCCCACATCGACGAAGCTCATTTTCAGGCTGTAAGTTGATCAGTAACTATCCCAACTGCCGATCACTTACTCGAGGGACTTACCGGAAAGTGCCTTCTGTCCGTACACTGAGATCTTGTAGGATGAACCACACGCCAATTTTGTTGTCTGGGTCGGTCAGCCGGAAGGCACTGGCGCTGAGGCTACCGATCAAGTTGCGAGTGAACATGCCACCGGGTCCACCAGAGACCGGTTGGGCAGCGGGGGACATGGCTGGTGGCATTTGGCTACCAGGATAATATTGTGGGTAGGCCATTGGCTGGCCGTATTGGTTTTGGTACGCCACCTGTTGTCCACCATAGTAGCTGTTGTTCATTTGCGGGTAACCCACAGGGTATTGGTTCTGACCGTAGCCGGGATAGGTGGGAGACATGCTCTGAGGCGGGGGAGGATATGAGGAGGACATGGCGGTGGAGATAGAGGGAGAGGTGGCACTATGCTTCACGAGGTTGACTTCGTTGGTTCCATCGGCATTCCATAGATCGACGGTGAGTACGTAGAATGAGGTATCGATTTCACTAAAGAGCGGGGATGGTTAGTCGGAAACATGAAGAGCAACTGTACAGACATACTTGATATCTATCTCTTTATCGGTATGCTCATCACGCACGATGAGACGAATGCATGGCGGAGGAGTGATCGGTCTCCGATCCTAGGCTTTGTTAGAGGTTGGAGCAAGCAATGACGGAAAATTCACCCACCTTATCACCAAACCCACACATGCGAGCCCGAATCGGCTGCTGTACCACTTGTAATGACCAGCGGCGACCATCTCCATAGTTTTGAACGGGCGCCAGATGGTCGGCTGGGTGTAATGGGTTGGGACCAGTCGGGTAGTGGGCGGACGGAGCAGAAATGCGATCCATTGAGAGAGGAGGTGGGACGGGATGATGTCTGTCCTCGACGGCGTACATGGTACTGGATTATAAGGAACCGAGGGTGGCTCTGGGAATATAGACGATGGGCCCTGGATTCTATAGATCGATTCGATAGGTCTCAACTATCTGGCAAGGCTGAGAAAAGGCGGGAAGTAAAGATGCGACATGCGATCCAGGGGATATTCAGACGTCACACTTGGAGCATCGACTCCGAGCTGAACAGAAAAACGGGTCTCCGCGCTGGCGGAAGCGCGGTTGTTCTCGTACTTTTGGTCCAAACCGGCCCAAGTCGAGGGGTTCAAAGCGCTTGAACAACCCAGTATATGGCTCGAGAACGTAATGCGATCGCGGGGGTTGAGCGAAAAACTCGATGCGGACGTCGATTGCGTCGGCGGATTTGCGGCGGAGAGAGTTTTATTTGCGGCGGAACCGTAGAACGAGCTTCGGGACGGCGGGAGTGGCGATACCAGACGTTGGGAAGAGCTGCGTCCTGTGTCTCCAAGATGAAGAGTCAAGCACCACACAGTAGATCCCACAGGAACACTGCAGGCAAGTTAGCAGCGGATTCAAAGATCTCGGTGAACCGCACGATGACGCGCTGTCAAAATGCGGGAGATTCGCTGGGATTCCACGGATCGCCTTCAGGCCCAAAGTCTGTGAGACGATCCACCAAATATTATTGTACTTACCCGAGGAAAACAGGACAAAAGACGAGAAATCACGAAAACTCCGTTAGTTCCAGGGATATATCCAGATGACCTGAGAAAGTCGGAGAGGGGAAGTGGGAAAGGAGAAGGCGGAAAGGAAGGAAGTGACGTTTTCGAACGGCAGAAGTGGAGAGTGACACCTTCAGACAGCTCTCGTTTCAGTCTTTCGGTCTTCCAGGCCTTCAGTCCTCCAGTCCCTGCGAAAAGGCCGCAGGAACCTGGACCCATACCCTCGGGTTCAGGCCTCTGGCTTCTGGGCGAATGAGGAGACCTCAATGTAACTAGAAGATCTCCACGTCCGCATCCAGGTCTTCATCGCTGCGAACGGCCATCCTCAGACTCTGCCTATGATGTGATTTGCTGGATGAGGAGGAAATTTTCAACTCGGCTCCATTTGAGCCAAATGAAAATGTCATTTGCAAAGTCTATGTGGTACATATGGGGTTCGGGGGATTCTCGGGCTCTAGGCCATCCATGTACTCACATACCTGTATATAACATACCGTACGGAGTACAGGGGTTCTGATCTTCCAGAGAATCAAGAAGTATTTATCAATGTGTACGGAGTACTCCGAATGAACATTGTTCCTGGACGGAGTAACTTCTATGTTTTCCTCTCCACGGAGCCGAGCGTATGGAGTAGAATCATCCCCGACCCGGAAGCCCACACGTCAACAGGTCTCCACATGTATTTTGTGAGTCGCAAGCAATCTGTCTCTTGTAGCATCGCCAAACCCGATAGGCTCAATACCAGGACCTCCAGGTACAAGTCCGGGTTGCAAACTCAACCAGTGCCTTGCAGCAGTGTCCCCCAGGGACCCATGTGCGACGGGGATGACAGGTCCCGAACGCCTGGTAACTTCTCAACGAAGATGCTGAGTGGTGAGAACGGGCCAATTCGTCAGCCGCTGATCCACCTCCGGACACTTCGGGTATCCTTCAGAGACGGGCTATTACGGGTTCTCGAATGTCACCACTTCGGACTCCAGTCGGGGTACATGTACAACGTAGTCTATGTTGTAGATTGGGAGGCAAAAAACTGTGCCAAAGTCCACCTTGCTTTTAGGAAATACCGAATAAATCAGCTGTGTGCTATTTTTACGCAACTCAAGTTCTACCTCCATGATTGGCCAAAAAAATAGTTTCCCTGGGAATCGAACCCAGAACCTTTCCGGAACATATGCCAGTGGCATTTGTTAACGGAAAATCATAACCGCTAGACCAGGAAACTGCTCGGCTATTTAGGCCAATGAGTGGGAGAGACGGCGAACTATGACACTATGAGGCAGAATGAAGATATCCTCACCATAAATCCTATCTCGTTATCTGACCACAAGTCTGCTGGCGACGTTTGGTTTTTTTTTTATTTTTTTTATTTTTTATCCTTTTTTCCAGAAGTTGGGGGGAGGGATTCTCTATTTAGCACCCTTTTAATTCAAAGTAGATTGAGCTTGAGCATGCTTTACATATACAAGGAGACAGAGGTCAGAAAGTAACACGGCGTGCCAAGATCGTTGTGAGCTGTGCTAATCATGATGATTGATAATAATATCAATGACAATGAAGGTACGCTCACTCCACACGTCTATGGCGAGAAACAGAAGACGAGGGTCGCTTTCCCAGTAAGGAAATACCTCACTGACAACCATGTTCGCTGAAACACGATAGTCATGAGAATCTAAACTCTCAGTTTTCACTTTGATAGGAGGTGCCTAGGTACCTATCTACATGATATCTCCCCTTTAAGGAAAGCCTTTGCGGCTCTTTGCCTGCCCCTCCAGTCACTTTTCCCCCTGGCAAGTCACTCACTCCCTCAACCCATGCACCCTATCGTTCTATGGATTTGATGCTCGTATTCATCAGAAACAGCAACGGCGAACTATTCGTATGGATAGTTACGTTACAACCCCCATGGGTGCCTCAGTGGTCAGACTCCCGTTTCCCTCCTTTAATAGCTACCATGTAGGTAGGTAGATGGTGAGAATGAATCCTCCTTGAGAGGGCCCGGGTGTCTAAGGCAATTTGTCATGGAATCAACTAGTAGAGGCCCGAAGTTAGCTACTGCCCTGAGTTTCAAGGAGACAGAGTACTCCAAGCATCGGATGCGAGGGCTCTATGAAGATGTTGTTGGGGACTCTTCCAAATATCTACCATTTTCCAGTTATAGCCCTGCCCTGAAAATGAAAGGAGGAAAGTCTTGAAGTCATATGACTTTCATTGCCCGCTGTGATAAGGTGGCTCTCTACTCTCATATAGTTTCTTGTCCTTCCCTTCTTAGATAGACGAAATACAATACAGAATTATCGACCTGTCATTTCAGAGCAGTAGACATCATTTTATCAGAAATCCTGAAAAGCAGACACATAGTGGAAAACACCCCTCTGTAGTGCCGAGGTGAAGGTAGGAAGTTTGGTTGACCAGATAAATAAGTAATATCAGATGTCTGTAAGGCTAGATACGCAATTCATATCATACCATCAAAAGGCGAGAAAGGGGTCCATTCTCTTTAGTGCCAGTGAATAACTTTGATCGCAATGACTTTTGCGGGAAAAAAGTGTCCTCACTGTGAAGAAACTGAGAAATTAGTCAACGAAGTAACCGAAATATAGTCAATTACACGGGATTGTCTCTCATGGAAACGTTTGTTGACGTTAAAAGTGGTCCATGATCTGCCAGTCCGATGCTCGAGCAAAGATAGTTAAGTATGATCTATTATCTGGATGTCCCCAATCAAATCACGTTAGGAACTAATGGAACCGTTTTGAGATCATTTGCAGATAATCAAATATTCTATATAGAGAAGAGAGAGACGGTCAGTTTTTCTTATACCTAGATAAGCACAGCCCTTGCTTCCAGACTCTACTAATTGGCAGAAATGGAATTAGCAAGGACCATTTGAGGGCTTCCCACGTATCAAAACATATAGTTGGATGGCACAAACCCGATGAGCTTCATTCCGAATGTCTATGGAAATGGATTTGGGAACGTCAAACTCTTCACGCTTATGTAGCAACGGCAATGCCTAGACCAAACTATTCTCTAGGATCGGGGTCATCTCCCCGATATCAGGCACCGCAATACTCGATGCTCAGGTCATACGACCATGGCCACTTCAAATTACCTCTCGAGGGCGATTGTGGCGTCGCAGCAGGTGTCCACTCCAGTTGTGTTACACGGCCAACCGTATACTAGGAACTACTACGGCACGACCTGACCAGGCTATACCACCTTCAACTTGGTTTACTTAGTCTCCTAGTCCAATAGGCAGCCATAATATAGTCCTAGCTTTGATGCTGTGCTAAGTCGTATTGTTTGAGTCTTGTTTATGCTCGTGGTGGTGGGAGATTATCGTGTCAACGTTACTCTCTATGGAAGGCGTTGACCATAAACTTCATACTGCCCAATCTTGTACGAGTCAAATTAATTGGCGGATAATTATGGATTAACTGACTCGGGAGGAATTCGAATAGTGGTTAATCTCTTCTTCACCTAATTTCCCATACAATATCTGGTACCTTGAGACTAGACAGGCTTGCCTAGTGACATGGCCTATATGATATATCGAGGTAAAAATCACCTGCATCACGGTACTAGGTAATGGAATGAACGTCCCGTTTTTAACTATGTCAGATATCAGAATGAATGCTTATGCTCTGTACCTTTTGTGACTTCTAGTGCCGAGACCCCTGCCTGTATTCAACCCAGTTGACACGGAGAGATCCGCCATCGCAAATTCCGTACACGCATCAAATAATTCAAGAATGTATCCAGTGTGCCTTATAAAATATAGCTAGCTCAAGTCAACTTGGAAAATCTCGACTGGTAAATCGAAGTCAGTGCGCAGACTAATGGTACTTGGTACATAGGTTAGCGGTAGAATAGTACGCCTAACACCACAGAGTATGCCTTGGTATTTTGTACGGAGTACCTAACACTGTTAATCTCACCAGCACCAAGACGTCGCCTTTTCCGAGGTCTCTGGGCCGGGGACTAAAAGCCCGTGTTTCACTGCAAATGCAGAAACAATCAAGTATTCGTGCCCCTCAGCTTGGCAAGTAATCTAACGGTGAGCATCGGGCTTGCGCACAACTCAACCCCAAGTTACGAATGTGTACAGAGTACTCCGTATATCACCCAACGGTCTTCTGCGGTACGCGGCATTAAAATCTCCCCAAGGTCCGTTATATCCTACTACGTTCCATTTAGTTAACCAGATGATGGATCTCTTAATGAAGAAAATCAGACGATTACTGCATTTACCAACTCCTCCTGGTTAGCCAACTGGACCCTGGCCGGGGGTTACTGGGATGCATAGTTCCATGCACAGACGGAGTACTCCGTGCCACTAACGCCAAGTACCACGCAGCTCATCACGCATCTTTCACCTCTTGGGTCCAGACTTGCGGCCCAAACAATGATTCGCGTTTTTGGCGCTATGTCACGAGCTTCACTGAGTCGCTCACCAATAACTTCAGGGTGCCTCGTTCTTCCAGCTATCAAACAAACGGCAAGGAGGTATCCCAAAGAATACCTGTTAGCTACTGCTTGATCTTGCTGCCTCTGCATTCGATCTTTGACAAGGGCTTTGAAACAGTCGGGCGCATATATCAGTTGGGTATTCCTATCATGATTTGGAACTTTGCTATCTAGGCACATGTTCTGGCCACTGGGCCGGATCGAAGCGCCGCTGCTCAATGTTGTGGCCTACACTCCGCGGGCACATCGTGGATCCCAGTAAAGATGGCTTCCGGCGTCAATACTAGCTTGAGGGGTTCACCAGAACGATGAGTATCGGTCTCTGTTGTATTCCTATCCGATTCGTATGTACGGAGTACTCCGTATGCGAGTTAGTACAGCATACATACGAAATAGATATACATATCGAGATGCAGCACTAAATGGTCTCAATCTAACCCTGTATAAGCAAATGGTCCACTACAGGTTGCGACTAGCCCAAATCCGGGAATTCCATGCGAGCCTATCAAAAAGATCCTTTTCGCCTGTAGGTACGCTAAGGGTCAACAACTTCCAAATGCTGTTCTCAAAAACGCCTAAAAAGATCGTTTTGTGAGTGGCGTTGACGCCAGCGGACTCCAAGCCCAGGACTTGGGCACGGCGATTTGGAAACGGCGCCAAAGTTAGTAACCCTCGTCATCACAAACCCGTAATATTAGCCCCAAGAACCACAAAGAAAGTAGAGGTTGGGTGATTGATAGGTATCTTCGTAAAAACATGGCATAGCACAGATGGAGAGCCAGCATGACAGAAGGATCCGAGCATATGGATATTGTGCCTTGGGAGAGGACAGTGCCGGGGGTATGACTCGAGAGAGTAAGACTCTTGTGGGCGTGTCGGAGGAATGTGGGCGCCTGGAAACCTACTTAAAGAGCTTCAATGTCTAGATTGAGTAAGTGGGTAGCAAGCTGACAGATCAATCTAATCTAGACCGCAATTGCGATGGGTCGATAAAGCCTTATGCTTGACGTGGACAAAGGCCGTGGGGGTTCCAGCGGCAGGCTCCGGATAAAAGCTCACAAAGGTACAAGGGACTACTTCGTATTTCTGGTTGCTATGGCTGATTACGAGTATTGGCCAGAAGCTATGCCCTTAGAGGAATAATCACAACATGGGTTCGACGCCTAAATGCAGTGTGCCAATCGGAAAGGAGCTTAGGGCATTGCAGGGTCACGGGTATCATCAAGCCAAGGACCTCGGGAGAGCGATAGGTATCCGAGATGTCTCCGAGATTTGTCTATGCATAAGCGGACAAGGGTTCGAGGACGCCTTCCCTGATCGGGGAAAAGCATGGCTCGTTAATTGAAACTTATTTCGGATAGCTTGTTAGGCCCCACACAACTAGGCCATAGGGAGTCTAGTGTGGATTGTTTTAGCCCCGGCTTGTGGGGCTGATGGGGCTACTGCCATGAACAGGTGAAGTACGGAGTACTCCGTTACAAGTATTTTCTTTTTTGCGTTGGAATGATGCTAGGACTCCAGTACGGAGTACGGAGTAGATTGTGCTTATTTGTGTATCTGCTCTTACCAAGATAGGCTATTCCGTAGCGTCCTAAACGGCTCGCATTAGTGCGCTTCTTATTTGCGTTATTAGAATTGAGTAATGCTGTTGACTATCCGGTTTACCGCTCTACCTTGGAATATGGTTTGGAATACGAGACGTCGGAAGTTTTTCACTTTGTCTTGACGAGGATCCTACCATACCCATCGATGGGAGTACATCGGTGACTTCCTGAACGTGGAGAAACTCCAGAGCCATTATGCATAAAAGCAACCTTGGAATCAGAGGCGCAAACGGAGTTGTCGCGGCCCGGGACTCCAGCAAGTGGGATTATGTCATTTGGAGCACGAGCCACCCTGCATTTGCCGGTTTGGGACACAGCGCCACTCTTACCTTTTGGGTACACGAGTCAGAGCCTCGATGGGAGGAATCCTTGATCCTCCATATCGAATCACTCAACACAAATCACCATGGAATACATAACCCTCAGGCACCATGACCCACTATGGCATCTAACCGTGGGCTTGGACCCATGACTTTTCGATGATATCAGACAGCCTTTCCCCCCCCTTCTACGCTTTCGGGTGATACTTGGAGTTCGTGATCCTTGTCCGATCCACCGGGCTGTGATTCAAATTGACTGCAACCCTCGACACCAGACAAGGAAATTAAACATCCAGGGTCTCGTGGTGCGAGCCCTACCCCTCTGCAATGCAATCACGCGAATCAACAATATCCTCCTGGCCGAATAAGCGGCGCCAGACAAGTATGCAAAGTGGCCGACGGCTCAGGGTATGATACTCCCCCCTGCGTAGGCATTCTGGGCCCATCCATTCTAGAGCTTGCTTTAAACTGTGACTGGATGCTCGAGTCTTTGTGGTTCATGCATCTAGCCATTCTTCGCGAATTCTCCACTGACACACATTTCACAGCATAAGGACGAGAGCTTAGCCTGTGTACATTGTGTGGATCGCAACATGCTTAGCCAATATTCCCCTCGGCCCCGAATGACTCGGCTGGACAGCAAGAATAAGCCTTCCATCACCTCAACCGGCACTTGTTCAACATTTACGTCGATGAATTCGCCGTCACCGACAACTAGCCCGGCGGGACCCTCTCATCCTCATGGCCAACACCAGTACCCATCAACATGTCTCTCACCCCTCCGGGAAGAAGCCCTCCACCTCGAAGACCTTGAGTTGATGATGCACTGGTGCACAACAACATACAAATCTATGGCACGGGATGCTTCTTCCGAGGTAATATGGCAAACAACCATTCCCAGACTCTCTCTTCGCTACCCAGCTCTTCGCCAAGGCCTCCTAGCCCTCTCAGCCTTGCATCTCGCCTCAACAACCCCGTCTCCCCAACGCTGGCGATACCTTGATATCGCACGCTCGTACCAAGCACAAGCCCTAGCAGACCTTCACGCTGATAGCAACGATGTACCCGAGGCACAAAGCCAAGCAACCTTCGCACTGTGCTGTATAATGATTGTCTTCACCTTCGGTTTCTACCGGATCGACACCGAAAACGACTCGGATGGAGAGGGAAAGCAGCCTGACACACTGGACGAGTTCTTTGAAGTCTTCCAGCGGACCCGATGGCTTGTGAGCATCATGATGCACTCGATCGACCGAATCACCGAGGGCGAGCTGAACCCACTTATCAAACCCGAAGACCTGTCTCCAACGATGCCAGACATGTCGCGGCTAGTGATTTTCTCACTCCAACGACAGAATAGCATGGAGGCAAGACGGGACGCGGCCCACGAGACAGTCACCTATGAATCTACCATCGGACATCTCGGCGATGCCCTCAAACAGCTGATGGCGGGCGAAGAACCGAGACTGTTTGCCTTTGGATGGAGCCTGCGGGTCCCTGCAGAGTTTGTAGAGCTGCTTGAGGCGCGTCGTCCATTTGCGCTTGTTGTTCTCGCACACTATGCGGTGATTTTGCATCGTCTGAGAGATTCATGGTGGATGGGCGATTGGGGAACCAGGATTTTGGAGGAAATCGGTGATCTTCTTGGACCGGAATGGCAGGAGCTTATTAGCTGGCCCATTGATGCGACCGGGTGTTTTCTTCCGAGAACTGAGGTGCGAGTGATACCATCGGTTGGCGTTTGACGGGGTTGCATTTTCGAGGTTTTATGCCCTTTCCTGTGAGGTTCCTGGGCGCGCGAGCACTGCATCTGATGAGACATGAGAAATGAGTGGTCAGCATAGATATTTTGCATAGCATCGGTTCTTGAAGACAAGGATTTGTCGTAAAAGCTATGACACTTTTCGGTACTTAGGAAAATCCAAAGAATCCATTAATATTGCCGCACATGATACTCAAGTGTATGTCAAAAGAGAAAAATAATTAAGAAAACCAAGTCCCGACCCGTCCAGATCCAAGCCGAGCGCCATCCCTTTCCCGGTGTTCCATGAGGTGTGGTATATCGAAGTAGTTGCCCAGTATGCAGAGCCGGGAATGCTGATTGGAGCGAATCCGCGCAAAGATAAGAAAAGAAAAGAACAGCACAAGCCAATAGCCTGATAAGAAAGAAGAGAACGAAGAAAAAACAAACCCCCGCATTTAAGGAGCACTGCCCGCAGTGATTTCGTTGATCAATCACTTCACCTCGGATGGAAACAAGTATCGCAGCTCAAGAATGCAAGATTCCGTGCGCACTCGAGACTCATCGGAAGATCAATGACCATCCAAGGACAAGTCCATCCTAGGTAGACGGTGACTCCTTCCGCAACTCTTGTCGCTCGTGTTCAAGCTCCTTCACACGTTCCTTGGATTGCGTGCGCACGCGCATGAGCTCAACCTCATGCTCTTGGATCTTCTTCTCGCGCTCTTCCTCTTCCGGTGTGGGGATGTAGGCATTTGCCACGCCGCCTATCGGGATACCCGTTAGCATCTAGCCTGGAAATTCCTCATGCGGTCGCATTCTCCGCGCTTCTTCCAGCACATACCTCGGCCCGTGTGGTGGGGGATCTGCTGCGCGCGCAGGGGCGGTGACTCGACGTCTTGGCTCTCGCGCGCAATCTCCGGTCGGTCGGGATCGTTGTGCACCATATTCCCTGAGCCGCCGCGGCCAGTTGTGTAGACCTCCTGCTTGATCGTGGGTGTGACAAAGTCCTTCGGTGAGGGGGTGGTTTGTTGGCGGGTTATGTTGCCTGATCGAATATTAGTGAACTGGTGTGTGGCTGCGAGATGGTGTCCGTTTACCTGCGCCTCCACGGCCGTAGGAGATATTTCGGTTTGACATGGTTTTCTCTTCGAAACAAGAAGCGAGTGCTATTCAGGGGGAGTGTCGAAACTCAAAATGTGGATGTTGGAGGCGCCCAAAAAAACGTGGTGGGGAGACAACCGAATGACGACAGACTTTTTTTTTCTCTTGGCTCTTTGCACTGCCCTTTATCTCTGTCCACTATCTGCTCGATTTCCTAATGAATTCGATCCTGACCTCCTATCTGAGTTCACTGATATCTCGGATTTCCACGCTGGAATGAGATCACGGTCGTTCTCTTGATAAGCGCAACTCCGTTCATCCGGGCATCTCTCACGACTTTGATATACGCCACCAACACCCTATATGTCGACACTTTGGACTTACCCTCGCAGTTCCCTCTCGGATCCTGCCTCCAGGGCTTTTGATTTGGATTACTCATGCTGGCATCAGGTCTTAGCGACGGAGAGTGCCGCTATGGGCATTGTGTAATTTACTACAGAGTATTGAGGTGTAAATGATTTGACTCAAGATTAAGAATCCAACTTTAAATCATCTGATTCGCCTCTTTGAGTCCCGTGGACGGTCGAGACCGCATCTATACATATCCTGAGGCCATTGTGCCCTATCTACCCGTGGACCCTTAAAACGACTTAATCTCTAGACTCACGCGCAAGATAAAGGATCTATTAGTCAAAGGATTCGATTGCCCAGTATCAGCACCTTCTTTCACAGATCTTAACTTTATAGCAGCGAAATAGAGGTCTGACTCCGAGGTATATCTCTGGCTCCATGCATCATAGGTATGATTCGGTATTCCCCAAGAAGTTAAATGCCCCTACAGCAAACAACAAGCTGTGATTCTAACACCTATTCCTGACTTCTTCTCAGTTCGAGCTCATTTCAGCACCTGAATAGCTATGCTGGTCAATCCTTCTATCTTTAGTTGGTTATATAGACTTGAGAGTGGTTATATGCATCATCATGATTCCGTGGCATTATTAATCAGATCTTCATACCTAATTATATGAATCATATAATTTGCTTTCGACTACGAACAAAACATTCTCTTCTTTCAAAATACGACCAACTCCAATATCTGTACTTCTTAAAATCTCGATGTATGAAGACCATGACTCCGCAGCGGGGTCGCTGATCCCCCAGCTTCTCCACGCCAAGTCAATTGAACCGAGGCCATGTCTGACAAGGTGTTATTGTAATCATTGAAAGGCATAACCGAGAGCACGATGATATATAGAGAGCATGCAGAGGCAATATTTTGCTCTTTGCTTGCATCACAACAATCATTGCCCCGTGGACTCCACCCATCATGATCTTCGATCCTAGCCCTATCGAGCTGCCATCTTCTTACGAGAAGATTCAGACAACTGGCCATGTTGTCGTCTCTCACTACCCATCGGGAACACCTACAGTCACCCCCGTCGTCGTCGTAACGCTGAACCGCCCTGCGAACCAGAATGCATTCACCGGGCAAATGGTCATAGATTTCGAGAAGCTCTTCCCCATGTTCGACGTCGACGAGCGCGTGAAAGTGATTGTGTTGACCGGCGCTGGAAAGACGTTCTGCGCCGGTGCAGATCTCGATATTGGATTCAATTCAGGAAAGAAGAAGGAGCGGAATTTGGATCATCGAGACGGGTAAGTAGATATCGGATCCCCATAGTGTAGAACGGTCACTAAACGAATTCTAGTGGCGGACGAGTGGCACTAGCCATTCACAGATGCCGCAAGCCAACGATTGCAGCCATGCAAGGCTCAGCTGTCGGAGTCGGGATGACCATGACTCTTCCGGCGATTATCCGGTAAGACGAACAAATCTAGACAATACCTACATATAGGTATGCCCTTGGTGGAACCTTACCATTGACATGCCGATTTGCTTCTCAATAGCATCGGATACGAGAAAGGCAAATATGGCTTCGTCTTCGCCCGACGAGGCATAACTATGGAATCCTGCTCCTCATATTTCCTCCCTCGTCTCGTCGGCCACTCAAACGCCAGTTACCTCGTCAGCACCGGTGCCGTCTTCCCACCAACATCCAAGCACTTTGGTGACCTGTTCAACGAGACGCTGCCTGATCCGTCGCAGGTTCTACCACGAGCTCTCGAGCTAGCTACCGATATTGCGGAGAACGTGAGCCCGTCTGCGTCGTATCTCAATCGGGCACTTTTGTGGCGCGATACTGGGTCCGCGGAGGGTGCTCATCTTGTTGAATCGCATGTTATCACGCACATTTTTGGTGCAGCGTAAGTGAATCCAAGTCCATGGAATTGACTTTGAGGTACTGATGACCATGCAGGGACCAGAAGGAGGGCGTTACTGCGTTCTTCGAGAAGCGGAAGCCAAATTTCAAGGCTAATCTGGATGATAACCCACCACCAAATGTGCCATGGTGGACAGAGGTCGACACTGGCCGAAGTCCTAAAGCCAAGGTGATTTCGAAGCTGTAAGCTGGAACTATCAGGGTGATGCCAATATCTTTGGTGTATACATTTAGGATAAATCAAGAATTTCGATGGTCCAAGGCAGAAATACCAAGCTTCATCTAGAATGCCCCGGTGCCAATGAGAATAGGCTTAAACAAGGTCTCGAAAAATAGCCATGGATTGATGGCGTTATCAAAGGCCATTCCTATATATTGTAATGTCCCAGCTCCCAAGACCGCTAATGAGATTGTAACAAAAAAAAAAACACCGGCCCGGACAAAAGGAAAGTCACCAGATTTGGTATTGAACTGAACCGTATAGAGATTCAACAATATCCACACGAACAAACAGAAAATGCTCCATTATGAGAAGATGAGAAGAAATCACGCAATGAAGTTGCGGCGCTTGCGGTTGTAAGCCCGCTGGTCCTTCAACCAGCTGCGGTAGCCCTGCACACTACCAATCTTCTCGCCATAGTAATCGGGCACGGGGTTGGAGATCGAGTTGGTGGAGGGATCAACACGGAAACGACGAATGCGATCGAAGAATTCCTTCTCTTTCTACACAGATGAAACAAGATAAGGTTAGCAAAGCTGATGACATCACAGGCTAAATTTTCAAAATCACGTTTTGAATTGCGAACACTTACCGTGTTGACAGAGGGCTTGTACTTTCTGTACACAAGTCCCCAAATGCCGTTGCCGAGGGCGGGTCCAACGAGCCATCCAACAGCACCGCACGCGGCAGTGGCCAATCCAAGAACAATAAACGGATCCAAGCCCATCACCGATGCGCCAAGGTGCTCGAGGTCCTGGGTAGACAGGACCTGCACACCAATGGTGGTGCTGGCAAGAGAGCTAACAACCGAGGAGACGAGGGAGTATCGGCGGCGGGAAGCGCGGAGCTTGAAGAAAGAGTTCCAGTCGAGCTTGACTTCCTGGTTAGCTGGCGCGGAGGTTGAGTTTGCGCGCACGGCAATGGAAGATGGCGACGCAGCCTTGGCGTGTGGGCGAGAGTCCAGCTTCAATGTTGCGGCGGCTGGGCGAGCTGTCGTCGAGCTAAGGCGTGTGAATTGGGTGGTCTGGTGGAGCGGACGGAGAGCGCCGGCGAGGGAAGGCGCGGCAGGGTTTAGTCGGCCGAGGGCCATGGTTGTGCGGAAAGACATGGTGAGGGAATTGGCGTGCATTTTGAGGAAAAGTAGAAGATAGATTCACTTGCAGATTCAAGTCTTGTAGAGGTGAAGTGAGAATTGGACCTCGCCGGGCTGTGGAGCATTGTTATGTAAGCGCCGTGGAGCCCCGGGCGACAAGGAAGACAAGACCACCAGCAACTACGACTCATTGCACACATCACTGTGGGTATGATTACTTTATGAGTTGAGAGATTTCGTTACAAGTGGAATTTGATGGCAGGAGACACTTCGTTTTGTGAACGGAAATATGAGCTATCTGTAATCGCCTTCTGAAGTCCGATGTCCAACAGACCCAACCCCTCGGTGTCCATGGCATTCATCTCTTTCTCGTCCTCTTGATGCTCAGCAAAAGTCCTCGATGCCATCATTGAGCCGCTGAGCATAGAAAGGATGCAAATCATGCGCAAGAATGAAAGTTGGTCCTAATGCACAGAAGCAAGAACATGGCTGATGTGGGTAAGTGTATAGACCGTCTGATCTTACTTGGTGTTGGAATGTCTAGGTATTTCAGTCAATCGAGGGTCGCCTCAATGCTGATTCAAAGTTCCTCTTCTCCAGCTCTCCCAATTCGGATTGTCTTCAAATCCCAGTGCTTCGAGTAATCCAAAAAGAAAAAAAAAAACAATCCAGTGAAGCCATCCCAATCATCAAGATCGTATTCACAGCAAAATTGAAATCGATGAACGAGACGCCCATTTCAGGTGACTATCTCTCCAACTTCTGAATGCCCTTTTGCTTCTTGGCTTTCAGCAAAAGCCACCTCATACTCTCCAATAGAATCGAGTCCATCGTAAAAGTCGTTCACTAGAAGAAGGACGAGTGGCGAGTGAAACGCTGCTCAATTTGCAATCAGTATGCGCCCATTTCCAGGTAGGTACCTGGTTTCCACGATTGACTATGTGGTAGCATGTAATTAGCTCTAGATGTATATGTACCTACATAGACATGATTTTGTCTACCGGGTGAGGCTTTCCTATCTGAGATCTCGCCCCTTTAATAAGGGCCTGCAGGCAAATCGACCAAGCGGTAGGTCTCGGCTGGGGTTACAATTAAGGAGCAACCAGCAGAGGGAGCGAAATGGCATCTCATTCACTATGTTTCGGATGTCCTGGTGTCCCGCGGCCCAATGAAAGTTTGATAACTCTGGTGGCGGTCGATTGTGGGTTGATTTTTGGTAGCCACTCATGGTGTGAGTCTGTAGTGGCTATAAGGAGAGTCCTAAATCAAAATGTCGTTAGTAAAATTGAATAAACGGCAGGAAAAAAATGTTTATATGGAACTCACGAACGGCTTATGGGTAAGGAGCTCGAGCTCGGGTGGGAATTGTGATACGATGATCAGAGGTACTAAAGATCGAATGTCTTGAGCAACACACCGAGTGAGATGTAAAGTTAGACAGACTGAACCCATGGCGTCCTCTTTGCCAACACTGGATTCATCAGCGAGGTACCCCTCGTCGTCATCCATGTCGGAGACAGACTCACAAGCCAACTGTAGCTCAAGCCGTGTATGCTGTAGGTCTTTCGAAATGAAACACAAAAGGCAGGGCTGATGACTATCACATAGTCTGTTTAAAGGAAGGGCGGAAGGCAAAGGCCTTCAAGGTACATTGAGGTTGAGGATGGAGAAAAATGGAAAAAGTTTGAGTTAATGCTGAAGGTATTTCTTTATAAGGCGATAGGAGAAGCAAACCGCATTCTTGTTTCATGACGCGGTTTTCAATATCGGAGACAAATCGCAGCTTTCACCTTAGCGAAACCGCATTCTGCTTGAGAATTTCATGGCCACGCATAGTCCGAACTGAGCGAGCAGTAGGATATGCTTGGAGTTCCGCTTGAAGAGGAGACGCCTCAGAGATCGAAACGGCATATCTGTCACGATATCTTGAATATTTCCAGTGTCCGAAGCCCAATGAATCTTGGTTTAGCCTTTTCCTTGATTTCTTTGGATTCCGTCCAAGTTGTGCAGACTTGGATAATGGCTAGCCTTTTCAAGCAGAAAGTGAAGAAGTTGAGGTTTTTTGGGAATCACATACAACCAGAAGTTCCGGCTCTCAGACAGTGATACCCCAGGTCATAATTCTAATCAAAGTTGTTAGCCATGTCTCCAGTAATGAATGCAACCATAGGGCCGATCCGAGGCTATATTGAGAGCAAGCCGCGGCTCAAGGGACTCACATAAAGATACTGAGACAGAGCAGGGAAATTCACTTACCTCTGCGGGAGAAGTATCGAGTAATGAATGTCCTCGACTGAGGAACTGAGGAGGCCGGGATCCCCGCTATTCGGCATTGTAGAAAAATAAAGGATGGAAGTGATAGAGTAGATCAAGAAGGATTAACGGTGATTAGTGAGTAATGAGTATGTTGAGATGGAACAGGGAAATGGGAAGAGGGAAAAAGGAAGATCGAGGGGTTTTAAGTGTAGGATGGCATCCAGATAGACAAACAAGGACATAAAGATGAAGAGGAAGAAGGAGTGAAGGGTCCAAATAAGAAAAAGGGCAACGCTAATATGGTATCTTATTAAAATGCGGGAAGTAGTACTCTTAGTCCTGTGCCATGATAATACTACCTTGCGCTGCATATCAGCGATACCATTGTCCAAGGCCGTAGATGTCTGCAGATCGAGGCCAGAGGAACCACCTCGTTTGAGGCCTCAACCAAAACAAACAGCGTTGGCGCTAACCCAAAAACTGACCTCCAGCTAGAGCAATCCAAGGCAAATTTCTATCCCAGCATTGTTGCATGAGCTGGCGTGCATTTTGGATCTGTTGATAAGTGTCAGCAAAGTCTTCCAGCGAGCCTTATTCCGATACAGAAGCGTACCTGTTTCATGCCCGAGCTTTCCAACACAAAGAATCGATCCAAAAGCTTAGCCCTTTGAGCGGAGTCTCCGGATTCACAACCGGCTGTGAATAATGGGAACAGAGAGCAGACCTCAGTAGCTGCACCAGGTCGCATGCGCGCTAGGGCGTCAATGAGCTTGCGCAATGCCTCTTTGACCGGGAAGGAGTCAGGTGTAGAGCCAAAGACGCGCCTATGAAGATGCAACAGACCGGCAAACCGGAAGGCTTCCTCAATGGCAATCATGTCCGAGGACTCAACACCCTCATGATGTGCTGGGATTGCATGAGCACGATCGCTAATCCCGTCGATATCACCTAGCACCGATTGTGCTTCCATGACCATGTCTGCAGATGCATGCCAATCACGTCGGAACTCACCCATCTCGTCGAATCTTTGACTGTCGCATTTCTGGACCAACTGTGCGAGACGAATTAGGAACACCCCAGTGCGGGGCGTGAACCCCGTGAAACAGTCAACAGCAAACTCGTCAAGGCCCTCAGGCGAGGAGCAGGCTGTCAAGATAGAGTTGTATATCATCAATGGAGGACCAGCATCTCGACATGACAAGGATCCCATCGTGTCAAGATAACTCAGCCAACGACAGAAGAATGCTCCGATCCTATTACCAGGCCGTGCCATGCTCTCGCTGCGTGCCAGGAACAAATCGCGCGCAAGCTTGAGGTGGCTCTTCCAAGAAATCGGCGCTTCGAATGTCCCCGGAGAAACAATCTTCAATGACAGCAGCATAATGGCCGTGGCGAGGTGACTATCAGTGATATTCTCATGAGATGACTCCAACGCCATGCGCAATGTTGGAAAAACCTGGCTAACCCAATGAGCGATTCGATTCGCGGGCTCGGGATGGCCTAAGTATCGAGCGCGGTGACTGGCAGAATATGCGAGTAGCAAATTAAGAAGATTCGCATCGCCGATTGCCACTGGAAAGTCAGTTCCCTCGCAAACCTATGCTCAAAGATACTCCAACTTACTGGATGGTAGAACTGAGATAAACGCATTGTTATCGCAGTCGTGAGGAACGAGCATTCGAGCGGTGTGGTTGAGAAAATGATGGAAGTACATCAAGTTGATGGGGTTCCCCAACAATGATGATGGAAGCGGAGACAAATACCTCGGAACATTGATGGGTACTGGGGAAGCATAGTAACCACTGCAAAACTGAGCTTGTGGTTCTGAGACAGGCTGGGATGCTGGCGAGTCCGAGTTCTCCTGGGTTCGCCATCGAGAGCTTATCAAATCCAAGGCATAGTTGATGTCTATGGCTGCATGGTCGTTATTGAAAGTCAGATCTTGATCAGGGCGCCCAGAGTCTAGTCCATAATTGTCGGTCACATTGTTCAGATATGTCTGCCATTTGCTTTGTGCAATTAAAGACTCGTGGGGTGTTTGATCGGTTTCATGGTTGCTTTCTGCCAACAATTGATGATTCGAGTTGGTTTCATCGAGATAATCATGGACGGACTCCATGATGTTAGGTATCTTGCAGGCCTCCGAGGAGGACTTTCCATTTGACCCTTTGGGTGAATTGAACAGCATGGAGGACAGACCGCTCATATCCTGGGGGCTATTTGAAGATCCCTCTTGTCCTCTTCCAGATCTAACGCCAGTAGGTATGCCATGTTCATTATGTAGCCCAACATGCCTTTCATCAAGAGATTGAAAATTCGATGGCTCCAAGTGGCGTTCGGATGTGTCCACAGAGTGACGCAGGAATGAAACTGCGTGTGACACAGGATTGGCGTGGAATGCGAATACAGAAAGTTCTCTGAGATCGGATGTCTGATCTATAGAGGCCAGATAGGATGGACTATCAAGACTCTGCTGTCGAAGTTGATATCGTGGCAAAGGCTCTGAAGATACTGATGTCGTCAACGGCGGAGATTGTTCTGCCCAGGAAGAATTGAACTGAGGCTCTAGTTGACCCGGTGATGTCACTCCTTCAGATCCGGAACCGAGTCTTGGGGAGTCGAAAATACCCACTGGTGCTGGTGTATTGGGCGATATTCCCTCCGGCGTAGTCAAGTCCCCAAAATGGGCGTTTGCAAATCCATCTCCGGGGTTATTACTTGTTGGGGTAGGAAATGATATCGGGCTCATTTGATTTATAGCAAATGAGTCCGAAAAACCAATTACACTTTCCCCACACCGATTGAGTGACGAATTTGGCGAGTCAGTTGCCATGCGTTTTGTCCGGCCTCCCCAATTCAAACGAACGCTGTAGTCACAGCGCTCGCCTTGACGTTGGCAATTAAGACATGATGGTTTTTCCTCGCCACTAGGAGCAACTTCGTTAGCCACTATAGCTTTATGCAAGGTGATATGTTTCTTACCATTTCACCTTCCGTGCTTTGCATGGCCTAATGGGTTGTTAGCTTTGCAAAGCTGGAACTAATAGTTAGTTGACCTACCAACATCCTTTACGGCTTCGACGCTTCGGTTCTGGCGCTCCAGGTCTTCTAGGGCGAGGCATTTCACGTCAGGGGGGCGTCTGGTCGAGTAGGTTGTCTGCAAACAAGGCACGACAACAATTCAAACGAAATAAGGCCCAAAGTAGCCTAAAGTCAATTTGTATTGTCCCTCCATGCAGATTGAAGTTTTCAAATCCGTTTCACTTCAATCAAGGCGCCTGGCGCCGAAACCACGTTGGAATTGGCGCGCTTTCTGCGTTTAGATCCTGGTTGACCCCAAGTGGCAACGAAGCGATAATCGACCAGACACCCACACCTAGTATACAAGCACATCGAGGTATGGGAGGGAGATGTGCCAGGAAGAGTTCGTATCTCCCCACTCCTCAGCAATGGGAAGGCAAGAACAACTGATAACAACCAGGCAGCGTTGATATGGACGATTCCAAAAATCAGGCTGGCAATTTTGCTTTCCTCAATACAATCGATTGGCCCACTGAAGGATCAACTGATCTCACTGTGCATTCAAAAAACGACGGAGTCGAAATAAAGTTCCTGATGGGCAAACAAGATTGTCTCTGGAAAGCGCAGACCAAAAGTGTGGGGAAGCACATCCATGGCCCTGCCCAGCGAGATAAGGAAGATGAATCAGCCGGGCTATTATTAGTCCGACCCCAGACCGGCATATCGCGGGAAGCCGATTTGCCCCGATAGTCACGTGGAACTCTATCTCCAACCAACGTCATAGTTCCCAGTTCCTGGGACAGATATTGGTTCCTTGGACCGCGCTTTGATCGTTTTCTAGAACTCTCATATACTTTACATTAGCACATAAGAGCGCCTGTTTCAATTCTATTTCCAGATATGGCCGGATACCTGATCAATAGGCACCCGCTCCAGCGAATCCCGAGCCCCTCACGAGGCGTGTCAGCCTTGGTTCATGTATGATTGTTTCGCCTGCCGTTTGCCAAGTCGGGATCTAGGAGGCAAAACTAACGGCTTGCTTTCCAGTTGGTTGGACTTTCCAGTTTTCTGTGGTCATTCAAATAGTATGGATCCTCTATTGGGGTGCACCCGGCCCCTGTGCAGGGTTCGAGGGATTGCTGACATTATTCAAGCATGCACGAGAATCCCAATCAAGCGTAAGGAGACACCAGCACCTGGTGTGTTGGACGAGGTACTAAATTAAACTTTGACAGTAATCAAGCATATGGTTGGCATTTCCAATTTTTGACCGTGATTGGCCTGACTCTGTCGACCTTCACCTTTACAGTTGCACTACTAGCGGATATCACCTCGTCCCGGCGACTGTTTTTAGTCAAGAACATCCTTTCAGTATGCAGCGCTCCTCTGGAAGTTGTGATCAGTGTTTTATACTGGGGTCTTCGTTTGGTGCGTAATTCAATTCCGAACCCGACCTTTATCTAACCAGCACAGATCGACGGGCGGTTGGTGATTCCCGAAGATATTTTTATTCCCATACATGCCGGTAAGTCGGCCAGATTTATATATATTCCCTGGGATATATCTAACCACAGAACTACAGACATCAGCTTCCATGCAACTCCATCGGTAGTCATGCTGATTGACCTCCTACTCCTGTCCCCGCCCTGGACAATCACTGCACTTCCTGCACTGGCGCTCTCTAGCACTATAGCCTTTGGCTACTGGTTCTGGATTGAGCAATGCTTTTCTCAAAATGGATGGTTCGTATGTGATCCAGTTTTTCCGGCCTCACTAACTAGCCTAGGTACCCGTATCCTATCTTCGAAGCACTGCCCACCTCAGGTCGAATTGGCCTATTTACACTAAGCGCCGTCATCATGGCGACAAGCACTATCACCCTCAAGTGGCTCTATGGACGCATCAATGGGTTTGGAACGCCTGTCAAGTCAGTTTCTCGCCCGGGTGACATCAAGCGAACGGACGGTCTGTGAGCAAGACCTTAGTAGGAACTTGCGATGACGTAACGACACTGTTAGCTCGATGTCAGCAGGCATGTTTTTCTGTTCGATGTGCGCGTGAGCTCTGATCTTATGATAGAAATTAGAAGGAAAGATGGGCATATTGTATCGCATTATAAGCGTCTTGGCTACCGCCTTTTCTTTTTGGGTGCATGCGTTTCGGATACCGGTCTCAATAAAACTAGCATTCATGATATTTCAAATACACGCAACTTCGCCTACTATATAGATCCTCTCTATCTACGTTGAATGTAGCCACCTCGAGATATTAGCACGAATTTAGGATGACCAGTATGGTGTCCAATGGATATTTGATATGCGGAGGAACTGGAAGAACAAGGTTCACAGGGGTGGCCTAGGTTCAGGGACAAAGTACGCTCCCGGAGCAATGGAGATGACAAAAAACAACCAACGCATTCCCTCTCAGGAAGCCGTTTGGCCGCAAGAGATAGTGTTTCTACCCGAGCGCATGCCTTTCGGACCGTTGAGATTAAGTCTTTAGGCTTTAGCACATATTTCGTTACTCGGCCGAATCGCGAGCCGCCTTAAATGCTCCAATCAATATCCTTGGAATCATCTCGCTATTCCTACTAGGCCAGATCTTGCATCGTCTAGCGCCACTAGCTGCAGTCATACCATCAAACACAGGCAAACTTAGGCTTTACGATTCTGAGGTGGGCCGTTAGGTGCGGCCTTGGCAGCCCGTCACATTCAGCCGAGAAGGCTTCGCGGGTGGAGTACGCGGGGGGGAAGGATCGCAATTCTCCGCTCTTCTCCCCCGGACCCCGGACTCCGCTGGACGAGAAATCCTAGACACTCGATATGAGCATCATCGAAATCAACACGCCGTGTGCTCTGTTCTATCTGCAACATAGCAACAATGCTGACCCGTCTCAAGCGCTCGTATCTGCCATCGGACGGTTCGACCATCGAATCCCACGCGCTTCCCCACGCCAACCCCAACTAATTGATGCCGATCACTGATGATCAGACCCAAACTACTGCAGTAACCCCTGCGCGTGAGCTCGCAGAATGTAACCATGATCCAGCCACGTCCTCGCGGCCAACAGGACAAAAGCAATTGCCAGACATGGGCCCAGCTTCCTTGCCCCTCATTACAGGGTGCTAGATCCTTTGTCGGTTCTTAAATAGCTCGCTGCCCGCTGAGGGATTGTCGCACAATGCGCAGCATCTTCCTTTGTGTATCAGCTCGAGATTGATATCATGGCTGCTTATTCCGATGAGAGACCTCCGGGCTCTAGCTCTTCGGACCCTGAGAAAATTCTGGATTCCAAGGATCCGCTTGCTGCAGCAGGGTTCGAGGATCCCGATGCAGGATTGAGTGATGAAGAAAGAGCGGCCATCGTGAGTTTCCCTTAAATTCCTGTTTTCATCGCATACGTTGTTTCAACATCACTTGTTCTTCGGAGACCTAACCCCAATTTTATATAGGATCGCAAACTACTATGGAAACTCGATCTTCGCCTCGTTCCATGGCTCAGTCTACTTTATCTCGTCTCATTCCTTGACCGGTAAGAAAGAGAATCATTGTTATCCTCAGGAAAAAATAAAGTCCCTAACTGATCGGATCTCATTTAAGAACAAACATCGGCAATGCAAAGCTAGTCGGTCTCCAGACAGATCTGGGCATGACAAACTCCCAATACAATTTGACCCTGACGATATTTTTTGTTTCATACTCGGTCTTCGAGCCATTGACAAACATCCTGCTCAAGCGGTTACGACCAAGTATATTCATTCCTCTAATCATGATTGCATGGGTGAGTAAAGCGTCCAAGTCTTCCAAGATCTATCTAACCATGCATGTACCCAGGGACTCTGCATGACCTTCATGGGTTTCGTCAAAAGCTACGCCGGTCTCATGGTAGTGCGCTGGTTCCTGGGGCTATCAGAAGCAGGCCTGTTCCCCGGCGTGGGATACTTCCTATCATGTTGGTATAGGCGCTGCGAGTTCGGCGTGCGCATGGCAATCTTCTTCTCCGCCGCAGCTCTTGCAGGATCCTTCGGTGGATTGTTAGCAGCCGCTATCGCGAAGATGGACGGCGTGGGCGGCAAGCCGGGCTGGTCCTGGATTTTTATTCTCGAAGGCATTTTGACAATCGTCATTGGTATCGCATCGTTTTGGTGTGTCTATGATTTCCCCGACCAGGCAAGCTTCTTGTCGGATATCGACCGGAAGCGCGTGCTTAGACGCCTTGCTATGGACCAGCAGTCGAGTGCTGAGCATGAGGAGTTTAAGATGGATTATTTCTGGTCCAGTGTGAAGGATTGGAAGACTTACACCGGTGCGGTTATATATATGGGAGCGGATGGCTCGCTTTATGCTTTCTCTCTTTTCGTGCCTACTATTATCAGCGAACTCGTGAGTTATTCCATTGCCATGGGGAGGATTTCACAGCTAACATTCTACAGGGTACGTTTGCATACTGGTTATGTTGATTTGTCGTGACTGTTGACTAACTGGTTGCGTCTACAGGCTACAGCTCGATTCGCGCGCAGCTGCTCAGTGTGCCACCCTATGCCGCTGCTGCAGTTTTGACGATCACAGTTGGTTTCATTGCAGATCGCACCAGACAACGTGGGCTCTGTAATATGGCCGTCTCTATTCTCGGCATGGTTGGATTCTCTATGCTGCTGGGATGTAAAACAGCCGGTGGCCGCTACGCTGGAGTCTTCCTCGGAGCCATGGGCATCTACCCCGCCATTGCGAATACAATTTCGTGGACTAGTAACAATACAGAAGGTATGTCGTTATCTTGAACGTCGTTTTATGTGGAGCAGAATTGACTCGGCTGTTCACTAGGCGTGTACAAACGAGGTGTTTCTCTAGGATTCATCATCGGCTGGGGCAATCTCAACGGTATTGTCTCATCTAACATCTACCGTGATGGTGATAAGCCCAGATACTACCCTGGCCATGGTGTGGTGCTCGGCTACCTAGTCCTATTCCTCTTCGGAGGATCCGTGGTGCAGTACTTACTGCTGCAACGTGAGAATGCCAAGCGCAGACGTGGCGAACGCGACCACTTGATCGAAGGCCTGGACCAGGGCCAGATTGATTTGTTGGGCGACCAGAGACCGGATTTCATTTACACACTGTGAGCGGAAGCGGGGTTATATAGGCGCGAAGAGCCCTGAGCCACATCGAGATAGTGAAAATATATAGGCATTGCTATATACACCATGGCCATAGTCCCTGTAGATGAATTCCACCTCCCGCATTGACTTTTAGCAGTAGCTGGGCATGGATGCGCTCAAGCAGCACCGCACTTCTATGATGACCCAATGCTCAATTCATACCCCTTTCTCATACCGATTAACAATCTCTTGTTCCTTCTTCGGCCCGCGCACAACATGTCGACTAGCCCAACTAAGCACCTCACCAGTATCAGGCCGAATGCGGAAAGCATACGCCGTGCGATACATATCATTTATACAAAGGTGGTTTCCCCTCGCATTGAGCACAGCCGTCTCCCCAGCCGTGACAGCAGGCGGCACCGGCGGCGCAACAAACTCCCCGAGATCTTTCTGCGCATCCTTCGTCTCCGACTTCAGCTGCGATGCTGTCTCCGAATCGAAATTGAAGTCATGGAACAGGTAGTCCGCTTCTTCCGGGCCCGGGGCGACCTTCACAAACCAGACACTGACGCGTCCGCCATCGCCACCCAGGCGCCAGATGTACTTCTTTGTCCAGCGTAGACCGGGCTGTGCGGCTCCAAGGCTCACATTGCTGGGTATTTCGCCTTCTTCGCAGTATAGCCAGTCGCGGTCGGCGGTTGTGGTGGGGGGTTGGGCGGTGAAGGTTGCGGTGCCGCGCAGCTCGCCGTTTAGGTCGAGGGGGTTGTCGCTGCGGAGGGTTCGGGTCAGCGTCCAGCGGGTGTTGCTGAGGGAGGTTATTAGGGTCGAGAGGAGTTGGCGTGGTGGCATTGTGGGCATTGAGGGTGTTGGAGTAGTTGAAGGGGAGATGCGGGGGAAGCCCTGGAATCCGGTGGAGTGTCTCTTCCCCAACATTTCCCGCTCGAATTGGCTTTCTATCGTTCGTCTTCTACCTTTTATGTTCTTCTCACTACAGACACATTGGAGACTTACTCCCTATATCATGTCGCTCTAATGGTTAGATATGATCGTCAATAAGAAATGGCACCGCCTGCACCCCACGGCCACTGTGAGACATGGTATTTCTCCGGTCTCGAGTACCTTTGGCTGTGGCTTGAGACATGACCACCCGTTGGCTGACCATGTGGTGTGGACGTTGAGCAGAGCCGCCAGCAGAGGTATTCTCGTCTCGGTCTTGGTTTTACATGTCCTTTTCCCCATGGTTGATGGGAGATATGTTTTAGAGCGGAACCGTCATCGAGCAATCAGAGATCTAGGGACAGCGATGGAGCCGATTGGGCCTACTCCGTAGATTGAACGATAATCTGACGGGTCCCCAGCTCGCCTAATCAGCCAAGAGAACACCAAGAGAACACCAAGAGCATACCAAGAGAACAGAAGGGCTGTACGGGGAGATTCAACAGTCCGTGCCTAGGTACTCCGTACATGTGCTGTGTCTGGCACGGGTCTCTGTTCTGCGCTATAGCCTTTACATGTGGCGAGAGATGATAGAGTGAAACTCGATTTGACATGGACAGCGTACTTCGTATACGAGCTCCACTCGAGAGAATGCTGAAACACCACAGCTACGTCTCATTTCATCCAATGATCACGATTGCCGATCGCGGTGGACCCTTGTTTGGGCTTGATGAAGGGCCGACAGGACGGGAGACGGAGATATAACAGAAGCAGATACCGAAGAATGAAGACAGTGAAGAGGGCAAAACTGGTCAGTGCAAGGCCGAACCCCTTGCATGCAGGGCAAAATAAGCCAAGTCAATAGTTAGCGTCCAAAATAGACAACGTGGCTCCGGCCAATCTTAACTGTTTCCAGGTGCGACGTGCCGGATGTGATTTGACAGGCTTCGAGAGCTTCACCAAACTCGGAACTTGATCATCTCTACGGAGCAGAAAAAGGAATGTCTCAGATGTCAGAGAGCCCGATATGTCCGTTTGCGATTCAAAGGCCGGAAGCGGTGCTACAGTGTCTCCAGTGGCTCCCCCAGGTACAGTACTACGGTACCTCAGTACGACGTAAATAAGGTAATAGAGTAAGAGAGGAAGAGAGTAATAGAGTAATAGAGTAATAATAAGGTAATTACCAGGTGGAATTAAATAGGCTAGGGCCAAAGGGCCCAAAAAAGGGAAAAAAAGGGAAATTGTCAAATCGGCATCCTTCGGCCCCGACTAGGCTTAATCTCAGCTCGCCTCTTCTCTCTCTCTCTCTCTGCTGATTTCTTTGATTCTCTACCATCGCAGCATGGACTGAGTTCCTCTCTAGTCTCTATCTAATCGACCCTTCAGGGACTAGGGCTCTCCTTTTCACATACATTCGCTACCCAACAAACACCCCCTCATTTGAACACCTCAAACTCAACAATGTCACTCACTATGCGCATCCCGCTCCTCCTCCTGGCCCTCCTCTCTCTGATAATCTCCGCCTTCGCCGCCAACGGCATCCTCCCCACATCTGCCTCCAGCTCATTCCCACAATGCGGCCTGTCCTGCACCACCCTGACCAACGCCCAGACGTCCTGCGAATCAGGCGACTCCTCATCCTGGACCTCATGCTTCTGCCAGTCAGCCCTGCTTACGGGCCTGAAAACCTCCGGCAGCATCTGCGCGTCGTGCAGCGCCGCTGACCAAGTCACTCTCTCAACCTGGTACAACAACTACTGCAATTCCGGTGGCAAAGATACCGGCGCCACAAAAACCAAAGCCGCTGCTGGCGCAACCTCCACTTCCACTTCCAGCGCAAACTCGACCAAATCTGCCTCCGGCACGGAGGAGAAGAAGTCCTGGTACGTCTAACTTTGGCTTTCCTATCTCTCTCTCCGACACAAGCCGAATGACAATGTCCCACCCGAACAAGTCGCTAACTTCTTGTCCAGGTGGAGCTCCCACTACCGCTGGGTCATCATGCTCATCGTGCTGGTCATCGGCTTCAGCATCATCGCCGTAGTAGGCGTATGGCTCAAACGCCGCCACGACGCCAAGCGACCACATCTCTACCACGGCGGCAGTAGCAGTATGCTAAACACCTCTCAGTCCGCCCAGCGGGTTTCCACCTGGGGTCCGGCACCTGTGCCCGGTCAGCCGCGCGACCTTGTTCCTGACTCTGAAGTCAATAGCTCTCGCTCGACCATGGGCAAGATCAGCACTCCAGTTCCTGGATCGCGGACACGGTTGACGAAGCCCGAGCCAGGGCAGGGTGATGTGGAGACCCGACAGGTTTAGAATTTATTGTTTTCTTTTGGATTTTCTTTCTTCTCTTTTGGGGTTATTTTCCTGCTATCTTCTCTCAGTGCGCTATTTTACCATATACTATGGTTGCATTTCCTGGTGTTTACTTACGGATAATGGGTTTTATGCTGTGCTTCTTGGTTTTGCCGTTCTCTCTTTTCTTTTTTTTTTTTTTTTTTCTTCCTGTTCGTTCGGGCTTTTGGCCTGGAGTATTGGGAGTGGATTTCTTGACGACTGCGTTGACTCTTCGAGGGTTTGACGTTCATACCTAGCTTTTTTTTGTTTTACTTTTTTTTTGCTGCCGGATTAAGTGGCAGAGTACATAGTACAACCCGTGCTGCGCATTTCACGATACCATATAAAAGTATATTATGATACAATTCGGATAGATTGCTGGTACTTCAAGAGATACTAATACTGACAATCTTAATATCGACTTCCGGCTTTTCCTTATGTGTCCGGGCATTCTCAATCTTATGCACAACATCCAATCCCTGGACCGCACGGCCAAAGACAGTATGCTTATTATCCAGCCATGGCGTCTTCTCCGTGGTGATAAAGAACTGACTGCCATTGGTATTTGGTCCAGCGTTGGCCATGGAAAGCGTGTACGGCTTGTCGTGTTTGAGAACGGAGAACTCGTCCGCAAACTCACCACCCCAGATCGACTCGCCGCCAGTGCCGTCACCTTGCGGGTCACCGCCCTGGATCATGAATTTGCGGATCACACGGTGGAATATAGTGTTATTGTAATAGCCCTGACGGGAGTGTGTGACGAAGTTCTCCACTGCGCGTGGGGCGGCAGAGGGGTATAGGCGCAGGTGGATATCACCGTATGTTGTGTGTAGGATTGCGGCGGTACCAGTCTCGGCAGCTTTGGTAGTTGCCACTGCGGTGGAGGCCTGAGTTGGTTTTTCGTTTTGGATGTCACGGGTGGATTTCGAGATATCCGTGGTGTTGGTGAACATGTAAAAGCGCACCTTGGCGAAGCCTGTGCTAAGCAGAATGGAGTCACGTTCCTCGGCTTCCTGGAGGAGAGGATTACTACTGGCGGCCATTGAGACTGTCACAACGCCTTTGCGTTGCGGTTGCCCTTGGTAGAGCGCGAGATTAAGAGCTCGGAAAGGCTCATCGCGGCCGTAAACCCGGACAACCCGGTTTGTGTAGGTGTTGATGCATTTCACGCCGTAGAGGGAGCCGTAAAGGAGGAAGTGGCCTGATTCATCGAATGTGACATTTACTTTGCTGCGGGTGGCTTCCCCTTCGAGTTCACGCTCGACGCCTAAGCGGCGACCGAACTCTACTTCGTCGAGCGCGTACGGTGCCGTTCCGGCTTGCTGCATTTCAGTGATGGTGGTTATTGATTCGTCATATGTGCGGTAAAGCTTGCCTGTTGCGAAGTCGAATACTCGGATTTGTCGGTCTGGGAATGAAACTGTGGCGAAGTGCTCGCCGGACGGGGAGATTGTGATAGCTGTTGGCACCGATTTGGCTTTCTTGAATGCGAAGAGGTTTGTTGAGGATTTGAGATCGAAGACATTGTCGGGTTTCTCGAAAGATCCATCTCCAGCTCTCCAATATTCGATCATACCTGATTCGTCCGCTGAAACAACACAGTTGAAGGCATTGTTGAAGGCGAGCGACACCACAGGACTGCGGTGGATGGACTTCAATGTGTGCAATGGTTGGGGGTTTTCGCCTCGTCCATCAAATATTTGGATAATGCTACTTGACTCATCCGTGACCGCGAGCAGAGGCAGGGATGCGCCGCGCGGATGCACCCAGCATACACATCGAGGCACAAAGTCTAGCGTATACATCGCCAAAAGATCTACTGATGTCAGCAAGGAAAAAAACCACTAACACAGCACATGGAGGACATACCAAATGTAATGACATCGAAGATCTTAACGGTCTTGTCAATTCCTGCTGTCGCGAAACTGCGGCCGTCGGCGCTAACGGTTACGCCCCGAATCTCGCCCTTGTGAGCCAGGAACTCCTTCACGAACTCAATGCCTTCTGCCATCTTCTTCCAGAACTTCACGAATCCATCGACAGAGCTAGTGATCACAAAATCTGTGTAGGGTGCGACTGTCACATAGGATAATTGTTCCTTGTGCATAAGCGACTTCGAGTAGCGTGCGGAGACTGGGAGCGCATTGATGTAGACCTTCTCAAAAGGGAGCTTGCGGCGCTTCTTCTTAGGCGCAACTTCTGAGGGAAGTGCAGGTCCAAAATCGTCATCGGATGAATCATCACCTAGCAGTCGCATACGGTTAGTTTCTAGTACATTTCGTTCGAGGGAGCGGTCTGGACGATGTCGGGGATGCAGTCCACTCACTGTTCTCGGCCTCGACAGCGGAGTGAGGCCGCTTGGTCGCAGCGGCCTCAGCGACTTCTGTGGAGTCAGTCATTGTCGATACAAAAAGTACAAAGGTCAATTGGAGCTGAGGAAACCGTCAAGACAGAAAGGAAACGTCTAGAGGGATCGCGGGCGGTGATGGCATACACCCAATCAGAAGCTCGGGGCAACTTTTCTCCTTTCCCACCCCACTGTTGACAGGAGAAGTTGATTCAACCTTTCCAGCAAGACATTTGATCTTTGGTCGATTGCCTTATTCAGCTGGTCATCATGGTATGCTACTCCCAGTTTGTCCTGTACAAGCGTGGAAAATATGTGTGTTCGTTGGCTTACCTCTACCCCTCCTAGGCATCTTTCGGCAATCCCACACAGATCTTTGGTGACGATGTCATTGAGGAGAAGGGCGAGAATGCTCGTCTCTCAGCTTTCGTCGGTGCTATCGCCGTCGGAGACCTCGTGAAGAGTACCCTTGGCCCCAAGGGAATGGACAAGATCCTACAGTCTGCGTGCGTGCGCAAGCTATCGATAATCATATTAGCTGATATAACCCCGGAAATACTGACATTATTCTTCTCGCAGTTCCACAGGAGATATCCTCGTGACGAACGACGGTGCTACGATTCTCAAGTCTATCGCTTTGGATAACGCTGCGGCTAAGGTTTTGGTCAACATTTCCAAGGTTCAGGACGATGAAGTCGGTGATGGAACTACATCGGTCACTATTCTGGCCGCTGAACTGCTGCGCGAGGCCGAACAGCTTGTTGCCAAGAAGATCCACCCCCAGACTATTATTGAAGGTTATCGGATAGCCAGCAAGGCTGCTCTCACTGCTCTTGAGGCTTCAGCGGTCGACCGCAGCCAGGACCCCGAGGCTTTCCGCAAGGACTTGCACGCCATTGCCCGCACAACACTCAGCTCTAAGGTTCTGTCACAAGATCGGGATCACTTCGCTAAGTTGGCTTGTGAAGCCGTTCTGCGTCTTAAGGGATCCACCGATCTTTCCCACATCCAGATTATCAAGAAGGCCGGTGGCAAGCTGAACGATTCGTACCTCGACGAGGGCTTCATTATGGACAAGAAGATTGGTGTTAACCAGCCCAAGCGGTTGGAGAATGCCAAGATCCTGGTCGCCAACACAGCAATGGACACAGACAAGGTTAAGATCTTCGGTGCCCGTGTCAAGGTCGAGTCGACCGGCAAGCTGGCTGAGTTGGAGAAGGCAGAGCGCGAGAAGATGCGCCAAAAGGTCGAGCGCATCAAGGCCCACGGTATTAACTGTTTCGTTAACCGCCAGCTCATTTACAACTGGCCCGAGCAGCTGTTCACCGAGGCTGGCATTATGTCTATCGAGCACGCCGACTTCGATGGCATTGAGCGCCTGGCCCTGGTGACCGGTGGTGAGATTGCCTCCACCTTCGACCACCCCGATCAAGTTAAGCTTGGTGGATGTGATCTCATTGAGGAAGTGATCATTGGTGAGGATACCCTGATCAAGTTCTCCGGTGTGGCCGCTGGCCAGGCCTGCACCATTGTGCTGCGCGGTGCCACCGAGCAGCTCCTCGATGAGGCCGAGCGTTCGCTCCACGACGCTCTTGCTGTCCTCTCGCAGACTGTCAAGGACCCCCGCGTGACACTCGGCGGTGGTTGTGCCGAGATGGTTATGTCCAAGGCCGTTGAACAGGCCGCCCAGAACACCACTGGCAAGAAGCAACTTGCCGTCGACTCCTTCTCCCACGCTCTGAAGCAGCTTCCTACCATCCTGGCTGACAATGCCGGTTTGGACTCCAGCGATCTGGTCACTCGCCTGCGCTCAGCCATCAACAACGGCATGAACAGCTCTGGTCTCGACCTGTTGACACCCGGTGGTGGTATTGCTGATATGCGTGAGCTTGGAGTGGTAGAGGCTTATAAGCTGAAGAAGGCGGTGGTTTCATCTGCGTCAGAGGCAGCCGAGGTATGTAACAACCATTCTGTCCCATTTGACCCTAATCTCAGGATATGTACTGACTATTCTTTAGCTTCTCCTGCGGGTGGACAACATCATCCGTTCGGCTCCCCGCCAACGCACCCGGATGTAATGGGCACGATTGTGATGACATGGATGAATTCATCTCTGTACTCTTTCTACGAGAGAACTAAAAAATGTGCAATAGAAGTTCAACTAAGTACATGATCTATCCATATAATTCTACATATAAGCTACAATCTAGTCTGTGTGTAGGGAGTATGTATGCAACGAGTCGGCTTGGATCATCAGACAAGCAATCTATGTCATGCCTCGCGGCGGTCTGTTCAGCGTCCATTAGCCACTCAGTGTGTTAAAGCTGGGGTTCGGGACAATCCACGTAGCTGGTTTCGATCGAAATCGAACTTGCTGCCAGAATATGCCCGAATTCCCTATGGTAAATTAAAGTTCCGAATGGAAGCTATTCCTACCATATACGTCTTGAGGGAAGAAGATATTTAGAGAATTGGCTTCTAGAAAGACATTAAACTACACAATTGAAAGGACGATTCAGAAGACACCGCAAGGTCGTAGAAGGGGCCGACTACGTGAAAAGCATCCAGCCTCAGTTGACCTGTCTGCTTTCCAGGAGGGACCTACCTAGGTATATAGGTTACACGTAGGCACTCATGAGCATGTGCATTGACAAACTAGGCCTCGGGAGCTACTGAATAGGTCAGTACCTGCATATAACTGTCTTGACTTTGAAGATTTACCCTTTCAGCTCACTATCACATCTACTCCGTACAGGTCCTGAGTTAAGTCCCAATGATCCTCATGTAAGCTGCGAATCATACTTCGGGAAAGGCCCTACTCTAGAACCTCACATGGCCTCAAGCTCTTGAGTCTCATATGAAAATGCTTCGGCCAAAAGAAGTTCTGCTCTCACGCAATCTCTCGTATCTCAAAACCAAGATAGGTACAAACGTCGTCGGATGGCATCATTTCCATGGCCCCGAAATGCTGTGTTCTTAAAATGTCCAGCAACACGAGCGAAGAAACAAAGGATGACATAATTCTATTGCATACCTAGGTACCCGCTATGGGCAGCAGTTATCTTAGTGAAGAAGACATAATTTCTGTTACGGAGTAGTGGCTATGTGGCTAAACAGGGCTGTGCGTATGACAGGCCGCGTATGTATGGATGGCCGCGTATGAGAGTTGCATTGCGTATGTGATCTGGAGTAGGACTGGCTCCAGCTCAATAGAAACTTTATCCACCCACACATCCCAGATAGGTATGTATGTATGTAAGTGGTTTCTAAATAGCTTATGCAGCAAAGACCTGTGAGAGACACATCTGCTTGCACTATCCCGTACAGCAGATCTACTTGTACGGAGTACTTAGTTCCATGTATTTTTGATGGCGGCGTAGATAGAGCGTCCGAGCTGAGTGGTTCATTTTAGCAAGCCCGATAAAAACGCTTTCATAATGAAGGGCAGAAATCATCTGTGAACTGAAGTCAAGTAAATAGCAAATACCTGGGTACCTTTCAGGTACCCTCCCGGGCTGCCGGTGACCGTGTGGGACCGACCCTCGATGCCTGATTATTCAGGCCTCCAGCCCCTCAAAAGCGGCAGACCCAAAGCGGGTCGAGGCTTAGCACACGGGCAACGGGATAGCGCGATTCCCCCGATACTGACTGAACTGAGTCGGAAGACGCCATAAACATCCATCATCTACGGAGTGCGAAGCAGTTCAAGTGCCAACTAATACTTTTCCCGTGTTCTGGCTGCATTTTTAAAATGACGATCACCTTCTCATCCGTGGGTCATAGGTGGGCGACGGACCAGATCGGCACCAAGTCGAATAGGCTGATCTGTTCGAATGACGGAGTACCCAGTCTAACGCCATATAATCCCATTGTACGCAGGACTCACTACGGAGTACCGAGGTGATTATCAGAGCAGACAGTAGGTGGAGTAATGCTTATGCAAAAGCCAAGGGATGGCCCAGTGCTTGGCTTATTGTTTCATTCCCTACTTCCAATTTGCCGCCAGGCACGGAGTCTAACCATGCTTTATTTTTAGGGCCAAGGTTACTGTAATTCAGTAAGTAATCGAGGGGTCAGGGAGACTCAATCTAGAGATACCATCTAGATCGATATCTATAATATAGAAGGAAAGAAATAGGAAGAAAAGGAGCAGTACCTCAAGAGTTGACAGGCATTCTTAGATGCAGCGGTCCAGAAGCATTGCAACCCCGGTACTGTTACCGGCTACGGGGCTAAGACCCCGTCATCTTCTCTTGGCCACCCTTGGCCTTTACTTTCTCATCCACTTTCGCTCCCACGTCGGCATCTACGCTCGTTTGAACTGCACACATGATTTTATCCAAGTGGCTGGCCACGCTCCTGGGCGGCGCCTGTGTCGTCCAGAGTGCTGTCGCTCTCGAGTTGAACATCGATGACGAGCGTATGCATCTCCCCCCTCTCTATCGTATTCCTTGGCTAATATAGTGCGATTCTCAGAATCTCTAAAAACCGCGGCGAAAACTGTCGCTACCACGATGATGGACTATTATGACGCTCGCGATTCCAAGAACATCCCCGGTAAATTCGATGGCACATGGTGGGAGGGCGGTTCCATGTTCATGACCCTCATCCTGTACTGGTGGGTCACTGGTGATACCCAGTTCACTCCTGCCGTTCAGGAAGGCATGTACTGGCAAAAGGGCGACGACAATTTCTTCCCCTCCAATTACAGTCAGTATCTCGGTAACGACGATCAAGTCTTCTGGGGGTTGGCGGCCATTACTGCTGCGGAACTTAACTACCCCGAACGAGAGGGCGAGCCCTCTTGGGTGTCACTTGCACAGGGTGTTTTCAATACTCAGTACCCTCGCTGGGATACTAGCAGCTGCCACGGTGGTATGCGTTGGCAGATTTGGCCTTACCAGGATGGTTACTTGACAAAGAACGCCATCTCGAACGGAGGATTGTTCCAACTTTCGGCTCGTCTTGCGCTTTACACTGGAAACAAGACATATGCCGACTGGGCTGAGCGTATTTGGGATTGGAGCGCCACGACCCCGCTCCTAAAGCAGAAGAACTGGAACATCGCTGATACCACCACCTGCGGCACTCAGTGTACGGATCATGGCGATTTCCAATGGACCTACAACTATGCCACCTACATCAGTGGTGCTGCCTACATGCATAACTACGTAAGTGCTTTTCTCTTGGAGGTTCTTATACTAGCCAACGCGCATTGATATTAACCTCTCGCTAGACCAATGGCACTGAAACAAAGTGGAGGGAGGGTGTCGTGGGTCTCGTTAAGACCTCCCAGCAATTCTACCCAACTAAAGGATTCAATGGAGCCGCCGGACAAATTCTTTCGGACATCACCTGCGAGCCCTTGGGCAACTGCGATCGCAACCAGATCACCTTCAAGGCTTATTTCACCAACTGGCTTGGAATGCTGACTACAATCGTCCCCGATACCTACGACCTAATCTACCCTCAGTTAAGGACATCGGCCCAAGCCGCTGCGAAGCAATGCTCGGGTGGTGACGATGGTCAGCATTGTGGTATTCGCTGGTACAAACAAGCCGACTGGGATGGAACCAAGGGTCTGGAGCAACAGATGGCTGTACTGGGTGTCCTCTCTGCCAATCTGATTCCCTTCAAGAACAAGGCACCCTTGACTTCGTCATCAGGTGGTACCTCCAAGAGTAACCCGAACGCTGGCACCAATTCTTCAGACAATGATGTGCCTATCCTGAATACCATTGGTACTGGTGACCGGGCAGGTGCCGGCATCTTGACTGTCGTCTTTGTCGCCGGCTGGGCTGTTGCTGTGACCTGGATGATCCGTGGTGGCTAAGCTTGTGTGCGATTTCCTATGTCTTTCTTCGGATCATACGTGATCCCTACACTGTTCTATATTTCCATTCTCCCGACATGCTTCTTTTACACCCTTCTCAATCTGTATCTACATTTATTCTTTTTTTTTCTTCTTCTTTTTCTTCTCATGTTTCTAATTTTCGCTTTTTTTCCCCCCATTCCACCGGCACTTCTGGCGTGTACTGCCCGAGGATGGGGTTGCGGCGTTGGATGCGCTGCTCGGATCTACATAGTGTGTTTTCCTTTGAGATGTCTAGGTGAAAATGAACTTTCTCTTGTCATGATAGCTCATATTTTGGGCGTACCCATGTAACAGCGTGTACTGAGTACGGAGTACATTGGACCTCCATTTGTAGCATACGGGTTTCGGCCTTGATTGGTCTTAGCCCCTGAGGCTGGGCGTCAGCTCCACCATGGGGGTCAAAGGCTGGGGATCACTCAGGATGAATGATCCACTGTGACTCGTTCACACGGAAGACGGTGGCAAGAGTTCACGCATGGAATCCTCCGTAGGGACTCTGTACTCTGTAGGGGGGATACATACAGTTGATGCACAACATACAGGGAGTAAAGACCAATGGAAGGCCAAGCGGAGAGAAAGTCTCGAATGTTCTTCTTCTGCTAGGCTACACTGTATTCAGAGTAGCCCGAAGGCGTGCGTGGACCAAAGCACCGGTATCTCCTGTGACGAGGGTGGAGGCGGGAAAACTTGGTCATTAATTGTATCGTACACGTGTATTACACACAATCCCCTCTGCCTCCTGGACTCTCCCCTTTCATTGACTTCAGCATTCTCACCATCTCTCGTGCATCTTCATCAGGCCGTTCCTCGTTTGCTAGCATTTTCCCATTTGGATTATTTTGTGGGTGGGGGATGATCCGCTACCCGGATTCTCGACTCGATCCACACTCTCACTCGATCCGTTAACCCTCTTCTCTCACGGCCTATGAAACGCCCTTTACTCCCTCCTTTAACCCCTCGATCGTCACTCTACTCCTCGATTTCCGTGCTGATAGTTCAACAATGCGGTGGCGGCTGCCGGGCGCCAGTTCGACACTCCCCGCCAGTGTCGCACTCCTCCTTCTGCCAGCCCTGGTCGCTCCGCAGCAGCATCCAGATGTCCATGACTCTGTCTCTCGGGTCTCTGTGCCACTAGCACAAGAGTCCCCAATTCGAAATGTAGCCCATGTGGCTGCACCATACATCGTGAAACCCAACGATGCGAGCGCCCTTGCGACTCTGGCTCTGGCAGGCTCCGGCCGTGCCGTTCGAGCCCCTCCTGTCCAGGCCAGCAGCACCACTGCTGGTCTGGCTTCGCAGCTTCACGCGCGGTCCCTTCAGGACTGGGAGGTTGAGGATTTTGTGCTACTGGCGACCGTCGACGGAACTATTCACGCCCGTGATCGCAAGACCGGGGCTGCCCGTTGGGCCCTTGAGGTCCCGAGCAGCCCTGTGGTCGAAAGCATCTACCACCGAGCGAACCGTTCCAGCTTTGACGATACAGAGCCCGAAGATGATTTTCTCTGGATCGTCGAACCCAGCCAAGATGGCAGCCTTTACATCTACAGCCCCGCTCCAGATTCCGGCCTGCAAAAGCTCGGCTTGACCGTCAAGCAGCTTGTCGACGAAACCCCCTATTCAGGCACCGAGCCTGCCGTGACCTACACTGCCCGGAAGGAAACCACATTGTACACCATTGATGCTCGGACGGGCAGCATTCTGCGGGTGTTCAGTTCCCGCGGCCCAATTACCGCTGCACCCGAATGTCGGAAGGTGAACGGAGAAGATTCAGACTCTGAAGAGTGTGAGTCGACCTCCGGCACTTTAGTTCTTGGTCGGGTGGAATATGCCGTCGCCATACAAAACACGGAGACTGGGGATCCAATTTGCACCTTGAAATACTCCGAGTGGGCACCGAACAACCGTGATATGGACCTGCAGAGCCAATACTACAGGACAATGGACCAAAGCCACATTTACAGTATGCATGATGGTGTTGTTCTGGGATTCGACCACTCGCGCATGGATCGGCCTCGGTACACCCAACGCTTTTCATCCCCCGTGGCACGGGTCTTTGATGTGGTTCGTCCTGCCAACAAAGATGCGCCAGACGGGTCAACTCCGCTAGTGCTCCTGTCACAACCATTACAGCCACCGGACCCCGACTATGGACCGCTCGACGATGAACGAGACATGCGTGTATTCATCGATTGCACCGAGGCAGGTGGATGGTATGCCTTTTCAGAGGAAACCTATCCCCTGGCCACCGGTCGGGCCCCAATGGCGCAATGCTATGACAAAGACTTCTTCCGCCGGGGACAGGCGCTCATGAGCCTCACTGCACGTCAGCAGCGAAATGCATTGGCGGGCGTTCATTCTCTCACTGGCCCTCGTATCATTCGATCGCCTATTCCCAAAATTGCTGGCTCATCCACCTTCGAACTCTCGAACGACACACCCCGCGATATTCTGCGCAGTCCTTCTGAGCTGGCGTTACCTCCCGCGCTCCGAAATAGCGCCATCATTCGAAAGAGCTGGGACAATGCGTTGGATATCGTCGTGACCTTGATTTTACTGTTCATCTGCACGTTCATATACTTCAATTCGCATCATCTACGCGATCTAGCCAAGCAGAAATTGGACATCAAGAACATCATCAACTCGAATGATAAGCCTGCTCTATCGGCCCCATCTACCCCTCATGTCGGCAGTGCTCCGGATATTAAACGTTCATCTACGCCAACCCAACAAGTTCCCAATGTGACTGTTGATTTGGATTTGGACGACCCGACCCTAGATGGAGCAACGACCCCCGTGCCTCACGAGACCAAACCCTAGAACCCGCTCCACGAGTGCAGATCCGTGAGCCATCTCGTGGTCCTGATGACGAGGACGCCGATGAGGCTGGAAAGCCCAAGAAGAAGTCCCGTGCTCGTGGATCTCGCGGAGGAAAATCACACCGCCGTCGCAAGAAGCCTGGCAGTGAAAATGATGGCCCTGAGGGGGCGGACCAGGCCGTGGAGCAAGTCAACCGGCTGGCGACCCAACCCCGACTTGAGGCATCTGTCCAGATGACCCGGTCGGTCTCGAATGAGATCATGGAAATGGATGGTGTTATTCGCATTGGTCGGCTTCAAGTTTTCACAGACATTGTGCTGGGACATGGCAGTCATGGAACCGTGGTTTTCCGCGGCTCGTTCGATGGTCGAGATGTAGCCGTCAAGCGTATGTTGATGGAATTCTATGACATTGCATCCCACGAGGTAGGCCTGTTGCAGGAAAGTGATGACCACCACAATGTGATTCGATACTTCTGCCGTGAGCAAGCCACCGGGTTCCTGTACATTGGCCTCGAGCTTTGTCCTGCATCCCTGCAGGATGTGATTGAGCGTCCTGTCAACTACCCGGAACTTGTTCAAACCGGCTTAGATCTACCTGATGTGCTACGACAGATCACCCAGGGTGTCCGCTATCTACATTCTTTGAAGATCGTCCATCGTGATTTGAAGCCTCAGAACATTCTTGTCGCTATGCCGCGTGGCCGCACTGTATCAAAGACATTGCGACTACTGATCTCCGATTTTGGTCTGTGCAAGAAACTGGAAGACAATCAAAGCTCGTTCCGGGCCACCACTGCCCACGCCGCTGGAACTTCTGGCTGGCGTGCCCCTGAGCTTCTAGTAGATGATGACGGTCCCATGTCTCTTGCATCACAGCACACTGAATCCTCTGAACCTGCCGTGGTAGACCCACAAACAAATCGCCGTGCTACTCGGGCTATCGACATTTTCTCGCTGGGTTGTGTGTTCTACTACGTCTTGACACGAGGCAGCCACCCGTTCGACAAGAACGGCAAATTCATGCGCGAGGCGAACATTGTCAAGGGTCAATTCGATTTGGAAGAATTGAACCGCTTGGGTGACTATGCTTTCGAAGCCGACGATCTCATCCGCTCGATGTTGGCTTTGGACCCCCGACAACGGTAAGAATTGATCACTCCAACGCCACATGTACTTTACTGACCCGGATTTTTAGCCCCGATGCAAGCGCTGTCCTGATGCACCCATTCTTCTGGCCCCCCCTCAGACCGCCTCAGTTTCCTCTGCGATGTGTCAGACCACTTCGAATTCGAGCCCCGCGATCCTCCGTCTGACTCTCTTCTCTGCTTGGAGTCAGTGTCTCTACGTGTAATGGGCCCTGAAATGGATTTCTTACGCTCACTACCACGAGACTTCAAAGACAATCTCGGCAAGCAGCGGAAGTACACTGGGTCGCGGATGCTGGATCTCCTGCGGGCTCTTCGTAACAAGCGCAATCACTACAATGATATGCCTGATCACCTCAAGGACAATATCGGTGGACTGCCTGAAGGATATCTCAATTTCTGGACATACAGATTCCCAAGCTTGTTGATGAGCTGCCACTCTGTGATTGTTGAGTTGGATTTAACTCGCAATGATCGCTTCCGGAGGTATTTTGTGCCCCCAGAATAGAATAGATGTTTGGCTTGGGATACAATTCAAGAATCATATTTGGAGATAGTTGAAGAATTGATGCCTGTACCTTTTTTTCATCAAGGATATGTATCTGGATAAAATGAGTTGAGCAGGAGCCTGTAAGTCTAGACCATCAAGACACATCCGAGGCATGTTTGAACATAACCAGTACGAATGAACCAGTCTGTTTGGGGGTATCTCATTTCGGGGAAATGCCCCCAAGATGTGACTTGTAGACCCTACTGATAAGTGGATCGCGGACGTGACTGTTTCGCGCCATTTTCTTCCGCGTGCTCAATTCCCTCCGCACTTTTTTTTTTCTCCTTCCTATACCCACTCGTCCTGCACTCTTCCCTTTGGCGTTTGGCGCCCTGTTCCTTCCAGAGATCATGCATGTTTGATACATCTGTTTTTTTTTATTTGTTCCTTACCATCCTCCCATTGCCGGCTTCGACCAGTCTTTACGATCACCCTCATCTCTTCTTTCCCCCCACGCGTTAATTGCCCCTAGCAATACTATCACCCGCATGCGCCTCAGCCCTTATCGTACACTTTGGCGCGATGGTGTTTCTTCGGCTTTCAATTAAAGTCTTTCCCAGGGAGCAGTTGGCCCCAAGCTCAAGCTCTAGTTGGGGTAGATCCCTCCTTGGCGGGAGAAAGTCTGTCACCGATGAGTCTAGTCAGGGATCCGCGGCTTCCACAGCAGTGAAGAAACCCGGCCTCTTCCTGTTGGTTCTGGAACAGCCGCAGGATGTTTCCCTTGGTGGCCTTGCGGGGATGATCCAGGAACATTGGGGAAAGCTTCACCCGGAATTAGAGTAAGTGTTCAGTCGCCTCGTCAGATGACATATGCTCCTCGAGTCCGGTGAACTCGCCTTGCTAACCTTTGAGTTTGCTAGACCTCTCTCAATTAAGAAGATCGTCGACGATACGAAAGAAGATATCGATCTTCACCCCGATTTGACCGTTGCCGATGTCTGGGTTGACTATGGAAAAGCTCGTACCGATGGCCTTGACCAGCGTGGCTCAGTTCGTGTGTTACAGAAGCCTACTGCAGCTGTTCCGGAGCGGTTCCCCTCCGTTGAGCCAGATTGGGATGCTGCTATCGCTGCCTACGAGCACAAGCGCGCGGCGAAGACTAAAAAGGAAGCCATGGAGCGCGAGTTCCCTGCGATCCAGGAAGAAGATGAGGAGAGCGAGAACGGATGGCAGCGCAATCGATCTCGGTCTTTGACTCGCTCCCAGTCTCAATTGGAACAGTCGCCCGCCTCGGCCGAAATTACGACTAATAAGCCTCCTCCCTCAACACAAAAGTCACCAGTTGAGCATCGTCATCGCGATTTACCTCTTTCTTCCGTCGAAGTCCGCAGCCCTGTTACTACCCCACCGCCGGCGCAGTCTGGTCCTACAATTGCGGGAACGCCGCCTCTTAGGCATGAGAGCGAGGAGCTCGGCGAATCTCCGTCACCAGCCGAGCGACGTCCCTCTGTCGCGCGATCACGATCTACACCTGCTTCTGAGACCGCCATCTCAGAGCTTCAGACTAAGCCGCAAAAGCTGGTCAAAATACCTATCCCGCGTGCCATTTCAACTCAACAAACCCAAACAACCGAAGAAGCTACCTCCAGCTCAAGCAGTGAGAGTGAGTCTGAGTCCGCTCATCAGCAGATCGCGACGGAAACAATCAAGGCGCGCATTACCAATGGCGCAGCCACTAAGAGTGTCTCGCGATCTCCGCAAAAGAAGCAGGTGGAAGCGCAGATTATAACCTCCAGCGATGAGTCCAGTGACGAGGAAAGTGACGACCAGAGCGAGAGAGATGAGCCGGAGAAGAAGAATATTGAGCAGGATAATAGAGACGAAGAGACTGGTTCTGATGGCTCTGAATCCGAAGCAAGTGAAGAGGGTGGGCCCAAGGATCAAATCTCGACGCCTCAGATTGGTCAATCTATCCCGAAATTTAGCAATATCGTGGATATCATCGACCTTGACGCAGATGGTGATGTGCAGATGGAAGCACGGGATCTCTCGCAATCCCAGACCAACGGTGCATTCCCCCAAACTCGATCTCGCAAGCGCAAGCAGAGCTCTGTAGAGCCCATTCCAGTTAAAGAACCTCGTCAAGGACAGTCTCACCCCTCAACTCGGCAACAGACCAAGTCCAATTCTCCGAGATCTGTGCCTGAGGTTGTTGTGTCTTCCCAACAGTCACGGCAGTCCGAATTTAAATCCCCGCTTGCTGCACCTGAAGCAACTCTGCCTCTTGCTCCGGTCAGCCCAAAGCGAAGACTTGAACGTGCGCCTTCGTTTTCCAGCCCAGGTCGCAGGGCGAGTATCCGCGAGGAGCAGGCCTCTCCCAAGTCACCGCAATCTGGCATCGGTTTGGGTTTTACAAGGAGTCCTCCTAGCAACCAGCATGTCGCGCTGGATTTCTCTCAAGACTCTCCCAGAACTGCAGACCTACCATCCACTCAGCGCTCTTTCGGCGGGCCACTGTTCCCAAGCAGTAATGGCACGGTCATCCCTTCGTCTTCCTTCACTTCTATGAATAAAGAAACACCTGCAATCGAGAGGACGAAGAAGTCCGCCATCCGCGCAAAGGATTCTCCGGCATCAGAAAGGCGATCCGTATCTTTCGCCGACGAGGGCTCTGAATCCGTTGCCCGCTCCACCCCTCGTAATGCGGCAATCAGCTCCAAATCCACCCGGGCGACACCTTCTAGTGCCACCCCACGAAATGCCGCTACCAAGCCCAAGCCGGCTCAGCAGACACCCACTCCGGCTGTCAGACCTACCCGCGGAACGCCATCGATCTCCACACCCGGCACTGCTACTAAAAAGACACCCAAATCTACCTCCGAACCAGCTCGAGGAACACAGTCACACGTTGAGCCAGTCTATCCCCCAGGGTTTGATGTGGCCAAGTTGAGGCAGGAGATTGAAGACGAAAAGGAGGCGAAAAGAATCGCTAAGGAAGCCGAGAAGGAGCAGAAAGGAAAAGAGGCCGCGGAGAAGGCAGGAATCGAACGCAAGCTTCAGGAAAGCACCGATCCCAAGCACACCATTCTCCTCACTGAGATGCTCACGATCTTGGGCAAAATAGCCAATCCCAAGGCTGACATGGCCAGGCGAAACAATCTCCGCTCCCAGCTTGCTCAGCTGCGCATTCAGGAGAAAGACTGTGCACAGAAGTTGGCGGCACAAAAGTCAAACCCGCGCGAGTCTGTCGCCAGACAACCCCGGCCAACCCTGAAGGACATGCTTAGCAGCCAGAAGCAGGAGATGGCTGCCAAGACCGCGAAGCCGCGAGTTGAGGCCAAGCCCGCCCCAGCTCCCCGGGGTGATGTGTATGAAGTGCCCAGCTCCAGTGAATCCGATTCCAGCGACTCTGATTCCAGCGACAATGATTCTGACAGTGACTCGGGCGACATCATGCCCAATGGCCAGTCGGTGAAACTGCGCAAGCCCTGGTCCCAGCGATCCACTTGAGTATTTGGAGCTTTTTTCTGTTGCTCCTTGTTTTCTTCTTTCCTAAGATATCCTGTTTCTTGCATCCATGCGCTGCGGTCTGTCTTCTTTCAAGACAGTGTACATTTTTAACCCGTGTATGATACCTACTGCTGTACCCAATACTTATCACAAATTTCAATGTGCAATTGAAGCCCTGTAAAAGACCAACTCAACATAAACGATCTACCTAATAATTCTGCAAAATGTGTACATATCGACTCTATATATGCTGGAATCACTCGGCCTTACGTTCCGATGCGGCTATAGCCTTTCTGGCCACTCGGTTATGGCGTAATATCACATTGACCTCAATCTGCCTAGATGTTGGCGTTGTTCGGTCTCAAACAACCAGAGTACCCAATTTTTGGAAGGATGATTGATAATTCCGCGAATGTCTTGGGGGTGATTTACTACAATTGTCATTTTGTGCTGGCGAAGGACGACTACCAGTCATGGCAGCGGTGATAACCAGGTATGAATCCCACGCCACACAGCACATCTCAAACTAATGTACGCAACGCAGCCCAGTCACGACGACGGGATACAACCCAGATCCCACCAAAATGATGAAAGTCGCACAGTGGATGGGCACCCGAGACATCAAAGTAGGCGCTGTACCCAAGCCCAAAATCACAGACCCTAGCGACGCCATCGTCCAAATCACCCACTGCACAATCTCCAGCTCCGACCTACACATCTACGAAGGCAAGCTCGACAACGCAATGGAAAAAGGCGATATCCTCGGCCAAGAAGCCATCGGCCTCGTCGACGAAGTCGGCCCCAACGTCAAGACCCTCAAACCCGGCGACCGGGTCATCATCCTACCCGTCATCGCCTGCGGCAGCTGCCCCCACTGCCAACGACAAGAATACTCGCTCTGCGACCAGACCAACCCATCCGCGGAAATGGAAGCCGCATACGGGTATCGTCTCGCCGGGAAATTGGGCTATGGCCGCCTTTGCGGCGGGTATCAAGGCAACCAGGCGGAGTACTGTCGCGTCCCGAACGCGGATTTAACGTGTGTTAGGGCGCCGCATCATCTCGATGCGCGGAAATTGCTTGGGTTGACGAATGTTGTTACCACGGCTTGGCATGCGCTCGAATTGGCGGAGGTGCAGACTAACGATGTCGTTGGTGTTTGGGGATGTGGGCCTGTGGGTCTGGCTGTGCAGCGACTGGCGAAGCTCCGTGGGGCGAAAACGGTTTATGCTATGGATCGAGATCCGCAGCGGTTGCGGATTGCGGAGGGGTTTGGCATGACGTCTGTTGATATGGGGGCGCGTTCGGATGTGGGGGAGTATATTTTGTCGATTCAAGACCAGGGTCTTGATAGGTCGATTGAGACTGGTGGCGTTTGGAATCTGCGGGAGCCTCAACATGCTTGTTCCCCGATTGGGCTTGAAGGAAAATGTGAGGATGCGCTGGCAGCTATTATTAAGGCTACCCGGAAGGGTGGGAATGTTGCTTTGATGGGGAATATGCTCTTCGCCACACATGATTTCCCGATTGGGTCTTTGATGCAGAAAGCCTTGACGGTGCGTGGTGGCCAGACGTGGCCGCAAAAGGTAGGTAAAGCTTTTCGCGTTTCAATCGCGATTGACCGCTCACAAAATATAGTATTATCCATATCTCATGGACCTGGTAGTCGAGGGAACAATTGATCCTTCGTGGATGTTCACATATGAGGACGAGTTCGAGAATATCGCGGATCTATATCAGAGGGTCGCCCAGCGTCAGATCCCCGGTGGGCTCAAGGTCTTCCTGGTGACTGCTTTTGGACGTAGCGAGCAGATGCGAAAGTCGCGGTGAGATGTGCGCTGATCTGAATCATGAATGTCGTGAGAATCATATCGGAGGCCTGATTCCCTTTTGGGACTAGTCGACGCTACGCCCAGCTTGACGAGACCCTCTTCAGCTGCTGCTAAACCCTAGCCCGCACAATGGCTATTCAGCTGGACTATTATTGAACATACATGCTAGACCTTGCACCTCGTATCTGCAACAGAATGAGATAGCGCCCTGTAGTCAGCAAAACCTTAGCCCGGGCACCGGGGATATAAAAGCCAGAGCCCTCCCGGGAATCTACACTCCACACACTTCTTCATCATGTTCCCCCCACCACCAGCTGACATTGATTGGAACAATCTTGGCTTCAAAGTAAGGGACGGTAAGCAACCCCCCACCTCGTAAACGACCTTAGATTTTAATTCCCACCAGGCAACGGCCATGTGGAAATCCACTTCTCCCACAGTGGAGATAACAAGTGGTCACAACCGCAACTCGTCGCCTCACCCTTCATAGCCGTGCATGGGATGGCGCCTGGCCTCAACTACGGCCAGCAAGTCTACGAAGGACTCAAAGCCTTCCGCCACCCAGGCAATGACAAGATCACTATCTTCCGACCGGACCGCAACGCCAAGCGCATGCAGCATTCCGCCGAAGTGGTCTCCATCCCACCCGTTCCGGAAGATCTGTTCATCGAATGCGTTCGGCTGGCTGTCGGTGCAAACGCGGAGTATGTACCGCCCCACGAGTCCGGTGCGGCAATGTATGTCAGACCTATGCTCTTTGGATCCTCTGCGCAGCTGGGATTGAGCCCACCAGATAAATATACACTAGCGGTGTTTGCCATGCCGACTGCTGTTTATCACGGAGCTAGTGCCGTCGACGCGCTGATTCTCGAGGACTTCGATCGCTGTGCGCCGCATGGAACTGGTGATGCTAAGGTTGGCGGAAACTATGCGCCGGTTGTGCGACACAGTGAACGGGCCCGTCGTGAAGGGTTTGGAATCACGCTTCATTTGGATAGTGCGACTCGCAGTGAGGTTGACGAGTTCTCGACATCTGCTTTCATTGGAGTGAAGCGTGATGGTGATCAGGTTACTGTAATTCAGCCGGATAGCCGGCATGCGATTGACTCGGTTACGGCGGCATCGGTGTTGGAGATTGCGCGTACGTTGGGATATCGGGCGGAGAAGAGACGGGTCTCTTATGAGGAGCTGTGCGAGTTCGATGAGGTTATTGCTGCGGGCACGGCGGCGGCGTTGGTGCCTGTGGGTAGTATCACGATGCGATCCCGCGGCGATAAGTTTGAGTATCGTTGTGGGACTGGAAAGGAAGGTGGTGAGGTTTTTGCTAAGTTGCTGCGGACACTTCGGGGTATACAATCTGGAATAATTGAGGATAGCTTGGGTTGGAATTTCGAGGTGCAGGCACCACCAAAGGGTTGGTTACAGCAAGGACAGGAGAAGATCGAACAGAATGGTGCCAACGTGCCTTGAAGGGGTGATTTGATATAGACTGTGGGTCCTCCCAACTACGAAAACACCGCGAATTCTGCATTTTACGTTCGTTGAGCTCAGAACACATGTAAAGCCTAAGCAATTCGTAGGATTAGGTCGCATCGCGAGTGAGGACCGCAACGCTTAATCTAGGTCACGAGATGAATGCCCATGCTACCTTTTCTCTCGTCACTCCGATCTTTCCAATCTTCAAAGTCCAAACTTTGCTATTACTTGACCATGATACCTACAAACTGCAAGAGTGAAATCCGTTCTAGTGACGCTCAGGGGAGGCATATCACTTTCATAGGAAACATCACCCTTCATGGGGGTCACGAGCTCAACCTGGATCCCATCTAGACTCCATCGGAGAACATCTTTAGATGTCATAAAAACAATCCTTTGGTCCAAACTCGCGTTATATGGCAACCTACTACCCGGTGCTAGTTAGTCCGTGTCTAAAATCGCTATGTACGGTCGTTTTCGGCTGGACTCAGTGAGCTCACGACGAGATAAAAACAAGTCGCTGTCCTGGAACACGCTGAGAATCTACGTATATAAAAACATACGCTGCACTATTATCCTAATTGAGGGTGTGCAGGATATATCTGTACGCTTTGCTAAGGTTTAGTTGCTGGAAGACAGTGATGCATTGTTGATCTAGGACCACTCCAGATGTATATATTGAACGTATTAGCTGGTGATTGAGGCTTTACTCCGGATATGATTCAGGAGCTTGCCATCTTAGAACCAAGTGATAAGGCGACCAAGGTGAAGGTATAGTTAATGAAGTTAATGAAGAGATGCCATATGGATGTCAATTCAATGAAGGGAAGATGTCTGCGTACCACAAAGTAGGGACATTCAATCTTGTATCTCCCGAGGATATCTTGGCTATATCTATGTTGTAGATATTGGTGGTTTACTAGTTACACTCGTTTTCTGTATCATGCATTGATTCTAGTTGATTATCCGTTCCTGTCATGTTTGATTGGTCGTCACATACTCTGTACACCGTCATGATCTATATAATATTCGGATTGTATATGCAGGGTGATATACGTTCTGTTCCACTTCATATCTGCGCGATGTAGCAATGCAGATGCAGGTGCACACCTGCATCTTTGCACTCAATTTGGGCTGACTGATTTCTCTGTAGAATTCAAAGGCAATAATCAATCGATAGGCCATGTTTGACTAAAGGAATGACAGCGAATTTTATGCCCAACCCCGCTGTAGGTACTTTATGTCAGTGGGGATGATCAGGTGGATCTTTCTAAGACTGTCAGACAAATAAGGCTAGATACAACAGCTCAACGGTAAATGTCACCTTTTTGCCAAGTGGACTACTACTCCATAAATGGATCTACGTTAGCGTTTGGTCATAGTATACTCCGTACTCCTTACGGAGTACTCCTACCTAAAAATATAGATGGAGGCAACGCAATAATCAGGGGGCTAAACAGGAAACATCGATGCCTGGTGCATAGGGCCACAAAACCCAAGCCCAGGCAAATTGTGCAAACATTAAGACAAAGCAGGATTCAAATTTGGTGGCAAATAGGAGGCACAGCATACGTTAGGCCTAGACTGGAATGGAGGTAAGCCAAAGTACCCCTAAACACCGGTTCTATGCTCGGGGTCGGGAATTGACAGTCCGTCTTGTGGATTCGGGTGGACCGAAGTTTGGGACACTTGACTCGTCAGTGATCTCAATTGTTCTAAATTGGAGGAACTGGGGACTTAGTGCTCTCTTAGTGTAATATGGTGGCACTTTACTGCGTGCCACTACATCACTCATATGCAATGATATTAAAGGGGCAAGGATCAGATCTGAACGTGGGAAGTGGGTATTCGATGTACTTTGCGCATGTGAATGCATTTACCGAGTACAGTTTAATATGACGCAGTCCGGATGTGCTTTGATATTTGCTCTGATCAGATGAAAAAAAAGGCATTAGCAATGAGAACCAGCTGAACCAGCTGAACGAGAAGAACCAGCTGAAATGAGGAAGAACAGGAGGAACAAGAATAGTTGTCGGTGGAACGGAGTCCGTTCCGCCGTGATACATTATGCATCGGGAAGGCATTGTGCCGATGAGCAACATGGTTAACTCCGCACAACAGTGTCCCTGAATGGTGCTTTTTGTTAAAATGGTCGGGTTCGCCGATTATCTGCCAGACTCAAACTCTCACACTCCTTTACCCGGCCCTCTCTCACCATGGAGAAGGACTACGACGAGCCCGAATTCGCTCCTATCACGGAGCGAAGTGAAACCATATTAGATGAGCGAGAGCAACAAGCTCTGACTCGTATCGCCTCAACCAAACTTGGCCAACAACTTTCCAGGTCTGCAAGCAAGCGGGATGTCCTACCCCCTCATCTTGACCCCACCAACCCGCACTTTGATCACCGCCGATGGGCCCAGATGGTGTTGGATCAGGCCAATGAATCAGGCATTGAGATCCCGACTCAAGGCGTGGTATTCTCCAATCTCTGCGTGAGTGGTTCTGGCTCCGCTCTACAATACCAGGAAACCCTCACTTCCAGTTTGAGGGTGCCTTTCCGTACCGCAATACGAGCTTTGACAGGAAATACGCTCCCACCCAGACAAATCCTTCACAGTTTCGATGGCCTACTTCATGGTGGTGAGCTCCTTCTGGTTCTGGGTCGACCAGGCAGTGGATGTACCACATTTCTCAAGACGATTTGTGGACATCTCGGGGGGCTGACCATGGAGCCTGAAAGCACAATCCATTACAAAGGAATTGCATTCGACCATATGATTAAGCATCACCGAGGAGAGGTCGCATACAACAAGGAGGTCGACGTGCATTTCCCTCACTTGACTGTGGGCCAGACCCTCACATTCGCTGCTCATGCTCGTGCACCACAACGACGTTTGGAGGGCCTGACCCGCAATGAATACGTTGAGACCCTGACCCAGGTCGTTCTGTCGGTCTTTGGGCTATCCCACACCTACAACACCAAGGTGGGCAGCGAATACGTGCGTGGTGTCAGTGGAGGCGAGAGAAAGCGTGTCAGTATTGCGGAGATGTTCTTGGCTCGCTGTCGCATCGGAGCTTGGGATAACAGCACTCGTGGTCTGGACGCCGCCTCGGCTCTAAAGTTTGTGAAGTCGTTGCGTCTTGCAGCTGACTTGGGAAAGTCCTGCCACGCCATTGCGGCCTATCAAGCCTCGCAGTCTATGTACGATCTTTTCGACAAAGTGGTCCTTTTGTATGAGGGATACCAAATCTACTACGGATCCAGAGAACGTGCAGTGTCTTATTTCGAAGACATGGGCTGGGAGCGGCCTGAGCGCCAGGTCGGTGGTGACTTTTTGACTGCTCTCACCAACCCAACAGAACGCAAGGCAGCGCCTGGCATGGAAGATAAGGTTCCTCGAACAGCAAAGGAGTTTGCTGAGTATTGGAAAAAGAGCGCAGAGTATCAGCTCTTGCGCAAAGACATCTCCGACTTTGAAAGTGAATATCCACCAAACGGAGCCGATGCGAAAAAGCTTGAGGAAAGTCATGAAGCGCAACAAGCGCGCCACACTCGAGCGCGCAGCCCTTTTCTCCTATCCGTGCCGATGCAGGTGCGTCTTTGCATAGTCAGGGCCTACCAGCGTATGCTTCAAGATCTCCCGACAGCCATGTCGCCGGTTGTTGTTCAGATCGTTCTATCTCCGATTATTGGTTCTATCTTCTACAACACTCCGAATGATCCCAGCTTTTTCTTCCAAAAGGGCGCAGTAATGTATTTTGCTGTGCTTATGAACGCCCTACTCACAATCAACGAAATCCTCCAACTCTATGCTCAGCGGCCTGTTGTTGAAAAGCAAGCTGGCTACGCATTTGTACACCCCTTCACCGAAGCCCTCGCTAGTCTCCTCGTTGATCTCCCGATCAAGATCATACGAATTTCAATCTTTACCATTGTCCTTTACTTTATGGCAAACCTACGCCGTGAACCGGGTATATTCTTCATTCATTACCTGTTCTTGCTTACTGCAGTCTTGACTATGTCTGGTCTTTTCCGCAGTGTTGGTGCGCTGACCAAAACCGCTGGACAGGCCATGGCTATTGCTGGTGTGCTTGTCCTATGCATTGTCGTTTACACTGGATTTACCCTACCGCAGCCGTACATGCACCCGTGGTTTTCATGGATTCGATGGATCAACCCGATCTACTATACATTCGAAGCACTCGTGGCCAATGAATTCCATGGTCGAACATTTGATTGTACATCGTTCATTCCAAGTTATGGAACCGGTACATCCTTCATCTGCTCAACTGTCGGCGCAATGGCTGGTCAGCGAACTGTATCTGGTGACGACTTCATCGAGAGGAATTACCATTACCAACATTCTCATCTCTGGCGAAATTATGGAATTCTCATCGCCTTTTTCATCGCTTTTAATGCTCTCTATCTGACTGCCACAGAGTTGATCACTAATGACAAGTCTAAGGCAGAGGCCTTAGTCTTCAGGCCTGGACATGCCCCTAAGTATCTCCAGAAAGCTCATAACGTCGAGCTTGGCATTGAGGAGGTCAACAAACTCGAGCTGCAGAGGACCAATGCAACTATCCGTCTTCCCGAGCAAACAGATATTCTCTCATGGAGCGGCCTCAACTATGACATCCCTGTGAAAGAGGGAACCCGCCGACTCTTGGACAATGTCAATGGCTGGGTCAAACCCGGCAGTCTGACCGCTTTGATGGGCGTTTCTGGAGCTGGAAAGACAACGCTTCTGGATGTGCTTGCGCAGAGAGTTTCTATTGGTGTTGTGTCTGGAGACATTTTGGTGGACGGCAAGGGTCTTGCAGCGAACTTCCCTCGTCGCACAGGCTATGTGCAACAGCAAGATCTCCATCTTGATTCCACGACTGTGCGAGAAGCCTTGCAATTCAGTGCGATGCTGCGCCAGCCTCAGAAGGTCACCAAGAAAGACAAGTTTGACTATGTGGAAGAAGTCATTCGGGTTCTGGGCATGGAGGATTTCGCCGAGGCCGTGGTAGGAAACCTCGGCGAGGGCCTCAACGTCGAGCAGAGAAAGTTACTCAGCATTGGTGTTGAACTGGCTGCCAAGCCTACATTGCTCATCTTCCTTGATGAACCAACAAGTGGCCTTGACTCCCAAAGCTCTTGGACAATTTGCCAGTTCCTTAGGAGACTCGCAGATCATGGACAGGCTGTTCTGGCGACAATTCACCAGCCTAGCGCCCAGCTCTTCCAAACGTTCGACCGCCTGCTCTTCCTGGCGAAGGGTGGAAAGACTGTCTACTTTGGCGAGGTTGGAGATCAATCCTCCACCCTTCTGAAATACTTCGAGGACAGTGGCGCTCGGCCCTGTAAGCCGCTTGAGAACCCTGCCGAATACATACTCGAGATGGTTGCTGGTGATACTTGCCCAGTAGATTGGGTAGAGGCATGGAACAAGAGCTCGGAGTATCAAGGGGTGTGTGCTGAGGTTGAAAGACTTCGCCACGCGCGCAAGCCATCAGTTCATCAACCTTCTGTGGACGAGTCTGATGAATTGGATGACGATAATTCTGAGTTTGCCATGCCACTCCGAACCCAGCTGTACTATGTTCTTGGACGAGTCTTCCAGCAATACTACCGTCAGCCAGAATATGTCTACTCCAAGTTCATCCTGGGTATTGTGTCTGGTCTATTCATTGGCTTCTCCTTCTGGAAAGCCGACAGCAGCCAACAAGGCTTCCAAAACGTTCTTTTCAGTATTTTCCTTTTATGTACAATCTTCGGCACTCTGGTCAATCAGATCATGCCCAAGTTCGTCGTCCAGCGTTCTCTTTACGAAGTCCGTGAACGCCCATCCCGCATTTACTCCTGGAAGGTCTTCATCCTATCCCAAATGATTGTCGAAATCCCCTTCCAAATCTGCCTCGGCATCTGCTCCTGGGCCTGCTTCTACTGGTCCGTCTTTGGCTCCGACCAAGATTCCGAGCGCCGCGTTCTGATTATGCTTTTCATTGTGCAATTCTACATTTATGCTGCAAGCATGGCACAGCTTGCCGTCTGCGCGATCCCAGAACCAACACTTGCAGCTATGCTTGCCACGTTGATGTTCGGTCTTTCATTTATCTTCAACGGTGTCATGCAGCCTCCCGACGACCTCCCCCGTTTCTGGATCTTTATGTACCGTGTGTCGCCCTTTACCTACTACATCAGTGGTATTGGAAGCACAGCGCTGCATGGGCGCCCTGTTCAATGCAATGCGGCTGAGATGAGTGTCTTTGATCCACCCTCCGGTCAGACATGTTTCCAATATATGGAGAAGTACCTCGCAAGTGCACCGGGTGTGCTTGCCAATGGTAATGCTACCTCTGGCTGCGAGTACTGCTCTCTCAGTTCGGCGGATCAGTATCTCGCTACTCGGAAGATCAATTGGGACAATCGCTGGAGAGATTATGGAATCTTCTGGTGCTATTTCATTTTCAATATCCTTGCTGCCATCCTGCTGTATTACCTGTTCCGGGTGCGGACTTCTATGGCTAAAACAAAAAAGGTTTGATTTTCTTCGTTCGACAGACGGCGAGGGGAGGGTGTGAGTTTTGTTTGGTGTTTGCTCTGGTCATCTTAGACTCTATGTGAGGCTTTTTCTTCCCATGCATGTGTGGGATATATTGTTACCTGGCTCTTTCGTATGGCCGCTGATAAAAGACATTATATATGTCTCACTTTGCTTCCTTTTTTTCAATTTTCGCAGAATACATTCTTTGTTTTCCTCTTTTTTTTATTTTCTTCTTGGGAAATGGATTCATCTAACTACCCATGATGAACGGAAATCTATGTTTATTGGTGTGGGATCTAAAGGATCACGCATCGCATCTGGCTTTGTATTCATAGAAGCAGCACGTCTTGTGTTGCTACTCAAAAGACCATCAATCGCATCTAGCAATTGTAGCTTGTGTCTCAGATGATCTATATATACGAACCGATCCCCAGGCAGTTTGTTGCTATCCTAACACTTTCCAGCTTGGCTGAATTAAACCACCTCACTCATCTCATATCCCAAGTTTTGGCCAGCCCTTCAGAATCCAACATGGAGACTTGGTGCCTGCCTAGAACCCAAATCCCCGATCGCCTCTACCGAGTGCAGCGTGACAATTCAACCACACAAGATATTGAGATGGGTCTACAAGCCGCAGACGACTCAGTCTTCATGACCGACAACGATGAATTTGCAGAATTTGTTCAGTGGCACATCAACAATGATCAAGAAATCGAAAGCATGCTCATCTCAACGTTCGCCAGCCTCGCCCAGGCCAAGGACTGGATGAGTCGGAAATGGCGCACGTTCGAGGACGGCGCTCAAGTCCTGGAAATCGATACCAGGCACCTCGGCCATGGTTACGTCTTCCGCGCTATCAGCATCGTCAACGAGAACGCCTTGGATACCTCTGAAACGACCACCGACGATCTTCACAATGAGTACCTGATCCTACATCGTGTTCCTGCTCGCGCTATCGTCGCTCGGCGGGCCGGAATGTCCACCACACGCGCGGAAGCGACCTTGGTGCAGTCCCCTCGGGCTAGCATCAGCAGCAGCTCAGATGTCCCGAGCGTAAGTTTGGAACAATTGTCGCTCGGCTTGCAGTCCGGGCAGCGACAGTGGAATATTCTCCTACAGGGCAGAGCGATCATTACCCCGGCGCCGGCCCCTGCTGAGAGCGTGTTTGGCTCTGCCCGGACACCTTCGAGTGGATTGTCCTCGCGAAAGGACTCAATTTCTTCAATCGCCGTCGTTTCTGGTTCGACTTCTTCTCAGGCCAGAACCCCTGGGGATAGGACTCCGCGTAGTGCATCTGGAGAAGACGCGTCAGCAACACCCATGACTTCGCGTCGTTCGTCCCACGCCCACGGGCCCTAGGAAGAGTGATGAACTCTGCAGATCCTGGGAGATCACCGGTTGAGCTGCAATGTTTAACTTTTGCTATTGAAGAACCGATCTCACGAATCATTTTTCCATTTATTTGCTGCTTAACATGTCTCCTTCCGTTGCGGCTTTCCTTCGTAGCGGCACACCTCATCCATAGATCAATGCATAGCCCAATCTCTTACTATATTGTTTATCTGGTGAAAGTGGAAATGCGAGAAAAGCTGAAACTAGTATATGTTTTCTACCCACGTGGATGGAATCCTTTTGTGAGCAGATACCTTCAACGGTGAATCGCCAGCTTCGAATGTCAGGTACCCGTTGATGAAATTCGTTGTTTATACCCATAGAGAGAGTCAAAACCAGCTAGACCGAGAGCAATCCCCGGATTTATTGAGAGCAGAATTGCGTGGGATCGAGTACATCAGGCGCTTGAGCTAAGTATAATGTTAGTAATGCCAACCAAGATGGACACATAGGTATGCAGTTCACCCGGCTGTAGTAAATGATCGGTTCCTTCCACCCCCGGTGCATGGTAGACAGTCTGCTGGGCTTAAGCTTAGACCAGAGCACTGAGGTGACCTCTTAGATGTAGAGCGCTATGGCAGGCGGATGACCTGTCCAGCGCCATGCTGTCATGGCCAAGGTATGCGATGATACATAGCCCCACCTCCACGGGCAGGGAATGGAAAGGCAGCTTGTATAGCCTTGGAGGTAGAAATGGTTGCATGGCACTGTATAATCTTTGAACAGGCTTATTTATAGCCGAAGGGGCCTCGTGATAGCAAAAGGCCGAAATGTGGAGAAGGTGCAGGACGAGGGAGCCAACTTGTTGGAGGTAATAGGCATAGGAGGTGGTCTACCCAGATCAAATCGATCGGTCAATAACGCCATCATCTCCTAATGCCAATAGAGGAAAGTCAAACGTCATGATCGAAACTTACTCTCCACAAATGTGAGGCTTTTCGGCTTTTCATCAGCTTTGACATATGTGATGTGTTGTTTGAGGAGGGATATAGAGCCCCGCCCTAACCGGGGATATATATACGGAGGACTCCGTGTACCGACAGCATTCGACTATTTATTAGTTTATTATTTAATTTGATAGTATTTTATGATTATCAGACTTATATGTTGAGGATAATAAGCAACATAAAACACATCACCTCCAAGCATGTGCTCCATAAACAGGGACCAAGCATGGGGAGAACACATGCCAACTTTGCCAATGGGCGTTTTCGGCTGCAGGAAAGATGGATCACGAGGGATATCTGTGGATCAATCCAAGGAAATTAGACGATGAGGGACCCTAGATCGCCAAATGAGGGAAATGCGTGGCTTGCCATTGGAGGAGCAGGTCCCTCGTATGCGATCTACAAGGGATCTGGGGTACATCCGCCATCTGCCCAGGAAGGCCCGAGCTGTCAACCTCCCCACGTGGGACATTGGAGCGGAGGTTATTGTGTGGAGTAAGAAGTATGGAGAAATGAGTAGGGAATGGCGATAGTTTGAATACTCCGTTTGCGTCTGGGGAATGTCCTCCGACATTAAGGCTCATTCCTCGGGAGTAGGAATGGTACGTTTCAGAGTCCGGTGAGGCTTCTTTGTGCCCAGCCACCACCCCTAATTAACACATGAGACGGAAAAGAAATAAGCGACTTGGGCTTGACCGTCAGAGCATTTGATTCGACCGACGACAAGCCTAAACAGTTGGAGGATCCGTGGGCCATCGAATCTTATTGGGCGTGCTCTAGCGGGGGATCCAAGCTGACACTTTCGTTTGTGCCCTTTCTTAAAACCCCCCAGCTGCCAGCGCTCTGCCAGTTCTGCCTGCTCAGGGTATTTCTCCATGGCGACCAGCACAACGACCGCAGGTGCGGCCACCAGCACCGTCCGAGTCGCCCCGCAGGGTGGCATTCTGGAAGGTGGCAACCCATCCGAATATGACCCCAAGAACCCGCTGGTGTTATTTATTATCCAGGTAGCTATGTCGCCGGTGGGAAATGGACATGAATTGACAGGAGACAGGCTGTTATTATTATCGCACTATGTCGTTTGATCCACTGGCCCCTGTCGAAGATTCGCCAGCCCCGAGTGATAGCAGAGGTGATTGGAGGGATCGTCCTGGGCCCATCGGTGATGGGTCGCATCCCCGGATTTACCGATGCCATCTTCCCCACGGCCAGCATTCCCAGCTTGAATGTAGTCGCCAATCTAGGCCTGGTGCTCTTCCTGTTCTTGGTCGGTCTCGAGACCGATGTCCGCTTCCTGGTCAGCAACTGGCGGATCGCTTTGAGCGTGTCCGCGGCGGGCATGATCCTGCCATTCGGGCTGGGGGCTGCCATCTCATATGGCCTGTATAATGAATTTCACGAGGACCCGGGCACCAAGCCAATTGAATTCGGAACCTATCTACTATTCATCGGTATCGCCATGGCCATCACTGCATTCCCCGTGCTGTGTCGTATCCTCACTGAGCTAAAGCTGCTCTCAACTCGCGTCGGTGTGATCGTGCTGTCAGCCGGTGTAGGTAATGACGTGGTGGGCTGGATCCTACTCGCCCTGTGCGTTGCTCTGGTCAACGCGGGCACTGGGATCACGGCCCTATACGTGCTTCTGGTCTGCGCTGGTTACATGCTGTTCCTAATCTTCGCTTTCCGACCGCTGTTCTTGCGCTTCTTGGAGAAATCAGGCAGTTTGCAAAAAGGACCCAGTCAGTCAGTGGTTGCCCTGACCCTGGTCATTGCCCTTGCGTCGGCATTTTTCACACAGGTCATTGGCGTCCACGCTATTTTTGGAGGATTCGTAATCGGCTTGATTTGTCCCCACGAAGGCGGTTTTGCTATCAAACTGACCGAGAAGATCGAGGATCTGATCGCTGCCATTTTCCTGCCACTTTACTTCACCCTGTCCGGTCTGAGCACCAATTTGGGACTTCTGGATTCTGGAATTGTCTGGGCCTATGTGGTTGGAGTTATCGCGATCGCGTTTATTGCCAAGGTGACTGGAGGCGCTCTGGCATCGCGACTCTGTGGCCTACTATGGCGGGAGAGCTTTTCGATCGGCGTGTTGATGAGTTGCAAGGGTTTGGTTGAGCTGATTGTGTTGGTGAGTATCTATTTTTCTGGTTCTTGTTCTCCTTTGCATCTAATCTAATTTGAATCTCCCAGAACATCGGTCTGCAGGCCAAGATTCTGAGCATTCGCACCTTTACAATTTTCGTTGTGATGGCTTTGGTCACCACGTTCCTCACCACTCCGTTGACAACGCTGTTGTACCCACCGTGGTACCAAGTCAAGGTCGAGCGTTGGAGACGGGGAGAAATTGACTGGGATGACAATCCTATCCAACGCGATGATCGCAATGATAGCGTTGCCGTTGCCAAAGATCAATTGAAGACTGTTCCTGTACGCAAGCTCCTCGTCTATCTTCGTCTCGATGGCCTTTCTGGAGTCTGTACCCTCGCCGCTCTTCTCAGCGCAAAGCGCCCCGCGTCCCTGTCCTCCCGCATCCATCCTGCAAAGATGCCACAGCAGACCGAACAAAATGTTGAAGATCCCATCACCTCGGAAGAGGATAAAGATACTACACTCAAGGTACACGGTGTTCGGCTGATGGAATTGACCGATCGTGATTCCAGTGTCATGAAGGTTGCAGCTGCAGGCGAGCATGCGCTCTGGGATCCAGTGGTTAACACATTCCGTGCATTCGGAGACTGGCATGATCTGTCACTCATGGCTGGTGTATCAGTCGTCCCCGAACACTCGTACGCAGACACAGTGATCAGCATGGCCCAACAGGACACCTCAGATCTGCTCCTGCTCCCCTGGAGTGAAACTGGAACACTGGCAGACCACCACAACGCATTGGAGATTGATGATGCAAATCGCTTCTCTAACGGCGCTTACACAAGCTTCATTTCTGATATCCTGCAGCGGGTCGCAGGTCATGTCGGAATCTTAGTAGAATACAGCCCACCTACATCCCAATCGAAGCGACCTGCAATCTCGCGCACCGCCAGTGGTCTCAGTCTTCGAGGCTCTACATTTGCCCGCCAGCCTACCGGGAGCCGCTCGCATCACATCGTCCTCCCATTCTTTGGCGGCGAGGACGACCGCTTGGCTCTTCGTCTTGTGCTACAGCTTGCTAAAAACGATCAGGTCACTGCGACCGTTATTCAAATCAGCGGGAAGACCAGTGATCTCTCCAAGACGGCCGTGTCGACTGTAACCAGCGGTTCGAGCTCAGGTGGAATTCCCACCTCGCAGTCAGACACGATCTTCTTCGAGACGCTTCGCGACTCAGTACCCGAGGAGCTGCAAGACCGTGTTGTCTTCCAGGAGCCAGCTGCCACTGAGGGAATCACTGATACTGTCCAACTGGCGGTGGTTTCTGTGCGAGAAGAGCTCAACCACACTTCCAACAAAGCAAATAATATTGTTATCGTTGGACGTCGCAGTGTCTCCATCGAGATCGAGTTGGGCCTGCCCGAGGATAGTATTGGTCAAGATACGCGTCGGGCTCTTGGAGCTGTCGGCACGGCTATGGTGCAGCCCCAGAATAAGGTATTCGGGAGTGTGTTGGTGCTGCAGGCTGGCACTGACTCTGGGTTGGCTGATTACTACCGTTGAACATAATCTGAGATACTCCTTTGCACAATTCTGAAGATTTCCCGTTGCATATTTGCGAGAAGAATTAATTTGCTCATATTAATGATCCTTTTTAGAAATGCTATGTCACAACAAGCTGTAGAAATATATAGGCTATGTATATGTTGCGCTCCAAGTGGACTTTTGTTAAGACGCATCAACAACAAAAAAAAAAGAAACAGAAATCTCCCTGCACTGAGGTCGGCACTGAGGTAGAATGTCATGGATTTGCCAAAGTACCCGAGGATGTCGATGCAGGGTGGCTTGATATCCCACCATCCCACAACCATGACGGACCATATTGCCGATAGCTAGGCCGTCGCGACTCCAGATCCCCAGGCGTACACCTATCCGAAGGGAACGAAACGATCTCATTGATTTCCCGCGCACTAGAGCGCAGATCCTGACTGTCATAGCCACTACGGGCAATCGCGACCAATTTGCCGAGAATCGCATATTCAAGCTTCAGCTTGATACTGTATGCAACAGGTTTGAACAGCACCTGCACGGCATAATAGCCGACATATTCAATGATAACAACAGAGACATCCAACACAAGAATCAGGATATTGATAAGCAACAACTGGTTGAGTATTCCATGCGGACGACCCTCAGGTCTAAGCCGAAGCAGCTTAACAGTCTCCCAGACATAGATACCAGAGATGATCAATTCCTGGACACAGAAGCCGACAACCTGAATACGTTCCATAATACTGTATCCGCGCGCCCAGAAACTCTCTGGCCGCGCAACGGTGCCGTATAACATGACCGTCGTGGGGATGTGTAATAGCACCGCATCGACGCAGATCATCCACAGCACGCCGCGAAGGACTTTTCGGCTCTGCAGCACGAGGTGCAGACGTGACCATAGCACGAAGGACTGGCCGGTTACTATGCCGCACCAGCTTAGGATGATGAGCGTCACGCATAGCCAGGGTGTCACGCCGGTTGGGAAGAAGAGGAGGATGAATCCCAGGCAGTATGGCACGATGCAGGCGGAGGAGATGAGCAGGCTCCAGAAGTAATTGCCATTCCAGCGTCTGAAGGAGAAGAGGCACAGGATGATCAGTTCGATGGAGTTGTACCAGGCCAGAGCAGCGAAGGCGGCAAAAATCCCGGTGCGGACTGCATCGGACCCGCCATAGTCGTGGATTAGCGACGTTGCAACGCTGGTGGCGGTATCGGTGGCCATTGGCGATGGGGGGACATCGCTGGTTGTCCTCTGTTAGAAGTAGGTGGGAAACGAAGGGGGGATACTCCGTAGTAAGAAGGGGGTTAAAGAGAGAGAGAGCTATTATAAATAAACCAAACTATAACTTTATTGACTTCTTCATGGTGGTTAGTGGCGCGCCGAAGGAGAAGCCTAGACGTCCAGGATACTACCTTAGCGGCGAATGGGCTCGGGCGAAGAAGATGCGCCGCCGTTTTAATGCATGACAGCTGCTCTGGGTTTGTGGGGAGCAGAGTGAAAGCAGACTGGACGAGGCTCCGATGTGAGATGAGCGCGCCATGGATCGACCGAACCTTGTGGGGGATCTGGCGCTATTGAGTCGCAATTTCAGGTTCGGAGTTTCCTGGTGAAAGGGATAGATTCGGTGTTATTCTCCCCTGACTTGGTTTATACCTGTCTCACGGTAGAGACGTTGGCGCCTTATTCAATTTTGAAGCTGTAGCCCAACTCCATTTTGGCTGCGTTATTGTCGATCCCCCTTGCTTTCGGGTCCGGGTAGCTCAGGATGCTGATGTGTAGATTGGGAACCATTTGCCCATAGAAGATAAGTATGACAAGCTCCGAACAAAGTCCGGGCCGACCTCAAAGTGGTTGAAGGTCGACGACGACTTGAGGCCAGAGGTAGAGAGGAGTTCATTCATGTCCTATGCGTGATTGGTCAGTTGCTGGTGGAGAGATTCGATATTGCCCTAAAAGGTTCATCAGGGGCAAGAAAGGCAGCCTTCAGCAGTAGATCAAGAAAGAAACCAACAAACAGTCTGGTATGTACAGAGATGTACAGCAAGGAAAACCGACGTTGGAGGAAGTACGGAGTAATAAGTATAAGTATCCGTACATAGTAAGTTGTGGTCAATCCACAGGATCGCGATCGCGGCCAGATCGGGTCCTGACGTCATCCGATCTGAAGTCGATCTTGAACTCGATCTCTGGATCGATGACATTATGTGCATTCTTTTTCTAGCCCCTGTCGTGCTTCTTTCTAGCTTCTGAGTGATGCAAAAGCTGTTCCTTCGCTATTCCCGATCATTTCCGCGTGCATTTCCCTTGGGTCCATTGAGAGTGCAGCTCTGTCGCAATCTAGGAACCATGCCGCCAAAGAGAAAAGCTCCCGAACCGGAGGTTGAAGACACCAAAGTCGCGCATGCGAGCAAAAAGGGCCGTCCCGACCTGCGCCAGCCGCACCCGAATGCGACGCAAACCGAGGACTTTGGAATCGTCCTACGCGAATTCTACCCGCCAGAGATGAGTAACGAGCGATGTCAAGCATATACCAACGGAGAGCTGGAACGTCCCATTGAAACGTTGCAAAAGGCCTGCCAAGAGACCGCGGACAAGCGCCGGGAAATCGGCGTGGGTAGTGCGGTAGTTCATTGGTTCAAGAGCGATCTTCGGCTTCATGATAATAGAGCCCTGTACGCGGCCTACGAATGTGCGAAGGAGAACCAACTTCCGTTGATTTGTCTGTATATCGTCTCCCCCGAGGACTGGACGGCACATTCGACCAGTCCAGCTCGTGTGGACTTCACCTTGCGCACTTTGCGACGACTGCAACACGATCTGGGAGAGCTGGATATTCCCTTGCACATGGAAACGCAGGAGAAACGAAAAGCGATTCCTAAGCGCATTGTAGAACTCTGCCAGCAGTGGGGTGCGAAAACCCTATACGCCAATATTGAGTACGAGGTGGATGAGCTGCGACGAGAGGCTAAGCTGGTGCGATTGTGCGCGGACAGCGATATCAGTTTTTCTCCCACTCATGATAATTGTGTGGTCACTCCTGGAGCTCTCGCTACTCAGCAAGGCAAACAATATGCCGTTTACACTCCGTGGTATCGGACTTGGCTGGCGTTCTTGAAAGAGAACCCGGATTACCTTGAGGTGTCCGAGGAACCTGGATCCAACCCGGGCGATGCGCGCAAACAATTGAAGGACCTATTTGATTGCGAGATACCTGCCGCACCGAAAACCCACACATTGTCAGACGATGAGAAAAAGCGCTTTGAGGAGCTCTACCCAGCTGGCGAACACGAAGCTCTCCAGCGACTGGAGAGGTTCTTGGAGGAAAAGGGTAAAAAGTATGAGGAAATGCGCAGTATGTTGCCTGGACAGCACACTTCCATGCTGAGTCCATACTTTGCATGTGGAGCACTCAGCGCCAGAACTGCCGTTGTGACAGCGAAGAGAATAAACAAAGGCCATATCGATCGATATGATCCTGGGTACATGACCTGGATCAGCGAGGTGGCCTGGCGTGACTTCTACAAGCACGTACTGACCAATTGGCCATTTATCTGGTGAGTCTTTATCTTCCGATACAGACGAGTTTTCTCTCTAACTTAAATATCTTTAGTATGAACAAGTGCTTTAAACCCGAACATACCAATATCGAATGGGAATACGATGCGGACCTCTTCCAAGCCTGGTGCGACGGAAAGACAGGATTCCCGATCGTCGACGCAGCAATGCGTCAGATGCGACATTGCGCGTGGATGCATAACCGCACGCGCATGGTCGTCTCATCGTTCCTGACCAAGGACTTGATGCTGGACTGGCGTCGTGGGGAGCGATACTTTATGGAGAACTTGATTGATGGCGATTTCGCATCCAACCACGGTGGCTGGGGATTCGGATCCAGCACTGGAGTTGATCCACAGCCCTATTTCCGGATCTTCAATCCCCTGCGCCAGAGTGAGCGATTCGACCCGGAGGGAGAGTATATTCGCCGCTGGGTACCCGAGCTGCGCGATGTGTCAGGCAAAGCGATTCACGAACCCTATGCGAGGGGAGCGGCGGCCATCGCGCAAAAGAACGGGTATCCCAAGCCTATAGTTGACCATTCAAAGAGCCGGGACAGGGCGCTAGAACGGTTTAAGAGTGTACTTAAAGGCTAGGTGGGCGTAATTTATAATTAGAGAGTCAATGGACGTTTTTTGATCAGCTGAGATTCCCCTTTTGAAGTTGGAGAAGCCGAATCGTCGCCAAGTCCTCTGCGGGTGAGATATTAGTGCCTTTTCCCCGCAACTTTTTTTTCTCGCAGACTTCTTCGGGTTTCTTCTACATGTCCCCTAGAGCTCGCCAATGACGCCCAGAAATGGAATCCCACGGGGATCAACCGTCTCCAGCCCCCGACCCAGCCGAGCTTGAGCTACCGAACGGCAAGCGACGATGGCGCCGCAACCAAGTCGCCTGCGACTCATGCCACACTCGCCGAGTCCGATGCGACCGCGCTTTTCCCTGCTCGAGATGTTTGCGCGGTGACATCAATTGCGAATTTACGCGCGAGAAACGGAAACGAGGACGGATTGCGAGACCGAAGGCTACGAATACGAATGCCAATGCTACGAACGAGACACCGCGGGACGGTGCCGAGGGGCAACAGGCCAGCGGGGAGCTCAAACGAGGGCCACAGTTGCAGCAGGTGCTATCACCAGTTGACAACAGCTCTCCTTCCTCAGGATTTCAGCAGCAATCGCCAGCAACAAATGAGATCAGCGCTCTATCGGCGCCCAGTGTCGATGACCGTCGCTCTGTGGGAGGTGGATCACATCCCCAACGGGCAGGGCCTGAGACGAACATTACGGAAGAATGGCTTTCAGCAGCACATCTCTTGCCAGATTCGTACGAACTGTTGGGAGGCAACGGTGGCAGCGACGGGCCTCTGCCACGGTTGATGGACATTTGGAATCCAGTTGATCTGGGCTCCCGACCGGCACAGCCTCCGCCGATGATGTCCACGCCGGGGAACAACGTCCCAAGGCAGAGACAGCCCTCGATTTCTCGGGTGCCATTGAAGTATCCTGTCTTGAACCCTGTGATGCCCTATCTCGAGTCGAACCTCCCGCGTCGCCTGGTGTGCGATCTGCTGGAGCTTTACTTTACCAGTGCTTTCTCGACCCATATGCACCCTGTATGCCATCTTATCCATTGCTATGTCCTACGCAAGACTTCTTTCCTAAGCACCGACCGGCCCCGACCGACTAGCCCGGCTTTGCTGGCAAGTATGCTCTGGGTGGCTGCTGTTGATGACCGGGCGTTCTCGTTGTCCATATCACCATTACAACGCCGGAAGATATGCCAATTCCTCTGTGCATTGATTATCCGCTTACTACGACCTTTGATCCATGTCTCATTCCAGGACAAGAATTCATCGCCCGCAGAGCAAGCTACAACAGCTCAGGACTTTGCTACCGGTACAGCCCACCACCCTTTCGAGGGAGCAGGCGATGATAAAGGACTGGTTGGTCCTGCGGGCTCTTTGGACGATGTAATAACTTACATTCATGTTGCATCTATTATCTCGTCAAGTGAGCAGAAGGCTGCTAGTATGAGATGGTTCGTTATACCCCTATTCTTATTCCCGGTCTACCCCACTAACTCCCCACTAGGTGGCATGCGGCTTTCACACTAGCCCGAGAACTTAAATTAAATCAGGAGATGGAAATTACACCCAATCTCGACAGCCTGACCGACGGTTCAAGCCCGTCGGTCGGTTATGGTCTGGGTGGGTGGCCCGGTTCCCCTGGCGGGCTGGGCTTCGACTACTCGAATCCCTTGCGGTCGAGCTTGAATTGCGTATGTGACCAGAACCATGACTTGCACAGCGGGCCCATTACCGAAGAACACCGTGAGGAGCGGCGCCGAACTTGGTGGCTGTTGTACATAATGGACCGCCATCTGGCATTATGTTACAACCGTCCCCTAGCTCTCCTGGATGCAGAGAGTGAGGACCTGTTGCTTCCGCTGGATGAAAGCTCATGGCAGTCAGGTCTCATTCACAGCAACAGCCCTCGCCCAGACGGTCCTCAATGTCCACGGTCGGGGGACCAGAACAAGCGTCGCACCTTCCCCAACTTCATTTGCCACGATCATTCCATCCTTGGCTTCTTTCTACCACTCATGACGATCACGGGAGAGTTGATCGACCTGAACCAGGCACGAAACCACCCTACGCTTGGTATCCGGCTTCGGGGGAAAGAAGCATGGGACGTTCATGTGTCGGAAGTGCTGCGGCAGCTGGAAATATATAAAGCCAGTCTCACCACCTTTGCGGCTGCGACGGCGGCAGATCCAGAAGCCTCATTATCTAGCGCCTACTCCAACAAATCAGCCCACTCTCTCGATCCCCATTTGTCCCAGGCCTATTCCTGGCACACTCAAACCGTGATTGCCTACTCATCGTACCTCACCCACGTCCTTCACATCCTGCTCGTTGGAAAATGGGATCCCGTCTCGCTGATCGAAGACAAAGACTTCTGGACCTCTTCTCCAGCCTTTGCATCGACCATCTCCCACGCACTAGAAGCCGCCGATTCGGTGCAACAAATCCTCCGTTTCGACCCCGATATTAGTTTCATGCCCTACTTCTTCGGTATTCAGCTCCTTCAGGGCAGTTTTCTCCTTTTGCTTATTGTAGAACGTCTGCAAAAAGAAGCCGGCGAAGGCATCCTCAATGCCTGCGAAACTATGATTCGAGCTACCGAATCTTGCGTTGTTACCTTGAATACAGAGTACCAGCGCAGTTTCCGGCAAGTGATGCGATCTGCCGTTGCCCAGGCTCGGGGTCGCCCGGTAAACCCGAGCGAGATTCGGCACCGTCGGAAAGCGGTTCTTGCGCTTTATCGGTGGACACGGAAGGGGACCGGCTTGGCCCTCTAACCTCTCGCAAGCAGGTTCCACTGGGATCTTCTTCTGTTCCTGTCGATCCCTGCGCGCGAGAGCGCTAGACTCCGTAGGTTACTGCGGGTCTACAGAGCTAAGGAACATATTCACACTAGATTTTTGACGTCGTGGGGCTCACTGCGTTCTACTTTGATCCGATATCTCCGTATATAGGTCTGGAGGGGCGTTTTAGGGCATAGGCGTTTCGGTCGATCAAAGGTTCTTCGTTATCCCTGGACATAACATTCACGAGCCGGATAATTTTTGAAAGCACAAACTTACTGTTCGGGTCATCTCGGTTCATTCTTCTGTTGTTTGTTGTCTGAGGGCTAACGCGACGCGTATGCTTCAGACCTCCAACATAAGGCCCATATAACTGTAAATAAAGCCTGCCGCATGATGCCATACTCTACGATCCATATCACTTTCCGTTCCTCTTTCAGCCAAGGCAGCTCTCTTCCGCCCTCAAGCCTCTTGAATTTACCCGATCCTCCACGGCGGGGTCCAAGTCGACTCAAATCACCCGAGCAAATTGGCCGATTGGACGACGATCCGTCTGGCCGCTAGGGTATCAACTGTAAACCCCGGGGAGGCACTCGGTTAATTGCAAGACACTAGATTCAGCGATCATGCGGTCTTGGCTTGGTTTCTGTTTCTTGCCGACCTGTCAACCCGTTGGAGCTCTTCATGTCCGAGCTTCCTACCAGCTTCTCCGCAACTCTGCAGCTGCGTGGGTTGATTGTAGTTGTGTTTTTTTACTCCATTTTTCTGTTTAAATAACCCCAGCATGGCCCCGTTTTTGCGGGGAATCACCCTTGCCTTTTTGTTTCTTGCGCTGGCAGCAAGATCACGTTCCCGATATATACATCTTGCAAGTTGAAAGGCTTCACTTTGTGTTTGGCTTACTGTACTCCTGTCAAGAGCTTATGAACAGCCCTGCTACGAACCCACCCCATTGTCGCCATGACTGAGTCCTCATTCCCTTTCCACATTGCCTCATGGCCTATGGAGAACCTCGATTTTCATATGGGACCAAGCGACGAACTCGGTCCATACCCATTCATCGCCAGCGACTTTCCCTTGACCACCGACGAGGGACTGGATCCTTTCTGGACAGCAGAGCAGCTGAATTGGGTGAATACATACCCGACCAAGGCAGCCGCAACACAGCCATACCCCCAGTCATGGTATGATTTCGGTCTAGTGAGACAAGATTGCGGGGCAATGGGTATAGACTCCAGGTAAATTCTACCCGCAGATCCCATGGACGAAATATCCCGAGAGAGGGGAAGAAAGAGCCCGAAAATAGTCGAGGCTTGTCAGAATCAAGAGAGTCGACTAACATCTGTTCAGCCAATCAACCCCCTTGCAAAACGCCGAAACCCCCCGATTCGTGGCCACACAGATTTCAAACTCGCGAGTCAAAGAGCCCTGTTTATGACCCCTTCTCCGAACGCCCTTCCCTTCCCGGGATCACCTATTTCAGATCCCTATGCTTCCCCAGAACCAAGTCATGCTTCCTCCATAGGCTGGCCCGGGGAAGAGCGTGATGATGCACAGTATACGCCTTTCCATTCTGAACCGTCAAAAACAAATATTCAACCACAAGCCCGGAATAACGGCATAAATTCCCCACACCGCGAATGTTCAACAACCAACGAGGAGTGTTTCACACCACTCGAGATGCCGGATGGCAGTACTCGCCTGACAACAAATTGGCTACCCGTCGACTGTGACGCGGGGTTTACAATTGGTTCTCCTATCGCCCACGAACAAGATGTCGCGGCGTTTCGTTCTGCCATGATGATTGATCAGAATTCTACATTGAAAGATATGCAGCACGCGTTCTTCCCATCCGATCCGGCGGCTTGGTCTTATGATCGATGAAAGGAGAGCAGTGACTTTCCGCCGTGCGATCAAAAAAGAAAAAAATCACCAATCATCGTCGTGGCTCCATTGCATCATTGACCATACCGCTGCAGACCTGATAAACGAGGAACATCCGAGAATTCGCACTGTGCTGTCTATTTACGGAGTCGTGATGCTAGCAATGTGGGTGTGAATTCCACGCCATCTAGCACATGTTCTTCGAGCCACTCCAGGGAGTCAATTGGCACCTTTGGCGCGAATCCCTTATGCGGATATTTGAACCATCGAAGTGCAGAATAAATCAAAAACTCGGTACCTCTGATATTTCACTAGGAATGGGCAATGGCGCTTTCCGACACGAACAGAAAGCGTACGCCGGTGCGTTAACCAAATCATGCAAGGAGCATAGTTGAAGTTGCGATGAATGTCATGAGAATGAAGCTAGTCCGGGAAATTATACATAATGGATACTAATATATTGAATGAATGTCTCATGATCGAAAGGAACAAAACTCGATTGCAGTTAAAAAGGGTGGAATGATAAGCCGATGCTTCGGCTAAGACATTTGACTGGTGAGAGTTATAGGTTAGTCCTCGCGGCGTCTATGAGCCTTCCATGAGGCCCCCGGGCAACCTCGAGGACCGTCCACCTAAAAGGTAAGGCCACCACGCGGCAGTGCAAGCAAGACAAAACAAAACGTAAAGAAAGCCATCCCATGAAGGCCACAGAGTGGTCGCAGTTTGAGTCTCTATAGGATCCACAACTAGTTGGCCGTTGAAAATGTCCATAAGGCATGGGGGTAGGAGGGGTTTGCGAGATCACAGTCTACCGAATCCGGCACGTCCCATCTCCATCGCTGCCTCCATGTTACAATGGTGCATATGATTAGATAGATTTACCCTACACCCTCTGCACGATGATCCAAAACGTATCCAAGAAACGATGAGTTGCGATTTGAGCATATAATTCCTGTATCCGACAGCACCACAGCCCTAATCCCAAACCAACCACACGGTGATATCCGCCAGCTCCTCCCGATGCGCCAGATAATACGCCTGACCCAACATGTGAAGCTTACGGCGATCGGTCTTTTTAGACCTCGTCCGTGGAACTCGGTCGATCAGGAGATACAAACTAGGCACGTAGTACTTTGGCAATGTCTCACGAACAGCGTCGCTCAGGGACTGGGTAAGTGCATGCACCGCGTGCCGATCGCTGATGGGACGAAACTCCATTTCTTCAATCGGACCGCTGTCTGTGTTCATAGGATTGCTCGCCAGATATATATAGACGCCGAGGATGGGGTCGCCGTGGCCGTCGACGGCGCCTAGAATGTCAACCACAGCGACGTCGCCTGTCGATAGGTTACGACGAAGGACGTATTCCACTTGGTCGGCTTCGACACGGGTTCCGTCGAGCTTGAGCATGCTGTCTTTGCGGCCCATGAGTTCGATAGTTCCGTCATGATTGTACCGACCTAGGTCCCCGGAGCGGTAGAGGCGGTGGTTTGGTCTGTTGGTGTGGAGCTCGGACATCCAGCTTGGTGGAGCGGCGAGGAAGTTTTCAGATTTGCCGGAAACATGATCGAGATAACCCTGAGAGATATGGGGACCTTCGATGACCAGTTCACCTATCGCCCCGACGGGCATGAGCTGGTTGGAGTCATCTGGGTTGACAATCCAAATTGCCCCGGTAGCTGGACGACCGACCACTGAACCGCGGCCCATTTGTAAATTGCGGTTGTACGCGCAGAAAGAAGCTACTTCTCCCATACCGTATTGATTCACGACTTGCACGCGGTTGAGCCATATGGCTAAGACCGCGTCTGAGACTGGCTCTCCGCCAATGCACATCATCTTCAGGGTGGGGATGCGTTCTGGGTCGAGATCGATAGCTATAGAGGGTGTGCTGAACATCATATTTGCCTCAAGGTCATTCAAATCATCCATGAGAGCGTCCATGGTGAGGGATACTGTGGGGACACAGCAGCAACCACCGGCGATGAGAGGTGTAAGGAAGTCATTGTTGCTGATATCGAAAGCATAGGCATCGAATTGGAACATCCGACTATGCGGTCCCATATCCATGACTCGGATGTAATCTGTCAATGCAGAGGCGTAGCTGCGATGCTCTTGCACTATGCCCTTTGGTTTTCCCGTACTGCCCGATGTGAATAGCACAACACAAGGATCGGTGGGTGTGACAGTGGAACACGGGACTGAAGTCACCAATGGCAAACTAAGTACAGAAGCTTCGCTGACCTCGAACAATGTCTCGACCCGACCGGCGAACTTCTCCCTGTAGCCAGCTGAAGTGAGCATGATTTTCATATTCGTGCGCTCGAGAACAGATGCCAGGTATGGCGGTGGGTCACTGCCGTCGACACAAATGTATGCACCACCAGCCATGAGAATGGCTAGCCGGGCTACGACAGCCCAAGTGGATTTGTAGAACGCGCAGGCCACAAAAACTTTCGGTCCGACACCATGTGCAACTAGCCAATGTGCTAGTCTAAGAGTCAATTCCTCCAGTTGCCGGTATGTGAGATCGCCATCCCAGGAGCGAACGGCGGGAGCGTCGGGGGTTGTTATGGCATGCTGTAAGCACAGCTCATGCAGAAGCCTATCCTGGGCGGGTGCAAGAGTCCCGGTGAATTGGGCTATCTGGTCACGGTCTTGGGCCGCGCATAAATCAAGTCTACCGATTGGTTGTGTAGGCCCCTCCAGTGATGACAGAGCTTGATTGAAACTATGCAACAGGCTTGTGGCTAATGGCAGCCCGATTCCAGTATCGCCAACGTCCAATTGAGCATTTAGTCTGTCATCTGCAGTATGCTGTATGGAAAGACGTAGACCTGTGAAGGCCGAGTCTAATTTCCATGGCTCACTAGTTGACAGGCCACAGCATACACGGCATTGACCCTCGCATGGAGTCTGAGTTGGCAAAGTACGCGGTGCCGGTTGTCGCTGGTAACGGATTGTAAGGTTGAAGCCGGGAGCTTCACTATCCACATTGGCGTGGTTATTTGGTTGGAGGGTGATGTCGCCTAGCGGTTGCAATGCCTCGATGATTTGACTGAATAGATCTTTGACAAGGTCCTGGGGATCCGTGTGGATTTGGACGGTCGGACTCGAACTGCCGTTCGCTGCTTCGCCAATGTAACAACAACCATTGGAATAATCCTGGCTGATGTATAAGGTCGTGGAGCAGAGAAAAGCCCTAATCGTGATGATCCATGCCAATTGCAGTAGTCGCTGGATATGGATATCCGGATGTTCGTCTTGCTTTGACGCGGCGGGATCGAGGGCATCGACGAGATGTAGGAGCCGCCAAGGACGATCTCTCAGTGCAAGCTTGACTCCATGTGTAGGGATCACACTGGGTGCTTCCTTCGTAGATGCAATGCTGAATTGAGGATCCTCATTAGTGGGTTCTAACAAAACAGGAGCCATGGTGGGCGATTCGGACAAGTGTAGAAAATCTGGCAAAGGATCTGACGGCCAAATAAACCCAGTCGAGTATGACGGGCTCTCTGGCTTAATGTACGATGAGCTAGGGTCCCACGGCCATTATGAACACACCGCTTGGCATGAGGAATGGCTTTGTTGAACCAAGCGAGGCATCAATGAAAACGCCCTTATTGACCCCACAACTCGCTATTGGGTAAATCACTGCAGTGATTCAGGGCGAGATTGCCGCTCGTAATATGCACAGCTCCATCACGTCTCGCTGATCCAGTTCTCGGGGTTCTTCTAAAAGAACTGACTACATTTAGAAATGGCCCGGGGGCTGGCTGCGCGCGAGAGGTAACAGCGCGGGCAAGTGGTGCCGGGGGTTCGCGACGGTCTGCGGATAGAAGTAACTGCCAGGGATTAAACGCATCATGGATCTGAGACCGGAGTACGGTGTGCGGTGTACTTGGACGTGGGTATGGTGAAAAAAGGACGCTTCTCAACACGGGCTTCCGACCAATGGAGTATTCGAGATCGGCGCTGATCTGCATAGTTTGCTGACAGCCGACGCTAAAGAACCAGCTTTGAAGATGTACGACATGATCGACCAGTCAGCACTGGTGAGTAGTGGAGGTCAGAGTGGGACTTGAAGGGAAGCGTGGGAAAGCGTGGGAAAGCGTGTTGGGATTTATTTGCATGTGATTTGTTGACCTAATATACATGGACTTGTCTAGCCGGAGACCTCTCTTCAAACATTCTGCATGATTCCAGGATGAACACCCTCGAGGATCGTGGAGAGCTCAGCCCAGAGCTTCTCACGCGCTTGGCGCCCCTCTTCACTGCGCACAAAAGATGAGGATGCAGTATTCTCCACATGTCCATCGGTCATATATGCACCGTGGCTTTCAACTCCAGCCGTAGCCCCAGCCACTAGTGTTCGAGATCCAACCTCTGTAGATCGCGCGAGGCCTAGCTTGAGTAGCCTCAGTGGTATGCTTCCTTCCCGCCCGAGCTGTGAGTGGCAGAGACCAGGGTTCAACATGTTGATGATCACATCAGAACCACGCAGTCGGCTCGCTAGTTCCCGTACTAGCAGCACCTCGAGTAGCTTGGAGAGTTGATATCGCTCGTTCATTTTGGCCTTTTCCGGATTGCTGAGGACTTTCATTGGTTGGTCTTCGATCCATTCTGGAAAGCCCACCCATGCGTGTACCTCACTGACAACGAAGCTGAGGCGGGGCGTGCGAGATGGGTCTGTTTGCCGTGTAGCTTTCAGAGTTGGCAGCAGAAGAAGGCCGAGGAAAAGACTATTGATGACGTTGACAGTTATGGATTGCTCATAGCCCTCGGCGGTGTTAAACTTCGCTGTGGCGATTCCAGCGTTGAGGATCACTGCATCGAGCCTGGGGAGCTGCGAAATGCGCCCGGCAAAAGCGATCACGGATTCATAGGACGCTAGATCCACTTTCCAGACTTCACACACGCTGGAGCGACCGGTTGACCGTTCGATGTCCTCCTTGGCCTCCTCTCCTGCCGCCACATTCCGCACTCCGAGAATCACTCGCGACGCACCTAGTCGCGTGATGTGTCGTGCAGCTTCTAACCCTAGACCGACATTGGCGCCGGTGACTAGGACTGTCTGGCCAGCAAAGGACTGGGTGGGGGATGTCGGAGTGACAAACAATTGCGAGTAGAGGAATCCCATGATTGATTTTTAAATAGTTTCTTCGTGGAGAATAGAAGAAAAACAAGGCGAGGTGAGCTACAGGTATTTCCCCTCTACGCGACTTGTCTTTTATATATTCCAAATTCGGGCCAAGAAAGCCCTATCACGGACTTAAATGTCGATGAGTCGAAGTTGAAAACGCATGGTGTCATAGGGGTTAATTCCGGGCATTGCTGCTTTCGGCGCCACGTTGGTTTCATCGTGGAAATGGAGATGCGTTAAATCCGAAACAAGGCCCGAACATAACGAGGATAATGTCATAGTCGGGCGCTGTTAAGGATTGGGGGGAATCAGGAACACGGACACTGACCCTTTGGTTTGTTCAGAATCCCAATAGGCCTACACATGCAGGGACCTTGGATCTTTCTAGCAATTTCAACATGGTTCGCATTAGGCTATCCTTCGCGTTTTCTATTCACGATGTCCAATCAGGGGAACTCAGGAGAATCCCCGCATGCAGGTCCTCGAAAACAGCGGAAGCATGTAGATCACAACAATCCAACAGTTCCAAAGCTGAAAAGTCCGCTTATCTCCGCCAACATCACGAACAAATAAAGTCCGAGCCGCCACGAGCCAAGCCAATGCGGTACTGGCGATAAACCAACCCCATGGAACATCCCACAAAATAGGGCAACACAATCCCCAGAAGACCATGGGTACAAAGATGGTCCATCGTGCAGTATTATCACTCCACACCAACGGTGCCGTACAACGACCCCTGCCCGCATCGCCGGCCTGATCGGACATATCCTGCAAGTGCACCGTGGATAAGATAACTCCGATCAGGACTAGATGCCACTGACCCAGCAACCCAAATGGGCTGAGAGGCAGTGATGAGCCACCAGAAGCCACTTCCATGGCCCCTGACGTGAAACAGGTATATCCCAGTGCGTTGATGGTGTTTCGGACGAAGGGGTTCTTGTCCGCACCGCCCCAGTTGTTATACCAGACACCCAGCCATATCAAGGCAAGCGCATGTCGGAGCCCCCCAGTGAAGACCAAACTATATATCGGCGCAAGCACATAGAGCGCGACCATGAGTCGTGTCCCCGACTGGTGGGAAATCCGCCCACAAGGAAATGGTCGCCACGGTTTGTTCAAACGATCCTCGGCGACGGCCCTCTCGCCGCGTTGATTGTTTATTGCAAACGGGAGAAAGTTCATTATCAGCCATGATAAAAGTATCAAAGCTCGCCCGATTAACTCTGCCATATCGGAGACGTTGTGGGGAAACATCAAGGCTCCAGGAACGTGCAGATCGTATTTCGAGGCCGACCAAGTATTGGCGATTCCGAAAATGGTACTTGGTACGACAATGGTTTTCAAATCGCTGAAGACGAAGAGCCACATTGTGTACACGTGGTACAAGACAGACTTCAGTGCCTGTTTGGAGGATCGTAGGTCGAGGGGCATGGCTGAAGGGTATCAAGTATTGACTTTGGAGTCCTGCTGCCCGCGGCCACGAGATTGACTTGGCTGTTTATATCGAATGAGGGCAAAAGGCCTCCTTTCCAACTTGGTGCGCTGATCTGAAACGCACGACAACGGAGATCAGAATAAAAACTTGGTGTTCGGAGACTTTTTCTTGTTCTATTTTCAATGCCCAAACCCTCGATAAATAGTTGACAAGTCGTGGGGACCGCAGCTTGGCACAACACGCTGTTCAAATGGGCTGAGTACACTCCATATGCTCCGATAGCTGAGAATGACGAACCTTGTCCGACCTTTCGAAGTGGCCTTTTCCGCTGGATTGCGCTGTGAGTCTGATTATACAAAACCAGCGATCCAGGTCAGTATATGACGCGTCCTGCGTGAGGCCTACAAACCTCAATCTACCCAAATCGATGATGAAAATGCAAGTGCCACCTACCAAGATAATTGCAGTTATTCTGGGGTTACTAGCCCACAAACTTATCTTCATACACGGAGAATGGCATCTCAAAGGCCCGAAAGTGGTGGTTGTTCACATCCTTGCTTACACCCTATTATGTGCCACGAACATTTCTCTTGATTCCCAAAACCCACAAAGAAGAGTTGTTGAGATAATCTACCTGGTGACTTATTATTTCTTATCTCTGTTCACAAGCATCGCTGTATATCGCCTCTACTTTCACCGACTGAACCAGTTTCCAGGACCAAAACTAGCTGCACTAACCAAGCTCTGGCATGTGTGGAAGTGCCGTGACTCACGCGGCCATCTAGTCTTTCAAGCCTTGCACGATGAGTATGGGGAGTTTGTACGAACTGGTAAGAAAGACCCCAGCTCGAGTCGGACTCTCCAACGACCTCATTGCTCTCTTCAGGTCCTGGGGAAATCACCATCTTCCACCCGGCGGTCTATGAAGCAATGGACGGTCTCGGCAATCAGAACACTCGATCTGATTGGTACGACCTGCTTTACCCCCGAATATCTTCAATCTTTACACGCGATCGGAAATTACATCATGAGAGGCGGAAGATGTGGGAACAGGCCCTGAGCACAAAGGGTGAAAAGCAATCAATTAACCAACAGATGTATGGACTACTAACTTCTTTAACCAGCTTTGCTTCAATATCATCAACGCGTACTGCATAGGGTACGAACACTTGAATCCCTGATCTCCGCACAAGGCTCGCAGCCTGTTGTCATAAATGATCTGATGTACTTCTTCGCTTTTGATTCGATGGGCGACTTTGCCTTCAGTGAAGACTTTGGCATGATGGAGAATAAGAAATGGCATTCCTCAATAGCCAAACTGCGCTCAGCGCTCACACTCCTCGGTCCGTTCACCCCTGCTATCTGGATCCCGCGACTTGGATTCGCCTTTGTTCCCACGTGGTGGAAAGTGGGACATTGGTTTCATATGCTTGAATTCTGCGATCAGTGTATGGCCCGACGCATGAAGGTAGCCAAACCACCGACAACAGTTGTACCGACGACTGATATCTGATTAGAAAACCCTTTCCGATCGTGATATTGCATCCTGGTTCATCGAAGACCACGCTAAACACGAAACAGAACCCGCGCGCACGCAGTGGTTGAGCGGCGATACAGCAACACTCGTTGTGGCGGGTAGGTGAGTATATACCTGTACGTCATAGCGAAATCGACTGACGAATTTAGTGACACTACGGCCCCGAGCCTGACTCTGCTGTTCTACTTCCTTGCCCGGTATCCAGAACACACAGAGAAAATATTTGAAGAGATCCAAGGAGTCGATAGAGACAGTCCAGCTACTTTAGCCACGTTAGCTCATTTGAATGGAACGATAAACGAAATGATGCGGTTACTGCCAGCAGCATTGACGTTTAGTTCGCGGGTCACGCCAACAGAAGGAATAATGGTCGATGGCACATTTATTCCAGGAAACACCAAGATATGTGCACCGCGGTACACGATCGGACGACGTGAGATACCCGTCCCCTGTCGTGGTCATACTGCTAACGCGAAGTATTCCAATTAGTTGAAACGGCATACGCCTACCCGCACAAGTTCATTCCCGAGCGCTGGTATAGCAAACCTGAGCTCATCAAGGATAAACGGGCTTTTGCTCCTTTCGGGATCGGTCAGTGATAACCCTAATAGCCTTCCGTGGAGTTGGAGAGCCAGATTTATCATGATGATTACATCTGTATACCGAGGGTCATAATCCCTGATTGTATCTGTTTCAACAGGTCGGACGAGCTGTGTCGGTCGCCACCTTGCGCTTGCGCAACTCAGACTCGTTACTGCGGCATTGGTATCCCGCTATCGGATCAAATTTGCAGCTGGTGAAAACAACGGCGAAGCTGTTGAGCGAGACATGAAAGACCAGTTGACTGCGCAGCCAGGTGCTTGTCGGTTGGTATTTGAACGTCGAGGATAGCGGAGTGACATTCAATAAGCGCTTTTTTACTAGGGAAATAAGTAGTAAGAATAATTTGTTCGCCATCATTTGCATTTGTTTTCCACATCTCGCATAAATGTATCCAACTAGATCCCAGTCGTGGAAAATCCGTCATCACCGTTTCTCTTCTGGTGCAAATCCCCAGACTACGTGGATATCAAATTTCACGTAGCAACCAGATCGGATGTCCGCAAAGGCCTTCCGTTCTAGCTCGTCCAGTTGCTCCATAGTGAGCGCGCCGTTCGACCCTCTAGCCGACTGGCCCCGCGCCCAGTTAAAGATCGCAGCCATTCCATTCGCAGTTAGCAATTTGCGTGTACCTGGTGCCCGATCAGCAGCCACAATTTCGGTGTTTACACCAACCAGTCCCGCCGCGCGCATTTCCGTCGCCAATCGGTCCCAGCCGGACTCAAAGAGAGGCTTCATCGCACGCATAAACATAGCCCCCATAGCACTAGCAGTCTCGGTCGTGGAGTGCGGTCCTCTTGGAAGATGGCGAACGTTGGTGAAATCACATTCTTCCCATTGCATAGCGCCGCCTGGCTTGAGCAGCTGTACCAAATTACGGACAACTTCCGCCCACTGTGACGGTTTCAAGCCCGCCACGATCATCCGAATGTGGACGATATCATACTTGCCGTGGAGATGGGTTGGAATGGGGTTGCGGACGTCGAAGAGGTAGAGAGTCACGTTAAGAGGAAGGATGGGTGGGTAGAGTGAACTCGACATGTCGAATCCGTGGAGCACTGCATGAGGCCACTCGCGTGCGAGGTCACGCAGGAAGGCAGCAGTACCCGTGGCAACATCAGCAACACGCGCGTGGCGATGCATTTTGGATTGGACACACGGGTGCAGCATGTAGCCGATGCTTCTGTGTCAGCAGGAGTCAGTAATGTTGGATTGTGGACTGCTTTGCCACACATGGGTTGATGGGGGTGCTCACTGGGTGAGAAGATTGAATTGTTCGTCGAGTCTACCGAGCCAGTGTCAGTATTTTGCGTTTCTATTGGATGGGCTAGAGTTCTTGCCTCTGGGCTTCGGTGGGATCTCGCTGCATATTCTCCGCGTATGTATCTTCAAAATGGGCCATTTCGAACTGTGAGGGTGGAGGGGATGTGCGAAGCTGAATATCTCAGATGATAGAAACAGATAAGAATTCAATACGCAAGATCTGTTTGATTGGAAGGTGTTGAATGTCCAGATGAATCACCTGGTAGTGCCAATCGCTGCCTCAGACCACCTTAACTGCACTCAACAGGATCTTACTCCGATGTCACTCCCCAGCTGAAACTCTGCTGATCCAAGGCTTGAGGAGGGTTGAGGTCAATATTCCTAGGTTGTACAACTCAGAGCTGCAGTGTTCATGGACACCTTCCTGACAAGAACCCCGTTGCATATGCTATTCCCAGCTTAAAATCTACAAAGCAAAGTAGTTGAAATAGACGCAGCTCTACTGCTGGCACATGAATGCCATTTCTCCGTCAAAATATGAGTTCGACTTTTAAATTTCCACCAAATCACTTGTGCTAGACTGCCATATCTCCCTCCCCATTCTACCGAGCCAGCACACCATCATGATTCATATGAATCGTCGCTGTCCATTGCTGATTGTCTGGAGTTTGATATTTTTTCTCATTTCAGCAGGGGCTGTTACACTTCGCGTTATATCTACGCAAATCAGGCGTCGGGCATTGAAAAGCCACGATTATCTCGTTTTCTTCTCGCTGGTGTGTCCGACTGGCCATCAAACCCTCCAGATGTCTGACAATGATAATAGCTGTTATTGACCGGTTATGTGGTCGATATGTTGGTTGGTGAGTCTGTGAACTTGCTGACTGCCCGGCAACCATTGCTCAATCCTTGCATTAGGAGCCATCACAGCTGGCTATGGGGGGCATACGGCTACTATGGCGGTACGCAATCCAGCAGAGTTGCGTAGCGCATTGAAGGTATTTGGTTCATACCCTGAAGACTGGGTGCCTGGGGCTGACTGGCTCAGATATTCTGGGCTTCAGAATGGATGTGGGCAACGTCAACCGCCTGCTTTAGATTGGCTATTCTTCTTCTCTATATGGAGATCTTCCCAGGGAATAAAAAATTCTTCTGGTGTGCGACTGGGGTGGGAGGTCTTGTCTTCCTATATTGGGTCTCTGCAGTTTTGACTATAGCTTTGCTGTGCAGGCCGGTTGCCTACAATTGGGATCGCACCATTCCAGGGACCTGTGGAGACGTTTTGAAGATCCAGTATGCTTCTGCAGGGTTCAATATGGGCATCGACTTGGGAGTCGTGCTGCTGCCGCTTCCTATTGTCTGGGGGCTGCATATGTCGAGTCGCAAAAAGACTGGCGTCACCGCATCGTTTGCGATAGGCATTCTGTAGGTCATAGTCCAGTCCGTAGCACTTCACGATCAATTCTAACAGTCAGCAGAACAGCAGGTGTCAATCTGGGCCGTATCATCCAGACCAAGTTGTGTCCGGCCGATGACCTGATTTACTGCCTCAGAGACTCCTCCATTTTTATCATGGCGGAAATGACGGCAGGAATCCTGGTGGCTTGTGTCCCAACGTTTGGACCCCTTATATTTCACGGACGGGACGCGCCTTCGGTGCGACCACGCGAGTTACCCACAATTGGGTCAGCCCGAATGCGCCCTCGCCGTCGCGCGAAATTTGACTATCTCCTTTCTACCCTTGACCGAAGTCACAATGATGATGAGGAGAGAGGCCATGGGCCATCAAAAGAAGTGGAAACTGCGATTGCGCCCACAGAACATTTGATTGGGACTGGGGCTAATGGGAACGGAGCTCCCAGCTCCAGTGGTATTTTGGTGACGCGCGACCTTGAAGTGCAAAGTCTGAATGTCCCACCTCGAGTCTGTGAGGCATCTACATTGTAACGCGAAGGGGGTATCTTGTCTTCCTCTGTGTTCCCGCCGTTGCTGTGAGTTTCCTTTGTGCCTTTGCATTCCAAGCGGGAGATCTGCGCGGCTCCACATATTTGGCGATTGGGAACTGGGCCATTCGAGACTCTGGCTGACACCACTCTGCGCTAGGATGCTTATGCTCCGTGATGCATGTCAGATTTGTCCCACATTGGGCAGCCGAGTCCGAGCCGTTTGCATGCTCGTATGCTGCGTGTCACCATCCATACCTAGTCAGCATAGTATATATAACCAACAGAAACCGTTTCATTGGACCATGTCGTTTGTGACAAAGGGTTTCAAACAAAGAGCGACGAAATAGGATAGGCGCACACGAAGAGATATCAGTAACTCGCCAGACGGCAAATCAAGGCTATCCGACCACGTGCGGGGAACCTAGTAATTAGGGATCAGCGCGTTGTTCCTCCGATATCTCTCCCTTCTCCATACATCACCATGGCTTCCAAATCTTTTGTAGTAGTGATATGCCATGGATCCTGGCATACACCAGCGCCATACGAACCTCTAGTTGAGGCCTTGTCGGCGAAGGGTATCGAAACGTATTGTCCGCAGCGGCCAACTTGCGATCTCAGTCAACTCAATGTCGGCGATGTCAACAACCCTGATTTCAATCGCAAAGCACCACCAGGGGGATATCCACTCCCTGCAGATGATGCAGCAGAGATCGGACTGTTGCTTGATAAGTTGATTGCACAGGGGAAATCAGTCCTCCTTGCAGGACACTCTTCCGGCGGCTGGGTCGCCGCCGAGGCTGCGCAACATGCCCGACAAGCGCCGGTGCGGGCACGCAACGGGGAGATTGGTGGTGTCATCGGGATCTTTTTTATCGGGGCTTTCATCATCCCCCAGGGCCAATCTGTCCACACGTTCTTTCAGCCTCCAGATGGGAAGGTTGTGACGCCGCCGTTTATGCGTTTTTACGTGAGTTGGCAGATCAGACGCTGCACACTTGTGACAATATATTAACTGTGGCCATTAGAAACATGGGGTAGATGGCCTCGGCACCATGGTAGACCCCGAGAAATATATTTTCAACGACCTTGACGAGACGACTGCGGAAAAGTGGGCATCTACATTGACTGCAGCTCCAGTTATGAAGAGTCCACTCACTCACAACCCTTATGATGTCCTCCCGTGCGCCTATCTGGTGCTTGAGAAGGATTGCACACTGCCTAAGGAGTATCAGGAAGGAATGGCAGCGAGTCAAAGCAAGCCATTCACAATCTACCATGCCCCCTGTGGCCACTCGCCGCACCTCAGTTGGACAAATGACCTTGTGGAGAAGATTGAGGAGTTCGGGAGTTATGCTCTGGCTGAAAGTAACATTCCTGCACATTAGATCGGAAATAAAACCGATTCCATCATGCCATTCAACAAGTAGTGCAGCTGAGTTACACTTGACCACTGGAATAGTCTAGCGTTTGACATGTTTGAGACACATGAGAAAGTTGAAGTTCGAAAGGCGAACGTCGAAGGAGGCGTTGGTGAGGCTTGTGCAACGCACTTTCCACTCGAGCATTGTCAAACACTTTGCTGTCACACGCTTTGCTTTTGAACTTAGTCCCCTTCACATCTCTCCTGTTGAATTCTCTCCATCACATATCTCATCCCCTCCAACCATGGATCCCCCAAAGTACATCTTCGGCGCTCAGGGTTTTGGCGTGGCCTGGACAGAGAGCAATGTCGACAGTCTGATGAACAGTCTCAAGCAGGCTGGGATCAGTCAGTTTGATACCGCTGCTCTCTATCCAGCTACCAATCCCGGTGCATCCGAGGACCTTCTGGGTAAAGCTAAGCCACGGAATGCAATTATTGGCACAAAGGTGCTTTTCATTGGCGATGAATCGCTATCACGCGAGAATATGGGGAATTCTATCAGAGCCAGCCTGGACCGACTGAAAGTCACGAAGGTAGGTGAAATGCTCCATCATCACTGTCCAAAAAGCTAACAAATATGTTTTATTTAGATCCACACCCTTTATTCCCACGCGCCGGATCGCAAGACTCCGATTTCTCTCCAAGCCGCAAACTTCGATCACTACTACCGCCTGGGCTACTTTGAACGGCTGGGTCTATCCAACTATAGTCCCTCGGCGATCCGTACCTGGATGGAGGTTGCGGAGGAAAAGAATTTCATTCGGCCCTCTGTTTACCAGGGCCAATACAATGTCTTTTGCCGTGGCTATGAGGTAGAATTGTTTCCAGTCCTCCGTGAGTTTGGTATTGCATTTGAAGCCACTTCGCCATTGGCTGGAGGGTTTCTGACAGGAAAGCTTTCCTATTCCCCATCCCCCCAGCAGTTGCAAGGTACAAGATTCGAAGTCGGAGAGGGAAACATGCTCGGTGCTGTGTACCGGATGTGGTATGATCTGCCCGCCTACCACGAAGCGATGCGCGCCTTGGACAAGGTAGGCAAGGATCTGGGAACTACGGGTGCCCAATGCGCCCTACGCTGGCTTCTTTTCCATTGCAAGCTCAAAGACCCCGACCGGATCGTTATCGGACCAAGCACCCTCACGCAGCTCCAAGACTATGTTGACGCTCGTCAGGCTGGACCGCTTCCTGGTAATGCGGCTGCAAAAATCGATTCCCTTTGGCCCAGTCTCAAGGAGGACTCCGCTACGATCATTGAGAAGGGATGGTGGGGTCTTTAATGAGTGGCCCCCACAGTTCAAGGGTGAAGGGCTTTGCTCTCGCCAGATTTCAATGACGTTCCTTTCTAGCAGACTTTCGTGGTTGTCCAATTACTCCTAAGTGGTTGTTCTATACTTCAGGAGATTCGAGTGCCTTTTTGTGATCAGTGGAGCTCCTTCATTTCTACCCCCAGAGTCACAATGTATCCAGATACATACAGATTTAAAAAAGTTGTATCTTTTAATCATTTGGTAGCCAACACTGTAGATAGAATCATATCGAGTAGTTCTTCTGCAACCTACACAGCCGACCACCCTTACCCCTAGTCCAGGCCTCGCTGCCCACGCCCTTGAAAGCATAGAACGTATCATCGCCGTCATACTTTCTCTTAATCTCTAGGAGACGGTCGTAATTATCCCCATAGAATGCTTGCTGCCAGTTTGCTTGATTCCGATTGGCCTCATTTAAATACGCACCCCCGCCAGGTGTTAGTTCTTCTAGCGGTGGCATAAGAGTATCAGTAATGAGGTGCTGTCGGTCGCGGTTGGCACGCTGATCGGTATAATCGAATGGCCTAGATGAAGTTCAATCAGATTGCTAAAATGTTGTCTGGAATGTATGACCTACGCGCCGATGACAATATTCATTGTCGCATCTCGCCAGACTGGGTTCACACCATTATCAGGATGAACCGTTCGTGACGAGTTGACCCCAACACCAGAAATAAGGAACCCAGCGTTCCTTTCGACAACGTTGCGGAACATGGTCACTAGACCAGACAGATTATGGTCTACGACAGTTCTTGGAATCAGACGCCCACCGATAAGTTGGTCAGTTATGTTGTTGGGTTGATTCATCGTCTCATAGGCATCGTGATATGTAGGGAAGTCATTGGCGTAGTATGCTGTTCATTGTCGTCAGCGTACAGTTCAACGCTGGTGGGTTGTTTACTCACTGAATTCCACGTTTTTCTGTTCCAGAAACGCAAGAAGAGGACTGAACAGCGAATGAAATATTGCTGTACTGCCACCGGGGATGGTCGTAGGAGTCATTGACAAAGTGTTATTTGTCAACCACCAGACACTTACGCCACCAGCATCACCGACCGACGGTAGACTCGAGAGAAAGATCTCCACGGCGGCAAAGAATGTGGCTCGCGATATACCAGTGTCGGAGAATGAAAGATTCCCCGATGCCGTAGGCAATTCAGGGTACGCCCTGCTTGTCATCGAAACAACGACACCATATGTACCTCCACCTCCCCCTGCCAATGCCCAGTAGAGATCTGGATTATCTCTTGGCGAAGCAGTGACCCGCGTGCCATTTGAAAGCACCACCTCCCATTCCAGCACTTGATCAGCAGCAAGCCCGGCATAGGACGCCAGTTGACCATGACCCCCACCTTGGGAATATCCGCCTGCAAGGCCAATAGTCGGACAATTGCCACCCACAATAGCAAGTCCAGCCCTGTATGCTGCATCACTGCCTTCGAATGATTGAACGCCCGCGCCCATCCTCGCAGCTTTGCCGGAATATTCTGATGAGGAGTAGTCAACGATGGATATATTCTTCATGTGATGCATCCAGATGGCCAATGCCCCAGCCCCGGTGGATTTTCCGAAGAGATCATGTCCGGTATTGCGAATGACAAGGCGAAGGTTATGATGGGCTGCAAATTGGATGCTCTTCTGGACGTGTTCGACAGTCGTCGCGTTGACGGTGTACCGTACGTAATTCCCAAATGTACAAGGGGAATCTTTCGATGAGAAGGGATTGCAGCTCAGATTTGTGAAACTTTCAGCCATAATCGACGAAGAGCTTTCATAGTGCGTTGCCGGAAATCCCCAATCGGACTGGAGTTGCGCGCATTGTGATTGGTTGTACGGTGTGAGGGAGTTGAAGTGACAGACGCTGGCGATCGGGATGGTTGCGATCAACCTGCCGCCGACTGTTTTGTTGAAATGGGCCCATTTGCTGTCTTCAGGCCAACAGGAGTCTTCTGGCATACATCGACAGATAGGTGGGCTGGTGTCATTTGCGATTGACAGACCATAAACCACGGTGGTGATGTAGAATACAGCTAGCCATAGCCAGTTCCAGGTGGGATATGAGTTTTTCATTTTGAGACTCAATTTGATCTCACTTGAACCTCCTGAAAGGGACTTGATTTTATACGCATTCCAAAGGCATAGCCTCGATGGCACGCCGCCTGCCGAGCGCTGAAAACCATGCTCTCACGCGAACACTACGCGTAATCACCGCCTGCATCCATACGCGACATCGATATATCCCGATTGATCACCTCAGTCTTGCCCAGCATATTTAGTCGCGACTGCTACTCTGACTCAGACTTGGAAAACTTGGGCTTTGTCATGTTCAATGCAGAGAAGACATTCAATCTTAGTGTCTACCTGGTATGCGTGAGACGCCCCTGCACGCGTTGTAGGCAGCTCCCGTCAGACTTCCACGATTGAGATTTGTGTAACTGGGAACACGCAGCGAATACTGGAATACTAGTGGCAGAGGTCAAGTTTGGATGCCGAAAATAGATCGCGTCGAAGCAGTACATTGAGTATAACGGATATACAATCTCATTGTGACTTGCTGTTGCTGCAGGCGGATGAGCGTAACTTCCTTCCTACCCATCTTTCTCTGTATATAAACCCGTATTGCAGGCTCAGAGATTCTGAAAATTTGAGGAATAATTGCGTACCGACTCATTGAATATGCAGTCCCTTTCTGACTTCCTGGCGCGGCTCTTTGACAAAATCTTTCGAGGCGTGTCCGGTGGTTGATATTCTCACTATCCGGACTAGCCACTGAAAGGGCCCGGGAGGATAGCTGGGGGTGTCACAGAATGCCACCTCAGTCTGAATTTGACTGCAAGTTGGGTAATATCTTGGTGGGCTGCTGGATAAATTCCTCCGCAAGTTCGACAGGCACCCGCTGAGACTTGACCTCTGGCACGAACATAGTCCACAATTCAAAATAACGTGACCGGTCTTTTTCATCGAAAGAGTGGGCCACTCTCGACCGTCGACGTGGGCCTTTTGCAGGCGTTGCATGTGGACAATTCTCGAGGACACATCGGGACCGGCGCATGTACACCGCGAGGACTGCTCTACATGGTGGATTTGTATACGGGGGAAGCGCCACCATTGCTTATTGACATGGAAGTTATCCCGTAGAGCGGCATAAATTGAAAAACGAGCTACACCGGGCAAATGAACTCATAATCATAATCATCATATTCTCACTATCGGAATGGCTATGTATATGTACCTAGGAAGGTACTTATTAGAAGCGTGAAAGCCCGAATACCCAGGCAACAATCGGTGTCCCAACAAAGCGATCACGAAGTTCCTTCCTCACTTCATACCTACATGTGCATAATAAATATCACAGTCCCATAGCGGTATCACATCTTTGATACTATATGCCCGTTATGAGCCATCCCGGACCGACCTAGCCTCTGTATACATATATTAAACGAAGAACACCCCTCCATCAAAAGCAGTATTTATACCTAGCCTCTGGGAGGCATACGCGACATGAGGAAAAAGATGCAAGAAGTGAAAGATCCTCGCTTCCTCACCGAAACAATATCTACCGTTTCCTTCTTCAATAACCTTTATCACTTTCATATCGTGTTCCAACATTAAACCCAATCGCGACTGTGGATTGGCTTGCCCTCTTGCCCCCTCATATCCGCTACATCGGCTGAGTATCTCTTACTTTCACCAATATCATTTGGTTGAACCCAGCATCTCATGGACCACCGAATACTCCGCACCTTGCTGGATGTGAAAAATCCTCCTTCGATTCCGCTCAGGTAACTCCACGTTCCAGTCTCGCAGCTCCTTCCTCTTCTTTGAGCTTACAGCCGATCACTCCCTCATTTTGGCCCATATTAGCAACAAATTCCCGAAGGATCGAGTATCCCATTCCGCCAAATAAGGAGGCGGAGGGGATCTTCATGGTATGTACAAATGGGTTACAGGCCGTTTGCTTGGTGGTAAATTGGTAACCCTCACTCTACTTGCATAGAATGTCTCGGGCTAGAGCAGCAATGTTTAACCCCTCAATCCCATGCATACTTGGAATGTCACAAACTTCAAGTTGAGTCGGCGGAAACCCGAACATATCCAAGAACAATGTCCATTCAGTTCTTGCTTCACTCGGATATGGCCCACCCATGTGGAATGGTTCGGGTGGCAAACGAGACTGGTGATACAGTGGCAATTCGTTTTTTTGCAGTCAAATTGGCTCTTCTTGGATATGATATCCTCGCATATCAACTTAAATTACCCAAGGGTATGATCGCGTTCGGATCTGACCCATGTGGCGGAGTCCGCGTTGGTTGATTCATTCAGGGTCAACACTGTACTTTCCTGTTCTTCTGGTGAGAAAGTTAGCAAGGAAGACCTACAAGCAGGGCAACCTTTCCTATGCATCCAAGACAGAGGATTCGATATTGACTTTGCACATCCTGTACTTTATCTAAAGCTTATGACAAGTTTGGGGGCACTGAGCTCCTCTGTCTAAACTAACGTAACTGTGATTGGGCTCGAAATAAATAACATAGATGTCTCTAATGCATAAACGCTCTCAATATGCCCAAGACTCCAATCAGTAAGGTCCGATAAAGATATATTGACCATCCTGAGCTAAAGTTGCTCTTCTTATATTCTTTAACAAGTCTCACCTCTCTGCCTTTCCTTTTGGCTAATCCATCACCTTGCTTTAAGTCTTCGCGCTAATATCCTCATCCTCACATGCACTTTGGGCCTCATGAGTCATGTGGGCAACGATATTGTGTTTAGTTCATACGAAACATACCACTTCACGATATACGAAAACTACTTGTCTTTCCATGCTTCTCCTTTATCAGGTGAGTTCAACTCTACTTCAGCTTTGATTGCCCTTCGCCCTCTGTTCATTCGTTTCATTCACTAATGCATCAGCGACTCTCCTAGTTTGTGTTTACACCACAGACCGCACACTGAACGACAAGATCCACCTATCCACCCTAACTCGCGGCGAGAAAAAGTAATCCTTCATGTGATGCACGGCTCTACAATTAGGGAATCACAGACTGCTGTCGGCTTAGGTTCCGTTCGGCACGTATGGAGCTAGGTAGGTCCGAGGGATAGTTCGGTCGAACGATGATCTTTCGGGCAGTTGTACACCGCTTCCGGGAACCGTCTTTGGGGAACCACCTGTCAGCGTATACAATTCAAGCTATGAACCATACCTCCACATCAAGCTTCGACGTGTGTCTAGTTTATTCGACATTTATTGAAGAAGTAATGATCCTTGTATTTTCAGTTTGAGGGAAAACCCCATTCACATGTCTCGGAGAATCGGTACGGCCCTAATCCATCGACCCCACAATCATACCTTCAGTATGTACGGAGTACCATAAGCCTGAATCTCTGTAGATCGTCCTGTGACGGGATATCAGAACATTTAGGTGGAGTATTGCAAGGTGAATTATGATTAAACGATTTGCTCGCAGAAGTCCAGGCCCGAAATCCCTCCCCGGCGGGACAGTTAAGCGCGCAAGCTCCATTTCCCTCGGACATTCATGCTCCGTTCGCCCCCATACTCCCCGGGCTCGGCATTCCCCACAAAAAGGGTATAAGTCGGGATTGCCGCCAGGGGTCCATGCCGACCCCTATTCGTCAACATAATTAATTCCTCTCTACTCTGTACTTCACGCACTATGTCTGTATCTGTTGCTTCACAACCAGAGCAGCCTGCGGCCCAGAAGCCGCAAAGGGTATGCTATGTAGTCAATTCTGTATCGATGCCCCGGCTAACACAGTTCAGCTTCACACACCCCAGTGGGTCTCCCTTGTGTCCGGAGGAATTGCCGGTGGAGTGGAAGCAGCCATCACGGTCGGTTTTCGCTGGCAATGTAGGCCTGAGTCGCGCATGAACTGACGGTTGCAGTATCCATTTGAGTATTCCAAAACTCGTGTTCAATTGTTGAACGATGGTGCCATCCGCACATCGAATCCATTAAGTCTCATCGTTCAAGTCGCCAGGCAAGAAGGTGTCGGCGCTCTTTATACAGGATGCTCGACTCTTGTTGTCGTAAGTTTTCTGTATTCCGGCCGATTGACAAAATACTGATCAAGTTCTGTAGGGTACAACAGCAAAAGCGGCTGTCCGGTTTGTGTCGTATGACACTATCCGCAATGCTCTTGCGGATGATCGCGGTGTTCTCTCAGCTGGTCGGGGTATGCTAGCGGGTATGACCGCTGGTGCTGTAGAGAGTGTACTGGCAGTTACTCCCACCGAGCGAATCAAGACCGCATTGTGAGTAGTCACTATTATGGCTGACTGAAAGACATTGGTGTTAACCGGTATGACGACAGAATCGATGATGCCAAAGGCGCTCGCCAGTTCAAGTCCAGTATACACGCGACTAGAGTTTTAGTGCAAAGGCACGGTATCACCGAGCTTTATCGGGGTCTTGTATCCACGATGATGAAACAATCCGCTACTTCTGCGGTGCGCATGGGAACTTACAACATGCTCAGAGAAGGTGCCAAAGCTAGAGGCATCAAGACAGATGTGTTCACGACATTCGGTATCGGCGCAGTAGCCGGTGTGGTTACTGTCTACGCCACACAGCCATTTGACACCATCAAGACCCGTGCGCAGGGTGTCCAAGGAGCTGGTATTCTCGAGGCCTCCCGGAGTGTGATCCGCGACTATGGCATTCGGGGATTCTGGAAAGGTAGCTCCATGCGACTTGGTCGACTCCTGTTGAGCGGTGGTATTGTGTTTTCTGTTTACGAAGAGATAGCCGCCATTTTATCCCCGGGGACGCGGCGATAAATTTGGTTGGAAGAGTATGCTAAAATTTCGACCCTCGCTTGATTATGTGTAAAGAAAGAACCCCGAGATATGCAGGCTAGTTGTAACACCAATAAAAGTTATTTCAGGCACGTGTCTCATAGGTCAGGAGTGGTATAGATCTCAATGGCAGCCTTTTCCACGATATTTCGCCAACCAGGAAATTGTGCACGTGGGACGACTGAGATCCGGTCCCCTGCTTGGAGCTTTTTCATCCAGCGCAGGTTTTGGTCTGCTCGATACGTAATCTCATGATGATAAAGAGCTTTCCCGGCATGAACATTGGTTGCCAAGCGTAAGTCTTCATCTTTGGATATATCTTCTCGTCCCGATGGTCTATCAATATCGAGCACGAACCAAGTCCAGGAGTTTTTGAAAGTGCCATGATCTTCACGGTAGCTACTCCATCCCTGGTCACGGCTCCAAATGTGGATATTGATCTGTCGTACGGGAGATCTCTCGCCTCGAATCGGATATGATTTCAGATATGCAGTCCGGTCATGACACTCGCTTTCAGTGTAGCTTATTCGCTCTTCCCTCTGGACGCAGGACTGCAGCCAGTATTGGGCAAATTCTAAGATCTCTAGGACGATTTCCGCCGGCAGCCTTTGACGCAGAATATCAAAAGTCTGGCGCGCATCCGCTGTGTGTCTCGGGTGGTAAATTCGATCTCCACCATGAGCAGAAGTCCTCTGTAGGACAGTGTCGATGTCCACACAATCCTGTGAGTGCGACGCTCCCATAATTATCATAAAATTGATGTGGTCACAGGGGCGGTGGGACTTTCAATGACTGGATTTGGGAGATGACAATCTTGGGAATGTTAATGACACCGATCCTTGGTTTATCGCGGCCCTGGAGGGATTAGACCTGGTCTTTAGGTCAGGTAGTGAGTCTTGGCACTATTCTGGGGAGAGGATCGGGGCGATGATTATCCGGAGCGGGGCAGGTGGGCAGAAACGGATGCGCCAGTTGGCGATGTAGAGTGGCACACGTGACTTTATCGAAAAGTCACCCAGAAGCCCAAGGGGGTGGCCCAGTTTCTATGGCGTTTTGCCCGTGCACAGACCACGCCCATAGTTAAGATTTCCCCCCAGCAATTTCTGGCACCGTTAACTGCTGCATGGACTTTGACCACCCAAATATGGTCGGTGGGTTTGTGTAGAGGCGACCTGCACCCGTTCTGGGGGATCGAGGCCCATTTTATGGGGCCTTTGATCAAAACATGCATGCCCATAGTTTATTTTTTTTAGAATGCTACCAGTTGCTAAAATCCACTGGTTCTTGTTGGTACCCTTGTAATTCTCAGCGTTTAGATTTTTGATAATAACCAGTATAACCTTGAATCCATGATATTGTGCATTTGGTCTCTACCTATCATGAGGTAATACCAACATCGTGAAGTTTTCCAATGCTTTATCATGCGAAAACAGGGAAGAGGAGCAGTCCCTGATATCACCCCCGGGGCGGTCCGCAGCCCCGCAGGCCCGCAGGCCCCGGGGCCCCGGGGGCAACGGTAAGTGAGTCATCCTAGGCACACGCGCGTCTGTTCACACTCAGGACACCTTTTATCAATCATCCAATCCGTAGACCGTCAGATCCTGGCTCATTGCAGGAAGCGCATAAACAGCACTTTCCTTCCCTCCAAAAACTCTCAATTTCTTTGATCCTCGAAACTCGAGACCGATCTTCTGCAACACCCTCGCGCTATGAGTATCTTCCTTGCCACAAAACCCGAACACCGAATCGACCCCGAGTTCCCTTTTCGCATATTCCAGTAGCGCCAGCGAGGCTTCGGTCGCATATCCTTTCCCGGTGTGAGTAGGTAGAAACGCGTATCCAATGTCGGGTGCGAGATAAGCATTCGGTGGCTCGCCTTTCATCAACGACACGGAGCCGATGGGCGTGCTTTCTGCCAATGATGCATCCTTATGCGGCTTCAGAGAGGCTAGAAACATGCCGTAGTGGTTTCGGGCGTAGTCGGCATGCACGCGATTGCGAAGGAAATTGGAGGCCTTCTCTGGCGTATCGACGCCAGTGCGGCCGCATGTTTTGATAAACTCTTCTGTGTTCCATAGTTTGACCAGGAAATCACAGTGCTCGGGGGAGTCAGGTAAGAAGTACGAGATTTGGAGTCGCTCACTCTCAATCGAGAAAGTAGGGGATGCGTCAAAAGGAGATGACATCTTTGCTTGTTTTTTGTTCAATGCGGCGTAGTAACTTCTCGAATGAAAACCGACGACAATTAACAAAATTCAACTGAGACAACTGATCAATTGCAGTGACAGTAAAAATAGGAGTATTCTTTAGGAAACGAACAAAGTGCTAGCCAAACCAGGCAACCTATATCATCGTTTGAAGGTCTAGCCAACTGGTGTACGGGTTATGCAATCTCACTTTGCATTTGAAATCGCACTTTGCATTTGAAATCGCGAGTCATCGTTCGCCGGATCAACGTCGGGAGCCCGGTTGATTATAGGCAAAAGGGGTGTTTGTAGCCGCAATTTCAAGATCGAGGTGCGCTAAGGATGTTCATACCCCTGTCGAATGAGGGGTATGTTCCATCACCGTCAGCACGAAATGCTTGCATTCAGCCAAGTTGACTCATACATCGCAGCCTGGGCTTGTTACACACTCACCGTTTAATTTCTTCTCATCTATGACTCAAATTCTTTTATTAGCCTAGTACGCCAACAAACGGACAAGCCAGTTGTGCTACCAGTGACATCCCTCCTGAGGTCTCTGGTTTACACGAAAGATCCCAAAGCGGCTCAAGAGAAACGCAAATAATGGCAGGGCTTGGTCGAATAAGCCTTATGTCGAGAGGCCTAGCGCATAGTACACCCTCGCACTAGCGCCGCGTTTCGGACGTGTAGGTCTTGGTAGCAGTCTACTGCTAAACATTATGTAGGTAAAGAAAAAAGTATTCCGTAGACATAGATCGCTACCGAAGGTGTAAATATTCGCCAAGTACACAATTCTTCTTCTGCCTCGTATCCCTTGGCAGCCTGCCCAGGTGTTTGAATTGTTAGAGGAATGTTAGCTAAGTATACGACGACAAACATGTTTGCCTGGACGCCATTGGACTCAAGCTTTGATACATATGTTATTACCCCTGTTTGTTTAGCTTTTTTTCCCCTCTCTTATACAATCAATGCTTGTCAATTTGCTTGAAATGAGTAGTTAGTATTATCAGTTCCATGCATCATTCCAGTATCTGTAAGATTAATTTTATAATTTCCCAACTGGTTTTTGCCATTTTCGAATAGTTCTTTTCTTGTTTTTTTCTCGCACTTTTTCTTGCTGACGCGTAATATCATATTCAAATTATCTAGTGAAGACACCTCACCAGAGATGATCGAAGAAAAGGAACATTTTCCTCTGCCAATCGCACCACGACTAAAGGTTTCGCAGTGATAGATCTCACGGCATCTAGAAAGGCTCATAAGATGCCCAGATTGGCTGAGTTGAGGCTGAAGGACGCACTTTGCGCAGCTTATATCTTGTGAAAAGTATGCATCCTCATTCATTAGCGAGCGTTCAGAGCTATCTGGATCAATCAGTTTCAGGTAGATTCATCAATTTGAAGAAACACGAGGTATGATTGGTCGATACTGTCTATACCTAATGTGGTCTCGTGCGGATAGTATAAAGACTGTGTGGTTTCGTTAACACTGGACCGTGCTTTTGCCAGTTCCACCTTTCTCGTGGCCCATGTCGCCATTCTCGGCATTATGATATATGATAACTTATGAGGGGAAGAGTGCACTTGAGCCAAACGGATGAACTTGAAATTTACTGAAGAAGCAGACTGGATTTGTGACTTGAGCGGGGGATTATAACATGCTTTATTCCAGCGCCAACATGGATAAGCAATGACCTCAATCAAGAGCTTGCACAACCTGCGCCCAATCCCCAAAACCATACGCACCAGGCACGGTTTCGCCATCGAATAGACTTGCCATAACTACTCGGTCCAGCTGTTCACCTTCCCACGGCTCTCTTCCATGTTGTGCAATAACATTATCGTAAACTAGTACATCCCCTTCCTGCCAACGGTGCAGTACCCGAATATCATCCGTAATCTTCGCCAAGTGTGCGAGATACTTTTCCGGAATAGGTGTCCCATCTCCAAACAACTGGTGAGTGACATTTTTGCGCGCTTCGACATCCAACTGCATACGTTTCCAGTAGGCCGCCAACCCAGTAAACAGAGTCGGCAAGTTTGTTCCCGGCTGCGTACGAATCGCCGGCAAACGGTGCGTCAAGATAAGACCATCATCCGTCCACTCCCATGTGGTATGCTCTCCTCTGCCATAGCGGGCAATCTGAGCCTCAATCTTGCGACGTTTTGTCTCCTCATCATCACCATCCAGAATCTCTTTACCAAAGGCCTGGCGAAGTGTGGATCCTCCTTCATATTGTTGCTCCACTCGGTACGTCACTCTGCTTAAAATACCCTTCTCCGCAAGCTCGGCGATAAACTCGGGAATCTCTTGCTGTGCGCGATTGAATAATTCCAACGAAGAAGCGATCGGTGACTCTCCACCCTTGGCTGGCGCTCGGTGTCCATAGAAAAAGATGTACTCGGGCGCATGTGGTACTTGCGGCGACTCATTGTGGTTGTATATCAATACTTCCTTGGGCGCTTCGTTTGCGGGGGCGACATTTGGCGCAAGAAGTGGTCGATCGACGACAATGCCAATAATCTCGTGGGGTTTGTACCCGAATGCGTGCGCGAATTTGCTGAAATCCTCGGCGTTGTAGATCGGTAGGTTTCGAAACAGTAGCGTGCCATGCCTTGCGAGCTTCTTGGTAAGAATGCCGTCTTTTTCTTGGAGGGACTTGATTGTCTCTACCACCGCTTCGAGAGTTGCCTTGGCATTGGTCTTGGTGGGTCGAAGCGCAAGCGGGATAACTGTGTTCTGCGGGTGAGGTGGCCCGAGAATACGTTGGTTAGACGTTGGGAGGTCAAAAGATTCGAATGCGACGAGCGAAGAGGTGTCTTCCAGCCGAAGCTGGTTGACTTGCAGCTCTTCGGTTGTTGTTGCCATGTTTTCTTATCGTGTTGTGAAGTTCCTTGTGATGGATGTCGGGGTTGCTAAGATGATACAGCTAAGCGCACGCTGTGCATTTGTAGTTCCGTTCACGACCCCTCACGAATGCCGAGATATCGGAATATTGTCGAATTGTACTTCCCGATTCGTGATACAAGACACCATCAAAGCCCGGTATGGTCTCATTCCAACTGCCGAGCGATCTCTCATTATGCCATGCGCTTATTGTGTTGCGTGCTTGTCTGGGCATTCAGATGAGCGGGAGAGATACCGAGGAAAACAGCGGCAATCCAAAAATATAAAATAAAATTGCGAGGCCGTCATTTGGAAGGCAAATCACACATTTGTGTGAGTTATCTACTTGCCTGAAATACAACATGGGTTCAACATCCTCAGAAACGAGCTCCAAAGCTAAGGACAATGTGTCAACGCTTGTGGAAAGTCAGGATGAACAGCCGTCACCACCACCTCGTCCAAAGTTCTATTACAGCACACTATTCCAAATCCTGATTGTAGGATTATGTGCATTCTGTGCGCCTGGGATATGGAGTGCAATGAATGGTTTGGGCGTGGGCGGATCCCAGAGCCCAGACCTAGTCAACACGGCCAACGCTTTACTATACGCCTTGATGACAATCACCTGTTTCGCAGGTCCCTTCATCACAAATGCAATTGGCTTCCGCTGGACCTTGACATTGGGCTCACTCGGGTACCCGCTCTATGCTGCAGGGCTGTACTTGAACAACCGCACTGGCGCGACATGGCTAGTGTATCTCGGCTGTGTCACTTGCGGCATAAGCGCAGGTTTCTTCTGGAGTGTTGAAGGTGCCGTCGCAACAGGATACCCAGAGCAACATAAGCGCGGTCGCTATATTGCAACCTGGTTTACCTTTCGCAATTTCGGCAACATTATCGGCGGAGCCGTGTCACTCGGTATAAACCATAAGGTCAACCAGCGTGGACAGGTCGGGTACCAGACATATCTCGCATTCATCGCTATCCAATGTCTGGGACTTATCATAGGTCCTCTCTTGTCAAACCCGGAGCAAGTCCAACGAGATGATGGAACGCGCATTGAGGCCCCTCGCGGTATTCATTGGCGTGAAGAGCTCCGCGCGATGTGGCAACTGGCTAGAAGTAAATCGATCTTACTCCTTATCCCACTCTTCTGGTATTTTGGCTGGATTCAAGCATACCCTGGCACATATCTTGCGACCTATTTCACCGTTCGCGCGCGTGCGCTTGGAAGCTTTATGTCTGCTGTTGTCGGGACACTAGCGACTTGGTTGGGTGGATCTCTGGTGGATCTCCCGTGGTTGAGGAATCGGAAACATAGAGCAATTGTCACATTTGTCTTGATTGCACTCATGAACAGTGCCACGTGGATCTGGGCTGTCATCATTCAGAATGAGTATCGACACACTAACCCTGTGTTGGATTGGGGCAATCAACGCACCTTCGGCCGTGGATTTGGGCTGTATCTCTTTGAACGCATCAGTCTCGGCTTGGTCGAAAACTATATCTACTGGTGTATCGGCAATCTATCAGACTCACCCGGTGATCAAATTCGGTACAGTTCACTGCTCCGTGGAATTGAGACTGCTGCAGTTGCAGTCGGATTTGGCGTTCAAGCTGTACCGACTGCTTTGATTGCCACAGCTAGTATCAATCTAGGTCTGTGGTTCATCGCTTTGCCGTTTAGCTATTATGCTACTCTACAGGTTGTTCGGAAATTTGAGCTGTTAGAAAAAGCGAAACAGAGCCCAGGCGAAGGAAGCGATTGATTGACTGCATGACGAACCCTCTCCGCTACCATAATCTGTCTTTAAATAGATTTTAGTTATTTGAAATAAAGCTGTATGCTTTCAAAGCCCTCACATCATGCTCCCTCCACTTCACTACGTTCGAGAGAATGTACCTTGAGTGAGATGATATCGTGACAAACACATGTTATTGCAGGAATTTATAGATCCATTGTTGCGCGTAAATGACGTTCTCTTAACAGATCCTCCATGCATCTCACTGAGATGTACATCTTTGTTCACTGAACATCGCGATCTTGGTGGGGCGACGCGTGTTTGAAGCGTCTCGGAGAGTCAACCTCCGACGGGCCTACACTGTGAGAGACTGCAGAATCGCATGGTCTTCCAACATAGTAAAGCTAGACTTGGCTCAACAGATTAACTTGTGGAGATTTGATCCTTTCTTTGTAAGTATTTAGCAAATCCATGGATATACGCCTCATGTAGTCACCAGTACGGTGTACAAAATGAGCAGGCTCAAGAGGATATTTAGAAGTCGGCATTGACAGCAATATTTGCGATAAAGAAATTTCAGCACATCGTATCTGTGGGGTTTCTTTGGCTGCTAATCATCTCTGCGAGACGTCTGTTAGGTCATCAACTTCACATTCTATGAGCCAAATTGGACAATCATCCAGGAAAGGTTACCATTCCCCGACATCTATCAACTGTTGGTAGACATGTCTCTGTATAAATACCTAGGATTAACCCCAAAAGCGAGCGCTCAAACCTGTTCCGGTGGTAACTTTGATTGAAGCCGGCTAGTTCCAATGTCACAGCGATGAAAGAGCGCAGACCTGCCTCCTAGGGATCAGGGAGTTTTGTCCTCATCAAAATCCAGGTTGATGGCATCGAGTATAGCCCCAATATCTTCAAGCTTCTCGTCTCGGGTCGTCCTATGATCTCCTGCGTATTTTAAAGAAGAGAAAAGCCTGCAGAGCGATTCCATCTAGGCGAAATTTGCTGCTTTATAATTTCCCCTTTCTGATGGACCATCTGGATCAGATTTTGCGAGCTCTCACTTGCGCATCATATGCTGAGGATTGATCCAGGGTTAGAAGTCGTATGCTGAGATGCACGTTTTGGTGTCTCCTGCGGTGTCCTTGATCAGATCTCCCCTCCTTCTGTGTACTGTGATCTTTCCGAGCTAAACATCCAATTCGGCTATTCAGTGATGCCATCAATGAATTAAGATGATCTAGTGAACGGGGCGAACACATTTCCAGCGACAAACCAAAACCCCCGACGTCATTCAACCGAGGCCCAAGACGCCGAAGACCCAGAATGCCAAGACCACGAGTCGGCTATATGCGAACAAACTGGACAGGGATGGGGTATATATTGAACCTCAACCAAGCAGCTTTGAAAAGCATTAAATTTAATTCCAACCATGTATCGTTCACAACTTCAACGCACTCTGCGGTCGCAGAGTGCTGCACTTATCCGTGCTTCATGTCGAACGGGGGTTTCTCCTCAGACTCGCGCAGCATTCTCCACCTCAGGGCGGCGCGAGATCATGGGAATGACCGGCTTCACGGAAGAACAACTCACAGTGCGAGAAGCTATTTCGCACATTTGCTCGAAATTCCCCAACACCTACTGGCAAGAGCGTGACCAACAAGAAAAAGATCCGAAGGAATTCCATGCTGCTTTGGCTAAGGATGGATGGCTTGGCATTGCTTTGCCAGAATCACTTGGAGGTGCTGGTTTAGGTACAGTTGCACAAGTGAAGACATTCAAGGGTGAATCAGACAGCTAACCATTTATCAGGTATCTCTGAGGCCACAATGATGATGCAGACCATTACACAATCTGGCGCGGGCATGGCCGGTGCGCAGGCTATTCACGCCAACGTGTATGCAACACAGCCATTGGCCAAGTTCGGCACCAAGGAGCAGCTCGAAACCACCATTCCAAATATTATCAATGGCACGTGGCGCACCTGCTTTGGTGTCACAGAGCCAAACACCGGTCTTGAGACCCTCAAGCTCACAACGCTAGCTAGCAAGACAGCCGACGGGTATTCAGTCACCGGTCAAAAGATCTGGATCACCTGTGCGCAAGTGGCATCTAAGATGATTCTCCTCGCCCGAACCACACCCATCGAAGAAGTGAAGAAGACCAGCGAGGGACTCTCACTCTTTTGTATTGATATCGACCGTGAAAATCCCGGTCTTGATCTTCGCAAAATTCGGAAGATGGGTGGACGCGCAGTGGATGCCAACGAGGTGTTCTTCGATAATTATAAGATTCCTGCCAACACGTTGATCGGCGCTGAGAATCAAGGCTTCAAGATTATCCTCCACGGCATGAACGCAGAGCGATGCCTTCTCGCCGGTGAGGCATTGGGTCTCGGCTATGCTGCTCTGGAGAAGGCCTCACAATATGCCAAGGAGCGCGTGGTATTTGGACGACCAATTGGCCAGAATCAAGGTGTGGCGCATCCGTTGGCTGATGCATACATGAAGCTCGAGGCGGCGAAGCTGGCAACCTACCATGCAGCGCGTCTCTATGATACCAACGATGGCTCGGTTCCCTTCCATGAGATTGGTGTGGCATGTAACAGTGCCAAGTATCTAGCTGCAGAAGCTGCCTTCACGGCTTGTGAACGAGCAGTGCTGGCGCATGGTGGTATGGGATATGCGGTGGAGTACGATGTGGAACGATACTTGCGTGAATGTTTCGTCCCTCGCATCGCACCTGTCAGTCGGGAGATGATCTTAAATTATGTTAGCGAAAAGGTGCTCGAGCTACCTAGAAGCTACTAGATATGCTTTGTACAGTGAATTGAATACAAGAAACTACTTATTTCGCCGTCAAGTATCAATGTGAACCGCGAGGACTAGATCGTGGATGCATCCCACTTACAACAGGCCTCTTCATAGTCACACAGAGTCCCTAGTATTATCCCCAATGGATGCCAAGCTCAAGGGTTTGGATAGATGATCAAATGCAAGGTGAACTCGCTTGAGGGTGAATGTTTATAGGGTTGTGAGTATGCGATCTAGGTAGCTTCCAAGCTTTTCATCGATGTACGGTTCATCTTGATCAGATAACTTTGATAACCTTATCCCATCCACATGCGCCCACGCTGCTCTCGGGGTGTTCTGCAAAAAGTACTGTTTGTTGCAATATCAATGTCCTTGCCATTATGACAAACTGATGGTTGATCCATTTATTTAACAAGACAGTTTCGGTCGATTAGCGGAATATATATATGACGTATCTACCAGGTGGATGACCATGGATGTCAGAAATGAGGCGAAATGAGACAAGGACACACTCGTTCCAAATTTCAACGAGAAAAACGTAGTATCAAAAAAATAATATATCTCTTGTGAAGACATGGGGATGAAGATACACATGACTTTGTTACCCCAGACCCCAGACCCCGATCTTGAGACCTGGACGCCTCAGGCATCACAGCAATAAGCAGCGGACTGATTCCCTTGATTTTGATGAGCTAACCGGCTCAGTATCCGGTGATAATGTATACTCCATGATATCCATTGACATCACACATCGCTGTAGGATTTGATAGCTATGATATTCGTATCGTTGAAATGCTATGATCTATCTCACTGTCAGGCCGGTTTCGGAGCTCCCAAGGAGCTTGGGTGACTCGTCCCGGAATTCTTGGTCGATTCGCCCAAATGAAAGCGCGTTGGGATATTCAATATCATAAGAGCCTCATATTCCGAATCCAATGCTATACTCCGTAGGTAAAGCGAACGAGTATAAACCGAGTAAGCTTTCAAGCTCCCTGTGCTGACATCAACTAGCGCGTCATTGGTGCGGGTGGGGTCCGTTGGCCGGGGAGAAGCATTCCTTCTCCGACGTTACCAAAAGTGTTGACACTTTTATTTCTTGGTCCTCCCTTCTCCAGACTTTCAATCCAATTGCTCTATCTGGTGCAGTGTGGTTTTTGGATCAATTCCTCAAAACCTCTCTCATAATGCTTCCTCAGACTCGGGCGCGCGTGCCCGCCGCTCTCCGGAGCTTGTCCCGGTCCAACGTCACCGTGTGAGTCGATTCATCTCCAACGGCATCAATTGCTGTCATTGCCTTTCCGGTCGCTGACGTCCATTTTTTTTCACAGTCGGGCTCTCTCTACCACCCTTCCCCGCTTCCAGAATGAGGACAAAGGCCTCAACAGGGTCTCGCGCACCATCACTCAACCCAAGGCACAGGGTGCTTCCCAGGCCATGCTCTACGCCGTTGGCTTGAAGGAGGCGGACATGAACAAGGCCCAGGTCGGCATTTCGTCGGTCTGGTTCAATGGTAACCCCTGCAACATGCATCTGCTCGACCTCAGCAACAAGGTTCGCCAGGGTGTGCAGGACCAGAACTTGATTGGCTTCCAGTTCAACACTGTCGGTGTCAGTGACGCCATCAGTATGGGCACCACCGGTATGCGCTACTCTCTGCAGAGTCGTGATCTGATTGCCGATTCCGTCGAAACCGTTATGGGCGGACAGTGGTACGATGCCAACATCAGCATTCCCGGTTGCGACAAGAACATGCCCGGTGTGCTGATGGCCATGGGTCGTGTCAACCGTCCTAGTTTGATGGTCTACGGAGGAACTATCAAGCCCGGCTGCGCTGCTACTCAGGGCAACGCCGATATCGATATCGTTTCCGCTTTCCAGGCTTACGGTCAATTCCTCACCAAGGAGATCACCGAGCCCCAGCGCTTCGACGTTATCCGTCACGCCTGCCCCGGCGAGGGAGCCTGTGGTGGTATGTACACCGCAAACACCATGGCTTCCGCTATTGAGACCATGGGTATGACCCTTCCTGGTTCCTCCTCCAACCCCGCCAACTCTCAGGCCAAGTACCTCGAGTGTCTTGCCGCTGGTGGTGCTATCAAGAAGCTGCTCACTGAGGATATCCGCCCTCGCGACATTCTCACTCGCCAGGCCTTCGAGAACGCCATGGTCGTTGTCAACATCACCGGTGGCTCAACCAACGCTGTGCTGCACTTGATTGCTATTGCCGACTCGGTCGGCATCAAGCTCACCATTGATGACTTCCAGGCCGTTTCCGACCGTATTCCTTTCCTGGCTGATCTCAAGCCCTCCGGAAAGTACGTCATGGCTGACCTGCACGCTATCGGTGGTACCCCCGCCCTTCTCAAGCTTCTGCTCAAGGAGGGTCTCATTGATGGCTCTGGTATGACCGTTACCGGTGAGACTTTGGCTCAGAACTTGGAGAAGGTCCCTAGCTTCCCCGATGACCAGAAGATCATCCGTCCCTTGTCCAACCCCATCAAGAAGACTGGTCACATCCAGATCCTCCGTGGCTCCCTCGCCCCTGGTGGCAGTGTCGGCAAGATCACTGGTAAGGAGGGTATGACCTTCACCGGCAAGGCCCGCGTTTTCGACGGAGAGGACGCCTTTATCGCTGCCTTGGAGCGCAACGAGATCAAGAAGGATGAGAAGACTGTGGTTGTCATCCGCTACTGCGGTCCTAAGGGTGGCCCTGGCATGCCTGGTATGTGTTACAAATCGACATGATCACTGATCATCACGCTAATAATCTCACAGAAATGCTCAAGCCCTCTGGCGCTATCATGGGTGCCGGTCTCGGTAAATCCTGCGCCCTCATCACTGACGGCCGTTTCTCCGGTGGTTCTCACGGTTTCTTGATCGGCCACATCGTCCCTGAGGCCGCTGTCGGTGGTCCCATCGGTCTTGTCAACGACGGTGATATCGTCACCATCGATGCCGAGAAGCGCGTTCTTGATGTCGAACTCACGGATGCTGAGTTCGCCGAGCGCAAGGAGAAGTGGGAAGCCCGCAAGGCTGCTGGTGACCTTCCCAAGACTGGTCTTACCATGCGTGGCACTCTGGGCAAATACGCCCGAACTGTCCGCGATGCCAGCCAAGGCTGTATCACCGATGCTGTAGAGTAAATCTTTCCTTGATTTTCCCTTTTTTGGATCTCGGGTTCTTTCTGGAACATAAAAGCGATTCCCCGTTCCGGAGCCTACATTATATGATATCATTTTGAATAATACTTTCTTTCTTGTTCAATTTCAGACTGTATACTCTTCTCGCATCTATGACTTGTAATACTAAGATTTAGCACGTTGATACTTTATAACATGCTCATTATCAGCTTCAAGTACAAAAAGTACCTTGCAACGAATGCAGCTGGGATTAAAGGAACATTATAGGGTTGATGATCAAATCAAACATTTGCTCGGAATTTATCGAACACTCAGATGCTTTTCATATTGGAATTTTTGGCCATTTCCTTCCATCTCAATACCTCCTTCCACTTAGCCATGGACTTTATTCCGCCGTTCCGCAAGCCCCGTCAGAGTCTACGGTTATGTACTCTTATATCTTTGATTTTACTTAGCTACAACCGTATCTATACAGCACAGCCTTCCTGGTCCTTCCTCTTTACCCTCCATCTCTCCCTACCTCTTCGACCGCGCGACTCCGACTCGGTTCCCCAGAAGCATTCATTGATAGTCTGCTTATATGACGAGCACCTTGAACCCCAATCGTCCTCTTCCGTCGCCTTATCGTTCAGTTTTATTTAAACTATTTCCTATCCTTGCCCATGGATGGCCGCGGTCGGTCGTCGGCGAGAATGCAATCGAGGGGATTGCTGGTTATATTTCATTTGAGGTCATTATCTGGAGGGTCTCGAGTTCATACAATCAAAACGCATTGGAAGAGCTTCACTAGTTACGACCTGCGTCTAAGGATTCAAGCATTGTCTTTAGTATGGGAAACTACCCGTCGACTGCAGGGCTGTACAATATTGGCAAATGCCAGTGCCATAGGCAAATGAAGCGCTGAAAGAGACCAGAATATCCCGAATGAAGATGCCACAATATCTACATTTTCCTCTGGATGCAATGCTTTGACTACACTTTTGGGCCATATCACTCAATACATTGTGGCAATCCAAGAAAGACGACATCGGGTCCATAACGAGAAGAACTCGCATCTTGCACGTTGATCCCAACTGTGTTCTGTCTACTTGGTCAAATGTATTTAGGACTCCTTCGCGTCTCTCATCTATGGAGAGACGATTGAACGTCCTCCCAGGTTCTTATAGCACAGCCTCACCATGAATCATCAAGCCACTATTATCCGATGGCTAGGAATCCTCGCCGACTGGACGACTAAAGTTATAGAAGCCACTCTTCAGTAACGTAGTAGAGACTCATCATGTGCAGTATTCCACTCCCAGCTGATTGGCTGTTCGTCGGCCAAAACCGGGTTTTCGTAGCGAAGAGCTGCAGGTATACTTTGAGCGGCGTAGCTCGGATTATCATCCAATGGGAGCACTGATGTCATGATCATAGGAGGACAGCAGCCTGGTATGGTAAATTACTATAGCTGAACATGCCGATGCGTTTATAGAATAGAGATACAAAGCGATATAATGATAGTTCACTTAACCCTATGATCGGCGGACCGTGGAACCATTCCTGTCTGTTTTGGGGGCTGAAGACATTAGTCCTCATCATAGTTTGTATTATGCGCTTAGTCAATACGTCTGATACCTCCATGCGGTCAGGCAGTTCTCGCTTCGCGCGGGTGTTGGGATAGGATCGTGACTGATTGCACTTGTTTCTTTGCGGCAATCGTCTGGCCTAGCGCTTGATCTACCCGTGGTCCAATTCGTAGATATCCCTGTGGATCGAGATCTAACTCGGTTGATATTGAGATCATGAACAGGAATACAGTACGGAGTACTCCGTCAAAGCAGCGCAAGGGCCAATGCTCGTCGGGCGGTTTCGCCGCTCGGGCAAACCCTTGCTTCCCCGCTGTGAGACTCGGGAATACGAGGGAATCTGAGATACGAAGAACCGAGGTGTCAGATTGCTCATTGCTGAAGCAAAGACACTGACATATCTAGATATTGCAGTTCATGAGAAAGACAAGGGAAAATTACAGGTATCAATATATACAAAGAGAGACATTTGCCCATGTAAACAAACCAGTTAGAACACCAACTCCACAGATCCAAAAGCCACAAAGCACCCCTTTCAGCAGATGTACAGTCGAGGGGAACCAATCGTCCCCCATATCCCCATTTTGATCCCTCTTTACCGATTCGGTATGCTGCCCGGTGCTTCCCAGATAATAGGATGGCCTGCCAATTCGGTAGGTCCCGAAGAACGAGCGTTTTGAGGAGGCTCGTTCCAGCTCCAATGGCCTTGCTGCGCAGAGGGAGATCCAGGCCCTGAGACAACTTCCGTACCGGGTGAGAATGTGCGGAAATTTGGATCTGGGGTGGAGACAGAGGTGATATCGCTACGAGGTGGTTTAATGCCTGCGCCGGCCGCACTACTTCCACCTTCACTCTTGGTGTTGCCGTATTGATCACCGTGGCCGAATAGTGCCCAGCGTGCAGTCCGTTCCGTGCGTCCATCTTCAGAGGACATCCATTGCGAGTAAACACGGTTGCGGCCGAGGACGAAGAATAGTGCGATCAGGATGCCCACGAAGACCACAGCGGCAACGGCAATGCCTGCAATGGCGCCCTTGCTAAGTCCACTGTGGTGGCTTTCCTGCGATGAGCCAGACTCGCTATCGTCGTTGGACTTGCTATCTTCGCCTTCGGGTGGTGGGGATTCTCCTGGGACTAGCATGTAGGGGTAGACCAAAGCTTTTTGATATTGTGTGTTCCACGTTTGGGATGAGTTCTGCAGATTACAGAGTTAGCGCAGATCTGCTGTTCGACAGAGATTGGGATTCATACAGGGTTGATTGCTCCGACCATTCCATTCTTGGTGCATGAGTCTATAGCTGTGCAGTAGAAGAAAGTGGGCTGTAGTAGGTCATCGTTAGCTTTGCTTCAGGGTGGTGTATCTCTCCTTCAAGGTTGAAAGCGTACCTCAGTATTATTAATTCTCAGGGACCATGTTGGCGGCTGGTTTGCCAATATCAGCGAGGCTGCTTTACTAAATGAGGCGAGAACACCATTCTACTCACTGGTCCAATGATCTGTCCATTTTCCTGGTTAAAGTCCTCGAAGGCTTCAGAGTTAAAGAGGCCCTCCTCTGCCGGAACACACGGGGACAGATAATCAGCCTTCACGACGGAATGGTTTGTTGGGTAGAACTCAAAGACAACCAAGTCGCCCGCGTTGGCCTTAATGTCGGTTGGAGAAAACTGATGCGGGTCGGATTTGTGTCCAACTTTGATCGTATGGGTCGCCGGGCCCGACGAGGAGGTTGCTGTAGGAGTCGAGGATGAATCAGACACAGATCCCGTCGGTGATGGCAAGTCGGAATCTTGTGCTGCTGTGATGGTTGCCAAAGCCAACCATGCTAGCAGTGGCCGGACCAGTTGGGACGCAAGCATTATGCACAGGGGTTGACGTTCGCTCAAGACTATATGCAGGAGATGATTTCAAATACACCGCAGTATATAGGAGAGTTGCAGAGGAAGAGAAAAAGAAAGTGCATCAGGCAAGAAGACAAAGAAATTGAGAGGTCACAGCTCAAACAAGGCTGAGCATTATTGGGGAAATGGCTTCGGGCTGGCCACTCCACAATTAATGAATGCTTTAGGCGCAGATTACATGTACCGAGTCTGTTTTGTGCACTTCCAAAAGCAGCTGACGGGGTCGTTTCTTGTTGTCTTCCAATTCGCTGTTTTCTAGCTCTCACGCAGCTAGAGGGGTTGTGCGTATATTAATTGGAAGCGGTATGCCTATTACATCGCGACTGTTCTGGAGGATTCGCTATTGCTTTTCGTCTCTTTTTCCCCCTCTTGGAGGGATGGCTCATAGACCCTTGGTATCGTAGCACCATTTTTAGATCCAAGAAATAAAGTCCTGGATGTCACACTATTAAAGAAGTGCGCATTGCCAAGTCCCATCGCTCAGTGGCGCCGGCTACTGCAGGCTCAACTGCGGTCAGCGAAGGCCAAGCACTCGTCCCCGTTAGGCCCCCCACTGGTCTTTGTTCGATTAAAAAGCGTTTCATGAGTTGCATGACTTGAATGAGTTGAAAGAATATGAAACGATATAAAGACTTGACGAAAGCCCAGTCCGTCGAACTCGATTCATCTTGATCAGTGAAAAAGCGTTCCACTTTTAGCTTTCCTCAACTGCCCAATGAGACGATGGAATCTCGTAAACATCGTATTGATGTGAAGCCTTGTCCTCTGGGGCTAACAGGCAAGGTGAGGCTGAGAGAGGGGGCACATTGACCTCGTGGTCAATACCAAGGAACAAATCTTAGCCTGCTAGTCATGTTTGTCTTGGTGTCTTAGTCGCTTTGCAAATGAAAATCGATATAAGGGCCGATCGGCCACGTCAAGGCTGCAGCCAAGGGATTCAATCTGAAAACTCTTTCAGGATCTGGATCCTCTTTTAGTTCGGCGTTGCCTGTTTCGGATGGGTAGCCGTGTTATGTAGCCTCAATGCATGAAATCTGGAGACTGAAGACCGTGAGATAACTAGTTGTTCGGTGGCCTAACGGCTAAAAGTGCAATGCCGTACTCGTCAATTTGTAGTGGATTCGATTCCGCTCGATCGGAAACAGTTCCGGTCATTTGTCGAGACAAAGAAGTATAGCCTCATCAAAACCCAAGTTCTGCTATCTTGATGATCTCGGAATTTTTTCTGTTTGCCTTTTTTAAGCGTCCTTCCAGAGACAAGCATTGATCCTCGCGTCTCCACTCCTTCTTTGACGGGTCAGAGCTTCCATTCTAAACTTCCATAGCTCGAAACGCGAAGGATTCGACCTCTGATTGGTGTGCGACACGGTCATTTTGCCAGGGTTATTGCAACCCTTCTCTCACGTTGCTTAACTTGGACAGATCAGTTAATCAGAAAAGGTAGTTGCTAACTACATAGGTAGAGAGCTAACAAGACGTCAGGGTGTACAGAATACATGTTGACGCCTTGGTGCCTCAGGCAGAAATGGGCTCGGGAATCACCTACAATGTCCATTGCCTCTTTCTCCCTGTCTCTGTGTGGCTTATCTGCAGTTTTCAAATACAAAATTTCAAAATACAAATAACCCAATTACAGCAAAGGGTGAAGTTTTGTCCACAAAAACAAAAGTTATCTACATTCGGCATATCCGCCGGCCGGTGGTCAGCCATTTCGAATATCGGATAATCACCATGTTAAAGGTGTTTCCCTTGACAGTGAATTGGGTGAATCTTCAATCCTTCATTATTCATTCGCATCTCGGAATACATTTCCAGCCCAAACTAGCTTGTTACAGATGCCCCGGAGCTCTCCGACCACATCCTCCTCTTGTGGAGCCGTGCAATGACAGAAATGGATTACGCCCTAAGGTAAATTTTCTACAATTTATATAGTGACAGAGATCATGAAATCCATTTTTAATGAACCAAGTCAGTCTGGGCGCCTGATTGTCTCCACCGGGTCGAACTTCCAAACTTCACCCAGAGAAACACATAGTAGTGTATGCCCGGGTATTTACAGTCTTTGCCTTTTTAACCGCTGCTTCCGAGGCAATAGCATCTAATATCATTCTTCAGCTTCCGTTAATGTTGGCAATTCCGATTTCCGGAGTAAGTTCTCAAACCATTGTAACGTTGCTAGATGTCAAGTGGAGGCCTAAATTTGCAGTGGCGCTCATCCTTCGGCTTGATAATGTTCGGGCCAACTACCGTATTGAGCAATATTTAACAACTTCTGCCACCATTCAATCTAAAAAAAATAGACAAAGATGGTTCCCTCTCTCTTGGGGTATTTCCTCAATGGCTAGCCCAAATTTTCCCAATCCATCTGCGAATGGGCAGGGTCTGCTGTATTTGGTAAAAGAGCAACGGCCACGAACAAATCTTCGTCTGCTCAGGCAACCAAACCGGTTAATTTAGGTGTCTCCAGCGCTTGCACGGTGGTTGCCTAATAATTCATATATAACCATACTGTGAGTGTCGACCTTTATTCCATGGCATCCGAGTTTCTAGTTGCGATCGTGGTCATATTCCTTCTTTCCAATGAATCACACTGTGACTCCTATTAGATAATCCCCTTGATACCTTAATACGGAGATGGTATAAGAATATAGCACCTGAGGTGGTTGCTAAAAACGCACTATAGCCGTCTTTGAGCCACCCCCACCCCCTTTCATCCCCAAAGGAGGTGGGGGTGGCTCGAAGACGGCTATATGGGATACATGCGTGCCAGAGATGCAGGCAGCTAGCCAATCTACGGAGATTCGCGGATGGCATCGGAAATATCTGTGTGTCATTTATTGCTTGAGCAGGAGTGTTGTTAGAATAGCCAAGGGCCAAGCTCCCTTCGATAGCTAACCCGAAGAACCGATCCTTCATCTCCATCGCTAAAAGATGCCCAAAAATCGTCTCCGTGCACGACCGTATATTAAAGCCCAACGAGTGGGGTGCATTGGTTCCATGTTCTCTAAATCTAGATCATTATGTTGTGCTCCGTACGGAGTACATAAACACACCATAGCCGTTGGCCCACGAGAGGGCCATGCTGTGGTATCCCCAATCTAACGCACCAATCAATGCTTCGAGCATCTCCGTCTTTCCGAACTCCGAAGTCTCCACTCCGGTTATTTTCGTTCAGACAGGGGCACAGAAATTTTTGGGCTTGAACCATCGAGCTTTAATAGTACGTCGTTCGGAGTACATGGTTCGAGCTTGAACCTCTAGCTGACATGATATTTCCCTATCTTTTTTCTATAGTCAAGATCCTTCTTTTCTTCTCTCTTTCTCCCCTGGCCGATCAACGGTTCTAGTGAGCACGAATATTGTTAGCGCAACACATTTTCTGCATATACCGGCGGATGTTCATATTAATTTGGAGTACGGAGTATGCGCCGATACTTGGCTCAGCCAGCCGTCGAGTCATGTCTCCCATGATGTGTGGGGGTCCCTAATATATACTAGTCACCGTGTTAGAAATATATCGTAACGAGCTGAGGAGGCAAACCCGCAGAGTTTTCATGGATCTCTCGGCAACCTAATCTTTTGTGGGAACAATATATTGCTAAAAAAATATGGATTCTATTTCGCTTCAGAATTACTGAGATCCAGACATAAATGGGTGGTTGGCGACCAAGCTAGTAATGTTATGATGTAGTTGAAACAGGGGATCTAAGATTGTACTCCGTCCGGAGCACAACATCGGATATGTACATGCACGATTGGGGCTCCAAATTCCAAGTTCTCCATGATCGGCCAAGTACCGAGGCCCAACAGAGAAGAACAGCAGGCTTGGCATCCAATCTCGCGTCTCCTTTAAGTACAGTGGGGCCTCCAACACACGGTCATATCTCGGCCACTTAGTGGCGTGGAAGTCCACACTCTCCTTTTTTTTCTCTGATGGGTAAACAGACGGTAAGAACAGGATCTGCAAACTTGCCGACTGGCTGAGGCTGGATTTCAACAATTACTTTCCCAGTTCTTCGTGACTAGCTATGAACTACTCCTGATATTTCCCCTTTCCTACGCTTCCTGTTTGATTTGGTCTGGCACAGCTTGCATATCGTGTGTTTCACATAAACCCCCATTTCTCTGCCTTCACTCGCTATAACCGATGTTATGCAAACGTCGATTGATCCCTTAACAGAACCACTCGAAAATCTCGTAAAAAGCTACTTGAGTAACAATATTACTACCTAGTTCTTACCTCCGACCTCCGAGTACAGCGATGGGCCTTTATATGGTTGATGCTTCTGATGTCTGCAATGGAGCATCTAGAGGGTTGTCGGCACTTCTTGAATTACCGGTCCACATTGGACCGTTTGAACCGTTTGAACTTTCTTTAATTGATTCAATTCTGCCGTCTTGGCCAAACAGTAGTGAAAAAGTGCGAGAGTCTCGATATCCACAACCCTCAAGTGACCCAATATAATTTCGATTTACCATCCACAACGCGATTATGATGATATGTAGTCGATCTTGAATATCTTGATTATGAACAACATCTTGTATGCCCAGCCGGGGATCGTCTAGATCTACACTGATATATTGATGCACCTGATCCTCCGTACGGAGTACACGTTGCGGTTTAATATAGAAGGCCGATCTTAATCACATCCGTCATTAGTCTCATTAGCTCGCATAACCACAGCCGCCATTTGACGCTATATAAAGTTCTGGAGCAGGGCGTTTCATGTCGATCATCGATCCCTGCCTAATCAAGAATAATCAACTCCGCGGAAGTCGGTCATGATGTCTCCGCTAAAATTACATGCACTATTTAAGGCGTTTCCATGGTTGGCACTGGCGACAGATCTGTTCTTTGGGTTCGGTCGCGTGGTCCCCGATCCTCGAACTGGATATCACGGGAAATCCATCCACTTCTGTGCTCGTAGTGCGCGCTAATACCAGGCTCTTTTCACTTATCCAGCATCTAGACTGGAGCCACTATTTTCCAACATCCAATCATGATAGCCAGATCATGATCGCCTCAAGATCTGTAAGCGCCGTCGTATGAAATATATTAGCCTCCTACCGACACCGGCGTAGGTCATTATACTCCGTATTCTTAACTAGAGGAAGGCTCCACGCTGCTCAAGGCGACCCTTTCTTGGACTCCGAAACAAAGCCCGGTGCTGCTTCAAATGGATACAACTTTCCTGCTTTTTATTCCACCTAAATGGTGTTGTTTAGTCTCTCCTTTTTAGTAGTTTGGTCACCATAATGAGGATATCACGTTCCATTTTAGCTGTGCTGGCACTGCTAGTGGTAGGGAGTCATGCAGTGGGCTGGAATGCAACAGATTTCCCATCATGCGCTGTAAGTACATCTTTACGAGAAGCTTGGTCCTTTGCTAATCAAGATCGTCCAGGTGAAATGTGACGAACAGCTGTTTTCCTCCGATTGCTCATTGACCAACGGTACGTCATGTTTCTGTGCCAGTAGCTCACGTCCCACCAAACTGTTGGCGTGTGTTGAAAGAAACTGCTCCGTAAAGGACTTTTTCAGTAAGTACTTCTTGCGTTAGATCTACTTGAATTTACTCTGACTCCTCTACTCTAGCTACAAAACGTTTGCACGAAAACGAATGTGATATTCCAACACTCCGAGGCCCTGCAGAGATCCAGGCCTCAACTGTCATTCCTTTAATTCTGGGGACATTTTTCTTTCTTGCGCGAATGTTCGCTAAGAGTACCGGCCTGGCTGGTGGATGGGGATTGGACGATTATACCATCATCGTCTCATATGTCAGTGTCATTCTCCGATGTTCACTTAGGCCGTACTAACGTATGACAGATCATGGGGGTCGCCATTTATGTGTTGAATATCTACAGTAAGCCAGCGCCTACTACGATGTTTCTTTCTTTGTTTTGGAGAATCTAGGACTAACAAATCAGTGATTCGCTGTGGCTTTGGTCGAAACATTTGGGATGTTCCCTTTCCCACAATCACATTATTCTACAAGGTACATTACAGTCTCTTCCCCCCTCCTCCCACGCCCTACTAAGAAACTAACCAACGCAGTATTTCCAAGCTTTGGCCATCATGTATAAGGTCCAAATTTCCCTCGCCAAGATCTCCGTCTGCCTCTTCCTCCTCCGCATCTTCCAATCACGCCCCTTCCGGTACCTTTCATATGTGCTCATCGGTGTCAACGCTGCCATCGGTATCACCTGGGCTCTGGTGGACTCTTTCCGTTGCTTGCCAACCCGCCTGACGTGGCTCGGCTGGATGAATGAGGAGCCTGGAACGTGCATCAATTTCATTGACTCCATTCTCGTCAACTGTCTCGTGAATATCTTCGTCGACTTTATCATGGTTGTGATGCCGGTGTATGAAGTCGTCCAACTGCAGTTACCCCTGCGCAAGAAACTGACCGTCTCATTGATGTTTATCGTGGGTTCTGTGTAAGTGATTACCTGTATCCTACTCCTTTGGCCTTATAATAACCATTATCGCAGGCTGACAATCATTGCAATCATCCGAGTCGTCGTCTTTTGGAACCACCGTTGGGGAGCAAATCAGACCTTCGGCTTATACCCGCTTATCCACTGGACCGTCATCGAGTCCGAGATCTCTATCATGTGCGCTTGTCTACCGGCATTCAGAGCCCTCATTGGGCGTTATTTCCCCAAATTACTTGGAGGTTCGGGCTACCGCACCAATTCATCTCGCGCGCAGGAATACTTTCATCAAAAGTCAACAGAGAGCGAAAGCAGGATTAACAAGTCTGTCACCTACTCTGTCAACTACGAGCCGCAATTGCCGACGGGTAGCGACTTGGAGTTGTTGAGTATGGATTCGAAAGATCGTCAATGATGCATGGGATTAGGAGTTTTTCATTGTGTTCAACCACTTACAATACATATTCCTGTATATAAAAGCTAATTAATGATGTGCCATATTTGAAGTGGCCCTGGTTGGTGTCACCAGGGTTCTTCGATCTGTTGATGTAGTTGAGGTATTGGTACTCCTATGTGTTCAAGACTACATGTAGGCAATCAGGTAGATACTGAGGTATTGAATGGGCGGGGCATATATAAATATAGACATGGAGGTGAGCTCCGCCTACCTTGTGGAGAATAGTGACCCCTATCTCGAGATATGTCCGCACATATGCCGAAACATGGAGGGAGTTGGTTGTCAAGCAAAAGCAGTTGAATGGGATCGACGGCCCTAACTAGTATAGTGGGGAGCCAAGTCCCGTAGCAAGTATTCTCGCCTCCTTGTCTCTCCTTTATGTTGGATTGCGACTGCTAAGTCGATCCAGATGCTAGAGAATAGATATTCTCGATAACTGCCCTCGTTAATAGGTAGGGTGCTGTTGGGCAATTGGGTCCTTTCATTTGATGGACTAAGGAGGTACGCTTGGTTGGTGACCTTCGACTTCTGGAATAGGATTCCCATGGAGGCTGAATACATGTTGGAGGTTGGAGGGGACGGTTCAATTATTATCAGTGTGTTCGAAATATTTCCGAATTTGGAAACCCGAATGGCAGAACTTCACTTTCCAACTGGAGACTTCAGAAGATGTGCTGGGAAAAGCATACCGAGGTACGACTTCGAGGCGTAACTGTCTAGGCTGGTAGTGGAGAGACTAGTTTCGTCTGACCTTTGTCTCCGTGTTGTGTTGACTGTTGTTTGATGGTCAACGGAGACCTTTACCTTGTGCTTCCTCGACATTACCACCTTCCATTTTCAATCTCGCCCTTCCACATCACACTTGCTCTCATACAACCACTATTCTGCCAACCCTCTTGTCACACCATAAGTTATTTTGGCTCGCGAGATTTAACCAAAATGTACGACTGTGGCCTCTGTGACTGTGAGTTCAGCGACCAAGATGACTGCGATGATCATATGGACCGTTACGATCACTGGGTGGAATGCGAGACGTGTGATCGAAAGTTTCGCACCCAGCAAAGCTGCGATCAGCACATGAACGCGACGAATCATCGGAGCTCATCCTATGAGTGCGACACCTGCAGCCGCACGTTTTTGTCTCAGCATGCTGTAAACCAGCATATGAATGCCAAAGGTCACCGGCAGCCAAGTGTCCCATGTGATACATGTTCACGGATGTTCTGGACAGAGGATGACGCCGATAAGCATATGGAAGCGACGGGGCATCATGCCAATTACTGTGGGGAATGTCAGCAAGATTTCATCAATGAGTGTTGTCTGCGCCAGGTATGTGGGACGGCCAAGTTACCAAGGCAGTCCCTAATCTGCAGTCTGAAAAAGGTCCATATGTTGACTAACCCGTCCATAAATCAATAGCATTTGAATTCTGGTACACATCGTGGCTATACGTTTACCTGCCAGTTCTGCGACGAGTCCTTTGTCACTGCGAGTGGCGTTACTCATCACCTCGAATATGGTTCGTGCCCGGAAGCTGACTTGAACCGCGCCAAACTGTACAACACGATCAAGGAACTCGACCCGGAAGGCATCATCACAAATAGCCAGGTTACATCATGCAAAGAACGAAAGCGGCGCTACTTTGCTCCCCGTAGTGCCTTCAATGGGACGTTCTGGGAGTGTTACCTGTGCAAAGGTGAATTCCACTCGGCCAATGCTTTGAACGCACACGTCAATTCGCCGGTCCATGAGGAGGAAATCTATCACTGCCTCAAGATGGACGGAGGATGTGACAAATATTTCGTGTCTCTTGGTGCTTTATTCAATCATTTGGAAAGCGGGTCGTGCGGATATGTTGGGTTCAATGGTGTGCGAGAGATTTACGAACGACTCACCGACGCTATCCAGAACCATGAGGAGATCACCAAGCTCTGAACGAAAATATCTACTACGGCCTTTGCTCAGGTTAGGAAGGAGCTTTGGACCACAAGGGAAGCAAGAAACGGGGGGCAGAGGTCACGGAACCGGTACTTCATGATATCTCAGGAATGGGAACATGTTTTTGTTATTGATTTGGAGTGGACTATGTCATAATAGGTCAAATTATCTTAAGCATCTGTGTTTCTGTGTCTTTGATGTTCTGAAGGGCCCGACTCCTAGATAGGGTTCTACGCTAAGTCTTCAGAAATATCGAACATAGCAATATTTACCCGTACACAAGCCTCTCGGTAGTTGTAATCCTACATATGATTTAGATCAACAAGACCCAGAGAACTAGAAACAAAGGAAAGAGGAGCAAATTGATGATAGTACGAAATGAAACTTTTACGTATACCCGGAAGCCGGGGAACTGTGCCCTGGTTAGCAAAAGAGGATCTGCGTTACGATACGCAAACCGGGAGAATGAAGCTCTCCCTGGTGCCTTAAGGGAAACGCATTCGGATTGGTCATGAGTAGTTCGCTTTTCAACTGAAGACATCGAAAGCTTCAAGGGAGACCATGAACAGCATAGACATGGCAACCTGATCGTTTGTGCGACTGGGTCTGACCCATCATATACTCCTCGGGTCACGATCAAGGGCCGAGAAGGCCGACCCTTGCGAAAAGATATGAAGAAACCTCGGAGACGTATCTCATTGTCGCCACTGATAGCTTTCCAAACTATTTCATTTTACTCGGACTGAACGCGGCGCAGGGAGAGGGTAATTCTCCCCTCCTCATCGAGGAAGCATTGGGGTATGTCACGGAATGCGTGATCGAGATGCAGTGGGACAACATTCGGACTATGAGTGTCCGCCAACAATCGGTCAGGTGTTTCTCAAAATACAGTGATCAATATTTCGCCCACACGGTGTTCAGCACCAAATGTCGCAGCTGGTACAAGGGCGGAACTGAAATTGGTCGAGTCACTGTGGGCAGGGATGTGAGTTCCTGTCAAATTCATTGTTGTAGTTCCGACCAAAAGATCACAGGTTTCTCGTTGCACTCCATGAAGACATGTGCAAATCCCAGGTGGGAGGGCTTCAAGTACGTCGGCAGTAAACAGACCGGGCCTCGGAAAATCCCCCTTTCAATGCCGAGAGTGTCGGGAGCGTGACCGTATTATACCGCGGCAGTAATTTTGCCAAGTATCTGCCCGCGCTACTCAGCTACCAAAAGTACATCCAGCTCCCACACCCCGGTCGCAATACGGGTACCCCATTCTTTCCATCCCCAGACTCGCTGCTTCTGTCGTTACCCCGGATATCCCCCCCGATGGCCCGCCATGAAGCCGACAGACAAGCATTTCCGCTGCAATATCTGCCAGCGGGGTTTCACGCGCATCGATCACCTCAAACGTCACCATTTACGCCGTGTGTATCCTCGTCCTGCAGCTATCCATGTCTCATACTGAGTCTCAACAGATTCCGGCGACAAACCCTACTCCTGCCTGTTCTGCAATACCTCTTTCGCACGCTGGTAAGTTGGATTGGGTAAGGATTGGATTTGGAATTTTGAGACTAACATCTGGGCTGGAGTGATAATCTCCGTGACCATTACACCACTTGCGCTAGACGCGGGGACCGCGACATTCCCGAAACCGGTCAGAGGGGCAGGCGGCGGCATGCATGTCAATCAGTTAGTCCTCTATACCATTTCAAACGTTACCATGCTCATTATTTTTGGTCGAACAGTGTACTTCCATGAAGCTCCGATGTGACGGACAAAGCCCTTGCGGAGCATGTCAGAAAAGGAACCTTGTGTGCAATAATCAGCAGACGACAGGGTCAAGCCATCATGGGATTCAAGAAGGTAAAGTAAGCCTTGAATCAATTCGATTCGACGCAAAGCTCATATGCTGCTTACAGAAACATCGTTGAAACCTGGAAGCTCTGAGCAGGCATCATCGCATCGAGGATCGATCAAGTTCCTACTTAACGGCGGTACGGACAGTTTCACAGAAACCTTTCGACTTCCTCCCCGAAGTGATCGTACGCTTAGTCTCAACTACCACAATCGAAATGGCTTTGAGGAAGTGCAGCGCATGGAGGCGCCATCCAACATCGACGGTGGTCGATCAGCATACAGCTCCGGAGTCATTAATTCTGACCATCCTATACCCCAATTCTTTCAGGCAACATCACTATGGTTCTTCAATGGCCCATTTGGTGATGGGCAGCACCCAATGGAGTCCTCATGTCATTCGAACGATATAGCCTACCAGACAATGAGCCCCTCGGAGCAAAATAATCCTGTCGCATTGCCTGGAGATCCACCCATTTTTGAACGAAGTCTGGAATCAGAGCGGCCATTCGCGGCAGCGTTAGTTCAATCAATATTAGCAAGAATCCGACAGGTCCTAGAACCCAAAGCGCAGGAGGAAGTATCTGCGCACCTGCACTTTCTATTGACAACTGCGCGTATAAGAAAATTCATCACGCTCTATTTCAAGTATTGGCAACCCAGTTGTGCAATGCTTGAAAACTCGTTTGATCCGGAGACAATTCCTCCATCCTTGCTTGCGGCGGTAAGCTTTATGGGTGCAATTTACAGTACCGACACAAGGGAAGCAGAGCTGGCTAAGAGAGTCTTAGATTTTGCAGAGTTGTTCGTCTTTTCAAATGAGGTATTCTTGGCAGAAAGTGAGATGTGCATTGTCTTCTCTGGTGATCCGTGCCGCGATGAAGAACCCACGGATTGGGCCAGGTTCCAGAACTTGCAGGCCGGGTTCATCATGGTCATCGTCCAGTACTGGTCAGGGAACCACATAGCTCGCAACCGCGCAATAGAAAATCGGTTTGGTGAGATTGTGAAAGTTGCACGGCGAATGGAACTTGTCAAAGCCCGCCACCTTCCCAACGATGGGCAAATTGAGGAGTTGTGGATTCAAAAAGAGTGTCGGATCAGGTACGTGCTTTTTGTCTTTTTAGTTAGACCTGCTTTTCTAATATCTTCCAGGACTATGTCTATCATTTCCCTCCTTGACTGCGCGTTCTTTTTCTATCAAAACTACCCCTGTCGCCTCACATTAACGGAAATGGAATGCGATCTTCCCTGCGATGAATCTCTTTTCTTCTCCGAACACCCATTTTCGGAGCCAAACTTCCGCTTTTCACGGGATCTCCAAATTTCAGAGGCTTTTGAAAATTTGTTTGCAGAAGCACCCGAGTCTGATACCATGGACCTCACGACCTTAGACATGTTTATCTTGATACACAGTATGTCCCTCTACCCAATTGATAATAGTTAGGCTTTTAATCCGCTGACTAGCTTCCTAGTTCTTTATTCATTTATTAATACGCACATGACACTTCTCGGTCCGTTCATACGCAAGGGTCATATTAGACAACCCAGTCAGACCTCCCAAGATAGGTCAAAAAACGCCGCTCAACTTCCCGAAGATTCCATTCTCATTGCCATCCGCATTGCCCTGTCTCGCTGGCGAGATTACTGGATTGCAATGCGCAATCGAGTATCAAACGCCGAGTGGGCTTCGATGGGATTCTACAAAAATGCTTATAATTTTTGGCTGGTTTCTCAACTGCTCATCACCAACAAGGATGCCGTTGATGTGGTGATGCAAATGGAAGTGAACTGCGAAGATAAGTTGGAGAAGCTCAAAGTGTTGCTCCTCGACGACCAGGAAGACTTGTAATGATAACAATGAACTCGGAGGTGTGTGTACATTTTCTAGATTCTATTAGATTTGAGGGCCTTGAAGGCTATACTTACCTTTGGACTTAGCACTGGCTTTTCGTAGAGTGTCTTGGGAAGTTCCGCTGCATCAAGCCTTTTCATCTCCCACTATTCACCCGGTTTCGTCATCAGTGTGGACAAAGGCTTTTGCCCATGAGATGGCTATCTCGATCCATCATATCATTGGTATAGAATCAATCCGTGAGCGCAGTCACAGCATATACCTGCTCCGTTGGATGTGTTCCCAGCGACAGGGGCTCAATGGGCATCGCTCCGATCGTTTTTCCCACTCGGTGTATCCTCGGGCTTCACGATCTGGGATTGATCTTTCTGGGATCCACTGACTGCCGAAGGACGATGGCCTCAATGGTTTGATGAAATGCTTGCCTTCGGCTATTTCCTCTTTTGGTCTCTTTGGATCCATCCTGGCTGGCCGCAGATTTCATTGGAGTTTATTTATCCGGGAACATGTCGGTCTCGTGTTTCAGAAATTTGACTTGGACGGGTCTCCTGCAGGTCTTGTCTCCAGTGATAGGCTATTCGTTGCTGTCTGTCCGCCCCATGCGCATCGAAGGGTCTGGAAACCAAATTTGTCGCTTCGACTCTTTTGCCAACCTGTTACTCGGCTCATCCTCTTTCTTGGGCTCTTTTTTAGGGGATCTATTCTCTTAGTCTTTTCCTAATTATGTGGCGGAGACCTGCGAGTGTTCGATGCGCTCTCAGTATACCTAGTCTGCTTCGTCCCGATCTTCTGGTTCGGGCCGATTTCTGCGAGTAAGTGCCTTTTATCTGTTTCCGGAACAGTGGAAGCTCTCTGAAGGTGCTCAAAATTCCTGGTCCCTCTGGCATGAAAATTTTACCTGGAAGCGAGGATTTCCGAGCAATATCTTCAATAATCTCGTCGACGTATAAATGTGGTTCCTTATGGCTATCCCAATGGCAGGGTCGCGACCTTGTTGTGATTGATCTCCTCGGGGACCCAGGGCTGGGAATGACCAGGTGTTTCTCGTGGTCCATGATGTCGCTAGCTGGAAATTAGGAAGTTTTGAGCTAGCGCAATGGATCTATTTTCCAATTGTACACAACTTGTATTTGCTCCATTAAGATTCGTTTGCGGCCACGGTATGGTCTTTGATGGGTGTATACAACCTTGGAACTTGGCCAGGCGACGTCGCTGAGTCTGCCAAAGCGATTATCTTAATTGACACTGCATGCAGCTGAGCGAAAATGATGCAATTGTAATTTTAACCAGCAACATATGCAGATCAACTCTTTCTTTGAGGCTTTTAATCTATCGACGCCAGGCCATATCCCGATTCCAAAAGCCTGCTTGCGTATGGTCTATCATGGCTGATGATTGCGTCTGTACCCCAAAGGCTTCTTTAATTCAACATTTATTCCCCTTGCAAATAGATGGGCCGTGCAACTGATCGCTTGTTTCATTGTACCAAGATCTGTGTTGTCTATCTACATCTCAAAGCGGATCTGGTAGCATCTCATGAAAACGACCTTATACCGAAGTTAGCATTTTGGCTATATCATGTGGTCATGGAAGGTCAGTTACTCCGTAGAAACAACATACTTATGTTAGCAAATCTACCGTTCCCAATGCGACACATCTTCACAAAGAGGTATCGGACCCAGCATTTCATGCAATTTGGGTTCCAGTCTCATACCTAGGTACGGAGTACCTACCCTCGAGACCACAGGCATGGGCTACCATTGAGGTCAGAATATCCTTGCTTTCTGCAAAAATGTTAACATATATGAAGAAACGCAAGGGCCACCGATCTTCTTGTGGTGAGCTTACTTGCAGACCAGATAATCGGGGGTTTCTGTGATCGATCGGGCTGCTCCATGATAGAAGATCATGCATTCAGTGGACATCCCCTGTGGATCAAACAATTTGCCCGCTGTTCCAATGGTGCTCTGTGCCGTACTCGACAGGTCATTGGAACAAACAATCGACCGAAGAGGGCCGGGCCCCCGATGTTACAGTCCTGAATAGCTACGGAGTACTCCGTGCGTAGTACATGGGTGCAGATTATCAAGGCATTGGGATTAATTTCAATTGGAGGGGTTACCGGAGGACAGGCATAGTTTTCCTCATGCCAATCGGCATCGACCAATGGAGAACCATCTGCAATGCAAGGCACAACAAATGTGATAGTGAGATTCACCGAACGTAGCATCCACCCGACATTTGTCACGGACTACTCCGTGCCTATGAGCTGAAATTGGAATCGATAACCATTCCAGGGGCGACAGTTCGTGGGTCTTGGGAGAGATCCACGGGGAGTCCAAGCCCTCCGGAGGTCCCGTCGGCGGTCCCGCTGGAGCATCCAACCCTTACTAAGATGTATTCTGCCGGCAGAAGGAACAAGGTTATACCACCAAAGGCGGTACAAATGGAAAATGGAGGCGGTAAAGGTGTCAAACGATATGGAAGAACAGGTGAATCGTTGCTTCCTCACAAGGTTTGGCGAAGTTCTCTACAGCTCGTGAGGCCTTGCTCTGTGCGGAGTACGAAGGTACTCCATGCAATATAGAGCTTTGCAAAACTCCACGCTCGCAATCTCAAAATGAGCACTCACGCAAGGGGCTCCTGATCCCTGACGATCTCGGCGATCTCTTCAGCTCGAGCTGCATGCTCTCTACTAGTGGCTCCACATGCGCTCTTCTAGCTGACTATTGTTATGGCGTTCCACCATTCTGTGCCAGAATGGGAGTCGCGTTGCGGACGCTTATAAAAGGTCTCGTCTCGACCGCCCCTCGGGTGACACATTCGCATACCTGAGCACTCGCATCTATCCTGCACGATGGTTTTCAGCAAGGCAACTTTCGCATCGGCCTTCGTCTCTCTGCTGGCATGCGCCACTGCGGTAGAAGTGCCCACCACCGATTATGACGTTATCGTGGTTGGTGGCGGTCCTGCGGGACTGAGTGCCCTCAGTGGTGTTGCTCGTGTCCGCAGAACCGCTCTGTTGATCGACAGCGAGGAGTACCGCAATGCTCCCACCCGTGAAATGCACGATGTGATTGGTAACGATGGTAAGATCCATATTCCAAGATAATTCCGATCTAGCCAAGGATTTTGGCTGACCCCTTTTCCTCAGGCACTCCACCAGCTGCTTTCCGGACTCTTGCGCGTGAGCAGATCTTGAAGTATGATACTGCCCACATAACCAATGAGACTGTGGAATCAATTGTTCCTCTTGGGCAGGGAGATTTCTCTTCCTTCACTGTGACCGACAGCCAGGGGAAGAACTATACGGCTCGCAAGATCGTCCTTGGCACTGGTGTGCGTGATGTTCTTCCTGCAACTCCGGGCCTTCAGGAGGGATGGGGCAAGGGTATCTTCTGGTGCCCCTGGTGCGACGGATTTGAACATCGGGATCAGCCATTCGGAATGATCGGCGATATCAGTGATATGCTGAGCAACGTCTTGGAGACTCACACTCTGTATGACGATATCATTGCCTTTGTGAACGGCTCGCAGACTGCTGAAGGCGAAGCTCGCGCATCTGCCAAGGTTCCTGACTGGAAAGAGCAGCTTGCCGCTTGGAACACCACCATCGACAACCGCACCATTTCTTCCATTGAGCGTCTCCAGGACGGCGGCAAGAATCGGGATGAGAATGCTCATGCCCAATTCGACAAGTTCCGTCTTCACTTCACCACCGGCGAGCCCGTCGAGCGCAATGCTTTGATTGTCAACTTCCCTACTGAACAGACCTCTTCCCTTCCGGCCAAGATGAACCTGCAGATCGTCGACAACAAGATCAATGTCACCAGTGGTATGCGCACCAGTGAGACTGGCGTCTTTGCAGTCGGTGATGCCAACAGTGACGGCAGCACCAACGTCCCTCACGCTATGTTCTCAGGCAAGAAGGCTGCCGTCTTCCTTCATGGTAAGGTTTCTCTTCCTTTTACTCTTTACCGACGACTAACATCGTTTGAACCACAGTCGAGCTTTCCCGGGAGGAATCGAAGTCGAAGCTCTCCAAGCGTTCCAATCTCTCCCGGCGCGAGCTTGAGCAGGAGGCTGAGGATGCTATTGGCGACAACCTTGACAAGGAATGGAAGTGTGCTCAGGAGTAATGGGCTCCTCACATTAGACATGCACTTCGTCATGCATGCTCATATTGTTTCAGTATCCCAAGTATTATTTAGTCAGGAAGCACCTGGGACTTCCCAGATAATGAAAATTCATGACCTACCTCACCTACCTCACCTACCTCAGGGATGTCGGTTTCCAATATCACTTTGCTTCGTCTCAATGGCAGCCTTCCCCGGCGCTCTTTAGTGATCTGTCTTCCCTTGAATCATGTTTGAATTCATCCGGACCCTTCAAGCTTCTATCCTAACGCGAGGATCCCAAAAAGACAACTTTGCTGCACTTCTCGGGCACCCGGCCTCGGCCATGTCAACCCGCGCACTTGATTCACAACACTTATATCCTATTAATTTTATATGCGCAGGCTATCACCTACCTCCTTGTATTTCAGCTCATGACACGACGTTCTTGCCTCCACAATCCAACGTCCTAGAAAGAGCGTTCCACTGACGTGACTCCGCACAGATCAAGATGTAGAGCCGCTTGTGATGGAACATATGTATGGTATGGATCGACGTGATGAGAACAATATTTGCATTAACTTGATATAGCGCTTTTTACACACTTGTTCCTATTCTGAATAACATCCCAAACCCACCTTTGACGCGAACTGATGATGGTGCACCTTCAGTGTACAAATACACCCTGTAGAGCAGTCCTCGAGGTGTCCATGAACCTCCAGTGCACATTCGAGGACTGATCGTCCGAAATCTAAGGCCACAACCCAGCCGCGCAAACAAGACAAAAGAAAATATAAAGAAAAGCAGGTCGATCCTTGACGTGCCCGATCCCGCCATTCTTGCCCTGGTCTATCCTTTTACCTATGGGGTACCTGGATGTGGAAATGGTACTTGCCGCTTCAATCGCTCAAAATTGCTATGCTGGCATCAGACTCGCCGTTTAGAAGGGAAGGGTGAATTGAAGAGTATGGAACAACATACTGTTCTGCGTTTTACTCGACGCATCCCGAATACGAACGGGCCGTTCTTTTGTATAGCTGCGATTATTGTCTGAAAGGGTTCCAAACGCGGACGGAGACTGGGAAGCCTGGAAACGATCCCAATCAAGCAGGCCACCTGTGTTCAAGACCCGCGCTTATTGTTTACTGGGTCGATTTTATTCTTCATGCCTTCAGTCTTTCATCTATGCTTCTGTTAAATGAAAAAACCCAAATAAAGAAATAGGTCGTTGCGACAAGAACTTTGAAATTGCGAAGCAAATAATTCATTCCACACGATATCGCGGCGAAAGCCTTACAGGGTAATCTCCTCCGCTCTTCTTCTGATGGCGATCCTGGCAAACGGATCTGCTGCGAGTCTCATTCCGGACTTCAATACTTGTGGCTTACAACCCTCTGCCACCTTGAAGTCGTACTTCATAATGATATGGCACAGAGCAACCTTCAGCTCGGCCGCAGCAAAGAATCGACCTGGGCAAGCGTGCTTTCCAAAGCCGAATCCCATGTGCTCGGGGGATGGAGACACGAGCTGGGCGAAACTCTCTTGGTCTGAGCCTTGTTGGCGCATCTTTAGGAACCGATGGGGATCGAAGGTGTGGGGATCAGGGTAGACACTCTCATCCCACATCTTACTACAGGAAACAAGAATGATTTCACCCTTGGGAATAATGGTTCCATCAGAAAGCGTGACGTCCTCCTCGGCATAACGTGCCATTTTGGCTATCGGAAATTTTATTAGTTTGTGGATCTCTCGAAGTGGAAGTGGAAGAAGTTGCTTACCGATCGCCATAGGCTTGACACGCTGGGACTCCTTGACCACGCTGTCCATCAACTTGAGTTTGTACATGGTACTCTTATTCCAGCTCCCATCTTTGAATACAGAGATGATCTCTTCCCGAAGTTCTTGAACAAGTTCCTCTCGTCCGCAAAGGTCAAGGATGGTCTGAGTAAGCAGGTCCGTCGTGGTGTGGATAGCCGCAGTGGAAAGCGCCAATTGCATAGCCGCAGGTTCAAAAGAGCGGTCCTTAGTATTCTCTGCGAGCCATTGAATGGCGTCATGGTAACGTTCCTGGGGCTTTCCTTGCTTGATGGCGGCCTCCTGGGCCAACCGTCGCTCGTCAATGACTGGCTGAATAATATCCCGAGCTTCCTGGAGTTGCTTTCGGATCTTCTGGCACTTGGGTAGGAATCTAGCAGCAAAGGGACGCAGCATTTCGGGCCACAGGCGGAGCTCGGCAGCGGCCATCAGAGAGTCCACAGTGTAGTTGACGGTGAGTCGCAGCCAATCCGGGTTACGGCAAACCTTGTCGCCCAGGAAGACTCTGGAAGAGAGTTGGGCGACAATTCCCAAAGTCTTTGGTCGCAATGGGACATCATGCCATTCTGAAATGCGAAGTCAGTCGGGTATAACAAGGCATTATCTTCGCAGAACCACTTACCAGGGCTGTCAGTCCATTGTTCTTTCAGCAGGATAGTGGCCTCCTCTGACATGGGCTCGGTAATATTCACTAGTTACGTTAGTGGGTTTCTCTATCGGAATGAAGCCTTTAATTTTCATACAGAGGTTCTGAGTGAGTTTCGTTCGGACGGTATCCTGGATGATATCAGACGTCACGGTAACCTTTACGGCATCAAATCCCGCGATGTTGACATGATGTTCTTTGACCAAGGCAGCACTCAAGCTCAGATCACGATGGCTCCGAATATCATCAGCATAGTTGGGTGACAAGATAGTCCTAGTACCGTTTTCCGTCACGATTCGGAACGCTCCGGCCTATATCCCAGCGTTAGCACGTTAACAAGCTACTGATATTGCCTACTCAAAATACCTTTGCTAGACCAGAAGTGATCAAATTATGCGCATTCTTCAGATACCGTTGCCGGGCTTTAGCGATTCCAAATTCAAAAGGTCGCTTTCCATTTACAAGAGGTAGCTCGGACTTGCGAGCGGAAGTCAACAAGAAAAATAATCCCGACAGTACCACCAAGCCAATTAGGCTCACAGGCTCCAATTTAGCCAATAATGGCAACGTGTCAATCGCCATTGTGAGCACAGGTCAAAGGAAAAGGGGAACGGTTTCAGGAGAGAATAGGTCCAGCCATAAATTTAAATGGACGAGGGGACAGTTACTGATTCAAGATAACGCATGAGATTCCTAGCGCTGGTAGAAATGGTACTGATCACTGCCTATCTTATGTAAAGAACTAGGTTGAAGGGAGCGATGTTTGGCGCTACGCTGCGTCACGGCTATGGAACCCCAGCCTTCGATGTTCTCTGTAAGGGTGGACTGGAATACGTATTTCAAATGTCTGTTTGGTATGCTGGGCGGAGGAATATGTCCTCTGTACTCCGTACAGAGGACCCGCCTTGCCAATGTAGAACTCGATGATTACTACGGAGTACACCGTAGTGCTCTATCCTGATGTAAACTTTGAGGTTGTAATATTGGGCTTTTTACGGAGTACAGTCCAGGTGCATTAGTCCCGTAGAAGGGCAGGTGCATAATTTATTGAGCAGTGGCTGGCTGAGATCTACATATAGATTCCAGTCGGTCCCATTTGACTGGAACTGTGGACCCAAAGCTCACATTGCATAGGTATTTTAATATCTACTGCGCGCAGATCATATGTAAGAGAACAACTAACTGTTCTGAAGGATAAAGACATCAATCAATACACCAAGTCTCTCGGGCGCATTGTTATAACTCCCATGGATCGTGTCTTAGTTATTTCCGATTTGGACGAATCTTGAAGATCGATTTACTTGGCAGTGTCTCTCCTTGCATTGTCAATCCCAGATCAGTGTACAGGGTACTGAGTACTCCGTACTCCGTATAGTTGCAACTAAATGGGGGGCCCATTTGTATCAGCTATGTACCGCCTGAAGAGGGTTAGCTGCTCGGACTCGGATGCATGGATCCACCTGTCTTGCAACCTTCCAAGGTTGATCACACCGTCAATCTCAACGTCGATCAGTACCGAATACATGCACATCTATGTATGCCGATCCTGGCTTCACACTGTGTAATCCGTATACGGTGTAGATACGGATATTATCGAAAGACCAATCTGAATTAGTAACTATCTAACAACATTGGGTCAATCGGGACTTTGACCTGAGACACAACAGTACGGGCAGCGTTTTGCGCAGGATACGAATGCTTCCAATAGCTGTCAATCTAACAAGAAAGGATGGCACCAGCACCGATGGGGCTCTACCTGTTGCATTTGATACGTGTTTCCAAACCACAGTTTGATCCTATGTTAGGAGTATTTTGTATGGATCCAAATAATAATTTGAGGAAAATCGGTCTATTTAGCCATACAAGTTGAATCTAGCCAGGTATGGTGAGCTATCTCGACTATTGCATGATGCAAAGAGACTAGTCGGCTACAATGAACATTCTATCGTAACTATACATAGAGATGTGAGAGAAGGAGAATATCGAATTCTCTACTTATGAAGAACAGCTAAACTAACTAGAAAGCGTGGCAACAGCCTGGAAATTAGAGTGCCCGCCGCATGACCCCAATTCACAGCAAGTAAAGCAGAAGAGAAACCACCATATCTATCCATTCCTCCAATTTGTCATATGTTCATGTGCTCTGCTTGAGAAATCACTCGGCGCAGCAGGTCCAGCAGTCCTGTGATAATCAGCAAATGCATACTCCCGGGAGTATATACAGCCAGTGGAGCTACATATTAGGAAAACTAACCTGGCCGTCCGATGTGATTTGAGCAGACTTCCAGTTGTCAGGACAATCGACGGGCTCATCCCTGCAGAGACGGAGGCAGGTAGAGTCATCCGCATCTTGGGGAATGGCATGGACACCGATGGCCAGCGCAAGGGTAGCAATGAGTAGAGAGTAGAATTGCATTTTGAGGGATTGGTTCACGAAATTGTGTTGAGATACGAAGAATGTGGATGAAATTGCGCAATTAGAGCCAGGAGTGAATGGTGTATTCGAGTTTGAAGCTCGAAGGAACAGTCTTTATATCAAACCTCATGTCTCTATGCTGTTGGTGGCTGGTGAACCATGCAAGTTGCATGGGATTTGCGACTATCGAAGAATGTAAGTTCGGGAAAAAGAAAGTGATAGTCAGAACCTAGCAGCCCCGTTGTCGAAGTACATCGACAGTCCTGCATAACAGTAGAGGAGCTCTGCAGTCCGTACTCCGTATTCAAGAAAGATAGTCTGACGATCAACTCCTGGATAGCTCCATCATGTTGGATTGTTGACGACAACGTGGATCAGCACTGAGACTGACGGAGTATAAGTTATTGAGTCCCCAGCTCCACTCATGTCATGCAACATCGCGAAGCAAGGAGTCTCTGGTGCATTCCTCAGACATGTACGGGGTATACGAAGGACCGAGTGTTAGCGCTGGAATCCATCACATCGACCTTGACGGGACGTGCCGTGCCGTATTAAATACGGTGTACTGAAATAAAACACGTAACATAACAGCAAAACGAAAAAATGCTTCCCTTGTGTCACATGTATTACACGTATTGTCATCCCCAACCAAGGCTCCGTCCAAACCTTTTATTTCTTAGTTTCAAGGTTATTTTCTGTTCTTCACACATAAAGCTTGAATATTTAGGGTGAAACATTGTCGGATACTGGTATTTAGCATTCCAGGGTCGGTTAGGTTCAATACAGAGACAGGTCTATCAGAGTTGTACTCCGAAATTCCTTCAATAACAGAAAAGCTAGGCCAGGAAAGGATTTTCGCTGTACGAACAAAGCCATATAACAAGATAGAGCAAAGATAAGAGGGATCGATTCTTTGGACAAGCCGAGCAAATCATCAAAAACGTTATCGGCCTGACTTTTGAGGCATCAACTTTTGTTTATGAATAGAAACCACGAACGTCAAGGAGAATACTGATCTGAAAAGTGAACTGGTTCCATCTGGGAATACTTGGTAAAACAACGATTGATAAACTAGGCGAAAAATCGCAAATTGGGTTGGCATAGTACCGAACTTCAGCAGAGATACTAAGAATATCTGGGATTCGAGAAGGAATTCCTAATATAACGTAACTAATCATGAGGGAGCGGAACACCAGTCCAATTGTTTGTCGAGACGGTTAATGAGAGAAGAGCGCCGTTGAAATGGCTGTTGAGTGGGAAAGAACGTCGTCAAGTCCTCAAGCCTTGCACAGAGTATCCCGCATACCCGAGATTGAGGGAGTGAAGAAGTACTCGCCTCCGCGGGGGATGACCCAGCGTCCGATGGGGATGAAGTGATCGTTCTGCTTGGGGACAGGCTTCTCGACATCGGGCATATTGATAACTGGTGCGGGGTGATCGTAAAGAGTAGGCTCCTCTCTGTCACGATAATCAGGGGGAAGCTGGCCAATGATGGGATCGATTCCCTGGCCTTGCGCGCCTCCACACTCCTTGGTTCTATCCTCAGGGCCACCTTCGGTGTTTGCCCAGTCTGGGGAAGGTTGTCAGCAATGTTTCGTCCCATTATAGAGCACTAACTCACCTTTCTGGACAGTACGGAATCCATTGGTGATGCTACTCTGGTAGGAGACGAAGAGCAGTCCGCGGTCATGCTGTGAGACACCACCGCGCTTCTCATCGTTGTGGGTTAGAGGGCCGTATGGAATACCTCGACGGAGCATGAGGTGCTTTGGGTGGGGTGGGTGGTCATCGCGAGGTCCGCACTTGCGAATGTGCGAGGCATAAGGGCATCGAGTCTGATCCTCTGGCTTGTAACTGAAATCGTCGGTGTGATTTCGCTCTTCCCTCTTCTTGAACTCTTCCTTCTCGTCTTTGCCTTCCTTGGCCCACTTTTCCTTCAGCATCTGGTTGTTGATGAGTGGATCGTGGTGAAGCGACTCGTTGGGGTCTTTGTCTCCGTAGAGCTCAAGTGGAGCTCCTGCAAGTTCTGCTGTTAGCCCAGATTCCTTTGGGATATCATATATCCGTTGCCGGACTCGCGAGTACTTGCAAACTGCGATTTTCTACTTACCATCAGGCCAACGTCCCATGACACGGGATGAGAATAGGCGGAGCTCTGTCAGAGCCTGGGGTCCATTGTCTGCGTTTGCCTTCGTGCTCAATTTCTTAATATTGCCCGCGCACCATCTGACCCAAACTGTTAGCGTCTGACATGGCATGTCCCAAACGAGAGTGTACAGAAGTGATGGTGGGGGCGACTTACGTGACAAATTCCGGAACCTTTTGCTCATAAGTGCGGAAAACCATGAAGCTACCATCCTTGGCCCAGGCTGGGTGGCTATTGGTGTCTTGGTCGCCTCCAACAAGAATGACGCTGTGGAAAGCATAATCAGCACTTGCACCTGGCCTGACTTTTGATGTCATATTGGATGAAAATTACCCATTGGGGATTGGCTTCATGCCATTCTTCAGCGTCTTCTTCGAAAGGTCGTCGAGACCCATGACGACGGGCTGAGAGATACCATCCACCCATCCAAAGCTATGAGGCCCCGGGTTAGCAATATTTTCGCGAGATCATCTTGGCTCTTGCTCTCACTGTTCTCGGTCATCTTCAAGGACGAATCCACTCTGAGAAAAGGTTCTTTGCATGCTCTGACCACCTTTGCCAACCTGGAACATAGGATCGATCAATGTTTTGATCGTCTTCTCGATGGTCTGTTCGCTATCACCAGTGACTGTAAATACGCCATCAATTCCGCCGGTGCTGGGCTTGAACTGATAGAACCAATCATGTTGGTCGTCAAGTCCTTGGTGCAGCTTTGCATCTTCACCGGGCATTGGGTATGTAAGATCCTGGTACATGCCGTTGTTGAAGACCTCGTCAGTGAATCCCTCGGCTCCAAGCTATTTGCGGTTAACATTTATATGACCACAGCATGAGACTCGCTGAAATACCTTAGCTAGACCCTTGGCTGAGAAAGCAACGTTGATTGCCGAGAGCTTAACGAGCCCGTTGAGAGTACCAGCGGCCTTCTTGCGGTAGATATCCTCTCTCATCTTGAAGGCATCTTCAGCTGTAGTAAGTAAAGGGACCAGCCCCGACAAATGCTTTTTGAATTCAGCCGGCTTGGTGATCCGGAAGAAGACGAAGGTCTCATGCTTCTTAGGGAGACGAGGCCTGACATGTTGGGTGAGTTATATATCCCTGCCCTTGTATGGCGTAATAGATATATTGACTTACCAGATATCGCCTTGGATGTTCTTCTTGTTAGGTGTAGCCATTTTTACCGCGGTCCAATCTCTGGTTCTAAATGAAAGCTAAGGGAGAAGGGCTTCCTGCCGGGGACCTACAAAATACTTTATACACCATGGCGGGGTATCCGGGAATTAGGATGACTTCACCCGTCAAACCAGGTTAGATGCATAAACGCATATCATGTTCCCTTTGAAATTACGATGTCATTGCACGACATCTCCGAGTAAGTAGGAAGGACTGCCGAGAACGCACAACCGAATGGACATATCACATTTTCGACAGACGAATACCGTAGCGGGCGACACTGTGTCCCGAGAGAATGCAAAGCCCAGATCGCTTTTTCTGTACAGTTACATCGTCAGAAGAGAGCTCACCTATCAGTGTGACCGACTTTACGAATCGTCCCGGATGGAGGCGATCTATTCCGCTACAAGCGAGCCCGTGATCCAACGCACTTAAACAGCTGAAGAATCCATTTGTGTCCACGTAAGTAATATGCATGCAGCTGTCGCAAGATAAAGAAATCGCTCGTACCTAAGTAGCCCGCCACAGTGGGGTGGTCACGATTGCCCACATATATCGATGGCAGTCAATAGCCCCACCACACAGACTCGTATGCATGGACACATCACATCTGTATGTCGATTAGGGTTTTTATTCGACATGTTTAACCTGTTGTGGATGGATCGTCCTGGACTACTCCGTACCTAGGTAAGACTTGTCATCCAGTTGAGGCCCTCGTGATATAAATGAAGTGGGGGGAATTATACGGAGTACAGCCCACCCCGTATCAATTCATGGTTATTAGTAATTGGGTTGAAGGGGTCAAAAAAGAGCCAAGACCCTGTATTTCTTTGACGGAGATCTTCCTCTGAATGGTTAACAGACTCAGGATGCTTCCTCGCTGCTACTAGAGTAATTAAGTGAATCGCAAGGTAGAATGGTGAGGCTGCCCGGCGGGGGAGTCAGAAGTATTGGGGTGAGCAATTTAGCGATTAGAGAAAATGGTAGGTTGGGAGCAGAAATTAGGATGAATTAAAGTAACAAAATCAAGAGGAGAAAAGAAAGGAGAAATATGAGAAAATGACCGAAGGTTTGTTGAAAGTGAAATCCAAGTATCGACATTGCCGGTGTGTCTTGACTTCACAATGTCAGGTTCGAGATTTCCGAGCGCCATTCTTTCTTGCGTAAGGTAGGACTCGGAAAAGGTAGTAAAGCCCGATTGCGCCGATCATGTTGAAGATAATATACGCCCAGAAGATTCCAAAGTTTCTCCAACGATCGTCCCAGGAGATCTCTCGGGCCGCAAGATACTGATCTGCCGATCGAAGGGGGCAATACTGGCACTTTTCGGTAGAGAGCGGATTGTAAAGACTCCCGGGTGCCTCTCTGAGATATTCAAGCAAGTATTGACCGCAAGTCTGCCCCTCCGGAGGGTTAAGAATTCTCAGCTCCCGGTTGGAACAGTGGATTGGACGGCCATGCAATGCAGTCGAACTTATCCCGCTGACATAATAGGTCAAAGGGGAGACACGATGCATGAAGGTCCAGAAGTGTGGGAGTGCGCTCGGTGGCTGCATAATACCATTGAATAGCAGACATAGCAGAAAGGTAAATGTAGCCAGCATGCTACCCAAGGCCAAATTGGGAACTGCAGCTACCACTAGCTGTGCAAATGTGGATGCAAAAACGAAAAACTGTACGGTGAATAGAAGAACAAGTACCTGTCTTTGGGGAGATTGGTTGTTCCCAAATACCGAGAAATAAAACGATGCCCAGGCACATACCCCTAGCAAGGCTTGCCATGGGAGCTCAACAAGGATTTGGCATAAGATGAACACCTTCCAGGAATAGGTTTTAGCCGGCCTCTCGCGCAATTCGTATAATTCTCGGCGGGCGATAAACTTGGGCATGATTCTGTTCCTAGTTAGTACGGTATGTTGGTAACAATGGCGCTTGGCAAAACATACTGATTGACCAGTGTGGAGAAAATCGTACACAGAAGAAACAGGCTGAAGAGAACGTTCTGAAAGCCTTGGCTTGAGTTATCGGATTTCCAGAAGGAGAATCCAATAAACAAGCCACAGAAGACACCAGCACCAAATTTAGCCAAGATGTATTCCGGTTGGCGATAATATTGTTGGAAGTCGCGCTTCATGACCTCGCAAAACTGGGTCACAAATGGCATCGCAAATTCGTCGATCTGTGTGGGCTCACTCAGTGTTATATCGGAAGACAAGGCGATAAGAAGCTCTATCTCTTCAAGTACTTTCTGATATTGTGGACTCTTTCTCCAAGCGCCGACCCAGTCAATGGGGGCCTGACCTTCCGTGCCATTCCCAATCACGTCGAGCATATATTCAGCAGGCTTTATAAGCAGATATTAGCAAATATTGACAATCATACCTGGCGAGGGGGTTGAGATAGCATTGGCAAAACTCACGTTCTCAGTTGGTCCACAGGGACGGGCTCCATTTGCTTCCAGGTATTCCAAAAGTATCCGAGCTTGATTACCAAGGTCTCCAAAATAGACTGTCTTTCCACCCTTGGCGAGGAACAGTAGACGATCGAATTGTTCAAACAAAATGGCACTTGGTTGATGGATTGTGGCAAGTACGGGCTGACCATGGTCCGCAAGCTTCCTCATGAATGTACAAATGGCCCATGAACTTCGAGAATCCAAGCCACTTGTGGGTTCATCAAGGAATATCAAAATTTGAGGCTTGGCGGCCAGCTCAACTCCAATACTGAGAAGTTTCCTTTGTTCCATATTTAGCCCATCGCCTGGATTTCCAACAACTGCTTCTGCAAATTCGTCCATCCCAAGCAATTGGATCACATCCTCAACGGATGTGTACTTTTCTTCCATTGAGACAGAGCGAGGTTGACGGAGTGTTGCACTAAAGCGGAGAGCCTCGCGGACGGTGCAAGTTTCCACGTGAAGATCTTGCTGCTGGACATAGCCTGTCTCTCGGGCAAAGCTAGCGTCGGGCTCATGGCCGTTGACCAGCATATCTCCTGTGACAACTCCAATGCTCATACGTTGGGCGAGCACATTCATGAGGGTAGTCTTTCCAGCACCCGAAACTCCCTGTATTGACATCATATTTGTGAGCTCCGAATTGCGCACGCGAAGGCAACTGAAAGGTTACATACCATAAGTGCAGTGAGTGATCCAGGTTTGACCCAACCGCTGACATCATCCAGAAGTCGCTGTTCACCACCTTTGATTGGAATATCGTAGCTAAGTCCTTTCCAAAGAAGGGTATCCTTCTTGCCTCCTACCAACGGTCGGTCCTCTGTCGTGCGTGACTTCAACTCCAGCGAAAGTGGTTGTTGTGTGCCTGTCTCCAGGTCACATCCCTTCGTGATCTCAGGTACTCGACCACTGCGAAAAGTCAAGACCTCATGGGCAGGTATGGTACCAGGAATCAGCTCTGTAAGCGAAAAGTAGAGAATATGGAAGAAAATCAGAAATCCCAGGAGAATGCCGTAGTTTCTCCAGATATGGTTGTAGGAGTAATCATAACTCCCTGCGATATACGCATCCCCAGATACAAAACGCTCTCCTGGAACAGACCCCACGTAAGCACACGTAAATGCTAGCCCTTGATGGAAAGCCGAGGCTGGGATATATTCCATGCATTGAAAACGTCGGCCGTGAAATTCATTGGCCACAATACCCTCAAAGGCGTAAAATATTGGGTTGGCCCATCGGATCCAGCCGAACCACGGCCGCATATTGAACTGAGGGACCGTGAATCCCGTGTATACTGCGACGCAGATAATTGTGATTCCGGCCAGAGCCATCGCTTGTCCGATGGTTTTAGTAACAGTAGCCAACGTACGAAACATTGTGGCCATAGTCATCACTGCCGTGAGTTGGAAGAGAATATATATGAAGAACTGAGCAGGCTCTCGACGCAGATTTGCGAAAAAGTACACAACAATCGCTGATAGAACACATCGCAGAAACTTGACAGGGAAATCCACGACGACTGCAGCGATTGCCTCTGTAGAAGGGTGAACAAAGGCGTAGGCGGCTTGTTTCTCCACGATTGGTCGTTGGCTGTATAGAGTATTAATCTCAAGCAAAGAGATCAAGGCGTTGGTCAAAACAGCTAGAAAGAGGACCGACGCTCTTTGATTTAACCCCTCTGTATTATTTGGAATATTGCAAAATAAGGACCCAATGATAAGGGAGACCACCATCTGAGCAACCGCCGTAGCTACCAGGGCAGGTATATCATTGCGAGTCCGCTGCCATGCCCTCGCCATACATAATCGGATTTGCATAGGCATAGAGAGAAGAAATGCACTCGATGGCCGAACATAGGTTGCTTGTTCAAGACGCTTGGTTTGCTTCAGTTGAGCCTCTGCTGATCCATCCAGAGGGTTGTTTTCCTTGTACTCTGTCATCGAAATTTGTAGTTTTGCGTACTCCGGGCTTTGCTTCCAGTGTGTCTCAAACTCCTGTGGTGTACGGGGGACGGTGTGTTCCATATCGGGTCGGCATTCTCTTTCCCCGGGGTTGGTGACGGCAGTGAGATAATCCGCGCTCGATTGTTGGAGTGGTCGTTTCCATCCCATCTTCTCAAAGTACATGACAGCGCCCTCGCGGCTGCCAAAGTATATCTGTCGGCCCTCATAGAGGAGGATTACTTTGTCAAAGGTGTCATATAGCGCCTCCGGCGCTTGATATGCGGCGACTGCATGACAGGATCCTGCAAGTTTGGCGGAGGTTCGGAGAGCGCGAACAAAGTCGACTGCAGTGGCTGCATCAAGACCACACGTGCTATTATCCCATGCCCCAACTGAGGCCCGTGATAATACCATTTCGGCGATGCTGTTCAAACCAATTGTTGTGTTAGTCTCACCGCACTGCTTTGTCGTGTTCAAGGTTTTAGTAAATGATCTTACCTCACTCGCTTTCTCTCTCCTCCACTAACACCTGGGATGTAGCTATTTCCTACATTCGTATTGTATGTGTGAGAAAGGCTAAAGGTGTCCATGACCCCTCTCACGGCAGACTCGACATACTGATTGCGACTGATACTGCCCAATCGATTGCGTGGTGCTCGTGCATGTGCCGCAAACTCGAGTGTTTGACCCACTGTCAAGTTTGGGAAGTGATGATCGGCCTCTGCACTGTACACTATCTCGCCACGGTAATGTTTGATCATGGTTGCAAATGGTATACCCTTGTACTGAATCTCACTGCCAGGATCTAGAATTAGGCCATCGAGATAACCACACAGCACTTTCAACAATGTCGAACACCCGCTTCCTGGACGGCCCAGCACCAGTAGCAACTCACCGCTGCGTACGATCCCATCGAAGCCGTGTAATATAGTTCGTCGATCGCGCTGTTTCCTTTCACCGCAAATGCTTACGAAGCGTTTCACGGGGTACACCAGGGGGGAAAGAGCCGCTGAAAGCACCGTCTGCTGAATCTGAACCGCAGATCCTGTCCCACTGACTGATAAATTTTTGAACAACACATCTCGATTGCGTGTTTCAGACGTGCTCAGGTCGGTGGGGCTTATCGCCTTCTCGGTCCAGGTCTGGGGGTGGACTTTAGTGGTTGCGCGATGCAGACCTCCCTTATCGGATGGCAGAATGCAGAGACCTTCATTGTCCGATGACGCTCCTTTCGGAGATTCAGAGGAATTTCCCGGGTTGAGCAATGAAGGTTCGACTTTTCCTGTTTCGTTGCCCATTACCGGTTCACCTTCGTTGGGAACCATGCGGAATACGCTGAAGAGCAGTAGAATACAGAGGAATCGCTCAAATAGTTTTCTGCGTGGGCACAGAAGTCCTGCCGACGACTTATACTTACAATTGTATTGGGAAAATTAACCTATGTTTGATGGTCATTGCCGCTTATAATTTCAGATACCTTGCATCTAAACTCGAGACGCGTGTGTAGGCATGATACCTACGGAGGACTCCCGGTCCGTACATCGTACTTGAATTACAAAAACGCGAATATCTTGCAGGAAATTATTGATATGTGTACTCCGCAAATTTCAAAGTTTCAAGGAGATACCGGAGCAATACCATTCCTCATCTAGACATACTACCTTTTCTCTGCGCCACGGGGGTGTCATCACTACCTAAATTCCTGATCGCGTTATGTGAGATCGCTGTGGGTTTCCACGTCCCGGGGCAACAACTATTCGATAGCCGCAGATGAGGAATGAGGCAACGAGTTGCCCGAGCCACTTTCTTTTAGACTATATCCTAGTCGTGGAAAAAAACCCACTAAAGCAAGGGCCCTCCCGCCCCTTACGGAATGTCCCGTCTGTGGAGCTGGCGATCATATTACCACATATAATTTTCTCACCAAAAACAAAGAAAAGGTAAAACACAACTAATCATAGCACACGCCATAATTGTTTCACATTCCAGAGGTATCGACACGAAAACAGTGAATAATGCTGAGTTTGGTATTGAAATGTTGCAGCCAAAAAAGGAAATAGAAACGAGAAAATAACCTTCTGCACCAAAAAGAAAAGCAAACCTCTCAAAATTGGGTCAATAGAGTCAATCGTGCAGTTGAGAAGGCTATTTGATCGGACATCCCGATCGGACATGTCCCATACATTCAGCTATGCAACAAAGAGAAAACGAAAATGGGACAAAAATAGAGATGTATTTTGGGAGTCTGGATGCGCGATCGACTGAGGTTCCAGTACATGATCAATGTAGTCTTCATCAGCCAGCCATGCAAATCCACCGAGATGTATTCAAACGAGAAAAGCGTCGGATGATCTTCGTTTGATAAGGCGTTGATCGACTGAAGATCCCATAAGTGGGAATTGCAGGCTATAGTTACAGGGTGTGCAGAGTCGTTCATCACTGCGTTTTGGATTCAACCGGCAAGGGAGGCAATGCCATACCAGTTTATCTATCATCTGTCTGAGCAGTGTGCATGCTTTAGAACCGGAGCTATATCCCACGCTAGATCGTGGTATTACGAATCCTAAACCTTGGTTATAATCTTGGTATCGCCTTCCACCAGATTCCTTCAGTGCATAGTTCTGTTCAACATCAGGATAACCTCGCCCTTGGTTCTTTTTAATTTTCTTTATCTCTTTTCCTTTACTTCCGTTAAATATATCATGATAGAACCAAGGATGGCCTCGGGACGGCCCGTTTGTGTTCTCTTCGGCCCCCAGAGTTCCGAGATTGACGAAACCTTATGCTATATTCGCCGCAGTATTGAAGAAATCCCATCGTTGGGCTTTCTTGAAAACGTGTTGAGACAACTTCCAGGATTATGGCCCGTCATTACAAACGCTTGGCCGCCATTGTCTCAAGTTCCGGAAGCAGGCCAGCTGTCAGTACTGGCAGACGGAGTTCAAGAGTCATTCGCAGCCGAAAATGCAACCAATGTTCTTTTGACACCTTTGACCGTTGTACGACAAATAATCGATGCGTGGAAATTCAAAGAAAAAGCACAGCATGGATATAAAATTGTTGATGCGCAGGGTTTTTGTGTCGGATTCTTGGCAGCGACAGTAGTCGCTTGCTCTGATGGCCTGACGGACTTTGAAGAGATCGCATCTGCCATGATCCGACTGGCTCTTTGCATCGGAGCAGCAGTTGATTTGGATAGCGTTTTGCATGGTGAAACCAGATCAGCCGCCGTGCGATGGAAGTCAGCTTCTGAAAATGAACAACTCAACCAAGTGCTGGCTAGCTCTTCAACGGTGCGTCATAGATATACCAAGATAAACCGACATTACACTCTTATTCAAGCTTCATATATCAATTTTCAGCCGTTTACGATCTGGACATGATGCTGACAACACCATTTATAGGGCTACATCTCTTGTGTGACGGACACAACGTCGGCCACAATCACCGTCGCTGATGACGAAGTGGATGATGTGATCAAACGATTAGAATACCACGGATTGTCCGTGAAGAGGATTGAGCTAAGAGGCCGATTCCATCATATTGCGCACCTCACGGCGGTTGAGCAAATTCTGACGCTTTGCGAAACCGACGAGAGGTTCCGGGTCAGCAAGGTTGGCCCCTGTGTTTTGCCGCTGAGGTCCAATGTCGATGGCCATGCGATTGTGAAGGGTTCTCCCGTCCACAAAGTTGCCTTGGAATCGATCCTTGTAAAGCCATCACAATGGGAACTAACAGTTTCCTCGGCCTTCGAGAAATTGAGGGAGGAAACAGATGAAGATCTGGGATTCGCCGCGATTGGAACTGGCCAATTTGTTCCCCGTTTGGTCCGGACCCGCATCCTCGATCACATGAACTATCGGTGGCCAGACAAGGAACATGGACAACTACCAAATGGTATCCACAAACCCTTCAGCAGCACTCGAACTGCGCGTGCAAACAGCAGTGATGCGATCCCCGCTTCCAATATTGTAACCCCAATCGCCATCACGGGAATGGGATGTCGATATGCCCAAGCGGATTCCCCCGAAATGCTATGGCAGATGCTGAAATTGGGTCGTTGTGGTGTCAGCCCGCTTCCTAATGATCGATTCAAAATGGACAAGCTTCTGCGTGAGCCTAAGGGTCCATTCTTTGGGAATTATCTCGCCAACCCAGATCTTTTCGATCATCGATTCTTTGGGATCTCGGCTCGTGAAGCAGAGGCAATGGACCCACAACAACGATTGCTTCTCCATGTAGCGTATGAGGCCATGGAGTCAGCTGGGTACTGTGGTCTACGCAAGTCCAACGTGCCAAGCGATGTCGGCTGTTACGTCGGTGTCGGCTCAGATGACTACACTGACAATGTAGGATCGAGCAACGCCAACGCCTTCTCGGCCACAGGAACTCTACAGGCGTTCTGCACTGGTCGTTTGAGTCACCATTTTGGCTGGAGTGGACCGTCAGTGGTAGTTGATACCGCCTGCTCTTCCGCTGCGGTAGCGATACATCTCGCATGCAAGGTAATATTCCATCATGGTATCACAAAATCCTGAAATATAGTGTGACTAACTTCATAACCAACTTGCCACAACGTACAGGCTTTACAGACCAAAGATTGCGCCATTGCCGTGGCGGGTGGCGTGAATGTTATGACTAGCCCTAGAGTGACACAGAACCTGGCGGCGGCGTCATTCCTCTCTCCTACCGGGGCTTCGCGGGCATTCGATGCTGATGCCAATGGTTATTGCCGTGGAGAGGGTGCTGGCTTGGTGGTTCTAAGACCATTGGCCGATGCAATCCGCCATGGGGATCCCATTCTCGCCGTTATTGGCGGATCTGCAGTCAATCAGGGATCTAATTGTTCTCCTATCACTGTTCCCGACTCCGAATCTCAGAGATCCCTCTATCGCAAGGCGATGGCAGCATCCGGTGTTCTTCCAACAGAAGTATCTTACGTCGAGGCACATGGCACAGGTTTGTTCTCCCTCCAACTATCCCCACAAGGATACTACTCACGCAGATATTCAACGCTAGGAACACAAGTTGGTGATCCAATTGAGTTTGACAGTATCCGCAAAACATTCCAAGACCCTGGACGCAAGGAGGTCCTTCATGTTGGATCTATTAAAGACAATATTGGGCACACTGAAACCGCCTCTGGAGTGGCCGGCTTGCTCAAAACTGTGTTGATGATGCAGAAAAACCAGATACCGAAGCAGGCCAATTTCTCCCGGCTCAATCCGAAGATTCCTGCCCTAGACAACTCGATAGCGATTCCAACCCAGTCTATTACCTGGCCCTCAGCCGCCGCTCCATCGTCTAATGCGGTCGCTCTGGTGACAAATTACGGCGCTGCTGGAAGCAACGCAGCTCTCGTTGTGAAGCAGCATAAAGAATCTTCGGCACTCTCGGACCTAGCCACTCTTCCTCCTAGTGAGGTACCTGTCATACTTGCAGCAAACTCGACTGAATCTCTCGCATCATATTGTCGCATTCTGCTTTCGCACTTCCGGAATCAACAATTAGATTCATGTGAGGATATAGCCTTCAATTTGGCGGTCAAACAGAACAGAAGCATGGATTACTTGTCGGCGTTCACCATTCCTTCTAATCAACCCGATGCGCTATTTTCAAAGTTGGAGTCACTTGCGGCTGAAGCCTCTATCCTGAAGAAACAATATCCTCGTTCCCTGCCTGTCATCCTATGCTTTGGCGGCCAAAGTGGAAACGAGGCAAATATCTCGGAAGACCTGTTCGACCGGTCTGAATTGCTCCAACGCTATCTGGTAAGCCTTGTGAATATTCTGCTCTTGTGTTTGCTCATTCTGTCATAAACTCTGACTGACTCCCAATTTTCACTCATAGATGGATTGCGAGACGGTTTGCCAGAGCCTAGAGCTTCCGAGCCTCTTTCCCACTATCTTCCAAAGCGGGCCTATCGAGGACACCGTCACCCTTCACTGCATTCTGTTTGCCATCCAATATGCGTCAGCAATGTCATGGCTGGATTCCGGACTCAAAGTAGACCGGATCATAGGTCACAGCTTTGGTCAACTTACAGGCCTTTGCGTCGGTGGGGGCCTGAATCTTGTTGATGCGCTTCGTCTCGTCTCAGCACGCGCCACAATGATCGAAAGCCTCTGGGGATCTGAGCGTGGTGTCATGCTATCCGTTGAAGGTACAGAGGTGGAGGTTCAAAGCTTGCTAGCTTACGCGGCAGAGCATACAGCAGATGTGGCTGTGGACGTAGCCTGTGTTAATGGCCCACGAAACATCATTTTGGCGGGAGATGTGCGATCAATCGAGATGATTGAGAATCTGTCAGCAAATACTCCTTCAGTTGGTCTTCGCACAAAGCGGCTGAAGAATACGCATGCCTTCCACTCCCGCCTAGTTGATAATATTGTTCCTGCCTTGACCGAGGTCTCACAAAAGCTTCAGTATAATCCACTCGCTATTCCTCTGGAGCCTTGTTCTCAATGGGATGACTGGTCTTCCGTCACAGCTACCAAGATCGTGGAACACAGCCGCGGATGTGTCGACTTCCAGGCAGCCGTTGAGCGCGTGGTGCAGAAGCTCGGTGGCCCTGCTGTCTGGCTAGAGGCGGGCTCAGCATCTCCCATCATACCGTTAGTACGAAGGGTCGTCGATGCTACCTCATCTTCGCCAAAGGAGAACTTCTATCAAGCCCTCGATCTTGGAGGCGCACATGCCCAGAAAAATCTGTCACAGGCCACCTGCAACCTCTGGTCTCGAGGTGTGAAAGTCCAGTTCTGGCCATTCCACAATGCTCAGGCCAGGGGATACAACTGGATCAATCTCCCACCTTACCAATTTGCTGGCACCCGCCACTGGATTGAATATGATCCCTATGCATTTGCCCCAGTTCAGGACAACACACCCAATTTGGCCCCTACAAATAGCAGTAGAGAGTTCGTCCAGCTGCTCTCCAGACAGCCGACTGAGTGCCTTTTCGCCATAAACACGTCAGACTCACTTTACCAGGAGTGTACGCGAGGCCACGCTGTACTTGACCAAAACCTTTGCCCTGCATCCCTTTATTTCGAGATGATTGTCCGGGCGGCAACGCTGGTGCGCCCAGAAAACGATACATCGCCTGCCATGCCTCACCTGCAAAATCTAGCCATTTCTGCGCCTCTCGTGCTTAACCCGAGTGGCAATGTCATGTTGAGTCTTACTCGTCCACGCGCAGCTGACTCTCTGTGGTCATTTATCCTTTTCACTCGCGAGCCCAACAAGGATGCAGTGACCACCCACGCAACTGGAGACATCGGCTTGCATCCATTTACCCAGAGTTCACCTCTCTTCGCCCGCCTCAAGTCAATGAACCGACTCATCGATCCCTCCATAGTAGACTCCATCGCCGACTCCCGTGAATCCAGCGGGCTAAAAGGGTTCGCTGTCTATCAAGCCTTCCGCCGAGTGGTCAACTACGCCGACTACTATCGTGGTGTTCAAAGGGTCTTTGCGACCGAGCATGAATCTGCAGGCATTGTGAATCTTCCCTCATCCCGGACCAAGGACAGTGCTTGTGACCCGATGCTCGTCGACAACTTCATTCAGGTCGCTGGAATCCACGTCAACTGTCTCTTGGAAACAAAAGAAGACGAGGTCTTTGTTTGCACCGGCGTGGGTGAGATTCTGATTGGGGAGGCTTTCATGAACCGTGATCGGGATTCATCATACTCTTGGGGTGTTTACTCCAATGTGGACAGATCAGTTACAAACAAAATCACTTGCGACACATTTGTTCTGGACCGAGCGACGGGCAAGCTTGCTGTCACTATTCTTTCTGCAGAATTTACCAGTGTCTCGATTGCTGGACTTGCACGCGTGTTAAAGAAGCTCAACAGTCAACCCTCCGAATTGAAAGCTCCCGTCATAACGAAGTCTCACTACGCGGACGCTCGGGCTGTCATCAACCCTGCTGTGCAGACAATTCCGCTCAGAGCTTCTCCGCCCCTCCAGGCTACCTCTGGCAGTGGAGAGTTTTCCCTCGTCCGAGGCTTGCTATGTGAACTACTAGGCATGGCCTCCGACGAGCTACTACCATCTTCTAATCTCGAAGAAATTGGCGTTGATTCTTTGATGCGGACTGAAGTCTTGGTGGAAATCAAGAAGAGATTCGATGTGAGCATTGCCACCTCCTCGTTGGTTGAAATGCCAGATATTCAAACCCTGGTGCAATCTATTTTCCCCAACATCACAACCGCTCCTCGGACAAATGAGGTTGCTCCAACTTTGCAAATTGATACCACATATGCATCTTCCTCAGAAAGCAATGATAATGCTGAAAGTACCCCGATTTCCGATGAAGGGGTGAATGGCCTTATCGACATTGCTCCTGCATTTTTCATTGAGATTCAACGAAGTACCTCCCAAAGTCAAGCCACTCAGTGGGATGGTTTCTGTGAATTGGTGTATCCAAAGCAGATGGCCCTAGTTACCGCTTACGTGATTGAGGCGTTCAAGTCTCTCGGCATCTCCCTCGAAGACCTCGACCTTGAAGATATCATCCCACAACTTCCTGTTCTCCCACAACATACGCAGGTCTGCAGGCAGCTTTATGCCATCTTGGAATTCTCGGGTCTCATCCAGGCCAACAACGGGGGCTTTGTCCGCACCCAAATTCCTATTCCAACCCTTACATCCAATGAATTGCACCAAGAAATCCTTGACCTCTATCCCCAGCACGCATCTGAACATAGCCTTCTCAGAACCACAGGCTCATGTCTTGGGGATTGCTTAAGTGGAGCCGCTGACCCTCTATCGTTGCTTTTCCAAGATGCAGAAGCCCGCCGGCTGATGGAGGACGTTTATACAAATGCACCAATGTTCAAAGCTGCGACCAATCACCTGGCACAATATCTGGTTGGTGTTCTTGGGCGCCTAGATACCACGAGAGAAATCAAGATTCTTGAGATCGGTGGTGGCACTGGTGGTACGACCAAAGCTCTGTTGAGTCAACTCACCGCAGTGCCCGGTCTTCGCTTCCAGTATACGTTCACGGATCTGTCTTCGGGACTTCTGACTCTCGCGCGCAAGAAGTTCAAGCATTACAGTTTCATGAAATACCAAGTCCTAAATGTGGAACAAACACCTTCCTCAGAGATGCTCGGTCAATATGATATCATCCTCTCCAGCAACTGCGTACATGCCACCCGCAACCTTGTTCAGTCTTGTTCGAATATCAACAAACTTCTACGACGTGATGGAATCCTGTGCCTGATTGAACTGACCCGCAACCTATTCTGGTTTGATCTTGTCTTCGGTCTCCTCGAGGGTTGGTGGCTGTTCGAGGACGGTCGCCAACATGCCCTTGCGAGTGAGCACGTTTGGAAGCAGACCCTTTCCCAGTCTGGCTTCAAATGGGTTGACTGGACACAAAATGACTCCGAGGAATCCAATGTCCTTCGAGTGATCACTGCCTCGCCGACATCGGCCATCATTCTACCTCCTTCTCCCGGAAGCCCCTTGCCCCTCATCCGTGATGAGACGGTGGTCTACGGCAACAACGGTGGTGTAGAATTATCTGCAGACATCTACTATCCCCAGGATCTTCAGCCTATTGGAAAGCCTCGTCCAATTGGTACGTAGACAACCTTCCCTCCCGGCCCTCCTCTCTCAAACCATGGCAATCCATTTCTTACACTCGCCACACAGCTCTCCTTATTCACGGCGGAGGTCACATCATGCTCTCGCGTCGTGACATTCGTCAAAAGCAAGTCAAGACTCTTCTCGATGCGGGATTTTTGCCGGTCAGTGTTGACTACCGACTCTGTCCGGAAGTCTCTCTGACTGAAGGGCCTATGCATGACGTATGCGATGCCCTGCGATGGGCTCAAAACGTCCTTCCCGCCATCCCCCTCGGTCGTCCTGATATCCAGCCAGATGGAGACCAAGTGGTTGCTGTGGGCTGGTCGACCGGTGCCCATCTGGCAATGACATTGGCATGGACCGCTCAGCAAAATGGAGTCGTCCCACCCGACGCTATTCTCGCATTTTATGGCCCTACCGACTACGAGGATCCATTCTGGTCTCAACCCAACTTCCCATACGGAAAGGACGCTGCCTCGCCAGAAATAAGCTACGACCTGTGGGAAGGCATGCAGGAGACACCCATCACATCCTACAATCCGCCACCCACCCAAAAGGCCCTCGGCGGCTGGATGTCTCCGGCGGATCCTCGAAGCCGGATGGCATTGCACATGAACTGGAAGGGACAGAGTCTGCCTATGCTGTTGCACGGAGGCCGCTTCTGGTCCGACCGCAAAAATGACGCCAATCCAGAGGAATTGCCAACTCCAACACTGGAAGAGATCCAAGCAGTCAGTCCTCTGGCGCAGATCCGCAACGGTCATTATCAGACACCTACTTTCATTATCCACGGAAGTTTGGATGACCTCATTCCATTGGAGCAGGTGCAACGAACCTCCGACGAGCTGGCCGTGAAGGGAGTCGAGGTTGAACTTCGAGTTGTTGATAAGGCAGTTCACCTGTTTGATATTTATAATGGCTTCGAAAAGGATGAAGCGGCTGCACGGGCTGTGGAAGATGGTTATGCGTTTTTACGCCATCATGTTAGATACTAGTTGATCGGGATGTCGGATCTTGTCTGACTACTTTCTGCTGATGTTAATGTCTTTGATAACTCCACCCTTTCGGAACCTTTAGCAGTATTTGTATGGTCTTTCTCAATCAAGCAATCTAACGTAATCTCTTTCTCCCGGGTAATACATTATTCTGCTTGTATATCTAATCTAATGGACTATATCGAGGTCGACAGATCTTTCCCTGGTCGTTTAACATTCAGCAGGTCAGGTCTCTGATACATGATATATATCCCGGGATACTAGTCATTGATTATCAGTGATTATTTATGAACCCTTCAATGAATTGATTCAATGTTTAAGGCAAATTTGAACCCATCTTAAAAAGTCCACGGGGATTCTGCAACCCAAAAAAACCAAGCCCCGTGTACCATAACAACATATATTGAACATCCAAACGGACAAGCAATATTATATCCCCAACAGTGCCTTCCAAAGCCACACCCCGTGCATCTAAGTAGGCAATGAAGCGATCCCAGGGTTTACTCTTGTGAAATTCCACCCTCCAAGCTGGCTCTGAGGGTTACCCAGCCATTCTGTCCGAAACACTCTCGCAGCAGTTGCTCGGCTCTCGCTGCCGGAACGACCTCTCCTAGAGTCGGTTCCTCCTGTAAAGGCGGGCCCGGAATACGAGTATTACTGGGCTGAATTATTTTGAGAATCTCAAGAACGTCACCCCAAGTGATTGGCGTAGCAGCAGCAAAGAGTCTCTCTGAGCGCACGCTTGGACTAAACAGAGCTATCGCGTGTAAACGCGCTGTGTCTGCCACATCCACAAACCAGGCTAGAAAAATTCCTTGATCAGCACTGGCTTCAAAAGTCATGTTTATATGACAAAGGGTACTCACGAAGTGGTAGAAATTTGAACGGCGTAGTATCCCCTTTGAGGAATCCGGAGACATATGCCATAGTTGAACCGCCGATATTGGGATGAAGAATTTTGCCCAACTTGGAGGATTGTCTTTGTTAGCTTTGCTCATATGTATATAGTTTCATGTTTTCTATCGTTGATTGTCACTCACAGTCAGCCAAGGAAGCACGGAGTTGAGCTCAAATTGTGGGTTATTTTTTTCAACCCATTTCCATGCTTGTCTCTCGCCTTCGATCTTACATGCCCGATATATGGGTACAGTAGCGCCTGGTTCTTCCAGGCTTCTGTCCCATGAGTCTGGGTGGATGTCAGTGTGAGGTAAGTTTCTTTTCATAAGAGTATGTGGGCAGCTATGGATACGTCAAGAGTTCCACTTACCAGTATCTAATTTGAAGCCTTTCCCTGTTGGGTAGCCAGCTGCCACGATAGAGGACGTGAGAACAACTCGCTTGATTGTATGCTCTGCAGCCGCCGCTCTGAGCAGGTTGACGACACCATTTACAGTGTAGGCAGTTGCACTTTCCACCGTTTCTGCAGCCGTGCTAGAGGGTAAACCTTGGGCCTAGTTCAGACGTAAATTGAATATTTTGCCTAAATGGGCTGGTTTAAAAGGTCACCTACAACGTGGATAACTCCCGACACACCCTTTACACTCTCTCCAAACGCATCAGGTTGCTGGAAGTCTGGAACTAGAGAGAGTTCGAAGCGTCCTGGACCACATTCCTTCTCAAAATACTCGGATAGCCATGGCATAGGCGTTCGCACCGTCCCACGGACTAGATAACCGATATCTAATAGCACCTTGACAATATGAGAGGCGATGTAGCCATTTGCTCCGGTAACGAGAACTTTAGAGCCTGGGGGAACGACATAATTCTGATTCTGAGTCATCCTGGTGGTGAAGGTCTCTTTCGCGGGGATTTTCTTTTTCAGATACCACAATTCTCTTTGATACCATGAGTGTATTCCACAGGTTATTCTGAATTAGTCCTTGACTGGGTCTCCAAGGGAAACAGCGGTGTGATGGGATGCCAACGACGATGAAAGTCTCGAGGAATCTAAAGTGGTAATTATGGCCCGATGTATTGCTGCGGGCGCAGGCTTGGAAATATGATCCATCAACCGGAGATTTTCTTTTTCTGTCGCTCCACAGTCGTGCGAAAACGTGCAGTAATATGTGGCATAGCTGAAAAATGTCATAAATTTCGATTCAGACTGCAATATCATATGCAGTTCGGGAACAGGTACATATTTGCTTCTTTTCTGCTCGACCTCGATTGTGAGATCGACATGGTGGCCCCCTATACCCTGCATATTGCAGCACTTGGTTGTTTTGAACTCTATGTTCAGTGCTCCATACGGAATACCGACGAGAAAACAAGATACCAAGTTGCAATGTAACGCCTAGTACGTAGTAAATGTGCGTTTCATGCTGGATTTCGTCCCTTGTCTGCAATACCATCATTCTCAGTAATTTGTATGCATCATCATCCCGAGCCCGAGGCGACGGAGCGTGAGAACCACCAAAGTTACCGACATTATCGTGACACTGCAGTGCTGATCAATTACTCTGCCTGTCCGGGGCTATAGAACAAGCTGAGCAAGTCCGTGCAGTAAAAGTAGGGAGTATATCGTACGCACAGCGCAAACCCTGAAACCGATCCCAGCCTCTTCTGCGCCGTTGTGCCAAATCGAACTCGAACAACACATTTGGATATTCGATACGTGTTACAGCAAAACGATGTCATTGCTTCAAGATCTTGTAAGGCGCAAGGCACGGGCGCATAGCTTCGACGATTTGAATCACTGCTAAGGGCGTTTTAGGTCTTGATTATCACAGGTAGTGCGTCTGGAATTGGCCTCGCGACAGCTACACAAGCTCTGGATCAAGGCGCCCGGATCCTAGGTGTCGATGTCTCGTCAGCCCCTGCGTCACTCAGTGAACACCCAAATTACAAATTCCTACAAGGTGATCTGACCCATGAGTCCACACCGAAACAAGTGGTAGAAACATGCATCAAAGAATTCGGTGGCCGAATTGATGGTCTGTTGAACATCGCGGGTATCATGGATCGCAATGCCAGCGTGGATAGTCTGTCCGATGATATGTGGGATCGGTGCATCGCGATTAATCTGTCAGCCCCAGTGAAGCTCATGCGTGAGGTTATCCCTATTATGCGAGAGCAGAAAAGTGGTAGTATTGTGAATGTTGGTAGCAAAGCAGCCACAAGCGGTGCGGCGTCCGGTGTCGCATACACGGCTAGTAAGTCCACCACGCTTTTCGTCGTATGAGCACTCAGACACTGTATCATCATGTTGACGGATCTTTCAGGTAAACATGGGTTGATAGGTGCAACCAAAAATGTTGCATGGCGGTATAAACAAGAAGGGATTCGTTGCAATGCGGTTTGCCCGGGCGGTAAGTCTGAACACCATACTCGAGGATCATCGTGGATACGCAGTTAGCTCATCCTCTATCCCAGGAGTTCCAACTGGCATAGTGCAAGCATCTGATCCAACCACTTGGGACAAGGATGCTCTAGGAACAATGTCTCTTATTCACGAGGCACACGCTTCTGATCGGCGTGAGGGGCTGGGAGTTGAGGCCGAGAATATCGCCGACTGTCTTATCTTCTTGGTCTCAAGTCACAGCAAAAGAATCAACGGATCAGTAATCCCCGTCGACAATGCTTGGTCTGTGATCTAATCGAGGAAGGGTTCCAAATCAGATCTCGGCAAAGAGAATAAAGCAAAGTCATGGGATTTAAGCGTGGAAACAGTAGCAGCGAAAGCTATATATTGATCAATTGCCTATAAATATTTAAAACATTGAAGGCCTTACGTTTAAAAATGAGCATCGCATCGAACTTAACACAGGTGGGACGAGAGTTCTTGCTAGCTAGATATCAGGTTGTTTGACTAAGAAACATTGAAGTTGTGGGCTAATCACGAGCACAATATTCAATCACAAATCCAACCAGCCAGAACACCGTGGCAAGGAAGAACGCGGACTTGGCATATGATTCAACGCCAGAAGACTTTCCTACCTGAGTCGCCCGAAGAAGCACCGAGAATCCGCCAAAGTGGCCACCGACAGACACGACAAAGAATGGCAGGCCAAGACCAGTGAAGAGACCGGCAAGCGCAAGGAATCCAGTGGATGCATAGAGAAGGGAATATGACAGGAGTTGAATGGAGTCACGGAACCGGACTGCCATACTTTTCACGCCGACCTTCAAGTCCTCCTCCGTATCCTGGCGCGAGTAAATCACGTCAATCATAATAATGACTAATCCAATGAAGAGAAACATACACACAGTGGGCTGGATCTGAGCCAGAGGATCCAACCCAAGACTGTGCATTGCCATTGGAACGGCCCATCCAATATTGACCAAAGTGAGCTGGGGGTAATTGGTGAACCGCTTGCCAAAAGGATAGAGCAGTGCGAAGAACATGATTATAAGACAGTCCACTGTGCAACGCCATGGGAGGAAGACCAAAACGCTTCCTCCACAGAGGAAAAGCGCCACGGTGAGAAGGAATGCATTTGCTGGTGACACTGCGCCTCGCGGTAGAGGTCGTGTTTTTGTTCGAGTGATTTGACCATCCAAATCCATATCAATGAGATCGTCCCAAACACACCCAGCGCTGCGCAGAAAGATAGACCAGATAGATAGAAGAATGGCACGGTTCAATAGGATGTCGAGCGGTAGCTTAGTGGATGAAATTGAAGCACTAAAGGCAACACCCACAAGATACGGGGAGGTATTGAGGTAGAACCCCAACAATCGATGAACTCGCATCAACTCGCCATACGGTGCAAGTCCAGGTGGAAGAGAGTGTAGGATTCCACCCTCTGGTGGAGCTGGCTTCTCGTTCGCGATCGTCATCTTGGAGCGTGTCGGCAATGAAATCAGAGGCTCAAGGATAAACTCGGATATATTTGTGGAAAGAGCAAGAGTTGCAAGCCACAGTGGAGGGGTAGAATTGCTTAGACAGATACAGAGAAAAAGCGGCAAAGGCGCAAGGGCTGGAAGAAATTTTTATGCCGAGGGTCTTCCCATAGTCCACGGGCAGCAGTAAATCCACTACACTAATTGTTGCACTTGTCAAAACCGCACACTAGAGCTGGCATCCCTTCCGTTACCGACATCATTCTATGGGCTTTTCAAACTCCACCTACAGTTGGATTTCGGCCGGCTGGCCCTCATTCCATCAAGGTGCCGAGGTGATGGCTAGTTAGAAAGTACGTATGATCTACCCGTGGACTGCATGAGAGCAATTCCTTTTTATTCGTAAGTAGAATATGTCCATTGAAATCCCCCTTGTATCTCCTGTGTAATTCAGCTGGCTTACCTTGCGCTATGGCCGTGGTCGATCAGTTTCTTATTTAGACACGAGGCAGGCCCACTCTCTGCAGAATACATACCTAGTTCAATGCAGCAAACACTTATATTGAAGTTTATCAGGTCAATGATAGACGATAGCGGCTGGACGATGTTGATACCAAACTTGCAACACAGCTCTCAAACACAAATGCAGTCACGGACTCTGTACAAGTTCTATGTAAAGGGGGTGTGTATCTGAATACATGATAGTTCACGCAAAGGTGGAATGGAGGTAGGATCCAATCCAAGGGAAGAAAAGGCACAGTACGAGGGAGGACATCCACAGTAGAGCCCACTGCCGCTTGAGGCTTCCATGCGCTTTCGGAGGCTGCGTCACGCATCCTGACTTAGTTCGCTGTGGTTGTGGAAGGAAATCAATCATATCGCCCCCAGCAAGATTCTTGGATGCCTGATTCTCTACGAGACCTCCGACGTATTGGAACACATATCGACCAATGAAAGCCTTCAGCCAGTTGTCCCGGGTGTGGAATCGAGCTCCAAATCTGGACCTTTCATACGTACTTTTGGCACGCTCGTATCGTAGCCTCTTGTACTCTCGGAGCATTTTCTCGATGTAATCCTCTGCAGGTGTGTTGGACGGATCCATGTTGACTGTCCGATTGATCAAAGATGCAAGCACGGCGACGTCTTCGATGGCCGTATTGGCGCCTTGTCCAATATTTGGTGTCATCTGAATAGGACAACACATTAGATCATGCCAAGTGCCATAAATGTAAAGTATCTCACCTTGTGTACACTATCACCAAGTAGGACAATGCGATTTAAGTTCCAGGTTTCGAAAAATCCTTCCTCCAGGGCAGTCATTGACGCAACTACCTTGGTTTTCCAAAGATCCCCCACGGTAATATCTTTCGATATGCTCACATCTTGCAGTTGAAGACATAATGCCGCTGCGTCATCAGGACAGTAGCGTGGGGCATTGGGATATGCGTAGGTACGATCGAGCTTTTGAATAATGAACCAAAACACACGACCATCCTTTCCATGGAAGGTAATGACGCAGAATTTATCGCCATACCGATTTATATGTTCTCCGCTTCGAAGGCCTGCTATCGGTCGCGATATTCCGAACACACATGCGTACTCGATCGTAAGAGCTTTGGTCAAACAAAACACGAATGATTAGTTCCAGTCACAGGAAGGAAAGATTTTGGGACGAAGAGGCATGGCCTACTTTTTCTTTCCTGTGATGTGATTAATCCGGGTGAAATTTCGTCTGCTAATCGCCACATCTCGGAGCGTATACGACTGTGAATGCCGTCGGCGCCAACGATGAGATCGCCTTTGAATACACTTCCATCGTCCGTCACCACACTGGCACTGTCACCCAATAGCCGCACTTCCGATACTTTCTTGCCGGTGATGATCTTTGATTTGTCTGGATAGCTTCCAAAAAGGACCTCAAGGACCTTTTGCCGGTCAAGGGAAACGATCGGATACTTGAATCTGTCCTCGCGTGGTCAGAGGTGGTTTCTAATAAACGTAATGATTTCTGTCATGAGGCGGTGGAGAATCAATACCGTTTGTGGATCGTCTTGGGTAGCAGACTGCTAAAGGAAAAGCCATCAGGAAAGGAAAGGTGCATCCGACTTAGTGGTGCCGTGAGCTTCTCCAGACTTGCGTAGAGACCAAGTTGATCCAGGATTTGTGCTCCATTGGGCCAGATTCCGATGAATGCACCCTCTTGGGGAGCGATTTCTGCTCTCTTCTCAAGGACGATATGGTCTATATTGGCTTGGGACAAGGAATGGGCTAATGTCAACCCAGCAATTGACCCTCCAACGATGATCACTTTGAATTTGGAGTCCTCGGTGATTTTCTCCATCCTCTTTGCCGGGGGAGGGATCAAAGCCCGCAAGTTGGTGGCTGGTAAAAGTTGTTGGTGATGGAATGGGTTGTGAAGGGTGCTATGGCTGCTGCCTCTGTCAAATGACCGAATGTCAAGCTGCTTCGCCAATTGTACTTAGAGATGAAGCCGCCTAGATCAATGAAATGTTGCTACGTCGCCCTCTGCAGAACAATTGAGCTGATCTTCGCCTTGACGTTTGTTGTGCATTTCATTTTACATCCTTTTACTCGTACGGAGTACTCCGTACTCAACATCCGCATTCCTCACGCCCCTTGCAGGTGGGCCTTTGGGAGTGCATTGTACATCTATCGATCTGTGCATGAGTGGCGGTGTCTCCTATAGCTTTTCTCATACACCGTGTACGACACATAATTCAGATTCTTGTTTTGATGTATTGTCACAAAGTAACAACCAATCGGAATAGGTTAGGTATCTATCTAGGTACTCCCGTCCATCGATTCCCTCCGATTGTCTTCGACAGACCAATAGACACCATACTATCCACTGCTGATATTCTGTCTCGATTTTTCGCCTCGCTTCACGCACGTTTTCCTGACTTGTTCGTCTTGGTTTTCTCCTCGGCATCGGCTAACTCCTGGCGACGAATAACATAATAACAGATCGGATAGGTAAAATCCAGCACCAATGTCAGTCCGATGTAGAACTTGCACATAGGACTTTCAAACCAAGGCCCCGCCGCATTTCCGGTCAGATAATAGATAGTCAACTTGGTGAAACCGCCAAATGTAGCTACAGCTCTCAGGAACCTACATTCCTGTTAGCATGGGAAACAAAGATCTCAGAGGAATGATCCCAATTTGGACTTACCATGTCATCAGGGAAGCACCTCGAGTGCTATTCCGGGAAAGAATCTGAGCAATTGGTCCCAGGCTTGCCAGTGTTTGGCAAAGGACACCTCCGTAGAAAAATCCTAATTCAGGTCCAACCTGCCGGGCAAAGGAATATTGTCCAAGCGCAAAGCCGGTTGTCACAGCGGCATAGACGAGGTATAGATTCCTTTGAATGAGAGGGAAATAGTCCCACTCGTTATGCGCGTACTTGATTATAAACACAATGACAATGCAATGAACCAAGAACCAGACTCGCACACCTCCTTGCCAATGGGCACTTGCGGTTGGGTAGACAAAGGCATAGATAAACTCCCATCCAATGTCGTTGCAAAGAGGGAAGATGCCAGTACTGGGAATTTTATCCTTCCGCGATGTACGTAACATGCTAAAGTAGTTCAAAGTCCAGCAGATTCCGGCGAGAATACGCAGAAATTCTGCGACAGATGCCAGAGCATCCTGGTGTTCCAAGATAGCTGAGAGGAAGCTTGATTGCTCCATGGCTGCTAGGTGACGGCAAAGCGACAAGGAGATCGAGAAGGTCGTGAGAGGGGAATAAGTGTGAAGTAAGCATAGGAATGGTGTTATTTCCAGGGCTCGCAATGTCCCGCTCTTCGGCTGTCAACATGTACATTTGAGTAAAACGAATGAATTACGTATCCTCAACGCAAGGACTGAGATCACGTTGCAATCTGCATTTTTCATGAGCTGATTGGATTTTCACTCATAAGAACCATTTGATACGTCCAAGCATAATCGTGCTAGTGATATTAATGGAAGGCTGTCACGGCGAATTCCGACTTCTATGGGATATGATACCTCCCTGTCATACCTGCAAGACTGAACTCTGTACGGAGTGCGGAGTACTCTGTGCTCCGTACGGATCACGCAGACCTTCATGGCGGCGGATGGTGTATCACACCGAAAACATAAGCTTTACATAAATATCAAACCCGTATTTGAGATACATACGGAGTAGTGGCTGCGGGCCCGTCCCGCACGGCCCGTGATCCAGACACAATGAGACATGTAGATCTCACGCTAGTCCTCAGGTAGTTAGGTAGCCGCCCAGATGCAAAATTACACAAATACAACACGGTCCAACCCTTTCTTTGCCCAAAACCCCTTGATGATCTCTCACGACTTTCAATACGGTATCAAGTATGGAGTTCTGTTTGGTTATTCTTGTAAATTTGGGTGTCCATATGTATATTGCGTTCCAAATTGATGCCGACGGTCACTCTTACCTACATACCTTACCCCCCAGAATACGATATGGGCCCGTATAGATAGAACTCCTGAAGTCACTACATTTGGTTGGATATGTTTTTTTATTTTTCATCATCTCCAGGGCTTATGCTGATGCTGATAAATCTTGGACGTCTAAACAATTAATACCGATCATACGAGAGCAATAATTGCATGTCAATGTCGACACCTACTGTGGTCGTGGTAACTTAAAATAGACCACATTGAGTAACATTGGATTAGAAGATGTTCCAATAAACACGCTTCAGATCTCATGAGTTAGAAGGAAAAGAACGTTTAATTTGACCCCAATTCCCGCAATTGTTGTTCAACATGGGCCCATGCGTCCGTTCGCAAAACACCAGTTAGCCACCAGTTTCCGCCAGCATCCTTTCCAATTACGGAAAGAACATTTCGGAATGAATTCGCAGAGTGCTGGACTCCATTCACAAAGGATGGCTTTCCCGCATTTTGTGATTGCTGTGAGTTTGACTGGACCGAATTTTGTAGTATGGCCGATGAGAAGTCCATGTCAAACAAGCGGGCCTTATTCCAGTTGGAACAAGACAACAACGTCATCCGAGGGTCACCTACCAAGACTAAATAGCCAGTCTTCTCCATGGTTTGCATTTGTAGCGCCGCCATTGCCTCGACCTGTTCGGTCGTTCGCTGCTGCGCTAACGATTGTCGAATCCGCAGGGCGATATGACCTAATGGCTCATCGGCAATATGGCAGCCCTGTAAAAGGGTAGGTGACATACACAGCGCATTGCCCATGTAGGCGGTATCGTCAGAATTGAAGGACTCATGCAACGATGTCCGCAGGTTCAATGCATTGTTCACCAAAATTGATTGGGCCCTTCCAAGCCCCAGGCCGCCGTAAAGCGCGCGCACCCACCAAGCCAGTAGTACATCGCTTTCACTCACGAAAGGTACTGTCTCCCCTTCACAAAATGAAGGATCAGAAAGCTCAACTGATGCTTTCTGGCAGAGATTTTTCAAGGATGCGGCGGGGATGCAGATAGTACGCCGCTCATCCTGGCGGTACCATAGTCGCTGAAGGATATTTGATGCTATAAACCACAGAAACTCTTTCTTTCCAAATACACTGTCAAAATGCATGTACTTTTCCGCCGGGGTACGTTGGGCCAATTGTGTGAGGGGCTCTGATCTGAAACCCTCTAGCTTGGGGATTTTCTCGCGCTCCCCTCGAAGCATAGCAGTCCATGCATTAAGAATTGTCGTCATTCCCATCACATCTGCCAGCGTATGAATCCATGTAATGGTGATTATTGTGGCGTCCGTGAACGTTATAATGTGTATTGCCAGCTGAGGCAAGTCAGAATAAAGCCAGTCATCGATAGTTGTCGGAGCATCCGCACTACGCAGATAAGGGCTCAACTCATCAGGCGATGGAAAGATGGTCGGAATGCCGGTTGGCTGTGGTAATTTTGCACCAAGTGGGTGGTCAACAATGCTAGTTTCATGTTGAGCATTTGTCATGATGAAAGCCGGTCTTGAGGCATCAAATTGTGTTGGAATGTGATACTCATATTTTCCATCTTTCTAATAGACTCCGCCATGTTAGCATCGAATGTCGCAAACATGTCATTGATTTGAAACAACCCACGTTCATGCGCAGTCGAGCCCCAAGCTGTCTCCAATCTCCAATCTCCATCAGTTGCTCCAATGCTGCGCGCAATTTGGTCAAATCCAAAACATTATCGAACTTCAGCGAAACATCTAGCACCGTCCCTGTCATGCAAAAAGCGGTATTCCAAAAGTGAAGCGGAATGATCTCGTCGCTAGGCACTGTCGCCGGTTGAGGTGGTTTTGGGCTCGAGAAAAGCCACATGATTGAATCGTTCGCGCAGAGGGTCAACTTCAAAGTGCGGCACGGTAAAGAGAAGGTGAAGTGTCGCCGATACCTACATTTCGGTATTTAGCTTCAACCACGCCAGAGAGGTATGTACCTACTTCGGTTAGGTAAGAAGGCAAGTTGTATTTTTCAGATACGTCTTTGTATTGTATTGTTATTAAAATACATGTATCGTGACGTAAAATCTCCTGTCGCACTGTACAAATATCGAGTATCACATGTATAGGGCAACCGGGGTCTTTACGAAGCAGCGGCCTAAAAATGCTAATTTATTACTCCGTAGATACCTACTTCATAGGTACTTTTCATGCAAAATGCCATTGCAACCATAGCACCTAATTTGGCTTTGGTACATTCCAACTCCCTGCGTCGGACTAGATTTCATCGCACGCGTTCAGCTCGCCATCACTGCGATAGGTGAATTACGGTGAGGAGCCTACCATAAAGATTGCAAAGGCTTATCTACTCGAAATCTGCAATACCAATAATACCAAGGTTTACCGGCTCCATGAACTTTAATTTCGACCTTATCCACTCACTATCACATCGACTAAACATGCGTAGCTGCGGAGCCAAACAGGCAAGTGCTGAAGTAAAAGCCCTCCCAGTATCTACTCACGACGGATCGATGAACCAAGCATATAGATGCCTGCCAGGGGGTGCTTCTTCGCCAAAGCATCATCCTGCTCCCAACTATCGACTTTCAACTTCAATCCAGTCTCCTCCTGAACACGCTCCCACAGTCGGTTCCAACTGGCCAAATCGTGGTAGTAGTAAGGCAAGCGCGCGTTTGTAGCATTACCTATCGCTTGGTCCCGACACGCCACAACTCGACACACGATGAGCGATCCAGGCTTGGGGGCAAGCAAATCGAGGACACGCTTGGCGACTCTGATTTGTGTATCAAAGTCGAAGACATGAAGGAAAAGTGAGATATAGACAATGTTGAGCTCTCCAGTCAGCTGAGTGACAAGAGCTGATTTATCATCGAGTACGTCCGCATCGATGAAGTGGGACTTGATCGTCGCGCGATCAACAAATAGGTCAAGCCCGAGCTCAAGGAACTCCGGGCGGAGATCTGATCCATACAAGTTCTGTGATGGGGCGCCATCGAAAATCTGCATTTCCCGTGGGGCTTATGGTTAGCATTTACTCCTCACCTGGACCTGTGGGACAGGCAATGGTGGCAGCATTGATTCATTAGTCTGAACTTACCAATTGCCGGAGTTCCTGTCCAAAGGCACATCCCAAGTCAAGTAGCCTATCACCATTTTTAACACGCTCGAGCATCTCTGGATAACATGGTGACGACGCAATGCTCAGGTCGAGGAATGAAGCTTGCCCAATACAGGCATAAGGGAACTAACAGATGGGCAAAATTTCGTGTCAGTCACCTATTCTGTCAAGAGCATTCAGAATGGAATTATATAACAACTCACAACTGCAAATGCTCGATCTTTCTGGTGAATGTTAGCCAATGTTTTCTTTCTCGCAAATAGTTGTATCTAGAGTCGGAGTCACCAACCAAGTCTTTGACGTGCTGCAGAATATCGTCGGCGGGGATTTTGCTGTACAGCTCAAGAATTCTTCTAGCTGGCTCATTGACATTTGTCAACTCCGCACTGTAGAGGCTCTTTGGATCGAAGCCATCTTTGACAGCACTCTGCAACTGAGTATCGGGATGCATGTTGAATATTTATTTATGAAATGTCCTGCTGTGAAGATTGAATACGAGAGTGATATGTTCTCTGGCCGCAAAGCGTGCGAAAATAGTCCGTGGTGGGGGATGGAAATAATCTAAGCACACATGCCCGGGGGCTTCTCATCGGGAGATTAAATATATGTCATCACACGCACTACCCAGAATTGGAAGGCAAGATTCAGGCCCAAAATCAGCAAGGGAAAGAATTTAGAGAAAAAGTCCACGTATTCGGGGGCAGCTAGCGTTCATTGCATGCACATATTATGCACGACCACACACACACGGGAGATAATGGTGGGATGAAGAGCTTCTTCATGAGTGGCTATCAATAGTAATGGCATATTGCAATGTGATAGTTGACGGAATATATCCTCCACGTCTGCCTAGCTTCTTGTGGTTAGGCATATGTAGATAAGCTCATTCGTTGCACGGAGTACAGAATAATCCTATCACTAACCTCCGGTTTCGTGGAAATGAGACCGTTATGGCTGCCCAGCTAATACTAACACGCATGTAGACCGAGATATGCATCGGATAACAAGCTAGGAGAAGATCAAAGCTCACTATGAGCGAGTGTCAGGGACTATCGTACCTGCCTGATCTTGGATGTATCTCTTGCCATGGCCAGCTTATGACCAATAACACATGTGGCGAGTACCTGGCTCATTCCAAGGCTTGCCGCGGATAGATAGCTGTGCAACCCATGTAATGCATTAGTGTAGCCCCCATTAAGATTCAATATGAGAAATATTGGTCTTGATTCTCCTGAATGTAATGGTAGGACAGTCTTGGATAGAGAATGTTCAATGTAAATGTGATTTGGAGATAAACTAAACAAATCAATCGTTACATTGGCACGATGGATGTGCAAAGTAGAAGCTACTACCTTATATCAGAAAGGGAGCAGAAGGGTCGCAAGATAGATGCCACGAGAAAAATGTCAGGGGAAACTATAACCAGTCACCTTGAAAATAGTTTGTATGTACAACGTTTTTCTATTAGAGAGACCAAACGGAGACTCGGGAGAACTAGAATGGCCATTATCTCAACTCAATGATGCTCGTTTTTCACCTCAGTATAGGCAGGAGGGCTTGATATCGATCTATTCCAATTAGACACACTATTATCAGTTCCCTGCAATCCACGCACAATCTATCTCATCACTAAGTTGACTTCTCAACGACCTTCTTCACAGCACCCTCGGTATTCTCGACCGCGGTCTTGACAGAGTCAACAGCCTCATGCTCAATCACCTTGGCGGCTTCGACGGTGCTATCAGACTGGCTGCGCTGCCACAAGAAGATACGAGTCACCTGAACGGCACCAACACAGCCAAGGAAGAAGTTCACAGTAGCAAGCCTATCGAGTGAAATGCGTTAGTGGGGATAAATGGCAGATTGCTCATCAGAGTTCACATACAGGACGTTACGGGGCTTAATAATCATGCACCAGCGGGTCCAGATGGCACCAGTGCCCATAAGAGCGGCATTCTGAGTGAGGGAGAGCTTCTCGGCGGGACGAGCGAAATCGGAGATACCGGCGATGACCAGGCACCACTGTTGTGATAGATGTGTTAGTCATGGATCGCAAAGCATAGATTTTGGTAATCCACACGACATGGCAACATCTGATATAAATTGAGGGTACATGGAGATATAAATGGAGGGTATATGGAGGTAAATCGCGGGTTGTGGACGTTGGGGAACCGAGTCATCGTACCTTCATAACAGGGGCCCTATAGCAAATACGTTAGCGCAAGTTCATAATTGAGATAGAGATAAGAAGCACAGCATGTTTGTAATACGTACCAGAAGTGCACAGTCTTCACGCCGACGGGGCTGTTCCACATGCGCTGGAAGACGCTCTGCTGCTCTGCTGCACCGGCTTCGGAGCTCTGCCAGCGGAAGCCCTGAGCACCCGGCCGGCGGAATGGCGCAGAGGCATTGCGGAACGCAAAGCGGGTGTTGTTGATGAAACGGAAGCCCACACGAGATGACATGATGATACTTGGAATGCTGGTTCTGGTGAGAGGGAAGATGGAGTGATGTCCGCGATCGGTGGCAGGGGGACTTTTCCGTCGGGGGAGCTTAAATATGTCAATTAACCCCCACAACAACGGGAGAAAAAACGATATATTTCGTAAAAAATAACAGAACAGCTCTGAAGGAATTACTCTCACTTATCTCTATGGAATATCTCTGAATATCGCTCTATTGCTGTTGCTATAGATGACATATCAAGATGTTGGGAGCTGATGTAAGCTAATAGCCACTAGTCTGGATTGGGACTAGCGGAATTATGGCTCTGCGCAGCGAATCACCGCCATCGTGAATAATGCACTGCATCGCAGACTGTCCAGCAATTCGATCCCACTGCCCCCACGCTCATCCTTCCGTGGCTCCTTTAAGACCTTGATATCCATACCTGTTGCATTTGCTTGACTATTCCATTCACTATGTCTGGCAAGTACGTCTTCACCCAGGGCCTGAAGGAGCTCCGCTTCCTCTTCTGCCAAACCTCTGAGGCAAGCGCTGCCACACGGTACGTACATCCCGACCCATGGCCAATGGCTCCCTGGTCTCCCAATTGACTCTTTTTTCTCCTCTACAGGTCCTTCATCAACCGCGCCTACCCGACCATGAAGAAGCACAACCCCCAGACTCCCATCATGATCCGCGAAGCCGCGGGCACCCAGCCACGAGTGTACGCCCGATATGGTATGAAAACACACTCATTAGCCCATTTTGGAGGCTATCCGGCAAAACTGGATTTAGCTAACCTACTGTGTTTTCTCTCTAGCTTTCGGCCAGGAAAAGCAAGAAGCATTGGCCGGTAAGCACCCCCGCCAACATAAGTTTCAATCAAAAACCGGGACTAATCTTGCCATTTCTAGGCCTGTCGGATGCCCAGATCGAAGAGCGCATTACACAATTGGTGAAGCAGCAGCTTTAGGTTCTTTTTGTTTCCCTATCGATCTACATTATGCCCCCCCGCGTTCCTACCGTTTTACACCCATCTTCTGTACCTATAGATGAAATCGAATCCCATATCCAAAACAATTCCAATTCAATAACTTCCAGAGAAAACTTGATCTATCTTACAGCACGCTATCCGCATTGCCAACCTCGCCAAACCGATACTGCGCCCAGCTCATACTTCCCTCCGGGAGCGTCCAGGTTCTCTTGCCCATATCTTCGCCCGCGGCGCCAGCCCCAATGTGGATAGGGAGCAGATGCTCGAAGGAAGGATGAGCCTTGCGTGCATCTGGCCTCTTCAGCAGGTCGGCCATGGCCTTCTGCCGCTCCGCCGGCGCAGTCGTCACGGCATCCTTGAGCGCCTTGTCGAAGCTAACCGCGTACGGCATCGGGGTCGGGTTACCGAACGCAAAGCGCAGATCGCGCAGGTTATGCACGGCCATTCCAGACACGATGATCAGGATGTTATCCTCGCGAAGACGCGCGACTGCCTGACCCAGGCGGTAGTGCTGGTCTGGGTCTTCGGAATCAAAGAGCGAAACTTGCACGATGGGGACGTTCAGTGGGTTCGACTCTGGCTCAAATGCTGCATTATTCTCATCAGCATCAATGGATCGTGATTTGGGGTTCTGGCTGTCACGTACCGCATTTGAAGCTAGCCCAGACGCCGTGGTCGAGTCCGCGCTTCACACCCTCGGCCGCGATCCCGGCTTCCTTCAGCATGTCCAGTACCTTATTCGCAACCTCCTTGCTACCCACGTTCGGGTACTTTTCTTTATAGTAATGGCCTGGGAAGCCATAGAAGCTGGAGCCAGTCAGATCAAATCCTGCAGGTTTTCAGATGGGGGTTTCGATATCCAACATACTCATAGATCAAATCAGTCTTCTCGGCAGTATTAACCTGGATGGTATCCCGTCCAGCTTGCCAATGCGCCGAGAAGACTACGACAGCGCGCGGCTTGACTTTGGTGGTAATCTCGCGTCCAATTTCGGAGAGCTTGCGGTAGGCTGGGTGATCAACCTCGTACATCACGTTCGGCTTGCGCGCATCAGTCAGCGTTTAGTTCCTCGTAAAGACTTGAAATATCGGATAACTCACTCCGCCATGACTGAGGAAATAGATAGGAGTCCTCATGCTGTGCTGTATTTTACTATTTGTAAGTGCGTCCGATTGTCCCTTTACTGTCGCTGCTGCTGCAACAGACGCTGAGATCGAAGCTGAGGCTGCCAGAGGTCCCGCCGCTGTGCGTGCGGAAGATCCAAAGAGGCGTCGAAGGCCGAACAGATTGGCGGTATCACCCCAGATCAGGGTAATAAGCACAGCCGCAAGGACTGTCAGAAGAGATATAAGAGCGAGCTTGCGTCCGCTGATTGGATTTGGTGCGCTTTGTGTTCCCGAATGGTTGTGTTGCTGGCTTGATTCGGAAGACATATACGGCTTCAGACTGATAGAACTAGCAATGCGCTTTTCTTTTCTGAGATTGGAACAAATCTACTTAAACCAAATTCAGAGGCAAAGAAAGAAATAAGAATTTACTAGAAAAGCTGATTAAGTAGATGCTCTCGGAATTGCTAAGAGCCCGATGATAGGCCGAACCGGGCTCCAGGAAATAAATCCACCGCTCTGTCAGCGCGGAATCCACCCGCGGACAACGCCATATATCCGTGCGGCTGTGTGGCCCTCTGGAGGTCGGGTTTACGGATATAAGGAGGTTGGAATTTTCGAATGGCAACTTGGTACGGAGTACACTAATCAAGGTCAATTGTTCAACAATCTATTAATGTATGCAAATGCTGTAACCAGCGCCGAGGAATTGGATCCATCGTGTCCGTTTCAGTCATACACATCCCACTAGGAAAATCAGAAAGGGGGAAGAGAAGAAGGGGAGAAGAAAAATAAAGGTGATTCCAATCAGACAAGGTTCGTTAGAAGAAGATGGGAGAAAAGAGGGGGCTGAAGGCACAAGATGCAGTCCAAAAGCCAGAAGAAGACCGTTCTTGACCGGAGTAGAATGTAACAGCCGCCGGTGATCATAAAACATGGGGGATAAATAAGAAAAAAGAAAGAAAACAACAAAAAAGAAAAGGAGGAAGAAGGAAGTGTAGAAAGGACAATAAAGGCAAATTACATGAGAACACAGTCCCCATCACTCTGTTTATTAACAGCCGAGCGAGACAGACGGGTTTTTTCCATTTGGTTTCCGCCCTTCTTGAGGTCTTCAAGACGCTCTCGGGCTTTGGGGAATCCTTGAGCTGGAAAGGAGAAGAACCGTCAGTTGATCATCAAACAATAAGTACTACAAGGGAGTCAACTTACCAGCTGCGCGCCAGTACCATCGCTTTGCATCATCTAGATTGGGAGCAGCACCGATTCCAACCTCGGTGAAATATCCCATAGCATATTCTGCCTTAGCAAGACCTGCAGTGGCGGCCTTGCGGGCCCACAGATAGGCTTCGGTGTCGTTCTGTGATAGAATGCCCTCAGATCCGGTGAGGTACCAACCACTGAGGGCGAGTTCACTCTGGTGCTCACCCTGAGCAGCGGCACGAGTGTACCAGATAATGCTCAGGCGATTGTCAATGGGGCAACCCATCAGTCCGTACTCGTACGCAGTACCAAGTCGGAACTGAGAGAATTTATAGCCCAGCTCGGCAGCCTGATGGAACAGCTGAGAGGCGTACTGCTCGTCACGGACAATGATATCATTGCCGCCAGCATTCTCATACATGAGAGCAAGTTCATGGAGTGCGTGTGGGTTTTCCGGGTCCGCACGCTCAGCTGCGCGCTTGAGCCACGATACACCCTCACGGGGATTTCTGGCTTGACCCAGCAATCCCTTCAAGTTAATCATGCCCATTTTGTACATTGCGGGTGTGTCACCAAGCGCAGCTGCACGCTTGTACCACTGAACGGCTTTAAACGGATCACGTTTGGTTCCGCCACCTTCTTCCTGGCCAATCTCACAACACACAGCCACACGGTATGCAGACTGTGCGTGACCTTGCTTCGCGGCGGAGTGATAGAGTGAGAAAGCTTCTTTGGGGTCTGCTTCCAGTCCCAGTAGGCCTTCGCCATAGCAGTCGGCCAAAAAGAACTGAGCCTCGGAATATCCAGCGGTAACAAGCTTTTTGACAATTTTATGTGCATCCATCACATATTTCTCCTTGGCTTTGGATCTGGTTTTGGGATCAAGTCGGCTGTTATCCCCTACTAGGACGGTGGATGCCTCGACCAGCTTTTTGGCTAGCAGAAGTTGTGTCTTCTGATCAGAAGGGTTGGCTCGCGCCTTCTGCTGGAGCTTTTGGAGTTCCTCGGTCGTGACAGGTGCCGGGGCCGTTGGAGCAGGCGTCATCATCGGCTGTGGAGCAACAGGAGCAGGGGCGGCTTCGGGGGTGCCGTATTGCCGAAGGGGCGCAGGTTTTGATGCCTGGTCGTGACCAGGGCGGAATGGAACAGGGTGGTGAGGAAGGGCATCGGGGTTTTGCTGAGGGTCTGGCATCTCAGCTTGGTCATGAGGATAAGCCGGCTGGTTTGTCGGGACCGGGGAGGGACCATGCGAGTAACCAGCATAATCCTCATATCCATTCGATGCATAACCAGCATGGGATGGGTGGCCGTAAGCAGGACCAGTGGGACCTTCTGCGGGGATATCAAATTGGAATCCCGCATTTTCAAACTGGTTTGCGCTGTTTGCTTGTTGAAAGTTCGGTGGGGTTTGGGAGCGTGCATCATCACCTCCACCTGGGGAATACGATGGGTAATTCCCAGAAGAAGTTGGACCGGGGCCTGGTCTCCTGACTGGTGTTGGGTCCAGTCCCATCTCATCAATTAGGTGGTGATTTCTAGCATCTGGCATTGCATCAAAATTGGGCATATCGGGCTCATCGGGATCGGTATCAGCACCACCACCCCCACCCCCACCACCAGTCTCATAGTAACTGTCCAGAAACTCCTTGGGCGCATATGAAACGCGATTAGCAGGCTCCGGTGGGATCATCATACCAGCAACGGGTAACATTAGGCCTGAGTCTATATCGTTGGGCGCACGGGATTGTGGAGATCGCATGCTTCCCGCAGTATCTGGACGCATGGGAGGTTCGCCTGCGAAACTTGGTGCATATTCCGTTTCTTGGTAGGTCGACTGGCCTGGGTAGAGTGGTGCAGCTGGTGCAAGCGGCATCGTTGTGCTTCGCGGCGGAGGAGGCATAGGTGGACTCATAGAATCCAAGTAATCCCGATCGGATCGAGGAGGCCTGCCTGAGCTAGCGGCTCGCACAGGACCCATCGGATAACCCCCTCGGCCTCTGCCCGGCGGAGGTCCACGTGGAGGTGGCTGTCGCATATCTGGGCGTCTTCCATTTGAGGTGTGCGGTCTAGGGGGCCCCCTGCCATTGATGTCCATCGCGGCCATATCAGTCTCTAGTCCTTGCAGTGGCGGACCGCGCCGATCTCTCGGGTCTCTGGGGGCCCTTGGATCTCTGGGGTCTCGATTAGGGAAGGAGGGGAAAGGATTATCGAAAGATCCGCCTGGGGGTGGGCGCCCACCAGCTTGAAGTTTGTTAGCAAAGAAATCGGTACTCTGGTGTCTGGAGTGTACATACGTGTTCGCGATCGCGATTGCGGCGGTGGTCGTCCGTTGGGAGGATAGCCACGCCGATCATCGTATCCGGGCCCTGGAGGTCGCCCATATCCCGGGCCTGGTGGACCTGGTGGGCGCATCGAGCGTGGCTGAGACTGAGGAGCGGGATATGGCTGCGAACCGGAAGAACTGGACTGGTAGCTGTACGCCGCATCGTCATAACCGTCTTGACTCCCCATGCCACTGTCGCTAAATCCACTGTGGGATCCAGCTTGCGAGTAACCTCCAGGGGATTTTATAGAAGGTGGGGCAGCATTGCTGTATTGTCGCAAAGGTGGCGGCCTCTGCGCGGAATGTTGAGGATATGACATGGCGCAAGCAAGCCAAAATTTGTATTATACAGCGTGTTGCAGTGATTCAAGTAGTCCTCAGGGGACTTTTACCGTCGTGCCAACGTAGTCGGTGGTAAGACGCATGCAAGGAGAGACCGGGTAGGTTACTGCCTAGGTGTAATTTCGAATTAGCTTGTCCATCCTCATATCGGTCCAGCCCTAGCCACCTGAGGAGTTCATACTGGTCTTTACCTAAAGTCGCGCAATGCCAACCTACGGCGCCAAATGACCAACAGGCTTATCGCAAGCCGATCCAGCACCTGCAAAGGATAGGCGCACCAGTCCAAGCGAGAGTCCAGCGAGGATGTTCAATCGGAGAGTTGAATCAAGCGCGGGGGGCAGAATGGGTTAGGGGCGGTCGGAGCAGGTGACCTTCCAATTTGAAAAGTCCCTTGGCCCACTGAGAAGTGAAGGGTTTGGTTCTTTTTCTTTTGGTCTTTTGGTCTTTAATCTCTTTCGTGTGTTTCAGAGACTAACTCGATTCATTCTCTAAGTGGATTTATTGCCAATTCTAGTGCCATCATAGACCCATGTACCTATTATTATATCTCCGGGTTGCTTTTGATTGGATTCCCACTTAGAGTTGTATTGGCGTTCGATTCTCTTGTCGATACAATGCGGACAGAGCACACCTAACGGCCGTATGAGGGATTGTTACATGTAAACATACACTCCGTACCCACGAAGTGGTTGATAAATCATTCCACTCGGTGCCTGACGATCAGGGGGTGTTTGGAAACATCCACCTGCAGATGTTGTCATCCTGGGCATAATCGGGCATCTCTGCCCGAGACCCAAGGTCCGTACGGTGGAGAGCATGTCGATACCTCGGAGATATGTTCTTTATAGGTAGGTGGATTACCATATGAGAATATGGATGACTCCACGCCTGTCTCAAAGCCCGTTCTTACAATTCTTTTTTTTCTGATTAAACGGCGCGGTTAGTACGGAGTAGAAACCGTCAGAACAATGTGGGGAGCGCCAATTCTGAGACACGCCCGATCAGGCAAAGCGTAGCGCTGTGCCACACCAGCCACAGCTGCGCCACGCTGTTCGCACGAGCAAATGAGAGCCACAATGATGTTGATGATCTCCAACGGTCTCAGCATCTGCATTTCTCCGATTTATCCGATAACCGCGACGTCACTCGGACCCTTGCACAACTCACTTGATAATACATATCCGCACTAATCAATTCACCATGTCTCGTGCTGCAGTGTGGGCTAAGACCATTGCCGGGTAAGTGATACCTAAATCCACCAAGACAATGACTCGCGCTCACGTCCGTTGCTTGCTATAGTGGCCTTCTCATAGTTGTCGGTGGACCCGCTCTCGTTGAATATATCCGACCTTCCGACGAAGAGCTCAGGAAGCGATACAACCCAGATCTGCAGAAGCGCAGCGCTGAGCAGGGGGACCGCCGGGCGCAGGAGTTCGATGACTATGTCACTAAGCTGAAGGAGTGGTCGAAGTCCGACAAGTCCAGTATGTGGTCTTCCCATAATTGCCAGGAGGCAGTTCTCTCTGAGATACCGTGTCAGCTCAGGTATTAGGTGCATTCCTCGCTAATATTTATGACCTCTTTTCTTTTAGTCTGGTACGCTGCACAGGAAGAATTGGACAATAAGCGAGCTGCTATAGAAGCACAGCGTGTGCAGGAGAAGCAACAAACTCGGACACAGCAGGAAGAGATGCGCAAGGAGATGCTGGGTGAAAAATGATACCCGCCATAACCAAATTGCAACCTTGTTGTTGATCTGTGATTATGCTGTGTGTTCTTCACAGAGAATCCAATCTACCTCGCTTCCCAACCATCTTCCACCTCCCTCGCCATCAATACAATTCCTCCTCTCGGCTATTTGTCTCAGCATATGAGCTTCGACGGCCTGAATTTTTGCACCATATGCGGTTTTAGGTATCCCTGGGTGTATTTCATGATTTTTATTGGGTGTACGATACGTTTGCGACCTTTCTCACCTCTTCGCATCTACAGCTCCAACATCTGGGGCTTTATCAATGTATAATTGCCGAATCCTGGTTATACTTCGTTGTTATCATAATCTAAAAGCGAATCCAGTCCCATTGGACCAATGTTGCATCTGTTTCTAAGTGATATCATCAAAAGCTCATCTAGATCTGAACCTCTGCGGGACCTCTGCACCATGTTTCATCCCAGTGTCCTCTCACCATGTGCCACTTTCGCAGTCATCTGTATTATCGAACAGGGCAACAAGATCAGTATACTACGAACAATTCATGACCACCGAACCCTTCAATCCCATAACTGTCTCTCTTCTTGCTGTGTCTAGCATAATCTCCAGAAAGCTATATTTTCCGGTACGAGCATATGTACCTGAGACAATCGCCCACGCATCATTACTGCCACCAAATGATCTCCTTCATGCAATCGTCTTGGAATCAATTATTTAGTCGGAGTTTGATTATAGCGAACATGTTTAGCTTCATAATTGACGGATTACATATCAATGTCTCTCATGACTGACAAGGTCGATGTACAAAAAGTATGTAGACCACCCACACCGGGGTGTATTCCACACCAGTCGCTGATTCAATGTAGTTCCGTTTTGGGTCCCTATAATTCGTACATCTATGCATCTATGTACCTGTTTTTCACCTAATAAGACCACATAAATATATACACAACATCATTTGATCCATGAAAACCGCTAGAAAGTGGAATCACATATTGAAACAAGCCACCTAGCACAACTCCCGATATGGAATATATCGCAAATGAACTATGCAGTCATCACCATAAATACAGCAGCACCAATAGGCATCACAACAGCCAATGCAGCAAATATTCCTGCACCAGCTTTGTCTCCACTGTCTATCTTGCGAGTACGAATATCACCCTGTTTTGTATCTCCCGACCTGCCGCTCCCATCCGGTCCATCATTTCCTTTACTTGTGCCACCATTCTTCCCTGTAACAGGCGCCTTAACGGTATGCACCAAATTGGCCTTGAAGATCTCCAGCGCAGCCATCTGCTCACCAATTCCAGTGGTGCTTTTGTACTCGGTGTGATCGGTCCAGACCAGCCCACAGGCATTATCGGGCCCATTGCACTGTTCTGCGGCAGCCAGGGCTGATGTTCGGATCTTTGGACCTAATAGCTGTTCTGTGAATGGCGCCAGCGGGATGGTTGCTCCCATGAAACGTGCCAAATAAGACTTGAACGACCGCGAGTTCAGATCGCATCTCTTGGGTTCGCAGGATTGAGCCATGATATCCTGGTTGTTGGGGAAGAAGGTTCCCAGCCCGCTGATGATACCTTCTATCCGCTGTTTCCAGACATCCGATCCATCTGTCTGATCATTATAGTAAGTAAATGATCCTGTCTGTGAGAGATCATGGAAGTGAAATATATTTTGCTCACAATATTGTACATATTGGCAGCTCCATGAAGATATACCGCAGGAAGATATGCATGCTGGTTGTGATTAATGACGGAGCAATTGGTTCCACTCTCAGCACCGTCGAAGATATGATATTCCTTGCCAATGAATCCCACCGAATCAGTCCAGTCCCAGACCTTGTTGGCCCATTCCGTGAAGGTATTGTTCCCAGTATACCTTGCCAATCGTGCAGCGACATCGAAGAACCCACCATTGGAAATGGTGTTCTTGTACGAGTAGCCCTTGTTATACTCAAAGGCCTGCCAATGTAGACCGCCACCGCAGGTCTTTTCATCCCAACGTGTAGCCTGCGAATTGAACACATTCTGCGCAAGAGATAGCCACTGCGGCTGACCTTCGGGTGGATCGGGGTACTTGAGTTCGGCAGCTGACATCGCCGCGAAGGCCCAAAAGATCTGGTCATCATTTCCAAGCGACAATGTCTGATTCCGAGGCATGTAGTTATTATCATCGCCTACTTGATGAAGGAGAGCCTGGGTGGTGATCTTGTTCCATTTGTCGTCGCCCGTGTAGTACCAGTACTCGACCATTGCGCCAAACATCGCGCCAGCTTCCCACCAGTAGTATGGATCGGGAATATTGCCTGGTACATCTCCCGGTTGGTCGCCGGTGTAATATTTCAACATTCCGGCCGCGGCGGTTTTGGCTGCCGCTTTGATGGAATCTGGATCGGTTTAGATGAACGAGGGTTCATTGTCTCTGTGAACAGTAAATTTCGACATACCGTCATCGTTCAAGTCAAGGTTAATGGACGCCTGCGTCATTTGTGGCCCCAGCGTGGAAAGTAGGAAGAGCACTACACCGCATGATCTTTTTGGGCATCTCATGGTGAGAAGTATCGATACTGTGGTATATACAATAAGAGAAGAAGCGAAAGAATTGATGAGCTTTCCACAAGAATTCCAAGAGGCCAAGGGGTTTCGAAAGGATTTTTCATTTCGTTGCGATGATCTTGCTTGGAAAAGACCACGAGCCAAGCAAAATGGGGCAGCGGGGTGCTCATGGGTAAGGAATGTTCCTTTGAGGAACAATGACTCGACAGGGGGTTTAGAACAGGCAGAATATGGGGTTCATCTATGTACGGAGTTCTCCGTATGCAGGGAATATGTCACAGCCTCGTGTTGGGGGCCGGGCTAACCGCCAAATGATTGTACGGAGCACAGGCGGAGCGACTGAGATCGTAGGATAGCTCAGTACATGGAGATCGACGAAGGATGAAACGAGCTGCCTACAGCCTCGATCTAGGACTTGGCATGTTTGGAAATTGGCTGATTGTTAAAGCATTTGCGAATATGGCATGGCATACTCGGCCGTAGGACTGGCTCATGAGTCCCTAATCTCCTCACGGAACGTTCTGATACATTGATGTAGATTTCTTCTGCTGTAGAGTAACAACATGCCAATTTCGGCTATGCCAATCAACAATGAGAACTGCATAAGTTGGCGGGAATACTGACGTAGGCCAACCCGCACATCCTGGATGATATTCATCCATTTCCATTAAATATATTTCGAGCGCCTGGTGCATACCGTTGTTTGAGTACGAAGCTTTTAATTTGACTTGGCAAAAAGGATGATTCTGTTGGCAATGACGTTGTAGACTGCCCTTGGTGATATCCCGAGTCCGGGTTGCGGAGTATATAGAAGATCGATATACCTACCCTGATGTTTCGTCGGAGAGAGCTTCAGGTTCTTGATTCTCCCCGCTTTAGAAAGATCGACATAATCGTAGTCGGGATTCCAAGGTCATATAAGGATAGACTCGGAGTAATGTAGAAAGACCTTGTACTCTAGGTATCTCATCACAGCACTAGAACCCTAGTTCTCTTCGATCAAAATCAAGTAAATCAAACCCTGGTTTCCAGGCCCGGAACATGTTACCTAATGGGAGTGGCTAATAATAGCACGGTTCCTCGAGCAACGTGGCCGGCTCTTGTGTTAATAGGCAGCCATATACATAACCCCCCCCTCCAAGAGACATATCAGTTATGATCCGAATCAACCCTAAATGGATACCGAGTACTCCGGACTCCGGACTTCTCCATGTGAAGCATACAATACTTATAGTCCATCTCGCACGTCATGGCTGTTCGCCGTAAATCAATTCCCTCCCCCCTATATCAACCCTAAAAGAACTGCAAAATTAGAAGAAGAACAAGTCCGATCAACGATACCATTGACTCCTCGCAACCAATAAATACCAATAGTTATGGACTCAAAATAGCAAGCACTCCAAAGCCGGAAGCCGACGCTTTGTGCTGAGAACGCCACAGCACGTGACTCTGGGCAATGCCGCCTCAAGCGGCAACGCAACTCGTCAGCTCCATCCAGACAACAACCGTTAATCCTTTCCTTCATCCGTCGCTCGCCGTTACGCTACATCCCGATCTTTATCGACCTGCGATAATCTTGACTCCATATCCACTATTCGCGTCGATATCAGTTCCCTATACCCCATCTTTGCTCCGCTTTTCCATCAAAACAGAGCAACCCCTAGTGCTCCTGCGAGGCCGTCGAGACACCACCGACATCCCGCCAATTCACACCTGAGAATATCTCAAACACTTTTACGACTCCCATAATGGCTGCTAACGAACAACCTTACGACCCCTACATTCCCTCTGGCTCGAACGGCGCCGCCGCCAACGGGCAGAATGGCAACCAGCGAACGGCCGCTTTGCAAGCAGTGAGTTCATTCCCAAGCATTCTTTGAATCATAGCGACTTCGACTTTCGAATGTTCGGACTATAGTCCTTCGATGCACGATGTGCATATGTTGTTTTGTTGTGTTTTTGATCGAAATGCGAACACTGGGGCGCTTGATTATCGCACTAAGACTGACATGGTTTCTTCTCTACAGCAAATCGACGACACCGTCGGTGTGATGCGGGAAAACATCAACAAGGTTTCCCAGCGTGGTGAGAATCTGGATTCTCTCCAGGATAAGACCGACAACCTCGCTGTCTCGGCCCAGGGCTTCCGCCGAGGCGCCAATCGCGTGCGCAAAGATATGTGGTGGAAGGACATGAAGATGCGCGTGTGCCTGGTCATTTGCGTGATTGTTCTTCTTGTGGTCATCATTGTGCCGTCTGGTAAGCGTTGAAAATCATTTTATCCGATTACCCCAAGTTTGCGACTAACACCATACCCAGTGGTTGCCACCCGCTAAGCACCAAGCATTGCTACCGCGCGCGACTTACGACTTCTCTTTGGACATGGGATCTTGATTTTACTGGGTTTACTGTTGTTGGGCCTGAATGGCCTTTTCCGTTTTCTTCACAGCCGCTAATACCTCCTGCTGTTTTTTTCTGGGCGTGTTTTCAATGACCAAATCCGTTTGACTTTTTGCCGTGCAACGAAACGAAATCATCCGATTTCGGGTTGCGTCGCATCACGCGACTCGGTCAACGGGTGAGGATGTAAATGATACTTCGATGATGCCGTGTTTCAGTATGCTTACCACATTGCCATTCGGGTGCTTTTTCACTGCAATGAATCTCCCTTAGCGTGCTTTTCTGCCCTCTATTCAAAGGATGGCATTACTACAATGCCCAGATAGCGAATTAAAAGTTAATGTAGGATATTCGGGTCGATTGATCATCTATCCCGGTGAACGGCCAAGGCAAAATTCACCCTTGTGTAGTACTGGGCAACCCTCGGCACCCACATACAACCCTGTTGTAATGGATGGGTTAGGAGTCTATCCAGGTAATTAAACCCACTCGGCATTAGGGCTGAGGGCTGAGTTTTGTACTCCACGTGGCTCCAGACCCATCTGACCTGTAAAGCTGTTCACCAATGACTTCATTCTGCAAGGAACCCGTTATGTCCGAACCCTTGGAGGGCTAGTGCACTCGTCATCGAATCTGATCCCAAAATTTCCACCGTGGATTGTCTTCAATACAGTAACGTCAATCCAGTCCTGATCAATGTTCCGGGATCTCATCTGCCGGGTGAGGTTGAGCATGCGAACAACATGTGATGAAACGCTTGGGTACTTCGGGCGGGGGGACGAGTGTCCACCGATGACTTGAATAAACCAGTGAGCGCAGACCTGGCACATATGTGTCCCGTCGGGAAAAAACGCGCTGCCAACTAGATCCAGCCAGGGTGGAGGGAAGTGGATAGCGGTGGCCCGACACAACGAGTGAGAGGGAAGGATAAGATCAGATAACTGAGACTAAACCCAAGCAGGATGACGTCTCACGATCTCCGAACAGAAGAAGTGGGCTTCTCGGAGGTAATACGCTCGCTTGGGGAAGTCTGAGGAGATTGATATCCGAGGGAAAGCGCGTGAAGAGTTTTTGGTCCCGGCTCGCCACACAACATGTTGATGTTGATACAAGACTCATAGCATCAAAAAAGTATACACTTGATTATATTTTTTTTTATACACTTCCAGGAGAGAATTAAAAACAGGGAACAAAAGAAGACTGAAAATAATACCTAGGTAATGCACTGGTAAGAAATAAAAGACGTACGTAACGTAACTGGAGATAAATCGCTCGCTAGAAGGGGGTCCACCGCCTTCTCCCCATCATTGGGCCAAGTTATCGCTCCGAGGGCCGGCCGATGATCTGGAAAATCTCTCTTGACTCAACACTCTCTCACCTTCACCTCCACCTACCTTCCACCTCCTTATACATATTTGGGGCCTCTCCCACCTAGGGCTGACTGTGAGACCATTGAGGCTGCCGCATGTGCGTTGCCAAGATGATGTCCCTTCGCTCCGCTGTGCGGAGAGCTTCGTGCAAGCCCCTCCGTACCCTCTCCGCACCTACTGCTTCCGTCCGAGTTGCAGCTGCTAAGACGGCTACCTCCCTTCGCCAGACCCGTACCTACTCCCGCGCGACGGATTCTCACCTGACCTCAACCCGCAGCACCGTCGTGCAGCTGTTGAGCAATATTGGCTCCAAGCGCGAGGTTCAGCAGTACCTGTCACACTTCACATCCGTGTCCTCCCAGCAATTCGCCGTGATCAAGGTTGGCGGTGCTATTATTACTGATCACCTCGAGACTTTGTCCTCCGCGCTCGCTTTCCTTAACCATGTCGGTCTGTACCCGATCGTCGTCCACGGTGCCGGCCCTCAGTTGAACCGCATGCTGGAGGCAGCCGGTGTTGAGCCCCAGTTCGAGGATGGAATCCGGGTGACTGATGGCAAGACCCTGGCCCTGGCCCGCAAGCTCTTCCTGGAGGAGAACATGAAATTGGTTGAGGAGCTCGAGCGCATCGGCATCCGCGCCCGTCCCATCACTGCGGGCGTCTTTTCTGCTGATTACCTTGACAAGCCTAAGTACAACCTTGTCGGTAAGATCAATGGTGTTGACAAGAGCCCCATTGAATCCGCAATTGCTGCTGGCTGCCTGCCCATCCTGACTTCCATGGCCGAGACCCCCGATGGTCAGGTGCTCAATGTCAATGCGGACGTGGCTGCCGGTGAGCTTGCCCGCGCTCTGCAGCCCCTGAAGATCGTCTACCTGGCTGAGAAGGGTGGTCTGTTCAACGGTGATACCGGTGAGAAGATTTCCGCCATCAACCTCGATGAGGAGTATGATCACCTCATGGGATTGTGGTGGGTGCGCCACGGCACTCGCTTGAAGATCAAGGAGATGAAGGAACTCCTCAGCGATCTGCCTCGTTCATCTAGCGTTGCTATTATCCACCCCGCTGATCTCCAAAAGGAGCTTTTCACTGACTCCGGTGCCGGTACCCTGATCCGCCGTGGTAACAAGATTCATGTCAAGACCTCTCTGTCTGAGGTTGGCGATATGAAGGCTCTCAAAGAGGTGCTGATCCGTGACCGCGAGGGCCTCGATGCCCGTGCCGTCGTCGACCGCTACGTCGAAGGCATTAAGGAGAAGGATTTCAAGATCTACTACGATGAGCCCATGGAGGCTCTCGGAGTTGTTCTGCCCCCGCAACCCAACTCCCAGATGGCTCACTTGGCCACCTTCACCATCACCAAATCCGGATGGTTGACTAACGTTGCCGACAATGTTTTCGCCAGCATCAAGAAGGACTTCCCCAAGTTGGCTTGGACTGTCAAAGAGGACGATGAGAACCTGACCTGGTTCTTCGACAAGGCCGATGGTAGCTTGAGCCGTGATGGCCAGGTTCTGTTCTGGTACGGCGCCGAGAATGCCGAGGAGGTCAAGCACCTGGTCCAAGAGTTCAACGCCCACGGCCGCCAGATGTTCGGCGACATCAACCTTGAGGCGCGCCTCCACCGCGCTGCTGAGGCTGCTGCCAACATTGGCAAGGGCCACGGCGCTAGCGGTGCCTCTGCTGAGCAGAAGCGTGGATTCTCCACCACCACCAATGCTCTGCGTATGAGCCGCAACAAGCGTCCCGCTGTCGCTGCGAACTCCTTCCGCACCTATTCGACTACCAACCCCAATCCCCCTCTTGGAGAGAAGAACATCTCCAACACCCAGCCCGCCAAGGTTGCTCTCATCGGTGCCCGTGGTTATACCGGCCAGGCCCTCATCAACCTGCTGAATGCCCACCCCAATATGGATCTCCGCCACGTCTCGTCCCGCGAGCTGGCCGGTAAGAAGCTCCAGGGTTACGAGAAGCGCGAGATCATCTACGAGAACCTCAGCCCAGATGATGTCCGCAAGATGTCTGCCAACGGTGATATCGACTGCTGGGTCATGGCTCTGCCCAATGGTATCTGCAAGCCCTTCGTCGATGCCGTCGACGAGGGTTCCCAGACCGGTAACGTTATTGTTGACCTGAGCGCGGACTACCGCTTCGACCCCAAGTGGACCTACGGTCTTCCCGAGCTCGTCGAGCGTTCCAAGATTGCCCAAGCTACTCGCATCGCTAACCCTGGATGCTATGCCACCGCTGCCCAGCTTGGAATCGCTCCTCTTGTTCCCTTCCTCGGCGGTCAGCCTACCACCTTTGGTGTTTCTGGCTACTCCGGCGCGGGCACCAAGCCCAGCCCCAAGAACGACGTTCAGTTCCTTACCAATAACCTCATTCCCTACAGCTTGACTGATCACATCCACGAGCGTGAGATCAGCGCACAGCTTGGCACCAGCATTGCGTTCATTCCTCACGTTGCAGTCTGGTTCCAGGGTATCTCCGTAAGTACCTGGAATTTCTCTGGACCTTTGTTCCTAACAACACGCTAACATCTGTTTCCAGCACTCTATCAGCATCCCCCTGAAGCAGAAGATGACATCTCGTGACATCCGTAACCTCTACCAAGACCGCTACGCTGGCGAGAAGCTCGTCAAGATCGTTGGTGAAGCTCCTCTTGTCAAGGACATTGCCGGTCGCCACGGTGTCGAGATCGGTGGATTTGCCGTCCACTCCAGCGGTGAGCGTGTCGTTGTCTGCGCTACCATCGACAACCTGCTCAAGGGTGCTGCTACCCAATGCCTGCGTAAGTGTCTCGCCTATCGTCTATCTGATAAGTCATGACGCTAACCATTCCCACAGAAAACATGAACTTGGCTCTGGGCTACTCCGAGTACGAGGGTATCCCTCTCGACTAAGCACTTGCTGAACGCGAGTGATCAGTAGGTATCAGGTTGTGTTTGCGTATTGTCTTCGCATGTCTTTTGTCTCATACCCCCGTGCATCTTATAAACCACTCTGGGTTGGAGATTTTGGGTGCCTCTTATCTACTTTCAGATTTTCCATAGTCGATGTTGTCTCGTCTATATCATTGTGCCAAAAGAGTTCGGTTTCTGTTCGCCTCGGTCTATCCTTCTTCTCCCTAGAGTTCTGCTTCGTTCTTTCGGATGACCTCGGTTTTCGTCCTCTCGTGCTAAACTGACTGGCCATTTTTAGCAGTTTCAAGAAAAGCAAGATTTCATTCTAATACTGGTTGACCCCAGGCCCCTGCAAAGTGTTCTCTACATGCCCCAGGACTATCTAGGAGTCGATTTGATTTATTGAATGACTGGCGACGGTGGAGAACCGACGCAATTTATTGTAATTAGAAACTTATATATGTTTCTGGAAACTTTGACTCGACATAATCAGTGCTGTAGTTATCAGGGTGGACTGTAGAGTAAATAGCACGTCTGTTAGATGTCGAGGGTTCTGTCCTAAGCTTGGATTCTGCATATCCTCGTCACTCGCCATCTTTCCATCCTCTCCAATTCTACCCTGTATCCTTGTTTTCTATTCCGTTGTTATTGCACCCCCTTTCAAGGCACATTCATCATACTTTGCACTGTCTCCTATCAAAGCTACTTCGTGATCGCCCACCCGGTGTCCGGGCTATAGGCAGCTCTGCGGGTAGACATCCCATGTCTGCAACGGTCACTCCCACCACACAATACTTCGCCCATCCTGGTCACCGGACATTTAACCCTACGTGTGAAGTAATTCGGGCAGAAACTCGAGGACCAAAGGGTCACTCGAGTGGACCTGTCAACCATGTTTTACAGTCATGAAAGTAAGTTGCAAGGCTCCCGCAGATGGTCTCCATATAGGACGAAAAGCTCACTTGTTGATCTCGCCCTAGTCCTCACTTCGCCGGAGCATGGTGTCGCAACTATCTGGTAAGACTACCCTGTGTCTCCCCCGCAAGAGCTTCCACACTTTCACACACAGGACTAACAACACCGTCTCCGCAGGCTAGTTGCAACCCTAGGGTCCCGTTCCATTGCCAGGAGACTCAATCGAAAGGCTATTCTCGATGTTGACGTCCCCAAGGCATGCCGAGTCATTATTGACCCCGAGGCACCCATGGCCCTTCGATTGCAAGGGAGCTTGCTGTAAGACCTGTCGCGGAGTGATGTCGGCTTGAGTTTGCTAACATATTGCCTGTTCCAGTTACGGGGTGTCTCGGGTGTACAATCAACAATGCGGATACACGCTACTGGATACACAGGCGATGCACGACAAGATGGTCTCCAAGTTGAAGATCATTCCAGGAAGTGGACTTGACCCTACCGCCGGGCAAACCAAGTGAGTGTCACCAATTAGGCCCATATGTTTGCTATTTGCTCGTCAGTGCTCAAATATTTACTTCAAGCAGGCCTAACAATCTGATCCTGCCCTACGACCCTACCTTCCTGCCCGAGACAGCTCTCCTGGGATTGGAAATCGACTTGTCCTCTTTCAATGGTAGCACTGATGATATTTCAAGTCAACTGAGTGATCTGTGGACCAAGTCCCCCAATAATAGCTTGTCTGGTAACTCTCACGTTTCAAGCCTCCAGCTTGAGCTCCCGTCGGATGATGGCATGCGAGATGGTAATATCCTCGGACTTGACGATATCGGCGGGTCTGTGCAAAAGGAGGACATTTTCGACAATGTGAAAAATCTGGGATTGGGCAAGGAGGAAGGTGTTCTTCTTCAGCCTGACTTTGAATTTGACGAGGATGGTAATATTATCGAGCTCGGTACTGAAGCACAGTCCCCCTGTGCAAGGAAGTCCAAGGGTGGACTAAGAGAAAGTGAACAATTCATCGAGAGAGAGCAAGACCAGCTCGGGGAAGAACCAGTGAGGATCCAATATCCATATCACAACTAAGCACATCTCACTGACTTTGCTCCATAGATGCAGATCGACAACGAGGCTTTGCCAACGGTCGAGAACAGAGACATAATGGATTTTCACACCCAGCCCACCGGTAGAAATATTCTTCGGGCTGAAAGCCTAGATGGGATCGAGGAAACAATCGAAATTCAAGCGGTAAGAACCCGCAAAGTCCGACACCCAAAGGAGATCATTCCCGACGATACCACGTCGCTGCGAAATATGACAATGGCGGAATGGAACAATGAATACGTTGCCAACATGGCCCAAGCATTGAAGCAGAAGCAGCAAAACAAAATCCCAACCATTTCGAAGAAGAATGCCGCTTTCTGGGTTTTCGGTCAGGGAATCGGCTCCGTAGGAGTGGGATTGGGGAAGGATCACGAATCGCATCCCCTCCGTCTCTATTCAGGCGAGGACCTGTTCGAAGCCATTGGTGGATACACCCGGAAGAATGCACGAAAGCGCAGTGCCGAAGATGATGAAACTTCGGAGGGACGTCGAGTACGCGCGAGAGACGAGCAAGCTGATCATCTCAGCCGCGAGAATATCGACCGCCTTAACATGGATGTCGAACTTGGCCGTGATGCCCCTTCGAGTCTGTTCGACGATCACTCATCTCAGATGCCGTGGAACATCACCGCTTCTATCCAAAGCTCTCGACAAAGACATCGGCTCGGTAGTGCCAGCGAGGTTTCCTCTCAAGGACGTAAAGGCCGAAGTCGTCTCGCAAGCGCCAGTCCCCTTGCCAATCGTGGCTATCTCGCTGGCCAAGACCAACTCAACCTAGAGCTTCTCGGCGATTTCGGAGATGACATGGATCTTACCCGGTATCTGGAAGAGGAACTGGCAACAGATCGCGGAAATATCAGCTCGATCTCCCGGGGAAAGCGCTCTGCTCTTGAACGTGTCAAGGCGACTCTTGATCGGGAAAGCTTGAACTTCATAGATTTTATGAAGACCAAGATGGGTGCTATTTCCGACGGTAAGGCAGGAAACACAGAAGAAAGCCCACACAGCAGCATAGCCAGCCCGATCGCAGGCAGACTCGGCCAGACAACGTTTGCGACTCTGCTCCCTCCTGAGAGCACGACCCGAGCTGTTGCAACTCAAGCCTTGATGAACGTTCTCACGCTGGCTACCAAGGGTGTGCTGCATGTCCACCAGGATGGGTACATCGATGAGAGTACTGAATGGGAAGTCCATTACCGCTATGGCGAGATATTCCTGCGACTATCTGGAATATGAGCGCTAGCAGTATGTACTAGCTCCCGATCAATGATGATCACGAATAACACCGAGGAACATATGATTGATGATACTTTCAATGGGAAGACAAGACATGAATGATGGGCTCTTTCCGGCTGAGGGAGACCCCAGTCTCATTGTTGAGACAACCCAATAATGAGTTTACGAGAGCATGAAGATCGCTGATATGAATCCGTTGACGCGATGATCTGGGCACACTACATCACCCCACTCCCCATGGGCAGAACATTTTTACTGAGAGCAGACGGCGACAAGGTCATGGAGGGGACATATGAGGAACCGACACAGATCTACAATGCAGCCATGAATTTATTAGTTGTTTTTGTTGTTTTTGACCATGTCTATACCCCAATCTTACCAGGAACCCGTAAGTCGAGGGGACAGTATCACGTACGGGATACGGGATATACGTCCACCACCCACAGTAACAGTAATAATACCTCACGAACCTATACGTACAAAAAGTCTGGAGCTTTTGGTTTTCTCTTCTATATTTGTAGTTATCATATTAGATTTGTCTCTTTGTTTCGGCGACACAGAATCCTCTTTCCCCCCAATCCAATCAGAGCAGTCTCCTGATCCGAGTGTGCCTCGTGCCCTGAATTCCCCGACTCGGCAGGCGGATTGCCTTATAAGCTGACCGGGCGGACCAGGCTTACACGTATATTAGGGCTATTGATGATCGGGAATTATTGGGAGATTAGGCAGGGCATGTGTGTCGTTATGGATTCTAGTGAGGCAGCTCTTTTACACTGCCTAGGTGATCCCCTATAGTTCCTATAAGCAGTGTGTGCCGCGTGTCGCATTCATTGGCCGATGTTTCGCGTTAGGCCACAAGTACAATCACAGCGAGTGAGAGACGAGGTGCGAGCAAGGCACCGGTGAAACAGATTCCCAGATCGATTTTATAATTGACATTCGATAATCGATAATCTATGGCTCATGGAAAGAATCACGGTATAGGTAATATACCATATACCTAAGGTACGTAGGGTACGTAGGGTACGTAGGTATGGCTGGCAGGTACCGTAAGCAGTGCTCCAAATTACGCAGGGCGCGTAACCCGCGTATTCCCCCGTCTTCGTCTTGACAATTTCTTTTCTTCTCTCTCCCTAACCCCTCCAACTTTACCACCCATACGCGCCCTTACCCATTCATCTTTCAACTTTCACTATTTTCTCATCGGGGCAATACTAATCTACTTATTCCTACCATGGGTCGTACAGTCGACCAGGAGGTGCACGCGGCGTTTGTCGAGTTCCGCGCCAAGGAAGATGACAAGGTGCGTGACTCTGTATTTCGTAATATTTCACCCACGACTTGTTCGTCACTAACATACCAAAACCCGTTTTGGGGTTTGTGCATGTGTTAGTGTCTCTCCGTTCAGTGTATCTACTGTCAACAAATTCGAGCAAAGAATACCTCGCGACAGAAACAACATCTCCTCGAATGTCCCGGTCTGCGCGGCCACCCCAACGCGCCGCAGCCTTCTCAGCCCGCCCAGGCCGCCCCTAACGGAATCGGTCCTCCCAATGGCTACCCCGGAACTCCCAGTGGCCCAACAACCACTCCTGGTCCAGCTGGACCTAATGCTATCCCAACTCCCAATGGCACCCTCATGACCAATGGTGTCAACCCTCATGCTACTCCATTGCAGGCCCCGCTGCAGGCCCTTCAGAATCGCACCGCCATGGCCACCCCGGTCCCACCTACTGGCGCTCCCTCTGCGCCGCCAAGCGCCGCGCCCTCGCGTCCGACTCCCAAGCCCAAGGCCAAGACTTCGAGTTCGAGCTTGCCCGCGCCTCCGCTGGACGATGTGCACGCGGCTTTCGTTGAGTTCCGCGCAAAGGAGGAAGATAAGGTACGTTAAAACAATTCGGTAGCTATACATTGGAACTTTGAAGCTAATACCACGCAACAGTGTCTGTCTGTCCAATGCATTTACTGCCAGCAAGTTCGCGCGAAGAACACTAGTCGCCAGCGCCAACATTTGCTGGAATGTCCTACCTACCTGAGTGTTATGAAAGATTCAATCCCCGCCAATAACTTGCTTCACACATTCCCCGAGGGTGATGTCGCTCGTTCACTTCAGATCCCGGCTCCGACGCTGGAGCTCGACTTCCGCATGAGCATCAAAATGAACCCTAAGGTCTCCGTTGGTCCTGGTATCTGGGGCCAGAGGGAGTGGGTCTCATTCATCGGAGGCCAATGGGCTGGTCGATGGGGCAAGGGAATCGTTTTGGTAAGGCTCAATATTCTCCAATTATTATCTCCTCTCTGGTCTCTAACATACAAAAACAGCCTGGCGGTCAAGACACACAGATCGTGACCAAAGATTCCACTACCAACCTTCGTGCCAATTATATTCTTCAGACCGTCGATGAGCCACCGGCGTTTATCATCGTGCGCACAGAAGGATGGCTAACCGGCGCCAAGGATGTTCTTGAGAAGGTCATTGATGCTAACATGGCCGATGGGGTTAACCCCGGAAGCTACAAATATCGCGTCAACCTCTCCATGGAGACTGGTGATGAGCGATACACATTCTTGAACACCTTGATGTGGATTGGCAGCGGTTGCCGCCGAGGTCATGAAGGTACGTTTCGCCGATGCTATATCTTGTTTCCGTTCAGCTCTAACTTGGCATGTAGTGATTTTCGACTCGTTCCGTGTCAACTAGGTCGATACCCTCGTCAATCGATGATGCCTTGTCCGTTTTTCAGCGAGTTCGTGTCTTTTTTTTAACTTCACCTTCCAGTTTGTGATGGGAAACGGTGTTTCTACTTTTCCAGTGCTTGATTCGCGGCGCAACGTTCCCATGATTTGATTCCTCATACCGCCACGACTTTGTTCTTCCAGCTCTCTTGTTTGACTCTTCAAGATGGGCATACCAACCACTGTGGTTACCCATCTGTCCACAGCGATTGAGCTGATTTCGAGCTTTGCCACATCTCTGCTCCTTTCTGCTTTGTTTCCCCTTTTCTTTCTGATGTAATTCTTTTATGGCTGTCTCTATTAAAATGGTCAGCCTTGTAAGGTATTGCCCGCTTTGTGATGTTTCTTGTTTCTCTTGATCTCTGCTCTTCATGCCCTGGCATGAACTTGGGCTTTTCGTTTTCTTTTCGTTTCGCGATTCAGATTACCCCTGAGATTTGCCATGCAATTGATTTCATTTAGCCATTTTCAATGTCAACGAAGATTGTTCCGGGCCTATCCATCCTTTATTGGTTCTCAATACCCTATCGTACAGCTATATTCATACCTAATAGGTCACCTACAATATCATTCTCAATGAACATAACGCTAATATTAATAAAAACTGGAAGTTACGAATTCGATTCTCAGATGTGTCTTCCAAGCTTGTTTCGCAATGATATCGAACAGAAATATATAACGCGGCGTCATGTACCATAAGACCGTACCTAACGCCATCGGTATATACCCGTACATACCACTATAATTTCAAACATTTCCCCAAATGAATACCTTTATAAGTCTCTCTTGAAACAACTTGCAATTTTCTTCTATTCTGTTATGTGATCGAAAGCCTGTATCTACCGCCAATACGGACACACCATACCAAACGCCCAGACCCAGTCATCAGCCGGTATTATACACTCATTCAAAGCCAGAATTGCTGTATGGCAAAGATACATCAGTCTCTGGAATATTCGCCATGTCAAAGTATTCTCCTGACCCTGTGAAGAGAAATTGGTCTAAGAGAAACTCATTGGTATCCCAAGACCACGGATGCGGGTCGATGGGGTAAGATAGCGGACTTTGCATTCGAGGTGAGCGATTTCGCTGAATCAGGTTCCTCTCATCGTTGAAAAATCGCTGTGACAAGCCTAGGAAGTTCGTGAAGAGAGAGCGTAGTTGTATAAGGGGGTCGCTGATTCCTGTTTGGGGTAGGCAATCGGCAATGGCTTGCATGAGGTTGAAATCTCCGAGATCTGAGGTTGCAATGACGTTGCAGAATAGGATGAGGTACGCTGTTGCTGGATATAGGAGAATTGTCCTGGACAATTTGTTAGAGGGGGGAAGGAAAAGTGGTGTACGGGTTCTTACCAGTTTAGAAAGCTGACTGCCGTCTGCTTCTCCGCTGAGTGGCACATGGATACAAGTTCTGAAAGCTCCTGGCGGGCTGATTGAAGGTAGGTATGTGTTAGGACGGTTGGTTGATTGGGATCGGGTTGGATGAGGTAGAGGATTCCGGTCATGACTGATTGATAGGCGAATTTGAGGGCTGACATTTCGGTTTGGGAGTCGAGTCCTTTCCACTCGGTAGATAGTGAGGCAATCTAGTTTTTGTTAGGATGTTGGGTACTATGGGATTGCATCTACTCACCTTGAGTATTCTCTGCTCGATGTATTGCATCTGCACCAGCATGTGCTCTTGAATGGCGTACTGTGAAGTATTGTGGTGACTCAACGAGCCATCGGGTAGGTAGGAAATCAAGGTATCTTGTACCCGAGCTAGATCTAGATAGATTGAGAAGTGCTCGGCCATTGGGATGTGGGGATTATGTAGCGCGCTGAAATCCAGGGGTAGTTGCCTATTGAGAAGGCAGCGCGACGTTCGTGACTTGAATGCATAGTTCCGGTCCAAGATATAGCACCAAAGAAAACAGAAAAGCTCCTCTTCGGTTATATTCCCATCTAGAGCTTTCTTTTGGAGATCTAAGGCAATGCAAGTATTGCAGGCCGCTTTGGTGAGATCCCCACACAAACCAACGTCGCCAGACCCTTGGTGGAGAAAAACCTAGTCACGAATAAGCCTCAAGGAAAATGTATACAAAAGCTGAATTGAGATGCTTACACCACAGAGTATAGCTTGTAGGGACCCAAGAGATGGAGTGAACAACAGTGGAATTTGCCTCAAGGCCGCTTGGGCTGCTGCTCGATACTCGATGGCAGTTTTCCTTAGCTCAAGGGCGAGGTCGGTATCTTCTTCGAGATTTACCACGGTAGTCATAAACTTGTAGGCGATTGAATTTAAACAAACGGAGTAGATGATACACTCGTGAGACGATACTTCCTTCCGAAGAAGCGCAAGACCCATCTTCTTTAATGTTAGTTTTGAGATATGCCTGAAGTAATCTGCAACGAATGACCCGAATCTGTCAGTATGGATATCTGCGGCGATTTCACAGTCAGTTGAAAATTCATGTTGAGTGAGGTAGAGTTTAATCTACCTTTCAACATCCAGGTAAGAGTTTCAGCAGACGGTATTCGAGAGTACTCTCCCTCCTGTTGATCACTGTGATGGCTTTGTACTAGTGATCTGGAAGTGTCAGCCATTGTTCGCATGGTGGACAATGCTGTCTCGAGCACGGCGCGTCTATCGAGAGTGAGGCCTGGCAAAAGCCATAGTTGATGCTGAATCGTCAGTTGCGCATCATGAACTGGGTCATATAATGTCCTGGTTTGCAGCCCACGTGTGTTCGAAATATCACAGGGTGTAAGTCGCGCAGCTGGCACAACATGATATTGCGAGGGAATTGCGTTATTAGAGTGTCGACTGGGGCTAATTTGCTGTCGCAAACTGCGAGCAGGGCTGTGAGAGGAATCTCGTTGGGGGCGAGTACTGAGACACTTGCGCTTCACAGCGCGTCGACGATCACAAGAGATGCCTGCATCCTGGCAATTGCCACAGGGATCGCGTCTATCACAACGGACCTACGTATCTGGTCAGCACTTTTCAATTTGGTTTCGGAGAATTGAATTTCGGTATTCACACCTTGCGCGAATGACAAAGATCACACTGTAGATGAACCCGTCAGTAATTTGTACATGCGAGGTTTATTCCAAGTGTCAGGGGAGATCCGTACGACTAACCGAGCCTCGTTTCTGCGATTGATGGACGGACTGGTCGACATTTTCGCATGCAAGAGAAAGGAGAATTGGTCCAGAAGTAAAAAATAGCGAAGGCGAAACCCGGTGGCTAAAAATAAAAACTTAAAACCCCCACTGCGGAGCCGACTAATAGGCCACATGGGGCAACCAGCACTATATTTTATCCCTATCTTGGCAAAACCCTCGGAATCGTCCGCGGCCTTGATAATTTAGACATATTGGCATGGGTATGGAGAGATGTGCACAGCTAGGAAACACTGAACTATTTAGGTTAAGCTAGAATTTAAACGATATCTTGAGTATTATGTCCAGTTTATTGGATACTTGCCTGATAGTTGCTAGGCATATATGCGTACATATAGACATTGGATGTTGGTATATTACCCTTGGAATGATTGGTGAAGCTCGTAACCCTACGTAAATTTGCCGATGCATGGGCGACGGAATAGAAAGAAAATGAAGTGAAACAAGCCCCAGTAGTAAGAGTTATTTTCATTGCTGTAATAAGAACTTGTCTCACAGGGTATCTAGCAATGGGCAAGAGGAGAAAAGAGAATCGACTTCGAGATATCAGTCTGTGACCCCGAACACAAATACTTTCCGAGTGCGAATGGCTGAGTCTCACATCAACGCCTGGAGAACCAGCACAATACCCCTGTCTTTGCCAGGAAATATAGCGCACCGAAAAAACGGAAAATAGAGAGACCCGAAGTAGCCCACAGAACAGTCCTAAAATACCACGCCGTCCGATCTGTGGCTATCGACTATATGTGCTAGTTAGTAGAATTCACAAGTCCGAGGAATGGCGAATCGCAGAGGAAACTTGACTTACTGTCAAACAGAGCCTCTTGATACTGGAGCTATTGATGCACAAGGCCAGCAGGCCGTTACTGAAAGTCCATAGCAAAACGAGATTCGTTCTGAATGCTTTGTATGAATCATCCAATATCAGTCCCTTTTTGTCACTGGGCTTCTGCCATGGAGTCAGGGCTCGCTTCACAGTAGCTGCAAATTGCTCGTCAATGTCGACTTGAGGCTTTTCCAGTTCCTCAACAAAAGGCATTTCATCTTCTTTTTTTGTTTGTGCAGATGGAAGTTTGTCAGTTGCATCGGCTCCCTTTGTGCCCCATGAGACGTCATGCCAGTTGCAAAATGCATAGACCATGAGGACATTGATTGTCGACGGCATCCCGACGAAATAGGCCCAGGAAGATGTGATCATATGCCAAGGGTCAGCATACAGTATGCTGGCAAGGAAATATATTCCGTAAGTTGAGACCAGGGCGACTAGCACAATGCCACCTGTTGAGCCGACAAAGCCTGATAATAGCGCCGAGAACCCATGTGTGAAATCGAATTTCAAGTTCTCGGGCTTCAATGCCTGCGACACGAGGTAGAATGACAAGATAAGGAGATAGAATTGGACGACGGAAAAATAGACAAAGGAGAGCGTGTACAAAAACTTCGATCTGTGGGTGAATATCAGCTATGAACACAAAGGTCATTATCGTTTCTGGGTCGTGGAACCTACCCCTTTGGTCGGTTCCCAAGAGCTAGGATAAATTGAAGCATGAGGAATGTCAAATATCCGATTTTCAACAGATTATTGAAAATCGGGGTAGCGTCGTTCCCAAAAGGCCATCCATGAAATTTGTTGGTTGAGCTTGGTGTTCCCACGATGTCCAGGATCACGGAACTGGTGAGCCAGTAGGAAGCTAATAGATGTCAGTCACTGCCTTCAAGATTCCGTCAATATGAGGCCCAAAGAACACATACCAAGGGAAAGCCATGTCATAATTAACTGGCAAATATTGTAGATCAATTGGATATGCAGTAATAACAGCCGAAGTATACCATGTCCGCTCTGATATATGCGATTAAAATGCATGATCGAATAGAGCGAGGCCGCGAAAGAGCCATTTAGCCATCGTCGCCGTTGACTCAGAAACTCCGCTGGCCGTTCTGGAACGTCGGTCTCTCCTTTCGATGCTTTCACGTATGTGAGTCGCCACTGGCTACCAGCCTTGGCAACCAACTCGAAACAAAGAATGCGATCTTCAGCAAGAAACATATTCTTTTTGAAGATATTCATCCCGTCAATGCCCTTCTTACCGAGCTTTTGAGCAAGTGTGTGATCTCCATGAAAATACTGCTCAAGGGGCCTGCCCATGATCGCGCGATACCGATATGCAGAGAACGCACCGGGCAGGACAGTCACATAACCAAAGGTGCTCTCTAGTGGTTTGTCCAGAATATTGGAGATTTTATATTCGAAATTTTGTGCTGCAACGAGAGGGTTGCGAAGTTTCTTCCATCGATAGCCAAGGAGTGCATGGATTTCACCACACGCCCCGCCAAGGTTCTTGTCGTTGTAAAATGCTTGCCAGAGAGCTAGCAAAGACTTAGGTCCAGGTCTTGTGCCGGCGTCAATTAGGATACAGATTTCAGGGTTCAAAATGCGTCCAAATGCATTAAACAGCCATCGATGCGAATTGATTTTTTTGGCGTTCTTTTTCTTTAGGCAAAAGAGCATCTGGACTGGGGGTAGGTTCATAGGGTCATCTTTGAACGGACGCACGAGCTCTTGTTTTGGCGTAATCGACAGTTGTGTGGTATATTCAAACTAGATGTCATTAGTATTTGGGCTAATGTCCTCGATGGGTACTAGGGTTGGGAGGATCAGGTGCAGTGAGAACAAACAATATGAGCAATCGTCTCTCGTCCATCCACATCTTGTTTCATCACACCATCTTGGAAAACGCCAATAGTCGCCAACACGTCAAGTGTATTCTTATCGCAGGGGTCTATTCCATCGAAGACAAGGCAGACGACGATCTTCTGCCATGCCGGGCCACCCCTTTTCCAGAATTCGGTTTTCTTCAATTTGACTATATCTCGCACATTTTGCATTACGCCATGCAAGGTTCGTGTTGTGAGGACTTTATCTTCGTTATAGTAGGTGATCGCGATGAGGAGTTCAGTATGTCGATTATACATGGAAGGACGGAGGTTGTACCCGTTGCGGAGGGTGAATTCGTCGGGGTCACATGTCGCGGCGGTGTCTAAGCAGAACAGGGTAATTCAGGATATCATGTTCAACTTGGAGTTCTTGATGAACTTGGTGAAACACTCACATCGCATCTGCGTGAATTCCTCAGAAAGTTCCCCCTCCGCACCTCTATACTCCGGCTGAATAGCATTGCGAATTGGACTCGGTACCGGATAGTTAACACTCAAGACTGAGCCTTGTATTAACTTGATCCGGCGTGTTGGATACCGACGGATACTACTCCCCTTGTGTCGTGCCCCGGAGCCTGTAGAAGAGGCGACAGCAGAGCCTTGATTAGAGAGATCGTGTAGTCTGATTTGATCAGGTAGCTCCTGGGGTCCCATGGGATCCAGCATAGGGCTTTTCACCTCGGCAGATGGAGAAGTATACGATTGATGAGTTACTCCACTCGAAGTAACTGGGTCTTCGAAAGGATTGCGGTACAAGGCAGAAGAGCGTGCCGCATACATTTGAGGGAGGACGTGCTCATTTGAGTGATCAACATTCTAGTGACGACCGGAAGTATCAGTTCGGCTTGCCGCATGCCCCGCGACCAAGTGATTTCCACTCGATATACACTTATCCAGGGAGAATGACCATCACTCATGATGTCGTCTTCTTCGTTCGTGGTGCATCGTGAAATGAATACCCTTCATCGAAAGTACTTATCATATACCAACCCATCATCCGATGTGAAACACCCACTGAGAGAGTATGAGCTGAAAGTCCAAGCTGAAAGTCCAAGCTACAATCCTTGATGCCAAGCCAGTTTGAATTGAGAAGGGTATGACAGGCTGTACACTCCGCAGCCTTCGAAGACACGGGTGCCTTTGGTATCATCTTTCCTTGAAAAAGAGCCAAAGATCCGCTCAAGGCTTTTGTCGCTAAGGAGGCAATGGAAGTTGCCTTCTTTTTCGCTTCAAGCTCGCTGTAAGGATTGTAGCATCGGACTAGAAGGATTACCCGGCTATTTTAAGTCGGGACCCCACACCTTTGTTTGCGTTCAACCAATCAGGTCAAGTTCCCTTTCCTTTTAGCGCGGCCCTTATTTGTTTCGACCAATGAGCGTGGCTTATTACACTCATACCTAAAACATCCACCTAGGGCTTGGGTGGATTATAGAAGATGGGGTATGTGTTCCGTTCTGTCCACTGACTAAATCGCCGACTAAAATAAGTCCACACTGTACGAAAGTCCTCGAGGCACAACATTCGGATTATGTGGAAGTGCGGGTTCACGAGTGAGACATCCCCAACGAAGGCTCCACCGTTCTGTACCGAGTTGAAATAGTTTTAAATCGCAACCACAAGGCTCTTTGATGGGAAATACAAAAGTTGCTTATATTCTCGACACAAAGCGTATACCTCGATCTATTTCACTTATGCAATTCACGACAAGCTCAATCTGGTGCTTGCACTCACCAATGGAGGTAGAGTTGAGATTGGACCAAGATGAGCCGATCTATACCCATCGAGATACGATCTCGGGCGAGGTAATTTTGCGCAGTACATCGCCGGCCAGTTTATCAACAATCGTCCTCAGCCTGTCTGGAATCGCAACATCCAGACTGACGAAAAGCAGACGCATCGAATCCCATAAGGTATGTGCGACGATGACTACTTCAGACCATGCCCGACTAACAACAGGTCTTAGTTATTTAAGAAATCCCAGCAGGTTTTTCCTTCGGAATCCTTGCTCAAGGATCCAAGGAGCCCTGGTGTGACCATTGGAAGTGGTCACCATGTTCTCCGGTTTTCGATGACAGTCAGTACTAATCAAGATTGAAATCTTCCATGATAATCTCGTATCTGACAACATATGATTCGAATCCATATAGTTTCCCACTGTCATCGAATGCTACAAAGCTGATCTTAGATCGAGCAGATCGCAAATTCCATGTGCAGATATTGGGTATTGGCGCAACGGAAAAAGTCATTTATTGAGGAAGACTCCGCCCACAACAGGGCACTTGGACTCACTGGCTGAGATTCGTTATACTCTGAGTGTTATAGTGACAGGGAGAAAGACCATTCGAAAGGTAAGTTAAGGCATATAGTGACAACCTTCCCCGCAACATGCGAGAGGTCCGGCCCGAACATATTGCTGATCACCAAGAAGACTCGGAATATTGTATTTCATCCTTCCTCAGACCCAGTGCCCCAACAGAGTCCATTCAACCAAGAATGTTCGATCAGCGCTAGCCCACAATTCCCCGCCAAAGATCCGCCTTCATCTTTCAGAATCGATATAGGGCTCGAGAATGGGCCTTGCCTTCTGCTAGGTAGCTCAATTCCTTTGAGGATAAACATTACAAAGCTTGACGACCTTTTTTGCAACATATTATTGAGTGGATTTCAGACTATGTTAATTGAAAGAACACAAGTAAGAGTTCGAGGGCGAACCGAGTCATACACATGCACATGGATTGTACAAACCATGGCCAATATGGACCATCCAATAGCGCTTGCAGACGCATCTCAAGACTCCACGGTCACTTTGACAAATACAATATGGGCCAACAATCGACTGCCTCCTGAGCTCACTTCAAGCTTCGAAGTCTGCAATATCAAGAGAACATATAACTTGAACATCAAGCTCGGATTTCTTGTTGGAAATCGCAAGGTAAAGCCTTTCCAAGAGTCCCAATCTGTATTATCTTGATTGTGGCTAATGCTGATCTATTTTCTAGCTTCGGATGATCATGCGAGAATTCGCATTTCCTGTCTATGTTATGGGCGCATCCTTGCCACTTACGAAATCAAACTCCTAATATTATCTCGAATGGCATATCTGTATCTTCGACTATCTCTTGGTTCCGTTATAAGTCCCACCTAGGTTGTTTGAACATGTGCAAAATGCTACCTAAAACTCAGGATACCCCAAGAATGCAAATTGGCTGTCCGCATTTGTTAGATAATATTCCAGCTCATATACCTAATTACTTCGTATGCCGGCTGGCTAGCTTTAGGAATACTATTTTACTCCGTATGCTCATCTATAGATGGATAGCATCCGTAAAACACATCAGCAGCCTTCCGCCGAGTCGATATTTGGTTTGTAGGGTAGGCTTGTCAACAAGACTGTTGAAGTCAGGACCAAATCTCAATCTTAATTTTTGGAGCTCGTGTGGCTCCTGGATGTTGACCTTTGCTCCGCCGAAGTCCCAAAATTTATATCCAGTGTTCTGTGGCCACTGTGATGTATGACTGTGGATATGTAACGTTTCATACGTCCGAATGAAGGTCACATATATTCCAATTGTTCCAGTCCTGGTAACATCAAGGGACTCAAAGATTTGCTCGGGCGCCCGAGTAGCATAGTACAGCTATCAGCCATTGGCGCTGATCTTCCTTGCAGAATCCCAATATTTTGCATTATGCTGTCTCAGATCCCCTGTCTCTTATTGAACAATTGCTAATCCATACATAATGACTATTTATAGCACGAGCACCCATTTGGTCAGAATTGAAAGCATGCTCAATCAACCGCGCCAGGCTGGTTCATATTACAAGAGTGCAACATCACGGGCCTATAATCATACATACTGGATTGTTAGATACGATATCTGGACAGACGGACAAATGATCGAAGTGCAAGAGCAATACGCTCGGTGATCAATTGGACAGATAAGAAAGAAAGTCGTAGATGTGAGAGGTGTCTTGGCGCTTTAAAGGCAGCATACAGCACGGTTTAACTTTCACGGAATAATGCATGATCCAGGACACGGCGAGATTGAAATAATTACGCTGCAATGATAGATCGGAGAAGAGGTCAACCATGTGTACGGGATCTAAGAACGACATTGTAAAACGTAATAACAAACTTGATATGGTCGCTTTGCAGTTCATATTTCCTAGATTATGTTTAAAGTCTCGGCGATTCTAACCATCAAAATTGTCATCTAACAATGCTTCACGGAGGTATTGACGAAAGATCCTACGCGCTGTTTGACTATGGATATTTCGTGCTGAACCAGCCAGATATGCCCTAGTTCTACGCCTCGTGATAGATCGCCAAGTGCAGATTTGAATACAAAATGTACTTGGTTAATTTTACGTCCCGAAGGGCTTCACGGCAGTATCAGAATCCCGTCTTGTAACACGCTCGCTACCACTCCTTTCCCAGGAGGAATATGTAGGATCCTGAAAATATACTTATAAATACCGCCACCGTGCTGGCCCTGATCTAGATCCAGCTTTTCAATATCATTCCAACTCAGACATATTCCAAGCCAAGAGACACTTATCCCAGTTTCAGTATGCGGTTCATCCTTGTCGCGTTTATGGCCATCATTGGCGTTGCTCTGGCTGCTGATAAAGCCCCTCCGACGGTGAGATCGATTCGAGTTTTGTTTGTGTTCTCTCTAACTGGTTTGTAGATTGGGCTTGGACACCCGTGCAGATCTGATGGGAGCACAGGAAATTGTGCTAGTGGTTTCTGTCTGGTGAGTTACTTCAACTCGATTCCGAGAGATAATAAGACGGCACCGAAGCTCATCTTTAATATAGCAAGTTCCTCCCGAGACCGAGGGTGTCTGCAAATAGATCCTGAGCCACGACTCCGATTTTGTTGGGTCGAGGGATTGCCTTGATCCAAGAAAGGGGGAGAAGGGGTGGTTCATCAGTTGTCTCCACAGGCTGGATCTAATAATGGGTAGTAAGATCAATGGCCCTGACCGAACATGACTACTTTTGAACCAACTGTGCTCTTGGTGTGATCTACATCGATTAAGCCCTGGCGTACTACTCGCTTTTTCCCCGATGGAAAGAATACAAAGTAAAGAAGAATCGAAATCATAAGATTCAAGTAAAAGGTGGCTTCTAGTCTTCTATATCTCTTACTACCGGACACTTGCCAATGTATATGGCCTTTTGGCTAAATTTAGAAACCTATGATCCAGTTAGCAATCTGCCGGTTTGTTATAACACACCGATAGCCACTTACCCTTCTCAGTATTACCATCACCCATGCTCTTGCTGCTGCTGCTTCCACTCTGGATAGCGCCCATGATGCCATCCATGTAAGGCGCGCCACTCCACTTCTGGTGGGTGAGGACATCGACGCCAAGTTCCTTCTCACGCGCCTGGACAAGACGAACGTAGGCCAACATACCCTCGTCCTTGAATGCACGAGAGAGCTCGGTAGTGATGGTGGCGTTGGTGTGCAGACCGGCGAGGGAGATGAGTTGCAGGACGAATCTAATACGGGTTAGCCATGCCACTGGCAGATAAATCCCTAGTAAAACTTACCCTTGCTTAGCAATATCCCAGATAAAGGACTTGAGTGAGGCTTCATCGAATCCTTGGCCCATCCAGTTGAACGAAGGGCTGAGGTTGTAGACAAGCTTCTTGCCCGGGAAGGCCTCCCGCACTTCGCCGGCCAGGGTTCCAGCCTTGGCGACGTCTGGGTCTCCAGTCTCAACCCAGAGGAGATCAGCGTAGGGAGCAAACTCCTTGGCGCGCTTGGTCGCAGCGGGGAATCCTGCACGGTAGTGGTAGAATCCCTCGCGAGTACGCGGGCTGTCGCATGACCAGACAACGGGTGTCTTGGCGTAGTCGTTAGCCAGAGCACGACGACGGGAGAAGGAGAGATCAGGGTTCTTCTTGACGAACGCCTTGTAGGCGTCTCGGGAAGCTTGAGGAGCACCCTCTGACTCGAGATGGGCATCGACAGCTATATATTGTCAGCGGGTGGAATTATGCATTTAGTGAGGTATTCGCCAGCGTACCTTCATCGAGGGTAACAAGCTTGTGCTTCTTAACCCAAGCAAGCTCAAATGCATCGATTTCTTTGGGAGAGGCACCCTCTCGCTCCATGGCCTGGAGGGTCTCGGCAAGAGGCTCCACATCCTCTGCGACACCAAGAATAAATTCATGATCACGGACATCGATAGCACTGCTGATGAGGCGGCCGCTCTCTGAATCTGTTCGGGCGATGACCAAATTCTCACAGCCCATCATATCCCATTGGAAGCGAGCAGCAACCAGACGGTTAATGTGTTCACCCATAGGGACAAGCACCTTGCCTGCGAGGTGACCGCACTTCTTTCCACCGTGCAATTGATCCTCGAAGTGTACAGCTGCGGCACCATTCTCGGCAAACAATTTGGCCAGTTTGAGAACAGCTGACAAACCACCGTGACTGTCACAAAAGAATTAGCAATTGGTCGTTTATTCAGTCCCAAGTGTAGACGAACCCGGTATCACCGTCTGCAACAATTGGGCGCATATAATCAGTATAAGGGGTAGCCTTGCGCTGCTCTGGTGTCATCTTGCGTCTAGCATCCCATTGCTTGCGGTCGTGCATCGACTGGGCCTTGAACAGACGCTGGACTTGGTTGGGGACAGTATTGTAGGGATAATCGCCGAAGTCGGGGGATACTTCATTGGTACTTGTGAGAAGCGAAGAGCAAGCCCAGCCAGAGACATACAGAATCTCTTGATTGGGGGCTTGCTGTGTCATTTGTACGGGGTCAATAGCTCCCACTGTGTGCAGAACCAAGGTCAGTTATACTTCAATTGAAGTCGAAGCATTCTGGAACTCACTGGTATGAACTGGCTGACCAGCAGCAGCTCGCTCGTTAAGGAGATTGAAAAGCTTTCGCGCCATCAAAGAACTGGGATACGACTGTTGCAAGGAGCCACGCTTGCTCACAACATCTTCCGCTGTGTAGGGACGCTTAATGCCTTCATAGCGAGGCGAACTCCACCATGATTCTACATCACGGATTTGTTGCTCGTAGAGGGCATCTTCAGCTGCACCAGCCTTTTCTTGCGTGGACAGCAGCTGGTATGCGTCTGATGGGAGGGTGGTGGATACCGGGGGTTGAACGGGCGTCATCCGAGGATAACCGCATGTGAATGGCCGAAGAGCCCGCAAGGAAACAGTAGACGCAACTGGAACGCGTCGAGGCAATCGTCGCATGGAACGAAACATGGCGATGGAATGAGAAGAAAGACAAGCAATTGTCAAGGTGGAAGGAAAAGAAAGTGGAATGCAAGCAAATAAAACAAGGACCGTGCCGTTTGACCTCGGGCCGTCAACATCTGGGGTTTCCCCGCTGACTCCGGAGGTCCGAAGCTCGCCAGATGACTCATCCACTATTTTGCCCGCCAAGTGGATCTGGCCCACTGTCCCCGGACTGACTTCAACGTCTCCAGAATGTGCGGGTAGAACATTGCGTACAGACAGGATCTAGTGATATCTAAAATTCTACTAACTTGCAAAGCTTGGCGTATAAACCGTATCGTTCAATATGTTGGTTGGCACAGCCTTATCAAGACTGGACTTTTAAATCAGATACACAATTGTTTAGTTCCATACATATATAGATGTATAAGAACGATCCTGTGGTTGTCATCTGTACTTTACTGATATTTTCTCTTAAACTTGTTGCCATAAGTACTTATTATGACTCAACTTTCCCATCTCCTATTAAGACTTAGGGCTACTGATTTGCAGGTACCATCTATATTCCAGGACCAGGATATCACTCTATACACCAGCTGTGTCTCTAATCCCGATGATGCAAACCAAATGGAGCATTATTTCATTTTAGGCCGATCTGTCCAATATCTCAATCCCCCCTTCCATTCTATGACTGTTTCGGGAGTAACACAATCTTTGGGAGTTTATGTGTGATATCGTGGTTGTCGCCGGCCAGACCTAAAATTTTCATTAATCTCATTATTTGGCTTCACATACCCATTCAGTGTATTCAGTACACTATTACATTCAATTCAATTCAGCATCAGTTTAGCTTCCTATTCATTTAGTTTCAGATTCACTTCGTTTTCAACCTTACTCTTTGATCTCATACCATTCGTCTAACTCTGATAATAGTGTTGAATGCAATTGAAGTCCTAATTTCCTCTCCTAATAACTTTCTATCTCCAATGATATAGCCATTGATACGTAGCCTGTTCCCTATTATGATGCGGTTGAATGACTTCGAAGCTATTGTCCATACTTCGTCAAATATAAGCGTGCGGTGTATTAGGTAGACTATAATACCAATCTAATAGTCCTAATCAACAATGTTATTGAAGGAGTCTATTCAATCGTGTAGCTATTGAAGCTACAATCCAGGGCATTCCGTCACATTTAACCTATTGCCCAGACGGGCCACTGAATCACTCTCCAGTCAATAGACATGCATCATTAAGGTAAAGTGAAGTGAATTGAATTGAATCTCATTCAAATCAACTGTGAATAGCTTCAGAATTACTTGACGGCATATATAACTTGGGTAGAATCCCCAGCTTCCTGCTCCTTTTGCTTTCTCTCTCAACCTCACCAATATCTCCTTCCTCTCTTTCTTTCTTTCTTTCTTCCTTTCTTCCTTTTTTTTTTTTTTTTTTTTTTTCAAAATGGCCGCTCCCTTCTCCAAGAGTGGCCTCCAGGTACTCGCCGGCGAGTACCTGGGCGGTTCTTTTCTGAAGTGGGACGAGATGTCCCTCTTCGACCAGCTTTTCGGCGTGGGCTTCGAGCCCGAGATGTGTGTGCTGACCTGGGAGCTGACCGAGTTGCTTTGCAACTTGGTTATCGTCGTGGGTCCCGGCTTGCCGGACGCGTTCTTCCTCCGTGTCGTCCTGGCTCCCGAGTTTGTGTGGTTCGGTCTCCACTGGGCAGGGTTGCCAAACCCTGGTACGTATCGACTCATCAAGCATTGAAGGAACGAAATATACTGACCCACATTCAGTCCCACTGTCCACCTACTCCTCCGCCCTCCCCGACGTCTTCCACTCCCGCCCCCTGGCCGCGTCAATGGCCCTCCATCAAAACATGGGGGTTGGGGACCAGTGGAAGTCCCTCGTCAGCCGTCTCTGGGCTCACTTCGAGCCCTACGCCTCCTCTCCCTCCGCTCCCGCTTCCTCCGCCGCCGCCGCCGCCGCTCCCTCTGCCGCCGCCGCCGCCGCCGACGATGCCCTGCCCATGGAGGGCATTGAGTTTGTGTCTGGTGTCTGTGTCGACACCATGGTCCGTGAGTTTTCTCCGGCCATGGATGTCTGTGCTGTTCCTGGGGCCGCTGCCCCCTCTCCTGTGACCTCGCCTGCTGGTCTCCCGGAGGTCTCGAGCTGGCGTTCGGCCGCTCCCTCCCCCAGCCCCGAGCCCGAAGTCCCTACCAAGGGCAAGTACCGACAGGGGTACTAGTTGTGAGAAGAGAAGACTGTTTGTGCCTCGTCCCCCGTTTTGTTGGGGTTGCTGCTGCTGTGTGTCTTTTTTTTTTAAATAATCAATGCAAGGATGTCGGACCGCAATTTTGTTCTGATGTAGACGACTCAATTGTAGTCCGTGCTTACATCCGTAGTCCGCACGCACTGTAATTGGAGAGATGATCTCCGCACGGCAGCTAGGTAGTTCTATTGTTAGCGCCGATGATGAGTATACATATAGGAACGAGTATCGCCATGAGCTTGAAGCCCCAGAAATGATGAACCCAGCGATGCCCAACGTGGTCGAGATTGAAATGGGGGGAAACACGTTGACACGTTCTCCAAGATCGGCATCCCCGCATTGGCTTATCTCCTCGCGTGTGGCATTTCCCTATCTTCCACATTTCCATTCGCTGTCACCGCTTATCTCCTTTCCATCTCTCTGTTGATGTGCTTTGCGTCCGTGTGAATGGGTTTCAACATCAACTTGGTATGGCAAACATTCAAATCCCACCCTCCACGATTTCAGATCTGTCCGACAAGGCCCCAGCGCGGGGAAATCCTCGAAAGACGGCGCAAAAGCCTAAGCAGACAAAGAGTCGGAATGGTAGGTCTTCTCAAACTTGCACATCTTCAGGATGGATCTCCTACGTTCCAGAGAGGGTGACAAAAGCCCTCGGGGGATCTATCAACCATCTCATCTACAACACTAACACCAGTCCCCACTTCCATAGGTTGCATCACCTGCAAAGCAAAACGGTTGAAGTGCGATGAGATTAAACCATCATGTCATCAGTGTGATAGACGCAAGGTTCAATGCGGGGGATACAAGAAAGACTTCAAATGGCGGCCGTTCGAGGAGACCAACTTGGCCCCTGGGCGGCTGGCGGTGACCAAGACCAAGAGAGGTATGTTCTGACTGCCGAGGAAATTTCAGGGTTAACGTATTATGCTCAATAGCAAGCCCTCCATCCCATCAAGGTACATCCACAGCAAACATTAGCCGGGAATTCCCAACTCCTCCAATCACTGAGCAGTCAGCATCGCCGATTCGTGGACCTTCCCATAATTTCCATAGCTCCCGTTCGCCTCCAGGGTCTCCTTTGTATGACTCACCCATCAGTATCAAAAGCTTCTTGTCTGCTGATCGCCATTCTGTTGATGATCTGCCTGTGGCGCAAGAACATGTTTCCATGACTGAGTGTCCTCGATCTCCCCTAGACGTTAATGTGTCATTGTCGGCCGAGTCTCGCCCTCTCAATTTTATTTCTTTCCTTGAACCTTTTGAGGGCTCTCTGTCACTGGCCACCTCGTTGATTTCCAATCTCGATGTGGACCCCGACACGCATATGACCCTTGGCCCAGAGCAAGCAGATCTGAATACATCTGCTCTCAGCTTCTCCCAGCTGTTGGAAGATGAAAACGATGATATCGAAGAAATTATTCGGCAGTCAGATCCGGCACTCAGACCTTGGAACTTGACATTGCCAGGCATGAATGCTTTCAATTTCGATACTTCCAGCATCCCCGGCAGCCCACCCTTGGCGCCCGAGAGTCCAGAAATGCTCCTGGTACGATTTAACAAGCTTACGTGCGGGATCCTCTCTGTGAAGGATGGAGCATTAGAGAATCCCTGGCGCACATCGATCTGGCCGTTGGCAAAAGACAGCCCTGCACTTCGACATGCAATCTTCGCTCTAGCGGCGTTCCATTCGGGAAAGCAAACACCTTCTCTTCGGGTCCAAGGCGTGAAACACATGCGTCAGAGTATGACCTGTCTAGCCGGACAAATCGAACATATGAGACCGGATACTGCGTTGGCAACTAGTTTGGCATTGGCATTTGCCGACACATGGGATCAACACACCCGGACCTGCATTCAGCATTTGCGAGGCGCAAAAGCGTTGATGTGCCAGGTCATTGCGGCCGGTATGCAGAGAGATGTCAGCGACGAAGAACTAGATCGCATCCGGTTCTTATACAACACATGGTCTTATATGGATGTCATTGCACGCTTAACCTCTTTGGATGAATGTGGCCCCCAAACTTGGGATTCCACTGTTTTCGACCTTCCTAATGATACAGCCCAGGACATTGATCCTTTGATGGGTTGTGCAACCACTCTGTTTCCCCTAATGGGCAGGGTGGCAAGTCTGATTCAGCAGGTGCGGAGGACTTCGTCAAACACAGTCTCAGTTGTGGCTCAAGCCATGGAACTCAAATCGCTTATGGAGCAATGGCAGCCGCCGTGTTGGTTTGAACCACCAGAAGATCCTCACTCAGAGGTCCAGCATAGCATTCAAGTTGCTCATGCATATCGCTGGGCTACTTTGCTATACCTGCATCAGGCTGTGCCAGAGATACCTTCGGAGCCGGCCGACGAATTAGCCAAGAGAGTCCTCATTTTGCTTGCTACGGTTCCCTATACTTCGCGGACCACTATCATCCAAGTTTTCCCTCTTCTGGCAGCTGGGTCGGAGGTTGATGCGGATGATGATCGGAAATGGGTTTTGGATCGATGGACCACGATTCAGTCTCGGTTAATGCTAGGCGGCGTAGATCGCTGCTTGGAGGTCTTGAAGGAGGTCTGGAGGCGACGTGATACAATGAAACCTGGAGGGGTGCCTCAAGTTGCTGGCTCGCGACGGGCAGGATCGTTCTCGTCTGGTGACAAAGAGAAAGTCAATTTGCTGCCCAATGAATTTAGCAAGTATAATCTCACTAGTTCCCACATGCGCCCAATGCAAGGGAGATCTGGGCAACCTGCACCAGGGCTTACTAGAAGAGGATCAGCACTTGCGGCGCTGGAAAACATCGAATTTGAGAGAACTGTGCGGGGCAAGTTGCACTGGGTGAATGTCATGGCGGAATGGGGATGGGAAGGTGCGTTTATCAACCAAATGACTTCACTTGTTTATCTTTAACCGACTGGGCATGATATACAGTTTTCCTCGGATAGGCAGACAACAAGGTCCGCCTCTCTGATTTGGTCTATGGACAGGGAGCTCAATGACACCATCGTCCTTCAAATCCATCCCGTTGTACTAATTTGACGACCAAGGAAACAAGCAGTCTGGTTTCTGTTGAGGTATTTCCTTGGTCCTCGTTACATAATCTTTCTTTGCGCCTGTTATTTCGTTGTGTTCGGCTTGAAATTGTACTTTGCAGCGCTGGCTCGATCTTATCTTCAATCAGCGTGGCGTTTTGAGATCCAGGTGTGCTCCTGTTGATGAGTTATGACAACAATGGTTATTCGATTGAAACTTTCTTTCGCTTCTCTCCTGCGCAACTGTGATCTATACTCTGACTAAAAATCATCGATTTAGGTACTAATACGTCCACCTTCATGGTGACTTACTTGGCTCATACGTTGCTGTTTCAAATTTCCATTGCGCGATACCCTCATTCTGGAAGCAACCCTAAACCGACTGCCCAGCCCTTGGTGTATTGACAACAGCCCCTGCGGCCCATCTGGACATCCCACAGTCTCTTCACCACTCCGGACATTTAATCATCGCCAAACCCACACCCATCTGGATGATGGTAATCGTTACGCGCGTCACTTCTAATGGGAACCCATGCGCAGTTTCCCCACCATGCAGACTCATGGCCAGATCCAGATCGTAAACAGCAGTAGGCAGATCCCGGATCCATTGAAAAGCTCATGTTGTGTCTTCTTCTTCCCGCGGAAATGTAACTATGCCAGTATCGGCCTTCGGAGCAACTACCCCAGATGCAATTCTCGCTTCAAACTATCGCGTGATGAGTTCATCAAGGAATGGTCTATCAGGCAAAAGGATTCTCAGAGTGACGCTATTAACACCAACCCAACTAGCTGTCTTTGAATGCCGGATTCCACACCGGTACTCAGACCGCTTTGCTTTAGCCCAAGTTTCGACTAGTAAAGGCTCATTCTTGAGAACTAACGCTCAGAGCCCTGGAGGAAGAGGAGATTGGCAGCCTTGGCAACATAATCAGTTTTCCCAAAATAAAAGAAATTAGGCCAGCACGATTCTTCAGCCAGGCTCGATAAATTCCCATGCTGAGGATCAATGCGTTTCCCTTCACGGCGAGTTAAACTATTTTGCACCCCTGTATTCTTCTGGTCAAACGCAGATTTTAGTGATTATCGGTAGTCTTCAGGGCTTTATGTGTGAAGTGTATTGGATGTGCAATGCCCTGTCCTTTTTTGTTTCGCTATATTTGGTATAATGGATAAGTCCAATGACTGGGATTTCCAACTGGATAGATGGTCTCTCAACGTGAGATTATAAGAGAATATCAATCCAATAGCCGTTCACGTCGAATTACAATCTATCGGAATTTGTCTGACGGGAAATCCTTCAACCATCGGATAGTTCATCTGAATTGTTAGTTACAACCATCCATATATGTTCCACATCCCAATCACGCGTTTAGACGCAGCATTGGTTACTTTCGATATACACTTAATATAGCCACTGAGGACTCATTCGATTCTCAATACATCAATGCCTATATCACTTGCTGACATGTAAGTAAAAAGGCCCCGGTTACCCGGGTAGCCGGTTAACTACCTACTGCCGAGGCCTCAGCATAGGGTTCGAAAAACAAACACCTCCGATAATACAACCTCTACTCCGTCCATATTCTAATAAACTCCACCACTAATATACAAGATGTCTAATCTAACACACAAACACCAGCCAACAGCTAATAAGGAAAGCTAAACTGCACCGGCTTCGCCCCGAGAATCGGCACAAAATCCTCCCCCTCACAAATCTTCATAGCCCTCTGATACGCAGGCCGCTCACCCACACGCCCCAAATAAGCCAAGATATTCTTGTGCTTCTGCTCATCAAACTCAATAGGACAGAATCCTCTCATCGTCGTCAACGTGCAAACTGCCATGATATCCGCCGCGGTGACGTCATTCCCCACTAAGTAGGCTCCGGTTTCACCGAGCCTGGTCTCCAGCATGTCGAGGGCATTATCGAGCTTCATTTTGCTGAGCTTCGCGTGGGGCGCATCCGGATCATCCGACGTGCGCATAATCATCATTACGCGGAAGAGCGTTGGTTGGAGTGAGGCGTTTGCCCAGTGGTACCATTCTAGGAAATGGAGGTATTCGTCGCGGTCTTTCGGTGTACGCGCGAGGCGGCCGTTGCCGTAGGCTGCGATGATGTAGTCGATGATTGCGCCTGACTCGGCGAGGATGACTTTGTTCGAGGTGAAGGGGGAGGTAGTGTCTTCGATGATGGGGGCGGTGCCGGAGGGGTGGAGGTCTTTGATTGATTGGGGGGAGAAGATGGGATCGCGTTTGTGGAAGACAAAGTCATACTTTATGTCGAGTTCCTCGGCGAGCCAGATGATGCGCTCGGATTGGGATCGGCCGAGGTGGTGGATTGTCAGTGGCATCTTGGTGGGCTGGTGATGGAGGAGGATATGGCAGTAGTTTTGGAAGTGGGAGAGGTTCTGTGATAGTATCAATCGTGTAGACTGCTTGCCTTCGAGGAATAGAGGTATTTAAATGCCGTTCTGATGTGCTTCGATCAATCGATCGAAGCTTTAGGAATACAATGGCGTTCATGCTTGTCTCCACTTCCAATCCACAACGATTAGTAAAATGCTCCGATCCAGACCTCGGGACTGTCGGGACTTGGAGAATCCGGGCAGCTTGTAGCATCAGGCATACGGTAGCCGGAAGATTTGGAATCCGATGGGAATTGATGGTTCGGTCCAAATCGGGTGCCACTGCGGTTCAAGCTTTTGCCCATATGAATACCTGGGCAGGATAAACTTGGGCTCGACTGCCAAGATTTTCATCCTGAACAGCAAGCTTCATGCGTCATCGATTTCAATCAAGTTAGGCAAAGTAGATGTTCTGTGTTGAATATTCCTGGTGATATGTGCAGAATGGCAGTCTTTTCACAGGCCATCACGTCCACTGCCAATCAAAGGCATAGAACCAAAAAGCGTTGGCATTGGCAGGTCAATGACTCTCGACACCGATTGCTTGAGTATGATTGAAGATTCCCTGCGAGAAAAGGCGACCTGATGATAGGATGGTCTGGGTTATTGATCTGCAAGGGTTGTACAGATTGATTGTGTTGAGGGTATCAAAGATGCTCATAGGGTGAACCCTATCGCATGTACATCAGAGACACGCTACCTCGCTGGGGTGCGGACCGATGTGGCTTTCCTAGACGTCCATACCATCAAGTCACACTTTGTGAGCATCAGATAGAGCTGTGCTTTAGATGTGAGAATTATCAAGGCAGACCGCTTCACGAATGCGCCTTCGCAGATAAATGAGACAAAACGCAGAGTCAAAAGCAATACACATTGCCTGCAATGAGCTCAGAAGCGATGGTAAACAGGCTGGCTAGCTCTCAGCCACTGCGTACTGCAATCTGTAGCTACTGGTTCCGACATAATTCGTAGACAGAGTCCCTTAAGAGCTCGTTCATGTGTGACAATATTAACATCGTGCGTACTCTGTGCAGGAACTCGTTCGATTGAAACACCTGCTGGGGCTAATCAACTCGTGCAATAATAGTCATTTCAATCACCAAGGGGTATGTGGAGTTTGTGAAATGTCTCTCCAGGTCATATCCCGAAGATATATGCCTGCATATATTGCGTCTAATCTCCACTTCTGTCATCGCACGCAAGGGGGGCTAATGCATGTACCCACAACAATCGAATTCTCCAAAAGCTCCATCTCAAATGCCAGGCACCTCGACCATATACACTCCATGGCAAGCGATTGTTCCGGAACAGCACGGGGAAGTACTACCCGCATCGGGTAAACAAATCCTGTATGGATATTTGCACAATGTTATCGGCATTCGAGAGAAGTTCGTTGATGGGATCTACAGAGTATCCACATGCAGGCAGAGAGAAGTCTCTATCTCCAGTCACCGTTAATAGTCCATACCAATCACCGCTTCCCCGCTCTCCCATCCTACTTGAAGCTTCCAGTTGCCCCTCATCGAGTCACCCCTCATCATTGTCCATTCCTTCAACACAGTGATGGGGTCTCCATTGGACTTCCTAGTGCGGCAATCCGATCCGACTTTCGTCTGCCTGGAGTGCCCTGGGCTCTAAGAAGATTGTTCGTCTGGGTCGCATCCCCCTCATCTGGATGGACCACGACAGACCGGTATAAAATGAGTGATGCCCTTGCAGACGGACAAAATCATCCACCTCATTTCGTGTTTCCCTTGTCCAATAGTCGCACTAGTACCATCATGGCCGTTCCCTTCACCTACCACGCCAAGGCGCAATCTACATTCAAGCCGCCGCTTATCGCCAACGATAACGCCTTTCTAGGCGATGTGCAAACGAGGTCTGCGAAGTTCTGACCAGGCCCTTTTGATCCTCTCTAACGCCTTGTTTCTAGTGAACAAGAGAACCCCGACAAGCCCATGTCATGTGGCTTTTATCGACTCGAAAAAGGCACCCCCCTCGTTTACACCTACACGTACGACGAAATGAAAATCATCGTGGAGGGGAAATTTGAGATTGCCGACGAGACGGGCCAGAAAGTCACGGCAACTCCGGGCGACGTATTTTATTTTCCCAAGGGGGCGACCATTTCTTTTACGACGGAGGACTATGGACTGGCGTTTTATGTGGGTACCCCCGGGCTGAATGTGAACGCGACTAACGAAGACCAGACCGGACAGCGGAAGCAGGGCGCTGCGTGATTAATTAAGGCGAAGTGGGCAAGTGGGCTTGGGACATGTGCTCCGTAGTGGTCCACAACGGGGGTACTTACTTGGTACCTACATCGTAGGCACGTATGTAGGTACGAATGCATGTACTTGAAATGAACATGTGCAGGTCCCTGGTTCGGCCTCGTTCCTTGGTTCCGGGTGCCAATTATCGGGGTCCCCGTGCCCTCATCCATGGAATGGGACATTGGCTATTCCCAATCTGGTAGTTTGCTTATATCCCTTGCGATAGCCTTCCTTGCAACTTCGGGTTGGGGATTCTGTCTAGATGTCCGTGGCCTTCTCCGTATATCCACCTAGACTGGTAGCGTAGGTATGCACATATGGAGACATGTAGGTACAATGTAGGTCTAGCTTGTCGATGACTGGTTATTCCCCGAGATGTGCGACATTCACTAGTCTCAGATGCCAAACTCTGAATTTTAAGTGTCCGACCACCTCCACCAGGCCGTTTCAAGTTCAGCTCCAGAGGCCACGGCCGACCTGAGAAGAACCCCTCCAAGCGCAAATCATTGGTGGAGATGAGGTTCAGCTCGCCTCGATAAACTCATCTTTCCCAATGACGTGGGGCAAAGTTGCTACAGCAACTCTGGGAGGAAGGGGGAAATAGTGGATTGGCGCGGAATTGAGAATCAAGATCAAGGCGATCTGGTGGAGAGGGGGATCGACTAAATTAATAAACATTAAACATAAACCTGGACTCCCCTTGAAACAAAGCCGTTTGGTGACTTTCTTTTTTCTCTGGGCTTTTTTGCGTTTTCTTTCACTCTCAGCTGTGCGGCATCTGGACTCCAACACTTTGCCTTTGTCCTCTTAGGCATTAGTGGCAACTAGTCCCGACCTTATCACAGGGGCCCGAAACCAACCCCTCTATCGCTCCCTCCCATCAAACACCATGGCGATTCTTTCAGAGGACCATCACGGTCTCCGACTTCCTAATCCCCCACCACTGCTGCACACACGTGGTCAATTTGATCGCCCTTCCACACCCGCCGATGCCTTCACCAGTCCCCCACAAACCCCCCAGGGGAGCCCGAGCAAGTCGCGACCACCCCCGGGCGCAGTCGACTTGCCCAATGTCTTCGACAAGGCCATGAAGCTGGCACCCACGTCTACCTCGAAAGCAACCTATAATCACTACAATCACCCCATGTTCTCGGCCGGCAAGGAGGATTTCAACGAGAATCTGGTCCTCCAAACCCCTTCCAGCCCAACGCGCAGATCCAACAAGGAAAACACGCCCCCAAACCAAACGCGCCTAACGAAGGAGTTGGGCTCGACCCCGACCGCCGCAGCCCTGTCACGCCAGGAGCCATACCAACCACGCGATGAGACGACCAAACGCCAAGTCCAGATGCGCGGCCTGACACCGGAGGAAATGGAGAAACTAGCACAACCCAAAGTCAAGCGCCTCGTCAATGTCACCCAACTCTGTAAGTTGCAATCAAACCCCTCCAAAGACGGATATCATGCTGACTGGGTCGGCCAGACTTCCTCGACCATTACTTCGATCTCCTTAGCTACGTCCACAATCGCCAAAGCCGTCACTCACAATTCAGAGCTGCCTACCCAGACCCTCCCGCTACCCCTGACGAAGAGCATGAGCCTGCCCTCTTAAAATATCTCGGTCGCGAACGTGCACATCTCCGAAAACGTCGCACGCGTCTCCGCCAGGGTGACTTTCAGATTCTCACTCAGGTCGGTCAGGGTGGATATGGACAGGTGTATCTGGCACAGAAAAAGGACACGCGGGAAGTCTGTGCTTTGAAGGTTATGAGCAAGAAGCTACTTTTCAAGCTGGATGAGATTCGCCACATTCTAACTGAGCGTGATATTCTGACTGCGGCAAAGAGCGAGTGGCTCGTCAAACTGCTTTATGCCTTCCAGGATGACAACCAAATCTACCTGGCTATGGAGTATGTTCCTGGTGGAGACTTCCGCACTCTGCTGAATAACACCGGGGTACTCCATAATCGCCATGCACGCTTTTACATTGCTGAGATGTTCAGCTGCATTGATGCATTACATGTACTCGGGTACATTCATCGTGACTTGAAGCCTGAGAATTTCCTGATCGATTCCACGGGTCATGTCAAATTGACCGATTTCGGTCTGGCGGCTGGTATGCTGAGTCCGGGCAAGATCGAATCTATGCGAGTTAAGCTTGAGGAGGTCGGAAACACGCCTGTTCCCTTCGGTAGGCCGATGGAGCAACGTACCATGGCCGAACGACGACAAGGATACCAGTCACTGCGCCAGCGTGAAGTGAACTACGCCAAATCGATCGTCGGTTCCCCAGACTACATGGCACCAGAAGTGCTCAAGGGCGACCAATATGATTTCACAGTGGATTACTGGAGCTTGGGATGCATGTTGTTCGAGGCATTGGCTGGCTACCCGCCCTTTGCTGGTGCCACTGTCGAGGAGACATGGCAGAACTTGAAGCGCTGGCAAAAAGTGTTGCGGAAGCCTGTTTACGAGGATCCCAACTACTTCCTCTCACGGCGGACATGGGATCTTATCACGAAACTGGTTGCCGGGAAGGAGCAGCGGTTCAAGAACATCAAGGAGATTCACGCACATGACTATTTCGCCGAGGTCGACTTCGGCAACCTGCGTGAGCAACGCGCTCCTTTCGTCCCTGAGCTTGATTCCGAGACCGATGCTGGTTACTTCGACGACTTCAGCAATGAAGCCGATATGGCCAAGTACAAGGAGGTCCATGACAAGCAGCGCGCGCTGGAGGACATGGCTGATCGTGATGATAAGATGGGCAAAGGATTGTTCGTCGGTTTCACTTTCCGGTATGTTCTATTCAGCCCCCTATCAAGTTTCCCGTTCATCACCCGTTCTCTGAACTAATCTTCTACAGTCATCGCAAACCTGCTAGCGACAGCAACGGCCGCAGCAGCTCCCCACGCAAACCGATCCCGACAGACGGTACCTTCGGGACAATGTTCTAGGGTTTTAGCCAAATTCCCAGATTCACACATCTTCGGTCGACCTTCTTCTCTTCTTACGTTCCGCTGGTGCGTGCGTGACTCCGAGCTGGATCTTGGTTTCCTTGTGCCAGTCCCAGTATTGAGTTTAATGGTGCATCTTTTCTTTTTCGTCCTATTCTTTCCCATCATTCCTTTTTTTTTTCTTCAACATCGCGATCTGTCTAGCTTGACCTCGCTCTACTTTTATTTTATGGTGCAGGTCGGAGTTGTTGAAATTCAATATGTATGATACAGCCATAGACCGAGAAATGGCGCAATTCGTGTCTTCTGCTAGTAATCTGTTCCCATTGTATGGAATATCGAAACATGAAAATATCAAGTCCGTGTCTGTATGAAAGACTACGTGTCGTGTTACAAACCCGCGATCCCTTTTAATTCTCAGGAAGCTGGCGCACCATGCGCAGAATCTCGGACTCGTTGTCTCCAATCACAGCACGGCCATTGACCCAATCGACAGTCTGTAGAAGCAGTCATTAGCAAACCATCCCCTGTAAGAAAAACAAAGGGAAGAAACGGAATCCATACAATAGGTCTAACAAGAGCCCCATTATCCTCCTTAAACTTCTTCAACGCCTCCTCCGCATTCTTCGCGCCCTTCACCAGCTCCGCAACCCCGTATGTCACCTTCTCACCGGGGCCGCCAACACCGCTGACCGGCGAGATGTAATCGAGGATACTGCGCAGCTGATCCGCCGTTGGGGGGGAGGTGGTGATTTCCAGCTCGAACTCGCCGCGCTGCTTCTTGGTGTGCTGGGAGTGGTCGCTGGCTTGGTCTTCTGTGGCGGTTTCGCTGGCGGTCGAGGAGGCTTGTTTGAGGATGTTGAGCGTGCGGGTTGAGGCTTGGATGGAGGGGGAGTGGAAGAGGGTGATTGGGTCGAGGGTTTTGCTCTGGGATTTGTTAGTTTGGGAATATAGGCGGGATTGGGGGCTTGCGTACGAAGCGGAACATCTTGGCGATATTGGTGTTTGTGATTGAGATGGGGAGGTGGTGGTGGTGGAAGAGGTGGAATGGTGTAGAGTGGTAGTCGGAGATGAGAGAGCTTGGAAGGTTCCTGGTTTGGATGATGTCATGTTCTCGCCCGGGTTGTCTCGGGGGTTTGGAGGGTGCGTTGGTCCGAGAATGAGTCAGTTACTAGGTATGCTTAACTATTCTGTTTATTGGTTTTGTTACATAGTAGAGAATTGCTTTTCTTCTGAGATGTGGAATTGGGTGAGACATTGGTTTTCCGATGCATGTCAAGGTCTAGATACACAACTAATAAGAAAACGACTTATATTTGGGGATCAATGCTCGTTTCCTGGACCTCCAAGGTTGGGACATGAACAGTACAAAAGTTCCTTGATTTACATACGTCGTCACCGGAAACTGCCTGGCACTCGAGACTGAATTCCCCGTTCTGGTGCTCACCTCTTGCCGCTTTGTGATCACCGAAGACTGGGTCCCTGAGTACCCTGACTTCCGTGATCATGAGCCATTGCATGATCAAGGTGATTTGTGATATGAATTTTATTGACCGTAAGCTTTCTCCGAATAGCTTTAACCTCTACTCCATAAGGTCTGCCCGGTGGTATCTATAATGAAAATTCAGTGCTGATTCGATTTATGAACAAATGATTATGTAATTTTATGCCAAGCCCGTGGCAGGGCACGCATATATAAAAACAACCCATGTTTATACCATACCTTATGCATCTTTAGAAGATCACTGATAGACCTAGATCTCAATGGCATATTGTTCACAATCTCAGAATGGGAACTGATCTCGAGGCGGATGGCGCGATTCAAGTTTGCCCAACTCGGAATACTTGGCACGCTAAGCTAGACGTACACGGTACACCCTCTCTCTTGCGCCTTCTTCCCTTTTTTTGTTTCACGCGCCACATTGTTCATAATCTCCTACATCTTCATCCCCATTGTTGAAGCCGGGCACTTGAGTGTCTGATCTGATAGTCCAATATCTCGTCTACATGGACCTGAAAATCTTTCATGACAAATCATGGTCTACCATATGGCACCCAGCCGGCGATCCCCCTAATGACACCGAATCCGAGCGAAGCATACGGCAGCGTCCACTGCCAGACTGGAGCGATGGCCCGCAGTTTTTGAAATTTCAGTCCTTTCAGCCCGGAGGGTGGCCATGGGGCTTTGCTATCTATCGCACCTCCTATGCCAAGACATGCGATGAAGACTGGGCCAGAGCTATTGAGAAATTCGACGAAGCCTGCCTAGCTGACCTGGGGGATAGTGAGCGCTGGTGGTTCCAATCGGGGAAAAGTCATATATATGAGGCCCGGCAGGGCTACCGAAATGTCATATTTGAAGATCCGGCTTTGGAAGGGGCGTCGGAAGTGGTGATTCGCAATCGGCACAGAAAATGGGTGGAAGGTCACGGTCTCCCCGTGTTGCATTCTTCCCCTCGCATAATGTACTGTCTTTTATTCGACGATCGATGTATACGGTCTATTTTGGCTAGTACGCTGCCGAAGAAATCTTCCCCTCTGGCACATCAACTAGAACGCCCACATCATGGACGTGACCCCGATGGGATGGTTGGATATGTGAACCTTATTGACGCTGAATTCGACCCTGAAGATCCGGAGAATGAATGTGGACCGTGCTATCATGGGCTGGTTCGTCTTCATTTGGATTGTTTATTCAAGTTTGCGAACAGTTGTGAAGACTTGATGGCGCACCGGGAATGGGATGGTTATGTGATGGAAAATCCGACCCAGGTGATTTACATCGATGGCCCGCACTCGACGATTGAGTCGAAAGAAATGTTTCTTTCATCTACCGCAAGGTTCTTGGGTGAAGGAGAAAGCGTCACCGAGGCCCAATACATCGAAGCACAGCGATAGAGATCAAAATATGAGAAACATTGAGTTGTCAGATCAAGCCAGCGTCAGATTACTGAGGCTACAAACATCTCCGCAAATTGTGTACAAAGGATGAAACATTGAATGATCCAACTTTTCTGACACGAGCATGCACATTTATCGACCTCCATGGTTTCTCGTCGAGAGATACTAAAACAATTCATAGTTTGGGAATGGCGAAGACTCATGTACTTGAATCAGTACGGCAGACCCTTCTAATGACATCCGGACCAAAGTGAGGTTGGAGTTGACTAAAAGTGTGTAGACGGCCATTGGATTGAAAGTAAAGTACCTAAAACCAGGTGTCCACGAAAGAGCCCAGTTTCTCAACACAAACGTCTTGGTCAACATCAGTCCCAGGTAAAGTCCCATCCTGGCATATAATCCGTGGCGAAATCTTGCATAAAGATATCCGAGATTCTGTCCCTCAGTTGCGCAAGAGTTGTTTGAACCCATAACCCTTTGTCCGTGTGGTAGTCGGTCCATCGGTCAGCCATATCTTGGATTCCATTCACGACGTAATTTCTCCCAAATTCAACCATCTCGTTCTTTTGGATTTCGAAGAAGCGATCCCAACAGTTCGCAAGGTCAATTCCAGGTCCTCCTTGGTTGAAATATTCCATCGATGTACGCTCTAACTCCTCGCGAATGCCGGCATAGACAAGAGCAAATCGTGAGATGACCTCTGGAGAATTTTGATAATTGTAGACGGCAATTACCTTGAGTGAGTCAGTAGCAATTCAACAGGCGACAAAAGCCGGGGGAATGATAGGTCTTACATCTCGCAGCATGGTCAAGGCCTGCCTTGGATCATCGTTCTCGAGCATCTTTTCCCATGCGGCCGCAGAAAGCGATCCCTTATCTACGCTGTCAAAACTCCAAAGCTGGAACAAGTTAGTGCCACTCTTATGAAGATTCATCAGAACACCTACATCGCCTTTGAGTTTGTTCAAACTGGAAAGCATCAGCCGGAACACATCAGAATTGGTTTTGCTTCCAATTTGCTCCATGATCCTGTCGATAGGCTTCTGGAGGACTTGATTGTTGTGTGGGGTCTTGGGTGCAGTTTTCGGAATGACATTCTGTGTGAAGAAATTGACAAGAAATTCGCAATCAATATCACAATTTCCCGGTAAAATAGCCCATAGCATGAACTTGGGTATCAATTTAATCTCATTCGGATGATCGGCTACGGATAATCAGCAGTGTGCCATGAATCTTCACAAGAAGTACTCACTGTTCATCTGAGGCTTTCCGGTATCAGGTTTGAGCTCTGATTTGGTGGCCTCTCGTTGACGCACATCACAGTTGCCGCAATCTTCAGCATCATCGAGGTCTACGGCCTCTTCAATCATCTTCTGCTTCACCGCGGATGGTTTCTGGACACCTTCTTGCAACCAATCACTTGGGCCTGGATAGGCGAATCTTGTGTATTCTATCGTTTTTATGACACCATCCACGGTTTTGCAGATGATCGACTTTTTGGCGGCCTTGGCACGTGTTTGCAGGTGGCCAAACGGATGATGCTGTATATCCAAGATGATTAGTTGGTCAACTAGCAAGTTCGAGATAGTTGACATACCTTTTGCTGCCATTCGAGGTCGCGCCTGGAGAGACTGTCCTCGTCATCAGTTGCATCACACAATCCATCGCCATAATTGCACAGGTCCTGTGCACATGTCTGGGATGGGGGCTTTTCGCCGAACAGCCTGTTGTACGCATCGGGGAAGTTATAAATCTTGTTGGCGGTTCCCTCGTAACCATCGCGGTAGAAATCTGGATAGGTCCTGTTCGAGAACAGGCTCGGAAGCATCGTGTCGGTATTGAGATTTTCGAACATTCCCCCTACGGAGTCGTTCCAAATAGTGCACAGACGATCCCAATGCTTGGTTTGCCCCGATATATAACCCGTGAAGATCGCAGTCAGCTGGAAAACGAGAAGTTTCGAGGCGATGATCTCGCATCTGTCCTCGCGAACTCTGACGGAATTGGTACTGGAGAGGCCGGGGGTATTCTTGACACACTCAACATTGGTTGTCCAGTCAATGAGTGCATCTTTGAAATCTTGCAAATCATCGGAAATGCGTGTGGTCTCTGTGTAGCTGACGGCGTCACAGCAGTATGCTCGAGCACCGGAATGGTAGCATCCTTCGTTGTAGCCATCCATCGCCACGCGGATCTGAGTATCAGGACATCCAGATACGCACATTTGGCTAACCGTCATGAGGCCCACATCGTTCCGCCATTTGCAGTTTTCAAAGCGTTTGCTCTTGGATTCTGCATCACAGCAATACTTCCGCAATGAATGGTGGTGTCTTGGCCAGTGCTTTCCCCAAACATCTCCAGAGTAACAACTCATATCGCCGCTTCCTTGCCCGGACTCTCCTAAAAGAGTCGACTTTGAGCCGGAGCACTTGCCATCACCACATTCGGGGAACTTCCCCCACTCGCAATTATTATACAGCGCCATGCTGCTCAATTCCTTATCGGAATCGTCTTCCACGGTACAGCAGGCCGACTGATATTGTGGAGGGTATTTGTCTTTGCATCCATTTGTTGTGGAGCCAATTTCAGTCATTCCACTCGGACATCCAGACTTGCAATTGCCATCGTTGAACTCGTACCAGCCACAAGTCGGGAGCTTGGCATCAGGAGGGCAACACCAAGACCGGATGCCCAGCCCGTTACAATGTGTCGCATCCATCATGTATTCAGGATTGCCTCTTTTCCACTTGTCTGTCCGCTCGACCATTTTCCACCCTCCAGGACAGGGCTTTCCACAATTGCTCCAGCGGCACTGTTTGTGGTTCGTCCTTTCTGTGATGATGTCGGAATCAACGTGGGCCCGCTGCATTAACACTTGGCGGTTTGAAATCATTGCCAGGTCCTGGGAAAAGTCTGCCGTTGGGGTGTCATGACTGATTGCCCAAACCATCAAGCCACTGAGACATTGTTCACGAGCAAAGTTGGCTTTCAAGGTCAAGGTTTCTCGGTCATCTATAGAGACCCACTGATCATCCCAAGTGACAACCTTGACTGTGGCGTCTTTGTACAGCTTTGGCGTCAGATTCTTCTTGTTGATGATGTCCATGATCTCGTTGTTGAGCAGGATGCCTGCTTCCTTGCTGCATGGTCCTGGAAGACCTCCAGAGGCATATACACACCCAGGCTCCACACAGCCTTGGGTAGTGTACGAGCGTCCGTAGAATGCAAGGCCCATAACAACCTGATCACCTTCCACATCATTGCGCCAAAGCAGCTCGAGGGAAGATTTGATCTCTGTCAAGTTGGTATGACCGTTCAAGAACGCGCCCGTCCATTTATTGCCCTGATCCCAGGTGCCATGCATATCATAAGTCATGATGTTGAAGAATGAAACATGTTTGGCGAGGGCCTTGAGGTCAAAATGCTGAAGGTACCAGTAGGAGGCTGGTAGTGTGATAGAAAGTTCACTTCGACCTGGGGTTTTGTTCAGCTCGGCTTTCAGCCTGCTCATGAACCTGGGGAAATTTTTGAAATCCTCTGTTTTGCCATTGCGGTCTTCGGCTTCGGGGTATTCCCAGTCGAGATCTATACCATCAAAATCATGGGTGGACATGAAGGAGACCAAAGAAGCAATGAACTTATTCTGTTTCTCTTCAGAGGCGGCCAGATCTGAGAAAACTGTGGCAGTTGGACCAGGGTCGTTGAATGTCCAACCACCTATAGCGATCATTACCTTCAGGTCCTTGTCGAATTTCTTCAAGGAGGTCAATCGTTTGTAGAGATCAACATCCCGCTTATCCGATGGTGTCACTTTGTATGTATCTGGATCGATGGTTGCAAATGCAAAGTTGATGTGACTGTAGACGCCGAGTGGAATCTGCTCTGGCCAGAAATCATGACAGGGACGCCGTGTGGCCCATCCTTCGTAGTAGCCAACAACCCTGGACATGTAGCTATCCTTGGAGCAGGTTTCGTGCTTGACGGTTTTGTTGCCGCACTAAGTGATCAGGAAGTTAATCAATAGGCCAACCATCGAGATATACCGGTCTTTCCTTACAAATTCCTTGGTTGTTCCGCAGTAACCCTGTATTCAATCAGTCGGCATTACTTTACAGCATGAAAACCCCGGACTTACAAAGTCTGAACAGCACACGTTCAGAGGACAGGATTTGCCCTTTGACCATTCTCCTCCAAACCCTGGATCACATTCAGATTTGCGGTCGCACCCAGAGACACACACATCTTTGTCGCAGAAGTCGGGGCCATGTCCGCAGAAACCAAAGTTGTTACTGAACTTCAATTAACAATGGATCAAGAAAGCAAGTCGAGGACTGTAATCATTACCAGCAGCCTTCCTCGCAGGGATTATTTGCATCACATCCAAGCTTATAATCGCAGGTTGACAGACATCCTTCACCACAGTGTTCTGTGGTTGTTCCACAGAAGCCGTCCTTTGAACTTGATGGAGAACCAAAAGTCAGCGAGCTCCCATCTTACGGCAGATGCAACTTACCAGCATCCTGTAGCGCAATGCTTAGTTGCGCTGCACTCTTCTCCCAGGACTAGCAGTGCCAAGGCACACAGGAGTATACTCAGCCTGAGTAGATGTTTTCCCAGCATCTTGACCGTATGCCTTGCATCTTTGCCGAAAAGAGAGGGAATGAGTATCTTATAGAATATTCATAGAAGCCAATAGTACAATGCAGCCCGGAACCTCGGAAAGTTGCAATATGAGACAGCGGGAAATGACATCTAGCCTAACTCGGACAGTCTCCGATTCATTTCATTCCTATATGGGGTCCAATTGACACATTACTGGCTATCACAATGGGTTTGTTACATCGGTCCTTTGAAGAAATTTCCTTAAACCGGGGCCAAAAGCCTGAGAGGGCTCAAATGTTCAAAATTGGGGCCAAATGTGATGCCTGCCAAGCGTAGATGTTTGACTAGCGATTGACCCGGGGGCTTGGCCGGACTAGGCAATGCATACAGACCACGTAGGTCTGAAGGCTGCCAAGCGTTTCCAAGCCTCTAATTCTTCAAGCGTTCGACTAAGACCCTGCTAAGATAGGGCTAGTGATTGATTAAGCAAAGCGTTCGGACGCCACCGGAGACCAACCAAATGGCGAGCAGATCCTGAAATGTATCATTTGGAGGCAAAAGCTTGGCAAGAGTCAACGGGATTTTAATTATGAGACATTTCATTAAACTAGCTGAGGCGATGTGACTTTGCCAGTAGCTCACCGGAGATTACTGTTAACGAAGAACCCACCTGGCATGTTACCTGCGGCCGCGATTTCAAGTAAAAGCCGCCTTCTTATTTCTCGGGGTTTCTCTGACGAGAACTCCCCATAACGAAATACATTTTGATAACGTTCTATCTTCAAAATGCGGGGGGCAAATATTGTCCTACGCTGGCTGCTGCTTATATGCCAGGTCACTGGCATATGGGCGAGTCACGCCCACGATGCTCATGGCCATCTCCATCGGCACTTCAATCGTGAGAAGTCTACCTCGGTTTCAATCACAACATCAGGCTCTCTTGCCACTGCCTCCAGCACGTCCAAATTTGGATCCTCCGATGCCGCAATCAAGGTCGCCGAAGCCCTCAAAGGCTTGGCCGTTGTTAACAAGTTAAGAGTCGATAATGTCAAGTTCAACAAATATGCCATGGCAGATGCAAAGGATGTGACTGGAGTGAGAATAAATGCACCTCCGTTGGATTATTCGGCGGAGACTGTATCTCGACTAAACTCTCTGCAAAATACCTCTGAGTCTGAATCCAAAGAAAAGCGCGAAGAGAATGGCGCCGCCAAGAGCTTTGCCTATACAATTTCAAAAGATCTCGCAGATGCAGCGAGAATCCTGGCAGAGTCTGTACCACCCACCCCGTCCACCGGCGAGGAGGCAGAACTGGCGGCCAAGATGCACGCAGAATATAGGTCCAAATCGAACGATACGAACCGCCCTCCACAGCGGCTTCGTCGTCCCGATGGATTGTTTGAATACGTCTCGGATGAACAGACCGTGCTTGGATCCAGTCTACAGTCTGAAGATCATACTCTTACAAAGAGAGCCGCCACTGGGTCTGATTATTGGTTGGCCAACCTCCAACAAAATGGGGCTAGTCCATTCGCTCCAGCAGGATATAAGGTAAACAGTCCCTTTGCCATTTGCCTATGCACAGATCTAATCACACGGTCATTAGGTCTGGAGGAATGTGAAGGACTATGGAGCCAAGGGCGACGGTGTGACCGACGACACCGGTAAGACAAAAGCCAAACGCGAGCTTCACGTATATACTGATCCTTCTATCTCTCAAAGCGGCAATCAACAAGGCCATCTCTGAAGGTGGTCGTTGTGGGGCTAACTGCGGTTCCAGCACGATCTTTCCGGCCGTAGTATTCTTTCCTCCTGGGTCATACCTTGTGAGCAGTCCGATCATCCAGTATTACAACACGCAATTTCTAGGAGACGTATGATTGGTCCCTTTCTTCTCTTGATAAGAGCAATTGACTGACTCGAAAGCAACTAGCCTATCGATTACCCCACAATCTTGGCTGCTGCAAGCTTTGTTGGACTGGGAGTTATCACCTCTGACGTCTATGTCGGCGACCAAGAGCAATGGTATGGACTAATCCTCAGTTTGATATGATTGTCTAACAGACATTTAGGTACTTGAACACCAACAACTTCCTTCGCAATGTGCGCAATTTCAAAATGGACATCACCCGTACAGATCCCAATGCATATGTTTGTGCCATTCATTGGCAAGTTGCTCAAGGAACCACCCTTGAGAACATTGAGTTCTATATGTCCCAAGCGAGTGGAAACACACAGCAGGTATCTAACCCTCCTTGATGTTAGTAATAAGCTGACAGTGAAGGGTATTTACATGGAAAATGGAAGCGGCGGCTTCATGAGCAACCTGACTTTCGTCGGTGGAAACTTCGGGTAGGTGTCTCCAGATGCCCAATAACTAGACCTTGTATGTTGATAAATCACAGTGCCTATCTGGGCAACCAGCAGTTTACCACTAGCCAACTTGTTTTCGTGAATTGCAAAACTGCACTTCAGATCCACTGGGACTGGGCGTGGACAATGCAAGACGTGGTCATCGAATCATGCCAAAATGGAATTGTTGTGACCGGCGGCGTGAGTATCCATCTTCCACAAGTCTCATGGGTTGTTTCTGACACAAATCAGGCTGGAGGTGTAGCCAGTATCGGCCAATCGGTTGGCTCCTTTATCTTGGTGGATGCCATCATCGCCAACACACCAACGGGTATCCTGACATCGCTGTATTCAGATAACTCCACGGCAGTCTTGCTTCAAAATGTGGGATTTTTCAACGTCAAAGATGCAATCATGGCCGATACCCGGACTGAGCCCCTCCTAGCTGGAGGGGACGAAATCCTTGTTTCTTCGTGGGGGTTCGGTTCCTACCACGATGATACCGGATTACATTTCGCCCAACAAGAGCAGTTGCAAACTTTGGACCGCAAGGACGTGCTTACTGGTAGCCAGGCATATGCCAACGGAGCTTCCAACTTCTTCGCCCGTCGCCGTCCTCAGTACCTTGATATCGGCGGCGGCCAGGTTTTCGACGTCAAGGCCTACGGTGCCAAGGGTGACGGCACTACAGATGACACAGCTGCTCTCAATAGTGTTCTCTCTGCCGCTGCCAACATGTCTTCGATTGTCTACTTCCCCTATGGTGTCTATGTGATTAAGGATACTCTCCATGTCCCTCTTGGCTCTCGCATTATTGGACAGGTTTGGCCGCAGATTATGGCGACTGGTACCAAATTTGCAGATGCCGAGAATCCCCACGTCGCCGTGCAAGTGGGAAAAGAAGGGGATATTGGTATTCTTGAAATCCAAAATATGATGTTTACGACATCTGGGCCCACAGCTGGTGCTGTACTGATGGAGTGGAATGTTCACGAGTCGACACAGGGCTCTGCGGGTCTCTGGGGTGAGTCTCCTTATTCCCCGCAACAACATCTGGCAATAATTACCCACCAATCCACGACCGTTCCATTTTGTTTACCGGATAACTGATGAAAATAGATTCCCACTTCCGCGTCGGTGGTGCTATCGGCTCTGAGCTCCAGTCTGATAAATGCCCCAAGGGGGCATCATCTATCAACAAGGAGTGTATCGCCGGATCACTGCTTCTTCGTGTCACCAAGTCGGCTTCGGCTTATATCGAGAACCTTTGGGCTTGGGTTGCGGATCACGACCTTGATAAAGTTACACAGGATCAAGTGGATATTTATGTGGCTCGCGGCATTCTCATTGAGAGCCAGGGACCTACATGGATGTACGGTACGGCCTCAGAGCACAGTGTTTTCTACCAGTATCAACTCTCAGGAGCCAAGAATCTGGTTATGGGAATGATACAGACTGAGTCCCCCTACTTTCAACCCACTCCTCCGATGCCAGAGCCCTTCAAGTTGGGAATGTTCCCCAACGATCCGGAAAGCGGCGAGTGCAAAACTTGTACAAGCTCATGGGCAGTCAGAATTATTGACTCGGAATCAATCTATATGCTTGGTGCAGGTATGTCATTCCTCCCTTGGGGTTTACATCGGACTGTTGCTGACCGTTCCAGGAATCTACAGTTGGTTCAACTCCTACTCTCAAAAATGCTTAGAAACAAACGACTGCCAAGAAAAAGCATTTTATATCGAGCAGAGCAGCGATATCTGGATCTTCAATCTTGTAACCAAGGCAATCGTCCAATCCATCAGCCCACTTGGGGAGACTGGGATTTGGGCCAAAGATACGAGAAATGGATACATGTCGTCTTTACTTGGATGGTTCCGCAAAGCAAAAGACATTATCGGTCAGCGCGATTTCCCGGGCTTCTATCTTTACGACGCCGAATATCAAGCAACATTCTTGTCAACTTTGTCCTCTGCTTGCCAAACAGCTCTTACTCGGCTTGTCAACTGCGAAGATGGGGTTTACGAGTTCCAAGAGCCTAGATGGAGAAGGGGATTGGATAACGACACCCTGAGTGATCTGATCTGCAGTCCAAGCTGCGGAACTTCTATAGAGACTTGGTTCCACCAGGTCTCAACCAACTGCGCTGCGGATGAAAATGACTTTCCCTTGAACGCGAAAGGTGGGAACATTTGGGCAGGATGGAATGAGACTTGTGCTAAGGATCCCACGACTGGTAAATACTGTGGTGGTAAGGTTCAATTCTCTGCAACTCTACCTGAACAGTTCTAATGAAATGATGTACAGATGTTATAAGTACCTTCAGCACAGACTTCAACAACATGCCTACAGCCGAGCTCTGCTCATCTTGCCATGTTGACCGTTATCGAAAGATGCAGTCAACGCCCTACTCTGAATATGATATCAACTTCCAATCCCAACTGGAGACCATCAATTCAAAGTGCGGAACCAACATCCCCACGAGTATTCATGACTCTTTGTACCCAGTCGTCGATCCATATGGGCCTCCAGAGTCGTGCGCATCAGGAATCAGATACACAACCGTGGCCGGCGATACCTGCGACAAAATTGCCACCGCCTACAGCGTTTCATCAGCCGCTCTGTTCATTGGGCACGACAACCTGTTCGAGTGCAAGAATATCGCCGTCGGGACCGAGCTATGTATGCCATTCCAATGTGAGAGCGTCTACACAATTAAAGACGACGATACATGCATGTCAATTGAGAAATCCCAAGGCGTCGGAGACAAAGATGGATTTTCCTTGAGGAAATGGAACCCCTGGATCAATTACGATTGCTCGAACCTTCAGATGGTCAGTGAAATTGCGTACGGACATGTTATCTGCCTCTCACCGCAGTCCGGTGAGTCCAACACCACTGCCCCAGTTCAGGACCCGACAACACCTGGTTACTCTGATGGTGGCTATGTCCTTCCGCAACGCCCGCCTCCTGCAAATGCGACCGTCGCTGAAGGTACAACACCCTTTTGTGGCAGGTGGCATGTGGTAAAGAGCGCTGATCCCCAGGAAACCTGCACGACGATATGTGTTCAGAACAAGATCCCTTGGAGCTTATTCTTGGAGGTGAACCCTTCCTTGAGTGAAGATAACTGTGGAGAGAAGCTGGTCATTGGGAATGCCTACTGTGCCGGGCCAATTTATAGCTGGAACGAAGACTTTGAAGGGAGTGATTTTGACTGAGACTTTCAGCCATATATTGCATTCAAATATGTCGTGCTATTCGCTCATGTTCCCCGCTAGAGTAATTGTTCAAATAGCAACCTGATCATTATGCTTCGCACTACTGCTTCTAGACTAAGAAAATACTAGGCATGATTATCCCACTTCGTGCTCACTATAGGGAAAGGGAACTTGAATATCGGTTACCGTGGCAGATATAGGCTCCATATGACAATGAATATAGACCGGTCGATATATCTAATTAGGGTAATACGCGGCTCTCATGTGGATCATAGCTCTAACCCCGGTAAATACACCCTCCATCTCCCTGATCTGAAGGGGATACGTTCACAATGCCATATACATCACATATTCCTAGAGGTAAGGCCATCATAATATATTCATCTATGATTCCTAATACTATCTTTCGACGGCGTAATCGCTTTTCTAGAGTCATAGTATTTGAATAAGGACGAGATAGCAAGATAGGGGCTTTCTCAGGACCTCGGTCCCAGACATTGTTGATGCCAGGAAGATAAAGCCCCCTCTCTCGCAGTGCGAATCACTGCCTGCACGACCTGGGTCGGCTGATCCACAATGTACTTAAGCGTGCGCTGACCTTCCTTTGGAAGACCGGCAATTAGTCTATCATCAGGGGCACTATGTTGTTCGACTGTCTCTATCTCCCGAATCCACTAGATACCCCAGGACCAATGATAGTGAGACGCCCAACTGCGCTGTGATGCCGACGCTCCTTTCGAGATCAGCCGAATGCCAAGCAGGGCAAGGCATTCCAACTGTGAAATACAATTGACTGATTTCCCATTTAGTGCTTTTTGAACGCACCACGGTATGTTGGAGAGCTCTCGAGATTTCCATCTCTCGAGTTCACCAGAACTTCGCCTTTGGCGGATGCTTCTCATCATGTCTGCTTATGCTGATCGGGACCAGGGCTGAGGTCTAAAGAGCGAGAAAAAAGACATATTCAGACACAGAAGAATGAAATAAACGCCAGCGCTTAGTATTTTCTCTTCACAGCCCAAAATTCTCAACATGCAAGTAGATACCCTGCGCGCCAGTGCCTTTATGCACAGCACGTTCATCACTCAGAGATACCACGCTGCAACGGACATCATCTGCTAGACCCCGAGGCCCACACACAACGACGGCACTTTCTCCTTCGGCCTTTTCCAGGACCTTGCGGATAATAGTTCGCGGTGTGGGACGACCGGAGACAATGCTAGGATGAATTATTGCTCCATTTGTAGACTCATGAGATTGCACCGACTTGCTATATTCGGCAGCTTTCTCGGATTGAACAGGTGTTGGGCCGACGCAGGTACAGGCGCAACTGGTAATTTCATCCTCGTCCTCGATTTGCGTGGTGCAACAGCAACCTCCACCGGGGAGACAGCCTTGGCCTGCAAGCACTGGGCCTGGGGTTGATATTGTGGACTCTGCAGAGACAGAATGAACGGACACGTTCTCCTTTCCGGGAAGTATTTTTTCCTCCTCTTTGGGAAGGATATCCCTTGCTTGGGGCGATAATATGATAGCGGTGGGCGGATCTAGCTTCTCATCGCATGTGATGTAAATGCTTACTTCGATCTCTCTATCGAATGTTGGATCCTTGCGTCGACATGTTTCCACGTCTGCCAGCAGACATTGTAGTTGAGACTCAAAGTACGTCAGCTGAGAGCGGGATTTGATGACCCAAACAAAGCGTAGCCGCTTGGTAGCTGTTAGAGGAGCGATATGAGTGGAAGTCTGCTCGCTGCTACTGCTGCTCCCCATCTTCCAAGCCGACACAACATCCCGCAGGAGAGGGATTGTGAATGTTGCACCCATGCCTCCTGCCAGCAGGATGACACTATCAAATTGACGCAAAGGCCGGATGCTTCCGTACGGCCCCTCGATAAAGATTGTGCGAGCGGATTTAGCCATCACTTGCTCATCTCCAAACACATCATTGCTCTTCGATGCATAGCGGAAGAACCGTTTTGTTCCCCCGTTTTCAGCCCGGATGAAGAACTCCATCTTCTTATCCTCTGGGATGGATGCAATAGTGAATGGGTGGCACTGCAATGGAACAATAGAATGACAAGTAAGGAAGACATGCTGGCCAGGTTGCCATCTGACGCCGGGATTCTCGACAGTCACGCGCGTAACATCTCCGGGCAGTGGAGTAAAAGTAGCCGAGTGCGTCCAAAGAGAATTCTTTTCTCTCTTTCGATGGAAAACGGCCAAATTTGTATATGCACCCCAGGTGTAGCGGGCAAGTCGATCGAAGACCACTAGGCCAATTGGAATCCATACCCAGACCTTGACTTCCTCTGGTGCGTGCATCCACACAGCAACAATAAACCCAACAAATGTAACCAGATGTTGGATGACGAAGAACTCGTAGCTCAGTCGGCGGATGGGAGCAAACGAAGTGAGCACAATGAAAGTTAGAATCACCCAAGCAGCAAATCCACGCTGTGTCAACGGATCGTTGTGAAGCTGGTAGGTGATATAATGCCAGCGACCCCAGTTCCGGAACCAGAAGCCCATGTGGATGGTGGTAGTCAGCCAGAGCGTGCGAGCGACCCAGCGATGATACCAATTCAAACTGACATAGCTCATGCCCGCCAAGAACCCGATTATGTTCTTTCTACCTGCCAGCAGGAATATCAGTGGCAGCTGGCAAATGGCAATAAAGCCAGTGCGGTAGCCCACGTTCTCCCATTTCCAGGGATTCAGTGTATCCAGCTTGTAGAAGCACAGGACCATGACTGTAATCAAGTTGGCAAGCATGATCAAAACAGGACCAAGGGATGGGAAATGGAGGGTCCATGATCCGAGTTTGATAGGCTTCAAAGTAGCATAGCTGACTTCACGGGTTGTTGCTGTGATGGTAGCATAAAGTCTGAAGAATAGTGATTTTGGTTTGGCGGGGGTGAGTGAAGAATCGCGCAGGCTATGTTTTGTTAGTCCTCAACAGGTAGACAATCGCTACTGAACATACCGATGCCAAGCAGTCACTTTATCCATCACATTGACGAGAGTTGCTGCGCCGATTGCACTTCCCACGACAGCCCAGTACATTTTCTGCAGGGTGAACAGACTGGGAATGCCATCGCCCATGGACATGGAGCCCGCAGGCATGTCGCCCATTGACATTGACATTTTGTTGAAGACAAAACAACGGGAAGACCTCAGCAGATGAAGTGAAGTAGATGCTCGCCAATAACAGGGCCGATGACCAATATTATGCTCAACTGTGCTCAGTGGATCCGCCATGTGGGCTCCGTTTCGGGGGATCCGTGGGTTACCCAATGCGTCCGACAGCAGACATCGGGGAAGAAACCTCGTATCTCTTTCCTTTTTATGTTCTTCAGTTCTAGAAGTTGACTCTTTCTATTTGATTCTTTTGATTCTGTTATCATGGACGGCATGGATATGAGCAGTACCAGCTCGGGCTCAGGCATGAGCCACTCAATGGGCTCTATGAGCATGGATATGGTATTCAGGAATACTCACGACACACCACTCTTCTCTAATATCTGGACCCCATCATCTTCAGGCGGCTTTGCAGGTACTTGCATTTTCTTGATTATCCTCGCTATTATCGACCGATGCCTCATCGCTTTCAAAGCAACTATGGAGCGACATTGGCTTGCCACGCATTTGAACCAACGCTATATCACTGTCGCTGGTCAAAGCACCGAGGCCGGCAAGATTGATGCCGACCCGGATGCGAAGATCGCATCACTTGTCACCGCGCAAGGCGTTGAGGAGTCGGTCAAAGTGGTGCGCAATATCAGTCATGGGCCAATTCCATGGCGGTTCAGCGTTGATCTGCCGCGAGCAATCCTTTTTCTGTGCATTGCAGGTGTATCCTATCTGCTGTACGTTTTTAATCTCGTCGTTTGCTCGGATGAATTCTAATATCGTTTCTAGCATGTTGGCTGTCATGACTATGAACATCGGCTACTTTTGCTCGGTGCTTGGAGGGGCATTCCTCGGGGAGCTAGCAGTCGGGCGTTTCATTCAAACTAATGAGCACGGACACTGATGACATTTGTTCTTGACTTTCACGCAATTGGTCATATCTATGGTCATATCTATGGCCTCGGGCAGCATACGTTTGGCGCTTGGGAGTAATGCTTGGGGATACTATGACATCAATTAGCCTCTTTTTAACCTCTCTTCTCAAATTACGTTCAGTCTCTCTCTTCTAAACTCATTCTCTTCTCCCTACTATCATCTACTCAACCCCTCCCTCGTTGTCTTGAGGGTCCTTCGAAACCTGCATGCAGTCCCATGACTAAGCCCCCTGCGCGGAATTGAGCTAATTTACTAACCCGATCCGGGCTAGCCTCTCGGGTAGCTCCCCACTCTCCACGCTAGCGTGAGGCTTTAATTCCCAAGCACCTCACCTATACTCCGGACCAAAACGGCAAGTCCATGCCATTAGATACTCCGCACAGTGTGAAACGATTGTCCACAAGCCGATTGAATCTATTTTACAGTGTACGTAGTAGCACACATATTTCTCCAGTCATAACATGGAAGCGAAGCACAAGGGAGTTCATTGCGGAGCGTGGGAGCCCATGAGATCAGTAACCAGGATAGGGCTGTCGGAAAATTCCGAAGTCGACACAAACTCAACGAAGGCCCGTGATTCCCGATGTTCAGATTCCAGCGGGCTCTCGTGGACGGGTGGATCTCTTGCTCAGGTTCCGCTAACTCCCTGGGTTTGTGTAGACCTCGTATAGAAGGGTTCCGAAGCCCAAGTTTGGATTTATCTTCCGCCATTTTCCCGTTTCACTTCCCATCTGCTCCGCTCTTCCTGATTAATCACACACCATGAAGTTCTCTTTCCTTGCCTTGACGGCCATCGTCCCATTGGCCACAGCACACTTCAGGCTGATCTATCCCACGTCCCGCGGCTTCAATTCGGACACTATGACGAAATTCCCCTGTGGTGGGATGGGCCAATCTTCCAATCGTACTCAGCTTCCATTGTCCGGTGGCTCATTCCCCGTCGCTCTTGAGATGCACCACGCCCAAACTGCCGTCGAGGTTCTCCTCGCCCTAGGCAACGATCCCGGCGACCACTTCAATATTGTCCTTACGCCAACTTTCCAAGTCAACGGTCTGGGGGAGTTCTGCTTGCCTCATGTTGAGATCAATGAGAAACTAATCGGTCGTAATCTCACCAATGGAATGAACGCTACCCTCCAGGTGCAGACCAACGGTGACCCAACGGGTGGCCTCTATGCGGTATGCCTGATTCCACCCTTATCTATTCTCGCTGTCTGACAAAATATACTGATGCATTCCAGTGTGCCGATATCCAATTCTCTTCCAGTGTCACCTACCAGACACCCTCTACTTGTACCAACAATACCAACCTTGCTGCCACTGCCTTCCCCAAGGACTCTGCTAGGCGCAATGCCAACGAATCTACCGGCGAAGGCCAAGCCCAGAGTGGCTTCCCCCTTACTACTGCTTCTTCTAAGGGCGTTGCTGTGCCTATGCAAACCGCTGCTTGGGGTATGCTTGGAGCTGCTATCGCTGGTGGCATTGCTGTTCTTTAAATTTTCTTTTCAGACTGTCAGCTGTTTTCCACTTTGTCCTCGGAGTTTAGCGATCCATAACGGATGGAAGGGCATCATATTCTTATGCTCTCACTCGTGATAATGCACAGAACCTTGGCCTTTTTCTTCCATTCTGCTGTTATCTGCTTTAACGTTAGTATACATCAATTGAAAATAGAATTAGTCTTTTAACTCCCTTCATTAACCTCTGAGGTGCAGAAAAGTTCGTCTTTTTACAATTCTAAACGTGACTCCTCGGAATAAAGATCCTGAAGTTTGCACGTGTGCGGGTATCTTGAGCTATGTACCAACCAGAAAAATAAACCAGGCTACTTTATCCGCCTTCTGAACATCCGACAAGTACGCACAAGGGGAAGCTTTTTTAGGCCACGAAGTATAGCTAAACATGGAGAACTTTGAGATACTGCGCCCCGTTGGTAAGTAGAGGCCTGTCAAAAGAATATCGGGAACCTTTTCCGAAAGTCAACGATGTCTAATGCTAGTCAGGCCGATTGGAACAATATTCAACGTCACGCCACCAAGTTGGATTTTATCTCAACGTGGCCGTGTCAGCAACATATTTCCTACCAAAATCATATGTCCTGCCTATCAAAGACTATGTATACCAGGCATGCGAGGCCGCAATCGCAGAACATCCGTCGCTATCTGCCATCGTGGCAGACGATCACACACAAGAGCCCTATTTTGTGCGATTGCCACGGATCGATCTTGACCAAGTCGTCTCCTTTCAGGACCGGAAGCCAGGCTTGTTGGGTACTGAAGCCAATGGCGAGCCAGCACCAGATCTTGACCTGCAAACCCTACTTGCGACCCAGCACAACACGCCATTCAAGACACCAGGGGCGTTCTGGAGACTCGGTGTCCTCATTAATATAGAAGATGAGCGGCAATTTACCGCAGCGTTTGTATATCACCACGCCATTGGCGATGGAACCTCAGGGAAAGCCTTCCACCACACTTTCCTACGAGCCATGGGGGCGATGACTTCAGCGGAGCAAACCAAATCAATCATCAAGCCACCGCATATCCCCCTCTTGCCAACCATTGAGCACATGCACTCACAGCCCCTATCTCTATCCTATCTCGCGAAGAAATTCTTCCAGGCAAGGATCTATTCTCGACGACCCTCGGGTCTATGGACCGGCTCCAAGATCACGGGCCCCTCTCAAACCCGTCTGCGGCTCGTGCCATTCTCCAAGCTACTAGTCACCACAGTAAGAAACAGTTGCCGAGAAGAAGGCACAACGATCACCGCACTTCTGCAGACGATCGTCGCCCGCTCTATCTTCGCACACATCCCCACCAGATTCACGCGGCTCGCCTGCTCTGGCTCACTCTCAAGCCGGCGCTGGTTACCCGGCATTACGGACCAGTCGATGGGCGTCTGGGTTCAGGACTACGAAGAGAGCTATTCCAGGTCAGCTGTCTTACCGGCTATCAACTCCTTCCCATGGGATGAGGCCAGGCGCTCCCGCAAGACGATTCAGTCTGTCCTAAGTATGAAAGGCAAAAATACTACCACGAGTCTGTTGCAGTTTGTCGATGATTACCAGCAGGAACTCTGTTTGTCTAGGATCGGCAAGGAGCGCGATAGGAGCTTTGAGGTGTCGAATATTGGGGTGATGATCCTGGAATCGGATACCGAGATGCCTTCTATCGCTGGAGTGGTATTCTCACAGTGCGCTAGTGTGATGGGCAATGCCATTGAGGTTTCTGCTGCTACCGGTGCTGATGGATGTTTGTCGTTGGCTATCTCATGGCAGCAAGGCGTTGTGGAGGCGGATCTCATCAATGAGATGGTTGAATCGATTAAGCAGGACTTATACTCTTTCGACACGGTTTGATTGAGGCGGTCCGTTATTACTTACAGCCTGTATAATGTTTAATGTATAGAATGAGACATTCCACCTACAACGTTCATCGTCCAAGACCGTTATCAGGTAGGCGGTGAGCTTGCGATAACCTCGGCGGCAGAATCGGGGGGACAAAGAGAGGGATCATTCCGGTGTTCCTGTATCTCTATTCTTTTTCTCCAATCTCATTTTGCAGAAACTTCTTCAAGATGGCTCGCGCTCCTTTCATTGTTCCGGCGCTTAAGAAGCACACCGCGACCGTCATCATGGCCCACGGGTTGGGCGACACGTGAGTGCAATTCACAAGCATGATAGACGACCATATTAACTGACAATGTTGGAATCTAGTGGTGCCGGATGGTATGCGAACACCAACCAAACTTTTACGCAGTCTACGAGTCTTGTGCCTAACCGAGTTTGAATAGGATGGCTCTCGCCCAGAACTGGCGTCGTCGCGGCAAGTTCGACGAGGTGGCCTTCATCTTCCCCAATGCGCCCGCGATCCCGATCACTGTTGTATGTGCGCCTTACAATATGACACAGCTAGCAGCAATTGACACAGTACGGTTTAGAACTTTGGCATGAGCATGCCCGGATGGTATGACATTACCAAGCTCGGCCGCGATGTAAGCCTCCATATCCCTCTCCCACCGAACCATATAATCATTTGGCAGCGCTCACATATATTTTTTTTGATATAGTTGGACCTCGAAGACAACCTCCGCACCCAAGATGAGGCAGGTATCCTCCGTTCCCGTGACTACTTCAACACCCTCATCAAGGAGGAGATGGACAAGGGTATCAAGGCCTCGCGTATCATCCTGGGCGGGTTCTCCCAGGGTGGTGCGATGTCGCTCTTCGCTGGTGTGACAGGTAAGGAGAAGCTGGGTGGTGTCTTTGGTCTGTCATCCTACTTGCTTCTGAGCGACCGGATCAAGAACTTCGTGCCTGAAGATTGGGTGAACAAGAAGACTCCGTTCTGGATGGGTCACGGACTCGATGACGATATTGTTCAATTCAGCTATGGACAGAAGTCCGCAGAGATGCTCAAGGCGCTTGGTCTTGAGAATGTCTCCTTCAACCAATACGCGTACGTTCTCTTCTCGATTTCAGGTGCTGGATAGTTTGCTGATATGAGTTTCGCAGTGATCTTGGCCACTCGGCCGATCCCCAGGAAATCGATGATTTGGAGAAGTTCATCGAGAAGGTGCTCCCAGCTGAGGAAGGTAACACTTCCGCTGGTTTATGACTTGACCACGATCAAAGCAGGAATACGACTGGTGGACAATGGGGATATACCCTGGTTGTGGGATTCATGATACTTCTTGTTGCTTTCGTCTGGTCTAGATATCAGTCAAAACCACAAAAGACCAACCAGACGCAAGAGTAGCGTTCTCAACCCGGGTTCATTTTCGATGTTCATATCAATGCAATTCAAAGATACCAATATGCACAAACGTCAGATAGAGAGATAGAACCCTAGGAACTGGCCCATCCTTTCAGCCCCATTCAGCCACCCATCAACCTCTAATCGCCTTCGCAACAGTCTCTTGAATCGCCCTCGTCATCTCCTCGGTATTCTTCATGTCAAAAGGAACCATATGCTTAGACCCATGATCATAGTACGCCGCTTTCGCAGGCTCACAGAGCTCATAAAGCTTCTGACTCTCTGGGAACAACGGATCCGCCTTCCCAACGATATTCGCCGTCGGGATCGCAATCGGATACGTATCTGGCTTCGGCTCAATCTGCTGCTGTCCGGAGCTCTCCCACGGCGCTGCGCCGCAGATGAACACCGCCGCGCGGAACAGCGGCGGCTCAGCCGGGCGCGTTCTGTTGTGATGGATTATAAGTGAAGCCGCGAGCGCAGCGCCTTGTGAGAAGCCCATCACCGCATCGAAGGGCCCATGTTCCGCGATAAAGCGCTGGGTGTGATCGAATGCGTCGAGAACGCTGGATGCTGGATAGGCGCCTCGACTGTAATGGTTGTAGAAGGGGCCATCTACTACGCCCTCGAGTTCTGTGTTGCGGTGTACGTTAGCGGGGTTGATGTCGGCGGGGTCGTGGATGTAGATAGCGATCTTACCCTCTTCGACTTTGGCGCTCATCTTGCCATTCATGAATTCGAAACGGTGGCCATGCTTTTCTAGCTGTTGGCGTAGACCTCCGGTTTGGATTTCGAAGATCTGTTCGTCAGTTTGTATGTTTGGTGGTGTTGACGGCATTGATCCGAGGGGGAACTACATACTTCGCGGTTTGTGCCGCCGCCATGGAGACAGAGAAAGCGCATTTTGGTGATTGGACTCTTTTTTTTCGATGCTTATAGAGAGTTCAGGGTTTGGATCAGCATCAAAGGATTAGATGCAGGTGTGGTGAAAGAAAGCTCCCAATAGACCGCGGGTTTGTATCGCGGGCGCAATGCGGGGATGAAGAAAGGAAACACCGGGGTCTTCACGGGACACTTCAGGGGTACGGGAGAAATTATTCTGAGTTGAGAATAGACAATCCAAGGCAGGGGATCAACACTACTGTCTGCATAAGGCGGGGCTCGCAGGGCTAGCTTGGCGTCGGAGTTTAGAGATTGGATCTGGTCTGATGTGAGAGATTAATGGGTTTGATATAGCGGAGGCTATTCTAATTGTTCAAGGTGCCTGTACACTCCGTACGGTGTACATGATGTACATCTGGCAATAATACTCCGTATATAAGAAGCACATGTACTCCGTGTGGAATGCTAAGAAATAGGAGAAAGGACTTCTGTACTCCATATTTCTGCAGTACCTAGGTAGATAGCTTCATGCAGCCCAGGAAGAAATGCCGATACTCTCAGACGAAATGACAACCTTGGGATGCTTCTTTGGACTTCACATCTGACTCACATGCAAAATGGGAGTGACACTCTCGGCAAAACAGGCAGAAGAGGCAGAACTGCAAAACAGGCTATATTCACGTTGATTAAGTACATCTTCTCCCTTTCCGTTTTGGTGCTCAGACCTGGCCGCTTTTTGCTGAGTAGATCTGAGCACGCCCCTGTTTGTGGATCCACGCACCTGCTTTGTCAGTATGGCTTACTAATCACCATCGGATCCCCATCTGGAACATCCATGAGCCTCTCGATTAGGGCTGCGATTCCATCTTCGTTGATGACCTTATGTCTTATGAGGTTATGTCTGTTATTGGGGCCAAGCCTTTATCAGAGGTAGTATCAGGGCCATCATCGCTAGATGTTTTATAGGGCGTGAAGGCCCTAGGTCCTAGGTACCGGACTTGCTGATGTGCCGAGGAGCCCTGTCACAGAAGGTGCGACAGACCTTTCTGTTGGTTCATTTGAAGAATGAGCTATCAGGCCGGAGGTTAAGCCACGAGATACTGTGAATTGTGTAAAAGCTACTCTGTCTAAACCCATGTATAGGAGTTCAAATCTTCACCACTAGTCGGAGGTTGATGTATTGCGTAGTACCAGAGCAGGGCCCGGTTTTGGTGTGTTGATAACCATTCTGACCTTCTTACGTCGTATTGATTGTCGGTTTCCTGATCTCCATCCCATGGTCTCCTCGCCGGTATATCGCTCCCTCGACACATTGACAGAATAATCGCCAAATCTTGCTACCAGTTGGGAGGTTCAATTCCCGCACATGGTCCACCCAATAGGTCTACGCATAGAGAAGAAATGGATAACTCCTCTGGCGCTCATGCTCTGATCTTGGTGTTTTTGAGACTTCGATTATTTCGTTGGTCTGTCCTTCTACCTCAGCAGACCGTAGATGTCTTAGGTATCGACCACGAGACAGGATTTCCAAGGTTACTCGTCTCCCAGTGCTAATAAGAGGGAGGATACCGAGTTTTGAATGTTGAATAGGGGTATTGAGGCACTCTCGTACTTTTGCTGGCTGACATTTGAAATTAGTAAAATCGAGTTATGTAAGGCAGAGTTTTCCAAGACGATGATCAATATCTGCCACGTCAATTATGCCGGAAAATTGGCCATTGCTTGCCAAAAGATGCTCCCCCACACTATGGTGAACATAATGCACTGTGCTGTCTTCTTCGTCGACAAAAGCCAGCCCGCAACAGTCGCTGATGACTTGCATCATATCAGTAGGGCAGTTACCAGGTTCATGGGATTCTTGCTCAGGTTGAATGCCAAGAAGGTCTTCGTATTCGAGAAGCGTTAATGGTCGTTCTAAGAAAGCACAAAATTGCAGCATGTCGTTCACTTTCTCGACATTTGGTTTGCTCATCACACGACGAATCCTCTAATCATAAAGCTCAGCGAGACTCCGAGGCAGTTGAGTTAAGGCTTCGGAAATCTTATTATCACTTCCGTGTGCGCAGAGCTCTTCAATAAAGAGACGGGTCCACAGAATCCTGTATATAGGATAGACAATGAGCAACAGAATATAGAGCGAGAAAATTGTGAAACTTTCTAAAGCGAAATTGAAGGATTTCCAGTAATTGGCACGTTTTTGCACTTACATTCCATCCGCTCCATCCCGTAAAGCTTGTGATATTGTGGCTATGAGCCTCTCATCTCTCAGCTTCAGCTTCCCTTGTTCCAACATGCGACTCAGCATTGCTTCGATGTAGATTTTCATGTCGGGTTTGACCATTTCTTCAGTTACCGAGATCTTATATCGTGGGTTTCCCGCACTAAAAAGCCGTTCTTCGATATCGGGCCGGCTTGCGATGAAGATTTTCATGGTGCAAGTGTCGCATTGGCGAAGGCGCGTGAGACTCAGGGTAACTTGATCGCATTCTTTCTCGTCACACTCGTCTAGCCCATCGATAATGAGACAGATAACCTTGCCAGATTCTAAGCAAGATAGCAATACCTCAGTCACTTCCGTCGTGTCGAGGCCCTGGGTTCTTTCATGTAGGACTTGAAGATCATCAAACTGGTACCTCGCAATTTGACTCCCTAGTAATTGATAAGCCAAGCTTCCCATGATATTCCTTGCTGACAATGTGGCTTTGTTGTCAGTGCAACAGAAGTGGTAAGATATAATGTCATTGGCCTTGCGTGATCTATGTAGCTGAGAAACCACATTGGACGTAAGGACTGTCTTGCCGACTCCTATTGTACCTGAGCACCAAAAAATGGTATTTTCGGTGCTTCATTTCCATTGACCGAAGGTATCGCCTTGGCACAACCACTCCGACGTACCTGGAGCTCGCTCTTGAATCGCCTGTTTCCATGGTGTTAAGTGATCGGTTGAAGAGAGATTCTTCCGAATGCGGGACCGCAATCTCACGGAATCTCTTTCCAACTTAGCAATACGCCACTCATTCGCTTCGTCATAGTGTTTCTTGTTCGCCCTGTAGAAGTCGAGACAGAATCGCGCGTTCTTTTTGCTATCAAACTTCTGCAATTCGATTGCGTCCTGATTGGCTTTTTGTGAAGCAAGTTGTATCTGGCGGGCGACATTTTGCTCTGATTTTTCCAAAAGCTCAAGAAAAGACCTAAAGTCGCTATCGAAAGGACTAAAAATCGATGATATCATCTGCATGGCAGTCTTTCTTCACGAGACCTCGATGATCTTAATATACATGCGAATAATAATCGCATATAAGTCGCACAGCTCATTTTGGAGCTCTATGCATCCCGGGCAGAGACCACCGAACTTTTCATAACTTGGACAAAGCTTGCCAATCGACATAATCAGGCCAGTGACTCTTTCGAAATAAGAAGCCACTTTGTTCGCCGTTAAGATGGCCATCTTTACACTCCCCCACACCAGAGTGACGATTGTAGGATTAGAGCTGACAAAAGTATCGGCGACGCCAACGAACTGCTGCGTCTTATCCAAGAATGTGCATAATCGAGACCCCATGCATCTCATGGTCGTCTTGGATTTGCTTTCATCGATTATTGTAACAAATTCAATGATGCTCGAAGCACCCGGGGTCGTAGCATTAGCTTGGTACTGCTGTATTTCTTCATCCGTCAGGGCCTGCACAAGAGACAAGGCGGGGTCCATCCCTGGTACTCGTCTGGAATTGGCAACGAGAGCCATGAGAGACCGTAACATCTAGCAGGATGTGTATAAGAGAAATCTGAATGAATGCGAAGTGAATAGAGAAAGGGGGCAGGGAAGGAGCAGGGAAGCAAGATAGGTACATGTAAATAGAAGTACCTTCTCGTATCCCGTACCGAGTACTTGTCAGTTCTACACCTGGCAACAAAAGTACTTACCTAGCGGTGGGAACTTACCAATCGGGACAATCAAAACGGGAATTTGGACGTTTGTATGCCTGATAGCGAGTCTACATCCGGATTCGTGGTTGGCGCCAATCTATTACTGTTATTGTATAGTCGCGGGCAGCCCGGTTGAGCAACGCGTAGGCCCTGTGTGTTGTATGGGATAGGGTTAGCGCTTAAGAATCGGATCGACCCGAGCCAGAACCCTCAAATCAGGCGCAGCATGCGAGCTAAATTAGACTGAGTAAACGCCCGCTTCGACATTGTCGCTAGAGCCTGTTCCTGCTTGCTGTTTTCGATATACAGATGAAAAAAAAAGAACAAGGGTCACATTTTGTTGTTATAGCTAAGCTAACGCATGATGTTTGGCCTAGCGACTATCTTTTTTTCGAGGTCCACGACTTTGAGATCCCCTGAGCTAAGAAACCCCCAAACCATGTGCATTTCCTAGCTTCCCCGGGAATTTTCCGGCAAACTACTTTCACCTGCTCATCGAGCAGAGGGCTGAGCAAGGGTTAGCAGAAAATTCGTATTCCATGCCAAAGGGATCAGAGGTAGACCCTGCCAACCCGCAACTAGAAGATGGTGTCTAGAAATAGGAGGTGAAAGTTAAGGATCAAAAAGGCAAAATAAACATTGTGGGGCAAAGGGCTCCTTTAGGTATGGTCAAGGCGTAACGTCCAATCAGAGCCTTGGAAGCAATGAATGCTCACTAAGCGCTCACTGGACCTGGTGTATCACGTGGCGAGTATGAGGCCAGACTGAAATCTACGGAGCCCTGAACGCCCTCATAAAAGCGGCGACAGCTAAGATATATAAGGAAAACCCCCCGAGCAAGGAAATCAACCTTAGTACGTATACGGAGTAGCTGCCTAGGTCCTTGATGGCTATGGCTTCAATGTACCTTCTTCCTCAAGCTCCGGGTTGATTATTACCTATTCCAACCTCATCTCCTATTCAACTATCCCCACTACATCTAAGCTCAACAATGGATCTCCGTGACATTATAGCTACCAGCGGCTTCGCGACCTACAGCTTGCGTCATCCTCGCGAAGCACTGTCGAGTTTCGGTCCGACGCTAAATGAGGCCACCTTCGGCTTCGCGGGGAAATCGTTCCAGCCGGAGCGCGACATTCGCGACCTGGATGGCAAGGTCATCCTTGTGACAGGAGGTAACTCTCACCTTTCTCTTGACACAGGTTCCAGAGGACTGACACTGCGATTGATGTAGGCAATACCGGTATAGGCAAAGAGACCATCCTCCAGCTTGCCAAGCATAACCCGTCGCGCATTTACATGGCCGCCCGGACCGAGAGCAAAGCGCGCCTGACTATCGGGTTACTAAAAGCTGAGCTCCCCGTCCAAACCGATATCCGCTTCCTTCCTCTCGATCTCTCCTCCTTCAAATCTATCCGCGCCGCCGCTCAGCAATTCCAGCGCGATAGCGATCGCCTGGATATCCTGATTCTTAATGCAGGCACGATGGGCAACCCGCCTACCACAACGGAGGAGGGTTTCGAGATCCAGTTCGGCACAAATCACATCGGACACTTCCTGCTTGCAAAGTTGCTTCTGCCTACGCTGCAGCAGACCATTGATATGCAGCGCGCTAAGGACGAGATCCCTGATATCAGGGTCGTGACTGTTGGGTCGGCAGCTCACGCTGTTGGTCCCTCTACTTTCGAAGAGATGACATCTACCCCTGGTTTGTTGGCCGGTAGTACTTGGACTCGCTACGGCGCTTCTAAGCAGGCTAACATTCTCTTTGCGTCCGAGCTCGCCCGCCGTCACCCCGATATCTTGTCTGTGTCTGTGCATCCCGGTGCGGTGAACAGCGGGCTCTATGAACACACCAAGGACCTGAGCTCGGTCATGAAGCACGGCGTCACAGCCGTTGGTTCTCTGTTCTTCCGGGGTTGCGCTAGTGGAGCTCTCAATTCTCTTTGGGCGGCTGGCACGCAAAGGGAAAATCTTGTTAACGGCGCTTACTATACTCCCATTGGATACCACAGTGGTGGTACTGCGGTTGTTCAGAATGCGCAGTTGGCTCGGAGACTCTGGGATTGGACTGATAACCAAGTTTCCAAACCAAACATGGACAAGCATGTAAAGGCATGATATGTCTGGATTGTCCTCTAGCGATTTAGCTTGCTATCTATATTTTCGTTTATTCAATGTATATTCTTTGACATACTCGCTGCCACTCGCCTGCAAGATGCCGAGGGCATGGAGGCAAATGGCATCATGATGATTTCGATCTCGGTCATACTACCCCAGCTCTTGAATAACGTGTACTTGTACGTTGTTCAAGTAGAAACTTCCCACGAGCAGGAGGTCTAATCCCATCCTGTGGCTTGTCACTCTCACCATCATGGCCCGCATCATCGTAACTGGCGGCTCCGGCAAAGCAGGCCAATTCGTCATCTCCGAGCTCCTCAACGCCGGACACACCATCCTGAACCTAGACCTAAGTCCCATGGACCATCCTGACGTTTACACCCTGAAAACCGACCTCGCCGACAGCGGCCAAGTCTTCAACGCCCTGTCCGGCCAATGGCAACTCTGCGAGCCCTTCCCAGAAGGCCTCCCGCCACGCCCAGACGCCGTAATCCACCTCGCCGGGTACGCACGCAACATGCTCGTCCCGGACAACGAGACCTTCCGCTCCAACACCCAAGGCACCTACCACATCATCGAAGCCGCCTGCAAGCTCGGGATCCGCAAAATCGTGATCGCCAGCAGCATAACCGTGTACGGGGTATCCTTCGCTCAAGGCGATGCGAATTTCCCCTCGTTCCCAATCCACGAAGACCTCGACGTCAACCCGACCGACACGTACGCGATCGCGAAGCTCTGCAACGAGCGCATCGCGCGCGGCTTCGCGGCTCGCTTCGGGGCGGATATCTACAGCTTGCGCATTGGGCGTGTGATCGAGCCCCATGAGTACGATGGGGATATCTTCTATAGCTATGTCCATGAGCCGGCGCTGTGGAAGGTGCATGGGTGGTCGTATATCGATGCGCGGGATCTGGGTGGGATGTGTGTGGCGGCGTTGAAGACTGACGGGCTAGGGTTCCAGGTGTTCAATGCTACTAATGATCATATTACCAATTTGAGTCCTACGGCGGAGTTTTTGAAGTCGCAGTTCCCGGAGACGCCTATTACGCGGGAAATGGAGGAGTTTGAGGCGCCGTTTTCGAATGCGAAAATTAAGAAGATGCTGGGGTTTGCGGAGCAGCATCCTTGGAGGAAATATTTTAGTCAGTGGGAGAAGAAGCTGGAGCAGATTGAAAATGAGTAGCTTGTTATACCGACTGATGGTATAACCCCTCCGTAGCTAGGGAGCTGGTAGTGGAAATCAAACTGTTCCACACATTGCCGCTTTGGGGATCTGGGTTCCAAGGTCGTTCTGGGCACATCTGCCCCTTCCATAGACACAGACGTGACGAGACCATTGAAATCCCTGGGCAATTTCACCTATTTTCGAGTTCCATGTTGAAGTATAGAACGTCTCTGCCACCACCGTTTCTACTCGGCCCGATTAGGGTTTAGCCGAGCATCAATATCCCACAATCGAATCCCTGGCCCTGGGGAATGGCCAAAATCGCCATCCAGGACAAACCAGATAGAAGAGTTGAGAATGCAGTCCCAATAGAGAAAAAGCGTAGAAATCTAGACGTCGTCGAGCTGGCCCGTTCAGCAAATCGGCGCATTAGCGAAGTTTGACAAACTCCCCACACAAAACTCTTGGGGATGCATCATCATTCCGCCCACCTTCCCTCCTACCATCTTCCCCCCAACCCTTTTTTAACGGTACGCAATCAGCTCGGACTTTCAAGGAATTGGAATTCTCTTCAATAATCCCCTTGGAATTCTTGACTTATACTCGCCCTTTCCACCTTGAATTACCGGCTAATCCCGCGCCAGGCGATCACCCCTCCCGACTTCATCATGGATCAAGCAAAGTTGGCTAGAATGCAGGCGAGCGTGCGCATCGGTACGTTTTTCTCTCTTTGCGAGGATTTTTGGACTTCAGAGACGATCGGGGCAATGACGTGGAGCTACAATTCTGTGGAATTGGCCCATGGAGCTCCGGTGGTCACATCTCAAATCATCCCAATTTCCTGTCCCTATACGTGCATATAGTATCTTAGGAATGTGCGGATTTCATAGCTAACATGATTTTCCTCGACAGGGTATGTATCATGTATTTTCAACGTGTTTTCATCCCGACCTCTCGATTCTCAAGGGAAATGAATTTTCGAACTGCGATTATCCGGATTCGCACACGGCCGATAGTCAGAGACTGGATTTTTCGATACTTCGATATTTCGATATTATGCGACTGGCGCTAGATGCAATATTTCGAACCCCAAGATTGATATCGCATGGCTCAGGAAATCCAGCCTGACTCTCGGCCTTGTCCATGAAACCCTCGCACTCGAATCTTTCCCGATCCCGTCCCAAAATCACCTACCCCTCCACATCCACAAATCCACACAACTCGTTTCACGAAACCCCCCACCGTCCAAGATCCCAAACTAACAACGTCACAGTGGCAAGGGTACCCCCCGCCGCAAGGTCAAGAAGGTCGTCCGCAACTCCGGCGCCGATGACAAGAAGCTCCAGGCCGCTCTCAAGAAGCTGAACGTCCAGCCCATCCAGGGCATCGAGGAGGTCAACATGTTCAAGGAGGACGGCAACGTCATCCACTTCGCCAACCCCCGTGGTAAGTAGCAAACGCCAGTTTCATCCCGACTGCGAATATCCAAGGGAAGACAAAGAAACTAACCATCCCAGTCCACGGTGCTGTCCCCTCCAACACCTTCGCCCTCTACGGTAACGGTGAGGAGAAGGAGCTCACCGAGCTCGTCCCCAACATCCTCAACCAGCTCGGCCCCGACTCCCTCGCTTCCCTGCGCAAGCTCGCCGAGAGCTACCAGAACATGCAGAAGCAGCAGGGCGATAAGAAGGATGATGAGGAGGATGATATCCCCGAGCTCGTCGAGGGCGAGAACTTCGAGACCAAGGAATAAATACGCGAACCTAAATCGAGTTAAAAACTTTTCGTCTATGATCAATGAAATTTAAGCTCCTGTTGAGAGTTGTTTTTTGTTGATTCCTTTGCTTCTCTTTCTGCTGGTATGATTATTTCGACAGCGTGTGCTGAGTTGCAAGGCTGTTTTGTGGGGTTTTGGTGAGGCTCTTGAGCCTCTTGAGAAAGAGGGACACAGCTCGGTGGAATTCGTATATGAATACTTGTTGTGCGAGATGGAAAGTATGAATGATGCACTTGATATCGTTCTACGGTGTCTGGAATCAGTGTCTAGTCTCTCGACAAAACAATTCATTATGTCTGCATCATATGCAGCTATCGTACATATCATCCAACAATCGAAGTCCAAAAGCATTGTAGCACACAGCTATGAACTTCATGTCTTGCGCGGTGCGGATACGTTCTTGGGGCCTAGATCCTCAAGTTCCGTCACAATTTGCAGTTTTAGGTTGGTCGCACGCAGGACGTCGCAAATTTAGCGAATCACCCAGGTTGTAGGGAATAAAAAGACTCCATTTCAATGTTCTTGCTGGCCTTTATGTCGCCTCAACTATCCTCCTTCAACCCACACATATCCGTTTTTAAGAAATAATCGAAAGCATACCAGAACCTCCAGTAAAGGCCGGATTTTTCGGAATCGAATGTGCCATCTTCCCGGAGCAATGGGCCTTCGCCCACAATATCGCCGGTGAACCAGCTCAGAACGGGGATCGAGCGAAGGACGCGCTCGGTCATGGTTAGCCGTGGGGGGAGGGCCTCGAGCATGGGGCGCAGCTTGGTGCGGCGGACGGTCGGAATGTGCGTCATGAACTCGCTGTCCGGAAGGGGTTCGCCGTAGGTAGGGGCTCGGCGTTGGTGGACTGATGTGTGATCGGTATTGGACGAAGCGCCCGTTGTCCAAGTTGAGAAAGAGGAAGTTGTGTTCACAGTGCTCTGCTGGAATGAGGGTGTGGCGGTTGCAGTCATCGAAGTTGCTGTTGATGTAATAGTATCGTCGGCGGTTCCAGCGACTGTCGAGGATTCAACTGAATGCCTTTCGTCCTCTGGTACATCCGGGACGGTAGTGAGGTTGTTCATGGCGAAAGAGCGAGGCAATGTCATACGCTCCTGATCTTTGCTGGAATGGGAGAGGAACGCAGTCGAGTGTGAGGTGGTCAAGGTGCGCGGCGCTTTGTTGCGAATGCGACTGTTTGCAGAAGAGTCTGCTGGGATGGGAGTGTCTTCGGCTGGGCCATGGCCGTTGTACAACTCGCAGAAGACCATGTGTCCATCGATTTCCTGTGGCGAGTAGAAGCAGGCGCGGTCTGCGGCTTGAGTCGAATCGTAGGTGATTTTGATCCAGTGATAGCCACCAGCGTAGCGCTTGGATTTGCGGTTCGCATCGGCGGACAGATTCCGGATGACAACGTCGCCTCCGCTTAATAGCTGCGTGTATTGGCTCGCTAAATTCGGGTCGCTCCGAGGGTAGTCTTCGCAGATCATGCCCTGAGAGATGCGCTCGTATTTATCGATGACCTTCCATTCGGTGTCCTTGCTTTTGTATCCATAAAGTATGCACTCAGTGGCGACCTTCTCTGTTTGCTTTCGTGGGTTGTCAAGACTGGATGACGATGATGACTTGGGCAAGCCTTGTGTTTTCTCCTCCTCCTGCTGTTGTGAGAAAAGCCGTCCGAATTCGGCGACATTGGGATTCTCGCGCTTTGCTGGTGTTCCAGTCCGTGTTCGTGAGCGGGCATTATCATATCGAGCATTTCTTCTCTTGCCGAAGGGTCCTGATTCTTCTGGTGGTCGTCGAGGATTACGAGATTCACTGAGAGATAACTGGTCAGTAATATGAGGCGAGGCGTTGAAGATCCAAGACATACTCTTTGTAAACATAACCCCAAGGGAGGAGGTTGCCATCTTCATCTCTGGCGCGCTCCTCTGGTGGGACGGAGTGATATTCCATGACGGCAGATGGGATGCCGTCAAGGTATTAGGTAAATGTGAAGTCGAGAGATGTGAGAAATTGAGAGCGATAACAGTCTTCAAAGACAGAGATTTTGGGGTGGTGAATGCACAAAGGATAAGTTTGTCAAGCCATCAGGTATCGAGGAACCAAAACTTTTGGTAAACACTGGTTCGCCGGGATACGGTCACGTGGGTCCATATCTTAAAACCCCATCTCGTCTGTTTCTTCTCGTGCATTTCATCGGACATTCACTTGAGTAAATAAGAAAAATATAGTTATGTTAATCAGTCAAGGTCCTACTTGTGTTTTCATTCTAGTTTGAGAACTGGGGGTTCAATATCTTCATCGATGGGTATCAAGACTATCTTCGATCACGAAATATATATCAGTTTCATCCATCAGTTGCTGCACCACGGTCAATCTTGATGTAGAAATGAGATATGCCCCGTATGCCCTTCCAATCCACACTGTTCTGCAAAGTCACCCAATTCCTCCCTTCGTTGACGAACATATTCGACAAACCGACTGAGAGGACAAGAACCTCCGGGACCTGACTTGCAAAATGGCAATGTTATGATCCGATCATTGATATTGATCCGCAAATGCGGCTCATCGTATTTTAGACAAGACAGCCGCTCGAGCGTGATCCTTGCGCCCATAGGCAGAACATGCGACATCTGCCAGTCTCGATTTGCTGCAATGTGGGTCACGGGAAGATGCCCCTTGTCTCCGGCAAAGACGCCCAATGCTGTGAGAAATGGAGCTATGTCTCCATCATGCACACTGGATATCCAATTAGCAACGACCTTCTTCGCATGGGAGGAGTATCCAGATAATATGTTTTGCTTACAAACTGAAAAACATGCTTCCAGCCTTTGGCCCATCACGAAGCAGTGCTGTCGTTGCATTCAACCAGAGCCATCCCATTGCACCAGCGTATGGATTGCCCGGCCCTGCACGATAATATAGGCGTAAATCACGGGCGTACTCGAAGTTATACCAGTCTTGTTCAGTAAAGACTTCACACCATGGACTAGTTCCTCGAACCATTGTCTCGAACCCGCACATCTCCTGCATGCTGTAAACTTCCTTGTTGGAGAGTCCAAGTAGACCGAAGTTGTTCTCATGGATCAGTCGTTTTGCAATTGCAGGAATATAGGTCTTCTGGAAACGCGCGAGCATCTCTAACCCATTGTCATGACCATGAACAGTGTCATTAAGATACTTCAAACATGTATCGCCTGGTGTCAAAGTATCCGCGCCGCGTTCAAAAGATTCGGGGATAATCTGCAACTGGGCTTTTCCGGTTTTCTCCCAGTCTAGGCCAAAGAATCCCGAGGCAAAATGACGAGCTGTATCAATCACACGTTCTGAGTCACTTGCCCATAGGCGTGTCTGAGTACCTTGGGGAATGAGATATCCATAGCGTGTTCTGAATCTGATACCGGTCGTGAATGCATTCAGCGTGCCAGAATAAGGGCCTGTGTTGGTCAATTGCCCGAAGTCTCGGTCAGGATTGTTGGTGATATAGCTCCAATCATTTAAAAATGCAAGTGAGCCATTGAGTGGTAAGCCTGTGTCGTGAACCCTCTTTAAAAACTGGAGATGCCCTGTTATTGGAAACATCATTAGACTAAGATCAGATGAGTTTGGTGGATTAACGTACTCCCTCCAGCTGAAGATGTGGGATATCGTTCCCCATGGCGCGATAGCTAGGTTGTAGATAAAATTAGCGATATAAGGGTACTGAGATATAATACAACATACCAGATGCACCTGATCAACTGAGCATCCCGTTGGGGGTGCTAGATTTGAAGCTGGTTCTCCACCGATGTTCTCAATCCAGGGACCAATACCTCCGAGATGATTAAGAATATTCCATTCTTTTACCAACGTCTGCTTTGGAACATTTGATCTGGACTGATCTGGATGGAACCATGTTCTCCAGGTCCCAACATGAGGAGTTGCCGATTGTACTTCGGGGAACAGTGCGATGGTTTGGGCCGGAACCGCGAAAACAGCCCGATAACTGATGAGACCGAAGGCAACAACCAACAGGAGTATCGGCACCTTCAATAAAGATCGACTAGAAAGCATATTTCGCAAATCATCTCAAACAGTTTCAAGGAAAGTTGATCGCTCGATGACGTTTGGCCGGTTCTAAACTTGGAAGGTTGGGTTGTGGAGATGTCCATTCTGCCCCCTGGCCCCGGGCTGCAAGCCCCCCGGGGATCCCTGTCTAAGTCTTAGGCATTGCACAAGGCATCGAGATCGAGACACGGAGACACGGAGTCAAAGATCCAAGGACAGACTTGAATCATCTTGGATGTTCCTAGTGGATGATTGCCTATCTGCCAGTTCCGCCTAAATAGCTTTCCAAGGCAGTTAATAAAGAGTCGCAAAGACTGTTAGAGAGACAGCCCAAGGACATTGGAAGAGTACAATATCATCGTGTCGAAAACAAATATAATGCGATGAGCTCCTTCAATGACTCGATGTGTTTTCATACAAGGAGCGACTCTCACTCATGTAGACTGGTGCAGCTCATACACAACGTTCATTATATGTGACCAACCTACTCCGTACTATCTGTTGAATTATGTCTCTTATACACCCAACAATCGGCGACCAATTCCCTTGTAAGCCTCACCAAGAAAGGCTATAAATATACTTAGAAGGAAGAATGAAGAAGCACTGCTATGCAATTTCGAGCAAGAGTTGCCAAATAGATATACATTCTTGCAGGGTGATAATTACAAGCTTCACATCGCCCGTGGATTCGTGAGCCACCACTTTGTATCTGCCCTTTGACTTTCGAGATGACTCCGCGACCCCGAATTCGACCACAACGGTCAACCTTGAATTGGCGGGCCCAGTCCAGGATCGACATCAACTGGTATTTGTTGTCCATGTTGCCCTTAGGAGTCAAGGGACACAAGTGTAATCAGATGGGCCAACTCCGACACGAGACCGAAACAAGGACGATAGATTGCGTAGAGAGTCGAGACCCAGGACTCGTCGGCCTGCTTTTCACAAGACATACCTCGGATGTTGTTAGACCCTACCGGCCTGATCGACTCATCTAGTCTTACCACACTCCGCATTTCAGCAACAAGGCTACGGGGATCTGCCTTATGGGCACCGGTCAAGAGCTTTGTAATCCTCGAGTGAGGGCCGTGATTGACTATCTGCCGGGTATTTGTCCCCGGAATCACCGTCAGATATAAATGTGTATACACAACAGATGAACTGACATTTTGAAGGAAACTTGAAGGAAACTTGATGAGAAACGGGAATGGAAGTGAGACTATGAGACCTTACATCTCACCTGTATCATATGTGAAAACTCCATTGATGTTGAGACAGTGGTGTCAACTGACGTGGTATTCAGTATATTAGGGGTCCAATCAAGGGAGTTGAAATCTCTGTCTTTCTGTATCCACTATTCTAGCAGGAAATATGACTATCTGACTAATATCAAAAATACTGCGTAGACAGGATAAACTAAACTTCCGGTATGCCGATCTCATGCTCCGACACACCCCCTCAGCTAGGCTAGTATAGTCTAGCTGCTTCCTGCACCCAAGTCGGTATGCTATTTCTCTCCCTTTATTGATCAAATGACCTATACTGTCAAATAGCTCCTGCTATTAGATAGCTTATATCTGTCATCCTCAACATTTTGAGGAAAGCTTTATGCTTTTGCCTAGTGAGCAACTTTGTGAGTCCGTCTATAGCTATACTAGCTGTCGGCACCCATTTCACCTTGATTCTTCCTTCCCTAACTTCCTATCTGAGCTAGTGCCGATAAATATTAATATGTCGCAATTTCGTCTCGAACGCCGTGTCCTCGCTAGTTAGAAGACTAATAGTGCGCTAATTATCGCAATTAATACTTAGTTGATAGGAAGGGACAAAACCGAGGGTATTAAGAAGTCTACGCTACTATTATAGCTATTTTGTAGTCTCTGAGAGACCGAGGAGCTTAGCTTTAGTGGTAGAGGTGGTGACTATAGGCTACTTACTAGCCTTCTAGTCGACTAGCCCGCCGTATACCTAGTAGATATAGCTAGCGGAGCTCTTTCTATCGGGATAATCCCTATATAAGGTATCACTAATAAATTGTATAGAGTCTATTCTAGAATCTATACTATATTTAATAGCGAGATAGCGGGTAGAATTAAGGTAGGTAATAACTCTATTAGCTACTTAATAGTACTAGGGGCCTAGGTTTATTAAATATTATACTAGACGAGTAGTCGATTTTATAGTATCTAGTCTTATAATCGTAGTAGTATATCTAGTAGATCCTACCTTCTTTTAGTATAATAGGATCTCTTAGGCTATAGCTATATCCTAATATAGAGTTAGCTCTTCGATAGGTATTAGGGTATATACCGCTAGTCTATCTATAAGATTATATCGTGTAGCGATACTTACTATATAGCTATCTTAATAAAGCTATAGCTTCTTTTACTACCTATCTCTAATAATATAGATATTAAGAAACTATACTACCTCTCCGTAATCGGTTAGTTCCTAGTATACTTCTAGATCTCGTTCTAGCTATATAGCCCTTTCTCGCGCCTCCCTACTATTATAGTAGGTAATTAGGATATTATTAATATAGAAAAAGACTATTAGTCTATTTCCGATAAAGATATAGGGGTCTTCTAGGGCTTATTATAGTCCTAGCTTACGAAATACACTAGCTACTTCCTATTACTAAAATCTAAGTAAGATCCGTAGACTATATAGTACGCGGCGGAGTTTCTAGTATTTTCCGGGTAGTCTAAACCTATTAGGTATCTAGGTATAGACCTCTTTTTCTAGCGTACTATTTAAAAAGGTAGTAATAGTATCCCGCTATCTTAGGTCGAGATTAAATATAGTAATAAGGGCGAAGATTATCCTTATAGTCCTTACTACTAATATAGTAGCTCTCTTTTCTTCGTACGAAATAGTCTCTAGATCTCCCCGTACGTATATACGAGCTTTGAATTTAACTAGATAACTATCCTAATCGCATTTATAGGTAAATACCTATATAAGAGGTAGTATTTACTTACCTCTATCCTTTAGTCTCTCTATAATCTTATAGGTTTCCTTTTCTATTAGAGAGTTAATCTCCTTCCTTATTACTACGAGAAAGCCTTCCTAAAATGGATAGTTTATAATATCTTTATAGTGTTTTAGGACTAGGGGGAGATTATCTTAATAACGTCTAATTTTAGGTTTCTTAGTATATAGTCCTATAGCGAAAGTATATAGTAGTATAGGAGGGTCTTCCTCTTCGTCTATAGCTCCTATAGTTATTATATAGATATAGTCTTTATCTTACCTAGCTTAACGCCTTCGCTTTCTACTAATAATATTATTAGTGTCGATATCTCCTATAATTTATCTACTTAGGGCGAGAAGTTCCGCCTATAGTTATCTTTCTAGCTTATCTTCTATAGTAGGAATAGCTTTATTATCCTAAACCTAGTCGCTAACTAGATCCTCTAGATCCTCCGGTATATCTACCCCCTAACTAGGGGTAGTATAGGGTTCTTACGGCGGTATAATAGGGAGCGGAGGAAAGGGTTTATCCGGAAATATACCTAGCGGAGCTCGGGGCTTATAGATCTTAGGTATTTGCTATATAATCGTAGTTTTTAGGGAGGGTAGGACTACTTACTAGTCTACCCCCTAAAGTAGGGTAGTATCTCGCTAACTAACTTTACTAGCTATCTCCCTCTACGGAGAGTTCTACTATATATTCTACTAGTTTTCTTACTAAGATCCTTACTAAGATCCTTACTAAGATCCTTACTAATTATAGTACTAAGTTTCTTATAGATTATTAGACTAAGCTTCCTATAGATCTTAATAATCTCTCTCTTCTATTTCGCTAGTCTCTTAACTAGCTATTACGCGATTAAGTACCTAGGTGAACTCTTCTATAGTAATTTCCTAAGGTTCTTACTATATTAGTATTAGAATAAGCTAATATCTATTATAATTAGGGGTATATTTACGAGTTTTATTAAATACTATATCCCTAATAGGCTTCACTTTCCTATTATATAGAAACTAGATTTTCTAGATATTAGATACTATATAGCTAACTAAGAATCCGATCTTAGCTCGTAGGTTTATTTTATTAGACTAGATCTATTTATCGATCCTATAGTATACTAAACTTCTATATAGTTTGATATTTAATAGGTTAATCCTCGGCGCCTACGGTACGAACTCCTTCCGCACCTCCTCCTATAGTATAACCTAGCGGTTTTCGGTAGTGATATATATCGGTATACGATTTAGTAACTATACCGTAGCGTTAGCGGCCTCTAGCTATAGATCTTTTAGGAGTTTTCCTTTAAGTACGAGTATACGTATACGGGTAATAATTATACTACTAGATCTTTCGGTATAACTATTTATTTCGGAATACCTTAGGGGGTTATAATATATAAGGATACTATTAGAAGTAATGCTATATTCCGTAGGTTTTCTAGTTAAGGACTTATTATCGTATTAGAAGGCTTTAATTAGTAGATCCTATTAGTTTCTTACTAGTTCTATAAAGCGATTAATCGCTAGCTAACACTTAGGCTTTATTTTATAAATTATTAGCTAATAAAACCTAGGACCTTCTAGGTAAAAATAAGAGATCTAGCGGTACTTATTCTCTACTAGCGGTAGCTAAATAAAATTAAAGTATACTCTTCTAAATCGTCCGAAAGTACGTTTAATAGCTCGTCTTAATATCTATCTTAGTGTACGACCTAGCTAGTAAGTCTAGTATAATACTTACGTTTCCGTAGTCTCCTTTCCTATAGACTCTTTTCCGATAGACTCTTTTCCTTTATTATTAAAACTAACTCTATCTACTATAGTAGCGAGTTTTACTATACTTCGTTAATTAATATAGGCTAGTCTCCGGTGCTAGATATCTAATAAGGCCTTTAATTACTAAGGTTTCACTAACTTTCTCTCTATAAAATAGGCTTACTAAGGCTATATAAGTTCTCTAGGTTAATTAAAGATCTAGAGGTTAAACTAGTCCTAAAGGTTTATATAGATGACTAGTCTATTATTAGGGTCTCTAATATAGTTTATACGCTAGCACTATATCCCGCCTTTCTTTTTTAGTATAGAATAGGATACTAGATTTATATAGAAACTAGGGGAATAGAGGGTATTACTAAGTATAATCTTTATTTTACCTTTTACTAGATATCTACTTACTAGTCTAACCTTCCCCTTTCCTAGTACCTAGGTAGTGCTATCTCCCGTCGTAAGATCCGAAATCTAGGGTATAAAGTCGATAAAAAGATCTCTATTATTATAGATATAGGTACTAGATCCTATATTAAGGATCTATCTATCTTTTAAGATAGGTTCTTTATTTTTAGTAAGGGAGAGGGCGTATTCGTAGTTTTATACTAGCCCCCCTTACTATATAGTGTAGGGCTTAAGGGTAGTAGCGAAGCTTACTTAATTTATAAACTCTTCCTTCTAAGGTTACTAATTTTACTAAGTTTACTAAGTTTACTATACCTTTTCTACCTTCTTTTCTACCTATTTCTTCTAAGTAGACTCTTTAGCGAGTTTTTACTTAATCTTTTCTAGCTTTCTTAGGTTAATATAGGTCCCTTCGGGGCGGTTTTCTTTATTAAGATACTAGTATATTACTATTTTATATAAATAGTAGGGGTTCCTATATAGGCACCTCCTCTTTTTAAATAGGATCGGCTCCTTAGTTTAGGACTTTAATTCTTAGTGCCCCTACTAGGTTAAGAATACCCCTTTTAGAGGTATAGTAGATAATACCTTTTATACCCCTATTTCTCGATTTATTATACGGAACGACTTAAGGAGATTATAGGTTTAATAGACTTTCTTATCTATAATAATCTCTTAATATCTTCCTTACTACTAAATAGGTAAGACCTCTTTAATAGTATATAGGAAGTCCCTATTTACGTCTCCGTTATTAATACTAAGGCTAATAGCTTACTCCCTTAGGGTATTCTATTATTTAAGCTATTATTCGATATCTCTAGTCGGCTTTTAGATAGCGAAGACCTTCTACTTTATTTAGACTTCCTCCTCGTGTATAGTCGATCTCGCGAAGCGATCTCTTAGGTATACTAGTCTCTTATATAGGGTCTAATAGTCGGTGATAGCGGTATAGTAGATTAGGTCTAGGAAGGTATAAATATAGTTATTTATATTAGAAAGCCCTTTTATCTCCCTATCCTATTTCGATTAGTCTACTTTAAAGATATCTATTTTATCTCTCTAGTCTCTTTTATCCGATTCGGTCCCTCCGTAGGGGTATTCCGGCCTAATAGGCTCTTCTTTCCTAACTAGTCTCTCTATTAGGGGGGTATCTAGGTTATAGTGCTTCCAGACTTATTTTTATATTATATATAGCTTCACCCGGGCGAACTAGGTGCGCCATTAGGGCGAATCCTTCAGTTTTTCGCCCTTTATAGCGGAGAGAATTGTTAATGCTTCCATTGTTAGGGTTAGGTGCTATATAGCCTCAGCGGGCTACTGTGCAGCTTTAGAGGTTTTTAGGTGCTAATAGGCGCTATATCTTATGAATAGCGGCCTTATTTCGTGCGAACCGGGCTCATAACTATTAACTGACGTGGTATTCAGTATATTAGGGGTCCAATCAAGGGAGTTGAAATCTCTGTCTTTCTGTATCCACTATTCTAGTAGGAAATATGACTATCTGACTAATATCAAAAATACTGCGTAGACAGGATAAACTAAACTTCCGGTATGCCGATCTCATGCTCCGACAAGTGGTTGGTGCCTTGGTGCCTCGGGCATCAACATCGTCGCCTAAATAGTCGGGAGTTCCGTGTCCCTTGCCAATACAACTATCTCCCTCCTCACTAAGTCCCACTTCGTAGACCGCAACAATTGAGATCTGCCAATCTAAGTCCTCGAGTTAGAGATATATGGGCTGGGGATCAAATTGGAAGCGCAGTCAATTTTCCCAAAAAAAAGACGAGAACATTCCGTTGATCCAAAAATGGGTCATAGGAAAACCAATTTCGGAGCACACCCGCCGTATTACAGAGGATGATATGGCCCATTAAGACCATCATTCTATATGGGGAGGGTTGAATGATACCGCGCAGACGACAGCCATAAGACCTCATGCGTATTGTATTTACATTCAAGTCCCACACTTACGAACAGAGTTCCGAACCCCCGATCGCCGCACCAAACAGGCTGTCGCATCAGCAGGCCATTCAGAGACTGAGGCATTCGAAATATTTCAGCTTGCAAATTGGGCCGCACCGACACTCCGCGCTTTGTGCCAGGATAAAGAAAGTGCCGCAGGTATCATGCCGGAAGTTATATCGATTACCTTGTGTGGGATAAAGTGTTCGGGGAGAGTTTGAACTTCGAAGCATATCGGAGGCTCTCAGAAAGATGAACTGTCAGAGAGCCAAGCTATTTCGCTGAAACCAGTGCGCTAGAATCTGCTAATTGCAGCGTGGCCAAGAAGGAAAGAAATTGATCAATTAGCTTAGGGATCATACGAGTGTTTGCAGCCGCATTACTTGAAAGGTCTTTTTTATATTCTAAATCATATCTATCGTGATCACATTGCTGCCTCAGCAGCGACACTGAATGCATGGACGCTGCCTCGCGGTTGGAAACTTGGAGAGCTCTGAGATCCATCATTGTCACCCTCCACCGATTCGTCAGATGCATTACCCCAGCCACCACCTCCAGGTCTAAGACAAAGACTTATTAGCATGTATTTTCAGTTGAACAGGGCGTCGCGTATATCACTCACGTATGAATCAGAATCCGTTCTCCGGGTTGAACTTCAAGTTCCATCTTGCCGCCAATATTGATCATTCTCTCTGTTCCATCCAGCTCCTTCTTGAGGTAGAGATTCAAGCCGGCTTGTCCAGATTCACCTCCTGCCATGCCATATGGATGATATACGCGCCGTTCACTGAGCATAGAGACCGAGAGGGGCATACGGAACTCCAACTCACGGATAACACCGTCTCCGCCGCGGAAGCGGCCAAGACCGCCAGATCCCTCCCGGATTGCAAATCTGCGTAGGATGACCGGGTACCGCAGCTCGTATACCTCTGCATCTGTGATGCGTGTGTTTGTCATGTGGACATGTACACCAGAAGTACCGTTCCAAGTCGGCCCTGCGCCTGAGCCACCGCAGATCGTTTCACCAACACCAAAGCCGGGAACTTCAATACCGGTCTTAGGATCAACACCTCCCATGCCGAATGAGATAATGTTGCAACAGCCATGAGAGGCAGCACAGGCCTTGAATGCACCTAGTACGACATCCGTGATACGCTGTGAGGTTATAGGGTTGCCCGCGCAGACGGCAGCATGACCGGATGGATTGAGCAGTGTTCCCGAAGGAATAATCACATTGACCGGGGCAAGGCAGCCCTGATTGAGGGGAATGTCAACATCAATCAGCGCGCGCAAGCTGTAAATGATGGCTGAGTGAGCGATGGCTTTTGGTGCATTCAGGCAATTGAATGTTTCCCGACCAGTGCCTGTAAAGTCGAAGTCGGCAGAACCAGTCTCGGAATCGATGCGGATCTCAAGTCTAATTTCCGTGCCATCGTCCATGAAGTCGGAGAATCGAAGAGGAATGCCCTGGTTTTTGCGGCCGATAGATTTGAGCAGTTCGCGGACGGCGACCTCTGCGTTGCGCTTGATTGCGTCCATGTAGAAGTGTACAACTTCCAAAGTGTTCTCGACAACCAGTGCTTCCAAGAGCTGGGCGCCCTTGTGGTTTGCTGCAATGGCAGCCTTCAAATCCGACACATTATCATTATATGTCCGTGTGCCGCTGCAGCCGGGATATGAAGCTGGCTCATCATATAGGAACTTTCGGACTATGTCCTCGTCGAAGCGACCTTGTGATACTACCTTGAAGCCCATTGTCATTGCACCTTCTTCGTAGAGCATCTTGCTATCTGAGGGCATGGAACCGGGTGCGATACCGCCAATCTCAGCTGATTTCTGTTAGACTGCCCCTACGAATGATCGACAAATAGTAGAAGGAGAGGTCTTGAGCTTACCGTGGTGGCCGCGAGAGGCGACGTAGAAGACAATATTTTCGCCTTCTTTATCCCAGACTGGAGTGACAATGGTGATATCGGGGAGATGGGTTCCTCCGGCAAGAGGATGGTTTGTAAGAATATGATCTCCCGGATTTAGATTTCCACCAAATTGCTCATGCTGATACCGTACAGCATACTCCATACCTGAAAAAGGCGTTAGCACAGTTTATTTCTCGCCAATAAAGCTTATTCCAGAGCGGCTTCAACTCACTTCCCAGATGAACCGGTACATTCGGCGCATTTGCAACTAGTTTGCCGTCGGGCGAAAACACAGCACAGGAAAAGTCCAGTCGCTCTTTGATATTTGTAGACACAGATGTCTTTTGGAACATCCGGCTCATTTGATCAGCAACAGACATGAAGCGGTGACCAAAGATTGATAATTTGATAGGATCCACAACTGTCGCCTCAGCAGTCTGCTTTTTTGAAGATTGGACATCCAAAATTACATGTCTGGACAAGATTGTGGCACTGGCATTTGGCTCGACGACAATAGTTTGAGTCTTGTCGATAATCATTGCGGGGCCCTGAAGAACGTATCCAGGCTTCATATTATCCAAGAAGAATACTGGAGTAGTAACTTCACCGACCGCGGCAAAGTACACAGAACATGAATCGTCTTGCTTCTCTGCGCCCACAGATGTCCGAGCGATCGATTTGAGCTCTTGCTGAGGAGCCTCTGGTGCAATAGAAGTTGACTTTCCAACACCTCGGACGCGGATATCCTCTACGAGAATGTTGCGACCAGGGAATGTGAAGGAGAACTCGCGCTCGTGCTCTTTGATGAACTCAGTCACAAAGTCTCCATGTTCAGGCTCAAGCACCATCAACAAATTGTCAGTGCCCTGATATCGCAGATTGAGGTAGACTTCATGCTGAATCTGACTTTCATCAATTCCGTCGGTCGTCAATGCAGTAGTGACCTTGTTTTTCAATACAGAGATGCGTTCAGCGACACTTTTCATCGCTATTTGGTCCAGCACGCCAGATGCCGGCTCTTGAGATTCATGAACGACATCTGCAAGAGCCATGCCATAGGCAGAAAGAATTGAAGAGAACTGATGAATGATCACAGTACCAATGGATAGCGATGAGGCAATGGCACAAGCATGCTGTCCACCGGCACCACCAAAGCAGGCCAAGTTATGGGCCGAGGTATCATATCCACGAGCCTCTGTTAAGGCGCGAATAGGCTTTGCCATGGACTCATTGGCCACCTGAATGAAGCCCAGTGCAATCTCTTCCGGGGACTTGCTTTGTCCGGTCTCGGCGTTGATCTGAGCCGCGAGCTCAGTGAACTTCTGCCGGGTAATGTCAACATCCAAGGGTTCATTCTCATTAGGGCCGAAGATTTTAGGGAAATATGCTGGAAGCAGGCGACCAAGGAAAAGATTGGCATCGGTCACCGTCAGAGGACCTCCCTTCCGGTAACACGCGGGCCCTGGATGAGCACTTGCAGACTCGGGTCCAACGGCAAACAGCCCATGGCGCCAGAAGAGAATACTTCCACCCCCGGCGGCAACAGTATTGATATCTAATTGCGGTGCCATCACGGTCACACCAGAAATGTTGTTCTCGAAGGTGTGCTCCAACTTGCCGTCGTATCTCGAAACATCTGTACTAGTACCGCCCATATCAAATCTGAATGGTCAGTGGCAATCCATATATAGAGTAAAGATTTAATGCGGGCCTACCCAATGACAGGTTTTCTATCTGTCTCATCAAAAGATGTACCAGCATAGCCCACAACACCGCCTGCAGGGCCAGACAAAATTGCACGAAGGCCAGTGAATCTGTGAGAATTAGCAAGGTTTATCTGTATTGTGGGCGGTTATCAACATACTTTTCGAAATTGGCAAGACCACCATCACTTTGCATGAATTCGCAGCGTGTATCGGCAGATCTGAGTCCATCTTTGAAACCAGAACGGAAGCCTTGAATATAGCGCTGGATGACAGGAGTCAGGTATGCATCTGCAGTAGCCGAAGCACCGCGGGACGTCATCTTGATCATAGGCAGCAGCTGACTGGAAAGGGAGATCTGGCTGAACCCAATATCCTTTGCAATCCTTTCAATTGCAAGCTCATGATCTTGGAATGTATATGAGTGAATCAGACAGACTGCAACAGAGCGATAGCCTTTGTCGTACAGTTGCTGAAGACTCTGTCTTGTGCTTGTCTCGTCGAGTGGTTCCAAGACACGTACCACCTCTCCACTGATACCCCTTTTCAAACAGGCATCAGACTGCAAAGCTCCCTGTAGAGCTTCTTTATTTGGGGTGGGATTCTGCTGATAGTCCTCAATTGTGACGCGTTCATCAATTTCAACAACGTCCTCGTACAAGACATCAGGACGTTGGATGTTCAGCGCAAACAGTTTTGGTCGAGACTGGGTTCCAATGCGCAAAGCATCTTTGAACCCCTTCGTGATCAACAGCGCGTGAAGTTCTCCTTTACGTTCGAGCAAGGCGTTGGTAGCGACCGTTGTGCCCATGCGGATGCTCACATTCGAGAAGTCGGCCGTAGTGAGCTTTTGGTCCCGAGGGAACGTCTTGCCTGTGGCTTGCTCCAGAATTCGTCGAATACCCTCAATTGGAGCATCGGCGTAGTTGGCTGGATCCTGCGAGAGCAATTTGACGACGATCTCCTCATCGTGACCATCCACAATTCCTAGACAGTCGGTGAAAGTACCACCGCGATCTGCAAGGGTGTTAGCTGCTTGCTTTATGATGAGATATAACTAAGCAGATTTTTCCCATGCATGTCAATTGGATCAATGTAACTCACCGATGGCAATCTTGATGCTTGGAGCATCTAGTTTGTGAGGAGACATAATGTGCGATGTGTTTAGAACTTGCTCGACATCCCAAGGGCCAAGGCTGCCTTTTATGAACAACCATCGAAGCCAACTAGCAGGTCGAAGCGAAGTAAATCGTCTAAAAGCGCCACAATCTCCTCTGTTCGACTTGGTGGATGCCGAGACAAAGCGGGGAGACAGAAACGCGGAGAAGGGCCGCTTATCAGTTCGCTCCGACCTTCCTTCAGCACGCAAACCCTAATTCCGGCCTCTTTTGGAGATAACCCCCTGGGCAATTATCTTCTACACTGATTGGCTTTGAGTAGGACTATAAAACGATCTCAAATGATGATCCACCTGCATTCCAGTGTGCACATGTCCCCTTCCATCCCATAACACACAAAATTCCTTACACTATGACGGTCGACAACAAGGACTCTACCGTTCCTGAATTTCAAATTGCATTCGACCAAGAAAAGTCCCAGACATGCGACATCATTGAAGCTCAACTCCAAAATGGCGAAGATGTTGCAGCTCAGTTCCTCGCTCGGCTCGATCCAGCTATCGCAGCTGAACCTGTCACCGAGGCGGAAGCGCGCCGTGTACTATGGAAAATTGACATAATCCTCATTCCAATAATTATGGCGACGGTCGTGTTGGCCGCGATTGACAAGGTCATCATTTCAAACGCGGCCATCTATGGTATGAAAACCGACACGCATTTGACTGGAGATCAGTACTCTTGGGTCGGCTCCATTTTCTACTTCGGATACCTCGCCTTCGAGTATCCAGCAGCACTGCTCATTCAGCGGCTTCCCGTTGCCAAACTCTTCTCGGCGATGGTGTTTGGGTGGGCTGTTCTGCTACTGTGCACCGCGGCGACGCAGAACTTTGCGGGATTGGCCACAGTGCGCTTCCTGATGGGCATGACAGAAGCCGCCGTTTTCCCAATTGCGAGTATTCTCACTGTCATGTGGTGGAAGACCAGTGAGCAGCCTATCCGTGTCGCGTTTTGGTTTAACCAGCTCTCCTCCGTCTTCTCGGGAGTGATCAGCTACGGTATCGGCCAGACACACACGGCACTATCACCCTGGAGACTGCTTTTCATCGTACTGGGCGTTTTTTCCTTCATCTGGGCTATTGTGTTGTATATATTTTTGCCGGACTCACCCGTGCAATGCTGGTATTTCTCGGATCGCGAGAAATTCGTCTGTCTGGAGCGCGTCAAGGACAACAATACCGGCATGGAAGACAAAACCATCAAGTGGTACCAAGTACGAGAATGCTTGGTCGACCCGAAGACCTGGCTTCTGGCGCTGTTTTCACTAGCCCAGAATATCCCAAATGGCGGCCTGGTCACCTTTTCCGCTATTATTGTGACAGGTATGGGGTATTCCCCGTTGATCACTACCGTGCTGGGTATCCCCACTGGCGTACTCGCAACGGTGTGGCAGATTTTGCTAGGCTTCCTCGCTGCTCGCGTGCCAAACTCCCGTTGCAACATCATTGCCATGGCCAACATTCTCCCGATGATCTGCGCGATCTTGATGTGGAAATTGCCACGCGATGACAAGCAAGGTCTGCTAGCAGCATACTATGTCTTCTACACTTACTGGGCGCCCTATGTGCTGTCAACTTCTCTACCCATGGCCAACACCAGTGGCCACAGCAAAAAGTTGACCATGAACGCCATCTTTTTCTTGGCGTATTGCATTGGCAACATTATTGGTCCACAATGTTTCCGATCCGATGATGCGCCATCGTATTCACGGGGATATGAGGGCCTTCTGGGTTGCCTAGTCGTGGCTATAGCTTCCATTTTGGCCTATGGGGTTCTTTGTCGGTGGGAAAACAGCCGTCGCGATAAGGAAGGCCAGCTGAATGTGGAGCCAACGGAAGCTGGTGCATTTTCTGATTTGACGGATCAAGAGAAACGGTCATTTAGATACACTTATTAGCCTCCATTTTACATAGTATATGGAGACTGGATTTTGTGTTGATCAAGATACACGAATCTAAATAACTGGTGGCGAATGAGAAAAGCGTTCAATTAAATATTACAGTATGTTATCCATTTTAGCCACAATCCAACCCTAGTTTAGTCTCTAATCCATAGACACAAGAAAAACAAGGGCCTGGGCACTATCTGGTTGGGGAAACGGTGGAGGACGTTGGGATAAAAGGTGAAGGTCGAAGCGAGCGCCACTATTTTGGAGTTACGCATCGGAGCATTTCCGACTCCTACAAGCTGTCAGATCTTTATCAGAAGGTCAGAACGAAGCTAGCGCTTTCTCCCCCGCACACTTGACAGTCTTTCTCCACCGTGCATCAGCTTGTGCGCGAGGAAGCTGGGAACGAGATAAGATGGTCTGACGAAAAGGAGGTCGGATTAAACCGCCCGAATAAATATGGCAGCCCAGCCCTCAGAGTTTGGAATAGCGGCCAGAGCAATTACGAAAGCAAGTCAGCTCCCACGATGGACAAACAAACCCGAATTCTGATCGTGGGTGCTGGTTCCTTCGGGACTTCAACCGCATACCATCTTTCGCAGCGCGGTTATACTTCCATTCGCGTGCTGGATCCATACGCACCTCCCTCCTGCGAAGCAGCCTCCACCGATATCAGCAAAATCATTCGCAGCGACTATAATGAGCCATTGTACGCACGTATGGGGATTGAATCCATTGATGCGTGGCGGTCTTGGCCGCTGTTTCGGGGGCTCTACCATGTCCCCGGGTGGATCCTGAGTGCCGCGAATCTCTCCCGTCCCTTTGTCGAGGGCTCGATTGAGACATGCAAACGACTTGGAGTAAAGGGTCTTGAGAAGCTCACCCCAGACGAGATTCGTCGTCGCTTTTCTGTTGTCACGGGGAAGTTGGATGGATGGAACATTAATGTATGGAATCCCACGGCTGGATGGGCAGCTGCTGGTACAGCTATCGAGCGAATGGCCCATGCCGCTCAGCAAAATGGGGTGAGATATATCTCCGGGGAGACACGGGGGCGGGTACAAGAGTTGATTATGGACGATCTCACGGGCGAATGTAAAGGAGTCATCACGGCAGATGGCACAAGACACGAGGCCGATATGGTCATTTTGGCTGCAGGAGCATGGACTCCTTCATTGTTAGATGTGAAGGGCCAATTGACTGCGAAGGGTCACAGTGTCGCTCACATCCAGCTCACGCCTTCCGAGACCCAACACTACGCTACTATGCCCATCATGGACAACCTTGAGCTCGGATATTTCTTCCCTCCCCAAGAAGATGGAATTTTCAAGATGGCTCATAGTCAATTCATCACCAACATCCAAACCACAAAGTCCGGTATCACCACTTCAGTCCCACACACCTTCGTCCAGGCACCTGGAGACGGTCTCCCTCTCGAGGTTGAGGCTCAGATGCGCCGGAACTTGCGGCGCGTGCTGCCCGAGCTTGCAGATCGACCCTTTTGCTACACTCGACTTTGCTGGGATGCTGATACAGCCGATCGTCATTTCCTTGTCTCACCTCATCCCGAGTACAAACGTCTGTTCCTCGCAACTGGCGGCTCGGCACATGGGTTCAAGTTCCTTCCGGTCGTCGGAAAATATGTCGCAGATTTGCTTGAGGGGACTCTGGACCCGGAAATTGTCCGTCAGTGGCAATGGCGAGCTGGACAAAAGAGTACTGCTACAAATTTGGCTCACTTGGATCCGGAAATGGAATTGAGTGACCTTACAGGATGGAAAGGCAGACAGGTACGTGAAAGAAGCCATGCCTCCCGACTATGATGTATTCTAGTACGGGAAGGCTGAGTGGATGATTGAACTCTCGAAACACGGCTTTGCTGCGGGCTTTAGAAATTGGAGTCCTAGAGAGAGAGAAAAAAAGGAAGAAATAGGAAAGGACGAGCTTGTGTATATAAGTCTTCACACTGTAGCTTAAGTCAAGCAGAGCTTCCATCCACCGAGCATGACCATCGCATGTTCCCACGAGAAGCGAGATTCATACACTACATTCTTCTCTCGCCGTGAATTATTCTTTTTCCGCCGCTTCCTTTCATCCTGTGATGATAGATCTCTTTGCCGCCAGACCATTTGCACAACTTCAATTGCCGGGGCAATGTTCTGAAACGATTGTAAGACTTTCACAATCCAGAGAGAAAATTTGAAGACACATACCCCGAATCGACGAATACCCTCCAATTCTTCAAACAGCTGTAGCACGACAACTCTTTCCTCTTCCCGGTGGGCACAGCACCCTGCCAGGAAGAGAGGCCACAATGGTAGAACCGCAGTACGCATCATATTCGCTTTCTTTTCCGACATGAGGGCCAGAATCTGTTCCACATAGGTATTCTTCTCGTCTGAAGCCAATATTGAAATACTGAAGGTGTTGGTGGTCGCCTTGGTCGCACAGATCTCGTGCAGAAGAAGCAGGGCGCCCAGCCTGTTTGCCTCGGCGATGGCAGCACATTCCATGCTAGGATCAATATTTCCAGAGGGTATCTTTTGTTCTAGTTCATCAAGGTTTGTTTTGAGGTGATGGACATCTGTATTGCTGGTTTTCAAGTTGCCATCTTCGCGAGCCCACGCTAGTTCCGCTACTTGGTCGATCATCAACAAAAGGGCGGGACTCAATCCCATATAGGGATCAATCGTGTCTGAATTTTCAAGGATACTGTCCGGTAAAACGGGGGATGTATGGAATGTAGGATAGGTGACGCGAAACGCTGTGCGGGCAAGAACTAAATGGAAAGCGAAATAACGGTTGAAGAAATTCGTCAACTCCTGGCTATGCGATGAGCGACCGGGGCGTTCTTTTCGTGTTCGAATTAGGTCTTGAAACCCGTTAAGATGCGTGACCCATGAAGGTCGACTGCTATCTGAAATCTGCCAGGAATTAGTAGATGGCCATTGAGAGAGCGGGCAAGGTCTTACGTCGAACCAGCATAACATCAGTACCAGCCCTAGCATCTCATCCAGTTCATGCTCTGTCCAATTATCCTGATTGAGTAGACTGCGGAGGTGAGTTAGCGCTCGATGGTGATGCTCTAACGCTGAAAGCCGGTACCGCTGGTCTGACAGTTTGAGGGTATTAGCCGCGACGGCCAACGCCGCGTGGTAGAGTCCCTCTGATTGCAGGGCCATGGGTAATATAAGGTATCGATATGGATTATAATGAGCGTTGTCGACGAGGGTAGAGCTGCTGCAGATAATGTGCTCGAAGTATGACATGAGCACAGGATCACAGTTCGATCGCTGGCCTGCAGGGATGGTGTTCAGCCAAGGAGATGAAGGACTGGGCTGAGAAAACGCCCTCATTGCTTGGGAACTGAACTGGGTGCCATCAAAATGGATCTCGAGATCGATCATAGTCGTGTTCAAAAACATCCAGGGCCGATCCACGCGCGCATATTCCGGTTGTGGCGATAATCTATTTTCCGTCGTCTGCTCCAACGCCTTCCTGTCATTCCGAACGGCACCTTTTTGCTTCGACCACACCCCTGACCTTCCATGGCATACTCCCCGGGCCATGGATTCCTCGTGCCAGATGAGACGAACTCCATATCCGCATGAGGCATCGCTACGTGCGCAACGGCGGCATATTGGGTGGGTTTCTGACCGGTTTTGATCAGAGCCATGCAGAACTGCAGGGGAAAGGAGGAAATTACCGTCGCATTTGATGCGTCGTGCACGACATGTCCAACAGCCAGTGCGAGCTCTTGAAATTGCAGTCATGGCCAATCCAGCTCCTACCCCGCATGGCAGTGGAGGATGCTCTGTGTTATATGCGCGCCAAGGCGATAGGCCGGTGTTAGTCTCTTTTTCCAATTGGCTGTTATGTCTACTTGATTTGTCCGTTGCAAAGCCTCACTCTCGTGTTGGGGCTTCGATCGGATGTTTGCGCAACGGGATACTTCAAAGCATCATGAACGTAAGTGTAGGGCCGGTTCTTCACAGACATCGCACGAATCATAGATTGGGCATAGGCTCATATTGATCTTGTCTTAAAGCACCCAGGTCCTTTGCTGCTGCAGGTTTGGAGCAAAACATATGGTCTGATTGCTGAGTTGCAGAGTTCATGGCTTGATCATCCGCTTGCACCAGAAGGAAAGGCGATACTACAGAGTAGAGGGATAGCATATGGCAGAGGAAGTTTGGAAAGAGACCGTAAAAGGCGCAGGTCTAGACCAGTCTAACAATAGAGAAATACGCCCCGGCATAACTATTAAAATACCTACCGACATATCTTATGGGTGATCTTGATATCTACGGAGTACAGTTGGGCACGTCTGATATATGTACATGTCCAGCATGTGTCTAAACATTTTATTGCAGACTGAATGCCAAGGGAGCTTGGTACAATCTTCTTTCCAATCCCTCGCTATGGTAGCTGAGGCAATAATTCCAAGTATCAAGTAATATAAGTCTCTGGGAATCCCCAGGCGTGATTCATTGTTTCGTACAAAAATCCACGGATGCATGACTCCGAGGCGCATGGACCTTTCGCCCCAAAAGAGAGTTGTTTTGAATTATCGGCAACACAAATGTCCCATTTAATTGCAGTGCATATTCCAGGATCTCTGCATCCACACATAACACCAGGTTCCTCGGCACGTCTCAGCGTGTCAGCGTGCAAGTCCCCCGCTTAAAGCCTCCCGGCTTCCCCTACCGCTTTTCTCCACATTTCCTTTTTCCTCCGAGCTCAACATGGGGTTCAGTACTGCTAGCGAATTTGATCAGGTAAACCCAGTCTCAAGCGATTCATGAATTGCCGCTCATGATTTCCAGGCGTATCAAAGTGTCCGGCGTGGATTCGCGTCCGGCACGACCAAGAACAAAGAATGGCGGCGCCGTCAACTGAAACGCGCTTGGTGGATGATCGAGGACAACAAGAAGCGTATCTGTGACGCCCTCTATGCTGATCTGCACAAGCACTATCAAGAAGCATACACTGGCGACTGCGGTAGTATCCAGGCAGACATTCTACGCACTCTCGATAAACTCGATGAGTGGACCAAAGATGAGAAACCAGAGAGGTCCGACCCTCTCAATTTTCTAGGAGGAGCTACCATCCGCAAAGAACCTCTCGGTGTAACTCTGATTATCGGCGCATGGAATTTCCCTGTCACTCTGCTTCTGCAGCCAATGGTTGCCGCAATTGGTGCCGGATGTGCCATGATCCTCAAACCATCGGATGTTGCTACTGCCACTCAAGATTTGTTGATGGAAATTATCCCTCAATATATGGACCGCGATGCGATTCAGTGTGTCACCGCCGGAGCACAGGAAATGGGCTATATTCTGGAACATCGCTTTGACCACATTTTCTATACTGGATCCCCCAATGTTGCGAAGATTATCCACGCCGCAGCCGCAAAGCATCTGACCCCCGTCACACTCGAGTTGGGCGGCCAATGCCCGGCCATCGTAGCGGAGTCGGCGGATCTCGATCTCACTGCGAAGCACATTGCAGTGACCAAGTTCATGAACGCTGGACAGGTAGGCCTACACCGTACACGCCCAGTCATCCTAGGCTAACTCGTCTGGAATCAAACGCAGATCTGCTTGAACGTGAATCACGTTCTTGTCCACCCTAACCTACGAGAACGCCTAGTTGCCGAGTTGATTCGGTACTTTGACACGTTCTCGGGAGGGTCCGACAAATCAGAGGATTACACACACATTGTAAACGATCGCAATTTTGATCGCCTTGAAAATCTACTCCAGCAAACCGCCGGTAAAATTGTCTACGGTGGCCAGCGTGATCGTCAATCCCGGTACTTTGCACCAACGATCGTCACCGGAGTCAAACCCGGTGACGCCCTTCTGTCCGAAGAGTTGTTCGGCCCGATTCTTCCCATCATTGACGCAGACTTCAACACTGCCATCGATTTTACACGCGCCGGAGAACATCCTCTCGCGATCTATGCCTTTACCCATCAAGCTGCCGAAAAGGCTCGCATTCTCAATGAAACCCAATCCGGCGGCGTGACCTTCAACGACTGCGCTCTTCACATGGCTGCTCGTGATGTACCATTTGGCGGTGTCGGAAATTCTGGACAAGGATATTATCATGGCCCCCATGGTATTCGGACTTTCTCGCATCTCCGTACACACATCAATGCCCTCCCTGCGTGGATGGAGGGGCTCCTCGCTGCGCGATACCCCCCTTACTCGGTTGAGAAAGCTCATAAAATGATACCCGCTTCCAAACCATCGTTTGACCGGGATGGAAATGATACAGGTCTTGGTCACTCGAAGTGGCTTTTGACTGTTGGCATGTTAGGGCTGTCCGCGCTAGTTGCTACCCGGAAGGATCAGATTATCGCTTACGGTTCGAAGTGGCTTAAGTGAATCCGAGGTGTTGGGTAATGCGAAGATGGGATCTGCTTCAGCTTTTGTATATCGATTCTCATAGGTGGGATTATGTGGGCGACTTTCTTAGGTATTGATTGAAGCGGGAAAGCTCTCCACAATCAGTAAGTGGGTTGATGGACTGGTGCACCCGGGAGGATTGTCGGATCAAATGGTTCTTGAATATTGACACATTATTGGAATATCATTCATCTACATATGCGCAGTGGCCCTAGTTATTCGTTAAAAGGTAGCTACTGGTTGGCTTCCTCACAGGGATATCAGATACAATAGTATCAACTGTAATATCTTTGGAGATCCTGACCAAATGAGTGGGAGTCTATAGTCAAGCTAAACGGCACATAGATACCTCTAGGTAAGTAGCTCACTAACCAAGGAATCCCTCAGACACCGCTAGTAGATCCTTAACTGCAACGGATCCAACTACTAACGGTCCGAACTGACCTTTAACTCGTCTCTCCAGATCGTTTGAATATGTGTTGGAAAGGATATTCTACCACATGATGCGATCTTCGTGTCATGGGCTTCGTAATAAGAAATTGGTACAGACATGAGAACAGGCTCTCCACACGCTTGTCAACATTCCCATATGCAAAATATTATTCCTCCTTCTTCTCTTCCCCAGACGGACCCTCTCCATCATCCTCCGACTGCGTCTGAGGAAGCCAGTAGCGTGTAATAATACCACCCAAGAACCGCTGATCAATCCATTTAACCAACCCATAGAACACCCATCCCCATCCCCACAGCGACATACCCATCATACTCGCCACCAACAACACCGGACCAAGAATGAGCAACGACAGAAGAGCCCAAAGCAAGAGCGCCACAGCCGCGAACACAAACACCCCCGCTAAAAAGACCAACAGAGGAATACCACAGCAGATCATTTGGCACACGATGAAAGTCGACGCGGCAGGACGCTTCAATGCAGCTTCATACATCGCCGCCTGTCGAGGTGGAGGAAGTAGCCAGGCAATAAGTCTCTGAATACAGGACTCGAAGTAATCGAAAGCTTGAGGGAAGAGCGTCGCGAACCATGAAGTAAGGGTAGCCCATAGCGACGAAAACGAGAGATTGTTGTCGACACCCTCGCCTTTGGGCGGGGCATCGTCTGAGGGGAATTCGCCGGGGATGACAGGGTCGGTGATTTCTTTGGTCGCTCGATTGAGCTTTTTTGGTGCGCCTTTTTTGATCACGCCGCTTGTTGTGGAGTCGATTTTGTTGACGGGGAGTTGGCTGGTTACGCCGCTGGTGACATTGTCGAGAGGCATTGCGGGGGGTGGGAACATGCGCTCAGGGGGAGCGGGTGGAATTAGGGCAGTATCCTTTGTTCTGATAGTATTTCGCAAGGAGATTGTCGAAAGCTTCGAATGGTGCGTTGTAGATGTAGATACTCAAGTGTGTATATCAATGTTGTGACCCATAGCATGACGTACGGGGCGTTCTGCCAACTGGTTTGCGCATGTCGGCGATATTAGTTCTGCGTCACTACTAGCCACAGAGATTGTCTCGTACTCTGAGGGTTCCACGCCACACTCTGCAGGCAGTTGTGCAGTTCAGGTGCCAGTTGAAGCGTGTAGCGTAGAGAGGCTTGCGGATTTAATCAACGTGTGAGACCGATGCGTGGCCAGTTGAGCATCTAAATTTCACGCATTAGCCCAAGAGAGCTCGAACAACAGCTACTTTTAAGTATTGATGTTATTAAAAATAAGAGGTGTATGTATGCAAAGCATGTCATTGATTATTTCTGTAAAACATATGCTAAAGACGTAGTCGAAAACGCCTTGAGATTCTACAGATCATTGGTCAAGCGTGCCCTCGCGATCGTCGAACTTCATGAAATCGTCATCATCTACATCATCTCCTACAGCTCTCTTCCAAGCTTCTTTTACGAGGTCGAGGGTGTCATCTTCCATTGCCAAGTCAAGACTTGATGGAGGGAAAAGATAGTAGTCAGGGACCCCTTCCTCAACAATGAGAGATCGGGGATCGCCGCCGTTATTGAGATGTCCGCAGTGAGTGTATCGCAAGGACCAGAGGACGCAAGCCGAGGGACCCTCTGCTTGCACGAGTTTGCTCACGGCAGACTCTAGTAGAGATTGGCCCTCCGGTCCCGCTAGCGCAACGCTGCAATAGATAACACCTGTGACATTGAGTTAGCCACTTGAACGACAGACTTGCTGACTGATGGAATTGAGATGAGGGGTGCTCGTGATCAGGTTTGAAAAAAATTGCAACATGGAAGTTCAGGCAATGTAGATAAGTTTTTGAAAAAAATCATCATGCGAGCAGTGTGGGAAGGTAAAAACTGGGAAAATTGGAGGCTGACTTACTCTGCTGGTGTGGACACTCGCCAGTGTCGCTTGAGTGCACCTGGAGGTATACAGGCGGAGATTGGGGACTACCCAAGGTATCGCCCGGAAACATGAGTAGTGCGGTGGCGGGCACGGGGCCTCCTTCGACTGTAACAGGGAAAAGGGAGGGGAAAGTAGCCGAGACGACACTAATCGAGCGCGCGACTTCGACCAAGGGTTCCGAGCCCTCTTCGGATTCAGTATCTGATATCCAGTCGAACACATATTTCGCCTGGACTGACCCGGTATTATCCAAAGTCACCAAGAATGGATATTCCGAAAATTCGGGGATTGTACGGCATATACAGTCAGTGATCTGCGTGTCTAGGGCATATACGCCTCCTCCCACGGCAGATGCACGGCAGGCAGCTTGCAATATTTCAGCACCGCCACCATACTTAGCAATCACAGCTCCAAACCCAGGGCCAAGATGACCGATCGATGCAAGATGTCTTTGGATCCTGGAGACAGCATAGCTGGCAGGAGTATCCCGTTGAGAACGCTGGGACAAGGACAGAGACAACAGGGGATTGTGGAGTTCCTCTGGGACGCTGAACTTGGAGACCAGATATTCGTTCAAGGGCATTGACATATCCTCGTCTTCATCTGCCGTGTCATCCTCCTTTGGTTTGGTGATATGACGCAGGAGCCGCATGAGAGTCCTCTTGGACTTCATGCTGATATGAGTTGCAGCGAAGACATCCTCCCGGTTGCCAGGCACGCGGTAGAGAACCTTTTCTGCGCCGAGTTCATCATTCTCGGCATCAGGCTGTTCGGGAGCGTAGATCCACCAGCTGCCAACAGCCATGAACTCCAGCTGACGAAAGACCTTCGATGACACGAGAGCTGACATTAGTTGGGAGCGGGCATGGAGGAAATACGGGGACAGGGACAAGGTGTAAGCACGGCTAGAGGCAAGTCTGGGAGTGACCCCACTTGCCTCTAAACCCTCGGCTGAAGGGGATGAATCTTGTGTGAAAATTGAGACATCTTTGAAGGGTGTTTCATCGCAATCTAAGAGGGACACGTTAGCGATGGAGGAACCAGATATGAGGAGAAATGACAAACCTTTATTGACTGCTTCGGCCCACTCTTGGGCCTCATCAAGACTGAAGGCTGCTTCTGGACCACCATAGTATTGGTTTGAGTCCACATGAAGAACCTTCTTTCCGGATCGTGAGAGGGCCCTTTGGGAGTGTGAGTGCTTGACTCACAATCACCCTTAGAGAGGTCACTCACAGTGCCAGAAGGGATTGGGCGAGCCCAGTTCCATTGATGATCACATCCCACGTGGTGTCTGACAGAGTTTCCATGATGTGGAAGTGCTGACAAAGTCCTAGCTGCAGGTAAGTTCGAGTATTACAGGCAAATTTGCCACCTCAAGGCCTTATGAAGTTGAGTAGTGGAGTTTTCGATCCGACTGAAGCATTTCCGGTCCTTTCATGAGCTCAAATTGTTGTCAGCCCATGAAATTGAGGTTGCTCGGGAAAGAAGAAGAGAAGAAAAAAAATTGGAGAAAAACGCGGGAAGTTCGCGTGCGAAGGCGGTCACCACGTCTCCACTCCGGTCGACACCACTTCAACAATCGTCACCTGGAAACAGTTGATGAGAAAAAGATCGGGGTTTCTTAATATTGATTGACCTGATTGTTTTATGAACCCCAGTCGAATCAAACATTAACCCATTTGGCTAGATCCAGGCACCATTGCTTCGACTCTTTGTCTAGGGATGCTAACAGATACGATATGCTCAGTGGGCTAGATCGCGGACCACGCCACCGAGGAGACAAAGTGACGCATCAATGGCTTAGTGAAACGCAATCACCCATGCAGTAATTACACCGGAGCGAGTTAAAGATCAGCAAAGGGATATCATAAGTCTTTGGATACTTAATCTAGGATCTCCTACTCCGTAAAGAAACATGAATACATGAGACTTGATGATAGACATTCACTATGCACTATTTCAACGCATATCAAAATTTCAAAGGCAAAACCAAATTCAATCATTAGTTTTAAACTGCTCGCGTAGCAAAAGTCGTCTAGAATGTTATCTCGATGGTCCTATGCAAAGCCGTACCCTATGACATTCTGCCTATCTATGTCAAAGGGCTTCATGGCCAACATGGGGGTTTGTCCAGGTAGTACCTAAAAAGCTATCCCTTTACCTAGATTGTTGGGATTGAGCTGATAGGTGAGACTTTTATTGTATAACAAGGTACTGCTCTTAATTAACCCCATCGTAATATAACAAAATTCTAATGCTTGACGAGTGAACGAGATTAAAAAGGATCAAGTGCTCGATGCCATACATAGCTCGCTATTCCCTGTTATAGAAATGCAGCCGTTGGACCTTCTTGATATAGTCAGGTTTCAAAGTCGAAACGTTGCTTGAAACAACCTGATTGTCATATGCTATGTCTGCAGATATAAGGTGTTGCATGTTATATATCAAAGTGGATCAGCTCAATTGGCTACTCCCGTAAAGAACAAGGCTGTTTATCTAATATTCATTACGATGACGCGGAGCTATCCAGCTATAAGCACATGAATAACATGCATAATCTGTTCCAAACCCCAACAGAACTACATTTATATAAAAAGAATTTAGAGTATGACCAGTTATGCGAAAATTCAGGGCCTCAGGAGTATGTTAAAGACTAATACTCTACCAGACAATGTTAAGCAAAGAGCCAAAATCAAAAGAGGTATATCTCATCATCCGTAGACGCCATATCAATCATTCAAGGAAATAAGTATATAGAATTCCCAGGAGTTCATAATAAAGAACTCTGAAGCTCAAACCGAACTCTTGGTGCTTAGTACTATACATACCTCACATCGTGAAGGTGGAAAGAAAGACTATATATTACATCTAAACAAAGGAAATGATCTATGCATGGTCTACAGAAACAGAATACTGAATCTCTTTTCGAATGATCATCCTCGTACTCCCGTCACTTCCACTATGTGTGCTGCCCCCATCGGCATCGGTCCTCCGCTGTTCTGAATGAGTCGACCCTACTGCCTCGCAAACAACCGTTCCATTTTCTGTCCCATCGCCGACATTCGGCCTCTCCCTCGTAGAATTACTCGCGTGGCGCACAGCCCGTCCCTTCATAGTCCTCATCTCGTAATCTCGTGACCGGCCCGACGCATAAGGATCTGTACTTCCTAATGGGCCCGATGCATATCGATCCCCGTAGCCGCTGCTACTGCCGAGATTGGTGTCGCCAGCTGTGCCGTAAAATGTTGTGACGGCATTCATGAATGGACGCAGGCAGAACACTGTGCATGCCACCAAAGCGTAGTTGAGATGGAGCTGGGTGAAGACCGTGTGGTCAATTGCGGTGAACGTGGGGTTATTGCTCATCGTGTAGCCTTTCAAGGTAGAGAGACGGAAAGCTGAGAATATAGTCAATCTATCAGTTAGTTGTGTGTTAGTATCATGAGATAAGATCTATATCTAGGAGCTCGGAGGAGTACCTACGGTATTCTCGCACCGAACGATACTATGATGATGATCTTATGTGACAGCTGCATCTGCAGAGTCCAGATTAGGCCGATGCTGAAGGCGGACAGTAAGATTTCGATCGAGATGTCAATCGCCGTGATTGCCTGCCAGCGGGCGAACTGTATCACGGGTTAGTATATTCCATTCGATGTCCCGAATGTTGGTTCATAATAACATTTAGGGGATGAGTGGCGTCTGTGCAATTTGATACCTACCAGGTTAGGACATTGTTCGCCAGGTACAGCCCATGGCTTGTTGCCCTCGCAGTTGACGGCGATGCTCAGCACTGACGAGATGATCCCCACTGTACAGAGTGCGAGCGTCCCCAAGAGGATGATTTTGTGTCGCTTACGCGGCGTCAAACGCAAGTAGATGGCAATGATGCAGCATTTAGAGAGATATAGGGTTATGAGATAGAGGATATCGGCGGCGAGAAAAGACTACTTTGTCAGTTATTCACCTATATTCAATCAAGGCATTGGGTAAATACATTTTGTATACGATCAATAGCCTTCTCTGTGAGTAGCGATATATCAGTTCCGAAGCCGATACTTGCGGCATGGAAGATGATGATCGACTCGGCGATGGCGGCGATCTACCCGTGGATCCGATTAGCGTCGGTTAGCAAACGTGCCGATTTCTCTCCCGTGCGTACCGTCGCTCCCAACAGGATGATATCGTCTGATCCCCACGGCGGACAGAGGTAAGTTCGCACGTAAATCCGAATCAAGAGACAGACCAGCGAGATCATGAGGCAGACGGCCGCGGTGATGATAATAATACCGGCATGGTGCTTGTCGTCTATCGTCTCGAAAGGCGGCGACTGGTCGGAAGGCACTTTGATGGCCATTACGATACAGAGGCCATATCGCAGTCTGTTGGGTTGAAGGTTTTAGGGAGGGAGTATAAAAGGGTTTGGAAAAGGGTGGTTATTGATCATGATGGCTGCTCCGTACAAATGACAATTCAAGCGGACCTAGCAAGGATGAGCATCCAACGCTAGGCATAGTTCGGACATCTCAAATAGTACGCATAAGCCTCAGGTTGTGAGCATAGGATCGATATTAAATTTGATTTGGTTCGCCTATTCCAAATTAAAAATGGGCTTGGTGGCGGTACTTTACGCGCAAGGTTTCCAAGATTTCGGCCCCCACGCGGCACAGCGGCCCCATCGGCCCCCGGTTCCACGGCTATAGTACGGAGTACCCGGAACGAACCAAGGTTGATTCCCATTTAAACGTATGACTACATGTATGTATAGAGTACGGAGTACTCCGTACGGAGTATTGTCTAGGTAGCAACCTTGGAAGGTTACACTGCGCGACTCAGTGATGGACCGCTTTGTATCAGATCCATGCGTCGTATGTTCTGCTAAGCATTCGTCTTAGGCATTGTTTCTTATTGACTACCCTAGTCTCCAATAACTCCTTGTCCAAATAAACTCTCTCCTGAATCACCCGAGACAAATTCTCAATAAAGTTCAGATGCTGTTGCCACTCATTGTTGCTGGGTGCACCACTATAGTCTCAATTTACGATATAGGACCGAGTCCTCGAAATCATTGTCTGACAACGTGATTCTTTGTAACTATGAAATACTACAATGCTTTTGCTCCCTCTAAGGTAATGATTATACAAGTTGGTCTGGAGTGGAGATTACATCTCGCGGTTCACTAGTGCCACGGGCGGGATGTAGTGGTGCCGTCCCCGCAGCACATAATACACCACGGCGATGATCATAATTCCGCCGTACATCACTGCTGACCAGTTCATGGTATCTGGGTCCACAGTAGAGGTGAGGGGGAAGAAGGCAAAAACAAAGACCGGCAACAGAAAGCACAGCGCTCCAATGTTGATTGCCATGCCGTATCGGCCTAGCGTCCATCTGTGTGGTGGGAGTGGCTCCCCTCTGATACGCTTGAGCAGAAGGCAAGCAATCGTGATGATGTACGAGGACATCATGGCGCCGATGGCCAGGGTCACAATGGCAAGAAGTGCGGTTGTAGAACCAATGTTGATGAGCGACAAGAGGACAGTCACTGCCAACGAGACCATCACGGAGTTTAAGGGAATGTTCCAGCCGGGGTTGACCTAGTGCTGTTAGTGTTGTGAGACCCAAAGAAAGATGGGAGAACGTACATATCCGAAGAAATCCGAGAAAGGAAGGCCACGATCACGCGCAAAAGACCACAGCTGGCGTGATGCCGTTGCTACTTCTGTGATTGTGCTCGCCGTTAATGTCAGTACAATGATTGCGGTCATGGTGTTCGTTCCTGGAAGACTCTCGGTCGCATTATAGAACACCTGCATGAATGGGTACCCCGTGGGACTGGCTAGGATGTCGTCGATGTCGCCTAGCGTGAAGCAGATTGTCACCAGCATTAAGAAGCCGCAAGCAGCGTTGACAGAGACAGACGTGATCATCGCCTTAGGTAGGGTCTCGGACGCATCCTTGATCTCCTCCGCTGCACATTATTAGCAAGGTCCGTCAGTTATTCTGAAGGGAGACATACACATATGCACCGCACAATCATAACCAATCAGCGCTGTAATAGTGGTCGAGAATCCGACAAGTGTAGCGGTTCCCGCACTATTCCAGTCGCCGCCGTTGTTGAATTCGGTGAACACCTGCGTCGCGCTGCGGCGGGGACCAAGCACCCACAGTGGAATAACGATGGCAAACAGACCGCACACATGTAGGATCAGAATCAATACCTCCACAAATGGCAATCGCTTAGCCAGGAAGGTGTTAAAAATGATCGAAAACAAAGTAATGGCGATCACTAGCAAGGTACCGTGCCACCGCTGGAAGTCGTATTCCGGGTTGTTCAGCACGATCAGACCTTGAATGATAGTTCCGGCCAAGAACGCAATGGACACGATAGCACATTGCCATCCCGTAGCACACAGCCAGCCTACACAATCAGCTTAGTTGAGCAGGGGGTCCACGGGTAAGATGCCTCACCAGTGATGTAGCTGAGGAATTTCTGGCAGCTAGGAGGGGCGAACTCTGATACCCAGTGGTATTGCCCGCCAGATGTGGGAGCCCTAGATAGTCAGCATGGATATGCAAGTTATCAATGGGGTAGACTCACATAGATGCCATCTCAGCCAGACTCAGGAATACCAGAAAGAACCCAGCAGCGACAATGAGGTAACCCCAGATCAAACCTGCAGTTCCTCCATCAGTCAGACCTTGTGCCAGCAAACTAGAGAGTCAGTGACTAGACTACAGAGTAAGTTTGGGTGACATACGTCAAAACAACCTCCCACGTGGCAATCAGCGTGCAGCCAAATCCTACAATAGAGATGAATCGGAAGTTACGCTGCAGGATCAGCTTAGGTGAATTAGCCAAAGTATTACTTGGAGACTCACCCGCAAGACCTGATCTCTTCCCAAGGCATTCATGTCTGCCTGATCGGCCTGGGTGCCACGCCATTTGGGGGCGACACGGCCTATGGATGGGGCTTCATCAGCTAGAGCCATAGTGACGGTTGTAGAGTGTTTATCCCAGGTCATGTTGACATGTAGACAAGGAAAAGAACGATGAGAGATTAGTATAAAAGACAGGGGTAACGGCAGGTCGCATCGGTATAAAAGGTGGCAGACATTCGAATATTCTCCGACTCTAGAGTCCACATGGCGCAGAACGCCGACGGTGGAGCAGCCCTTCAACAGAATCTGCGTGACTCCGTATTGGTAGCTGAAACTCCAAAGCAAGACTAGAACGTAGCTGCAGCATCCAGCTTAGCGTGAACTAGGGCTTGGTGTTGATTGTGGCTCCACTGCGTTATTGCCACGCCGGGGCGCGGGAACATTGTTTTCAACGTGCAGGGGACAGACAACCCCTGTTCATCTGCGTAATTTGCTGCTAACCGGCAACTTTCCAGCTTACCGCGGTCCGATTTTAGACATTGTGAAGCCTGGACCGTCTCTAGGGCTCCACTGAGGTCCCCATCTCCACGCAGCACAGGTTCCGCCCGTTAAATTGCAAGTATATGCTGTATCATGATTCATCCATGCTCGACTGCCAGGTCCATCGACATGCCAAGGGTCAAAAATCTCTTCTAAGAGAATCCCCCATATGAGGAGGCAGCTCCTCTTCGCCACAATCAATCACTTTGGAAATCAGTGATTGGTTCCCTCGACACTAGTCTGTCCAGCACATAATTTTGGCGGGGACAATACTTACTACGGAGTACTCCATACATCTATGGAGAATAGGGCTTAATTGGGACTTTTGATTGAATCAAATAACTACTCTCTGATTGGCATTCGGAATTCTTTTTCTTACCCTCCTTCGTCCTTCACCATGATCCCCCTCATCCCCCTCGCACTTTTCATCCTCGCCTTTTACCTCATATACCATTATGTGATTAGCCCCTACTACCTCTCTCCGCTATCCTCAATTCCCAATGCCCATCTCACGTCCCCCCTCTCCAGCTACTGGATTGATGGCAAGCGTAATGCAGGCACGGAAGTCCTCGCTATTTACGCACTGCACCAAAAGCATGGCCCAATTGTCCGTCTCGGCCCCAAGGAGCTGAGCGTCAATTCCATCCACGGTCTCAAAGCAATATATAGCAGCGCTTTTGAGAAACATGCCTGGTACAATGATGTCTTCGTCAACTTCAACACCGAAAATATGGTTGGCATGGTGCATAATGCGCCGCATGCCCATCAGAAGCGCATGCTGAGCAAAGCCTACTCCAAGTCATTTCTCTCGCAATCGAGCGATCTATGCACGCTTTCTGAAGTCATGCTCTGGGACCGGTTAATGCCTATTCTCAAGAAGGCGGGGGAGAATGGAGAGGTGTTGAATGTGCTGCCGCTATTCCAGGCTCTAGGGATGGACTTTACCTCCTCCTTCCTGCTTGGATCAAGACGAGGAACGAAATTTCTGTTAAACATCCCCGAATGGATGATTTGGTTGAAGGAGTATGAGCGCTTCAAGTTCATGAGTCGGGAGGACCGATTTATGGGATTTGTTGAGAAGTGGTGCTTGGAGCTGTGCGAGCGAGCGGAGCCGTCCGAGAAAAAGGGAACCTCCAGCGATGATGAAAAGCTGCCATACACAAGCCCCGTTATCTACGACCAGCTGCGCCAGAGCCTCCTTGCCCAGAAAGAACACGACCCGCGCCCACTAAACCTAGCAATTGCGTCCGAACTTCTGGACCAGCTGGTTGCGGGCCACGAAACTACAGGCATTACTCTCACCTACATGAGTTGGGAACTGTCTCGGCATCCAGAACTTCAGGCCGAGCTGCGAAAAGAACTACTCAGCTTATCTACGTCTCTCCGATACCCAAGCACAGGCGGAGAGAGGCCCATTCCTTCTCCTTCCGACATTGATGCCCTCCCGCTGCTAGACTCTATAGTCCGTGAAACCCTCCGTCTTTACTCCCCAGCCCCATCCCAACTCCCCCGCGTCACTCCCGACACAGAGAAGGGAACTTCTCTGCACGGGCATGACAACATTCCGGGCGGCGTGAGAGTCAGTTCTACCGCTTACTCCATCCACCGCATCGAGGAGGTTTACCCCCGCCCACTGGAGTGGCTGCCACACCGATGGCTCGAGGCTGGCGACAAGATCCACGACATGAGACGACTTTTCTGGGCGTTCGGCAGCGGTGGACGCATGTGTCTGGGCAGTAATTTTGCATTGCAAGGTATGGCTCCCGAAGATGCGTTTTAAATAAGAGACTGATGGGCGCAGAAATGAAATTGGTTATGGCGGCTGTATATTCGAATTACACGACCTCGATCATCGACGACGAGGACATCGAGCCGGACCTCGCGTTTATTTCGCTGCCACGCGGGCGAAAACTGATGTTGAAATTTACCCCGGTCAACGAATGATGGGACACGGTCATGATGATATCAAAAGAAATTAAAAGTATGCTTCGATTGTTTTCGAATTTTTGCTGAAACCGTGGCATGAAATATTGCCCACGGCTTTCCAAACGAACACCAAGTGAAGGTTCCGTGCATAGGCGGCCGTGAACTTCAAGGGCATAGGATAGAGCATAGGTTCAAAGAGGAGTTTGTGGTTGATACTCTACTTTCCTCGCCGAATTCAAGTACCTCTCAACATAAATCTGCGATTTTATCAGTCTTTCTAAGTCACGATCATGCGTCACTTTCATTGAGAGGTAGTAAGATAGTGCGCCTGGAGTACGGAGTAGCCGTCGACCAGTTGGCCCAGATAAGGTTTTTTAGTATGGACGATAATCCTCGCGCCCCTCCTCATTTCGCCGCGTGTGCTCCGTATGGTAGTGTGGTACCGACTACTCCGTAGCTAGGGCTAGGCAGGGGTCTCTCATCAAGCAAGAAAAGCAGCCTTCCGAGGTCCGAGGGTGCTGACCTTGGAAGCCAGTTAGCCGCTGTTGAAGGCCGAGGTCCCACCTGGAACAGAGGGTTTTTCAGTAAGCAGACTTTGTGGGCTATACGCACCAAATCTGATCACTTGCACGAAGCCATCGTCTTGGCCAATTGGCCGATGACTGTTCTGGGTCCACTATCTCGCTATCTGTCGATGAAAGGAACGCGCGATCGTGAGGCTGAAAAACCAGTAGTTACAGTATGGTGAGTGTAGTATGGTAGTTTGGGAATTTCTATTCGTCCAAGCTCCATACTATGCAAGGATCTCGCTAGCGCTTAGCATGGTAGGGGTATAGTTCGTACAATATCCAACTGCATACGCTGCAGGCTTGGCACCTGAGGTCCCACGAGAGCCCTCAACATAGACGGAATTGGTATCACTTCTCATCGTTCTTTCTATATCGATTCAATTATCCAGACCTCCTGTTGTTTACATATGGAGGTGAAATTTAGCAAGATATGTCTGTATCTACAAGCAAGTTTCGTTTGATTACGATGATTAAATCTGCATGTTTCGGCTCAGAAAAGACCTTCGAAAGCTGGAATGCACTCGCTTTGACAGTAAATTGTAGCTAGACGAATATTTTCTAGGTGGTTTGAGGGAAGAAGACAACATATGGAAACTATTCGATCCCTGGTGTTTGAATAGTCAGATATCGTTCCTAATTGAATACCATCCACCACATTTCCTTCAAAATAACAATCGTTTCAATCAAAACTCTCTCTTCGCATTTTTGTACAAGGCTATCTAACTTTCTAACACTTTAGGTATGGCCGCTCTGAGGTTTCTTTTCTGGAGCATTGGATTGATCCCCCTCCCCCTCTGTTGTTTCGGCTCCTCCGTCTTCATCCAACTTGATATTTTTCAAAAACAACATCACAATAAGCATCAAAGAAAGAGATACAAGACCCGCAATTGCAAGCAGCCTTTGTGACTCTCGGTAACTGCGATTGATCGCATCACGAGCCTCAGTTCCCATGGCGTACTTTCGAGCTGTCACAATTGACCCAAAGATAGATTTTGCCTGACCCTTCAATTCATCAGGAAGGTACTGCTGCAATTTTTTGGGAAGAGTGTTTCGCCATATTGCTCCAGCAACGCTACGAAGAACCACCGGTTAGAATAAAAACAGATAAAAGATTGGGGTTAGCTACTGACCTTGTCCCGATGGCACCACCCACGCTCATCGAAGCAAAGAATACCGCGGTCACAACAGAGACTTCCTGTCTCGATACCGTCGCCTGCACTGAGACCTGTGCAGCCGTTTGGTAGAAACCACGACCAATACCGATCAATGATTTTGCCGCCACGAATGAGGCTTCATTTCCACTGCGACCATCTCCCATGTCAACGAGGTAAAGAAGGACCCCCATTCCGAGGACGCAAAGTGGAACGCCTGTTAAGACCCAAATCTGAGAGCGCTTGGTATACTTCATGAAGAACGCGGCAAAAATACCGGCCACCTGGAAGGCCACACGAAGGGAGTTGCTAGTCTCAAATTAGCTCGAAGTGAACAAAGGACCGCAACAAACAAAGGGTATGATAGGAGGCTGTACTCAATCCTGGTTGCGGGACCGGGCGAAAAGTTCCCGGCTACTTGAAGATAACTCGTGAAGAAGACACTGAACACCGAGTAATGGAAGAAGTCTAATGCCCCGAGGAGACATGCAGCGGCCACTGTGCGGTTTTTGACCATGCGGTAAGGCACGAATGGTTTCTTCGCGAACCATGCATCCCAGCTGAAGAAGGCCAACAAGAAAACCACGCCCAGGACCAACATGGCAATAAACGATCCATTGCTCCACGCATCGCTGTTATTAGCGCCCGTCAAAGAGAGGGGAATTAGAAGAAGAGATAATCCAGCCACAAGTAATACAGCACCTGGAAGGTCAAGTTGAATCCACAACAATCGATATAACTTTTTCCACCAGGCATCGTTGGCTTTCCAGCCCAGTGCTTCAGATACACACACTGCTGATGGTGCTCGACGTTGGTAAAATAGCATGGTGCCGATCAATGGCAGTGATGCGAAAGGCAAGACAATGGCCCACATACCCCATCCCCACCGCCACGTCGAAGTATCGAGGATGCGCTGAGCAATGATAGTACCGAGATATAGGGTTGGAATTGTAGTGATCGAGTCAGGCAGAGTGGACCAGATACCGCGATTGACCAACGAGGTCATATCCGCCACGAACACTTGCTGTGTAAGGGCAAATCCAGTGGACCCGATAGCGTCGAAAATACCAGCAACCTGTAAGATGCAGCAACAGTCAGTGCTGAAGGAAGCAATGTCAACCGAAAGTAAAGGCCTCTTACTATGTATTGTGAGATGTTTGTGCACGCTGCATATATGACATAGCCTAGAGCAGACGTAATGATGGACAAGATGAACATCTCAGCTCTACCGAAGACCTAAAGACCATAGAATATTAGAAAGAAAACTATTGTCGCCCAAGTCCTGAGAATACTGACGTCTCCCAGCTTTGCAATAATGGGATAGGCGGAGATACGCGCAATGTTCCCGACCACACGGGCTGCGCTCATGGCGGAGTGCTGTTTGAAAGCACTTGTTGTGTATGGGCCGTACACCTGAGTTGAGTAATCGGCGAAATTGATCGCCAATGTACACAAAAACAATCTGTGGCCAACTTTTTAGTCATATCCTTTGCGTGGAGTCTTCATTCAACCACGAACCCTGTAAAGACAATGATCAAGCCTTGCTTGGTCCAGCTCTTCCGAAGGACATCGGCTCTATGCACTCCAGGCTGAAAGCTGGACGTAGTCGACTGCTTTTCCAAACTGTCAACAGTGATAGTCTTTTCAGCAGTATGGCTGATCTGTTTGTTTGGTGATGCCATCTCAATGACAATGTCCCCTTCCTGCCTTGCCATAGCTGCAGTGTATACTTTATGTGAGAATACATAACACCTCCGGAATGGGGCATACTCAGGATTTTAAATAAACAGCCTGAACCGAAAATAAAATAGCAATGGCGAATCCGCGCAGTGCCGTATTCCACACAATACTCACACGCCAAGAGGTAGCAATAACAGTACTGAGTATAGATTCGATCGTAATATGTAGCGATGCAGCATGGATTAGGAAAGGACTTACAAATCCAGTTATTTTGCTCCACTATGGCTTTCCAGAAGTAGTACCTAGGCTCCTAGGTACCTATCAAACCCAACTTAATCTTATCAATCATACGGCAGAACCTTGGAAAACGAGGAGCTAGGTCCGCAATAGGAAGCCGAGACGACGGCAGACGCGTCGTCTTGGTATTTGCAAAGCCAAGGCTCCTAGCTAGGTTCCACTAAGATGACGGGCGTGTTAGGATAAGTGCCGAGATGGGCTCACTTTTGGACTTGAGAAGGTTCCCAACACCAAAGCAGTCGGCAAATGGCTTTCCCGCTTTGAAACTCATTCTCAGTCGGGATCTTCAGTTCCATGGATATCACCAATATTGTTACTATCCCCACTTCCCTCGTGGGTAAAATTATCGGCCTCTTGTAAATTTAGCCCCATTGCCTCAGAATCTACCTGTTAAACGGCTCCGAGGCAGTGCCGTCCGGCCGGTTTCGCTCAATATCGATTTCCTCCGACCCACAGAATGATTGCATGTCATAAACCATCCTAATGCCCAACCATTACTTGATCTGTTCTTCATAACAATTACTTGGCCCGAAAATTCCTTTCTTTTCTTCAACTTCAACCACGAACTCGAACACATTATGGACCACCAGTGGAAGTTCGAACAGACAGAATGTTGCGTCCAAAATATGGCAAGCTGGCTCGTCATCAATCAGCATGACAAGAGATATTTGATTCAAGTTTCCTGGCCACTGGAATGGCAACCAATTGAAGAACCTTCGGCCGTCACCGAAAAAGCGAACGCAATGTGAGTGGACAAGACATTAGACGTTTCTATCATCGGCCCAGGTTTCTAAAATGACCTATAGATACATTGTGGATGGAAATGCAATGATGCTGTCAGCGACAGATATCGTACGACGACGCCGAATCCACAAGCCAAAGGAAACCCCAACGATCATCATCGGGATCTCCTACCCGCTGACGCAGTCTGTGTACAGCTCTCGGCGTAGCCATGATCTCACTCCCCCATGTCCAAAATACGCCACATCCGAAGGTCCAAATGGGCAGCCTCATGTTCCGGAGTATGGTGGTGCAGATGATTTCCTCCATTTTATAACGAAAACTGTTCACCACTTTCTGATCTCGTCGATATTCCCTCACGTATCTATCCATCGAACTGCTTTGTTCGGTCATTCTTTCGGGGCACTTTTCGCCCTCCATGCCCTCTACACAGCACCCATGAGCTTCAACGCTTATCTTGCTGCTAGTCCATCAATCTGGTGGAATGATGGTTATATCTTGCAAGAAGAAGATCAATTTTACAACATGCCAGAATCAGATCACCAACCAAAAGTATGGATGGCGTATGGGTCCCTTGAGCAATCTCCTTTGCCTCAAAAGGATCAATCCCCAGAGGAATATGAGAAGCGGCTGGCGATAGCTAAGGAGCGTCGCATGGGGGACAATTGCGACCAAATGTTTGCTCGGCTCTTGCAGAGTGGACGAGTACACTCTGTTGTTAGAAGAAGATACGAAGATGAAGATCATGGAAGTGTCATCGCTGGAGCATTGAGTGGAGCTATTTTCTACTTCCTTGACCAAGATGCTGATGAATGAAGGCCCACAGTCCCAGAAACGTCATCGAAGTCATCGAATTGTCTATATTGAATTTCAACACATCTTTCGCTTAGTTTTTTGGATCTGTTGTTCAGGTACTCTGTGTTGGAACGTCGTGGCTATTTACTCTATCCATTCGTACGCATATTCCGAAGATCGCGGAAGTGAAACCCTAGTTGCCTAGGGCTACGGGCCTTTTACCTCAGGCGAAAGATTACTCAGCTCGTCCTAAAGTGGTTAGACTACACCACTATATTAACTGAGATTTCGGCGCAACTTCTTTTTCCTCTCCATACCACTCCCAGTGTTTTGCACAGAACGGGCTACTACACGATGGTAGCCTGGTCTTTATTGACGCGGGCCTTCACTGGACTTCGTTATGGGAGTGGTAGATAAGATTTCTTGTCACTCTGTATCTGCTGCTCTTGATGGAGACATCTGATGGAAGCGGTTCGTTTTGTAGTGATACATTCCTCATCTCATCATTGAAGTGGTAGCATGTTCTGCCACTTTAAAATATTCTAGCTTGTAGAGACCAGAAGGCTTGCATATAATACTTCGAGCCGGCTAGGCAATGCTTTCCCAAGCATGACTCGTGCCGGGCGCGCCGAAGGTTGTGCCTGCAACCCGTATGGTAGCTGGACTCTTAAGCTCTCCAATCTGGACAGCACCTCCTCTCGGGGAAAGCAAGAGGCTTGATGTGTTGAACCGTCTGCTCGTCGCGGAAACAGCTGCACGGTACAAGCTCTCACTCCTGCGCCCCGGCTTCAATCACCCGAGCCCGAATAATCTTGAGCTCATCGACTGGCTTATCCTCCGCACCGGTCTTGACGAGTCCCATGCGCTGGATCACTCTCATGCCACTCTTGACTCGGCCGAAAATCGTGTGCTTTCCATCCAGCCAAGGTGTTGGCGCAAGAGTAATGAAGAATTGACTACCATTGGTATTTGGTCCACTGTTCGCCATGCTCAGAATTCCAGCGCCGGTGTGTTTCAATTCTCCTCGAATCTCGTCCTCGAATTTGTCGCCATAGATAGAGCTACCTCCTCGACCGGTGCCGGTGGGATCGCCGGTTTGGACCATGAAGTTAGGGATGATGCGGTGGAAGATGACATTGTTGTAGTAACCACGTTCGGCGAGGGTCGCGAAGTTTTTGCATGTCTGGAGAACAGACTATTAGCAGACTTCCCTGGGGGCGCAGCGGAGAGATTCATACCTTAGGCGCGTGGGTTCCGTAGAGCTCCACGGAGAAGGAGCCCTGTGGGACGTCAGTAGAAGATTTCATAAGGAGAAAAGTGTAACTTACCATGGACGTGTCAAATGCCACCTCAGTTGCCATGATGAAGACGTGTTGTAAAGCAAAGATCTAAAGAAGAAAGCTTCTCAGAGAGTTCGCGGGATGAGCTAAGGTTACGGAAGAGTACAGCGACCACTGAGTCTCAATTCCTATTGGGTCTATTTGTCTGGCAGAAAATCAGGGCATTTAGCGTTGACACTGGACAGCTTTCAGACTTTCTTCAAAACATCTCTCTGTTTTGATAGCAAGTTCTGGTCTGCAGGCTCTGTTGTTCCGGTTTTCAGAAGGCAAGCACTTTTGCTTGATTGTTTTCAATATTCTATATATCGATCAAAATGCACAATCAAGAAAACGAGCACAATGTTGATTCTGAATTAGACAAACAACTGGTTCATGAAAACATCATCATTAAACGAGAATAAAATTCCCAACAGCATGATCTTCTCATATCTATCAGTTTCTGTATGCCAATTTCCAACCCATTTTGAGGCCAGTCAGCACTTAAGCCAGTCGGCTCGGCTCCTCAGAGGGCCTCCCTGGGCTACATATTGGAAGATGTAGCATATACCAATAGTTAGACAGCACATTTCGATTGAGAACTTCTGATTTGTTAAGACGAACAAAGAAATGCTCTCTAGAACTTGAACACCTGAGAAGATAGAACAACATGAGCAGTTGAAATTATATAGATCGGGCGGAGTAGAGAGCGGTGAGTTATATCCTCTGATGTCGTTATCTCTGCCTGTGAAGGTAAAGAAGCTTGGCAGATTGCCTCAAAGAATCTCCTAGAGACAACATCCTTAGGCAACAACCCTCTGGGCCACGATGGTCTAAAATATTCGTTTCCCCCCCTCTGAATCTACTGTCATCTGTCTCGTGTTTACGACTTACGACTTCCTGTCTCTGGAACCACCATGGCTGATGTCAGCCCTGTTGCGGAGCTGCTTGGCCAGGCCCTCTACCACTTCGACCGTTTGAGACCACTTCTTCCCACATACGGACACCTACTAGTTTCCGCTCTTTTCCCGATCTGGATCGGTGCGCATGCATCTTTGACAAGACCTTCGTCCGCTGCCAAACCCTCGAAGAAAAAAGCCAACAAGGATAAAGATGAATATGACACGGATGACGAAGAGGGACAAGGTCCATTGCAGAAGATGGAAGGGCTTGAGCCATCAGATGCATTGATGTTTCCGTTGACTGCGGGACTCACGCTGGGTGGTCTATACTTGGTGATCAAATGGTTGGAAGATCCAGCGATCTTGAACAAGATACTCAGCTTCTACTTCTCCCAAATGGGACTGTTCTTTTCATTTGCATTCTTGAAGGATGTCCTCTTGATGATTCGTTCATTTGTGTTTCCCAGGTACTACCGTCAAGGCAGACGGTTGTGGAAAGTGAAACAGTCTGAACGCTTTTTCATCACCTCCGAGAAGGACACTTCAGGCAATTCGCCCTCTATGCGCCATTCACCTCTCCCTGGGATTTTGGGTTTGGTTCCACTCCCACGTATAGTGCTGGCATTGCTTTGGAAATCCCGGGGTGTTTCCTACCAGCGTCTCAAGGTGCGGGCTCATATACGCGGCTTGTTTGACTTCAAATGCCTTGTTGGCCTCATTGATATCATCAGCGGAATCCTTGCATTGTCGGCTATAGGTTACTTTGCATTTGTGGCAAATCCATGGTGGTTGACTAATTTCCTCGGATTCTGCTTCTGCTACGGTACTCTGCAGTTCATGTCTCCCTCCACGTTCTGGACCGGTACCCTCATTCTGGGTTCCTTGTTTTTCTATGACATCTACTTCGTCTTCTTCACGCCACTGATGGTCACTGTTGCAACCAAGTTAGACGTGCCAATCAAGCTCTTGTTTCCTCGCCCACCGACCGCTAGGGATGCTCCTGGTTCCGTGCCATTGGCCATGCTTGGATTGGGTGACATCGTCATCCCGGGAATGATGATTGGGCTGGCACTTCGCTTCGATCTGTTCCTCTACTACCAGAACAAGGGCGTCCAAAAGGCACGTATCGAAGGTTCTGACCAGGCAATCGCCAAACCTGAGTATCAGTCGGCAACCGGCGATTGGGGAGAGCGCTTCTGGGCACCTTCAATCAAGCCTGACTACCCCGAACTCCAGCCGCCCTACTTTGATGCCCGGCGTTTCCCAAAAACTTACTTCAAAGCCAGTATAGTCGGCTATGTTGTTGGAATGATCACCACTCTACTTGCGATGCAATATTCGAACCACGCCCAACCCGCTCTTCTCTATCTTGTACCAGGTGTTCTGGCCTCGCTTTGGGGGACTGCGCTCATTCGAGGTGAGATCGATACAATGTGGGATTTCTCTGATGCCGAGGAGGTAGAAGTTGAGGATCTCAAGAAGGAAAATGAAGTCGAGGACAAGCCCTCTGCCCAAGCTCAGAAGAGTTTCTTTATGCGCATCTTCTCCAGTGAATCTTCACGCGCATCAACCGATGAAGACACAACGCAGGCTGAGAAATCAGAAGCGAAGAAAATTGATGACTCCAAACCTGAGGGGAAATCATCCGAAGGCGAGCGTGATGCGAAGGCGAAGAAGCACAAAAAGGTCCGTGACAGCTCGGACTTGATCTCATTCTCTGTGTCAATTCCTCGCAAGTCGAAGGATAAGCTTGAGGTCAGTTGGTCAAAAAGCTCTACAGAGGACGAGGATGAGGCAGTCCCTGTTTCCAGAGATGTCAATGGAGACGACGAGCCGCCACTGAAGAGAAGGCGACGCAGCATGATGAACAAGAAATGAATATATTAGCGATATGCTCATGCGTGTTTAGCAAAAGCAGCATATTAGTGATATCAATTATTTTGTGGGAGTATCAGCTCTACAACTACTGGTTTTACTGTCGGGCATAGCTCCATATTCTAAAAGCCGGAATGGCAAAAAATTACTTGTAGTGGTATCATTCATTGTATTGCATATCAATTCGCTCAGCATTGATCCAAAATCCGCTTCATTTCATCCCATCTCTGGGCAGAAATATCCACAAGCTGCCGCAGATCATCGCTATCCACAGTCCAGCCACCGTGCTTCTCCATCTTCAAAATAACCGTCTTCCCTTCCTGCTTGTCAACAACAACACAAGCCCGCTCTTGACTCAAACCCTCTTCATATCCATCCGGATCCGCAAGGATCCATCTTTGCTGAGCACCCTTCTTCTGCTTCAGCTCCTCAGCATCGGGAATGACAATCGCCCTCCAGCCGGCAGCGACATCGCCCTCGAAGGAACAGAACGAGCTTGCAACAGGCAATCCACGAAGAGACAATTTATGCGCATCGGCAACATCGTCCGAGCAAAGAATCGTCTCGTTATCAGCATCCCACCAAGCCTTAGGGAGCTTAGTGTCACGCAGCGCAGCCAATACAGAGGCCCAGGCCGCATCGAATGGGTTTCCAGCCAGAGAAATGATCATGACATCAATGTAGAGCACCCAGAAAGCCTTGATCTCGCGCTCGGGTCCGCCGCTTTCTTCTGTATCCACATCCATGCCCTCGCCCGCATTGCGGAATTCTTCCGATGCCAGATTCGGTGGCTGGTACCAGATGCGCAAGTCATCCGCTCGGACGAGATTTGTGGTGTGCAGGAGAGAGAGAAGTTGGTGAGAAAGAGACTGGGCCAGCGCGGAAGGTGGTGCGCCGGGTGTAAAGCCTGGCGCGCAGCCAGTGCTGAGGGAAAGGTTGGGAACCAGCAGGTTCAGATCTTGGATGTGGCCTTGATCGTCTTCATCTTGGGAGCTGGAGTCTCCAGATTCACTTGATTTGCCAGATTCGTGCTCCGATGAGGCTTGGAAGACGCTCCAGGAAGCGATATCCTTTGTGTGTAGAATTTCTGCGCGGACACCGCAGACAGCGGCTGTGTCGCCGATTCGTACGACTGCACTGCCATTTGTGTGTGTTAGGGAGCCAGCATTGGCGGATGTGACACGGAATTGTGAGGTCGCGCGACCATTGGCGCGGACTGAGGGCTGGTTGCTCGCTGGTGGAGGAGAGAGGTGGGCGAGAAGGTAGGCGTGAGGTTGGAGGCGGGCGAATTGCGACGGTGGTAGGGATAATGACGGTGCTGTCGGGTTACTGGGTGTAGCAGAGGACGCCATGACTTAAGAAAGACTCTCTGCTCGTTTTCAAGACTGATGTGGAAATGATCGAAGATGCAGAAAAAGGCGACGAGCATGAGATGGCAGAATAATTTCCTATCGAAGGCGGTCGGAGCTGTACTTGATGCCTGGGGCATCAACCTTTATCTGCCAAGACTTTGGTCCAGTGGGGCTTGTTGTATACAACCTTCATCTTAGGAACATTGAGATTCCTGAATTCCCTTAAGCTAGTTGACCAGGTGATAGCTTGGCCAAATGGATTAATACTGAGACAAACTTGGATATGGTACGAGAGTTTAGGTATCTCCTATGTCTGGGTGTATACAGGGTATCACAGGATGAGATCACCATCTGCAGGAACAATGCTCCTCTGAGGCCTATAGGCGAGGTGTGCCTCTGCTTGCCCGCATGAATATAATACTAAATTACCCGATAGGTGGTTATATACTCCGTACCTATTTTTGACAATCATGCTTGGTTTTGTTATGGCAAAGACTAGCTCATGGGACCACATCTCTTACCTCTGCTAATGTCCACCTGAGTACTTCGGAGTGCTTGAATCCCAGCAAATGTGAAATCTGCTCCTCATGCTACTTGATGGAAGCACCGGCTGTTCTTAGAAGTCACGAGTATCGGGTACGCTATTACCCATGATCCTATGTAATGTGGCGTACTAGGCATTTAAGTCCCTCAATCCTATGTTGTATACTCCGTACTCCGTACCGAGGACAACAAAGTTTCCACACGACAAGACCTATATTTGGCAAATAAGTGGCACAATCGAAGATAATGACAGTAGATGCTGGCTATAATTGGACACGGACTTGTCCACCAACATATTAATAGTGAAAGTTGAGAAGGTGATGTTCTACATCTTCCCCACCACGCTAATGCGGGCCGGTCACCCCAGTCACTCTGCGGCCATTATCACCGCCTGTGATTGGGCTTTTGAGCGCTAAACCATCACATATCACTGGAATCTCCCTCCGCACTGAACTCGGGACCTCTGCCACTATGGCGAAACGCCTGTACTTCGAGAAATCGGTCTGCAAGGGTCATCTTCAATTGGCTCAATGTCTAACCCGCCATAATTTTTGGTCCTTGGACTTATGCCATCACAACGCCGAGACTGCAAGCTTGGGCAACTCCCCACATCTTTACTCCATACATCTAGACGGATTTTCCCCCAAAATTTCCTTTCTTTTTTTACTCTGATGACATCAACATTGACCCAGAGCTTCAGTGAAGGCATGATATCAGCCCGACTATAATCCAAAAGAGGAAGACGATTGTACGCAGGTGATATCTACAGGTAGGTGAATGCACGAGGGAGCCATTAATTAGAATTGATCTCACCAGACGCATTCGCAGACAAATATTACCCTCGGTTGTCGTCGGCCAACGCTTTGCAAGATGTTGAAGTCCGCCATTTCCCTCGCCAAGCGCATCAATGTCGCAATCACGGCATCAACAACTGCAGCTGAGATAGCTGAGATGGAACGAGATCCATGGTCTAAGTCGGCAAAGTACGGGGAAGGGTTTGTATATTTCGCTGTTGTGCTGTTGGCCGTCACGACTTTCGTTCGATGCTGGCACATATGGGGCGATAAGATGCGGATTGCTTTTTATAGAGAGAACCGACCAAATATCGTGCGTGACGACTCAGTTCCAGACGAGTATGAGCTCCCGAGTGCAGGCACTGATGCTTCCAACGCTCAATTCTTTCCATCTCCAACCGCAATTGCTCCTCCCAAGAGGCACGAATCGCTTCTTGCTAGAATAGTCCCGTTGAACAAGGCAATCGCCTTCATGCGATGGATCTTCTACCGGCCTATTCCGGTCCTGAGGATTGGCGCGGTCGAGTTTGTTTCCCCATCTCTGGCAGTGACGGCGATTGTGCTAGCTGCGTTCATCTTTGTTACGCTATATTGTTTTGTACCACAGCCTTTATACTACTGGTCAATTTCGCTCGGATCACCGCCACTGGCTATTCGCGCCGGTATGCTCGCAGTAGCTACGATCCCCTGGATTGTCGCACTCAGCACCAAGGCAAACTTCATCAGTATGATGACTGGCCTTGGCCATGAGCGGTTAAACGGGTTGCACCGTTGGTTAGCCTATATCTGCCTCTTCCTCAGTTTGGTCCATACGGTTCCTTTCTACATCACTCCAATCTGGGAAGATGGTGCTTTGATCAACTACCGCGCAGGTATCCCACCGCATGCCTATGTATATGGTACTGGAATTGCAGCGCTGGTTCCCCTACTCGTGCTGTGTGTCCATTCGCTCCCAGTCTTGCGCAACTGGATGTATGAGGTTTTTGTTTTTGTCCACATCCCAGTCTCGTGGGTCTTTGTGGCGATGCTCATCTGGCACACAAGAAACTACCTGTCATCATGGGCTTATCTTTTCACAACCATTGCCATCTGGATCGTCTCATATATCATCAGGCTGTTCTACCTGAATTGGATGAACCCTTTGCGCTCATCCTTCTTAATCGGAGAAGAATCGGCCATAACTCTTCTTCCACAAAATGCTATCAAGGTCACCATTCCCACGAAGATGCGCTGGCGGCCTGGTCAGTACGTCTACCTCCGAATGCCAAGAATTTCCGCAATTCAAAGCCACCCTTTCACAATCGCCTCTCTTTGCAGTGACGACTTTCCTTCTGCATATGGTGAGAAATACCGGGACATGACACTAGTTTTCCGTCCATTCCATGGTTTCACACGAGAAGTATTCCAGAAGGCTTTGGAACATGGTCCTTTCAGAATATACAGCGCATTTGTAGAGGGACCTTATGGTGGTATGCAACGCGAGATAGCTGCCTTTGATGATGTGGTTTTCTTCGCTGGCGGAAGTGGTATCACCGCTATTGCGAGTCAGTTGCTAGACCTCATCAAAAAGATTCGCGATGGCAAGGCCATCACCAAGTCAGTTAAGGTCATTTGGGCGCTCAAGAGTCCAGAGACGATGGAGTGGTTCCAAGAGGAACTGCGAATCTGCCGTGACTACGCACCTTCGAATATCGTGAGCTGCCATTTCTTCCTCACTGATGTGAAGCAAGAAGACCAAGCCGGACGGGATATGGTCCAGGAGAAAATTTATGGCATGCTCCAGGGCATAGATAAGCGCAATTCGGCTTACATCCGCGCTGAAGCAGGCGGGAACCCTGACATAGAAAAGGAATTACGCCGTGAGAACGAAGATGGCATTTCTGCTCTTCCCAATGCACATGCGGCATCTCATGTGGCCAATACCCGCCAATACTACCAGCCTGCTGCTCCTCTTGGGCCAGCTGGGCATGGCAACCCAACCTTTGACTTTGGATTCGGCGCACCCCAGCCTGTGCCACAAAGGCCACCACCGGCACCTGCACCCCGGTTTGCCCATTACCAAGCACGTGGGCGCGATAACTGGCGCACCGATTACTTCCGACCAAACATCTCTCAGATGGTCAATGAGTTTTCTAAAACCTTTGGTCGCCGTGCGTGTGTTTTCGTCTGCGGCCCACCCAGCATGCGAGTTGAGGTCGCTACTGCGGTAGCTAAATTGCAGTTACAAGTGATGACCGACTCTTCAAAAGATGAGATCTTCTTGCATGCTGAGAACTATGATATATAATGTAGCGTTGCTGTCTCCTGTTATTTTGATACCCCGGGCGTTGCAATTACATGAACATATTGCCAGTTCTTTCAATTTTGAAATCCCATGCATGGAGGAGTACATTGCAGTAAATCATTTCTCATATCTAGACTAAATATCATCATGCACATAGTCGGAATGCAGTACAGGCACGGCTCTAAGCAGATGAACAGGGTATCCTGGGTATATCATAAAAACCATACATGCATGACACATGTCACTGAACCTAGGGCTTCTGGCTGTCATCTTCAGCTTTGCGCTTGCGCGAGAACATGTCCTGTTTTTCAAGAACTTGTGACTCGTTCAAATGCTGTATTCCATGGTCACCTTCATTGCCATCCTCCACCTCTACCTTCTCCCAGTCTTCATCTTCCTGTTCACCACAAGAAGCGGTCGTCTGGGGGTTACTTTCTTTCTGAACTTGCTCTCCAACTTCTGTGTTCCAGTCCAAATCTAGGCGCACAATTTTCGCGCCCGACGGCTTCAGTCGCCGATAATATTCGGCTACATCACCGTCAACCCTAAATCCACGCGCAATATACCACTCTAGACCTTCATCATTTGCCTCATGAACATGTGCTGTCACAGAGCGAATGTTATAGTGCTTGACAAGCTCAGATACACGGTATGAGTCCTTTGTCTTGCGGTTTGGCGGCGACGCAAATAGGAGTGAATTCAACAGCGACGTCGCCACGCCCTCACCTCTATAAGGAGAGAGGAGATGCAAAGTCTGGATGTAGAGATTTGTGGGTTCTCCGTTGCCTTGGGTTTGGTTATCATGACCCGAGTCACCTGGCTGTTGGATTCTCTCTAGCCGACACCGGATGCCCCCGATCACTTTGTCCGTTCCAGCAGATGCACCGGACTTTGGGGCCGCAGCAACAGGATGATCATGGTAAATAGCAACCCGCGAAAGAGAAGCGATCACTGGATCAGTTATGATAGCCGTATAGAACGAGTTTGGGTAGCGGATTGGAAGGAGTAGGCCCGTGATCCGCGTCAAAGAAGGGATATGCGCCGTGTTGACTTTCTCAACCGTTATATGCGGGTGTGGGGTCGCAGTACCCGCTGGAATCTCATGAAGATATGGATCAAAGCTCTCTTCTTTTGGGCGTTTGAGCCCGGACGCGCTTGCGACAGCTGATTGCGGCGGTTGGACTGGAGGGGGGTGGATTGGAGGCCGGGAGGCGTGGCGGTTCGCCGGTGGGGGAGACAGCGAAGCTGAAGTAGTCGCTGTCCTTGACTGATTCCTTGCAAAGAACTGGTAAGCCATTTTTGAGGGAAGTGGCATGTTATTTGCGAGTGAAGCAGAGAGACAGCGAATGCGGAGATGCGATAAGATAAGCCAGTGAACAACTTGCCCGGGCTCCAGCCTCATCCGTCTCTTCATCTCCCCGAGTCACATTTCACTCGCATGCAAATAGACACCTCAATAGGTCAGTTCCCTATTTGCTATTCATTAGTGTTTCTCATTGTATGAGTCAATGGAGCACCTTCATTGACCACACCGTCTTCCCCTATTGTTGCTGGCTATTGATCATACTTCCCCCCAATATTGAACCTCACTGACAAGAGGGCCTACACCAGGCCATATAGTCTAGCCTTCCCAATAGTTTCCTCTCTCTTTCTCCCATTTCGGCTTCTATGTTTTGGGATCCTTCTCCACTCTTCTCTCTTTCACAACAGTGTACCCATTGCGTCAACCCTGCACAGATTTCCAGTACATGGAGAACTAAACCTCGGACCTAGCGGTTCGGAGCACTCACTACCTGTGTCGCAGGCAGACACAGCCGTCGGTCATTCAAGACCGGGCGAGAAATATTCTGCGCATCCAACTCCGGCCGCAATCCGATAATGGCCGACTCCAACAACAGCAGTGGTCGCAGGCCGACCTACCCTGCCGGAACGATCGCCAAAGTGGTACATTCGCGCCAGAACTTCAAACGAAGTGCAATATAGGAGCTAATGACTTTATTCTTAGGCCACGGATATCCTGAACGAGACTTTCCAAAACATCATTCATGACCTTGTCGCCAAAGCTCACCGTGAAGAGAAGGTGGCGCGCATGCGGTCTGCGGTGGTAGTCGCACGACAGAAAGCGGAGGAAGATGCAATTATGCCCGAGGAAGCGCCTAGCAAAACCTCAACTGATACCAAGAGAGAGATTGTCCTTGATACCAAAAAGCTTGCGAGTATGCGCGTGGAGACGGATGCGGCCGTGTACGACCGCGGAAAGGTTTTCCTCAAGGGCAATCCGCTACAAACCGTGAAAGAGCATGTCTGTCCTGATTGTCGTCTTCCGAAGCTCATGTACCCAACTACCGGGGCTTGTTCTCGCCCCTCTCCCGATCCCCGTGCCGAGTACTGTGCGAATGTACCCATGATTAATTTACCTGGCCATGACGTCCACGGCAAGCTGTTTGCGATAATGCCGAACCCCAAGAAGAAGAAAGGTGACCGAGACAGCACCATCCCTGAGATCCCAACCACCAAATGCCCAATCTGCCCTCGTTACTTTGTCATGACTCGTCTCGCCCAACACCTTGAGCGCTGTGTGGGCGGCGGCCGCAACGGCGGCCGCAACAAAACTCCTACGGACAGCGGCGCCAGCAATGGCAACAGTCCCACTTCTTCATCACACAAGCGCTCCTACGCAGACGATGATGAAGAGAGTCCCAGTCCCACCAAAAAGAAGAAGCTGAACGGGCCCAAGAAGGGCTCCAGCAACAAGCCCGGGCCCAGCAAGCTCAAGCAATCCTTCACGGTGGAGGACAATGACGACGACATCAAGAGCGAGCACGCGGACTGAACTCTCATTCATTTCTCATACCCTTTTTCCTATCATGGTGTCAGCGGCGTTTGAGCTTTGTTTTTAGGGTTGGTCATATCCCACGGCGTCTTTGGGTCTGGTTTGGTGTGGTCATGGTTTGACCTCACCTTCGAATAAATCTGCATAGATGAATGATGACGAGGGGGGTGGAATTTGTAGGATGTACATTACTTCATACCATCAAATACAATTGATCAAGGTATTGCAAACAACATGCTTCAGCTTTAGTCATAATAGGAGTTTTTAATCTGTCAAGGTAGTAAATAGTATATGAGTAACTCTTGTACTCACTCTAATCTACTGTAGACATGTAGTGAACTAAAACCGAATCATATGTGAAGGACGTCCAAGGTGAGAGACTATTAGTCAAGTAATACCGGTGATTCACTTCAAAGCCTTAAGTTGTCTATAGTGCAACAGCAGCCCTTGATGACACGACACTGTCTTATCTATGGTATGTCCTTCTTATATTCCTACATCCATAAATGCAAATAGGATCTCGCATTTGAACATAGATTGGGATCACCTGACATGTTGATCTTTAGACCTGAGACCGGCTAGCATCTATGCACCTGTTATCGTTTCAATATTACGAGCATTGACACCGCTCTTACATATATTTCAGGGGTTTAATCACTTCCTGCACATAACAGGCCTTCTCTTTGCTTCGAATATTAGATCAAACCCTGAATTCCTTGCTGTCTCGAGACATGTTGACGTCCCTGCTACGGTCCTTCCCTCGGCTTGGACGAAGATGGGCACCGCTTAACTTTTCCAACCCAAATTTCGCCCGGATAGCAACCAGCGAAGTAATTGAAGAAGAGACCATTCCAGGCTATCTTGCTGCCCGGTACTACCCTACCCAAATAGGGGAGATCTTCAAGGACCGATATCAAGTGGTGGGAAAGCTAGGATTTGGGGCTAGCTCGACTGTTTGGCTAGCACGAGATATGGAGTAAGAGGCCCATAAAATCTCTTTCTGGGATACATATTGAAGATCATGCCATAAATCGTTCACTGACTCACTATATAGCCACCGTCGATATGTCACCCTCAAGATGTTTATCAAATCTACATCAATGGGGCAACAATTGAACAATGAGCTTAATATCTACAGACGTATCGAAGGAGCCTCCCATAGACATCCAGGATACAAGTACGTCAGATCATTACTTGACTCCTTTGATGTCCATGGACCCGAAGACAAACATCGATGCCTTATCCATCCTCCACTATGGGAGAGTTTATTGGCTTTTCTGTTCTCTAACCCAATACGGCGACTCCCTACGCCAGTTTTAGCAGTTACACTCCACCGTCTATTTTTGGCGTTGGATTTTCTGCATACAAATTGTAAAATTATACATACCGGTAAGCATTCTTGTGCTACGTTCTGATATATTGTTGACACATAAATTCATCACATATCAGATATCAAGGCAGACAATATCATGTTTGGTATCAACGATGATTCCGTTTTTAGGGAATTCGAAGCGAATGAGCTTCAAGACCCGAGCCCTAGGAAGGAAATCGACGGAAGAACTATTTACATTTCCCGCCAGCTCGGATTCCCCAAGAGCCTGGGTGCCCCAATTCTCTGTGATTTGGGGTCAGCGGTATTCGGTGATGAAGCACACACAGAAGATATCCAGCCTGATATCTATCGAGCTCCAGAAGTAATCCTGCAAGCTCCATGGACATATAGCGTCGATATCTGGAACGTGGGATGCATGGTAAGAAAGCCAATACTGGACCGTAGTCTTAAGCTTACCTTTCAGGTTTGGGATATCTTTGAAGGAGGGTCCTTGTTTACTGGCCAGGACCCGGAGTTTCAGACTTATCGAAGTCGAGCTCATCTCGCAGAAATGATACGTCTTCTCGGTCCGCCGCCGCCAAGTCTCCTTGCACGAGGCAACTTGACTTCGAAATTCTTTTCAAAAGGTAGGTCATCTATTATCTAGTCTTGTCGGTGAGGTGAGAATTAACTCTTTTCGTTGGAATTCTTAGATGGTTTCTGCGCCGGTGTTCCAATCCACGAACATGTTTCGCTCGAAGATAGGGAAACCACCCTCAAAGAACATGACAAGGAGAGATTTATCCACCTCATGCGGAAGATGTTGCAGTGGGAGCCAGGAACACGAAGCTCGGCTAGGGAATTAGAGCAAGATGAGTGGGTGCAGTCAGAAATACATAAATAATTGCCGTGTCTCGAGACAATGACAGTCTAAGAGGAATCTCAGGCAGATCGAGTTGGCTACTACTTCGTATATAGAGATCGAACAGTTTCCAAGCCATCAACCTACAATTCACACCATGTCCAGAGCTTCCACATGGTAACGAGATAGCTCCCAGTTACTGCTCAAGTGCAGACCTCAATGCCAATGAAGCTCCATCCCAGTCAATAAGAGAGCCATTGAGAAGAGAATTCATAAGATTTGCGCAATATGTACCAAATTTTCAATCTAACAAGGGCTGTACATAAAGCTTTATAGCTTTAAGATAGTATTAATCACCTAGTAGATGATACGGGGGATCTTCGCTTTGTGTTCAGAGAGACTCGATGCTCAGGTGGTTTGGCCCTGGCTCCAGGCCCCCCTGGGGGGGGGGTGATGCTTAATAAGTGCGGGGATCCCCGAGCTTCTCACAATGTTTCCTTCGCCACTCACAGGGCACTACAGATTTTCTAACATGGCCGACCTTAAAACATGGGCAGCTCCTCGACTCTCTGAGCTTCTTCCGCTAGATCCAGAGTCTCTTTCTCAGGTTATCGACTACGCCGTCAGCCTCTCCAGGGAAGCATGTGCAGATCACCTCAAAAATCTCCTTGGCGATTCACCAGCGGCCTTGGAATTTATCTCTTCGTTTAATTCACGACGAGAACCTCAGCGCCCACCCCCGAACACCTCACAAAGCCGAGATGCAACGAGGTCAGGCGGAGGAGCCAAGAAGGGCAAAAAGAAGGCTCCGCTACACAGCGCCGGCCCACCACGGCGACCCGATAACTACGGCGATGTAGGAGGTGGCTACAAAAAAGCCGAGGAGGAAGACTATATGTCCTCTCGCAAACCAAATGCTTCAAATCTTGCAGCATCTCAGCCTGGTTCCTCGTTCTCGTCGCGCATTCCGTCACGCAATCCCTCGCCCTTACCCGCCTCGACCCCGAAGCCACCGCCATCCGCAAGCGGCCCCACGATCTCCGACATGTTACCAAACGTGCGGTCAAAGACGAGCAAGTCAACCCGACAGGGTACCGGGGCAGGATCATCTTCCAAGGGTGGCGCGTCTCTCACAACCAACGATATCTCTGATCTCACCGCGGCGATTGCCGCGTTGGAGGTATCAACAAATCCGAGTTTGGGAGAGAGGCGCAAATGCACTTGTTATGGGGCCCTGCATCCCGTGTTTGAGGCGGCCCCCAATTGTCTCAACTGCGGAAAAATTATCTGCTCACTTGAGGGCTTACAACCATGCTCATTCTGCGGCACACCACTCCTCTCTGCCGAAGAAGTTCAAGGTATGATCCGGGAACTAAGGGCGGAGCGAGGACAAGAGAAGATGCGCGTTCACAATGAAGGCGTTCATCATGAAGGGGGACCTAGACCTACCCCGGGATCCGAACCCACCAAGCTGGACGCCGCAAGAGCACACCGAGACAAGCTACTTCAATTCCAGGCCCAGAACGCCCGTCGGACCAAGGTTGTCGATGAAACAGCTGACTTCGAGACACCGAATATCGCATCAACCTTGTGGATGACGCCCACACAACGAGCACTGGCGCTCAAGAAGCAGCAGCGTATTCAACGTGAGATGGATGAGAAAGCTCGTCCTGAGTGGGAGAAGAAAAAGACTGTGATGAGCCTTGATATTAAGGGTGGCAAGGTTCGCCGAGTCTATCATTCCGCGCCGGCAGAACCAACCCCAGAAACCAGTGAGCCTGACACTGTTGATGAAGGAGGTGCAGAGGACCGCCCGCGAGGGGAACATTCTTTCAGCCGCAACCCTCTCCTCGCGGCTGGCGGTCTTATGCGACCTGTCTGGCGTGCCCCAGAGGGCAAGAAAGTGGAAGAAAATGCGCAAACCGAAAAGAAACAGACCTGGAGACGTGTGCAAGATGATAACGATGACAACGAGCAGTGGATTCTAGACGGAGGACTACACGGACATACCACTTCAACATAATCGGAGAAGAAATTTAGGCGCAAGCGCTAATCAACGAGCTTAAAAAAAAAGCACCCTTTCTGGCCATTCTCATAAGCCTGAACCGACCACCCCATGAAGCAATTTACAGCGGCTGGTCAAAGCTCCATTTTTCTATGCTGCACGTCATTGTTTTGCGGCAAAGCGTGGACACCCCTTATCCCCTGATTTTGTGCGGCCCCAGATTCTTCATGTCAGAAATCCTGGAGACGCCGGCAAATGTCCTTGCGGATATTTGATCCCCTGCTAGAATTCGGTTAATAGCGGTGGCATTACGCACAATTTCCAAGGAAATCCGAGCCAGTGGAGCCGATAGAGGGGTGTCTCTCCTAGTAGGATGCTACTGCATAACCGAATCCGTGCATGACGACAGCCTGGCATAAATAGAAAGATACATCTGTGTTATATTTGTATCAAACGAGACAATGAACTTCAACGATTCCCGCCAGCCCTCAAGTAAAAGCCGTCATTTCTATCTCCTTACTTCATAGAACCTCGAGAACACCCCGATCCCCCGCAAAAGTACCAAGCATCAAGCAGAGCTTCCCCGTGGATCCCATAAAGTCAATAGTACATAGATATTTAAGCATAGCCAATCACCGGCGCTGGATTGGACAGTATCATCTCAAAACAACCGCCTATAACCGAGTCAGAACACAGCCATTCATTATCCTAGAAACCAGTATCATTCACTGGGGATCCATTGCATCCCGTAAGAGCAGCCTAGTCCATTGTCCGGGTCCGTCGTCATTGACCGTGAGCCTCGGTTGGGAGCGGATATCTGCGGCGGGCGGCAGCCGAAGTATAAAGCAAAAGTTTGAGACATCGACGATACCTTGGCCATTATTCCCCGGTTCCTGGATGATCACATCTCACAATGTTCGTTGAATCTGTACTGGAGTGTTTTTCGCTACAGAGGTTGCTGGGAGGGTTAGTAGGGCTATTAACGATAGCGGTATGCATATCCTGTCCTTCTGGTGCTCTTGGTATCAGTCGTATACCCAGTTCCACAAAGTAGCAGATTAGGAAGTAGGAACATAACGCTGACTTTTCTTTCAGACCATATCCTATGCACTCTACAACCGCTTCATCCACCCGCTTCGCCGTATCAACGGCCCCTTCCTCGCATCTATCACTCCCTGGGTCCAACTCTACCATGGCCTAAAAGGCGACCGCCATCTCTGGCTACATGAGCTGCACAAGCAGTACGGGACACATGTGCGTGTCGCACCGAATTTCATCTCCATCAACTCGGACCGTGGACTGCATGATATTTACGGGCACGGGAAACGCCTCCAGAAGGCTAAGTTCTACAATGCGTTCCCTGCTATCAAGGGCGTATATAACACGCATAATGCTATTGATAAGACCATGCATGGGCGCAAGAGAAGAGTGCTTAGCCAGGCCTTCTCGGAAAACGCCCTCAAGGGTATGGAGGATGTGATGCTCCTCCATGTGCGTCAACTGTGCGCCGTGCTGGCTGGGTATGATGGCAACTTCGATTCGCATGATCAGAAGGGCAATGTTAAGAATATGGGTGATTGGTTCAGTTATCTCTCTTATGATGTGATGGGGGAGCTTTGCTTCGGCAAGAGCTTCGATATGCTTATCTCGGAGAGTCTGAGATACAAAGTTGGTCTTGTGGATCGTGCTGCGAACAGACATTATGTGGTAAGTACTTCACTCCTCTTCTCCCTGTGCTGTGTCTTTTGCAGCTTTGGGACCCTATATCTGATTGCTTGATAGTGTGGACTCTGGATGCCTTTGGACACATGGGGTCTGGACCAGATCTTCATTCGCAAGTTGACCCGTGACCGGTGGAACTTCATTATGAACTCGCGTGTTGAGGCCAACGAGCGCGCTAAGGAGCGTACCCAGATTGGCCGTGACGCCAAAAAGGACTTCTTCTATTACCTGTTGAATGCAAAGGACCCGGAGACTGGAAATGGTCTCACCACGCCTGAGCTGTGGGGCGAGTCGAATGTCCTCATGATTGCTGGCAGTGATACTACCTCGACCACCCTGGCAGCGACACTGTTCTACCTTGTTCGGCGACCGGATGCACTGGCGAAGCTATGCGCCGAGGTGCGCGGCGCTTTCAAAGAGGTCGAAGAGATCGTGACCAGCAGCCAGCTCGGCGAATTGGTGTACCTCAAAGCATGCATTGATGAAGCCCTGCGTCTGGCCCCGGCCGTGCCAGGTGCAATTCCTCGCGAAGTGATGGAAGGCGGTGCTATAATCGATGGCGTTTTCCTACCTGCCGGGACAGACTGTGGTACCCCGACATACTCCATCCACCGCCAGGAGCGATACTACCGGGAAGCCGGGACCTACGTGCCTGAGCGTTGGATCGAGGGTGCGACCTGCGTGGCGGCTGGGACGTCGTGGCAGACAACCAAAGAGAGCATTGAGACTGCGCGACACGCATTCTGTCCGTTCAGCATTGGGCCTCGTGGATGTATTGGCAAGAGCATGGCGTTCATGGAAATGCGATTAACGCTAGCGCGACTAGCTTTCCTCTTTGATATGTCGTTCGCAGATCATCAAGGTGAAGATGCGGGGGGCCATCTGGCGCTGACCGATCATTTCACCAGCGCGAAGAGCGGACCAAATGTTGTTTTTCGACGCAAGTAAACATTAGCATAGCATTTTAAATGGTCAATTTATGCCTGAAATTTTCATTTTCATTTTGAAATCAGTGGAAAAGTAGAAACTTGAAACCAAAAAACGTGTCGCCTCCTTAATCTCTCGGCCTCAGCTTTTTTCTCGCCCCCAACTTCAGGACACGGTTGCGCATCTTGGCATCCCTCGAGGCTTTAGACACCATTTACCTTTTTTTTAGTACATTCGATCTTACATGGATTAGTCTGATATCAACCCCAGGGGCTTCTTCATCATGCCCTCAGCCCTGGTCGTGACATTCGTGCAGGCGACCGTGCTAAACGCCATCTCAAACATCCTGGCACAGTTGATCGACCAGCGCAACAACGAAGTAAGCCCAAAAGAGATATTCAAAGACAAAAGAAACAACTAACAACATGCTAGGGACCATTTACTTTGAACTCGATTGCTTTCCTCCAGTTTGTGGGCTATGGCATCCTCATCGTGCCTCCGAATTTCTACTGGCAACGCGCCCTGGAAGCGCGTTACCCCGGATTTCCCACGCGTGCTGAATTCTCAAATGCATTCAGCGTCCAGTCCTTGAAATCGATTTTCTCGCCCCGTGCTTGTCTTTCCCTCTGTTCAAGGTCTAGTCCGGATGAAGCTCTCCCCAGTCACAAAGACAAGGAGAAGCCCCCAGCATCGACTCCTCAACCGCGAACTGGCCTGTATAGCTTCATGATGAAGTTTTTCTTTGACCAGACTGCTACTTCGGTTGTAAATCTTGTCCTATTTGTGGTTATTATCAATCTACTCAAGGGGGAAACTCTGGACCGCTCGTGGGGGTTGGTTGTTACGGTAAGTTCTTCCATTGGCGATTGTTATGATCTGTACAGATGCTGATTGTTGTAGGACTTCCGGCCAATTATGATTGCCCGGCTCAAGTATCGGCCTCTTGTCTCGGTCTTGATGTACACGGTCATTCCCGTAGACCGTCGGGTTGTCTTTGGGAGTGCTTGTGGAGTGCTCTGGGGCGTGTACCTGAGTCTCTATGCTGTGGTCTAGACACTCGCATTCTTTTTTCCATGTTGTTTTTAGCGTTGTACTATCAAGGACGATAGTACACTATCTGTTAAAAAGCGGGTCCATGTTCATTCGGTTATATCTCCAGTTTTCGACATTTGGTTTGTTTCAACATTATACGGGGTATAGATGGAGTATAGTGTGTGCTTATTTTCTCATTTTTGTTTTTGTTCTGTTCTCAAATCTTAGACGGCTATTTTCTCTTATCTTTAATTTTGAATTGATACTCGGGAGAAATCATAATTTCTATGCTCTATGTTCATTTGACATGAAAGGAGGATCATCCTTCAATGCGTGCGCCGTGGCTTGAGCTTCCACATTTTGGTCTCTTAGCCGTCGATCCCACCGTTCACGCCAATGATGGTCAAAGTCAATCGTCTTTTTAATTTATTGTTAGGTATGACTACATAGCACATGGACTGCACAGCAAGACGACTGTGGATCTCGCCATCCAATACCTGATGCTCATTTCGGGATGAGTTGGCTGTGACCCATTTCTACCCGGATTTTGTTACCGTTCACTAACACTCTCCCAGCCTCACCCAAGCCATGGAATGGCCCTAGTATGGAACATGGTAGTACAATTATCTACTGCCTGTTTTGAGCAGATAGAACATTGTCAGTAATCAAAGGACATTGGCACCTACGTCTTGAAGAAAGGGCAGGTCACATTAATGGGCCGTATTTTGAACACCACAAGAGCCCAGCGAGCACGATGTTATGTGGCCTGAGATGATCTCAGATACAAGTTCTCAATCCAGTTCTGAGTTTCCGATGATCATCCCCCTGTCACTGACGTCAATTGCCCTGGGATCTACTATATAGAATCCCTCCGCCTCCGTTGACACCCAAATGTTCCCACACTACTCCGCAGGCCATGTGGGAGTTCCCCTCAGAAACCGGCTTCTTGAATCGTGGATGAAAGGAACAAAAAGCTGGTTATTGGCTCGCAAGACCCCCGGTTGACAGCATTCATGAACATTCTTGGGGCGGGCAGGGCTCCCACCGCGCCATTTTCGTCTCTCAGACCCAGCCCCTCTGGCAGCCCACGTCTGGAATGAAGACATCGTGAGAATACCAGGTGCTAAAAATGCCGTCATTTAACATGGCATATAAGGATTGGAAGAGCGGACGCGGCTCATAGGATTTGAGCTTTCTGGTCGAAGACTGATCTATCTCATTCTCTGTGGAGTTACATACGAACTCCATCGCTTGCCTAGGTATCCTCGCATACTTCATATTAGATCCAACTATATTCCGAGCAAGGACACGGCCTCATATAAGACGACACTATGATGTTCGACTCGAGAGGCCTCTTTCCGGCAATTACAGTACTCGTCGCATTTATACTCACAATTCTATGTCTCTTCGCAGGGACGCGGACAGACTTCTTAGGCGATGCAGATATTTTAACGGTAAGCCATATCGCCCACGGTCATATACCCCATCGTTGAGTGACAGTCACACAAAAACTGACATGTTCTCCATTCAGCTTTATACACCCGAAGGCAGCACCGACAGTGTAGCTCATGATTTCTATTCCGTCCATGTCATGTCCTACTGCCAGGGAACACTGGGAGCAGCGAACCTTACTACAGGAGTCACGCACAATGTGACCAAGTGTTCCAACCGCACGATCTTGTTCTCATTTGACCCAACGCAAGCCTGGCCAAAGGAGATCACTGACGGCGCAGGGCTGGAGTGGCCCCGCGTGATCAGTGACGACTTCCACGCCTTCAGAGTGACCAGTCAATCCATGGCTATCCTGTACTGCATAGGAGTAGGCGCGATGGGCGCCGTCCTCCTTGTACGAGCATGGACGATTCTCGCTCCACAAGCAGCACAGGGCTTATTTGAATTTGGGTTTTTAATGGTGAGCAGGACCCCGTGTATGGACACGATCTGACGGGAGTGATCCCTACCTGAACTCTGATGTGTCTGTGCAGTGCAGGGCTCTTAGGTTCAGCTCACATTCCACCTGGGCAGAATACGGATTCAGTGGCTGACTATGAAGTATCTAGCTCGGGACGCTTAGCACCAGTATTGCATCCATCATTGCGACAGTTCTCGCCTTTGAGTTCGTGGCTTTGATTAACGCCCACGGCAAGGGCTCAAACGTGTCGGCCCAATATGGCGAGAAGTTCCTTGGAATGACTTGGGCCGCCACGGGGTTGCTGCTCGTGGGTAGTGTTGCATGCTTTGTGAATGTCTTTGTTCACGGGCAGGCTGCATCGCCTGTACCCGCCGAAAAAGACATAGAGGGGTAACCCCCAAAAGCAAAATGAGGGGCGGTGCTAGCCAGTCGGAGAAGACAGGGCTAGACCGGGGGCGGGAGTCGGAGAAAGTCGCAACTATTATTCCCCATAGATGTACTCCGTATACAAGAGTCATTTATTTTGTTCATATAACGACTATCCCAATAGAGCATAGTAAATCTCAGGAACTGCAAGACTGTTTCAAGCGAAATTGCAAAGTTGCCAATCCGGCCACCTGCTTTTGCGGGATATCTGAGGGTTGGGCGTGTGCAGCCAATAGTTCAGAGGTTAGGCTTTCCTCACCCCCAAGCCCCTAAGGGCTAGGGCGTCTTTTCTCTCTTTCTCTCCCCACGGGCAGTGCATGCGGCAGGCAGCAACCTATCCCAGGGCTCAGTCTGAGCCCTTGACTTGCATAGAAATCAATAGACCGGCATCGAAACAAATGAAATAAACCTCGGCTGGATCGCGTTCGCCGCGACTAACGGGTAAAAACTGGGTCGGGGCCCTGCCAACCGTTCATCCGACGTCACCACATGTGGAGTATGAGGAAAGTCGATCAAGGGTGTCTGGACTGAGGTCTATGGGTCTTCAGAAATGGGTAGAAGATTCATGCCTTGAAAGCAGCGAAACAGAAGGAAAAAAAAACCTGCAAAATAATCCGAATAATCCCAAGAATCCCAAGAATCTCAATAATACCGCATTATACCTCATGTCAGTATAGGGCTTGGACGAAGGACCACAGTACTCCGAGCACGGGTTTCCCGGTCTATCGGCTGGCTTGCTCCGAGCTAATCCATTGCGCCAAGGGTTTATACTTCTTTCCCGTCAAAGCGCGGCGTATGCGGGCCATACACCAGAGGCAGCGAGGTGGGCGGGTTTTCCCGGTGATTTTGTTTGTTTTCCGGTGAGTGGTTCAGGCGCGAAGGTGCAAATGGAAATGAAGGGAGTATAAAGCGCAAAACAGGGAATAGTGGGGACTCGTGGACCTGTGGCCCATTTTGGCCTTGGGCTCTGGCAACGGTTCCCCCGAGACGAGGTTGCACGGGGGCAAGTGTAACATTTGTCGGGTCAATTTAATTGCAAAGAAATCAAAAGAATTCCGAAATAATTAATCCGATAATCCCATTATTGACCATTAATCAGACTATTCATGATGGTCTCATCTTATGACATCCGTTCCAAACAGGGCGGAGGCTAGTCCCGGCCAATATCTATGAAGTCATCGTCATTATCTCCAGCGGCCACTTTTGAGCAATACCTTGGATTTGATACGTTCTTGCCCTTTTGGGTTTGTTTCCCCCCCTTTTTTTGGTTTAAATAGCAGGTGCTTTCCCCTTGGATTGGAAAGCGCGACTTATGCGACATCTGTTCTAGTTCCCGTTAGACTACTGATCTACTTCCTTCCTACTTCGTCTTATACTTCTACTCCTACCTCTACTTCTACTTCTACTTATACCCCTCTTCCTCTTCTTCTACTCATCCTACTTCTCTCTTCCTGATCCCCACACCCCCATACCTCAACACCTCATCTCATCATGGAGAAGAAAGCTATTCATTTCGGTGGTGGTAACATCGGCCGTGGTTTCGTCGCAGAGTTCCTCCACACGGCGGGCTATGAGGTCGTCTTCGTTGATGTGATGGACAATATCATCAACGCTCTCCAGAACAGCAAGACCTATGAAGTCACTGAAGTCAGCAACGAGGGCGAGACCACCAAGACCATCACCGACTACCGTGCAATCAACTCCAAAACCCATGAGAGCGATGTCATCCAGGAGATCTCCACCGCAGATATCGTGACTTGCGCCGTGGGTCCTAATATCCTCAAGTTCATCGCCCCCGTGATTGCCAAGGGCATTGATGCCCGCACTGACGCCACGCCGCTGGCTGTCATTGCATGTGAGAACGCCATCGGCGCCACCGATACCCTGCACGGTTTCATCAAGGACCACACCTCCCAAGACCGTCTGGACTCGTTGCCAGACCGAGCCCGCTTTGCCAACTCGGCGATCGACCGTATTGTCCCCGCCCAGGCTGCGGACAGTGGTCTCAACGTGCGCATCGAGAAGTTCTACGAATGGGTTGTGGAGTCGACGCCATTCGGCGAGCATGGCCACCCCGAAATCGCCGCTATCCACTGGGTGGACAACCTAGAGCCCTACATTGAGCGCAAGCTGTTCACTGTCAACACCGGTCACGCCACTGCAGCCTACTATGGTTACAATGCCGGCAAGAAGACCATTGCTGAATCCCTTGAAGATCCCCGCATCCGCGACATTGTCCGTAATGTGCTTCAAGAGACTGCCTCCCTCATCGTCGACAAGCATGAAATCAGCGCTGCCGCGCAGCAGGAGTACGTCGAAACCATCATCGCCCGAATCTCAAACCGCCATCTTGAGGACAGTGTCGAGCGTGTAGGGCGCGCCCCGATGCGCAAATTGTCCCGCAAGGAGCGATTCATCGGCCCGGCTGGGCAGCTGGCCGAGCGTGGAGGAAAGTTCGAGTCCCTCTTGGGCTCTGTCGAGATGGCTCTGCGCTTCCAGAATGTGGAAGGTGACGAGGAAAGTGTAGAACTGGCCCAGATCCTCAAGGAGAACTCGCCTGCCGACGCTGCTGTCAGATTGACCGGCTTGGACCGAGACCACCCTCTATTCCCCCATGTGGTCAAGGTCGTGGACGACGTACAATCCGACGCAAAGTAGGCACCTTTTCCCTTGAACCGGCCTTTCACAACAATGTTAACACGACTTTCCAGAGAGGCAGGGCAACCACACATTTGATTTCGCTTTGATTGACATCAACTGGCATGGATTATGGAGAATACCAGGTACACGGCGCGACGGAGAAATGGGGTTCACTTTTTTTTGATATGATTTTACAAACTGTAGTATGAATAAGCAGTCGGAATAAACACATTTCTATTCCCCTCTAGCATCTCATAACTTACTATCTACCCAAACAGGCTTCCTCTTCTCCACGAAAGCCAATAATCCCTCCTTGATATTCTCCCCCTCATACAACCTCTTCACCCAAGTCTCATTCAACATCGAAGTCGCCTCATCCGCCCCAATCCCCTCCCACCCCAACTTCACCCCCTCCCGACTAACCAACACCGAATCAGGACTATTCCCTGCAATCTCCCCAGCAACCCCCAAAGCCTTCTCCACAACCGCCCTCGCAATCTCCTCCTCCTTCTCCCCCTCCACAATCCAATTAACAAGCCCCCACTTTTCCGCCTCTGCCGCCCCAACCATCCGCCCCGTCAAAACCATCTCCATAGCCCGCTGCTTCCCCACAGTCCGCACCAGCCGCGGCAACGCACCAGCCAGCGCCACAACCCCCCTCTTCACCTCCGGCAGCGCAAAAACCGCCTTTGCCGACGCAACCACAATATCACTGTTGATAATCATCTCCGTTCCCCCGCCGAGACAGAGTCCATTCACCGCACAGATCACCGGCTTCTTGCCTTTTCGGCGGGCCAGCCCGCCGAATCCGCTATTGGGCATAACGCTGGATTTGGAACTGGATTCCGATGAAGTGCGGTTGTTCCATTCTGTTTTGTGTTAGTATCTTCAATTTCCCTTTTTTTTCCCCCGAAGTGTTCAGGCTGGGGGCTTGTTCGATGTTGGTGATTCATGTTGGACTCACCTTTTAGATCGGCGCCGGCGCAGAATGCCCGTCCCGTTCCTGTGAGGATGCCTACGCGGAGACTGGGCTCTTCGTCGAGCCATTCCCATACTTCGTGTAGGTCTGCGTGGCCTTGGGTGTTTATGCAGTTTAGGTCGCGCGGCCGGTTTAGTGTCACCAGGAGGATGTGGGGTGCTGGGTAGCTGAGGATTGCATGGGCTGGGGTTGGGGGTTGGATTGTGAAGGATGGCATTTTTGGGCTTTTTGGTCTTGTAGAAGTAGTCTTTTTCTAGTATTTTGTTTCCAGCGATAGAGGGAATCGAGGGTTATAGGGCTTATTAAGGGGAAGCAAGGTCCACTGAGTTGGGGTTTGTAGATGCGGAGAAGATGCCGAGGGCCGAAGTGTGGGGGGTATAGATCACATCGATGGAGATTATTGCCTAGGTATATGAGCTCTTTTTCTACATTATGTACTTGCTATTGTGCAAATCACATATTCTATTGAAGGGTTAGAGCTTTGTGAAGTACAGGTATTCATTGCCTGCGATTTTATGTTGATAGTTTCTTAAATCTGAACTTGTCAGATCAACATTTCCGCCCATCTCCCAGATTTCGCTATTAACGCCGTGATTAAACGCAAGAACGCCCCCGAATAAAATCACAAAGTAGATTTGGATATCAACTAAGCAAGTGCGGCATATAATCGTGGATCTGGCGCATCTATGCCTTGTTAATCCAGCCACTGTGGACCATGAAATCGTAAATGCGGCTAGTTTTGGTGCCCTCGATCTAGACAGGTCAGCAAAGAATTCTGTAAAATAATCCCAGTGAGAAACAAACCTTGCAAATTGTTCGTGCATCTTTCTTCTTCAGGCTGCCACCCTGCTTCATGGCTTCCTTCAACAGGGTCTCTTTGACAACTAGATAGGGCTTCGGCATCAGACGCAGGACATTGCATACCTCTGCCTCCTCCTTAGTTAGGAGGTGTAAGTCGGCAGCGGTATCATTATCCAGCTTCCACGATGGCATTCCGCTGAGCGGTGGCACTACGTATTTCGTCTTTGCCGGCTGTGGAGGAGGTGCATCCCCATCAACAGCGAAGGCGCGATCGAAATCGTTCAATGGTTCATCGGCAGGATCTGGCGGTGCGTGTGGGTTGGCAGCCTTCTGCAATCGCAGCGGCAGTTCAGGCGTGGTCAGCTGAATTGCCGCTGCCGGGGTCTCTGTCAGCTGTGCCTGCTTAGGGCGCGTGCTAGCAAAACGATCGAATGAGCCTTGAGGTATCAATCGTTGCATACGCTGTTGCTTATCCTGCTCAAACTTCTCGCCTGCCTTGAGATCCCCGATGCCCATCTGCCGCCACTCTTGAAGCTGTGAGATGGCCAGACGGAGGTTGTGCTCGTACTCAAGACCCTTGTTAATCTCTTCAAAGTCTTTGCTGTTCATCATCCGAGCTAATGGCTTTGCTTTGTTCAACAAGTCTCGCTCCTCCTTGGACCGTTTCTTGTCCAGAGCGGTGTTCTTCCGGTATTCGAGGAGATTGTGCTCGAATAGGATCTTCTTCCGTTCTGTACGTGCCGTAAGGCGGGCGTTGTAAATATCGACGACAGTCATCTTGAGCTCTGTCTCTGCGTCTGGTTCGCCGCTTTCATTGAGTCCAGCCCCAGGCTCGAAAGTCATGTGTTGCACCGCTTCTTCGGCATCGTTTAAGAACTCGGTCTCGAACTCCAGTCGGCCAGGCATGTAGCCCTGCACTTCGTGACATGCGGGTACACTGGCCGTAGGCTTCTGTTTTGGTGTGCTTGGGTGTGCTGCCTTGGCTGCATCCTTGCGCTCTTCGATACGACGCTTCTTTCGCGATTGGAACTCCTCTTTGGATATCGAATCCTGCAGATCCCTATCGTCGGGATCGGCGCGAGCTGCAAGTGGGAAGTTCACGCTCTCCAGATATGTGTCGTAGTAGTGGTCCCGCACTTCGTCCTTGCTGCGGAAACCGCCGATGTGATCTGCGATGTCGGCCCAGGAACCCAGCCCGTAGATCTCTGCGCCTTCTAATAATAACAATTCTTCATCGGCGCCCCAATCCTTTTGAAAGATAGGGACTGAGTTCTGTTCAATCACTTGGAACGGATGTGTCGCGGGGTCATGATTGTTGGAGTTCTTTCCAGCTGCGAAGCAGGGAACACAGAGGTCATATTCGGGGCAAGCAGGATGCGAACACGAGATGCGAACCTATGCGATAGTGTCGCGTCAGCTTTTGAAGCTGTGACAAGCATCCTGGAGATTCATAGCACAATCGTGTCAAGACTTACCGTTGACGTAACATCAATGGAGCAGACATCGCAGTGGAACTTCGTGCCTGCCTCAGTACCGCGCGAGGCGGTCTTCTTGCGTATCACACCCATTAGCCCTCCCCGTTCATCCTCCGAATTATGCGGTGTAGTAGCGAGAACCCAATCAGACGTAAAAGCCTGAAAATCCTAGAGTTGCAGGTGACGAGTTAAGGTGAGATCTTCCGGGGTAGGTGGTCTCCGCACTTCGGAGCGGGGAATCTTCCGAAAACCTTCAAGGGAGTCGATGGGAAATGAGCCGGCAGCAATCCAGGCCAGATTCCAAGGTCTCAAGTTCTGTGGAGTCAACTGCCCTTGATCGTTACGGCGTGGGGGAGGAGTTGACAGTCGTCAACCCTTGTGGCGGAGCAGTGGCTGATGCTGATTAATTACTGTACCAGATGGTGACTGGTTCAGCCAATCAGAGTGGTAACTGGGGGTAATCTATGGTATTCCATGTATTTGGTTTACAGGGGGACTTCCCCTCTCTCATTCTGGGCATTCGATTTCTCGACTCTTTCTTATCCTTAGTTGTGCTTCCAAACAGATTCAAAAAGCTAGTGGTGGTTGTCTTCGTCTTGACTGCCTCTCCTTTTGCGTGTGTGTATCTGTGTTCTTGTGTGGCTCTCCAGGTTTTTAATTTGGGGGCCTTTCGCATGTTCATTATTGGGTGATTCTAGCACCCTGCACACCACACGCATTGCGGTATCTTGGACTTTGACCTTTTCTTCTCTATTCCTTTTTTACAACCGCCACTATGTCTTGGAAGCTAACTAAAAGTATGTTCACTGGCAGTTGGTCTCCCTCTCCTCCCCTCGAAATACCCCTCCTGTGCACGGCAATGAAATCCGTAGGCAATCGCTAATAGTTCTATCTTGTTTCAGAGTTGAAGGAGACGCACCTGGCACCTTTGACCTCCTCTTTTGGCCGCTCGTCATCCACTTCGACAATCAGGGGAGACTCGAACGGTGATGAGGCTACGACCCCCGTGGCCTCCAACCCACCTAGTGTCGCCTCCGCCACTTCGTCAACAAACGGCATTTGTATGTTATCTCCCCTATCGCTCCTTCAGGGGAAGTCTCACGAGTGACTGATAACTAATTTTTTGTGAAAAGCGGCCTCTGAGTCTCTTGTCTCTCCTCCTGTGGCTCCTGTGAACCCCGGAATCCTCATTGTCACCCTCCATGAAGGGCGCAATTTTTCGCTGTCGCCTCATTTCCAGCAGATCTTCAACTCGCATTTCCAAAATAACTCTTACGCGCCCTCCTCTTTACGCCCAAGCACCTCTTCTTCGTCACATTCAACTCAAAATCAAGCGGGTTCCTTTGTGCAGTCGGGCCGACCTCAGTCCACAAGTGGGGGTATCAACGCTGCCCCCACTATTCACGGTCGCTATTCTACCAAGTACCTGCCTTACGCCCTCCTCGATTTCGAAAAGAACCAGGTCTTTGTAGATGCTGTGTCCGGCACCCCTGAGTCCCCATTGTGGGCTGGCGACAACACAGCTTTCAAATTCGATGTGTCCCGAAAGACTGAGCTGAATGTACAGTTGTATCTGCGCAACCCCGCCGCCCGGCCTGGTGCCGGACGAAGTGAGGACATCTTCTTGGGCGCATGCAAGGTCAACCCTCGCTTTGAAGAGAACCAGCCATATGTGGAAGATCCGAAGCTTAGCAAGAAGGACAACCAGAAGGCCGCCGCAGCCCATGATGAGCAGGGGCGCCAACTTGGTCAGCAGGGTGCTGAGTGGCTGGACCTCCAGTTCGGTGTTGGCTCGATCAAAATTGGCATTTCCTTCGTGGAGAACAAGCAACGCAGTCTTAAATTAGAAGACTTTGATTTGCTCAAGGTTGTTGGCAAGGGTAGTTTCGGCAAGGTCATGCAGGTCATGTAAGAGAATTTCAGATTTTTATCACTGCTTTTTTGCAAGATGCTGACAATCGACCACAGGAAGAAAGATACTGGTCGGATCTACGCCCTTAAGACAATCCGCAAGGCTCACATTATCTCGCGATCGGAGGTCACACACACACTTGCCGAGCGATCAGTGCTTGCCCAGATCAACAACCCGTTCATTGTTCCGCTGAAGTTCTCATTCCAGTCACCGGAGAAGTTGTACTTCGTGTTGGCGTTTGTTAACGGTGGAGAGTTGTTCCACCATTTGCAAAGGGAGCAGCGATTCGATATTAACAGAGCCCGTTTCTACACCGCAGAGTTGCTGTGCGCTCTTGAGTGTCTTCACGGATTCAAGGTTATTTACCGAGATCTTAAGCCCGAGAACATTCTTCTCGATTACACTGGACATATCGCTCTTTGCGATTTCGGTCTCTGCAAGTTGGACATGAAGGACGAGGATCGGACAAACAGTAAGATTTATTGATCATGACACATTCCAATCATAGCTAACCAGACCTAGCTTTCTGTGGTACTCCCGAATATCTCGCTCCCGAACTGCTTCTTGGCAATGGTTATACCAAGACCGTGGATTGGTGGACTCTTGGCGTCTTGCTCTACGAGATGTTGACTGGCCTGCCTCCATTCTACGATGAGAACACCAACGAAATGTACCGCAAGATCTTGCAAGAGCCTTTGACCTTCCCCAGCAGCGATATCGTCCCGCCTGCTGCACGTGATCTCCTCACGCGACTGCTCGACCGTGATCCCGTGCGCCGACTTGGTGCCAACGGCGCTGCAGAGATCAAGTCTCACCACTTCTTCGCCAACATTGACTGGCGCAAGCTTCTCCAGAGGAAGTACGAGCCCAGCTTCCGACCCAACGTGGTATGTAACTATTCATCTCTTCCGTGAAAGCGACCCGGTAACTAACCCGAGATAGATGGATGCCCGCGATACTGAAAACTTCGACCGTGAATTCACCTCCGAAGCACCTCAGGATTCCTACGTCGATGGCCCCGTCCTGTCGCAAACCATGCAGCAGCAGTTCGTCGGATGGTCGTACAACCGACCCGTGGCTGGCCTCGGCGATGCAGGCGGCAGTGTCAAAGACCCGTCCTTCGGTAGCATCCCAGAGTAGGATATCTCGCAGCATCAAATTAAATCGAGAATCTATGTTCAAGAAAGAGAGGAGATTCCATAGAGATCATTGTCCCTTTTGTGTGTATGTCTCTCGTTAACATATCCCGAATCTTGATCTGGTGTCTTTCTTACTCCTCTTTTATCTCTGCTTGCCATTGCTGTGTTTTTTGACACATTGTGTTCTTTTTTTTCTGTTTATCACCATCACAAAGGAGTCTGTGGCATCTTGATATCGGAAACGCTCCTGATCTTCGAGACGATATTGTTCTCGTTTCATCTGTCCGTTGAGCGCTTTGATTTGATTTTCTTGTCTTGTTCGGTCATCTTCCTTCCATCTCAAGTGTTCATTCTCTTCCCCCAGGCAGGTTCCTTTCTTATCCTTGGTTTTTCGTTGCTTTTTCTCAAGCGGTCATCGTCTGCACCCCTTGTTTTGTATTCTCGATAAAAACTTTACAATGGACAATGCCAAGCGGATCTGTTTATCAACATTCAGTGAACTATGGGACATGAATATCGGAATGAAATGATTCTCTTTTTCGACGTTTTATACAAGTAGCTGCTTCAGTCTTCCCCTTTCAGATTCGCCCACTGGTGTATGGAGCTAGAAAACACCGACGTTTTGAGGTGGGATTGTGAGCTCATACAAGCACTCCAGACAGGCAAGTATCAGGGGAAATGCAGTATAGTATACATATACAATAATCTAGTTAAAAAAAAGGTCCACTGAGATAAGAGGGAAACATATTGCTTGTATCTAGGGAGGTGGTATGCCCCAGAAACACATCACAGCGGAATTACAAAAAAAAATGAAAAAGTCGGACACACGTTAAGACGCCGCTCGCAATCAACAATCAACTGACTCCTCAGTCAGAAAACAAACGATCAACCTAACTCTCTTGTAAAGTCACCAATCATAACCCGGTGCTTTTAGTTCGTTTACTCGGCTTCGGCAGCATCGGCCTCAGCCACTGCAGCCTTGTCGGCCGCCTCTGACTCTTCCTCCGCCTCGGGTGCGCCATTGGTCGGGCTCGCAGGCTCTTCCTCGTCACTATTGATATCAATCAGGGACTCGGAGGCAGGCGCAGGGGCGATTCCCTCCTGCTCTAGACGGATGTACTCGTCCCACTCGGGGAAGAGGTCATCGTCGGTGGAGGTGACGTCGGGAGCACCGGGGGGGACACCGATGAGGCGGGCGACCTTGGTCTTGCCGGACTTCTCTAGTGATTCCTTCCATTGGACAACGAGCTTGGGGGCGCTCGAAGGCTTGTAGGTCTGGGCGAAGAGAACAGCCTCGGCGATGCGGTTAGTCTGGATGAGGAGAGCAATGCAGCCATCGATATCTCCCATAGACCACAACGTGGAGAATGCTACGTTGTGAAGGCCAGATTCCGAGGCTTGGGCGGCCAAAGCCTGGAGTCCTGAGCGGTTGTTGCTGGCGGTGTGCAACAGAAGCAGAGAACCAACGTCCTTGGCGTTGGTGAAGCACTCCTGGGCCAGTGCGAGGTTCCAACCAGCCAGGGCCGCGTCGCCGACGATTTTCCACTTGTGCTCGACGTTGGCCTCGCGAGCAATCGTGAGAGCGGTGTCGAGGTCGCTCAGAGCAAGAGCCAACTCGAAACGGTGCTCAGAGTCAGTAGCAACTTCCAGAGCCATTTCCTTGTATCCTTGGCCTTCGAGGAAGCGAGCGACCTTGTTCATCTGGTCTTGAGGCACATCCTTGAGGAGCTCGGATGCCATTTCCATATCACCGCGCAACACCACTGTTTGATATTCGACCATACTAAGAGAAAGGCTGAAGGAGATGGCGTTGACGTCCTTGTCTGCGAGGTAGATACGGCCATCTCGGGGCAGGTAACCGAGGACATACATCGGTTGATCGAAGTGAGAGATTGTGTAAGTTTGGTCTCCGACAAGGTAGTTCAAGCGGTTCGTAGAGTTGGTGTAGATGAAGCAATCTCCGACCCACTGTCCGGTGCGGACAGTCTCGTTGATTGTAGCAACTAATTCAACAGCCGCCTCAACTCCATCCTCATCTGCCTCACCGGCGTTCAAGCCGTTGATATAATCTTCGCGAGAGTAGCGGAGGACGTAGAAATCATCTTCACAGGCAAGAGTAACCAGTTCACCGGATTCGGACCAGTAGACCTGTGCATGTCAGTTATTATGCATTGCAAATATCGCTGTGAGAGGAAAGCTTACGGATTTGGGTTCAGCTTCGATCCTCCGAACGAGGTTTCCAGTCTCCCAGTCAAAGAAGCCAATGCCACCTTGACCCTTGACACCCAAAAGAACACCATCAGAAAGACCTTCGGCTTGGAATCCAACATCAAGCCCGGCGCTCTGCTCCTTGAAGTTCCTGAAAATCTTCACACTTGTCGATGACTCGCGAATAGCATAGTCATTGCTGTTATCTTTCGCTCCCCATGCAAAATCGAGAGCTTGTCCGAAGGCCTTGTTTCTCCACGCCAATGCTGTGTAAATGATATACTCTCCATCACCACAAACGGAGACGAAACGTCCATTAGGAGAGTGTGTCAAAGTCTGTGGGTACACTTCACACTGTCCCAGATCCTTGGTTGGTAGCGTAAGGGGCTCGCCGTCCTTGATACTGGCATCACCGCCTTTAATCACTGATGACACAACTTCACTGTGTCTGGCCCAGATAAGTTTACCTGATCCGTCCATTGATACAGCGGGCTCTTCCCGACCCATCTTGACCACCACAGCACCATCGTCGAAGCCCATCGCAATCCCCTGTCTGCCTCGCTGATAGGAAACACACCATGCTCGTTCTAGACCGTAGCTTAATGACTGCTCCAGGCGGTAGGTGTTTGCGTGCCAAATCTTAATGGTTCCATCCTCAGAACCGGAGATGATCACAGGCAGTTCAGGGTGATAGCAAGCAAATGAGACATTGCTTGTGTGACCCTCGAGGGTTGCAATTAGTGCTTTGGTAGTGTAATCCCAAACTTTGACGGTCTTGTCGTCGGAAGTTGTGAGGAGGTATGGCTTATCAGCATGTGGATAATAGTCGACATGGTTGACACCTTTCGTCTCGTGCGCTTCAAGTGTAAAGTTGGCATGGGGGGAGCCGAGGTTCCAGATCTTAACGGTCCGATCCAAACATGCGGAGGCGAAAGTATTAGTATCTTTCGGGTTAATTGCCATGCCCATGACATAGTGGCTGTGGCCCTCGAAGACCTGAACACACTTCCAGCCCTTCTCCCAGTCCCAAAGCTTGATTGTCATGTCATCGGAGGCTGTGAGCACAAACGGCTGGGTGGGGTGAACGGCAATAGAACGGATATAATCCGGGTGTGCTTCAAAGGAGGTGATTTTTTCGGATGTATTGTAGTTGTAGACACGGAGTTGGAAGTCATCTGAGCCACAAACAATCCAGTTCTTTCGCGCAACGAATCGACCGGCACGAACAGGGACATCGGTGAGTTCGAATGTTTTAATGATGGACTAAAAGACAGATGTATTAGATGAGAGCATGTGGGATTTGAACTGTCTCAGTCTTTCTTACCTGGGTTTCATAAGACCAGATATAGACATGACCTGGACGATCAAGCAATTAGCTCATGCTACCTCTCGCATACTGCCGCTCCCTCATAACGTACCGCTGTACAATGTTGTCAAAATCTAAGTGAAATATTAGTTTGAGCAAAGCTACTGAGTTGGTTGTACAAGCTTACCCAGGGCTCTGTGGGGTGGAAATCAATCCCCTTTACCCGCTCGGAGCGGGCAAACAGCTGCCTCTGTAAATTTATCGTCAGCAATCTCTCCAATTATAGATGTTCGCCTGGGAAATCGATCGATATATCTGCCGGAGTAGGCTCGCAACGATACGACGGCGCCATATTATCTGTATTCGCATACCTTGATATCGAGCCGCATGTTGTGTGGGGGATGAGATGAGTGTTTGTGTGTTGCGGCGTGAGGCCTGTGACAGCGAGAGAGGATTTCGCGAGCCGCTCAAACAGCCCAATGAGAGGGAGTTGCGATCCTCGCGATGGGGTATTAATTGGAGGAATTAAGAAAGAATTGAGATGGAGGAGAACTAGAGGGAGCGCTTCATTCAGGGACAGCAATGTATGTGTCCACAAGGGATTCCCGCCTGGGCTCACCGCCTTCCACTCGGTCCATCCACTGTACAAATGGTCTATAGATATACTCGCTTTTAGATATATATGTTTGTTTGTCGTGTATTGCTACTGGTGCGTAAACTCGAGCTTCAGGAGTAGTTTACTTGAGATTGGGTCCCAGCGAAAAAGCATCGGCGGATACCACGGCGACCTACATCTGCCGCTCTATGCTTAAAGCTGCCCCCGATGTATAAACTTGAAAATCAAGGATCTCTAAATCAATGAGCTCTCGACTAAGCTCAAATCGTACAAACACTTTCCTCAAGAAATTATCCACATCATTCCAATGCTTGTATGTGCAGATTAGAATCTAGTGGGTATGATAGCTCTACACAATCTTAAAACATAAGATGGACGAATCCTCAAATAATGTATTCAAACAAAGACCTCTAGTAATGGTTACAGAGATTAAAATTCACAGCCATTCCAGAATTGCTGTTTAGTTTCCACGTGCGAAGTAGGTCCACTGGCCGGGTTGGGGCTTCTCCTCGAGTTCCTCCCACCTGTAAAGTGTCAGCGGTAAGTCCAAACTCAGTATTCCTTATTTTCACTTACACCTTGGCCTTGGCCAATTCATCCACAAGCTTAAGCTCTGCCTCCGCAACCTGGATGACCTCCTCAATAAGGCCGGCGCCAATCTGTTGCTCGACGTGAGAGATCCTGCGCAAGAGATTAGCGTTCCATTCGATAACTTTTCGGTGACCAATTGCAAGATCCAGGCAGACGTACTGATCAGCATCAAGAGCGGGCTCGCTTTCCCACTTCATTTCTTGGTGGTAGAAATCGTGCTCGGCCTGTTCGGTTGTCTCGCTGGCCTCGTTCATGATTTTAGCCCATTCAGCTTGTTGCTGCGGGGTACGTGCGGGACCCTCGGTTGAGGCTGACAGAGCCTCGCCGTCCCATTCTTCACCGCGAGCATTGTCGCTTCCGTCCTTCTGTTGGGCAGCAGCATGGGTGAAGGAACCGTCGGAGCGCTGGACCTTGGCGAAACGCTCAGGTTCGGATCCGACGGTCTTCTTCACGCGCTCCAACCAAGCATCGAATCCGACGGGCTTTTGCGATTCGATGATTTGGAGGCGGTGGCGGGTCAATGCTTCAACAGATTGGCGGTAGGCGGAGGATTCGGGGAACGCCTGCAACTTCTGCAGAGTAGTCGAGTAGAGGTAGATTAGCGTAGGACGAGGGCTGGGGTGGGTGAAAAGGCCCGTCAGTCCGGTAGGAGCAAAAGGCTCCAAATACCGGGGCTTGACATTGGCCAGTAGCCGAAGTGTAGAGCGCATTGTGAATGGATTGGTGTATATGGTAGTTGTACTTTGCCCAGGGAGATGAAGTGTTGAAGTCGGAACGGAGCGGATTAACCTGATATTCCAGCCCCCCAAACGGCAAGGGGAAAGGCAACTCACCTTTTTCGATACCATCAAAGCCTCATATCTGAATCTTTTTTCGGGCTGTGTGCAGTTCTATTTTGCTCTCAGCTACGGGGCGCTATAGTCGCTAAGTGCTGTTTTTCTGCGACGTGTCGACCAGTGCCCACTCAGTCGCCAGTCTTCGCCCCCGTCCAATGTGCCACCTGTGACATTTCGCGATTCTATTCCATACTTCGACCAGAGTCCTTCGTTTTGCTCAGCCGTGAGATCGCCAATCAGTTATACTATCCTTCAAATCCCTACGCAATTTATCCGCTTTTTGTCTTTGACCAACATGAAACCGTCTTGGCTGGGGTTGTCCCTCCTCTCACTGTTGGCAGCGCCTGTTTTGGGCGCGCCTTCAGATGAAACCTTGGACGAGAAACCAGGTCATACACTTGCCAAGAGGTGGGATCGTGGATTGGATCCTGAGACACTTTCAATATTCAATGGCGTTGAAGTGCCCCCGTTGACACAGCTGACACCGGAGAATTTCGAGGAAGTTACCAAGGATGGTCATTGGTGAGAACCCCTTCTGCGGCAATCACTAAATCCTCTAACGATTCTAGGATGATCAAACATTACTCTCCTGGTTGCCCGCATTGCCGGACAGCGGCCCCTATGTACCAAACTCTGTATGAGTACTATTATGTGAGCCACAATTTCATCGCTCCGGAGTACTGAGGCTTGAAACTGATCGTTTATAGACCTCCAACCCCTTCTTCGCATCCCCGACAAAGCCCGATGAGCTCAAGTCTCAGGAAACTTTCACCAGCTACTACAATCTCCATTTCGGCTCCATCAACTGCCAGGTCTATGGCGACTTCTGTACGAAGATGGGTGTAGAATTCTTCCCCGCGTTTGCATTTTATCAGGCGGGCATCCAGAAAGAGCCTCCTGCTGGTATCAAAACGATGTCGGATATTGATAACCTGATCGAGACCAAGCTTGAGACAATCAAACCCGGGTCTCGACCTCCTCAAGGTGTCGAAATCCCAAAAACCGGCGCTAAGAGCATGGAAATGACCGCCAAGCCTGAAGTGGTCAAGCCTGGTGCGAAAACAGCTGTCGAGAAGCAGAGCATCGAGACAGCAGAATTGGAGGGCGTTAGTGCCGAGTCCGTCAAGGCCAAGCTCCAAGGACGGCCTGCTAATCCCCAGGGTGTTTCAATTCCACTCACTGCGGAGAGTTTCCAAAGCCTTGTCACGACTACCCACGACCCTTGGATCATCAAGTTCCATGTTCCTTGGTGCGGCCATTGCCAAGCCCTTGCCCCGAACTGGAACTCGATGGCCAAAGAGATGAAGGACACTCTCAATGTTGGTGAGGTGAACTGCGAGCTTGAGAAGCGACTCTGCGAGGATGCCCGCGTCAGTGCCTACCCGACGATCTATTTCTTCCGTGGCGGCGAGAGAGTTGAATATACTGGTCTCCGTGGTTTGGGAGATCTGATCTCATACACCAATAAAGCCGTAGGGGTTGGCTCGAGCATTCAAGATGTCGACGCCACTACATTCAAAGAGTTGGAACAGACTGAAGAGGTTTTGTTCTTGTATCTCTACGATCACGCAACCACGTCTGAAGATTTCGAGGCTATGAACCGCCTCACCCTCAGCCTTGTGGGACACGCTCGTATTGTCAAGTCCGACAGTGCTGCTCTTTCAGAGCGGTTCAAAATCTCCACTTGGCCTCGCCTTCTGGTCGTCCGCGATGGACGTCCAAATTACTACAATGCTCTTGCCCCCAAAGACATGAGGGATTTCCGTCAAATTCTCTCCTGGATGCAGACTGTGTGGCTACCCATTGTTCCCGAACTCACTGCCTCCAATGCTCGAGAGATTATGGACGGCAAGTTTGTGGTTCTGGGACTCCTGAGCCGCCGCCGGAGTGACGACTTTAAGCAGTCCAGGCGCGAGTTGAAGGAAGCCGCTCTCGAGTGGATGGACAAGCAGGTTCAACTGTTCCGCCTCGAGCGCGCTGAACTTCGTGACTCCAAGCAACTGCGTATCGAGGAAGCCGATGACCGCGATGATCAGCGTGCTTTGCGCGCGGCAAAGAATATGCGTATTACAATTCGCGAGGACGACAAGAAGCAAGTCGCCTTTGCTTGGGCCGATGGCGACTTTTGGGAGCGCTGGCTGCGCACCACCTATGGTATTGATGTGGAGACTGGTGACCGAGTCATTATCAATGATCAAGATGTAAGTTTTCCATCGTGAATTTTGCTGAAGCACCAGAACTAACTTTCCATAGAACCGCCGCTACTGGGATACTGCCTCAAGTGGAGCCCCTATCATGGCCTCGCGAACCTCTATTCTTGAGACCATTCCTCTCGTCATCTCTTCTCCATCGAAACTGTCACCTAAGTCTACCATTGGCACCTTTGAGACGATCTTCTTTTTCGCTCGGTCCCTTCTCAGCAGCCATCCCATCCTCTTCTTCATCATCCTGGGTGCTGTGATTACTGTGGCCACCATCCTTGGACGTGGGCGCCTCAGGCGCAGCGTTTCACGCGGTGGTATCATTGGAAACTCCAGCAACAATGGTGGCTTCTTCCACCTGGACGGCAAGGAAGGTTTCCTGAACGGAGGCTCGACCGACAAAGTCGACTAATGAGACAAATGTACAGTTAGGGTGTTTGGCTACGCGGTTCCTTATAATCTTTTGTTTCCATTGTATTTGATTGATGCTGCTCTCCTTTCATGTGATCGCTCGTTTGATCCTTCCTGTCTCAATTGAATCTTTTGCATGTCAGACCCATGGGGTTTTTGAAGCACATATCACCTTATTCCCTATTTCATTTCCTTATCTTTTTTATTACCACGCAAAATCCTGGAGTCTAGGCGTACTCAGCCAAGGAGCCGCAAGACCTCGGATATTAAGCTAGCAAACCCAATAATTCCTTTTTTTTTTTTAATATGTTTCTTCGGACCTCTATAGTATAATATCGATCAGTAATCAACTCTACATCGGGTGCTTCTTCTTTTGCTGTTTCTTAATATCTTTATGATGCAGTGGACTTGATATAAACTCATACTTCGAAGGTTACACGAAAACAATTACGCCTCTTCTGATTGGCTCTCACTTCTAGATCACGTGAGAACTCGGGCACTCCCGGTTTTCGTCGACCACCAAGTGCCAGCTCCTGTCTCCTAGCAATTGTCCCACCAAATCACACCGGTGTCATTCAAGATGGTAAGGCATTTTATACCCAGAAAATAAACGGGCCTTTTCCCCCATTCCGAGATTATTTACCTGCTCCGCCGCTGTCCAGACGGCGGGCAATTGGCTCATAACTATCACAACCGGTCTTCCGAGCCGCGGGATGAGATGAGATGAGAAATGTCACATCAATGGCTAACACACGTTCTATAGTTCGCCTCTACTGCTCGCCGCGCCGCGGCCCAGGCCTCCGCCTATGCGCCTAAGTGAGACTTCCCCATACTCTTTTCCCTCGAATCCCGGAATGTGCACGATGGTTCTCTATGCCTGGCATGTTGAACAGCACCTATGGTGACCATTGATTGCAATTTTCTGCGCAAATTCCTGCTTCATTAGCTGCCTGTCCTCATTTTCATGACAAACCTTGGCGAGTGTCTGGCATCTGTGGAGAACTGGGACTACGAACTGTCGCCTTGGGCAACACAGTTGGATATGGAACAACGCAGACCGAACAAGCAGTGAGCACACCAAGCTAACACGATTTCAATCTGCAGGTACACCATCCCCCGTACCGTTGCCGGTATGACTGTGGGCACAGCCATCCAATAGTGAGTACAACCCTCATCCGACTTCCCTAGATTCGACAAAGTACTAATGATGGTTTTGAATAGTGGTTCTGTCGCCGCTGGCTTCGGTGTCGCTCTTGGCAGTGGTGCCCTCTTCATCTTCGGCGAGGTTCCCCGTGTCCGCAACGATATCCTCCGCAAGCTTCCTTTCTTCGATAACTACTACGACCGCACCATCGCCCCTGAGGACAACGTGAGTCGATTACATGTGAATTTTTCTAGGTTTGGAATTGATGCTGATGTTCTTCTAGCCCTTCTAAATTATCTCGCCGTGGTATATACCTATCTCCCTTTTGATCGATATGACTCGGGACTTTCGGGAGATAGGCTGGGGCTGTACTGTGTAGAATAGCGATGAAAGTCTTTTCTGTTTTTAATACCACATAGAAACAGTTGTTTCCACGTAAATTCGCCCTTGAATTCATGTGTGCTTGTAAATGATTGACATGAGACCTGGACTCAGATCATGAGACTGAGAAATCTAGAATTCGGAAGTCCATGATATGCATATGGCATAGTATTGCCTCCAAGCTGTCCAAGGAGCCACTGCACGTGCCTACAGACATGCAGGTGGCGGCCTTGCCGAGAGCTACCTACTCATGTAGGTATCTTTGAATTCTCGCATACAATAGGCAGGGTTCCTAGACATTCAATCCAGGGCCTCCCCAATGAGGAAGGTACATAATCACCTTTGGAAGCCCGTGTCTTCACACGCTGATCGACAAAAACCACATATGCACGTGCAAGGGTCGTTTTTAGTATCCTCTTACATCAGAACAGACCTCCAACGCCTGGAACTTCCCTGCTATAATATGATATGTCTGCCACGCTTGTAGAACGAGTCATCGAGCCCTGTGCCTTGAATGAAGAGCCGTGGAGGCATTCCTCCTATACAGATCAGACGAAGCCCACATAGATATAGTGCCCGAAGCAAACGGCTGCCTATTCTGTATTTCATTCTATATTTATGCATATCCACATCATTTGTTCTTATCGCCCCTGGCCACGACTGTGTGGCTTTCATTCCAAGTATCCCCCTCACTTGCAGCTTGGACTTTGCTACGAGCGGTCTCGAATTGTCTGATGTATGCTCCAACATTTGCTTGGTTGTCTTTTCGCTGGTCGAGAGATATACGCTAAGTTGGTCTTTGTTGTTGCGATGGCGAGGCACCACGGCGAAACGCCCGCTATTATATATATAACCGGCGACGTGATGGTACCCTCCAGTCAGCCTGTTTTATCACCGATAATCCTGAGCGATTTTATTATATGTACTCGAGCTTTTTTTCGGCGTTGAAGGGGGCTGCATTCTTGATGGGCCCTTGCATGAAGGTTTTTCTAGTTCGTTGATATATATCTCATAGTATCGATGCCTAGTTCTATGACTGTTTATTCTGGACACGGGGACAAGCATGGAGAGCAAATCTGCGACACCAGACGTCTCCAAAGAGCGAAACGAGGCTGATCATGCTCAAGTCACTTTGGTTCTCCCAGATGGTGATGTGCCGTATACGAATCGTGATGTCGATGCCGATGAGAGGCTGATTACAGCACTCGGTTACAAACAAGAGTTCAAGCGTGAATTCTCTCTATGGACGACTTTCGGCGTGAGCTTTGCTGTTTCTGGATTGCTTCCGTCGTTTGCGAGTACTCTGTACTTTGGTAAGTCCTCACTGATCCGTGATTGTGACATTGAGGTATAGCTGATATTGATCGGATGAAAAGGAATGGGATATGCTGGTACAGCGGGTATGGTTTGGGGTTGGATCATTGCGATGATATTCATTCAGTGCATTGCAATGTCGATGGCCGAACTATGCTCAGCAATGCCCACGAGGTAACACCGTCTCCGAGATCATACCCAAGAGTGAGAGTTCAAAGAAGCTGATTCGTGTCATCTCATTTATAGCGGCGGATTATATTACACTGCAGCAGTCCTTGCACCCCCGGGTTACGGACCCTTCGCTGCCTGGATCACCGGCTGGTCCAATTGGATTGGTCAAATAACAGGACCACCATCAATCAACTACTCGCTCAGTGCAATGATCCTAGCAGCAGTCTCAATCCACAAGCCAGACTACGTTCCAACAGCATGGCACACTTTCCTGCTAACCACTCTCATAATGATCATTCATACAGGAATCAGCAGCATGCCCACGAAGCGCATAGCACAGTTCAACGCATGGGGCTCGACCATCAATTTCATCGCCATGATCCTCGTCATAATCATCATCCCGACAAACACCAAAAATAGCCCGAAATTCACACCCTCCAGGGAAGTCTGGGGCCACATAACCAATCTAACCGACTTCCCAGATGGCGTCGCCGTCCTCATGTCCTTCGTCAGCGTGATCTGGACAATGTCAGGTTACGACTCACCCTTCCACCTGAGCGAAGAATGCTCAAACGCGAACATCTCCTCACCGCGCGCAATCGTGCTCACCTCCGGAGTGGGCGGGGTGATGGGCTGGTTTCTGCAGCTCGTCGTTGCATACACGGTGGTGGACATTGAAGCCGTGATCGATTCCGATCTGGGCCAGCCCTGGGCATCGTACTTGCTGCAGGTCATGCCGCAGAAGGCAACCATGGCGATCTTGGCGCTTACGATTATCTGTGGGTTTTCCATGGGACAGGGGGCTATGGTTGCTGCATCGCGGGTGACGTATGCTTATGCTCGGGACGAATGCTTTCCGCTCTCGAGGTACTGGAAGCAGGTGCACCCGTATACGCAGACGCCTGTTAATGCCGTTATTGTGAATGCCGTGCTGGGCATATTGATGTGTCTGCTTATGTTGGCGGGGAATGTGGCTATTGGTGCTTTGTTCTCCATTGGTGCCATTGCGCAGTTTTTTGCTTTCGCTGTGCCGATCGCTATCCGGGTGTTCTTTGTCGGGAATCGGTTCCGCAAGGGTCCTTGGAATTTGGGTCCCTATGGCCCGTATATTGGTGGTCTTGGTGTCTCATTTGTGCTCTTTATGGTGCCGATCTTATGTTTGCCTAGTGTTACTGGCAGTGACTTGACGACCGATATGATGAACTGGACTTGTCTGGTTTGGGGCGCGCTGATGTTAGCGGTTACCATTTGGTGGTTTGTTGATGCTCGGCACTGGTTCAATGGTCCGGTGGTCAATGTTGAGCATGCGATTCATGTGATTGAACAGGAGCCCGTCGTCAGTGAGGGCATCGAGCCTGAACCCCGAGTGACGGAAAGAAATGATCCCCCCGCAAGATGGATGATCCGGGTGATCCAATCTAATAGGCTGAGGGGAAAGTCGCTGTATCAACACGGGATCTAGGTTCATATACATCTTATATATTTCGCTATCTTTTCATATTGCTTTCTCGTATGATCTGAGGTCTATTCGAGGTATCTCTTTGGGATTTCTCTTTTAGTCGGAACAGATGAGGGGTATCAACCCAAAGAGCCTTGGAAAGGCTTCATTGAATCTACTCCACAGAGATTTACCAAGGCGTCGACTTAGAGATAGCAGCGGCTGCAGATTAATCCACCCCCAAGAATGTAAGCATTGCCTGCATGTCAGAAGTACAACATCGATCTGGCTCCATAAATATGGATCGATCTCCCATTTATGGGACCATCACAGGAACCGTACTGTATGGAGCCCGGCCCGTTGCCCCTCCTGGCCTGATTTTAGGGCTGCGGTGAACATGTGGTTCTTGACGATGGAGTAAATGGAGCAAATCCACTGCTCCACCAGTTCCATATGCCGATGATCAGGTTGACTCAGTACTCTGGACGGCGTATATCCACGGATGTGAGTGCAGTGACATTCTATTGAATGAAGTACTTCAATATCATATGCTCCATTTGAAGAAAGGGATTGAAAATCATCCGGTCTCTCATATTCGATGTATACAGAGATGTATGAATTAAGGCAATAGAGGGAGAAAGCAAGTCAGATTCTAGCCCATATGATATCATGGGTGCTCGTATTCAAAGAAAAAGCAAGTCCTGCCGATATGGAGCCCAATATGCAGAGAATATACACTGCAGAACAACCATGTAAATCGCTGATCGCCTCAAAGTTGTACACTGTACATGGTACCTCGGGGCGAAGAGAGACTCTACACTAATCCCGCTCTTAGGAAGCAATGCCCAAGCAAGTCAATGTCCAAGCGCCGAGGTCAAACATAGACATTACGCAAGTTAAACCCAATTCAAGCCCCAAAGCGTTAAATCTAAGCCAGCGCCTTCTACCATGGCCAAGTACTTAGTACATCGTACCTTGCGCTGGGATCCCCGGAAGAATCCTGTAAGATCCACCACCCACCCCTGAGACCCCACCGGCGGTGGTGGACACTGAACATGGATGCCACGGAGGAAAAATAAAACAGGGTTGGAACAGAGATATGCTTAATCTGACTCCAGATGGGGGGAGGGGAAGCCCACCCCCCCAACACGAGGAGCAGATGGAGCAGCTCGGCCCACATGTGTATCCCTACGATTTTACCATTTTGACCAGAGAAATTTCCTGTAGACGATAAAAAGGTTTGGTGCGTATCCAAACCTTGCAAGCACGGCACAGAATTCTTGAAAGTCAAAAAACCTCACGATCCGGCTAATAGGAAATCATCGCCAAAATAACCGGGACGATGGACCAAAACCAGATCAACCCCAACAGTTGTCCTGGGGCTGGCACATACATTCCGTACAGCCCCCCCACTGACCCTCTCCCGCTCCCGGCTTATTGCGCGCAGTCTTGATCGTCACTGTCAGGGGTTTTTGTGACCGGGCTCCAAGAGAGGGCCAGGAACAGTGGGAGATCGGCGACTGGGTCTACGTCATGACGAATCGGCCCGAATGGGAATTTGAAGGATCATATTGCAAATCTGAGGGTTCCTGAATCTGAGTGGACCACGACCGTCTCTCTGTTGTCTCTTGGTTCTCTGCCAGATTGGGCGGTCTGAACCGCGGATGTGAGAACGACGTGAAGACGTTTGCCAAGTGGCTGTTTTGGGGGAGTCAGCCGAGTCTACCGCTGTAACGTGTATTACAGCTCGTCCTAATCGGGTCATTCTGCCTTTTTTTTTTCAAATACGAGCGCATTTTGGTAACGCATTGAGCAGAATTGGGATTATTTTCGGGCTCCCGATTATTCTTCGGCTGTGTCAGGCCGTGCATTTTAGGCGCTTCAGTGAATGCAGCTTGAATCGACAACATATATATGTAGGTACTCGTACGGAGTACCTACATCGTCTATCCATGTTCAACATGTTAAATGTTCTGCAAACAGCTAATTATCGAATGGTTTGGAGTACTCCGTACCACGGTCTTGAGTTGATCTATCCAAGGCTCTACGAACTCGCGTGACTTTTTTATCGATTACTTGATCGTAAAATGCCGAGGTGGCCAGTCTTGGATATTAATAGGCGAATCACACTACTATGCGTTGTTATGATACGGAGTACATATACTCCGTAGCCATTTATCCTTAATATCGAAGTCTATCCGAAACTCATGACGCGGCCGGCCAGGGGGTGGACATTCCCCCGGTACACGTTCGTGTTTCCACGGTTCGGGGGGTTGGGCAATTCAAGAAGGCTGAAGAACAATCAAAGTGCCCGATATCCAGAACCACGTCCCTGAACTACGGACGTTGAGCCACCACCCCATAGCCCAGAGAAAATGGATTCTGATCCACAGAACACATGGAAGAATGGAGAAGATGGAGAATTGAACTGTGACTATCGACGGAGTACTCGGACATCGACAACGCCGTGCAAAGTCAATTCCAGAGTCAACATCAAACCTTCACACATTGCATACTCCATTACCAAATCTCAATCTATCCATGAAATCGAAAATTAATGCAAGTCAGACTTCCGAGGACCTTGCGAGCGAGCAAAAAAGAAAAGCCAAAAAAAAAGAACGCTACTCCCATCCGGGCTTCGACTACAGACATCGGCTGGCTATGAGGTCGGTGGCGACACGATCCTCTCATCCGCTCGGCTGAGGCTTTCTCATTGGCTGCAGGGATTCCTGAAACTCGGCGATCCGGACTTGGCTTCAGCGGTGTTTCCGGCCTGTGCCGGCAACGAAGCTCAGGGATTTGTTTTCTTGAGCGCTCCTTCGGATCTGCTTCGGGTGTACGGAGCCACGGAGTAAGTCACATACAACACACATACCATCGTGTAGCTTACTATGTCGGGATTTGAATTATTTTCTTTGTTTCGCAAATTCCAATGCTTGGTGCTTGAATACATATCACCTGAGATGTCAATTTCGGTAACGATGGGGACTGGGGCGGGATCTACGCGATCTTGCGCGCGCTATCCTCTCCTATCCCGGTTGCTAATGAGGCCCAACCTCTTAAGCATCGGGGTGTTTTTAACTCTACTGCCGGCCCCATTTCTGTCGGTAGTGTGGGGGATTTTTTTTCTATTCGACTTGGATGAAGCCAAGCTTTTGATCTATGAAAAGGAAAAAAAAAACAAGTACATATAACAACAGTCGATCTCGGGGTTGTACGTTGTAGAGATTCTGGTTTACTGACCTGTACGGAGTCCAAAAAAAATAAAAATGAAAAAAACTCTCTTAGCCGAGTCCTAGTGCTCTAGTAAAATACCTCATCACTATCACAAATGAATAGCCCCTGATGGGATCCAAAATTTAGATATTCGGCCAAGGCTCACCGTACTTTGCGAACCGTTTCGGGACTGGAGTGGGGTCCGTTAACTCCCGGCTTTGATGCCGAGTATTTTGCAAAAGCCTGCCAGTTCAACACACCGCGTTTAATAGTCAAGCCACAACGAATGCCGGAATCTGCGTTCTCAAAAAAATATATTACAACACACATCCTGAAGGTAGAATGAAGAACACAGCTAATCAGATACATACACGCATCCTATGTCTGTTGTCTCGAGGCACAATACGATGTATTGCTGTGCGCTTTTGGCGAGGTTCGCATACCAAGGTGTAACAAAGTGGAAGGTCAAGCGAGCTTCCTTTTACGTCGTAGCTTGGATTTGAATTCATTCTCGCCCCTTGGCAGCAATCTGGGTTCGTGATAGCCGGGTAGGACTCCGTACATAGTGCGAAGGTATAATGTAGGCTAATACAGGAGTATGCGCGAAGTCGAGGTCAGGTGGTCAGATCAATATTTCTGCAGAACCCTGGTCGAAGCCTTCCAGGTCCACAATCGAAGCGGGAGAAGCTCTTGCGAAGGGGTGGAGAAGGAGGGGCAGGGATGTTGGGTCCGGAATACAGATCATCTCCGTTGGAGACACATACGATATCGGATGTACAACGACGGAGTGCATGTTTGGTGTTAAGTGTCCTTGAGTTTGCTATGGTTGATTTGTGTTGATCCCGTTCCACGTATGTGGTCAACTATGTACTCCGTACGGAGTACTCCGTCCAAGTGTAAGGATTAGTCACATGAGAATGGCGCGCAGGATCTGAAACTTTAGGCCATGTTGCTCTCGGTCGAGATAGCGTAATAATAAGAACTCTGGGAAGTGGGCAAAAGTACCTGAACCGTCTATGTCAGGCCATGACAGTAGTCACATCCAATAGGGGGACCCCCTGAATGCCAATTTTATCTAGAGCATTCCTGTGTGGCTGAATCCCCCCTTAGAGAAACAGATCCTCATGGCCGTACGGAGGACGGAGTCTCATCTATTTCCCTGTTGTTAGGAGTTCAGAGGCAGTCCGAAATAGGATTAGTGTCCTCTGTCTCAGTCAGATAAAATTAGACTTACACCATTGCCAACCCATCATTCTGAGTTCTCTTGTTGGGGTTTAGCTCAGGTCCTGTTTCACCTCGAGTCAGCTCATGAAGCTAGATACGGAAATCATTGAACAGTAGGCGGCTACGGCGCATCCACCAAAGTATGTAGGGCAACACTGCATAGCCGTTATTGTGAAGCCTTCTCCAACTCAGAGAGGGCCTGAGAACCCAATAGCCCCTCTTCTGGCGATGTGCCCTGTACATCTGGGGCTGCATACAAGAGCCAAAGCTAGCATGCAGGTTGAGGGAGTTAACAAATGCACGATGAGGTCTTCTATCACGGAGCTTGACGGACCTCTTCTCTCGGACCTCCCGGATGACGTGCTTTTCCAAGGTCAGAGAACCGGCTTACGTGGGCTCAGCTCTTATCCATCCATATGGATCGACATGGAGGATAGAGCCGATTAGACGCCATTGCAAGACGAAGAGGAATTGGGGGAGAATACGTTGTATATCTTAGATCTCATCTCCATGTCACTTGCGGGGCTGTCAGCCACTGCGGAGCCCAAAACAAAGAAGAGCCAGGGTCACCCATCACCCATAACCCACCCCGGGGAGACGGCTCCATCTCCCATTGTCAGATCTACAACGTCAATTCAAGATATGCATAACGACATAGGTTGGCGTGAATCCATTCTAGTTTTTGGCGATGCATGCCCAATGGATGTCCGGAAAATGCCGCAATCGGAGGCATGACTTGAGCTCTGAATGCAGCATGTGGCAGTGAGCCTGCATTGTTTTGTTTTCGGGGGAACCACCTCCGGGGAATAAGTGGGAGTGCATATGATATTCGATTGTGTATATTGGATCGGGAATTCGCTGGTATATCGGGATGCCATTGCCTCTCCAGCTTTTCCTATGGGCTATCCAAGGTTCTAAAATTAATACGCATAATGAGATATAGCTACGGAGTCCTGCGTCATCATGGCCGGACGCATACAACGTAGATCAGAAATATAGAGCCCGGTTGCAAAATGCGATCTCATGTCAGGTTGTCCTATCTCTGAGTTCAACCTCAAGGCCGAAATCAATGTCCTCGACGGCATAAAAATGCCATCCCAACCAGGTCGACCGCTATCGGCCATAGTTCGGAAGACGGCCGTGTAAAATGTTGGCTGAGTTGTGTAATCTGGAATTGGAAATACCGGTAATTACCGCAACATGTGGTTTTCTTTTTCTTTTTTCTTTTTCTTTTCTGTTTTTTCTGTTTTTTCTGCTCTCGCCTCTTGCCTCCCCGAGGAACGATCGTCTTTTTTCGTCTTTTCTGGTCTTTTCCCTCTTCTTTTTTTTTTATTTCGACCCGGTCTTCCTTCGAATTTTCCTTTCCGTTTTTTTTTTTACCTGGTCCCCTCCCCCCATTTCCCTTCCCCCAATTCCTCATTTCTTCAATTCTCGGAGAAACTCCAAGGACTTTATTCATTCCCGTATCTATCGCTGATTTTCGAGTCAATTCTTGGATCTTACGATTTATCTTGACGCGAAGCAGATCTCGGACTAGTTGTTTTTGCTGCGAGAGACCCACTTACACGCCCGCTTCTTCGGTGGATACAGAACCATCGACGCTGACAACGTGCGGATAAATCACCATCCTATTTTTCTTGGTGGGTGACCGTGGGGAATCTTCTTCAATTAAGCATCTCTCTTTCTTCCTCTCTCTCTTTCGTGTGGAGTCACAACTTTCGGAGGCCTTGTGATCTTTTGCCCTCTCTATCTCTTCCGCCTCGGGGGAAAAAAAAATTTCAAACAAGGAGCTTCCCTTTGCTTCAAAGAAGAAAAAATATTCCAGAGTGCAGATTTGATGATTGAGTTACCGTGAACAACTTCCTCTCTTCCCCCTATACGCGATCACTCCTGTCCACAATGGATCCCAGATCTCACCCTTCCCGTCCTCCATCCACCAGCCTGCCTCCAGGCTCCACGCCTATGTCCTCGACTCCCATCTCGAGCATGCACATGCCACAATACTCGATGCAGCCGCAGTACCCGGTTTCGCAGCCGCACACTTTGCCTCCATTGCAGCCGCATCACCCTCAATCGCCTGCGCCTCACCACTATATGGGCCAGCCGTACCGCCCGGACTTGTCGCGGTACCCGCCATCAACTCACGATGTCTACGGGGCCTCCCAGGCCCCTATGATGCCGCACACGACTGTCGGTAGCCTTCCGCCATCGTCTATGTTGAATCTTCCTAACCCTCAAACACAGGCGCACCAGCAGTATCCCCCACCTCCGAGTGTGCTTCCGCCCGCATCCACCGCTCAGAGCTACCCTCAGCCGATCGCTCCGGCACCCCCCGCGACCGTCGCCCGGATTTCAACGGCCTTCCCTCCGGTGCTTTTAGTTACTCTGATGGCAAAGGTTGGGGCATGAACCCCGATGTGAATGGCGCGAACGGCTCTCCCTACGCTAAGGAACCTCAACGGACACAGGTCGTGGGCTCTCAGGGTCGCCGCGGCATCTTGCCGAGTGTCCCGGGCCGCGCGACTCCGGTCACCAACGGTGTCAACGGTACAGCGAAGAGCACGACTATCCCCGCGAAGGATGCCGATGGCAAATTCCCCTGCCCGCACTGCAACAAGACCTACCTCCACGCCAAGCATCTGAAGCGTCATCTGCTGAGACGTGAGTTTTGGAAACCGATCTGAAGGGGAAAATTTTTTTCTTATGATTACATATGCTAACGGACGCGTTTTTCTCGTTTTCTTATAGACACTGGCGATCGCCCCTACATGTGTGTTCTGTGCAAGGACACTTTCTCCCGCAGTGATATCTTGAAGCGCCACTTCCAAAAGTGCTCAATCCGACGGGGTAACCCGACCGGTGCGACCCACTTGTCCCACCCCCAGGCCCATCTGAAGCGGTCTCAGCAGCAAGCAGCTGCGGCTGCCGCGGCCAATCCCCCTAAGCCGCTCCAGGATGAAGTCAGTAATCCCGTTTCTCACTCCAATGGCGTTATGGGTACGCAATTCGATGGGGCCGTGAATGGCAATGGAATGGCCCCAGGCCGTCCTAGCTACACGGAGCAGCAGCCGCTAGGCTTCACGATGCAGTCGGTCAATGGCATGAACCGTGGTCCCGGTGACGACGCGTTCTCCGCTGGCCAGGCGCACGCGAGAGCCTCGTGGATGGCCGCGCCTACGAAGAATCCGTATCTCATGCAGCCTGGTGTCGATGCCCATGGCCAGCAGCTGACGGTTGATCGTCCCCTTGAACAGGTAAAGCCCCTGGTCCACCCTGACCACAAACCGGTCATGCCCGGTCCCCATTCACATCACCCGGGTGTTGACTGGAATCAAATGTTTCAGCACGGTGCCTCCGAGGGTTACATTAACCCGGTCTTCCCCCACTCCATGGCCGCGGGCCAGGAGCCCATCCACGCCCCCGTCGATCACGACCGCAAGTTTTACCCCGCCTCGACCGGTCCCGAGAGCGGTATGAACGGACTGTACCTTGCTTCGACTACGCTGAGCGGAGACGGTTAGTTTGATACTTTGCCTAACCTTCGGGTTTCACTATCACATGGGAATTCTTCTGACCATCATATGCAGGTACCGTGCAGCCCGCAAGACAGTAGACGGTGGATTCGATCAGAAAGCAAGATGGTGTTTTACAGGGCATAGATGAAAAAGCGTTCGATGAAATACAGAAAGTCTGATCAGACTTGGCTTTTTTTCTTTCACGCCGTGGGTAGGACTATTGCTCTCCACCCCCTCATCTCTTGTTGGCACTCTGTCCTTGGTCTTTCTGCTGGTGCAAATCCACCGGTCGCGATGTCACAGCAAATCCGTCTACGATTGTCCTTTGATCTGTTCACCCCCCGCTTTCCAGTCTGCGGCGTTTTCATTCCTAGCATCCTCGTTCCGGATTTGTCTTAGTATCGCGTCTCCTTGATCTCTTTTTTACATTCTGATCCCCATCCGGTGTGGGTGTGCATTCTTACACAAGTGGTTGCGAGTCTGGTTATCTTTTATCTTGAACCCTCGATGAGAGGGGCAGACGGTATGGTGGGTGGTTTGTTCGGCGTCCACAACATAGACATGGGCATGTGTTCATCTTTTGCGCAAGTGTTCGACATCAGAAAGAAGAAAAGCTTTTTTTATATTATCTTTATGGGATGGCTGTTGTCGAATTGCAACGTGTTCTTCATTTCTTTTGTGCTTTTATCTTTTTTTGTTTATCATTTTTTTTGTGCATCGCATGGCCTCTTGTAAAGTTGGCATAGCACAGACATATGTGTGCTGCGGGAATTCTGAGGTGTGATTTAAGGTGTTCTGTGTTTTTATTGAGGGTCTAGAGAAGCAACTAGAAATAGACTTATGATTCATTTCATCTCTCAGTGGCTGGACTTAGGAGTACTGGGTACTATATCAGGCCATCGTAGATATCCGGGGACCCGGTCGTGGGGACGAACCTGTTCGAGCAGACATCAGCTGATCTTGAACTCGGAGAAAAGGGATATATAAGATGTCCTCCGTACACCTGTGCGCTGAAGTGTAAAACAGGCACAGAACACTCCGAGAACTTCCTATGCGACGTCATGTCCATAATCCAGTACCCGTGATTGGAGCGCCTGGGACATCGGGAACTCACAAGGTTGAACTCGGGATCTCCCACTTTTCCCCGCCTTCATTTAAACATCTCCATCCACCAAGTCGACATTGCCCATTTGAAGTCCATCTCTGCAGGCGGAGCCTTCATCCCAACATGTCAAGCAACCGCCCCTTCCTCTCAAACTTCCTGGCCGCTTTCCGTGCCCAATCCACCTACAAGGCCACCACTCAGCAAGTCGGCACATCCACCATCTCCTCCACCCAGATCTCCCAGAACGCCCGCACCATTGCAACAAAAGCTGCCAACGCCGCCCAGGGCTCGTCAGCATCCGCATCAGCATCAAGCTCTACACCCCATCACGCCCACACCCACAACCACCACACCCACTCATCTCCAACATCCTCATCCACCTCATCTCCAACGTCCGGATCAGCATCTGGACCAGTCCAAGGCCCAAGCCCTGCCCCCGCTCACCACTATCACCACGACCAAGCCTCCTCGCCACCAACGTCAACCCCCATCCCCATCAACCGGAGCTCTGCAGATCGCCAGCGCCGCGGAAGTGATTCCTCCAGCGGCTCGGGCGGGTTCCGCGATGCCATCGGCCCCGAAAAGTGGTATATCGGCGGTCGGACGCCGGCCGGTGAAGAACGCTTTTATCGTCTCGGTATGGTTACCAAAGGTGGGGGGCGGCTTGGCGGGAGTGGGCGGGTGGGGAGTATCGATCAGTTAAGTCTGTAACGGGAATGGATCGAGGCTAAATTCAACGGTCTTGGGCTGTGTCTTGGTTTCGGCTTGTCTCTCTCATATTGGGAGTGGTTGAAGCTGGATCGGTTGAGGGGTTTTTTTTTGGGATTCTCGGATTTTATGGGGTTCTTACTTTTTGCTTGACTTCTATCTCTCTCTTGCGTGTGTTTTGTGGTGTGCCGTGGCATTTTTCGGGCGTCCTGGATGGTGTCTTCAGCTTTTTCTTTTTCTTTTTCTTCTTTTTCTTCTTCTTATTTCTGGGTTCCCTATTCTTGTTATGCATCCAAATCTGGAATTCGGATCCACATGGATCAATATCAGTCGGAAAGGAGATCTTGGTTTCTTGCTGGTGATTTTGCTGGTACAAAAGAAGCCCAAAAAAGACATACATCTTACACCATTCTACACGAGTTATGATTTGCCTGGAAGCAAGGGCTGGTCTGGTCTATGGTCTGTCTTCACTCTATTTCTCTTCTTCTTCTATGTCTATCTTCAATCTTCAATCTTCAATGTTTGCCAGTTGCAGGCCAAAAACATGGTTCCTCGACAACAGAATCGACATCGACATCACATCCATTCAGATGATACTTCCACACCCACGTTTTTATTGTACAATTCTAAGCTTAATGAATTATATACCGAAAGCCTTTTCCAAGTCTTTTTTGTTAAACCAAAAGCCGTATTCCTAGCTAGCTAATCCCATCACATCACCTGCTGCGTAACACAATGCAGCACACCTCCAGTCCTAGGCAAGGCATTGACCTCAACCTGGCGAACCTCCTTCCCAGGAACTAAGCTCTTCAACAACTCAAACGCTTTAGCATCAGCCTCCGCATCCCCGAAAGCCGGAATCACCAAGCCCCCATTAACAAAATAAAAGTTAACATACGAAGCCGCCGGCGCAGCCTCCTCCCCCGGAATATCACCCTTAATCAACGCAATATCCGCCTCCACAACGTCATGAACCTCAAACCGCCGTCCACACGCATCAGTAGAACTCTCCAAAACAGCCCGAATCTCCCGGTAAATCTCCCAATGCACCTCCCCGGCCGTCTCATGCGGCCGACAAACAACCACAACCCCAGGCCTCACAAACCGCGCCTCAGCATCAACATGCACATCGGTAATATCAAGCCCCACCCGCCCAGGGAACCAAATAAACTTCCTAACCCCCAGCAACCGACGCAACTCCTCCTCAATCGCCGCCTTCTCAACCCCCGGGTTCCGAGCCCCGAGAATACTACTCTCCGTCGCCATAAACGTCCCTTCCCCGTCAATCTCAATCCCACCGCCCTCGAGCCGCAGATCCGTCTGCACGCGCATGATCACCTCGTCCGCGCCCTCGTTCTCAAGATCCAGCACTGTACTCGCGAACGCCGTGTTCTCGCGCAATGCTGCCTCGTCCATGACCGGCCGGTCAGGCTGCGAGGAATTCCCGTAGATATACTCGTCTGTCTTGTGGCCCCATTCGCAGAAGCCGAAGTCGATGGCGTAGCGTGTTTTATCGGCTCTGTCTGCGCTGCGCACGTAGACGGGTCCTGTGTCGCGGATCCAGCAGTGGTTGGTTGGTGCTGCGATCAGGCTGATGTTGGCGCGGTGCTGCGGTGGCAGGGTATGTTTGTCCAGCAGGGCCTGGGCGTCGGTGAGATCTTCTGATCGTGCGTGTAGACGCACGGGCTCGAACGCGGCGATGGTGGCTGCGAGGGAGATTATCTCGTTGGTTGTTTTGGCGTGTAGGTTGGGGAGGGTGGAGCGGCGGGAGGGGAAGCTTAGGAGCGTTGCTAGGTGGGTGTCTGTTTCTGGGGGGCAGAGGTATTTTTTGGATTTGTCGGTTGTTTGGTGTAGTTGGGCGCGGTGCTGGATGTGCCAGGTTTTGTTGGTTGCTGGCATGGTTGAGGGATTTCTTGGGATGGGATGTTGGGAGGCCTGGTGTTGTTAGATTATATGCGTTGTGGTACAGGGTGGGCTGGGGGATGGAGTGGTATAGTTACTTTGATAAGTGATCGTCTTGGTCGGAGGATTGACTGGAGGGACATGGAATAGGGGAAATACGGTGAGTTGGGGGTATTTATGTTCGGAATGGACAAGCAGATACGGTCAATGGAGATAGGGACCGATGTGATTGAAGAAGAGAGAGAGAGTCTGGAGAAGTCCAGTGGGAATTGCCTCCTATAAGCTTCTAAGGTTGTACATCATCGCGGGGACTATATACTTCCAAGTTCTATGGCGATGCCTCCTGATGCCTGTCTTCTCAGGCACCGCTCTGATAGACTGAGCACCAGGGCTTGTTTGCTAGTTTGATAGTTTGCGACATGTAGTTTCCAGGGACTATAAACGGTATAAAGTCTCCCGTTTCCCCCAGATCTAGAGCGTCATAGCTTCTTCCTTCTCTCCAGCAGTACCCTTATAATCTATAACCTTGCCAATTAAATACTCCCACTGTCCACGGTCGTATCTACAGACGGGGTTTGGATAAACTCCATCCAGCTGCTTCTGCTACTTTAGCTGCTTCAAACCCAACAAAGAGCTCAGTTCACCTCTAGTAAAGCTGGAACATTCATCATGAGCCCTTGAGACCATCTCGAAAGCGGGTCCAGCAAGCTCAATGCATGGGCCCTTTGAGACATTCAAAGCAAAGAAGTTGCGTGAGAATTGAAATGTCATCTGGGAGTGCCATTCTCGGCGGCAGCAGCCCATCTTTGGAAGGGCTGACAAAGATGCACAATGCTGTGAGGTTCTCGCTGGGGTCATGTTGCCCAATAGATTGGTACGTTTGGCTCAACGTGTATCTCTTTGAAGATTTGACTTATAACATTGTTTCTCTTACAGCGAACCATTTCCAACGGCTTTCGGGTATTTCGAGTTCTTTGATGGATCTCTGCCTATATTCAGTGTGATGAGTGACATAAACCAGAATCTGTTTCTGGGCTGAAGCCTTCTTACGACCTTCCGAATAGCGATTTGGTCACCGACGCAGGGAAAAGGCGCCAAATCTGCTCCTCGGGATGTGCCAGATCAGCCTTTTATCAAGTGGCGGGGGTTCTCTACGGAGTTTAGTCTTTTCCCCATCCCTTTTGTCGACTTTTGAAGGTCTGCCTTGGTATCTCTCGCTGGGCTCTGGTATATTCCATACACCTCTACAACCTCATATTGTTTCATTCAGCTTTATGAACGGAATAATGCACGGTCTTTCCTCCACGTCTTCTGCTGTGGAAAGCTCCAAAATTGCCGAATCGTGCGCGAGTAACAGGCTCTAGATGTTTATATGATATTAGGTGCGGGATTCTGGAATCACAGGGATCACTACAAGCTACGACAAGTGCGTGCTATAGAAAAATAATTTGCAGGTCTCCTCCGGGGAGACTCCCAGAATATAGAACTATATCAATACCGCCTGGGGACAGATTGAAGCGCCCCTGTAAACACAACAACTAATATACGAGAGCCCTATGCAGGTATAGTTACATACCCACATGTAGGGCAATAGGCAGAACTGATACTTGCGCCCAAGAACAGTGCTGCCTAACTGCGTAACCCTCATTCAATTCATTAAAGCCCTCTCCTCCTCGGTTTCTCCTAACCACAGCATCGGAAGTGCAGTGAGCGCCACCAAGACTCCCAATGTGCCTGTCATAGCGCCCCACCCAAATCGATACTCCACGAACCCACCCCAGAGTGGTCCGAAGAACACTCCTGCAAATTGGCACATGCTCTGCAGTCCGAATCCCTGCGCCACGGCGCCCTTGGGACCTAGTATTCCGGGACTCTTGATTTCCATTAACGCGAGCGCGTATTGCGTTTCAACGTACATGGCAGGTGCGCAGGCGTGGATGAAAATCCCTGTGAGGAAAAGTAGTGAGACTAACAGGGCTATCTGTTCGGTTGATTTCGTCTCGACAAATCGGAGACAGATGAGTGTGGGTGAGAGGAAAACGAAGCAGCCGAATGACATAAACCGGGCACCGAATCGGTCAGTGATGAAACCAAACAGAGGCTCGAAGAAAGCTGGAACAGCCATTGGGAGAAAAATCAGTCCCATTCCAAGCGCGTTCCAGCCAAACGTCGTTTCAACGAAAATGGGAAGTGTCTTGATATCATCAACAAATTTATCATGCGAAGCGGAGCCTGGTACATACCGCGTCAAAGGCAGAGAGCAGCAGTCCCTGAACAAGAAGCGCCACAGAGGAAATCAACACCCGACGCTCCTTGAGCATCCGGAAGAGAACGAATCCCTTCCTTCTCTGGGGAATCTGTGGCTCCTGTACACCGGTAGAAGGAACACGCTGCGCCGTCTCCAAATCAGACTCCGGCTCCCCATTCGACTCTCCAATCCATTGGGCGGCGACCTTCTTCTCGATCAGAACTAACCGCATAAGCATGTCCAGTGCAAGAATGGGATATGCAAACCAGAACACCGCGTCGTACCCACCGGCATTATACACAACGCCTCCGAGGAATGGGCCCAGCAGGAATCCAGAGGCAATCGCGGAGCCAAGATATCCGATCGTCTGGCCAAGACGCTCTTGGGGTACAGCGTCGCCGATAAGAGCAAATGCCGCTACTACTACCAAAGCCCCTGCCACACCCTGGAGCACACGTGCTGCGACAAACCCAGCTATGGAATGCGATAGCTGTAAGATGATCATACAGCCGGTTAAAACGAGCAGGGCGCTAATGAAGGGTAGTCGACGCGTGCGTCCGCGGTCGACGAGATACCCAAATACTGGACATAACAGAAGGGACGTGCCAGCTTCGCTCATGAGAAGTACACTGATCCAGTATTCGCCTGCGCAGAAGGTGAATATATGGACTTTTGAAGGAGAGGGTATGCTAGTGAGTGTGGGAACAGGACATACGGCGGTCAAAGTCGACTCCGGCTTTGGTCATCAGGGCTGTTGGCATCACGGGGACTATCTGTTTCGTTCGTTGATTCTGGCTTCAACTCCCATTATGGATGTAGACTCTTGCTTACCATGGCATATAGGAGAAATTCCTTATATGGATTGAGTCTCGGTCAGTTTCCACATCTCCAAATTAGGATCTATTTCTTTCACATACCGTGAAGGTCGACATCCATACTGCGCCGACGATGAACCACGTCGAGGAACGAAACTTCAATAGCCAGGGAGCACGTTTGCCCCCCGGCGTTTTCTTGAAATTGGATAGGTCACGCAAAGTCATAGTTATCACCATGAACGAGTACTTATTCTTTTTTTCCGTGTGCAAACGGAAACAAAGGAAGGTCTTAATCCAAATTGCTGGAATGGACCCAAATAACTGGAATCCAGTTCAAGCTGACAGTCAAATCAAAAGTAGGAACCGGAATCAGCTGATAAATCTCAGACATAATAGGCACCGGGAGGTACCCAGGTGAAAGAAACAAAGACTTTGTCAAACAAAGAACAAAGAGCCCCCCTCAGGCCGTCGACCGAACCCCGGCCAGAGCTCGCTGTTTTACTCATTGATACCCACACCCAATCGCGGAGGATTACGCTCATACTTAGGGCTTGGACACGCGCACTACATGCAGGATTCGTCAGATCGACGTTGCAGAGATACCATCACTGACCAGATTTGCTGGACATCGGCACCAACCACATCATCTGATTCGAGGATTGTGATCCAAGCTGCAGATCTGGCTTTCCAAGGTTGCTTGGCCTTGGTTTTTAGATGCACTTCATGCATGCATGTGCTATTTCTTTGGCTAGGCAAAGTATGGACTTTGATATCCTGTCTATATCTGACATACATCTTACACATATTGTTTCGGGCTGTGTGGTTTGCAGTTTTGAGGATATCTGGTCTTATCATTGCTGTCATTTGGACTGGTATTTTGGGATCTGGTGTGTATGGGAATTCGCCACGCAGTGGGTATAGCTTGGGTGTTCCTTGCTCCCCTGGTTGTTTCTTGTCACTGTCGCTCCAGGGCGTGGTTGGGAGCGTGGCTGAGCACATGACGGACTCGGGTAATATTGTCAGTCGCAGAGAAGTAGGCCAAGTCCTTCATGGCTATCCGATTGACCGCTAGATTGGTCAGTGAGATTAACATAACATGACATATGTTGTGATAGGATGGGGAGGCGGCGCATTTCCCCTTTGCGGTGTGTATATGTGTTGTGCTCTGTGAGTATCATGGCTCTTCTAGTACTGACCACCGACGAAGACAATGAAGGTAGACTTCGGGATGTTGTTAAAAATAGAAAATTGTCCGATGACGTTCGTGGCTCTTTTTGTAAGGTAGCCAGTATATCTCACAGCGATCCATAAATTTCATAGATAGACCAAGTGTATGAGGACACTCCGGTAGAAACAATGAAAATGCAGACTTTATTCGCATAGAAACATTGGGATCAGCTGTGATAGACTCCAAGATGCTCTCGACGCGGGAGATACACATATCAACAAGGTAGAACATAGCTTCCCAGGCTGGAAGCTAACACGACCTCTCGTAATCAAGGAGCGTCGATTCATCAAGAGTGACGCTTCTCTCCCCGCACTGTACCACCGACCGCGAGGTAGCTGCACATGCTTGTCATGGCAATGGTCAGCAGAGATCATGTCTAGTCAGCGCCGAGAGTATTTGCCACCAGGACTTCGCTTTCACTGATCATCGCAGCTCGCCGAGCCGGATCCGTTTAAATGGTGGAGGTCTCCGGGCTGACACGAGCGGAGATATTGAGGTGTCCGGGATTTAGGGAGTGAATGCATGAATGATCATTGTACGCTAAGTAAAGGGATTGGATCATCTAGGGGTTTGCACTGGAACACGGAGGTCGGAATTTCGGGATTTCATGGAATGTATGGCGATCTCCGGCTATGCCGTCCGAAAGTCTGGGGAAACGACTATCGTTGAAGCGCTGAGCTCGGAAATGTCAGGCCATGGACACGAAAAGAGAGCGTTGTCGAGTTGATAAGATCGGGGTTTGCGATTGTGGAGAGCGGCCACTCGCGGCCATCGGAGGTGCCCGATACTCTCTTTCTCAACGGATCAGCCCATTTCATTCGTTTCTCTTCATTCCAATCGAAATAAATAAGACTGGACGTGTTTGCAATTAGGTAGATCCAGATCTCTCTCTTTTTTCAGCCTTCCAGCACCCTCTTCAGCCCCTACACCTTCTTTTCTACCTTTATCTCTTATCTCCATCATGAGCGCATTGGCAGCAGCTCGCTACGGCAAGGACAATGTCCGCGTGTGCAAGGTGCAGCGTGACGAGAAGACCGGCATCCAGACTGTGGTGGAAATGACCGTCTGTGTCTTGCTGGAAGGCGACATTGAGACCTCGTAAGTCTACACTGAATCCCTTATCTCGAAAAAAAACTTGAAGCTAAAGCCAGGGTCTCCACAGTTACACCAAAGCCGACAACAGCGTCGTTGTCGCAACGGATTCAGTGAAGAACACCATCTTCATCACAGCCAAACAGAACCCCGTTACTCCACCAGAGCTGTTCGGCTCGATCCTGGGCACACACTTCGTCGAGAAGTACAGCCACATCCACGCCGCGCATGTCAAGATCGTGACCCACCGCTGGGATCGCATGGAGATCGACGGAAAGCCACACCCACACTCGTTCATCCAGCCAGGTTCGGAGACCCGCGAAGTCCAGGTCGACGTTGTCGAGGGCAAGGGCATCGAGATCAACTCTGCTATCAACGGCTTGACCGTGCTGAAGAGCACCGGTTCCCAATTCTGGGGCTTCGTCCGTGACGAATACACTACCCTCAAGGAGACCTGGGATCGTCTCCTCAGCACTGATGTCGCTGCGGACTGGCAGTGGCGCCGCTTCGCTACCCTCGCGGATGTCAAGGCAAACGCTGAGAAGTTCAATGCCGCTTGGGAAGCCGCACGCGGTATCACCCTCAAGACCTTTGCTGAGGATAACAGTGCCTCTGTCCAGGCGACTATGTACAAGATGGCAGAGCAGATTCTTGCCGCGGTGCCTCTGCTCGACACTGTTCAGTACCAGTTGCCTAACAAGCACTACTTTGAAGTTGGTAAGTTCTTTAGTGCTTTATCCTGTCGAACCTCAAGATTTTTGGATTTGGGCTAATTTCGGCGCTTTTAGATCTCAGCTGGCACAAGGGCATTAAGAACACTGGCAAGGATGCTGAGGTGTATGCCCCTCAGTCCAACCCCAACGGTCTTATCAAGTGCACCGTTGGCCGCGCTGGCCCAAAAGCTAAGCTGTAAATGCTTCCTTAGACTGTTGGCGAACTCCGATGTGAGCGCTACTTTGCTTTCTCTTCTGTACATATATCCATCTGCTATACCTCCGGGATCAGACTCCCTATATCTCAAATCCAAATTGATAAACACTTTCCCTCAGTGCATCGTAGAAAAGACAGAATATGGTATAATACGTGATATTGTTGTATGTGCTATAAATACAATTCAAGAAAACCGCAGCCTTGAAAAGTGAGAAGTCTGAGACCAGGTCAACGGAGTAGATAATCAAAAGCAATATCCCAAACGGACTCCACACCTATGCGCTTTTGCGGTTGGATCATAACATCGCAGGAGAATAGAATACAGGCAGACGCGAACCCTATTGAGGTTGGCGTTGGAAATAGACGAAAGAAAAACGACAATGAAAAGGATGCTCTATGCGGTGGGCTTCTCGGCGGCCACCTTGAATGCTTCTTGCACTTCGGGCATGTTTCCGATCACGGATTGGTTGCCGAACTTGACGATATTCTCCTTGTAGGGGTGGGCAAGGCCTTCGAAAGCTGCGCGATATTGGGTTAGTATTTGATCAGGACAGGAACATAGAGGATATGCGATGCGAATGGATCACGTCCATATTGTTCCTTGGAGGCAATGGTGTAGATCTTCAAGTTGACCATCCAGGGAGCAGGAAGCAGCAGCGTAGCAACCACATAGCACTTACTCTTCAATCGAGCCAGACGAATATCCCGAAGACGGTTCTTAGGCAGCATGCCCCGGACAGCGCGGCGCAGAACTTCACCTCCACCCCATTTGGCAAACATCTGATCCATCGTCATGCTCTTCAAGCTACCGGGCCGCGTGTTGTGAGTGTAGTACATCTTCTGGAATCGTTTCTTTCCCGTGGTCTTAAGATCATGGCATCCGACGACGACGACGTAGTCACCGCAGTCTGTTGAAGGGTCGTAGATAGGCTTGTTCTTTCCCATCAAAACGAGGGCGATCGACGAGGCGAGGCGGCCGAGGGATCGTTCGTCGGTGCCGGCATCGACATGGTGCCATGTGCGCGAGTAGGCGAGACGGGTCTGGTGAGTTGATAGTTAGGACCGGGTTGCTTGCTTCATAGTAGGACATGCGCGGTTGGCCCGGAAGCCTCCGCATTGAAGCTGTTTACCTTGCCGACGAGTTGCGACATCTTGTTGATCTGGCGGAGGGTACGGTAGGGGTCGGGGTGAGGGGCAATTAGACAATTAATGAAAGGTGGAGAAGCCCAATTGAAAATACCAGACACAAATCAGATCTAATACCCAAGAAGTCCAAGATAATGATGATCTCAGCGTCCTCTGATTGCTTGTAGTCCCCAACCGGCCCCGACGAAGTTCTCCGGGTCATGTGACCAAGCCCTAAGTTTCCACGCTAGTCCCGTTACAGAATTAGCGTCGCACACTAAGCGAAAACCCGCACGGAAGCAAATCAGTGTGTATGGGAATCCAAGTGACTCTTTTTCATCTCCCTCGACAACACACTCCCTCCCCCACGACAATCACCATGGCTTCCGTCCCGAGTGTGCAATGCTTCGGCAAGAAGAAGACGGGTAAGCTGCCCTTTTTTTCGATCGGAAATGAGAGAGAATGAACCCGAGCGCTGACATGTTTAATTTTCAATAGCCACCGCTGTCGCCCACTGCAAGGTATGATAACGCCTATACCTTCCTCGGTCCCAATACGTTGTTTCGAAATATCTGGAAGGAAAGGAGAATCGGGGAGGAATTGTACACGACAAGAACAAACGGAATCGAATTTTTGGAAGGATATACGAAACAACATTTGCGCGATTATCGGGGAATGATATATACATTGAATTGGACAACATACTGAGACTTTCTACAGCAAGGCAAGGGCCTCGTCAAGGTTAACGGCCAGCCCCTCTCCCTGGTCCAGCCCGAGATCCTCCGCTTCAAGGTACGCACACATCGCTCAACCAACTCTCCCGCACGCCACCTATGAAAGGGATTCGCCCGAATCGCAAACGACAATGTCAATGCGAGACCCTTGTATCGGAATTGCGATCTGACAATCCATGCACGAATTTTAGGTCTACGAGCCCCTCCTCATCGTCGGCGTTGACAAGTTCGCCGGTGTCGATATCCGCGTCCGTGTCACCGGTGGTGGTCACACCTCCCAGGTTTACGCCATCCGTCAGGCTATCGCCAAGTCCATTGTCGCCTACTACCAGAAGTACGTCGATGAGCACTCCAAGAACCAGCTGAAGCAGGCTCTTGCTCAGTACGACCGCACACTCCTGGTTGCCGATAACCGCCGCGCCGAGCCCAAGAAGTTCGGTGGTCGCGGTGCCCGCTCCCGTTACCAGAAGTCCTACCGTTAAATTTTTCTTTCTCACTTGTTACGCGGCGAAAGGAAAAAGAAAAGTTTACGGCAATGGGGAAATGGAATATGTCTGTCTTCATATTTTTCTTCAATCACGACTTATTTCCATGACTTCTTGGTGGACTGGGGACTTGGGAGGATTCGGGGATGTGTATTGAGCGGTTCTGGTTCGGTATAACCGCTCTTACATGAGATCAGAGGACCGGGCTAGAGGAATTTGGGAAAATGACCTCTGGTTGTTGTTCCGGTGCCTTGTTCAGGATGGATATGTTTTTCACTGGCGCTGTCCTGCACGGCTGGAAAAAAATACCTAGCATAGCCAGGGAATTCTACTCAATGATACTGGGTTTTATCTTGTTCAAATCTTTTGTTTTTGGGGGCTCTTGGGTTGTTTTAGCAACGGTGTTTTGACCTTGATCTCACATTTCCCCCGGACATGTATGCTTGAAGGTAAACCAGGGAGGAAGCCACTTGCCCTCAGTATTAAATCGAGCTTGGATTGATGGATCCATATGCTCTCGAGGTCATCTCCAATTTACCCCGGATAATAGCTCTGCCGTTGACACCACTTGCAAAATGTCTCGTTTTTGCCAGAGCCAGATGATCTTGTCAGTATAGATCCTTGGACAAAAACAATGTTGGCAATTGAATCAAGTGGTATGACTCTCGACGACATCAGCGGCAATTCCCCTTCCCAACTGTTCGCTCCGCGTTTTCAGCGTCCCGGTCTCTCTTTCCCGTATCCCTTTTCCAAGATAATCAACGTAAGACGGTACTATTCCTCCGTCAGTTTTGTCTTGGGCCATCATTCACTTGTGAATCCTCGGGCTCTGGTCTCACCAATTCATCTCAAGTGCCATGACGCCCAGCTTCCTCCAAAGTAGTTCAATTGCAATGTTTTCTCCCTGCCAGCCCTCTCCGGTTATAATTTGTGTCCACCAGCTTCGAGTCTGCTTCGATTGAGGGTTCGCTCGTCGTTTCGTCGGCGGGAGTGGCCTTGATTCGTAAAGTATGATATCAGTGCATGCTCAGTATTCTTTGCGACTTGGGAAATTGAGCTCTGAAAATATTCGCACCTGAAATCCCATGGAACTCAGCCCTCAGCGAGCAGATGCCAATTCAAAATATATCACTCGCGAACTGCCCTCTTCGGAAAGATTCGTGGGTCCCATATCAGTTGCTTGTTTGAGTATTTGCATTGGTTTACATCATGGAACCATAGCCTCACGACTCGGTTCCTTAGCGTAGAGCATGGAACCATAGCCTCACGACTCGGTTCCTTTGAGTAGAGCAAATGAATAGCTGTCATCACTTATGGGACCCGGAGACTCGTCCAGATGGAGAGTCTTCGATCTATAAATTGTTAGCATGAGACTAATGGGGTTCGTAAACTAACCTTTGCCCTCCATATATCCCTCGCGAACTGTTCTTCGGAAAGATTCGTGGGTCCCATATCAGTTGCTTGGTTAAGTATTTGCATTGGTTTACATCATGGAACCATAGCCTCACGACTCGGTTCCTTTGAGTAGAGCAAATGAATAGCTGTCATCACTTATGGGACCCGGAGACTCGTCCAGATGGAGAGTCTTCGATCTATAGATTGTTAGCATGAGACTAATGGGGTTCGTAAACTAACCTTTGCCCTCCATATATCCCTCGCGAACTGCTGTCTTCGGAAAGATTCGTGGGTCCCATATCAGTTGCTTGTTTGAGTATTTGCATTGGTTTACATCATGGAACCATAGCCTCACGACTCGGTTCCTTAGCGTAGAGCATGGAACCATAGCCTCACGACTCGGTTCCTTTGAGTAGAGCAAATGAATAGCTGTCATCACTTATGGGACCCGAAGACTCGTCCAGATGGAGAGCCTTCGATCTATAAATTGTTAGCATATGACTAATGGAGTTCGTAAGCTAACCTTTGCCCTCCCACCCGCGCCCAGAGTAAGTATGAGCCTATAGAAATGGTTAGCAAGTGCACGAAGATAGAAAGGGATTACCGTTCTTTGCCCTCCAACCCACTCCTAGAGTATTGAGCTATAGAAAAGTTAGTAAATACTCGATAATGGAAGGGGATTACCGTTCTATGCCCTCCCACCCGTGCCAGGAGTAGGTATGAACCTATAAAAATAGTTAGTAAATGCACGAGGATAGAAAGGGCTTACCGTTATTTGCCCTCCCACCCACTCCTGGAGTAAGGTAATTGGATCTATAGAAATGGTGAGTAAATAGACGAGAATAGAAAGGTGTTACCTTCTGTGCCCTCCTATACGTGCCCAGTGTCTTAAATCTATAGGTTGTCAGCATGTGATGAAGAGAGGCAGCAAGCTAACCTTTGCCCACCCACCCACTCCTGGAGTAAGGCAATTGGATCTATAGAAATGGTGAGTAAATACATGAGAATAGAAAGGAATTACCGTTCTTTGCCCTCCCACCCACGCCTGGAGTATCGACCTATAGAAGAGTCAGTAAGTACACAAGAATAAAAGGGGATTACCGTTCTGCCCTCCCACCCACTCCTAGAGTGAGATAATTGGATCTATAGAAAATAATTAGTAAATGCACAAGAATGGAAAGGGCTTACCGTTCTTTGCCCTCCCACCCGTCCCAGAGTAAATATTGACCTATAGAAAAGTAAGCGAATGCACGACAATAGAAGGGGATTACCGTTCTTTGCCCTCCCACCCACTCCTAGAGTGAGATAATTGGATCTATAGAAAATAATTAGTAAATGCACAAGAATGGAAAGGGCTTACCGTTCTTTGCCCTCCCACCCGTCCCAGAGTAAATATTGACCTATAGAAAAGTAAGCGAATGCACGACAATAGAAGGGGATTACCGTTCTTTGCCCTCCCACCCACTCCTGGAGTAAAGGTATAACCGGATCTATAGAAAATAATTAGTAAATACCGAGGATGGAAAGGGATTACCGTTATTTGCCCTCCCACCCACTCCTGGAGTGAGATAATTGGATCTATAGAGGTAGTGAGCAAGTGAACGAAAGTAGAAAGGGATTACCGTTCTTGGTACTCCCGTCCATGCCCGGAGTAAGTATAAACCCATAAAAAATAGTTAGCAAATGCACAATAATCGAAAGGGCTCACCGTTCTTTGCCCGCCCACCCGTGCCCAGAGTAAGTATGAACCTATAGAGATGGTTAGCAAATGGACGAGAATAGAAAGGTATTACCTTTCTGTGCCCTCCCACCCGTGCCTAATGTCTTCGATCTATAGGTTGTCAGCATGAGATTAATAGAGGCAGCAAGCCAACCTTTGCCCTCCCACCCATACCCAGAGTAAGGTAATTGGATCTGTACAAAACAATCAGCAAATGCACAAGAATAGAAAGGGCTTACCGTTCTGTGCCCTCCCACCCATACCCAGAGTAAGGTAATTGGATCTGTACAAAACAATCAGCAAATGCATAAGAATAGAAAGGGCTTACCGTTCTGTGCCCTCCCACCCGTGCCCAGAGTAAGGTAATCGGATCTATACAAAATAGTTAGTAAATGCGCAAGAATGGAAAGGGCTTACCGTTCTTTGCCCTCCCATGCGTGCCCAGTGTCTTCGATCTATAGGTTGTCAGAATGAGATTATTAGAGGCAGCAAGCTAACCTTTGCCCTCCCACCCATACCCAGAGTAAGGTAATTAGATCTATACAAAACAATCAGCAAATGCACAAGAATAGAAAGGGCTTACCATTCTTTGCCCTCCCACCCGTGCCTAATGTCTTCGATCTATAGGTTGTCAGCATGAGATTAATAGAGGCAGCAAGCCAACCTTTGCCCTCCCACCCATACCTAGAGTAAGGTAATTAGATCTATACAAAACAATCAGCAAATGCATAAGAATAGAAAGGGCTTACCGTTCTGTGCCCTCCCACCCGTGCCCAGAGTAAGGTAATCGGATCTATACAAAATAGTTAGTAAATGCGCAAGAATGGAAAGGGCTTACCGTTCTTTGCCCTCCCATGCGTGCCCAGTGTCTTCGATCTATAGGTTGTCAGAATGAGATTATTAGAGGCAGCAAGCTAACCTTTGCCCTCCCACCCATACCCAGAGTAAGGTAATTGGATCTGTACAAAACAATCAGCAAATGCATAAGAATAGAAAGGGCTTACCGTTCTGTGCCCTCCCACCCGTGCCCAGAGTAAGGTAATCGGATCTATACAAAATAGTTAGTAAATGCGCAAGAATGGAAAGGGCTTACCGTTCTTTGCCCTCCCATGCGTGCCCAGTGTCTTCGATCTATAGGTTGTCAGCATGAGATTATTAGAGGCAGCAAGCTAACCTTTGCCCTCCCACCCATACCCAGAGTAAGGTAATTGGATCTGTACAAAATCAGCAAATGCACAAGAAGAGAAAGGGCTTACCGTTCTTTGCCCTCCCATGCGTGCCCAGTGTCTTCGATCTATAGGTTGTCAGCATGAGATTATTAGAGGCAGCAAGCTAACCTTTGCCCTCCCACCCATACCCAGAGTAAGGTAATTGGATCTATACAAAATCAGCAAATGCACAAGAAGAGAAAGGGCTTACCGTTCTTTGCCCTCCCATGCGTGCCCAGTGTCTTCGATCTATAGGTTGTTAGCACAAGACTAATAGAGGTAATAAGCTGACCTTTGCCCTCCCACCCATACCCAGAGTAAGGTAATTGGATCTGTACAAAATCAGCAAATGCACAAGAATAGAAAGGGCTTACCGTTCTTTGCCCTCCCATACGTGCCCAGTGTCTTCGATCTATAGGTTGTCAGCATGAGATTATTAGAGGCAGCAAGCTAACCTTTGCCCTCCCACCCATACCCAGAGTAAGGTAATTGGATCTGTACAAAATCAGCAAATGCACAAGAAGAGAAAGGGCTTACCGTTCTTTGCCCTCCCATGCGTGCCCAGTGTCTTCGATCTATAGGTTGTTAGCACAAGACTAATAGAGGTAATAAGCTGACCTTTGCCCTCCCACCCGTGCCCATAGTGAGGTAATTCGATCTGTAGAAATAGGTAGTAGATGAATGCAAATGCGAAGGGCTTACCTTTCTTTGCCCTTCCATCCGCTCCTAGAGTATTTCGGTCTATAGAGAATCATCAGCGAATGAAGGGGAGTTGCGAACTTATCTCTGTTCTTCCAACCAACCCCGAGAGCATAACTGTGTTCCAATCTGGCAAATGTTATTAGCAAGCATACAAGAATGGGGGATTTACCTCTGCCCTCCCAACCACCCTCATACTAACTCATATCAGTTATGAGTAACAAGGTTGGTTCAGTGATCTGTAAAGTGTCAACAGGCATATGAAAGTGACCAACTTATCTCTCTTCGTATCCGGCCACCAGATGTATATGCGTCTCTAAATCCAGGTGATCCTAGCAAAAATCATGCGGGAGTTGAAGGTTTAGCTCGTTGCCTTTCGGCGGATCAAACCCCTTTTATGCAGCTCCTGTCAGGGAAGAAGCCCAAGACCATCATTTATGAGTCAACCGGTTAGTCGAGGGGATTTTGCGATATATAGGATGTCAGCAAGCATGGAATTAATTGAAAACTTGCCTTTCTCCGTTTCCAACAACCAGAAGTTCGTAAACGAGTCGAGCTACACGGTGTCAGCAGATATAAGGAATTGAAGACCTACCATTTAGGCTCATCTCGCGTCAGTCTGTTCTTTTCATATTCGTCTTCATGCTCAATAGGCAAAGCTATAGACATAGGAGGAGTTTTGTAGGTCTGAACTTGCATCATTCGCGAAATTTCCGTCAGCTTCAATTGTCCTTGCATGGGCAATGAGTATATCAAGTCATGTATGAATGAATGGGAAAGCAAGGCTACTATTTTTGAAACAGTCAGCAGATGAACTCCAGCATATACGTAAAAGGGATATTGGGCCATAACGGAGGATAGTCAGTAGTCTCATATTTGGCCTTGTAGAAGCCTGAGGACTGCGTACTGCCCCAGTAAACTGATACCAATCAAGTGCAACGGTGCTACCGGGAGTTCGCTCCAAGTCAGCCCTCTGTATATCGGTATCTTGCATCGTGAGCATCTCGAGTTTCCGAGTTTCAAGCGGTCATTTCTAATCCTTTCAGTCCTTAGAGTGTTAATCATCGTGTAGATCCCCGAAATACTTGTATCAAGTCATACCTGTCCATTCTCGATTCTGTCTTTCCTTGTATCCACTGGATCTATCATAATCCATCATCACGTCAAGTCATTGTCTTTGCGATTCGATCTTCTGAGCCCACCAAACATGCCTTGCGCCTATGGGTTGTGAGAGGATGTATGCCGAGTCATGCGCAAGCGTGGGTCCGAAGTGAATACACTAGGCAATTTCAAAGTATTAATATCAAAGCTCAAATCTTGTTCCATCATGGCAACAATTGGATCGCCAAGTCAAATACCTTTTTGTCCGAATTATCTCGGATTGATGTCTTTGTTTCCATCCGAAGCACATATTGTATTCGCCATCTCTCTGTAGCTAGTATAGCAAATAATCGTGAGGTTCAAATCTGAGAATCTGAAAAGGAAAGATTCTCATACATAGGCACGTCGAGAGGAAATTCAACCTAAACATATACCAGATGTCAGCGGAATTGGTCCAATAATACCTAGGTACCACATAGGAGTCGATAAGGTGCCAATTGGATAATCTGGTGCTTTCCTTGCTCCGCATCAGACAATCAGTCTCAACACGGATGGTTAAGCACACACCGAAAGTATCATCATTTGCGGTCTTTCGAATTCGCTAGCAGAATTGTGTTGTAGTGGGTCATACCTTGAAGCGAAGACGGTACAGCCTATACAAGTGTATCCAAGCTGCTAGCCCGAAGTTCTCCGGGTCCTAATACCTCGGAATTAATTTCACGTCACAAATCTCACCCAGACGTGAATCCAGAAGCCATTCATCAGTCCTCGAATGCCTGAGGTCCGAACCAACCCGAATTCGAGTCAAGGAGTATTTCCGACGTAGATTCGAGGGCCGTCTCCTAGTATCTGAGCACAGAAACAATGGATTGATGTATTGCCATCCACGTCCTCGAGGTAACTTTTTCACTGGAGCTGTGAAAGGGAAAATGAAGTTAGTGGTATTTCGTCTGATGCTATGGCAGGTGGGGTCTGAGCATCCCTAGCATACCTCCGTGCACTCGTGTGTCATGTCTGAAGAATCTATAGACAGTTGCAACGCCGAGCGTCTCATTGTGTCAATTTGGAAGTCCGTCTTTGCGATTGGGATGCCGACGCATACCAGATGGATAGACTGCGATTAAAAGGATAAACAGACGAAATCAATCAAGCAATTCGACGTACTTTCCAATAGCCGTAGGTCAGATATGATGAGACCTGTTATGGCAAGGATGCATAGAGCAGACAACGTATAAGCAGGATCGACGCAACAACAGGATGGGCATGCTTTGCAAAGGGAAGACAAGTGATGACGGCTCGCTGGGAGGGGAAAAAACGAACAACACGCCAAAAAGGGAAAGGGACACCTGATCGATTGGGGACAAATTTCGATGTATTACGAGTACGTGTGTAGTTTGGCGACGAAGTATCCAAAACGGAAATACAATACGGCCGTATCCATGCCCTGAGAAGACGTGCGCAGTGAAGCCTTCGTGGTAGAGACGTCTTCAGAGGCCGAATTCGGTATATTCTAAGCCAATAACGCTCGAGCGACTGCTTCTCAATTACAGTTCCATAGTATTACAGGGCTCTTAGTTTACAACATAGATGAAGATAACTAGCTTGCCGGTACGATGCCCCAAAGCCACTAGAATATGGATTGCCATTTCTGCGGCCACACATTCGGCCTGTATAGTATTACAATATCTACTAAAGCTGGTAGGTTATTCTCCAAATTGAGCACATGGCCCATTAGCACAGGTCTATTAAAGAAAGACCAGGTATAGACCTATTTATAGCGAGTAAAAGCATGTGGAAGTCAGGTTAAAACCTAGATCGTATTGTTATTGTTGTTGTTGCCGTATTGATTCATGTAGAATGGAGTATGGGCGTAACATCTGCCTATCTACTCCCACGACCTCTTGGGGCATGCTAAGCTGTGAAATTATGTATATATGTGCTCCCATAGAAAGCGACTCTCTCATAACGATGGCGTGGAAGCCTTGATTGGCTGTCTATCCTTCTCTAATATGTGGGATGGATGCAGTGCGTGTCGTAGGTAGCTTTTATCAGGTACTTGCGAGCTTTGTGGCTTAGTTAAGTGTATCAGGCCCGGGAAATCGATGTAAAACGTTACCAGCCAAGTCAACTTAAGAAAAGAAAAAGTGCATTTAACTAGATTTCTGAGTACAGGGAAGTAAGGAAAAGAGGGAGAAAAGGATCTGTAGATAAGTGCTGTTCCGCTGGGTGAGGGCTGCAAGCCATGCAAGCCACGCGGCATCTTTTCCGCCGAAAATCTCCTTGCGCCCGCTCCCAGCAGAGTCCTCCTTCTACCCCCGGCCCTGGCTCCAAGTGGCCACATAAAATACAAGAATTTCAAAATTTAAATCTTAGGCTCTAATATTAAACTGACTATTGCTTCAATCATCATATTCTCTTCATTTAGGCACCGCTATCGGTTCTAATAATGTAGAGTAGAGCGCAAAGTAGCTAGGTAGTAAGACTGTCTTTAGATCTAAGAGGGCCTTGTATTGTCTTGAAGAGTACATATCAATCAATCAATACCTCAATCAACGCAAGTTGCTTGCAGACAGTAGTACAGAGCGCTCACTTCATAAGCTTCAAATCTCCGACTTTTCTTTTTTCGGCGTAATATTAGGACTTGTGGGACCTACTTAAATGTTACACCATATATTAGGGCACAACGGACACACATTAATAGGATATGTCACCTCTCAATTTAGCCACTAGCTCACGGATATCTAACAGGAGCCCCTACCTCCAAAACGCACTGCATCTACATATCTCGTAGGTCCGACAAGGACGAGCAGCCAAGTGGGCTGGGCTTCGTAGTCTATCATTATAAATGAGTTGCTTTCCATAGGTGAGTGTACATACATAACTCTACGGCTTAGCACACCCCAATACCCTTTAGGACGTTGACGGAGCATGGGCTTAGCCCAAGCTCGACTGGATGTCAATTAATATGACAACAGCAACAGCAACTACTACTACTACTACTGCTGCTGCTGCTGCTGCTGCTGCTACTGCTACTGCTACTATGCTGTACATTATTCGAGTTGGTCCTATCTCAAGCAATATATGGAGACTTTATATATGCAGCGAGACCTATCTTCTATCTGCATGGGCATCAATGGTCTGTTCCCTTGTATCCCCTTTTTATCCTAACACAGGTATGTATGCCTCTCCCCGAAAGCCCAAATGCCAAATGGCAATCATTAAGCAAACAGAATCTAAGCCTGCATACTTATTAAGCATGCTCACAGAGTCAATAGCTCTCGAATATCTTAGATGTGCTGATTCCAATCCTGGCCTTAAAGTAGCATATCCAAAATTATCGCGGAAGTTTATTCCAACATTGAAAATTAGGGCAGGATGTGGTCGGCTGATCTGTGGATATTATCGCCAGAGGCAGTTGCGGATTAACCTTGTTCCGGCGTTCTCATGGGCCGGGCTGCCACTTAAACTGGCTACGGCAGTAATTTAGGACCATCGCGCCAACCAGGGTATACCGCCTGCCACTTTGATCACCGCCTATTGATTTAGTCACCGCCCTGCCTCACATTGCTGTGCCTTAGTGCCTATATCAAGAATTGATGTATACTCAATCATTGCATATTCCTATAAATTAATCATGATAAAAATCGGCATATCACATGGGTATCTTTCCTTCTTCTGATCGGCCAGATCAGAAGAGCCAATATCAAAGACTAGTATATACTGCATTTCTAACCATCATGAATCATGATCCATCCATAAATAACTACGGTCTAGACATCCGCAAAGCCCATAAAGCCTATAAAGCCCAATCCGACCTAACCTACAAATAGGCTACGTGTTACGACCCTCTGCCAGAGAGAGCTCACAGGCTGGACCCCGCCTAGTCCTGTGACCCAGAACCCGTGATCCAGCAAGGGTATCATGACCCCCCGCCAGAGAGTGCATCGTGAAGACTGAGTCCTGTCGGGTCAGGTGACCTAGTCCCGTGACCCGTCAGAGGTCATCCCCAAGGAGACTGCCAGGGGAACTTAGATCTTTAGCGATTAGTTTATGAATGCACCAGCACTCTGCTATTCCTTCACTCTAGTTCTACATTACCTGCCAGGACCCGCCAGTACGCCGGTCCTAACACTACGCCTTAGGCCCTTCGTAAGGGCCTAGTAGGGCTCGAAAGGCACTAAATCATGAATAGCCTTGGTTTTACACTAGGATAGTAAATAGGAATAGTCTTATTCTTGCACTAGGATAAGCCTTATTTTTGCACAAGGACAGTAAATGGGAATAGCCTCATTTTTGCACTAGGATAAGCATTATTTTTGTACTAGGACAGTAAATGGGAATAGCCTCATCTTACACTGGGATAGGAAATGGGAATAGCCTTCTTTTTGCACTGGGACAGTAGTCGTTCTCAACATAAAAGGTTCTGCCATTTTTTTTACCACTATTCTGACGGCAAAATAAAAAAAGGGAGCGATATACCCTGGTTGGCGCGGGATGGTCCTAAACCTTAGGTGGAATTGCAGGTGCCGTAACTGGCTGACATAATGACCAATCCAACCGGCCAATCCTGGAACGCGATTCAACGCGCGCGCTGTGCGCGTGCCTAATTAATTACGCGCTGCTCCTTTCATCCTCCCTTTCCCCGCAAGGATTGTCCATACAATCCAATCTTGCTTACTCGCTCCACAATATTTGATGGACATTTTTCTTTGAATTTAAACACAATGCCTACGGCTCGTGAGAGATTGGCCGAGCTGAAGGCCCTCCGCGCCTCGGGGAAAAAACGAATCTCCACATACGAAATCGAGGACCAAGGCGACATTTACGATGAAGTTGATGATGATGGCTACAAAAAGGTCATCCGAAATCGTCTTGATCAGGATGACTTTGTCGTCGATGACAACGGTGCCGGTTACGCAGATGATGGCCGCGAAGTGTGGAATGAACAGACAGCAGAATATGACAGCGGCGAGAGTGACGAGCTACCGGCCCGAGGCAAGGCTGCCAAACGAAAGCGAGAGGAGGAGCAGCAGCGAAAAGAGAAAATGAACAATGGTATATCCAAGTATTTCAACAAAGGACAGGCCACAGCTTCTGCCACCAAGCCTAGGGTGAGTAGTTCCCCTTCATGGTGTCCGAGTTACATATTTTGACCGTGTTATTGATTTAGCCCGTCGCTACCGCCGAGGACGATGCATTTATGGCCGATCTTCTCGGAGAGGTCGACACCAACGTTGTATCAAATCACGCTCCAACGCGAAATATCGTCAAGTCAGAGGCCCGACGCAAAGTTCGCGTTCTCTCGCCGCCCTTGTCCGAGAAGCGTCGCCGTGAGAAGGTTCATACAAGACAGGAAAACCACATGCCGAGTTCGCCAACGAAAGACCAGGCACTCCATTCTGACGATCTCGACGACGGCCCTCTGCCGATGCCAGACGATGACGACGTTCCCATGAGTGACATCTTGCCTTCATCTCCGATCAGTAAGGCAGTAGAGAGACGGAATACTGTACCGGTCAAGGCTGAAGCGCTGGAGGACGATGATGTTGACCTCATGGATATTGCAGAAGTCACTGGTGACTCCGGCGTTAAAACAGAAACCATCAATATGACCGGCAGACGGCCACCCCCAAAGATCAAGCACGATCCCACTCCCGCACCAGCAAGTTCGTCTCCAGTTAAATCCATGCCAGAAATTGCGGACGCTTCTTGGAATGACGTGAGAAGCAAGTTGAATGTTCTCAGCAGTCCAGCTCCGGAGATGCGGTCCTTCGGGAAGTTGCGTGCCCAAGATGTTGTCGAAGAGGACGGCAGTCTGCGTATTTTCTGGCTGGATTATACAGAAGTCAATGGCAGTCTTTGTCTGTTTGGCAAAGTGAAGAACAAGCAGACTGGATCCTACACTAGTGCATTCGTCAAGGTTGACAACATTTTGCGAAAGCTGTACTTCCTTCCACGTGAGTACCGATACAAGCATGGCCGAGCGACTGAAGAAGAGGTCGGTATGGAAGATGTCTATTCAGAGGTCGATGAAATGATGTCTAAACTTAGAGTCGGCATGCACAAGATGAAACCGTGTGAACGGAAGTATGCATTCGAAATGCCCGGCGTTCCAAAGGAGGCAGAGTATCTCAAATTACTTTACCCCTACGATAAGGCCGCATTGCCAATGGAGACCAAAGGAGAGACCTTCTCGAATGTTTTCGGTACCAACACTTCCCTGTTTGAACAATTTGTTCTCTGGAAGAATATAATGGGCCCTTGCTGGCTCAAGATCGATCAGGCCGATTTTTCCGCAGTGACCAATGCCTCATGGTGCAAGTTCGAATGCCAGGCCGCCAAACCAGCCCTCATCAGCCTCGTTCCAGATACCGAGAACCTAGATGCTCCGCCACTCACATTGATGAGTCTTTCCTTCCGTACCCAGCTTAATGTCAAGGAGAACAAACAAGAGATCCTGGTAGCGAGTGCTCGAGTGTATGAAAACGTCTCTCTCACCGACACCACTCCCCCAGAGAAGCTTCCGTGCAAGACATTCACTGTTATGCGCCCTGCCGGTGCATCATACCCAATGCATTTCGAAATCGAAGCCCAAAAGCAGCGAGGTACCGTCATGCTCGAAAGGAGCGAACAGTTCTTGCTCAGTAAGTTCCTGGCTATGTTCGAGAAGATGGACCCCGATGTCATCATGGGACATCAGTTGCAGGATGTCGACCTAGGGATTCTTCTCAGCCGGATGCGTGAAAAGAAGACACCCGGCTGGCACCGTATTGGCCGACTTAGGCGTGGAGATTGGCCCAAGCACTTTAACAAGGGCGGCAATTTCTTCGCTGAAAGGCAGTTGATTGCGGGAAGATTGATGTGTGACGTTGCCAACGATATGGGCAAGGTAACGTTTTCCACGACGTGTGTAACTGACAATGCTGACAGTCATTAGTCTCTCATGATGAAATGCCAATCGTGGAGTCTGACCGAGATGTGCCAACTATACCTCGGCCAAGGGAATGCCCGCCAGGAATTGGATGTCGAAGCCGCATTGAAAACCTGGGCGACGACTAAAGAAGGTCTCATGAACTTTGTCAACCATTGCGATACAGATACGTACTTCATTGCGGCGTTGGTTCTACGTCTTCAGATGCTGCCGCTTACGAAGGTCCTGACCAATACCGCTGGTAATTCGTGGGCACGCACGCTTAGCGGCACGCGTGCTGAGCGAAATGAGTATATTCTGCTGCATGAATTCCATCGCAACAAATACATTTGTCCCGACAAATATTCTGCCCGTCTTCAGAAAGCAGAAGAAAAGATGCAGGATGGAGATGAGGATGAGACGGTTGATAAGAAAAAGAAAGACAAATACAAGGGTGGTCTTGTTTTTGAGCCTGAAAAGGGTCTCTACGACCGGTTCATCCTTGTTATGGACTTCAACAGTCTGTATCCCAGTATCATTCAGGAGTACAACATCTGCTTCACAACGGTTGACCGAACCGCTACAGTAAGCTTACCCAAACAAAGTTTGGTGTCATTTGACTTTTGCTAACTTGTGCAACTAGGCTGAGAATGAGAACGAGGAGAAAGTACCCGATGTGCCCGCCTCGGATCAAGAACAAGGTATCTTACCTCGGCTCATCGCAACTCTGGTCAATCGTCGACGCGAAGTGAAGAAGTTGATGAAAGACAAACGTGCCACACCAGAGCAAATGGCAGTGTGGGACACGAAACAACTGGCCTTGAAGTTGACTGCCAACTCTATGTACGGATGCTTGGGATACACGCAAAGTCGATTCTATGCTCGGCCTCTGGCAATGCTCACCACCTTCAAGGGACGTGAGATTTTGAGAAACACCAAGGAGCTTGCAGAGAGCCAGCAATTGCGAGTCATCTATGGTGACACCGATTCGGTCATGATTAATACAAATATGGACAACATGAGTGATGCCCTCAAAGTCGGCGAAGAGTTCAAGAAATCGGTCAATGAGCGTTACCGATTGCTAGAGATCGATATCGACAACATTTTCCGCCGGCTCCTTCTGCATGCCAAGAAGAAGTACGCTGCTGTCAATCTCACCGAGGTGAATGGCAAATATGTGGAGAAACTTGAGGTAAAGGGTCTTGACATGAAGCGTCGTGAATACTGTGCCCTCTCAAAGGAGGTATCATCTAAGCTTCTCAACGAAATTTTGTCTGGTGAAGATCAGGAGGTTGTTCTCAACAACATCCATGAATACTTGCGTGAACTTGCGGAGAAAATGAAGGAATACAAGATCCCCGTGCAGAAATACGTGATCTATACAGTACGTCACAAGTTCCAGCAATCAGCCGGGTGGGCCTGCTAACAACTCATTAGAAACTTTCAAAACGACCCCAGGAGTACCCTAATAAGGAGACCATGCCACCAGCACAAGTCGCACTTCGCGAAATTGCCCGGGGCAAGACCGTTCGACCAAACGATGTTATCTCATATATTGTGACCAACGGAGACTCGGAAACGTCATCTTTGCCCCCTGCAAAGCGATCATACAGCCCGCAAGATGTCTTGAAGTCCGACTCAGCACTCAAGCCGGATGTTGAGTTCTACATATTGAAGCAAATTTTCCCCCCAATCGAGCGTCTCTGCGCTCCGATTCCTGGCACCGATGCCGTCCGTCTTGCCGAGTGTTTAGGTCTTGATACTCGCAAATATCAGATCAACACATCCAGCTCCAGCAACCAGCAAAATGCCGAGATCACGCCGCTTGAGTCCCAGATTCCAGATTCGGTCCGGTTCGCCAATTCTACACGACTGTCTCTGAGATGCCGCTTCTGCAAAGAACAGTCTGTGTTCGAGGGTCTGGTTGGTTCATCCCATATGTGCACCGCTCATGGAATCATTTGCCCGAACCAAAGCTGTCAGAAACCTTTCTCTGTCGTGACTATTGTGGCTCAACTCGAAAACCAGATACGCGAACAGACCTCGCGATACTACGAGGGCTGGTTGGTGTGCGACGACTCATCATGTGGCAACCGTACACGACAAATCAGCGTATATGGACACCGTTGCTTAGGTCCTCGAGGTCGAGCAGAAGGCTGTCTGGGCCGCATGTCGTATGAGTACTCGGAGAAGGAGGTGTATAACCAGCTCTTGTACTTCGCCGGTCTCTGGGATGTCGACAAGGCCAAGGTCGCCGCCGAAAAGGAGGCAGGAGAGAAGAAGGATAGTGTTGCTGCTCTTGCAGAGTTTAACCGCATAAGATTCGGTACGATGAAGGGTGTGGTTGACAGCTATCTCAAGAAATGTGGTCGACAATGGGTTGAGATGGATGGTCTTTTCCGCTTTATGTTACAGTAGATGCTTTGGCGGCGTATGATTTTCGGATGTTTGTAAATACCTCGGGATATTGTCTGGGAACGTTAGCATGGTCATGATCAAATCGCATTGCATAATTTTCAAGTCTCTTCATATGTCCAATGACTCCAAGTGTTCAGTGACTCCAAATGCTCAGTGGCTCCTCCGCGGTGTGTCCATCCAACATCGACCCTTATCTTATCACGACCCTCCCAACTCTCCACCCCACTCCGCCGTTCTTCGCTTCAGCCAAGTCGCCAGTACAGCACAGATACCCTGTTCGTTTTCTGATTGGTTTGAATCATGTCTGTCAAGAGGGTCCTGGTAATTGCAGGCTCAGACAGTTCGGGCGGAGCGTAAGTTCAAATAGTCCACCTGCAACACTGGCTGGGAGAATGAAAAAAAGATGCTGGTCCTCATTCTCACACATCCAAAGTGATCTTGGCCTTCAGTGGCCATCATTTTGACTTAATCAATTGGAGTGCAAAATTTTGACATGTTCTAGTGGCCTTGAGGCCGATCAAAGGGTCCTTGCAGCCCACGGGTGCTATGCTCTCACTGCCACAACCGGTTTGACGGCACAAAACACGCTAGGCGTGCAGGACATCTTCGTCGTGCCCTCGGAGTTTGTAAGGAAGCAGATCAATGCTGGACTTGAGGATGTGGGTGCCGATGTAGTGAAATTGGGTAAGTCATATCATGTCCCGATATTATTCTCTGTCTATCTCAAAGCAGACACTGACGCCGCCTAGGCATGCTTTCCTCTGCTGAGACCATTGATGTCATTGCCGAAACATTACAAGTTCATAAAGTTCCTGCTATCGTTTTGGATCCGGTATGCTCGATTTTGCGGCTTTCGTGTATTGTCCTAACAAGTATCCATAGGTCATGGTATCAACCAGTGGATCTCAGTTGCTACCAACAAAAGCTATCAAGGAATTACGGACAAAGTTACTGCCTTTGACCACGATTCTGACACCAAACATTCCTGAGGCTCTTCTCTTGTTGAAAGATGCTGGAAGAGAGATCTCTGAGCCGATAAATCTGGCGGAGATGATAGAGCTCGCCAAGAAGATTTGTTCATTGGGCCCCAAGGCGGTTCTCCTCAAGGGTGGTCATCTTCCTTTGACTAAAGAACACAAGACACCTCAAGATCCGAAAGAAGCGACTTTGGTTGTGGATATCCTCTTTGATGGAACCACGGTGACCTTGTTTGAGACAGAGTTTGTGATATCTAATAACACCCATGGCACGGGCTGCTCACTTGCTTCGGCAATTGCTGCAAACCTGGCTTTGGGCAAAGATATTATCAGAGCGGTCCGTGGTGCAGTGCGATTCGTTGAGGTAGGAATCAAGACAAGCATTGACCTGGGTAAAGGAAGTGGACCCATCAATCATTTCCACTCAACCTACACTATGCCCTTTGCGCCGTATGTGATCTACCCCTTGATATTTTGGCTGTTTCTTTTGTTCTCTAACGATGTGATATCTAGCGGCCGATTTCTCGAGTACCTCCTAGACCGTCCAGATGTGCAACGGGTATGGCAAAAGTTCACTTATCATGAGTTTGTCGAGGGCTTGGGCCAGGGTACCCTGCCTGTTGAGCGGTTCAAGGCGTATCTTGTGCAAGATTATCTATACCTGGTGAGCCACTAAGCTGTAGTATGATTGGGAGGAGACCTCCAACTCATCAAATCTCAATCTGCAGGTACAATTCGCTCGGAGCAACGCGCTGGCATCATACAAAGCCAAGAGCATGGAATCAATATCAGCGGCAAGTACTCACAATGCTTTTCCCGAAGTCGATCTAACACGTTCATTCTAGTCGGCCCAGGTTGTCCTCCATATCCAGCGGGAAATGGAGTTGCACCTTGATTACTGTACCGCATTTGGCCTCACAAAGCAGGAGATGGAAAATACACCTGAGACCATCGGTACGCTCATCTGTTGCTTCAAACGCCTGACATATTTACTGATTTCCATATTTATAGCCTGCACCGCATACAGCCGATACATTTTGGACGTTGGCCAATCAGAGGACTGGTTAGCCCTCCAGATGGCCCTCGCACCATGCTTGATCGGGTATGGCGCAATTGCCAGACGCCTACACACAGGAGAAGGAACACTCCGAGAGGGAAACAATTACTGGAAATGGATCGAAAATTATGTTGCTGATGATTACACCGACGCTGTACGACTAGGATCAGGTAAGTCCAACCTCGAAAGGCAAGTGAATTATTTGACTAAATCATGTTATATCATAGCATTGCTGGAGGATCATGTGCAACATGTGTCACCAAGCCGTATGGAAGAACTCATCGAAATCTTTATCCGGGCCACGGAATTGGAGATTCGCTTCTGGGATATGGGCTTGGGAGACAAGGAGTAGTAAAGCTTTGGACCTCAAAATCTTCCTGATCAATCTCAATACGATGCATTATCACTTGATCTAAGAATTGCTATAACGACTTTGTGCCAATCTAGATAGCTCGTAGCATAAATCCAGTGACTTAGGTATATGGTGATCCTAGTGGAGATGGAGGGTTCCACCTCTATAGACCTTTTTTAGTTGGCCTTAGTGCCTAGAAGATCTCAGGGCTCAGCTCGGGTGATAAGCTTACGCACATTTGGCACTGGGAACGTATTCTACTGTGCTTTGAGAATAAATGTTATTGAAGACCGTCTCCTCTGGGGATTCTAGGAATCCCAGACCTCGCCACTAAGAAACGGCTTTGCCTCTGTTGCCCCTTTGTATCCATGGGCCATGGATGGCGCAAATCTAAATTTTTCTGCCCAAACTTGATAACGGCTGGCCAATCAAAGATGAAGATAGGAAGACGGAGACGAGCGGCGAATATGACCTAGTCCTGTTTAGGCAGGCGGTTCTAAAGGTTCCTGATCCAGGTCACATCACGTGATGATACGGAAAAAATACAAAGCTAAACCCAATCCAATTTTTCCTCGCGCCTTCTCCCCTGGCAGTTTTTTTTTTTCCTTCCTTTTCTTTCACGTCCCCGACCTTCTGTGAACTTGTTTATCTTTTCCTTCTCTCACTTCCCCGTTCTCCCTGTTTCATATCTCCTTCTCCTTCTTCTCCCTCAAAACACATTCTCACAGACTTGATTATGTCGTACGGTGGCGGCTACTCGCGCGGCGGCGGCGGTGGTGATTCCTACCGGTAAGTTTTTCATCAAAGACATTATTTGGACCCTCGAGGCCTTCGTTATCCCAGCAAATGTGCGGCACATCTGGCGATAGCCATGAGCCTACATTTGCTGGCAGCGATGCTTGCCCGAGGGCCCGAGTCTGTTAATCTTCCGTTCGATGTCGACATGGCACCTCATACCACTGCAAAAAGCATCATCCTAACTTTACTATAGCTCTCGCGGAGGTGACAACGGCTACTCCAACGGTGGCTCTGGCGGCTACAGCGGTGGCGGCGGTGGTTACGGCGGCGGCGGCGGCGGTGGTGGTGGTTACGGCGGTGGCCGTGGAGGTGGTGGTGGCTACGGCGGCGGTGGTGGTTACGGCGGCGGCGGCGGTGGCTATGGCGGTGGTGCCGGTGGTGGTGACCGCATGTCCAACCTCGGCGCTGGCCTGAAGACTCAGGACTGGGGTAAGTCGATTCTATCGAGCGGTGAATCTGGTTGTTTGCGCAATACTAACTCGGGTCTGCTTAGATATCAACACTATGCCCAAGTTCGAGAAGTCGTTCTACAAGGAGCACCCCGATGTCACTGCTCGCTCAGAGGAGGAGGTCCAGGCTTTCCGCAAGGAGAAGACCATGACTATCCAGGGTACGGACGTGCCCCGTCCCGTTCAGACCTTCGATGAGGCTGGTTTCCCTCAGTACGTTCTGTCTGAGGTCAAGGCCCAGGGTTTCGAAGCCCCCACTGCTATTCAGGCCCAGGGCTGGCCTATGGCCCTGTCCGGTCGCGATGTTGTTGGTATTGCCGAGACTGGTTCCGGAAAGACTCTCAGCTACTGTCTCCCCGCTATTGTTCACATCAACGCCCAGCCCCTCCTCGCCCCTGGTGATGGTCCCATTGTTCTTGTTTTGGCTCCTACTCGTGAGTTGGCCGTTCAGATTCAGGCTGAGATCACCAAGTTCGGAAAGTCCTCCCGCATTCGCAACACCTGTGTCTACGGTGGTGTCCCCAAGGGTCCTCAGATCCGTGACTTGTCTCGCGGTGTCGAGGTTTGCATTGCCACTCCCGGTCGTCTGATTGATATGCTTGAGGCTGGCCGCACCAACCTTCGTCGTGTTACCTACCTCGTTCTTGATGAGGCTGATCGCATGCTTGACATGGGTTTCGAGCCCCAAATTCGCAAGATTATTGGCCAGATTCGCCCTGATCGTCAGACTTGCATGTGGTCCGCTACCTGGCCCAAGGAAGTCCGTCAGCTCGCTTCTGATTTCCTTAACGATTACATTCAAGTCAACGTCGGTTCTACCGATCTCTCTGCCAACCACCGCATCACCCAGATCGTTGAGGTTGTCTCCGACTTCGAGAAGCGCGACAAGATGATCAAGCACCTCGAGAAGATCATGGAAGACCGCTCCAACAAGTGCATCATTTTCACCGGTACCAAGCGTGTCGCAGACGAAATTACCCGATTCCTTCGCCAGGATGGCTGGCCTGCGCTTTGTAAGTCTATCATGGGATGCTTTCATTATCCTTGTCCAATACTAATATATTTTACAGCCATCCACGGTGACAAGCAGCAAAACGAGCGTGATTGGGTCTTGAACGAGTTCAAGACGGGCAAGAGCCCCATCATGGTGGCCACTGATGTGGCTTCCCGTGGTATTGGTATGAACAAACTACAATCCCCCTTCCTCTTTCCCCCTTCCCCTTTGTTTCTTCCCCCTTTGGGGCCCTTGAAAACACTTACCCGTGTTGACGTTGTGTGATACAATGGCACGGTGCTCAACTCTCTCGAAGCACGTCGGTGGTAACGCCACGTCTAGGCGCATCTGGTCATCCTAAATGGTTCCCATGCCAAGAGAACCTTGGACTCACAGTGCAGCACAGCAGCAGGCATTCTGGCCTGACTTTGATTCTCCATCTCTTCTGTGACAGACTCGTAGGAGAGTCGAAGCTTTTTCTCACACAGTGCTGTTTTTGAACTGTTGAAGGCTGCATTTCCAAGGTTGCTCTAGGACCACGATAACACCGCCATCCCGTGAATTCGCTTCCCTTGGGATTTTCTGGGATTTTCTTCAAAGGAACCCTTCAAGAGAGCAGTGATGCATCAAGTCCCGCACGACGGAGAAAGGGTCCTTCATGACCATACTCCTCAAATCCCCACTCATGATCTATTTGCTAACGAAAACTTTGTAAAGATGTGCGCGATATTACTCATGTGCTCAACTATGATTACCCCAACAACTCGGAGGACTATGTCCACCGTATTGGTCGTACTGCTCGTGCCGGTGCCAAGGGTACTGCCATTACCTTCTTCACCACTGACAGTAAGTTTTCTAATCCTGTTGCGGCTCATGGTAACTTGTATTAACCTCTTTTCCTCCAGACTCTAAGCAGGCTCGTGACTTGGTCACCATCCTCACTGAGGCTAAGCAACAGGTCGATCCCCGTCTTGCCGAGATGGTTCGCTACGGCGGCGGCGGCGGTGGTGGTCGCTGGGGTGGTCGTGGCCGCGGTGGTGGCCGTGGCGGCTGGGGTCGTGGCGGCGGCGGCGGTGGTGGTTTCACTGCTTCTAACTCTGCTCCTGTTGGCGGCAACCGTCGCTGGTAGATGCCTCGCTGCTCCCCGTGCAGTCCTCGGGCTTGTATTGTGTTGTCCTGGTAGACCCTCTTCTTATTTCTTCTGACTCGCGTAACTCGATACGGACGGCGTTATCTTTGTCTCATAGATTCTTACTTTTTTTTACGTCCCTTGCCTACAGGGGTTTTTCACGGTGCCGGACTTCGACATTTTCGGTGGAATCCTCAGGTTTTGATTCCCACGACAAATCCATACATGTTGATTAGTTACAAAAAGTTTCATGTCTCAGAACTCGCTGGGGTTTCTGATTTTAAGTCTGCAATAATGATTATTCAAAAAAAAAACCTCTTGTGCCCATCACATTCATGTACTTGCCCATAACGTCTTTTCAGTTGCCAAATGAACTCCCCCGGCTTCGACTCTTCTATCCGGTTAGAAGAATTGTACCAATTCAGGTGAATTACAGCTCGGTACACGTAGCTTTGCGCATCATGAAACCCTCTTGGGTGACCACAACTGGTATAACTTTTTGTAGGCAGGTCTCAGAAAGCCTTAAGTATAAATGTCTAGAAACGAGCCTTCAAGCTCTTCCTATAACAACCTCTCCTCCGTTGAGGTTCTATGCGTATGACTAGTCGAATGGCCCAACTTTAACTGACAGTACACGGTGCTTTAATGGCGCTTTAATGGCGTGGGACACCTTTCCAACAAATAGCTCGAATTCAAGTACGCATCGAACTGATGCATTCAATCGGAAAACCACCCATGCTTTAGATTCAAAGTCTCTATTAGATCCCATTGCAGGACGCTCCAAGTGGGCCAGTCATCTCACAAGCTATAGCTCCAGCGAGGTCTCACGCCACCCCAAAATTGCATCGAGATGCTCAATTTCAGGTTTGATGCAGATACCAAACTAGAGGCTATGCTTGGTAAGTCTAAGAAGTCTGGGATTCTAGATACAACGAACTTCTGTGCTGTGTATGATCATGGTCAATTGGGGGGGGGGCATGGCCATTACTCGGCATTATAGGCAACCTCATGCTGTCAATGAAACTATAATTATGGTGTTGATATATTCTATATATCAAAATATATGAGTACTTGAAACAATTCTCCGAGCTAGTAGTTGATATTTGCCTGTATGGGTTGAAGTTCGGAATGTACCTGTACGGACTTGATCGATAACCAGTTCACCTTGGCTGTTGGACTTGGTAAAGAACGTATCGTGTCGAAGAATACATTTAGAATGAATGGCGTCAGATGATTGTAGGATATAGTAATACGTCAGCAGACGAAAGTTATCAAAATGTTATAACAAGGATCGCTACAATATATATACAATTCCGACAGATGATCTGTTTTCTTAAACCCCAAAATCGATTGATATGCGAGGTAATTCTGTAGCCTTAGTAGAGTTCTTATTTGTATAGACCATTATACTCGTCATCCTCGGTTATTGGGCCTATTCTTGTCGGCTTCGCCATATGGTGCTGAGCTCCGATCTCGCTGAGGATATGTTGAACTGTCAAGGAACGGTGGTAACTACAGATCTCGCCTATGTGAAAACTTGGTGGCGAAAAGAGACTATTCGTTTTGGAGAAGACATATTACATTTCACTGACGAAAGATGGATCTCTCCGGGGCAAGAATTCGTGGGACTCAAGTTATGATCTGAAAGTGGCAGCCATATAGGATTTTCGCGACAAAGTATGTAAGATTGTTACTAAATTTGAAAAAAAGGTAGATATTCAAGCAAAGTCTACAGGGTCAAAAGTGCAGCTTAGTGTGATTTGCTCGGAGATGATTCACGAGCTAGAGTTTCGATTCCTGCTCCAATATAGACCAGTAGAAGGAAACGCCGCTATTTGAGAACATGGGTATCTGAGCCTTGAAAGCTTTCCCCCCCCAGCTTGGGATTAAAACAAGACTCATTCCGGAATACAACCTCGAAAATATTTGGAAACATATGTTTATACAACCTGTACAAGCCAGTCTATTTCCAAAAGCTCCACTGATCTGTACGATACGACCATATGCACACCATTCAGCAAAAGACTTGGGGATATCTGCAAGCGAAAGCCTAGTAGTAAGAGTACTTTTTGATTGTCTTCGCAGTGTGATGGCCTGCTACAACATGGGAGTGGGGCGAGAGACATGCCTCAGCCCTATACGGAGTAGCCCTTACCTCATCTGACGCAAGTGTGTGATCAACTGTGATCAGGCCACACAAGGAGCTACCACGAAGTCAATCTACTAATATATTAGGGGTCTATGCCAAATCCGCCCAGGTCTGCGCTTGTGCGTAGGCCAACATTCAAGCTTTAAGCTTAACCGGTCCACAGAGGGACTGTGTGTGGGTTCCCTTGAACGTTCCAAGATACGAACAAACCTTGAAATTCCAAATGAGAGACAATATGGAGACCAGCACGGTTGAGTGACATAGATTTTTCTGGCATGGAAAATGCGATAGAGCCTTGTTGGATCTAACGCGAGGTATCATGATGGGATGTACACAGTACTTCATAGACATTTCTGCATTATAACGACGATGCAGATGTACTGCATAATAGCAGAAAGCCATGTGCACAGCGATGTCCCGGTAGCTCTTTGCGCTTAGTTGGTCTACGTACCCCGGAGTACTTTGTACCGATCTCCTATCACAGGACGACGGTCTTCACCCCGAGATTTCGGCCTAACACCGGAACCAGGGAGTTCTTACCAGCCAATTTACCAAAGCGAGACCCCTCTGCATATGCATGTACCAAATTTGGCAAGCATTCATCCCCATCCAGCGAGTGCATCACGCAATGTGCCCCAGATCTTGAAGTAACGGCACAAAAATACCGAAACATGCAGTACACGATTTGGCTGACGCCCAAGACAGCGAGGTGCAGTAGTGCGGTCAACAAAATGGCTTGATGGCTTGGAAATAGGAGGGATCAATCCCCATTCCCCCCAGTATGCATAAGCGCCTCTCATGTCCTTCAAAAAAGCCACGACCAATCGCAGTCCCGACACCCTTCATCCGACGATGCACGTCGGGTTTTCAGAAGAAACGGATACTCTTTGGGTCTAGATTTGAACTGCGGCGTACGGAGTAGACGCTAACGAAATAACCAGCCGCATTGCCTAGACCTGGGTGTTAGTGGCCAACAGGGATCCGGCCCGACACTGGAATACGCTAGTAAGACAACGCTGGTCCCCTTTCAGACGATAGTGCGCCTTGTGCTGGGATGGAGAGAAGTATGCTGGTGCTTGGCTACTTTCCTTTTTCGGGATGTCCTCTATATTGTACGGAGTAGGGAGTAGAGCAGACGTAGAATATGCATGGAAAATGTAACTCTGCTCGGCAGATTCGGGTCCTGTTGATTTTGTGGCATTTGTCTTGGTTGATTGCGCCAGAAGACGAGGATATCTACCATATCTAGCTATGCCTCGGGATCGCACATGGGAGAAGGGTTCAGATGGGCCAAAAAGAAAAGGCATATATAGTGGCAATAGCATGCAGACTTCAGATGTCTTTCGCACCACAGGCTCGATCTTCGACAGGAGGGTGTCACTTTTCCCCTCTCAAAGGTTAATCTGTGAGACTTCCTTAGATCCCTGTCTCGGGATTCGAATCCCTGCAGAAATCAGTCTCGGTCATTGGCTCGATCATGTCTGTCTGTTGCCCATTGCAGATTTTGATATCAGGGTCAACGTCAGTATGTCGTCCGTGAACCGAGGTCTCATATGTGCAGTTCGGTCTCAACCCCGGTAATAAAAACCAAATCGAACGTGGCAAAAAGGAGGCCCCTTCCTATGCCATGGAACAACAGTTCACTGATCATCCGGGGAGTGCTGATCCGCACAGGTCTCCAGGGCTCGCTACCGCGATCTACCGAAGAGTTAGCGGGTGAGACTTACTGTGTCCGGTGTAGTCTCCCAACTTATCACCGCACTGGCCAGCGCAGTGTGGAGTCCGGGAAATTGCGGTCTTTTTTGATGTACTTTTTCATCTACTGGTGAGAGCACAGACGACAAACCGTTTCTCTGATAGGAACTCGGCAAGTTCGTGGGTCGGTCTAGTTTAGGCTACTCCGTACGGAGTACTATATGCATCTCTACTCCGTACTCCGTACTCCGTAAGTTGCAATTTGCGAACTATCACCCACTCCGCGGGCAGAGACACTTGTGTGTTTAGAATACATAAGATATGCGAGGAGACCCAGTTGAAGCGTATTCGTCGAGGGAGGGGTCATCATGTACCTCCCACAATAAAACCGGATTTTCACGTTCGGGGGAAAAGAAAAATCAAACCAAGCCTTTGATTTGATGATCGCCCGACATAAGCGATTGACCAGAGCTTGGGAACTTGACCGGAGAAAGCCCGTAGACCCATAGTGGGAACTATTTCCGCCTTCCCCATTAGTCATTTCGTTTAGACTCGTTTACCACGGAATACCACATAAATATACGAAGTGGATATGATATCCATATCAAGGACACGGAGGTTTATGATGGGAAGCATAACTTGCAGCAATGGGCCCACGTGCAGTAAGTGACACGGAAGCGATGAACATCTGCAGGTCCGGGACATTTGAGACATTTAATATCTTCCTGAGTTTGGAAGAATAAGCCCGCGAAAGGCGCATGATATCACATAGTATTCCGCAAGGAGGATCAATTATCACAAGATACCCGGAAACGAAAAAAGCGAAATGAGAAAGCCGGGATCATGCCAAGCACTCGAACAAAGCCTTGCTATTCGAGGGAAAGCGCATGAAAAATAGGGAGCCCGGGTTGATCGTCCGAAATTACAGGCCAAGGTATCGACCTGCGTACGGAGTACTTACAACATACAGCGGGATATATAGCGGCTGCGGCGTCCAATGATTGACGCGCCATATGAAGTTGATATCGATCCCGTTCTGTGACTCCGGATATCCCGCACTGGACAGACAGTGTGTTGTCCGCGCGGAGTCCGCCTGGGTCCACTGTCTCTCTTCTCATTTTGGGTGAGTCGGTGCGAGGGTCGAGTTATTAGCCACTCACCGACAGTTAGGTACGGAGTACAGCGTATATTTCGTATTGCAGTGGATTATCACGTACTTCGTCCTCCGTACTCCGTCCTCCGTACTTTGGCATAAAAAAAAAAAGAAAAAGAAAATAATGCCTCGGTGTCGGATGCGAAAGACGAAAAAAGAGTCGTTTTTTCCCTCACCGGCAGTGGAGGATGAGGTTCCGCCTGCGGGGGTGAGATCCAGACCCCGAAAACGCCAATCATCGACCAGAATGAGAGCTTGCATCTGGGTTCTCCCGTGTTCTTCCTATCGCATCCAGGGGATATATCGACAATATATGTACATACGGAGTAGCAGGAATACAGAAGGGCACAAGATTGAGCCATGCTCGGCTAGAATACACCGGCAAAACAGGCTACTGCCCTCCACTATGGAGTGAGCACTGAGCATACACTGATCATACCGGAGAGCCGCCGATACCTACTCCGCTCTCAACGCAATTAATTGAGGAGTCTTTGTGGTGACCAATTGGCGGTGATAATGGCTTGTTCCACGGAAATCCCGCTGGCAAACAGATGGCCCCCTTTTCTCCTCTTTTCTTTCTTGGTTCGGAGATTGGTCAATGTGGTGTGTGCTTTTTCTGGCTATAATTATCACATGGAGATTGGGATGGTCGTTACGGTGTGCACCGTATTTGGAATTGCATATTACATACCCTAGGCAGAGCCGGGTTGGAAGTGGCAATGCCACGCAGGGTACGGTGTATGATGTAGAGACGGCGACCTCCGTCTTTGAATAGGACTGATGAAATGCATATACCATCCTGCCGGAGTCCAGATGTATGCCGTTGTAGGCTCCGATCACCGGGCGATGTTTTCCTGTCTCCACTCACGCGTCTAGGTATTGTGACGGTTACGCGACCAGATATCCAGATATCCTGATATCCAGATACTCCATGACTCAATGGTTCTCAGGGAGCATGCCGAAATGACTAGCAACTGGTTGTCAGGAGCCACAACGTAGTGGCTACGGAGTACGGAGTACAGAGTACCGGTATCCCCGGTGTGTTCCTTGTTCCATCTCGGGCGATGTAGATGTACATGGACAATGGGAGGCAGTTCTGGCCTTTGGCGAAGTATAGTGTACCAAATACCGTAATCAAAGTGCAACGTTAAACCTCCTTTTCCTCAAAAGAAGCTATCGCCGGCTTCAACCGCCTCGGCTTTGAGCCTTTACGGTAGACTTTGGCGCTAGACCCGAACAAGTCAGGCCCGCCCACCGAGCTTCTCCAGGGCCCCAGTTCTCTCCCACCTGCTTTTTTCCTATTGGCTGCGTAGGACGTGAGTGCCTGCTTTTGGTCGTCCACACTAGCCCTGGTCTTCCCGAGTCCCATCGCCATTCTCCCCCGACCTGCGCTACTCCCTTTTCTGCCCTAGTCTCCTCCCTACAACGGTAAAGTGCCCCTGTGTCTGTTCCCCCTATCCCCCTTTGGGGCTCGGTTCCCTCTTCTCGGTTGAGGTTCCTTGAGGTTCCTCGGGCACGCCATTCCTAGCGTGCACCCTTTTCCACCTTTTTGGTCAGGCTCAAGCCCTCCCCTGGCTCCCCCTCCCTGACATCTTGGTTGGTACCCACGTCCTACACGCTAGGTTCTCCTCGACGCACCCGGGTTGCGGGTAGACTAAGAGGCCTCCAGTTAGGAACCTAAGTAGTCCTTAGCAAAAAACAACAACACCTGTATACCTCCTGGTTGATATTCCGTCCACCGTCGTCAACTTTCGTTTAGAGGAGGGGATTCCAAGAAATCCCTGTTGCCACTTGGCTCCTGGATGGTTCCGCTTTTTTTTTTTTTTTCCTTTCAAAAAAACGAAAACCAAAAAGGACCTTTTTTTTGAAAAAAAAAACTGCGCTCACACAGACATGGAAAGCTTAGCCGGTAATGAAGGTACTGAGGGGAAAGGGGGCCAAGTCGAATATCGGAGTGTTGTGTGGAAAGAGGGAATGGCCCGAGATCAGGGCAAATCGCTTGAATATTAATTTCTTTTTGCCCCTGTGATATTTCTCAGTTCGTATTCCTAGGTATGTGTTATACTCCGTAGGTGTACCGTAGTCACTCTCTAACTCTCCCTAACTCTCTCCCTAACTCTCCCTAACGGTACAGGAGCGGAAAAGGCCCTAAACCCCCCAAGCCAAAAGCCCGAAAAGAAAAATCGAAATAAAAGGGAAAATCCGAAAAGCAATGCAGATGTAATTTTCCCGCCCAACGATATCGCCAACCAAAATTACGCGGTCCACCAGGATCCACAGCATCCTCGGATCCCACGAGGATTGCTTTTCCTTTCTCCCAATCGTCTCACCTTTTAGGCCGCTCCAAGTCGCGTTGACTCCTGACTTTTTCTTTAGTCTCCGTCTCACTAGTTCTTAGTATCCCGTGGCTATTTTTCCGCCCCGGTGCCTCGTGCTTACCGCCACCTGCAAGGCATCCTCGTCCGAAAAAGCGAACTAAGATTAAGCATCTTGGTATCAACTTCGTTCTTTTTTCTTTTCTTTTTTTTTTTTTCGAAGCTGTGCGCTTGGACCCAATTTACAACATATTGAATGTTGTGAATTGAATCTCCTTTTTCCCTCTACCCTTTTCTCCTCCGGATCTCTTATCTCGATATCATCTGTGCGCAGACCTGTTCGATCAGCGTTTCGCGACCCCCCAACTTCCTGATATCAATTCCCTAGGAATTGAGCAAACAAGGTACGCGAAGAAAAATCCTAGATCTGGAAAGGTCAGCCACGATTTCAACGTGGCAACCTAGTCTCCCGTCCCTTGCTTGAAACGTGTCGGAGCGACTCGTCAATTTCCCCGACTTTTCCCAAGGCTCATTGTTGTGTTGACGCGTCTCCACACAGGTCTACGCGGAAACTTCCTCTCCATAGATTCGTCGGCATCCTTGCGCGCGAATCTTCTCTTTTATGGACAACCGGCCCGCTTCCGAGTACGCACAGCCAGGTTCGCACCACCCAAGCACCGCTGCCGACGCACCTTCTGAACAAAAACCCGCAGACCAAACTTCTGCTGCTGCCAGCGCTCACTACACCCCGCAACCCGAGGTTCGCCCTGCACCACAGTATACACCGCAGCCTGAGGGTCGGCCCGCCAATATCTCTTCGTCGAATACCCCTCAGTCGGACTACGGTCTGAACCCTCCGACCGCTCGCTCGCCCGCCTACCAGGACTATCTTCACCGTCCTCCCCAATCCTACGCTCCCAACTCCCAACCCGGCGGTGCGGCAGGTATGGCTCAAGCAACAAGTCCGTACACCAACACCTTGCCTACGGGCCCGCGCAGTCCGAACGTAAAGTCTGACGCGCCCGTTCCTATAGATCCTTCGCTTCCGGCCAATAGCCCCACCTATCCTCCCCCCTATTCCCCCTATCAACCTCAGGGGCACGAGATGGCGCAGTACCAGGGTCATCCCCCTCCGCCTCAACACATGTATGCGCGCCCGGATTGGCCTCATAGTTATGGACAGCAGCATCATGGATTGCCGGGGCCTTATGCCTCCCCGGCCACAACGGTTGGTTCCGCCTCCCCTTTTACTGATCGTGCAGGCCCACGCCCGCCCAAGGTATGTTTTTGATGATTCCTGGGCGGTTCTACTCAAGGCTTCATACTGTGTGAAATCATTGTTGTCTCGTATACCTCTTGTATTCGACTGTGATCCACAGCTGCCCCCCTTCCCCTAGGGATCGTCAAAAACAAGCTCACCTTGCCCTTTTCAATTGCTTCTTTATCCCTTGAAAGAGAGGATTGGGTCGTGGTTGATTGTTTTTTTTTTCTTGGAATCGCCAAGTCTGTTCAGAGCTGACCTGTAATCTGTTCTATTCTAGGTCTACTCATTCGTCCCAATTCCTGGTGCACAGCAGCACAAGCGTCCCCGTCGTCGTTATGAGGAAATTGAGCGCATGTACAAGTGTGGATGGAATGGGTGTGAGAAGGCATATGGTACTTTGAACCACTTGAACGCACACGTGACCATGCAGTCGCACGGTGCGAAACGCACTCCTGAGGGTAAGTTCCGCTCATTTTGTTTTGATATTCCATGTTTGGCGGTCAATGCGACGGAGATCTTAAATCTTTGTCGCAAATGGCTGGATTGGGTTAGCGCCCGCAGTTGCACGCTAGTGAGTTACACTAGATGTCGCGGGGGGCCCGCAGTAGCGTGGCCGACGGCGTGGAGGCTAAGCTTGCCTATCCCCTTTCCGCCTTCCTCACTAGCAAACATAGTTCACGCTAGTTCTCATTTGAGAATGTGGTTGTTGTTACTAGTTCCATGCTAACGTTGCTCTCTCAGAATTCAAGGAAATCCGTAAGGAATGGAAGGCTCGCAAGAAGGAGGAAGAGGCTCAGCGCAAGGCTGTCGAGGAGCGTGAGCGTGCTGCCGCTCAGGCTGCCCAGGCCAACCAGGTTGAAGCTCCTAATCCCTCTGACCCATCTCACGGACAGCCTCCTGCTTATGCTGGCGGCGTCCGCCCTCAACTTCCTCCGATCGGTTACCAGCCCGCGGATAGCCAGGTCCCCAGCCAGTATGGGGGTCCTCCTGGCAGTGGAATGGTCTACCAGAACAATGCACAGATGGCCTACCCTCCCAACTACCCTCACTCTCCTTATCAGAGCGGACCTGTGTACCCGCAACGTGAGTAATGTTGCCACCTTCTTCATATCAGGATCGACCCTCTGGACTCCCCTTTCGACAAGGTCATCCTCGCCCGACCCTGTCCGCTGATTCATAAATTCGCTACGGCTTCCAGAGACTCAAACCGCCAACTATCCGCAATAATCTTCCCCCCACATAATCAACCACTTCCGCTATGGATTTACACGGATGGAACTGCATTTGCTTTTTCTTTCTAATCACGATATCCCCTGTCCTTGACTAATGTCCTCGTCTTGGATTCCGATTCCCATCCCCTCCCCAAACACATCCCATCCCTCCGCTTCCCAAGTCTTTCGTGCTATGATACCAACCTCTGCGGCTTTTTAATCTTGATCTGTCTAAGAGTGGCTTTTCCGGCTTTGTTCTATACCAGTCATTCCCCTTGTGTTAGAGTGCATGCGAGCTGAGAGGGTGTCCTGCCCTTTCTTGCCCCCTGTTCTGTTTCCTACTTGAAATTTGAGGCAGATGTGGTGTATGTTTTTATCTCTGTTTGCTCATCTGCTGGGACCGTGACTTCGAGGATGGTTGGGCGGCGGGTTCATTGCATTTGTTGTTGCTGACAACATTCTCCCAAAATCGCTTCTTTTCCCTGGGGGTTCTTTGTTTTATCGTTACTCGCTCGTCATTTTCCTGTCTTGCTTTTGCTATATGCAATTGTCTGCTCTCTGCTCTCTCTCTTTCCCCCTTTTTCTTTATCTAACGTACATTATGCTCCACGGACTTATGCTCCAATCTGATTACGTGTATTATCTCATTGCATTTGGTTATTTCCCCTCTTTAGTATGCTTTATTCAATCCGTCTAGACGTTGGTTATGCCTGCAGTTTCAGTGCACTGGTGTAGACGGTCAATAAGAATGTTTGTATGTAAAGGATGTCATATTTTCACCCAGAGGGCGATATGAGACGGAAGCGGACACGACGGTATTTTGGCCACACAGTATAATTATGATGTCAAATTCAAAGAAAGATAAGAATGGGTACTCATAATGAAAGATCCTTCCCTGTTATATGCATGCTAACATAAATCACCAGTAGAGTATATTACAAATAGCCAATGTAGAGAGAAGTAGACCACCCCAAGTCTAGGTGTCGATAACACTCAAAACACAGGTACATATCACCAGCACCAACCAACTCGAGAATCCTTCTAGAACAAGCCACGCCTAACCAAAATCAGCACTAATCAATACCGGCTCTTACTGTGGACCGAGCACACCATGCATCGAATAGCCTTTGGCTTGCGTACGCACACTTCCCAACTACTGCACAAGCTACATATGCGTGTACCTGACTAGAACCGAATAAGACAACGCCGCACCGCTGTATGTACGGCGTACATCATACATAAGACAGGAGGCTAGTGTCGTCAAGCGTCTCCACGTGGGTGGATGTTAGTATCAGCCACCGATATCATCGCGGCGAGGCCGGTAATTTTGCTTTTAGAGTTATTCCTAGTTATTTCTAGCTTGCTTCCTGCTACCCTGCAGATGTGACACATTGCTTGTTGTCTAGTGTGTTCTGTTGTACTCCACCAGTCCTTAGCTTTGGGGCTAGTGTCGTGTGCTGTGCGCAGTAGGCTGTGCATGTGGTACATAAAGTATACTTTGGTTGGGTTAGGGAGGACGCTAGCTGGGGATGGATGTGCTGATCTACATGTGTATCATGTGTATACGAGGTGACTGATTGTATAGCTATACGAGGCTGTTTTTTCATTGACTCGCGCTTTGGGAACTGTGTAGACTTGGGATTATGTTGTAGACGACCGGGATCCTCGGGTATATTGGTGGTTCTGAGACCTGTGGCTTGTTGGGTATCCAATAATAGAAAATCCGAAGCATAAGGAATAGAGAGGTTTGCATGCGTTTACTTCGACATGTGTAGGTTGATTTAAAGTAGGAATGTATGTCTCCATCCACGGATCAGGGTATATGCGGAGCTAAGTGTAACGCAGATCCAGGTCACCAAGGGAACTAGTAAAATAGTAAAGTACTTTAACGCACAGTAGAGTCTGGGAAATGTGCTCTAGCGCATCCGTTAAGGCCCGCAGGGAACATGGATTGGTGGAATGGGAACTAAACCACTTGTAGTCTAGTTGGATCTCCAGAAACCTGAGGTATCGATGTTGGACTGGTGCCTCAGGCAGCGACAATTGACTGCCTGAATATACAGGGACCGAGTCTAGACCCGATCTGAACTAGTGCTCGGTCCCTTTCTGCGAAATTGTTTCCGCGATTCAATCTCCGGACAAGACGGACATTGTTTGTTCTTGTTTTTTTTTTTTTTCTCGGTTTGCCACTCTATCATTGTTGCATTCTTGTCTTCCTAGCATTGTGCCGGACACAAGCTCGAATTTGGTTCGGAGAAGATCATAGCACACCCAAGCCATGCTATTCCGGTTTCCGGGGTCGCTCGTGAACAGAGCTTTGCGCAGCCGACTTCTCACTGCGCAGCAATATCGCGCGACTATTGCAGCGCAACGCCTACCACAGACATATATCGCATCGAATGCCTTTAGCAATTCCTCCTGCCAACGCCGTTTCGATAATGATCACGATGTCAGCCGCAACGACAGGTCTGACCAGAAGCAGAAGGAGCCATATTCGCATCAATGGAATAGGAAACGCATGTTTAAGGATTTCACAAGAGATGTGGAGCAGGATACTTTGATGGCCATTGCCTCAAATTCGCCTATCACGCGGTACAACATTGAGAAGGAGATTGCGGAGAGTGAGGCTCTGGATGCCGAAGCTGCTGAGAACGATCGTTATGATTATGAGGCTTCCGAAAGCAAGGGCTCTGAGAATGAAGTTTCTGATGACCCCGAGGCCGAGGCCGAGGCCCTCGAGGCCGCTCGCGACGAATCCGAAAGCCACCGCGGCCCGCCTCGAGGACGATCCAAAATCACACCCAAGATCATCGACGAGGAGTTGAAGTGGTTGACTGATCCCAAGAATATGGCGAACCGGATTGGGCGTATTTTGCACAGTGGTGATCCGGCCCTGGCGGCAGCTGTGGTTCGAGCTGGAACAAAGAAGGGCATGAGATGTGACGTTGCATGGAATCTTCTTCTGCAATACTGCTATGATCAGAATAACCCACAGGCTGCATTCAAGTTTTGGAATGATGTGAGTTCCTGTCGTTCTGTGGCACGCCTGTCCAGCGACTTGTCTATATTTGGGTCTCGAATTTGTATGCTGACAGTTTTCCTGTAGATGAAAAAGCGTGGCAGGAGACCGACTGCCAGAGCGTTCACTATTATGTTGAATGGTCTCAGCTCATCCCCGGTTTCTTCGTCCACCGTTAAGACTGCCCTTGCTGTCTACCGCTCGATCACCGCACCAAATTCCGGAGTCAAGCTTGATATCATCCACACTAATGCCATGCTTACGGTTTGTCATCGTCATGGCAAAATGGATCTCTTGTGGGAGATTGCCGGTGATCTACCTGAAGAGGGACCGGGAGCTCCAGATGCCGTCACCTATACCATTATCATGAATGCTGTCCAGTTCGCAGCCCGCAGAGATATCCAGAAAATGTCTTCCAATGATATTGAGAAGATTCTTGAACGGAAGGCCCAGGCTATCTCCGAAGGCAAGCGGATTTGGGCCGATGTCATCTGGCGCTGGAAGAATCAAAGCCTGGAGATTGACAACGACCTCGTTAGCGCCATGGCCAGCTTGCTTTTGGACGGTGCTAGTGATATGGACTGTTACAATATCATGGAACTGTTCAAGCAAACTATGGGCATTCCTATCCTGCAAAAGAGACCTGTTGAGAACTCGAAGTCTACACTTCGCAGGGTCACCCGCGAAGATAGCGCATCCATGAAGATGGAGGAGGCTATTCGGGAAGAAAACATGGAAGACCTTCCGTTTGTAAATGAGCACAATCAACCGCTGGACGCTGAGGCCCAGGAGGCCGAGGAAGCCGAGGAAGTGGAAGAAGCCAATGAAGAAGCAGTGGAGGAAATTGAGGAGGAAGAGGAGGAGGAAAACTTTGCGGAACTGTTCAAACCCGTCGTTCCCGATACGGAGGGGCTATCGTTCCTTCGACCAAAAAGCAAGGAACTAACGCTCCTTCTGCATGCCTGCTTCACCATCACCCAAGGAATGGAAGCTGGACAGGCCTACTGGAAACATATGACAATGGAGGAAACCCCCTACCGCATTGACCCCGATACCATCTCTTTCATCCAATATTTCCGCCTCCTCCGTCTGTCTCGCTCCAGCAAACTCAGTGTCAAAACCATGCGGGATCAGATGATTCCCGCCGGTCGAGCAACTGGAACATCATTCCACGTCGCTCTCAGTGTCTGCCGTCGTGATCGCCGCAACCACTCAGTCCTTCTCCACGCGAACGAGCTGCTCTCTCTGATGCAAAGAGCTTTGATTCTGCCTGATATCCGAGTACTCGATGGCTACCTGGCAACAATCCAAGTACTTTCCACCAACCCATCCGTCCTTCTGAACCTCAGAGGCCTCGACAAAGACGAAGATTCCACATCTAACAAAGCCCGCAAACCCCTCCGACTAGCCGACCAGGGCAGGAAGCTCCAAGCGAAGCTACGACTAGCTGCCCTCGCTACATTACGGCCCTACGTCCTCACACTGGAAGAAGCAATGGAGAACGGCAAACCCGCATCCCAAACTCGCTGGGACACAAAGAGAAATGCCTCCGATTCCATCCAAGGCTCAGCAGCTGTCAAATTCATGTCCCGGGTCCGTCTCGTAGTCGACGATACCCTCAAGATCGACTACAAGAACTATGTGTCCAAAACCGAGCGCAAAACGCTGCAGGTCGAGTCGAATATGCTGAAGAAATATTCCGATCGACAGGTCATTGAGAAATGGCAGAAAAAGCTTGTTTATCCCACCCCGATGCAGAGGCTGGAGAGCCGTGAACGCATGCAGCAATATGAATTGGAGAATTCGGAATCTGCGAATAAACCAGAGGAATTGTTCCCGCGAGAAGCTGAGGCCGAGGCCGAGGCTTGAGTCTTTGGGGGTTCTTTTTTACGGGACTGAAACGTCTTGATTGTATAATGCTTGTATATCACACACATTTGGGGGTTATAGATGGGCGTTGCGTCTTTGCATCATGTTTATAATATCATTGGTACATTCTCTACTTTGGAAAGGAAACATTCTTCTAGATTATAATGGGGGTTTGATGTCTATTTCGGCTTTTACAATGGATATACCTGTACTTTCTTTGCTCTTGATAGAATATCTTGGAGACCATCCAACCTTCTAGCAAGATAGGAACGTCCTTTATCAAGAGCTTCTATTCTGGTTACTATTCTGGTTACTTGGGAACATACGCATACTAAATACCATGCCGAGTAGAGATTTTCAGGCCGCCGGTATTGCAACCTCATAGCAACTGCACATTAAGAAGACCTTCCCACTAGCGAAAAACATCACAATCCTAAGATATCGTTTTTCTTTCAGTTCTGTTCAAAAAGAAGGGAGAAATCATCCGCTGTAATCGGCAGGTTAACACGCAGGCAAGGAAAGTGTCACGCAATTTGGCCGTGGATGATGGAATTTATCCCTACAACGGCACTAGCCCCGACCAATGCTGATGCTCTATTGCGCCCAGACAGATGTTTTGACAGATAGACATGGCATCGTTCGGAGGGTTTAAAAGGCAGATAATGCTGCGCTGTGGGGACGATGGCGAATGTTTCGTTCCCGACACGCCATATACAGTCCAGACAAGTACTGTTTTCCCCTCCCGTTGTCAATTGCGTGAGATATGCGTGCAATAGGCGAATACCGTGCGGGGATTGTACATCATTGTCCTTTCGGGCTTTGGAAAGTCTGGGACATGAGGGGGTTGGGTTATTCTTATACGCTGGTGTAGACTGATAGGTTTCTAATTTGACTAAAAAACAAGAACGAAAACAACTATCTTATCATAATCATTGCGAATCATGGGAGACGCTGATTCGGCCAGTAGCCAGAATAGCTCGGCGGATGGCGATGGCAAGAAGCATATCTTGCTCAATGCTTTTGACATGTCGACCGTGGGACATATGGCTCCCGGGCAATGGAAGGTTTGTTTATTTGTTTAGCAGTCGGAACCGAGGAGGACAGGCTAACAACTGCCACAGAACCCCAAAGATAAGTCTGCGACCAAGCGAAATCTCGAATACTGGATAGAGCTGGCGAAGCTATTGGAGCGGGGTGGGATCAACGCTTTGTTCCTGGCAGATACAACTGGAGGCTATGATACATATGAGGGCAAGCTGGACGAGTGTATTCGGCGCGCGGCGCAATGGCCGGTGACAGATCCGACTATCGTAAGTTTTAATCCAACAAGGCTTCTGAATGGATGAGACTCTGACATGGCTTTGTTAGCCTATTTCTGCAATGGCTGCGGTGACCAAGAACCTGGCATTTGGAATCACAGCCTCGACTTCATTCGAACAGCCGTTCCTCTTGGCCAAGCGATTTTCCACCTTGGACCATTTGACCAATGGTCGATTGGGTTGGAATATCGTGACTTCATATAAGAAGGCGGCCTTCAAAGCCATTGGTGTGGATACTCCAATTGAACATGACGAACGGTATCGACAGGCGGATGAGTATTTGAAGGTGCTTTACAAGTATGTCGCATGTCCGTAGCTCGGTTAGGGCGACGTTGAAACACTCGAAGACTGACATGGTGATTGCTGCATATAGATTGTGGGAGAGCTCGTGGGCTCCTGATGCGTTGTCACCAAACCCCGAAGCGGACTCGTACGTTGACCCGGATAAAGTCCGCCATATCAATCACAAGGGGAAATACTTCTCATTGAGCACACGGCACATCGTCGACCCATCCCCACAGCGGACGCCCTTCCTTTTCCAGGCGGGCACTTCGCCTGCCGGATCGGAGTTTGCTTCTACCCACGCTGAGGCGATCTTTGTCTCTTCTCATTCGCCAGAGGTGTTGCGACCAAAGATTGCAGCTATCCGCAAGTTAGCCGCAGAGCGAGGCCGCGATCCACGTTCAATCAAGTTCTTTGCTACCTTTACGCCCATCGTAGGCGAGACTGACGAAGAGGCACAGGCTAAGTATGAAGAGTTGAAGAAGTACGCCTCGGTGGTTGGGGGTCTGGTCCTTTTCAGCGGATGGACCGGAATTGACATCTCCAAAATCCCACTGGACCAAGAGATCACGGCTGCAGATTCACTGGAAGCAGGCAAAATAACTAGTTTGCTTGACTCGCTACTCAGAACTAGCAAGGATATCCCACGCTGGACGCCTCGCGTGGTTGCTGAGAAGGCTGCAATTGGTGGTCTGGGTCCAGTGAGCATTGGAAGCCCTGCTACTGTTGCTGATGAGATGGAGCGTTGGGTTCGAGAGGCAGACCTTGATGGCTTCAATGTTGCCTATGTTACCACACCTGGCACATTTGAGGATGTTGTTGACCTGCTCATCCCGGAGCTGAGACGACGTGGTCTTTATCCTGAGCTTCCAGACCCCTCCGAGCCACCTCTCACAGCCCGTGAAAAGGTTTATGGCAAGGGACAGAAAGAGCTCAGGGCTGATCACATTGGCAGCAAGTATAAGTACGATGTGTATCAGGAAGAGGAGCCATATGTTGAAAATACCGAGGAGAAATGAGTGATTTCGGGTTCATGACATAGGATGATCTTTCAATTGGTGATGATAGAAATAGTTCGGATAATTTAGACTCATAGCTCCCCTACATACCTGAGGTATGCAAGAGGTGCATCTTGAAAGGTGAAACAGAACGTGCCTCGTAACTTTACCCGTGACCCATCGTACGTAATGCCACTCTAGCCTTTCCGGGACAGCTTGGCCAACTCGCTTTCATACTCTCCGATTATTTCGACATTGTCGACCTCGCCTCTGTGAGGAATAAAGGCGGTGCCATTCTTGTGATTGTCTTTTGACTATTACAACCATATCCCGTGGACCATGGCTACCGTACACCACGGTCAACCCCATGTTGACCCCCATGATGATGACTCTCTTCTTGGTGATGATCTGATTGAAGCCGATGACGGTAAGCGCTGTCAAGACACTCTTATAACTCTCGGAATACCCGCAAGGTTCTAACCCGGTGTGGTTGTAGCCATCGATGCGGATGACCCCCTGCGCGATACCTCCGACACGGCCCCTCTGCGAGGCAACATCGAATCCAACTCTGGCAGCCGAAGCAATGCCCCGGGATATGGCAACTACCTGACATCTTCTATCGGTGGTGAAGATCGCCGCGCGACGCAAAACACTATCGACGAGACCGTATGGGAGACATTGTCACGCGACTTGGTTGCCGTGTGGGAGAAGATGCGCCAGGTGCTGTGGCCGAAATACTTGCTCGGAGGAATGATGCAGCGCGGAGGCCGCGGTACCGCTGATGCCGAGCAAGGCGGCGTATCAGGATTTGGTAGTAACGTTCGGGGACTCGTTGGACGCTGGCCGGATGCCGACGTGGTTCTGCAGGGTGGAATGAGCGACGGATTGCGGGATTGGGATCTCTGGTACATTATTCCACACAACAGACCCTCTGTTCGCGCTGGTATCATAACTAACGATTCGTCTTACAAACAGGGGCCCGCTTATCTTCTGCCTGGTGCTGAGCTTGTTCTTATCTGTCGCAAAGGGTGATCAATCGTCGGTGGTGTTCTCGGGTGTTTTCTGTCTCGTCTGGATCGGAGAAGCCGCCGTGACGCTTCAAATCAAACTCCTTGGTGGCAAGATGTACGTTTCTTATGATTGCTTGTTTCTTTCTCGATCGCAATTTACTGACATTGCGGCCTCTAGCTCCTTCTTCCAGTCGATTTGCATCATCGGTTATACGTTATTCCCCCTGGTCATTGCGGCAATGCTGAGCGCACTGGGTCTTCCTACCATCGCACGGATACCAGTATATCTGGTGTTAGTGGCATGGTCTCTAGCAGCCGGAGTAAGCATCTTGGGAGGCTCGGGGGTAGTGCGGAACCGAGTCGGCATTGCAGTGTACCCGCTCTTTGTGTTCTACATTGCGATCGGGTGTCTGTGTTTCATCAGTTAAAGCTGTCGGCTATTAAGCTATTGCTATTGAGCTATTGTGATTACTCGGCATACTGAAGAAATGCACCGTCACATGTCCTCCAGGCAGATTCGGCGCATTGGATGGTCTCAATAACAATTGAGACATTGTATTAGAATAGCGCGGATACCGGTATATCCAGACTTTGAATTGAATGCAAATGTATTGATTTTGACTATTGTCGAGGCCTACAACAATAGAGGATTATGTAGCTGAATGCTTTGTTTCTCTCATTCACGACCCATGCCCATTCACTTCTACTCTTCAAACAGAAACCGTTTGTTGGCCCCGCACCCGGCGGTCAGGTTATAAGGACCGGCTAGCTTTTCCTCTTCTCTTTTTCCTCTTTCTCCCATCCTCAGTTCCCTCGGTTCGCAAATCCCAAGTCGCCTCTTCTGCTGTCGATTCGGCTGGTCCCAATCGATCCGATCTCTGCGGTTATCGTGACCCTACAAGCTCCGGTTACCCCAACAACTTTACGATATCTGGAATACTCTTCCTCGAAATCAGCCAAGGACGCGACGTTATGTCTTCGACTTCCGGGGAGCAGATCCCCTCGGTGGGTGGTATGTCATCATTGCTCGCATAGCCTCGAATCCCCACGTTGGGCAACCTCGCTGACCAGGTCAACAGCTCTGGAATCAGAGCAACAGAAAATGGATTCGAAAGGTGCGTCTACTGGCATACAAGTTATTTCCTCGGGCAGCTCTTTTTTTCTACAAAATCTCTCCTCTTTGCCGCAGAGCTTTTTCCGACGTTCATGCGATCTGACACCATCTTCCCAGCAGTGGCCGCGCAGTCGCCTCCCTCCGACAACGACGGCGGCGAACGCCCCGTGCGACAGCAGCTCAAGGAGACCAATCTCAATTCTGTGGGTCAAACCAACGGTTCTACCAAGGCGAGCCGCAAGCGCTCCCTCGATAACACGGATCAAGCGGCTGATGCACGCCCAACCAAGCGATCCCGAGAATGCACCCCCGATGACACCAAGATTTCTCACAAGCCTTCCACCGAAGCAAACCCAACTCCCGCGGATACCGCTCCCCAAGATGTGAGTGCTTCTGAGCTGGACTCGGACCCTCCTACTCCTCCCCTGCCCACGGAACACAACTACCCTGGAGTGAATGGAAATGGTTTCTACCCCGGAAACCACATCATCACGGTCCAAATGCCCTTGACCCTGGATATCAAGATTGGGTTTGCCGGCACGGAGCAAACCCGGAAAGTGACAATCCCTATTTCGCTTGAGATCAACAGCAAGACTGGCGAGGTTGATTTAGCTTCGTCTATTTCGGGTCCTGCCATGAGCTATTCTCAGAACAATCATATCAATGTTTCAATTGACTCTTCTCCCCCTTCTTCCTTTGCCACCGGTTGTTCCTCTCAGGCGCCTCCTGTCCCGGATTTCCTCAGGGATTCAGATTCTCCCAAGCCCACGGTTGAAACCCTTGATTCTGACCACTCTCCATCCCCACAGAACCTCGAGTCGATCAACCACGGAAATGAGGACGATTCTTCCCAAGTCGTCAAGAAGAAGCGAAGCCGAGAGCAACTCGAAGACGGTGGCTCAAATGATTCCCACGCTGCAACTGATCCCGCACCCAGCTTGACTGAAACGACTACCTCGAACGAAAATTCTACTACTGAAGGACAACCTGATAAGAAGAGACCCCGTGACAATTCCGAGGAGCGCAAGGCCAAGGTTGACCAGGTAGGTTTGCTCCATTGACATTTCCGAGGTTATTTCTCACTTCTGAGCTAACACTTGCTTCCTACAGACTTTCACCGCGAGTGCATTCGGGAAGGCCTCTGCCGGCTCACCTTTTGCTCTAGGCGCCTCCAACTCTGCTGCTTCCCCTTTCGCAATGCCCGCAAAGCCCTCCGCATTTGGCGCTTCACCTTTTGCAACCAGCGGTGCCTCAACTACTGGTTTCGGAGCCCTTGGATCTGGATCTGGGTTTAGTGCCTTTGGCAGCGGTCTCTCTGGCTCTTCTGGTAAACTCACTAGTTTTGCGTCACCCAACGCGCCTGCTAGCTTCTCTGGAACAGCCGGTAAATTGACCAGTTTCGCCTCATCCAATGCTCCTACTTCGTTTGGCGACTCCAAGGACAAGACCCTTGGTGCAGCTCAATCTGACAATGAAGAGAGCGACAACGAAGGAGAAGGTGAAGGCGATGACACTTTCGTGGCTGAGAAGACTGACGAGCGGTTCCATGAACAAACTAGTATGAACCCCTTGCTTCTGTCTCACTTTAGGACGTTGTGTCTGGGCAGTTACTGACCACATTTTGAATATTTAGTTGAAACCGGCGAGGAAAATGAGACCACTGAATACTCAGCCAAGGGCAAGCTATATTACTTTGATGATAAGAAATGGAAGGAACGCGGTGCCGGCACATTCAAGGTCAACCTCAAGTCAGAATCCGACGGAAAGAAATCAGCCCGCATGATCATGCGCGCCGACGGTGCTCATCGGGTCATGTTGAACAGTGCTATCTGGGACACCATGCCTTTCGGTGTCAAGGGTCAACGTCCTGCCACCAAGGACATTTATCTGGCCAGCAAGGAGGATGAGAAGGTTTCCACCTTGCTTCTCCGGGTTAGTATTCTCTCTCTTGAACTTGATTTCTCATGATGCTAATGAACCTTACAGCTCGGCAGCAATAAGCAGAGCAGTGAGCTCTACGATGTTCTCGAAGACATCGTGGAGCAGATTTGAATGATGCCCCCCGTGAAGATGTGAAGATGTGAAGATGCGAAGATATGAAGATACTGAATGCAGGGGAAGGAAAATATGAAAATACCAAAAAAAAGAGAAGGGCATATGGTGATGAATTAGCGATTCTGAATACAGACGTGTTAATATTTATTTTTTTCCTTTCTTTCAGCCCTGGCACCTCAAAGCCATGGCTGTGTAGCTGTAACAATTCAAAGAATAGGGAAGCGTACTAAATCCTGGAAGCAATATTACGAACTGCTATCTTCTGCATAGTCCTGAGTATAGTTACTCCATACATATTTCTCGCATAGCTATCTGCTGTGTTATTCTTGATGACAACCACCTTTCTTCACTCTGAACTTACCAATTGGCCTACGAGTTCGGCTTTGTGCATAAACACCCACAAAGCAATAAATCTCTTCTCGGGATTTTCCCCAAACAAGCTCTGGTATCTCCGCACTAATCTCTATAGTGCACTATATTTCTAGGTTGCACTCTCGTTTGGGTGGGTTGGTAGCCACTGCCAAGCTTCTGCCTGGTGTGCTGCCTGGTGTGTTGCCTGGAACACCTGAGGCCAGTCCACTATAAAGAGCATCTTCTACTCTCTGTTTGATATTCCCATTCGACCAGAAATACATGGAGTATTCAAAGATCTTTCTCGCATTTGCCAGAAAATTACGTTCTGCAATGTCTTCAAACACACAATTCGATTTACCGGGATTCACCAAGCCCCTGGACTATATGCCAGTATGTTTTTGTCGCGGCATCTGCAACTAGACACAATGCACTAATTCAGCCAGCCTCAACTTCAAGAATACGCCTCTCGACCATTTCCTAATGCCTTGTGTGATTATTTCGGTTATAGCCATTCATTGTAAGTGGTCATTGTCTGGTCTTTGAGATTTATGAACTGATTTTGTGCCTTTAGCCAAGCTCTCTATACGCATAGAGAGATTGTAATGGTTCAGATTATGAATTCTATTACCGAAAAGCCTGAATGGGATCGAAAAGTACGATGACTACCTGATTGGGGCGGTATTCCTTTTGCTAATGTTTTAGGTCTTCAATGAGGAGATTACTTCCAAATGGCGTCGAGAGATCTCTCAAAGTGGCCAGGACGTGACTGAACTTATGATGGACTGGATCATCAAAGAGCTCCAATGCAAGGCTGAAGAGTTACAGAAAGAAGGACTCGTTTGTGCATTCGACATTGGTGTAGTGAAATCAGACACCGCTGTGCCCGAGCAATTGAAACAGCTCCTGAAGGAAGCAGCTGCTCCTCTGGAGAATGTTCCCGAAGAGCAAAAGGATTATCATCCCGGTACTGACAAGCAAGTTGTTGATCTTGTGCACCAGTCATTATTCCCGGTTGTTTACGGCAGGACACACATCCTTCGCGACAAAAAGATTGGCTTGGATGACTGCCTAAACAGTATGGGCCAGGGAGAGTTGCTTCCAATCTCTTCCATCGCTTCAGACAGATCATTGAGCAAAAATTTCCAATGGCTTCCCTGTGATGTGAAGTTCCTTGAAGATGACGAAGGGTGTCAGATCACTTCATATATCAACAATGTTCATCCTGTCAAACACCGGCCATTGTATGAAGCTGTCGAGAAAATCATTTCTCGGACCATACCTCTCTGGAATAAAAGTTTGACATTATGCTCGGACTCCTGGCACCCAAGAATTAAGTACGACTTTGTGGAATACCTGGATCATCCCGATGGGCCTGAACCAGTTGCGCAAGAGGGCGAGGATGAAGACAGCGATGAGTTCCACGACCGTCGTATGCAATGGGAACGTAATTGTCCAATCAAACAACCGGAGCCAGATCTGGGAGATTTTGAGTATCCGCACGTTCCATGGAAGAATATCAATCTCCGAGATCAGTATCGAGAGAATGGACTTCAGGTGATTGTGAAGATGGCAAACATCGAACTTACTCCTGAAGCCCCCGAATACAAAGGTGGAAGCTGGCACATTGAAGGGCAATTAGTAAGATTTCTCCCTCCAACTCTTCCCTTCAAATCGCTAATAACCCCAATTTCAGAATGAACGCATCTGCGCCACAGCCCTCTATTACTACGACAGCGAAAATATCACAGAAAGCGTACTTCGCTTCCGCCATCGAGCAGACCACGAAGCCGCAAACGAAATCTCATATGAACAGCAGCGTCACGAATTCATCCACCAAGTGTTTGGCTTTCCCCAGTTTGAGTGGATCGATCAGCTGGAAACGATAACCCAAGATCTCGGTGGCGTCGTGTGTAAGGAAGACCGTCTTCTTACATTCCCCAACATTGTCCAGCATTGCGTGGCGCCGTTCTCGCTGGCAGACCGATCAAAGCCCGGCCATCGCAAGATTCTCGCCTTGTTCCTTGTCGATCCTCACATGCGAATCATATCGTCCGCTCATGTGCCTCCGCAGCAGAAGGACTGGGGCATTGAACGAGAGCAGCTCATTGGGGGACTTTTATCGAGAAATCTTCCCGTCGAGTTGCAAGAGATGGTTCGTGATGGCTTGGACAGCCCGCTTATGAGTTTGGATGAGGCCAAGGCACACAGACTTAAGCTGATGGAGGAGAGAAGCATTCAATCGAAGGAGAACAATGAAACCTTTGAGATGGGTGACTTTTCGCTGTGCGAACACTGATGAGCTGTATATCTTTGCAGTGCGAAACGTGTGGTTTTATCTATATCAGATGATGTTGCGGTCTATTTTATATTCTATCTGCATACTCTGTATGCTAAATCAAAATAACTTTTGCTTTCTCATTCAAGGTCATCGGATACCCTGGGCATACAAAATTTAGCTCCAGTCATCAACATTCCTCGTTTGTGCCAGAGACAGAGCGGGTTGAAAGAGTACTCTAGTGCACCATATACTGGAAATAAGGAACCACTATTCTGTCCTTTATGGACTAGTATTGGAATGGAATGCTATGCCCGTATAACAGCATGAATATAGCTAGGCTATCTCGGGCTGGTAAGATCATTATTGTCATTAGTATCAAACAAAAACATCCATAACATCGAACATCAAAAAGATTATTCGAGTATGTGAACAGATGATACACCTGTATCGTGGTAGTCACTGACCAATTTGCCTGTAGTGGCCGGCCACTGTGAATTGCATCGGGCTCTCGACTTTAGCTCCTCCTGTTTGATGTTGAGATCAGTATTGAGACTCACTTACCAAAACAGAAGAACCACAAATCTGATCCCGGGCTACCCACTAGAGCAATGGCTTGGTTGATAGACTACATACCGGATACACATAGATAGATTATTGGTAATTCATTGCATTCATCATCACTAGGTTGTATACCCCAAGCCCAGCCGTCATTGAGTTCTGTAAATACTTGTGGCTTTTAGATCAACCAGACTGTTCTATAGATGTGTGTTTCCAGAGCGACCCTCCAAAAACCTTTCCTCGTCACTATCGCCTGTGGCCCCTCGCAATTGCCAGATATCCTGCTGGCTATGACTACTAGTTGCGTCATACCCTCGCGAATTCAAATCCTTGAGGGGCAATTCCGTCACGGACAGTACGCGCTTAGAGCTGGACTGGGTGGGGTTATGTGAACGCAAATTGCCGGATTCCGTTGCATTTTGGCAACTAGACTCGCTAGAAGAGCCCCTGGCAGACTTGAATGTCCTGCGGAATAAAGGACGGAGGGTTGGAACACAAGCGGCGACGATGACAACATTTTGCTCAACACTAAAGCTGTGAGTAACCGCTGGGTAAAAGCTGCAGGATAGAGAATACTTACAGTCCCCAAAGAACCAAGGTCACTACCTTGTACACTGTTGGAGATCAGTCACTAGCACACAGCGTCCAGTCGGTGAAACACTCACGGGGATCTGTGTGGTCTGTGAATAGTTTCAGATATGTCGCTTTGATAATGGTGACGATGGCGGAAAGCAGGGTCAACCCCATCATGATGCAGGTACTCAGTCTCGTTGAGAATGGCATTTGCAGTTTCCAGAATGCAGTAATTGGCACCACGGCCAAGACAATATCCGTCATGGTTGTATATGCGCTGACCCAATAATTGAAGTCATTGAAGACATCCGAGCTCCAGCATGTGCCCTCGGCAGATAAGTTCCACAATTTTTCCGTGGGGCTGCATTGGAAAAAGACAACGAAGACAGATATCATGGCGAATATCACTTGAAAAATGACCATGGCGTACAGGAGTCGTGCACGGAGCGGGTTGGGGTCCAGCAGATGAACGATCAGGATCGCAATCGAGATATTGGGGAAACTGAATGCACCTATAGGCCTCAGTTTAAGTATTTGATCCACTGAATTGAATCAATAGTAACAAACCAATGTTAAAGGGAAATGCGATGATCTGCCAGTATGCTGATCTTTCGTATCTCTCAATGCCATATTCAGCCACCACAGTTGCAGTGTGCCGACCTAGACCCAATGTTACTGCATACGAGACGAAGGCCGTGGCAATGATGCTGAGAGCCTATATATATCATGGTGTTAATCGGAGGAAGGCATTAGAGGACATGGTTTTCTCACCATCGAGAAGAAAATGAAAAAGTCATCCCAGCCATACTGTTTGTTGCCAATTCGAGCGAATAACTTCAATGAGACAGCTACGATTGCAATGCCAGTAAAGACCCATCCAATTACGTTGATCTCTGCCCCCCGCGTCTCACTATGATCAACGTTCGTATCGAAAGAGGCCATAGCTAAGGGTTATCCGAATCATGGAATGGCAAAAAGGGGAGGCAACACCTCTCAACGGCAGATCGCTAGGATAATAATAATAACAATGACCACGCGGGAAAAAGCCGTACAATGAATAGTATGTATCCTAGGCGGCAGAGTGGCTGGCAGCTTTTGAAATCGAAAAACGGAGAATAAACCGAGTAGGTATATTTAGAGTACGGAGTACTGGCTAGTAGTAGTACCCATAGGAAATACCCTTTCAGGGTTGCCCATGATTCGATTGAATGTTGACCATATATGGTAGCTCTTCATATTCGGATCTCTGAATTGATCGGTGTGCTTGCGTAGAATCTCGGGCCAAAAAGAAGAGAACAGGATACATTCGACCTCGGGAGGTTCTACATCCAAGCGACAAGGCCAGGTAATTACAGTACGACAGTATGGGGCCAAAAGCAAGACATGAATTTGGCTAAGGACAGTCATTCAGTCATTCTGCACTAGCTGCGCGAATAAATCTCTCAAGGCAAAGCGGGCTCCACTGTGGCCTGGTGTCTTTGTCCACCAGGGCATTTCACCCCCAATGTCTTTTGCAGGCCTCGGACCTATCTTAATTCAACTGCATTTTTCGTTTTGTTAGTATCATATGGTCCATTGATCAATGCATAAGAATATGACGCAATTCAGTTATAAACAAGATACGGAGATGTGAGATGGATATTGGGCACGGCTCAACTGTTTGCCCCGTCCAGATCGGAGGGTGGAGGCCAATGTATTGATGTTAAACCGAGGTATATCCACGGAGTAGATCGTACGCAATACGAAGGATGAGATACCATACGAAGGATCTAGTGTTTCCGCCCACTTTTCTCGTCAAATTATATTGTTCGTGCAATATGTCACAGGTATCGCACTTAGCGAATTGATTGTCTCATAACGCCTCTTAGCCTGAAGCCCTAACTCCGGATTACACCAAGTGGATTATTTACGCGCAGAGAAATATTTCCCAGGGGCCCGGACCAATACACATAATTTCAGCCAATCCAATCACAATTGGAATCCATCGCCCTGACATGGGTATGTACGTCCCTAGCCAATCCTGGAGTGCTATATGCCCCCCTGTTGAGCACTCCACGTGGAAATAACCCCTGCTGTTGCATGGGCTTAAATCTGAGCAAGTTTGAAGTATACACTACTGTACGGAGCATGCTACGTCAAGTTGAGGCTAAAACTTGGTGGGTACGAAGGGGCAGTAGAAGTAGATGACTGGCTCGGAAGGTTATCATTGCCTTAGCATCAGACTAGGCCCAAGTGAGAGTGAAGAACGAAAGACAATTTGAGGGGCAAAGAGGTTCCCCCCGGGCTTTTCTTCTTCTTTCAAAAGAGATTGCACACCCCTACAAGTCAACTGTCGCGCTTTCGCCAAACCGCTATAATCATGGCTTCCCCATCCGTATCTGCAATCCTGGATAGTATCGCCACTTCTCGGGCGGCATTCGACAAGAACGAACCAGGCTCAAGAGAAAGTCTCATTGATCAAAGTCGCGCGCTGATTGCAGCATTGGAGATCCCAAGCGAGTTCGTCCAGCGCACCTTCTGGGCCGAGGTAGGTAGTTGCAACATGGCGATCGCCCTATTTTACTCGCAGTGCTCATTGATTTTATCTGGTAGCCAGCTCAAAGCGCCATTCTCCGCCTCGCCGTCGACGTCAAGCTTTTCCAACACCTCAAGGACGCGGGCGATGCGGGCCTCACCCCAGTGGCCTTTTCCCAAAAGACCGGAGTCGACAATGCTCTCCTGCAAAGACTAGCAAGACATTTGGTGTCAATGAACCTTTTGTCCTTCCACCATGGAGCGTTCCATGCCACAGCGCTGAGCAATGGTCTTGCAGCGGAGAATTATCAACACAGCATGCGCTTCTGCTACGATGCAGCGAGGCCCTCATTTAATGGTTTCCCGGAATATTTCAAGAATTCCGAGTATAAGTCCCCAACTCTGGGTGGAACGGACGGCCCGTTCCAGGAGGCCCACAAGACTAGTCTTCCCTTCTTTGAATGGCTTGTCGCAACACCACCGCACCTTCAACATTTCAATTCCTTTATGACCGCATACCGCGCGGGAAAGCCGGATTGGCATGCATTCTACCCCGTTGCCGAGCGATTGATCACGGGCTTCGATACTTCCATCAGTGATGTGGTGCTTGTCGACGTCGGTGGCGGCAGAGGCCATGATGTGGCTACCTTTGCTGCGCAGTATAGCCCCGTTCCGGGCAGGATTGTTCTCCAGGATCGAGAGCCTGTTATCGCAGCGGTTGTAGCTAATGGCGTGCCGGAATCCTTTGAAGTTCAGACACACGACTTCTTTACCCCACAGCCTATTAAGGGTGCACGCTCTTACTTGCTTCACTCTATTCTCCACGACTGGAGCGATGAGGATGGCATTAGAATCCTGGAGAATCTCGTGCCAGCTCTCGAGAAGGGTTATTCACGAGTCCTGTTTAACGAGATTGTGATTAATGAAGAGAATCCCACACTTGCAGGGACCAGCATGGATATGATGATGTTGGCGCATTTCGCCGTGAGGGAGAGAACAGAGGCTGATTGGAAGAGTCTTTTGGCTAAAGCCGGGCTGGCAGTGGTCAAGATCCACAACTATCCAGGCGTTGCCGAGAGTGTGATCGAGGCGGAACTGGCTTGAGGGCAGCTATTCATGATTCTGACTATTTTTTTCCAGCATGATTTGTATGTGAAAGAAGAGTGTGATCAAATCACACGCGAGCATAATCTCAATATAAGGATCAGGAACTATGTCATCGCCATCTATCTAAAAGTAGCAATATTTTTGCCTGAGGCTTTACTCCATCCATTTTGGGTGATATTGATACACGTGATTTCGCGTTTCCCGTCAACTGGACTTCTAGCGATGATAAAACCAACGCAGAGCAGCATGGAGCTTAGACATGGCCGGATCCTTGCCACCAGTCACTTCTATTCCATCATTGAAACGGAAAAGAAGCCATGAAAATAACGATCGCAGCCTCGAGTCCGCTGTTTCTCCACCCTCGAACGCGTCCCTCGAAGTCCCCACCGATCAAATACAGTCGACCACAGGGAAGGCTCTTCCCAACGAGACGAATGCACAGGAAACCGAACCTAAGAAACCTGTAGCTAACCAAAAGAAGGCCAAGGGGAAAAAGGCTTCGTCGAAATCCTCGAAGCGAATACCATCTGCGCCATTGCCAGATGCCTTTAAACGCCTATCGCAGATACACCGTGCCCTAAACCTTGTCTATACATTTTGCTGTACGCGAAAGCATTTCGCCACTACATTTGAGAATATAAAGAAGGCAGTACAGGCCCAGATTGGCCAGGGAAGAGAACTCACCCTCGAGGATGTTGCACGCGTGAAAGTGATAATCCCGGGAGCCATCCGGTTCGAGTATATCGATGAGGCGAAATTGGAAATAATGATCACTGGAGATCAAGAAATTGCACAGTATGGGCTACATAAGCGGGCTAGTCTGGCACATGCAGCAGACATGGACGCGGACGAAAACACCGGTGGCAACATTCACGATACAGATGACACAAAGCACGTCTTGCTATTTGAATTTGTGGACGGCGATCTAAAACGGGAGGTAGTACATCCCAAGACGGGGGAGCCTACAAAACCGATGCGTCGCATGAAAGACGAGGATCTGAAAATGCCCGTCTACAGTCAAAAGCAGATGTTGCGTGTGATCGAAAAGCGGAATTCCAAATTCACAGACGCTCTCAATGAGTTCTTAGTCCAATGCGAGGATAGTGCTACTGATCCGGTGGAATCCCTCGAACAAGCGAAGAATGCTTTCCTCCCCACTCCTCCCGGTAGTGGCGCAAATACCCCTGCTCTTGCGGGGAGGGTACCGGCAACAATCCCCAAGGAGCGAAAGTCCATTGAGGAAATTATTGCCGAGATTCGGGAGATGGACTGGTATCATGCACAGATTGTGCCGGAAGGCCATCGGGTATTTGAAGCCCAATCTCCTGTTTATGGAGATTTGTCTTTCCAGCTCTCGCAAGACCTTGTGAATGCACTTTACAACACAAAGGGTATCACGGAAATGTATACTCACCAGACAGAGGCAATCAATCACTTATACGAAGGCCATAATGTGATTGTGTCTACGTCGACAAGTTCGGGCAAATCTCTCATCTACCAAGTTCCCATGCTGCACGAACTAGAAAAGGATCCAGAGAGCAGGGGTATGTATATCTTCCCCACTAAAGCTCTGGCACAAGACCAGCGCCGCAGTATGATGGATTTACTACAGTACATGAACGGACTTCAGAACACAATGGTTGAAACCTTTGACGGCGATACGCCAATGGGGAGTCGGAACATGATTCGTGATGAGGCACGCATCATATTTACCAATCCTGATATGCTTCATATTACAATTCTGCCCCAGGAGAGTTCTTGGCGCACTTTTTTGAAGAATTTGAAATTTGTCGTTGTCGACGAATTGCATGTTTACAACGGCTTGTTTGGATCTCATGTCGCATTTATCATGCGACGGCTTCGCAGGATCTGTGCTGCCGTGGGTAATCGACATGTCAAGTTTATATCTTGCTCTGCCACTGTTGCGAATCCAGAAGCTCACATGAAGTCTATATTTGGAGTGCAGGACGTGAAACTTGTCGATGTTGATGGGTCTCCCTCTGGGCGCAAGGAATTTGTTTGTTGGAATACGCCATTCAAAGATCCGAAGGACCCTACCTCTGGAAGGGCTGATACGGTCACCGAGACCGCCAGATTGTTTTGCCAGCTGATTCTTAGGGGCGTGAGAGTCATCGCCTTCTGCCGAATCAGAAAGCTCTGCGAGATCCTCTTACAAGGCGTGCGAGCTGAATTCGATAGACTCGAGCGAACAGAAATTGGAAAGCTAGTAATGGGCTACCGAGGCGGGTACAGCCCCCAAGATCGACGCCAAATTGAAAAAGAAATGTTCGAGGGAAAATTGATGGGAATCGTGGCAACCAACGCTCTGGAACTGGGCGTTGATATCGGGTCTCTGGATGCAGTCATCACCATGGGATTCCCCTACTCAATATCCAATCTGCGCCAACAAAGCGGCCGCGCCGGACGGCGTAATAAGGACTCCCTCTCTCCGTGCTAGTGGGAGACAGATATCCAACCGACCAGCACTACATGCAAAACCCTGAGGAGATATTCACACGACCGAATTGCGAGCTCCAAATCGATCTAACCAACGAGCTCATCCTCGAAGGCCACGTCCAATGCGCCGCATTCGAGATGCCCATCCGCCCAGAAGAAGACACCATCTACTTCGGACAACAGCTCTTCGCTCTAGCCCCGACCCGCCTCACAAAAGATACCCTCGGCTTCTACCACTGCCACCCACGCTTCCGTCCCCATCCCTCCCGCTGCGTCTCAATCCGCGACACAGAAGACCAACACTTCGCCGTCATAGACACAACCAACAACCGCAACATCGTCCTCGAAGAAGTCGAAGCCTCCCGCGCCTTCTTCACAATCTACGAAGGCGGCATCTTCCTCCACCAAGGCACAACCTACCTAGTCAAAGAACTAAACACCGAGTCCCACCTCGCCCGCGTCGTCCGCGTCCAAGTCGACTGGAGCACCATGCAACGCGACTTCACCGACATCGACCCAATAGAAACCGAAGCCATGCGAACAGTCAGCCACGACCCCTCCGCCTCCCGCGCCTTCTTCGGCACAATCCAAATCCACGCCGTAGTCTACGGCTTCTTCAAAATCGACAAACGCGGCCGCGTTCTTGACGCCGTCGCCGTCGAAAACCCCCCATCGACCGCCTAACTCGCGGCATGTGGCTCGACGTCCCGACACGCGCTATTGAAATCCTTCAATCCCACAGACTCAACGTCGCGGCTGCCATCCACGCCGCCGAACACGGAGTTCTCTCCCTGCTACCCTCATTCGTCGTCTCATCGCCCGGCGACGTCCGCACAGAATGCAAAGTCGCGAAGAAAGAGCTCGGCCGTCCCCTGCGCCGCGCAAACGGGGCCAACTTCGACGAAAAGCTCAAGCCGCCTTCGCGGCAAAGACCCGCGCGACTTACATTCTACGATGCGAAGGGCGGGTCGTGTGGCTCCGGGATTGCGAGTAAGGCGTTTGAGTTTATTGGACTGCTACTCCGACGAGCGGTTGCGCGCATCGAGGCCTGCTCCTGTCTCTCGCCTCAGGGGTGTGTAGAGTGTGTTTGTGATGAGCGGTGTAAGGAGATGAATGTTGTTATGAGCAAGGCTGGTGCTGGGGTTATATTGCGGTGTTTGTTGGGGTGGGAGGTGGATGTTGATTCGTTGCCGTGGGGGGAGGATGGGGAAAGGGAGGAGATTGGGGTTGGTGGGGAGTTGGCTGGTGGGTTGGAGACTGTGACTAGGGCTGAGGAGGTGCCTTGGAAGGCTGGTTGTCGGGGGGATTGTTGAGCGATATATGGATGTAGATTGATCGGGGTCATACGTTTGATGTATAATCCGTAGATCTCTGTGGTTCTCGAGTATGACCCAATCAATCGTTTCTCGCCTGATGAAGGGTTATTATATGGGCAATTAGTGATTGGGCAGTGGACTCAATGCAATTTTCGATCTGTTGTTTCCATTCACAAGTCTGTCTAGGAGCTTAGATGTTACAATGACATTTCAGAGATGAATGGTGCTTGCTGTTTCAGATATAAGACGGAAGAGACATTGGAGGTACGGATGAAGTATAGTGAAAGGTATGAGTCAATAGTCCTATAAGAATTGGGTATAATAAATGTACATCAAGTCATAACCCAGAAACATGTGTTCAGGGTTCAGAGGGAGGGGATATCATAATGTAACAAGGTGGGCGAGGAGATGTATGTGTGATGATGATGGTGGTGGGTAGGGGTTGTGTGGGATATTATATAGCAAGATTGCGAGAAGAGGAGAAGATGGAAAGAGAAACAGAACGGAGGGTGGTGGTGTGAAGCTGACACATGTCGATGTCAAATGGGTTATTTGTTCATCACTTGAATGTGACATTTGCGTCTTCCGGTCTGAGGACATCAGTGGAATTGGTTGTGTTGTGGCATCATGAGAGCAAACGAGGATTAAGTACTCCGTGTGGGAGGTATGTTTTCGGAGTTGAGAATGCCAAAATAGGGGGTTGCAGGGAGGTCGGGTTTCGAGGATGAAGCTGGTGTAGCACTTTGTGGATCGAGATCTGCATGATGGTGCCCAAAGGCCAGGAGCTGAAGATGGATGATGCAAAGATAAAACCACCCATTCACTGTAAATCACTATGAAGGGCTTTGATTATCATCGGATTCATCCAAATTCAACCTCCCGAACAGAGATTTCATATCGCGAACATGCTCGCGCATCTCATCACGCTGCTGAGACGAGCGCTCTTCAGTCAAGGAACGAATCTCGCGAATGATGCTGGTATATCCTTCATCATGAGGGAGCCACCAATGATTAACCTCTGGAAGTTGCCAGATGGCAGCAAGAGCTTGACGGAATCGAGGCGGAGTCATATATCTGTTCAAACCAAGAGTTTCTTGTTAGTTTTGCTCTTGAATGCTCAAATTCCAACGGTAAAAGGCATGCAGTCTTACCCATGTTGTTCCATCAACGTAAACTTGCGTCGAGCCCACATCTGATATTTGTGATCCTTAGGAAGGAACATGCTAACCATGCTCATGCTGTTTTTGAACATGATGAGATATCCAGTTTCCTTGTGAGGCCAGCGAGTCATTGTCTCGATCAAACGGCACTGCTCCTCGGCCAGGGCTTGCAAATCTTGAAGCAAAGGCTTCTGCAGAACTTGCATGGTCTGGAATTTGTACATTGTCTCGGTAGCGAGAATGTCAATCCAAGCATAATTGAAGTCCCACAAGGCGGCTCGATGTAGGCCACCTGGCACATATGGATCCGCCACATCATCCTCGGTCAAAGGCTGTTTGTTTGGGTATTCCTGCACTTTATATTCGTAATCATCGAACATCCTGAGAATCGCCTTCGTTTGCTCTATCCACTGGCCCAGCTGCTCGTTTTGAACGGCGAAGTCTTCAATAGAGATCATCCCGCGGGACAGCTTCGCATAGAGGGAAGCCATGTCCAGGCCAAAGCGTCGGTTGATCGATGCAACAAGGAGGAGTTGTTTGCTTGGGTCATCGGGGTATATGGAGGCTTGCTCGGCATCGTACTGTTCCTTTGCAATATACCAGTCTCGACCGAGAACCGTCTCGGTACCGGCTAGAATCCCCACGACTACATCGAAGCGCGAGTACCATGAGAAAATATTGGTATGTAGCTCGTTCAAGTTGGCGGATTCGGGTGTAATCAGCTCTCGCATCAATGCATGTGCCGCTTGATGGTGATCGATCAAGTTCATCCAGTCGCCGATGTATTCCTTCAATAGCGTGATGTCAGAAAAAAAAGGTCGTAAAAAGTAGTCATAGGGGACAATATACCTCAAACGTCGTCAGAACAAGGACGGTACACAGTGTAGCCTCACTGTGCTCCTCTTTCGAACCCAAGGATTTCCGGAGGAGAACCAATGCTTTATTATAATATTTCAAGAAGTTATAGAGCTTTCCTCCAGGACTGTGCAAAGAATGATGATAGGCGGAGAAGCCCACCAAGGCATAGAGCAGGGGCTCATACTGCAATGCAAGCTCAAGAAGACTGTAGTGGACGAAAAACGAGGAAGACTGTCTCAAGAAGAAATGCGGAGGAGCCATGAAATCCTGATGAAAATTGAGATAAAATCGCAAATCATCCGATAGACGCGCATTGTTGAGCAATTCAGCCGTGGAATGTCCAATGCTGCCCGAACGCACGCTCATCGACTCATAGCGCGACGACTCCGTCGAAGGCGAACTACTGTGGTCTTTGACAAACGAGCTGGCATCAGACGTTTGCCTCCCCTTCTGCTTGCGTAGGGATTGCGTGCTCTGGCTTTTACGCAAGTCTGGTTGTGGTGTGGCTGTAGTGCTTCTTGGCGACGGTCGCGAGTCGGATACCGCACTATCGGGTTCCTCCTCGTCGATGATGGGCTGCAAGGGGCTGACAGCATCAGATTCTGCTTTGACCGATGACTCGCTACTATGCGACTGCGGGCGACCAGCGCGCGATTTGGCTGTAGCTCGTGCGCCAGCCTTGGACGACGCCGAAGATGACAGAGTCGGATAGACGCAATCACGATTTCCCTTCCTACATCGTTCACAGATCGGTCGACCCTCGTCACATTTGATCCGGCGCGAACGACAGGTGAAGCAACCGCTCCTTGTGCGCTTATGTTTCTTCTGGTCGAGAGGTTGGAGCAAGGCAGCTTGTTTCTGGGCGGGGGTGTATGCAGGGGGCACTATCATCGTCGGTGTCGCGGAGGGATCGTGCCAGTACGCGACACTCTCGGGATATTGTGTCGGACCAAACAGCGAGTATGCTGATGTACTTGATTCCTGCATTGAGTCGAGGAAGCCCGATAGGGCCGTCGGGGCCTGGGCCGTTTGGGCCTGATATGAATGCGTCATCGGTCAAACCCCAAGGTCCCCTTATAAGTCAAGCAGATGGAAGCATTATTGGCAATGGAAGAAGAGATGGAACAAGAGAGTCGAGGATAATGGTGGGGGAAGTAAACCCAAAGCAATGGATCCCGGGACGTGCGGAGATTAAAGGAAAAGGGAGATGGGCTTATAAGATCACCTTTTTGGTTAATTTCTGCTTTTTCTGCTTTTCTGCGTTTCGGCTTTTTTGGTTTTTCGGAGTTATCGATTTTCTCGAATTTGTCTTGGGCGTTTTCCATAATGCTATTTTAGTGCCCAGCCTCCTAATGATCTGCGACAGGTTCACGTATCTAATACGAGTATCTACGTACATAGTCCCTTGTATTGGGGGGAATCCCTCTAGGGTCCCCTCCCATGGACAAGTCTGACTATGCTAGTCCAACATGACATGGGCTGATCAAGGGGACCTCGACTCCGTACTCCGTAGTCCGAAATCACTGAGCGGAGCCAGATGGGCCATAGAAAAGACCCTATATACGGATACAACGGGGTATATACCTAGGTAAAAAAAAGGCCGTATGGTGTATACGGACTCCGTACGGCGTCTATTAAACCCGTTTCTTTTTTTTCTCAACAGCCCTAAAGCTGAGTGGTCAAAAGTCCCAAGTTACATTGAATATGTTGTACCTAGGTGCTTCTATACTACCCTCCCTGAAGATCATGAAGATCGTGGATATCCATCTGGTCCGAAGCTATTACTCCATACTTCCCATTACTCCATACAGATCTCAACGGACGAACCTCGGGTCTCGGCGTAGCAAAGAAAAAGAAAGCAAAAAAAGAAAGTAAAAAAAGGGGGCAAGTCAGAATGACGATCCCAAGCCACAGGGATAGAAAGTAATTCCGTTCTTAGGGCTTGGCGGGTATATACATAGGATCATAATCATAGCGTCTGTCAATGGACATCTGGACCCAGCTGTTTTCGGCCTTATTGGGTCTTGGGGGAGACGAGCTACTCCGTACTCGTACTATATGAGACTCTCCGTTTTCTATGTTTCTTGTCTTATGATTGCCCTTAATCAACCCGCGCAGATGGCCGAGGAACCAGATCGGATTCTACTTCTCCTTTTTGCCTACTTTTCGCCTTGCAGACATGTATGGACAGTGGATCCAAGGCAATCCTCCGTATGGAGTACATACTCCGTAGGATGGATCTCCCAACGCGGCGATACATATGTAATCCGTTGCTAAGCTCCGACCTCCACCCTAAGATGATCAGCAAATCCTCGAATGATTGATCATGTTCGGCAGTTCAAAAACCTTCGCACCAACGAGGGAAGAGAAAAAAATGCCGAAAACGTTTTGGTGACGGAGATCGGTCCCAAGTGGAGGCGGCCAAGGCCCCAGGTGGGCACCTCGAGGTCTTCATTCGAGGATTAGAGAAACGATAGTTTGCACTATGATTCATGGTATCCCTGGTAGCTGTGGGGAGCTTTGATTATTTTTTTGCTTTTTCTCTTTTCTCCTTGACTGGTCCATGTGAAAAGCCTTGGTGCGCCATTGCTGTCGCATCCCCCTTTCTTAAGTCCCAGGATTGAAAATTATCCGGACATTTTCCAAGCTGGAATATGTCTGATCGACGATAGTTTGACGGAGGTGGGCCGGTGGTAGATCGAAAGAAAAAAGACACTAAGGCTCTGCAAAGCCCTGAATCGACTCGTGTCGGCTGAAGTATCTCAATCGAGCAAACTCCACAAATTACTTCATAATTTCTAATTCGACTTGCACTATTCCGTATGTTGTACTCCGTACATATGCCGTACTCGGAGCATTAGCCAACCCCTGAGCAAGGGTGAAAGATCGCCGGGAGATGCACGAGGTAGATTGTAAATAGATTGTAACGTCGAACGGCGGAAAACGATGCCCAGAAGGATAATCCCGAAGCATAATTCAAGGTCCCGAAGCTCTGGGCACATCCCGGCATTTCTGGGCCGTGCACTCTTTCACCTTATAGGTGAGATATAAGCCGGGTCAAGACGCTAGACCGGCAGTGTCTTGCCACTTGCTCTGAGGCTCCTATTTCTGTGACTTGCCCTGATTCGGTGTGTTTTTTTATTCGTTTTTTATTCGTTTTTCATTCCTTTCTATCCTTCTGTCATTTTTATCATGTTTTACCGCTGCCTCGTACATGCCGCCTCAGGCTGGTCTGGGTAATATCTCCGCGAGATTGTCATAGATCCGCTATAGATCCAGCGCTTGTGGCAGAAGTTAATTTGTCCCCACTGGAGCATGTGCTGCTACGCCTGATTTGGTATCATTTTGAGAGCAACAAGGTTCCAGGGGCTGAGATCAGCAGGCAGCGAAAAGTGGTTCCCCGACTTTGGAGATCATATAGCGTTGTGATTTGCAAGGTGCGTGCGCGCATTGAAACTGGAGTTTTATACTCCATGCAATTTCCTGGATCCCAGAGATGGCGGTATCAAGTTGAATAGAAAAGAATAAAGCTCCACTAGATTTTCGGTTTATGTAAATTGGTCTTCACGAAAAAGGAAAAAAAAAGTGTGTGGTTATATCCGGTCGTGGAAACGCCGGGGAGGATCTCGACCCGCAATCTTACGATCCGGTCACTAGGATTGGTTGCCACAGCAGTTGAAGAGAACATTCACCCTGAACAGCGTTGGCTAGTCTATATCATACACTAGCCCAGTCCTAGTCCTCTTGTCTCCGTTCAATAGAGGTGGATATTAGGGGGTTGAAGGGATTTTATACTGAAAAAGGCGGGCAATCTCAGGCTCAACGGTAATCGGGGCTGATTACCCCAACTTTCAGTAGTATAAAGTATCCAAGAAGGTAATGATCATCCTCGTGATGCTGCGTATCACAACTTGGACACTGCGTTCTCCGTACTCCGTATGCGTCGTAGTGTTCAGTACGGAGTACTCCGTACGGAGCAGCTCGGTCCACCAAAGACAAAAAGCCAAGAATTAGTACTCCATACTAAAGCCATCAAACCCCACCAAGACAGATCCCAACCCTGGCCCAAAGAGGCTATCATGGAAGTCGATCTCGACGGGGACCATTTAATTGAGTTAACGCCGAATTCGGGGGCCAAATAGCAACCCACCATAACCCGCATCAAACCCACTAAGACAAGCTAGACTGACACCCAAAAGGGGAACACGGTGGAGTCCAAAAAAGATCCCAGACGTTGGGAATTGGCTTTGATCTGTCACGTTGGCGCTACGATCATGGCCCGGCCCAACGTTCAATTCAAGGTTACAACGCCTCGATCATTTTCTGTTGCACTGCATGGACTACGCTTGTCCCCGTTTGGTTTTTTTTCTCCCGAGGCTTCGCAGAGTTGACTCGTGAGCTGTCTGAGCTGCTTCCTGTTGTACATTGTAGTACATCGTAGACAAGGGTTGGTTGTACACGTACGAGGTGTGTCGCGTGGCCCCGGATGATTGCCCGGGCCATGCAGATGATAGATGCAGTGAGACCCTGAATGCGCAAGCCTTTGTAGCCACGGAGTATCCAAAGATAGCACTATGGAGAGGGGAAAGACCAAGGTGAAGCTAAGTCCATGCAGACCTGGCATGTGATGAGAAGCCAAACGGCGAGGTGGTTGCAATCTCATATCCCTGTTGATAATCGAGCGATCCTATTATGAGCCTTGTTGGCAGACCTCCATTTATGATCCCCAATTTCTCCCGTGGCTTTCATTACCGTGAGATATGATTGCCCACATAGATGTCTCTGAGCGTGAGGCCGGCCAGTCTCGGCACGTCCTTGGCTTCCCTCGGTTGTTTGTGGCGAAAGTCTTCAGCCGCAGCTCGGATCTTGGAAATTGACCAAACGAGTTATACAATATGCAACATGATCATCTCTTTTTGTGTTTTCTGCAATCATACATGATATAGTCATAAATCGTCAACCACCCCGACGATGGCATCATTCGGGGTTTGCAGCCCTAGCAGGTTGATAAGCGGTCAAACATAACGCAGATAGGAGAAGCCCGGTATCCTCTCATCTGCTAACCTGGAACTATAGTGGCATCCACACCACAGGGGGATTCATGCACTTGAGGCAGTCTTCTGGGCCGCCAATTCCTTCAGCACCTTATCCACGCCCTCAATGACAACTCCCCACTCGGTCTCATGGACTCGAGTTTCGAAGGTCTCGATGTTCTCATCTTGACCCTTCTGGAAAGGAATCTCCCGCACAAGGATCGGGGTACCCATATCCACCTCGGAAATGACATCGTGCATCATAACACCGGTCTTGTCGATTTGACCCTCCAACCATGCAGCATGAGCACGTTCAATCGCATTCTGACCAAAAACCAAGAATTAGCAATCCACCTCAGCTAACAAGATATGGGTCTCCACAACTGAGCGTCTGACTTACAACACCATTAAACGCCCCCGGCAACGCGGGGTGCAGGTTAATAATTCTCGTCTTAGCAGCCTCCAAAGGCTCCAAAAACTGCGGCGAGAGAATATGCATGAACCCGAGACACACGACGAGTTCCGGGGCGTCTGCAAGGATCAGCCGAGCGAGCTCAGCGTCATATTCCTCGCGTGCAAGCTGGATACCCTCCGGTGTTGCAGGGTGATGCTTCTTGTATTTGACGAGGTTGTGGTAGTGGGTTGGGATGTTCGCCTTGCTTGCGCGCTCGAGGCCGAATGCAGTCTTGCGGTTGGAGATAACTCGGATGATTGTTGCGTTAAGCTGGCCTGCGGCCACTTTATCGATCACAGCTTGAAGGTTTGAGCCATTGCCGGATATAAGGACTGTAACACGAATAGGAGAGGTCATGATGTGTGTATGTGGAAGGGTTGAAGGTAGCTTTGGTGGGATGTATGGAGGGGCTTTTCGTGGCTCAATGATGTTGCGGACTTGGATTTGACGTGCAGATTGCCAACCAATTGGATTTTGTGCTGGATAGTGAAACTGCAAATGCTACCCCGAAGTTTATAGAACGAATGGAAAGAAACAAAATCGCTGGCGCAACGCAATGGAGTTGGGCAGGGCCGGCTCCGGGGGGATTTTTCGGATTACCTAAGGAAACCGCGGGGCAGCCCCGGCTTCGGGGAACTGTCCAGGTGGATGAGACACATATACGGGGAAGATCAACAGATGTTGAAATCATGAGGAATTCAATGCTTGTCGCACGGCTTATGGTGTGCTTACTTGTATTTTGATACTTGAAACATCGTAGGAATATGGGCGTTGGGCAGCGAAAGTCTACGATACCAGTCCGAAAAGCGAAGACCAGGAATCGATGAACAGATAGTATAAGTATCAAGGCTTAAAAGTTCGAAGTATCTTCCAGGGACGAAAGTTCTTGATTCTAAGCTCAAGAGCATACATCCAATGACCCGAACATGATAAAAGCACTGAAAGTCCATGCACAGAAATGAAATGCAAAGGGGATATCCATGGGGGAAAACAAGTTCGTTAAAAGTTCTAAGCACACGCTTCATGCTAAAGCTGGAAAGAGAGAAGAGTGAAAAGTCCAAGTTGAGAGTATCTCACATGGTAGACAAGGCCCTGCTTGCTAGGTAGGAGGTGAAGAGGATCAGACGGCTGTGCTATCTGGGGCAGGAGGAGAAGCAGGATTGGGTGCCGGGGTTTCGTTGGAGCCATTGCTGGACGTTTCGTTTACGCCTTGACCTCGGCAGAGAGGACAAGAGTTTCGTCCGGTGGTTAACCACTAAAACACGCAATTAGCAATTGAACTGATGACAATGAGATGTTTGGGGGAAGGGACAAACCTGGTCTATGCACTCCTTATGGAAGACGTGCTTGCATTTACTGAGCTCCCGAACTTCCTCGGCTACCTCATAATCACTCAAGCAGATGAGGCAGCGCTCCCCATCCTGAATTTGAATGGCGCCAGCGCCTTCCACAGCTTCTGCAACCAGTGAGCCGGCATACTCAACCAGACGAAACACTCCGCCAGCGGAATTAACATCAGTCTGCGAGGCGACGGGAGGTTTGGCTGGGCCTAACAGTGATGAAAGAAGGATCATATCCTCGTAGGTCGGGTTCTATTTGAGAAGTGTTAGCCACTAGGTCCCTCGAATTGGTCATTGGGGGATAGTTACATCGGTGAAAAGGCTTGGTGTCGTCAAAGCCGGATGATTTTCAGACAGATTGGTTCCGACCACATAAATCAACCAACTGCGGCCTCCGGTAGGTGGAGGTTGGTCAGGTTCCACCATGCCATTGCGTCGAACAGCACCGGAGCCAAGTGCACGGTGACGAGCATACTCAGAATCACTTCGGCGTCGCTGACGGGCAGTGTTGAATACCAGAGGCTCTTCCGCAGGTTCCGACGTAGGTTGCATTGTCCGATCTTCATGCAGATAGGGTAGAACTTCTGGAGCAATTGCTGAAGCAGAGGATGGCCGACGGTTTGGGGTTGAGGTGCCAGAGGACAAAGCAGATACTCCCTGCTCAGCTGGGGTCGATGGCGGTGGATGAGGTCCTGGAGGGCTTTCGGAGAAACCAGAGGGATTGTAGGAAGGGAAGGCAGCACGGGGTCCGGTATCAGACATTCTTCGGGAAGTATTGGGGACAGGTGGGCGTGAGAATTCGGAGCCTACAATTGGCTGTCGAGGAATGGGCAATCTGGACCGCTCATCCCCCCGTTGAGTAGGTTCATTGGCACCATCTTGAGGCCTGGGGATAGGGTTTGCCGGTAGAAATGGGAGGCCAAGCAGGGCATCTAGGCCGGGGCCGGGACTTGTAGACGGTGGCTGTTCACTATTGCCTCCATTCCCTGAAGGAACCGATCGGACCCCAACGACAACCAGTGTTACTGTTCGTCCTTCGCCTTCTGCAGGCTCATCAATCTCCATTCCATCGGTCTGAGTCCCGCGGTCGCCAACCCCACTCACAGTGTGCCCTGTGGCACCAGGGCCCGCAGGTGTTTCTGAATTTGCAAATCGAAACACGCGTAAGAAGTTGACAGGATGCGAAGGGGCTTCGTTTGGGATCGTGCTTGGTCCCTCTCCTGTGGCAGTTGGTGGGGCCTGAGTAGAGGTCGCATGTTGCAAACTCTGGATGAAATTTTCTAGAGTGCCATCTATACCATCGTTGCCCAATGCCTGGATATTGGGCAATGCTGGACCGGTAGTCCCAGATAGCTGGGCTGCAATCGCAGCCGCAGCCAGTTGCAGAACCCTCGCAAGAGGGGTTTGCTCCTCTCGGCGCAAGGCTCTAGATGATCGTGGCCGAAGGATACCGGGAAATCGGCGCATTAGAGTAGGACTCTGAGGGGCAGGAGACGCACCAGTCACTGGCCCTCCAACTTGGATAGCCGGTTCCACCGAATCAAGTTCATGAGGCGGTTCGCCGTAATCCAGACGAGTGTCCATGGCTCTATCATCAAATAATGGATCCGACATTGGATGCTCCGGAGATTCAACAGACCGAAGATCCGAGTGTGACTGACCGAACATGTGAGAGATGGGCGAAGAAATAGAATGGCGCATGCGTTGTAGCCGAACACTGCGACGCCAAGATGCTCTGGTTGGCTCGGGTATTTGAGATGGGGAATCAACATATGTCGAATTCGATGGTGCATCTGGCGCTCCAACAGACTCTGCGCGGGGAGGAAGGAAATATGGCGCGCGAGCAGATCGCCGTCTTGTGATTCCTCTAGAGCCGAGTGAATTGAACGGACTAAAACGACCGGTGGTGTGAGCGGCCTCGGATCGTGGAACGGGTGTAGGAACTATTCCGTATCGATGTGCATGTCCCTCCGCGGGGGTCTCTTCCTGGCTGTTGAGAAGCCCACGGATGACTGAATTGGGAAGTAGCCTGGAGCCCAGCCTTGACATGGTTGATTGCCTTCGTGCTGCCATTCGAGCGAATGCCGCAGTACGATATTCGCGTGGTGGAAGCTCATACTCGGTCCCATTCTCCTCTTCGATACTCCGCATAGGTTGTGAAAATCCACCGGAGAATCGTGTGGGCTGCTGCCATGATTCCGATGGCTCGCTTGGCCGTTCAGGTGACATGTCTTCACTACCCCTATCATGTGTGCTCATGTCTGTCCCTGGCGCAAACCCGCCCTCTCCGTTGTTTTCAGCCATCTGTCGGTGGTTCATGTCTTCATTCCTGGTATTAGAGCCACGTTGTGTCGAGAAGCGTGCAAAATACGTCGAAAAGCCAGTGTTAGATGAGTTTCGTTGTGTAGAGGAGAACTGTCCCATAGTAAAAGACTTGCGGCAGTTGGAGGTGATACAGGAGATATCAACGACCGTTCATCGCCATGTGAGGATCATAAGGCTAACAGTGGCGACCGTGTAGATATCGTGGGAAGTATCTGATGGTGATGATATCGCGTCGAAACTATTTGTGTGATATATGAAACAGGAGTTGACTTCCTGCTGGAGCCGGCAAGGTCGAGGTGGCCGTTGGATATCGGGGGGTCTCAGCCGGTATGTGTCGGACCGTTGGAACAAAGGAGGAGATGGACAGGGAGTTGGCGATTATCGGGTTGTTTGCGACAGGTACAAAACGCGTAAGGCAATTTTACTGTCCAATACGAATGGCAGCGGCCAATAGTCTCAAACTGCCTGACGAGTCCAGACACAGCCCACACTCCGAGTGGTATAACCGCCGAGCCTGGAATCCCGGGGAGCTATGGTGACCTCGCTTGAGAGAGGACAACCGGCGACCGGCAAATGCAAAGCGAGGACTGGAAGACGCTGAAAGGAAATAAGAGGCGGGACAGAGGAAAAAGAAAAGGAGGAGTAGAAGAGTAACGTCAAGGCAAGCAATTGATAGACGATAAGTGATGATGTTTGCCTGCTTTGTTTCGCCTGAGGTGCCTGAGGCACTATTTCTTCATTCCGTCATCTTCCACCACCGGGCCGTCCAGTGTTCCGTCTGACAAATGCGCAACCACCAATCGGGGTAATCGCAGCCTAGACCCTGATACAGGCTCTGCTACATATATTTCCCTATTTGGGGGCGTATGGAAGACGCCCCTCTCTGAGCATATGGCGTCTGTGCCGTCATCTTCGGTTTTTTCGCTACCACTACCGCCATGGCTCCAACCGCCTGGCACCCGCATATCTCAATATGACCGTCGGAAACGCAAGAAGGGTGCTGGTTGGAGTGAGGATGATATGGATGGCGAAGAAACAACAGATATCGGCTCAGCTACGGAATCTGAGCCTGTTGGAGCTTCCTTGATATTGACGCCAAATGAATCCCACCAGTACAGGATTGCTGGGTTTCCCTTCAATCAAGAGTTGCCAAAAGGCCATTTTCCTCATGGACCAGATAAAGAAGGGAAACTCAAAGGGGAAAGTGCCTCAAACCACCTTAAAGCACTGGCAGCATTATCCACTCCAGTATATCCTCCTCAGTCAGCCCAGCAAAACAATATTCGCTTCCAACATTTGGGTGTATTGACAGCAATTCTGCATCGATGTATGCTTCAAGGTGACTATGTTCGAGCTGGAAGAGCGTGGGGCCTGATCTTGCGCGAAGAATATAGAGGATTTCAAATGGATGTTCGCAACGAAACAAGGTGGGGCATTGGTGCTGAAATCTTGTTACGACGAGACCAACAGGAATCATCAGCCAGTTTGGGTTCTAGCAAGGCGCCAAATGCGAGGGAAAGCACATTTTTGACTTTTACCGCCAAGGGCTTTGCGCAAGCTAAAGAGTATTACGAACGACTCATTCTCAATCATCCGTTCACAAAAACTTCACCACAATCCATTTCCTCTCTACATTTCTACCCTGCCATGTTTGGGCTCTGGGTGTATATTACCCAGGAACAAAGCAAGATGGACAGGAAAAATGTTGTTCTTCACCAGGGAGAAGAAGGAGAAGAGGATTCTGATAGATTTTCAGAAGATGAAGATTCGGAATCTGGATTTGGCCACCGTCGGAAGTCACAAACCAAGACAGATACCGCCATAACAGCAATCAGAGCACGGGAGTTGGACGAGGCACAGCAGATTGCTGGGCGTATGGATCAGCTTTTAGGCTCTCCTCCATACTCTGACTCGCCTGAACTGCTGGAGCTGAGAGGAATGATCTCTTTGTGGATCGGTGATTTGTTAATCTCTGCACTATCATTACCCATGGACTTCGAAGCAGATAATGACCACGACCGCATGCTCATGGATGAAGCCCCCGGTCTCTTGAAGCGAGGCGTGAGCACAGGATTGCAAATGAGAAGAAGGCAGCTGAAGTCAAGAGGTCGATCGAGCTCTTCGAGAAGGCCAAGAAGCGAGGCCGAAGCGTCGCATATAATCTGGAGAACCTTCACATCGATGATGACACATTTGATTAAGAAAACCTCGAATATTATTCGTTGTAAAAATTTCCATGTACTCTATTACTCAATATACCCCCAAAAGATCGTGCATTCATAAGATTTTGCGCAGTAGGGAAATGTACTTACTACTACTAAGTTGATTGTATACCCGTGGAGCTTATGTAGGTAGATAATCAAGCATCCTTTGATTCTGATGTTCGAGGGCTTGCAGATGCAGTCATGGGGTTGAGTAGGAGAAAATAAACAATCGCTTGAGTTCTATCACTAGAAAAATTCCATCTTCTGGTGGTCTCAACTGCCATGGCATGACAGCTGAATGTTTCCAATGGAATGGTCAACACGTGACGACGCGTGATATCGCGTTTGCCCGAGAATCTTAGAAGTTGCTGATCCCCGTTCACTTTTCAACGTTCAGAAAAGGACACTATTCGTTAGCTCTCCTCGATAGTTGCCTTTGAAACTATCATGGGGGTTGGCGATTATGTCCACGCCAAAGAAGGTGGGCAAGCTCGTGGAGCGCCCGATAAGGCTGCTCAGTCTCGCCAGCAACGTGCAGAACAGGCCAGAGTTGAGGTACCAGTCACACAGCTAGTCGACCCAGGCCCCCCATTTTCCAATGGTAGAAATGGCTCGCTAGAACTCCATGGCACATCTCAAGCTCCAAATCAGCCCCGCACTCTTTCTGCACAAGGATTGCAACGGGATAGGGATGTCTTTGACACTGATGTGGAGGCAATTGATGATTCAACCGTGGCGGGAAATAGTGTTTACGGATATGATGACAATAAATCTCAGGCAGCGTCAAGTACCAATGCTGCTTACACCACCAGCCTTGACCCGCAGCCGATGTACCAGCCACGGCCTGCGCGGCACGCTTACGGGTCGAATTGGTACGAAGGCCTAGGCGACCAAGCCATGAAAAAGGCCGGTTTCGATTCGGATGATTTTGATGACTTTGGAAGCCGAATTACTTCGTCTCTCGGTGGAGATGGGGGGGATGGTGAAAAGGCCGACGAAGCAGGCGATTGGCAAATGTCGCACAAACCGCGCATGAGCGAAGAGCCGTTGAGCAAGCGACTAGAGAACTTCTGGTCGGCTAGCAGAAAAAGAACATCTTCCCGTCAGCCTGCTACTAAGGACTCTGACCCCGAGCGCCAGCCCCAGGCTCAACCTAAGTCTAAGCCGCGGAAATTGGGTCAAATGCTTCCCCCCACGGGCCCTAGGAAAATAGTTCTCCCTCATGGCACATCGGCCACTCCTAGGTCACGTTTTAGTCCACCAAAGCCTTCACTTCTCGAGCAACTTGACCAACAACTTGATTCATCGCCTACTCGCCATCACTCGCAGCCCCCACCAGATGCAGGTCAAACAATCAGCATTGCAGCATTCCAGGAACAAGACCATAGCGACGACGGAAGCGATGATGGTATGGATCATACCATCCGCGCTGATAGCAGACGGGAAAGCGGCGGGCATTCCATCAATGCCTTCGATATGACTAGTCTGACCGACCTAGACGTCGACGAAACTATGCATGATCCGTTCTTTGCTCGCGAGTCGCACGACTCGCATGTGTCGCATGTGTCGCATGTGTCGCATGTGTCGAACGAGCCTACCAGCCGTGTTCGTCGCAACACTGTTATTCATTCCAGAAAGCGATCACTAGAAGCAGACTACCCCCGGAACTACTTTACCAGAAATCCTTCTCCGAGCTGCAAGCTGAGCCTTTTGACAAGTCCCCCACTCCTCCTCCACCCATCAAATCACCTTCCTTACCTCCAAACCCACCTTTTGTCCCGGACACCCATGAGCCTAAGAATGCCGTCTCTCACCTGCTGTCCTTGACAGGGGAAGAACGCCAAACCTACTTGTCGCACATGACCATGGATGAATGGGAGGATTGCGGAGACCAAATGATCGACCGATTTTCCGATCTGCTATCAGAAATGAAGAATCTCCGGCGTGCCCGTCGTCGCACAGCCGCGGTGTTTGAAGGGGAAGTCAAGCGCCGCCATGATGAAGTTGAAACACAGAACTCGGATCTAACGAACAAATTGACCCAGATGAGAACCGGGGGCGCAGAGGTTTTGCGCGGACGCCATCAATGAGTGACGATTACCTTTCTTGTTCGGTATAGCTTTTCATTGACCTTGATGTTATTTGAGATGATTGTGTTCTACCACACCCTACCCTTTGCGGGACTTATTTTTCTATCCATGCTCAATACCCCTGTCACGATTTCGAGTACCTTTTAGATTTTAGTTATTTATTGAATGCTATGTCGGGGCTTATTAAAATCGCTTTCATCTGCTGTTCTGAAACATTGATTTTGCTAATATAATGTATGATATGGACAACGCATAGTTCACTCGCCAAAGCTATGCTATCTAACCCTTGTTCACCCAAATGAAATGGAATATCAGATATCATGATAACGCCTTCAACCTATAATGCAAGAATACTCCGAACCCTCGTTCCACGTCTTTCTCTCAATGCAACCAATTAGAACGAGGGAAGATGGGGAAAGTGTCGTAATACCAATAATTCAAACACAGAGACTTATCTAGACTCAGCGGTGGATTTGTGAATCGCAGCAGCAAGCCTCTTATAGTCCTCCAACAGAACAGCTATATCTCCAATCCTGAGATCGCGTGCATCCTGTATCTCGAGGAACCGCTGGATCGGAGGATCAATCTTCAATGAAGAGTTGGGAACTGGGCTGGCGGCACCACTGTTGCCGTCTGCCGAGGCGGCTGATGGCTTGAATTTGTCCGGCCCAGATGGAGATACGGACCGGCCACTAGGAGTCTCTGGAGCATTGCGACCAAAGTTCTTCATCATACCTGGAATGTGGTTCAGCGGGTTCAACGTATTGCCGAAATTGCGCATTGATTCCAACGGAGTGGGACTGATGGCTGGATTGGATGCAACGTCCTCCCGGAGCGATGTCGTGATGGTCTTTTTGCCGCTCTCTTGGGTTCTGGTGCTGTCAACACTCCGGTCCCGAGGAGTAATACCGCCATTAGAGAGATCTGCAAGCCTTGAACTAGTACGTGGAGGTAGGCTTTCGTTCACGGAAACAGAATTGATCGCTGCGATCTCCTCTTGGGTCAGGGTCTGGTCAGTGGCCGAGGCAGGGGGCAATGTCACTAGACGGCGAGCCTCGGCCAATGTCTTTGGCAATACTGGTCCGCTTGCCTCCGAACCGGGTCCTTGGATGTTTTGCATTTCCTTCAGACGACCAAACAGAAAATTGAAACTACTATCCAAAGTAGCGCCGATGTTTTTCAGACTTTGGTCAGCAGTGGTGCGCACAGCATCATTTGCTGCCCCAAGGACTTTAGAGGAGGGTTGGAAAAGGTTGCTTAAGCGACGTTGTTGCGGTGTGACAGAAGATTGAGGCCTGGGTAATGTGGAGGCAGGCTCCTTTCTTTCTGGTAATGATAATTCCGGCAACGCAGCTACAGTCGTCACAGACGAGGTTGTAGTCTTCTCCTTAGTCGGCCGGAAAGGATCGATATGTTCTGAAGATGGTGTTGTCTCACTGGGGGCTTTGACGGGGCCATCCTGCAGCTCATCCGCACGCAGTGTAGAAAGATCGACGTTTTCCAAAAAGCTTATTGCGGCCTCAAGGTTGGTCAAACAGTAAGCTGTCTCTCCATCAATTCTACTTGAAGATCTGAAACGCTGGATAAAGACCAAATTGCTGATAATGTTGATTCCTTCAGGGGGGCATGTCACAAGTGAATAGATTAATGCGGGTAGTATCTCATCCGCAGAAGATGAAGATGGGAGAAGTTTCGTCAAGGCGTCGACGATCGCCTTGTGCGCTGCTGCGAGCTGTTGGAGCTTTCCAAGGGGGTATTTGTAATCGTTCATCTTCGCAAGATACTCTCGGGCCTGGGCGAGGAATTCGTTTGCCTCGTCTTGCTTTTGCTGGTCGATCGCTTCCAGATCTATGTCGATCCCAAGGTCCTTCAGATTAATGCCGACTAGTAGCAAAGCCGCGGTCTTGGAACGCAACTTCTCATCCCGCACATCATCCAATGTACTCTTGTGCCGCCATAATTTATCATAAACCAGCTCGCAGACCCTTCGTTCAGCAGCTTCTTCCAATGCACTCCGTTTGTTTTCAAGAGCCTTACGAGCCTTTCGCTTCTCTGCTACCTCGGAAGCGGTCAACATTTGGCGACCTGGAGCTCCCGATCTGACATCATCCTGGGACCGTTTACTGCTCAATTTTGACAGCGCACTTCCCCGCGGAGCTTTTGCAGGGGTCTGAGGCGAAAGATCCCGATTGATACGAGTTATAAGTGCAGAGATATGCGTGGCTATGTGGGACTCGGCGCGGCTGTAAAAAACTTGGAAAAGCTCGGAGATCTTCTCAATCGTGGGAGGCGAATTGTGCACTTTGGCGCTCAAGGAATTGACGAAGCTGGATAGCAAATTTTGTCAGAGTGAGTTATGCAGGAATGGAGAGCAGTATGACCAGACTTACCGATCTGCCAGGCTGATTAATTCAATCGGCAGTTCCTCGGACGGATCTTGTACGCTTCGTGAAAGCACGAAACCTTCATCTGGCTGGGTATCACCTGCAGTACCAGAGTCTTCAGAGCCACGTCGTTCAAACACATCAGGACCCTTTCCATGGGCCCCACTGATAGGTGACAAAGATGTTGTCTTGGAATCCTCCTCGACCGGGGGAGATCTCACGTCCGAGTCCTCCATTCTAGTGAATGACCGTGCTGAATGCAAATGAGGCTGCAGGCCATTTTCAGAGGGGCCAGACATTTTAGGCCCAGGGGCGATGGGGTTCTATAAGGCACTAACGATGCGTCTCCGCTCTCAGGTGCAGCTGATAGGTCTGTGCCGATCTGCGTCCGAGCTCCCCAGTTCTGTGGCCTGTCCACCTGAGTAGGAGTAAAGTAATAAAATACCAATACGGAGTACTCCGTACAATGCAACTGATCAGGGTCAACCCATGATCCCCCTGAGCATTTCAGGAGAGAATCGACTTGACGAGGAATTACTTCGAGGATTCACGCGTTATCGCATCACGTCACGGGGTCTCATCACGTGTCAATCGGTCTCCGCACTGCGTCACTTGATAAGTCACTCGCCGATAACCGCGATAGACTCCGAGCACCCTGAGTCTGTTTGGTCTTGAATCCTCCTCATCATCCTCCATCATGTCTCGAAAACGCTCATGGCTCGGACTCAGCGTCCACAACTTATTGTTATCATCTACACTATTATTCAGTCCTGCGTCCGCCTTAGACTATCACCCACCCTCCCAACAAGTTCCCATCATCCCGCCGCTAGTACCTTTGGATGGCGCCGAAGCTACACCAGACACACATGAATTTGTAAGATGATCTGAGAAATCGTACCACCCTTAGCTGGCCTGTAATAACCGGTACTAGTCTTTACGCCACATCTTCCACCGAGGTACTTACGAACAACCTGATCTTCATGCGAGACTCGACATCAAGCCAGACACCCGCCTTCGAACGGTGTCCGAAGATGGGTATGAAGAGGAATATGTTCCATCAGAGTCATCCCTGCTTGCTTCATCCAACCCTCTCACAATCCAACGGTTGGCCGATCGACGACTCTCAGTGATCCAAGGTCACTTGGCAACTGCGCGGTCTGAGGGCTTTGCGGCCTCATCCCCGCTAGAATGGGTGATGGATACCTTGCAGGGACCCAATATCACAGATAAGCAAACCGTCTTGACATTTGCCCAAATGACTGCAAATGATTACATCCAGGAACCCGGAACAGGAGAGTGGCACACCATTCATGGTCAATTCAACTATTCAGGGAGCTTTGGTTGGCAAAAGGACGGACTTAGAGGGCACATCTACTCGGATAAGGCAAATAGCACTGTTGTTATATCCCTGAAGGGCACTTCGCCTGCTCTATTCGATGGCGCCGGTACCACGACCAACGATAAGATCAACGACAATTTGTTCTTCAGCTGTTGCTGTGGACAGGGAGGCTCCTACCTATGGAGACAATCCTGCGACTGTCAGACTGCCACATACACAGCAAACTTGACTTGTATCGTCGAATCTATGACCGATGAAAACCGATATTACCAAGCAGCGATTGACCTTTACTCTAACGTCACTGACATCTACCCAGCGGCGAATGTTTGGATGACCGGGCATTCGTTAGGTGGTGCAATGACCAGCTTGGTTGGATTGACGTTTGGATTACCCGTGGTCACTTTCGAAGCTGTCCCAGAAGCATTACCTGCAGCTCGACTTGGCCTCCCAAGTCCACCAGGCTATGATCCACGACTTCCACAGTCCCGACAGTTCACTGGAGCTTATCACTTTGGACATACGGCGGATCCGATCTACATGGGAACATGCAACGGGATCAACTCTATATGTACATGGGGCGGGTATGCAATGGAGTCAGCATGTCACACCGGCCAAGTGTGTGCGTACGATACCGTGGCGGACAAGGGTTGGCGTGTCGGTCTTGGTACACATAAGATCCAAAACGTGATCTCTGATGTGATCTTGAAATACGATGATGTCCCCTCTTGTGTTGCAGAAGAGGAATGCTTCGACTGTGAACTCTGGAAGTTCTTCCGAAGCAACGGCTCTGAGATAACAACCACCACTACCACAAGCACTACTACGTCTTTCACTAGAACTTCTACATGCAAGACTCCCGGATGGTGGGGCTGTTTGGATGAAAGCACAACCGCTACCACCACTACCACCGCCTCACCTACAAGTACTGCTACCACCACGACATGCAAAACGCCTGGTTGGTTTGGATGTAATGATCCTACCACTACAACAGCCACTCCAGCTCCCACTGTAACGACCACTTTACCCACCGTGACTCCGACTACCAGCTGTCACGACCCAGGTTGGTTTGGCTGTCGCGATGAACCGAGTATAACGGGTCCAGCTACTAGACCTAACCCTGCACCTACTTCTGCGAGCTGCCACAGCCCGGGAAAACTCTGGGGATGCTGGGATGGATCAACTACTACGCCTGCAATTACATCGGCGCCCACTCCTACTGCCTAATCCCCCAAAACTCATGTTTACCATGTATGCAGCTGTAGCATACTCTTGGTGTCCATTTGCTCCAATTGATCTGTTGGCTCTTGAGAAGCCGCAGGTGCTAGATATACCCACTCAACTTTCACGATTTGTCAGACATTGATCTGCTTTGAGTTTTCCCTTCCTTCACAATACACAAGATATATGATTGGCGCATGTGAGCGAGCATTTGTTTGTTTCCTTTGTTTTATCTTCGCAGTCCCCATATCAACACGGCTGGACTGGCGTTCCTCGTGGCCAGAGCCTTTTGGTTACTTCTTGCACTGACTTCGAGGAAGGCACTATCAAGGTTGTTTGTCGACGTAAAGGTAAAGCCAGCTAACTGATACCTCGAGCAACACCTTGGTAGAACTGAAATTTGAAGATTTTTCGTTGCTATTCTATCATCGCATTTAGAGCTTTCAATACATTCATTGGATATCAAAATTTATTGGATTCACTCCATAGGTCGTGACGCCGCTGACTGGTAGAATCTTGACTCTAGACTCCCCCCATTAGAGAGAGACTCTTGCTCCCTTCCGTTACACGTGGCCTATCTGTATCATAGGCGTCTGACAATAAACATGTTTTAGTCTAGCGAGGTACATCTAGGCAAAGATATCGTGGTAGTGCTATGACATTAGTCGTCTGCAAGACGCTTCATTTGAGGCCATAGTGATTGAAAGTATATATAAAAATGGTCGGTATTTACACCATCGCTTGGACATGTACGCTGCCGAAAGGGAAAAAAAAGGCTTTCGATAGCTTTGGATATGTTTCCATATGGTACGTCAACGATATCCCTCTTGGTCAATCCCTCAAGGGAAGTTTGCACCACTAACATCTTGAAAAGGAAAAAGCTCTTAATTGACTTGAAAGACCATCCATCAAATGTTTAGACCCCGATCTTGAACGTGACAAGGACACCCTTGTGATCGGTGGGCCATTCATTTCCAGAATGGTCCGGCTGGGCCTTCGGCTCACCAATCATGTAAGTCTCGGACTTCTCGGGAGACAGGCTTCCTTTATAGTAGACAAAATCAATTCGGTCCATGGGCTCATCACGGCCATCGTAATCATCATTGACAAGATAGATAGGGGACCAAGTGTTGGCAGGGTCGGCGGCAGGGTCTGGGTGAACCTCGCGGTAGGCATCGGTCAAGCCAGCATCGATAGGCACCTTAGAGGTAGGCCAGTCGAACTGCCCAATACCGCAGTGAGACTGCTTCGTCTCTTCAGTCCAGTCGAGGTGAGAGGGGGCGTTGAAGTCGCCGGTGAGAAGCACGGGGATTTGGTCAGCATTGTCGATGTCATCCTTCATAGCATTGATAATGTTTTGAATTTGGTCCGCTCGGCCGGACTTCTTCTCGGTGGCCAGTATCGCATCGGCATCCTTGCCGTCGAAGCAAGGGTCATAAGGTCCGTATGGATAAGCGATAGGGTGGCAGTTGTGGATGACAACCTGGCTATCGTCACCGTCAAGAGCAACGCGGACAGCACCGCTGGTGTCAGTGAGTGCGCCGTACTTGTGAGAAATAGGATAACGGCTGATAATGCTGACATCCTGGCCCTGCCACGACTGCCAACCGAGAGCATCTGCAATCTGAGTTGCATGGCCGTAGGTGGTTTCCTGGAGACCGACAATATCGGCACCAGAGTTGGCAATGGCTGCGATCTGCTTACGGTTGTAGTCGTCGACCTGAGTGCCTCCGTGCCAAAGATTCATGGACAGGACCTTGAGCTCAGTGACGAGGGGCTTGCTAGACGCAACTACTGGAACAATAATGTCGATGGTGGCAGTAGATTTGTCAGAAGCAGTAGCCCTTACAGTGAGATGAGAACTGCCAATCCCGCTGGGGATTCCAGAGATGATACCATCCTCGGATACACGGACCCAGTCGACATCAGAGCTGTCCTTGCTGTACTTGGTATTGGGGTCCGGGGCGTGGTGTAAAAGGCCGTTCACGCGGGCTTCGAACTTCTTGCCCTCACGAGCATTCTTTGTGGTGAATTTTTTAAGATTGAAGGAAATGGGCCCATCTCCGGAGAGGAAGATGTCAATAGGATCGGCAAGCAGCTCATAGCCATTGTTGGCGAGAAAGTAGGCTTTATAGGCGCCCCAGTTGAGGTGGGCATCGTCGACACGTTTAGTCCCTTCTGACTCACTCGTCCAGTCCCAATATAGTGAGTCCTCTTTGCCAGGGCCCTCACCATAGATGCTATAAATGCCGATCCAGTTTTTCTCCGATGGCTGATCAGTTTTATAGTGGAAAGTGAAGAAAGGGCCATCGACAAGCTCGAACGAACTGTCACGCTTTGAGAGAGCCTGGGCAACGAGTGGGATCCCGGACAGAGCCACGGAGACAAAAGATTGAAACCGCATGGTTTGCTTGTTTATATTCTATAGGCAAGTTCAGGGCAAAGATGACCAGATAACCTGCCTAGGAACGCGGGATATTAGCAAGATGCCGAGGAATCAACGTTGTTCTGGGAGAGTGATATACAGAATCAAGCGATAAATCCTTGAAGATGGCTGATTCATTATGGAAATCAATTGCACTTGGGCTGAGCTAGATCGTTGTTTTGTTGTTAGGGCATCCAGATGCGACCAATCGGGGGGTTGGAGTATCAAAATAGAAAAGCGGGGGACGAGGGGAGCAACGCCCATGTGGGTTTTCCACGCTCTAGGAGCCCGAGGCCCTTGTTTCTACCCATGATATCTTGGCCTTTCACCTTCAGGTTCTGTTCCTATGGAGACTCTCTGACAGGGAATCCACACTGTCCCTGTATCCCAATCAGTTGTTCTGTGAAGGGTATAGGTACCTGGATCGGATGCACCTCATCGTTTCAGGGGTTTTTCCCACCTCAACATTCAACGCACTTATTTTTGACCATATCAACGGCTCTCTGCATATGTTTATATTCCTGCTCAGCCTAATAGAGGGCCATGACAGCTGGTTGATGCACCGCCTGTGTGGGCAAGATGAGTGGGGGCAAGATCAGCGCTGACTGTGGGACTCCCGACCAAAACGATATACAGGAATGATAGGCACGCCGGTCCGAAGGGGCTTCCTTAGCGCACATTGCTCTCCACTGATGCTGAGATTATACTCCACAACCTTACTCTTGAACGAAATTCATCAAACACCAACTTTTGAGCTATTGGCGCCTATCTAGCACTTGCTATTTATTGGGGGCCATACCTGCCAGAGGGCCGAACCGCCGTTTTTCGAGCTGTGAATCTCCGAAGGGATACGAGGTCCAAGGCTACATCATTATTTCGACGCGATAATGAACCAAAATGACAAGTAAGCGTCGAAAAACGTCATTGCTGAAACTTCTACGAGGCTGACCAGCTCTCTAGCCTCGATAAAAACGAAAGACTTCCGCTCCTAATTACATGTTACAATGCTGCAGCATTATTGAGCGCTACACTCATCACGGCATTGATCCAGCTACTCATTAGTCAACTCTATGGACTCTGTCTCTGTCTCTCCATACCGCTTCCTCTTCGTCGGGTGTACAATGTCATGGTATGCACCGCTATGAAGCACCCAATAATTTACGACATAGCCTTCTTTTGTTGTTGTGCTGCTCCGAATGTCCTAGTCACGTACTATCTCGGTCGAAAAGATCCATGTGTCGATCCAACAATCAAAGTTCTGGGCGTTGCAATGACGGACTTCGATGGATCGAAGACAACACGCATGATTACTGGTGATGTTGATGCGCTTGCTTCAACCTTGTCATCCATCTTTGAGGAGATAATACCTGCGACTTCTGATGCTGTTTTCATGACCTATTGGAGTAATAGTGCGTCTCCCACGCCAAGTTCGTGAACTATGCGGGAAAGGGTCTATGTACCTGAAGGGATAATGGTGTGAAGTTATGACCACGGCAGTATGGAGTACTTCATTTATAATATCTCAAGTCTAATCATGTGCTGTTCGAATATACAGAATGTCTAATATCTAAGTAACCACAGGACCATTGCAGAGGCCTCTTCTATATGAGAGGGCATGTCATTGATCGCCAATCTGATCAGATTCGTGCAGGGTGAGAAGCATAAGAACGTTTGGTCGGTCTGATATTGCTTTTCTTATTGAAAGATACTCATAAAGGGGGGCACTAGCTCGACGTAATTAGATATCATTCTAGCCATGCTACTCTGTACACTAGCTATTCTTACCTTCGGTTCATTTAGAGTCGTCTAAAATGAAAGTCCGGGCAGTGCCAAACATGTACCTGGCATGACATCGGGGACGACATGCCATAATCGGCAAGGTGTGTCAAGTTTGGATCACAATCCTTTGATAAAGTGTCACGGATAGGACCGGTATTGGCCAAACGGAGTATCTCTCTTCCTAGAACATACGCCGTTGCGGACCATCTTCGTATGGAGTACTCCGTACGCCGTAGGATTAGATGGAATCTATATGTTGTAGAGTACTCGTAAAGCCTTGCCTCACGAGCCTCGCAAGGGTGGGGCTGAGGGTCTCTTAGCCTCGATGTTGGCCCCTTTTTTCCACCTGAGGGATTGACAAGGCTGCCCTAGTTGCCTTATTGGAGAATCAAATTATGGATGCTATATGGTACTTCGTAGGGTTGCCCGAGAAGAATGACGATTTCCTTGATTTTACCCCCGCTGTCAATGATTTGATCCACTACGGATGCTGGCAGATACTTTGGTCCTTTTCGTCAATCGATATTTCGTCCTTTGCAAGATATTCAAATATTTGGTACGACCTGACAACATCTCGTGCGGTCCGGTCCGTTGCGGGGCTCAACCACCAAAAAGGAGGTTGGTCTTGTGGTTGGCGTTGCGGGTGGCGGTTGCTTGACCGGGAAAGGACAACCTATCTCCTACTGTATAGATCCCTGCGCTAAACAAACACCCATCAGTCCTCAAGCAACCTTGGAAATCAAAGCAATGGATAATGCTGAGACTGGTCGTGAGCCGCTTGTCAGATTTTCCTATCAATAGTTAGTACCGCAATGTACAACTAGTTATCATCATTTCATCCAGTCCACTTGAAAAGCCAAGCCTGCGGCTGAGCCACCGAAAGCCCAGAGCTACGGGCGACCATTGGATACTGCCTGACCGCATTTACCACCGTCCCCTCGAACCCTGTATGCTAATTTCAAAATTGTAAGAGATTACTAGTTGGCAGGCTAGAACCTGTTGGTCAAGCAGGTAAAACTGGTACTCCTTGTGCAGAGACTAATTCTTGCTAAGAATAAGATCTAAAGGGAGGCACTCCTGTACCTCTTCGTCCCTAGCCCGCTCGGCGCTCGCGTCACAATAATGCGTCCATTTAGCTTCCGAGTCCTATGTTAAAACTGGATATATATATTCAAAGGCACGTTTTTTATTTAAATTAAATGCGACTGGTAGAAGGTAAGATACAGTAATTACAGCATTGAGCACTTAGCGTTTTTATGAATCCTAAGCCTTGGTTTTTGTGTAATCGTGGGCTTTCGTGAGGGCCTACTGGGGGCCCACGATGGGCCGGGGGTTGGGCTTTCCGGAACATAGAGGTACATAGTCAGTAGCTCTATTCCGTACAGCTTTATTCTTTTGAACTTTAGGTAAGATACTTTGCTTATTAAGTCCTCTATCATAGCAGTTTAGGTATTTTAATCCATGCCAGTCGGAAATATGGCAGAAAACTCAGGTATCATCAGGCATACGGAGTAAGTCCTATGCCAGATCTCTCCCTCTTTCCATGGCTCAGCTAGTCTTCTACCTCAATCAACCATCTTCATGATGCATCTCGACGTCTCTCTCAGTAGACTCTGACACCCTACAAAATGAGGCATTCCAATGGACGGATGGATTGACCTTTAGATGACTAAAATACTGCCTGGGGGCAATATTTATGTATCCAATGAGAGAGTTATGCCCCGGGCCCCGGGTGACATACTTGGTCGCCCGTACAGAGCCTTGTATCCCCCTTTTGTCTTTCTTAACCCCAGGGCTTTGAATCAATTGGAAGTAGGACACGCTCTTACTCAAAACTTTGTCCCCTGATTGACTGGATCAGACGCAATTTCGACATAAACATGATGTCCACAATCCAAGCAGGGTACCCAATCCGCCGACAAGGCAATTGTGGTCAATACACAGGCTCGGAAACATGGGATGACTTCTGGAATTGCTGCCCAAGAGGAACATCCGGACCTGCGGATTATGGAGACAATACACAATGCCCCGACAGCGATACAGGTGCAGTTCCGGCGCAATGCGCCAATTCAACCTGGACTCTGTGGTGGAATAAGGGTTACTTTTGCTGTGAGCCTGCGCTGATGGGCTTTACAAATGGATTTGGCTGGTATGGCTGTGGGACAAAGACGCTCATACAAAGCAACGATACCTGGGTACAGGCGACCCCGACGGGTACATGTTTAAGTATGTTATAGTCCTTTGTCTCTGTCCTTCTATGCCTATCTCTGTGCTTGCATAATAAGAATTAGGGCTGATATTTTGCCAGGCTCCCCGACGTCAACAGCATCGTTCACTGGGTCATCTTCAGATACAGGCGCAATTGTCGGTGCCGCGGTCGGGGGATTTTTGGTGCACTTCTCATCGTGGGAATGATTTGGTTCCTCCAGCGTCTTCGATCAAAGGGATCTGGCAATCCCCAAGAGGTCAACTCGCGCATGAATGCCACATCTTATTCCGCACACGGCTCTGACACAAAACCCACCGGCAAAGTACGAGGCGAATTAGCGGATCATCATGCTATGTGTAATGAGCTCCCGGCTGACATTGGAGTAAGCCAAGAGCTACCTGGCAGCTCGGCTCTAGCTACCAGACGATGATGACGTTCTGATGTTCTTCGTGTATACATCATATCTTGTGATGTATTTCATTGAGCCTTGTTGCCATATTCTAGTCTTTATATGTGTATATATATATTCCAGACTCTTCAGAGTGTGATAATTCTACACAGATGGAACTGGCCCTTCCCTTAACTTCCAAGGTGGCATATAAAATAGCACCTTGAACCATAGAGAGCAGTAGTGCGCATATACTTCTAGGTTACAGGTCAATTATAGTGTCCACATGTTTAAAGAGCAGGTTTATCTTTATTATCACATCTATCCATAAGTTTTACCTCATACTTAGCGAGCACAGTATACATAGACTTCTCTGAGCCCTGTGGGTAGATCAGGTATCTACCATCTCCTGTAGCTGGTGACAGTATTAACAACAGTCCCTTTTCCCACTTTATTTTCTTCTTGGGATTTTGGATTTTATGCTTGGTTCTATATACGCATATACTACTCAAAAGTCTTAGACATATAGTGTCAACTCTCTAGTCAAAAAGCTCGTTTGTTATGATCTTTATTCCTTGCCTGTTCTTAGAGAAGCACCATCTAGTTGGAATCCTTCGCTCAATGGAGAAGAAACACTTCCGACTAAAAGAATTGAAGTTCCATCTCCAATTTATCTAATATGAAATAAGAAGGAAAAGAAGAGGGTGATCGGCGCCTAGCAGTCTTGCGTTTTGATTTACAACTGCACGGATTGAACGCGATCCCTGTCACAACTGGGGAGCAGAATTCTTACTGCAGTTTAATTATAGACTCACTGGTCAGATCTGTAGCAAGAGGGAGACTTGACCTCAAATGTATGAGAAACAGTGAGGACCATATACTTCCTAATCGGGAAACGAGTCATGTGACCTATAGGTCTTCAGACTGTCATGTGATCTAGCTGCATCGGTACTGGATATTCCAGGTCGTGCTCAGTTATACTGGTTGATTCAAAAAGCGGCAGGAGACTAATACTAAAAGGGAAAGAGAAAACGTTCCTGGGTCGAGTGCCAGGCACCTGGGCTAATATCGTTTAGGTTCCATTGCTCTTCTCCAGGATACTTGGATAGAGAGTACATCTCTTGGCCTGGTTTGTTCCTAGCCAAATATTACGTTTTGTTGAGCTCAGATCGAGCTGCTAAATTGGGATCAAAAGTGGGAGAATGACCTGAGCTTCCTGAAATATCAATACAGCGCGCGCCAGTTCTCAGTCTAGCCACAGTCCAGTCACAAAATCAACGTGTTATACATGTATTGACTAACAATCTTATCGCGTTCAAATTGCTCTAGCTAGATCTCGGGGAGTGGATCCGAACGCGAGATGACATCGGCTCGTTAGCGATTGGTATGACTGTTCTCCATCAAGCTGTACATGTCAATGGCCTAGCATATACAGATCTTATATTGAGTTACTGACGCAGATTAGGGATACCTATAAAGGTAGCCCAGGAGACACTGTGGACTCAAACAGACCTCCAAAACCAAAAACGGCCAATGGACAATGGATGATTCCATATCAACACTGCCAGTGGGTCCATGGGCCTCATCGGGTTTTTCCATGGCTCTCCACATAGCTTTTTTCGTCGCATGGCCATACATAAGCTAGCTCTCGGGGACTTCTTCCTTCTCCTCTTCAAAGTCGACTGTCGCACAATTTGCCATCATGGGTCAAGATAACGAGCCTAGTACGTTTCTGCTCTGCCATGAAGTCTGGAACAACAGCTGATCTGATCTCTTTCGCAGAAACCTACCGCTACAATGAGACTCCGGTCTACACAGCCTCGAACGGCTGCCCAGTATGCCTGGCTCCTATCCTCTGCCTGAATTGCGCGATCTAATTGTATACATATAGGTCATGGACCCCCAGGCTGCTCAGCGCATTGGGCTCAATGGCCCTCTCTTGCTGCAGGATTTCCACCTGATCGACCTGCTGGCGCATTTCGATCGTGAGCGCATTCCGGAGCGCGTGGTCCATGCCAAAGGTGCTGGCGCCTACGGCGAGTTCGAGGTCACCGACGACATCAGCGATATCGTATGTATCAGCTTGTATGAATCCGCGGCGCAAAAACTAGACTGATGAAGGATAGACCACCATCGATATGCTCAAGGGTGTCGGCAAGAAGACCAAGATGCTCACCCGCTTTTCGACAGTCGGTGGTGAGAAGGGATCCGCTGACAGTGCCCGTGATCCTCGTGGATTCGCCATGAAGTTCTACACCGAGGAGGGCAACTGGGACTGGGTGTTCAACAACACCCCAGTTTTCTTCCTGCGTGATCCTGCCAAGTTCCCCGTCTTCATACACACTCAGAAGCGCAACCCGCAGACTAACCTCAAGGATGCCACCATGTTCTGGGATTATCTGTCCACCCACCATGAGGCGGTCCACCAGGTGATGCACCTCTTCAGTGACCGTGGTACTCCCTACTCTTACCGCCACATGAATGGCTACTCTGGCCACACCTACAAATGGATCAAGCCGGACGGCACCTTCAATTACGTCCAGATCCACTGCAAGACCGACCAGGGTAACAAGACATTCACGAACGACGAGGCCACCAAACTGTCCGCTGAGAACCCTGACTGGCACACCCAGGATCTGTTCAACGCCATTGAGCGCGGCGAGAATCCCTCTTGGACCTGCTACGTTCAAGTTCTGAGCCCCGAGCAGGCTGAGAAGTTCCGCTGGAACGTCTTCGACCTGACCAAAGTCTGGCCTCAGAAGGACGTGCCTCTGCGCCGCTTCGGCCGCTTCACTCTCAACAAGAACCCGCAGAATTACTTCGCGGAGATCGAACAAGCCGCCTTCTCTCCCTCCCACATGGTCCCCGGCGCTGAGCCCTCTGCCGACCCGGTCCTCCAGGCTCGTCTCTTCTCCTACCCAGATACGCAGCGCCACCGCCTGGGCGGCAACTACGAGCAAATCCCCGTGAACTGCCCGCTCAAGGCCTTCAACCCAACACACCGCGATGGCTACATGAACGTCAATGGCAACTACGGCGCCAACCCTGCTTACCCCTCCACCTTCCGCCCGCTCGCCCACATGCCAGTCAAGGCTAGCCAGGAACACGAAAAGTGGACCGGTGCTGTCATCGCCGAGCAGCACCCCGTTACCTCCGAGGATTATGTCCAGGCGAACGGCCTGTGGCAAGTCCTTGGCCGCACCCCAGGCCAACAGGAGAACTTTGTCGGCAACATCTCCGGTCACCTCTGTGGCGCCCACGAGCGCGTTCGCAAAGCAACTTACGAGATGTTCCGTCGCGTGAATGCCGATCTTGGAGCTCGCATCCAGTCTGCCACTGAGGCTCATGTTACCGGTGCCCCACCCGCACGTCTGTAGATAAGGTACTTTTGCTTATTGGCATCTTCCTACTCAAAATAATGGTGGCTTCGCTTCCACATCACTGCATCTAGATATCTCAGCAATTTGACTATGATTTTATGAATGATTGTATCTTGATTTAGTCGCTGCTCAAATTTCACGAGTATGTAAAACTCTAGTCGAAGCTTTTCCCCTAAACCATCGGCCATGATCCTTTTCTACATTATATATGTTCCACCGTATCTAGTGATTAGTTTCAGTTTCCATGTTTGTGCTGGATCAGTTGAATTTCCAAAAGCAGGTGGGAGAGCGAACAAACCATGACCACACGTACCTATTTTGCAAGTAACTATAGCGTCAGCCATCACCAACATTAAACTGCAATTTAGTCTTTCTGCTATCTCCTATATGAGAGCCCTCACCAAGAGACTCCGGATGTGTGACAGTAGCTTTGATGATTCACTCCTCGTCGTATTCGTTGTCGGTATAGTCCTCCTCATCGTCCTCGCCCTGAACTCGGCCTATTAATATCTGGTTAGCAATCAATTTCCAAAATTAGAGCATACATCAGTTCTGGGCTACTTACGTGTTCCTTTGTACTCGATTCCCTCGATGGACACATGCTCATAGTCCTTTGTAAACACAGCATAAGTCACAGGCGCCGGTGTGTCCTCGACACCATCGTTCAATCTCAGATTAAACTGACCGAAAATCGTAGTGGCAGCATCCTCCGGAAGCTCCAGGACCTTTTTGTCGTTGAGATGGTAAATGAACTGGGATCTATTGATATTGTAGGTTAGCATATGGCACCAGACACATAGAAACGAATAGAAACTTACGCAAAGTCCCTGTAGCCATCCAAAAACAGCTCTGACCAGATGAACTCACAAGGAATCATACCCGAGTTCCGAAGCACGCGGACAAAGTCCCTGGCTGTCTTTTTGCCTCGAATAGGCAAATCTATAACTTCTAGTGCATCGCGATGCGGGCCTTCGTACTGGAAGGTCTTCATGTGGAACTCACAGGTAGTCGTTGTCTCTTTCTGTTCATCGGGCACCACGTCCAGCACTAGACCTCTAGTTTTGATAGGGGCGTGGGGGGTAGCTTCTGGCGTTGCTTCTGCGAAGGTGAGTCTGAAAATGCAATGATTATTTCGGTTCGGGTCTTCAGGATCACATACATCTACTTCGCCGACATCAATGATCTCAAGAGAGAATTTGGAAACATTTTTGCTCCCGAGCTCGAGTGGGATAGTTGTTTTCTTTGCGGTGAGCATGTGATACACATTCGTGGTTGCAACGGGACGTTTGTTAACACGGCGCTTTATAGGCCGTTGAGGCTTGCTGGGGTCATTTTGTCGGCTGGGCATTTTTGTAGATCTAGTTACCGGATAAGGGGAATGTTTTCACTAGCCGATTGTTGTTGAACTAGTTCTCAGGTTGAGTTGATGGATTGGCTGATATGCATATAAGTGAGGAACGACTTGGGGCTTTATACTTCAGGGTTGGGGAGTCAATGAAACCGTTTTATGGTAAAAACAACCTATTATAGTGACAGGGCAGCCTTTGATATGAGTGTTTGATCAATTAATATCGTGGGAATAGACCGTCATTACTTACGTTCATGAAAGGAACAGATATAGATGCTTAAAGAAGGTTGTGATTGATCGACTCGATCAAAGGACTTCTTCGGAAGGTAGGTAGTCTTAGATAAAGGCATTATTTAGATTAAGAGGCCTGAATAGCTCTCACTTGTCCATCAAAGACAGAACCGTCTTATGCTCGACCATATACCTACATGTAGGTATGGAGTACTCCGTACATGTATGCATGTTGTAGATGTTAAGTGCTTATACGTGCATGACACAAGGGATCCCTGGTACGGATTTAAGTTCGAAGATGCGTATGGTCCTTCCCAGCAGAAGCTAATGTGCGCAATAATTACTAGTACTTCGTATTCGAAGAAGAAAAAAATACGAAGTATCACATTGCCCATCATAGGCGGCCCCCCACGTGGGGATGTGAGTCCGGAGTCCGGAGAACAATATGTCCTGAATGTCACTAACAGATTTGATCAGCACTCCTTTCAGCCAAAGTCAACCGAAAGTGAATAGCGCCCATGGAATATCAAATGAGAATGAGTGTCACTATGACCAACGACCCATCATTTGCCCGATGCGGCAATCGCCAAGCGTCCTTTCCCGCGAAAATTTGTGTTTAGAGGCCTCGAGCCCAACCCTTCCCCGCCAATTCGAGCCGGCTACCATCCTCGATTTGTCTAGCCCTTCTCTTCGCAGGATCCAAGACCCTCGGGAGCTGTCAAGGGTATTCTCGCTACCCTTGGAGTGCTCGCGTGCCATGTTCGCCGCATTGTGGGGACTTTGATTTTTTCCCCCCTGACCCCAGGTCCACCAGATCAACTTTCAAACCCATATCGAAAGTTGTTCGAGAATCGTCTTCCACTTATCCCTCCGAGTACTTCGATCGTATCTGGTGCCTTTGTCTTCGCCTATATCCAACATGGCCGACCCTAAGGCATCAGACACCATCACGCCGGGTGGTTATCACTCGGCCCCGGGACCGGGTTCAGATTCCTGTGCGGCGAACGTCATCCAAAATGCTAAGGCGGCCGCAGAGAAGGAGCGATCTATGACTTTGATGCAGGGTATCCGACTGTATCCGAAGGCTGTTATGTGGAGCGTGCTCATCTCAACCTGCATTGTCATGGAGGGCTACGATATTAGCTTGGTGAACAACTTCTATGCCTTTGATCAATTCAATCGCAAGTATGGCGAGCTTATTGGTAATGACGAATATCAAGTATCTGCGCCGGTAAGTTCAATTCAGTTCCAATAGCGTCTCTTGAGCGAATGAGAGTGCGCCGACGTGAGTGTTGAAGAAACTGACAATTATTTGGGCGTACAGTGGCAAGCAGGTCTGAGCAACGGCGCCTACTGCGGCGAAATCATCGGTCTTTTCATCAACGGTTGGGCCTCCGAACGTTTCGGTTACCGGTACACGATCATGGCCTGCCTCATACTGGTTACTGCGTGGACGGCAATCTTCTTCACGGCTCAGAATGTGCAAGCGCTGCTTGCAGCGGAGATTCTCTGCGGTATTCCATGGGGTGTTTTCCAGACCCTGACCATTACCTATGCGTCGGAGGTGTGCCCTGTGGCGCTGCGAGGATACCTGACCACCTATGTCAATTTCTGTTGGGGTCTTGGTCAGCTTATTGGCATCGGTGTGATTATGGGTATGCTGGATCGGACTGATGAATGGGCCTACCGTATTCCATACGGACTGCAATGGATGTGGCCGGTGCCGCTCTTCGTTGCCATTTGGCTTGCGCCCGAATCCCCTTGGTGGTTGGTTCGTAAAGGTCGCACTGAAGATGCGAAGCGGGTCCTTCTGCGGTTAACCAGTAAGAGTCAGCAAGGAGACTTTGATCCCGACGAGACTATTGCTATGATGGTTCACACTACCGCCCTGGAGGAGAAGATCACCAAGGGTGCCAGCTACTTGGACTGCTTCAAAGGCACCGATCTCCGCCGTACTGAAATTGTCTGTATGGTTTGGGCGATGCAAAATCTAAGCGGAAACTCCTTCTCCAATTATTCCACCTACTTTTTGACACAGGCTGGACTGAGCGAAAGCAACTCATACGCCTTCGCCATGGGTCAATATGGCATCAACATGGTTGGCGTTTTTGGAGCATGGTTCCTTATGACCCTTGGAATTGGCCGCCGAACGCTGTGTCTGTGGGGCCTTTGTGGACTCTGCACCATGCTAATGATCATGGGTTTCCTTGGGTTGGTTCCTGAAGAGAACAGGAACCAAGGCTCCCTAGCTACGGGAGCTATGATGTTGGTCTGGGCCTTGTGCTACCAACTAACTGTTGGTACGGTCTGCTACTCTCTTGTAGCAGAACTCTCCACCCGCCGTCTGCAAATCAAGACAGTTGTGCTCGGTCGCAACCTGTACAACATCGTCGGCATCATTTGCGGCGTTCTGACCCCTTACATGTTGAACCCCAGCGCCTGGGACTGGGGCAACTATGCTGGTTTCTTTTGGGGCGGCATCTGCTTCTGTTGTATTATCTACACTTACTTCCGCGTCCCAGAACCTCGTGGTCGCACATTCGCTGAGCTTGATATGCTCTTTGAGCGTGGTGTGAGCGCTCGCAAGTTTGCGACCACCCATGTGGACGTGTTCGACGAAAATATCGCGGGGCACGTCATTGATGATTATCGCACCGAGAAGAATGCCATGACTGATGTCAACCAATTAGAGAAAAATGACACGATATGATGCAATGTGTGTTATGTTTACGACCAATCTTGCTCTCAGCCCCAAACTGGCAGGCACTCTTACATGTACATAGCGTTAATTCTAATATCTCTTACATGACCATACCTACATCCCTACGTAGATCTCTATTTCCATGTAGAGATCAATAATCCGGTAGAAAGTAAGGGTCTAAATTAAACAGACAAATGCAGCACGATGAGGTCACCCTAGAAAACCACCGAAGTGGATGTTCCCGTGCCAAAACAACCTTGGAAGGTTTCAGTCCTCCACTCAATGTGGGAGCTCATATCCTCTTTGTAGATTCCCTCCAACCTACATATATACATACATAACTAGCATATTTATTTCGGACGTGCGCGCGGTTCCACTCTTCTGCGGCGAACACATCAGCCGCAATGGACACCACATTCATCACAATCCATGGCAAGTCTACCCACTAGTGCCATCGATACAACCCCTGTCAACCTGCAGCCACCATCTTACATCGTTCGATCTGAACTTGGAGGCTTTTTGTATTCTTCATTTACGCCCCTAGCTAACTCCTCGCCAGATCTATCCCAGGATGCCTCCATCCGATACGCCTCGGACAGCATAGAAGTCGTGCTAGGCTATCAGCCTCATGATGTGCTGAATCGCTCTTGTTGGGACTACTTTCACCCCCAGGAACTACCCTTTGCGCGGTCGATTCATAGCCGCAGTGTGCATCTGGATAGGGCGGCTGTCTTGAACTACTGCTCTATCCGCCATAAAAATGGCTCCTGGGTTGGGTGTGAGTGTGTCTTTACGGTTGTCTCTGATGTTTTGGTAGCGAGTACTACGGTCTATGGTCAAGGGGAGGGCAGTCAAAGTAAGTACGATCTCGCGCATTTGAGTGATGAACAGAGGACTAGATCCTTTGATGGATTTTTCCTTTCCCCCTCGTTGAAATCGGCTTTGTGTTTACAAATATGGCCTTCATCGGAATCCAACCAAACCCATATTCCATGACTGTCACGCTGACATTCCATAAATTAGAGCGTGCCGTGGATGCACCCATTGTCCGCCAGCTCTTCGCTTCTTCTCCAAATGATCCCCGTTACCATATGCTCACTTGGATTTCGAACAAGTTCTCGCAGCGCCTCACAGAGCCTCTTCATGAGGCTCGCGCAGCCTTGTTCGTCAACCGCTTCACTCGAACCGCTACGATCATGCATGCCACGAGCGGGGTCTCGGAGATTTTGGGTATTCACCCAACCGAGCTCATCTCACAGAGTTTCTACTTCTGTATACAAGAAGAATGCCTGCGTGATGTAGTGAGATGTCTCGAAGGCGCAAAAGCGAATGATTCAATCGCATATTTGCGGTTTTGGTTCCGGAATCCTCTTCAAGACGCAGATGATGAATTCGACATGGCGACAGAATCGCCTTCGGTTGAGCTGGAGGCGGTAGTTTCCTGTACCTCGGATGGACTGGTTGTGATCCTACGCCGGGCTCGAGCTCCTATTCCCGCTGCCCCTGCTCCACCCCAACCAGCGTCAGCTTACACCAGTGGTACCTTCGCGGCACCTTGGGCTCCGGACCCTGTCTTTTCCTACGGACCCTCATCCTATAACCCCTCGCATGCTTCAACCTCTGTGGCTACATATTCGGACCATAGTACTAGTTCGTCTCAAGGCCGCATATCACGCGGTTCGACGAATCCTTCGTCTGCAACCTCATCAAGTGGGACTTTCTGCCGAGAGGGCATGGAAACTCGCCGAAAAGGTGCATCCACTTTTGTTTACGAATCCGAGAAGTCTCCCGTCAACCAAGTGGCAGCTGAAGGACCGGGCACCACGGGGCCTCACGCGCATTACCTCATGGATACCATTCGTGATGTTGCTGTCTTCGCATGGGGGATTGTTGGGATCAATCGCGGATTAGAACAGTATAAATGCGGGATACCAACTGGCAACGCCCGTCCAGTGGATGACATGAACACGGATAAAATGGATGTGGATGAGATGCCGTAGCATGAGACTCCAGCCAAGGAAATATAGGAGTGAGTTGGATGATGCTTCTCTATGTTCTGTGAACGAATATTGTATCCTACAGCTCTAGCATCATGAATTATACGCAGGCGATGGAGACACTAGATTCCTCACTCCAAATGAGACTTTTCGATGCCCATTTACTCATGCGACCACTCAGCCTTCTTCTTCTCTGCAAAGGCAGTCATACCTAAAGCAAATCATTAGCAAACCCCAGTCTTATTTCCCAATAATCAAGAGTCAACTTACCGATCTTCTGATCCTTGCTACCAAAGAGCGCATGGAACAGCCGTCTCTCATACTCAACACCCTCCTTAAGCGACAGCTCCTGGCTCTTGTTCACAACCTCCTTGCCAGCAATGACAGCCACACGACTGTAGCTGGCAATAGTCTCAGCAGTCTTGTATGCCTGCTCCAGCAACTCCTCCTTACCACCCGCAATAACTCTAGCCGCAAGACCCCACTCACCAGCCTCCTTGCCGCTGAAGTTCTTGCCAGTAAGAATAAGCTCCATGGCCTTGCTCTTGCCGACCGCACGGGTCAGACGCTGAGAGCCGCCAGCGCCGGGGATTGTTCCGAGCTTGATCTCCGGCTGGCCGAAGGTGGCATTCTCTGTGCAGTATAGGATGTCGCACATCATGGCCAGCTCGCAGCCGCCGCCGAGGGCGTAGCCGGAGACCGCGGCGATGACGGGGGTGCGGATGGAGTTGGCGAGGTGGGACCATGGGGCGATGAAGTTGTCATTGTAGGCGGCTGAGAAGCTCAGAGGGGCCATTTCTTTGATATCGGCGCCGGCTATGGTGGAATTGGTTCGTCAATACATATCTCGGTGGAATTCGGGATTGGGGTCGAGGGATGATATGCCAGGGGGATTGACGAGATATAGACTTACCGGCAAAGGCCTTCTCGCTTCCTGTGATGATGATCGCACCGATGCTCTTGTCATTGTCATAGTTGCTTAGGGCTTCGTTGAGCTCCTTGAACAAGGGTGTGCATAGGGCATTGAGGGCCTTGGGGCGGTTGAGGGTAACTTTAAGGGCAATCAGCATACATCTTATATATAAATTTGACCATTCTTTGCATACTCAATCCCACACCGGGCTTGGGGGTCGAAGTGAGGATGTGCTCGTAGCTGCCGGTAGCCGAAGAATAACCCCGGACTCGGGCTAAGTAAGAAGTCAAAGGGATGGATGTCCGGGAAGAGGCCAGACGAGTGCATTGACGGGCAAACATTTTGATATATTGAGAGGACAATTACTTTCAGAGAATTGGAATTGTATTAGTGTGAGAAAGGGAGAAAGTGAAAATAGTAGCTACGCGATAACATCATACACCGTAGATGACCCGTTTCCCCGCGACCGTCTTAACGCCGAAGTTAACCGTCCCGAGGTTCACGTGAACTGACTAGGACCAAAGCAGTTAGTCTGGCTTAGGCCATTGCACTGCCACACAGTGCCACATGTCACGTGCATGTGGATGGCTGGTGGACAATCTGCAGTCTGATTGGCCTCCGGGCAGTGGACACTTTTCTGTCCTGAAGCGCAGTGCCTGTCCTGTCCTGGAATGTCTGGTTTCGGCTGCTTATCTTAATCACTGCTTTTCCTTTGCTTTCTGTCTTTCATTCTTTTCTTTCGGTGGTCTAGTCCTGTGTCCCCTCCATTCTTCCCGGCCTTTTCATCATGGATGTTCCTGAGCCCGATCAGTCGCCTTTCACAGCCGTGTCTGCGCACACCTCTAAATTGACCCGGGTGAGTGTTTTTGTGAGGGGAAAGCAGCATCGCGCAACGTCTTGATATCTTTCATCTCGAGAACAAACCAGGAGATTTGGACCAACGTGCTAACCTCTCAATCACAGCATTACCAAGCCTACCTCGATGCCTCGACCCCATACACAACCTACCGCTGGGTTGGCTCCGGCGTACTCCTTTTCATCTTCTTCCTGCGCATTGTCTTTGCGCAGGGCTGGTACATTGGTACGACTCACCAGATCCCCTATTCATGGAAATCGGAGGGTGGACATGATGCGCTTCGAGCCCAACAAGCCGGGCATGGTGTTGACAGCGCTTGATGCACCATAAACAATCTGCTAACCTTGGCATTTCTAAATCACAGTCGCATATACTCTCGGAATTTATCTTCTGAACCTTTTCCTCGCCTTCCTCACTCCCAAATTCGACCCCTCTCTCACCCAGGACGAGGGCCTTGAGGATGGTGACGCGGGGTCCCCCAGCCTCCCTACCAAGAAAGATGAGGAGTTCCGGCCCTTCATCCGCCGTCTGCCAGAGTTCAAGTTTTGGCACTCGGCCACCCGCGCCATCACCATTGGCTTCGTTTGTTCTTGGTTTGCCGTCTTCGATATCCCCGTCTTCTGGCCCGTGCTGGTTGTCTATTGGATTATTCTGTTTGTGTTGACGAGTACGTTTCCCCTATGCCCGTCCGGGTTGGATGTGGTAGCGATTTGCATCCGCTCTTCCTTTCGATGGCCATCTCTCTGACTTGACCTTTCTTTCCAGTGCGACGACAAATCCAGCATATGATCAAGTACCGCTACGTGCCTTTCTCCTTTGGAAAGACACGGTACGGCCGTTCATGAGCTCTTTAATTCCTTAGCTTTATTTCTGTCTCTGACTCTATATCCACGATTGATCGCATGCGCGCTTTGGCTTGGTGAGCTATGGACAGACATGATACGAAAAGAGGTGAAAGCGCCGGGCTGGCGGTGGACCATTTATGAATTTCCCAGACTCTTTTAATCCTTGCTTGCTTAGAGGACCGCTGGTTTGGCGTGTTCCAGTCTTCTTCACCTGTGAAATATGATTAGACCTGAAGTCAATGAATGAACTGACTTGCAATATATTATGAAAAACTCAAAAGCTCCAAGTCTTTCTTTTTATAGCCCTTATTTCTTATAGGTCGACGTAAAGGGGAAGGTCACATCATACTTGAGACATTCCAGGTGGCTGAGTGGATTGCCTGGATTTCTTGAGCTGAACATCCGGAGAAATAGATAACCAGCAACACCCATGTAGTTTCATCAGCTCCATCGCCAAATAACCTAGACTTACCCCGTATTCTCCCCAACAGTTCCATCCACAACATGAAGTGAGCGCACACAACACCCCTTTTTAAATTGAGCTTCACACCGAGGGGGCCCTAGCGTCATGGACAAGCCCATGCCAACGGTTTTCTCGGCGTCGACCGAAATCACCATCTTCTTCACAGGCTGGACAACATCAACCGTGACCCAGTATATTTTAACACTGATCTTCATCTTCATCCTCGCCATCCTCAACCGCTTTCTGGGTGCTCTTAAATCCCAACTTGAACGATCCTGGTCGCAAGAGACCGTCCCGTCGGATCTGCTTCTCGCGCCCGTAAATCAACAAAGCGGGCGGAAAGCGAAGCTCGGGTCTCCCCCAGACTATCTACATGTTCCCGGGGAGGACGATCCAGACGATGTATCACTCTCTCATGACATTGAAGCAAGAAGCACGTCAATAGGTCTGCTCGAACGAGCTACACCTCGAAAGAGCGTGTCCCAGAAATGTCTTCTGTCGTGGAAGGCTAGTGGAACGTGGAGTTTCCGGAAGGATGGGACGTGTGCTCTGCTTGAGTGTGCTAGGGCGGTAACGGGATATTTCATGTAGGTGATATCTTGTCTAGAAAGGTTTGTTGTCGAGTACTCAACTAATTATCACTGATGGAAATAGAATGATAGCGGTGATGACCTGCAACATTGGTGTTTTTGGTGCGGTGGTTTTCGGTGTGCTGGTGGGTGAGCTGTTTCTTGGAAGATTCTCTCAGGGAATGTCTGGTTAGCAACGGACTTGTCATAGTGGATGATTCCGGTTGCTTGCGTTTTATGACATTCCGTGGCGTTTTACAAAGATCTCCCGGTGGGATAGTCAGCTGCGGATTGAAAGCTCTCGGCCTTGATGTTCATGGTTACCTTCTTTCTTTCAAATGTCTGCTGCTTGGCTGAAATTGGCTCATAGGTCAAACGAGCCCGTTTTTGACATTAAACAGGATACAGGAGATCCTGATCGTTATATCAGTATCCGTTGAGCCCTTTGCTGATCCCGAATATAACGGGATACATTTTGCCTTGGTTGAGAATTTAGATGGATTCCAATGGCTACAATACATTGTAGTTTCATATTCTGATTTCTATATGACTTTCTAGATTTAGGGCTCAAGCCGTAGCTTACAATGCACCCGATTCCTTATAAAAAAGCAGACCCATCAGCACAACCCATAGCCCAAACTCCCATAACCCCCAATGCCAGCGTAAACACGGCCAACCTGCTAGCTTTGCTGCCGTCTCACGGGCTGCACTTTGGATTGTTGCTTGCAAACCGTTGATCCTACTCAGCAGCAACATCAACATCATTTCACTCCAAACACAAACAATCGTATCTCTCTGAGACATACCTGGAGCCAGCGGAACCATAATCGCCCAAACCTCCCGACAACTGCAATCAGCCCCATCGAGATGCGAACATGATGCCAACGGACGTCCAGCTTTAGGAACTCTCTTCATTAGTCGATCGTAATGTGCGCATTTAGATGAACGGTGGCCTCGGATACAAGGTTCACTGTAATATTCGTAAGACATTGCTCTCTATCGTATACATGAGAATAAGACCAATCTCACCACGACCATTTATCGCCCTGAGAGTCGAATGGCATGTCTCTATTTTGGGAAATCTTGAGATGGCTTGACTTGAAAACTTGGCGATGTTGGGGTTTCGTATTCGTGGAGGGGATTGGGCTTGCTAATAGGGCGAGGGAAACATATTAGGTCCACTCTTCATGAATGCAAGGGTGTGTAGGTGTAGTACGCGCGCAAATGCGCTCATATTGGCGCTGGGAGATATGCTTTTCGGGGGATCGCCGTGATCTGTAGGGATCTGCATCGTAGTAGACCACTCCGAAAACCATCTTCATCCCGGCCTGGGGGCTTTTTGAAAAAGGTCTGTTGGCAATGTAGCTTTCGGATAGTCACAAGAAGCTGGCTAAAGGTTAGTCTAAGTTTATTTAACTGGATTCATGGCAATAAAAATGGGTTGTGGACGGTTCTCTCATTCCATACTGGAATCGCGGTCAGAATGGAGTTCATACTCCTCAGTGTTTTAAGACAATTATTTGAAACATCTCATTCAACTCCCTTTCATAGGTATCATAAACAAATGTCCAAGACACGGCACAATAGAAAGAACAAAAAGAGAGGGAAAGCCGGAGTTCACCCGCTTCAAACCACCAGATCGTCCACACTACTCGATATCTCGCCCACAGGAATCGCACTTTCGGTCAAGGAGAGCGTCGAGATTTTCCGGTCTGCATTCGTGCGGGACATGTCCTTCGTCTTAGTGCAGATCCAGGTAGATGCGTACATATTGACCCTGTAATGTATAAGCTTTGTACACAATAGCTAAGGACAAAGGGCCAAAACTCACCGGTCAATGCAAGTCCCTGGGAAACGAGCTCCGACGCGACGAGCAGAGAAACCGTTCTCTTCAAAATGTTTGATATACCAAGGATCGATGCTGGCAGAACGAAGAAGAATGCGACCACCCTTTTTCAAGGCGCTGTTGAATGTTCGTGCTTGGGCTGGGGCTGAATCCCCTGCGGCATCAAACCAGTCCATTGAGTCCATGACCTGATCGAGAATTAATATGAGAAGTCTGCCTAGTGCTATTTTGATACTTACCACAGCGATAGTCAAAGTGCCCGGGGTTATCCGGTTGATCACTTCGTTGATCTCATCAGTGTGGATACGGAGGCCATCAAATGCACCAGGCGTAGAAAGCCTGACATGTGCTTGAGGTGACAGATAAGTTGGGTGGCATCTATGAATTTGGTCAGGGTGGGTAGTTAAAACCCCAGGGAAAGGATAATGTACCTGCGAGAGAATTTGCCCTGGACACAAAGGAAGTAGAAATAATTGTCGTTGCTGATCAGGGTGTCGTTGATAACGGGGTCAAGTGTATTGACAACGTATTCCCAGATTGATTGGCCGCTGACGTCTTTGCCCTTTTTCATATCTTCAGTCAAGCCGTTGCGGTGAAAGTAGTCGTCGATAATCATGTTTCGCTGGTTGCGTGGCACTCCGGCGGCTTTCCAAGCAAACCATTCGGTGCTCACGATCGCCCAATGGAGTGGTCGGCTCATTAGTACACGTCGAATACGAGGCCAGATTTCGCGTTGCTCTGCGAGACTCTGTGCTTCACATAGCTTGCGAACTTCACCCTGCAGCCCGAAAATATTGAAGAGCCAGCGTACCATGCGGATCGCATGACGAGAACCACCAGTCTCATAAAGCCCATGCCCAGAACTGGAGGTAAACGTTTGGCTGTGTTCGAGCCAATATTGGAAAGCCTGACTGGACAGATGGGGGCTCAGCTTAGAGATGAGCAGTTCACGGAATTGTGCGTGCTTGCCATCGCCGAAGATCTTCCACATATCCCGGTGACCCAACGCTGAGTAGCAGGCAACCTTAAGCTCGAGCAGATGGTTCTGATTAGGGTTCAGATCGACTGCGTGTACCCGGCGTGGGTTCTTCTGCAGATAATCAAGGATGTTGTCACCAGCGCTGGTGATGGCCAGAATCACGTCGTCTTTGCCGATGTTCAGGAGCCGGTGGTCAACTCGCGGGTCTTCCCATGTAAATGCGTAGATGTACTCGTTATGGAATTGAGTATGCTTGTGCAGCATGTCGTTGTAATAAATGCGGTAATGGTGGTTCTGGTAGAAAGATGATGGTAATGGTAAATTTGCGCTCAAGTTAATGACTGCAGATTCATATGCCTTGGAGCGGATCTCCTGCGTGCTTTTTACCACTGCATTATCCATCTCATGTTGATGATTGGCAGGAAGCAGATAAGGAGACTCGGTGAAAGAAGCATCCAGCTTTTCGATGGACTGACTTGACGGTGCAGATGCGATCTCCTTGGGACAACCGACAAAGATGTAGTAAGGAATACCACCGAGAAGGTAGTTTCTCTCACTAGCGGAGATGACCGTACCGAATTTGTACTCAAGGTAGTCTCGACGGGCAGCCTCGAGGCTGACTCGGTCAAAATCGAACCAGGCTCTCCAGAACATACGCCCAAGCCAATTGACATGGCGGTTGAAAGCGCCACCAGTGTAGTTGCGACAGGACACATCCACAATGCTTTGGACTGCAATTTCAATGAGTAACTTTCAACACAGATGTCCCAATCCGCTTCTTACCGTAGAAATCACATACTCCCAGTATTCCACTCAACTTCAAGCGGGAGGTCAGTGAGTCCACAACGCTGTAATAGTCTAAAAATGGTCAGTGTTGATTGTATTTTGTGGATTTCCACGACCAGGCTCACCAGGAATCATGGATAAGCTGTAGCTCATAGTGATCAAATCCACCCCATCACCTTCTGGAGCCGAAGAGCGCGGATCAAACTCCTTTGCTGGCAGACAGAAAGACCGAGCATCCTGGCAAAGCACTGTAACATTTTTCCAACCCAGGCGCTCGAACCGGTTGCGGGCTACTTCGCACAGGGACGGGGAGAGGTCAACTAGGTAAACGTGCTGAAAGAACTTGTCCACTGGAAGAAAGGCCGCCATTGCTTCAATGTTGTATCTGCCACGAGTCAGATGTTGGATTTGTATGGCCACGGAGCTCGTCTTTGCCTACCCAGTACCACCACCCACCTAGAATACATTAGCGCTGGCTCCCAATTAACGCAATTCGGTATACCCACATCCACCCAAACAGCCTTTCCAGCCTTGACTTCCTTGTTATCGATCTTATATTTTAGCTGTGCAGCCACAAGACCGAGCATGTCCTCGCGACCACAGAGAAGACGACGACGAGTGGCATCATAAATGGCGGCCTGACACGGTCAGTTTGGAACCAGATTCAAGGTCCAGCTCATTCAATCCCACCTGGGTTTTATAGAAACTCTCCAATGCACCCTGCTGGTCACCGGCCTTCTTGTCATGCGGTTTGATGAAGTTCGCCCATATGAATCTCAAGTATGGACCAACTCTAGTATTGGCGATGTTGATGTGCTTTGAAGAAACGATAAGCACCAAGCCGACTAGAGCAAAAACCAGTACGGCAGCCCCGGCGATGTAGACATGCATCCAATCCATTTTCAATATGCAAAGAGCGATGCAAAGAACGAAGACCAAGGGAAGCGACCGAGAGATTCATATACAAACCCAGATTAGGTCTGGCTTGACCATATGTGCCCCTCATGAGGGAACGGTAGCGTTACCCATGTCCTATCACGACGACACATGGGGGCAGTGGCAGATGAGAGGAGGACGTTTAAGGGCAACGGAAGGTACTATGAACCCGGCCTACATTCGTATCGAGGTGCATTAGGGAAGTAGCTGGTACATGATTCATCATGGTCCTAGTAGATCATCCGAAAGTAGCACGCAAATCCGATATAGACTCGGGAATGTAAGACCTCGGGAGCCAACTCTAAGAGCAATCGGGTTCATTACGCTCTGCAGGAGCCTGTCGGCAGCCACTCACAGCCCAACGAATTCCCATGTGACCCCCGGACTCTTGGCGCCGGCTGCGGTGGTTCCGTTGGCCAGGGCCCGTGGAGGTGTTAGGCGCCCCCATAGGGCCGCCAGGCCATCCTCGGGGGTCCACGGGCGCCAATCAACTCCGCCATCGCCAGCACACCGGGAGTGCCTTAGATTTGATGGCAACTTCAGTTTATAAATTGCTTCTGCACGCATTGGATAGTTGGTAGCCCTTGTTCAAGTCTCGCATTTGGGAGAAGCTTACATGTTCAACCGGCTCTAGCGTGACATAGAAGGACGTTTCCATTCGTAGGCGATGATTTGATTCACAGACACTTGTATAGACTTGACTGGACCTTCATGATCTGGATTTATATATTGGGTGCATTTATTATACGGTGTACAATATTAAGGCCATACATGACGCGTAAAGAGTCGCACATTGATAGCAATGATGCACTGCCCTGAAATGAGTAATGATTTCCTCTTTATACCTAGGTAGGTAGGTAGGTCTGCAAATGGGAATGGACTCATTGCGGGGTGGGGAGTATTACGTAATGTATGAAAGGAGATTGAAATGACCATACATGTTTCGAGAAGGCGGTGACAAAAGCGGACGGCAGTATGGGCCAATCACAATCAAGTCACGGATGAGAAGAACGCTGGTGACCCGTTTCAAACCAATCATGTGGGGTTCTGCCTTGGTTGTCTTTGGATGAGAGATACTATTTGCACACCCCAAAAACCCACCTTTTCGCTATTTGCACACCTGTTTAAACCCTTTTAGGTAAGGTGCCTCTTGGCAACTGATTTCCCCCTGATTTTGTATTTTACACTGTATCCGCGTAGTACTCTCTGCGCCCCATATACGATATCGACGCCCCCTAGCCACATCATATTTCATACCATATCATGATATCGCTGTTGTAAAAAATGAAGCTATTCCCAGTTGCTGATCCCGTACAAAAAGGGCTGATTTGATGGAGTTTTTAGGGTAGAAATGGGGGTTTTCAGTGTAGAAATGAGGCTATTCCTAGTTGCTGATCCTATACAAAAAGGGCAGAAATGGGGGTTTTCAGTGCAGAAATGAAGCTATTCCCAGTTGCTGATCCCGTACAAAAAGGGCTGATTTGATAGAGTTTTCAGGGTAGAAATGGGGATATACAGAGTTTTTATAGGGTGGTCATATGACTCTAAAATAGGTGTTGATTTTCAAAAATGGTGCTAATCGACGATTTAGCCGCTAGTTTGACACGGAGTTTTATACTAAAAATATTACATTTTTACTATGCGGTATAGAAATAAGATACTATTTAATATAATACGTATAAGACTAAGATCTGATTACCCCCTCCTAGATATTACCTAGCTAATAGCGATCTTATTATCTAATAACTCTATAGTCTCCCCTTATATAGTCTAATCCTCGTGCCTCCGTGCTAGCTACCTCGCCCTTCCTAACCGCCGGATTATCGTAGTTTCCTTAGTGCGTATAGACTTAAATCGTAACGGCTCTCGGCGAGTTAACCGCTCAAAGGCTTAAGATACCTAGGATGATAGAAGCTAGGGCTAGGAGCTCGTAGATAGTCGACTATAGGGGCGTATAATATAGGGGTTTTATACTATCCGCTCTAGGGAGTACGCGTATACCCCCTAGGTCCCGGCTAGTAAAGCCCCTACTAGTTAAATCCACCACTAAGGGTAGAAATTAGCCTAGGAGAGGCTCTTACCACTCTCCTAGGCCTAGTTAATACGGTAAATATATAGTATTCCTCTTATTAATATTAACTACTAAGAGTATATTAATAGAATAGGCTTTTTACTAGTACTATATAGTAGATAGTAATTAAAAATATACTATACCCTTATAATAGCGTCTTTTAAGACTACTATTTTAATAAGTGTAAAGAGAAAGAGGCTACTAATAAGCCTTTAACCTCGCTACTTAGTAAGTTCCTAAGAGATCTCTATAGCCTATCGCTTAATCGTAGACTTAAACGTTTTAGTAAGAGCTAGTAGATCCTTAGTCGAGGCGTTAAAGTCGATCTTTAGATAGCGATACGTAGACTTAACACGAGATATAGAGGTCTAATTAAAGTGTAGGAAATGCTTAGTATAGTACTATAGGAAGGCCCTACCGCACCCTCGAATCTACTTAGTATCTATATACTATAGTAGTTCGGGAAAGTAGGTATATTTATCCTAGAACCGGAGCCACTAACCCTCTATTCTAGTTTCACTATTAGTATCCTAGATATAGATAATACTATACTAGTTATCCTTTATCTCTATCTACTATATATTAATCTTAATACGCACTATATCGTTAGTAAGGCGGGTTTCGGAAGGCTAATAGAGGACGTAATAACGGATATAGGGCCTAGTATAACTCTCTATATTATAAGTAATATACTAGATATAAAGTATAGTATCTATATTTAGGAAAGCCTATTAATTATTAGCCTTTTTTCTAGGAAATAGGGTATATAGGAACTATATATAGTTAATTATATTTCGTAAAGCTTATTCTTTATCCGTAAGGATAGTCTATAGACTAATAAGTTTAGTGCTAGTAAGCTAAGTACTAGTAAGCTAGGTACTAATAAGCTAGGTACTAGTAAGCTAGGTACTAGTAAGCTAGGTACTAGTAAGCTAGGTACTAGTAAGCTAGGTACTAGTAAGCTAGGTACTAGTAAGCTTAGTAGTACTTACTATACTACTTTAAGAGCGACTAATCTAATTAGTAGTAGTTAGGTCCTACGAGACCGGTAGTCTATTAGTGCTAGTGCGAATTAGTCTTAGGAGCTTAGTGCTAGTTCGAAAGGATAAATAAATATCCCTTAGCTAACTAAGCACTAAGCGGTATAAAACCTCTTTTTCGCTACTAAGGAATACCTATATAGCGTAAAAAGTCCTACTAATAGCGGATATACCGACGATATTTAGGAGGGGTATCTTCTACTTATTAGTCTTATACGTATAGTCTATCTATAGGATATATAGATAGGCACGTAGAAGGGTAACGCTAGTTTCGTAGATAATAAAAAGGGTGCTTAGCGAGTTATTAACTATATATACTTAGTAGCGGATATACTAATTTCTATTATAGGGGAGATCCTTAAGGAGAGCTTAGATAGGCGTACGACCCTTAAGATATCGTAGCTATATTCCTACTCGTAGGTTCTTAATATCCCTACTCTATACGTATAATATAGTATCACTATCCTCCGCTATTTAACGTAAAGCGCCGATAATATACCGAGTTAGCACCCCTTACCGGACTTAGCTAGTGATAGAAGGGAGTATCCGCTAGATTTCCGTACGTCGGTATATCCCTAGCGTAGATAGGTTAGTAGGGGGATATTAATACTAAGAGTCCTTAATCACGAGCTCCTATAAACCTCCGAGAAGTGGTCGATAGCGGAGAGTACTATAGAATATACACCTAAGTGCTTTAGTATATCGCTTCCGCTACCGATTAGTAGGGGCAAGATTATCTCTATATTTGCGACTAATACTATAGTGGAAATACACTACTTTTATATTAGATCTTAACCTTATAACTTCGAATCTATTTAGTTTAGCCCACTCATTAAGTGTGCTTATTCCTTGGAGAGGGCACTCAAAAGACTAGAAAGGGGGTATGGTTTAGTAGCGAGGGTACGAAGATATATCGGTATGCTCTATACTAGTAATAGTATATAAAGATGTAAAGATGTAAAGATATAAAGATATAAGGATATCGAGATAAGATACGGAGTATAGAGCACGAAGTAGGGCTAAATCGTCGATTAGCACCATTTTTGAAAATCAACACCTGTTTTAGAGTCACATGACCACCCTATAAAAACTCTACATATCCCCATTTCTACCCTAAAAACTCGATCAAATCAGCCCTTTTTGTATGGGATTAGTAACTAGGAATAGCTTCATTTCTGCACTAAAAACCCCCATTTCTGCCCTGAAAACTCCATCAAATCAGCCCTTTTTATATGGGATCAGCAACTGGGAATAGCTTCATTTCTGCACTAAAAACCCCCATTTCTGCCCTTTTTGTATGGGATCAGTAACTGGGAATAGCCTCATTTCTGCACTGAAAACCCCCATTTCTGCCCTGAAAACTCCATCAAATCAGCCCTTTTTGTATGGGATCAGCAACTAGGAATAGCTTCATTTCTGCACTGAAAACCCCCATTTCTGCCCTTTTTGTATGGGATCAGCAACTGGGAATAGCCTCATTTCTGCACTGAAAACCCCCATTTCTACCCTGAAAACTCCATCAAATCAGCCCTTTTTGTACGGGATCAGCAACTGGGAATAGCTTCATTTTTTACAACAGCGATATCATGATATGGTATGAAATATGATGTGGCTAGGGGGCGTCGATATCGTATATGGGGCGCAGAGAGTACTACGCGGATACAGCGTAAAATACAAAATCAGAGGGAAATCAGTTGCCAAGAGGCACCTTACCTAAAAGGGTTTAAACAGGTGTGCAAATAGCGAAAAGGTGGATTTTGGGGGTGTGCAAATAGTATCTCTCACTTTCTTTGTCAAGAGTAGTAGGCGTATCACATCCGCTTGACGGTACTGTGCAGCCCAGGACAACGATGTGCGTCCAGAATCATCTTGCGCATCTGGATTGACTTGATCGAATGCGAGCAGCTCTTTCATGACTCCCGAGGCGTTATAGTATCCCCGAATTCCTGCGAATGTCTCCGATACCATGTCTTCCTCTCGGATGGACTTGGCAAGGAATATGTCAGGTTCCAGCAACAATGACTCGATAGCCCGTTTCCTTCCAGGAGGAATCTCTCGGTGAAACGATGCAAGCCTATCCTCTATCACACAATGAAGAAGTGGCGTTCGGCCGTTGCGACTACGAGTCTCTGGGTCCACACGACCCGTTGCTAATAGCATCTTAGTCACCCCTGCAACGCCGGCTTTCGCGGCGTAAAACAAGGGTGTCTGGCCACGCTCATCTTTGCTATCAGGAGAAACTCCATCAAACGAGAGCAAAAAGCGGACTGTGGCTTCGTTTCGTGCTTCGGCAGCGAAGGATAACGGTGTTCGGCCGTCGACACTCCGGGAATCCACATTGATTGCGCCAGCCCCCAGCAGCATTTTCATTATTTCACAATTTGCCTCAGAGGCATAAGAGAATGCCGTTCGTCCCTGCTCATCTACCTCCTCAATTTTAACATCGTTCCTCGCAAGAAGTATCTTCACGATAGCTTCCTTTGCATAACGTGCGGCAATGATAAGCGGTGTTGCATCGAAAGCACCCCCTTTCGTGTTAGGATCCACTCCATCCGTCTGGAGCAAGAGCTGGAAGATGTCTGAATATCCCTTTTGCGCAGCTTTGAGCAGTAAGTCTGACATTGAAGCGGCAGTATACAGCGGGGCGTTGAGACACAACCTGACCAGCTCTACATTGCCTCCGGTCACAGCTGCAGCAAGGCTCTCTTGGTCCAGCTGCCCTAGTCGCTTGTTATCAAGTAATATTTGAACAAGTTCCTGATCTGCCACTTCAAGAGCCAGGTTCACAAGAGTGCGGGCGCCAGGCGTGATGGGCCGCTCTTCCTGTAGATAAAAGCCCAGATGAGCTAGAAGAAATTTAACAGGCTCCTTATGTCCTCTGTCAACAGCACCATGAAGAGCAATGTATCCCCACTCTGGCCTTTCGTTAATAATGCTCGGGTCATGCACAAGAAGCTGTTTCATGATATGGATGTGTCCCCCTTCTGCAGCCATGTTTAACGGATTGTGCTTCTGGTTTATTATATTCGCTCGGACATCTGTTCCTACAAGCAGCAAGTCCGCGACCAAACTGGCATTGCCAGATCCACATGCCTCAATAAACACGGGGTGTCTTTCCTGCTCTTCAATCCGAGCATACAGGATCTCGCGTCGCATATTGTATATTCGACGATGAGTCATCATAAATCGGACGATGCTTCTCAATTCTGGCAATTGACTCGCAATCAGGATGACAATCTCATTAGGAACAACATCCAGAGACATCGCTAGAGATTGAGATGGACGGTATTTATTCGGTGAGTATTATGCCTATAGAGAAAGCCAGTCGTTCGTGTCTTTTTGATACTCATAGAATGGCACAATATCGCAGGTGAGGGCTTTTCAGGCTCCGAATTAACGACTACATAGCGATCTTTTCCATTTGGACACTTTTAGCGCTGACCCCAATCTTTGATATTTCTTACTAGGTCTTTTTTAGCCCCGCAATTGATGCCCAATTGCCTGGCTGCCTAAATTTCCAAGGCCACCTGATGTATAAATCTGTCGACTGTTAGTCCTCGTTGATCTATATTCTCCTATACAGCCAGGGATTCCAAATTCATTCCTTCCACTCGCTGGAGGCTGTCGACGAAGAGGGCCACATTGTGGTGGAACGTCGCATCAATAAGCGACAGGTTCCCACCCAGGCTGCGATATAATTATTCAAAAGACAGTCATGGTAAACACGGCTGGTGAAGTCTGGTCCACAGCAAAATGAGCCAGCAAAACCAACGGTGTAGCCAAGTAGAGAGTAGAGGGCGAAGTGCAAAAATATGAGAATGAGCTTCATTGCGACAGCTTAGGTTGAGGACATTGAGATTATGAGAAGAATATACCTGCTTTTGCTTTGTGGTTATTTTGGGGGCATTCTCTCGTTTTGTCCAGTTCATTGCCATAGCGTTAGTTTGGGTGGGTCCCGAAGAAACGAAGAATGGGATCATTTCCCGTAGATGGAGAAGGAAATTATACATGCCCAAAGTTATTGCGATATGAATAACGGTGAAGTAAGAGAGTGTTGATAGTATAGCCGCTATTTTGGCCTCCAAAAACATGCAGCTCGAATGCAGCCTGCGCGCAATGTTCCTGCTTGGGTGCAGTGGATACCCCCACCCAATTTAAGGTTGTGTTCCACAACTTGTGGCGATCCATGGATGCCTTTAAAGTGAGCTCCCACTCCAAGTTATCACATATAGGTATGTAGGTACCTTCAGTAACAGAAGACATAGCAGATCCCAAAGTTTGAAGTAGCAGTAAATACTGTCATTGCTACAGACGGTCTTTCCAGACAGATATAATCCCACAGGAGCTGAATTATCACCACACAAGCTAGTCGCTAATGGTAAGCATCCCGGTGTGTTCGAAAGCATGCCGAAAAGTCAGGCTTTCTCGCTGTATGATGACATCTTGTGATATTTAGGTGGCTCGATCAGCGTCATTCGACATATGCCGGACAAGCGCATTGTACGCGCTGTTTTGGGGGCAATGGTACTCAAAACTGCTGCAATCAAAAATGGCGACCACTGTGAGTTGTAACAGCAAGGAATAAAGCTGCATATGGCTGGCTGCATTACAGCAAATGAGAGAAGCATTAACTTTGCACGGGAAGCATGTTGACCAACCGATAGCTTAAGGGACCACTTGGCACACGTTGAGGTTACGGGATGATATTTGGTTTCAGATCTTAGGTATCTCCTTTTTAGGTGCCGACTGCGGGAGTGTCAGGTACTTTCTTTGGATTCATGTGCCTCCGTTGAGGAAGGTACCACCTAGGTTCCTTCCTGTTTGGGAAGGAACTCGTCGCCCACCCTGCTGACCCTCGTCGCCTTCAGCCCCAGGATATAAAAACCCCCTTCTCCCCCCCAGTTTTCCATTTTCTTTTCTTCCTTCTCCACTCCCCTACCCCCTCCACCCCGTTTTGCATGTATTCCCGTCCCCCTTCCTTTCCTTTCTCATCTTTCTACCCCACTCCTTATTCGCTGTGCTGTCATATATTTGCCTGGGCCCTCTTCGGAGGATTTCACCTTTCTTCCCCTTGGGACTTTGTTGCGCTATGGGCAAGGTAGGCCACGAAGCAAGTCTGGGATGACCCGAGCTGTGCAAGCGCCTTTTGTTCAACACATTAGGAAGAACCTCCCTCGGCCGCTGCGGATACAGTTCGTCCTGCCCATAGTAGCCGCTGTTCCCCTCCAAGCCTTGACCCCATTCCTTCCTTACACCTTGAATTGGGGAGTCTTACCCAGTTGCACGGGGCCTGTGTGCAACACCTGAGCATGACTTGCACCTCTACGTGGTGTTCAGGATGAGTAAGCCTTCATGGTGAAACCAAGCAAGTCCCTTAGTTTGAACAATAAATTCAATTTTCTTGACATAAAGTCTAAATTCTCAGTGCTGTGCGCGGCTTTTATAAAGTATATTCTCCCTTCTCATTTATGATTCAGAGAGCAGTGGAATCTTCTTTGACAGATGTTTGCTAATATTGGTGATTCAGGCTTTATACGGAGGTGACTGGAGAGACCAAGAAGCTCAGTGTCGCAGCTGAAGGATTCATCATCCGCAAACGCAGAAAGGTCTTTTGATAGACATCATTATCAAGGTCCCCGCACTATACGAAGACTTTGACAAGATGACTCTTCCACTGAATTGCCCAGCAAAACTGAGAAACTGTATGCTCCTTCAAGGTATGGTATTGGGTTGTTTTAGAGAAGCTAGACAACTGGGGATGCACATATCCTGACGGTATCTTCTGCACTATATCTGATGGGGAGTGGGATGTCACCGGCGTTGATCCAGATGATTGGTGTCGTACACCTACTATGTCCCGCTATTCCTTCATCCATGCATCAGTATCTTTCGTCAACATCTCGTCCCATTTCCAATGATAGCAGCGGCTCAATATCTCAAAACAATACAGCCACCAAAGCTGCAAGAAGAGCGTAGTAACCTTCTATAATTGTGTGAGAACGCGGGTTTTACACCAAATGCACCAGTTCATGTGAAGCCTAGAGTCGCACTTTTCTATCCCGTTTTAGGTGTCCTTTTTACACTTTGTAGGTGTAATAGGGAGGAGGCAAGGGAGACCGGGGTACCTATGTAGGTAGGTAGATCGTGTCATTTGAGCAGTTAAGGCAATTTCAATATGCATTTCTAGGAAGAATGTCCACCATCAGAGTCATCAGCAGCCAGATTCTCCGCATTCTCACTAAATTGAAGCTCAGCCCATTCAAGTGCAGTCAAACCACTGACATGCTTCTTCTGGGTCTACCTTCTTTGTTGAAAGCAGCAGGTGCAACGCAGGTACTTGTCTATTCGCCACGGCCCAGGCAGGTACACATGTTGTTTTTGTTCAAATACATCACATTTGGCCGAAAGCAACCTGTCTACAACATGGATCAAACTAGGACAACGCCGATGTTCTTCATAGTGATAGACATAGGCAGACGAGTGCCTCGTAAACCGGGGTAGACAGCTGACGAAGGCGTTTGGGATTGAATTGCGGCCATTTTCGCCAGGTCATTTTTGTCTCTACTCGCCGTCCAATGAAAGAGGGATAACTGGCCTATAAACCCCGAAAGACTATGTATGATGTATAAGAAGCTCGATTGACTGTTATAACTGTGCGTAACGCCATTTTCCATTGCTCAGACGCCAGACCCATGGGAATCCACCGAGGCAGAAACTTCGAGATTGTAATGTTCAAGAAAAAGATCCATAATACATGATAGCCGCGAAAAATTACTCATCATCGCTCATGCGAGTATCATCATCGGCCCTCTCCGTCTCCTCATGCTCCATTGATTGCTCCTCCTGCACGACGGGCTCAGGGGGCATATTGCTTGCAAACTTGGGATCGATACGTAGACGGGTCAGAGCACGCTTGTAGATTTCAGCCTCGTTGGGGTCGCGCATCGTCACTTGCATCTGGTCAATACGTTCCTCGCTCTCCTCCTGTTGCGTAGAAGTCGGAGCGAGGCCAGCCTGGGCAATGGTGCGGGCACGCTCTGGCTTGAGGCGGGCCTTGCCTGAAATTGGATAGTAATAAGCGGCCAATTGTCTGGTATCGCCATCGTTGGGCTTGAAGAGGGTCAATGCGATATCCTTTTGTTCGGTATTGAAGACCTGAGCGCTGGTAGCGTAGGTGCGAGCACGATCGTAGCGGTGGAATTTGCTGCCGTCGGCGCTCTCGTTAGTGTACAGATCTTCGTTGTCTCGGTTCGCGCTGTTCAGGTTCATGCTTGTGTGGATGTTCTTAACAGATTGGGGCTTCTCCGGTAGGAACAGCTGGTAGTCGTATGGAACTGGGCCTGGATGGGGATAAAGGGCGGGGTTCGTGGTGTGAAGGTCCACCTTCGCTTGATGCTGCTGGCAAACGCGCTCCTCTGGCGCAACTGGAGTCAGAATACCGACATCCATACGTGCGTCCCGCTTGCCTCTGACGGCTCCCACGGGTGCCTTATCAAACTTGAATTGGAGATAACCACCAGGGTCTGGGAAGCCTTCCAGGTCAGGAATGATAGGGAAGAAGCCGACTGGCTTGAGCTTCGGGTTTTCGGGGTTGATTGGACTAGCCCAAGCATTAAGTTCGGCCTTTGTGGGGGAAGGCCTCGGATGTGACTCTCGGTATCTTCTCCAGAGTGCTTGCTCTGTGGGTAGGCGATATCGAAGCCCTTCTGGATGAACTTCTTGACATGCTTCGGGTCATCCACAGCAGGCTTTCCTTTCTTCGCGGTGCGTGATTGTGTTTTGAGAGGTGCGGCACGGGATCCATCTCCGGCACTGCGATCAACACCGATGTGTTGCGTGCGGCGAAGGAAGCTGACATTGGTATTCCTCGGAGCAGGGTTTCGGAGTTGCTCAATGGTCAAAAGAAGTGGGAGATCAGCGGGGTCCATGGGCTGAGGATTCTCGGGGGCCATGATAGCTGGTGCCAATGTTAGCTGCGGTCATACAATTGTAGGGGATTCAGCATTGACGTACCACTCTCGTCGCCTAGATGTAATCCCGGAATACCGACCAGATCAATTGGCATTCCACCCTCAGCATCAACTTCAATATTAGGCTCCTCACGGCGTGCCAAGTTTGATGCGAAACCGGGGGTGAGAAAGCGGCTTAAACCCTCGTGTGGGATGTCGAGGAACTTGGGGGGCATGTCCGGGGGAGGAAGGTCATTGCGATAGCGGAGAGACGCAATATACTCTTGGTGGAATCCACCAGATGAGTGGCCATCCTTGGACTTTGAAGACATCTTGTCTTAATTTGCTCTCGCAGTTCTCAACAACGACTGGGCGAACACACGCGCATCAGCATATGGGTCTGCGTCTGAGCGGTATGAAATGGGGGCTCACTGGAATGGAATCAGGGGCTGTCGCGTGACTAAGAGCAGGTCGCGCAATTCTATATTATCCAGTCAGCACACGAATTCCATTCGAATTGGAAGGTAATTGGTCGCAAACCTACCCCCAAGTGAAGCTCAAAGATTTATGAAGAGGCACAGACAGGATAAAAATTATTAAAATGGCAATGAGATGAGAGTCGGTTTTCTTGGCTATCGGCGAAGAAATCTCGGTCCAGACTTGCGACAGGTGCAGCTGGAGGAATAGGCGAAAGCTGCTATCCAAGCCAGACTCCGGAGTTGAGCCAGAGAATCATCATTTTGCCCGAATCCACCGCCCGTAGATTGAGCAGGACAAAAGGTGCGTGGAAACAAGTCAACTATCACGTGAATGATAAAGGAATGTCAGAGCGAGCGGAGAAACTACCTCGGATGTGCGTGGATGTAAGAGAAAGTGCGCGCATTTGGCCGAACTATAGATTCCATTTGATCTCTCACTGCTTAGAGCTCTTTGCTCATATTTCCCGAGGTCATCCAATCACCTGCTCCTTTCGTGCTCATTGGATTCCATTGTATTAAAAAAACTGAAATTCCTTTTGAATTTAACCAAAAACATGCAAATCGTTACTCCCACGCCGAATTCTCATAATACCATAAATAAATCTCCATGCTCAGTAGGCCCACATGCACTTATACGCCATCAACCGGGGACCAAGACGATCATACTCCAGCCTTCCGATCCAACTGTCATTTGTGGAGTTCAGCTTCCCGAAAATACTGGCTCCTTTCCACACAACGACTTGAGGATCGAGATCTCTGGGCGGTGTCCCGATCATGATCTCCTTTGCAAAGCTAGGGCGCAGAGTTTGCAGTCGCTCTTCAAGGAATAGGTGGAATCCACTGGTCAGACTGCCACCACCAACTACCATGATACCGCCAATGAAGTCTCGCATCTTCTTCTCATCGGAGCGAGCTGCGTGGGCAATGGAGGTGAGAATAGCGTTGTCTAGACCGAAGATGGGCATGATGTCATCTCTTTCTTCGACAGCGGGGGGACGGGGAGGTTGAGCTGCGGGGGCCGCGATTGCGGGTGTGCTTGCCCCTCCGGCTTGAGGAGTTCCTGTGTTCTCCGGTGCCGGAGAGCCAGCGACAGAAGATCGAGGGGTGCCCTCAACATCGTGAACTTTGCTTAAAGGATTGAGATGCTGGGGGCGGCTTGGTGTAGCATCCGGCGCCACTGAGTGAGACTCCCCATTTATCTTAGGCAGGGGAGGCGCAATGGCAGTCAAGATCTCTGACTGTGCGGCAGAAGTAGGATCATTAGATGACCCATCGTATATGTCTACGGATCGATCGATCAAGGTTCGTCTTCCCTTGATTTTTTCCGAATTGTCGAAAATAGCAGGTTCGAAGACACCCATTGGCGCAAGATGAACTTCATCAAAGGCCTTGAAGGCATATTTTCGCGTATCCTGGCCTGCTACGCGAAGGTGAAACTCGAAGACTTGAGGAGAAACGCTGGCTTCGTTCATGGTGCAGATGTTCTTCTTAAGCTCTTCGGCCAGAAGGAAATCGTGTCTGCGTCGGAGATTGATGTCTGCGTAAGGGAAATGGTCATGCAACATCATTTTGACGAATGTTTCGGTCATGTCTTGACCGCCGAATTTCAGATTCACTCTGGAGTTTTCAATGCACATTCCTTCTTCCACACAGCAGATCGAAGTCTTTTGTGCTCCAATATCGACAACACAGGCCGACGTGAATCCAGCACCAAATGTGGCTGCCAGACTCTCTTGGATGAAACACACTCGAGCGAAAGCAAACTCTCGCATCAACATCTCCAGAACCTGAGTGACATAGGCCTTGTCATACAGATCTGGAATGACGAATACACACGAGTACTGAGCCCAATCCGTCTTGCTGGTCAACTGCAGTTGATTCTTGATCGCATCCTCCAGAATCAACGAAATATCCAGGAATAGAGACCTCTTGCTCGCATAATCCTTCTCGTTGCACCAACCATTCTGGATTGGCCAGTACAACTTGTATCGAGGTTTTGAAGAATCCGGTACTCGCAGGGCCGGCTGTCCGACAATATACTCTGGTGGAGGGCTAGAAAGTTCGGTCCATTCAGCACGCATCGGGTCATTGTGTTCAGAAATAATTTCCGGTGCAGTTCTGCGATTGTAGTTTACCACCATCTCCTTGGAGTTTGGAAGCATCCTTCGCTTATTTTGTCGCATGTGCACCTTCAAATCCGCAGACATCCGATTGAAATGAGACGACCACTATAAAGGAAAGTTAGTACACAATCGAAGTAGAGCAGCAGTGAACATACGTCAGATCCAAACATCTTCTCTGGCTCCATCTCAGAGCCATCATCATATTTAAACCTTTTGGGCTTGGGTTCCTCGTGTTCTTCGGACTCATTCGTGGCTGATTTCCTCGCAATCACCATCGGCAATGTCTTTGGCAGTGCATCGCTGGCAAGTCCAATTCGTAGATTTTGACTACCCATATGGATGACGATAACCTTGGAGCCAACCATCTCGGCGGGGGTCTCCTCCGTATCCTCCATATGAGTGTCACCTTCTACCTCCCCCTCTCCTTCTCCAGTCTCGGTTTTGGCCATAGCCATGGCACGGTCATGATCCTTCGCTTTCTTCGTCATTTTCGTCCTTGCTTCTTCATTTTGGAGTCGGAATGCGAGGTTTTGGTCATCGCGTTTCAGGTAGTCCCTAAATTGCGCAATCAGAATTGTCGGTCCGATGTTTGATATGAGCTGGGCACATACGTATAGTAGTTCTTCTGGTTGATTGCTGGAATCTGCGGCCAGCTGGATAATTCCATGTTATTATCGGTCCGCTCCAGGCCTACGACAAACGTTAGCTCCTCTGTCAGCGACGCATGCAATCCGGTAACTCGTTGGGTGCGGTCTTACCCTCATCCCGGAGGGCCTTGCCCGACTTCTTCCCGACCATGTTGGTATGTTTCGGACGGTGGTCGGCTATCTGTAATTGAGATTGATCGCGGCAAATCAAGGGATTGCGCCGGAGGTGATTGCAGCCCCCAGGTTGCAGTTTGAAGGCAGATATGTGGTGCAAGGGGGTGATGAAAGTGAAGAAGATCCCAATAGCACAGAGGGGAAGGGACAATGGGGTTTTCGAAATGAGCTCCAATCCCGCAAGATGATGATCCCCCGATTGACCGCCCAGACCGCACAGGCCGATCGACCAAAGAACATATGCGGTTGCCACCAGCACCTCTTCTCTTTCACCTGTTCTATCTCTCTTGTTTCATAACCCATAGCGCGTTTGTCCCCTTCGATACACAGGATCCTCACGGTTGACGCGCCACTCGCTCAAATCATCGTCCTTGGCTCCATACTCATCCGGGCAACCATCAGTGAATTGAACACAACGCGCTAATCGTACACATCATGGGAGGCTCACTATCGCGTATCTGGTCCCTGCTCTGGTCCAAGAAGGAGATCCGCATCCTGATTCTAGGGCTTGTATGTAGTATCCCACTGCGTCCCGCGAACGCGGGGAAAGCACGAGCTCATTCAGATGACAAGGACACTGACTAATATTCTTTTACGAAATTTAGGATAACGCTGGAAAGACGACTTTGCTTTATAGGCTCAAGGTAGGATATTAAACGCTCGATGTTTGGTTTTGAGGCGCGTTCGAGTGTCTGAGATTCGCGGGGCTGACACCTTGCGCCTACAGATTGGCGAGGTTGTCACCACGATACCTACTATCGGTTTCAACGTCGAATCGGTCACATATAAGAATCTCAATCTGAATGTTTGGGTAGGTGTTATTATTCTAAAAGCTTGTTCAATTGGTCACTAACATCCTTGGGTTGGATAGGATCTCGGTGGTCAAACTTCTATTCGCCCGTATTGGCGATGTTATTACGCCAACACCGCCGCCGTGGTATTCGTCATCGACTCCACTGATATCGAGCGGCTAGGAACCGCGGCAGATGAATTAGCAGCCATGTTGAACGAGGAGGAACTTCAAGATGCGGCATTGCTGGTATTTGCCAACAAACAAGATCAACCCGGCGCCAAGGGCGCAGGTGAGATCTCAGAGGCTCTGAAGCTGGGAGAGCTGCGGGACCGAAACTGGAGTATTGTCGCTTGCTCTGCCATTGATGGCAAGGGTATTAATGAGGGAATGGATTGGCTGGTGGTTCGTTTCTTTCCCCGATCCCAACTCAAGGGGTCATTAACTAACTGTATATGCACCTACAGCAAACAATCCAGTCGGAGGATGCATGATTTTCTGGTTTTTGTGTGTCGGGTTTAGATTTCCATCTTTGATACCTTGGTGTTCGGGTTTCTCGCACGACTCGAAGGCCTTCTGCTGCATTCGGAGTGATGTATCGCTTCTTCCCTTCGACTCTGCTAAATCTGGCAGAGTTCTTGTCTTATACTTCTTCATTATTGTTCCGGTTTCAGTTCTACGGCTTGCAGATAATTGTTTAATTGAATCGTTGACGCTCCACTGTAAAAGGGAAGCGTCATTCTACGACATATCTAGGTAGTAAACCAAGGATAATGCATATCGATACCTCCTCCATCCTCAGGCTGCACCTGCTCTACCCAAGAGCAAGATCTTCCCCAAGGTCACCTTGGCGTAGGCTCCACAGATTCTTATAAACCCTCGGGCTTTAGATTTCAAGGTAGATGATCTGCTATAGAGCTTCTTTCGAATATATCTGCTAGGAATAGGTCCTCCTATGGTATTTGTAAAGTTAAATGGAAGTGATAGAAGCGCGAGGGCTAAAAAGTGGGATAGGAGGCCCTGCGACTCCGTCCCCACTTAACGGTATGTACTGCTCCACCAGGTATCATGCTCGTGGCTAAGGACTGGAACTCCCCGTTCTAGTGAGAGATCTTCAAGGTATCATCTACTTTCCAGCATCCAATTCTCACCATGGTCAAGTGAGACAAACCAAGGAAGCCCCAAACTACACTCGATCAGTTACCTATTGAAAGCAGACTCGCGATTTTCAAGTACGATGCAGAAGATTGCAAGGACGCAATTCACGGCCGATTACTTCCGAAATCTTTTGATCACTGGGTACACCAGCTGTGTATAGTTTGCGGCATCAGATGCCACTATTGCTTTGCCCAGGAGCTCCGCGGGGTGACCCCAGAGTTCACCCGAGCCTTGAATGCCCGAGACATCATGAGCGGTATCATTCCAACCATCTCCGCCCTCGATGAGGCTCCTTACTGTATATTGCATCCCGATGTCTCGAGCGAGGATGCTCTGCGGGCCCTTGTTCATCGATACCCATATATGATCTATCATGCTGTCCGTGCCTGTGCACCTTAGCCCTCTTCCGGAGGTGCATGTCGCAGAACAAGCTGGTCATGCAAGCATCCAGAAAACCAGCAAGGGTAGCCAGGAGATTTATTGGCATATGCTCTCCCACCCCGCAAAATTCGCAGTCATAAACGACTACAAGCGGACGGTTGATTTTGGGGAGCGTTCGAATCACACCTTTGAATGGCGATACTGCTGTTTGTTCTAGTCTTCCAGCCAGGTCAAAGTACTCTGCCTCTCAAAGTATTCGGGCTGACAAGAGGCCATGGATTTCGAATTGGATTTACTTCAACATTACCGAGGACTTCGGTATAGATGATTATGACTGCGAGGCGCCCAAGACACCAGATGATGATTTGGCACTGATATATATCCCTCTGCCTGCAGAGCTCCCGCTCATCAACAAGGATAGTCTGATCTATGTTGTCGCGGGCGACATTGACCGCCACGCACGACTTCGAACACCAGAGATGCTCGAAGATGAAATTGGTATTGTCATACGGGGTATCTACCACAATGCATTCTTTGCCAAATACCTAGTGGGATACGCAGATTCCCGAACACCCACGTCCGGGGGGTAATCACACGCTTATTCGGCGTGCAATTAGTGCCCGGCGTTTTATGTCCAACGATCTATCTTGAGTCACGGCGAGTACCCCGGGTCACCTACTACCCAAGATTGCGGTCTTGCTATATCGACGTGAACACTCTGTATTTTCCGTCGTTGAGACCGATGCTGTGCGTTGATAAACCAGTGCAGCGATTCTCCGATGAAGGTCCAAACGACGGAATAGATGGCTATATTGGTGATGTGGATCGTGCTGTGTTTATTATGGATGCGGGAGGGGATCTTGGGAGGAAGCGAAGAGGAAGCAAGATTCACCTTGCTTCCACCTGCAGCAAATTTATGAGTTATTGGAGGAATAAACCAAATCAATGAATCAATGCGTCTTGTCATATCTTCCGTGATATTCTTTTGTAGTCCTTACCCCGCTCACTATATTCTACGGAGTATGCCCGATCATCATACCTAAGCCGCAAGCGGAGCGGTCTCTTCCGATAACCCGACCAGAGAGGTATTAGGTATTTCACTTAAGGGGAATTAGAAGAAATCCCGTAACATCAATCTCTGCAGAACCATAGTTAAGCGCTAAAATCAGTGATGTCGAGGTTCCTGGCTGATTGTATATATCCAAGGCAAATATAGCAATTCCCTCGTTCTATATTGCATATATCACATATAAGAGACTTAGTAGGTACGCAGTTATAATACCTAGTTCGACAGACAACCCACTTTCTATAACAGAACGAGAAATCCTGGCCCTTCTTAAAAGCCAACGCGATGATTCTTATGACGGTAAACCAGAAGCTCTTTTCACCTTGGGCTTAAGCGTCGAGAATTACCCGCGTAACCTAACACCTGCATCAATTGACAATTGTTCCTTCCTTTATTCCCTCCTTATTCTCTACTTAAGTAGCTTCCTCTACAAAATGCAGTCTCTTACCCCATTTTCTGATGGTTGAGCTGTTATCTTTACGTCTCTCCTCACCCCGCATCTCCGATACCACACAAAGGCCGCCTATCGGATCAGGTCTCAAATACCGAGCTATTTAAACAACCGTCGCTAATAAATAGTCAGACTTCCTCTGAGACCCCATTGCAATCTCATTTCCCAAACATTGAACAAGATGGCGGTCCCTCAAATCCAAATCGCTGCTGTTATCGAGCCCACCAAAACGCCCGTCTCCGCAAAGGTGGGGATTAGGAGCAATCGCCCGGTCCCAACCCCAGGAAAAGGCGAAATCCTCGTCAAGCTCGAGTTTTCTGGAGTGTGTCACTCGGACATTCATAGCATCCGTGGTGATACGCCTATGTTGACTGATGTCGCCGGTCATGAAGGTATTGGGAAAGTAGTCGGAGGTAAGAATCACTTCGTTGGGTCTCCAGCTTAGTACATATACTCACGTTCATCGTTGCCATTAGTCGGACCGGAAGTGGACGAGAAGCAATGGATGGGAACGCGCGTTGGTATCAGGTCTGTCCCCAGCGAAACCCAGTCATCTGGTAAGAACCACGTTGACGAGTCATTCGCACCATTAGGTGGCTCTACAGCTCTTGTCGCGAGTGTGAAATTTGCGAAATCAACCATACCGCATGTCCATATCAGAGAAATGCTGGTGCAGTAAGTGGTCGATCAACTCACATTCGCATTCGTCTCCCGTTATGGATATTGTTACTTATTGCCTTGGTGAACCACAGAACGTACCTGGAACTTTCCAGCGTAAGTTTACTGCCTCCCTCGCCTATACAGGATCCAATAGAATTCTTCTAACATCATGCTTCAGAGTATATTGTCAGTCCAGCGCTGCATGTGACAAAGATTCCGGAACAGCTCTCGCCAGATAGTGCCGCACCTCTTCTGTGTGGTATGTCGTTCGGTGGAGATTTGCAGGTACAAACGCTAATCATGCCCAGCTGGAATTGCGATGTACTCTTCCATCATCAAGACCAAAACTCGCCCGGGAGATTACCTTGCCATCCTTGGTGCCGGAGGTGGTCTTGGTCATATGTATATGCCCAGCCCAGCGTTTAGTCATAGGAAGTCTGTTTGCTGACAAAAAGGTTACTTGTAGGGGAATCCAGATTGCCGCCAAGAAAGGCATTAAGGTGATTGCAATTGACAGGTACATGATACTCCAACCCATTATTCTCTATGTCCTGTGCATGATGCTGACTTGATGATGTCCCAAAAGCGGAGAAAAGAAAAAGCAACTCTGTCTTTCCCTTGGGGCTACGGAATTCCTAGACTACAGAGAGGTCGATATCGTCGAGGCAGTCAAGGCCACGACTAAGTTCGGTGTACATGGCGTGATCTGTACTGCCAACGGTGAGCGGGCATACGAGCAAAGTATGCAGATGCTGCGCCCTCTTGGCACGCTGGTCTGTGTCGGTATTCCTAGCAGCCCATTCAAGCTGCCAGCTACGCCCTTTGATATGATTGTCAAGGGTAAGTGTCCTAACATTTGAGCTTCCAAGTATTGGGGTCAAAATACGAACTAGGCTGATGTGTTGATATAGGTCTCACCATTGTTGGAAACTCGGCTGGAACAGCAGATGAGATGGATGATTTGCTAGCTATGGCAGTAGCTGGCGATGTCAAGGCGCATATTGACATCTTCGAGTTGGATGAGATCAATGATGTGTTGGACCGCCTGGAGCGCTCGGAGATTGATGGCAGAGTGGTTCTGAGAATCCCACAATAGTGGCGATGGCTAGAAACTTCTTGGGTTCAGTGTTCTTTTTTTTCATTGATAAGTTTATGGTGACTTGTGAAGTTAATATCACCTTCTAGACTTCCTGACTTCTAGACGTCCATCTTGAACTTATGTTGATACCGGAGAGGGTTTCTTCAAGATAAGCTAACTAGTCGTCGGCTTCGAATCCCTGTTTAATGAACAATAAACGCAAAGGAGCAAAAAAAATTGAAAGAAAGAAATAAGTCCAATTCCAGAAGGCATCTTGAATGACGCAAAAAAAGAAACGTGGTTCCAGAGGGGGTCGAACCCTCGACTTTGGCGTTATTAGCACCACACTCTAACCAACTGAGTTATGGAACCCGGTTATTGTGACATTCAGCGGAATATGGCACTATAGTCACTGCCGAGCGCGAGTGTTCACATCCAGTGGCCTAAGGGCTGCGCTAGACCATGTAAGGCTAGCGCAGACTAGCGCATATGTCATATCTGACTTAAACCCACAGCACATGGGACGAATATGATACCCCAACAATGGATTATCTGCCATTTTTGATATAATGAACAATTCCATGAAGCGAAAATACTGCTTAGAGTAGTTCCACGCATTTTAAGCACTCGATATGGGCTGATAGACTGCAATTGGTCCTGCCCTAACTGGGCGTTTTACCGATAGTGGAGTATACTCAAGCATAATCCACAAAATCCGACATCCACACAATAACCAGGTTCCATAACTCAGTTGGTTAGAGTGTGGTGCTAATAACGCCAAAGTCGAGGGTTCGACCCCCTCTGGAACCATCATTCAAGTCATCAGGATCTCCTGGTGATTCATTTTTTGCCCTCAACTGATACGAACGCCCATTGCGCCGGCTGGATTTTTGCTTTCCAAGCCAATAGAGATCTGGTACGCTTGATGACTATTCAAATCAATACCAGAAAGGGTTGGTGTAAAAAATATCAGCACAGACGTGAGTGATCCCATTGGTACATCTATAGGATTTTCATGGTGGTATGTATATATACCCAAGGTTCCTTTTCATTAGATGGCCTCCTGGGATTAAGCAGAAATACTACTAAATCGGACAAAGACACCAAAAGGACTAACTTGTATGTGAATAATTGTTTTTTGGCACCAGAAAATGAAGTCATCAATCAGCTCATATGCTCAACGCATTTCCCACCTCAATCACACTCTTTATCCCCCTCCTCTAGCATCAGATACCCCTACCATAATGTGCCTACCACTCCAAGATCCTCAGGAATGACTTCCAATTAGAACCCACTCATCCAATAAAAGTATGAACATGTCCATGGAACCTTGAAATGGGACTCGTCCAGATTTGCTGCTTTGCTATAGAGATAACCCTTCTCTCCAACTTGCATATTGATTTGCTTCCATGTCCTCTGGATCAGAGTGATATCAGGGGTTTCTGTGATGACTGAATGGGTGCATCTTGATGTCAGTCACGTATATAATGCATTCTATCAAACAAATAGGGCTTTCTCCGCGAGCGATCATTATGAGTATCAATGGGGAGCAATATTACAGAACGAAGACACTCATACTAGGGAGGATGGTAGGAAAGGTGGAGGATATTACTGAGGGAACATTGATATGTGACCTACATACCCATAGCCACATTATTTGCTTGCTGCATGGTGACTAAGTGTTTTAGGCTTCTATTGCTGATCTGGAGGTCTATAACCAAATGGCTGTATAGTCAGTATTTGCTATTTAGCCACTTGATGTCCACACGGCAGTCTATTTGACATTCAGCACCAGTTTTAAGTCACTTGCGACTTTGTTGACTTCCCCAGGCCACCTACCCAACCCCGCCCAGAGACCCTTTCTGCAACAACTACCGCCAGACTAGTCACAATCACTCCCTCAAGTATCCCATCAGAATTAGCATCTAGTTGAGCAATAACATTCAAACAGCCTAGAATCCGTTGATCGGTCTTATTCTGCCACACTGCAAGAATATCATCTGGGGTTTCCGCAGCAAAGAACTTCAGGTTGCCGTTGCCACTACTAGAACGAGTGTCTGTTCCCTCGGTCTCGAGCAATGACAATGCAGATTTAGACCCTTTCCAATAGAATGTTTTGACGGTTCCGGCTTGTATAATCTCAACTCGGTATGTTCTTCCAATTCCCTTCCGAAAAATTTCTATCGAGCAGTGCTTGACGAGATCTGCAGATTTTTGCCCAGAGCTAGGATTTCCCATATGAAGGGCTGTAGATTGTGCCTGGCAGAACATGTCCACGGTTACATGAAGACCCAGCAAACCCTGAAACCCACGGTAGTGAATGTATGCGCGGTGATCTTGTGGCGCAGGCGATGGATCTTTCCGGCTGCGCACAATATTGCCCCCAGAATACAGATCAAATGATGCTGGAAGATAGAGGCCCTGGCGATACCAGGGAATACGCAGCGTGTGGTATACTGGACTTGGAGATTGAGCCAGTCCACCCGAAGGATGAACCTGAAGACAGAAGCTAAAGGCATTTGTACCTAGTGCCACCTGTATAGATTGGTGAGCATAATTGATCGATTGCCGAGTTTGGATGGATGAAACAACAACACATCAACCTCAGATGGGAACATACATCCTTGAAAACATTGAATGACCGATAGGGCTCCCTTCTGCGGTGAAACCCAGGCTCTGCTTCTTGGTTTCTGGCAGTGGATTCTTGTGGGGATGCTGCATGTTCTTGATCAATCAAACAAGAAGCATCCTCATCACCGAAACAGACATGATCAGACCCCCCGGCCAAGGATCTGGTTGCCTTTCCCTGCGTCCTCATCTTGGCTTGAGCTTCTGGCTGGCGATTTTGAGTGATCAATAGAGGAGATCAAACAGTGGGATCAACTAGACAATCCCTCTTATGTGCAGCTGTTCAGATATTGGGGGAAATCAAGATATTTACGACACGAGAGGTTGAGATGAGGGTGGTCATAGCCAAGTCTTGGTAAAGTTGCCCGATACGAGCTCGTGATCATGAAAGAGAACATCGTCAGTCAACATATCTCATTAATTTTGCAAGTGCTGCTCAAATGTGTTTAAGCCAATGAGAATTGCGGCTAATACCCAAAGACTTATCACTATCTAAAGCCATCAAGATCATAAGTGAAGACAAGGAAGATGACGCGAACCACGAATGAAGATCACATACTTCACGAGTATACCGCCCTACAGATTCTGCCTGTCCTATCGCCACCGCCCGGACTGTACAGCCAAAGAACCCGAAACCGCCCTTGGGAACCGCAAGGGACGTGCGAGAACCTCGGATCGTGCTCAATTGCAATTGTAAGTGTTTGGCTGCGTTTAAGTTGATCTGCATGGAATGCTCCAACCGGCCAGCTAGAATGCACGCGGATTGGAGCTATTCAAGCTCAACAACCCCGGTTACAATCCACTATCAATCGCAAGAGCTAACCGTTGGATAGGTTCGATCGGGCGTTGCTCCGCCGGTGAAGGCAATTAAATCCGCACACAATAAAAATGGCTTCTAACTCCGCAACAATGGCTTGGAAAGCCAGTATTCGGGCTCGTGCCTTCCCTACATCCCGTTGGACTCAACGGCCGTCGGCATTGGCACAGAAGCGGGTCAGCCGCTCCCCCGGTGTTTCGCGATATGCTTCGGACTCCGCTGCATCTGCGCCCGCCGAGGCAGCCAAGGAGAAAGTGAAGGATGCGGTCAAGGAGGCCGCTAAGGAAACTGCGAAGGATGCTCCCAAGGAGATCCCCCGCAAAGCAGGCCGTAGCTCTAAGAAGGCCTTATATGGTACCTCATTGGCCTTGACATTGCTGGTTGGGTACATCTATGGAACCGATACCAGGGCTAGCATCCACAGATATGGAGTGGTGCCTCTGATCCGTGTTCTGTGGCCCGATGCGGAGGATGCGCACCACATTGGTGTGGAGAACCTGAAGATGCTCTACCAGTTTGGTCTTCACCCTCGCGAGCGTGGTGACCCGGACCGTGATGGTGCCTTGGAGACTGAGGTAATGGGCTTATCAACCCGGATGATAACCAATTGCTAACAAGACCGTTCCCAGGTCTTCGGGTACACCATTTCCAACCCTATCGGTATCTCTGCCGGTCTAGACAAGCACGCCGATGTTCCGGACGCGCTGCTCGACATCGGTCCTGCCATCGTCGAGGTCGGCGGCACCACCCCTCTGCCACAGGAAGGAAACCCGAAGCCTCGTGTGTTCCGCCTGCCCTCGCAACACGCCATGATCAACCGCTACGGCCTCAACTCCAAGGGTGCCGATCACATGGCAAAGGTGCTGAAGCAGCGTGTCTCTGACTTCGCCTACGCTGCTGGATTCGGCCTGCACGAGCAAGCTGAGCAGCGCGTTCTGGATGGTGAAGCCAACGTCCCTCCCGGCAGTTTGGTCCCGGGCAAGCTGCTCGCCGTGCAAGTCGCCAAGAATAAGCTCACCTCTGATTCGGACATCGAGGCCATCAAGCGTGATTACGTTTACTGCGTTGACCGAGTCGCACCGTACGCCGATATTCTTGTTGTGAACGTTTCCAGCCCTAACACCCCGGGTCTGCGCGACCTCCAAGCCGCGGCACCCCTCACAGCCATCCTGACTGCAGTCGTCGCTTCGGCCAAGAACGTCAAGCGCAAGACCAAGCCCTATGTGATGGTTAAGGTCAGCCCGGATGAGGACTCCAACGAGCAGATTTCCGGCATCTGCGAGGCCGTCTGGAACTCTGGCGTCGATGGCGTCATTGTCGGCAACACCACCAACCGCCGACCCGACCCCCTGCCCCAGGGCTTTGTCCTCCCCGACGAGGAACAAAACACCCTGAAGGAGACTGGTGGCTACTCTGGCCCTCAATTGTTCAACCGCTCTGTCGCGCTCGTTGCCCGCTACCGCGCTCTGCTTGACCAGGGACCCCCGTCGGCGGCGGATGCCAAGTCCGATGCCCCTGAGACCGACTCTGATACGGTTGTCAAGAAGGTGGCCGAGCTTCCACGGAAGGTCATCTTCGCTTCCGGCGGTATTACTACTGGCAAGGAGGCACGTGAGGCACTCAACGCCGGCGCCTCAGTTGCTATGATGTACACCGGTATTGTCTACGGAGGTGTCGGCACTGTCACGCGAGTCAAGCAGGAGTTGCGCCAGGAGCTGCAGAAGAAATAAAGCGGTGTAACTACCTTCCTTTTGGTCATTGATAGATTCTGTAAATAAAACGGAAATGAACAAGAAAAAAAGCACTCTTTTGCATTGTCATTTTTCCTATTTTGATTCTTGCATCCGTCATGCACGAGGTTTTCGTCCGAGAGATATTCAATCGACCGACAACAGCCATGCGCTATCAAATGTACTACAATGGAACAACCAAGTCAGGCAGTGCCGAGATCAAAAATGCGAAAAGGGGGTATTGACAACTGTCGGTAATAATTGCACACTGCCTCCGACCGCGAGGCACGATGTATATCAAGATCTCGGATTACTCGATCAGTGCAAGAAGGAGCCCTGGAGTCCACCACAACCCCCGCCAAGGGACACTATAGCATCGGAGAGTGGACCAGGAGAGCTGCATAGCTTCGCATGGACAGGGCCCATGCAACCTAGACACCAAGTCAGAACCTATCAGACTCGCACATGACCCAGAAATGGAGCCGAGGCCCTAGCTTCCGAGTTCCATGCAGAAGCCCAAAGAAAAGAAAAAAAGCTTTAGAGTCTGAGACGCAAATCTCTGATCGCCCGCGTGACCCTGAAGCAACGAAAAAACCGGGGAAATGAACTTCTCGTCTCCACCGAGTGGGTTGGCGCTCGGGTTCCCCCAGATAGGCTTCCCGGCAGCTCGGCCTTGGAGATATCCCCGTTTTGGGCTTTTTTGGGGGGTCCCGTGAGAGGATGTCTAGATGAGCCTGTAGTTCTTTTTTGGGGTTATTTCTTTTTTTCTGTTTAAGTTGTGTTATGTACTTTTCCGTATAACGATGACGAGGACCTGTATGGTGCGAAACACAATACCGTGTAAACATACACACTTATGGCATAAGGTGTCAAGGTGTCGAAGACACTTTTAGCTGCAGATAGTGAATCTGGCGAAGAATCTCAAGAGATATACTTGTGTGGTATTATACCACTAGTGTCTCCTCTACCTCACGAACAACCTTGCGCACGCCGTCAATTTCATGCGCAAACCGGCCCAAAAACATCCCATCAACAGCCCGGCCAAGCCCTCCAGCACCCCAAAGACCAGGCCCCGCACTGCCCCCGTACAGCACACGCGCAGTGCCCGGCCGGGCGCCGATAACAGCGCGAATGCCCTGCACAACGGCCGCGACGTGGTCGACGCCCGCAGGCCTGGGCTGGCCAATGGCCCAGACAGGCTCGTAGGCGAAGATCACGGGCGCGTCGGCAGGGATAGCAGCCAGCACGGCGCGGACCAGCACGGCGCACTCAGAGACAGCCTGGCCGACGGCTTCGGAGGCGACAGCGCCGGGCGCAGTCACCTCGCCGACGCAGACGAGTGGCACCATGTGCTGTGCGCAAGTTGCGGCGGCTTTGCGCGCGGTTTGCTCATCTGACTCGCCGAAGATGGCGCGTCGCTCGGCGTGGCCGAGTTCGACGATTGAGCAGCCCAGGGCGTGGATTGAGGTGGGTGATACCTCGCCTGTGTATGCGCCTTGGGGCTCCCAGAAGCAGTCTTGGGCTCCTAGGAGGAAGGGGGATGGGGATGTGGAGATCCCGGTGCTGGTGAGCTGGGCTTCGTATTCTTTGAGAATTTGCGCGCAGGGCCAGATGGTCAGGAAGTCGGGGATTAGAGCTAGGAGGAGCTTATCCCGGTTTTCGGGGTGCACAATCTCGTTGGATGGGTTGAGCAGGTCCCGGAGATAGGTGAGTGTGCGGTCTGGGGTGAAGTACATCTTCAAAGAGATGAGAAGTAGCTTCTCTGGGAGAACTGGATAGCTAGATGCCATGGTGATTGTTGGAGTTGTGAATGTTGGGTGTTGATAGATTGAGGAGGTCGTCGGCGAGGGATGTGTTTAGCGTGCCTGTTTAGGCTGACTCTTCGGGTGGCTTTTTCGGAATAGTTGCTTTGGATGGAAAGGAAATCGAAGCGAGCCACCAATGTCGCCAATTCTCGTAATTCCAAGAATATATTGGCAAGGGGGTAATTTTCAAGACTCCGATGTGGGAATGCACATCCCGCTCACGCATTAGCGCCATTTTTGCGCCAGTCGTTCCGAAGCTCCTTGAGGTTAGTGTATGGAGGTGCCATCTGAGTGGCGTTATGATTCAGAACAGGGGGATAAGACAGACCATTCGGAGTACATCCTGCCGGAGTTCAACAATTGTCTCGTACCCAGTATCGAGTAAACCGAACTATGATAGGATGGACAAGTGCCAATGTAGATGTAGCACCAGGCACATCGTAGCCCTGGAAGAGGGGCACCAAAACCTAGAATATAGTATGCGACGTAATAAAACCATTCCGGTGTTGCAATTGTCCAATGGTCCTGCGGGTTGGCACTTTGCACTTGTTGTGTATAATATATGGCACTCCACAATTGTTACTACATGTAGACTGCAAACGTTATCTGTATACCACTCACAGAGTACAATGTACGAAGTACAAGACAAGTGAAGTCGAGCATGATGTACTATTAACATCATAGCAACAGTGCCGATCGATTGAAAAAGTCGGAAATCCGGAGTTCGATGCAAAGAACCGGTTATGGGACTAATGTCAGCGGTCGCGGGCCAACAATATGGGGATGGTGGAGTTGCAGTGGAGAACACCTTTGCCTGGCGAGACCCGAGCCATGAGGCAATGCACATCAATGCGGGTTAGCGTCTGAGGAGAGATAGCCGTACATCTGGTGGATTCGACCCGATTTTCGTGGGAAATCAAACTTGGAAGTTCGCAACGGAAGCAATTCACTGTATGTGGTTTAGTATGTATATCAAACGCTGCCAGGTTTTTGGCATCAAGGGCCCTGGATCTAGCCCCGGTAAGGTCAGCAATTCCGATAGTTCCCCCTCTTCCCGTCTGAAGATGCGGCTGGCTCGGGGATATGGCTGTGTATCCTAGGCATACAACATACGAGATGCCCAGGCTTTAGCCACGGAAACGAATCCTGGTGTCGGGGAAACAGATGAAACCCAAGACCCCGGCCCTTGGCCTTGGAGGCACCAATATTGAAGGAGGAAGTTGAGCAGCCATGTCTGTGCAAAAGCCACACCCGTCTGCTTGATAGTTCCCGTATTCACCACTGACATCGATGGCTTAAGTGTGGCAGAGACCGAAGCCCGAGGCGTTACTCAAGCCAGCGCCGGCGAGGTTTAATAAAACATCCCGTGTAATACGAGGTAAGATGCATGTATGGCGTAAAACAAGACCCCTAAAGTATCCGACCTCGGTTTAATGTCGTTGTGGCACTGGCCACTCAGAGCCCGTCCTGGGGTGCTATGATGCTAGGGCGGGCCACCCTGGACGCTGAGAATACACGGCGTAATCATCTCAAGGTTAGAACCAAACAATTCCAATTTCTCGGTGGAGAAACGGCTGTAGATGATTCCAATAGCAAGGATTGGCTGGACCTGGGATTTGGTTGCACGGCTACAGGGAGAAGAGAGAGGGGAAGAAGCTGAGTAAAAAGATATAAAGACCCCCTTGGATACTCCCAAATCCGGACTTCTTTTCTATATACCAAAAAACTTCTCTGTCTCTATCTTCCTCAAATTTTTATCCTTCTTAATCAAGTTATATACCCTATTCCTTGTATATTTTTGATCATCATGTCTGCTCCCCTCCGCATTGTTATGGCTTGTGACGAAGCCGGTGTCCCCTACAAGGATGCTATCAGAGCCACTCTTGAGAAGAACCCTCTCGTCGCCGAGATCATTGACGTCGGGGTCAACTCAACCTCTGATAAGACTGCTTATCCTCACCCTGCTGTCGAGGGTGCTAAGCTCATCAAGGATGGCAAGGCAGACCGTGGCCTCTTCATTTGCGGCACTGGTCTCGGTGTGGCCATTGCCGCCAACAAGGTGCCTGGTATCCGTGCCGTGACTGCCCACGATCCCTTCTCCGTGGAGCGCTCCATCCTGAGCAATGATGCCCAAGTCCTGTGCATGGGCCAGCGTGTCATCGGTGTCGAATTGGCCAAAAAGCTTGCCACTGACTGGCTCAACTACCGCTTCGATCCCAAGAGTGCCTCCGCTGCAAAGATCCAGGCCATTTCCGACTATGAGACTCAGTTCCGCACTTCTGCATAGATCCCCAAACTGCCTGACACCTCAACGCTTATGACGTCTTGAGAGAAACCTCTGATCTGATGTTGCCGACATCTCCCAAATCTCCAACCTCCCGGCCTCCCCTTCAAAGCATGACTGGTCAAGTTTCATCGACTTGTCGGCATGATTGTTATGCCTTTCTTAGTTCTCACAGCGCATGATACCACGAACCAAATGTTACTTCCGCTTCCAGATTGGATTAGAAGACCACATAGATGTGTATATAGTCAATGAATACTATCATCAACCACCCATTATTCAGAGTAGACTCATACCAGGGTGCTGATATTGGCATAGCCACAACCGAAGGACAAATGAAGTGCCCACCTCACCTCCATCGTTGCCCAGGTGTCGGACCAAGTGGCTGAGTCAGATCTTCTGCGGGGATCCACGACTTTCTCTTTGCATTTGTAAATCATTTCAAGACAGTTTCAGAGATGAACTCACGGCGCTTCCGAAAGAATGAACCAAAGTCCATAAATCCCATTGATAGGCTTTCATGAACTGCAGCCATATCCACCTCCCCTGTCGGTCCTGACTCTATATGGTGGACCGCCCCACCTTGGGGAACCGATCAGCGCGACTCCAAATCTCAACTGACTCATACACATATCATGGCTCAAGAACTCAAGGCAAAGGGTAATGAGCTCTTCAAGGCTGGCGACTTCGTCGGCGCCGAAGATTTCTTCTCCCAAGCGTAAGATATCAGTTCCGGCCCCTCCATCCTCTCAACCCGCACAGCCCCCTCATTTCCGAATCGCCGATAATAAGATCCCCCAACTCACAAAACCCTGACTTCGTATTGAATAGAATTCAAAAGAATCCCCGCGATGCAACTTTCTTCACAAATCGTGCCATAACCCGAATCAAACTTGCCAAATGGGCTGATGTCGAACATGATGCCCGCGCCGCGATCGACATATACGGACTGAAGAATCCCGTCGTCCTAAAGAGCTGTTACTACCTTGCCCAAGCCCTCCTCGGTCTCCAGCGCCCGCAAGAAGCCTATGAAGTCGCGTCCGACGCGTATCAGCAGAGTCTGGCAGCTAAGAATGCCCAGACGGAGAACTTGTCGCGTACAGTTCTGCGCGCCAAGCAGCAGATCTGGGCAGCCAAGGAGACTGCTCGGGTGCGGGAGCTGAATGAAACACTGGGCGCCGTCGAAGTGCTCATTGAAGCCGATGTGACGCGTGCGCTGGCCGAATTGCAGGGCCGTCTGGATCGCGAAGAGATTGGAGAGATTGGGTTTATGGAGGATCAGAAGGCGCTGCGGGAAGATGCCGAAACCAAGGTTCAGAACCTGAGGGAGGCATTCCGAGTTGCCTCGAAGGGTGAGATTCAGGAACGGGTATGTTTTCGCTCTTGTTCGTTTGCGGGGGTTTGTGGGTTGTTGACATTCCGCGTGGCTTCTAGGTTGTTCCGGATCATTTGATTGACGGCATCACATTTGAAATCATGCATGATCCAGTCATCACACCATCGGGCGTCAGCTTCGACCGCGTCGGGATCACCAAGTATGTTGAGAAATCGGGTGTTGATCCTTTGACTCGGGCTCCTATATCTGTCCATGATTTGCGGAACAATTATGCTCTCAAGGCTGCCTGCGAGGAGTTCCTGACAAAGAACGGATGGGCAGTGGACTGGTGATTCATTTTCTTATCTTCTCTCTCATCTAATATGTACATTGCCTTGGGGATTCTTGATTTTATTGGTGCATAGCGAGGGATTTCCACAGCGGTCGCATAACGACATGCATCTGCAGGCGTGGGCTCCTACAGAACTTTATCAATTGCGTGTAAGATATTTTGTAAAAAGGACCCAATTGGAACAACCTGGAAAGCTTCAGTCTTGGAGGTATTGTCCATATTATCTCTAGAAAACAAAGCTTTAATGCCCTACGGCCCAGCCATGAACGAACTGGCGAGTGTGTCAGCGAACCCCACCACATACCCCTCTCTCAACCATCTCCAACTTCCTCAACAACCCCACATACAAATCCTCTGCTTCCTCTTCTTATCTTTCTTTGCATTCCAACCAGAATCTCACTTTATTCAAAATGTCTGACATCACCCCCTTCATCACCGCCCTGGAGGCTGCCCAGAAGAAGGAGAAGTTCACCCCCGAGGTTCAAGCCGCCGCCGAGGGTATCGACATCGCAGCCCTGAAGGCTGTCTTCGAGAAGGTCGCCGAGCAGGGCGAGTTCGAGAAGCTCGACGATGCCGCTGAGGCCGAGACCCTCCGCAAGGCCTTCGAGTTCGCCGCCAAGGCCGTCATGATGCTGAAGACCTCCCCCGGTCTCTTGGAGAAGAAGGATCTTTACATCTACTTCAAGGTTGGCAAGGGTGAAGTTATGGAGAAGCCCGGCATGTTCGATATCCAGGTACGTTTCAGCTCACTTTGACTTCAATGCCGGGAATTATCCTAGACGCATACTGCTATTTTGAAAACGCCGGTAGCTAACAATCAATTTTTTCGCAATCCTATAGAAGAAGCAGCTCTTCGGTGCCTGGGAGAAGGTCAAGGACTACAGCCCCGCTAAGGCTCACCAGCTTTACATTGGACACGTCAACACCTTCATTGGCAAGTACGGTACCCGCGACGAATAGACGATGCAATTGGGAGTGCTATTTGGGAGGATGAATAACTCGCGATCTACCGGATATATTGTGGGTTGAAAGTTTTGGAAACGCGGTGATCTTGGAGAATAGGGATAATCATGTCTCAAGCTCTACGAATACAACGAATACAAATGCATGCTACTTTCCATGACTCATGTTGCCCCCGCTTCCTACATAATACAACACCGAGGTGACAATGGTCACATAGTTAAGAGGGAATAGCACCATAGATATAATCAGGAACTATACGTGCACATGCAGCAGACTCACAGGATCCATCTTTGACCCTGCCAGTCCGGCTCATCATGCGAAGCAGTCGCACACCACGGCTCATCGGTGGCACCATACGGCGTCAACGGAAGATCATACGGCATGCGGAACCCGACAACAAGGTCAGCCGTCTCGCCTCCGAATACAGCCGGACGATCTTGTTTAAAGCAAGGAACCATCGGCGCATCCCGTGCGGGAGACTCCGCCGGTAATGCAATATCATCGCAAAAAAGGTCCGGCCACACAACAACACCGATCTCCCAGCTGCAGATGCGAACCTCGCCACTCGGATTCGTCGCGGCGCCCCACGCCTGTGTGGACAGATTCGCGGATGAGACCATCGCCCAGTCAATGGTCTTCATATCCGAATCCGCAAAGCGGATGTAGGTTTTGATGTGCGGTGCTGCCCGACAGCGACCTGCTTCGCGCTTTGCAGGGGTATCTTCTGATAGATCAATGCACTGGCCTGGTGGAAGACTGTCACCTGCCCATTGGCAAAGATGCGGGCGCATGTATTGAAGTTGCTTTTGTTGCGCTGCGCTTTGTGTTTTCATGTGGATGGAGCCGCCGGAGTCATAGCCGTTTAGAGAGCGGCGGATCTCATCTGGTGTTGGGAAGATTATTGAGTAGGTCGGGGTGGGTGCTTGGGTTGGTGTTGAGGCGAGGGCTTTGAAGAAGACGTCTTTGAGCCATTTGTTTGTTTGTCCGAGAGTTGCGACTGACGAGATCTGGGGATTGGTTAGAAGCCGGTCATAGTGCGTTGGAACTAGGAGATATGTACCTGGATTACGATGTGCGGCTTTTTGGCGCTGTTGCTTGGTTTAGTTTTCCGGATGGGGATTCGGCGCATCAGATCTTTCAGAGCAGACCAGCCCCATAGCGTATCTTCTTCTGAGTTGCAATCACTGGCATGTTTCTTGGACGGGACGCTCGCGATGAGGGCGGCGCGAATAGCCCCGAAGTCATAGTTATTCAATTGCTGAACTAGCAGACCCGTCTTTCTAGGTCCATACGCTTTCAAATACGCGAGGAGATCTCTTTTGAAGCGTGAGCCCGAGCCGAATTTGGAGTCGGATTGGGATTCTGATGGAATTGGCTTCTGCAACGGAAGAAGCGGAGAGCGCCAGACAGCTTGTGTCATATTGGTCCAGTCCATATGGATCATGTTAGCTGTGTGGATGATGACTCTGTTTGGATATATCAGAATCAGGTTTAGCTACAGTATTTTTGAGAAGAATCTTACTGGGCGAGGTCATCATGTCGAAGCAGAATCATCATCTTAGAATGATGTGTCCCGAAAGCCTCGGGCATGTAGGCCACAATGGGCTCTACGTTGGGGTATCGCGAACAAGTTTCCTAGTAAGATAGTAGTCTCATATTAGACCATGTGTTTGATGAGGGATGAAATCAATCCAGGCAAACTCATTCAAACGAAAGGAAAGAAATCTCATCGGGTGTGAACTCACTTCAACACGAATGCGATGCGAATCTTCCTTCCGCCATGACCCATGCACGATCTTGACCTTGACTATATCCTTGACATCTTCATCAAAATGTGACATCAAGAAATCTATATCAAAAAGATAATTGAACTGCCAGCATTCGCGGATCATGGGATCCCCGAGGATGTCGCGGAGTCGAACGGTGTCGACATTGTTAGCCGCAGGTAAATCTCGAATATGCGTAAGCTGTGTAGGCGAATTGATGAACTGGACTGGACGATTGGCTCCAGAGCTAGCAGAATTCATCTTCTCATCAGTCTGCGCTGGACATGTAGGCTGTATATTTGCTCGTGGGGATGGCGGGCTAATGGCCCTGTGCAGAGACGCGAAAGGTGCAGTCACTACACCATCTGCGCTGGACTCTGACACGCGGGCCCTTTTAGAGGGGCGCTCCATTTGATTGAGCTTGAATGGGCCTGGAGTCTGGAGTGCCTTGACTGGCTTGAGTTGATGGAAAGTTGAAAGGCGGTCGAGATGATGGGCGATCCTCCGGGTGCCTAATGACATCCTAGGAATTGAGTCGACTTCGAGAGAGGTCAGAATATTGTACCTTGACTTTGCAAGAATATTGTCGCGAGAAAGAAACACAATTATCTTCCAAGTGAATAAGCAATATCCAATCGCATTCCACGAAATGATGTGATTGGCGCAAAAAAGGGATCGCGCGGCGCACTCACAATCCAGCCCATAATTTGATGCGATCGTCTAAGAACTCAATGGGACCTGGGGTCTTGAAGAATTTTTAACTCTATTCCAAGGAATTTATACAAATATCGGCTTACCGCGATGTAAACTCCCCTGTCTCATTCTATTTGCCAGCCGCAAGCTTCTTAATCTCTGCCACAACGGCATCAGTGACTTGTTTCGTCGTAGCATTGCCACCCAAGTCCCGAGTCAGAACTCCCTGCTCACAAACATTTTCAACACAAACCAGCAGCTGCTTGGAAGCCTCCTCCTCGCCAAGCCAAGCAAGCATCTCCGCAGCCGTCCAGAATGTAGCAACGGGATTCGAGATACCCAAGCCAGTGATATCAAAAGCAGAGCCATGAATAGGCTCAAACATGCTGGGATACTCGCGCGTAGGATCAAGGTTGGAAGTCGGCGCGATACCAATAGATCCAGCCAGCGCCGCAGCAAGATCAGAGAGAATATCAGCGTGCTAGTTGATTCATCAGTTAACAGACTGAATTTGAGATCATCGCTTGCTTCGGCAACTCACCAAGTTAGTAGCAACAATCGTATCGAGACTCTCAGGCTTCAGAACCATGCGAGTGGTCATAGCATCAACAAGCATCTTATCAACCGTGACATCGGGAAAATCCTCCGCAACGACCTTCGCCACTTCATCCCAGAGAACCATACCGTTACGCTGGGCATTACTCTTAGTGACCACAGTCAGCAGCTTGCGCGGCCGCTTCTGAGCAGTCTCGAAAGCGAATCGCATAATTCTCTCCACGCCGTGACGGGAGAAGATGGAGACTTCAGTCGCAACCTCCCACGGCTTTCCAGCGTGGGAGCGACCACCTTGGCCCGCGTACTCGCCCTCGCTGTTTTCACGGATGATCACCCAGTCAAGGTCGTTAGGTCCGCAGTTGCGCAACGGGGACTCGGTGCCACGGAACACCCGTGTTGGACGCACATTGGCGTACTGCTGGAAAGGTTGGCAGATGGCGAGTCGCAGACCCCACAGGGAGATATGATCAGGGACATCTTGCTCTCAGGTCAGTGTCACCCCACCAAAAAACAGGTTCTTTGGGTCTATTTACCAGGAGCACCGACAGCTCCAAAGAAAATCGCGTCGTGCTTCTTCAGCTCCTCAAGTCCCCCATCGGGGATATATTTGCCGGTCTTCTTGTAGGTTTCTGAGCTCCAATCATAGTTCTTGAACTCCAACTTGAAAGTCTGGAGTGCATCGGTCAAGGCATTGAGGGCGGTGATGCCTGCATTGATGACTTCTGGGCCAATTCCATCGGCTGGAATGGATGCAATACTGTAGGTCTTCTGACTAGCGACTGTGAGAGACATGATGAGGTTGTCGCACTGGAGTCTTAGTAAATAGTGGGAGATAGCAGGAACGAACTCAGCGGGCTCGATGGCCTTTATAGAAATCTGAGTCTAACGTCTCAGATTTTAGTCTCCACTTGCAAATTGCCAGGAAACCTCTCGCACGACCCCTCATCGCAGCTCATCCAACGATAATTGATATCGCGGGGTGCAGACGGACATTCGAATGCCCGGTTTATGGACGGGGGGATCCCCGTACACTCCACTCGGAAGAAGACATGTCCGCCGAACAACTGTTGCATGCATACTCGGTCGAGAGATACTCTGTACAAAAACATTCTGAATTGAGACACTCATTCCGTCATTTGACAAGAGCAAACTTAATGGCGAGGGAGGAGGCCTATGAGCTGGATTTGGATGGGTTGAGAAGATGACTTTTCAGTCCTCGCACGCCAGTGACAGACAAGAAAGACCAACTGCGAGTTGGAATGAGTCGAGATAGGACGGTAGTTGATATTGGTTTGTACCAGTGAGCCGGCTTCAAAGAATTAGAAACAATATTTGAGCATACATTGGCTATTATACATATGCTGTTCGAAAAGCCATATTGGATATTACAGAAAGTTATTGTGAATCATCCATGGGCCATCGGCGACACTCCATAGATCGCCCATAAGCATAGAAGACGAAAAGGGCAAAGCATCTCCACCAATAAAGTTTGGATTGAAAGCAGCATTCCCGTCAGCAGTGTTTCCGAATATTAGACCTGCTGACGACTGGCCGTTGAGAAAGTCATCACCAGGATCTAGCAGATTACCGAAATTGCCAGACGGCGAAAAGGCAGCAGAGTCGTAGATTTCTGTTGAATCAATGCGTTGGGCAGGGGAGCGAAGGGATGATTGCAATGAGGGAACTCCCGCACGGACAGGACGGCCTTCGTGTGCTTTCAGCGCCGAAGATGGAGGTCGGGCCGGTGTAAGACCTGCATTGTCAGTTCCGTGACTTCTATCCACGGCCGTCGGGAGTCGCATATCCATCGACGGTGTTGCCTGAAAAGGAGATTGGGTAGGCCTCTCCAGATCATTCAATGTAGAAGAACCCTGAGCTTGCTCGCCACTGGGCCTTTGCGCATTGAAAGCAGATATCATGCCTTCGATTGCCTCAATACAGGTTTCTGGCCAATTGCTACCACGCAATGATAGATTTTCCAGGATAGCTATTCCAATTCTACTATATTTCAGAGCAGTCGGTGCCGGGAACTTCCCTTCCCATGCAGCATACATTAGAATGAGACAGGCCATCCAAGTTGACCACGTGAAACACGGCCAGGAGAGCGAAGATCGTGGCTCAGATGACATGTGCTTTTTCAAAGCCGCAAGGATAGCTCGAGAGGATCCAATACACACCTGCAAAGCATTCTTGTAATCTGCACTGGGCTCTTCGGAGGCTAAAAGAGGTCGATTAAGTGAGATGATGGCTTCGTGTCTCAGGATCATTAGAAGTAGGCGATGATATGGCTGCAAGGTTTGTATTTGACCTGGGTCCGTTTCTGTGGGCTCATCAATGGGGTTGACATCGTCGTAAACCTCATTCCACCACTGTGCTAGTTCTCCATTAACATAAGCTGCTTCAGTCTGGCTGGCATGGCTGTGAAGAATGGATTTATTGCGAAGCTCAACAATTAAACCCCGGATACGTGCGAATTTTGCGAGGTGGCGCAATAAGTGCAGTCTGCGATCGTCTGATATTTTGGGAGTTGTTGAAGAATGTCGCTCGGCGCCGGGGTAGCACACGTCGATGTCGTCATCTCGAATGGAGAGCGGGATACCAAGGGCTTGAGATAGATATCTCTCAAGAGAGTAGATCGACCAGAATAACCGACATCGGATATCCACTTCTGCGCTTTTGAAGCAAGAAAAGCGTCCTGGGCAGCGATGCAATCCAAGATGAAATGCAGTGCGAGTGATGACGCCCCCTACTCGAGAAGCAGCATTCAAGCGCAGAAGCGAGGCAAGTGCAAGTTGAGCTGTAAATGCAGATTGTAGCAGCGAAAGAGTAGTCGGTTCCTCAAGAAGACTTTGTACATCTTGCATCACATGTTGAATGGATTGGAACACTAGAACAGAAGGGACGGGGCCGAGTTGGAATTCAGGCGATGTTGTCTGTCGATTGTCACCGAGAGAAATAGACACAATGGAGCGGATAATCATCAATTCCAATCCGCTCACAGATTCCGTCCCTTTTTGACTGACTGTCTCTAAGCTTTTCAAGACTGTCGGGGCATGGAGACATGGAAATATTGGATGCCAATTCTCAAAATAGCTGCGTGTCCATCTAACCAGATCATCGAAGGAAAACGAGGAATTCAGATCATCATTCAACTCTTCCATTTCCCATAGTTCATCTGAGTTGTGAACGCTTCCGGTATCCTGCTGTAGCCGGTCGTCTTCCCCTGGCACCGAAGCTCTGTCACGGGCTCTGGTTTGGTCCAAGTCTGCCGAACGGCGCGCAAAGGCATTGTAAACATGTCGAATAAAATGGATTCCACTTGAGCTCCCCAAAAAAGTTGCAGATCCGTCATTCTGAGATTCTCTCATATACCCAATCTCGCGAGGCGAGGGTCCTGCAGTACCCGAGAAGGCGCGCTTGGGTCTCTTAGCAGCACGAGAAGAACAAGGCCATTCACCCTCATCTTCGAATTGCGCACTGGCAAGTGAAGCCGAATGCATCATGGCTGCGACCCATATATCACATTCTTGGGATTAAGAGATTCAGAGTCAAGTTTCTATTTACTCCCACTTGCAATGCCGGGACCAAGGGTAGGAGTTTATTACGTCAGCCCTCTCGTGTAGGTAGGTCCCGCCCAATAGATGGATGCCTCTAGGCCATCACCAGATCTATACGGAGTAGTTCTTAACTTCTTATTATGTTCAACTCTATATCCTCTATACCAAATCCCAATCCCCTATTGTTTAATATACATTAATTGGTACTTTTGAGCTCCACAATCTCAACGATGTCTAAAAGGCACCCTTTCCAGGAGTGCTATCTCCGTTCAAAGCAGCACATCCCTGCTCGACATCCGAAGGGTGAAGCAATTGGCTACCGTTGGCATTGTTGTAGGCAAGTCCAACAAGCGTTTGCTCTGTGAAATAATTAGTCATACAGAGCTTGTCAATCCGATTAGGAACTTACCGTTAGGGTTGTATTGGGGCCATCCAAACTTGGTCAATCCCTCTTTGGGGTCACTTGCAAAAGCAACCCAGGCGGAGGCCATGTACCGGGCGAACTCGTTCTCGACATCGCTGTTAGCAATTCCGCTGACCTGCTCCGCAGTTCCGAATACCATAGGCAGGTCGGCACCGTGGTAGCTTCCGCTGTTAGGGTGCAGACGCAGGTTGTCCCAGTCACCGAAGTAGTGGGACTGCCAGACGGGAACACCATTGTCAACGCGGTATCTAGCGGACGCACCACTGGGGCAAGTGAAAGCCGCATCGTTGAAAGCTTGCCATGCGCTATCGCTGAGGGTGATGTTTGCGGTGTTCGCGCTGATGCGATAATAGCCGGGCTCATAGTGATTGCTGTTGATCAGATAAGGCTATGACATGTCAGTATTATTACGCTTGATTGATAAAACTGCATTCGATAAACTTACCAGACGAGCGAATTGACCGGCAGCAGATCGGCTGGCGTAGTCACTGAACACAGTAACTCCGTCCACCGTGGGGTGGAACACTGCCTGGGGAGTAGCCGGGGGAGGGTGCGGGCGGAACCTGGCCTCCCGCCTTAACCACATCGGTGTAGGGCTTCTGACGAACGCACTTGACGACTTCGTCGTGATCACTGGTCTTGTCACCGCAACCAAGAATCTTGGAAGCGGTAAAGAAGTAATCAGCAGACTCTTCGGCAGTATTGGGAACAAAGCTGAGCGAAGTTCCAGAGTGCGAAATGAGACCGGCAACCAGAGGCTCATCAGCCCAAGCGTGAGAGTAATAGTCAACGGCAGCGCCACCAGCGGACTGTCCGAAGATCGAGATGCGCTCTGGGTCTCCACCAAAGGCAGCGATGTTGCGGTGGGCCCATTCCACTGCCATGCGCTGATCCAACAGGCCGACGTTCTGGGGCAGATTGGGTGCGCCTGAGAATCCAAAGATGTTCAATCGGTAGCTGTTATTTGTTAGTAACTTTGTGCAGGTTGCAGATCGAAGAGTACTGACTTGATGGTCACAACCACGACCTCGTGCTCATCTGCCAATGCTTGTCCATCATAGTATGGGTTGTTGGCACCACCGCCGGTGAACCCTTTAAAAAAATGTTAACAATTGAAAACAATGGGGTCGGGATCAACATACGACCACCGTGGAACCAAAGCAGCACAGGCTTCAAGTTGGTGACTGTGGGGCGGGTCCACACGTTCAGGAAAAGACAATCCTCGCTGTGAGAAGTGTTCAGGGCCTGGGTGAATCCCTTGACGATCTTGAGAGCCTGGGGGGTAAAGCCAGGGTAATCTGCAATTTTACCGGAATTTGCAGGGCAATCACTAATATTGGTCAGATGGCTAGACAATCACAGTCAAGATATACTATACACACGGGCTCTGTCGGTGAAACAGTTAGTCAAAGATGCTGAAAAACACGAAGAGGGCATTCTTACATAGGCAGTTGCCTGAATGGTACCATCGGAAGCATAAGCCACCGGAGCTGCAAATCGAAGATCTCCAATTGGTGGCGAAGCATAGGGAATACCCAAATACTCAGACACGGCAGGCTTGCGAGGTGCGGCGTGGCCCTCAATCAATCCACTGCTAGTCAAAACAGCATCGCCGATATGGCTTTCTGGGTGATCCGAACATATTTGTCCCAAAGCTGCGGGCAGGCATGTAGCCAGCAACAGGGCCGATCCAATAGGCTGCCAAATGCCCTTCATTTTGTCTGCGAAATTGTCAAGGGTGAGAAGAAAAAGACTCCGACGGAAGAGGAGCCGAAGAATATAACCAGCCAAGCTAAAGCTATTGATAGGGCCAGGGTTCTCCGGATGTTCGCTTCTACATACTACTCACACGCGAGGGCATCACCAATTGTGGCTTCAATCGGATGAGCGCGGGGATCCACCTTGGGACCGGCACTCGACAAGAACGGGGCCGGTTGGCTGTTGGGGGCCATTGGCGACCAATTCGGAAGTTTTGGCATGTCGATCTTCTTCAATAAATTAAGCGCCCGGTTTATGATTCGATGCACGATCTTGCGCACTCTGTACGGGGTTCATACTAGGGATACTGTTATATTGCTTGCAGATTGGTAAGCGATCAATGATCAAGTCATATCGAGCGATTCATATGAATGCGTAGCTTGACCCACAGACTATACTTTTCGCTTTGCATGATCCTGGTAAGTTCACGCGAAACTGGTTTAAGCGATGTGCCTCGACGCAATCAAAATACTCAAGTGCCGACAGCAGACTTCCCTGCAGCCTTGGCCAAATGAAAGAATTTTCCTTTTGGTGGATATCTGCATTTAACCCACGTGTACGGAGTATTCGGTACGGAGTACAGCCTCGCACTAGAGGTTTGCCTTTCAACTAATCGCTTATAGGGCTAGCGATCAGCTACTCGATTTCCGCACATAAGATGGCCTCCTATATTGAACGTTCTGTATGTTGTAGGGATGTACCTGTCAATAACCACATGGCCTCAAGTCCTACCAAAGTAGATCTAAATCTGGATTACCGTGGCTTTCCATTTGCATAACTGATGATAGCATTAATTTCGATAAATTGATGGAGTGCCTTTGCCAAATCTAAATTCATATATCCACGACAGATATGTATTCTTATCTTGTTTGAGGCCCACAGCTAACAATCAACGCAAGCGAACGACTGTCTGGAACATCGTGGGGCAGCGTGCATCAGACGGGGGTTAGGAGCTGAAAGTTACCACTCCCCCCGAATTCTCATAAAAGCTAATGGGTGTGCCTTTTCCTCAGATCAGCACTGGCCGTCATGTCATATGAAATCGGATTAGGCACACCTGAGGTGCCTAATCGAGGGTACCCATTATGGATATGCAGTGTTGTGATGGTCATTCTAGCCGGTCTATTCGTGGTGTCTCGACTGGCCATTCGATTCCATCATAGTCATCTGGGAACAGATGATTGGATGATTCTGGCGTCCTTGGTGAGTGATGTTTGCGGTATCGCAGACTCAAAACCAGGATGAAAACACTCACATATGACAGATATTCTCGATTATTCTCACAGTCACGGAATGTTCAGGTACCTCACTCTCCCCCATTATCTGCCAGCAGTATACTAATTTGCTTCAAATCAGCGGTACATCACGGATATGGAAAGCACTCCGCGGATCTCACACAACACGAGCGGGTGATGGCACTCAAGTGGTTCTTCGGCGCCCAGATCGTATACAAAATCGTCATCACTGTCAACAAACTATCCTTCCTATGTCTTTACCTTCGGATCTTTCCACAACGAGCCTTCCGGGTGACTTGCTATGGCGGGTTAGGGGTGATTGCCGCCTGGGGACTGGCATATCTCTTCCTCACCATCTTCCAGTGCGACCCCATGGCTTCGTTCTGGGACATAACTGTCAAAAACCCCCGAGATGTCTAGATAAAGAGGGTATGTGGATGTCATATTCCATCATCAACATTATATTCGACTTGATCATTCTTGGTCTGCCTATATATCCATTGAGCCGGCTACGGTTGGAACGGGCGAAGAAGATTGGTCTCCTGGCGGTCTTCGGAATGGGAGCATTGTGAGTGCTGCTTACTTATTATCTGTCTAAACAACCACTTACACTTTTAGTGTCTGCATTACAACCATCGTCCGAACCACAACACTTGCGAAATCTGCCCATGATAAGGACCCGACTAGTGAGTTTTGCTCCCCCGACAATACGACCCCCCAAGCATAGAAATTAACAGCACGCTAGGCGGTCCTATCCCAGCTACTATTTGGAGTGTGGTTGAAGCCAACACTGGTATCATCTGCACCTGTCTACCTGTCTTCAAACATCCGATCCAGTTCTTTTTCCCGCGGCTTTTCGCCTCTCAGCAAAGCACCAATGTGTCCGGTCCACCAACACACCGTCACGGCCCATATACCAGTGGGCCATCCAAAAGAACTCGCTCCAGCTCCGACAATGTTTTATTGGAGGATGACTTGGAGATGACAAACGCAGAGGGCTATAAGACCGATCAAAGTGGAAGAATCTTGACGGTGACAAATATACATATCTCCTATCAGCATGATCAAGACTCGGATGGATCAACCCGACCGATCCACAAGGATTATTGAATATTTACAGCGACGATCCAAGCAAAAATAGAAATAAAGCGTAATTTAGACCAATCCAACGCAAAAACTTGTAATTGAGTAATGCTCCTCTTGCAAACAACCTTGGGAGTAGACCACCGAAAACCATCACGTGCCTGCCACTTATGTCCGGAGGTTTCTTACTCCGAAACTTGCATCTGTCAATCATCATACATATCAGCTTCAGCAGAACCTCCTCGATAGCTTGGTATTATGTTTATCTGCAGTGGATTGATCGAGAACTGCATAATATAACCTTGTAGTACACATGGCCCAATCGCGATCGAGGCGGACGAGGGCACACAATGCCATGCCAGGTGCGAGCAGAGTACTCCACATAAAAAGCATAGATCGACTGACTCGAGATCCCTGCAACCAGAAGAGCACTTGAATCAGATATCCTGTGAAGTATGCAGACAACGGAAATGCAAAGTATGTTATCTTCCTGCCTCAGCGGAATACGAACTGATCAATTTAGTGTGATCGCAGACTGTAAGACCGTTCTCGCCGTTTATTTTGGTAGCCAATTGGTCCCATCTCTAATCCGACTCGTTCAAAAGTCCGTTCTGTTCTCAATGCGCAGGGGAGCCATCTAAATGTATCTACCCCGAGAGTGGGAAAAGGTAAGATGCCCAAGGCCACATACGGAGTACATCAACATGCATGCAGGTACCCGTGGGAAGCTAACAAATTGGCCCAGAGGTTTACCCTTGGGATACCTCAACCAACTGGAACAGCGGTTGGCCGAGACTGAATCAGCTCTTTACGGGGCTTTGATGAGTCTTCGTTCACTCGGGCAATCAACATCGGTACAAGTTGCAGTAAAGTCAGACAATGTTCCCAAACAAAAGGCAGCTCGCATGGCAGAGTGGTCCCAACTACCACTTCGAGAACGAATCGACATGGAGCGTTGGCTAACGATGATGTCGGACCAATTCACCATCGAACCGCCAAGAGACGTTGTTCCCGAGAGCTCAGGGGATCGGTCCGAAATTCCCGCTACTCCCCATCTTGAGAAAGAGCAAAGCTTGGGGGATGAGCCTCGTGTTGGACGAGTCTTCAATGCGTGGCAACCCAGGGACGGCGGGGTCAGTTCGGGAAGTCCATACAGTCCTCACCAGTGCCACCCGAGGATGATGGGTTCCTTAGTTTATTTCGGACACCCAGCTGTGGAAGGATCTGAGGCGCTGCAGTCTCCATCGGCTGGGAGTTCCCGACGCGGAATGACTGGTGTCGATGATGTCGGTCTTCCGATGGATACAGATGCAGTTGCAAGTGGGGTGGAGACAGGGCAATCAAGCAAGGCTGACGAGCTATCACACAATAATCCGAGTCTATACTTTTGAAATGACGTGTTCTAAAGGGGTACAAAATTGACTACACCTTGTATACTCCGTACGAGTCTGATCTCTTTCCTTAATGGAGTCTCAGCTGCCTATCTGTAACGGGCCAGGTGTGGAGCGCGGATGCCTCAGGCCCTCATTTCGTTGCTCGCCGGGGTCGATCAGCGTGAGAAAATGATGTTATCCGTTCAATAAACCCAGCATTCAAGCTATATTCATAGTCAGCCTTGACTTGTGAGGATGTCCAACACACAACCCTCCTAACGTAGGGCCCTGGAGGGGCTCGTGCGCCCCTCCGCACAGTTTTCCCAGCGGGGCTGAGATGAAGGGCTTTAAACACGCCCAGTGCTCCACAGAACATCCACTCAGATAACCAACGCACCATCTGGGTGATCTGGATGTCTCCGAATCCTCCGAACCCGATCATATGCAGGTCCTTAACCGCTGGCAATGAGACCGCCTAGGTGAACTGTCTTACTTGAACCCCTGATTGGACGCTCTGCTCTTTGGCCCTCTCCCACCGAGCCAACAGGGACACGGGACACAGAATGCTTTAAGCATCTGGAACTGAGACAACTGATTGGTGTGAAACACCCGTGCCTTCAGACTAAGAAGCCGGACCTGCATTCGTTTCACCTAGATCCTTCTCGGGGATTGCATCACACAGGAGACATGGTACTCTCTTGTGGGGTTGATGGTTAATGTTCTGGAATTTGTGACAGCGCAGATGGAACAGGTCGGGACACGTCGATACACGTCGACCTGAACTCCTCCATACCCAGGCACATACCCGTCCCCGTCAGGAAACTCCGAGGAAACGCCCTTCGGGACTCTGTGTCTGGGCCCCCTTTCGAATAAATTGTGGGTGTAGCCCTGGTACCGTAGAAAGAGGCGAAAAAAAGCGCAAATTTGGAATCGTTACCAGCCAGAACACTGGGTCCCCCTGATAGCCACAGGCTCTAGATTGCATTCTATTAGGCCGAATCCCAGCGATCCTTTGGGACGAAAGCGAAGGTTTGGCTTGGGAGTGGTCAAACGCTGGTGTAGCGCCCGTTTCTACCCCGTAAGGGACCTTCGCCCCCCTTCTCTTTCTTCCAACCTCCTTGGGATTGTGCCTTTGTGCCTTCATTCTCTCATTCTTATATTCTTTTGAAGTCCTAGATACAGAGATCTGAGATCCTGGATTCATTATTTTTTAACGCGCATCCTGGTTCTGCGCTCTCATTCCTTTCAGGACCACAAAGAGCCCATTATTCTCCGCGTTTTGCTGTGCAAAATCCAGAGGACTTGACATTCATTTTCCAAGACACACATATGTCAAATTGCCAAATTGATATCTGACACCGGACATTCCTGTCGTCGATCCCTTCCATTCTTTCGTCCCGCAATCATCTACCACGCGAGATTAAGTACGGATCCGATCGCTATTTTGGATCCCAAAACCAAAAAAGCACCCGCTTTGCCTGTGGGAAAAATACTTGCAAGTATCTTCCGATCGCGTCGATCGCATCATCTCCATTTTCTGAGATCCAACTTCCAAATCCGCCATGTCGAACATCACGAGAGCATTCACCCGGCGCAATAAGCGTCCGGAAGTATCAGCGCCCATGCCATATCGTGGCGATGGGCAGGTGCGACTCAATTCGTCAAGCATCAAGCGCGGCAATATATCTAGGCCCGTCCAGCTGTTGTCCACAACCAATATGCTAGCCTACAACGCACCTGATATCAACTCGGCCAACTCAGCCGGCTCTTCATCTACCTCATCGCTACGATCGCGTGACGACTCCGACGCTTCTATGTCCCCGCAAAGCTACGCGTCTTCAATGACCTCACCCGACCTCTCCCCCTACGAGAGCTGTCCCATTGACGCAAATCCAATGGCGTCGTATTTCCCGAAGCGCTCGGACACAATGACAAGCCACCCGCGCTCCTCTACGTCGTCTTCGTCAACCGCGGACCCTCCGCTGGTGCCTAAGCGTGCACTGTCGCACACCAAGCGGTCCCACCAGGAGCTCGCTCACAAGCGCTCGATCTCCAGGTTGTCGCCGCCTCCTCTGAACGCCGCGCGCAGCACACCGACAGTTCGATCAACACAGGATTTCTTCCAACCGGAGGTGCATCCATTTAGCAAAGAGTTGGAGCAGGTGAACGAAGTTGCGGAGGAATTCGGAGGACTTAATCTGCTCGATGACGAAGAGCGGATTCTCCATGACAAGGGGCTCAAGAAATTCTCTGTCGAAGATTATCTTGTGGAACTTGAAGAGCTGTATGGCAGTATCTTCGATGACAAGCCTGGAACCGTGTGCACTTCTTGGTTCTAATAACATAATCACTGCACCCCGGTTGACCCGGGGATCAACGACACGAGATTGCGGTCAGGCGAAGACTGGATATTCCTCGCCTGGTCCGCTACGATGACCAACTATTATTCTCTCTCTTACGATCATTGCCCCTTGTTTTGCACGATACCATGGGAGGACATTCTGTTCCCACACTCTTTACTTTGAATTTACTTTTGCCATTTGACTTTTCTTCTATTCTCGTAATAGACGGTCTCTTCTCATTCGGGTTTCATTTGGTGCCATCTGCGTCCTTTCAGGAAGCTGACAAAGTCTTTGTGAGAGTTTTGGAGGCCTCCATAGATCTTTATTTGTGTATTCAAGAAATCATAATGATTCTTCAGATGGGTTCTCGGATAAAGCCCAATAGACGCGTTTAAATGAGACTCTTGAGTCGAACATGACCAGTCGTAGACGATGATGTATACAAACGCGAGATGAGAACATGATGACCTAATCCAATATTACCCAAATAGGCATAGCGTAGGGCTCACCGACACGGTCACGGGCTCCGCTGAGGCTCCACAGCGCCAGAAGGAAATGAAGCAAAAATTTCTCTTTGCTTTGCTCTGGACCCTGCAACTTGCCCATTCTGTCTGCATCCGATTTTATCTACATCAAGCGACTGAATATCCACGGATGCAGACAGATGTTTCCTGTTTTCCCCCTATTCCAATCTGTAGCATAAGCCTCAAGATCTCGACGTCAGAAGTGTCGTGTGCTTGGACCAGGCTTCGATAAGCTCCTGACATTGAATCAAAAGTCAGGATTTGGTATTCTGTTACAACGCAGAGAAGCAAATGTCGATACTGGTTTCTGCCTAGAATCTGATCTACCATCCCTTTTCTTCATACTCGGCCATGGTCTCCTTTGCCACAACTGCACGAAACCCGGCGCTACCGGTTACGCCTTCGCTCCCGCGATCGAAAATGCTGCCGGCTTCCTCGCCAGTCCCGATTCTCAAAACCTCTAAATCCGCTGCCATGGCTGCAGGCACGAAACGCAAAATGAGCGACGCGGAGCTCACTCTCTCCCCGTCCTCCTCCCAAGCCGACGACTTGACCGAAGAGCTTCCTCCCACCAAGAAGCGCGCCCGCGTTCAGTTCGATCATGACGTGAAGTTGCACGATGCCGGTTCGTCAGAGAAGAGCTTGGCGGTTATTCGAGAGGAGGTTCGCGGAGCTATCCATCGACACGTCGCCATGTCAGAAAGTGAGGCCTACGATCGAATCAAGGGAATTTTTTCCGCCGATCCCAAACAGAAAGGTGAAGACAGTCTACTTGCATATGATATGCCAACACACGCTTCCTTGAGGAACCACCTCCTCGGTCTGCTCTCACATGTCGCCTCATTGGACCGATCTTGTAGCGGGCTGGTTCACGCTATTATCAACAGCGAGTGGCTCGGACGGGACGAGTCTTACGTGAAGTTGTATATCCGGTTCCTAGGCAACCTTTCCGCCGCACAGGGTACTTTCCTCGGTCCTGTCTTGAAAATGCTGGCCACCAACCTGGGAAGTGTCCCTCGAGCACACGGTCGACTGCCCGATTACGCTGTGGTTCCATCGTCAGAAATTCACACCCGCGTCCACATGGCACTGCGCCATGTGCTCCGTCTCATCCCAGCCGGCAGTGGCTCTCTATCCCCCATCCTTTCGAGCCAGTTCCCCGTCGACTCAGACCCCGCCAGCGCGAGCATTGCCTACACCCGCAATCTCATCCAAATCATCAAATATGCCCCAGAGCTTCAGTCCGACATCCTAGCTCTAGTTACCGAAAAGCTTGTTAAGGTTGATGTTCAAATCCAGGTCGATATGGAGGACTTTGAAGAGGAGGTCGGCGATGATCTCTTGCAGGACATTGATGACGATCAAGACGATGATGCCTCGGTTGCTAGTGATGATTCCGAGGAGGACGATAGCAAGGACGCCAAGAAGATCAAGGAAAACATTCTCAAAGTGGATGGAATGATTGACATCCTTTTTGAATACTTTGCGCCGCCGTTCGCCTCGGGCAGCCTGGATGACCAGGAGAACGCCCTGGACCTGCTCCTCAGCCATTTCCAAACAATCATCCTACCCACCTACCGATCTCGCCACTCCCAGTTCCTTTTGTTCCATTTCTCCCAAGCCTCACCCGTACTCGTCGATCGCTTCGCCTCCACATTCGTGCAGCTGATCTTCAACAAACTGCAACCCGGCATCCTGCGTCAGTCCGCAGCTGCATACTTGGCCAGCTTTGTTGCCCGTGGTGCTCATATCTCTGGAGAGGTGGTCCGTGATGTCTTCGATCTTCTTCTCACACACCTCAACAGCCTGCGCATGGACTACGAGGACGCCTGCCGTGGTCCGGATCTCCGTCGCTACGGACCTTTCTACTCCACTGCCCAGGCTCTTCTGTACATCTTCTGCTTCCGTTGGCGCGACCTGACGACCGCCGCTATTGACGGTGACACTGCAGATCAGGTGGATGAGCTCGAGCCAGGCCAGATCGCCTTCCCTCCTAATATCAAAGAATTCCTTCACAAGTCCATCTACTCGCGATTGAATCCGCTCAAGGTGTGCTCTCCGGCCATCGTTGCCGAGTTCGCTCGCATCGCCCACCACTTCCAATTCCTCTATGTCTACCCTCTCCTTGAGACCAACAAGCGCGTTCGCATCACTGCGTTCAGAAGCATCTCTACTCTCGCAGACTCCCGCTTCAATCACGTCGGTCGTGAGATCCGCGCCGGCGATAACAGTGGCTACCAACTGGATGCATACTTCCCCTTCGATCCCTACCAGCTTCCACGCAGTCGTCGCTGGTTGGAAGGCGACTATGTCGAGTGGCGCGGCATTCCAGGTCTTGACGACGCAGACGATTCGGACAGCGGAGCTGACGAGTCTGACGATGAAGATGGCGAAGGTGCCACCGAGACCGATGAGGAGTGAACCTAGACGCGATCTTTCACAACAAACCAGCATTTGATCTGTGATTTAATTTTTTCTTCTTTTGTTACTTCAGCGTGGCGTTCGGATTTCCACCCATATTTGTGATCTTATGATTTTTTTTTTCTGATAAAAAGTTGCCGATACCATGCTTATGACTGATGATATCGTTCTTCAGCGTGAACGGAACTGTCTGGTGGAATTCTGCGACATTTCTGGCTCATGTACTACCACAGTGCAGATGGATCTACTAAGTAGTTCTTCAAAAAAATGGCAAATTATCACATTGAACTTCGTGGATTCTTGTATCAAAGCTCAGGTCTAATGAAATCCCAATTGGCTTGCGTCTAAATTACATGGCGCTCTCTATATTATGAGTCGTTAAATCTACATGTCACGCATCACATCTCACCACCGTTATCATTTTTCCAACTGCCGGCATAGTGGTGGGTCACCAATGCAGGACCAGTCTTGTTGGGATAAAGATTCGTCGTGGAAGCAAATGAATACCCAGGCAAGATGAGCACATCCTCAACTAAAACCGGCTCCAAGAGATTCGAGATACTCTTCATATCGATAGGCTCGTTGCGAATCAACTCCAAACTCTTCAGCACTCCCCGAGTAAACCGCCTCGGACCAGTCAAGTCGACCACATCACCCGCCAACTCAACCGTCAACTCCTCAACAGGCACTTGATGAATCTCCGATAACTCCTGAAACGCATCCACAATATCATTGATAACCATCAAGATATGCGGCGACTCCGGCGCCGCCATAATCGTCCAACTCTCAAACTGCCGAATGATATCCTCCCCCCAACCAACATCAAACTCCCAGCCCACAACCAGCCCAGCCTTCGCCCTCAGCGTCTCGGGGATCCATTCCCTAATAGGAACCTCCCCACACGAGACATCCAAATCCGACCAGATCCCGCCTTCCGCAAACAGCAGCAAATAGCGCAACATGTCCGCTTTCAGAATCGGCACGCTCAGCGCAAGGTACAGGTCGACAATATCCGGCCGATGGCCGTAGTGGTCTTGGACGTACTCATCGCCCGTCAAATCAGTCATGATCTGCGCGCGATGTGCAGGGTTTTTGTGGAGACAGTCATCCAGCCATTCGTGTGACTGGTCACTCAGCCCTTTTGGCCCAACCTTGTACCAGATCTTCTCTGGAATGCGCGGGGAGGCAGTCTGTGGCTGCTCATAGGAGCGTGCTGGGATTTCCGTTCTACTGGGGTGGTTGTAGAGAACGAAGAAGAGACATAGTAGGATGAATATGCTCGCGGATGCGAATTTCGTGAATGTGAGCCGGGCGAGCATGGTGATTTTTTTTTCAGAAGATTGAAACGAGAGACGATGAGTTGGAACACATAGGAGAGAAACTCCCTTGTGTTTGTAGGACTGTTTGTGTTTATTTGATTGAAATTGATGAGTCCATGGTCTGGTTTTATTTTTTTTTTCGCCCCTGACCAATTTTTTTTTTTTCGTTTCTTCTTTTCGTCCCTCAAGCCTATTTATAAGTAAGGCCCTATGCAGGTGGATGCCCCCTCACAAGAACCCCGATTAGGCGTCCTAATCACTGTTAATCAGGGTCGTTGGTTCTATTGGCTGCATTTGGCCACTGGATGTAACTTGGCGCGAGAATGGACTCCACTTGCTAGATTACTGAACTGAACCTGAGATGCTCTGATTTCCGAACTAGTGTTTAAGGCTAATAGCGGGGGGTTTCAAAAGTCTGAACAGTTCTTGTGAGCAGAATCTCTTCTCGATTGTAGTGCATTGAGTGGTTAGCATGCAGTCCTGCTGCTTTGGCCGGGTTGACCGGAGAGGTGGAGTTGACTATAAGACAGCTCATTTTACAGATCACAGTTCGTCCCCGCAATTGATGGGTATACAACGGCTGAGATTGACATTGAAATTGCAATTCCTGCCTTTGAAATTCTACAGTGAAGGTTTCTAGTCCTTTTCTTGTAAGCCATCGTTCAAAATCCCAACCTCGTCCGAGTTGCCTCTTTGGGGTATACGAAGATCGAGTGCTGCTATTGTGGGCTTTAAAATTGAGATCGCCTGTTTCAAGCATACCAACCCTTCATGGCCATCCGGCGAGGCAGCGTGTGACATGAGAGTTTTGCTACTGGTATCCTTATATCCCGGATCAACTTGTATAGCCTATACTGCAGCGTAGTTCAACCGCAATAGCGACTCCAGCACTCCGTATATTCCGCCAGATCTAATCATCAGTAAGCTGGCCTATAGCTCGTAGGGTCTATACCGATGTGAGACAAGAGAGGTCTCTCGTTTCATGACTGTCTTGCGATTTATATATAGGGATTTTGCGTATCATCAACGGGATAACCATACTAATTGACCCCAGTGAAAGATTTAGTACGTCCATAGTCCCAACGAGTTGCTGATGAGACGCTCGCATTTGCTTTTATCCCATGAAATTCTTTGCCCACACGGACAGAGTCTGCCGGAACTCCTAAGATCTGTGCCTATTTCTTAATGAGTAACATGCATATATTATACATGTATCCTTTGGCGTACTTTTACGGACATAATGGTGGTCATGCGAGATGACGTTCAAATTGAATACATGTTTCCTGCAAATCCCGGACCTTCCTAGGAAGCTTGGAGGTTCGAAGACTAGATTGCTAGATTGCTAGATTGCTGGCTTGGTTTTCTTGCGTTCTTCTCCTCTAAAAAACTGGTAAAGGCCTGAATTTGCCCAGCCGCTGCGCGATGGATGACGATAGAAGGATGGACTATTGACAACCCACCATTGTTGAGTATTCAAACTACCAAGAAAAGAGCAGGGGATAGGATCCTTGGAATATCTCTCATGTCTCCCATCAACACCCTCAACAGCTATACCGTATAAAATCCCAAGCCCAAGCCCAATCCTCTGTGAAGTCACTCAACCGCCAAGCCACCAAATCAAGACAAACCCAACCCTATGAGGTTTGACACAATCGACATAAACCGGTGTTCTGGCTTGCAGTATGACACAATAGATACAGAGCACCCCGATGTCATTCCGAAGAACTGATGCGGTGACAGGGGTCTGATTGGGGGTCTATATGGGATATGACATCATTCTGCAACAGCTGCCAGGTCCCCCGCCCTGGCTGTGGATGCACCTGGAAGATCCTGGGGCAACGTGTGGGACACCTGCAGTTATTGCTGGGATGGCGATCCGCCAATAAAGAGACTCGTTCATGTTGGTACCTGATACGGAGTTAGGTACATTTGTTTTGATATGGGCGTGCACATGACCTCGGCCTCGGCTCGGTTTTGAATGCGGCAGCCTGGAGACGATGTATACAAAGCCGGAATTATTGTTTTATTTGACGTCCTTTGGACCTCCCGAGGGTATAGGGACGTGCTAAGATATGGAATTATGTACAAATGTGCGCCCATGGAAAGCAACTTAAGTTATAAACGCGAGGTGAGTCTCCTCAGTCGACTGCATGCGCTTCTCCGGCCTGTGAGATCAGTACATACAGATGGTGTTGTGAGCGATGGGAGTACCATGCTGATGCCGGCGGCATCCCGCTAGCGCCTGACGTTCCTTGGGGATTCATGTCCCAGTTGGAGGTGGCCTGCCCGCCTTGGCGGTCGCGGGTGGAGGGGTTGGGAGGCCCCCAGGACTCCTCTACCTGCGGATCTTGGCGTAAAACTCGGTGACGCGCAGCAGCTCCGCAAAATCTTCCGCCTCGGGTGACTGGAGGTAGCGGAGGGCGCCTTCTTGGCGCCGGGGGCCTGTTAGGCCACCCACGGAAGGAGCGTCTTGCATGTGCTCGGGGCTAACAACGCAAGCTTAGATACACACCCGGTTAGAACATTTCAAGAAAGTTTGAACTACTGTGGTTTGTCGACAGTGCAGATTACAATCTATACAAAACCATCAGATTGCCAAAACGACTATGAAAATAAATATGCCAAACAACGCTAGCTAACACCGTGAATGCCAATGGTTCAAACGCCAAAGTCAAATCCTGCAGTGCTAATAACCCATAAAAGAATAAGAATACACATCCGAGTGGATCGATCACCGGTCGAAGATCGCCTTCATATCCGCACAGGCGTCGCGGTACAAAATGTCGACGCTGTTCTGGTCGCGCCATGGGTTGGGTGACTTATCCCACGCATGTCGGGCTTTCTCAATAAGCATGGCACGAGGACGTTTGCCGAGGCTTTCTAAACGGCGAACGAAAGACTGGCCTTCGTTCATCAACATGTCCCATTCACAGATGAACAAGAAGACATCGCGGGGAAGGGCCTCGGACAGGATGCGATCGGATGCGCGGACGGGAGAGGCAAAGGGAGAGGCTCGTTCTTTCAAATCAGGGAGATAGGACTCGTCGAAGAGATTGGTGAAAAAGGCCGGGAGAGTCTTGTCCGGCATCAAACTCATAGCGCGGCGGTGGTCGCGAGATTCTTGGAAATCCAGAATCGGGTACCAACAAAACAGAGCAACGATGTTGAGGTCATGGACCTGGTTGAGCAAATTCTGCGTTGAATCTGCCCGGCCTAGATGTTCTTTTACTTCCGTTGATACACGGCCGCGGAGCCGTAACGGCACTGTAACGGCCAGGTTGCCGCCTGCCGAGAACCCGCTCAGTGCTACACGGCTCACATCCAATCCCAATTCGCCCGCATTTCTGGCTAGATATAACAGTGCCTCGACGCCGTCGTCTACAGCTGCAGGGAAGGGATGCTCCGGGGCGCGTCGGTAGCTGACACTCACCATGACGGCTCCAACATTGTCCAGGACGGCCTTTGCCCAACGAGCATCGTCCGTGGCAGCGCCGAGAGTAAAGCCACCACCGTGAAAATTGACCGCGACCGGAAAGCGATGACCCCGGCGTCGCTGCTCATGATAGTTTGGGGGACAGTAGAAGTGAAGGACAACGGGGGGACATGGAGTGTCGTCGGAGGTGACGGTGCGGGTAAACAACGGTCGAGGGGGCCGAGGTGGCCCAATCTCGTGTAAAAACATGCCGATACGCATCAGGAACCGCCAAAAGACGGCCTGCACATAGAGCCACCATCGTGATGATGCCATGGCGTTCAAGTGGGAAGTAACGTTTTAGTGCGCTGGCATGCAGAGGGCCGGAGGACCCGGAGGCCGAAGATAATGAGCCGGGGGAGTGGAACACCGGACTGTAAGACTGTAAGACAGCACGACAGCACGATAGTATGGCACAACAGCCGACAACCGAAAGGATATTTACAATCAAGGCCCGATGGCTCAAGATGGCGCAAGATGGCTCAGGAATTTAGGACAGACCCTAGAAGAAAAGAATGCGATCAAGATAAGAGTGAGCAATGGCCAGTTGCTAGTGTCCGGTGTGTCTCCATACCAAGAAATCAGGGATCACCCGTTTTTGACGGATGACGTCACCATCGCCTTGGATTGCCCTGAGCACAGATTTATGCTATTCAGTCCGGTATACATAAACCAGGGCACTACGGGATGTCCCCTCTCGAATTCATTTATATCCCGTGTCTCCCAAGTGTTTTCCTGTATCCCGAGGTCCAAAGTACCTAGGTCCTCTATAGAAGCTTCTTATCGTGTGCGCTTGCAGTGCCGATCTCCTCGTCCAAAACCAAGGATCGCCCGTTCCGGGCCCATTCCCCCACTTCCTTCTTATACGGTCTCCCTCTCTTTTCTTCTTTTTTTTTCCCTTCCTCATTTTGTACGCTCTCCTATCCTTACAGACGTTGCCCACAATGTCTATCAAACGCGCTCTCTCTAAAGCAATTAGAGGGCACATGGGAGGAGGCGAAGATGACTCCTCCGGTTCCAACGTTCGCCCGGCCATATCGCCTAAAGTACGACACTCCCATTCCCGATCCGGTTCTCCCACTGCTTCACCTCGTCGCAGCATTCTAGGGAACTTCCTACGCGAGAAAAACGATTATATCTCTTCATCTGATGATGTCTCCGATGACGCCTCTACTGGTGTCCTGAGCAAAAACCAACAAAAGCGGTTAGTGCGTCAGCATCGCCGAAGCGAACGGAGCCGTCTCAGTGAAGAGATGTTCTCTGAGACCGATAACCGCCGTAAGCAAGAAGCAGTCGCCAAATCGGCGGCTGCAGAAACAGCGGAAATGAAAGCCCGGTACGGCGAGCTGCCCTTGATGCAATCGGCCACTCGACCACGAGAATTGCGGACTCAACTCGAGGATATCACTCTGGCAATGGAGGGGCAACAGGTGTTCTTCAGCGCACGGCTGCACGTTATTCGTCGAATGAGTGCCAAGCTGGTGTTCCTGGTCTTCCGCCAGCAGCTGAATACCTTCCAGGGTGTTCTGCATGAGCGCGAGGGAATCTCCTCCCTTGCCATGATCCAATGGGTCGAACATCTCCGAGTAGGATCTTTTGTCACGGTCCGTGGTACTGTGCAGAGGCCTGAGGTTCCGGTGTTAGGCTGCTCAATTCATGATGTTGAGCTAGCCGTTGACTCGGTTCACCTCCAGGTGCGCCGTGAGGAGCCTGTCCCCTTCAGTGTCTACGAGGCAGAGATTCGGACCAACGAAGAAGATAAGGCCGAAGGTCGCCGCAGCCATATCCCTGACCGGACACGTCTGGCCAACCGAATCCTCGATCTTCGCACGGCAACTTCGCAATCCGTCTTCCGCTTGCAGGCCGCAACCTGTAGGATTTTCCGTTCTACCCTCGATGACCTCGAATTTATCGAGATTCATACACCGAAGCTCCAAGGCGCTGCCACCGAATCTGGAGCGAGTGTCTTCCAAGTCAACTATTTCAACCGTCCTGCGTTCCTCGCGCAGTCTCCTCAATTGGCCAAGCAGATGGCCATCGCTGCTGATTTTGGCCGCGTCTACGAAATTGGTGCCGTTTTCCGTGCCGAAAATTCCAACACTCACCGTCACCTCACAGAATATACTGGATTGGATCTTGAGATGTCGATTGAGGAGCATTATCATGAGATGCTTGATACCCTTGACTCTGTGATCAAGAATATTCTCAGCGGTTTCTACACAAAGTACCGCCGTGAGGTTGAGCTCGTCAAAGACCAGTTCCCCTCTGAGGATGTCGTTTGGTTGGAAAAGACACCAATCATTCGCTTCAGTGATGGAATTAAGATGCTGAATGACTCGGGTTGGCTGAGCGAAACAGGCGAGCCACTACCCCTGGACGAAGATCTGGGCACCCGTGATGAGATTCGCCTTGGTGAGCTTGTCAAGGAGCAATATGGCACCGATTACTATGTTATTGATAAATTCCCTCGCGGTGCACGGCCCTTCTATACCATGCCCGATCCCGAAGACGATAAGTACACCAACTCATTTGATATGTTCATTCGTGGACAAGAGATTGTTTCGGGTGGTCAACGTATCCATGATCCTCACATGCTCGAGGAAAATATGCGTCGTGTGGGTATCAATCCGGATGATATGGAGGACTATCTTGAGGGCTTCCGCTGGGGTGCCCCGCCTCATGCGGGCGCAGGAGTTGGCTTGGAACGTATTGTGATGCTTATTCTCAAGTTGGGCAACATCCGGCTGTCGTCGATGTTCCCCCGTGACCCGAAGAGTTTGCCAGCCAAGCCTGTGGCAGAAAAGCTTCGCCACCCAGAATCATCAACTGTTGAACCGCCCTGGCACCGTGACCACAAGGTTCGGGTAGCTTCGGATCCCAGCGAGCTGCAGCCTCTCGAGCATCTAGTCGCAAACTATGGAGATGCTACATCAACTTCCTGGTTCGATGAGCGCTTCAAGATCTGGCGTGACATGACAACAGGTGCAGCCGTCGCCTATGTGCCTAGCTCCAACTATGCCATCATTCCTGGCAATCCGGCTTGTGACCCCAAACAGTACACGCGTACAATCACTCAATTCTTACAGTGGCTTCGTCGCGATACCAAGCTTAAGCCTGTTTGGATCCTTTGTTCACCCGAAGTTGAGACTATCCTTGGCGAGCGCCTCGGCTGGCGCAGTTTGTCTTGCATTGCCGAAGAGCGCGTCGACCCGTCGCGCAACCAGGCCGCCTCTGATGGAGAGATTGCTCGTAAACTGCGTCGCGCCGAAACTGAGGGCATCAAGGTGGTTTCTATGAACCAGGGAGAGATGGTGCCAGACGACATCCGCAAGAAGATCGATGAGCGTGTGGCCGAATGGCTGGCCAACCGCAAGGGCACACAGGTACACCTGTCCCAGATCCGCCCCTGGTGTGACTCCGAGCACCGTTGGTACTTCTACGCTCTCGACAAGAACGGCACGGTCTGCGCCTTCGTCGCATTGGCGATGCTGTCTCCTGTCCACGGTATGCAAGTCAAGTACAGTCTTGATTTCCCTGGCGCGCCCAGCGGTACGATCGAACACATTGTTACGCATGCCATCCAGACCGCGTCCAAGAGTGGCGTTAAGAGTCTCACATTCGGCGCAGGCGCCACTACCCAGCTCATTGCTGGCCACAACATGGGTGGTGCTAAGGCCAAGATGCTGGAGCACACATACGAAGCTCTCGCCAAACAGTTCCATCTTGTGCGCAAGAGCGAGTTCCGTGCCAAACTTGGTGCCACTGAGGACCCGCTGTACATCTCCTACCCGGCCCACGGCTTGGGTTCTAAGGGCATCCGTGCAGTCCTGAACTTCTTCGAAGATTAAACTCAATACATAATGTGTATTAATGCTCAGGCTATTTATCGGTCTACCATCTGACGGGATCTTTCTGATTTTTTGTCATTTTTTCTCGACGGTAATGCCTGAGCTGATCTTGGATAAACTGGCATATATGTCCATAAGATGTTGGGATATGTCCTAAAATAGAGGGAAGAAGGGAGGAAAGAGCTGGTTGAGCTTTATAGCGTTGACTTCGGCGTTAGCTCTTGATTTCGAAGATTCCTTTTTTTTTGGCGTTGTTTTCCACCTCGCTGCCTCTGAAGCACTACCTATACATGGCTTGTTTTTTTTTTTCCCCCCTTTTGTTGCTCATGCTTGTCTAAGATCCCACATGTAACTGATTGGTGGCTTTGGCTATTAATTATTCTTGTTATGTTAACGCTGTGTTTTATATCGTTGCCACTTAAAATTGTTTAATATGATCAATCGACTGCACAATCTTGGTCGTCGAATGGCTAAATCTATAAACCATGTATTGGAGGAAACCTACAAGAGCTAAATATCTCGGATTCTTCCTCAATACCCATTAGCTATATCCGCACGTGCAGAATGACTCGATGTTTTTGATGTCGGGATATGAGCATGCCAACAGAACTGGCAACGACGATGAGAACACTAATCACCAAAAGATTCTACAATTTCTGCGAAGATCTTCCTACTACATTCAGCAAACGGCATCTTTGGTGACAATTTGTGGGATATCAGGCGGACCTTCAATCAGGCCCAACATACAGGTGTATCATTGCGTAATATAAGGGAGTTGAAAAAAATATGGCGAAGGAAATGTAGGCTTAGCACAAGTATGCATATAGCGGAATCTGAATAGGCATAGGGATGAGCCCACCCATGGATGAGTTATGGTGACTTCCAATAATCTTCTACGCGAAAAAAAGGGAAAGCTGCTTACTATCAAGCTCTAAGTCGTTGAGACTAGATCAAAGGATTCTCTAGTCGCCGCGGGTTGTTTGAAGTATAGTTGCCTAAAGCGGTTAGACCAAAATCATATGACTCGCTATCTTATCGCCACGATCCATCGCTCTTTCACTCTTCACTCTTGAAGCCTATACCCTACAATCATGGCGTCTTCTTCGTCGCAAGAGCTGGTCAAGCGATCCACAGGCCAGCTCATGGCTCCTCCGCCGCCTCCGAAGCGAATCAAGCGCCCCGCGACTGTCCTCGATGAAGACGTATACACCAGCACTCTGTCCCACATCATTGCCCGCGATTTCTTTCCGGGCTTACTGGAGAATCAGGTCAAACAGGAATATTTGGACGCCCTTGAATCAAAAGACAAAGCATGGATCGCAAGCTCTAAAAAGAAGCTGGCAGATGTGATGCGCACGCCCACACCCGGGTCGAATGTAAGACGAAAATCAGATTACACTTCGGTCCCGAGCACACCGCAGCATTTCCCATCTGGACACCCCGGTGACACTCCGCATGGTTGGGGAGGGGATACACCAATGTCTGTCGTATCGACTTCCACGGCGGCAACCGAAACACGAGACCGGAATATTCCCGATGTATCGAATATGGGACTGGTCGCGTTCCAAGCCAAGTATACCAGCGAAGACAACGAGTCCTTCAATAAAGTCATCGACAAGCAAAATGAAAAACGGCGAGAAAAACATCCTTGGCTCTGGAGCGGCAACAAAATTCCTTCGGCGCGACAGATCGCACACCACCAACGAGAAGCCAAGCGTATCGAAGCTCAAGGTGGAAATCCACACAAAGGCCTTATCAAACAAGATGAACATGTCCAACCCGTCATCAAAACAGACTTGGATGCTCGCCCGGCAAAACCAGACTCGTGGAAAACTCGTCCAGACAATACTCTTATGTTTATGCCTTCTTCGGTGGAAGATAATCACGAGACACTCGCCCAGAAAGCCGAGACTACATCCCGAGCAGGCCCCAAGCGAACCCTATATCAAAACACAAGACTCTTAGATCCAGATGCCGCCGCCGCAGCTGATGCAGCAAGTGCCGTGCCTGCTTCACCCTCATTATCCGCCATCCAAGACGCTATCGCAGGCCGCCCTCATTTCAGCGAGTCCGAAGCCGCATCTGCTTTCGCAGGCAGTGAGACTCCGAGGGTCAACGGATACGCCTTCGTCGATGAAGACGAGCCAGAGCCTGAAGTTGTGTATGGCTCCAGCTCCAGAGCTGACGACACGGAAGCTGACTGGCGCCTCCTCGGGCCGGTCTCTGAAAAACCAAATCCTTTCCAACTTGGTGAGACTCGCAAGCGCGAGGCCCTGCATCACCGCATGGTAGATCGTGTCGCGCGGAACAAGCGTGCTGAAAAGGCCGCTCGTGTTACGAAGACGCCTGTCTCGTTAACGCCGCGTTTTGCCAGTAGTCCTCGGCTGGACTACGGGCTGCAGTCTACACCTGGAGCTAGCTCTAGCAGGGGTTCTGTCTCCGGAGGAAATGCTCAGGGAAAGATGCTTACTCCTGCGGCGCAGAAGCTGTTGCAGCAGGTCGGGAGAACACCAAGGTCTGAGAGGAAGTCTGGACTTGGAAATGTTTGGACACCGACACCGAAGCGGAAATGACCTTGTTGTATGATTCTATCTTGATATTTTAGCTGCATGATACCACGGAGTTTATAGACTCTTAGGGAGTTTCAATATTTATTTTTAGAGTTGACCACAACCTACTATTCCAAAATTGTAGAATATAGTCACACTGCAACCTAATAGCAGATCCAGTATTATAGATGTATACACTATTTGAGTTCCTGGGGTTAAGACGATCGAGTGGATTGACATCGGGACGAACAGGAACCGCAGTCCCGAGATCAGTTCTTACCCGGTCCCGAGGTCGGCCGTGTACTTCGCCTCTTTGATTCTTATTCCGACATCTGCCCTCATAAATACTATTGATTCTCTTGGCAGATTGCTATCTCTAGCTGGCAGCTTGGATTGGGTTCATAGATTCGTGAGTTATGCATATAATTCGATTGGAGGACGTGACTAACAAGACCATAGATTTTGATTTGACACTCCAATTGAGCTCTATAACATTGCAACTGCTTGTATTTGAATTTGATCTCGCATATATCAAAATGAGCATTGAGACACCAGAAAAGCAGATCGCTCCGGCATCAACGTCTGCCACTGCATCTGAAAAGATCTCCAAATCCAAAGAGAACCCCACATCAACGGAGACAGGAACAACAGAAGAGATAAAAGAAAAAGATATATCCAAGTCTTCACTATATTCCCCAGCAAACCTGCTCTCAAGCTTGCTGTCCCCGTTCTCTTTCTCAAGCTCTTCAGAGCCAACCACCACGGTATCTCCAAACCAGGAGAAAAATGAAGAGACAACCACAAATCCAACCCAAATATCAATTGAAGCCTCAACTACACAACCCACTCCGGAGCCATACTACAGCCCCGAAGAAACTCCTCTTTTCAAAACCCTTGCAAAAACCCGTCTAACCAAAACACGCACAAAACAACTCTTGCGCGCGGGAGAGAGAGAATACAATGATCCCCCGCCTATGGGGGATTGCTGTGGAAGTTCCTGCGACCCATGTGTAAGGGATTTATGGAAGCAGGAGATCGGGATTTGGAGGGAGAGGTGGGGTGATTGGGGTATTGAGGATGGGAAGAAGAGTGAAGAGAAGAGCGAAGAGAAGAAAGAGAAGTTGGGGCAGAGGAAGGATTTGGAATGGTGATAGAATTGTTGCTATGTGCTATATAATATCCGGGTCTTTTCCAGTACACTCACCTAGTATACCATATAGACATCCTACATGCGGCGGTTAGCAGGAGCTGTCAATATTAGGCAAATAATAGCAAACAGTCTTTTCGGATTGGACTTGCCTGCAGTTCAACAGGGAGCTAGAACTCCATATTAACTTAGCCAACGGCTTCGTTTGCAGTGAGATCTAAAACGACCAACCCGGTGCATATGGTTTGGTTGAAACTGCCGTTAGTGTTGAATTGAAGAGTACACAACAATGTAGGATGATATAAGAAGTTCCAGATACCAAGAGAAAGGAAATAGGAAATCGCCCAAAAAGGCACATGAAAGTCATAAATATTTACAAGCTGAGCCAGCAAGGACAATCTACAACAAGAACATAACTCCCATAACAACCAAACTAGACACCCAAGTCCAAACGCCGAGCTTCACCCCGAGACTCAAGTAATATGCAGCCCCAAGGAAAGAACACGTAATGATACCGTCGGAGTTCCGATACCCATAAGAGGCATTCAACCACCTGCCCTCGGGACATCCGAAGCCAAGCGCTGTCGGGCAGTCCTTGACAAGGGTGTGGCAAATATCATAACACGGCAGAATTTCCTTATAGGGACCTGGCTTGATCTGCTCATCAATGATAGCATTGCGAGAGTAATTTGATGCAGCGTGTTGGCGGTACCGACTATTAGCCGGCAGAGAAGAACCGTTAATGAAGTTCTGGCCTGCGTTACGGACGGCAAGATAGTCTGCGGTGTTGCTGTAGTCTGCGCAGCGGGGGATGCTGACGCTACAGAGCCACTCCCTGTAGGATCTTGCGCAGTCATCGCAGCCGACGGCGAGGGAGAACATGGATTCTTCGCGTGCTTTGCATTGGACTTGTTGGAGGGAGTAGGTGAAATTCTTGTAGATGGCGGCGGCGTAGTCATCGTAGATTGTGCGCAGCTTTTCAACGCTGAGATTGGGGTTTGAAGGTACTGCGTACGCGACTTCCGAGCAAAAGTTTAGATTGAATAGCACGGCGCAGTTGTTATCTGGGATTGATTAGATGGGATTGATTTGTTCAAGGGTAAATTTTAGCTTGCTCACCTGCTTTAGTTGTGAAGTTCATTGGCTTCCAAACCTGGCCGCCACCGCCAATGATGCCATTTCCGGACGCGGTGGAATTGCCCACCATTGCCAAAAGACCGCTGTACGACGAACTCTTGTTCAGTCCGGTGAGGTAAAATTGCTCTTTGGGCTTATTCCCAAGCCCGCGGCTGGTCATGCCAACCTCGGTAGAATTACTGATTCGGCCCACCTGCGAAAGGGTATCGAGCGCGCAGAACGATCTCTCCAAGCCTTTCAACGCTGTATTGTTGATGTTGTGGGCAAACATGGTATAAGGAGGCACCATGCTCATCCACTCATGGTAGTTCGAGGAGGTACTCTCGGACTGGGTGAGATTGTTTGTCACCAGGAGCGCGGCTGACACATCCGCATCGATCAAATGCAGATTTGGTTCATCATCCACAACATTATGGAAATATGCATCGATGGAGGCTCCGAGCTCGTACGTATAGCTTCCCACATAGTCTGTTGAATTAGGCGCCGCAATGCCAATGAAGACATCGTTGTCCGTGTCCACGGTGATGCCCACATAGCCACCGACAGCAGTGTATATCTCCTGCAGCGAGTTGTCTTTGCCCGGTCCCGGCTCTTCTAACTTCTTTGAGGTCGAGATATATAATTTCAATTGCGGAAATCCGTCTTGTGGGTTGGTTTTGTTGGTATGGGGTTTGCTGCAGGTCGTGAGTGACAGATAGACTGTGGTCATCGCTCGCTTCAAGAGTTCCCTGTCCCGCTTTTCTGGGTCATGAACCTCATCATATGGACCATGCACGTACGCGGGAAGACCTTTGCCCACAGTGCCGTGTCTACCGTTCACAACGACTTCGGGTAGGTAGAACCATTGGACATCGCCGATCTCGAGCGAGCCCGCCGCAAACTGGTTGTTACCCAACGCTTTCGCAGCATTCGGATACCTGCGCACGAGATCTAGTCCGTTTGATTCGCCATCCTCGTCTATGCTGTCGAGAAGTTCCAGCCCATTGAACGAATCCAGCGCAACTGGGAATCCTGATCCGTCGTTGGCAATCGCCCCTCGGGAGTTCAATGTGTTCTCTGCATCGGGATCATGAAAAGCATCGGTATAGGCGACTGAATTGCAGACAAATGCGAAAAGGAGAAAGATCGTACTAATCGTTGCAGTAAAATAGCACTGCAGCGCGTTGTATTGATGTCGCATGGAAAGACGGAGGGGAGGGTATCGCTGTACAGCTCATGGGAAAAAAACCGGCATTGAAGGATAAGGGATCACGGGCAAGCGGTGGGATACACCAGCTGTAAACCTCGTCCTGGAGGCAGAATCAGCGGCTGCATATAGTCGATACGAGTAGTCAAGACGTGTTTGGCTGAGGTTATCGCGGAAAATGTCTTATCAATTTGGCTGCCTTGGTGCCTCGTTCGGGACACGTAGGCGCAACGTACAAAATAGGATTTCCCAGATTCTACTCCGTATCTGTTTTTTACACACTATGTCTGATAAATGATATGCAATAGATTTTACGCGACAGAATTTTACAAAGGGAAATGCCATAGTGTGATGATACACATGTCTACTCCGTACGGAGTGGACTATCATGTGTTCCAACCCCAATCATCACAGCCACTACGTAGTAGAACACCCGCTATGAACACTATAGGGCCAAGAACGCCGTTTTGGCCCTACGGGCAGTATGCAACCTAGTTTGGCGCGATCTTACATCCACATCCCAGACGCCAGTCCATCCTTTGCCTCCTTTCGTCTCCGAATCAACTCCGAGACCCTTGTTTGGCCCCAATGCCGACATCTACAGACACACAACATATGGACCCTTTGTTGTGACTGAGTGTGGTTTCAAACCCATCATATCTTCTCCGTAGTTGGCTCAAATCACATTGTTAAATGACGGTATTGGAATCTTGGCCATGGCCGTCGAAAATGTGATCCTCACACAATCTACGCTCTTGCTCCAACCCCCAACAAAAACTAGGCCGAACATGGCACAGGGCGACATCAAGTCACCCAACAAGGCAGTTCGTCAAAGAGACAATCCCAGTCCAAGCCCTATATTTCTACATGAAACAATCTACATACCTTAGCTTGATCCCCCTATATCGAGTTCTTCGAGGCCGGAAATCTGTTCTTGCAAAATGGCACGACGCATCCACCGGTCCCGCACTGTAGAAACGATCTACATTACTTCACCGCATAGAGACTAGCACGCAATGTATTGACCAGGAGGGTTTCTCCAAAGACTGTTCGCTGCTCTCCTTACTATCGAAGCTCTTTGCAGAAAACTGTACAATTCTATAACAGTCTTCCATGGTGCAAATGGTTTGATTCATATACCTAGGCCTCTCGGGTTTGCTTAATCACTTAGCAGGTATCCTTCATGACGAACGAATCCCAAATTCCTGACAACGTACAATATATCTTGTAGGCAACGCGAACTGTGAGTGCTGCGAAGAATACAGGTCTCCCGGGGCCTACTGAAAGATGGCGGGATATTTTAGGGTTATTTAAAGACACCGGAAAGGCCCGACCCTTTCCACGGAGCAAAGGAATCGGAATGGATCTAAAAGTGGGAAATTATGGTATATTACTGTGTCATCTTGAACTTGATAGAAACCTCTACTTAAGATGTACAGATGGTGCATCGACACAGATAGCGAAATCGACAAATACCTCAAAGGCGCGAATCTGGGATCACTGGAAAGACCTCCGGGTCGCCTACGGAGTAATCTGAGCCCAATTGAGAGTATAGAGGGTATGGAAGGTCACTTGACAGAAGGAAATGAAAAAGGGTGATCAGTTAGGTACTTAGTATGGGGGGGGCAAACAGGTGGAGGGCAGGACCATGTACTCCGTACATCTGTATATCACTGCACTGATATGGTACAATTGATAGTGATAGACCCAAGGCTAGAGCTTGCCTTGAACTGGCATAGCGGAAAATATATAACGATCGTCAGAGACAGGCCACCGTTCGGGATCGCCAAGCCCCCAATGGTGAAGAGTTCAGGGAAAACCTCGGAAGTCTGGCATCTCTGAGCAATTACAGAGTATGGGGCCCTTTTGGCCTTTCGGCCTATTGGCTAATGCTTGAATGAGGACTCCATATTTGGTGACCATTCTCGAATTCAAGATGGCTCTCGTATAAATATCCACAATCATATCTTATTCAGAAAGTACTTCGTACGGAGTACGGAGTACGGAGTAATTGTGGTCAACTTCCCAAAGAGGCAGTTGGTCACTTCGCAACGCAATGTGCTTGGATCGTGCCGTGGAGCAAGCAATCCACTACTCCAGTAACTCAGGGGCCATCTATCACAGTAGGTATGAAATATAAATATGGCACTCGGGTTCTATCAGAGCCGACTCCCAAGGCCCTTTCAACTTCAGTCATTCTTTTGTTTATTTCGGTCATTGATTTGCGGGCTTTCTAACTCGTCACTCATTTTATCGGCCGGTGAACCGCCCCGATGCAGCTCATCCAGCTTGGTACTGCCTTTTACCTCCTGGCTTCGGCCAGTGGTTTGGCACTCAGACCTCATACCCGAGCCCTCACGCCTTCGTCCAGGCACAACACCTCACTCGTTTCGCAGGCCTTTCGCCAAAACCTGAAGGGTAGTATTGGCAATGTCTCACTTGGTTTGGTAAACCTAGCTGTGACCCCTGCCCAGAATAGCCAGGGGCTTTGGACCACAGCTCAATGTGACCAGAACTCTATTGACGATGCTACTGTCGATTTCGCAGATCGATGGGCTGCGGCAGACGTCTCAGGAGCCTGGAATGACATGCTTAATGAATGGAATAGTGGATCTCAGAACAATCTGTATCGTGGCCTTGCATTCTCGCAGTTCGCCAGTTACTACTTCCAAGGGCCCGACCAGTGGAACTGTCAAGATATCGGTAGCGTCCCATGCTCTACCACTGTCCAGTGCAAGGACGTCAATCACCCAGCAGGGTATGGTTTCTGCCACCAGCTTCTCCCTGACATTGTTACAGTCGTGCTAACAGCAGAGTAGCTACCTTCTTTTGAATGCTTTCTCTGGTATCCATCAGGTGAGATCTCTCCGGTGCCCTGAGAACAACATTCAAGTATACGAAATTAACCTGAATTTATCTGTTATTGTAGCTACACAGCGAGATGCACAACGCAATTCATACAGCAATGATCACAATCCAGAGCAAGGTGGGGGAATTTTCCACCATCTTTGCCCCTCAGAGTGATAATACCCAGATGATTCTGGACATTTTTGACGCCCTGACTACTATTTTCGGCTTTGGAGTTTCAGGAATTTTCAATATTGGTAAGCATGAGAACTGTCTCTTTACGTTGGATCATAGTCTGACCAAAGCCCAGTTGAAAAGGATATTGCGAAGGTCGCCTCGAATATCGTTTCTAGCCGCCGTGGAAGCATTAGCTCTATCAGCTCCGGAAGATCTGGCAGCTCTGTCAGTTCTGGTAGTTCTGGTAGCTCTGTCGGCTCTAGTAACTCTGGAAGCAGTTATCACACTGCAGACGACAACCCAACATGGTGGAAAGGAAAAGAAGTGGATAGAACCACTAATTTCCAGACAAGAGAGCTGGGTTTCGATGCTCACGGCTATGCTTACGACATGTCATACCAACTTCTTGCCATCACGGCTGGCTGGACCAGAGACAATGCCCCTAAGTATGATTACATATGGTCCTCAAGCTCTCTTTAATGCTGCCTTTGCTGACTATACCAGGGTTCATGATAAACTCGAAGCTCAGAACTCTTTGAGCTCCGCTCTCGGTGATCTTTTCACAGGCTGGAAGGATCTGGAGGTCTCTTATCTCAAAAGTGTCTTTTCGGGTGACGCATCATCACAGAGCGACCTTCAAACCCTCATCGAAAATGGCAAGATGAACTTTATGCCAAACCATCTAGACCAAGACGCGATGGCAAAAGAGTTGGAGTCGGTACTTTATGGTCAACTGATGCCTACTGCCTGGAAGACTGCCTCTGATGGCGTAGGCGCCCATCCATTTATCTTGTAAGAGAACCAACCCCATGATTTGAGAAGACCATGCTAATCGGAATGCCTATCATAGGAAGACGGATATCAGCTGTGACAATCGCGCCGCTCGGATTCCTGAGTTCTACGACTACGGCATCATGTCTGACGTGGACTCTGCCAAGACACGCGTATGCTGGAGGGAAAAGCTGGTTTTCCTGGTGAACGCCAATGAGTGGAACTTCTTCAGTCAAGTCCACTTCACGCCTCTGCCCGGCGCGGATAGCATCACCCTCTCCGGAGATAAATGGGGAAACATCACCCTTGAGGACATTGTTTCCAGCGCAATCACCGGATATGAGGGAAGAGGCAACAGCCAGAACGGCTACAAATCGCCCGGCATGGATGATATCGTGAACGATCCCGAAGCTGGCAAGTATGGAAAGCGTGTCCGCTATCCTGGCTTCTTCAACATCCCTGTATGCGAGAGCCTGGGCCAGGCCAAGGCCGCCATCGTTGCCAACCACCATGCAAACTCCCCATACTGGCCTTGCGCGGATCCTCCTAACTTCAACGAGAAAGGAACTAAAATTGTATGTTCTATTTGCACTTTCCAAATGGGCGGCAGTTGCTAATCACCCCTACAGCATGTGAACAAGGGATACATTACCATCAATGAGGACAAGGTTGTCTGCGACTCGTACAGTAAGTCGTAGCCCCATCTTGGAGCTTGATAAGGCAGTGCTAACAGTATCATCTTCAGAAATTCCCGATCCAGGATATGGCGAGACACTCAGTGCAACCTTCTATGGACGATTTGATGGAAGCAATACTGCCGACACTACCGTTCAGGCAAAGTGCAAGGTTACTGCCACCTGGCCTAAGTCCTTCGGTGATATCTACTACGGAGAGGACAACTGCGTGTATGACAGCGAGTCCAAACCCATCAACGACAAAGATGGCAACCACGCGTGCTGCAACGAGAGCGATGACCTTACCGAGAAGGTCAGCAACCCATACATGGTTGGAGCTCAGTGCCAGCATTAATCTTCGATCTTCGGATTCATATGCAACACAACATGATCATCGCAATAAGGGGTTAGACTTGGGAAAAGCATGCCTTCTTATGCCCTCGGTGGATATAGCCCTGATTCGTTATCCAGAGGGGAACTTCTTTGAGAACATTCATTACCCTACGATCATCCTGTTCTTTACTTTCTCTTATCTGCGCGGTTCTTCTTTTAATCGCCTGTCTAATACATAATATATTCCACATTACAAAGCATCGTATACTTCCGACAATTCCTAACAACAGCTGATGCTCCATCGGGGAGAATACAATCTAAAGAAGCAAAAAGGAGGGCTGGCCTAAAAGCAGCTGTGTAATAAGCTCATATCTGATTGGGGGCATGGAAAACGGAAGCAATCGATATATTCTTTTGAGTCAGAAGCTTCATATAGACGGGAAGTGTGATATGGATTGCCAGTGGCTTGGTACATCAGGGGCTAGATCTTCAACGGAGCACTCAGCGGTAGTGAGCTTTCATGTTCCTCCATATGATAAGCCAAACGACCCTCAGTTTCCAGGAAAATATGTTGCCACATGAAGGTTTTGAGCGAATGGCAAGTACCAAGGTCACTGGCGATATCCCGGGAATACTGTAGCTTCTGTGATAAACCTGGCTCAAATTGCTCGAGAATGCGAGAAACTATGGCATCGGCTCCCTCTGCCTCTTCTCCGTTTTGCAGGGCATAAGCGTAATGCTTGTGTGTGGCGAATGTCGCAAAAGCTAACTGGTCGTGGTCGGCAGAGAGGATGCGGGAGCAATGGTTTTTGTTGTCTGGGCAGTGATCCTCACGGTGGCGAGTAGCAATCGAGGACGCTAGAAGGTAATCCTGCAATGTTCCTTCGATCGAGTTCCCACATATTATGAGGCGTGGCTCCGCGGAACCAGAAGACATCAACTCTGCCGCTGTGACGTGTTGCAGCTCCCATTGAATGGATGGCTCTGTTAGTGAGTTTCCGGTACTCTCCCTAGCTTTCACAGTCGTGCGGAAATAGTTCACGTGAAGGGCTTCAAGAAAGTTTGTTCAGCTGAAGTGTGTTAAGGAGGAGAGATTAGAAACTCACCTGAGGAACTACAAAATCGCCTGACCACAAGTAGGATTGGGGGCGGTGCTTGCGCCCATTGTTGACGTATAGCGAGAAATCCAACGTAACTCGGCACAGCCTCCAGACCTTTGCGGCTAGAACGAATTGTTGTTTCCATCAACCTGGTCCGTTTGGTCAGTCAAGAGACACGGTGAACAAGGTAGACATTTACCTTCCCAATGTATTGCTTGAGTCTTCAGTTTGAGTCAGGCTTTTCAACCAAGCACAGCTCATTTGAGAGATCCATATCTGCATGCACGTAAAGTCGTGTTCAACGCGCTTTGGTTGAGTCCAATGCCAAAAGTCCTTGTTGTTCAGATTGTAATCGCTCCCCATAAGCTGTGCAGCGCGTTGTATCGGCAGGCTGAAGTCCAGCTCGGCGCCGATGATATGCTGTCGACGCTGAAATCGTTTGTACTTCGACAAAACATGACAGTAGATTAGCAGGCGCGTTACCTGGAGTAAATTGTCGGGGTTCCATTCATTTTCTGCTCCCACAAATTTTGTCTGACCTTCTAGGCCCGGCTCTTTCCAGCCTAACTTCTCCAGGAGACCGCAGCGAGATATGCCGGTGGGATGGAGACCGACATTCTTGAATCTGAATCTTTCGGCCGTCAGGACACGACACATAGTACGTGCTCGAGTCACGAGAGATCGGAGCTCATCAGTAACGTGACTGACATGATTCTGGAATCGTTCTCCCGAGTCTGTTTGCAGCAGATGTTGCCGGAGCGACATCAGCATGCAGGCCCGGAGTTGACAGGCGGTGTCACCAACATGGGCATCGAATGTCATATACCCGAGAGACGTTGAGGGGGCAGTTTCTTCCTGAAGAAGCCGAGAGAACAGCTCTAGGGCTTCCACAGCATCGGTTCCTGCCAACACGATATCGCATAGCAAACTTGGTATATAACCACCTTTCAATCTGCTAGTATGCTTGGTGCCCGGCGGGACTTGAACAAGGAAGAGAGCCGTCAACATCGTTGCTTGGAGAAACGGGGGCTAACGCAAACTTGCACGCTAGTATATGGCTTGAGCACAGATCTATACTGTGCTAGGGAGATCTCATTTGGCCTTATTAGAGTATCCCCGTCGGGGCCTCTAGCCAATCGCCTATTACATTCTTCCTTACCACGACATAGCCCTGGTTTGACCCCGGGGTTATTTGCCGATCTTAAATTCACCGACTGGAAATTCGCCGGCTGCAAAGGCCCGATTGAGTATCATTCACTGTGGAGCTGGTGGGAGGACCAACCACTGTCCATCTCAAGGTTGGCAGATCCTCAGGGGCCTTGACCAGCAGCACAGAATTGACTTTAACTCTTGGCCACATGAAAAACGAGGCTTCCAGATCCAAATCCCCGACAGTAGCCATTATCGATGCACCGGCTTTAGCATTCGATTACGTAGTGGGAATGCCAATAACACGAAACTCGAAGCAGCGGCACAATCTCACGTGTCAACCGGATGGATGCCGCTTTATATATACGAACATTCGAGAATGAACTGTCTGATTGGTGTCTTTCATCCTGCTTATAATGTGGGAAATGTGCTATAGCTGTACCAATATACGGTCGACAACAGATGAGGCTTTCTCACGCACCCGAGGGCTTAGTGGCAAAGCCGTAGGAAATGACTTATGGACAGTATATAGTGGGGGTGATACTAGACCTGGAGTGCATGGAAGAACTAGAGGATAGGGTTGATTTGAACACTCATTACTGCACAAGGCCGCGAGACTAGAGCTGATGGGCCGTCAGTGGAGTTTACAAGGCAGGTAATGTGCTAGCAAGAGCTCTGTCCAAAGCTTGCAGAATTGAACTTTTACGGTCAACTAAAAAGATCTCTGATAACTGCATATATCCTCTCTCCTCTGATTCAAACACATCGAATGATCCAAAAACCAGCATTCATTGACAGAATCACCAAAATTCGCAATGACCTTCGTGGTCGACCATCGACCGTCAACCTCCAAAGCACAACTCCACTCCGCTTATGATAACTTTCCAAACGATACAACTGAGTTCGGTGTGCAAGTCCATCGATCACGGCGAGTTTTCAAGTCGACCTCGGCACTCAACTTGTAGTTCTCCAACGCCGTGATAATGAGCAATTTGATCATGATTGATGCAAAGTTTTTACCCAAACACTTGCGTGGACCAAGCCCGTAGCCATAAAGGCTGTAACGTGCGTCCATTCGGGAGATTGATTCCCACCGGCTAGGTCGGAATGCCGTGCCATCTGGAGCCCAAGTAGGAGAGTCCTGATTAAGTCGTCGAACATCGATGATTACTGGGGTCCCGCGCGGGATCAAATACCCTCCAATAGATTTATCCTTCGCGGTAAGCTCGGGAAGCGAAAACCCTGTTCATTGAAATCAGCCTTGATCGTTCCATTAGAGTGCAAAGGCTGTAACCTACACGCGGGGGGCTGTTCCGAAGAATTTCCAGGTATGACTGGTGGAGGAGGTTATTTTCATCTTGAATGTATCGAAGCAAAGAGTCAGATGTCACTGATTTCTCTCGAATCTCGGTCCGAAGATCTTCTTGGTCGTCTGAATTACGTCCAAGGTTGATCAAACAATATGCGAACATGCTGGATGTGACGTCGATGTTCGTGAAAAGTATCTCGTCGGTCGATTGTAGGAACTACCGAAAAGTCAATGTGAGATCAAGATTTTTCATCCAGAGGATTCTTTACAGTCTTCATGTCCATCTTGCCCTGTTCAACTGCTTGGTACATGCCCTCCACTGGGCAGGAGACGCCCATCTACAATCATTTTTAGTAGGTCTCGGAGGTTGTAGTTGCTAAAGCGAGACTCACCTTTCTTGCCCTCGCAATAACCTCTAAAGTCAACTCCTTCCATCGTCTATTGAACTCTTTCAATGTGCTGTTCTCTTTGGTTGGCAGCCAACGGTAGAGTCGTGTCGCGGCCAAAGGGCTTAAGAACGTGACCCCTGTCACTTGCTCATGCAACTCGTTCAAATCCCAAAGACGCTCAAAGATCTAAATTCAAACGCTATCAATAGAAGTTTGGTGGTAATGATTCTCGGCTTATAATGTAACTCACAGATTCTGAGAAGACCGGTCCATATAGAGCCATAGCAATAAGGCGAAAGGGAAGTTGTCGACAAACAGTCGACGCGTCGCAGGAAAAGCTTCCAGCCGACTGGTCTTTGACACTGGATTCACGAGACAGGTCCTGTACCCAGGAATTTATGGTGCGCTGGGTGTCTTGGACGAATGAGGCAGCTGACGCGAAGGAAAAATGACCTTCGAGATATGATCGGGTGTTTTTCCAATTGGCACCATTTTGCACGCCTACGCATGAACCTAGAGTTCTGGCAAACATTGACCCCATATTGCAGTCATGGAGCTTTTGGTGATCTATTTGTTGTCAGTTGGTTGGCAAGACTTGGGGCCGGGAATTTTTCAACTACTGACCACTACCATCCTGCGCATAAAACTCCTTGACATGAGAAGGTTGGGAGATGACAACCTCATGGTGTCGTCCATTTTTCACCAGATAGGGACTATGTCCAAATTTTCGTGCACCTTCGTCGGAAAGTTCTCTCCTGTTTCCCTTGGTAAAGTGATCAGCTCCTGCGATAGAGCGGGTTTTAACCCCAGGAACCAATATGCGAGAAGAAACTAACCCATTTGTAAACCGTCTAAATCTGGTATTCTGCGTGAGAGCAGGGATGATTTTCCCTTGTTCGTTCTTGAAATATATCCCTCGGAATCTGGTGAGATATCTCACTACGACTATGAAATAAAAGAGTAGGCCAGCAAAGAAAGCCCAACCGATGATATGGTTCATCTCGGCTTGTAGGAGTTTCATACTTTGGAGTCAAAGTTCAAAGCGGCAAACTCCCAGAGGTTTTGTTACTTTTTTTCTCGATCGCTTTAATTAAGTATGCTAGTTCAAAGAATCACTTGTATCATTTAATCATACGGCCATATTTGATCACCGTGGTGGTGCAGCCCAGAGATTGATATTGCTCACCCGAGGAACGCTAAAAGAATTACCATTATCAAAGGTGCCTTTGTTACTAAGTGGCCGACATACAGACCGACATACAGACCGAAATAGTGGCCGATATAATGGCCGAACATGATGGCCTATTATCAAGAGCACCGGCCCTGTTCAGGCCGGACATACATGCCAGAATGAGCATAGTGTATTTTCCAGTGAGCAAAAATAACGGCCGTGCCTGGCCTTCCTCGGGTAATATCTTTGCAGGGTGGCTGAAATTCTCCAGCGTTGAAAAGAGCATGGTAAGCGCTTAATGTTGTGGCTTTTGGCTAGATGAAGATAGCTTAGTGCGCTTGGTCTTCACAGAAAGAGCCTGGAAATTCGCCGATCTAGCAATCTAAGCCGAGAACACTAGATGTTCACGAACATTGAAGATCATAGTCAAGAGTGCAATAAACACCTAGCTATAATTCAAGTATCATCCTGTGTCTGTAGATATGTTCTTTTCGAAACAGAAACAAAACATCCCAGACTACAATCTAGAGCTTTTCGCATCACTATGTCGCCATCTTCAAGTCCTGTTGATACTTTAGATCAACTCAAAGAATTGATTTGTACCTCACTTGATACCGTCAAGAAATCTATTGTGGATAACAATGACCCTGCTTTATCCCTCGACGCGTGTGAGCAGCATCCTATCCACAATCGACTGGATAAGGATCTTGAAATCTCTCTGAAGAATATTTCTTCGGCGTGTCAGATGCTGCGGGCTTTGATCGACCCTAACACCTTCATCAATGATATCACGTATGGTGTATGTTGTTTCGATCTGACTTTAACTCGCACACAACTGGACCTTGACCTGACCATCGTTTAGTACCACGACGAGACTGCATTGTTCGTTGCTTGTCAAGCAGACATTGCCAACCTTCTTGCTGGCGGAGAACTTTCTATTCAGGAACTCGCTTCCAAAACAGGCCTGAATGAGGATAAGTTAGCTCGCTACATGCGAAACCTGTGCAATGCTCTCATCTTCCGGGAGGCAGCGGAGAATCGATTTGCCAACAACCTTCTCTCCATTACTTTCCTCTCGGAAGGTAAACGAGCCCTTGTAGGGCATTGGTGAGTCAAGTCATCAATCCTTTGCTCTAACTATACTAACCAAACTCATCAATCAGCGCGGATGAATGCCGTACATCGTCGTCCAAAGCATGGGAGGCTCTTACCCATCCGGACTTCAAGGATTCCACCGATCCAAGAAAAACTCCATTTAACTTAGCATACAACACTGAACTCCTCATATTTGACTGGATGAAGACTGTGAGACCCGATATTGGGCAAAGATGTAACACCGCAATGGCGGGGAAGGGCATCAATCTGGGCCAATACCTGTCGCGTAAGTAATCCCCACGAGAAGTTCTAAGAACGAATCATATGTTAACAGAGTATGACAGTCTATCCATGGGCGTCAGAGGCAGGTAAAACCATCATCGATGTTGGAGGTGGCGTCGGCGCCGGCACACTCCCCTTTCTACAAGCTCATGGCTCTCTTCGCCTCAAGATCCAGGATCTTCCCGAAAGTGAACCCAAATTCCACGAGGTCAGCACCCTTTGCAGAATGAAGCAAAAAGGCTTTATTAATAAGTTCCCAGTATGTCAAAACTAGCTTTCCTGAGTTCGAAGGCTCTGACCGAGTCGAATTCCTCGCCCATGACTTTTTCACCCCCCAGAGCGAGAAGGAGGCCGACATCTACTTCCTGCGCCATGTCATTCATGACTGGCCCGATGCTGACGCTCATCGCATCTTGTCAAACTGTGCCGCTGTGATGGCGCCGCACAGCAAGCTATTGATTCTCGAGCATATGATATCCCCCACGTATCGTCCCGATGGATCGGCAGTAACACACGATTTCATAGCGCCGAAGCCTCTCCTGGCTAATTGGGGCCAGTCAGTCACCAGTCGATTGGACTTACAGGTACTAGCCTGTCTCAATGCAAAGCAGCGAACAGAGACCGAGTTCCGCACCTTGGTTGCCAAGGCGGGATTAGAGGCCGTTCGTGTATGGCGCAATGCTGGGCAAGACACGATCCTTGAGTGCAGAAAGGCTTGAACTCGGATTCAATGGTTTTCGATTTGCCACAAATGAAGAGATTACTCACGAATAGCATTCATTGGATTATGCTTGCCTAGGCTGTAATACCCAAGTTCCTGTAAGATTCAACCTTGGAAGTGTGTGCATAGAGGTCGTCCCTATAGAATCACATAGTCGTGCTGAAATTCCACCATGTATGATGTAACCCATCCAAGGTATATCGGGGCAGATTAAGTATTACTCAATAGTGAGACAGTAGATTCATGTTGTCAGATTTCAGATGTGAATGCTAGGGTATGCATCAGTATGTGGTAAAATCAATTGACGTCCTTGGTGTGGCGCTCGATGGTGCCACCTGTTTTGCGGCTACTGCCGCCCCGAGCCCTCGCGCCCCGAGCCTTCGCAGATCGATACCGAGATTGTACATTTATGCCGAACGACGCTAGCCCTGGAGTACATATCTTGCACCTAATAGGTTCTCTTTGAGACCTACGGATGTGGGACTCAGAGAGGAGAGAGTTGTATTGGAAATGAGACGAAAATTCCCGAACTCTCTCGGCTATGAGGGACAATTCCTGAGGCACCAACCACTGTCTCAACGGGTTTCGTAATAGGATTTTGTTGGAAGTCCTGGCGATGAGCTTGGCGACTGGGTACGGACTCCGGAGGACGGAGTGGCTCCTCCGTACATAACGTAACTAGGAAATGCCCAGATGAGCTGAAACATCGTATTAGGGGGAATGGAGACTAGTGGACCTTCTGCGGATTCCACTCAAAGGAGGTTCTACCTACCTAGGTACCTACCTGGTAGGTAAGAACATTGCACCAACTTCCTGATCGGGTCTAGGACCAGCCCCCTGGATCTTTTGGGACATTTACACGACGCACTATTTCAACGGTTCTTCCCTCCATGTAGGTACACGCTAGTATAGGGCTGATTCTCTGTATACTTAACATGGTGTTAAAGATGTATTACTCATTCTCATTCTCATTCTCGTGATAACACGACCAGATGCATCCAAAGTAACCTCAAAATTGCCGTTTAACCTAACACAATGCCGTAATTGACTCATTCATTTAATCGTGTACATAGTCCCTGAAACATCAACTCCAGACGCATCAATGCAAGCTGTAATTTCATCGCGTACATCTGATCGACATCTTTATTCGCAACCTCGTTCGCTTGCGAATTGAGCCGACTGATACGAGCGCGTATGCTTTTGAAGACTTGTTGCACTTGATCCCGAACTAGAGTGACGAGAGTCTTGCGCATAAGAGAAAGAGGCTCTTGCTCGACGATTTCCTGATCGCCAAGGGTAACACGGAGCTCCATCAATGCGTCTGGGGCTTTAGCCACGAGGCCTTCCAGACGTCTGAAGACCAGATCCACCGCCATGATAATGAGCATGTTTGTTTCGGGGTCCGCGTGGCATCGCTCGCACTTGAGAATATCCTGGGACACTGCGAGTGCATTTAAACTGGTAGCAATGTCTGTATCGTGGCGAACGGGTCCTGGGGATTTTTCGAGGCCTTTGAGTCGACAGAGGGATTCGAATTGGGATCGCAGACAGCTGCAGGCACTTGTTTGATCTTGTGATCGCTTGGGTTGTGGATTCTTTGCCTGGTCTGCTGTTTCCAATGGTGGTTTGAGGTTCACGTCAACAATTGACATGTTGTCGGCCAGGAAACTCTCAGTTGGGTCACCGGGGATACAGAAATCGGGCGAGAAGTCTAATATGATCAGCTTCATTGACTCTCCCAAGGTCACACTCAGTACTCACCAAAAGAAGTATTGTCTATATTAAAGGCAGCAGTAGCGGCGAAGTTTTGTATCTGTGTTCCTTACATTAGTTGCAATGTCTCTCGTATGTTTGCTAGGCAATCACCCACATCATGTAATAATGCCGGGTTTGAAGCTTGTACGTGCGTGTCACAATTTGCATCAGGTATTGAAAAATCACTCTGATTTTCCACCGAAGTGACTGGGTTCAAAAACGAACTCCAGTCTAGACAAGCCTTTAGACCATCGATGTCTAATGCCAGCGAGCTATCGCAATTTCCAGGCGCAGGGTTTGAACACCCCTGGTCTGGCCTTGTTTGGGGGACATGTTCTTCTTGCCGTTGAAGTCTCTGCAGGGTCTTCTTGTTGCGACTGCCTTTGGGCTTGCCGATCTTTGCGGCAAATGAGTATACACACTCGGCCACTGCATCCTGGCACCGACTGCATGGATTAGTTCCAGAACACCGTAGTTTCATGCGATGGCAAATATCGCAAGCCCTGCGCAGCTTTTTCGATGTGTTATCGCCATTCTCTGTATGAGTCGTCTGAAAGATCTGTGTGTCCATGGTGCGAGGCGCTTCCTTTTGTGATAGCGATATAGAGCATCCATGAAATGGGGACAACATCGTCCTTTATACCTACGGACCATAGTTGCAGGCATGTTCGAGGCCGCCACGCTGAAGAATTGTTGAAATTCTATCGGTTAAATTTTACAGCCAATATAAATGCTAAAGGATTCTGTGGCAGCTGCGAGTAAGATTTTAATGGACGTGGCGTTGTAGTTTCGCATCGTGAATATTCTGAATTCAGACTCTCCGGGGATGCAGGGGTATATGTATTGACTTACAAAAAGCACCACTGGAAGACTTGGGATACGAGTTGCCTTTTCTGAAGTGGTGCGATTGGTGGAAAGAGATCGCCTCAAGCTGATTCTTTAGAGAGTTGACTAAGATTCCTCAAAAAGGAGCCTGGTTCTTCACTGACGTGTCTTAACCGAGCTCTAGTTCGTCTCTTGGCCTGCACCCTCTAGGACGGCGAACGTGCCCCGTAAGTCCGACATTAGCTCCACTTGAAACGAGATCCGAGGATGTGATTATCTCCTCATCGGGTCTAAAGCAGCTAATCTTCTGCCATATCCAGGGGCCAGTGCTTTACGGAGTACAGCCGTTAGCATCTATCTGAATCCGTCATTCTGATAGATCTTGATAACGACTCTCCCAAGGGTTAACCTCTTTGTAGTATTACACATACGCATCTATTTCCGAGTTACACCTTGGCACCTTGTTCAGCACATTAGGCATCCCGCCCGAGTCTTTCTCCAATCTGTGAGGTGGACAGTAGCTTGCATTTGTAGCCCTATTACAGGCACATGGCGGGGCTGACTGGTCTCTTCCGGACAAACAAGTCGGCCCAATGAATATGGAGGGTCATGCAGCCAAGGTCTACGGGGCCTTTGTGTCCTGTTTATAAATAAATACAGGGATTATGAGAATTCCGCCCACGCGCCAAGGCTAAATGTATCCGGTGGTATTTGATCCTCACTCAATGATCTGCAAGCAAGAACATTTACCCGCCCATACCTGGATGCCACATTTTCACTGGTAGTCACTGCGGCCCTGCTCATGGGGTCTGTTGCAACACCCTCTATGTCAAACTTCAATGACCGTTAAGCGTCTTGCTCCTACTGAGGCGGCAGCTTCACTAATAGATGAATGGATTCCAAGTTTTGAGTAATCCGTTATCAGATTCAGTCTGGAAGCCCGATCTTAAGTTACCTAATGTTTGATGGGCGATTCCAAGGTTGCTTATTGTTATAATAGTCTTCAAGTTTCGGTGTGTTCAAATGCGAAGGCCGAAGGGAGGTCAGCACTAGTCTTTGCCGCTCTATAGTTGGGACTAAAGGAGCGGAGGGAGTGAGTCGTATTCAGAAAAAGATGCAAGCACGAGACATTAGCGGCGTGACTTGGCCGAATAATTTAGAATACTCACAAGTGGTGAAGTGAGGCTTTTGGACAAAACCAAACTTGTAGATAGAGTACTGGACAAGTTGGGGGTTGTGAATACTTGGGCTTGGCAAAGATCGACATGATAGTGGCTCTGAGTCTCTGACTTGCGGGTGACGCCAGGGGCCACTTTCGACTGTATTGCCCAGGTGGCTATCCCCTAACTTAAAGGTATACTTGAGAATATACATATGTAAATAGATAGATTGCAAATAGCATCACATCACTATATCAAAAATAACTACAGGACTATCGAGCAATAATGTCCACCTTGCGTCATTTACGGAGTCGGCAAGAGGTCACTCGATCTATGTGGAGGCGTGGATGCCTCAGGCCGACAGACCGGGTCCTCGATAGATCCTTCTTTCTCTTTTCCCTCTCTTTGTTTTCTTCTCATAGCATACTACCTGTCCAATACAGTATAGTTTCTTCCTGAACCTATATTGAACTATGTACTCCGTACCTGAACACTCAATTTCGAGCTGAATTGGACAAGAAATGGACTTTGAAAATAGTCATATGGAACTGAGCGGATCCTCTATCAAGCTATTTATACCCGATTCATGAAAAGCCTCTTCAATCAAGGCTATCTTCTAATATTTGCCAAGTATATGTACAGAAAGTCTTTAGTGAAAATTCGTATGTAGTATTCCATCGGATAGATGTACCGAGAAAGCAGATAACAAGAATAGAAGAGACTCTCTGAGTCAATCAACACACAGAAATAAGATCAAAAAAAGGCCACGAAGAGATAGAAAGTCATAAGAACCGGAAATGATATCAAACCAGCCTCTGCCATCGAGCCAGAGCGATACTGACAATAACAATACCGGCCATCACCCCGACAATGCCGAAGAACCATCCCAATCCTGGGGTGTTCAAGCCGGGAACTTCTACGTTCATACCGAATAGACCACAGATGAGGTTCATGGGAACCAAAATTGTAGCAATCAGGGTGACCTTGCTGAGAACCTTGTTGACATGGTTACCCAGCACCAAGTTGGTGACGTTCAGCTGGGCAAGATAATTGGTGTGAGACCGGCTGAGCATCTTCTCGAAATGCGCCAAGTTCGACATCATGGTCACAACGTGATCCTGAATATCGCCCAAGTAGAGACCGATATCACCACGGGGAGTCACCGAGTATTGCTCGTTGCAGCGCTTGGAAAATCCACGAATGACATCGGCTTTGCCGCCCAACAGGCGCATCAAACTCATGACCTTCTTGCGCAGGCCTCCAATGCGAGGGAGGAAGGACTCGAAGTCGTCAACCCGGGCGATGAAAACGTGGTCTTCGATCGCCTCGGACTCCAATTCCACATCACGAATCACGGGGCCGAAGCTGTCCACAATGTCGTCGATCATCGCGTAACAGATCCAATCACTGCTGAGAGCCACATAGTCGCGCAGCTTTCCGATACGTTTCCGAACGTTGGATGCGTGAGGATTGTCCTGGAATGAGAAGGTGAGAACACCGTCTCGGAAAACAACCATGTAGAAATTGACGGGCTCGAGGAAGTCCTCGCTGGTCTTGTCCATTTGGAAGAAGGTTCGGAAACAGACAAAGTAGTACTGCTTGAACAATTCAACCTTCTCGCGGGCTTCCTGGGTCTGGATATCCTCCGTCGTCAGCGGATGGATAGAGAAAGCACGAGAGATAGCCCCCAATTCCTCTTCAGTGGGGTTGACCACATCCAACCACCACACACCTCCCTCGGGACCCAGCTCAAAGAGATCGCGGAAGGTTTCGCCAGGGAGCACCAGATCCCCCAAGTCGGCAGCATGCACTGTAGTTTGAGACTCGGACGAGAAGAAACCAAAACGGGTGCGCTGGTTCGTATTCTGGAGCGTTTTAACCAGCTCCTTTTCGTCTGTGATCTTGGCAGTCTTCTTCTCATCTTCGATGTGGGAATCGGACGAGTCGGTCTTTTTGATTTCACTCATCTCGGGGCTGTCGGCGCCGGGGCGGAGATCGTAAAAAATCCGGGGTCTCTTGCTCTGCGAGCTTACGCTGTACTTGCGACGATTGCCATCGACAGCCTTGGTGCTCGGATTCAAAGCCACGAACTCCTCAAGTTCCTCGTAGTCGATTACGGGAATGCGGCCTGGCTCTTCAAAGCAAGCCTCCTCTGTCGTATCGAATGGCACATCGCCCAATTGAGGCCGAATGACACTGGCATTGCTGAACGTTGGGCGACGATTGTTAGTGCCACCCGAGACAGTGCGATGCAAGATAGCTTCCAGATCAGGAGGCGCATGGCTATCCAGGGTATTGGCGCGCTCACGGCGACGGGGGTCGGCAAATGCCTCGACTGAATTGGGGGGAGAAGAGGATCGAGCAGACACGGACGAGCTGCATTCAGCATTGGCGAGGTCCGGATTCGGGATGCTGATGCGACGGGGACTATGAAAGGTGGCATTGGGATCAACAGAAAAACGTCGACCGAGTCCATTCATCTCATTCAGCGAACGATCGTCGTCCAACATGGTATTTTCGAAGTCCCGGGGGATTGGGCCCTCCCTAAACGCATCCTGCACATTGAGCAGGTCTGGACGCTCAGGCATTTCAGCTGCGGGCGTTCGAGTGGTATCGCGCGGACTGTAAGAGCGCTCGATCGGGGCCTCAATGCGTGGAGGCGTCTGCATCTGGAGGCGGTGATCATCCAGTTCGGGTACCGGGGTACTGTACCTGGTCAGGTAGACGGACCTCTCGGATCGGGGAGAGTCAGACATGGTCAGCTCTCAATTTATGAGGATTGGACGGAAGCGATTAGAACGCCAGATTGGCTGATTTTGTGTGAAGTTGGTTGGGTGATGTGGTAGTTGCTCTTTGATAGCACGACGGCCGGAGCAGACGCAAGCCGGTAAGAGGTTCGTTCAAGGGTGACGGCCCTCCATCCATAAGCCAGACCCTTCACGAGGGTCTGGCGTTACCGACTAACGTCTGGCGGCCACAATAAGGTCGTTTCTAAAACCCAGTTAGGGGGGTCTGGTGTCGCCCCCGCCGAAGACCCGGAACTTGGGGCCTGCAAGAGGGTGGAGGAGAGACGCCTCGGTGTAGCGAAGTCCCGCCAACTTGAAGAAGTGGGAAGATGAGGAGCTCGGTTGCTCCAGGTTTGCTGTTAGACGAGAGACGCGAGAGGTCGGCTCGCAGAACCTTCAACGGATGACGTTCAGATGTGGAGTTCTCGATAGGCTGAGATAAAGACACCAAAACAACTCTTCCAGCGATGTCCTATTTGACTTGGAAATATTCAATTGTGTAAATCCAGTGGAACAAGCGGAAAGGTGGGAAGATGTAAATTAGGTGGCAAAGACCAAACGGGGCGGCCGATGATGGTTTCGGAAGCCGTCCACACTTGGGCAAAGTCAAACAAAAAAACAAGCCAAAAGAAGAAGCTCGAGATAATTCAAGTGCAAGACGATACAAGCACCTCAGGGGTTGCAAAATAGGGAAGAAGAGCACAGTGGGGGTGGGCTAGAACTAATATGCCCGTAACAGACAAAGCTTAGTGAAAATTTTCGCGAGCGGGACCCCGTTTCAGCAGATAAAGGAGACCTTCTAAAGGACCTATTATAGACCTGGGCCGAGACTATGCTATTCGTGTGTCTTTGAGACATTTTCCCATATCACATCTCCGTTGGGAGGTAGCTGTCCAATTGTACCCAATCGAATCTCCCCGTGTAGATTGGCTTCTACCTTGGTCTTGCGCCCACGAGGCATTTTTGCCCTTTCAATGTATATGACACATTGGATATAGATCGGCTTGTCCTCATTCAGCCTTATGCTTCCATTCTATTACTCCGTACTCCGTACTCCGTATGCATTTTCGATTGGATTTGCGTTTCGCTTTGCAAGGGGTTCTGGGATGACCTGTTCGAGGATGTAGCACCACTATCTCTAGCCCTGAAGAGTTAGAGAAACACACCGACAATATGCAATCTGCAAACGATCTGACAAACGTCTGCTGCATTAGACAGATCCAAAGAAATCCAATCCAATCATTGCACAACGGTTGAGAAGTCGAACGGTCTCCACTTGCGATTTCCGACGTCGGCCTATTTTTTTCCTCTGGCGCGCCAAGAGTTAAGAGTCACATACCACCGTTCTGGTTATACACTCTGTACCTAGACCCTGGACACATTTACCTATAGCCGCGGCCATGAGTTCCTTCACGATCAAGATCCCTTGTTCCTCGGCCAACATTGGTCCCGGCTTCGATGTGATCGGCCTGGCACTGTCCCTCTATTTGGATCTCCACGTCACCGTCGAGGCCAAACCCTCATCCCAGCTCCCCTTCAACTGTGCCATCACCTATGAGGATCAGAGCAAGAGTGTTGAGCAGATCAGTCTCGACCCAGAAGTGAACTTGATCACCCGAGTAGCCCTGTATGTTCTCAGATGCCATGACCAACGGGCTTTCCCCGTCGAGACCAAGGTGCACATCGTCAACCCCATCCCGTTAGGCCGGGGTCTGGGCTCTTCCGGTACTGCCGTGGTTGCCGGTGTTATGCTAGGCAATGAGGTGGGTAAGCTGGGTCTGAGCAAGGAGCGCCTACTCGATTACTGTTTGATGATTGGTAGGTTACAGTGTTCTATGTCCCCCTCATCTCAGTCTCGGAGGGAAAGACAAAAAGAAAAAAAATTAATGAATCATATGGCGTACATTTTAACTGACGCCTGCGAACAGAACGGCACCCGGATAACGTGGCTGCCTCCCTCTTCGGTGGGTTTGTGGGCACCTATCTGAATGAGCTTAAGCCCGAGGATGTGGCACGGAAAGAAATCCCTCTCAGTGAAGTCCTGCCCGCTCCGGCAGGTGGTGTTGACACCGGCATCCGTCCTCCTGAGCCTCCAATGGCTATTGGTCACTACAGAAAGTTCAATTGGGCCCCGGAGATCAAAGCCATCGCTATCATCCCCGACTTTGTGGTGCCTACTGCCAACGCACGTAACGTACTCCCAGAGACCTACTCGAGAGCGGATGTGGTAAGTTCATGGTCTCAGTATTATGGCATACTTAATCTAAAGACTAATAACTGGTCAGGTCTTTAATCTCCAGCGCGCGGCACTCCTGCCCGCGGCCTTGGGAAGTTCCCCGCCGGACCCCGATATGATCTTCCTTGCCATGCAGGATAAGGTGCACCAGCCCTATCGCAAGACGCTGATCCCGGGTCTGACTGAAATTCTCCAACTCATGACTCCTTCTACCCAACCCGGTCTGTTGGGAATCTGCCTTTCGGGTGCAGGACCTACCATCCTAGCATTGGCTACAGATCGCTTTGAAGAGATTGCTGACCGCATTATCGCACGGTTCACTTCCAACAACATCACCTGTCAATGGAAGTTGCTTGAGCCCGCCCAGGATGGAGCGGTTGTGGAATATCAGTAGGATCTGGCAAGTTTTGTTCCGTCATAACACGATCGCTACCTGCGGGGGTGGGTGGTTCACCATGCTTAGCATATAGGCACGTCGGCAGCATTGGAGCACTAGGCTCCGAAGGAAATATGTGTCTAGTTAGATATCGGACGAGAAATTCCTACCTTGCTCGCCACCGTACGGGTCATGCAGGCCCTTGTTTTCACCGCTGCTTCTTGCTTCTCGCATTGCGGGGTGCATGTGAGCCTTCCGACACGGCAAGTTGGGCTTGATTGCTTTCAAATTGCAAGGCCTTGTAAAATTGGTACCTGACCGTGGGCCGCGTTTCTCAGAACTTGGGTCCCATCGGCAGTGCTCCAAGTCGGGTGGTCTGTGTATGGCTAGATAGACGCGATAGATGGCAGATGACCCCGAATGAAATCATGATCAACCACAAAGCAAACCCAGAATCCAGGTTATGGTCAAATATCCAGTCAGTCAACCAATTACAAGGATATATGGAATCAGTATACGAGCCAACGCTTCACGCGATACTTCGACTGGGCAAATTGGAGGGCACAAGGCGGTCCGATGTGGCAGAAGGCAAATGACACCATTGCGATAAGCCGCCCGGCATCAACCAAGGGATCTTTGAACTTGGCCTGTTGAACTCGAATTTACTTAGCTACGGACTATTTTGATCATGGATGAACTGCTTGCCCCTATTCAAGATGCCTTTGAAGGCCAAATTGTACGTCGCAGTACACCCCAACCACAGCTTTCTATTGTTCTTTGCATCTAGAGCTAATGATATTTCGATAACAGGACTTCCACGGCCAGCGTCTAGCAGAGCTACTTTCTACCGTCTTGTTAATTCTTTCGGGGGTATGTTACACATCTATCGGCTTGTTGTTCTTAAAGCTGACTATGATTGTCTCTGCTCAAGGCTGCCAGCTTCGTCGTCGGATACACCTACAAGGACATTTACCTCACATTATGGACCGGTTTGGCGGGCACACTGTTCACAGCTCTCGTTGTCGTCCCGCCCTGGCCCGTATACAACCGTAACCCCGAGAAATGGCTGGGTTCCACAGGCGGGAAAGCAAATCCCGGGATAACTGTGGATGGAGTGAAGGTGCAATATTGAAAACTTGTTAAGCGTAATAATCATTGGAGGAATTTTGGCAGCGCTTTGGTCTGCTACGGAATATGAAAATGGGAGAGCTATGGAACGAGCTCGAGATATTAAATCGTTCGAACACTTATCAAGGCCCCGTACCGTCGTAATGAAGATTTGCATGTGCTTTTGCAAAGAATTGAAGAGTTAGAAGCCATTGTGCATGTGGCATCAGCCAGAAATCGTGAATTGTATCGTGTAGTATCTTGAAAATCCTCCGGTGTCCATCTCCTTTACCGGCCGTACTTTTGGAACTCCCAGTCTCGGTTGTCCAGCGGGCAGACCTGGCGGGTCTTGAGCCATCGCGATATACAGTGGAAGTGGAACGCGTGCTATGGTAAGAGAGTGATTAGCCCATGGTCAAATGATTGGACGGATAGGATGCGGGGTCCTCACATTGCAAATACCCCAGGCAACAGTGCACTCTTCTGTTGTTGATGATCCTTGGTTGGCCTGGCATTCAATGCCTGTTTCATTGAGTGGTCAGTGCTTGCAGGACACGACGATTTGAATGGTATATAGGTTAAACGTACACAAGTCCATGATGTGGTTTCGGCAAATGGCACAGTTGTCGACCACAATATCCCAAGCCCATAAGGCAACGGCGTTCCACTTGACAATACCCAGTTAGTATCATGAAGGGATCCAAACAGGAGAGCGTTCTGTACCTTCTTGACCTCGAACTTCTTCTTGTCGCTAGCGTCAGTGGTCTTAGAGACGGCCTTTCCCTTAGAGGAGCCGGTGGCGGCTTCCTTCATCTCCACGTCGGCCATGTTGGGGTTTGTTTAGGATGCTGAATGGTTTCGGTTCGAAATGCTTGGCGCGAGGCAACAGAAGCTAGCTGGGGTGGGGGTTATCAGAACGGTGACTGACGTAAGTGAGGCTCCGATGGTGTAAGGCGGTGATTAGAGGCGGTGATGGGAGGTTGCAATGTGTATTTTGTAGATGCGAAACGGACGCACCTTTTGAAGAATGTTGAAACAATAAGTCTCTCCAAGGGTACTCAATGTCCACCGAATAATGTGACCCCGTCCAGCAGTCGATCTCACGATAATGGCTGTTTGACTTTGTTTGCTCTCGCTATCGAGGAAGCAGGTGGCGTCTTAGTCATCGGCGATGGATCTCCCCTCCCGGTTTGGCTGCATTCAATCACCCTTCCCTTTACCAACAACAATGATACGATCTTTCTTTCCTTCTCCTCGTTTTTCCTCTTTAGAGATGTTTCCAGTTGATGCTCGTTCTTGACCTTTGTTCTCTCTCCTAATCATAGACAAGACGTTTCAGTGAATCGTCTATCTTTGCCTTTGGGCGACAACATTCCACTTGACTCAACTTGCGACTCTTCACTTGCTCAGTTTCATACACGTCACTTTCTCTGCTTTCCCGGCGTTGCCATATTTTAATATTGTCGACACCTGCTGAGCAGTGATCTGACTGACCTTTACCCCGATCTTCTCATCTTCTGCTGTTTACTGCTTCGTCATAGCGTTGCTCTTTCTCTTTATCTCTCAACCGGCTGCCTATTTTTCAAGCCAACCGTCGACATGTCGGCTCAAATTCCTCATCCCCCGACCCCTAAGGGCTCGCGCAACAATCGCCGTCCTCAGAAGAAGAACATGACTCCTCAGGCCCCGAAAACGGGACTTCTCTCCACTCCCCCATCATCGCCTCCACACAACATGACCCCGGGTGTCATTCCTACTGATATCTTGAACAACTTCAACTCTTCGAAGAAGAAGCCCCCTCGCTCAGGAAAGAAGCAGCGAGAACCCAAAGCTTCACCTGCTACCCACAACGGATATCACAGTAACGGATACAACAGCGGGGCCCGACACACACCCAGCCACGCGGGTGTCGCTTCCCCCTCCGACAAAGACAAACGCACCAGCTTATGCGGGACCGACTTTCCACGCATCCCCCGCACCCTCTGCTTTGCCAATGCCGAGCTTTTTCTCTAAGTCGGCTCCTGATTCCAACCTGGCTCCACCCATCGAGACTGATAGCGATGATGCGGAGGAGGGACCGGAGCCGGATGTGACTCCTTCTAAACCCCGCAGCCGCAACATGATCATAGGTGAAGAACAGAAGCCGTCTCCGATTGACTTTCTCTTCCAGGCTGCGGTGCAAGCCAGAGATCACAAGTCCACCGGCAGCCCCGAACTCAGCAAGGCCGTTCGGTCTCCCCAGACTGAGCCTAGGGCCCAGCGCCCCAACGGTGATGGCATGTTTGCTTTCGAAATGGGAAATTCTCACAACTCACGTATTTCTCAAATTGGTCCTTCTTTTGCTCCCTCCTACCAGGACCGAATGAATGCACTGCGACCTTCGAGCACCCCTCAATCGCCTGATGTCGCTGAGGAGCAGCGAAGAATCAAGACTGAGGAGCTGAAGCATCTCTTGCTCAATCCGCCTCCCCAGAAGCCGCCGTCCTCAGCTCATTCGTCCCATGACTACGCCGGGACTTTTGGGCCCCGCCCATCCAATGTGCCTCCTTATGCGACCCCAATGCGGACCTCATCCGGGCCTCAGTTGACAATGTCTCATGGTTCTTTTTCCCCGCAGCATCAGTATCAGCAGCCGGCTTCTCAGCACACTGGACGCCATCCATATCCCTATCCCAACAACTCTCGCTCGCCTCTGCGTCGTGAATTCGACCTCGTCCCACCTCCGTCGATGCCTCCATATCGTGGCCGTGCTTCGAACGGGACTTCCGATGCAGCTTCAAACGGACCTTCTCCGGTGTCTTATGGGAACCCGTACATGCCAAGCACCCAGCCTCAGTGGCACGGATACCAGTCACCTCAGATGAAGTATGTGCCTGCTTCATTCCATGTGCCCATCAGCTCGCCGCCTCCTTCTCAGGCGGTGGATACGCAGCAGATTGAGAATGATATCCGACGTGTTTTGAAGCTAGATGCTTCCTCGGGGGTTCCTCCAGTCACGCAAAGCTACGCTTAGCTGCTGATCCAACTTTCCAAGGTTCAGATGAAGTTTCACGGCCTTCTCTGACCTTGGTCTCAGTTGAGGGGTCTTTCTGTTTCTGTTTCTGTCTTTTCTTTCTTTTCGCCGTTCTCTTCTTCCTTTCTTTCTTATCATTTTACTTTCTCTGGCTTTCGTTTTGTTTATCAATTGCATTTTGATCATATGGGCATCCTGGACTGGTCTCAGGTCCCTCGGTGGGTTCATTTCGGTCTTCCTTTCTCGTGACAGGGCGCTCAATGTTTCTTTCCATAGGCCTCTTACGGCAATGTTCACCATGATGATGCACGGCACTGGGTGCTCGGTACATTGATGAGGTGGTGATACTAATCACCTGCTTTTTTTCATCGTTCGGCGTCGTGGTTTTTCCATCGTGGTTTTTCTTTGGGCGATGGTCGGTCCAGCCGGGGATGGCTGTCTATGAAATGCATTGCTTTTGTTTTTTATCTTTTTTTGCCCTTCTCTTTAGGGAATTCTCCGCTCTTTGTGGTTTTCCTACTATTGTTTCGTCGGGTCAAGGTGGCGCTCGGCCTCGGTCAGCTTTCCAGGCTGACCTAGGGCTGACCTCGTTCTTTGTACCTTTATCTATCATCGTCACTCGTCACTCGTCACTCATCACTTCATCAGTAGCGAGTTTGTGCCAGTATCTGGGCAGTTCAAACTCGGTATCATCTCAAGCCTGTCGCTCACTCAATCAACCTTCACTGGTCGGATCTCTTTTGGGTCATAAATCGCAAACAGTACGGAGTAGTTATACATACAACACACAACCCAGACCCTGTGAGGAGTGTTTGTGCGCTTGACATGGGTCGCCTGACATTGAGGTAGAAGTGTCCTCTTCCGGTGACTACATGGCTGTAGACTTGTTATTTCGACTCGAATTGGGGGTGCTCCATAGAACCATCTGCCTGTTCGGTATTCCCAGGCAAACGATGCCTAGATACTCCGTACGTCTACGGAGTACGGCATTCTCGGTTCACATGGACGGAGTAGATACACGGACTTGCACGCCAAGATCCATATTATGACCGGTGACCAAGCCCTAAACAAGCCACATTAAAAACGGCGAATCAAAATTAGCACGTCGATTAGTTCCATGGTGGGGTCTCTCTAGGCAGGTAAGCTAGAGGCAGAGAACATTCGTTGGTCTTCCAGTGCTGATCCTAATATTATTCCCCGGGGTTTCTTCTGGGCTTACCCCCTCCGTGTACTATATATCTTTTGGATGTCTCCAGGGTCCATCCTCCGTCACTAGTTCATAAATGCAATTCGAAATTAAAATAGCAATCTAAATACTCCGGGCAATTGATCTATTTTTGCTGATACGTGGGCTGAGAACCCCCCTTTACTACCTACTAGCTGCTCCGTTCTTCTACTCCCCGGGACTCCTATTCGCCCAAGCGCCACAATCGCGTCCTCGAGATCCACTCGGCTTGGGCTAATTTTATATTTCAGGTTCAGCCAGAGTCCACTGTCAGGGGAAGTCAAAGATTTGAACTGCAGGTACCATGTACCTGCGGTGTACTCCGTACTCCGTAGGCCTCCTGATCTGTACTTCACGGGGTTCTTCACAGGGTTACCTGAATACCTCCCAGATAGGTATCTGTACATACCTGGGGGGGAGACTCGGTACTTGACACATCTCAGGACGGGGTTCGTCTCCATTTCACTGATCGTCTTCGGGTGAAGCTTAATTCGGTGCTCCGGGTATGAGACAAGGACATTCAAGATAAACAGGACCAGCGCCAGTCCACGTGTAATTCTATCAAGCGTTCTGGTGGGTGCAGTTCCCATAGTACCTAGGTAGAACCCACTGCATACTTGGCAAGACGCCCCATTGTTGATTCGCATTCGAAAGCTTGTGAAGGAGTCGACATCATATCAAAGGGATCTGCATACCAGAAGTCGAGGCGTGGCTGGATGCGGCCAGGGGTCAACGAAATAGAGTCATATCATAACAATTGAAGCAAAGTTGCAGATTCAAATGTTGCTTTCGTGATTGTGCCCAGATCCTGCCCAGATCCTGTGTTTCCAAGAAACAAAAAGAACCCAAACTAATCTCCTCTTCTCCCCTCCTCTCCACCCCGGCCTTTTCTCCTTCCTTACCTAATTCTAAATTCTGGACCTGCCCCTACCATCTTCACTTCTTCTCCAGAGATTTCCTTCTTTCTCAATTTCAAATTCCCTCGCTGTGATTACTATTGGGTCGGATCACATTCTTCCCCCGTCTTCAATGACCGCCTTCGCGACCTGATCTCGGCCTCACCCCTGTTCAACCCTTTTTTTTTTGGTCTATAAGCCAACTGCGACACCATGGCGAATATGTTAGTCTACCTTGGCCAGTCTGTTCTGTGGCGTCTACTGACACCGTGATATAGGCTTACTTCAACATGGCGCTCCTTTTGGCATACCATGACCTCCAATGACCGCCATGCCTCCCACGATTCCCCCTACCGCACCGGGAGACACGTTCCTCTCAGCCAAAGCCGTCACGAGCCACTCACATCTGTCGCAACAAGCGCAATCGAGTCTCGCCCAGACCTCTCCAACCCATACGATGACGAACCCACAAAAGGATCGGCAACTGCACAAGCAACCGAGTGGACTGGCTCCCCCGACGACTTAGGCTCTCCCAACCGCCCTTATTCCCCCGGGATGCGGTCGGTCTCATCCCAGAAGAGACGATCGAATGACCAAGGCGAGGGTGTACCAGAAATCCAAATGCAAAGTTTCCATGACGGAGCACCACCGCCGCCACCGGTCGCTCACTCGTGGAGGAAGATCGAACGCTGGTTAGAACACAATTATGAGGAACTCCTTGATCAACTCGGTGAAGGATGCACTCAAAACGATATCAACGAACTGGAGCACGAACTTGACTGCAGTCTACCATTAGAGGTGCGGGAATCTTTGATGTTCCACGACGGCCAAGAACGTGGTGGCCTGCCCACCGGTGTCCTCTTCAGTGCCATGCTTCTCGACTGCGAGGAAATTGTGCAGGAATGGTCCAACTGGAAAACGGTCAACGAAGAATATCTCAGCAATTCAACTATGATGCAAAGCCAACCTGCTCCCAGCGCTGCGGCAAGCTCCTCCGCGGCTGGTCCGTCGCAGCAGGCTGATCCCACAATGTGGCGATCAGACCTGCTAGATCGCCAGGATTCTCAGCCTCCCGGTGCTGTTCAGAAAGCGTACGCACATCCCGCGTGGATTCCTCTCGCTCGTGATTGGGGTGGCAACAACCTCGCCATCGATCTGGCACCCGGACCTGCTGGAAAATGGGGACAGGTCATTATCTTCGGCCGTGACTACGACTGCAAATACGTTGTTGCCCGGTCATGGGCTGCGTTCCTCGCAACCTTCGCCGATGATCTTTGCAGCGGTCATGTCCTCGTTGACGAGGAGACGAATGAGTTGAAGCTGAAGCAGTTCAAGGCCCAAAATGTGGAGCCCCCATATCTGGAGATTCTGCGCTGGAGGACGGATCAGAAGTATGGCCGCCGTGCGCCTCGCCGGAAGGGCCCTGTGCCAAATGGTCTGGGCGTGAGCTCTACAGGCAACCGGTCGAGCAGTCGGGAGTCCCCTTACGGCAGCCCAACGCGCGCTGAGGAACGGGGGCGGTCGCCGCATCGTTTCTCCAAGGGTGGAAACACCCAGAGCCCTAAGACGCCATTTGGCATCTCCAGTCCTCTTGCACGCGTGACAGAAGAAACAACAAGTCCCATTGTCACTTCAGGACCTACAATTTCCGAAGATCCCAAGGAAACTATGAGCAAGGAACTTCTGACTGAAGATTTGATGGAGGTTGTAACCCCTCAAATCTCCAACAAGGAGAATGAAGAGCCTTCCAAGTCCAATGAATTCAAAGAAAACGATAAGGCAGGAAAAACCGACTCGGCGGAGTCCTCAACTGCAATTGAGTCGGAGGTCCTCGGCGAAATGAAGAATGTGGCTATTTAGAATAAGCCCGGCTTTTGGGCCTGGACAGTCCCGTTTTCTCTTCGAGTCTCGGTCTATCAAGGGCATCCGGCGTCAATGTTGAACTTATGGATGTGCGACACCGTTCTACTTCTACTTCTGCTTCCCTGTATAGAATTCCCCCCGTTCTTCTTCTAGCCTCTGTTTCGCGGCATTTGTTGTAACTGTAGGGTGCTGTTTGTTCTGCGTTTCCTGCCTTTCCTTTCCGTTTTGGTTCTCCTTGGCCATCGAGATGGCCCTGTGTTTACGGTCTTCTCTCATACTTCTTTGCCTGTAACTCTATGATGACAGTCTTGCCTTTTTTCCTTTCGTGTCTGGCTACAATCCCATTTACTTTGATTCCTCGGTTTCCAATCAACTACTTGAAGCTTTTCCCTGGAGTACAGGCTTGGTTGAGGTCTAGCACATGAAAGCTTTTTGTGAATTTAAGTATTCATATGGATGTATGGCATGGAGATGCTACTAAACATCCAATTATGAGCATTAATCTAGGTCATCAATCCGTTAGTATACAGAAAACATGAATCAACATATGCCCAACACTTTTTCTCGGGGGTATATCCTCCAAGTATCAGGACTTTTAATCCCAATCGTCATCATCATCGTCACCGCGGTTTCTCACATTGGGATTAGCACTGCGAATCCCACGTCTCCCCTTCTTCCTACCAAATCCTCTCCCACCATCACCACCATCACTGTCCTCTTCCTCTCTAATATCATCATCTTCATCCCCGCCACTCAGCTTAGCAGCCACAAGAATTCCCTTGAAAACCAATCTCTTCTCCAAAACCTTGACATCGAACCCTTCCACCCCATCAAAGCCTCTGGCGTCCAATCCCTCAAAGCCAACAACCCGGTCAACGCCAACCCCATCCTTGAACCCAATCACACAGGGTAACACCTTGATCCCAAGTTTCTGCGCAATGAACGGCGTGTTTCGAACATCAACCCGCGCAAACGAAACCTCGTAGTGCACACTCGCCAGCTCGCCCAGGCGCATATCCATAACAGCGCAGCGCGCAAAATCAGGGTGCGCAAAGTGCACCAGACACTTGCTCGTGCGGGTCGTGAAGTCCAGCACGGACTGGTCATTCGAGAGGGTTGGGTAGACTTCGTTCTGGATGAGGCCTGTGCTGCCGCTTGTGGAGGTGGAGTGGTTGTTTTTTGTGGCTGCGAGTTCTGCATTCAACTGTTGGATGCGCGCGTCGCGGTAGAGAGTGTCATCTTCGTTTTCGAGGGCTGCGAAGAGCGCTTCGTCGTCTGAGTCGGGCATTTTGGAGGGTGCGGGGTGTGGGTTGGACGGTGTGGGAGTGGGCGTAGGAATTGGTTTTTGTGGAGGACGATTATTGCATTGGGATTTTTTCCTAGGATTTATTTCCCGATATTTGGGGATTGGGATTTTCAGGGGAGTGTGTGTAGTCTGGGCGGTTGAGATCGAAAGGTCGGGAGCTCCACTGGTTATGGGTTCGCTACGGAGTAGTCTACGCGGTGAACAGGTAGGTATATCAATTTATTTTCACACATGTCTGGATTTTCTTCGTAGGTACCTAGACTGGGGTATACTTTTATTGGTCTCCTCTTAAGGTATAAATGGAATAAGTCTCATTGGGATCCGAACTTAGAAACATGCACATCGAATGATAGGTATTAAGCATACTAAGGGACATTGAAGTACGGGATACGTACGGAGTACTCCATAGTATAACAGCATATCACCACACTCGGAACTATATTATAGATCACAGATCAATCTCAATTGGGCGCTCCCCACCTCATGGCCTATCGAATACCAAGCAATATAAGGCCAATAGCGATATCCTCCGTACAGAAGATGTTGTACTTGCCTCTATAAATAGCCGATCCGAGGCTGAGTCAGCACCCCCTAAACTCCTGCTTAGGTAATGACGTGTCTGGTTCCGGCCGCGAAATCTGTTGTTGTGAAATCTCCCTTGATCTTTTTTCTTTGGTCATCCTCTCGAACACTCCTTTCGTTCTTCGACTCCCCTGGATTAGGTCTATCCTGGGTGCTATCCGTCATTCCGGTTCCTCCCACTCTCCCACCACACAGCCGATAAACCCCCTATCTGCGATTCAACATGGTCGAAGACAAGAAGTCCGACGACTACACCGTCGACATGAATAAGGTCGACCAAGGGAACAAGGAGTTCGAGGCTGCGCCGCCGCCAACTCCTGCGCCCCGCGCCAGCCCCTCCATGCCCAGCAACCCCGCGTTTCCCGTTTTGGCATACTGCGGTTCGTCAATCATGATGACCGTGATGAACAAGTATGTTCTGTCGGGCCTGGACTTCAATCTGAACTTCTTATTGCTCTGTGTTCAGGTATGTAGCCAATTGTGCAATTAGTATTGATTAGACACAGGCTTACTGATATACACAGTCTTTGGTCTGCATTGTCGCAATTCAAACATGCAAGTCCATGGGTCTTATCACCTATCGTGATTTTAACAGCGATGAGGCTAAAAAATGTATGGACACCAATTATCACGGATTAGAGGATTTCGCAGCTGACAGGATATGTTTTCCCCCATATTAGGGTTCCCCATCACACTACTCCTCATCGGCATGATTTACACTGGTTCCAAGGCCCTTCAGTTCCTCTCGATTCCCGTGTACACCATCTTTAAGAACTTGACCATTATCCTGATCGCCTATGGAGAGGTTCTCTGGTTTGGTGGCTCAGTCACCAGCCTCACTCTTCTCTTTTTCGGTCTGATGGTTTTCAGCTCCCTCATTGCCGCCTGGGCCGATATCAAGCACGCAGTGGAGAGCTCCGGTGACACCTCCAGCAAGGTCTCCACCTTGAATGCCGGATACGTCTGGATGCTGATCAACTGCTTGTGCACCTCGTCCTATGTCCTGGGTATGCGCAAGCGCATCAAGCTGACCAACTTCAAGGATTTCGACAGTATGTGGCTCCTCCAGTCTGATTCTCAATGCCTACTAACATGACCCTCTCACTCCAGCCATGTTCTACAACAACCTCCTCTCGATTCCCGTCTTGCTTGTTCTCACTTTGCTTGTTGAGGATTGGTCGTCTGCTAACCTCGCCCGCAACTTCCCCGAGTCCAACCGTGACGGTATCTTCTTCGCCATGGTTCTGTCCGGTGCCTCGTCCGTCTTCATCTCGTACACCTCCGCATGGTGTGTTCGCACCACCTCCTCCACCACATACTCCATGGTGGGTGCGCTCAACAAACTGCCCATTGCCATTTCGGGTCTTGTCTTCTTCGATGCGCCAGTCACCTTCCCTAGTGTGTCCGCAATTGCTATCGGCTTCGTCAGCGGCCTTGTTTACGCCGTTGCCAAGATCAAGCAAAACTCCAAGCCCAAGACTGGTGTTCTCCCCACACCGGTCAGCGCTAGCAGCCAGAGCATGAGAGACTCGCTGCGCTCTTAAAGCTAGGAATGGCAGTATGCATCTGACTGGTCAGCGCATAAACCCAAAATCCGCCGCGTCCACGGTGCTCTTTTGCATGTGACATTATGATTCACGTTTCATTGCAGCCAAATTTAAGGGGCCTGTCTGGTCCGATGGGGGAAAACCACTTTGATCAATTTGGTCGGCGTTGGTATTTGTTCCTCTTTTCTTCTTTTTACTGTTCTTCTTCCCCCCCTCGCACCTTACAGCTATGTCAGGGAAACTGCTGTGCGTTTACAGTTTCTTCTCACACCCTGCTTTTGGTCTGCATTATGATTTAGTAATTCTTCTTTTTTTGACATGCGGCCATAGCATCTATTCTTGCCTGTTTTGTTCGATGTATATAGCTATGCCGCGCTCTGGGGTTTCCAATAGAACGTGTCTTTCGATAACTAATATGACTGGTTGAGATTGGCGGTCGTTTAAAATCTTCTTGTAGATGTTCTTAAAGATTTTTGTATGTTGGTTTGATGAAATTTCCAGTCCATCATATCCTGAAATGCTGCTCAGTAACTGGTTGCTGGTTAGTTACTATGTTCATGTTGAGGGCAATCTAATCAACTCATTGTTTGTAGGCTGTGATACCTATAGTTGTCTAGTCAGTAGGTATGTATTCGATCGTCTTGAGGTTGTCTACTCCTGATCTTTCTTTGGTCTCTCCTCTCATTTCCCATCAACACCCCCCTTTTCCCTTCCTCAGTCCAACCTAGAATACGAGGATCCCTTCGGATATCCCCAAGTCTATATCCCGTCTAGCTTGGCATAGCTAGAACTATCGTGTGCATCTCGTGCCATCGCACTTTCAAGAACCTAAATGCCTTAGATTCCCATCGAAAATACTTTTGACCGTGGACACAAGCGTGCCATTTGTGCAGAGAACTTCTGGGTATAATCACAACGTTTGGTGCACACAATATCGACGGGACACGTTCACCGGTTCTTTGAGTGTGAGCCTTGTGGATCGAGTTTCCAACCGAACGAATTCTCCAGGACCATCACCAGGTGCATATGTACCAAAGCATGGTGCACTGCCCTATAAATACGCATTCCCAATTATGGCCGAATCTTCAATTCAATGCTATGTCCTTGCCGCATGAACCATGGTATCATTTGGCCAGGTTCTACGAGTTGGTCGAAGAAGATCTTGCAGAGGGGCTCCAGTGGTGATGATCGAAATGATTTTGTTTTGCGAATATCTAAACTCGCTATTTTCCTCTTATCGTATTGACTCGGGCATCATTCGTACATATAGATGCCCAGTGCCCGCGTTTTTGGCTTTCGGGGCGCTAAGGTTGAAGGTGCCCAGGTGTATTTTATATAGTGCCTTAGTTACACCACTCAACACCACAGTGTATGAGCTTTGAGGTGGCATTTTCTAATTGAAACAATACAAGTGCCATTTTAAGAAGTAAGCAATACTTGAAAAAGGAGATTAAAGGAAGGTTGAAGTAAAGTTGCAGTTGAAGAATAGTAAGGGACGACGTTGTATAGATCGGATCTTTGATTGGCCGAGCTTAATCCGTGATTTTCCTTCTTCGCATCCTCCACCCCCAAACATCAGACTGGTTCTGTGTTCATTTGATACAACTATCCCATAAAAAAGTGTTTTGGCTTAGCTTTCAGCATGCCTCGCAACGCTAAGAAGATCAAGAATGCCCCTCCCCCGCGTTCTCGGGGGCCCGGCAAACCATCCGGCCCATCATCTGGCTCTGGCAAGGGACAGCAGCATGGCAATGGTCAGAATCAGGGCAATGGCAGTGGTAATGCGCCGAAAAAGGCCTCCCTGCAAGCAAATCAGAGACCTATTGTGCCATTTTTGAGGAAAGATCGCATTCTCCTGGTTGGTGAAGGTGAGCCTTTTTCTTTTATTCGAGGCAGTTGTTCTGCTTCCTTTCTTTTATGCAATAATTGCTTTGCAATCAAGTTCTATGTTCATTTGCCCTTCTGGTGATTGTATCTCAGGGCTGTAATCTCATTTTGATGTATGAGAATGCAACCAACGTCCATTCCTATATACAACCAACCATGTGCTTCCCCCTCAACCTCAATTTACCTGCTATACCTCATTTGACCTTGTCTGAATTCTAACATGTCATAGGTGATTTCTCATTTGCCCGCTCTCTGGCAACTCAATACAAATGTCGCAATCTCTGCGCGACATGCTATGACTCCAAGGAGGTGCTATACAACAAATACCCCCAAACTCCACAACATGTCCAGGACATCCTGAACGCAGCATCAAAGAAGCCAACCGATACCAGCGACGACACCGAAAAACAGTCTGAAGAGGACCAGGCCGAAGACCAGGCCTCAACAAAACCCAATCCCAACCAGCAGACCCCCAAAGTCCTCTTCTCTGTGGACGCACGCAAACTCGGCGCACCGCCAGGAGGCGGCAGAGAAATCCGCACAGGATTCGCGCGCCGCGAACGCAAGAGACCAGCATGGTACCAGCCTACAGCGCCAGAACCACCTTACCAGGCGGGCGGACCGTGGGATGTAATTTGCTTCAATTTCCCGCATGTGGGCGGGCTCTCGACGGACGTGAATCGACAGGTGCGGTCGAACCAGGAGCTGTTGGTTGCGTTTTTCAAGGCATGTGTGCCGCTTCTTTCCAAGCCGCCACCGCTTATGGATGCTGATGAAGATGAGTGGGTTTATGAGGATGGGGAGGAGAGTGAGGATGAAGACGAAGATGAAGAACAGGAGGAGGGTAAAGATGATGAGACTACTGGGAAGGGATTCCGGACTGGGCCTGGTCAGATTCTTGTCAGTCTATTTGAGGGGGAGCCTTATACGCTTTGGAATATCAAGGATTTGGCGAGACATGCCGGTCTGGTTGTTGTGACTAGTTTCCGGTTTCCTTGGTCTTCTTATGAGGGATACTCGCATGCGAGAACGGCGGGGCATATTGAAGGAAAGGATGGGGAGCGTGGAGGATGGAAGGGGGAGGATCGAGAGGCTCGGATGTATGTCTTTGAGGTGAAGCAGAAGGTGCCTGTCAAGAAGGGAGGAAAGAAGAGGGGTAGAGATGAGGATTCCAGTGATAGCGAATAGAGTACATATACAAATGGGAACTCCACTATTATCATGTTTGTTAGATGCATGCAGGGGTTTACATTATGTACACCTTTTTCATCTCGCTTTCACTGAACACCTCACCCGTCGTTGGATCTTTGACCTTGCCCGATTCCACAGATCCCATCTTCGTGCTGATTTCTATCAGCCGTTGTTTTCCGTAGACTCGGCCATTGGGTAGAACTATTGGGTCACTTTCTACATAACTCTTCGAGTGGTGGGCATACGGCATTTTGCGTGCAAGCTCGTTGAGTTCAGTTGAGCAAATCGGACACACAGAAGTCGACGTTGACTGTGAGTTTGAGCTGGACGATGTGTAAGCCGAATGACACAGAGGTGTTTTCAGCGCGGAAAGTCCTGCGGAAAGAGCAATATGTAATAACGGCTGTGATGGCAATGAAAGCAGTTCATGGTGAGTCTGGACGAAAAGATTCGAGAGATAATTCCAGCGATCCAGTGCAAAGAGGGTCTGTGATGTATTAGTAAATGATACTGCGGGCCATAAAGACATTTCTCTTGTCTTACCTTATACGGTTCAGCTCTTGTATCCTGTGTGAAGACAAGCAATCCTGCAGCCCGCATAATCTCCGAGTTTTGAGATTGATGGTTTGTTATGAGGTATTTTTTGGCGTGAATTATTGCCTCAACCTTCTTGGACTTGTCCTGGGTCCTAACCATCTCGATGTATTGCTGCAATCGAAGTTCAAATTCAAGATTATGCTTCATATAACACTGGGTGAGCTGATTGCTCCAGAACAAGCGGGAACCAGTTTAAACTTACCTGGCTCTTCTTCAATGCAGCCTTGTTTTCTCCACACCACTGCAATGCCTCCTTGGTTTCCCCACGCCGTAAGCTCTCAACCACCCGTTGACAGTGCGTGAATACACCGAGATCCACCAGATCCTCAATCCCTCTCTCCTGGGCCAATTGCTTTGCACTTTCTGAATATCCCGAACGCAGCATATGGTCCACAAGCAACCGATCCAGCCGTACCCTTGACCATTGATCGTACTTAACATCGGCTAGGCTCGGGATCTTGTGCAGTGTCTCCAAGTGCTGGATGCGCTTGCGAGATTGATGGTGGATTTTCTTTTCTTCTTCCTGTAGACCTTCCATTTTCCTTTTAAGACCTTGCATTCTGGATATCATTGCGTCGAGTGCAGCTAAGGTTTGATCCGGGGTTTGCTTGTTCGATAGAGAGGCGTTGGCGGTTTCTTTGAGTGTGGGGATGACATATTCTTTTTCTCGCTCGACGGCTCGCTGTACAGCTTTGAAGTTCTTGCGCGCTAGTTCATTCGGCAATCGAAGAAGCGGTTGGTCCTATATGAACACCTCAGTCAGGTCCCACTTTTATTATCACGGGTGCGGAGTAATGGGTACCAGGATGATATGACTCTCCGGGTTGAGCTTGGTGGAGGTCAGCTCTGCTGCCATGGTAATGGTATTTTTAGGTCTCTTTTGATCTTAGATTCTTTTCAAGTCCGAAAGATAGTGATCGAGGATTGCAGACTGGACATGACGTGGAGGGGAGGGCGATGCGGAGAGGAAGATCACAAGATCCGAGGACAAGCACTGACCGCTTCCCTTTGCGGCTATCTAGAAAATGGTCCCATAGTGCTTTGAAGACCTTTCAGAATGTCTTTTCAAGTGCTAGAGGGTGATTAGAGGAGAGGGTGAGGGAAGACCAAAGAAAATGACGAGAAAAGACACTGTAAAAGAGACTAAATGAGGGTTTCACCTGGACATAGCCATAGAATGCGTAGTCATAGCTCCTCCTCTACCTCTACATGTAGGTAGTCACAAGGTACATCATCAAGCATACATATGTATGCAGTGGATTTTTAGTTACAGTCAGGATGGTCGGGGGGTGCATACAAGACGAAACAAAGTCCCTCGTCTCAAATCAAGATGTCGGCCTTTTAGGTGTATTTCAGTCATCAGAACACCTATAAACTAGGGGGGTCGTTCTCGATCAAGACATAGGCAAGATTGCTGGAACCTGATTTTATAGGTCCACTCGCAGTCGACAATCTTAGAGAAATACGAAAAGAAGCAAGCCAGAATTGAAATGCCAAGTATGGACAAAGCAACCACTGTAGATGATCAACTTGTCTGCAATACTGAGATTTAGAAAGAACGGTAGATTCAACAGATAGGCAGCCTTCAATATGAAACTCTGGAATAGAACAAATTTCCCTTTTGACCCAAGACTCCGGAAATAGCAAAATATGGTACAGGAAAGGAACCTGACGGTCTTCCTGGAGTGCATCTAGTCGCTGTCATCGCTGTCGTCCTGCTTGGACTTCCGGCGCTCCTTCTTCTCCTTCTTCTCCTTCTTCTTCTTCTTGCGCTCGGCCTTCTCCTCGGCGGTCTCGCCGTCGTGCTTGCGCTTCTTGGAATCGACCTCCTCCTTTACGGGCTCGGGGGAATCGGCCTTGGGGGCCTCGGTCTCGGTCTTGGTCTCGCTGGCGGTGACGGCAGCGGTGGTCTCGCTCAGAGGAAGGTTGAAGTCCTTGTACTCGTTCTTCCACTTGGCGGGAGTGGCCTCGTTGGTGCGGCCGTATTTCTGGAAGAATAGTCAGTATATGGGAGGAATCAAAAGCAGAGATGATTGACAACTCACATCGAGAGTACCAGCGGTCTTCATCTTCTTCTTCTCGAGGGCAGTGGGTCCCAAGCCCCAGCGGCGGGGGTAGAGGTCACGCTCCATGATGCAACGCTTGACCTTGGCAACAACACCGTGGTCGCAGGTGGTGAGCTCGACGGTGGACATCTGAGCGATACCAATGGCGATAGCTTCACCCTTGGTGGTCATGAGGACAACCTCCTCGTGGCACTCGATACCGGCCTCTGGAGGGCAATTAGTACTTGATCAAAGCATAGAAAGAATTGCGTTCACATACCGTAGCGGAGGAGACCAGGAATCATCAGCTTGGCACCGTAGCAGACGGCGTTGACAGCGCTGTCCTTGACGACAATACGCTTGTAGCTGGTGAGGAGGGACTCCAGGGGGCTGATGACCTTGCGGAGGTAAGACTCGTCACGGTTGTTGTCGTAGACCCACTGGGCGTCCATGACATCGTGCAGGGTGACCATACCCTTGCTCTCGTCCATGGCTCCAGAGCGGACACGACGAAGTTCCTGCATGTGAGCACCAACACCGAGAAGAAGACCAAGGTGAACACAGAGGGTACGGATGTAGGTACCAGCCTCACAGCTGACCCAGAAGACACCAAGGTGGCGCTCGTTGTCGAACTCGTAGTTCTTGCTCTCGTGGATGGTACGGATACGGAGCTGACGCTTGACGGCGGAGATGAGAGGGGGACGCTGGAAGAGCGCACCGGTCAAGGTCTCCAAAGCGCGGACGAATTGGGCCTCGCCACCGGGGATCTTGTCGTGGAGACGGATCACGCAAACATACTCCTTACCGGCACCCTGCTGGGACTTGACCAGGCGGGTGGCGCGGTCAATGCAGACGATCAAACATCCGGTAACCTTGGGATCAAGAGTACCACTGTGACCAGTCTTCTCGGATCTATCAAGGAAAAAGCGGTTAGCATGGTTGCAAATCCATTGACGGAGTCTGATAGCGTATAATTTACCTGAGGATTCGCTTCATCCAAGCCACGACTTCGTGACTGGAAGGGTTCGACGGCTTGTCGAGGTTGATGACACCAGAACTGATGTAGGACTTGAGGTCACGGCTCAGGGGGGAGGAGCCAGCGGGAATAGGGGTGAAGTGACCGGTGCGAACGAGAACTACAGAAAAAGTCAATGTCGGCTGGTCAAGAACGGAGTTTTAAGGACAAGCGTACGCTTCTCATAGTTCTTAAGCAGAAGCGGCCAATCCGATGTATCAACGGAAGGAACGGACGCTTCAGGCTTGATGGCGTAGTCCATCTCCGAGGTCTTGACGACTGCCATTTTGTTAGTTGACGTTGGTTGATGCGCGGTGAAAACCCCGAAGATTTTGTCGAAGGAAATTTTGCGAGTGCGGCAGCTCCAGTGCCCAAAGTGGTTTAGCGTCCGTATATGCCACCACGTGATCTGGAGTTCTCGACTTTTACGCCTTCGACTACAAGGACTTCAACTTTGAGACGATATGCAATTGATTCTTGTGTCAAATTTACGAGTCAATTAAATTGAAATGAAGTGGCTGTTTGGTAATTCTGAATTTTCATTGGTGGACAAAACTATGCCCAGAACTGCGTTCTTGTCAACTATCACTATCTATGACAAGTCCATCTCGGCACCCGTGAACAATGAACAACCTGTCTGCCAGATGCACACTATCTTTCCTCCAATGCATTCCGAGCATATGCACAGCGGCTGCATATATGTCGGTTTAACCGAGTCTTCGGCCGGCGCCTCTGGCTCTCCAAGGATCCGAGGATGTCCAGCCGCCAAAGGATGATGCTGATCCCGATGCTGACGAGGCCTGATTAGCTGGCCTTTGTGGGTAAGACGCCGTTCCATATTCTCGGTTACCATGGTCAGGATTGTGGCGAGTAAAATATCTCTCCACGAAGCCAGGGACAGTGATGAAATTCCGTCCACCGCCAAAAGTCGGGTAGATGCGCGTGAGGAAATCGTAAAGATGGGCAGCGATGATACCCATGCCTTCTATCACCGCACTGAGCCATCCGTGCATCAAGAGTTCGATTCCTAACATTGCAAATGGAAGAACCTCCGTCGGGATGTCGATGAAGTATAACCTTGTCTTCGTTCCTCGGTTTTTCTGGGCGTAGGTGTAGATGAAAGCCATGATCAAAGCTAATTTTATGTTAGTGTCTGTGACGGATTGATGGAAGTACGGAAAGCTTACCTTGCGTGAGGACATATGCTCCCATATAACCACCTGCGGTAAGCTTGGGAGAGTTAGCAAGTTTGGAAAGAGCGTAAGAGACTACCAGGATAACAAGTAAAATAGAATGTGGATGGTATTGGAAAGAGAATAGATGTAGATGATGTATATAGAATGTAGGGCACCTCCGATACCGACGCAATATACAATCACGCCAGCGAGCTCGAAGGCAATCCCACCATGCCCACACCTGCACAGCACCTGAATTTTGCGAATTATGGTGGTACTGCTCAGATGCAGGGGTGCTCTCCCTCGCCTTCAGGAACCGCTTCAGCTAGATTTCGAAGCTGGGCGGGCAGTTATAGCGAGGGAATTGGATATGAACGTGAACGCAGATGCAGAAAACATAAAAAAGAAAATCAGACTCTATTGAGTCACTTACCATGAGGATGAAAGCTACAAACAGGACATAGATGAAGAACTCTCCTGGGGCCATGCTCCTCTCCACGGCACTGCCATAGCGGTACACTATCGGTCAATTAGCACTCTGATCCAGCTAGATCAAATGTGATACCAAGGCATCATACTGAAGTAGAGATCAAAGATCAAGCTTAAGCCTGGTCCAGTTAGTAGAAATGGCGTGACCAGCCGGTAGAGCTGTGGAGGCCATGAGAATATCTGGCTCGGCACGAATGGCACATAATAAAAGTTCATGTATCCGCTATAAACCAAGCCAGATTGAAGCAAAGTTAGGGCTGTAAGGGTCCTGATTTGAGAAGTCAGTAACGCGAGCTTTGAGATCGGCGAGCGGAACGTGCATACCTAATGACCGGAGGAGCCGCCCAGAAGACATCCATCTTGAGATAGAAGAAGATGTTAAGTGGTTAATTGATCACGGCATAGATCATTACAGCCGTTCACAAGATAGCCAAATAACTGTGTGGTTGAAGAAAGGAAGAGGAGGATAAGTGGAAAGAAAAAGGGTGCAAAGCTAGCTCCGGGTGAGTTTCTCCGGGGTCCGTCGCTTACGTACGAGATACCATCCCGAGGTCGGCCTCCCGATGTCCCGAAGGCCGGTAGGTCCTATCCGCTTCGATGAAGTACAACATACATAAGGCAAATGCCTAAATATCATTTTATGAATTAACACATAAGGTTCATTGCAAAAGATGCCTTTTTGGAGGCATGAGAGTGGGTATATATGGGTATATTATTGCAGCCTCGTCTTTGCAGTACCCCGAACAGCCAATCCTCCATCTGGGCCCTCAATCCATACATCCCAAGCTCCAGATCCATTTTTAGGCTTGCCACAAATCACCAGCTCCTCCTCGACGAAAAGCGGCATCATATTTTTATACTCAATTGCGTTAATGCAAAGGTTCAATCGACTCAGCTGTTGCTGAAGCACACTCAGCAGAAGTGTGAGCGTCAACGGGCCATGGACCAAAAGGTTCCGGAATCCCTCCTGGTTTTGAGTATAGCCCTTATCAAGATGGATGGAATGGGCATTGAAAGTGAGCGCCGAGAACCTGAATAACAGCGCTTTGGTGGGGACTAGAGTGTGGCGGAATGTCGCATCGGAGGGGGCTTCATTTGCGCCAGAATCATTAGTACACTTGACATCACGTTTAAGAAGTGGGAGTATATGCTCACGTTTAACAATCCTATCAGGCTTGCCGAACTGCGCTTTATCGGCCTCTATTTGTGCGCTTGTTTTTAAGCGCATGAAAACGAGGTCTCGGTTCTCAATGACCGATGATTCTCCTGCGTCGGCTTCGTTCTCTTTCCATATCCGATTCCAGGTCTGCTCGACAGTCTCTTCCTCGGGAACATTGCCAATGCGTCGCTCAATTGTGACAATCACTTTCTCGTCTCCTTCGCGGCCCTTGACTGTCACGTTGCGGATAGATTCTATGCAGACTGCGCGACTGCCATCTAGCTGCGGGCTGCACACTGGGATTCTGAGATTTCCGCCTGCCCAGAGCCGGCGATTAAAAGGCTCACCAGGCGTGTGTAGAGTGTCTGTGCAATCCGGGAGAAGTTGGGACAGTGTCACTTGCGGCGGGAAGTAGATCAAGTGGTGGCCGACCGGTAGCGGGGACGGGTTCTGTATTGAGGGGAGAGTCGCATAATCAGAGGGGATCCGGGATTGCGGGAGAAGATCACGGAGGGTAAGATTCAACAGATGCGAGGGCTGCGGGTGTAGATAATCGTAAGTCAGCGGGAGCTTCCTTGTGGTTAGTTCATGATGCAAGCGCTCGGAGAGCGAGGAGTAAGTCCGGCATGCTTGACGCCCGCTTCGCAAAGAGAGCAAGGGTTGGAGCCGATGTGCCTTCATGGACAAAGATAGATCTGGTTGAATGCGTCAAATCGCAAGTGTACCGGAAGCAACAGACTCCGATTGCGTTTGATTTGTTTGCCACACTGCCTATCCCTGCGTTCGGCCCACACCGCTCAGCGACCGAATATCGGATGCCAATGAGGTGAGAAGCTTCCAGAGATTTGCTCGCATTGGCACGGCAAATATCACCTTATACTGCAATCGCGATGACTCGCTTGAGAGTGGCTTTCCTAGGCCCTTTGGGATCTTTTTCGCATCAGGTACGAGTAATACCTCACATCCTTGCAAATGCGATTAGCTGATGGATTGACCCCTGTTTTAGGCTGCTACAGAGTCCTTTGGCAATCTATCCGCTGATCTGGTACCCCATGCCTCATTCGCAGATGCCTTCTTGGCCCTCCAGCGAAAAGAAATTGACTACACCGTGATTCCGAGTGAGAACTCGACCAATGGCTCTGTTGTCCTGACATTAGACCTTTTGGCAGACCGGGAAGATTCATATAAGGATGTGAAAGTGTGCGGAGAATATTATCTGCCAATTCACCACTGTTTGCTGGTGCGCAAGGACACATGTCCCGGTGGTTGGGCGAACTATGACCGTTCGATAACCAAGCTATACACACACTCACAGGCATGGGGCCAGTGTGAAAAGTTCCTGTCCGAGCACTTCAAGGGCGTTGAGAGACACGACGTGTCATCCACCTCCAAGGCTGTCCAGATCGTCTCAAATGAGACAACAGAACGTGTCGCTGCCATTGCCAGTCGCTTCGCGGCAGAACACCATGGCATGGATATGCTCCAGGAAAACATTGAAGACCGGGCAGACAACACTACCCGGTTTCTGATTTTAAGAAATGTACTCGATGGACGAACTGCCCAGCTTGACTTCGATCAATCCAATCCACTCGAGGTGGAGAACAAGCTTGCCCTTGAAACCATGCACAAGACTTTGATTACTTTCACAATCAATCATTCTTCTCCTGGTGCATTGGCAGATGCATTGCTCATCTTCAAGGCTCATGGCTTGAATCTCACAAGCATCAACACAAGACCAAGCCTCAAGGTACCATGGCAGTATATATTTTTCGTTGAGTGTGGAAGGGCGCCATCGGACGAGAACAAAGAGGCTGTGCTCAAGGTTCTCAATGACCTACCACGAGTCACAGAGACATGTAGGGATCTGGGAACCTGGAAAGATCAAATGAGGGCTGGCAGTGCCTAACCTAGCTGGCCGGCTCTAATTTTGGGAGTTGATCCTCAGTGTTATGAATGAGACCTCGGCAATTATGCAATAAAAGTGTTGTCCCAAGAATATATATTGGAATGTTTCAGTCAAATACATGAATGAATGAAGGCAAAAACCAGCAAGAACCTGCATTGCCAATGATGCGAACATACCACACCTTGTAAGATAAAACAGGAATTTAAGTGTGTAGGTAACTAAAAACACCTTCTTTGTATAACAACCCTTTCGGGTCCCTTTTTTTTTATATGTATAACGAGCAAATAACGAGCGAAGTACCAGAAAATGCCATTCAGAGATGAAACGACAGCCCTGGCTGAGCAATAACACAATCCAACGCTGTCCGGCTTACATAGAGTAAACAGTGCAAGCAGCGGTGGATGACAAAATGTTGTAGATAACCGCACCCAACCTATCAAATTGCAATTTAATCCTCATCTTCATCTCAGACACTGAGGAATCCTCAGTGTGCGTATCACGGAGCTTGGATGACACTGTAACCAATAGTTAGAGGTATGTTTCATGCCAAAGAGTAGGGAAGGATCTCACCTCTGAGCAGCTTCACGGAGCTTGGACCAGGCCTTTTGTGTGTATCCTTTACGGATGCCTTGGTTCCATCGCGGGAGCCGCGTTCATGATCCACGGGGCGAGCCGTCAAAAGACTCGTCGCGGGAGTTTCTGGCCGTTCATCCTCGCTCTCTGCGAGGGGGCAATACCGTCAATCTATAGAAGTTAGAATCAAACATCATTGACACGAGGAACAAGAAGAAAGCATACCATCGTAGAACTCATCATCATCGCTGTGATCAGCAAGCTGTTCAAAGTTGACCTTGTATCGGAGAATGGCACCGATACCACCGAAACCCTTGACGAACTGGTTTCCTTCGCCGGATCGGTCAGACACAAACTCCAGAGTGGCACCGAAGTCCTTATAGGCCTCGGCAAGCCATTCAAGGAATGAGCCTGATTCGATAACCTCCATATCGGCGCCAGTTTCTTTGTCAATGAAGAGATCACGGTTGGTCTCCTGAGACTTGTTCGTGTGGACGATAACATCAGCGCCTGCCGAGTTCTTCATGACCCAGCGAGTAACGTCCAAGTTCTCATGGACAATCAGAATTTCGGCAGCACCAAGCTCCAATGCCTTCAGGGTATCTTCAATACCGTAGCAGATCTTGCCAGTGTCTTGGCTGATCTCCTGGAAGTACTGGCCAATAAGCTTCTTCTCCTGAACGAACTTGACGTTGCTCAGGGTCTCGCCAGCCAATTCGATGGCCTGGTTGAAACCGTTCTCGCCACCGTAGGAGACATCGACAATCTTGATGACCTTGGACTGCAGACGACCATCGAACAGATCGGACTGGTTGAGGTCGTTCTTGAAATCAGCAGAACCAGCCAACACCAGACCGGCAACATTGGGCTTATCGTTAGTGATGTAGTTCTGGACAGCCAATTCAGCGATCTTGCGCACGTAGTTGTGACGCTTTTCCTCACGGAGACGCGAGAAACGCAGGGCGGATTGACCACCACGGCCCTGTATGAATCAGTATGGATGAAAGGTGTGTTCGATCAGTGAGGATACTCACGTGCTTCTTGGGCAAATCAACGGTGAGACGCTGAAGGATCTCACGAGTGTTTCCACTGAGAGTACCGAACAGAGTACCGTTACCATCCATGACAATGAAACCAAACTTCTGATCGGCCTCGAGAAGCTCGCTCAGTGCTTCAGTGTGGAACTTGTTGTCACAAAGATAGAGCGAGGTGTTAATGGGCTTGAAGGGCTCAAAATCGATGTTAATCTTGCGCTCCTTTCCTTCCGAGGTGATAATTTCACCACAGTAGACGACCAGTCCATTGGGAGGGACTTTGTTGTAGAGCTTGAGACGCTGCTGGGTCGAGGTAATGGCAGACAACACGGAGAGTCGGTTCACTCGAGACTTAATGTTGGAGGCGGTACCCTGGTGTGCGGTTAGGCCGTGTTCCGCGCAGACAAATCGGGAGGCATAGTTCACGTACATACTCTTCAGCCAACATCTTGGCTGCTCTGCTGATTTGATCCTTGGGGGCTAAATTTTCATGTTAGCAGCGGCAGCGAACAGCGACAGGTATTGACAGCGTACGGATAATGAGCGAGATCATGGAGGTTCCATTTCCACGAGCGGATTCAAGACGCTTGATCAGCTTCTTGACCTTCCAGATCTCGATATTCTTCTCGGCTTCGTTCGGCGGAGGAGCGCTCATCTTGGCGAGGCGACAGTTGAGGGGGAGAGTAACGGAGGCCCTGCGGACGCCTGAAGATTTGGTCAGTAATGGGGCCGGAGTCGGCGAACAAAGATTTGGACTTGCCTATTTTACACCTAAAATCAGTTAGTCCATACGACCAAAAAAAGGTGAAGATAATGAGGGATTTTTTTTTCTCAAATATAGAACTTGAAATGGGAGTACCTACCTTAACTGAATGACGTTCAAAAGCGACAGCAAATTTCCTCGTGGGGTTGGACATACACACAGTTTGTTCGAGGGGTCGGCTGGCACGCTGAGGTAAGCCAGGGCTACCCGTGACGTATCTGGTACTTGCCGGCTTAGGTGCCAACAGCCGGGTGGTAAGGTACCGGTACCTCGTCCTTCGTTTGCATTTTGTGCAGCTCTTCTGCATATCACTTTGTGTACAGGGATGCTGTTGACTAGGCCAGATCAGGACGTCATATAGCGGAACAAACATGGATATATATGCCTGGTCAGTGTCTTAATTGTGCTGCGTTTGTTTCGCGACAGTCTCTGCTGGGGCTAGCAAGGGAGTGGTATACACGTAGAGGCAGACCACCTTTTGTATGGAGCACAGAGTACGGAGTACGGAGTCTATAGATGAAACATCAGGAGGATCGAAGTGATCTATCCAATCGATAGCTTAAATGTCCACCCATTGATCACCTAGCAAATCCGAGGTCGAGGTACGGAGTATGTACGGAGTACTCCGTACATAGCTTATCAAATCGCAGTGATCCGTGATCCGCACCCCACACTGAGGGAAGCTCAGGCGCTAAGCTCTTTTCAATGTCGCAGACTCGCTCTCGCCTCTTATCTTTCTCTGCGAGTTATCTCCATGTGATAAGTGAGGGGGATTTCCTGAAATCTCTGTCCTCTTGACTTTCCTTCTCTGCTTCACCTCGGGGGTAAACTTGTTGGAATTCTCGACATACCTTTGAGGCAACTACTACCGTGTCGCATGAGACCATTCCTAGTCTTAGTAACACCGAAAGATGTCAAGGGATGAGAGGGTAGGTGAAGATGGCGGTGGTCCCGTCTATGGCTCACTGAGAATACCGACGGCGACACCAAGCTCTTACGACTATGGCCACCTAGATCGTGGAAGTCCCATCGCCGAGTCGGAGATCGGAGGCAGACAGAGGTAAGTAGCATCAGGTACCAGCAAAAGCCAGGCGTTGAGCTAAATCTCCCATCCTAGGTCATCGTCATACTCATCTCGAGTGCGCCAAGCGGGTGGTCTCAATAGTCTGGACAACTTCGCGCGTTCTTGGCAGAGAGCGGCGGCGTTCCCCGAAGTGCTTCCACGACGCTCGTCGTTTGTCTCTGCGGACTCGGACGACGAATTTGCCATTTCTACTGGCCAAGACTACGGATCAAGAAGCTCTCCACCCTGGGGCTGGCAGTCGGATACAGATCGACCCCTACTTCGTGGGGATTTAGACTCGGACCAGGATGGTGGGGATTCGCGAGCGCCCGAGTCTTCGAAGAGGGCGCTTCCTATCACTGGATTGCTTGATTCTTCGTTTGAAAGAAGTTTTGCAACCTCATATGGTACTATCTCCTCGCGGATGAGCGAGTCAACACGGAGAAATGCAATCCAATTTCACAGAGAGCAACATGCCCATGTATACGTGGACGGATCTGGAGATCCGGACCGGGGTCCATTGCTTGTCAAGCATATCCAGCATGAAGATGGGACCCAGGAGGATATCGTTGTTGGGCAATCCACTCTTCCACAAACCATCTTCAACTCGGTCAATGTATTGATCGGAATTGGCTTGTTGAGTCTTCCCTTGGCAATGCGACATGCTGGGTGGGTTCTAGGACTGCTATTCCTTGTATTCTCAGCAGTAACCACCTCTTATACAGCCAAAATCCTGGCCAAATGTCTGGATGTTGACCGAAGCGTGGTCACATATGCTAATTTGGCGTATATCAGTTTTGGACAGCATGCTCGTCTAATCACCAGTTTTCTGTTCTGTTTGGAACTTTTAGGAGCATGCGTGGCCTTGGTTGTGCTGTTTGCTGACAGTTTATACGCTCTGGTACCGGGATTGAGCATATTTGAGTGGAAAATCGTCTGTGGAGTCGTGCTAATTCCGCTTAACTTCCTGCCGCTACGATTCTTGAGTATTACTAGCATATTGGGTATCGTCTCTTGCACATCGAGTGAGTCTTTTTTCTTTCTTTACAACGCCGATGATATATGAGCTGACTGCTTGAAAGTTGTGGCTCTCATTTGCATCGATGGCCTCATCAAGCCAGATGCGCCGGGCTCCTTGCGGCAACCAGCCAACACATTCCTCTTCCCTGAGAACTGGGCTACTCTTCCTCTTAGTTTTGGACTTATCATGTGTAAGTTTACGGCCAAGTCAGATGTACTCATAGAGCTAACTGGTGAAAAGCACCTTGGGGCGGGCATGGTGTCTTCCCTAACATCTACAGAGATATGAGGCATCCTCAGAAGTACGGAAAGAGTCTTTGGGTCACCTATATATTCACAGTAAGAAAACAAATGACGAGAGTGAGGTTCGATCCTAACAGTTGACAGTTTACTTTGGACTGCTCTATGGCAATAATTGGCTGGCTGATGTTTGGTGATACCGTCCTCGACGAAATCACTGCAAATGTTCTCACCATCACCAACTACCCACAATCCTTGTCCATCTGTATTATAGTCTTCATTTCCATCATCCCGTTAACAAAAGTGCCACTGAAGTGAGTCCAATGTCTACAATTGTTTTTGAACACTGCTGACATGAATACAGTGCCCGACCTCTTGTGGCCACATTCGAAGTTCTCTGTGGACTCGGAGGCGGTCGCGTTCCTGCTCAGAACGGCTCTGAGACCCTCCAACAAATTTCACGGGCAATGATCCGGGTTGTTCTCGTGGTCATGATTGTCGTTTTGTCGGTTATTTTCCCAGCCTTCGACCGTATCATGGCTTTCTTGGGATCGTTTTTGTGTTTCACCATCTGCATCATCCTCCCTCTTGCGTTTTATCTCAAGATTTTTGGAAAGGAGATTGGCCGTGGCGAGTATATTCTTGATTGGATTCTGCTTATCTTCTCTTCGATATTGGCAGCCGTGGGGACTGTCTGGGCATTCTTGCCACAGGATGTGCTCTCTGCAAACTAGTCCTCAACCTGTAGGATTGGTGTATGGAGCGAAATAACATTTCTTTGCATGCAAACCATCACTTTTTGTTGAGAATGACAGCGAAGTTATTTCTTGTTTTGCCAGATCTCAACTCTTCCTTCTTGAACGGCTTAGGCGAGTAGTCACCAGTATGTTCCCAAAGATGGAAGACTAGCTTGGAGGTCCGCTTGCTTTCTGTCAGACGGAAGCCCAAGCAGTTCATGATCTCTCCCAGTCTTTCTTCGTTGAGGTAGCGTGAGTTGTCCACACATGCAATCGGCAACACTAGGAAAAGCCGAGGAACGAATTCAATAGAGCAGGTAGATGTCAAAAATTTGACACAATGTTTGAGCATTTCACCCCGGCCAATAGCATCTGGGACATAGTTGAGCACCAATGACAAGCTGATCATGTTGAAACGTTCAGCATCGCTGGAGGGCAAAGGCCGTTCCATAAAGTCTTGCTTTGTTATGCCAGGCTCTTGGGAATTCAAATCGATGCGCGTAACATCCAAAGCTGGGTTGATAGAACAAGCATTTTTGGTGCTCAGAGCTCCAACCTCAAGAACTCGAAGCTTTGGAATAGTCTTGTTCCATTGTTTCAATTGTGGCTTGATCCAGTCAATAAGAACCTTGCTAGAGTCACCGCCACGGTCCATCGACTGACCCAGCTTACTGGCGATTTGATAGCTTTCAAGACCGCCGTTGGCCTGGATTTGAGCGTCGATACTGCTAACTCGGGCTTCATCGCCGGCTGCTAGCGCTTGCGCCTTAACTTTGAGAAGTCGGTGATGAGAGCGGATAAGAGTGCGAGTGGCCTTAGCCGAAAGAGCAGCATCCTTGGATTTGGCAATTGGAGGTCGAGTATGCGACAACAACATCGGCCTCTTGGATCTTTTTTTGGGAACCATGTCGTAATAGTTGCAATAGATTGAAGGAGATCAACTCAATGACTTATACACCAATGCTAGTTTTTGTCTTTCCGTTCTGCTTGAGGGCTGAACATACAAAAAGGCAAGGGGGTCACTAGCACGCAAAGAAAAGCCGTTGAAGAAAAGCAACGAAAAGAGTCTCAAAAACGATATTGAATTTGATTGGACGGCAAAGTGACCATACTGTACGGCCCAGTAATGCAAAATACCAAAATACCAGACCCAGCCGATCGAAGGTCACCTGACCCACACTAGGGTTTTCGCTTCGCGAGGACCACACCAAATCCGTTCGACTTTTGACACTGTGATAATCCATCATCGACAGCGACCGACGACAGCCATGGCCCCCTCCGACAACAAGACCGGTATGTTCAAATAACTATGCGCTGCTTCTCTTGCGATTGTCGCCTTGCCATTTGTGAATTCGCCGTGTGGACGTGAAGGAAGATATTCGGGTTCAAAAATTTCGACATTTGGAGATTACCTCGCAAAGAGCTCAACACGCCACGACATATTGAAGAATACAACTGCATCGCCAACCAATATGTCCACCGATCTCAAATGCGCGCCTAATACTTTGAAACCCTCGACCTCGCACATCCACACCAGCAAATTTGCAAATGGCAATCTGCAATCTTTTTTTGAATTTTTTTTTCCATGGCTCTTTTTGTCCACAAGACTAACGAATCTCTCTCTACAGGCAAGAACAAGGCCAACGCCGCCGCCAAGGCGGTTGCCAAGGGCGCTTCGGTACGTAGCAAAAGATGAAGCAGACCAAAGAAACCCTTTTGGAGCCTATCGCTAACGCGGTTGTGGCAACAGCTTCACAAGTCCCGCAAGGTCCGCACCTCGGCCACCTTCCACCGCCCCAAGACCCTCCAGCTGTCGCGGTCCCCCAAGTACCCCCGTGTGTCGGTCAACCACGGCCCCGCTCTGGACTTCAACAAGATTGTTCTGTACCCCCTGAACACTGAGTCCGCCATGAAGAAGATCGAGGAGAACAACACCCTCGTCTTCATTGTCAACGTCAAGTCCAACAAGCGCCAGATCAAGCAGGCTCTTAAGAAGCTGTACGATGTTGACACCGTCAAGATCAACACCCTGATCCGGTATGTTTTCTCTGATATCTGCACCTATGGGGAATGTATAGCTAACAAAATATCCTCCAGCCCTGACGGAACCAAGAAGGCCTTCGCCCGCCTCACCCCTGATGTCGATGCTCTTGACATTGCCGCTACCAAGCTGGCTATTGTCTAAGCGGGGAATACTCTAAATGGAGTTTTTCTTTGGGTTTTGGCGAACTTTGTTTTACACCGCAGTGATGCTAAAATACCAGCCGGGCTGAATGATCAAAAAGAACATAACTTGTGAAAGTGAAATGCACGATTCTAAAAGAATCACTGGACTTGTCGGTCCTGTAATGGTCATGACATGTTCCAGATCCTGTAGATTGCGACATACCGTCGCTGTAGATTTTTTTCCAATATCTAGATCTGACCTAATGTAGATTATAGGATAGCAGACACCTTCCTACATTGGTACAAGGGATAGATGCTGGTCCCTGCTCTATGGCTATATCTACCTCCAGCCTAACATGGGTTTCATTAGAGAGTCAGACTAAATCCGATGCGCTCCGAAATCACCTTGAGACATTTGTTTTGTCAAGGTATACCTAGACAAGTGCAACAGAAACAATACAAGACAACATGGTTCCTAAATTGACAATAGTATACAAGTGATGATTTCACAATCCGTCTATCCGACCAATAAACCCCAAACTGAAACCGTTCAACCGCCGTCGAAGGAGTGAAGAGTCATATCTCCACCGTTCTACTCCGGGGAGTAGCCGGTCCTCATGAATTATGATGTTATCCATAGATATACAACCATATCATAACAGCGAAAAACGGCAACAGCAGAAACAAGAACACAAGACGGTCCGTAACTTAGTGACCGGGGCCATTGCGCATGGCATCCAGCTTCTGCAGGACAGCCAAGCTGGTGTCCATCCACCGATCAACACAGTTCTGTGCGCATGCCTCCTCAGAGCGATCCAGGGTGCCGGAGGAGATCTTGCTGGTGATGCACTTCTCCCAGCACACTTCGTTCAGGTGGTGGACGGCTAGAAGGGATGATTGTTAGCTGGGATGAAGCACAGGTAAAGACAGCCATTGGGATTAGAAGCGAGATCAAAGATCACCGAACATCGATAATTGACCTGTCCCAATGGCAAGATGAACACTCACTCTGCTGGATGTTGGACTTCTGAGCCTCGGCGGTCAAGACCTGGTTCAACTCCTTCTTATCATTATCGTTGAGCTTGGTGAGATCGAGCTGTTGTTCCATGGTGGCGATATGAGGTAATCCAGATATAATTGACAAGAAAACGGATAGCTTGAATGCGATAGTATCAAAGCAACGGACGGGGGATAGCTGGCGATGTGCTCGGTTCAAAATCGAAAGGCGGTCGGACGGGCGGTGGCATAAAAATGACGCGCAGTTTTGCGCTATCGATAGCGACAGCTCTCGTGTCTCTCTCTCTTGCCTTCTGCATCCAGAAGCACATCCGGTGACAACGTGAGCTTGATCGCTGTCGCCGTGCATATAGCATCGCATCCATACCATTTATCCCATCGTCCATCGACCGTCGATTGCCACCATGCCTCCGATCCGTACCGCCCCCGCAGGCACAAGCCGCCTCCCGTCGGCTTCTCCGAAATCGAGGATACCCTGCTGGAATTCGGCAACAAGATGAAGGATGCAGAGAATGCTTCGCACGAAGGCAAGAAGAAGCACGAGGTGCTCTGGCCGATCTTCCAGATCAATCACCAACGTATGTGGGCTCGCGATACTGTTGAATGCGGTGAACATTGGACTGACTTGCCCCACTTCCACAGGTTCTCGATACGTCTATGACCTTTACTATGAGAAGTATGCAATCTCCAAGGAACTTTACGACTGGCTGCTTAAGAACAAGTATGCCGATGCCAACTTGATCGCCAAGTGGAAGAAGCAGGGCTACGAGAAGGTTAGTTTGTACTTGGAAGGCTTCGTGATTCAGAAGATTGACTAACTGGTTCTTCCTAGCTTTGCTGCCTGCGCTGTGTCCAGACGAAGGAGACGAACTTCAACTCCACCTGTATCTGCCGAGTCCCCAAGGCTCAGCTCAAGGAGGGCCAGACGGTCGAGTGTGTCAGCTGCGGCTGCCGTGGCTGTGGCAGCAGCGACTAAGAGTCCAGCTGAAAATAGTCAGTGATGGAGTGTGTCAATCTGACTGGGGGAAGCTGTTGAAGTGTTAACTCGACATGACCGAGTTGATCATCAACCACGTGCATCCATGGAACAGGGCGTTTTCGGTGCTACACATTATCTGCTTTTTTTTTCTGCTGCTTTTACTGGATCCATTCATGTGGTCGATCTGATACCCTTCGAAGCCTGTGACGGCTCATGGAATAGTTTGATAAGCAGACAAATAACGATTTTCAATTGCTAACTACATTAATTCGAAAAAAAGCGCCTTCAATGTGTGTCCCAGTAGTTTCCCGTAAAGATAGCCCCAACCCCAATATCCAAATCATAAAACCATCGCTTGCATGTACATCTTAGCATCGTCATTAATATCATAACCAGGCCATCCTGGGCTCGGTGGTGGAAATGTCAAGCCGGCTCCGTCAGCGCAGCCCAAAAGCTCCCAAAGAAAAACACCACCCATAGGACCTGGGAAACATCACAGAGAACCAACTCCAGGGTACAATCCCAAACGCAAAACAAATGTCGCAAGGTGGAGAAAAGCAAAACAATAATAGAGGGTAGTAGTGGAAACAATGCAACGAGGACCGGCAGTTAAAAAAATCAAATCAAATCAATGGGTCTCTCAGAGATCCCATACGCGAAGGAAAACGAATCATGAGATGTGTGCAACTTAAAACAAAGTTGTATTGCTGCGGTGGCCCACGTGAGGACGAGAGTGAAGCGCCCGAGGCTTGAGAGTATCGTCCTTGCTCATACCTCCAATCTTTTGGAAGCCCTGCAAGAGATCAACACCGTCGACTTCTCCTGGGCTATCATTGCCCTCGTCGAACAGGTGGAAGGAGAAGAAGTCTTCCTGGCCAGTATCTCCGTAGCGGCTTGTATCCGGAAGCTTGGACGGCGACTCAGGGAAGATTGATGACTTGGAACGGGATAGCGAGGACATATTGAGTCGGCTATTAAGGTTCACCGAAGTGATATCTGATAGAACAGTGTTCCCACTGTCGTTGCGAGGTCGCTTCAATGAGCGCTTCTCGGGCGATCCATAGGAAACCTGTCCCGATCCAGGATCGGCGAAAACATCGAAGGAGGTATGGAAATGATCATGAGGAGTATATGCCTCATCCTGGAGGTTGAAGGCTGGACTCCAGGAAGAGCGTCTTCAGAAAGCCCCAAATGTTTAATCGGAGAGTTGACCATTTGCTGGATCTTCCGACGATGGTTGCGGAGGTTGGTATTGGGCGATACAGATGGTGGCGGTTTGGCAGGCTTCTTAAACTTGATAATCGGCGTCAATGGAGGTGGCTGCATGCTGACATATTGGCTGCGGAGAGGCGATGAACCGATAATCGGGTTAGGGTTCTTGCGAGCTGCCGGCTGACCAGGACTGATATCGTGAGAGGAGCTGCGCATGCGAGCGATTTCTTCCTCGGCACGGCCGCGCTTGATCCGTGGGGGTTCGATGTCTAGATCAGATGTCAAGATGTGTCCCGCTTTATTTGGCCTGAAAGCCGAGGACTCCAAGGACGAGAAGTAGCCGCTGTCATTCATGGTAATGGACTTTCGCTTGCGTGGGCGAGGCGCTGGTGTAGGTCCGGAGTGAGTCGGTGTTGGAGGGGTACCCTGCCGGGCAAATCGGGGAGGAGCGATGGGTGGAGATGACCGAATCGTTTGCGGTGGCGAGGAACGAGGCACCGCACGTGTCACAGGCACTGGAACGACCTCATCCGCGTCATCTTGAAGGGCTGGGTCAGACGCGGGCAATGTAGCATCGGAGGATAAATCATTTGGCGGTGGCCTTGGGACGGGAGCGTGATGAGGCGGTGCGTGATACGGGGGTTGCGGCGGTACCATCCAGGTCGTCGTGTTTGCTGTTTGCGACTGGGGGACGAGATCTCTCTGCGGTGCAGCGGGAAGGGGAAGACTGGACATGGTAGCACGGCGCACTTGTTTGTCCTTCAGGAATTGCGCCTCCATGCCCGCCTCAATAGCCCAGTAGTTTCCCTTGCCAGGGTCATCCTTGGGCCGCTCTTGTTTAATAAATGCCTTGTTCAAACTCAGGTTGTGGCGAATACTGTTCTGCCAGCCCGGATCGCTGTTCTTGTAGTAGGAGAACGTGTCAGAAATCCATTTATAGATTTGGGCCAGTGTCAGACGTCGGTTATTCGCGCGCAAAATTGACATGCCGATTAAAGTCGCGTAGCTGTACGGCGGCTTGGTTCCATCATCTTCAACTGGCGGCATCTCGTGAGGTTCGGGTAGATAAGCAACTGGCGCGTCGTCGCGCTTTTGTTTCTTGTTGGAACGCTCTCTGAGTGGCGCGGCCTCCATGAGTGTGCGCTTCATTGGAAGTTTGGATTCATAAGATGGTTCTGGGAAGTCCGCGAAACTCTCATTGGATGGTCCTTCGGGAATACGGGTTTCTTTTGATGATTGTGGTTTGATGCTGGAGAATGTGGTGAAGAGGGCAGAATGTGGCATAGAGGGTTGGGAGTAGATGTGGAACGGCGCTTTCTTGGGTGGGGAGTCGGTGGTGAACATGGGAGGGGTGGGAGCGGATATGGGGACGAAACCGAGTTTTCCGTGGCGCGAATGTGAGCCTTGGGAGTGAAGTCCTTTTGTCGGCGATGGCCTGTGCGGGCCCGAAGACGGATGGAAAGACGAGTTCTGAATGGGCTGGAGTGGTAGCGGTGAGGGTTGCAGACGGGGCTGCGATCTGATGATCTCCTGGGCTGACGGGGCTAACACTGGAGACAAGCGTGCGCCCGAAGAACGCGTCGATCCCATAATCTAATGGATGGGGTATCAAGTCGCACTGTCAACAGTCGCCGGAGAGACCATACGACGCGTTCAAAGACTGGGGGCAAGGGCGCGACTGTTGAAAACAAGGCCTCCGGCCGAGTTTGCGACACGAGCGAGCCGTGTCTTGGTGTGATGAGACTGTGCAGATAATTCTGAATGGGCCAATAGTAGATCGAGAGCAGTCAATCCAGAAACCTCAGGCCGTCATGCAGAGAGGAGTGTTGGGCCCCAAGGCGCTAAGGCGTCCGACTTCAAAGGCGCGAATCAAACTGCACAGATAACGGAGTGTGGATGAGGATTTGGATTCAGCACCCCAGAAGAATAGTTGAATATGGAGCAGATATTGAGCTGATGATAGATAGAGGATAGAGGATAGAGGATAGCAGATAGAGAGGAATAAAGAAGAGAATACAGAGTACAGAGAGAAATGGTCAGATGGAGAAGACCTAGAGCAAACCGGGTTCCTTGGGAAAAAAAAAAAAAATGGGGCTCGTGACAAAGGGCAGTTCAAAGGATGTTCCCCTTGGATGACTTTTTTTTTCCTTCCTTTTCTGCCCAAACCCTTGGAAGGCACTAAATCATATTATAGAATCTAAGAAATGTTCAATTCGTCTCAGCGAAGTAGAAAGGCGGGGGGGGAGAGAGAGGAGATCGCAGATGGAGTGGGATAGAGTGAAAATACACGTCCCGTACGGTCAGATCTCCGACGCGTCACGCGTTTTAGTATGGGAAGAGGGGCATCTCCGGGGGGTAATTTTGGTATTCCGGATTCAGCGTCGATACTAAAGGGGGTCCCCTCCCTTGCTCACATTCTTCTAGCGCCGATCTGCTCCACTGCGGTCGACGGAGTATGTCAGGTCCAACTGTATTATTGGGGCTCTCTGGGACTATTGAACATACTTCTACACTCTATCTGTCGAATAGTGTAGAACGATACGAGGACCTAGGTACCCCGGACTTCATAGTGGAATTAGGTACGGAGTACTTCAATCTGTTCTCCCTACTCTGCGGTTGATCTCGTGGGGGATATTAGGTATGTAGCATGACATGACCGTCGAGGCTGGCCCGAGACAATGCCAGATACCAGCTTTGAATCCCACTCCCAGCATTGGCACCGTCATTGGCCCGGCCATCCCGGTATGTGGACGTGGCGATGTAACTCTGAAACGATCGCTTCTTTTAACCCCTTGTTTCTCCGCTGTCATGATCTCCCCCAACGTCCTTTGACTAGTGGTCAATGGCCCTCGGGTGCCTCGAGGGCCAATTGATTTCCCAGCCTCGAACTGCATGTGCTGCACTCTGCTCTGCAGACGTCGCTACGTAATCAGTACTCCGTACTCCGTACTCCGGGCGGATACGGAGTACGCAAAGTGCATTGGAACTAGAACGGAGGGTCTATTGCTCGAATCTAGGGGAGATCCCTAGTCTTCATGCCCTTGCTTGTATATCAAAGACACCATGTAACAGATTTTATTCACTGCATTCAACTATGAATATGCCAGAACGCTCATCCCTCAATCATGAAACAAAGACTTCGTGACATCTATCCTGCACCCTGAAATAGAAAGAATCTCATATCTGACAAAAAAAGAAAACGGGGAATAAGGGAAACTCAAGAAAACGCCAAGCCCATGCATCACAAAAATAGAAAGCATATGCTGGCTTTTCCCAACAAGTCGGCGCCCCTTTTCTTTTCCCACGGAGCTCCGACTTGGGGGCGGATGTCATAACTTTTTCTCTACCGCAAACAAAAACACAAGGGATATCTTAAACAACAATGACTCGGTGCTCGACGCATCAACAGCGGACGTTTAGTCCAAGAAGGTGAACATGCTCGTATGAATGATATTCAGCGCACGGTCGGCATCTCGTTCTTCGATGACGCAGGAGATGTTAATTTCACTTGCACCTGTGAGGGGGAAAGACCCAGTTAGCCCCAGTCAAGGGTAGAGAGGGTAGAGAGCGAGGGGGGGGGGGGGGACAAGGAGAGTGGGGATCAGCAATTATTCACTTACCTTGCGAAATCATCTCAATGTTCACATTGTTCTCTCCGAGAGTTGTGAACATACGCCCCGCCACGCCGATCATATTCTTCATCTGCTTGCCCACCAGACTGAGGATAGCCATCGCGGGGATGATATCCACGGTTCCATACTTCTCCAGATCATTCAATGCACCCTGAAGATCATCGTCAATGACTTGATACTCATCCCGTGCGTTTCCGTTCAAAAGGGGCATCTCCGAGTGAAGTGCCAGGGACACGTGGACCTCACTGGTCGAGATCAAATCGATGGAGAGGCGCCATTTGTCCAGTACCGAGAAGATGCCAGCAAAGAAACCATGAGAGAGCGACCGCTTGTTGGAATGCACGTTGATCACCAGGATATTATGCTTGATGGTCACCGCCGTTGGCCGCTTAGGTGTCTGCATGAAACTCGGGCTCCGGGTCCGGAACAGGCGGGGATCATGGCCCGGTGTGGTTCTCTCCAGTTCGGCCACCGAGTCTGGGAAGATGATGGTACCTTCGTTCTTTGGGTTCATGACGTTCTTGATACGGATGGGGATCTTTGCGCGAATAACTTGCTCCATGGTGAAGGGATGAATGACTTCCGATCCATAGAAGGTCAACTCGGCAGCTTCGGAGGGTGTGATGGTAGGGAGCAGACGAGCCGTTGGGACTTTACGGGGATCCGCAGTGAAGATACCGTCCACTTCCTTCCAAACCTGCAGTTCTTGTGCGCGGGTTCCAACTGCGACCAGAGCCGCACAGAGATCGGTATACCCACGGCCGACTTGATCAAGCAGGCCACCGGTGATAGTACCGAAATATCCAGTCATGACAGGCACTCGGTGCCCGCAGGCCTCAACTTTGCGACCGAAGGCTGCTGCAAGGGTATTATAAAAGTCCTGATCCAGGCCATGGGGCCCAATGGGGAAATCAATAATCTCTGAAAGATCCACATACTGTGAATCAACCCCGCGATCTTGCAGTATAGCGGCCATGAGCCGACAGCTGAGCTTCTCGCCGGCGCTGATCACTTTGTCGACACAGCGTGCGCTAATTTCTCCCAGGGTTTGAGCGGCCTCGAGGACCTTGAGTACGCGTTCACATTCCCCGGTGATGTCCGCAATCAGCTGGTCTCTCAAGTCCGCCGACTTCAATTGTTCTTGGGCGACTAGGACATGTTCCAACCGCACAGCTTCCACCAAGGTGAGATATTGCTGCGAGTGGGGGTTTTCGGCATCCCGCGCGGCCCGAAGTAGTCTTGTTGGAAGGAATTGGTATCAGTACATCGACTGTGATAACGCTGATGGCTATGGTGACTCACCGGTTGGTGGTGCCTTCGGCTTTGGTGGAACTGCTTCTCGCAGAACATACAACGGCAACTCTGCTGTGCGCAAGGCTGGGTCTGTTACGAGATGGATCCTGTCAGTGTTGGTTGACTTAAAAGATCGAAATGGGGCATGCGTCATACAGGACCACCTGCTCAATGATATTGATCGCAAACTTGCCGACACTAGTGCCGCCGAACTTCTGCACGACCCAATTGCTGTGGGCATGTGAGGTTTCTGGCAAATTTGAATCAAGAATTGTGGTAGCCATGGTGTCAACTCAATATTGTAAAGACTGTCAAACAAGGGAGAAAGAAGTTGGTTTGGGGGGTGAGGCCGGCGAAAGCGGAGACTCTAGGGGCCACATCCGGTGCACATATTTTTTTTGGGTGACTCAATCAGCAATAGAGTTCTGGGGGGGAATACCGCCTACCTGATTCAGCCAGGTACCAGACGATGTCGGAGACCCCGCCAAAATCACGCCATTTCCATATCAACTGCCCCTCCTTATCCCTGGGAGGAGAGTTATTCCCGATGTATGTACAACGGCGTGTAGGCTGTACAGGGCTGGGTAGGGCATGTAGATCGTTGTATGTTGTATGTAACGTGGGCAGAATGTGGCAGCCCGATACTCCGTATATCATCCCTGATTCATTGATGTTACCCCCCAATACTTATCTATTCAACGCTTGTGGTAGATCTTGTTTCCCGGTCTATCCTTCTCCCATTCCCAGTCATAGAACTAATCTTTGCTCGGCCTTGGACCTCGGGAGGCTAGAACGAATTATAGGTAGCCTACAAAGGCGCTATATGCATTAAATCCTGCCAATCACGCCAGTAATATCTTACCTACATGTGGGAAGAATTCCATGCGTACGGATCCCCGAATAGAGAACAGCTAGATCTCTACCATATTGATGTTTCTCGCCTCGGACATACTGTATGATCGATATAGGTGGGTCCGAGATTTGGGGAGCCTTCAGCAGAATCTACAGTGGAGTCAGGATGGACTGTGGCAGAAAGGCTATCACAACGAAATAGAAACCAAGTACTACCTTATTTTGTCTGGCCAGATTATTTACACTCTGGTTCATCCACTAGTTGAGGTTGTATACAGCTAGATCGAACTAATAAATCTTTATATGGATGTTGGCGGTGGGTCTCGGCAATGAGCACCGGCCTATTCATTTCAGGTCTAGGCATGGAATTATGCAATCTTCTCGTATACAGAGTATGCTCAACAACATCTGTATTTGTTTGATACTCAACTTCACTTTCTTTCTGCATATTGTACATAACACTTGCTCTTCTTGCAGACGCGGTCTGCCGAACATCAGCATATCAATTTTCCCTCTAGTCAGCATTGGATGAAAACTTCATAATGGCCGACAACAACATCGCATCATGCCCACTTTGTCCTTTCACAGACTCTGATGCTGATTTTGTCTCCCAACACATCGAATTCTGTCACCCGGAAATTGGGGTATCTGGTTTCTTGCAGGACCAGCTAGAACTCACTGGGCAAAACTCTGCTCCACTGCCAAATGAGGAGTATGGCGCAGACAAATACGTTGACTGTCCACATGGATGTGGTGAGACAATAGCAACTGCCGAGCTATCGAGTCACTTAGATCTGCATGTTGCAGAGGATGTTGCGTTGGATGCTTTCGGGACAGCGCCGGCACGTTCAACTGCAGAACAAGATGTCTATGATGATGATCGGTCCTTTGATGATGAAGACTCTCTTGACATGCCCGACACTTATAAAGGTGGCAAACGTGGGATGCAACGAGATTCCTCGCGAGCAAACACAGCTAAACCTCCTCGGCCTCACAGTCCCCCAAGGACAACCAATGCGGATGGCATCAAACGATTGGGGGTACTTGTCCTATATTTGCTTTCCAAAATCCATGCACTGACATTTTACAGCGCTCCGAGTTGGGTCCCCATGCCCACGAGAAAAAAATGCCATCATGGCTAAAGAAGATGTTGGAAAAAGGCGGCAGCACATCAAAACAGACCCAAATCACATCAGACGGAAAACTTACACGACGCGAAACAGTGGAAAATGAGACCGATCATGTAATTCCTGCTCTTGTTCAACTGTGTGACCAGGACAAATCCGTCCAGCGGGCATTCTTTTGTAGCCCGAAAGTCCGCCATATTTGTAAGATGCGTCATGAAGGTGGGTTCTGTGGCTATCGCAACATTCAAATGGTAGTCTCCTGGCTTCAAAAGTCTCGTGCATTTGGCTATGAGCACTTCCCACCCAAGGGACCAACTATCCTTGAGCTGCAGGATATGATTGAGTCGGCCTGGGATATGGGGTTCAATAGTTCCGGAAGAGCAGAGACTGGCGGTATTAAAGATACGCGCAAATTCATTGGAACACCCGAGGTAAGAGTTTCTGGCCAGGGTGATTCATTCCCATATGCTAATGACCACATGTACCCAGGCACAAGCACTTTTCATGAGCCTCGGAATCCCGTGAGTGATCTAGCCTACTCCATATTGGCTCCGCTTACCCGACTGCCAGCTGCGAAGCCAGAAGCATTTCTAGTCAAAGTGATCTAAGGGCCTGTGATGCACTTTACATAGACATCGCCAACTATTTTAGATCCGGATGCTCGCTTGAAGACCAGGAGGCGAAGATTGTCAAGACTGATCTTCCTCCGATATACTTCCAGCACCAAGGTAAATGCCCTACTATACATGGCTCACATGGTCCCCTCTGACCCAATTTAGGACACTCTATGACAATTGTCGGATTCGAAATTCGAGACAATGGCAGCGCAAACCTGCTAGTATTTGATCCCATGTTCAAGACTTCTCCTGCCATGGAGCGTCTAATTGCCGCTTCTGTCAAACCTTCTGATCCCACTCGCCTTCTCAAAGCGTATCGCAGGGGAACACCTTATCTGCAAAAGTATAAGATATTCGAGCTTCTTAAGTGAGTGGTTATCAATATCTACAGTTGTCAAATTCATGTACTAATCAAGAGCAGACTATGTATAGCTAGCCCGAAACCTGAAGTTACAACGACAGAGGGCTGATCAATCCACTTTAAAATGCACATCCCCTCTATTCGCATTAAATTCTTTGATAAGCTCAATTGAAATGCCTTCATTACTATCATACTTCTTTTTTTATACATGCCAAATGCGGCAACTTACCCCTCCACGATAAGATAACCGGGACGAAAATTAGTCCGATGGAATTATTTCATCTGGGGAAACCACTTTCAATCGCCTTGTACAATCTCCAATTTTGCTCTACCTGAGACCGTTTTCCTAAAAAAAAGATGCGCACCTCTCCAAATATCATTATCACCGGCACTCCCGGCGTCGGAAAGACTGTCCACTGCGAACAACTCGCGCAGGAGATCGGCTTGAAGCACCTGTCCATCAACCAGATCGCAAAAGATCGCGGTTGCTTTGATGAATATGATGAGGAATTGAAGACATGGGTGGTCGATGAAGACAAGGTAAAATGGCCCCCCACGTGCATGGTGCTTCTTGCACATGATCTGGTCTTCATGGTCAAAGTTCAAAGATTTATATGCTGACAATCCATCTGCTTCGCAGCTCCTCGATGCCCTCGAAGACGAGATTCCTAACGGCGGATACCTGATCGATTGGCACGCCTGCGACCTCTTCCCCAAGTCTTGGATCGATCTCGTCGTTGTTCTCCGCTGCCCCACTACAGATGTTCTATATGACCGACTTTCCTCGCGGTGAGACAATTAATCTCAGAAACCAGTCGATACCTTAAAGTCAAGATCTAACGTGCTTTTTACTTAGGGGTTACCACGAGAAAAAGCTAGAAGAGAACCTCGATGCGGAAATCTTCGGTGTTCTGATAGACGAAGCGCGGGAGGCCTTCGACGAAGAAATCGTGGTGGAGTTGACTAGCGAGCAGGATTCCGACGTCGACTCGAACTGCCAAAGAATCTCGCAATGGGTTGACTCCTGGAAGCAAACGCATGTAGAGAATGCGGATTGAGAACCGGTCGGGCCATATTAAACTCTTTTGATCTTCGTTTCTCATTCTTCTATGGTCTTTTGCGGCCGAGTTATATACCCATGGTGAATTTACTGTTGGCCTTCGGCTAGCCACTGCTGCAATTTTGCCAGCGCCTTGGACCGGTGCGAAACCTTGTTCTGTTTGCGGGGCTTCTTAGTACATGGCTTTCTCACGGGAAACAACATCACTTCTTACCTTTACCTCCTTGTCCATCTCGGCATAGGTCTGCTTGCCATCATATTCGAAGATAGCGTCCCAGCCTGCTATATATCAGACTTCAAATCTCTGCAAGACATGATTGGATGTTCACTTACCAAAGACTGCTGGACCTCTGGGTCGCACAATAACACCCTGTACATCATAATTAGATCCATATGTATAAAATTGAAATACTGATGGTTGTCTCACCTCGGTTCTACCTTGGAATATAATGGGTTCCTCGCCAGGGCCACGGCAAAAGGCAAAGGTGCACACAGCTTCAGCGGTTCTATCCTCGAAGCCGTCGAGCATCTTATTCAAGCCCTCGTGGCCCAGATTTTCCATGAAGAATTTGCTTAAACTCCATCAGCACAACTTCCATAACCTAAGCAGCTCATTCAGCGAAATCTTACATGTATGGCCCGGGAAGACCCTTCAACGCGTGGAACTCAAGAGCAGTGTCTTCAGTCAAGGCAGGTCCATTGATCTATTGTCTCGTCAGTATTGATCCCTCAAATCAGAGAGTCTAGGAAGTGTAATTACCGCCTCGGCAGCACGTTTAGCCTTTTCTTTGGCGATTTCCTCAATGGTACCCTGGATCTCGGGGACATCGACCTCCTGGTTGTCCACCTGGATAACATCGCCGAGAATGGCGCGCACCTCACGGAGCTTGTTCTGGTTTCCGGTGATAAAGTTGAGCTTGGTAAGAGTCATTTTGGCTGTGGGGTTCGAAGGGTTTGGTCTGATACAAAAGTTGCGAGGTCTTTGGAGGATTGGGAGTGCGGGACAAAACCCCACCTCGGTCACCGCTGACCTGATATATCGATATGCCAATCTTGGAAGGCTGCCTATGCACAAAATATATAGATCATTTTCAACGTGTACCCAAGGCTTAAAGGAACTTAATCCTACAGAGCTTTTTCCGACAATTCTGTTTAGGCCAGTTATGGTATGACCTTCTCGTCATATTCCGGTACGTCTACATCGAGCACTTCGTACATGTACACTTCAACTATCTTTGTCACCACAACCACCACATCGGTAGGAAATGGCGTGTCTGCTTCAACTCCCGCTCTAGCTGGAACGATTGAGAACTGTAACCAGTTCACATGTGGTAGTCAGCGATGACACTTGCACCAACATTGCTTCCACAGCTGGAATCCCCCAGACTGGTTTCTATGACTGGAATTCGGGGGTCGGCAGTGGCTGCTCTTCTCTTTGAATAGGATACTATGACTGTACCGGGGTGATTGGATTCAGCCGCACGACAACTAAAACAACCACCAGTTCTGAATGAGTTCGACCTTGGTGGAGCCCAATTTCGGGGTGGCTTCTCCGCGCCACGCTATAGGCTTGGTTAAAGGCCAAGCCAGCTTAGGCAGAGACTAGGGTACGGACAACTCCGTACGGGGTACGGGGCACTTTGTATGAGAGTATGTCTTAGAGCCCCGTTGATCATGTGAGCGTCAAGACTCAAGCACTACCCCCGATACAGCGAGATATCTCTTGGAAGTCGACTTCGGATCAATCAGCCGTATCTTATTAAAGTACTCCGTACACTCAATTTACAATACTATCCAGGGAAATCATCCGTGCCAGGTTTATATGCCACCTATCAGAGTCGGGTTCCTGGACTTCCAAGATTTAGGGTTACATCGTTCGCTGGACCCTACGGTCTTATTTTCTAGAAAAGCTGACAGTTGGGCATTCAGGGAACGGTCCCCTTGGGAACAGCCCCCGGCTATTTCAGCCGGCCCTCGATGAGCCAAGTCGATGGGGGTTCGCGCTCGCTATTTCGCCAGCATTTTAATTCTACCAGTTTATTTCTTTTCCTATTCAATTGCAATTGGGAATCAACGATTCTCGCGTCGATACCCACTTCCTTCTTCGTCTGCGATATAACACGATGAGACAACTTCTACAGGTCCTCGCTTGCCTTATTTTCCCCTTAATCGTATCGGCGGAAATAGACCCACTGTACAATGTGTCTAATCCATTTCGACCAGCCAATGTGACAGGGCTGGGTGATATCTGGATCTGGGTTGGATCGTATGTGAAAGTTCATTCCCTGCTTCCCTATTACTAAATGCCTAGTACAGATATTACAATGGCACAACAAAGATCGAGTTTACCCCCGAGATCGGATCATCACCCGAAAAGCCCGTATGCAAGAATCTTCAAGGCCGGTCGTTCAGTGGCGAGTTCCAATCGTTCCTCGGCCTCACCCAAAGAGGTGCTTACAATCTGGGCTCAAACCCAGTCAATATACTTTTGAGCCTCTGGAATTCGGACACAAATCTTTCATCGCTGGCAAATGCGTCTGCCTTTCCATGGTTGTCACCATCCCCTCGATGGACTTTTGAGTCTTCTCCGTAAGTCATGCTCAATGAAACAGATGAAGCTCTTTATCTTATTATCCTATAGCTGGGTTACTAGTGCTAGCAATGTCACTGTCAAAACGAGAAGCGACATAGGCTACGACGAGCCCCTCGTTGATAACTTTATATTAAACCTATCGCCTCGCACCAAGGGAGCCCCATATAATCTAACAGGCACCATCAAGAACACACACTCAAAACTACGTCATTTCGATTTTGATCTTGATTCATGCAATACCACCTTTGAAAGCAGCGAACATAAGATACACCTTATCGAGCGCGATTGGTGGGACAATGAGGGGTGGAATTGGACCTATCCAGAAGTCGGTCTACAATTTGACAGCCAGACGGCAAATCTCACTGTGAATGGATACGCGTCTGGTACTCCATATCATATTGCCGATGAGGAATACGGCGAACATGAAAGAACGGGCCCGGATGTGATACAGGGAAAGATAAAGATTACCTTCTCTGGGGTCATCGATCCCTACCGCTCGGATACCCTATTCGAAAACACGACCATGCCGACTTGGCTCAGAACGGTGGGATTCCAAAACAACCCCGTGAATATCGGCTACGAGAGCGGAGCTCTGGGCTGGTCTCGTCCATGGGGGACCACTATGATTTGTTCTGTTATTTCTTTAGCTTTGATATATTCCTGATGTCTCTAGTAAGGATCAATTTGTATTTGAATACCATTAATGTTTTCTGGGCGGATCCTCTGAATTATGGGAAGTCGTCGTGTCTGTGGTAGAAAGGAAGTGTGTTTCCTAGGGTCCGGGGCCTCACCATCCTTCAAGCGGTGGATCTCCCCCGCGTTATTGAAGATCTTCTACATGAGACTGCATCACTAGGCAGTTAGTGGACTTGGCACGGCTAGACTCCGAAGGCTTAATGCCTCGCCGGCTGCAAAACGCGGGAATTTGCATGAGTGCTGGGGAAGCCAACCCGGATTACCCCCGGGCCAAATGGTTCTAGAGCTTCTCAAGCAAGCCATTGAATTATAAAGCATGGAGCATACTCCAGGGTATTGAATTGCTCCCAAATTTGACTTTAGGAGCTTTGGGGGTACACCTCTATGTCGGGAATCTTTGTTGGAAATCCCTTTTGATCTAATGCATCTAACTACCACATTCTCTGAGAACTGCTCTTCTTCCAGTGGCATGACGATTGACGACTTTTGTGCAACCTTTTCCCGGACCTACCTTCATCTTGCAGAAACCAATACATATCTAGGCCAGTCTCTGTATAGCCTGGTCGTTGTGGAGGGTTTAAGCTACCGAGAGAGAGACGTACATAGCTAGTCACTCGTATTCTTTTAGTCGCCACCTCGAGTCACGGTGAGGTGCATATATGATATACGGAGTAGGTAGTCATAGGTATTGTAGACGGACCTGCATCGCCGAAAATGACCTCCATCATCTATCAATCTTACCTTCAGGCGTGGTCCAGTGGCTTTTTAAACGAGGTGGACAAAACACATATCCTCAGTAGCTGTGGATCTACCTATAATCAAGAAGAGGGCCGAGCTCGACATCCAATCCGAACACTTGCTCTAGCCGAGAGCAATTGGACAGCTGATGGCTGATAGGCGGGAAAAAGCACCAAATGAAGTCAAACAGGGACCGAGGAAGGCTGGAAATTGATTACAATATCTAGCCTACGTCGATGTACGTAGGATGTAGCAGAAGGGAACGTGTGGAGAGGGGACCCACAGGCTCTTCCCCGCGCTTCCCCGGATTTCCGGGGAAGATCTACTATGTTCCTATCGAGGTACTCTCGATACTCAGTATATATATGCTTGTCAATATGCCGCTTTCTCTGTGCTTTCTCTGCAGGGGCCTTGATATTGGAACTCTCTCTGCAATTCCCATCAGTCCTCGCAAACATGAGCCGCCATGATGTTCCGCTCATTCCTTTCCCAACCAATGATCGAAAGGATCCCTTACGCTGGCCATTTGCCCTCAAACTAGCAGCCATTGTGACAACATCTCTGGTTAATTGTGTCTCGAATATGGGAGGGTCTGGAATTTCTGTTGCGATACCGCTCCTTATGCAGGAGTTCCATAAGTCTCAGTCGGATGCGACCCAAGTCCTAACGGTATGGAGATAGGAACCTGCAAAAGAAACTAGAGGTCTGACGGGTCGAGATTAGTTGAACTTCCTTTTTCTCAGCATTGGAAACATCTTCTGGGTACCGGTTGCAATGAAATTCGGCAAACGAGCCTCCCTTCTGTCCTCGACCCTCATGCAGGCGGGTATGTTGGCCTGGACTGCGGTAACACACTCATTCCCCTGTCTCCTCGCGGCCAGGTGTCTACAGGGATTTGCAGCTGCAGCCGGTGAGGTAAATATAATCAATTCCCTCAATTATATAACGTGGCACAGCCAGCTGACTCTCCGGTCTTCCACAGAGCATTGTTCCTGAAGTCGTATCAGACACCACCTTTGTCCACCAACGAGGAGCTATGATGTCTATGTGAGTGTGCTCAATATACCTATTACACCTGAATACCAGAAGCTTACGGAATCATTTTTCGCTGTTTAGTTACGTTGTGCTCATCTCAGGAGGAAGTGCAGTCGGTCCACTCATTTCCGGCTTCATGACTACAAGAACCAGCGAGACATGGCGGTCCTTCTCGTGGTTTTGCTTTGGCTTGGCCATCTTCAATGCCATTCTGATCTTCCTATGCTACCCCGAATCCAACTTCACCCGACCCGAGCTCGACTCGACTACTGACCAGCTAGAGACGGCGCGAAAGGGAGAGATCCACAAAGAATCCGAGAAGGCACCCAAGGAGGAGTTCTATGAGGATGCAAGGGTAGCCTCCCCAACAGGGACGGGTTACACTATCTACACTCCCTCTATCTGGGAGATTATACCACCATTCTCATACAACACCAATGTCAACTTCCTGAAATCCATGATCCATCCACTCAGGCTCCTGGTCCACCCATCTGTGTGGTGGGGGATCTTCATTTACGCCATCACACTGAGCCCGCAGGTGATCATGATGTGAGTAGCCATTGTGCATTCGTAAGACAAGAAGGCCTTCTGACGTTCCATGCCTGTGTATAGTTTCACGATGTCCGCTTTCCTCGCACCGCCTCCCTATCTTTTCTCGACAGAGCAAGTTGGTATGATGCAGATTGCAGCTATTGTCGGTTTCATGCTCGCCTGCTTCGGTGGCGGCTTCCTATCCGATGTCATCAACCGCATCATTGTCCGCCGCTCCTCGGATCAGAACATGTGGCCAGAGCAGCGCCTGGTTTCCCTTGTCCCGGGTATGGCATTTGGGCCTGCGGGTTGTATTCTCGTTGCCTTCGCTTGTGGTAACCAGCTCCACTGGAGCGCTATTGCCGTCGGCTACGGTCTCTTATCGTTTGGATCAGTCTATACGCCAAACATCGTCGTCACATACATTGTTGACCGCCATCAAAAAGATGCGGCCGAATGTCTTGTCTTGGTCAACATTTTCAAGAATCTGGTCGCATTCCTTTTCCTATATGTGGCGGTCGACTGGGCTCAGAAAAACGGTTATATTCAGGTCTACATGATCATGTTCATGCTGAATGTTGTCGTCATACTCTGTGGTGTACCAATCTACTACTACGATTCTAGGAACCGCCGCAACGTTGAACGTGCATGAATTTATGGTTCTGTATTTATATTGGAACCCTGGAAAAACCGACAAAATCACAAAAATATAGCTGTTTCTGTCAATAGAACGTTGGATACTCTCAGGCTTATGTTTTGCATCAATGAAGTCAGCCATGATTCCAAACATAGCGTAAAGGTTAACGGTCCTATATAAAGTGCAAGAAGGAACTTCCCACTTCACCGCGGGGGATGATATACATCCAGTTTCTATATAGTATACCCCGGTGTACACCCCACAACTATCGTGACGAACTAGTGCTCGGGATCTTCAGCTCCCTGTGCAATGAGCCACCCAGCCACTGAGAATCGAGGATCAAATCCTGATCGTCCTTCTCGTCCTCCGGGTCTATCATGTGTTGACCCATGTGTTTGCACTATTTGGGATCAAACACCATGATGAGCATCTTCTTTTTCTTAATCTAATTGCTCTCCCATGTAGTCCCCATGACGAAACGAATCCGACCATCGACCTACCGACTGTTGCCAAAATTGAGGCTTCTACAGACACCTCCGTATACGAATCAATGCCACCAAGGAAGTTCGAGTGAAAGAACGCTCCGCAGTCAAGCTTGGATATTCAATCCCGCCATTAGAAGCCGACAGTATGGGATGTTGCAAAAGCAAAGTGCCCGTGCCTAATGTTTACGCCAATTTTGTCGACCCGCAGACCCAGAAACGATACATCGTGATGGATTTTATTCCAGACACCGACATGCAAAGACTGCTACCATCGCTCACTCCAACCGAGAAGAACACGGCGAGTGAGCGCATCAAAGAGGTGATCAATGAACTCCGAGCTATACCGCCGCCTGACTACCTGGGAAACTTGAACGGAACGTTTTACATCGACGGTGTTCTTTCAACGCCAGATAAGAACCGGGTCATTTCTGGACCACTCAGGGACCAAGAGGAGATGGATCATAGTGTTCTGGAGAGGTTGAGCCAAGCTCAGTTACCACATTTTATTCGCTTATTGAAAGCAAAGGTCAAGTATACCCCCAAGAACCATCGAGCGCATTTTACCCATGAGGACCTACTACCAAAGAATATAATCGTGGGGCGAATAGCGCGTTGTGAGAAGGAAGCTGACTTCAAAGTTAGTCTCATTGACTGGAATATGTCAGGCTGGTATCCCAAGTTTTGGGAATTTGCAATTCGACGTTGTGTTGTCAACTGAAACCGGATTGACTCAAGCTCGTTCCAGACATGTTTGATCAGTACTCGTCCGAATATCGAACTATGCAGGTTGTAGGTTGTCCTCTCGTTGGTCTTTTGCCGGGGGGGGGGTATGAATCTGGAGATATCACAGCTCAATCTGTGCCCTTTGATGAGTTTATGTGTATTTGTATTCTCTTTTACGACAAAGTTCTTGTTCTACGAAAGATGTCATGGGTGATGGGCGCATAGCAGGGGGCGTTAGGGCAGACGGGGAATCCGAGAAAGCTCATCTGGGCAGGTAAATGGACGCAATAGTGAGAAGAAGACAAAGCGGGATGCAGCGAGAGGAAAATAATAGAAAATTGAACGAGAAATGGACTTCAACCAGGGAAGCGGTGGGAAAGGATTTCCCCAAGCACTCAATTTACAAACGAAGTTCTCAAAGTTCTTAAACATCGAGCAACATTCTCTTCTGGTCTATAGGCCAAGACGTCATATGCAATTGAAACAAATGAAAATCATGCGCATCACTGTATCGCAGAGGCCATGGATAATCCAGGCAAGTCGTAATCCGTAGCTCACAGGAAATCCCCAAGTCTAATATACAACAGTAAAGATCTATTCCGAAATCGCTCCGTTGTCCAAGTCGAGCTTCTCTTGCTGCGCCATCGCTTGCGCGGAGACAATCTCAGCAAGGCGTTTCAACCGTGGTGTTTGGAGCCAGGATGGGGTATAGGTCTCCAGAGCAGTGATGACACGCGGCTCGGCGATCTCGTACGGCCCACTGTCCTCCATATCTACTGGAGCCAAAAGGAGCACATCGCTCTTCTCTGTGACGCGAGAGGCGACGGCCTTCATGATCTCGCCGTTGATAGGCTGTTCGTAATCTGCGACCAGGTACTGGTTCAGCAGTTTCTGGATTTGATTCGGAGATAGCCTGCACAATGTTAGTGAGATGGACACGTGTGACTGCCAAAGAAGACAGTATACTTACATCCAGCAAATATCCTGAATGATCTCGATATCGTTCAAAGTTGCCTTCTTCAGCTGCAGAAGCTTGGTTGCTTGCTGTATAGGAGTTAGCAGGATGATCACGAATGAATATTAGACAAGACAGCTTACCATCAGATGCTCCAGCTGCAGCGTTCCCTCGGGCATATCGTGACTCTTGCACCATTCTTCAATTCGAGTGATGTTGTAGTTGATCTGCAGACCACGCTTCCAAGACAGGAAGTTGCGTCGCATGAGGAGATCGTTGAAAGCGGTGACACCAACAAGACGCAAGAGCTCGGTGACGGTCTGCGTGACGATGGTATCTTCGAGGTAGAAGGCCTTCATTGCCTTGTAAACACCGTTCAAAAGACTGAGGAGGTTGTCCATGCTGTAAGCTGGGTTATTATTGTTGGGCAGAAGCTTGCCGAGGAAACGATTCGTTTCACTGGTGACAAAGCCTGGAAGCGACTGAGACTCAATGATGGCGGGAACAATCATCTTGTACAGCTTCTTCTTCAAGACCTTCATCCAAGTGTGGTAGATATTGAATTCCAAGCTCTCAAGGTCGTGCTTGACAATCTCCAGCAAGCGATCATACTCGTAATTCTCGGTCTTCTGTGCTTCATACCAATCCTCGGCCAGGAAGACAAAGGATAGCATCTCGTGCACGTTAGACAACCAGAAAGCACCGGGGTTGATCGCGTCATCTCCATCATGCTGCATGACTTCTTGCTGGATGGACTGCATCACATTGGCCAAGAATCGCTCCGACTCCTTAACAAATCCATTGTTCCACATCTCTGATGTAACAAGGTTGATGAGGTATGCCGGGAACAGGACTTCCTTTTCAGTGGGAGGTGGTGCCGAACTTGGGAGCGGGATCTTCAGGTTGCGAATAAGACCCATGGCAACTTCCTCGTTCAGGTCCTCTTCTTCAGAAAGCAAGTTCTCGAGTTCGACCTCTACCGACTCTAGACCAGGAGAGATGGCCGCATTCTGACGGGCCATCATAGATCCAGGGGTGACCGCCATTGAAACAGGGCGAGGGTTGTATGCACCGCTGAAGCGATCCGTGTCAATCTTCTCAGCACCTGCACTGCGTCTCTTGGGCTTAGGCTTCTTCGAAGAGACTAGGTTGATCAATCCCGGGGTAGAGACCTGTGCTGCTCCACCGTTGGGCAGTCCATCGCCGTTCACACCGTGCAAAGGCACAGATCTCTTGGAAACCTCAAGCTGTTCCTCAAGATCGGCAATCCGCTGACGAAGGGCAGTCTTATCTTTCTCATGATCGGTATCCAAGAGCCTCAGGCGCTCCAGCTCCTCATTAGCAGTTTGGAGAGCCTCACGGGAAATTCTCTCCTCCTCTTGGAGGCGCTTGATGTTAGCCTGAGCTTCAGTGTGGCTGTGTTGAAGCTTGCTCATCTCCTCCTCAATTGCCTCTAACCGAGCAGCGGTGATACCAGCCTGGTTTGCTTCAGCCTGGAGCTCCTTCGTGCGAGTTTCCAGGGCATTGTGTCGGGTTCTCCACGACTTCAATTGGGAATCGTAGTTGTCCAGCTGCGAGACCAAGGTCTTGTTCTCAAGCTTGAGACTTTGCAAGTACTGAGTCAACTCAACGACCTTATTCTCCAGCTTGTAAGAAATTTGCTTGAGATCGCGGGCATCCTCACGGAGTCTCTTGTACGAGTTTCGTGCCTGTTTACCTCTCCAGAGGTTTTGGACAGTGATAACCTGGCGGCGGTACTGTCTCCAGGAGCGCAATTGACGCCACGTGCGGAAAGCGCGTTGGATGACCTTGGCTGCATTTCCATTGATAGAGTCCATAATGTTGCGTCGACACAGGAATCCCTTGGCGATAGACTCAAACAGAATAAAGTTCTTGCGGATTTCAGTGTACTGCTTCCTCTCCTTCTGTCCACGCCAGACCCGCTGGATCGTAGTAGCAGCCTTGGTTCGGCGAATTTCATGAGTCTGTTGCCGTGCTAGGAAACCGCGGATAAAGGCCTGAGTGGTGAGAATGGCATCACGAGCATCAAGGTAGCGGCGGCGATAGTACTTGGCACGCAGGTTCTTCTGGATCATGATGGCGCATTCATTCAATCTGGAAGTTCGGAGGTTCTCCAGGAATGCAAGCATACCAGCCCGGAAGAAGATCTTGGTAAGACCAAGCTGGTATTTGTCCTGCTTTTCATCTCCCAGGGCCTTTCGAAGGATGGCATGGCACATGTCTCGAATCTCCGAGGTCCATTGAGAGGAATGGCACAACATGTAGTAGCGGATGGCGAATTCCTCGTAAGTCCATCTGGTAGGGTAACCGGCGGTACTAATTCGGACAGTTTCGAGAACACCACAAGCTCTCAGCTGGCTGAGAACCATGGGACCCTCAAACTTCCAAGCGTCCTTCGCCTCATTGGGCTTGATACAACGGATGTAATGAACCTCGGTACTGTTAATGGTGTGCATCAATTCAATCAGTGAAGACTTGAAAATTCCGCCAAGCGTGGGCTTTCGGTTGACTGCAACACCAATTCGACGCCCTGGAGCCGCTGCGACTGGCTTGGACGACATAGAAGCAGAATCCTTCTCACGAACCGCCGCGGCAGTCTCTAGAATCTCCTTGATGAAAGGATTGGATGAATTGCGCAAGACTTCCAGATGCTCATCCGGCACAGTGTCCCGATTCTTTTCAATAAACCCATCAGATTCGTAGGTGACATCAACAGCGTAGTGACAGACGGTGAATGCAGATTTACCGAAGCGAGGCTTCTTGTAGAACTTCTGCTTGTCGGCCGCAAAGTGATGGTGAAGCTTAGTGACAAACTGCTCGTCTGAACCCATAGGAAGTCGAGACTCTTCATCCAGAAGAGCCAAGACACCGAGCTTCGCTTCGATGAGATCAATACAAGGCTGATTATCCGAAAAGTCGATGAAAGTCCAGTCAATCTCTTCGCGAACATATTCTTCCTGCTCAAGCTTGAACACGTGCTGATTGAATTCCTGCTGGAGCTTCTCGTTGGCATAGTTGATACAGAATTGTTCGAAGGAGTTCTTGGCGAAATGCTCGAAGCCGTAAATATCCAGGACACCAATGAAGCACTTGAATTTCTCCAGAACTTCATCAGTAGCAAGACGTCGGTTGATCTTGTCAACCAACCAATCGAACAGACTTGAATAAATGAACTTGGAGACGGAGTCTCGGACAACCAACGCCTGTTGCTGCGTTAGATTAGAGGTAATCTTCTCGCCGCGCGTAATCAGCTGCTTCTTCACAATCCACTTCGCAAATTCTGTCGCATCGATTCCAAGCATCTCACACGCACGGACAAGTGCAGGCTCGGTCGACGAGACTGACGAATCTGTGCGAGTGGCGGTAATCTTGACATTACCGAGATGCAACAGAGCAGCAAGAACCCGGAAGATGCCGGTTTGGTCTTCCTTGGGCACACCGATGACAGCCAGCGACTTCCTGGTCGCTTCAAATTCGGCTTTATCATCGACACCGTCGATGATTGGAGTGCCGCCCTGGTTCAGATACTCAAATTCTTCAACAGACAAGAGACCCAGCTCTTGTTTCTCCGCCTCGGAAGCACCAGCCACCAGCTGGTAGAAGATATGGTAATTGCGCTCTTTGAGGGGTTGGAAGACCAGTCTCGACCGCTCAAGGAGATACGTCCGAATCTTAGCTCCGATAATGTTTGTCCGATCATCGAACATGATCTCGATGTATTTACCGAAACGGGAAGAATTGTCGTTACGGGTGGTTTTGGCGTTACCGAACGCTTCCATGACCGGGTTGGTAGCTAAGATTTGCTCCTCAGTTTCACTGATGGCATCCGCACGGCTGGTGGTGTATTTTCCAGGCTGATCCGAGGACTCGCGGGTCGCAAAGTAACGCATGATATATTTGGCGCTCACGGTCTTACCGGCTCCAGATTCACCGGAGACCACGATCGTTTGGTTCTTTCCATCACGAAGCATATCACTATTGAAAGTGTAAGCGAAACCGACCCCAAAGATGTGGGCGAAGAAATGACGATTCTTACGCGAAAGCTTCCTCGGCAATTGCGAACAGGTGAGGCGCCTGGGAAGCGCGGTGTTTCCCAGCATAAACCTGCACCATCTGCGGCACATAGAGCGAATCGACTCGGGCGAATGGGTTGGTCGCAATCAAAACGATACCACTGTAGGTATATATCTCCTTCTGGGCATAACGGAGTTTTATAGCCTGGAGGACTTTAGGGTTGTTAGCGGGGAGGTAGCATTTTAAAACAGCTAGGAGCAAAACAAACCAGCGGGCTCGTTCAGGTGAGACAAGTTCGTCAAGTCTTCGCTTGCCTCAAGCATAGTAGGGTTCATGAGCGGGGGTAATTTGGGATTGTTATCGACCTGCAGCTCAGACTGCGTGGTCTCCACGGTTTTTGTCTGCCCGATTCAAACAGTGTCAGTCGACCAAATCTCGCGAATGCTCAATGAAAAACATTGCGCATCATCCGTCGCCCCGCGTCCATGACACATACCTCCCCATTTTCCAACTCAAAAATCAGCTGCACTTTCTCTCCATCCACCAGCTTCTCCTTCACCTCGGATGCCAACCATCCTTCTGTCGGGTCGGGCTGCCAGGCCCGTGTGCCGATCTCGTAGATGTGCGCCATGGAAAACGCAGGTCGTTAATCGTGTTGAATGCAATGAAAGATATTTGCAGAAGCTCCGGATGATGGGTGTTTTCGGAGGTAGGGCATCGAAGGAAAAAAGTGTATCAGGTGGTCCAAAGACAAGGGGGACTCTCAACCCCTCATCTCATATTCCGAAAGAATAAGATAAAAAGATTGAAGATAAGAGATAGATGGAGGTGGAAAGAAAACCCTTGAATGAGACTAACAACTGGCCATTTAGCGAGAGCCCCTGAAGGAGCTTAGGGATTATACTGGGGGGCGCCACACCCCCACAGCCTGTCACCGCCATCCTACCTTGGTCTGCATTGTACATGTACCCAGGTACCTTATACTGACGGTTTACTGGTTTAGTATGCATCGACTGACGTTTTTCTACAGATGGATGCATTTCTTTGACGTCCCAGGATTGGTCCAGCCTGAGACTTGGTTGATGGCATACATACTGTGTAGGTTTTGTCTCTGAGAGTGCTTCCTGATTCGCCTGGATCTTGTATAAATATACCCAGTGATGCCCAAATCAAAGAAAAATTACACGTAGGAACACGTCTACAGAGGACCTCCAATTTTCGCCAATCTACCACGTCTAGTGGCTTTTGGGCATCTAAGTTCCCGAGAGCATTTGGGCGTCAGGGCTGCACAGGGATTATGTCAAGTATTGATTGAGTATTAGAAGATAGAGAGGTCACGCAAGGGCACACAAAGGCAGAAAGCAGAGCAAAATATCAGAGAGTACGAATAATCTCATGTCGGGCATTCACCACCGGCAACTTTTTTCCATTTAGTTTTGCTTGCACTCGGCGGCCTCCTTCTTGGGCTTGGAGGCACCATCCTAAAGAGGAGTTAGTATTCAGGCGTTGATTTGGCGTTGGGGGGAACGAAGTGCATACCTCTTCGTCTGAATCCTCATCCACATCGCGGTCAGACCCGAGGTCCTCATCGTCCTCATCCTCATCGTCCTCGTCTTCATCATCCTCGTCATCGAACTCATCACCCATATCCTCACCAAACTCCTCAAACTGGAGAGCTTCACCGGTGAACCAGTCGATGGCACGGGGAATGAGCTTCTCCTTGATATCCTCACCGAGCTGGTAGTCAAGCTCCAAACGCTCCTCAATATCACTGGCAACTGAATCATCATCCTCGACAGGGGGCTGTGGGGGCGAGAAGAAGTTGAAGAAGGACTCGGTAGGCACACTGATCTTAACAACGCGGGTCTGCTTGGTATCTAGAAGGGATGAATTGTCAATTTCCATAAGATAACCCGACATTCGAGTGCACTTACTCTTGTTACGCTGCTTCTTGCTCTCCAGACGGAGGGTCAGGTCCTTATCCTCCTTCCAGTCAATCTGAGATCCATCGGCGTGGTCATAAATGAAATCGCCACCGTATCCACTCTCATCCTTGTAGAAGTATGACTTAGTGATAGTTTTGTTGGTGAAGAAATCGTTCTCGGAGAACTCGAAAATAAGGCGGAATCCGGGTCGGTCAAGGTACTCCATGCGAATGTCGGTGAGGTGCTTGAGGGCATCCTCATCGCGCTCAGTAATCATCTCAGCGAGGGAAATCTGGTTCTTCATGGCAGAGAGCCAGAACTCGGGAATGCCGTTCATGGGCGCACCCTCCTCCTTCTTAGGCTCCTCCTTGGTCTCCTCATCCTCATCCTCTTCCTCATCCTCCTTTCCGGCGGCAATCTCGGCCTCAGTAGGCTCAACACCACCGTTGACGATTGTGGAACGACGCTCGTACAGCGGAGTGAACTTGCCAAAGTACTTCTTCTCGAGTTCAAGGACCTCTTCCTGGAACTGAGCCTCGAGTTTAGAGTGCTCCTTTTGGATACCCTTGAGACCAGCAACGCGGCGGCGGACGGAGGGGGGAAGAGATTCGATGTAGCCCGATGAGCGACCGACGAGTTGGCCGAGCTTACCCTGGATCATAGAGACCAGAGCAGGGTTGCGGGCGAAGAGTGAGGCAGCGGCGGCTTTGTCAAGGGATTCTAAAAATCACGAAAATTCGGTCAAAGGAAAGGCCAACCACGGCAGAAAAGAACCGACTTACCCTCCTCGATGCTGGAGACACCAGGCTGCTGGGCGTGAGACGAGATAGGAGCATTGTTGGCCGGCGTGTTTTGCGGGGTTCTTGCAGAAGTCAGTACAATTTTTTTTTGCTTTTGATAAGGGAAAAAATAAAACAGGGGGAATCCTTACGGTGCGACCGGGAAGTCGGGCTTCTTGTTTCTAATGGGCTCAGACATGATGAATGGTAGGGGAAAGGGGGAGAGGTGAGAGAGGCAAGAAGGAAGGAAGAATTTGATACGGCGTTTTGGGGGAGAGAGTCTGGAAGATGGTGGGATCCTTAGCGCCCTGTGGCCGAGGGGCTTGGCGGGACGCGACGGTTCTGGTTGAGAAAGGCTGCAAAGACTGCAAATTCTCCCAACAATACTGTTTGCCCCCTCTTTATGTCTTTGATCCCGACATTCTTTTTTTTTCCTTTTTATCTTCCATATCGACTACCTACATTACGGGAGGAATGGGAGTTCAATCAACGGTAAAACAAGTGTTGTTTTTCAAAAACCTCTAAAACCCCTATTTTACTCCAAGGCAATGGTTTTTATAAAACAACCTCTGTAATTTGACTACATTTTATACAATCAACCTTTATTTTAAAACCAACTAGAACCATTAATGAAGGTTGATGTTTAATCTTTTGGTTACAACAACTGTTCCTCAATTTTAACCGTTTTTCCCTTTTAATAGAATATCTGCTATTATCAAAAAACAAGCGTTATATATCGGTTATATTATTGCATCGTTAATAATTTAACATCTATTTAGGTAGGCTAGTGTATTTATAGGGGTCCGGATCTGCGCACCATCGATTTTCCCATTTGCACCATTTTATGTCAGCATTTTCGGAGGATATTACAGATAGACCCTCATGATACGGGATGTATACCTAACAGAAGTATATATACTGCTCAATCAGGGATTTCCGCACAGATTGTTAAAACAGCGGATTTTGTCAACTTACTTAGATAATTTTATTTTATATATTTCAATTTTGCTATACACTGTTTTACACTTCAGGTGGTAGATAAAACATAAGGTTGATATTGTAACTCGACTGGTTTATTGAATAAGATTGTCCCGCACCAGTGCAGCCTACTGCACAATATGATATCGATGTCGTCCGGTTCACGAAGTTAGCTGGGGAGGTAAGATCTCATGGCAAAGGAGTGAGTCCAACAGGATTGAGACCCATTTTCGTTATGATCTCTCGGAGGGAAGCAATGTAAAATTCAAGCCGATCACTGCCCTGGGAGCTTGAGGCAATTGCGCCGTTAAGAAGGTCGTCTTTGGTGAGATAAATGGGCCGTTCAAACGGCCCATGAACCGGGAAAATTCGGTTGCTCCAGATTATATATGCACTGCCTGTGAAATTTCGTCCCCAGAGTTCGATTGTTCCAGCAACACCTTGTCTGCGCTGGAAAAATTTCACAAGAAGAACCTTACACACACTCGCCCCCACTCCTTCCAACCAAAGTTTCGCATCTTCAACGAGACATGAATATGTCTGATTGAAGCCAACCTCAATAACGATCCTTGGTTCATGTAAACTGGGACTCTCGAGACAAGAGATGAAGGTATCGGGCTCTTTTTGATCACCGGTGTATGGAGGGTTGATGGCAGTAACTCGCGGGCTTGATGTTACCATAACGTTGAGATGTTCAGCAGGAGTAAGTTGACCGTTGATGTGCCAACGGGTCAGCTGTTGGCCAAACCACGCATGCGGGGCTTCGTGAGTATAATTTGGCATTTTCAGTGTGAGAGCTTTCCTTTGGGAGAACCATCCTTTCCGAACACGGGGGTACTTTGCGTCGAGAAGTTTTAAAAGATCAATTGCAATACCATGATCCACTGAGGTAAGGACAACAAACGAGTAGACAGACAGACTGATTGAAGAATCCACTGCCGTGGATTATCGCCAATGCCTCCTCGGCAGAGTTAATTTTGTCAAGGGAGATTTCTTTATCAAGGGCGTATTCTTCACTGTCGCATAACTGTTGGGAAATACCGCTATTGGCTGGCGTGGAATCGAGTGGTGAAGACATGATGGGCAAAAGAAAAGGAGGGGGATGCTTTGTTGAACATGAAAAGTGCAAGTATAGAAGTCGCGAAGTCAGGTGCAAATGTGCCGATGGAGAAGTCAAGGGGGCTGCTTGGTGCGGGGATGGGGACTACGACCGGAAGCAGAAGAACGGGGAACCCGATTATCCGCCTCGCCGCAGCCGCCAAACGAGCGGGCCGGGAGCGAATCAAGGAGCGGTGGATTAAGCAATGGGACCGGGACAGGACCGGGTTCCAGCTGAGTTATACCCAGGCTTAGTTCTACTCAGTGAGCAAAAAGCGACAAGGACTGAGCCCTAAGACGAAAGGGGAAAGCTAAGAAGTGGCAGAGGAAATCTACTACATAGGTAGATCTTTGCAGATATCGCCTGTATACCTACGATTCTCCCCTTCGAACCGTTGATTTTTCTGTCCCCAGTGGCGCCCTGGACCACAAACTCTGCCTTTTTATCCTTCTCCAATGACAATGTAGCGGAGAGATGTGCTGTATGACCGTCCTTTCTGACCTGTCTTCTGGTTACTCTATGTTTCAATTGCTGGATAATTACAAGGTCCTCGAAGTTGGTGATGGATACGGAGTACTGCGTACGAAGTACTTACACGGTAAGTACCAGGTATATAGGTACGGAGTACAGAGTACTCCGTACCCCGGGTTACATGTATATTTAGAAACAGGTGTTCCGGTATTTGGTCTCTGAGTTTGGCCTGAGGCTGCACGACGTGAGATGACTTTCAGCCTTTCAGTGCCTTGTCTGCAGGCTTCCAAATTGCGAGGTACCTATTTCGTACATACGCTCAGGTGCAGTGACTGGTAAGGATTGAGCCAAACCTTACCAACCCAACGCCATGTAGATCCTCCCGTACAATCTCAGATAGAAACCCCGTAGGTAATTTAGTGGCCAATGAAAGCGGTTGACGTCCCAAAATAAGATGCCAAGACTCTTCAGGCCTTCTAGAAGAACCATTGTCGAGTTCCCTTAATATAATTACGATACCACATGCCATTTGGGTAGACCATTCGGTGCACTTGCGAGTCTCTAGGGGTTTTCTGTCTGACGTCGATCGTTATGTAATCCCCAAGACAGTCACATGAAGATAAGTTGCTCTCCGCTGTGGGACACGCGATAAGCTCCAGATCGCACACCCTGCTTTCGTGCTCCGCGGTCCATGCCTTGTATTCGTCCCGTGTCGGTGAATCACGACTTTACCTAAACCGCCATCACACGACCGTCTGAGGTTTGCGCGGAATCGAGTGAACAGAGCAGACCCCTCTCTCTCTGAAATATGGGAAACCGTGCGCAGTCTCCCTCGGGGACCGGTCCCGTGGATCTTTCCATGCCTCGGACTGGGCTGCGACGCGACTCCATGCGGAGCAGGTTGCTATTCGCCCCCTCTTTGTGCTACCTTCCATGAACTCCTACTAATAGTGCCCTAGCATGAGCGTCGTGTCGGATGTGGAGATGGCTCGTAATGAGGTATGTCGAATCTCTGTCCTCACGCGCAACCTATAGCGCAGGGGCTGACTCGCACCAGGTCTTCGATGGACCAATCTCAGAAAGCGTTCCTTCGAGCGTTGTCTCATTTGCACACCGCCGCAATCGAACAGGCTCTACGGTGAGCTTCACATACTTCCAGGATGAGGAAGATTTCGCGGAATGGTCGAACGAAGACGCAGTGGAGGACCAAAGTGATATCGACGAAGAATCTCTACATGGGATTGGGGATGTAGACATTGAGTCAGCCAGAGGATCTTTTGTGTCCAAGCGACTGTCTACCTCTCGCGACTCGGTTGAGCATCCACTTCTTTCTCGCTACATGTCAGCTAGCTCGTACGGCCGAGACCGACGATCTGGCAGTCGATTGAATCAAAAGGTCTATATTGCATCGGAGGATTTAACAGCTGTATTTGCTGGCTTCTCCACAAGCACTGGAGGATATGCTCTCTATCTCGCTCTTTGCATATTGACCGGTGGATTTGCCTACCTTCTCTTCCGATGGCTACCACGATGGCGGGTAAAATTGATTGGAAAGGCAACTCCGATTGGAAAGTGCCAGTGGATTGCCATCGAGGTGAGACTATGAGCTTTCTGTCCCATATTCCTATATTAGCATCATCTAACCCACAACAGGATCAATGGCATCAATTCACCATTCACGAGGTTGGCACTCAACCCTATGGACGTCCGCTTTCCACGGTCTTCGCCGATTCTTTGAATCACACGTATGATGAAGATAATGACCCAACTATTGCTTCTCTCCACTTTATTGACTACAGATACCTGAGATTCTTCTATCATCCAGTCGAGGATAAATTCTCCCTGATAAATGGCTGGAAAGATCCCTCGTGGACTAGTGCTAAAGCCATGCGGAGTGGGTTGGATGCTGATGAACGAGACAGCAGAGAACAGTTATTTGGAAGTAACGCCATTGAAATTGGCCAAAAGACAATTCCTCAACTTCTCGTTGACGAGGTCAGCTTCATTCCCTGGTACTTTATGGCTAAAGCTGACAATTTACAGGCTTTTCATCCGTTCTACATCTTCCAAGTCGCAAGTCTCATTTTGTGGTCCATTGATGAATACTATTACTACGCCGTCTGTATCTTTCTTATATCGTTTTTCAGCATAGCAACGACTGTGCTAGAGACAAAATCAGTGCGTCATATCCCAGCTTTGGCCAATGTTCCGGGACTAACACTGCCACAGACAATGACGAGGCTTAGGGAAATATCCCTTTTCGAATGTGATGTCCGGGTGCTAAGAAATGGATTCTGTGAGTTATTTCAGCATCTCACATTGTCGGTTGATGTAAACTGATTATATCTATAGGGCGATCTGTATCCTCCCAAGAACTGGTTCCTGGTGATGTGTTTGAATTTTCCGACCCATCGCTCAACCAGGTCCCGTGTGATTGTATATTGCTATCAGGAGACTGTATAGTGAATGAGAGCATGCTCACAGGTTCGTATATGCCCAAATGCTCACGCCCAAATCTAATTTAAATAGGCGAATCTGTTCCTGTGTCCAAAACACCGCTCACCGATGATGCGCTCGGATATCTCGATCTCAGTACCCCCTCTATGCACCCCGATATTGCCAAACATTTCTTATTTAGCGGGACGAAAGTAATTCGAGCTAGAAGACCCCAAAATGTTGATGATGACGAAGCCGTAGCTTTGGCCATCGTCGTCAGAACTGGATTCTTGACAACTAAGGGCGCACTTGTCCGCTCAATGCTTTTCCCAAAGCCTTCTGGATTCAAATTCTACCGGGACTCTTTCCGTTACATTGCAGTGATGGGAATGGTCGCTCTTGTTGGATTTATTGCTTCATTCGTCAACTTCGTTCGACTGGGCGTAAGTCAATGCCCAGGCAAATGATTCATTTCGGTTGCTAACAGACGGAACAGCTCGCCTGGCATCTGATCATAGTGCGGGCTCTCGACCTGATTACAATTGTTGTACCCCCAGCTCTCCCGGCGACGCTTACGATTGGAACCAATTTTGCACTTTCGCGACTGAAGAAGCAGAACATATTTTGTATCAGCCCACAGAAGTGAGTAACTGCTCCTTAACAATGTTTTTATCGTCACTGACACATAGGATCAGAGTCAACGTGGGAGGAAAGCTGGACATTGTATGTTTTGACAAAACCGGAACTCTCACAGAGGACGGGCTGGACGTGCTTGGAGTGCGTATAGTAACCCGTGGTCAAAGGTGTGTTTGTCTGGAAATAATATCCCAGGTTGTTATTGACTATGAACTCGCAGGTTTTCGGAGTTGCTCTCTGACACATCTGACGGGTTCCTTCTCCCATCCTCAAGCGCAAACTCCGCATATGATGTTGAAAAGCAACGGAAGATTGTGTACGCCATGGCTACATGTCACTCTCTTAGAGTAGTAGACGATGAGCTGTTGGGAGATCCTCTCGATGTGAAGATGTTTCAATTTACCAATTGGGTATTTGAGGAGGGTGGTCACCATGTTTCCGACCAGTCAAACCCCAAATTCGACAACCTAGCGCCGTCAGTGGCAAAACCGCCTCAAGCCCAGGCCGGTGACCAACAGGATGTAAATGTGAGTTGATCTTGTTCGAATCACAGGTTCCTTTTTAACAATCTCCAGAGTCCCTTGGAGCTTGGAGTGCTGCGGAGTTTTGAATTTGTTTCTCAACTTCGTCGTGCAAGTGTCGTCGTCCGGAAATATGGTGACAACGGAGCGCATTTCTTTGTCAAAGGTGCTCCAGAGAGCATCAAGGACATATGTACTCCTGGAACACGTGAGTGCTCTTTCCCTCTTTTTGAACCTGCATTGCTGATCCTATTCTGGCAGTCCCTTCGGATTATGAAGAACTCTTGAACTACTACACCCACAAAGGCTATCGTGTTATTGCCTGCGCTACTAAGTACGAAAGAAAGTTGAGCTGGATGAAAGTCCAAAAGATGACACGAACCGAGGCCGAATCTGACCTTGAGTTCCTGGGCTTCATCATATTCGAGAACAAATTGAAACCCAGTACTTCCGGCGTCATTTCGGAGCTGAACGAGGCAGGAATTCGCAATGTCATGTGTACTGGTGACAATATCTTGACTGCTATCAGCGTTGCTCGTGAATGCAACATGCTTGGACGCGATGAACCATGTTTCATTCCACATTTCGTTGAAGGTTAGTCTACCGCATAAGTCGAAGAATGAAGGTTAACAATCAATAGCACCTGGACTTTCATCCAAAACTTCCCTCAAATGGGAATGCGTGGACAATCCCGATCTTCAGTTGAATCCAAGAACACTTCTGGTAAAAGCTCTTTTACCTCAATGTGATTACTAGCAGCTTACAAGATTCCAGCCTATAAATACTGCGGAGATCGACATGTCGATACCAGGAAATACTTTTGTGGAGCGTGAATACACCGTCGCTGTGACCGGTGATGCGTTCCGATGGTTGATTGATTTCGGGAATGAGGATGTACTCAATAAGGTAAGTGCCTCTTGTACCGATCATACCCACCATGCGCCACGTTTTGACCGAATTTGGTCCATATAGGTACTTGTATGCGGGAAGGTGTTTGCCAGAATGTCCCCAGATGAGAAACACGAACTGGTTGAGAAACTTCAGTCTCTCGACTACTGCTGTGGCTTTTGTGGCGACGGTGCCAACGACTGTGGTGCGCTGAAGGCTGCAGATGTTGGAATCTCTTTGTCGGATGCTGAAGCGTCTGTTGCCGCGCCCTTTACTAGTCGCCTCTTCGAAATCTCCTGTGTTCCGACGGTGATTCGGGAGGGACGGGCTGCTTTGGTGACAAGCTTCTCCTGTTTCAAGTTTATGAGTCTTTATTCCGCCATTCAGTTCTCTACAGTCAGCTTCTTATACACCTCGGGATCGAATCTCGGTGATTTCCAGGTGAGTGTGTCACATTACGAAATGATTTGATGGATGGCTAACGGCTTCAAGTTCCTCTTTATTGACCTTGTACTCATCATGCCTATTGCAATCTTCAGTGAGTGGCCCGATACTGCTAACTTTAGTGTGCACATGTAGCTAACGAGCTATCCTAGTGGGTTGGGCTGATCCTGCTCCTACGCTGTCTCGGAAACGGCCAACCGCTGATCTTGTCTCGCGGAAGGTTTTGACACCTTTGCTCGGGCAGATTTTGCTAGCTGTGTTGTCGCAACTTGCGGTCTTCGAGACAGTTCAATTGCAGCCATGGTTAGTTCCCATCCCACCGCAGCTACCAAATTTATTCTAACAAACGATGCAGGTTTTTGCCACCGCAATTGGACTTGGAGAAGAGCAATATTGTCAACTCCGAGAACACAGCACTGTTCTTATTCTCATGTTTCCAGTACATTTTCATTAGTGTTGTGCTCAGCGCAGGCCCGCCATTCCGGAAACCGATGACTATGAATGGTAAGATCGCTTCCCTGCCCTCTTGCTTCAGTAGATACTTATCGCCTTTTTAGCGCCATACTTATGTACGATTGTCGTCAATATCCTGATCTCGGGTTACATGCTCTTCAGACCATCCGACTGGGTGGCAGATGTGATGCAACTGACATTCATGTCTGATGGTTTCCGAGGCTGGCTACTCGCGCTGGCAATTGGAATCTTCGGTCTGTCCTGGGTATCGGAAAAGAACGTATTCCCGCGGTTGGCACAGATGCTTGGACATGCCCGTGCCCGCTTGCAGCCCAACTACCGCAAGAAACGCCGGATGTACAAAGTGTTGTTGGAGGAATTGCGTTTGTGATTACGCCCTGAAAGCACTTCCATGTATGCTTTACTTTACCAGCTACACATAGAGCTGTAGACTGTCATAGTGTTGCAATCATATTTGCAACACTATGACCCAATGTTCCATCTAGGAGGCTCTGCCTCGACCGTTCAGGTCCCATGTTTACAATCTCAATAAATTGAAAAAGAAAGGGTATGATACAATTCGGCAGGTAAAATGGCTGTCTTGGACTTGGCCCTGGTGGCTTTTAAGATGCACTCGGCAACATCCGGGCCCCTCGTTCTCCCTCTTCACTTCAAGTACAAAGTGCCTAATACGCAATGCGACCCAGCCATCACTATGGCTCTGAGCAGCAGAGCGGCCGCGCAGGAAAAATGAAATTGACGGTTATAGTCCGATCAGTGGTCCCAAGGGTGCTTCCAGCCCAACAGAGCGGCACCATCCTTCTTGGCCCGGTACATAAGCTATCGACAAGAGTCAAGTCAGTGCTGGATCTCTCAACGGATCAAAAGAAGAGATCCTTACGAAGAACCACATGCTAGCGCCCAATGCAGTGGCAGTGAAGCGGTAGAGCGGTCGGACCGGGTGGATGTGGATAGGGTGGGAAGATTTGCCCGCCATGGCTGTAGAGGTTGGGATGCAGTTAGCTTCGAATAGGTTGCATCAGCAGGGAAAGGAGTGAGTAACACATACTGTATGCTGAAAATGACTGTAGTTACTTCACAGAACGCCAATCTCGAATCGGAACTGAAGACGGAGGGTTCTTGCGGTTCGGCGGAGACGAGGTCGGAGACGGCACGTGACCTGTGACGGCACTCGAATTCCACCGCAGAGAGCGCCGCATTGTTTGATTGTTCGGCACAATCAGCAGAACACTCATTTGATCGAGTATCAGAGCGTTGCCTAACTCCTATCTCGTGTGTGTATTGATTGGGCTGGTTCCTATATAGGCTTATATTGCGCCTGGTCAGTCGCCGAACTCGATACCTAACGCGCGACCTTGAACGATGCGATATCGTCACATATACTTTGTATTCCAATGATATGGACTCGGATCTTACTACTTTCACGCGCCCAGCTCTTTCCAAGAACAGAGCTAATTTATCTTAACACTTTTCTCCACTGTCCCCGAAAAAAAGGCTCGAACCAACGTATACCAAACGCTCCGACGAGAATCACTCGACCATTCCGACATTTTTCCCTCATCGGCGCCGTTGATCAACTCTCATCCACAGCGAGGACGATCTTCTACCTCGCCAGCGCGAGCGGCATACTCCTGGCCAACGTGAGCGGTCACCGTGAGAGCTAGCACAAACAGCGCGCCAGCATGGATGTCATATCTCTGGAAAAGAATAGAGATGGACAGCCTAGGTTCCCCGGCTGTTCAAACATCCGTGACTATGAATTTGTCGATAAGCTTGGAGAAGGAACATTCGGGTCCGTTGGCACGGCTATCGTTGAAAGAAACCTACTGACTGATGGTTAGTGAGGTCTACAAAGCAAGGTCTAAGAAAGATACCAAAATTGTGGCCCTGAAAAAGATCTTGATGCATCATGAGAAAGAAGGCGTAAGTCCGCTGGTTCTGTTTGTTTGTTGCAGGCTGACTCGACCCTAGTTCCCCATTACCGCCATTCGGGAGATCAAACTCATGAAGGCCCTTTCACATCCAAATATCCTACAACTCAAGGAGATGGCAATCGAGCGAGGCAAAGGTTAGCTCGACCTCCTTTGCTTCCCATTGAAGTACTAACACCGAGATAAGGCGAAGGACGGAAAAAGCCGAGCATGTACATGGTCTTTCCATACATGGAACATGACCTGTCAGGACTCCTAGAAAATCCGGCCGTTCAATTCAGTGAGCCACAGATTAAATGTTACCTCATGCAGCTCCTTGAAGGGCTTAAGTTTATGCATGCAGTACGAGTACCCTGATATGCCAATCCCTATAATATTTGTCTGACAACTCCGCAGAACCGCATCCTACATCGTGATATGAAAGGTGAGGGTTTGGTCTTGATTTGTCTTGGAATCTGAGCTGACGCCACTCAATAGCGGCGAACCTACTAATCAGCAATGGAGGAATCCTTCAAATCGCTGATTTCGGTCTTGCTCGGCCTTACGATGATGCTCCTCCACAACCAGGACAAGGAGGAGGGGAATCTCACAGAGAATACACTGCACTTGTTGTCACAAGATGGTACCGCCCTCCAGAGTTGTTGCTTCAGTTACGAAAATACACTACGGCCATTGACCTGTGGGGAGTTGGGTAAGTTTTCCATTGGTGTCGAAAATCATTGATTCTCTTCTAATGTCTTCCAGTTGTGTGTTTGGAGAGATGTTCAAGGGGAAGCCTATCCTCACCGGAAACAGCGATCTCAACCAAGCAGAACTAATCTTCAATCTTGTGGGCACCCCAACTGAGCAGAATATGCCTGGGTGGAGCGAGCTCCCGGGCTGCGAAGGTGTGAAAAACTTCGGAGTCAAGCGCGGGAATCTCGCACAAATCTTCAAAGAGTATGCTGTTCCCCCATTAAGAAGACCTCAACCCCCTGCTAACAACGCAATAGTCTTAACCCCGTGGCTGTTTCCCTACTAAGCGAGTTTCTCCGACTCGACTGGAGAAAGCGCATCAACGCCATAGATGCATTGAAACACCCATACTTCACTACTCCCCCACTCCCAGCACAACCCGGCGACATTCCCAAGTTCGCCGATTCCCACGAATTCGATCGGAAGAAGTTCCGCAGTCAGCGGCCACCTGTGGCCCCGATCCCTCCAGTTGCTTCCGACACCCAAAGCAATCCTGGTCGGCAAAGCTCTAGTTCTCGCGGATCGGACTCCCGGCACGGCCGCATCCCCAGCGTCGCCCGTGGAGGCAGACCAAATTTACCACCATCCCATGGACACCATGGACACCACAACAATCCCCAACGTCGCGCTCCTTTCCCGCCTACACAACGAGATACCGGACTACCTCCACGTCCTCCCGCGCCTAACAACCCGCCATGGGATGGAGCGCAGTCCAACAGACCTGACGGAAGAGACGATCGCCGAAATCAGTTTGGCCAAGGCCGCCCAGCGGGCAGATCAGCCGGAAACCTGGACTCGTATGTTCCGAACTACAGCGGCAATGACCGCAGCAACGACCGCAGTGATCGTCCACGCGACTCTGATTCGAATCCGGATTGGCGCGGAACGGGGACAAATCGTCGTGACTACCGCCGAGAACCTCCACGGAGAAGAAGCCGCAGTCCCGGGTTCAGAGACGGCAGTCGAGGCTAAGGCTGAGATATCTAGTAAAAATCTTAATGCATTCAACCTAGCCAGTCAATTATTGTGTATGACCAATGGAAATGAAAAATAAAAATGTCAAGATTGATGTCATAGCTTTTCTCTAGTAAATGGAGCATGTGATATTCACAGAATGTACGCCCAAACGGCTTTTTGCGTCAGTCGTATCCAACTCGGTATCTTCGTGAGTTGGCAATTGCAATCTTATAATCCCCCGGGACCTCGTTGAGACTGTCCCATTGCAATTGAGATCGAGTCCTATGTAGGATTCATCTGTCTTAAGTTGATTAAAGCATTATAGCCTGGAGGCTAGCTTGTTGTTTTGAGTTGTTTAGTACAGGATGCGGGTCATGATGCGAGCTAGAGTATTGTTAGGTCAATGTATATGCAAAGGAGAGGGAGAAGTGATCTTACAAGGAAGGTTCTCGAGTCTCGTATACAAATCCTTGATGGTTTCGGTGTCGACGTTGCTGATATCGGCCATCAGGTAAGCAACCTAGACAACCTTGGTTAGTTTCTGGTGTCTTCTTTCTTTTTGCGTAAAAACCACGGAGAAACCTACATCGCCTCTGCTATCGGTCATCTGCTTGTCGACGTTGTGGTCACCAATAACCTCGTTGACTGTGCATTATTAGTACAGATATCGCCTTCTTCAGAGGGGCTATACTTTACCTTTTCTCAACACTCCGGGAATGTTCTTGTGAATGTAGATAACCTAGGTAGAAATCAGTATCGATGCCAAGTCGTATGATTGTACAACGTAAGAGCTTACACGAGCGTGGTTGGGCTCATCCATGGTCAAAGAACGCAGGACAACCTCAGGTAGGTTGACAGCACCAAGGGTGGAACCCTCGTTGGCATATCGGACCAAAGCCTGGGCAACCTCAACACCAATGGCCTTCTGAGCCTCATCAGTGCTTCCTCCAATGTGGGGGGTCAGGATGAGGTTCTTGAGCGAGCGCAGGTCGGCACCCCAAGTGTTCAAGTCATTGTTGAAGTAGTCACCGTTTCCGGCGGGCTCGTTGGGGTACACATCCAGAGCAGCACCAGCAACCTTACCGCTGCGCATAGCGTCGATGAGTGCAGGGATATCCACAACGGTTCCTCGGCTAGCGTTGATCAGGTAGCTTCCCTTCTTCATCTGTTCAAACTGCTTTTGTCCAATCATTCCCTTGGTCTCGGGAATCTCGGGCACATGGCAGGTAATGTAATCGGCGGTGTTCAGAAGCTCATCCAAAGTCTTCACCTGGCGAGCAGTACCAAGTGACATGATATTGAGCACATCGAAGTAGATAACTGACATGCCCATGGCCTCGGCCAATACCGACAGCTGAGCACCAATGTGGCCGTATCCAATGATACCTGAAAGGTCAGCATAAGATACTAGAACCGAGAGAACCGATACGATATCACCTACCAAGTGTCTTTCCTCGGATCTCCCAGCATCCGTTGCTCACTTTGTTCCAAGTTCCATTGTGCATCTCACTGGAGCGGTCGCCCAATTGGCGGGCAAGCATAATAATCTCACCAATGACCAACTCGGCGACACTGCGGGAGTTGCTGAAGGGGGAGTTGAAGACCGCAATACCGTGATCAGCGGCATATTGCAGGTCAACCTGGTTGGTACCGATACAGAAGCAACCAATGACGATGAGGTTCTTGGCCTCCTTCAAGACGCGTGCGGTGAGCTTTGTCTTCGAGCGAATACCGATGACGTGTACATCCCTGCGATGTGATCCATGAGCTTCGTGAGTCATTTGGGAGGTAGTGAGGTTAGGACCCACCGGATCTTCTCAATGAGCTGATCTTCTGAGAGGGAAGACTTCAGGAATTCCACCTGGTAACCTTGTTGGGAGAGGATGTCACGGCCGGTCTGGTTCACATTTTCCAAAAGGAGGACCTTGATGTCCTCAGTGGCGAATGGCTTCAGGTGCTTAGCATTGAGCACTGGAACTGTACGAGCCGCCGCGGAGGTGTGGCTGGAGAGGGAATTGAAAGAGGCATTGGGGGAGGTAGCGAGGATGGAGGCTTCGTCCTGACGAGGACGGATATCTCTTGCGGTTGCCATGATGATTGTAGAGAGGATTGGAAGGAGAAGATTGTTCAAGGAGGATGTGAATCAGATGCAGGTGGTCCACATGGATGACTCTTAATGGAAATTAAGTAAGCCCCCGGTCTCCGGAATCGGACTCGCAAGTTGGGGTTGCTCTGTTTCAAGAGTCCCTTCACCATTCGCAATGATTGCAATTCCAATTGTGTAATTATGTCTCATTTAGTCTCATTATATGGTCCTATCTCTAGATTGGGATATACTCCATGTTTTTAGGACTACGGACAACACAGTGAATGTGCTAAATCCCCAATGGAGGGGCATCGCGGGGCCAAAAAAAAAAAAAAGAAAAAGAAAAAAGAAAAAAAAAAAATCCAAAAGCAGCATTCTGACCAATCACGTCATATGCAGATCACATGTTTATCGCAGCTTATCTGCTTTAGGCAATATCAGTTGCTTTGTGAATTGCTACTTTAATGCTGTCTACACAATATGCAGATCGAGATAGTGATACATGTACCGAATCAATGTAATTTGTATCTCAAGCTATATTGGATATCTCCTTAGACCTTAAGTCCCTCCATCTTCTTGGCGGCATCATCGGTGCCCTTGTTAGCCTTGCCCTTGGCCTTGGTGGATGTGCTATCCTTGGGAAGCTCCTTGGTGTAAGGCAGGAACTCAGGGTTGCCGGGGATGTACTTGCGCAGAACCTCTGGAACCTCGATACCCTAATTAATGGTCAGTCACTGTCCAGAGAAAAGCTTTCAATGAGGGTCACACTTACATCTTCCTTCTGGTAGTTCTCCAGAATACAGCAGAGGGTACGCTCAGTTGCACAGAGGGTGGAGTTCAGCGCGTGGACATAGGTCTTCTTGATATCGGTGGCCTTCTTCACGCCGTAACGGATCTCCAAGGCACGGGATTGGTAGTCAGTGCAGTTGGAGCAAGAGACGAGCTCCTTGTACTCCTGCTGGAAGGGGAACCAGGCCTCGAGATCGTACTTCTTGGAAGCTGCGTTGTTCAAGGCGCCGGAGACAATGGCGACAATGTTGTAGGGGAGTTTTAGGGACTGGTAGAATTCTTCCGATGTGCTGATCATGTCCTCAAACGCTTGCCATGAGTCCTCTGGCTTGGTGAGAACGAACTGCTCGATCTACATGGGGTTAGAACAGATAATCAGAGGCGCTTTGAACTGTAGCTAACCTTTTCGAACTGGTGAACACGGAAAATACCCCAGGCATCCTTTCCGTGAGATCCAGCCTCCTTGCGGTAACATGTGCTGTAACCGGCATACCTATCATGATGATTAGCAAAGCGGGGTCACACTAGACGAGGGAAAAAAATGTCTTACTTGATGGGAAGATCCTTGTCCTGGAGCCACTCGCTGTCGTGCAGGGCGGACAGAGGCTGTTCGGAGGTAGCAATAAGGTACTTATCGGTTGACTTGTCCTCGCTCTCGGTAACCTTATACAACTCCTCGTCGAATTGCTCCAATTGAGCGGTCTTCGCCATGAGATCCTTGAGCATGAATTGAGGGGGTTGGTTAGGTGTGTAGCCCTTGTTGAACAGGAACTCCAGACCATAGTTGATCAGAGCCAGGTTGAGGAAGAGACCGTAACCAGTCAAGCAGTATCCACGGTGGCCAACAACCTTGACACCACGCTCTGGGTCGTATCCATCGAGACGAGTCAACACCTCGTGGTGGGAAAGGCAGTGAGGCTTCTGCATCTCAGCGTTCTCGGGGGTCCAGGTCTTGATGAGCTGGTTGTCTGCCTATTGCCAGAAATGCACTTGTTAACCTCACAGCGCATTCAATCACCAGACGAGTAAGAATATCCCTACCTCATCATTGCTCACGGGCACTGATTCGTGAACGTAGTTTCCAATTGTGCGAATCTTGCGATCGCGCTGAAGTTCCTTGTCGATAGCGGCTTCCTCCAGCTCCTTCTTCTTTTTCTCCAAGTCGGCTTTTTGTGCGAGCAACTCGGTTGCGTCTTCCTTGTTCTGCGGTCGAGTAAGCATTTTCTCATTCCCTAAACCGGCCGAGAAATGCCTACTCTCTTCTTCATTCCAATTGCCTTCTGGACTCCATTGATCTGAGTGTTCATTTGCGAGACATCATATCGGGCTATAGCAGTTAGTAAGAGTTCGCCGGCTTTGAAACCAGAAAAAACATACCGCGGCGTGCCTCCTCATAGAGCGCAATCACTTCATCAACAGCCTCCTCCGGAGCAAAGCGCTTCTGCTGGCTTTCCTTGATCTTTTTGATATCACCGCCGCGCTCGGCGACAAAGTCAGCAATGTCCAGCATATTGACGATTGGAGTTCAAAGGTTCCAGGAAATCCAAGTGGTAGAGGGGTGACTCAATTTGTGGAGGGGTAAAAACGAGGAAAATCAAAGTGCGTGGAGACACGCATTAGGCCGGCGGAGGGGCGCCTTACTTAATCGATGTAGCGCGCCCGGGGTCCGCTTAAGCCTCGAGGAGCCTTTACTTCCAAATCGGCTAGTTATAGCCACGCATGCTATAGATCAATGCAAGTTGATACTCCGTAATCCCAAAAGAAACCCCGTTTAAATTGCGATTCATTACTCTATGCATGGTACCGATCCATGTTCCCTGATTCGACCCTAAAACTCATTATTCATGCAAAAACCCCAATGTTCCACCGGAAAAAAGAAGGAAAAAAACAGAGACGAAAGAGAGCCAAAAAGACCAGGGCCTCGAGACGAAGCCATCAAATCGGTGTAATCAGATTGTCAATGATGGCCTTGGGATTCCTAGATCAGATGAACAAGTCAGCAAACAAGGCCTGGAAGATACCCATGGCTCTGGATTTTGGGTGGACATCAAAAGAGCAATGCGGATAGTGTTATCAACTCTGTCTAACGATGTGTTTCTTTTTGCAGAGATCCAGAGACCCAGAGAGATCCACTGATGGCTTCGCTTACCATCCCCGGGCGTAAAACACACGCATCCCCGTACATATCACATCAAAGTGCACTTGTTGTTCCCAGTTGGTTGTGAGGGATTCTGAGACTTCTCAACCTCTCCTATCATGAGATCAAATGCTTTCGAGACATTGAAATCAAGGAACGCGCTAGCTTCTGTGAAAGCACAGCCAAGCTCCTCCGCCAATTGCCGACCATCTTCGAGGGTGACTTGGCGGTGATCCGGCTTGAGATCACTCTTGTTTCCTACAATAACAAGGGGTACATCGTCCGCTCCCTAGAAGATAGAGTAAGTGTTGGTTCTTGGACTACAGCAATAGGAAATGGGCGGACTGACGAGATGGTTCAGAATCTTATCGCGAATCACCCGCACCATTTCAAATGACTGGCGCGATGTGACTGAGTAGACAATGATATATCCATGGATACCAATGAAATGCTTAGAGTTCAAGATACTGTATTCGTCCTGGATCATGGTCTTAGTAACCGAACGGCATCTTGTAAGGAATTACTTACCTGTCCCGCAGTGTCGACGATCTCAGTGGCATAGTCTTGGCCATTGTGCTTGATAATCCGGCTGAATGTGTTCTCAATTGTAGGGTAATAGCTTTCCACAAAGTGGTGCTCGACAAAGCGGACCGTGAGAGATGATTTGCCTATGAGAAAAGAATATCAGCTCTTGACAATTATAACAACTTGAATGGTGAGCGGGGGACTCGTACCCACGGAACGACTGCCAACAATTGCGATCTTGCGCTGTTTAGGTGCGGCAGGCATCTTGCGCGTGGAGTGTAGTAAGACTCAGGTTAACCACCAATATGAATGAGAGATAGTGAGGTTACAGTCAGGTGGGCGGATTAGATTGATGAAAATGATCAAGAGGATATTCAGAGACTAAAAATGGCACCTGTCCAGAAATGAGGTCGTCGGGGGGTGGCGAATCCCCCTCGAAGCATGCGGAGCTCCAACTCCTTGCGACCTGCAAACAGTGCAAACGGCCGTTTCTCCAAATCCCGACTGCAACTACAACTCCACGATGCAAGGACAGGATTGGGCCGTAGGTACATGCACGTTCGATCATCAATTTAGTTGCATATCTCAATAGATACGTTGTTCACTTAATCACATTCACTTAGCACCGGTTTAATCTGAGGTCATTATTTCATTTCGAATATCCTAATCGGTGGGAACATCTGGACATTAATGGAGAATATCCTGGCGTAAAGCGTCCAATTACAAGTGATAAAGAAAAGGGGGTATCAAAAGCTTCCAGCAAACCCAGAATGCCCGTGCCACGGGTTCAATGAAAAGCCTGTGGGAAAAACCAAGCGTGCACTCATGCGCAGTCGAACGATACCTGTGTGGCATGCGATACCAAATCATTGCTCTGCCAATTGAATCCGAGTAATCAGTTCCTGTAATCTGGATAAAAATCCACTAGCGGGTTTTCCTTGGGGAGAAACAGGCGAGATCTCTTGTTCGATTTTTTGGTGGTATTGCAAGAACTCAGCAACGGTAGATATCACCACCGCCAATCCTTTTGGGGCGAGTGAGTTCTTGATTCTTGATCGAGTCTCGATATCCAAACTGAGGGTTAGTAAGAGCACGGCTAAATACCCCACAGCCACATTGTGGTGTACTTCTAAAACCGAATGGGCCTAAATGGATATGATTAGTCCAATCCGTCAACAAAAAGCGAACCCGGAAGAATGACCGGAGCCCTTACCGTGGAGATCGAATCGACATGAGTCGTAAACAAATGCAAGAGCCGGCCAAGCAAAGGCTTTGTAGCACCGGCAGAATGAAGAAACATCGACCTTGAGATTTCACTTTGCTCAGTCAAATTGATAAGAGCACCGAGTGCCAATATCACGTTGTTCAGAGAATTATTCTCTTTTCCAAGCGCATCTTCCGTCAAGTCACCAAAGTTTGTAGAGATAATGTGAACAAGTCCCCCAACCATCTCCGGGCTTGCAAATTTATCACATAGAGATGGGTTGCTGTTAGTGATGTTCAAGATAAGTCGAATGTAGAGGGGTTGTATCTGGCTGGCTGTGTCCGACTCCAAATGAAGTAGGCTATGGGGCTCGGATAGCGAGTCCAGAATATCCCGGCTCTCATCTGTGAGCGCTTCGGATGATGCAGTGGAAGCTTCCAGAACTGAGAACCCCATGGAGAGGATTTGGGAGCCCTCAGGGTCAATTTTCCCGAGTGAAACGCAACGTCGGCTTTCGGATACAAGTGTTTGAACCAGCGGCCTCAGAACGGACGTGGAGATGCCGGTGGTTTCCCCTTTATTTGCATTGTAGACATTGTCGATTTCAAGCAATATAACACCAGGACGCGTGGGGTAAACTTCGACAAAGTAATATCCGGAAAGAGCATATCAAAGATCTGGGGGATAAGATTCTGAAGTGAATTTTGCAAAGGCCTGGCAAGGCCGCTGGTCTTAGCTTTTGCGACAACTGAAATGTCGTCTTGCACGCCCAACAAGATAGATGAAGCATCCAGGAGCTTGGGCCACGCGGAAGTTGCAAGAACATAAGACATATGTCCGTCTGATGACCCAAGAGCATAGGCACAAAGGGAGAGAACCATAGGAACCAGCTGAAGATCCATGGACAGACAATCCACAAGCCTTTTGTCAAAATTGCATTCGGCAAATCGCCGTTTGAGGCCAGGATCCAGAAGTTTGCCACAGAGCTGGAGGAAAGCATTACATCGACCCGTTAGCGAATTTTGCGCATCTTCGATATCCTCAAAGATAGATTCAACAGCGCCTCGATAACGAGCGTTTCCCCCAGCTTGTCTCAATTCATGAATACTTCTGACAGACCCGTCCTCATTGATATCCTCATTTGGCACGATTAAACGGGCACTGGAAGAAGACTCGTAATTCAGCTGACGCTGGACTGATTGAGACCGATGCTTTGGGCCCGATGCAATGCTGTCTGTTGAAAGGTCTTCTGATATCATATCATCAAGGAAAGAACGCTGGCGTGCATAGGTGACCCGGGAACCTTGTAAGTTCGGTGGAACCGAGGTCGGAGAGCCTTGAGGGTGGCTTTCGACATGACACTCATTCACGGTCGTGTCTGGCGAAGCTCGGTCGGGCGGGATTGGATCCGGCGAGGGCTGGCTACTGGTGGGACTCTCTAGTGATGCTTCAACTGGGAGTTCGGTAATTCCAAGGGAGTCTATGAGTCTTCTTCGGCCAGGGGTAATGTTCGCTTTCGGGATATAGGTCTGGTAACCTTCTGGCGAGGCTTTGCGCGTGAACTCGGCGCGCCCAAAGCTCTCATCGGATGTAACTGTTGTCTCGCGCTCGAGAGTAGATTTCTTGTTCTGGCTTCTCCCAGACCTATCAGCCCTAGGATACGATGTTGATCTCACCAAGCTTGTCTTCTGGTCGGCTTCTCGCTTTTTAATTAATGGCATCGGGAAATCTGGAACCCTGTTCACTATTTGTGGTGACAAGTTACCACCTCCATTTTCGACTCCGCGGGGCTTCCTTGATCGCCTATTCGCCAGGACGGTCTTGTTTTCATCGGGGCTATATCGCCTTCGTTTTCTCTGGATCATAGACGCTTGTTCGTCATCTGAGGAGGGAATGTCATACACATCGGGTTCTGCAGTAGATTGCGGTGGCGCAAACCCCGAGGATGTGGTCACTTCTACCGATACAGACTGTTGTTTGTCTGCACTTTTGTCGCGCTGTAACTTGGCGTGAAATGGTCGCGATAGACGCGACGAGCTTGGTAAAGTCACTTCTTTAGAGGCTCCTTTGATGACAGATGGGCGTGCAGGCTTCTCGCCATTGGAACGCGGCTGATTTCTGGTAGAGCCATAAGTTACGGGTCGGCGATTCCGAGGGTGTGAGTTATCCATTTTCGGTTTCACGGGGAAATAATCAAATGGGCACGCGTTATTTGATGGGGTCGATCGATAATTAGGCCTTCACAAAGAGAAAGAGATCTTCCAGGTAAGAATTGGATTAGAGAACTGAGTAAAGTGTTGTTCCTCGCGATGAAGCCATGTCCTTGCGATATTCAATGGAGCTCCAGCTCAAAGGGTCATGTGGCGCAGTCATGAAAGGAGAGCCCCTAGCTGACAATGCTTAAGGTAAGGCCTCCGAAGAAAAGCGCAATGGCAATGGAATATCTGGCGACAAGTCCCGAGGTCTGATTGGGGAGATGATGCAAGTGATAAGAGGCGGAGGAGTTAGACGGGGCAGAATCACCCACTGCGGTATAGCTTCGAGATACAGAAAAAGATAAGAAAAAAATCCGACATACTTCCCCGCTCTTGGCTTTTTACATTTCGTCTCACTGTCCCTCACTGTCCCTCACTTCCCCTCTTTGGACTTCTCTTAAAAGGTACTTGACTCTAAGGGACTTTCCCGGTTCTTCATACTTTCTTCCTATACCTCGAAATATTTTTCCTAACTTTTTTTGCCCCTCAGATCAATTTCCTACCGCCCACACAATTTTGGACATAGCAAACCATGGCTAGCAAGCAAGAGACAGGTGACTCTCCCGCGAAGGGAGTTGGTCCTTTGTACCGTCCCGATGGCGAGAAGCCTACTGCGACTGTCTCAAAGGACGTCTCCTATGAGAATGTCCATGTGCTGCCTCAAACACCGCAGTTGATTGCTCTCTTGACGTGAGGACCCGAACTTTACATATTAGGTCACTCTGGACTCACATGTCGTACCACAAACAGGATGATCCGTGACCACCGCACTAGCCGTGCCGATTTCATCTTCTATTCTAACCGCATCATCCGCTTGCTGGTCGAGGAAGGCTTGAACCACCTGCCCGTTGTTGAGCAGTCCATCACCACTCCCGTTGGACGGTCCTACCTTGGTGTCAAGTTCGAAGGAAAGATCTGTGGTGTGTCTATCATGCGTGCTGGTGAGGCTATGGAGCAGGGTCTGCGTGATTGCTGCCGCTCCGTTCGAATTGGAAAAATTCTCATTCAGCGCGACGAGGAGACTTGCATGCCCAAGCTCTTTTACGATAAGCTGCCCACCGACATTGCTGAGCGCTGGGTTCTTCTCCTTGACCCCATGTTTGCCACTGGTGAGTTGAGCGTTTTCCACAATAGTCCGGCCTTTCCAGCTAACGTTACCTAGGCGGCTCTGCCACTCTGGCTGTCGAGACTCTGATGGAGCGAGGTGTTCCCGAGCACCGCATTCTCTTCCTCAACCTTATTGCCAGCCCATCTGGTGTTGCTGAGTTTGCCGAGAGGTTCCCCAAGCTCCGTGTTGTGACCTCTTTCATCGACCAGGGACTGGATGAGAAGAAGTAAGAGCATCGCCCCCAGTAGAGGATGTGGACATAGCACTAACTGATTGATAGGTATATTATCCCCGGTCTGGGTGATTTCGGTGACCGATACTACACTATGTAAAGACGCTATTATTTACGTCAAAAAAAAAAGGGTTCATCAGTGATTGAAAGATATTTTGGAATTGCTGATCAATTCAGTGTCTCATCATCCATTGCTCAGTTCCTTTCATGTGCCACGAAGCACATCCACCTCGCCATACAAGCTTCCTGTTGGAATTTAACTTGTCTTGATGGCATATAGTGGTGGGGATCTAGATGATTGAGATACTTCTTGGTTGATTGGATAGATGATAAAGCATATGCAACAAGCATATGCTAGAAGTATATCAAATACCATGTACATACAAGAAGCTCCCAATTCGATTATTGTTGATATCTGCCTTAATGCGCCGTTCGCCGTTATCACATGATCAGTAGTCATCATCAAAGATATCCCCATGGCCAATATCATCTGAAATATCTTGCTTGTTGGTCCCTCGGTGGCCTGATTGGCTAAGACTCGGCGGGTCGTATTGGTTGGCGGTGTCCTTCGCAACCGTATCACATGCATCTACCCAATCCGAATACACGTCCACGGGGGCAGAAAGGTCTTTCAAAGCGTTGTCAGTGAAGGGTCGATGCCTCAAGGTGAAAAGGCGCTCACAATTGATGCCAGTTTGGAACTTTTGGCCACAAACTTTGCAAGATAGATCTCCCAGGCCAAGCTTCTTGTCTAACTTAACGATCACAGAGTTCTCATGGTTGCAAAAGAGGCAGGAAAACGAAGTGGGAAGAGGCTCTCTCTATTTCGCATAGTCAGCGCTAAGCACCACCTATCAGGAAATTGTAACTCGTTTACCTTCTTGGGCCCTTGGGGTTTCGAGCTCGACTTCTTGCGCTTGCCCTGTAGAAATCAACATCAGTATATGGTCGGAACGGTCGGTAAGGGGAAGTAAATTCGCACCATGCTGTGTGTGGTACCTGCGACACAGGATTTGGGTGGTCAAGAGGGATGACTGTGAAGGGGAAGCTGTGGAGAGGGTTGACTCGTGCGGAGAGAGCAAGCCGTAGGCAGGTGGGCATGCCAAGGCGAACTGCCTAAATGGGAATCGGAAGAATGAGCCCCCAGTGTCCGTTCTATGAGGTCAGTTGGTGGCAATTTCATTGCGATCTACAACGAAGAGCGCCAATTGATTCGAAATAATTCCTACATGTGGATATTAAGGTGTCTTTGGCGGTTTGAATTTGACTAGCACAGTATTGATTTTGGTCGAGATTGACATCTATAGATGGTACGGAGTACATAGCCAGGTATACTAAGAACATTGACAGGGTAGAGGGTGTTACCGCCAATATAGCATAGGCCTTATTGCAATGTACAGGCAATGGAATTCCAGACACTCGGTACCAGGTACCTACCTATATCCATGGACAGGTACTGACATATTTGATACGTAAAATATCTTATAGTACAAGATACATGCCCTGAACTGCCAGATGCAGTCCACAGGTGGATGTACAATGATGACATAAGAAATGGAAAGTGGACCCGACATTTTTTAATGTTCGATCACATGACCTCAAATGATGACCTAATCAGCTAGGGCCCGCGCTCGCTTAGCCGAGTTTTCTGTGGGTTTTCAACCCTCCCCGTCGAGCGTCGAAACCCTCTGAGCGCGCGGTGCGATACCTTTGTCTGTCCTCCAACAACACACAGATACAACTCGCAATCATGGCTGTTGGAAAGTAAGCGCCCTCTTCCTTCTCCTATCGTTGTCTTCGATTTATCGACTTGCGCATCAACCGAATTCACGAACGCACCGCTAATCCTCGTCGTTCAGGAACAAGCGCCTTTCAAAGGGTAAGAAGGGTATCAAGAAGCGCACCGTCGACCCCTTCACTCGCAAGGACGAGTACTCTGTGAAGGTATGTTGTATTCCCTCTCGCTTTCCTGATGCAATGCTAATCGTCTCGACAGGCTCCTTCCACCTTCCAGATCCGCGAGTATGCATCCGAACGAACTTGAACGCAAAATGGAATTGGGTTGGCTAACGGAATTCTCAGTGTCGGTAAGACTCTGGTCAACCGCACCAGCGGTCTGAAGAACGCCAACGACTCCCTCAAGGGCCGTATCTTCGAGGTCTCCCTCGCCGACCTCCAGAACGATGAGGACCACTCCTTCCGCAAGGTCAAGCTCCGCGTCGACGAGATCCAGGGCAAGAACTGCCTGACCAACTTCCACGGCTTGGACTTCACCACCGACAAGCTCCGTTCCCTTGTCCGCAAGTGGCAGTCCCTGATCGAGGCCAACATCACCGTGAAGACCACTGACGACTACCTCCTCCGCCTGTTCGCCATTGCCTTCACCAAGAGACGCCCCAACCAGATCAAGAAGACCACCTACGCCCGCTCGTCTCAGATTCGCGCCATTCGCAAGAAGATGACCGAGATCATCCAGCGCGAGGCTGCTACCTGCACCCTCTCTCAGCTCACCCACAAGCTCATCCCCGAGGTTATTGGACGTGAGATCGAGAAGGCCACCCAGGGCATCTACCCCCTGCAGAACGTTCGTTTACCCCCGGGATTTGGAAATCATTGGTTATGCAGGTTGCTAACATGAAATGTCTACAGGTCCACATCCGCAAGGTTAAGCTTCTGAAGTCCCCCAAGTTCGATCTCGGTGCTCTCCTTGCTCTGCACGGCGAGTCCTCCACTGATGACAAGGGCCAGAAGGTTGAGCGGGAGTTCAAGGAGCAGGTCCTCGAGAATGTTTAAAGGTTATGTCAATGAAGTGGTGTCACGTACTGGTCAGCCGGGGCAAATCATTGTCTTCTGGTCATAGGAAAAGAAAAAAGTTCATAACGTGTATGACAGATTTGAACTGGCATCGGACTTTTAGCTACGCGTTGCCAGTCTTAGACATGATCCCAAAAATTCAAGGGTAGTAGTTCATTCATGTTCAAATTTTTCAACTGTCTGCTCTCTACTTCGTATTGTAGTAAGGTAGATGGCAACTGCAACCCTGTTCAGGGGGCGTGGTGCTCTCTACACTCTATCATTTCTGCTTGCCCCATAACTCTAATCGTTTGGTATAGTTCGGTGCATATGTCATAGGATATCCGGTCAATCATTCGTATGATACACTGTATATCCAACTGTGGAGAGCAACGAGTCCAACTCATTTTTGTGCCAATATTCACACCATAGTCAACTTGATCTTGGTCTTTTATACGAAGAATTTGTACTTATATGCCATTGCGTTGCAGCGTGCACATCAAGATAAATGCATAGACACGCTTCGGAGAGCAAGCAGCATTGCCATTTACCATTAGAGGTCGTTTTGACAAGGTCTTAGATCTTGAAGAATGAGTTTAACAAAGTGGATATAATATCGATGGTAGTCATTGGTGGCCTTGAGACGATAATCACATCTAACACCTGGTTTGATAGGACGAATGATCCCCTAGTTTGCTCCGCTCTCCCTGTTTGCAGCCGTGCAATGCCCCGCTAGACTCGAACAATCCTAGCCCTGTGGGAACTATAGTCTTCCTGAGGGTCTTGCCAGATTCGGCATTGTCGGGGATTCTCCTATGGTACTAACAGTTGAAGACAATTTCATTATGTATAGCAGCGATTGGAGTGTTTTTTGTGAGAGAATCGTGCATTTAGAGAACATCACTCAATTCGCTGCATTCTTCTTTTTGATGTTCAGTCCCTCCATCAGCCATGGGTCTGTTAAAAACTCCATGACTGTTGGACGATCCTCTGGGTTCCATTGGAAGGCTCGTCGTAGCCATCGCAAAAATCCCTCGACATCCTCTCCTTGGATATTCGTGGCTAGCTTTTCGAGACTTCGGTCCGGAATAGGGACCATATCTTTCCACCTGCCGGATTCGTCCCAAAATACCCACCCCATGTGTTTCTTCGCGAGGAACTCGGGTGGAGGATGGCCAAGTAAAGCAACTAGTTCTGCAATATGGACTCCGTCATCGAAGATACCGTCTCTGACCTCACCTTTGATGATGGTATGGGGGCATACTATATCCCAGGCCTGTAGGAGAGACCATGAGTCTCGATAGTAACTATTAGGGGGTACTTTGCACTTACAACCATAGCGACACTCCATATGTCCACTGTGCAATCCCAGTCTCCTTTTAAGATGACTTCGGGGGTACGATAGTAGTCAGGCATGATATCTCCTCTCAGTCCGTCGTGATCGAGCCGGGCTTCTCCAAAATCACATAGACGAGGGAGGCCATCCCCTGATGGAAATTGCGAGCTAGTGTAGATCGTTCGGTCTTTGAGAATCTTCCTTCCTACTGGACTGTTAAACTCGTGTTGTTCAAACTCAGATAATGCACGTGGTGACGGTGTGGGCAGGAGGAGGTTTTTCAACTGGATGTCTATTTCACAGTTAGTTTGATCATCGCATTATATCACGAAAGGATTTGGGAAGGCTCTATAATACCTGTATGGATGATACGAGCTACTGAATGGAGAAAATCCAAGACACCAAGCAGTTGGCGGATAGCAGGTTTCATGCCTTCGAGTGTCATTACACGACCAGGAATATGTCGTAGCAGCTCGGTAGTGTTAGTACCAAGAGGTTCGTGGACGAGACAAACGTGGCGGCCATGGGGCCCATTCACAAAGAAATGGCCGAACATTTTGCGAATGAACTTTCTCCCGGGGTGGTCTGTTTCTACAGAGTTGATTCGGTTATAGATGTTCAGCTCATGTTCTCTTGCTTGGCCCAATGTGTATATTTTCAAGACGACATATGAGGAATCACTAGATACCTAGTCCTTAGAATGATGTGAATTGTTTGTTCCGATGTGTCAAATTGGACTCACACCAAGTCACAGGCTAACCAAGCAGTTGAAGTAACACCATAACCTAACTTGGAGAGCGCTTGATAACGATTGTCGAAGATCTCCCCTTGTTGGACTGGATAGTATCTCTCCGGGGAATAGGTTGGTAGGGTTTCTTCCTCGATCTTGGAGGATGGATCAATTAACTCAAACCCAGAAGTTGGAAATACTCGTGGCTTGGAGGTCCATTTTGATGAAAACATGGCTCTTTGGTATGATGCATTTCTGGGCTTGTAGCCATATATGGAAGATCTCGCGAGAATTGAACCCAGGGGCCGGCGCAGGATAGAGGCCCCATGGCTCCAGTAGTTCCACACAACTCTGTCCATGTTCGGTTACAATTCCCTCGTGAGATGATCATTGACATGTCAACACTCTGACACGAGTGAGACAGGTCATTCAGTGACAGGTCCAGGGCCGGCTGGAGCCACGGTTTATTTACATAATCATCTTGGCGACGTCCATGGATGTACTCCGTACCTGGGCAGCCCTGGAGCTGGAGCTTGGGAAATGGTTCATAATCTAGTTGAACTGAGCTAATTAGGCATCTATGGTGCGAATACTGCGTTGTTTACTCTGTATGATGCCTGCAAGAGTGAATCATCATATCTCGACAAGATATATGTTTGTGATGTAGCGCATAGACATATTCTCCCTAGGCCCCGACGACAATCCCCGGCCTCAATGGCTCATGCTGCAGCAAAGACCTGCAGCCAAGAGAGAGATGCATTGTATCTAATGCTCCTAATGCTCCCAATGCCCCCAAGGAAGAAGTTATAATGCATCCAAATAAGGTTGGTGGAGCCCCGATTAGTCGAATCCCCGCACTCTCTCCGGGGTATGAGGTCACGAGTCACAAGAGTCAAACGCCCCTCTCCTTGATGGCATGATTTCCTGTTCTCTTCTCTGCTTTCCATCTCCCTCTGGGCTCTTTCATTTACCACATTATCTAACACACACATTGAGAATAGTAAGGATTCTCCCTTGAGGGACATGCTCTTGGCATTGAACTATATACATCTGTCTCAGCCAGTGACCATCTGACTGACAACCCAATTCACAGTGACTCGCTCTCACAAATTGACCGATCGTGATCATACGGCTGAGGGCCTGACAGGTCCTCGTGAGAATCTCCCACGGTACTTTGGAAAGTCCGGCCCAACTGATGCTGATCCTCGCAAGACAAAGAAGGACGGGGGTGGCAAAGGCAATTGGTAATCATTGCCCCTCTGAATCATCCTGATTCATCGAGCTAATGCTTCCATCATCACAGGGGTCGATCGGGAGAGGAAATGCAAGACACTGAATACTCGTTTGCCAATGCTCGACGTCGATCCAACAGCAGCACCCAGGGTCTAGCTGACTTCAACACCAAGTTCGAGGCCATTGACCCAGAGCCTGTCTTCGAAGAGGAGGATCAGGGAGACTCTGATATGACCGCGAATGGCAGGACGATGAGCAAAGTCGACAGTGTCAGCAGCAACAATGGCAGCGAGGCTGACCACGATAGTGTGAAGTATTAGGCAGTCACTGCCATCGCTGGCACCTCTTGATCCTACCTCCGGATATCAAGCCAGTCGAACAACAAGGTACTTTAGGAGGTCATGAATCGATGACTACGACTACGAGAGCCAATAGCTACTGCATGACAGTATGAGAAAACAAAACAAATCACATCCATAATTTTACCATCTATGACCAAGAACAACGTAGCTTAGCTTAGAGCATTACTAGACATTTAAGCGACATGAACAGTACAAATAAATCTCTTGAGATTTCATACATACACCATAGTATTATGGCTCATCGGCCACTCGGATAAGTGAAGAACAAAATCGAAAACGCCGCCATTTCGACCCCAACCCGCATCAATTGCAAAGAAATTTCAATTGTCGGCTCCAGCAACTTCACCATCAATCATAGGGGTAATCTATTAGGAGGTCGAGGTCTGGACCTCTGCAGTTTCCCGAAGGTTTTGGAACCAGAAATCGAGTTTTCCGACCTCAATGCATTGACGCAACCAATCATTCTCGGTCTGGAGATCGAGAGCCACACGAGATCTTTGCTCTGAGCGGAATCGTGAGACGAGAATATCGGAATCGGAGTCAGCCATCAGAGCCTCCGTAGGAGTGAGTGGAGTGTAGATAGAGTGAGGAGCAGCATTTCGGGATTCTAGAAATCGAATAGTGTTAGATAGATGGCCCAAATAGTAACTTTCGGAATAAACTCACCTTCCAAGCACGCAGTTAGTGACCGGTAGAGTGCAGTATCAGCGATTGTTAAGTCTGTATTGCCGTTGGCTCCTTCGGCAAGCTTCCCCCGAGCTACCCAATCATCCTTGATCATGCAGCGTCGCCAGATCAATCGTTGTAAAGCCATGAGGTAGGATGGGTCTCGTTGGCCATAACGACCATAATGAAGAGCTTGCAAAGCGAGATGGAATTCGCTTCGGATAGGGAGTCCACTCTCTCCATCATCTACAGCTTGATCGGGGCCCATCAAAGTCAGAAGATCAATCAGGCCGTCAGCACCGACGACCTCCCTGTTGATCAAGGTAGAGAGTGCATCGCTAAAGATTTCATGGAGCGATGGCCGATCTTCGACAAGATGACCTCCGTAGTGACTGAGCGCCAGGTCAACCTCGGCCTTTCGGTCAATGGCAGCCTCCAAAACATGCTGAATGTGTCCGTACAAAATGTCTTGGACTCCATCGACTTCAACGTAATCTTCGAGACGTTTCACATCCTCTTGCAAAGTAGCAGTTGCAGCCTGCGAACTCATTCGCTCCTGCGTCGCCAATTTGCCTAGCTTGGCCAGCGAGATCTCTACACGGTGGCTCCACAAGTCCTTTTCACTGCTAATGGCCAAATTCTCCAACGATGCCGCGGCACTTTCATAATCGTTCTCACCAGATACATCATTGATCCAGCTCAGGCGAGAATATGAGGGGTTCCTTCGAAGAAATTTAGTCACAGCAAGTTGATAATCTGGCATCGTGAAAAGCGTTCCAGGGTAACCCATCGCTATTTGCCGGACGAAAAAGGCATCTGCCCATTGATCACCGAATTTGTCGAAATACTTAGCGATCAATTGATCTGCATCAATATCATTTTGACTAGAAGGTTCCGGGAGCCGTTGTTGGCTTGCCTTCTGATCCTGAAGCTCAATGATCAATTCGACTAACGCGCCCATATCTCGGAAGCCTTCTGCCAACTCGATAGCATCAGCAAGATGATCGATACCAGCTAGCTTAAAGAGCTGCCACTTGCGGTCTTCAACATGTGACTGCTCAATCGAGACACTCTCGTCCATTAGTTTCGGATCACCTTGCGCAGAGAGCCATCGAGTGCGTTCACGATGCATTTGACCGATAACGCGAAGATGTCGGTAGCTGTTCTTGGCAACTTGATTCAGAACTGGTGTATCTGGGACATCTGCACTTGACACTGGAGTTATCCATGATCGGCAACTATCCAATTCTAGATCAAGTAAATGCCCTGCTTCAGAGTAACCGACACCTCTCGAAGTCCAGAACTCAGGAAGATCCTCATATCCATCGGAAAGCACTCCATCCTCGAGGAAGTCTTCGTGAAGACCATAAAGTGCAATGTGTTCATCTCGATATCTGAAAGCAGTTTCGGTGACTGCCAGGAAAAGCTCACTAGCCGCCAGTATTTGTTCTGACAATGCGCGCGCAGGGCTGGGAGAGTTGCTCCGACCAAGCTTGATTGCATTCTTGATCCATGGGATGACATGCTCCATGCGGTAGGAGTCTCTTAAAAACCATTGACGCACTGGATCAGTCTCCCCATGTTGCGGGTTAATCGGGGTCTTGAATTTATCGTTCATGGATTTGATGAGATGACCAAGGAAAGACTCTTCATCTCCACTCTTGGTCTTGCAGGACTCTTGAATCTTCCACATGGCTCTTTGGGCTGCGATTTTTTCCGCGGCCCAAAGCAACTCCCACTTTGCCGGTCGGCTTAATGGATTGCCTTTGCGTGACAGCAATGAGGCAAGATCATCCAATGCCTTTGCCCTCAGTCGGAGATTTTGCTCCAGTGAGATAGCAGTGGTGGGAATGAAGCGTGCTTCGGATGTGAGGAGTTCCTTGCAGATTTCCAATGCTGCTTGCTCCATTTCCGATGGAGGGAAATTCAAGTCCCCTTCACTAGATAAGTTCAATGGATTCTTCGCCATAGTGCCGAAGAAGACAGCCTGCTCAAGCTTGTGTTTCGCTGTAACTTGAGGCTCATCAACTTCAGCTTCGGGGCGTGGAAGTACTGTGACACGAATGACACCGAAATTCCGAAGCATAAGCACACACGCTGCGGACGCCGAATCACTCGACTGGTCCTCTGATGTCGTTCCCAATATTTCGTAATCTGTGCCAGATCGAAGGTGGATAGTGTCTTGGAAAGGCATGGGCAACTTATTTGAATCAAGGAGCAGTTGTGAAGATGGAGTTTCTTCAATGTTTGCCAATGACAATATAACAAGAGACTGACCAATAAGGACAAAGGCAGTTTGTTCGGGTTTTGGCACAAATATCTTGGGTTTCGAGTTTTCGAGCATAGGGGCAGGAATATGTTGAACGTCAACGGCATGCGTTGAGATAACACGAGAGTTATTTCCGGACAAGAGAACTTGAACTACGAAAAGCGCTCTGGTTTCGGACCATTGAGGTGACTTGACGACCAAAAACAGTCGCCAGGAACCATCAGAGAGTTGAACAGCGTCGTCGGAAGACTGTAAGGCAGAAAACGCAAAGTCCACAATTTTGAGCTCTGTATCATTCGTAGACTTCGCATGGTGTTCAGGGAGGGCCGCCAAAATTGCGTCCTTGACATCGTATCGCTTTTTGAGGTTGTTCCCGTGGTTCCAATGGGTATCCCATATTTCAACCAGTCCGGTCGAAGTTGCAATGATCACATCTCGCTGGCCTCTTTGGTGAGAACCACCGGCACGAACGGCAGTGACCTCCTTTCTCCAGTAACTGCCTGCGAAAACGTTCTTGATTCCCCCAAAGATACCACCACCAGTTCCTGCATTACTTCTGAGGAAGTTGACGATCACCGAAGGCTTTCCCTGCGGGTCCCTTAGAGTGATGTGTGCTACTCGTCCGGAGGAGAATGTGGCAATGATACCAGAAGGCTCTGCGTTCAATATTTCCGTAGCATACTCACCGGAAAGCATGCCAGGAGTGGTTCCTTGTATACCATTCTGCTTTTGTCGTGATAACCCTAGTGATGCAGCGCTAGACACAGTCTCCCAGTAAACGACCTTTCCTGTAGAAGGAATGATCACTAAGAGGCCCGGGTGACCTCCTGTCGCTGTGGATAATAGAACTCCGAGAGGGACTGCGCCCTTAGGATCTCTGCAAGACTCCGGGATAGATACCGTGAACGTGTCCGATGGGGATGGGGACGAAGCTGGAGCTGAATAGGGCCACACAATGGCGTGTGAACGTGTCAAAGCCAATGCGTAATCATGGCCGGGTCCGAAAAAGCACTTGAGAGGTTCTGCGTTCCGAGTGTTAACAGGCCGCAGAACAAGGCGAGAAGAGTTGTAAGAGTTGAGATACCTGATTGCAAACCTCGAATTTGATCTGGCAAAGCCGGAAGTTGATCGACGGTGTAAAAATCGGTACTTGACTGTCGAACCCAAGAAGTTAGCTGTCATGACTTCGGGGTTCGAAAGAATGCGCAACAATATGAGAGTAACCCACTAGAACAATTGCCCCCTCATTGTTGTTTCCAGGGCCATCGCCTTGCTTCACAGTCCGGAATACAAGTTGCGACTCGTTTTTGATTTGATCCGCAGGGGTGATGTCCACATTTGCGGGAGTGGGTGTTGCTCGTTTTGCGAGCTCACGTCCCAAGTTGGTATCGGAAGGGGATTCATCAGGGCGTCGCAGGACTGAGCGCTGTCTCTTCGCCTTTGGTGGCTTGACAGAGTCATCTGAGCTTGTTCTCTGGCGTCGACGAGTATTGCGGCCACCAGCTTTGGGAACGAACATTTTCAATAAGTACGGTACTTGTAGTTGCGAACACGCGCGAGCGGACGAAAGCTGGTGAAAGGATTGTTGACCCTTGGGGGTCCGATTCACCCTTCCAGCTTGGTGGAAAGTCAGAGAAAAGAGAAGGACAGAGGTAGAGAGAAAAAAAAGCTCCCCCAACAATTTAGCGTTTGAACTGGAGCAGTGATAGCAACGATAGGGTTGGTCAATAACATCGAGGATGTTTGTCCGAAGGCGGTGAGTCGACACCACCTAAAATGAGGTGCCTGCATGTATTTACATTATGTACATACATACTCCGTATACACAGTATGGTTAGTGTAGATGTGTATTTTACAAACATTTGCTACGAAGTTCTAGGCGCATAACTACATACTGGTACTAAATCCATGTAATTGTCTGTATATCCCGAGTGCTCATACAAAGAGGCAGTAGTAACCTTCCAAGGAATGATGCCAATTTAGATGACTATGTACGTATATGTTGATTGGCCTCTAAATTCACAAAGAACTAGTCAGAATTACATGAGCAGTCTAGCTAGGTAGTTTGTAGAAGTAGTTGCAGTCATATATTACGCCTTAGAGAATTAAGTACCTGTAAGTACCTAGGTAGATGTGGAAGTCCCGAGGGATCTTGCCGTAGCCGATGACCCCGAAAGCTCACGTGAATTCCTCATCTAACCCCACGCGGAGTTGCTCCCTTTACAACCACCAACATGGACTGAAGAACCACTCCCCTCGCTCCATGAGATAGCGCATCTCACCCTCGCGATTACGAAATAGCCACCATGCTCATATGTTGTGTTGATACGGTCAAGATCAAAGCCCACGAGGGTTACTTAGGGCCGCAACTATAGAAAAGATGCTCTCACGCATGTCACTTCCAAAGGGTCATCTCCGACTAGGATCCATCAAGCATGTCGCGTCACAAGCTTCGGCTACGCCTTTGAGGCCCACGCCCTTTACTACCTTCCTCTTCAAACGAGACCTACACACTGCACTCTTTTTCCCAGGTTTGTACCGCGTTCACGCCCCTTTACCACTAAACCTCAAATAGCCACTAATACATATAACAGGACATGGTGTACAAAGGGTCGGCATGGCTAATGCCTGGATTGAAGCCTTCCCCCATACCGCAGCGAAGGTTTTGGACGAAATGGACAGCACCCTCGGGTTCAAATTGTCTAGCATTATATCCGATGGCCCCAACTCCGAGCTGAACATGACGGAAAACTCACAACCCGCAATCATGGCAATCTCAGTCCTGATACTTCGTATTTTGGAGGACGAGTTCGGATTCGACACTAAATCTCGAGTCGATGTTACGCTTGGACATAGTCTAGGGAGTTCTCCGCGTTGGTTGCCGGAGGGTCTCTTGAATTTCGAGATGCTCTTCAATTAGTTCGTCGCCGGGCTGAAATAATGGCCCAGTGCACGCGGCGGTTAACCGAGAAATCCGGTGAAACCTTTGGCATGGTTGCGCTCCTGTGTGAGCCCGAACACCTGGAAGGCTTACTGCGAGCGGTGGAAGAATTTCTTGGCCTCGAATCTCCGGGTATCGAGACTGAGGGATCCCATCGAATCCCCGCATGTCAACAAGTGGTGGTTGCAAATATCAACTCGAAGAATCAAATCGTGTTAAGCGGCAGTCTTGACCGAATCAAGATCCTTTTAGTCCAGCTGCGCCAATTTGGAGGTCATGACCCACGGGCTGTCAGACTGAAAAGCGACAGTCCATTTCATAGCCCTGCTATGGCGCTAGCTGCAGATTATATGAGAGATGCGATGGAGAAAATCAACATAACGTTTCCAGCTTCAGTCCCATGCGTTTCAAACGTTTCTGCCTTGCCATTCAGGTCTGAAGAAGACCTCAAGGATCTTCTTTCAAGACAATGCACTGATACAGTGAGATGGTGGGATAGCATCCGTTATCTCCATCAGGAACGAGGTGTCAAACGGTGGATCGGAATTGGTCCAGGAAAGGTTGGCAGGAATTTGGTGGGCAAAGAGGTTGGCAGGGTGGATACCAAAGGTGGTGGAGTATGGGCTATCTGTGACCCTCGTGAGATGTCGGAGATTATGATGTCGTTGGAGCAGACCGAGATCGAGGTTCAAGGCTCGAATAACTAGCACAACGACCAAATGATCATCGTTTTATTATCCGTTTTGTCATATCCATCTTGATTACATGCTATTAGAAGTAGCAGGGAAAGCCACATCGGTGAACAAATCATATGGCTATCTTCGGAACGGGTTGATAAACCTAGTAGAAATTGCTGTCTCGTATGAACATGGATTGGGGAGACCGATGGACTTAGATATGTCCTCATTCAGAGGATTCCCAGTATCTGCCGTTGGTGTTCCCCCTACATGGTCGCACCTGGAGCCCATGTATCGCCAATGCGTTTTACATCCGCAATGAACTTTTGATTAGAGATTGGCTGACAGGCGGACACGGAGGCAGGTTTGTTCCCGGGAATCGGTACGTGATCGTCGGGGGAATAGAAAGGATTCTGCAAAAGCTGAATATACGCACTCTGTAGAGCGCGGAATGCCTGTTTTGAGATATGAGAAAGCGAACTCTTTCGGCAAACACGATTCTACCAGACATAGACACAAAACATACCGGTTTCATATCAGAATCCCTCAAGCCATTGATCGCAGGACCTGCCTGCTTTCCAGCACTGGCCTCTTCCTGGCCAAAAGAATCCACGATGATCAATAATTTTATTCCCGTGGTCGTCAGCCAACCATAGGCCGCGAGTCGTTCGTCAATTGCATGTAACAGGCCTAGATCCTGATCAATGGATGTTTGTTTGCACCGGATGTCGAAGATATCGAGGCATGAATTCAATAAGAAGGAGAATTCGATAGTTGAATCCGTATACGGGGGGAACAGCGAGATGTGAAGAGGGTTATCCTACAGTCGAATTAGTATGCACGATTCCAAGGAACAGCTTAGCAGAGTAAGACTTACTGCCTTTCCAATCACGCCGATACAGGCAATTTTTGGGCCTGCCATTCTGAAAGAGCTCTTAAGTAGCAATCTATCCGGATTGGGCGCAACAAAGTGAGCTCTTGAGTCTTGGGGATTGATTCCCTTCTCTCGACACCGTGATTGGGTGAGTATGCTAGCCTGGGTAGATTCTATCTCTCCATATCATGTCCACAACGCTTTGAACTGGACCAAGCCTTTCAAGCAACGGGTCCTTCGCAATCAAAATGTAGAACGTGGACTGTAGTGGAGTGGCTATGCATCTCCAACCCCCGCTGGTTAACGTATGGAGAAGACACGCTCAGGCACTCAGGCAGAAAAAGAGAGTTGAGAGCCAATGACCACACAGGCAATTGGATTTACGAGCAGGTCACCGCCTTTACAGTACACCGTTCAATGAACTATAAATTACACGAAATTGACCAATGATAGCCATTTTAATAGCTTACATCATCGCTTTCAAACCACTGCCATACATCATCTTTCTTTCCACTCTGGACTTGGAACCTTTTTGGGGTTCTCCTTGACTTGCAGTTACCCGGCCCGCCACCTCTATCCTCTTGTGATTCTATATTCCCTGTCGCCACTGGCTCAGGCTGTAATTCGCTTGTCCCTTCAGTTCCCGGGACGACAACCTTCTATCTAACCTAGTTTCGCTCAATCGAAGAGACTTTTCTCAAGATGCTGCCGATGGCGAAGCCCGCCATCTCTGGCGCTCTGTGCGGTATGCAACTTCTTTAATCCTCCAGAATATCAATTCATTAACAAAAAACAGCTGTGCGACCCCGTTTCGCCCTTGCTCTCCCGCGTGCTCAACCCTTTGCGGCCCTCTCGACCTCGTCTATCAAATCCGCGACAGCGCTCGAGCGTCAACCATCACCAGGCCAGCAATTGACCGCTTCAGGCAAGGTTCGGAGGGAGGTTCCTTTGGCCAGTCAGGAGAAGAAGGAGGGTGCTATGCAATATGTCTTGTTCGTTCACTCCCTCCTGTTCTCATTTTGTATGCGCCGTGAGCTTCCGCTGACCCTACATCACCTAGGACCACCCTCGATCAGGTTGCCAACTGGGCTCGTCAGAGTTCCTTGTGGCCCATGACCTTCGGTCTTGCATGCTGCGCTGTTGAGATGATGCACTTGTCTACCCCCCGTTACGATCAGGATCGTCTGGGAATCATTTTCCGTGCTTCTCCCCGTCAGTCGGATGTTATGATTGTGGCCGGTACATTGACGAACAAGATGGCCCCCGCCCTCCGCCAGGTTTATGACCAGATGCCCGACCCCCGGTGGGTTATCAGCATGGGCAGTTGCGCCAACGGTGGTGGTTACTACCACTACAGTTACTCCGTTGTTCGAGGCTGTGACCGTGTTGTGCCGGTTGATGTCTACGTTCCTGGATGTGAGTACACCCTCTTACCTCGCAGTTTTGATGTTGTAATTGCAATTGACTAACAAAAAACCAAGGCCCACCCACTTCCGAGGCACTGATGTATGGTATCTTCCAGCTGCAGAAGAAGATGAGACACACCAGAATCACACGTATGTGGTACCGCCGTTAATATCTGAAATCAACGATATGGTGGACTCTTTTCTGCCTTTTCGGGCATAGTGCATGGTGAAATCTAAATAACTCTACCTGACCACTGTGGAGTTTTTATGTGTCTTTCTATTTTGTATATCAATATCAGGCTTTGGGATCTGATATTCTGTTTTACTCTCACTCTTATCGGTCTGTTCTTTTTTTTTTGCCTGTCAGAATATCCATCCAAAAGAATTCAAGCAAGTGTCTCCTATCTGGGATGGCAACCCCACATTGCCTTGGTATCAAATTCGTCTTTGCTTCGGCGTGACCAAATTTGTATGTTGCGTGCTAGTCTCGGCTACATGTCTAAGTATCATTGCAACTGTGGTTTCTCCATCCAAAGCTCACATACGAAATGAACACCTCCGTAGATGTGGCGTCCATGATATATCTATCCATCTACCATGTACCTAAATATATCCGATCTGCGAACGCCATTGTCATCGCCCTTGGCTCCTAAGCTTATTACCCGGATCATGAACAGGAGGTTCAATGAGCATACTTTTGGAATAAAACAAAACAAATAGAAATGATGTAAAACAGATCTCTTACACCCAGAGGCTATCCGAGGGTGGCCGGAACGTATCGTTATAGATGTCGGAGCATGAGATCGGCATACCGGAAGTTTAGTTTATCCTGTCCACCCAGTATTTTTGATATTAGTCAGATAGTCATATTTCCTACTAGAATAGTGGATACAGAAAGAGAGATTTCAACTCCCTTGATTGGACCCTACTATACTGAATACCACGTCAGTTGACAATAGATTGATGCCTAAGGTGTCAATACCCAATATTTGACTCTTTGACACGCATCATACACACGTGCCTTCTCCGAGATAATTTCTCATCCTTCTATATCTCCTACTGACACGCACAAAGTGAGGATATCTCAAGTTTGCTCTTGTTGTTCATCGATAGTGAAGACCATCAACACAATTACTAATGCAGAAACTTGTGTGGTAGTTCGGCGATAAGATATTCCGCACCGGCCATCGCACCTCCGGGGTTACCTTAACGCACCGGCTCAATCTAAAGGCTTGCTACGGACTCTTGACGAATCTCAGGGATTTCAGGCAGTAAGTCAAGCCACTCGGACACATGGGACCACTTCAGGTGCCCCCAGTGCTGTGGCCTTTGTGTACCAATGGACTGACATTGAATCATAGGTCAGAGTCTTCTCACCATGGCTCGCGCTATCATGAACGCCGCCAAGTCGGCATCCAATGTTGTGTCTATCAACCAGGTATGCCATGGGCAAGAAGGTTTAACTTCTATCGCTGTGCGCTAGGCACTGATTCTTTTTGCGCTGCAGAAATACACCGTCCAGTCCACCGGTGTCTGGGAACGGATTCGTCGCCTTTTCGCTGTCGACCCTAACCGCTCCACCGGTGTCCCCCTGAACGCTCAATTCCGTCTCCCCGCTCCGGGATCTGTGCCTCCTCTTTCCTACGACGATCCCGTCACCATCCCCGCCGGCGATATTGCCGACAACCCCTACTGGAAGCGTGATGTTCGCCGAAACTACCCCCAGCTGAGCACTGTGAGCCAGGCCGATGCGGTTGGACTTCTCACAGTCGGTAGCCAGGCTGCCCCTAAGGATGATGTCCTCAAGATCGGACAGGCCGGAGAGCAGCAATTGATTGCTGTCAAGGAGCAAGGCGAGGAGCGCGGCCTCGCCGCTCTCTTCGAGCAAGATAAGAAGAGCATCCAGGGCGTCCTGGGTGCCAACGGCTTGCCTCCTATGCCCTGCAACATTAACACTACTCCCAAGCCCTCACAATCTAAGTACGAGCTTGGTACCGAGAACGGCTACCCCGAGAAGTGTGTATCTCCAAATCACCATTGTACTGACCCAGGCTAACCATGGTACAGATACACCTGCCGCACATTTGTTTGATTAGACTGTCGTATACAGCAAGAAAATACAATCTTCGTTTTACTTTTTTTTCTCTCATGACAGCAAGCCCCTCTTGGGCGGCAATTGCAATTTTGGCTTGTAGTACAGTACATAGGAACAAATACCCGGGTGCTCACATTCTCCTACTTCCTACTGGCCAATGGTCAGACTTCATCCAAATAGCTAGAGAAATTCTCCTAGGCTGTATTTAGAGAAGAGTAGCCAGGCTTTGAAATAGTGCTCAGGTTTTATTCCCGCTCAACAAGAAGGATTTAGTTATTGGACAATGCAATTTGTGACTTGGGGGTAGACGTGAAACTGAGATGGATGAGAGAAGAGAGTCCAATTGACCTACCAGAGTTCTCAAGGAATTGGTAAACTAAATACCTAGGCGCAGGACAAATATTGCTAATCCGCAAACGGCCTTTGCCGGCATGCATGTCTCGATTTGGCATGCATGTGGCGTGTCGCATGATGTTTACTCCGTACCCCGGATTGAAAAACACCCTGCAGCAGATTGATATTGACAGACGTTTCTAGACCATCTCAGGACATAGATCTCTGCATTGAGGTACATGTCTAGCCTCCAGCGCTAAACAGTGTTCCAGCCCAAGGAGATTGAGGTACCCAGGTTTTACCGAGTACTGGCAATCGTTTCGAGTAAACGCTCGCTATTCAATGCAAGATTTGAACTGGATATCCTATCAGTCCTATTTTCTATTCTACCTATACAAAATAAATTGAGAATATCATGGATGAGGTCTGAGGATTCCCCAAGAGGGCAACCGGGTTTACTTCGGACTTCGCAACACGGGATTTGCAAGTTTTCGCCTATAATTTACAATATCTTGAATGTAGGGATGACCCCCACAAATCACGTAGCTAGTTGAATGTACGATATCCAGAATTCCCGAGCTTCTTGATTCGGTCTTTTGTTGAATGCGGTCGACCCCATAGGTAAGTTGACGTCATCGCCCTCCGCATGCTACCATCGAAGTACAGCCGCTCGCACTGAATCATTACGACGTCACATTCAAACCCCGGTTGCGCCCTCTCAGTACTTAATACCTCTCCTTCCCCTGTCATTTTCTTCATCACTGACAACATCCTTCAATATGACTACTCTGCATTGTGAGTGATCTGATTACGAATCTTCGTTTCCAGAAGTACCCAGGTAGCTAACAAGAGCTCTAGATCTTCCCCCCGTGAAGCCCTCCGCCATCGCGCTGGGTACAATCTTCACCCACACTGCTTCCCTCGGCATCCTTGCCCCTGTCTTCGGTGACACCTACCACCGCGCTCAAGCAGCCAACACAAAGGAGGAGTTCATCAAGTCGAAGGAGGCTGCCGGCGCCGCTGCTGCCTGGGGAAGCTCCCTCGCTGGAAGCGCTGTGCAGACCTATGGTGTTGCTGCACTGATTAATGCCACGGGCACATTGAGCTACAAGGGTGCTGCATACCTGGGAACACTGATTTTCTTTGCAACCGCTGCTCCAGGCGTATGTCCTTGAATAACCCCCCATGAAATACGAGCAATTCGTCTAACAAGTTGCCTATAGGTCGTGAGCCAAGTCTTCTCCGAGAAGCGACCCCTTGACACAATTGCTGTCGGTGCGGTCTCGAGGGTGTTTGAGACCGTTGGTCTTAGCTTGTTCCTCACCTGGTGGGGAACTCGTACTCACCCCTTCGATTAAATTATGAGATCGTGAGAATATAGGTCGAGCTAGAACCTTCTGGTCGGGTTGTGACCGGTTTCTCAACCTTGAACAACTACCTAGTTAATGGATGTAAATGTACAGGAAGATGACATCGCCTGATAATTGAATTGACGTATCCCACTCTCCGCTCCGTGGTCATATCGCTAGTTATGCCCCAAATGGCGCCTAGCACGTAATATAGTAGATGCACAAGTATTATTCTGCTACTCTAGACGGTTGGAGCCAATTGAGATCTCACTTCCAAGCTTAAATTGCGTAATTAGGTAAACTGAACCCACATTGATGTATTGATCGCCCGGTTCCCGATGGAGAACCCCCACGCATAGGTAGCTTGTTGTTACCACAAAGTATAACAAAGGCTACCTCTGTCTATCTATATTGATCTATAAAACCACAAAATAAAGGAAATGGGGTTCACCTAATGGTCCATAGCAGCTCTATTCTCCGAATATGAATATGTAGATCAACTTCGCACGGGCCGAAGCTTGTCTTGGCCAGGCTTGGTGCATATCGACGTTACAGGGTTGTACGTGGTAACCCTGGCCATCACATATAATATTGACAACCCAAGCAAAAATACAATTTCAATTCTTTCAACTCGATCACATTCGATCACTTACATTCGATGCAAATTAATTGGCAAATCGCCACCCATCCAATCATGTGATTCTTCTCGAGAATCTGCGATAAGCTACAGATCCCCCACCAAAAACTTTTTCCATTTACAAACATCCCACCATGATAGAGATTCCAGTTCCAGCCCCTGTGGGCCCAGAATCGAGCCCACCATCGAGTCCAGATGGATTCAGCATCAGCGAGTCATTGGCCCCTCCGCGTGAACTCAAAGCCGCCACCACTACGGATATCACATTCGACGGGCTCCTGAAAGAGCCACTGCTACTAAAAGAAGATCTCACAAATGGATGCGGTGGTCAGTTATGGCCCGCAGGCATGACGCTGGCCAAATACCTTCTCCGCCGCCATGCTGCCGATCTATCTGATAAATCAATGTGAGTGCCCAGCACGTCATTTCTTCTCGTTTCTTCCTAATCCTAGTCTTCAATAGCGTGGAACTTGGAGCCGGCGGTGGTCTCGTCGGACTTGCAATTGCACGCGAATGTCAACTCGAACAACCGCTCTATATCACAGACCAAGAACCTATGTTTTCCCTAATGAAGTCCAACATCCAGCTAAACAATCTCGGCCCGAAAGCGACTGCTGCGATACTAAACTGGGGAGAGCCGATCCCAAGCCAGATTCCATCACAACCAGATGTCATCCTTGCTGCTGACTGCGTCTATTTCGAGCCGGCATTCCCGCTCTTGATCACCACGCTCAAGGACCTCCTGGGACCCAACTCGGTCTGTTACTTCTGCTACAAGCGCCGCAGAAGAGCCGACATGCGATTCATGAAGATGGCCAAGAAGGCTTTCCACATGGAGCCAGTCCTTGATGACCCCGGCGCTGATGGTTATAACAGAGAAAACATCTTCCTCTACACGATACGTGCCAAACAGTCCGATCAGAAAAAGTGACGAGATGATATGTGCGATGCTAGAAAATAGATTTTATGTAGATGAAATGTGACTCCTGAATAGTACATACTGGCCTCCCTCAATTTCACCCCCTCACAACTTCAAATTGTCTCCTCTGTTTTTGGCGCCTGCGCTGACAGCGCCACCATCAATATTCGTCACACGGCCTTCCTTGTCGATGACCTTGACTCCTCCCTTCTTCAGGTCTGAGAGCATCTGTTGCTTCTCGGCCGCCTTGCCAGACTTTTGCTTGCCAGGTTCGGCATCGGCCTTCTTTTGGGTCATCTTATTCTGTCGTCTGTGCTTGGCCTTCTCCTCGCGAGTCATCTCTTCCTTGGAGATGGATGCGCCAGTCTTGAGGACCACTTCGCCTGCAACACGGCCATTATCACCGGGTGCGTAGATCTCCTGTGGTGCAAGTCCAACAGGTCCACCAGCAGCACTGCCAGCTGTGGGGCGTGCCTCTTCCATCATGATAGTTGGTGCATCGGTAACGACGTTGATGCTTGCCTGGGCAATCTTGGGCTTGTAGTGCCAGTTGCATAGAGTATCCAGTTGAGCGCTGACCTCGTTCCAGAGCTGAGTAATCTCAGCGTGTTCCCGGATCAATTTGCGGTCCTTAGTATCCACGAAGTTGGGATCATTGGCCTTAAGATGCTCAGTTTCATACATCTCAGCCAGACCCTGCTGGGCCTTGGTATCATCCAATTCGAAGCGGGGCTTTCTTCCAGCTTGCTGGCCTTCAGCGCCTGGCCGACGGCGGATAACTTCGTCGAACTCCATGGCGAGAATGCGACGCTTAACCAATTCCTCAATTTCCTCACTATCCTCGTTGGTGATGACAGGGACGGGTTTTCCGATTCGTTCGAAGTCGAGATCTTCTTCGATAAGAGAGTTGACGGGTCGCTCGATGGCTCTGGCTTCACCAGTATACATCCATTCTTTCTTGGCCACGTTTGCTGCTTCCAAGCGACGGATCTCATCTGCGATCCGTGCCTTCTGCTTCTCGTGTGAGGAGCGTGGAGCATTGGCGTCACCAGATCCTTCAACTTTGCCCTCTGCTTCATCAGCAGAGTCCACATCGTCATCGTCAAACAAGTCCCGTCGAACGTCATCCATAGCACGCTTGACATCGTCTTCATCGACAGCCGGCGCATCGGGTTGGGTCTTCGGGAGGGCGCGCATTTTCTTGTTGGAGGCCTTGCGGGGTGGAGGTGCGAAGAAATCGGCGTATTTGATATCACTAGTGTTTACCCAAGCAGCGGCTTCGCCATCGTCCATATCGGCAGCGTCTTCATCATCATCGGAATCGGAATCGGCGTTGAGATCGGCATTACCGAAGGTAGGTCCTTCCTCCTCACTATCATCCATGCTTTCATCTTCCTCTTCTGTAGGACGTCGTTTCGATTTGTCGCCACCACGAATGGGCGCAGCACTTCCTGCTACCAACGGGTTTGAGTGCCAGTCAAGCTCATCCTCGTCGCTGTCGTCGCCCTGCTCGGGGCCTCCTGTGGTATCTTGTCTCTCCAAAGCCTCGGATTGCTTGTTGAAGTCGTCGATGGAGAAGAAGCCGTCGTTCAGTCCGAATTTATCCTCGACAAATGTTTCAGGCTCTCCTTCAGCGGAGCCAAGTGATTTATCATCGTCCCAATCTTCCATTTCGTCGTCCTCATCCAGATCTTCAGATCCCATATCAATCTCTTGGTCAGATTCCTCCTCGAGATCATCTTCGTCGAGATCATCTTCAGCACCTGAGCCCTCAGAGAGATCCTCCAGCATGTCCTCGTGGTTGTCGCTGTCGCTTTGCGCACCCTCGGGATCAGAGATACCCTCGGCCTCGGAGTCGGACTGGTCCATGTAGCCGCTATGTTGGGCAATCAAGGTGATATCGCGTTCCACCTCATCACCAGTCGACTCGAGAATTCGTGTTGCTTGTTCCCATATTTGGTTCGAGTTGAAGCCGTCCACGTAGAGGTTCTTCAGTTGGAGCTGGGTAATATCCGAGTCGAGGTCTGATCTTTTGCGCTTTTTGTTGAGTTGCCGACGGGCTGTCTGGGCGTCCACGACAGAACCTGCAAGGGAATCTAGGATGTGCTTTGCGGAATCCACGACGGTCGTATGTAAATCGTTGGTGGGCCGGAGGAATCCCCATGGTGAGGACAGAGCGGCCGATAGAGTCATCTGCTCAGAGGGTTTGGCGGCCTGCACCGAGCCGGACTTGGATTTGGACTGCCCTTTCGCCATTGTGAAAAGAGCTAGGCAATTGTTGGGGTACCAAGATTCTAGAGGAGCAGAAAACGCGATAGAAAAAATTATCGCCGGGCGGACGGTCAGGAGCCAATCATGTTGCTCATCGATAAGATAAGCATCACCACAGGTACGACGATTGCCTTCAAATGTTGCCTACGTTCTACACTGCATAGGTATGTACACTATATGGTTTTAATAGCATAGAATCGCTTAATGTTTCATACTAGGAGCTCATGGCTGCAATTTTCTGAGTATTCCTATCTGGAAATTACAGAGAAGTATGCAGAAGTATACTACCCGACTGGAGCATGGATGGCTTCCTCCGCTCTCTTCTATTTAACAAACCAAAAAAGGGAGGGATACAGCAGTCGCATGAAGAAACATTCAAGTCTCTTATGTATTCGATCTGGAGAGTGCCACCGACTAAGTATGAAGGCAATGACGCCAGCGTTCTGTCATATACATTATAACCTCGAGGCAAACGTGCCACGGAGACAGACAAAACGTACATGTAGATATGGATATATGGATACCAAAATAGGTGAGAATTCTCATTTGATGGGATCTGCCAACCCTTTTTGGCCTGGGAACTTGTGGCTGCAACAATGAGAGATTGAAATAATTCAACGTGATTAGTTTGTCCTCCGCCACAAAAGAAGTCTAGAACGGAGAAGTTCTCGGTGGCTCATAACCCCAAGCTGAGGTATTGCCTCAATGCAGGCGCTGGGGATTAGGAAATGTAAGCAGGTCATCATAGTGACATTTTGAGGCCTATGTTTTGTTTCTGGTGGCCATATATCATGTCGAACATTCCTACTTAAATAGTGGTCTCCTGGACCAAGACATGTTCAATCCTAATAACCGAAATATTCTACAACTGTTAACGAACTATTTGGATTTACAACTTTGGTTTCTTGACGATCTGAACTTGCCAATATGCCAGTAGGCCAGTACATCGAGCAGCAGGCCAGTGGGTCTAAGTCCCAGTTTGCGCCAGGTGAGTTAGCTCCATTTGTTAATTATTGATTCTCTATCTAACCCATGATACTTCGCTCTATAGGCCACAAGATTCCTGTGCAACATTTGAAAAAGCCAGGTCTGCAGTCTGATATGGCAGACCCTAAGCCGGTGTCTACTCATATTCCAACTGAGGACTACGGCTATCAGACCTATAAGGCTGCTGGCAAGCTGGAAGGAAAAAGAGCAATCATCACTGGTGGTGATTCTGGCATTGGCAGAGCGGTTGCAATCTTGTTTGCAATGGAGGGTGCATCAAGTATGATCAACTACTTGCCAGAAGAGGAATCGGACGCGCAAGAGACAAAGAGGCGGGTTGAGGAGCATGGACAAAAATGTCATACTCTCGCCATGGATCTCCGCAAGAAAGAGAACTGCCAAAAGATCATTAATACGGCCATGGAAAAGATGGGTGGCATTGATATCCTTGTGAACAACGCGGCATTCCAAGACATGTTGAGCGATATCAGCGAGCTTGATGAGTGAGTGTTTTTAAATCTGTGCTCTGCTTCGATGGTATACTAACATCTCAAAAAGAACCCAATGGGAGCGAACCTTTGACACCAACATTCACTCCTTCTATTACCTATCCAAGTATGCTCTTGTTCATATGAAGCAAGGTGCCACCATCATAAACTGCGCATCTGTGAATCCTTATATTGGCCGAGGCGATCTCCTCGACTATACTTCCACCAAAGGTGCAATTGTCGCATTTACTCGCGCCTTGTCCAACCAGCAGTTGAAGAAAGGCATTCGGGTCAATTGTGTCTGCCCAGGTCCAAGTAAGTCATCTAATGGGGTTTCCACTTCCAGTTCTAACAAAACAAGTCTGGACTCCTCTGATCCCTGCAACAATGCAAACCGGCCCGATGGAACAGTTCCATGCAGTGCCAATGGGTCGACCGGGTCAACCCAGCGAGGTCGCGACATGTTTCGTCTTCCTTGCCAGCCAAGACAGCAGCTATATCTCCGGACAGTGTTTGCATCCCAACGGAGGTATGATGGTCAATGGATAGGCAGGCGTCACGGCTATGCTGTTCCAGTGTTCCAGTGTTCCAGTGTTCAAATTGTATAGATTGGAATCCACAGCATGCAAGACAAATGACAAGATCCTGATCCCTCTTGTTTGCCATAAGCTACAAGAGAAGCACGTAAGCCAAGACTAGAAACGCTATAAATCGCTTGTGTGCCATGCATTATCTGGTATATTAATGTCGCTTACGGTGATTGTGACTGTACACGACCACATTACACTACCATTCGCCGCGTTGAATCATTCTGCTTTCTCGTTTTCCTCCTTATCTTTCTTGCCAGGCGCATTGGCAACGATCCTTTGGACAGCATCCACAGTTGCATCTGGCCCACCGGCCTCTCGAAGCAGGACCTTGCCCTGTTTATTCACGGCAAAAACACCGCGTACTGTGCCCTTGGGGGATTTCTTGAAACCAATGGCTCCAATGAGAGTAGCTTTGGAGTCGCACATGAGAGGGTAAGGGAGCTTCTGTTTTGTCTGGAAGTTGGTGTTGGCCTTGGGAGAATCGCCCGAAAGACCATAGATAGAGAGACCGGTGGAGCTCAGGTGGGTGTAGTTGTCACGGAACAAGCAAGCTTGCTTGGTACCTAAATGAACAGCATAAGCAAGCTGCTTCAGCAGGAACTATAATTCAGTCCCCGAAGGAGCTCCGAACACAGCGAAAGCACTTACAGCCAGGAGTTGAGGCTTTGGGATAAGTAAAGAAAACCACGCCCGATTTGCTCTCCTCGAGGAGCTTCTTTAGGGATGTTTTCTCGCCCTCGTTGGTCTCAAACTCGCCGCCAAAGTTTTCTATGTCGATTGTGTCGTCCGCCTCGGGCACCTTTGGCGCGGGGCTTTTTTCAGTATCATTATCGGTTGTATCTGGCTCTGGTTTGGACTTGGGAGTTGGTTTGGACTTCTTCTCCACGACTGGAGGTGGGGCAGGCGCCTTGCGCTTCCTGAGTTCGACCATGATGTGAAGCAAGGGGGAGAAAATAAAACACCGAGGGGTAAAGAGGAATGAATTGGAGTCAATTGGACATTCTGGTACATAAGCTGCACCTGGGCAGCTGTGCAGGTACAGAACTCTTACATAAGCGATCGGGAACCCGGTGGCGCAGTGTGGCGCCGAGGCTCTCCGAACTCGCCCTGGCCCTGACCCGGAAGAGATTTTCCCCTCAGTCGATCAATAAAATCCACTCTTCTCCATTATTCTCTTTTGATCTGACTTACTCATATTTGCCTCCGTCCTCTCATAGATTTAGACCTAGAATTCTTTATTTCAACTTCCCATTCTTCTCTTATCCTTAACTGGAATCGGTCTTACTTCTTCCTTACTCCCTTCTCGGTCTATCTCAAACCATTATCCTTTCATCCACGCCAGCTCCTATCACAACTGTTTTTTATCACACGATCACGCGACCATACCGTGTCGTTGACGCGATCCGCAACTCGCAATTATGAAGGTTTTCTCTTCCGAATGCACCTTTGACTACTCGTGGGACGAGGTGTCAACTGCGAACTGGCGCAAATACTGTCCCTGGAATGATAAGTCGACACACGTCGTGGGCGTAGACACGCTGTCTCGCACTGTTGACCCCAGCACTGGCATTGTGAGTCATTCGATCTTGGAGCAGTCCTCTCCAAAATACTCTCCAAAATACCCCGAGGGTCATTGTATTGACTTTTTTTCTGTAGTTGCGAACCGAGCGTCTTATCACGTGCAATCAATCTGTACCACAATGGGTCCTCTCAATTCTCGGCGGAACGAATACCTCCCACGTCTATGAAGTCTCCTATGTCGATCCAGTCGCCAAGAAGGTGACCATGTGCTCCACCAACCTGACATGGTCAAACGTCCTCAGCGTGCGCGAGACTGTTATCTACCGGCAATCCGCCCTCAACCCGGCCACCACCACCGAATTTAGCCAAGAAGCTAAGATTACTGCTCTTTGCGGTGGATGGCAAAAGATTAAGAACAAGGTTGAAGAGGCAAGCGTGGATCGCTTCCGTGAAAATGCCAAGATTGGCCGCGAAGGATTCGAGACCGTCCTTGAGATGAGCCGCCGCGTCTTCGGCGAACAGCGTGAACTTGAGAAACAACGCCTCCAAGTATGAGCGCTTGATACTACCGACTTTCCTCACGACATATTTACAGCATCCCATCTCTTCGTTTTTATCGGCATCAAGCGACTGCATATGTATTCCGGCGTCTGTTTTGCATCTTCGAGCACTGGCGCCAAATGGAGTTTTCTGTCTTAACCTGGTTTTCTTTTCTTTTCGACATTCAACTTTCGCTCTACTCCCAAATACCACCTTTTGCCTCGCGATAGCCTCTGGCCAAAGAAAAAAGTTCTTGATCAAGTTACTTTGAGCGGGTTATCTTTTACCTGCTTTTATTTTTCATACTGATGAGCCCCAATTCAACAAGGGGGCACAGATGTACCATTAAGAAGCTTTCCAAAATAGATATGAAATTCTATTATCATACAACATTCACCTTAAAATTCATAAAATCATTAAAAGCCCAGCCATATGCCCTGCCGAAACAGTTCACGAACACCAAAACCCCATTATACTCCAGCAGCGAGACCTGCCGCTATCCTACTAAACCTCCGAGTACCACCCGACTGACCCCAGCAATCTCACTCTTGACCGTATTTCGGCTCGCATCTTCAAGCTCACGCACTGCACCGGCCACCATGATCTTCCGCAACTTGGCATCCGCTTTGGAAAAAATCTCGCCCAAAGCTACCGTGCAGACAGTTGGGGATGCCACGAGAGTCATGAGCCGGCTATAAGTGTCAATCAAGACATCGCACAGTGTCGCAAAGGTCTCAAAAAAGTCCGGCTCGAACGGCAACGACGGCGTGAGAAGATAGGTATATTCCTCGCCAGGAAGCAAATCCGCAGACTCCGTAAGTGGGAAGGAAGTGACCGAGGCCGCCGCAGAAGAAGCCGACCCAAGATTGCCCGCGGCGCCTTTCAGGTCTGATGGGTCGCTGGACTGCATTGGCAGTCCGATCTCGTTTGCGGAGCTGGCGCGTCGGGTCTTGGTACCTGCATGCGCGGCGCGCTTGAACATTTGGGGTATACGGCCTCTGGTGAGACTCGAGGAGGAGCTTCCATCCGGGGGATGCACGGCCTGGTAAGCCTCGAATTCGAGTAGCAATGCATTGAGGGCGCGTAGGTACTCGTATGGGCTGGAATTGACATCGAGTATTGTTGGCAATGATAATCCTAGAAGTAAATAGTTGATTGCGCGGCGAGAGAGCTTCCGAGCTTCGAAATACGGTAGGCGCGTGATATCAGCCCGGGAGAAATGCACGGTATTGAACCAATAGAGTCGTCCTTCGTGGCTGCATGCATAGTATGAGTCAGTAGCGCCCAGACTTAGGCGTGTTGGGATCCACTCACGCCTTTCTCAAATAGTCGAGAGTCGATATCCGTTTCGCGGCCATCTCATGAATATGTTGATAGATTGCGCCTGCACTCTGCGGCCCGAGAAGGCCCGCGCCGGTGATGACTGGAGGTGGAATGCCATGTGCTCCTTCGAATTTTCCATTGGACTTGACCGTGTCGCGCCGCGAGAGACTCGGGGCGAAATTAGAAGGGATCATTGGCGTTTGTGGGCAATTTCGAAGCAAAATAAAACAATGCGACACGAACGAAAGTGGACAAGGGTCGAGAGCAGGACAAGGGAGGGTCCAGAAAAGAGAACAAGGGCAAGAAACCGATGAGGCCGGACTAAGAAGCGAATGAATTAGTAAAGACCCCTGTCGGTAGTTGTGTTGCGAGTCTCAGGAGATCTGGAGAATGTTCCCCGCAAGTCCAGAGCCCAACTGCGATGCTCACGATTACTGTACCCGTACCTCCTATTGTAATTTACCCTTTGTCGATCCCATCCCCCTCCTGCCCCTCTGTCCTGTCAGGTTTAAAACATTGAAATACTTGTCAAAGAGCAATCTCTTGAAAAATGGATTCTACCCCTCCGGAAGAGCAGATTCCTTTGCCTGGACAATGGCCTGTTGATCCCCAGGAGGATGTACCAATCTCGGAGGACCGACTCTGGGTTGATGGATGCTTCGACTTCAGTCACCACGGCGAGTTTGCCATTTATCACCTGGTCAATCACCTTGGGACTAATTTGTTGATTGCCATACAGGTCATGCCGGTGCTATGCTTCAAGCCCGCCAGCTGGGAAAGGCCCTATACGTCGGCATACACTCCGACCAAGCTATCCTTGAGAATAAGGGTCCGACGGTGATGTCACTGGAAGAACGGTTGGTTTGGCCACTGTCTGTGGGGTTCTAGTTCTAATACTGTTCTCTCGCTAGTGTCGCAGCGGTTGACGCGTGTCGTTGGGCAACCCAGAGTGTTCCCCATGCCCCCTATGTGACCTATTTACCCTGGGTATCCCACTATGGATGCAAATACGTTGTGCATGGAGACGATATTACTTCCGACAGTGATGGAAACGACTGTTATCGCTTTGTCAAAGCTGCTGGACGCTTCCGTGTCGTCAAAAGAACACCTGGCATATCGACAACTGATCTTGTCGGCCGCATGCTGCTGTGCACTAAGAACCACTTTGTCAAATCTGTGAAGGGTACACTCTCTGGACTAGAAGGGTATGGAAGCCTGGAAGAGCGTAAAGCTTCAGGGGCAGATCTTCTGCAAAGAATCAAGGACTATGCGACGGACGAGAGTGGTCTCCAACCTGGTCCTCAAGTGTGGACCTGGACTGGCTCAGGCACAGCGAAGCTGGATCACGTTGTCGAGGAGGCTGGCCTCTTCGAGACGCTGGTCGATGGAAAGGGGCCCAAGCCCGGACAGAGGGTTATTTATGTTGATGGAGGCTTCGATCTCTTTTCCTCGGGTCACATTGCGTTCCTGCGCAAAGTTATAGAGCTTGAGGAGTCCGAGGGTCGCCAGCGTGGCTGGTTTGAACCTGAGCAGATTGAAAAGAGATTGAAGGACTACAACGAGGACTATTCTCCCGCCTATATTGTGGCAGGTATTCATGATGACGATGTGATCAACCATTGGAAGGGCTTGAACTACCCGATCATGAACATCTTCGAACGTGGTCTCTGTGTTCTTCAATGCAAGTACATCAATGCTGTCATTTTCTCTGCGCCCTTTACGCCCAGCGAACCATACCTGAAAGCTATCCCATGGGGCACTCCCGATGCTGTCTACCATGGACCTACGACCTTCATCCCGCTTACCTATGATCCGTACACTGCCCCCAAGCAGATGGGAATCTTCCGGGAAGCCGAGAAGCATGCCTTCCAACACGTGAACGCTGGCGAGATTGTTGGTCGCATTCTGAAGAGCCGTGAGGCTTATGAAGCTAGGCAACGTGCGAAGCTGGACAAGGCCGTTGCCGAGGAGTTGGTGAAGTCACAAGAAGCAGCTGAAGCAGCTAAGGTAGCTCAATAAGCTAACTCTTATCTTTTTTGTGGGAAATACTAATCATGTAATGACGATCAACTGCACATATGATGTCAGACCTCATCAACTGGGGTTTTATCTTAAACAAGCGTCTAGTTCATGCCTTTGCATGGTGGCTTGCAGCAACTTGATCTAATGGATAATTGCCAAAATCATCAATATCTATTCAAGTACTGCGCCTGTGTTTGGATTGAGATATCCCCCCAAAAAACATCCATTCAAACCTCTACATATACCCCGGATTTTAGGGTACCCGACATACCTTATGTATGTATGTAGCTTTCCCTTTCCATTTTAGTGCTTAGCCCTTGCCACTTTCTCCTCACTTGGTAAAGAGGTGAAACTCAACAGGCGAAACTAATATCTAGCGCATCTATACTCTACGTGTGCCAGAGATGTTCAAGGGCCTCCGGGTATGAGCGCTAACGTAGGCGTAACGAAGGACTATCATGGAGAGTATCTATCGAGGCATTTACGTACTTAATATTTAGGGTAATCAGACTGGCACAGCTGCACGTGGATCTCGCTATGGTCAAGAAAAGGACAGGGCCTTTGGGTAGGGACAGGTCATTGCCGGGCAGCGCGAAGGTCACATACAGCCCTTTGTTCAACCTTCGGAGATGACTCAATCAATTATAATCACTTTACTCCATCTAGCTAGGAGGCTTGCAGATCAGGCTATATTGATAGCTCATACTACGAGAGATGAAACTTCTCAACAAGACTATAATAGATTAACTCACTTGGATCAATTCATTAATTAGAGGCAGACAAAGCGACATTGGGTTTAGGAGCTATACAATTGTTAAAATACAACAAGAACTACAGCAATAGTCATTCTGCTTCTGAAGGAACAGTCACGGCATCTTCGTCAGACAGAGTATCATCCTCTTCATCCTCGTCGGTTCCTTGCATTGCAGCAATACGAGTTAAATGCCATATGCGATTAAGCAACTCCCATGAAGGGAGTGGACGATTGATTGGGTCATCAGTCGTAACCGTGGGAGGGTAGAAGCTCGCTCTGGGTATGCTCTCTGTACCAGGGGTATTGCGGACTATGCGATGGATCAGTTCTCGAAATCATCTTCGAATTCGGAGAACATGTTTATAGGATCCCTCATTGAAGCCATAGGGGGAATTGAAGGCTTTCGAGTAATGAGGTTAGACGTAACTGATCAGCAGAAGAGAAAAGGGAAAAGAGAAAAGAGAAGAGTGACATAAGAAAGAGAGACGAAAAGCAAGAAAGAAAAGAGCATCGGAGTGGATATGTTATAGGCCCCCATAAATAATGTCCCAGAACGCCCGAGCCAATGCACTGCTTTATCTGTACACACCTGCCACCGCAGAGTTCAGTTCTTCCGGAACGGATCGCTGTCACTGTCGAGCAATTGAACCACCGTTCCATCCTCAGTCTCCAGACTCCATTCCTCAGTACGGAACTAGAAGAAACATAATAATTAGCAATTGTAACCAACAAATAACATAGCCAGGTTCCAAAGCAAGCAACTTCAAGAAACTCACATAGCTCATACGATCCGGCCGAATGCTACGGAATCTCATCTTTCCCTCGGTCTTAGTGCCCTTAACCCAGAAGGAAATATTAATGCGACCATGCAATTGGTTCATCTCGCCACTGATCCACGGAATCTGCTGCGCAAAGTAGATCTCATCGCCCAAGATCTCGCGAGCCCGCGGCGACGTCCGCAGCGCATACAGCGTGCTGTGCACCACGCTCGACGACGATTTCTGGTAGTTGAAGATACCCAGCATGCCCGCTCCGACTGCGACGACGAAGATCGGCAGGGTCATCAACCACCGGCGTCCGGGTTTGGGGTCGGGGAGCTCGCGGTCGGCGCGTCGTTCGAGAAGTGGACCCGCGTTGGGCCCGGGGGCGGCAATGAGTGTGCGTCGGCTAGCGAGGTTGACTCGTGGTAGGCCGGGGAGCCCGGCGCGCCGGGTGAAAGCTCGCAGGAAGACCATGGTGGTTGTGTTTGGGGGTTGGGGATGAATTGGGGATTGAGATGCTGAGAGGGGATGCGGAAGAAAAGAGTGCCAAACAAGACAAACAGCCGGTTTGGTTGGGCTTTCGACGTCACCGCATCGGCTCGAGGATACAACTTCTATTTGTGTCTTTCTTTTCGGAGTTTTGCGCTCCTCTCGAAATGGTTGTAGTTCGACTGCGAAAGGCGTTTCGGTATCCTGAGGAATCAGAGGATGAGCGCGACGAGCTGGATGAAGAGGAACAGGAACGGGTTATCGAGCAGTTGCAGAGCCAGAATGATGTTCGCAACGCCCAGTACAGTGTATATAGTTCCTTTTCTATTTTAATCGAGAACCAATGCTAAAGGTGTGTAGGTGATTTTCACTGCGCTGCCCTTGCTGGCTGCTATGATGTTCGTGCCCTCGGTGCTTTCGGCTTCCAGTCAGGTTGAACGATTGTTCTCGCTCCTCGGCCTTGGCTCGTTGTTGACGACAGCTTATATCATGAAATGCTCTCCTCTTCAGCCAGATCGCAAAGGCAAGAAGCCTATGACTATCCACAATGAACGTGTCGCTCGGGTCCATGCGGCTTTGGTGCCTGGTACCGGTGTGGTCTGCTTGTTGTTGGCCCTGGTTTATCTTTCAGCAGCGTCATATGAAATTCGGCCAGTCTTATATCTAGTTCCTGGAGGTGAGTATATTCTGTGTTTGTCATGAGATACAGAGACTGACTTTTGTATAGCTATGTTCGTCACGATTCTACTTGCTCGAAACGTTATGCTCTCTGTTGACCTCGCATCGCTCAAGGATCTACAGTACGAGTACAAAGGTGCCTAGCCAGATGATAGCAGCCAGATGATAGCAAATAGCGAGCTCCGTGTCTGTATTCATATGTTCATTAAAGGTACACCCAGATTATGTTAAAACATGGTGTCGCAGAAGGGTTCAGCCCTTCGGGGAATCACAAATCATATCTCCTTCCCAGTTCGCTAGTAATCAAACGGCCCGGTTAAAATCGTTCTTTCGGCACCCAGTAATCCTTGTTGTTCGTGAGGATACACCTATCCCACGAGAAGCTGCCAATCCTGTCTGTTCCTCTCCTGCATCAGTGGTCGTCTTCCTTGCTTCCTCAAATCCTGTAAAGTTCGTAGGTCGATCCAAGCGCCCAAGCTCACTGCAGAGATGGGTCAACAGGGATGTCTTCATTCAGACAATTCGCGCTCAACTGAATTTCATCGTTGTTGGTATCATTGCCGCTATCATTGCCAGTGCTGTTGCTGTTGCTATTGCCGTTGCCGTTCTGTGCCGGCTGATCAAATGGGCTGGACTCGAAGCTGAAACCTTGCTGTTCCAGAGTCTTTTGCCGTTCCAGTTGAGCTTCCTCCACTTCTTTTTGACGCTTTTGAATGCGTCCGTGAACATCATCACCAAATTTCTTCAGCCACCATAGATTCGATTTCCGGAAGTCCACCAGGGTTTCAATACTGCGGGGATCGGCCACTTTGCTTGTATCGTGGCCGAGAACGGTGCAGTTGGGCTCGTATGGCTTCATGGATGGATCTTTTTGGCAAGCACCGCAGCTGCACTCTTTACGACACTTTGGACAGAGCCAGTGATGCTTCTCCATAGCCTCTTGAGGCGATATTTCGAAGGCGCGGTAAAGGCTTCCATAACAGTATTTCTGGTCGCAGTTCGAGCATGGTGCAAGCTTCCAGTTGTGTTCAAAATGAAGACAAACGTGACAGCGGTGAACATCACCTGCCTGGGCCTTGAGGGACCGCCGGACTTTAATTCGCTTCCGAGATCGAGTCTTTTCATCATCGCTATCGTCGTCTTGTATGTTGTCTTCAATCATAGGCTTAGGGTTTTTGGGTCATTCCAAGGACGACGCGCCAATTGCTCTTGGCAGATCTCTGCGACTGATTTTTTGCCAGCCTGACCTCGGGCAACAACAAAAGTCGGGAACTGAGCCTTCAGTTCTTTGCTGTTATCGTCAGAAGTAATGATCAAACGTCGCCATGCCTCGTAGCGCTCTGTCAAGGTTTTCCATGGGAATTGTTCCATCCACTTGAGGTTGGAAACGCAGCCGCAGCTTCTGCCCATGACGTAACAGTCCATGCATACATCGTAGGGGTCATCCTCGCCACCAAAGGCATCTGCACAGCCGGGGCAGGTAAGGAATCTATTGAAGATGTTGCATCGGCAATATGAGCAAGTGACATTGCTCTGGAATTCGTGGTACTCGACACTCTTCTCCGGTTTCTTCTGCGAAAAGGATTCAGATAACAAAATGTTCTTGTACATATTGAACAGTCTTTTGAAATCTTGCCATAGTTGGTCAACCACAGCATGGTCAAGCTTTTTAGCCTGTCGCAATAACTTTGAATATTTTTCGAGTGTAAAGTACACAATGGCCTTGTTCTTGTATTGTTCGTCACGGCAGACCATCCGCGCATGTGGCAAAGCTTCGCGCAGAGCCAGCTCGAGCGTGTCCACTGTGGTGCGATTCCACGCAACTTTCATTGTGCGAGTACCGCGGTTCCAGACCTGGTGTGCAGCAAGAGGAGGAACAAGAATAAGGTCGCCGGGTTTCTGTTCAACAACCCAGGTTTTGAATGGTGCAATCTCCCATGCATGCAAAGGAGCAAAGAAATCCTCAATGTCAATATCGTGTCCGAGAACAGACATCCAGTATTCAGAAACAATTCGTCGATCCTTGGTCTCTGTCATGAGCCAGATTGAAGAGCCCGGTTCCGTTGGTTTGCCGTTTTCTGGAGACCCATCGGACGCGTCAACCATTATGTTGTGCCCTAGACTGGCACACATCTCTTGATGTGCAGGGGTATATGTGCCCTCGTGGCCGATGTAGCACATCAGATTCTCTGCACGCATGTTTGCGGGAAGACTGCTCATTAGATCGCCTGCCGGGGCAATGGGTTCACCTTGGGCGGTCTTCGGTCCTTGAGTGAAATTGGTGTTTTGCGAAGCTGGGCCTTCAAATGGCCTAGGCCCTTCATTCAAGTAGAACAGTGAAGGTGGTATCTGTTTCTCGAGGTAATCACGCCATTCCGGGGGGCAGTCGATATCCTTGAGATACAGGCGCTGCACCTTTTTGCTCGAGAAATTTTCCGTTGTGATCTGGCGAGTAAGAAGTCCAAGGCTCTCTAAATAGTGTCCCATGGAAAAGCGTTGGTTTGTCTTCCGAACAAGATCTCGAACTTCCTCGGCTGTTGGGGAGATAATTAGTATTGGTCAATGACGAAACGGAGAACCCCCGCAGAGCGAGCTCACTTTTCTCCGAGTACTTTTCTCGGAGCCATTTTTCGGTAAAAAGAACCTTATCAAAGCGATGATGAAAACCCTCGATGACCAGTGGCCGTCCAGTCAACACAACCTGGAACAGGATAAGCCTCTCGAAATCCTCCAGCGGAAACTCGTCGACCGTATCGCAGTTGATTCTCATGGCAAAGTCGAAATTGGGAGTAGATTCAACAATATGCTGGACATCTAGCAGAGGCGGGAGGGGCTCGAAAGCCAAGCGGGTTCGATGTGCCGGCATGACTGGCGCAGAGCCCCAGAGGGGACAAGACTTGATGCTTAATTGATGTTCGTTTTGAGCACAAAGCTTAGAGGAGTCAATATCATTATTTGAGGAAATGGATTGGCTGGGCCCAAGAGCGATGTCACAGAAATCTCGGAATATTAATGTGATTGGGGGGATTGCGGTGTTGTTTGCTGTTGTTGGCGCGCAGGTTTTCGGAAATGATTGAGACAAGATGCGAAGAGTAAGGAGCAGAGGAGGAACAGGCAGACACACAGTCAATGTTGCAAGAGGGTGGGGACAATGGGGAAGCAAGTGAAGAGATGTGAAGAAGAGAAAGAATGTGGAAGGTGTCGCAGTTTGCTCGCTTTACTTTTGGCGATCGTCACTTTGCGTCTGGGGGAACGCGGTCTCCCGCGTCAAGTTGGGGCCTCAGGCAGCAGCCTGCATCACTGTCACTTTCTTATTTTGGGATTCTTCTGACTGGAGAAATTAAGTGACACAAATATACATTCTTAGTCTCTGTTTCATCTTGGAGCTATCTATGTACTAAGCTAATTACTGAAGTACTCGGCCTGATATATCATGATATTGTCCTCTGCCATGCGATGTCTATAGATATGATACCCAAATAGGCTTAGGGCGAGGAACCAGGTCGCCCGGGCTTTTCCTGGATGACGATGTTCATTTGCATCTGACATCTCCAGATCTTCAGATGGTCCAGACCTCCAAAGGCTTCTGAAAGAATATGAAATTGGCCAATTGGCTTGATTGACCCTCATTTGGTGTTTAGATTCCCTCGCTACCATCACCATGCTTTCCAACAGCTCCCGTCTCTTCCGCGCTCGACTATCCCCATACACCAGGCAAAAGGTCAATCTTCCTGGCATGTACAATGGGCGCCTCTCCACACTCACCCACCATGCCTATTCCTCAACACAATTGAAGAGCCGCCGGTCCCCCACTGGTGCCTTATCCAACAATGCCCTGCGAACAACACAGATCCAAGTCCGACACAGCTCGCAATCGCAATCGCCCGCAACACTACCAGTTGAGGCAGACAGCGCGGAGAAGAACCCAGCCACACACTATATTCCGCCAAAGACCGGCTTGATCGCATCATTGCCAAGTTCATGGATCCCTTATGCGGAGTTGGTGCGACTGGATAAGCCCACGGGCACATACTATCTTTTCTTCCCAACGCTCTTTTCCACCCTCCTCGCGGCGCCAATGGCAGGTGTGGCGCCGCTTCATGTTCTGGGCACAGCAGCACTTTTCTTCTCTGGTGCGCTGATTATGCGCGGTGCTGGTTGCGCGATCAACGACCTGTGGGACCGAAACCTGGATCCTCACGTCGAACGCACCAAGTTCCGCCCCATTGCCCGGGGCGCCTTGTCGCCGCAGAAAGCAGTGCTCTTTACAGGATCGCAACTGTTTGCTGGCTTGGGTGTTCTCCTTTCATTCCCTACTCAGTGTCTTTGGTATGGCATTCCTAGTTTGCCCATCGTGGTCGCCTATCCGCTTGCCAAGCGTGTGACCAACTACCCCCAGGCAGTCTTGGGCCTTGCCTTTTCATGGGGAGCGATCATGGGATTTCCGGCGTTGGGAGTGGATCTACTTGCCAATCACGATGCCATGATGGCTGCAGGAGCTCTTTATTCCAGTTGCATTGCTTGGACAGTTCTGTACGATATGATCTATGCGCACATGGACATCAAGGATGACGTCAAGGCTGGGATCAAGTCGATTGCTCTCCGCCACGAGCACAATACCAAGGCTGTCCTAAGTGGCTTGGCAGTGACTCAGGTCTCCCTCCTCGCGGCTGCAGGAGTTGCTGCCGGTTGCGGACCTGTCTTCTTCGTGGGCAGCTGTGGTAGTGCTGTTTTGACCCTTGGTCTCATGATCTGGAGGGTTCAGTTGAAGAGTGTCCGTAACTGCTGGTGGTGGTTCAAAAACGGATGTCTACTGACCGGTGGAGGAATCTCCTTGGGATTGCTCGCAGAATACGCGGCGCAATACCTTGGTTTGTACAAGAAGACGGAGTTGGAGCCTGTGATGGCCGAGTCCGCACACTAAACATGTAACAATATAAATAGGCGTTCAAGGCCCGGTTTGTGATTTATGGCTTCTGCGTCAATTTCGCCGGACAGTTAGATGACGCCGACAATGTGTTTCTTTCCATTTGCATAGATAGCATACAGCAGATATCACAAAAGTAAACAGTATCATGAGAGCTCTCCACCGGTCCGGTACTCCTCATAATAGTATTTCTTGAAATCTGGCATTGCCCACCTCTCCATCCACTCACACTTCAGTAGTTCCTGTGCTGTCAACTGTTGTTCCGGCTCAGAAGACAGCATCAATCTCAACGTCTTCATTGCAGCAGCTCTCTCTTCTACACCAAAGCCCAGGATTCTAGCTTGTTGGCGTCGACGTTGTATATTCTTTGCAAAGTGGCCTGCCCAAGATCTCGCCTGTCGATCTTGCTTTGGGTTGCCATTTTGATCGAAATCTTCGTCACGCGCCTCCCATTTTCCCCACCACCGTGGAGATGATCTCCCAAGACTATCAACCTGTTCTGATGTGATATCATCTGGCGTGGCAAGTATGTCCGCAAAAAAAGGCCGCTGACCGAGCATTATCCATATAGAACCTGCGAGTGTCCAGATATCAGCCGAGAAAGATAGGCTGTGTTCTGGCTCAACCCAGGCCTCGGGGGGTACAAAGGACACAGGGGCATATGAGCTATATCGATGCTCTTGTGAGGGTCTGTGTGCCTCTCCGAAGTCACCAAGAGATACCCCGGATTTTGCAGCGCAGAACTCATCGGAGGGTTTTCTGGGACAGGTTGGGGGAGTGGCACTAGATGGGACTGTAGGCTCAAGAGCTTGGCCGTCAGGATGAAGAACTGAGCATATGGTCGTAAAATTGCGAGAAATACAAACCTCTATGAGCAACGCCTGTACTATGAATGTACTCGACGGCTAGTACGAGTTGCACAATAAGTGAGCGAGCCGGGTACGAGCCTGAAAGATGCGTTTATAAGAAGCGTCCTTTGCACCACAGATACTGCACATTGCTAGGGTTGTGACGTAGCAAGGAAGGAAGCCATTAGGGCCATGGAGGACGAATCTATCTTTCACAGAGGGAAGCATTGCCCTGCCTGGGTGACCAAGAGGAGGACAGGGACTGTTAAGATAATCAAGGATATCAACCTCTCGATTATTAGATTCCCCCGTTCCAACTTTGACTGCCACATATCTATTGAACTAGTAGTCTCGACAGAGCCAGGTAGCCGAGTAGGGTCCATGGCCTAGCTTGTGAGCAACTCGATATCGGGGTTGAAGAATGTCTCCTATCACAATAGGATGGTATCCCCCAGGCTGGTAGTTCTCAGGACTCTCGACATCTTCTTTCGGGATATATTTAAGGAAAGGGGCATAATCAGCCGTGAAGGATGAGTGCCTGAAAGCCATAGTTGACCTGTGCTCAAATCTACCAACGGAAACCTCCCAAGGCAAAGAGTGGCAAAGTGACCATGACGATGTGCGGCGAATGTCTACAAGCCCAAGGTGAATCTCGCGGCCTCATAAAAGCTATTGTTGGAAAATATGAGTCCGACAGATGATGCTTGCCCAAATGAGTCGTGGAAGCTCAGTCAATCCTCATCGCTGGCAATGATGCTTTGCTCCAATGTCCTGGGCGTATTGGGGGCTTGATATTGGCGGCAGCTGCTAGCCAGCACATGGATCTTGCTCCGCATATGCAGTATTTGTTAGTGCATTGTAATGTGCCATATTGTGAAATCACCTAGACCGAGAGGTAACCAAAATCCGAAAGACCATGACGGCAGTGTGGAAGCTTAGATGCCAATGTGGGGATGAGGTCGACCAACCGCTGATTAAATAATACTAAACCTTTCCCCGAACTTTCCCACTTCTCTTGTAAACCACCACTTTCCAATCATGTTTTCCAGAGCAGTTGCATCGGTATGTACGCATGTCTAGAATCCAGATTCACCCAACTCACAAGATTTCCAGGCTTTCCGCCCGGTCTCACGGCCTACCTTTTTGCGCCCCGTCCGCTCGGCCATCCAGTTCCCCTCGGGACCTGCTGTTCCCTCCGTCCTCCACGCACGTCTTCTGTCCAATGAGACCCGGACGGCGATCGATAAGGCAGTCGGTTCCGCCCCCGTCGTCCTCTTCATGAAGGGCACACCCGAGACTCCCCAGTGTGGTTTCTCCCGCGCCACCATTCAGATCCTCGGTCTGCAAGGTGTTGACCCGAAGAAGTTCGTTGCTTTCAACGTGTTGGAGGATGCAGAGCTGCGCTCGGGTATGTTGTGACATTCTCTCAAGGCGACTGGTTAGCTTTGGAGTGCCGATTGCTAATTGTTCTTGGGTTTACAGGTGTCAAGGAATACTCTGACTGGCCGACTATCCCCCAACTATACCTCGAGAAGGAGTTCATTGGTGGCTGCGATATCTTGATGTCCATGCACCAGAACGGTGAGCTCGCCAAACTTCTGGAGACTAAGGGTGTCCTGGTCGCCGCCGACGAATAAATAGCAGCCGAGTCCGAGTGGAAGATGTCTATTGATTTGGTAGACGGCTGTCTCTGTACAATTATTGGTCTTTAATGTATTCTGGTCATAATGTCCTACTGGTCAGTTGGTTGTTCTTCCTTGGGGGGATCTCTAGTCTATCTGGGTGTAAGTGTATCTCATAAGGGAGTAGTCCGCCTAAACCAACCTATTGAATTCAACAACGGAGCATACTTGGATTAAGGAAAATGATAGAAATATCAAAAGCGTTCGAAGACCGTGCTCACCCGCTGACTTCTACTTCCTGTCATATGTATTTTCCTGAATGATAGCGAAGACTTTCCATCTGTTTATCTGTCAGCGGACCAAGCGTCCACTGGATCCTGGAAAAGACGAGTTGAGAACTGGAGTCAGGGAATGTGACACCGTTTTCTTGAGCGAAAGACGCCGGAAACTTTTCGTTCTCGGCCTTGTTTCGGTCATCGGAGTTTTTGTTGTAAGTCTCAATCAGGGCCATCAGTCGAATGCAAGACCAAGCAACACGCCTGTGCCTTTGCTTCTTTGCGTAGTTGATGCTTGCGCCTAGGAGAATGGCGAGGAAGTCCGATTCTATGAATGTGATTTTTTGGAGTGCTGTCCACTCATCAGGGACGCATTGAAAGGGTCCCTTAGAAGTCACTTATACAGATATCTTCTTCTCTTCTCAAGATATACCTAGTATGTATAGATAGCTTCAATTGTGGGGATAACTTCGGAGACTATGATTCACAAGATCAGAGTGGTCTAAAGTCAGGCATATTTAGGCGATAAAGTCGATTTCATCCAAACCGAGCCCTAAGCGTTATACACCTTCGCAAGGCATATTAAGGTCGTGCCAAGGCTCTCTGCGCCGAAATCTTAAGCAGTAGCGGACTATTTTGTTGCGTTATCAATTGAGTTGAAGGCCAATGTTTCTCAGTGGCCATCGAGAGAGAGAGAAAAAGGGAAGAAGGATATCATTTTATGTATCATATACAAACGCCGCTCAAGTCAAACAATATCGCGCGTATGGTGTAATAGTACATGTCAGAACTCAGAAAAGAAATCTCCAATCAAACTTAAGCAGTGGCAGCTTCGGCTGCCTGTGGCACTTCCGGCCATGGCTTCTTGATTGCATCCTGAATTCTCACAACGCAGCCCTTGGGACCACTGACGGCACCTGAAGAGAACCAAGCATGTTAGTAAAAAGGAAGCCCATGTGAAACAAAAAAGCAGAGCTCAAAATAGGGTGACATACCGCTCACAACGACGATACCGTTCTCAGAATCCACCTTGAGGATCTTCAAGTTCTGGACAGTGTTCTGCTGGTTACCCATGTTTCCAGCCATCTTCTTGCCGGGATAGACACGAGAACCACCACCCTGACCAGGACCGGACGAACCCATGGAACGATGCGTCAAAGAAACACCGTGACTGCGATCCTGACCGTGGAATCCGTGTCTCTTCATCACACCGGCGAAACCCTTACCCTTGGTATTGGAACGGGCATCAACAAACTGTCCCTCCTGGAACCAACCAGCCTCAATGCTCTGGCCAACAGGAAGAAGACCCGCCTCGTCCTTCACACGGAACTCGAAGATATGACGCTTAGGCGAGAGCCCATTGGCTGAGAAGTGGCCAAGCAAGGAATTGGTCACATTGCTAGGATGTTTCCAGCCCGCACCAACCTGCACGGCATAGTAACCGTGTCTCTCACGGGTCTTGTGGGAGATAACCTCGACACGATCCAGCTGCAGAACGGTGCAGGGGATGCGCTTTCCAGTCTCCGGGTCGAAGATGGCGGTCATGCCCTTCTTGATGCCGATGGCACCAGTGCGGAGAGGGAGGGAGTTCGCTTTGCGGCGGAGAGCCGCTGTCGACGTCGACTCGAGAACGGGCAGGCCGGGGCCGATGTTGAAGCGACTGGGCTTGGGTGGGTTGAGGGATCGGATACCGAATGATCGCACGGGGATACGTGGCGCAATCAATGGGGCTCCCCAGAGGGGGCTAGAAAGCTGCAACAGCCCTCCTAAACGCGGCGACATCGTGTGGATTGATATGGGGAGGGATTGTGTCGTTTGGCTGAGAACTGCGGGAAGTTTTTGGGTTTCCCTGGGCTTAGTCAGCGGCGAAGTATAAACTGGAGATTAGAATGAAATGGCCCAATTTACACATCGACACGGTATAAACACAAGAGAACACATTTTGGGTAAGTAAATCATAGATCAAAAGATACAATTAGCCTCATCTCATCCCATCCCGTCACCTCTGTATACAAACTATGCCCATATTATCCCCTAACTCCGGCAGACTCAGCCGATCGGACCGGAAGCCGAAAACGCCGAGAAATCCAAAAAAAGCATCCGTCAACAAACTCCCCCATTCCTGAATCCCTCGGGACAATCAACCAAACTCCAGGGAAACCACTCAAAACCCCACTACGCACTAATTGACCCCCCTCACCAACAATGTCCCTCCGACCAACCCTCCTCTCAAAATGGATCCCGCGACCTAGCGAGATCCTCCGAACAAAACCCAGCATACACCTCCACCTAACACGCCCATCCCCCGCACGCCCGAGCCTCACCTTCCCCAGCGCAACACACCGAACGCTGAGCACAGTGCGGAGCCAGACAACACGCTTCACGCGCAGCCGGACCGGGCCGAGCCCATTCCCGAGACAGCGACGGTACAACTCCAATTCGAGCTCTGGGTCTGGCGCGAAGGGACCTGAGTCGAAGGATACGGGGTCGCTGTCTGCGCGGCTGAAGAAGCTGACGCGCGAGTACGGGTGGGCTGCGCTGGGCGTGTATCTTGGCCTATCGGCGCTGGATTTCCCATTCTGTTTTGCGGCGGTGCGGTTGCTGGGCGTGGAGCGGATTGGATATTATGAGCATGTTGTTATTGGGTTTGTTAAGGATAAGCTGAAGAGTGTGTGGCCGCAGGCTGAGGCTTCGGATGGGGAAGGGGAACTTGCTCAGGCTGAGGAGCGGAATGAGGAAGAAGCTAGTAAGTTTTTTTTCCCTTGATTGCTGGTACTTGGACGGAGCTGACTGGTGTTTAGGTATTTGGACTCAATTGGTTTTCGCGTATGCGCTTCACAAGAGCTTCATCTTTATTCGGGTTCCGTTGACGGCGGCGGTGACGCCGAAGGTTGTGAAGATGTTGCGTCGGTGGGGATGGGATATTGGGAAGCGAACGCCCAAGAGTACTTGAAGGTGATGTAAGATTAAATAGCATAGCGGGAAGATACAGGACTTCGGTACGGATCATTGTACATTATTAGCCATTTCAGCTCTCTAATACGGCAAATCTTTTTTTTGCCTTCTCCTCTCACAAGCTCTCAAAAGCGATCTACATAACAATAGCCAACCCAGACAATCAAGTCCCAGCTCTATCTCCAGCGCCAATATGAGAGAGGAATTGACCAAAACAAAAGGTGCGAACAGCAATAGAGAGACAATCAGGTGCTGGGGATCAGTTCTGTCGTCTTAACTAGCCAGAAGCAAGATAAGATAGAGGGCAGAAAAGTAGGGAAAGATGGCGAGGAGCAAAGCTACCAAAGCTCGTAATCTTCGTTGTGGAAATTAATTGCGACGTATGTAAAGGGTGTCCCCGAAGGAAAGCAAGAGATAAAAAAGAGTGTGAATCAGATCACATGTCGATCATATCGTTAAATCTCAGGATGCCGTTGGCTCTCATCACGCCGTTGACTCCGTCGGGCATACGGTATGCCCATTCCGCAACGCCCATAGTATCGGCGGTGGGAAGCTCCTCGATTCGATCCGACTGACCGGCCTCGTCAGAGGTGTCAGCCACAAGCACAAGGCCGAGCTCCTTGATGGTTTCCACGAGCGCCGGAACCACATTCTACAAAGTGGGTTAGCAGACGACGCCAAAGGGAACCGCAGAAATAGAACCAAACATACCAAGAGGCTGGATCTGCAGATCAATCCCATAAAGTTGTTACTCTGGGCAATGCGAGCAGACTCCTTAATCGACATCGAGGCCCGACCACTGCTATTGACATGAGGCAGTGAGTCGACATTTCCAGCCAGATCCCGGATCTGACCGAGATCATTGCAGAGAAGAACCGGATCTAGTCGTAGAGTCAGTACCATGCACAGATTGAATTTAGTTTGTAGGAGAACTCACAATTGGGTTGCTTCCAGTTGAGAGCACTGCAGATATTCGGGTTATAAGACGTGAATACCACGGAACGCATGAATTCTGGGTTCCTGTCGCGGGCCACACGGGCATGATCGAAGACATCGGTCAAAATGATATCTGCGAAGCTGTTGACATCCGCCAAAGAGGTCATGTCGAGCTTCTTCTCCTCCGCGGGTGATGGATAGAGGATCGAGATGTTGACATTCAAGTCAATGGGCAGTTGGCGCAAGACATCACGTAACGACAAGAATGACGCAGCTAGGAGTCGATGAGTCTGTGGCATATCGTTTGTCGCCTGTTGTTCCAAGAAATGGAGGATCTGGGGGTGGTTGACACCGCGTTCAGCGCCAATGGCCTGGAACTGGGTATAAGTCAAATGAGACACCGGAATATCAACACCGTGGTGGTTGATCATGAATTGCGGGTAGAGGACGGCGACACGATCCCGGGTCAATTGTACAAAGAGTTGGACATAATCTCCGGACAAACTTGAACCAGTCACCAGACCATTGTGCTCTGAATCAATAGCGCTAGTCGCCTTCCAATATGTGGCGAAGTGTGTGATTTCCAAGGGATCGCCGTGGTATGGCTTGATGACTTGGAAGTTGAAGCGCAGCTGGCCGATAGCACGGAGTCGTGGATCAAACAGAGGTAAGCAGCACGAGCCAGTGCTCGACGACTCAGCGCGGAAGATCTCTGGAAGAGCCACACTCTTTGCAATAACCTTTGAACCGAATGTAGGGAAGATCTCGAAGTCCACGGCAAAAGTGTCCAGATTATCCACGTGGAACGATATCGTGCGTGTCTCATCCTGTATGGGTAGCATGATAGTACGGGGAATGAGATCTGACAGCTTGGAAGAAATAGTCATGCGAGCAGCAGGATGGCGGCCGGCCTGATCAAAGGCAATAGATCCCACATTTCCTTGATCAAACAAAAGCTGGACGAATACCTTCTTGTCAAGGAAGTTGTGACCATAGCGACGAAGAGGAATAATAGGGGGAGGTAACTCCAGATCCGGAATTCCATCGGCCATTTCCATCTCAGAGACATTCGTGTCCATGGACATCGGGTCGCCCATCAGACCAGCCTCGTGCATCCGCATGCCATTGAGAATGTCGAGCGGTCCAAGTGAAGGCTTATTGCGAGATGGCTGAGCCCAAAGAAGAAGCATGCACTCCAGATGCCCTTCCCATGCAGCATAGTACATGGCCGAAAGGCCCTTTTCATCTGGGACCTGAGCATCGACGCCACACTCGAGGAGAGTGCGTAGGCAGGGGACGCAGCCTTCACTGGCTGCATGGAACAACGGAGTCCACTGGTAAAGCTTATCCTTTTGATCGAGGTCGGCACCATGCTGCTTCAGCAACAGTAGTAGCTCTGGCGATTGTGAAGCGCGGGCGACCATGTGCTGGGGGTATAGACCCTCGGCATCTGGCAGCAACTTCGCATTCCGCTCAAGAAGCATCTTCGCGATGGGGAGAGAGCCGTGTTGACAGGCGAGGTTCAAGGGAATATGATCCGGTCCCTTCAGAGGATGATGGTCTATTCCCTTAGAAGAGGGAGACTCTGGCTCCGGGTCCACACGGGCATTGCTACATAAGACCTGCTCCGCGCATGCCAACTGGCCCTTTACAATGCTGTGAATTAAGGGAGTAAAGTTATCATGGTCCATGATATCAACGGTATGAGGGCCCGCTGTCAGCAGGTCTCGCACCATATCCACACGACCATGCATACACGCATAGTGGAGAGGGATTCGGCCATAAACATCAGCCCGGGCGTAATCAACGGATGCCTTGAGACCTGCGTGGAAGACAAACGTTCGGCCCGAGATGGCGGCTTCGTGAAGGCAGTTTCGTTCATTAATATCGTCCTCGGCATGTATGTCAACCAGCTGACTTTCCAAGATCAGAGCGAGCACCTCATCTGGGAATCCGTTGATAGCGCCGAGGAATGTGCGAGTGGCGCGGTCACGAGCGTCCGGCAGCTGCTGTAGCCTAGCCAGCCATTCACGCAAGGTCTGGAGATTACCCGTCGAGGCTGATTGCAGGATCTGGTTGTCCAGCTCATCCTCTTCCGAGGCCAGGGTTGCGGTGCGATCCACAGGCCGTGAGGTATCATATTGAATATTCTCCCCTTCGGCCCAGGCCTCTAACTCCAAGCGGGCAGTAGTAGCCCTATCGGCAAGATCCCGGAGGACTTCACGATTGAAACATGGCTGCACTTCGACAGCCCGATGCAGATATAGCTCTTTCATGCGAGATTTAGAAGTCTTGTCCCATTTCTTAAGGATCTTGGACATGGCAGTCTCGTTGATCTCGACGAATTGCTGTAGCTTATTCAAGTCGCCATCGAATTGCTGGAAGCCTTCGAACATAGCCACAAAATTCGACGGTGCTTTTGAATTCGACGTAGTTCGGGACTGAGTCACCCGCTTCTTGTCGACCAACGTCCTTAGGCGCAGAGAAAACTAGATTAATCTGATGAGTTTCTGGATAAAGTTAAAATTGTACACCAGACAGATAACCATACCTCTGATTCTTTCTGGAGATAAAATGTATTGACTTTTTCAATCTCTCGTTCCTATATACATCCTTGTCAGTACATCCACCTCCCCATCTGCAAGCAACTCATCCCATAACTTACCAAGCGAAAGAAGAACACCTCCTTATTTGCGCGCAAGGCGCCTTGTGAGTCGACATGTGCTCCAGCGATTTCCTCGGCAGTTCTTTGTGCCGGGATAGTTGGGGTGGCGCTGAGTTGCTTGATCAACTATACAGAGAAAGAGCTATCAGCCAAGCACAGAATCCCAAGGGAACACACATTGACCTACCTTCTTTAATGCCTTGTAGTTGACAAAGCTGGCGGCATATTCAGGGAGATCTAGCTGCCTGCGCTGGATCTGTTTGCCGAACTTCCTACAGGAGCATGGCATATCAGTACCGGGTCGACTAGAAGGATCCGTCATTCGCACCCAGGGAATACCTACATGTTTGCACGATCTCGGAGAGAGCTTTAGCTCTCCCGAGCTCTAGAGACCGAGAGCGCAACTGTAGCGCAACTGTACTCAGCAACGCCGAGCTTAGGACCGAGGAAGTAGGAGCTGTGTGAGCTGGTTGTGCGAGGTAGGGCACAAGGGTGTCAATGGAAAAAAAGGACAAAGTGGGAGGAACAAGAGGGACAGGTCTGTGATCGGACTAAAGCCGGTACACCGAGTCGGGGCAAGAGGGGGCCGTACTGCGCAACGGTGGAGAAGAATAGTGGGACAGCGATCGCTTGACAACAAAGTGACACCAGGGGGCAGTCAGAAGGTGTGACGTTGCGTTGGGATAATTCCCATATATCGGATCAAGGAGGATTAGACCCTTAAGCCGGGGGAATCTGCGAACGAGTTCAAGGACGAGGCGGTTGAGATAGAGGTCCGGCGATAGAGGGCGAGATAGCGGGGCAGAAAGTAGCGAGAAGGCGCATATGAGAGAGTCAGGTACCAGGTACGTGCAAGTAGCCAGTCTGCAAGCCTGGTTTCGAGGTTATAGTTCGAATCTAACAGAGAAGGGAAAAGCTCGAGGTGCAATCAAGCCGAGGAGTGGAGAGCTGGGTGAATCATCTATCGCCAATCACCGCGAACAGCGGGCGCACGTTTCCCACTAACTGGTGCAAGGTCGAGGCCACCGTTCAACAGAGGGAGGAACAGTGGAAAGTACCAAATACCTGTTGCGATGTATGTGTTTATGAGGCGATGATATTACTACCTTCTATTAGAAGTACCCTGTCCTTCATTCTCTTCGCCTGCGATCATTCTGCCAGCTCTCTCCGCACAAGTGGAGTTATACTTCCGTTTGTCGATCGACACCGGACCCCATAGCAATATACGATGGACCTGCAAGATAGACGGGACGAGGAATTTCTAATGTAAACCTTTCAATTCAGTCCTAGACATACAAATAAACAAGGGGACTGAGAGTAAATCCACTCCAGACACCCGAGGTATCATTGCAAATCTCGAGTATGTCCAGTGCGTGGGAAAACTCCACGCTCAGCAGGAAATGTACATGCAGCTCCTTACAATTCCATGTTCCGAGACATAGAACATAGAACATCAAACAGTAAACAAAAACAAAACACAAGCATACAACAAGTGGAAAAAGACAAGCTATGCAGCTGGAACCAAATGCGCGGGATATATCAAACAGAGATGACCAAAACGAAATCACAGCCCGACAGGCCGATTAGAAGAGAGAAAAAGGAAAGGAAAAAGAAAAAAAAAATGTAGGGGACAATAGAGACATGACGAAGCGAAGGTCCATCGCGCCGGGAATTGGAACATGAGAGACCCGAGATAATGAATGAAGTCGGCGGTGGTCAAGACGAGAGAAAGAGCGTGTGGTATTGTGCGGTATAAAACAAGAAGGGGGGAATGCCGAGTTTTTTGGAGATCATAGATGATTGGAGGAAATCCGATTTGAAATCATCAGAAGTTCTGTGCGATTCCGGCATTCCCTTGTCGGGGATAGACACCGGGATTCTCGATGCGGGTATTACGGCGCGCCTGGACATCGCGGATCACAGGCTGATATTCGTCACCACCGTACGCCCCGTGTGTGTTGATGTCGCCGTAGTACGGGTTCTCACCGTAGTAACCGCCCGAAGGGTGTGCGGCAGACATGTGACTTTCCTCCGATGCCTCGGAACGATTGGCTGCGGAATAAGCGGAAGAAGCATTGGACGGGCCGCGGTGGATATCGCCATTCCGGTTATTTGCAGCCATCGGGGCAGCACCCAACACACCAATGGGCTCGACGATTTCGCCAGAGTCGGGCCGGGTACCGTCGGAATATTGAACGGTGCCTTCACTGGGCGTGGCACCGTGGTGATAACCGGGGCTGCTTCCCTCCGACATGGCGAGGCCGCCCATTCCACTGGAGAGGTTGGTGGACGCCTTGCGTCCAGCAGAAGTGGTTCCCCAGCCGCGGTAGCCGGAGGAATTGTCGTCCTTGGAACCCACAATGCCTGCCACGCCGGGCAGGGTTGGGTCGTTGTTGGGATTGAAACCGTATTCCTCCACTTCTTTGCGGCGCTCCTCCTCTGCCGCCTTGTTCGCTTTGCGCTTGCGCCAGAAAAAGAGAAGTGCCACAATGATCAATGCCACCGAGACAACGGGCACAACAACTGCGACGGCAATTGTGCCACCAGGAGAGAGACCGCCGGAGCCTGCTGCTTCGGTGGAGGTTGCAAGTGCCGCTGTATTGGTTGCGGCGGAAGAGCCAGTAGATAAGGTGCCAGGGTCGGTAGCCGCGGGTCCAGTAGTTGTAATGATAACCACGGTAGTTCCCCGAGAACCACTTGAAGTCGAGGAAAGCGTTGTCGTCTCAGGCGCAGCACTGGTGGTGGGCGCAGTCGTGGTGGAAGAAGTGGAAGAAGTCGAAGTAGTGGAAGAAGTCGATGGAATGGGTGCAGGCTCGGGAGTCGATGTAGTAGGTTCGGCCGGGGGAGCGCTAGTGCTGCTGCTGCTACTGCTGCTGCTACTGCTACTACTGCTGCTGCTGCTCGTGGTGCTCGTGGTAGGAATTGGTTCACTTGTTGTGGGTATAATCGGAGGATCCGAAGACGAAGAGCTCGTTTCGATTGAAGTCGTGGGAGCTGGCGCTGGAGCTGGAGTTGGCGTGGCAGCTGGTTGGCTAGGCTCAGCAGGCGCTGAAGTCTGTGCAGGAGGGGTATCCGCATTCGGTTCTGTGGGCGCAGCCCCGCTAGAAGCGACGACGGCAGCGCCTTTGGACACTGCAGACATCTTCAATGAATATGTTGGTTAACAGGTTGGAAGGTGCTCTCCGGTTGAGATTGGCGATGGGTTGGGATCAAAGCGATCCTTAGCCGGGAGACCGTTCGGCGAGTTTTGAGAGATCAGGAACACTTCCGGATTCGGAAATAATGAGCTGGATGTAACCGGAGATGAAGAGTTTGGAATCCGAGTAGATTGATTTAACGAGAGACTGCACTTTGCACACGTAAAGAAAGACGGGAGTTTATGGTCGGAGCCTCAGGGGAAAATGGGATATCTCAGGAACCGAAAAAAGTAAAGAAATAGGAAAATGAAGATAGAATGGAACTGAAGATGAAAGATGAAGAGAAGAACTAAGACTCACAATCCCTCAAACCGAAACTAGTCGGGAGCCATGAGAGAGAGAGAGATGTGTGTGGAAGAGAGACACTGGAAGTGGGAAGTGGAGATTTCTTACGATTGCAGTGTATCCGCATTCCTAGTTGTATTAATAGAGTGCTTCTGGCCTGTTGAACACCTAAAACGACCAGAGCATATAACTGTGTCTCTCTCTCATATCTGCTACGTTCGAGTTGCAGTGGCATCCCCCGCTTGCAACAAACATGATGCTGTTTCTGGCAATCCCTTGATCCGACAGGGTCAGACCGTACCTAGATACTCTACCTAGATACTCTACCTAGGTATCTGTCTAGGTATCTGCCCAAGGTGTATCTTACCCTGCTCTCTCTCTCTGATACTCAAAAACACTCGGAGCTGTACGAAGGCAATACTACGGTACGATGTCCATTATGATTTCGGTACCAAACACCGCACATGGGAACCGAGATGAGAGTACCGCGGGTACCAGAGTAAGGAGGCGAGGAATTCCCCGTGTGTTTTTGTTTGCTGGATCATACCGGATCCTGGATCCTACTGGATTCTACTGGGGATAACTGGCCCTGGCTATGTTGGGGAACGACTATCATGGCCATTCAAGTCGATGATGCAGTTGCCACATCTCGGATTCTCATTTCCCATACGGAGTACTCGGGGACATCATCGAGTCTCCTATAATGACAATAAAATACAATACGATCGGCGTTAATAATCTTGTTTCCTGCGTCCGATGCCAATCTTAAGATTAAAATTGTTGTGATCGCTCATTTCGCCCCTGACCGTTCAGCCGATGTGGCTCCGTGGGCATACCTCACTTGGCCCCCATTGGACTCCGTATACTCCGTACATTGAAGAGCATCCAGGGCGATACTATGATCGTAAATTCTATGTAAATTGTAAGAATTTATCAAGGGGTTTTACCGTAGTAGAATGTGCTCGATAATCTTCAAAGGCTAGCGGAGCACTGGGGATAGTTCACTTTTGTGCCTGGATTATTGGTTTGTTAGGTGATCGTGAGAAAAGACGTAAGTCCATACATGTAGGTATTCTCAGAGTATCATCGTAAGATCTGTCGTAACATAATTTAAAAAACCCAGAAGGCCCATGTCCTCGTATGGGCCCGGCCCCCAACAGCTAACGCCTAACCACAAAGGCCACTGTGGGGGATTCACGAAGATGTGTGTGGTCTAGATTTCTTAGCTCCAGATTACATTCCGGAGAATTCGTGGATCGATCTTCCAGATGTTTTACGGGAATGTTGGTGTCCAACTATTTCAGAGCCAAATATATACAGCCCAAAAGCCGGGCAGGGAAAAAAATGAAATTTCAGGGGAAAGAATCCAGCCATCATCTATTTACGCCGTAGATAGCAAGAGGTCCAGTCAAAAAAAAAAAAAAAAAAGAACAAGGAGAATGGAAGGATGAATGTAAAAAAAAGGAGGTATGATCATTTCCCCCAAAGCTTGAGCACCACAGGACTCAGATCAGACAAAAAAAACAAAACGAATCATCACATGCTCTTATACAAGGGACCAAAACAGCAGAGTCGTGACATTGGACAGCGATTACCGCTTCCTTATGAGTTGTTCATATCCCACTTCGGACGCAGACTGGACATCATGTCGTCCTTGGTACCAACCGCCTCGGCCGGCAAGCGGCTGACGCGGTAGTTACCCATGCGGATATTATTCTGGTGGGCAGCAGAGACGACACTCCGCGCACTGCGGATACTGCCGGCATCGCTGTTGGGGCCACCCTCATTCTTGAATCGCGGCGGAGGCACAAAGTCCAAGTTCGTAAACGTGCCGGATTTGCGCAGCGCGTGCGGGCTGGGCATGATGGAGAGCTCATCGAAGGCGGAGACCAATGGGGTGTGCGCACGCACGGCAGGGCTGTACGGTCGCATACCGCCAGGAGACTCGTGGCCACCTGCAGCGCGTTCCTTGGCTCCAAGGGCGGGTGCGAAGTCCATGGCAGTCATAAGAGAGTCGTCCGTCAACATGTGAGGAGTGGGAAGAACATGAAGCGGCGATGGGGGAGGGATGGGTTTCTTGGGAGCCCGGGGACCCGGCATATGGCCGGAGGCGGACGAGAAAGCACGCGGTCCGGGATGGCCATTGGCGCCAGCAGAGTTGGTAGCCATGTGGCGGGCAGCTCCCTGGAAGCGTGGAGGAGCGCGAGGTGGCGGTGTCATCGCACGACGAGTAACCGGCTCAGCGAACGGAGCGGCACCAGGAGAGTTATCGTAATACTCTCCAGTAGTGGGGTCGTAGATGAAACCACCTGCACCAGCACCAGCACCACTCTCGTAGAACTCGGGTCCGAAGTCTTCGTAATATGTGGGTTCTTGACCACCCTTGCTCTCGTCGAAATACTCTTTGTAAAAGGAGCGAATCCGATTGGCACGCTGCTCTGGGTTGTCGGCTGGGTCCTCTGGGGGCAATGGGCGCAATCCGAGAGTCATCCGGCGGGTATCACGGTGGTTATCATATGGCTTATCCAGATTTTGAGGTTCCTCTGGAAGTTCTGGGTGCTTATTATCGTGGCTCGGAGCGTTATGTTTCTGTGGGTCTGCTGTGCCATAGACATTGATCGCGGGGACATTGGACTGCGACTTGCGATCATCGCCATAGTCACTACTAGTAATATCGCTGGCTGGCAGGGAAATACGAGGAAGCTGTGATACAGCAGCCTTATCATGCGGCGGGCTTCGGGATTGTGAGGCATCAGGCAGCGGGAAGTTGAGGCGCTCTTCATGAGCATTGGTATGTGTGTTGCTGTATGTATCGTTTTCCAGGCCGAAGTGTAGCCCGGAATCAATTTGAGGTAGCGGACCTGGTGAGGGAACCCTGGTTGCAGAAGGGCTACCAAGAGCCATCCCAGGTTGCTGGGCAGGAGGTGGATGGGTCAACCCGGGAACCGGTCCAAGGAAGTCATTGTGGTGGTTCACAGGACTACGTCCATGAGATTCAGTAGGGGAAGTATACAACGGCGGGTCTGATCGGGACATTCTCTGTGCATTGCTGAGAAGACCGGAATGGCCGTCGTCGGCACCTTCATATCGAGAACCAGTGAAGCTCGATGCATCATCCCGGTTTCCCCGGGGGAACGACCGAATGGAAGCAGTGGCCGGATGGTACTTATCATCATCTATTGACATGGAATGCAGAGAATCTGGGGATCCTTTCAGACCCGGAGGCATCAGATAAGGACCGACGTCAAGAGACAATCCTTTGGTATGGGCGGGCTCTGACATCGGGGGCATCCCACCATGATGGGGCCCACCTCTCCGGGTTGCAGGTCCAACTGAATCCATTCCAAAATCGAGCGATTTATGTTTGTCCATTGCATCTTCCCGCAGAAGTTTCTTGACATGTCTCCGGTGAAGCACAATGAGAAGGATAATGGCACAGAGAATGGGAATGCCCGCACCGAGCACGATTGGCAAGACTGTTGTAGTCAGATTGCTGGAGGGCTTCTCTCCAGTGGTCACCTCCGATGATTCTTCGGATCTTGCCACGAGGGTTGGGCCATTGGTGACTATGGAGGTGGTAGTGGGGACCAAAAATGGCAGTCTATGTGAAGGAACGACATCCCGGCGATTGTGGTTTCGCATCACCAAGCCGGGGTGGTGGGCATGAGGCATGGCCGAGGCAGTCTGATCTATGGGAATAGACCAGACTCGTCTGGAACGTGAAGACCGGTCAACACGTTTAAAATGGCGATGGCCGCTGGAGATTGATGCTCGTCATTTAAATTCAACAGAAATCAGGATCTGTGTGGAAGCCAAAGAGAGTGGTTGAAAAGCAATGCAATCAAAAGGAGTGAACAGGACTAGGTCCCCAAAAAGAACGGCGGCCAGCAGCCAAAAGAGAATGAAGATGGGTCGGATACAGAGAGAGAGGGAAGAAAAGAGGAGAAGGAGGGAAGAGTGAGTTCTAGAATAATAGACTAGCGTGCACACAATAATATACCGTGACTTTGTACAGTACAGTACTCTATCTCCGCATCTTCCCCTGAGTGGGCTTAATTTAGAACACCTCGTCATTTCGTCGATTATGGATTGTTGTTGTTATTGTCTTGGGTTGGGGATTTTCTGAATCAACCCTCTGATCCTTCACCTGTTCAGTATATTTGTTGACACTTCAATGCAACACGCACACTGCACCAAGTAAGGCGAGGGTAAGACACCTTCCGGCCTCTGCGGTAGCGTCAGGAACCCGCTTGTTAACAGCCAATCGATGGGCGGCTACCCCTGAGCCAGCAGGTGGACACCCTCAAGGTGGCTGTATCTTGTTACACGCCGTATTCTGTATCTCCCATGTAAGGGCATAAGGGGTTCCTCGTTTCTCTCACTCTTTTGCCCAGTCTTGCGCCAAGCCCCGAGTCCTCAATTAATGCTTGTTCGTGGAAGATAAGCTTGTGATCCGCCCAAGGCAGAGTACGGCAGACTCTGTGACCAAGCTTCCATCTACCTAATCAAGGTATATGAGAGAATAGAGTAGTGATCCCAACGAAAGCGAATTTGCGGCTGTGATCTGTGATCTTCGATTGCTTCAAGCTGAGACGCCGGTGTGGCCCCCCTCATTTCCATGGGCCGAACGGGCGACGGATAATATTCGGATGAACGAATCTCCGTCGACACATCGTACGTTGACATGGCACATTTCGTCCTACAACCGCCTCTCATTGTAAATCCCCTTTTAGTGATTTGCATTGTCTCACTGAGTGGCTTGCTGCCTCCATTTGCCATCGAATCAATTTGTCGGGTTTGGTCTCGAGCTCGTGCTACCTACCTTACGTATCCGGGTAGACATCAGCGAATTGATATCATAGAACAACATCTATATAAAGAAACCACATTGCATTGCATTGAACACGAATAACGATGACCTAGCGATTTCTAATCTATCATAGGTATACACAGAGTTGTCCAATGCCTTTTCTTGCCCTGGCGATCATAAATTGTGGGTACAGCCACAGAACGCCTGCATTGGACTCATCAGATATATATCAGCGAGAAATCAATAACGGTGAAGCTAATGCAACACCTTAAACTGTCTGATGGTAAACTGGTAAACACTCACAGCCCGCTCTAGGCAATCAGCTATTGTAATTCTAGTCTAGAGAGTGAGAATGACGATGGTGTTCACATGTATCTCGAGCGGATAGAGAAATGCTAACGGTCAAACTATGCCTCGTTGGTTATTTCCATGATCTTAGGGGGAAATATTTCCCAGATCCAATTTACATACTCAAAAAAGTGAGAACTTATCTGTCATAATTTAAACCTTCAGGACAAGGACTACGGAGGTGGATTATTGAGAGTTGATTGTGTAGATAAACGAGTAGGTAGAACACGCCTCTATCTAGGACACACGAGCACGTCGCCCCAAATCTTACACACATAGAGATGAATGGGCCCATCAGGATGCTTACAGCTCTTGGAAATTTGTTCGATGCGATACGAAACTCATTCGCTTTACACCCATCTCATTGTATCACTTTGGACTTCCTACCACCATGTTCCTATCTCTCTCCCCGATTCCAGCGGCTCATTCTCACTATATATCTCGCAGATCTGTAACTCTCCCAGCGAGATAACGGCAAAGTCCCGACATGAAGAAGTCGGAATTTGGCCTCAGTCGTCTCTCCCATGTCGAAATTATAACGGGCGAGTTCATCGGCGGGTTTCTGATTGTCTACGAGCAGCCCTGGTATGAACACGAGAGCCGGGATCCACATTCCGATGTGGCATTCTCTACAACCGTGAGAAAACGTGGACTTGCCGATGGATTGTTCCGAATCAATTGGACTCGCTCTACGACTAACATCCAACCCGGTACGGAGTGATGCCAACGTCATTAGGTCTTTTGACCGAGTGTATTGTCTCTTTTACAACACTCGTCACACAGTGTTTCTACTGGTATCTAAGTTCCTCGGTATGTCAGGTCTATTCGTCTACTCGGGAAGTATGTCCAGGTGATTGTTCAAGGTTTGTCATTTCTGAATTAGACTTAGACTAGTCGGCAAGGTCATGATAATGCTCTTGTCCCCGGGTTGGTAATCGTCACATCTGGGGGTCAATGCTCTTCATATTGTCTTGTGTTGGGGTCTTCGTGTGAAAAGATCATCAGAGTATAGGTCAACCCCTTTGAAAGGAATCCTCCGTGAGTGGTACAGCGCAATTAGGGAATATGAGCTGCGCAAATATGAAACATTGACGAAAGGAATGGGAAAGAGATGACACGAGGGAGAATGAAAGGTCATGAGCCCCAAGGGCACTCGTTGAGAGTTCAAATTCGCATGTGTGAAATGCACACATGGCAAAATAAAACAGAAGGAGAAGGCTGTATGGTTGGCAATGTACATTGGGGTAGAGTTGTACACAAGAAGCGAAGAAAAGATAATGGCGTTTTTGATCAGATCGCATAGAAGAAGGCATGCAACAGGTTGCCGCGGTGAGATCATACAGAGGAGGAACATTAAGGTAAGAATGAAGAATATGGTCATGCAAATGATCTTCAGGTGTTTTTCGGTTCATCTCATGGTTGTGCTGGCGGATGGAAGGGAATGAGAGGGAGTGAGGATTCTGTGGTGGCGAGAGGAAAAAAAGACAATTATGACATATCAGCCAGCGCTGCCTCAAAGCTAGCAATATCATCGTGAGATGGTTTGTCAAAGATGCGTCGGAATGGCGGGTCTTGAGGGAAGTCCTGGGGGGTGGTTGCTACCCCGTCTGCTTTGCGGATAACTTCTTTCAACGCACGCGTCACAACACCAGCACGAACAACCAAATTCTTCAATGAGGAAGTATCGAATGGAAGTTTCTTAGCACGAGATGAAAATTCGAACTCATCGAGAGCTGAAGTGGGCTCTTGTTGATCACGCCCAGCCTGGAGAAGATCAAGTACGGATCTCGATTTTGGTGAGACCTTTGCAAGGTGAGCGAGGGGCAACGAAGGCTCAGTGCCTTCACTATGAGGCACGTCCCACGAAACCTCACTGTTCCTCTTCGACGACGCATTGAGGCCGTCATCGTCAGATTCATCAAAGCTGAACGTGAGAGACGAAGGGGATCCTGGTGGGGAGCGACGCTCCTCTTCATCATCAATGGTCGCAAGGTTAACAATCTGCTCCGCTTCTACCCATAGTTCACTGGAATGTCCGTTAACAACACCTAGAACGTTTGCTTGATGCCTGAGGCGCTTCAGCTCTTCCACGAGGAGCGTCAATTCTTGGACCTGTCCAAATTGACCGCGTAAACTTGCTTGACGCTCAAGGATCGCCTTAGGAACAGTCATGCTCTGGCGATTCCGATCAGGCTCTGTGAGCTGTGTGTTTTCAGCGATGGGTGTCTCATCCGACTCCTCAAAATCAAAATCGCTATCCCAGTCTTCACTGACTCCCTTGCTACCCAAGCCCCAGGTACCAAACTTTCCGGAAGTTTGACGCGACTCATTGATGGGGAATTCACTGGCAACTGGAACGCTCTGGCTTCGAAGGTGAACAGTGGATGGCGCTTTCCGGCAAACCGCACGACTATTCCTGGCAACAACACCCTCTTGTTTCCCTTGCATGGTTCTAGGACGCGCCTCACAATCGGCTGATTCGCGATCAGGGCGTGTTTGTTCCGACCAGTCAAATATATTTGTCTTTTTGTTGATATTCAACTCCGACACGCCAACGAACGATCCAGAGACGTCCTTGGGAGAACCGAGATGCGACTCGGGCGGTTCAGCAAATTTAGCCAATGACTGCGTCAAAGAAGGTGGAAAACAATCACGATCCTCGCCAGGCAGTGCTCCAATCATACTGAGAGCATCTTCACCAGGCAGGCCAGCATGAGCCGACGGATTCTCTACCATGGAGACCTGAGCCGGAGGAGGGGAGGTCAAAAGAGGACCAGTAAACAATTGAGGATCCTTGTCCAAAGGCCGAGGAGCAAGCGAGCGCCGCGGAAGGAGAGACTCGAGGGTCGTGGCTTCTTCACTGACTAAACTCGTGCCTGCTTTGTCAAACATGGTTTCAATGCGCAACCCCTTCAATCCACTGCTAGTGGTTTCGCGTGTGCGCACAGAGTCCCAATAGTCAGACACTATGTCCGTCTCATATTCGTCGCAAGACGTAAAGACCCGAGTGTCATCGGAACCAATGATTGTGGAAGCCGGATCGGAACCTGAGATTGAAAATCCCTTGGGCCGGCGGCGAAGAGAGCCATAAGGTGGTCTACCAGGGTGCGATGCCTGTTGCCAGGCCGAGATGGCCACCGCATCCGAGGCCATTTGACGCAGACCCGCTCGAGATCCCAAGCCAACGCTATAGTCCTGCGATACCGACCTAGGACCAACTTGATATCGTCTTTCCAACGCTGATAAAGCCCAACCAGGTTGCGAATTGGGATACGGAGCGCAAAACATACTTGGATCAGTGATATTACGCCGTTGATCGGGTTCCGGGGAACTCGGACTGACGACCTCCTTTTCTTGTTTGGAAACTTCAGAGCGAGGAACTGAGAAGGTCCTTCCTTTAACACGCTTCAGGGAACCACCGCGAACGAGTCCCATAATCGGTGTCCCGTGCGCGGTGACTGTGTTTGCCATGATAACCTTAGGCTCAACATCGTTGACCGAGTGCGATTGCCTATGAAAAGGTTTCTCTGGCATTTGTTCCGGGGCCATTGGCTGCTCGGGTGAAGGCTTAGAGACAGCTGATTGGAACGGATCGCGGAACTCAACCGGAGTACTGGGCACCGATCGCTCTTCTCGGGGCGTGGCAGAGTTGGACGAGACGACATTAGCCATAACCAGCACAGGAAGAGCGCCCTGGTCAGACACAATCTGTCGCACATTCTGGACCTTTGATGCGGTTGCACTTGAGAACCTGCGCGAAAGCCTCTCTGCCAACTTGCTAGCCTTGGAAAAGAAGAATGGCGCCCACTGCTTCTGTTTATCCAGCTCGAATTCCTCGAACTTTGGAGTCTCAACCGCAGTCCTCGGGAAACATGTCTCAAAGTCAGATGTCAACGACGTCTGTAATATCATTGACTCAGACCTTTGGTGACTGGTGGCGGGTCTACGCAGCACAGACGGTGACGGACCACCCACAGTGTTAGGAGCGAGAGGGTGTGCATTGGTGTGTTGCGAGGCTGGGCGCTTGATCAACTTGTTAGGTGGCCGTCGCTGATTTGGCGAAAGAGGGAACATTGGGCTCGCAGATCCATTGAATGAGGGTGTTACGGGACTGTTCGCGGTAGGTGTTTCGGTTTGGAATGAAGCCATCGACAATCGCCGCAGCCAACCGGTTGAAGGCCGCCGAGAGTGCGTTTCGGCCGATGAGTCTGTTGATCCATGTTCCGGGATACGCACAGGTGGGTTTGTGAGGGTTTGACCACGACGGCGACGTCTCGCACCACTGAACGACAAGGGCGGCTTCCGCGCATCGGGTCCTTGACCCCGAGAGCTTTCCTCCTCCTTTGCAGCAAGCCAGTCGGCTGCTGGACTTCGAGACGGGACAGCGGTGTTTGGTCGAGCTCTAGTTACCTTCTTCTCGGTAATACCAGAACCTGGAGCGAGTGGGACTGGGAGGTCTTGAGCGAAAGTCTTCCGCCGGAAGAGGCTGGGACGCTGTGTCCGTTCGGCGCGACCGAGCGCAAGGCCTGTAGGAGCTATTCCGACAGTGCTCAATGCACAGAGCTAGGACCATCAGTCAGTTGATATCCTTGACGGACCAAAATTGCCCTCCGCAGAGCAAACCGGTCATATACCACGATCTGATATTAGCTCGGGGGCTTACCGTTGATACGTGATCCATCCTTAGAGGACGCCGAGCAGAGTGTCAAGCACCCCGACGATCAGCTCCAGGTTGAATGACTTCGTGAATGACATTCCAGGTGGATGCGCATACAAGCAAATTGCTGAAGAAAAGAAATGATGGGGGGGGTTGGAGGGGTGGGAGAGCGCGGTCGGATGTGAGGGAGGGAACTTGCGCTGCCTCGAATAGGCCACGATCGCGACGCTCAAATGAAATGAAGAAAAAAAAGAATGAATGGGGAAATGCCAAACAATGAGCAAATTCCAAAAAACAAGATCGCTGCCTCTAGCCCCTGGGAGGCCGAGTAAAGAAGGGGACAACGCTGGGAAGATGAATCGCGGGATGGGGAAATCAACAACAACAGGCCCGGGGATTACCAGCTCCGCCCTGCGCACGCTAGGAGCAACTTCAATAACTCCCTTAAGACCCTTGCCCTTGGATGGAAGTTCAATTGATCTGGGTTGTGAGTTCGGAGTTGAAACTCGGTGGAGAATGAATATTATGAAGTATACTCTGATCCAAACAAACTTCTACGGTATGGAGTACGTTTACCAGCCTTAGCTCGTCTTGCAGGTCCCGTGGAGGAAATACCCCGATTGCCCTCCACGACAGGAGAGCACGGAACAGCACTAGCCCTTTTGTGCACGATCCTGCGGGTGTTATTCCAAATGCAGGTGAGAGATTAGGCGCAATGCTGGCAGGCCAGTAGCATCCCTTGCGGTTCACATTGCATTGGCGTCATAGTCCAGAACTTGTCAAGGAACGGAGAACTCCGTCAGTGAGTGGCCACCAGGGGCCCAAAGAGCAGGAAAATGGCCCCAAAAAAGCCATGCGATCCAGAATTCCCCACACATCTGGTCTCGGCTGGCTGGGATCGCGTCCTTGGCCCCCTAGCCTGACTAGGATCGTTAGTCGCAAGATCGCAGGCCCCTCAGGCCGATCAGTGCCCACTGGTTTGCTACGATGAACTGTTCTCCGAGGCAGCTCCATGCTGAACCATGGTGCAACGATATTAACCATGCTGAAGAGTTTCGGTTCCTCTCGGCCTATCCACCGAAAAACCTGTCAGGCCTCATTCTTCTTCTTTCTTGATTTTGGATGTTTTGCAATAACTCTATTTTCTTTTTCAGGTACTCTCCCATCTGACTTTGCTTCTCGAACAGGTTACATCCTGGAGGACTAGGTTCCTATCTGACAATAAGCAGCTGAGAAGAAGCGCTGGAGAGAGAGGCTCAATGCACGGGCATCGGCAGCACGTTCCTAATTTTATTATATTCAAGGAGTTCAGTAATGGACTCAATCATTTCAAAATCGACGACTTTTCATAATCCGCGTCTCAACAGTTGACCTGTTCGATTCTTCCACAACAGATTCAAATCAAATCGAAAGAGCATCTGGTAACCCGGGTGTTATTGTTTTTGTTTTGACGCCGTCATATCAACTCCACTCATTTCCACCGAACAAATGAAAATGGAGCCCCCGTGGGTCAAACGAGCAGGACGAGAGCCACAATCGGGTTCTAATTCCGAATACGTGCCGCCTCTTGCTTGTGCTGATGTGGCAGTTAACCGTCAACAATAGCGTATCAAATAGAGAGTGGGGGTGTAAGCACCTCGTGTTTCAAGCTCTTTTTTCTTTTCTTTTTCCTTTTTTTCTTTTCTTTTTTTCCCGTCACTTTCATATTTTGAACGTGCACCTAAAAAGGATTTCTAGGTCGATCTCCCAGGTCTTCCGAAACCCTGAGAAGAGTTCCTCGCTTCTAACGATCGGCATATCCAATCATTCGGGTTGGAAGGTTAAGGCGAGGGGTGTACAGGGATTCCCACGTTCAAAGTGATCGGCTCCGGTCTCGCCATGTGTATCCTGTGAACTGTTTAAGGGCAGGAAGCAATACTCCGTACATACTTTGGGTTCTGTCAATTCATGTTCTCAGGCTCACAAATGCAACCTGCTATCACCCGTTATACCAGTGCTGGCTGCGCGATCTGCAGGCTGGAACAAGATATTCCCTGCCACCACCGGGTGATCATGAAGCGCGCTGGTCCAATGGCCACTTCTTGGCGATTTCCCAAAAGGAACCAGACCATAATAAACAAAGACCACGGGTAGTGGACTTTGGGCCTTGCGAGCACAAATCTCGGCCTTGCACTCTCGGCAAATTCTGCAAGCCCGTGCTTTGCAATTTCCGAATTTTGTGATCAGTGTCAAATGGAGTCCCCTCTTTTACGCAGCTTCCGGCCTCCCGAATTTTATAGCTTTGCTTCGTAGTGCAAAGAGCGGAATCAATCACTGCTATTATGTGCGCTCTTCGGATCTCGTCTTATTGTTTGTCGTTGATCTAATGAGTCTCCGAACATGAAACCATCTATGAAACAGGCTGTAGCCTGCACAAAGCGTCTGATTTAGGTAAGAATCTCGCCAGTGTTCAATTATGCAAAGTGTACGGAGACTTGGGCAGGCTGCATCGTTCACTTCACCGTCTCTATCTATATGCTGTATATTATTATTAGTTGTAACCCATACCTGACATGTGTTTGAGCCAGATGAGCGGTCTGATCGAGGTGCGGAGGGCTGCGTTTTCCAATGCCTCTAATCAGACAGGAAGATGTTCCTCATCCCAGAGCTACACCTCATATTGCTGATCAATTTGACGATCGGGGAGACAGCAGTGCTGTAAGTTGATCATTGCGCCACATTCGCTCTGCATCTCAATGACCTCCTCATCCGACAAACAGCGGGCTGGTATGACAGTCGGGAGATGCTTTCCCACAGGCACATGTCTATCACAAACGCCTATATGTGATTCGAAACTGGTCTATCTGCGGTCAGTAAACTAGTCTGATGGGAACCTGCCGACGCGCGGTTCTGTCATCTCACCACTACATTAATTGATTTGAAAGAGCGCGCTGGTTTTCCTTTGCAATAGCTCTGATTCCAGTTTGTTTAAAAATAGATTTCTCGGGATCCGTTCAAGTATTCCACCACTAATAATCTCGTTGTCTACTATATAACTCGCGGCCTCAAGGGGCCTCAGAAGATTGGGGAATATAGAGAGGAATTATAAGATCCTAGCATGAGACCAATAGATCAAGGCATTAGTGACGACATGTATGTATGCAAGGTTGTAGGTACACTAGAGAAGAGCCTCCAAACACTATACCTTAGGTACTGGTTACTGTAGATGGATTTCAGGAGTGGCTGTAAGGCCATTTTTGGGTTCCGAATTGATTTTTAATAGTTTCAATTATCCATTATCTAGATAGATAATTACTTCACAGGCAAATCATTGATCAGCTATTATTGCTATGTATATTGAAGTTTTATAGGACCCGCTCAAGTTACGTACATACCTTCCTAACTTCGTTATACAGATATGCATTTATACCCTTATAAGTACGTGAAAAACAGCCACATTGCTTTGGTAGGGTATTCTTGTTTTTTTCTGGCATACCTCAGGATCTGTGAGAGCCATTCTCTCCAATTAAAAAATTGAATCCCTAATCTGTAAAGAACGCTTCTGTTACTGGTATTTCCCGGGGAGGAAAACGGGGCACGTGATCTTATCGATAACACACATCCAAAAATCCGCCACTATTCGCGATGAGGACCCCAATTACGGAAATCCACAAAGACCATTCGTCGCAGCTTCCTCAGCCTCGGTGAGACGCACGTCCCTGCGAGCCTAGCAATATGGAGGGTGAACTCCAATCCCAGATCCCTGGCCTCGACCACATCATTTCCGAATACTCAGTGGTATGTCTCTCCGCACATGTGCGCGGTGGTAGTGAGACTATTGAAGCTGATCATTTGACAGGGCTACTTGACCCACGCTGCAAACCTCTACGTCGACGATGCCACTGATCAATCCCCCTTGTCAGAGGCTGCCGAATCCGTGACCGAGCTCCTTGTCTCCGCCTCGGGAGATTTCTCCCCGCAAAACTACGAAGCGATCGGCAACTTGGTTGCAAGGTTCATCACCACTCTGAGCTCTTCCGATGGCGACCCAGAGCGGAGACAAATGCCGTTCAAGGCCAAGAAGCTTGAACAGACCATCAATGTCGGCGCGCAGCGGAACATGTCTTCTACACTGGGCCTAACCGGAAATGCCGTTGACCTGGAGTCTGCCAATACCAGAAAGATGGAGTCTAAGGTTGACAAGAAGAAGCTCGAGAAGGCCGAGCGCAAGATTCGTGCCAAGCAGGACAAGAAGTCTATGAAGAACGTTACCTACGAGGCATCCCGTCTGCTCAACCAGCCAGATGAGACCATGTCTTACGAGGAGTTCTTCATGGCTGTCAACCCTCTTCAATTGGGCTCGGACTCCCAGGCTAAGAGCAAGGACATCAAGTTGGACAACATCGATATCTCTATCAGTGGCCTGCGCATTTTGACCGATGCCTCCTTCACGCTCGCATACGGTCGTCGTTACGGTCTTGTTGGACAGAACGGTATTGGTAAATCTACACTTCTGCGTGCTTTGAGTCGCAGAGAAATCGCGATTCCTACTCACGTTTCCATTCTTCACGTCGAGCAAGAGGTATGTTCAAATCACAGATTGGTGGGGCTTGCTTTGACTGACTCTCCACCCTAGATTACTGGTGACGATACACCAGCTTTGCAAGCTGTGTTGGATGCTGATGTGTGGCGGAAACACCTTCTCGCAGAGCAAGCGGTTAGTCAACTCAAGGAATACCGCACCGCGATATTTACTGACAACAACAGAAAATTTCGAAAGAATTGGCAGAAATCGAAGAAGAAAGATCTTCACTCGCGGATACCTCGCAGGATGCTGCTAGACTTGATGAACAACGAGAGGGTCTGGATATCACATTGAGTGATATTTATGGCAAGCTTTCGGAAATGGAGTCGGATAAGGCCGAATCCCGTGCGGCCAGTATCCTGGCTGGTCTTGGTTTCTCCCAGGAGCGTCAGCAGTACGCTACCAAGACCTTCTCAGGAGGTTGGAGAATGCGTTTGTCTCTTGCACGAGCCCTATTCTGCGAGCCCGATTTGCTTTTGCTTGACGGTATTTACCATTGGTCTACTTCTTGCTCAAATAGCCTACTAATCTCTCGCAGAACCTTCTAACATGTTGGACGTTCCATCCATTACTTTCCTTTCCAATTATCTTCAAGGATACCCCAGTACAGTTCTTGTTGTTTCCCACGATCGTGCATTCTTGAACGAAGTCGCCACAGATATTATCCACCAGCACTCCGAGAGATTGGATTACTACAGAGGCGCCAACTTCGGCAAGTTATTCGAGATCCAAAGATTATTGCATGTTCTAACTATCTGTAGAAAGCTTCTATGCAACCAAGGAGGAGCGCCGGAAGACAGCTAAGCGCGAATATGAGAAGCAAATGGCCGAAAGAGCACACCTGCAAGGTTTGTCATTCTCTCAGTCTTATCATGCGGGCCGTGTTAACGAAAACCATCAGCATTCATTGATAAGTTCCGATACAACGCCGCAAAGTCCTCCGAGGCACAGTCCAGAATCAAGAAACTCGAGCGCATGCCAGTTCTCGAAGCTCCAGAGGCCGAGTACACTGTGCACTTCGCATTCCCTGGAGTCGAGAAGCTTTCACCGCCCATTGTCCAGATGTCCGAAGTTTGCTTCGGTTACACTAAGGACAAGCCTCTGCTCAAGAATGTCGACCTGGATGTTCAACTTGACTCGCGTATCGGTATTGTCGGACCTAACGGTGCTGGTAAGACCACCGTCTTGAAACTACTTACGAACCGACTTGAAGCTACCAGTGGTATCATTTCCACAAACTCGAGACTGCGTATTGGATTCTTTGCCCAACATCACGTCGATGCTTTGGACTTGACTACCAGTGCAGTCGGCTTCATGACAAAGACCTACCCCGGTAAAACCGATGAGGAGTACCGAAGACACCTGGGAGCGTAAGTCAATCAAAATCATTCGCATACTTTGCATTGACTAATCATATCTTATAGCTTCGGTATCACTGGTACCACTGGTCTCCAACGTATGGAATTGCTGTCTGGAGGTCAGAAATCTCGTGTTGCATTTGCCTGCTTGTCTTTGACCAACCCTCACATCCTTGTTCTCGATGAACCTTCCAATCACTTGGATATCGAGGGTATGGACGCCCTATCGGAAGCACTCAAGGTGTTCGAGGGAGGTGTGGTAATGGTTTCTCACGATGTGACTATGTTGCAGAATGTCTGCACTAGTCTCTGGGTTTGCGATGGCGGTACTGTTCACAAGTTCGACGGCACCGTCAGCGCCTACAAGAAGAAGATCTCCGCACAGGCTGATGCTGCTGGTGTTGTGGCTAAGCACTAGGTTACGAGGGCTATATGTAAAAACTAATGCCACTAAAACTATGAAGAATATTCCACATGAATCAGCATGATTACCCATATATCTATGAATACCAGTCTATTTATATTTATCGAAAATCTATATGTTAGTCTTTGTTTCATTTCCCTTTTTGCCTAGGAGACCACTATATCTATGTAAAGCCAGTGACTGTAGCTACTAAGGAAATAAAGGCATACCATATCCCATCTCTCTGCTGCTGATTTGTACTGTTGTACATGATATACCGCATCGTCACCGTGCAGAATCCGAGTTCCGCGTTGAGCGGGCTTATCGGCTTATCGCGATCATCCGCGGACGTCACTTTAGCATTTCAGATGTCCCAGGGGACTTCCAGATGATATCCTAGGGATAGAGCTCGAAAAGTCCGAAGATATGACGGGCGCAGATATACAGGACCAACAAGGCCCTCATGCCCCTTTGCTCGCTTCGTCCCATGCTTCTTCGGACCATGATACCAATGACTACGACGAGAGCCTGGCCTCCGAGCTGGCATACTCCGGAGGGTGGTTCATATGGGCCTTGACCTTCTCAGCAGGAATAAGTGGTCTGCTCTTTGGATATGAGTATGTTAAATATCACCTTCCACGCCGTGTCGCGGCTCCATTGCTACCCCGGTATCACTAACACATTGTTGGAACTTCTAGCACGGGAGTCATTTCGTCTACTTTGGTGACTATTGGCTCAGATCTTTCGAATCGGCAATTAACAACACTCGATAAAAGCCTCATTACATCCTGCACTAGCCTGTGTGCGCTGATCGCGAGTCCGTTCACTGGAGTGTTGGCGGATAAGCTGGGTCGTCGGAAGGTTATACTCGGCGCAGATGCATTGTTTGCATTGGGTGCTTTGGTTCAGGCTTTTACAAGCCAGGTTTGGGGCATGATTCTTGGGCGCAGCATTGTTGGCCTTGCGGTTGGAAGTGCGAGTGCGGTGACACCATTGTAGGTTGGCCCTGTCATGACAGGCGAGAGCCTGAGCCATTGGCGGAGAATGGATCTCATGAAAGTCAACGGAAGCTAATACGTCGGGAATTCTCTCTAGGTATATATCTGAGTTAGCTCCTTCTCATGCCAGAGGAAGGCTGGTCACAATCCTGTGTCTGTTTGTCACTGGTGGTCAGGTAGTGGCATACATAGCCGGGTGGCTGTTTTCTAGTACGACCGGAGGATGGCGATGGATTGTGGGGATTGGCGCATTGCCAGCGTTTTTTCAATTTGCCATCATTGTCCTGCTACCCGAGACGCCCCGATGGCTGGTCCAGGCTGGATTCGAGGCTCGGGCGAAGAAAGTTTTGGTCAAGATCTACCAGGATTGTTCTGGGAGTGACCGGGTGGTGGATCGCGTGTTACGCAACATTAATGGGGAAATCGTCCAAGAAGCATCGGAGATGGGGCAAATCAAGTCCCCTGGAACAAAGCCGCAGTGGTTACATGATACCCTTCAGCGGGGTCAGCAGTTGTTGCATGGAGGAAACAGAAGAGCGTTGATCATAGCGATGATGCTTCAGGCCGCCCAGCAGCTGTGCGGATTCAACAGCCTGATGTACTTTTCAGCAACCATATTTGCCTCGCTTTCGTTCTCCTCGCCAACACTGACGTCGCTCTCGGTGGCCATGACGAACTTCATTTTCACACTGCTTGCATTTGTACTGATTGACAGAATTGGGAGGCGTCGCATTTTGCTGTACTCAATTCCCGTCATGGTCATTGCTCTCTTTGTCTGTGCCTTCTCGTTTTCATCAATGGATGGTACATGGAATTCGCAACCACCATCGCAACATGAAGCAGAACACGATGGAAGAAGTTCTCTTATGCCCTTTGCAATTCTGCTCTGCTTGACTGTCTATACTGCAGCCTATGCCTTGGGACTCGGCAATGTCCCTTGGCAGCAGTCTGAACTGTTCCCTCTGAATGTACGTTCCCTGGGGTCAGGACTGGCCACAGCAACAAACTGGGGATCGAATTTCATCATTGGCCTTACGTTTCTACCCATGATGGAGTTGATCTCACCTTCATGGACATTTGCACTCTATGCACTTGTATGTGTGGCTGCGTGGATTGCCGTATGGGCGATTTACCCCGAGATGAGCGGACTTGGGCTCGAGGAAGTCAAGGGCCTTTTGGCAGACGGCTGGGGAGTCGAAGAAAGCTTAGAGAGACGTCGTATCTCTAGGCACATATAGCATTCAAATTGAAAATCTATGAAGTCTGGGGTACATGCTCAAATAGGCCTAGAAGGTGTGGAAATCTAATTAGGGCATCTCTTTGTCTGACCCCTTGATTCCCTTTGTTTCTCTTTCTCTAATTGTCAATTGGTGCTCAGCTTGCCCTCATTGGATAGAAAAAGCATGAAGTGACCTATAAAGGCTTAGTTCTATGATTCGGTCTATTGTAGCTATTGGATCAGCACCAATGGAATCGCATATACACCAACATTGTAGACCATCTCGGGGTGAACAATAGATCCCATTAGCTTCAATAGCATTACAGTCGACATAGCAGATTATTTCTTCCCTCTTCATCCCCAATTCCAATTGCAATTGTTTGCTCTTTCGCTTCTATCTTCTCTCCCACTTTCAAAAAGTAACCATCCCTTCTCTTACCGCGACTTCTACACATACCAGTACAGTGAGCTTGACATCATGCATGGTATGCTGAAAGCTGACAATATATGCTTCGAAGACATGGAGTACGAGAGAAGCCCCGTGCAACTGCCCTCCGTGGCCCCCCAAGCTTCTCGCTGCCAACTGCTGGAGCTCCCGAATGAGGTAAGTAGATAGACCTAGGTACCGGCTGTCAAAGCAGACGTTAATAATTGAGATCAATAGCTGCTCCAGCAGATTGCCTGCGATCTTCCCACCGACCGTGACGTTCTGAGTCTCTCCCAATCTTGCAAGGAGATGTGGGGGAAGGTCTTCGAAGCGGAGTCTGCCGTCTGGCGAGACCGCTTCAGCAAGCACTACGACCTCCCCGCTGGAAAACCGTCCAAGCAGTTGAAGATCGAGTACCAGATCCGCGCCATTGTACTCGACCCGCAGATCAGCTTCGGAGGAGTGGAAGACGATCGTCAATATCTCTGGATGGAGGTCATCAAGACCATGCTTGAGGAGTCCCAGCAAGCAACCGTCGCTCCTGGAAAGATATCCAAGACATTGGATTGTATCGGTGAAACCCTCAAGAGAGTCGACTTCCTGAGCGAGTTCCAAAAACAAGGAACGATCTCGCAGCTCTTCTACGCTCTCCAACTGGTACATCGATTCTTTTCTGACCTGTGAATGGGACATTTGCTAACGTTGCTAATGTATAGTGCCTCTCTCCCTTTGCTCTCAACCCTACAGTCACCCAGTCTTGCCGCCGCACCGACTACAACATGGAAGTAGTCTATTCATGTACTGAGGGAGTAGGCAGTGCCTACATTGGCCACGACGACCTCGACCTCTCCAAACTCGTGCACATGCGCTGTTTCTGGCAACGACATCTTCTCAACGCCTCTGAGTTCACCTACCACGACTCTTTCGCCGGGCTGGCTCCAAAGATGAGACCCAAAATGGGAAGGCAAGACCCAGTTGATATTACCAAGATCGGCCAATCTTGGTTGGGATACTATTGTGAGTATATCAACTTATCATCACCAACTCATCAATTTGAGCTGACTTTGATTTTCAATCAGCCTGCATGCACCCAATCTCTGACTTGCTGGAGATTGATCGTCAGACATGCGCTGATTTCGGTAGCCATGGCGACACAATTGATGTGATGGTGAGCTGAACCCGAGTCTTCTAATATGTGATGAAACCTGCTAATACAATCCACCTGCAGGTTCTCGACCTCGTGCCCTCGGAGAGCCTGTTCTGGCCCGAGGAATGCCGCAAGCTCATTCCCCTTGTCGGTGGCACTGAGACTAAGCGGTCATATTTCGATGGCAAGCAGAGATACCATGCCAGCGCTGAGGGCAGGAAGAATCATGTGTTCGGATTCACCGAGGAGATCGACTTCGCTCACGGCGGATTCCGGGGATGGACCCGGATCTGCTTCACCATCGTTCAAGCAGTGGAGGAGGATGAGGACAAGCCTTCTTACCTCGTGCTGAACACTGACTGCTGGATCCATGCCTACGAGGCTGTGATCACTCCTGGCGGGTGTCTCATGATTGGGCGCTGGCTGGATATGAACGAGACCGAGGCCAAGGGCCCATTCATCTTGTGGGATGTTTGAGACTTCCCACTGCTCTTCTCGATGCTTTGCGTTGTTGTTTTTTTTTTGTTTTTTCTTTTTAAACCTTTTTGTTTTTCTTGTCATCTAGGACAAATCAACAAGATCCAGGTGCCTTCATTCCAGTCTCGTGATTGAAATTTGTAGATGTTGAAGAGCTCCCAGGGAGGAGTGACAAAAAAGTAGATGCATCCATGGATGTGGGTGAAACAGACTAAGGACGCTCATAGCATTGAAAATTAACTTAGGAACCTCTGTCCAGTAGAATATTTATGACACAAAGCAACGTAGCTTTTGGGGAAGAAAAAGGAATTATGCGTTGAGAAAGGGAATAGATAACATAGAAATTAAAACCGCCACTACTCCTCAATATCCTTGACCTTCTCCCACTGGCCCTTGAGGTTCTCCTTCCACAAACTGACCTTGTTGTCACCTCCGCTGACGGCAAGGATGTTGCCGCTGAGACTCCAGCTAACGCGCCACAGGACAGTGTCAAACTCCAGTGTTTGGCTCGTCCACTGGCTTGGGTTGGAAGCGTCGGAGGTCCAAATGCGGACGGTCTTGTCTTGCGCGGCGGAGGCAATATAGGACTTGGAGAGGATGCTAGGGGACCAGGCCACATCACGGACCCAGTCTGAGTGTCCCTCGAGGGTTTGAGTGAGGTTGTAAGATTTGGTCTCCGCACTGAGAGGATTGGGTTAGTTCATATCATAGGCAAATGAAAGACTCATCAAAGAACATACTTATAATCCCAGATCTTGACCAAGTTGTCGCTACCACCGGTGACAAAGCGGCGCTGTTGGCCGGGTCCGGGGTTTGAGCTGATGAGGCTACCGGCAAAGGCAGCGGGAGCCCAGCTGATAGAGTTGACGCCCATTCCGTGGGCATGGAAGGTTTGGTGAGTCCAGTTGTTGTCGCGGAACTCAAGCACGCTGACATGGCCGTCGGAAGAAGCGCAAGCAAGAAGACATCCGCTCTCATGGGGAGCCCAAGAGACCATGTTCACGGATGCTGTGTGAAGGGAGAAATCAAAGACCTTAGTCCATGTGCTACCACCGGAGGGCGAGGTCGCGGTCTGGGGCTGTTCTCTCCAAATCAAGACCTTTCCATCGTAAGAAGATGACGCCAAAATTGTGCCAAACTTTGGGTGAGCCTAAGTCGAGACAATCGCACAGTCAGTTGGTTTGCGCGCTTCAATGGTTGGTGTTGGAGGATCACTCACCCATGCGACACACCACACAGCGCCCTCGTGGCTATCAGACACACACGTCAGCGACCGGATATTGAGATGCGCGCCCCAAAGAACCAGCTTACCCCTTGAGTGTCTCAACCAGACGGTGTGATTCTCCCTCAATCTCGAAGATCTTTATCGTCTTGTCGGACGAACATGTTGCCAACCGGCGGCCGTAGTAGTCCAAGCCAGCATCGTGCTATATCCAGAATGGCTTGGTTAGCTTGAAGCCGACATATGATGGCAATAGGTGTCAATTGGAGCTGGTGTTGTATATTGAAGCACATACAATCATCTCTTCGTGCCCCGAATTCGAGATCACCTGAGGGGCGGCCTGGGAGTTTGAAGCTGTTAGCGACGGAATTGGGAAGCAAGCGCATAAAGTTGTTGTGGGAGATAAATTACCATTTTGTTGGATCGAATAAAGCAAACAATCAAGTTGACAGCTGGGAAAGCGCGGGGACTTGGAACAGCGCTCCCTGTTTGTATGAGCCAAACAACCTGGCCCTTCCGTATCTTATCGTGTGCTGATTCAGCTACCCGTCACGTTACCTAGATCTATGCACGTGATGAGCCTCGGCCGTCGGCAACCCCACGGCAGGCGTGGCGTGGATGTTTCTCCTAAGATTCCATACTTTTTCTTGCTGATTACTTTGAATAGTACTGCAGAAGTCTGATAGACATTGCCGGAAAAGAAATACCGCTATATAACCCCTTACAGCTCGTGTTTGGTCACTTTAACTACGTCATCATGGGTGATGCTCTATGCGGGCCGTCAAACGCCCTTCAGAACTTCCAGAAGCATACATCCGTCGATCGGACGCTTCAGCAAGATCGGTTGACTTCGCGTCAATCGCCTGTTCAGGTTAGACCCTCCTTTGGGATTGCATTGTTCCCATCTTTACTAAAGATATGCTCCTAGGGTTTCCGATCCCAGAACCCCCAAGAGGGAATTCTTGACACGGAGTTCGCCGCATTCGAAGGGAACCTTGCCGGTCCTGCGTTGCCTAATTTACAACATCCTGCTCATTTTGGAGGGCCAGTACACCATGCCGTGGCACATCATCCAGCCGCACAGCAGGCAGGCAACGCAGGCTGGGCGGCAGATTTCCAGAACTTGCAGATATCTGGACCTTCGCACCCTGTAGCACAAGTCCAAAGACCAAATATTGCGCCGGCAATGGCACAGGGCGGGTGGCATACTGAATTCATGAACCAAAATCGAGGGCCTATGTCTCAGGCCCAGCAAACCCCGCAAATGCATGGTGCATACCAACCATCTTTCGCGCCGGGTTACCAGATGTATGGCAGTTCCATGAATCAGATGCAGCCTTTGCAAGCTATGCAACCTCAGCAACAAAACCACACCGAGCAATTTGACGAATCCGCCTTTGAAGCTGCGTTCGACCAGGCACGGGCAGATATGGAGTTACAAGGAACCGATCTTGCTCAGAAAGATACACAACAGAACTTACAGGAGACCCCTGAAGCTGATGTAGTCGAGCCAGTTGTTCAGCCGGAGATTCGACTCGGATCAGACCTTATTCCCCAAAGCGGGAAGCAGGACCCAGAAACACGGAGTCGGGATGCAGATGAACTGGCGCGCACAGCCGGACAGCTGCTCGACAGTGTACGCAATGATCAAACTCAAAAATTCCAACAAAGCAACTTCTTGGCTTTGATGCGCCGGATTCGGGATCGCGAGGTAGAAGTGGAAGGAGAGGATTTCCGCGAAGTCAGTACCAACCCGTAACGGTTTGGATGTCGGACGTGACAGAAACACCGGTATAACTCGGGAAATCTACAAGGGCGGTTGTCCTTGCTAATAGTTTGCAGACGGCGCAATCTCTTCACCCTGGGGGGCGATACTACCCGGGCCACCCCCACACAAATTACCCTGGTCCCGATATTCCGCCTAGCAGTAAGGAGACATCCACCCTATCGGCAGGCCCCGATGCCCTGCAGTCATGAAAAAGATAAGCCAAGAACCTGACTCGACCCACTGCCCAGATGGAGTAGATCTCAGAGATCGGCCGACCGAAGAAGAAGCATCTGATCACCAGGGATCCGGCGCATTTGTCCATGGCGACACAAACGCACTCTACGAAGGCTTAATCCACAGCCAAGGTCTCGTGGACCGGCGCAGGGGGTCATTTTGCTTTTTGGGAAGAGAGTTGGAGGCGCATTTTCTGCACTAGTGAAACCAACATTTGAATGTTTTGGACTGGAATGTACCGGTACCTTCCTGGCTACTGTGGAGCCCACTGTGGCCTAGGTACCAGTACTTAGCTATATTGATACCCCATGAACAATAGCAATCACGTGACGTCTATTGAGAACAATAAGAAGCCCATTGAGTGTCCCGATTAGGCAAGTCAATGGACAGTCAATCAGCAATCAATGGCGTGCCACAGCCGCTGATTGGCTGCTTATTGAATGTTTCTTTCCGATTGTTGTATCCATTCAAACGCGCATGCAAACGTCCAGTCAATCGCAATGAGGAAATGCTCGACCTTAAATACTGACTTCTCCTCTTCATCTAACTTCTTTGCGTAGATCTCCTTTTTCTCAGACTTCTCATCATTGCAAACACAGAATCATTGCCTAGGCTATTCAAAATGCAGCCCCCATCTGACTCTATCCGCCATCATCTACAAAAGCTCGCTGAGGCCCGCGCAACTCGCAATCCATCTTCTACGCCTCTTTCTACACTTTCTCCCACTGCAGCACCACCTCCTTATACACTTTCTGTGACCAGACCTAGTGGCACCAGAATTATGAACATCGATCAATACGATAGTGAGGATCCGTATGCCTCTCCAATAAATATCCAGATTGATGGTTTAATCAATGTGGTGGGAGATGGCAACACTATCACATTGCCATCGTCCTGGCTGGGGTCTCCAGCGACCCCAACGGTCTCCGAGACGCCGAGCTCAAATCCTCGCCTCTCATCTCTGGCGGCCGTCATCATCGCCGCACTCAACCGGGCTAATAGTCTCTATGACGATCTTGGAAACCCGAGGCCCCTGAACATTGATATCAAGGCTGGGTTCAGGGTACATGGCTGCCACAACACTATTCATACTATGGATGCGGTTCCTTCCAAGGAGTCCGTTGACTCTGCAGCGGGCCCTGACATTGAGCATGAAACTGAGACTGCCAATGTCGAGGGCAGCGAGCGCAAGCGTCGCGCTAGCTCGGTTAGTACTCTGATTCGTCAAAGATCTCCTATGAAGCTCAACCACTGACCATTTCAATAGGAGCCTGTTGGTAATGCTCCCGCTGCTCAACGGCGCCGTCTATCCTAAAGACGCCGCGAGGCACCTGGTATGAGAGTTGGACGCCCCCATGGCTCTTTTATTTTGCTACAACTGCTATCATCGTTGGTTCGCTGGATTTATTTTTATGGCTGGTCTTTTCTTTTGGTCTTTTTTGATTTTACGCTTGGGAGGTTGCTCTGGGTTTGCTACTCGGTTCTTTTAATTTTACGTTGCTTTGCGTTGATATCCTGATGACTTCTCTGATCTCTGTACATTAAATCGTTGCTTCATATTTTTACTTCCTTGCAGTTAATGGTTCATTTGGCGAAAGCGATGGGTGTGGCGTCAGAAGGGATAGATATGGCGTCTAAATCAATGTTACTGTTTGCTTCATCCACTTCCCCGATCTCGACGTCTTCAGTAGAATTTCCACAAATTTTGAGCTGCTAGTCAGTTCACCTTCACCTTCGTTATTGTCATTATAATTGATTCTCAGAAATCCCTTAGAGTCATCATTTTATGGTCCAAGGACTGGCCGACATGGCTTTTTCTTTTATCAAATTCTACCACTTCCACTAGGAGCTGTCAGCTTGCCTCCCTCCCCAGTGCATTATATCTCATAAGAGGCTTAATCTTCTGTGGTTAACTAATCTATCTTTCACTCCACAGATTTCATGGCCCATACCTGTCTACAATCTCACTTTACTGACCCGATCATCTCGCAAGCCTTTCAACTCGGCCCTCGAACCTCGACGTACTTCCCCGCAGCTTCGCGCATTTGTGGCACCTTGCCCCAGCCTTTGCTTACAAGTATACATCGTCAACAGTACAGCTTTATCCTACCTAAGTGCAAGCTCGGTGCCATGGGCTACTGGGGTGGAGACAGACAGTTTTGCCCGAAGCCGGGGATATCTGATCGACCGAATATTGATCTGACCAATCATATCACCTTTTGCATTGGAAAACTCATCCATCCATGTGCGGTCAAGCTGGATACTCGCTCAACCTCGAACTGGCGGTGTAGAAACCCTCAGTGCATCACTGCAGCTCTCCCCGCGGGGTTCTCCCAATGGCAAAAATAGGCCGCAGAACAATACATGTCCACCTGCACGAAGATGTGCGACGTTGCTCTTTGGTGGAACACTCCGACACGATTACGGAGTACAATACTACGAGTTAGCGTCTAGAGTGGAACTATGCCGATCCACCATGCTACGGGAAAACCAACGAAGTGGCGACATCGAATGGTCTGGGGAATCCAGATGAACATTCAAGAAATTGGGTATCTGTTTCTTCACATACGGCGAGCTCGACTAAATGGTGGCTCTAATGGATCACTTGGTGACTTCTCCCAAACTCGGTTCTAACATGCCTTTGCCAAAATATGAGCATCCACCCGAGACAAAGTGCCCTCGTGAGTAGCATGAGATATCTCAATTTGTTCTTGAAGAGTAACATGCTGCTAGTGAAATATGCAAACATTGCCACTATCGATCTTTCGGAGTATGATCGCCCTGGTGGGAAAGAGAGATTGGCACAGCAATTCAAAGAACATGTGCACCAAGTTGGTATTGCTCACACGACCTTGCATTCCAAAAAGCAATACGTTGACACGAGAAGGATTTTTCTATATCACAAATATTGGCTTATCTCAGGAGGAAATTGATCTCCAATTCGCCATTGGAAAGGCATTTTTCGAACTACCCGAAGAAGAACGACTCAGACACCGTGCTCCCCTGGAGAGGGGCAGCTATAATGGCTACCGGCCATTGGGAGCATTAAGCCTTTCCCCCGGAATGCAAGATACACTTGAATTCTACAGTATATTCAAATTCATTCCCCAGAGTGAACGATCACAGCCAGACGTGATCAAGCAGTATTCCACAGAGATTGAGAAATTCTCCCGCTTCATGCACGAGAATGTATCCTTCAAACTGCTCCGAATACTAGCGACTATGCTCGAACTGCCAGAAGATCAATTTGTGGACGGAAACCGCTATGAAGACGAGTGTGATAGCTCGATTCGCTATATGCTATATCATGCTCGGTCTCGGGAAGAAAACAAGACGTTTAACGATGTGTACTTCCGTGGACACACGGACAAGGGAACATTGACATTTCTCTTCCAACAACCAATAGCCGCATTGCAGGTGCAGCAATCCAAAGATGCGGAATGGGAATATTTGAGGATTCCAGCCGGCTCCGTCGCTGTCAATATCGCTGATACGCTGCAGTTTCTCACAAATGGATACCTCAAAAGTGGATTCCATCGTGTGATTGCGCCGCCAATGGATCAGGTTCACCTTAACAGATTGGGGCTGTTGTACTTTGTGCGCCCGACTGACAAGCTGCCGTGGAGGACACTGGATAGCCCCTTCTTGCAGAGAGTGGGATGTGGAAAAACAACAACTGAGAATGATCAGGATGTTTCTGGGCTGGATTGGTGGCGAGCTGGAGTAAAGGCTCGCAAGGGAGCGAACTATATTAGTTCAGCAGCCAGCACGATCTAGAAGTTGTCAATGGATGTATATTCTAAGAATGCACTGCCCAAATGTAAAGAACCTTAGGAGTAGACATGGAATCAATCCTCACTCTTTCTACGCCAATTCCGAATACAAAGTGATCCACCTCGCTAAGTGCTCGTAGTGTGATATTTATTGACTTCAGGTTAACAAAGTTAAAGTACAAAACTTGGAATAGTGACTCCTTGCCCAATGAATACTAGGCACAGTAAAGTTCCTAATCCCGGTACGCCCGCGAGGTGCCAATCACCTCCATCTCAGTTGATGAGCTTTCATCCTCCTGATCTGGTTTCCTCACAGGGGAATTCAGACCAGACATTCCATAGACAGCAATAGCCGCCATTCCCAAAAATGCAGTAACGCAAGAGAAAACCAGAGCGACGATTCCACGGGCGGTGAATCCATCCGGAATAAACCCAGGTGGTTTGTTCTCTCCTTTCAGGTTGAGGTAATCCTCCATGTTGCCGGCAGCATTCCCTTCATAGGGCACACCGGCAGCCTCACAGACTTTGAGATGGTCATCAGGAATGATGAGGTTTGCTTGAAGCTCCCGAGGGGCTTCAATGAACGTCATCGCAAGACCTTGCATCATGTGCCAGTCAATGTGACAGTGGAAGAGCCAAACACCGGGATTGTTGGCAAGGAAGCGGATGACGTAGTAACCGCCAGGAGGCAGGACGAAGGTATCGCGACGCGCGGGATACACGGGGAATTCTGTATGATTTGAGGGATCAAAGGTGGCAAATTCGGTGCCAGCATCATAATCGTAGAAGCCCTCGCCGTAGGATGGGAATCGATCCAACATTTGGAATACGTGGCCGTGCAAGTGGAAGGGATGGGTGCCTGAGTCCTGATTGCTGAGGATGATCTCTACGACATCGTCCTTTTCAAGAACGACGGATTGGGTGTACTCGCCGTACACTGTCGCGTCGGTGGCTAGGTCGCCGGCAGACATAACGGTGTAGAGAGTAGGGACCTTCGGCTTTGTATAGCTGTGGTCGTTCAGCAAGCCGTAACCCATGCCATTGTCGAGATTGTCCATGACCAAAGTAAGCTCGATGGTGTGTTTTGGGTCCTTGTACAGCTCCACACGGTCATGGGGCACGAGAGTCATGTCGTCAAAGGGATAGAGATCCGAGGAGTCCTCCACTGGGAGAGTCACCTCGTTGTGAGGGGCATCGGCATTGTACTCCAGCCAGTTTGTTTGATTAAGCAAAAGATCAGGTGTGATCAAATCAAGAAGGGACGAATCGGCCACCATAGCCATACCATAGTTCCTTTCGGTAGAATCTTTCATAGTGACCAGGATGGAGTAACGCTGAGCAGCAGAGAGGTACAAAAGATCTGCCTCTGCCTCATCGACATAGACACCGTCGATTTCAACAATACGCATCTGATGATCCTCAATCCAAAAGTATTGACCGACGAAAGTAGCGGTATTGATCAATCGGAGAAGGTAAGTCTTCCCAGCCTGAACAGGATAGCTCTGGCTGACCGAGTTATTGAACAAAAAGGAATTGGGAATCGGCTCAGCTCCAGTGGGATTGTATAAGGACATGAATTCAGGACCAATGTCTTCGGTCATGTCATGGTACCAATCAGTCATGGTGAGAACCATCTCTTCATCGTAGTCATCGTAGAAGTAAGACTCCTCATCGTGGACAATGAAAGGCGCGCGGTACCCATCGGGATAGCAGTAATCTGTGTGACAGTGATACCAATATGTACCATTCTGATTCACAGTGAAGTTGTAGGTCATGCTCGACCCTGGGACCACTGGGCACTGCGTAACCATAGAAGGACCGTCCATATCATTGGTCCCGTTCTGATACATTCCGTGCCAGTGAATGGATGTGGTTTTGTCGCCGAGACCATTGTGCATGTTGACCACGACACGATCTCCTTTGTTCACATCAATTGTTGGCAGAGGCCATTGATTGTTGATGCCAATAACTTTGCGTTCGGCAAGTCCATCTGGATTTGCCATCACCCACGTCACATTCCAGTCAAATGTGTGTGTCGCTGCCTGACAGCATTTTGACAGGAGCTGTAAAGCTCCCAGTAGAGCAATCGACTTCCGCATTTTGGATTGCAGAACAGAAAACGTCCAGAGAACCGAGGAGTTTTTGGGAAAGACATTCTGGGTCCTGGACCAAGGTATAGTTATTGTAGTCTCCCATGTCTTTTTTTTCTTTCATCCTGCCTAAATTAATCACCCGACTAATCCGACATGGGTCGACTTGGCGAGATGATGTCTGCGAAGTAAAAAAAAAGCGTTGAACTAAAATAGCGTGGTGGAGTCGGATTGATACCGGCTTTGGTTTCCTAATCCGGTCAATTGTCTGTCCAAAGTCGGCACTGGGATGATCAACTCGGCATTGATTAAAGTGCCTTTCAACCACGCGGCGATTCCACAAGGTCCACATTGTCAGTCCCACTTAACTCCGAGATGTGGGATAATCTCTAATTGGAGGTGGCTTTACTCCGTACTTGCCAAGGGCTTGGTGTCGGGCTTGATATTCGTTATCAGATCTAAAAAAAAGTCCCGAGACCCCTGAGAATGGCAAAGCTCCACCAATTCACCCAATTTCCTCTCCCGTATGCATAGATCTTACATGAAAATACATCGTGAGTCATTTCGAAATCAATTTCGCAATCATCCTTGGTCTCCGTCGGCTTTTTGTCCTTGGCATCAAATTTCTAAGCGATATGCCTCTGTTATGGAAGGATTGGAACGACCACCAGCACATGAGTGGAGTGATCACAAAGATACCCATCCCATAATGGGCTCTAAGGAATTCCGATTTCCACCGTTCGGGTCCGTATTCTTGTTCCAGTTCAGTCCGGGATTTCAGTGAATAAATGAATATAGATTATTGAACAACTAGCCTGAATTAGAAGGTAGACAATCTCTGGACGGCCCGTTGTCGTCAGACGTATATTTACTTCTTTGAGATAAAAGCACCTAAGTGGAAATATTCCTCGGCTTTTCTCCTCACCCACTACTTTCTTGTCCCCTTTGCACAATGGTCAACGTTTTCTCCGTGCAGGTATTCTTCATTGTCTTTCGAGAATGTCTCGAGGCTGTCATCATTGTCTCAGTCCTTCTGTCTTTCCTCAAGCAATGCTTGGGCCAGCCAGGCCAGGACCAAGTGATCTATAAACGACTGCGAAAGCAGGTCTGGATGGGATCGATTATAGGAGTGATATTCTGTTTATGTATCGGAGCCATCTTCATCGGACTCTTCTATGGCTTAGGCCACGATGCTTGGGCTGACTCGGAAGAGTTGTGGGAAGGTATCTTCTATCTGATTGCTACGGTATGCTCGACACTTTGCACCATTATCGAAGATATGAGACTAATCCATCTACCAGATCATGATCACCATTATGGGCCTTGCTCTTCTGCGCATCAACAAGACAAAGGAGAAGTGGCGCATGAAGATTGCGAAGTCTCTGGTCGAAAAGAGTGAAGGAAAATCACGGTGGATGCGCAGCGACTGGGGTCGCCGCTATGCCATGTTCATCTTGCCCTTCATCACGACCATGCGTGAGGGTGTCGAGGCTGTCGTGTTTGTTGGAGGCGTGTCACTCGGATACCCTGCTACAGCATTTCCTCTGCCCGTAATCACCGGTATCATGGCTGGATTGCTCGCCGGCTGGCTCATCTACCGTGGAGGAAATGTGATGTCAATCCAGATTTTCCTTATCGCCTCGACCTGTGTCCTGTATCTCATTTCAGCTGGCATGTTCTCCAAGGCCATCTGGAGCTTGCAATACTACCAGTTTGTTGTCGGAGTGGGAAGTGATGTGGGAGAGACGGGCTCTGGGCCCGGCTCCTACAACATTCTTCAGACTGTCTGGCATGTCAACTGCTGCAATGCCGAACTTGATCATGGCTGGGATGTGTTCCAGTCCATCTTGGGATGGCAGAATACCGGTACCTATGGTTCCGTTATTGGATATAACGTTTACTGGATCTTCATCATGGCCTGTATTGCCTGGATGTTGTATGAAGAGCGGACCGGACGAGCCCCGCTGGCAAGCAGATTCTGGGGCTTGCTGGCTCACATTCCGGGACTCAAGAACATTGCCAACAACAAGTTGGAAGCAATGAACGTGAAGGAGAGTAATGCTGTGCGGCAGATTAATCCGGCAATGTTCCATGAAACTACCACAGTGACAGAGACTGTGCACCACAGCAAGTGAGTTGAATACGTGCTCATTGATTCTATGGATTCCTGAACCCTGGTGATTGGAGATGATGGATTTATCAATGAGTAAAGTCATGGGCTGTGGTTTGTTTGTTCTCTTTTTTCTCTCTTGGGAATAGAGAATTAGTTCAGATGTTGTTTGTATAGGCTACTTGGACTGATATAGTCAAGATTCAATAGATATTCAAGCTGTTTAATATTTTACAACGTTTTTCTTTTAGAAAGTCCTAGTAAATTGCGAAGAAACTTGCTTCATCGGCCGAATGCTACATACAATTGCATAAATATCCATGACCAAAATAACAGAGTCCCAATGAGGTAGCATTTTCTTTGTCGTTCTATGTAATTTCGACTCTCTGCAACGGCAAAGGCAAAGGCTAGGGGAAAACCTAGCAAACTCCTGTTTCGTATTCGGGGCTATCACGGACGTGAGAAGCGTCGTAGGGCTGAGTTCGGATATCTCGGGTCTGATAACCGTTGGCAGTTAATCTCGGCTTTATAGTGGGGCCCCAAAATCGGGACTGCAAATCACTGGCACATCCGTCCAAAGTCTTCCTTTGGCACATTTGGATCATGCACACGTTGAAGACCGGGCCATCTTCCATGGTTGCCAGATTCTATTAGGTAACATGGAAATCGTGACATGGTTGAGACTTTTCGGATTCTTTCGTTGTCAATGAGAAATGATGCATCTCCATAGGAACGACCTCACCCATACAGCTGTCCGGGGATAGGAGTGGGGCCCATCGCAGAGTAATTCTCCTTATGCAACAGTGCAAAAGCCTACAAAAGACGAGGAAAAAAAGAGGCTGAGTTTGAAAATCACCAGGATCCAGATTTTCTGCGAAATAACAATGTCTCTTGAGATTTACGGAAAACTATCTGGAAGTTACATGACACCAGTAAGCATATGTTGAATCTGCCGGCTATGAGATGACAAGGCTTGGGACAGAGACAACGAAGCGATGGAGAACCGTTGCAATTTCGAAAAGAAAAGTCTAGAATTCTCGGAATGTTTCAGAAACTCCACGACTTTATGACCGCGGTTGACGAAGCCCTGTCCCGGCCTTTTCCTTTTTTCTGGATTGGTATGTGGTAAGGCTGAATTCGGGGATAATCGCCGTTTTCTTTGCCTTTTGGTGGGACTTGCTACGAATGAGGTCTGGCTGTACCCTTGTTGGACTATCCCGGAGCCTTCCGTTATCAATCTCTATACAACCATGGAAGAAGTGCGAAGCTTTCGAGACATAGAGTGGGGTTCCTCGTAAACAATCCCAAATCCGGGCAAAAAGGCACTAGCTGCATCAAATGCCCATGGTGCCATACACCGGGCGTTTCCATTGAGCAACCTGAGGTCGTCAAGTTCGGCAATGACTGCCATTTTACTTCTCAAGGTCGGTCTTAACATCGAGATGCTCCACTTGTTCTACCTTGGTTGACATATCTCCGAGCCCAGCGTTATCAATCTCCGTGGAGATATGTAATCCTTATGTGCCTAGTGTACAAGGGCCTCCACTATTATGACCCTAGATTTTCGAATACGCGGAAATTGATCCAGCATCCTGGCTAATCCAAGGCCGAGATGGATATGTTGCCAAGTGGTGGAGTTCATTGACGAAGCCCTACCACGCACCACCTCTGGTAACGTATCCTCACCATTACAGCAACCAACCGTATTTGTCCCAGAGGGACACGCAATCATATCTTGGCGACAGCATACTAGGCAAAAGCAGATTTGGGCAGTCACCATTTACCAAACAGAGGTATACGCTTGCACCGATCTGTACCTTTTTGAGATATCTAGAACCCTGGCTATGTTTGTTAATTGCTTGAGAAATCTCGAAGGTCTGTCCTAGGAGTAAATAAATTCGTCAATGTAGAGCGAGAATCTATGAGCCTTGGGTTATCTCCGAGGTTGAAGTTGGATGTGGAGAAAATATGCAATTCGTGGTGGACTCCGGTGATGAACGAGCTATTGAAAGACCTCAATACATCGGAAGATATTCCCAAATATGGCCTATTGGGTGTGAACAACCGATAGATGGCTTGCGTTAGTTAGAATTCATTTTTATTTATCTTTTCCAGCGCTGGCATGCGATTCCTGGTGATATAAGTATAGTCGAATCTCATCATTTTTGAATAGCGCAATCCATAAACCACTGGAAACTATACAATGCTTCCCAAAGCAGCCTTCCTGGCCCTGTTCTGGGCCAGCGTTCAAGTAGCTGGACATACTACTGATGGATCCAGCACGAGTGCAAGTCGCAATGTCGCCGTCAACATAGAAGAGTACTGCTTTTACTCTATCTATACTAGTTTGTCTGCATTCACATTCAAAGACAGTGTGACTGTCACTTCCGCCACGACAGCCTCTCAATCTCACGGCGGTTCCTCATCTTCCTCGTCCGGTGAGTCCACCTCCATGGAATCATCAGAGACTTCCTCCCATGGATCATCTGAGTCCTCCGATGAATCCTCCGAGTCTTCGGAGACATACACACACGGATCATCCGAATCTTCCGCCGAAAGCTACACACATGACTCTTCTGAGTCCAGCTCTGAGGCATCTTCCGCTTCCTCCGAGGGTCACTCACACGGGGCATCACGACGCAGTGTGGTTCTTGAGAAACGTCGCCAAAGTGGCTCCGGCTCGTATGGCTCATACACTACTGGGCCATGCAACAGCACCGTGGAAGTGACTTCCATGTATGCTAGTGCCAAGGCACGGTGTTCTGAGAAAGACTTTAGAGTGGTAGTTCCATACTGGCAAAGCCTTTGTGCCAAGAACAGCATGGAACTCATGAGCCTGACTGCGATTGAAGCTAAGTTAACGGATGAGTATATCAGCTCGCTGCCTCAAATCGATCCAGATCAGAATAACGTAACAACCACTGGCATCATTGAGTCACCTGTATTGCTCACCCAGTCCTATTATAACAGAGCCTATAAATCCTACGTGAGTCAACCCACATTCATCCTCGCTGTCGGATAATCAGCAGCTAACATACCTTCCCTAGGTGAGCCATGATTATGCTATCACAAAGGACAAGCGGTATGGATGGGGAATCCTGGGATACTGGGGAGGCGTCCTAGTTTTGGGCATGATCTCCAAGGCATGGACAGTCTTCTTCAGCAGGCGGAGCGTGCGTGGTGGTCATGACCCCGAGACTCGACCAAGTCTACACAACAAGAAAGGTCCCCTTGCATCTCTATTCCATTCCTTCAGAACACACATCATTATGCCGGCCACACTTGCCCCAGCAATCTCTAACCACCAGCAACTTTGGCTCTCGCATGCTCTTCCGAAGCGAGTTGACACTTTGATTGTGCTGGGCTTCTGGATTGTCAGTATCATTCTGAGTTGTGTGGGCTACGACAGTTTCACTGGCAGTCTTTTGTGAGTTTTCCCCGCCAAGTAGGCGCTTTGCCTGAAGCCTTGCTAACTCTGAATGCAAACAGAGTACCAAGTCTGGCGCAGCAAAATTGGCAATATACCTCCGATCGCACCGGTATCCTCGCATATGCCTGCCTGCCGTTTTTATGGCTTTTCAGTGGACGGAACAATGTTTTCCTCCAAATGACAAACTTCAGTGTTCAGTCGTTCACGATGTTCCACCGCCATATCGCATGGGCTTGCACTATCTTGGCCGTCGTGCATTCCATCAACTATAGCGTTCTTTTCGCAGAATATGGTAAGTCAATCTCCCCTGAGCGAGTCAAAGGAACGTGGCTTGCTAACGACCACTGTAGTTGGTCGCTATTGGATTGCTTGGAAGGAAGAGTACTGGTACATGGGCGTGGTAGTGAGTTTCCTGACGCCATTGATGATGAAACCCAGAACTTATTCGCGATTAGGCCACAATCCTCCTATGCTTCATGCTTGTGCAGTCCATGACATTCTTCCAACGACGTTGGTACGAAACCTTCCTTTTGATTCACATTGTTTTCGCCATCGTCATCATGGTGGCTCTCTTTCAGTGAGTCCTACAACCACCGTCCTCGATCAGCAAGAGATGTTCAAGCTAAGAATCAACAGACATACCAGCTTCAACGGTCATGAATGGGTCGGGTATCTTTGGTCACCGGTCGCACTTTGGATCCTGGAGCGACTTGCTCGCATCACTCGTGTGGCATACTGCAACCTCAACGCTCGATTTGGGAGTCAGTTCTTGGGTACCTCGACGACAGTCACATACAGCGAGGCAAGCGATTTGATCACAATTGATATGGTTCCTGGAGCAGCAACCTTGACACCCAAGCCAGGCCAGCTGTACTATCTGTACCAGGCAACTTTGCTAAAAGGTTGGGAGAACCACCCCTTTTCTCTGGGTGCATGGGCCTCGGCCTCTCAAAATATGTCTGAAAAGACATCGACAGCCAAAAATGAGCACAAGCTCATCTTTTACGTGCGGCCCTACGACGGCTGGACCCGTCGTCTCCGTGATCAATGTCGCAAGGCAGGCGGAGTCACTCACCCGAAGCTCCTCCTCGAGGGACCTTATGGCCACGCCGAGCCTGTGTACTCCTACAACACGGTTGTGATCATTGTTGGCGGAACGGGTATTGCGGTAGCAGTGCCCTACCTCCTGGACCACATTGCCCGTGTGAAAGAAGGCAAGGCCCAGACCTCCAAAATCCAGCTTGTGTGGTCCATCCGACAGATGGAAATGTTCAACGAGGTCTTCAACAGCGATTTGGCCGAGATCATGCAACACAACGACATTACTATCACTGTCTTCTGTACTCGCCTTGTCACCATTGGACACGACTCTGATTCCGACGATGTGACGCTTTCTGGAATTGCGCCGGCAATCAAGGCCGCAGGTACCGATTCCCTCATGAGCAACAGAAGTCCGCGGTTCATGCCTGGTCGCCCGAATATCCGTGAAATAGTCATGGCAGAGGTGCAAGAAGCTCAGGCTAGCTCTACTAACCTGGGCGTGTTGACTTGCGGTCCGGCCCAAATGGCTGATGAGTGTCGCGGAACTGTGTATGACGCTATGAGAAATGGGTTCCAGGATATCGAGTACTTTGAGGAGGCATTTGGGTGGTAGATCAGTAAAAGCTCGGATTATTGTGGTGTCTCAGATGAGCATATAAAATTTCCAACGGATGGATGAAGAATTGATGAGATTTTGAAGTTATGCTCGGCTAGACGAGAGGTTCCATGCATGTGGGCATCAACTTGATAGGTAAATCTCTGTATTCCAGTCCAATATAAGCTATGATTTCTATGTCATAAAACAGCCAACTGAAGATAATGAGGATGGGAAAGACCAATACAAAGTTCAGACAACCCCTTGTCAAGTAGGGAGAGAGAAAGGATGATGAGCGAAAATGATTAAGATTGATAAAGGAGGAGGGTGTGAGGATAGGAAGCCGAAGGCAAAAAGCAAGAAAAATATGAGCGGAAGAGAGTAATAAACAAGGAAGGGCGGGAAATGGGCAGACCAGAAGCATAGCTTAAATATAAGAATTTGGACTGTGATCAGTAATTCTGGGAAGTTAGCCTAGTGTGTTTAGGTCCGGACGAATGTCTGTGCAATTAAGACCATAAACCGAATGACTTTAAATGCGACGATTGCCTGTGAGACGCGGCCATAAGGAGCATCCCAGTCAGGGGTGCGATTCCCCGACACTTCTTTTTTCTTTCTTTTCTCACTCCAAACTACCACATATATCTACTCTGAATCACATTTCAGTATAAGAAAGATTCCTATTTCAAATATTGCAACCTATCTAGGTTCGATTTGACGTTCAAGAGACGGTTTTTCTGGACGTGTTTCTAGACGGGCTCATAAAGGATCAATTTCATTTTGGGCTCGTGCATATGCGCAATGAAAGTCACTGTGTACCTAGGTAATGTATGCAACGGTGCGTACCGTATCAACACGAGGATCTGATTAGATTAGGTCGTCGAAGTTAGTTGCGGTGATCTCCGAGGCTAGCCTCTTTCGGAATTTGAGTTAAGGCCGGAAACCAGACCCGGGGGCAACCAATGGCGACAATAATTCCTCCGCCTGCAAAATGTCAAGCAGCCCCCTGACGCCAAGCACTCTCAGTTGCCGTCAGGGATAAAGAATTGTCGTTCACAATATACCTAGCTTCAACTCGTGGGTAAATGCTTTCCTTTATGTTCTAAGTCTGTAAATTTCACAGGGAAATTACATGATGAGAAATGAGCCGTGATCCGAGGTACTGCCACCTTGCCAATGTAGTTCCCAGGATATTTGAATCAGATATCCCTCGCTTTGCTCGCTATCCAAATAAAGTTGCTCGGTATTGGGTAGTAGGACTACGATCGGTTCTCCGTCCATTCTGACTGACTCTAGGAACGCATCACCACCAACAGAAAGATGGAAAGACCGAGCGAAAGCGAATTTCCACATAGTGCCAAAAGGATAAAGCGATCGAACATTGAGCCAAACGCGTTTTCAGCCCCGGATTCGGAGACCACCTACGTAGAGACGCGAGCCTCTCCGGAATAGCATACGGTGTGGTATTGTGCTCAGCTTACATATTGCCAAATTGAATTTATTACTCCGTAGTGGTCTTTCAATTAGCAGAAATTTCTAAATCATCCGATAGAATAAGAATTTCTTGCAAAATATCATAGATGTAGGGAGTACATACTAGCCTGTGGGTTATTCTGGCTTCCCTGACTAGTCCAGTGTGTGTGGATCAGATGATTCCCAGTCTCTCCAGCTATGACTCTCCTTTTCTTCTCGTACTCTTTCTTAGCACCCAGAAACCAGCAGTGAATCACTCATCAACCAATCCATACTGTGTCGCCTGTTCCTCTTTCCTTTCAAGATCAAATTTACCCGCAGAACGAGCTACCATGAAAAGTTCATGAGTAAGGTCATTTACATCAAGTATTTGGCTTTAATTGACACTGAGACAGATATACACTGTCTGGTAAGAGAAAGGGAATCCCAGGAATGCATTGCCTACATTTTCTTGCCGAAAGGTGTTCTTTGCGCCACAATCTATTTCCGGCTCTTGCTTGAACCACCTACGGAGTAAAGAGTCATGAGGCCACAGAATTGATTGTTTGATTAACATAATTTCTTTCACAGCTTCAAATAAAGTCCCGGGGTCCATTTTGGGGTATCCCCTTTTGGGGCTCGGTTCAGGATTCGTGTCAGACCAAGTGTGCCTCCTTGAACAGACAATCTGCCCCAAAGGCCGAGTCATAGAACTCCAGCCTCCGCAGTAGCCACGTTCAAAGCGCGAGTTCAATGAAACATCAAATCAAAGAGTGGGGGAAAGGAATCGCCATCGGAGATCTACCAAGAAGAACCCAGGATTACTTCGCCGCAGTCAAAGGGCTGTTTCAACAGCCATCTTGAAAGAAAATCATCGCCAAAGAGAATTAGAATCATTCCCCAGCATACTCCGTGTGCCCAATCTTGCATCTTGTCTGCAATCTCCGAGATTTCTTTGACTTCGAAAAGCCGATTCCTCGCTCTAGCCATGAGTTGGGCACATACAAAATCTCTGAATATAAATACCATCGTGAATTACCTCTTTCTTCTTCGCATTTCCTCTACACATCTATTGATATTTGCAACAATTGATTCTTTTTTTGCATCTAAAACAACCTATCGCGATTCTCTTATCTGATACAAAATGGCACCTCCACGAAGACGTGCTCGTCGTGTACCTGGAATGGCATCACCGGCTCCCGCTGGCGCTGTCCAAGGACAGGCTTCAGTCAACAAAGGCAAAAGGCGAGCTTTGCTACTTGGGGAGAAGGAAGCCGGCCCATTGACGAAGAAGAAGAAGAGAATAACGAGGAAAACAACGGTTACGGCTTCTCAACGTGAACCTTTGACAGGGGAAGCTCTCATGGCCGATCTGAGTACCGATTATACCGGAAGGCTGCGCTCTCGCCCTCGGAAGGCTCCCAGAAGACAGGAATGGGGAATGTCGGAGACTCCTATCACTGATCGAGAGCAAGCACCGATTGGCTGGAATCCAAATGAGCCTGACCTGAAGGACGAGTAAGATTTGCCCGTTCTGTATATTCCAAACTAGCATCACTATATAATTCGATGATTGATGGCTGATGGTTGACCCATGTGGTATAGTGACTTGGATACTCAGATCAAAAGGTGCCGGGTGCGAATCCTAGACAATATCATGCCTCATGTCTACGAACATAAACTGAGAGGTTTACTAGACAAAAAGAGGGAACGCGAGTGGGTCTCTCTAACAACCTTCCTAATATTGATTACGGACTGACCCATATACTGTTTTCTAGTGCAAGAATGGCGAATGAGCCTGGATTGAGTTGGCCCGTGGTGCAGCGCCTAAAAACTCTCCATGGTATCTTGAACTGGCTTGAGAAAGAAAAGGACGACTACAGAATGATTGATACGGTGGAAGCCATCATAGAACAATACCGAGCAGGCGAATTATCCTGGACTCCGGGCCTTGTTACCTACTGGTATCTTGGAACTAGGCTCTGCGAGCCACGTCCGTTCCACTGGGATGAATTTGCATTTGTGCATGACAGGTGCAAAGCACATTCAGGGTTCTGGGTTGAAGGTGTAAGTCTTTATAGAGCCCCTTATATTCTATCGGTCAGCATGCTAAACCCACATTATCAGATTTTTGGTCCAGGGCCTAACCACCAGTTGGCTTATCAGCTTATTGCGCCAAAATATACCTCGTTAAATTATGTATGTCATCACAAAAGCGCTTGTCTTTACAGGATTTCTCTGACATGTATTTAGTTACCGATTTCGATTCGGTGTCCAGTACCTGCAGAAGAAGGAGAGGCTACGCCCTTGGAGCTGGAGTTCATTGACGACACGGGTGCTGATAACTTTGCCATGTGGTCCAGTGATGTCTCTGATCTTATAGCCCAGGGACCTGGGGCTGGATATCCTATGCCCCGCGCCCTAGGTGTTGCGGAGTCCACCTTGGCAGATGGGAGTGATGAGTACACCATAATTAGGGAGTTCGAAATCAACATGTGGAGCGTTACTGACAACGCATGGATGTTGGATGATTGGGATAAGGTCCCAATTTGCATCAGGAAAGGAACAGCAGATTTCGCTCATACGCGTTTATGTGGTAGCTGGCTTCGGAACAGATTTTATACTACAACTATTCCCGACCACACATATTACCTGTCAATCTATGACTACAACCCCGCGGCTCCCCCACCAGGAGCGTTCTCTATCGCTACCGCTGACCCAGCGCTCAGGAATGTGCCATTCCCACCCGCAATCGGTTTGAGACCCCTTTCCAACTTCAGGCTTGATCTCTCTTTGCCAGAAGCAGTTCTATCCCGATCCCCATCTCCAACCTCGCCCGGTCCCTGAGTACAGGTGCATTACAGCCAAGAGATGTTTCTGCTGTTCGGTATAGATTGCTGCTAGTTTGGGTTTATTTTGGGTTCAATTGCATCGTTCTTTGGTCTTATTTCGGTCAAAATCATCTCAGTTTAGGAATTTAACGATGCAGCGTCTGCTTATTGTATGTGATAAAGTTTTCTAGGCAGAAGTTTAAGCCCCAGTTGATGCAGACAGCAAGAGTCAGCAGAACTTTCGCCCGAACTCTTTCCTGGCCAAGCTCCGTACTGCAATCCATAGAGATTTGAATCATAGCTCCCACAAGTAGGATCTCAGCTGTCTGCAATATGTAGCCTCGGGAGGAGAGGCAAATGTGACAGGAATATGCGACGAGATCTCCAGATTGCTTGTCCGATATGGTGCTCCGTGGAACGTTGTCGTCCCTGGCTTCGGCATGAAAGAGACATGTGCGGGTTCAATTTTCAATACACGGTGCCCGCGGTATGATACTGAGCAGAAGCTGGAGTTTGCGGCCCTGGGGCTCTGTATTCCTGCATTGACATGAGAATGACAGACGTCTCGCGCAGTAATTCTTGTCTCAAACCGGGAGAGGTTGCTGATTTAGAAGCGAGGGGCCAAGTAATCTTCAAATAATGCTTCAACAGTCCCGAAGCGACAGCATATCGGAGAATTCAATAATATCCGGGTGCAAGTGGGTGGTAGCCCTAGGTGTCGATGGTTGATGCCCTCGAAATCAGGTGTCAATCACCAAGTGACAGCGCCCTGCGTATACTTCATGTCGATCCATGCTCATGAGAATTGACAGTTGATGCAAGTCGGTCTGTATGGCAGCTCAATAATTGAAAATTCTCTATCTACAGAGTCAGATCGTGGTTTGCGCAAAGAATGCCCGATGGCACTACACCTGGAAGCCTGGGGTACAGTTAACGCGCTACACGTCATTCACCTGTCAGACAATGAGCCTCGCAGGTGTCAGTTAAAATAATTTTCCTGCTACTACAAGCTTTTATATCTCGGTTCTGAGCCTTGATCTTCATTCATCATTCTCCCTGTGAGTGATTGTTTGTCATATCAACAATTCATACCTCTACGTTTCCTAGATCACTGGAATTGGCATGCCTAGGGATCCTGTTTCCCATATATATTGTGTAATATCTCCAGCCCACCCATTCTATACAGCATGGCATCAACCTCAGGCGAGAAGAGTATCTCTGCCTATGGAGAGACTCGTTCAACTGTCCAAGGCAAGCCCCTTGACGCTGAGACTGTCCGCAAGCTGAACGCCTATTTTCGAGCCAGTATGTATCTGTGTCTAGGTATGCTATACCTTCGTGACAACCCGCTTCTCAAAGAACCTCTGAAGTTGGAGCATCTCAAAGCTCGACTGTTAGGTCACTGGGGTTCGGATGCCGGGCAGTCTTTTACCTGGATGCACATGAACCGTCTCATTAAGAGGTATCACCTTGACGTTCTCTTTGTATCCGGCCCCGGACATGGCGCACCTGGAATCCTGTCACAATCCTACCTTGAGGGTGTTTACTCGGAAGTCTACCCGGATAAAGCTGAGGATACGGAGGGCATGAAGAAGTTCTTCAAACAATTTTCTTTTCCTGGTGGGATTGGAAGCCACGCGACTCCCGAGACTCCTGGCAGTATCCACGAGGGGGGTGAGCTGGGATATTCAATCTCCCATGCCTTTGGATCCGTGTTTGACAATCCCAATCTCATCACTTTGACCATGGTCGGAGACGGCGAGTCCGAAACCGGCCCACTTGCAACTAGCTGGCACAGCACAAAGTTCCTCAATCCGATCACCGATGGAGCGGTCTTGCCTGTTCTCCATCTCAATGGATATAAAATTCACAACCCGACGGTGCTTGCGCGCATTAGCCACGAGGAGCTTTCGTCTTTGCTCGTTGGCTATGGATGGAAACCCTACTTTGTGGAGGGTAATCAATTCGATACCATGCATCAAGCCATGGCGATTACACTAGAACAATGTGTCACAGAGATCAAGGAGCACCAAAAGAAAGCGCGAGAGACAAAGGTTCCGTTCCGACCTCGCTGGCCAATGATCGTTCTTCGAACCCCTAAGGGATGGTCGGCTCCACGAGAGGTTGATGGACATCTTCTCGAGGGGTTTTGGCGCGCGCACCAAATCCCTATTACAGATGTGCGCACTAATCCGCCCCATCTCAAGTTGCTAGAAGCATGGATGAAAGGGTACAAGCCAGGAGAACTCTTCGACAACCATGGCAAGTTGATTCCGGAACTCAGGGAACTTGCACCCACAGGTACCTCTCGGATGAGCGCCAACCCCGTTGGTAATGGGGGTCTTATCCGCAGACCGCTAAATCTGCCGGATTTCAGAGACTATGGATTCATGGATATTGAGCCAGGCTCTACTGTCAAGGGAGGCATGGCCAATATGGCGAAGTTCCTTCGCGATGTGGTCGCTCAGAACATGCATAATTTTCGACTCTTTGGGCCCGATGAGACAGAATCCAACAAACTTTCCGAAGTTTACAAAGTAGCAAAGAAGGTCTGGATGGGAGAGTATTTCGAAGAAGATAAGGACGGGGGAAACTTGGCTCCCGATGGCCGCGTGATGGAAATCCTCAGTGAACATACCTGTGAAGGGTGGATGGAAGGATACATTCTTTCTGGGCGACACGGACTCCTCAACAGTTATGAGCCGTTCATTCATGTCATCGACTCTATGGTCAATCAACATTGCAAGTGGCTCGAGAAGTGTCTCGAAGTAGAATGGAGAGCCCGAATCGCATCTCTCAACATCCTTATCACCGCCACTGTATGGAGGCAAGACCACAATGGCTTCACTCACCAGGACCCCGGATTCCTTGATGTGATCGCCAACAAGAGCGCTGAAGTTGTTCGCATTTACCTCCCACCGGACGGCAACACCCTCCTCTCAGTGATGGACCATTGTCTCCGTACCGTCAACTACGTGAACGTGATCGTCGCTGACAAACAAGATCACATTCAGTTCTTGAACATGGATGAAGCGGTGCAGCACTGTACCAAAGGCCTCGGAATATGGGACTGGGCCAGCAACGACCAAGGCGTAGAGCCGGATATCGTGATTGCATCCTGTGGTGATGTTTCCACCCACGAAGCCCTCGCCGCAACGGCACTTCTGCGCGAGTATCTCCCACAGCTCAAAATCCGATTCGTCAACGTGGTGGATCTTTTCCGATTGATGTCCGCCATTCATCATCCCCATGGAATGACCGATAAAAAGTGGAAGGCGATCTTCACCGTCGACAAGCCCATTTTATTCAACTTCCACTCCTATCCCTGGCTCATTCATCGACTCACATACAAGCGTCCCGGTCAACACAACCTACATGTGAGAGGATACAAGGAGAAAGGTAACATCGATACACCATTTCAGCTGGCCATGCGCAACTCCACCGACCGATACAGCCTTGCCGTGGGTGCGATTGACTTGATGGAATCCCTTGGAAACACAGCATCCAGTATTAGAGAGCATCTGATTCGTGAACAGCTCGCGGCCAAGGCTGATGCTTGGGATAATGGCATTGATCCTGAACATATCCGGAACTGGAAATGGCCTTGGTCGAAAAAGCAACACGCCATAAGGCTTCAGGGTGCTCTATAAATACAAAAATGATGATAATCAAATCTAATTAATCACCAGTCGGTTTCCTTTTCTCTCAGCTAGTCTGCCTATGCCTATGTATGCATGTATGTCTCATTCCAGGCTTGAAATGGTTTTTATTCCACTGAAATCCACTCTAGAAGGAGGAATTATTGTCTCAGACTCTCAGCCACTGCATCTATTAGTTGACATTGGATCTCGACAAGAGATATGCAACATGAGGCTCTGCTGCGCGCTAAAAGGGCGGTCTGTGGGCCTATACGTGCTGTCCTGTAGGTAAAGGGGTAATACCTCTGAAGTATCTGAAACAATCTTACAGAAATCCGAATGAATCTGATTCCTTTCGAGGCCAAAAGCCACGGCTGTTATGCCAATGGAGTTTCCTAAACCCCACATCCACCTTCCCCGAACCCCTCACACCCACACAGTCATCTTGCTACATGGTCGAGGCAGTGATGGTATCGAGTTTGCCGAAGAACTTTTATCCTCTGTAACCTCCCAGGGCAGCAGCCTAGCTACCTGCTTACCTTCATATCGTTGGGTATTTCCAACCTCACGCGACCGATGGAGCGATAGATTCCAAGAAGAGATATGCTCCTGGTTTGATGCGTACTCCTTCGACAATATCCATGAACGACAAGAGCTGCAGAAAGACGGACTACGAGAGTCGACTTCGCACATTCTTGCGATCCTGGAGGAGGAAGTCAAGTTACTCGATGAGCGATTCGACCGCATCTATCTTGGAGGAATCAGCCAGGGAATGGCGACTGCTTTGTGGGCGTTCTTCGCTGGGACTGCGACTCGGCGTATTCAACAACCACTCGGTGGTCTGGTGGGATTCTGTGGATGGTTGCCATTTGCACAGCAGCTGGAGGGTTTGCTAGCGGAGCCAACCCTCGATAGTTCCCCTGACCCTCAGGCACAGCGACTAGTGACTGATTTATTTCTTGCTGAAATCGCGGGCCAGGAGACGCCACATCTCTCTCAACTGGTGAACAGCTCTGTCTTGTCTACTCCTGTGTTTTTGAGTCATGGGGCTGACGATGTGTGGGTATCTGTGGAACTTGGACGACAAGCATGTCAAGTCCTTCGGAGGATTATGGCTCATGTTGACTGGCACGAGTTCACTGGGGCAGAAGGTGATGGACACTGGGTGAAGGAGCCAGAAGGGTTTGATCAAATTCTTCAGTTCCTTGAGTCTTGATTTTCTCAGATTCATAAGATATTCGATAAAGCTAGGAACCGAGAGAGCGATGGACTGAGAAAGAAGTCTAACCTTTTCGAAACACACGACAACCCGGGGGACGGTTATGATAACCGAAGCCTGAACAGAGCTGCCAGCACGAGGGCATTGATGATTTGCTACAGTTTCACTACCACACTAGGGCTGGCAGCACCACGTGCTTATCTAGTCTTATGCTGTGCCTCTATCTACAAATACAGACGGTTGGTGCAGTACAATAAGAGGACGTATAATACCCACCGAAGACACTCTAAGAATAAAAGGAATACAGTTTCATATCCACTAAAACCAAACGATATCCTCACGCCAGTCAGTTTGCCTGGCCCACAACACCGAGAAAAGAACCAAAACAAGATGCGTATCTACATGCATGCTGCGCATACAGCCTACGATCCACTTGCGACAAGAGATTGCAAAGCAGCAAAGGTAAACAACTTCCTAGAATATAACAGATATATCAATGTCTTGTCTCATTTTGTACCTAATCTAGTTGCTGATGTCCATCTTTGTTTTCTAGTCACCCGCCGAAAAAAAGAGACATGCGAAAGAAAGACATCGATGAAAAGATCGTTTTTCCGAGAAACGATGAAAAAGACGCCATCGCATCTGCCGATGGATATGAAAGCAGGTGCCTGCAACGAAACAAAAGGCGAATGCGCCGTGGCGCCGAAATCGGAAAGAAGCATTTCGAAACGGATTAAATGGGTTGAGGAGGACACGGAGAAGTAGATGGCGTGAAGTAGGTCATTGAAGCTTAAGATAGTACATTAAGGTGAAGCACTGGGAACAATGCTGAGAGATTAGCCATAGCGGCCGACGGGGACATCGTGGCGGTGAAGGTCTTTGGACCATTCTGGCGCAACCTTATCGCGCTCGTAAAGCAGGCCACAGTTGTGGCATAGTGTCTGGAAGAGGATATTGGTTAGAAACAACTTGCAATACTGTTAGGGAGTGGACATTTACCCTCGGGCCATCTGGGCCATCGCGCACAGCCCAAACTGCTGTGCCCCACACGGCGCAGTTCTTGCATCGCCAGCTTTGACGTTCCCTGTAGATGAAAAGAATTAGTAGGTATTCCAGCAAAAGGCATCCAGTAAGCACATACCAGTCTGAAAGAGTACCGCCGCCGCCACCGTACCCTGCACCTGATCCAGTATCCGGGGTTCCTCGACCACCAGGTGTGCCAGATCGGCCCGTAGGGCTGACACTGCGGAATCGGCGCTTGCGCTTATTCCTCTCTCCACGTCCAAGCGGAGTCTCACTATCAACCTCGAAGTAGTTGCCACTGCTTTGCCTTGAAATCTCAGGTGTGATGCCAGTGGTTGATGAGAACCTGGCTGTCTCTCGGCGCAGACGTCGGATCTGGCGTTCACGATCACCTTCTCGTCGTTCGATTTCTTCCTTTGATAGTGTCTCGACTTGTGGTTGCCACGCATCGCAGATGGTCTCGGGATCATAACGCCAGCCTGCCTCCACCCCATTTGCTGCGAGGTTGTCGATTTCATTTCCGTAGCCATTGATACCGCTGACAAGAGCACCGCTCTCGCAGACCTCCTTTTTGAACTTCAAAACTGCTTCATAGATAGCATGCGCAATTGCGCTAACCCATTCACCGCCGAGACTGAGATCAGCACAGGTGACGCGGGCAAACTCTTCGGCCATACCAGGTGGGTGTAGTAAAGACCATTCGAATTTATCGGTGTACAGCTTGTTTTGCAAGTTGATGTTAAGTGTAATCAAGCACCGGTAGGCATCATCTGGGTTGAGAAGGCTGTCGTTGATCAATGCCTCCTTGGTGACAGTCACCGTTGTTGCCACGTTGGCCCGGCTATCGGGTGTCATAGCGGTGGCAGCAGCTGGTGTCATTGACGTATCTCTAGATGGTTCAGTCTGTGGTGCAAGACTAGGCACTGTGCCTGCATCTGTGCTTTGGAAAAGAGGATGAAGAGCCACACCAGCGTATTCCTCCAACTGCTGTCGGATTTGGTTGCTGATTGTCATAGTCGTAGCTTGAGGGTTTGGGAGATCAAGGTCGCGAACAAATCCAATGGCAAACTCTTCGGGTGTTGAAAGGGACTCGTGGAGGTTCCATAAGAAGGTGTCCTTGATGCGGAAGGGGGGTAATGGTTCAGGTCTCCGATATGCAGGCAGGGCCTGGGTGACGGTGCCGTCCACGGCAGTGCGTGGGAAAGGAAACGGTTCGAGAGGTTGGTGAGCGATAACTTCGACATCGATTCGGATGGGGACGAGGGTCAGAGGGAGTTGCGCTTGAATCTGCAGTTGGTCGGCACACCTTGAATCACCACGCTGTATGTTAGCCATATTTGGGGAAAGCAAAAGACAAAGGCCACTCTCATGGGTGGCTGCATGAGTCTTGTGAATGAGTAACATACGCTGGTCGCAGCATTCGCTTGATCATCCACTCGCGAAACAGGCCTTGCACCTGCACTGGCGCATGCACTTCTTTGCCCAGCTTCTCTGAATAGGGCACTGATTTGTCGGCGGCGGATTCTTCGCGCCGCAGGCTTCTCAGTCCTGTCGGGCGCCGCGGGCCGTCGGTCTCCTCGAAGTCTTCATCATCAAATCCATCCTCTGCGTAATTTATGGCAGTAGTTCCACGCTTCGTGGTGCGCGGAGTCGGGCCGGTCTGAGACGGAGGGTTGACAGGTGTGAGCAACGCGTTACCATACTGGCGCATGCGCGGGGGTAGGAGGTGATGTAACCTCGGAGAGGGGACATGTTGGCGACTCAATTGCACGGTAACATGCCCCTTTGAGGGTATCGGCGGTAGGAGAGAGAGCTCGCGATTATCGATCGACTCGATGTTCGAAGGGCTGATCACTGCAGTGAGGCACAATTAAGAATGGTCCAAGCGCGAGCAAATGGACAACAAGGACTCGCACGACGCCACAGCAGAAAATGATAAGATGATTAAGATCAAAATCGCGTCCAAGGGCATCAATATATGCTCCAGCTGGAGAGACTGGCTCTGAGATCTATTCTGCGCGACTTTGCCCATTTTGACGCTAGTCCCATTCCAGGGAGGCCATCACGTAATCAATGCCAAGCGATAATAAATTGCTTGGGTATTCTAGTTCACAATAGGAAACAATAACAAAATAGGTGGAGATGAATGGAGATGTTGATTGAGAGATCATTCTGGTAATGGAGATTTCCTGAATGGGAATGTCAAGGGGACCTCCATAGACACGGTACCCATTGACCTTGAGGATATGCAACTAAACCCAATTGTGCAAGTGAGAGTTAGATGGAATTGCAGTTACAATGCCCTTTGCTCGAAACTCATAGCCAAAATAATTGATATTCGAGGGATTCTAGCTACCAGATAGATAATGAATAGACTAAAAGGAATGAAAACACCGGAGCTGCTAAGTACGCCAGTCCTGCTGTTGATGAAATGAAGACTGGAATGATTGAGTCGCAGATATGTACATGCGACTTTAGACAAGAAACAGACAAAACTTTGAGGCACAAAGCCGGGGGAATGATAGTCGCAGATCGCAGTAGAGATGCAAAGAAGAAGAAAAAGAAAAGACACGAAAAGACAAGCAATCACCGGAGTCCAATTACACTCTGTGAGCAGGTTAGCTGTCAAAAGTTCCAAATCCACTGAGGATAGGATTCTTACCATCTCCAGAGTCCATACGCGCCGAATCCAGACCTTGACGGGGCCGTCGACACCATCCACATCGTTCAACTCGATGCCTTCCCACCAGCAGCGGCGGGCAGGCTTGCGCCAGAACAAGAGCAGCTTCTGAGCCATACCCACAGCATTGTTGTTCGACAAGTCTCCACGAATGTCAGTGCGAAGTTTGGCAAGTGCAAGACTGCAGATGACTGCCTTGTTGGGCTCCGGAGCACGGTGGCCCCACTGGTCTGCACGGTCGAATCCTCTGCATTGGAAGTTAGCGTTTGAGATACATCGGAGTCTGGGATGTTACTCACCCGGCTGTCAGCATTTCAATCAGATGCTGTTCAGTTGACCCGATTTCCTCGCTCTTCCTTAGCCCAGAGAAGATACCGTCCTGTCTTAACAGCGATCTGCCAGCGGACTGCTTGACTTCCAACATTTCATCGTGACCAATATCGGGGCGCGGGGGGATCACATAGAAATCAAGATCCTCTCGGAGCACAATGATTCCAGCGCGGTCCTGCAGCATATCACGAGTCGATCCTTGCATGGGATCTATTTCGGGGTCAGGGGAAGCCGAGCCAGAGGTCGGGGGTGAGGGGATCGTCTGGGCAACCGTTCGGAAGAAATCCAGCATGTACTGGAGGGAGGCCGGGTCGTACTAGATTGAAGCTATCAGTGAATCTGCCTTGTCACTCACAAAGAAGGTTTGCGTACATCAACTGGGAATACATCACCGTCGAACCCATTTGCAGCGGCATGTCCGTCGGGGAGGAGACCATTTGGAAAGAGGGATAGAAGCACAAATTCCGGCAAAGTCAGTAGCTCATCTCGCGAAAGACTGAAGCGGATACCCCTGTCAAGTCGTCGGATTAGGCATAATTCCAGAGGTGATTGAGAGCGATCCTACCGGAGATCGAGATTAATATGTTCATCACCGCCGATATCTAGGAATGATATGTTAGTGTGAAGCAAACCAAGAGCGTGTTATTTTTACGTGACATACCACTGATAGTGTTGAGCGGGCCAGTCTGCTGGACCTGGGTGATCAGACTGGAGGCACCTCCTGCAGCTGCCATCACGTAGGTGAATGACTCTAGGGGACTATATCCTTCTGTGTAAGGCGGCGGGGGTTCACCGTCGTCGGAGGAACCTTCGTTTTTCGGTTCGGAGAAAGACGCTTTTGTATCAGCAACGACCGCCGAGGAAGGGGCCGGCTCTAGCGACTCTTCGACAGATGCTGGAGGCGCTAACGCAGGAGGGCAAGCGGGTCCGGGTTCAGTAACTTTGTATGCGCGATTGGGGTCGGACTGGGGTGAGAAGATAAGAGAGGAGAATGGCGGGGGATATGCGAAAGAGGGATTCGAAGTGGATGCTGGCGAAAGTGGTGGGGGTGCAATGTAGGAATCGTCGTCCTCCTCTAGGGAGTCCGTGTGATGGGGCGGACAAGCCGTGGTTGATGGTTGCGACGTTTCGGGCGACACCGTGGTTGCAAGTTGCCTGAATCACGCCAGGCAGATTACTCTGCGCAAAAGAAAATGATCAATTCCTGACTTAGTCTAGTAAATGCGATTGGGCCAGATTCAGTGTCGACCAAATCGCTGGGGTTGGACCGGGGCGTTCTAACCGCTTTCCAATTCAGAACTGACACTGAGCGCCAAGTCAAACAATATGCCAAATTGAGTAGAATGGATATATACTCGTTTCCTCAAAGTCCCGGAGATTGAGGTGTGTTAATGGAGCGAGAGACAGTCGAGGTTGGGGAAGCGTAGATCGAGACGGCGGTAAGCCCGAGCGGCTCACGAGGTCGCCATCACAAGGCACGTGCCGTGTCCTTTGTTTTTAGCTTGACTTTGGCTTGTCCTAAAGTTGATTTTTTTACGAATCTATTACTCCGGGGCGGAGATATATGGGATGTTATTGAACGTTGGAGAGTCGGCTCAGAACCATGCCATAGAGCTTGGGGCAGCTATCCGTCCCCGCAAAACTCCCTGATGAGCAGGACTTGGATGTTTTGTTGATAAATACTTGGTCTTCTTCGCTGATGATCAAAGGCGCATATGTATTTTCTACATATAAACTATATGATATATGACTTACTACGAGGTTTAATGAAACCATTTTGAGATATATATATCTTGACCATTGAAGATCAGCGGCGGCAGCCACAGCCTACAGTCTATGAGCGTAAGATAGGGGGTTTGCCTCGATCGCAATTCACAAACACAGGTGTATGTATGAGAAAAAGTGGTTTGTTATATGATTTAGTCAAGAAGATACGTGGAAGATGGAACCAAAAACAGACAGACTTGAGAGAATATCGTATTCCCATGAACTACGAGTATGTATGAATTCCATTTGTATGCTGTCTCTCATGAACATATATTTGCATCAGACGTTGCGCTCGGCAAAGCTCTGGATCAAACCCTCAAGAGTGGGCTCATACTCCTTCAGGGTGACCTGATCACCCTCGAGGATAGTATTGGCCTGCACAAAGACCTTTCGAGGGACCTTGTTCTTCAGAACAATGTCACGAACGGCGGTACCCCACCAGCTATCGACGGAAGTAATGCTGTCGTACAAACCCTTGCCAGCCTCGATGTCTGCGGTAGACTTGTAGACATGCAGTTTCTGCAGGTATTTTTCCACGGCAGGACGGCCGTGAGTAAGAATCTTAGACCGGTCCAGACGAATCTCTAGATCGGAAAGATCCTCCTTAGTGTAAGAAAGCTTGACGAAGTCATCGCCAGCATCGAGGAAGGTGCGCAGAATACTGTACCGAGCCTGCATGTGTGCCTGTCCCCATTTCTGGGTCTTGGGATCCCAGAATTCAAGGGCAACCAGACCAGCGCGAGCCATGGAAAGGTATGATGCGAATAGAACATCACCGGCCTCACCGGCCAAGTCTTCCTTGCCGTCGCCGAATCCGAAGATCTTCAGGATGCCAAAGTCGCAGCCGAGAACCATGGCAACACATTCGGCACGGCACTCCTCATACGACGAAGCAATGGAGCCGAAGACCGAGCTCCATGTCTGCCCGGGTTTGTACCAGGTCGACACGGGCTTGTTGGTGACAGGGCTGATGGGCGGGTTCTTAATGTCAAAGTTATACTCCCCTGGCGCTGTCTCCTGCAACAGCTTACCGGTTCCGTGACCAAGCAGCTCATGAATGCCAACCTGGACCTCGAAGGCTGGATCCCGGAATCCACGGTAGACCTCTTGGTCGCTCTCGGCAATGAAAGGAATCGCCTCATTAGGAGCCTTGGCGCTCAGAACATTGCCCAAAGACACGTTCTTGAAGCCAAGATTTTGGCGAATATCATCGTAGTTGGGCAGATTGATGCCAGCCGGGAGACCCGAGCAGGCAAAGCTCAAGACTTCGAGAGATGTGAAATCGGGACTGAGGAACTTGTCTTTCTCAAAGTCCTGACCCCAAGGGAGCTTGGGAATCATGCTCTCGGCACTATCCACAAGCGTGCCAAATGCGCGGGTACGTTCCAAGTTAACCTTTGAAAGTTAGCAAAACCGATTCATGGCAACACGGTTTGTCTGTCATACCAAAGCCACGAAGCCTTCCCATTCTCCGCGCACACCGTGGGGGTCTCTGTATGTCTCAACAAAGCCCAGGTTGGTCTCCAAAATAGGCTTCTGGTCCTTGACCCAGATGCGCTGACTCTCCTTGAAAGCCTCAATAGATCCAGCTCCGAAAGAGAGAGCATATGCGTCCAGCATCTTCTTCTGGTTATCATTCGCGGCAACAAGTCCTGCCTTCTTGATACTGTGCGCAATCTTGGCCATCTCTTCCTGGTAATCACCGAAGACAAGTCGCAATGTCTTTCCCTTCAGATCTCCATCAAGCTCAAATGTATCCACATCGCCGAGATCTCGGTCCTTCACAGGAGGTGATGAAACACCAGATGCAATCAAAAGCTCGAAATCACCCGAAGATGTTTTGCGGATCCTTGTATTTTCCAATGCGAGTCCCTTCTTCTCCATCAAGTCACCAATCGCCGTGATTTCATCCTGCGAGATCGTCGGCGAGTCGGGGTAGTATGTTGTCATGTGGCCACTCTTGGGGTATCCGAGGTGCATCATCGATTGTTCGCTGGTCTCATAGATACCGCCTCCAGTGGTGTTGGCCTTCTGGAAAGCGGCCTTAGTCTCCGCAGTGGCAGAGGCCAGAGCCTCGAACGCAGATGCGGAAATTCGCGGAATGAACTTTGAGTCACCGAAGCCCTTGTAATTTCCGCAGTTGCCCAAGAATTGACCGGCATATTCAAGGAAGAAACGGAGATCCTCGGAGCTGACTTGCGTTTTCTGGGCGAGGTCTTCCCAGTCACCGTTGGAAGCGTGGTAGAGGGATAGGATGAGGTCGTAAATGGGTTCAGACTCGGGGGAGACCTGGCGCAAAGTGACACGAGTGCCCTCAAATGCGGCGCTGCATAGATTGAGTCTAGGTTAGCTCCAATGTCTTTGTAGCTTATCTGTTGCTAGCCTGGGAATCCCATACCGGCTCATGAAGTGTGCATATTTCCTCGCGTTCTGGTCTTTGAGGGTATCAAAATGTGTCTTGATTTCCAGTCTGACTACCGTAGGAGGCGAGTCAGCCAGGTAATGCTGCTTGATTGTTTCGTCCATAGCGGGTGCGCGAGTGAGGTGGGAATAGGAGGAGAAGGCGTTCGCGAGTTTGGGGGACGACAGGCGAGAAATTCGATGGAGGGGCAATGAAGGTAACACGGAGCGCCGGGAGAGCAGGTGCAGCGCAATGCCACGCATGGAGTGCATATGGAGGGGCTTCAAGACGAGGTATGACATATGAGGAAGAGGCACCAATCAGGTACGTGTCTCCCGGGTCCCCGATGGAGCTCCGATCTACGTTGCTTGGCACTATGGATTGACCTCATAATTGAATGAGGTCGAATTCGATATTACTTTGCTCAATTACGATCGTTGCAAATGTGTGTACAGAATGTATTTACTATGGCAAAAATATGCAATCGCAGCAATAAAAAAGGGGTATCAGCCAAAAACAAACAGAACCGTCCCTTAGATCAGACTCTCATATTTGTCCAAGCCTTGCTTTTGAGTTGCTTGCTGCGGCACTGAAGCTGTGCTCTGGAAAGACGCTAACCTGGTAGTTGTATTCAGCGGAGGGGATCTCATAGCGCTGCTGGGAGTCATGTTCCCCGCCGGAGGAGGAGGAATTGAAAATGCGGAGTAGTTCGGTGCTGGTTGGGCAGTTGATCCGGACATATAATTCGAGGGAGCCATAGTCGACATTGACCCTAGAGACGAAGTCGACGCACCTGTGTGGGATCGAGCAATAGGATTGGTAGGGGCTCCCCAAATGGAAGATGAGGGTTGCATAACAGGGAACGCTTGGACAACGGGTGAAGCCTGCCGAGCAGGGGCAAGCGATGGGAAAGAACCCAGCTTCTGATCCGGAGTAATGGAACGGAAGGCGGCATTAGACTGCTTGCTTAAGGCATTGGCTTGGGTTGCCATTCCTGTATTGTTTGAAGACCACGAGAATGAAGGCGACACGCTTGGAACAGTCGGCTTGGCCGGCTCTGGTTCCATACTACCCCACATGTCGATAGCCTGGCCATTTGCAGGAGCGGCTTTCTTTCCAAGAACAAGACGCTCGAAGCTGCCAGCACCATCCACGTCGGGCGAACCAAGCCCTGAGGCGGCCTGTGAGAATTCGTCGGAACCGTTCTGGAAGGCGGTTGACCTGGCGCCAGAGGATAGCTCCTGCAGCTTTTTGCTTTGTTCCTGTTCAATTCTGGTTGATAAGGACTTGATCAAAGTCATGAATGCATTAAATTGGCTCAGACTCAGAAGGGGCCCCAAACTGAAACTCCACAAGACCGGCAGTACCTCCAAAGCCAAGAATTCACTGTCTGCAACCTTTCCAACTTGACGGAAGACTTTTAACGCTGCCATCATCACAGATGGCTCTTTAGTTTTGATCGCTTTCAGTGAGGGGACGAGCTTTTCCTGCATGGTATACTTGTCCAAGATTGAAGCCTTGGTGGGTTTCGACTTGGTCGTCTGAATTCCAGACAGATCATCATCAAGCCCGTCTGAATCATCGGCAGAGGCCCCGCAGAGCACACTGAAAGCCTCGAGAGTGCGAACTTTGATAGCAAGGCTACTTGTGCGACTAAAAGTGGCAGCAATGGGTGGAAACACTTCGTTCTTGACTGTGCTGAAATCGAGGACTGGGAGCATTACAGGCAGGCATTTAAGAGAAGCATCCACCAACGAGTGTGTAGGCGAATCCAGGCCAAGCCGGATTAGAGGTAGAATATCTAGGCAAAACAAGATTAGATGCGCGTTCAGAAGTCCACTGATGAAACCTACCATCTTTGAATTCCAGGCCTGAACAGTTTCCGGCGATCAGCTTCATATTGTCAAGCACAACCATAAGACCCGCATCTTTCTTAGAGTCTCGTTCAGCCGGACCCTTGCCCGAGCCATTCGTGAAGACTTCCTTCAGGCGAGGAATGATCTTCTCCGGGAATACACGGCGTCCATTGGGGATTCGCTTAAGAATGCCGAACACATTTTGTAATATCAATGGGAGGAGTTCACGGTCCTTTAATTCGTCCATCAATGCCCCCAATAGCTTTCTCTCTAGAACAGAAACGGGGAACTCGGGCAGCACCCGTTGTAAGCCACGCAAGAATTGCGATTTCTCGTTCGCATTCTTTGTTGGCAGTGATTCCAGGAATCGGATGGTGGATACCAACACATTGTCAAAGTACTGGGATTGCTGAAACTCCCGAGCATTCATACGCTGGGCAGGGCGTCTGGTGATCAGCCTTGGTAGGACATGAGAAAGTACATCCTTGGGAATTGGCTTGGAAGAAAGGAAATTATTGCCTTGTGATGGAGTAGTAGATGGAGAGCTCAACAGTTTCTTATATGTGGTCAAGTTTGCATGCGTTTGTAGAGGCGAGACATGCGGGGAGTTATACAGAGCAATGATGATGAGTCCCAAAGAGAAGAGATCGGCAGCCGAAGACACATTTGAGTCCAGGGCAAAGTCAGGCGACGTGTAATCAAGGCTCAATTGTACCGAAGCAGGGAGTCTTGGATCTTGATAGAGAACCTCGGATACAGCCAGTGGTGGAAGTGATGAGCGAGTTTCAGAAGAATCCGGAGGTCCCGCAAATCCCAGACCAGAGATCTTCCAATCTGATTTGGCATTGATGTAGATGGCCTCTGGGTTCAAGTTTCCATGCACTAAGCCTGCAGACTCGTGAAGGAATTCAAGACCCTTGGCAACTTGCAGGAGGCCCTTTTGAATCTCCAACTCATCGATCTCCAAATCCCTTCTCCTCCGAGTCCCATCTGCCTCCTCGACCACAAATCGGCTCGTCCGCGAACCGGCGCGTGTAGTATTCTCCTGGTTATCTTTCTCCAGTAGCAGGCCGGAGAGCGAAGCGGTGAGATGTTCGGTTGCAAACATAAGGCCGCCATTGCGTGTTTCTTCCACCGGCTCAAGCACCTGAAGAATGGACGGGTGCCGTAGGCGCGCAAGATTGCTTGCTTCGCGCTTGAGTCGTTCAATCACATCGTCCTGCAGTTTTTTGGAAGAAGATCCAGAGCTTCTTCCAAACCCATTGGAGCGTGATTCTAGTGATTTGCGATCAAAGATAAACACTGAGGCCGCCGTTCCAGTGGACTTGTTCTTTGCATCGTGGATTTTCCAGGGGCCGGAGTACACGGTGGGGTTGGGTGAGATTTGGTAATGGGCGGAGATGTTGGAATTGAACGATTTGAGCGCAGAGGAAAACATAGTGATGAGGCCGCGGGCGTGAATTGGTCGACGCGACAGTCAACGGAATGAAGGGAGTTGTTCGTTTCACAGTGGCGTCACGGTGTAGCCAGCACAAGACATGTTTAGTTCCAAAAACACAGTAGCATTTGAAGTGCGCGTGGATTGGAAATGACCTAGATGTGGAGCTCAAGGATACTAATGAAAAGTCGGCACCATGAGTTTGTAGGCTGAAGACAATTGTCCACGAGGTGATATACTCCCGAGGTCTGGGTCGATAATGCCACCCAACCTCCATTAATGGCCTCAGGCGGTAGATAACAACTATCTTGATCACCACGTGACATGATCCGCAGCTCCATCATCGCCTCAGGCACAAAGTGTTGTTTGGCCGATGGAAACCGAAGCAAGCCGAAGTCGGCGGAGAACCTTCATTTGAAGCCGTTGATTGGCCAAAAAAGCTGCTGAGTCACTCTTATCTGCAGAGCGGTGGCAGAATATCCCGTCGCAGGCCTCCGAGTCATCGGAGTTGTTGTCGAGCTCCGCAGAGACATTTCAGTTCTGGTGCGGAGTCAGCTCTCTAGTTCTGGTATAAATCCCAATTGATCTCCCCGATCTCAGTACGTCCATACTTTCTTCAGCGATTCAATTGACCCAATCTCCACTCTATAAACCCTTGGCTGGCCTATAGGATAGTTCCTAACATTTCCGCAGTCATGAAGTCGCTTCACCAATTCGCTCGCCGACAGGCATTGACCGGGCTCGCAATGCCCCGCGTCCTCTCCTCCCAGAACATTGCGGCCAGCCGAACATGGCAGAGGGCATTCAGCGCCTCCGCAGCGGCAGCCACCCAGCTCCCAGGTCTCGATCCTTCGAAGTTGACCATCACAAAGACCACCACCCCCAAGGAGCTCGTGGACTCCAAGGATCTTGTCTTTGGAAAGTACTTCACAGGTAAAAAGTTCTCTGCGCCACAATTCTTTCTCGGGGACTGACTGAAGGCACTTGTAGATCACATGCTCTCCATCGAGTGGACGGCTACCGACGGATGGCACGCACCTCGCATTATTCCGTACCAGAACCTTAGCTTGGATCCTTCGACCTGTGTGTTCCACTATGCATTTGAATGTTTCGAGGGCATGAAGGCGTATAAGGATAGCACCGGCGGCATCCGTCTGTTCCGCCCCAATAAGAACATGGAACGTCTGAACAAGTCTTCCGCACGCATTGCTCTGCCTACTGTGGACGGTGATGCTTTCACTAAGATTATTTCAGAATTTGTCAAGCTGGACAGTCGGTTTATCCCGGAGTCAGTAGACCCTTTGTAACCGAGATGGGGCGTCTTTGCTAACTTCCGCAGTGCTCGTGGCTACTCTTTGTACCTTCGTCCCACCATGATTGGCACCCAAAAGACTTTGGGCGTTGGCCCACCAGGATCCGCCCTGTTGTATGTCATTGCCAGCCCTGTGGGCCCTTACTACCCAACTGGCTTCAAGGCTATCTCCTTGGAGGCCACTGATTACGCCGTCCGCGCCTGGCCCGGCGGTGTTGGCGACAAGAAGCTCGGAGCCAACTATGCTCCTTGCATTCTGCCCCAGCTTGAGGCTGCGTCCCGTGGCTTCCAGCAGAACCTGTGGCTCTTCGGCGAGGAGGAGTATGTCACCGAAGTCGGCACAATGAACCTCTTCATTGCCCTGAAGAACAAGGAGACTGGACAGAATGAGCTCATCACTGCTCCTCTGGATGGTACCATCTTGGAGGGTGTCACCCGTGATTCCGTGCTAACTCTTGCCCGTGAGAGACTCGCTCCCAAGGGCTGGAACATCTTGGAGCGCAAGATCCGCATGTCCGAGGTTGCAGAGGCCGCCGAGGAGGGCCGCATGATTGAAGTTTTCGGTGCTGGCACTGCTGCTATCGTCAGCCCTGTCCGTAACATCAGCTACAGAGGCAAGATGGTCGACTGCGGCCTGAAGAAGGACGAGGAGGCTGGTGAAGTTGCTCTCCAGATGAAGAACTGGATCGAGGGTATCCAATACGGTGACGAGCAGAACCCTTGGAGGTAAGTTGGCACCGATCTTTACTGAACAGGGCTGGCCGTATACTAACTCGCCTATAGTGTGGTTATCTAAGCGGGCATGTCAGGCGTAAGGGCTTATATACCCAAGGCTGTATTGTACGGAGGCAGAAGCTTTCAAAAGTCCTTACCCGCTTTTTTTTCTTGGTAAGTAGATTTGCATTTTGTTTGAATGTCCAACGAGGTATCGAAGCTACCGAGCAGCGGCGGCCGTCTTTTTATATATTCATCTAGAGCCATGTTCTTTCTATAGAGAGCTTCTCTGAAATTTAGGATATTTTCGGGTTTTCAAGTGAACTATACTATAATAAAAAGGTGGAATACAACCCGATATAGGAAAGAATAAGATAGTCTCAACCCTCCGAAACGACGAACAGATCAAAAAGGGAAGAATGCTCTTGGTCCTTGGATAACCAGCTATACCAACGCTGGAGAGCATGTAATACGGGGACTATGTCTTATACAAGGTTAACCCATCATAGCTCTGACATCAGACTTCTCTGGATTCACGTAGTATACATACATGTTCTGTGGCAGCTTCGAGTTTATCTGTGCAATCTTATACTAAGGCCTCTACGGTGTGCATTATATAGCAAAATATCTCTCAAATCCAACATCAATGGATTGATACTCAATCATGATGAGAAGATAACTCTCAAAATCCGTGATTCTGATATTTGTTGAAGTGCCCTCAGGAATCGATACAAGTACGAGCATGTCAGGATCCCACTCCGACGTTATTTCGAATAAAAGCTTGGATACCTAAGCACAGGCTAAGCTTTCCAGAAGCTAGTGAAGCTGAAACGACCGGTTTCTTCGCCGATCACCAAGTCCCCGCTTTACGAGTCATGCAACTCTCATCGAGGTACGTAAGATCTAACCTTAAGTGAGCTGATCTTACTAGGGTATTTGGTAATCTTTCTATCTGGTATGAGCTGTTTCAGATATATGAACCCGAAAGTCTTCGGCATGCTCTGTAGGCTTTCTCGCCCAATGAGGTAGACATTGTATAGCCAGATACCACTGGCTTATGATTAAGGCCAACACAAGGCCTTGGATGGAATATACAAGAACGGGAATGTCCTGAATCATCTAATTGCAAGGGCCAGTGCCAAAATCGGCTATAACATGCCAAGATTGGAGTTTGCACCGAAACACCAGATGGTACTCTCAGACGGAACAAAAGAGACACCGCACAGAAAGAGGTCTCAAGTCTCCATGGAGTGGTATATCAGGTTCAATCGTGGCGTTTTGAAAGAATGTTCCAAGCCTAGCTGCATTGATGTCCTGTATATATACGGAGTACTCCGTATACTAATGCGGAGTCCCACGTTGATCAGACCCATATGACCCACAGATTTACAGATCTATCTTCTGTCATTCGCCACATCCATATATCATAAGATCGACGTGAAGTGCATTTGAGACAGCATACAAGCTACATATAAAGAGGATCCGTGTATATGGAGTTATTATGTTGCATAACTTTTATGTAAAAAATCCACAAGAGAGAGAGACAGAAGATGGATTTATGCCAGGAGAGCCTTGGGCTGAGGCGCATGCCCATGTTTTAAGGCAATTGGGTACATGTAAAGGCACACCGTAGTGAAAAGACACGCTGTCCGAGGACTACATTCACCACCGCGCCAACTAGCCGGTTGAAGAAATCAATTACTTTCAGCTGTTATAGCCCAAAAGTCCTTCTTTGCCATAGCTTCGCACTTCATGAAAGCTTGTATTGAACCTTCGTTGGGTCCATGTCTTCAGCTTGTCGATTGACTGGGTTGCAAACACACTATAATAGACGCCTACTATGTCGCATTTTAGCCCATATCCATGCGAATCCCAGTTCTCCACGGGAAGTCGAACCCCAGAATTGTGAATTTCTCATGCTTGACAAAAATATGCATGGCATTGGGACTAGTGAAATATATGGTGTTTTTTTGTACAAGAAGCATATCGATGATGGCTTGAGCGACGGTCTACGAATGAAACCAAATGATTTCTGGTATCTTTAAGCGATGCCCCCAATTTGTCTTTTTACATGGCGACATTACCAGGCTATGTGGAGATACACATAAACGGAAATTAAGGAAATTATTGCCGACAAGTAATTTCAAGCCATTCGAGCATGTCTCACCATCATGTCCTTGAACGTCTAGACAAAATCTTCCAGAACAGAATAGGCCGGTAACTCCAGCAGCAACTACAGAAAGTTCTGAAACACCTATAAACCAGATCCCCAAAAAAAACCTGAAGATCCAAACAATTTAGTCAGATCCCACAGCTTGGCCTTGCACAAACACAGTGCTGACAACCTCGGGACTGTCAGCCACCCGTAACCAGACCCCACCGGCCTCGAATGCGCCAAATGCGTCATCCACAAATCTAAGCCGGGCGGTACAAGTCGATCTATGTACTCCGGACATGATACTCCAAAGCGATCGCTATCCCCAATGAACACACCGGGGGAAACCACTCAACCCCCCAGCAATAAAGGCCGAGAAGAACGGCAGGTATCCACTGCAACTAGACCGATAATAAGGTAAGATAGGCGACATGCGGCACGTGGGCCACGTGCAATGAGGCTAAACCCAGACGCGACAAGAGAAGCGAGAGTAAACCAACCGAAAAGGACAAGGCAGGACAGACGGCTCGCCTTGGGACTAAGAAAAGGTTTCAGGCTGGGTCTGTACGCCCCAAGATCGAAGCAAAATTAGAACCATGGGAGCACAACAGGCGTTTCAGAATGTTCCGGATAATGATGGGGTTTATGTTGGGTCTCATAGGCTGGACGGGGGGTGTGTTCTAGGGTTGCAACTGGAGAGTACGGAGTCTGAATGCCTATTAACCCGGGGAAACACGGGGAATGACCGGGTTTAGGGGAGATGTGGCGGGGTGAACTGGTTTCTTATCGTGGGATACGGCTATAACTCTTCTCTGCTCCGGACTTATTGTTGACCTGTACTCCGTACTGTAAATATAGAAGAGACATGGTCAACCTGGGAGATAAGTTGGTGTGACTCGAGCGAAAAAGGAAACAGGCCCTCCATTCTGTAACCAGGGTCGATTTCGCTGTGCGCAAGTTCGGAGATTGTTGATCGCATTCCAGCTTCAGCGCTGGACGCCTTGTCCGACGTCTCCGAGGATCTATTTGAAGACAAAAGTCGGGGATGAAGTTTGGCATGTCTTTGGACTTCCTCGGACCATTTCACGTTTAGTGTAACGACCAATGCCCTGAGCGACAACGTGCCTACACGACGCAAGAGGCTCGGAGATTGCCGACATTGATATGTGAGTGACACCAAGACCAGAAAAGAATGGAGGGGCATAATAAAAAAAAATACCAAGGTCTTCTGCATGCGTAATGGGGGGAAATGCACCTCGGACACCGCAAGGTCGGGGGCTGCATGGGGAGCCCACCGCCAGGAACATTCTTCTAGATGGTTACTAGAAGGCTCAAAATGCAACCTATCCAAGCATCTGGGAAGCAACACAGTTCTGTGAATGGCTACGATCCCTGCAGAAAGAGGAGTGTTCACTAGGATGGCTGTGCAATACTTGGAATTCCAGCTGGAGGCTCGGACAGCATGAGCGGTGAGAAGGAAGACAGAAGAGGAAGCCAGTACGTGGGAGATGTACCGGGTACCTGAGACGCTGTGTTCATCCAGCGTGTCACTGAGGTCAGGCGATGGGCGACATTACTCGAACAGGAATAAGAAGGTGACCAGCTCAGCCCTATACGGGGGAAACAATGGCCAGCATTTGGGAGCGACGCATCGGGGGTTCCTAAAATACGCATTTGGCTCTGAACTCGTGGCCCGGATTGGCCAAGAGCCGCTGCAAGGCCACCTATTCATAGCCTGGTTGTCTTACCTGGACAGAGCCTCTTTCGAAGGGAGTCATATCCCATGCGTCTGAGCATATCTCCGGATTGGAGGAGATAGGATGGAGGAGGGCCTGTTAGTAGGCAAACATTCTGAACAGGAGCGCATCATATGTCCCCATCGGTCCGCCAATCAGGCAACCAAAGGAAAAAACCCAATCAAAGGCGATTAATAAAGGGAAATGGCCCTATTCCAGTCCCGGTATGGGGTTGGATCTACATCCAATTGCCGTCCAAAGGGCAGTTGTAGGCGATACAGGCCTTGGCCTGAAATTTGCAAGAGTCTACTCCGTACTCCGTAACTAGCCTCGACCATAGTACGTAGAACATAGAATCCTCACGATCAGCCCAAGGTCAGATCTTTATCCCCTTAGTCCCTTGCCAAGCTGAAGAGGAAAAAAAAACAAACCAAAAAAAAAAAACAAACCAAAACGTGGTGAACGAAAAAGCCCACGTGAGAAAAGGGCCAAAAGAAAAAAAAACCCAAGTGTAACCCCAAAGGCCATCCCGTTTCATCCCTGGGCATATCGTGTCTCGGGCCAGTCAGGTCGAATGAGGATCGCTTCCAGGCGAACGTCTGGTTAGGACTGCAATGATTCATGATCCGTACCACTTGGGTACCGGTCTCGATCTGGGAGTTCAGAATGGAGGGTTTTCCAATAAAGAGGGGCGTATCATCGTATACCCCCCAATCACGCAGTATTATTACCGGAGGCTGAACGTGGATCCCTGCGTCCAAGACAAATTAATTAAAATGAAAACAATCCGGGACTTTGTGCACATGGCAGGTCGAGTCTAATGTATTCGAGCACAGACTGGGTATCGGGGGCTTAGCTGCAGGCCCCAAAATCCAATTCCAGCTGATCAGGACTATATATGGGGCCTTGACCTCGCTTTTTAGCCTCATAACGTTATTCCATCTCCTTCTCCACTTCTCCTCTGCTTTCATCATGCATCGCTCTCCATATGATGGCCGTTCCGGCTCCCGTGGCAGTCACAGCAACAGCAGCGCATTCAGTCCCAACGCCAACCCAAATGAAGACTGGACGAAGATCTCCGACCTCGCGGAGCGCCGGCGCATTCAGAACCGCATCGCCCAGCGCAACTATCGTAAGTAAAGATACAGTCCGTGTGCTGGACGCCTCTAACTCGCTCCATAGGCAAGAAACTAAAGCGCCGCTTGGAGGATCTCGAGAGACGGGCTGCCACATCCGCTTCCCCAGAACAGTCACACGCCGAGCCCGTGTCTCCCAAGGCCTCTCCCAAGACTCGAACCAAGCCGCGCACCAAGGCTACAGATGTCAAGCCGCACTCGCAATCAGACCGAGCGGCTTCGTACGACTACTATTCCCCCGAGGACCGCCAAACTATGTTCGCCCAGCAATGTACTCGCCAGCTCTCCGCCTCTCCCCCACCCGTCTTCTCCTACCCATCTATGTCCCCATATGACACCTACCGGCAATCCGCCTACGCTCAGTCCCCCATCTACCACACCGCACCCAGCACATACAGCGAAATCGCCTATCAATCCGAATACGGCGAGGCCGTCCCGTCCCTGGTGCCCGTCCTCCCATCGATGCAACCGCGCAAAATGGCCTACGACGAAGACCTGATCAGTCCCTTCAGCATGAGCTATGCAAACATGGCCGGGATCGAGCTGTGTCAACAAGCGCAGACGCAGTCGCATCAGCCATCTACCCTGCCGGTACATTATCCTCGCTGAATGTAATTGAAAACATCGACCAGTCAGCTAATCTGTCTGCGTTTTCCAGATGCCAGCACTTGCATACAGCTACGACCAGCGAGCCCCGTCGACATCCCCCGAGGCATCTATTTTCACATTCCCGCTGACGCCGGAATCAGTGCCTTGCTCGCCTCGCTCGATGCATGGTCTGTACGAGTACGATCTACGGCCGTGAAACGACCAGGATCGGGGCGATCGGGGACGCAACGGCCGAATCGCGGGTATTTCCGCCTCGTCTAGGCCCTTGTCTGGCCTTGATTCCACGTTTTATTTCTGATTTCTCCACTCGAACTCTCTATTAATTGTTTTTTTTTTTGGCTGTGTGTCTATCTGCGTTAGCCCTTGATTTTTCTCCAATACGGATATGTGTGACGAGACAGCTGCATGGTCACTGGCGTTGATTTTCTTTGGTAGCGTGGTGTTAAAAGGCAGGGATGAGCTAGGGAGCCACGTCGAATGGTAATTTCTTTTTTGTTTTTCGGTTTTGTGTTCCACTTTGCAGATCTACAGATGGTCAAGTTGATAATAGAAAAAAAAAATTACCAAGTTACCCTCTATAACGGCTGGGGATAGTCGTCGATTGGTCCAACGCCAACGGCATAGCTCCATGGCCCCCAAACACCGTGCGGGATTTTCAATTTCAATTTCAATTCCAGCAATTTCAGCTGGCCCCCATCAAGCCCACAAGAAGCCAGTTTTCACTTATTTCCACGGTTTCAACGTTTGATTAACGTATCGTGATCTATACCTAGTTTGGTGTTCTTGACGGAGAGCGCATTCCCCAGGTTGATAGCCCTAAGGGACCCGCTCCTAAACAGCAAATTACACCGAACGAGTTCGTTCATGACTCAAGAAGCGTATGCGGCCGAATAGACAACCAATTATTGCCGACTATCCAGTCCACTAGAGAAAATCGATCCCTGCAGAACGAAATACCCACATCCCGCAACCGTCCTTATTCGTCCCAAATTCGACGTGAGTTGTTCGCTCGATGGCTTATGGATTATTCTCGGTCCTTTCCCCTGTCCTCCGTGGTCCTCCAAATGAAGCGCCGTAAAAAGGCCCAAGGAACTAGCACATCCCATATTCACCGGGAATGATGCAATCTGCAAGCTGCAATATCCCCTGTTCCGCCCCATTTCATCCACTGTCCCGGGTAGCATGCACTCAACACGGAGGCGGTCCGAGACTCTGCTGCGCCCCAAGTCCACGTTAAGCATCTGTTACCCTAAAAGGGGGATTGCGAAACCCGCCATACAGGTACCTGAGGTAAAACCAAAAAAGAGGGGAACCGAAACATAGGCCATAAATGAAAAAAAAAAAAGAAAATAACCCCCTCATGCCAATGTCTAGGCTTTTCCAACACTCAAACGCACACTCGATTGGCTCCCGACTCGCAGAGACAGCTTTACTCCGTACACCCGCTCCGAAAGGACTCGGAGGGAGAGCCGCGAATTGGGGATTCATTCCTCCAATGAATCGCCCCCAGGCTGGTGTGTGACACGGGGAGTTTACCAATAACAAAGAACCAGGAGATCCTCAGGGAATCCCCCCCCTGCACGGTCCTTTGTTTTTGTTTCTCTCCTTTCTCGGGTATCATTCTCAGGTTATGGTTAAGCGAGGATTTGCGGCTGAAGGGCTGAGAAAAGAAGATTCAAAGCAGCTATATTGACACTGTACTCCGTACTCCATAGCATCTCTCCATCGGTCGAAACCCACACAGCAATCCGCTAGTGTTAAAGGGTTAAATGGGCCACGAAAACCGGGTAGTTACGCACTGTTGATTCTTCTTTTCCCTCTCCAGGTTTAGCTTGGCCTTATCATAGCGGCTCTGGGTGGATATACTCCGTAGAAGGATTCTAGCTTGAGCTAAAAAGGAAGGTGATGAAAAAAGAAAAACGGGTGTATTCTCGGCTCCCCTCTTTTCGCATATTGCAGGATACAGGGCAATGATTCACCATTCGTCCTCAACCTTATCTGCGCCGAAAGCCGAAAGGCCAGAAATGTGATGTCGGTCAATATTACCGAGATGTCTGGCGTGACAATTAAAGAAAAGGAACAAGGTCTCAGCCATACTCTTGGCCTTTTTTGCTTCTCCCACTGGGTTCGAGGAGATGGGCCACAAAAAAAAAGCGGATAGTAACGTGCACTAGTCATGATCTCCCAATAACTCCATCAAGATAAGATGGGAACGCGAGATCCAATGGTTAAAAACGGACTCAAAATCGCTACTGTCAACGGCCGAGAAATCCCCTCAGACCACTGTCAACTCGGAAAGAAAAAGCCTCCTCAAAACAGGGCGAGGCTTCTCGAGCTTATTCGGCTCCGATCGAAATGCGATTCAAGAGGCGAGCTGAAGACAACCCAAAAAATAGCCTGGGAATTGAAACGACTCCATTTACTCCGTGCTCCGTATATATCCCCACCCTATCTCCCTATGGCCCCATACCAGGACGCCTGAAGCGAAGGATACACCCGTTCCAGCTCCACATTCTGCAGGGCGCAATCAGCGGGAAACCACAGTGGTGGGAACGGTAGGGATGTGCGCATCCTGACTCCGTGTATCCCGTCGAGGCCCTTGGCATTGGATGCGCCTATTCCGGGGTCAGACTCTTAAAGCAATAAAGGATTTCTGGGGCTTGGGCTTGGGCCCTTTTTTTAGGCGCTGGGGTTCTAGATCGTGGTAATTTCCACTCGAGGTATGCGTTGCGTAACATGTGGGATTCTTTCGGGGTTTCTGAGCGGCGACTAGATGGCCCTTGGGGGATGCTTTTTGAACGCAAATACGGAGTAGTTATTGGATGCTTTCTGAGGCCAAGACGTCGGGATCTGCGAGGGTCGCGGAGCGAGGTATAGAGACCCCGAGGAGAAACGTGGCTTTGTTTGTCGATGTGCGTTGAGGCACATATGTATGGAGGATACGGAGTACATAGTACTGGATGCAAGAAGGCAATGTTATTTACAGTTCTTACGAGGCTTGTTTTGGTCTCGTCTTTGTCGGACGTTTCTTACATCGAAGTATCCTTTCATACACTAGGAATCAAGTGGTTTTTATTTTCTTGTATGAGTTGTGTGCTTGGAAAAAAAAAAACAGAAGGCATGTTCTGTCTGAAGTAGCTAGATTGAGAAAACCCACGCGGGTCGTTGTAGCTCGTCTCTCGGGTCATATCCTCCGCAATGCAGCCGAAGGTGGCCCCTTACCAGTATCTCTCATTCCCGCCCAATACAGCAGTAACTGCTACATTGAGAATTCTTCCCGGAATCCGGTAGATTTCCAAAGATTGCAGGGGCTTTGATGTAGCAAGCGCATGTTGAAGAATACTCCATGCTCCACAGGGCCTGATCTGGATCTATCTGACGTCTTTGGAGATCAACAGTAAGACATTGAAGCGGTACAAATAACGTATCCCAAACCTTCCACAAACTCTGCACAGGGTTATTAGGGTCGATGCCGGCATCAAAAAGGTGGAAAGTACGCGGATTGGGAAGTGCCAGGCTGGTCTGTTCGACTTGATTGTCTCCCTTGGAGAGTGATATCGTATCCAGACTTGACGAAGCATTCCACAAAACGGTCGTTTTGAGAATGCGTCAGTGACAGAATATGCTAGCCATGTTGTTCCTGGATAAGCATTGCTAGAATAATCAAGCACTTTATGTAGAGCTGTTAATATGTCATCCAGAATGTCATTCCAACAGGCCCAAATAAGATCCTGCAGTCCAGATAGTCGGCGCAGAAGTCGAATGCTTAAATTTTAGCCCTTCAATACCCCATTCTAGTGGGGGTATCTGTCCATTGATCGTCAAACGTTAGACTGAGTTGAAACTTGCTGTTTCGTGGAGAACCCTTTCCAAACCGCTGATGTTGCGTTCCATACAGTCGGGACTCACAACGGTGAGGTTGGTCTCTTCGAATCGTTTATGCTGTGCAGCGCTGTGGCATTGTTTGCTGGTGAGGTTCAAGGCCCAGAGAGACGAGATATCCGGGAAAATGTAGTAAAGCGAGGCACCACCAAAGTGTGCGTGTGGTTGCCGTGGTAGGTAAACACGAGAAGGGACCCCCAGGGCCCAACTACCACCTCCAAATACGGAGATGATAGACAGCTATCTACCTCTTGCTGCTTGTGAAGCACACAGAGGCAATATCTCGCCATGTTCAGGAGATCCGAAGACCGTCAAAAATGAGATCTGGTCGACAAGTGCCAAGAGGTAAGATTATGCAGGGATATTAAAGTTAAAGATCTCACCACCTATGTCTTGCGAGATCTACCTATCTCATGTCTTCATAGAAATCTAGAATATGTCAATAACGAAAACAGCCGCAATCGGAGCCTCGGACTGTGGTAAAGGACTATATAAAAAATCCCTCGAGAGGCTATAGAGGGCTTGGGACTAAACAACACCGACGACGATACGAACAGCGTCGTCAGTGTTGAGGATGCTAGGAAGATCCTCGACCACCACATGTGCAGGCTTCATGGCCGACCGGGATTCTCCGAATACAGACTGGAGCAAACAAGAACCACTAACCCAACCATCCCCCTTAACCCTTGCTCATTCGACAGCAAGGAAGAGATAAAGAGATAAAGCGCGTGGCAATACAGACCCCACCAACACCAATCCCCTCGCCAAAAGGCCCTCGAAACCGAACCATCTAGCCCCCAAACCTGCAAATGAACAAAGAGCCTCTGACCAAGGATATGGCGAGTAAAGGCCATGTGACAGAATGATTCGCAATGTTACACCCCGTAATCTACTCAATAAAAGACCAGACAGGGATGCATCTACTCCGTACTTCCGTACTCGGTACGCGCCCAACAATAAAAGCCCTCTACCGAGATGCATATGCACCATACCTAATATACGCGAGTATATACGCTACTAGACCCCATGGTGGAAAGGACACCCGCCGTTCCGCCTGCCCGCCCATCCGATGCAGAAACGGGGTTAGTGTGTGGTATTTTATTCTGACGCCGGCGTTGGCAGGGATTGGCAATGTAAGTTGGTGCTAGCTGATGAGGTACCTTGGTAGTCTACATAGATTAGAGAATCAAAGGCATGGGGCTGATACGAGACTGCTGTCATAGGTTGCACCGTTTTAATCCTTGACCTCGGCGTCGCCGATGGGTCTGATGGAGCAGGAGATACGGAGATACGGAGGACGTGTTATTGATTGTACCCGGAGTGCTGCCTGTGATTTGGAATGTTTGGGTTTGGGGCGTTGAAACAATGTATCGATCGGGGATGCCGGTCGATACGAGGTCGTTTGAGGTTTAACATGCAGGCTCGGGTTTATTGGAGCCTCAAAGCGGTTGGAGGCTTAGCTGCGTGGAGATCGGGTCGAGAATCGTATATTGCGTGTGATGGCGTACCTGAGGCTCTGTTCCTTTGGGGAATGATCTGCCTGCTGTGGATGGAGATGTACTCCGTAGGCTATGGGGGGCCTACGGAGTACGAAGTACCTTGATTCTCTCGTTGGAGATATGCTATGACTAGACGCGGAATGGCGAATCGGGCGAACAACTGTGTACTACTATCACGTTTCATTCAAGAAAGAAAAAAAAAAGCAATATGCTGAGTCTACGGGCAGGAAAGGGAAAAAAAAAAAGAATAAAACAGTGAACGGGGTACAAGTCGATCCTGGTATTCGGAACAAGAGGATCATGGAAAAGAGGCCAGGGAAGATGCGCGCAGAATAAAAGCCCAATAGATTAGAAGAAAAACGAGTCCCATTCAAAACAGCGAGTAAACGAAGCTCAACATCTGTCATCATCGTCATCAACTAAACCAATCACTCCACGGTCGAGGGCATGACACCGATCCTCCAAGGCTCCCTGGACTTGGTAGATTCAATCTCGGAAAAAACCACGAATGCTTTAAGGTGTAAATCTCAGACTTCATCGGCCGTGCACGTCCATTGGATCTGTGGGGACTAGCGCGCCGAGGTTTGGCCGCCGACGTCGCATAGGAGCCTTCTTGCGGTTCGCAATGGCAGCATCTCGCGATTGTTCCGGGCTCATCTGGGTATCGCCATCCTTATCGCCGCGTCCTTTTTGCGGAGATTGCTCTTGCGCGTGGTTCCATGCCTCATCAAGCTCGATGACGTTTCTGGGCTTCATGCGCAACCATTTCATGCGCGGACCGACGCGCGAGACTTCCGACACCTTGAAGCCATAGATTCTGGGGTCATAAATCCTGCCCTTGCCGAGACCCGGGCAGAGGTTGGATGTCCGGAAGCCGTTGATTTCCAGCGGCTGATTCTCAGGTGTAGGCGACCGCAGCGCCTGCCGCTGAGCTGCAGGGTTTCGAGACAGCGAACCGGTCCGCGACTGCCCTGCTGCGCCCCGGGGAGACATCGCTGACAAGGCGGCATCCAGACGGGGCCCGATATCCAGATCTGGGAATGTCATGAAGAACAGACATCCGAAGGTTGTGCCGAAGAATGCGCCGTCGACGGAGTGGAAGCGGCTGTTCGGGGGTGTATAAATATCCATGCAACCAGGGCAGAAAAGCTTGACGGTTTCCTGGCCAGGAGTGTCGGACCGACCGACGGGGAGGACTTTGCATCCGTGGCAATTGACTCGCGGACAGGTGCCGAAATGCTGCATCTCATATTTTTCGAGCATTTGCTGGATGCCTGGCCGCGAGGTGATGTACCGCTGGTGAATTAGCCCGTACAGGAGCTCAGCGGAGCTTTCGATGACGCTCAAATCGCTTGCGACGCGGGTGTGTCGCCGATCGCCCGCTCTTCTGTATACAGATTGATCGCCGCCGAGCGCATCATCTTCCTCCTCCTCTTCTTCCTCCTCTTCTTCCTCTTCCTCGTCGTCTTCCGGCTCCACGTCGAGAATCATCTCCAGTGCCTCTTTGTACATGGGCACCTGCGACTGCAGACCAGTCAGGTTGAAATCATCCTCGATGAAGTCTTCCGATACCTCTGCGAAGAACTCATGGCCCATCAACGAGCAAAACGAGGAAATCCAGGACTCCGGTGCTCCTTCCGAGGACGACATGTCGAACGAGGCGGACACAGATGATGATAGGGTCGATTCAGACAGTTGACTCAAATCCAGCCTGTCGAGGCCGTCGGCCAACGCCGAACCTGTCTCTCTCGACACGTTGCCGAGCTGGGGGGTGAGGGCTTCGAGGATGTTGGCGCAGACGAAGCGATTTCGTCACGCGGAAGGGCTGGTTCGTAGTACGACTGCGGGGAATGGTAGTGAAGAGAAAGAATGTGGAAGAATTCAGGTAGACTGGTAGATAGAGATCTCAGATCTCGTTGAAGTGGAAAGGTGGGCCGAAAAGCTAGACGCTCATGGCAATGTGCGGGAGGAGGGGGGGTGAAATTGTGCGATCAACAGACGGCGTTGGACCTAAAGCCCCACCAAAAATCTTATCAGTTTTCCATAACCTTCAAGTTGCATTGATGTAGTAAATCGCTTACCTGGAGATCGGGCAGAGACTTGATTAATCTTGCTGGTTCGAGCCTGGACGTTGGGTGTGGCGGTCGAATCGGGTAAGGTGCCCTCGGTTCGTGGGGCGGTGGACAGTCGGAGAGGGCGGTTTAGTTCTTTGGTCACAGCTGAGCGTCTCTCGGTTTCTCACGATGATGGTGAAAGTGAAGTCATCCCCACGGGCTGCTCAATTTGCCTGGGTGGCAGGGGTCACGTGCTGGGGATTCTGGATGCGGGACATCGATATACGTAGAGTCATGGACATTGATTTGATCTGCAAACTGGGGGAAACTGGAAACTACAGATGCATCCAAGGGTATTGACTACAAGATCAAAACAAGTCCCGGAAGATACGAGCAAACTCCCCATCGTCACCCAAAACTCCCGACAATCCTTCTCCAGTGTTCTGCATTTCCCCATCCGGCCCAACGAAGCTACTAATCCCATCACCAGAACCGTTCGGCATGAAGCTACCAAACGCGCCAACTGCTTCAAACAAATGCGTCAACTCATGACTCATTTGCACTCCATTGAGTGGACTGTTTCCTAATTCGTGTCCATGATTCATGGCCCCATACATGGACAGGTCCTGGATTGGATGCCCCGCGAGCCCTGCCATGGCCACAGCAGCGCTAGAATGGGGATCGCTGGAATCTGCCCCGAAAGGTCGGGCGAGAACTCCAAGTTTCTCTCCAATCTTTCGCAAGCCCTTGATCGTTTTCCATAGCCGCTTGGATACGTAGGACTTGGTACTGAACCCATTGATCAAGTCGAGCGCCATGTAGAACTCATCGCGGACCTGCCGATTGAAATCAGCAGGGGCATGGGACACTGCTAGGAACAGCACAGCCAATGCAGCAACAAGGAAATAGTTGAATGTGATTTGCTGTGTCCGATAAATATCAGACGTCTGGTTCAGTCGTGTAAGAACTCGAACCGTGTCTTTCGCTACGTCCACCACTGTTTGAGCATGACCGCGATCCTCGACAATGCTAGCAGAGGAATGAAGCACGGGACGGTAGATCAAAATTCGGTGCTGGTTCATCCGCAGATACAGGAGAACCCTGAGTCGTCTCATCCCCCTGTTCCCGGTTTCACCGTTCTTGGGCGACTCGACGGGATAGAACTTCAACTCCTCTGGAACTTGCTTGTACCACTGCAAGATTTGGTAATCTAGATAGCCAATTTCATCACGCCGGATATCAGTCGTGCCTTCGGAGCGTAGACCAGAGTACCAGATCTTGGAACTGATGCGGTTGTATAGGATCATGCAGCGCAAATAAGGCAATGATACATCCTGTTAGTTCATATTAGTGGGTTATTGACGGTCATTTGTTGGAATATCCAAGCGGCCTTACAGGTTCTGGTAGGTTAGGATCGATATCCTCATCCTGAATCACAAAAGGTAATCCCGTGCCGAAGCTCCATCGTCTGTCCAAGCTGTACACTGACCAGAATAGCCGAGTGATCTCGACCCATTGTTCTTCATTAGGGAAGGATTTCACCAAAGCATCTCGACGATGTAACCCCATCTCCAAGCACATTCGTGCTGCTAATCCAATAATTCGATAGGCCATGGCATCGTCATCTGTATGGTAATGATACGTAGCCTAAGATGGGAGATAGTGTGAGCGCTATTATATTATGAATAAAGCAAATTCGACTTACCACAATAGCAAAGAGCTGAATAGTTTTGATCGTGTGTGGCTCCCACAACTTCGATTCTATGAATGGCTTAGCACTCAAGTAGAGTCGCTGCCCAAGTTCGCTTTGGCCGCCGCCTTCCACGACCAGCGTGGTGGCTAAAATCAATTTCAGAATAATTGAGCTTTCGTCATGAAGGCCATCAGATCCCGGAAAGCCTCGTTGTGCAAAGCCTGTTCTAGTAGCAGCTTCTATGAATGTGTAGAGTAGATTAGCCTGGCTGGTAACTTTGGCGATATCCACCACAGGATACATGATCCCGATCTCATCTTCATAAACTTTACAAAGACGCATCGCCTCCTCACGTCGGATTGACCATATCGGATCTTTGGTAGGGTGTACTGTTGGAAGTAGCTGTCCAATATGGGGAGGTGGTGAGCCTGTTGGAGTAACATGTGCGGTGGTCAAGTCATCTGGAATTCCATCTTCAGCCGGGGTGATACCCATATTCTGCAAGCTGGACTTTGCCACATCGAAGTTGAAGGCCGAGCTTGTTGGACCATGGAAGCGTGGGTGACGGGCCCGGGGTTTTGTGAGGCTCCCCGGCACGGGGGTGAAGACCGATTGAGACCCATCGCGCGAAAGATGATCAAACGGCGGTGACTCAAATACCGGTCTCTGGGTACGAAGCTCACTAATATTGCTAAATAGGCTATTGACTTGATCTTGCAAAGTGGTGATTTGATCTGTCATTGACCGGAACTCACTGGCTCGGCAGTTAGCATGAAGTATTGCACGGGACATTATTCCGTCACTTACTCCGAGTCTTTAAAGCTGTTATTACAACAGTTAGGTGCATAACGACCTAGTAGGTGGATCAGCGTCTGAACCAAGGGCTAGATAGGTCGGATGCAAGTGCCGTGAGTAAGCCACAGCGGTAGGGCGACATACATTCTAGATTCAGATGGCCACATCGCTGACAAGGAATTTGGCCGTTGCATTTAATTTTGCGCCGTTTGCATTCGTTACTGCCGAGCTCGTGGTTAGCTCAACTGTGCCGACAACCGCCCGAGTGACAGAACAGGGTCGTATGGCTCGGCATGCAAAGCAGCGTATCAAACCAACCGTAGGGCTGAAATAGGAAATGACCAAGAGCGCGGAAAGAAAAAGAAGGGTAGATCAGACGATATCATACCATGCGATAGAGATGTAGCGATTCCGCTTTGTGCGCGCCTGCGTTCCGTTGCCTTGTTCCGCCTTCCTCTTGTTGGAATCAGATGCCTCATTGGATTGATCCCGCGGTTCTGTCTGCGGCGGTGACATTTGCAGCTGGGGTGACTCTGAAGCCATGGTCTCAAAAATTCCTTCAGCGACTCCGGTGAGTTAGCCGGGGAGAAGCACCGGCATCGAAGTGCGGAGAAATTCCTCTGTCGCGGGGTTTCCCGTTTTCCCCAGATTCGGCTTACTCATCGGATTGCTCGGCCGGCCATTGGTAGACACTCTGTTCTTTAGATGTTTGGTGGGAGACAGATCGCATCTTATGGAGATAATCATTTGATTGCGAGCAGTATCAAGTTGCTCGCGCGGAATTGACCTAGACACAATGGTCCAGGTCTAGACTAGGTATACAGAGCTCAAACTATAATGTATGTACATGAAAGATGTCAATACCCCAGTTGCCGTATCAATGAGACTAGTAACTCTTTTCCAGTCCACAACAATTGCAGCAGTTGAGTCTTCTGTTGGGGGTTTTTGCGTAGCCAAAGCAAGGCTGCAAAGAAACTGAGGATGACAGAAGCCTGTAAGGTCCTCCGGATGCCTCTCAGAACCCGTCCCTTTCGCGTGAGCTTAGCACTCCAATGCTGCCACACGGGGAACGTGCAACGGTACCAATAGTGAATCTGAGTGGTTCTAAATGCTATGTTAGTAGATACTAGAGAGTAGGCACCAAACCAGAACTCACGGATATGTGCTCGAGTTCCAACCATCAGCTGTGCTATACCAACTAGAGCAAACCCCACGACGGAATACAGACTTCTGAAGCTCATCCTGCACCCAGCGGGTCCATTCTCGCTCAGCATCTTCCTTCACCTCATAGGAGCTAACTTCACCCTCCAAAATCGGCTTGATGAACTTCAGCGAGTAGTTGACAGCATTCTCTGTTGCGAAAATGACACTAGTATGCCCAGTGGTCGTGTTCGGGCCAAAAAGCATGAAGAAGTTCGGGAAAGAGTCCATAGCAATTCCCTGGTATGCCTGGGCACCTCCGCGCTCCGCCCAGACCTGTTCTAAATCTTTGCCCTGTCTGCCGATTACCTTCATTGGGTGCAGCCACTGGTTGGTTTCAAATCCGTTGGCCATGATGATCACATCAGCGGGGATTTCCCTAACCTTGTCTGCACCTTCGGATTTGTTGGGTGGGTAGTGAGAGCCTGGACCAATTGTTACGCTCTTCGCGTGAACCCGAGTCAGAGGCTGGGTGGTCAACTCCACGTGCGGGGCATTGAGACTGCGATACCAAGTGCTGTCGGCGACCCGTCTCTTACATCCAAAGGGGTAGTTGGGCGTCAAGATCTCGTGATACTCCTTCGGTGCGAACCTGCGCATGTTGTCCAAAACTCGCTCCTCTATCCCGGATCGCACCCGGCGGGCCCGCGGAGAGTCGACGAATACATCAAAGAAGTCCTTCTCCAACGCCAGGAACAGGGTGCTCCGTGCAAATGTCAACAGTCCAGGTACATGGCTCATAATGGTAGGTGCCAATTTCTCGTATACAGCAAGCTGTTTAGGGGGAGAACATCAGGTCGGACCCATGGAGGAGTCCTCATGAGTTGAGTTATGGATCGAACATTGGCTACCGGCTTCGCTAGCTCGGGCACGACCTGTGCAGCGCTGCAACCAGAACCAATAATGATAACATTCTTGTCCTGTAGGTTAATCTGGTCATCCCACCGAGCCGTATGCATGATCGCGCCTTCGAATTCCTCGATACCCGGGATGTCCTTGGGCCATGGCTTCGGTTCTACCAGTCCACCAACACCACTGACGACAACCTTCGCCCGAACAACTTCTGTTTTGACGTAGACGCTGTTCTGACCATCGCGGGCTGCAACTCGGTCTCGTTCATGCTGGGCCCAATCACCGGTTCCAGGGACAAGATGTGAGAGTGTAACCTCCCATTCCTCGTCCTCTGCAATCCATCGAAGCTCCTTGACATCGGTATTGAGCTGGACCTTGTCCACTATTTCGTACTTTTCGCAGACATCTGCGATGTACTGTGCCAGCTCTTGGCCGGAAGGATGCAATGTGGTCCAGGTTTTCTTCTGGGCGAAAGAGAACGAGTACAACATAACTGGTCTGAAAGGTTCTTGTTAAATAAATATACCCATGAGCCGAATCACAATGGGATCACTTACATATCGCACGCAACTCCTGGATACCGGTTGATCCACCAGGTCCCTCCGATACCAGACTGACGATCAAAGATCCGGAACTGATCTGTTCCCAAGACTTCTTTGAGACGACAGCCCATAGCCACTCCAGACTCTCCCGCGCCTACTATCAGCACCGGATAATAGGTCTGGGCATCTTTGCTGTATGCATGGCGCTTGTGGATTCTGGCGATTGACGAAGACATGTTGCTCACAGAATTCCCCACAGACAAAAACAACAGCACAACCTTAGATGGCAGTTGAATGCCAATATAGTAATAAGTAGTACGAAGTATTTAGGTTTCGGTGTGCCCAAGGGTAGGCTGCTCTCATACGTTCATGCACGCAGTACTCCGTGCTTCGTACATGAAGTGCCTAGCAATGAGAGGTCACATACAGCCCGAGATGTGAAACCAAGAAGCCAGTTTGTACGCTGCAAAACAGGCTCTGTCAACAGATCGCCGGATTGGCGACACAAAGTCGTAAGGGGACCGAGAAGTCGAGTCACAAGAGCAGCCTTTTGTTACTTCCAAGGTTTCCCATTCACAGCGATGGGCCACTCGGTATAAGAGATGCTGCACAAGTGAGGGGGAATGCATGATCAACCTCGGCATTAATTTCCTTTACCTTGAAGAACGTGTTCCTGGGCACGGTGGTACGGTGTTAGCGCAGGGCGATGTCCAATTGGGGAAAACATGCGAGTCCAAGCTTAACGGGGACCTCGGGGGGATCCACTTTCTGCGATCTCCAGTCGCCTGCAGTCCGGGATTTGTTGTGAACCTCTCCCATGTCGATCTGGTCATTACGAGTCCGGGCGCGACTCTCGCGTCCTAGGCTCTGTAAAAGCCATACCAATAGTCGCACTTACACAGCTTCCGCATGTCCTCAATATAGAACCCTCGACTTCCTCGAAAATGACGACCTGGACACCTTCCAACAGCGATGCTTCTTCCCCGAACAACCAGCGATTCTGCCCCGAGGTAGCTTCCAAACATTCCCGGCCTTGAAAAAATGGTTCAACCCCTCAATACCGGGCACTACGCTCCCCGTCAAAAACTTGAATGTGGAATATCTCCGCGAACACGGCGCCGATGCCTTCGTCCCACTCGAACTCACCGAAACCCCATCTCCCTCGATTTCCCAGACACATAGCGACACAGAAGAGGTTCAAAGCTTCCGACAATTCCACGCTCCGCTGTCGCTATTTCTAGACTGGATGCGCACGGCCGAAACCAACCCACAGTCCACACGGCTCTACCTCGCGCAATGCCAGCTCCTAGATCTGCCGCCGGTGCTGTGCGAAGACTTCCCAACACCGGAATTAGTAGCGCACGCAGGCAAGGGCGATGTGTACGATACCAATGTATGGATCGGACACCCGCCCACATATACGCCGCTCCACCGGGACCCGAACCCGAATTTGTTTGTACAGCTGGCTGGAGAGAAGGTTGTGCGCCTGCTCGCGCCGGCAGATGGGCAGGCTGTGTTTGGGGCTGTGAGGCGGCAGCTGGGGAAGAGTGGGAGTCGGGAGGCAGCGGCTTTCCGGGGCGAGGAGATGATGCAGGGCAGGGAGAGGGCGTTGTTAGATGAAATGGTTTGGGGAGCCCCGGTGTCTGCTGGTTCGGATTCTGGGGTTGGCTTCGAAGCGCGTCTTGGAGCCGGTGATGGCTTGTTCATTCCTAAGGGGTGGTGGCATAGTATCAAGGGTGTCGGCGAGGGCGTTACGGGCTCGGTGAGTGTCCTTGGATGGGGGGCCTTGATATGCGTTGCTGACATGATTATAGGTCAATTGGTGGTTCCGATAGTGTATGATATTGAGAATCTCGAAACTCCTTTGATTGTACATATAGGCTACCTTCTACATCTAACATGTGCCATGTCTACGGAACACACGTCTCCAATGTTGATCTGATCTTATTATTGATCGCCCAACACCGCAATAACATTCCATACTTTAGCTTACACTTGGCACAGCAATATGTAATCTAAGACTGTTTCAAATTTTTGACAGCAGGAGAAGTATAAAATAAGCAAAGCACCTAGATCTGATCTTTGTGGCTTAACCACTAGCATCGAATCTAGAACGGGATCCAACCCTCGGAACTCCGCAATCCTTATTTTCCTCCCACAACTCCCCAGAACCCAACCATGCAAGTGTCGCGCACCATCTACCGCGCAGCCCTCCTCCATCTATCCGTCAATCCTCTCGTCCGCGCCTCAATCCCAGGCTCCATCACCCAATCTCTCACCGCACCTCAACCCACCCGACTCTACAGCATCCTCTTCCCACAGTGCACATCCCTCAAGACACCCGACTGCAAATACCAAACCCGCACAATGTGCGACTCAACCTCGAACTCCGCAGCCTCCGATGCTCAAAATCCAGACACGCAGAACGAGACACAAGAAAAGAAGCCCCTCTACCTCCCACCCAGCGACCCCTCAAATCCGATCCCGAACCAGAGCGAGGGAGGCATTAAATTGGATATGAGCGGGGGCGGGACAGAAGTCAAATTGGATCATTTGGGTCCGATGGTTGTCAATGTGGACGGGACGCTGTCGCAGATTGGGAACTGGCAGCAGATGACGGATATCGAGAAGCAGAATACGATGCGGGTTCTTGGGAAGAGGAATCAGAAGAGACTGGAGGCTTTGAAGGCGAAGGCGAAGGCGGAGGAAGAATCAGGTGCGGCTTGATTATATCCACGATGGAGAAATATCCACGGATATTATTGGAAGGTGTCGGGCTTTGCTATTCGGTGTATGACGATATTGCATATGTATTATAAAGGGCAGCGTGGAGCAACAGCAACAGCGATCGAAATAGATACTCTTATCGAACCTTGCTGGTGTGTGAGGGATACATCTACTGATTGCGACTATTTTCAGAAGTATTTTCCAATAGCTATATTGGGTATCATATTTATGCGAACACCACTGTACAGTATAAAGACAAACTACCACCCAACAAGGCATACGATCTGAGATCACCATAAATGGCCAGCGGAGCACCTTCAAACTGTCCAAAGCAACGATTGACCATGATCTCATTCGAAGATGATTCGGAACCATTTGTGGAAGGCATTTCTGTGACATTTGTTAGCACCAAATCACAACCAGAGTGGATGGGGGAATATTCACTTGGGGGGAATCTCTATAAAGTCTCTAGTATATTCTTCAATCTCAGGAACACCGGTGGTCAAATCGACCTCTTCAGGTTTGAGGAATTTGGTCTTGTGGATGAATTTCCATCCAAAGTAAAGAACAGGGAATACGCCGATCATGGTGTACGAGAAGAGGAATGTCGGGACGGACCAGCGGCCGGGGAGGAAGACGGTGTAGCCACCGACAAAAGCCATGACTGTGGTACAAGCGCATGCGAAATAGGCGATGTACGGCTGGAACCAACTGCGGTAGGGCAAGGTTCTCCTATCAATGCCCTGAGCCTCCACTGCTTTCTTGAACCGAATGAAGGTGAAAGTAACGACGGAGAAATTGATCAATTGCGAGGCGGTGACCTGGATTTTGAATTAGTTGGATGCACGGATAATTACTATTTTGATGATGATGAGGTATCCCATACCAGATTGACAAACCAGTTCAAAACAACAGCTGCGCTGTTAGAAACTTGGAGGAAGCTCAGCAGAGCAAAAACGAGAACCAAGATGACACAATAAACGGGGACTCCGTTCTTGGTGCACTTGGTGAAGAATTTCGGGGCTTTGCCCTCGAGGGCGAGACCGTAGAGACTGCGGCTAGCACAGTACATGTAACTGTTACCAGCACTGAAGGAAGCAGTGAGAACGACAGCATTGACGATGTCTGGCAGGACGGGGATCTTCAAACGGTCCATGGAGATAACGTAGGGTGAAGCAGCAGCACCGGGTGCACCATTATCAAAAGCAGCGCCCATAGTCTCGTCATTGTATGGAACCAAAATGCCGACGCAGAGAACGCCCAGGACGAAGAATGCCGTGAGACGGTAGAAGACGCCGTTGAAGGCCTTGGGGAGCACCTTGCGCGGGTTCATGGTCTCACCGGCGGCCATGGAGACATAGTCTGGACCAGCGATGGTGAAACTGGCGGTGATAACGGCTGCAAGGACACCAAGGAATTTTCCTGTATCGCCTTCCAGGTAGAACTCATTGAAGGAACCTGGGTTATTCCAGTACCGGAAGCCGAATCTGTCGCCGAGCGGGTTACCGCCCAGCATGACGACGAAAGTGTATATGATCAGGCCTATGCTGAGGAAGACCTTGCCCAGCGAGAGCCAGAACTCTGCTTCACCGTACCATTTCACAGCAAAGAGATTGAGGACTCTGTTTTCAAGTTGTTAGCTGGTGTATGCCATGCTTGAATCGATAAAGGCAGAACGAACGCATAGAGCACCAGAACAATCACGTTCATGGCTGCGACTGGGATCACATCGGTCCAGTATCGAATAATTAAGCTAACGGCGACGATTTCGAACGGTACCAGCGCGGCCTCGAAGATGAAGAAGTTGTATCCGGCGGCAACACCTAGAGCCTCATCGACATAGCGGCCAGCGAATCGAATGAACGGGGAAGAGATAGGCAGGTATGTGACCATTTCCGCCAAACCTATAAGAAAAATGTGAGTTTGCAAATCATACTACGTGTACACACCCAGAAGGGAAAAGATGCGAAGGTTGCAGCAATTAGGCGATCAAGCATAGGGCAAGGGACCGGACCGTTGGCGCGTTTGGGATTGTTTGGGACACGGTTTTTGGGTGTGTTGGACGAACGCTGGGACAAGTTCAAAGGGCTTTGGGATGAATGGGGCATTCGTACAAACGGTAATGATCAAAATCACACAACTCCTAGAAAACAGTATGAGATTGCGAACCTTCAATGAGATATACGCAGGAGGGCAGGCAGGGGCATGATGGACTGGGTTGGGTTCCTGGGTGTCCGACTGGTTGGCTTTGGCAGATGCATGGGCAGTCGTAGGGCTAATGGCGAATTGGTCGACATTGATACATCTGTGTGGCATAGATGCCTTGGGCTAACAGAGTGCTACATGCTGAGGGGATTTGAAGTTGCGAAGTCTTGAGTCCAAATCCGGTGTGATGCTTTCCTTGATATAGCTTCGTCTGTTTTCTTCTTCTTTTTTTGCCCTTTGGTTTTCTCTTCTTTTTTTTCGAAATCCATTGACGTTGTTTTTCGGAATTCACACTCACCATACGGTATTGATGCTGTCGAAAGTGGCAGAGTCGAGACAACCCAGTTCCAGAACCCAAAAGAGTCAACAAGCAATTTAACAGGGGCGACACTAACCAAAGACTAAATCCAATAAACAAACTACCGGGGCCACTGGTGCGCAGACCAGATCCGATCTGAACATAAAGAGCTGTGCCGATTGTGCCGCCAATTCCGATCAACTGGACATGGCGGGGTTTGAGCTTGCGATGGGTATGATCGTATGTGGATTCCATTGACCCGCTATCGACCGAGGGTGTGCGTCGCGCACTGGACGAGTCTTTCCCGGTGACTTCCATCTCTTTGTTCAATTTGAGGGATTTTGATTCGGGATCGGATTGACGAATGGACTCTGCGCTCTGTAGAGCGGTAGTCATTGGAGTATGGGAGATATACTCCGAGTTAGGAGAATGCGACATGTCGAAGGTTGTAACCCCAGGCAAGAGCGAAGCAAGAAGAGCATAAACAGGTGCGCAAAGGATCTGAATCGCAGTATATAGAAGGGGAAAAAAAAAAAAAAAAAAAAAAAAAAAAAAACTAGCGATAGCGAAGAAAAAAAAGCCGACAGGGATGAGCGATTTTTTTTTTTTTGCCTAGTTAGCTGGGCAGTGTTTTTCAGTGGAATTTGTCGAATCTTGTAATTCGCATCTTTTGAACTAACATAGCAGACACGAAGGACAAATCACAGAGGAGGATATCCTCGTTGCCCGCTGTTAATCGTCTATTGGATCCCCACATGGCCCCATTCTTCTGGAGGGGCGACACTTGGGGATGATACCCCTCCAAATGCATTGGGTCAAGCCTTTGATCGACAAGGCAAAGTCCGGATCGAGAGGTACCATTTGCAAGGATTATGTTGTATAACTTACTCGGACAACGTGGGCAAAATGGAACCCTGTCTTATATCCGGGTCAGGAAGTTGGAAGTTATTCTGACCGACCTTGGAAGTCCCCGCGAACAGCCCGCTGTGGAGAAGGTTGCCGAGGTCCAATGCAATTCTCCGCGAATTCACATTCAAGAATAACATTGTGGGAATCAGAGATGGTCCGGGTAAAAATTAAAGAATCACTAAACACAACCCCTGAGCCCCTGCAATCACAACCAGCCGCATCCCTATGTCTTCTCGTATTCATGGGCACTAGTGTTGCTAGTGTGTTTGGATTCATGGCTGCCTGAGCCTTCTGGCAGCATTTGTTGTATGTCTTTTCCAATCCAACTGGGAGGAAAGAAACCATCGTCTTCGAAATAGAGATGGTGGGTCATAGAGTCTGTGGAGTCTCGGCGTTGATCCGAGTCAACGTTATGCACCATTGTCTCGGTAGCAGAGCCGGTGACAGAGCCAGCAGCAAGGGATGGATGTGTGTTGGAATATGACATGCCGAGAGTATGGTGCGTTTGGCCCTATAGTACCGTATCGTGTTGTAGTGTTGTAGTGTTGCAGCCAGACAGGATAGGTGCTGCCTTGACGTTCAAGTAAGACGCCTTGGAGAAAGACTCATCGTCATCACGGCTCCAGGGTCATCTGATAGATTGACGTCATCTGCTTATTCCCACATCAGCACTCTATTTACGTTGATTCGCTAGTCATATTGGAGAAAAAGAAGAGAAGCATGTACGGAGTCAGTATCGACATACCCAATTCAGTATGTAGTGTGCACGAAAGTCACTGGGCAATGTCATGTGGGAGACTCTGCATTTACAAACATGATTTCCGCATCCGGGAGCCGAGGCACATGATCACATAGAAGCGGACTGGATATATGCTATAGGATGAACCCAGATAGACAGAACGCCTCATTCGGATTAATTGGATCCAAGCCTTTGAGAGAAGAAACCTTTCAGTACGGAGTAGAAGTAGAACAAGAGCTATAGGTAAATCCGAGCCCAAGCCAATCAACTCCAAGACGGTAAGCAGCGGCTGCCGAAAACCCCGCCAAACCCCCCATCCGAGGTTTTGCCCTCGACGCATCTCAATTCACCACAAAATGACTGAACAACAGGAGTCTAAGCGCTTTGCTCCCAAGGTCGCAGTCGAGCTCGACCCTCCTAAGGATGACCTCATCTCCAAAGAAGAATTGGCCAAATGCGACGGTATGGAAGTGTTACCCCTCACCGGATCTTCCCCTCGTTCTCTATTTTCAATTCAGATTGTCGAAATCTCGATGCTAATGAATGTTGTGCTGTAGGTAGCGATCCCAGCCGTCCAACTTTGGTCGCTATCAAGGGCATTGTCTTCGATGTGACTCGCAATGCGGCTTACAGCGCCACTGGCCAATATCGCGGTAAGTACAGCAGGTCTCTCAATTGGATTATATTGGACAGTCGCGCTGATTTACTCCTTGTTATTAGTGTTCGTCGGAAAGGACTCCTCCCGCGCCCTTGCTTGTTCTTCGCTCAAGCCCGAAAACTGTGTTCCTGAGTGGTATGACTTGGGCGACAAGGAAAAGACCACGCTGGATGAATGGTTCACCTTCTTCAGCAAGCGGTATAACATTGTCGGCAAGGTTGAAGGCGCCACCAACTTTTAAGAGGATGTGTTACAATGCAGGAGTCGCGCTCATGCGATATTATACCCAGTTTAGAAATGGAACAATCCAGTATGAAATATCAAATCCACGGTGCTTTTTCATTTTTGGATTGGTGGTATCGCGTAGGTACAAAGAACAGTCCCCTCTGACTGCTGAGATACATAATGCCTATACATTAAAAATAACATTGACGCCTTTAATTTCCCTTGCGGGCTTTGCGCTTCATGCGCTTCTGGCCGATGATGCGGTTGCGCTTCGCGGCCTTGTCCTCTTCTTGATCCTCCTTCTCATCCTTGGGACTCTTTCCGGTCTTCCCACGCTTCGCGTCCTTTCCGTCTCTGTCATCTCTTCCTTTTCCACCACGGCCATCACGGCCATCAGAGCGCTTTCTCTTCTGACCGTGCTTGTCTCCGTCCTCTGCGTCGTCTGAACGCTTAGGCCGGGGCTCGCGGGATTTGGCCTGCAGCTCATTACGGCGCTTGACGACCTGAGCGTTCTCAATGGCAAACTCAACAACCAGACTCTTCTTCTTGTCCTTATCCTCTGGACTTTGAACAGAAGGAGGAACCGGCATGGAATGGCAATTGAGCCAGCGCAAACTCATGAGAGCGTGACGGTGAGTGAAAAACTCGATGAATCCATATCCACGACTGCGACCACCACCAGTCTTCTCGGAGACCTTGGTACCTTCGCGAGTCTCGAAGACGACCTTCGCCTGGCGGACGATACCCATCTTCTTCTGCTTGCGCAGCTGCTCAAGCTCCTTCATTGTATCGCGGGAGCGCTGCTGCTCCTCTTTTGAGAGGGCTGGCGCACGCCCTTCTTGACATCCTTGGCGAAGTTGACGACGGACTCACGGGCAAGTTGCTTCAAGTCCTTGGAGCTGATGTGACGGGGGAGGTTACGGATGGCGAGACGGGTGAGACTGACGTGGAGAGCGGGGTTCTTCTTGATGAAGGTTTCACGCTGCTTGTAGCTGTCCTCGCGCATCTTGACTTCGGAGGGAGAGAGCTTCTTGTACAGCGGGGAGTTGGAGGGGATCGTACCCTCGTTGAGGAGGTACAGGCGGCGCTTATCAGTGTCGCGGACCATACGGCGTGACACTCCCTCCTCTTCCAGCTTCGCGGCTTGACCCTTGCTCACAGCACGGGCGACTTGTAGGACTCGGCCTTCGAGAGTGTAGCGGCCGGTGGGATCGGTGTTCTCGTCTTGGAGAACAGAGTGCTTCATGGCGGTGTTGGACTTGGGCTTGTCCTTATTCGGGGCCATGACATCGGCTCCTTTGGGGGCTTCGCGAACGCATGTGTTGGCGTCTTCAGGCTTCCAGAAGCATACGAATCCAGTGCCTCGGGGGCGCTCGGTCTCGTAGTCCAGAACGACACGTGCGTATCGTAGGGGTCCGAAGTTGGTTTTGAAGTGGTCGTATAGGGTCTCGTCTGTGGCAGTGAAGGGGAGATTGCGAAGGAAGATTGTAGTGGCGTTGCGGTCATCCTCCTTATCTTCCTCATCGTCGTCCAGCTCGTCCAGCTCGTCCAAATCATCATCTTCGTCTTCGTCTTCGTCGGAGGAGGTCTCGTCATCCGAGGGCTCTTCCAAAACACCCTCGGCGTCCTCCATCTCGACGTCACCAGTCTCCTTCTCTTCCTCCTTTACTTCCTCCTCCTCATCCTCGTCCTCCTTCTTAGTGGTCTCCCAAACATCCTTTTCGACAGCCCAATCGACAGCCAATTGACGTCCATCGATCTCTTTTCCGTTGACCATCTGGAGAGCCTTCTCGGCATTCTTTCTGCCTCGTAGGGTAACGAAACCAAAGCCGGAAAGTTTGCCGTTCTTCTTGGGAAGAGTAACGAACTTGACCTTTCCAAAACTGCGGAACAGAACAGACAGATCCTCGGGCTCCTTGATACTCCAAGGAAGATTGCGAACAATCAGCTTGGGGGGAAGGCCTTGTCCTCTCTCCTCTTCCTTCTTTTTCTTTGACTCCAGAGAAGCAGCGGTGGGGACACTGCGTCCAATCTTCTCATCAATCTCACGCTTACGAGACTCGGCATAGTCAACGCGAATGATTTTTCCGTCAAATTTAGATCCATTGAGTTCCTTCAAAGCGCTCTCCGCATCCTCGACATCGGCGAATGTAACGAAACCGAATCCCTTGGATGCCTTGGTCACCTTATCACAGACAACAACAGCATGCTTGATAATGTAGGACTGCGAGAAATATTCTGCTAGGCTCTCTGTTGTGGCCGAGGTGGGTAGTGAACGGACGAAAAGGGTTCTGTTGTTCTGAGGCGCTGCTGAGGCCTCGGTGGCAGGTGTAGTGGCTTCGACTTTAATTTCAGGTGTCTCAGCGTCTGAAAGACGCCGCTTCTTGTGTGATTCAACCATAATGGCTATGTTGCGATTCAAGTTTTTTTTTCTGCGGTCGAGAAAGAGCAAAAAAATTGGCGGCAGAAAATTGGGGCAGATTGGCTTGGGCGGTGTGGGTCCCATCCAGATAAGCAATAGCTTTATCGATTCTATCGACTCTCCGTCGATCGCATTGTGATTGACAACGACACATTGGGGCAAAGATGGATTCTCCACGCCCAGGCACCAGTTTACCCTCGCGCCCTTCAGACTCTCCAGCCCCGGGTTCTTCTGCAAGACCCAAAGTCCAACAGCCCAAACCCCAAGCCCTCGCTAACCGTCCTGGAACTTCCGCGATTCTTGTATCCACGCGACAAAAGGGCAACCCGATCTTGACCCACATTAAGCTCTTGCCATGGGAGTATGCTGATATCCCCGCGGACTATGTCATCGGTACCACCACGTGCGCAATGTTCCTGTCCTTGAAATACCATCGCCTACATCCAGAATACATCTACTCCCGAGTTAAACAACTGGCAGGCAAATACAACCTCCGCCTTGTCCTAGTAATGGTTGATATCGAAAATCACGAAGACAGTCTCCGAGAGCTATCCAAAACATCAATCATCAATAACCTCACCTTGATCCTATGCTGGTCTGCCCCAGAAGCTGCGCATTATTTGGAGCTTTTTAAATCCTCGGAGAATGCACAGCCCACTGCCATTCGAACTCAACAGGCTCAATCATATAAAGAGTCGTTGGTAGAGTTTGTCACGGTCCCCAGAAGCATCAACAAGTCCGACGCAGCGAGTTTGATTTCCACCTTCGGCAGCTTGCAAAATGCCATCAATGCCCAGCCAGAGCAGATCAGTGCCGTGCCGGGCTGGGGGGAGAAAAAGGTTCAGCAATGGTGTAACGCAGTCCGGGAAGATTTCAGAAATGAGAGTACGAAGAAGTCCTCTACATCTGCTACACAACGTCGGGCTCAATTGCCACTCATGAATACGGATGACAGACGTGATCGAAATATGGACGAAGAAGATGAAGAAGAGGCAATCCTTCGTGCAGTGTTGGAGGAAAGCCGAAAGACAGCCGCTGCTGAAGCTGCGCGGCCTATTGAGCCTCCGGCTCAAGGGCAACCACCCGAAGAGATGAGTGAAGGCATCGCTGCGGCCCTTGCGAGGCTCAGGGACAATGGTAGTTGAGGGCTAAGGTTTCTTCGTCTTATCTAAAAATGCAATGCCAAGACTTTCCAGTCCCTAGTTCTTGGGGTTCATGGTCATATACTTGCGTACTGACCACGGCGCCTGCTGGGTTGACACTATCTTCTCAGCCCGCAAGGAAGCAGTACCAGATGGACCCCTGGGCTTTTCAGCCTTCGTGATTTGGGCATCACGATTGCCACAGGGTGCTTGTGTCGGCCATTCAACGAAGCCTATAGGTGCTATGTACACCAAAACACTCGAGTAAACATGCGCAACCGCTTTCTGGGGGTTAATCACGCAAGCTCATCTTTTGCAAGTCCCGGGATTTGTATGGTGATGGGTCTCAGCATTTGAAGCAGGCTTGGCATACAGCATCTCGATCTTCGATAGCAAATACACAGCGTGAATCCTGATTGACTCGATTAGACGTGGTTGTTACAAAGCTTTCTCTATGCTCCTTGCCATATTAACTAGATGCTTCAGGTCAGTATGGCCAGTTTTATCTAGCTCCCCGTCACTCATTGGCTTCTTTACCAACTATAAGAATTGACGCACTACTCCCGCTGATAATAGCCATATATTGACGTATATCCATTCATTTATGTAGACGGGGCACGATCTCGGCCCCCGAAGCGGGTGAACGTCCGTGCTTAGTCAGGACTCGTTTTCCAATCCTGAGGTCCAGGGGAAGGATAATCATGCCTTTTCCATCGTGCTCTCTATGCCATAAGCCCAAGACATTCTGGCGCAAAGCGAATTTAATATGCTCCCAGCATGTCTGCTCATTTGAACCGAGCAACGAGTCGCCCAAGAGTGCTCCCAAGGTCAAGGCTAGGATGCAAAACGTGCAAGTAGGTGCTTGTCTCCTTCTCTATACGGGCGTTTCATATTGAGCGTTTCGTAGAATCCGACGAGTCAAGTGTGGAGAAGAAAAGCCAAGCTGTGTGAGATGCACCAGCACAGGTCGCAAGTGTGACTTTGATGGTGTGTTGCCTTCCTCCACAACCTCGACCATCGTGAACCCTCTGTCATTATCACCGAGCACCAATATAGCATGGCGAGAGCGTCGAGCATTTGCCTATTATTTTGAAGTTGCTGCCACCTCTATCGGTGGTGGATTGGATGTCGATTTCTGGCGCACTGTTGTGCCACAGGTTTGCCGCCATGAACCCGCAGTGTGGGATGCCATCATTGCCATAAGTGCACTGTTTGAGTCCCCTCAACAATCTCCGGTTCCCTTTTCTCGATATCAAGAGAACTGCAGTTCTCTTGATCAAAATTACGAAGACGCCTTGGGCTGGTATTCACGCTCGGTATCTGCCGTTCGGCAGCGTATTGAGCGTGGTAGTGTAGACATATTTGTGGGATTGATCAGTTGTGTCCTTTTCATTTGCATTGAAGCTATCCAGGGAAATGCAGATGGGGCCCTGCAGCTCTATAGTCAAGGCGTGCAGCTCATTCTCGCTTTGCGGCCACAAATAGCATCCGGGGCTATCCCCGCAGATAAAGCTTCCTTGCTGGAGGACACAATTGTCCCAATATTTCTCCGCCTGGGAGCCATTGCTCTTGCCATTTCTGGGGCCCCAATTGGGGCTCTACTACGAGACACTCAAAGTCTATCGGCGCAGAAGTTCGACTCGCTCAGGTCTGCCCGGGAGGCGATCGTTGTCCTAGCTGTAGAGATCCCGCTCTTTGAAAGTACCTGCATGAAGCATCTACAGCAGACTTCTTCTTCCCATGTATCACAGGAATCTATGGATCGAGCATTCGGGCTATCTACCCGATTGAAAAACTGGTATATTGCGTTCGAGGACTTGATGAACATCCTACGGGCGAAGGACGTCTTATCAAGGCAACAGATCGGCTCAAGTGCTCTTCTCCTAAGTTATCACGACATGCTTTATGTGATGCTGGAAACCTGCACGTCATTGTCACTGACGCAATTCGATGCATATCTACCGAATTTCCAGAGCATTGTGGAAAATTCCACAATTGCACTTGAAGCTTCTGTACGATCGGATGGTACGCAGCCACCATTCACCTTCGAAATCAGCATCGGTCTTCCGATTTGGTTCACCAGTCTCAGATGCCGTGAACCACGCACCCGACGCGCGGCACTAGCCTTGCTGCATCGAGCACCCATAGTGCAAGGCTTCTACCGGTCCTCTTTTGGGGCATCGATAAGTCAGAAAGTCATAGAGCTTGAAGAGTTACAAGCGATTTCAATGGCTACAGCCCATCACAAACACGGTATTGGTGCATCGGAATCGACGGAACAGGCCCATCTTGGCTCTGACGTTCCCCCAAACTCACAGCTTGTTCAGAAAGACATGGATTCCAGTATGTCAACAGCAATGCTCATTCCAGGAGAGGTACGAATTGGACCTATTCAAATCTTCCGGCCAATGGATGGACTTCTTCCAGGAACCACGCAGAAAGATATTGCAAAGTGGAACCGACGCTCTGATAACCCCTTTTTACAATTTTCCCGGCACGAGCGTAACCTGAGCGATAGTTCCCCGCGGCTGGTTTACGAATGTGTTCCTCTTGATATCTGATCATAATACAAATAGATTTTGTGGAATAGGTTAAACATCAAATCGGCAGAAAACATCCTTCTGGGCCCTCTCATGTTCTTTCATAATCGTTGCGATACGGGCTTCTGATCTTGGCTTAACCACACAAGGGAAGTCCTTCGCACATACCAAAAGGCCTTCACTGTAGCCCGTCTGGGCGCTCAAATCAAACTCAACTGGCTGACCTTTCTCGTCCAAGGCGGGCTCGATGGAAAATGCCCAGATCAGTTTGGCAATTGCTATGAACAGATTGCGCTCAGCGAGGTGGATTCCGGGACAGATTCTACGACCAGAGCCATAACCGTAGTGATCGCGACTTTCATAGTCCGCCTTAGCTGCGAGCTCGGGTGCGAGTTCAGTCTGGCCTTTATAGTGGTCGGGATCGAATGTGTCAGGGTTCGGGAACCGTTTTTCATCGTGGTGCATACCCCAGGCGTTGATAATGACCGTACTTCCTTTGGGAATCAAATACCCATCAATCCAGTCGTCTGTCAAGGTCAGTCAGCTAGCAGCTACCGGAAACCCATCTCAAATCTGCTTACCTTCCGCAGCGGCGTGAGGAAATGAGAGAGGCACAACAGGCCGCCACCTGTGAGCTTCTTTCACGATGGTCGCCACGTAAGGCAATTGGGCATAGTCCGACCACACAGGGGTCCGATCTTCGCCGATAACACTGTCAATCTCCTCTTGTGCCTTCTGAAGAACATGGCCCCATTTGACCATCGCTTGCATGAACGCAAGGATAAGAGAACTTGTGGTATCCGATCCTCCCTCCATTAATACACCACCGAGGAAGTAGAGCTGATGATTGTTGAGTCCCAGAGTGTCCTCCTGATCCAGGATAATGTCCATGAGCGAATTTTTACTTCCCTTCAACCGCCGGCGCACTCTAACACGTTCAAGCTCACCCCCGTATAATCCGTTCATCTCGCGGCCCACCTCCTTCGCTCTGCTCACCCAGTTACCAAACAGAGCCTGTGGTACATAGTGCAGGAATGGATAAACATCAACGGGAGGAGTAGCACCAGCCTCCATCACCTGAGACCAGTTCTCCTGCAATGGAGGGAACGATTAGCGTCACATCCCTGCAGTATGAGTCCAACTACCTTACCATCATATCATATAGGCGAGTCATATGGGGTGTATCAACTGAGGGTGTGCGGAAGCCGAAAACTAAAACGCACGTTAGTATGTCAAAGCAACAATCATATAAGCTGCATATTCATTCCCTGGCGGGCCAACCGACCTAGACTCATGGTAATGCTGTTACTGTACCGCTTGGGGTGAAGCATGTGTTGGTCAGGCCGCACGCACATATCACGGAGCATCTGCACTGCTTCGGCATTCTGAACCTCTATATGATTCTTCTCGACCATGGATTCCATGAAATACTGATGAATCAGCTTTCGGAAAGTCCGCCACTGCTGGCCATATTGCATAACCAAGAGATGATCTCCCGAGGTCATCAGATCGTGTGAAACATATGAGTGTGGCCTATTGCTGTATTTGGCGCTTTTCTTGTCGATGAGCTCTTTGATAATGCGTCGATCCGTGATGACGACCGCGGTTCCCGTACCCAGTTTGAGAGAATAAAGGCCACCGTATTGCTTGGCCCATTCGGTAAATCTAGATTGCTCAGATTAGAGATGCTTTTGACAGTCGAGGGAATTCAAAGCTCACTTGAAGTATGAGCCTTTCCTGGGAATCTGATGAAGATTTCCCAAGATAGGAATAGTTGGAGGCCCTGGGACAAGTTTTAACAAAATTTAAATGACAATGGAGAACTTGCCATTGTTTACATACCTGGAGGAAGGTTCTTGGCTCTTCTCCCGGTCACCAGAACCAGATACAAGACACAGAGCGCGATTGGAACAAGAATAACAGCAAGCATGATTAAGGGGTTGGAAGGCAACTCGTGCAATCCGGGGTCTTCTACAAAATCTGGGGAAATAGCTGCCCCTTATATGAATTGCGACTCCACATTTCCCCATCTCAAGAAAAGAACGGGGCCCTTGGCCCAAGCTTACATCCCCATTCTTACTCTGGCGTTGCGGGCGAATTTCGCGCAAACTTCGCAGCAAGCCCTGTATCGGTATGTCATGCATGGAAGATGGCCTCGGAAGTTCTTCCGATTCTTCCTTCCCCCTGCGAGTCATGACTTATGCAAGCACCCATGGCTTCATAGATTGCTGGGACTCGAGCTAGGTGTGGGAGAAGTCACAAAGTCTTTCTCCCACATCCCCCGGGGCCCCGCGGGCCAATCAGCCAGGAAGGAATAAAGTATTACAGATTCTATACCACCCGAAGTAGGTATTATATGGCAACTCAAGTGTAGGTAGTAAGGTAGTAAGCCGCCTAGCTAGGAACGAAAGCACAGAAACATGGCTAGCTGAATGCTAGTCAAGGACTTGGCGGCGAAGCCAATGCTGGGGGTTATGATTATTGAAGATGATTTACCAGAGCTGTATGGGTAGATCGGATTGGGCCAAAGAGATGCCAGTTTATCGAGATACTAACCTTGAGATTTTTATCTATTACGAGTAAGGAGTAGATTTGGCCACTTCAAACTGCTTCAAGTCACCGTTCTACGGCATTATCTAACCAGTATTGCTTTTTATTATGACTGCTAAGTACGTCTGTCTACAATCCTCTAAACGCTGAGGTGCCACTCTCGTTCCCTGTTTGAGCTGCCATGCCCCAATCTCCGTACACTCATACAATGTTTTACTAAGCCACCTTTGAGCCGGGCCTCCCAAGGTCCTCATTGTAGCCTTTAGAACTATATTGCTCAAGCTGGCGTTTTAGGTTGTTTTGATCTAGATCGAGAAGATTGACTGTTGCGCAACCGCCCACTAATTTCTACCACTTATATATAGATACTTTCGATCCCTTCGAGTATCTATTGCAGACTAGAGAATTATCTCATCGCTGAGTTCCATCCCGCTAGAAAGGGTTTCAAGATACCCAGGTATCTGTGACCAAGGTGTGAGGTATCACCAGCAAAATACCGTTGTATGGCCACTTCATCCTTATACGCTCTTTAAATATTACCGAGCCCCAATCTATAGACCTCGTCTGGGGTATTACAATTTGTCATACCCTTAAGATTATCGGCTTTGTTATTTTAGAGAGCTGCCGGATGCTCACGTGCGTACTCTACATAAACCCAACAAATCGTCGTGAATCACAGGCCGGATGATTTCACATCGATGCACCAGCCCTAAGGTTCGGGCCAATCGAACGGTGATGATCTGATCCACCTTCGGCGGAACTCTCGCTCGGTGCGATTTCGGGGATTCCCTATCGATGGACCATTCTGAGTTAATCCGTCGATCTATGGCTTGTGATTGCTTCCATTTGTTTCCCCGGATTTCCGAGGGGCCTGTCAAGGATGACAAGTTGGTTGGGGAAGATCTGCAAGACGACCCGAAGACAAATATCCGCACGAATTTCGGCCTGATATTCAATGCGACATGTTGCGTTGTTATGCGGATCTTAGTTTCTCTTGGCAGTTTAGACAGTCAAGTTCACTACAGAGTACGGAGCACGAGCTTCGCGTTTATAATGAGCCTGCATATCTCTTGCAATTAACAAGCCGCTATTACCTCTAACAGTACTCCGTACAGAGCCGATTATTCCCATCCTTACGAACAGGCTCAAGATGATTGATGAAATCCGATCGAAAGGAATTGCCGGTGACACGGCAGACGCAATATTGAGCAGCGCTCAAGTCGGTCATTCGGCTGAAGGTCAAGATGATGCTGTCGATACAGAATTTCTTATTGTTGGCGCAGGGCCGGCCGGCGCTGGCCTAGCTTGTTTCCTGGCCTCTCATGGTATGTACTGGAATTAGTTTGGATGGTGCTTCTGTGGCTAAAAGAAAGGTACGAAGGACTCAAGGGCGTCATGATCAGCAGCGCTCCAGGGACAGCGAACACTCCTCGCGCACACATTACCAATATGGCAGCACTAGGTAAGAGGCAGTGAGCTTTAGGCTTTGTAGGTTAAATGCTAACATACCGCTTAGAATGTTTGCGGGATATTGGTCTCTACGAGGAGCTTGAAAAGTTAGGATCTACGGGCGCAGAACATATGCAACACACCAGATGGTGTCACAGTATGGCGGGCGAGGAGTATGCACGAATTCATTCATGGGGAAATGATCCGAGGAGGAAGGTAAGTTTGGTACCTCGTGTTGTTTTCTTTTTCGATCCAGTTACCGTGCTTAGGACTTATCTAACAGAGTGAATAGGGAGACTATGAACTGGCCAGTCCATGTGAGCCATTTGATCTACCACAGACGGTCCTAGAACCAGTTTTGGTTCGCCACGCAGTTTTGAACGGCTTCAAGTGTCGCTTCGACACGACACTTGTTTCATTCGTGGAGGACGCGAAGACCGGTCTGATCACAGCGAACATTCGCGACAACATCTCAAACCACCAATACCAGATCCGCACGCGGTATCTATTTGGGGCCGATGGTGCGCGAAGTCAGATTGTGAAGCAACTAAATTTACCTCTCGTGGCTCAGCCTGGCCAAGGAATTGCGATCAATGTGTTAGTCAAGGCCGATCTTGCCCATTTGGTCAAAAACCGCACAGGAAACCTCCATTGGGTGATGCAGCCCGATCGCGAGCACCCCGACTTTGGCTGGATGGGAATTGTGCGGATGGTGAAGCCTTGGAATGAGTGGATGTTTATCCTTTTCCCTTCTCGCGACTATGACCGTTCCAAAGCCAAGCCATCTACGGAGGAGTACCAGAAGAGGATCCAAGAGTTTATCGGCGATGATACACCCGCTGAAATTCTGGATATTTCTACGTGGTACATCAATGAGATTGTGGCGGACAGGTATTCAGAGGGTAATGTGTGAGTATCAGCTCCATCTGTCTGATCAATGAATCCCTCCTGACCATATCTTTCGCTCCCAGCTTCTGCCTCGGCGACTCCGTCCACCGTCACCCACCATTCAACGGCCTGGGCTCAAACACCTGCATCCAAGATGCTTTCAACTTAGCTTGGAAAATCGCATATGTCCACAAGGGCCTTGCATCGCCATCGCTTCTTTCCACTTATTCCGCCGAGCGACAGCCTGTAGGCCATTCGATCATCACACGAGCAAACCAGGCCTACCGTGACCACTTGAACGTATGGGATGCGCTAGGCATGCTGCCTACAGATCTTTCAGCAAGAAGGGAAATTCTACAGCAATTACAAAGCCCAACTCCCGAGGGATCCAACCGCCGCCGTGCCCTGCGGTCCGCAGTTAAGCATACCGCTCATGAATTCCACGGCCTGGGAATTGAGATGAACCAACATTATGATAGTCAGGGAATCTATACAGCAGACGAACCACATGCATATGTGCAGTTCGGACGTACGGCAGAGGATAACATTATGTATCATGAACCAAGCACGTACCCAGGCTCTCGCCTGCCACATGTCTGGCTGAACAGCGCAACCCCTGAGGAGCCGATCTCGACAATCGACCTTGCTGGCCATGGCTCTTTTACCATTTTCACTGGTATCGGAGGTGATGCGTGGAGGAAGGCGGCTGCTTCTATCTCGGAAAAGCTCAAAATTACGGTTCAGACCCACTCCATTGGATTCAGACAGGATTGGGAGGATGTTTACTTCGAATGGGAAAGCGTCCGAGGGGTAGAAGATTCAGGTGCCGTGTTGGTGCGTCCTGATCGATTCGTTGCATGGAGAGCACCAGAGGCTCTACAAGATACTGAAGCCTGCGAGTCAAAGCTTCTGTTGGTTCTGAGAAGCATTCTCGGACACGATGTTCTATAGTTACTTTCAATATATCCCTTTTCTAATGTACCATTTTTTCTGTTATATCCGTTGGCCTTACGTTGCCTGAGTTTGCCTTCTCAAGGTTGTAGCCATGTAAGCGACGCTCTCCTCCTTGAATCCGAAGCGTGATATGGTGGATACATGTAGATATTAGTTGTACAGAAATACCATTCGACTCTTGGGTTGCTACTTCATCAGATCTACGTTTATGGACGCCTTCAATTCCTGTGTCATATGTACTGAATTCTGGTAACGAAAAGGACAAAAGGCATTGTACATTCTATTCGAAGGTGGAGGATTGCAAGTTCAATTGACCATGATATCAGATTATCTGTATTTCCTCTATGTATACGAATCTCCTTACTCATAATAAACTTTGTTAATCAAAGTTCCAATCCTCTCAACGTGCACTCTCATATCATCACCGTCGTTCAGGACAATCTTAGGGTTTCGCATAGCTCCAATGCCAGGACCCGTACCCGTCATGATAACCGTGCCTTTTTCCAGAGTGGTGCCTTGAGAGAGGAATGAGATGGTCTTTGCAAGGTCGAAAATCATTTCCCTGGTGGGTTCGTTAGCACCTTCGAGCTCTCAAGTGGTAGTTTAGCTATGGAGGTAGACCAACTTGGTATTTGAATCCTGCACCACATTACCGTTGTGGATTGCTTTGATTTGAAGATTATGAGGGTTGCCGATGGCAGATGGGGAAACAAGAACCGGGCCCAGTGGACAGGATCCGTCAAGACCTGTTGTATCGAATAAAGTCAGATCAGGGTGTTATTTTCTTGAAAGGTTGGGTGGTCCGTGAAGCCAAGAGATCACATTTCCTACCTTTTGAGAATGACCATTGACTGTTCTTGAACTGCTGTGCCCGAGCACTGACATCGTTGCTACAGGTATATCCCAGAATGTAATCCATTGCCTCTGACTCAGGGATATCGCGGCCGGACTTGGACAGAATAATGGAGAGCTCTGCCTCGTAGTCACTAGTACCATCCTGTGCAATCTTTGGCACATTGATCTTGGCTGGGTAGGGTCCGTTCAGGGCTGTTCGGGGCTTGATGAAAAGGACCGGTACATCAGGGACTGGCATATTCGCTTCTTTGGCATGGTCGTGGTAGTTAAGGCCCATGCATCGGATGATAGGTACTTCTTCAATGCCAATAGGGGCCAGCAGCTGTTGCCAAACGGAGTGGTTAATTCGATTTATATTAACTGGGGGTCTAGAACGCGGGATGCTTACTCGTGCAATGTGCATAGTGGTCTCTGTTACAATACCGTCGAAGAGGGATCCTTTCACTAATTTGACCGCGATCCGAGTTCCTTCTAGTACCGCAAGGCCAACGTCGGGGTATTGGTTGGAATCCACTTCGCCCAGATGAATCTGTCCATCTTCCTCGCTGATGAACCTGACGACATGTGTCCAGTTGGGAGCCATTTTGGTGAGATCTGGGCTTTGGGGGGCTATATGATCAAGTGGAGGAGATATGGAGAAGTGCCGTTTGAGGAGATGGTCCTGAGCGCGAGGTAAAAGGTCTTATGTATCTCCCAGTACAGAGTGAGAAGAGGAGCAGTACAGCTTCCCCGGTGGGAGATGCTATGGAACATCTTCGGGGTATCCGCCCGGCAGGATATATGACACGCACATCGCAAAGCTAACGAGGTTTCTATATTATTTCTCGAAAGAAGATTGGATCAAAGTGGTCACTCAATAGGAAGGCTTACCAGGAGAGAGCAAGGTTCAAGGATGGGTCACTCCGGTGGTATTGCCGAGCATTGAAAGATGCCAAGTTGACAAAATTTCAAGTGACACGATAGCTCTCAATCCAATGCCGATCGAGGATATTTCGCCTTCGTTACCGACTCAGGTAACTTGGAGTAAACCCCGGGGCCAAGATGGTGAGGCCCTGTGGGGCTGATCTGCGTCGGACTGTCTTCGGGCTAATTCTCGGTTTCTCTGGGTGTTTAGCATTGCAAGAGCCAATTTACTGTAGCATTTCCGCGGACTATCCGTTTCTCTCTGGCTAGTCCATATGGAGTACGGATCAGATGGAGGTTTATTCCCTTTATCTGCGATCTACGTTCAATGATCTACCCCAACCCCAGCCAACTGGGGTGCGACACATCGTTCTTTCCTACAGATCTATTTCCTTCTATAGGTCTAATCAATCAATCTTAACAAACAAAAAGACTTCAAGGATTCAATCTCTTAAAGAGGGCCATATATAGCATACTACCTATAGTATCAATTGTGGAAGCCCCTGTCGAATCTCTTACCAATTACCTCAAAAATATGACTCTCGCCAGAAGCATGCTTACAAAAAGTATCCAATATTACTGCAAGAATGTAGGGGGAAGATCCGGACCTAGTGAAAGATTAGTACCATGTAATCGCACATATTATGCTCGCAAACCTACCCCAAACGTGCAAGTTGTCAGGCGAGGCAAGTGATCGATGGATGGGATATTGATCATTGACCAAATCTCCATCAACGTAATGTTCGATGATGAAGCGAGAGGGATCAAACCTTGAGGATTGATGTTAGAGGTCCACTCTCTGTAGATGGCGTGTAAAAGGAGACATACCAATAATCAAAGATCTGACTGCCCATGATATGACGTCCGACACCCCAGCAGTTTTCATAGCCCTTGCTGCGGAGCCAGTCATGACCCAGCACCTGGGTATCGAAATCGTGGGTCTCAAATGACGAGTGATGTACGTGCGGTTTGGGGCCCTCGAAGAAAAAGAAGCAGTGGTGGTCGACTAATTCAGAGCCACGGTCGAGGTGGAGGAAGGTGGTAATATCCTTGCCAGTAGGATCATGAACCAGCTATACCACGTTGTAAACACTCGCTGTCAGTAGCTCTAGGTATACATGGAAACGGAGGTACTAACATCGCTTGGCTTAAAGTTGAAGTTGGTGGTGTAGAAATCAAAGGCTTTGGCAAAATCGGTGACGCACATTCCAAAATGACCCAACTTATGCACGGGGGCAGGGCCTTTTTGTGGTGGTTATCATTAGTCCACTGTTCTTCATGGACACACAAGTTTGAATGGATTGCCTTTCTCACTTACCCTTCGAAAATCGCTGTGTCTTGTTACCCGACCGATGTTTTTCCGTCGGCTAACAAAGGATCAGTGACTATCAAACTGAAGAATAGATGCATATCAAGGACATACGAAATTGAAATTGAGCTGAGGCAGCGCTTTCTCATCGTTGTGTGGCTGTTGCCCATAAACAAGGTGGAAGGGGAAATCATCGACAGGGTCGTGGAAAGTGACGCAGCGACCACCGCCGGGGGCATCACTCAAGTCGTAGATTTGAGTCGCGCCAGGCAGTTTCTCCGCAGCAAGGAGATCATCTTCGGATTCCACAACGAAAGCTGCACCCTGGAACGCGTCTTCATCACCCTGTCGTGCGCAGTACACGAAGGGCTCGGAACCAGTGCCGCGATAATATACGTCCTTCCCCACACGTTTCACCTCCTGAAAGCCGAAGTCTAGCAGGAAGTCATGGGCTTTATTGATATCCTTATGGGCATAGAAGACGTGTGCAATGCGCACCAAGTTGATCCGGGATCCATTCTTTGAGCCTGTCATTTCCGCGGTTTTGAGGGTTCTTGATATTGGTCAAGCGAGGTTTGGGCAGTATAACTTGTAATCCAAGATGAAAGATTTCAGAGTGATCGGTAGTCTTTTCTAGGTCGTCAATAGCACATTCATGTATGTGAGCCAGGCTGGTGGAACTCCTGCTTGGTGGGGATTGATAGTTGCAAGGTTGTGGAGTCTGGGGTCACGGACTTATGCGAAGTTAGGCCGCGCGGGATTTCTTCGGTCAGTTTCGTAGGAAAGACAAGCATCAGGAAACGTTTCAAATCTAGTGAACTTTGACCCGGACTAATGCCTAGGTATTGCAGCATAAACAACAATTACCCAGGTAGATCACCGTTCGGGACTACACTTGTGTTTTGAGAGGGCTTCCTTCGTGTTTCTTTCTTTTCCAGTGTAGGTATCTGCATTTTTTGTTAGCAGATCATGACCAATCTTTCTCTGCAGTTTATTTACGGCAGTTCTTGATTTTTACTAGCAATAGGTACAACTCAACTATGTGGATTGAAGAAAAGATTGAATACATGGATCATACAGGGTATTTAACCCCCGAACATCGCTTAGCTATGGGAGTTGCATATTACAGCCTGTCAGTATGATTCTTACCTTGGGAACTCTGCTTTTTCCTTTTGTCTATCTATACATTGAGTCAGGGAACTTGATACTAATTACTGGTACTGTACATTATCAGACCACAGAATTCCGTCCTTAGCGGCACAGCATCGCGCCACCCGAACATCACAGATTGGCCAAACCACTTCGTCGCCCCGAGAGGCCTCGGTTTTGCATAGAACCGCAGCAAGGATAAACACACAAATGGGTTAGTATGTAGTCCATCTAGCAAGCAAGTCCTGTAGGTCACCAGAAAGATCAGGGTTGCACCAGTCCACGATCAAGTCTTGCTGCGTATCACCCAAATCAGGCGTGTCGAAGGGATTAAGACTCATGGGCATCATGTAGGTCTCGGAAGTATGGTTCCTATCGGGAGGTGGAAGAGGCATCGTCCCCAGAATTGGCATGCTATCTGCCACCGCCGATTGCTGCTTCGCATAGCTCTGAGCCCTCATGTCTAGTCCACCATAGGGTAAAGTAGAAGTGGCGATCGGAATGGTAGGCGTTTCAGGTATGTATTCAGTAGGAGGGTTGTTTTTGGGCTTTCTTGGCGTCAAACGAAGGGCGTGATCGTCCCTATTTGTAGGATGTGAAGCATGTAGAGACGTCCGTTTTCTCTTCGCGTGGCGCGCAATGTGGTCGGCCTGGAGGCCTGGAAAAGGCTGGGATATCATACCCGCGTCTTTCAATGCCCGTTTTGAGGACTTTTGAAAGTTCTGGGCGTCGCGAGTCTCTAGTTGTTTTTTTCTAGCTTCTAGTTGTTCTTCGAGTGACTCTAGGTTCCGCTGAAGCGCGGTCTTGGTGCCCCAGAAATCAACGCAACGCCTGTAAGTCAAATACAAGACGTCAAACCGTGATTTGATCAAGCTCCGATTAGAGGCTGCTCGAGCAAAGTGTTTCCGAACCAGTTGTACTGCCGATGCCAGCCATAAGGTGCTAGCAAGAAAGGGGTTGATGTACTTGATATGCTCCTCGCAGCTCTGGGTCACTATCCTCAAGATGCGATCAGCTGCATCAAAGTATTCCCGTTGTGCCACATTCTCGCTGTCATGCCGGCCGAGCGTAGCCCCAACGCTCAAATCCTCAGGGTGAGGACAGCCGTTGGGATCGGATCGACGACTTTGAGGTTTGAATGCATCGTATCTGTAAATCATCAACCGAGCTAGCTGGATCATGATAAAGATATTATAGATGGAGCAATGCTGCTGTCTTTGAGACTCCAATTGCCCTTGAACTGGAGGACCGAAAGCCAAATACTGATCGTAATAACGCATGTGGCTAGGTAAAGCCAGACTCAAGCAGCGTACTGCGTTTGCCAAAATCTCTAACTTTTGGCGACCTTCCTCAATCGAGTCGGGAGTGCGATGATTCGGCTGGTAGTGACCCAAATTACTGGCAGCGGACGGCCATTGTGAATCGGAAATGCTTTGAGCTTTTTTCATAAATGAGTTGATGACTAGGAACCACGCTTTTGGTGATTGATTCCCACTGTCCTGTAGCCCTTTCCAACACTGATTTGGGTCGGGGTCCATAAAGCAACTTGGGGTAGGTTGACCCTGAAACCAGTGAGCGTTATCAACGGGTAGCAAGATTTCCATCTGTCTCCAGTCAATGGCAGTTGGCGTCCGACGGATCGTACTGGCAAAGACATCCATTTCCCAGATTGCCCAGAAAACACGGCGTTTTTCTTCGTCCGCTTGCCACTTATCAGGATCGGTCGTGTTCACGGCGGTTCTCGAATCCAGAACATGCAGATTGGTTTCATACGCCAATCTGATGCAAAGCCCCAGAGACCTCCATGCCTTTCCACGAACCCCTTGGGCCAGTTGACAGTGGGTCGCAACAATAAGAGCTTGGAGAAGACAAAGTGGTGGCATTTCATCGTCACAGTCCACAAGTGCCTTATTCACGTAATGGAAGGCTAGATCAACAAAGTATTCAGATTGGTAAGGCGTTTTGGTACTTGGATCTCCCTCGCGATGGTTGAGGAAGTGGGAGGCATACCCAGCTATGGCAGCCAGAAGTGCAGTCAATTGCCAAAGGGAAGTAACATTCAACAGCTTTTCCGCAAATGAAGGTTCGTGGAAGATATTCATGGCGACCATATTGTCGAAAAAGACTCGGATCCTGTCAGCAGATTCAGCGCGTTGGTACTCTAGTTAGGTTATCTTTCGGAATAGTCAAGGTTGTTACATTTGATTCATCACAGGTTGTGGCACGCCCAACTCCGTGCACGCTTGACGACAGAATCCAGCCTGCCCACCTTCTTGGCTCCCTGGGCTCGTGTTTTGATCGCAGATAGGGGTTGTAGACTCGTGGGATGGGTGTAATATGAAAGACAAGTCGTGTATGTTCAAATTTAAGGTTTGCTGCCGGTCGCCCTGATGTGTCTTCGTCTCGGGCATTGCCTCGCTCTGGACTGTTTCAACCGGCCCATCTGTCTCCAACTCATTGTCCTCATAATTTGGGCTCGCTACGGGATCATGGGCTTGCCTCGATCGAGAGCTAGGCTGAGAGGTCTGGGCTCTCTCATTTGAGCGATGACGTACCCGCTGCTTCTGTAGAGACCCTGCTTCTTGTCAATAGAGGTGCGCCTAATTGGGTTCAATATCAGGCTCCAGTAAGTTCGTACCAATTTTTGGCCCTGGCTTCATCGGCCGGAGAGGATAATCACATGTTTGGCTTGTTTGAGTGCAGACAACACACCGCGGAAGGCCCCGGTCACTAACCAGGCGTTACTTGGTAAATCTATCAAGATACCTCCATTCAAGCAATCACCTACCATTTGACCTTTCGCCTATTAATCAATACTTCGAATTAGAACCTATCGCTTCTTTTCTGTTTTGCGAAAGAGAGCGTGATACTCACTTGCGACACGAGTGACACGCCAAGTCCGCTCTCGGCATTCTTGCGTGAGACTATGTATACCGTGTCCCCAGTGATCTTTGCCTGTTGACTAAACCAATTATTGGAGTATGTAGGGGTTGAATGAGTGATGCTGGTTAGCATGGGAGGTTACGATGAGGGAATCCGGGGTCGGCGAAGTAGCCGAAGGAAGCAGCCGGGGATCCACCAACGCGGGGTTTGCCATTGCCAACACCCCGAAGATAGACCGAACCACATGAACAATCATCTCAGACCCAACCGTTATCTTTTCGCTCAGCTGCACAGGTATCGCCTATTGCGCGAGTTTATATGGTTATGCAAGACTCAAGGGGTGTCTAGTACAGTTCAGTACAGCCGGCGACAGAAGCGCCGAGTGTTGAAATGTCAACTGAGGAGTGAGGGTCAGGATGGCTCGAGGACATTGAAGGACCGCTCTAAGGCAAATCAATGCTTCGCGAGGACTGCACGACCCGCCTGGTCAAAGCGAGGACATTTATGTGAAGGCTCGAGGACACTAAGACGATCCCGGAGCATGGTAAATCCGCTTTGGGACTCATTCCTTAAACTCTGCATGTACAACAGAATAAGCAACACAATGACAAATTGACAATATGTGCTATTCTATTCACATATAACTATCTACTTTAACAGTGAGCACTCAGATAGAGTTGAAAAGCCAACCGGCCAATTTGAAAATGATCAAGAAGTGAATGACAGTATATATTGATCTTGCTTGGAATAGTGACGTCTACACATCACAAGGCAGGGTGCTTGTCCACACTGAGTACTCGCAGAACACGCAGCAAGGCAGTGTTGCTATCTCCAGGAAGATGAGCGCTGGGATGGATGGGAATCTGAAAAAGGAATCTGGTGTTACTTCATCGCGAAGAAGTCCAAATTCGCAAACAAGGGAAGAGCAGACTTTGCAGAAGCCATGGGAGGAACCACCTCTCACTATGTTAGGTTTCAGTCTATGGAACACTTTGGTAAACCTCCGATCCGGCGCATCCATTATATAAAAGTCTAACAACGTAGGTAAAGTATACTTTTGATATGCGCCAATTGTCCGTCATGATGAACGCTAACTTGGCACGTTTGGTTTTCCGAACGCGGAACTGATGGAGAGGTCCTGTGTACTTGTCGATTGAAAGTCCTTAATGCACTCCGAGCTCATCGTCAAGCTAAGTCATACGGATGCGATGCTGGAATGTCAGAATTTTGCATCCTAAGGTCTATTCCCATCAAAGATATATATATTATCTACAACGATGGATGCCAAAGAGATTTACGTGGGAGGCATTGGAGGCACAGAAACATTTGAGCACTTGTCAGTAACTGTCATCTTCTCATCGTATTGGGACGCGTCTACCCTCCAGCAGAGGGGCGATGTAGGCGGACTGTTTCAAAACGCCTATGAAAGACGTTCCTGTCTCCAGTTATGAGCCCTAGCACGATTGAGATGATCGCTCTTATTCTACAATATTCCTCTGCAGTCAAAGAGAAAAATTCGGTACAGTGCCATGAACTACTGACTCCGTGAAAGAATGGGTTTAAAGTGATGGTACGGGTCGATGTGTAATATAAACTGACAATATGAGGTTCTTGACCAATGCTAATGATGGATTTGGATGATGATGATGGTAAGAGAGTATTGTACCGAAGTGCTAACACATAGATCCTCCACACACCGCCTTCCAGACCCGGTGCAATGTGGTGGATACGGATGGCCATCTCGGTTGATGCGAGCAGCCAATGAGCTGTCAGGAAAGGGCAAGCGATGCAGGTGCTCATTAAGCACATTTGGGCCCAAAACTCCATCAAGGCGGTTTGGCCGAGTGGTCTAAGGCGATTGACTAGAAATCAATTCTCTTCGGAGGCGCATGTTCGAATCATGCAGCCGTCGGTTCTTTCTTTTTGCCGGTTTGAAATATTTACCATCTGTTCTACTCTCCCCGAGGAGGATCATCTCTGTACTCTCGGGGGATCTCGAACGTGGTACGGGCTATGGCCGGACCTTTTGTCTCCAAGGGCAATCACCCCCCAAAGACCATTCTGCATACTCTTACGCGTCGGATATGGACGAGCAGCCGGGAATACACACATTTTACGGTACCATGCAGGAGTTGCTTTCTAGGGTCGCGCATTTTTGTACAAAACTCGATGCCTAGCAGATCCCAATACCCCATGGGAAGTCGCAGGAGCGAGGAAGATAGGGTCATATGGCTCTGCCTTTGCTTCGCCGGACGTCAATCAATACTTCTACTACTCATGCTCGAAACTAGCCTCATTAAGTTGATAGACCTCTCAATCAACTAGCTGGCTTAGTATGGAATGTGATGTCCTGCTCTCGCTGTATGAAATTTGCTCCACTTGGGGGGAGGCCCTTTCTGTAAGTCTGCACCTGCAAAGGGATTAGTGAGTTTCTCAACGCCCCCGAGAGCCCTCGTAGGAGCAAGTAATTCTCTATAAACTTGATTCTCTACCATTTTTGTTTTTCTCCCCTTCTCACATCCTCCTTCTCATATCCTGCTTCACATATCCTATTTCGCATATCAGATTGACCTTGGTCAAGGACTGGTTATTCGAGTCTTCTCTCGGAGCGCAGCTTTTGAATACCTTGTAATGGCCGACGCACGTATGATTCGCTGAGCGGTGACTCGAGAAGATCTCATATCGCTTCTCAGATGATTGCTAACTGATATCTGAAGACTTACAGGACGAGGTATTCTCCGCGTTGCAAGAGCGCCTCGAGATTCTGATCTCTCGTGAGCGCCGTCTACTTGCGGCTCTACAAGTGAATGTGTTCTTAATGAATTCAAGTTAATCGCGACCTCTCAATCTTTCTGTCGCTCCCTGCGGAAGGCGTCACCTCACTTTCAGATAAGATCGCGGCGAAAGAGGCTATGTCGGAAGAATTCGAAAGTCAGCGTATGCAGTTGGCTATCGACTATTACCACGCTCATACACAATGTCTGGAGGTTGAAGGGGAGATTGATCGAATGTTCACTTGAATCGCTAACAGATCTTCCCTGATGTTTTATGATATCCCCAAAGTTTTAAACTTCATTCTCACTTCTGAATTTGTTCTCTAACCCACAATCACCGTGTATTTTATGTCGTCAATTTTCTAGGATGACCTCTAAGCTTTTGCCATCGGAAGGTGCAACTTTGAGCCGCCGTCCGATCGAGCAAGAGAGCAAGAGATGCGAATCAAATAACATGATTGTCTCCAGTTGCGATGGTTCTCTCTTTTTCGCCGATCATGCACCTCACTCTACTAGGGTGGAAATGATTCACAGTGGATACCTACTACAAAGTGTATATAATGCTCCGTGCCCAATATCCGATCGACAAAAGTGGCGTGTACCGGCCCACGAACGCACAACTTGCCTCATTTCTGCTTAAGCGACGGTGGAGCGTGATTGAAAAAGTTGGACTCATTTCCCCTCTGCTAATTAATGGGCAATCAAAGGGGGCTCTTCCTGTGGGGGCTAGTGTCTGACTAGTCCCCTAGTCTAACAATCCGACTTTTGTGCTGGGACACCCGGGAAGCGATTGCCTCCAGGCCTAGATCTCCACTCATAGCTGGGCGTGATTTACATTAAAACCCCTCTGGTCAGCCATTGCATTCTACATCAATCCGCAGTTAACTGTCATGGGTGTTCGCCCTTTGATCCGAAGAGCGCGAACAGTCCTCGGTCGCCTGTCAACTGATGAGAATGACAATGGCTCTTTCTCCCTGATGGGGATCAGGACCAGAAGGATAGTTCTCGGAGTTCCCGCAGTTCTATTGCCCTCCAGGAGATGCCAAATGGAAGTGCGCAGTATGGTGTTCAAGATGTTGAGGCGGTGACAATGACGTGGACGAGGGGTACACTGATTGCAGTCTTCATTAAGTATGTTCTTCGTTGCTCTCTTTTATGTGCTCGATTTCGTGATGATTAGGCCAAATACTGATCACACCCTCAATAGCATATGGTTTCTGTATTTTGTCAATGCCTTTCAATCAACGGTTACCGCCACTTTGAACCCCTATGTCACAAGTTCATTCCAAGCACACTCGCTCTCCGCAGTCCCCACAGCTCTCGGCGATGTCTTTGCGGCCGCCACCTACCTACCCGTGGCGAAAATGATGGATGTATGGGGTCGTGCGGAGGGGTTTCTCCTGATGGTTATATGTGCCACCATTGGACTGGTTCTGATGGCCGCCTGTAATAGCTTCGAGATCTACTGTGCCGCTAATGTGAGTTCAAGATGGGCACACTGTATTATTTTGCTCCGATGCTTACGGGCATATCAGGTCTTCTACTATACGGGGTTCTACGGCATGGAATATGCTGTCGATGTCATGACCGCAGATTTTTCGACTTTAAGAAACCGTGCATTTGCCTACGCATTTACATCCTCGCCATATATCATCACGGCATTTGCAGGTCCGAAGGTCGCGAGCGAGTTCTACTATCAGGTCTCATGGCAGTGGGGCTTTGGGTGTTGGGCTATCGTCGTACCGGTTGTGGCCGCTCCATTATATATTGTGTTGAAATACAACCTTCACAAGGCGGAGAAAGAAGGGTACAGGATTAAGAGGCCAAGTGGACGCACACTACTCGAAAGTATCTCTCATTGGACTGTCGAATTTGATCGTAAGTGCTCCTAGTCTCTATTTGTTACGTTCTACGCTACATAAAAAAGCGCGGATTATCTGATTTCAAGATTTAGTGTTCGGGGTTTTCTTATTCAGTGCTGGTCTTGCGCTATTCGAACTTCCCTTCGACCTCGCACATTACGCGCCTGATGGTTGGGCTTCCAGCTATATCATCGCCATGCTTGTCGTTGGATTTTCAATGATTTTTTTCTTCGCGATTTGGGAACGATGGCTGGCTCCAGTTCCCCTTTTCGAGTGGCGGCTTTTGACAAATCGGACCATCGTTGGTGCCGTTCTCTTGGATGCAACCTACCAGCTCTCAAACTATTGCTGGAGCTACTACTTCACCTCTTGGCTACAAGTCAACAATGATCTATCAATTACTACATCCAACTATATCGTCAATATCTTTGATATGGTTTCCGGTGTGCTTTTGCTAGCCATGGGTTGGCTCATCCGAAAGGTCGGTCGTTTTAAGTGGACTTTATACATCGCCATTCCAATCTACATACTCGGGCAGGGCTTGATGATCTATTTCCGTCAGCCCAACGTAAATATTGGATACCAGGTGCTGTGTCAGATTCTACTCGCTATTGGTGGGGCGACCTTCATTCTCGTCGAACAGCTTGCAATTCTAGCGGCCGTCGATCACCAGCACGTTGCTACCGCGCTGGCCCTGTTGAATGTGGTCGGCACTATTGGCGATAGTGCGGGACTTACCATCAGTACTGTCATATGGCAAAACACATATCTCAAGGCTCTACTTCGGTATCTTCCTGAATCGGCTTTGCCGAAATTGAACGATATCTACGAAGATCTCGTCACACAGCGGAGCTATCCTGTCGGGACCCCGACGAGATTAGCTATCCAAAAGGCCTATGCCTATGCTGAGCTTCGACTACTTTCTGTCGGATGCGGTATTATAGCCCTAGCAATTCCTTGGACGTTTTTGATGAAAGACATCAATTTGAAGAGGAAGCCGCAGGTGAGAGGTACTGTCTTTTAGCGTTTAATCCGGAATATGAACGATATAGACATTCGGTGCACTTCGGAACAGTTCGCATTCTTATTTGCGAAAGTCCCTACGGATACTCCGTAGTCGTGGTAACGAATTAAAAAAAACGCTCAGGTCCCTTCCAAGGTTATCTGACCGCGTGGCTTGGACCAGATAAATGACGCTGCGGGCCTCCTCCGGACCAATCAAAAAGCCGAAATCCCCTGCGTTTCGGATCAGATAACTGAAACTCACCTGATCTGGTAAAAGGTGGGCCTACGGCACGAGCGGCTAGGCGAATTCCGATGGTCGCTTGATGCAACTTGCTGATCCTGTGAACTCAATGCGACCTCGGGCACAATCGCATCTTCCTTCCAAGCGTCAGGGCCAGACTTATCGCACGAGCTCAAGTGGAGCCTCCGTTAGCACGCTAGTCTCAAGGAATGCTCCACCACATGACATTATTGGCCTTTAGTTTCTTGACCGTACTTCGTACTTCATACACAATCCCATGTGACTACGTCAATTCAAGAAGATTGGATGATGCTCGGTTATTCAATCACTCCATGGCTTTCCTGTCGCAATGGATCAATTCAGCATGGAAAAGCGAAGAGACTCTGGCTCACATGATATCACCTCCCCGGAGAAACTTGCCTACGACCGCAAGAGCAACGTGGGGGCCGTTAAGGCGGGAACTCTTACAGCGCTGGTGGAAAACTTGACACGTCACGATAGCCTCGACGATTCTTTCAATCGAATATTCCTCACGACATACAAGTATTTCACAACCGGGACGGAGCTTCTTGAGCTTCTCATCGAGCGCTTTGATTGCGTGTCTACAAGCTGGAACACCACTCCGACGACAGAATGGTCGGCGCAAACCAAGCATTTGATTCGAACCCGCGTGATATACGTGTTGGCACAATGGCTCGGCCATTACTGGAGTGAGCCGCAAGGCCCTGACACAGAACGAAATTTACGGATACTACTGTCCTTTGCAACCCGTGCCGGGGCATCCGCGGAAACAACCCTCACACACCAACTTCTCACGATAATTCAACGTCGAATTGCAGGTTTCAGCTGCAAGAGAAGGCCCCTCTCATCCCACTCAGATCCACCCAAGCCAATTCTCCCGCGAAAATTGAACAAGCTCCAATTCCTCAAGATCGATGCTAAGGAGATTGCGCGGCAACTGACTATCATGGAAGCACATATGTTAGGCAAGGTACAATTGGACGAGTTATTAAATAAGAATTGGCAAAGGAAACAGAGCGCCGAGCTAGCTCCAAACGTCATGGCCATGATTCGATATTCCAACCAGCTCTCTAATTGGGTCTGTGCCCTTATACTCGCAGAATCGGATTTGAAAAAGCGGACGCAAGTAATAGGGCATTTCGTCAACGTGGCCACTGTATGTTGGAACACCTAGTTCCGCTCGCGTGGTTGCTGCTTCGCTTTATATGCTAATTCAGACTACCTCAGACATGTCACGAACTCCAAAATTACTCCGCAGTGGTTTCCATTCTAGCAGGACTGGAATGTGCCCCTATATACCGACTTGCTCGCACTTGGGCAATGGTCACTGAACGTAGCTGCAACATGCTAAGGCCCCTGCAAGCTATGATACACCATGCGCAGAATTACCAGGCCTACCGTGATATCTTACGGGCTTCGGTGTCACCATGCATTCCTTTCCTAGGTTAGTTCTATCAGTCTGAACCCAATAACATGTCATATACCCATCTTCTAACTATCCACTAGGTCTGGTTCTGAAAGACTTGACATTCATCGAAGATGGAAACCCAGCGTTGACGCCGGAAGGGCTTATCAATTTCTACAAATATACTATGTTAGCATCGACAGTTCATGAGGTTGAACGTTTGAAGGAAGCTTCTTACTGCTTGCAACCGGTTCCCGAGTTGCAGGAATACTTTGCAACCCAGCTACAATCAGCTGTTGATTCACGCGAGTTATGGGAGAGGAGTTGTCAACTGGAGCCCCGAGGCCGGGATCTTGGAAATAGATCTCGGGATTTATATACCCCCACGGGAGGCATGTTGGCGTCTATGGTAGTCGCCTGCATGGTCCTTGATGATTGATGTATTGATGTTTATGCTTGAGATGAATAGTTCAAGCTTTTGCTTTTTTTGGTTTATTGCAAGATATTAAGCGATTGGTGGAGATTGTTCACTTTGGCATGGATGCCTGATTCTCCGCAGAGGTCTTTTAGTTTCTACAAGGCGGCTTTTATCAGCCTCCTTAACATAAAGGAAATGAAATGGCTTGTGTCAGTTTGAGTGACCAAAAGCAATGCTATGCTTCTGAAACCCACATAAGCATGTGGTCCGTTGACTACCTAGGTAGAAAGAGTACTCGCGAAGTGGGACAGGATCGTGAGGAAAGTCAGTGGTATGTGACAATAGTCCCGAAGAATCTATCACGTAAGAATCTAAGCCTTAAGAATAGAGAAACTCCAGGCATATATCTCAAAGAGGAAAGAGGGCAAGGGTAGACAGGGCAGGGTTAGGGTTGCGACAGAAAGGATAGCTTAAATATAAGAATCCAGAATGAAATCAGTAATCCTGGGAAGTTAGCCTAGTGTGTTTAGGTCCGGACGAATGTCTGTGCAATTAAGACCATAAACCGAATGACTTTAAATGCGACGATTGCCTGTGAGACGCGGCCATAAGGAGCATCCCAGTCAGGGGTGCGATTCCCCGACACCTCTTTTTTTGATCTTTTTTTTTCCTTTGTTCTTTCTCTGGCTTGGGACTGCTCGTTGTATCCTCATCAAGCCCATTTCTCTTTGGTTTGCCATACAGGAAATATCAGATGGAGATCAGCACACCCCTTTATAGAAGAGAGAGTTATAGACAGCCACAGGAACTATCTCGCCAAGTTTGTAATTTAAACCAGCAGATATAATTAATCAATCTCAATAAATAACAGAGGACTTTAATTGTCACTTTGGATGACTCTATCTCGCTGGTGGGTGGGCACCAGGGTCTATCCTATTCTCCAGAACAAGGTGGCAAGGCACCCTCTTCGGCCTGGATTAAGTGCACCTTGGGATACACAGACACAGAAGAAACTCCGGCGTTCGGATGTTATTAAGAGGACCGATCATGATCGAAATGATTCCGATGCTTCCAACAGCTCCAGCACGTTGAAAATTGGGAACATTCAGCATGTATAGACAGCATTGATATGTTAGCTCTTTCTTCAATAGCCTTGCCCGTTTATCTGATTATAGCTTCAACTATCAGTGAAAGGTGACAAGTATACTTGACAATAAATCAGGAGCTCAGAAATATCAGAAAGTCCATAACTATTAGACCCGCGGATATGAAGCGAAGGGAATTCAATTCCGAGGTGCTGTCTGCCGGGTCATAACATACCCCCTGATGCCGGGTAAAACGCTTATATAGAGAGTTTGGCTGAACGAAGATACACTCAGCCCTAACCAACGAGCCACCTAGGTATTGATCATAATGCACTATCACCAGGTAGTCCAACTTGTCTTTCTTGTATCAGCATCACTCGGAAACCCATTGCCAATAGATAAAACAGAAAAAGTTCGAGATATTCCAGAAATCCTCGCCAAAGCATTCGACAAAGCCGCCATCTACGGCAAAGACATCTCCCAAGATCTCACTCACCTCGAAACCAAGATATCAGACATCACGACAGGCAAGATCAAGCCAATCTCGACAATCGAAGAAGGCCTCTCAACTCTATCCCTAATCCCAAATCACACCAACAAAACCATCCTCCAACATGCCATCGACACAGTATCCCTAGGTCTAGTCCCAACCAACATCATCGACATCCTCAACGGCATAACCAATCAAAAAATCAACTCCATCACGAACAACAACCCAAAAGACCCCAACCCACCCATCCACCCAACGAAATCCCCAAACGATGCACCCTACGATATCCCCGAAGCAACCCTCCGCAGCGCAATCTACATCCCACCGACCTTCTCCTACGGCCAAAAGGATAAAATCCCTGTCTTGCTAGTACCCGGGACCGCCGATCCCGCCGGGAGCACGTACTACTTCAACTACGCCAAGCTATTCACCGCAAACCCACACACCGACCCAGTGTGGGTCAACGTCCCGGGCAACTCACTAGGCGATATCCAGACGAACGCCGAATACGTAGCCTACGCAATAAACTACATCTCGACTCTCTCGCGGCGGTCAATCGGTGTCTTGACATGGTCGCAGGGCAGCCTGGACGTGCAGTGGGCGCTGAAATACTGGCCGTCGACGCGGGGCGCGGTGAGCGATTTCATGGCCGTCAGTGCGGATTTTCATGGAACGCTGGTGGGGACGCTGTGTGGGTTAGCTGAGTGGCTCTGTGCGCCGTCTGTGCGCCAGCAGGGATATGCGTCGCGATTTATTCGGGCGCTGCGAGGGAGTGGTGGGGATTCGGCGTTTGTGCCGACGACGAGTGTGTATTCGGGCGTGGATGTTGTGGTTGAGCCGCAGAGTGGGTGGTGGGCTTCTGCGGCGCTGGGGGATGGGCGTGGTGTTGGGGTGTCGAATGTGCAGGTGCAGGTTGCTTGTGCTGGACGTGCGGCTGGGGGGTCCTATTCGCATTCGGCCATGTTGGTCAATCCGTTGGCATATGCTTTGTTTGTTGATGCGTTGGCGCATGATGGGCCTGGGCGATTGGAGCGGACTGATCTTGACGCTGTTTGTGGTGGCTTGCTTGCGCCTGGTTTGGATTTGGAGGACTTTTTGGGGATGGAGGCTGTGTCGAATGTGGTTGGGACGCTTGATGTGTTGTTATATGGGTTTAATGGGAGTGGGGAGCCACCGTTGAGGGACTATGCTCTTCGCTAGATGGGGTTGGTCTATATCACTTGTTATCATGTCGAATGATACTGTTGGACGGGAGGGTACTTCGGATCCTCGAGAGTAACGCTGTATTCCATGTTCACCGCAGTAAGGGGAGGAAACCTGTCAGTCGTTCGAAATAGGGCTCTATGATACATGTACCAGGTCAGATGCTTCCATTGGGTATTATTGTGTGGATCTCTAGAACGAATCTCAAGTCCATAGAGGTCATCATGGCAACAAAAAAGCAGAACATGAAATCATCCTTAAGCCAAATGGGCAGCCACTGGCAAGGCAATAATGAATAATGAAGATGAAGATGAGAAAACAAAAAGAAAAGACGTGGATATAAGACCCAGCAAGCAGACTGAAAAACGATGTGTCGCAAACAAGCTTTGGAAATCGCAGTTCATCGTAAATGGGACATTCCATAGAACAGTCGGGTCTGTTTATTCAAGACTGACATCCGGACAGTGGATATCATAGCACATGAATGAGAACAGAGGGGTATGCTATGGAGTGACCTGAAGGGGGGAGTCGTCAAATTTTGAGAGAAAAAAAAGGAAAGATCATCGGGTGGCGTCTAAGTGGGCTTTTCACATCCAATGCGGCCCAAAAGGGCTTTCCGATCACTGGGGTCGAAGGGAACGCGACCACGACCACGTGCGCGCATTGAAGCAGCGCCGTTGGAGCGCTGACGACGCAAGGCGGGGGCATTCTCGATTTCAGCTGGGTCAGCAGTGGCGCCATCCTTCGCAGCCAACCGCGCTGGGACGTGGGATGCGGTCTGGCCTTCTACTTCTTCCGTTTCGTCTTCCTCGTCACTGCGGGAGTCCTCGGCGTTACCACCGCAAATCACACCGTAGGCAACACGAACAATCATGCTGAACCATACAACGGACAGACCCTCGATAATCAGTAGGAGGCACAAGAACATCCATTTGAGGGTGGAATTGAAGCAGATTGGGTTGTCCAAACTGAAGTATGGGCCAAGCATATATGCAAAGGCATTCGGGGTCTCTGCGGAAAGGAACTCGCCGGTGGTGCCAGCATAGCAGCCGTAGGTAAGCTCACGGGGAAGATCTTGATAAACAGACCAGCACACGATGGGGTAGATGATGTGCCGAGTAATGAGCCATGTGCTCATGAAGAGGCCGAAGGCGACATTGCATGCTGTCTCGAACTTGGAATATTTGAGAATCTTCGCAGACTGTGGAATTATTAGTCGTTGTTTGCAGACACTGGACGAATAGTAGGTGACTAACCGGTAACAAGAAGTCCACAATATCCATGAGACACAGGACAACATTAGACACGTTGTACATGGCGTAGATGTAGGCGGAGCTCAAGAGAGCAGTGGTGATAATGTGGTGAGAAAGCATCTGGACGTGATCCTTCCGTCTTTCCTCAACGTGGATCACAAAGATCTGTTGCACGAGGAATGCAAGCTCAACGAGAAGATACCACTTCATCAAGCCGGACAGAGGACGGGCCGGCCACTGCGACCACATGGCGGAGAAATCTCCCCAGTAGTATGAGTTCTTCCAAAGATACTGCAAATCGAAGGCATCGGTCAGCTACAGGTTCTCAGGCAGAAATTTGTGGTCCAAACGCACCAGTCCGACTCCCCAGATGAACCCATAGTACATAGCTTGCCAACCCTGCTCGGCAATGCGAATCGACTTCTTGCGCTTCAGACCGGAGGCGCGAGCCAATGGCTGTATGATCCATTCAATGGCAATAGCGCGAATTCCAGTGAGCGCGATTGCAGCACTGGCCACGAAGTAGATATCATCCCAACCTTGGACATAGGAGTCTGAGGATTCGTTATAGTAAGACAGTTGGAAAAAGGGCTGGGTATATGGGCGGAGGGATGGGTAAAGATTATGAAGAGCCAGCAACATAGCCAGGATGGTCAAGGAGATTCCTGTTAAGAAACAATTGGAGTCAGCGCTGCGAGCTTTACAAGGATGTTGAATCTCGCATATGCCAAGATTTGGGAAAAGAGAGCAGCTTTTGCGTCGAGTGCAAGCTCTTCAAGCTCTTCCATTATCTCCATTTGAGTGCATGGGTTCGGTGAGGTTGTTTCTTCATACCAATCTGGTTGGCGACCACCCACTCGCGGAACGTGGTCTCCTTGGCTGGGCGCGATCCACTCGGAGAGGAAACGTAGGCCTTGCACTCCGGGCGCTCTGAGAGAGGCTGCGACGGCGCGGCTGTATCTGCCATGGTGAATAGAGCACCACTTCTATTGTAGGGAGAGCTCGGAGGTTCCAAGAGGAGGGTCGTGAGGGAGGAACGAGGGTCGGGGGGTCGAGACTCGAAAGCCGAAAGCCGAAAGCCCAGAGTCCAGAGAGTCCAGAATAATCAACGCCGAGGTGGATATGGGACCTGCCTCATGTGAGCCCACCGTGGTTTCACTTCGTGGATCGTTCAACCAGGAACGTGAAAAGTATCAGATCAAAATGAAGAGAGGATTTGGCTTGAAAAAGGAGGGAAATGGAGGGGGAACGTGGTCCGGCTTGTTTCATCTCTTCAAGACGACGATCGCTCCCCTCACCGCCTCGTTAAATGTTGAGTGACGATATTGATGATTGGATGTCCACGGTGCAGGCACTAGGTAGTTGAGAGCTTGGCCTGATTTGTTATAATTTTTTTTTGGTTGGTTCTTTCAAAGATCGGATTTTATACGAGGTTCTACAAGCTATGTCAACATCCTGCCTTTTCCGGCCGATTGATCTTGATACCACAGAATTGTTTCGTGTCTTGGCATGGGATAGGGCAAATGGGATAATAATAGAATGTGGGAAACACAGGGCCTTTATACTGCGTACCTACCGGAGGTATTCTATCACTCTAAACCGTCTGTAACCTCTCGCACAAAATCATTGGCACTCACCCCCAACTGGGCTAAATCGATTCCACCCTGTCCGGCCATGACCCGTGACATCGCCCTTGCGACTTCCTCCTCCTCCCAAATATTGTTGAGGATCTGCTCCCCACCTTCTCCAGGCCCCTGAGTGGGGTTCTCCGAAGCCACCATAGTCCGCCAATACAAGTCATCGCGATATTTCAATCCCTGGTCTCGAACCACTGCATTACGAGTAACGTTGGTAGCATGTAGTTTCGAGTTTGCGCTCATCAACGCCTGCACCGCCACCGACACGGCATCGTCAACTTGCTCAGCGGGCGACGGCGGCTTGAAAAAGAACCGGTTGGTCGCAGAGAGCCAAATCACAACCGAGCAGACCACATCGCAGATCACGAACGCCAGCGGTCGCAGGAGCGTCATGTAGTTGTAAAGCCCAGAGGGCGGTATTTGGCTCTCGCGTACGGCGCGTGGCGCGTCCTGGATCGCATCGTAGGTAGCCACAATGTAAATGTCGATAGCCGCCAGGACGAGTGCGGCGAGTGTAAACTTTGTACGCCAGCGGGAGACTTCGCGGCCTGCGATGGGCGCGGATGTCGCTGCGCCGAGAATCAGGAGATGTACCAGGTGTGGGAGCAACACATGGAACGGCAGGTAGTACATCAGATATGTGTTGAGGTTGTCAAAGGAGCAGTACTGGCATGATACCAATGCATCAGGCCCAAAGGTCAGGTACGCCTTACGAGCTCTCAGGGAGGTGAACCGGGACTGGAGAAGATTATCCGCTTCGGCCAGGCGGTTATCTGGCCGGAGCCGGGCGAGGCGGCTGAAGATGACATCGGTCGGGGTGTTGAGGCGAGAACGAGTGAGGGTGAAGATATTGGGCTCGGGCGCGTGTGGGTTGAAGGGTATGCTGAGGAGCAGAAAGAATACGATGCTGCAAAATAAGATGTTGAGCGCTCGACCAGGAGCGGCAGGTAGAGGACACGGCGGTGGCCGACTAGCAATGGATACCCGGAGGCTTCGGTAGGCATTGATCAGGCGTGGGAGTAAGATTGGCCCGAAAAAGATAAGGAGGAACTTGACGCTATTCACGATTAGACTAGATGGCGGAGAGTGTGGAGAGCTTTGGAACTTACGTTTCCCAGGAGACTGTAGCCATGATTAGTGATCTATTGGGACCTGAGCCCGTACTTCATCTGAATTTCAAGCAGGATGCTATGGTTGTTTTTAGATGGAAGCAAAGAGTGTCGAGTGTAGCTTCATTCACTTCGGGGCCAAACGTGGGTCTGTCCTTTGAGCGGCCAACTGTCCAACCACATTCACCATCGCGTACAAAGAAGATTCTTTGTTCTCAAGTCAGGCTTGCCTTGAGAGTAATCGACGATATACGTAAATCAAGGCTGAAATGCTTTGGAAATAAGAACATCATAGCCGCGACGCAATAAAGCTTTACACTTGGCTATACAACCCAAAAAAAAGCATATTGACGCCAGTCTCACAGAAAGGAAAAAACAAAAAGTAATGGGGCGAGCCGGGATCGAACCGGCGACCTCTCGAACTTCAGTCGAGCCCTCTCCCAACTGAGGTACCGCCCCATGTGATCATGTCATGTGATGGAATAAATGATTTATGAGGCACATGCTAGCGTACGTGCTAAGGTACACATTTGTTCTATGTATATACCAGAAGATACATGTTAACTACGTACCTAGGTAGTTAGTTAACTATACATACATGTACATCTACAAAGTATATATGTAGTATGTACTTACCTAGGTCCTCATATGCTCTCTCTTCTGTATATTCGCACAGGATATACGATCAAAAGCTACAGTGAAAGAAATATCTACAATGCGGCGGAAGGCAGGTTCCTTACTACGATATCATGTTTCTTGTATACGAACGATGTGTCTCAATTGGATAAATCGCCAGGAAAAAAACTATGTAGACCAAGCGAAAAGAAACGAACAAGCAAAGAAAAAAAAAAGACCGGGGGAATAAAATAGCACCGTGTGCGCCTTCGCAATAACGCAAGATTTCCTATTTGAATGAACGCCATTTATCGATCTAATCAACCAGTCAACCAGTTCAAACCATGTGGCCCGAGTACATAGCAGGGTGATGGGCCAGGTCAGGAGGACGGATATCTCCAGAGTCGCGAGAGTACTTGGACGAAGCGGCATCGTTTTGCTCAATTAAAGTAGGATCCACGGGACGAGAGATCTTGAGGGGGAATCGGCCAGTGAGACGCTTGGTGGCACGCTTGACAGGGTTCTGGCGAGTGTACATGGGCAGGGTGTCCTCCTTTGCGCCTAGATGAAGGGCGCGATGGCTACTATGACTGCTGCGGCTGCTGTGGCTGCTGCTTGTCCGGCTCATTGCCTTCTGAGGCGCGACTGCACCGTCTACCCGCACCTGACGGGCACTGACGCCGGTTTCGGGATCGCTGAAGATGAAGCTCTGTGGGAGAAAAAAAAGGTTAGCGGTGAGTCAGGGGAATATATATTTGGGGGGTCAGGTGTTGCGAGTCTCGCCACTTACTGCCACGACGTTCAACACGCTAACGATCATGGCCAAGATGCCAGCGGAAGTGATAATCCGCCAGAAGGCCATGCCAATGGACTCCTGGGTCATGGCCTCAGTGTTCAGCGCGCCAAGGGTTGAGACGCCCAGGATCATCATGATCCCACCGAGAGAATAAAAGCTGGATTGCTGCCCAAACATCGGCCAATGATTGTCAAAATAGCTCTGTAGGATGGGAAGCTCAGAGATAATCATAAAGACTGTCTATGTTAGTATTTAAATCGCACCCATGGAAGGATGATGGTACTTACGGCTGACCAGAGCCACAACGGCATGGGTCACAGCCTCGAAGAAGAAGTAGCTGTTCAGCATCTTAATCTTGGCCAGCATAACTGCACAAGCAGCTATGAGATCCATAAAAGTGATAATGTTCAGAACGCGAATGACGTTCAGGATCACGTACCCTGGACCAGCCAGGGACTCACGCAAACGAGTCATCATGATTGAGGTACAAGCCTGGTTGCACGGGTCTAAAGGATGGGAGACACTCGTGCTCGAGTGGGTATAGAAGATAGCCTGCTGGCTGACTTGGGGGATGGTTGGGATTAAAAGAGAGAAGAAAGCGCCTGTCCAGCAGAAAGCTTGATATTCTTAGGGACAATGGAATAAAGAGACAAGGCGAGATCAACTCGAAGGCAATAATGGAAGAAAGCAACACAAAAGAAAGAGACGAAAGGAAAGGCAACGGGGGCGACAATGAAGAAAGAATAGATCTATGGAAGAATGACAGGTAGTGAGGTGTAGCAGCCTAGATGTATATTTCCGACAAATGGGTCTATCAATAGACTTGAAACGCCCGGACGAACCACACAAAGAGTACTTAGGTAGAGCCCCAGAATCAGGGAATATCAGAGATTTACGCCCAGTTTGGGGATAGAGAGAGAGAGAGCTTCTGCAGGAGGTGTTTCATTGTTGCGACGTGGGCAACAATAGGGACCGTTAAGCGCAGAGACCGGGAATCGTAGCCTGAAAAAGCCTAAACCCCTACGCCTCCGCCATTGGAATCTCAACTGGGGCCCAATGTAGCCAAATGACTGGCTGTTAGTAGATGATGCTTCGAACAGATGAAACTAGGTATGTAGTCGGCGGTTGCGAGAGTGAGTACTCTTGTTTCCATATTATGTTTCCGTGTCCCTCAGGCATGTCTTACTGCCTGATGAGTATGGATTATAGCTCTGAAGGCTCTGAATGGGCATATATGACAAGGCCACTCTGGAAAGGCATTTGACGAGTCTCGAGTTCGCTAGCTGACTTGCAATGTTTTGCTCATCAATAGGCGCCCAGGTGAATCTTGGAAGTATGTAGAAAGTTCCGAGGTCAGAGGTGAAACAAGGTAATATAGGCGCCCAATCATTACCAGCACACATGCGCCGAGGAAATGACTGACAGGAGAAAGGGACCCTGACTGAAAGATACTGAGATCTATAGATAGCCCTATGAGGCAGAAGAATGGCGAAATGGAGAGGAAAGTAGAGGGACAACAGAGGGAGATTCCGTGGAACCCGCTTTGATTCGCCGCCGGGGGAATAAAGCCGCTCAACCCCTCCAAACTTTTTCTCGTCTCTCCAAACGCTTACCAGCCCTACGATCCTTTTTCTTATTACTTCGATAATTTACAACATGACGCGCGGTAACCAACGTGATAACGATCGGGCCAAGGCCCTGAAGAAGGCCGGCAACACCGTTCGTTTTTAATTCCCAGTCCTTTCTCCAAGATTCGTGCGACTGACCATACCCACAGAAGAACAAGAACACCCAATCTGGGAGCGAGTTTGCCAAGTCCAAGGAGGATGCTGCAGCCATTATGCGCGAAAAGCAAAGAAAAGGTGTGTACTGCGTACCCCAAGTGGAAGTGGAAGTTGCTCGGCGAGAGTTCAAACCGGAGGATGCGATGGGATTATTTTACTGATCGCTTTTCTTTCATAGCGGACGAAAAGAAAGCTGCCGAGGCAGCAGGAGGGAAAAAGAAATAACGTGATCCATCCTTCGATCCAACTGCCAACCTCGCCTCCTCCCACGTTTCTCGCGATCGTCCGAACAAACAACCGGCCGGGCCGCATCGCAAAGTACACCACGAGTGAAGGACAGAACTGGCTTTCTGGATAAGATAGGAATCATCCACCCATTTCCTATCTGCAAATGCACGGGGTGTCTAGCGAGGCGTTTATTTGAATCATTGGCGTTCATCACACATTTAGCCCGAGCATGACTGTATACCAAAGCGCTAATTAAACGAGGCAACGACACATGAGGAATATCATGGAGGCGCATTTTTGGTGGTAAATCGTAAGCACGTAAGAATATACATATGATATCCGTTTATGTAGTATCTTCTTGGTTTTCCGCCCAATACACTTTTGCCCGGGCCAGCCAGGTGTGCCACGACTGCTTCTGTCGACCTTCCTGTTCCATGGACCAGTCACTAGGTATGTTTTGATGACCATTATGCTTTGCTATGGTATCTACCACCAAACTTTCAAGGTAGAACTGCCTTGAGGTCTGGTCAACGAACGTCCAAAGGCTCTCGCCTTCCCATCCTACGTTGAGTGCAAACTGAACAACTCGCTGAAGAGTATGCACTCGAATCTGTTGCTCGGGCAAATTGCTCAGGATGTAGATCCCAAAGCTCCAGCCCGATATGTCGCGTGGATTGGCTAAGCACCAATCAGTGACTCTGTCGACAATCGACATTGCGAATTTAGTCTTCCCGGTTGCTTGCGCTGTCTTCTCAACGGCATCAGCAAGAAGTACATATAGCTGTCGCATGTAACTAAATGCATAATAATTCTTGGGGTGAAGCTCTCCAGCACGAAGAACAACTTCCAGTTCCCTTTGTTGCAGCTGGAGCAGCTCGTCACTGCTCAGCTGACGCCTTTGGAGAAGATGAACTATCACCCACAGCCGGTGATGCCAAAGTGTCGGCGACTTGGTATGCCGATGAAGTGGCGAGCACTGGTAGCTCGACATGAGCGTGAGCTCGGTCTCTAACATTTTCGTTGTGGCAGAGGTCTGATTTGAAATACCAGGGCAATGCTCCATGGCCGCCTGCAGTCGGCGTTTGCGCCAATTGCAGGCCGTGAGATGTTCACAGTCAAAAAGAAGCATGACCTCTGTAATCATCGAGTCTGTATTTGTAGGCTGAGATTGGGTGGAAAAGGTGCTTTTCAGGTCATCCTCGGACATAGGTATTAACCGGTCGAAAAAGAGCTGTCGCGCGACTGTGAAGGCCTGCACTAATGCTTTCTTGGTTATTCCCACCGAGGAGCCATCTTGTAAGAATGCAGCGCCCAGACTGGGTGGAATAATCTCGATTTCGAGGACTTCATTGTCTCTAGATGCGAAGATGCGGGCGAGTTGTTGGAATGCATCCTTTGGGTTGGACATTGGAAGACGTGGTTGTTTCTTGGCGATTAAAAGTATTTGTCAACAAAGATGTATCATATTCTGTTTGTTTGCGATAATTCCGTGAATTTATTGCCTTCCCACAGCCAAGTTGGTAGACAAGCGTGATGTAGACCGTGATGCTGTGAAGGCGGAAAGGCCAAGTCCGTTGTTATTTCCACCTTCCCCCAACAACGGACGTCATTTCACTCCTTAACCAGCAACCACTCTCTCTTCCGCTAGGATATCTCCTCTCATCCAGGCAATATATCATAGCCTGGCTTGGTCAGCTGACTGAGTGGACGTCGCTTTCCTCCGGGCTCCCCTAGCCTGTGCCGTCGCATCGAACACCTAATCTCGGTCTCCAATCCCGCCACAATGTTGTCCCTTGTTCTTACAGTTTTCTTTGTGCACGTCGCAATCTACCTGGTCAATACGATCGGTGCGAGCACCATCGATGGTCTTGTATGTGTACAATGAGCGAATTTATGGACTCGAGTCCCAAGCTTCGCGGCAGATCTTTATTTTGATTCCACATGCTGACATCTACTCTTTTTTGACATGCAGTTATGGCTCCTCTACCTAAGATTGCCGACACCCACCGCGCGGACTGCCCGCAAGCAGCAGCAACTGAAGCGCCAAGTCCTCGAGCAGAAGCAGGAAATGAACAGCACCAGCTCCCAGGATGAGTTCGCGAAGTGGGCAAAGGCCAGAAGACGGCATGACAAAACCATGGAGGAATACGAGGCTCTGAGTATGTCCTCTATCACAAGACTACAACGTGGATGGTTATGTACCTTGACCAGAATGCTAATACACTCTCACAATAGACAAGGCTCTCACCTCCCAGAAGTCCTCCTTCGAATGGACCGTGAAGATCGCCCGTTGGCTCAGCACCAACGGTCTGAAGATGTTCCTACAATTTTGGTACTCCAAGACACCTGTCTTCCCGCTTCCGGAAGACTGGTTCCCCTACTACGTTCAGTGGATTGTCTCCTTCCCTCGCGCGCCGCTTGGATCCGTCAGCATCCATGTTTGGAGCAATGTTTGTGCGACAGCTATTGCCCTCGCAGCCGAGGTTGTCGGAGCCTTGCTGGTACAGGTTGTAGGCCAGAAGAAAGACCAGAAGGAGGCCGTGCCTGTCAGCGTCGAAGGGAGCAAGGCACAGTGAAACACCAAAAACATGAACCTGGCTATGTATTTTGCTTAAGGACGGGTTGTACTATACGACGTGGAATGCTACGACTGATTTATGAATATTGCATTTTAATCATTCAGTTCAATTGCATTGGTATTGGTTTGCATTGCTCAAATAAAAAAACTCACTAGCTATGTATGATGTTCATCAGATAATTTTAAATCGTTTATCGTCAACAATCCCCTTTGGGGATCTCTGTGCTTGACTCTATGATTGGTATATCATCACGCGAACAAAAAAAAAGAGCCTATGGCAAGATAGAGAGTCCGGCCCCTGTGACAGGGCTTCTGTGACGAGACAGTATCTCATCACCGCTTTGCCATAAGCTACAGACTCTTGAAAAAGAACAAGGAACTCCTCGCCTCAAGAATGAGCCCCATTGAGTTACCACCATCTACCTCCAAAGAAGCAGACGAGAGGCAATCGCATGACTATTCGAACTTGACGAAAGGCAACCCAATAACAAGGAAAGATGTTTTACCACCAATCCTACCCCCTCCAGCACCCAATACACACCCCATTGATTCCAGAGACATCGTGAAATGCAACCGTCGGGTGGCACGGGGTACCGTGGAGGAATAGGGCGTAAGCCGCTATCGAATTGCTTCTATGGCGGCGCGTTTCCGCAGTGCCTGGCTTGGTACTCTGGTGTGACCCAAAGCGCAGGATGTCCGGGGACTTTCTCCCAAAGCAAGATTGGAAAAGGGAGCGAGGCTTCCTTTGTGTGTGAGCTTTGAATGCGATTCTTTGAGCGAGGAGTTGGAAGAAGAAGAGAAACAGGAAGTGATGTGAACAAGGTTTTTATTTTTTTCCGACACGGTCAGGTGATCGCGCTAGGCTGTGTTGGGACTAATGCACATGGCATCGGCAGCCGATCGTTAAGTAGGGCTTCAGATCTTCGCAGGCATCCAAGGAAAATGTTGAGAAGAAACATAACGAATTGTCATTTAATTTGCTGCTATGACAAATGGTGGACTATTATTCCCCGATAACCAGGTTCTATCTAGGAATTGGACTCGATAATGTTGATGGAGTCTTCGACTTGAGTGGCACTATTTCTTGAACCTACGACTTTCAGTTGATAGAGTTTGGTTTGGAGGGAAAAAAAGAATAATGCATTGGACAAAAGGGCTATTCGTGGAATTAAAAACAATTTTTACATGATCCCATTTACGCCTTGGACTTCTTGGTGGTCTTCTTAGTAACCTTGCCCTTCGCCTTGGTGGCAGGCGACTTAGCAGCAGGCGACTTAGCAGCAGGCGACTTAGCAGCAGGCGACTTGGCAGCCGGTGACTCTGTGGCAGCCTCCTTGGGGGTCTCTGTCTTCTTGCCCTTCTTGGCCTTCTTGGGGGTATCTTCGGTAGGAGCGGGGGCCTCGATGGCCTTCGCGGGCTCCTCGGTGGCTGCCTCAATGGTCTCGGTGGTCTCAGTGGCCTCAGCAGCCTCAACAGCCTTGGGTGCCTCCTGGATGGGGACATCCTCAACGCTCCTCAGCTGGGGAAGATCGATCTCGTAACCCAGAGCCTTCATCTTGTTGGCCTTGGCCTCTCTCTTCTTCTGCTCGCTCTCAATGCGCTTCTCCCACTGTTCACGGGTCTTGCCCTTCTCAAGACGCTTCTTCTCGATACGGTTCCATGGGGTAACCTTGAAACGACGGTTGGCGCCCTTCCAGACCTCAGGGTGAAGCTGCTCTTTCGGGACGAACTTGCACTTGACGATGTGGCCGTACATGAGGTAGTTGTCCATTGTGTCAGCAACGATCTTAGCGACGGTGGTCGATGAGAACTCAATGAAGGCGTAGTGCTTGGAGCGGCCGGTGAGACGGTTGCGCGAGAGGCGAAGGTTGGTGATGTCGCCGAACTGGGAGAAGTAGGCCTTCATCTGGTGCTCATAGAAACCGTGGGGAATACGTCTGAGAATGGAGTGTTAGACAGTTCAAATAAGTCAAAGTTCCATATGGAAACTCACCCAATGTAGACAGTGCCGGGCTCCTCAGGAGGGCCGTTCTTCTTGAGCTGCTTGGCGAGCTTGCGCGCGGCCTTCTTGGTGTCGGGGACCTTAGGGATAGGTTCACCCTCTTTGTAGCCCTCACCATCAGACTCGTCCTCGTCGCCACTGCTTTCGAAGCCCTTGATAAGAGCCTCAGTCTGGTCATCGTCGCCATCAACCTCAGCCTCGCTCTCATCGGCGGGGGAGGCATCCATCTCGACATCTTCTTCCTCTGATTCGACGACGGGCTCGGGCTTCTTGGTGGTCTTGGGGGCGGCCTTCTTTGCGGCGGCCTTCTTGGGAGCGGGGGCGGCCTCAACCTCCTCCTTCTTGGACTTCTTGTTGACAGGCTTCTTCTCAGCCTTCTTCTCGGCCTTCACAGGCGCAGCAGGCGCTTCGTTCTCCTCATCGGTAAGGAAATCGGCAGCGCGCTTGCGAGGCTTAACCTGGCGAGTGGTCTCGCCATTGGCCTTTGCGGGAGCAGCAGCCTTCTCTGCCTTGGCAGATGTGGAACGGGTCTCCTTCTTCAGAATGGACTTAGGAGCGGCCTCTTTGGGTGCCTCGGCGGCCTTGGCCTCGACCTTTTTGGTTTTTTTGGCGGGCGAGTCAGCGGCGACGGGCGCAGCTATAGGAGCGTTAGTCAAATAAAACAAGATTTCACTTGTAATTGGATTCTCACATACCCTTGCGCTTTGAAATTCTCTTATCAGGGGCCATTTTGACGTTTTGTTGTGTAGAATTGGAGACTGTACGCTGCTCAATCCTCTGCGGGAAACTTTTTTTTCTTCGCTGATTTGCTCGGAAGGCGGTGAGTCCCCTCGTCGACCCATCACCGCCCAGCATGTTTACTTACTTGCTGCATCTTTCTTACTCTTTCTTTAATTTCCGATGGGCTACACCGATGGGGAAAAATAAAAATACGTCTTTGACGCATGCGCAAATCTGGGATGATTCTGCCCTGGTCCAGTCCTGGGACGATGCTGTAGAAGAATACGAAGTCAGTTACCAACACCGATTCACGTGACCACTATCTAACATCATGGCAGCTTTATCACAGCATTCATGCCAAGGGTGAGAATGTTGAAGATGTCCTGAAAGAAGCAGAGGAGTCTGGTGCTGCTACAGATGCTCACACGGCTGACAAGCAAAATGACAACGCCGCGGCCGACCAGGATGTCCAACCTAAGGACGAAGACGTCTCAATGATCATTGATGAGCAAACTTCCGCCTCTGTTCATGCTTCTACCATTTCTGCTTCTATTCCTGAGTCTGCTACTGACGCTGCTCCTGCGGTATGATTCCAATTATGATTTCTGGCGGAAGTGATAACTGATGAGATCCAGCCTTCCCAACCCGAGGCTTCGAAGCCTGCTACGCAGATGCCTCACCCTATCATGGCAACTGGTAAGTTTCTCAGTCCCGATGAATACTTGCAAGTGACTCACATGATTCTTCAGTGCAAGATGAGTCGTTGAAGAACCTCATGATGTCATGGTACTACGCAGGCTACTACACGGGCCTTCACGAGGGCCAGCAACAGTCAAACCGCAAGTAGGCTTCACCATGTGATTATGCTCATATTGTGGGAACAGAACGGAAATTGACTGAAGGCTCTTGTTGTGCAAATCAAACATGCAGACTTAACTGCCACTATCATGGAGAGTACATTTTGCGATTGAAATCACCATGTCAAATTAATCATGAAATCTGACAATCTCATCTTTTACTCATCAAATAAATCTCTCAATAGGGTCATCGAACATCTGCGCGTGGAATGAGTAATACAAGACGAAAACAAATATCCATCACCACCCCTTGTCCACAGAGAGGATGTAGCTCATCATTATTGGGTTAATATCACCATCCCCAGTCGTATCAATCATCTCTCAACCCTTGTTCACTTAGAGACCGATTCCAGAGCCACCAAGGATACCGCCAACGATAGGAACCTTGCCCAACGCGTTGGGCTGGGTTGTGGGCTTTTGGGTAGGGGTGGCAGTCGGGGTAACGAAATTGCCAGAGGAAAGCTTGTTGCTGTGGGTAGCAGTAGGAGCAGGGTTGCCATTTGCTTCGGCCTCCCGATCCTCCTCCATCTTCTTAGCGACCTTTGCCTCGATTTCGGCTGCTTGTTTCTTAGCATCCTCCCGAGAGGTATCCGGCTTGGCCTTGCTGTCCTTGGTGAGGCCGTCCATGAGGCCAGTGGCACCCTATACGTCATACATCAATATGGGCCTGAAGATGCTGGTATTGGGATGATTGACATACCTTTAACTGACTGAGGGTGCCATCGAGGCTGAGAGGGCTTGCTCCATCACGCTTGACAGGCACAGAAACAGCAAGGACTGCCAGCATGAGCAGAATAGAAAGGAAGGAGAGATTGAAACGAGCCATTTTGGGTGTTATTGTGTATGTCAGGTAAGATATAGATCAAAAGAAGGAATGTATGTTCAAAGAGTGTGTTGAACCGAGCGGAAGTGGTAGAAGTTCGAGGGAAGGATTGATGCTACTGGGAAGAAAATTGAGCCAGGGGCCCGGCGGGAATTCCGTGGAATTTATATACAGCCCCTTCGTTCATGTTATGAAGGGAATGGCAAGCAAAGGGGGAAATTGGGCGAGGAGCCCTGTTGCGACGCAAGTGTTGTCTGGCCTTCGTGTGGTATATACTTGGATTTTGTGTTTGTTGTGTTCGTTGAACAACGATTGGAATTATGCGCCTATTCCATGGACTTACTCGCTTTAGACAAGGTGTGAAACTATCCGCTTGAGACTTACCATGGGTGTGAAGGTCCTCAATCTCGAGGTATATCCTTTGGAGCTAAGGGTCAGCATGATACGAATCAAGGGATGTACGATGGCAGGAGATCAATGAAACAAAAGGAATTAATCGACTGATTCCATGCCTGCACCCACAAATAGTAGGCCCACATGCCATGTTGAAACGTTCTGAGGCGCATCAAGTGCACATTCATCGTTGACCCTTGTGATGCGACCAACCATAAACGCTCAGCACGCACAGTGCAACTACTGAGTATTCTGCAGCCTCTTGTTCAAGACACCGGCTAAGATCATGACCAGAATATAGAAAGAACTTAGATCCACAGGGGTGGAGACATAGATCTTCGATCGAGAGTTGCTAGCCGGTCCCCAGCAAGGATCAAGCTTGTAAGATACAGATCTACAACATTCCCCAAACACGAAGCATTCAATGGTCTTTTCTCCGATGTCACGAGGCATCGCCTGTGTGTACATACATAGGTACTTAAGCCAATGATTGAGCAACCATTCATAATTGGGAGTTGTTTACAAGGAATGTATCTCCCTACTTTGACACGCACAGCCCCATGAAGGGAGCGGACGCAACACGAGGGAGGCTCCAGAAGGACTTGTCCGACTGTGAGGGCTCAGTTTTGGCATCTTTTTGACCTCAAACATCATAGGTATGACGGACAAGACTTCGAAGATGCCAAGATGGACTACGTCTAGCTAAGCTATATCAGAGTTAGTGAAGCAGAGATATGCAATTGACCAATCCTTTCTGTAGGAAGTGATCACATCCAAGTCAGGGAAATGAGTAGCTCGCAAGGTCGAAACCCCAGCATTAAAGGGTTACGGTACCAGTTGTGACTGGCCCCTGCGAGTAAACAAGACCGACAGACTGCAAAATTCATCTCAAAAGAGGATTTGCTTGGGTATGTTGGCTCAAAAGCGAACCCGTTCCCCTCTGGCTGCATGTCAGGGGGCGGGATTAGAACGAGCATTCTTCGGTCTGGGTCCCTAAGCTAAAATATGTAGACGGAGTGAGATTTTTCCATCGACAAGAGTGTGTTGGGGACCGTGTATATGTTTTGAAGTGAAGAAGAAAGGAAAAGAGAAAGCGGAGCGCGAAATTTTATTCGACTGGCCCGGTAGCGCGGATTAGGTCAGCAGGGTCACGTGTGAAGTTTGTGGGGCTCTCTGCCTTCAAGGACCAAAAGAGGACCAGGAGAAGACAAGTAGAGGACAAATAGGAGATCAGCGAGGGATAAGGAGATGGCACGTTGTCAAAGATGCAGTCAGCGGACAAGAGTATAAATAAAGATAAATCGATGTAGAATATGAGCGAGCAATAAAAATGTTCCGATTCGCAAAATGGTAAAGCACTCAGAACGACTTGTAAACAACACCCTGGTATATATAGGCTCCACAAGTTTTATATCAACCCAAACTTTAGGAGACACCCTTGATATTGCTGATTTTACACCACACATATGTTTCTGATATGAGTCTCGAGCTTCATGCCAGCAAGCTTGAATTCGAGAACCAAAATCATCGCTCAAACAAAGACAAGATACCGGATGGAATCAGGAGGAACGAGCTGGTGGAGTCAGGACCCCATATAAGGGGCTGATCTACACACCTCAGGCATCAGCATTCTGTCGGAGCATGAGATCGGCATACCGGAAGTTTAGTTTATCCTGTCCACGCAGTATTTTTGATATTAGTCAGATAGTCATATTTCCTGCTAGAATAGTGGATACAGAAATACAGAGATTTCAACTCCCTTGATTGGACCCCTACTATACTGAATACCACGTCAGTTGACAGTTATAAGCCCGGTTCGCACGAAATAAGGCCGCTATTCGCAAGATATAGCGCCTATCAGCACCTGAAAACCTCCAAAAGCTGCACAGTAGCCCGCTGAGGCTATACAGCACCCAACCCCAACAATGGAAGCATCAACAATTCTCTCCGCCACAAAGGGCGAAAAACTAAAGGATTCGCCCCAATGGCGCACCTAGTTCGCCCGGGTAAAGCTATATGCGACACAAAAATAAGTCTGGAAGCACTGCGACCTAAATACCCCCCCCGATGGAGAGACCGATTAGGAAAGAAGAGCCTATTAGGCCGGAATACCCCTACGGAGGGACCGAATCAGACAAAAGAGATTAGAGAGACGAAATAGATATCTTCAAAGTGGACTAATCGAAATAGGATAGGGAGACAAAAGGGCTTTCTAATATAAATGACCATATTTATGCCTTCCTAGACCTAATCCACTATACCGCTATCACCGACTATCAGACCCCGTATAAGAGACTTATATACCTAAGAGATCGCTTCGCGAGATCGACTACACACGAGGAGGAAGTCCGAATAAAGTGGAAGGTCTTCGCTATCCAAAAGCCGACTAGAGATATCGAATAATAGCTTAAATAATAGAATACCCTAAGGGAGTAAGCTATTAGCCTCGGCATCGATAACGGAGACGTAAATAGGGACTTCCTATATACTATCAAAGAGGTCTTACCTATTTAGTAGTAAGGAAGATATTAAGAGATCGTTATAGATAAGAAAGTCTATTAAACCTATAATCTCCTCGAGTCGTTCCGCGTAATAAATCGAGAAATAGGGGTGTAAAAAGTATTATCTACTATACCCCTAAAAGGGGCATTTTTAACCTAGCAAGGACACTAAGAAGCAAAGTCCTAGACCTAGTCCTAGACTAAGGAGCCGATCCTATTTAAAAAAAGGAGGTGCCTATACGGGAACCCCCACTATTTACACAAAATAGTAATATACTAGTATCTTAATAAGGAAAACCGCCCCGAAGGGACCTATATTAACCTAAGAAAGCTAGAAAAGATTAAGCAAAAACTCGCTGAAGAGCCTACTTAGAAGAAATAGGTAGAAAAGAAGGTAGAAAAGGCATAGCAAACTTAGTAAACTTAGTAACCTTAGAAGGAAGAGTTTACAAATCAAGTGAGCTTCGCTACCACCCCTATACCGCATATTAGCACCCTTAAGCCCTACACTAGAGAGTAGGGGGGGGTAGCTCGGACTAGCGAATATACCCTCTTACTTACTAAAAATGGAGAACCTATCTTAAAAGATAGGTGGATCCTTAATATAGGATCTAGCACCTATATCTATAATAATAGAGACCTTTTTATCGACTTCATACCCTAGATTTCGGATCTTACGACGGGAGATAGTACCACCTAGGTGCTAGGAAAGGGGAAGGTTAGACTAGTAGGCAGATATCTAGTAAAAGGTAAAATAGAGATCACACTTAGTAATACCCTCTATTCCCCTAGCTTCTATATAAACCTAGTATCCTATTCTATACTAAAAAAGAAGGGCGGGATATAGTGCTAGCGTATAAACTATATTAGAGACCCTAATAATAGACTAGTTATCTACGTCAACCTTTAGGACTAGTTTAACCTCTAGATCTTTAATTAACCCGGAGAACTTATATAGCCCTAGTAAGCCTATTTTATAGAGAGAAAGTCTATAAAACCTCAATAATTAAGAGCCTTATCAGATATCTAACACCGACGGCTTACCTATATTAACTAGCGAAGCGCTATAAAACTCGCCACTATAGTAGATAGAGTCATTTTTAACGATAAAGAAAAGGAGTCTACTAAAATATAGGCATTATGCTAGACTTATCAGCTAGGTCGTGCACCAAGGCAGATATTAAGACGCGTAGTTAGACGCACTTTCGGACGATTTAGAAGAGTGCACTTTAATCTCATTTAGCTACCGCTAGTAAAGAATAAGCACTACTAGATCTCTTATTTTTACCTAGAAGGTCCTAGGTTTCATTAGCTAATAACCTATAAAATAAAGCCTAAGTGTTAGCTAGCGATCAATCGTTTTATAGAACTAGTAAGAAACCAATAGGATCTACCAATTAAAGCCTTCTAATACGATAATAAGTCCTTAGCTAGAAAACCTACGGAATATAGCCTCACTTCTAATAGTATCCTTATATATTATAACCCCCTAGGGCACTCCGAAATGAATGGTTATACCGAAAGATCCGGTAGTATAATTATCACCCGTATATATATACTCGTACTTAAAGGAAAGCTCCTAAAAGATCTATAGCTAGAGGCCGCTAACGCTACGGTATAGTTACTAAATCGTACGCCGACGTATATTACTACCGAAAACCGCTAGGTCATACTATAGGAGGAGGTGCGGAAGGAGTTCGCACCGTAGGCGCCGAGGATTAACCTATTAAATATCAAACTGTATAGAAGTTTAGCATACTATAGGATCGATAAATAGGTCTAGTCTAACAAAATAAACCCACGAGCTAAGATCGGATTCTTAGTTAGCTATATAGTATCTAATATCTAGAAAATCTAGTTTCTATATAATAGGAAAGTAAAGCCTATTAGGGATATAGTATTTAATAAAACTCGCAAATATACCCCTAATTATAATAGATATTAGCTCATTCTAATACTAATATAGTAAGAACCTTAGGAAATTACTATAAAAGAATTCAACTAGGTGCTCGATCGCGTGATAGCTAGTTAAGAGACTAGCAAAATAGAAGAGAGAGATCATCGAGATCTATAGGAAGCTTAGTCTAATAATCTATAAGAAACTCAGCACTATAATCATCAAGGATCTCATTAAGGATCTTAGTAAGGATCTCAGTAAGGATCTTAGTAAGAAAACTAGCAGAATATATAGCAGAACTCTCCGTAGAGGGAGATAGCTAGTGAAGTTAGTTAGCGAGATACTACCCCACTTTAGGGGGTGGACTAGTAAGTGGTCCTACCCTCCCTAAAAACTACGATTATATAGTAAATACCTAAGATCTATAAACCCCGAGCCCCGCTAGATATATTTCCGGATAAACCCCTTCCTCCGCTCCCTATCACGCCGCTATAAGAACCCTATACGTAGGATCACCATACTACCCCTAGTTAGGGGGTAAATATACCGGAGGATCTAGAGGATCCAGTCAGCGACTAGGTTTAGGATAATAAAGCTATTCCTATAGTGGAAGATAAGCTAGAAAGACAACTATAGGCGGAACTTCTCGCCCTAAGCAGACAAATCATAGGAGATATCGACACTAGTAACATTATCAGTAGAAAGCGAAAGCGTTAAACTAGGCAAGACAAAGACTATATCTATATAATAATCACAGAAGCTATAGACGAAAAGGAAGACCCTCCTACACTACTATATACTTTCGCTATAGGTCTATATACTAAGAAGCCTAAAATCAGACGTTATCAAGATAATCTCCCCCTAGTCCTAAAACACTATAAAGATGTTATAAACCATCCATTTTAGGAAGGCTTTCTCGTAGTAATAAGAAAGGAGATTAACTCTCTAATAGAAAAGGAAACCTATAAGATCATAGAGAGACTAAAGGATAGAGGCAAGTAAATACTACCTCTTATATAGGTATTTACCTATAAATACGATTAGGATAGTTATCTAGTCAAATTCAAAGCTCGTATATACGTACGGGGAGATCTAGAGACTATTTCGCATGAAGAAAAGAGAGCTACTACACTAGTAGTAAGGACTATAAGGATAATCTTTGCCCTTATTGCTACATTTAATCTCGATCTAAGATAGCGGGATACTATTACTACCTTTTTAAATAGCACGCTAGAAAAAGAGGTCTATACCTAGATACCTAATAGGTTCAGACTACCCGGTAAATACTAGAAACTCCGCCGTGCACTATATAGTCTGCGGATCTTACCTAGACTTTAGTAGTAGGAAGTAGCTAGTATATTTCGCGAACTAGGTCTATAATAAGCCCTAGAAGACCCCTATATCTTTATCGGAAATAGACTAATAGTCTTTTTCTATATTAATAATATCTTAATTGCCTATTATAAAGACGTATAAAGAAGGGCTATAAAACTAGAGCGAGATCTAGAAGCGCACTAGGAATTAATAGACCACGGAGAGGTAGTATAGTTTCTTAATATCCGTATTATTAGAGATAGGTAGCAAAAGAAGCTATAGCTTTATCAAGATAGCTATATAGTAAGTATCGCTATATAATATAATCTCATAGATAGACTAACGGTATACACCTTAATACCTATCGAAGAGCTAACTCTATATTAGGGTATAGCCATAGCCTAAGAGATCCTATTATACTAAAAGAAGGTAGGATCTACTAGATATACTACTACGATTATAAGACTAGATACTATAAAATCGACTACTCGTCTAGTATAATACTTAACAAACCCGGGCCCCTAGCACTATTAGGTAGCTAATAGAGTCATCACCTACCTTAATTCTACCCGCTATCTCGCTATTAAATATAGCGTAGAATCAGGTATAGAAAGGGACTCCGTATAATTCGCTAGTGATACTTTATATAGGGATCATCCCGATAGAAAGAGCTCCGCTAGCTATATCTACTAAGTGTACGGCGGGCTAGTCGACTAGAAAGCTAGTAAGCAGCCTACAGTCACTACCTCCACCACTAAAGCTAAGCTCCTCGGTCTCTTAGAGACTGCAAAATAGCTACAATAGTGGCGTAGACTTCTCAATACCCTTAGTTTTGTCCCTTCCTATTAACTAAGTATTGATTACGACAATCAGCGCACTATTAGTCTTCTAACTAGCGAGGACACGGCGTTCGAGACGAAATTGCGATATGTTGATATTTATCGGCACTAGCTTAGATAGGAAGTTAGGGAAGGAAGAATCAAGGTAAAATAGGTGCCGACAGCTAGTATAGCTGTAGACGGACTCACAAAGTTGCTCACTAGGCAAAAGCATAAAGCTTTCCTCAAAATGTTGAGGATAATAGATATAAGCTATCTAATAGCAGGAGCTATTTGATAGTATAGGTCATTTGATTAACAAAGGGAGAGAAATAACATACCGACTAGGGTGTAGGAAGCAGCTAGACCATACTAGCCTAGCTAAGGGGGTGTGTCGGAGCATGAGATCGGTATACCGGAAGTTTAGTTTATCCTGTCCACGCAGTATTTTTGATATTAGTCAGATAGTCATATTTCCTACTAGAATAGTGGATATAGAAATACAGAGATTTCAACTCCCTTAATTGGACCCCTACTATACTGAATACCACGTCAGTTGACACATTCCCGCAACATCCGAAATATCTGAACGATCAAGTTGGAGGGTATAGGAGACAGCTCTAGAGGATATAATTGCATGAATATATATACAAAATGCGCCGAAGGGTACAAAGATCGTTCACCCAATTGATCTTCTTCATCTGCATTTTCTTCTTCATCTTATATTTAAACCGTCCTCAGTCAACCAAAGACAAACTCTTCGCATGGACCAAAATCCGCTATAAGACCACATCATCAATCATCCCAGAGGCCCGCGGGGTTTGCCCGGGCCTCGCAGGATCGACAAAGCCAGCTCTGGTAGTCTCCCATGTTGCCACCGATGGCGATCCAGCTTGGCTAGAATCCCTGTCCGCATTCTACCATATATGCATGTACCATGTGGACGCGCCAGCAGACACATCCTCCAATCTGCTACAAGTCCCTGCAAACCGTGGACACGAGGCAATGGCGTATCTTACCTTCATGATTGACAACTACGCGGATATCCCATCCGCGGGCGCTGTCTTCGTGCACGGTAGCCGCTGGGCTTGGCACAATGATATCCCGGACTACGACAATGCCGCACTCCTGCGTAGCCTTGATGTCCGCCGCGCGATTCAACCAGCGGGCTACCACAATCTGCGCTGCGACTGGAGCGCAGGTACTTGCCCGTCCTCCGTGCCGCCGCAAGGCAGTCTCGAAATGAGGCTGTCGAACGCCGTGTCACCGTGGAGTCCACGTGCGGCATCAGATCTCGCCCTGCCGCACGCGCTCGGCCACCTCTTTGGCGGGAGTATTGAGGCGGATGTTGAACAAATCCGCAGCGATTTTCATGTCCATCTTGGTCGGAATGATGCCGTGCGTGCGCAGTGTTGTGCACAATTTGCGGTTTCGCGTGAACGTGTCTGGCAGCATGGCCGGGATGAGTATGTTGCGCTTCGCCAGTGGCTGCTTGATGGCAGTGATGATGGCGTTGCGCGGAATATGCAGCGTGCTCGCGATTCTAAGGCTGCGCCTGGTGATGACCTTGTCGCTGGTCGGGTTGTTTCGTATCTGTGGCATATTTTGTTTGCAAAATATGATGAGAATGGGGCCATTGATCTTGACCAGCTGAATCGTGATTCATGTCCTAGTGCTTCTGAGTGTTACTGTCGGTTATATGGCAAGTGTGATTTGAAATGTCGGGGTCCTGGGAGCTGCCAGGGGCAGTACTCGATCCCGAAGAATTACAAGCTTCCGGATGATTGGGAGGAGAAGCATCCATGATTCATGATTTCTTCGGTTTGTGAAACTCGTTTATAGCATAGATCTGGATTGTTTTGCGTATATACATTGGGATAGATTGGAACGCATTTGAGAGCAAAAAATATAATTGGATATCGTATCAGAACAAGATGTCTGGAGCTATGTGCCATTTATTAACCCTATATGATGCTGCTTTTTGCATTTAGAATCTGGCAAGGACTCGCTCTTGGGTATCACCAAGAGCATACTGGACGCTGTGCTTCTTGCTCACGACCGACTTTGCCTGTTCGGCAGTGAACCCCTTAGCCTCCACAGCTGGGTTGTATCCCAGACCATTGAATTTGCCAACAATATCAGAAGGCACCGCAGTGGCGACCTTGCCGTCAGTACGCTTGTAGACTGTGACAACAACGGCGCCACCAAGACCAAGATTGTGCTGCAGTGCCGCGGAGGTACCGTCGATCAGGCGGTTATTGGCCCAACCACGCAGGTGCCAGACTAGTTCAGCGCACTGGCCAATACCAGTAGCACCAAGTGGGTGACCCTTGGAGATGAGACCACCGGAGGGGTTGATGACCATCTTGCCGCCGTACGTGATATCACCACGGCGGACCATCTCATGAGCCTTGCCAGGCTCGGACAGCTCTAGCGCATCGATAGTGATCATTTCATTGGCTGAGAAGCAGTCGTGCAGCTCGCAGACCTTGATATCCTTAACATTCACACCAGCCTCAGCCGCGGCAGCGCGGCACGACCGGCGTGTCATGTGAAATCCCATCAGGTCGATAGAGCTCTTGCTGTATAACTTGTCGGTATCGGTAGAGAGGTTCTGGCCGGCGATAAGAATGGCATGTTCCTTGAGATGGGGACGAGCATCCAGGAAGTCTTGTGAGACGACGACGGCGGCGGCACCGCCATCCGAGGTCGGGCAGCACTGTAGCTTAGTCAGGGGCTCGTGGAGCATGGGTGCCTTCATGATCTGCTCGAGAGTGTATTCGGTCTGGAATTGGGAGTAGGGGTTGCGCTTGGAGTGCTCGTGGTTGACGCGGGCGATTTCGGCGAAGTCTTCGTTCTTAGCACCGTACCTACATTTCACTTGTTAGCAATGTTTCCATGTATCGCTGTTGTCTCCGGGGTTGCACACTTCTCCTTGTATTCCACACCCGCGTTTCCGAACATCTGCGCGGGACCAGGTGCGTTGGTATAACCCCGTGTCTCGGCCATCATCTTTCCAAACAGTCCCGTTGGGTTCTCGCGATCGTTCCACATGGATTGCAAGCTACCAGGGTTCATCTTCTCGAAACCGACGACCAGCACGCAGTCCGCAGCACCATATGAGACCATTGTGCGTGCCATGACGAGGCCAGTAGAGCCAGTCGAACAGTTGTTATTGACATTGTAGATAGGGATGCCGGTCTGGCCGAATTGATAGAACACTCGCTGGCCGCAGGTGCTGTCACCGTAGACATAGCATGCAACGCCCTGGTCGACATCATCGTAGTTGATCTTGGCGTCAAGCATGGCTTTGATGCCAGCTTCATAGCCCAACTCATGGTAGTCGACCTTGCCGCGTGGCTTGATGAACTTGGTCATGCCCACGCCAAGGACGTAGGCTGGGGTTGCTTGCTTCTTGCCCATGGTGTAGCTGTGAGTAACTGGGATGTAAAGGTGAGGGTATAGAGTCTAAGATAGAATTTGTTGAAGTATCTGAGTGCCCAGGTTGTGTTTATAAATAACAAACGGTAGCATGTGGGGAGCTCGACGCGAAATTGCGGGGAGAAACCGAGGTCCCGAGGAAGCACGGCCCAGCATCTTTCAGTGCATACCTACATGTAGATAGCCTCATCATTGAAGAGCCGACTCCGAGTTTATATTCCAAAGGCAGTTATATAGAGTAATCAAATGTGCTTAGTGTGTAAAAGAAAATATATCTGTCTTTTCTGCGAAGCTGGGTCTCACGTGAAAGGAGGCCGAGAGGTACGAGAAAATCCCTAGGTGACTGGGATCCTACGATGTACCTGAACGATTCCTGATTCCATTGACCTGGTAGCACAATCAATCATATATCGGCAAACGTCCAATAAGGGGGTATGGATTGCTTTACTACAACATACACGAGTGGATCTATGTTATATAAACTCCAACCCAGCCTAACTTCCGAGGCATCAAGTTTTCGACTACGGGAAGCTCCTAAACTGATCTCCCAATATCCATTCTCACTCCAAACAAAGCATTGGTCTAGTGGCGTACCGCAGTGGCGCAATATACATCCATGGATATATCGACGGAGCACACCATAACGGCATCTTTATCCTTCTTTCCGATCCTGGAGCCGGTCGACCGGCAAACCGGATTGTTGCTTAATGATCTGCAGTCTGTCCCAACCAGAGCAGTCTAGTTGGATATGAGTCTGGAATCGAAGTGGAAACAAGACCGTTCTCAAATCCTCCCACGGTTCGTATCGTTGCGACTATTGGTGGGTTACAATGAGCTCATCCCTGCGTGGGGCCCAACCCATCACAAGTCGCGGAGTACTGTCCTCCACACTAAGAGCGCCATCGTGGACTAACATTCTTTGGTGAGATCAGCTCTTCGACTGTTTTGCACCGATCGACTGTCACTCTTGTCTCTGCATGAAAATGAGATGATCAGACTGCGACCGGCATATCTGCCACAGCAGTGCCAAGACTGGAGATAGTATGACCAGTTCCCCGCTCCTCCACCAATATCTCAGGACCAGGGAGCCAACGTTTCAGGCTTTGAAACGATGTGTAGATCGAATTAAACAATGACCAAGCCTCTCACAAGGTGGATAAAACCAGTAAGCACTAAGAAGACAACCTAGTCTCGGGTGCTGTTCACGACGACGTCACCCCATTTGGCCCTAAACCGCTTTGAGATCCCAGGTTAAGCTCGGTCCACATGCCATTTGACTGCACTTTTCTCTTTCCCTCCCATAGCATTCAACTATCTGGGCTATACTGTGGGAATATTGGTAAGTGCTCATTGTGGCCCTTGAAAACTGGCAATCTGGTTTGTTCCGGTGTCCCGAGAAGCGGGAAATAGCTAGCCGATACTAATGGTTGCCTCCCCACAGCTTCCGACCATCGTCAGTGCCTATTGCCGTAACCCATTGCCGTGGAACACATATCTGAAGGCAATCAGAATCGTTGGAGATAGGGGGATTTCTACAGTACACTCCTTGAATTAGTCAATCCTCTACCGCGCCTCAGAGATACTCTTCGTGAACGCGGGGTTGCATACTTTACTGTGGCTGTCGATTGCTTCAGCCACTAGTATTGGGTACTATCTCATAATCCGCGAAAACGGATTCCAACAAACCATTATATGTCGAGAGAGACTCCCGGGGTCTTTTTCAGCAGACACACGACAGAACTGGGTTGGTTGGGCCCGTTTAAGGAACAATTGTGGGACGCCGAACGGTCTACTCGGGTTCTGAGAGACCGCTTTGCGTTCCATCGGGTTCCCCAGCCTGCGAATATATACGCGCCTGTACAGAATTAAAAACACTTCTGTTAGGGCCGATCGGAAATAGTATCATACCTCCTCGTCGCCGCCAATGGAGAACGTTCAGGGATGACTATTGACAAAGCTTCTGAACATGCACCATTCCCCTCCTCGACTCACCACACAAGAACTGCCACCATGCCCGACAGCAAAGCTTGGAATATGGATGAAGCCACACGAAATAGACTCCTCAAGAAGTATAAAACCCAGGTGGCCTCGGGGGCGTCAACCGTTTGTGCGACGCTGGCGGTGGTGAGTGCTTTCTCCTGTGGGGTTTGACGATCTTGGATCCCTCCATTCGCCCATGAATAGCCGATACGGTGCTAATTTATCGAAAAGACTCCTTTGGAAAACGTCAAGACTCGGATGCAGACGTAGGTATCCACGTGACGTTGGAAATAGGTCTCGCATACTAATTGATATGAAGACACAACTTTAAGAACATTTGGCAGTGTGTAAGATACCTATGGCGCACCGAAGGACCTCGGGGATATGTAGCTGGTAAGTCGGCTTCCGTGGACTTTTTGCCAAGGGAATGACTGACGATTATATAGGCGCGCTTCCACCGTTGGCTAGTGTCACGGTAGTCCGTGTTGTCAATTTCACCGTGTACAATGCATTCAAAGATATGATTTCCAAGAACGTCGAGCGCGTAACTGGTTTCAATCCCTTGGCTGATTATAAAAAGCCTGGAAGCACCCCTACCGTATCAGGTGTCCTGACTTTCACTGTTGCGGGACTTGGCGCTGGTTTAATAGCTTCGCCTATTGCTTGTATGCCTCTAATAATCACTTACATGGTTGTGAATAAGCTGGACTGACTCTGAAATCAGGCCCGTTTGAACTGGCGAAAAATGTTGTCCAGACCTCTGTTTTGGTGTCGAATCGTGCAATGGCTGCTCCGGACGCCGCCCGGGACCCTTCTTTGCGTCACAAACCTCGCCTAGGGACAATCCAAGCTATCAAGCAGATATACGTGAGGCATGGATTTTGGGGTCTTTACACTGGTTTCCGCCTGCATGCGCTGCGCGATACTGTGGGCTCGGGGCTCTACTTTAGCGTTTACGAAATCGTGAAGCAGGTGGCAGCCAAAGAATTGGGACAGGACAAGAATCCTTTCGGGGCGCCTATGATTGCCGGTGCGATATGCAGCACTGTGCCCTGGTTCTGCGTATGTGATCAGATTGATACCCGTCTCACGCAAGACATGCGCTAACTCAACCCACAGACTTATCCTCTTGACACGCGTAAGACTCGTGCACAGAGCGTGCTGCTCGGGAAAACCAGCGAGATTGGTGAAGCTTCGCAAGCTGTTGCCAAATCAAGTATGTACAAGGGCCTGTCCATCATCCTCATCCGGACTGGCGTCAACAACATGATCCTGCTCAGCATTTTTGAATATATCAGGATGCGCATTGATGAATTGCCGAAATGAATAACTCCCATTAGGGACATGACGGTCATTAAGATGAGATGACGGTCCATCCATCTGGTGAACATTGTTTGTCATCGTGCGTTTTGGACACTGAAGGATTTTCTCGTATTTATTATCGAAGCACATATATGGACGGGCTCGAAGCTCGTGCCGACCAAATAACCAAATGAACAATCAAACCTCAAGTCAAGTTGTGTATAGAATCAATGTAGCAGCCGATGGATGCCTCAGGCCATCAACGCGTCATGTCTCGTTGCCCGGTGGGGTGGAACTTCTTGCTGTCAAAACAAACGAAGTCTTCCGCATCCCCGCCTCAAGCGACAATGGCATCGTGAGTATCCCTAAATAGCATACGAAAAATTGAAGATCGGACCGATTTGACTGACAAGTTCGTCTATTTGATTCATACAGTAATATCCTCCAACTACCGTTCCGGCGCTCGCACACCGTCTCACTTTCTGAAGCGATCACTCAGTACATCTCCTCCAAATATGATCAGCGCCCGGATATGTTCGCGGAAGATCTGATGATCATTGATCGTCTACGAGCCGAGGCTGTTAATGTACAGGAACCTCATTTCAGCGGTATCAGCCGCTTGGTAACATATGCGGCTCAGCTGAAATGGCTCTGTGGAAAGTTCCCGATCGATGTGAGTCGCCATTTCTGAACTCTCGGGGAATTATTTGGTATCTGAAACTGACACTCGGTCTGCTATGTAGGTCGGGGTAGATTTCTCGTGGTATCCCGCTTTTGGGTTTAATGCCTCGCGGCCAGGTCAGTTGAGTTCTTTGGGACTCTCATGGCCTCCGCATGGGGGTTTAATTTTGGTTGGATATAATAACTAACGAGAACCCGAGCTTTTAGTTTCGGAAAATAACCTGCGCTTCGAGCTCGCGAATGTCATATTCAATCTCGCTGCATTATACTCGCAGCTTGCATATGCGACTAATCGGACTACATCAGATGGACTCAAGCAAGCGTGTAACTACCTCTGCTCCGCTGCTGGAGTATTGAGTCATCTCCGAACCGATATTATACCGGATTTGCGGACGTCACCCCCGGAGGATATGGATGAAATGACACTACAGAGTTTGGAACTTCTTTTGCTTGGGCAGGGTCAGGAATGCTTTTGGCAAAAAGCCGTCAAAGATGGACTGAAAGATGCGTCCATCGCGAAGCTAGCAGCCAAGGTATCTGACTTCTATGGTGACGCAGGTGACTTGGCTGTAAAGTCTAATGCGATTAGCACGGACTGGATCCACCATATGACCGCGAAGCATCATCACTTTGCTGCTGCAGCTCAGTTCCGACAGTCACTTGACTGTCTAGAAAAGCGAAAGTACGGAGAAGAGGTTGCTCGGCTGCGCGACAGTTTAGTCTGTGCCGGGGAGGGCTTGAAGGAACAGCGATGGATCAATCGGACTGTACTCGGTGATCTGAATGGCCTGAAGAGCCGCGTCGCGGAGGACCTCAAGCGCGCTGAAAAGGATAATGATATGATTTATCTGAACCCTGTGCCACCCAAATCCGAGCTAAAGACGATTGAACGTGCCAGCATGGTGATGGCTAAAGCACCGTCTCAGGTCACGGACGCGATCTCTATGCTAGGGGATAATGGACCACTGGGCCAGCCCCTGTTCTCGAAGTTGGTACCGTATGCAGTTCACATTGCTGCTAGTATCTACACTGATCGCCGTGACCGGCTGGTCAACGATACTCTTATTGGGGAGTTGGAGTCAATGACCGATAAATTGCGAGAGTATGTATCCAAGATAATAACCGAGACTCCATATGCAGCAATTTTGCTAATACTAGATTCTAGCTTGCTTTCATCACTTAATTTACCAGGGTCATTGCAAGCTCTCGAGAAGCCATTGGGTCTACCACCGAGCCTTGTGTCGCATGCAGAGGAAATACGCCAACAAGATGGTCTGAACCGCTTGCATCGGTCTATTGAAGACACTGCCAGGGTCAAAAATAATGACCTAGCTTTGTATAATGAAGGCGTTGAACTCCTAGCAGCTGAGAAAGCTGAGGACCTTGCAGCTCGCCATAAATATGGCACCGATCGTTGGACTCGCGAGACCTCTGAAGCAGCCGCGCCTAAGCTCTACAAAACTTTGACTGAAATCAACGGCTACTTCACCTCCGCCCAGGGAAGTGATGATCTCGTCCAGCGCAAGTTGCGAGATTCACAATCCGTCTTCCTTGTTCTCACTGGTACGAACCGGGACTTGGAGGCCTACGTTCCCAGTAGCCGGAGAGCTGCAATCCCCCCGGCGGTAGAGCGCGAAGCCAACAGATTGCGCGGCTGTCTGAGTGAAGTCACTCGTATGGAGAATCGACGTCGGCGGCGAATTCAAAGCTTGAAGGATAAGGCCCGTGCGGATGATATTCGTATGTTTCTACTGATAACCTGCTTCGAAATCTACTAATGAATCGCATTTAGATCCGGCACTTCTGAGACAGACCGCTCGACTTGAGCGGGAGTTCCCCATGCAAACTATTGAGGCCAGTCAATTTGAGGATCTGTTCGAGGAGCAGCTGAAGCTATATGACTCAGATCGTGAGATGTTGGCTCAGGAGCGAAGAGAACAAGACCATCTTTCGAGCCAAGTCCGAGAAGCTAACCTGGCTTTTACTGGCTCTCACAAGGGCGATGCATCGACCAAGGAACGAGAGGCGGCACTGCAGGATTTGGAAAATGGATACCTGAAGTATAAGGAGATTATTTCTAACCTGGATGTCGGGCGGAAATTCTACAATGATCTTGCCAAGATCGTAGGCCGATTCCGCGATGACGGAAAGGCCTTCGTTCACCAGCGTCGAATGGAAGCAAGCCAGCTGGAAACGTATGTGTTACCACCCCTGACCAAACTTAAAGGTAGTCACTGACATTGAATCTTCTTGGATCAGCGATATCTCCAACGCTGCAGCAATGGCCTCACTCCACATTTCTCAGCCACATCTCCGCCAACAAGCTTCACAACCAGCTCGTACACACAAATCACCGTCCTCCTACTCGGCTGCACCGCCCGCTCAGCCCCCCTTACAACCTTCCCCGCCGGCTCATTCGGCCCGCCCAGCTGGGACAGCGGCCCCTCTAACAGCACCCCAGCCGGTGCGCGCACCTGTGGCCCCGCCTCCGGTTTCTACTCCAAGCATACCGGGTGCTATGCCTGGTATGTGGTCTCCCGAGATGGGTATTCGATTTGGGTCTGCCGCTGCCCCCCCAAATGCCACTCCTAGCACGGGGGCTGGACCAACCCCGGGTCAACCCGCCCGTGGCCAACCAGGAACCTGGGATCCTAGCCAAGGACTGCGTTTTTCTTGATTTCCCATCGTGATGCAACCTTGACCAAGGCTTTTTGTTTTTAGGCCGCACTCCTTTGCACATATCCCGGAGTTTGAGTTGTACATGTGACTTATTTTACTGCATGATATACGGCGCGAGCAATGATATTTGAACATGTTGCTGACTGTATATACGACAAGGGGTTACGGATAACCACTTGGAATAGCCTCTCTAGGTAGATAGCTGGCACTGATTGATCTGATGTCAAGTACAGACTATCATCATTCTATCTCAATTATATCACAGTATGGTACATGTAAATCGCCTCGACTGCGCTGTCACAACACAAGATTGCATGCTCAAACAACAAAAATTCAACCCGCGGCAAGGTAAAAGTTCATGCCAATGCTGAAAACATTGCCCCCAATGTGCCATTTGGCAACAGAAGCCTAACTCAAACAATTCTATACGCAGAGTAAAAAGGAAGTAAACACCCCAAAAGCCCAGAACTGCACTAATTCTAGCGATATCCGTTTACCTTTTTAGAGTAACCAACGCCATTAGCATGCTTCGCATTACCATTCAGCACCGCGCTGCCATTCAAATAGACTTGATCATCGATACCACCGACAACTTTGGGCACATCTTGCTCGATCTCAGACTCATCTGACTCGGACCGATCATCTTTCTTCTCGCCTGTCAGGAGGAACTTGAGAGCGCTCCGGAGTAGACAGTACAGCCAGAACAAGTTGAGAGCTTGGAGGGTCGCCAACAGTGCAAAAGTGATGATGTTCGAAATCCAGCACTTGTACTGCTGCGTTTCCCAATTAAGTTCATAGGGACCGACGGTCCGGAACTCGGTTAGAAGAGAGTAAAGAATGCGAAGATTGAGTACGTGACGGAGATAGATCCAGGAGATAACCGAAGTCGCGTAGAATGGAACCATGATGTCGGGTGCTGCGTAGTGCAAAGATTTTGAAACCTGAAGAGAATGTCAACGAATGTCTGGAATAGGCCAAGTACCTCGAAGGAAAGAAATGAAACTTACAGCAAGGAAGAAATCACTAATATCATGTGTAATATAGACCGCAATGCCGATATACGTGAAATGAAACCGATAGCTGAGCGCGATAAGAGCCAACGTCACAATATGATGAGCAACAAGTTCGAAGAAATCCTTCCGTCGCTTCTCCATCCCAAGTAGCATAACAACAGCCTGCTGAGCCCAATATGCCGCCTCGAACAGGTAGTAGAATTTGAACTCCGCCGCATGCGTTCTATGCGGGAAGAGCTCGTACATGCCGCGCGTGTTGAAATACCACACGGGCGTCTGGCGCATCACATACAGCCCGGCGGGACCGAGGACCCCGAAGTAAATAGCAGTGTACACCTGTTCCATGAAGCGCGCTTGCTTGGCGCGTGGCTTGATGTACGCGCTTGCGAGGGGCCGTAGGAGTTCTTGCATGATGAACTCTCGCGTGAAGGATAGCACGATCACGTAGAATGACACGAAGGCTACGTCCCATAGACCCTTGCCATATTGTGTGGGGGCATTGGGGTCCGCGCCTTCTAGCGGCTCTTGTTTGTAGGAGAGGAAAATGAAATGAGAAATGGGGTTTGACTCGGTCGGGTTGAGTGCGTATAGTGATAGGAAGGCAAGTATGAGAGCTAGTGGAAGGGTCCACGTATGCGCGAGGGTGAACCGCTTACAGCGGGATATAAGAGAATGTGGCTGTTTGCGCGTCGAACTTGGGGATATCGAGTGTGATGGACTAGCATGGCCATTTGGTTCTGTATTAGCTTGTGCTGAGCCATTGATGTTCCTGCGTCTGAGGGCGTCGTTGGGCTGTTTGGCCCTATTCGGGGGTGGACTCGAGGCTTGCATATTTGGGTAGGTATGAGGTAAGGCTGACATCGAGAAGAAACAGAGATGGAGCTAGGATGGAATTGATAACATAGTCAAGTTTGAGGCTCTTGCCAATAAGATCGCATCTTGATGACACCTCCCTCTTTCGGCTAGATCGGAGGCTCAAAGCGGCCAGTTGGTTAAGTTGACTACACCGCCTAGTCCGGGCTCTCCTTGGGCTTACGTATCATTCTGGACTGGAAGTTGGGACTTGGAATAATTATGGCACTCGGTCAGTCCATTACAAACATGTCGACTTTAGCTCCTCACTTGTATATCTTTCCTGCCTTGGGCATCTCGACATCCTCCGATGTGAAGCTGTAATGTCCGACACGACCATCGACCGGTACCGACCCCCACTGAACAGGCAAATGCGCCATGTTTGTATCCTCGTCATTCGACTTGATGACTACATTATCGGTTGGATCAAAGGCCGGATGACATGCGGCGGCAATTGCAAGGCTGCAGCCCCCGGCCACTGGCATTGCTGTCTCAAACGGTTTGGCACTAAGCCCCACGAGGCAAAGGAACATGCAGCCTCCAACTACCAGAGAACAGACTATTGCGACGGGCGAGTAGCCACAAGTAATTAAGTCTCTTTCGAGGTTTCTAACCATGTTCGAGTCAAGCGCTTCAATCCCAACCATGAACAGACTTCGTGAAACCAGCCAGTGGAGGATGGCCGCGGCAGCTATGAGTGGAATTGAGTAGCGATAGGGTATTGAAAGGAAGTATTTGCTTCGCTGTGATAATTGTGGGTTGTACGAGACGCGGAGGCCTTTGCGTTGGCTGGCGTATCCGCTCCATTCAGCCGCAAGAGTCATGGAGGTCAGAAGAGTGTTGAAGGAGAAATAGAGCAAAGAGAAGATGAGTTGTGGAGAATTGGCGATGAGAACGTTGTTCATTAATGAGGTTGGCCAGTTTCGGCCTGTTATCAGGGTGTCTGGAATGGGAGTTCCGAGCTGTTGCTTCCAGATGTACGCGCTTGATCCAACCTTGGACAGTCCGAGTGCGAGGAAATAAATACACATAGCGGTGGCAATGACCCACCTGCTTGAGATGTCAGATAAAGATATACACGAACGAAAAAAAGAGAAACCACCTGCACTCGAGAGGGGAGGCTTTGGACTGCGGGACCGATGAGTATGGATCGGTGGAATTTCTGGTTGAAAAGACTCGAGGAGATTGAGGAGATTGGCAAGGTCATTTCGACAACGGCGAGTGAGGGCATGCGGGATGCTCGAGCCCAGGGCAAGGAGTAGTTTATGGCTTAGCTTATAAAACTAGTGTTAGAGTAACAGTCTGGATTATAAGATTGCTTCCGGATGGCCTTGGTGGCAGATTGTACATTTAATACCCCGTAGACATACCCCGTCTCCCGTGAAACAGTCCGTGGTGAAGTCGTATTCTAGCAAATATGCTAGAATACTGGAATTCTTCATACTTGCCCGAGGAGTATTTTTCCTAGGGAACCAGTCTGTCGCTCAAACGAATCCAGATTTGTAGGGCCTAAAGGATCCGAAGCCGGTCTGTCAGCCGGAGAAATCAGTTCTTATGCCATTTTTGCGACTACTGATTTAGTGAGCTTCTGGAGAGCCGACTGGTTGATCTAAAAGCTGTACGCCATCTGTTTATGTCGGCTTTGAAGGGAGGTTACGTGATGGCGTATTGGAGCGCTAAACCCCAAAGGGTAAAACTAACTTGAAAGTACAATTGACACATCTGCCGTTGACCTACTGCGTACACTGCACCCAAAATGTCAAGTCCCGCGCAGCCCTCGATATCCACTAAGCTCGCTATAACGCCAGCTAAGCTCTCACTGGGGATTAGCTCGTCAACTATCACCCTCACTGCGACTTTACACTACACAGAGCCTATCACGATCTTCAAGCATGGAACTATTTTCAATCTTGCCCTAAACCATTCTCCTAGTAACTTTGATTGCGAGGATATCACGACCGAGAACGCAGAGCCAATAAACATAGGCATCAAGAAAGGGTGCAAACGGCCAGCATTTAGCCGTGAATATGGAGGTCGCGATGACCGCTTCTTCGTCACGCTGTACCCAGAAACCCCTATTTTGTTTGAGGGGGTATTTCATCTTGCAAAAAGATCGTGCCAGCACGTAGTGTTTCAACCCCGACATAAATATCGATTCGCAACTAAGCAAGGCGAGACGGTGGATTGGTGGCGAGTGGGGGAGAAGAAGAATGCGATGACGTCCCCCGGTGAATTCGCTGTACTAGGCGAAGCGAGTGGGAGCCCGATCTCTCTGGGGATGCAGGAGGTAGAATTGGAAGTTTTGTAATTATTTGATTAGGAATATGTTTGGTCATGTTTTTCCCGAGAGAGTTGGAAAGCACATCACGGTAGGCTATTTTTTCAAAAATGTCAAAGCTGCGACACACAACGCATCCATGCCGGTTTTCAACGTTGGCTGAATTACAGGTGCAAAAAGAGCCGAGTGATTCCCGGCAATCTCTTCCTTGGGAGCTTCACCCCTTTCGGCCTTATCCCAAAGTTTGGGGTCAATCCCTCCAATAAACCAAAACGAGCATGGAAGTCCATGAGAAGTCCCGAGTGTCGAAAAATCTTCACTGACATTGGTCCGTGGAGTATCGCCATCAAAGTCTTCAAAATAATCTCCAAACGATTCAGCCAGCTGTAAGGCTGCCTGTTGATCGTTCAAAGTGGGCGGAAAGCGCCTCGTTGGCGCGAACAATGGTGGTTTCGGGGAGCCACTAGCAATGCACTCGGCCTCAACGATCCGTTGAATTGAAGACAAAATTTTCTGTCGAGTCTCTAATGTGACAGTCCTGAAATCAACACCGATTTCGGCCCTGTCCGCGATGATGTTTTCAGTCTGTCCAGCCTGCAGACTTCCCACCGTCAAGACAGCGAGATCACTTGGATCCACCTCTCGACTCACAATATCCTGCAGTCTAACAACAATATGTGCAGCAAGTAGTACAGGATCGACCGTCTGATGTGGCATTGAACCATGGCCCCCACGGCCGTATAGAGTGATCTTCAAGCTATCAGCAGCTGCCATGATCGTACCAGGTCGGGAACCAACGCTGCCCGCACGCATTCGCATGACATGCTGGCCAAAAACGTAATCGGGCGTGGGGATCTTTGAATAAAGTCCATCGTCAACCATCGCCTGCGCACCACCACCCCGCTCTTCATTTGGCTGGAAAAGCACGATCAACGTCCCGCTCCACGCATCCTGTGCGTGCGCCATGACTTCTGCAGCTGCCAGAAGACAGGTAACGTGCATATCATGTCCACATGCATGCATTACCGGCTTTTCAACACCATCGGCATCAAGCATAGTCACTGAACTAGCATAGGGCAGACCAGTCAGTTCCTTGACTGGAAGTGCATCCATGTCGGCGCGCAGAAGAATTGACTTCCCAACACCGTTTCTGAGAATACCCACGAGGCCATATCCACCAATATTAGTATGAACCTCATAGGCTCCTAGCTTGGATAAATGAGATGCAATTGTTTGAGAAGTGGCTTTCTCTTGCAGCGAGAGCTCGGGGTGAGCATGAAAATGCTTGTATAGCTCTTCATACGACCTCAAATCAATGGCTGCAGTTGACAATATCTCTGAAAAGACTTTTTGAGCCATGCTGTTAACAGATCAATTGTGTTTTGGGAAACTGATGAGGGGAGGCTGCCTACCAGGGCGAGGGGTTAGTTGCTGCCCCAATGGGGCCGGGGCTATGGGGCTATTAGTCAGCTAGTCTTTAGCTCACCTCAGGGGCAGCTGGGCACCGTGCCCCCCCGGCGGACGTCCGGAGGATGGACCTCTGGGGGACTACCTAAACTGACTAATGACTCATTTTCTAGGCTTGCAAAAGTCGAATTTTGGCCCTAGACTAATGATCCATAAAAGTCGAGAATCAGCGAGACGTGAGATGTTTCATCCATGCTTGATGATAATGATGATGAATTCATTTCAATATAGCTCAATTTGTATACACGCTGCTATACGGGATAGCGTCCCAAACTTCCTAGCTTTCACAACAACTAATGGCGGTGCATCCCCAGTATACAGATCCGCCCTGTGGGTCAGTCCTCGCGATGTACATGAAGATTTCATGCAGCCTCGAAGACTTTCTACCTGAAACATAAGGCCGCAAATTGACAGTGCAAACAAGACAAAACATCATGGGGACTCAGAATTCAAGGCTGACATAATAGGTTTCTGGGTCCTACGGAGAAAATTCTGGACCCTGCCGAGCTGTACGCCCATTCCGAGCCCCCATAAGGGGTGGAACCTAAGAAGGAGGCAGAATTCACGGATAATCATCTGGGCCCTACAGAGAAAATTGTGAACCCTTCCGAGCTGGAACCCGGACAAGACAAAATGTAAAGGAAGTCAACCCACGAAGGGTCCAGATCCTGCACCTCCTACGGGCACAGAGTGGTCTCCTTTTCTCTCTCTGCATTTGCACCGGGAATCTCCAATTTACTCATCAACTGCTTCCAATCTCGAGGGCTGCCTTGTATCATTGAGTCCCTGCATCACCAGGATCGCCGGGCCTACCCATCCTGTACACTTTCATCCATGCATGAGGGCTTCTTCCATATTCTATCGGTACCTAGGCAGTTTGTACTGGACCATATCAATGACTTACTATTGCAGTATACTACTCTTTCGTGTAAATATTTTGAGCAACGCATCACGGCATTTTATCTCAGCTGGGTAGTCAACCTTGGGACCTGCCATGTGGGATATTATTGAGATCCCTCTTGGTGGCTGATCTTTCAGGTATGGTACTGACAGACTGCGCACTTTCTTTGCTAGGGCATTATGGGCCACTTTGTGAGGGAGCAAGGTTTGAGGCGACCTCTATTGAAGCTTCTACTTGATCGTCTTCGCCAATTGGTTGTTTTACGACTTGGGTAGCTGCAGCCTGTCCAGCTACCTGTGGAAAGGCCATGCCCACACCGCAAAAGGGTATCTGAAGTAATGAAGCTTGGAGTTAGGAGATATGAACTGCTAGATGCGAAGGATAAAAGACATAGCCGGACATGCAAAAATGGTGGTAATGATGTGCTGTATTGATATGTATATGATTCGAGTTTAGACTAGAGCCTGCATGGGAAAATCTCAGGACTGGGCGTTTAACGCCAGTCGGTTATATATATCTACATGGAGATGAGAGTTTTAGCGAAATGAAATAACAACTATTCAGTACAAAGTTCCTAAATATATCACCGATGTACGCTTTTAGCTTTTATGAGGCCTCGATCGCGCACAAGGAATGAGATTGATCCAACTTATGGCGAGGGTATCCCCAACTCAGATAGCCAAAAGAATAGCGTATGGAGGGAGTCATTTGATTTTTTAGCTGGTATTGAAGCTTGTATTCGACGGATGGCCAGCGGCCAATGGTATCTCGTCCGCAATAGGGTGCCATCGCCTTGAGATTGATACTGGGACGAATTTTATTCTGTATAAAAAATTGCTCGGCACTCGATGCTGCCACCATTTGAAGATGGATTTGGCCGGGAGTTGAAGAAAAAGAACAGATATGAGGCAAAAAATGATGACCGACGCAGGGATCGAACCTGCAATCTCTTGATTCGTAGTCAAGCGCCTTGCCATTGGGCCAGCCGGCCTTGTTGTTGGAGAGAGCCAAAATGTGCTATATGAGGCAAGACTAAAAATTCGTAGTAACTCTCAGAGCGACTGACATACATGCATCAAGGTTCGGGTTGCTTGATGCCTAAAAACGTTTAAAGAGGCATTGTGGCATTAGAGAACTGCCCCACCTAGATCTTGTGGACCTCCCAAGACCCACCTGGGCACTCTGAGGAGGAGGTTGCTAGTTCGTTGGTTTCTTAGTTTTCATGGACCATATATAGTAACTAGTTTATGCTAGCTTCTGGGAATTATAGCTTTTCCTCTTCTTCCTCATTTCCTCGCTCTCATAGTAGCCCCGTCACTATTTATACATGAGCAGTGTGGTCCTAGATATGAAAACATCTCTAGTGTTCCGGTATCCTTTTCCCTCATGGGCGAACCATAAATTAGTGGCTTTCCACTTGAATGAGGATTACTAATGCGCTAAGCACTTGGTCGAGAGGCTGTTGAATGGCGGGCTGATAGTCAACTTGATCATCCGCGCCAACGGCCTCGTCACCAATGTCTCAGCCCTAGCTCAGTCATAAAAATAGCAATTTCAGCTTCTGGGCGAGTGATAGGCTATAGAATAAGTCATTTGTGAGACGTCCTCCACTACGTAGATGTAGCGAGCGGATTAGGTATCTTGTTGCTGCTACTTGATAAATATAGTGTTTGCGCCATGCTGCTAATTATGTAGGCAAATGCCGTCCAATATAATTTCCGTATTTACCGATGCGTTGGTTGAAAATGGCGGGTCTATGTTAGGCTTTGATTCGGTTGCTGGCTCCCTCCTCCATGGTTCGCCACATGCCTATGCACAGCTCTTAGGATGGGTGTCTCGATTCATTGGAGGTCACCCGCGTCTATCATAAAGGAAGGTGCATCTGAACTATCGGGGTTGGCTTCAGGTCGCATGGAAGGTGCCATATTCACATACCTAGTTGGCATTGAGGCGCGTTATCGAAGGGGTGTGCCACCAGAGATGTAAACTCGTGAGGATGGCATGTATAATGTTGAGGTTGGCGGGTACTATCATATCGGATGTTGGTAAGGCCGAGGGCTAGGGACTAGCCGCGTGCTTATACTGGCTAGAACGTAGGACCTTTGAGCTATATTCCATATATCGTGATATTCTGAAGATGAAAAGCGTTAGTCTAAGAAATATTGCACAGAAATTGTTCATATAATATAACAGCGATTTTAAATCCACTCCGAAGCTATCAGACTAGTATTAGACTTTCAATTCCATTCACAGATATAGTAAGGACTGTAGTGATAGAGAGTGCACACAAATTATTCGCTTTTCATTCAAACCAAGGTCATTATTAATGTGGGTGAATTAGCCCCACGATTACCAAAACGCAAACTAAATGACTTCTCCCTGACGAAATATCACACTAAATAACAATTAAGCATACTAAAGGAGCGGTGCAGCAACAGCCCACAAGAGACCCAACAAGCCAACGTGCGGAATCTCCTTCAACTTTGCGCCGTTGAAGTCAGTAGGAGAGGAGGTCGGATTGGGTGAGCCTGCAGGGCTTCCGGAAATGGAGCCGGATGAGCCATCAGCACCATCTCCAAATGTGCTATCAGGTGGGTCTCTGTCACCAGATGGGTCTCCACCATCAAATCCTGTTCCCTGAGTGCTTGATGCGGTCAGGATTGAACCGGGTACAGATGTGACGATGTACGACCCAGAGACTGATTTTGTCACCATTGATCCGGGAACTGAGGTTGTCAAAAATGAACCAGAAGCCGAGCCTGTGATCACTCCGCCAGAGCGAGTCGACTGACTTGGGCTGAAACTTTCATCAGTCTCGGTACTGATCGCAGTACTAGCATCGGCGCTAGTTTCAGTAGTAGCATCGGCGCTGGTCTCGGTAGTGGCACCGGCGCTGGTCTCAGTAGTGGCAACGGCGCTGGTCTCAGTAGTGGCACCGGCGCTGGTCTCAGTAGTAGCATCGGCGCTGGTCTCGGTGCTGGTCTCGCTACTGGTTTCAGTACTAGTCTCGGGCTGTTCGGTGGACTTAGAACTGGGCGGCTCAGTGCTTGTGGCTTGGGCATTTGTAGCCTCGGTCCTAGTAGGTTGCGTACTAGTTGCTGTGGCTCCTGTTGATGCCGCTGTGCTAGTAGCGGTTGTGACATCGCTGGTCTGAGTGTGTGCCGCTGTAGTTGAAGTACCAGTCCTGGTAGCAGTTGGTTCTGTCGTAGATGTCACAATATCGGAGCAGTAGTTCAGCCACTGTGTGAAAGTTGGCAGCAAAGTTTCCGAGAATTGATTAGGGTCAGCGTCGGGATCAGCATTAAGATTGATGCATTTCTCGCAAATATCCAGGTTCTCCATAAATTCTGAGTCACTCTCGCAAATCTCGGGTGTCTTTCCAACCTCTTGTGGCTCATAGGCAGCGGCTTGACAGTCATTCCAACACGCGGGGGGAATATTTGTGATGTCGATGTCAGCTCTCTTTGTCTTCTGGCCGGGCACGAAGTCCCATAGGGAGCTATCACGTATGTGGCTCGAATGTGAATGCCCCAAGCGCTGGAAAATAGAGTAATCTAGACCAAAGTCCTCTGGATTGAGGTTGAAGTAATTCTTGGATACGTTGTACTTCCAGGTTGGGTGGAAATCCAAAGGTGGCGCCCGAATGCACTCCGAGGGCGCACAAATGTATTCAGGATCGGGAAGACCGGCCTCAACCTTGCAGTCAGAACGATCCCCTTTATGGGGTGGCTTGCAAAGGTACCCCGGTGGACATCCCCAGGTATAGTTCCTCGGCAATGCTGCAGGTGGTGTATAGGTTGGATTGGTGATAAGAGTGGAGCACACAGACCTGGTCACTGTCTTCGTGGCACCGGAACTTCGGGTCACTGTCGTATCAGGCTCGCTGATGGTGGCAGTGATAGTGTCAATATCTGTGATTGGATCAATCACAGTTACTGTACCTCCTGGGTAAGTAATAGTCTCAATGACAGTGCTTGATCCACCGATGATTGTTGTACTTTCAGGACCAGTGATAGTTGTGGTACGGGTTGACCCGGGTATTGTGCTAGTACCGTCCGACAAAGTGATAGTGGTTCCAGGCTCAGTGATTATCGTCGTGATAGTTATTGGAACAGTGATGACAGACTCGGAGCCAGGAACGGTTCTCGTTGTAACGACAGTGGACCCTGGTATAGTGACAATGGAACTTCTGGTGATAGTATCTGTGACAGTTGGTAGAAGATTGCATGAGGTGATGGTAATAGTTTCAGATCCAGATCCAGTTATAGTGGTTACAGAGCCAGGCACAGTGATTGTTGTACCGGAGCCTGGGAGGGTTACGGTTGGCCCACTGATAGTGGTTGGCACCGTCGAGGTTTCTGTAATTGTCATTTCAGAGCCAGGCACAGTGATAGTCGTCCCCGAGCCTGGTATAGTGACGGTTGTTCCAGAGCCTGGTATGGTGATTGTCGTTCCGGGGCCTGGTATAGTGATGGTCGCCCCAGAACCCGGCACAGTGACGGTTGTTTCAGAACCCGGCACAGTGATTGTCGTCCCAGCACCTGGCACAGTGACTGGGACCGTGATAGTAGTTCCAGGACCCGGTACGGTGACGGTCGTTCCGGCACCTGGCACAGTGATTGGAACAGTGATGGTCGTCCCAGAACCCGGCACAGTGATTGTCGTCCCAGCACCTGGCACAGTGACTGGGACCGTGATAGTAGTTTCAGGACCCGGTACGGTGACGGTCGTTCCGGCACCTGGCACAGTGACTGGGACCGTGATGGTAGTTCCAGGACCCGGTACGGTGACGGTCGTTCCGGCACCTGGCACAGTGATTGGAACAGTGATGGTCGTCCCAGCACCTGGCACAGTGACTGGGACCGTGATAGTAGTTCCAGGACCCGGTACGGTGACGGTCGTTCCGGCACCTGGCACAGTGATTGGAACAGTGATGGTCTTTCCAGGATCTGGCACGGTTATAGTGGTTCCTGGACCTGGTATAGTGATGGTCGTCCCAGCACCTGGAACAGTGATTGGGACAGTGATAGTCTTTTCAGGGCCTGGCATGGTTACAGTCGTTCCAGGACCTGGTATAGTGACGGTTGTTCCAGAGCCTGGCACAGTGATGGTTGGCCCACTCACAGTACTCGTCACTGTGCAAGTCTCCGTGACCGTGGCTGTAACAGGTTTGCCTGGATGATGGCCATTGACAGTTACTGTAGTTGACTCGGTGATTGTGATCCCGACCGTCACTGTTACTATGGCTCCAATCCCCCCTCCATAGCCTTCGGCCTGATCATTCCCTGGAGGCACCTCCGGTGGTCTAGTTTGAATGAGACTGCTGTGGCCTGGAGTCACCAGAGCTAACAGAATCGCGAGCAGCGACAGCCATGCGATCGCGTCCTTCATCGTTAGACGTCTGAAGAAGAAATTCTTCGCAAGAAAACGAGCAAGGTAGCCAAGCTCAACAAAGAAACCGAGTCGAGGAATAAGAAATAGAAAGCATGCAATACAACCGCACGGTCCTCGTGAATCAAAGAAAGCCCAATATCGCGAGGCTCAAAGTCGTACTCGGACTGATGGGCGTAAGCTTTGGAAAACCCAATTAACTCGACGAATACCTCGATGTACACAACCCCATCATGAAAAGACGAGTTCTGCACACGGAACTAATGTACTTGCAAGTATCCATCTAGCCCGTTGGAGCCCGTTCAGCCGCAACAATGCTGCCCCTCAACCGATCGACGCTCGTATTTCCCCGCCCATAGGTTCACAGTTGCAGGACGTAATGCATAGCCTTGAGCCACACACGGGAATGATCATAAGAGTCGGGTTGCGATCGCAGTAGGCGAGCTCCGGCCCATGTGTGCATCGCCTCCTCCGGTTGGCTGCTTCGTACTCGCACGGGCATCGCTGGAGAGGTGACAACAAAGAGGAAAAAGAGAGCAGAGAACAAAGCCGCAGCCTCGTTCCCCGTCCGGTCACCTTCGCAATTCACACCCTGCATTAATGCCCCAATATGTAAGCAGTAAATGTAGAATTTCTCAGCATCTTTGCCAATCGTCATGACAGCTCAGTAATGTGCGCGCAACTTTCCCGTTTGAAAAATGCGGTTCCTTTTGGCAACGGCGCTGGCACTGCTGGTCGCGATAGACCTCGCAGCAGGCGAATGTAGTCCTTTTGCGAAGTCTATCAATGTGTCTATGTGCAGCTGGCAAGGACTGCGTGGTGAGCGCTCATTCACTTCTACACTCTCCAGGTAGATGTCCCCTTTACTGACAGATGTAGCCAATATCGTGCGCGATAAGATCTATCTAGACGGAGGGCAGTTATGGTATCAAAAGTATGAAGTACTCCAACCTTGAGGCTGCTTTCCTCTGACAGTCACAGAGGAACCGACGACGGTTGCGTCTCACCCCAGATAGCTAACAGTAGGCTGAATCGAAGTACTTCCTCGCCGCATTTAGATTGCTAACCAGCAACAGATCTGGAAGGCACTGTCTACTACCTTAACCTTGGCACACCCTTTGACAGTAGCTCGGATTTTGTGACTGTTCTTAACAACATGTCGGCTGCCGGCGATGCTGGTAGCAATATCGCCCCGCCCTACAGTGACGGAACGATGTTTTCCAACGACAACGAGTTCTACCTATACGGGTTAGTCTCACATATAGAACGTCGGTTTATCAAGTGACTAACTGTTGGAAAATCTCAGGGGAATGCTTCCTAATACCGCCAAGAACAAGCCTCCGCCTGAGGGTCTGGTACTTTCTTATGCTGCATATCAGTATGGTCCATACAAAAGCTCCTGGGAGTCAGGTTGGAAGCAAGAGTACCTCACCAGTGGAGTCACTCGCTACATTACCAATGGTGCAGCAGCTTCGGCCCCTAGTGAGAACTTGGGCTTCTATTTCAGCGGGATGAGGGCGCCAGATTGGGGCGATTTCACTGTGAATCAGCTGCAGTCTAACACAACAGCGAACACACTTATCACAGTGGACATGTCTGAGCTCCAGGACGGAAAGTGGAAAAATGAGACTCTACCAAGCTATATCCCTGGTCGCTCAAAGGCCGAGTTAGTTTGGGTTCCCGTTTCTGAGTCTGGGGTATTGGTGGCCATCGGCGGAGTGATCAATCCAGCTCAATTCTTCCGCAACGAAGATATAAACTCAACGCGGACGCAAGCAAGCAGAAGGATCAGCCCGACATTCATGGAGACGGTCTCGGTATTTGATGTCAAGACTAAGACTTGGTATCTCCAGAAGACGACGGGTGATATACCTCCGCAATTGACGGATTTCTGCTCAGTCGTTGCGAGCGCAGAGGATGGCTCCTCTCACAATATTTATATTTACGGAGGATATGATGGTATCAAATACACCAATAATCCGTCGGACGATGTGTACATATTGTCCCTACCTTCCTTCAAATGGGTCAGGGCGTATGAGGGGACAAACACACACAGTCGCAGCAGTCATCGATGCTTCAAGGTATACCCTGATCAAATGTTAGTAGTTGGAGGGCAACACGTCGACCCGAGTCACTGCCTAGAGGGAGGCCTCGTCGTCAACTTCAACCTCAACACTTTGGAATTTGAGGATGGCTATGATCCGAAGAAATGGGGCAAGTACAAGGTACCGAATATAGTCACACAAAGTATCGGTGGGGAGTGAGTATCATCTTTCAATATAGGAGAAAAATCAAAATCACTGACTGCGTATATAGCTCTAAAGGAGGTGCAACGACGACTGCCCCATCTTCATGGACAAACAGCTCTCTGGCTAAAATCTTTGATAAGAAATACGACAAGAAGACCGAGACATACTGGCCGTATAACAGCACCAATAGCACTGACAGCACCGGCAATGCCTCCACAGCAGATGATAAGAAGAGTGACGGATTCCCTGGCTGGGCAGGTGGAGTAATCGGTGCGGTTCTCGCCGTGCTCATCATTGCGATTCTTGCTGGACTTTGGTTTTATCGCCGACGTAAACAGCAACGCAAGGCCGCGGAAGCCAAATTCACAGAGGAGGAAACCACCGAACGTCCCACGGAATGGATGTACGGAAGTGGCCCAGTTTCTCCTGGGCCTGGTCCGGTATCAGCGTCTTCTGGCAGGGAGACGTTGCAAACCTCTGCGACCCAGCCATCGACCATGCAGCCGTCGATAACCCAGGCTTCGACACTGCCAGATTCAATTGTCTCACCGGCTACCCCTGGCACAGTTGAGTCGGGAGGAGATGCATTATATGAAATGCATGGTATGTCGACCATCACGTCTCCTCGATCTAACATTGCGTACCGATATTGCTGGATACTGATTTTAACATCTATTTAGATTCATCACCCGTTGAGCTTCCCACACCATTCAACACTTCCTATTTCACCCAACACAAGTCTCCAAAGACAGCTGAAGAATTTGATGCCAAATCCGAGGACAATACCGACCCTAGGCAAGGCTCCTTTTCTCCTGTCTCACCGCAGTCCCCTAGTGAGACAGATTCGGAATTCTCCTATCGCACAGGTCGGCACAGACGGATTTCATCACTGTCATTAACATCGCCAATGTCTATTGATGATGTGGTGAAAGGTCGAACCTCACATTTCCAAGAGTCCTTTGAAAAGACGGAGACGAGACACGAGCGGCACGGCTCTGATGTCTCCCAAGGGAGCGATACATCCGATCTCAAAGGATGGAGATCAGGGAGTGAGACGATTCATGAGAATGAGTAGCATATGATTTGGTAATGTGAATACTTTGTTTTGAATATATCTTTTGAATCTTAGGGCTCGGATGGAACTATGGCCCGTTTTGTTTTAGTTATCAAACTTCCCAATGTCATAATTCATAACAACTAAAATGACTCGCGATGCTAAGATACAAAACCCAAGGCCTACATTCAGGCCGGTATGCTCCGTCGGCCGGAGTTTTGGGAATATTGACCCAGCGTATCTAAAGTCGGATCAGCATAGATATGTGCGCTTGCTTGCGCCAAAGTGGCAAGTGATGCAGGTATCTCAAAATGTTTGTTGATCGCCGCCGCCTGATCTAAAGAATCCGGTTCACAAGGCCAGTTGAGTATATTGACAGTTGCCCGCTCGACAGCTAACTGAGGTATTTGTTGCTCTGGAACTGCTTCCCCTGCAATGATCTGTGAGCTTCAAACCAACAAAAAGTTCATCGCTCATGATACCTTTGTTCAGCTGCTCAGAAACCAGAATCGGCTCACCCTGACCATCGCTTGGAGTCAAATGATGCCCCTTGCCGCGCATATCCCATCTTCGTTTCGATCGTGGCGGCATAGAATCCTTCACAGGCTCTTTTGCGCCCGAGTACTTCCCCCTCGACGCGATTCCGGCACCCCATCTCAATCGAATCTCGTATCCCTCACAAGTGATACCCCGGGAGCTGCACTTTTGACAGGTCGGGCGCACTTCATCGCATTGGATCCGTCTTTTCTTACAAGTCCAGCATCCTTTGAATGATCGATGGCGAAGGTCCTTGTTTTTGACAGTTCGAGACATGACGAGAAACAAATGTGGAAGAAAAATGGAAAATTGAACAGGGGAGGCACAATTTATTCCAATTATCTCATATATAACTCATTTCTAGCGTAATGCTCAGGTGGTATGTGTGTTCTCGATCTCTGATTGGCCGAATAAAGATCTCAGTGAGCGAAATAACGGCCTCCATACTCCTCTAGGGAATGTTTTCCGCCACATTAGCATATCCCGCGAATCCCCTCGCATTCCAGGTAAGTTCGAAATGTATCGCATGATATCCCACAGTTTCTGGTCTTCGAGGGCCGGTCTTCAGGCCGTCGATCGGACTGGTTTACCACGAGCTTGGACGCTTTGGGCAGGTACACGCAGCCACCACTCTCAGCCCACACATTCCACAGCCTCCAAGCCTCCACTGCTGCTCTCACGAAAGTCTCGCAGACGTTGGAAAACTTAATCTTTTATCCGAAACGGTAACCTTTAGGTTTTCCGACCGGGAGGCGATCCGCGCTTGTAAGGTCGCGGAGTAAATGAGGCTTCGCTTATCATCACACTGCTGACTTCAGGCCTTATATTTCAGGCAGCAAGTCCTCGAGCCCACATGGAAGCTTCATGGAAACCTCGAGGACTGATTGTCTCCTACCGGTGGAAGAGATTCCAGCACCCCGCCAGAACGCTCCAAAAGTGGCTCTTTCTTTTGGGCATGATATTCTGATTCTTGCTATTCTGCTATACTCTTTGATTCACAACCGTTGAAGAAAAGAAACTGATCCGATCATTTTATACTGTAATTTTCGGTCATCGCAAGGCACTTGACTTGGTAAAGTATTCGAGCTCGGAGAAATGTGGTCAGTACAGCAGGGGCCATCTACATTCTATTTTAAGATATAGGTCATTGGATAACGTGGAAAAGGATATGGAAAGTGTTGGATATGAAAATAGACTAGACTTACACAACTCATGAAAAACACGAGAGAAACAGTATTATATAAGAACTTTTGGCAAACGAGTACCAGAGAATGGAGCATATTTCAGGGCATCAATGTCAGCCAAAAGAACCAGACAGCTCTGCCATTCGATCATGCAAGCCAGTCCTAGTTCTCATAGGGGCCACCTGAAGCTTTCCCGGTTACGAATTCTTTTCCAACAATTGAAACTCCTCTTTTCTTTGCGTGACATGGGCCTTAAGCCCTGGATGAGCCACATGAGTGTGGGCACGTTGAAACCATGCACCCTCCTCCGGAATCGTGACCGAAAGATCATATTTCATAAGCACATGGCAGAGAAGTATCTTCTGCATGTACGACGCAAAGAATCTCCCGGGGCAGGCTTGGGTACCGTGACCGAAGCTGAAATGGTCTGGAGATGTTGATGTAAAGTTGTAAGATGCCGTGTTTGTAGAAGAATCCTTTTGTTGGCGTAGGTTGAAATATCGGTAGCCATCGAACTTGTCACCATTCGGCCAAATAGAAGCGTCGATCACATCGCACGCGGAGACCATGATTGTAGTTCCTTTTGGTATAATGAGTCCGTCGGGTAACACGACTTCCTCCAGAGCCTTTCTCTGCATCATAACTAATATCAAGAGTCAATGGAAGCCTTCTGGACTGTAGGTGAGTGAGACTTACGAACGGACTCAGGATGCATACGCTGAGCCTCCTTCAGGACGCTGTCCATGAGCACTAGATTTTGCAAAGAGTTCCTGTTAAAGCCCTCTTTCCCAACCTCATTCACAATCTCAGAACGAAGGTCACTTATCAGTTGATCGTTTCCCCAAATCGAGTGCAGAACATGAGTGAAAAACTCGGCTCCTCCGTCGTATGACACCAGGCAGAGGGCAATCAACATGGACGCAAGCTCATCTGACCGGCCTCCGAGCGTTTGATGTAGGAAGCCTAGTGGGCCCTTGGGATCGACTTCTAAGGTTTGCCCATCCAACTTTTCCTTCAAAGGCTCCAAGAGAGTATTGATATGTTTATAAAGGGACTGAAGCTTCCGGCAATTTGGAAGAAAGGGTGCAGCGAAGCGTTTTGCCCATTTTGGGAACGCTCGAAGTTCATAGCCCGCCAGGGCTGATAGTTCGACATACTCCGAGCTCGCATTCACCCACTCGGGGTTCCGATAAAAGTCCTTGTCATTGATAAACGTCCTAGACATTATCTGAGCAAACATTTTCCAGACGGAGTCTTTCAACATAAACTCTTGGCCGTCTGATGAAATTGTCAGCTTCAATGCTACACTAGGCTCAACATAAGAGGCTGTGGAGGGGTACCAGGCGTATCGGTCCAGATCTGACGAAGTGCATAGTCAGATTCTTCATTAAGTGGCTCAACAAATGTCCCTTTCATGAGGTTAGATTCCTAATTGTTCTCTAGGCCATTAAAGACATCACTTGTGAAAGCAAGCCAGGTGAGAAAGGGCTAACCCAAATAGCGATTCAGTGAATTCTTCGTTACAGCGTGTAAAATCTTTTTATCACTTGTCATCGATGCCATTGGCTCAAAGCCATGCACTCCACTGTCGAGTTTCTTCTCTCTTGTCAGCCTTTGCTTTTCTCAGGAGGGTACTTTCCTTACATCGGCGAGGGCCGTGATGAAATCCAGTCGCTTTTCATTGCGGAGCATCTCGACATAGTTATGAGAAAGGATTAAGCGATAGCTACCATCGGTATAGAGAAAAAAGGCATCTCCGTACTACTCAGAAGTAAATTCAAAAATTAGATCAGGGCAATAGATGAAAATTGGAATTTTACTGACCTTCTTCATGCAGGACCTGACAGTGCCAAGGCAGTCATCCCGGAACCGCCGTCGAGCCTTGCCATTACCCAGCTCATACCATCTTCTGCCAATAACTGGCAGTCCAGAGGGATTGTTTAGCTTTGTAGATTTCCACCAGTAACATAGAACCAACAGAACGAGTCCATAGGTGACATAGGGCGAGCTGAAGTCGAAATGTTGGTATTTTGAAATTGCATCTTGCGGATTGAAAACCATTCTGAAGCAATCCATTGCAATCTGAGATGGTTTGAATGTTTAGCCTGCGTACCAGTGACAAAGTGTGCTGTTGAGACCTACGGAAGTGGGGCTCAGAGAGAGGAGAGAGAGTTGTATTCGGAAAGGAGACTGGGCTGACTATCTTCCTATCTGGTGGGGTAATGACTGTCATCACGAGACCCCTGTCTCAAAAGCTGTTCGAGGAGCAGCTGAATAAGTGGCTACACGTCCCGCTGGTCCACCCGGGTGTCTAGATAGGGCTAACGATGCCTGTTAGACTAGGATCAGTCCGACCCTTACCTAGAGAAGGTGCTAACTACGAGTAGTTATAACGCATATGCCGATCACTGATCTTCCTCTATCTATAGCTGGTGGTCTCAAAGTGCGCCCAGCAGTTACTTGCTTCCTTCCTTCTGATTTGGACTACACAAGTTGAAAGGTTTGAGAAAGATACTTGATACTGAAGTTATTGCTGGACAGTTCTATCTTTATTGCAAGAAGTCGAGGGCGGAAATCCTTCCCAATCTACTCCGTACTAGCCCACGGTATAGATCGCACGATTTGGATGGGGTTAAGTTGGTCCTCGGCTCCAATGAGGAGGCAATGCCGAAAGGAAGTCTGTGCAGATATTCGGGCCTTCCGGAGACCTCATAGTTAATTTTGACGCTGATCTTTAGCACTTGTATTGTCTGGAACAGAACGGAGTACTCCGTGCGGTGTGCGAAGCAATGCCCTTGATAATGCGTGCGACGGTGTGGATTGTGATGCACCAGTCGGGGCAAGTTTCAATTTTGTGACGCAATCAGTTATCTGGATTCGTCACTGTTTAATAAAATGTGTAGAGCAATCCATACCCACGTACCTGCATACAACACTTAAAGCGATCTATCACAATTCTAAGGCGATCGCTACCCGTCGGGTGCCTCCGCTTCTTCCCATGCTAGCCCTGCAAGGGTTTACTCTCCTACGCAAGCGTGGAAGAAAACCTGCAGGTGCATACGGAGTACATGCAAATGGTATTGTCAATGTTGTATTTAATTCAGCCCCATACATTGATTTTCCAAGGCATGCGGCATGAACTTGGCTTAGCTGTAGTGGGATTACGAACGCTAATGCAGGGCTATTGCAAACACGGGAGTGGCTTCTTTCTTCATTCTTCCGGGCTTGCGTAGGAGGGTAATTCCACTCTTTCCAAGTACTCCATTACCGGGCCTCATTCTTTTTAATTGCAGATTTTTTCTGGGCTTCAAGAGCACTTGAGGGAAGTGGCAATTGTCGCAGTAGATAGTTCATTTCTCCCTTCAGCAAATCTAGTTCTTTCCACAACCTTCCCCATACATTTTATGGATTGCCTCGTCAGCATACCTAAGTGCTCCTAGGTGACTATAAAAGCTCTCGAGATATACTACAACTACCGGCCCCTTTTCTTCAAACTTTGACTATGGATATTTCTCAGCTTATTGAGTCTATTGACTCGGTCACTGCTTCCGGCAACCTTGAAACTGTCGACCCGCAACAGCGAGCTGAACTTTACGAAGCTTGCAATCGATTGAAGAGCCAATGTGAATCTCCTGTGGACAAGACACTCAAGCTTCTTTACACTGTAACTTTGAAACTCTAGGACATGTTCCTCGCATGGGTGCTAGGCTAACGAACTTCAAGTGCCACCAAGCGATCGCAGTTCGTCTCGCTGTAGATCTTAAGCTCTTCGATGCAATCGCCAAGCGCACCTCTGAATGTGAAGATGGCAAAGTGCGTGTGGGCCAGCTTTCGGAAGATGTGAAGGCAGATCCAAAATTAGTTCGTGAGTTTGTCCCTACCCTGTACTCGAAATCCAGTCTGTTATTAACGAGGAATAGAGAGGATTATGAAGTCGCTTGTACCATTGGATATTCTCAAGCAGCACACCTCCGATACTTTCTCAACCACACGATTTACAGAAGCCTATGTTTCGAGTAGTTGGATGTCCGGAGCAGTGATCTTTTTGTAAGTTTTCCTGTCTTTGCTTTTCGAGTGTCAAAGTACAACTAACATGTCCAGCACTCACTTATTTCTGTTCGTCGCCCGGCTTCCCGAGTATTTCAAGGAGAAAGGATGGAAAAACCCAGATGATATCGAGGACTCACCATTCAACTTCGTACTCGGGTCCAAGCGTGGATATTTCGATTACATGTCCTCGAATCCCTATTACGACAATGCCTTCCACGCAGTCATGGCCTCGCCCTACCGTCGCGACGAGAAAAGCTGGATGGATTTCTACCCAGTTGAGGAAAAGCTACGCGTGCAGAGTGCTTCCGACGTTGTTCTTGTGGACGTCGGAGGCGGTCGGGGTAAGGATCTCCAGATCTTCCGCGAGCGCTTCCCTGATTTGAAGGGAAGGCTTGTTCTCCAGGACTTGTCACATGTGGCCGAGGCCGCGGATACCTCGTCTCAAATCGAGACCCAAGCTCATAACTTCTTCGATGAACAGCCTGTCAAAGGCGCAAAGGCGTATTACCTTCGCACTGTTCTCCACGACTGGCCAGACAAGCAGGCCGTGGAGATTCTATCCAGGCTTCGTGAAGCCATGGGTCCCGACTCTTTGGTCTTGATTCACGAGAAGGCTATGCCGGAAACTAATATCCCATGGATGGCTGCGATCGGTGATATGACTATGATGACTGCTTTCTCGGCAAGGGAACGAACCAAGAATGAGTGGGAGACTCTATTGAACCTGGCTAAACTGAAGCTTACTGGGTTTTGGAAACCCGATGGGACTTCTGATCAGCAACAGGTTATCATAGAGGGTAGAGTCCATTCGTGTGAGAATTGTTAGCCTGGCGGTTTGAAAATATACTTGACTTTGGAGATCCGAACATATGCATGGTAAATCCCTTATCCGCAAGACCTAATCTTACGGCAGATAATCTTTGGCAGACTAGAGCATAGGCTGTAGCCCCCGTTGCTTAAAGGTGCAAATGAGAGCTCATGCCCTCACAACCAAGCCTGCGACAAGGATGTCCAGATCCCTGTTTCAATCAAGTGACTGGTAGTCTGGAAAGATCAGTCATGTACTTAGAAGAACAGACAAAATATCGAAAATCTGATCCTATATATACCAATCCAACATCAGCATAGCGTGTTGCTTGATGGGCACAGCGAGAGAATGCTTCTTTTATCCCAACCGCAGAGCAGAAAATTAGTTCTAAATGATTCTGATTGATGTCTGAGGCTTCAACGGGCTGTTCAATTGTGCTTCTTCCCAGCCAACCGGAATATGTGACCACTGTGTCTTTTATTACCCCTAGTTTCTAGCAAGCTTTAACTAACCAACTAACTATGGGGTTTACAGTCGACTGAAGACAAGACATAAACAATACACACCTGGGAGCGTAGTGGAGCATTCTCAGTAATTTACCTTGAGAAAGACTTCTCAGGTAACTATCTACTGTATTTCAGCTTCGATAATGCCTTTGTTGTACCCATGAGGCAGCCAGAAGTTCGTGATAGTTAATCCGACTGACTGTAGCAGCTCGGTCCATCGGTGACGAGTCCGCTCGATTCCTGGACACCATACCATGACCACCATATCGATCAAAGTCTCCTTGACCCCGGCATTTTGATCGGGAACGACGTAATCTTCGATCAAGATTTTGGAATATCCCTTCTCCATAGCAGCGATAGTGTGTTTCAAAATTATCCTGCAGTTATCATCGGACCAATCGTGCATAATGTGCTTGAAATAGTATGCACGAGCACCTATAATATCTGTTAGACAATGGGGGAAGAGAGTAAATGGGAGAATGACAGACCTTTGATTGGTTGCGGGTCGAAAAAGTCATGTTTGACTCTCAAAATATCACTGTCAAGGTTTTGAATATCCTCGATCACCGACGGCAAATCCTCAAGTACAAGCCTTTTAGCCTCCAATGGGAACTTTTCCTTGAATTCGAGGAGCTCATGACCACGATTCCCGCCAACATCAACAAGCAGAGGATGGTCAGCCGATGCTCCATCTAGTAACTGCTCCTGAACGGGGAACCAGTTAGCCCAGTGAGAGATCTCGTCTCGGGAGCCCTCCATGAAAGTGTTAAAGCGGTCCAGTGCCCCTGGGTTCTTAGCTAGCCAGTCCCAGCAGGAACCAGTTGTGTTGTAGGCATGTTGAAATGGACCATCCTTGGGATCCCCAGGATTTCTGTAGTCAGACTTTTGAAAGTACTCTGGTGTTTTCTGAATGATGGGTAAAAAGTCGACGAACCTAAATTGATTGTTAGATCAGAACCGGCCAGTCGTTGCGAAAGCTGAACAACTAAGGAGGACACCTACAGTGAGTCCATTGTCCCAATCGATTTCCTCTCCGTCATTTGCCTTGACAAGGCAGTAGGCTCATATTGGCCGGGATCCACTTCACTGGCGAAGCCATTGCAAACAAGAACACGCATGATGCGTTCTACCAACACGCGGTCAGCATGTGCAAGAAGGTCTATGTGGATATGGATAATACCTACCAACGAGCTGAATGTCCGCATTCTTCTGCACAGCCAGTTCTTTACACGTGGCAAAAGAAGTCGTTTGGGATAAAACAGTGAAAACACCTAGGTCATTGGCGGTTTTCACGGCCATCAGCACACCAGGCTTGTGGTACCAATCATCAGTACTCAAGTAGCCAGATTGCCAATAACTGGGTCATACCGAAGCGAACAACTTGTAAATCGCATCCGCGGGATTTTCCAGAGCTCTTACGAGACTTGTAGCGTTCTGAAGGGCATCGCGCCGCGCTATTTCAGTCTTGGCTGCTTTGTACGCATCGATTGAGGCCACGACCTTCGTGGTCAGACTGGAAATAATCGCGAACTCCTCGGTCGTCATGCTGGATATGCGTATTATGATCAGAGATGCTTGTAGCAGCCAATTCGTGATTGTATCTGTATCAAAGAATGTGAAGGGGCTTTTTAGCGGTTTGGCGGAGTTGAGGTTCTATTTATCTCTATTCATCTGCCTCTTTCCACGACTTCTAGTGTTTCCACTTAACATAAAATCAGGTGGGTGCAGCATCGACCAGAGAGTCTTAGTATCCTGATATCTGTTTATTAATTTAATATCATCGATTTGCCTTTCTCAAATTCCTCGCCTAAATACTACAGCGTACATAACTTAAAACAATAGTCGACGTACTCTAAGACTAGTCGGGATAATCAATTCCCGGAAAAACACATTAGATCATACGTTATGTCTGATCCTAGATAATACTCCATAGACTACGGAGTACTCCATACATAGAAATAGAAAAATTCTTCGACCCACGCATATGTAGCATTGGCATAGTATGACGTATAAATCGTCTACGGAGTAGATAGAGAGGAGAAACTGAGGTGTCTAATTAGAAATGGCGGTCTACAAAAATCAATTTGGTTATGCTTAATGATTCTGCTCGCGCATTGACTGCACATAGAGGGGTACATCCTCTCAAGGCGGTGGCTGGCTGAAATTGGGGAGATCAGCATCAGCTGGGCCCACCTACGAGATCTAGGTACACTCTCTTGTGAATTCGGAGGGAAATCGCGAGAACCGCATATTTTAGCGGCCTGTACTCTAATTGCCACGTTGTATATGTATTATCGATGGTAGATAGCAATTGCTATTGTAGAATACTGTATAAGTTACTGTAATTTTGATCTGAACTTGAGGCGTAGGCTAATGCAAGACGGGCGTTTCCCTCGGAGTTGGCAAGAGAGTGTAGGTCCAAGCTGAGACTTAAACCAGTCGCCTATGGGACAAGAAAATACACCGTATATGCAAAAGGAACTAGGTTCAAGGCGCGATAGTCGCGAAATTCATTCACGACAAGCTCCATATGTGCTCCGTACGAAGTCCACTTACTCGGTCTCTATCATACATCATACGGAGTACACGTATCTCCACGATGCGTCTTTAGTGTCAAAGCCACCCACGGTGTCCTGTTGATTGGCTTCTTAGTATGGAGTATACCGTATGGTGCGAAGGTGTATAGCGGCCAGTGTTCAGTTTCAATTAAAATCCGAGTTTCGGCCTGATTTCTGCTTTAGTGCCTGATTTAAGTCCAGCAAAAAATTAATATACCTGAATTACCATTACAGTGTAGCTATTCCTAGGTAGGCATCAATGTAGGTGCCCTCTCATTCTTCTTCTCTCCTTCATATATCTTCCCTTACTTACCTTTATCACTACTGTTAATCTTTCATCGGCCCTACTTTGTACTCCTGTCGAGGTAAAGCTCTATCACCGAGTCTGATCCCGTAAAGGGAAGAGAAAACGACCGGTCGCCGAAGAAAAGGGGTAGTAATATTTCCCTCGGCAGAATCGATACCGCCTGTCCCTCGTAATTCAACTTCGAAGGGAAAATCCATTTCTTTATCATCATTAATCAATTAATTTTAAATCAAATATACTCGTCCTTCAGCGAAAGCTACTCCTCGGAGGAAAATAGACTAGGGAGGGCGTGAAATTCCGACGGATTTAGATTCGCCAGATTCCCTATTGTTAGGTCGGAACGGCTTCAACGCCTGAGGAAAAGATAAATTAAAAATTTGTATGGTGTGAATACCTTCAATTTTAGGTTAAAGGGGCTATCATAGCTTCATTTACAATACACCGTATAGAGCGGTAGCGAAAGCGGTCTGAAATCAGGCATTATTCAGGCATTATCCAGGCATTCTCAGGCAGCAATGCATATTTTAATTGAAACTGAACACTGGCCGCTATACACCTTCGCAGTATGGATTCTTCCATCTGCCTGACTAGGCGCATAAATGCCCAGGTGGGTATTCCGTACTCCGTACTTAAGAATGTTTCAATAAATTGGGTTTTTATGCGCGATGTATACCTAATCTAAAAATAAAAGATTATTTGGAGATGCCCAGGTGAGATACTGTAGCGTCTCTGAAGCTGACCTGAATGTTACGTTAGCTAGATATCCCATCAAAATGGCTAATGGAGATACTCCCGCTCCGTGATCGGCTCTGAGTGCAGCACAGAACCGGACTTGACCTGCAGCGACAGGAGCTGCTCATACAATATACGCATCGGGACAGTTATCTACTAGTCTCTCCGCTGCATCCTCAAGCGGGGACTTTATGCTCCGTACTCCGTAGGCGGATTTTCCATTCTAACATGCACAATCGGCTGAGATGCGGGTCACTCCTCTTCTGGCTCTTGTCTTCGTCATCGCACTGATCGTCAATGGGTACGCCATCGCCGGGCATCATCCGCCGCTCTAGGACGGCTCTCAAAGTTCCGAGAATAGCGAGGAAGTGCTTGAATGGTTTCGCGACAGCCGAATTGCAAACACGCGAACCGGCCAGTCCGCAGGCCAAATTCCCAGCCATGGGCACTAACGTCGCGAGAACGAAGCTGTCGCTCCGACCAAAATTATCACCGAGCCTTGCAGTCAACGGCTGTGTTGCTTCTGGGCCGATGACATCCAGCTTACGGCCGAGGAGCAGTGCCATCCATCACTTGATTAGACGTAATTTGATTGATGTTGTTTGATTGATGATGATCCCGAGAAAGCTCACTATGCCCTTTTTCGTCCCAGCTATTGCTAAAGATTAACACCGGCAGAAACCCAGGGAGCGCACGTAATTCCCGGAATTTCTTGAATACGATGTGCCTTCTTATATTCTATAAACTCCCCAGAGCCATCCTCGGTCACCTGAAAGACCTTTGTATCGATATGAAGCCACAATTCGTCAAAAGCAGTCAATCGTAGCTCAATGCTACCCTCCACCATATTAAGATCCAAATCGATTTTAAGCCCGCGGTTGGCGTATCCGTGCAAGGTACCCAGGTTCATCTTATACACTTCAAGAGTGACTTCTATCTCTTGAGTCGTCGTATGTAAAGATCCGGACACCTGTTTCGAAATCACCAAGTCAGCATACGCATTGGAAAGCCAAGTTGATTCTGTGGCTTACGGCAAATATACCCGCAGCCAAAGCGAAAGGCATTCGATCCTTGCTCCTGTAACCACATAAGGTTGAGTTCTCAACCTGGTCTATCTTGTAGACACCATGCTCGGTCTCAGATCGCTGCACTAGAAGAGCTTTATATTGTAAGCTGAATTGAAGAGAGAAAGAATGGATGGGTCCGCCTACCATTATGGAACATGATGAGGGGGTGAGAAGAGGGAACATCCGATTTCCTCTGCGCCATCCATTTAGCTCTATTTATAGCTTGGAGTGGTCCAGCAGCAGTCTTGCATTATGTTGAGGCATGGATGCCTCAGGCCGACAGCACCCATCCTGTATGTTATAGATAGGACTTCCCTCTCCCCCCCACTCTCTCTCTCTCTTCTTTTCTTCAAGTCTTCTTCTTTTCTAGCTAGATCGATCACACACATAGTTTGATTCCCAACTATGTATCAAACTAGCTGTCCTAGACATTATCATGCTTTACGATCCATTCCTTTCGCTTATTAAATATTTCGAGCACATTTCTAGCTGAATGTTTACAGCAATCAGAAAATTTAGCTGCATTTTGTCCCATGCCTCACTCTCTCCGCTATACGGAGTACGTTGATTCATTCCTTTGCTTCGTCGTGTGATTGGTCGACTAGCGTGGGGACCTCACTACCTGTAGGGCTTCAACCCATTTCTTCTTTTCTCCATGGAGATCTTTGATATTCTGAGTCGGACGCACTCTTCACATGACTCAAGACTTTGACCATGACAAATCATACATGTCTTCTCAGTATGAGACACTCTCCGTTTTGCAGGACATTTGTAATATTAAGAGAACGTGAGTGGTGGATGTGGACTTCAGCCTGGCCTATAATTCTCTTTGGCACCCCAAATGGTTTGCTATCGACTGATTTGTCGCGTGAAGTGAGAACACTAACGATCGGGGGAGCTAGACGAGACCATACTGTATGGAACCAGTCTGCCGAGGGCTACCGCCCTCAGGCTTGAGGAGGGGGCAGGAGATCGGGCGAGGGCAGGACTTGTGGCGATTTTACATAGCTCTGCGGAGATGCACTCGCTCGCCTGTTTCCTTCCCCGTCTTTAGTATTCCCGTTGAGATGCACTCTTTGTTGTCCTTATTCCAAAGGATTGGCTCGTAACATGATTCACGTGGTTGAGGGGAGTACCTAGCCCATGTTAGGTCATCCTAGCCTAGTCAAACTAATTCCTTCTTCTGTTTTCTTTATTTCGTCCATTTAAAAGTGTCATAGTTCATTTTCCATGCGTCAGCGACAAAATATTGAAGAAAAAGAAACACAGAAAAGCACAAAAACGTCATAACCACCCTTAATACAAGTGTATTAACAACCCTGACGACGTAATTGGTCCAACTCATTCGAATGCAATAGATACATCAAAAAGCAGCAGAAGGGCTGAAGATCTACTATTTAGTTCCTCCGTAAATATGCATTAAATATCCTCAGGATGCATGAGGCCCATATGAAACTAGTCGCTGACGGCGACTAGATCAGCTCAAACTAGTGGACCCACCATACAAAATTCCTGCACCGTCCCTAAAGTTGGTGTATATTCTGGAATGGATTTCGAACTGATTACGGAGTATCCCTTACTCCGTATTGCTTAACATATTTTAAAATGAAGGGTGATATATAGTAGGCGGCAAACTAGAGAAACGATGAGTTTGACAGGACGATATCCAATTAAGATCGACTGACTCCACGCAGGTTGCGGAGCTAGCCTAACTAGGCCTGATATACGGAGTATGGAGTAGATTAATAACATCCACCTGAGCCTGCCTTGGCGATTTCCCCACGGATATGCTTATACTTGTACGCCCTCACACAGGGAAGGAGTACTACCATATATCTCGATACTACTTGTTGCTTGCCCAGAACGTATTGTTCATGACTTGGTATTCTTGCTCCTCGAAATATGCCACAGGCATGTCATTCAAACGTGGAGGGCAATAAAGGCCGCGACTGTATATGCATGACGATGCACATGAGCCGATGGCGCAGCTGAATCCGTCACTACCCCTTGTAACCGTTGGATGGTGTCCACGATGATGATGTCAAAGGTTTGCCAACGAATATTTTCATCTTTCCAATGATTCGCTACCGAATATATCCCCGCAAATACGCATGAATAAAAAGTCGCACAACATAGCCCCCCTCTTCCCAACATGGTGCTAAACGCAGTCCGGCATGCATATGACCTCTTTGTTTGCAGCGCGATTTTTGTGTTTCCCCGACGCCATTATCTGAGGATCATGCGTTGTCGAATATCAACTCTTACCTATAAAAATTTCCTGGTTCCTCGCTATGCAACGGCAATTTAATTCACATTGAAAGGAAGGAAAGGACATATCGACAGACCTACCGAATAAACAACCGGACAAAATGCTGGACCAGAAGAACATACAGGGAGATATTTGGTACGTCAAACACCCTCCTCCCCTTCTCCCCAAATGGTCACTATATGCCCATTGGTAGGTTACGGGTTGATTTTTAAACTGACGAAATTAGGCCTCGTCTGCCCAAGAAGGCCGAAAGATTTGTGTTCTTTCGAATTAGCAATGAGCAAGAGTTCAAGAAAGGCCTGCCAATGATGGCTGACTTTCTTACTACGGCCTATGCTGCTTCCCAGAACCGTGACGATATCTACAGAAAGAAAGCGGATGGTACTCTCAAGGGTATCATCCATTTAGTCTCGATCAATATTGCATTCTCCTCTATTGGCCTGGCTAAGGTGAGAACTGAATAAATGGCTATGCAAGAGATACACCTGCTTATTCTGAATAGCTGAAAGCAGACAAGCTCAACGATGATGTCTTCAACGGTGGTCAGTTTAAAGACATGACTGCCCCGTCGGAGGGTGAGACCGCCGAAGACCACCAAGGCCTTGATTCCCAGGAGGAATGGGTTCCTGAGTTTAAGCCCAGCAGTGGTGGCATCGACGGTGTCCTCGTCGTGGCTGGTGACAGTCTCGAGAGCATTGATAAATCCATCCAGAAGACATTCGATTGGGTTTTCAACGTTGGAAATGACAAGCAGAGTATTGAAAAGGTCTACACCAAGACAGGCGTAGTCTTCGACAATCATGTTGAACAGTCAGTCGTGCCAAATCCCGCTTGAATATAGGCATCAATACTGACAGTCATGGTCCCAGCTTTGGATGGGTGGACGGTATTAGCCAGCCCGTTGTCAAAGGCTTTGACGATATTTCAAAGAAGAGTGGTGATAAGGGAATGACGCCGATCGATCCCGGGTATATTATCCTCCAATCCTGTTGCATTGTTTGCCCAATCTCACTCAATGATGTCTCAGAATTATCATTGTCGGAAACGAGGGCGATGAGAGCAACCATCCCGAATGGGCCAAAGATGGCAGCTTCATGGTCTTCCGTATCTACGAGCAGCTGGTCCCCGAATTCTATCAGTAAGTCGTGCTATGAGAAGATCGCTATCCGCATACTTGCTCTTAGCAAACTAACCATTCATATTCAGTTGGTGTGCTATGAATACCCCTACCGGTGCCAAAGAGACGAAAGAGGCACTGCAACAGGGAACAGCAGTCAAATGGTCTGACAAGACATTTGATGAAATGGGTTTATTCTCCTCGCGATTGGTGGGTCGTTGGCCTCACGGTTAGTACCTCGACGAAAGGATCATTTCCTGCTCTTAATCACCCATTCAAGATACTAATATTGTACGGCATACTAGGTGCTCCAATGGAGCTCCACCCCAAGGAGGATCCGAACAACGGCCTTCACCAAGACAAGGACCCGAAAGAAAACCAGAGAATTGTCGCACAGAATTTGGGGCAAGAGGGATTAGACCGGTTGAAGACTCTGGACCTTCAGAATAATACGGATGATTTCAACTACAGCGCCATGGACCAGACCAAGTGCCCTTACGCCTCTCATATGCGCAAGACTGGCCCTCGGAATGATCATCCCAATTACGCCAAGCATCTCATGATGCGCCGGGGAATTCCTTATGGAGAATGGTGCGGAGATGACGAAAGGAGCCGTGGTACTACAGAACATGAGCGTGGCCTTCTGTTCGTCAGCTATCAGAGCAGCATCGACAATGGGTTCCGTACGCAGCAAAAACGTATGTGATTCCCGTTATTATTAACCGCTGTATTTTCTAACGTCCAGCAGGGTGGGCCAATACTACCGATGGCCCAACAGACATGGCGAAGTACAATGGAGGTAACAGTCAGGGAATTGACCCTATCATCGGTCAAGTTCACCCAAGTCGGCTTGCCAAGTCTACGGGTGATCGGATCAATTCCAAATACCAGGACCCTGCTCCTCAACTTCACTTCCCTGACACGGTCTATGGGGAGGTTGCTCCTCAGGTCTACGACAAAGCAGTTGATCTGGCCCGGTTATGTATTCCTCATGGTGGGGAGTACTTCTTTTCTCCCTCGATTTCGGCTTTGAAGGAATACTTCCCTAGTGTGTAGGGTCACCATGAACATGATTTCGGTTACATAGATTTCAATACTGCTTTCAACCTATCTCTTGCACAAAATTCATATAACAAAAGCTCTCGTCTGATGTACTCGAGTAGATAGATTACTTAAACATACTGGATAAGAGAGTAGTACTCCGTGTCAGACTACAATCTATATATATTCATACAGTACAAGGGCCGATCTATTCTTTGAAATCTTTGGTGTGGTGTCCCTTCCCGTTAGGGCAAGGGCAAGGCCAAGATGTCCTTCCCTCGGACAACTAGTTCGATAACCAGTTTAGGAAGAAACCATGTGCGATTGAAGTAGTTAACAAAGAACAGAGCGGGAGGCAAAAGAAAGAGAGAGAGGGAAAGAGAGAGAGGGAAAGAGAGAGACGGACTGGATGAGTGTCCATGCCTCAACACCTTCGCCCATCTAGATACTTAGCTCTCTTTCGCTCTTGTTTCCTTCTTCTCTTTCAAGCAACCACAAACCAAGCACAATACGAATACCTGGTTGAGAGCTTCGTTCTCAAAGAGAACGTATGCTTCAGCCTGTAGACTGAAGGGATGTATTGTAATCCTACGGTAGATTCCGGTTCCTTTCCCGGCAACTGATTGGTAACAGGAATGTCTGTAACAGGAAAGCATCCATGGATACTCGTCAGGGCTAAGCTTGATAACCAACGGAGGACCTAGTCAACGCTGATTATGCGATTTACGACCGTAATTATTCCATATTGAAAGACAATAGCAAACGGGGCTGGACGAACGGAAGCAGCACAGGTTGGCCTCGAGGGATCTGACGAGTCGCTCCAGGGATAACGGGGCGATGAAGCTCGGTGATCCACGTCAATGACAAAATACAGGCTCACCTGCAGAGCACGAACAAGCATGAGGAAAAGAAAAGCAGGCAAAATACTCCGTACACGCGGGTGGAGTGTCTAGAACCACACATGGGACGCAGAAAGGCAAAGAGCGCTAGACCGCAAGTAGACAAATCAGACTAAATGCAATGAATTGCATTTAGTCGATGATCCTGACCCACACTTGTACATACATGTACTGTGCCAGGTACATGTATGTAGTACGTGTCCGATATGTAGGTATTCCGATAGTATCTTCAGCCGGTCCACTTTGTCCGGTAAAATGTCGGTGTGCTGCTATGCACCACCCGCATTTCTTTATGCAGGTCAGAAAGCCTTCAGAATTGTTTTTGAAAATATTACGGAGTACTCCGTAATGTGCTCTAATTGCTTGGCGCCCATCGAGTTGGGGAGACCAGATGCATCTAGGACGATGGGATGGTTATAATATCTCTTGTGGCGCAACAACGCCGGAAAGCAGCGTCTGGATCTGACAGAGTTCTGCTGAGTCTTTGCATATCAGGATGTCTTCCAATCAATCAGGCATTCCATTGAAAATAACCGTCATCGGCGCGGGTATGGCCGGTCTCTCGTCAACAATAGCACTCTCCGACATAAACCCCGACCACCAGATTACCGTCCTAGAATCCAACGCTTCCCTCAGCGAGCTCGGCGCTGGACTGCAACTCTTTCCAAACAGCACCCGCCTCCTACACAAATGGGGCCTAGGCCCATCCCTGGAAAAAGTTGCCTTTCAATCCTCCCACTTATCCGTGCGCCGCTGGGAAGATAATACCGAACTGGCCTTCAACATGAACAACCCTACTAGCACATGGCTCTACGGCTGGCCTCAATTGCAGATTTACCGACCAGACCTGCAGCAAGCGCTCTTCGAGCGAGTGAAACAGCTTCCCAACGTGTCCGTTTTATTTGGCAAGTCCATTGCATCCGTGGACCACGCGACTGGCACTATCCATACGACAGACGGTGAGGTCTTCGAGGGAGATCTCACGGTCGCAGCAGATGGGATTTGGTCCCGGGCCAGGCGATGCTTGCCGGCGTCGAAGGACGTGGCCCCCACTCCGTATCGGGAACATAACTACCGCGCTGTGATTCCGCGGTCACGAATGCTCTCTAACCCCATCACTGCGCCATTTATGGCTTCCCCAGAGGCGAAGTCATGGGTAGGGCCCAATGCGTTTGTCTTGGGGTATACGGTCGCCTCGAGCCAGTTGTATAATCTTGTTATCGGTGTTCCGCGACCCAGCGAAGGGATACCTGTCGGGTCGTGGAATCACCCTGCCAACCTTGAGACGATGCGCGGGCTTGTATCGGAATGGTGCGAGGAGGTGCAAGCGTTGGCTTCTCTCGTGCAAGAGGGGGAATGCGTTTCCTGGACCTTGGGTGAGGTCGCTCCTATTCCAAGCTACGTGAGTACATCTGGAAGAGTAGCGCTGGTTGGAGACGCAGCACATGCTCTTCTTCCTCATGCTGCACAGGGGGCGGGAATGGCGATGGAGGATGCCGCGAGTCTGGCGGAGTTCGTGGGATCTTTGAGGTCGACGGAAGATTTGCCGAGGGTGATGAGTGCGTGGAGCCGGTTTAGACAGGCTCGCGTAGACCATTTGCGTAGCATCAGCCGTGGCAATGCTGTTGATATGACTCTTCCAGATGGCGAAGCTCAGATCGCGCGAGATGTGAAGTGGAAAGCTATACGCGATATGCAGCGGGCGCAGCTAGCCGAGCTTGGACTTGAGAAGGTCAGAGAGAAGGTAATCAGCGAGAGGCCGGCGCCTGATCCAGCTTGTAAAAGCACGTTTGAGCCCGGTGGTCGAATGTGGGTCAATGGGTATGATGTGAGTGAGGAGAGTCGGAAGTTCTGTCGTGAACATTTGGGACCTGAATGATAGATTAGACGATGAGGACTGCATGTTATGACCATTTCCAGGCATATGACTTCCAGTCATGCTCTTCCCTTCTGGAAGCGCCGGACTCAGTCACTGACCTACTGTATAATCTTGAAATAATAAGGGCTTTTGACTGGAGACACTGAGACTGGTACGAAATAAAAGGTTGTCTGTGATTGCCGATCTGACAATCAATCGCAAAGTCCAAATTACATACTATAGTGTTACCGTTAAGTGAAACATAAATCATAGACAGGCTATCAATCGAAGTCGAGGGTCGAGAGGAACTTCTGTACCAACTCAGTTGCGTTCTTTTCCCTTCAGTTCATATCTTAGGTAGGTAGTCAAGGTTTGTACAGCTCTGGAGAGAACTTTCCCCAGAAACATAAATAATCCACTTACCTAGAGAATGAAGCCGCCGATCAGTTTTGACCGACTTATTTCTTTTGACAGAGGATTATTCTCACCTGTTCCGGAAACATAGTGTTTCTGGCTGTGACTAAAAAATTTATTTCAAATAAAACCATATGTAGAAAATGGCAGTTAGTGTCTTGTAAATCCAATAGTACCTGCGCACTTCATAAAATAGCAGGAGAGTGCTCAGCCATTTTCGCCCCGGAAAATGATCGGCAGTTCAAGAATGCCAAGCCTGGCTATGACGATTGGTGTGTGGATCCTTTTCAGCCTTTGCGGGTTCGGCCCGCTCGACCTCCCGAGAGCCAATTGGGCTGAGACTCAAATTATTATTAGCTCCCCTCAGTTTTGTGGGTCCAAGATGGGCGAGATTACTCCGAGGCCGTGTCTTTCGAGAATGTTGTTATTCACATCGATATAAGTGGGAGATTGGCGTCTTTACTCGCAGGTGTGTAGTAAGTCTTATCTTTTCAAGTGGTTTCGGATACTGGCTTGCGGTTTGATCTCATGTGAATCCAAAAATCTTTGATTTCGTGTTGATATACGGCGTAACAAGGTGTAAAGTCTTGTTTATGTTCCATTGATCTTGGCTATCTCGGAAGTACAATGTATTTGCATGAATTCATCTTCTATGAGCTATCCACTACACTTTCTGCTCTGTACATGCTCATTTCGGTGATGCTTTCACACCAACAACTCGGCCTGCTCCTTGACTGTTTTCATCGCAGCCATCCACAACCCCGGTCCAATGCTCACTCTTGCCACTCCCAACTGCCGAATCTCCTTTGGCCCCAAAAACCCTTCTGCTAACAACATCATCACATTCACTCTCCCCTGCAGCTCTTTCACCAGAACCTTCACCTCTTCACTTGACACACCCCGTCCCTTAGGCCCACCCCAAATAAACACCGTACAAGCCCCAGCTTCCAAAAACGCCTTGCCCCGGACAATAGCATCATCCAAAGTCTTTCCTTCCTGGGATAACACATCCGTCCGAGCATTGAGCGCAAAATCAGGAACCCCGGCCTCCTTCGCTGCCTCAACAACAGTCCTCACTCGCGCAACAGCCTCGTCTAGCGGCCGCAATGTACCGGCCGCATTGTTCATATCTTCCAGGTTACAACCCACCGCACCTAGTGCAATAGCCTCCTTCACTGTCGCCGCCAAGCTGGAGAGGTCATTGTCCCAGCCGTCTTGCAGATCAGCTGTGATGGGCAGGGCGGGGTTAACACGGTGGGCGGCGGATATGATTATCTTCAGGGCGGCCAGGTTCTGGGCTTTTGTAAGATCCTCATCTTTGACGCCGATAGAGGCGGCGATGGCGAAGGAGGCTGTGGCGATGGCGCGGGTTGTGGGGAGCGACGCAATGACTGAGGTGGTGCTAGCGTCCCAGACGTTTGTGAGGATGAGAGGATCCTGGGGATTGTGGAGGGTGCGGAAACTTTTAGCGATATCGTTTTGAGAGGGAGACATTTTTGGCGATGTTGGTACTTTGGATTGTAGATTGGAGGGGTATGTGCGCGTATAATGGCGGATGAAGGTAATTTTTATGTTTACGCCAGGGCTATACTGTTTTGTCGATAGCTGGGGCGTGTCTTAAGACAATTTGTATTGAGGATTTACAGAGTGATTTATATTTCCCTTGCATCCACGACATTTCAACGGGTTTCGCCGTATAGTTAATGATTGGGCATCCGGTTCGTCACCATCTGCAACTAGTCCAACCTTGTGCAATGAATTCATCAGATTCTGCATCTACCTCTCAGGTCCGTGCATTTCGTAATACTCTCGGACCCCCCAATCTTTAGGCCAAAATCAATTCAGGTGGGTTGCAAGCACACCTTTGGACGGTGCGGGTACTTCAGTTTCATTTCGAGCACTCCGGCTAGGCCGGACTACTTGAGGCCACATCATCCTGGGCAGTACCTCCTGCAACTAATTCATCACATTCTGCATCCATCTCCAAGGTCCGTGCATTTTCTAATACCCTCGCCACCCCAGATCCTGAGCCCGAAATTGATTCAGCCCGATTGCCAGGACAACCTGTGGACGGTGTGGGTACTTCAGTTCCATTTCCAGCCCTCCGGCTAGGCCGGACCACTCGAGGACACATCATCCCTGGCACTACCATCTGCGACCGATTCAATCTTGTGAAACTAATTCATCACTCTCAACGGAGTACGGAGTACGAGTACTGTACTCTGTACTCCGTACTCCGTACGCCTATATCTAAGGTCCGTGCGTTTCCCAATACTCTCGCACCCCCAGATCTTTAGCCCGAAATCAATTCAGCCCGGCTGCAAGGACAATGGCGTGGGTACCTCAGGCCCATTTCGAGCCCTCGGGTTAGGCCGGACTACCTGAGGACACCATTGCAAAAGTGCGTCATGTTTATTTTCCTGAAATGGATGGGTTAACTCCTGGTGGCCGGATGGACTTATCTGTGTTGCTGACAGGTTGCCCCTGCACTTGAGCGCTATAATGGATCGCACTAAGATTAATCGACCATGCTTTATCTAGATGCGTTTTGACTGGAAACCCCTATCATATGGGAGGTCATTCATGTCCGGCAGACGTGGATGAGCCTTGGGCTTATTTGTATGGGAAGAAGAAGTGAGTCTATGGGAGAGCTGGATTCGGTTCCGGTCACACATTAGCCTCAAATCTTTTCCAACTAGAATTTAGAAGTTTTTTCTCCTACGCTTTCATTTTTATGTCTATACTCCCAGTACGGAGTACGGAGTAGGTACTTCGTAGTCAGATACCCATTCCCAAAGCTAGGGAGTTCTTTTGATGGGGCAGGGGGATGCAACACTTCTCCGTCGATGAGTAGAAACAGATATGTCTCTCTACCTATGAGCTCAATTCTAGGCACAGGGCACCCAAATAGAAGGAGGAAAGTGGCGAAGAAGCAGATAAAGAGTTCTGATGAGGACCGGAAGCAGAGGCCACAACCAATGAGCGGCCGAAGAAGCAAACGCAAGCACGGCGGAGTGGAACCAATGACCTCGGGAGCGGGCCGCAGAATGGAAGCAAACAACCTTGGATTTATACATTAGCAGAATATATATACCTAGTTCAATAGTTGAACATAAGATCAAACTATCTCGTCGTTTCCATGCTGTGTTGCTTTATGTTCAATAATGAGGTTGCTCGGCGAGAGATTAAGGAAGCAACTATAGACCTGGGGGAGGGGGTCTATAGGGATAATATCAAATTTGAGTATCGAGGAGCTACACCGCAATATGCGCACAGGCGGGTTGCCAGCCAGCCATAGGCTACCTACCTAGGTAAGGGACGTCCGGAACATACTAACACGTAACTTGAAAGAAGAATATAGAATCCTCCGCTGACGTAAATATTCCATAGATCTTAATACTGGCCACGACTTTTACGAATATTGTGCCCCAGGGTGGGTATCACTACAGAGAGATTGCCCTATCACTCTTACTCGTATATTTTGCAATTTAGTAATAATGATTTTCTGAATAGGAATGTGGAAAAGGATGTGTAGCTGAATATCCTGAAGATCTTATGGGATCTGCGGGTTACATTGGAGCTATTGAACATTATGTCCCTTGTGCAACACTGTCAGCTAAAACCAATGTTACCTATCTCAATTGGTTGAATAAACCATAGGAGCTTGAAAGTCTTGGCGAGAGGCTCGAGTTGTATAAAGATTATCATTGAACATTTTTGGGACAGATGTTTTAAGAACAATCACACAACATATCTCCAAGATCCTTCTATACGTTTGAGCAACCAACATGCATTTCTATTCTATCCTCGTTGCCACTCTTGCCTTGGCGATTTCCACTGCCTTTGCCAGCGATGCCCAGTATCAGCAGAATGCCGGTACCGACTGCCTTAATATTTGCAAGGAGGAATCAAACGGCTACACATGCCCTCCTGGTACCGAAAAAACCCAGCTTTCTAACGTAGGTTCCAATTTTGACGACCTGGTTTATAATAACAAAGGATTAACATTCAAATTAACTGTTATCTAGGGCTGTTGGACCTGCTGCGATACTGAGTAAATAGCATATGTTACATGCTTTCTGATCTCCGATATCCGTTGTATCGTCCATTGATTCATTCTTTTGTATATGATTGGAGCTTTGGTTATACTGCTATCATATGACTGATTGACTAGCACGGAGTACTTCTTCTTGCCTTCTCTATCCTTAGTACTCTTAGTCAAATGCACTCGCTCATTTGATCTGACTATGACATAATACCAGTTAGACTTCTCCCTCAGTAGGCTCTCACAATATCAAAACCTCTCTTCGCGAAGGCCCGTATTGAGTAGGGCAATTTTGATCCCACCCCCAACTTTGAAAGGCCGCACACTCCATAAAGATTTGAACATACCGATTACACTCTATGCCTAAAGAAGTCTTGACAGCGCGACGAAGCCTTTACCATCAGATACCGCCCAGGTGCGCCTACAAGAGATTGCGCTGGTCTGGGTTCTTTCAGTAAGGCAGTGGACCTTCGAGACTGATCATTCCTTCTTCCCCAGTTTCAACCTTCGCGTTCCAGTTTATCTCTCCAATGCTGAAATTAAGGACGAGCCATTGACGGCGGCACCATCTTCAACATGGACCAATTTTCACGACTAGGAAGTGCAACCCCCCTGATCCCATTCTCGATTTCCGCCAGCCGAACAAAACCCATCTTCAACATTGAACTAGTGCAACTTCCTGATCATAATGCTCCTCAACTATTTACCAGTTGATACCATCCCTCTCACACAGCAGGTTGAAGCCGAGCAAGTGCGATTATCTCAGCCCGACCAAGCTCGCTCTCCACACTCCACACAGAGATAGTGACACGAGGCTGGGTTGACTTGGACCGAATGCCATGTTGAAGTTTTTCTTTCCGGTAAGAATGTATAGGCTTGGTGCCACTTCTGTTACCATAGAGCTGGGAGTGTAGGGCGCCGTGAGACGAGCAGATGCGGTCAATCTCTACAGGTCACAGTGGGAGCTTTTGCTAAGATACCGAGTATTCTGCCCCCGAAACGATGGGAATATGTGCATGGGCACCATGGGCAAAATAGGGATTGGGGAATGAGAGCGGGATTGGGTTGGCCAGTACTGGAATCGGCTTCCGAGGATGCTAGTGATGCGCTAGAACTTGGATGGGCGGCAAAGACTGGGCTTTTAATGCAAAAACAGCGGTGTTAGAAATACCGCGAGGCGTATGGGATAACGACTGTGAAGTTTAATTGCAGGCAAACCAGGCTGCACCTTAAGTAAAGTGCCTATGAAAGCGCGAATTGTGGTGAGGAAGGAAGGTAATCTCCTGACAAAGCCAGGGTCATAACGTCTTCAGCCTACGCGCTCTTTAGGAAAGAAAGTCTCAATCAAGTATTTATATTGTGATTAGTTGAAAGAGAATGAAAGGAAGAGAGATAAAGAGAGCTGTCTAGATGGGAGAACGACAGGCTGCTCTTACCCTAACAGAAGTGAGGGGATACCACCGAAAATGTCAAAGGGGATCCGATTTCACAACGTTGGGTCGCAGCATCTATTAATTTCCGCTTTCGCCATGCCATACCCATAGTGGAAGTCCAAATGACGTGCATCTCCGGCGGGAATCTCCTGAAGACAGACTTGCAAACATTGATACTGCCTCCTAACAAGCGATGCAAGGCGTTCACTGCTCTTTGGGCAAAGTAAGCTGGAGCCTGAAGCTTCTGATACCATCTCCTGCAACTCGAGAAACGCCATGGAGATACCCAACAGAACACCAAAGTTTCGAATGGGGCTGGAAGATAATTTAAGCATTTTTGTGGCAAACTCGGACGGCCAAAGGGAGAGAACACTTTGTAGACCTTGAGGGATGGGGAGGGACGCTCGAAGAATCATTTCCAGACCAAATTCGACTATTCCTCCATTCTCTGTTGTGGTAGGCTCGTCTGCCCCTGTGACGAGCAAGTCCTCCGTCTCGAAGCCGGACTGAGCTCGTAAGAAGCGTATCACAGCGCAGCCAATCTTGTCGCTCGTTCTCCCCGGGGCATACAAAAGTGACTCAAGGAGGCAGCACTGCGTGAACCAGAGTGGTAATAGGAAAGGCAGGTTGAAATTTGTTGTCAGGTCTCCCGAAGGCTTCCTTAATGTGCCTTTAGGAAGTGGACTTTCTGTTTCAAAATTCTCGCTACTAGCAGCAAGGACAGGATTATCGCAGTTGTCGGTGTCTGATCTCTTGGATCGTTGATGCCGTGAGTGTGCAATGGGCTCGATGAAAGAGTAATAAAAAGGGATTCGGTCAGAACCTAGGGAGTTGATCCAAAGCTCAAGTGCTTCGAGTTCGCTCTTTGTGAATGAGCCATACATTCTCCCTCCCCATCGAATCTCCTGTACCAATTTGCTCCTCTGGCTGTCACCTTGATATATCCATGGTTCACATGTGCTCAAGCATCGCATAAACTCCCGTTGCCATTCCTCAGACGAGAACGCTTCAGGATCCAGCCAGTCGGCTAGTGACCGTTTTCCAATCTTCACGCGGCTGCCACAATGCAGTCTATGGGCAGCCTGGATCTTTGAACTGAATATCGCAAGAACCTTTGACTCGAGTTGATCATGAGAGTCATCATTAAGATGTTCAAGAATATTGGTTACTTGGTCGCCTTTGTGAAACTGCCACTCGCTGAAAACATATCCTGCCTGGATTCTTTTCCATGCCACTTCAGCAGCCACCTCACCCTCAGTCTTCGCAACATGTTCGATGTAGTCTGCAACGCCGTCCATAGCCATGGCAGCGTGACCCGAATGGCTGTTGTCAATTGAAATATGGAGGAGGAAATAAGATGAGTCGAGGCAAACTTCCGGCAACTCCTTCGCCGCTTGTAAAGTATCTAACTGCAGGGCTTCAAAATGCATATTGAATCCAAGAATCTCAGGCAAAAAGTCCTGCGGGAAGAGAGACACTAGCAGCTGTGCCACAGCTGCTCTCCAATATTTCAGGCTACCTAGCCTGTATCGAGGATGCAGAATCGCCTTGGTTGTTGGCGAGGGCAAATCGGGTTCGAAAATTCCCAGAAGATTCTCGAAGATCTTGACATGATGTTGCTCGCAGTTGCCATTTCCCAGTTCCTCCGTGAACACTTGCCATGTCTGCTTCACGATTTGTCTCAACGAGAAGGGCATATTGATGTTGTTTAAATGCCCCAGCCAAGCGCCGTCAACCAATTTCACCGGTGCAATCTCCCTCAGCCAATCTCCGGCTTCCTGTCGATTTTGAAAAAGCTCACGCGGACCCCCGGATCGTCGGCGACTTATATACCGATCATATTGACTTGTGACATCATCTTGCTGGCTCTGGAGAAAGCGAGCAAGCTCCTTCTTGTCGAACTGTTTGATCGACAGTATGTTGGTGCCAGGTGCCTTGACTGAATCTTCCAATGCTTGTGAAAGCAGAATTTGGAAGGCTTGTCGTGCCGTTGGTATTGTGTCGGAGTGTTCCTCCAGACTTTGAAGCTTGAAATAAAGCTCTTTGTAAAATTCAAGCTCTTTCGTATATATCCATTCCGCGTTTGACTTGAGATATCGAGGCGTTTTGAACCGTTTGCGCTCCTGTGCGGACAGACTATTGGACCTTTCAAGCTTCCTATGGGGTCTGAAAGCTCTCGAATACAAAAAGGCGATCATGGAAATGCTCATGAGAACGAGGATACCGGAGACGGTGACCCAAGCATTCTTAACGACCAAATCAAATCCAACAAACATGGTGGAATTTCGGCTGGGTGTATTGGGAAATTTCGACGTGGATAGCTGCCTCTCTGTGCTGAGTTTGTTCGGAGTGCTCTAAAAACCTTGAAAAATACAGTTATTATAAGAGCGCTGACAGTGATAGGGTCCCCAAGCATCGAATTGCAGGATGATTGCATATTTACCTTGCCTTTAGTCGCTTTTACAGCTGCGCATGTCTACTCAGGTACGAGTACGGAGTATAACATTGTCAGTACGGAGTACTCCGTAGGTATCTCAGTTAGACCATTGAAAAGGCCCCAAAGCAAAAAGAAAAACAAAAAAGCAAAACAAACAAAATGATAAACACAATGAAAAAAAGTAGGGATTCCTATTGACCCTTGCTTCTCTGCCTGCAGTATCCACCGACTTAGTTCCGAATCACGTACGGAGTACTCCGTACTCCGTATACGGAGTTGGTATGTTTAGATGACGTTACTACTCTGCAGAGTGGTCACACGAAATGACTATTACTGCATGCCCACCGGATAAATTCGGGGTGTCCTGTCAGGTGTGGCTGGCTGAGATGCGGGCAACCCACATCCTATGAGAATGAGCGGTCTATGTTCGAGTAAAAACTTGACTCGGGATTTGATGAATGCAGTTCAGTTAGGTACCATAGTGTCTGCTGCAGGGAAAGCCAATATGTGTAATTAAGTAGAACAGCAAAGACCTTGAATTATGCATTATATTGTGTGAGTTGTTGGTTGTTGTTCAGAGAGAGAGACAAGCACAGTAGGCGGTTTCGTTCCTAGGAGAGGTCACCTGTGGGCTTATGGCTCTGACACATGGTGCACCTCCTGCATGCATATATTGTATGTATGATGTATGTACTCCGTAATCCGTATCGAGAAATGGACGAAGTACTCAGCGATTGAGAATGGTGGGGAGCTACGTTGTAGGACTCAGTGGAGGTGAGAGAGAGTTGTATTGGGGAGACAAAGCTTGCAACTCTCTACCTAGGTACATGGTCTACAGAGCCGGTGCCTGAGAACCAAGGCGCCCGACACCGTCTCTAAAGAATCAATGGGCGCTCAACTGTCTGGTCGCTGATTTTGAAAGTGGTTAAGTATCTATGTATGTGTCCCTTGGTTTAGTTGATGCACAATAAACTATACGGTCCCTAGTCAGTCGGCCCGACCCGTCCTTTTGCTGATATACATTAGGATCCTCAGGCTCTAACACGAATCTTACCCAAGCCATTCCAAAGTCAATCTTGATCCAATTTTTAATTCCCCGAGAATTTGCGATGCTGGTGTAGAGGTTTGTTACTGGAGGTCGTCTTCTTGGGTGCTCTCTGGGTGCGGTGCCCTTATTTCTCATTTTCTGGTATAAAGAAATGGAGAATAATATCTTATTCTATGTTTGCAAAGCAGACAATTCCCCCTCGGTTTGATGAGCACCATGAGTATCCATCAACATTCGTGGATTAGAGGACAACCGCCCCTTGAAATCAAACAATTAGTATCTTTGTGGAAAGCGCGATGCCATCGGTTGAATGATCATTGGGCGTTGTAGCGAGTCTAAAGGTGCATTTGATAAATCCACGGCTACCCGCATTGGATGAGAGCAAGATCTACTTAAGCTGCTTTGTCCAAGTTGATGTCTCTCCATGCACTGGAGACTGCAGAAGGCAATATCCTAGGCTGCTAGAGATTTAAATTGACGCTCGTTATCCATATGATCTGGTATATAGAAATGATGTTCAGCATCAAGCTGATTTTGTCACCAAAGGACTCATACTTCCCAAGATCATGGGTACCCCAACCTTTTCCTAGGACTAGCACGACGGTCTGAGGAAGTAAGACACAAAGTATCGGTCCTCGACACCATCGTTCGGCTGCGTTACCCGATGGAATGGGGAGTGCAAGCGACCCCCGGTTTGGTTTTGCAGATAATTCGCGATGTTGACCAAGACACAACCACGTTTGGGCTCAATCCATAACCACTCCTTGTTCTCCTGAGTCTGCAGCTTACTGGCCCATTTCTCGCACCACAGCAAGGTGACTGAGCCACCGTCGGTGTGTGTGGTGTCGGGTGCATCAGCCATGTATGTATGGGTCGGACTGGAGACGAACTTTAGGCCCGAGTCGCTCGGTCCACCGGGGGGATGAGCATTTTCCAGATGCGAGGATCCACCAAGACCAAGGCTACTTGAAAGGCTGCGGAGACAGGTGCGGACTATGGTCTCGCAAATATCGATAAGATCGTTCGTAGCACCAGCGTGCGCTGCGAAGGGGGTGGGTAAAGTGATACTGTGCTGTTCGTCTCGAGCGATCTAGCCGTGGTTAGCCACACCGTATCGCAGTAACTATGACATACCTACTTCGAACGATTCAAAGCCTGGTTTATATTTGTAGCTATAAATGTGTGAACATCTGCAAGCATGGCTGGCAAAACGAGTAGAGGCCGACGTACCCACGATCCACATCCTCCCTGAACTCCTTCATCTTCTCGTCAAGAGGTTTGGCGAAATACTCATTGCAGTTCAGGTAACAAGTTCGGATATACTCTGAAATCTTCCCCGAGAGGTCGTCGTCGAAACTGAAGAAGAAAAAGCCCGGAGACTCTGCCGCCTTCAAAAGTTTCGCCATCTCGACTGGGTCTTTCGCAGTAATTCTTTCAAAGTTGATTACTTCAAGCTCAGCGACGTCCAAAGATCGATCCCCCACAATCCTTGTAGACTTTGAGACAGGGACAGTCATGGTTTGGGACATGGTAAGTTGGAAGTTTGGGGCAAGGTCATCCAAGGTGTTTCCAATGTTATTTCCAACTCAATTATAGCTAGTTTATATGAGAAATAAGTGAAGAGTCTACTAAATGACACGTAATAAAAAAACAACACGAATGACATTATCATGCTAGAGCTCTCATCCTCGGGAAAACGAAGGGCCTGTGCTTTACACCTGCATTGATGTACGAGTAATGCCAGGCTTGCCTTTTTTAGAACCCACCTGGGCAACGATGCACGATACTGTTTCCTAGTCGATGAACCCATTCGGCTATGTATACTCCGCACTCCGTGTGGCTTAGTTCGTACATTGTCCGTATATTGAAAATTAATCCTCCGTACCTAGGGAGCTATTATTCCAGTGGCTTTTTAAACTAAGTATACTCCGTAGGGCGTGGGGCGTCTGACAAGTCTGCACCTGGGCATATTCCACAGCTCTGAGGGCCTGTTAAATATCCCAGGGCGGAGTTCTCCGTACACACATAGGAATATGTATATTAGGTATATATTTCTAATTCCAAATAATACGTGCTAAATATTGGTTCGGTTTTCCTGTTACCTCCGGGGACCCCGAGACCCCCATGCAATGCGATCGGTCAGACAAATGGAACCGATGACCGAGTCTATTGGATTGCCATGCCCATTCCCATCGAATCACACACGTAGCCAACCCCTCGTGCAGATGTGAGGGAATTTGTTGCATCTGCGAGGATCTCACTGCATGACTAGTGCGTCTTCTACTCTTCTACTCCACATTTCCGCTCGGGACGGAAGCGGACTCAGGGTGCAGGAGGCGTGTTCTGACCTGTCGCGCGCAATACTAATGCACGCCACAGTGGACCCATCTCAGCTCTTCGCCATGAGTTGGTCGATTTCAATTGTACAAAACAGAGAGCAGGTGGGGCGATAACCTTGAAGATCTCTGTAAGGCCCCGCAAGTGCAGACAGCTCAATTTGTATTCAGAGCTTCACCGACTGCGTGAGCCGACCTGCCTAGATACCTCATAGGTAGCGTGTATTGTATCGCTTTGTGTATTCAATCATTTCTTTTCGTATTTAATCACTTCCGGTTTCTCCAGGCCTAGTGGCCGCAGAGAATTCTTACTTTCCTTTTACTGCGACTCGGAACGATTGTCAATCAATTGCGCGAAACCATACCATTATGGTAGCCCCCAACGAACTACGTGGGCCTCCGCTTCCAGATGCTGATGCGTCCCTCCACACGGTCTTCTCTCAGAATGTCGTGAACTACCCGGACACCGTGGCTCTGGTCAGTACCCAGCAAGCTCCTACTCTCTACGGAATCCGGAGCCTGCCCATCGGCAGCGCTGAGCGTGAAGCGGACTATTTACGATGGACCTACCGGGACCTCGATCGTGCTGTGCAGCAATTTGTCATTGGTTTAAAAAGTCTGAACCTGAAAAGAGGAGATCCATTGGTGATGTTTATGCCAAATACCGCCGAATATGTCATTGCCACCTGGGCCGCCTACCAAATCGGATGTGCCTACGTTCCAATCAACCCCAAGGGTCTGTTGAATGCCAAAGAAATGCGGCACATGCTGCAGACTGCGACAAAAGGATGCCAGTCAGGTTCTTTGGGCATCATCGCCGGAACATCTGATATGTGTGCGCGCATTGAAGAGTTGACAACCGAGTTCAATTGCATCCGGATATTGGTCGAAGGAGAGATGGATGGCTGGACACCTTTCAAAGAGTTGATGGAGATTCCGGCTCCAGATTCCCAGCAAACCCTATGCAGAGAGGACCACTCGGAATCTTCTGATCGAACAATTTTCTTCACCAGTGGAACGACATCTCTGCCCAAAGGTTGTGTCATGCCATCTGCGTATGGCTTTGCGGCCGCATTGCGCTGGCGCGAAAGTAGCACTCCTATGCTGCCTGGGGATCGAGTATTATTTACATTGCCAAATAACCATGGGTTTGGTTGGCTTTGTATTATCGCTCCCTTCCTCAACGCAGCCACCGTTGTGCTCCCGGGACCAAGCTTTGTCCCGGAGGCTGTGATTAAGGCCATCCATGAGGAGCAAGTGAGCCACACTGGATTTGTGCCGACTATGATTCATGCTCTGAGCAGTATGCCGCTTCCATCTGGGAAGCTGAGTTCTCTTGGCCGGATTGTGCTAGGAGGTTCTCCCCCAACCGAGGAAATTATCAGGATCTGCCTTGACTGTCTAGGTTCATCGGGGGTGGAAAATCTCTACGGTATGACAGAGGGCATCCTTGTCTCTTCTGGTGTGGTGACCCAAGCCAGCGAGATGATCAAGGACAGAGATGTTTCTATCGGCACACCACTTCCTGGAATGACTGTCCGTATATACACCAAAGACAGCAGAGTGGCAACTCGGACTGGAGAACCCGGCGAGATACATTTCTCAGGTGCAAGTCTGATCAATGGATATATCGGAGGAGCCGATAAAAACTTTTACAACGACGAGGATGGCCGCCCTTGGTTCTGCACTGGTGATAAAGCCTTCATTGGTAGCGACGATCGTCTTTACCTGATTGGTCGGTACAAAGACACGATCATCCGCGGAGGCGAGAACATTGAACCATCAGCCATTGAAGCGGTTCTAGGTCAAATCCCCGCAATCAATGTTCTCCAACCTCAGATCATTCGCGCACCCGACCACTTTGCTGGCGAGGTCCCCGTTCTGGTGGTGGACCGGGAAGTCGACAGCAATACAGTGAATGCAATCAAAGACACCATCTTAGCGCAAATGGGAAATCTTTATGTTCCGGCGGATGTGATCCCCATACAGGCGCTGGGACAACAGACATACCCCAGGACCATGGCAGGGAAGGTCCAAAAGACTCAACTAGAAATTTTGGTCAGAACATACTGCGAGCGCCAGCAATCACAAGAGCAAACGGGCTCAAATGGCGGCAACATTATCGATGGCCCAATTTCAGGCTCTCATGTCATGCAATCGTTATGCACGGCCATCGAAAAGAAAATGGGTCAGCCGATTGACTTCTCTCTTCGGATGATTGAGCTAGGAGTCGATTCGATTTCGTCGATCGCAATTCTCAACCACGTCAAAAAAGAAACACAAGTATCATTGCCGTCATCTCTGTTCTTCACCCAGGCAACAGTCGGTACAATCTGCCAACAGATCAGCTCGATTTCTGACACGGCAGACTTTCTCAATTTCACACCTGCCATGGAAGAAGCCCCTAGCAATCTATGCTTTTCAATCCTGCTCCAGGGGACCCCAAAGGCAGGCGTTGCCTCCCTCTTCCTCACCCCCTCCCGGCTCTGGAAATGCATTCGTGTACAAGATGTTGCCCAAATTCGCCAATGATCGTGCAGTTTACAGTTTTGGCTCTCCATTCCTCATGACCAAATCAGAATCTTCCTGGACGATAGAAGAAACCGCCGCCATCTACGCAAACACCATTCGCAGCATTGATCCTGTAGGGCCATACATACTATGTGGCTGGTCAATGGGAACTGCCACTGCATACGAAACCGCATACCGACTCCACGAACAGGGAAAGCAAGTGCTAGGGATAATCATGCTCGACTTGGCATTGCCTCGGCCACCACCCAAGATCGCGGAGGCAACCGTCGAGTTGTTTGAAATGATGGGTGTATTCCCCCCGATCCGTCGCAAGGGCCAACCTGACGTGGAGATTCCCGCTTTTAGGAAGAAGCATCGAGTCGCAGCTTACTACGCAAAAATGAAATATAAGCCTCGTCCCTTTGACATTGCGGGCGATGAAAGCCGACCGCGGATATTTGTCATCTGGGCTGGGCATGGCGATCATGACAGGATGGGAGGCATGGTTCTCGATGCAATGGAGGTTCTGAAGAGAGAAGGACCGGAGACAACCATGAAGACTAGCAGTGACTGGCTTAACGTCCCGCGTGAATCTTTTGATGCTGGTGGCTGGGATGAAATGGTTGGACCGGACTATGTCGAGTGGGACATTGTAGAAGACGCGGACCATGACACGCTTATAGAGTCTGAAGAACTGGTGAGTCTCGGTTCAATTATCTTTTTGCCTGTAGTTGGTCGACTTGCTAAACATTCACAGGTGGTTTTGACCAAGGGCTTGATGGAGGAGACCATGGACAAATGGCAGCGAGAAGCGGCGGTTAGGCCCAATGGTTCAGGTTGAGCCCTCAGCGTGTGTCAGTAGGCAGTTCCGTCTCCCTTCCCAATACAACTCTCTCCCCCTGAATTCCACATCCGTAGGCCCCAGCAGATGTCGCTCTCCCCGAACTCAGCTTGATGTTCGACGCTTATGCGCTCTGGAAAGAAACTCCCGATCGAGCGTTGGAGTGTAGACGGGTGGAAAGAGAAAAGAGGGGAGAAGACTCCCTATGTAGGTGGACGATCGAAGGGAGATGTAACTAGTCATGGATCGATGCATGTACGAACATATCGAACACGAACTTCAGAGGCTAAATTTTCCATACCAATTGATTCGAATCCTTCCGCAGAGATAATAACGATCGTAGGCAAACAAAGTAAAACCTCTCTAGCCTGTCCACGAGACTTGCATATTCTTCCATTGATCGCCCTGTTCCAACCTCGTTCTCATAAGCATCTTGCCCATTGATGACACGGGGTACTGCACGAAATCAGGACAGGGGTACGGAGTATTCATATTCAATTGAAAACTGTATTGTGATTGATTATATATCAAGTCTACTCATGGTTCTGAATGACACGGCTGTACTCCGTACTCCCTATGTGAATTAATTTCCCGACATTTCAAGGCTGGGGATTGTGCAACGGGTTCATTGAATCTCGATATGCACTGGTGAGAAATTGGGATCAGGGGATGTGGTGGTTAATGCCATGGGGTAGAGTTTCCCCGTCTCGGTCTAGCCCTCAGCTGTGATTCAGTAGCCAATAAGAGTGTCTCCGATCTCTGCTTCGTCGATCAAAATTGTGCAAAGAAATAGTAACACTGCGTGAGTTTGCTGCCCTGTCGATCCTGTACGCGACCAATGATGTTCATTGCTATTTAGCCACAGAGGGCAAAAGCTAGCAGCTTCGAGCAATTGAATGAAGAGAAGTCTTCAGTTCAGTGCGGCAGCAAGCGGCGATCACAGCAGCTGAACAAAGAACCAAAGAACGAACCCCGCTGGCTGAACCAACGAGGCTAGCAGACTGAACAAGGGTCTGCTGGCAAGCTGACTGCCTAGGTGAACAGGGGTCTGCCGACCGAGCAAACGAGCAAGCTGCTGGCTGAACAAGAATCTGACAGACTCGGCTAGTTAAGGCGAGCAAGCCTGGGTATGCATCACATCGCGAACACGACTGGTTAAGAATGGATGACATATGTACGGAGGGCGGAGTATCTTAGGCTCGCTCCAACCTTGGAGTGGCGGCGGTGGCGTCGTGAGGTTGTCGAGTCTCACTTTAAGATTGGGATACTCGAGAATGTTGCATTGTCAAGAGACGGCCCCTTGTTTATTGGTGCGATCAGTTGCTTCTTAGAGATAGTTCTTTTTTGCTTTTTTCCTTTCATTCAGTTTTTAGTGCCGATCAGATCATCCACAGTGTGCTACATACACACAATTGAGGTCCCAAGTGGGTCGTTCAGCTGAAAATCTCTCCCGGAGCAGGCAAGGGTGTAGTGAATATTAATTGTCTCGGGCAGATCCCAACTCTTTCTCGGCAATATTAATTCCGCTTATGGGGTTTTTTGTGTTTATTTTAGAGCCGCAGCCCAGTTCAAGAAACTCATTCACTCACACTGCAGCCAGATCATCCAAGGTCTCCAATTGATACAGGTCAAAATGCTGGATGAGCGGTCTCCGTTGCTGAGATATGCAAAATCCTCAAAGCCCCGGCCCCTTGGTATTACAAAACTTATTGCTGGCCTAGTTGGTATGTAATCCTTCTGGGTTAACGCGCCCGCTTGCTTAGCTGACTTGCCATCCTCTATGTAGGCGTCTTCCTCGCTGGCGCAGACAAATCTATTCTGTTAACAACCCAAAACAAAATTGCGTCTTCGTTACAATCTCCTTCCTCTGCGCCACTGTTGTTGGTGTCATACAATCTCGGTTTCTGCATTGCACTACCTGTGGTAAGTATCACTTTGAGTACTCCTTACTCCAGATGAAGTAGCTCCCACTGACCATCCAATGCTAGTATGGCTTCCTGAGCGATATATATGGTAGTCGGAACTTTCTCTTGGTTTCATATGCTTTCTTCTCTATTGGATGCGCCATATCGTGAGTATAGCTGAACCCTTCGAGCGTACTACAGTCGTTCAACGGTTTAAATCCTACTGTATCTTCCTTATTCTTACATCCAATCCCAGCGGCGTTGTCGACTCAGTTTGGCCATTTGCATTTGGTCGGTTTTTGGCAGGTGTAGGGGGTTCTGGAATGACGGATCTTCTCTCTGTACTGATTAATGGTAGGTACTTCCTTCCATCTGATCCCACAAGAAAGGGCTGATTGTGTTCCCAGAGGTCTTCGACGTCACAGAAATCGCCTCCGTGCGCAGCTACGTCATCGCTGCCGAGATCTTTGGCCATGGATGTGGAGGACCACTTGGGGGCATTATCACTGATAATGTTGGCTGGAGGTGGTAAGTCATCCATGGAAGATTGTTGGCTTCTGAGGGCGTTTCCATTGACTTGAAAATTCTTAGGGCCTTACTTGGTCAAGCACCGATTGGTATCCTCTGCTTGATCCTAGCATATTGGCAACTTCCAAAACTTCCAAAGAAGTATGATGTGGAGCCTCGATTGTCTCTATGGAGCTTCGATTATTTGGGACTTGGCGCTTTCATCATTTCAACCACTTCATTTGTTCTAGGCACGACTAACGGAAGCCCTGCGTTAGATGGTAAAAAGCCTGCTTTATTTACCACTTCGGCCATCTTTTTAGCAATCCTGATCTTCATTGAAAAAATGTCGTCTAGGCCCATTTTTCCTGCTTCTATCGTCCCGGCACCGGGTTTACGAAACGTCTTCCTGGGACAGGTCATGTTCTTCGCAAATATCAGCATAGTAAGTCGAGATTGAGAACCACCACTTGACCAGCAGAGGCGACTTTGAGGCATGGCTAATGCACCGAAGGTTCTGAACAACCTCCCGTCCTATCTGTCCCAGGTACAAAACCTCACTAGCTCACAGATTGCCCTCCGAATCTGGCCATCCTCCCTCGGCTTGATTCTTGGTGCCATAATAGCGGGAAAGGTCCTCAGAAAGTGGGTTACACGGCGGCCGAACGAACAATATATACTAACGATTCCAGAACCGTCAAATATCGAGAAGTATCTCTCATCGGGGTCGGGGCTAGTGTTTCATCTCTGGTTGTTATGATCATACGATGGATGAATGGCATCAATGGAGCCGAGGTGCATTATGGCTTTCCCTGGGCAGTAGGAGCTGGAATCCTGCTCTCAGCGCAATTCCTTACGTTGACCAAATGGTCGCCAGTGGACCAAATGGCCAATGCCACGGCAATCTATTGCCTGGCACAGCAGATTGGTCAGATAGTGGGTACTAGCGGCAGCACCGCAGCTTTCAAGCAGCTTTTCAGCCTCCGACTAGGTGTCAACTTGAGTGACACGCCGCTAGACAAGAGGACAGAGGTATCACCCCTTTCCAATCATCGTGGTATTTGTTCGCGAGATTCTGACAGACTCTATAGATCATCCATAAAATCCTTCAAAACTACGGTTCTATTGCAGATTTGCCTGACGCTCTGCAAAGAGCTGTCCAATATAGCTATATTGAGGCCTTCCGTCTAATTCCAGGTATGAATTTGTTCCTAAGTCTCCAAAATATTGAACCGAAAACTAATTTTTGAAGCTCTCGCAACGATTCTGGCCACTATTAGTGGAATCCTCATTCTATTCACATAAAAGGGAGTTGGTACTGGCAAGAATCCGAAGTTTGAAAAATCTAATTCTCACATCCAACCTTCGAAACTCGGATCCTTGTTCCATTCAACCCAGTGGTAATATCTTACCAGCTGACTGGCATTCATAACCATCCTCGAACTAATGGATTTATATTTGATGTAATTACAAAATGAATGGCGGAGAGACAGTTCTGCTGTCTTGTTACAAATAGTAGGATCAGCTCATACAGTTTCTTTCTTCTTCTTTTCCCCCATCGCTTTCTTTTCTCGAGACCAGTACCAAATAAAATTGAATTGCCTACAGAGCTTTGTTTCTTGCCTTCCCAAAAATACAATTAGCATTCTGCATATGAAGACCTAAATGTGACAAATATCCTTTATAACCTGCAATTGAGTACAATCTGCCCTAATGGTAGCGCAGTTCTATGGAGGTACGCTGTGATGTGACTCCGCAGACCCAAGACTGTATTTGTAATTGGCTCCCTCTTTGTCCCTCGACTAAAATGTTGCCTACGCCGATAAGAACACCGCTGAAGCACAGGAGAGAGAGAGCGTGGGGGTACGCGAGGAGCTTCAGGGCTAGTCGGATTGATTAAGTGATTATCACTGGTCTTCAGACTGACCGCAGTCGGAGTTGTGATTAGACCTACACGGAGAATGAAAAGAGGCTCTCACTGAGCAATACATTGGAAAAGCAGGTCCAAGAGCTTGTATAGGATTTCCGCTACCTAGCCATTTCTCTTGTTAAAAGATTGATTCGCGAAAGCCCAAGATAATAACCCATAGTTATAGCGTCCTGCATAAGAGGCTATGCATAATCTTGAACAAAGCCCATAGCTTGCTTCCCTGGCTATATCTCCTCGTGGTTATCTAGGGGAAATATTTCTATCAGCATATCAATAGAGTTAGGACCAAAGGCGAAGAAGCTTACCTCGGATTGCCGCCAAATGGAAATAGATAGATTCCGAAACGACGTCAGTCAGCTCCAGATAGAGGTCAGATGTCCGGGAGACATAGAGCGAAGTAGAAAGGTCTTGGAACGTAAAAGTGGGATTTTCCTCATCCACTCTGACGACTCGATAGGGTTGTTTCGATCCGTTGAGATCCAGTTTGCATTTGCTGCCTTTCTCGCACACGAGCGTTTTGGAGGAGTTTGAAGGCGTAATAACAGCATCATCATCACTGAAGCCCTCGGTGTTAAATTTCCAGCCCTGCGTCTGGGAATCGGGCGAGGTGCCGAATTTCACAGATGTTGCATCCTCCACATCATGGAGTAATGAGAGTGTGTTGCCCTCGACATTTTGCTGGATTTTGTCAATGAACTCCAAGCCGTGAGCTGAGTGACAGAGAGCAGTGAGGAGCCCGACCAAAAGATACGATGGCACCATCATGTCTGCTGTACGTGGAGGATAGAAGGATTTCGAAGGATGAAGGTTTGAGCTAAGTGATCAATGGATAGATAAATTAAGAGGGAGGGGGTATTTAATGTCTGATTAGCCATCGTGCCAATGGTCTTGCACCTTAATAATCATGTAGATTTAATGCGAACAGCCCGACAAGGTCAAGCTACATACGGAGTTCTCCGCACATGTACTCTGTATGTGTAATTTAATAGTGCGAAGCCCTTGCATATGACGTCACTGGAGCCACTGTAAGACCCATTCAGCAGATTTCAATCTTACACGATGCAGTCGCAGAATGAATGATATACCACACCAAAGACATTACACTGCATGAGCCCTGACTACTGTATATGCACCCACAAATAGAACAGGTCGCAGCCGTGGCTATCTTCGCGATATACATGGTGTAGCGAATGAAACTGTCGCCGGTGGATACCTAATAGCGTGGGTGGAAGGCCGCGTAACATGAGCCTGAGCGGGAGCGGCAGCGGGAGCTGTGATGGCGTTAGCTGAAGAGCATTTGTTAGCGTTGGCTGGGTCAAGCTAGCAATCATTGGAGGTATGATCAGTGGGGCACGGTAAAGTTGGATTCGCCGGCGAGAACCGGGATTAGCTTGCTGAGTTTCAGCTCGGGGTAACCTATGGCAGAAATTGTGGTAGGGAAGGACTGCGTAAAGCGTGAAGTGTTGGCCTAGCCACTGTTGTTGGGAGGTCCTCGGGGATGTCGATTGTAGAAGGCTCGCTTTATGCCGTACGAGAGACGGACAGTTGGCCTGGCCGATGTAGTCGCGAGGTCCTCCGAGACGTCAGTTGTGACTTTGTACGCGCCGAGAAGGTTTGTTGATATGCGTCGACCCAAGTGAGAGATGCACATTAAGGAGGCTTCCCGTAAGCGTCGACGGAGATGGCGATGTTGCCGATGATAAGGAGCCCTTGGCGCGTGTAGATGATGATGAAAGCTAGCGACATGGTAGATGAAAATAGTATTGATGAAGAAGTATAGCGAGATGATAGATGGTGGAGATAATAGAGATTTTGATGAAATGAAGATTGATGAAGTTACAAAGCCTCATAGCCTGCCAGAGACTACTGAAAGAGACATCTAAATGCGCGATAGACCCAGTTGATGAAGTTAGGCAGGAAACCAAGGTATGGACTGAGGGAGCAGTATAACAATCGCATGCGCGCAAGAAAAGAAAACGCCAGTATTAATCAGAGCCAGAAAAGGCCGGGGCTCATGAGTCAACAAATGGGCAATTTGAAAAAGTGAGGGACTTGCAAAAGGATGCACCAGTTTCCAACCCTCCGTCTCTACAACGGCAAACCGCACCAATCGCGGGAAACAAAAGATATCAGACACAGTCATGAGCCCAATATCACCAAAAATGGTCGGCGACACCGACAACGGCCCAGAAACAGACAACAGCAGCGGTGCCAGCGCAGCAGAGGACTTTCCAACCAAGACGCCTCTCTACGTCTATGCTCAATGTATTGCCGCAACAGAGGGCAAGGGGATACCGGATGATATATCATCTACCATTGCGCGCTATGCGGTCATTCGAGGGCTGCGGTGTCCCTACAACTTTACAATTAGTCCAGCAGTTATAGAGCTAGGCCTTGATGGCAAATGCAGAATTCCCGAGTTTGCTCGGTCTCGCAATGCCCGATTGGTCATGAGCAATGTGATACCCGATGGTTTGGAATATCTTGAAGTCCAACCATATTGCATCTGGCACCCGGGCTTTGCAGACGAAGAGGCATATCGCCAGCTAGTTTACAGGTATCCTACTATGCGGTATCATGTATGATGTGCTTGCGCTGCTGCGGGATATGCAGAGCTCTATAAGGAGCTGGATCTTCTGCCCGAAGTCTCTATCGCAGAGGAGCCACGAGAGGGTGAGACGGAGGGGGGCCGTGAGATATATGAGATGATCATGTCTGCGCCCTTGGAATATGCCGTTGTGGATGACTGGACTCGAACTGCCAACGCCGATACTCCACGCGTATCTGGATTTCTAAACGGTGATACGGCACCGCGATGGAGTTTGCAAAGGAGGTATCCACCCTCCAAAACGCCTGAGGTGATAGCAGCTGCGATATAGATATTGAAGAGGACCGATCCATTGGTATGGAGGAGAATGAGCCAGACAAGACCCATTTCATTCTCACACATGAGGAGTCGAAGTTACTGTACACGCCTCTGCCACCCGACCCTCCCACAGTCAAAAAGAAATCTCCTAATACGCATAGCCGCCTATGAGGGACAGATTGAACGATATGCGCGGCTGATGGATCCTCGGAGCTCTGTAGGGGATGGCGAATGACAATGTGCGCTGTGCGGTATCTACCACAACACGATGTTTGCACGATGGTGGGCTGAAAAGATCGAAACAAAACCACCTAGCCTGTCAGCTAGCTATGTGGAAGATGAGGGAATCCGCCGAGCAATTAACGCGCGTCGTGTCATGGTCAATGATATCAGCGACTTTGCTGATGACACACCCTGTCTGCCCTGGCTCATCTGGTGATTTACGACCAAACGAGGAAGCCCTAAAAGCGCGGGCAGCTAGATGTTCGGCAATGCACCCGCAGATAGCCATCGCTGCGATTAGATGCGACTATGAACGGCTTTACATACAGATCAATATCCCACCCGAAGAATACATCTTGGATGTGGCGAAGCAAAGTCCAAATCAATTTTATCGGCTTGATCTAGAGCAGAGGGGAGCGGAAGATGGACGGACGGACTAGCCGTTTGAATACAGAGATGTGAGAATCGACACTCTAGAGTGGGACATGGAGCCCACTGATCAGCATGTTAGCACTTCGCTTGGGCAAAAAGCCATGACTGATGGGTTCGTCGAGAGTTCTGGTATCTATGAGGGAAAGCGAGCATATGCCGGGCAAATCGAGAAATATGTCTGGTTGCCAGCCAAGAATGTTCGCAAAATTGAGGTTCTGTACGAAGCAGCCTGGCAAGGGGATACTGAATTCCTGGATCGCGAGGAGTTCAAAGACAACTTTCCAGAGTACCATGAGGGATGTATCAAAGGTGGAACTATCAACAGCACGCGGGAGTGGCCTATCGACTATGGTATTATGAGAAACAATTCAACATAGTGCCGATCACAGGAAAAGGGCTTGAGCTTCGATACTCCGGTCCTGAATATCTTTGTCTTTCTACGTATAGATCAAAGCTATTGTTAATGATTATTTTTGTTTGCTCTTATTGATGCCTGAGATATTGGGCGACTACTAGATATATATAACTAGTCACGATAGTATGCCTTGTGAATAGTCCATCCTTGTTCCTTTCTTACCCCTCTCAATCCAGAGAGGACGGACCTAATCATCATTATCCATGAGTAGACCGTTGGAACTACGTACTCGCAAGCCCTCGCCGGAACGGCCAAAGGAACCGACTGCCATGAGCTCCACCAACAGTATGGGATACCCGCCCATAGCGCGTCCTGCTCCTGCCAAACAGCCCACTGCTGCCCTCTCGGCAACTAACTCATATGACCACATGAACCCGGTCATCGCCTCTGCTGCTTTCAACAACCCCTCCGAAGGCCGAAGTGAGCCACCGTCTCACGGCCAAAAGCGCGCAGCTTCCATGTCTCCTGTCCCTGCAGTATCTGCAAAGCATGTAAAGAAGGAGATTCCGAGCGAGGAGGTCCCGAGGCCGATATTTCCACGTCCTATTCTTGAAATCACGGGCAATGGCCCTGTGTTTGATTCTAACTGGTACCGTTCCGTTCTCGAAGACCCTGCACTGGCAGAGTATTGTGCGCGAAATATCGATTCCATTTCTGCAGCATACGACTCTCTTTTGATAAACAAGGCACGGATTGAGTATGATCTGCGAAGAGTGACGGAGATTATGTTCCAGCATGGAATCGATTTAGAAGACGAGGGTGGAGACAACGAGGATTATGAGTATGAGGAGTTTGACGGCTTTGAGGAGGAGGTGGACAACTACGAGGAGGATGAGCTCTAGCTGCTTTTCAATTTGCAGCCCTGGGGTATTTGATTGTGTTATCCTTGGAGATTAGGATTTTCCCGAGGCCAACAAGGCCCATTGAAAGTCATCAAAAGACTTTAGAAGTTTCATTGCTGGACTAGGATGTCGTTGTGATTGTGAAAAGACTCATGCGAGAATACTGTGTTCGAAATTTAAAGCAAATCTTAGTGGAAGCGATCTCTCGAAAAGCACTTTCTTAATTGCCAACAAACAATCCAGCGCGAATGAGAATGTTATAGAGGGTACGTTCCAAGGCTGTGATTCCCCGATAGCTTCCTTCCATTTCCCTCATGTCTCCTATCCTACCTGCGTATCTCGATGGCAGATACATAAGACTTGAAATGTTGTTCAATTAAATGTTCATTTTGTTATGTACAATGTTCTATCCGTGGTGATCCAAAGATCTGCCAGTCGCTGTGAATCAAAGCTTAGATCTCATGTTCACATGAATCGCCTTGATATTCGAGTAGGCAGCAAGACCTGCCTCTCCCAGTTCGCGACCGATACCGGATTGCTTCACGCCACCGAATGGAATGCGCCAATCACTATCCTGGCTAGAGTTGATCCAGACCATACCAGCCTGGATCTGCTTGGCCACCCGATGAGCTCTAGTCAAATTGGTAGTAAATACGGCACTTCCGAGGCCATATGTGGTATCATTAGCCATCTCGATAGCATCCTTCTCCTCGCCGAAGCGTGCGATCACCACAAAAGGACCAAAGACCTCTTCCTGGTAGATCCGCATCTTGGGAGAAACATCAGTGAAGATGGTAGGCTCAATGAAGAAACCTTTACCATCACCAACACTAGTGAACGGCTTGCCACCAGTGATGAGAGTGGCTTTCTCAGACTTTCCAATATCAACATAAGACATAATACGGTCGTACTGAGCCTGCGTGACCTGGGGTCCTTGGAAAGTCGACTCATCGAATGGATCGCCGATCTTGGAGACATTCTTTACTTGAGCCTTGAAAGCCTCCAAAAAGCGGTCGTAGATCTCATCCTGTACAAGAATACGGGATGTGGCCGTGCAGATCTGGCCCTGATTGTGCATAATACCAATATGGGCCCACTCAACCGCCTGGTCAAGATCTGCATCGTTGAAAACGATGAGTGGACTCTTGCCTCCCGTTTCGAGCGTGATGTTCTTCAGGTTCACGCTCGCCATTTTCATGATTTGTTTGGCTGTTGCAGTGCTCCCAGTGAAGGCAATCTTATCCACGTCCATGTGCGAGGCAAGGGCGGCTCCAGCAACTGCACCGTGCCCGTTGACAATGTTGACCACGCCGGGAGGGAAGCCGGCTTCGATGATAAGATTGGCAAGGAAGAGGATGGAGAGAGGTGTTTGCTCCGCTGGCTTGAGAACAATCGTGTTGCCACACGCAAGGGCAGGGCCAAGCTTCCAAGCAGCCATCGCGAGGGGGAAGTTCCATCTATAGCAAAAGGTTTTAGCATCTGGCATTTTGATCCTTGCCCAGAGATCAATCAGACTTACGGGATAATCTGTCCACAAACACCGACGGGTTCCCGTACAGTATAGGCAAACTTGTCTGGAGTTGTATCAATGACTTGTCCAAAGACCTTGTCGGCATACCCGGCGTAGTAGCGGATTGTCTCGGCAGTCTCGGTAAGATCGTCATTGAACGAAACGGAATACGGTTTTCCGTTGTCGAGGGTCTCGATAGTGGCCAGGGTAGTGCGGTTATCCTCGATCAGCTGAGCCAGCCGGTTCATCAACTTACCCCGGTCGAGACCCGGAAGGTCCCTCCAGCAGGGATTGTTGAGAGCGGCGCGAGCTGCCTTAACGGCATTGTCAATGTCTTGAGCAGAGCCTGCGTGAATAGATGTGATTTCTGTTGCGGTTCTATTTGCAATTTGAGTCAGTGACTTCATCCCAACATAAAATCTTGCTCTCAGGTTACGTACGTGGGATTGATGCTAGCAATCTTCTCGCCAGTCGCACCTTTGACCCATTGGTTGTTGATGAACAAGCCGGTAGGCTGGGTCCAAGTGTGGCCGTTGGGGGCTGTGAGCTGAACGGACAAGTCGGTCATGATCATACAATTCTCTTGCTTTTGGGAAGTGTATGTTAATTCAAGGAGAATTGGTGAGATCAGACGGCATGACAATCTAACAAGTTCTTAAGCTAAGTGTCGCTACGAGGATCGCGATAAGTGCTTCGGCTGGACATACCAATCCAGGCTCATATCGGATCCGCATGGCCCTTTTGCAACGGGCTCCACATGGCAGGTCCATCTTACTCGAATTTATGGGGTTCAAAACGGGATGCCCTTCGAACGCGGGGTCTGGATCGATGGGCGTTGATAGAGCAGGGCGCTAAGCCAGAATAGGCAAGTCCATCCAACGGCTGGAGATGTCGCGGTATTCGGCTTTGGGGGCTCCGGATGCTCGGTTTCACTATTATCTATGATTTTGGCTGCTTTGGATGAAGAGGATGAAGAGCGCGTTTGCTAAGTGATGAATAGTGATCTACAAGAGCGGCTCTCTTATATTTCCCGACCAAGGAAATGATGCCCCGAGCTGCGATATTATGTAATACCCACGTTACACGGAAATAAGCTTGATTTAACGCCTTGGCGTCGGCTGCCACATCTTAGATATTGTCAAAGAAGGGCAGGTCTTGCCTTTGGCTCACGCACGGACTTCCCTATCAGACTTGCCTTATTACGCGGACCACTAGCAGTTCACTGTGTGTGGCCAACACACATCATTTCAAGGCGTTGCAATGCGATTGGCCGGTCCATTGCGATGGCAAATGTTTTACGCAAAAGATATTATGGCATAGAATGAAAGTCACACGGCAATCTTATGCAAGACATCAAGCTTCTCTAGCCTCTAGCCCAAATCGAGCAACGGCAAGAGAACCCATTTTCGGGACCACTATCTCACTCATCCTACCTTTCGTACTCCGTAGATACCTGATTCCAATGGCCCGACTGGGAAGGTACATGCGGGAAATTCGATCAGATATTCAACGTCCATTGAACTATATAAGGTCCTTCGCAGTGTTGAAATGGAGCTTTTGATTCTCTTCAAGTCTCTAACTCTCTCTTTCCCCTCCATAACACCCCCACACCTTCACCATGGCGTCTGCACCTGATACCGAGTCAATTCCAGGCTATACAATCTTCCGCGAGGGAGACTATGAGAGTGTCGCCGCTGCTGCCATGCTGACCGACCGCATACCCCACCCATTAGGTGAGAAATATAGCAATAATAAGTCAAACCCAGTTGCTAACACTGCTGCCAGACCAGCTTTCTATCAAGGAAATTCCCGAGGCGGCAAAGATCATTCGCGACTATGCCAGCCCTAAATTCCTCAAGTTCAACTGTATCACACTCCGGGAACCCCTTAAAGCAGAATACCGGGCATTCCGTGCTGGTGCCATTCCAGCTCCCGCACGTCGTGCTTTTGCTATCGTCATTGTCCATGAAACCTGCCAGGTCGCCGAGGTGGTGGTCAACCTTAACACCGGCAAAGTCGAAGAATGGAAGGATGTCCACGAAGTTATGCCCACTCTCACTCTGGAGGATCTTGATGTTATGGAGCGCATTTCTCGCAAGGATCCTCGCGTCATCCGTGCCTGCAATGAGATCGGTATCACGGACATGAGTAAGGTTTTCATCGATGCTTGGGCCATTGGCATCGATGAGCGCTGGGGGTACGAGCACCGCCTCCAACAGGGTCTGGCTTATTACCGCAATTCCGCATTTGACAACCAATATGCCCATCCGCTGGACTTCAGCGTTGTAGCCGACACTGAGAATGAGAAGGTTCTTAGCGTTGATATCCGATATGTGAATGGTGAGCGCACCGCTGCGCCTCTCAAGGAACACAACTATCTCCCCGAATTTATCGGTGATAAGTACAACCATGACCGCCTCAAGCCTATCGATATTACCCAGCCTCAGGGTGTGTCGTTCAAGGTACGCGGCAACGAGCTGACATGGGCCAACTTCAAGATGCACATCGGTTTTAACTACCGAGAGGGTATCGTTATCTCCGATGTACGCACTCACGACATGTACGAGGAACGCGAGCGTACTCTGTTCAATCGTCTTTCTGTTGTCGAGATGGTCGTCCCCTACGGCTCTCCTGAGAAGCCCCACCACAAGAAACACGCTTTCGACGTTGGCGAGTACGGCACCGGCTTGATGACGAACTCCCTCAAGCTGGGCTGTGATTGCAAGGGTGTCATCCACTACATGGATGGTATCATGTCCAACTCAAAGGGTGAAGCCGCTGTGGTCAAGAACGCCATTTGTATCCACGAGGAAGATAATGGTCTCCTCTACAAGCATACCGATTATCGCGATGGTACAGTGATCTCCGCTCGTGATCGCAAACTGATTGTCTCTCAAATCATCACTGCCGCAAACTACGAATATGGCTTCTACCACACCTTTACTCTAGATGGCACTTACAAGTTGGAGGTGAAGCTTACCGGCATGCTCAACACCTATTGCATGCACCCAACTGAAACCGCCGCACCTTTCGGTACAGAAGTCGCCCCCACCATCAACGCCCACAACCACCAACACATCTTCTCTCTCCGCATCGATCCCGAAATCGACGGCCAAAATAACACCGTCATCCAAAGCGATGCTGTCTCTTCCGAGGCCGCGGTCGGCTCCCCTGAGAACCCCTACGGCAATGCCTTCTACAGCAAAAAGACTCCCCTCCGCACATCCCTCGAGGGCGCCGCAGACTACTGCTACGAAACCAACCGCACATGGGACATCGTCAACCCCAACCGCATCAACAGCATCTGCAAAAAGCCCGTCGCTTACAAGATCCTGAACAACAACTGCCCCCCATTACTCGCCAAACCCGGCAGCACCGTTTGGAAGCGCGCTGCCTTCGCCCGCAAGCCCCTCTGGGTCACTCCCTACAAGGACTACGAGCTCTTCCCAGCCGGTGATTACGTCTGCCAGTCCGATGGTTCTGAAGGACACCCTTACAACTCGACCATCGTCGACTGGGCCAAGCGCGATGAGAACATCGAGAACACCGATATCGTCTGCTACATGCAGTTCGGTTTGACGCATTTCCCACGTACGGAGGATTTCCCTGTCATGCCCGCTGAGCCGGTCAGCATTATGCTGCGTGCTTCAAACTTCTTTGAGAAGAATCCTGGTCTTTGGGTGCCGCCTTCGGCTATCTGTGTTGATACACAGTCGAAGAATGCGTTCCCATCATCTTGCTGTGCACCGAGCAAGTCCCGCATGTAAGGGGTAAAAGAGCCATAGAATTGATTTATTATGTTTGAAAAAAAGGCTTTGGGATGGCCTTCTTGTACATAGGTAAATACAGTTAGAATCTTCGTTTTTATCAAATTGGGTCTTATCATTCTTCTGCTTTGGTTCGACTTGTAGCATCCCCAGGTTCAATTGGTTGATGTTTGGAACCTGGACAACAAATTAAAAAGGTGTCAAACGCGTAGTTCATGAGCATTTGTTGTGACCTTGAGCATAGAGGTTTGATTTTTTGTACCCTAAGCACACATGTACAACAAGATCGTAGAGTAACAAACTGACTTCATCTATACATATCTACCCTTGGGATCTATAAACAAGAAGCATCCATCACAGACGCTAATTCAAGTTCAGATAATATTCTTCAGCTCCTGTCCAGCAAGAAGCCGTCTCAAGTTATAGCCAATGAGCGCCTCCGCCTCGCGAGGCCGTCCTCCCGCAGCATGAGGCGAGAGCACAAGATTAGGCGCGGCATAAAGCTTTGACTCCTTAGGAAGCGGCTCCTGGGAGAATACATCTAACGCAGCACCACCGATGCTTCCCCCCTCTAGTGCCTGAACAAGCGCATCCTCATCGACAGAGGTTCCACGGCCAACATTCACAACCCAAGCATGGCTTGGCAGCAACGCCAACCGCTCAGCGTTCAGCGCACCATTGGTACTTTCCGATCCAGGAAGGATCATAACAAGCGCATCAGTCTTGGGCAGGATCTCGGGCAATCGATCCTCCGCAACAACCTCATATCCATTCCGCACACCGGAACTCCGCGCAACGCCGGTGACATTCGCCCCGAGCGCAGTCAGCACGGGCGCGAGGGTCTTGGCAATATTTCCGAACCCCCAGATAGTAATGTTTGCGCCCTTGAGGGTGCGGAAGGTGCCCGGCTCGCGGTCTGGCTGGGCGCCGCCCAGGTGACCGGGCCACTCGCCGCGGTTTTGGTAATCGCGCATTTCATAGAAACGGCGGGCGGCATTCAGCAATAGACCGAGAGTGTGCTCAGCGACGGTTTCATCATGTAACCCGGAACCGGTGGTGATAGCGACACGGGATGTGTCGAACCCTGCAGAGAGCACGTCATTTGGACCAGCGGCTAGTGACTGGATCCAGCGGAGGTTTTTCATGCGTTGGGCGGCGTCGCGGAGATTGGTCGCTTTGTTGCTCCATGTTACCAGGAAGTCGGCGTCGATTAGGGACTCCGGGATAGGGAGTGTGACGTCGTATGCGTGCAGATCGACGGAGAAGCCTTCCAGAGACTTTGTGTCGATGTGCAGCGAGGTCGGGTAGAGCAGTTTCATTTTGGGGGATTGGGATTGGTGGAGGTGGTTTTTGAGCGTTTGTAGACGTTGGTGTGGTGGCATGAAGAGGGGTCGGGGACTTCTTATGCCAGGGGAAGCTTGGAAGAGAAGGCGAGTGACAAATCTGGCTGTTTGATGGTCCAACGCGGGGTCCCGCGGTCTCGGCGGAGCTCCGCCGAGACCGGGGTAACTCCGGCATCAGGATTGTCAGCGAGCATTCTGTTCTCGAGACGAGGGTAGCTCCTTACAATCGCGGGGAAATGACATTGTCACCAGTCTCTAGATATCCAATCGGGTCAATTCAGTTCATCGGGAACAGCAATAACCGTTTCCCTACCTCGGTCACCAATTAGAATAGTGAAATACGACCGATTAGGGATTTAGCTTAATTGGAGCAATAAACTGAAACTAGGGAAATCTGACCTATCCAGGCCTATACGTAGAGAAATGGATTCTTATAAGGATATACTAGTGGATTATGTTCTAGCTAAGAATAATACAGGTGATTCTTTCCATTCTGCCTGGGATTTCCGCCCGGACCGGGTCAAGGTTTATCCTAGCAGCTCGTGACAGCGTTATCACTAGGACTCGTGGGCGAGAACGCCACTGGCGCCCTGGCCACATCATGCCTATTTAGGTAAGAGCTAACTTCACCGTAATACCAATACATACTGGCCCAGATGTTATCATAGTGCGCTCATATGCTAGGTAAGAATCTCTGTATTAGGATGAAATAGCTTACTAGTGTATGCAGTGGGGGCAGTGGAGACTCCCGCGCGAGCTGCCCTGGCAGTATACCTACATACATACCTACCTGGTATCTGGAGTGCAGGCACAACTGTCATCCACTACAGTCTATACTATGGCCACGACCGGCCCATCCACCACGATCCGTCCAGATGCCTTCCCCGACTTCTTCACTATGGGACGCCGGAGCGGGACTCAGCAAGATCTTGGTGGGTGCGAGTTCCTGACACACTGTCCCCCCGACCTTCCCCCCCCGGCATCGCATATTAGCCCTCCTAGGCATTACAGATACGAACGATCTAGCCAGCCCTAGTGAGGATGGGTGGTTTGCGTCGGACTTTTACCTGTTTCACCATCTCTTATCCCCACGATTCCCACGACGTGAGTTTTCCTCGTCTTATTTTCTTACCCGTCCCCTGCTATCCCCTGCTAACCTTACGAGGATCACTAGCGCCCAACCAAATATGGTTGACGTGCGAAGACCCGGCGGCCCTCGTTATAAAATACCATGAATACCTTCATGGTGACCCAGAAGGTGACCGTCGGGCAGTACTAGATGGCGAGACACTCCCTAACATCTTAGCGGCTGGGAACGTACGTGTTGTGCCACGGAAAGATCTTCTCGAGAGGTACCTCGGAACACTACGAGAGCAAGCGGCTAAAGCGGCCTGCTATGAAGAGCATCTGGTCCTGCTGATCTTTGGGCACGGCACCCCAGCCTATGGGGTAGAGGTCGGAGGCTCTATCCTACAAATGGAAAGCCTTCACTATATACTGCAACCAATATCCTCCATAACTATCTTTACTACGTCGTGTTACTCCGGTGGCTGGCTCGTCCACCAATTCGCTAAGCAACAACAGCTAAACTCCACAGCTATAACAGCAGCGGGCGATAAAAGTCTATTATCATCGTGGGCCGTCAGCAGAAGTGCTGGGCGCGTTAGCGGTAGCTTAGCCGCCTCCGCCGTTCTACGCTGTCTAATAGACGCAGAGGACGAAACCCAGGAGGTAAAACAGCATCCCACTTACATTCAATTTTCGAAGTCAGTATATGACTGCGTGAAGGGGATGGGAGCACTCGGTCATTCCCAGCAGATCTACTTCTCTGCAGAAAATGACGAATGGGAGATGAGTTACCAACCTCGCCTCGGTCTGCCCCTAACATCATATAAGGACAAGTGGCTCTCTCTACGACAGGTCCCTCCCTCCCCTTCCTTGGCCAGTGAGCCGGGGTCCGCCAAAACTGGCGGCCGGCGCCTCAAAAATCTTAAGTATCTCGCACAAGAGTACTTTGCTGCGAAGCCCGGTCCGAACGAAGCGGGCCCGAATATTGGCCTACATAATTGTCTCCGATTTGTCCTCAAGGGTGCCACATACCCACAGGAAAAGCTAGATGACCTGACGGAAACAACAGCCTACAGGCTGGGGGCAATGCACGAAGCGGACTTTTTAAGGGAGCAGATAGGGCTGGATTTCCCCTCAATCTTCGACATAGAGACACCCCTAGCCCTGAAGGAGAATCAGTCCCACAACCCATTGTACGGAGATACATGGAGATTGCTTCGGGACCGGGAGATCTGTACAACTCCTATTGGGATCCGTCTGCATTTTGCCAAGCCCCTCCAGTACCTTACAATTGCACTAGTGGAGTCATCATCATCCTGGGAGATGATTCAGGGCCAAGTGGAGGCTATGGCCTCCAAGAAAAAGGCCTGGTTCCGGTTCATCTACAAGGCGTGGATGGGAAACCGAGTCGCCCATGACGAAAGGGTGATGAAGAGCAGACGAGCCTTCCTAGAGGCTTGCAAACATCTCAGAAATTAACCACGAACGATGCCGTCGGCGTCGAGGAAGCTATGGCGTCCTTGGAGCGTTCACACTCCCACTCAAACCCACAAAACTGTAGCTGTCCTTAGCTTCTGTCACCTGGGCACATGTATTCATTAGCCAGCTAGATAGCTACCTAGGGACCTAGCCCTCCATGTCAGCCAGCCCGCCGGCTAGTCCACTCCTTCCTAGCCGGCGAGGAGCCCTACCCCAGAAGTTGTGATTCAGAACGAAGTTGATTCTAAACTGACCCCTTCCCACTCCCCCTTTCCATATTAAGCTAGCAGGCTTAGTGCAGGGACTTCCTAGTATTTCTTGGCGAATTCAACCAGAAGACTGCCACTCCTCTTCCAAAGATGTTATCCTTGGATCATTAAACTCCATCAGTCCTACAGTGAATAATTACTTCTTGGGAATACATCGTCCTGATACACAAACAATCGGCAAATCTTTCTTATTTCCCACTAGCCCAGCCCGGAGCAACCAGTCTCGAGGAAGCCCACCAGCTTGCAGGATGATTGGGAGTTGGGAGTTGTTTGGGACCAATTCCCAAGGGCGGGCCGGGTCTGTTTCTCTGCCGACAACATCTCACAGGATCACAATAGATAGCAAACGCCCGCTTAGCACGAGAGAAGTCTACAGGTTGATTACCATCAAAGTACACGCACAGTCCCATCTGAAATAATTACAGCGCAATGGGTATCAATCGATTCGGCCACGGCCCAAAGGTAACAAAGCTATATAACGAGAAATATACACAGAACAAATAACGAGAATATATGTACGGTTCAATCATCCAAATACCGCTTTTGGGGCTTACGCAGCACTGTCTTTTTCAGGAATCTCCGAGTCACCCGCGACGGCACCAGTGCCCCTCAAGAAGAAATCCAGCTCGCTTGGCCCGCCCTGCGAGTTCTCGTTCTCCGCGAGCTGCTCTAACAAGCTCAGGAATGGGTCTTTTTCAAGAGTCCCTCCTTCACTGCTTGTCTGGGTGCCGCTGGTTTGGGATTGGGCGCCGGGCGTGAGGGCGTTGGGACCCGTTTGCATGCCGTTGAAGTTGGCGTGGGCAGTGTCGAAGGGGAAGGTTGCGTATTGCGGGTTTGAGGGGGGTGTTGGGGCTATGTTCAGGGCGGTGTCAGTTAGGAAGGTGGGTGGTGAGAGGCCGAAGGCGGAGGGGGAGAAGCCGGTTGGGAGGGAGAGGTGGGTGTTTTCTGGCGCTCCTCCGGATAGGTCTGTTCCGGGTGGCAGCGTGAATATTGAGGGGAGAGATGGTGATGGTTGGTGATTGCTCGGAATTGTGTGGAATTGAAGGGTGGGTGAGAGTGAGGCTGGATGAGGGGGATTTTGGGATATGGACTGGGAATTCGAATGGGAATGGGAGTTTCGACGGTCGGTGTCTGTCATTTGAGTGGATGCTAGGGGTGTTGAAGGACCTGGCCTTGTGGTAGAGAAATAGGATGAGGGGGTCTGATATGAGGGTGCGGGAATTGGTCTCTGATAGTATTGATCTGGACGATCGCTGAAGTTTGCCGTACTGGAATTCGGGTTAGTGATCAAATTTTCTCCAACAAATCATTCAGTATGTGACTTACTTTGGAGTGAGTTCGTCACCCGTGTCTACCAGCCGAACGTGTGATCCATCTAATGTCAGACCTGGATATCGGTCGAGGAAGTCTTCGAGATGGAAGACTGGCGAGAACCGCATTGGGCTACTAGCCAGGTTGCGCACTAACTCGGAGTGACAAGTATAGATGGTCTGAAGCAGCTCACGCTGATGCTGCACGCCGGTCCAGATATTGCGCAACCAAGCCAGCTGGTGCATTTCCCGAGTGAGAAATTCAGCGCTAGAAGAGAACACCTCTCCTTCGCGGCCCTTGTAGTGCACACCGTGGACATGAACAGTACCCGCTGTGCACACACAATATCCGATGAAAGCAGCCCATTCAATCACCGGAGAATTGCGACCCAGTTCCACCAGCTCTGCGATGGCATTAGAGTGCGAGAAGCACAGGTTCGTGGCCTCAATCTGCCAGGACTGATGCTGTCCTGTGCCTCGAAGTTCTACCAAGTCAATTGGGAGGAACGGGCGATAAATCAAACAATGTACCAGATGATAGATCAACTTGCTCAGCAAAAGTGTTGTGCTCTCAGGGTGCCCGAACAATGCATCAATAGATGCAAAGACATCTTGCGTACCGGCCGCCCAGATGTCTAGTTCTTGTCGAATTTTGGAAAGATTAGAAAGCGCATGCCAAGGGAAATGAGAATCCCCTTTAACTCCACCGGCCGCTAGGTACTTATTAGTGACACCGAGAATACGTGTGATGTCGATTAGCAACGATGCAGCACTTGGTGATTTGCGCCGGGAGTCCGCAGAGTATTGCACATTCGGACCAACATGGAAAAGTTCTCCCTCCACATTCAGACCAGCTGCATGGGGTGACCAAGATGGTAGGCGCAAAACAACCGAATAGTCAGAGATGAGACATGGACGCCTAGATCCACAATTGATAAATCTATCCGTCAAATAGACAGACCAAAATAGTCGACGTCTCATCTCTCGCTCAGCAGGCGCAACATTCATCTTGGAAGGACACTCGCGGTATAAGTCGAGTGCAACAACCATGGCCACGCAGTTTGCTGATTATTATTAGTTCTATTTACTCCAGTATGAAACATGGAAGATATACACACAGAATGTCATGTAGGCTTTCTTTCCCAAGCCATATCCATAGAAAGCTTGGGAAAGTAATAGTAAGGCCTGTAATCCTTCTATTGTGGGATTGTCGACGTCGATCGTGCGCCTTGCCTGTAGGGCCGTATCAAGCCCGACGCGTAATGACTGGTCCACCTGACCTGGTGAAGTTGTATACCTGAAATTTGTGAGTCGAAGATGCTAAGTGTGAAAATCAAAGCTTGGCGATTTTACCTCAAGGACATTGCCAATATTGCCATAGCTAAACACGCGGGCAATTGTCCCAGTTGATGACGTTGTCGCGTTGTCGGCTCGTCGAGTATGTAAAACGGCTTTCCGTGCAAGCGCGCAAAGTATATATCAAGGATTGCGTCCGGTAGCGACCCATTGTTTGTTGGAGACGGCTGCTGCAGTAGACTCGATGGGTGGCCAGTCAGCCTGGGGAAGGGATCCCCGTGTTGCGACAGAGAGGTAGCCAAAGCAGTTCGATCGCTCGAAGAGTATAAACTGAATGAGGCATCGACGGTGTTGCGACGGGCAGGGAAGCTAGGTGGATCGTCCGAGATATCAGGAGAAGTGGGTGAGATGGGGTTTTTTTCGTCGTGGAGTCGCTTCTCCAATCCATCAACTCTCTTGAGCAGGGCTTCTAGCACATCGGTCTTCGGACCTCGTTTTTTGGGTACAGCATCTTCAACGAAGTCAGGTCAACATAGGAATCATATGATGTGGGGGAGCCAGATTCACTTACCATAAACACATGGACACTGGAAGACCCTACATGCCTCGCAACTCGGTCGCAAACGGTTACATTTGATCTGGGGTAGGTTAGCAACAGGCAATTACGCATCTGATTTGACATACCTTTCGTTTGCGACAAGATTTGCAATTCATAGTTTCGCGCGGCTCGACCGTCGCCCGGCGGGGCGTGAGACGGTCGATGCTGACCTGAGGACGAGACATGGCTCTACATGGACGAGAGAGATGAAGAGAAGAAAGAAAGCGGCCAAGATGAACAAGAAGTAAACCGCATGGCTGTGGCGTTTGAGAAAAGCCTATGTGTGACAGTTGCGGAGAGAGAGGAATGCGGAGAAGAGGCCGGGGATGTGCCGCCGGAATTCCCACTTTGGGGGTTTTCTTGCTTTTTTCCTTCTTTTCCTTCTTTGCAGTCGATTCTTCTCTTCCTTGCTCTGCTTCTATACATATTGTATGAATTATATTGCAGCTCTTCCCTTATTATATTCTTCTCACATGTCAATCAATACATACGCTAATTATCTCGAAACCACTCCACTCTCCCAGGGAGAACTGGCCAGACTCCCCCGGAGCATTGTCTTCTTTGATCGACCTCCGTTAGGGCTCCGACGCCAACATCCGCGATCATCCAGGCACGTTGATGCACCCCATAAATGCAGTAGTTTGTTGGATTCGACCAATCCGTAGCTACTTCCTCCCTATCACGGGGTAGCTCCCGCTTGGGCCCAGTCCCCTCAGTGTCTTACAGAATCTGCCAATGTCTGCAGAACAATTCCAGTACAGAATGAGCTATGTGATGTAGAAAACAGGGCGTGTTACTCCCGCTTCCATTGAAACACCCCCTGACCGACTATCAGGCCTTCCTGATCCCTGGAAAGCCGTTGACTCCATCCCAGGAGCTACTAGTACGGAGTTAGTAAGCGCTTGATCGGCCACTTCAGCTACTGTTTTGGATACGGAACCTCGATCCTAGTCAACTTTAAACTTCCGTCAAGTGTCTCCTCGCTGCTCTTCAGGCCGGAGAACGTTCTGGATCACGTTATTATAAATACGTCCAGAATGCCCAGACATTCATGTTAAAGTAGGTACGGAGTACATCAAAAGTACCTCCATCGATGTACTCCATACTTCGTGGCTGCATGGATTGATACATGTATCCATGGAAGAACAAACTCTAATATACTCTTCGGTCAATCCAAAAATACTCAAAATACTCAAAATACTCTATATGCGACTACACAACAACCACTGCAAACTACGCCAAAACCTTCCCCTGTCTAACAAACTCCGCCATCTCCCTCGCCGTACCACCCATCCTCTCCAACCCCTCAACCACACCACGCCGGTCATTAACCGGCCTCTCCTGACTAACCTTAAACCGGCCCTCGACACGCGTAATCTCAATCTTAATCCCGACAATATTCCTCAAAAGCCCAGCAATGTAATCCCGTGGCGCATCAGCGATTTTCCAAGGGACCGGGCCCGACACCGGCACCGGCACCGGCGATGCCGTGCCGTTCCCATTCCCCGTCACCGCCCCCTGACCTAGCTCCCAGTCTAGACTCTCGTTTCGAGAACCCTCCCCATCCCCACTTCCAGCTTTCCCGTGTTTGACATCGACCGAGCCGGACTCATCTTGAAACCTCATTATTCCCTCCTCGCCCAGTCGGGCCAGATCCCCCAGCTGCTGGCGCAGGAACTGCTCCGTCTGCTCGGTCCTAGTGTGGTAGATAGTGGCCCGACCGTAAACCTGTACGGCAGCATAGTTCCACGTCGGCGCTACCCTGCCCGTGGCGCGTTTCGACTCGGTGTAGAAGTTCGGGGTGATGTAATGGTCTACAGGGCTGGTGAAGACGATTAAGACTTCGTCGGGGAGCGTATAGCCTGCCGGTGGGGGTTCTTCGGAGGTTGGTGTGGGAAAGGCGCCTGGGATCCTAACGGGTTTCGTGCTTTCCGCAGATTCTACCATGGCTTTGCTTTGCGGGTTTTGGCGCGCGATGTGGCCACGGAGGACCCCCATCTGGGGATAGGATGGGGCGGCGGAGGATTCATTGTCGGCTTCTTTTGCTTGGTCTGCTAGCTCGGTGTCCAAGGCTGTTTCACTATCCAGAACCCAGGGGATGTGGCTGCATTGGAGAGTTTGGTGGTCCTTTGAGGGGAGGGAGGTGGTAAGGACGCCTAGTGGATGTTGCTTGATGAATGCGTGTAGAGTTGGGAGGTCTCGGACTGCATGGTCAGGACGAAGATGCATTTCTGTCTAAGACAGAGTGAATGTCGGAGAATGGGAGAAGCAAGGCCTATGATACTTCGAAATGAGGGGTCAACCCCGGATTTACTGATAAGCTCTTATCCGACGCCCTGAGCAACCAGCTACGTCAATTGACCCAGGGCTATTGCGAGGGAAAATTATGAATACATGAGTTTATCATGCTCGTAGTCTAAAGGTCTCATACCCAAGCCGCAGAACAAGTCGTGAACGACTTTCTATTAGGACACGGAGAGAAAAGTCCGAATTTTCTGCACAGTCCTCGAGAGCACTATACTTCCCCTTCCACAAAACCGGACGAAGAAGATTGTTTTTATGCATTTTGCTGGGCATTATTCAAAGTGAAACACTGGGTTTGTAATCTCTAGGTGTCTATCGGAGTCTAGGTACTCCCCCCTTCACAAATTTCCGTTGTTGTCAAACGTTGTGCAGTATATATAAAAGACCGCGTCTCATTCCTCTCACAATTCTATCTAACTTAAATTCTGTTTTGTTTCCTTCATTTTTGTTCACGAATCTACATTTCTATACCTTCCTCACCCACCATTTTTGATGCCCTAAACTAAGTTTGATTTTCAGCGATACAAGCCCTGGTGTTCTATTACAGTGTCGCCAAGGGAGGTATTTTACCTACGGACCTTCTATGGAAAACTGGTTACTGCCGAACCTTTAAGCGCACATTGACACAAGGAAGCCTTGTCTCTCAACCGAAGTCCCTTTAGAGACAAGGCACTCAGTGCCCATCAGTGCGAAAAAGCGAGATATAGTACCGGCTCAGAGCCCGATCTCCAGAATGAAAAAAAGTGACCAGTTCCGACATCTATTCCAAAGATAAACCGGCGAAAAGAAACAGGCTATATAGAAGATACGTATATAATCGCTAGAACAAAGGCCTCCCAGAAGCCATCCTCACAAAATCAAAAGGCACATTCTGCCCAACAAGCAATCTCAACGTCTCAACAGTCGTCCAAGCAATAACATCCTCAACCCCATACGCCGTCCACCCAGCACCAGTAGCAACGGCCAACGGATCACCCTTCCGCGGTCCACTCGTAAGATCTAGATAAACCTTACCGCGTGTCGAAGGCGGCGATGAACGACCATTAGTGCCGTAGTGGCGCAGCAAGGGCTGCACGAGTAATGATTTCTCAGGTGGTAGCGCTGAGACGATTACGAAAGGTTGTTCTACCCGTTTGACGGATTGGATGGAGGTGAAGGGCTCGAGGCCCGCTGATAACGGGCCGGTGGCTCTGAAGCCGACGGTGTAGATTGTGCCGATGGCTAGACTGCGTAGTGCGAAGATTGCTGGTGAGGCGTCTGCTTCGGAGCCGGCGAGGATGATTGCTGCGCGACAGCTGTATGCTGATGGGACGTACTCGCGTGTCAATGTGGCCCGGATGCCTTTCCAGGCAGCGTTTTCGCCGACGAAGCGGGAGATGCCGGGGGCTGTGTCGCTTGGTGTAGTCATTGCAATCGTGTCGACTAGACCGATTGCGCAGGCTGCGTCGCTGACTGCTGGGATGAAGCTCGTTGTGCTTGATACTGGGGGGTTCACGTAGGCGCCGCCGAATTGGGGCTGGAGAATGATGGATTCCATATAGCCCTTTGGGCCGCGGTCAACGGAAGTGAAATTGTGTGGGAGGCCTAACTCGTTCAGGCATTTCTCCATGAACATTGAGTGTGGAGTGGAGCGGAAGGAACCGATAGCGTAGAGATCGCGCTTGGGGAGTTGGCCCATGATGTGTAGTGCTTCGTTGATCTCGGCTGCCGTTAATTGGCCCGGGGCGGCGATCATTGGGAGGAGTGGGTGGGTGATGGGAGAAAAGACGGTGTTCAAAGCACGGGATAACTGGCCCATTTGGCCCATATTGACTGCTGATAGGAGTGGGCCACTGCCACGGCTTTTGATAGTCGAACGGAAGTATTCCAGCTCGTAATTCTCCTCAATTGTATGGACCATGGCGATCATCTTCACAATGTCGGCATATTTCGCACTTTCAGTGAAGATGCGCTGAGCATCTTCCGAGGTCCACTTCCAAGTGCCAGAAAAGTCATGGAATGCAGATAAAATCATACTATGACCCTTATTCTCAGCCAGCTGGCGACGTATCTCCTCCGGTAGCCACAGCTCCACATCAACATATTCCACTCCCCACTGTATCGCGCGTCGTAGGTACTTGTAAAAAAGCGAAGGGTCATCAACCGGAAACTTCCCATTCTCTCTCGTACAGCGAACAGTAAAGATAATAGGCAACTCAGTATGCTGGCGCAAAAGCATCAATTGCTGCCCCACATACTTCAAACTCGGGACCAGCGGAGTCGTCAATCCCTCCGGCGCAGGATCAACGAGCAAATCGACACGAATCTCAACAGCATCAGACCCAACAGACAGAATATCCAAATTCGGCAACGCAGCATGCACATCGGGAAAAGTCGTCGAGATAAAATTCGTCCGGGTCTTAGTCCGCAAATCATCATGCGGCCTCGTCTGACCAAGAATCAAAGACAAAAATCTCGCCAGGTCCCGACGCAATAGTGGGCCCCGCGAATATAAGAACTCGTAATCACAGATCTCGGTCAGCGAATCTTCCGGTGCAGACCCGTCCTCCACGCAATATGTGTTGACCAGAATGAGAGATGATCGCTGACATCCTTGCAAACTTCGCGTTAAATCGCGCGCTAGGATCCCCGCTACCACTGCATCGCTGGCTCGCGCAAGGGTTCCAAGCGACACTTCCGTTGTCCATGGTTTGCCCAAGACCTCCGCTACCAGTTGCACGATATGCTGCTGGTTCTGGCCGTACACAATCACCACCGTCCCCGCGGCAGTAGCGGTCGGCGCAGGTATTGCCGCAGATAGCTGCTCTTTGAAGGTAGCCGGAAGAGCGGAAGAGAGGATTGTGGTAGCGTTGGAAGGAACGGCGACATTGGGGTTCGCGCCGAGGGCATCTTGCGGCTTGAGGGCGGTCGCGGATATCGCGGGATCGTCGAGCAGCGGCGTCGCCATATGCTGCGGAAAGGCTGTCGGAATCATCGCATAGCAGTGCCAGGCGTTTTCATACTTGGACCCTGCGATGTATACTCAGGGCGAGGTGTGTCCAGACGAGGTAAAAATGGAGAACCAGGGAAGGGGAATAAAACCAAAGCGCAAGGACCAGGTAGTAGATTCACAATTCGGTTTCTCAACAATCTCCCAGACCCAGTGAAACAGGTAGGTAGTATCGGGATATTTTCGAACAATTAGGAAAAGGGAGCCAAAGGAGGTTAGCCTTGGATCCAGGGACCTATGTCAAACCGCGTGGAGGTTAATAACCCGCACAGGATCCGAATGGACCACATTTGAGAGGACATCAATCGATGGAAGAACTCGTTGAGGTTCCACCCAATGCGCCCGCGATTCCACGCAGGTGGACGCGGGGAAAAGTGGGAGGCGGCGTTGGGTTTATCCGCCAATCACACGACTTCTGGATGTCATGTGCAATCAGGGGTTATATGTATTCATCTCCTATGCACTCTGGTCAATTGCCCCGTCCAACCAAGCCACCGTGTATAATAGCCTATTTAACACTCCCAGCCGGGGCTGCCGGCACAGCCTCATGCCCTGAGGGTACTGCACTTGCCATGATCCGATACGAGGGAAAATCATTGACAAAGGGTCTCAGCCTCGGCCAGAGCAAATGATCGACCACGGGAGACGGGGTGCTACCTAGTCTATTGCACCCCATTCTGTTAGTGAGAAACACACAACGAATCAGACTACAGGGCTGGCAGAAGTACATTCCGAGGTTGATACCAGTGGACTCATACAATCTGGAAGGGGGAGAATGCTCAAAGTGATATGGTCCCATACTCTGTATGCAACAAAATAATGCTCTATGTAGATAGTGCTATGACTGGTCCCTACATCCGAAAAACAGCCGGAATTGTGTGAAAGCGTCGAAACAAGCCTCGGAGGAAAATAATCCCAGAAGATAAGCTATAAACCACACCTTACAGGCATGTACGATAGATCCAACGCTGCAGAACGAGAAGTATAAAAAAGACGAGACAGAATCAAGAAAGCCGCCCAATATCGTATTTCAAACAACAGATTAAGACATAACGAGAGGAAAATACCTACCAGATCGGGGGGGTATTGGGTAGTAACAGGTAGTCAGGAACAAGAAATGCAGGCCGAGAGGGAGGAAAAGGGAGGGGGAAAGGGCAAGAAAAGCAGAGAGGTACTGGTCCAGAGAACAGACATGTATGTATCGGTATCAGGCACACAAATAATCAGTTATCCACATCGCTTTGCAAACCAAAATGGCGCTTTTAGGGGAGGGAGGGATTTGTTCACAATTCCGTGCATCAAGCCGGAGTCAACACTATGTACGAAGACAGAAACACAGCCGAGAATCGGCACGGGCACCGTCCGACATCTTTCAAGATGTCATTGGTCTACCACGGTAGAGCATGGCAGTTCAGATAAGGAAGGAAGAGAGAGGAAGAGAGAGGCGCAAAAAGTGCAATCACACCATGCAACATTCCGTTTGCGGGGGGTGTTTTCTGAGAAGCGAGATATTTTCAGCCGAGCCAGCGGTCTGTCATTCTCAGCATGGGTCAACACATATGCCCAAACGAAGACATAGGCAAGAGGCAGTCAATATCGCTGGTTATTGGACAAGGCACAGAACGAACAATCCCATGCAAGGAAAGCCGAATACCGAGTCGAGGTCGGGAAAGAAGTTTCGAGTTTTAAGCTCGAGGGAGAGATGGACACAGTGTTGCAAGAAGGTGGTATGGCCTCCGCAGGACCCACCCGCACGAGGGCAAGACAGATAACGATGAAATGATGAACGGGCTACTCGCATTCGGAATCGCACCAATTAACTGGGAGGTGAGATGGCGAGTCCATTCATCAGATTGGGCAGCGGCTTTCTGCGGGCAGTATTTGCCGTCTTGGAAACCCGTGGCGCGCCGTGGATCATGCGGGGCTCTGTCATCAGACTGGTATCCAATTTTGCCGGTGCTGGAGGAATCATGTAAGTGAGTGAACTGCAGTGGATATTAGGCTCCTGGGGCGTACCTCTGGTAAGAACTCTGCCGTAATCGGTAGAAAGATTCTGCTGGCTACGGCTGGTTGGCGTGTAGAAGGTAGCGTTGGCTGTGCGCCACAGATGATTCGAGGTATCTGATAGGAAGTCTGTGGTTGAGCGGCCAGAGAAAATCGATGTACGGCCACGGTTGCGCTTTGCCAAAACGATCTCGTCGAACAGAGTCATGCGCGGGTCCTTCGACTTCGGGTTTGTTCGCTCTCGGTCACTGATGAACTCGTTGAATCCTACGCGGAGGTCAGTATGTGATAAATGGTACGATATAAGAACTCCGGTGACTTACCTTGAGTCTGTTGCAATACCACGATATACTCTGCATGCTCGCTCGGCAGACTCTTCATGAAAGCATCCATATTGAAGTTGTAATACATGCCAGACTTCTTCTTGTCGCCACTGGCCGGCACGAGGAACTTCTTGTACGTGTAGAACAAGCTAGCGAAACATCTGACAAATGCAGCACGAATTTGATCGGGATGGAACGCTGCATCACACGGCAGACACACCATGGAGGCACAGCGGTTGTGGACAGTCAGTTTGCATGCAGAGCATTTGTACATGCCTTCCTCTGCCTGTTCATCACAGATGGCACATGTCGATTTATCGTCCCATGGTTGAACTTGGAAATAGTGACCCTCGGCCCAGCAAGTGCCCTCGTTATTACCCATGGGCTGCGTTGTAGATTGTGGAACGATCGTCGACGCAGCAATGGTAGACTGTGCATATACAGACGGGGCATATGTTGATCCACCGTAATCGGTATTGAGGGTGGTCACTGAAAGGTTCGATGCATGACCTAGGAACGGAGCACTTGGACGTCGAGTCATTCCAAACGACGAGCTGCGGCGGGAAGCGGCATCAAAGTGACCGGAGCGCTTCTCGCGTAGGGAGGCTTGCAAGGCCATTCCAGAATCGTTGCGTGACGAGGGTGCTAGCGGAGGAGGGAAGTAGCCCGATGTAGGCGAGCTCTCTCTTGGGGAGGGTGGAGAAGCACTGGCCCTCATGGTAGAACTGGTGCCTGGACGCTCACTCCCACGAGATGAGTATCCACGAGAGGGACCGGCCTCATTTCGCGCGTGCAGGAAGACATTGAAGATTGGAGGGGAATAGGACCCGGGGGTACAGCGGTTGCACCGAACGCACTGGAATTGAGACCAACATATTTGGAGAGGTTAGTTGCAGGCGCTTTGGATGTAAAGGTAGCCTTGCTCTCCGACATGAACGAGTCCCATGGATAGGTTTCAATTGCGTATGCAGGAGGCCCAGTGGGAATATGGTATCGACCGTGCTGAGGAGCAGCTAGTTGCAGTAGAGACAGAAGCTTCCTGCGCTGATGACGCGGAAGGGAGGTCGGTTGAATGGTACTTTCGATCATGTTGTTGTCCAAATCAACTAGGACGAAATCGTCTGTCGGCAATTCCACCTTCTCGTACCGACGTTCAATGCCCACAATGTACGGACATGGTGCCTCCAGGGCCTGAATCAAGCGGGCAGGGAGAACAGGAATCAAAACGCCCGTCCATTCTAGCGGGAACAAAAGATCGACCAATGCCCTGGTCGCGAGATAGAGCATGGAGGTGTGAGAAGACAAGAAGATGATGCGGGATTCGGTAAGAGCATACTGCATGTGGTCAGCATTGTGTCTTGTCAACCGCACAAATCAAACAAGCCTACCTCGAAGAGAATGATAATATTAGGAACTGACAAAGTACGGAACAAGGCGTAGAGATCAGTCTAACAATCAGTCAGTAAAGGGTTTTGATCAGAGAAACTCAAACCAAGAATTGCGGTACACATACGTTCCGAGAACCAGGAATCTCATTAGGCGCCTCTTTCCGCGCGAACAATCGCAACTCCCGAATCGCAAGTTCAACCTGCGTCTTCGAAGTTATCGGTGCGAACGCCTCTGTACACAGATTCATGACATATCGCTCCAGCGGCTGCCATACACCCATGCGCGGTGAAGGAGGAGGTACATGCTGTACGCTGCCCTCCGTCATGGGAACCACAATAGCCTTGAGCCATTCTTTCCAGAAGCTCGTCATGGTGCTCTCTCGGCCCAAAATGCCGTATGCACGAGGAATCCAGAACCCTGTATCGCCATCGGTCAGGCCATCAATCTTCGAGGCTGCGCCATGCCGGACGGGACGCAGAAGATCGGTCATTAATCCGATCTTCTCTTCCACAGCGCTGATCTCATCTTCGAGTTGTTCACGAGATTCAGATCCCGACTGGACAGTTGGGAGCTGTGCTAGGAGACGTGATAATTTGGCCCGCTCTGATGCCAATCGTTCGCCCAAGCTTGCAGCTAGCTCGCGTTCCTCGTCGGTCATGTTATCCTTCCGCCATTCCTCACAGCGCTTCTCGAGCTCTCCCGCGGCATTCGGGTTGAGAGGTATCCAGATAATCACACAGATGGCGTGCAGCCGGGAACCATTATCCGTTGTCATGGCAAATCCGTGCCAAGTGGAGCGAGGTCGCTGATCGGAAGAGACAATATTGACATCATTGGGGAAGGCGAACATGGGAACGTAGTCGGGGAAGTTACCGCGTTGCTTCGTCTCGTCCGGCATACCGCGTGTGGGGTATCGGTCGAGGAGAACCGGCTCGAATCGTCGCTTTAACGGGTGCATTGTGCTGGGGATCTCGAGGGGTTGCGGGGCAGGAATTACCGAATTGTAATTACTAAGTCGCCTGGAAGTTCGGACCGAAGCTAGAGACAATTCACCGTTAGCCCATTTATCCATCCTCGGTTCCGAGCCACAGTCGTTCGAAGAATGCGGATCCCGGTAGAGTGTAGTAAGAGAGTTCTCACCCTGGCGAGCAACCGACGGCTGCCGCTTCATACTATTCATATCTCGGAAGGCCATGTGTCGTCGTACACTGCCAATGCCTGACCTGAGCAAGTTACCGCCAGGGGAGGGCGAATCATCGGAGACGATCTTCTGTGTACGAACGCGGGATCGCGGGCGGGTATTCGGGGTTATAGCGCCAGCGCTCAAGCTCAAGTCGGTCAAAAAGGATTCTCGCTCGTTGGCGAACTTGAACAGCGCGGAGTCGAAGTCGAAGTCCTCGTTGAACATCGCGGAGGCACGCAGGGGGGATGAGGCACCTTTGACGGTCATGCTGCTGCGATTACTGTTGGTGCCGCCGGTAATCGTCCCCCCTGAGCTCCTTGAGAGCGTGGATAAACGCTGGACGGAGCTGCGCCCACCGGCGCCAGTCCAGAGTGTCGAGTTTGGCCGAGGGGTACCCTCGAGGTTGTGTTCCTCCTCCGCATCGGCATCCTCCTGAATGGTGTCGGCGAGCGCTGAACTGGGAGAGGTCGCGCCATTGGTACGGTAATCTTCTCCCAATCTTTGAAAGGTATCCAGGATCTCTGTACCATCCACACCAGCTATCCAGAAGTAGTCGGCGAGGGGAGCGCCGTCCGATGGGCTTGACGATGGCATTGTGGAGAGAAAGTCACGGGGGACTGGAGTGGGTTAAAGCCGTAATTGTCACCACATGGACCGCAGGTATAGGGGGAATGCGAGGAATTGAGCGCATGTGGTTTTTCGGGGAGGGAGAAAGCTGGTAAAAATGGGGGAGAACGGGAGGGAGGGGCAGTTCAGAAGATCAATTCGATGTTTCGGGGGTTTGGAGGTATTAAAAAAGGAGTCTCGATTTAATATTATTTCTTTTCTCTTTCCCTGCCTCTTGTGTTATGCTTATGTCCCTTTTTTTTCCTTTCTTTTTCCGTTTCGCATTACTGATTATTTTTTTTTTTGGTTTCCCTCGGGTGGTTGCTTAGGGGAACTGTTACAGCTCAACGAACTTTCCAATGTGCGGACATCTTTGCTCCACTATATAATCACAATGGGCAATGAGTTCGTCCCCAAGTGCCAGTATGGTGTAAGCCAGTTCAAGGGCGGCCATTCACAGCCTTCGCAACCATGCACAAGAGTCTGACACCGTAGCGACCTGCAGGTATCTGCAGGGTGGCTGGACTCTAAGAAACCCAGACTCCAGACTTCCGGGGTATAGGATGGCAGTCCATACATAGGTATACACACTGCCCAGGTGGTATTGAAGGTCTCAATATCTCCTCCGTCCATGGTCCGTACACAAGAACATCCCTAGGGAGGAACTCCCGCTGACTTCATCGCCCCATCTCGCTTATAGAAAAGCCATGTCAACCCATTATCAACAGGGGGAGGAGGTCCGGGACCGATTGAGGTTGGAGGGAAACGGACGCGATGTTGATCATTTCAAACTCGTTTAAACGAGATCAGACTAACTACCCTCATAGGTCTCCGGATTACGGACTACGGACTATGGAGTACGTTGTATGAACATGTGCTTCAGAGTGCAACTAGGCTCCGGGTTATTATCTGGTGAACTCTGAGCCAGTGAAACATGGCGTTTTAGGTATTTTCGTTAGGGGTCTTGTTGAAACGCCACAATGTCATTCTTTCCTTCTCCCAGGAACGGTTGGCACTTTCAGGGGGCGAAATCGGGAACTGCCGAGGTTTGGCTGTCCGTATGTGGTAGATTGGGAGTCGACGAATGTGACATCGCCATACTCCGTACGGAGTATACGGAGTACGGCTCCCTTGATTGACTCACCTTACACCGACTACCCACACTCTTGGATTTCTTCTTTTTCTCCCATTCTTCGTGCACGACATGCATTGGAGCCAGGAGTGAAGTGGAGTAGCGGAGGCGATCGATACTGCAGTTGGATGGGGTGGAGTAGGGGAGAAAGCATTGAGTCAGTTCCCACGGTTGAGATCGTTACGATCACAAAAGTCCCATCGGTTCGTGTTTCCCTTGGACTTGCGCCCCGGATCGTCCTCTCTATCACAGCCCAGAAACATGGTTCATGGCACGTAAAGTGCAGAGTCCCGAATCCTGGTGCTTTGCGTATCTAAGTATTTGACGCCTCATTGACCCCCACCGTACGGAGTATGGAGTCCGGATACACAGGGGCCCTTCCCTGCACTGATAACCCTTTTCAGCCAGCCGCATTCAGTTAGCAAGGTTATTCCAACACGCATCTCTCCTTATAAGAGGTCTGATTCGTCAGGCGGAGCAGACGTGAGGTTTGAGAGCTCCACTTAACAGCCTCGCAAACAAACATGGGAAAAGAAGCAAAGATCGATACGAAAAACAAACAAAAACAAAAACAAAAATAGCATTCTTTGTATGTTCTCGGGTTTTTTTGTTTGTTTTTTGGGAACCATTGAGATCGGGCCATTATGTGCCCGATTGGACACCCGGAGTCCATTGATCAACCTGAGTCTAGACTCTTCTATTCCACAATCTCGAATCTGGACTCTAAGAGACTCAACCTGTCTAGATACGTGTACAGAAGAGTACTCCGTACCGAGCACCTGAAATCCTATCTCTTCATGCAAGATTCCGCCAACTACGTGGCTTTGGGCCAGAGCCAAAGATCCCTGGTGCATTTTCTAAGCCCTATCGGGGGACATGACGGTTGGGATAAGATCAACTATACATATCCAGCCTCGGAGCTCCCTTGCCGAGAACAAACTGCCGTGCAACCAGGAAACTTAAGCATAGACTGCATAGTAAGGCTGGTGTCCGCCCCGTGCTAGTGGCGCCGGGGACTCGCGGGCAGGTGCGGCTCCGCCGATACATCAGACTCTATTTCCGAAGATGCAACTAGGCCCTACATGGGCATATTCAGAGCCCAAGATATTACATTGCAAACTCCAATTCAGGATGCTGTCAATGCCCAGATCGTCATATTGTGCAAGGTCGTGGCAATGTGTACAAACCGCCCTTGCGGCAATCTTCATGCAACCGAGCGGCTGGGTGCGCCAATACAACTCGTCGTCCCTCTTGTGGCACACTGACGGAAGGGACCCGGTGAGGTAGGGCACACCGCGTTTCAAGTACGTTTCCGGCTCATTAGGTTGCCCGTCGTCAGGAACCCCTTGTCTCCCATGGCACCGCGCCATTCGATCGACAACTGACCTAGTGTGGCACGACCGTCCCTCCTTAGATCCTTGTGGAGAGTTTCAAGTCCTTCAGTCTGCCCTTCTTCTTGTTCCACCAGGAATGCCACCTGTAGAATATCCCGCGGGTTGAGTGTGGGTAGCTCTACGGGCGAGGTGGTCGGGTTGATCGTGTCCCAGTTGAGCGATTTTGAGTGGAACGGTGGCTTGGGATTTAGTTTTGTTTGCTGTCCATCCCCCGTTAGCCAAATTCTTGGAAATTTGAACCCAGCCCGGTTTTCAGGTACAGCCGCGCTTCGCTGAGTGAAAAACCAGCAATATTTGCCAAGGACGGGAAGAAGAGTCATACCTTGACTACCACTGCGCCCTCGCCCACGTTCTCCAACTGTGCCTCCAGGGCGAATCGGAGTAACCTTCTTTTCCCATACGGACCAAGTGACTTATTCTCAACCTCGAGTGGCGGAAGTTCGGATGCCTTGGTCCGGACGCTCAAACAAGGCTGGGCCACGAATTGGTATAGCTTGCGGAACGTCCTGACCCGACCACTTGCCGCCTGCGAGTCTGACCCGATCCGTGTCTCTGTATAACTAACACTCACAGCTAGTATATGGTTGCCTTCTTCCTTCAAATCAAATCGTACGATCTTTTGTAATGACTCGCCGATCTTAAGACCATCGGTGGATGCTGAGTCGCTGGATGGCTCCAGCTCCAGTGCTGCAACTGAAGAAGGCGTTTGCATCTCCGCCACTATGCGCACTGATGTAAGGACTTTCCCTTCATCCCCGCTATCGATCTCATTATTCGCACTCAGGGTGCATCCGAAGGTTTCTCCGACGTAGACAGATCCGAATGAGGGAGGTAGAGTAAGCTATTGGCCGTCAGCGAACTGATTTCTTCAGGGACTGGATGGCCGCCTTACAAGAGGTGCTAATATGAATTGATCATCCGAGCCGCCGGATGGATAGCTTAGGGAAGCTTTCGTTGAGATTGTGGAGTTGGAGGCCGGGAGGGGGTACTGATAAGAAAGCGACGGCCGCGCAAGGCTACAAATAGGTATAAAGAGTCAGGAACTGCCAGGAATATTATGTATTTGATAAATTGGAGTTACCGTAGCACTGATCATTCAATAGTCAGCATGCGGCTCGAGCTACAGCTAATGGTCACGTACCTTTGAGGGAGACGGCATGAGGTTCTTTCGGGGCATCAGCGCCCGACAACGCCCGCGGACGTGACATGGAGAAGATATTCAGATATCAAACCCTGGGGAGGATAAATTAACTAAGTAATCAACTGCGATTTCTGGGGACTGTGTAGTATGTAGTCATTCTTGTCCATGAAGAGGGACATTAGTTCTCCACGAACTGATAGCGATAGCGAAGCTTCAGACAAACAGTGCAAACACTGCCCCCACATCCGCATTCATTCTGCCATGTCTCTGTTTCCCTTCCAAGGTTCTTTGTTCTGCCTACAGTAAATCAGTAAGCGTATCTGTGTATTGGTGTGCTGAAGGTGATGGTTATCTGAGAGTCGAATGTGGAGAGATCCTCAGTTTCACACAATAGGGTACATGCCTCTTTGTAAACACAAGATGCGTACATCCAAGTATAAACCGACATAAATCCCCCTGCTGTGAGCTTGATAAACGAGAAAGTCCTTGCTATCCATACAATGTAGACATTTATCATATCGGATATGGACCTACAGTTACCTCTAGGATGCATTTAGTAAGAAGCCGTGCTCTTGCAAGCTATCAAATCATCTTATATATCTAGAGCCCGGAGCTGTGATGGAAATTCCAAATGAAAGCCCTGAAACAGTCTCTATATTAGTATCGAGTAATTGATTCCTGAAGCTCTCCAGTATGATCTCTGAGCTCTAATATACATGTACGTATCTACATGTGGATGGAGAGTGCTTGAATGGAAACTGAATCACGAGTGGCATGGTCGTTCTTTCCTATTGCATAGTGGTGTTTCCTACTGCACAACGAGGACATATGTATTGTTTCAGAATGGCTTCTTGTTTCATTTTGAACAAAGAACTTGTCTTGGGAAGTACCGAAGGAAAAGATCTATATATCTTACTTCGCCAGCTCTGGGATTGCTTTCGTTTCTTCATACTCCACTTCCATCCTCCGAGGCAGTGAAACCCGTCGTCTACTCATAAGTTCGGCCTTTGCTTGCTCGCATTTGATGATGGCAAAAAGTAGAAAACACGAGCTGGAGACTGGCACGAAAAAGTCAGAGAAAGCCAAAGGTACGACGTGCATTGAGCCTACTCTGGCTCTTGATGCTAATCCCTACATCAAACTAGTTCTCCCTAGCAAAAAGCCGAGAAACGAGACTACCGATCCCGCTCCAGCAGCAGATCTCAGTTCCCAGAAGGGCGTGCATATGGTAGAGAAACGGGCTCGTCCCTGGGTGGACGAGCAGCCTCGTGCTTATCACCCTGCTCTGAAAGCCCAGTGGAAAGATGAGTGAGTGTATATTGATGTATATTGACGCAGCCATTGTGCTCAGACTTGATAACCAATCTTGCGTTTAGATTGTTCATCATTGACCATGAGATTGCCGAGACGAAGGATGGGCTGAAGATCACATTTGATGTGGTCGGCTCGACTGGAAATGTCTACAAAGTAGTCATTGGCAAGGTGCCTACCTGCGAGTGCCCTTCCTACCGCTACCGTGGACCATGTAAGCACATTGGCTTTGGTAAGTGATAAAGCAGCGAGTTCTGCACATTGGAATCTACATAGATTGACTATGGTCTTCTGTATCCATCACGCTAACAAATATTGAAGTCCTGCACGAGGCGATGGGTGCGCCTGCCGAGCTGGTGTACCAGAAGGCATTCTTGCAGTCTGTAAGTAATCACAGGCTTGATCTAAGCATCGATTTGTGGAGACCTATTGTCTAGCTAGCTTACTAACTCCACCCTGCGTTGTTCAGGAGTTAACTAAGATGCTTTCCGAGTCACCTCTGAAAAGAATAGTTGACGAAACAGCCGTTTCCCTCCCTGGGTGGTAAGTAACATCTTGGTCCCTGATCTCAACAGGTGCTTGGAAAGTCTGACGACTGGGAGTATAGTAACGCCCTATTGCATGAGCACAACGAATATGGGCCGCCATATCTCACTAGAGCCGAAATCCGAGCCGAGTGCCGTCCCGGCAAATATGGGATTGTGAATGTCGCCGCTCAATTTGGTATTCTGGCGTGCAACGCCCGCCGCCAGCCTGTTTCGGTTGGTATGTATAGCCTATATTATCTATCTTTCGTCTAGATGAGCCCCTGCTAATAATGTGATTCTTGGGCAGATCCTTCGAAAGCAACTCTTTACAGTGTTGATCTGATCCACGTGAAGCGCAAGATGCCAAAATTGCAAGGAATAGAGATCAAGCCTGATGAGCACAAGACAGACGGCAAACTTCCCTCGGACACCGAGGCCGAAGGGAGGCCCATGTGAATCTCCATTCTTGCTGAGACGATTTGCTTTGAAGAGATGGCCCGGGAAGTAGTTCAATTCCGATGAATGATGTGTCGCTCTGAATCCTTTTGTTGAGGAATGTTCAGTCTTTATGGATACAATTTTATACGTCCAGCTTCGATTATGACCTCGGATCGGAAATTTCAGGACTTTGTGTGTGGTGCGTTTTGACCAAGGGAATATGGTGTTAATTTGACTATATGGTCTTAGGTGCTGGGGTAGGATGGACTTTTTTATACTTGATATGCTAGATGAGATTGAGTGCGATATTTGCTAGTATCGAATAGCACAGATAGTCTGGGCTCTTAAGCTTCTACACTTCAACGCTTCTCCTATCCATAATTTGAAGTTAGGTCAGTGTGTTCAGGGATTTCCAAGGTGAGACTCCATTTCCCGAAACCGTTGGCCAATCCTGCTGAATCCGATGGAATATCAAAAGGAAACCGTAAACACGCAGGCCGATATAAAGTTATATTTAGTTAGTAAAGCCTCCGGGGTTCTGGGATTAGACAGAATCTACCATCTTTCTGTCAAAGCGGAATGTAAAAAGAACAAAATATTTATTCATCAAAAATCTGGGTATCATACCAAGCCCCATTGGCCAAGAAACAAAAGGAAGCACCCTACTTCTCAACTCCACGAAAAATCCTAGAACACCAAAGCAAATTCTCCTATGTATCCTTTTGAATCCGGCAACCTTGTCGAACGTTTGTCACACTAATACCTTCCTCGCCAGTCATCCAAGATGGCATACGCTCAGGATCAACTATGCCGAGCTCGGCAAGTTTGCGAATTCCGCTGATGACATCGGCGCCAGAGAACGAGAGTGATACGGCAGGAACTGCTGACGTAGACTCATTGACATCTTCCGTGTTTTGATCATCGTTGGAGCTCGGGGGATCAAGGAGGCGGATATCAAGACGGTCCAGTGGCGCAGGTGTAAGTGATGACTCTGACGATCCGAATCGGGAGTAAATGGCCATACGGCGTTTCTTCGAGTCTGGAGAAAGGGGCTCTAGATCAAGTCCACTGGATGTCCGTTTCTTCATTGAGCCATTTGGGTTTTCTTTGTCTTCTGTCTTGCCAGAAGAACTAGCACGTATATGCTCTTCAGGTGAGACTGTGTTGGAAGGTCGAGGATCCAACGGACTTCCTTCAATGGCTGCGTCTGCAAAAATACTAAAGGCGCCGTTGGATGATGTTGACCGTCCTGGTCCTCGAAGAGCTAAGAGAGTAGGTAGGTTCTTTGCTGCTAGAGATGTCGCCTTCAGCGAGAAGCGTTCCTGCGGTCGAGACAAAGCTTTAGGAATAGAATCGCGCACCAGGCGCTGGAGAGTTCGGGTATCAGTAGCCACGGAACTTGTCGAAGGCGCAGTTTTGGATCCCGTGGATGCTGCGATAGAAGTGTAGACGTAAGGACAACTATCCGGGAAAGCGACATAGATGATTCGCGACGAGTCGGTGAAGATCTCAGCTGCCTGCGTCGGCAATTGATATGGCGAGTCAACAACAAATATGCGTAGGAACGTCAACGGCAGAGTCTCAGAGTGTGAGAGGTAGTAGTGCGCTTTGACCAATGGGGAGATTTCGCGTTGAAGCCCTTGTACAAAGGTTGCCGCTTGCACCCGCGGTACAGAGCTAGACCAGCCGGATGGTGGCAGTTCCTTGGAGCTCTTCCGTTTTGTATCCAGGCGGCTGAGCTCGAGGGCAGTCCATCGAAGACTAGCGGGGTGGTCGTCCATGTAGCGAAGGTCTGCCATGGCGAGTTGGCGTAGTGTAATCCCACGTCGCCAATCGCCTTCAAGGATTCGTTCGAGAACTTCACGCTTTGCGCCCTTTCGATCCTGCAGGTCTTCATATACTTGGCGGACTTCTTCAATTGTCTCCTCGGCGGGGTATGGGAGAGCTTCGTCATCGTCTGGGCCACCTTCGTCGGATTGTAGGTAAGGGGGAAATGATGCAATGTTCCGATCATCAAGCCATAATAACGCCAGATCTAATAGTGCTTGTCTGGATAGCTTCCCCAGCGATTTTGTGAGAGACGGAGTCGACGAGGGAATGCGGAGGTTGTTTGGAAGACTGGCTGTTGTCGGGGCGCGAACTGTTTTGGGACGCGCCATAACGGTAGTTTATATGGTCTGGATCCAGAATGGCAGCGATATTGAATTTTTGATTTTGTATCAAGGGCAAGCGCATGCTTCGAGCTCCATATTTTGAGATGTTTCTGTTGGTTCCTCTGCTCTTTCGCGTCCAAATTCCAAAATTGCCCGTCAACAAACAAGCACGTGCGATAAGCCGATAAGGATTAGGATTTCGATCTTGATGCCTGATATCTTAGGCTCTGAGCACGTGCGACTTGGATAAAAGAAGATTGCATACGTAGAATGCATGAGGAAGTGGATTCACCACCCCAATGTACTCTGTACTAAGATATGAATGGAGCTACTCAACATCACCAGAGCAGAGCAGTAAAATCTACCGTAGCCTTTCCTGTAAGTGCGCAGTGTATTACGCTATGTACTTTGGCCCACCTCTTCTCTTCATCACCGTACTTTCGACATGTGGCGTTATGTTGTTCAGGCAGTTAGTCTTTGAGGATCACACCGCTGTCTGGAAGAAGGCCTATTAGCCTACCCAATGGCCTATCATATTGTAGCGGTAATACCATGCAATGATTGGGCATATAGCACCGTATGCTTAACAGAGATTGGGCCGAGGCTCTTTTTAAGGGCTCCCAGATCCACGGACCCTGCTGACAAACCTGTGGGTCGCAGAGTCCCAAGGCCAAGGTTGAAATGTCGAAAGTTGCGATGCCCGTCGATTTTGATTTAAGCGACGAACTCATGCCTCTGATCTTCAAGACTGTTCAACCCCAGGAATGACCTCATAACCTTCCCTTTTCAACCATTGAACCGAAATCCAGTTCCCTCCTTCACAATGGAGAAGAACAAACCACGCAAAAATGTTGCTGTAATTGGCACAGGGATGGCAGGGCTTGTGACCGCCTACATACTCAGGAACGATGCTCGGGGAAGATATGACGTTGAAGTATTCGAAAAGGTAAAACGTGCAAGGAACCTTGTAGTGTGACACCGCGTATATGGACCATTGCTAATCCAATCAAAATACACAGCAAGACAGACTTTCTCTTGATTCCGCGTCGTACACCCTCTCAGACCAAAATGACGGTGGCAAAAGGCCACAGCGCCTCGATCTACCCATGCGCACGTTCGCGGCCGGATATTATGAAAGTCTCCAGCGGATGTATGATTATTTCGGCATCTCATATGGCTCGCTGCGATTTATCTATTCTTTGTCGAATTTACCGGATACCCCCACCAAACAAGTCTCTCCGTACTACATGCATCCCTCGAATAATCATCAAATACCGCCGTTCCGCCCGGAGGGCTTATCATGGACCGGGTGGCTGGTTGAGGTGTGCTACCTGGCAATATGGTATTATTGGTTCAAAGCTTGCTGCTTTTTTGTTGCGCCCAAGACAGTGGAGTCCTCTGGCGCCGAAGAATCTCTTCGTCAATACGTGGAGAGGATTATGTTGCCCAGTTATTACGTGAAGCACTACTTCTTGCCGGTCTTCGCAAGTGTAGCGACTTGCTCACATGACGAGCTGATGGATTTCCCAGCTCTTGATTTGGTTGGGTATGGAAGACGTACTTTCCGTAAACATCACTACACCGTTCTTGGAGGAGTACAGCATGTGGAAAATAAGCTGTCTGAAAATTTGAACTACAAACTTGGCACGAAGGTTACGACGGTAGAGAACATCGGCACCAAAGTCCAAGTGACCTGGACGAATACCCGTGACGGCCAAAGCAGCTCACGACTATTTGACCACGTTGTTTTGGCCGTGACGCCTGATGTGATCGGTTCAATCTTCCAGCCTCTCCGAAGCGCAATGGCAGCTGTTCCTACCACAACTGTTCAATCCATTGTGCACCGCGACTTCTCCAAGATTCATGATTCCAGCAAATCTCTCTGGAACCAAGTGTCCATGAACCCCGGTGACTCGGCGCCACACCCACTACACATGTGCTCGAATGCTACGGCAACGGAAACGATTCATGAACACCCTTCATCGGCTCTAATTACGACTTACCCCATCACCCCCATTGATCCAGAAAAGGTGCTGCATACCGCCACATTCACTCGTGTCTTGCGATCATCCACCAGCAGACAGATTGTCAATCAAATATTCAGCCGGAATCGGTCTGGAGATGAGAAGAGCCAGCTCTGGCGAAACGGCGATGGCAATATCTGGTTGGTGGGTGGATGGTGCTGGGACGGAATGGTCCTGCTCGAAGGATGTCTTGCATCCGCAACAAGGGTAGCAAATGCACTTGATGTCGAGGTACCCTGGATGAAAGAGTCCTCTCTATAACGACCTTTGAAGAACATAACGTTTGAAGAACATAACGAGACTTTCATGTGAAAACATTTCGGGCATTTATAATCGTTAATATACGCATAGCACATAGCATACACAATGTGGACATATGCATCATGAATATCTGACCTTGGATCTGTTTTTCGCCATCTCTTACCATCCCCAAAGTTCCATATGTTTTGGCTTAGAATCCTATACAAACCAGGTGGACGAGAATAAGACTGCATGGCAACGGACACTATTTCACACCAGTCAAATGGTTGAACCCAGTCTCTCAAATGCGTCACTTACACATATAGGATCACCAAGATGATTGGATGCCGGTGGACAGGTATTTAACGGCCCACAACATCCAGGGAGAGGTCCCCTATTGATACACGTGAAGCCACCCGGGCACTGATTGTAATTAGAGCATTAGTCCAGGATCTATCCAGACAAGGTGTTTGCAACTTACACATGTCTTTGATGCCTGACAGAAAGGCTCGCTCTGTGGACAACTGATACAGTCGCCCCCAACGCAGCCTCCACCTCCCGGCGCAAAATTGCACTGTTAGAAGAAACAAGTTAGTATCCCCATAAGGGCCCGACGAGGCAGAGATACATACAGGTTTACTGCACGATCCACAATGATTAACATCAGTGGACAGATCCGTACACGCCCCACCACAGCAAGCCGGCAGCACTCCAGCGCAAGGCGCCGCACTACAGGATCCACAGTGCTGCAAACTCGTCGACAAATCCGTACATTTTCCAGAACAACAACCCGGCTGCGTTCCACCACACGGCAATGCCTGACACGAGCTACAGTGGTTAGCATCGGAATTAAGATCAATGCATGTCCCTGAACAACAAGCTGGATTAATTCCTACACACGGATTCGTGGAGCAGGATCCACAGTGATCAGTGCTAGTTGCCAGATCTGTACAGGCCCCAGAGCAACATGCCGGTCTGCTTCCCAAACACGGGAAGGATGTGCAGCTACCGCAGTGAGCGAGATCGGTGCTGAGATCGGTGCACACGCCGTTGCAACATGCTGGGACGGCACCTTGGCATTGGTTAGAGCAGCTGCCGCAGCGCTTGGGGTCTGTGAGGATGTTGGTGCATGTGCCACCGCAGCAGGCGGCTCCGAGACCGGTGCATGGCTGTGCGGTGCAGGAGCCGCAGTGGAGGACGTCGGCGCTGAGATCTGTGCATTGGCCAGAGCAGCAGCCTGGTCGGATTCCGAGGCAAGGTTCGGCTTGACAAGAACCACAGTGATTGGGATCTGAGCTGATATCTGAGCAAGACCCAGCGCAGCATACAGGGTTTGTTCCTAGGCACTATTTTGGGGTCATATATAAGCCAACCGGCCTTTTGGGAAGTATGATGGTATATGTGGAAAGGATGACTGTTGACTCACGACATGACCGCATCCGCCGCAGTTGCTGGCACTTATAGCCAAGTCGGTGCATGCTCCTGAACAACACGCTGGATTGAAGCCAATACAAGGAAGACTTGTGCAAGAACCACAATGTAGGGGGTCACTGCTGATGTCCCTACAAATTCCAGAGCAGCAAGCTGGGGAAACCCCGGTACACTATAAAGGGTTCTTATTTGAGCGGGTTCATCTATCAGAATATGTGAGGCGTACGGGCTTAACTCACCCTAAGATTACATGCACCGCAGTTGAAAGGCGATGTTGCGAAATCAGTACAGGTTCCTGCACAACAGCCCGGCTGCTGTCCAACACAAGGCAATGCGGAGCAGGAACCGCAGTGCTGAGGATCACTTATAAGGTCTGAACAGGAGCCTGAGCAGCAGGCTGGAGCTTGACCAGTGCACTAGCAGGGTTTGTGTCAGAGAACAGATTCTCGCAAAGGTCTCCAAGGTTATGAACAAATCAAAGAAGATCTTGACTTACGGTCCTATTACATGCACCACAGTTGGTAGGGTTGTTATCGAGATCCCTACACGTGCCAGCACAGCAGGCCGGCTGAGTACCAGTGCACTAAATGGAAGTAAGCTTTTTGATTCCATCCACCCGACCGAAACCAGAGAATGATGCTTAACTCACTGATGGTGTATCACACGATCCGCACTGGTTGACACTTGAGCTCAAATCCGCGCAGGTTCCGTGGCAACAGGTTGGGGTTGGACCAATAACACACTATATATCATCGAATGAATGAGGTCAGCCCGTTGAAGGCATATTGTGTTGTGGTTATGACCTACTGCAGCACCGCAAGCTCCACAATTCCCTGTATTTGATGTCGTGTCCGTACACCGGAAGAAACAGCATTGTTGCCCTCGTTCGCACTATCCATGGCCGATGAGTATATTCGTTGACCATCATGGTTTCTCTTAGAAATCACTAGATCGAGGTATATAAATGCTCACATTTGGAATCCAGGGCACACAGTAAGTGATATTTTGCTGTGCATTGTGTATATCAAGAGAAGTAATATTCGTTGCGTTCACGGGGTTAGCTTCGACATAATGAAATGAGCCAAAGGCCGCTGTCGAGAGGTGAGAACCTAGTGTATGCACCACACGCAAAGATAATATGCAATCTGACCTAGAATAAGAACGGCTGAAATATATGCAGACGACATACGGCGATCGTCGACAATGCGCGGCTTGTCGCGTAGTGGCTTTTCGGTTTACCAGATAGACAAGATCAAAAGATAAAATAGCACACACGAGTATCATAGGCGTTATATCGCGCAATCACCATGTAGTCGGTGAACATACCGCGCTTGAAGTGGTATGAACGAGACGACGAACTGCAATCCGTACCATTTTTGCTGCTTGGGTTACTCAATCTATCACTAAGATGCATAATGCCTGAATAGGGGTTCGATATCAAAATTTTTGTCTTCAGCCTAGGTTCGTTCCTTTCAAATCGCTAGTCTTGACGGTCAAGCTCAATTGACCCAATGTACATTTCCTTCCCTCGGATATATAGGTCCGTATAATCCGATGTTGATCTAAACTGTTGTCCGAGCGCGCAAATCCTTCTCGAACCGAAGCTGCACTTTCTGCGCCTCTTTGATGCCCGTCAATGTCAAATATCACTGTTACAAGGGTCTATGCTGTATAACATAAGTTAATGACCGAACCTCCCGTTGCCGAGGTTTCGTACTACACACCCCATACCGGTTCGAAGGTGAAGTTGCTTTATGGTCAACATCGTGCTCAGGGATGAGAGTTTATATCCCCCGTTGCCAATGCGCACGGATAGGGTTGCGTCGATGTTCTGAAAATTGAATAGATATGAACTACACCCCAGAACGTTGATATGCTAAGGACATAAACTACTTACTTGCACAGTCATGAAGCAGAGCTGAGAGGGAAAGACATCTATAATATAAGTAGATGCTGCCTGAATCATGATGACGCAAATGGCGGTGGCACCACCGAGGCCCTGGACTAGCGCCGAACAATTGCTGCCCGAGCGGATTATTGGCAATGTTCGCAGACGAAATGCACCAGGTGTTGGCTCTGAGTTGATGAATTCTTATCCCGAGACAGGGTTCTATTGATTGCATTGCTCATGCAAATCCATCGAGGCTTCCAAGGGACCTTGGACGCCTCTCTTGACCTTATCCGACAGTTCGGCAGTTCTCCCAAGCTGAAGCGGCTAGGTAGTACTAGTGGGTCTGGGCGATCATAGTTGCTTACGGCGCTCCTAAATTTTTTTTTTTTACTAAGTTTTTATAAACAGGTCCGCACTTGAAAAAGTTTTCATTTTCTTCTTCATTTCCATGCTTCAAGCATTCGGTGCCTCGAATCGCAGTGTCTGATATACTGCAGCCAAGAAGATCAGCGAGATCGGCCTAGAAGCACCCGAATCGGTAAAGCGGTCTCCATCGGCAATATGCCTGATCACTACGATGCGCATCTGTCCAGCGAGAAACCACGGAATTCGGCTGAGGCCGAGAGACCGATTACTTCAGGGTCCTTTGGATCATCGCTAAGCTCGAGCAGCTCTTTTGAGTATGACCCGCAGGTGCATAGGCTGCAATCGCGCAACACGGAACTCGACTTGGAGCGCCATCGCACAGGAACTTCTCGCGCTCTGAGCAGGACTGAGACGCAAAGAACCCAACATGCGCTTACCGTTGGTGAGAGCCTGAAGTCGCGACCTTCGCGGGCCCCATTGCCCCCGTTCGGTGGGGGCAAGGCCTATCCTCCACTTCTCCCTGCACGGGAAGATTACGTTGTGGAGTTCGATGGGCCAGATGACCCATTATACCCGCTCAACTGGCCGGTAACGAAGAAGTGAGTCAATTCTCCATAACATTCACATTGGACAGCGTTTTGGCTGGGAGACATTACTTGCAAGGCTTATCTTCCGATACTAACCTTTTCCCTATTTAAGAGTCTTCATTAGTGTCATCCTCGCCTTCACCAGTATTTGCTCCACATTTGATTCCGCCGTTTTCAGTGCTTCATCCAGCCATGTTTCGAAAGAGTTCAGCGTCGGTCTCGAAGTTGCTGTTCTTTCCAGCTCCCTATATATCGTTGGCTACGCCTCCGGTCCACTGGTATGGGCTCCGCTCTCCGAACTCCAGGGCCGTCGCATCCCCATTATCATGGCCATGTTTGGATTTGGCGTCTTCAACATCGCAGTGGCAGTCGCAAAAGACCTGCAAACTCTTTTAATCTGCCGATTCTTCTGTGGCATCTTTGGCAGTTGTCCTCTGGCAGTTGTGGCTGCTGTTTTCTCTGACATCTGGGATAACCGCACTCGTGGTGTTGCCATTGCCATGTTCTCTTCGACGGTGTTCTTAGGTCCTCTCGTGGCACCTTTCATCGGAGGCTTCATTAATATGTCGTATCTTGGCTGGCGCTGGACCGCCTACATCCCGGCGATTATGGGATTCGCTGCTTTCATCCTAAACGTGTTCTTCCTGAAGGAGTCTTACCCACCTGTTGTTCTCGTCTCCAAGGCCGCGGAGCTGCGCCGGCGAACAAAGAACTGGGGAATCCACGCGAAGCAAGAAGAAATCGAAGTTGACCTCCAAGAGATGATTGTGAACAACTTTTCCCGCCCGCTTCGACTTTTATTCAACGAGCCGTTGATCCTGGCGGTCACTCTCTATCTGAGTTTTATCTACGGCCTGCTTTATTGCTTTTTGACTGCTTACACTCTGGTCTTCCAGGGCGTCTATGGCATGAACCCTGGTGTCGGGGGTCTTCCACTCTTCGGCATGGTGGCAGGTTTGTTCATCGCCGCGACTTATATCCTCATCTCCAGCAGGGGATATAACAAGAAACTGGATATGAATGGTGGCGTTCCCATCCCAGAGTGGCGCCTTCCCCCGTAATGGTCGGAGGTGTCCTCTTCGCTGCCGGACTCTTCTGGTTTGGCTGGAGCGGTTACAGTGGGAACGTCCATTGGATCGTGCCCACCCTGAGCGGTCTATTCACCGGCTTTGGCCTTTTGGTCATCTTCATTCAATTGTTCAATTACTTGATTGACACATATCTCGTGTTGTAAGTAGCATTCTCTTCGCTTCGCCTAATTCTCGGGTTCATCTAACACGTCTTCTCTAGTGCCGCATCAGCCATCGCAGCAAACACATTCTGCCGCTCAATGATAGCAGCCAGTTTCCCACTTTTCTCGCGCCAGATGTTCCAAAGCATGGGCATCCAGTGGGCCTCTACACTCCTCGGTTGTGTCGCAGCCCTTCTGGTTCCGATCCCGATCGGTTTCTACTTCTTCGGCAAGAGGCTGAGAATGAAGAGCAAGTTTGCGCCATTCTACGAAGCTGTTCAGGAAGGACATGCGTCGGATGATGTCGATGTGCAAGCAGAGGAGACTGTTCAGCGGGAATCATCACGATCATCTTAATGGCTTACGCTTGTATTTTTAATCATATTTCCACTACGGAGTAGGGAAAACATAATTATGTATCAACGATGGATATTTAGCGGGCTAGCATTTTGCATATTAATGGAGAACCATTGCATCTTACATATTGCGCATCAAATTCAATTCACTAGAAATATTGTTTTAGTCCCTTTAAAGAATAGTATGCTAGGCTCGAGGCCCTAGATGCAACAAGAAGTACACTTGTATAGCTTCTTGTGCGACGGGTTTCATCGGCTATTATGACTGATTCTTGTACACGATCGTTCCAGACAGGCCATACACAAATTAAGCTCCGTCAAGCACATCGCGCAAGGTTCCCTCAGCTCCAACTGGGCCGGCGCTGTCCGCGAGAGTCCACCAGCAAGTGCCACTTATACCTACGTCGCTCCGACCATTACCGTGTCCACTCCGACACTACCGGGTAACTTAACCTCGTATCAAGCTGCCTCGGCCTGGGCCGGCATCGACGGTACAACACACACGACAGCCATCCTCCGAACTCGGTTCGACTTCTATATCATTAACGGCGAGTCCTACCCCGATGGATGGTACGAGTGATATCCAAACTTCGCGCTCTATTACGATAAATTCGCCGTCAACACGGGCGATGTTCTCGTTGTATCGGTCAATGCGACATCTCCTCAGGGGGCCATCTGAATTGTCGAGAACCGGACAAGCCGGCAGTCGGCGACCACGACGGTTAGCGCGTCTAAGAGCACGTCAACCCTGCAGGGGGTGAATCCCGAGTGGGTGGTCGAGGACTTCCGGTCAGGGGACAACATGGTACAGTTCACGGGGCTTGCTCCGGTTCAATTTGAGGGTTGTGGGGTGGAGGCTGGCGTCGTCGGAATATGAGTTAGAGGACGCAACGTTGTATTAAGTTCATGCTGAGTGGCGAGATGCTGGCCCAAGTCCAGGTGATTAACACGTCGGAACTCATTCTCACTCGCGCCTGACGACCCTGATAGGGGCGACAAAATGGATCATGCCATTTTACAGAGTAGGCTAGTAAAAATGCTCGAAGCCATGTATCAAGCTTTCAGGGGTTGGACGACCAGGGATCTATCTCCGAGCCTGAGTGTCACTCTGCCATGGAATTAAAATTGCATCGAGTTCCTTTCAACTGGTCAAAGAGACTAAAATCCTTGGCATGCAGGGTACGGAGTACTGAATAGGCATCATGGCGAGGCCTACCTGGGCCACGGACATGCCCAGGGGTCTTCAGCAAGGCCCCCTAAGCCGAGGAATATACAAGGGGTCTCGCCCGTCGCCAACATCCCCTTTTTTCCTGAGCGTGCCACACTTACCAGTCCTAATTTCTGGCCCAGTACCATACGTGCCTGGAATTAGTGAAGACCGCCTTGGCCCATGATGAACGAGCGCTTGGGGTCCATCCCGCCAATCCTAACAGTAATGTGGGACTACATACTGGACTGCGTCGGTTTCTATCGAATTTGTCTCACATGGCCAGAAAAAGTACTGACGCTTTGAACAACGCAGTTAAGATGGGACTCTCTTTCGACTCTACAGGCCATGAGTCTGACCTGCCGCGGCTTCCGTCGCCTAGCACTGCCTGTTCTGTTCGAAACCCTCCATGTCCACTTCCTTGTAGGCCGCGGCGACACAGGACGTCAGATGCTACAGGATCTTCAGGAAGCGGGAGATGAACTATTACGATGTGTTCGTATCCTCATCGTATCAGGTGGGTTTCTGTACAAACCCGACGAGGATATCCCGGCGCTTGTCTCGCCGTTAGTGGTGTCCCTTGTAGAGAAACTGCCACGACTAGTGGTTCTGAGGTGCAGTTACGGTGTAGTACCCCAAACGAGTCCGATAGCTGACGGGGTAACAGATGGCGCGGCAGATTCCCACTTCCCTATAGGGTGTTGCAGGACCTGGATGCTCGTCAGTTGGTGCCCAGCTTGTACTTCGAAGGCTGGCCGTCCAAGCTGCTCGACGCTCCAGTTAAGCATGTATCGCATTGTATACGTTCTCTCAGCGTTGCCTCTTCTGACAAGGCATCGCTGGATCGAGTGAAGGATGTACTGGTATCGCTACCATGTCTAGATCGGCTCGACATGAAATATTTCAATCACTCGAAACGTGATTCAGCGCCGCTATTTTCTTTGGGTTCTGCGGACAGCATACCTTCGCTACGCACTCTCTGCCTGACAAATTTCACGGTTGACCCCAAGCGAGAAAATAGATGGGACCAGTGCCATCACTTAAGACATCTAGGCTTAGATGGCCGGGGTGAATCACTTGAGCTTCTTACCCTCTTTACAGGAAAGATCCCCAACGTGACGTCGCTAACACTGCGAATCCATGATGGAACATCCCCGGATATCTCTGAAGATCTATGCAGTCGGCTAGACAATCTCCTGCAGAGTGTCAATAACTTGGCGGCTTTCACTGCATACGACTTGTCCAAGGACATCATCCCTCTTTTAGTGTCTCGCCATGGCCCCCAGCTCCGGCGCCTGCAATTCAGGCAGACTGGTTTTAACAAGCGAGACCAGGACCAGATCAGATGCCTGTTCACCTTCAAAGAGCTCCAGAACCTCGCTCGTACGCTTCCGCGGCTGCAACGGCTCGGAATCGACCTGCGATTCAAGGGTCATTTGGTGAGTACAAGCCACCAGACACTTATTCCCATGCCAAAACCCCCGCTAAATGACCACTCCAGTCCTACGACGTACTCAGCGGAGCAGCATGCTTCCCCAGTCTTGAGCACCTAGAGCTCAACTCGAACTTCCCCTTCGGTGAAACAGGAGCGAACAATCGCAGACCCATGGTAGATTCATGGCTCAATACAGCTGTCGTCGAACTGGCATTCCGCTATGTGGTAGGGGAAAAGCGATATTATGAACGGATCACTGATCCAACGACGGTTCCATGGTCACATTTCACGGCACTCGATGTTAAGGTAGGCGAGTGGGAGCCATATGTTGAAGGCTACAGCGCGTCAATAGGGCGTGCTCCTTCCATTTTCATGTATGCCTGTCGGTGGGCCGACTGTTGGCCGCGAAGGATCAATACCGTTCGATTAGGGTGCTTTGCCAAGGTCTATCCCATTGAGGATGGTCGATATGAGCAGGCTCTGGCTCGTGCGGGCTTATTGAGTGTGTCAAAACTACTATCTGGACCAGGGACTCTGTAGCACATCTCCATTCACTTAATTTGAGACTCCCCTGGATAGCCCTTTGAGTCATAGTATAACGAATCTAGGGCTCTGTCTATGTTGTACCATACAGACACTGGGGAAGCGAGTGAAACTCACCAATAACCAAATCTACTTTCGCTACGGTTGTCCTTTTTGTTCATCCCCCTCTCACTCGTGTTATATATAGTAATATCACAAAGCTGCCGCCTTCATATCCTCTTTCTCATTGGTCTTACTCACGCACTCCCTTCCGCATGCAGCACCGTTAATGCTGCGACAGTAAGACGTAATCACTACCGACAACCAGGCGGGCACTCATTCACTCCGCATACAAAAGGAACAACACACCATAAAAAGTATCTTCCCCCTCGTCATCTTCCCCAAGGACCAGTGACAAATGCGACAGCTCGTGCAGCAAATTTACTCCCAGAACTTTCTGGCGGGTTGAGTACTCCTATAGGATGGCGCCAAGGGATCGACCAAAATGACAGGGACTCTAAAACAAAAAGGAATCACTAAACCTCGATTCCTTTTTTTCTCGCAACTACAACAATCCCTCTAACAATTCTCCCTGTCGCCCACCAGGCAAAAGCAGTCTTTGCTACACGGAACTTTCCCATTTTGATCCCAAACGGCCTGGCCTCTTCAACCCGACGATCGATGAAATCCGCCAAGCCTCCGAAGACGTGTTGTGTGATATCGCGAATCTCAATAAGCGTAGGATCATATCCAGCTGCGACGAGCATATACACATATTCTGTCTCGGAAATGAAATTCCCGAATGGAGAGTTCGTGCCCCAGCATACAACTCGTAAGAGGATCTTTTCCCACCATGTTATCCTGTTGGATATGATCAAATCAAAGCCCATGAAGGAGGCATTGAGGGTGTGATATGCATAGTTCAACAGGGGTAAGCGGGAGGGACGGAAGTGATATAATGTATCCAGGGCCAAGAGCCACGTCGATATATCCTGCGTTTGTTTCTGAATTGTCGATGGAGCTTCAAATGTTGTGACTGCTTGTTTCAGCTCCCCAGTCCAGCAGCCAGGGTTTGCAGCATCTGCACAGAAGATCTCTGCGGGGATGGAGTTGTCACTCTCTCGCTGCGTCTTGTGGAGACGACGTGAGGCAAGCGCAGCCTGTGCTGGCTCAAGAGTGATTCCGATATAGGAATCCAAGCACGGCAAAGAGGAAGATTGAAAATCGGGCTGGCGATGACGAGACCGCATAGTTGAACCTGACCCTTTCGTATCGGAGAGATTGCTGGATGTTGTTGTCCCAGTCTGAGATCTAGGATAAAAATCTGACGAAGAAGCAGAGTCCTTTAAATGGTTCATCAAGTACAGAGATTGATCACCACATCCACACCCAACATCCAAGATTCTCACGGCAGATGCCGTCTCTGCTGATAGCGCAGCCGTGAGAACTTGGTGCAGGAGCGCTTCGCAGGCTTCAGGGAAGTCATTTGTGTGCTATGGGAGGGGTCAATGTGGGTTCTCGCCGGGTCGGTATGTGCCGGAGATCCATAGGGGTTGCCTTGAGTCCACTTACCTCCCAGTACCCCATGTTCATCCACATGGCCTGCGGCGGTAACTGGATGTTGAGAATTGCATGGTCCAAACCATATACCTCTGCGCGCGGTTTGCACAGCGCGCGTTTGATAATGCCTAACATTATTTGATTAGGATTGAGGGTTTGGTGGAGGCACAGACAAGCAAGAATCTTCCATTTTCAAACATCGCAGAGCTGACGGGGTGTGGTGGAGCTCCCGATGCTGCACGGTTAATGCCAAGCCTTTTGTTTAGGACTGATCGATCAGTCCATACCTCGGCCTGGGATGAATTCTGGGCTGTGTTTAGGTCGATTAGGATATTCATCCCATTGAAATGCTTTCGTCAGATTTGAGGATGAGCGAAAACCAGAGATATATGTTTTAGGGAAGACACTCTCAGGAAACCAAGTGTAAAGACCACGGTGGCGCCTGAATTCTGAGGCCATTTTCACATATCTGAATACATGTACTCCGTACTCCGTACCTAATTTCGTCGCTACATAAGATCTTTAATCTTCTACCCAGATGCACACAAGTGGTTAAAACGTATATGAATAACCATATCTAAATAAACTGCGTGTAGAGATTCATCACTCATCTACCCACCACCCCCCTCGACCTGCAGATGATAAGTCTGAAGTATCTCTGGCTGCTAAGAATAAAGAGAACAAGATCGCTGAAAAGAAACACTATGAACAAGAAAGCAAAGACGGTGACGTGGGGCTAACGAAAAAAAGCCCGGGGCAGTCACCATCCGAAGCAGCAGAGTAGAGTAGCAGGGCAATCAAATAAGACTGGGGTTTCTTTTTTTAAATGTTTTTGCCGATTTTTTTTTTTTTCTTCTTTTAGCATTGGGCATTGCATTAAGCAATAGTGCCCACGCCGAGCTTCAGGTCGGAGATACTTGAGACATCAGACTTCTGCGAGGCCAAGAACTTCTTGAACATATCCGAGATGTCTTGCTCCGACTGCTCGTCAGCGCCGTTCTTCTCCATGATCAAACCACGAAGCCAGTGGTTCTCCAACTCGAGTTGAGACACGCGAGCCTCAAGGATATCATTCTTTTCGGTGGTCTCCTTGACGGTCTGCTCAAGCGCAGCCTCGCGCTGCTTCTTCTTCACACGGAAGCGAGCACTGGCGGCAGTGTTACGGCGACGCTTGTCCTCCTCGGCCATTTGGCGACTGGCCTCCTCGGCGCTCTCCGGGGTTGACTTGGTCGAGTTCTTGCGCTTGGTGCCAGAAACCGAAGTGGGAGGCGACATAGAACCCGCAGCGGGAGCTGGGGCGACCTGAGGCACCACGCTGATCGGCGCAGGCTGAATAGGGGCCTGGTTTGCTGCGATAGACGCATTAGGAAGGGAAGGAACAGGCGAGAAGTGGGCGTTGTGCATGGGCATCTGGCTGGATGCACTCAGATCGGGTTCATATACAGGCAAGGCATTGAGACCCTCCGCTATAGAATCATTAGCATTCATTCAAATTCCACACAGCATCGATATGAACGGTTTGTCCTGGAAGGGAGTTGGGGGTTCGAGCACATGTTTCAGAGCGCAGGTCTCAGATCACGTGAAATGGCGTGATAGCGGAGAGCATTGACGCCAACGCACCAAGTCAAATTTGAGTGCAACAAACCCTGCTAGGGCCGCGGCAAGCATGACCTGCAGGGCTCAACATTGGAAGACCGAGGGTCAAAGCTGAGGATGAAGTTCAGGGTATAGACCGCATGAAGCGCCAAAAATGCCAAAATGTGCCAAAACGAGCCAAGATGTGACTTGATCAACAGACATAGATGACGAATTCATAAGGCAACCAATGGGAACCCCGTGTAAGATATAGACATTGGTCCCATGGGCATGATTTTAAACAAGCCCGCGGGAAATGGTGTGATCAGGGGATAGCCATGCAGCTCGAACTCTCAACAAGCCAACCAGGAAGACCAAAGACAGGAACGAAAATCAGCCAAGCTTACCATTCAGGAAATCCAAAAACTTCAGGTCCGCATTATGAGCAGCCTGGTCTGAAACTCCCTCGTTTGTCTTGTCATCGTCCGACGGGAATGGAGGCAGATTGGTAAAATCGGTGAACTTGTCGAACTCGAAGAACTCGGTATTGGTGAACAAGGCCAGGTCATCATCGTTGAAGGTGGCCTGTTGCTGCTGTTGCTGCTGCAGAGCCTGGTCATACGGCGAGGGAATGGCGTTGAGGTCATCGAGGTATTGCGAGAAGTTGGGCATGCGACGCCCGTTGTAGCCGGCCATTATGTAGGCTTTCCCGTTTTCGCGGTGCGATCGATTCAAGGCAAAAGCCCGTGTATCTCTCGGTGTCGATTGACGATGTGGAATTGCGCGTTGCGCGGGCGGAGATAGGTGTGACTCAAATGCCAAATGCGGTTCGATGCGGGTTCGTCGCGAGTGCGATGAATAGCAATGCACTTGGTGATAAACTCTCGACTCGTGGGAATCGTGAGTCTGTCGATTTACAAGATGGGTAAAATCCGGAGAGAAGGAAGCGGAAGTTGGGGCCATAAGTGGGTTTTTTCTTTGAACGTTCGGTGGGGGAAGCCCGGAGCCGGAGGGGGTGATGATTAATCCCCCGATTTGCCTGATTTGCCTCCCGATCCGAACAGTGGCCTTTGCTGCTGGAGATTCCGGTTTTGTTGAAACAAAAGATCGGGTTTCAAGATTGATTTCCTTCTTTCCATCCGTTCTAACTTACCGTACTTCTAGATGCCTTCCCACGGTCGATATCGAGATGCATACAGTCGAGAGATCGCAGGCCGAAGATCGGAGCACCCCGAGTTTAAATCTCGAAGGGCCCACGTTCGAATTCCACCCTAAATTAAGTACGGAGTATAGGGTCAAAAAGCACATGTATGCAACTACGGAGCACGCATGGGGTATGAGATGGAAACTGCACGAATCACGTATTTCTCACTATTCTTCATCACACTCCAATCCAACTGCTTCTTGTTAAGTATATAATTGTTTGAATAAAGGAGCGACAAACGCGGCTCTCCCAATTACAGACTCGCAGCTGGTGGGCCCCGAAATGAAAAGCTGCAACGCTGATTGGCTAGTGCTACTCGGTCAGCCTCGACCAAAGAACCGCAGAACACCGAGGAGGTGAGGTCATTCCTGATTTCCCCGAGGTCACTCCCGCTCTTACAATCTTGTCTACATACGAAGTACAGCACCGACAATCGATCTACCGGATTTGAAAAATAAACAATTGCAGACAGGGACATAAACCTGATATGTAAAATTTCCATACCCTTGCTGATCCCACGCACAGACTGGACCAGGGCTTTAAAATCAGAATGCCGAAGCCTCGATCCGGTTTAGCGTGCCTGTTTTGGGCTACTGCACTGTGTGGCGGCTCTTAGTATAAGCGAGATGCAAGGTTATCTATTTGGCAGTCATTTCGATTTGTACATCATACTGACGCACGCGAGGGTACTTTTTCACCCTTCCTATGGTGAGATTTCCAATAGCATGACATCAATATGGGAATACTTTTGTTTTAACGGTGGGTACAATGTGTGTGGGATCATGTTGTTAGTGTCCCCACAGTAATATCGAGATGCTCCATATAAATCGCAGGTCAGGCACACAAGTCATGCCATTTTGCCTTTATTTGGTTGGCTAAACATCACTCTTCAGATTGAGCGAAGTCCAGCCTCCTCTAGAACATGCTCGAGGGCAAAGTTCCTAGCATCGAGCCAACTCCGTACGGAGTACGGAGTACACGTGCTGGAAACCCCAAGGCTGGCATTGCAAAATGTCGTTCTAGATGTATCTACAAGGGTTTATTTGAACAAGATTTTGCCAGACACCTGGGATAAATTAATGCGAAGTGAGTTGGTTTAGAGGTACCCTCCACTAACTGTGGTAACACAAAACAGTTGACGTGGCTGATGGCCGTAACACGGAGTTCACCATGTACTATTGGCAACTAGGATGAGCATCATGCGCAAGTTTGGTGCCCACTGCTGCTATTTTTCGAACTCAATTGTGCCGCTAAACAAATTAATCAGGGGCCTTTGCTAAGCTGTCTAGGTTGATAGAAGGCCGAATTATGACCGTGGGAATCACTTGAACTGACTGACATACATACCCCTTAAAAAGATGAACCAAAGAGCTGGAATTTTATTGTTTCTCGCTGGGAACGGCAAGATCACGCCACGAGTAAGCATTTGTATGTACCCAATATAATGGCCACAGCTGACGCGGATATCAAAGTCCCGTTACGCCTTGTCCGCCAAAGCAAGCACGGATACACCGTAGATCCTGAAGGCACTCGCGCGAGCGGATTTGGCCCCCACAGCAGTAGCCCTCAATGTTGATCAAACATGCAAAGTGAGCGATGAGTGCTGCTTCTGAACGCAATACCCATGCATTGGGCGGGTGCTTGCCGTTCTGTGGCCTCGGACCGAAGTGAGGAACCAGGCGCATAAAAGCCATCCGACTTAAGTCCGGACCTGCAGCTAGGAGATATTGCTGCTTCGGTCGGAGCATGCTAATTTGGTATTACCCTGCAGGATGTCAGACTGTGATACATGTGCTCACTTGTTCTCGGTCTTCACAAGATATGAGCCTCTTCCATAGAGGGTGAGCGGATGATACCTTTCTCGGCCCTTTTTTGCCCAAACATGCAACTCACAGGGTTTTGAAACCAAGCTTGTGTTACAATGGATCCCCATGCGGGATTTTACTATCAGATCTTTCAAACAGCCCCAGGCCAATGACACGAGACCAAACTTTGTCAAGCGGGGTCAGCATTTAAGAGAAGCGCGAAGGTGGACCAGGGATGATCGGGTTGTCCTGTTTTGTCCGTCAGCATAATCCCTCAAGCAACAGCAAATTGTGTAGGGAGAATGGCAAGGTTGTTCCCTTTGCAAGGAACTCATGGGCTAACAAACGTTCCCACTGAACAACATATGAGCTCCGAGACGGCGATCTATACATTCTAGGACACCGGGCCATTATTGCCCACTATGCAATGTCCTTTCCACAGAAGCCGTCCAATCTGAGACTGTATGTATCTGGTCAAAATAACCGGAAACCTTCAAAAAGCCACTGCCAATTGCTCATATGATTTTATGACCGCAATTTTTGCCTGTTTGAATATGAGGGAAGTATGAGAAATTATATCCATGCCTTATTCACGATGGGCCAAAATGCTGGGTGACTTCGACCAGCCAGACCTGACATGGTTGGGTAGACACAAGCAGCAATCACAGAGGTTTGATATGCGTTCATCTTTACCCTGGGTATTGAATATGATGATGTATCTATATGGACTCAATTCACTTAAAGACCAGTCTTTTGACAACTATATTTAGACGACACCGGTAACTCAAAAATTTCAAATCCCTATCAAACCAGTCTATACTCATATTTTACTTCCCATTTCCATTGACATGCATTGATTGAGCCGGTAGGGCAGGTCCAAACAGACCACTCCATTCCCTGGTATGGGAAATCGTGAGTCCTGTTGAGAGAGAGTTGTGGTCACCAGTCCCAACAACAGTGACTTTATACTCTCCAGCTTCACTGAGCCACGCAGAAATGCTTTCATCCCAGAAGCTAGTCGCCAAGGCAAGAGGGATCGCAATCATAACCGCTTTTTTCTCGCCCTGCTGTAATTTGATCTTCTTGAACCCCTTAAGTTCTCTCACGGGGCGCGCGATGCGGGCGTTGGACGGCGGTGAGACGTAAACCTGAACAGTCTCTGCGCCACTGCAAGATCCAGTATTATCCACCAGGACCGAAACTTCCAGGAATTCCTCCTTAATACTATCCAATGCCTGCAATGGCTGCGAAACGGCAAGCACAGACAGGCAGAATTCTGTGTAGGAGAGGCCGTAGCCGAAGGCGAATTGGGGCTTCACTTTAACCTTCTCATAGTAACGATAGCCAACGTAGACGTCCTCACTGTACAGGACTCTTCCTCCTTCTGAGCGGTAAGACAGATATGTCGGGTTTTGTTCAATTACCTCTGGGAAGCTGAGGGGAAGTTTGCCGGACTAATGGAAGTCAGCTCACGTTCACTAGATTGATCGATCGACACTCACCGGGTTCACATTCCCAAAGATGACATCCGCAATGCCATTTCCTGTTTCGTTCCCACCATACCACGCATGAAGAAGGGCCTTCGTATTCCGTGCCCATGGCATTTTCACAGGTGTGCCACTCTGCACAACAACCACGGCATTTACATTGACAGCGAGGACTCTTTCAACTAGCTCGTCTGACATGGGGGGAAGGTCCATATGTGGACGGTCGAATCCTTCGCTTTCCCATTCACCGCTGAGCCCAACACAGATTACCACCTGGTCAGCAGTAGCTGCCTGATTGACGGCATCTTGAATGGCACACTCAACATCGATTCGTTTGCAACCGCCGACTCGCAGCCCTCCTGGCCCGAATGACACAACCCCATGGAGTTTGATATTGGAAGTCGGTGCGGTGCCGTAGTCAACAAGAATCTTGTACTGTTGATTTGCTTTGAGGTATTTGGAGCCGCGCTCTTCTGGCCTTCCAATACCGAAGAACGAAGTTCCTTGTCGTTGGTTGATTTTGTTGTTGATAACCTTTTCCCCATCAATGAAGAGCTCTCCGGTACCCGCTACCGTAAGGCCGAAGTCATAGATCCCAGTCTCAGTGGGCTCGAACATTCCTTCCATAGTAATGTAGTAGAGGTCTGAGTGAACATGGGGATTTTTGTAGTCCATCAAAAAGGCAGAGCTGCTCTTCATGTATAGGATATCCACCGGCTTTCTGTTCTTGTTGGAGGAGGGTTCAGTGAACACGGTGAATATGTAGCCCGTCCGACCATCTTCTGTCTTTAGTTGGTCTCCCAGAAGGGGTAACTCTCTATGACCGTACACTCCCTGAGAGAAAGTAACACCACCTGTGCAGCTGTCGGTGATTCCTTGAAGAGGTGTGATAGCATAATAAGCTGGCAAGGCCGCAGATCCTCCGCCACAGTATGCTGCGATGTTCGCATTAGGTCCAATAACGAGAGTTCGTTTGGCAGGATTGAGAGGAAGGATTTGTTCGTCATTTTTGAGAAGAACAATTGACTCAGCAGCGGCTCTGCGTAGCAATGCTTGATCCTCGGGAAGATTGCGTTGGACCTCAGGTGCATTCTCGGGGATTTTTGATCTGATTGCCTGTTTTATCAATTCCAAGACAGCACGGACCCGGGCATTGATTGTCCTCTCTGAGACCTTGTTTGATGTGACAGCATGCACCAAGCCCGGCCCACGAAACCGGGATGGGCCAGGCATTTCAAGATCTAGTCCGGCATTGACGGCCTCGGACACACTGTAAGTGCCGAACCTGCTTTTTTCAGCTATGTCAGAATGTGTGAGGAAAGAGCGACGAACCAATCGCTCATAATAAGACCGCTGTACTTCCACTCCTTCCGGACAATATCTTCCAGGAGATCAGCGCTCTCACTGGCGTGGCATCCGTTGAGCTTGTTATATGATGTCATCAAAGCTCCAGGATTGGCACCAGTCATGGCTAACCGAAAGGGAAGAAGATATATCTCTCGAAGAGCGCGCTGAGTGACAAGCGCACTGACAGCAACACGCTCGTGCTCCTGGTCATTGCACACAAGATGTTTTGGTGTCGGAATAACATTCTCACTCTGCACACCCAAACAATAACTGGCCGCCAAGGAACCGGAAAGCACAGGGTCTTCAGAGAATGATTCAAAGCCACGACCTCCAAGTGGACCTCGCTGGATATTGATCGTAGGTCCTAGAATGACATGTGCTCCCTTTGCCTTGCATTCTTGACCCAAAAGTTTCCCCAGAGAGAAGATGAGCTCAGAGTCAAATGAGGCACCTAGTGCGGTAGCGCATGGTAGACAGGCTGCGGGAACTCCATTGAAGAAGCGAGTTCCTCGAACACCACTTGGTCCATCTGACATGCGAATGGACGGGATTCCAAGTCGTGGAATGGCGGCTGTGTGCCAGCCATCGATTCCTTTCCTCGGGTGAGCAGCAAGAATTCATAATAGGTGGAAGTGACAAACCTGAGAGTAATGACACCTTCTCATTCAAGGTAAGCTCTGAGAGTACGTATTCAATATCAATCTCCGCCATGGTGAGATAATAGTGTATGAAGAGATGGTATGAAAGACCAGTCAACCTCAATTGTAACCAGGAAATGACATTCTTTAAATCCCAACGGTCTCTGGACCTCTTGGATACTCATTGTGTTCTACAAATAGATCTAGTATCCAAAGTGAGTCTGTCTCGCGGAATATCGGACTTAGGTGGAACCACAACTAAACGCTTGGCTACATTCGGCACGGAGTATACTGCTCACGCTAGTGAGTTTGGTGAAATATTTTAAGCTGAGCATGAGTTGATTTAGTTGTTCTTGGTATCTTTTTCAGCCGCCTGATAGTGAAGAAAGGAATATAACTAAGTCAACTTGAACGCCCTGGCCTCGATCAGCGTCTGCAAAATGGTGAATAACCCCAACACATCATGAGACTCATCTTTCCAGAAGGTGAGCACCCTGGAAACTTCAAATATTGCTTCCTCCCAGCCGTTCGGCAGAAAAGAGGCTATGCCTATACTGCGTTCGGCAGCGAGCAGCACAGATGCACTCCTTGTGCAGGATCGGAGCATGAGCCATGTTCCATGATGGCGATGGTAGAATCCCGTGCGATTCTGCTGGATTCTATCCACACAGACCTTCAAACCCTTTCGAACGAGAACCTCGCTGCTCCCATCCATTCGCCCATGTATCGCGTCGACCAAAAAGTGCCAGTACATGGTCTCTTGACAGTCAATGAAATGACCACTGAGAATGAATCGGAACGGCGCATATTGATCTGCATCCGGGTTTTCCGTATCGAAGGCCAAGGCTTCGGGAAGCGATCGGAGCCTCATATTCGTTAACTAATGTTGCAATCATTCATGGCGTTGTACATACCATGCGTTTGCTTGGTCCTCAAAGTCAAGGATCACGTCGGTCTCCAGGTTGATCAAACCTGGGCGGTAAGCATAATCCAGGATGCGGTTTTCCAGTCTCCGTAAGGCAATCTCTGCCAGGTAGAAGTACCATGCTGCTTCATCCTTTGACTTCAGCTCTTCCGGGGGCGACGGAAAACCTGTTGGGTAGCTGAGATCGACGACGCTTTTTTGCGACCGATTTAATTCCAGTCGAAGCTCTCTATCAAGCGATGTTAGTCAAGTTCTCCTGATTGGGGATTCGACTGCTTACAGCTCAGACTTGAAGCAGGTCCAGTATATCCTCTGTCTCGTTTCCCATGTGTCTTCATAGCGGTTGTCGCTCATAGTATGCGCCGAAAAACCCTGACAACAGGCAAGTGCTTGCACAAACATCCTCCATGCTCCTACTGGTCGCAAAGTTGTCATTAGATATACACCGGCAAGGAAAAAGCATTGCGCTTCTACCGGCCCGCTCTTGCAGAGAAGCATGCCCATTCGCTTTTGCGCGGCAAGGAAATAGGCTTCGGCTTGCAGAAACCCGCTGGACTGGCGAAATAGAATAGAAGACACTCCTGCTCCATTTTTTACGAATGGTGTCGCGATCGAACCATGGGCATATATGAGAAGCTATCGTTCTATGAACTAGATATCCCCAAAAGAAATAACGAAAAAGATCATGGGCACTTACCAATAAGCATGACATTGCGTCCCATCCAATCCCATTCAATCGAACGACTTCCATACATTCACGGATATTTTCTTCTTTGAGTGTGGGGTTGAAAATATGTACATCGTTGAAGAAAGTCCGAACGAGGTGGTCAGCGGCGTAGAGGTCGAGGTCGACGGAGATTGGTAGGTCTGGTTGAAATGTCTCTTCTTCAGACAAGGATAAAAGATGGAGCCGTTGTGCAATTTCCTGTTCATCAAATACAGGCCATTTCAAAACCTCCTCGATGTTAATGAACGAGGGTTTCCATTGTGTCTGATGGTCGATCTCCACCGGGCTAACCTCGCCGAAAGGCATGGACGGCGACACAGAATGAGGAACATGCGCCAAGGCCCCTGGAAGTGGATCGGTCGCCTTCCGAAGCAGTGATTCTAGATCATCGAGTCGTTTCAGAATAGCCAAGCTTGCGGGATCAAAGCTATCGTCTGATTAGCTGGGTTTTTTCCGAATCTCCGCGGGACACTAACCTCGCAAAACTGATCTGCTCATAGGAGCATTCGGCCCCGAGCCGAAGACATGATGCGCACGAAGGTCGGGTATTATCGCATTTTGTCCGTCTATGTCGACATGTATGGCATGCTTGAGTTGCTCGCTTGCGGGGATAGGTCGCGGTTGCCCGAGAATGTCGCCGCTTAGAAGTCGGCTTGTCAACCGGTGGGGATTCCTTCCCGGACGAGGATTTGGATTGCTCCCCTGACTGGTAGGGTGTCTCCATTGGGGTGGAGTATAGTTCGTTTGCCTGATTCCCATGCAGGATTTCCGGGGAAAGGGCCGGCATGCGATGTAAAATAAATATCCAGCGGAGTTTCGGAGAAGTCAGAGGGCAATTCGACTCTGCTAGTTATTCTGCTTTGGTCATAGTGCAGAATCCATAGTTTGGCTCTTTGCCTAAATTTGCTTAGAGTCAACTAGTGTCAATCCGGGGGAGATTGCCCGGACCTTCCTATTCGCCCTTTGGCCGGGGATTGCAACACCCCCCTTTCGCTTGCTTGGCTTTGAAGCAACTATCCGTGGTGGTTGCGGGGTAATATTGGCCTGCGTACTTCCAATGGGCTGATGGCCGAACCCAGAAGTACTTCAGCAGACGCCAGACGTGACCCCATGTTGCTATGTTGAGCTAGTATCTGTGATGACTTCAGCGGAATGAAGGACGCTAAACCCGACGGCACTAGGTTTCAGGGTCTCTCTTTGTGGATATCTAGAAACCAAAGAGGTAACAGCAGAGGACTGAGTTCCGCCATTCAAGCCTCAGAGGAACGCTCATTGCGGAATCGCGGATAGGGGCGATGGAAGATGGATATAATAGACTGCATTAGACGGTGATTCGAATCACAAGGCAATCCCAAGCACAGTTCTCTGCCTTCTGCTGTTCATCGACAAGTTCCGATCAAGATGAGCGACCAGGACAAGAAACCGACGACCGACAGCCGCAACATTCACGGCGATCGACCCAGAGAGTGGAACCTGCAAAGCGTTCTGCCCAATACCGGCACCCCATGGTACAAGCAGCGTCATCTTCTGTTGCTCAATCTCGGAATGATCATTCCCTACTTGTCCTCGACGACCAATGGATATGACGGGTCAATGCTTAACGGACTGCAGTCCATGGGCCAGTGGCAGGAGTTCTTCGGCCATCCAACGGGTACCCGCTTGGGCTCCCTCTCCAACGGTGTGACCTTCGGCCAGATCCTAGCTTTCCCCGTTGCTCCTTGGCTCTGTGACCACATGGGCCGACGGTTCCCGATCTTCTTTGGATCGGTGCTGCTGGTCATCGGGGCCGTCCTCCAATGTGCTGCGCAGAACTATGCCATGTTTTTGGTCTCCCGTATGATCATTGGATTCGGTGGCCTAATTGCTGTTGAAGCATCGCCGATGCTGGTCAGTGAACTCGCGTATCCGACACATCGACCCGTTTTAGTCGGCTACTACAACAATCTATGGTACCTTGGTGCAATGCTGGCCGCATGGATCACATACGGGACCTACTTCATGGGCCCAAACATGTCATGGGCCTGGCGCATCCCCTCTCTTCTGCAGGGATTCTTTCCCTTGGTGCAAGCCCTGTTTGTGTATCTCATTCCCGAGTCACCACGATATCTCGTGCAAAAGGACCGCTGCGAGGAAGCCCGGAAAATCCTGGTCAAGTACCATGCTGGCGGCGATGAGAACTCTGCACTGGTTGATTTCGAGATGAAGGAAATTATCCTGTCCATCCAGCACGTGAAACGAGCTTCGACTAAGGGATACCGCGAGTTCCTCAGGACACGCGGCAATCTGCACCGTCTTTTCATCATTATTGCTGTGCCTTGCATGATGCAACTATCCGGCAACGGTCTCATCGCCTACTATCTCCACCTGATCCTGAACTCGATAGGCTTCACCTCAGACCCGCAACAACTCCGCATCAATGGCGGTCTGACGGTGTTCAATCTGGGTGTCTCGATCATTTTAGCCTCGTTCATGGAAGTTGCAGGTCGACGACGTCTCTTCCTCTTCTCGACAGTGGGCATGTTGACTTGCTTCGTGATCTGGACGATTCTGTCTGCCATCAACGAACAACGAGGCTTCGGTGATAGTAGTCTCGGCTCAGGAGTCATCGTCATGATCTTCATGTACCAGCTATTCTACAATGCTGGTCTCAATGGCCCACCCTGGGTCTATGTCACCGAGGTGCTTCCCACCCATCTCCGCGCGAAAGGAACAAACATTATGCAGATTGCAGCAACATGTGCTATCATTTTCAATGGATATGCCAACCCAGTGGCCATGGATGCAATCAGTTGGAAGTACTATATTGTCTATTGCTGTATCATCGCGGTGGAAATTGTGATTGTTTATTTCGGTTTCCCTGAAACCAAGGGCCGCAGTTTGGAAGAGGTCGCATTGATTTTCGATGGCGACAAAGCCTTCGGGGATGTCTATGAGAAAGAGCAGTCGACTGACGCTTGATGAGGTTGCTAATTTGATGGTGATCTGCGTGTTATGTTTAGGTGACGTGGGGTAGTAATAGGTCAGCAAATAGCATAAAGTCTTTGTATTTCATATCCAATATCGAAACATATCAGGAGGTTTACACTCGTTAAGCCCAAGCTATTGATGATGGTGAATAATCCATCTTGATGCATCACATCTTGATTCCTGCCCTTTCAGGCAGTTTGGCTTGACAGACTGAGCGTTTTTGGACAGGTGGACTCTTTCAGTTGCTAGTTTGCTAGTCTCTTAGTCTTCATAGACTATATAGTCCCCAGTTTTTGGTAACTTCAGCGAATCATAGCTTCTTCCTTCTCCTTCTCTCGCTCTCTCAGTAGCCTTATCAATCCAACTAGCGGAAGAAGGCCCCCGTCACGGCCCCCACATACTAGTTACTTCTTCCCTACCCAACTTTTCGATATCCAGTCTCTTCGAGCGAACATTCAACCCCTCTTCTCCATATGCTGTGATAACCTGCTGCCTGACAAGTTCCGCCGCACTTGGAGAATTCAAGCCCGTACAGCACTGTATCACCCTACGTGTATAAAGCACCAAGCCAAACCTGCTTAAAGTCCGATGGAACTCATCATTGATATTCGGGCGGCTTTCATTAAAACGGATCGGCTCTTCAGAATGCCAATACACGCGCGCTTTTGTATACGCGGTGAACCCAACCCTGGGACTGAACAGCAAAAGCTCGAAGAGCCTTTCCATACGGAGGCCTTCCTGCCCGGGTTGTTGCATCTCTTGATCCGCCTGGATACCGCATCTTAGCTCCTGAAGATTGTGTAACAGGATCAGGTCGTAGCTTGGCAACTAACCGGGATACCAGAGCTTCCGGCGCAATAGCCGCGCATCCCGTGGGAAATTTGGAATGTTCCAAGTTCCGAGATAGGGGGCTGTTGTACCAGCATCTTGCGCCAGCTTGCATCCTTTCGTACGAATCGAGCCATCGTTGTAGCGTCTTCAGTCATAGTCAAGTCGGAAAAGTTGGACGTGTAGTGATCCAATCTATCCTTGGCGGGAAAGATAGAAGGAAAGGTCTCTGTCAACAGCGGGTTGGGAAAGCTTTCCTCCATTCCCCACTCGGAGTCCTTGATTGGAGTGAAGTAAAGACATTTTTGGATTGATGGCGACTTCGTGATCAGCTTTGTCCAGCTGTGACAGACCCGCTGAGCAGACGTGAGAAGTGAGCGCATATCCATCCGAACCAATATCATTTCTAGGATTTCTGGAGTATCTAGGACTCTGTTGACTGCTGGTTTTGTCCCACTCCCAGGTTGCAGCCGGAGGGCAATTCCATCTCCTGGATATTCCTCGAGGTGACTGGCCATTTTGCTAGTTGGGATCTTGGTGATTGTCAATCACGATGCCCTGTAATGATTAATAAGAGGAGATCTTCACTTCTCCTTTTGGTGCGATTTCTCGTGATCACTAAGTTGCTGGGCCTTGTTGTCAACTGCGTGACATGTACGGAGTAGGCAGCAATTCCGTTTTGCATCGCTGAAATGCCCCCGGTCATTCGCTCACGTGCATTAGCTTGTGGACTATGGACATAAAGGGAAAAGGCTTGGAATACAACGCTTGCATTCAATTATCCGGAGACTAAACTATCCAGAGGCTAAAGTATTTTATATGAGCAGGCTCGGGGATGCATCGCAAAGTGTAGTCATCAGAATGTTTTTCGAAGGCTCTTAGGAGCATTCAACCCTGAGCCAGACACACGATGCGCACGAGGGTCAAGCATTAACGCCAAGGGTCTTGGTTCGCGGATCTATACGATGAGAATATGTTCAGTGGACGTCGATGAGATGGCAGTTGGCGTGATATCCCAACGTGGAGATAAACAGACAAAGCTGGCACATAAAAAGCTCACCTACCACAGCTGGTTATAGAGAGAATTTGAAGAAAAAAATATAAAAGAAACCGCATACAATATGGATTGAGTAGTAGAAACGAATTTGTCCATACCACATAGGGTATCAAAGTTCCCACCAAAAACGCCGTTGAACAATCAAGAATACCCAGATCCGCAATTTCCATGCATCAAGTCATTATGTAGTAAAGGATCGCTGTTGCTTCGCTCAAACTGCTGAACTTTCCATGCGTAACTTCATTGAAGCACACCTCACAATTTGGCTGTGACTGGTGAAAGGTATGTAGGTCGGTCCCATGGGGAATCATTTCTTGATAGAGACACTGTCATCCTTGATACCTGCTTCCTCTTCGTCCTTCTGAGCGGGCTTTCCGTCATTATCTGCATCGCCAGTAATTTCTCCCCATCCGGAACTTCGGCGACTCATGCGGCCAGCCATGGTGAATGGACTGGTGATACCCCCAGCGATACTGGCAGCAGTACTATCATTTCGGCTATGCGAGTGGATACCACTGCGAATGCTGACCGCGTCACCACTAGTAGCTTGCTTGGTGGCGTACAAGCTACCCCGCTCCGCGGTAGTACTGGCTAGCGGGGTGGCTCCGGCAGTCGAGTAAACACTGATGCGCTCAGCACTCGCAAGTCCGACAATACTTGGTCGGCTCATGATTCCCGGTGCATTGAACACAGAGTTGTTGGACGCTTCAGTAGTATTTCCACTCAACACACTCAGCGGCAGACTCTCGCGGCTACCACCGAAAACGGAAGACGGAGCCAACGCGCGTACGGATGCATTGGTATCTAGAGAGTTGCGGCGGCGACGTTTAGATGAGCTTGCCAGAGTGAGAAGAGAAGCATTGTCGTTCAACGCATTGTTTGCAATTGCAGTGCTGTAGGTCATGCCATGGTTCAGGGGCGCTAAGTGCGGGGGAACTGCGGTAGCGGGTGAGGAGGTCGAGGGGAATTGGTGGGAGAATTGAACCTGCTGGTTCGAGGAGCCCTGTGTAGAGCCGCCGTGGTGGTGTCCATGATGGGTATTTTGTGCATTGTACAATTGGGTCGAGGGTGCCGCTGAGTGCACTGTGGTCAAGGTAGTAGCCAACGATCGCACAGAGGGTGCAGGCGATGAAAAGGTGCTACCCTCCCCTCCTCCATGCGTGCTAAGCCCTTCGGTGCCAGTTGTCAATGTGCCTGCCTTGGAATATGCGGCGTCACCGGTGGTGGAGATGGTTGGCGCGGCCGATTTTGCGCTCGTCAGGGGAGCCGGGTGATCGTAGCCAGAAAGCAAAGATGGGTCGCTCCTAGAACGAGATTCTAACACATAATGTGAATCGGTATATGAGTCGGTCGGTGTTTGAGCCCCCGTGTGACGATTGACGATTCCAGAGAGAGGGTATGGGTTGTTGCCTTGATCGCCCTTCTTGGCCTTTACACCCATATGTCGTTTGTTAGACCATCGATTTGTACTTGTGTCAGATGAGCTCTTGAGGCTCGCCAGGCGTTTCATCCAACTCGAGAACGGACGGCGACGTGCATTCCGGTCTATTTTGTATGAATCCCTTAGCAATGTTTCACGATGACCAACGGGCAGAATCTGTATTTACCATGCAGCCTAGCCGGACCTTCGGCAGTAGCCATTTTGGCTTTCAGAGGTAAGCTAGTCACTTCCCACTCAGACTGGCGTGGGGTCATAGACAGGCAGGAAAACAGAGCACTGCGGATTGAAGCGCGCCGAGGCAGGTGAAACGGGCGGGAAGACTGTTTATCCGTCAATGTCATGTGCCCTTGCCTCTTCGCCCTTACTTGACGTATTTCCCACGTTCTGTGAGTCTGTTGTGGCTCGTTGGCAAGTATCAGAAGAATTGGAACAGCAAAAATGACAGGTGATGATGAATGAAACACATTTTTATAATTGTGTTGCCAAAATTTGTCTCGGGGCCCCTCCACCTCCGGGCTTGTGGCGCCATGCTCCAGTGAATGCACACAACTGCATCAATGCCTCCTTCTGAATCAATAATACGAGCACTACCATCTGACGTGATTGCAAGAATTGAATCATCTACATCTATTGTGCATCTGACTGGTGTAATCTTGGAGCTGGTCAAAAATTCTTTGGATGCCAAGGCGCGTACCGTCTCTATCAATGTCGACTTCAAACGCGGTGGCTGTATAGTTGAAGATGATGGCGATGGGATTGCTCCGAGCGAGTTTGAAGCTATAGGAGGGCTGGGCAAGCCTCACCGCATGTCTCCCAGCCTCAGGATCATCCAGATATGCGCTTGCTAACATATGCACTAGATACATCCAAATTCAACTCGACAGGCTTATACGGACATCGAGGTTCGTTCTTGGCCTCCCTCGCCTCATTGTCTCTGCTCACTGTGGTGTCTCGTCATATTCGGCATGAAAACACAAACTCAATCATATTCCATCATTCGACTCCTGTGGCTCGGCTCATCCCTGCGCCGGCACAGCAGGTCCTTCGCTCTCCCGAACATGGCACGTCTGTCACTGTCAATGATCTTTTCGGAAATATGCCAGTTCGCGTCAAACGTCGAGCCCTGACTCTCCAGCGGTCGGAAGATCTAGAACGAGAGTGGGAGAATTTAAGAAACTCATTGGTGTCTCTCTTGTTGGCCAATCCTCAAGTCTCAAAATTGATCATTGTCGATGTGGAAAAGCACAAACGAATATCTATTCGGCCTGGATCTAGTTCCACATTGGAAGAATGTATCCAAAATCCGAGTGGATTTGATCTCAACCGCATCCGATCAATTTTTATGCAGTCCGGTCTAATCCCGCGCAAAGACTTCGAGTTTTGGCATGAAATGTCAGCATCAGTTCGTGGTCTTACGGTGCAAGCGGCGATATCTCTCCAGCCCAGTCCGACGCGGAGATCTCAGTTCATATCTCTTGGAAAGGAACCGGTTATATCGCGTAACGCGTCCAATGTCCTTTACAACGAAGTGAACCGACTTTTTGCTTTGTCGGATTTTGGTAGTACTGCACGTCCTCTGTCTTGCAGAAGCTCTGATACCAATATTGCATCTTCCGCGAATCAGCATGCCTCGGTTACCAGGCGCGATACCGAAAGCAACACCAGCACCCGAAGCTGGATAAGGCCGGTCAATAAGTGGCCAATGTTTTACATTCGCATTGATACAAAGTCTGCAATACGACTAGATGATGGTGGATCTGAGTATCTCCCAGAATCGGAGAAGTCAATTCAACGGATTGTTGATGTGCTTGGAGCCATGATCGTGGAGTTTCTGAAACAGCACAGTTTACGCCCTCGTGATGGCAAACAAAAAAGCTTGTCCTCCAACCGAATCCAAACTACCCGTTCCAACAAGGTCTCCCTAGAAGGTGGCAGTTCTCGAGGTCCATTAAAGCAAAGCCTTTCGGCGTCGAGCACCGACGAAACTTTTGGCAGCTATATCAAAATGCCTTCGTTTCCAAAATCCTATTCCCTCAATTCTGGCCACAGTTTTACCAACTGGTCCAGGACAAAATCCGCTCATCACTTAAATATGAGTCCGCCAGCCCAACGGACCCCGCATTCTGGCCCAGCGTTTGAGAACGTCCGAAGAAAGACTTCATTTCCCACAACGTCTGCTGAGGGACCAACTGGTTCGAACCAGAACCGGGAGGTCACAACTCTTTCCCAGCCCCTGAGACAAGGACTCTCCGGTAAAGACGGGAAGAAACCAGTGGGTCTGCCAGATGATTCATCATCAGACAAGATGATCACCTGGATAGATCCACGTACGAGGTTGGCATACACAATTAATCCTCGGACAGGCCAAACGATGAACTCCCGAAAATCATTAGCAACTCAACGATCTCGCACCGACTTCGATCATGCCTCATTGGAGCACCCCTCACCGGGCTTTTGGGTGGACAATATGTTGGAAGAATGGGAAAATCCTGTTTTCGGCCGAACAGAGATACCGATACCAGGTCTGGGTACAGAGTTTGTTGGCCAGCATATAGCAAACACTTCTATGCATGATTGTTTCAGGGGTATTGGATCCCTAAATACAGCGCAAGTTGCCAAATATCGGGGAAAGCTTAGACGTCACGCACTCGAAAGCGCCGAAGTGATAGCCCAGGTCGACCAGAAGTTTATTTTGGCTAAGGTTCATTCAACCGCCGTTCAATTAAATTGGGATGGGGCATCAAATCATGTTCTGCTGTTGATTGATCAGCATGCGGCGGATGAGCGATGTCGACTCGAACAGTTGTTTAGCGAGATGTTTCTCTCTCCCGAGGTGAATGAAAATTTGAAGTCACATTGTCGTGTGCAGACTGTCCGAGTCGATTCTTTGATATTTCAAGTTTCATCAACGGAGGGTGGTCTGTTTCAAAAACACCAGGAATTCTTTTCCGTCTGGGGCATTGGATATGGGAACAACATCACAACTAATTCTACTGCCACGATTACTGTCCATACTCTTCCTCTGCTTATAGCTGAACGCTGTCGGCTCGAGCCTCACGTGTTACTTGACTTGATGCGGCGTGAGATCTGGTCCAGTGAGGAAGAAGGCAGAGCGCCCTTCCAGGCAAAGAAGGCATTTGAGACCGGGGATAACAACTGGGGCCTTGACCTATCAGACAATGAAGATTCAGTGCCTCAAGAAACCACAAGAACACCAGCTTCACGAGCGTGGGTTCAGCAAATGAAGGGATGTCCGCAGGGCATTTTAGATCTCCTGAACTCCCGCGCCTGTCGTACTGCTATTATGTTTAATGACTCGTTGAATACCGAAGAGTGCCAGGCCCTTGTCTCCAGGCTAGCCAGGTGTGCGTTTCCGTTTCAGTGCGCTCATGGACGGCCTTCAATGGTCCCTATTCTTGATCTACGGTCTCTCCCTGAGACTGATGTGACTCTGCCGCTGGATCTGAATGGCAGGGCATCTACTCATGACTATGACGACACCATGAATTTGGACTTCTTGGACGCGTTCCGAAGGAAATATGTAACACAAAGTGATTAGATCTTATACAGAATTGCTCAGTATCGTGGCTATGGAGAAGGCATTGGAGCAGGATGCAATGTTTATAATCTGCAAGTATTCACCTGGCATGTATTGGATCTGAGCCCAATCGGCTGCTTCCCCTTTCGGTCACTTTAACCACCATTCAACAACGTTCATGGCTGGTCTCTTTATCTGGTTTTGTACATGCGCGAGCCCCTCGGCCTAGAACCTCAGACCAATGGGCCAAATCATGCCTATGCCATTCACCTTCAACATGGGTGCTCAAACCTGTTTTTAGAATTTCCCCTATCATGATATATCACATTGGTCTCCAATGCCCCAGATTGAAACTAAAAGTCAAATTTCTTTTCCCATGCATCATAATACAAGAAAACAGCCCAGTTGCAATACACGTTGAGTCTAAGGAGACGTGATGTGAATCGACGAAGTGCAATCCCAGCCACGTTGCATAGTGCGTCGTCATCATTATGGAGTTTGTCTGCATGAACTATTCAGCAGATAGATCATGCATGATGGAGGCATATTTTGATTCGTCCTGGTCATACTCCGCCGCTCGCAGTTGGCTAAATACAACGTAATGACAAGAAATGGTGCGGATTCGATTCTACAAAAAACTGTTTTGTGAACCAGAATGTTTTTCTCGCTCATATAACACGAAATGGTATTGTGCACGGAGTATTGCGTACTCTGTTCTCCGTATTGTGCCTGTGATTACTTTCAGACTCTCAAGGGCTGCATCCAGCACAACTTCCTGTCCACAAGTACCCCAGGACTAGGCCTCAAATCGTGTGTAGCCATCAAGTTCCTTCACCTGGGGGACATCTTCAATCTGTATCTTCTCCACATTCATCGCCAAACTCATTCTCCCAAAGCCTTTTGGTAGTTCAGCGGCACTCCTAAACCTCAACACCCACGCACCCACTTCATTCGTCGGCCAACCAAACACCAGCACCTTTTCTTCTTCCTCCGTAATCTCCCTCATGCCTATCAGCACATCGATCCAGTCCGCTTTACTCGGTTATAACTTCGCACCAGTCTGTCACAAGAGATTACAGAGCTGGTCTTCTTCGTCGGCACAGGGTGAGCGCTGCGACGCTTCAGTCTGGTGTAGGCTGCGTTTGCGTGCTTGAATCGTTGCCATAGCTCAAACTTTTGCTACTATCAGAGAAGAGGAGCTCGGAGGAAAGATCAAAAGGACGCAGCTGGCGGACAGCATCGAGTACAAGCCAATGCTTCTATCCTGCCACTGAGGGGTGGCTCCATTTGGGTTGGTTTAGATTGTGATGCGATGAAGGTTGTGCAGATCAGGAGCAAAGATGCTCTATCGGAATCAATTCCCGCACGATCCACTCCCTAAACGAGGACTTAAAGCCGATTTCCATGGAGCCCACATGGTCAACATAGCAAGCCGGGTTCCCTGAGAAATTACAATCATCATTCCTTTGCACATTCGAACACATACGGCAACTCCTTTTCAGGGATATATGTCAGACTCCTCGATACAAGCTCGATTCCACCTTCAACGCTCCTCGGAGACACACACCAAAAACATAACTATTCAAGCCAAATAGTTCCGCCGATTCATCGGACTCGTTTTGGCAGCCAAGTCTCGTCGCTCACTGTTGCCAAGCCGCTCTATTCTCGTGTGCAAAAAGATCCAGTGACCGGGGGTCCGGCCCGTAACCTCTTGCACAGTAGCGTTCATGCGAGTTTCAAATCCTGTAGATGCCGCGGTTTCCAGATTCGTCAAGAACCGAGCATAGTACTCAGAGACCCCAGCACCGACCAAGCTTTCGTAGCGTTCGTCGCCGGTCAGCTTCACGTGCTCAATGCGACGACCCAGTGCGGCAGACAGTTTCTCAGCCACCTCATCATAGGTGAGCAACTCGGGTCCCAGCACACGGTGGTCGCAATTGTGTGATTTCGGGTCGGTGATTGCCCGGAATGCGACCGCAGCGATATCAATGGCGCTCACGAAGGGGATTTTACCGTCACCACACGCCGTGAAGATCTTGTCCATATCGCGAATAACAGTACTCGGGGCCCCGTCGGAAAGATTTTCTATAGGCCAAGATAATTCCATGATCAGTTAGTGCACCAAAGACACGGGACTCCAAGCCAGGCACGCACCCATAAACCAGCTGGGCCGGAGGACGCAGTAGTCGACTCCAGTATCTAGGAAGTGTTGCCACACCATCCCCATTCCCGGCTTTGATGGCTCAGCGGAGCTACCCGCCACCAACACAAACCTCCTCACGCCGTGCTCCGTTCGCGCAAAGTCAATGAACTCGTTCATAGGCTTCCAAGGCTCGGCGACCAGTGGCTCCATAAGATAGATCGCGGTAATGGTCCCGCCACCCGCAAAGTGGGACTGGAAGGGTTCTTTCCAGGTAGACTGGTCCAGCCAGTCGAATTTGACAGCAGGCATACCGGAGGGTGCGGCGGCGGCCCCACGACGGGAGGCTAGCAGGAAGGGAATATTCTCATTTTGAAGGAAGCGGGCCAGGCGCACCGAGGTCTTACCTGTGCCACCAGTGAGAAGGACGGGCATCTCTCCTGCGTACTTGTGTAGATTGGGGCTTAGCAGAGAGAAAGGCAAGAGTGGGAGACGCAGGATTCTAACTAACAGAACACACCTATAGTAGGTCGACCGGCCACAAAATATAAATAATCAAACTAACCAATACCCTCTCACGGTTATAGGACTTAAGCTTAGCCTAAATCCGGCTTGACCGCATCCCCGATGCTCATTATTTCCGGAACAACAAAGCAACATGAGCTTGAGAGATGTTGATTGCTCGGATCCCGAGAACCGAACTAGGAGATGAAGCCTAAGTCCGATCACACGTCTTAATTGGAGACTCCCCCATGTTCAATCAGGAGAAAAGGAAGAGACAGGCTAGCGCTCTTTGTCTTGTACAGTCCAGTCCAGCCCGATATGATCGTTACCCCTCGATTCCACCTTCTAGAGCTCGGCGATCAGTGGTGCCCCGTATGGCTCCGCGAATACTCCCACATGGCGCGCATCCAGATGTGGAAAACAAAGTCTGGGGACAAGGAGTCTCTAGCTGTGTAATCCTACGATCTGTTGTTTAACAATCTCCCCAACTTGGCCTCCTACATCCTTTACAAAGCCATGGAGCCGCTACCATTGGTGATGCCTTCCTTCACAGCCCATATTATAACTACAATATGAGGGCCCATGGATTGACGCTGAAAGTGACCGCTTTTGAGGCCAAAAACGGCTGCCCTGTAGCACCACTATAGTCTATTCTGCACCCGCCTAGCACTTTTAGTCATCCTGCGATCTTGATGTTGACGCTCGGCTTATATAGTTGCTCTCCCCGTTTCTACTGATTGCCAGTCAGATCAGATCAAAAAGAAAAGAATGCATTCCACAACAATGCCACCAAAGCCTCACAATATCTTTTCGAAGAGATCCTTGTCTCCGCCTTCTGGCTGATTCCTCCTCTCAACTTTCCAGATGATCACAGCATGGGCAGTGACAGATCTTACTTAGTAGAGCGCGTACTGGGATGACAATAAAGCGAGGAACTTCTAAACCGCACTAGTCATTCAACCACGGATCCTGAAGTAGATCCTTCGCTGTCTTCCTGTCTTCAGGCCTCCACTGAAGCATCCCTCTCATGAAATTCATGAACATTTCCTTGTTTGTTCCCTCAAGGAACTTTTCCGAGAGCTCCAAACTGGCCCCTGTCGGGATTTCTATATCTTGCTTCCATCTACCTATAAGGTTGACTTTGTAAGCCTTTGCGAAGTGCATTGAGCGAGAAAAGGATACTTACCCTCGCTGGTGAAGAATTCATGGCTTCGTTTTCCACGCCGGAGCATATCTAAAGGGGGTGGCCCGAGAATACCTATGACTTCTGCAAGATGCGCCCGGGTCGAATACCCTTTACCATCAGGGTCATTTCCATAGAAAAGGTGTTTCCCCTCAAACAAATCCCACACCTATCATTCCTGAGCTTAGTCCATGATACTGAAGTCTGAGAGTAAATGGGTAAAACATACCATAACACCAACATTCCATATGTCAACCGGATAGCTCCAATCAGTCTTAAGCATTACCTCCGGCGACCTATAGACATTTGGCTGTGCATCGTGATTCCTCCTCTCATCCCCTCGTACCGCAGAGCCGAAATCACTTAGAACTGCTCGGCCAAACACCTTCGGTAAGTCGAAGCGTCGTGAAGCATATACCGGTAATCCATTGACGATTTTGCGGGGTGAAGGGCTTTTTAACTCAGCCTGGGTAAAGCTTTCAAGGATAGACCTGTCTTCTATTTCTTGGAGAATATTATCGCTTTTAATATCTATAAAGATATAGGTTAGGGTAACGTGTAAACCTAATAGAGCCTAATAGACATATATTACCTGTGTGGATAAGCTTGCATTCAGTGTGTAGGTAGTCAAGTGCAAGAAAGATTTGCATAAGACCAGATTTGACGAGATCTTCAGTAAATCGATGGCTGGGATTACGATACAGAAGGTCCCTAAAGCTCTCCCACATCGTGCTCTGAACAAGACACGGATGGTCACCGCTCGAAGAGGGGATCGTGAAGATATCTAGGGCTTTTCTTATATGAGCATGGCCAGGGTGCCATGAACTCCCTTGGTTTAGTTGCTTGTAGATCTGAAACTCTTCCTGATTCTCTTCGTCACGAGTGTAGATTTTGAGTGTCACATATCGATGGCCTCTGTTGTTTCGGTGGGTCAGTGTTTAAGCAAGATAAGTACCTAGCTACATCTGCCCTGACTTACTCAAGATCACGGGCGAGCCATACGGTAGAAGTAGTCCCAAAACCAAGTTTACCAACAATCTGGTATCTGGAACTAAGCACGTCGCCGATATTAGCAGGATAATACTTTCCCTGCTTGAACTGCTCAAACCGTTCCTCGTCAAGCACCTCCGAGGGAGAGACAGTTTCGAAGCCGCTAGTAGGAAAACGTATAGGAAGCCAGGGAGGCCTTCGAAGCGCATTCGAGGCCCATCTCATGATGTTAGCCATGTTTTATATGTAGAAGGAGAAGAGGCTGGTTTCGTTAAGGTGAGACAGGAAGGATGTAGAATGAAGGTAATGAGAATTTGACAAGTTACATGTAGTTGCACCTGCGCAAATGAGAATGATGACTCATCCTCCGGGCTGAAATTATCCAAGCGGTTGTAGTAGGCTACTGTTTTTGACTCAACGGAAGATCAAAGCGCGGAGCGCTAAAGAGCCTGTCGATAGCCGCCGAGGCTAAATAAGATTCATGTTATAGGAAGGGAAAGTCTCCAGGGGAGAGAAGGGGGGAGAGGGAGAGAGAGAGAGCAGCGGAGACGAGTCTTTTGTGTCGGGAGTATTGAAGGGCGGTTGCGTGGCGATGTATTGGGGCGCTAAACTTAACAGCAAAACTAACCCGATACAGTAATTCACAGATCCGCCATTTGCAACAAGAACTGAAAACATCCTACTGTCATTGAGTAGACCACCTAGGCTCGGTAAAGCCCTGGAGTCCTACCTAAGGAAACCGACTTAGTAAGCTCTTTAGTCGGCCCCGGGGCCTTTTCTACTCATTTTCACCGAGTATCTTGAAGAATTTGAAGAAAAGGCTCTTGTCTTGGAGTTTATCCATAAGGAGTTAGAGCAGGATGCTGTATATGCTTTGTATTCACAGACTAATCGCTACTTACATGTAGATAAGTAACTAATCCATGTTTGTGGCTACATCAAACGAAGCTTTCAATGCCATCCCAGTCATATTTTGGCCTTGTCCTTCAGACCTTTACTTCCCTCTCGGTTCATAATCCCTGATTGTGAGGAAACTCTGGGGACACTCATTCATAAATTTAGAAATACTTCTATAGATACCAGAGAAAAAAGGTCTTTATACGGTCACTCGTCCAAGACATTTTCTTTTTAGTTGTACAATTAGTCTTTGTAGAACTAATCAGTGTGCCATAAAAGGCAAACTGGCTCGCCCAGCACTTCTACACAGTGATCTAGTTCAGCTAAGCGTACTATATATCAGGCTGTAGGTGGTGGAACACCAAGGTTTCAGCTCAATCAATAGCCAAATACTTGTGACTATTCACATCAATCCCAGGGTTCTTCCTAGTCCTCGCCTCTGATGGTTTGGCATTTCCTCAAAATAATCCATGATAATATCAATTTAATCATGATATCGTTGTCCTACCGGTTCATTGTACTCCCAGCCAGGCATTATTGTGTCCCCTTATTAGTACATCGCCCCAATGAGATAATCCTTCTCCAAACCTCAGCCCTAAGCTCGGGGTGTACATAAGCCAGACAGAATCAAAACCTTTACCCAAGTCATAGCTATCCGTTACACTAGATCTCAACCAAGGTCTATAAAGACATCCAAACTCCCGAGGACATAGCCACAATCCCCTCACCTTCCAAAGTCATCCGACCATTACTCACAATTCAAATCTCAAGATGTGTCCCAAGACCCCACACGGCGATGCCCCCCAAGAGGAAACAGGCTGCAACATCATGCCTGGCGTCGCCGGCAAGCGTGTGCTGATAACGGGCTGCGCCTCCGGAATCGGCAAAGCCACCGCCGAAGTCTTCGCCGCGCACAGCGTGCAGATGGTGATATCTGACATCCAAGACGAAGCCGGCCAGGCTGTCGCAGAGCAGATCCTCAAGGACATCCCCAATGCCAAGGTCAAGTACCAGCACCTCGATGTGACCGTCCGATCTGAATGCAATGCTGTCGTTGAAGCTGCAGTCCGCTTCCTCGGTGGTCTAGATACTCTCATCCACGCAGCGGGTCATATCCACCAAGACGCTGCAGAGAGTATTGACGAAGTTGAATTGGACCGTATGTTGGACGTTAACGTCAAGGGAACTGTCTTCATGAACCAGGCTGTCTTCCCCTATATGAAGACCAAAGGTGGTACGATCCTGAATTTCGGGTCTGATCTTGCGTCGGAACCGCTACCACGTTTGGCTCATTATGCTGCGTCGAAGGGGGCGGTGCAAAGCTTTACTAGGGCTATTGCGCGTGAGTGGGGCAAGTATGGGATTCGGGTTAATGTGGTTCTGGCGGCTGTTTGGACGCCCATGATGGATGCTTATCGTGGGAATTTCGAGGATGAGCATGTTTCTGGTCACGATGCTTTTCTGAAAGATCGGGTTTGTCTTGGGGAGATGTTTGGGGATGCAGAAATTGATTTGGTTCCTATTCTGGCCTTTTTCGTTTCTGATGCAGCCCGCTGGATCACGGGTCAGTTGGTGCCTATTAACGGTGGCCTGTCAATGGTGCACTAATTGTGGGCTCAAAAGAGATCATGTTGAAGAATCAATGGGGGCATGGGTGACAGGCTTCGGTTGTGACTTTGTTTTCTTTCTTTTTGAGAGTGGCATCCAATGCGTTATGATCTGCAGGCATCATCAGGCATCAATATTTCCTAATCCAGAACGTTTGTTCCCATATAGTTCACTTGAGAGGCTGTCTCCACGAAACTCCCGGTGGGTAGACCAGCCGTTAGCTGCTTCGTTTTCTGTATTCAAGGTGGCGGTTTGGAGCAGATTACTGAATTGGGCCGTATCGGAATGACCAACTGTGTGCGTTCGATATGCAGTTCTGGGGTTTCGCTTTCTTTTTTTTGATCTGCTCTTTAGCTTTCAACGTCATCTTGTCTTGGGTACTCACTAGACGAGCTTCAGAATTGACGCTCTATCGTTGTCATTTCACTCACACAATTCAGTAATCCACATGCCACTACTCCCTCTGGGGTTGACTCCAAAGATGACGACAGCCTCATCGCAGACAGATCACCTTTTCCTTAATCCCTACACAGCATGCCCGTCTCTCCTCGTTGTGGATTCCATTAGATATATACATAATTTAGGGATGTCTGTACCTATATGTAGGCAGTTGCTCTCTCACCGTGTTGCGTAAGACTCGTTGATATCACCTGAAGTCCACGGATAGACGTACCTTCCATGGTTGGAATTCTGAGTTGTTCCTTCCTGTTTGGGAAGGAACTCGTCGCCCACCCTGCTGACCCTCGTCGCCTTCAGCCTTCCCCAGGATATAAATACCCTCTCCTCCCCCCAGTTTCTTCTTCTTCTTTTCTTTCTTCTCCACTCCCCTTCCCCCTCCACCCCGTTTTGCATGTATTCCCGTCCCCCTTCCTTTCCTTTCCCATCTTTCTGCCCCACTCCTTATTCGCTGTGCTGTCATATATTTGCCTGGGCCCTCTTCGGAGGATTTCACCTTTCTTCCCCTTGGGACTCTGTTGCGCTCTGGGTAAGGTAAGACACGAAGCATGCCAGGGAGCAAACGAGCTGTGCAAGTGCCACACGTTCAACACGTGGGGTAGACACTCCCTCGGCCGCTGCGGATACAGCTCGTCCTGCCCACAGTAGCCGTTGCTCCCCTCCAAACCCTGACCCCATTCCTTCCTTACACCTTGAATTGGGGAGTCTTACCCAGTTGCATGGGGCCTGTATGCAACACCTGAGCATGACTTGCACCTCTACGTGGTGTTCAGGATGAGTAGCCTTCATGGTGAAACCAAGCAAGTCGCTTAGTTAGTTTTGATAATCAATATCTTTCTCTTGACACACTGCCTGTATGCTTTTATAGGTGCCGCGTATGTCTCCCTTGATCTGCGGGCTATAGCAGCCGTGATTGATCGAATCGGGGTTACGATCATGGGCTACCACTACCACATTGTTGAACCTTGCAGCTATGAGATATCTCCATGCCTTTGCGTAATCAAAGACGTGCTTTGTTGGCTGGAAGGTAGCCAATGTGGCTGTTCTCAAGACAATTTTAACTCAAGGCCTGTTGAAAGCATTTGCGTTATATGGAGTGCATGAAAGAGGACCGGAATCTTAATGCAATGCTAAAATCCATCATACTATGGTATGGGTGGTTGCAGGACAGGTCCTTCACTCACAATGAGAATGTATTGGCTCACAATGACAGGCAATTAAAAAGCAAGACTGGGCACTAGAAGACGATGTTTAACATCCTAGAATCCCGTCTATTATTTCAATGTCTCCCTCCGAGTTCATTGTTCCCAAGATTCAGCTATGGCAGCAGTGACGTGCAACATCATAGCGACACCGGGCTCACCACATATTGAAATAACTACAACCTACGAGGTCAGTTACAACTACGAATACCAAAGTGGAGAAACATCTTAGAAATTAGAGCATATTGCATTTGAGACAGCTTGAAAAGCTGCACCTGTACAGAGGCCGCGAGGCCAAAAAAAAAAGGCCTGCCTAGGGGTATCCGGCCTGGAAAACGCCCCGAGAATACAGATAACGATCCTTTTTCCGGTCCTTGTTCCCCCATTCCCATTTCTCCGACCGAAAAAAAGCAGACCAGCATGAAGAAATTAGAACAAATGACGTAAACGTAAAATCAGAGGCGCTGGTAAAACTCCATGTGGGTAGTCCCGGACCGCGTGTCATACATAGCCGTTTTTTTTGTGCCTTTCTCGAAAGGGAGAAATAGCGAAAACAAAGAAACGCGCCGCCCAGGAATAAAGGTGATAAGTAAGGCAAAATAATAATAGTAGGGTATTCACAGGTTGCGAGGATGGCTTAAAATGAAGAAGATGCAAGTAGAAGTAGAACAGTGGCCAAAATGTGTGGGGAAAAATGACAACATTGGGCCGGGAATGAGAAGAGGTCATCAGTCATTAGGTTGTGAAGGATGTAAGAGGTGTTGATGTGGGTGATGATGGTTTACCCATGAGTAGGGACGGATTTAGCCTTAGACGGGTGAGTCCATGAGAGGAAGTCGAACTTGTCCTTAGCATTGTCGAGGATGGAATTGTTGGACTCGGACTGAGGTGGGAGAGTGGGTGGAGCACGGGAGATTTCTCGGGGCTCAAGCACCAGAGAGCGGCGGTAGAAGGTTTGGTTGGTTGGTTCACCGTTGGAGCGCACACGAACGAGCTCATTTTGCATCCAGGCCTGGAGCTCGGCTACTTCGGTCAGGCGGTAGGGAATTTGGAATCGCTGGAGCTCGCTGATGATACGGGCTGTCTTCACGTGCTTATCGAAGTTGATCACGGTCATTTCACTTTCATCGGTGGATAGGGTGCGGACAGACTGGTTTCCATGGTCGACGAAGGTGAGATCAGTGAGGTAGGTACCAACGAATGGAAGACATGGGGGCACGTGGTTCTGAAGGCGCTGGCGGAGAACTGCGTAGTTTCGGGAGACGTCCACGATGCTGCGAAGCTGCTCGAGGGTTGTCTTGGTCTTCTGGGAGACGATATCCCAGGTCTTCTTCAGTCGGGAGATCATAGACGAGTCCAATGAGCAGATAATAGCCATGAGCGAATCGTAGTTGTTCAGTTCCAGGCATCTGTTCGCAATTTTGATCCAATGCTTGATCGTAGCGGCACGCTTCTTGGGCTCCTCGAGGTACAAGATGGAGTCAGCGACAAGGTTGGCAAGATCGGTGGACAGAGTCGACATGGCTCGGACATTGACAGCGATCGAACCTGTCGGTCTGGTCCATTGCGTCTCCAGGAGTTCCTCGGGGAGGATTGAGCAGAAAATGCGTGACTCTTTAATTGTCAACTGACGGGCCAGTTCAAGCGGGTCAAAATCCAGAAGAGTGATTGCGGCGTCGCCATTCTTCCATTGCTTCAGCAAGTTGAGCTCCTTCTTACCAAGGATAGGTGGTGGTAACGGTGTGCTGGGGTCAATGTATTGAGCGATGGATGTGTTGGTCTTTCCCATGGAAGAGACCAGACGAGGCACAAGGGGGCCACCGACTGCAGAAACCTTCTCAGCCAACTCGATCAGACGCCTGCCAGCAGCGGGGAGATCAGCCGAAAGCCTTGTTTTCGCAAAGTTGAGCATGAACTTCAGCGCAGTATTGTCACGATCATGGCGCCAGTGGGACTCGAGCCAACCCTTGAAGATGTTGTACACACGCAGGCGGACAGGTCCAGCTGCGTGAGGTGTGTCGCCGATGTACTCGAAACGTTCGGCGAGAGACTCGGCAAACTCCAGAGGTGTTGCGAAGAGGCGGAAGGTGAGGTAGAAGGTTGAAACGAACATAGCATCCGGGGTGGATTGGTGAGCGGTAAGCTTTTCAATGAGAGCACGGAGACTGCCACCCATCACTGAGCCTTCCTTGTAAATGAGTTCATGTGCGTAGGTCCTCTCCAGGACGTTAGCCTCGGTCTCCTCATTCTCCTCGGCGAGGGTGGAGTAGCTCAGGCTTTCCTTCAGTGAGGGGACTTTGAAGCTACCCGGGAAACTGCCCCCAATGTCAGGAGAAGCAACCAGGGTCGAGGTCTGTGAGAAGCCGCTCATCTCGGAGTCACGTGTGTGGCTGTTGTAGGTGAAGCTGCTACCGTTGCTAGTGACTCCACGGCCGAACGACTCACTTCCGTCGGATTTCGGATGGCTTTCACGATAAGAATCGACGGTAGAGAAAGATGAAATGCCTTCCAGGTGTGTAGGGAGGATGGCTGAATTGGGAAGGGAAGATAGGGCAGACATGTTGACAGAAGAAGTTGAAAGGTGAGATTGGAAAGAGGAGGGAGTTGTGGCGTCGGTGAGAGCAGGGGTAGGGGGAGAGTAGGTGGTATGGGTGGTGGGAATCAGGATAGGTGGTGGGGGGAGACGAAGTGAGATCTCCTGTCGCTCTTCCGCTGAGGTCTCGGATTTTTCTTGTGGAGGGGCAGTTGCAGACAGATCCTGAGCCTTAGGTTCATGGTCTTCAGAGTCGAGCTCAATGTCACCAATTTGCTCAAGCACCTGGCGAGCCTTTGCCAAACAATTCCCGGCTGCTCTGACACAGTCCGTTGCGGCGTGTACAAGGCGCTTACCCTCGTCTGGCATGAATACTAAGTCATCATCTGGTAGCTGTGCGGGATGGAACACCTCTCGTGCAGCGTGAACCAGCTCGGATAGCTTCTCGCACATGGTGTATCGCGCCTGATCGAGGAGTACGCTCCGCTGGGTATCATGCTCGCATACTGCTTCGACTACATTCAGCAAACCCCGGCAAGACTGGACAGCCTGCTGGGTGGTGGCAACCAGCTCCGTTGAGGATCTCGACTGCATGTGAAGCCCCAGGAACGAACCTAGCACGCCGAGAAACGCGTCATATGTCACTCCCAGGCGTTCAGATGCCAGGTTCTGAGCCCGAATGGCAGCAGAAGGGCCGGAAAGAGACATTCGGTGGGACACAGAAACTCGTTTAGTCGCGACAGATACTGGTCTGGGCTGATCAGCGGATTCAGTGCGCATAGATGCCCGACTCATATCCATGCGACTATGATTCATCTGTCGTGACTCCATTCGTGATTCCAACATTCGTGATTCGGCTCGGTCACCGGTCTCGGATATACTGAAGCTCGCGGATGCAGGGGTAGGCGGCATATCATGATGGGCTTGGCTTTCGCTGGCCGCATCCAACTGGGCGATAGTCCTGCTCAATCCCACTTCTTCATTCCATATATCGAGGAATCGGACACCGCGAGTGACAATCTTAAAAGCCTTCAGCAGCATCTCATCCAAAATGGCCTCAACTTCATCTTCTGACGGGATCCCATTGGCGACCTCCTGGAACTTCTTCGCAGTTTTCACCAGCGAAGACAGATCAGATAGTAAGGCCTTCCGGATCCTCCGCAGCCCCTCAAATCTTCTTATCAAGATCGATTCTCGAGTCAGACATTCTGATTTTTCCTGCGCAATTATAAGCCCTGTGGTTTTCTCATGGATCCCACAATTCTCGTTGGCACTTACCAGCAGAAACCGAACTCCGGCGATAGGGCCCCTCATCAAGTCTTGGTTTCCAAAGTCCCTTAATGATGAGCCACATCCTCCTCGAATGATATCCCAGAAATCAGTCAAGGCCTTCAACAAAGGACGCATCGCCAATTGGTCATACGCCTCGCAATAATTCGTGGGTAGCCAGCCTCGCTCGCCGGAATCTAAAAGTGTACCATCGGCCCAGCCATTGGTGTGAACGGAATGGACCAAAACGATGTCTCCCTGGTCCAAGGGAAGTGTAACGGTCGACGGAGAGACATTGCCGGCCGGGTGAAAAGGATAGAAAGCTCGCAAATAGTTGTGAAAAACAGGCCTCGGAGCTTCCACTTGCTCCATGGTTGCGCCCTGAGTTCCGTGTGGTGTTAACGGAGGGGTCATCTCTGACGAACCCCAGGCTGTATTTATTCGACTCTGTAGACGCTTGGTGTCGTTGGTCGATTGGGGTAAATTTGAATTGGATTTCGATATCTTTAGCGGAGGGATGTGTGGCTTCATTGATTCCATCTCTTTCGCGGATATAGTCTTCTCCAAGCCACTGAGGTCACGGACCGACGGCAATTATTCGAAAGATGCAATGGACATCGTTTGGCTCCAACCGAAAGACAGGTATATCGAACAGAAGTGGCGTGAGTTCACCCCGGTAGAAATCAAGGATAGAGGGGAAAGGATCGGATCGCCAGAGGCTGGGGTAGATCCTACAACAATCTAGGTCAATTGGCGCTGGTCAAGGACAGTATAGACGGGATTGTCTGGAATGCGCAATTCAAGGAGCGGAGGGAATGGCTTGGAATGCCAGGAGAGGGGAAGGATTTAGGAACCTTTGAACATACGATATTAACAAGTACCCAAAACTATAGACAGCACCAAACAGATTGCCCTTCAAGGAGTTCGGAACATCCAAGCACCCGGATGACCAGTCGTATGAGGCACGCCCAAGGGATGTAGGTAATAACGCAATGCCTATGAAGGGAGAGTTGCGATGATCGCAGCAAGGACCACAATTGTCACCGTGACGAAATAGGGTTTCGCTATCGAGGTCACGCAAGGGCGGAAGGGATATAACGCTAAGTATAGCTCAATTGCCCGCAATCTTGTGAAGTTCGTATGTTGTAGTCGAAAGATCAGAAGAAACGGCGCAACGAAAGGGGAGAGCGAGGGAATTAAGTGGAATAATAGCTGAGTTCAAACGCCTTGAATCTCTCTCTCTTCTGGGACTCGATCGGGACGATCAACGCTCCACTGTGTATGGGGCCCGTATCGCGATGATATAATGTGACGGGTACCATACGTTATTTATCATTTCTGTTTTTGGTCTTGGGGTTCTTTATTTGTCGTTTTGGGGCTTTTTGTGTTTTGTTTTTTTTGTTTTTTGTTTTTGTTTTTTTTGGGGGCTTTTGATCGTTTCTTTTTCGGTGCAGGGCATCTTTTCTTTTTTTCGGATCTTATAGTAAGGTTGTTTTATCTTTGACGCTGCGTTCGTGCCTCCTGCATAAAAGCAACCGGACGGTTGAGATGACCTTGGAAAATCCGTTGGCAATCGTGGTCGACCAAAAGAAAGGGGAAAAAGAGCCACCTCCTTTCCCCGAGAAGTTGGGCCGAAGGAGGTACACTGTGTAGAGTACGGCATAGTACAATACGGCACCTGCCACTAGTACCGAGACACAAGGTTCCTTGGCCACCACTGAATAGGCTAAAAGGTACATCTCATCGAGGTACTCTCCAAACTCCGGTCTAGCACATCCACCTTGCATCTGCCGAACGCAATTCCAGACGCAAATCTCCAAACGCATTAAATCCTCCAGTTTAATTTGTTTACAAATGAATCCCACGCCGACATCACACCAATCATATCGCCACCATGGAACAAATCCTGTGGGGTTAATCAGGCAATGTCTTAATGCATTGACCGTGTGCTTAAGCCTGCAGGGGGGGGCAGACATGATCAGTCATTTAAAACGTGAGGGCCAAAATTAAAAAAAAGGGACCTTTTGCCTGTCAATATCTCTCCGGGGATCGACAGCGCAGCGGCCCCCAAAGTGACAGCAGCCCAAAATCGTTGTGATTTTCCATGGCCGTTGGGGTTTCAATTGCTCGCCTGTGATTGCAGTTTGATGATTCTCCCTCGGTACTCCATACCTCACGTTCCCAAAAAATTAAAAATTAAAGACCCGAAATCTCAAATCCCTGCACATCCCCCCCCGTGCACACCCCGGTCCCCATTGACAACGAGACCAGTCTATACTCCGTACGGAGTACCTACTCCGTACCCAGATTGCCCCTTCTGTGCCTTTCTTTTCGCCCCCTCCCGCGTGGGGCGAGAATCAAAGGGACAACCCTTGGAACCTTGGAAGCTCGGATTGGCAAACAGGATCCACAAACGTGGAGCTGTCGCCGAAAACTCGAACAAACACGTTGGTTGCATATCTCGTACATATGTCGTAGTGAGCCATACTTGATCCTGCTCGGATTCAAGCCGAAGGGAAACATGACCCAGACCCGCTGTCTAAGACCCTCTGGAATGATAATAGATGCGAGGGGAAAATGCGGGAGTTCCTTGCCGAATGAAATTTCAAGACTCTAGATGTGCCTCGTACTTTTGTTCAATATAGAGAATCTGACTTGAAAATCAAGGTATGCACGAGGTACGGAGTACGGAGTACTCCGTACACACACCCTTACAACGTGCACCGTTGTAAGGAGTATATGCTTTATGAACACATCAATTGCCCTAGGTGGATGTGCAATGCATTTGATCAGCAAATCCCATTCACTTTGAAACAAACTGGGGCAAACAGACCCCCATATTGGATCATAGGGCGGGTATCGCAAAATTGGGCACGAGTTCGCGCTCCCGATTCATCGGTCTAGACTTGGTCAATCCCTCACCCTCCAGGGCTTAGTGGAAAAACCCGTAATACCCATGACGAGATCCATAGCCCAGTCCCCATCACGGTTCGCACGTCCTCCCGCTCGACCAACAGATTCACTGAACTACATGGACTGGGTGATTCTGCAGTTGCCAGTCCGGATTGCAATGTGCAAAGCGCATATTTATTTCTCCTACGCATGCATTGTTCACTCGTCACATGGCCTGCACCCTCGTTCTCCTTCAGACTGCAAAGTTGCTAGTCGCTGGAGACTAGTTGGTGGCTAATGTAGGTCAGTCAAACTACCCAGGTAACCGAGCCAACGAGAGTCCACAGACCCTCGCTGTCAGCACTTCTTACTCCAACGACTAGCTCAAGGCGAATGAAAAAAAAGAAAGCATAAACACTTCCACCGCCTCGCCCCTCGTGGGGCGTTCCTACCGGTGGCTATCATGGAGGAATAATGCAAGCCTCCTCGATATCATCACATCGGGCGGGTAAGCCAAAAAAGTGCAAAGTGCGATCTGCAGGCGATATCTTGAATGGGAGGAATGTCCCATCGGAGACGCGTCCCCGATCCATTGGAACTCCAGGGCTGCTTAGGCCAAGTCTCGCCACTATACGATCTGCTTTTTACGGTCGCGTACGGAGTAATTCGTATAGTGTACAATTTCGCCTTGGGCAATTTATCTAGATTGCAAAGCAGAGATTTCAAACCTATATTCAACCACTGTTCGGTTATATTTCGGACTCCCTGCCTATCCAATCCGATGTGTACGGAGTAGTGCTCTACAGTACCATATCCCGAAGAAAACAAATATACAATCCAAACCAATCGCATAATGCAACTCATAAAGTGACACACCCGACGGGCCATCCCGCAGTCTCAGCACGTCTGTTTGCAGGTCTCATCCTCCGTAGTCAAGATGACCTACATCAATAATCCCACTCTAGTGCCCTAGCTAGCCCTTGCTGATTCCCCCCCCTCCCCCCACCAATTCGCTTGACCCTCTTTTTATTTTTGGCAAGTCAGCAAGCTGCAGAGCATACGAGCACATCACATCGCGAGAAACTCGTGCCCAAACAGTGGGGCATGCACAGTCATTCTCCCAATGGACTTTGTAGTCTACTCCGTATAGGCATTGTGCTGCAGGACCCGTCTGAATGACAAGCGATCGTCGGGAAATGCACGGCATCGTCACATTAGGACTAATCTCTTCACGGAGTACTCTGGTCGCCGAGGTTGAGAAGGCCGACCTGCATCCAGGCACCTGTGTTAAGCGGGAGCTTACGACCCGTGTGGCAATCTAGATCGGCGAGCTTGCCTGCAGTGGACATAGGCCATGTCTCTACTTCCACGGTAGGGGATAGTTCCTCGGGTGGTTTCTCTCTATCCGAGGATAGCTCTCTTGCTCTGACATGAGTTGGTCTCGGCGTATTCCTAGGGCTATGAAAATCACTGGTCTTTTTTCGTAGGGTAGGTTCACGATCCCAATTTTGGAGCTTTCTCATGTTGTATCACATCTAACTTCGGTCTATTCACGATGTGAAACAGGGCAAGTGAGCTGGGGCTCTGAATTGATGTCTTGAGCTCCGGGTCAACATCAAAACCAATGTTGGTATCCGAGATTCCATGAAACGTGCCAAATAGCAATTTCCATATCGGGATGATAGGTGAATATTTACTCCGTATATATCGCTCAAGAAAAGTGTTCATTGGATAGATCTGGCTGGAAGGAGGGAATTGCTTTTTCAATCTCTCGTGTCTCTTGGATATATATCCACAGGACCATGGTGGCGCAGGGAAATTATGGATTGGCCGAGGGCTTTGTGGTCGAGAACTTGGGATTAACGATACTCCTGCCTCAGAATATGATAGATAGGTGGTAACCCCGCACTCCGTACATATTCCCAACCTGTATGATGTGCTCATACCAAGATTCCATATGAACCAGTTCTCTGACCTAGCAAGTGGGGGACATCAAGCCCCAATTCTTGTTCAACAACGTCTTCAAGTCCTCGTTGTGTAACCTTCTAGGCAGGACTGTTGAGCCAACGCCAGTGGCTGAGGCTGAAAGAAAGCACAGGGTTAGCTGCATATGCTGATAGACCCGGTATGGCAGGTACCTGCATCCGACTGCAAGATCGCGCTCCAAGATTTGGAATCTCACGCCGTGGTCATAATATCAACAAAGCCGGTCTATGTCTTACGTGATTTGCAATGCAGACAGATTTTGTTTGCTTTCATAGTTGATTTCTCTCACCGAGATTTCTATAAGAGCCGACCCTATCGTGTAGTACGGAGTAGACCTTGTTGTAGTCCACTCGTGGCTTTTTACCCCGCCATGCTGAATGCGTAATAGGGCATAGCAGCTGAGATTAACTCAAACCTTCAGGTCACGACATTTACTTAACTCATACTTCGCTGTTTGTTGATGCGGTTCTCAACCTACACTCCACTTCATTTAGATCTGGGTTTTAAGCTTTTGCAGAACATGATGTCATCTTAATTTATTAATTTCGGCCTGGCTATGTTTCTATTTCTAAAAACTGTAAACTGTAATTATGTTTCCTAAGATTCAAAGAATGAGGGGAATCGGATGCACTCAACTTGCAGACACTCCAGCTTGGACACTGGATTCACCGCACGCTCAGGGATCGGGCGGCAAGACCGAGGGCAACAGGGGTGGTCCATGCTTGATTGGAGACCATTGGCAAGCTGTTAATAGAAAAAATACAATAAAATTTACAAATGTACGGGGCAGGTAGGTATGAAATACAATATACTCTGTATATATGCATAATGCAACCTCATCCATCAAGGGAACGAAAAGACGGTGGACAGAGGCCAACAAGAAAAATGCACTCAATATCTATACCACACACATCAGTCCAAAAAGATAGATACACAATCCTTCGGTGCCTAGATCCTGTTCCAACAACTTGGAATCGATAGACCAGACTAGCAGGGTCGGGGATGCAGCCATCGGACAAAGTACCGCCAGGAGGTGTATAGGATACGACACTGTATAGTAATAGATGGTAACGCGGTCAACGATACATACAGTGTATGTTTTCCCATTCAATACAAAAGCCCACTTAGACTGGAGCATGAAAGAGAAATATAGCGCAGGACATTTTCCCGATGGGGCGATATGGGGGGCCAACAAAGAAAGATAGAAGCCATGCATACATCTCCACCCATCATTCTCCACAGTTGATTTCACCTGGCGGGAAAGTAAATATATTGTGCAATGGATGTACGGAGTACTCGTACAGAGACTAAGTACGGAGTAAGGAAACCGGAATACTCGAATCGGTCAAACCTAACCTTAGCTCCCCGGAAGGACATCCGCGAGCTGTCTAAAAACGCCCTAGACGTGATACAGCGAGACTGGTAGATTGGCTAGCACGTTCCCGCGCAACGGTCTGGGATTCCGTCGAAGGATTGGAGAGCTAACACACGCGCCTTTGTGTCGAATCATATCCCCGGCGCCACCAACAAATTGTACATGACAGCTTATGTTACCTGTCAGTCTGCGGGATCAAATGAGCGCAGTCAAATCTCCGGCTCTATGGTCTTTGTTTGGAGGATCTGTACCTCTGCGGTGAGAGCCGACCGGGAGCATGCGCGCCACGCGCGATTGGTTTCTTTGTTACGGGAGGTGACTTCTTTGTCCAGGATCGGACATCGGAGATTGCGGGCGATTTTCGAGTCTAGATGCGATGAGGGATGGAGCTTTGTCCCCCGAAATTGGACCTCGTTCTTTTTTCCTTCCATGTTTCTTTTTTTGGAGCTTAAGAACTCTAGTGTACTCCGTATAGGTGGAATAGCTTCCGGCGCCAGAGACTAAAATTCGTTGCCTTACAACGTAGTGGGGACAGCGCTCTGTCAGGGGCTGACTTGGGGATTAACCATGCGTATTTTCGTGGAGCTTGATGCACTATGCAGTCATAAACCCACTTTGTGAAGTACAATTGAGACCATTCATCGAGTGTTCTCCGTACGGAGTACGGAGTATGTGGTATTAATAAATCCAAGCCCCTGTGTTAGATTAAATGGGGAGTCCCTCCGTGCTCCGTATTCCGTCCGTACGGAACCAGATTATGGGGATTTCAGTGTATCAAGCTGTTTTGCTTTAAAATCAATAGTTCAACGTCCTGGCAAATGCCGATAGAGGGGCGGCTGTGCCGCAGTTCCAGAGTTCCCGCAAAGCTCGAGTCCAAAACCTACGCTGCACCGACGGACCTGAATATCCTGGCAAAAGTAACCTTGGAAAAAAAGAATCGCTTAGATAAACGGGCTCAGTTTCTTTGTTTGAAGTTGCACGTGCTTGAATTGCAATGCGGGACTAGCAGGCATGCCCTGTCCACGCCCCTGAGATGGACCTGGCCGTTGCGCAGTGAGCAGGGGTTTGGTTGCATGTGGGGGAGACTAGAAAATTAGCCCGGCCTATCGGAAAACCGTCAAGGGCAAAACGATCACCCAGTAGTCTCGGCGACTCGTGGACAAGAACATGGCGGCCCACACGAAGGTTCTTTTTCCTTGGCTTCTGGAGCGGGACGATTGCGCCTCAGTGGCATCAAATTCTAGTATTGATAATCTAGAATCAACCACTGTGCTGGAAGAGCTAACGTTTTCGGAGAGACACGGACGATAGACTATTGATAACTTTGCGCATCGCGTGCTTTCTGGGCCGTTAGGGATGACGAGATTTTCAACTTTTTGGTCCTTTAAGTGCTGACCATGGTTGAGAACCCCACACCCGCGGCATGTGCCTTGGGACGGGATGAGAGGGAATGATATGATAGGTGTTGGACTGATTCTATCACCGTCAATATAGTGCGGCATGGCACGGTTAGAGGGGATCATCCTCGCTTCCGCGTTGACGACGTGATAGAGGCGTCTATTAGTGCTGATGTCAATAATACAATGATGTTCTGGGACATGAGTACTCCGTACTCCGTATGACTTACTCCGTATGTTGTAGATTAAGGATCCCGCGTTAGGCCCTAATATTGAGATTGCAGAATACACTATTTCTTTGGCCGGCGATTCAGGGGTTGGCCCCATCACGTGGGATTGCTCTCCCATTGAGTCCATTTTGGCATTCCCTTGTTAGTCATTGGTCTTCAGGCAATCTATTAAGCATATTGAGTATGAAGAATTCACTTTCGAAGATCCACGAGATGAAATAACCTCCACAGGGACGACTTTAGGCGCGATCGCATCAACTCCGCTGTTTTCTGAAGCGAACAGCTTTTAGCTTCAAGGACAAAACACTGACTTCATTGTCACGATGCTTTTACAGCTCATCTCCACACTCTTTCGGTGTTGTTCTAGCAACGATGCTGCTTAGCCGAAAAAGGACATCGCGTCTGACCTCAAGAGCTCCCGCCAGTGGGGGTTACTACATCGGCGATCAAGAAGCCCCTTCCAAAGCCGGAGCTCTACGCGACGAGATGAGCTCGTAGCGGGGGTTTGGCTTTTTCGTTCTCTTAATGGCCGGGAAACGTGCTTACTTCACTCCACTATCACTGTCGATCTTTCCTTGGCTGAGCCTTCCGCTATGTAGGTTTACGAAACGAAACGGAAGACACGGGAAACAATGAACACGTTCAGCTCTGGTGGATCTGGGTCCAGGAACAAAGAACATGTACTCCATACTCCGAGTATTCGAGCTGAAATTTCCCCCGGAGAACCTATGATGGCATACTCCGTACTCCGTACCCTGTTCAACACTACTCCGTACAACATACTCGAGATCGAACGACCCTTTCACACAATCGCCTCTCCCCCACCTGGAAAGCTAGCTTTCCTCATGTGGAGTTTTTTTGAGTGATCAGCGAGCCTGCCTAAGCCATAATCAAATGTGTCTGAGATGTGACAGGAAACTTTCCGAAACTGTGTCAGCCAATCCTTGGCCGAAAAGGAGCCGAACGGACGTGAAGTGATATACGGAGTACGGAGTACTGAGTGGCAAAGAAATAATAAAAAAAACAAACACGTGCGCATATCGCCCGATCTTCTGCAGAGAGTAGCTCGTGCTCAACTTGCTTCCCCGTGGCGAATCGGGTTCCGTCACTGCCAGATTGCGGGATCGAGCATACGGGGGCGACTTGCCACCGGCCCCAGCAGCAGTCGCACGTCAGACGCCGCACACTGCAGTAGGCCGATTATTTCCCGATTTCATGGGCGGTCGCCGCGGAAGGATTGGATTCAGCTACTCACCGAGTGAGATAAACTCAGACGGGAAGTTCCATGCAGTCGGTGTCCAGCTTGCAGAGGATAGGGAGTGATTGGTCGTCATGACAGTCTAGAACAGCAAATGGTCAGCTTGGTTTCAGTTCATGGCACTGTCGGTTTACGCTCGAGGATCCGAGATGCATCCTTCCGCCGAGGCAACTGATTGGCTGGGCTGCGAGGCAACCTGAGAGAGGTGTGGCGATCTCTTTTGCCTGTCTTGGAGCTCCTGTATTCCGAGCCCCGGTGAGAAGGTGAGATACGTGTGGTTTGTGATACGCAAGTACGGCCCGCTCCCGGAAATGTTCTCCAGGACAATCAACGCACGTCCATGCAGCATGGCCCGAGTGTCAATGCGATTCTATCACACTGTGGATACAGATGGGGATCACATTGGCGAGCTCGAGAGGGATACGGAATACCTATGCTGTTTAGGGCTTGATATTTGTATGACAGGGATTTAGCCACATCTGCACTGGGCTATCCGAGATTGGATAATGCGTCTCAGAAGTAATGGATCTGTGATTTTCATTACGTTCTTGTGAGATGGGCATTTCAAACTCATGTGAAGATTGACGCATTTGTGCCAACTACTCAAGTGATTTGCTACAAAGTATTACGAGATATGCAAATGTGTCAAAAAAAAGTACAATCTATAATAATCTATGGTCTATAATCTATAGTCTATAAGCTAGCTAAAGATATGCACGGGGAAATGAGGGGCTTAACGATGAGTGAGGCAGTGAAGATATGCATGTTGAATGGCTCCTTGAATGCAGGGTTAAGAAGTGAAGGCAAAAGAGTGTTAGAAAAGAAGGGGGATGAGGGAAGGGTAAAATGTATGCACAGGGCAAAAAAGAAGTAAAGATGGGAGATAGATCAGACACAAAGAATGTCTTGATCAAAGAATCCATTCGAGGAACCAAAAGTTGGATAAGCGACTTCCGAGGATACAAGCGACGAAACGATGACTCTACTCTGCCTTCTTCGAAGCCTTGGTTCTCAACTTCATCAGACCGAAAACCAAAGCGTATCCACTGATGGCGTAGATGACCGCGATACCAATATTTCTCCATCCAACGTAGTAGTGGTGAATGTTGAGGGTGTTCAGGAAATCGCTTCCGCTCTTGAACTGGCAGACCTTGCAAGCAGAGGTGGCTTCGGGGTTGAGGAGGTTGATTGCGGAGCCAACACCGGACATGTAAGTTGACAGGTACTCAGCGCAGGTGCCGTTGAGAGGCTCGAAGAAAGCGAACTCATTGTCATTGCAGGTGACCTTGGCATCCCAGATACCGAAGGTCAACATTCCAGAGACAACGTAGTTGAAGGGGTTAAGGTAGTACATCCAGTACTTCCAGAACACGTTGAGCTGAACGTATGGGACGAAGACACCACAGAAAATGACAAGGGTACTGATGATCAAGGGGTTCACCAGGGCAGCGAAGGTTGGGTTGGGCGAGTAGGCTGCGATGAACTGACCAATACCAGTATAGATGAGTTCGTAGATCAACATCATGAAGAAGGTGGCACCGGAGCGGTTAGAGTCATGGGGAAGTCTCCAAACGGGGTAGTACCAGCAGGCGAAGTAGAGGACGGCACAGATACAGAGGTAGGGGAACTCGGAAACAATCAGACCAGTAACGAAAGCGACCCATGAGTACATCTTCGACTTCTTCTCGCGAGTGTCGTAGATGTCACGACGCTGGATGAAGAGAGGCTGAAGCTGGTTGATGACACCGGGAGCGACGAAGACGAAGTTGAAGATCGTGAACATCTTCAAGTTCAAGGCGGAAACACTGGGGCCAGGACGCCAGAAAGAGAAACCGTTGAGCGCTGCAGAGATGATGTGAAGACTCATCTTGTTGTTGACATAGTTGGTGTTTCGGAAAAGGGCAACGTTCATGCGCGAAGTGACAATCTTGATCTGCTCCCAAAGAGGCATAGAGAACTCGAATCCATCGTCAACTGTTCCAGGAGGTCTGGCAACAGCATCCGCAATCATGCCATCAAGTTCCGCCATCATGCGAGATTTCTCGGGGGAATCGAGCCAAATCTGGTGCCAGTCCTTGTCCTTGACTTCTTCAATACCACCGGTAACCACGTCGATCATGAATTCAGCTGCGTTGGCCTCGGTGGGGCAGTGAGCACCGTATTGACCGAAGTATCCCTTGATAGTAGCTGCGTTATCACCAATGTCACCGAAGTAGACAGTCTTTCCGCCCCTCGCAAGAAGAAGAAGGGTGTCGAATTGAGCGAACAGTTGTGCTGAGGGCTGGTGAATGGTGACCTAGAGCGTGACTTATTAGCGATATAATCTCGGAAAGGTACGGCCGAAAACTTACCAAAACAGCTTGACCAACATCAGCCAACTTGCGAAGGAAACGAACGGTGTTGTAGGCCGATTGTCCATCCAGACCGGAAGTAGGCTCGTCCAAGAAGATCAGAATGCTAGGCTTAGAGACCAGCTCCACACCAATGGTGACGCGCTTTCTCTGCTCAACACTGAGACCATTGCCAACAGAGCCGATGAGAGTGTCCGCCAGATCATGGAGCTCGAGGAGATCAATGATAGTGTCAACGTACTTAAGCTTCTCTTCGCGAGGGATCTCACGAGACTGACGAAGGAGGGCAGAGAATTCCAGGGCCTCTCTCACGGTAGCGAAAGGCTCATGAACATCAAGTTGCTCACAGTATCCTGCCATTCTCTGGAAGGAGACTGGGAGTTCGCGGCCATCAACCAGGATAGAACCATTAATAGTACCGTCGGTCTTACGTTGAGCAAGCACATCAAGCAATGTCGTCTTTCCTGCACCAGAAGATCCCATGAGAGCCCCGAGCATACCAGGTTTAACCCATCCGTGAATGTTATCCAACAACACACGATCGCCTGTGGGGGTCTTGACAGTATAGGTGAGGTTTTGCCAGGTGAAGATAGACGTGTTGCGGGTGAGGTTTTCGTCTTCAACTTCGACGGGCTCATCGGTGGTTTGGCGGGCGGAAATCTTTTCGTTCGATTGCGATTCTTCGTCCTTGGCAGTTTGGTGGTTTCTGAGTCTCTCGCGGGGAATGAGAAGAGCAGAACCAGAACCAGCACCATCCTTCCAGTAGCATGTGCAGATGATAGTCAGGCCGGCGAAGAATGCCCACCAGCCCCAGACGACACCGAAGTTGCGCCACAATTGCGAATGCTTGTAGTGAAGGGAGCTGAGGTACTGATCACCGGTAACGAAGTTTGCTCCTGGCAAAGCACCAGCAACACCTGCACAAGCCTGGTTCTCTGCTCCGACATCCTCATAGCCGGGACCACTGGGGATCAGGTTCTTACCAACACAAGGGAAGGTTCGGCCGTGGAACTCATTAGACAAGGCAGCTTGGAAGGCATAGGCGAAGGGGTTCGTGTAGTAAAGTTCGAGGAACCAGTTCTTCATGTGAGGCTTGGGAATCATGTAGCCAGCGTACATGACAATACCCTTCACTGCAGTTCCCGAGATCTTCGAAGCGGCCTCGAAGCTACTGAAGGCAGCTCCAATCATTCTGAAGAGGGCGGTAATACACTAATATCGCGAGGGTTAGTTGAAGTCCTCAATATTGAACGATTGGACGAGTCCAAATCAAACACGATAACTTACCAGAATTGTCGTGAACAGGATAATCCAGAAGGTGAAGAAAGCAGCGGCAGTGTGGTTCAGGCCAGACATCCAGTAGATGACGACAGAGAAGATAGTGCACTGGAACAACAGGACAGGGAAATCGGCCATGATCTGCGCCAGGGAAAACGCGGCGGGGTGGTACATAGCGAAACCCTTGTGCTTGACAAGAACTGGACGGCCCTTGAAAGACTCGGTAACCTCAGACATGGCGACAATGCAGTTGTACAACAGAGCGAAGAAGACAGCACCGCCCTTGGTAAAGAGACCCTCGGAGTTGTTTGGCGAGTCGTAGAAGCAAGAACCAGCGATCAATGCCATCGCACACGAGAGAACCTGTTTGATGATGAATGTTGACTTCTCACCCCAGAGAATCTGATACTGTCGCTTGGTGCAAGCGACAAGCTGAACCCAAAAGCTGGTGGTCAAACTGCTACTCTTGGGCAAGTGGCTAGACTTCTCCCAGGCAACAGACTCCTTGAAGGCAGCCGTGCGCTCACGACTGATCTCGGTGGTAGGGTAGTCGTAGGTTGACATCATGTTTTGGTAGGTGGGAGACTTCTTATATTCAGCCAGAATGCTCTCAGCATTTCTAGGGAATGTGTTTTCGTAGCCCGGTTTGATTTTGCGCTCTGTCGGAACAGTCAAACCAGTAAGGAAATCACCTGTCGAGTGTTAGTTGATGCCGGGATTGTTTTTTCACAACAGAGAAGAGACTTACCGACGTTGGCTCCGTCAGTGTAAACGAAACCCAGGTTCTCCATGAAAGGCTTGGCCGCGGCGGCAGGTCCATAGTAAATCTGCTTTCCTTCGTCAAGGACAAGAACCTTGTCGAAAAGATTGTAGATTCCGTTTCCTGCTTGGTACAAGGTCACAATGGTGGAAAGACCGAGGACATCAGTCATGGCACGAAGAGCCTTGGCCCACTCCAAAGCGGTACTGGCGTCCAAACCACGGGTACTGTTATCCCAGGAGTAAATGGAACCTCTTGTGGCGAGACACTCGATGATAGAGACACGCTTGCGCTCACCACCGGACACACCACGGACGAATTCGTTTCCAACCTTGGTATCCGCGGTGTGGGAGATTCCCATAGACTTCAAAAGGAAGTCCTTAGTCTCGGTTGTGTATTCATTGATATCCTTGGCACCATCTGGCAGATGGAAAGGGACCTTGAGTCGAGTGGCAAAATCCATGGTCTCGCCGACTGTCAAGCGGGGGTAGAACAGCTCTTCTTCGGTGTTCATCACAATCTGGCCATTGTAAGACTCGGCCTCCTTGGGAGTCATGCTTCCGAAATGGACATCTCCGTTGATGGTGTGATAGCCTTCGCGGCGATTTGTCAACATCTTGAGAAGTGTAGTACATCCTGAACCAGGTCGGCCCAGCACAAGCAACATCTCTCCAGGCTTGACACATCCATGACTCTCTGACAAGATGGACTTCATAGGTGGCTTGCGACGGAAATCCTTGATCAATTGAGGGATGTTGAACTGCGAGATCATGTTTTCGTTGACGGCGGCTTCGGCAGCCAGAACGTCGACGGTCAAATTCTTCCATGTCACACCCAGCTCACGCTTCTTGAATCCGGCTGCTGCATCACGCTCTGCATTCCGGATGACATGTGAAGTCATGCTCCATTCGGCCGTTTTCTTGGCAGGCAGAGAAGTATCGGCATTGGCGACGTTCAGAGTCTCGGCACTCTTAGATTCGTGAATCTTGGCGTCGGGAGCACGCAGAGTCTCTACGCTGGTGAAATCATGGGTGTTGAGCTTGTGAACAGGGAGATCATCCAGGCTTTGGATATCATTTTCGTCGTTGTAATCGCTATGATGGTCAGATGGCGAGGCATCCTCGGGGTCGGGATGTTGCTCCATGATAGGAGACTTTAGGGAGTGGAGATTAGTAAAAAGAGTGTAAAATTATAATGATCAAACCAGCGAGCAGGTTGGGAACAGAGACTACCTATATATCCTTGCACACAACTGATTTTGCAAGGGGGGGCGAGGGCGGGGGCATCCATACGCGTGCCGATTCCAGTTCCGAGAGAATAATAGGAGATCGGTAAACTGGCATTGAACCATGCGGCATTATTGGTTCGAGGCATTTGTCCACGGTGTTCTTGTTCATTATTGCTGCTACTACCATGTTATTGGTCCACTCGGCACTATGAATAGAATGTTTGGAAAGACTCAGTCAGGAACCCGGCACGTAGGCCGAGTTTCCCATGGGTGGAACCCTGAGGACATCTTGGGTCGAATGAACTCATTGTTCTTGCCAATAGATTTAATGATTGGTCTACAGACAAGCATTGGAAGTCCGGAGAGAGGTCCGATTCATCCGACGTCTGCTCCATGAATGGATTCATGAGGGGTTTTGACTCTCCCTAACTACATTTTGTACATGTCTCTGCAGAATGGATTAGCAATCGGGGTTCCCACTCCTTGTTTCAGGGTGGATTATTAGTAGATAGGGAATTTCCCGGCATTGCTACCCAATGCTCCTAGGTCAGAGGGGGGTTGAACTGGGTAGTAGACTAACTCGAACAGCCTCGACATCTGTGGCGAATCTCCAGCAAAACATAATTCCGAATGAATTTAAAGTTCTGGACTAGACCCGGGCGGCTTGTGAAGGCCCGAAAATCCAGAATCCAACGGCCAAAATCCCAGTGTGCCCTACGGAGTACTCCGTAGGGTGTATGGATCAGCCATGCCGAGCAAGAGGATGTTTGTAGTGACGCCCGATAACGCAGACCGATCCCGATCTATCCGGCTGCTTACCTCAGCCGCCTCCCGAGTTTCTAGCCCGGTCCATGGCCATCCCAATGAGGCAATATGTGCCTTCCCTCCCAATGAGGCAAGATGCGAGAATCGCCTTGTTCCCCCCAGTGGAGCTTGGTGTTTCAGTTGCATTCCTCATCACCCCGCTATACCTGTATGTATCTCATAAGTGATACGGGGTGCGCTGCCAGTGTACGATCCTCGACATTTGCCAATATCAGTGCCCCGCCCAATAAGCAGGTTCTGAAGGTATCATGAAAAGCCACGAGAATGTGCCAAAGAAGCTTGTGACCTGTATCTTGATAGGAAGGCGATCTATTATGGGACGAATGGACCATCCCGGCATCCACCCAGCATTGAGCCCCTGCATCAAAAGGTCCGGCTAAAAGGCGGGCTAAGGCAGACTAGGACCATGCCCCAATCTTAGCATCATACTTCCTACTTCGATGTGCATGGACCTCATTTGACATACTTTTGTTGAACCTCCTTTTTTTGTGTTTTGGACCCTAACCATTAGGGTTGAAGATGCGGGAATTTCCCACTTACCTGTCGAGTTCTACAGCATGAGATGACCAACTGGCATATTCGCTGGTGCATTGGTCTTACTCCTACGGAGTACACAAAGCAGATCAAGGAAAAGGAACAATTAACAGTGCATACCCCGAAGGCGCGTGGCAAGCAATTTGTCGGGTGGATTCGAAGGTCCACCAACTGATTTCATCATAATCATGGAGATGATTCTATCGCCGGAGTAATGGAGTTTTCTTTTTCTTTTTCTTTTTTTTTTTTTTTTGATTAAAAAAAAATAAAACCTGATTAGCGGTGGCGATATTTGCAGATAAACGGCAAGAGAAGGTCCATTGCACAAGGCATATTTCCCTACAAGCAGTCTCATGTTTATACCAGGCTGACCACGATATATTTCTTCCAGGATTGCTCAAACCTTCTGTTTGTTTTGCCAGCCCTCTTGATCGAGATAGTAAGTAGTATGGACTTTGATCTTGTCCAGTGAGGACCAATCTAGGAACCTTGCAAAGGGCCCTCTCTTGTTTTTTATCTCTCGAGCAGAACCGGTAGCAATGGGGGTGATTCCAGTGGAGGGCGGAGGGCAGTGGCCTGGAGATGCCCGGGCGGTGAAGACAATGACATCATATAAAAGACGCGCTCTCATTGGTCGCTGCCTTGGAACCTCATCCCCAACTTCATCCTAACCTCATCCCTGGACCTGCCCAGGAAACCAGCTAAGTAACCGCATTTGAGATCATTTCTATCATGATCCTCTGCAAATTTCTCTGAGTCTCAGAATGCCTGCGTTAGGAGGTGACTACAGATTGGCCCAAGAACGGGAATTCTACAAGTAAGACCTTGGGTCCTTGGGCTCCACATGTGATAATGACTGACGTCGCCTTGGGGGCAGATATATTCCGCGCGAACATTCGACATCGCATTATGCCCCCTTCGACCATGCTAGCGAAACTACATTCAAACCGCAACCGTCGCGCGATTCCGCCTTGACCTCCTTCGCTCAACTAGGCGCTATACGTCTAGAAGCTCAACGATCCCTGATTTCTCTATTCGATAAAACTCATCAGCATGTCATCGCAGAGGCAACCCGGACCTTGGGACTCATTGGTGGAGGAGTCCAAGATGAACGCGACCGACTGCGGTTAGGATGCTGTGTGCTCCCTAAAGAAAGGGGGTTTTGCCAGCAAGTCGAAGGTTTGCCCTCTTGGGAGTATTCAGAAGCCGCCGAGGTCGTCGGGGACAGTTCACTGGTGGTCTTGGATATACAACAGAACCCACATTTCAGGTCCCGTCAAGTCCTGCACGCGCTGTCTGATGTCCGATTCTATGCTTCAGTGCCTATTGTGAGCCCCAAAGGGTTTACAATTGGCGCCTACAGCGTATTGGACCATGAACCAAGGATCTCGGCCCCCAAGCAACATGATCTACAATTTATGAAAGACATGGCTGCAACCATCATGGAACATTTGACGATGGGTCACTCCACTCGGAAAAGTCGCCAGGCCGAACGCATGATTGTCGGATTGGGGAGTTTTGTTGAAGGCAGGTCGACCCTTCGCGACTCGTGGCGGGAAGCCAATGCACAGTACGCTGCCTCGGAACAGTCAGGAGAGACTATTGAGGGCCAGTTGAATATTCAGCAGCAAGATCTCCAACAATCCCTCAAGGGACAGATGGGGAAGGATATGGTCATTCGCCAACCTTCCAAAGGCGCTAACAAAAGTCCTGGCCCCGTATCGAGTAGCGACAGCAAAGAGACGAGGGGTAGAGAAGAGCAACACATAGAGATCAACAAAGTGGATGGGTCTGTTCGAAGCGTCCTTGCCGGTGAAAGCTTGCGAGATGACTCAGTGGAGACCAGCATCAAACATGTCTTCTCGCGCGCAGCAAACTTGATCAGGGAATCAATTGGCGCTGAGGGAGTTATGTTCCTCGACGCCAACACCGATCGTTTCGGAAGTCTCGTGGAACGGACTACTCGGAAAGTTGCTGATCCCAGCTCAAAGGACCCAATATCGAGTAGTGATGAAAGTACCGATTCCCAATCTTCCTCCAAACGCAGCTTTACCAAAAGTGACCATGAGGATGAGCTAGGCGGCGCTCTTTTCTCCGAGTGCTTGGGCTTTTCCAGCTCCAGAACATCAAGCGTCAACGAACAGGCAAGAACTGGTCAGACAATCGTGGTTCCAGAGCCTCTGTTCAGCTCACTGATTCGGCGATATCCCAACGGGAAGATATTCACTTACAACGCCAATGGAATGGTTTCCGAAGACAGCGATCCCTCACGAAATCTGTCCGAGCCCGATCAATCTACAACTTCTGGGGCGCCTCGCACTCAAGCCCAACGCCCCGCCAGCAAACGACGACGCAAGCCAACGTTCCAGCAGGACGCCAGTAATCTTATAAAAATCATCGGAGATGCCAGAAATATCCTTCTTCTACCAATATGGGACTCGGATAAAAACCGATGGTTTGCTGGAACACTAGTGTGGACCAATGACCCTGAGCATATCTTCACCACCGAGAATGAGCTAGTCTACATTTCTGCATTTTCTAACAGTATCATGGCCGAAATACGTCGACTTGACGTGGAATTGGCCGAGAAGGCTAAAACCAAACTTGTTAGCAGCATCACCCATGAGCTTCGGAATCCACTGCACGGAATCCTAGGCACAGCGGATATCCTTAGTGATACCGCTATGAACGCTCTTCAACATGGTATGGTCCATACTATAGAATCGTGTGGCCGAACCCTCCTAGATATCATCAACAATTTGCTCGACCTTACCTTCATTGACAAGTACAAGAAGAAACTTCCCCGCTCACGAAGGAAGCGAGAAAGTAAACAATTGCCCTTGCCTCCACGTGTGAAAGATGTCGGGCCCGTTCAAAGCAAGGATCACGGCGAGGATACTTCAATCGCCCATGTTAAGCTTGATGCAGTACTGGAAGAAGTCACGGAGTGTGTATTTGCTGGATATAGCTTTTACACTCACCCTCAGGCACCTCCCCCAGCCTTGAATGATTCATCCTCCCGGTGGGGTGGCCCCACTAGCAAATCTGACCAAGTCGGTCCTCGTGCTAGTCAAGTCACAATTATCTTCGACATTCAGCCCGACACAGAATGGGACTTTGACACACATGCCGGTGCCTGGCGCCGGATACTGATGAACGTTTTCGGAAATGCACTCAAATACACCACCTCAGGATATATCTACCTTGGGTTGAGTTCGTCTCAATTGGAAACTGTCCGAGGGGATCAAGAACGCGAATTCGAGGTCACCCTTACGGTGAAGGATACCGGAAAGGGCATTGGAGCCGACTTTCTGCAAAACGGCCTGTTCACCCCGTTTAGTCAAGAAAATACACTCGCATCTGGCAGTGGACTCGGGCTCAGCATCGTTCGACAAGCCGTGGGATTTCTCGGCGGTTCCATTGAAATTGAATCCAGTCAAGGAGTCGGCACCAAACTGTCGATCCGCACGCCACTCACTCAGACATCCCATACATCGGATACTTCATCTTCGAGCTCGACCTTTAGCTCCCTCCAGAGATATACCCAGGATAGAACGATTGGCTTCCTCGGGTTTGGGCATTCTCTCCAGTCTCAGCGAGACACGGCCTTGTTTTCGTCGTTGGAGCGGTTGTGCAGCAGCTGGTTTGGTCTTCAAGTCCGCAATATCTCCCCTCAAGAGGGCGGGGATATAGACTGTGACTTCTATTTGGCAGTGCAGACAGAATTGGACTCGGAAAATACCGGCGGGCGAGATCTATTTGGTCTCAGTCAGCGTCTTGCTAACAGAGATGGCCGCAGCTCGCCGGTCGTAGTCATCTGTCAGTCTCCGGAGGAAGCGCACAGAATGTTTGTTGTCGCCAAGAATCGAGATGAAACGCCATTGTTTGAGTTTATCAGTCAACCATGCGGGCCTCAGAAGTTCGCTCGGGCGTTAAACATCTGTATCAAACGGCAGCTTGATGCTGAAGCTGGCCGGTCCAGTCCCGACGAGCCGACTCGTTGGGTGGAATTGCCAGAATCCACCCATCTGCCGGTCGATTTTGGGGCCACTGAGCCCCCCAATGAGAGAATGAAGATCAGCAAGCGACCGACAACAGATACTATGGGTAGTCCGGAAGCCCGGAACAAAAGCCAATTCTCATCCCCTAAAGGGGGTTCCGAAGCGGGCCCACTGGACACTGCCCAGTCACCTTCTTCCCAGGAAGCTGGAAGGGACTCGGAGATTGCTGAGCGATCTGTCTTACTGGTGGATGACAATGATCTCAATCTTCAATTGTTATGTGCCTACACGAAAAAAGACAAGTGTAATTATATGACGGCCAAGAATGGTGCAGAGGCGGTTGAGATCTATAAAGCCCATCCCGGCAAGTTCCGGGTGGTTATCATCGGTATGACTATCATCAACCCCCTTACACTTTGATTTGTTTGGTACCGTCATTTTTTCCACGATTCTAACTTGATCAGATATTTCAATGCCCATTATGGATGGCTTCGAAGCGTCGCGCCAAATTCGACGCGTAGAAAAGGAGCACCGGGCCAAGAACGATTCCTTACAAAAAGCTCCTGCCACATATATCGCTGCCTTGACTGGACTTGATAGCCCTGATGCCCAGAAAGAGGCATTTGGCTCGGGCATTGACACGTTCCTCATCAAGCCGGTCAAGCGACCAGACTTGCATGCCATCCTTCAGCGAATAACGGAGTAAATCTGATCTTCACTTTAAATGAAATATATAGATACCATGAGCAATGAAGATGAGATTAGATATTTAGCAACCATTGTTTACCAAATCATATGATTAGGGATTTGAGATAGATCCAACCGTCTCCTTTGTGTACAGCCATTTTATAAATCGGCTAGATGCCGCATTCCCGGCGCAGCGTTCTCCCCTTCCTCTGCAACTTACACTTCTCATGCTTCTCTTGGCTCCAAAGAAAAAAAAAAGGAGTTCAAGTAAACGTTGCCTATAATGATACTTTTTATGTAGTTGTCAGAACACAGACAGAAGATACTAGAAAATAGCCTTTCCACCATATGAAACTTAACAAAAAGATTCCCAGTTCCGGACGCGTCGGGTGTGCGAATTGCATATACTGAAGTAAAACCTTTCCAAGAACACCTTCAAGCCATTGTAATGAAGCTTCATGTTCTCGAATCTCGTGCGATGAGGCGTCCAACCCCCTCCAAAAAAAAAAAAAAAAAAAAAGCATCCAGCCACAAGCCCTTCACAGGGAGAGCGATCGCGATTCCAGACCAACACAACATCAAGCAAATATCTCACCCATACACCCGGACACAAATGAGTAATCTTCGAACTGATGCCCGGATATAGCTATATAGGTAGCTATCTGCGCAGGAAGGTAGTTTGGAAGTTAATCGCTGATCGATATAGATTTACCCTGGTAGACGGTGTATATATATTCCTGCGCGGGAGTTCGTACGATCAGCAATAAGTTCCTCGAATAACTCGAAAAGAACCTCATGATCATTGCTGCGCTCTGCTTTTCTACTCCGATAGTCACTGCTCCATTTAATTCGAGCAATTGACGAAACCTCCCGGATCCGATGCAAGTTGTGAAGATGTTGTTTCCTGGGGTGGGGATTCCCAGGTTGGCGGGGAAAACTTGAGATGGATGTTTGTATAGGAGATCTGGTTTGTGTGTGGGCTTGCTAATAACAATTCACGATGTTCGTAGAGGTTCTATTGCCTATTAATTCCGATCTGTTGAATGGCGATGCATCAGGCTATGTGATTATCTGGTTTTCATCGCTCTACAAAAAGGCCGAGTTATTCCAATTCTTTGATTGCATCTAAACCACTGTATAAAAAAACATCGAGAACAAAGTGCTATGCCAAGGACGTATTATGAAGTCCTCATATACCCAAATCAAAAAAAATACATAAACTAGAACATCCCCTCCATATCCAAATCCAAGAACTCGGGATTGCCAACAGCCATATCCGCCGCATTAAGCACATCATCAATAGCATCCATTCCCGCCCCAGCATCTAGCCCCATATCCTGCCCAACATCCATACCAACTCCCGCAGCGGCCGCCTTATCCAGCATCTGGTTGATATTATCCGACTCATCCTGAGCGGTGCTGCCAGTGACATCGCCGGAAGGCTCGAGATCCATGCGATCCTGCCCCTCAACGCCAAGATGCATATTCTGAATGATATTCGAGACATCGATATTCGATACCTGCGATGGCGGCGCCATGAGCATGTTCACCCGGCGCACAAGTCTCACGATAACCTCCGCGCGTAGCGGGTCGCTTTCTGAGATCTTGGGGACGTTCTCGTGCTGCAATACCAGGGCGTCTCGGAGCGTTAGGATCGGACAGCGCGGCAGGGCCTCTTTGCTCGCGTCGACGGGGTTGTAGTTGTTCTGGTCGATGGCAAAAGACTCCGTCATCGGGGCGCACACCATCGTCGTTGCGATATCCAGTGCGATATGGCCGTTACCCGATTCTGTCTGGTGCTTGACTTCGTCGAGGATCGCGCCTAGAACGCGTGTAGCGCCCAGCATTCGGATTCCGGCGAGCACTTGGCGGTGTGTGTATGCGTGTCGGGCCATGCTGATCTCTGGGTCTGCGCTCCAGAGAACGAGGGAGTGGAAGGTTGTGCGGATGCTGGCGAGTAGGCCGCCGGCGGTGTGGGAGGTCCAGGTATCGAGTTCTGATCGGTGGCAGCTGCCGACGCGTCGGAAGGAGAGGTATGGCTCTAGAGCGTCGAGGATGGGTTTGATGTCTGTGCGTGACTGGTTTCGGGTCCGGACGTTTTTGAGCTGCTCTTCTAAGGGGCGCCCGGCTATGTTCAGGACTGTTTGGTGGATGGCTTGGGCTTCGCCGGAGATTGAGCTGGGTTTGACTAAGGACAAGAGGGTTTTGAGGGGGATGGTGGGGTCGGTTTCGGACTCCCAGATGTGGTTGCCCAGCCATGTCAACGCAACGACGAGGGAGGGGAGGAGGAAGGGCTCGAGCAGATCTGTGTTATGGTTAGTGGAGTGGCCCATGGGAAGCGACCGTGGGAAAGTATCCTTACATTCGAATCCGCCTTTTAAAGTATCGAAATCCAGCTTCCCAGACTCGCATGCACCGAGACTTTGATCGAAGAGTGTTGTTACAAGCATGTAGAATTCGTGGGGACTGCAAGTCGACATTGTCTCTTCACTGATGCCCTCGGCAATAAACAGAGCATCAATCCAAGTGCCCAGATCTTTGTTCTGTTTCTCGCTCAAGTCGTTCAGCTTCTGGCTGCAAGCACCTCGGTCCAAAAGTTTCAATAAGAACGAGTCGTTGCTTGAGATGCCCATATCAGCAGGGCTCAAGTCATAGCGGTACTTGAAAGCGAGAACCAATAGCAAAATACTACCAAATTCGTCGTAGACGGGCTGATTCTCCGCTTGATCCTCGTCCCATTTCCAGGAATCGAGAATAGAGCATAGAGGCTGCAAGACCTGCTTTGTGGTCCGGAACAGCAAGATGACGTCCAAAGTTTGCGGACGACGTGAGAGAGAGTTACAGATGTTCTTAAGCGTCATTGTCTCTTTTTGATGACACAAGTTGTGCATGACCTTGACGAAGTTAGCTTGCTAATATTCCCTGGAAGCAGATATCAGGGTAGCTTTTGAACATACCTCAATCACAGCCCCAACTATCGCGCCCGCATTTCCATCCATGGATTCAATATCGTTAATGAGTTGCTCAGCACGCTCATGATTGTTGTTAATTTGTGAGATCAGATCATCCTTGACATATGGGCCCCCACCAGGCAGTGTCTGCATGGGATTCTCTCCAAGAAGTTGTTCGATGCTGGACTCCTGGATGAGTTTGTGCGACGCGCACGCAAAGAGGAATTCCTGTCGAGCATCTGAGAGAATACTACTACCCTGCATCGAGAACATCTGGGAGAAGGAGGGGAATGCATTTGGATCCAGACGGCTCAAGGCTTGGCTGATGCAAAGTTCCATAGATATCGGCACCATGGATGCGGCTGAGATGGCTGCAAAGAAAGCAGGGAGCTTGTTAACGAGGAAGGATCGGAACAAGAACATTGTACGGCTAGACTCATTGCGGTACACGCCGTTGGACAGAACATCAAAGGCGGCTGTGATTATTTCCGCAATAAGGACGTCATTGTGGCCCTGATAGAAAGTCAGTTGAATACTCCGTGGCAACTCCTACCAGGGAGTAGAGTGATTAATAGGTAGGTTACTCACCTGATACCTATTGGTCAGGTAGTTGATCAAGATGGTATCATCGACCAAAGGACGTCCCACAAGCTATTGCTAGTCAGCGACGAGCGCGAACATCACCTAAAAAGAGAAGCATACCATCGAATTGATATAAACATAGAGTCCAGCTCGAGTGTTCCCAACTGGGACGTCCAGAACAGAGGCCTCGAACTGAAGAGCATTGACATTCACGCCATTAATGGCAGGCTCGTCCAAAGCTTTAGGAGGCTGGTCGGGGTATAGATTGAACACCTTTTGCAGCTCTTCGAGGCGATGACGAAGATGCGGAGAGACATCAACACAGAGAGGTAAGTAGCTGGATAAAGCCTGACCCAGTTTTGTTTTCAATGCTGGAGATCGTCAACGGATGTTCAACAAGAATGGATTTCTCCATCCCACAACGCGGATATTCGATTTACCTTGATTCAGATCACCAGAAAGCACTTCTAGTCCTTTACCGGTCCCAGAGAGGGCTGCAAGCAGAATCCCAAGCGACTCGAACAACGATACCGCGTCAGGCGATCCCATCAAGCCACCCGTTTGTTGCGACCCGTCCTGGCTATGGTTGTACCACGACACGAAGGCCAGAATCCAGTCCGCAATGGCAGAGTAAATATCCGCTGCCTCGACAACGGTCTTCGGGATAGGACCCGTGGAAATGAACATCATCACATCCTGGATGACTTTGATATCAGTCATGAGAGTGGATAGCTTTTGCTTCTTTTTAGCCGGTGAGGCCTGCTGCTCCCCCTCTAGCAATGCAACAGAATCAACAATAGAAGAGTGCCTCAACAGACTCGCCAGTGCAGACGAAGACTTGACTCTCCCAACCCTACAAAGCCCATTAACATACAGCGGCAGAAGGGGGTCCCAAGTGATTTTGGGAGAAACGCGAGCTTCGAGGAGCAGGTCGAGGAGCTCATTTTCCTTCACCGGTGCGCGAGTGAGCATCAGCCCTGATAAGTCTGTGAACTCATCGACGTCGATACGATTGGCCAAACATTGGTGGAGGAAGGTCCTCCATTGTTCGGGGATCGCCTTGTCCGGCAGCATCTTCATCCCAACAACATAACACTTCACCCTAGGTTGAATAAATAAATAGGATTGGCAATTACAGGCTTGTGCTGATCATTTTTTCATCGATGAATTGCTCACTGCCCTCGAAGCTACAAGGAATAATAGCTCTTCTCAGGTTGAGGCCGCCCGGCCCTGAGGGTCCGTGCATCCAAGAAGTTATGTAATCATCACGTGAACTCAGGTGGACAGGATTGCCGCTCTCAGCACGTGATTTATGGTGTTGAATGCCTCAGGCCATAACTTGAATCCAGAGAACGGTTGAGAAGCATCAAGAGAAGAGGGATATCGGTCACCTTCCAGCCCTTGGAGATACAATTAATGAATTTCCGAAGCCACACATGTTTATGCTACATCCTTATAGCAGTTTGCTCACTATGAGTTTACTTACACTTCTTTGACAGGTCAGGCAAACCAGTTAAGAAAAACTTCTTTTAACTAGAATCTAAAGTTTACAAGAGAAGATCAATATTTTTTAAATCATTCATTCAATCTCGTTATCGTCATGACAATCCCAAATGCAGAACCCAAAAAAACAGCGGTACTCAAGTGGGGATATCAATCAAATGCAACAGCGGGAAAAGAACCAGCGCCTCTATACAAAATACGCTCGACAAAAAGGGGGTAAAAAGCTAGTTAAGAAAAAAAGACAAGGAAATGCATCAAAGCTGCCCCTCCTTAAGAGAGGTCAGAAATCATCACAGAACACCAACCCAAATGATAGGGGCGACTGATTTACCACCAGTCACCGTGGTCCTTCATGGCCTCAGCGACCTTGGTGAAGCCAGCGATGTTGGAGCCAGCAACGAGGGAAGGAAGGACACCCTCAGCAGGGGTAGCGTACAGCTTGGCGGTGTTGAGACCGTTGTTGAAGCAATCCTCCATGATCTTCTTCAGGCGGGAGTCAACCTCCTCGCGGGTCCAGTCGACGCGAGCAGAGTTCTGAGCCATCTCAAGACCAGAGACAGCGACACCACCAGCGTTGGCGGCCTTACCGGGGGCGTACCAGATGGCAGCGGCACCGGGGTTGGCATCACGGTGAGCCTCGAAGACATCGATAGCCTCCTGGGTGGAGCCCATGTTGGAGCCCTCGGCGATGAACTTGCAGCCAGCGTCGATGAGAGCCTTGGCCTCGTCGCCGGAGACCTCGTTCTGGGTAGCGGAGGGGAGAGCGACGTCGATGCGGCCGGCGATGTTGGTCCAGGGGCGGGCACCGGGGATGTACTTGAACTTGGAGCTGAAGGCTTCCTGGGTAGCGAGCTCGGAGATCTGCTTGCGCTCGACCTTGATCTCGGCAATGGCTTCGATCTCCTCGGGGGTGAACGAACCCTCCTCGCCGCTGAGGACAAGGGCACCCTGGGAGTCGGAAAGAGAGACGACGGAACCGCCAAGCTCAATGACCTTCAGGGCGGCGTACTGGGCGACGTTGCCGGAGCCGGAGACGGCGACACGCTTGCCGGCGAAGGATTCCGCGCCGTTGGAAGCGTGCTTGATCATGTGCTCGACGTAGTAGACGAGACCGTAGCCAGTGGCCTCGGGGCGGATGAGAGAACCACCCCAGCTGCCGCCCTTACCGGTGAGAACACCCTCCCACTGGTTGCGGATCTTCTTGTATTGGCCGAACATGAAACCGACCTCGCGGCCAGTGACACCGATATCACCGGCGGGGACATCAGTGTCGGCACCGATGTGCTTGCACAGCTCGGTCATGAAGGAGACACAGAAGCGGCGAATCTCGTTGTCGGTCTTTCCCTTGGGGTCGAAGTCGGAACCACCCTTACCACCACCCATGTTCAGGCCGGTCAGGGCATTCTTGAAGATCTGCTCGAAACCGAGGAACTTGAGGATGGACAGGTTCACGGAGGGGTGGAACCGGAGGCCACCCTTGAAGGGGCCAAGAGCGGAGTTGAACTGGACACGGTATCCACGGTTGATTTGGACCTGGCGACCGAGTTAGGAATTGGAATTGCAATGCACTCGAGACGGCACAAGCTTACCTGGCCTTTGTCATCTTCCCAGATAACACGGAACTGGATCACACGCTCGGGGACGGAGACGACCTGGAGGGCCTTGCGGTACTCGGGCTTCTTCTGGAAGAGAGTGGAGTTCTCGAGAGTGGAGGCGAGCTCTGTTTCGGGACGGTTAGCTAAGCCCGAATTTTATGGCGCCACAAGCCGAGAATGCCGAGCCAACGGCCCAAGGGATTCACGTCGGGCAAATCGAGATCATTATGACATACCCTTGTAGGCCTGCTCGAACTCAGGCTCGAAGGGGAGGTTCTGCATCATGTCGGATTTTTGGGTTTTAAGTCTTGTTACTCTGTCTTAGGGTCGGAAAGTAGATCAATGCTTGGCAATGATCTAAGGAATTAAAGTAATAAGTAAGCCCAAGAGCAGAGTGTCAGACGAGCGATAGATTCAGAGGTGGGATAAGAGAGAAAGGAAAAGTCCCGGGGATTCTACAATTATATACCAAGATCCAGGTGGAGAGATCGCAAAGCCGGAGTCGGACGAGAGGTTCCGAGCAATGGGGCAGAAAGGGACGGGAGTTTTCATCCTACTGTAAATGCTCCCAGACCAGGTTGCACGAATAGGGAGCAGATCGAGACATGAAACCCAATGATTTCCAATGATTTCCGTGGGAAGAACGTCCGAAGTTCGGGGCCCGCAGGATGTTATCTTATGGGTTTAAGTCACAAGAATTGGCTTATCTCTCCTGGGTGGCGGCAAATCCACTACCCACTTCTGCTCTCCCCAATTCTCATTACTCGACCTCCATGACTGGCCTTGATTTTTCAAGCAATCAGAGCCCGTTCTGCCTTCCTAAATCTTCCTTGTCCTATATCTTCTGTTCCGTGTTCAATTCGTTCCCTCTCGGATCGGTCCCTTCCGACATTACATTCGAAAAATGGAAATGTAACCTTTGTTTTTTAGTCGGAGAGCCCAAGCATGATTTAATCCAAAATCCATAAATCCATCAAATCAAAAATGCATGATGCGACGAGTCGGTGTTGTATGCAATGACCATGATCGACCTATTGGGCGATGGAGTATCCCACTGCCATTCGCCTATGAAATCCATTGAAATTGCAATTAAACCGGCCCTTCTCCGCCACCAACCAACTTCGGCAACTTGGCTCGGCTGCAGAACGGGTCACGTGCCCACCTTACCGCAAACAGCCAGAACGGGATGGGCCTTATCTGATCGGCTTTTTCGTTCGCAAACACTGTTGACTCATTTCTTTATCTCGTCTATTCCTGGGATTCACCGTCTACCCCCACCAAGAGGGATTGAGGGGGGGCCAATGGGGCATCTTCGACATGCCTCCGGTGTCAAACCCTCCCTAGCAAATGGGCGCTCCGAATTATTAGACATGTATCAAATATCCGCAATGCGCCCGATGTACTCCGTACTCCGTATCGCCTACCCGTGGACAGTGCCAACTTTAGATCCGAAAGACCCAGTCATTTCGCTTGTAATGGTCATCTCGGTGGGTGCGACCCGGGTCTAGGGTAAGCTATCCATTCCCCCGGCTTGGATCAGGCACCAATACCGTGTGATGCCAAGAACGGTTAACTGCATTGGATTGCCCCGATTGTCGGCCCTATCAATTTAACGACGGAGACCATACGGTGTACACCATTATTCGTAGTAGCCACGGAATACGGCCCGCAAAGTACGTGTACGTCTGATCGTCAATTCCCAACTTCATGATTTCAGGAATACCGGCGGCTATAGCGTGCGCTCTAATCCGCACCCTCTTGCCTAATCTGCTACCGCAGATTCAAAAAAAAAAAGCAAATTGCCAGACTATCTCCTGATGTTTGAGAACCGACAACCTAGATCGCCGGATCCTGCGGTCAACCGTCCACCAATCTGGGGTCCGCTGCAGTTCTCCGCAGAACGCCAGATGCACTCCACTCCTTGCTGCCCACCGTTGCGAAATGCGGTAGTTTTCGCTCTCTAGCAAACGCGGGAAGAATTTCTCACCGAGAACCCAGATGTAGATTCACTTTTTCACCCGGGCCGCGCCCCGTCTGATTATTCCCGCCCCCTGACGTGGTGTGACCTGCACATGATTCTATACTCCCACTGGAGTTGATCTCACGACGTCTGGTTATTACTAACATTACGCATGACACGTGTGGGACGAGAGCCCCTCAGGACCCAGTCTGCCCTTGCAGATCCAGAAGCTTATTTCCTTCTAGAGCTTCTTAGCGAGACGGCATGGTGGACTCGATTCGTGCTTCCCCGTTCGTTTTAGCGTCTGCATATGCGTTGGTCTTATCGATATCGGAGATTCAGCCGATTGTGTGATCAGGCTGGGTCCGACAACGTGCTTGCAGGGGATGTGCAGGCGACTATATCTTGTCACACGCTGTGATACTGTCGTGCGTGCATTGGCTGCATAGAGATAAATAGTTCGAGTGAAGTACTATGTACGGAGTAAATTGAGGTTTTTCTTGATGGGCGGGGATATCGCACGGTTAGTGTGCTCGCATCTTTGACATAAGTACGGAGTACATTAAGCGTATCTTTACTCCGCACTGATAGACCTATGGTGACGTGAGGAATAGATAGTAGCCGACTCTTGGACAGTCGCAGCTGCTATACCCTTCTATGTGGGCTGGCATCCGCAACGATACATATATAAACCCATCATTCTTCTGGTTTCTATCCCATCCCAGGTCTGTGCGTTTCTTCTATAAATGGTGTACGGAGTACTCCGTAGACAGTACTCCAATCCAAAGAATCTAATCTTTCTGTCTAGTGCATATCCGTTTAGTCGCATACCAGTTCCATTGCGCAATTACTATTTAATTTCAAGGCAATGTAACCAGCCTAGAATATATCCGATTGAAGTATCTCAATTATGGTCGCGATGGGCAGACGGGCAATCCTCACATGGACTATGTATTCCATCTTGATATCGCAGACGGAAACAGCCAACTCACCGCACATGCAGTCTACTCTGATACTGATCCACATACGGAGTATGCACCCAGCATTCCGTCTCTGTCGCAAACCACGTGGTAGGAAAACAAGCCTCAATCCCACGCTAGCCCCAAAACTAACCCAACCCGTCCAGATCTGTTCAGAACACACCAGCCCGCGGACAAAGTCCAAATCACCAATTGAACCACAACATGACTTATTTCTCCCCTATACTCCGTACCCCGGGGAGCACATGCCATACACCGCGACCCTTCAAAACCAGCTCATCCTCAAATCCAGCCCGCCAAGCCGCGAAGCTAAAGTAGAGGCCCGCAAGCTCAGACGGTCAGACCTCATCGGCGGACTCCGCATTTCTCGCTATAACTGCAACGCGGGTGTTTTTGTTCCTATCGAAGAATTAGATATATTTATGACACATCGACTGACAACAAGATTGTCGTTCTGGGGGCTATGTTGAGGATAGGCGATTACTGGTACGAGGATCCGCTCCGTTCGCGGGGTAAAGAGTGGTAATACGAAGTGGGAGAGATAGATCAATGCGCTAATGTTCGTGTTTGTTATTGTTTTGCTTTTCATTATTCATGGGTTGGGGGCTATCGTGGGATGCCCGGGTACTTAGCGCTGGTGACACGTGTCGGCAATCGGGGTGATACATCGTCTTTGGGAACGGTGCTCGGCTACAAGGTATATAAGCGCTGACGATCTTGGGCGATTTGGCATGTGCTGGTTTCTTTGGTTTCTTTGGTGTCTGTGATGGATGTTGTACGACATAGGGTATCCCTGTGCTTGCGCAGACGCTATATAGCCTTGGATGACCGTCGTCTGGATATAGGAGGGATGCGATGATTGTTGGCATCGCGTTGCGGCAGTCGAGCGAGAACCACGGGACCGGCTGATGGCGAAACCGCCGATAATATTACTAATATTCAATTCAGATTCAGTCATGAACACAATGCGATGCTTTCGACACATCCTGAATAGGGCGGCCGGGATATGCTTATACCTCCTCGGCGAATGCTAGTGCTGTTTGCGGTTGACGAGTGATCAACAGGATCTAGGCTATAACATATACTCGTGCATTCTTGGCAGTCAAGGATGGTGAGCTGCGGAACCTCACCTCGATACCCACCAGTTGCGGTGAAAGGCATTTGGTCATGCGACCGTCCATACAATGTATTTGGAACGATACTATGTCCACAGCGACCGAGTTTGTTTCAAGTACCTTGTGGCCATGGCATAGAATATGTGGATTGGACAGGTTGATCTCCCCTTAATCTATCCGTTCCTTGGCCAAGGGGTTGCCGCCTCGAACGTGGAGACATGTTCGAACTCCAGGCCTCCAGAATTTTGTCGCATGCAAGTTTGGACAAACTGCAGGCTCCCAGCCCTCGCGTGGCATTGGATGGCATCGAACGAGATGTATCATAAAGGTTCAGATTGTAATGCAAATGCGCCAATGGCAACGGGTTGTCTGCACAGTAGAGAAAGGGTCACCGTGGTTCCCGTGTCAGATGGTTGGTCTTCACTGCACATCATGGACCCCTCGGCGAGACCCATCCAGGGTGGGCGCTACGATCGCATTTGGCAATAGCGATGCGTGGCAGCCAGTACTATCGAGTTTCGGAATGCAATAGTTGCCAGATGACCCCATTACCTCGTGGCATCTCCAGCTGGGGTGAACTCATGAATCACGTCTGTGGACCATCTCATCACTCTGACTGGCTGTGGCCAACTGCATGTTGCAGCTGCCAAACAGTACAGGTCAGATATATAGAATTAATCCTCCCGTCACCTGTCAAATAGAAACGGGGTGGACCTGAACTCCGCATGTGGCAAATCCACGGGGATGGCGGAGAAGGGAGAAGGATCGGATGGCTCGGATCTAGCATAGAGTATCCAGACACGCCTGAGTTGGTGAATGTGTTAAGCAAAATGTCGGCCCAATCGAAACCTCCGATCCGATCAGAAACCCCCCAAAAAAAATATAAACAAGAATAGCGGGACCCCCCAAAAAATAGAGAGCTCCCAGAGAGACACGCATAGTTCCCACTCGGTACTTACCCCTGTCCACGCCACAAGATTCCGTGCAGCTGAAAGGACCCATATGGACTCCAGAAAAGGAGAGCAGAACCACACAGAACCACGGCGGAATAAATTGGTATTCAATATGAAGCATCAAAAGAGGACCCTCTCCCCCCCCCTAAAGATCAGCTCTGTCATTTCTTATCTGGGAGGCGCGATCGGGTCAGAGCTTGACCCCCGCTAAAGGGGGCCTTGGACTCCCACAGCTCGACGAGTGGCCCCAGCTCTGCTTCCCTGGCCCCTTTTAGTTGATGTGCTCTAGTGACGCCATCTGGGGCTGGGCGGAAATGCGGTTAGGTCTCATTGTGGCCCCTGAAGGATATCTGGCAGGGGATTGGTCGGGGTAGAGTGGCAGTGCGATAGGTACTATAGTACGGAGCCCTCCATACGGAGTAGTAGACGGACAATATAAAAGCCTTGGAAGGGAAATATGGGGGAATGGTTATGCTGACAGTCGAAGTGGGTTTTTGGTGCTGCACGCGATGTTGGAGAACCAGGTTTGTGGGAGGCTTGGCGGGAAAGCGCACTATACAGATCATCTCTGGATTGGGTCATGTCCACTATCAAACCCTCAGGGAGTGCTTTCCATGCATTATTGCCGTGAGGTTTGGGGCTCAGAATGATCTTACCTTCTGCAGGGCACAGGACCAATATATTCACGCTACCACTTTTCATCTGACCGGTCATTCGATAAGTCTGTCTCCGAGAATAGGCTGAGATTCCCATGGACGGTGATTCCAATCATGACTAGGCGCCTTGCAGCAAGTCGTTCCGGGTTTAGATTGGACACCAGGAGGTCCCAGTCTGGACAAAACCCCCCTTTTTTTCCCCCGGGACATTTACCATTTAGAGCTGATGTAGGATCTTACCTAGAGGTGAACGGGACAAAAGCTACTCACGCATATCGATATTATTAGAAGAGAGGATTTGAGCCAATAGGATGTAGTAAGATGAGATCTATAGCCGAATCGAAGCATTGCATAACGACCTAGCCCTGGAGGTAATATAGGCGTATTAATATATAAAATAATAATAATAAAACACCAAGCAGATCTCCGACTGATTGGCCTGACCGGATAGACCCGTCGCGATGGATCCGATTGAGAAATCCTCCGTATACTTCCTGCCTTTCTTTTCCTTTATTAGATCCCATTCCCTCGATGCGCGTTTCAGAAAATCCCCCCCCGTGGATCTCATATCGGTTTTCTGACTTCGGTCTTTTTCGCTCTGATCCGAATTTCCTCTTTGCTTTTGCGGTGCTTATCAAGGAATTGGAAATCACTTGTATGTTGATCTTCTTCATATCCCCGTCTTCCATCTTGAGCATCCCCCAACTTTCTGAACGAGTAGATGGTTCCCTAACAGATGTCCAACAAGCCCCAGTCTCGCAGACTCGGGACCATCAGGGATCTGTTCCGCTCTGCACCTCCCTCTCCGACTTCTTCGCGACGCCGAGTGTCTCTTCTGGTCCGCCGAGGTAGGGATATTTTTTCCAAGTAACGATCCCTTGCTTCCACCCCAATTGCCCCTCCAGTTCCCTCAGTTTAGGGCCGCAATTCGACCCCACTGGATACCCAGAGACCGGGAAAAGAGGCGCAGCCCCAAGCCGACGCACAAAAAAAAAAGAGAGAGAACACGAACTAAGACACCGGGAAAACCACAGCAGACAGATAGATCCTCCAACGCTGCAAACCTCTCCCTCAACCTCAACTTCACTCTCTTCGCCACTCCCACCTATGAACTCCCAACCACAATTCGACCCGGCCACTATGATCGGCATAGCCGGTGCCTCACCAGGGAGAGCAGAAGACAACTTCGACATCTTTGAATGGTACCCGCACTATCAAAGCTGCCAACGCTATTTCCTAGACCACGCCCAACACAGCGTCCCCGTCCAGGCCCTCTCCACATTCTTAAACATCCGACTCCCCTTCCAGCGCCAACCGAACCCAATCTTCAATTCATCCTCACCCTCCAACACCTCCGGCACACAACCCCAAGGCCCGCCCTCAATCTCACTGATCCCCTACATCCGCCGCCTAGTCGCAACAGGCATGGACTTCCCAGGCGTGCTGCACGGCTTCTTCGGCGACGACTGGGGTCCCGGCGTGGGACCTATGCACGAGCAAGAACGGCGCAACTATCTCTTCGCCGCCAAAAGCGAAGGCTGGGCCTCCGTGAAAAAAGACTACGACATACCCCCACTAGAAACCATCCCCTTCCTGCGTCCACTACAGGGACCGCTGGACGCCGAGATCGAAGCCGCCGAGCGCAGCTGGAGCGAATGGCTCGCAATGGAGGACTGGATGGTCGGCCCTCGGGCACCGGATACGCTGCACGATTCCTCCTCGCAAAATTCACGGCCACGGAGTGCGCGCGGCTGAAAGACCTCACTTCTGTCCGATTGTTGCTTTTTTCCCCACCATTTTACACATCGGGTCGGCGAGATGGCGTCCATGAGAGCCGTATTCTGGCTCATTTTGTTTACTAGCGATTACTGTTTCATGTTATTTTTTTGGCTTTTTTCCTCCCGTCTAGCGATTTTTCACCGTTTTTTATTTTGTCCATTAATACGGGGATCTCATAGATCGGGATTTGGACGGCTGTTGTGCAAATACCGCATATTAGTCGTGGGCGAACTTGGCGGGATTCAGATTCGCCCTAGGAGATGTTATTAGATTGGATATATGCAACCATGCACGTTGCATATACAGGTATACGCTTCAATATTACAACTCGCATGCCATCTTTTCGCCGGAAGAAGATCTCAGACGCAATCCCGACAGATCGGACAGGCACAAACCCACAGCCGAACAAGGGGCCGCAATTGGGTAGAATTTTAGAAATCATCAAGCCTGGGGAAAAATACCGATGTCGTTCTCGGCACTCGAAATAGACACAGTACGAGGATCTGGGATATGCACGTCCTACACCGTGTAATACTCCAACTCAATCTCAGCCCAGAGGAAATTGAGAAAAAAGAAAAAAAAGAAAAAAGAAACCAACTCACTCCCAACGTCCGTCCCAGTGCAGTGGTCCGGAGATCAATCCCTTCTCTGCGCAACCCCACTGGTTTGCAGGTCCGCTGTGGGCTCCCCAGATCCAATCCGAGTCTCGGCCGCACACGGCTGTCCCTTGGACAGAGTGGAAATGGGGTCTTTTGTGTCTCGGGGTTTGACTGCCAACTGTGGATTGGCCATGGATTTTGATCGTGACATTCCACATGTGCAGATTGAGGAATGCACGCACTATCGAATCTCGATATGGTAGTATCGTGAACGAGACTTTTGAACCCACCCTTTCTGCAAGGCCAGGTCATACACCGGACACAGTTAGATCCGACGATTGTATGTCCGATGGTGTGCGAGGGGGTGATCGGGTTGGGAGTCTGCGATACGAGGATCGTCCATCGATCAAAGCCAATCGCCGATCTGGCCTGACCAATCAGGTGGGTTTGCAGAAAAGTAAGGTTCACCGGGACAAATATACACAGTACGCATATTCGATATAGCAATTGAAATTTGCTGTACGGAGTAGGGGAGTAATGTAGATCTATCTCGTGGCGTAGCTGAAACCTCGGTATCGGCTTGATAAACCTGGTAGGGTCTGGGTTGGGGGTCTGAGTACGGAGTACGCTCTCTCCGCTAGTCCTGCGGAGTCCGCTCTTGCGCTGTGAGTGGCGTGAAGCGGGAAATTCTCCGAGATCATCGGCCTTTTGGGGGGTTGGGATCGGCGTTTCGGAGGCTCTGGCGGGATTTGCTTATTGGTTTGGGTGGATGGATTGTCCTGCCGCGTGGCTTTTGACCCCCCCCAAAAAATAGAAAATGGAGACATATGAAAATGATATAAGACAAAAGGACGGTTGGTTTTACTTTTTTTATATCCTTTGAGAATGTTCCTGAGACACTCCGTCGACTCCATCAAACGGCTGGTAATTGATTAGCCCGGGGTTTCTTTGGAAATGATGCGCGGCCGGAGATATCCTAAACGGGTAGTTAGTGGCTCCGGAGGAGACTTGACGAATTGATCGGCGTTCAGACCCGTGCAGCCCTTTTACACACATTGTACAGAGTATCGGATCCGTGAAACATGTGAAGGATTGGTAGTGGTTATGTGGGTGTTCCTGGATCTTTGGAAGAGACCAGGGAATCTGGACTGAGGACTAGACTGTCACTGTCAATGTAAGATGTCGGTATTCTAATAATAGCAATGAGGCCAAATAACCAACATCTTTGTCTTTTGTAGGTTGTAGATATGATTTAAATCTCAAAGATTCCCATGGCAAGCTCAAATTCTGGTTAATTGCTAAATTGCCCCAATGGAAAACTTCTCCGCTCTTCACTTCTCTTAACTAACATACCTCGCCATGCTTTGTATTGTCACAGTGGCAGTTTCAGCCGAACGACCAAGACTGAAGAACGTCCTAGGTTTAGTTTGTCCACCGAAAACCAACGCCCCGTGAAAAAATGAATCAGCATGTGTTGCAGTGGTCTGTTCTGAGGCTTCTCGGTTTTTCACTTCCTGAAGAATTTGTTCAAGAGATCCAGGATGGCTCCAACAGGAGGCTTGCCCTTTTCCGTGTTGGCATCCTTGGAATGGAGACCCCGCCAGATACCAACAGTGATCGCTTGATAGTCGCCGGCAAGAGAATCCATCGGCTTTGCCGCCGTGTCTCTCGGACAGACTTTCGATGCTTTGGATTGATGCTGCCATCATATCATATCCCTTGATCATGCTGTTACAAGGCGAATGAGGCAATGGGGAGCGCTTTCCGATGATGGCGTCGCCCAGATCGGAGCAAAAGAGACATTTAATTTTGTGGAGAAGCGGTATCCAAGCTAGACCTTCTTTTTCGAGTTTGCTTTTCTTCAGCTCGCTCTCGGGTGAGTCCATCACAATGTCCATAAACTCGTATCCGTAGATCCGTGATCCCTTCGGTGGCTGTAGTATTGCCTTGGATAGGTTAACCGAAAATCCCATAATGAGATCTCGAACTGTCACATCCTCATCTTGTGAGGCATCGAGAACGAGTCCACCTTGGTCCCGCAGAGCTTTTAACGAGGCTATATTGCAGTTGTGGCCGGGTTGTGCTGTAGGTGCGGGTGCCGCTCTGAAATCCTTGTGTATGGTTTTCGACCACACCAACAGCATATGATGGAGCACAGAAAGTAAGGATACAAGCCATGCTCTTTTTGCTTTTACGTCGTAAAGAACAATTTGCTGCTTGGCGCTGTTTGATAAACATTTCAGGTAGTTGTTGGAAGGATTGAACCTGAGAGTGTTGATGCATCGATCGAATGATAAACCCATTTGGCCACCCAGTGCTAGCGGAGATGCAGACTGCGCCACAAGTTGCAAATTTGCGCCGCTCCAATGCCAGGAAGTGGGTTTTATCTTTGCGTCAGACATCGTGACATTCAATCCGAGACGATCGGTACCTAGGAGAGTCTCTGCTTCTGAGCACCAACCTAGAATAGCTCTTTTGGATTGCAGATATTCCAGGTTAGTATTGCGTAGCCATGTTGTCCTTGTTGCTCTAAGGTCCGAGACTTCGAGCTGAAAGTCATCCGTAGCAACCTCCAAATGCCACATGAGCTTTCCATCATCGGTTAACTTGATGGGAACAAGTGAAGTTGAGTATCCCAAAAGAACAAGACCAGAGTCAACGGCGACAGGATATTCGACCGCCGAGAGCCGAAGTAGTTGTTTAAAGTTCAACTCCAGTCCATGACAAGGAAGCCTCTGTTGATCAGACATTTCAAAAGCTACAACACCAGTTTCGAAGAGTTGATGCCAGCATTCGTTGGACCCAGAAACATCTTGAAGGGGGTTTAAATCGTTTAAACTGTACCTACTTCTCCATTCTGTCATGGTCGAAGCACCTAGGGTGTATTGAATTTGTTCCCGGAAGGTGAGACAAATCCATTCCAGAATGCGCTGTGCATCCGGAGTTTGATCAGAAGCGTGTAGATAAATGTGGGATGAAGAAGTCTGGATTTCGAAGTTGCTGTCAACTTTGCGGGTGTTAGGGCTGATGAGACCACCACCTCAATAAACTTACGATAATAACCCTCAGAGCTGCCGAGAGCCCTCATTACTCCGTCCAGCACTCTCGTTCCCAAGTCCCCATATGCACCCCGGAGAAAGTCATGACACGTTGCCAATAGCACAGTATCCTTTGTTCTTGTCAACGTCCCCATGTCTGAAATGTGTGTTTGTAGATTAGTTATGCCGTTAACAACGGAAGGAAACTCCCAATCAAAGGAAACTACGCGATTTCCATGCGCCGTTTTCATGGCTGCCTTCAAGCTCGACCTCACGTAGGAGGATGAGCCTTTTTTAATGGTGGTGGCGAGGGGATGTATGCCTCTTCTTGCCCCTGCGTTTAAGAGAATCTCGATAGAATCTCTTGATCTATGCAAAGCAGCAGCAAGCGCACTGCGATAGCTTCCATGGACGATCTCCATATTGACATCCGCTCCTGCTTGAAGAAGGTACGAGGCCACTATAGCCGAATCAGCAGCAGCAAGCGCGCTGCCGAAGTCACCGTAATGCAATTGCATATTCACATCCGCACCCAGCTGAAGGAGAGTTACAACATTGTCAATGAACTCACTGTTAGCAGCGGCAGCGGCAGCGAGAGCACTTCCATACAGCCCATTGCGAACCTGCATATTAGGGTCGGCACCAGCTTTGAGGAATGCTTCGCAATGCATGAAGGTTCCGCGGCTAGCAGCAGCAACAAGAGCACTGCCATAGTCCCCATAATGCAATTGCATACTCGCATCGGCACCGCCTTGAAGAAGCGCATTGACCTTTTCAACTGACCCGCGAACAGCAGCAGCAACAAGGGCACTGCCATAGTCCCCATAATGCAATTCCATATTCGCATCGGCACCACGTTGAAGAAGCGCATTGACCTTTTCAACTGACCCGCGAACAGCAGCAGCCACAAGGGCACTGCTATAGCCCCCATGATGCAATTGCATATTCGCATCGGCACCGCGTTGAAGAAGCGCATTGACCGTTTCAACTGACCCGCAAACAGCAGCAGCCACAAGGGCACTGCCATAGCCCCCATAATGCAATTGCATATTCGCATCGGCACCACGTTGAAGAAGCGCATTGACCTTTTCAACTGACCCGCAAGCAGCAGCAGTAGCAAGGGCACTGCCATAGCTCCCCTCAGGCAATTGCATATCCACATCGGCACCAGCGTCAAGAAGTGCTTTGATATTTTCGACTGGCCCGCAAGCAGCGGCAGCAGCAAGAGCACTGCCATAGCTGCAACGGTGCAATTGCATATCCACTTTGGCACCAGCGTCGAGAAGTGCTGTGATGATTTCGAGTGACCCGCGATTAGCAGCAGCAGCAGCAGCAGCCAGAGCGCTGCCATAGTCCCCATAATGTAATTGCATATTCGCATCGGCACCACCTTGAAGAAGCGCATTGACCTTTTCAACTGACCCGCAAGCAGCAGCAGCAGTAGCAAGGGCACTGCCATAGCTCCCCTCAGGCAATTGCATATCCACATCGGCACCAGCGTCAAGAAGTGCTTTGATATTTTCGACTGGCCCGCAAGCAGCGGCAGCAGCAAGAGCACTGCTATAGCTGCAACGGTGCAATTGCATATCCACTTTGGCACCAGCGTCAAGAAGTGCTGTGATGATTTCGAGTGACCCGCGAGTAGCAGCAGCAGCAGCCAGAGCGCTGCCATAGGGCGTGTACTCTACCTCCATGTTGACGTTTGCTCCCCGGTTGAGTAAAAGATTGATGGTCTCCAGCGATCCGGAAAGACTAGCAGCGGTGAGAGGACTGCCTTCTGATATAACGATGAAGTTTACATCAGTAAGTTGATCTGCATAATATTTTACTCTTTCGTCGCAATTTTCGATCGCCTTCATAAGGTTAGAGCGGTTGCTTTGTTTGTCCCTCTGTAGCTTGGTAATCCTATGTACAAATGGCTGTAGATGCGAAGGTTAGTATAGATGTATATATTTGATTGCACCCGATTACTGCGAGCCAATTTCATCGTTGAGCTTACCGTTTTCCCTGTCGGGACTGCATCAGATTTATCGGGATGTTTTGCACCGCTAGAAGGATGTGAGGTATATAAGTCATTTTCGTCATCCATAGCTGATCAAGGTAGTCTCAGTAGACCTTGGAAGAAAAGGGAAGTAGTTAGAACTAGGACAAGGTGACGTTAAAGATGAATTTGAAGAGGGGCGGGGTCATTCGTCTGAGCCTCACGCGAGGCGGAGTCTACATGTAGGATGGGTTGGTGAACAGGGGCCGATACGAGTGACTGACCTGCAGCTGTGATTGACGAAATCCTAGGCAAGTATACCTAGGTACCTACGTGTATTCCTCGCTGTACACGTAGACAGAGAAAAAATGGTACACACGCCTCTCAGCTCTATGTACGGCGTAGAATGGAAATTACACCCAAGAGTACTCCGTATACTTCAATAGTTTACTCCGAGGCAAAATGTCCATGAAATTGGTCAAATATCACTAGACAGTAAACCCGAAGACAAAAAGCCAAAAGAAATCCCACAGAGCTTTTACTCGAAAAACACCATCGCTGAAATGCTGCAAAAGAATAAAATAAAAAGAAGGGCCATGCCACCTAAAGTATGCATGACAACAGATTGTCGCAGGTCCCTAAGGAGACGAAAGGGTATCTTAAGTTATCGAAAGGGTCGTCAGGTGTAGGGGTATGAGCGAGAAAAGAAAAAAAAAGCAGTCAACACGCCAGTCAAACTCCATCTCGGTGAGCGGTCATGAATTCTTGCTCCTGGTAGAGGATCTATGATTCGAGCCAGAGTGGCGAGGCGTTATTGAGTGGACACGGAAGCTTGAGGTAGAGGTCGATTTAGCCGCGGCAAGACCATGTGCAAGGGAGTTCTGGTGGATTTCCTCTGGCAGTAGGAGATCGGGGAGGTCGTCTGGGTTCGAAACTAGGCTGCGCGGGCGGGAGAGGACACCGCCGAGAGATGGATTATCCTTTTGATGGTGCATAGGCTCTATGGGAGGGCGACTTCGGCGGCGATGTCGACGAAGATACTCGTTCGGAACGGGGTCGACTTGTTTTTTGACGGCGGGAACGAGGTTGAGGTATATAGGGAAGATGGCACCGGCACAGAAGAGCGCGATGATAACACAGAAAGAGAAAGAATCACCGTGTGCGAGATATGCTGCATACTCAGCGAATGGGAAGAAAGTTCCGCCACTGATTGCCATCGTCAAGAGCACAGTAGCTGTTTTGGTATGCTGTGCTGTACCGCGCAGAGAGATGCAGAAGATAATACTGAACGCGCCGCTCTCGAAGAGGTAGACCATCATCGCCATTACGATAGCTGCCGAGCCGGTTGTTTTCATGCAAAGAATAGAGAATACGATCATACCGATGTAGCTGACCATGAGGATCCAGCGTGGTTTGAGGAACCATTGCGCAAATGCGGCTAAGAAACGACCAACAGCGAAGACGCTGTGTCCGATAGTCAGGAAGTCGAATGCTGTAAGTGACGAATCTGGACGAGCGGCAAGAACGAAACGTTCAAGACCCGTAGCAAGAACTTCTTGTCCAGCCACGTAGAAAAATTGCGACCAGACTCCCAGGCCGAGAGTGAGCCAAACTACCGGAACACCGATAACTTTAGTCATATTGTCTTCTCGGCGTCGGTTTGCAAGTTCTTCCAAGTCTTCATCTGATGCTTCGGGGACTGGTAGATAATAAAAGGCAACAGCCAATAGCACGTCGAAAAGAGCGATACCAAGGTATGCCCATTGTACGTCGACCAAAGACGCAACATCGTGAACATCCTTGAAAAGAACCCTTTTGGCTAACAGCGGCGACAAGACGCTCCCGACAGCCTGCACACCTTGCGAGATGTTGAGTCTGATCTCCGAATTTTCGAGGGGTCCACATAGCGCAATGAACGGATTTGCAGCAGTTTCTAAAACAGCTAGACCAAACCCAACAATAAAATTGGACAGAATGAACGCAGGTGTCGACGCCAGAACAGCGGAAGGCCAGAATATGAGGGTTCCACAGGCATATATGCAAAGACCTGTGATAAACGTAGACTTAAAACCCCAAATTTTCAAAACGGGCCCGCCAACCAACAAAGGGCCGAGGACATATCCACCGAAGTATGCGCCATGAAGGCCCAGAGAATGCCATGTCCCCAGTTGAACGATGGTCTGGAATTGGGAATTCAAGATATCGAGTAGACCATAAGCGAAACCCCACATGAAAAACAGTAGTGTGGTCAATGCGATTGGCGCGATCGACTCTCTGTTGTTGAGTTTGAGCATACTCTCTGGGTTTTTCATGTTCACGAAGTCGAAGAACGTGATATCTGGTGGATATGACAAGCTAGTGTGGGTGGCTCCCTCCGTATCGAGGGTTCCTGTTCCCGGATGACCCAGGAAATCTAATATACCCATAGGATCTGAATCTCGAGAGCCATTCCTGTCGGCAGATACGCTACCGACTGGGTTTTGTAAAGTTTTATTCCTGTCATCGACGGCTGGCGGTGTTGGACGTGCCAGTGACTCTGGGACTGCAACCGGCTGTGGCACAGCGACCGGGATTTCTCTTGTAGAGAGATCGTTAGGCGAAGAGGTTGATCCATCGCTAGTGTCTCTGATCAATTTCGGGACAAGGCGAGTGACGAGTGGTTTGAGACTTGGAACGCAACCGCAGATGATCGATAGATTGACTTCTACCGCAGACCACATGAAAGACAGCGATGCGTACCCTGCAAAGGACCCATTGTTAGTTGATTTGACATACGGATTTCAAAAAGAGGAGATTGGTTTGGCGTACAACTGAAATCAACCCCTCCGATGTTTTGAATATGAATTGATTTGACCTCCAGCGAGCGAGAAATGGCAGCCTGCTGGAGGAAGGCAATTCGAACCACATCGACCACAGCCACGAAAAATCCAAAGGAAAAAGTGATGACTAAAATAATCTTTTGCTTGTAGGGTAGGCGCATTTTGGTTAAAAGTGGCATCGGAAGCAAGAGAATAGCTAGGTCCGTAATGATATTCACCGGGGACGAGGAGAGGTACAAAGTGACAATGTCGGTGCAATTCGCATGGGACGGGAGGTCGGAAAGGAATGCAGCGCCGACAGGATTACACTGGAAAACATTGACCAGTGTCAATGCAATGCCCGCCGCATTCACGACGAACAAAGTGACATAATTTGCCCATCGGAAGACCTTTTGATTGCGCGTCAAAGTTAAGAAGAAGACAAGGATCGAAGTCTTGACGGCCATCAACGCTGGATTCTAAATGGTTGTTAGTGCCATTGATTTCGCAATTTCTTTTGTTCCTGCGGCGTAAGAAAGCTGTAACTGACGTAGAGGACCGTGAACGCATAATTGGCCTTATTAAAAGCGGGTTCATCTTCGGGCCTAAGCTCAGTTGAATGAAGACCAAGGCCCTTCCGAACCGAATAGAATAGCGAAAAAGAGAAGCCAAAATCGATAAACTACAGATTGGTTAGCCTCCGAGCTCCAATGATAGCTCCCAATCATGCGCCCCGGAGTGCGAAAGGATCGAGTCCGTTGTCGCTACATCCCCGGGTACATGCAGGGATCAAGCCGAGGGATCCTACCCATGCGACCAACATCAACCAGTCGTGTAACCCGATTTTTCTGACCACGAAGATTCGCGAAATGAAGCGAAGAGCGACAAAAATACTGGCGATGGTGAAAAAGGTGATGGAAACACCCAACGTAGCCCCTTGACGACCCTTCATCTTAACGATTGTCCGAGATTGTCCGAGCGGACAGCCTGCTCGTTGTCGACAATCGAATTGTAGCGCGAACTAGCGCGACAAAAATCTTCAATTTTCCGTGCAAGAACGCGGTGGTAGGCAGGCTGGATTGGTGCGAAGCTTCATCATCTCCACGTTCCCCGACGGAGACTCCGTGGTATGAGGGGACCGAAAGAGAGAAGAGGAAAAAGAGAGAATCAATGCCAGTTGGAGATGTCGCGTAAGAAAAAGCAAGGAAGAAAAATCAGCCGTCAAGATGTGTCAAAACGAATGTGTGGAGAGAAAAAAAGGGCCGTTTTACCCCGGCTTTAGCCCTTTTCTGGCTCCCCCGCCAATCATCCAGAGTGACCGCTATTCCAGGTACCCCCATGTACTCCGTACGGCAATCACAGCGCCTTTGTTGAGCTGCCTACAGATGCTATTCTGTACTCCGTACTCCGTACGGAGGTATGGAGGTACGGAGTACACATTCCAACTCTCAATGTTCAATGAAAATCCTCACACCGCCGCTGTGGTTCCCCAATGAAGATCCTAACACAACAGGGCACAACAGGGCACAACAGGCGCCACTAGTCCACCATGAACCAAGGCAACTTGACGAGTATGGCCCCTGAGATGTGAGATGATCCCGTAATGACTCCTCCCTTTGCAGACGTGAGAACACAGGGGTTGCGCTGGTCCGTTGCTGGTCCGCGCCTATATAGGCAATTCATCGACCATGGCCCCTGCACGTGAGCCCTCCAGAGCGTCCATTGGCCTGAATCATGAAGGTTCACCAGGTAGGAGCTTGGGGCTGCTTAAATACACCTCAAGGTTGCGATGAGGGGTTACAAAGGGGCCAAAAGCTCGTGTCCGGTGGTTCTGGGTTATTTGCGATCGTCAATTCAAGGCTAATCTATTGGGCCATACTGCAATGCATCGGGCCCAAAGGTACGCGCTCCCCACGCCGTACAGAGCACATCGAATACAACATCTGCGAATTTACCTACATGCAAGATCCCATTGTGAAATGGCCTTTTAGAGGGCAACGATTCTCACACTTCTATCAGCAACCGTATAGAAAGGGAACTTAACATCGAAGAAAACGTCTCTATCTTCCTCCCGTTCGACCGGATGAGAAATTCAATGGCCGGGTATCTGCCTACTTTGTCAACATAGGCCGCACAGAGAGCATTCCCATTGATATTCTACCCCAGATCAACACATCCGATGCACAATTCTCCGTTCAGACAACCAATCGGTCTATCGTGTCAAGAGACCCGGAAATATCCACCACGAATCCTGCAGGCACTGAGCTTGGCATGTAAGACGGGCGCATATCAAGTGATCAAAGCCGTTACTTTCACAGCAAGATACTAATAGCCTCGTACATCCTATTTAAGCTAAGTAGAATGCCCTTTCTTGAGTAAGCCTGACGCTGTTCCATTAGCACAAAGGTATTTGTGCACGCTGCCCTGGGTTCTATTTTAAGAACACAAGCTTATTCTCCAGTGTACTCGGAGTGCGGAGTACTTTGTATGCGAATATGCCTATGATCGTCCCCGAGATCAGCGGATGTGCACTGTTACCAGGATTTAACAGGAACTGCAAATCTACTAGTTGCTTGGCTGCTTTTCTCATTTCAGTATATAGTTGCGAGAACCCCTCTCGGTTGATCGGCTGTCTTTAATACCCGATGCTATCCTTCGCAGTACCTCACTCTCCGCTCTCCTATATTGTGTGCATAACGGGCAAATGTCCCGACTACAACGTAGATATGCATATTCAACGGGATGCTACTCTGCAGGCTCATCACATGGTAAAAGCGCGCATCCAAACTGACAAAGATCGGCCTTGCGATGTGGGTAGCTGCATCCTTTTAGCTCAATTATCCTAAGCGAGGTCGTAGGATCTACAGGCAAAGTACGCAAATGTCTCCTGGTCCCCAATATTTAAGAGGCCTACTGCCCAAGAAGTTGCTTTCGACTGCGAAAGTACGGAGCTTCTTGCCTATTTGAACTCGGGGCTTTTTTTTCCCACCCCACCAGCTAGAGCCAGTTCATTTAGTAAGTCGGCCTTCGTCAAAATGAGACTTAACACTCTGCTCCTAGCGTGCGGCCTTTCGGCATCGTTTCGGGGTGTTGACGCTGAGAGTCAGCTCGATAAAACTATCGCGGCTATTTGGGATGACTTCAAGAACGCAGTAAGCTGTGGTACTTGCCAGGTAAGCAAAAAGTCCACAGGTTCGGAACCTATCAAGTACTAGGTACAGTGGCTCACCCTATTACTAGACTCTCCTTGGTAGCCTTAAAGTTGCCTCCGGATTGGGCGAAAAGTTCATGATTGACGTATTCACTGGGCTGTGCACCGTCAGTGGGGTACGTTGGTGACCTCAATCCTCTATTTGGTACATATATTTACAAACATACAGGTCGAGGATCCAGATGTCTGCTCTGGGATCATCAAGAAGGAAGGACCGGCCCTATACGATGCTTTTAAAGCGTTACGTCTTAACTCGGATGCCTCTAAGACACTGTGCGCCAGTTTGCTCGGGCTATGTGAGCATCCTGAAGTTCATTCTTACAACCTCACATTCCCCAAGCCCAAGCCAGAGACCACGAGACCGCCACCTAGCGGCAAGTCGCCGATCAAGGTTGTCCATTTCAGTGACACGCACGTGGATCTACTTTACGAGACTGGCGCCAACTACGAATGCTCTAAGCCTGTCTGCTGCAGGACTTACGATGATAAAGATGCACCCGGCGTCACAGAAACACCATGTGGACCATACGGAAACACACATTGTGACCCGCCCAAAAGACTTGAGGATAGCATGCATGACGCTATCGCAGATATCAATCCAGAGTTCTCTATTTACACCGGCGACGTGATCGCCCATGACGTGTGGCTGGTAGACGAGGCGAAAGTGCTGGAGGGGTTGAACTCAACGTACAGTTCAATGGAAAGGGATATCGGCACCGTGTACGCTGCTATCGGTAACCATGACACCGCGCCACTCAACCTCTTCCCCCCAACTAGCAACGAGGACGACCCACAATGGGCATACAATGCTCTGGCAGAGGATTGGTTTGCACTAACAGGGCTTACCTCCGTGCACAACGCAAATCAATATGGCTCCTACTCAGCAGTCCATCCCGGCAGCAATCTGCGCATCATTTCCTATAACAGCGTCTTCTACTATATCTACAACTTCTTCATGTACGAAGAGCCAATGGAGAAAGACCCACGTGGACAGCTTCAATGGCTCATTCAGGAGCTGCAAGCCGCCGAGGACGCAGGCCAACGGGCATGGCTGATCGCACACATCCCATCCGGTGTGACCGATCACTTCCGCGATCATTCAGAATATTTCGACCAAATTGTGCAGCGGTACGAGGCCACCATCGGAGCATTATTCTTCGGTCATACACACAGGGATGAGTTCCAGATCGCATACTCCGACTACAACAATCGAAACTCAAACACTGCCACCGCCATGGGCTATATCGCTCCAGCGATGACTCCGGACCATGGCTCGCCCTCTTTCCGTGTCTACGAGATTGACCCAGTCACCTTCGGAGTCCTGGATTACACTCAGTACATCGCCAACATCAGCGACCCGTCGTTCCAGGTGAAGCCGAAATGGGAACCCTACTACTCCGCCAAGGCAGACTACGGATCCAAGATCTCTCCTCCGGTCACAGATTCGAAGTCCGAGATTACCCCGGCGTTCTGGCACAATGTTACCGTTGCCATGGAACGCGATCCAGCTATTTTCCAAGAGTTTTGGTCGCGACGCACGCGCGGACACGAGGTCGAGGCCTGCGACGATGAATGCATGGAGCGTCGGATCTGTCTTCTACGTGCTGCGAATGCGCAGTATAACTGTGATGATAAGCCCAAGCCGTTTGAATTCTCCAAGCGCGATGGCGAGGATGTTTTGGTAGAGAGAGAGCGTCGTATTGACTGCGATCATGCTGGGTTGGCGACAATGGTGTCCAAGATGGCGTATCGGGCTAAACTTGACAAGGAGGTTAAGGCTTGAAGGATCATGAATGGCTATCGTGCATATGATTTATTTAATTCAGGGTACGGAGTAGTGATGCTGCCAATGCTTGATTCTGAACAATATCCACAGTTGATCCTAAGTGTACATTGATCGATGTTGTATATGAGATTTACCCACCTCCACTGTGAACAGTTAGAGCAGTGTATGGAGTAGCAAAAAGAGGAGGAATATTTGTCTCACGTTCACACCAAGAGATATTCGCATGACACAAGCCAACAATGACGGGACACGTCAGAGCAGTAAGATGAAGCCTTTGATATAGTACGAAACCTTACTAGATTTTAAGTTATTTCACAGCCGTCAGACTATTTCTACAATACAAGTCTCTGCATTCAGCAATCCCTAGGCCTTGACGTCATTCTGATGGCAAGTGATGGGGCCTCAGCGCCTGGAGATGAGTGGAAATGGGGATTTGCATGGTGGGAATGGCTTCAATTATGGAGCGGTGTCAAAAGCGGTCTGGAATTAGGCCTCATTCAGGCAGCAACCCCGATTGTAATTCTGTCCCCTGGCCGCTATGCCCCTTCGCAGCATAGCCCCTCATCGGAGGCGGAGCCAATAATTGGGCGATGAGCAAAACACAACGCCTTCTGTTAAGCGCTTTAAAGATTCTCTACTCCGTACTGGGCTAGTTGCTCTTTTACCCTTTTCATGGGCTCAACCTCCAACCTTTATCCTTGTGTTTCCCCGGACATTAACCCCGTGAGTTCCTGCGATGGCCGAAGTTATCGGGGTTGTCTCAGGCGCACTCACTTTCGCAACGGTTATTGTCCAAATCGGAAAATCCATCACCGTCATAAAGGATTACTGGGAAGAATTCAGAGATGCACCAGCTGATTTACAAAGACTAGTTGAAGAAATTAAAGTCTTTGGTCTCATCTTGGCGAATATCGACGAGGACTTATCCCAGCCTTCTGTTTCTTCCGCATTGGAGAAAAGCAAACATGCTCCACATATTTTGGAGTTGTGCAAGAAAGCCGCGGAGGAGTTGGACTTGGTCTGCAAGGATCTGAGTCAAGACGTTGGATCATCTTCCAACTGCGTGCGCAGGACTCGCAAAGCCTTGCGAGTTATGACGTCGAAAGGGAAGATTGAGAAAAATAAAACGCGGTTGCAAAATGCCGTTCAATGGCTTATGCTCTCCCAGCAAACTTATACAATGTATGTTCCTGACCTTGGGACATGATTCCAAGCCTCGGTCTAATAATTGCAGAGCTTTTTTACAGATCCAACCTCAATTGATTGCGGAAAAGATAGCCCAACGAGAATTATACTTCTCGGCGTCAACGCAACTACAGACACATACGGCTACACAAGGTATACACAAATATTCGTTGTATCGGGAAACCGCACTAATATCCATGTAAACGTAGAATCGTGTGTAAACTACACACCGATCGGAACGGCGCGAACAAAAGCCTGGACCTCTGTTCAAAACAGGGGCAAGTACTGGAGGCTCACATTGCCATCGTGGATAACTTCCAAAGTGCTTGAAGTAGGTGGCATGAGAGTTCCCGATGGATGGAACTGGGTGTTACGAACGTACAATATCATCCCATATGCTTCAGAAGTTGTCTTTCTTATCCGTAAGGGTGATATTAAAGGTCTTCAAGATCTTTTTGCCTCGAGGCAGGCTTCCGTCTTCGATCTTGTTTATGGTCACATTGGATTACTCCAGGTAAGCATCGCCAGGCGACCCTGGAACACATGAATAGCTAAAAATTATCAAGTACACGAACAGAGTAGACGTGCTCGAGTTTCTCCTGGGACAAGGGGCAGATCCAGCAACAGTACGCACTGGACTGATAGTTGATTTTAATTTGGAGGGCAGATTCCAATCGTCTATTCCGTACATGCGGGTCCTCTTTCGCCATCTCCATATCACGTATGATTCTACAACTGAGGCTACCAACGGACTTTTCAGATACTTCCACGGTACCCCAGAGGACTTTCTGTTCTTGCAACGAGCCTGCTTCCCATCATTTTATCAATTACCTCTATCCGATCGCATCAAAATGGCAATTGGAATCGTAGGTCTTTCGTGTTTTCACCCTTACATGCCAGACCTCTTCAAAACAATCATAGGAAAAGATGTTCTAGAAGCCAAGGAAATTCAACTGAAGTTTCGTTCTCGACGCTACCCGAGCACAACGATATTCCATTTCGTCGCCAGAAACATGGGATGTGAGCAAGAACCGCCTCTACCTTTTGGCTTGAAACTACCAGGGACGAGCATGCAGACTCAGTGCGCCAGCTGGTACCAAGCAAAGACCTCGTGGTGGGGGCTATTTCAAGAATATCTACATACAGGTGCAAACATCCATGACCTTGTCGAAGGCAGAACTATATTCCTCTCATTTCTTACCGGTTATGACAATCATAGTTCGTGGCTGACGTCGCAGAGACGCAGAAACGATCTTGGCTCGGCCACAGAGCTCTGGCTCAAGGCTCTTCAAGCAAATGGAGTCGATCTCAAGCAGTTTGGTCGTGCGGAACTTGTGATTTGGAGAAATGAAAACATTCGCAAAGAGTTCGTTGCGCACGGGTGTCATGACAGACTCGCCAAGCGAATTATTGGTTTCACATATGGCCCATCACCTGAAGACTGGCATCTTTGGGTTTCCGAACCGACAGATCGGTTTGCTGGGGAGTTTTGGAGCCTGATTGAGCGACCTGTGGAAGTCATGCCAGGTACCTGGCCGGAGCAATAGGTTTGGGTGAATCTGGGGGATACAATATTGATACAATGACAAGATCTACAATTAGAGATTAGGCTGTGAAAGTTGAAACAGCATCACCGGGAAGAAGTCCCTGACGATCCATCATCGCAACAAGATCCCCATCCATCATAAACTCGCCAAGCTCCATACCAAATGGCGAGAGACTAAGATCGTCACCTCCGATGCCTGTTCGAGCACCATGGAGAGTGGAGAAATTCGTAGTCGATGCATCAAAATTCGTTTCTGAGAAGGCGGCTTGTTAGAGTGATCCTCACATAACAAAGAAAAAGAACTAACCAGGATTATTCAAAACCTTGCCGAATTGTTCCAAGTAATACCGACATCGATCGATCAACCGATTTCCTTCATCAAGCTTGGAAAGTGCTGCTACCGCACGGCCAGGATATTGTCTAGCTTTGTTTGCTTGGTCTGTCATCGGAGAGATTGTGAGGCTGGCGTCACGGTATACCCAGCCTACGCCGATGAGGACAAGTGCTGCGTTGAAAGCTGATAAATAATCAGTGTCAGAGCATCCTGCAATGAGCATATGTGGCACTTACTATAATATAATGAGAACCACCAAGCCCCCAGCAGGCTACGCTTCCATCCAGGTTCGGACACAACACGGTGGACGATATCAATAATCTCCATCGCGGAATCTGCACATATCTGCAAACTGTTCATACCGATCTGTTGCAATAGTCTCATATCCTGGGGGTCACGGTCAGGAGACCTGCTCGCTGTAATGAATTTCACCAGGATTGGGCGATGAAGCAGGACTCGAAGGTTAAGATATCTCAACGTCAAGATAACCTGGAATTTCGAGGACAATAGTTGTGGATCGGACGGAATCTGATCATGAGGCATTCTCTCAATGCTAGCTGATGATATAAGTTGGAATGGATGAGCTAGCGACCGCTCCCAGGAAAACAGATGCTGTTCCAAACCGAAGATGTGGGCCACAGTCTCGCTGACTGGCAAGGGACCATCGCATCCAATGTTTTGCCCGTAAAGAAGCTCTAGAGTGTTCCAGAGCTGCTTATAGAGTCCACTTGTTTCTATGTTAGGAACATTGCGGGCTTTCACAGGAATTAGCTTTAGTGCGACCACTTACATTGTCGAGTTGAAGAACGCCACGCTCAAGGCCGCTGTTTCATCGTTCACGAATCCTGTTGAGTTCTCAAATTCATGTTTGGTAGGCAGTTCGAGCTTGACGTAGCTATCTGGAATAGCTGCCGGTCTGCCAAAAGTCATACTCAAAGTTCTATATCATTAGCATATGTTCAGCGTATGATTTGATAGCCACCTACCGGTCTAAAACCACACATCCGTACCAAGTGCGCTTGCGCATTTCCTGATCGATAGTAGAAAAGGATTTGGACGCATGTCGTGAATGTAGTCCAAGTTGGAGAGCAGCTTTAACAGCTAATCCATGGACTGTCCACGCCTGTATTGACTTTTGCGTACCCTGGAGGTACTGGCCCATCAAAAGCAAATATTGGACTATTAAAACGCAATTAGGGCCAACTTTCAAGAAACTAGAATTAAAATCTACTCACCCACTTCAAGAGTTGTCCCTCGCAGGATTTCACTCCCACACAAACCAAGGCCACGCTGGTAGAAAACGTCAGATCCTTCGATCCGTGCATCCGCGCTGGCACTGCCAGGGACTGCAGTGATAGTAGCCATGGCCAACACCATGTTCAACAATCCAAGCCAAGTCCTCCGTACCCGACTGAAATTCTCTCGTGCCATCTGGTGATATGTCTCCAGAAACACGGGTGGGTATATATAGGGGAATAATAACCCCGTGTTAGAAAAATACCGTTGAATGAGCTCCAAAGTCTTTTCCTGGGGCGGTAATGCAAATATTCGCACTGGCGCCGGCTTTTCCTGGCCTATTCGGCGTACCGGTGATGATGGTCTCGATGCATTCACAAAGCCACCCTCAGCAGCGCCTGGAGAAGGAAAATACCCAGGCTGGACAATAGCACTCGACAGATGTCTGAGAAATGCAATGTTTGAAGAAGGTCCTTGTAAATTCTCATTTCAGCAATTACAATCACCCCTTTCAAACAGGTACACTTACCGAAGAATCCAGAATCCTCCTCATCAGCAAAAATCACCGCGCCCATACCATCGACCGAATCCTCAGTCCCGATTAGGTCAGGCATCGGGGCAGCAACCCTCGTCTCATCTTGACCTGCTCTCGAATCATGATCACAAAGAGCAGGCCTTTCTAGTCCACAATCGACCCTCTTCGTCAACCCGTCCAGATCACCCCTGACAGACCCCAAGGACGCCTCAATCCTCTTGACTCTCTCCTCAAGACCGTGCAAATAATCCTTTTGCACAATAACATTAGCAGCCGTTGGTGGAGGCGTGTAAACACATTCAAATCCCAAATCTAGACATAACGAGCAGCTAGGCCGCTTGCCATCACATCGGGATTTACGGGTTCGGCATGCATCGCAAGCGATAGCCACGCGTCTGCGTTTAGAAGGCCGTTCGTTGGGTGTCTCGTTTTCCGGCGAGTTAGATGCCATCTGTCAGTGTCATCTGATCCGGCAAGGGTTGTCGGGATGGGGGATTACTATCTGGGGTTGTGTCGGACGATAGCGGGGGTAGACCGGAATGCTATCCGGTGTTACCGCTGGTGGGTCATGTCTCAGGACGACGACGATGAGTTAGAACATTGTCTGGACCGTCCCAGATGTATATTCTCCACTATGATGGAGCCTATTTCTCTTCTTATTGGGAAGCTACTGGAGAAAGGGGGAAAATAATGCTTTCATGAAAATGCTGTATTAACTGTGAAACAACCTATATAGTGTACACTATTCCTTATACCATACTACAGATATCTAACAAAGACATATCAAACTCATATAATCGTAAAGCGGATTAATCATGTCCCAGCAAACCACCGCTATGCAGAAACCAGCAACCATGGGCCTTGAACACCGCGAGCGCCGAGAGAAACACCATAAACAACTTCCAATTCATTGTCTGCCATCCTCGGAAGATATCACTATCGTCGGTGGTGGAATTTGTATCCCCGGCGATGAAGTCGTGGGACTGACTGACTCGTCAAGGGAGGGTGCTCGACTTCGCTGACTATTCATCCGATCAAACGGACTCAGTTGGTGGGTTGGCCATCCACTAGATAGAGACCCAGGAGAAGGAGAATGCAGTGTTGAAGACTCAAACAAGCTCCGGCCTGGGAGCGAATTTGCGTGATTGGGACGAGATCGTGGCCGCGAGACAGTCGGCGTAGGCACCGAGTGTCGCGTTGGACTCCGGGACATTCTTGAACTGCCTTCGCCATTATCGGAATCTCTGACGCTCACAGAACTTCCAGCTCTCGATCGGTTATCGGGTGTAGAGGACCTTTTGTACTCGGCTTCCTGCCGTCGGAGAAGTGAGTTCTTGTATTCTTCCCCTGGGGTTTGGGGGTAAGATGTTTTTGCGTCATTTTTGAACCCGCCTTTCTCGATTTGTCTGTGGGCTTTGGTGGCAAGCATGTTGCTTGTCTTGTTAAAGAAGCGGGCAACTTTTCGTCTTCCTAAATCGGGTGTGGGTGGGTTTGTGCTGGCGGTTTGAGTGGTGGTGTGGCGACGTAGAGGTGTCAACTGAATTTCGGCGTTCTGCCTCTCAGCACTCGTACCTGAGCCTCGTCGGGAACTGGTCGGGGTCTCTGATGAGGTGCAGTTAGAGCAACATGCACATTGCCCCACATTATTCACCCCTGGTTGTTCGTCATCTTTCCCCTCCTCGGCTACCATCTCAGCGGAGAATAGAAGATACAGTGATCCCAGTGCGGCGAGTCCGGTACCAACGATTGGCGCCCATTGACCTAAAGGTTTAAATGTTAGTAAATCCACGGCCTTTACCCCGGAGTTTATGATTTCAAGCAAGTCACAGTAACTCACCAATACTTTGTATAGGCTCTGTTTGGTACCTCATCTGTTGACTCCAAAAGTTCATTTCGCCTTTGATTAGAATCGCCAGCACTGCTGCAGCAAACACAGGGATCTCAATAAGAGATACCATGTCTTTTATCCTCTCCCCAATTCCTGTCATGTGGTTTATGGTAGCTCCGTTGGTTCCTTCAATAGGTTCGTCTGGCTGCTGTTTCTGCTTTCTTGAAAATTTCTCCCAGTTATCATCCAGAATCTTGATCCACATAGATACCAATGACAGAATAGCAGGAATACAGCATGCAGCCGCAACAAGCGTGATAGCATTGAACGACAACTCGTCGGGCACTGGAATCACATAGATATTATCAGCAGCCTCGAGTCGCAGTGGTGAGAACGGACCATCCTCAGGGGTACAAACAACGCTACAATTAGAGCCATAGATGAATAGACCGTCTGCGGCCCAGGATATGCTGGCTGGGTCGTTCCCCGGACAGGTGGTGGTTTTGAGACGCATGAATTCCACGACTAAACACACTAGCCCGACGAGGAGAAGGACTGTCCACAGGAAGATAATATCACGGCCAGGGTTGTTGAAATAGGTCCGAGATAGTCTCACGGTTGCTGGGGCGGTTAGGATGCCGATTGCGCAGAGCTGAAATGCGCCATACACATCCATATCCACCGCTCCTGGTTTCGGTTAGTCCATTTGATCATTTTGAAGGGTCGCAAAAGATTAAAACCCTAGATCTAGGGTCGGAATTTGGATCTGCTCACCGTCGACATGAAGAGCAGCAAGAACGATTGCGTGCAGAGCCGCGATGGCGGGGAAAAGTAACACAGCGGCCAAACAAGCGTTCCGGATCCATTCGACTTTGCGTGCGACCACGCAAGCTGCAATCAACACATAGTATCTGGAATAGCTGTCAGTATACCATGCGAGTGCTATCCATCCTTCGGGAGAGAGACTTACAGGGCTCGTGTCCCTGGGCCATATTGGCCGGAGACGGGCCAAGCACAAACAACTTCGAGAGTTGAGGCACTTGCAGCCGCTGTCACATTATGGGGCACTGCAAGAGCACGGTGCACGAGTGTATGTTCTAGGATGGAAGCAAGGGTGGGAATTGCGGGCATTGCATGTCATGCGCCTCCAGCGACGATAACTTTGGGATAGAGGAGCAGAAAAGGCATATATTAATGTGATGTTCTCTAATCCAGACAGTCACTCCACAAGGTTCAACTTGGTATCAAGGAAAATACGGAGGGAAAGAAGAAAAGAGCCTCCTCGCGGTCTTATTCACAACTTCCAGATCGACCATGGTGAACAAAGCCAGTAGGGTACTACCCGGGGCTACAAGTTGTTTTGTCAGCCTCATCCTCGGGTTTCTGAGCCTCGGTATAGTTGGGATTGGGTGTTCGCAGGAAACTCTGTCTCTTATGGACCTTGATTCCTCAAAGCCTGAAGTACCCAGGATGTTGATTTGGATGGACGCAGCATAAACCCGGGTTTAATACGAGATGGGGCAATGCTCACCCCTTCTCATTGGCAGTTGGGCGTTGCTCGTACATGTGGCGTGGCTGTGTCTGCAGGATACTTATTCACCGGGCACAATCCTGTTTTGAAGGGAAAGACTGTCTAGGAAATGTTTAACGATGTCGACTGCAAGTCACGAGAATCGACCACACGGGGTCCGATGGCGACGAACCATGGGTCGCCCAACATTAAAGCGACCACGTTCCAAAAGACCGACAGGGCGGGGGAAGATGTCACTAGTTCTTTTTCCTCTAACAAGCTACCTGGGCACAGCCTTATTGGCATTGCTTTTTCAAGCCTAGTCCATTATCCTCCTAGACTAATGAGAATACTCTCACCGTCCCGTGGCACTACTACCTGGCTCTGAGCTTTCCACCTGAGGCTCAGACCCCCTCAGAGTACCCCCAAAATTTCTGACAACCCTATCCCGGTCTTCTATCGCTGCTCTGCCCTACGGATCGTCGGAGCTTTTAAGTACTTCGACTTTGAATGCAACTGCAACTTTAATAAAACCCAACATCAATCCGCAAATCCAGTTCCAACACGGAAGATCCCCCACAGCCTCACAAAATTTGACTAGACGTTCTTTGGCAGCTGAGACCCCCACCCCTTTCATTCAGTTTAAGTCGCAATCCTTTATCCTGTCAATGTGACTATGAAGAGCGATCTAAGCTTTCTCAAATTCTCGACCATTTCTTGAACTCTTCACATTGCAGTAAAGGGCAGAACTGACAGGCATATTTGCTCCGGCTTTTGGATCGGAAACACCAAAGCATCCAAGATCGTCATTTTTCTCAACGTTCTGTCACGCACGAGAGATGTCTTCGCAATAAAATTGGCCACCGGATCTTGATATGCAGATTTTCCTTTGGCATTTCGGTAAATAGTCACACCATGTTTGCAGGTGGCTGCGGCTCAAAGCACCGGATGATGGAGACTGACATGTCGCCCGATAACATAGCTATTATCCAGTGCATTTTCTTTGAAGTGATTCTCAACCTCGAGCGACCTTATTCGACCGTCTGAGACTCTGAGAAGCAAGTATTCGAAAATGGACGACGAACTCGATACCTCGAAAATCAAAAGTTGGCGCTCAATCATTACTCTAATTATTTTTGTTATTACTAGTAAGTATGGCTCGACGTCGGATGTGAGATTGATACTTATTTTGGCTTTTTTACAATGCAGATATTATTGTGCTTTGCCCATTCCATATTCCCGTATACCTGCCTCGATGGCTCACGAATGGGTTTCTGGATCTGTTGGCTTCCATGCGCATAATACCTCGCCGAGCTCACCCTCAATACAATGATAGCCAAAGCATCTTTGTGAAGCTTCGCTTCCCATTGAACTTTGTTACCGCTCCGTTGATAGCAGATCTTTTCCTGCTCGCCATTCTGGCTATTGGCCGAAAAGAAGTACACGATGGAACTATTGGGACACACGACATTTCACCCATTGATATCATGGTCTTCTTCCTCACACTAGCTTACATCGCTATCTCGATTGACGCCTCCGGTCTTATCAGATATCTAGCTTTCAAGGTCCTTCAAAAGGCAGGCAAAGTCGGCCACCGGCTATTCTTCTACCTGTTTGCGTTCTTCTTCGGATTAGGTACCTTCATTGGGAACGACCCAATTATCTTGTCCGGTACAGCATTCCTTGCCTATATGACCCGGGTATCAAGCAACATCGTTCATCCCAGAGCCTGGATCCACAGCCAGTTTGCCATAGCCAACATCTCCTCCGCGATTCTCGTCTCCTCTAACCCGACGAATCTCGTCCTTGCTGGCGCTTTTAAGATCAAGTTCATTGTCTACACCGCAAACATGATCGTTCCTGTAGTTGTGACGGCAATTGTTCTTTTCCCATTCTTGTTATATGTCATTTTCGCCGACGAGTCCCTCATCCCCTACTCTATCACGATGCACGAGCTGTCAGAGGAAGCCAAAGCCAAAGCACCTGTGAATCCCAACATTCCTAATGCTAGAGGAACGGCGGAAGAGGAAGAAGAGGCCGGCGATGAACAGAAAAAGCAACTCTCTCTAGAAGAGATCATGAACCCATTCTTGGACAAGAAAGGTGCTGCATTTGGAGCGCTCATTATGGCTGCCACGCTTATCACTGTGCTGGCAATCAATGCATCGAGCCAGACGGGCGAAGAACATCCCGTGTTCTGGGTCACATTGCCGGCTGCTTTCGTTATGTTTTGCTGGGATGTCGCATTCGGTTGGCTTCATCGCCATGAGACGCGCGAGATCGCCGCCAAGGGCCGACAGGAAGTTGAAGAGGCACGGGCAGAGCGGGCATTGCGGTCGGAACAACAAAGTCCAGAAACACGGGCTTTGGACCAATCTGGACACTACGATGCTCCGGGGATGCGTCACCGCAGCGATCATACAGATGATGATCTATCCCTCGAGGCTGCCGAGATCAGCCCAGCCTCGAAGAATCCTTACCCACAATGCGAAACTTCGTTGTCGGTCTCCGTCCTCGTGGACAAGGAAAGGTTCCCTGAGCTACCCTGTGATTTGACAAAGAGTGGCAAGAAGCCAGTTCGAGCATCTACTCCAGAGGCATTGGACTCGAGACAAACTACCGACACTACTACCGATGAGGAGAAGCGGGGATATCAGTATCATCAGGAAACTGGACCACCAACATTGCTTTCGTTGTCCGCTGATCTGTACCGCTGGTCACAGGAAACATTCCCAACCGTGACAGTTGTAGTATCACACATGCCGTTTGCGCTGGTACCCTTCGCCTTTGCGATGTTCGTCTTGGTGCAAGCACTTGTCACCAAAGGCTGGGTACCTGTGTTCGCCTATGGATGGGACCACTGGGTAGAGAAGACCGGGACATTAGGCAGTATTGGTGGAATGGGATTCCTATCTGTCATTTTGTGCAACGTGAGTCTTGAGGAATATGGTTACCCGCTTTTCTCCTGGTCTCGTATTCAAATATCTAACGTGTTCCCTTCTGATATCCAGTTTGCCGGCACAAATATCGGCACTACAATTCTCCTCTCCCGTGTGATTCAAGCATGGCAAGCAATACACGAAGCCAGTGGTGTCCCCATCAGCGATCGCACATGGTGGGCCACTGTATACAGTATGGCACTTGGTGTCAACTACGGTGCATTCAGCACTGCGTTTAGTGCTTCACTGGCTGGAATGCTGTGGCGGGATATCTTGGCAAGGAAACACATTCGCGTCGGCAGTCTGGAGTTCGCCCGAGTGAACCTTCCCATTATTGCGATCTCCATGGTGGTTGGATGCGCTGTTCTTGTTGGAGAAGTGTATATCGTCAGAAGCAACAAGCCTTACGTTCCGGCTGCATGACTGGCAGGATATCACCAGAGAAACTCGTTGTTTTAGATGCTTTATAGATTATGATGATGTGTTGCATGCTTGCTTGAGGCGATTTCATTGCCACTCAACAGGCAGACGATATTACGAAGCGAATGAACCCGTTTTACAGTTTTCCATGGCTGTGCTTAGGGTGAAAAGTGTCTTGATTTGTTATTCCTTTATTGTGAAGTTCCATATATTCAGCTGGAGCTGTTTTCTATTCTGTCGTTTGATCGATGTTTCCACGACTCGTCGGCTCTGCATATTCGAACATGCCATGCTAAGGCTTTATTTACTCGTCCACAAGGGACTCAACATCCATATCCTCCGAGCGATAGAATCCCAGCGCATCAATCATGGGCTTATCGTCAAACCGGTACAGATAAACGGACTCTTCAGCATCCGCAAAGTGCTGGTACTTATACCAAGCCGGAATACAGAAGGTATCACCCTGCTCCCAGCTATACTCCTTGTCACCAATGGTCGAGCGTCCTTTACCGGTGATGACATGGTAGACAGCAGACGTAGTTTCCCTGCGGGACGGTGAAGCCTTTGCTGCGGAAATTCGCTCAGCACAACCTCCAAGGACGCGACTCACTTAATACGCCATTAGCCATCTGTTCACCCACAGAGTAGAAAAACAGAAACAAAAAGAAACAAAAGACATACCTTCATATCCATCATCCTTCAAATATCTCTTCGAAACCCAGTCCCCAGCGACGCCATCCAACTTCTCCTTCATGGTAACCCACGGGAAAACCAACGGCGAAGTAGTGCTGTCAACATCCTCTGCGGGATACCGGGGCTTATCAAAGTGCTCCACGAAGTGTACAGGGAAGTGTCTGAAATTAGGCAGGTCTAGACCATCCAGCCACACCATAGGTCCAGAACCATCTTTTCCGTGGTCATGGTAGTTCCAGGTGGGAGTGAGGATGACATCTCCACGCTGCATCTTGATGCGACGGCCGTGCACAGCGGTGAAACCGCCCTGGCCTTCGATGATGAAACGCATGGCAAAGGCTGTGTGTCGGTGTGCGCGCGCAGTCTCATTGCGCATCACAAGCTGCAGGCCGGCGTAGAGAGTGTCGGTGGTGAAGGGTGCATCTTAGAGATATGTTAGAAACCAATATACTGGTTTTAAATTCGCAGATGATAAAATACAACGCAAATTCAAATTATAGCTTTGTACTTACCGCGAGCTGGGTTGGTGAGCATCAAGACTCGGCGCTCGGCCTGTTCAGCGGGCACGAGCTTGCCAGCGCGCTCCAGATTGGGTCTGATAGCGCTGTACTTCCAGACATTGGGAATAGTTGTTGGGTTTGGCGCTGCGGGGTTCAGACGTGCCATCTGCTTCCACAGAGGGAGGGTCTTGCTTGCCTCGAGGTCAGCGAGAAGCTGCTCCTCTGTGTCAGCGATGGTTTCCACTTGAGTTGAAGACATGTTTGAGGCTATTCTTGTTTTGATCTGATAATGAAAGAGATCTAATGAAACAGATCTTTGGATTGTATTGCCTGATGCTATGGAGAAACGATCCTTAAAATATATCTCAAACACTTCGTGGAATTTCCGCTTCTTGGTGATGTCCGGGGAAGGATCGGGTGGGCTTCCCCGGTGCGTGTCTCCAACCGAGGGGCCATAAAGGCGATGATCCGACGATATGCACTGGTGACAAACTTCTATTTCTCTTTGGACTAGTAGTGGCAGTTAGCAAGATGGGTTCCAATGAACAGGCCAATGGCCACGCTCAGCCGACGTTGAAGGTGAGTCGCTCATCCCGAAACGGCAATGTGAGATTCCCGTCCACTAATGAGCCAATAGGCCCCAACATATCCCAGCAACTGCCTCGCCTTCCTAGATGATCTCTCAGCATATGAAAATTCTCTACCTGCGCAGGTCCGGCTGAACATTATCGTCGTCGGTGCCGGACTGGGTGGACTAGCCACAGCCATCGCCCTTGCAAGTTCCGGCCACACTGTGACAGTTTACGAACAAGCACAGCAGCTTGGAGAAGTAAATACTACATCCTTCACTCTTTTGCTATGATCCAAATCTAATAACTTATTCCAGGTCGGCGCCGGAATTCAAATCCCATCCAACTCAACCCGTCTCCTAAGCAGACTCGGCCTAGATCCATACTTGAAAGAGTATGTGACCGAGCCTGAATATATTTCTTTCCGACGCTGGCAGTCAGGAGATGTCATTGGCCTTACACCACTCATTCCAAATTTCCGGAAACAATTCGACGCTCCATACTATGTGATCCACCGCGCAAATTTCCACTCTGCGTTGCACAAACGTGCTTTGGACCTTGGTGTGACGGTCAAAGTTGCTTCACGCGTTGTGGAGTATAATGTCGAAGAGCGAAGCATTACTCTTGAGAACGGTGAATCTGCTTCAGCAGATTTGATAGTTGCGGCAGATGGTATATATTCTCATACTCTTATCACAGATGGGCTGGTATTAATTATCTACTAGGAGTCAAGTCAGTCGCTCGTGGAACCCTCGACAAGAGCGACAAGCCCTCGGTCAACAAGACTGGATTTGCAGCTTATCGGGCTACGGTGGATGTTGAGCGCATTAAGGAAGACCCGGAGCTTTCCTGGCTGTTGGAGAAACCAGCTCTGAATATCTGGTCGGTACGACTTATGAATAAACTCCCTTAGTTTGACTGACATTTTGCTAGGATTGGTGATCAGCGCCACGTAATGACATACACTATTGGAGCCGGCAAATCGTTCAACATGGTTCTTTCGCATCCAGATGACAGTGAGCCTTCAACCTGGGACCAGGCGACTGCTATCAGCGATATGCGACGCGAATTCCAAGGATGGGACAGCCGGTATGATAATAAAGGATTCCTCTCTTTCGTCATTCTCTAATTAACATCTCTGTAGACTCGAAAAGATTATCGGACTCATTAACAAAACTATCAAATGGCCACTGATCAGTGGAGTACCTTTATCCCGCTGGGTGAATGGTCGGGTACTGATTCTGGGAGATGCAGCACATGCAATGCTGCCTTATATGTCACAAGGTAAGCCCCGAATCACAGTCTACACCTATAGAAGAAGTTCCTAATCCTCCACAGGCGCGGCAATGGCCGTCGAAGATGGCGCAGCATTGGCCCGATCTCTGTCCAAAATCGAGAACGCTGCAGACATTCCCAAAGCGTTGGAAGTCTTTGAGCAGGTCCGCATTGAACGAGCTGGAATGATGCAGGAGGCAAGCCTGTTAAATGGAAAGCTCTGGCACTTTGCCGATGGGGCGCTTCAGCAAGCCCGTGATGCAGCCATGAAGCCGGAGACTCTGGGGTTGCCATTTAGTCACAGTCCTAACCAATGGAGTGACCCGGCGACCCAGATGTGGTGCTATGGATATGATGCTGAGCAAGAAATTGATCGAGCTTGGGCGAAGTTGACATTGTAGATATTGTTTTTATAGAGAATACATGTTTTTGTGCGACTATCTATGAGGTACACACCTCGAACTAGTCTTCTTCTCTCTCCGAGTCTTCACAATCTTCCACTCTCTCTTCTTCCCTCTCACTTTATCAACGTGTCGGTCATGGATATCTAGTCCAGGCCATCCTTACAGACAAAAAGAGAAAACACCACCGTGAAAGTTTTCCGTGTTTGCCTTGCTCTGTCATGGATTATATGACGCTGACGCCACTGGTTCCACGACTAGTAAAATGGAAGAGAAAGCGGATAATACAAACGATCGGCTTCAGACTTTCGATCAAACAGGTGACCTGAAGTTTGAAAGGGAGCGACACGGTGACAGATCGAAGAAGAGAACAAGGCCTTCCATACTAGCCATCGAGCCGTACAACACGAGGCCATGGAAAATGCTTTCGTCTAGAATCATCCGTGAGCCCATATGCCTTAGACCAAGCTACTACACACATACAACTACTCCGTATCCAGACAGCAATACCCCAAATTTCCCCCGCATCCTCCCTCTCGGCAACATCGCAACCCCCAACGCGGAACAGCACCCGACATACCCGATCTATCCCCAGCAGCAATCACGACAGTAAAGAGCCATATAACCCCTCAATCCCCAGATAAATACCCCTCTAGACGCATTTCCAGTTCAATTGAAGCAGCTGCAAAAGAATCTCCAAAATAAATCAAAATGTCTCTCCCGTGGAAACGCCTAATCCGCTTCATCGCAACCGACGGCCGCACCCTGCGCGGCGAACCAATCCTCCCAACACCAACCACAGACCTAGGCCTCATCACCGAATCCGACAAGCTGCAAGCGCGCATCATTGAAGGCGAAGACATCTACGACACCACCGGCAAGACGCGAGTCACCGATGAAATCGTCTCCGTGAAGACCATTCTCGGCCCGTTGGCGCAGGCCGATGTACCGATTCTCCGATGTGTTGGGCTGAACTATGCAAAGCACAGTACGTCCGAAATCACATTTCATAAGAAATATAAAAACTGAGTACGTGATTCTAGTCAAGGAAGCCGGCCGCACCCCGCCCCCTTTTCCATTCATCTTCTTCAAGCCGAACACGACAATCCACGACCACGGCGCGCCAGTCGTGATTCCCAAGATTGCTCAGGATGAGCAGGCAGATTACGAGGGCGAGCTGGTGAGAAAAACCCTTCCTCTTTCTATACCCTAAGCACCCATATACTACATACAATATCCACATACTTTATACTAACATACACCAAAGTGCCTGGTAATCGGCACCGACGCCAAGAACGTCTCACCCAAAGACGCCCTCTCCTACGTCGCCGCCTACACAGTCGGCAACGACATCTCCTCGCGCAAGCTGCAGCGGGATCCCGCCTTTGCAGGCCGTGTGCCACAGTGGGGATTCTCCAAGGGGTTTGATACCTTTGCGCCGCTAGGCCAGTGTCTCGTTGCAGGCAGCGAGATCGCCGATCCCAGCACCCTGCAGCTGAAGACAGTTATTGATGGGGACGTGAGACAGGAGGAGGGCGTAGCGGATTTGTTATTTGATTGTGCGTATATTGTGTCGTATTTGTCACAGGGTACGACGTTGCAGAAGGGCAGTGTGATCATGACGGGGACGCCGGGTGGTGAGTACCTGTCCTTTTCGCTTTTCTTTTTTTTAGGCTGCAAAAGGGAGTGGGCTGACTCGTATACTTCCAGGTGTTGGCGCTGGCCTGAATCCGCCTAGGTATCTCGTTCCGGGAACGCAGATGGATGTTTCGATTAGTGGGATTGGGACTTTGCGGAATAATGTGGTTTTTGAGTAGATTGGATTATCCATATGTTGAAGGGTGGGGACAATACTATAGACACAATCAGTATAGACATTGCTGGAGGGCCAGTCTATGCATCTCCAAATTTAGGACCATGCTAAAGAACTCTTTACGCCGCATATCATGGCTTGGCCGAGGGAATAGGCGCGAAATTGGGCATTCAAAGCCTGAAGTGAGGCGCAGTTTCACGCATGGACCAATATAGCCCACTAGCCTTGCTTTGCTGTAGTTCTTTTGCCGTTTTGGGCCTCGGAATTCGGAGCTCAGAAGGGGAAAGGGGGCACTACAAATGCGATACATCGTAATAAGTATGGAGAAGGTGGGGACAAATAGTCCGTGTCTACTGTAGTCAAAAGAAGACTATTGAAGCAAAAATTAATGAGGGAAACGAATTTCATTCATGGACTCTCAGTGCCCTTGGATACACCATTCTGGTTGTTTTTTTAGGGTTTTCGTGTCACGAGCATGATCTTCGTAGTCATCATTTCTCTGTCGCATTTGCATGTTCGAGATCTCGTCAAGAGAGTCAGATCGTTCATGACTTGCCAGCATGCGCAGGGATCGTAAGCATATGTTTATGGCCGAATGGGGTCCACCATAGGGTAGTATTGCACAAGCATTGAGAAGAAAATTCTATGAACATTGAAGGGGGTAAATCATGAATGCGGTCCACTCGGGACACGCTAAATGGCAAAAAAAAGAAAAAGGGTTATCTCGAGAGAGTGAACGAAGGGTAAAAAATGGGCCCTGTCTTTGCGAGAATTGAAGGATTGAGTTCTCGGAAAGACCGGGAAAGAAGTGTAGAAAAGAAACCACCCGAAATTGATGGGACGAAAGTGAAAAGGGGGAAAAAAAGAGGAAGAGTCGTCAAGACCATATCCACTTGCGCAATCTACCAGAGATGTCTCCATTGTTCATATTCATACTCGTGGTCAACAACACTAATGTGCGCGGTCGATGCAGCGTTTAGTGGATGAACCACTTAGCACCGCTGACACGGCCCTCGTCCATAGAAGCGAGCTGGCCGAAGAAGTGACGAGACAAGTCAACGGAGGTGTTGTCGCAGCCCATGCACTTGTCAACGACGGTACCAGTGGCGGTCTGACCATTGTAGGTGATGGTCACGGTCTTGCCGCAGTCGCTGTCCTTCATGATACCGACGGGCAGGGCAAGGACGTTCTCGACAGTGCCGTCATTGGTGGTGCCGCAAGAGCTGGGGTTGGTGGAGGTGGTGGCAGTGTCGTAGAAGGTGATCATGCCGTCGCAAGGAGAACCCTCGGAGCAAACGCCAGTGTGACCACCGCTGATGCTGCTGGTGATAGTCTCGATCTGGTTGGTGGTTGCACGGGCGGTGGCAGCTGGTGCAGGAGCGGTCCAGGCCTCGGCGGTAGAGGTGGGAGCAGTGGGAGCAGTGGAGACCTCGGTAGGAGCGGGAGCAGGCGCAGGGGCGACGGAGGAGGTCTCAACTTCGACAACGGGGGCAGGAGCAGAGTAGGCTTCAGCCTCCACAGTGGGGGCAGGAGCGGGAGCAGAGGTCTCGGCCTTCACGGTGGGAGCGGGAGCTGGGGTGGCAGTGGTAGTCGAAGAAGTGGTAGGCGCGGGCTTCTCGGCCTCCTTGGGAGCCTCAACAGTAGGGGCAGGGGCAGCAGTTGTGGTGGCAGCGGCGTGGGCGACGATGGGCACGACGGTGGCAGTGGGAGCGGCCTGAGTGGGATAGATGGTGGTGGTGACATCGACGGTGGTCCAAACGATATCAGTGACGGTCTCCCAAACGACAGCGCGTTTGGCAATGGGAGCCGAGTAGCCAGTCATGGCGAAGAGAGCGCCAGCGAGGGCGAGAGTCTTGGTGATAGGAGCCATTGCGATTGAATCGGAATAGGTTATCGAGGGAGTGTGTGGTTATTCAAAGGATTGAAGGATTGATCGCTGCACAGCAGGAAACAGGAATGTCGGCACTCAAAAGGAGCGTGAGTGCGGAATGAAAGTAGAAAGGAAGGAATGGGACCGTTGAGGCTGGAATAAAGAGAGAAAGGATGAAGGGGAAGGGGATTGATTTTATAAAAACCCGTGGAGGTAAGGCCCCAATGCAGATCCACCTAAACCCACAACCAAACCGGTGGTCTCAAACAAGCCACGATCCAGTACTCCATACGGAGTACAACGCACAGCTTCCTTTTACCCTTTCGGTTTTTCGTTTCGAAAGTACTCCGTACATCTGAGAAAACGTTATCCTAGCCAGGTACCCGAACCGGACGCCCCGGGCGAATCCCATTGGCAAAGCCGAGAGGCACCCTGTGCGCCACGGCCTCTTTTTCTCCCCTAATCTCCTCCGGGGATAGGCCCACGGGTGTTTCAGCCGATCGAGCGAGCCAAGGGTCTGGCAGCTCACATGTTGCCTCTCGTACCTGACAGTCTGGTACCTGAGTGGACCGCGCCACTGGAAGATTCTTGAGGATACCATATCCGCCTTTTCTTACCTCTACTCCCTACGAAGTCCGGAAGTACAGGCTATGAAGCATCTGAATGCCCGTTCTATGATCTCATCTCTCTTCAGTCGTGTTTCAAACGACACACTGCATCCCTTTGTCTGCGGTCGCGAGTCACCAAGGAGGGACTGGTCAGATTACTGCAGTGTGCCTTTTCGCAGTCTGACGTGTGTCGCGACACCATTAAGCGATACGATTGGACAATGCCGGGGACAAAGATTTTCGAGCCAATCCAGCTGCCACCGGTCCTCGTATGGGAGTTGTACTCGTAATTAACTGCTCTCCACTATCAACGGTCTGGACTTGGTCTAAGTTTTCGAGCCATTTTTTAGTGGGAAAATAGTGCCGATCCTGGTCCGGAGTACGGAGTACGGAGATTCTATCAATTTTGCGATCATACCATTGAGGCGCTGGTGTTCTTGGTTTTAGTTCTAGACTTCGCACTGTCAAGGGTCCACTGTCACATACAACATCCAGCTACTCCGTACAAAGTGCCATCGTCGGACTGTATCCACTACCCCTCCCAGCCCTAAGCCCCAGCAGTAAACCCCCGCGCAAAATGGAGGGCACAGGGACTGGATCATGAAATGCGCCAACGCCGGGTGCAAACCCGATATGATCAGGGTTCTGACTGTGTATCTATAACCCCCTGCCCCGTACTCCGTACAAGCCCATGCAGTTATATCTTCGATCGCAAGTACCTCGTACCATTCTAGACCCAACCATCCCCCTCTTCCTGAAGGACCCTGTCGCACCGCCAAATACACGGTACGGAACACAGACTCGGGACTTCGGTTGCCATAGGTCGCCACCCTGGACATTTCTCGTCCAGTCCCCTCCACTCCACCGGACCGAAGATCTCCCCAGATTAGGACGGGGTGACCATGGTTTACTGAGGATGCATTGCCGCATTGGAATTGAGCGAATTGGATGCCGTGGCGGTTGCCATTGAGTACTCCGTGCATACTGTAGATAATGTGGCATGCTATAGGGCTATTCTGGTCATTGTCTTAGAATACGGGGCCTAGATTCGACATATCTCAGATAAACATAGAATGTCAATTTTTAGCTCATTCTCATTATTGGACTCCGTGCTCCGTCGTGTGCCTGGAATGGAGATCTAAGATCTCGATGAAAGAATGCCATCCGTGGACTCGGTTCAGCACAAAGAGCAGAGTTTTTCGTTCGAAATAAACTTTCTTCGAATGGATGATGCAAAGAATGTCCCGGCAATGAAGATTTGACCAAACAGGCTCTTGTGAGGAGTACGCTGTGGCGAAAATGGAGGGCAAAAAGCAAACGATGAGGCATGTGGCTTGTCCGAGAGCCCCCTCGAACCAGCCGAGAATAGTTGACGGCTCTCAGCGGAAGAGTTTGAAAGCCGTTTGAGCTTTCATTGCAGGATCCTGCTTTTCCGGTGGCCAAAGGATTTGTCCCGGTCTGTTGCCTGTCGGTTTAAACTCGTGATCTTAGCCTCCGGTCTTGTTTTTTGACATCGCCGGATTGGGAGATGGGATCCGTTTGGTGCCGGTGGCTGAGAAGGACGACTCTCGGAGAAGTTCGGTTTGCCCTCGGTTTGCCTTCGGTTTACATGGGTTACTTGCAGGATGACCTCGATGGTGGATAGGTTTCGGGTTGGCGGCAACGAATCCAGGATAGACTGTGATAGGAAGGGGGAGACTGAAGTTGGTGACGTTAGGGTTGTCAAACAAGGCATCCGGATACAAGATATACATACACACTTTACAAAGGATGGAATGAAGAACGTAATAAGTATTTTAAGTAAAGATAAGAAAATCCAGAAAAGATCATAAACCCACGCCGAAACACACCGACAAAGAAAAAGGGGGAAAACAGTCCATCAAAATCATCATATGGGTACACGTGAGAAGTCACGATTCAAAGCGTGACCATGCGCAAAACACAAGAAACATCCAAAAACATTAAAGACAACCAAGTCTAACCCTGGCACATGATGCAGGCATCCTTGTTCTCGATGCTGCACTGGAGAGCAGCGTCTGAGTAGATGTCACCCTCAATGGCCTTGCTCTCAGCATCTTCGGGCTGATCCGCTGCACCATCGATCTGAGCCTCGGCAGCGGCAACAGGCGCAACAACAGTGCGCGAGCTCTCCTCAACTGGGGCAATGACCTTGGCGGTAACAACCTCGGCCTCGTTGGTACGGGGAATGGCCGAGTACGCGGAGGCACCAGTACCGACGGTACGCTTCTTGGAGCGAGCAACGTTAGTGTCCTCAACCAAGAGCTGCTCCTGGTCGACGGTGAACTGGATGGGGGCCGAAGCGGCCATGGTACGCAGGTAGTACATGCCGGTCTTGAGACCCATCTTCCAGCCGGCGAAGTGCATGCTGGTGAGCTTGCCCATGGTAGGCTCCTTCAGGTGAATGTTGAGCGACTGCGACTGGTCAATGTAGGCACCACGGTCGGCGGCCATCTGCAGGATGTTGCGCTGAGAAATTTCCCAGACAGTCTTGTACAAAGCCTTGATATCGGCGGGGATATTGGGAATGTTTTGAACAGAGCCACCGTCAGCGATGATGCGGTTCTTCATGTTGTCGGACCACAGGCCGAGATCGACCAGGTCCTTCAGGAGCCAGGGGTTGACAACCTGGAACTCACCGGCCAGGACACGGCGGGAGTAAATGTTGGAGGTGTAGGGCTCGAAGCACTCGTTGAAGCCCAGGATCTGACTAGTACTGGCAGTGGGCATGGGGGCGACCAGCAGACTGTTGCGGACACCAGTCTCGGCGATCTTGGCCTTCAGAGAAGCCCAGTCCCAGAGGTCAGTGGGGGTGCGGTCCCACATATCGTACTGGAGGATACCCTGCGAGACGGGAGAACCGGGGTAGGTCTCGTATGTACCAAGCTTCTTGGCAATTTCGGCGGAAGCAGTCAAGGCACCGTGGTAGATAGTCTCGAAAATCTGGATGTTGAGCTGTCTAGCCTCAGGAGAGTCGAAAGGCAGACGCAGAGCCAAGAAAGCATCAGCAAGACCGTTGACACCCAGGGCAATGGGGCGGTGACGGAAGTTGCTCTTCTTCGCCTCGGGGACGGGGTAGTAGTTGATGTCGATGATCTTGTTCAGGTTGTGAACGAGGACCTGCACAACCTCGTGGAGCTTGCCAAAGTCATACTCGCCGCGGGCGGAATCGACGAAGGTGGGAAGGGCAAGGGAAGCCAAGTTGCAGACGGCCACCTCATCAGGGGCACTGTACTCGATGATCTCGGTGCACAGGTTGGAGCTGCGAATGGTACCCAGGTTCTTCTGGTTGCTCTTCTTGTTGCAAGCGTCCTTGTAGAGCATGAAGGGGTTACCGGTCTCGGTCTGGGCCTCAAGGATAGCATACCAGAGCTTCTGGGCCTTGATTGTCTTACGGCCACGGCCCTCCTGCTCGTACTTCTCGTAGAGAGCCTCGAACTCGTCACCGTAGACATCAGCGAGGCCGGGAGCCTCGTTGGGGCAGAAGAGAGTCCAGTCACCGTTGGCCTCGACACGCTTCATGAAGAGATCGGGAGTCCACAAAGCGTAGAAAAGGTCACGGGCACGAACCTCCTCCTTACCGTGGTTCTTGCGAAGATCGAGGAACTCGAACACATCAGCGTGCCACGGCTCCAAGTAAATGGCAAAGGCACCAGGGCGCTTGTTACCACCCTGGTCGACATAGCGAGCGGTGTTGTTGAACACACGGAGCATAGGGACGATGCCATTGGAGGAACCATTGGTTCCGCTGATGTAAGAGCCGGTAGCACGAATGCGGTGGACGTTCAAACCGATACCACCAGCAGTCTTGGAGATCATGGCACAGGTCTTGAGGGTGTCGTAGATACCCTCAATGCTGTCTGCAGTCACATCGACCAGGAAGCAAGATGCAAGCTGGGGTTGAGGGGTGGCAGCATTGAATAGAGTTGGGGAGGCGTGAGTGAAGTACTTCTGAGACATCAAGTGGTATGTCTCGATAGCCTTCTCAATGTCCTCACCGTGAATTCCGACAGCAACACGCATCAGCAAGTGCTGGGGACGCTCAGCAACGTTGCCGTTAATTCGGAGAAGGTATGAACGCTCGAGGGTCTTGAATCCGAAGAAGTTGTAGTTGAAGTCACGGTCGTACACAATAGCGGAGTTGAGCTCCTCGGCGTGCTTCATGACAATCTCGTAGTGTTCCTTTGAGATCATGGGAGCAGGCTTGTTGTTCTTCGGGTTCACATAGTGGTAAAGATCCGAGATAACCATGGAGAACTGCTTTTTTGTTTGCTTGTGAAGGTTGGAGACGGCGATACGTGCGGCCAAAATGGCGTAGTCGGGGTGTGTAACGGTCATGTATGCAGCAGTCTCGGCAGCCTGAAGTTCAATTATTAGCATTGGTCCGAAAGCGGATCCCAAGCGAGCCAACTGACCAAGTTATCCAGCTCAATGGTGCCAACACCCTGGTAGACACCAGAGATGACCTTCTGGGTGATGGCTGCGGCATCAATGTGCTCGGGGTCAAGGCCATAACAGAGCCTCGAGACACGTGCTGTAATCTTATCGAATTGCACGCGTTCTTTGCGTCCATCTGCATTTTATATCCATGTTAGTTCTAGCTCTTCACGCGTGTGGCAAGCTGGGTGGGTGTGGCAAGATGCAGATAGCAAAAGCTATCTCTCGCCACCAATCCTCCCCGCCGAATATCAGACAATTGTGTATGCACTTACCTCTCTTGTAGACGAACATTTTGGATAGTGGCGGTGTGGGAGTAGGGGCTGAAAAGAATAGAACAAGGTGAATGGGGTATCAAGATCAAGAGAGTAAGAGTATTGAAATGGTATTATAGTATTGAGAAAGGGTGAGAAGATGGATGTATGAAGCCCGTGGAGGGGTGTGAGAAGAAGAAGAGACCAGAGGGGCAGAGGAATCTTTGGTTGCCGAGTGGACGCGTTGTCTTTTCGCGTGCCCGCGTTTTTTCAGCTTACCAACAAGACCGACCGGCTCCACTCTAATTCTTCCAATCCTCTATCCTGCCAGGCAGAAAACATCAATTTATGCCACATCCAGTTAGCGCCTAGTGTTTAACGATCTTAGCGTGGGTTGACTAGCGGGGATAGAGAAGGCGGTGTGAGTCAGAGACAGGCGGTGAGTCCAGGCCTTACAGGGTAATTGCAGGTCGCGAGTGGTCACGTGAGTACGCGATAGTTGCCCTTGGTCTCGGAAGGGCTGTCGCCGAACGGCCTGAAGCATTCCGAGCTCAGATGATTTTTAAATGATATTGTTGAGTCAATCTTAGACAACTGGATGTTTACGCCTCTTTGACTCAACAAAATATTCAACCCCTGCTCGCTTGGTCGTAACCCTTACAGCGTTCTGCATCTATGGGATAGATCTACATATGATCTTCCAACCAAGGGGCCCGTAGGGCCTTACGAGCGTTCATACTCTCGTAGAGGATAGTACAAATAGTCGGCATTTGGCATATTTGGGATATTATACGAAGTAACAGGCCTTTCTTTGCATCCTTCTGAATCTCCACATGAACTAGTAGGTAGCAACTGAGGCGGGTATAGGGGCTTTCAAGACTGTTCTATGGGAGATTGCAAGGCACATAAATCAATGCGATTTTGGCAAATAAGAAGATAAAAGCTCAAGGGACTCGAAGATCGATAAGATACGAGCAAAACATATTAGACACTTCAAACCAGATCCCTGAACAAGGATGATTCAAATCAGTTCGAAAGCAGCGACATCGAGGATAGTAAACTATGCTCGGAGCGATAATCGCAGTTGGGTGCTTTCAGCTGATGTTAAGTTCTCACAGCAAAGCAGCAGCGCCGATGAAGAACGCGGCAACAAATGTAGTCGCGGAGAATTGGCGGTCGGACGAAGCAGCGTTGAAGGTTGAGGTGGGGGAAGAGGCAGCACCAGACGTAGAGCTGCCAGTGCTGGAGCCAGCGCTACCAGAAGCAGAGCTGGAAGTGCCGGTGGCGCTAGCAGATGAGCCAGTAGCAGTAGAGGAGCCAGAGGAGACCGCGGTGACGAAGCCAGTGGCAGTAGAGCTGCCAGAAGTGCCGGTAGCGGTAGCGGTAGCAGTACCAGTAGCAGTACCAGTAGCGGCGGTGGTAGTAGAGGCCGCTAGAAATGGTTAGTGATCGACTCAGTGATGTAACGTGCTTTCGGGTAATATGTGCCAATCCTTACCAACTTTGTGGCCGAGCTGGGCGCAGTTGCTAGCGAAGAACTTCAGGGAGGCATCGCTATTGGGGCAGCTCTTGGAGATTTCGGACTGGATCTTGCTGGCGCTAGAACCACAGATAGTCTTGGAATCGGCCGGGTTGGGCTGATCGCTATAAATCATCAAACATCAGTTCTAGACTCCACATGGGCCCCCATTCCATTCCTTCCATTCTTCCACACCTACCCAATGATCTTGAGAACACAGGCCGGAGTTTGGGTAGTCGCAGTCACGACGTTAGCCAAAGCCAAGATGGCAACGGCGAAGATGGATTTGTTGAAGAGCATGATGAAGGATTGGAAGTGATTGGGTTGGTAAAGGATTGGATGCAAGATCGCACAGCGAGTCGAGACGAGTTAAAAAGAGTGTGGAGCTAAAGAGCGACTGGATTGAGAGAGTGGACGAAAAGTGAAAGACAAAGAGTGACGAAGTGGAAGGAAGATCAGGTCTTGACCAGAAGGAACGGGGGGAAATCGGGCAACTGCAGTTTCGTCGCAATCTGGAAGCCGCGATGAGGGTCGGTAATCTTACATTAAGGACCCTTGCTGGAAAGTACTCCAATACGGCGTGCTTCATATAAAGTGTACTTTACAGTACCCGTTATTTACATACACATTGTATTTTCTTCCCCATGACTTGTTGCACTTGACGCCTAAAGAGGACTAGCGTCAGGGACTCGGCCCCAGGTACAGGAGAAGCGTCGGTTCCTCTGAATGTACATGTTATGTCGTACATGAGACAGTCAATTGTCCTACACAACAATCTAAAATGATCATCTTCATCTCAGGGGTAGTATTCAAAAGGATTTTAGGTGAGACAACTCATTATCCCCCATTACTTTGGAGTGTCTTAGTGGCTGATCCAGATGAGGATTAGGGGACTCAGGCTCTATTAATAACTTCGGCTTCCTTCAAGTCAAGGGACGTAGGACAGTAATTAAACACAATACCAGATAGACATATCCATCAACCTACCAGCATTACTGCCCCACCAGGTGGCGATCTCTACAACTATTACAGTCCAGCCCTAGAGGGAAGGAGGTTCATATCTTACTCATGTGTTGTACGGGGATACTATTCCCGTGTAATGCGCCGAGAGGATTTAGAAAGTCAACATATTTCCGGAACACTCATATCAGCATAATATTCACAGGTCTGTGTACATCATGACGACTTTATATCAACATAAACATGGCATTCAAACGTCCCAAAGTTGCCCACCTGGGCAGGTGGAAGCTCCAGCTCATCCATCAGTCATCAATTATTCGTGCCGAGGTCATGACTTCTCCCAAACGGGATCAAAAATACTAAAAACAACCTCTTGCACCGGCAGTCTCTCGTCCACAATCTCCCTCCCATTAACCAGATCGTTCTCTCTGGCCCTCTTGTCCGCTTCGTGCTCATCCTTAGCGATGCCAGCCCTAACATGCCTCGAAATCAACCTCTTCCTCGCAACCTCAAAATCAACTTCCACAAACCAAAGTTCATCCATCAATGCAGCCGCCGTATTCCACGGCTCCCGATTCAAGCTAAGATAATTCCCTTCGAAAAACAGGACCCGACAGTCGGCCGGAATGGCAATATCCCCATCAACGGGGTCCTTAATAGCATGGTCAAAGCTGGGGGCGTAGAGATTGCCTGTATGTTTTGTCACCGGCTGTCGCAGAGCCTGCACGAGCGAAAGAAACTTCTCTCCATCAAAAGTGAATGCAGCACCTCGTCGTGCGGCCGCATATACAGGGTCTGGCATGGCAGCCAGCTGTGCGCGAGTCAGATGGTACCCGTCCATTGGGAGGGCGCTGGCTATCGAAGTTGGCAGAGTTGGGTTCTCGGATGCATAGATCTTATTAATCCGTGATGCCATCATTGTTGCCAGACCAGTCTTTCCGGAACCTGGTATGCCGCTGATAGCGATCATCAGGCGCGCATTGTCTGGGATTGAGCAGAATTTTGCTGGGGTGGTTTGTTAGCGTTTTGGACGTAGCGAGCGTAGTTCTGACGAATCTTCATAGGTTTGGAAAGAACAGAAGCCATGTTTCAAGCTTATGCTTGTTTTCCTGGTTTAGAGTTATGTAGATCGGGCTGTTTCACTTACCCCAGGTCTTGTTGACAAGGTGATCTACCTGTTGATCCATGGTTGTTGAAATGTGGACAAGATCACGCTGCAATCAAGCGTACAGGATACTGATCGGGGTTATCCTTGGAGGAGAACAGAGCAGTCTCTCGTCCCTAGGTGGGCTCAAAGTATCTTCCTGTGGTGGTTGCGCAAGGACTTGTGATACAAAGCGCTTGGGTATTGCAGATCGAGGTGGTTGCAGTACGCAGTCAATTTGGGAGACTGCAGTTTGCGGAGACCTTTTACGGTTCTGGCCGTTGGTTACCGGTGTTTCTGAGTTGTTGGACTATGCGAGCTACCCAGGTACTTCCAGTTCCCAGATAGCGTATTGGCGGGGCTCTGCATGACTGAGTCGAGTGGGGACTGGTGTACTCCGATACGTCACCGAACCGGCCAGTTGGTTGTTGCGGAACAGGCACAGCCAAAAGTTGGCATAGCATTTCTTATATTCCTATCTGGATGGGGAAGATGATGCGCAAACTATACATCCAAGGGTTTGGAGGAAAAGCTCAGAAAAATATTCCTTGGGGAGGTCACCGTTGACGCCTATTTGTACAATGATATTAAACGATAATTAGGAACAAGTAAATCTGACAAAATATGGATACAAGAATGTTAAATCATTCGCCGAGACAGCCTCGAAGAATCTCCTAACGCCATAACAAAGGGCACGAGTTTTGCAACCAGTGCAATATCTGAATCACACCCATTCCGAAAAAAACCTAGTAAAAAACCTGAAACGCCACGCCAATGTCGCCAATGCCAAACCCTGTATCATTCAATAACAGGAGCGAAGCTCAATTATCGGGGCGGTTTGTTCGAGAAGGTCCTTCGGTATCTGTGGAGTCCATGCTAGCATTGAGACTAGGGTCAAGAGTACGCGCGAGACCAACTGCCGCCCACCAGTCATCGGTAATATCCCGACGGCGGGCAAGTCGATCGATCATGACCTGCCAGCGCTGGAGATCCGCTCCGTCTTGATGGTGGTCGGATAGAGACACTGCGAATGCAGGGACAGGAGGATGATTACTGAAAGTTGAAGGTTGACTGTGGAAACGTCGATTTGAAGAAGGTATGCTTGGGCCCCGTCGCATGAGCTCGTTGTAACTGAAAGGTGCTTCTTCGTCATCGGAGGAATCGAAATCACAAGGGTTGACATTGTCCGGGTACGGATCAAGACCAAAATGAGCGCGAGCAACACCCATGGCCACTGGCATGCCATGGGGTAGGTTGATAGCGCTCCGAGAGAGAACAGTGCGGGATACATCGGGAGCAGAAGAGTTCGAGGTGAAAGATGCGTCAGTCGAAGGCAGAGTTGCGTCAGGAGTGATTGTCGCTAGCAGTGTCTCCCATGAATCACTTTCACGATCTCCGTCAGGGCTAGGACTACGCAAGCGATCCCCAAGCCCATCAATCAGCGAATCCCGGCTTGGTCGAGTTTGTGTGTTGCTAGACCGAGCATCACGTATCTCCGGCGGAAAGAACGCATTAGCGGGAGGCTGAGGATGGAGCTCACTGTCGTTCATAGGAGCGAGGATCTGAGTGTGAATATCTCTGCCACGCATGGGTGGAAGACGAACGCCGCTATCCGAAGGGGTTGTAGTATTGATGGCGTAATTGAAGGCCGGAGCGAAATTCGGTGTAAGAGAGGGACTACCATGAACAATTCGGGCCTGGCCGTCCATACGACTGAGCAGGTTAGCCAAGGCAGGATCACGAGAGCTTCTGTTGCGCCGGCTGCCTGTCTCTGCCTGTCGGGGTACACTCGCGCGTGGATTGGCCCGGTTGAGGGCCTCCCGCTCGGCCTGCTCCAGAGTCACTGAATCTATTCCGGTTTCACTGGATCCATTGGGGGGAATGAAAGAGAAACGTGGCACACGTCGAGGTTCGCCAGCGTCACGTCGGAGTTCATCAATGATTTGTGAATGAAACGAAGATAGGATACCGGAGCGGCGCGCGCGGGAGCTAGTGTGGCGCGAGGATGGTCCACGGCGAATGGGCGAGCGTGCAGCAGCAGAGATATCCTTTTCCAAAGCAGACCTGGATGCCTCGGCCTTGGAAGGCTCACGCCACATCCTGTATAGAAGTCAGCATTATACTTTGAGACATGCGACATTATGCGCGCTAATATAAGAGAGCAATGATTTACGGGATACCCATTTCGCTTTATGCGCGAGGCAGAATGAAGAAAAAAAAATCGATGAAAATAAAAGAGGGACAAGTAACAGCTCAAAAAAAAAGACGATGATGAAACAAGGAGACGCGACTTGCGATAAAGGTGGGGATGGGTAATGGAGACGGGGGTGATTGGGGGTTTTTTTGGCAAAGTTGGAGGCCTGAGGCTGGGGCGCCTCGAACATCACGTGGATCCGGTTCTCCGCCACACAGTAAGCTCCGACCTTGGGGTTCAAAGGTAAACGACATTAGCCAACAGTAATTTTGTCTTTGTCTTGATTCTTGACAATGATACCTTAAAGTTTTGGTACCGCCTGTCATTATTTGATATTGCCCTCCTGACAATGTCAATTGACCTCAAGATTCTCATTACGCTACACCCGGAGGAATGATTGAACTTGGATTGAGTCGAGTCGCGAGCCTGCTCCAGCAGACTACGCTCTCATGGAAGGCCATTCATATTGCCGGGACCAATGGTAAAGGTTCTATCAGCGCCTACCTTTCGCATTTGTTGTCCACTGGCGGAGTGCGTTGCGGCCGCTTCACTTCCCCGCATCTGATTGATCGGTGGGACTGCATTACAATTGGCGAGAAAGTCGTTCAGGAATCTCTGTTCCGCCAAATTGAAGACCAGGTCAAACTACGAAACCAAACCCTGGGTATCGGTGCCTCCGAATTCGAGTTGTTGACCGCTACGGCATTCGAGATATTCAACCATGAACAGGTTGAAGTCGGTGTGGTTGAAGTGGGCATGGGAGGCCGCCTAGATGCCACGAACATTCTGGACAATGTTCTTGTCTCGGTCATTACAAAGATAGGAATGGACCACCAAGCTTTCCTTGGATCAACAATCGGGGAGATTGCTCGTGAAAAGGCAGGCATCCTCAAGCCTGGAGTCCCCTGTGTGGTAGACAATACAAACTGTCAGGAGGTGATTGAAACTGTGAAAGGTCGTATCCAAGAACTGGGTATTGATGCCTCTTTTGTGTCACCCGCACGGGTCTCTGAACAAATTCCGGCACTTGCCCCTTACTTCAAGGATCTTGATCTAGAGCCTCACCAGCAAGAGAACATGTGCTGCGCAGTATCTGCCCTTCGTCTTGCTCTTTCTCAAGTCCGGCCTCAAATGGATGCTTTCTCATTGCTCCCATATTTGGCTTATGTAAAGTGGCCTGGCCGTTTGCAAAAGATCGTTCTTCAGCCTTTGATTGGTCGTGCAGAGCCGATTCTGCTTGATGGTGCTCACAATGCACAATCTGCTGAGGTCCTGGGAAAGTATGTGGATCGCAAGATGCGTACTCGACACGACCCGGTGACTTGGGTTGTTGCCGCATCAAGTGGAAAGGACCTTGCTGGAGTCTTTGGCTCCATTATCCGCCCTGGGGATCACATTGCCACTGCTGAGTTTGGTCCAGTAGATGGAATGCCATGGGTGCAGCCAACTAAAGCCAAAGAGCTCGCTTCCTCTATTCAAGCTATTCAAGGCATTGGGCAAGTCCAAAGCTTTGAAGGCGATTTACTCCCTGCTCTCCAGTGGGCCAGTGAGAAGGCTCACGGGGGTCCTCTTGTCATTGCTGGTAGCTTATACCTTGTTTCCGATGTCCTACGCCTCCTTCGTTCCGAGAAATGATACCCTATCTAGATCGGTTCGATCTACCTGATCTATATTGCTTGTAAATAATAGAACGCCGAATGCCAACAACAAAATATCGTTGCTAGTTCAACAGCTTATTGTCACAAATAATTTACGAGTCTAACTGTAATCATACGGTTTAATCTAAGTTAATAAAGAAGAGTATCCCAGTCTTACAAGGCTAGTACTCCGTACTGTAGGGCTGATCGGCGATTGTCCAGCACAGCCTGCATGATGCGGCGGGTGGAGCACGAAAGTTCAAAACAACCACGATTTCTTTGCGGTCCACCCCCTTCGCTCTGTATCGTAGCCTATCCTGGAGTGAACTTCATCAGAATTTTGCATGGTCTTTGCATCCATCTGAAATTTTTACATGCGCCCCGAGTTGTCGTGGAAACAGCTCTCTAGGGCGTGAGAGCTGAAGTGCTGTAATGTCCGCTTGGTGAGCCTGTGCCCCCAACGTTTACATGCGATCGATCATCCGTGATGCCTGCTTGTACCTTGAGAATCTCGGACTAATTGACAATTCGGATTGCTAGACCCTATGGACATGACCTCTAAGACCGTTGCCATCAGCTCTTGCCTCCTTCCTCGGCTTCCACCCCACGCTCCTGTGCCTGAAACCACATTCTGAGACCGGCAGCCCGCTCACCGACGTACCGGGATACATTCGATCACATTTCGCGCTGCAATATGGTCGCTAGGTCTGGCGAAGGGAGCGAGGGACAGCCTCGTCCTCTCACCCCCTCCTCGAGAACCCCAGGGACACCGATAAAGCCGCGATTGGCACGAGTCGGAACGAGCCCAACGAAGCGAGAAGAGAAACCGAAGGATGATAAAGTGTTGAAATCGTCGGCAAAAGATGTCGCAGAGCTCAAAGACTATGTATGGATGTGATGCCCTTGCTTCCCCGCAAAACATGTATTGGGCAGATGCTGACCCTGATAGCAATTGGGTGACTGCCTAGGTAAAGGAGCTTTCGGCTCTGTGTATCGAGCGCTGAATTGGAATACCGGGGAGACAGTCGCAGTCAAGCAAATCAAGTTGACGGATCTTCCCAAGAGTGAACTGCGCGTTATCATGGTATGATATCCAAATATGCTCTGTCATCTGACGTTGCTAACTGGCAATGAATAGCTTGAAATTGATCTTTTGAAAAACCTCGATGTGAGACATCCTATCAAAACATATGAAGAAACTCCATATTAATCTAGACCCTCGCAGCACCCCAACATTGTCAAATACCATGGATTCGTGAAATCTGCTGAAACTCTGAATATTATTCTAGAGTATGTTTTCCGAGCTCAGGATTAATGGAAAATATCATTGACAATTCATAGATATTGTGAAAATGGTTCATTGCATTCCATCGCAAAGAACTTTGGTCGTTTCCCTGAGAACCTTGTGGGCCTATATATGTCCCAAGTTCTTCATGGCTTGCTTTATTTGCATGAACAAGGTGTTATTCACCGGGATATCAAAGGTGCAAACATTCTGACTACAAAGGAAGGACTGGTCAAGCTTGCAGATTTCGGTGTGGCGAGTCGGACTACGGGTTTGAGTGAATCAAGCGTGGTTGGTACGCCATATTGGATGGCCCCCGAAGTGATTGAGCTTTCAGGCGCAACAACTGCTTCGGATATATGGAGTTTAGGATGCACTGTCATCGAACTCCTCGAGGGGAAACCCCCTTATCACAATATGCAGCCCATGCCAGCCCTGTTCCGTATCGTAAATGATGACCATCCTCCATTTTCGCAGGGTGCCTCACCGGTAAGATCTCATCAAATGTTCAGACGGACATATACACTACTAACTTTATCAAGGCTGTGAAAGATTTCCTCATGCAATGTTTCCAGAAAGATCCTAACCTTCGAGTTTCGGCAAGGAAATTACTCAAACATCCTTGGATTCTCAATGCTCGCAGAACTGAGTCTGTAATCCCAAAGAAGTCCACAGAATACGAAGAAGCCGTCAAGAGTGTTCAAGAATGGAACGAGGCTTTGCGGTCCCCCGAAACCGGAACCTCAAAGAAGAAGCAGAGACCAGATCACCCCAGTACTACAGGCCTGCCATCTACTCGACATAACTCGTTGGTCGACACCCTACCATCGCCAACTTCAATCAAATCTACGGATCGCTTCCGCTCACCCGTGTCAGCAGGCGATGACAATTGGGATGATGACTTTGCCACTGCAATCTCTCCTAGCGCACTGAAACTGCCGCACCTACGTCCGCATGATAACTTTGGAGGCATGCTGTCTTCTGAGAGACTCAAGGCTTTTGCCTCACTTGATGGAACCATACTCAGACCAGATGACAATTCTGATGGCTTTGATGAATCCTCGGGATTCTCGGACGAAGATACCCTGCAGACAATTCGACCGTACCCCACCAAACCTTCTCTAGCAGAGCCTTCCAAGTCTCAAAGCCCTGCGCTCTCACAGCCCGGTTCCAATGTGCCAGTGTCTGCACTACAAAATGTCCCGATTCTCACTCAAAATCCCATGCCGAGACGGGCTCGTCCGGCTCGTCCGACAAACCTTTACAAAGAGAATTCTGTGGATGACTATTCTGACCTCATCATGGCCAACGAAGATGTACTAGATCGAAAGCTAGGAGGCTATCAGGTAAGAAAACCAGGACATTTCGCACATTCGTCATAACCCTAACCATTTTCAGGACTTTGGAGATGATCCATCTTCGCCCATTCATGAGAACATAGGATACAATCAATTAGCTGACGAGCTTGGTGGCGCGCATCCGCAGCTGCGCAAGCAGCTTTCTGTGAAGCGAGATCGCTCTAGCATCGAGATCCACAGGTTTGCAGAGAATGAAACGGACGAGGACTTCTCCGATATTCTCGGGGCCGATCAAGCTGCTCTTGATAAAGCGGAGAGCGATGATGGCTCTGACCAAAGTACATTGATGCTGAACTCAAAGCTCTCCAACTCCTGGCTGGGAGATCAAGAGGATGAGGATGACCCCTTTGCCCAATTGGAAGAAGGGTTTGATGAAGTTGATCTTGAGGAAAATATTGCCCGCGACAAATACGCACGTCTTCGCAATCAAGTTGAGGGTCTTGTGGACTCGCTCAAGACATCTCAGGACGAAGAAGTTCTGGCAGAGATTTCTGAACAACTGTTCACAATCTTTTGTGATCTCCCAGAGACTAAGAACATCATCATCAGCGCCCATGGCATGTTACCGATTCTCGAGATTCTAGACACTACTCGCCGGCGTGATATTGTTTTCTGTCTATTGAGAGTTGTCAACGCAATCATCTATGATGATTATGAGATTCAGGAAAACCTTTGCTTCGTCGGCGGAATTCCTATTATCAATGAGTTTGCCTCTAAGAAATACCCACGCGAAATTCGCCTTGAGGCTGCAGCTTTCGTGCAGCAGATGTACCAGACTTCGACACTTACTCTCCAGATGTTTGTCAGTGCTGGAGGCTTGAATGTTCTGGTCGAGTTCCTCGAGGATGATTATGAAGATGAACGTGAACTGGTTCTGATTGGCGTTAACGGAATCTGGAGTGTCTTTGAGTTGCAAGTGAGTATTCCGTCTTCAATTGCGTTTCGCATCTACTCGAAGCTAACGCTCTTCTAGGGTTCCACTCCTAAGAACGATTTCTGTAGAATTCTGTCCCGCAACTCTGTCCTTGACCCCTTATCTCTAGTATTAAGTCGTGCTCTCGATGAAGATGGGGAATTGACAGAAGTTATTGAGGGCCGCATTGCAAATATCTTCTTTATATTCTCGCAGGCCGAGAACCATGTTAAGGAGATGGTGTCTGAAAGAACAGTTCTTCACAGTAAGCGCTATATCTAACAGGGATTTTCGCCACACCCTTGGCTAACAACTGGCTTTAGGAGTCTTGAAAGAGCTCAGACGAATGAGCCCTGTCCACCAAATCACGATGTTGAAATTCATCAAGAATCTTTCCATGCTTTCAACTACTTTGGATTCACTTCAAAATTCTAACGCCATCGATGTCTTGACCGACCTGCTTCGATCAAACCTAAGGCAAGCACACTTCCGCGAGCTCTCCAATCAGATTCTCAACACTATCTACAACATGTGCCGCTTGAATAAGTCTCGACAGGAAGATGCCGCACTCAATGGTATTGTGCCACTTTTACAAAAGATTGTTCTCACGGAACGACCTTTGAAAGAGTTTGCCCTGCCAATCCTTTGCGACATGGCACAGTCTGGAAAGGTCGGCCGTAGAGAACTGTGGCGCAACAAGGGCCTCGGCTTTTACATCTCTTTGCTTCTGGATCCATATTGGCAAGTTACTGCTTTGGATGCTATCTTCACATGGTTTGTCTCACTTTCTACACGCGTAATCAGCCCCAAACTAACGACGAACAACTAGGCTTCAAGAAGAAACCGCCAAGGTTGAAGAGCATCTCTTAGAAGGTATCTTTGAGAGTGATACGTTCGAGGGTCCTGTTACGTTCACTAGTGCCATAGCGGAATGTTTGAAACTTTCCAAAGCTAATGCATTCGAGAACACCCTCGAGCCTCTGCAAAAGCTTCTCCGGCTCAGTCCCCATGTCGCATCCACCTTTGCACGGCCCGATATTTTCCAGAGACTTAGGCAAAAGCTGCACCACACCAAAGCCGCTGTCCGGCTCAATCTTCTGCGCATAATTGCCAGCATCTGTGACTCGAATGAAGAGCAAGGCGGACTGCTCGCAACCTACGGCCTCCTAGATGCTATTCGAAACATGGAAAACGACCCTGCAATCCTTGTCAGAGATATGGCAGGGAAGCTGGTGCGATCCAGCGAGGCATATGGAGCCAGCAAACGGAGACCAACAGGTCGACGACAAAGCACATGTACCACCCCACCAGTCCTGTTCGCTGCATCATCCACCCCTTCTACACCCTCATCAAACCGTACTGGCCAGTCAAGGGGGTACCTGGAAGGTCGGGAGACTCCTCGGCACCCGCGGAATTCTCTTAGTGTCTCTTCTCTGGTTATGAGACCTGGCAGTCGGGATGGCAACAACCCAGTTCTTGGTTCTGGGTCGAATGGAAGCAGTGCGGCTGTTGCCAGGCCCAGATCTGCACGACCCCTCTCTAGTAGAATGAGCCACGTGGAACTGCTACGCGAGGAAGAAAATAAGACCCCCTCGTTGAGTCGACGGCCTTCAATCATCCCTCGCCGCCGCCGCCCAACACTTGTAGACTCTGAATGGACGTGACCTGACGTCTAGCCGTGTTTAATGCAAAATCACATATGCTTAGGTCATTGTCTTTCCAGTTCTCTCTTTTGCTCCAGTCCTGTTTTATACATAGGCAAGGCGTTGTCAATTCCAAATGGAATTTGGAGTGGTGGTTTCAAGGTTTGTGGTTTTACTTCAGTGCAAAAACCATATGCTGTTATGTGAGCACTGGCTGCTGCATAGAGTCTACATATATGTAGTTTTTTTTTTGTTTGGATCGAACATGACCCCTTGTGATCTTCGTGAACACCTTCTGATGTAATATCCATGAACCATTCCTGGTACTTTGTAGGCTGTAAGATAATACCCCAAGGCCATTTGTATTTGCTGACGACTCTATGAGACTGCTCCCCTGGAGTTATAAGGCAAAGCCACATTTGGGCTACCACAGACCACAGTTCTTTGTTCCTATATTTCGCTGTCGAATCTACTAATCAACCCCCAAACCTGCTTCCACTGGAATCTAGTCTCCATATATGACGTCTGTTATGGGCTGATCTATATATCCCAGATCACGTGCGGTGCCGAAGCCGATTGGCGGCGAGAACCGCAAAAAATCTCACTGAGAATCATACGATCAATTGAGAGACGCTTGCAGGCACTCTCAGTCCTTTCCTTTTTTCCTTTCCCCTTTTTTTTGGCCGGTGGCCTTTGCCTCGGAATGAGCGCAGCGTTTCGCGTTCCGTGGCGGGCATTCAAGATTGATCCCGCCACAGTGATTGGGAAACCCTCCAAAGCCTCGATATCTGGATCCTCGTTTCTTCTGGCCTCAAACTCGCCTCTACAACCGTCATCTTCTCCAGGAGCAATCAATCTATCGTCATGGAGTCATGCACAGTCCTCCCAGGGCTTGACCCTCGCCACTCGTCGCTGTTTCTCCATGAGGGCTTCTCCTCTCTTGTCTGCGGAGACTGAGAGCCAACCCAAGTTCGGAAAGAAATCGAATTCGAATGGAGCGCAGCGGAGCGCTCTCAAATGGTTTATTATCGGAAGTGTCCTTGGTTTAGGCTCAGTGACGTTCTCCGACCAGTTGCAACATGCTTACGAGGCGGCGAAGAGAAGTGGTCGAGTTGCTGGCGCATTGGCTGTTTGTATCAATGAGTAAGTGGACTGCAATGGCATTGAGCTCTCTGCTATGTTGTCAATTGAAAATCTCGCTAAAGTGGTTATGAATCTTCACAGTTACCGTGTTACCCTGAAACAAGACGCCTCGACCCCCGAAGAATACGATACCCTCATTCGCGCCTGCCACAAGCGTTGCGCCGAGCGTACCCTCCGTGTATTGGAAAAGAATGGATCGGTTTTCATCAAGTTGGGTCAGCATCTGAGTAGCATGGGCTACCTGCTCCCTATCGAATGGACCACGACCTTCATTCCGCTCCAGGACAGATGCCCCGTCTCGTCAATTGAATCGATCGCCGAACTGTTCCGCAAGGATACAGGCCAGGATATGAACGAACTGTTTTCCTCTTTCGAACCTATACCCATCGGTGCTGCATCGCTCGCCCAGGTACACATCGCCACTCTGAAGGAAACCGGACAGAAAGTCGCAGTCAAGGTCCAGCATCCCGCGCTGGACGAATGGGTGCCGTTGGATCTTGCCCTAACCCGATTCACGTTCTCAATGCTCAAGCGCTTCTTCCCGGACTATGATTTGGAGTGGTTGTCCAAGGAGATGGATTTATCGCTGCCGCAAGAGTTGGACTTCCGCATGGAGGCCCAGAATGCCACCCATGCTAGCGAATACTTCAAGAAGCACTCCGATGCCCCTCTAGTTATCCCCGGAGGTGCGTTATTTCGCCCATCAGGTTCCTTTTTTTATCCCATCAAAGCTAACCTATCCTAGTGATGTGGTCCCAAAAGCGCATTCTTGTCATGGAATTTATTGCCGGCCGCCGCCCTGACGACCTCGAGTTCCTCGACGCCAACAACATCGACCGCGACGAAGTCTCCGCTGCCCTCGCGCACATCTTCAACGAAATGATCTTTGGCGACAACGCCCCGCTCCACTGCGATCCCCACGGCGGCAACATCGCCATCCGCCCGAACCACACCCGCTCGCACCCCAACTTCGACATCGTTCTCTACGACCACGGACTATACCGCAACATTGACCGCGAACTGCGCCGCAACTACGCCAAGTTGTGGCTAGCCGTTATCGACGCGGACGTGCCACGGATGCGCGAGTACGCATACAAGGTCGCAAACGTCACAGACGAGTACTTCCCGCTCTTTGCCAGTGCAATCACCGGTCGAGATTTCAGCGTGCTGAAACAGAAGAACGTCGTTTCTTTGCGCACCGCCGAAGAGAAAAAAGAGATTTCGGGTGCTCTGGGTGAAGGCATGCTGCAGCAGCTGGTTGTTTTGCTAGGCCGAGTTCCACGAATCATCCTTCTGATTCTGAAGACGAATGACCTGAGTATGTATTCCCAGACTCGCCTATTTATCCTCTGGTATCACCAACTAACACCCTCCCAGCCCGCAGCTTAGACGAAAACCTACACACTCGCCAGGGTCCCATGCGCTCGTTCCTTATCCTCGCCCGATACGCCACACGCACCGTCTTCGAAGAACAACTGGAATTCATCAACGAGACTGGCGGTGTTTTCCGCAACTTCTTCCGTTACTTGTGTGCATACGGAAGCTACCTCCGCGTCGAGATCAAGTTGTCTGTCTATGAATCCTTGCTGTCTTTGAAGTCTCGTTTCGGTCTCCGAAGCGTGTAATGACACTATGTTTCTGTGACTGGCTTGCCCTCGGCATGGTCTTTTATATCGTTTTCCCCCATTATATCCCTTGGTTTTGTTTTATGGGCACGGATTGTCTAGAATGGTCTGTCTGTGCATCAGCGATGGCGTTTTCACCTTTACTTTTATATAAAGTCTCCTCGTTTTTTGGCTGTATGGCTGGAAGATGGATTGACTATGTTATTCCTGGGCTTTGTTTTGCTGTGTCGTTGCAAAGAGAAAAGAACCGATATGGTCTTGTACAAATAGATAGATCTTGGATAAATTATCAATTATAGACGTCTTTTGTTTACTGATGTCCCTCTCTCTACTTTAATACATAAAGATACTCTAGGTAATGATTGTTCTGGTTTCATCGTTTCAATTCGGAAACTATCAAGGCGCTGCTTTTCACAAAATGGAGAGTATCGATCAAGGATCCCAGATACCGAGGCGCCGTCACAGAAAAAAAAAAAAAAAAGAAAAACGTATCGAAACGTGAGAAAAACAAGAAAAGGGAATATGTACATGAAAACAAATAGACAATTTGTTCGTTTTTCATCTCATCCATCGTCATACCTCGGCACAATTTGACCGGGTAGACGAGTCGCAAACTGCAAAAATTTGTCGATTTTCGACAAAACATGCATCCTTGATCAAGTGATTGTATGTTGAGACAACCTCGGAATTAAAAGAAGAGAAAATCCGCAGAGCTGATCAAACCAAATGAGTGGTTCGCTGCATTCGAATGAATTCCATTCGACGCGCTCGCACTTTCAACGCAAAAAAAGAGACGAGAGATATAATTTAAATAGCGGCAGCGGGGCTACCAGCGCTCTCGACCTTCACGTCGGGAATGACACCGCCGGTACCGGACAGATCTGTAGTGCGGGTGTTGGGGTTCTTGGTGTAGTAGTTGGCGATAGCGGACTTGATAGCATCCTCAGCGAGCATGGAGCAGTGCACTAAAAGATCCATTAGTAACCGAGCAAAAAAAGCAATTAGGAAATGATCGACATACGCTTGACGGGAGGGAGACACAACTCCTTCGCCACATCGGTATTCTTGATCTTGCCGGCCTCGTCGAGGGTCATGCCGCGGACGAGCTCGGTCAAATAACTAGAAGAAGCGATGGCGCTACCGCAGCCGAAGGTCTTGAAGACGACGTCGTCGATACGGCCGGATTCCTTGTTGACGCGGATCTGCAGCTTCATGACATCGCCACAGGCGGGCGCACCGACGAGACCGGTACCGACGTCCTGGTCGCCCTTTTGCATGGAACCGACATTGCGGGGGTTGTTGTAGTGGTCCAGGACCTTCTCGTGGTATCCGCGGCGCTGTTGAGCTGGGGCAGGAGCAGCAGTGCGGATGGCGGGTTGGGCGGATTGCAGGCTAGAGAGGGGAGAGAGAGTGCTGCGAGTGGCGATGGAGCCGACGCGGGGAGCAACGGTGACAAGGCGCTTGAACATTGTGATATTGTGGTATTGAGGGTTGGATGATATTAGGGAGTAAGTTGTAAGAAGTTGGAGGCAAAAAAGATGGATCTGATAGGGAGGAAGGTGATGAATTCATAAATAATCTGATCGGACCTTAGATAAGCACGCTAGTCCTAATGGGGTAGCTATTTGGCCGGATTCGCCGGTCGTCGGAGATGACTGAGATGACGTTCCGCTTCTTCTTTCGTTGCCCTTCGATTGGAATGGATTTGCGGGATACTCCAAAGGGGAACTTTTGTCTCTGTGCCAGTGAGAGGACGTGCTGGTGATATCAGATATCAGGGGTGGCGACCTTGGTGCACCACTCAGGTTCTCCGCGGTGGACTCGCCCAGTCAACGTCTTGTTTTCCGTGCCACCGTGAGCCAATTGCTGGACGATGATATCAAATGGTGGAGAGGTTGGGAGTGATAAGCATATGTTGTAGAGTCAATAGCGATGATCAATATCAAGTTCATGTGAAATCCGCTCCATTCCTGCCTCTCTTCAACGACAGTTATATACCCCGAGCTGTTTCACATTTACGTTATTTCCGCTCCGTCATCCGCGGAGGTCGGGCTCGGAGATACAGACGGGCTCTAGATCCAGTTTGGGATGTTCTAGACTCGGGGTATTCATACCCAAAGGAGAAACAATGTGCTATTCCCTACTATTCCAGAAAAGGCAACAAACCAACTTACATCTTCCTTGCGAATCACCACTAATTATCAGGTACCTGAAACCAACCTTACCTTTTGAGTCTTACTCAGTTATCAATCCGAGTCAAAACACCATTATATCCTACCCTCAAACCAGACTTAACAGCACTACAAGACACATCCATACGCACGAATGTACAAGTTCAACAATCAACGACTTTCATTCAATATACCCAAATCTCAAGCCCCAGCACCCAATGCAAAGCTAAAACCTAGACATGCAACCTACAGCAAAGCCTCGCGAAGCGCAGACTTGAACTGCACAAATATATCCGTTAGCAACAACCCAAAAAAGACACTGCAATCTTCTCCCCCAACATACCGGAATAATCTGCGCATTCTCCATATCCCAAACACCAGAGGTGGTATAGATATCCTTGTTAAGGATGTCGCGCACCTCAGCCTCAGAATCACCGACAACGAGCATCACGCTTCCCTTGAAGGAAGGAGTTTCGCCTTCGGCAGGGTGGGAATTCAGCATGGCGCCTGGATCAAAGGGAATATTATCGTTAGTAATGATAAAAGTAACCGATACTCATAAGAGTCACATACCACCAAGAGCAAGAGAGCCGGACGCGCCGAGCACCTTGGCGCCCTCAAGGTGTAGACTATGATCCACATTAGCGAAATGATCATTTCCAAAGTCCCGGTGGTTGTATCCTGTCTAATAGCGAACACGATACCAGACTGCGGATCGCTGAACTCACGGGCGAACTTCGAGACGCTTAGCCTGCGCGCCGGGCTTATCGGGCAGGATGCAGAGGAACTCTCTCTTAGCGGGGGCGGAAGACATATTGCGGGTTTGGAGGGTTTGGTATGGAAGTTTTTGGCGAGAAGGAGGAGCGGTAGAAGCTGGTGCGCGGATTGCAATCGAAGCTAAGGAGGAGAAGAGGAGTTGTGATGGTGGGACGCGGAGCAGTGGTTGCCGCGCGTGGGGTGAAGCGGGGGCTTTGGTTCTGAGGATACGGCCGAGACGCAGTGACATGCTGAAGGTTCTCGAAGATAATTGGAGGGACTTAGAACAGGGGATTGGTGTTTCTGTATGATTCTGGAGGGTGTATGGGATGCGGATAGACGAGGTTAGCGGTGGCTGGCTCTTTTTGTGAGCTTTCGTGCCGAGATCTGATATCCCGCTGTCGGTCTGATTCAACAACATAGACGATATAATAGATTCTACGGGGATAACATATTGGGGTTTGGCATTTTGCAGGAGGAATCAAATCGTGTAATTGATTATATACATGAAACTCGGTGATAGACCGGCCAGTGCAATGCGAATCTCTCTGCTTCATCAATCCGGACTCATACGGCGTCTGGATTTCAATTGATAGCCCTCGCCTGGTCTCCCACCTCTTATCTCAAAAACAAAAGTCAAGGACGCCAGCTTAGCATATGACAAAACGAAAAAGAAGAGGAATGGGAAAGGACAATTTCGAGGTGACCTGCATAGCAGAATCAAAATCAGATAGACTTGGAATGAAGCATGCAAACGACATAGACATGACAGTAAACGGTCCGGTTCTCGGTCCTAATTGTAGGTTTGCGCAAGAAGAACAAATGATCGAGATTGAATCACTCGAGTGTACATGCCCGGACACACATCTCCCATGATTTGAAGGGATGTGTGATCCAAGAGACGCAAATTCAGTATATCAAAGAGGCCTAGAGAACCGGCGAACTCTATAGACCTGCGACCCGCCAAACAACATTTCCCCCCGTAGCGCCAAGGTAACAAATACACACACTCCCTAGAACGCGGCACGAAGATAGTGAATTAGTGAAGTCATTAGGCTTTCCGTCGCGAAACATCCGTCCAAAAGAGAAAATGGGAAAAGAAAATGGGTCACAAGTGAAGGAACTGAATTCCGCCGTGGTCAACACTTCCCTCGATGGTGATGGTCGGACGGAAGGGCAACGCACGGCGGCAATGGAGATTGGTGGATGTTCGAGGACGGGATGGAATCAAAGATCAACTTGAATCCCACGCGGCGAGATTTCCGGTGGATGGAATTTAGGTAGAATCTAGAACGCTTTGCGATCGCCAAGATTGCCGGGCTTCTCGTCGGTATCGATGTGCCAGACCACGTAGTTGGGCAATCCAACCACTTGGTACCCAGCTCGCTTGGCCATGCGGGCGAAGCCTTCGGTCTCGGCTTGGTTCTCGAAGGCGTATGCGGGGAAGTTAACACCTGTGCGGTGAACATCGGCCTTAACGAGGATGTTGACACCACCAATTCCGTCGAGCTCAACCTCTTCATCCTTATTGTTTCGCCAGTCGCCCATGCTGACCAAGTAGGTGCGGCCAGTATCGTATTCTTTGTAGCCTTCAGCCAGGATGGTATCGGTAGGCAAAGTCGCGCGCAAACGACGGCCCCTATCGGACTCAATCCAGGAGTTGTAGTCAACTAAATGGAAAAATGTCAGCAATCTGTACGATAACACAGAACATCCGAGGTATACATACAGCGACCTTCGATATCTTTGTTGTCCTGGTCGTAGCGGTGGAACCAAATGTCTGAGAAAAAAGAATCCAAGTCAGCCAGCTGTCCCATCTCCAACCCAAAAATTTCAAGAAATATCACCTACTTGGCACAAGGATGTCCTTATCGTGGGCGATGAAGTCCTCCAGGATACGCTCAGGGCAGTCGGTAATATCTACATCGCGCCAGTACACCCACGAGTGATCAGCCTTGAGGGCTGAGTAGAGCAGGTAGTTGCGGGCACGGCCGATAGCCTTGCGACGTGGACCCTGAGCGGCAAATGAGTGTCGCTCTTCTACGGTCATCTCGACATCGGCACCGAAATCCTTCTTGATGACGGTTGCACTGCGGAAGCGAACCTTCTCTTCGGCATGGTTCTGGATGCGATTGAGCTCGGATGCCAGATTTGCGAGCGTGTCGTCTTTGCAGTCACCGACGAGGAAGGCGAGATCGATCAGGTCGTGTGGATAAGACAGCTTGTAAAGGAGCTCGAAGTACTTGGCCAGGTAGGGGGCAGCATCACGGAGAGGGGTCAGGATGAGCACACGTTCGCGGTTGATGATAGCCTTGGTGGTTGACTTGATCGGGTTCAGGTCAATGTCGGAGATGGAGGTGGAGTTGACTTCGTAGGGCTCGTGGCGGTTGAAAAGAACGGGGGTTTGGGCGTGTGCACTCCACTCGACCATCTCGTTGATGGACATCTCCATCGGCGACTTATTCGAGCCATAACAGTAGAAACTTTGTTGACATTTGGTCAGTACGGAGGTCTCTGGGATTGTTTTGTCCGGCTCACCTTTGCATCTCCGATGCAGACTTGCTCACGCCACGCCACATGAGGATGAGCAGTCCGGTCAAGGCTATCGTCACGAGGAAGCGAGTCCGTGTTAATAAAACGACGATTGCCCTCCATGGCGGCAATCTGGCCTTGGCCGATTTCCAATTAACACCGCCCTTTGGCAACAACATGGTGACAGATGATGAAAGTGTAGAATTCAGGAGCAATCCCGTCTCGAGCACTGGTCGTAAACCCCCCCGAACGAATGTGGCAAAGAGAGGGAGGACGAAGGCGAAAGGGTTGATAGGGAGAAAATAGAATCGGAAATCGGGGGAAATGCGCTGCCCGCCAAGAACGACTAAAATCAGCAGTCAGACCAACTACATCTTTCGGTTTACGACTCCAGGAGCCCCCAACGAGAGCAAGGATTCTGATTTAGGGTTTCTTTATTACTCAAGATCAAATAAGCATCTCAAACTGCATGCATTGGGACTTTAACCGTTCTCTCAGGCCATACACAGCCTGGATCCAAGAGATTTGACAGGACCCTTTTCCTTATTTTTATTTATAGCCTCGTATGATCGTCTAGAACGTACCGAATTCGGGGCTGTTGACCTCTACGGAGTACCCCGTACGTAGATATAATATGAGAGCTGCTCTTTCCCAGTCGCCACGTAGGTAATTGCTGTCGATGTGTGCCCCTATAGTACTTTTCTCCCGATGGCGTGTCCACGGTGACACGCACCACTCTCTTTTCTCTGTACCCTGTACTCCGTACGCACAGAATACATACATAGTACCTGACATTATGTACAGCACGCAAGTACAGAGTACCTGTGCTCTGTACGGAGTAGGCTTGTTTTGCCTCGGGCTTACATGCAGGTACCTCAGGTAGCCACGCCCTATGGAGTAAATCTCTCGAGGTTGACATAGTCCAGAAAATTATGTTGCGATATTATCCTGTCCTCACATTCTTTTCCCACATGTGTCATAACTCGGTCTCGTTTAATGAGCATGGAGTATATGCAGGAAGCAGGAAGAAAAAAAGTACCTCGCATCTCGAACACGAGGTGAGACATAGCCTCGATCTAATCTTACTTCTTTGTACTCCGTACTCTCTTCTCTTATGTAGCCAAGGATTACTTCACACTCCATATGAGATCATCGTTTTAAGCCTGCTTTTTGCCCCTATATTCTCCCTCAAAAAGCAAACCTCGAATGCTTTTACAACCCCAAAGAGCCCACGAAAAACACCTGTCCGTTTCAAGAAGTCTCGACTGTCTCCACCGGCTGATCGACAAGGCGCCCCGTGTTGCCTTCTGATCAAAACCCGATTCGTCGAGACTACCTGGCCAATTCACCTATCGAATCGCTAGAGACATTGTTTACTTTCTTGGATTCATGTCCGACAACGGAGTACGGAGTACTCCGTACTCCATATTCACGTCTTGGTATAGAAACGATCTTATATAACATGCGCAAAAGGATGTTCCAAATAGGGGTAGTCAACTAAACAAGTACGAAGTGCTCCGTATTATCAGACTCAGCCCTACAATCCAATAGTCGTGCTGGTGCGGAGTACTCTGTACTCCGCACTCTTGAGCGAACATCCAGACAGCGATAGCCACGTATAGAACAAGTCAAAACTATGGCGAGGATAGATCATAAAAAATGACAATAGGTCATCTGCTGGCAAGGCTATATGGCTATGTTCCATTCCCCATCTCAGACAGTCTAACCAAATGCACCGGCGTTTGCCGCGGGGCGACAAATGCACATTTTTGGAAGACATTCCTCTCTTAGACATAAGTGATAGAACGGTCGATCATGGGATAGATACAGATTCTCGTTGGAAAGAAAAAGAAAAGAAAAATGGCATCACGGGGAAACTACAAGAAAATCAAGGCAGCATTTCAGATCAACGCAATATCAATATCTCTTTGATAGTCGACGGATATACGGCAAGTACGTATCGATTCTGATGTTCTCGATGTCGCTCGCCCAGGAATAGAAACAAAACTACCTAGCTCCATATGACATATTTCAAAGCATTCTTTACAATAGTGATTGGATCATTGTCACTCTACAAAGCGAGAAAGAGGTTTTTATGTATGTTTGATCCATTCAGTCATAGTTATAGACATGAGAAATAAAAGAAAATGACAAAAGAAAGAAAAAGAAAACCTATATCCACCAGACCGTATATATCCATAGTATAAATAACGCCAAAAGACAAGAAAAAAAGCAAAGAAAAAAGCGAACCATCCAATTTTGTTCAAGGAAAAGGAAAAAAAAAGGGGAAACCCCGGGGCACCGAAATGAATCGACAAAGGAAAAATGAATCGAGCAATTTGGAAACCTTTTGTTCAGAGTCAAAGCAAAATGATGTTGTACAATGCAGGCGCTAAACGCTCATGAGGCGCGACGATGATAGACCAAGCCCGATGGGCTCAAGAGTAGAAGCAGACAACTGCTGCTGCAAAGAATTCTCAGAAGAAGGCGGCGGAGAGGAAGGTGGAGAGGAAGGTAGAGAGAGAGGTAGAGAGGAAGGTGGGGAGGAAGAAGGGAGTCGTGATATCATGGAGGAATGTTCAATATCGGGCATGCATCATGAATCCCCAATGTGACTTAAGGAGATGCAATGAGAGAGTGGTGACGGGGCCCGGCCGAGTATGCATAAGAGGAAGGGTGTGAAGGTGGGAAGGCAGGAGAAGAAGGACCGGTCATGGGAGGGGTGGCAGCGAGATAGGAGCTGGTGAAGGATTGCGAGGTAGAGCTGGGCATGGAGTCGTGGTAGGCAGAGGTATAGGAAGGCTCGGAGGGCATGCTGGCAGCGATCTCATCGCAGAAGACCCGTAGACCTGGTAGGTTGTTGCTCTTCTTCTGGCGTTTGTGCTCGGGGAACTCGAGGACGGAGCCGGGGCTGGTGCTCTCGACCTTTGGAGAGCGGAACATCTGCTCGTATGACTTGAGCTTGAACTCCAGAGCGCGGTTGCGATCAGCGAGCATCTCGTTCTCGGCCTTGGTGGCCTTGAGCTGTTGCTGAGCAGTCTGGTGTTGTTGCTGCAGGGAGCTGACCAGCTGCTGCAACTGCATGCAGCGGACCTGGGGCTGTAGCTTCTCTGAGAGCTGTGGTGTGACCTGTTCCTGGCGAATGAGGTGGACAATAATGGCAAGCATGAAGTCGATAAGGTAGATAGCTCCTTGCACAATGTGCTCCTTAGATTGAGTCAGGCTCTTGGAAGGGTTCCAGCCGGCACGCTCAAGGAAGAAGTCGTGGATGCGGCTGTCCAACTGGCGGTGCAGGTCGCTCAGGTTGCTGCGTCGGTTTCCCTCGGCGATGCGGTGCTTCTCACGCTGGTCATCTTCGTTAGATTGAGAGCTGCCCTTGCGCTTACGGCCACAGAGCTGCTGTAGGGGAGCCTTGCGGTTGAGATTTTGGGGGGCCACCAAAGCCATGATCTCATTCTGGGAGAGATCATTGGGCCAATCGACCGAGTTAGACTTCTGAATGGCAAAAGACTCTTGCCAGGAACTTTCAGCAGAGTTGGCGGGCGAGGGAGGGGCGATGATGTGCTCTGCAGGTGTCCAAGGTGATTTGAATTGGAAAGAGTCCTGGGAATTTGGGGTAGTGGGCACAAGGGTGTCCTTCACGTTGAATGGACTGAAAGGACCACGGGGTGGCAAAGGCAAGATTTGAGGGAGAGGAGGCAGTCGGCGTTCCTCGCCCACATCGGAGGCAGGCATAGTGGTGCTTGACTTGAAAGAACTTTGGTTCATGTTAGGATGGACTGGTATACGAGATATGGCAAGGGGTTGACTCACGGAAGAGAACAGTGGCGAGACACATCATCATTTATGGGAACCATTTCTTCGTACATTGTTGGATGTCGAGAAGATGTTTGTGATATGTCCAGTGGCGATGGTGTTGTAGAGGCACGAAGTAGGTCGAGAAGATATGTACTGAAAGATCACGGCTGGTTGTGGGTGTTGTAGGGGATGTTCACACAAGCGATGAGTAGATATAGTCGATGATTGTGAGATGTAGGTAAGACACTGGGGTTGTATGTGCACAAGAAAGAACAAAAGCAGTAGAATGATAAACAGAGTAGGATCAAAACACGAGGCGACTGATTGAGTGAAACTATGGGACATCATGCGGGATGGGGTGCATGTTTATATGTAGACGAGGAGGGATCCAGATCGAAGTCTGCCTCCGGACCCAGGAGAGGGGAACCGTGAACGATCAGGGCCGATCCTCAACACATGAAGCGCGGAAGTCGGATGTCATACAGACAGCAGAAGATGCATATTCGCCCCACAACTCCATCACGACGGGGAAGCCAGACGGGCATCCCGAGTGGGTGCTCTGGACCACTGGCTAGTGTCCGCTTGGGCCCGGGAAGAAGCGAAATGGAAAAAAAAAACTAATAGTATATTCGATATCATACAGTATATGTCACATCATGCAAAGACTGGATCTCATACGGACTCCATTCGATCGACAAATGATGTGGCTCCGATCAATCCCGAGTCATAGATTCACGGCAAGGATCTATGGCCCTTAATTTGTCAACGGATCGTTGGGTCTATTCACGATCGACACGGGGGAAGACTTAGTTTACACTCTGGCCCTTGCATCAATAGTCGTCCCAATTAATGACGCTGGGTCTCTAGACTTCAAATCCTCCGGAGGATTTAGCTGCAAACTGTTGAGGGGGGAAATAAAGCAAAAAGAAGCAGGAAGAAGACTGAAAGAAGGTCGAGGAAAAAGGAAACTACTTCAACGGGCAACTAGTGCTCATCCACATATCTGCACATTCCACAACCAGTACTCCGTATCTACATCCACGACCAGTATGGTAATATTGCTACTTACTAGTTGATGCTGAAACGCCCACTGTAACATGACCAGAGGAATGCACAGCACTCGCTTGCATCGCTAGTCAGGAGCAACGACCACGGCTGTGCTGGAAAGTATCAAGGGGCTCTCATGAACGAGCTAATCCCCCTCGAGGAGTTCTGGCAAATTTAGATTGCCCCTAAGGTAAATAGAGTCAAGCAAGGACCACGGAAGTGTGCTCACGAGACATGCGAGGAGGTTCATACCAAATGCAACCCCGATTCTTTATTGTATACCATGGATTAGTAGTTGACCGACACCGATGTACGAGCGGGCACTCATGACCAACTCCGTACTTTGGAAGAATTGACTGCCAAACTCCTCTCTTCTGTATCTTCGCCACAGGCAATCACCAAAATAGATCTGAAACGAGGTGATCGCTCGAGGCAACCGGTGGATTGGGAAACCCCAAGACCCGGTTACGTTTCCTGTCAGACAGCGAATCACTGGCACACAGATGATTTGGAATAATCGACACACAGACGTTAGAGAATTGACAAGTCAGAGGAATTAAAAGGGTAATTAAAAGATCATTAGCCTTAAAGCTAGGTTTATTGATTTATTCTTAGCGAAAAGCCCTAAAAACCCTACCGCTGGACACGTTTCCTGGGTGGAGATAGCCCTACATTGATCTTCCCACCGGCCACGATCCACATCCTGGGTTTTCCCCTTCGATTTCACGTTCAATTCCCTGTTGGATTTGCAGCTTGAACTTCAAATAGAAGTATATGGGCAACGTACATATGCTGATATTCATCCCTAGCGTTATCCCGCATGTCATGGCCAACAACAACGGTGGGTCGTTGGAAAATAGAGCTGTCATATTCTCCCTGCCGCTTCAGCCAACCGTCAATCAGCTGGCCCTCATGGCGGATCCATCAAAGACACTAATTCCCACGTTGTGGTCTTTTGCACAATCCCTATTATTCTGGATTAATTGTTAAACGGATCTCCTCCAGTGACAAATAAATACGACTATGGAGATGTTGTTCTATGCATTCTATTCAGTGGCAATCCACCATATCGGAAGAGCTACCCTCGCCTCTTACTCCTCTTTTGTGCTTTGCAGACTGCTAATCTGAAACTCAGTGTCCTAGTTCATAATTCCCTGTTTCCACCCCACAGCAGATATGCACCCGATCGGTCCAACCGACTTCCACAGCTGCCCCTAAGAGCCATCCGCAGACGGCACGTCCCACGGTGCAGGAGGAGGAGTGACTCGAGGGCAAAACTCACACATGAACCATTCGACTTCGCCAAAACTCTACCCTGTACAATTCTTCCGAGAGTTCCCCGGATCCATCTGGACCCCAGCGATCTGCACCCTTCAGATCCTCTCTATGTACTTACCCCCTTACCGGTTTAAGTGACGTGCATCTAGGGTCTCCTCTCCGTATCTTCTGAATGGCGAACCGAGCCTTTGGCTTTCCCAGATCAAAGACCTTTCCTACCTCGATTCCTGGGACCGATTCTGAAGAATCTCTTTGGATCCTTTGGGTCATTTGGTGTGATTATCTCTTGGTGGGCCCTATTCGTGTCTTTCCACTATACTTACTCCGTATGAATGTGCGTGTCATCGTGAATGTATGCATCTATTCCTCATTCCTATCTGTGGATCTATTGCACACTCGATCGTACCTTGCCAAAGTCACGTAAGAACCTAACCCCACCCCGTGTCCGCAGGGTGGCTATAACTGGTTCGAAGACCACACACGGTCTCCTTGTCGTAGCCCCTCCTGCATTATGTAGGATTAACAACGCAGTGGGATGTTCGAATTCGGATCGGATTCCCGCCCCGTGCGGCTCTGGGGTGCAAGGAACAAAGCCCTTTATCGGTCTACGACTTCGAAATTCTCGAATGCCCATAATTGCCCAGTCCACCTAGCCTCCACAGTGTCATCGCAAAGCTTGCCACGTCACCAGAGCCAATAAGGAGCTCAGACTGCCTCCTCAGGCCAATTTATTTCCAATAGTGCCAGCCGCTGCCGAGGCGGCCGTGACATGTCATGTTTTAACCGACATGAATGACATGGCGGGGCCGTAGGATCACTCTTATTTTAAATAGCGTGGAGTAGTGAATAGTGACGACTATCTCATCAGAATTTGAAATACTGATGCTATGCGGTTGGAATGCCTTTCGTAGTCTTGTGGTTTACGGAGGACGGAGTACTCCGTATGTAGTCTGGAATACAGGCCTAGAGACTCGCTAAGTAGTCAAAAGTACTGGTTCATGCACGATGCAAGATGCCAGATCCTGTTCCTTGTTTTTCGACGTGAAGATCAAGCGGAATTGTCGCTAGGATCAGAGGTTCCGGTGCGAAGTACTCCGTACCCACATGGCTGTCTACCTAGTCAGTATCACACATAGATGAATATTCATCTCCATTGTGTGCTTTTGACATTTCGTGGTCTGAACAAGCTAGTTAGGTAGAGATATCGAGCTTTGCCGTTTCTCTACGTTGTCCATCTTGATTTGGATGAGTACTTTCATGGTTCTAGTGTTCTCCCCCTATTCTGTGTTTAGAGTGCAGTGCCCGTGCGGTGCCATCTCTCCACTGGGGAACTCGTTTCGGCTGAGTGGCGTAGAAATGTAGGCTCGTGCTTGGCTATAGCCACGAAGGAAGGGGCTGGGGTATCTTTCTGGTCCATGGGGCTGAGGTAGGCGAGTATTGACCGTAGAGCTGTACGGAGTAGAGCACTATGCTCTGTTCGTGCAAGAACGTTGATAGGCAATAATTGCTAGGATCGTACATGATATCATCTGATATCGAAGGCGGCACAGACTGTAAGGGTAGATCATCATAATTGACTGCCAAAAAGCCATGTGGATCTTCGAATCCACTTTTCGCAACTGTCTGTGAGGTGCATTCAGGACTACGTACGTCCTCCCTGTACTTACCCATTAGGGTAATCAGTTTTGACCGTTCAAAAAAGGTACGTCCAGAACGAGCTAAGATTCTAGATTCCGAAGATCCAAACTCTTTCCTTTCAGATCCCCCAGAACGAGCATGCAGTTATTCTCTGATCCCTGCCGCAGGTACGACGTCCAACTGTTGCTGTGGAGATGATTTTATTCCCCGACTGGTGCAGCCGCCACCGGCTCCTGCAAGGACCACTTCCTAGTCTATAGATCTAGCAAGAGACTGCAGTGCATATAGTACTCCGTAGGCAGGGACTATTTCTGGAACTCAAATTCGCCGCATTTGACAGGTCTCACTCGAGGGACTCTTCTCCGAGGTGCATTTGCATGTACTCCGTACATACAGTACATAAAGACGCCCCCGTGGAGTTTGCGATCGAGACAACATATTTACGGAGTACGGAGTACTCCGTACTGTGTGGAGCACTGTACTTTCGGCCTCATCCTCTCGTTCTGTAGATCGCATATATCTATTTCCTGCAACGTACGGAGTACATGATGCGCTGCTGTCTCGATTTGCACTAAGGTGGCATTATACTCGGAGACACCTGCCCTCTCCCCATTACCTGGCTTGCTGATTGCCTCCAATGCAAGGCGGGTGTGGGCGCTGGTGGATCCGGTCTTGGAGATGTGCGTCTTTATACGGAGTATTCAGGTACCCTTTGTGCTCAATTCAGCTGGCATGCATCATATTTATTGAGAGCTTTGAATAAATCATGTGCATTGGAGGCGACAACGTACGGAAGTGGCCACCGTGGTAGGAATTACCCTTTCGCCACCTCTGTTTTATGCGTACAATATATTGTTGGTGATATCGAGTGCTGGCTCAAGGCTTGCATTGCTCTCCACTCTGGCTATCTTTTTTTTTTTTTTTTTTTTTTTTTTTTCTCAGCTAAGCCTAGGGATGGTCTATAAGCAAGAGAACGAGCGACATTTCCTACATAACACGAAGGCTTCTCTTCTTCCCCTGACCCGGTTTATCTGAAAGACCCAAAAAGAGGATCGAAATATCCACTCTGAGGGCCGTCAAAAACCCCACACAGAGATTTCCTTGGCAGCTCTCCGACCTCCTCGGTTCATGTCAATGACGAGGTACGGAGTAGATCGACCGCACTAAGACGGTGCTCACAAAGTTACCAATAAAGTACGAAATAGACTCCCAGTACGGAGTACTCCAGGGCGAATCAAGCCATGATCGGTGCTGTTCGGTTCTCTCGAGTCCGATCCCATCGGAGTCTATGTTCCACTTGTAGATCAATGAGATCCAAAGAACTGCCAACTCACATGTTTCAAACCACTCGACGAATATGAAACCCAGAAAAAAGAAATGAAAGCACTAAAAACAGCATTACCCGGCTGATGGGTCGCCCGAGGAAGCTTTCCCAAGCCCCCCAGCCCCGTAGATCTGCCTTTGTTTCCTCCATCTCCACGGAGTACTCCGTATGTGATAAGACGTCGTTTCGATCATTGCGTTGATGTCCCATACGATTGTGGGTTTTAATTCGGCACGGTCTGGATCCCATGTAGGTCGACGCATGCGGCAACCTTCCATGCAAGCACACATCAAATGTCATCTCCACAGTCGTCATAACATCGTGTTTGATGTGAGTCTGCTCAAACATCCCGCAAAGAATCCTGTTCCTTGATTTCACGATCAGGGGTTCGTTTCTCCAGATAAGATTCCCGCGACCGTGGGCTCATGCACTATGTGTGTCAAAGAGGCCCCCCATTTTGCCTCGCGGCATCCAGCTCTCTGCATATGGCCGTATATGGAAACTTAGCTTGCATCGAAATCGAGAAAACATTATGTACAGAGGAGCGAATCCCGAGTACCGAGTCCCGAGTAGACATGATGCCGTAGCAAATAGCCGAACAGCACCACAGCGTGTCAAAAGGTCCCAACCCAGATCCTCATGATTGGTCAATCCCAACTCGGAAGTATGCGCGTCTATCAAAAACCTCCAATTGCTACAGCCCCATAACCCCAACCAAAAAAAAAAAAGTCGAGCCTGTCACTTATCCTTCATTCCGTGGTCATTGACGGAGTTGTGTCCATTTTAAGCTAGCTGCACTCGTTTCTCGACACTTTCGTTTTGCCTCCAAAAGGGGGCTTACCCAGAAACACGGCCCAGTGTTAGGATTGGACTGATCGAGTTTTTCCTACGGAACTGGGCTTATGTCAGTGGCTTCACCGTTTGCCCCGTTTAACTGGCATCCTGCGAGCCGGAAGGATTCTGAAACGCACATGGCACCTTCCAATATTATAGTGCCTTGGTGACTTCGAAGATAGGAGCACACAACATACGCAAGATAGAGCGTCACGTATATATATCATAGAGACCATTGTCGTCGAGCGTTAGTTCTATATCCCTAGTATACAATATATAACCACCCTCTATCTCTAGATTATGTACTCCGTATGTTTGGCACACCGAGCAGCAAAGTAAAATAAGCGCCAGTCCCCATACGTTGTACAATGATCAATACCACCCCTCTCTCCATCCTCGTCCAACTCAAACCCACAACGCGAACCACAAACCGACATCAAACAAAACACCCCCACCGAACCTCCGACCAACCTCAAAAAGCAGATTAGACAACCCTAACAGAGCCAAAGTACCCGGAAAGCACTTCCTAGCTCCAATTTCCCCTCTTTGCTACGCCTTCTCTCCCGGGGATCCGTCCTCGATCCCCGATCCACAGCGACTAAAACATGTAGCTAGTATCTAGCCGAGTGCAAATCAAGGAAAACCAAAAAACGAACAACGCACTAGATCCATCCGGAATGTGGTCGATCTTGGATCCAGAGTTCTAGCGCTTATGTACATGTGTCCACCCGCGATCTCACCTGGTACTACATTAGGTGTGTATCTCAGGGTCTAGTCTCGTCGCGCATCGGGGGATTTTGGGATTGCGTGCTGCCCCTCAGGTCTGATCTCCGAACGGGATGGAGGAGTGGATAGTTGGATGGTATCCATATATCTAGATACGACGTATGGAGTAATCGGATTGCGATGACGAGGATCTTGAGGGGTGGATTGTGGAGCTGGAATTTTTTTTTTTTCGGCGCGGGATTTGAATCGCAGGCTGGCTTGGGGAGGATTGCGGGATTTTACCTTATAGGATTGGAGAGATGTTGGGCCGGGTTTGAGGAGACGGGGCGATTGGGTTGTTTGGGGCTTTGGCGAAGTACGTTGTAGGTGTAAGATGACATTCGTGGTGGATATAGATATCGATGAGAGGTTGATTTTCAGGCCGTTGACATATTATGGAACTGAGGGACAGTTATGTCAAGCTGGAGCACAATGTCTATGAGTAATCTCTACCTCATTGCAGGCATCACTGAAGAGGGAATGGGATGTTCGAGCGGCGAAGACGGAAGCTTAATAGGCTGAGTGCATGTCGCTATATATTCACTGAAATGTAACAAATGTGCTGCGTTGCTTGAGAGCGATCGAGGTTGAGGATAGAGGTAGAATTACAATCATTAATCTGCGCGCAACTATAATAAGGGGGCAATATTACTGGCATAAAAAAAGCTCAAGGAATGTTTACACAAGAAGTACAACGAGAACCGAGATCCCACTCGCAGCTCGAGGCAGCCTCCCCCTCTCGGTGTATCAACAAGGGAATGAGCAGGCTACAAAGTGTAACCGAATGCATTAGAACGCGATGAGCGAACCGGGGAACATAGCAAGACAAATAGCAAAAAGGGATAAGAAGAACTCCTTCCTAGTAAACGACGGGGGGACGTCCCCCGAGGTCAAATTGCATATTGCGAATTTTCTCCACGAAAGACCGAGTTATTATCGTAATAGCTGCAGTGTGGGACGAATATTGATATCGTTGCTTGGTAGACTTTTGTACAAAATCCCCCAAGGTCATTTGACTCCTCCACTAGTCAACCGCTTACAGAAGCTGGGCAATGGCGCCGAAGAGGGCAGCAAGACCAACAACGGGGACGCTGGCACCGGTCATGAAGGAAGCGCCGGAGCTGGTGGTGGAAGAGCCGCTGGAGGTGGAGCTGGTGGTACCAGAGTTGCCGTTGGCAGTGGTGGGGTTTGCGATGGTGGCATCACACTTGAAGCTACCCTTGATAACGTTGTCGCTCTTCAGCTTGCGGAGATCGTCACAGCTGAAGTTACCACGGGTGGACTGCATGTTGAAGCTACCCTCAACATCCTTGAGGTTACCGAGAGCAAGCCTATGCGAGGTTAGCGGATAAATTGGGAGAGAGCGATCGTAGCCATTCGACTTACTTGTTGAAGGTACCGCTGAAGTCAATGGCACCGTTGACACGCTCGAGCGAGGGCAGGGAGATGGTGGAGAGCTTGTCATCACGGGCAATAGTGAAACCACCGTCAACAGTCTTCAGAGCGGGCATGCTGATGTTGGAGAGCTTGGAGTTGTCCTTGAAGATCAGGTCACCGGTCTTGGTGAGGTTGGGAGCAGAGAAAGTCTCGAACTTGGTACCCCAGAAGCCGAGCTGTCCAGTGAGCTTCTCGAGGGAAGGCAGGGAGACGGAAGAGATGTTCTGGAAGGTCATGTTGGTACCGGTGCCGAGGTTGGGGAGGTCGACCTCAAGTTCGTTGAAGTTACCCGAAAAGCTGATCAGATCAGTGGCATTCTGAAGATTGTTGATGTTGATAGTCTTCAAGTCACGGTTGTTCTGGATGCTGAAGCCACCGACGGTCTTGAGGGAGATACCGTTCAGGTCAGTCAGACCGGTGTTGGCGATGCTGACATCGCCGGCCTCGGTGACACCCTTGGCGAAGGAGAGCGACTGGAGCTTGGGAAGAGCCTCCCAGTTGATCGAGCCAACGGAATCGAGCTCAGGGAAGCTGAGCAGGGTCAGGGTGGTGAGACCCTCCAAATCGAAGGCCTTGCCGATCTCGGTGAGGGAGGTAGCGGTGATGGAGCTGACATTGGCACCACCGGAGCAAATCAGGCCACCGGAGATCTTCTGGATGCCGCTCAATTGGAGATCGCCGCTGTAAGACTTGTCAATAGTGACATCACCCTTGATGGTGGAGCAGGTGTTGATGCCATCGGCATCGCTCTGGGTCTTGATCTTGGTATCGCCGCACTTGTCGGCTATGGGATAGAGTCGTTAGTGGCCATCAACCAACCTGTGGGGTAGAATACTCACAAGCAGCGAATACAGCCTGGCTGGCGGCCAGCGCGGGGAGGATGTACTTGAAAGACATGATAGATTCTGAAGCGCGACCGGTCAGTCGGGTTTTCTCACATCCAGGGGTGGTAACACATACCAATTAGAGATATGGGAAAGAGCAGGGAGTTCGCAATGAGTGATAGAGAAGAAGAAGCGCCTCAAACGAAGGGGAAGCGGAATACTGCCAAGGGTAAGGCAGGAACTCTCAAATGGTAGGAACGAATGGACGGGGTTGGAGGAGAGTGAAGTGAAGAAGGAGCAGTTTTGGGCGAGAAAGGGGAGGTGGAGATTGTTTGTATGCCAATCTTACCAGGTGCCACTTATTTTTTTCTTATATGTCCATCAATACCAAAGGGGGGAAAACACACACAGTACTGCATTCGTCAGGGCAGTGCACCGTAATCTATCGCCGGATTCGACCTGGAGGCGACGGAATCTTACGCCACGGTACCAAAATTACGCCGAATTACCAACAATCCCCAACTCACATTGGAAAAAACATCGAAAGAACCCCAAATGAGTCAAAAATTACGGCTAAAGGGTCGTTAATTCCAGGCCTCTCTAATTCCTGCTTTAGTTCGTTCTCGTACCACCCTTATCCCAGTTTCCCCTTTCTCCATTTCCGATCTTCGGGTAATCCTGCATGTGGCTCGGTATTTGGTTCTATCGCATCCTGCAATTTCCATGCCCTCACTCCCGGGGCATCATGGGAGGTCCTACTCCGTGCATAGGGTTATTGACTACTCCGTACATGTACGGAGTAGATATCCATTGTTGACTAGATGTACCTTGGAAATTGGGCCAAGGCGGCGAGGGACTCCGTACCTGTATGTTTGGAGATCGGAGTACTCCGTAGGGCGAAATACCTAGGTAGGTGCTCAAGCCTCGGCATAGTATCATAGTTGCCACAGGAGACTGTGTACAACCTTGGATAGTGCCACTGTTACTCCCATCAAAAGCAGCCTTGGATTCACCTCGCCTTGGCCATCGACCCAAATTTGATGCAATTCCATGCCAGCTCATACTACGTGTCTACTGCGCTGTTCTAGGTACGCTCCTTGTACGGAATATGGAGTACAGCAAGGTATGTACTCTGTACTATCTTGTACACGAAGGATCTAATAATACCTATTGCATAAATACTAGCTTGTAACAAACCAATCCTCCAGCGTTTAATAGCGACTGGTCAATCCAACTCGCCAATTTATTATCGGCCCCATCCTATAACCCGCTGTCGTCATTTCTGCGGCCAAGCTCGAGACTCTCCTGTTGATCGTCACTTTGCTTCCCTGCTGGAATATTGTTTCCTATTGGATGACGAGCGATTTGGGCGAGACCACCTTGGAAGCATGAATCATTCTATTCCGTCCAATACAGAAGGTACAATGCTGCCCATCGATAAATGATGTGCCAGACACCTACATACCCAGGCATAGGTGTAAATACGGCCCTCGGCAGCCATCGAATCTCTCTTGAGTCACTAGCCCATCGCAATCAAACTACGGAGTACACAAAACGCCATCTTAAAATTTGGTTTCGAAGCTTCTGACTTTGATAACGGCCGATCTAAATTTACGGATATCCAAGCCTTCTAGGGATCCGCCCCCTTGCCGCTATCTTCGATTGCCCCCGGCATGCACAACTTCTAATTGGCACGTTGGAATGATTCGCCCTGGATTACTCGCTGATTTGCAGCTCAATCTGAGGCAAAACGCTCCCCCCTCGCGGGTATGATACGCAAATAGCGTCAAGAAAACCTATTCTTCAACCTGGAGCCACGCGACTCGGTCCCCAGAGCAACATGCCCCTTTTTTGGTGCCTTTGGTACATACTCCGTAGTTGGTACTTGGTACAATGATTCACTATCGTACCAATTACAGAGTAGACGGTCGATAGCAACTGACTTTAGGGCTCTTCGCCATACTTTCTATCTTGCATTTCGGTGGTTCCGTCAGGTACCTACACATATATATAAATCGACACTGCCACAATTGCACAGCTCTGAATCACAATGATGTAGCTCCAAGCCGATCGCGATGACTTGATCGAGAAATTTGCGTACGACGATACTCATGAACGAAAATTTCAGCATCTGTGCGCCAATTTGGTAATCTATAAGCCCGGCTATTCATATCTTTGGCCCCAGGTATGGAGCTTCTGTCAATTAAGACGCGACGATCAAGCCATGTCTAGAGCTTCATGGGCCCGACCAATATTTCGGGTGATTGCAACTGTTTTCCTTCTCAATGCTCGGGAGAATCGACAGCAATAAATGACCCAGCCTTTGGTACGGAGTACACAGACTTGTCTCCCATGTTTGGGTGGCAACAAGGTGATTGTGGGAGACGATAGCTGAGCCTTACGGGTAAATTTGGCCAATGTTTCAGAGCGCAGCTGACTCCATACGCCTCACCCCCACTCTTCCAAGGTTGTACCGCTCCACATACGATGTGGTTTTTTTTCGATCGCTTAGAGTCCTATCAAAATACTTGATTTGAATATGTCTCTTGGGCTGTGGAAGGTGACCCCGTTATCTTGCACCAAGTCCTACCCTGTAGGGAGTACGGAGTACTTTGTCCAATACCTAAAACCCCTGCCAAAACCGACAAATGCGGAGCTTGAAACTTGCCCGTCGTTACGCCACAAAAATGGATACCAGGCGTTAAGCTAGCTCTGTGTTGGCCGTCTGAAATTGGCGGCCACCTGTCACAGTACAGACGAAAGACACACGTGTATCATGATTTCTAACATTCTACTCACATTCTTGGCTTACAATATATGTGTCGGGAAACCTGGAGACTGGCCACGCTTTGGAATGTGTGGACCGCCGAGGGACGGGTATCTATCTATCCAGGGGTCGTCAAGGGCCACATTCCCCAGAGCATAAGACCGCAGCCGTAGAGGGAAACATGCTGGATTGTCTTTCCTAGCCATTCTCGAGTATGTTTTTTTATAGCCTATTCCGGAGGATCTTGACCAGGCAGGCATGCGCGGTAATGTAGTGTGTTGTTGTTTGCCTCTGCCCTTCATGATCCTGGGTTTCCGTGCCGTAGTATCACAAGCCAGGATTTATTCTTGTTTCGAACTGATGCACGAACGACTCCAAGGGTAACGGTTCGGCCTAATTGCTAATATATGATTGTTACTAGCCGATCTTTACGTGCATCAGCGGTCGGTTCAATTCCATTCAATTCTTACGTTTCCCTGGATACCTTATACAAGTATGTACATGCAATGCGGTCTACGATGGACATAATCTTCGAGTCGTCGGCCGCTGGCACAAGCACCAGGATCATGCCTTGGCTCTTCTGAGTAGTATCTGATCGAGGGCTACCTAAGCATTACTCTCATATCAATACTATCAAGTCCCACTAATATTACGCTAACATACTTGATTCTCGGTCTTTGTTGACGTTGAAATTTCGACGTCAAAGTTGTATTACTATTACTGTTGCCTTACCATGGATCTAGATTGAACTATGGTGTGTTTGATCAAGTTCCTCGAGAGTGTACTACAGCGGAGTATATTGCATCCAATCGTGCAGCGCTTTCGTATAGATCCAAGGTGCAACGGTATCCATGCTGTGGGTAAACATCGTGATTTGTTGGCTCATGCCATGGCTGGATTCTAGGTTGAGGTATTGAGTTCAAGGTGTATTTTTAGCGACGAAAAAATAGGGACCATGGTGCGTTTGAGCGACTGGGAAATGACATTCGAATTTGACATACAAATATATTGATTCGTGTTGCTATCGCATGTCAGGTTGATCAACGTCTATATAAACTAAGCCTTTGTTTAACCTGTCATAAACAGGACGTGGAGGTGTCATGGCAATCTAGAGCTAAATCCCATAACCACCCATGAACTTAGGCGAAATGAGGCATTTGGCATATATTTAACTGCCCATGTGACATCGATGACACCTTGATCTTGCTGAAGTAAAAGCTTGTCGTTGATAGCCACATGGATATATACCTATGTACATGTCAAAATGAGCAGCAGACTAATGAAGAACCATAGAGCCGCGGCAATAGCTGATCATAACATCGTAGCCTGCGAATTGAGCCGAGTGAAGCATATCGTACCAACTATAGTCGATCATGGCCCCGTGGAAATAAAAGGATGATCAGACTATGATCACTGCTATCCAGGGGCAGCTACAATAGTTTGTGGAGGACAAATGAGAGGTCTAACAGATATCCTGAACGTAGGGCTTCGGTAGAGTCTCAATGGGACGCATCGCCCAACAGGTTCAATTGATGACACTCGATGGCTGACCTTCTTCCAGGGCCGCTGCGGTATATCATGTTCCATTACACCTGCTCTACAGGTATGAAATTACCTTTTACATTATCTATCGAAATTTCGAAGGTCTCTTCAGGTGGAAGATGTGAAGATAGTTTTGTCTGGTAGCGACTACCTACATATATATTTTGAGCAACTTTGATTGATGGAAAATCCTATCTAACACAAGATGAATAGCAAACCTGGAATCCAAACATTGTCGAGTCTCATATTTCGGATAGGATTCTCTGCATTTGTCTGGCCAAATGCCCTTCTTGAAGCCCGAGTGTTGTGCTTGGCACTCTCGACGTCGTGGGGTAGAACCGCCAAACTCCGCACCTCCGCAAACCCCAGCTTCCCCTACAACTCCCTTATACATAACTTCTTACTTCTTGTATATACTAGCCCACTGAGCATAAACTATATCTGCAAATACCAATAATGTCACTCAGGCGCTCAGCCCGACTGGGCTCTGTTTCAACCATCAAAACACCCATCTTACAAAGCTCAACACCGAGCAAAACGACGAGAGTCCACCACAGCGCAGTGACAAAACCCCGCAAAGCATCTACCAAGCCCAGTAAACCAGCAAAAAAAGCCACAAGAACGAAGACTAACTCAGGGAGCTCTTACTGGTCCCCTGAGCCAGCAGTCGAACAGAACCAAGAAACAAACAACCAGGCTTCAACCACTAACCTCACGATACTCAGACCCCAGACGCCTCCCCCCTCGATCGCCCTGTCGATCCGCGCCGAACAAACGCAACCCTCATAACACCGCACGGCTCGACAGTAAACGCCTACCCAGCGCACGCAGAAGATGCCTCGCCATCAAAAACCGGTCTTCCCCGGCCAATGGCCACAACCGGGACGCTACTCGAGAAAGCCACCGCACATCTCATAGCGACAGACCCACGCCTTGCAGCGATAATCGAGCAGCATCCATGTCCGCTCTTCTCGCCCGCCGGGCTGGCAGAAGAGGTCGATCCCTTCAACAGCCTGACCAGCAGTATCATCGGCCAACAAGTCTCCGGCGCAGCGGCAAATTCCATCCGGAACAAGTTTCTGACGCTGTTTGATCTGCCTGATACTATTGCTCCCGATGGACATCGGCATCCGAAGTTCCCGACGCCAGATCAGGTTGCCAAGTGTGATATTCCTACCTTGCGTTCGGCTGGGCTATCGCAGCGCAAAGCGGAATATATCCTGGGTCTTGCGGAGAAATTTGCGAGGGGAGAACTTGGAGCGCGGATGTTGGTGCGGGCCACCGATGAGGAGCTTTTTGAGAAACTTATCGCGGTTCGTGGACTGGGAAAATGGTCGGTTGAGATGTTTGCCGTCTTTGCATTTAAGCGGATTGATGTGTTTTCTACTGGGGATTTGGGAGTGCAGTAAGTTCTATTCTTGCCATTCCCATGCATATTCTAGCTTTATGGCTAGGAACTGCGTCCATGTCCAAGCCGAAGCATTTACTGACATCATGCTAGACGAGGATGTGCTGCATTTATGGGTCGTGATGTGAGTAAACTCAAAGGTAAAGGTGGTGGTAAGTTCAAGTATATGGCCGAAAAGGATATGCTAGAACTTGGCGCCAAGTTTGCGCCATATAGGTATGTTGGACCCTTTCACTGGTTTAGACAAATATGCTTACTGTCAATGTAGGAGTCTGTTTATGTGGTATATGTGGCGGATTGAGGGTGTTGATGTAGCTGTCCTTGCTGGTTGAACAAAGAGAAAAGTTCCCTGCTACCGTGATCTCGGATGTCTTGATACGATTTGGTATATATTGGGCGGTTTTAAGGTTGGGACAATTACTGTAGTATATGTGGTATTCTAGTGTATATGATCATTCTTTAATCATAAACTATGGTAGTCATTGTGTATGGAGTACCTGAAAGACAATTGAGTGTCCATATGCAGGCGCAATGTCGGGTGCCTGATGCCCAAGCTGACCAGTCTCAACAACTCGCATAGGGTACCCAGAACCCCCCGTGGACCCCAACAATCTACGGGAGGCGATCCTTTACAAACAACAGTGCAAGGACCGCCTGTTGATTACAAGATTGGCCAGTGACTCAAGAGCGCGAAGAAAATCGATTTGTACAGTATCAGTACACTCAGGCTGCATAACCAAGCCATGGGTCGCCGATGATGGCGCCCATTCCATTACAAAGAAAGCACACCAGGCGTCTATTCCATGCCAACAACCATGCTATCCCAATCCCCTTGTTTTCGTATTCTATTGAACTAAGCTGCAATAGTTTACTTGCGGACAACAAGGTTGTCGAGGTCCGCACGCTCCTTAGCCTCCTTCTCAACCTCGCGGATGATGGGGCTGAGGTACTCAACGTCCTATTTGATTCATATCGTTAGCATTGTGTACGGTAATGGTGAGTGTATACCCCAAAACCGAGTCGAGGCGGATGTGACAAATCCGTGCAACAGGATTGGCCGATATGGAGACTAATGCGGGGAGGGCGAAATTTGGATGTTGGAGACTCACCTCCTCGGGCTTGGTCTGCTCGTGGGCGGGAAGGAGAGTGTGGGAGATGGAGCACTGCAATTGACAAATTGATTAGATTTTGCGCAAGTCAGATACAGAGAGAGGGAAGGGGGCCGATCGAACCTGGAATGCACGGCGGATACGGAAGACACGGTCATAGGCCTCCTTGGCGGGAAGACGCTTGATGGCCTTCTGGACGTTCTCGCTCTCCTCGGGAATCAGATCATCGAACCTGGTTGGGCGGTTAGCAAGTGTTTCCGTCGAACCCTGGCGCGAACGATATCCGAAGAACCGGGGCTCCGGACAGATTCGACACGACTGCGATCGCTTTCAAAAGAGATGCCACCGGTGCGTGACGGATCCACCCGGCCAATTCCCAATTCTTGTCTCAATCGCTCGCGGTCGGGGGTTGTCGATATGGGAGGGCAAGATTTACTTGAGTCCGAGTCTCCTGTAGCCGGCGGCATCGGTGTACCAGTTGGAGAGAGGGGTCATCCAGCGCTTGAGCCATGGGCGCTTGACAATGTAACTGGCGAGAGAAGGGGCAGACATTTTGAATCCCGGGTATCCCAATTGACGTGGGTGTGGTAAAGGGTTGGAAAGGCTATCCGACTGGAACACGAGATGACCCGATGTTGCGAGGTTGTGCAAAACGGAGCTCGGGAAGCTAATCCCAAAACGGCATTTCTACGCCTCAGGCAAGAAGCACGTGATTCATAGTGCCTCAGGCAGTGGAGAGACTGTGGGAATGTCAATCGGCACACTCCACCTCACAGATAGGTTTCCTATGTCATACCCCATTCTCGATCCTATCGCTTGCTTTGCCGGGCTTGGGATTTGTTGAGATTTGAAGCAATCACTAATCCTTGCGTATACCGAGAAGCTTGATTGTTCTGGAGACCCCGCCCGAGTCCGTGCTGCAAGATAATAGGACATTGCGCATCCAGCAACCACACCGGGTTCGGTAGCCATCGGCCCCAGAAAACTCCCACCCACTCCTCCGTCATTACTCATTCCTTCTTCCTCACACAATATTCAAACTTCGGATTATTCGGATATATCTACGTTCTCTCCCAGAGCGCTTTGTTATCGGGTTACTGGGTTCCGGATCGAGCACCCGATATGCTCGTTTCCGGGGTCCCTCGTTAATACATTACGATTCGACAAGCTACGTGAGCGCCGGCCACCAAAATGACTTCAAATGGCCGAAGCGCTGCAGGCAGTTCCCCAGACCAAGCTCGGTCTATCCACCTCGACGATGCGTCCTACGTTCCCACCGCTCCGAGCTCCGATTTCCAAACCCGTCTCGAGCTCTTTTCCACAAAGATCCCCGATTTCTACATAGCACCTCTGTGCGGAGCTAGCGCTGGCGTGGCCTCTGGAATCGTTACATGTCCTCTTGATGTCATCAAAACGAAGCTCCAAGCTCAAGGCGGGTTTCGCCGAGGAGCAAAGGAAGTTGCATCAGGGATGTTGTACCGCGGAATGCTCGGGAGCGGAAGGAGGATCTGGCGAGAGGATGGGATACGCGGTCTCTACCAGGGATTAGGCCCAATGTTACTGGGATATCTTCCCACCTGGGCTGTTTATTTGGCAGTCTATGATCGAACTCGTGAATATTTCTATGACCAGACAGGTTGGTATATCCCAAATTGAATGATCGAGTCAGTACTGACTCAAACACAGGAAGCTGGTGGTTATCCCGCGGCTATGCTTCAATCACAGCCGGTGCATGCTCAACAATCGTGACAAACCCCATTTGGGTCATCAAGACGAGGCTCATGTCGCAAAGCCTCAAACAAAACAGTGAAGGAGTGCGAGCTCCCTGGCAATATTCAGGTACATGGGATGCTGCTCGCAAGATGTATCAGATTGAGGGCTTCCGTTCCTTCTATTCTGGCCTCACACCAGCTCTACTGGGACTGACGCATGTGGCCATCCAATTCCCCCTATATGAATACTTGAAGATGGCATTCACAGGCTACGGTATCGGTGAACATCCTGATACTGGGAGCTCACACTGGATGGGAATAACCCTCGCCACTTTCCTTAGCAAGATCTGTGCAAGTACAGTCACATACCCGCACGAGGTCTTACGGACTCGGCTCCAAACACAGCAGCGGACCGTGCCAGCGCCATCCCACGAAGAGATTGCGTTCCGCGGCGGATTGAATCATCCCCATGACCGTGGCCGGTCAAAGGGCATCTCCTCATCAGATGGAATGCCCAGCCGTCCACGTTACAAGGGCATGATTCGCACGTTCCAGACAATCCTTCAAGAGGAGGGATGGCGTGCCTTCTACTCCGGGATCGGCACCAACCTCTTCCGGGCTGTCCCGGCTGCTATGACGACCATGCTCACATACGAATACTTGCGGAAGCAGATCAGTACCTTGCAGCACGAGGGTGCACTTAAGCTTCAGATGGAAGAAGAAACTCGGGGATCTATATGATACCCGCGTGAACTACGAACGCAAAGGAATAATACCATTCCCGACTCACACCTATATATCCAATCCTTGGACATCAGCCCTCACCCCCTTCTGATTTCCAAGACCTTTTTTTTCCTTTTGTCACAACCCGCATAGACTTGGACGAGGCGATCTGTTACTTGGTATTTTCAAATCATTCTTTAGCGAGTGAAATCTGGTCCGTTGCATTCCGAAAATATACGAGGTTTCGGCATAGATGGCAACATCTCCAGACCTTGAAACCTTGACACGTGAAACAATTTTCACATGTCTTCTTCACATGCTTGCTTCACCCTGGCTGAAAGATTTCTCTGGCCAGAAGCATGATCTTGTCCTCATTCATTTTGCTTTTTAACTTGCCTACCATTTTTCTGGCTTTTGCATGTCGTCCGTTCTGTACATACAACCCTCACACTACATGCTTGCCCTTTTTCGTGAATACAAATACTCAAATAAACCAAAGGCTCTCTCGTATTCGCTTAAACTCGAAAGTATCTGATTTAAGATGGAATCATTCACTTGATAACAATGGGTGATAATTCATCTTGATTCTGGAACATCCTATATTATTTAGACCAAGAGCGCTCTAGACCATCAGCCCTCATGGGGACTTTGTCTCTGTTGTAGTACTGATATAGTACTGATGTATTAATATTATGGTGTTACAACGGCGGCAAAGATTCTTTTCATAAGGACGTGTGATGTTGAATGCCTCAAGGTACGAATGCCAAGCACTACTCTACGCTATAACTGGCACAACTACAGGACCGTATTGATAGTGCCCACTCATATGGATGCTATATGAGCTTCTAGCAGGAGTCTGCCATTATCAAGGGCGTCGGATCGTTATAATGTCAAACAACCAACCCAGTGTTGTCCTCCTAGTCCTGTTTCAACCGCCTCAGAGATTCATATTAGCTCTTCCATCCCGCAGAACAAAGTCAAATGACCATAACGGGATTTAAGATATGGCAAAATCAATTGGAAAATATATTCCCAGACTTTTCAAAATGGTAGGAGGTTGATCGGATTCTGGATATTCTCTTCAGGTCCGACTATGGTTTAAACCAACTACGAAGGTTATAAGCACAAGCAATCCACTTCATTCCCAGCGGACTACATTATTTAGGCTCAGTCTCATCATCTTTATCTGGAGAAGAACTGTTCTACTTTCTCTTGGAAATGTTCCATGATCCTTTTTTTTTTCAAGGTTTATCATAGACTTCAAATTCATCAACGCCAATGAGATCCACATTCAATTACTCAGATCTTGCCGAGGACTAACTCGAGATTTAGATACAAATCTCGATTTTGTCGGAATCTATATCAAACTCACCATCTACGGTGTTTGAAACATAGCCAAATCCATTGTTCGTACAGCTTGTACTTTTGCTTAATTTACCAAAAACGCAAGGATTGATGAGTTGAGATGTCCCGTGAACATTTAATCCATCCCAATACTAAAAATCAGCATGTATTTATCATCTGGGTGCAATTTTCTGAAAGTTTCTCTTGTCGCAAAGAGCTATGTATTAGGTCGAACTTTGAGTTGCTACATATATGGTTTGTTTCTCCCCAAGCTGACGAACGAGATCACCTAAGATGTCTTGAGAATGAAGCTATCATATTCTAGTGCGGGGACAAATGTGCTATCAGTTAGTATATGCATTGAATATAATTGAAGAACTATAGAAATTACCTCTAAGACCTTTAGCCATCGTATCCAATGTGGCCATCAGGAACAGAGAGAAGAAGAAGAAGAAGAAGAAGAAGAAGAACAAGCCATGGATGGTTCCCTTCACGCAATCTGTTTTACTTCTTCTCCGTGTACGAGGCTTCGGTTTCTCCCTACGTCATTGTTGGGCATTACATTCACACATTAACATCCACTAATCTATTTTGGGAGGCGGCCTAGTAAAGACGCTATATATGTATAGAGAAAAAGTCTTCTCACCTTCTTTCTGCTTTGATACCTTTACCTATACTACTTATTTTATGCCTACTCTATTCCATTAGAGAGGCACATACCACTAAATCTTTTTTACCCTCTTACTTCTGCCAACCTTGGAGGCAATCCACACACGATAGCGTCATGGCGTTTATCCATCGGCCTATGCATACAAGGTTTATCTTCGATAGAAAGGATGAGAAGTTTCTGGTATATGGATCATACTACCTACTTCGGTCCCATATCACAGACTTATCCCTCGCCGAGCACACTCTACGTGAATTGAGACAGCGTGAGGAATGGTTACACCAGAAGGTTATGGCCTTGCAAAAGGCCATGGCTATTCAATCTAGTGGAAATCCGACCGAATTCGAAATCGCAAATAAACAGCTCGAAAATATTCAAACTCAATATCCAGAAAAGGAGCACGCTCTTTTCCAAGCAGAATATAGGTTGCCCTTGAGGTTCAAAGACGCTTATGATAGCCTAAGGCGTGATAGCAAATGGTTTATGCGCGAAGAAATGGTTCAGGAATGTTCTGATCGAGGTGGATGTTGTAGTCGGGAATGTGGATGCTGTGAACAGAGGTGTCTATCTCAAAGGAAGAGAGGCCGAGGCCATTGCACTGTAAAGTGCGGCTGCTGTATCGGCTTTCGAGGTTTCGAGCTCCCAGACAACCAAAAAGAGGAGATACGCAAGGATCTACAGAATATGCTGAAAGAGGACAAGTCATCCTATACGCTATATGTGGCAAACTGCCTTTTTTGCCCGTTAAAATTCAAGCCTCCAATGTCTCGGTGGCAGCGAATGAAAGGGGCTCTGAAATAATGCTCTTCTCTCGGTCACTTTAGAATCAATCGTGCGCTAAAATGATTCGCTAAAGCAATGGATTGCTTCAAGTCAAGGTTTAGGCTACGACCTAGACTATCTATCCCGTTGAATATAGGCAATTTCTCTCCTAGTCAATATTTCTTAGAATGCTCTGGTTGCCTAGGTCTTCTTTGTGCAGAATCGGCCCTTGGGTAGTTGCTTGCTAGCTTGGAGGGTCATTAAGGCCTAAGACAAAAGCTCAAATGACAAACTCAACTGAAACACAGGGGCCGAGAAACGCTGACAACAGGATGGACCAAAAACATAACACGCTAAAAATAGGACCAAAACTAGAGTCTATCCATATGTATCATGTCAGTAGCAGGACAGATGAGCCTGTGGGAGGAGTAGGATAAGCGCATTCAGCATTACGCAGGACCCTTGCCCTTAAGGGCCCTCTTGATATCACCCAACACGTCGGAGTCGGGTTGGTATGGGACTTGGAGACCGTCCTGTGGAGCGACAAACTCCAAAACAGCCCCAGAGCTTGTTGTTTGGACGTGAGGGTGCTGTTTCTCACTCGGAGTCTCCCCTAATAATGAGGTTTCGCACAGGATCGTCAGGCGAGGACGCGATAGGCGAGTAGTTGCCTCTTCGTCGGCCGTCTCAGTCTCCTCGAGTGTGTGTGGTGTTGACCGGCCGCGGATGACCCTTCGCCGGTGGGATCAGCTTCGTTGGCGCCCTTATTCTTCGTGCTTGTCTTTCCGATGGTAGTGGTGTTGCTGGCGGGGGTACTCTCACTGGCTGGAGGGACGCTCTTGGTTAGTATGGGTATCTTTTTCAACACCCGCACTTCCCATAGGCGTTTCGCAAGTTACCCACCTTTCTTAAGCCAGAACTTATACCATGGTGTCTTCGCCTTCTTCATTCCCTCCTTCTTCTGCTCGAGGTACTCCTCAATCATCACCCCCTGGGGATGCCTCCTGCGGACTTGGCGGGTGTGGGACCTACGCATATATCTATTAGATCGATGGATACATCAACAAAGCGCAAATCAGACTATACGTACCAAAAGACCCACACCACGGTCAGTAAGATCATGGCCAGCGTGAGTAGGCCAGAGACAGTAGCGATTAATTGACCCTTCCACGCATTGGGGTCCCTGCACTCAGCGGGGCAGACGGGAATGGTCGTTGGAAGACATTCGTATAGAGGTATCAAATTTTATATGGTACTGTGCGGCAGGTTTGTTTCCTTATATACCTCGCGGCAGGTACCTACCTACCTAGTATGTATGTACGTAAGGTAGGTACGCCCAGTCCTTCAGATCATACCTCGGTACCTATAATTCTGATCAAACTTAAATAGCTTAGGTTGATCTCAGTTTGATCTCAGTTTACTCTTAGTTTGATATCAGTTTAATCTCACTTTTACTTCAAATCGATAGATCCTTTAATCTTTTACTTAATTTGATATACAGAGAGATCGAACTTTAAAATTTTAGTTCTATAAGAGGTAAACCCCTCTATAGATTAAAAGATCAGTGAGAGTAATCTAGAGCTGTTTTGATCATACTATCTCTTCGTAACACTTAGACTATGGATAGAATACATTAACAACCTAATGCTATAGATAGGGACCAACCAAGATGAAAATACCTTAAGAGTTGATCTCCTCCCTTTTATGATGACCAGTGGGTTGTCTGATAGCTGACTTTATTTTAACCTTCTCTATATACCAATGCGATCTGTTTTAGTTGGATATGTAAAATATATAAAGGATCGGAGAAAACACGAGATTGATTTCCATTGGCTTTGATTCGGAGGTTTCCGTTAGCTTTAGTTCGAACATTATGACTTCTAAGAGACGAAAATGGAAGGCCCCAAGGAAGAACGGAGGCCCAGCGCCCGTGAAACGACAGAATGGTGTCTATGTCGAGACAGTGGTTGGTGTCCTAGTCATTGACCCTCGTAAGCTATGTAGTTAGGAGCTCCGTCTACCTTACCAATACAACACTCTTCCCCTCTATGAGTTGCACCTCATAGGCCTCAACGGCCTAATACCGCAGATAGGAATATATATAGGAATATTCTATGATCTATGGAATTTCATCAGTCTGCAGTCAACTAGTCGGTTCTTAAGCGTTCATCACCCCGGTACACCAAACAGTCAGTCACTTCCCCGTGCTCCGCTAGTTCAGCCTGATTGATCAACTTCGAGGAGGCCACCACCTTGCTGGTTGGTCGGGAGAATTACTTCCAAGAGGAGGCGGTCCCAATTCGCTGCCAACAACTTCCCGCCAGAAGGGCAAAAGACTCTTGTCAAGCCTCAAATTTCAAATCTGCATGTCTTACTGCCGGGTAGGCAAGTCGTCGCTGAATCCTAGCTACTTTACAGTGATTGATCTGACTTCACAAGTTTTGCATTTTAGGAATGAGTTCTCTGCGTCGATATTAGAAAGATAATATGCTTCTATACGAGATCCATAGTACAGTTCCTTTGAGCGATGAACGGGGTAAAGAAAATCGTACCCTGGGCTCGCGTGCGCCTGGCACAGCGTACTCGTGAGTATTTTTAGAACCCCTGCCAACATGCAGTGAATATCTATACGTAGATTGCTCTCAAGGCAGCAGAAAGAGATGAGCTTTTCATGGGCAAATCGAAGCAGTACGAACTATATCCGCCATAGAGAGCTGGCCAACCAGGGTATGGGTAGTCACGTGATCCGCTATTTAAATTTGCCGCGAATATTTTTTCTCTCCTTGTCTCCAATTTCTCCCTCTACCATTTTTTTCCCCGCCAACCATCATGCTGTCCGATACTTGTTTCTCAGGTGTTTAATGTCTGCGCCTGAAGAACTAATACTACAGTGATCATATATTGATCTCAGATCAATCTGTCGATTTTTCTGGATGATCGGATTCACTTACTAACCACCTCTATGCTTCTCTCAAGTAGCAACCATATCGTTGTCCGTTGGTTATTTCCTAAATATTCGACGGCAATTGGAACTGCCTGTCTAAGTTTATCAATTGCCCATCAGATATCGCGCTTTCTCAATATCTTTGGCTTGTGACATTCTTTCCTCACTATTCGCATGATGAACAATTTCAAGATTGAACTGGGTTGTCAATTACACTTGGACTCCCGGTGCATGATCATTCATACACTGAAAATTCTGATTGAATACGGAAAGATGTCATCTCTTTGGATTTTGTTTTCAACTACCTTTCCTATAGCTATAAAGAGCTCAATGAACATGAAAATTCACATGCACAAGTATTGCAAACTAAACTTACGGAGTAAGTAGGGATCAGTTGTAGTGGATTTAATCCAAATGTTATTTATTATGTTAGGCTCTTCCCATACAGTACTTAAGCTCGCCCCTTCCCATCATTCTGCGCTCGACTCTCATCAAGTGCCTGTTGAACCCACGACTCGTCTTTTCTCTCTGATGGATTAGCTCGCTGATGAGTACCAGGTCCCAGACTTGGAGCTTGGGTCTTGGCGTCTCGCCGCGCAGTGCGGATAGAGCTAAAGCAGTACGAACAAAGGATGATGGCCATCGTAAAAGCTGCAATAGGAGCATTGATAGACTTGATTAAAACCAGTGTTAGAGAACCTGTATCACAAGAGAGAGGGGAAGTGAATTAAAAACTTGTAGAGTGTGGTAAAAGAATTTTATGGAAATGGAGTGATAGTGCTGTATTTATCGTTTGAAAAGCGCTGTACATACCCCTTTTGGCTTGCCTAAGGCTTTGTGATCCGGTATTTGTTGTGGCATTATGTTTGATGCTTTGAGATTGAAAGGTGTTGGAGTTTGATTTGACTTGAGCGATTACCATGCTTATCCCTCACTAGAGATAGATGAATATCCAACCTGAGGAATAGCCGACTTAAACACGATTGAGGGCAATGAAAATAATTGAGGAGATATTCTCATGTAGTCAACATTGACTGAGAAGTGATGTACTCCGTGGATGGCTGCGGCTGGAGCAACAATGCAAACAAGACAAACTGCGGGTCTCCCCAATCAGTGTTATCGCATCATCAATAGATCGATGCCGACGTTTTTAGGCCGTCGACACGCTTGCTCTTTCCACACAACTATGGCTCCTGAACCGACCCCCGCTAGAGGGGCAATGTCTCTCTATGCTAACCTCCTCGATCCATCTACCGACGCGCCTGGTATCATTTCCCGGGCACCCGTTGTCTTCAAACAGAGCTCGGAGAATCAAGCCCAACCTGACGACGGAGGCAAAAAGCAACAGCTGAAAGACGGTATGGTGTTCATCTTTCATGTCTTTTGTCTCTGCGTGAACGTTTCTGACACCCCATTTCTCCTCTCGGCAGCTTCTCTTCGTTTCCAACCCACCAGACGCCCACAACTCTCTCAGAAGCCTAAACCAAAGCATACTCTACCCAAGATAGCGTCACACCCACAACCCTCAGCTAGCCGGACTTCAGTACCGACAAAGAGTACATTAGCTGACTGGGCTGCCCTTGAGGACGACGATTATGAGTATGCGCGCGAGAAACGGCAACGCGGCGGAAGAAAGAAACGCAAGAAGAACCATGAATCGCGGGTGGTCCACAATTGGGACGATATCTACGACCCTTCCCGACCCAATAACCATGAAGAGTACAGAAACAGCGAGGAGAAGATTTATGAAGTTCGCGAATGGAAGGATTTCTTGTATGCGCATCTCAGGAAGCGCTCCCTAAGCGAAGACTCGGATAGTGATGATGACCATGACCGGCCAAAACCGCGTATGTTCATACTTTTTACACATGATGAATTTGAGGCCATGACTAAGGAATCACAATTAGGTCAATTTGCGCCTCCAAGCAGCTTTGCCCCGCCGCCTAATCTTAACAACGTGCCACCACCAGCTGCCGTCCCCGATGATCCGACTGGCGAGGATGCATTTGCTCGCCGTGCAGCTTTAGTCCAATACTCCAACGATGAATCCGGCACCAACTATGGCCAGCATCCACCACCCCCACCTCCTGATGATCTCGCCGGAAAAGACGCATATATGCAGCGCTTCCAGAGAGATGATAACCAACCATCAGGAAGCATTCCACCTCCTCCACCAACACGTCCCCTCGACGCTTTCCAACCTAGCTCCGCCACCATCTCTCGCGCCCCGGTCCGATACAATCTCCCACCACCCCCGGAGGACATCCCAGCCTCACAAGCCGAACTGGACGCTGTATTGGCCAAAGAGCAACCAGCAGATGAAGAAGAACAAGATGATTCCGCGCCACGATCACTTCGTCCCGGTCAACAAGGCTTTGCCGAGAGACTACTTTCCAAGTATGGATGGACCAAAGGCTCGGGACTCGGCGCTACCGGTTCCGGAATGGTCAAACCACTGCAAGTAAAGGTTGAGAAGCGGAAGAAACGACCCGATTCAGAGGGTGGCGGCTTTGTCACACCTGCTGGACGCGGTAAGATTATTGGGAGCAGCAAGAAAGGGGAATACGAGACTAGCAAGTTTGGTCCTATGGGCGAAGTGATAATCCTCCGGGGCATGTTGGACGGCATGGACCTGGATGCCGAAATGGAGGGCAGCCAAAATGGCGGATTGATGCAAGAGATTGGAGAGGAGTGCAATGAAAAGGTTTGCGTCTTTTTATCTATGGGCGTTTGGGGCTTTTGCTAACCTATTATACCTCAAGTATGGAACCGTGGAGCGAGTTTTCATTGCTCGAGACGCCGGAACCCCTGTCCCGGTCTTTATCAAATTTACCAGTCCCTTGTCTGCTCTACGGGTGAGTTTGTTTGGGTTCAATTGATCTTGTGCATCTCTAACTATTGGATCTACACTAGGCTGTGAATGCCCTCGAAGGTCGGAATTTCAACGGCAACACAATTGTGGCACGATTCTACGATCTCGAAAAATTCAACCAGGGGATATACGTGGACTAGTTTCTCATGCACACCCCCATTTATGTACACAGGAAGGTTTACGACACCTTGATCCATTGGATCCTGGCACAGGTTTTCGATTATGATGAATTCGACAAAGGGGACTTCATGAGCTCATTGCTGATGCTTGCACTCTTTCTGTACGCTTATGATAATGTTCGAGTTAATAGGATCTCATTTTAGTGAAATATCTTCGAAATTCTCACAAAACTAAGTAATTAAGTTGTAAATTATTCAATGATAGATTATTAGATCGCCTATACAACCCCCCGAAACTATCTCAATAATGCATTTCCACCCGACTACCTAAGTACTTCACCTATCGGCCTATCACCTTCTTGGCAGGAATTGGGATCCAAGACCGCGAGACTGTATGCTTCTTCGGTTCAGAAGTCTCCAGTAAAGGCTCCGTGTCCGACATTTCGTCATCAGAGACTAGTTGCACGTATGAAGGGATCTGCTCGTATTCCAGAAGCCTCGTAGGAAGAGGAAGCCAAGACCGGTAGCTCCGTCTCTCGCTGGCCTCAGATTCTTGTGTCAAAGGCTCATAAGCATATTCGTCGTCAGAATATTCTTCGTTGTCAGCATCCTCTACTAAAGCATTACAAGAGCAGGGTGAGCTTGCCGGTTGCACTAGGCTCGACTTGCGTGCTAGACCCTTGTGGAACAAACGGTTCTCAGCTAGGTCAGTGGGTGCCTTACCATCTATACTAGGGGACTGGGGGACTGATGGTTCCATATCCGATGCCTCATCATCACTCTCATAATCACTGTCATTGATGCTCCGGTCCTCGTGATGGTGGAACACACCGTCCATTGCGGCTGAAGAATTATCCCACCATGGGCGAGTGATAGATCGATGTTGTAGGAAAACGTCGGTTTTGCAGTCTGGACAACGCCCTGTACGTGCTAAAGAGATTTGAGCATGGTGTTCTTCGGTGCACTCATAGCCCTTGTGAAAGGCGTCGGCGCAAGCAATTAGAGAGGTGGAATGCGGATCTGGGTGTAAGCACCGGGCATAGTACCAGGTAACTGAGTGACACATAATAAACAATGGATAATGGGATTGGGGTGACTGTGACTATATTTCATAAGTTATTGGATGCTGAGGATTGCTGAATTTAGATGAGATGAGATGTGAAAACTATTATTGAAAAGAGAATCCAAAGGGGGGAATCTTAACTTATACATACAAACCCGAAAGAGTGTTGGCTTTTACCGACAAACTCTGCTAGAAGAATGCCTTATATCATTCTTCGTTCAAAGCACATTATCGAGGATCCAACTTCATGTTCAAAGACAAGACAATCCTGTTGTCCTAAAGCTGGCTAGAAAGCAGACGCAAAAGCCATTGTCCAGTATGGGAATCATCACTGAGACTTTATAACCCTTTGTCATTATTGTGATTATTGAAAGCCTTTGTTTGATGATGCTGTGAAAGATCAGATGTGCTGTTTCTTTTTCAGCCAGTCTTGTTGAAAGAAAAGTCATCGATTTTCAAAACCTATCAAATGGTAACTGGACTCGGTACCCAGTTTGGGTATCAGATCAAAGATGCCCTCAAACTGATATTTTGATAGATGGATGAGGTCAACACCAACCCTTCTTTGGGCTGGGCTTGAATTACTAGGGTTGTAGAAGCCAAGAGATATTCGTCATTCATCTTTGAACTCCAACGTACTTCCCTTGTTTCACGATCCTGAACAAATGCAACTTAATCGGACTCTATAACATGGTGAAGAATTGTCGAAGTCTCAAAGCTCAGCGGCCAATCTATTTGAAGGAATTGCATTGGCATCCACCATCCCCTGCTTTATTGCTATATGCGCTGTTATATGGGTATACGACAACAAAGTGCACCCAGAGTTGGCTCATGGCCTAACTCTAAACACAATCTTTTCGGTATTCGACAAGATGCAAATCATCAGAAGGCAGAGAGGGCATATGTTCAATTGCAGCGCTCTGGCACGATGGGAGAGTGATTCTCTCCGACAGCAAAATTTACCAGCTGCTTCGGATTAGGGCTGAGCCCAACTTGAGGTTGGAGTATTTCAAGAAGTGAAGCAGAAGCAGGCTTCACCCAGGGCCCATGGGCATCTGTTGTAGGCCTAGATTCGAGAGATAGAAGATCCACCCATGGACTAAAGAGCCGAATTCCAAGCTGGCCATATACATCAAGAATTGTGCAAAATAACATCACTACCGTACCAGTTGTGTTTGCAACCTTGGCCTTAACAATAGAAGTGAGGCTCCATAGGCCCTGTTGGTTCCCGGGAGCTCTGTATGCATTACGTAATCCGACTCATTGTTCGGATTGGGGAGATGGATTGTTATCACTTCCCCCGGGCCTCTGACGATTGCCACCTTTAAACCTTCCCTCATCACCTCCCCTTCTTCTCTTGGTCATTGCCTACCATCCGCTTCTCTTACCCCGCAATTTGGCTGCCACCGAGCCGCATATTTTGACTTGGTCTTCATTCACCCCGCGAGTCGACCCATTTTCCAAGCTACTCACCTTCTGAGCACTACCCGAGATGTCGCTGTGCCAGAACCGCCTGCAAGAAGAGCGGTAAGCATTCTTCTGTTCCTACAGATCCTGCAATCCTGCGATTCTGCGATTCTGCGCGTTGTATGCGCTCACTCCTTGCCCCGTGCTGACCGCCATGGATTTAGAAAGCAGTGGCGTCGCGACCACCCATTTGGTTTTGTCGCAAAGCCGACACGCACTGCGCAGGGTGGTCTAGACCTGAAGAACTGGGAGTGTGCTGTCCCAGGGAAGGCCAATACTCTCTGGGAAGGTGGCTTGTTCAAGATGTCTCTAATTTTCCCCGATGGTGAGCGGCGCAATACATTCCTCCTAGCCGACGATCCTTTTACTAATCCAGATGGTATTTGGTGCTTCTAGAATACCCTACCAAGCCTCCCAAATGTATGTGCTCCCTTTGCGACGACTTCTAGCGCCCAATGGAGAAAAGCTTCTGCTGGAGGCCATTCCCATGATAAATCGGTATGATCTCGTGCTAAAACAATGACTCTCCAGGCAAATTCGTCCCGCCACTCTTCCACCCCAACGTCTACCCTTCCGGAACAGTGTGTCTATCAATTCTGAACGAGGAGGAGGATTGGCGACCTGCCATCACCATTAAGCAGCTCTTGCTTGGTATCCAGGATCTTTTGGACGATCCGAACCCTGAGTCGCCTGCACAGGCAGATGCCTACAACCTTTTCAAGAAGGACCGTCCTGCTTACGAACGAAGGGTCCGTCAGGTTGTTCGGGAGAACCAGCCCAACTAGACTTCAATCTGCGCAAGCGTAAACAGCGATGGCGCCGTATGGCTGATTTATTTCTTTTTCTTTTTTGAGCATGGGATACGAGGTGATTGCGAGAAACATCATGCATTTATTGTTTAACGAAGGAGCATATTTTGCTTTTCTGTCGCGAGCATGGCGTTTCTAAATAACCCCAATGGATGGCGTTTTCTGGGCTTAGGGTCAATCAGAAACAATGATACTACATGCATGCTCCCTGCCGGGGTGCTTAGGCTTGCTTGTACCGAGCACGGGCCAGTCCTCGCAGCAGGAAGCCGATGTCGTACCTGTTTGCTCTGTATGCACGTAGGTAACACTGGGCAGCCAACGCCACTTAGGGTATCTACATCTCTACACCAATGAACTAAAACTGTGAATGGCACCTTGAGAACTTTGGAAGCTTGTTCCATTCTCATACTTGTAACAAGATGCCAATTCATCTATTCAATGACCAAAAAAATTCCATTCAATGCTTCATTCGAGGGTCACTCGTGAACTAAACACTGCGTCATACCTACATACCCATTCCACTAGCTCTGGACAATGTGAAAGTTGCACACCTCTCCTTCTGCACTTGACAATCAAGGCTTGTACTGCGTTCGTTATTTGTATCCGGAGGCAAGTCAAAGTCAACTATACACGATTCTAGAGTTTGATACACTCACTACTGGTAGGAGTCTTATGCAGAGATTCATGAGAACCGCCTGCAGCAGCAAATATTCTTCATTCTTGTACTAGTATCTGCGTATACTAGGGCCACAAAGGTATATCATTAGACTTGCTCCTTTCTCTCAAAATTTTGAATCAGGATCTTAGTGGTGTCATGATTGGCGTTCATCAACGTGACCTGTCACAAGCCAGTGACTAACCCTTAGATATTCGCCGACGTGGAGAGAAACCTTGCAATCTCAAGACTCTTCCTAGAAAAGAGCACTAATACGAATATGCTTTGGGCCTTGGGCTTTGCTCTCTTTCTCAAACGTCTTGGGTGAGGGGAAGGAACATGAGTCACCTTCCACAAGGCACGCCGGCGATCTAGAAGGGTCTTCGCGATTCCCAGACCGTGAACCAGTGTCAAATTCACATGAATCTTTGTGATTGAATGAATGGCCGATAATTTGAGTCCCCACTTTGTGGATAACCGTTCTACGAGGGGTTTTGCCATTCTCTATGTACCTAGGTAGTATAACTACCTGCCTTTGGGACTATATGATGAACTGATCTCGGCTTTTGGACTGTCCCAAAGAACCCGGGAGGGCGTCAGGTGTTGTAAAGGTTCTGGTTTTGATTGGCATTATCTGCTCCGATTAATGAAAATCGAATTCATTCCATCCAGGCTATGCATGAATGTATCTCTTTTGCATGAGTCATATCGGCCATTTCTGTTATTGAATTCGTAGCCGATATACTTGATTTCCAACCCTATTCTCTTGGCTTTCACAGTGTGGATAGCGACGAACCTCAAAATTGTGGTGCCTCTGACACCTAAGTATATTGTTTGGAATGAATACGGACTAGTAGGTCGCGATCATGATCAATGATGATCTGATAAAACTTGATATTGCTCGCAAGGCTGGCATAGCTAAAACTAGAGACATATTCAAGCATGGTGAAGTACTTGCAGAGCTCAAAATAAACAAATACTGGTATTCTATGGATGGTAAAATGATATACATCACAATACAGAACTAGATCGTCCGATGGATTATTGGCGTGCACATCGTCATAGGAGGGGTTAGGTTAGGGCTACCGTTCCCGTGGTGGGGGTCGGCCAATCACGTGACAGGCAATCGGATCGTCATCCAGCCCCTGCCAAATGCGACGACGCCGAGATAGTACAGAGGTCAGCACAGTAATATGAGCCGAGCAAGTAAGCGTGCATATTTGAGTCATCCGTTCGCAGTAGTAGCTGTAGGTAGTATGAGCCCGTGGAAGCTTGGCTGTTTATCTTATCGGTGACTCAAAGACTTGCCGACATCGCCCCTCGCCCCGCCGCGAGGGCACCGGGGCAAATTTGCAAAAAAATCGCCGAGCCTTCCCCATAGACCCGGATTAGTCAATTACCCTTCTCTTCCCGACTCTTCTCCTCCCTGATCTTCATCATCCCCAGTCCTCAATTGCCCATCATGTGTGGAATTTTCGCGTGCCACCAGTGCGTCGTGCCTTGCCCTAATTCCTCCTGCGCAATAGTGGGATGGAAATGTGGACTGTACTAACCAGTGGCCTATAGTCACCCTGATATCCAAAAATTCAAGCCGACCGCGTTGCGCATGGCCAAGGCGTGAGTATCTCTGTGACTTCTCCAATTGCTACGAATCGCAGTCGATAATCCATGGAATTGTCGCTAACTTGTGTCTTGATCCCAGTGTGCGCCATCGCGGTCCCGATTGGAGTGAGTCACAGCTCGAGTTACAACATTGCGCATTCCACATGGGGATTCAATGGTTAACAAATGTTTTCTAATAGGTGGAAACTTCTGCGCTGAGAGCACTAGTGAGTCAAGGACGCAAGAAAAATCGGTGCCAATATGGTATGCTAACGCGTGATTTCTAGTCCTCGCACACGAGCGCCTGAGCATCGTCGGTGTCGGTATGTGGCCCTTGTGAACAATCCATGACTCGAAGACCCCATCCGCTAAACCCACGGTATCCAGACTCCGGTGCCCAGCCCCTTGTCAACGAAGATAGCAGCCTCGCCCTCGCCGTCAACGGCGAGATCTACAACCACCGCTCGATTCGCAAGAACCTTCGACACAAGTACAACTTCAAGACACACTCTGACTGCGAAGTTATCATTCCCTTGGTATGTCAGGCCAAATGTGCGAAATATTAGAATGAAAGTGCTAACATACAATAGTACGAGGAATATGGCCTTGATGCCCCCAAGCACCTCGATGGCATGTTCTCTTGGGTTCTCTGGGATAAGAAGCAGGACCGTGTTGTTGCTGCCCGTGACCCCATCGGTGTCACCAGCTTCTACCTCGGCCGCTCCTCAACGGCCCCCGGTGCCGTCTTCTTCGCTTCCGAGCTGAAGTCCCTGCACCCCGTCTGCGACGACATTATTGCCTTCCCTCCCGGCCATGTTTACGACTCCAAGACCGACAAGCTGACCCGCTACTTCGAGCCCAAGTGGTGGGATCCCACCAACGTTCCCTCGACCCCGGTCGACTACAAGGTTATCCGCCACAGCCTGGAGAAGGCTGTCCGCAAGCGTCTGATGGCTGAGGTGCCCTACGGTGTTTTGCTCTCTGGTGGTTTGGACTCCAGCTTGGTCGCATCTATCGCTCAGCGTGAGACTCTGCGTATGGCTGAAGCTTCTCGCAACGCCTCTCTCCAGACCGATAGCGAGTTGGTTGGCATCGATGACGACAACGAGCTGTCGACTGTCACCACTTTCCAGCAGCTGCACTCATTCTCCATCGGTCTCCCCGGTGCCCCCGATACCGAGGCTGCCCTTGAGGTCGCTAAGTTCCTCGGCACCAAGCACCACCCCTTCACCTTCACTGTCAAGGATGGTCTTGATGCCCTCTCCGATGTGATTTACCACCTCGAGACCTACGATGTGACCACCATTCGTGCCTCTACCCCCATGTACCTGCTCTCTCGCAAGATCAAGGCCATGGGTGTTAAGATGGTTCTGAGTGGTGAGGGTTCCGACGAGATCTTCGGCGGTTACCTCTACTTCCACGCTGCCCCCAACCGTGAGGAGCTCCACAAGGAGACCGTCCGCCGTGTCAAGAACTTGCACTTGGCCGACTGCCTGCGCGCCAACAAGTCCACCTCCGCATGGGGTCTTGAGGCCCGTGTGCCCTTCCTCGACAAGGAGTTCCTCGAGACCTGCATGGGTGTTGACCCCAAGGACAAGATGATCACTCCTGAGCGTATTGAGAAGCACATGCTGCGCAAGGCCTTCGATACCACCGATGAGCCTGAGACTGCTGCCTACTTGCCTGACAAGATCCTCTGGCGCCAGAAGGAGCAGTTCAGCGATGGCGTTGGCTACAGCTGGATCGATGGCCTCAAGGAAGAGGCCGAGCGCCAGGTCACTGACGAGATGATGAAGAACCCCAAGCCTGAATGGGGCACTGATGTGCCTGACACCAAGGAGGCGTATGTTTTCCCTTCATTCACATTTGTCGAACACTATTGAAAACTAACATCGGCTATAGTTACTGGTACCGTACCATGTTCGATGAGCACTTCCCCTCCACCTGTGCCGGCACTGTCGAGCGCTGGACCCCTACTTGGTCCAAGCAGTCTGACCCCAGTGGCAGGTAAGTCATTTGTTTCTTGTTTGCCTTTTTATTTACCTTTGAAGATTCTTTGCTAACCATTCTTCACAGAGCTATTGCCATCCACAACCAGAAGTATGACGAGACCGAGTAAAAAAGTCGCCTGAGAGCAAAACCAAAAGGATCTGAACTTGATTTTCTGATTTAGCATTTTGGGGATTTAGTACTGAATAGATTGTATATACCCTGATGTCGGTATATGTCGATATAACGTTATTACCTTACATCTCTTTGACCTGTGCCTTTGTACCATATCCACTGTAGTGTGTTTTATGTTCCAACTGCTCACTTTTCCGCTGCACGTGACCCTACCAGAGATGGTCGGCGGGCTTTCCCGGCAGCCGGGCAACCGCCAATCACCGCCCTCCCACCAACCCGTGCTAAGCCCCTAGGTTCCCCCAACATCATCGCATCTCTTCTCCCTTCCTCTTCCCTCATCTCTTCATAGAAACCACTTTTTTCCCTTCTCCATCTTTAATTAGATTTCTTTTTTCCAAAATGTCTGCCCCCGCTGCTTTCTCTGACATCGCCAAGGCGGCCAACGATGTACGCACACTGTCCGAAACAAAACTCAGTGCCCTGAAACTTGGCTAATACCTTATCCCAATAGCTCCTCAACAAGGATTTCTACCACGCCGCTGCCGGTTCGTCCATCCACAAATGGCATTGCGCCACTTTGGAAGCTTCAATGGCTAATTTAAACTTGTTTAGCCAACCTTGAGGTCAAGTCCAAGGCCCCCAACGGTGTCACCTTCACCGTCAAGGGAAAGTCTGCCCACGAGGGTCCCATTGCCGGCCAGGTTCGTTTGAACCCACCTGTAAACAAACCCCGCACATTGCTAAATATTGCGCCCACAGCTCGAGGCCAAATACGTTGATGCGCCCTCTGGTAAACGCCCCTCCCACAAAAAACCACCTGATCCCGGCGCGTGGAAAGGTCGATGCATGCCTTTGATATACGGATGTGGCCTTTCAATATCGCGCCGGGTGAAACTCTTTATTTTCTCGGATGCCGCGGTTCATAGGATTAGGCTAATATGCTCACTCCGACCAGGCCTCACCCTCACCCAGGCTTGGACCACTGCCAACGCTCTCGACACCAAGCTCGAGCTGAACAACAACATTGCCAAGGGCCTCAAGGCTGAGATCCTCACCCAGTACCAGCCCGCTAAGCAGTCCAAGGGCGCCAAGCTCAACCTGTACTTCAAGCAGCCCAACCTGAACGCCCGTGCTTTCTTCGATCTCCTCAACGGCCCCACCGCCAACTTCGACGCTGTTCTCGGCCACGAGGGCTTCCTCGTCGGTGCTGAGGGTGGCTACGACGTCAACAAGGCCGCTATCACCAAGTACTCCGCTGCCGTCGGTTACAGCGTTGCCCAGTACTCCGCTGCCATCACTGCCAGCAACAACCTGTCCCTCTTCTCCGCCAGCTACTACCACCGCGTCAACGCTCAGGTCGAGGCCGGTGCCAAGGCTTCTTGGGACTCCACCTCCGGCAATGCCGTCGGCCTCGAGGTCGCCAGCAAGTACCGCCTGGACCCCTCTTCCTTCGCCAAGGTTCGTTTTACCCATTGGGAGTGTTTTTGATTTTTGATTTTTGATTTCTTTTTTTGAATCACGGCTAATCGCGCAATTTTCTCGCAATATAGGCTAAGATCAACGACCGTGGTATTGCCGCTCTGGCTTACAACGTCCTGCTCCGCCCTGGTGTTACCCTCGGCCTCGGTGCCTCTTTCGATACCCAGAACCTGAACCAGGCTGCCCACAAGGTCGGCGCCAGCTTCACCTTCGAGGCTTAAGCGTTTGGCTCTCCAGTCTAATTCCAGAACCCTAGAAGATGATATAACGTCTTTTGGGAAAAATTGAAAACTTCACTTATAGTTCATCTGTCTCGCTGATGTGTCAGAACGATGATTATTGATTGTCGCGGGGGTTTTCTCTAAGATAATAATCATGTGTGTCGTAGATCTTTCTGCTCTATCACCATTTGTACATCAAATCCAACTGTTTCCTTTGTTGATCAATCCGTTTGATTCGTACGAGTAGACTACTTGGAGACACGAAATAACGCGCATGGCCGTGGGAGACCGTAGTCGTGAAAGAGTAGAAAGTATATCAACCAGCGATGTACATGATCTAGAATTATATACACATGTATGTAGAGAAGCAGATGCTATCTAGCAATATACAAACGAAAGGCAATGCCATCAAGATACAGCCTCTTTCCGCTTCCTCACCTTCTTCCCTTCAACAACATTAGGAGCCGCCCTCCAAACATTGACCACAACAAGCGTTAGCATCAAAATCCCCGAACAGATAAAGAACCGCCCAACAGTCCGATCCTTACTAGGCTCGGGATCAACCCAACCCTCATCAATCCGCCTCTTCCCCTCCCTAGTCCTCCTCTCCCGCCTCCTCTTATCCTCCGCCGCCTGCGTCCGGAAATGTCCGCGCGCATTGAAATGATTCAACGGATTCCGCCGAATAAACCCCTCCCAATCCTCGGGATCATACTTCGGATCATGCTTCGCACTACCCGCACTGAACCCAGCCGCAAACCCCTGCTCCTGCCGCCCCGTGCCGCCGTACCGGCCCTGCTCGTAGAAACTGGGCGGCGGCCCGTAGAATGCCGTCCGGCGCTTGCTTAGCCCGCTAGCGGGTCGCGACCCCGCGTAGCTGCTGTGACTACCCATTGGGTGCTTGTGGCTGAGGCCTTGGGATGAGGAGGTGTGGGCGTGATGGAAGCCGTGGTCGCGGTCATAGGTTGCGCGCTTTGAGGCGTTGCCGAGGACGTTGTAGGCGGCGGAGATGCGGGCGAAGCGTTGGCTTGCGTCTGGGTCTGTCCGGTTGCGGTCTGGATGGTGGCGCATTGAGAGGGCGTAGAATTTTCTGGTTGTTGGTTAGCATTGCGAAACGGATTTGTAGAATGGAGAGTATACTTTTTGATTTCGGCTGGTGTTGCGGTCGTGGGGATGTCAAGGATTTCGTAGAAGTTTTGCTCTTTGGCTTGGAGGGGATTGCTGGTTGAGAAACATGATATGGTAGGTCTTTGGGGGGGTCGTGGTCGGTGGTGGTGTAATTGTGGGCGGAGGGGTGCGGTTGGGATGCTCCGGTGGATTGATGAAGGAGATATGGTCGTGTGCGGAGAGAGGAGGATTGCTGGTACTCGGTAGGGAGGCATTGCTGCTTATTTGGATATTCTCACATCGAAGCAAGCTAGGATAGGAGCGCAGAGAGCAGGCGTTGAGGAGTGAATGAAGGGAGCAGAGGAAGTGGAGAAGTGAGATCGGAGGTGAAGTGGTGAAGATCGGAGTTGCGTCACTGCCCTTCAGGCTTGATTCTGGTCGCAATGCACAATTTTCGATGATTTGTGACTACCTGGGTAGACTAGCAGGCTGGAAGTAGAGTCTCAGGTTATTTGATCTAGCCTCTTACTCAACAACAATACATGAACCTGATTGACTCCTAACAGTCTTAAGTCCATGCGGCTGATGATCAGATTAGATAGGGGATGACCCTCTCGGGCACCAAGCCTTCGATCCAATGAGAATGGTCCTGGACTCGATGTAATTACATCCAGGTAGGTAAGTAGGTATGTTAAGTACTATATATCATACGACTAGATATGCTCACGTTCAACGGTGCCCTCCAAGCTGCCCAGAAGACAACCCACAAGCGATCGCCGATGAACTGTGAATCATTGAGCCACTCGATCTCCGCGCAAATAATCGTATACATATCATGATACGTAGGCTTCGCTCTACTAAGAAACCAACTGTGTCCTTCCACCTTTTGACTGTCAGACTACATCAACATACAATGCCTCTGGCAAGCATGTTTAATAAAACACTGCTAGAATACACTTTCATAGATCAGTGACAATCTAAATGCCTTGTTCAAAAGCTCACCAGAACAGGCAATCGCATAGACAGTAGTGAAAGGGGTTGAGGATGTGTAGCCCGAGGGTTTAGGGTAGCAATATCATATGTGGACAATCAAGCATGAACTTGATAGAAAGCCATGTCTCAATCCCAGAAGGCCAAATCTTATTACTTAGGACAAGGATAGACCCTGGGCCAATAATACTGCCAAAGAGCCCTTTCAATGGCATCAAAAGGTCCTTCCAGTCTGTACGGTAGAAGAGTCCACTCATCCGAAGGAGAGTCCTCATCGGTATCATCAACCGAGTCGTCACCATAGGATATAGCTGCGAGTATCCGAGGTCCAGTCAGGCTTATCGAAATATTTCTCTGGTCGAAAGTCTCCATCAGCAGTTTAATCACATTAATTTTGTTCCTGCTCGCAGCAACAGTCAAGGCACACAGTCGATATTCGTTCCAAATGAAAGGATCGGCCCCTTTCTTCAATAACAGCTTCGTTGCTAGCAATTCAAAATCCATATTATCGTTTTCGTTCTGAAAGAGACCCTTGATGCTGCGAGTTCCTAGGGCGTTCTTGATTCTGAATCGGATGCTATCCTGCTCCAAAAAAATCATTCTTCGGACGTCTCCCCTAATTGTGCTGAATAAAGGAGTCCATCGACCTAATGATGCGAGTGATTGATCGATCGGCACTCCGCGCTCTAGCAAAAGATCAACTGCGGCTTCCGCTGAGTCTCGGTCCTTTGCCTGAGCTGCAATTGCAAGGAGTGTACTCCCTCGAGTTTTATTGCAGACCACTGGCGGCATATCAACTGGTCGTTCGTCTGGACTTTGCATGTTTAAACTAAGCCCGGCATCGAAGAACATCTCTAAGATGGGTGCATTAGCTAGCATGGCAGCAATTGAGAGTGTCTTTTGGTGCGGTGCGAAATCCGGATTGAGTGCAACTCCATGGTCAAGAAGAAACCTGAAAACAGCTTCTCCTCCAAAAACTGCAAGTTCGATTGAAATCCCATCGTCTCCAAACGCAATGTCTTGGAGTGATGGGGTTAAAGTCCCAAATATCTTTTGAATGATCTCCAGTTTGCCCAAAAAGAGTGCGTAGTTAAAGAGCAACCCCTTCCCACGACTTTCTGAAAGCGCCTCGGCACATCCTTTATCAATGAGGTAGTTGACAATCTCATCGTGGCCTTTCTCAAGCGCGAGCAGAATCGGAGGAGGACGGTAGTCGCCCAACTCGCAACATTCATCCATAGAGAAACTTCCGTTTGAGGCTTTGAGCTTGGTTCTTGCACAAAGAGAGACGCCCTCTTCGAAAAGCAAGTCCAATATCCCAATATGGCCATGTTCAACAGCCAAATCCACCAGTGTTGCAAGGCCATTCTCATCGGTCCAGTCATTCTTTTTCGTTAATAGCAACTTCATCAGCTCCTCTTGGCCACCAGCTGCGGCGCCACATAAAAGCTTGAATCCTGCGTCCGCATCCAATTTGAGCATCTTTTCCATATCCGTCTTCCGTACGGGTAAAGATGCCATTGCTGGTTGCTCCAAGAATACATCCTTGTACAGCTCCAAAAACTTTTGGATATCGAAATTGTCTTGGCTTGCAATGACGAAATTGGCAAATGGCACATTTCCAACCGACAACGCGATTGTAAACGGTGGCACAGTCCCCAGAGCCTCCTCATCTACAAGCTCTGCTCCGGCATCGACCAAAATGTTGATGATCTCCATGGATGCGCTTGTAAAAGGGGCTGTAGCAATATACCCCAGAGGGACCATGCGAGAACTGGTCATCGCATTAGGATTGCAACCCTCTGCCAGCAGCAGTTTGATGATTGGAATATGCATTCCCATAACTGCCAAGGACAGTGTTTGGTCATAGAGTGTATCCCCATCGTCGTTTACAGATTGTTTCACAGCTCCATGATCCATCAGGAGACTGACAACCGAGGTATGACCCCCCCGGGCCGCGACGGCAAATGGATTCCTCTTCATATAATCATCGTGATCGGCTTTGAGGCCGGTGTCGTGGATAGGCGGAGTTGGATCCCGTCCATACTCCAGGAATATTCGGACGATATCAACATGGCCATTTTTTGCAGCTAGGGTCATGGGATCCTCGATGGAGCTCTGTGAATCAGGGAAGGGGGCACCCGCATCCAGCAACCTGCGAACACATTGTCCATTTCCAGTTTCTGCGGCCCTCGCTAGTGCTTGGCCCGTGTCCTCCGTGAGCAGTTCGTAAATTCGGGGTTTCAGTAGAGAATACAGACGAGAGTGGGATTGTGACAGAGCATTGAGGTCTGATAGATATTCCAAGTATGAAGATACAATGATCAATAGTTCACTGGGAAGCTTGAATAGTGACATGGTTAGGGAGCAGTTGTCCATCTAACACGAGGGATGAGGCTCAACAGTGACATCTGGTCTTTAGGTACCAAACGGGGGCGGTCGTTCGACGCCATACGAGGCAGTGTTCGTTCCGATTGGGCATCTACGCCACCTCTTCTTCCTACATGGCGGTACTTTTGACACCCACGATAATTCCCTCCCACGGGCATCGAGGGTACTTCATGCTGAATACAGAAGGGATGAAGGCTATCACTTCGAGGATATGTGTCTTAGTTTTCGCATGGCTTAGTCTCTTTTGGATTTTCAGGATATGAAGCAGGATTTTACGTACCTAGAGACGTATATGGCACACTACTATACATTGGATGAGATAGATCTACACGTCTTCATGCTTATAGTAAAGGTAAGGTTCACGACAATTTCCCAGCAACACAACACACACAGCACTCACCAGCATCCAAGAGTGTTCTCGTTTCAAATTGATTCAAGAAGATGTCTAAATCCAGCTTAGAATACCCACAAACAAGCATATATCGTACCGTAGTCATGGCCATATACGTACAAAGGAGAAAGGAATCATTCATGAAGGCACATCCACTCCCTCCAGCAGACGGCTAGTATGTCGCTATGTCGATCCATGACATGTTTCATGGATCAGACCTATGAGCATTGAGGGAGCTGCTCAATTGATACGCCCTGAACAAACCCCGAAAGAGTATAGATGACTGCTGCCGATGAAGTATGTGGTCGTGGGGCAAATCTCCAAAAACGGGCTTATCTTATCAGCAAAACTCTTTCCCCGACATCCGACATTCCCCTCCTTGGCCTTCGACATACTTGTGACTTGAATTCAACATGGCAGCTCAAGCTACAGAGAAGTTGGATCAGCTGGACCGTAAGATACCCATACTTGTGGCTTGCATACTTGTCCCATGTGGCGTATGGCTAATAAGATCCTAGTGAACGCTCAGGCCGCCCCCGCGGCGAACCAGGTTCCTGCTGAAGTGGAGGAGGACTCTGACGACGGCCAAGAAGACGAGGGTGCTGCAGATGCTGGAGCTGCTGGAGGTAGGTTCTTCTGAAGTTTCTCCCCTCTAATGCACCTCCCCAGTTCCGCCCCACAAAAGCACTTGAACTGACAGCTGGTTCACCTGTAGCCGACAAAAAGAAGAAGAAGAAGAAGTCCAAGAAGAGAAGCAAGAAGAAGGGTGGCGCAAAGGTCCAGAGCGAGCCTCCTCGCGTCCCTGTGTCCAACCTTTTCCCCAACGGCCAATACCCCGAGGGCGAGATCGTCGAATACTTGAACGACAATGCCTACCGTACCACCGACGAGGAGAAGCGATACCTCGATCGCATGAACAATGACTTCCTGCAGGAGTACCGTCAGGGTGCTGAGGTCCACCGTCAAGTTCGCCAATATGCACAGAAGAACATCAAACCCGGCCAGACCTTGACTGAGATCGCCGAGGGCATCGAGGATTCAGTGCGCGCTCTGACAGGCCACTCTGGTCTGGAGGAGGGAGATAACATTAAGGGTGGCATGGGTTTCCCTTGCGGTCTGAGCATCAACCACTGCGCGGCGCATTACACCCCCAACGCAGGCAACAAGATGGTTCTGAACCAGGGTGATGTGATGAAGGTTGACTTCGGTGCGCAGCTGAACGGCCGTATCGTGGACAGTGCCTTCACTATGCACTTTGACCCTGTGTACGATCCTCTGCTTGCCGCTGTCAAGGATGCTACCAACACTGGTATTCGGGTGAGTAACTGAATGCCCTTGCACCTCTCGTCTCAAACAGAGTTAACGAAATTTTAGGAAGCTGGAATCGATGTCCGTATGAGTGATATTGGTGCCGCCATCCAGGAAGCCATGGAGAGTTACGAATGTGAGATCAACGGCACAATGTACCCTGTCAAGTGTATTCGCAACTTGAACGGTCACAACATTGAGCAGCACCGCATCCACGGTGGTAAGAGTGTTCCTATTGTCAAGAGCTCCGATCAGACCAAGATGGAGGAAGGCGAGGTCTTCGCTATTGAGACTTTCGGTAGTACCGGAAAGGGTTATGTGCGAGAGGAAGTAAGTTCACAACTGCGATGATTTAGGCTCAAACTCGACGCTAACCTTACACCAGATGGAAACCTCGCACTACGCTCTCTCCCCTGACGCTCCCAACGTTCCCCTGCGTCTCTCCTCTGCCAAGAACCTGTTGAATGTGATCAACAAGAACTTCGGCACTCTTCCCTTCTGTCGCCGTTACCTCGACCGCTTGGGTCAGGATAAGTACCTTTTGGGCGTAAGTTCACAATGAAGTTCCTATGTGTGGCTTTCTAACTGACCTGAAATCCAGTTGAACAACTTGGTTTCCTCTGGAATTGTCCAGGATTACCCTCCTCTCTGCGATATCAAGGGCTCATACACCGCCCAATATGAACATGTATGTTTCTATTTTAGGTGTTCTCCACTTGAACCGTTTACTAACTTGTTTTGCAGACCATTGTGTTGCGCCCGAATGTGAAGGAGGTTATCAGCCGTGGTGACGACTACTGAGATATTAGATACATGACTAAAATAACAAAAGCATCTTTAAAGGCATCTTTTATTCCAATATCCCGTTAGTAATGCCTTTGAATCCAGACCAGAAAACAGAAACTTGATCTCCAAGCGCCGATCCTGCCAAGCCTCACACCACCAATGTACGCGGTGTCGCCCCACGTGGAACAGGAACAACCGTGTCCCGACTTTTCAAAATTGGTCCCTTCTGTCTCTCATGGCCTAAGCTCTGACACATATCGACCAATTCCGAGCATGTCCGCGGTTGCCGAAACAACTTCGCCGCACCTTCGGGTGTCGGCAGCCAAAGCGCCCGCAAAAACACAAGAATCAACAAGAATCCAGGCACCGGAGGCCTTGGTCGACGACCACTTCTTCTGGACATACACCGAAGAGCCGCACCGCTCAAGGCGGCAGGCGATTATCAAAGCGCATCCGGAGGTAGGTGAAATTGATTCGGGGTCATCTGTTGGTGTTATGGTCTTCGCCGACACCTCCATGCGGAGGTTGTGCGGAGTCCCCTGCATACACCTGTTCACTTGCCCTGGGCGACGGATAGCCTCAAGCAGTTCAATTGCGATGCTAATGAATGTGCGCCTGCTTTTATAGGTCACCAAACTATGTGGCCCCGAGCCTTTGACAAAATGGGTCGTCCTCGGTGTCGTCTCCCTGCAACTCACATGTGCCTACCTCCTCCGCAACACCTCGATGTTCGACTGGCGGTTCCTGGTGACAGCATACGTGATCGGTGCGACTTGCAACCAGAACTTATTCCTCGCAATCCATGAGATCTCACACAACCTGGCATTCCGGTCCGCCTTCGCCAACCGGTTGCTAGCCATCTTCGCAAATATCCCCATCGGACTGCCATACAGCGCAGCTTTCAGAGTATGTTTTGCACCTCCAAGAGCCTAACAACACACCGAATCCCACGAAAAGCACCAAACTAACTAAATACCAGCCCTACCACCTGACACACCACAAATCCCTCGGCGTAACAGGCCTGGACACCGACCTCCCCACAGCTGTGGAAGCCTTCCTCCTAAACTCCCTCCTGGGCAAGACCTTCTTCTGCACCTTCCAAATCCTCTTCTACGCCGTCCGCCCAATGTTCATCTACAGTCCCCCCTTCACCTCCATCCACCTCCTGAACGTGTTCGTGCAACTAAGCGTCGACTACGCCTTAACCCAGCTCTGCGGCTCCTGGCAACCAATACTATACTTCCTGCTGAGCTCGTTCCTCGCTGGATCCCTGCACCCCTGCGCAGGCCATTTCATCGCAGAGCACTACTTCTTCTCGAACGTCAAAACCGGCGGCACGGAGTCTCTGACTGAGCTGAAGAAGAACGAGAAGAACAAGACCCCCCACCCGCTTGATTCTCTCCCTCCCCCGGAGACATACTCGTACTACGGCCCGCTGAACATCCTCACCTACAATGTCGGCTTGCACAACGAGCACCATGATTTCCCCGCCATCCCCTGGACGAGATTACACAAGCTGCATGAGATTGCGAGCGAGTTCTATGAGCCGCTGCCTTGTCATCGCAGCTGGGTTTGGGTTATCTACACCTTCATCTTGGATAAGGATGTTGGTATGTGGTGTCGTGTGAAGCGCGAGCAGGGTGGTCGGATTGTTGGTGGTGGGAAGAAAGGAGACAATGCTGCGTCGAAGCAAGGATCTGGACGTAGTGGTGAGGGTATCTCGGCTGCGTCGGCGGGTCCGGCTGGCGAGGAGGGTGATGGGTGGAAGGAGAGTGAGCTCCAATGTTAGGACTGCTTTTCTGTCCTTTATGTATGACATGTGGTGTTGAACATCGGCGATTTCCAATTACATACATAGCTGGGTGGAATCCTAGAGTTTCAATTACAATCAAAATGGGTTATTATCTTATGGTTTCTAGGCGGCTTGATACCGGGAATGTTGAAAGGACTGAGACGGATTTACGTTTGCTCAGATGTTGCCGGGTGGTTAAGTCCCTAGGTAGATATTTCCCTCTGTGAAAGACCATTTAGGATATAAAGATAGCTGGGATGGCCATAGTCAAACAATCTCTAGAGGAAGAAGGAAGTGGCCCCAGGCTATAACCTGAATTCGCTTTAAGAGCGATCCCATGAATTATCCCAGCTCTGAGAATGGTTTATGAAACACAGAAAAGCAACAAAAGGCCGAATCCGTTCATCATAAAATGATATTACAAGACAGGAGGGTAAGAAGAAAAAGGACAAAGGAAAGCAAGTACAACGAAGGAAGACAAGACAGTTGTCAGGTCTCAGGAGAGGCTCGGAAGCAAGAAGCAAGAGGAGGCAACAGAAAAGAGTATCAATACCAGGGGGGAAAAATCAAATCAGACGCAAGGAAAGGCTGATGCTAGAACAGAAAGAAAAGGGCATGCTCTTCAAGTATCAAAGAGTAGATGGGAATTTGGAGGAGGCGTCAGCGACGTTAGACCGGAGGCATTATCACGCAGTGAAGAAGCGCAACGAAGCCAGATAGACCGTGAAAAAGCGACAAACAGAAGACCAGCTTAGAAGAAGAAGTATGCGATCAGGAAGCTGAGTAGGCAGAGACCTGCGACACCCTGGATAGAGACTCCACTGGCCGTTGGCACATGTGACTGCTGCATGGTGGCAGACCCGGCCGTGCTGGGGGCCTCTCCACCAGTCTTTCGCTGCCTCAATCCTTGGTCTGCAAGTCGGTCCTTCAATCGCTGGATGTGTGCGTTGGCCTCGGCGAGCTGCGATTTCAATTCTTCATTAGAGGGAAGAGTATTGGTGACAGCCGACCTGGTGGCTGAAACTACAGGTGCGGGCTCGCGCTGTGGAACCTCGGATTTGACCTTCTCGGAGAAATTGGGAGCAGGAATCGGGGGTAGTTCATCGGACTCGATCTTCTTGGGGACTGGGGTCTGGAAGTTTCCACCGCCGGGGGAGGTGTACATTGGAGGCTCCTCATCAAGCACCTAGAGAGAGTTAGACCGTGTGCATAGGTAGAGAGAGTCGTCGAAACGCATACCGATTCATTAGCCTTCTCTGAAGAAGCATCTGTTGCGAGGTAGACCACTCGGATCTTGCGCTCAATCACATCGGACTTGGAGGTTTGGTCGAACTAGATGGATATGTTAGTTGTTGGCCTCGGTGGCGGCGACTCGGTGTTAACATACAATCTGGCCAACACTGGCATCCTCCAAGCCACTGGAGACTGAGACGGCCTGGACCAAGAACTTATCCTTGCATTTGGCATCTGGGGCAGGGTCCTCCTTCATGGCCTGAAGCAACACTATGGAAAACAATCAGCCGATATGTATACTTTATGCGCACTCGATTGTCAACCAACCTTGAACCTCAACAGTCTTCCCCGGCTGGATGTGGCCAGAGTTTGGGCGCACACAGTAACTGGAACATAGTCAGATGGCAAACATCGGATATAGGGATGCGCGCAAATCATCGTCGAGACATACTGTTTGGGAGCGGTGGTTTTGACCTAATGCGGTGAAGACATACATCAGTACTGTTTGTATCCGCGACAAAGGCGGAGGGATACGTGATACATACCTTGAAGACCACAGCTTCGTGGTTGGGATTGCTCAGGCGCAGAATCTGGCATACTTCATGGTTGAATGGACCTATCATCAAGAAATGAGCGGTTGAACTCGGCAGGTCTCCGACAGGTTGGAGATCTGGCACTCACGCTTGAAGCCCAACTCGGAGGGCTCAATTTGAATAGTCATGATGCGCGTGGTCAGGGTGAAAGAGATCGGAGAAGGGGTCACAGATGATAAGAGGACAAAGGACTGCGTGCGATTAGATTGCGATTCGGAATTAAAGGCGTGGGATGGTTATCATGTCCAAATTGACACCTCAGGAGTTTGATTATTGTCCACTTTGGGGAAAGATGGTGACTCAGCAGTCAGGTGATGTCACTGTGGACAACCTCGGGAGCTATAAGTAGAACGGTCCGAGGTTGGTTGGTCTGTTCTTCACGCTAAAGATTTGCATTGAGCTTTTAGGGCCCATCGACTACGAGGCTGCGTGAAGTATCTTGTTTGCATCCTCACGATCTTCAAATGGCTTGTTTCGTATCCTGGGGTGAATATCCCTTCTCCACTGCATGTGATGGATGCCTGCTGTGGGTCGATTGTCATGTATCCCACTCATGCTTAATTGCAGTTCACGTTCTGATACTTCTGATCTAAGGGACCAGAACCAGCAGCAGACTCTACACATATTGACAGGGGAAACAAAGCATATTTATTGCCAAATAAATCCAAAACGCTATGGTTGTTAAGTCATCCTCTGCTTCGGAAATGCCTCTCTGAATTGCATATCCACACCATTCAGATTATTGGCCTGCTCTCTTGAGCTTTGTCCAAGCTTTCATGTTCAGACGTGCAATGTCCAATACCAAGCTCAGAGGCCGAGCTGGTTTGTTACCCACGACTAATATCACATCCACAATAGAGCGTGCAACAGCCCACTTGACCCACACAACGTTTAACCTGGACATGATCCATATTTTATTGAGATTTGATCCATCGAGCTCAAATTCTGCCCTGAATGGATCGCAATCGGCTACAAAATAGCCTTTCCAATACCGCTAAGTCTCATTGATACATCCAATGTTCCAGTTTCAGGTCATCAGTCCTGTTTTAAGCACAGTCCTCGTTACCATTCTGATTCTCGAACCACTCCCTTTACCCAAGCCTAGTGTCCCATGACTAGGAATTTTAATAAGAGGGTGTTTTTACATCCCCTTTTCTCGAGCACGCCTTCCGCTTCTGTTTTGGTCGCTTGACAAACGTATCATTGAAGTTTCTAGGTGCATCATGACATTAAAGAGACTGCTCAAAATCACGCGATATACTAGCAGGAGTAACTTTAGAGAGATGAATTGGCGAAAGATGTATTAATTGAAAGAATGAGATTCATGTAGGACACCTCAAGGCATTTAAATATCTCTCTATTCTACGAAGTACATTAAGGGGGAGTTTCTTACGAGGTCATCCCATCTAGAGCCCTTGAGGTGCAGTGTTCATCTATAGGCTTCTGGCACATACAATTTTAGCTCCCACCTCGCTGCAGCTAGAAGAATACCTCATTATGGAGGACAAAAAAGGGCAATGCTAGAAAATACCCACAGAACAGTTTATGAGCTGTGTACGCCACTGCTTTTCAGCCTCGATGAGCGACAATCATAGACGGGCGACGTAGATAGCTAAACAACTGCAACAAATCGGAATACAATTGCTCTGTATATTCTCAAATACTATTCAAATAGCCCATAACTGATGATATATTCCTTAGATGATTGAGACCCGATGCCATAGAAACCCGGGGAAGGTGGGCGGGCCTTATCGCTCGCCGCCTTTCTGATACGTCACCCGGTCTGCTCTCGGTACCTTAACTCGCCCTTTCACCATCTCTCTGATTCAATTTCACCAAAATCACGCTCATATTACAGGTGCTACATCTTATTACCTTTGCTTTGCACCCTACCGTTCATTATGGCATCGGACCTCGACCAGCTCATTGAAATGGGCTTCGACAAAGAGCGCGCCCAGCTCGCAGTGACGAAGACTGGCGGCTGTAAGTCTCTGCAAATTCCGCCCAATCCAAACTATAATCTAATCTGATGGCTCGTATAGTACAAGGCGCACTACAGTGGCTTGAAGATAACCAAGACAAGTCGTTGGAGGAGATCCAGGCACAATCTCAACCGGTAGACGACGAGGAAAGCCCCGCACTTCAACCAGGCGAACAACCACGCAGCTTGGTATGCAATGATTGTGGCAAGAAGTTCCGAGGCCAGTCACAGGCCGAGTTTCACGCATCGAAGTCTGGACACGTGGACTTCGCAGAGTCCACAGAGGAGATTGCTCCGTTGACCGATGAGCAGAAGAAGGAAAGACTGGCAGAGCTGCGGGAGAAGCTTGCGGCGAAGCGTGCAGGGCTATCAGAACAAGATAAGATCGACAAGAAGAGGAATGAAGTGCGTATACCTGGTTTTTGTTCCAAAAACCTAATGATCTGTGATGCCTTGCTGACTTTTGTTTTCTTTAGGAAATCCGAAGGAAGAGCACTAAGGAGACTCAAGATGCCAAAGAGGAACTCCAGCGCAAGCAACAGTTGAAGGAGGCAGCCCAGAAAAGAGAAGGAGAAGCAAGATGAGATCGAGGCGAAGAAGCGCATTAAGGCGAAGATCGAGGCCGACAAAGAGGAACGCCGATTGAAAGCAGAGCAGCAGCGAGCGGAGCGTGCTGGTTTGGCTCCTCCTCAACCTGTCACTGCTCCAGTCCCCACCTCATCTGGTCCCACCACTTCCAAGCCTGCTTCCGCTTATACCGAGACACGTTTGCGATTCCAGTCAGCTCAGGGTAACATCATGAAGACGCTGCCCGTTGAAACCACGTTGTTTGAGGTTGCCGCTGCTTTGAGGTCACAGGATGGGATCGAAGTTGAGAGCTTCATGCAGAATTTCCCCAGAAAGGTGTTCAACAGTGAGTTCTTTGGGGAGACTTTGAAGGAACTGGGACTTGTGCCCAGCGCCAGTCTCGTCATTCAATGATTGATCTGTTCTAGAGGATAGATAGCTTTAGCAATGAATGAGAAATGAGATGAATCTTGCATTAAAATGGGAATGGCACTATGGTTGCTTAAATAGCTTCTCCAAATAGTCTGATAATGGCTCTCTAACTAGCTCTCTCAGTAACTGCGAATAGTGTGATATAGTTACTAGGATTAGTATCATCTTCACCTTCACCTGACGTGTGCATCCAGCTCGAATTCTTATCTTATCATGTTATCGTCATGTGATGTCGCGATGAGCCGCGTCTTGGTGCCTAATACAATACGCGACGAGACGCCCCAAGCATCTCTATCATCCAACTCGACGTTAATTATCCCAAATTATGCCAGCGTGAGACCCATTACCTCGAAACCTGAAATCCCCGTTCTTCATGGAGCCGACCACTGACAGTGATACCCTCAGCGTTGGTGACCAACATCGCGGTGGTGCGGGATCCATCATGATGCCGAACGCTACAGGTACTGCCGTAACGAACCCATTCGAGGAACCCCAACGCCGGATCAGTGAATACACAGCGCAAGAAATCGCAACACTACAAGCCCGCCTCGATAAAAAACTGGGACCCGAATACATTTCTGCACGCCCTGGTGCTGCGGGGCAGAAAGTACACTATCTCTCCGCAGATAAGTGTATCAACCTCGCGAATGAGGTGTTTGGATTCAATGGCTGGTCTAGCTCGATCCAGCTCGTTCAGATTGACTTTGTACGTTTATCACTGTATCCCGCAATCACACAGGTACGGGCTAACGACTATCTAGGTTGAGGAGAGTCCAAACACAGGCAAGGTCAGCCTGGGTCTTTCGGTGATCATGAGGGTCACTCTGAGAGATGGGACCTTCCATGAGGTAAATCAATGTTTTTCGGTTATGAATTTTGGGTAGGATGTCGTGTTAACTCCAGTCTCTAGGATATTGGCTACGGACACATCGAGAACTGCAAGGGCAAGGCCGCAGCTTTTGAGAAAGCCAAGAAAGAAGGCACAACGGACGCATTGAAACGCGCATTGAGAAACTTTGGCAATGTGTTGGGTAATTGTATCTATGACAAAGACTATGTGTCCAAGGTGACCAAGGTCAAAGCAGTGCCTGTAAGGTCCCTGGTGCTCTCAAGATGCTCTTTGCCCTGCTGATCATTACGATAGGGAAAATGGGATGTTGACGACCTTCATCGCCACCCGGATTTCGCACCACCTGCTAAGAAACAACCTCCTCCACCCAAACGTGCAGCGGAAGAGGACGATTTACCCCTTCCCCGTCCTATACACCAAGCGAGAAGCACTAATCCAGGGAATACCGCTTCATTCGAAGGGGATGGAGAGTTTGGCAGTATGTCTCAACAGATACAATATTCAAACCTCGCTAATGTCTCTAGGTGATCTTTTTGACGAGGCTGATTTTGGTGTGGCTGAGACTGAAACAGGGAATCCTGATGAGATCGTCATTGATACAGGGACCCTTCGACAACAACAACCCAATATACTAAACAACGGCCCAGTACCTCAACGAGGACCGCCGGTTCGATCAGCATTCAATGCCGCCGTTGTAACACCCTCAAAACCAGAGCGTTGGAACGGTTCCGGCCCAACAGCCCGTCCCAATCCAGTGAACCTGCGCCAGAACCAATCAGGGATCCCACCCCCAGGTGCAGTACAAGGACGCGCAGTGACCGCGCAAGGTCCTGTCCAAAACCTCGCAAACCAGAGACCGTCAGTTCCACCACAGCAATCTGTTGGTCAGAATGCTCCACAAAACAATATTGCCCAGCCTCCGGTGAAAAAGGAACCGGCTTCTGTAGGGTTTCAGGGGAACCAAGAAATGGTTCCACCGCCAGGGACCCCATCAGGGGGGTTCTATTCCGCCAGGGCCGTTGATCTTCTCCGCGAAAATCCAAATTCAGTCCCTTCGGGGGCACCCCAGTTTGACCCACACGCTGAAAGTCCATCCATCCGCAAGACAGCTGGTGTAGACCATACCAAGAGCGTCCCTATCTCTAGGCCCATGCTGTCGGGGGGTGCCTCTCCAGCACCTAACAACACGGTGAACAACATTACACGCGATTACATAAATCCCGCAACTGATCTGCAGCGGAGAGTCGGTGCTCCTGGTGGGGGCATCAGTAGCCCTGCTAGCAGAGGCCCTTCTGTCTCATCTTACCGACCATTGACCCGGCCCAACCTTGACCAGAGGAACGTTTCCAACCCAGCTGTGGTAAATCGAGGCAGTGTTCCACCACAAGCGAATTTGAACGGCAAACGACCTCCATTGGTAGATGTCACTAATGGTGATGCTCCTAGTGCATACCCTGGGGCCCCGGTGTCTGGTCCAAATGACCCCAAACGCCCCCGGGTCTCGGATGCTGATCCGTCTGGACCCTCGCCTGGGCCTCGTCCACCGACCCAGTAATGAAAATGATTTGATTTGGCATTTGTGTCCATTAGGAGGGTGCATTATCGTGCAATGTTCAAGTACAAGCGTGCTTATCTCATCTAACCTTTTTTCTTTCTCTTTCTCTTTTTTTTTCAAGTCTGGTCTCTGGCGTCATTGCATGGTTACCGGACTGGGGAAGTATGATAGGCGTCTCGGAGTCTTGGAAGGTACGAGGCTTCACAGGACCTCAACGGGGGGAATCAAATGGGGATTGTTCTTAGATCTCAGTACATTCATTCATATTGGCATATTTTCCTATTGTTATCCTGAAACGGACCCGCAGCAAGCTGGACTGCAGAGGTGCACTACGAGGACCAAATTAGACCAGAGGATCGTCATGGGTTGCAGGATTTGATTTGCAACATAATGATCCTATCAAGAATGCAGCTTGTGACTGACTCAAGCTGCCAGTATCAATATTTGACGTCTGGATTAATCCCGTACAGCGATATGCTCGGTGCCAAGAAGCCTGCAATACAAGGCAAAGGTCTGCCTAAAGACTCCTATTCCAACCCCCTCTCCACCGCCATCTCCGGCCCCCTGTTCTCCTCCGTTCTCCGGTTAGCGTGGTTGTCAAAGAGCCAATCGCCAAAGCATGTCAATACAGGCTCTCGGGCCCGAGAGCGCGGAACCTCACCCGGGTTAATATGTGATCCTCCATGCATCTCACCTGCAACTTCAAATCGGGGCAACTAATCCCGGTAGTCTGGGCTGGTGGACTCACCCAGATCGCCGGAAGTCCGGGAGCTGATCCAGTTCCCGGATGCGAGTCGAAGAGCGCCCATTATCTCAAAACAGACTAGCCTTTGGGACTTTGGACACCTCGCCCTTCGGCCTTGGATGGTTTCTCCCCCGGACGTTACCTACATCCGTGCCTGCAGGAGGGACATGGCGGAGTGGCTTTTCTCTCTCTCTCTCTTCTCTCCCCTTTCCTTATTTCGGGCATGTATCGCGGTGCTTTTGTCTTTTTTGAACATGCGATTTTCTTCTTCTACGTGGCTTGCGGACCCCTGTCTCTTGCAGAAGGGCCAAGCGCATCGCGCACGAGTTGATTGATCGGCGTCTATTTTCCGGTCTCCAACTTTTCTGGCGAAACGAATATGTACTGTACTCCGTACCCCTGTCAGAATGCCAACAGACAAGTTGCTTTTTTAAAATTGATATCACTACGCGACGGTGTGGCCATGAGGCCCGTTGATGTGGAATTGTAGGTATCTAGGTATATTTAAAGAACGATAGATTCCCACAATCCATCCAGACACAGCCCGTATATTCTTTGCTACAGTTCCTTACTCTTCCATAACCATGGCTTCCCTCCTTAGCCTTTGCTTTACTTATACCAATGCATTCAACACTGCCCTTGTCGGTCTCGTTCTTGTTGCTGTGGTTGGGATGGTTCTATACTTCAAGACCAACTCAAAACCCAAGGACACTGCGAACTTGACAATCTCAACAGTGAGGATCCGAGCCCGAATAACCTGAAATGGCCTTGTCTAATCCCTCTAGGACAATGTGATCAATATACCTACGTGGAAAGGACCGTATGATCTGGATGTACAGCAACCCTATAGACGTCGGGCGTATGGCTTTGAAGGTAGAGATACCATACATCCCACCACACACTCTGACTGAAAATAACCATGCCTCTCTAGATGCGTAAATGCAGCCAATGTCGGAAACGGGAATAATGACATGAGGAAAGGAGACCGACTGGGACGATAAGACGTGACTACAACCTGGGCCCGAAATCTTCAGAAAAAAATATAATGCGTGTATACTCCGGTCTTTAGAGGGCACTAGCCCAGCCCAAGTTCTCCGTAACTACATAAGTCTGATATATCTCCTGCCAAACCGAAAGAGAGAAAAGAAAGCCCCAAGCACACCCGCACACCCCGATCAAGCTCAACATATCACAAACGACCAGGATGTAAATGAGCCCTGCTACCATCCTGCGGCCAAGCCCATACACCCGAATCAATTTTGATAGACTGGACCGTTAGGAAGTACTTTGGCCAGACCAGCCTTTAATGTCCGGAAGTCGGATGATGTTCCCCGGCGATCCCAAATTCCCGATTGTCGACGTACCGACAGATTTCGTCGCACCCGCAGTACGGGGGGACTGGATCCGGTCGATCGTTGATGGAAAGAGTAGGAGACGAAAAATAGACACGTCAATTGGGGTGGAACGAGAAAGGGGATACAAAAGAACTAAAATTAAAATTAAAAGGAACGGCCCGAACGGCGGGGCTTCCGGGGACCATATTGTGCACGTTCCGAGGTTGGCTTGGATATTCCCTGACCGCATTATTGATCAAGTGGAAAGAGAGGGAAAAGTCCGACTCGATTTCTCGTCCTGTGTGTCATCTATAAGTTGCCAAAGTATCTACATGTACGGAGTACTCCGTAGGCAGGTCTAGAGCTTCCGGGGGAGGTACTATTGTACACGTACTTTCGTAAATCAAAGGCCTGCAGCTGCCCGATGTCCCTGTCATCTCTGATGGAATGGTACTCGATTAGGTGGATTTAGGGCAGTAATGCATCAAGAGAAACACCAGTCGTGTAAATTCTTTTTACAAATGGGAAAAATAAAATAAAAAAACCAATTTGTTCTTTTGGCGGCTTGTCAAAAGTACACGCAAAGTACTGCGTACTTCTGACCACAGACGTCATCACAGCCCTGGTAAATCAGTACAGAGTGATGGATCATGTTTGCGCTGTTCCCCCTTTTTCTTTTTCCCCTTTTTCTTTCTTTTCTTTCTACTTTCTGTTTTGATGCTATGTCACCGATTGTAAAAGACTTATCGGAACCAATCGGCTTTCTACTAGATCGAGACTCAATGGTCATAGAGCGCTTGATATACGGAAGTAGAATAAGTACCATTTGAAGTTGGCTACAGGCCCTGTAGAATTGCCACTGACAAACATAACCCCATATGCTGTCCGGAATACCAAGTGCCCATATCGTTCGCCACGTGGAATGAATGTTCCACATGTACTTTGTACTAGAGGTTCTGCGTCCACAGCCGGAGATCGGTTTGAAAAGAAGTGAATGGCTACATTACATTATTAGGAATTATCATTAATAATACAAAGCCTGTCCTTGGACAATCACTGATCCCTCACTAATGGACAAATCGATTAACCGAAAATTGGTAATCATTCAATCAGAGCGAGCAAAGGATATCAAAACTCTTAACTAGGCTGGAGAAGAGATGGGAACAAATTCAGAGAGTCAACTAAGACTTGGCCAAGGCCAGTAAAGCAAAGGCTCTGGCCCTGGAACCGCGCAACTTTGATGCTCTTTACTTGCGGCGGCGGAAAGGAGGGGTCACCATACCCTTTGCACTGGGTCGTGGGAGTGTCACAGGGTCGGGCATGGAGAATATCCGACTGGGGGCTTGCTGTGAGACGGGGTTATTGGACTGACCCGACTGCACAAAGCTAGAAGTACGGCTGATAGCACCGGAGGTTCGATTCTCGGAAGAATTCGGACGCGCTGTGGGAGCTTTGTATGGAGCAGGGCCAATGGTGCGAACTCCAGTTGGCTTTCCACCTTGTGGCTTAGGAGAATTGTATGGAGCAGGGCCGATTGTGCGCACACCAACGGGTATTTCCTCGTGTAATGTGGGAATATTTGGATGGTTTGCGCTCAACGCCCGAATTGGAGCTTGGGGCCTCTGTCCGATGAGACTGGTATCAGGTGAGGTAGGGGCCTTGATCGAGGCAGGAATCTTCAACGGGGCAGAAGCCTTGGAAGGAATAGAAACTTTTGTCGCGTAGATAGAATCATTGATAGCCAGGGGCTTCTTAGTAGCTTCCACTCGAGGACGCGGTTCTGAAGCAGGTGCCATCTGGATGGAAGTGTCGGAGATTTTCGGTCTCTTTGGAATATCTAGGGGCCCAGGATCTGGGATAGAGGCTGCACGCTGCGGTTCGAGTGGAGGAGCAAGCTTATCCGAGACTTGGAGAGCTTCAAAGCGGGTTATGATATCGGAATCATCGCTTCTAGTCGGCGAGAGGCCAGGCACACGAGGCCTGTCTCTGCGTTTATCGGCAGATGGAGGTGAGGTAGAGTTAGAATGGGGCGGAGGCGGCGATCGATGTCGATCAAAGGGGGTAACATCTCGTTTGCTAACTAAAGAGTGTGTGAGTAACGTTAGTTGACATTAATGATTCTACAAAATATCAGACAGGCGGAGTCAAATTACCTTGTTGGCTCTCTCTCTGACGAATTTTTGCCTCAACAATTCGTTCGACATCAAGAGGAGTAAGTCCAGGCGCATATCTGGACTGGCAAAATTCTTCAAAGAGCTCAAGGAGATTGGCATTGACATCCTGATTCTTCTTATCGGATTGAGCTTCTGAGCTCAGTTGCTTAGCAGGTTTAGGTGAAATGACTTCGTCAATGCTTGAAACTGGCTTCGAGACCTCAGCCTTTTCGATGAACTTGAGACCTTCCAATTCTGCTGCAGCTCGACTAGAAATGGTCTTCGCCTTGGAAGATCGAGGGGTTATCGGTGCCGCACCCGCAGAAAAAAGATCTAGAGGGAATGCAACCGTAGGTACATCGGCTTTAGACTGAGCTGGCTGTTTGGATTTCGGTTCCTGACTACCAGAGGAAACATGTTTTTTGCTGTCTTTCATTTGTGGAGCTTTGGCAGCTAGGGACTTCTGAACCTCGACATGGGATATGGTTGGCTTGGTTGGAACCTTCGTATTGCTTTTAACTGGCTTTCGTGGTTCTTCCTCAGGTAAAACTTTCCATGAAAGTGTGTCTGCGGGGACTCCAAATGCCTTCGGATCAGCAGGAATAGGAATAGGTAGATGGGCCTTTTCCTTTGATTTCTTAGAGCCAGAAGCTCTCGCATCAGGAATATGAGACGCTGGCTTTGTAGGTATTTCCACGAGATAATTTCCAATGTGCGGCGGGGAAGGCTTGATAGGGGCAGCCCTAGCTTTCGTGCGTTTGGATGAGGCCGTTTTCTCAGGCGGAGCAGTGCGAGACGACGGTGTCAGCGGTTGGGGAGGTTGGTATTGAGGTTTGACGGGCGGAGGGGGAGTTTCAACCATACTTTTCTTCTGCTTTTTCTCGCTCAAGAGCGGCTTGGTCTCTGGCTTGTTAGGCAGAATGGGTTGTTGCATAGCTGTAACGTCCTGGATTGGAGCAGTAAAGATGCTTTCAACTGGTGCTTTTGGCTTTTCGGACGCTCGGCGAGATTGGAGTAGGGACATGAAGTGCGCGGGGTCCGAAATTTTCGTAGTGAAGTCCTGGCTGGTCAAGCAGTTAGTATAGAGATTTTGTTCCAAGAAAAGAATCACTTGCGTTGGTGGGGGCCGCTGAGCTCTGCTAGTCATAGGTGGGACTGATTCTTCGAACAAATTTGTTAGCTATACGTGCTTTCCGTGCTCGTTCCACACTCTTCACTTACTGTGAACTGGCTCTTGAGGTTTGCCCCGGCCCCTCCCTCGGCCTCGGCCTCGACCTCTTCCCCGGCCGCGGGCATCGCTATCATCGTTGTTGCAATTGAGTGCCGGATCCAACCCGAAGCCGGATGATACTGTGACGGACCGAGTGTGAGGCTCAGGACGACCTTGTCGACCGACGCTGCGATTGTTTGTTCCGTGGCTCGGGAATCTGCAATTTTGTCTCCGTCAATTTGCGTTTCTTTCAAGTTAAAAAGAAGTTAATCTCGTACCTTGCGGGAGCATGTGGAATATTAACATGTCCCCTTGCGGGAGAGGCAACGGGTCCACCACGACCTCGCTTTCCTATGAAACCACCACCGCGACCTGCAGAGGGAGTAGGGACAGGATGGTTGGCATATGTTCGCAGCTGACTTCCCTCGGGATGCAGCATGGCATGAAGATTGGCTCGGTGAGACTGACCGGAACCTATGTCCTGGAGCCCTTCCATTCCACCGGTGTCGCCAATTTCAGCATGCAAGTCTCCATCGATATTAGCATAAGGCAAGAAATGTTCTGGAGTACATATTCTTCAGTACTTACTTGCCCATTTATTCAGCTGAGCTTTGTCCCGTTGGTCGACTTGGCGCCGCGATTCAATCGCGCCAAGCTGCACCTGAGCCGGCTTCTTGATTTCGGCCGTGGAGATTATTTCACGGCGGGCAGTTCCCAGGTCAGCCTATTAGAGTTATCAGTTAGAAATATCATGTAAGAAATGAGAGCACAGGATTACCATTTGTAGACTTTGCAGCCGGCGAAGCTGCTCCTCGGTTTCATTCATCCTGTCGTCGTGTTCCCCACTACGGGTCAAGTGCCGATGACGGTGAAGTGAGCGGGATAGAGGCGATGGATTGTCTTGTAATTTTCAACGAATCACTGCTTTGGGATGATGCTTCGGTTGGCTAAAGCACAGAAGGTGAGGTAGAGACGAGTTGACAAGGAGGTCAAGCAATTGGGGGTGTCCGAAGCAATGCGAGAGCATAGAAGACTATGTCTCCCAAGGAAAACGGGGCGGGAGGTCAAGTGACCTGAGAACAAATGGCCCTTCGAAGGGAGGGCCTAGATGAAACGAGGCTTGGATGAGTTCATGGAATATCCTCGAGGGATAGAAGACGAGGTGACTGCGAGAGCTTCCGACTTCGCCAAGCGAATGAAACAGACCCCGGGTAAATCTGTGAGAGAAACTCAGAAGATAGCACTGCGAGAAACACCATGGAGTTTGAAGAAGAGTGTTGATAACAAAACAGCAGGGTCCAACGAGGAGTGATGAGGGTGAAGAAGGACACAGTAGAAGTTGATGGGGAACAATCAACAAAGGCCCACGAACCAATTGGGGCCAAAACGCTTTGGATGCAGTGCAAAGTGGCCGTTTGCTCTTCATGCGGCAACAGCGACTCGAGACGGTAATTGGTGATGAGTCCGTTGCTCCTTCCATCGGAGACCCTCCCACGACCGTCCATTTAGGGCTGACATGTCCACGTGGTAGCCGTTATCGAGGATATCGATAAGGTCGCGTGATATCAAAGACCGAAGACAGTGTGAGGGTCTCGGGGGCTTCAACAATAATGATTGAGGTTCGAGATGCAGGTGGGTCAAGTGCGTGATGATGGGAAGAGATACAGAAAAGGCAACAGAAGCGATGCTTGAATGGGGAAGCTCGCGTATCTCAATCACCGAGAAACTTCATCCTTCCTGCAGTGCTCGTGACTTGGGCGCAAGGTTGAGTACGTGCTACCCCCATACCGAGGTGCACCATAATCACCTAGGTACCTGTGATTTGGCCAGCTGGATCGCAGCTTATACGTCAACTATAAATAAGGATGTCCTCAATCGACAGATATTATAAGATATGATACTATCATACATCAGCTAGTTATGCAAGATGGATTATGTACATTATAAAGAAAGCCCCTGAGGCATCTGCCCTGGCGCGTGGCAGCATAAGCATCTCCAACGCTCTTTGGAGGCAAAGAAGTCCTGAAAGCGAGCTCTAAGGTGCACTGCAGGCATGAGAAGTTCCGTCATCTGCAAGGAAAAGCCTCAATGTCAGTATCCGCGCTAGAAGTGCTATCGCAGAGGGGCGTAATTGCGAGAAACTGATCAGTAGACTTACTTTGAACGATCTTGACTATCGCCTGCACTACACTAACACCCATCACAGCCACTCCAAAGCAGATGCATAGGTACGCCGGAATCTTCTCTCGCCGTGTAGCACTGCTAAGCTTGATCCAGCAGAGGGGAGGGAAAATATAGGCTAGGGCAGCGGCACTGGTCGCCCCTATGAGCTCGAATACACTTCCCAAATCACAGGTTATCAAAGACAACACCATAGATGTCACCACTAATGCCGTTGTGAAGATGATGTGCCGAACAGGGTTATGTGGTTCGTCAGGGAAGTAGTAGGTCGTCATGACGGAACGGCAGACGAAGGCCTCAAGAGGTAGAGTGGTCAACATGTTCAGACCAAAGCAACTGGTCGATGTCAGCATAGGGACTCGTGTCAATTGTGAAAGGAGAAATTATACAATCGTGCAATATTGATAACAATGTTATCTGATGGGAAGTTGTTCAGGACATTTCCCTGGGTTTTAGACCCGAAAAACAGGAAGCCTGCGATGCCCATTGCGAGACACATCACCAGAGATACTCCGGTTGAATAATGTGTGACCCGGGTAAACCGGTCAAGTGTGGGTTTCTTCAACGAGCCATAGATCAAAAGGCTGTTGTGGTCTGTAGGGATTAGCTATTGTTTTATAAGTAAGGCGAAAGGAATCACATACGGCAAACAAATGCTGAAAATCATTAGCACACTTCCTGGCTATCGACGAGGGTAGCAAAAACTCACCAAAAGAGATGACACCCACGGCCTGGAAAAAGCCACTATTGAACAGGAGCTGGCTCTTGATCTCTCCACGTGACTCGGAAGAGACACGGAAGCCCTGGGTGATGACCGCGACCACAATTATGATCATGCTGACCAATGCCAAAGCCGATGCTTTCGCCAGCTAAGTACCTGTCCATTAGCCTCCGGTGTATAGCAAAGAGACAATGATCTGACCTTGGCGATGTCTCTATACAAAGACAATGGATACGAAATACCCAACACAAAGATAACAATAACGGCCCGGCGATCTGTAAGAAGCCACAGAAAAGACATGTCCCGAAGAGACGGAAACAAAGCGCCTAGAACATGTGGGATGGTATCGCCAACAATGATACAAAATGCGACCATGCCGCCGAATGCAAATGCCCATTGCGCAACTGAAATTGCGATGAGTCCGCTTTTTCCGAAGCAATACTGCATAGTCGCCTGGAATGAATCCGCGCCACTCAGTTTAGAGTTGATCACAATCAGTCGAATGGTCCAGTCCACCGTGATGGTCAAAGCAGCCAAGAGCAATATTCCCATAGTCATGCCTGCTTGACGAAGCGCGTAAGGTTGTCCAATTATTCCAGCTCCGATGATGCTGTTGGCCATGTTCATGAACGCCATCTTCATCCCGCTCCGTGGCCGCGCATCTTCGAGGTGCTCTTCGGGAAAGAATTCGTCCGATGTCGCAAGTGTCACGCTAGGCGCTTCAATGTTTGTGAGAAGAGGAATTGATTGTCCATTTCGATGCGTTCCTGAGCCTTGGTTCCCTAGTTCATAGTCCTCATCCTCTAACCAATGCGTGTCGTCTGGACTAAGAGTACGCTCAATGGAATTGCGATCGGGGATTTCATACGCTTCTTCTAGGTCAAATCGAACGCGGTTCAAGGTGCGCGGTGCGCGGCGCTGTCCATCAGGCGCAGGTTGGGAGATTGAAGACTGGGGTTTGCCGTTTGTCATATTGCGTGAGGGGATCGGCGACGGCGAAGATTCTGGATGTAATGCTAGATCCTGCGCCTCGGGCGAGGCTGACAACAGTGATTGAGCTTCATGACCATCCTGGCCATGCTGGGCATACAGGTGATCCTCTGGAGTCTCATCCCCTGGCATCGCTGACCGTAGATAGTTCAAAGTGTCACGGTTACTTTCAGGCCACCTGTATGGGGGCCACACGTGATAACTTATCGATAAGAGCCTGTCGATCTGATAAGAGCCCGGTTACCTCGGATGCAAATTCTCAGTACATACTCCACCTGCGGTTTGATAATGACAACGTTGGAAGTGCATAAATAGAGTAGAAATACCTAGATCTCAAAGAATGGGAAACTGCACATAAAGATGAGAAAACAGATATTCTTTCGTTATATGGCAATGAAAACTGAGATTGGGCGGAGACAATGCTATTTATACACAGACTAACGTTCCGTATGTATTAGTTCCCACATCTTCAAGTGCCTTTTGATCTTTAATTAATTATTTAAGTTCGAAGGAGATTACTTGTCTTGTTAAAAGGGTGAATTGGAGCGAACGTTACTTACATGATTTGTGTATGTACGCACCTATGGTACCAACGAGAAACACCTGCTGCTTTCCAGAATGAGCTCATTAGGTATCTGATTGTAGAGAGTTTTATCACTTGATTGCAGGTGATGAATGCTCTACAATCGCCAGCTTGTACACTGGCACAATTTATCTCAAGTTTTGCGCTCCTGAAACAGAAAACTTGACTTTTGTACGTCAATAAATAGATAATCCCAATAGATGCAGATGTATGACCACCCTGCCCTAGTGGCAAAAGGGGTAGTGTATTCTCAGTATAGAAATCTAACCTATAGAGCTTCGGGTCCTCGACAAAGCTTATCTTCATGAAGCTTATCCCCATGCGGTCTTGGACCCTTGCGACCCGAAAACTAAGGCCACTACCTGGCAGGCGCAATGCAAACATGACCAAAAAGATTGTAAAGGCAACTCTCTCCATCCATCTGTTTCCCTCCTCCGCTTTCCATAACACCACAGCGAACAGGCAGGAAACGATTTCTCCTTCTTCTGTCTCCCCCCTGACTCTCCATAGCAATACGGCACAGAGACAGCAGAGAACAGGGCGCCATCACCCGCATTCCGGGCTCCGGTCCCTGGCCAAGAGAGATCCGCATCTACATATTCGCACGATGTGCAGCACAAGGCCGTCCCTCATGGTCCGCAAATTCCTCGAATATAATGACACAGGAAACGCAGTCAGGCAGAACCAAACAGCACCGGACAGTTCTGCTGAAGACGGTTGGCACCGAGAACCCTTCCAGAGGGGATATTGCTTCTTTTATGGGACGTTAATGAATCCACACACTCTCTCCCAAGTCTTGAAGTTATCAACACCGCCCCCTGTTATGCGTCGTGCTAGAGTGATTGGTTTTGAAATCAGGCTTTGGGGCCCTTATCCTGCTCTTGTTGATGGCAAGCCGCTACACCAAGTCGATGGCATGGCGTGTGAATTATTGTCACCGACGCAACTTGATCGGCTCGCCGCTTATGAGACGGACAAATATAGCCTAATGACTTGCTTGATTGACCTCTTGAATGATGACGGCAGCACCGCAAGAACCATAGAAGGGGTTGCTTTCATGTGGAACGGACAGCAGGATGAACTGTGAGAAGGAACGTTTGACCTGAGGCAATGGAGAAGGGAGAAGCAGTTGCGATGCCTGGGTTGAAACTCGGAAGGATGGGAGACACTGTTTTACCTAACCTCTAGCCTAGATCGTAATGGGATGTTTGCTGCAAGAAGCGAAATTCTTCTCTGGAACTTGAAGTGAACTATATGCTGTGTAGTGTCTTCATAAAGATGTTTTTTGCGTTGCCTTGAAGTTCCTTTGCCTTCAGAGTCTATTGCTCTGCTGGCGTCAGTGCCCGCATAGAGCTGGGATCAATATATCCTGACTTTCCCCGAAACACGAAGTTAAGAATCCTAGGATTGAAATCAGATATAGCGAATCTCGTAAGGGATCTTCGCAAGCCCTGAACGTCTCGAGAAAAAAATAGTAATATTCTGATCAAAGGGCATCATCTAAGAGGAATTAACGAATGATGCCACAAATTCGACCCATGGGAGACAGGCTGTCTCGTTCGTTGCTCCAGGGGCTTGTCGAAACTCGATTGTTGCCTTTCTGGCATGATACAGATTTTTGAAGTTCCAAGCAAAGTATCTTCGGCCATTATCGTTCATCAAGTCAACGATTTCCACGTGGTTTCGACACCGATAGAGCATGCTTAGGCATTCGCGAACACTCTTTCCTCTCAAGCGTGAATTATCACATCGGTTGCTCGCAGCATACTCGTTGTTTCTTCTGTGATCTGGCACAATCGCACGAATTGCTTCTTCGAAGTAAAATATGTTACGGCAAATTGATTTGAGTGTATTGACGCGCCATCGACTGTTGTCTGGAGGGGATATATGCACATAAAAACCGCATGATTGGTTTCTCTGCACTCCGCAAATTAGATTGAGAGCTCGGAATATATAACGAACTTCATCCGTAATAGACCACTTAGCCTATATATTAGAGCCATCATAGATACCATCGATGGGGACGAGGAAGACGGGTAGAGTGTAAATGGCCACGAGCTAATTAGCGAAAGCCTTAAGATCTGGGAATTCATCTTTGGCTCTGTGTAGACCTCCGCACCAGCCCGCAAAGCCCAAAGCCCAACCCGCCCCAACCCGCAAATGGGCTGGGCTTGTATGGGGGCCCAATGGGCTTCAAACAATACGAACATGCTAATGCTTGGCAGATACATAAGCAATGTAGATTTTTCTGGTATTTCTAGGTATATAGATTACCCCCTAAATTGACCGAGTTCTTATACCTAGAATAAAGTCAATTGGTTGATTGACTGTAGATGAGATTGATAAAATTAAGATCTATAAAATTTGATAAGATTTGATAAGATTGTAAATTAATAGAAAGATGTACTTACTTCTATCTATGTGAAATATATATATCTATTGAAGATGCAGAGGTATGATATAGCATGTAAAGGCTCAACAATGGGTTCAACTGATACTGGAAGTAGGATCTCTCATGAAAGGTGCAGACTTGCCTAAAGATCTAAATAATATCTGCTTTTTCCTGCTATTTATGCCCCTTTGTGCGCCGAGCATCGGAGTCCTTATTTGGCCCCCAAAGTGAGGTTTTCGGCGGAAAAGATAGAAAAGGCGTAGCGTGCTAACCCTGCGGATGAGAGAATCATGCCTTAGGTATAGCTCTCAATACTTTCTTCCTCCCCAATCACTCGAGGATCACTATGCCGTGGGAATATAGGTCTATAGACTCCAGGACCCCTCGCTCCTTCCTCTTTGCCGTCGTCGCAAATGTCGGCCCCGGCGGCGCCAGCCGCGCCCTGGCCGTGGCCTACCGCCAGCATCACGACAAATACAATAACTGGGAAGCATCAGGTGCACGATTGCACCATATGGTGACCGACACCCTTGCACTAATCGAAATCCTCTCGGATCCCGCGAACCGAGCGCCACTGGAGGCAGAGAGGGCGCTCGCAGAGGACTGGTATCGTCGGTCTCCCCATGAACCTCCGGTTCATGAGCGGCCCAGCATACCCGACACCGCGCAGCCCCCGTATGTGCCCTGTTTCGAGAATCGGGTGCCAGTGCAACAACAGCCCCGGCTGCCGTGGCGTGATGATGCGCTTAGCCAGTTTCCCTTCACTGCGACATGCGTTTTGCTGGCCTTGTTGCGCGACGATCGCCCTGCTAATGCCACCCGTCCCGGCGACGTCCAGTTTCAACCGCTCTCGACAGTGTTCCGGGCGGATTGCACTGAATATGGCTTGGTCGTCCTCGACATCTCCGACCTCGATAGCGGTGTTCAGTACGGCATTGCTGCCTTTCCTGTGCACTACATGGCCACGGTTTGGGACCCCGACGAGAACATAGACTGGGATCCCGTCGAAGACGACCAGCCGGAAGAGTGGGATATTGTACTTGTGAGCCCGCGGCCTCGAGTGCCTTTGTCAATTGCCCAGTGGATAAGGAAGTATTACCGCTGGTCGGAACTGGAAGACCACCCTGGTATCCTCCGACTGGAGGAGAGGCCGCTGGCTGATGCGGCAGCCTTGGACTGTACGTCTGTTCGCGCCAGTGGAATCCGGATGATTTTGCAGGTGCTGACGGGGGAATTACAGATATCTGGCCACCGGAGCTGGCGGATCCGCCTCGAACAGCTTGGAAAGGTATTCTCTCGCGCATCTTGAAATATCGATAGATAACTCGTGCTAATAAATGACTCGCGCGGTTTCCAGATGAGCCTATATCGACCGCAAGAGCCTCGAGCGTGACCACATCCGATGAGCCGCCGCAGAAGGTGCCCGTGGACATGGATCGCACAATTGATGACCTGCTGGGTCTCACCCAGGAGCCCGTCTCCCCCTCTCCGCGAGAGACAAGCGCTTGCTCATCGTCAAATACTAGTCCCGTTCCGCGAGAAGCTGCGACGGCGACTCAAAGAGATGCCTGACAGGCTCGGCCCCTCTATAATCTCCAGCCATGTACTGCGTGTGGCATACACTGAGCACAGCCATCTTAACTGGGTGGCATTTAGGAGCCTGCCGCCTTGTGTGATTGCGGCCGCTGTTGCATCGGATGAGCTTCGGAGTGCGTCTGCGCTCAGCCTCTGCGTCGATGCGTGGGCGGGAGATAAGGAAGAGGGAGCGTCAGACCTTGTTGACCTCGCAGCGGCCCTGGCACAATCCACAGGTCTTCAACAGCTCTGCTTCTTGCAGCGACCGGATCGGGACCAGGACGATGTCTCGTCTCGTTTCTGCTCACAGCTTCTACGGCTGTGGGGGAGGGCATCAGGAGGAGAAGAGAAAACCATCCATTCGACCTCTGCCTTCTTGACCGGTTTACGCCACCGCAAGTTCCCCACATCATCCTTAATGATAGCTTCGGGATCATCTAGCTTCACTCCCAGGATTCATCTGTTCACGTGGCTCGGTCCCCAACGCGAAGATATCCCAGACCCCGCCGCAGACCACCACGTCCACAGCGCCTACTACTCCATGGAAAATACTGGGCTCACGGCCGAGGACTTCGCCGTCCGATTTCTGAAATACCTCCGGTCTTTGGGTCCGGATTCAGATCCCGACAAGGCCATCTTGCGAGTAGCATATCATGGGGCTTTCTCATCGCTCGGTTCCGCCGATGATGATAACCAGGAACACCGTTGCAAGCATGGCTGGTCCCCTCGAAGACCGCTATCACCACCGCCGCTCCAGTCATGGCCCGATCAATTGGGTGTCAGGCCGATCCCCGCTGGATTCTTTGACGACGAGCTAACCCTCGACGACCCGTCCCGAGTCCGACTCAGGGAGATCCCCCCGGGAGCTGGGTGGTTCTTATGGATCGACGAGCCCGCCGTGACCGATGCACCGAAGACGGCGCCTTCTCACAATACTGTTTCATCAGAATTCGTCGACCCTCTCCAGAGACTGAACAACAACCAGGACAACAAAGTTCAGTCGAGGTGGTCGGCGGGCTGATTGACTTCCTGCGCGAAACTGTGCCAGAGACTGATATTGCCACGTGGGAGGAACGGCTCGAGGAGGTCGAGAGGGATTTGGTTGCAGCTTTAATGAGGCCGAGCCCACCCAGTACCCCGTCATCGATTGACTGGTTCCCGGGGATGGACCCGAGCGAGATGTTGAGGAACGCTCCGCCAAAGACTGATCTTTCCGCTGGGGAGGGAGTAGAGAGGGGACCCTGCATCGGCGTCCGCGTCATGGCTGAGAGCCGGGCCTACACTTTGCTAGATCAGTTACTGTGATTTTTGCCCATATCTCTAGGCTATAGGTCCCTCAAGATCCCGTCACAACTACTGCCCTCTCTCATGTAGACCTCCGTATTAGGCTAGATTAGGGCCGGCGCCGAGATCTTCCGCGGTAAGCATACAGACTCAAACATACGTAAATAATAGACTTTAACCAGTAGGTTTATGAGCGCTAAGACTGTCTTTATGCATAGAAATAGGCTTTAATGGGGGCCTCATGGGCCCCCATTAATGGGCCGTGGGCTTGGTTGGGCTTCGAAGGTAGCGCCCAACCAGGCCCATTGCGGAGGTCTGCTTATGTATATATATCACCCTTTCCCTGGAGGGCGATAGTCATTGCGACGAGCTGCCCCAAGGCTTTTTTTTGATTTTGGTACGGACCTTCAAAATGACCCAAGGAGAAACTGCCTCAAAGGATTATTGGCCTGCAGATGTTCGTGCTTGCGAACACTAGCCCGATCTTGCATGCGCTAATCGAACCTAGATCTATGAGGCAGCGGCTTCATTTGTCCCTCGTTTTGCTGACACTCTTGTTCAGAGCATAGAGTTCAATCCAACAGACAGAATCCTAGATATTGGATGTGGCAATGGAAAATTCGGAACCAGCTTTGCTCCCTCGGTAGGGTATGTCATGGGGATTGACTCTTCGCCGTCGATGATCAGTACAGCGAAGACATTGGACTATGGCGGAACAGCGACGGATTTCTGCGTTGTCGATTGCCGACATCTTGAGCAGAATGCAAAAGTCATGAATGGGAATTGGGATAAAGTGTTGGTATCTCCATTAGATTGCTTAACATCTTTTGATGAGCCTTTAGCACCTCCAACGCTGCCCTCCATTGGATTTTGAGAGACCCGTCAACTCGTATCTCCACCTTGGAAAACATCTTTCGATCGATGAAGCCCGGGGGAACGTTCTTTTTGAAATGTGCGGGCATGGGAATGTACCAGAAATGACCACATCGTTCATGTTTGCTCTCGTCAATCATGGGGTTCCAATTGAAACTGCGGAGGCTCTCTGTCCCTGGTTTTATCCATCAGACGACCACATGAAGATGATGCTGGAACAGGTTGGGTTCCGGGTTGATTTGATTGCACTAAACCCGCAACCATTGAAGATGACCACATCTGAAAAGGGAGGACTCGAAGGTTTCTTGAGGTTGCTTGGCTCTCAGATGCTGGATATATTGGATACAGACGATAAGAAAAACAGTGCGATGGAGCAGATCTGCCGCATGCTGCGTTATGGCACTACACGAGAAGATGGCAGTCAGTGGGTCACATATGCCAGTCTGAGATGTGTTGCTGTTAAGCCATGCTGAACACCCAGCAATTATGTCCCCTCCCCACGAAATGAATTCAAGCTCTTGAGATCACAGCCTTTTAGCCTAGTCAATGCAACGAACCCAACCTTGGAAAGTGGATTACCATTTCAAAAGTAGTGTTATAAAAGATTGGGTATTCTTGAGAAGTCATGTGCGCTGGCTGGAGATTAGAGGATTGAATCATGTGCTTTAGAGCCATCCGCAGACACCAAATGCTCAAATTCCCGGCTGCAACACCCCATCAATCTTCCGCCAGCCCAATGGACTGACTATCCCATGGCTCCAAAAGAGATATATAATCTATCATCGTGACAAGAATGATAAGAACCCTACGATGGCACAGATACTCGACTTGGGTCAATTCACTCTCCAGATCCGAGATTCGACCTTGCAGCTTCACCTGGCTGCATGGGCTCACTTCTACCAACCAGCAAGCCATGGATGTCTCCAAGCACCGATGGACTTCACGCATTTGCCAAATTTTGAAGATATCTGGATTACAGAGGCACCGGAGCTAACATTGCGCTTCTTCATCGGAAGTGATTGGGATGGAAAAGAGGCCGAGAGAATTGCCTTAGAGTTAAAAGAAAACCTTTGCGATATGAAGGTCTGTGAGAGATATAAACTTCTGGATTGGAAACTGATGATGTTATACTCTAGATTTGGTCCGATCTGGGATTCTTGGCTGAGGTTAAAGAGGACGAGCATGGAAAAAGCATTGAGACTTCTGGTTTCCACTATATCAAAGTTGGTCTACGTAAAGACCATCAGATACGGAGTGTTAGCAAGGGGTGGACTTTACCCAATATAATGATCAATGCCCCGGATGTCTGTCCTCCGCCGGGTGTAGCGGTGACTGCATTGGGTTCAATTGACGTTCGGTTGGAGTATTGTTTCCATTTGAAGCATCCACCACATCCACAGGCCCTGGAAACAACAATAGAACAAGGATTACCAGCGCAAATGCATGGCGAAACTTTCTTGACACCATTTGGTTCCCACATTTCTCAAATATCTGAACATACATTCGGCCCATCATGCGACGAGCCCCTTCGGCTGTTTGAGCTTGGTATTCAAACCCTCCTAGCCTCAAACCCGACGAAAGTCTCCATGATCCGTATCTCAAAACCGAATACAATGAAAGCCCTGGCGGATTTGACTCCTGCAGTGTTCAACCCGGAATATCGAGAGGTGAGTTCTCATCCTAAGTCATGCAGATCAAATATTGATTTCATGGTTTTATTTAGGCCATCAATCAGCGAGGAGTCACTATTCCCGTAATCACAAAAGCCATCACTGCTATGCTATCGAGAAACGAAAATCCCTCTATCAAAGCTGGATTGACGAACTTGCTACCAATCAATTCTTCCCTCCACATAAATGACCCAACAGTACAATCCGACATCTTACGACTGAGATCTGCAGTTCACACTTCACTTTGGCGGGTCGCTCGGCAAAGTCTACCTACCCAAAATCCCACCAAAAGAAGAGGCCCCAAGCCTTCTACAAGTTCTCTGCACAACGCGCCGACTGGACCGAAAATGGCTGAGCCTGAATTGTCAATAGGTCAACACCAATCTGATGGCCAAAGCCTGGGAGCCCTTCATCATTTTGGCACACAGTACAAAAATGAAGAGAATGATGAATGTTTGCTGAACAGTGAATCCGAACCCGAATCCGAAGGCCAGCTTCTAGACGAGCTTAGCGAGATAGGCTTTACAGAGGCTGGAGACTCGACTCAAACATCTTTAGATACGCTTTTTTCGCCGATTGGGTCCTCTCAAACTTCATATTATGGTCATGATAATACCATGATGTTCTCAAGTCCCGTTAGATCGATGGATGATGAAGAAGACTACATGGAAGGTTATGATGTTTATGAAGATATGACGGGCTATGATACAGATATTATAATGGATGATAATCTTTAAAGTCATTACATGACATCCCCGCTATAAAGAACTGGCCTCTGCGTTATAAATCCCGTCATTCAAGGAATTGAGTGCTATGAGATATCATCTCCAGGTGACATGAGATCAACTCACTGGCAAGTGGATATATCCACGACTCATTCATCATAGTTACAAGAAAGGAGATGAACCTCTGCACACTCTCTCCCAGGTCAAGGTTATTATTGTGAGGTATGAATATGACAACTTTCATTGAAATGTAAACCAACTATCCTCTCTTTTCAGGCTTCTGCATCCATTCCAGCAACGTCCAGTCAACACGAGACAAGACCAAGAAAGCCAAACCAGAACATAGGACACAGCAGGCGTAACAAAGAGCCCAGCAAACCTCCACCATTCACAGTTATCTCATCTCAAACTCGGGCCCAAACACTTCGATATCTCTCCGGACTTTGGCGACCTTGACACAGGCGACAATGGGGGATTGTAGCCCAACTGAACCCTACTTCTGTCACTGGTCCCTGAGATCTGAGAACTAAGACCAGCTAGAAACATTGGCTTCCTGTGCTGTCTTCCAAAGATCTCCCGGCTCGTAAGCCCGGATAAGGCTTTCATCCAAGGGACGAGCTTTTGGCCCAGCGTATTGTCGATATTCGGCAATTATATCATCAATATCCCATAGCTGAAGTCGGCGAAAGCAACCGATAACACATCCGGTCCGGTGCTATCTGGCTTCTTAGAAAGCGAAACAGTAAGCATGTCATTGGGAAAGTTGAACTCACTTTGCCTTGGTTACAGTGAACTAACACCGGGTGGTTCTCGGTGTTGATGAGTAGGGTCAGAATCTGATTGATCGAGACGCTGAAATCTTGAATGGTTGTCTCGTCCATGGCTACCTTGGTGGTGCGGATTGCAGTGGTATGAACTTTGATGCCCATCGAGGCAATGAAGTCTTCATCGGGGCACGGGTAGGGCGTATCAACAAGTTTCCTGTACCTATATATCAGAGGAGGATTGTCAGATAGAAACACAATGTACTTACAGAATGGTCTTGATGCCATTCAGATGCTGTGCGTGTATTTCCGCATTTGGAAACGCAGATCGATAGATGCCCCGGGAGACGTGGCCAAAATTGTTGCCTTCGCCCATGGTCGGTTGTTGTAAACTAGAATCTTGTTGACAGACGTCTTTGGGCCGTAATGCAAATGATGTTTTAGGAATCGGATCCAACGTATTGCAAGCTAGAGACACTCGGAGGAGGCTATGGGAAAGATGGGTGTTAATGAAGACGGGTAAGAAATGTGGGAAGCCCGCGACGATACGGTGACAACAGGTATAGTCTTGACAGAAGTTGGGATGAATAGCCATGGGCTTAACGTTTATGTTTGTTTGTCGAGTGCTGGCCTAATCGATATCTACAAGGTGTATACATTACACCCAAACAAAGTATGTAGTGTGCATTTTCTCCATTGGAATCCCTTAAAAGAAGGCAGAGATAGGAATATGGCAGTCAGCCCGGCAAAAGTCTGCCAAATCCTACATAGACGGAAAACAAACACCTGTCGTAACTTCCAACTACAAGAACTGGAGTCTAACCAGCAACGTTTGCGTTGTGTGGGCTTCAAGAAATTGATGGACACCTACCTTGAGTATGGTCTCGTTGGGCCACCTATGGCAATGGATCAGTTCTTTTCTATCACCAGCGCTGATTTACATTACGACGAAAAGGGTTCGAGATAGTAGGAGGACGACTTGGGACGTGTAGGCCGGTCTATATTCTTACCCTCTGAGCTAGCCAGTAGAAGGGGGAAGAAGCCTGACTACTAAGATGCCCGAGGGTGTCCCAACAGAATGGATTGCACTACAGTAGGGTGATAGGTTGCTATACTTTCTGCTCCTTTGATCGTTTCTCTCAACGAAGTTATGTACTACCAATAAAGAGAGGGTATCTCTGGTGATGTTCCAAGGAACAGAGGAATGTTATCATCGAGTGGTGCGAGGCGATGGTCATTGTTAGCGACAGAGAGCCCTCAGATAGCCCATAAATGATAGCCAACTTGTTTCTAGATATCCACTTTTAGCCAAGGTTCTAATCAAGGCGATTCCTCGCCCAACCCGAACATCCTAATGGAGTTGTTCCAAGCACTAACGAGACGAAAGAAAGTTAGTGTGTAAAGCGAGCATTAGGGTGAATCGGAATCTTACGCTTCACAAACTTCCTCCACAGTGATACCCTTGACACTAGCAATAACGTGAGCAACACGGGCGATGGCGATAGGCTCGTTTCGACCCTTCACCATACATCCCTTTTGCCACTTCTCCTTCTTCACGGCCTTCGGCAGATCTGGTGCGCCCCCGAGGTGCTTGGCAGATGCGTGCGAAGGACGGATCTCACACTGAAAGAGAGTTAGTCGATGAGGATTCCAGTCAGAATCAAGAGAGACGGTACATACCCATGGTCCATCGGTTTCGATCTGGAGCCTATCTAGTGGAATAGCCTTGACAACCTCCAGATTCTCCTCCGTCTTCATACTACAGCCATTAACACCGACATCAAGGCCCAGTGCCACCATCCGGTTCATTTCATCCATGGTTCCTGTGAAACTATGAACAAGGCCACGCTTGGGAAGCTTGGCGAGTCTTGGGGCAAGGAGTCTCTCGAAGTCCTCACTCGCCGCCCGGGAGTGAAGGAATAGAGGAAGCTGGATCTCAACTGCCAGGTCTAGTTGGGCTTCAAAATACTTGAGCTGAGGCTCCTTTTCACTCAGGAACAGGCGGTCATAATCCAGGCCGATTTCACCGAATGCAACGGCATGGCCGGCTTGTGCGGACTCGATTGCTAGTGCGCGGAGCTCCTCCAGCATTTTTGCTGGGCCGCCTGGGTACTCATCAAAGAGCTTTGCTTGGCATGGATGCACACCAACGGTGGCATAGCAAAAGCCCGCTGCAAGGTCCTTTTGTTAACAAAGAAAAGCAAAGTTATAGCTAGTTGGGTACTTACGATATTTGGCAGCAATTTCCACGGCATGCTTCGACTCAACGAGATCTGAACCCGTGACCATAAACTTCGCGCAACCTACATCGCGAGCACGTTGGACAACATCGTCAAGATCGTCCTCGTGGGCCTGCTTTCCGTGATATTCGCCACGGAAAACGGGGTCGCTCAAGTTGATACCGATCTGGGTAGTATTGCAATTAGCTGTGAACAATGGGCTGTTATTGCCTGATGAATGGAAAACTCACATCAACGTATCGGAGAGGTGTTGATTCAGTCATATTTGATGCGATCTGTTGTCTTGCTGTTGTGGAGAATGTCCTGCGATCTCTAGCAGATATCGACTGCACAGAAGAGAGCTCAGCCAACCCTTGGCTGCTGTAAGATCCTACAAAAATGCATCAGTCTAAGTCTCTTCGTGGCCAGGCAGGCCCGTCATATCTGACTGTATTCGGATGCAAAACAGACCTAATGAGACAAATCTATTGAGCCCTGTTGATCTCACACTTGGGGTAATATTGCGGCCAAAGATTTTGAGGGCACAGTTACTCGCAGACTTGATTTGCATCAGATAAACTAATAGGGCTTGCTGTTATTGTGTTGTCTGTCTAGTACTGCGTACATATGTACAAAGGTTTGTGTTGACTCACGGTCGGGTGCCTAGCCACACTAGGGCTGAGGCTTGGACGGTGGCTGGTGATATACAAGGCCTGACAATCCAGGCAGACATTGACAGAGACCCACCTGGGGAGAGCTCCCCTGTCCAGTCGGCGCTTCGCCGATTCAAGACACTGGGGAGCTTGACTATTTCCAAGCACGAGTGATTTGTCTAATCATATAACTTTGGGTCGATATCACTTGTCATGTTAGCTTGTAAATCGAATTCATCTTTTATCTTCGAACTGTTGTATATGGAGGATGCGAGGGAGCATGTTGAGCCAATTGTCCAAACCCCAACAAGTGTGTTGGCATCATGGAACATATAACAAGCTGAATATCATTCAACCTGAGCACAGAGCTCCAAATACACAGAAAATCCCCCCTGTGAAGCTGGAGGGTGGAGCAAAAGCTCGAGGTGTTGTGGTCCGTGCAGTCCGGGGTAAGTCCGGGGACATTGCCGAAGACGAAGAACATCCCCGCCCCAACCCTTGCTGGGTATTTAATTCTCTGTGGTTGGCTGCTTAATACATGTTCCTTCGCTTTTGTTTAATTTTGCTCAACAATTGCATGACTCAGCGTCATCTCATATCAAGCGGTTTCTCAGCCCATCTCAACCCCTAAAGCCCTGGACATAAATGGCGGAACGAAAGCTCGTGTCTGCCCAGCAGATTTCAGAGCACAGAGCAGCCGATGATTGCTGGATTGTGGTAGACAAGCAGGTGTGGGATGTGACTGACTTCTTAGAAGAGCATCCTGGGGGCTCCGCAAGTACGCACAGCGACGAATGCATTATGGGAAGAGGATATCTAATATTCTCGACCAATAGTTATTCTGAAATACGCAGGCAGTGATGCGACAAAAGCCTATTCAGAGGTTCACGCACCAAGCGTATTGAAGAACAATCTGGACACGACAAAATTCAAAGGCATTCTCGACGAGTCCACGATTGACGCCGAGTGGGCCAAACCTCCAGCACAAAATCCATTGCTAATACTACAAAATGAAAAGCCTCCACTGCATACTTTGATCAACTCGCACGACTTTGAGGCAGTGGCCTCAAGAACTGCTACCAAGAAGACCTGGGCTTTCTATTCCAGCGCAGCTACAGATCTAATTACACGAAACGCCAATAAATCATGCTTTGACAGAATATGGTTCCGCCCACGAGTCTTAAGAAACGTGCGTTCGGTTGATGCTCGGACGAATATGCTCGGTGGGAGTTACAAGCTCCCACTCTTCGTGAGTCCGGCAGCAATGGCAAAGCTTATCCATCCAGATGGAGAGTGTGCTATTGCCAAAGCCTGCGCGAACAAAGGAATCATGCAAGGAGTGAGCTTTTGGTTCTTGAATCTATTGCCTATTACTATACTTACGCTCTGGTCAGATTTCAAATAATTCGTCCTACACGATGGACGAGCTGCGCGCTGCAGCACCCTCCGCCGACTTTTTCTTCCAACTATACGTCAATCGGGACCGAGAAAAGTCCGCTGTCTTGCTTCGGGAGTGCTCGGCCAACCCGAACGTTAAAGCGATTTTCGTCACCGTGGACGCCGCCTGGCCCGGTAAGCGCGAGGCCGATGAGCGTGTCAAGGCCGACGAGAGTCTATCGGTGCCCATGGCGCCGTCAAAGGCGCAGAATGATAGGAAAGGGGGCGGCCTTGGGCGCGTCATGGCCGGGTTCATCGATCCCGGGCTCACATGGGAGGATTTGAAATGGGTGAAACAACACACGCACAAGCCGGTGTGTTTGAAAGGTGTGATGTCAGCGGACGACGCCCTGCTGGCGATGAAAGCGGGGCTTGATGGTATCCTGCTCAGTAATCATGGCGGTCGCAACCTGGACACTAGCCCGCCGTCGATTATCACGCTGCTGGAAATCCACAGGCGCTGCCCAGAGGTCTTTGACCACATGGAGGTTTACGTTGACAGCGGGATTCGACGTGGAACCGACATCCTCAAAGCTGTGTGTCTAGGTGCTACAGCAGTGGGAATGGGGCGGAGCATGCTCTTTGCTACTAACTATGGCCAGGAGGGAGTCGAGCATTTGATTGACAGTGAGTGATAGTGCGAAATTTCGCCTTAGACTTTACTGATTCAAGGCTATTACAGTCATGCAAGATGAGCTGGAGACAGCCATGCGGAACATTGGCATCACATCCCTGGCGGAGGCGTCCCCAGATCTCGTGCACACAGGGGATGTCGACCACCTGGTTCCAGCATCCCGCTCGCACCCGTACGCTCGGGCCATAGCTAAAGGACGAAAAATGTCGTCCAAACTTTAGATACCGAGTATGGAGTACGGAGTATATGGGAATGGGATATACGGAGTACTCCGTCTCGCGCTGGGATTGGAGTGTTCGGAGTCTGCATGCAACGCAGAGCATGTGAGCTATCCATCATATTTGAGGGGAAGGCATAGTACGGAGTACGGAGTACATGAGTCCTTCGTCTGCCCTTCATATAAGGTCACCTTCCAGGCACATTGGTGATGAGCGATCGATGTTATTCGCCAAAACATTTATCTCAATAAAAAAATATCAGATTCTCGTGCCTCTGATCCAGGGATGGACTGCAGGGGAAGCATTCAGGGAGTAGACGAATGCTTGCCAAGATCCATTGACACTTGCCCTTACTCCGTACAGGTATCAAATATTTCCGAGCCCCTGGCCATAACAGTAATAAGCACAGCCACTTTACTCCGTATAAGGTCTGCTGATCTCGATACGATCCTTTCGCTCCGGACTTTCCGTAGGGTGAGCTACCTAGGTACACCTAGACGACTGCGGGGTGTACAGAGAAGCGTGGATCTCACACGGTACGGACACGTAGCACCATTGGATGAAGGATGTACATCAAGCACAACATCCCAAGTGTGCTGTACTCTGTACGGAGTAGAGCAGAGTAGAGCAGAGAATCGATCTCTCGGAAGGCGGGCCCAACTCCGAGTCACACCGCTCCACTTTAAAACGGGGCAAACGCTAATTTCGTTTCTCCTGAGAGGTCTTTCTTATTCTTAGACTCTCTCTCTCCAGGTCATGGGATTCCCCCAACTGTTGAGGATCGGCGATCGAATCCGAAATTCGAGTTCCATTCCAAGCCTTCCGAGGTAGGCTGATGTGCCTCTTGCAGACCGACTCACCAGTTAGGGAGAAGGGGGTGGGCAAGCCATTCAGAATCAAGGGATTACAGTTGTGCATAACGGGTTCTGCAAGCATTTCCGACCCGGATACGTCCCCCCTCTTTTCTGAGGGTTGAAGAGGGCTGGACGTAGGAAGTCCAGGGTAAGCTTGTGAGATACTTGAGAAATTACAACATCGTACAGGTAGTGGGCGGGAAGCCAGCCAATAATGGCCAATGTGTGCGCTGGTAAGTATTCGATTGGATGATCATCTGCCAAGAGAAGGTAATGATCACCAGTTTCAGAGATTCGGGGGAGGGGAATACCATCACATCGAGGTACTCCCACTGCGTCCGGAGTCCTGAGTACATCTTTGGGGGGGGAAGTCATGTACCGGGTACATCTTGTCACTCCGTGTTCTGGTGGGTACGGGGTAGCCTGCAGTCCCGATGACTGAGTACCCGGTACGGAGTACATACGCCGTAGATCTCTGTCCGGAGTGAATTGTTGAACTCGCCGTCACAGTCATAGGGAGACAAGGTATATAAGAAGGAACCCTGGTTTCCCCTCTTCTGGTCGGCTTATCTCTTGATTTCTCTCACATCTGAGTGAAATAATTAAATTTGGGACCCAAAAACACCCACTACTACCCTTTTCCCCCAGTGTTGACGTCCTCTACTCCGGCTCCACGACACTATCGATAACGGTCCAGACCGCCAAGCAGTGGCCTCATAGCTCCCCCCCAACCATTATTTTTCCTCTATAAAGCTCTCGCTGGTCGTCCGGTTCCGGTCCCTTTCCACTACCTTCTTCCTCTGCTTCATAGAGACTTTGCCCTTTGCCAACTCCCTCAATACAGCTCTACTTCACAGCTATAGTTTCATACACTATACATCACAATGACTGCTCCCCGTTCATCATCACTCCGCGCCCTTCGCGTTCTTTCTCAACAGCCCGTGGCTCCTGCTGCTCGCCGCAGTCTTCACATCACCGGAGTCCAGTCCGCTCAACCTGCCAACAACGGCGAGAAGACTCTCTCCAACCATGAAGTCCTGCAATCTCGTGCCTTCAACATCGCCATGCGCAGAATCAACGGCAGTGCATTCTCAGAGTATGTGTCACTCCTATCTGTCCTATACTTCCACTACCTCCTTCCATCTACACATACTTGCCACTCTCACCCTCCAAATAAGAAACCAAAACTGACAAAGACCAGCTCTTCCTCCCGCCAGTTCAACACCTCCCGTGCCACAAAAGCCCTGAATGATACTTCCACCGTCGACTTCGTCTATATGCCCAGAATGGCCGACCTCGATGCCGCTCCTCTGCAATGGGGAGTCCAAGTCCCGGTCCTTCCCGAGCTCCCTTCCATCCGGGGAGACCACACCCCATCCGCCCCACCCATGAAGCCCTTGATCTACACCGTGGCCGGCACCGGCCCTGACGTCGCCGCCAGCGCAATGAGCGAGGTTGTCGACAACCACGCCATCGATTTCGACCCATTCTCACTTACCGAGGCCGTTGGCCGCTCACGTGTCGGCGAGGAGATCCAGCGCCGCTCAAACGGTCACTCCGAGCCCGGTATCGTGCGTGAGCTTTGGACTGGTTTCCTTGATGATGTGATGGGTCCCAAGGAGAATCTGCAGCGGAATTAGATTCCCATGATTCTTGTCCCCGGTCTATACTTGTTGCTTTCATTCCCGTTGACGGGTCTGTGATGAAATGAATTTTCTTGTCGCCTGGCACATCGTTCGGGCTTTTCTTTTCTTTTTTTTTGGGTTTGTCGGATTGTTTGAGATACTAGCGTTTTGATGTAATATCTTTTTCCACAGAGTGGATGTCTTCCACATGACAGCCAGCCGATCAATGGTACTTTTCTTTCCTTTTCTATCTATCTATTCTCTACAACTCAAGGTCAAGTTGTGCTCAATTGAACAATAAGTTTCATCCCAATCCCCACTGCTATGGCCTCTTCTACATGTAGATGCCGGCATACCTCTTCATTTCCTTTTCGGGCAGATCCCTTTTTTTTTGTTCCTGGATAAGTGGAATTCCACCCCCATACAGACCCATTAGAAAATAGGAAGTGATGGCGTCCACGTTGAACATCTCCATACATGCGTTCCGATCCGCCGAAACGACGTTTGCCACAGACTCCATAACCCTCGAATGAAACCAAGCCGAAAAAAGTCCATTTTCCATTATGCCGAGGCAGGCCATCCCATATCCACCTTACGATCTACACCCAAAAAAAAGGCAGATCCAACCGGGATCCTCATCAAATCGAACAATTAACCCGAGGTCACCAGATGACTCACGGTACTTTTTTTTTACCGCGGATTCCACCTCGGAACCATCTACGCGCGATACCGAGATAGTATGCAGACAATGCTTAAAAAAACAGTGCTCATCTGCATGGCTGCCGACAGCGGCCCAATCCAATTCGGCGAGAATGACGTGATGGTCGGCGTTCTTCCTCAGGAACCCGAAGAATACCGAACTCCACGCGAGAATCGGATCAGCCCACTTCAGTCTCTACACAGTAAGGAATTCTGGGGTAAGCATTTTGCAGGTTCCGAGGTTTCTTTCCTCGATTGCCGGTGGGCGTCAGGTGGGTGTAGTTCGGGTGTCGTGGGGAAGGTCGGAGGTCCCGCTCGGGCTGTTTCGGGGGAAACCTGGAGCTGATTATCTGATTGATTTATCAATCGCTTTGCGAGGGTCTTGCGTCACTGGTTTCTTGTAATAACGCTTGTTTGCCTTTTAGCGTTGAGCCTAGCTGTGGCTGATGCTTGCAGTCGGTTTGGGCACGGAGTAAGGGGCTTGTGGCTGAACATCGCGGATTTATGGACGGAGTACTGACTCTGCGCTTTTGTCGTCATCATTGGGCGTTAGGTGAGGGCCTTGGCTTCTTATAATTTGTATCCCAGGACTCGTCACCTTCGTATTCATGCTAGGGAGTATAGCATGATGTCAGTCGCCAAAAAGCGCCCAGATCCTTTTTCGATGAGCCCATTTCGCCGAGCTGAAGGCCAGCGCTTGCATCAGTAGGGCTGCAGCCAGCCACTCGTAGCCATTGGTACACGAGTCTGGAGCCACTCCGTCACAATGTTGACCACGAATTTGGAGTCCAGCTTATGCTCACCCCTCAGGGGAACAACTATCACCTCAATCATACTCCGTGGGTATATGTTACTCAAGTGCTCATATATCTCGATATACTCCGAACAGAATAGTTACTATCACTTGTAACATCGTGTGTGACCGTTGCAGGCGATCTGTTCTGAATGTCGTACATATCCGACGCAGTGACCTGTGGCATGATCGCCAAGCATTAGATGCAGATTGTTCGCCAGGCGCCCGAAGTATATGAATCCACCCCGATGGGATACGAAACCTATAAGTCGAGTCTATAGGCATCTACAGAGTATCTAGGTAGGATAATAAGGTAGCTTGAGAATCACTGGCATTGCTCTCCTCTGCCTAGAATACGTCATGGGGACTGTTCGCCGCGATCGCGCGATACCCGCACAATTTGCTACGTGTGTAGTTACGCTGCCTCGTGGATAAGTTCGATTTGGGTCGTGATTGAGGTGATAGATCTATTTCTGTCAAATCCTCCTGCTAGCAGGATGCATAACACGGCATACGGAGTATTCCGTACGAAGTACGCAGCATAGGGTGTCCTCCGTCCTCCTTCCCACTTGGTTTGAATACTCTGCACATAGTATCTTGATAATAAGGGATTGAAAGCTATGGACATTCAAGATTGGAAATGATCTGAACAGTCGAGCTAAGTTTAGACACAGGCATTTGGAGTGTACGCGAAAAAGTGGTCCCAGACGAGGTTCTCGACCAAAGTGGAGGCATCCAAGTCTAGACCCTTATGCTGTCGTACCCTTGACGGCTTTTATGCGGATTATTTGGGGGAGTTGGACTTTGCAGACAGCTCATAGCCAACTGATCTTCCTTCGCTCAGACCGCGTTCGGTTGTCGAGGCGTCCCGCGACCAGGTCCAACCGTCGGCTACGAACTACTCCGTACTTTGGAAGTACCCCGTCACCGATCTAAATACGCAGTAGAAGGAGTACGAAGTAGAAGGAGTAGAAGGAGTTATGATTCAATAGCACATACATAGTCAAAACGGGGTTCTAGATTCCAGGGCAATAGTAGGCCCTATGATCCCGCAAAAACCCATCCACTTTGTCGAGCATTGAGCTTGGACTAGCGCCTGGTTAGCCTCGACCAACGCAGCCGATCAGCTCTCGAAAGAGCGTTAGACGAACCCTGGAAGTGGAGACCGGTTCCTGTGGATGAGGCTATTCCTATCTCAGTGTCAAGGCAAACTGGAGTCTTGTCAGGGGTTTTCCTTTGCAGTGGAGCACAGGTCCGCCACCTCCCCTCACATCTTCCATGGCACATTTTGTGTCTTTCGAACCTCGTCTTTGTCCAGTCATTTCTATATTCCTTGTTTCTCTTATTTATTCTTACTGTCGCTTTGCACTTCCTTCTTACGCCTAATCTAGCCTTGCAATCTCTCCAGTCGCTTCAATCCTTCAATTCCATCTTTGCGCAACCTTGTGAAACAGCTTACAGCATTAATACTCACCTGAGAGACACTGCAATCTGACCTTGTTTTATCAAATGCGGACTTCTACAATCTTGCGCACTTAAACTCCCCGTCGGATCATGCATCTATCATCATGCCTGGCCTTCATTGCCGGTATCTCGAGCGTGCACGCCTTCTATCCGTGGGAACTGCGCCTGCGGGTCGAGCTCAGCGCCGCCAAAGATACGATCGAACGTCGCTTTGTACCATGGAACTTGCCGGAAACCACTACCGATGATGACCCCAATAGCACCGACGATGTCAACAGTACCAGCAGCAACGACTCCAAATTTGTGACGCTGGACTTGAAGAAAACACATGTTCGCCGCGACAATCGCTACCGGGTTGTCAAATCCCATACGCCGTCGCTGGAAAATAGCGCAGCGTTACATCAAGATGGAACGGACTATTCATACTTCTGTGTCGCCCAAATAGGTTCCCAGAAGCAAGAAATGTGGATGCAACTCGATACTGGAGCGCCCCATACCTGGGTATATGACTCCAAATGTAACGAGACTGTTTGTATAACCCACCGTACTTTCGACCGGTCAGCATCAACCACCTACACTACGGAAGGAAAGGGATACCGCCTCTATTACGGAAGTGGCGAGGTTCATGGAAAACTGGGAACAGACACAATCTCGGTTGCAGGCCTTGACATTACACAACAGTTTGGCCAAGCTAACAATGCTTCGGAGGCTTTCGAGAGCTATCCATTCGATGGGATCCTGGGCTTAGGGCGGTCGCACACACAGGGATGGAATCTGCCATCTTTCATGGATCTTATCGCCGAGAAAAAGCTCCTCAAGTCGAACCTGATTGGTTTCAGTTTCTCTCGCGCGGCGGACGGTATCAATGATGGAGAGATCAACTTCGGTGGTGTAGATACCACCAAGTTCGATGGCACCATCTCTTACACTGCTACGAACTCTAATCTCTGGAGAATTCCTGTGGATGATGTTTATGTGAACGGTCACAAATGTGGATTTTCCGGCAAATCCGCTACCATCGACACCGGAACCACCTATCTTCTCATCCCCCCTGCTGACGCCAAAACTCTCTTTTCTTTCGTTCCTGGTTCCTCTCAACGGGACGATACAAACTATGCGGTCCCATGTAACTCCACTGCCACCATTGAATTTGAATTCTCCGGAGTCAAGTATAACGTCTCGCCCAAGGATTACGTTGGAAAGCACCTCGCTAATAGTACCGACTCATGCTTTTCGCACATTGTGGGCTATGCATCCAACGGTGACACCTGGCTTGTGGGCGATGTTTTCCTAAAGAACGTCTACACTGTGTTCGATTACGATAATGCGCAAATTGGCTTTGGCGCACTTACTTCAGCCTCGGCCGAAGCCCAGAGAGCGAATCCAAACCAATCTTCCAACTCATCTTCTACCTCGGCTGTGGCCTCATCTGCAGGTGATGGAACATTCACTGCACCAGCAGTCACTAGCACCGCTGCAATCCCAACTGTCTCCGGCAGTTCTGCATCCCACCTCACCCGCGGCATAAGCTGGTCTATGCTCCCCGTCATTATTGGCGCATTTGCTATCTGAAATGCATTTTAGCCCGTCCTTTTTCCCTTCTCAGCGATTTTTGATTTGGCGGCAATCATATTTCTGCTCCATGTATTAATGTACACTCACTCATCACTTTCTTTCCGTGCATACTGTATATCATTGCGCGTGCACATCCTTTCAGTACATCCTTTCAGTTCTGTTAATACACTCCTGGGTTCACATACGGTCACCCACCCTTACTATCATATGTTGGCGGCATTTTGTCTGTTCGGTTAATTTCCCTTCGGCTGCACATATCTCTCATTTCACACCGAACATGCAACCACCCCTCGTTGACTTGAAATGGACATGAATTGTTGGAGTTCTCATTTAGATGACACAAAGTTTTACAATATCACTGGCAAGATGCCGAGATTTTACCAAAAGTTACTCACTTACAAGGTCTTCTGCGGGATGAGCGTATAGTCCTTTGGACCCGACTCTGTATATCAAATTAGCACTCATCCTCACATCACAGAGACAAGACCTACCCAGAATATCCCGAGTGAAATCCTCAATCCGGTTAAATCCAGCCACGCCCATCAAAATATCCAAATCCGCCAGCAACGACTTCATCACATGCCTCACACCATCCTCACCATGAATACTCAACCCCCAAATCCAAAGTCTTCCAATAAACACAAACCGCGCCCCAAGCGCCAACGCCTTCACAACATCACTAGCCCCCCGAACCCCCGAATCAAACATAATATAAATCTCCTCCCCAACCACCTCCACAATCCTCTCCAACGCATCAAGACTAGCAACCGCCCCATCAACCTGCCTCCCAGCATGATTACTCACAACAATCCCCTCAACCCCAAGCTCCACACACCTCCTCGCATCAGCCACCGACTGAATCCCCTTAATCGCAAACGGCCTCCCCCCACTAATCCCCCTCCAAGTCTCCATCAACCAAGGAATCTTCTCCCACGACCAAGCCCGCCCATGCCAAACAGAATCAATCCACTTCGTCGCCGCCGCCACAACATCCCCATCAGGATCAATCCCCTCCATCGCACATCTCTTCCGAAAAACCGGATCCGAAAGCCCCACCTCCGCCCCAAATCCACGGTAAAACGCATAATTCGACGACGCAACATCGTCATGTCGCCATCCCAGCTGCCACGTGTCAGTCGTGAGAATCAGCGCGTCAAACCCATTCTCCCAGGCCCGCGTTAGCAGCGATACCGTCAGCTCGTCGTCGTGCGGCATGTAGAGCTGGAAAAAGCGCGGTCCGGTTCCGTTTGCGTCGGCGACTTTTTCTATCGAGCTGCTTCCTGCTGTGGAGAGGCAGTAGGGGAGGTTAAGCTCGCTGGCGACTTTTGAGACGGCGGCTTCGCCGGAGGAATGGTAGATTTTGTTTATGCCTACTGGGGCGAAGCCGATGGGGGCGGAGACTTCGTGGTCGAAGATTGTGGTCTTTGTGGAGCGGTTGTTTGTGTCGATTAGTTGGTTGGGGATTAGGCGGTGGCGGTAGAAGGCTTGTCGGTTTGCGAGGTGGGTGGTTGACATTCCGGCGTTGGAGGAGGCGTAGTACCTATTATGATTGGGATTAGTTGATCTGTTGAGGGTGTATCCCGTCCTGGTTAGGGGGGGTATGTACCAGCCGCGCTCGCTGAGTTTCTCTTTGGCTCTTTCTTCCATTTTGCGGGGATCTGGGGTTATGAGTTAGGTGGGTTTGGAGTGATTATAGGTCGTGAGCTCCTAACCTGTATTGAATAGAGGTGTTTTTCCTTCGTTCTGCTTCCTGAAGTTCTCTCGTTGGTAGAGACCCCATTGGGGCGTGTCGCGCTCTTTGATATGTGGATTTGTTGGGTCACTCATTTTTGGTGATTTAATATGTTAGATCCTCAGTGTTCTGAGTAGATGATTTAAATATAAAGAATGGCTTTCGAAAGCCAGTCTCCGTTTTGTGGCTATAGATCAAGTTATCTTATCCATGACTTCATTTTGACGCCAGTTCTGGGACGAGAGAACGATCAGATGATCTAACTTCGGCCAGTGGAGCTTGGTTTAGCTTAAATTAACTGCATGCAAGAGACATCTGGCTATAAGATAGGGGACTCATATTGGCTGTGAGATGGGTTGTCCTTAATGTACTAGCTCCAACACAGTATTTTTGTGTCGACTGTATCAATTTATAGTTCCCACGCAATCAGCCAGTGCTTTGTGCTCCTTGCTCCGGGGGATGTTATAATTCCACAGTTAGTTTCCGATCATGATCATCAAGATGGGCGAGCTCAATTGACATTATCGGAAGCGACAACATCGCTCGGCATTTGTTCTCGTCTCCGAGCCGAAAATCTCCGCAGGCTAACCATATTGGGAGAATTTTACGGAAACTGACAGTGACCGCCCGAGAATTAATTCCCGGGCTTAGCTTAATTCTCCGGACACCACACTGAATATGCAGACATGGATGTACTGCAATGTCCTCCCTTGCCATAAAACCCCCGGTATCTCTTGTCTCAGTAGCCTGCACAGTAAATCGACCAAAATCCAGCATCGTAAACCTAAAATGCGACGGCGGTAACTTTCTGCCAAGCCATGCGGGAATTAAGTCTCCCGTGGTCACTGCGCAGCTCCGTACACATCGGGCCCTCGGGACATCGTCATCGAGAGTACAAAACTACACTTTTACCTCATTGAGTCATTCTGTGTTCGCTAAGTCTTTTACACAATGTTCGGTCTTGCTAGTAGGAGATCAGCGCTTGCGCGCTCAAAATGTTTGGCAACTACACTGCCGGCACGAGCTGCAGTCGGAGCTCAGTCATCCTACATCAACATCCAGGACTTTCACTCCACGCCCTCGCAGGCGGATTCTCGACCGACATGGATGCCCATGCGCGTTAAGACGCCTTGGATTGATGCATTGACTCAGAGCCGCGAGGCTCAGAAGGCCGGGGCACAGGAAAGTGTCGCGCAGAGCATTAAGCCCGATGTCACGCCGAAGAAGATGTCGGATAGCTATTACAGTGCAGTATGTATATGGATCATGTTGCTTATTCTGTCTGGCAGGAGTTTGTGAAAATTGGTATTAACTAGCTCATAGATTCTTCCTTTGGCCCAGGATAAATGGCTTCTAGATTCTTACCTCAACTCATCTGGACACATCAGGTATGTTTTCGGCATGTTATCAGAAGATCATATGGCTAATCGTTCTGAATAGACTGGGTTCCCTACTTATGGATCTTGATGCCTTGGCTGGCATAGTTGCCTACCGTCACACAGGTGACGGAGTGTCCACTGTCACCGCGGCTTGTGACAGAATCACCATTGAGAACCCGCTGATGGAGATTTGCGATCTTGAGCTCAGCGGTCAATGTACCTATGCAACAGGTCGGTCGAGTATGGAAATTTCGCTCCAGGTCACCAAGGCCCGTCCGGAAGGACAGGAGGCGAAGCCAGAAGATGTCCTGATCACTTGTGCTTTCACCATGGTTTCCTTGGACCCTGCTACTAAGACGTATGTCCCCCATCTTCCATTATGCAATGAACACAGAGTAACATCGAAAAACCAGACCCGTCCCCGTGGCTCCCCTCATTGTTGAGACTGAAGAAGAAAAGCGCCTCTTCCGAAAGGGCGAGGAACACTACCAGGCCAAGAAGGCCCTGCGCACGCGCAGTCTCTTGGAAAAGGCACCCGATGCCGAAGAAAGTAACCTGATCCACTCAATGTGGACGAAAGAGATGTCCTACTTGAGTAAGTACCCCCAACGCATGCCATAAGATCTATCCCAACATACTAACCTCCACAACAGAGCACAAAGGCGCCGTAACCCGCCCAGCAAACCAGGCCTTCATGAGCGACACAGTCCTCAAATCCGCCATGATCATGCAACCCCAATACCGCAACCGCCACAACTTCATGATCTTCGGTGGTTTCCTCCTGAAACAGACCTTCGAGCTGGCCTTCTGCTGCGCTGCATCCTTCGCCCACGCACGACCAAACTTCCTCTCGCTCGATCCCAGCACCTTCGAGAACCCGGTTCCCGTCGGCAGCGTGCTGTATCTGCGCGCGACGGTCGCGTACACAGAGCCCGATGAGCGCGAGGGCGACAGCACCAAGTACACCAAGGTGCAGGTGCGCGTTGACTCCAAGGTCCGGGATGTTGAGCACGGCACGAAGAAGTCCACCGGCATGTTCAACTACACTTTCCTGGTAGAGAAGGACGTACAGGTCATGCCCAAGGGATATGGCGAGTTCATGCTTTGGGCTGATGCGCGTCGCCGTGCGCAAAATGCTGCTGCGCTTGTTCCGTCGCAGAAGATGAGTGCGCTGCGCAGTATCAAGGACAGTGTTACCGAGTAGAGACCAAAAAATGGGTTGGGTGGTTTTCTTTTTGTGTTTCGTAGATTGGGGCAGACATTTTCTCCCCTCGGTTTAGACTATTTCGAACATTTACTTTCTCGTTTGTCTGAATATTTGCGCTTTCGTGTCATGTTCTTGTGGATGAGCACTATCTTGGTGTCTCCGTGTCAAAATATCTGGAGAGCATTTTATTTTGGAATCTACCAGGCAGAACCTGCAAAGATATAGATCAAAACAATATTGAGGCTCAGAGCCACACCTTTTTGTAAAGGCTACCAAGCAAAGACAATCTATATACAACGCCCCTCCATTGTCCAGCAAAAATATGTATAAAGCGGGCAGGGGGAATATATATAAGAGCAGAGAAATAGAAAGCGCAAATCTTCCAGTATTTCCAATCCCTGATAAAAAGAAGAGACCGATTGAAAGAAACCAACTCCAATGTAAAAAAAAAATGGATTGTGAGAATGATATAAGGAATTCTCACCCATTGCAATGTAACCGGGGGTATACAAAGGTTGATCCAACACTTGAAATCCCAATCGAAATCCCAATCCTGACTATAAAACTCCCTTAACCCCCCCTTCCTTTCTCCGTCCTTGGATAAAGGATTATTTTCAAAAATGGTTCGTTGCAGGTCGTGATTCCAGGCTTTCTTTGCCTAAGGTTTTGAAGTGTTGAGCTTCGCTTTGCCTTTTCTAGTTGTATGAGAGGATGAAATATGTTTTTTTTTGTGGTTTTGTATGTGCGATATTTGAGGATGATTCCGTGTGAGAATGGCGAGAGCGTAGAATCTGGGTAATGGCGAGGTTATGCTGTTTTCGATAATCTTCCCCCATTGAGATAGATGATTTCAATGGGGGTTTAAGAATCTTAGTTTCCGAGGAAAAGAGTCGGTACCATAAAAGCTGTATACGAATCTGAACAGCAAAGTGCTGATCATTGTATTTGGATGCCATCCAAAGCAGAAATCCCGCCAAGGGGGGCGTGACGTATTGATTGTCATGGTTCGCTGAGAACTTCCGAGATGGCGTTTGTTGTTAATGAACCTCCAGTCTGGAAACCCGAAATCATCTTATCCCTAGGTCCCCGAGGCTCGCGAGGCTCTGGCGGCTGCTCCTCCTTCATGCAGGCATTCTCCAGGATATTAGTCCACTTGCCACTCGTGCCGGCATGACTATGCTTTAGATGCTGGCGGAAGTGGTCTGCGCGGAAAAACTTCTTGGCATTGTTGCACTCGCCGAACTTGTGCACTGTGGTCAAGTGCTCGAATCGGCGATCCCAGTCTGGCTGAGGGAGGTTGGGGAATTCCTCGCCGCAGTATCCGCACGTGTCGTGGGATGCTCCGGCGTTGGTCTGGCAGGTCTGGGCCCCTGAGGAGTGGAATGCTGCTTGGAAACTGACGAGTGCAGCGCAAGACCATGAATGGCGCCGTAGGTGGAGGGAGTTTTGGTGTCTCTCGGCTTCGTTTTTGTTTTTGAAGCGGTTGTTGCAGTAGGCGCATGCGTACTGCTTTTCCATCTCATGAGAACTATGTTTGGGTCAGTATGGGGTCTCAAATACAGACATTCTCAAGGTCAACGTACCGTAGATCGTCCGGGTTGTCGAATTTCTTGGGCTTCTTTGGACAACAATCGCAGATGAAAAGTCCGCCTATTTTGGGTGCTGCGGGTTTTGGCACGTTTATAATGGTCGTCGGAGCGGACATTTTTCCAGTCGCATCCGTTGCGGGCGGTTCCAAAGATGAAGGACCAGGGAGCCTGGTGAGCGTAGGTTGAACAAGCGCGATAGGAGAGCTGGGGTTGAGGATTGATTTTTCGTGAAAAGTATCGAGATCGGAGCTTGGTGAAAGACCACCTGGAGATGGCCGGTCGTACGGGGAAAGACTGGTCATACTGCTACCTCCAATAGAGAGCGTAGACGAATATGAGCCGGAGGTCCGGATACTCAAAGATGAGGCGGCTGAAAGAGTTCGTTGACTTGTGGCGTAGTTGGAGTTGACTGCTAGTGTACTTGTAAACGGATGCCCGCTCAGCCTTCTCTGCGACAAGTCTCCATTACTCGTTGCAACGTGTAATGTATGTCTATCATCACCGATCGGCTCGCGCGGAGGTGAAGATGCCCGTCGTTTCATGCCATGCCTCGAAGGATCCGAATACGGCGGGGTTGGCTCTCGAAGAATGAATTGGCGAGGTGGTGCTGGTTCGTCGGTTGAAAACTCCCCTTCGATATCCGAAAATACCCCTTGATCATAACTTCCACGATTCGATCGGCTCGGCAGACTGATACTATCTTCTCGCTGAGGCGTTGTTCCACGATGACGACGTCGGCCCATATCTCGAAAAGAGCCTTGGTCGTAATCCAGTGCTGATGACGGCGCACTGCTCTCCACACTTGGACTTCTGCCTTCGACATATTCTCTCCAGCCGACCTTGGTCCTAGGAGAAACACCCCCGGACTGAGGACTGTTGTGCCATCTCACATCGAGGGTTGATCCTTCTGAAGGCCCGGGCGATGGCAGATTGCTAGGGCTTCGCGAAGGAACGGTGAGCGCGGTGAGCGAGTTTCGATTGTCCGTTCCGAGACTGACCGATCCCCTGGGGGAAACTGGCTTTGCTATTTGAGGCTTTCCGATTTTGGAGAGGAGATGTTGGTCGTATGCGTTTGATGAATCCTGCACACTTCGCAGTGAGAAGTCGCGCTCGCCACTCAATCTATCAGTGTGTTAGTAACAAGAACTGTACTAGATGTGAAGATGCACAATGTCGCGAAACAGAGTTTCCCGAAACTCTTGCACACCACGCGCCCTTACATTGAACTGGCCGAGTTCGGGACCGATATGGAGTTTGAAAATCCGTCTGTGACTGGCCGAGGCGGCTCAATCTGGATCTGAGTTTTGGGGCTTCGCGAGACGGCGGAACCGCTCTGCCTCCTTTCAAGCTGGTCTATTTGCATCGGATCACCTCGAGAGGCAGTTTCCGGTTGTCGATGACCCCCGAATAGACTTGAGCTCGGGTTGATAGGTGGTAAAGGCGTCGAAGATTGTGGATTTGCGTATTGCCAACCGGGGTCATGACCGATCTCCAGGTCGCGAATCCTGGATGGTGGCGGAAGTGGTGGGGGAGCAGTGTTCATAATAGTTCGAGAGGTTCGAGAAGCTATAGGTAACGGGCCGTGAGATGGGAATGCCAACTCGGGCATAGCGTGTTGGGAGATTTCGGAAGAATGGCGCCTGTGCTCTCTGAAATCATGGAAGCTCGGCGATTGAGAAAATCGAAGGTCCATTCTAGAACCAGAACATAGAGCCAGAATCGAAATCTAGACCGGAGGGCACATGAACCCAAGCTGATATCGGAAGGGAACAACCCAGATCACCAATGTCGAGCTTGGTAGAAATCGGAACACAGGTCAGATCGATATCTCAATGTTGCAGCAATAACCCAATCCAGTTGAGTGTAAATGTTGGTCGTGAAACCAGCTCCGATTCTTAAGCAGGCCGTTAGCTTCACGCTCCCGATGGGTCAGAAGATCCAGCTTCTGTCTACTTCGAAGTGCGCCGAATAGTTATAGGGTGGCGGAATGTTTTTAAGAAGTTCATGCAGTGTAAGTCTACTTGAGTCAGATCATTGGAAAGCGAACTTGACCAGATAATAAAAGACCGGGGTAGGAGCAAGAGAATAGGGCTGAAGAAGACCTACCTCGGGACCCTTGTTCGGCGATTCGCCTCATAAGATGAAACGTTTGCCGTAAGTGACACACGGGGGAGCTCTGTGTCCCATAGAAGGTGGCCACTGCAACTCAATGGATGGGAGTGCACATGCTTAATAAAATGATCGAGATAAGAAAGAAGCCCATGTAGTGAAGCAATTAAGAAAAGTATAACGTTTCAACCCGCCACTAGGTGAAGCCCAACAAAAAGGGCAAAAGGATTGAAGGGCTGAGGCTGAAGCTGGGGAGCTGAAGCTGGAGCTGAAGATCAAATACAAGAATCCAAAAGGAAAAAAAGGAATTGAAATGCGCCCAGATCGGGGAATCGGGCAGTAGGAATTCGGGCGGTGCAAGCGATTGGATCCAACTTCAGGCAAAGAGAGGGGGGGGCAATTTGGGGGTGATCTCATCAAGAAAGGGAGAGAAAATGGAGAAAAAAAAGGGCTCAACTAATCAGAAGCAAAGAGGCAAAAAAAAGAGGAAATTGAAACATACCAGGTCTCGGGCTTAACGCCTTGGGGGGGAAACGTATATGTATGTATCGTCCGTATATGCGTCACGGCTATTACATACCAATTACGGAGTACAGGGGGGAAATCCAGGAAAAAGAAGGAAGAAAAATAGGAAGAAAAAAAAGAAAAAAAAAAAAAAAAGAACGAAAGATACATGTTGAAACTCATTAAACATCAAATCCCTATCAAACACATTGAAATGAAAAGTGATTGGCTGTTTGGGATCTTCGCGTGGGAGAGCCACGTTGGAATGACCCAAACCAGCCGGGAATCTAAAAGGGCTTCAGCCTTAACTCGGTAATTTATCTTACATCCGTTCCGCGTATCACACCGGGCCTTCCAGTTCCTGGAACCCGTCTGGGGCTCGATGCTTCTGAAAACAATGCAAATGGACTGGCCCAGAGTTCCAGAGATCCCGCTGATCGATGTGACGCAAGTTACCCCATGTGGAATCTTCATATCGAGGGATGGAAGCCAACCAGAACATCGCAGAGTGACCGGTCAACTTCACAGGTGGCGGGTTCCCTCGTATATTGGACGCCTGGCAGATGCGACCCAGGAAGATGAGACCCCATAGGGTGACTGCTGGGCTATATACGAGAATACATACGGAGTATGGTGTACCTAGGTACTTTGGATATCGCAAGTCCGATCCGGTGAGCGGTTGGACCTGATATTCATTCATCAAGTCCGGAGTACCGAGTACTCCGTAGGGAGCCGAATGTAATTTAATTAGATTTCAAAAGCAATTCTCCTGGGTGAGTGGTGCCGACCAACAGGAGCATTCTGGAGGGGCAAACAAGAAACAAAGAAGAACCCGGCATTGTTGGCAGAGACACGTTCCCTCGAGGAACCATGGTTGCATGGTGTATGGTCTGGTGCTAGATCTGGCGACTTGTTGACAAGCAAATGTCGGCGAGGGGTCCCACAGAGTTATGCTGCCTTGAAAAGAATGAAGTAGAGATTAGCAGGATCTTGAACAGCCTTGCAACCAGTGATAATATACACCGGATGGCTTGGGCTCTTGGCATCCAGGCTTAATATCTCCCGGGGTGCATGCGACATTAGCAGTCCTGCTGATTGGGCTCCTTGAATGCGGAACTGCAGATACACGATTACGACGGCATCTGCAATCTCGTATGGTAGTACGGAGTACTCCGACTACTCCGTACAACCATCATAGGGCTATGATGGGTGAGTACAACGTATACGAACCGGCTTGGAGAGATCTTGTGCTGCTTCGGAGGTTTCGGGCCCTACATTCATTAGAGAACATTCTTTCGCCTCCACATAAAAACGCGGACAATGCTGAGTCGCTGGACACCGCCCCACTGATTTGCTAGTGCCCTCCACTTGGCGCCTGGCTTTGCATGCACTGCCACACTGCCGGTCCGCCTGTCATTTGCGCGCAGGGGGTGTGAACCTTCACTTTGTGGTATGATCGAATATCCTGAATCGAATGAGACATGGTAGACCGACCCTGCCCAGGATTCCCAGAAAATTCCATGGTCGTGGGCTATGATTGTGTGGAAAAGAAATGAGAACGTTGGAACAAACCCCTGCAAGGAACAGGGCTGAGTAATCGGCTTGCTCCACCTGCCCGGCTTCGAGAACAAAAATCTCGGATGTCCCTTTGTCGAGGATTCTTAAGGAGCATTCGCCAAGTCAGGTACCTCGAGCGTTTCAACTGACAAGTCTTACTGTATAATGCAGGTTTCACTGTAGTATGTCGGCATATTACAGGTACACATGTAATCTATTGTCTCATCCCTTCGAGGCGAGCCCTATCACACGTATGACTTCATAGGATCAAAGCATCATATCAGATCGTCTGACCCGATCAACCTACATCCGTGTTACGGAGTTCAGTTTCCCTATTCGCAAAAATAGAGCTATTTATGGACACCTCATCCGATGCATGGCAATAGTCTATAGTAGCTTCGCCAGGCAGAACTGGTACTCCGTACTCCGTAATCTATGGTCACTGAGTGGCAATGGCTCCATTGGTGCGCATATTGAGACATTACTTCCACCGCTGTGGCGGATATACGTATATACCGTACGGAGTTAAGTAGTTTAATAAAGTTTTCCGTTATGCATGTGTTGCCCATTGATCGTCGCCGTCAAGCCAAGTGTTCTAGGAGAAACCGTTGACTCATTTAGGAGGCCATTAGATTGCGGTGAAAGTTAACCAGTCAAGTTACGCAACTTCATGGAGGTACCCATTTCCGTGACATGTATTTTGCGTCGCGTGTAAAGGATTGATTGTTGGAGCGACAGGCAACAAAGGCACCTCGTAAACCAGAGGTCCGCGGGCTTCAACTAGCACGCGTTTTCTCCGTACGTGTTCTAGTGTACGGAACACTCCATATACACTTCCTTCCTATTACTCCGTACGGACTGCCTGTCAGGTAAATCAAAGTTCCGGAAGGTTGTTACATTAAACCCCCTGAGGCGCAGCCAGCCTTAAGCCTTGGAGGGCTGCGGCCTAAGAGTGCGCGTTACGCCTCTAGTTGATGTGACGCGAGGCAAATCAGCCACCTGGGCATACATGTACTCTGCGGAGTCAATTATCTCGCACTACTCCCTATATGGCCTCATGTCCCGTTGCTCGTACCTGGTCAGCCGAAGTTCATCTTCCCCCGCGGCCACCCTGATTCCCTGAATCCGCAACACGCCTAGTTAAACTAAGCCTAAAACTAGCTGTATCGTTTGCTACCCCGTGAGCCCCCTTACACTCCGCAGAGCAAATCAGATTATCGGCTGACAAGGCCAATTGTTTGAGGTTTGTCGGACATAAGTCGCACTCCACATTTCAGCGAACCGCTCGGCTAAACTGCTCTTCTATGATCCACAGTCATTACAACGTTCCTCACTATGGAGTCTGGAGTAAATGGTAGTGCACAATGCCAAGTGTGCACCATGTTGGAATTGTGCACCATGACTACATAGACCCCACATGAATGGCAGACTATCGGTTGAAGTAATCTATGTTGCATGTCGCCTTTGGCGAAGAGCTACGGAGTACGGAGCGTACCTAGATCCGTTTCCAGTGAGCTCAAGCTATCATGCAGGACTGAGAATATGATAGGCAGGACTGTGTAAACGGAGTAAATACCTACAGTACGGAGTAAACGGAGTGAATATGTTTCACTTGGAAAGTACATAACAGCCCCGGAGTGGGGAGATCCTCCTCCGGCCTCCAGGGCTGTACGGAGTGTGTACGGAGTACGGAGTACGGAGATCAGATCAGCCGCACTGTATCAACCCACGCCTTGTGACAAGGGACAGGTGGATACTGGAGAGTTATGGGATAGGAGTTAAAAAATAGCTACCAAATTCTTTATTTCCAATTCTCCAAACCGTACGGAGTACTCCGTACATGTAAATACCTAGGTACACATCCAGAGGGTATCATGCCTGAGGCTTCCAAGTCACCTGCTTTGTCATACCCTTGCCCTATCAGACTTTTTGAGTTTGGCAGCGCCGAGGCTCAACCTCCGCCTTTGCGATCTAAGAGAGTCGAGATACAAACTTGCGCCTGAGCTGCGCTTTCTTGACTTGTGTATTTTCACTGTCGCCGACCAGAAGTCTCTATTGCTGGCCAGCCATAGCCATCCTATTTCAAAATGGCTATGAATCAAATTAAAGGCCACAATATCTATGTCGGAGGGTTAGTCTCACTCCGTTAATATACACTGCCTACTAGGATGTCGCCAAAATGGAGCCGGAGCTGGGGACTGACACTGCCGGTTCCGAATCCGGCGATTTTTATTCATTGCTAATGCACCACTTGTAGCATATTTAGCCTCAAAAACAAAGCAGCACTGGCACGCGCAGACATTTCGCATGTTATCTCTGTGCTACGTCTCAACCCAGCCGAAGAGCAGGAGAACTTTGAGTCGTTTCAGCATCTTTCCATAGGTGTTGACGATGTCGCGGATGACAATCTACTGGAGCATTTCCCTGCCGCTATCAAGTTCATTCAGTCTGGTCTAGACACCGGCCGTGGTGTACTCGTGCACTGGTAAGTCAAATTCCAATATCCCAACTTTCACTTGCCGAAAGTGTCTCTCGGCATTCCAGCTGGGCCCCCTTCCCTTTGGTAGTATGCACAGTCGTGAGTGGCTTCATGCCTCCTACGTCATCGCGTGTCCATCAATTGCGATCTACACGTGGCTAGAGTTTCCCAATAATTCCCTTGATGGACGATATATGCTTTTTCTGGATGATGACAAGTCGTGTCTGGATGCGCTTGGCATGAAATGATGTACAGTAGCTGATTTGACGATCCAGTGCGATGGGGAAGTCCCGCTCCGCGACTATTTGCATCGCCTACTTGCTCCACCGGCAGCCGGGGGCTCTCACACCGCAATCTGCTCTTGCGCTGGTCCGCGAGAGCAGGCCCCTCTGTGAGCCGAATGAAGGTTTCATGGAGCAACTTGAGTTGTACCATGAGATGGGCTGCCCAGATGATGTCACAGACCACCCAGTGTACAAGCGTTGGCTTTATCGCCGCGATGTCGAAGAAAGTGTGGCGTGTGGTCGTGCCCCAGAGCTGAAATCGGTGCGGTTCGAGGACGAACTGCCTGTCAAGCCTGAAACCGCCACCGGTCCAACCATCGAGATCAGATGTCGGAAATGCAGGTGAGTCTTGGAACCAAAGATCCATCCCCACACTCTCCAGAGAAAACAATTTATCTTATACTGAACCCGTCACAGAACCAAATTGGCGACGTCTGCATTCGCTATCCCCCATGAACAAGAGAAAAGAAATACTGCCAAGTCTTCAGCTACTGCCGAATGTGGTCATGTCTTCCTCCACCCTCTGACCTGGATGCGCCCAAGTCTCTTCCCATCGGAGAACGAGGCTGAAGGTGAACGGGATACAACTTATGGTGCGCATCCGGACGATGCTCCTCTCTCTGGGCGTCTCACTTGCCCCAATCCAGTGTGTGGGTCCAATGTCGGCAAATTTGCATGGCAAGGCCTTCGATGCAGCTGTGGTGGATGGGTTGTGCCCGCCATCGGTCTTACCAAAGCCCGCGTCGATATGGCGAAGCAGGTCGTATCTCAGGGCCCACGAGCGAACCCTGCCATCCGCCTTCCTCCGGGAATGCGAGTCCCGGAAGCCAATAGCACAGGCCGTGGCAATCTTTGAGAAAATATCATACCATGCATGCATCCATAGTTTTACGAGTCATGAAAGCATAACGCTCCAACTTACATTACTTCGCTTTTTTGAGGATCTCATGCTTGTTTTAATTCGGTTCCAGATAATCCTGTGTTGACCAAAGCGGTTCACCGGGCCCGGCCGGGCTTGTGAGAGCAATGTGGTACATCGCTCGGACCATAGAGCCGCATGGAAGCTCACACTTCGTGCACAGCCGGGTTGTCTTGAAGGCAACCATCCTTGGGGACAATATGAGCCTCACACGGAGGGTAAACATGATTGCCTTGTCCCATGGACACACAGGCAGTCACGATGTCATTCAGGTGATGAGGCTCGAAAACACTGCCTCCGAACCTTCTAGACAAGTGCCTGAAGCTGACAGGAGATCCCTCCGGTCATCACCCCATGATCTACGAAAGCAAGACACATTAAGCAGCATGCCGGTCGACATACCCCTGCTGATCTGTACTGTCACTGTGATATCAATCCCTTCTAAAACATCCAAACCATCACTTCTCCAAAAGCAACATACGTACACCAGCGTACTCCGTGCTCCATAGACATCCTATGATTCGCAATCACCGTCCCCGTTGGTTGCCACCAACAATGTCCCACAGCCCCAAACACGCATGCCCAAACCCAACCGATAAAAGAACACGGAGTACGGAGTAATACAACATCGACCTGAGACAAAGACCCAAAGCTCTATTTCGAATAGTACATACCAATTACCACCGGGACCGGGCTCACCCTACCCTAGGGCTGCACCGCATACGTGCATAAGTCGACTCGTGGCCTTGCCTTGTTTTTTTTCGCAGGCACAAAGCTCGCCAAGGCTGGACTCTGAAAAAGCCCAAGGGTAGATCCACGCATACTCCACTCTTCTTCTTTTCTCTTTTTCCCCACTCGCCTGGTTTGTTTCAAAGATCAGCGTAACGCCGATGACGCTGGGATTGCCTTCATTTCCCCTTCGGCTTCCAGGGTAACAGAAGGAGGCTGTGCAAAGCGGGTCTGTTTCCTGGGCTTCCCGATTGGTCGTGGGCCGGTGTATTGGTATTACCGGTATTGGTCTGGTTGGGGTACGGTATCTGGTATCGTCGACGCCATACCTCCTACCTACCTAGGTAATTACCCCGGTAAACCCGTAGCTACGATATCGGTGCTGTATAGTACGGAGTACTGGTGTCGAGTACTGGGGTCTAAATTTGGTGGGATGTTGCTGACGGTCTTGCTCGTTCTTGACAGTGACTCTATCCCACCCAATCATCACGGACGCATTAGCCCAACTGCCAATAGACTCGCAAACCCCATCCTGTGATTGGCAATCACCCTGTCCTGGTGGGGGTGGGGCAGTGCACACGGCCTTGCAGGGGGAAGCTCCGGGTGGAGTTCGCATCTAGTCTGGCGCTGGCAATGTAGGAAAACAAGAGTGATCCTTTCTGCGTTCCAGGTCACATAGTTTGTCAATAGCTGTTGTGATCGTCTTCGGCGATCGTTGGCACTTAACTTTGTTTCAGGTTTGTCTGGGATGAGCTTTGGTTTCTTGGTATGATCACTTCATGGCCTGGATGCATGCCGCATACTCTGTATGTTGTATATAACATATAGCGGAGAGGCTGAATGAGACAATGTCTCTGTCAATGTAGATTAAGGAGAACGTGGAACCGAATAATGTATATCTAGACTTAATACTCATACAATCATATTAGGGATAGTGCGTTTGACACTCAAACCTGTGTATATGTCCTCGTATAACCGCTTTATATTCGAGTATTTTGGAAATCTTCCGCCTCGAAGCTTCCTACTCCATACCAACCTTGTCAAATACCAGGCAAATAGCGGCCAAATATAGACCGCCAACTACTGGCAAGATCAAAATAGCATTGCGCGAGTTACAACGTGCATATCATGTACTCCGTACGAGATGTTGATATCAGAACTCAATAAAACGCAAGGTGTGATCGTGTCTGCCTTGGCTGATCTATTTAGCTTAGCACTGTGTTTGCCCATGCCTTTAACATGGGTCGAATGCATGGCGCCAGTTTAGTCCGTTCTAAAGGCTCTAGCGCAGAACTATCACTTCTCCTTGCCAGGCAGCATCTCTTCGATGGATTTAGCTCGAATAGTTCGGGAAGATTGCTAGGATAGTTCCACTGGTAGTGATGATGCCATGACCAGGCAACTAGATTGTTGGTGTTTACTGTATTCACATGTTAGTCTTCCATGGGGGCGGGATATGCACAGTGATCTCGGTTGTTGGGGTGGTAGGTGAAGCTCAGCTTGGAGAGAGCATCCATGCATTTTGAGAATGATGCGGATGATATATCAAACTCGTGTCAATAGAGGTTGCTACTTCTTCCGTTGTAAAGATGTCATCGTAGCCGTACAGATATGTTCTTAGACAATTAAACCGTCTATATGTCAATCTGTGAAGATATATCGACAGCCGAGCTCAAAACTTAAGACCGAGTCAGAGCAAGTCCCAGACGAGAGAAAGAAAGCACACAAAACAGTAATGTAATACATGTCTCACGGAAAGATCATTCAGTCCTCAAATAGACGTTCATAAGGCTCTTGCAAACAAAAAGTACACTACTCCGACTAGTGGCCCCATGGGAGAGAAAACCGACAGCCTAGCGAGTAGCCCAGGCTGATGTGAGGTTTAACGGGCTCCTTGACTTCATTCCGGTCTTAACAGATGCCGCTCTAGCTAACTAGTGCTTATTATACCCCCACCTGATAGCACGCAGATCATGCAACGCGGGAAGAGCTTCCTAGCATTGATTAATTTACCATGGAAAATACGTAGAAGTCTGGCTGTTTCTAGTCTACCGGGTGTTCGTGCCTAAATGACCGGGCGAGAGTGGCTGAGGATCCACTTGGAAGATGGTTCTTGTGGGGGGCCTCGTATACAAATGTGTACTAAGTGTAAGCGAGTGACCAAGGAATGATCAGCCTGGAGATTTCGCTGCCGCATGCGGCATCCTGCAGGATCAGGAATTCATTTGTGATGGAAGGAGGCTGTGGTGTTTCGTGTGTATTCAAGGGCTGGGCGTCCCTAGATTAGGGGCGATCTTTACTGCCAGATATCATGCCATGAACTGATGTTTGTCCACTATACCCCGTAGATGGCATGACTCCATGGTTCTATGATGATCGCGCGATAACTTCGCCAAGAACTTGGGCGTAAAGATGTGGGGGTATGAAGGTTCCATGGCAATATTTCCACGTGGTTTTGTTCGTTGTGCTCCACAATTTGATATGGGAAGTAAGAGGGTTTTTATGAGACAGATATCAACATGTCGAGCGCGATGATTGAAATATTCAGTCAGCCATGCATTCGCTGGTGTACAAGATTTCCCTGCTCGCCCGGCGCTTCGGCGTACCGGATGGGCAGAGGATAATGGCTAGGCCAAATGTCTTTCTTATGTCGAGTCTTCAAAAGACAAAAAAATCGACAGAGACCTAGGGGTCCCCTGATGGCACAGAAGGAAACAATGAAGGGTTCTTCAACCTTTCCTGGTTCCGTTTCGCCATCTCAATGTTACGCAGCCGGTCGATGCGCATTTGGTAGAAATTCCTATGCTGTCGTTAGGAATAATAGCCGCTAAATGGGTGCATATATCACTTACTTGTGCAGAGAGAAGATGCGAGGTGAATCATCCAGCTTCGTCTCTGTCTCAGAACCTTTGCGAATAGAAGCGATCTAGCAGAGAAGATCGGTCAGCCTTTCAACATTCCATGTCTGGTTTCCTTTGCCAAAAAGAAAAACTAGCCTTATCATCTCTGTCTTTCTCATCATTAGTATTTGCCTCAGACGAATCTTTGGATTTATCCTTGGAGTCGTCTTTGCTCTTATCTTTCTCCTCTTTATCGTCCTTGCTCGAGGCCTTCTCACGCTCTTTCTTTCGTCTCTGTTTTTCTTCGTACTCCTTTTTGACCTTTTCAATCTCTTTAGCCATTGCCTCTTCCTTGAGTAGTTTTGCTTGGCCCTCTGTGTCAACTATTGGAGAACAGAAGTGCCGGTCTTGCAGATGTGCGGGGCACACGTAAAAGAAGTCCTGATGAGTGCATTAGCCACGAGGTGTGCATGAGAGCCCATGATCGAAGTGAGGAATTGAACTGCTCAGCTGTACAACACATCCAAGTCAAGCTTACATACCTTGTTATCTGGTGTGATCATCACGCTAGTTGATGGTTTGTAGCAGATCAAACATGCTTTTGCAGAGGTATCTGCGACCCGACGCACATGGTAGACATTTGTTAATGGCATAGTTTCAAACTAGGATGACAGCTCTATGTTACGGGAGATTGTCCGTACAATGGTCGCTGCTCGAAATCTGTTGAGAAGACGTGTAGATGGGCTGAGGTTGGTGTTGACTGAAGAAGGGTCGTCATGTGACCCATACTTCAACGACCATGGAATCTATTGATGTCTACGGAGTATAAAATTACAGTTGAAGGTTATCTGCTTAACAGCAAGGGGGTCTTGATTCACTACAACAGACATTGTATTCCAGAAAACACCTATCACCACTCCTATCTCAATAGAACGCCGAACCATGCATTTGTCCACTAGATGGAACCCAACAAAACTAGAGATAGCAATACATGAAGTTTTGTGAAGAGAAATCATGAAATATAGTGAACATTAGAAAAATTGAAGCAAAAAGATCATCATAGCTCATAACGACTCCTCCTCTTCAATTCCAGCAGCTTCCTTTGCTAGCCTCAAATCCTTACCCGCGATACCAATGTCCCGCAGGTAAGGCTTGAAGGCCACCAGGAGATCTTTGAGGCCACCACGGAGTGCGGTAAGCAAGATCTCGACATCTGGAACCCGACGGGCATCTTCTTGCGCCTTGGGATCGCTCGGTGGAGGGAAGTCGATATCTGTCCAGTGGGCGTCTAAGCCGCCCTGGTGGGCAAATGCATCCAGGGAGAGTGTGGTCTGGGTTAGAAGTCGCACGACAGATGGCACATCAGCCTGGGCTTTGCCATAGGGGTCTTCGGCTAAACTGGCCACAAGGAGCCGGGTCAGTGACTCCACAGAGTCTATAATCAAAGATAGAGAAGACTCTGGTGTGCCAAGAACAACGGAGGAGAGACGCTGAGCATATGTCTGACAGAGGGGTTGGCCGATGGGCGATCGAAGAATTCGTGCCAGAATTGGGTTGACATCCGCGGGTTTGTAGGTTGTGAAGGTGCCACTAGTAAGAAGCTTGAGCTTCTGAGTAGAGCCGACGAACTTTCGTTTCTGCTCAGGGCTGAGCATAGCAGACGCACGGTCAAACACATCGCGGACTCGGGCTCGTGCGGCTGGGGTCCAGTCCTCCGACTGACCCAAGGATCGGGCAGTTGAGCTGAAGGCCTCGCCAAACTTATCCTGACGCGAAGTAGCCTTTGGGGCGGTGGTAAAGATATGATCATCTTTGATTGGATCAGTGAGTCGCGGGAGAGTCTTAAGAACGGGCTCAGACTTCTCAGCTTGCGGCGAAGACTTAGCTCCACTCGCAGGATTTTTGCTTTCTTCAATGCGAGTGTTGATAGCCTTAATTACACCGGTGGTACAGTCAAGAATCTGACTCCAAGCAGAGCCACCCTCGCGGTCAATATCGCTGAAAATGGCCTTTCGGCGGTCAGGCATACGCTGGCTTATGAGACTGAGTTCCCAGAGTGCAAAGGTTTTCACCACATCTTTCTTCGCATTGAGGCCATTGATGAGGCTGGCATTGGGATCCTTAGCTTCTGTGGTGAGTGGCTGACCCCGCTTCAGAGGCTCCTTGCCAATGAACACGGAATAGAACAGGTTAGCTGTTTGCCAGCTCAGGACAAGCATCATTCCCGGCAGCAAAGTCCTGAAGAAGAAGTAGGGGAAAATGGTGGGAACAAAGCTCTGAGGTTCAGCCGCAGATCTCGGGAAACTCCAAAAGAGCTTGGCAAAGTACAGAGACCAGCTCCACGCGAAGCGTCTGAAAAAGATGGGGTACAGAACAAGAGTCGCTGCAGCAACAATAACGCTTCTGATCGCCCCGGCTGCCAATGTTTGTGGCAAGGCGACCCGTAGATAGTCGGAAGTCGGTTGCACTGGGTGAGTGCGCTCATCTTTTCCTTTGATGCTCCGTTCTGCGATGGGCACTACAACTCTGTCGTAGTCATAGTATAGATGGAACACTGCCTGTACGCATGCCAGGAGTATATGGAATGAATGGAGGTAGATCGGCCTTTCATTTAGAGTAGCTCGCTCGTGTGGTCTGAATTTCGTTAGCCTAACGTTAGTCTCATTTGGAAGTCTTTTAACGCACCGGCCCCGTTTCACAAGCTCAAGATTGGAATCACCCGAAGACGACCACACATAAATTTGAGTGAACCACCATGCCGAGAAAATATACCAGCCGAAGGTTTGTGCAACTTGTAGTAGAGTGAAGGATTTCAACGTGCCAAGCGAGGAACGAGCTGTTCTCGCGCCAATGTGCATTTGACTGACGCGAAGGACGAAGATGGTGAGGGAGGATATGAATAGTAGCACGGTTCGAACGCCGCAACTACCAAAGGGGAACCATACCCAGAAAACTGCATAATGGCTTAGGATCAGCTTGTTGTGCTTTGAGATAGTGGAGAATGAACCCTCGACGCTCGACTCGATAAGGTTGGTACTCACGGGACGATTTATCCCCGATCGCAATTGCGATGATGTAAGAGATTAAAAGTGAGAGTGCAGAAGCATGAACAAATCTTCGGTGCAGGGCCGAAGTCAGGATTCGCCTGTAGGGCCGGGTTTGTACAGCGGCCATGGTGCAAGCTGAGGAGTGGGATGCGCTCGTGAAAGAGAATGAGATCGTAGAAGATTAGAGCATGATCAGAGGGACCGTCATATGGAGATCCCTAGGAGCTGTAGGACGGAATTGGCGGGCCAGAAACAACGTTGACGATTGGTCGCGGCTGACAGCACGTTGCGTTGAGCTAGTCGGATAGAATAATCAATCAGCGACGAGGTCCGCCTCAGAATATTTTGAGGTATCAAAACACATTAGCCACATATAGTCATGTGACTAGTGGCTCATGGACACACTGTGCCACATCTAATCAGTCACTAGGCCATATCGGGACTAGTTGCTGCATAGTACGTCATGTGAGGGCGGTCTGCACTCCAAGCATCCACACGGCTATCGAAGGCAGCAGGGACCTGCAGATAACTCAAGTGACATCCCAGTTTGCTCTGCTTTTGCTTTTGAGCACCCGGTTTGTCCTTCCCAACCTCACATACAACATATACAATGTCTTTCGACCGCCTGAATTCGTTGGAGGCCCAGCCTACCACTATGCGCAGGGATGAAGACCCGCAGTACCGCGACGATCCAGACTTCGATCATCTAGCCGAGCAGCTTTCAGATCAGTTGTTTACATTGACTTCGAACATTTCTCGCCTATCCAACCAGATCGCACTCCTTGGTACCAAGCGAGATACAGAGCGCGTGCGCGAACGAGTCCATAATCTTCTTGAGGAAACCCGCACGGGCTTTAGAGACGTTGGAGACGGGATTAAGCGGATCCAGACTTGGGAAGATGTTAATGTATGGTCTATCTGGTTTCTCTTATATCTGACAATGTCATGCTAACATCCGACAATATAGCCCTCTCAGAAATGGACACAACAAAAGCTATCGTCCGAATTCAAGGCTACCTTGGACGAATTCCAAACAATTCAACGTCGGGCACTCGAGAAACAGCGCGCTTCTGCAGTTGCTGCACGCACGGCGTTTGAAGAATCTGAGCAACCATCCACTGAGAACGATGTCCAGTTACAACAGCAGCAGTTGGAAGCCCAAAATCGTATGGCCAACCAGAGCGAAGTGGACTTCCAAGAGTCTCTGATCATTGAGCGCGAGACTGAGATCCGCAATATTGAACAGAGCGTGGGAGAGCTGAATGAGCTTTTCCGCGACGTTGCACACATCGTTACAGAACAGGGAGGGCAGTTGGATATCATCAGCGAGAACGTTGAGAACGTCACCCAGGATACCCGAGGCGCCAACGTCGAGCTGCGCAGCGCGAGCAGATATCAGAAAAATGCGCGCAACAGGGCTTGCTGCCTCTTTGTAATTCTTGCTGTTATTCTTGCTATTATTGTGCTTGCGATTGTCCTCGGATAGATATGTTTCTTGAGCTTTTTTGCACTTGTTGACTCGTTGCTATCATTGCGGCCTTCGTCTTATGATCTCGTCATGTATGCGCACGATATCCCTTCAGCATGATTTCACTTTACCTAGTGAAGCATATGACCTTTTTGCTACATTTTACGTTTTTACTTTTAGTTTGCGCATTTACTAGCAACCTTCGCTGTATATTGAATGGAGAACATTTATTCATCGCTATCTCTCAATCTGTAGCACAATATCGTACAGAATTATGTTATACATGCAAAAAATACCCAACTGGGTCCCAGATCCTGCCCGTGCTCCGTTGTCGCTTTTCTATGTGCATTGCGAAAGTGTTTCCCGCCAAATCCAATCTTCAATGGGCCCTTCATAGGCCCGTGAAGCGATTGAACCTCAGCCTCCAACCTTCATAGCTGTTCAACTTGGGCCGTACGTCAAGGAAGAAGCTGAGCTTCCCGGGAGGAGCATTGGCATTGGCAGCCAGACCCGATGGGGTATTTCCATTGCCTTCCGATGGCTTGCCCTGGTAGAAATCGATAACATATTCAATCTTCTCACCACCACAGCGTTCAACAACCCAGTCATGTCGATCAAATGGGTGCTGGTAGCCGAGCCATCCATTGATCCGCGCACGCGGACTTAGGTATTGAGGATCAACTCCAAGTCCTCGGAATGAATATAATTTCGGTCCTCCGCATTTCTTGCTTCCGGGATCTGACGAGGGGCCATTGTTCTCCCATTCGAGAATCTGATCCCATGCGCGTTCATTGACGGCGTTGTGAATTGGAATGATGGATGCCACAGAAGTCGCGAGCTCCGAGGCCGAGGATGTCGACCCAGGAGTATTACCCTTGCGCATCAAGGCTTCGAAGAACTGCTTCTCGGATGGATAGATCCAGTTTCCGGTGGCTTCATCGCGGCCAGTCTCGGATTCGGCATTGGATGGGCTACCATGTGACGCAGCGTATGGGGAAGGAGCACCCTTGTTGGCTTCGGGGCAGGCGCTTGCTGAGTTGAAATCGCCGGCTCGAGGGATGCTGCTCACTTCACGGTCTGATGATAGTGGTCGTTGTAACTTGGCGCGTGCCTGTCCCTGCTCGGCGGGAACATCAGAGGCCCCAGGGTGAGGTGCGTTGCCATTTTGTTGCAGCCATACCTCGCGGGTTTTGTGGTCCACGGGGCATGTTGCGACTGGTGGTTCCACGGCAGAAGGTTTACTTTGGTCAGCTCCCATTGTTGAATAATTGAGGGTCAATGACTGGAGGATCTCCACGCATCAGGAACTAGACATAATTTTGCCCTCACCGCCTGGACAAAACAAGATCGCCCAACAAGGAAATATCCCCTTTTGTTTCTTATAGTTCTCTAGAAATTTGTTGGGAATCCTTTTATTTTCTGTTTATCCAAAGCAAAAATGGCGTCTGCATCTAGCCAATCTGTTTACCGGGCCACCACCACTGCTCCGGTGAACATTGCTGTCATCAAGTATGCTGGCCTTGGATTACCCCTCATCCCCTTTATACAGAGCCCGTTTCTGACTGCATTCTTCTAGATACTGGGGCAAGCGCGATACCACTCTTAACCTTCCGACCAATTCATCCCTCTCGGTCACTCTCTCTCAACGTTCTCTCCGTACATTGACCACCGCCTCCTGCTCTGCCGACTACCCAACTGCGGACACCCTGAACCTGAACGGCAAGCCGCAGGATATCCAGTCTTCCAAGCGAACACTCGCTTGTATCTCCAATCTTCGTGCCCTCCGCAAGGCCCTTGAGGATGGCGATGCTTCCCTTCCCAAACTCTCCGCCCTCCCTCTCCGTATCGTCTCCGAGAACAACTTCCCCACCGCCGCGGGTCTGGCCAGCTCCGCCGCTGGCTTTGCAGCCCTAGTCCGTGCCGTTGCTGACCTTTACCAACTGCCTCAGTCTCCTAAGGAGCTGAGCCGCATTGCGCGTCAGGGATCTGGATCCGCCTGCCGCTCCCTGATGGGTGGATATGTCGCATGGCGCACGGGCGAGCTTGCCGATGGTAGCGACAGTCTGGCTGAGGAGGTTGCTCCTGCATCTCACTGGCCTGAGATGCGGGCTCTCGTTCTGGTTGTCAGCGCCGAGAAGAAGGACGTGCCTAGCACTGAGGGTATGCAGACCACTGTGGCCACCTCGGCTCTCTTCGCCGAGCGAGCTCAGAACGTTGTTCCCGAGCGTATGGCCGCTATCGAGACCGCCATTCAGAACCGCAACTTCCACGACTTCGCGGAGATCACCATGCGCGACTCGAACACTTTCCACGCCACTTGCCTCGACTCATGGCCCCCTATCTTCTACATGAACGACGTCTCGCGTGCTGCCGTCCGCCTTGTGCACGATATCAACCGTGTTGTTGGCCGGACTGTTTGCGCTTACACTTTCGATGCTGGCCCAAATGCTGTCATCTACTACGAGGATAAGGATTCTGAGCTTGTGGCGGGCACTGTCAAGGCCATTCTTGGTCCTAACACCGAGGGCTGGGAGGGTGCATTCTACGAGAGACTGGCCAACGTCACTGCTCCTGGTGTTGCCTTGGATCAGGTTGATTCCCGTGCCGTCGAAGTTCTGAAGGACGGTGTGAGCCGTGTCATCTTGACCGGTGTCGGAGAGGGACCCATCAAGGTTGAGGACCACCTTGTCAGCGAGACTGGTGAGATCCTCTGCACCCTATAAAAGGTTTAAATGAGCTTCTAGCATACCCCCTCTTGACCAACCCATCCGAGTTGGACGACCTGAAAGATACCCCACCGTTCTTCTTTGCATGGGACCAATTCAACTTGGCTGTGCAAGCTTGATGCAGATATCTACTTCGCTGTATCCTATTGGTTCCCTCGCGGATTACCTAGAACATAATAATACAATGGAAGCGTGATTTCGGTTTACACTTAGGCGGCAAACACGGTCACCTTCATCAATAATATAATATCCTTTACATGACACGATACAGATACTAGCGTCCAACTTGAAACCTTTACCTATCAATGAACCATTCGCTTTCGAGTGCACTTTCACCTCCATATCCCGCTAGACGATCTTTCAACATGAGTGGCAGTCATCACAGCGTCTAAAGCCGTACCCGAGTGTGCGACAGCTTTCAATAAATTGAGACTGTTCACTGTCGGCATAAACACAGCAACCCGCAAATCCACACCCATTGTCATTAAACGCCCCGCCCATACTACGGCAGGCAGATTGAGAATGCTCGGCGAGACCATCGCAAGCACATTTGATAGCCCTGGACGTTACCTGGGCCACCGCGAGAGTGCCCAGGCCTAGGAAGGTAGCGAGATATCTCGAAATAGAGAGGCGCATCGTCTGGGCCAACACATGAGCATACTGACACCAGCCATCAACGACTTCGGTGAATACTTACGATTCTTGGGAAAGAAATGGCCTCGCTTCGGGTTATTTTGGCTATTATCTCCTGGCCACGGCTATTGCATCGAGATGTGATTCCGGCTTTCTTTATATTTTCATTCGGCTTTCTTGTATATATTCCAATTGATTTGGGTAATTGGCCATTCGGGGGAGTACTGCAGATATGTCTCATCTTTGTGAGATTCAGTGAACGAATCATATTTCTTGCATCACTTTGCTTCGACAGATGCAGTATGTTGTATATAATTTGGTTGCTTCAGGATACTCCCCGCGCTTCGAGATCGACTCCCTTGTCCTTCTTATGCAAGTGATCATGGGTTATCCGTGCAACATGGCTTTGCAAGTTATTTTTGGCCAGGCTGTGGCAGGGAATCAGCAGACCTGCGCCCGATGACGGTGACTCAAGTCTACATACAGGTATGTATAGAAGGAGATCGGATGTTCGATGTCACTTTGCCGACACATAACTCTAGTTGGAAGTACTAGAACAGAAGCAACTTTTGGTTTTCATTTCATCATCCTGCATACATGATATTTGGAATGTTCACTATCTTGATCAACTGTTTCAAACCAACAAGGAAGACTTCTTCATCTCCTTCACGATAGGGATCTCCTTAACGCGAGCAGTACCACCACCTTCAACGATGGCTATACTTTCCCTTAAAACGCCGGCACCCCGACCTCCAGAGTTAGGCAGGATGGTAGGCTCAACAGCATTCTCTTCACCATCCTCGTCCTCGTTCGCTTTCTCTGGACTGGCAGGAATCTCAAAGATCTCGTCGCGGGAATCCGCGCACATAGTCAAGACTTCTTGCAAAGCCTTCTCGATGGCAGCTGCACGCTCACGCATGCCACGACGCAGGAGGGCGTCGACAAGGGTCTCAGTCTCCGCCACACTCGAGTTAACTCGTTCAATAAGTCGTCGGATACTGTTGACGAGATATTCCTCTTCGTAAACGGTGCCCTTCTTACCACGAGCACGCTTGCGTTCCTCGCGTCGGCGAGTCTTCGAAGTATGACGTGACATTCCTGTCTTGCCGGTCTTGCCGGTGTTACCCGTGTAACGAGTAAACATGGAGCGACCAGCAAGCGTCGATGCATCTGTAGGAGCCAGCGAGACGTTGTCGGGGATATCGACACCCGCATCACCAGCGGTGGGATCACCACCGTAGAAAGCAAGCGGGTCAGCAGTGCGAAGCTGACGAAGTTCGCGGACTCGTGGGACCTGGGCATTGAGCTGAGATCTGCAGTCGGCGAGCAGATCGGTCATATTGCCCATTGCTTCAGCGAGACCAGAGTCAACAATTTCGGCAACCTGATCCTTCTTTCCATGGAGTGTAAGGAGGCGGGCTGCATCGGCGAACTTCGATCCTCGGCAGAGAAGACGAGCGCCTGTGATGACATCGTGCAAGTGGTCGACGTAGATCGTTGCTGCCGAGACGTAGTCTTTGTTTTCGTCAATCAGGGTTGTGATCAGACCATCGATGTGGACGGCCATATCTTCCTCGGAAAGAGATGCCATCATAGCACAGTACAACGACTCGCGCCACTTGTGTGCCAAATTGTAGCACTTGTAAGCATTCTCATAAAGCTCGAGAGACTCATAGGCTAGGTTTGATGGTTAGCCAGCTGTCGTTATGTCTTGCTGTGATATCTTTGAACCACTTACCAATTGCTGCATCTTTATATTTCGATTGATCCTGGAGATAGTCGGCATATAGCTCGGTGATTTCACGCTGTTGCTCAGGCTGGTACTTGTAAAGCTCAAGTGCTTCCTTGTACAAAATATGTCTACCGACATACGCGCGGATCTCATCGTGAGCGTTGAGGGCATATAAATGCTTGAGCGCTTTTTCGAAGCGAGAAAGGTGATTGTCGATCTCGAATTGACGGCGAATCTCTGAGAGCTGTTGGAGTTTACGAAGGAATGGTAGATACTCGCGAGGATCCTAGATATTGTGAGCAGGAGGAAAGTCAAAACTTTTATACTCGGGGGTCTCACCATCTGAGCTTGCTGAGCAACCAACAATGTAAGCTCAAGATCATATATACCCAATGCGTGAGAGTAGAGCCGGTGGGCATCAGTTAAGAAACACATGTGAGAGATGGCATCTTCAGCCTGTTCGGGATTTTGTTCTGGAATATGGTTAGCTTATGTCCCAATATTACAACGGGGAAGAGAGCTAATTCCATACTTCTGAGTCCTGCAGCAAGTCCGAGGCCTGCTTCCATATCGGGTGGTGACTTGCAAACGTGCGCCGTGATCAGATTTTGCAAGTTTGTATCGACACGGTTCTGAAGGGTGGCCAGGAAGGCATCGCAAATCTTGTTGATTTTGCTCTCCTTTTTGCCCAGTTGAGGCATCGAAGGGGTTGCTGAAGCTTCCGGCTGGGCGATAGCTGCCGATACGTCCTTCGATATTTTCAGGGTGTCTTTATACAGTGTCTGTGACACATCATCCTCCCTATAAAATCGTTAGCAAAAGAACTTTAGAGCATCTTGGTATCTACGTACGACAAGCGAGAAATGAAGTCATCGATGTATTCAATCTTCTTGACTTGATCGACGAACAGCGCGATGTTTTCCATGAATTGTTCGGGGGCATAATCATGGAGAATGTTCAGATCGACCATCTGACTGCGGCATGCCAGGAATGCAGATCGGTATTTCTTCTGGTCGATAAAGGTGCGGATTCCAGCCAATACTAGAGCGCGAGGGTAGATGGTCTCAATATTTCCTCTGGGAGCCTGGAGGACAACTGCAAAGACCGACGGTATGACCGAAACCAACCGGGAACCACGTTCAATGCTTCTGCACCGTTCATCGGTTTCTGGTGTATCCTCGGGAACTTCCATCTCTGAGGCAATCACGTTAGCATATTGAAATATAATGATCGCAAATTAATCTTACCATCCACGTGGTTCAAATGAACAAACTTCAAAAGATGTTGCGATGTTGTGAACAAGAGATGAGAAGGGGTCACGAGGAATGAGGTACAGTTCCTCGCAAGGACTCGCTTGTTAGCATAAAGCGTACCGGTTCTCGTCAATGCAATCAAGACACGCTAGAAGAGTCAGCAAAGATTTCCACATATCATGCAAATGCAATCTTACCTCATCCTCGGAGATGGAGACAACACGAGCCCAATGGCTGTCCACATTAGGACTCTCCGTCCACGGAACAGTATCGAGACTTCCTGATGGTGACACTTCGATGCTAGAGTAGCTGACAGGACGAGCTGGTTGACGGGCGTGTGAAAGCCACAGGGCTTGGTGACCGATTCCGGCGAACATCGATGCCAGCTGCTCTGAGTCTGCAGCCTGGTATACAGTTTCAGTGGCTCGGGTGTCCAGGATCGTCCGTTCAATGTGACTTGAATTCGGTCCGCTATCCTTGAGCACATATACCTCATTTTCATTCAAAAAGGCAATCTGCCGGGGCCGATTGGCTGGGGAGTCTGATAAGGGATAGCTCGACTCAAGAATGGGAAGAGGAACTGGTCGACTCTTGAGAGACCAGAGGTAAATGGAGAACCTGTTGTTCATCAACACAGCAATGCGGGTTCCCGATTTGCTAAATGCGACATCAATAGCGTTTGACTCTAGAGCCAACTCGTTGTGTGCCATTGGGGGCGGCACGCCAGCAAGTCGCAGCGGAGTCAATTTGAGAGTTTCTGCGCTTTCGTTTAGCAATGCTCCCAATCAGTTTCTATCTAGTTACTTACCTCCGTCGATAACAGCAACAGCACCAACGTCGTCCGGAATGGAGGTAGAACCATGGTTGACATCAAAAACATAATCAGCGTCAAGTATCGAGCCTATGACGATTAGCTTTTATTCTTGAATTCTTATTAATGGAAAGGTATCGTACCTGAAGACCCAGTAACCAGACGCAGTGCCTTCTCTTGGTGCCATTCAAGAGAGTACGGAAGCGAAGAATTGGGATCAACTGTGATCGGGAGCTCTTGCTTCAGATACCAGTGATAATTGCCGGTTGTCCAGAACTGCACGCGGTCCTGGAACTTAACAGCAAGTACAGTAGAATCCACATTCCAAGCAAGATGGATGCGAGAGCCCCATGATTTCATCTCATCCTCGGATAGACGAAGAGAGAACTCGCCGTGGCGAAGTCCGTTTCTTTCGAAGAATACGACATCAATGCGATTGTCGCGTCGTTGGATTCCGGCAATCAGACTGCCAGACGGCCGCCAACTCAAAGCACCTTCCAATCCATCCACGGCTTCGCTCACACTGTCCAAGGTGCCTTCTCTCGAGTAGACCCTGATCACACGGCGAGTTTCTGCCTCGATAGTGTTCACGGCAACATACGCCCCGTCTCCTCGCCAGCTGATAGTAGTGCTGCCATCATCGTAACTGCTCAAGATTCCTTGGTCGATCTTCTCTGGGACAGTCGGATCTCGGAGAGCTTTGGCCCTCTTTCCTTGGAACTGTGTCTCCTTCTTACCCCATCCGACTGACACATGTTGTGATGATTGCAGGTCACTGTGGGCAAAAGTGATATCGGCCACATTCTCGAAATCTCTGGTCATATACAAGAATGTCTGGGCTCGAGTGGTGAGGGCTAGCAGTTCCTCGTCCGGTGACCATGCCGCGGCTGTGATTCCCACATCAACCGAGCCGACGATTTCAATTTTGTCTTCTCCAGGAAGGGGTTCTTCACGGACAACGACAATATCGCCCCCTTCCAGCACCAGACAAGTTGTCAGGTTATCCGCAAAGTAATGCAGAGAGAGAACACGGTCACATGGCAGGTCCGGTAAAGGACACGGAGCGTCCCAGGAAGCAATGCATTCGAATGCATCGGGAGAGAGGGGATCTGTTGAAGTGATCTCGGGGCGCTTCCGTCTAACCTCAATGACTGCGTTGTTCTCGGCGGGACCAAAGGTGCACACCACCGAGTCTGAAGCAGTATCCCATGCCGTAGCAGTGAGAGGCAACTCGCCCTCAATTTGTGTCTCGGCGAGACGGACGTTTCTCAAGTTGCGCATCTTTCAGGAACGGGTAACTTTTTTTCTATGCTTCTTTTTTTTACCCCGCCATGAAGCGATGAAGAATGTAAATGTACTGAAATTCAAAGAAAAGAAGAGAAAGGTGGACTCCAAAGACCAACTCTTCTTCCCTCTTAGAAATAGCTAATCCGTTCCTTGGAAGTGGTTGTGTTCGTGAGAACTGATATCTGAATCGCTCCGACCCAGAGATTTTTTGATTTTCCACAGCGGCTCAGCCAATGACTTCATCCACATTTCAACGTCCGTTTAAGCTACGCATTCCAACATCTACACATTTACAATAGGGTCGGTAACAGACGGAACCAATTGGCAATAATAATCTCTAGCTTTGTACATGATATCCGCCTCGGCTTCAAACCCGATCCAAGTTTTCGACCTCCTAGTCGCCCAGACTGTTATCGCAAGAAAAATACAGCATAAAGGGCAATTTATTTGGTCTTGTAGGTTTGCCAGACTAAAGAGAAAGGTCATTAGAGTACGTTCAAGTTGTAGAATCGTAGAAAGGACGTATAACTCACCAGCAATGGCGAAAGGAGCACCGAATCCGGTAACTATATGATGCCCGAGTTAGTCATAGGGAAGCGCATATGTCCGTTTGAGTTCACTAACCCATGAAAGCCCAGTAGCGCCAGAAGAAGTGCTTGGTCAGGGGGTTGAAGGGGATGTTGGTGCGAGGACCCTCAGCGTAGTGGTAGGGGCTGGCAAGCTGGGTGCGAGTGGTGGAGAAGCCACGACGGGCAGCGAAAGAGGTGGCCATTCTAGCCCGGATAGCGGAGGAGTACATCTGAGAGAGGAAAACGATGTTAGCAAAGCCAAAGATCCCAATTGCAACAGTAGATACGAACCTTGAGAGACAGAGAGGAGAGAGTGGACGATCGGAAAGGGACGGACGAAGCCAAACCGAACATCGCGAGGTGCGGAATGGGATGATCTTGAGCCACGTGACCAGCAGGCCACTCAATTTGGTTAGCTCCAGTTTGCCCGGAATCCCCCCACCGCTTGCCCCATTTAGAACTTTTAAATTTCTCAACCAAAAAAAGTCCAGACCGGTTATTGTCGCCGCTCATTCTCCTCCTGTGGTTGTTTCCCTAATTCCAACCGCTGGAGATGGATGAGCTCTTTGACGTTTTTGAGGACCAACCTCAGGCGGCGAAGCCGTCAGAGGCCTCCAAACGCCCCAAGAAGGATAAGAGCAAGAAACGACAGATGAATGGCGATGTGAAGAAACCTGAAGATGTCCAGATCGAACAAGATGAGGATGTTACGATGTCAGATGCACCTGCTGTGGTCGCTGAACTAGCAGACTCCGAACCTATTGCGACTTCCTCCGAACAAACCAACCAACCCGGCCCAAAGCGACCTCGATTGGATCAGGAACCTGAGCCTGTAGTTGCCGATTCTTTTGAAACCGAGCAGGAACGCGAAATCTCAGGCTCCGGGGGACTGGCAGGAACTCCCGATGCTTCTGCACTTGTGGTGTCTCACCAGGTGCGCCATCAGGTCGCAATTCCGCCGAACTACCCTTACGTGCCGATCTCTCAACACAAGCCGCCGGCCGAACCAGCGAAGACATGGCCGTTCACACTCGATCCTTTCCAGCAGGTCGCAGTTTCATCAATCCAGCGCGAGGAGAGTGTGCTGGTATCAGCTCATACTAGTGCCGGTAAAACCGTGGTGGCAGAATATGCGATTGCGCAAAGTTTGAAACAAAACCAGAGAGTTATCTATACAAGTCCTATCAAGGCGCTGAGCAACCAGAAATACCGTGAATTTGCTGCTGAATTCGGCGATGTCGGTCTGATGACCGGTGATGTGACTATCAACCCCACCGCTACCTGTCTTGTTATGACCACAGAGATTTTGCGCTCTATGTTGTACCGTGGCTCTGAGATCATGCGTGAAGTCCAGTGGGTAGTTTTTGATGAGATTCATTACATGCGCGACTTGAGCCGTGGTGTTGTTTGGGAAGAAACCATCATCCTATTGCCTGATAAGGTCCGCTATGTTTTCCTATCCGCCACTATCCCGAATGCCATGCAATTCGCCGAATGGATTGTCAAGATGCATAATCAACCCTGTCACGTTGTCTACACCAATTATCGTCCGACTCCGCTTCAGAACTACTTCTTCCCCGCTGGTGGCGAGGGAATCCACCTTGTTGTGGATGAAAAAGGCACCTTCCGCGAGGAGAACTTCCAGAAAGCAATGAGTGCTATTGCTGATAAGAAGGGCGATGATCCAGCTGACGCTTTGGCCAAACGTAAGGGCAGGGGCAAGGACAAGCAACTGAACAAGGGTGGCAACAAGGGCCCATCAGATATCTACAAGATCGTGAGAATGATTATGCTGAAGAACTACAACCCCGTTATTGTCTTCAGTTTCAGCAAGCGAGAGTGTGAGGCAGGTGCTTTGCAGATGAGCAAATTGGCCTTTAACGATGATTCTGAGAAGAATATGGTCACCAAGGTTTTCGAGAGCGCCATTGAAATGTTGTCTCCAGAGGATCGCCTATTGCCCCAGATTACAAACATTCTTCCTCTGCTGCAACAAGGTATCGGTGTCCACCACTCAGGATTGCTGCCAATTCTCAAGGAAACCATTGAGATTCTGTTCCAAGAAGGTCTTATTAAAGTCTTGTTCGCAACTGAGACTTTCTCTATCGGTCTCAACATGCCTGCGAAGACTGTTGTCTTCACTAGTGTTCGCAAGTTTGATGGAACCAGCCAGCGCTGGGTTAGTCCATCTGAATTCATCCAAATGTCTGGTCGTGCCGGTCGTCGAGGTCTTGATGACCGAGGTATTGTTATCATGATGGTTGGAGAGGAAATGGACCCTGCGGTCGCAAAGGAGATTGTGCGTGGTGAACAAGATTCACTCAACTCAGCCTTCCACCTTGGTTACAATATGATTCTCAATCTGATGCGTGTGGAGGGTATCTCGCCCGAATACATGCTCGAACGATGCTTCAAGCAATTCCAGAACACCGGAAGTGTTGCAGGCTTGGAAAAGGAGCTAGTGAGTCTTGAGGAGCAGCGCCTCAATATGGTCATCTCAGACGAAGGGACCGTCCGCGAATACTACGAGCTACGGAAGCAACTTGACACATTTGCCGACGATGTTCAGCATGTCATTACCCACCCGAATTATTCTTTGCAATTCATTCACCCTGGCCGGCTGATCCATGTGAGGTACAAGAATGCAGATTATGGCTGGGGTGTGGTGGTCAACCAGAAGAAACGCAAGCAAGGAAATAACGACACCGAAAAATTCCCCGCTCACCAATCCTATATTGTTGATGTATTGCTGAACGTATCGCAAGGGTCAGCGATCGGCACCAAGACTTTCGAAGATCTTCCGCCCGGCGTTCACCCTGCAAAGGAAGACGAGCCCAGTCGCAGTGAGGTTGTGCCCATGGTTCTGAGTTGTATGAAAGAAATTTCGCATCTCCGGATCATGGTTCCGAAGGATCTCACCTCGCCTGACTCCCGGAATGGAGTCATGAAGACTCTCGCTGAGGTGAAGAGGCGCTTCCCTGACGGTCTTCCTCTACTCGACCCGATTGAGAACATGGGTATCACAGACGACAGCTTCAAGAAGCTGCTTCGGGTAAGAAAAGCATTCCATCTGACCGATATATAATTTACTTTACTAACCATCACATAGAAAATCGAAGTTCTGGAGTCTCGCCTTCTAAGCAATCCTCTACACAACTCCCCCCGATTGACTGAGTTGTACGAGCAATATGCCCAGAAGGTAGAGTTGGCTGCAAGGATCAAGGCGATAAAGAAACAAATCACCGAAGCCATGTCGGTCCTGCATATGGATGAGCTGAAGTGTCGCAAGCGTGTGCTTCGCCGTTTCGGATTTATCAACGAAGCCGAAGTTGTCCAATTGAAGGCTCGGGTTGCTTGTGAGATCAGCACAGGTGACGAGCTGATGCTGAGCGAGTTATTGTTCAATGGTTTCTTCAATAATTTGACACCCGAGCAAACCGCATCTGTTATGAGTTGTTTCGTGTTTGAGGAGAAGGTCAAGGAAGCCCCTGCGTTAGCCAAGGATGAGTTGGCGAAGCCACTCCGGGAAATCCAATCACAGGCCCGCATCATTGCCAAGGTGTCCCAGGAGTCTAAAATGGCCATCAATGAGGAGGAATATGTGCAGAGCTTCCACTGGGAGTTGATGGAGGTGGTTTACGATTGGACTCAGGGCAAGTCTTTCGCCGAGATCTGGTAAGCCTCTACCCCATTCGCCTCCGATTACATCACTATCAGTATACTAACTATCCCAGTAAAATGACCGATGTCTATGAGGGTAGTTTGATCCGTGTCTTCCGCCGGTTGGAAGAAGCTTTGCGACAGATGGCGCAAGCTGCCAAGGTGATGGGCAGCGAAGACCTGGAGAGCAAGTTCGAGGAGGCCCTAGGCAAGGTCCGCCGCGACATTGTTGCTGCCCAGTCCTTGTATTTGTAGATACGATATCCCTCTTATGTTCGTTCGCTATGCCAAAAGAATACTTATGATTACAATTTCACCGTTTTGGCTCTCTCTCTCTCTCTTGTTGTAGTAGGATGTACCTGATCACAGGTCTTTCAAGGGACCATCACAATCGAACAAAGGAAAAAAGAAGGCAATCAAAGATCCATCGTCTTGGAGTTTTCCATGTGAATTGGAGAACCTCAAAAACAAGGTACCAACCATAACTATACCTAGGTATAGGTAGTATCTAGGTAATTCCCAGGCCAACCCCTACTACATGCACACAAGGTATAAGCTCTTAAACAATCTTGGGCTCGTACTATCGGGTGTCAAAACAGACAAGCTCGATACATCCCAAGATGACCATGATGTACGCCCTTATTAGGATCTACATGTACATGTAGATTACCATAGCTGTCCTATATCTGCCCAGGTGTAGTTAGTAAATTATGTATGGATGAACTCCCTAAATAATTAGATTAAGGGGTCCCCTACTGACGTCTTTAATATATCCATGGATACCTAAGGTACTTTCTCTGGTGTATCCTGTGTGTTGTTACAACTCTCCAGGGCTGGCATTTGGGGATCGTCTAGGTTGTCTCCCCGATTAGAGTGCGTTGGAGATGATGCGGGTATCGTATAGCCGTGCCCGAAAGCAGTGGAGAGAGTCTTTAATCTGACGTATTCGACAACCAGAAGATTTTTTGGGAGGCCATGTACTGAGATATAAAAAAGCGAACATTTATTTCTATGACAATCAGAACTCACATCAAACCCTTTTTGGTAAGGCAGAACCCTTCAAAGCTGCGCAAAGGGATTGCGTTGCCACCTGCAACGCCTACTTTTTCTCCACCGCTACCTTTACCCTTTCTCTCTCCCCACTTCAAACCTTCATCCATTCTCTCTCCTTGCTACTTTGCTGTTCGCTTTCGTCCTTGGGATTTTCGAGTCCTCCTGAATATCACTCTTTCCCTCTGCCATCCGGCTGTCATCATGAACAGCCTGGTGGCCACACCTCCTGTTCCTCCTCACTTCTACGAGAACCCCCGATTCTCTCCCTCCCGTATGAGTAAGACATCCCTTCTCAAATGACGGAATACTTCATGGTTTTTTCCCATGGTTTTTTCCTGCTTGACGACAGTCTGTCCGATGTACTTGGATACTTACAAATTTGCCAGTGTCTACACCCTCCTCGTCGTATTCCAACCGTAAACGGAAAGCGGACGACGACAATGATCATGATGGACGCATGTCGGCTTCGCCCACAAACTCTCCAGCTTTTACTCCTCGCCAGCTCCCTCATAATTACCGCAATATCAAACGTTCCCGACCGAATGTTTCAGGCCGACCTCTGTCCCTCCCTCGTCTGTTAGAGACCCTGGACACCGATGCCTTGCGGACCGTGGTACGGACCATGTGCGAGCGTCACCCTCAACTTGCCGACGAGATTGTGCACACATCCCCTCGCCCGAACGTCTCTTCGACTCTCCAGGTTCTTCGAAACTACCAAGCTACCCTCCAGTCATCCTTCCCGTTGGGTGGCAACACCGAGTCGGACTATGCCTACAACCGAGTCCGGCAGCCGCTCACCAACCTCCTTGACGCCTTGAGTGACTTCACCCCCAATTTCCTTCCCCCGAACGAAACCCAGGCATCCACATCTATGAGTTATCTGGATGGGGCAACCGACATCATCCACGCCTTGCCACGCTGGAGTACGCCACAGAACAACATCGAAAGAGACTCAGCCTACGACGAAATCTGCAAGGCATGGATCCTGGTGATCCGGGAAGCGGCAAAACGAGGCGGTGGCATCCAGCTGCAATACGGAGGATGGGACCAAAAACTGGCGAAGCACAATCAAACCTCAGGGGGAAAGCTACAAGGAGCTGTCAACGAACTTGGCCTGAGCTTGGGATGGATGAACGGACCCGACCCACCCACTCACGGAGCTAATGGCGACATGGGTTCCATCCGTGACCAGCTCTTCTCCGGAACTTACGGGCTGGGAACACCAGTTAAGGTCGGACCCTGGTGACGAATTAACCCACTCCGATCTCCTTACGAACGACCAACACTAAATTTACACCCCTCCTGCGTATCGGCCTCACTTCTCCCTGCCGACTCGCACTCGAGCTTGACCGACGGTCTATACCCCTTCGACCGCGCAATTTTCGACGTATGTCACGATCACGATACCTGCTGCATGACCCTAGAATCGACATGGTCTCAGATGGCGTTATAGTACTCAAGGCGAATGACCTAACAGCTTTTTCTTTCCTTTTTCTTGTTTCTTTTTATTTCGGCTGGAACTTGGAAGATGAAAATGAATCTTGGTATAACTGGTCTGTTTTCAAAATTTTCAATGAATTCATTCAGGTTCGGTCTCGTTTCCTTTTCCTTCCCTTGCTTTTTCCCATCTGTCGTATTTCAACTCTGTACGCATGAAACCCTTCTTTTTCTACCTTTCCTTTTTTTCTGTGAATCTTGATCTCTTTTTATCTCTGTACCTCATTCAAACTTTGATCCCTCGTTCCATATCTACTGGCACCCTGGAGTCGCATACATCCCTCTCTTTCATCACCATCTCTTTGTCTCCTCTTTGTCTTTTTCCTCCTCTTCTCATTCGCCATTGTTGGTTGTCTTTGCTTGATTCGTCTCTGAGGCTTGACATTTCTTTATGGTCATTGTCACTCTGTCGCTTGGCTATTGCGGTGACGGATGTCGCAACGACTTATGTTTGTCCTGGGACTTCTGACCAAATACCTGTCCCATTCAGCTCTGGAAAATTTGGCGGCAGATCTGAACCCGTTCTATAAATTAGAAGAGGATGTCTCACCATCCTCCCGGTCTGCATCATACTTCTGATCTTGTTTATCCCGTATAACAGGTCTCAGATATGTTGTTAGTTGATAGGATCTTTTTGTGCAATGTAGCATGTTTCATTGGAATCCAATCAATTTTTCACTAAACCTTTTGGTCGTCATATAGAATTTACCAAACCTAGGGGTGACCCATATATCATTTTCGGACTGCTGCTTAGCTGCACATCTGTGGATTAAAGCCAGCCTTGTAGACATTCTGAACAAAGCTAATTAACAAATCGAATCAACAATTCATTGGCAAACAAATCTACAAAAGAAAAATCGCTCAACGCAATTCATAATTCATACCAATGCCCGCTTCACCACGCGGAACAACCACCCAGCATCTTCCCAACCACCTCGAGCCCCAGGTTTCTCAATAGGATCAGAAACACCATTAGACTCCCCATCACTACGGGAAGAATCCCCGTCAGACACATCCCCATCCTCATCCCCAAGTGAAAGCGTATCACCAGCCCGCCCAGACGCCAAAACAGGTTCCTCAAACGTAACAGTGGTGGTAGTAGACGCCGTTCCAATCCGCGAAGCAGCCACCGCAGCCTGAGCCGCAGGCCACTCATCTACCCCGAACAAAGTCCACTCCACCAGCCGATCAATCCAAGTCCCCAGCCCGAATCCGCGCTCGCGTGTTAACTCCTGCAGATCCGCTTCGTCGAAGTCATCCAGCGTCTCGTCGGAATCATACAAGTACTCAGAGGAGAACTCCTCGTCTGAACCCTCCCAGAACAGATCCTCTTGCGAGAACCGGCGCTGCTGCAGCGCCGCCATCTCTGCGCGGATGTGCTCGTCAACGAAGTCGGGGAGTGTGAGTGACTGTGCGTCGGGACTAGCCGTGCCCGTGGCAGTTCCCGTGCTGGGACCGGGGCTTATGGATACTTTCTCTGCCGTGGAGGAGGCATATGACATCGGGAGAGCGGTCATGGTTAGACCGGCTCGACTGCCGCGTCTGCTACCGCGGCGGGAGAGGGCGATGCCTGGTGTTGAGGCACCGGAGCGGGACTTGCGCGATGAGCCGCTTTTGGTGCGGTGGTGGTGGCGATTGCTGGGCTCGTCGAAGGGTATATCGGGGATGAGGCTGGTTGAGGTCTCTCGCTTGGAGAGCCAGCTTTGGCCCTTTTCTTCGCGGGTTGAGGAGGCTAGGGCGATGCCTGCGCGGAGCATCCATTCTGCGTCCGATTTGGATCTCGGCGCGTTGATGTCATGGAGAGGTCGGCGTCCATGCGTGTAGGAGATGCTGGTATGTTTCTTATGTGTGCCTGGGACATGGTGGAGGGGATGGCTTAGATCCCGGCTATATAGGTTGGTGTCGCTTAAGGGTACCGCCCGACTTGAGCTTTTGCTGCGCGCGTGGCGGCTTCGTGAGTTGCTGCGGGAGTGTGATAGGATTGGTGGCGTGCTGGGGACTGAGACGCTAGATAGATAGGATGATGTTGGGGGTGTACGGGTGCCGCTGGCTGAAGGCTCATTGTCGCGGTGGTTGAAATAGTCTATCTCGTCTGTGTCGTCGTCAATGGGGAATCGTGGAGTTAATGGTGCTAGGGAGACGTGGTTGAGCGATGGGTATGAGCGATGGGAACGGAAGCCACCCGAGGAGTTGGTGATCTATACGAGATATGTTAGACTGGAATTCGTATGTTTATGCGAATCAAGGGCCTGTATTGTCCCATATTACCTCCATTATGGATCTTTCAGCCGAAAGCCTAGAGAAATCAGAGAGGAAGATGCTGAGACGGGGGAAATGCGGAGTTGCTGCACGTGCGGTTGGCATGTGAAACAGACCGAGCGGCCCCGGCAATTGGGGTGAAGGTATTAGATCCGAGGATAATTTAATCTATCGCGGGATTGAGATTGATATTAATCGCATCGATCTTGAGTCTAAATATGCGATGGGGGTGAGGGCCGATGACCTATACATGACCGATCTATAGAACTTGCCTTTGAACGGAACCCGAGGCAGCGCAGCTATTCAATCCAGTCATACGATTGACATGTGGCACGACAGATTCTCTTCTTGTGTAATTGAGTCATAAAACGGAAATGACATTTAGAAAAAAATATATATATTTTTTTTTCATACAAAACCGCCACCAACATCTGACATACAAGCTAGTATGCCATTATATATCATGACCATTCACAAGCGCGAATCTTCAAAATTCATATATCCCTGGCCCTTAGCCCGTAAATCTTCTAGAACATTATATTCCATAATCCACTTCATTCGCTCCATCAGTGCATCCGGATTGAAGTTGTTAGACATCTGGTCAGGCGAATCCGAGCTGGCCAGCTTACCAGCTTCATAGCTGGTTTGCGTCACCCGATCTGTCCGGGGCTTACGGAGATCCTGGTAGAACTTGAATGCAGCTTCCAAGTCATCCGTTTTCCAATGCCGGAGAATTGTTGCAAGAGCAATGCCAGATTCAATGGCCATGCATGTTCCCTGACCTATAGCATACTGTCAGCATATGCTTTATAATATAACTAAGCACACGCAGGCCTCAATATACCTTGATGAGGGAGAGTCGAATGTGCCGAGTCACCAAGTAGAATGATACCCGCATCATTCCGTCCGTCTTTCATCTCATACCATTTGTCGATCGGATCACGCACGTATAGCGCCTGCTTGAGCATCTTTCCATCCTGGGAGCTCTTGCGCAGACCAGCAATGATATGCTGTACTTCCGGACACCAGTCTCGGACGTGTTCCTGCAGACTATCGATATCCGAGCGCGACATCCAGCTCTCGGAATCCCAAGCCTCAAGCGGTTCAGACATGAACCCGATGATGGCCGCACGATCAGTCCCCGTCTCCTGGTTACCAATAGGCAAGATCAGGACATGGCGCTTTGGTCCACGGAAATTGACGGTCTTGCGCAATAACTGCGCCGTCTCAATAGGCAAATCTTCGTACTCGACGAAGCCGCGGTACACCACCTGCCCGGAGTAATTGGGATCATCTCCCAAGCCCATATCTCGGCGGACATTGGACTTGATACCGTCACAGCCGATCACGATGTCTGCTTCGGCGGTGCTGCCATCCTGGAAATGAAGTGTATAGGGTGCCGGATCGGGCGCAGTGTTGCGACTGATGGATACCAAATGCTTGCCTAAGTTTAGACTCGACTCTGGCACGCGCTCTTTCAAAGAGTCGAGTAGGTGGGCGCGGTGCAGCAGACGCGCATGGGGCTGCGAGAATTCCCCAATATGGCCCACGTAATCTCCGCTTTTATAGTTGTGATATTCCATATAGCTGGGCAGCTTGCGTGAGGATTTGCGCATCATACTCTCCTGTAAGCCGAAAGCGTCCAGAACGCGATTTGCATTGGAGGTGATATTCACGCCGGCACCAACTTCGCCGAAATGTGCTGCTTGTTCGTACAATTGCACATTCTTCAGACCAGTATACAGTGCGGCATTGAGGAAGGACATGCCTCCTAGGCCACCGCCGATAATAGCGATTCGTTTGTCTTCGAAGCCCATTGCGAATGTGTTGCGTGTGGGAATGTGTTGATGATGAAAGGTAGATAAGTTGAGTGGTATAGAAGATAAGATATAGGAAGGGTATGAATATTCCCCCTAAGGCTATTAGTACAGTCGAATTTCCCCTCAGCAATTACCGTTCCGAGCAACCGTGTTGGAGATAGTTGTTCGGAGCGTGGAGTAAGTGTGGGGTAAGAGGTCAATCCGAGATTCTGCTGGAATTCCCGACTTCTAGAGAATTAATAGGAAACCTATGCTTTGAGCCCCGAGAATGAGCGCCTAGAACATGGAACGATAGGGGCATTTAATTGTTCTGTATTATTTCAAATCCCTTTTAAAGCGTTGAATCGAAACACCTCGGACTTGCGTATAGGTAGCTGCGTTCTCGAAAGCTATTTGAGTGATACTACCCGATGAAGGGCTGTCAACTACGAGATAGGTTGTAGGTATAATGGATACACTGTAGTTCAGATAATCCGCATCGAACCCAAATCAGACCCTCTTAGGGCTGGGGAAGGTCATGACTCGGAAGCCCCCCACCGTGGTTGATCCGACAAGGTCACGTGTCACCGGAAGCAAAAGCTTAACTTCGACCCGACGGAAGCCGGGAGCCAGGCCCTGTTCATCTGCGGCCCGCTTTGGAATTGGATTGGAATCACCACGATAGTCATTGGCCGCATACAGTGGGGAATTTCATTTGGAAGGGGTTCAAGGCCGAATTTGGGCCGAAATCAGTAATTATACTCCAGTATATACATAATATTCTATACCGAGACTCCGTGAATAAGCGCTTTTTTTACTCCACAATTTTTCCCTTGTTCACAACGAAGCCCTCCAAAGCGGCAATGGCGGCCCACAAACGATTTTCGGCTTCAGGGAAAACCAGGGAGCGCGCGCTGTAGAAGACCTCATCGTCGACTTCCTCGGGGTGGCGGGGCAGGCAGTGCATGAACTTCCAGCCCTCCTTGGCGCCACCACGCTTAGCCAAATCAGCAGTGATCTGGAAGCCCTCGAAGTCCTTCATGCGCTTCTTGGCCTCCTCTTCTTGGCCCATAGAAACCCAGGTATCAGTAACAAGAATGTCAGCGTCCTTGACGGCTTCCTCGGGAACATTGGTCTGGGTCAACTTTCCGGGCTTAGCAACACCCTCACCAGCACGCTTGATGATCTCAAGCATGGAGGCAGGAATCTCGTAGCCCTTGGGGGTGGCAACGGCCATGTCCACACCCATCTTAGCAGCGCCGATAGCCATATCGAACAGGACATTGTTCGCATCGCCAATCCAAGCGATCTTGAGACCCTCCACACCCAGGCTGGAGAGCTTGTGCGCCTGAACTGGGAAGGTCTCGTAGATAGTCAAGAAGTCGGCGATGATCTGGAGCGGGTGGAACGAGTCGCAGAGAGCGTTGATCACGGGCACGGTAGAGTGCTGTGCCAGACCGGCGACGTCCTCGTGCTTTGCGACACGCGCAACAATACACGAGACCATCGATGAGATCACAACGGAAGTATCGTAAAGGGACTCGTTGACGCCGAGTTGGATGTCATCCTTGCCGAGGAACATGGGGTGACCGCCCATCTGGACGGTGGCGGCTTCCGTTGATACGCGGGTGCGAGTGCTACGCTTGTTGAACATCATGGCCACGGTCTTGCCGGAGAGGGATCCCAACAGGCGTTCGGGAATGGCGCCGGATTTGATGGCACGCTTGTGCGAGGCAGCATTGCGAACTAGAGTAGCGAATTCCGTGGGGGTCAGGTCTGCAATGGAGAGGAGGTGACGAGGGGCGAAAGGTGAAGTAGGTGGTGTGGTAGGTGTCTGGTGAGCAAATCGTCGGATTCCATTAGCCTGGAGTGTTCGACGCAAAGAAGAGGTGGAGCCGGCTAATTGCTTTACACTTTGGGCACCATAGCGGGCGGCAGCTGTGAGACCACTAGCCATGATGGGCTGGAGGGTATGTTTGAAAATTGAGGTGATTTGGGAAGGGGAAGAGGAACAGGGAAGTAACGGTGGGAAAAAGTAGTCTCAAATAAATCGAGAGGATGTGCGACGATCTTCGTGCCTTGGTGCCGAATAATTTAGGTGTCAAGGTGTCAAGGTGTCAATTCGATCCATGGATCTCTCCACACTTCCGTTATCAGGCTTATCGTCATCGAGCGCCTCTTCCAAGCTTGCCTACTACCTCTCTCTTTCTTACTCCCTATCATCTAGGATTATGTCCATTTGACCTTATCATTATACCGCAACTGCCTCAAGAATTCAATCCATTTTTCTGTATCCGAACGTTTTGGGCCACGATGGCTGACGAGGCAAATCGGCCTCTACTCGATGGGCGGGTCAGCCCCGAGAGACCATCCAACGACCCGCCTAGGCCATCATATCAATTATCAACAGATTCTTCGCAAGTTTCGCACCACTCTGGAGATACATTGACGGTCTATTCCACCGAGCAAAGAGCATCACAATCTCATTCTGGTGTCGATGAATCCGGGGTCTCAATGGCTGACGCAGCGAACCCGGCGCTATTGAATGTGCAGTCTGGCTCTGAAACACCACCTGCCGACCAATCGGGACCGTCATGTCAGCTATCAACAGAGTCACCACATCTTTCGCAGGCCAGTAAAGATGATATGACGGTTTATAGTACCGAACAAAGATTATCACAGTCTTCGTCAGGCGGAATTGGGGGCAGCCATAGAATTCCGAGCCCAAGTGCTGATGGAGCGGGTCAGCCTCTTCTGAATGGAAATTCCAATGGTCCTGAATGGTCGCCGGAAAGGATATCAACCGATCAGGCTAGGGCATCATATGAACTGTCATCGGAATCAACACCTCTGTTACACCGTCGTGACGGTGATTTGATCTATGGGACTGAGCCGAGGTCACCACGATCTTCTTCAATAGCCTCACGAGTCTCGCCCGACGATGACGACACCCCGAAACGAAGTCGTGTGCGTTGGCCGACGGTCATCTCCCTCTCTATTCTAACACTCAGTATTTTGACAATACTGGTGCTTGCGTTTGCTGCTCCAGCGGCGGTGAAAGAATATGCACAACAAGCTGCTGTATTCAAGCCAACAACAGTCTCAATTGATTCTGCGACGTCTGATGGTGTTCGGGCCCGGATTCAAGGGGACTTTGTGATGGACTCGGGCCGCGTGAACAACAAACCGGTTCGGAACATTGGTCGATTGGCTACATGGATCGCCAGGGAAATTGAGACTGGCCCATCGGATGTTGAAGTCTACCTCCCGGAGTATGGGAATGTGCTTGTTGCAAATGCAATATTGCCCTCCATCAAGGTCGATGTCCGCAACGGCCGTCATACACATGTTGACTTTCTCGCTGATATAGAGGCTGGAGACGTTCGAGGAATTCATGCTGTAGCCATTGATTGGATTGAGGGAAGGCTGGGCCGCCTTAATGTCAAGGGCAAGGCAACGATGCATTTAAAGTCTGGGTTGATCGCTTTGGGAACTCAAGTGCTGACAGACAATGTCATCTTTGAAGGTATAGTGTTCATTGGAGGGGTAGTTCTCGGGTGCTGGAACATAGAAGCTAATTTCCTTCTAGAGCATGATTTCCCAGCCCTACCGAGTATCGACATTCTCAAGCTGAACGTGCATGATGCAAAGAATGGTGCCATGGCAGTAAATGTTCTGCTCTCGTCCTTGACTGGTTCTCCTATTGCTTTCTCCATTCCTGTCCTCGACTTTGATATCCTAGTGCCCAATTGTTCGCCTGGAGACCCTTACATTCTGGTTGCCGATGCAAAGACGAGTGCGATAGATGTGCAACCCGGCCAGGCAACCTCAATTGGCGTCGAGGGTCTCATCCAGCAATTACCTGATGAATTAACCTCTAGCTGTCCGGGGCAGAAAGGTTCTCCTCTGGATCTTTTGGTTTCTAGTTATATCCAAGGTCACGAAACAACCATCTACATTCGTGGATCTGATGCCCCGTCACCCGATACTCCAGCATGGATCGTAGACCTGTTGCGCAGCGTGACTGTGCCGCTGCCATTCACAGGGCATGCATTGGATAATCTTGTCAAGAACTTTACTATGTCTGACACCCATTTCTCCCTTCCAGATCCCTTTGCGGCGCCAGATTCTCCGGACTCGCAGCCTACAGTGTCTGCCTTGGTGAAGGTTCTCATTGCTTTGCCGGAGGAGATGAACTTCCAAGTTGATGTCCCACAAGTTCGTGCACTTGCGGATGTCTACTACAAGGAAGAGAAGTTTGGCGTGTTGAACATCAGCAAATGGCAAGATGCCAACTCCACAATGGTGAACGATCACGATGGCTCTTCGGCACTCCTTGTCGAGTTTGCAATGAAGGATGCACCATTAAAAGTCACAGATGATAGCCTTTTAGCAGAGGTCATTCAAGCAATGCTGTTCGGCAGTGAAACCGTCGTGCTGCGGGTTGCTGCCACCGTAGATACCAAAGTCTCAACTGGCTTAGGCCGCTTTGCCGTGCGAGGAATCCCTGCGGAAGGGAAGGTACCTGTGAAGAGTATGTTCTCATGAGTTAGAATCTTTTAAGTACAAATCAAGAACAATGAACATTTTGGCCATTGACCATATCCTAGCTTCTATCGGCAACTCGCTCAATCAACTGAATCCGCGCGTGGTCTCACTTCAATTAGGAAGTACGACTGAATCTTCAATGTTGGTGTCTACGCGGGTGAACTTCACCAACCCAACGAACTACTCCGCAACAATCCCCTTTGTCGACTTTCTTGTGCGCTACAATGACACCACTGTTGCCCACATCGCTGCCCAGAATATCTCTATTGCGCCTGGAAACAATAGTTACGTTCCGTTCGAGTGCTTTTGGAGTCCGCTGGACGCAGGTGGAATAGATGGCGTTGAGGCGGGACGGGCGTTGCTTTCATCCTACATATCAGGTCATTTTCCTCCTAATAGCATAGTCCTAATGACAAGCGCTGATACCCCAACCAGGATCCAATACAACGATCACGATCAAAAGTCACCGGGACACGATTCCATCTCTCCCAGGTCTGGGCGAAGCATTATCAGTTCTCAACATCACCGTTCCCGTCCCTCGCATCTCTATCCCGGGTACTCCAGGCAATGACGAAGACCAGAAACCGCATTTCATTCAAGATGCAACGGTATTCAAGACCAGAAAAAGATATACTGTGAACATCTACTAACACTAGAGTATAGTTTTTCCTATGGTCTTCAACCGCGGAATTTACTCTTTTCTCACCCCTGGCAGAAAATGATATCCTAATTACTTCAATTGACGCAACGGCTTTCTACGAAGAAAAAGAACCAATCGGCCGGATCAACAACCGAGATCCATTCAGAGTGCCTCCTGGTATATCCACGACGCCACGCTTGCCAGTCAATCTTAACATGGGCGGCGTTGGATACGATGCGTTGCTCAAGGCACTTGGTCAGTCGTTGAAGATGGATGCTTTCGCCAAGGTCAGAGTGCAGATTGGGAACTACATGGATGTCGTCTCTTATCATGGGAAGGGCATTGCAGCTAAAGTGAGGATTTAGAGATGTGGGCAATGTAGTTGTGAAGGTGCCATGCTCTTCATCATGAAGGTCTTAGTCTTTTGAGCTTAGTGCTGCTGGAATGAATCATTCCATATCGTGAGGGATATGTCAGTTCGAGAGGTCATTGTAAGCAAAGAAACCGGCCCGGGGAGTATGCATGATCTCCGCTCTAGGCGACGCCACGATCGTCTAGTAAATACATGACCGTACACCGCCATTTGAAGTATTGAATTACACGGGTTTGAAGCTTTTAGTGTCCGTTTCCATGGTTAATTTCTTAGTTTTAAGAGAGATTTGTTGCCGACTATATATCTTTGCTACTGTCGTGCTAATGACTAGGGCACTCCAAGTAATGGACAGGTGGAATTTGAAGGCGCAAAGAATATACATAGATTCGAGGGAAACAATATTCGTGTCATTTTACATACAATGGCTAAGCCATTTGTTTTCAAATTAGTTCAACTCCACAGAACAGCTAAAAGGAACAAGAGACCATTCTAATCCTATTCGGGTATGTATATTTTTGAGTTCGAGGGTCGATACATAGCTTAGCCGGGGGGCAGGGTGCTAGCATCGACAACGTCGGCGGCATCCTTCTCGATCTCCTCGCTGGGCTCACCCAGAGGAGAACGGGGAAGAGCCATCAGACCGGTGCGGGTAGACTCGAGAATACCGAAGGGACCGATCAGCTTGAGGAAAGAGTCGATACGGGAAGGCTTGGCAGAACTGTAAAAAGTCGAATCAGTCAATTGATCAAACTGGGAGTCAGAGCAGAAAATACTTACACTTCAACGATGCAGTTGTTGGTGCTGATATCCAAGATCTTACCACCGAACTGGTGTGTCAGGCGGGTAATGGCATCCAAGTGCTCGTGCTTGTGACGAAGGGCCTGGCTCTGGGGAAGGTGACGGGGATGATATTGCTGGACGGAGTGGTCTTGGTAAGACTTAGGATCCAGGGAGTCCGGCGAAGTAGTGATTTCGCGGTGGTGCTGAAGCAGCTCCTCGAAGAACTCAGGACCAAGGATAGAGACCTTAGCCAGAAGCAGCTCACGCTGCACCAGAGCGGACTCGGTGTAGTCCAACACAGCCCAGACAGGGACGAGATCGTCCAGCTGGCGGCGAGCCTGCTCGACGACGCCGTCTTGGCCCTGCAGCACAATGGTCATGCGCGAGAGATCCTCGACCTCGGTGTTGCAAACAACCAAACTGTCGATGTTGAAGCCACGGGCAGCCAGGATACCAGACACACGGGACAGCACACCGGGCTCGTTCTGCACGAGGCAGTTCAGGATGTGCCGCTTGGGTGGGTTTGTGGGAGCCACGGGAGTCTCATAGAGAATCGAAGAGACAGCTGTGGGAGCATCCCATTGAGGAGAAGCATCGGCGACCGGCAATGGCAGAGGAGATCGACGGTGCAATGCCTTGTAGGCAAGAGCTGAGGTTGAGCTCGATGATGCACGAATAGAGGTGAATCGAGGAAGCGCAGCAGTACGGGACCGGGCGGTAGCTGCTGCGGATGACAGCAGCGACGCTGACCCTGCTGACAGCGTCAATGGGCGCCTGAAAGCCATGAGGAGTTCAAGTGATGTGGATAGGTTGTGCGATGATTCACTCCAGATTCGCCCCGGGGATATTCTTTTTAGTCGGCCGACCTCGGCGACCGCCCGGTGAGTCAGCGCAGTCTAGTCCTAAATAGGTATAGTGCGGCTGCCAGTAATAAAATGTCACGTGAGATCCATCCACGTGACTTGCACTCTACAACGCGCAACCACAACAATCAGTGTACAATTTCTCCAGCATTTCGAAATGAAAATTGAAAGATATTTCTAATTCTTCCTTTCATTTTGCGCTTTCGAACCGTCCCAGAACCTGCCGGATTCGTCACTTGTGGCTTTGTTTGTTGGCCACTCGGTCTCCGCCTTCAAAACTCCTTCCCGCTATCGATCTGGACCTTTCGAGCTTCTTTTCCCCGACCAGTTCTCTCTCTTTTGATTTTACCCCACCTTTCACCATGGCGGACGATGAACACCGCGTTAAGCGGTCTCGCTTTGACCAGACTGAGCCTGAACCACGACGATCCCGATTTGACCGGCGCTCTCGATCTCCATCCAACCGCCAGTCGGAGTCGGCCCGCACTCGTAGTCCGCTGAGTCGCCCGTTGAGTCGCAGCCCTGGCGCAGATACTCCAGCAAAGCCATCTGCCTCGGATCCAGCCGCCGCCGCAGGTATGTGAAGCTGGTGTTCATACCACCATAGCCACGAGTATCAGACTAACTAATTATCTGTATAGCGGCCGCAGCAGCCAAAATCAATGCGCAACTCCAGGCCAAGAAGGGCATTCAGCATGTTGATGTCCCTCCGATCCGCTCTGTGATTACTCCCTTACCTCGATTCTTGCTACCCAACTTCTAACATATTTGATTAGGCCGACAATGCGACAGAGAAATCCCAGTCCCCCTCCAACGCCGATAACGCGACCAAGTTGAATACCGAAATCTATGTTGCAGATGGAGACTACATCAAAGACATTGAAATCAATGATCTGCGCAATCGCTATACCCTGACCAAGGGTTCTACTCAGAAGATGGTAAATATCTCCATTGTCACATACTGATCCCCTAGCCACGGCTCCTACGGAAGATTGAGGCACCTTGGCTTCTACTTAATGTTTTGCCCCATTTGCGCTGGATTGAATAAAGCTTACCCTTCGCTAAAACAAATAGCATCCCATTCACCCTCTTTTGCATCTGCTGACTTCCGCTGCGTGACTTATAGATTCAAGATGAAACTGGCGCCGGTACGCCTTCCTTTTACCTTTTCTATTTTAGGCAAAGAACTTCTCACTCACCTTTACTTTTTCTTAAGATGTGACGACCCGTGGCAATTATTATCCCGACAAGAACATGGCGACCGCTGCTGTAAGGAATATCCCTTGCAAAATTCGCCAGCGCAATTGCTGATTGTATTGATTCAGAGCCCTCCCCTTTATCTGCATGTGACCAGCACCAACAAGGAAGGTCTGGAAAAAGCAGTCGCTATGATTAATGATCTGATGCAGAAAGAACTCCCGAATCTGGTCGATGAGCGACGATTCCGCCGCCGCGAGCCTGAGCAACAGGTTGAGCGGGATGAGTATGGTCGTGTACGAGACTGTTCCTTTACCTCTACTTAACCTGAAATTTTGCTAATCTTTACAGCGTAAATGGCCGGACGAGCGCATCCCTATTGACCTTGAACCGATCCCTGGTTTCAATCTGCGCGCTCAGGTCGTTGGCCAGGGTGGTGCTTATGTGAAGCACATTCAGCAACAAACTCGCTGCCGTGTTCAGATCAAGGGCCGTGGCTCTGGCTTCATTGAATCGAGCACTGGTCGCGAGAGTGACGAAGCAATGTTCCTCCATGTGGCGTGAGTTGTCACCACTTATTGTTCTTTTTCTTATTCACTTTTCTTCTTATGTTTCTCCTTTTTACCTGCATTTCCCTCATCCATAAACCTCCACTAACAACCCTCAGTGGGCCTGATGCTGAAGACGTCCAACGGGCCAAGGAGCTTTGCGAGGACCTTCTCAACAATGTCAAGGAACAATACCAGCGATTCAAAGAGAACCCACCTCAACACAACTACGGTGGATACGGTAACCGCGGCGGTGACCGTGGTGATCGCTACCACGGAGGAGGTGGTGGTGGTGGTGGATATGGCGGCGGCTACAACAACCGCCAGCAGAATACTAATCCCTCTGCTAGCCCTGCAGGCCAGGCTGCCACTGCGTCCCCAACTGCTGCTGCCACTCCTTCTGCTGCTGCTGACTACAGCGCCCAGTACGCCCAGTACTACGGCAGCGACCCATATGCTGCCTACGGCGGATACCAGAACTACGTCGCATACTACCAGTACTACCAGCAAATGGCTGCCGCTCAGCAGCAGCCAGATGGCACTGCTCCGCCTCCTCCCCCAGCCAGCGAGGCCCCTCCTCCACCCCCTGGCTCAGGATCCCCGCCACCCCCTCCCCCAGGTGGTGGTGGCTACAGCGCTGTAAGTCATTCGTAGGTCAGTTATGGTAGCTCTGCTTACTGATATCTGATTTTCAGGTCCCTCCCCCTCCTGGTCTCTAAGCCAAAAGCAATCAGAGCGACGTAACGTTGTCCTCTCAGGTGTCTAGTTGGATCCATTTTAATTCTTACGGCGAAAAAAAAAGCATGTTATCGTCGTTTTCAATAGGAGGTTGATACAGCGATTTGAAGCAATCTCTTTGTGATCTTTCTCATTGCTAAAAGAAACCCCTCTGGCAGTTTGCCTTGTCTCTAACCTTTTGCTTTGCCTATTTCCATACTCGGTAAAATTGATCACTGTGTTCATAATAGGAGGTTTGCTTATTGGCCATGCACGGTTTGCTGTGGCTAGATCCATTAGAAGGGGAGCTAATCATTGAGCTGATCTGCTCGAGTTCATCCATTTGTGCCTAGGGTATATGTGGGGAAAAGGAAAAGAAAAGAAACACTCGCGCCACTCATGCTGTGCTAACCCCTTGAAAATGCAATCAGACAGTCGATATAAGTAATGAACTGACAGAAATTGTTGAAATTTGCAGAATAATTGAATAAAATATGATCTTACTCAATCAAAATCCGCATATAGAAGAGCCATCTGAGTCTCAGATGCCATTTTCTCCCGGCGCTTTGCCAATCCAGCACGGCCTTCCTTGCAGAAATCGCAGGCAAAATCGCAAGGCGATGAGCTTGCAACAGGCACATGTTCTCGTGCTGGCAGCTGTGATCCCATTTCTTCCAGCTCGGAATCACCGAAGAACTCTTTGATCAATTCGTGCCTGCACCGCGTGATGCTTTCGCAATACCGAATAACCTTGCCAAAACTTTCAAGCTTGGCTTCTCGGTTCTCAACACTGTTTGCGCGGTGAGATTCAGTATCTCGGTATATCATGGTCTCTATGAAGTTCCTTTCTTGAATACCGTAGTAAACAAGTGAGGCAGCAGCGCGACCATCTCGACCTGCACGGCCAGATTCTTGAACAAAGCTTTCGAAACTCCGCGGTGGTGTCCAGTGTACGACAAAGCGGACATCTGGATTATCAATCCCCATTCCGAAAGCATTAGTGGCGACAATAATGGCGAAGGCAGGTGGCTTTCTGCCATTCACTGGCTGGAACGGCTGGGACGACTTCCAGGTCGATTGGATTTGGGACCGTTTGTTAGCTTCCACGCCGGCGTGATATGCAACGGCCATGACGGCCCCATCTGAAGAATGGGATAGCCGGCTAGCAAGATGCTCCGCCATCGCCCGGGTCCCCACGTACACAATTCCTGACATTGGTGGGAGCTGTGCCAGTTCTTCGCTACCAAGTCGGGCCTGTCGTCGGGCCTGGATGGCATTGAGCCAACGGAGCAAGTTTGCAAGTTGGCTGTCCTCCGCGCTCTCATTATCGCCGGAAAAGTCGGCGAGATATCGAAGCTCATAGTGGATGTTTGGACGGTCTGAGGGCGTGTTGAACATCCTAAGGTTCTCTGGATTCAGCCCCAATATGTCGATCATGTCCGATCGAACTCGAGGCGTGGCAGTCGCGGTAAGCGCAGTCATTGGTACAGTTGGGCCCACAAGATTCTTTCTGAACCAGCTTAACTCCTTGTAGGCCGGCCGGAAGTCATGCCCCCATTCACTTATGCAGTGTGCCTCGTCAATGGCAACCCGAACAAGTTGACCTTGCTTGTGGACAACAAGCAAGCGGCGGCGGAAGTTTTCAGTCTGGCAAAGTTCGGGCGTCACGTAGAGTAGGCGCGTGCTTGGGTGCCCGCAAAGCATGTCCTCAAGTACTCTTTGCCTTTCCTCGTGGGTCGTATTGGAATTGATGGTAGCAACTGCGACCCCGAGAGCTTTCAAGGTATTTACTTGGTCGGTCTACTGTGTATTAGCTGAGTAGTTGTGAAATTACTAGATGCACGCTCACCATGAGAGAGAGAAGCGGACAAACAACGACGGTCACTGGTCACAGTTGGTCAGACTGGTCCGTCATCTAGCATGTATAGAACACATCCGAGACTCACTGCCCCAATCTTTTAGTACTGCAGGGAGCTGATAACACAGGCTCTTCCCGAACGAAGTTGATGCTTGGAGAAAGACATCATGCCCTTCAATGACAGAGGAGATCACTTCTCGCTGAAGTGGACTATATGGCGGAGTACACCGTAAGTAACCGAGCATCTTCTCCTAGTTCATCAACTCACCGGAAATCATTCTTTCGGAAGGTATGCTTCAGAACCCAACGCATATTAGCAGTTTGGCGCGTGACCGCCGAATTTCGATCCATGATGCGTCATAGCAGAGATGAGAAAGGTGAAGGTGGGAAGTGAAAGTGTAGCAGATGAAAAGAACGGAGTCAACCGCGTCCCCAAACGCGGTATCACGTGCCAGCCTGTTCCTTCCTATTCGGGACTGATGGGACTTTGACTTGGATTGTTTTTACTCACAGATTCAGTGCATAGTGTAGGAATTCAAAGAGCAATGTCTATAGTATGTAGGATAGCTGGTAGAACCGATCAGAATGTAGAAAAAATAATACATTTGCGCCAAAGACACGCTAGAAATCGAGTCGGTATATGGCAGATCTATATGGAAAATAATGTACAAAAGCTGAGTCTATTTTCAGCTGCTCCTCCTGCTCAACGGTTGCGATGAGGATCTCTAGACATCTGCCTGTCAAGCTCTTCCTTGATGGCAAAGACATCGATCGCTTTGCGCTGCTGTGGATGCCAAAGTCGCTCAAGTTGCAACCAAACCTCCAAAACCTCTTTGGGACCACAGCATGTGCCAAATGCTTGCAGGATAACGGTGATCATCCGACGTCCGACGAAAAGACCGTTCTCGAGACGCTTCTCGGGGTCCCAGGGTTCTGGCTCGGCTTCGCCTGGGAACTGCGAGCGAGGGTTGAAAACCTCATCTACATCAAGCTCTTCAATTCCCGCGGACTCATCTGCCTCGTCTAGCTCAGACTTAAGAACTTCTTCATTGGTTTCAGGGTCATCTTCGATGATGTTGTCGGGTATTTCTTCGGAACTATCTGCCTTGTTGACAGTATCTGCCGTTGGCAAAGCCATGTACAACCCGTTGGGGGAGTCGGTCACTGGTAACTCTTCGACATCGATTGTCACGCTCTTGGCCAATGGATTCTCCCACGTCATCTTTCTGTTGTTCAGATTCAATCCACGGAGCCTGGCATTCGAGTCACGCAGAGCCCGAATGTATGCATGCCATGTCAGCCGAAGATTTTCCGCACTCCATTGCTTTTTCCTCCGACCATGAAGCGCAAACCCTTCGAAGAGGAACAGATAGATGATTGCACGTGGTGGGACGACAAATGTCTTCTCCATGTCGCGCATGACAGCCATAAAGCTATCGAGCTGGCCAGTGGTATAGGCGTAGTGTCGCAGGAATACATAAAACGTTCGCGTATCAGGCGTCATGGAAAGAGAGTCTTGAAGCGCACGGTGGTGTTCTGGGAACTTCTCCTTGAGCGCTGATGATTTCTTCAATACACGGCCCAGTTTTCGGGCTTTTTCCCGATACACAGGCATGTCGTAGCTCAGGTTTGACCCACCGATGTGAGAGTGGGATTCGTCCTCCAAATGCGACAGCTGTTTGTTCTTGCTTGATTGTTTCTCTAGCATCCGCGCGTAGAGCTGCTCCGCGGTTTGAGTGTCGCCTGCCCGGAGGAATGAGGCAATCACGCAGTTCATAACAACAGTGTCAACAATTTCGCCTGATTTCACGAAATCGTCAAAGGCCTCGCGAATGCCTTCAGCATCCCGCATCATACCGAAATAATAGATTTTGGAAACCTTTCCGCATCGTGAGAAACTCAGGCCCCGAGCAGTCATTTCCTCCTCCAGACGATCGGCAACTTTGAAAGCGCCGGCTTTGATCGCGATGTCAAAGAGAATGTTGAAAACCACATCGTCAGCTTTAACCCCAGCGACATGTTCCATTTTCTGCCACAAGCCAACTGCTCGGATAAGATCGCGTTTCAATACTTTGCCATTGGCTCGGCCTGAGAGGTGAATCGCAGATGACCAGAGTGACCGGGAGACGGGAAGTCGAGCAGTTACCATGTCATCCACCAATGCCAAGTAGCGACGAGCATCTACCCATCGTCGGTCTCGAGGGTGCGCAAACAAACGCAGTAGAGCACCTCGGGTGCGTTGCGAGAGCAATGCAACTCCCGGAGCAGGAAGATCTCGGTATAATCTGAACAGGTACTGGGTGGATGGATTTGGCTCTTCCCACAATGTTCTGACAAGCTTCTCAACTGAGTGGATTTCCATTTGATCCCGCGATGTATCTCTCTGCGTCTTCGTGTATTGCGAATATGGCGCAATAGTATTCACTGCTTCCTTCCAGTCATGACCTGCCAATGACCTTTGGTACAGCTTGGAGGTAAAAAAGCGTTTCTCCTCCTGGGGATCCTGCCATGACGGCAAGGATTGGTGACAGTAGTTGTCCGGTGATTTGGGGTCGACGTCGGATTTTGTATATTTTTTCATCTCTATTCTCTGGTTGATTTCTTCTGCGAAATCAAATCTCTCACAACGGGTTTGCGATTTTTCGTCCGCATTGTCTCCCGGCCACAAGGGTATATATTCGCTGTCCGCCTCCCTCTCATCCTGTGGCTCGGAATCAATGTTATACTCCTCTGTATCATCATCATTCGTACGTGCCAATCCGCTGCTGATCAATCTGCTGGGCTGCGACAGATGTAACCTTGAGCGTGAATACTCAGGTTTTTGTCGTGGTGGTAGTCTTCTGTGACCAGGCGTCCCTTTGCTCCGGAATCTCTGCAGATTTTGATCGGAGGGACTCCAGGCCACTGTCGATAACCCCCGGCGATTTGGCGAGTGTTCATGGCAAAAGCTTGCCAGAATCAGCGAGCCGACAAAAATATCTGCTATTGACGCGACGGACGGGCGAGGACGACGGGGATAGAGTCTTCGGAGAGAGGCGTTGTGAGAAGGGAGATTCGAGGAAGGCATTGAGGACTGTCTAAAGAGAGAAAGCTCATCCAAGGCCTGCTTGGGGTGATTTCGCAGGCTCGGCGAGCTGGGAGACCTATTTGGATGAGGCATGAGATGACAGACATCGTGGCATTAGGTAGGCCGCATCCAAGAGAGTGCCCTTTGCCACTCGCACAAGAGAGAGAGCCGCCTGCGTTTGGGCGCAAAGAGCAGACAAAAGGGGAGAGGGATGTGACTTGGAAGACGTAGGTGTGTTTTTCTGAAGATGAACGGCCTGCACTTTCTGGCCTGGCGGAGCCCCCTTCGACCAATCGGAGCCGCGCTTTGCCAATCCCATCTTTTTCGCTCCCGCATCAACCACCTCGTCCCTGCAGCGCATACCGTGTCTCTTCTTAATTTGCTGCCCCCAGTCGCGTCTCAATTCTTCTTCCGGTTCGATTCTTTTTAGCCATCGGCTCGGTCTGACTGCCATGGGCAAAATTAACCTCACAGCCCTCCGGGTGCGACAGACAGCACTCAACCAATTCGCCAGTGGAAAGACCAGCAAACTGCCACAATGGGTTGGCGTGGTCGGCGAGATCCCTCCTGCTGAAACCCTCATTCGTACCCGCCCTCCTCAGCATGAGCTTGTTCAGCAGCGGATGAAAACCGTCGCTGGGTCATCGAAGCCGCAGGTCGTCTTCCAAGTTCAAGAGAAGCGCAGAAAACCCAAGAAGGCCAGCCGACTTTTCCAGCCGGTTGAACTCAAATACGAGGAAGATCAATTGCGTTCCCAGTTCTTCCGCGATCACCCCTGGGAACTTGCCCGCCCCCGTGTGCTCCTAGAGAGCACTGGAAAGGACTTTGAACACTACGATTGGAGCCGCATTCAACAACAAGGGAAGCGGTTAGATGGTGAAAGGTGTGTATCCTATGGTCTTGCTTTCTAGAGATTCGATCGGTCTTGTGTGAAATGGCCTCAGTGCTAATGTGTTACTTTTCTCGCTCTAGTGTTGTCCAGCGACAGCTGTGGCTTTTGAATAATGTTCCGGATATGACCAAGAGCAACGCTTACGATATTGCCCGTCGAGAGTTCTACCGACTTCGCTTGCAAGAGGATATTCAGCGTCGGGTTGCAGCGGAGGAAGCCGAAGCGTATGGCGCAGAGTTCGGACCATCATACATGGACATTGGTATGAAGATGGAGAGCGAGCAATACGACAAATGGGTTGCCTGGGCTCGAGAGGCAGCTCAAGTCATGGACCAGCGGAGAGCAGCTCTTGTTGGTGCACCAGAGCTCGGAGAGACTGCTGCTGAGACAAGTGAGGTTGCGGCCGAAGAGCCAGAGGGGGCGACTGCTTAAGGCTGATACGCTGGAGTGGGCTTGGTTGCCATCATGCTACGTCTCCTTTTTCAATAGGAGTGTTTGATCCCCTAGTCTGTTTTCATATTGATGGCTTGTGTATATTATTTGATCTGTTCCACTGGATGTCGTACTCCCCCAGCTCTATTTACGCCATAGCACATGCATTCTTGATCATTCACTTGTCGTTCTTGCTGTAGATGAATACCCAGCCATTTCCAAATCTGACGATAATTAGTATTCTGATTGGGTAGTGACGCAGGCGAAGTCAAGGCGCAAAGTCACGGAGGTCCGGCGTTTGGAGATGTTTCACCCAATCAGAGGATTTCCAGCCTCGCCAACTTCGATTCCCCGATTCCGTCCAGGATCAAGACTCGACCTTGTTCGGACTGCTTCATGATTGGCAGCCTTGCTCATGGGCCTCATTTACCTCGATCACCGCCGTGTTTAGATCTGTCAGATCTCCAGTGTGGCCAATCTCTTTATCGCGGGCGTCAGTGTGAACCTCCGTCCTCAAGCTTTGTTGTACCAAATCTCTCGGTCTTGAACAACCCTGCTCCCAATCTCATAGCTTGATCCTGGCCAATTCGTCATTCGGGTGATTCCGATCGTTCTCCCTCCACCTCGACTCCACTCTAACGGCCGCCTCGAGCTCCGTTCCCCATCTACCTTCGAAATAGCCCGCCGTCCCTCCGACCTAGCACACCCAACGATGCTTTGCGCAAGTGCCCGAAGTGTGTTCGTTTGGTAATGCTTGCTGCGCCTGGAATAATTTTGGAAATTTGGCAGCATATCAGTTCCTCAACGAACCTGCCATCTTGGGGTGTGTCTGAACGATAGCTTTTGCGCCCCTCTCAACCATGACATCCACAATGAGTCGTTCCGAGGACACTGTACGTGCGACGCGCTTTAATCGTGGCGAGGCGGATGAAAGTGACATGGAAAATGGAACTCCGGAGTCAAGTGGATTTCTACAAACACACCGCGGTGACTCCCCATATCCTGACGAAGAGGGAAGCCGGCCCAACACTGCTTTAGGAGATACCCCGGAGAGTTCTAGCAAGGAAGCGATTGGACCAAAAACGCTCAGTCCCGAGGAAACCATCGAGCTCGCGCGACATGCTGTCGAGAGTGGGATCCAAGATACTAAGCGCTCTCTGGCAGGAAGCGAGGCCGTCACAGATGTGGTCAAGCCGAAGCTGACCATTGACCTTGGGCATTCACATATCGCCCGGATTCCTGAACCAGTCGTTGACTTGATCAAAGATGAGGTTGAACGGTATGTCGTGATTCTACTTCAAACCGTCATATCCAAGTCTTGCACTGCCTATTATCAGGGTATGGCAGCAAAGTCCTGAACCCTACTGATTCCCATTAAGGTTGTCTCTGTCGAACAATCAACTTTTCCATATCCCCTATCGATTTGCAGAGTGTTCCCATTTACGCTATCTGAACATCAGAGCGAACAACTTTCGTGAATTCCCTAAAGGAGTATGTACAATGATGAATTTGCTTGGTCCTTACGTTGTGCTAATCTCCGAAGGTTTACAAATTGCCCTTGCTCGAGATCCTTGATTTGAGTCGAAACAAAATTAAGGAATTGCCGAACGAAATTAGCAAATTAAAATCACTGCGGGTGCTGTCAGTGATGCAAAACCGCCTGACTGACCTTCCAGTCGGCCTTTCCGAAATGCACAAGCTTCAAATCTTCAAATGTGCCGGAAATCCTTTATGCCAGCCACTGCGTGAGATTCTAGAGGAAGCGGAGGGCGAGACGACACCCTCTGGGATGACAGATAATGAGAAGGAAGTTGCAGCCACGACCAAACTCAAGAGATATTTCAAGAAAACCAGACAAACAGCAAATACACCGGAGCCAGAGATATTTACTGAGACAAGGTGTGTATTTGCCCATTTTGGAGCCGTCCAGGGTTGTGATGGATATAAATTGATAATCGGAGTCAAAACAGTGACAGTAGTTTTGAGGCTAAACCAGCACCAACACCGATCCCCTCGAAGCGGAATTTGAGTGGCCGCTTCCCAGTAATTCCTAGCACCGGTGATAGCTCAGCAAGTTCATCGCGCTCCCCATCAATATCCCGGCCGCCGCCAATCCCAATGAAATCACATTATCGAATGGCTTCTGGGCAACAGGGAGCTACCTACCACATGCCGGGCCTCCAAAGGCCTGGCGTCGCACCCCATGCTATCAACGAGCGCAATCGGAGCAATAGCGAGGGCATCATTCAAGGATCATCTGCTCGTAGCAAACGAATGGGACTGATCACTCGCAAGAACACTGATTTGGGTACGCTGGATGAAACGCGCCCATATAAAAACAGTCACCTACGGGGTCTCAGCCATGGGTCTGTGCTTCGACATCGTCAGGCTGCAGCACCAATAGCCACCAATGAAAACAATTCTCCAAGCCCAAGCAGCCCAAGAGAGCAGCGACGCCCGCGAGATGGTTGGGTGAATCGGATGTCTAGTCTGCCTGAACACAAGGGTGAGCGTGGATCCGATCAACCGATCATCAAGAGTGCAAAAGGAATTCTATTTGCTCTCGCTCAAGTTCATTCCCACATCGATACGTTGATCAACGTGATCAAGCACGATGACACCAGACGGCATAGCCTCGAGCTTGTCTTTTACAATGCTTCCTCCCACGTAGATCAACTCAACGATGCCCTCGAAAAAGCATCGAATACTTTGCTCAATGACTCAGAGTCGACCACCTCGGTCGCAGAAACGGTCAAACGGGAATGCGAGACGTGCATCGCCGCCTATGTTCACGTTGGCACACAGCTACGCAATAACACCGCCAAAATCGTTTCGAACGGCGATCCACGCTATGTACGATCGCTGATGCTGACGCTGTTTGGTAGCCTGGTGGAACTGCGAAATGCTTGCATTATTCTTAATGTGCCGCTTCAAACCATCAACAAACGTGTCTCCGCTACAAAGCGCTTGGTTGGCCCCAGTAACCCTCTGCCCCCGGTCCCAGGCCGGCCTCAACACTCGGTGGGTACACCAACAAGAGATCCCGCGCCGCCCACTCGGCGATTGCGAAGCGACACGACGATTCGACATCCCCAATATCCCATGACTATGACTTCAAGTCACACTGGCACTAGCTCCCCTGGTTTCTCCACTCCGTATTCACGCAGCCGCTCGAGCAGTAGATCGAACATGACTAATATATCTGTGCCACACTCGCTGGCCACCCCTCGCTCAGGCGAAAGCTTCCCTCCAATGCCGGTTCCTGCGGGTCCTAGAGTTAATACATTGACGGGGCTGGACGAAAATGAGGAAGAGCGAATCTTCGAGAAGATCTTCCATCAACTCAACTCCACATACAATGCCGCATACAGCGCACTCCCACTAGCCCGTCGACAATTCATTCGGTGTCTAGAAGCCGCCCAGCAGTCACGAGACTCGGAGGGAATCCAAATACTCTGGAATAACCTCATCCGTCGATGTCAATTTTGCCTGGAAGTTTCGGATGCCCTGGGACAGCGTCTTACCACCATGAAAATCAAAGAACCAGGTGGCGGCCTACGTAACCAACGCGAGTTCTGGCAACTATGCAAATCTTTCATGCAATCATTTGTGGATCTGGTGAATGAGATGCGCGAAGTGAGAAGCATGCAACTTCTTCCTGCCGACATCATCATTCTCTTGCGCCCAGTCCAAAAAGCAAGCCGGGAAGCAGGCCGTTTGATCGAGGTGTCTCCTTGGGCCTACCTCGCAGACCCGGACCGTCACCCTCCCCCTGGCAACCTATATGGCCCTCCGCTACAGACTCCACATTTGCAACACCAGACATCCGTCTCAACCTCTATCCTCACCAACAACTCTTACCATCTCAACATGATGATGCCTCCGCACTCAATTGCCGTCCCCGCCACCCCGCTAAGTGCGGCGCTTGGCCCTGCCGCGCAGGCCACCGTTCCGTCCACACCGGCGAGTGCATATAGTGACAAGTTCTTCGAGGGTGACGTCTTCCAACGCGCTGATTCACTTCTTTCATCGAACCACGGTCCCTTCTTTCGTCGCTAAGGCGACCATGAAATCTTTGCCTGTTCTTTCCCAGAGAAACTGTTTTCTCTATGTGCCATGATTGTCCCGCATGTTCATTTCCCTTGCTTCTTATGATTACGACTATGAGCAATCTATCGTGCATGCCACCGAGGATACTTGCATATATACCGGATGATGTCTGGCAACTCTTGGCGCTCTCCTTCCGTTCTAGTGCTCACCCCCTCGCCGCTTTTGCTCACTGAGTAGAATTGGGCACGCCCCTGATCAACCTGAGCCCCGTCAGTGATCATTATGTAATCAAACTTATCCACTCACTGATCTTCCATATGGGAGATCCTTGGATTTGAATTGCCCTTATTTTACCGTATTTTTAAGGTAAACTTTTCAACGACAGCAGTCCTTACACAATCGAGTAGACACGGCGGTTTGCAGAATACCGATAATATTGCAAATGCGGTATTTGGATCTGATTACGGAGGTAGTACTACAGTATCTTGTAAGAGGGGGTTTTCTTAACAAAAAAAAAAAAAAAAAAAAAAAAGAATTGACTGTTGTATCATGGTGATGCATATCACGTGTATCTATACACCAGATCAAGGAATACTGAGGGTTTACTTACTGCAATTGGGATACTTTTTTCTTTTTTTTTCTGATGAGAGCTGGTTTCGAAGAACTCTACGCTAAGAAGGCGGGGAAAGGGTCTGAGACAGTCATGAAAATGCGGGGGTTCCATCATAGGTAGTCAAGGAGATCCCTTAGCTCTGGCCATGGGACAGGGCGGCCTCTATACTCTCCTTCACACCTGATACAATCTGAGTTAGTCAACCCGCCCTAAGCTGCCCACCGAGCGACCCTAAGCTGCTTAGAATTACTCAAACGTCAACGCATAGATGAGTCTATCAGATATCTATAGTTTAAACTAAGGGGAATCGGTGGGAGACGCCATTGGGAGCACACAATGAAGAAAGTGGACTGCGACTGAAAAGTTGAACGAATTTAACATGAGAGTATAGCGATATTTGTATCCAATAACAAAGAGAGATACAGAAAGCCAAAGCTGATCATGATTATTCTAAAGGCCGTGCGACTGTTACGTAAAACGAGGACAGCCGAGGCAATAACACTAAATCCCTCTGTTGATGAGTTCAGAACGAAGAAGTTGGCTAAAGATAGTGGTCCGGTCCGTCACCTGGCCGAACCTGTAACTGCCACCGTGACAACCGCTTTCCCGATTATGCAATTTAGTATGCCCAAGGTTTATTCTCAGTGTCAGAAGATTTCGCCCGTGGGCACCCTTGCTTCTCCGTAGGACGTTGCTTCTCTGCAGACCTTTGGGAGTCGGGAGTTTCATTGGCATTCGGGGATAGCAGTGAGAGGCCGCTCGCTGCATCTTGCTTCTCCGAAGGACGTTGCTTCTCTGCAGACCTTTGGGAATCGGGAGTTTCGTTGATATTCGAGGGTACTAGTGAGAGGCTGCTCACTGCAAAAAGGTCTTCGATGTTGGTGCTTCCATTTGGGGCAAGCCCACCACAATCTTCAAAATCCCTTAAAACCTTGTCAATTATCTCCGCCTGGCCACTCATGTGTAGGAAGTTTCCAATGGAAGCGTGGAGTTCGAGAAGTTTAGGGTGTGGAAGTTCCCAACTTCCTTTATGAACTCGAAACTTAACAAGCCGATTTCTAGGTAAACCCTCTATTGACCTGGTCGGAATTCCTGGAAAGGTCTTGATTCGATATTGGTGCGTAATTCCGGTTGCCTCAAAAATGAGGTTAAACTGTCCGAATTCAGCGTGAATGAGGGTGTCTAGCATCATGACGTTCTTTTCTGAATTAATCTGTTCTGAGGTAAAGGACATTCGGCGAAGAGCTGGAAAGTAGCGCCTGAGGTTGACCCAAATCTTTGCGTGTCTATCCACAGCCTCGCCGCTATTTGCATCGAAGGATCCAAGTGCAAATGGAATAATGTGGGCTGCTTCAAGACGGGCCGTTTCTGCGTTTTGTGGATAGGGGTGAAGGTAACTGTAATACCCCGATGCAAGACATTTGTTACCATCTCTTTCTAAACAGTGGGACCGGAGTTGCGACTGAACGCTTCTACTGGTAGAGTTGATGTCTTGGCTTTTAAGATCCTCGATTGAATCTTCAACACCAGGACGCGGGGAGGGAGTGATTTCAGTGGGTGTTTTTCCACCCTGTGCTTTCATAGGAATCAACAGCCCGGTTCTGATGCTTTGGGCCAGTTGCCGAAGCTTCTCATCGTTTGCACACCCTAAAACGTCCTCCACCAGATGTTTTTTTCCGTCGGGAGGAAGGATCTTGAAGAAGTCACGGAAGAAGTCCTTAATTTTGTCCGTGGGTTCAAGTGGCGCGTAATTATTCAGCTTTCGATCCAGCTTCTAGCTTGATTATGAGTATGGAAAAGACTAGAAGGCACAGAAGGACTCGCCGTCTCTGAGGATGATGACATTCTGCCGACTACCCAGGTTGGGATGCGCTTGGGGCCAGTCTGGACGGTATGGCAGTTCCAGTAAAAGCAAGGTGGCTAAATCAGCTGTGACAGTTGAGAAGGAGATTGATGATATGTAGATGAGTATGATTAGTTGAAGCCTTGCAAGGAGATGATGAATGAGTGCGATTGGTTGAAGGAGAGTTGGGTGGGGGCGGGGAGCCAAGCTTAAAGTCGCTTCTCACCGCTTTCCCTATTCACTTTTGCTCAGTCAGATAAGAAGAGCCCTGCCCAGGTCCAGTGGACGTACAGCTCGCTGACTGGACAATGAGAGCTGGTAAGCAGTGACTGAGTGAGCACATGACCGCACTGACCAGATCACCGAGCACCCGGTGAGTCCGTGCTGACATTTACTTGGTGAGCCTGAGCCTGATCGCCCTCATTAAAGCGGCGGCAGCCCAGAGAGGAAAGCCCCACCCGGCGGACATTATCCTATGTATATAGGGGCATATGTGAGTGGAAACCCTGTAAACACCAACCTCTTTATCTGTCCGGGTCCTGCTGATCCTCAATCTGTATTGTGTTTATGACTTTGCGGGTCAATCTCTTGTAAAAGAAATTCAAAGAACGAGGTCTTTGGTACAATAGATAATATACGTGATTTCTTTATGAACCTCGCCCACCTCAAACCCGAGTCGCAATGGGTATAGTACGTAGATTAGATAATGACCTAACACACGATACAAAAAAAGCATATAAGAATATTATAATATCAAATTGGATGTCTAGTACACTATAGCCAGGTCATCCATCTGCGGATCATCCGCAGAGCGGTCTCCAGTATTCACGACGGTAGACCGAATCGAAAAAGAATTCTCTAGAGTACCTTGAACTTGTTCAGAACTAAGAGAAGAGAGAGTCAGTCACAAGTTCCAGCATCCTAGCCAAGTAATCAAGTAATCCACGCTTTCAGGAACCGGGTACTTACTTGTAGCATGAGCCAGCTCCGCATGGGTATGAGCCTGGACATGAAGACTGATATCCAGAAGAGCGTAGAAAAGATGATCCTTGTTCGATGTGTAGTAAGATTTATCATGCAAGCTTGCTCCCTCGGGCACCCTATACGTCAATCCAATCAGTATTAATGTTCCGTGCATCACTGCAAGATGTGGGGAAGAACAAAGGAAATCCTACATACCACGTGATGAAGACCAGCTTCGATCGCTGGCCGTCGCCAGCCGGGGAGTCGTATTTGAAGTCTACGACGGCATAGCGAGGTTTGTCTTCTTTGAAATGAGTAAGGAAATCGGCGTAGTCGGTGTATTTGCCAGACTCGGCGACGGTGATCTTCTTGTCGTGTGCCGATGCATCATAAATGACGTAATCGAGGTTATCAGTGCCTTTGACTTCGTCAAAGACGACCTCGCATTCGGGCGTGATGGTTGCGTGGGCTTTTGTCATGGTTGGAAATGGGAGGTGGGTTTAGAGATGGGAGAGAGAAGAAGAGGAAGAAGAGAGGAGAAGAGGCCAATAAATAAAGAAACGGAATGGGCTGATCCCGGCAAGGTACATGTAGTCATCTAGGTATTGCGGGGAAGCTATAACGTTTGACTGCGATGTTTACGAACAGGCAATTTGCCTACTGCATCGACTCCACTTCACTCGGTCATGACGTAGGTACTGTTGCGTGGGAACTCATTGGAGCTATATAGTAGATTGTCCTTTGTTAACCTGATATGCGTGGCTGTTAATAGAGCCTTTAGTTGAGAGTCTGAGTTCCTCGTCCGGGGAGTCAGACAGCTGTTCAGCAGCACGTGACAGCATTGCGGTGGGTGAGCAGGGTCATGTTTGCTACTCACTGATCACCTAGAGAGTAATCCGAGTTGGCTATTGAGCACCGAGCCTACGTTGTACCTGGAGATCAGACCAGAACGGAGCAAAATCATACCAGAATGGAGCACCCAGCCCCACTGCGGAGCCCTATGGCCTTCCAATTCTCTCGACAACGAATGCCTTTCTTCCTAACTATGCAAATTCAATCCCGATTTACCCGAGTGCTATAAGGTATTCTGCAGCTGGATAGTTCCTTATAATCAGATATTTTGAGACGCATTGAGATACACCGGCTGCAATCAGGATTCATGAAGGATGCCACCCCGTCCGAGTATACATGATCAATCCGATCGGAACAACAACTGTACCGGGGGAGGCAGTCGCTATGTGCGGAGGAGAATCATTCGCCGTGTACGGGGGAGGATCGTCTGGGTGCGTGGCCTGGGTGTCCGATTGCGCCTGGTAGTATATTAGCTCGTGCGAGTTTTATGTTTCGATCGAGGCCACTTACAATATTTGGGCATGCACAGAGGACCACGGCATGTTGATACGAGTGTATGTGATGATTTGTTGCGAAAGCATCGGCTTCTAGACGCGGAAAAGCTCCAGCGTTAGGACATATCTCGATACTAAGCTAGCGTAACAGTACTCACGGGACGAATTGGGACTGGCGGGTATTCCGGGACCTAATTCAAAGCTTATACCTTTCAGGCTGGTTAGCAACTCATCTAAATGTCTGAAATGTCCATTATAGCTTGCTGCAAAGACTCACCCGCTTTTCTGGCTGTGCACTGCGACTGGAAGACCGGGCAGATGGCGCAGTCCACATTGTCGCAAAGATCCAAAGGGTAACCAGGATCCCCGATATAGCAGGCGCGACGAGCACCGTAGAAGCGTAGTGGGAAATTACTTAGCAATGACAGCAGCTCAGTATCGCGACTAAGAATAAGGTTAACTACCTTATAGCCTTCAATCTACAGAACGAGATGATTTTCCCAGAAAGGAATGTGTACCTAGCGGATTTGATATTATGCGGTATTTGCCCGTCAGGGAGAGGTGAAAACGTTTTGATATCGAAGAGGATTATCCCGTCAACCTGGGGATTCTTAGTTTGATCGACCCAAGTGTCGTAAAACAGGCGTTCAACTGTAGATCAGGTCTTATTAACCGTGCAAAGAATACTCAAATTATCGGACTGTACCTACCTGTTTTCGAAAAGGGAGTATATTCATCTAGCCGACTCAGTTCCTATGAACGGTAAGAAACTGACAGAAGAAGTCATTCAATTCCCAGTGGACATACAACCATCATCTTTGTCGACATTGAGGGAAAGGAATTTTGCGGGGATGTCCTAGAAGACCCATCAATGTGCCCCGAGACGTAGGTCTGGGATTCGATGAATGCATCCTTTGGGCGATCCCTAGGACGTCTCTCTATGACACGGCGAGCTACGCTGGAAAGTCCAAGAGGAGGTTCAGTTTCGGAGATCTTCGTGTCGGAATCTGTCATTGAGACATCCTGGGCAACAGGAGAAGGGGACAAGAAGTGTTTCTCGGGCGGCTTTTCCCTATATCAGTTCAGACTTGTCCGATGCCAGAGTCCAAAGCAAGGAAAGTACCTATCCATGCTGTCGGCCTGGAGTATTACAACTCTATACGGCACGACGACAGCTACTAACGAAAGAGACAAATACGAACCCTCTATTCCATTGAGAGAAAGCGAGCAAATCTCTATTCGTGAGACGTATGATTCCACATAGGTGATTTGGCGCAGAATAGGTAGGTAGGGGCGGAGGTACGGAGGCTGTTTGCGGGGCCGAACAGCTGACATACAAGGTTGGTTGCCTATCAGACCTAAGGCTACAACCCCCCAACACCCAACGTTCAAGGCTGTTCTCCTGTTGAGTCTGGACAAACGAGCCTCTTCAGGTACACTAGCGTGGCGACTCCTGCATCAAAGATATGCAAGCTAGAGTATGTTGTACACCTGACTGGTTCCCCTCAATACAGGAGTGTACTTGAAGTGAAAATCACAATGCAAAAAAGAACGAATACCGACCGCAATTGAGCAAAGGTGAAGGAGGTTTGAGATGGTTCATACCATGATCTTGTCAGTCACCACTACTAACACCCAAGAATAGCATAGCTGGCAGCGAAAAGGGTTATCGACCCCTACATAACTGAGCCTAGCTCTTCCTTCAATACGGTTGCTGAGTCTCTGAACTGGCTTTTTGCAAATTTCGTATTCGTTAGGCTGCCTCGTTGACTCGAAACAATGCGCCAAGCATCAGCACTGACGACCCGATCGACCTGACATTTGATATAATGCATGTTAGCGGTCCGACTATATACAATTCTCTCTCTGACATCAAATTACCAACATCCGAAGATATGCCTTTCTCAAGCATCACGTCCATGTTATGGGACTTGGTGGATGAATACCCCCAGTCCAGTTCAAGCCCAAGGCATACACCACATCGACATCATGTCGATACAGAAGCAAATAGCCAAAGGCAAACCCTCAGAAGAACAGCTCAGGAGACCAAGGACGTTCTCCCAGTTCTCTTGAACCGCCTCAACACCACTAATGAGGCCCACGAATCCCATAAAATATCGTCGAATTCTCTCAATGGCTTACACCCCGACAACTGCCCCCGCTTCCCATCGCCCGCAACAATCAAAGTCATCAACGACGATACCCTCAATGTTGCCGTCAGACTGTTTCAGTCTACGCGCACACACCATGTCGATGCAAGTTTTCCGAGCCCCCGCCCAATAATCATCAACTTCGCCAGCCACCGAAAACCAGGCGGGGGTTGGCTGAACGGCGCCATGGCACAGGAGGAATCAATTTGCTATCGCAGCTCTTTAGCGCTAAGCCTCCACACCAGAGATTATCCGCTGGCTCTCAGCGAGTCGATCTACAGCCCCTACGTCCTGGTCATGCGGAGTGACCTGGACTCCGGGCACACTCTCATGGCGCCCTCTGCCCCGCTAGAGGATCTTCCCGTTGTCAGCGCGATCACCATCGCCGCTCTCTATCGACCTGTCCTTCGGACGCTAGTGCTGAGAGATCCCCAGAAGCAGCGCCGTGGCCAGGGTTCACGTTCACATCACAGCTCATCTTCTCACCACGGCTTACCTTCCCCTTCCTCTTCCCGTCGTCATACCCAGCAGGTGTTTGCACGCGACAAGGATCGCAACCTTACCAAAGCCAAAATGAGGCTGGCGCTTCGTATTGCGGCGACCTATGAGCATGGACTGTTGGTTCTCGGGGCCTTGGGTTGTGGGGTTTTTGCGAATCCCCCTGGTGAGGTTGCGCACTGCTGGCTCGAGGTCTTGAAAGAGGCTGAGTTTTCCGGTAACTGGTGGCGTGAGGTGTGCTTTGCTGTCTATGACCCGAATAATGAAGGTAATTTCGCGATCTTCGAGCAGGTGTTGGCTGGGAAGAAGGTTTAGTGGAATTCGGATTTTATTCTTATTTATCTGTTTTAGTTACATGGATACGGTTGGTATAAAATGATGTGTTCGTGCATACTTAACTTTGTACGGAGTACGCCATCAAAAAATAGCTCGGATGGGGCGAGGTGGGCTACCCGGGCGCCTGTGAGCCACCTACTTCCATCCGTTGGATATACGGAGTACATGGCATTGAATCGTCTCGATCAATATGCCAGGATTATAAGGAAGCATTACACGCCGTTGACCTCGATATGCTTGAGATTCTACACAGGGGCGAGCTAGGAAAGAGATTGGCCAGTGAAATCTTTGGCTCCCTTAAAACCACTCGGTATGGGAAGGAAATATCATCGGAAGTCTAGTGGAAGCTTGCTTCATCTCTTCCGAGCCAACACGCCGGGAGTGATACTGCTCAAAACGCCTTGATTGATCGAATCCACGTGAGAGATCTCAAAGGCGTCATGTTGCTCCTGAATTTCGGTGCGTCGGTGGACTGCAACAATGGACGTGCATAGGCTATGGGAATTATGACTCAAGAGTTGAATTTTCTCGTACCGCTCCTTGATCAGAAGTCTCATGCCGAGTCAGTCAGCCCAGTCCTTTCTTACATTCCCCATGTTATCCACGCTGTACAGTTGGATATAACACGCGGACTCCTTGAGGCCGGAGCGACTGGAGCGTCCGTGGATATGGCTCTACATAAAGCTCTCGATCTACCCATCTGTGAACGATACCATATGTACATTGGAGCTCTTGTTCACTGTAGGGCAGATGTTGGTCAGAAAGAGGGCTCTTTGTGCCACAACGTGGTCCAGGACGGGGACGACACAACTCTCGAGCCATTACTGGGCGGCACCTACCCGATCGCTGTTTTATTCGCCTGTGTTTCCCTTGCTATGAAGCTTGACGAGAAATGGCGGTACAAGATACTACAGATTCTGCTTGAAAATGGTGCCATAGGCGGTCCTGTAATAGGCCAGGCTTTGGTTGACAGCATCGGCAAAATGGACGGCTCACTGGTCCGGGTGACTGAGCTTGGACACTTGAAAATCCAGCAAGATTTGATCACAATAGGGTATCAAGAGCGGACGATGATCGAAAACAAGAAATCGTGAGGCTCATGCTCTCGAGGTGCGGCGTCTCTGAGAGCTTGGGTATGAGATTGGCCCATGGGACTAGAGTTTAGTGTATATTATGAATCAGTGTGATGGGATCAGTTGGCTAGTATCCATTCACAACAGAAACAGAAACGAAGATCGTTTCCTAGAACCTCCCTCCATATTGTCTAGGTGGCCACCCGTTCTCGGGGGCTGGGAGTCAAATACTTACATGCATGTAGGAATTTGTACCTTGGTTATCATATGCAATCGACAATATATAACAATTCAAATGATTTTGAGTAGCAGCAAGTTTCCCTTAGAGCAAGATATATAATATCCAGACTGCATGGTTTATGTGCATCCAACTCCCCTCATCGTGATGCATAGTGACTCATTCTGGCTCATGATGACCACCCATCGACAATTTCTGACCAACACGAAGTCAACCTGATCAAATATTACATCTCATGTACACAGTTCGTCTCATCATGATAAATCCGGCATACTCACAATTAATCCGGTGATGTTCGTCGTAGGGGTACCTAGGTAGTTTGAGGAGACGGTCACTGTAGAAGTTGATGATAGTATCACTGCTATTATTCTTAGAGAGAATATAAGTTAAATGATAGAGTCCTAGTTTGTGGAATTAATAGGCTTGTCTAGACATATGGACATGGCGAATGAGATTCTCGATATAAACAGAGCAAAACCCTAGGAAATTCCGTCGTAAGTACTTGGTTTACTTTCTTATTTTCTATCAAAAGCCTAGCAAATGACGAAAACCCGTCCCTGAATCTAGAGATCACTGTGCTTTTGGTGATTCTCATAAGTGATGCAATATTCTTGTCGACATCGTCCGAAACCCTTTTATTACAGTGATTATCTATGAGTTTATTATAATCCCTGCAAGAGCAAAGATGCTAACTGGGCTTTATTTTCAAATAAATATAGAACAATCCAGGCCCAAAGAAAAGACAAAATGAGATAAATATTAAAGTGGGTAACTCCGAATCCCCAAGACCCCCCAGCCCCAATTCCCCATCATTCACCACCTCCTTGGCGCAACAACCACATCTCTGACGTAGGAAAACATCTCCTCCGGCTTTTCCACAAACACACTATGCCCAGATCGACGAAAGAAGTGATATGACACACCGCGCTCCTCTCCCCACGTGCCCGCCACAACGGCGGTCGGAGTGGCGGTCGCGAGAGTAGTAGCAGTCGGTGTAGATCTGGATACCCATTTTTCAGGCGCCGATGGCGCGGCATTATTAGCAAAAAACGGTCGATTAGGCTTTTGCGCGAAGCCTTGTGCGCCATCCCACGTCATATTCTGCAGCGATAACTCTGCGCCCAAGTGGGTGAGCAGCATATCCCATTCTCCTGAGTAGAGATGGAGCGAGACGTTGTGCTTGTCCACCAGCGATGGGAGGATGAAGTACTCCGGTGGGACTGGGGATGGCGCTGCAAGAAGCGTGGTCAGAATCGTGGAATTACAGGCGCTGTACGGTCCGTTGTTTTCGACATGCAGGGCGGCTTGGACGTCTGCGCGACCGAAATACTCTGCCATCAAAGGGAGCTCTGAGACGGCGCTGCAGTCGTGGGAGATGTCATAGATGTCGAAACAGCCGCGCGTTCGGTTGGCGGATATGGCTGTCATGTAGTCGCTTGCTGTGGAGAAAGTGGCGCAGGGGCCGTAGCAGGTTGAGTTGAAGATTGAGGTGCGGACTTCCTCGGGAGTTGTGGGTGCGATATCGCACGCGGCAGTCATGGCGTTTGTTAGGTCTCGTCGTCGGAGGTTGAAATATTCGGGATTTCCGGGTATATGAATTTTACCCTGGGGAGGGTAGAGGGCGGCTTTTGCGAGCACCTCGTTAAAGCCGCAGGTTTTGTCTGCTTCATCGAAGACAGATAGAACATCTTTGGGAATTTGCAGGAGATCCAGTTGCGAGTGGAGATATCTGTTCATGGCTACGGAAGACATGGCTGCTCCATTTCCCCAAGAGCCGTCACCGAGAGTTATTGAACGTACATTGAGAGGCAAGGAGTTGTTGTCATTGAGAAGCCCAAATGCAAAATATGGTATGTAGATACCTGCATAGGACTCACCCATCATGTGAATTTGCTTTAACTTCAGATGTGGGAAGTATTCGAAGAATTCACGCAGCCATTGCGTAAAGTTGCTCGTGACCTGGGCATTGTCCTTCACTGGATAGGGAGAACTGGCCGTGGAGAAGCCAGTACCAACGGGCTGATCGACGTAAAGCACATTTCCCAGCTTCGTCCATGAGTGGTGATTGCGCGTGAACCGAGTTGAATTGCCATCGAACGTAATGGGTCCATTGCCAGTCGTTAGACCTATCAACGAGGAACAGCCAGGCCCGCCGTTGAACCAGACTATGCAGCCTTGTTAGCAACGCTGTGTGAGCATAATTTTTCGCTGGCCGACTTACTGATCAAATTATCATCATATGCTGGCTGCTCCGTTTGGAAGAGCCAGAAAAATATGTCATTCCCATCTTTTGTCCCCGGAACTGGAAGGCGACCGGCCCAGCTGGGCGGCAGATCGGATACGCCGGGCAAGGAATGTACTTCGAATCTAGAAGTATTGTATGTGCCGGTTTCCCGAGAGAAAATCAAGCCTGGAACTGTCCATAGGGCATTGAGGAAGTAGAGCAAAGCTGGGATGTTCATGATCAACACTGACGAGCCGCACAGCTAGGATGTCCGTTGTTTCTTGGGAAATAACCGAGAATGATCCCTTGAATTTGCTTTTGTACCAGTGAAGATCCAGGAATACCATACTAGAGAGGCTCCACATGGAATTCATGTTTCCTTTTTATCTTTGTCTTTTGAGACATGGTGGTGGCCATTGGGCTATTGAGCGGGCGGTTGTTGAGCCAGATTAGGGTATGAATAAGGCCAGTGGGTTATTGGGGCCAAAGACATGACCTGTTGATGCGGGAACTCGGCCAGGCTCCGACACATCTATAAAGAAAGGATAGCTCCTGAATCACAGTAATTTCATCCAGATCAGAGCTGTGCTTGGAGGTAATTAGGGGGAGAGAAGTGACGAGGTATAGTTGGAGAGTCAGTGAACGAGGGGCTATAGATCCCGTTTCTCAGGCACCAAGGCAACCAGGCATCAAGGCAACCAGGCATGAAAGCATCCTGATCCTCGAAGGCTGACAGGGAACTCTGGTCTCCTGGACTCACTACCTTAGGTCTCTATGTTTATGTAGTATGCGTTATCCAGTGCTAATACAGTGCTTCCGGCAGTAAATATATCGGTCTCGACTCTCCAATATGTACTAGCTTCATACTACGAAAACCAAGAGCTAAGCTGATATTGCAGATTTCTGCAACTTCTTAGTTATGCAGGAATTAAGCGGGCCTTGCAGGCTTGAAATAATAAATTATCATGTACAGATAAAGCCTGCTATTGCAGATTCAGCGGAAGTGAGATGGAAACCATCCTGTGTACAATAAGACCCAAACAGGCCTAGCGCTGTAGAGCGGAATCATGTGATCATTACCTCATCTTTCCGGAGGCACCCAGGTGGACCAATAGGGCTGACTCCACCGGGCAAGTCACAAGTGGCCCCGGGGTCATCGCTGAATCCGGCGATCTTCATTATGTCTTTGTTACGCTTTGTACATCTCGACCCTCAAGAGTAACGTTTTAACATGGACTTACTTGAGGAGTATATTCTCAGAGTATATCCTCAGCTTTGTTCTTAGCCAACTTGCTGAAGCCCTGAAGGATCACTATGAACTTCGCGTGTTTCTTACCTCCCACTGGCCCTAACTGCAGCTTTGAACTCCGCCTCCTATCACCAATTCGCAACCCAAATGACCATGGAACCCGCATCTGTACTAGGTTTTGATCCTTGTATATCCTATCGCGCAACTCGTGCCGGCGGACTTGATCCCCAGCATTTTGCCAAACCCCTATCTCCAGTTCCTCGTGCTTTGCTAAAGAAAAAGCTTTTAGGTGAAGATATCTCCCATTGCATTTGTCGGTTTCTATCCAGAATTATCGAATGCAAGCTGATCCTCGCGTCTAAACTTCCCACGACCTTGAGTTCACGAATACATACAGTGCGTAGTATGGATCGGACCACGTTGGTTGGGGATACGGAAGCACTCCCAAATATACGGTGGGGTATTACGTTAGGCAAAGAAGGGCCTCATTGATGCACGTCAGTATCGATCGATTCCACGGTCAATCGCCGGGGGAGGGGGGAAGGACAGGTGATTGGTGAAAGACTCTCGGGGAGTTGATTATGGGGAGCTACATTGATCTCGATGGGAAGTCAAGGGTGCTCTAAAGGGAACCAGGTACTTCATAGTATCCCACGAATACTACCGAAAACACTACTTTATCATGTTCAAGCTTGTCAGCAATCAAGATCGGGACCTGTATTGCTTTCATTGCGATCCGAGGACGATCACGATGATTCCGACTCGATTTCCCACTGTTCTTCCTTTTCGTCTCCTTACTTTGAAACATCCTTGAGATTTATACTCCGTAATAACTGCCAAATGACTCTAATCCATCGTGTTGCTGGTATTTGAATGTGCGTTTGCCGTAGTGCCTCAGGCCGCCACCTCGTACTTAATCTACAGACATGGATGTCCGTACTCCGTAGATTGGTCGGGAGTTTGCTCCTTTCCCAGTACAACTCTCTCCCCGTCCCCCTGGATCCCACCCCATAGGTTTCAAGCGAAAAACCGACAATGTATCTAGAAATCGACCAACCAACTGCGTCCGGTGGTTCCCCGAGAAAGGAAGACTCACGTGGCCAATACTGGTTTCAAAGTTCAAAGTTCAAAGTGAGGCGGATTTCCCCCTTTCTCCAGAGTCGATGGGAAGAAAATCCAGCAACTGCAGAGACACGAAAGATCGTAGATCGCAAATGGAAGTGACCAGCCCGCAAGTCGAGGCGTCTGTTCGCGGGTAGCAGCAGAGGAATGCCTGGTTGCGTCCACCCGAATCCGGTGTCGATCTGGATGCACTCACTATATCAGTTCATCCCGGTCGCTTTGCCAATGAGCTCGCTTTTCTTTTCTTTTCTTTTTTTTTTCGACGTTGATTTGTCCATCGGCACCTTAGGACCTTTGCACATCTGCACCTCGACATTTGGGCTTGTTTGCCTTGAGTATACTGAAATCCCCAGTCTCCCGTGGACACGGAGTCTCTTATTACACGAAAGAACCCCTTTGGTGTTGAGGATTATTCTCTTTAATCGTTATTTCCTATTAATCGTTTTTAATTATTCTAATTTCCACCCCCTTTACCTGCTTCCTATCTCGCCACCCCTGATCGGAACCACGAGGTGATCGACGCAGATCCAATCCTCGGCTCCACAACAATTGACAGCTCACTTGCATCACTTTTCGGTGACTGCGGATTGGCTGCCTGCCTGAGGCAAACAGGGGGCTATTTATTCGTGAGTTGCATAGGGGCGCTTTCGCCTTGTTCTGTGCCCAGGTGCATGGCGTGGTCTCGCCATTGCCACCCTGAGCTTTGCCTTTATCTGACACCCTTAGTAGGGGAAATTTAGAGATATCGTGTTAAGAGATGGATCTACAAGGTACAAAAGAAGCCCGGACTCAGGAGGAGGGCGCCGAAGGTTCTCTAGAGGCGTATGGTGCTAGCGGTGGCCGTTCCAAAGAGTATCACAAGAAGGAGGGGCGAGACTCTCATAACCATGATGACCGAACGTCCATTCATCCTCCTCGTCGTCGCCAGCCGCCCTTCTCCTATCCCCATGGGGCTCAACGATCTACATCGCCGGTGCCGGTACCGGCCATCCTGACTCGTTCTCGAGATCCCTCACCGTCACCGGAGGCGATCAGTATACCACAGGCTTTAGGCTTCGGTTCCCGCGAACAACGCATATTGCGCAAAGCTCGGCGGTCTCCGCCAGTTACGAAGAGAACACTCAGCGAGCTCGATTTACCTTGTATAATGAGCAATATCAACCTCCGAATGGACGCTAATTTCGACCGCGATTTACATTTCAAGCCTGATCTAGAAGGGGAGAAGGGCCAACGTAAGCGAAAAGATGCCGCGGATTATTGGGACGCGTTGGCAATGGAGATCACTATTTATTCTTTCCGTGCTGCGACTGCCGATTCTTCCGCCACTGAAGTAGTCGAGTCAAGCGATGGCACTCGACATACCTTCGATCCTCGTTTGCCCGCCCTGTTCGAGACGTTACAGGACGTCATCAAGACCCTCGTTCCGGAAAGAGATCACCCGACTGTCATGGAGAACCTGGAGGTTCCATTGCTTATGCAACAAATACACAAAGGCGTTCTCGACATGCTCACTCTAGCGACATGGCTGGCAACACTCTTGAAGACTCATTGTGCTCCGATGCGAGACGAGTGGGCAGATCATATGGTCGAGCAAGTGCAAAAGGGCTCACAATCTCAGGATCCCCGGGAGATCGTCAATGGCTTACAGACATTGTTCAACATCCTGGAGGCGATGAAGTTGGTATGTCATATCCGAAGGCTTCGTAGTCTTACAATTTCTATGACCCCCTCAACTAACACACAGCTCTATAGGACGTTGCAAACCACCAAATCAGGGCTTTCCGAGTCCTTCTTATCGAAGACACAGTCCCTTTCCTCCAAGAATACTTCCAAGGCAAATTGGACCGGGGCAGCTTCCTAGTCGAGCCCGCTCGAGACTGGTACCTATCCGTGCGCGATCAAGCCCGCCAGGAAGATGCCAACGCAGAAGCCCAAAGGTTAGCAGGGGACCACAAGGCAACCTCACCCCCAGAAACCGAGGATAAGCTCAAACCCCTTGAAGCCCTATTCCGCGGAATCTCCGAACAGCTACTCCAATTCCTCTCACCCACCGAGTTCCCGGAGACCTTCCTCTTCGACTCTGAGCGTCTCTGGCAACTCCGCTCAACAATCCAAAATCTAATCAACCTCGACATCGCCTGGTACATCTTCGAATCATACGTCAACAAGCACAAGCGGTATCTCTCCACCCCGGAAGAAACCTACTCCACGTTCCGCTCGCGCATCTGGTCCCTAATGGAGAACGGCATGGACCTGGAGAACCGCATCGTCGGGAATCCCGACAACAACGATGACGATCCCGACCACCGCGGCGGGAAGCGCTGGACGCAAAACATGCGCTGTATCGCACTAGAAATTGCCCGTTTCGCCTGCGCAGCGTTACAGCTCGACCCCGTCGTCGCGGACGAAGTTATCGTCCCCATCGAGGAGGCCCTCGAATGGCATCTCTCAAATGAGTCCGATCTCTTCATCTTCTTCCAAAACAGCATGCGCGGCAAGATCCTTGCCACCACGTTGACCGCGGCTCGTAAATACTTGCCACTTTCGCCCCTGGCGATTTGCGAGTCGCAGCGGGCTCCTCTGTCCGCCACTTCGGGTCTGGCGCAGGCAACGAGTGTCTCCGGCCCGGCAAGCGCTCAGGCGCTGACTGCCCAGCAATTGGATATCGAGCGCATTGGGATGCGTCTTGCTCATATTGGCGTGTTGCATTGGCGTGTTTGGGCCCCGTTGTTGTATCTTCGAGATGAGATTGCAATGGCGGAGCTTGGGCAGGAGGCTTTGCTGTAGATTGGCTTTTTATTGATTTTGTTTTGTTTTTCTTTTTTCTTTCAGTCCGATCTGGAGTTGGTACTGCTTGTCTGGTATGAACTGCCTTTCAGCGCCTTGCATTTGCTGCTTGTTCTCGGGGGATTTCCATCATTTTTTTCATTCCCACCAGGCGTTTACTGACAAAAGGATGCTGGCGAATGCCTATAGGCGCGAATATGGGCTCTCGGTGTTTTTTGTTTGGGCAATAGAAGGCGCATCTAACTCTTTATTTAGTCGATTCATATCTCAAAAGATCTCTAATTGCAATTGTTCGTCATACTATACGTTATGGTTATACTTCGTAGATACTTCATCGCCACACCTCACAGATATAGCCGGTCTGCACAAATTAAGTTCTTTATTTTTTTCTCTCGGTTTTCGCGGATACCCCAATGATGATCAAAACATCAAAACAGCCATTATACTTTTATCCAGTGGAATAGAGAGAAGAACATCGTTGTCGATCCCAATCCCTACGGAGTACATCGTTAGACGCTCGCGTCAACAGGCCCGTGCACCGATCCGCGCGATCAACATTCACTTCACCAAAAATCACCCCCCAAAATTCCAAAGACTACCCATGCACCCAGCCTAAAACTACCTCAAAATCCAACACGGAAACAACCGCTCTGGGTTCCGGATGTTTGTACTCCGCGCATAGTCCAGCCTCGACCCAATCCCAAGGAAACACCGCCAGGCAAATTTCCCAATGCGTCTTTCTGCAGCACTGTACTCCCCAACTCACCCCTGGCTTGCATGCTTGAAATCAGCACAGTTGCAACGCATCGCGCGCGCAACAGGCATCCAGTCATCCGGTACGAAGGGTGTTCTTACTGAGCGCATTGCGGCAGAGTTAGCGTTGCAGTTACAGTCAGATTGTGTTGCAGATGGGATTGGCATTTCAAGTTCCAGTACCAGATCGAGTCAAGATCGACATGAGAGCTCACGGTTGCGCGGTTCGAGAAACATATCCAAGACGGAAGCTGAAGAGCCAAGATCTGATGCAACATGGAGTATTCTGAGTATCGATATGGGGGTGCAGAATCTTGCGTTTGCGCATTTGATCGTTCCTCGCTTGAGTGATGCGGTAGATGTGGAGAATTTGCCAATTCCCAAGTTAACGGCGTGGCATAGACTTGCTGTTTCGGAGATTTCGAGTTTGAATTTGATCCCTGGGGATGGCAATGGTGTAACACATGTGGAGGTGGAATTGGGATCTGGCGATGGTTCAGACGCATCTAAAGAGATTATTCCAATCACAGGAGATACCGGGAGCAAATTGCTCGCCAAAGCTGCCAAATCTACCACAAAAGAAAAAGAATCGTTCTCTCCAGATCTCTATGCTGCAAATGCCTATACCTTAATATCATCCCTCCTAGCCGCCTACCGTCCCACTCATGTGTTAATCGAGCGCCAGCGCTTCCGTTCCGGCGGCGGCAGTGCAGTCCAGGAATGGACGCTGCGGGTTGGTGTGTTGGAAGGCATGTTCCATGCAGTTCTCCATACGCTGCGACAGGAGCGGGGCGGAGATATTGCGGATTTGATGGTTCGCGGTGTGGAGCCTAAGCGGGTGGTCAGATATTGGCTTGAGAATGGGACATCGGCTGCAGCAAAGGAGACGGAGCCCAAGGCAAAAGAGAAAAGACCGAGCGCACAGGAAGTCAAGAAGGCAAAGATCAATCTTGTTGGAGGGTGGCTTTCTACCGCGATGCAGGCCGTAGATACCCCTTCAGACATGGATGCCAGCTCCAGACGATTGGTGTCGGGCATTGCTGGGGAAAAGAAGATTGAGCTTGCGGACAAATCCGAGTGTCCTGTTCTGCATCGCGTTGCGAGTGCGTATATGCAGAAGTGGCAGGGCAAGAGACAAACAATAAAGGGGAAGGGAGATCGTGCTTCAAAGAGTAGCTCTTCGTTACAACCTTCGTCTTCTCGGTCTGCTTTGGAGGATGAGGTGGCTGCTGTCGATCTGGGGAAATTGGATGATCTGGCTGATTGTTTGTTACAAGGCGTGACGTGGGTCGAATGGCAGATTATGCGGAAGCGGATTGCAAGAGAAGGGATCGAGGCGCTGGACCCGATGCCGTGATTAATATATAGTAGATCCTCGATCTTCTGAGTCGAGCTCAGCGATGATAGAGGGTGATGCCTGAGTAAATATTTGGAGGTCTTCTGGGAATGGAGTTGGGTGCTCGAGTTTTGTATATCACACACCCAACATTATGTACCAGGTCTATATTAATGTGTCAACCTACGTACTTTGCACACGAGTGGAGAGAGTTTACTTCTACGTTGTAAGGGAAAAGATGGAAAGGCGTCATTGTCAATTCAGGTTCGTTCCTAAGGATACCGATATTGTCTCCCCCATCGGCCTTCCACATGGAAAGAAAAGCATGAAGACAAAAAAACAACGCAAACCGTGAGATCATTCGCAAAATGAAGATCCATAAAAATCGAGATCAGTTTTTCCTGCGAGACAACAAAAAAAGAAATAAAAAAAGGAGAGATCCGGTGCTCAAAGCAGACGTGTCACCATGCGTCAAGACGATACGTGAGAAAATGTTCCGAGTCCAATGAAAATTGGTCATATGAATGGGTCAATTTCACATTGGAGAATAAAAAATGTAAGGCAAGGAAATGTCATGCCAGAAGTTGCGAAGATTGGGAGCCGTCGTCCAGAATTGAAGTTAGCAGCCCGCATCAGACAGCAAGCAGGCAGAAGAGACAGCGTGATCCCAAGATGACAACCCAGCAAGATAAAACCAGTACAAGAATAGAAGGCGGAAAAAAAGAAACATGGCAAAAAAATGGAGCGTAGATAAGAAGTGAAATCGAAACCGTTTGTACCGGAACTTGGCAAAAATAGGTACAGTGCCAGCGCGCCGTTGCGCGAGTAGAAGGAAATCGGAACTTTCACTCAAATCATCAATCGGCTCGCAACTCGCCGCTAAGAGGTGGAAAACCCCCTCGCATTAGCAGTTTGTTGTTTAGAAGAAGTAGCTGGCCCACTTAGACCAGAAGCGCTTTCCCTCAGTCTTGCCAGTGGGCTCAGGGTGGCCGGTGGAGACAGGGAAAGGCTTGATGCTGGCGGAGGCAAAGGGAGTTCGGGTAGCAAATCCGCTGGAGAAGGTGGGAGTGCGGGTGTGAGGGATGCGGCTGTAAGAGGGGGTGTGAGGGCGGGGGGTCTCAGTGAAGGTGGGCTTGGGACCCTCTCCGTTACCCTGGCCATTTCCAGGACCGTGGGGACCGTGATCACCTCCGTGAGAGCCGTGGTCATCACCGTGAGAGCCGTGGTCACCTCCGTGAGAGCCGTGATCATCACCGTGAGGACCGTGGGGGCCGTGGGGACCAGGAGCATCGGTCTCAGTAGGGGCCTGAAAGTAGAAACGGGTTAGCGCTGGGTATTTCGAATAGGAGAATGGGCAGCACATACAGCAGTCACAGTCTCAGTGACGGTGGCAGTAACAGTGACGGGGCTGCAAGAACCGGAGTCATTGCCAGAGCCGTTGTCAGAACCGTTGTCAGAACCGTTGCCGGAACCGTTGCCAGAGCCAGCCTCACCAGAGGGAGAGGGAACCTCAATGAGGGTAACAGTCTCGGTCTTGGTGGAGTGGATAGTAGAGGTCTCATAATCAGTGGTGTCCTGTGCGGGCTGGGTGTACTGGGAATCAGCACCAGTCTATATCAAAGTTAGTTGAGATGTTCGAAACACATGTCAGATAGAGAGCATACGGCAGTAACGGTGACCTCCTCGGTGGCGGTCAGGGTCTTGTAAATAGTAGTGGTGATCAAGGTAGTCGAAGAGCCAGTGCCAATGGTGTAAGTCAAAGTCACCGCAGTGGTGGAAGCAGAGTCATCACCGCCGGGAGCGGATACCGTAGGACGGGGGCCATCAGGACGAGCGCTAACGGGGGTGCGGGTGATGGCAGGCTTGCTGGAAGCAGCAACAGGCGAAGAGGAGCCAACAGGGGTGCTGAAGGGAATGGCAGTGGAAGTCACACCAGTAACAGCAACGGAAGAGCCGACGCTGGAGACGGCAGAGGAACCAGGGGCCGGGATGACGCTGGGAGCGACAGAGGGAGCAGAAGGAGCAACGCTGGGTGCAACGCTGGGGACGACTGCAGGAGCGGAAGGCTTCATGGTGGAGCTCTCAGCAGTAGGGGCAGAAGCCTCGGGCTCGACAGCAGTGGGCACGACCAGGACAGTGGAGGTAGAGGGCTCCGCCGCGGGGGGAGGAACGTGAATGGAGCGGACGACACGACGGGCATGGAGACCCTCGTGAGTAGCCTGACCCACAGTAGCAAGAGCCGCCACAATGGCAGCAGAGAACTTGTTGATAACAACCATGTTGAATCCTGGTAAAGACGGTTGGGGATATGAAGAAGGTGAAGTGAGGTTGAGATGAAAAAGGTAAACAAGAGCAGTTGGATCAGAGTGAACGACAGTGGTTTGGGGAAAGAGTGACTGGGCGAAATCAATTCGCAAGGAAGGAACGGCAAGCTTCTCACAGAGAAGAAAAGGAAGAAAGAGTCAAGATGTACGCTTGAAGAAGGGTAGAAGAAGGAATTAAAAGATGGAGTCCGCTAATTAACTCATCTCCTTAAATTAAATTATACCCTATCATTTTAATTTAAAATATTATACACTTCTATAGCCACTAAGCCCCATGGCGTCTCGGTATTACCGGTGGATCTACGGAGTGCCTCCTCCGTAGTCACCACACACGGAATATCAGTCGATGGGCAATACTCCGTACATTGAGGTAGGCACTTCCTCTGTACCCACTGTCTCAGGCACGGCCATCTGATTGGACTGTGCGATATCCCAGGGCCAGCCCGTGGCACAGTGACCAGTGGCTTTTTAATCTCACTAATCTCACGCGAAAAACTATACCGGTATTGAGCCTATGAGCCTCCTAGCGACGGGGCCTTTTCCATCGAAGGCGTCACTGGCGCCTTGTCAACCCCCTATTCGTTCCACATCTGACATAATAGGGGGCTATGGGACTTTGGGGGATCGGATATGGACTGCTGTATGCACTCCGTACGTTGGGCGTTGTCGACCTGTCAAAACGGTTTTTTAGGGCACGGACACGGACAGCAACGTGGGACAACCTCTTCTCACCCTGGCGGATCAGCAAGGTCGGATTCTACTTTCTATGCGGAGTGCTCCGTACGCACATCTCTGCAGTGACCAGCGGAACATTGCGTGAAAATCTCAACTGCGATCATTACTCCTTCAGGAAAACACACCCAGCGAGTCTGTACTAGATCTCCGGGACCTTCGGGTGGACAAGTGTTTCAGACCCCGACTCTCGGCTGTAACGATACGGGATATACGGGATACATATACAATACACCCTTGACAGCCCGTGGTTTCACATAAACCACCATCAACCGCCTCTGGCTGCCAGGACTAGTGGCCTCGAGACCCGCCATTGCTCGGGACATAGATTACTTTTAAATAAAGATGGGCATAACATTCCACATGAGGGTCAAGCTATACGGAGTTTATATGGAATGAGCCTTATAATGCACCAGCTTCCATACTCTAAACGCTGCCCACGAAGGTGGGGTACAGCTTTCAAATTCGACATCCGAGATTTGGATGCCGGCTGAAATGATTCAGGGGTCTAGACTGAGCACGGCCCCTGGAACATGCCCTTATCAGTCTGTGTTTTCATTCGGCATTTACGCCAACTCTGGAGCCCGATCGTACGGAGGAGGCATGGCCATTCACCAATCCCGGTGATCTGCTCCGGAGATTCTAGAAGCTGAGGTTATAAGCCATGGAGATTCTCCTATCCCGCAGATGGCATCATTAGAGGCTTCTAGACGTGGACGGCACGGCGAAGTTACCTTCCAACATGAAACATCCGCTCGAAATTTCAGGTACCCCTGTCCCTCTTTCTCGCCATCTCCATCAAACGCGATGCAATTAAATCTTTCCAACATACGATGACTGAGTTCAAGATTGCCTGAGCTTCCCTCTGTCAGATGCAGAGTCAGAGGTCCACGGGTGTGTCCATGGGGATATTGTCTATGCTGATCATCATATCAACCGGAGGCGGTGACGCCAGCCAGCCCTCGCTATCTTATCGCGAACGTCCCGCGCAGCCGCGGTCAGTCAATTGACAATGTCTTCATTCCAGGCCCTTCGGACCCAGTATGCCTCATTACTGAAGCGATTCTTGGCCTCAAACAAAGAGTTTGATGTCCTCACAACCATCCCACCGGACCACCCCGCAGAATCAGAGACGCTCTATGTTTTAGACTCGTCGTTCAATCCCCCCACCCGCGCACACCTCCGCATCGCCAGCACCGCACTCCTAGAAAAGCCCCAGCCCCGACCCCGTCTGCTTCTGCTTCTTGCCACCCAGAATGCAGACAAGCCATCCAAGCCAGCCTCATTCGAGGACCGTCTCGTGATGATGGAGCTGTTCGCCCGCGATCTCCGCTCCCATCTCGCATCACAGCCAGCCTTCGCCTCCTCGGAGTTCATTCCCGCTGCCGAGTCTCTCCCATTGATTGATATTGGTGTCACTAAAAAGCCTTACTTCGTTGACAAGGCAGCTGCCATTGAGGCGTCGGATTCGTACCCTGTTCAGCTGGAGCAGGTTCATCTTGTCGGATACGACACTCTGATCCGGATTTTTAATTCCAAGTATTATCCCCCAGATCATACCTTGAAGCCTCTGGAGCCTTTATTCTCGAAGCACCGGTTGCGTGTGACTATGCGTCCGAGTGATGAGTGGGGTGGGAGGGAAGAACAGCTAGAATTTGTGGCAGCTCTTGCTAGAGGCGACCGGGATGCCGAGCGCGCGGATAGGGCGTGGGCACAACGAATTCAGCTTGTCGAGGGTCGCGCCCCTACTGACCAGCCGGTGAGTTCGACAAGAGCTCGTGAGGCGCTGCAATCAGCTCCCCAAGACCTTAACTGGTTAGTTCCAGATCAAGTACGGCAGTTTGTGCTGTCAGAACATCCATATTCTGGAGACTCTAAAGTGTAGATACTTAGATATAGCTAGCCGTGACAACTACATAGTCCATCTCCAACTCATAAAACGATAATGCATAAACAATTGCATAAACACCTCCATACCACTGACGCCGAGACCTAGAGCCCCCCCACGTTTCAAACGTGCAATTAAACCACTTTTTGTACACATATGATACAAGATAGAGCGTGATGCAGGTGAGACATCACAGCCCCCGCATCGTTGTGAGTCGTCGCCACATTCAGGACTCATTTTCTTCCTCCTCTCTCTTGCCAAGGGTATATGCCAGTCCACCACCAACCATGTTCATCAAAGCCAAAGCCATGGTAGCACCACGCACGACGCCCCGGACGCCGAATTTCTTCATCAAGGGTTGCCGACGGCGGGCTGCCAGAAGCAAATACAGTCCCGAGAAGGATGCGCTCATACCCGCAGTATCCGTCTTGAAGCCCTGCAGGTTCGCATAGCTGGTGAAGATCAGCGCCGGTGGGAAGAGCATCGGGAAGAACTGGAACGGGCGCATATGCTGGGCTGCGATCAGCGAGGCAAGAAGCGTCGGCGGGAATGAGTTTTCTAGATTGACAAGCAACATCAGTGACTGGTCGTTTGCGGGATTGCTTTGCCTTGGAGACTGGCCAACGAAGCCGGGCTGTTCATGAATCACTCACCTCCCCAGGCCCGGAAGCGCTGGATGACCGTCTGCTTGGTCTCTTCAACTGCTGAGTCGTCCGCCATGGTGAAATAACGTCGGGTGTTAAATTTCGAGGTTCAACTTGTCTTCTGAAGCCGGACAGCTGTTTGGAGCTATGCCAATTCACTGATTGTGATTGCTGCGGGTATATTAATAAAATTGGCATGCACAAATTGACATTAGAGACAACTGACAATTGAATATAGCAGGACTGCAGAGAGTGACAGAGTGACAGGGTTATCAGGTTGGCAGCATTTGAAGTTATGTAACTTATCGCAACGCCCGTGCGACTGACGTTCCAACGCTTGGCAAAGACACCTAAGACCAGTGGACTCTTTTTCCCCAATTTATGCCCGCCTGTCGCTCTGGTCTCGCTTCATCCCCATAGGGCCGATATTTAAATTTACCAGACCACCTCATCGGACTACGTTTGATCGAACTGCTAGCCCAGCACTTTTGTGGGATTGGTTCTTCTTTATCCGCGGTCCCACGCCACCCAGTGCCCTTCAGATTCGATCAGCCCCCCTCTTCCCTCCTCGCATACCAGCAAATCAGTGTCGCACAGAATCCACCAGGTTCTCTTTTCTAAAAAATCTACAGTCATGCCTTCGGCTTCGGCAACTGGCTCTGACGCCAAACGCGGAGGTGCGACGTCGCGCGACCATAAGCAGGGCAACCAGGATCGCAAGTACACGGAGGACCAGAAAGCTGCTGTACTTCGGATTCGAAAGTGCCAGCCTACAGCATTTTACGAGATTCTGTTGGTTGAGCGCAGTTCCACCGATAATGAGATCAAGAAGGCCTACAGGAAACAGAGTTTGTTGACACATCCCGATAAGAACGGGTACGATGGTGCGGATGAAGCATTTAAGAGTAAGCAACAAGAAATTTCAATCCACCACTTGATATATTGATTCTTACCCGTGGTAGTGGTCTCGCGTGCTTTCCAGATCCTTTCCGACGAGGAAAAGAAATCCAAGTACGACAAGTTCGGCGGCGATCCTGATAGCAGGTTCCAACCTGGGCCTAGTGCTTCAAGCGGCGCGTCTCCATTCAGTGGATTCGGTGGTGGTGGATTCCCCCGCGGAGGTGGCGCAGGCTTCGATGAGGAGATCTCAGCCGAAGAGATGTTCAACCGGTTCTTCAATGGTGGATTCGGCGGAATGGGTGGTGGATTCGGTACTACTCCGCGTTTCCCTGATATCGGTTTCACCTGAACTAATGATGTACTACTATAGGCGGCCCACAATTCGTTTTCAACATGGGAGGTGGCCCAGGGTTCCGAGTGCATCAATTCGGAGGCCAGACGCCCCGCCGTCGTCCTCGCACAGCGGCCACCGAGCAGGAAGCCCAGATTGATGGCCGCAGCTTACTTCGCCAACTCTTGCCGCTCATTCTCCTGTTCATCCTGCCTCTGCTCTCGTCTCTCTTCTCTGGCTCTTCAACCCCATCTGGACCCTCTTATCGATTTGATACCCCCGTCTCCCCGCATACCCTCGGCCGCTCGACCCCAAAGCTCAATCTTAATTACTTCGTGAACCCCCTGGACGTGGATAACTTCAGCGCTCGAAACTTCCGGGAGCTAGACTCGCGCGTGGAGGTGGAATATGTCAGGAGACTGCGGAACGACTGTGATGCGGAAGCCCACGAGCGAGAGAGGAGGTTGCAGGACGCCCAGGGGTGGATTTTCCCTGATGTCGAGAAAATGAAGGCGGCCCGTGCTATGGAGATGCCGAACTGCCGGCGACTGGATCAGCTGAAGACTAAGGGGAGATTTTGAATGTAATTTGGACTGTGCTTAGATCACGCTTTCTGGTGGCATCTTGTTCCTTTGTGAGATTCTCCTTGGAAGAATGTGCTTTACTATCATTAGCACCTCACAAAGGCGGCGTCTATGGGAGTTCTCCTTCATTGTCTGTACATTGTATTTTTTCCCTAGAAGTTTCAATGCATTCATCTCACATGATATTGACCTTTTTCTCGATGCTTCCAAATATCTGAATGGGATATTTGGTTTATTTTTTCCTGATATGACTACTCCGTATACCGGGTAGAGCTCCCTATAAATATATCGCACCTGTTTAATATTAATATTTGCATGAAGGATCTGCCAAGCTTGTATCAAGATGTTGATATATACTCCGTACTCCGTACACAAACCTACAACCCCTATTTTATATTTCAATTTTCCACGGAGTACCCCGTATTGGTAAAGACGTTGGAAAGAGTCCTGAACTACGGAGTACTCCGTACGGACTTCCTAGCTGAAGTCTCACATCGTCCTCAATCCTAAAAACAGCCATATCAGACGCAATTTTAGCTGGATCACTTTTGTTCAGCGCACGGTCAACGCCAACTGCATAGTTCGACGGCCGATAATTTCCACTAGATCGCAGAAGTCCTCGAGATACTTATCCCAATGGATCTGACCATAGAACCTTGATCAGCCCATGGGGAACAGCCTCCTAACCTAACAGGGAAAGTGTTATTTGTGGCTGTAGACTGAGCTATGAGGGAAGACCAGTATCCTCCTCTTTGTCGACCTCCGCTAAAATCACATCATGGCCCAATGCGCTCGGATATTGATTGCCGGAAAGGGGTAACCGGTACGGAGTAGGGAGTACTCCGTAGTTCTTTGTTAATTCATCTCATCCTACACCGGATAGGGGTAGGTAGCTATATGGAGTACGGAGTATCCACCATTCAATTCAAATCAGGCGTTGGCGTCCCAGTGGTCATTTCTCCCATTGCACTTCATCTGCTTCCGGCTTTGAACCGGTCTCCCTCTCCCACCTTCTAGTGTGAGTATTAGGGAGTTTGGGCGATCCATTGACGGGCAAATAAGCCATAATCAAGTGGTTGACAGGAAGACGACTAAAGCGGGCTTTTCCATGGAACGGCATAGTCATGATTTGGTTGGGTAAATACCTATATATAAGCACTGTACCAAATACAAAAGATGGAATGCAAAGCAGGGGTGCAGTATCCAATTAGGGTAGTTGCCGATTTGCTCTTTATTAACACCAATGATTCATGACTATACCGAACTGACCTGTGGCGAAGGTTATATTATATTCCTTTGAGTCGAAATCCCCCTCGCGTAGTTGAGTACGGAGTATGGTCGGTGAAATTCCCCCCTAGTCTCTTCGATTGCGTCTAGGATATTCGAAATAGTGTCCACTAGGGAGAAATGTAAAGTGTGAATGTAAATCGTGAGAATCTAACCCGTACATTTTGATTCATTTCTCCAAATTAAGCTCAATTTTCGATCAAAATTATCATCCAGATGACACCTCTTGTAACGCCGGATATAGCTTTGAGTAAGTGTGTGTAGAGAGGGGCCTGGCTTCAGTATCCAGCAATCGGACCTGTCGAGATGTGCGCAGGTAATATACCTGAATGAAGAATTGAGCAACGCGCAAGGACGGGATTGAGACTGCCAGGTATTTACCCGTGACACAAATAATTTGAAGGTTCATAAAAACATCGATGAAACCTGCCGATTCAGTTAGCCTTCGTCTCTGTACGGAGTATACCGAAGAGGGATTCATACTGGTCACGCAACCGACGGCATAGATCAGTAGCATCATATCAATAAGTTCCAAGCCTTGACTGAATCTATTTGAGAGGTATCAGAAACACTATGGGCAGAGGATTTTGGAAATAACAATACCTAGTCGTTTCGATCCGTTATCTACCGTTTGATAGAAGCTAATGGATGCCCTAAAATTGAAAGTCTCAGTACGAGAAAGCATCGATGCTTGACTAGGATTGCCAAGCTGAGAGCAGTTTCGAGAAGATCAGCATGCAGATTCAGCGAAGGGTTGTTTAGAGCTCGAACTAAGAGTGACCTGTGATTTTCAGTCAGTTCGAGGAGAAAAGAAGCAAATGAACCAGAGAATATATTGTCACACGCCAGCAACCAACAACGAGACCCAGAAGTGATATCGCAAATATCAAGCCGTATACTCCGTGCACCAAGATACATTACCGGTTGCTTGTTAGATTGCTCTTCATTTTCTTCGACCCACCATCGGAATCCATACTGCTAGAAAAAGCCAGTTTTCATTCTGATGGACAAATATCAAGGATAGTGGACTTTGGAAACAAGTGAAAAGACCCCAATAGTAATGCAAACCAGGAAGAAAGCCACAAGAGTATATCGAGCACGCCGAGAGTAGTATTTGTATACGGGTCAAGCTTGTTGATGTCTGACTCGGACGAATTTTTGATCGTCCACTGTTTCCACAGCGATTCTGGGTTTGTCCTGCTTTTCAGAAGCTCAGCATTGAATTTCCTATTTTGGGGGAATTCAGCTCGAACTCCGAATGCGCTTTGAGAAAGCATCTGCACTGTCAGTAGTCACATACTCATAGTGCCCTGTGGATGAAGGTTACGACGCCCTGCTTTAGCATTGCAACCTCGCAGAGTTGCCGGAGTGGAAGTAACGGCTCACCAAAAAAAGATGAGAATTCATACAAATAGACCTCATCTATGAGATGCGATCTACAGGAACCCTGGGGGCCTTGGAAAGTTCTTTTTGTTCTGTTTGCACCGGTAATAGTCTTACCTTTTAGGCGAGTATCCGCTTACGAGGATTTGGATACTGTGAAAAAGAGACACATTACATATCAACGCCACGGATTCAACTATATCAACGTATCTAGGCTATAATGCTATGCTCGTAAAGATATCCCAAATTGCAGAGCATGAATGTAGATTTACATGGTATGGTCTGCTCTGTTTAGGTACCATCATCCTCCGGGTTTACTATGGGCAGACGCTAAACCCCTTCCGGGTTACTTCTTATATACCTACTTTTGTGGTTCTTGTGTTCGAGGCCTCGCTTTACTGAATCTAGTACATAGAACATATTCAGATGACTGTACGAGAGATGTCTAATCTAATTCGGAGATGAAGAGCCGGGACAGAAGCATGGAATAGCAAAGGCGGAGTGCTGGGACTATTCGGTGCCGAGTGTATAAAGCGCATATGAGATCAACCCGGAACCATCACGCAGATGGACAAAAGCCGGAGTAAAGAATGACCAAGATTACCTTCGTTTTGGTTAGCCTAAAATATGTATCTCACTTTCCTACCTCATGTTGTCGCGTTCGAACTATGTACTTTATAGGTACACATGTCTATACGGAAAGGAGCGGCAAAATCCTAGGTACCCTCGGCGTATCGTAGTTATCAGCCCTGGAGGGCCCCGTCGGGAACCGAATTTGCTTAGTCAAATTTGATCACGGCGCTCTCGATTTAGAACAAAAGCGAATCTTGGCGATCACCACAGAATCACCAGCTATCATCTGGCCTTTCTTCTTCATCGACTGCGGACCCTGCTCCATTGCCCCCACTTCAAGGCTTTCAAGCAGCCGGCGTTCCGCTTTCGCGTTCCCTTATGATTCCCGCACGATTGCTGCAATATTGATTCTGCCGACCAGATCCACCAGATTCGCAGCCCTGCCAACGTCGCTGAAGTCGGACATTATCTGACTTCGAATTAATATGTCGGACACAATTTCTGATGCGGACAAGGTATGGCGACTGTTCTGTGCATCTTACGAAATTATTCCGACTCCAGCGAATTTCAGACTGACTTCTATCTTCGATAAAAAAGATTCGCAACAAGCGTCTTGCGAAACTCTCAAATCCAAACCAGTTCCCAGTGGAAGGCAACTCGGATTCAGCGCAGAGCTCAGCGAATACCTCTCCATCACATTCACCAATATCCGCTCAGTCACCGAGCCGTCTTTACAACGCGCCATCGACCCCGCAGCAATCAGAAGGCAAGCGGATTAAGATCACACCAGCTACAAATACACCAGAGCGTCCGCGATCCGCCGCTCCCTCGGCACCAAGCACCCCTCCCCCACAGAAGATCGAAAGCATCGAGGCCTTCGAAGACCGGACATTGAGTGCCGTGTTCAGACTGACTCTGAAAGAAGAAGGCCAGCGTGATATTCATGGCCAGCGCACATACTTGCCAGGACTGCGGAGCGAACTCCAGGATGAGGGGCAAGATCTGCGCATTCAGGTCTCAGTCTTAGATCAGGCCCTTCTAGAAGCCGCGTCGAAGGCTGAGAGAGAGCGTCCTCTCGATTATCTGCTCCCTTGTTGGAAGCGTATCACAAAGTTACATAAAGGGTTGAGGCGGACAGGGGACAATGACCCGAAGTATCAGGTGTTGTGTGAGGCGCGGCGTCTGTGCATGAGCTACTGTATCTTTGCGATAACTATGCCGGAGATGTTCGGGTGCGTGTTACTGGAATTTCAATGAATACCAGTGGATAGAATACTGACATTGAGACATAGGTGTGAGTGGTCACCAGAATCATCACTAGCCTCCCATCTTCTCGTAGACCCTGAAGATGACAGAGGAATCGATTTCGATTTCATTAACGAGGCTGTGCGGAGATTTGATGAGGATGATTCCGTTAAGCCTGCATTCATATCTGCCGTGGAGCAGTTGAGCGCGCAGCTTTCTTCCATGGACGTCAATGGCGATTACAAGCCTTATGCCATTGTAAGTTAAGCACCTCAATATCCTGGGGTTATTCCTGACTAGTTTGTTCAGGCTCTCCGAAATCTTGTTCGGCATGCTTCTATCGCCGCTGCAATCACAGAATCATCGATTTTCAACAATTCGAGAGACCCTGCTCAGTTCGAGAAAACCACACTTTTGGGCCCATGGTTCCGCTTGTCGCCTCTCCAAGCGAGTGTCACTATGTCCTATTTCTCTAGTCCCAAGACCCGGGATCAGGCATACATTTCCAATGCGCAGCGGTCGCTTCGAATGACACAGCAGATGATTAGCTCAGATCTCCTTGATGTCATCAATCACCTTATCCGGGCCTCGAAAGAGGCTCGGGATCGTGTTCTCGATTGGTTCGCTACTGCCATGAACATCAACCACAAACGACGTGCGATGCAAGTAGACCCCGAACTGGTATCGTCTGATGGATTCATGTTCAACATCACAACGTGCCTTGATCAGCTGTGCGAACCGTTCATGGACGCAGCGTTCACTAAAATTGACAGAATCGATGCAGGTTATCTTCATCGGGACTCCCGTGTTGACATGAGGGATGAAACCAAAATCAATGCTGATCAGCATGCCTCTGATGCCTTCTACTCTAAAAGAGTTGAAGGAACGTCCAACTTTATCACTGAAATCTTTTTCCTGACCGTCGCTGCCCATCATTATGGCAGTGAGTCATTGTCATCAAAGATGGAACAGCTTGAGAAGGATGTTCGACAGATGGAGAGCACAATCACTAAATTTGAACTTGAGCGGATTCGATGGATCAATAACCCACAGCAATTGCGCACCTTCGATGCAGCCTTAAAAAAGTACAAAGATAAGCTTGACCTGGGTATCGCTCTCAAGTACAGTCTTCAGGGTGTGTTGTTCGACGACCATTGGCAGGCTCGTTCCATGCTCTTCATGCGATATGTTACCGTGTGGCTTCTGAGAGTCGTTTCAGGGAAGAACTTCCCCAGGGAGAAAATCACGCTCCCTCTCCCAGAGGAGCAACCTGAAGTTTTCAAATGTCTACCGGAGTATTTCTTGGAAGACATCGTCAGCAATTTCAAATTCATCATGTGGTGCATGCCACAAATCATTACTGCCACTCAGGGAGATGAGCTAGTAATGCTGTGCATCACATTCCTCGAAAGCTCCGCTTATATCAAGAACCCTTACCTGAAAGCTGGACTGATCTCAATTCTATTCCGAGGCACCTGGAAACGCCCTGGAGGTGCCAGTGGTGTTCTGGTCGATCTGCTCAATTCCATGCCCTTTGCCAACGACCATCTCCTCCACGCGGTCATGAAATTCTATATTGAGGCAGAGTTTACGGGGGCGCATACGCAATTCTACGACAAGTTCAACATCCGCTACGAGATTTTCCAGATCATCGAATGCATTTGGCCTAACACTCTGTACCGCGAGAAGTTGTCCATGCAAGCCAAACAAAACTTGGACTTCTTTGTCCAATTCGTCAACCTTTTGTTGAATGATGTGACTTATGTTCTTGATGAATCCTTCGGCGCTTTCAAGACCATCCACAACACCCAGACTGAACTCAACACAGAGGGCCACACAATGGATTCTGCGACCCGCCAGCAGCGGGAGGAGAATCTGGCATCAGCGCAGCGCAGCGCCAAAAGTTATATGCAATTAACAAATGAAACGGTGTCAATGCTCAAGCTCTTCACTGATGCTCTTGCTGACTCGTTCACAATGCCCGAAATTGTCCAGCGACTTGCAGACATGTTGGATTACAATCTTGACGCAATGGTCGGGCCCAAGAGCTCCAACCTTCGCGTTGATAACCTACAGGAATATGGATTCAATCCACGTGCCCTCCTGAGTGAGATTGTGGACGTTTACCTCAATCTGGCCAGCAAAGAAAACTTCATTTTGGCTGTTGCTCGAGATGGCCGATCCTACAAGCCAGCGAACTTCGAGAAGGCGGCCGATATTATGCGCAAGTGGTCATTGAAGTCCCCCGAACAGGTTCGTCGCTGGAGTCAGCTTCAAAAGAAGGTTCAGGCCGCTAAAGAGGCCGATGAACAAGCGGAGGAAGACCTGGGCGAGATTCCCGATGAATTCCTTGGTATGTTTACTAGACATGACTTTATGACAGCGGCTAACTTTTCTAGACCCTCTTATGTATACACTCATGGAAGACCCAGTGATTCTTCCCGGATCGCGGCTGTCCATCGACCGTGCTACGATCCGCTCCCACCTTCTCAGTGATCCCCATGATCCATTCAACCGTGTCCCATTGAAAATGGAGGATGTGCTGCCTGGTAAGAATGCCTACCTCTCCTCTCCTGTACTGCCTTTACTGACATTTTGACCACCCAGACACCGAGCTCAAAGCCAAGATCGAAGCATTCAAGACAGAAAAATTGGCTGGCAAACGGAGGGAAATAGTGCATGATCAGATGGACACTTCGAGTTAAGGAGCGGGTTCTTTGCATGATTCAATGCATAATGTTGCTTAGTATCTTTATTAGCGTTCGCCGGACAGAATGGCACAGTACATAGCCGATAGATCAAACTGTCTGCTCCATTTGAGACCTTTCACGTGAAGAAAAAGAAAAGACTACCGTTATATGTATGTTATATCATTTACCTGTGCTGTGTCCCCGGCTCCAGGCTATTTTCCAGTCAGATTCCCTTCTGCTTGTACTTCGTCCCCCACGTTCTCTCGTCAACCTCGCCTACGCGAGTGTGCGATGTAACTCTCTGCACAAGAATGTTCACCCACTTCAGCCACACAGATATTACTCGTTAGTATAGAATGAGACTCATCACTCAGGCTAATCTGCACAGGTCCACTGATGGGGGGACAGTCGCGGCTAAACAGTGGATGCAACTCAGCTACGACAATGGACTCAATCACGATGGCCATACAGTCCATTCCCCAATCCAAACCGACAAGGCCGAGCCATGAGGAACCAAATGCGCTGGAGAACCCCATCCATCTTAATTTCATGCGAGAGGCGTTAGAAATGGGGGAAAAGGGGCTAAAACATGGGGAAACACCCGTGGGCTGCATCCTCGTGCTGGATAACCAGATCGTAGCGCGTGGGATCAATGATACCAACAGATCAGGAAATGGTACACGTCATGCCGAGTTTATCGTGATCGCGCAGCTACTCAAGACGTATCCTCGGTCCGCACTCCAATCAACAGATCTGTATGTCACCGTCGAACCTTGCGTGATGTGTGCCTCTGCGCTCAAGCAGTATCGCATACGGAGTGTTTACTTCGGGTGTGGTAATGCTCGGTTTGGGGGAATCGGCGGAGTGCTTTCCTTACACTTGGATTGCTCAATTGACCCTTCATTCCCTGTTTACGGAGGTTTGTTTGAGGCCGAGGCTATTGATTTGATGAGGAGGTTTTATGCGTTGGGAAATAAGAACGCCCCGATCTCGAAAGTGAGGAACAAGAGGCTGAAGGCGCTATACCAACAGAAAAGCAACCAAATGATGGAATTGTCTGAAGTGACAAACGAGGAAACGGATGAAGCCGAATCTGTGTCTCCTTATCGGGGGACCCACCGCCTTTGACATTACATCACACGTCTGTTAAGCTTTGTGTTTATCCTCCGCGACTTTGACAATCCTCTTCTTTTCAACACTCCAATTGGAAATGGGTGCGACGATTTCCACCTGTTGGGAGGCTATGCCTCCAATCGCAGAGCTCTTTCCTCCAACCCCTGTTGTTTACACTCAGGTTCTTTGCTGCTTTCAATACTTCCCCCTGGTAAGGACCTTGGATCAGCATACGGGCATGTCATATACTGACGCGGTGTATTTAGGTGACAGTGGCTCAATGGATTTTGTCATGGCATCCAGCAGGGAAGACATCCTCCCAGTCAATTTTCAACATACCAGGACGCATTGCATGGTCTGCAATGGAGATCGTTGGCCCTATCAACTTGATCTACAGCCTGGTCACTCCATCGCCACATGCACCTTCAATTGCTGATCTCCCCACACCAAATATCCTTGTTGCAAGCCTCTATTGTATCCACTATCTCAACCGGGCCATCATCTCCCCCTTTTTCTCTGCACCTAGCATGTCCCCAATTCACGCGTGCATCATGTCCTTCGCCATGGTTTTCAATTGGTTTAACTCTGCCTGTCTGGCCGGTTGGTTGCGTGGATACACAGTACCCAAAATTCCAACCTTCATTACACCCAGTAGTGGAAATCCGTTCCGCTCTTCGGTGGTAGAATTCCTGCCCACCGTGGGTATCGTTCTGTTCACTATCGGGATGGCCGGCAATATCTATTCAGAGACCTCACTGTTTCGGCTTCGCCGCGAAGAAGCAGAAAGACGCACCTCCAAAAAGAAAGACGGAGACAGTACCTCAAGTGAAACGGGAGATAAGAGTAACAAGTTCCACAAGGTCTACGTCATTCCTCCTGCTCGCGGTGTCTTCCGATACATTTTGTACCCACACTATGTCTTCGAGTGGCTCGAGTGGACTGGCTTTGCGCTTGCTGGTACAGCAGTAATCCCTTTCTCGGCCCTTCCTGTTTCTGCCTCTGTGTCACTTCCGGTCATCGCTCCACCACTGCGCCTTGCTCCTTGGCTGATCCCCGCAGGATGGGCAGCTGATAAACTCGCTATCCCGTTTCCTTTGCCTGCCGTGGTATTTGTTGTCAATGCAGTCACTAATATGTTACCACATGCACGCTGGGGCAGGAAGTGGTATGTTGAGAAGTTTGGGGAGAAAGCCGTTGCTGGCAGGGGTGCGGCGGTTCCTGGATGTGCATGGATGTGAGGCGAGGAAGTGGATTGCTTGTTTTCTTTTACCGTAATTGTCACTCTAGGTCGTCGTGGTTATGCCCACCAACAGACAAATCCTAATTTCGTATCTTGAAATGAAAGAATACCTTGCATTCTCTATATTGATAAATCGTTTTCATATAATATCCAGATGCAGTCTGGTCCTGTGTCATTGAGTATGGAGCATGCAAGAACAAGTCATATCAACTCCTCTTTTTGAAGGTATACAATTCAAAGTCTCCAAGTTAAGTTGTGGTTCGGTCAGATACTAAGGCCCCGACAACCCTCCCACGGACTTCACATCTCCTGCTGGCATCTTGAATACCAATCCCCCTATATTTGACTAATGTGGGCCCAATTCATCTCCGCAGGCTACCCGATGAATTTGGATAGTCTGCATTATCTGACGCAATTATCAAATTGAATTTTGTTCGAACTCTCTGCGAACCTGTCTGCTTAGATTTCTTGTCTTTGACCCGAGTGATGTTGCCCTTTTTTAGGGTTACCGAATATCTCACAAAGGAACGAAAACCAAGGTATTTGTTATGGTCATGGCGCGTTCATTTGCCCGATGTAGCTCGCCTTTGGATACATGCTGCTATGCATTTTAGCCTTCTAAAGCTAGCTTTGACAACAAATAATGGTGGTGCATCCCCGGTATACGAATCCATGCTCTCGAACAGTACTCGCGGGCTCATGGAAATCTCGAGGACACGACACCCGAATAGTAAGGCCATAACCTGGTGTTAACTGACGTGGTATTCAGTATAGTAGGGGTCCAATCAAGGGAGTTGAAATCTCTGTATTTCTGTATCCACTATTCTAGCAGGAAATATGACTATCTGACTAATATTAAAAATACTGCGTGGACAGGATAAACTAAACTTCCGGTATGCCGATCTCATGCTCCGACACACCCCCTCAGCTAGGCCAGTATGGTCTAGCTGCTTCCTACGCTCAGTCGGCATGCTATTTCTCTTCCCTTGCTGATCAGACGACCCCTGCTATCAGATAGCTTATGTCGGTCATCCTCAACATTTTGAGGAAAGCTTCATGCTTTTGCCTAGTGAGTAACTTTGTGAGTCCGTCTGCAGCTATACTAGCTATCGGCACCCATTTCACCTTGATTCTTCCTTCCCTAACTTCCTATCTAAGCTAGTGCCGATAAATATTAATATATCGCAATTTCGTCTCGAACGCCGTGTCCTCGCTAGTCAGAAGACTAATAGTACGCTAATTATCGCAATTAATGCTTAGTTAATGGGAAGGGACAAAACTAAGGGTATTAAGAAGTCTACGCTACTATTATAGCTATTTTATAGTCTCTAAGAGACCGAGGAGCTTAGCTTTAGTGGTAGAGGTAGTGACTATAGGCTACTTACTAGCTTTCTAGTCGACTAGTCCGCCGTACACTTAGTAGATATAGCTAGCGGAGCTCTTTCTATCGGGATAATCCCTATATAAAGTATTACTAGCGAATTATACGGAGTCCCTTTCTATACCTAATTCTACGCTATATTTAATAGCGAGATAGCGGGTAGAATTAAGGTAGGTAATAACTCTATTAGCTACCTAATAGTACTAGGGGCCTAGGTTTATTAAGTATTATACTAGATAAGTAGTCGATTTTATAGTATCTAGTCTTATAATCGTAGTAGTATATCTAGTAGATCCTACCTTCTTTTAGTATAATAGGATCTCTTAGGCTATAGCTATATCCTAATATAGAGTTAGCTCTTCGATAGGTATTAGGGTATATACCGCTAGTCTATCTATAAGATTATATCGTATAGTAATATTTACTATATAGCTATCTTAATAAAGCTATAGCTTCTTTTACTACCTATCTCTAATAATACGGATATTAAGAAACTATACTATCTCTCTATAATCTATTAATTCCTAGTATACTTCTAGATCTCGCTCTAGTTTTATAGCCTTTCTTTATATATCTTTATAATAAGTAATTAAGATATTGTCTATATAAAAGAAGACTATTAGTCTATTTCCGATAAAGATATAGGGGTCTTCTAGGGCTTATTATAGACCTAGCTTACGAAATATACTAGCTACTTCCTACTACTAAAGTCTAAGTAAGATCCGTAGACTATATAGTACGCGGCGGAGTTTCTAGTATTTACCGGGTAGTCTAAACCTATTAGGTATCTAGGTATAGACCTCTTTTTCTAACGTACTATTTAAAAAGGTAGTAATAGTATCCCGCTATCTTAGATCGAGATTAAATACGGTAATAAAGGTAAAGATTATTCTTATAGTCCTTACTATTAGTATAGTAGCTCTCTTTTCTTTATACGAAATAGTCTCTAGATCTCCCCGTATATATATATAAGCTTTAAATTTAACTAGATAACTATCCTAATCGTATTTATAGGTAAATACCTATATAAGAGGTAGTATTTGCTTACCTCTATCCTTTAGTCTCTCTATAATCTTATAGGTTTCCTTTTCTATTAGAGAGTTAATCTCCTTTCTTATTACTACGAGAAAACCTTCCTAAAATAGATAGTTTATAATATCTTTATAGTATTTTAGGACTAGGGGGAGATTATCTTAATAACGTCTAATTTTAGGCTTCTTAGTATATAGACCTATAGCGAAAGTATATAGTAGTGTAGGAGGATCTTCCTTTTCGTCTATAGCTTCTATAATTATTATATAGATATAGTCTTTATCTTACCTAGTTTAACGCCTTCGCTTTCTACTAATAATATTACTAGTATTAATATCTCCTATAATTTATCTACTTAGGGCGAGAAGTTCCGCCTATAGTTATCTTTCTAGCTTATTTTCTAGCTTATCTTCTATAGTAGGAATAGCTTTATTATTCTAAGCCTAGTCGCTAACTAGATCCTCTAGATCCCCTAGTATATCCACCCCCTAACTAGGGGTAGTATAGGGATCTTACGGCGGCGTGATAGGGAGCGGAGGAAGGGGTTTATCCGGAAATACGCCTAGCGGAGCTCGGGGCTTATAGATCTTAGGTATTTACTATATAATCGTAGTTTTTAGGGAGGGTAGGACCACTTACTAGTCTACCCCCTAAAGTAGGGTAGTATCTCGCTAACTAACTTCACTAGCTATCTCCCTCTACGGAGAGTTCTACTATATATTCTACTAGTTTTCTTACTAAGATCCTTACTAAGATCCTTACTAAGATCCTTACTAAGATCCTTAATAATTATAGTGCTAAGTTTCTTATAGATTATTAGACTAAGTTTCTTATAGATCTCGATAATCTCTCTCCTCTATTTCGCTAGTCTCTTAACTAGCTATCACGCGATTAAGCACCTAGGTGAACTCTTCTATAATAATTTCCTAAGGTTCTTACTATATTAGTATTAGAATAAGCTAATATCTATTATAATTAGGGGTATATTTACGAGTTTTATTAAATACTATATCCCTAATAGGCTTCACTTTCCTATTATATAGGAACTAGATTTTCTAGATATTTAATACTATATAGCTAACTAAGAATCCGATCTTAGCTCGTAGGTTTATTTTATTAGACTAGACCTATTTATCGATCCTATAGTATACTAAACTTCTATATAGTTTGATATTTAATAGGTTAATCCTCGGCGCCTATAGTACGAACTCCTTCCGCACCTCCTCCTATAGTATAACCTAGCGGTTTTCGGTAGTAATATACGTCGGCGTACGATTTAGTAACTATACCGTAGCGTTAGCGGCCTCTAACTATAGATCTTTTAGGAGCTTTCCTTTAAGCACGAGTATATATATACGGGTAATAATTATACTACCGGATCTTTCGGTATAACTATTTATTTCGGAGTGCCCTAGGGGGTTATAATATATAAGGATACTATTAGAAGTGAGGCTATATTCCGTAGGTTTTCTAGCTAAGGACTTATTATCATATTAGAAGGCTTTAATTAGTAGATCCTATTAGTTTCTTACTAGTTCTATAAAACGATTGATCGCTAGCTAACACTTAGGCTTTATTTTATAGGTTATTAGCTAATAAAACCTAAGACCTTCTAGGTAAAAATAAGAGATCTAGCGGTACTTATTCTCTACTAGCGGTAGCTAAATAAGATTAAAGTGCACTCTTCTAAATCGTCTAAAAGTATATCTAACTACGCGTCTTAATATCTACCTTAGTGCACGACCTAGCTAATAAGTCTAGTATAATACTTATATTTTAGTAGACTCCTTTTCTTTATCGTTAAAAATAACTCTATTATTAGGACCGGCGTACTAGCGGGTCCTAGTAGGTAATATAGAACTAGAGTGAAGGAATAGCAGGGTACTAGTATATTCGTAAACTAATCGCTAAAGAGCTAAGTTCCCCTAGTAGTCTCTATATAGATAACCTTTAGCGGGTCACGGGACTAGGTCACCTAACCTAGTAGGACTTAGTCTCCCTAGTGCGGTCTCTAGCGGGGGGTTATACTACCCCTACTAGGTTACGGGTTCTAGGTCATAGGACTAGGCGGGATCTAGCCTATAAAGCACTCTCCTAGTAGAGGGTCGTAATATTTTCCCCCTCCTTAAAGAGCTACGTCCTCGTAGCTAAGGGTTAGGGGTCGAGGGTCTCTTATAGTCGAGATAGGGAGGGTTCGAAAATAGTATATATATCTAGCTATCTAAAAGAGGGTAATTTATCTTTATAGTAGAAGATATAGATAGACTCGGAGCTTTAAGCGTTATCGCTCTTCGTCGCGTATAATCTAAGTTCTTTATATATTTTTCACTTATCTCTCTTCGAGTTATAGCTTTCTTCTTTCTATACTTCCTTATCCTTTCGCTTTTCTTCTTATAGCTTTTCGTCGTCTCGCTTTTCTTACTATAGGTTATTTCGACTTATTATAGTAGCTCCCTTTCCTCCGGTCGTAAGTGCGACGTATACCTCTATTAATAATTACGCCCCTCCGGCCGTTATCTCCCTTACTAACTCTATAAGTGCGTAGTATTAACGTTATATAGACTATCTTAGATATAACCTAGGGT